TAAACCCTAAACCTAAACCCTAAACCCTAAACCCTAAACCTAAACCTAAACCTAAAACCTAAACCTAAACCTAAACCTAACCTAAACTAAACCCTAAACCTAAACCCTAAACCTAAACCCTAAACCCTAAACCTAAACCTAAACCTAAACCTAAACCTAAACCCTAAACCTAAACCTAAACCTAAACCTAAACCCTAAACCTAAACCTAAACCTAAACCCTAAACCTAAACCTAAACCTAAACCTAAACCTAAACCTAAACCTAAACCTAAACCTAAACCCTAAACCTAAACCCTAAAACCCTAAACCTAAACCTAAACCCTAAACCCTAAACCTAAACCCTAAACCTAAACCTAAACCCTAAACCCTAAACCCTAAACCTAACAGCCCTAAGAACCTAATTTCCTAATCCGCGAACCTCTAGACCCTTATTTTCTAGGATCGTGTGGCCTGCATCGTAATTCTGTCCTCCCAAGCCCTCAATTGCGCCATACGCCCTATTTTACCAGCCGCCTTGCTTTGCAACAGCATATGAACCTATTTCCACAATATCAGTTCACTACAGACTGTCCATTCATTGATCTGCCACCGCTGCTCATCCCTTCTCCCATCTTTTGCCTAGCCAATCTCATCTGCCGCTAGTCGCTGTCGCTCCCTGTCTGCCTTGCCACTCTCCTCTCCCTCCGGTCGCTTCGCTCCCTGTCTGCCGCTACTCTACTCCGTCACCGTCCCCTACCAGACCTTTTGTTTCCCCTTCCACCTCCCTCAGCTCCTTTCTTCATCTTCCCTTCATCCCTGAATCACCCTATTTACCTGGTACCTGACTCTACTTACTCTTCATCTCTGTACAGGTTGTCGTCGCTGCCGCTCCTCCAGCATTTCCACCTTCACTCGCCTTCTTTTATATGGTCGCCTTATCTTCAGTCGTCGTCGCAAGCTCCTCCTCCTCAGTCGCCTTCGCTTCCCTCGGCTCTTTTTCTCGTTCTTTCGTCGGCTTTCGCCTCCTCAAATCGCCTTGTTACTCGACTCGTCACCTCATTCCACCTTTTATTAATACTCAGTCAGCTTCCCTTCATTGGCCTGCTTATCATCTTTCTCAATCGGCTTCGCTACGCTCCTCCTCCTTTTCCACGTCGCCTTCCCTCGGCTCCAGATACACCTAATTTCCTAACTCCTACCTCGCCAAACCCTAATCCTAGCGAATTAGGGTTTGTCTATGCGTTTTCCTACTACCTTAGTCGCCTTCGCTTCGCTCGGCTCCTATTACAGTCGCTGCGCTCCTTCTTTAGTCGGCTGTCGCCTCCAGATACTGTTAATCAGGCGGTAGCTACGCTCCCTTAGTCGGCTTCGCTTCGCTCGCCTTGTCGTCGCTCCTCCAAATAATCTTTTATTCTCAGTCGCCTTTGCTGCGCTCGGCTTATTTCTCCTGCTACACTCGGCAGCCATCTCCAAATAATGTTAATCTAGAGGTCGCTGCGCTCCTTTAATCTTGTTTAGTCGTCGTCGCAAGTTCCTCCTCCAGTCGCCTTCGCTCCGCTCGGCTCCAGATACACTTGTTTCTCACCTCGTTACCTCGTTCTTCTAATCATCCTCAAGTCGCCTTATCTTCAGTCGTCGTCGCTGCGCTCCTCCTCCAGTCGCCTTCGCTTCGCTCGGCTACTTATGTCGTTCCTTAGTCGGCTGTCGCCTCCAGATAAGCCTTCTTCCTCACCTCGCTAACCCCCATCTCACCAAACCCTAATCCTAGCGAATTAGGGTTTGTCTATGTGCTTTCCTTCCTCCCATATGCGTGCCTCTGCTTCGTTTACGCTGTTTCAGCACTTTGCTCTCTGTTCTGCATCCGCTTCGGAGCTTATCTTCATATTAATGGCCTCATAGCACGTTCGGTTTATTCATTAATCTTCTACTCTGCCTCGTCATTCATTTCCTCATCCTAGATGCGTCTTCTCGTTCCCTCGGATCGCCACTTCTGTTTCCACAACTTTCTTATTCTAAGGCCATGGCTCTTCCTCCTTCATTTCCCCTTCCACATTTATCCGCTTTTTGTGCTTCCTACACGTTGTATTTTTCAGCGCAGTGATTTCCACTATTTCAGCTTTCATCTCTGTGTTTGTGGTCTACTACAAAGCCCACTTCCCTATCTACCTCAGCTCATACCTTATTTCACCTGTTCCATGACTCTTCTCTCTCTCCACCCTCCCCTCCCTCTCGTCGCTGTCGCTCCCTGCCTTCTCCCACCGCCTTACTTCATCCCCCTCCCAACTTCCCTCACTCCCCTTACTGCCCTTGATCATCTCAAATGACGCCCCTCATGGCGTCTCTCAATCTCCCTTACTGCCGACCATCATCCCAATCCATCACTCTCCTCTACCTTCCACTGCCTCCTTCGTCAGCCTTCATCATCCTCACAGCAGTGTCTCCCACCTCGTCGTACCTCCTCGGTGATGCCGTCATCATCCTCTTTCCACGTTCTCTCAGCCCTCATTTTCTAGGATCACCACTCTTCGGCCGGCTTCGCTTTGCTCGGCTTTTTTTCTAGTTCATTCGTCGGCTGTCGCCTCCTCAAATCGCGTTGTCTCTCACCTCGTCAACTCGGCCTTCTAATCATACACCCCTCACCATCCTCCAAATTCATCTTAATATTTACATCCACTTTCACGACACTCCTCTTGGTCACATCTGATACATCCGGACTCTCTACTCCCTCTCCCTTCGGTCGCCTTTGTGCCCCTCTCCTCTACTACTCTCATCCACTTATTTCAATCTAACTCATCTCACTCCCTTACCTTGACTCTATGCCTTAGTCCTGCTTTCACCGCCCCTCCAATTCAATCACCATCACCATCTAAATACACTTTTCCACTACCCTACCTGCCCACACTGGCACTGTGCCTACATTAGGCTGCCACCATCATTGCACCTTGCACAATTATTTGTCGGTGGTAGCACGATGACTTTGTATCTGACGCGGCTAAGGTATGCTATCTGGAATGGCTGTGGGTGACAGCATGGTTATATGGAACAGCACCGACAAGACTCTCAAATACAAAAAAAAATTACATTTCCTATCTCATTCAGCCTCTAAGCTATAACGACCACCACAAGTAAACCACCACGCAGCACCTAACGCACCAATCTGGCAAAGGGGAACATACATTAACAAAAACAGTTAATGCGACATCTAAATGACATCTATTGCGATGCCATTCAACGTGTGCTATATGAAGCTACATCAGGCCCTTGAACGGGAAGGCGGAGTATTCATCAGTGTCCATCTCCTCGTGAATCCTTCCGCCGGCAAGGTTCGTGGATGCGCCGGAACTTTTTGTCGAGTTGGCAAATGCAGCACGTAGTCCATAGAACACCTTGCGGAATTTCTCCGGATACGTATTCCAGGCAATGAAGCTGGCGAATATAAGCACAGTGACAGCAACGATCATTGAACCGATGCAGTAAAATACGTGTGCCCCGCATAGTCCACCGCAGTCGTTGCAGCGGGCGATGCATTTGCCGTTTTCGAACTCTTTGGCGAAGAAGCAATTATATTGTATTTCTTCCCCGTGCGTTGGACATGCACCTTCTTCGCACGGTTTATCTTTCCTAACGCCATGTCCTTTGCATTTCCCTGATTCGCATGGCACCTTTACAGTCTGTTTCAGCACGAAGCCGTCGCATGTGCCTCTACCGTCACATTTGCTATCGGGGCACCAAATGCAGCAATTACAAAGTCCGTAACTACATCCGCAGTTACAGAGCACACATATACATCTTTTACCTAGGTTGTTTTCTGTGCATCTCTTTTTGCAGCGATCACAATTGTTATTCCCACCCTTACATGGGTTATCGTCGCCATCTTCGCCATAACAACTCTCCGGACAAGCACAGCGATAAAGACGACATTTGCATTTCTTGCCATCAGTTCCAGCTTTGCACTCCTTCTTGCAGTATCCACAGTACTCATCACAGCAGACCTTGCACTCCTTACAACTGGGCTCAACACAATCCGGGTTGTGGCTTTTCGCATATGTTTCTTTAGCACATCCACAAGGATTATTGGATGCGGCATTTGCCCCCGCCATCTTCCCTCCTTACTCCATTCACACGGCCATGAACTTCATTTAAAATCATAGCGCAACCGGCAGAACGCAGCCTCCAGCGTCCCGGTGATATGGCGATGCGGCACTTTGGCCGATGCCCCTAACATGTCGCCTACCGGCTGAGCATGTGAGCACTAATGACAATATCGTTAAGTGTATATAGCAAGTAGTTCAGCGTACCGCTTTCGCGGCCGCAATCGGAGACCCGGAATCGTAGCACCGGCTGGGCGCTCGATCCACTGCGTCATCGGGTATTACACAAAAGCATGCGCATGTAGGTGTTCTAGCTGGTGTTGGCCTTGTTCGTTGCTAATGCTTCCAAGTCTACAATTATGTAAACATCATTGCTCGCAGTTTAGTTGAAGTATTACTCTAACGTGAGTGCTGTGTCCGTGATTGTCGCGCATTGTACTAAATTCGCTGACATTTCCAATTACAGCTTCATAACAGCCGTTCACTTGGCCTTGCAGCTCGCTTACTGCTCTAACGGTTCCACGTGTCCTGCCTCCATACGTATCACGGAGGCTTCAGCCTTGACGCCTCCCTGAGATGAACATGTTGCTCACTCAAAGTGGCGAGCATGCTTCCGGTGCCGTACTGCCGACGTGTATCTAGTATACATAGCATTTTATAGTTGCGACATAGCCATCACCATAAAACCTGTGCACTCCTCAGATCATTGTACGGCGCCGGCGTCCTTACCTACGTCTCATCCAACCTCTCCGCCGCTTGCACCGTCCTTGTGACTGACTCGATTTCTCCCTCTTCGGTGTTCTCAGGGCTTTTAATATTCCGCCTAATATTATCAATATGATCATTCAACGTTTCCTGCATTCCCTGTTTTTTCCTCCTCGATACGCCTCGTCACCTCAATGCGCTGCCTAGTGAACAGGTCACCAGCTGCCTTACTGAATTTTTTTCACCGTGGGATCATTAATGGCGGCGCCAATATTTGTCGACATATTCTTTGAATGCCATGTTTTACACGATATCATTTCTCCAACATTTTTATCAATTTCACCCAAAGCTCTTCCTGCTTCCTCGGCCTCTTCAAGGCACTGCCTGCCACTCCCATTTCCCCACCTCATCTGTAATAGGGTTACATAACGTACTAACAGACATGTTACCATACCTCACGCTTGCAGCATCATTCAAGGGCGTTGTAGCATCTCCATCTTTCCATTCCACACCCTGCAGCCAAGCTGACACCCTCACTGACATGGACAATCGGTCTTAATCCAGCCTTCAAAGGAGGCTCTGACAAAACCGATCATGATGCAATCTAGTCGTCATCTCATCTAACGTTGCTAACACTACGTCCTTTTCATGAACCCCCACTTCGCCTACAACTCAATTATGTTGTCTTTTCCATCACCCCTTTCATTCGAGTTTCCATCTGTATGCCAATAACGCCGTATATGCTACAAACATTATCTCCATAGTTCTTTAACAAAATTTGTATTGCCTATTTGACACATTCACCTCGGCCCCATCCAGTTCATCGGTTGCATGTGTCGCCCCTTGCTGCAATAGCCTCTGTGGAAATGGCATAGCAATCTTTGTAAAAATTTTGCGCCTCTATTAAACCTCATTTTACAGTCTTGATTGAGTATGACGTGCCACGTGAGTGGCATTGTCAGCCCCGTTTGTGTCATCTGAATATGCAGCCGTAGGTTCGATATGGCCATGGACAAAGGGAGTGAGCAGTGTGCCTTAACATGTGACCACGACGGCGCGACTCCATGTGAACTACGCCATTAATACGTTAGATAAGGATTGTATTAGTGGCTATTAGCGAGTTATTTGTGCAATTATTTTGAGACGCTAGCGGCACTCCACCGTGGCGGTCACGCATGGCTGACATACATCACCACATGTATATGTACGTTCTATAATTATTATCTGACGTACAGTACTTCTAAGGGGTCGTCGTCGAAGTAATCGACGTCCTTGTACAGTGACAGCATCTTCCGCCTGGGAGTGAGTAGCGCCTTGACGTCGATGATATGGGAGGCCCTGGTGGTGAGAAGGTGCGAGCGAATGCGGAGCACGTCCATGCGGTAGAGGAGTACGATGAGGATGTAGAGCGCGGCGGTGAGCCAGAGTGTGAACACAGTGTAGATGAAGGGCTCCCGGACTCTGTAAAGGAAATTGTCCATACAGGTCATGAGGCTTGCGATAGGCTTACCGGCGACCACATCCCCCAGCTTGGCTATGAACTTCGAACACGTGAGTGACGACTGCAGTGTCCCTTCCGGCGGCGTGAACCCGTGAGTGTAGAGGAGGGGCAGGGCATTGTCACATGGATGGAGAGCCTTGGGCTTGGAGTCGTGACATTGAAGGTTCTCGAGATCACAGTGCAGCTTAAGCAGTGACTCCCACAGTCTGTCGGCCAGGTAGACCGCCCAGCTGAGGTAGGTGTGGACGAAGCCTGGGGAGTACAGGGCGTAGGCCCGGTAGGTGATGGGCGAAATATGCTGTGGGCATTTGACATTATCGATGCCACAACCAACCAGCGTGGACAGGGTCTTGGGATGATCTTGGTCTTGGTGGTTGGAGTTGAAAGGGGCGGAGCCCCGGATGTCCTCGATGGCTCGGAGGTCTTCGGCCTCAAGACAGTCCCAGTCGGGGCAGTGGTCATGTGGCTTGGAGAGGGCGGAGCCCAGTGGAGACAACTGTGAAGAAGACTTGTGCAGTTCATTCCCGAAATTGTGGAAGAAGGAGACAAGCTCCCCGGTGGTGCGCGGCGTCCGCCTGGTGAGGCAGGTGAGGTAGGAGGACAATGTCAGCAAGGGATCCTCGCCGCCGCAGGTGGGACTGAGGATGGTGGAAATATGCTTGCCTGTTTGCTGAGGTTCAGGCAAATCCTCCTGCTTGAATCCCATGTTGACGTGGCTCTTGAGACAGATGTTGCACGGGTCGAAGGGGTGAGTCTTGAACTTGGAGTCGGGGGCGTCAATCAGGAAGTCCTGGAGGGGGGAGTTGGAGGTTACATCACGGCCATATTGACATTCCTGCCAACCGCCTTCGGATTGCTTACGATAACACTGCGACTTCAGGAACGCCAACTGGTGGCAGCAGGCGTAGACGCAGTCCCGCAGCTGGCAGAGTAGGCGGGCGGGGTCGATGGAGTAACAAAGCTTGGAATATTCTGAGCTGAAATCAGGGACTGAAACAGCCTTCGAATTGTCCTTATGCTTAATCCTGTGGAGAACGCTCGCCGAGTAGAGACATGCCTCTGTCAGAGTATTGGAGACATGGGCAGCGGTCAGGCTGGTGGGATGCCCAGTGACCTCGAGGGTATCATGAGGCTGTGAGGCATCATTGTTATGCTCCCTCAAAAGGCTCCTAACATGCTCCTTAATCGTGCCAATATACCCCGATTCAGTCAGGCCGACCAGCCAGTGGAGCATCTCCCGGATGGTGTCTGGCGGGGGCAGGTGGTCAGAGGCTAGGGGAGGGGAGCGGGGTGGAGTGACGGTAGTGAGTTAGGTGCTAGGTCAGCCATTTGGTTAGGTGTTAGGTTAGAGGTTTGGTCAGGTGCTAGGTAAGCCTTTTGGTTAGTCAGTGAGTTAGGTGCTAGGCAAGGCACGAGGTACAGTCACCATGAGAGACATGACACGGCAACACGGGGAATGTAATGTAAATGTAGCTACGATAATTACTGTCACGAGTGAAAGTCCTCGTCGAAGTAGTCGACTTCCTTGTAGAGTGAGAGCATCCTGCGGCTGCCGGCGAGTAAAGCCTTGACGTCGATGAGGTGTGAAGCCCTGGTGGTGAGGAGATGCGAGCGGATGTGCATAACGTCCATGCGGTAGAGTAGTGAGTGGGCGATGTAGAGCGTGGCGGTGAGCCAGAGTGCTGTGATGGTGAAGAGGAAGGGGGCACGGATGTGGTAGAGGAAAAGGTCCATGGCGGTCATGAGGCTTGCGATAGGCTGTCCGTTGACCACTGCCTCCAGCTTGGCGATGACCTCGGAACACGTGAGTGATGGCTGCAGTGCCCCATCCGGAGGGGTGATGCCGTGAGAGTAGAGGAGGGGCAGTGCCTTGGGACACTGGTAGAGGGATTTGGAGTTAGAGTCGTGGCACTGAAGGTCCTTGAGATCACAGTGCATCTTGAGCAGGGACTCCCACAGTCTGTCTGCCAGGTACACCGCCCAGCTGAGGTAGTGGTGGACGAAGCTGGAAGAGTACAGGGCGTAGGCCCGGTAGGTGATGGGTGAAAGAAGTTGTGGGCACTGCGCATTGGTGATGTCGCAGCCAACCAGTGCGGACAAGGTATCGGCATGGTCCTTGTCGTGGTAGTGGTTGGAGCTTGGAGGGGCGGGGCCCCGCGCGTCCTCTATGGCTCGGAGGTCTTCGGCCTCAAGACAGTCCCAGTCGGGGCAGTGGTCATGTGGCTTGGAGAGGGCGGAGCCCAGTGGAGACAACTGTGAAGAAGACTTGTGCAGTTCATTCCCGAAATTGTGGAAGAAGGAGACAAGCTCCCCGGTGGTGCGCGGCGTCCGCCTGGTGAGGCAGGTGAGGTAGGAGGACAATGTCAGCAAGGGATCCTCGCCGCCGCAGGTGGGACTGAGGATGGTGGAAATATGCTTGCCTGTTTGCTGAGGTTCAGGCAAATCCTCCTGCTTGAATCCCATGTTGACGTGGCTCTTGAGACAGATGTTGCACGGGTCGAAGGGGTGAGTCTTGAACTTGGAGTCGGGGGCGTCAATCAGGAAGTCCTGGAGGGGGGAGTTGGAGGTTACATCACGGCCATATTGACATTCCTGCCAACCGCCTTCGGATTGCTTACGATAACACTGCGACTTCAGGAACGCCAACTGGTGGCAGCAGGCGTAGACGCAGTCCCGCAGCTGGCAGAGTAGGCGGGCGGGGTCGATGGAGTAACAAAGCTTGGAATATTCTGAGCTGAAATCAGGGACTGAAACAGCCTTCGAATTGTCCTTATGCTTAATCCTGTGGAGAACGCTCGCCGAGTAGAGACATGCCTCTGTCAGAGTATTGGAGACATGGGCAGCGGTCAGGCTGGTGGGATGCCCAGTGACCTCGAGGGTATCATGAGGCTGTGAGGCATCATTGTTATGCTCCCTCAAAAGGCTCCTAACATGCTCCTTAATCGTGCCAATATACCCCGATTCAGTCAGGCCGACCAGCCAGTGGAGCATCTCCCGGATGGTGTCTGGCGGGGGCAGCTGGTCCGAGGCTGGGGGAGGGGAGGGGGTTGGAGGGGTGGTAGCGGAGGAGGCAGGAACGTACCACGGGTTTTGGCAGACGCCGGCGTCAGGAAACACTGGAATGCTCCGGGCGGACACCACCCTGTCAGGCTCACGCGGCATCCCAGGATCACGCCCGGAGGATTCAAACAACGCCGGAGAAAACTCAAGATCGAAATTGGTATTAGGCATGCCTGAAAAGCCTTTATAGACGTCATGCTGCTGTGCCGCATATTCTAATTCGTCCCGCAGGATATCGTCGTCATTGGCATAAGGGTCATCATACGGGTTGCCGACAGGGTCTTGAACAATAGGCTTGGAGACTTGGATATCGAAATCCGGCAACTCGTATAACTCAGGAGGCGGGCGTCTCGGCGCACGCTCTGTAAAAACTTGTGGTATGCCCTTGCTTTTTTCTGCCTCTATGGCATCCTTATTTTTCTTAGTGACTTCATCTTGAAACTGTTGAATTTCATTTGCTAAGTTTTTTCTTCGGTGTTCATAATAATTTTTAAAGTCATCGTTAGCATTTTGAAGCTGCAGCTTACGAATCTCATCATCCTTTATGTGGCGTGGATCCACAATATTGGTGCCTTCGACGAGAGTTAATGCTTGGTGTTTTAGTGGAGCGGATTTCGACGGCTGAACTGTGTTACCCCAGACATGCCCTGTTTGGTTAGCTATATTCGTGTCGTTAATGTGATCCAGGAATTTTTGTAATTCCATGGCATTTGCCTCCTTAATGTTTTGAATTGTCTCCAAGTTACCTGCAAGTTGCATCTGCTTTCTTTCGTGGATTTCATAAAATGCGTCATCACTTCTACGCTTCCGTTCATTTTCCATCCACTCCTTGTGCGGATGGGGAATGACGCCACCATCGACGGAACACATCGATGACACGTAGTCTGGAAGATTGCTAACGAGATGTGGATATTGATATGCAGGTTGAAATCCATCCAGAGTTGTGGATGGAGCGTCCTGTAGTTTCTTGAGTTCCTCCTCTTGGACCCTTCTAGCGTCGTCCAGTTTCTTCTGCAACGACTCTGCGGCTTTCTTTCTCCTCTCATTCTGACTTCCTAGGGTTTTACTAAATTGATCATATCGCTGTTGGCGCTTACCCTCGTCCACTTGTGTTTTCCACTTTTCGTCTGCTTCTTTTTTTTGTTCCGCGTTGGACTTGTCTTCATTTTGTTTAAGCTGATCCACTTCCTCTTGCTGAGCTTGCCGTTCTAACAGTTTCAGATGTTTTATGGCTTCGACCTTTTTTCTTTATTTTCTCTTGTAGGTGTTTAGAAGACGTATCCGGGATTACTTCACCACTGACCTCCAGAGACGGAACATCCTGCATAGCCGTAACATTCGCATCCCCCTGTCGTGTATTTCTATCCTGTGGATTGTAGTAGGGACGCTGTTTAAAACGTCGGGCATCAGTAGGATGATGGGAAGGTCCGGGAGCAGGGTGGCTGGGCTGCCTAAGACGGCTAGGCGGTATTTGGGATTGAGGTGGGGGAATATGATTTAGGATAATTTGACGATTTGGATGTTTCTTATTATGTTCATCTTGTATGCTTTGGACAATCTGTATTTTTTGGAGATCCCAGAGCTTCTTATCTTTTTCATCAAAGGAATTTAATTCAGTTGTCTGAGGCGTTGAAGGGCACAACGGTACGCCGCCAATAAACAGTGGTTTACCATTTGAACAAGCACTACTGGGCCCCTTACCTGCCGCCCCTCTACTCCCACCAGCCGACGGAGTAGTACCGCTGCTTGGAGTTTGATTGGAGACTTGATTTGTTGGTTGAGGAACATGTTGACTACCTTGTGTACCAGCCCCCTTACCACCAGCTGACCCAGTGCCTGGACTTGAAGCACTTGGAGACTGAGTATGCGTAGGGGCTGGAGGAGGAACAGGCTGTTGACCTGGAGGAACACCGGACGTTGAACCCTGACCCGGGGGACCCACCTTACCAGCGGGGCCAGGGTCTGCAGAAGCACTGGGGGGAGTTGATAGAGGAGGAACTGGTGGGGGTTGAGGTGGTTGTTGAACATGTACAACTTGCGACTTAGGAGATCCTTGAGCTGTGGTCCCTTTAGGCCCTTGCGGGCCTTGACCATTAGGTCCTTGCTGCCCTCTATCACCTTTAGGCCCTGGCGAACCTGGAGCACCAGTAGACCCTGGCGGGCCTGCATCACCCTTATTACCTTTAGGCCCTTGCAGGCCTGACCCTCCATCCTTACCGGTAGGCGGAGCTGCAACAGAAGGCTGTCCAACTGATGTACCTGAAGACGTATCTGCACTTTGACTGGTATTCTGACTTGGGGTATCCGCAGCTTTCTTGCCTTGGTTCTGTGCTCCCTCACTTTTCTTGCCTTGGTTCTGTGCTCCCTCACTTTTCTTGCCTTGGTTGGGAGTTCCGTCGGCTTTGGGATTTGCGGGAGGTATTGCAGGCGGCACCTCAGGTATTTTAGGTGGAGTAACATTGGGACACGAATCTCTAAACCTTCCATCCAAAATTCTTACCAGCATATCCAAATCGCCGTCACTTCTCTTAAACTTGTTGATCACCTCACGCCAATCTGTTCTTAATTTCTGCACATCTTTTTTCGTCATTTGGAAGCGAGTATTATTAAAAATCGTAAATCCGTACGGGAAAAGGTTTTTCGTGAAGTACACTCCAAGATGGCCTTGAATGCTGCTATCTTTTGTATCAATATCATTCAAATGTCCTTGCACTCTGGTTATATTCGTTCTCAACCAATTCGCCGTTTCCTTCGCAAGCTCCATCTTAAGGTCGCCGACTCCCGTCGACTGTCCGGTGAAGTCAAAGTGCTTTGAGGCAAAGATTTTCTTGAATTGTTCTTTAAGCTTAGCGCAATGTTGTCTTAAGTCTTGCCAGCATATGAAGTTATTGTTTGATCTCACTTGTTGGCGTAAGCCTTCATTCAATTCATGTATTAATGTGCCGCCGTTATTACTTTTCTTTGCCTCCTCTAAGACAATATCGCAGAACGTTCTCATCAATACGATAGCGTTCGCGGCGTTCTCTCTACGTTTCGCTGAATCTGCGATAACGGACGTGACAAATACGCTGCGGAAAAAATTGTAGAACTCTTTGCTCACAATCTTATCAAGGTCCCTAGCCATGCTATAACCTTGGGGATAGCCACGGTCCCACACATTTGCGTTATATATCACCTCATCGTCAGACGTGAACCCACCTGGGATGACGCCGTGCTTTGAGTCGCCGGATTTCGCGAAGAGATATTGGTCGAGATCACCGCCGCTATTTTTGTGCCAGTAACTCCCCGTTAATGCCCCAGTCCAGTTCTGTTTCCAACCACCGCCATGAAGTTGTGAGAAACTCGGATCCACATTGTACCACAAAAAGTACATAACGGTGAGGAACTTGGGCGTACACTCTAGGAGAGCGTTGCATATTTGGTCCGGCCTTTCCCCTCTATGTGACCAAGGCTGCGCATTGTAGCATAGCCTCGTATAAAACCCAGACGCGTTCTCAAGGAATTTGGACAGTGCGGATTTAACGTTATTTAATGTGAATTTGGGCGGTTTAAAATACTTATCAATACGTTTTTCCAGATTTTGGGCCACCTTATCCTGCATACCACTATCACTATTTAACCACATCAAGAACTGCAGACACTCCTTAAGAGTGCCAAGCGGAATACCGTGCCCCTCCATCTTGCTTACGAAGGCACTAAGCACAATGACACTAACAAATGGGCACTAGGCTGGTGGTACAAAAGTACAAGTGAAAGCGTTTTAATGGTTAACCAGGAGACACTGAAGTGATAACACGTCTAAGGTGAAGTCACTGCTTCCAGACAACCAAGACACTCCCAAGCTGCTGGCAACGCTTTTAATTGAGATGTCTAGATTATGCTAACGCTTCGTGTTTTATGAGGTTGTGCGTAGTTTTCCTGTTTCATAAAGTTGTGCGTAGTTTTCCTTAGCCAATATAATCGGTATTGCAATATTGTCATCATCCTCACTGATCCACTTTTTCAACTCCACAACATGGCTGTCCAGCGTCTTACTAACTTGCTCAAGCTGAGGTAAGAGGTTACCAACCAAGGCTTCAATGTGCCGAGGAACAAAGTAACATCGTTGCGAATTAGTGAGTTGATGTTGTGTATAAGGTTGTTGAGAGCTTGCTTGATAAAGGCGTCAAACCTGGAGGCTGGCTGGCGACGGCAGGAGTGAGGGGAGCGGCGTAACATGTGGTCAAAAAGCTGAGAGGGGAAGTTAGCTGCGCTACGAATTGATGAGCTAGGAGATTGACTGACGATTGGTTTATAGGCGTTTTGCTTTTAATGTTTACAGGAGCCAGATGATGTGGGTTGTGGATGGACGAGGTGAGGATGGTGAAGATAGTAGTAGCAAAATTGGAAAATGTTTCTGAGTCAACTCCCCAAGGTGTACGTCAAAATATGAGAGCCAAGGGACTCTAGTAGGATAGCTTTCGATGTCACGCGGCAAAAGGAGGCCATGTCGGTTCGTGGTAGGTGAGAGGATATGTAAAATAAAACAGCACTGACATACCATTACGTATGCGCCAATATAGCACGCCACCTACACTGATACATGGCTGTCAACTGCTAAAACGTGTGGAACATTGCCAGCTCCACCCAGCCACTACACGACAGTGACCATCAGATGTCAAAACCCAGCTTGCAACGAGATCATTAAACAGGCAAAACCCCAAGTGCACTAAAACCAGACGGTTGTTGTGACACTTAAAATGGCAGTTTTCGCGATATAAGAAATATGCGTCCACCACGTGAAGCTACATTATGTCCTTTGGCGGGGGGCCGTAGCAACTGTCACATTTTCAAACACACCAGCTACAGCAGCCACGAACTGCACAACTAGATTTACAGCTACATTGAAGCATACGTCCTGCATTTAATGGCAATGAAGACAAGCGGCATAACAGCACGTGCTGCCCAGCATACAAGATGCGTTAGCTGCACGTCGGCTAAGGCACGCTCGCACAGCAGCGTCGCACAGGACCTTCGTGTTGGTGCAACAGCTAGCGTTGCCGTGAAGGATGCATGCTCCCTAATTCTACTGGTACGCAGCAAATGTGTCCGATGTTCTCATGCGATCAAGTCGCGGGGAACATCAAACATCCAAGCGCTTATTCCGCCGATATGATGTATTATTGTAGTGGTTCTGCTTCTTCTACGGCCTGTTCCTTCGATTCTTCATCGTCTGGCAGTTTTGTGATCGCCCTTTCCTCTAAAGTGCTCTTCTTATACTGCCTTGCTGCCCTTTCTTGTTGCCATACTACATTTTTCTTTTCAACATCCTTCTTGTCCTCTTTGTATCTGCCAAATAACGCGCCATAGCAAGCGATGTTGAGCAGTGAGCCTATTACGATGATGTACATGGTCGACTTCCGGAGGGCCTCTGTATTTCTATCTTTCATACCATCATCCATGGCTTCGAGTGGCTTGTTAGAGGGGACGTAGCCGTGCAGCTTCTCGGACACCCATGCAAAGATCTCGACGAAGCTGACGCTAATCGAGATGCCGGATATGCACTGGATTATGGCGGAGGCCGTAGCCTGGTACTTGTCCTCGATCGCTTTCTTCATAATGGGCCTGTCTACGCCACCAACCGTGACCAACGTCGCCCCAAGAATCGCAAACTCTATGTAGTGATACCACAGCAAACGTCCGTCCGGCGCCGGGGACATGAAGAACAAGAGGCACACGATCAATCGGACGCCCATCACGACGATGCCGGCAATCAACTCTCCATAATCCGGATGCAATTTTGTAATCTTGTCAATAACAATCCCTCCAGCCGCAGTTCCCGCCGCACCGCCGATAGTTGTGACCACGATCGCAATACCCACCTTCAGGTCAGACACACCCAAGTACTCCAGGTACGTGATCATGTACGGCAGGGTGCACATCGGAGCTTCTGCGATCAGCATAGTAAAGATGGACAGAAATGCTGACCAAGACATAAAAACCGCTTGAAAGGCCCCTGATATTTGGCTGATGAAAATTTCTATGGATTCATAGGGCGACGTGAGATCCTCATCACTTTTCATTCCAAATATAATTGCAATACCAATTGAGATCCACACGTATCCCAACACGATGTACGAGACACGCCAGCCAATATATCCGAGCAAGATGTTTTGAGCGGCCTCCGTGGTTAAGACGGCGCAAAGCATACGGCCGATGGTATTCAGAGCGTGAAGGCGGGTGAACGTGCTGCTGCTGTTTTGATCATCATCGGATTCAGCAACAATCTTCTGCTGAACTGGGTACACGCAACCGAATGCGGCGCCGTGCAAGAAGCGCAGGAAGAGGATCTGCGGGGGAATCAGCAATGCAGCACTTCAAACCTACCGCGGAGTAGTGTGACGCGGAGCTCAGAAAGATTGACGCGATGCCCATGAACAACAACCCAGCAGCCAACACGAGGTTAGTCTCAAACGCGTCCGCCAGCAGTCCCCAAACTAATGAGCAACACATGCGTGACATGATAGACACCGTCACCAACATCGTCAGCTGCCGCTTGGAGAACTTCAAAGTCGACTTGAAGGTCCTAACACACATGTACAACACCTGCTGCTCGTACCCTTCCGTGAAAGACACCAGGTGGTACAAGACCTGACCAAAGACGCCATAGTCTGCGTTCACTTTCTTTGTTGCTGTGGATTCTGCAGAACCCGAGGGTCCCGCAGATGTTTGAGATGGTGGCGCAGACATTGTTAGAGACAAATGTTGACCAAGCACCCTTCGGACTTTTTAAGAAATTGTGCAGCGCGTAACTTGTGGATCAAAACTTGAACAGCTACATTAGACATGTACCGTATCATCTTGCGGAGCTTTCACTGCGCTACGAATGCCCTGAACGAAATTGAGAACGTATCACATGACACATAATGCAACTGTTACAAACGACATCGTTATCTGCACATTGCCTTACACCCCAAAACAACGCATGGATATCTACCTGAAACTGAGGGCTCTACAGCAGTGACTCTTCATCGTGTGTGAGTAGAATGTGTACATGTGGATTCGTGCAACCTATGCCCATCCAAGTCTACGAACCGCTCCAATTTACGCCACAATACTTCCGTCGCCGCCACTGCCAAAGCGTGTGATGTGAGTTCAGTGACAGCCGACGAATCTCTGTGGCCATTAGACGACGGTGTCTGGCAAACACATCGGCGCGGATGGAAGCCCTGCTTCAGCGCCTCGATGGTTGCTGCGATAGGTGGGCGACGCAGGAGTGGGGACAGTGAACGCGACGCACTCGTGATTAGTCAGCGCCGCGCTCACCATGTGCGACGTCACGCACTTGCTATAAACGTCAATTACTGTGTTAGGCGCCGCTTTTCCTTCGCGTCCTGCGACCCTCTGCCGGGAAAACTTGTGAGAGAGGCGCATGTGTATGGTATCTGCGCCGTTACATGCAGATCAAGTGGTGTCACAGTTGCACAGTCAACTACACCTGGCACGGACCGTGCCACCTCACCACTGCCGCTACGTGCCACTGTTTTGGTGCGCTACTGAGTCTCTAACTGAGCTACAGTGCGTGTTGAGTATGTAAGTCATAGTTATATTGTTGTCTGTGTATGCCACTTAACTACGCGGTACACCGGCCATCACGTCGGAAAGTCTCGGTGACATTCATTGCCTAGCAACGCACGTGATATTATATATGCGAATCACTTACTTAGCAGATGGTATAGTCCTTCACCTATAATGGCGGTCGTTAGTTGTTGGGGTTCACCGTCCGCCTAGTTACGCGTCGCCCTATTTAAATCCCTTGCTATCCGTGTACGCGTGCAGCCCAAGCATTGCCGTAGGTTGTAATATTTAATCAGCGTGCGTTCCCAACATATTTTAATGGGTGACATCTATACCGCTAGTAAGGTTAAGTACAGTTTAAGCGTGGACAGAGGGCTGTGGACTGCCCCATACCATTGTGTCAAATGTAGAATGAATCATCATTACACTCCACATCATTCACAGTTTAAATACTCCGCTAAGTATCTTCATGTGTTTGCCGTCTTTAATAAACTCACCTAACTGTTTCGTAGCATTTTGGTTGGGCAAATGGAGAGCACCCAGCCAGTTACCAATCCCAGTGTTGATATATGTAATTACCATCGTGAACTGTCCTCGAACATTCATTCTAAGTCACCTAATCATAGCGTAAGGTGTTTTAGATAACTTGGTACCTTGTTGAATCTGCGCCACCTTACTCATCCACGCATTCGGCGTCATGCATACAATCGCAATTGAGCTGTATGCAACCAGCCTCGTCGAGCACTTCGTTTTGCAGCTAGAGTGGCTTTAAGAAGACACATTATGCGTTCAAACAGCCCAGACCGCTATGAGTGACATGCAGTGGGACACGACTCACATGAACACGCCGAGGTGACTGCTGGAGGATGGACGCGCTGGCAGCGTTAGTGCAAATTAGAAATACAATGCAAAACAACAAAGCACATATAATCCTGCTTTATAAGTCATGCATAAGACCTAAAACTGTTCGTGTAATTTTAACACGGTCAAAATGCTATGGTGCCACCTGTTGCAATGGTACCCGATCACAGTCCCAGCAGCGCCGGTGACGACTAACTAAATGTTATACCACGTGATACTGCACAGGTATTATGATGGAGCCTATTCTACGGCCCTCGACTCGCTTTTTTAGCCTTATCCACTAACCCCTCATTGATCGCTTCGTAACACCATGACTTACTTTTCATCTTCTCTTACCTAAACCAGTAGGTGGCATCTGCTGATCACCGTCGCTGTCTTGACTCACCTTTAATAACCAGCAACATGCCGCACCGGCGTGAGGCGCTAGCCTGGAAAATGCAAGAAATGGCCCAAGCCACACGTAGCCACATAGCAGATTAGCTACTAGATGCGCAGACGACCGCATACAGCAGACGGTAACTCGCCTCAACAGACGCGACCCACAGGATGGTTGTTTGAATACAACAAGCAAAACATAGACCTCATATTTAAGACGTGTTGCTACGGGTGATGCATTTTCTCGACAGTGCGACGTGTGAGACCAACGACATACGCCCGTGTGAACCACATAGCACCTCAAATTTGTCATTAGGAGTCTGGCGTGCTGACTAGGGAATATCCGCCGGCAACCCTTCGCAGCCATGGCAGATGTTGCGTTTGGTGTTTGTCTGTTAAAAATAAGTGATTCACCCTAGTTTGATTGTGTTTTCGTCAATGAATTTATAGGGTGGTACTTCCAGGTTTGCTGGGGCGGGCCCTTGTCTGATTCGGCCTGCCGGATTATATTCGAGTGTACATGTGAAACTCACCCGAGGCATCGTAGTGCGATCCGTGGCATGGGCAGAAGTAACCGCCATAGTTGCCTCCCTTGGTAGGAACACAGCCCAGATGGGTACATATACCGATGTTGACCAGCCACTCTGGGTTCACGTTCCTTTCCGAGTCCAGTTCCGGGTCCCTCATGGAGTCGACGATTTCGTCGTCCTTCCTGCACAGCGTTATGCGGCATCTACAGCTTTCGCGTACCTTGAGCGCTCAATTTCTTCGCGCGTGCGCCTTTTGATAAAGACGGGCTTCGCCCTCCACTTGACGGTGATTTGATCCCCGGGTATCATCTGGGAGACGTTAACCTCTATGGAGCCGCTAGCAGCGACGTCCTGCGCACATTATGAAGCAATATGCGCCACCTTACCCTCGCCACCCAGAAGAAGTGTATGACTTTGCACACGATGGACCTGCCCAACGCGAGGAAGAAGAACATGGCCGTCGCTGACATGAGGTATATGGCCGCTCTTCTGTCAGTTCCCTTGGGCAGCCTGTACTCGCTGAAGTCCGGGAATGCGTCTGGTGTAATTGAGTCGGGCACAACAGCGTTCTCGGCGTAACCGATAGCCCTTTGGTTGTCTGGTGCCAACTTTCCAACCGAGACAATCGCGGGTTCTCCTGGTAGATGCCATCCGCTAGTACGCGTGAAATTGGCTCCGGATATGAGCTCTCCCTTTTGCACATCAGGCGTTCGAGGAAATACGGGCTCCCAGACGTTTACGTAGTGCGCGTATTTGGTGATCCCTGAGTTCGTAAACTTGTGTCCATGGGCGTGCGGCGTGATGAGATCGGCAAGCGTTTCCGCCGGTTTGGTTCGGTCGAACTTGGTCTTGTCCAACGCCCACAGTGAGGCATGCTCCGCTCTGTCGAACGCGTTCCTGTAGAGCGGGCGTTCACTGGCCGCCGGCATATGCGCCGATTTCTTCATTTCGTGATGGAGAATCGACGCAAAGTTGCGGCGCGCCGTCATTATATAATATGTACACGCCATTTTGCATATTATTATTCGCCACGACGTCTGAGATATTGCTTTCGGTTCGCGTGGCCTCCTGCTCGCGCCCTCGCCACCGACGCCCCTTCTGCCAGGGCTCGCCTCGAGAGCTTGTGTCGGAATACGCGGCTCGCGCGTTACGATTTACAATTGGTTTTGCAACAGCTCATTTGCGCCCTGCGAAGCGGCGAAATGGTTGTACGTTGCTGGGGCCCGAGGCACTGGTCGGCGAGTTGCTTCACGCGTAAGCTTGCGACGCGCGGTCTTTGTACATTATAATATGTGCGCCAACCCGTATTGTATTACGAGGGTTTGCCGTGTTGATGTCCGCGGTGTGTATCGCATCTTACCGTTCGCTTTGACCTTGGTTGTTAGTGAATCCGTACACATATGTGCCATTGGCTTCCTTTTTAAAAGAGCATAGGCCACCTTTGTTTGGCGACTGTATTATTAGTCGCTATTTTTGTTTTCCGGGTAGACATCGTACCGGTTTGTCTGCTAGAGGCCGCCAGGTCATTATCTTATTATCTGCTTTTTGTATGCTGATATCGACGCTATTTTGAGTTATTTTCCTATACATCGACATTGAAAACGATTTACTATCTCCAGATATTTCATATAAATATGCTTTTGTAGTAGGTACTCCGTAACATGCGGCCGAAACCGCGCTAAGCAATTTGACTCTTGTATCGAGCGCACCCAGTTGTGCAGCCAATGCCAGATGTAGATGTTGGCATCGCCGTTCCTGAGTATCCGCACCGGACACGGATTGACGTCCGTGTGCTACTTTGGTGCGAGGCTGTTAACGAGCAGCAATAATGGCGAGCTGTGCAGCTGGGATTTAGAGTCCGGGAATCTGTTGTCGTCATCGCGTCCCAGACCCGACCTGGTGTCGGTGTTGCCTCTGCTGCCACATGGTAACTTGCTTTTGTCTAGCATGCGATCCCGAATGTGTTGCCTCGTTTAACGTATTTCTAGGTTCCCCGCCCTGCGGCATAGTTGCACTGCAGCACAAGGAGGTCGTTTCACTGTTTGACCTTACGCGTAGCGGTGTAGTTCAGGAGTTCCCGATTGATCACAGCACGTTCGCTCGTGTCCGATGTTGCTATTCCGGCACGCCGTTGCTGCTGTGCCCGTCGGGCTTGAACACGATCGTGTGCCATGACCTTCGTGCCCCGCGTGGGATCAGAGGTTCGTTTGGGTCGCGGCAATACTCTGAAATGCAGGACTAGACAGCAACACCAAGGCCGATCATGGATCACAAGAGTCTAGACCATCGCAACACGTGGTTGAAGTCCGTGCACCAGCCGTTGACGGTGAAGATGTAGGGAGCTTGCAAAATTTCGAGCCACTGACTTCGGTATCCGATCGTTGCGTGGCGGCTACGTATGAGTCCGGCTTAGTAGCGGTGTTTGATCTGAGAAATCCTGCCCTCCCTGTATCTACGCTCAAGCTCAAGGACATCGAAGCACTTCCATCGCTAGCTGCGTGGCGAAGTGTACTGCTTGTCGGGGATACCGGTGGCAACGTTTCGATGCTCAATTTGTCACCATCGGATAGTTTGACCTTGTTACGCCGCCGGAACATCAGCGACGAAGATACGCAGTTACGCGGGGTGGGATGCCTGCGTGTCCGCGCAGATGGCGCCGTCACCGTTGCTTGTTGTTGGGACTACGGAGTTAGCGTTTTGGAAACACGCACTCTGGAAGCGAAGGCGGTGCTGAGTGAACACCACGACACGATAACCGATGCCGCATTCGACCTCGTCACTGGCGACTTCGCCACCTGCGGCATGGACGGCAATGCACACATATGGAAGCTTTTTAGCGACAGTTATGCGGGAGTTCACGCATCTTAGTCTACAGATACGTTGCGATGGTTATTCAGTATACTAGTCTGAATGTGACGTATCTTCCGGCAGTTTCACTGGGTCTAATAATCTTGACAACCTGAGCATCGTTAGCTACATGGTGAGCACTGCTACCTGTCCTTTTGTGAGCCCAAAGTATCTCGCCACCGGGTCGGCGGCTTGTATACGCGGTATTTGACTCTCTTTAACCTACAACAGCACTGATCTCGACATATGTCTCTGCGTACCTTGTATCTTTGCAGCAGCGTTTGCTTTTCATCCATGGTGAGCGGTATGTGCTTCGGCACCAATTCGTGCTTCGTGATGTTAACTAGCAGCTCCGTCTCTAGGAAGTTTTCGATGATATTCCTGGGAGCAGCCTCGAGTATCGCCTGTGCATAGTTGGTTGGTATGGAATGCGCCACTTACATCCTTTGCGAAAGGCGTGAGCACGTTTTGCGTGACCAATATGGCCCTGTGAATATCGTGGTCCTCCATTTTCTCTGTGAGCCTGCCAAAAGGTCACCACTGGCGGATTTAATCACTCACTCTCTTATCGGCTTGACACCGGTCTTCTTGGTTTCGTCGGCGAAGTAGACCAGGAGCTTGGTGTCCTTATCTGTCTTGAGCGAAGCAACCAGCAACATTTTCGATCGCCTGTAGCAAACATAACGTTTCTCCAACCGTTGACCTACACTTTATCGTATAGCTCGTATCTCGCTTTGAACTCCTGGAAGGTTTCCAGTTTTTCCTGGTTCGGAATGAAGTATCCGCGGTCCTCCAGCATTTCACAGCACGTCCTTCTGCAGCGAAACAGTCTTCCCTCCTCGTCATCCATGTTTGCGATATGACAGTGCTCGTTGCGTTATCTTCCGAGGGGAGTGTACAGGCCGGTGCCGCAGTCGGTGGATACGTATAACCTTATCCAGGAGCTACCGATGATTGCAACCAATGACTCGTTTGTTTGCAATTTAAATTACCCACTGCCGCCGAAATCGTCAGCCTGCTCAGGTGCGGCCCTAGTTGTCTACACGTCGGTCGATCCACGCGCGACAAGTACAAGCCGTTGCTCCATATGCACCCATCGAATTATTCCCTGTGTCGGTTGTACGTGCCGATATAAGTCCTTTACTCTGGAAATATTAGCGATGTGCTAAATCGGCCGCTCCATAGCGTTCTTCTGTTGTCGTTAGGATTCCGCCGTGCTACGTCATTTGCGGCATCCGGCAGTCAGAAAGTGCAGGCGGGCACAGCTAGGCGCTAACAACGTACCGAGTTGGGGGTGTGTTCTCGGTAAACTACAATGCGCAGTCCTCCGGAGTAGGAATGGCAATAACCTTCACGTTGTCGAAGAAGGCCACCGGCTCAGGCGGTGAGCCCCAAAAGAATGACAGTGCTCGAGCAGCATCAACAAGCGTGCCTGCCAAGCGCCCGTCCGTTTTCGGCGCCGACAGCGACTCTGACGGCTCTGCGTCAGATTCTCTGGGCTCACATCCGCTGTCTAAGCGCGCCAAAGTATCGCAAAATGCCGTTTCTGGCGCCAAAACCGATTCGCGCACGGCAAACTCGTCCATTGCGTCGGAAAAGAAGCCGGTGAAAGTAACGTATAAGGAGTACGACCTTTCCACGGAGAACCTCGCCCCCGAGCTTTACTTGTATGACGAGTTGGAAGACGAATCCAACAAAGAAGCTCGAGATCGGACTGACCCTTCACGGCTGGTGTATTTGGGATGTGCGCCATCAGAACCTGCTGATAAAGCGGCACCGACGGTGGAAAAGGATTCGCAGTACATGCAGAAACTTCTGCGCACGGCCCGTGATCGTAGGATGGAGCGCGACATCGCCTTCGACAAGCAACAGCTAAAGGCAGATTTGGAGAGCGGAGAGTCAGTGGGCGAGGTGTTCGTGACTGGCGCCTACAAGCGGCAGCTTGAGGAGCGCCGCCGTTTCGAGGAGGAGCAGCGTCTTAAGGACGAGGCCGACCTTAAAGCTAGCGGCAAGAGCGTGGCGAGTTTCCACGCGCATATGCTGAAGTCTGGAATCGCCAGCCGCACCAACCGCAAGACATGAAGGTCGCAAATTTGCCGTACAACAGAATATACCTGTCGCACATACTGTCGCTTCCCCCGTTGTCCACAAACCAAACAGCTCTCTTCTTATACGGTTACCAACATTTACACTAAATTCTGGAAGTCAATTCATTATCGGATCATATATATTGTATTGTTGCTTTGGAATCAGAACGTTTCTGCGAGTCAATTATTGCACTTCAGCGAAATCGACGTGCTCCTCACCTCCGTATCGCTCGTAGCGCAGCATCCTGGACGTTACCATTATATCACCAGTCCAGCTACAATAACAAACGACTTCATTATGAACTGCTTGCATTATTTGTTATTGCGATATTAGTCTATAGTTTCCGTACAGATCGTCCCCGTGGTACGGGGACACCGCACGTTACAGGTGTTACGTGAAGCTGTCCTTATTTTCCTCGTCACGAAGATATGGATCCTGTACGTGTAGAACCCTGGATAACACGTAGGTCTTCCATGGGCCGATGCGGTACCCCAGTGGCTGCACCCTCACGATGTCTCCCAGCTTCGCCTCCTTGTGTTCGTCGTGTGCCCAGACCTTTTTGGTCATGCGGAAAGTCTTCTTGTACCTCACCACGTACATATATCTGCGACTCTGTGAACTTAAACGATGGCTCTTCCTCACCTGTCGCAAGCAACCCTTATGCTTTTAGGGTGTTTGTCGTTGATGACGTATCCTATAAGTTCATTATTTGGGAGTCTGTTTTTCACAACTGAACGCATCATGGTCGGCTTCCTATACAAACTTACATGTCCGGAGGTATCCGGCCGTCAGTCTTTGCCATGTTTTGTAGTGCCAGTGGTACCTGGTCAATGAAGTGAATATCATGGGTGTTTTCCTGTAGGCGGTGTCAAAGTAGTTAAGCCTTCCATGCCATGATCCTGCGCCCCGTTCTCGGCGGACCCAATCCTTCCGTCCCTCCGTTGCCGCTAGTGCCAAGTGTTGTGCGGAATGCGACGACCAGCGCCCGCCGCTGTGATGCGTTGCATCTCTCAGCTGGGGCTGTTCACCAGCATTTAACTTCTTATATCGCCTCGCCTTCCACACGGTATAATTTCTGTCAACCACTACCAAGCTGTTTCCTCCGTTCTTTATCGTAAGTTTGCATCTGTGCTCGCGCCGTGGCAGTGTGTATACCGTTGCGCCTACGGAACCCGTTCCGCTCAGATAACTGTGCCTTTTGACCATAATACTCTCTCATATAGCTCATGAAACTTGTTCTAAGTGGCTGTTTAGTTAAGTCGCTAATGTTGAGATAGGTGACCAGGAACAATGATGTACCCCGGTATGATGGAATCCGCCCCGGAACCCCCGATTTCTCCAATAACGCGTATGTGTATGAGAGTTGTGGGCTTCGTGGCCGTATCATCGGCAATTTACTTCTACGGCGACTGGCTAGACATGCCCGAGGCCATCAACCTAATCTAGGCACCCTACCGACCAAACTCGTCGCTAGGTCGAGCCAACGCACAGTTTTTAACTAATCGCATAATACGCTGAGATAGTTGCTACGTGACCACAGACAATTGTTCGCCGTAGCTTGCCCGTTGCCGCCTGTGCGAGCGCCCGTTGAGCCCCGTGTGTTACGCTACCACAACATATTACAGACAATCACAGTTAGGACACATCTGTACCGCTAGGTACCCGCGGCGGAATACACATCCGCCGAAAAATTCGTACGCTTCCCCATAGATGCTGCGAGCGTTGTCCCCCACCCGATATGAATAGAATCTCGCTGGACTGCCTCACTTTCCGTTTCACACTTCTCATTTTTGCTTCCCGTCATCTGACGAATTTCTGCTCTTCTACTAACAATTCAAGATGTTGTTCGGTACGTCGTAGTTTGCTTTGTTGGCGTAGAACGCGTATCTGTGTGTACTTGTCTGGTTGTGTGTTATTGTGTGCATCTTCTTTTGGCGTAACTCCGGCTGTTTTGCCAGCTTGTCAGCGCGCCAGGCGCTATCTTTTCACCGGTTTCACATTGCTATAGCTACCGTCATCGCCCCCGGCGCCACCGTTACCCCCAAGGACGACTTGGCCAGCATCGTCCACTTGTCCCATGTGTGCTTGAACGAGCCCAAGAACAACGAGAAGACCTACTTGCAGCTGGTAGATGGCAGCAAGACCTTCAACCTCTGCTGCTTGCAGAAGGACGTCCACGAGAGCGTAAGTAGTATACCCTACGGTTTTTGCGGTTTGTGTGCGCCGCCGTGATTTCGACCCATTTACGTGTGCTTTTTTGGCGTGTGTTATTCACCTCGTCACCTCCCCACTAACGGATGTTAAATGTGTTACAGGCCAACCTCGACATTTTCTTCTCCGTTACCGGTAACGTCAAGTTGACCACCAAGGGTGGCAAGAACGAGGTCCACGTCACCGGCTACTTCGAGCCCGAGGAGGAGAGCTACGTGTCTGACAGCGACGACGAGGACATTGACGACGAAGAGGGTGGTGAAGACGAGGAGGAAGGCTCTGAGGATGAGGAACCCGCCGCCAAGAGGAAGAACCCAGGCAAGGGTAGCAAGAAGTAAGGTGTTTGTGTTCGAGATATGAATTTATATCCATCCATTGGAACCCGTTCCGATCATTTGCGTCGTCTTTCTGGGTAACTACGTCACCGATTCTAACTTCTTTGCGACGTATTTCGTGTTTACGAGCTTTTATTATGTGTGGCCTTCCTAGCTGCGATGGTTGGCGTGGCTGTTTCAAGCGCCTGTGGCGTCCGTTGCAGCCTATTGCCGTGAATGTGCGGCGATAGCCTGTACATTTGATAGGCTGTGTAACCTGTTGTGCGCTGCGGCGTTGCTATTGCCGCCCGTGATGTTGCCACCGGCGGTGTCCGATGCGTATGCTGCCAGCGGGACCGTGACGCACACTAACGCCCATAAGATATCTATAGAGCGGTTATAATCTCCCATATGCTTCCAGTGCTTGCCAATTGCGCACTATTTAATCACCTGGTTAACGTTTAAAGCTGACGTCACGCAAGCACGTTGTATCTAAAGGCGGCACACGGCTGTCATAAAACCAAAGCTAGCCGCAGGCGCGTCATGTGCACGGTAGTGATGCGTCAGCGCGGGATTAATCGTGGCGTGTGCCGAATTGTTCGGTGCGGCGCGCGTGATTCTACACTACAATCCGCACTACGCGTCGGCGTGTCTTTGTCCGCGTTGCGGGTATCATTACAAGTGCAGGGTGTTTCCCGCAACGTTTTGAATTGTCCATGTGATTTTTCGCACCCGCTCTGCATTTTCGCGTTGATATCCTGCGCGTGCTGGTCTTAGCTGCGCGCAGGGATCATCAGTTTGGCCGTTGCCTCCGAATTGCCGGTTCCGTTACAATGTTCCGCAAAGAGGAGCGTAAGAAAGAGTACAAGAAGATTTTTGACGATTCGCGGCGGCGTCGTGAGGACCTGCAGGCGCAAATTCGGAAGCAGACACGTGACCGCCAGTTCCAACGCCATCGCGCGTGCGCTGCAGGCGACGATGACGATGCTATGCAGTCCGAGCCCGGCAATGTTGTCATAAACGATCCGATAACGCCGTTCGACGATTCGCAAGATGATGATGATCACAACGACCAATATGGGAACCCTGCGAACTGGACTCCCTCCGCCCTCGCGCCTTACGTGACCGGCATTCGTTCCGACGACTACGAGAGCCAGTTGTCCTGCACGAAGTACTTCCGCAAGCTGCTTTCGATTGAGGTGGATCCTCCTATTGAGCAGGTGGTGAACGCTGGCGTCGTCCCTGTTTTCATTGAGTTTTTGGGCCGTTTTGACGCCCCGGAGCTGCAGTTTGAGGCGGCATGGGCGATCACAAACGTCGCATCCGGCAATCAGCAGCAGACGAAGGTGGCCACTGACAACGGAGCCGTGCCTAAGCTGATTGCGCTGCTGGAGGCTCCGAGGGAGGAGGTGCGCGAGCAAGCGGTTTGGGCGCTGGGGAACATCGCAGGTGATTCACCCGAGTGCCGAGATTTGGTTTTGGGCCTCGGAGCATTGAAGCCGCTGCTGTATTTGCTGTATAACTCTGACAAGGAGAGTGTGGTACGCAACGCCACGTGGACGGTATCTAACCTGTGCCGGGGGAAGCCCAAGCCAGTCTTCCAGGACGTGAAGCAGGCCATCCCGTATCTAGCTAAGCTGCTGGACCATCCCGACCTTGAGGTAGGTTTTAGTGTATTGTGATGTGAGTTTTGTCACAGGTACTTACGGACGCGTGCTGGGCGCTGTCCTACATTTCTGATGGCAACGAGGAGCACATCCAGGCGGTGCTGGACTCCGGCGCGTGCCCGCGTCTGGTGCAGCTGATGGACCACCCGCAGACCGTAATCCAGACCCCGGCGCTCCGCACTGTGGGCAACATTGCGACTGGTAACGACCGTCAGACGCAGATGATCGTGGATTGCGGTTGCATCGCTGCACTGTACAAGATGCTGTTTTCGGACAAGAAGTCCATAAAGAAGGAGGCGTGCTGGACGCTGTCTAACATCGCCGCCGGCACCCGCGACCAGGTGGAGGCGTTTTTGCAATCGGACACTGTGGAGAAGCTACTGGAGTTGATGACATGCAACGACTTCGACGTGCAGCGTGAGGCCAGCTGGGCTATCTGCAACGCTGCTTCTGGTGGCGACTTTAGGCAGGCCGAGAACCTGGCTTCGCGCGGCTGCCTTCGTCACATCTGCTCTATTCTGACCACCACCGACACGAAGCTGATCAGCGTGGCTTTGCGCGCGATGGAGAACATCTTAAACGTGGGTCAGCAGCTGATGGAGCTGAACTCCCTGCCGGCGAACCCGTACGCCGTCGCTATCGAGGAGTTGGAGGGTGTACGTGCACTGGAGGTCTTGCAGGAGAGCAAGGTGAACGCTGTGTACCGCAGGGCGCGGGACATTCTGCAGCAGTACTTCCCCGATGATTACGACCTGGAGCAGGACGTGAGCGAGTCTTCGGTGCTCACCAATTTCAAGGATATCGTGCCTCCTGGCGGTTTCAAATTTTAATAACGTTTTTGGCTCAATGTGTGGCCGCGCTAATAACTATGCGTCATTTTCTGCGTCCTGGCAGGTGTTGCCACGTGTCTTTTCCACTCGTGCGGTCCGCGCCTTGGTGTGTTAGCCCGACCGTATCGCGTCGCCTCGTGCCTTTCCGGGATTTCAGTGTCGGATTCTGAGATGTCCCTTACTGATAGCAACAGTCCTCTAAAGCGCGAGGACGCGGTGAGCCTGGAAGACCTCGATCACCTGTGTTCTCGCGTGCAGAGTGACCCGTGGAACCTGTCTACGTATACCAAAGGCATCTATATTGCGGCTCGCCTGAAGCACGATAAGTATCTGGAGTATTTAAGGACTCAGTGTGTGAAGCACTGTGTGGTTGAGGACCGATTTTGGCTGTCCTGGATCGAGGACAAACGCCGTGACAGCAGCGACGATGAGTTGATATCTATGTACGAATGTGCAGTCGACAATGAGCCGTCTGCTGAGCTGTGGGTCGCGTACGTGCGTTTCGAACGCAAACGTGCTGCTAGCAGTGGCAATTACGCTCGTACACGCACTTTGTTCGAGCGCGGTTTGAAGGCGGTAGGCCTGCACGCATTGGATGGGCCCCTTTTATGGAGCGAATACCGCCAATTCGAGCAGGAACTGCTAGAGAATTGCAACTCTTCCGACTATGGAACCCAGCTGGAGCGTGTGCGTTCGCTTTTCTTCCGCCAGCTGGCACTGCCTCTTGCGGGTCTGGCCGACGTGCTGGACGAGTACCGCGTATGGGAGTCTGAACTCCCCAAAGAACATCGCAAACCTGTAACTGAAGGCGAAGCCATTCACAAGCAGGGCTTCGACGCATGGGAGCGTCGGAAGTTCTTCGAGCTTAAGGTGCAGTCGGAGTTCGACGAGATGCTGAACCCCGGCAACATGAATAGCTTGTGGAACGACTACTTGAATTTCGAGCTGAAATGCGGCGACAACGACCGCATAAGCATAGTGTACCTACGAGCACTGGACGACCTCGGTTATGAGCGTGACGACCTGTGGATGCGTTTTTCGGCGCACGCCCTGGGCCTGAGCGAGAAGTTCGCCCTTTGGGTGTGCCAGCGTTCGTGCCGCCACATGCCGCGTTCGGTTAACATTTGGATAAACTACATGCAAATCGTTTCGAGCATCCCATCTTCAAGTGCTGAGGAGTTAGTTGAGGTGTTCGACACTGCGGTTACTGCAATCACCGACACCAGTGCGCTGATCAGTCTGCACATAACTGCGGCCGACTGCCTTCGTCGCCACTATCCTGAATCCGTCGATGCATTTCGTAGGATCCTTTTGCGCCAGGAAGATTTGCTTTCCAAGATGGGTGACCTGACCTCCGACACCAAGGGCACGTACCGCCTGCTGACATACTGGGGCCGTCAAGAGCTGCGCCTTCTGATGACCCAGAAGGGTTCGCCGGATAACTACCTCGAAGTTATAAAGAAGTTGTTGCAGCGTTTCGTGAATGACGGGCGTTGCTGGCTATTTGTCATAGAGGGCGTTAAGAGCCTGGATGCTTGCGGCAAGTGCGATGCCGACTTCATGTCTTCACTGGTGGCTGCCGTCTGCGGCGTTATCGCGCTTCAAGTGCCTCCCGAGTCGGAGGTTTCAAGCGCTCACGAAGTGATAATGTGGCTGTTCGACACGTCGATTCGGTTCGTGACCGTCAGCGGGATATCGGAGTCGTACATTGATTACGCCCAGACAAGCGGCAACGTGGAGGACATTAAGCGGGCACACATGACCGTTGGTAACCAGGTACACATCGCTGAGACACGTTGTACGGGCACGACTTTGAGCCTGCACAATATCATATTGCGTCGCGACCATCGCCGTCGCCGACAATCGGAGTCCTTTTCGGAAACGTCTTCTGACAGCGGCTGCTGTTCGCACCGCTTCATCAAGAGCAGCTGTCGCGTGCGTCCAGAGGGTCACAGCGGACCCATTCTGTCTCCAAAACTGTCAGTGCGTGAGGTTGAGTTTGCGACCCGCGCCACGTGGGACGGCACCGAGAGTGCCGACCCGTCCATCGCACCTGCGGTACCTCCAAGTATAACGATGCCGCCTCCGCCCCCATCATCATTCATATCGAAGTTTGGCACGCAATTCGCCATGTTGCCCGGCAGCGTGACCCCGCCTGACAGTTCCCCCGACCTTAAGTACGTCTCCCGTTGCGTCAGCTCCACGTCTTCAACGGGAAGCCTATCGATGCTTCCGCAGCCAATGGTTTCGCCATCCAGTGATGGTTACCTGTCCAGCGTAAACAAGCGCCCTGCTGACGAGCTCGACGACATCGGGAGTGTGGATTCCGAGCGCTTCCGCAGGATCCAGCTCCTACTTTCCAATGATAACGAGGCCTTGAAAACTTGGCTATGTGACAGCGGTGAAAATAACACGCTGTGGATTTCCAGGGTGGATGGCGATCTGGACGAATCGTTTATCCGCTCCATCTTTACACCCTCTAGGGGCTTCAAGTCTATTCGTCTGCTTCCTTCCCGCGGTTCATGCTACGTCGAATTCGACAGCTACGAGAACGCTGTACAAGCGAAGGCAATTGCGTCAGCGAGGGGTTTGGATCGAGAGCCGTTCGAGTGCGAGGTGTCGAAGTCCTGCAACACGCTTTACGAGGACAAGGTTTTGTTCGTGAAGCGCATATCAGACATCGTGGCTTTGAACAAGCCGAGGATAACGCGCGTGTTGCGCCAGTTTTTTTGCGAGCTTGGCCACGAACCTGCGAACATCCGATTCCCCTCGATCGGTTTCGACGGTGAGGACAGCCACATGCGTGTGCCGAACTACTGCTACGTGGACTTCAAGGAAGAGGACAGTGCCCGCAGCATCATAAATCGGATACTGTCGCGCACGGGGACTTTGTCCTGTTCTTTGGGCGACGTAGCGTTCTACGTCTCGCCATCTACCGCGATGTTCCGGAAGCGGCACCGCGTGCGCGACTCGGGAAAGGAGAGCGACAGCGATTGCATGTGCAGCAGCGAGTGACTCGCTCATGAGTCATGTGGCTCCACTGCCGATCACGCGTCAATGTACTGTTCGTAAATGTGTCATATTTACTGTTATCGCTATATGTCTGGTGTTTTGTTTCGCGACGTAGCGTCAAGGTCACGTGACAGTGTTCCTTGCATATGTCTGTACACGTTTCTTGTACCCCTGTGGGTCATTTTTGAACTCCACAGCGGCGTCAACGTTCGCCGGCGACTCTGGGTTCGGCTCCGATAGCATGGATATCACGCTGAGTATGATGCTCTCGACGCTGAGAACCGGTCTCCAGCGCTCCTCCGGTGTCTCCTGGTCGTTGAACATGTCCGTTCCCGGCGGGTGCAGTATGGATATGCACACTCTCCCGTCCGGGTATATGTTTGGGTGCCACATCTTCTGTTCAAACTTCATTTGCGGCGGCTGGTTGGGGAATGTGTCTGGGAACGTGATTACGACGGAGAAGATGCCTCCCTCGAAGGGCGTGCCATAAGGTCCCTCGAAACAGACTCTCCAGTGAAACAGATCATCGTCCTCGAGCCCTACTGAGAATGTGCAGTTCTCGTCCCTCGTTAGCTCTGCGCGTTGTGTTGACGTCTGCGTGCAACGTACCTATATACTGCCGTCTCAGAAGTTCCCTTGCGATATTCACCATGGGCGCGTTGATGTTTTAGGGCGGCTCTTCCACGTTTAAACTACGTTTGATCCGTGTCTACTGGCGTCGCCTGTGGAAGTGCTGACTGTCGCCTTCGGATGTGTCGGTATAGGGTGCCGGCTTTTCCGCCGTTTATCGGCCATCAAAAGCGGTTTGACTATATTTATTAATGATTCCGGTGTCTAGGGTTACGATGTGCCCAGTGTCTAATAGTTTATTAGCGCTGTGTGTCTATGTTACTCGCTAAGTGTGTAGTACCTATATGGCCGTTTGGTCCGGTTTTTTCTCCCGTCAAACCCTTCACAGCCGCATTTTCAGCCGAGCTGTTTCCATAGAACGTTTAGGGATATGAGGGAGTAGAGGATGCTCCCGCTGTTTTCGGGCGCTGCGAGCAGTATGTGCTCCTGCGTGTCTAGATCTCCGACATCTATGCTTTGCGGCGTTGTGTAGTGCTTTCCAAACGGCAAGCATTTGCATGATACCGACGGCATTGGTGTGACCTCCGTGGCGCCATTTTTCTCTTGCTGGAGGATCAGCTGCCTTATGTGTTTCCACTCTCCGGGGTTGAAAATGGCTAAGTGCGGCAGTATTTTGGGCGCGTTGAACTTGAACCTGACAAAATGCGTGTTCGTGGACTGCATGTCGTCTTCACCGATATTTTTCTTGGATGCATCTACGCTGATCTTCCAGACGTATATGAAGCCATCTTCACTCGGGCACACGACGTACTCATCGTTATTGGCGAGCTGTGCCTTGAATGGCATTTTAACGTTGCGATGCCCCTTGAATTTTTCCAGGTCCAGAAGTTCGTCCTCTTCGTACGCGGTGGCCGTGAGCAGCCTTATGCGGCAGTCGGACGTGGTTACCAGAATGAGGTTTTCCCTCCTGCTCCAGTCTACGCCTGTCACGTTGGCCCCACTTGCCCATTTTCCACGTCTGTTTCTGCAATCAGCGTTTCCCACCGCCTTCATCGTTTCGCTGTCGTAAAGCACCAGCCATCCAGCCGCCGACTCTACGGCGAACGTCTGTCCAGTGGGTGACACATCCACCCTGAGTATGTCACACTCGGCATCGATAGCCTGCTTTGTTTGAGTGAAAATCATTTTGTGCTGTCGATTCATTCTCGGAGTACCCCTGTCTGTGATTTTCCAGCACTCGATATCTCCGTCGGCAAATGCCACGAGGACTTGGCCGTCAACGAAAATTGGAATTGCAGCCACAGGGTCACTGTGCATTACCTGCGCGCCAATTAGCGTCAAAAGGTATTTGTTTCCCTCCGAATGCAAAGACCAGACCCTGAGGTATGAATCCGATCCTGAGGTGATGATAGTGGCAATTTCCTCAGTTTCTCCCTGTGTGTCTTCTTCGTCATCGGCGTCCACTGCCTCTATTTGTATGTGGTTGATGGCACTCAAATGCGCCTCGGTAGATGCTACGGGGCTGATGGTCATTAATCCCCAGAGCATCGAATCCGGAATAGGTTCGTTAACGACGACATCTGCGGGTTTTTGTTTTTTGCGCCGAACAGTCCGCACATCAGTGTCTCCTGTAAGTATTACAGTGAGCACCCCTCTGACTGTGCCCAGTGCGAGGATATCCTTTCCGGGTGATAGTTGCATTGCAGAGAGGGCTCCAGCTTTGGCATTTGCTTGCATAGCTTCCTCCATGGTAATTGCCTTCGGCACGGTTTCTTTGCGCATCTCGGTAGCGGTGGGCACTGGAGCCGCGCTCTGCTTTTTATCAGCATCAACGACGGTACCGAAGTCTTTTGCATCACTACGTTTGAACGGTGTTAGACTTTTAGAATCCTCGGCTGGCACATGCTTGACCTGCGTATCTACTTTTGGCGCAGTTGTAATCTCAGGTTTGATTTTTGTTTCCGCAACTGATGTAACTGTGTCCTCTTTTGGCCTTGCTAGAGTAGCAATAGCTGTTGTCGTGGATGGCGTACCACTGACCTCAGTCTTAGGTGGTGTAACAAAAGCAACCTTTCCCTCAGCTGGTGTGACAATGGTCTCTGTTGCGTAACTCGGTATGGCAATGGTTTCGTCTGCCTTCGTCTCTGTCATAATAGCGTCTTTTGTTGGTACATCTTTTTTTTCGTCGATGGGAGATTCAGTTGGCTCCTGCATTACTGCCGCAAGCTGAGTTGCCTGCTCGCCACCAGAAGCGCTTTCTTTCGCTCCAATGACGTCCAACTTGTCGACTATGACATCAGTACCGATGTCTTTGTTATCCAATGTGGCAGTCGCTGAACCAACATCGATGGGTGATATTTGGTCATGCACTGTATGCTTTGTGGATTTTCCCGCTGCTTCGTATGTTGAATCGGCACCGACTTGTTGGTCGGAAACCTGTTCATCTATTGCAGACAAAATTGTCATTTGTCCCTGTAGAGCATCCATTTTCCCTGGCACAGGCTCCATTTCGATGCTGACTGGAGTGCTAATAGCCGCAGCTGGCGTCAGATGCGGTCCAGTGTGAGTAATATCTTCCATACTGTGGAAAACGCTCCGCTGTAGTGGAGTATTTACCGGGGATTCGCCACGCCGCGTAGCTCCTTCATCAAGGTACAGATCTGTACCATCTGTGCTTTCATCCTCCTGCAAATCATTTACGAAACTGCCAGGTGCGAAGTGTTTCATGTAGTGTTCATGCGTGTCTCCAATTCTGTTGAAGAACGCCGAATCTCTGTTTGCCCTGGACACGTCGTTATCGATGTCTGACTCCGGCGTATGCGCTCCATCACCCCCAGTGGCAAGATGATCATATAGGTCGTCCAGCTCAACGCCAGTTAGCGGCGAGTCAATTTCAGGTCTAGCCTTCTTGCATTTGATGCATCTAATGCACTTCACATCGCCCAAATCCATTTTTGAGAGCGCCTTATTGATGGCACTCCTTTTGGTCTCCTCAGTTGGCTCGGATTCCTCCTCACTGCTTGACATGTCTTCCTCGTCATCTATGATCTCGTCGCGATTATTTCCTGTTGCGTTTCCCCCCATGATGCCGTTTGCTTTCGAATGGCGTATGAATCGCGTCAAGACAGACTAGGATCACATTTAGGTGGATTTATTTGACTCCCAGTAGCGTGGGGGCAGCAATTATCACTGTCCGCTAGCGCTTCATAGGTCTCAGGCGGATCGGTTGTTATCCTGAATCCTCCGTATTACTTTATATCCTACTTTGTTGGACTCGCAAGATTGCAGGTTATGAATAAAGTTGCGAGTTATGGTACATCTGGGCAATCGCTGGGCTTCCGTCAGTATGCCTACCGTCCCTATTCGAGCGGCGTAAATGCTACGATCGTGTCTACTCTGCGTTATCAGTAGAATCACGGACCACCAATTGGTGCTTCACCGCGTTGTTATGTTTTTCGGCTAAAAAGTGCAATTTTTGCAATGTACAGGTGTGCCAGTTCAGGAGACACGGTATCCGGATCTATTGCTGAGATCTTCTGACCGTTCTGCAAACGAAATTTCGGCAAGCTTCATTCCGTAGCAACGTGAAGTTCCCACCATTTATGTATTTTTGCCGTATTTAAGCCGTCCATTAGTGTACCCTGCTGGCAGGGCATCGGTACACTAGTCCTTACATCCTCATTGTATGCAATCTAGGCAAAGACCCGGCAATAAAGGTGGTACTACCAGCGGCACAGTGAGCGTCATGTACCGTAACATATCTATCGCGGTTACCAACCGCGTCGCGGCTCATAAATGTAGACCAGCCGCTTAGACACGCATGAGCGAGCGCGCTGCGCACACATATACAATATTAGCTCATTTTCTACAAAGGGCACCCCAACATACCAGGATTCCACCGATATAATGACACCTACGCGGTGACGCAATGTGTAGATGAACACTCGATGGAAGCACCCATACCAGAGGCAATTTAATAACGCAGCCAGTCTATCGCCTGTTTATAGCATAATATTAATTGGCATGTGGCCAAAAAGTGTCCTAAGTTTACACATTGCCTTATATTGGCCGCTGGCGTCACGATTACCCAGGCGTGACATCTCGGCCATGTAGCCCTGAGATGGACGCCGATGAGCGTTTCAACATTCTGAGCGCCACTTTTGATCCGGAATCTCTGGTAGATGATTGCGAAAACGTGCCTTTTGACCCTTCGCGTGATAGATTCTACCTTAGTCTTTTGTCCAGTGTCTCTGACGAGGTACGTGCCACTTATCGCATGTGACGAACGATTGTAGAAACTGCGTAACACAGTACTAGACCTGAGGGATTCCAGGCTCGCCGTTGGCCGGCTATCGCATGCTCCCTTCCTGCTCCCGTGGAGCGTCCAGCCGTCGAGCGAATTCGCGGAATCTGCTTCGTCTGGCGTTTGTGCTGCGCAACCCAAGATCGGTACTCAGTTGAAAGCAAGTGCGTCGCATTGTATGATACCAGGGGAACATATGACCTGCAGGTTTACAGGAATTCGTGTCACGCGCCAAGGGTGAGGCCGAGTCAGTAAAGCGTATGCTTGAGCTCCGTCTTACGGGCTACACATCAACCCGGAATGCATGCTACAAGTTCCTACGCGAAGCGTGTAATTCGAATCGCGAGGTGGTAATCTGTCTGCGCCCCTCTGGCAGCGTTTCAGCTGTGCGTTGCCGTGGCTCAGTAGTCTTCTTCGACCGCAGCTCGAATATGCTTTTAAGCAACGTCAAGGTTGACGGGGACGTATGCCACCCATTCATGTACATCAGGTAAACAATTGGAAGCATCATTTAATTGCAGTTCAGCAGCAAGAGCGTGGCCAGCATTAGCTACGGTTGAAAATTCGTGTGCTTTCTTTCACGAATAGTCGCAGATCCTGCGACAACAGCAGGAAGAGCGTTTTGACGGCGTTGTCATCACATGCACCCATAGTTTCTATAATGCAGCTTCTGAGTATTTTGTTGCTTCTGAGCACGTCCGCTGCATGGGTATGTCTATACCAGTGTTCATAAGCTTACCCCGCCGCGTTTTGTTTGTTGAGATATCCTTGCTCACTTGGTGCCACGCTTTGACAATTGGGGTGACAATGTGCGGTATGTACCACTTGGTCGCATCGACGAGCTGCTCATTTGAGATGATGCTCATCCACCGCGCCACGTAGGCGAACATGTCGGCGTCGTGCGTTTCCATCAGTTCCACAAACCGTGTTATGATGTACGTCACCACGTGCACGCGTCTAATCCACGGCCGCACGAGTTTTGCGATTTGAGCGTTGCTCATGCCCTCAGCTGCATTCAATGTGAATGACTCTGTTGGTGTGTCCTACCTATTCTGATGCAGTTGTACAGCGCGAGGTATACGTTGGTTGCGATTTGTTCAAATATCTCGCGTGACAACTCGTGTTGCTTGCATTTTTGCAGCAGGTTTATTCCCAACCTAGCGAGGTCGAGCAGGTGCTCGGCGATGGTGGCCTGCGTCTCCTGCATTTGCTTGTTAACTGCATGTTGTTTGCCAAAAAGTGTGATTGTGAAATTTACCTTGAAATCGCGTGAAGACGAATAACTTGATGGACACTGCAGTGTTGAGCAAGTAGTTCAGCACCACCCAGTGCATGGTCTCTGAGTCCTCCCGTGTTCCCATCGTAAGTTCGACATTTTCGATGTGCTTGGCATTCAACCCCAACAGCACGTTGCAAGTGGCAAGAATCTTCTTTCTGCCAGGCCCCTTCAAGCTGTAGAGTGCCTTTAGGTGGTTCTTGTCCGCGAAGGAGACCATAACCTCCAGCATTGCTGCTCTGCAACGCCAATCGTGTGGCGCAGGCTGCGCATCTGCCTCTTGAGAAACGCTCTCCAGTTGCTTGGTAAAGGTTATCCACAACTGTTTTGGGTCGGCGTGGTCGTGTATTGCCTGGACGATTTCGGCTACCTTCTCCACTTGGCAGCCACAGAGTGCCTTATATATCTCCAGTTGCGTACCCCCGAATCCTAGGGCACGTTGTCGCTTGAAGAATATAGCGTGCTGCATATCTGCTGTGAAGATGAGGGCGTGCACAGCATGCGAGTGTATCTGCGTCTCGGGCGTCGTCGGTACGAAACGACACAAGACCTCTAGCAACGCCTCGTAGATGGCCTCAAGTACATCAGGTGCGATGTGGTGTATAGATTTCGCCTTGTTCCGAATGCTGGCTACCTGTTCCAGTGTAGCTTCGTGATGCTTGTCCTGAGTATTTGAGGCCACGCTGTATAGCACGCTTGCTAAGTACAATATATGAGCTTCATTTGTTGTATTATCAGCCTCTAGAGCGTTGCCCGCATCATGCAACAGTTCCGTTAATTGTCTGGGGTATTGTACTGGTGTGATCCTAGCATTACCAATTGCCGCCTTTTCAGATTGCCAGGTCTTATTTATATACGCCAGCAATACAGAATCCACCAGTTCCTCGCTGCGGACTTCTTCACGCGATATATTCGTTGCATCATTATTGTCATCGAGTTTCCGCTTTGCTCTGCCTCCCATCATTGCGGGGACGACTACGTTTAGTATCCTGTCGATTAACTTCTGTGCGTTGCAATCACCTGTATCCAAATCCAAAGTGTTCATGAGATCCTCATCGACTATTTTCGCCATGATGAAGGTATGAACAGATGCGATTTGTTGCAGTATTGCAAGTGATTGGTGTAATCGGTCCGAATGTTCGAGGCTCAAAGCACTTTTCACCGAGCACAGAGCCTGCAGCACCCCTTTCAAAGCAATCGAGCTACAATTCATGGGCTCAACCCTCTTTGCCGACGTGTCTATTGAATTGAGATAATCCTTCAACGTGAGGTTGGAGCAAGCTCGCACCCCCAGCTGTTCCTCGCGCCTCAAAATGAAGTTGACAGTAGCCAACAACTCCTTAACCAGCTCTAATACGTCTTCTTGAAGCACCCCGTCACCCATAACAGCTTGTTGGGTTGTCATAGGTAAAGCATAAAATAGTTGCCCGAATGCTTCATGTCGATACAGTGGCGGTGAGTACTGCAACACCTGCATCACCATTCCGGCGGCCTTAATCTTAAGGTGCAGACCGCTCTCACAGTTCGTCAAGATCTCTACTAAGTTGCCTAGGAAATTGACGTCTGCAATCTCGTTGATCAACTTTTGACCCGTTGCTAGCACGTCTAGGGTCCCCTTGAGGTTATCCAGCACTCTCGCATCCTTCTTGAAACCAATCAAAGCATTGCAAACCGTCTTTATGAGAGCGTTATATGCCTCTTCATTGTCGAATACGTTGGCATTGGCGACAATGAGCGCATTAGCGTCCTCCACGAACGATTGATCCTCACAGTTCGACCGCACTATTTTGCGCAGCCTGCGAACCAAGCGGTTGATTCCGTTTTGCATGTGACCATATAGGTCTGGCTGGTCGCGTATGATGAGGGTGAAGTGGTACGCGAACCAGAACATTGCCGTCCATATGGCAATCGAGCAGTTTCTGCCGACCGCTTCCGCCAGTTGTTCCACATACACGTACAGGTTGTTGAGGTATGGACCCCACCTGTCAGTTGAGTCGTCCAAAGTGGACCACGATAAGATTTTCCGTATTATAATGATGAATTGTATGGCCATGAGTACCCCTTCTGCGTCATGCCGTATGGGAGCGATTCGAATGAGTTCTTCAAAGGCGTCGGCAGTTCTCATCACCAACGTGGCAGACAGCTCTATCCCCCTCAGGTAGGCCATGAGTGGATACTGCATAAACTCCCTCACCGGCTCTTTTTTGAGCCACCCCGCAAAGTGTTTGATGAGCATGGGTATCTGCAAGCTGGAAGACTCCTTGCTGCTGTTGTTGAAGGCCTGCATCGCTGGAGGGTGCAGCATAAAAGGGCACACTGCGTCCGGCGGCTCCGTTTTTTCAACGAACTCCCCCATGTGATCCAGAAGTGCCGTCATGTCGTTTGCGTGGGAGTACATCGAAATAAGGTTAGCAGCGAATACGTGACTCTTCCGGTGACTCTCTGCATTGCCTAAGGATATTTGTGGTTTGATCAGAATTTTGAAGGCGTGTTCTTCATATGAGTTGTTGTGGAAGGCGTAGTCCTGATTGAGGAGTTTCAAAATCTGTTGTATGTTGTCATCTGCATGCTCCAGACTAAGCGAGACAAGTAGCAACAGCGCATCCCACATTATCGGCATGATTTGCACGACAGCAGTGGCTGTGGCATTCTCATGTTGCTCAGCATGCGCTTTTTTGATGAGCAACTTCATGACATTTTCGTCGCTTTGTATACTTTCCATCAGCACCTTCCGCTTGCGATTGTTTTCGATACTCCCATACGACGATTCTAGCGTTTTGAGCACGAATTTCGTGGCCTGCGAGTTGATTTTAGCCACCAGCTCCGATCGCTCCCCCGAGTATACCAGTACCTGTTTGTTGTTGGCAAGGCTGAGGACTTCGTAGAATGCCCGTACGACATCCACCAGTGCTGCATACGGGACATACGATTCCGGCTGCTTTTCCACTCTCCCCATTATAGCCTCCGCAAGCCTCATAATAAGAGGGAGTATGACCGCGAGCATCATCACTCCGTAATACGTAGGGTCCTGCGCCTCTGGTGTTTGTAAAGCAATGCCCTCGATTGCTATACCAAGCAACTCTACAAGCAGGATACACAGCCCTCTAGCCTGCTGAAGCGCCTCCTCATTACATTCCGCGCGATGGATTGTCGAGATGATATTGAGCAGGAAGCGCCTGTTGTATGTTACGGCGGAGTCCTCCAGATCCATATTCCCAAGCTGCTCTACATCAAATAAGTCCTCATATTCCTTAGATCGCAGCATTTCCTTCAACCCGGGTATGAACTTGCTGGTTAAGGGGAAGGTCAGCATTTGTGTTAGTCTGCGTCTGGCGGTGGTGATGCGCTGATCGAATTTATCGGTAGAGGAGTCCTTAGCAGCAGTGACAGACCTTTTGAAAAGGATCTTGGCCTGTACCCTGAAATCCTCCATCTCGGCACATACTAAAAGTAAATGTGCCATTAACGTTTGAGCCGCGCAGTGGTACGCATGCTTGGCATTTGAGTTCGCTTCCATCAGCTCGCGCATTACTTCACAGAGAATACCAAAGTGTTCAGCCAAAGCACAGGCAATCTGCGCAACTAGGGTCGCAACCTTTTTGTTCGCAGTTGCTGGCTTAAAGCTCTGAAAGGCGTAGTTCCAGCGCACGAACATGTTTACGTCGTCCAATATCCGCTCAGCCATGTCGTTTAGGTTGTTAGACATGTGTATCCTGTTATTGGCTCTCGGTTCATCATATTGGGAGGGCGTCTGGTAGTATGTGGCCCTCATCAGGTCGTTCACCGCTTCCACCGCATCCTTGTATCTCCCCAGCGTCTCCTCCGCGTTTGGTGCTTCAATAAGACGCAGGCAAGGATTCTCAAAATCGCGCAGCGCCAGCTCGTCCAAGGATAACTGCCCCCATACATTGTGGAACATTGCCATCTTGAGCAGCACATGCGAATGGGCGTAAAGTGCGTTTATGTTGCTGGTGTGGGAGACCAGGTACGCCACGAGCTTCGTCTCTAGGGGTCTGAACACAGAAGGCATATCCATTTTAACATAGTTCCCTTCATTTGTGTCCCCATGTGTTCCTTCGGACTGCTCCACATTGCTGCCAGCACCTAACTTCCCGCTCGCTTGCAACGTCATCCACTTCCGCAGCTGTGTAAGCATGCGATTAAGCACCCATATTATAAAGCTCCCCTGCGACTCATACGCCTCCACGGCGGGCGCCAATGCTTTTGGCCAGCCCAAGGTTTGCAAGTATCCGCCGATCTCATCGTCAGTAAGTTCCGAGAGCCTCTTCTGGCATACTTCCTTGGTTGCCTGCAGTAGTTTTTTGCGCGAGCCTTGCGTGCATCGGCGCTTGGCAACGTGCATAGTTGCCATTTTCCTAGCTGGTGAAGGTTCTTATGCGATACTAGTTTGGCGTTGTGGGTGAACTATCCCAGCGCCTAAATCGTCGCTTGGTGCGTCCTTCCGCTATGCCCTCACATCTCCTCGGCGTTCTGGGCGCGCTCCGTTGCAACGGAATAGTCCCGGATTGCTACAAAGCCATGCATAACCGTATGTGTAGGCGTGATAGTCTCTCCGCCTTGGAAGCGCGGCTGGCAGTGTCGTTTCCGGCAGAGCGAGTCTTCCGTCTGAAATCACAGCCGTCCAAACTCTATCGACGGAATTAATCATACACCTGTCCTGGTCACTTGATGCTCCTCGGGGTGTTAGACATGTGCGTATAGCTCACCCTGCGAAAATAACTCGCGCGGTGTGTTGGCGCCGCACTTGCCTCGATCACCGTCTGTCTATTGCAACTCAGGCTGTCTGCACATTTCGCTTCAGCCATTTGCAGATGATAGAGTGGATGTATTGTATGTCGAGGCTGGTGTGTAGTTCGCGTCGCTTCGCCTAAAGTGGATTAAGGGACGTGGCACTCGGCACGCCGCCTCTGCAGGCGTTAACGCTTTAACCCATTCTGACCGCTATTAAGGACCAACTGTATCTACTAGATCGCTATGGATGGCCCTGCGCCGAGCGAAGCGGCCCCGGATAATGCCGCCTCAAGCGTGCAGTCCGTGCCTACAGAAATTCAGTCAACGCCGTCGCCTGAGGGCGCGATGGTGGATGTCGAGTTATCTGCAAAGCGCGTTGTAAACGAAGGTTACGTGACTTGGTTGAAGCCGTGGTTTGACTTGTCGCAATCGGAGTATGGCCGTCGTTGCAAGGCATGCCTTATTTCCTATATGTGCCTGAATTTCACTTGCGTTCGTTTGTTGGAGCTCGCATCGCTTGAGTTGCGGTCGATGTATCGCAGCGCCATGTGCCGAATGGGTCTCATGCATTGGTTCCCCGAGGAGACCCTCGACGTGTCAACCGCAGGACCGGATGCACAGGTGGAACCCGCAGAGGAAGCACCCAAAGACTTCCTGTCACCCGTCCAGGATGAAGGCGGCGTTGCAAGCATTCCCGTCGGAGAGATGGACGTCAAAGGTGCACCTGGTAGTACTGATGCCGACGATGCGTCGGACAATTTCGGTTTGGGAGCCTTGGAGGGATATTGTGACACGGATCACCACATCTTCTTGACTCTGCGCAACATGTGGCGTAAACCAGATCTCTACGCCCCGTTTTGGATCAACGTCATGATGTCTGGTTCGCTTTTCAAGATTTACGCTTTGCACCAGTATTACAAGGGCATCGTCAATTCCGTCTTATCGCTGTCGATGTTACTTTACTTCATGTTGATTTGTTGGTCGTGCTCGTTTTTGATGGCGCTTGCGATTTACGGTTGCAGGATTTTTGTTTGCGGTAGTGAGGGCCGCACTGATTTTTTGCCCATCCTTTCCGTATCGGGCTACATGCGTATCCCCCTAGTCATCTTTTGCAAGGTCATCGTCTGGATTTCCGTGGCGAGGGTGTACATGCCGTCTCTATCAGGTTTGATTTACGTTTTGCAGTACCTGACCTACGCTTACTTCTGCGCCTCCACCTCTGCAACAGTGTCTTTGTACCTTCCGCCGGCTCCCGACCCTTCAAAGGATACGGCGCTTAAGGTGACAACTGCGGTTGTTACTTGCCTTGTTCAGACGGCATATTTCTACTGGATTGAGGTTTACGTCTGATGCTACGAGTGGACCGCGTTAGGCACTGGATATACGTACAACATTTAGTTCAAGCGCTACAACTGATAACCGCGGTTCCACCTCTGTTGCAGCCGGATTGGACTCATTACGCGTTCTATCGGCTGTATTATCGCTGCTTTATGCTGAAAGTATCACTATTATAAATATCGATAATATAGTTAGCATCTTCATGTTACATTATAGCGTTTTGAGTGGCGTACCGCCGCCTGTTTCAGGGGTTCCATTTTGTAAGATAATGTTATATCTCTTCATTTAGTGTGACTTCCACGCAATTACGGGTCTAATTGGGCTGCAATTTGACATCATCTGACCGTTGTGTCTACGACTAGCTCAGCTGCGCTCTGGCATACATAACTTCAACGGCAACTAATCATTCCAATACTTTGTACACATCTTCTACTATCGTAATAACAACTATATGTGAGACGAAGGAACTTTAAATCGTGCTGTCTAGTCGCCGTTTACGCGCCTTCTACCACACATCTCGACGCCGGACCTTGATTTTACGTGAAAACACGCATTTGCTGTAGAATAAAGTACACATAACATGGATTCGACCGATTCGGTGCTATGTGTATCGCTGTCATAATTTCGTGCGGCCTGTCTTATGACGCTTAGTTATGGCAAACTCTCCTTGAATACCGCACCGTATCCCAAGAAGTCAAGCCATTCAACATGTCTGTTTCTGAAGAGTCGCATATGTTAGCCTTCTCCGGCTTTAAACGGCTCCGGCTGTTGAAGTCCGAACCTCCGGGACGTCGTGACGATCACGAAACCGCCGACGTGGATGCTGCCTCTCCTTGGTCAACATGCCAGTATTATCGGTGGGTATCAGAGGCAGCAGCGGAAGCTGAAGGCCCCGCAAAATCCACATCGTCTGGTAAGTAGTCTACATTACTAGTCATCCCATGCGTGATCAGACCCTTGTGGCAGGATCGAGGTCAAAAGTAGCCACTTCGAGCGGGCGTTAGTTGATCGTTTATCTAGAAAGCTATCTCAATGGCGAACATCTTTAAGCGACGGTGACGACGAGCTCGATGTATTGAGCTCCCTCAACGCCTCGATCGCACGCTACTTTCTACAGATGTACAACGGTCACGAGCGATGCAAGATGCGCCATGGATTTTGGGTGTCATGCACAAGTGAACATGAAGCGTGGGACTTTTGTTCACGTATCTGCAGCAGTGGATTTTGGCTGCGTGGCAGGCAACCCTGGGGTACCCGTAACCGTCGAATTTACACAATCGACCTCTGCGAGAGAACATCATCTGGAACCCCACTAGGCTGCTGTTACAGTGCTTATGGATATCTCTGTTGTTGCTGCCGAGCATGCCAAGCCGTATGCGGCATGCTTCGGATGGAGGACGGCGAGCAGGGCCCACAGCCTCGTGGCAATGGCCTCTACAACATCATCGCAAACAATCTAGGGGACATTTTGACGTTTCTGGAACACAACTCGCAGCATAAGAATATAGAGCACCAACTCCTCTGTGCCTCTGTGGACGCATACGTATCGCAGCGGCGTTCGAAAGAGATTTGCAGCAGGCTGTGGGATTTGAAGGAGGGTCGTTTGTCGGATCCCCCGAAATATTGCACCAGGCGGCTGAAGAATAGCGACAGGAGTAATAAAACGTCGGGGAATGACCGCCATGATAAAGGTACGGAGGGTGATTACGAGAACCAGCTGACCCATGGCTGCGACGAGCACGTCTCATGCGAGTCCGTCGCTGAGGATCTGCTGGAAGACTGCGGCTGTTTTTTGTTTTTGAAAAGCGCTAACAAGCTGTTTACCGAACAAAATGACGACGATGCTACCGTAAACAATCGGGCTCTGGTGGTAGACCTTTTACGTGACTACAGCTCCATGTGGTCTGCATACAACATGCCGGTGTACATGTTCTGCTGTTATGAGGTCGAGGAGGACAATGTGCCGTCATCAGACGCCATGGTAGAGAACTTTGGAGCGCCGGATGTGCACATTGACGGCGCTGAATATATGCTGGGAAGGTTGCAGTATTTTGAACATCGCGTCGACCTCACTAGGTCACTCCAAGAGAGAAATTCTAAACGTGCAAGCTACCTGAGCGACCGACTAAACGTGGCACCCGGGGAGAAACGAGACCACCTGCTGAGCTACCTCGTGTCTCTTACATCGGGTTACGGGATGTCGTGCCTCGGCACCATCGTGCGCATGGCGTCGTGCGAATACTTGGCCGCTATTTCGAAGCGTGGACCCGGTGCTCGCGGCCGTGATTGCAAGATATTTGCCGACATACAGCTAACTGCGCGGGCCTTCGAGAAGGCTGTGGCCATACGCCCACCTTTGGCGCTGTCGGTGGGTCTTCCCGGTCTATGCGTGTTGCCTCACAACACTGGGCAGACCGTAGGCTCATCGTCCGGGTTCCCACCGCTAAGAGTTGACAACGGCACAATCAGCGTGCGCCAAGGGTTCGACTCAATGGTTTTAGGCGAGCCACTACTTGGCAACCTCAGAAATTTCGTATCTTCGTGCCTGTCCCACGACGAATCTTGCGAAACACCGCAACCATTCGTGACTATCGAAGGCCCATCTGGATGCGGAAAGACGCTTCTGTCGATTGCTCTGTCACACGAGCTTCGGAGCACATTGATATTGTCGAGCGTTTTGGATTTCTTACGGCCCCAGGTGGGAGTGAGCGAAAAGTTGGTGCACAGCTTCTTTTCGTCGCTGAGCAGCCAGTTCGTAGATGTTAATACGACTGGCCATCCGCATGACAGTATCATGTTATCACGGGATTCAAAGAGCGGTCATTCACCCGGGAATACCAGTAGCAGACGATCAGTGCCACGCTGCGTGGTTGTGTTCGAAGGCGCCGACAGCCTTGCTGAGACATGTGGATACATGAAGAGCCTCTTGTACGCGCTGTGTACCGAACTCGAGCGTTTTAGGGACCTGTGGGAGTGGCAAAGGAGCTGCAGCGTTATATTCGTGTTCACATGCCAGTCGCTGTCGTCTATACCCAGTCGCCTGCGCGAGGTAGGTGCCTATTATGTATCAACATGTCGTATTTCAGGCCTGCATAAGCCGCCACCGCTACTCGTTGCTGGGCAACGTTTCCACTGAAAACGAGATCGAGGAGTGCTTCGAGCTGTACCTAAGTGGCCGCGGTACTCTTTTAGACAGGTTCCGGGAGTTGTGGCCGAGCTGGCGTTTGGACGCCACCGTGATGGCACTGCGGCCGTGTGACATCGCGCTCCTCTGCCGCACAGCTGCGGTGTGGTCGGTGAGCGGCGTCGTGCCGCTGCCATCACATTCGGCGGTACAGAGGCTGGCCGAGTCACTCTGCACCGCTAGAGCGTAGATTCGCACACATTACGAGTCAATGTTGCCTCTAGTTGACACTAACGGTTGCGGCTAGTCTGAACGCGTGTTTACAAGCAACGCATATAATCCCCGCGGTGTCTGCCTTCGACACACCGTCGATTTGACGGTGAGCGTCGAGTAGACGTTATACCCCCGTCTTATCGTAGACATCGTACACATTGCACTAATTTGTATATATGCGCGTCTCAGAGCGTTTATAATTCCATACAAGGGCGTACAAGCGGGACCACGGCGGTTCGTACCGCTGCTACTGCTGTTGCCGACTCTACCTCTCATTCAACAAGATGTCGTTGGACGAACCACCCATGAGTGCCAAGTTCAGACGCGGCCTCCGGAACTACAACGGCACCAGTCTCCTGGGTATCAGCCGTAACGAGTGGTCCGCCGTCCGCGCTGTGAACAAGGATGTCGAAGAGGCGCTGGTTGGCGTCTTCAAGCGCCTCTCATTGTCAGATGGTCAGGGCAATGCAGTACGACCATCGGTTGCATTCATTGAGGCGAATCGTTGGAGTCACAGGCTCCCGCGCCTGTTCCTCAAAGAGTTCAGCCGCGTGCAGGATCGTTCGGCTTTAGCGCGGCACTTCAACGCCGACCGTGTAATCAGTTATCTTTCATCGCAGAGGATCAGCGTCGAGCGGTTGGAAGGCTCGACGCTCGACTTGGACGGTCGCCTCCACCAGTATATTGACCTGCTGCTCCACATTTGCTCCCGTGCCAAGGATATGGCCTCCGAGGTTATCACTACGAGAACTGTCGTGCCCGAAGGGGAAAAGAACAAAGCGGAACCTGATGTCGAACGCGAGGCAGACGAAACGGCATCGTTTGATGCGTACCAATGTCCATTCAAGATAGATTTGGTTACTGCTGAACAAAGACGTGATTACGTTTCTGCGAATGCGCCCAGCATGGCCATGCTGTTCCTGTCGTTGGCGTCTGCCGTCAACGACGCCTTGAAGCACATAGCGTCTGTTGGCAACATTGATGTGTCTACGGTAGAGGAACGATGCATGCACCTTGACCTCTTTGTGGGTCGAAAGGGGGTCGGTAGGGGGTATGTGCGCGACATGCTAATCGACTACCTATCCTGGGGTTACTTGAAACTTATACCTAATGGCGATCTGTCACGTGATGCAACATTGACCGAGATGTTTGAATATGTGGCCTACGTTTCGATCGACAACCTCGGCACCCTAGGCAGGAGCGTTGCCGACATCGGATTTTCTTTTGCACCTTGCGGCTTCATGGTACCGTACAACCTGGGTAGTTTGAGCTTCCTGAGCGAAATGAACATCATAAACACGACTACTCCGCTGACCGGTGGCTCCGCCGGCGCCATAACGGTTGTGGCTGCGAGCACCATGAAGCCCGACGTCATTGAGCTCATGCTGATCACCGAGCAGCTGTGTGAGGAAGGCCGAACGAAGGGCCCGATGAACAACCTGGACAATATGGTCAAAAACTCGTTGGATAGGTGGATGATCCCCGGGATGTACCGCGTGGCGAATAAGAGGATCGGCGAGCTGCGTGTCAGCATGGCATCCCGCAAGCATTTGAAATACAACGGGAAGGTCGTATCGCAATTCACCGACAACGACGACATGCGAGACGCGGTTCGAGTAAGCTCCAATATTCCCGGGCTGTCAAGCAGTGAGCCTGTCTATTTCCGCGGTGAGGTATGCTACGACGGTTTCTTCGCCGCTGGTAGGACCGATTTCGGCTGTTTGCCCACGGCAGCGACACGCACTGTGCGCATAAATCCGTTCATGATGGGCCGGCTGGCTATGAATCGCCAGCTGCTCTACAACGACTTCATCAACCCGTTCCTGGAGCCGAAGGACGTGTACGTCGTGCACTACCTGCGGCTTAAGTGCCTGCTGCGTTCGCTGTGGCGTCGCAAATTCGACTACGAAGCCAAAGGCAACATGGGAGAGTGGCGCAACGAGGTGGAATCTATGATAAATGCGTATGATATGTTAAAGGGTGACCTCCCGGTAGGCCACAAGTTGTGGCCCAAGCTTAAGCACTTCTTCCAACGTGCTATCAAGGACAAATCTGATGCAGAGGCTAGGAGCAGTATCTCTTGGTCGACGGAGTGCGCGCGGATATTCAAGCCGGAGCTTGCGGAGCTGTTCATGCTAGTGGTCGCCTCCGAAATCGCCCTGGATGTCGGTGTTGAGTCCAAATTGTCAGCTCGCAACCTTAAAGGCAACCTCAACGGCGTTGATTTGATCGCCCGCTTCGGGCTGAAGAAGGGCTTGCTTGTGTTCGCGCGCACCAAGTTCGTCGCGACACCCCACTGTCTGCTCGACTGGTTGCGTCACGAGCTCGAGTCCACCGCGCGGTTCTCTAGCGACTACACGCCAGCAGTGACGCATGACCCCGAACTGGAGCTGCTCAAGAAGATCCGCCACTCACTGATGCCCCCGATGTCCCTGTCATACTACTACACCGAGTTCCCCTATCTGCTGCCCAACAGCCTGAACAATCTGCAGTGTCTGACTGTCGCGCTGACGTCGTCGGTCACGGCCGACATCCGCTACGTGTTCGATGTGGGAAGGTCTGACGCATTTAGGTGGCTAGTTTTCGAGTATATATCGTTTGAGAACTGGCTGCACCTCCGTATCAGGCAGCTGGAGGAGGCCGATGCTCCCGAACGGTCCAGCGTGAGCGACGTTCAGGCAGTTGAGGAAACAAGCGTCAAGCAAGATGGCAAGGCAAAACTGATCCACAAACGGCAGGGCAAGATGTTATCGGAATTTTTGGAGTTCATCGACCTGGCCACTATCAAGGTGCCGGAAGGGGAAGGAGCCGACGCTGCGCAGGCTGATGCTCGCCTCAGGATGCTTCAGAATCGCCAGTTCAGACAGGCGATGCTGCTGGACATAATCCCACCGCACTACTCCCATTTCGTTGGCCACTCGCACCTGTGGTCACAGTAGCCGCGAACAATGCGACATAGCTAATATTATATTTCCCGAACGTTGTTTTACCGATAGAGTACAACTGTGATGGTACCTAGATCTAGCTACTGACGGTGTTACCGTTGGAATTCCCTGCGTGCCTCTCGTTCGTCAGACTCCCACCGACCCTGCAGGCGAGACGGCAGCTGTATTTTCGTCGGTGTCGTTTTCCTCACTGTCTCACGAAGACGTAACGACCAGTTGTCACATAGTGGGTACCCCCGAAATACCCAAGAAGAGCACCGGTGATTCACATCTTGCGATACCCCGTGTCTCCTTCCCCATAAGATACCCCCTCTCCCGCTACCACGGCGTCGTCACATATCGACATCACGGCGATCAGAGATACGAGACAGCAACCAACGCTGCCATTGCAGCCTGTACCATATAGGCTTCTAGGGTCTGTAACAACGTTGTCGTTGCATTACAGGTCCGGCGTGAAGCCATTACTGTTCGTCGTGCGGGGTTTTGCGGTGCATTACGCTTCTGGATAGATATATGTGCACTGACGACGCCGTTTCATAATTTTTAATGGGTATATCCCCGATTTCATTCCGGTTTGGCACTTCCGTCTCTTGGCAGTGTTGACCAATTTATGTACTTGAGGACTAAATTGATTCGAGTGCCCTCAGGATTTTCCAATACTGGATTGCGTATTGCCGTGCTGTTGCAATCGATTAGCCGCCTTCGTCTGCCTGGGCAGTAGGTTTGTGGTGATTGTATCGTACGTTTTGCGTCCATTCATGCATCATACATTTTTTCTGGTCTAAAGATCAATTCCTGTGCTATGAGCATACATCCATATTCATTCAAAAAAATTACAAGCTGTTCTGAAAATGAACTACGGCCACAAAGCGGCTTTCCTGCTCTTCACTGTGGCATGGTTGGGAGTAACCGCGAACGCAGTTTGGTACTGCGTCACGCTGAAATGGGCTTTTGAAGCGCCGGTCGATTGCTTCGGCAGGGGCTTGGACTCTTACGGCAAGTGCCCACCCCTTCCCACGCCTGAGAAGCCTTCGAAGGGTCCGTCTGAGCAAAGAACGAAGAAAACGGCGAAGTCACCTCGCTCATATCCGCCCCCGGACACTTATGTCAACGAACACCGAGGTACAACACCATCCCCTCCAATGAGTGAGACGATTGTTTCAGATCCATACGTGAAAAAAGACTACACTCCGTCGCGCCCGGAGCCCTCGGAGGCCGACAAATACCGAGGTACTGAGCCATATCCCCCAGTGATTGAGAAGATTGTCTCAGGTCCAGACTTGAAAAAAGAGTACACCCCGTCGCCGTCTGACACCTATGCCAACGAACACCGAGGTACTGAGAAATCCCACCCAGTGGTTGAGAAGACTGTTTCAGATCCAGACGTGAAAAAAGAAGAAAAGCTGTCGCTTCCGGAACCTTCTGAGACCGACAAATACCGAGGTTTGGAACAAAAACCACCCGCTGTTAAATCTGTCGAAGACAGAGATAGCGTCAGCAAGGATCTCGAGGAGGAAAAGACCCTGCGCCCTGTGATACCGCCAGAGAAGGCAAAGCTGCCAGTAAAGGAGCTAGGAGGTGAGTCTCCCGACCTAGTCCACAAAGAAATACCCAAACCGACTCATGAAATCCCAGACCCCGTGGAAAAAACGTTAAAGGTCGTCGAGCCTGTGCCTAAGGTAGTGCCCGAAGTCGTTGTTAAAAAACCTGGACAGGCCAAAAAGAAAAAGGCCAAAACCAAAATACCGAAGCGCAGCGTTAGACCCGACGGGTTGAGCGACGATTGGCAATAATTCCATGCCGCAACATTTTTCCAACATTTCCACGCACTGCTTGTACTTGTTAACCGTCAACAGTGCTCGCAGTCACTTCGTTAACAGCCTATGGCGTAATTGATAATTTGTTCCTTAACTTACGTTCTGATGAGCTTTTCGTATGGCACCTGATCTCCGAAATCGCAGGTCTTGCTGAAGAAGGCGTTGAGCTCGTTCTGGTTCAGCGGCTCGCCAACGTTTGCGAGCAACTTCTCGAGCGTCGCCCTGCTGATGGTGCCGGTGTTGTTGGGGTCGTAGAACTTGAAGAACATGAGGAAGTTCTCCGCTGTGTCCTCCGGGTGGTCCAGCGTGTTCACCAGCTCCTGAACCTGCTCGACGCTGCATGTCGCCCCGACCTTGTGCTTGAAGGTTTCCAATTCTTTCATGGATGGCGCGTAACCCTGGATCGCATGAAATCTCGTGCGTCTTAACCTACCAGCTCACGGACCAGCTCGTCCACGTTGCTGGAGTTCATAACGCTCTTGCCACCCTGCACATTATGCTCAGCCCTGAATAAGACCTACCGAATACGACTTGAAAAGCGTCTGTAAGGACGAAGCGCTCGCATCAGTCGCCATTTTGCGTACGAACGTCGTTGTTATCCGCTCTTGTTCTGGTTAGATGCCACAGTTGCTGGAGTGTGTACCTCAGCCTCTCTGAAACAAGCAATCTAAACGCGACCTAATATCGGCCCTAGCACACCCCAACAGTTTACGCGGCTATGGATTAAAATAGACCAAATTAGAGCTATTGCAGTGGCAGTTTGTGTGGCCACTTCCACGGTGTGCGCGCAGCAGCTGCGTTGGCTGCTACGGCAAACAACTTGACAAAAGCAGGTTTTAAAGCCATGAGTGTACAACATCACTTGAATCACGAGCGTACGACATTTCGCACATACATCGCCACAGGGCTTCCGGGGCCCTAGGCCCTCAAACGGCGCAGGATTCCACCGCTGTCACATGACCAAGACGATGTAGGCAATCATCGTCAGTCCCAGCGTTATGAGCACCACGGAGTTGATGTGCGCTCTCCTCTGTTCTACGCAGCATGACTGCAGGACAACCGTAACTAACCTGGCGACATGTCGTCGGTGTTGGTGAGCATGCTAAACAGGTTGGTGAACCCGAGCCCCATGTGGCCGCCGAATTGAAACGGCATAATGACCGATATGGGCAACGCGAAAAGCGATACTGCGACGCCTCCGAACACCTGAGCGCCATCTGATGGAGCATGCGGCCGTCACCTACCGTGCCTGCATTGATGTTATCCCCCTGATGCTGCGGTTCCGGCCGCTCTGCGGCTGGCCTGGGCTCCGCGGGCTTCGACCTGCGATATCGTCAACTAAACTGTTGCCACTACCACTACTTACCGAGGATCCTTGTTTTCCTGGCCGCGCCCGTACAGCGGCACGACGTTCTCCTTGGTGACGCCCGCATGGCACACTGGACAGCTGTCGTTGTCCCGATTAATCCAGTTGAGCAGACAGCCCCAGCAGAACAGGTGGCCGCAACGCGTCACCACCGGCTCCACGACCTCCTCGAAGCATATGTTGCAGTCGAACGCCTGCCGTCGATCCTTCTGCCCTGTCTCCTGGCCGGAGCCCCTGTCTTCGGCGCTACCCTGCGGTGCAGCAGCCTCTGTACTATCCATAACTTCACTGGCACATGCAGCTGCAGCGTCGTCTCATGGCTGCCGCTCCTCGGAGACGGCGACACCAATGTGCGATGTTGTTTCTCCGTGTTCCACACTTAGCCAGCCAACTTCCCGTAACCACCGAAACCGTCCCCGTGTACACTAGACGAGAAGCCACAATGTGTATACGCCTTTACTTGAGCATCGTCATTAACTTCCGGGGCATGCCAGGCCAGGTGTGCGGTGTTCCGTGCCGATGCTCGGTCAGCAGCCGAGAAATATGTCTTGCCCAGTCGTGGTACGACAATCCACTATCTGTTTTTCTGTGCGTACCGGTACCTTGGCCGGCGTCGCGCGCCAGTAGGCGAACCATCCCGACACACGTCGTTGCCGCGCTAAGCAGTTAGTCACGTCACACATCAACAGTACGAACGCTATAATTACTGCATTGTGCGTTGTATAAAGCTGGTGAGAGCGACCGGAGCCCCTGTTTATCGAAGCTCCGGCGAGACAAATACCGGTGTGCAGCCGACTCCGTTGTCAGATGCATAAAATCGTCCCATTACATCGTTGATATGACTGCGTTTCTTTACGGTTTCAGCGGGCTCCTACGCCATAGATGCTGCATTTTTGAATGGGCTGGCACGTTTCTCGTACATTGCAGCCACTTCCAGCAACAATGCGTCATCAAACCGCTTCGCGACCAGCTGTGCGCTGTGAGGCACGCCCTCGACGCTCATGCCGGTCGGGAAGGACACGGCGCAAGCGCCTATGAAAGGCGCGAAGGTCGCGTAGAGGTCATCCTGCGACTGCTGTTATATCAAACACTGGACACCCACCCTCAGAAGATCGTGCGATTTGTTTTTTGCCGGGTCTTTATGCGGAGGTAGACGCGCGCTGGTAGGGGATAGAATCAGCGGAATGTCTTCGAAAATTGCATTCTGCTCCAACCATGCGACGAGGGCCTCCCTGGCCCGCTTCAGCACAGCCTCATGGTCGTGTCCGTCCCGCACCATAGAGATACCTGTGAGCGTACATTTCACACAAAAATACTGTGCTTACCTGCAAGGAAGCGGTTCATCGTGTTAGCGCTCATCTGATCAGTCATGTCATTTAAAGACATATGGTGCCCTCCGGGGTGGTAGAGCAGGTCGCCAAAGCGTTGCAGGTTGCTCGCCATCTGCGCCGCGACGTAAGCATGATAAGACTCAGTCGCTAGTCTCAGTGGCAGCGGCGGCACTGATGTGACCTCGGCTCCTAGCCCTCTAAGAGCCTCCTCCACCTCACGCATGTTGGCCGCTACGTCATCATCCAGCAAGTCATCGTTCATTAGTGCTTCCGTGTCCAGAGATGCTACGCGTATCCCTTTCAAAGGCAAATCGATATCGTCGCCTATTTCGCGAGCAAGCATCGCCTTAATGCTATGAAGCACCTGCTCTGTGTCGTCTTTGTAAGTGGTCATTTCAGCGCCAGGCTCAATCATGGCAGATATAAGCCTAGCAGCGTCCCTAACGGTTCGTGAGCACACGCCGATGGTATCCAGCTTGGCAGCGAGTTCGCTCATGCCGAACCTGTTTAGCAGCCCATACGACGGTCGGTATCCCACGCAACCGCAGTAGCCTGCGGGCACAACCACAGAGCCCCCTGTGTCAGTTCCGAGCGCGAGCTCTATAAGGCCGCCGCCAACGGCGTTTGCGGAGCCCCCTGATGATCCTCCCGGCAGGCGGTCCTTGGAGTAGGGATTAAGTGCAGCGCGTGTCGCCGAACCAACTCCAAACTCGTCCATCGTCGTCTTGCCAATGACTATTGCGCCGTGATCCTGCAACAGCTCTACGGCAGACGCGGAGTATGAGGGCTTGTAGCCGGTCAGGAGCGGCGAACCTAAGCAAGTTCAGGTCGTTGTGGATTTTATCTTACCGTTTGTGAATGGCACGCTGCGCATTGCGATGTTGTCCTTCACGGCCAAAGGCTCTCCGAACAGATGCATTTCCGCCCCGTGGGCGTCGAAGCGCGTCACCGCTTTCACAACCTGCTCCACCAGCTCCTCATCGCTCATGATGTACGTGAAGCTGTGGAACCTGTCTAAGTCGAACTTCTCCGTGATACCATCGTTGCTCACGCCGTTGATGACGTTGCGCAGCCGCTCCTCCAGGTACTTAGTTGCGATACAGCTGTCGCCTCTATTCATGCTGCGCCTGCGCTGCGCAGTGATGTCGAGGTACTTTTCGACGGCCGCTGTCGACACATCGTCAAGCAGCTCCGCGTATGGCCTCGCATCGTCGAGAGACGCCGCAACCGCGCCGCTGTGTCGGCCGCTCCACGTGCCGTAAGGGCTGATTACGACATCCTTGTGCCGGTGGAAGAGGCCGTAGTATCCGCTGATCCAGGCGGTCGCTGTGGGTGTGCGCGCCCTCACGAACAAGATGGCGTAGATTACGCCTAGGATGTGCACGATTATGGCTAGAAGCGCGATGCGCTCCCCGCCGTTCGCCCGGAATTTCGGCGAGAGTGTATACTTGTGAGCCGGGTGATTCAAATGGCGCTGCGATACACCTGAGTCCGGATCAATTCCGTCCGGTGACTGTTTCATTTTTAGATTCGGGTTTCAATGTTCACTGGTAGGCGCGGCACGCCGCGGTCCGCGTGTCTACCGCGCCACGCAGCCACTGACCCGGCCGCCAGCGCAAACATACAAGGTATATATTCGTCGATTATTTATCTACGTGGTTCGCCGTGACCTTCTCGTGAGAAAGATCCTTGCAGCGCTCCCATGTGTAGTCGTCTCCGTGCCGGCCGAAGTGTCCGTAGCAGCTGGTCTTGGAGAATATGGGCCGCGTGAGGTCGAGCTGCTTGATGATGCACCCAACTCTGAAGTCGAAGTTGCGCATGACTATCTGCTCGAGGTCGCGGTCGTCGAATCCGTCGGCGCATGTGTCAAAAGTGTTTATATGCAGCGATAACGGATTGGACAGCGCTATGGAGTATGCGACCTGCACTAGCACTCGCCTGCAGAAGCCGTTGGCGACTAGCGATTTGGCCACCAGGCGGCAGTAGTAGGCGCCGGTGCGGTCCACCTTAGTCGCATCCTTGCCGGAGAAGCAGCCGCCGCCGTGAGCTCCCCACCCACCGTAGGTGTCGACGACGATCTTGCGTCCAGTGAGCCCGGCGTCGCAGGCAGGGCCTCCATGGGCCCACGTGCCTGAGGGGTTTAGCAAGAATACGGTGTCGTCGTCGAGGAACTTCGCGGGGATGGTGGGCTTCACCACATGCTCCATGAGGTCGCTGCGAAGGCGCTCCAGCGTCACCTGCCACACTATGTCGACTGTGTAGATCTAACTCACCGCCGGGTCGTGCTGCGTTGATATGAGAACAGTGTGTACGCGCACGGGCTCCAGGTGTCCGTTGGTACCGCCACGGTACTCCACGGTGATCTGTGTCTTCCCATCCGGCCTGAGGTAGGGTACAATTTTCGACTTGCGCACCATAGTGAGCCTCTTTCCAAGCTTCGTAGCCAGGGCGTGTGACAACGGCATGAGCTCAGGGGTCTCGTCGGAGGCATAGCCAAACATGATCCCCTGATCGCCGGCAGCAGTCTCCTCCAGTGGGCGGCCAATGTGTACCGCATTTGCGATCTCTGGCGCCTGCTGGGCTAGTTTCACCACCACTTCCACGGAGGAGGCGTCAAAACCTGCGGCATGTGAAGCCTTTCACCGCATGGCGATGTAACCTACCAACATCATTCGACGTGTAGCCTACGTTGGCAAGCACCTTACGTACGACCGCCTCGTAGTCAACCACCGCGTTGGTGGTGATCTCGCCGAAGACCATGACCAGCTGCTGCGTGGCGCATACCTCGCAGGCGACCTTGCTCTGCGGGTCCTGCTCCAGGCAGGCGTCGAGAATGGCGTCCGCTATCTGGTCACATACTTTGTCGGGGTGCCCTTCGTTGACGCTTTCCGACGTGAACAGGAAGTTTCCGTCGCGGCGTGTGATGCATTTGGCCCCGTCCACGGGCGCCAGCGTGGCGGCCGTGTCCTCAACCTGTCTTTGCATCTTCTTCTGTGCGGTATCCTAACGCTGCAGACACCTCTCCGATAAAGCCCGGGGTCTTGCGATAGCGTATGATATCCGGGGGCTTTATTCGGGTGTCTGGCGTGCTGTTGAGTGCGATGCGCCCAGACGGCTTGATCCCCTGCCAGGCGTCAGGGATCGGAACTTCCTCGATGATCGGCTGGAAGGCTACGTTGTGGAATAATTCCGGTGCGTAAAATTTTACTGCGGCGACCGGACTGTGCGATAAAGCTGCTAATTGGCGAGCTCGCCGTGACATGGGGCGCCGATGGATTCTACTGGCCGGCGCCATTGCGTCCTTTTTTGGACCTAGCGATCACCTTGCGCCAATATTTCGCCACGCGGTGTTTCCATAAGTTCGGGGTGTGTTGCGTCAGCGCTCGCCATTTGTCGCTGAGCGCCAGCAGGGGTTTAGTCGCGCCTGCTCGCCGCTCTCGCTCCATTGCTGAGCCACCGCGGTCAAGTTTTTTACGCCTCAATCTGCCAACTCTGGCTGAGGCTGGGCGTGAATTGCAGCTGGCCCTTTTGAGTAGACAGGGCAGCCGAAAGAGTACGGTAGGCATTGCCGACCGCCACTGTTGCTGCAAGCGCGCACGTTCTCGCCGCTCTGGTGACCCAAGTACGCCAAAATGTCGGCCGAAGGCAGTGACTCGAAGGCGTTCCCGCTGGCTACGGAGGAGATGAACGGCGTGCTCCTCGACCTGGTCCAGCAGGCTTCCAACTACAAGCAACTTAAGAAGGGCGCCAACGAAGGTATGTTTTCCCCGCTATCCTATTCACCACCCGTGCAGCTACCAAGGCGCTTAACCGTGGACTTGCCGAGATTATCGTGTTGGCGGCCGACGCCGAGCCGCTGGAGATCATCCTCCACCTGCCGCTGGTATGCGAGGACAAGAACATCCCCTACATCTTCGTCAAGAGCAAGATCGCACTGGGCCGCGCGTGCGGAGTTTCACGTCCGGTGGTATCGTGCGCCATTGTCAGCCGCGAGGGGTCGCCGCTGAACCAGCAGATCGTAGAAGCCAAGGACCACATCGAGCGTCTCCTGGTCTGAACTCGCAGGTGCCGTCAATTCCCGCAGAGCACTCAGCATACGAGTTCATGTCGCTCATATACCGTTAACTTCAATTATAATGTGATGAGTCGGTTATTTTGTGTTTTGCCAATTTAGACGCGTCGGCGATGCCGTGCTTCTGGCACACATGTCGGCCAATCGCCGACCATATAACCTCCACAACACATACTTATCGAATGTATAGCTTTTGAAGCGTATTTGTTGCCAGCAGCTACGTATATTACGCGTGGCGCGTCACACATCTCCCCATGGTATGCCACATCTGCGCGATTTACGGTGGAATCCTGATCACATTGTACACAGTACGGCGCCTAATGCCATGTCATCGCGCCGGGCGCTTCAATGGGGACCTAGACCGATAAACCCCGGGCGACTGCGCCACGTGACTAGGAATCCCGATGTGATCAATCGACTAGTCTACTGGTGCTTCGAACACCGTTACGTCCGTCGAACTGTGCTGAATGCGTGCCAGGGAGGCAAGTTTACACGTCTTTTCGGATCCCTGTTCAACGTCGAGACTGGCCACGGTAGGTTTATGTCCATGCCCAGTAACGCTATGCAGGGTACGGGCTTGCGCATGAGCTGTCGCTGCCAGGGCCATTCACGGGGTTCATTCCAGTTAACGATGGCATGCAGGAGCTGATACAGACACTCTCAGAGTCGCCACCGGAACGAATTGCCGAGTTTGTTCGATCGCACTTCACTCGTGACCTGTGGCTGCACCGCGACATCACGGGATCTCACATGCAGCCGTGGTTGCCGTACAACGCACCCAGGGCCGCCCCAACCAGTCTGTTAGCGCTGAGCGGTCGCGAACTCGCCGTGGAGAACGGCGGTGACATCAAAATAAAGACTGACTACACCACGATCAACGGCTCTAAGGTGCTGCGCTGGAACATGCGGTGCCACAACGGTGTGATACATCTGGTAGACCGCCCAGTGATTTTGGAAGACGTATAGCGGGTTTTGCGAAGCGATTGTCTGTGCAAATGGTACGCCGTTTAAACGACTTCCCCTTCGATGGTACAGTATCGCAATATTTCTACTACGGCGACCACAGGGTTATGGACATGCAACGTATCCGGTCTGACAGAAGGTTGGATACGACAAACCCCGTCATTTTACATGACCATATTGTGGTCGCACTGAACACGGATCCTGTCACGGATTACCGGAAGACAGAGGCGTGTCATGGATGAATGCAAGGACCTCATTGCAAGAGAGTCCTTTATCGTTGTTTCGGCATTTGTGTAGAAATTTTCATTTGATAGTATCCATCAAGCCATTATTAAATGAGGAGCCAAAGTAGATGTTGAAGATTGCGTTTTTGTGGTCGGTTTTTTTAGGGACTGCAGCATCGCTTCATCTGGCCGTCGGCGGCTGTGGCGGCCGCCGACCGGCGTTCGCATGCCACACACTCCAGTGTGGGCCGCAGCATACTCGTTCCGTGCCCGTTTTCGCGGAATCGACACCGCTGACGTTATCCCAGGTGGAACAACTGGAGCGGGAGCATGTGGGTTTCGAGGCCGAGGAGGCTAAGCCACCCAAATGCCCGGTGCAGCCCCAGCACCTGAGCAATCGTGTCGTCAAGGCAATAGTGGACCACGACATGGAGATGCTCATGAAGCGCTCGCTTGACCCTACAGGACGACCGCAGCACCTCCATCAAGTGTGGAAGATCAAGAAGCACCGCAAGAGGCTGAACCCGGTATTATTCCGTGTCGGGGAGAAAGTGAAGGGCCGTGTGGCGATCACGTTTCCCACCTACGCTCTCGTAGACGTGGGTTCTACATCTTACGGTGTGCTTCACGCGCGTGATATGAGCGAGGGCTGGATCGACCGTGTGGACCACAGCATAACCTCGGGGGAGGACCTGATAGTCACCGTGAAGTCGATTGACGAGGATGCGAGGTTCATTCGCCTCACCCTTCTTGACCTTCCAAAACTGGAGGGTCCTACTGGGGAACCCATAGAGCGGCGACCGTTGCACACGTTTAGGGTGGAAGAGGCCGTCGCCGGTGTCATCCGCCGCAGGTCTCCGTTAGGCTACTATGTGGATGTCGGTGCCACAGTTGACGGGTTTCTACACATAAACGACCGCAAGCTGCCCAGGAAGTACACAGGTATCGCACGGCAGCCATTCCGTATAGGCACACGGATACCCACCCTCTACGTCAAATGCGTAGACCTTGTTAAGAACCGCTTACAGCTCAGCGAAAACTCGCTCGCCGAGGAGTTGGAGAAGCGCTGTTTGACAGGTCAGGAAACGCCGGAGCAGCAGGCAGTGTACCACCCCGGTAATCGGCTATCGATGTTGCAGAGCCTGCAGGCCAACGACCTAGAGAAGATGCGGATGATCGGCGGGTATGACGATCTGCTGAAGGAGGTCGGGGCGGATCGCAATGCATCAACAGCGTACGTCATGTATCTGCAGAATCGCAAAAAAATAGAACACCTGGAGCATCTGAAGGATACCGTGTTGGACGACGCTGACAACATGGACGATGTCCAACTGAGGCGTGCCACCAAGGAATACAACAGGCTGTCAGCGGAGATTGCCGAACTCAAGCAAGAAGCAAACGAACCCCCGCCATTCCGCCGGACAGTGTATAAGTATGGCGATCCCGGTGTATGGGAAAGCCGGGTGTACACGCCATTCGATGAGAAGAACCCACGCGACTACTTCCAAAAGGTCACGGAGGAGGTGACGACGGCACTGCGTGACGTTCAGGGAGAGAATTTCGACTTCAAAGGTGCAATGGCCGACGATCTCCATAGCGCTGAACGCCGTGGAGAGATTGTAGAGCACCTGTGGGACATTTTCCACGCCCCGCCCAGCGACAAAAGTAAAATCGAGGACACAGAACCGCGATATGCAACATTGGAGGATATAGACGATTTGTTGCCAGAATCGGAGATATCTAATGAAGCGCATTCTTCGTGGGCAGACGTTCCAGATGCGGATACGGTCGTCGCCAAGCTCGAGACGTATGACCACCCCGAGGCAAAGGACCTCGCAGAAATGATACGCAGTGCGTCAGGATTCAACCCGTTTGCCCATTCGGATAGACTTATAGATGACGACAAGACAGCTATTCTAGGCGCATCTGCAATGGCGAACGATGACGTGACAACATGGCAAGCTCGACTGGACAGAATGTATGAAGACGTCGGTGTCGATCCCATGGATGTGGCGGCGGCAACGCTTGCCGGCAAAAGTCACGGAAAACGCACGAATGGCGACTCATCGGAGGAGCACGACATTTTGATGCAATCCTTTGCACGCGACGATGGCGCTATCTCAGAAGTGCCCAATGTCGACGAGTATGTGGACTCAACGGAAGGGGCCAAAAGCGAAGTAAACTTCCTTGCCCCCGAAGTGGAGGACGATGACGACACGGATTATGTAGAAACGTCAGAATTGTCGGACGACGACTTCAACTCAGATGATACCGCTGAATCATCCAAACCAGGCGGGTATAATGAGGGGCCCGAGGACGCTGAGCACCGTTCACGGTATACGGAGAAAAACCAAAACGGATATGATATAGATGTATCCGATGTATATGACTCCGTGTCCGATTCTGATGACGATGGTTCGGACTTTTACAGCGGTTTGGAAGATTCGGATGACGCTTCCGGTGTGGAAGACAGCGATGCCGATGAGGAAGAAAGTGACACCGATGACACCTCCGACATTGAGGATTTCAAGGATGTTGCAAGTAGCATATTCGCGTCAGAAGAGCTAACCGAACTGCCGAAAACACGGTCCAAATCACGACTGGGACAAAGTCACAGTTTGAGGGACGTTGCGTCTGAAGTGCCGACTTCGGGGACCCTGACCACAACACCTACAACCGATACGGCGATCGATGTGTCAACTGCTTTGCCAAAGGGTCCACTGGAGCCTGTGGAAAAATGCTACGAGGCTCCCACAATAACAGATGATATACAGAATATCTTCAACGAAGTCAGGGCGCTTACTGCCAACGTAAGCAATGAGGACACGCCGCTCGAGGCGACTGATTTCCCCCCTAAATTCGAAAATCGGGACACCAGGAAAATCAACCACCAACTCTATATACAGAGAAACCGTTTTCTAGATCCGGTAACCCGCCTTTATGTGATGAGCAAGGTGCCTCCCCGACCTCTTCCGCCAAAACCGGAAGACGAACTGGAGAGTGACTCAGACGGTTATGACTTCTCCTCTACAGTTGACCGTCGGCCTAAGGACGGGTTCATGCGGAGCAGTGATTCAGGCACTAATGACGACATAGATGCACGACGCCACGTCGGCCAGCAGGATGAATTCAGGGACATCGATTACTTTGACTTTTCGTCAGACGATACGGACGACGAAGGTGAAGAGCATGTACAATCGCCAGAAGAACTCAAAAAAGTGCGTTCACTAGTGAGGAGCGTGGTGAATTCGGACCAGCGCCGCCGCACCCTGTCACGGATCGCGAGGAAGGCGCTGCCACCCGAGGTGGTGGCCAAGTGCAAACAGTAGGTGTGGTCTATTAGATAATAAAACATGTTCAGACGCCCCAAGGAGCCCGAGCACATGGAGGAAATGGCACGTCTGCTGCGCTTCGGCAGGAAGCGGCCGAAGTTGACGCCCTACACGTATTTCCCTGAAGGCATTGGCAACGCGGGACTTGGTGAGGACCGCAGGAGCATGAACCGGCGCATCAGGGATGCCAACCTGAAGCTCACTAAGCTAAAACGCAACAAGCGGTTTTTGAGCATGTTGCACCGCCTCGACGTGGACCCCGACGAGCTAACCTTCGACAACATCCATCAGATGCTGCCGTTCGAACTGGTCTCGTCGAGGCCGCCACCATTCAGAAAGCTGATGGGTATCGGCGAGAGCAATCTGCCTGACGAAAAGGGGTAACAGCATTATATAGGCTAAAGCGGCCGTTCAACCAACAGCATGTAGTAATCGTAGAAAATACAAAAGGCGGCGACTTAGGCACGCCCTATTATAAAATGTCAACGCCGGTGGCCGCATCATTTGAGCATCTCCGTGATTTTGAGCTGGTTTGCCTCTTCGGCTAACCTGTTTTTCTCCGCTTCCTTGAGCAGCGTCAGGTTTGAGGTTTCGCCGTTGAGCGTCGCCGTCACGCCCTCCCACTTGCGATTGATCACGCGCCACATCATCTCTTCCACCGAATTCTCGGCGATGAGGTAGTGGACGTTGATCACCCGGTGCTTGGTGCCCATACGGTGCGCACGGTCCTCGGCCTGGATCATCAGACCTGGGACCCAGTGCAATTCCGCGAAGACGACCGTCGATGACGCGGTCAGGTTCAGCCCTACGCCACAAGCTGTCATAGATAGCAACGCCAGAGTACAACTCTTGTCGTTCTGGAACTTATGCACGTTTTGCTCCCTTTTATTATGAGGCGTGGAACCGTCTATCCTTATATAGTTGCACTTCTGCTCACGCAACGTATCTTCGATTGCGTCCATCAGGAATATGTGGTGAGCAAACACGATGAACTTCACTTCGCTCCTCAGCATGTGCACCACGTACTCGCATACCCCCTTAGCCTTCGCCTCGCCGGTCATTTTGAACATCTCCTGCATGGACGAGAAGTTTTCAGTGTCATCGTCTGCATGTTTGGGCATTGCCGCCAAAATACGCTTGCAATCCTTCAGGAATGTTTTAGGCAGTTCTATGGGCACCTTGGACCGAAGCTTCGGCGGTAGCTCGTGCAGCACGTGCTCCTTGAGGCGTCGTATCATCACCGTCTTGACCAGGAACAAGTGCAGCTCAGAAGTGTGCTGTGACCCAGCGTATACAATTCGCTTGGTGTACCAGTTCAACTTCTTTTGACAATAGCGCTCCAGAAAGACGCTGTTGGAACAAAACGATGGCATGATGCACGAGATCTGCTCATAGAGCTCTGAAGGGGAGTTCAGCGTAGGGGTACCAGACAACAGTATCGCCCTTCTGGTCTCCTTGAGCAACGGAGCCAGACACCGCGTCCGCTTGGCCTGCTTATTCTTGATGTAGTGCGATTCGTCGCAGATGACTACGCGGAAGCCGTGGCGAAAGTGCTCATTCAAGGCGTACAGGTCGTAAGAAATAATCACCACCTTTGTGTAGTCTGGTATGGCCGTCTTTCCGCTTTTGACTGTGCATACTTCATGTTCCTTGATCAGGTGAGGCAGCCATCGCACGCATTGGTCACGCCACTGGAACCGAAGCGACGACGGGCAGACGATCAAAAGAGGCCAATCTGTGCAGTAGAAGGCCGATATGGCCAGTGCTTGCAGGGTTTTACCGAGACCCATCTCGTCACCTATCAGTACGCGGCCGTTTCTGCGTATACCGAATTCCACCCCTTCACGCTGGAAGGGCTTCAGCTGGGAATAAAGCTCCGTGCCTATGATGTCGGACACGCGCTCCATGTTCTTGCGCGTATAGTCACATAAGTAACCGGAAAGCGCCTGCTGAGTCTTTTCCGGAAGCTTTGCCGTGCGGCTGTAGCGGTTGAACTCGGGGAATGTTCGCAGAATGAAATCCGGGATTGGGTCCACTGGGCACTGGCAACCTGCCAATTCCTTCTTCAGAGCCTTCAGGACCACATCGTACTTGTCCGCTTTTATGAGTACGTACGACGTCTTGCCCTCCTTGACCACCCGCAGGCTGTTATCCACGAAACGCAAAAAGTCGAACAGCGGCGGGGGTAGCATCTGCGACCATACGGCCATGTCCTTCACCATCTTCTGGTATGCCACGGTGAATTCATCCTCCGAGTGCAAGACCAACGCAACTACGCCCTCCAGCTTCAGCTTTTGCTTCCCTGGAGACGAGTTCCACTGGGCCGATGAGTTGGACTGTGGTGTGGTATTGCTCGTGGGAGACGGTGTTGCATTATCCGCTGCCAAACGACCAAACGTATTAGCAGATGTAGCTTCCTTGCCACCGATTCCACTGTCAATATTTGTGTCACTTTTGACCTTTGGTGAACTTTTAATCAGCATGTCATCAAGGGTCATTTGGCCTGGTATGCTGTTCCGTCTAGGCGCCTGGGTGTTTGCTCCATCATTTTGGCGTACAACTCCATTAAATACAGACGAAATGGTGGATGTGTTTGGTGTGGCATTCCCCTTAACCTTGGGTAAGGCGTTGGAACTGTTTTTAGGCGACCGCCTTGCCACTGGTAACTGCTGTCTTCTCGCCGCTACTGCTGCTTCTAAAACACGTTGAAGCGTCATTGAGTCGTCATCCAGGATGCTGGCAGTGTCCTGCCTTGGAGTAGCCGAATTGCGGCGCCGCTGATACCACTCCGGTTCATCCTCATCCTCCGCCGCCTCAACCTTCTGCGTCAACCGCCGCCACTTGGCTTCCAAACAGTTGTCTAGTGCCTTACTATGCAAAGACACACGATTACTATCCTGCGATCCAGGTGTGCTAGCTGCCGGCGATGCGGGCACACGACCGTTCGACATCACTGGCCGACGGCTATCCACGACAGCGCTAGCAACACCAGCGGCCTCATCAAGACTCCGCTTCCAGTTCCTACCAGAGTCATCATAAGCCCCAAATCCCCTGGATTCCTTAGGATTCGCATCGCAATCCATGGAACGCAGGAAGTTGCAGAACGCCAGCAACTGCCCGGTGGGCGACTCGATCTGGAGAGCCCAGGCGCCATAGCTCGGGTCACTGCGATTTACCTCTTCGAATGTGCGTCCTTTATATTTACCAAACGCAAATACAACGCTGCCTAGGTTGTTCTCAGACATTTTTAGTAAGTGACCATGCTACACACAGACTAGACACTACACATAAGAGTGTGTACATGAACATTAATATTCAAAGGTTTAAGAGACGACAATCTTCATGCCCTGTGTGTTGGCAGCGTCGGACTCACCAGAGTCGCGAGACCTGTCGAAAAACCTGAAGACAGAGTACAACAGAGAGAGAATACCGAAGAGCAGGCAGACGATGGAGAGAACAACGATGACAATGAAGTAGGTACCGTTGCCCATCAACACGTTAAGGGTCTCGTCGGAGTAGGAGTCGGTGAACTTCTGCAGGTATTTGGTGACGGTATCATAGTTGGCAATGGCGTGACCAGTTTTGCCGAATCTCTGAACTTCTCCGTGAACAATGGCAAGGTATCCAGAGTAGTCGATCTTGCCACCAGTGTAGATGGTGGTGCAGACACCAATGGTGATGACGGAGAGGAGAACAATGAGGGCGTGAACAGCCAACATGATGATCTTGAGGGGCTTGAAGCAGAAGAACCTGCTGACAGAGCTGATGACATCACCAACAATGCAAGTCAAAGACCAGAGGAGACCCAAGCTGAAGGTCCTGTAGCCGCAGCAGGGAGCGCAAAGCGCGAAGGCAATACCCAAACCGAGACTGATGGAGGGAACGACAACCATGACTTGAGTGGAGCTGTCGGTACCCTTGACCATTTGAGCCTTGTGGAAGAGGGAGGCCGCAATCACAGAAAGCAGACCAATGAGGAAGAGGAAGTTACGGTTGTCAATCAAAAGCTGGTTCAAACCGGGGTCGATGGCGCTGACAACGGTCTTCGCGAGAATCTTGAAGGCGTCGCTGATAAGGGCGTTACCGCGCTGCAAGTAGACTGCGCAGATAGAAGCAGTAGCACTGCAGTAAGCAGTCTGGAGGACAGTAACAACCAACATAGGGATCTTGAAGCATGCGGTGACGAAGTGAGCCAAGATAAGAAGACCAAAGGTAGCAACAGCCAAGATCATGTGGGCAGCACCAGCACCCTGGAGCAAGTCAAAGCCAACAGCCTTGATGTCCGTAACATTGCGGGCAGCAATGATGGCACCAATGTCAAGCTTGTTAGGAGAGCACAGAAGCATACAGTATCCAATGGCCATCTGAAGAGAAACGGCGTACATGTAAAGGCCAAGCTTGGCGCTGTAAATGCCGGTAGCTTTGCTGAAGGCACCCATCTTTCCTATATGTTATCCGACCAACACACACAATCCAAACAGAATACTAGGTGACTGCGCGCTGCGGTAGAATGTTCACAGCAGGGGATATCTCGGCGCACTACAAACGCGTCGATGTGTGAATGTGATAGACAATGATTGTGATGACAGATATGTGCAACAACCGCTGCAGCTCCAGTGCATCCGGCGGTGGTGTTGGACACCACCCCGGTGCGCCTGCGCCCAGGGGCATTATGCGTCTAATGCACCTTTTGTGTGTATACAGGCGCGTATGTGTTCGTCAAAACGACTTTTGAGTACCCGTTTATGTTTACTGAGGCTGTGCTGCGGTGTGTGTGGCTACAGTGTGTAGGCGTACAGACATTGCACTTAATAGCCCAAAATGGTGTATTACAAAAAAATTAATTCCGCCTGTTGATCTAAAATAAGCTCTCCAATTTATGCCAATTCCAGTGGACGCGGTGTGACGTAGATCAAAGACGGCACAGATACGAAATCATCTCTAGACAAAGCCAGCTTGCGACGCTGTTCTAGCCTCACTTCCGGCAGGTTGTGATGTCCACACCTGTATTCAGCATGTGGCTTTGTGGCACTAGAACCTACTTGTTTGGCATCAATATCCACTTTACGGTGCGCGTCGCGTGTGGCAATGCTACCATGTCTATATATCGCGGCCCGGATATCATGAACGGATTCACTGTTGCCTGGCTCGCCGGCAGAGTGATACAATAATCCTGCAATGTTTTTTAAGCGTTAAACATAACACATGAGGATATTGTCGTGACTCGCTGCAAAAACGACAATTCTATGCATGCGCTTAGGCGCGGTAGTAGACAAAGTTCACGCTATATGAACAATATGCAAAGCGATTACTACAACCACAGCATAAGGTAACTATCTTCCAACCAAATGGTGGACATTACATGCATGCGTCACCGCACTTCTTGCCTATGTCACGTAACCTACCAGGGTGTGAGGAGTCATGTTCCGTATCTCGGCAACGTACTCGAAAGATTGTCCCAACTCAACGATGCTCTGGTGCTTCACCGCAATGAAGATTTCACAATTGTCTTTCTCGTTGTAGAGGGATATGTTCTTCTGCAAACAAGGATTAATAGCCACAATCACGCACTTACCGTGACCATAATCTGGAAGCACGGCTGAAGACGGTTGAACGGGAAAGCATCAGCGTGAACCACTGCATGCAGGCACTGCACTTCCACGGCAGAGTCACTATGCTTATTAGTCGGGCACAGGTACATGAACCGCAGCCCTTCCTTGTCCTCCATCGTTTTGCGGTAACCATACAGCTGGTCGTCCTCTGCGTCGAATGAACAGGCACTGTCACGCGAAAACATACGGGCTGCAGAAACGCCGTCGTGGAGTACACGCACGCTATCCAGAGTGTATTGCAGTGGACTCTTGTTCGAGAGATGCATGTTCAAAAACTTTATGTAGCCACCTGCGTTGTTGTCGTACACATGCTCGACAGCAAGGTCCAGTGCCACCGGCTCGTGCACCAAAGTCTTAGTGATATCCGTCACAACCAAGAATTTCGACTCCATTGCCTTCAAGGTGTGGCCTAACATCGGCTGCATTTGCAAGTTAAATTGGACCGTAGTCGGCCCGTGCGAAAGTGCCTTGAACAATCCAAATATGTAGACCACCCCAGTGTTAGCATCACGCTTGGCTAACTCCAGGAAGTTGCTCATGTCCTCATTAATGCTGTAAACTACAGCTGAGTCGTCGGCAAAGAGAGTGGGCACCACAGTGTCCGCATCAGGGCCGCTCCGAGCGTCCAAACGCGTGTCTAGGTCGAAGTGCTGTGCATCCGCGAACCCCGTCAAGGTGAAGGCAAACTTGTTGTTCACGCAGAGGCGCATGACGCCACTCTCGTCAGCGCCGTCACGACACAGGGCGTAGAAGTGAAACGAGTTTGCGCTCGACGTCACCTCGACAGAGAACCTAATGCGTGGGAGGTACTCCGCCTTTAGGATTTGCTTGTTGTACAAAAGCACGCAGGTAACCGGAGCAACATGTCCCTCCACCAAATCGCCCAGGAAGGACTTGAAGTATATGCGATTTACGAACATCCGGTACGCACCGCGAGCGTGAGGCATTGATGCTGGTGGGTTCGAGTCCACCAGCTCATCGAAATCCAGAAGGCATTGGCTCACACTCGTCAGTTCCACCAATGTGTCCACTATCATGCCATACCTGTCGGCACGCTTCGGGTTGACCGCGGTCATATCCAGCAGCTCCTCCGATTTGAGCGATGTGCTGGCGTACCCAATGGTGACTACATCATCAAAAATACGGAAGACGCCGTGGCACGGGTCTGCCGTAAACATTGTATCCCCGATGCCGGGAATACCGTGCGGCAAGCGTAGCGTCAGGGATGGCATGACGCACGATATGTTGACCGAAGCGCCGTCTCCCATGTTCTTAACCCAAAGCAGGTTTACACCCAACAACACGAAGCTGTCTACCATGAACTTGTTGTTGATAGCAGGGCACGTTATGGCGAGCAGCACATGGCTATCGCCAGCGAGAGTCGCCGTTTTTCTTTCTGGTGTGGGCTTCGTGTTGCTTACCACCGTAGGTTCCTCGTGCTTGTCACGCGCAGATTGGTCACCGTCACTGTCTCCGCTGTCAGCAGAATCACTCTCACCGCTACCACTAGATCCATCCTCACTTGTCAATGAATCCTCTCGTTTGACGTCCGAGACATCCGTGTTATGTTCCCCGGCGCACGGAGTGGTGTATATTTCCACACGGTCGTTGGTGCACAACACCTCTGAAATGTCGAAGGCAAACGTTCCGATAGACGTGCATATAGTCACGTTTGACACCTCTACGCTGAAGGGTAGGTCGACATGGAAGCTGACCAGAATCTGCAGGGTGGTCATGATGGAGTCGTCACCGACATCGGCCCGGCCGAGCATGTACTGCGCTTGGTGATGCTTGCTCAACAGTACCGAACTTGAAATGTCGTTTTTCGGTGAAATGCGCGACACGAGCCAGTTGCACGAACGTTCGATGTCGAAATCGGTCTCCGTAACAGAATGCAGCGTCAACATCGACTTCAGCAGGATCAAGGAGTACTCGCGCCGAGCGCTGGCGGTTACCATATCAATGTCTAGCCTGGGGCTGTTTTCGAGCTCAAACTTGCTCCTCAACGGCTCTTCGTAGATGCTTGTCGGAAGGTCGGCGGCTTTCGTCACGGATTGCGGCAAATCCATGGGTTGGCCTAACAGCAGGTTCAACGTGACCATCATCTTCGAAAGCACGAGCTCGTACAGCGACCACCAGACTTTGGAGTTACCATGTTCCGCCATCAGCATCGTAGTTGACGTCTTCAAAAAGCTCGGGTAGAGGCGAAGCGCATCCTGCCCCGCGTTCGAATCCGTCCTCTGGGCTGAACGGGCCGTGGTGCTCTGCTTCAGCGCCTCAGATATAACTGTGGAAGAACAACTCTTCAGCAGGTAATCAGTATCCAAAGGCGTTCGGTTTACCAGTGACTCTCCGATGTTGGCGTAGATAAAGAAAGCCTCCTTCAACTTAAACGAAAGGAACAGCGAATCACCCAGGATTTCCGTCACCTGTAACAAGGTCTGGTACCAGCTGCAGGTGGACAGCATGTCCATCAATTTCACCAAAATGCCCTCCGTCACCGCTTCCAGGTACCGTACACGGCGCTCTTTGCTCGCACCATGCCGCTCCGCGGCAGCATCCGCATAGAGATGGCTGAAATCCACGTCGTCCCTGAAAAACAACGATCCGAACTTCCTCGGGGATTCCGTGACGTCGGTGCAGGACATCAGGGTGGTACGCATCTGCATGAGGTGTCGCAGGGACCACTTGTAGAAGTTGACCGCATGCTGGCGTATGTGGCTGTTCGCCTTCAGCTCCTTGTACTCATTCGCCTTGTCCAGGTGCTGCGCGACTGCGTGGTGCAGCAGGTAGCACAGGTTGTGGTACAGGGCCAGCAGGCCGTCGGAGTAGAAGAAGCGCTTGAAAAAGGCCGCGACCTCAAAGGCGAACGTGAGCGCCTCCACGATGTTGGAAGACGCAAATCGCGCGTTAACCATCTGCAGCGCTATGTACAGTGCCACACTGGCGTACTCCTCGCACGGCCGGCACATCACCGCCGGGATGACATGAGACCACGCCTGTGTCAGCACCTGCACGCTTTCCTTGAAGTTGCCAAGGAACTGGTGGAAGTACGCCAACTTGAAGTTGGCCATTGCTGCATTTATCTCGGACGTCTCGTCCACATTAGGCCCTGCGCTGGGCTTCACCTTCGAGAGCGCTTTGGTGAGCAAGTGGATCCGGCGCTCGTAGTAGGCCACGCTGACATCGTGCATCAGCTGCTCCAACTTGGACAGCTTGTTCGATATGTCTGCGTCGCCACACGTCACACAAACTGCGGCCACTTCGTTAGCATTTAGGTTCTTGAGACTGTTGACCGCCTTCTGGGGATTCTTAGTGCCCTCCCGCAGCAGGACCAAGAACATGATCCTGCCTGCCACCGGCCTACGGCCCAGCAGGTTCTTACGATAGGCATGCAACGTCCGCTCGACATCGGCCTTTATAAAGTCCGACAGTTGCTTCATATCACCGCGTATCAAATGCGCCTCGCTCTCGGGCTTAGCATCAGAACCGTCGTCATCCCCATCAGGGTCTGATTCATGAGACATTTTTTTGCGATCATCTCGGAACGCGGTAAAATCATCAGCGCTTCCCGCTGACCACGAAGCATCGACCACGTAGTTCTGCCAGTCCCTCACGCAAACGATGCACGGGGGCAGGCTTTGTTGCAGCAACACCCAGTCGGCGTCCTCCGGGATATCGAGCTCCCAGTCCTGAGTGCCGGTGGCTTCATCGTGGACTATCTTGTTGCCGTCATATATCTCGACGTTCAGGCGGTCCCTGTTGTTGGTTGTCGTTGCGCGACCCGCGGCCATAATGAAGTCTCGCAGCTTTGCATGACTCTCGTTGTACGCAGACACAGCTGCGCACGGCAGCGGAAGCGATGTAAGATGACTAGGCAGCGAATCCATCGTGAGCCTTGTGTCGGTAGCCGAAGCTCAGCTGAATCAGAGAAGAGACCGGTAGGCGTCAAGAACGCATCACCGGCCGCTCAACATGAACGGCGAATAGACAATTACGTTCGATTCAGGTGCCAATACAGCACTACACGATGATGCTTGGCGCATTGAGGAGGCCGCCTTCGGTCAACACGCCTACACCAGGGGTCAACGCGACACCCAGGAGCGACCCCGGCCTTGCGTCAACACGCAAGCCAAGGAGAGCTTAAAACGCGCTCTCACAGTCCGCCGCAGCTGGTGTAACACCAGGCATTTAGAAACGGCTTGTGCCGCGTACACCGATCAGACAACTCGCTCACTGGCGCGGGACGCCCACAACCGGTGGTGGCAGGTGTGAGGGTGGAAGGTCAGCTCAGAAAGAATAAAATCCACCGTATGTCGCGGAATATAGCGGGTTTTGTGTTGTTATAGTTATATAAGCCTGCTAACTGACTGTGCCGTCCGTATCTCGCTGACGGAATGCCGTGAACGTTACTAAGGTCGCTTCAATGCCGAACCGATGGTCACACATCGGATTTTGTGGGCGATCACCGCGTGCCTTATAATTTGACTTATGTGTATCGAGGAAGGATATTATGCGGGGTCTGTCAACTTTCCCGCAAATAACGGGTATGCGCCAATAACCGCGCTCAACTGGCGGATGTAAGAGGTTCATCGTGGTTCTAAATTTACGGATACACGCATATACAGGACTGTTAGCCGCAATTGAGGCTATATATAATGCCCGCAATCATTCCTTTTCAAGGAATATGGCCCATTGCCACGGGCATACCTGGGTCACACACAAGACTAACTAGCCGGCCTTCCACCTGTACAATTCTACTGGCGCTGACAGAACGGCACTGCGAAATATGTAAGCCATGCTACCGCCACATATTTAGCTCAATGTGTAGCGCGGGACGACAATGGGGGTGATGAGACGGTGGCGTATGACCGGCGCCTCCGCCGCGGACACCAACACTGTTAACTCTTACACATTACGGCGCGCCGTAATTTTATTAGCTGACGTGAGATGCGTTAGCACACAGCAGGTTTAGCCGGGCGATCAATCCGCATTGACACACAATCGACAAACATGGCGATGGACGATACGCTCGACAACTACCTGCACGACGATGGCCTCTCACGAGTGCCAGAGTGCGATGAACAAAACGATGCGCCGCTTAGCGATCGGTACTCCAAGCAGTTTCGGGAGGTATACGAGATTGTGAAGCAGTTGAAGACCTTTAGCGACGATATGATCAACCAGACCATGGACCAGTACTATAACCGTCTGGGCCTCAACGAGTACTACTTCAGCACCTCCAACTCGAAGATGATCGCTAACAACATGGTTTCGGTCCTGACGGCCAAAATCCTGCACGAAAACTCCGGATCGGACTATTTCCCGCTCATTGAGCAGGTTCACGACGGCCGGGTATTCATCATCACCAGGGCCTCACTGCTCAACCAGAAGATCTACCAGAGTTACGCGGTCGAGCGCAGCGTCGAGAAGCGTTATTTGAACTTTGGGGACATGAGCAAACCCATATGGAGGATGCAGTGCTTCAGGTCGACCAACTCCATCTTCGACGACCCGGATAACCTGTTCGAAAGATTGCGCATTTACTTCTTGCAACTGCCCAATTTCACCGTCGCGGACCCGGAACCGGGGGAGCTGAGTCTCAGTAAATTGTTGGACAGAGACTTCTACAAGAACAAGAAGAACACCATCACGGAGGATATCTTCTACAAGCTCAACAAACAACTGATAGAGTCGGACACCGGGCTGGGTATCGCAATTGCAGCTGAACCGAGGCAGTTCAACACGTACCGTATCGACGTGGCCTTCAGGCGTGAGCACATCCAAAGCGACTTCTACTCCAGGGTTGGAGATTGCATTACTTACTACGGCTGCTACTCGAAGTCAAAGTACATCGACCCGCTGTCGAACAACGTGTGCATCATCACTGCGTTCATTACGACGTTGCCAACAACTGAGATCGCCAACCCCAACATGACGATGGAAGACAGGGTACACAGCATCGTGACGGCAATCAGGTTGTGCGGAGTTCTGCCGCACACCCACTACTTGTCCATCCTCAACGAGCGGCTTTTGGATGTAACTGAAATGGCCTACGCGTTCTGCGCGTCGATCTTCATCGAGCATTTCAGTGGAAGCGTGGGACCGCACGTCTCTCTCATCGAAAGACTCACGACGAGGGAGCAAATAACGCCTTCGGAACTGTACGACATTCGTTCGAAGCTTATGATTCCGCCGTATCTGCCTCACCAGATATTTGACGCGGTGCGGGCTAATGAGGGAATCCTCAAAATGCTGTACCAGAACTTCCGCAAGCTGCACGACCCCGCGCTAAACCCGAATGGCGTCAACGAGGACCCAGAAACGCCAAGGCTGAGGGAAATGATCAAAACCTTGGATGACCAGGAACACGCCAAAATCATGTCATTCTTCCTCACGTTTAACGCCTGCACTCTGCGCACCAACTTCTTCATGCAGGAGAAGCTAAGTCTCAGCTTCCGATTCGACCCCTCATTCCTGTCGAAGAACGACTATCCGCAGACCCCGTACGGAATCGTTATGATATTAGGGCCGTACTTCAGGGGGTTCCACATCAGGTTCAGTGAGATTTCCCGTGGAGGAATCAGGGTTGTGCAATCGTTCTCGCAGGAAGCCTTCACCAGGAACAAGCTGCAAGTTTTCGACGAGGCCTACAACCTGTCGTACACCCAGAGTTTGAAAAACAAGGACATTCCAGAGGGTGGTAGCAAGGGTGTGATCCTGCTCGACAAGGCGGCGAGCAAGGAAATAGCAGCGATATACACCAGGAGCAGCTTCATGTGCTATGTCGACGGGCTTATCGATGTTATGATGCCCAAGGACCAAATGGTTGACAGGCTGAAAAAGGATGAGATATACTTCCTGGGTCCCGACGAGCACACTGGAACTGGGGGCCTCATGGACTGGGCGGCCAAGCACGCCAGGCTCCGTGGGTTCCAATTCTGGAGGTCCTTCACCACCGGTAAGGAGCCCGAGATGGGAGGCATTCCTCACGACGTATTCGGCATGACTACAGCTAGTATTGAAGCCTACATCCACGAACTACTTGCGAAGTGCAACGTGAAGGAAGAGGATGTGACGAGGTTCCTTACTGGTGGTCCCGACGGAGACTTGGGAAGCAACGCGCTTCTGTGCTCCAAAACTAAAACTTTGGCAATCGTCGACCGCAGTGGTGTTCTGTACGATCCGGAAGGACTCGACATCAACGAGCTGCGAAGGTTGGCTTCTTTGAGACTCAAGGGAGAGAACACCTGCTGCATGCTCTACAACCCCGACCTGCTCTCCAAAAGGGGGTTCAAGGTTGCTGAGGAGGCTGTCGATATAGTGCTGCCCGATGGAAGAAACGTCAAGCGGGGTTACAAATTCAGGGACGAGTTCCATCTTGGAGGATGCTCGTGTGACCTGTTCAACCCCTGCGGAGGCAGGCCGTCGTCCATCACTCCTTTCAACGTTAACAGCTTGTTCGACGAGAAGGGCAAGTGTATATACAAGTTCGTCGTAGAAGGTGCCAACGTGTTCATCACCCAGGATGCGCGCCGCATTCTGGAGAGCAAGGGCGTCATCCTTTTCAAGGACGCTTCCACGAACAAGGGAGGTGTCACCAGCAGCAGTTTCGAGGTGCTGGCTGCGTTGGTGCTTGACGACGTAACTTTTGATGAGACCATGACCGTGAAGAAGGGCGGAGAGTACCCAGAGTTCAGGAAGAACTACATTAATGAGATTCTGGACATCATCAAACGCAACGCACGTATGGAATTCCATGCCCTGTGGAACGAGGGGCTGCGTACTGGCAAGCCCAGGTGCGACCTCACGGATATTCTGTCGAGCAAGATCATCAGGCTGAAGAAGGACATCATGGACGCCAACTCGTTGTGGGCGGACCTCACACTGGTCAAGTCTGTCCTATCTAGGGCCATCCCACTGTCGCTGCAAAAGCTGCTGTCCATAGAGGAGATCATGAAGAGGTTGCCTGAGCGCTACATGCGGTCCATGTTCGCCTCGCACCTCGCCTCCACGTTCTACTACGTGCAGGACTTCACGGATGACACTTCGGTGTTCGCCTTCTACGAGTACATCAACATGCTCAGGGGAGGTGAGAACTTGGAGGCATCGCAGAGCTTCGTCATGAGGAACTGAGTTTTAGGATATTATCTTTAGCAATTGGTGGCCCGACAGGAAGGGGACCAAAATGTCGTCCACGGTCGGAGGTACTGCAAAGGTCTCATCGTCGATTTCAAAGAAGTTCAGTTCCTTCGGTGGCAATCCTAGGAAGGTCGCGCCATTGCGGCACGCGAAGTCCTCAAGAAAATCCAGGCGGTCTAGTTGCTTGAAGATTGTGGCGACGTACTGCAAATAAGATTAAGAGTGCCGTAACTCCACCCACGTTCATGAGGAAGGGCTGCGTGAAAATGCCTGCGGGCGGGTTCGCGGACGATTTCGCAGCGCTGCGGACGAGTGCAATCTGGGGTCTTTGAAGTCACTTACAGAGGATGCGGCGCGGAGTCCGATCCTAGGAATACCTTGGAGCTCCTAGACTTTATCGCCTGCGTGTGCATACAACACTGCATTATCACTGCGGTATCGGCATTCAAAAGCTGCTTTTGCGGAAGCATAAACGCAGTTCACCACGGATAATGGCGGGCACAGCTTCGACAAAACTTTGGCGTAGCCCACGGGCACGCGGACACTCACTGGAACCGCGCAACATTGACAGACTACTGACCTGCAGAAGGGCGTCTCTATCGTCGGCGCTTTTGGCCAGCGGTTTGCAGTAGAGGTGCGGATTTTTTATGTGCGATGCGATGTTATCCAGCGTCACGCCGTCCAGGCCGGATAACACGTCGTCCGTCGTCAGGAACAGATGGTGCGGCGTCACGCTGGCGGCGAGGTTGGGTATGCGGGACACAGCATCAAGGCTCGCCTTGGTGGACACATGCTCAGCCACAACCTTCAGCCTGGGGAAGGAACGGGCCACCTGAAACAGCATATTTAACGCATCTAATTGTTTCTTGTTTGTTTTCTATGTCGTTACTGGCTGCTAAACGTACATGCTCGATATGGGGGATGAACTCTGCCTCGGCAGACAGAGGGCTGCTTCCCGGCTGCTCGCCGTGCACGTGTAGCGACAGTCCTAGCTCCTCCATAACGGAGAATATAGGGTAGAACTCTTCCAGTGACTGAGAAACATGTGCCATCTGGAATCACCCCTACCTGGAAACCGTGCTGCGAGTTGGTGGTGGTGCCCACGGGGTAGCATTTCACCTGAGGTGGATGTATGCTACTCAACGCTGCTTTACCCCCTGGACGTTGTTGAGCCGAGAGTTCATACGCAGGTCGTCGGCCGATATGTCGTGCGTTAGGTAGAGCGTCATAAGGTAGTCCACGCGGGGCTCGATTGCGAGCAGCTGCTGCCGGTACGCACCAGCCTGCGCGCAGGTGGTCACCGGCGGCGTTGTATTAGGCATTACCAGCACACGGTCGCTTAGAAATGTGAATTGGGTGCATATGTGACTCACCAGCCACCTTGTCTTATACGCCGCGTCACCAGCGACATCAGCTCACCTTGCCGAAGGTGGCAATGCAGGTCGTCTGCGTACGGAATACGCAACATTTTGGTATGAAACTACAATTTAAGCTGTGGAAGGTCGGATGTGTGCTGCTGCCGTTGCGCAGAAGCGTCCGACCACGGCGTATTGCCACACACGGAAGGCGACGTGTATTAACGCGGCCTTCTTTGTCAAGAGGAGCCCCAAAAGTTCAGACTGCCGCAGCACGATTTCAGCGCCTTTAGCATGGGCTGTACGACAGTGCGGGGCGAGAAGGGCGTGCACCGCATCTCCAGCAGCAGGCCCGGCGGCGCAACTCTCAGATCCTCTCCAGCCGCACTTGCCTCTGCAGCAGCGCCATTCACGTCCGCATTACGGCTGCTGTCAACACCGTGATTGTGCGCCACAAAGTAGATCCCCTCCTTGTAACGCCTCGGGAAAACCGTGTTGTATGCAAGGAAGTACCACGGGAACTTGGTCATGACCTCGATGACGGTCTTCCCGAACGCACGCGCCACGAAAACTGGCAAGTACACCAGCAGGGTCACACAATAGAACACCCAAATCGTGGGATATATCAGGAGCAGCAGCGTGAATATCACCGTGCCCAGGAACAGCTGCTCTCGCGTATAGTTGTTCGAGTCCAGCGACTGTTTCAGCACGTTCCACTTCTTGCCCCTGTCAATACTGACAAATGTGTTGCATAAACTCACTTGAAAAGCTGCAGCAGCGAGTAGAGGTAGCGCTGCATCCACTTAGTAAGGTACAGCATGATGCAGTGCGCATACGCCACGTGCATGGTCTCGATCGTCAGTATGTCCACCAGCACTGCGGTGTGGCACGTCACTCCAAACAACGCCGAGTACTGGAAGATGTTCGAGATGATGGTGAAGTTCTCCCGGATCTTCGGCTTGATTAAGCGCCACACGACCAGCACGCTAAGGAGCAGCCTAGAGACGAAAACGGCAACTTCATTGTTTAGTTTGCAATATTTCCCAATGCGCATGGCGAAGTGGTATGACGTGTACCTGTGCCGCAGTTAGAAGGCGACGTGCCACGTAAACGTACTTGAAACTTGATACGTAAACCTCCCGAAGCACCAGACGCAGATAGTTCACTGCGTAAACCACGGTTCTTCGGTAAACAAGAACTTCCAAAACACCCGCTATCACATCGTTGACAAATGACCAAACACTCTGGCGCAGGCTGTGTCTGGCGTCGAGGTAGTCGACGATGTCTGAAGGCATTAGCATACGGGACATCCACACATACCTTCCTGCAAGTAGAGCTCACGGTAACGCTCCTGCCACTGTTTCATTTCAGTGAGGCGTTTGGACATCACCGACACCACGGTCAGTTGGTAGAGCGTCGTGCGCAAGGGCTTGCAACGGACCATGGATACTACGGAGAGCACCCACTGCGCTGCAAGCGACATATAGAGCACGAGCTGGATCATCCACTTGCAGATAACATTCACTGCGATTTCACAACGCAAATGCCGTCTTCTATACGACGATTTGAAGGCAGCCAAATCGCCGGCGTCTCCAGGCACATCAGAATCGGCAATCCTGGCATGCAGCTGGGTATCCAGGTATTCCACCAACGCACATCCGGTGATTAAGTAGCTGCTCAGCCTCATCTGACACGGCACTCCGCAGTCATTCGCATTGGCCCGCCGCTGCCTAGCAGCACAGATGGTGAGCAACTCGGAGAACGACACCACGCCGAAGTCCTCCACTGCATACTTGACCACTTGAACAGGCTTGCAACTGCCGTCAGAACTGATACACATCAGACAGACCAGATGTAAACCCACTTTCGCATACAAATGCCGCCATTTCCACGTATCAAGGATATGTCCAGGATACGCAAAAGGCCGTGTCTACAAAATTCGTGGCGAAGTGCCGGCAACTCCTCCAGCTCCCGCAACGCGCAGCGCAAGGAACGTTCCTGAAAATGCAATATAATCGCATGCGGCCTATAAATACCTGCCACGATGGATAAGAGGAGACGGCCACCGTCGACCGAAGAACGGGGATGTGCCAGCCAACCAGCAGGCGGCTGTTATCCCCCGCGCAAACCCTGCGATAGTCTTCGGTCGGCAAATAGACCGTAGCCTGTTGGTCATCCATCGGAGAGGCGGTCACATTCTATGCAATGGGACTAATCGGGGACGGGCGGCGCAGTGTGTACCGCGACGCCTTCCAACGCGACGGTGGTTAATCACACAGACAGATATGCATTAAAGGGTAGTTAGTGCAGTTCTGTTATAAACCTGTGCGAAAGCGCAGTGGAAGCTGTCAGACGCTCCAGCGGATCGTACTGCAACAGCCCCTTGATGAAGTCGCCGAAGGCTTCCAGCTCGGGAGAAGTTGACGTCCCGATCATCTCATCGATTGAGCACCTATAAGGCTCGATGATCCTCACACACTTCGCGTTAGAGCGTCCGTGGCTGAAGTCTAGCTTGATGTCCTTGTTCACCTGCTGCAGACGGGCACCGCCACTGCGCCGCGACACCACCACGTCCTGCATTATCGAGTACTTCCTCGGTGTTATGTTGGTGTACTCCTGGGATTCGTTGGAGTCGTTGCTGTCGTTCAGGTCCATCACGGAGTCGTAGTCGGCTTGCGTGTTTATATCAGCCTTGCTACCCACCTGCGTGCCAACGGCCGAGCCGCGTGAGGAGTTGCTGACGGAGATGTTGCACATCAATGACGACTGATAATCGGAGTTCAACGTCTTCTGTGGACCTTTCAGGATTTCGGAGCTCACGCCAAGGTCCGCCACGTTTCCGTTTGGCAGCACCATGAACGTGCTGTTCATCTTGTGTTCCAAGATGTAGACCGGAGGCACACCCAAGAGACTTATCATCGATGCCATCAAGGTTGCGTTGTTGTCGCTGGGGAATAGAATGCGCTGCATGTATATTTCGCACAGCACGCACCCCAAACTCCAGAGGTCGATTTGCGTGTCGTAGGGGAGGCCCAGAATAACCTCTGGTGCTCGGTATGAGCGACTCTGCACATAGTTGCTCAGGCGCTCCTGAATGTAGCAGCTGGAGCCGAAATCTATCAACTTCACGATGGGCGATTCCGAACCGTTGTTCAGCACGATGTTCTCCGGCTTCAGGTCACAGTTTATGATACCCAAACTGTGCATGTACTTTAATGACTTCAAAATGTCGACAGTCATCTTGCGTATGGTATCCAAAGACCATCCTGTCTTCTCATCGGGACCCACACTAGGGGACCGGTCGCCGGGGGCAGGTGACAGTTGTGCCTTTGACTTCTTGTACAGCTCTCGCGTGGATTCGTACAGATTCGCTCCCAATATTTCTAGGATCGAAAATACGCAGCCCTTGTAGTAGAAGAAGTCCTTTAATTGCACTATTGCGCGCGATTCTTCCGGATTGGTGTTGTTCAGGATCTTCAGCAAATTGATCTCATCGATGGCTTGGTTCACTGTGTCTGGCATACTAATCTTTAAGCACACCTCTCCACCCTCTCGGTCGTCGCGGGCGCGAAGAACAACAGAGAACGCCGTGTTGCCCAATATTTCACATACATGGTAACGACGCACCAGCACGTCTCCTACCTTGATGTACAGGGGATCAAAGTTCCCTTCGGACACCGTCTCGCCCCAAGGGAACACGCAACGGATCGGGAACTCGTCTAATGGTTCGCTACGGAGGTTGCCGCTCGAAAGAGTGTTCATGTGTTCTTTCTGCTTCCTACGAAACTCCTCCATGTCTCCACAGGCGTACTTTGCCATCCAACGCTCCATTTTCGCTGCTAACGGGTGTCCAATGTACAAATCGGTCTTGAAGTCAGGCTGTTCCTCCAGACGGGCGGACGGCTCGGAGAAGTCGCCGCTGTACTCATCAGCTACGCTGGCGCAACCGAGTTCATCATCCGCGTCAACCGAGCACATCTTGCTGCCAAGCCTTCGATCAGACGACGAACTTGTGCCTTCAGATCTCCCGAAACGCGGGGATATGTCACCCATCGCGCCATTACTGTCGGATGCAATCGACGTTCCGCTGGTAATAAGGCCAACGTTGGCAGGAGCTGAGAGATGGGTGGAGAGCATAGCCGCTCCACCGGAAGACGGCTGGACTTCACCGAAGGACGAAGAAGCGTCGTCGCACGTGGCGTCAGTGCCGAACTTCGGGGAAAGGCTGTGGCTCTTGTCGTCATCCGCCGAAAATGTGTGATTCACTGATGGGCCCAGATACTCATAGTTCGACAGGTAATATGTGTAGCGAGGCATCTTTGGCGTTGGAGATGCAGCCCCGGCTGCAGCCGCTGCAGAGGACGAGGCGGCCATGGTCGCGTCCATTGTACACACGACTGAGACACGCGGAGATGGTCACGAGATAAGCTCCATCCAAGAGCCGTTGAAGATCACGTGGCACCGGTCACATGTCCACAAATTTGACGTCAATAATAAATATTTATCCGGAAGGAGGCAAAATAATAGTGCAAGTGCCCACCACGGTTCGTGTCTAAGGCCAACACCCTGGTGGTGCGAAGGACACGTCAAGCCCCGCGATTCGGGTGTTACGAAAACGTAGAGTTTCGTCGCTTCCTGTATCAATCGATCGTGTTATTGCGCAATAATTCATCCGTTGATACCCGAGCAGGTGACGCTACACCGGGCGTGACAAGGAATCCAACTAACAATGGAGCATTCATCGCAATGCATCTACCGGATTAAGCCGGTTGTCCGCAACTATGACTGGGGAGCTCCGGCGAGGTCATCGTTGGTGTACCGCCTATATTCCCACGTAGCAGGGCTCCCCTCCACGCCTCCTTCAGACGAAGTAGGCAACACACCCTATGCCGAGCTATGGGTCGGAGATCATGACTCCGCTCCTTGCGTTGTAATCGACCTTAAATCACGCACTCCGAACGCTAATGGGCTGAATGGGTCCACGGATGGCCCTGAGCATGGAATTGCAGGTTCTCCGTCCACCTCAGCCACCAAAGGAGTTACACATGAGCTAGTATCAAACAACGGGCGTGGAGAAAGGCTCTCCTCCGTGTACAAACGCATGGGAATGCAGTTATTTGGGCAAGAAAACAATGGAGTTCCCATACTGCTAAAAGTTCTCTCAATCGCAAAGCCGCTGAGCCTGCAAATACACCCGGACCCCGACACCGCATTGAGGATGTTTGCACAAAAACATCCGAGCATTGTTGATTGCCAGGCGAAGCCCGAAATGAGTGTGGCTCTCAGTCGATTCCGTGCCATGTGCGGATTGAGACCGCTGAGTGAAATTGTACAGTATGCGGAACGCTATCCGCCATTCGCGCGCATGATAGGGGATTATATTTTGACGTGCATGAGGCAGTCTGAATCGGCCAACAGTGGCACTATCTATGCAAATCTGTGTCGGCGTTTGCTCCTAGAGCAAGGCGAAACTAATGTAATCGGGGAACTTGTGAAATTAGTGAAGGAAAGACCCGATCACGATATATCTGAACAAGTCATTATCACACTGAACGACGTATACGGCAATGACATTTGCGTTTCCTTTGCTTTCGTTCTGAATTGTGTAGAAATACAGCGTGGGGAAGCGTTCTTCATACCTCCAAATGTCCTGCACAGCTACACCAGTGGGAACTGCTTGGAACTCATGAACAATAGTGACAACGTGATCCGATGCGGACTTACCTCCAAGGCTACTGACACCAAAGCTGTCATGGAGCTTGTGGACGTTGAAGTACAAAGAGGTGATGCGTTTCCACAGCATGTAAATAAGATAATTCCGGAAAACGTATCACCCCACGTTAAGATTTACCGTCCTTCGCACCCGCTTTGCAAATTCGCTGTCTGGTCATTCGAGGTACCACCAAAGGCACATGTTTCCCATTTGTTTAGTAACGGAACACGGCCGTTTTTATGTGTAATAGTGGAGACCAATGATGAGGTTGATGTCAGTTATAGTTCAACACAGAAAGATGGAGATGAAGAGGCGACTGCTGCCTCCCAAGAACAGGTGCCAACGGGGCTGGGTGACACATTCTTCTTATACCCCAATGTAACTCTAAACGTCAAAAATAATGGGGATTCGCACTTTGTGATGTACCTCGGCACGGAAACATGACACATAGCCGCCATGGTTTTCGTAACAACACTACAACAAACTGGTAATGCTAGTGGTATACTGTTTGTCGTTTTAGATTGCATAGTGTGTTGGGTGGCTGCCCATAGCACGGGCTGCTTATTGTCTATGTTGAGGCCTACGCCCCAAGTTACATGTCAGCTGCGAGTCGGTGATCTTTCCTTGTTTTTGCTTTATTAGCGTTTTATGTGGCTACTTACGGCGTGGGCTGTTTTTCGCGTTCACTAGGCTTACGCCTCACTCCATTGATGTAGGTTGTGGGCTCCAAGTCATCCTGCTAGCGGGCGTATTTCGAATAACTTCTAGGGGAGCATACAGTGTCGTTTAGTGCCTATCTACGGTAGGGGACAAGTAAACGATTCATAACGGCTATATATGCATAACCCACCTAAATTAGGAGCAGCATCGCGCTTGCTCTTTGGTGGTGCAATAATATAATGTAGCCAAATGGCTAGCTACTATTAAAAATCGCATAGTTAAAAGATACAACCTACAAGGGTTAATGTGCCTTGCACTCAACAGACGCTCTGCATTTTGGTCATGGGTGTGACCCCGAAATTCGCCGTGGTGGCGCTAATTTTTCATCTGCCAGAGAGAATGTAAGATGCTGTATATACGGTGAGCATGTCCATACAATCTCTGCCTGGCATACAACGATGAACGCATGTGAAGTTGGAACAATAACCCGCCACATGAAGTCATAAACGTGATTAAATAGAAGTTCGAAACTGCTGTTGCCGTCTGATGAAGACAACAGCATTGTAGATTAAGAGTGTACACTTAAATATGAGTTTGATAAGATTTTATAAATTAGGAGTGACTCGTGAGAGTCCGCATGCCAACTCAGTGAGGGCCACAGTCTGAATCGCTGTTTTTAGAGTTTATTTGCAGTGCCCACTCAATAGAATGCCCAGAATCCAGCGATGTCATATAGTGTGACCAACATTTCATGACTCACAGATTTCAACGCCTTGAAGACATCTGAACCACTCATTTTAGCGCGGCGTTCCGCCTCCTCGTAGCCCAAGGCTTTCAATACACTTACCAATTTAATCTTCTTATTATGACACCCTAGACGTGACAAGGGGGTAGTATTGCTCGCAATCCGCAAAGAACGTAGGCCTGCGTACAACATTGGCGCAATGCCCACCAAAATCACTACGCAAGCTTCTGGGTCCTTCGAGCATGATGTATCCCACGTCGCCTCCGAACTGTAAGCAGACTCGTACTGGCCAGGGTTTTTGATCTTTTCTAGGAACTGCGCGCAACCATCCACAACTTTAACTATGTTCTTTGCGATGTCTTTAGGTTTTACACCCCTGGACTTTACGACGTTCTCATGATCGCTCTCGTCGGAATTGTCAAGGTACTTTGCGCAACCACTGAGGTTTTTATTCATAGGCTTATTGAATCTCCCCAGCAGGTCTTCAACGAATGGCTGGTACTTAAGCTCCTTTTGCTCCAGGAACTCCTTAGAAATAAGTTTGACTTCCTCGAGAGCTGGCAGCTCCATCTTTCCAACAGGCTGTTGTGCGAGGAAATCGTAAAGGGCTGCACTCATAGCCTTCAAGCCGTTTTCATCGTCAGTCCCCTTCAGCGCCATCAACCAGTCAATGCCCTCCTTGAGGTTACGAGGGGCTTCAGTTAACGAACTGTATACCATCTTGAAAAGATTAGTTAAACTATGTAAATGGTACAAACGTGTAGATGCTTGGTCTAGTTTCAGGCCGAGCCTTTGAAATGCTGCGTTGTAATAGAGAGTAAACAAAAAACAGATGCTGTTGGCACCCAATAAATTCGCGTTCGATTTATTTCTATAAAGCTATCAATACACCAATTGGGCGTGTGATAAAGATATGGCGATCGATCTGCCCCATCGAAGGCAGGTCAATGCGGTTGACGTGGCATGCAGTATGCACAACGCATGTCATTGCAGTACCTAAGTTGCAGACAGGAACTATACATGTTGAAGCTAGACATTTTGGTACAATTTGTAGCGGTGAAACAGGGTTTTTGATGTTAGTTGGGTTGCGGGCGCCATATTAAAGAGACGACGCCCAGAGGTTGTCACTTAGGAACGTCCTGGCGGCACGCAGCACCTCCCATATTCCCATCAGCACGTCTCCACTCATCTTTTGGCTATCCACACAATAAGAAATGTGCCAAACAACAGTTTAACAGATGACCCACCATGACATCTAGTCTGGCAGTCGTCAGCAATCAATCGCCCAGCTTCACATGACACTGCCACTGTAGAATGACGTAGACAATTCACTAGTAACACACGAAGCAACAGCCCAAACAACAAACAACGTAACTCATCAACTATGTTAGTTAATGGGCCAGACTGTGAGCTAGGTGGTAGGTTGGGGGTTGGTGGGGTAGGTGAGCCAGTCTAATTAGGTTGTAGAATCCAGAGTCTGTGACGCATTGCAGCCTGTTGTGCAAGTGGGCGCAAGTCTCAAGATTGATTTGAGAACAGTGAGAGATGAGATTAAGGGAGGGATTAAAAGAATTATTGAGGATTTGGAAGTTGATAGTTTGGGTGAGAAAGTGAAGATTGATTTGGGGGAGTTGAGGAAGAAGATTGTGGAACTTAAAGATAAAATGGATGGTGGTGATAGTATTGTTAAAACTGAGTTGGATGCGCTTAGGAAGGCGAAAGGAACGTTGGATGGTGTTACTGGTCAGCCAAGTGGTTCCATTCACAAGGCTATGAGTGAGCTTGACAGTAAGTTTAAGGAGCAGATCCAAACTCCGCTTAGCCAAAAGGTCAATGATGTTGACACGGCGATTGGGACGCTTGGAGGGAATTTCGGTAAGCATGATAAAAAGTTACAAGAGATTTTCGGGCATATTAAAGAAAAGGTTGGGGAGATTAAGGGGAACGGAGGAAGCAAAAAAACAGGCGTAGATGGAATTGTCGCCAGGTTTGAGACGTACGTCACGGAGGTTGGCAAGAATATGGCAAATCAAACGACGGTGCACAGCTGGCTTGACAAGATTCTGACGCACAATGGCGTGGTAGTCTATAGGCTTGGAAAACTTGTTGACGATAACAAGGGTAGTAGGCTGAATGGTAATTACAATAGTGAGAAAGGAATGCATGACCCAATTAAGGAGAAGACTAAAGCAAAGATTCAGCAAGCCGGCGTTTATAGAGATGCTGAGAGTGAGTCCCCCGTAGAATCTAACGGTCTCCTTACCGTAATGTTGACGTCACTAATGAAATTGATTGAGGCGTACGCCAGCGTGCTTGATGATAAAATTAATGTTGTTGGCAACATCTTACAGGGTAATAACAACGAGTTTGTCACTGAATTAGTCGGAATGATTGAGAGAGAAATTAAGAATGGAAGCTCCCGCCCTGACAAAAAGCATCTCACCCCCGCCGTCGAAGCAACTGTCGCCGCGCTCACCGCCAACGCCAGGCGGACCGCCGGGAAAATCAATTCGCTACTGCTCAGCGACAGCGGAAATGTTGCAGATATGTTGGACCATATTACGCCTATTGCTAAGAAACTAGATACTGCGCTTAAAGGAGCAACTGATCCACAACCACAAAAGCCTCCCACTGGCCAACCCGAAAGCCCCGCCCAAGCCGTGGACAGCAAGTTGGGTGAAGTGAGGAAAATGGTCACAAATGAGATTACCGGTACCTTCACTTCCAAAGTCAAAAAAGATCTTGAAGATGCAGTCTCAAAACTTCCCACTGCCGTTGAGGGTTTCAACACTGAAGCTCAGAAGCAGATCAGGGAAGCCGCCAAGACGGCGATTAAGGAGGCGGCTGGGCAGTTTCAGACGGACGGTACTGGAAGCGATATTAGCGTGGAGAAAACGATGCACAAATTTCACCAAGCGTACGATCCCATAAAAAAGAACTTAAAGTCGGACCTTGAGCAGAAAGTTGATGCGGAGTTGCCAAATGCCGACGGAACAAATGCAAGTATTCATGTGAAACTTGATGATACTAGAAAATTTGGCGGATATAATACTTACGTTAAACAAGATAACGATAACCTTAAAGCCGGTGAACTAACCGGTAAACCCGATGCAAAGGAAGGCATCCTTCCACAGGCGATCGGGGACATCAAGACTCAGGTGGACAGCGCCTTGAATATGATAGATCCACAAACCAACGGTGGGACAGCGACGATTAACGAAAAAACCTTCGCCGGTCCGTTCGATGAGATTAAGAAAGAGCTTGACGAGATTGCCAGGTTTGGTTGACAAGGGGTGCTGAAGTCTCCCTGAAGGCGGCTTGTTGCGTCTAATAGGCATATAACTTCCTTGTATTGGTGAGCGTGGAAGCCTATATTGCGCGGTGAGTTTTGCGTTTGTGTTATATTGTATAAAAGTGGCGGAGGTGCTTGAAATTGGCACACGTGTCTTGTTTTGTTGCCTATATGTGTCCTCTAGTGTAGTGTCCTAGTGTAGCTGTGGCCTTGTGGTGTTAGGCGGTGTTGTGAATTAGGCGTCGACAATTGCCCGGTAAGTTAGCTTTCAAAATGGTGCGTCAACCGAAGAAGCTGACGGACTGTCCGGAAAATCTCCGGGAGTCCATCGACTGGTTGATCCAGGTTAAGCATGGGAATGGTAATGATGGTCTCCAAAAGTTGGCCGATGCTTTGAAAAAGCTGATTGGTGATGCCATTAAAAAGGCTGATGAGAGTCTTAAAGATAGGAAAGCACAACTTGAATGCGCTCAAGATCCTACTTATCCTCATTGTATGGAGCTTAAAGACAAAATTGCTAAAGCCAATGGTGATGAAAAATATAGGTTACAATCCAAGTATAATGGCCATTATTCCGAAGTACATGGCTCTGAGTCTAAAAGAAAAGAGGCTTTAGAGGATATTACTGAGCGGCAGAAAAATCTTGATGGACTCAAAACAAAGCTTAATATATTTACCGACGAAAATCATGCTAATGAAGTTGAAAAGCTTTTAACAAATCTCACTGACGGTTTAGAAAAGTTTCTGGGTTTCAACTCAGAATCCAAAGGCTACACCGGCGATGGCATCGTGTACTCGGACCTTGACAGGCTCTGCGACGGGGTGATGGCGTTCTTGCACGGGGTGCTTAGTGGAGTGAGGGATGATGATGCTGAGGTTCCTTAATGATTTTCCATGGCCTTTTGTAGTTGCCATTTTTTCAATCCTTATCAGTTAATCCCTTGCTTTTCAGCTTCTGCAGCTTATCGGTGACATCTTTTTCCAACGTGTCTCTAAGGCTGCCAAGAGACTGGGTGATCTCTTGGACGCCTTGGTCAATGTTGTTCGGTTGTTGTACCAACGTTTGTTGTTGAGTTTTAAGCGCACTTTCGATGTTTTGAAGGCTTTTCTTTTTTCCAGCTGCATTTGTATTCCACTCCTGTCCACTTAGTCCATCGCCCTTCAAATCTTCCAGAGTGGTAATGATGTCTTTTCCCTTCTCACCATCCAACACGCCTTGAAGGCTTTGCAGTTCTCTTGTAATCTCTATAGACGCAAAACCAATGTCTCTGGGATTATCCGTAAACTGTTTTTCTTGCACCTTCTTAATCACATAATAAATCAGTTGAAGATTGTTATTATCGTTTGAGCCATTTTTACCAATCTTGTTTTCCAAACGTCGCAAATTGTCCAAGATGTCATCAGGAGTGAATGGATAATCCAAATCGGCTCCCAACTTTATAAGCTCCCACTTAATATCGGCGATGGCTTTCTCGATAATTTTCGTTTGCTCTGGCAATATGTCATTTTGTGTTTCAAGGTCACCATGGATTTTCCCAAGGCCACTGAGCTTTGCGCCGTTCGGTGTCCAATCTTCCTGTTCACCAAACCCCTCTTTTTTCATGTGTTCCAGTCTTTCAATTACATCATCCTTCCTGCCACTCTTCAACTTCTCTCTAAGCCCTTCGAGCTCCCTCCTGATTGCTGTGACGGCTGAGTCGATTTCACTGCTGCTTTTATCATACTTCCCTGTTTTCAGTTGTTCAATCGCCGTTTTGATTGCTTCAAGACCTTTATCCGAAGTACCAAACTGTCCTGTATTCAGTGCGTCTTTAAGCTTCTTCAATAAAATTTGTATGCCTTTTTTATCGTCATCATCGCTTTCCTCATCAACCAATTTCTTGACCTCGTCAAGCTCTGTCTTAATTGTATTGAACGGACCGGTAAAGGTTGCTTCTTTAATTGGACCGCTGCCATTGTTGCCAATAGTCTTTTCAAGCGCTGCCAGACCCTGATTCTTGATGTTCCCGATCGCCAGTGGAAGCTTGCCTTCGTCTGAATTTTTCTCACCCGTTAGAGTTAGTTTGACAGGTTGGGTAATATGCCTTTCATAATCCTTAAACTGTCCACTGTCTTTAATGTTAACACCACTTTGCGGATCATCCCCCCCAATGTGCGTATCAACTTGCTGTTCAAATTGCTTTTGGAGGCCATCTTTAATGGGAGTGAACGTGTCGTAGAATTGCGGCATGATACCACCCTTCTCAAACTCTACTTTATCAGTCTTGCTAATTATGTTAGCCGCCTCCTTAATCGCCGTCTGGGCCGCAGCCTTGATCTGTGCTTCGGCGGTTTTGTTGAAATTGCGAACGGCGGTGGGAAGGTCTTGAACTGCGGCGGTGAGCTGAGCTGTGACTTCATTATTAAACTTGTAGGTAATATTCTCAGCAGCATCAGGGCCTTTATCTCTCACGAAATTCTTCGTCTTGTCGAACGCACTGTCCACGGCTTGGGCGGGGCTTTCATTTTGTCCGGGAGATGAGGAGTCAGTTGCCCCTTCAAGCTGATCGTGGAGCGTCCTAGTCTCATCAACTACTCTATCCAATTCGCTTGCGATGCTTCTTTTGCTGCCCTTCTCTATCCTGTAGTCGCCGAGCAGGATGGACTCAATTTCGTTAGCCACCTGGCTGGTGGTGGCGGAAAGACCGAGAAGCGTGGCTTCAGTGACGAGTTTAATTTCTTTGTCCTTGCCACTGTTAATCCCCTTTGATATCCCTTTGAAAACCTGTTCGGCAAGATTACCAATTCCCTCCTTGAGTCTGTTATCAAGCTCTCTGGCAAATGTCATACAGCCTTGTTTCACAGATCTAATGGTTTCATTGATTTTCCCAGTGGAGATGTTAACCTCTGCCTTCCCTTTATCAATTTGATTCTGGAGCTCATTCTTAATCGCCTCTTTAATTCCCTCGCGCACTTGAAAAAGCTCAGGAAAACGCTCGCTCACCGCCACACCGCTCCTACTCCCACTCGTCCTTTCCTCAATATACTGTCCAAGCCACTGTGTAGGCGCCTTTGTATCATGTCCAGGCATATTATTCCCCAAAATTCCTTCCGCCCATCCTGTCACGATCCCTTCAAACCTTTTAAACCCATCGGCATAGCTATTAATCAACCCGGCAGCAATTCCATCCAGGCCTGCTTTGGGGTCTCCTGACGTCCCCTTAATATCCCCAACCTGCTTTTTAATATGCCCAAAAATCTCTCCAAAGGTCTTCAGATCTTTTCCGCCACTGTCTTTAAACTTCCCGCCAAGCTTCCCAATCGCCGTGTAAACTGCTCGGACCTTCTCGTTAAGCGCACTTTGAATATGGTCAGTAAACTTCTGTCCAAGCCCATTTTCCGCATTCTGAATGCTTTTTACAGCACCATTATCCAACTCAGTCTTCTTGGATGCAAGTGTCTGCAACTGCGTACCAACAAGCCCACTACCTGCTTTACTAGTCTCCACGTTTGTAGAAAGCTTCTCAATCTTCTGCTTCAAACTCTGCAAATCCCCTTTCACCAAAGTATCCAAATCATTAACTTTCAACGTCTCAATCACACCCTTAATCCCTTCCTTAATCTTATCTTTAACATTCCTCAAATCCTTCTTGAGATCTCTGTCCATCTCCACAACAGCCTTTAGAGCCTTATTGACATTATCCTCAACAGCCTTTTTAGCGTCAGTCGCCGCATTAAAAAGTCTTTTGCCCTGGTCTTGTAAAGTCTGAGCTTGCGTATAAATCACAGCTTCTTTAGCTTTCTCATCTGTTTTCACTTTCTTAAGTATATCCTCACACTTTCCCTCTGCCTTGTCAATCACTTCCTTGGCGGCAGACTTCCAATCCCCCAGACTCTTAACGTGGTTACCAAGTTGTTCATTCGCAGTCTGAATTAATTTATTGTTATCTCCAATGTTCTTAATTTTCTCACCAAGCGGCATACTCTTTCCTTTACCATCTATATCCAATGCATCATGAACTTCCGTCGCCTTCCCTATCGCCCCGGTAAGCACTTCGTGTGCCTTGCCTTTCCACGCTCCCAAACTTCCATGAACACCACTCAGCTGCGTATGCACTCCTTTAATTCGCTCATTAGCATCAACAATCTTCTTAACATTCAGATCCAGAGTCTTATTAACCTTCAACTTGTCGTAGGCTTCCTTGGCCTTGTCCTCCGCGGCCTTGCGTATCCCCTCAGCGGTGGAGATCCACTTATTGAGGCTGTCAACTTGTGTGCCAAGTTGGCTTTTAGCCGTGTCAAGTTGCGTTTTAGCTTCTTCAATAGTCTTAATGTTCCTACCAATTTTATGATCATGATCCTGACCACCAGGATCCAATCTTTTATACACGTCCTGCGCTTTGCTAACCACATTGTTGAGCACACCGCTTGCAGCGGAATTCCAAGTCTGCAAATCTTTGTGAACCTGTTGAAGCCCAGTGTTCACGCTCTCAACTTTTCCTTTAGCTGTCTCAATTGTCTGAATTCCTTTGCCAATATTCGTCGCATCACCGCCATCTTTTTTACTGTGATCTAATGCCGTATGCACAGAAGTAGAACTCGTAATCGTTCCTTGGAGCACTTTCTCAGCCGCTTCCTTCCATTGTGTCAAATCGTCAGCTCTCTCTTGCAACTGTTTTTGAACTTTTTCAATCGCCTCGTCGAGGTTGTTTTTATGGTTCAGATGTTTATCTTTCACATTCCCATTTACCTCATCCAAAATCTTCTGAACTAATTTCTGTGCGGCCACAATGTCCTTTGTGGTTTTGTCAATCCACTTGTCCAGGTCCGTAATGTATTGTTCCAGCGATTTACTGACTTTTAAAAGGTTCTATTAGTGACGACCAGTGACCTACTTTAGCGGTGCAAGAGGGGCTGTTGTAGCAGTAAAGGGAACTCAACAAAAGGATAAAGGACAAGGTAAGGCAGCGAGTAGGTTACATGTTTGGTCAGGTGCTAGGTCAGCCGTTTGGTCAAGCAATGAGTTGGGTGGTATGCAAGGCACGAGATACAGTCACCATCAAGGACGTGACATAACATGGAAACACAAAGAGAGGAATGGAAATGTGAATGTAGCTACGATAATTACAATCATTAGTGAAAGTCGTCGTCGAAGTAGTCGACGTCCTTGTAGAGCGAGAGCATCCTGCGGCTGCCGGCGAGCAGCGCCTTGACGTCGATGAGGTGGGAGGCTTTGGTCGTCAGGAGGTGGGAGCGGATGTGGAGGACGTCCATGCGGTAGAGGAGTACGATGAGGATGTAGAGCGTGGCGATGAGCCAGAGTGTGAACACAGTGTAGAAGAAGGGTCTCCTGATGCCGTAGAGGAATGTGTCCATGGCGGTCATGAGGTCTGCGATAGGCTTTCCGGCGACCACTTCCCTCAGCTTGGCGATGACCTCTGAACACGTGAGTGAGGACTGCGTTACCCTGTCCGGAGGCGTGAACCCGTGACGGTAGAGGAGGGGTAGGGCATCAGGACAGGCGTTGAGTGATGGACACTTCGCAAATCTATGCCTCTTCAAATCATAACGCAGCCGATACAGTGACTCCCAGAGTCTGTCGGGTAGGTAGGTCGTCCAGCTGAGATAGTGGTGGGCGAAGCTCGGGGAGTACAGGGCGTAGGCCCGGTAGGTGATGGGCGTCATCAGTTGTTGGCAGTTGGCGTTAGTGATGCCGCAGCTAAGCAGTGTGGACAGGGTATTGGGATGTTCTTGGTCCTTGTCGTGGTTGGAGTTGGGAGTGGCGGAGCCCCGGATGCCCTGGACGACTCGGAGGTCGGCGGCCTTGAGGCAGTCCCAGTCGGGGCAGTTTTCGTGTGGAGTGGAGAGGGCGGAGCCCAGTGGAGACAGCTGTGAAGGAGACTTGTGAAGAGCATTCCCGAAATTGTGGAAGAAGGAGACAAGCTCCCCGGTGGTGCGCGGCGTCCGCCTGGCGAGGCAGTTGAGGTATGTGCAAAGCTTCTCCAGTGGGTCGGCATTGTTGTAACACAGGCCTTTCAAAATCTGATAAATGTAGAATCCATGCTTGGACTCTTGACGTAAATGGTCCGGACGAAATCCCATTCTTACACGGCTCCGACGGCAGATGTCGCCCCTCTGATACCAGTAGGTGGAGAGATCGGACTGGTCGGTGAGAAAGCCTTGGAGCGGGGAGGCGTCGCAATCGTGACCTTGAAGTTTCAAAGGGTCTACAGGATTTTTGAGGCACTTCCAAGCTTGGGAAATCTCCACATCTCTACCAAACTGGCAGTCGCACCATCCGCCCCGGTCGGAGTCCCGCCAGCACATAGTGCGCAAAAACGATAACTGATGGTATGAAGCGTATACGTAACTGAGCAACTGGCACAGAAGAATATAAGGGTCAGTTGCATAATACATCAACGATATGCTATAGCGTTGGTAGTGGAATTGCGATAGGTCCGGAGGCTTGGGCCCATGAATTCCCGCGAGTACAGTGCTGGCATGGCCGCACGTGTCAGCGAGGGCACCGATGACATTTGCATTTGAGAAAGACTCTGACGATGCAATAATCATAGTGTTGTCAAACAGACTCTCGAGGTGCTTAGTCAGTGCGGCGTAGCCTAGTGAATTCGGCAGATCCCCGAGCCAGCACAGCATGTCACGCACCGTTCGGGGCGGGGGTTTGGAGGCGTCGGTGGGCGGGAGCTTTTCGGTGGTGGCACTGGGGTAGTTTGCCGGGCATATCGGCTCATTGATCATGACGCCCGGGGGTGCTTCGATCTCCACCGGCGTCAGGGGCGGGGCAGGGAATTCTAAAAATGGCACCGGCGGCAACAACCTCTTTGGTGGTTCCGGCAGAGGTATGGGCCTAGGACTATCGGTGAACATTTGCATCGGCGAGATGTGACTTTTAGTAGACTGGCGATTAGGCTTCTTAGGTACTTTTACATTCGGCTCTGGAGGTAATGGGTTAGTCACAAAGTTGGGGTCAAACGTAGATCGATGGGCGTTCACTACGTCCACATCCGGCTGTTTCAAACGATTACCTGAAACTAGAAGCATGCCTTGCAGCAGTTTTGCCCTTTTACTGTCGGAGTTTTCCGTAGTATCTCCGGTTATTCCTGAGGTATTATGCTTGAGTACGGTCGTATGAGGAACGTTTTCTCGAAGTGCTTTTAGTTCAATCTCAGTCTCCAGCTTATTTTCCAAGTCATCGCCCGGTTTAACTCCTTCCGGAAGCGGACGCATGTTTTCACGTTGTATAAGTATGCCGGCTGGTCCCGCGTCTATAATGAGCGGCACGTCGTATTTCTGATCCGTAGTGTCACGTAATATGGCGTGGCCATCCACCTTAGGTTGCGGTGGGATGTCAACGAGCTCTTCATGTACATCTTCAAGCAGGTCCTGCTCGTAAAACTCTCTACCAATTGCTTGATCCGCGGCATATTTCGCTTCCGCCTGCTTTCTTAACTCATCTGACTCACTTATCAGCTTATCAAGTTCTTCACGTTCACGTTCATTTTGCTGTTCATGTGGGTCTGGCATAGCGCCGCCGTTAAGAGCGTACAAATCTGATGAGTACCGTGGATAATAATTAGTGGATTGTGGATACTGATCCGCAGGCTGGAAGCCATCTAATGCTTCACCCGCCCAGTCATGTAGTTTTTTACGCTCCGCTTCTTCATCTCTTGACTTCTGCAATATATTTTTTATTCTGACAACGTCATCATCATATCTTTTTGTGGCTTTCCCCCTTTGTTTTTGTTTTTCCCATTCTTGTTCCGCCTTCTTTTGTTGTTCCGCGTTTAACCTGTCTTGATTTTCTTTGAGCCTTGCGTTCTCAGCTTCCACGTTCCACCTTATCGCTTGCTGTTGGGCTCTTATTTTCCTTCCTACTTTTTCTTGTGGTGTTCTAGTAGCGGTGTACTTTATAACCTCACCAGTAAATTCGTCAGGCTGCATAGCCGTCAGATCCGTGTCCCCCTGCCTTGTTCGCCTCTCTCCCGGAACATAGTAAGTCTTCCCAGGGCGAGGGCGACCACCAGTGGGCTGATGTTCGGATTGAGGGGGACTGGGCTGACTTGAAAGGGGGGGTGGAATTTGTGTTTGGACAGGTTTGGATTTTTTAGGGGCTTGAGTGTACTGGTTTTGCGGAACTATATCACTTAGCTTTTTTAGCAGGTCTGGAGATAGAGACTTGCGATGGTACGTCGTAGATTTAGGCCGACAGATATCTTTGCCAGAAAGATCTATAGCTGGAAGTTGATCATCGGAACACGTTTGTTTAACAACGGAAGCAGCTTTCCCACTCCCACCTGAACCAGGCGCTGGGGCACCCGACGGAGTAGCGCCGCTGCTTGTACTTTGACCGGTGCCTTGACTTGTTCGTTGGGTAACTTGTTGACTACCATGTGTACCAGCCCCCTGCCCAACATTTGGTCCAGTGCCTGAACCAGGACCACTCGGAGGCTGAGTAAGCACGGTGACTTGAGGGGTAGCAGGCTTTTGATCTGGAGTAACACCGCCCTTTGAACCAGGGATATCAGATGATGGAGAACCTGGGGCTGAATGGCCTGGAGTCTGATGTTGCAGAGAAGGTTGAGAGGTGTTAGGAGGTTTACCAGAATGATTGTCTACCTGAGAATCGCCATCCGTAGCACCTGCAGAGCCCCCACCCCCTCCACTGGCGTCATTCCCACCTGGACCCGCACTGCTTACAGCGGGCGAGCGACTGTCTGCGCCGGGGGTGCCTTGATGTGTGCTTCTAACATCTGAGGATAGATGAGAATTTTGTTGAGTAGGGTTAGAAGAAAGCGTCTGTCTATCTCGGCCTTGATCACCACCTGGAGGAGGGACAACAGATGACAGGGAATCTGGGGCTTGAACGTTTGTAGCCTGAGTGTGCGTAGCAGTTGAGGAGACAACAGGATGTATTCCCGAAGAAACCATGCTGTCTGAATCCGGAACCTGGTCAACTAGCGTACCAACTTTCCCCGGGGCCCCATCTTGGCTTGGCCCTGGACTGCCTGGATCACTTGGAGTCTGAGGTAGATTGACGCTTAGAGGGACAACAGGCTCAGCGGCTTTGGAAACACCGTCCATTGAATCCACAGTCAGATTCCCACCACCGCTTGGCACCCCACCCAGTCCTGCACGTTCACCAGCGCCTAAATCGGAAGACGGATCAGACCTGGAGACTTGGCCGATGTCTTGATTGGGAGCTAAGTTTTTGCCACTTTGTTGACTATGTCCATAAGCAGCCGCCTGTGTACCCAGTCCCATGCCACCGGCATCATTGACACTAGATGACGAAGAGCTGGAGCTGGACGCACTTGAGGGGCCACGCACAGAGGTTTGAGACACAGAGTGCGGTGGAGTCGGAAGTATTTCAGCCAGTGGAATAGGGACTCTAGGAGCACTGTGGGAAGGTTGTTGAGGATGGGACTGGGAAGTAGATTGACGATGTAAGAGTTGAGGCTCAGTAGATGCCCTATGCCCTGTATGTCTACTCCTCTGTACGCCCTTAGCGCCATGAGCCCCTGGGCCTTGTGCTCTGCCTCTTGGAGGCCCAGGCCCCCTTCCCCTGTTTTGCCCCCCTCCTCTACCTTGGATGCTGCTTCTATGGTTATGCCATCCCCCTCCTCTAACACCAGAACCCTGACTGCCACGAGACAACCAACCTCCACTGCCTCTTGGACCGGTTGTCCTTCCGGTCTGAATCCTGGAGGTCCCTGGTGCAGGCGCAGGCATGGCACGTCTTAGAGCAGGCGGCGGCCTTGATCGTGGTTTTTGAGGCGGAGGGCACCGCTCACCATCCAGAAGCCTTTTCAACTTCGCCAAACCGTCATCATATCTGCCCAGCATATCTATAACATTGCGCCAATGATCCGACAACTTCTTCCACGCGTCACCCATCGTTCCATAGCCTTGGTCACCAAATATAAAACCGTAGGGAAATATGTTTTTGGTTGCAAATGGCTGAAGAGCTGTCAAATGTAGAGTGTCGTCGACTGGGAAACCTTTATTTATATGTTTCACATTCTGTTGAACATCGTGCAAATGTTGTCTAAACCATTTTGCTGTCTCCCCCGCAAATCTCTCAGTGTTAAGCTCATCAACACGCCGCGCCTGGCCGGTGTGAGAAAAGCCTTCCTTCTTGAAAATCTTGCCAAGTTGCTGCTCAAGAGTTTTGCAATGGGCTACTAAATTAGGCCAATTAATACATTTGTCTTTTAACTCCCTTTCCAAAGCTTTTGTCAACTTACCGACGTCAGAGTTCTTTACCGAAATTACGATTTGGCAAAACGTTCTCACCAATGCAAGCACGTTCGCAGTGTTAGAAATTTGGGTGCCGGATTTAGAAATGACTGTTGTAAAAAATACGTCCCGGAAATCGTTGTGGAGTGTTTGGTTCAAAATCTTCTGTAGGTCATCTACCATGCTCTCACCGTACCAGTAACCATAGATAGAATCATATTCATAACCATACGTCACCTCGTTTTCACTGAACCCACCAGCTATGAGGCCACCGTATTTAACGCTCAGTAACATCCTGAGATAATTCTGCAGTTCACCACCCCAATATTTACCATACCAAGTCCGTCGATCCAATTCCCACCCTGGGTTATCATCTCTCCACTTCGCTCCTCCCACCGCATCGAATCTATAATCCACATTGTACCACAAAAAATACAAAGCGGCGAGGAACTTGGGAATGCAGTCGAGCAGCGCGTGGACGATTTGGTCAGCGTTTATCGCTGTATAACTGCCAGGATCTGGTTTGTGGCATAATCTCGTATAGAACGTGGACACGTGACCGAGGAATTCGGAGACAGCAGGTGGCAGTTGGCCCGTAAACAAAATACGATTATTAGAAATTCCATAACGCGTCGCCAGTTCTCTGGCCACCTCTTGTTGCTTACCATCATTATTTTTCAACCACTCCAGGAACTCGAGACACTGCTTGAGAGTGTTGAGCGGAACTCCGTGCGACGCCATCTTGCTTACAAAGGCACTGATCAGTAAGACACTAATAAATGGGCGCTAGGCTAATCGTACAAAGAGACACGTGAAAGCATTTAAATGGGTGAAGTGCAAAAGAGGAATGTGATAAAAGCTCTGAGGTGACGCCGCTTACAAAGATAGCGTAGCCAAACCGCTAAGTGGGCTGAGTGAACAGGCTACAGAGTAAAACGCTGGGTGGCAACTAAGTGCGGCATAATACCAAAATTAAAAACTCGGTACCGCAGGCAACAACACGCCCGCGCCCCTGCAAAACTATGTTGAAAACACGTGGATCATAAATAGTGCACTTACCTGAGGGGAAGGCGGCAAACCCAGGTATCCGGCAAGCCCGGGGCCCAACTAGCATGACAGGCTAGCGCACGGTAGGCATACAGCACACCCTATTGGGTTTTCGAGTGCCGGCCAAGATGCCTCTTCTGAGCCCGCATTGTGACACCGCCAAGCCGTACCCCCTCAGAGTTGTGGTATTAACAAGGCAGCCGCCATCCAGCGCACTGCCAGGTATACAACAGCTGCGCGCTTAGCACCACAGAGATGCCAGTCCCAGCTGGCCATCTATATTGCAGACCTTACCCCATATACAGCTGGTAAAACGTCTCTCATGTTGTATAATTACGCATCAATGACGGCATTTTTTTATATCTCTTCCCAATGTTGAGGGCATTACAATGCTACCGGGCGCACTCCTGGTACTCACCTCCCACCTGGTATGGACGTGCTGTCCACCCAACACTTCTCATTTCAGTTAGCTACCGAAATCTCTCAATAAGTACGAATAATGCCATATATGATACTCATTTCCTGTGTGTTTATGATGTTAACACGGAACCACGTAATCTGGCCACGCCCCACTTCCCAGCCTTGCTGAGGTCGGACTGCTCATTGAATTGCTTCGTGTATAAGCTTGTTCACCCACATCAGTAACTTACTTTATTTCTATCATTCTCATCTCCTTTCTGACACCCGATTCACAACATAAAGTATAACCCTGCTTTCCCTCGCCCATCCCATCAGGCTTTGGGCTATGTCGCTGGGTCCGATGACATCTTGAAACGCGCACTTCCTAAATGTCGGTATGATTCATTGTAGCTCTGTAAAGCACATGATGTGGTGACCTGTGAACATATAATGAGCGCATGAAGCCATCTCCGTATGCCTTCCCACCCATCACCTAACATAGTCCGACACTTACATGGTAGTGACTCACCGACGTCAGTGAAATCACTGAAACTGACTCTTAGGTATCTGATAGTATCCGTTGTTGCGTATAAAGGGCATTGTCAATCTTTCAGATTATAAGCAAGTGTAAAAATGCCAACTTCACAATTCCCCCATTGAAGTGGTGCAACCAAACAACGAAGTGTGGATACGAGTAATTCCAGATCACACTACATAGCAGGCTCGCAACCTCTTGTAAGTGTTCAAGCAGTTGTGACAACACACAAATACGTTATTAAATTGGCAACCGCAATAAGCCTTTGACAACCCAAACCATGCTATCACTGAAATACTCTCATAAACATGTTATCAGCAACATCAACAATGAAATACTTAAATTAGTTTCCGCAGTTCATCAACAAGTTATCACATCTCAGTTATTCATCATGTAGAATAATAGTTCCCTATCTGGATGGTTAAGAGTACGGCGCCCTTGACGGTGACGCAGCGGCATTGAAATGGCGGCGTCTGGTGCAGCGTCTCCCCGGGTCCTACGAGTGAACTGTCGAGGCTCAGGATGACGAAGTGGTTAGATCGCAACGCTACTAACGATTCGCTGATGTCACGAGTCTTCCTTACTTCACCGTCCACGTAAACTTGGCTGAAGCAGTTGAGTGGGTCCAAGACGTACGGCGCTGGGCAGTAGAACGCCGCTTCCTTGGCAGCCTGAATGTCGATCTTGCACCCGAAGTGAGATTTCCCATCAGCGTCGTAGAGTTGGGGAGTCTCAGGCTTGAATAACTCATCTGACGCGTATGTGACGCCGCAACCCTGCATGTAGGGGTCGGTGGTCTCGACGGCAACTTGAACCACGTTCCACGTGTACGGTGCTGAGGATAGTGCGATAGAGGGGTGCGGCGATGCATATGTGTCACCAGAAACGGACAAATCCGATGGTTCGGGCGTCTTGCCGCAGACAAATGTAATGGGCACATGTTTCTTGTGAAACGAATGCTTAGATATGAGAATGGCGCCTCGATGAGATTTGAGCACCATCGTTTGATACACAGTGGTTCCATCAATATTTAAATATGTGAATTCCAAGGCACCTGGAGTGGCAGATATAGATTCTTCGTACCCTTTACGTATCAGCTTAAATCCATGTGGTGTCTCGTTTACGGTATAATAGAATAAGTGGTGCTGCTTTGGCAGCCATGTCGTTTTTATAAGTCCGTTATTAGCATCGTTCTGCAGCTCGGGCTCACAAGACATAAACACGCTTGTGCCCACGTGTAGTATAACAGACTCCTGCGATATGTTTTCGAGCATAAGCGAGTTGGGTGCTGTGGATGCTTCGTTAGATAATCCTGCATCCCCCCAAGGAAGCAGTACATAAGGGGGTAACATGCGATTATCCGCTTTGCGCCGCACAAGATAGGTCTGATCGTACTGAGAGTTGTGCGTTAAAACAAGCCTAGAGGTTGCGTATCCGAATTTGTCGACACAATAGCAAGCATAACTGACAGGGATATTGTAGTTCAATTCAATGTCGAATATTTGAAATCCTCGAATAGGGTATGGAGTTGCATTACGCACAGATCCCGGCGATGGAATAATCCTGTTTGAGTAGAGATCGTATCCTGTGGATTCACAATTGTCCGGCACTAGTTCCCCGTCTGGTCCGCAGTGAATGCCCGTCTGCAACCTCTCCCACTTAATAGGGTAAGAACACTCATAAATATCCCCTATTCCATTTCCCATAGATTTGGTTGAACAATATGCCCTGCTCATGTCTGTATCAAATAGGCTCTCTGCCCCGCTGTCACACCCTACCATCTTGTAATTATGCGTAAACGCAAAGGATATGTCCACCGGTGCAGTTATGCTTTTAAAGGTATACTTATTGATAGCTCTTAGTGTCCAGTGGAAATAGAACGAGTTTGGTCCCAATCGTAATGAGAGAGGTTTGTTGTCATGGTACTTCAGTTTGACTTCCCCTTTGGATATTTGTGAAACGTCCAATTCTAGGGCATCGCCTGCAATTGCTTTCTTGTACAAGACTTCGTCATACACGTCAATTTCATAAATCGATTTCAATTGTCGCAGTGTCACCAAATCTGTTGGCATAAATCGGGTCGTGAATAAATATTTAGGAGGCTTTTGAGAGGGTGGCCCAGATGTTGAATCTTTTTCGGAGGGCTCCTCATCAACATCCTCTGGTGGGAACCTTATAGTCAATGTGCTGCCTGGATGTAGTACGAACGAACACCAAGGGCCTCGGATTGGGCGGAAATCGTTGCGAAAGATCATGTTAGTAATATCACAAACGTAATCCGTTTTAGTACGAATCTCTATCCTGGCCTTCACTTGACCATTATCCGAATCGATGCATCTGCATTCTCCATGGAAGCGTGGTAATTCCAATCCGTTAAAATACTTGGCTACTACCCAAGGTTTATGGTAATCGAATTTCATATATGAGTGTGGCGTAGGGATGACTACATCTTCGCCATACTGGCCAGTAAGGGATCTCATGCAATCCTCAGGTTCAAGACGACCTTCGCAAACAAATCCGATGCGTGATTGTGACATTGGATCCGCCACACATGAACGGACGCCAGTGATGGGGTCCACGGTCACATCATTACCCGGAGCGAAGAGTGGCGATGGGCGACTGCCACAGCCTTGAAGAGGTAGATGCACATTTCCTCTGTATAAGAAAAAGACTCCCAATCCACTTCGTATTTTTCTTATTTCCTCAGTCAATGGTGTGGCTGGATTCCAAGGAATTTCTTCCATTTGGATGATACCATTGAGGCGATTAAGGTGACGTTGCAATGCACCACTCAAATCCAAATCTCTAGGCCCACAGATGAACATTAGGCGGCGTTCAATGATGGAAAAGAGTCCGACAGCCGATAAATCTATATTTAGAGTGGTTTGCAACTGATCCAACTCCACTGAGGCAAATGCAGCCGGGGCATCCGTTGCGATTACGTCGGAGAGAGCAACAGAGCGAAAGGTACCATCATAACTCACGTACGTATTGATATGAGAGTTTTCATACGAGTTCGGTTGCGGATGCAAGACATAGTCGGTGCCGGCGACTGTACGTGGACAGATCACAGTTGCGGAATCAAATTCTTCGATGTTTACGTGGCACCTAGCGAGAGCATTGCTCTTGAGTAACCCATCTGGATCTGCGAAGTCACAACGCAATGCATCAATGCTGCTATTACAATGCAACCATATCGCGCATAATGCCAATATGACTTTCATTACTCGAAAGCTGTAAATTGTGATTTACCGCGTTGGCACGTTGCTGTCAGATTTCATGTACGAAAAAGTTTTCAAAAAATTACGGTTTTCAAACAGATCACGTGAAAGTAAAAACACTCACAAGTATCAATAAGACATGTGAAAAATTTTGTACAGCGATAGATATATAAATACCGCAGCAGCTGTTTGGCTAGTTGCCAGAGAATTTTCCTTCAGAGACCCAACTGGAACAATCAATAAATGAAGCTAAGATGTTAGACAACTACTCAAAAATTTTTATGCTGATAAAATAATTAACGCAAAATATAACACCAAAATCTGGATTTTTAGGCACCGCATTTTTACTTCACTCCGGGCATCTCATAAGAAGGGATCAGATCATGATCGGACGGACAAATCGCCACAGATTGACGGAATAACACGAACGTTACTGTGAAGACGGCAATTACTGACCAGAATAACGTTGTCGAGAAGGGTGAGAGTGCGACTGTCACTGGTTACTACCGCAGGTAGCATGAAAAAACTGTTATGAGATAGGCACCATCAACATTCGTGATATCAGAGAGCCAGAAAACATATTGGAGGCACCGATTGATGCCACAGAGTGCAGCTTGAGCGCCTTGTTCAAGCACTAACATCGACACCAAATGCACTTCGCCCGCTACATGACCATGGTCAATAAGAATGAGAGTCGAGCGCATTTGGCAACCATATTACCTATAGGACAATTTAGTATATACACTATACAACTGGGATGCACCATGCCATGCAATACGCACGATTGGATATGGTATTACTGGTCATAACCGTCACCCCCGGAGCATGCCCTTTGACTCTAATACTGCCTCAGTCATGAAAACATGCTGAAAGATAACTTTATCATATAATAGGGTTTCAGCAACATCCATCAGGCACATATGACTGGTGTTGCGCCTGACTTCATGTACAGCGCACCCGGCACACTTATGCTCGATGCGCCTATTAGCTTCGCTATTTCACCTAGTGTTTTCCCGACAGGTGCTTCAGCAGCTACATCGAGCTTGACTATTCCTATTTGAGTGGCAAGATCACGCATTTTGGATTGTACAAAGTCCAGATGCATCCAAGGTTGTTGTAGAACGTCGTTCAATGCGACCATCCTGTATGGTGTGGCTCCTTCGGCTTGCGATTGTTCGGGCTCCAATGGACTGCAGACCATTTGTATAGCTAAATGCTTTGCTATGTCGGCAAGGGTGTCCGAGACTTGGTTGGACAACGCGGAATTAACGCCATGGTGTCTTAGGCTGACCATACCTAGAATAGACCCCATCACCCCTTCCTCCTTGCCTTCCTTTTGGTGCACATATACACCAATATGATCCTTTTGAAGATTTGTGACGAAAGCGAGGACGGTGGACATCACAATTTTAGTCTTGAATTCCGCAGACGATTGCTGTAACATTTGGCCGACTGTAATACCATCTACATCGTCGCATTTCAGATCGTTGCAGGATCCAATATCTAAAGCGACAATAGCTCCTGAAGTATCCGAATGATCGATGTTTATGCGATTAATATCTATGGACCGTTGGATGGTCTTCCTGATGTTGTGCGCGAGTTGCGCAAACTTATCACTCGATGTAACGAAGTCACAGTTGCAGCACAACTCCACTATGACGGACCTTCCTCGCGTTCGTATGTCATTGGGAAGTGCAATTTTACCTGCAGGAATACATGTTGATCGGAATCGTACAATTAGACATACCAAAAACTGGCCTTTCAGTGTCAATGTCGAATTGGCGCGTTTGCTGCACACTTCGCACATACGTAATGGCTTCGTCTAGATCCTGTAGCGTGATGAATCCATAAATACGAATGTAACTGTAGTGGACCGTGAACACATGCATACGACAATGCAGATCACGCTCTCCGTAGAGATATAAATGGCTGAAAACTGACCCAATTACATCGATTAAGAGCGTCTTTACACTCCACTACGCCTGCATTCGTGACTTTTCGGAGTTGCTTTATAGCCGCCAAATGCTGCATGCCCCTGAAGGCTAGAAGGCTATTACAACAAATTCCACCCCTTTGCGTAAATCCGGTTTTCAGTGGTGCAAGAGTTGAGAAGAGGCTTGAATACGGTCTTTTCATCAGACCGGCGAGTACGTTGCAAGCCATTTTCATGTCTTCAATAACCTTTGATAACGGCAAAGTGGCTGCGTAAAGGCATTTGAGCGTCACGCAGAAGACAACTTTGGCTACATTTAACACATAAAGTAGACTGTTAGTCCACTTTTATAGGATTCTCGACCTTTTGGAGTCGAAGTATAGACCTCCAAGCAACGTCATATACTTTCAGCAATATAATCACCGCTACAAAGCTTATATTACGAGCAACAACTATTACGCTTTAATATAACCAACTACACTGCCGATGTGTGTTTTTGCCCATTAGACATTCGCTTTTCCCGGCCGCACATCAGACGGTATAACGAGCGCGTATCTTACACATCTGTGCTACAGTCGCTAAATACCGTTTCGAGGTCGATTTAGTTGCACAGATTCACAAAAGGACACACATATACAGGGCAATTGTACACTCTTTTTATTAATGTGGATATGTGTACGACATTAAAACTTCCGCACGGCCGTGTTACTGTTCGGCTGCATCATCAGCCGCCGCCTCCGTCTTTTCTATTGCCGGCGGCGGAGCTGCAAACACCACCTTCAGTATATCCAAAAACAGTTCCTTGAGGAAATCGGATGTAGAGAACGTGTGGGCCAACAGCGAAGCGAGGGCATACTCCCCTGGGCTTGCCGACGTCATATCCACGGAGTCCTTTACAAGTTCCAGACACTGCTTGAGCTCGGCATCGTTCTTGAAGTGCTGAACACACCCTTCGTCGGCGCTTTTCAGCTCCGGTGATGTGAGAAGCACCAGCAGGAAGTTCTTGAGGGACTCCAAGTACGTGTCGCTGGTTGTGTCCGTGTAGTACTCTCCGTTGCTCGGTATGATCACATTCAGAATGTAGTTCGTGACCGTTATCAACCTCTTGACACACGTCTGCGAGCAGGTCTTCTGATCCGAGGTGTAGAGCAGATACTCCAGGCTGCTGGCCATTTCCTTCACCTTCTTTATTTCGATAGGTACCAGTTCCATGGTGCTCAGCGTGGACATGTTTGCCAGCATGTACTGACATATGAGACTGGTCATCTCCGCTCTGCGGGTGTTGATGTCATCCACGTCTGCGACGCTGTAGGACGCCAGATGCTCCGTTACGACGTTTTCCATCCACACAGGACATTTTAGTACACTGTATTTCTGTTTGCTGAACGGTCCAACGATGTCCCAATTGCCGCGTCGTGCGTTTGCGATTTTGGGAGGCATCTTGGTCAGCGGCACGGCAACCATGTGGTACATGAAGGGGTACTGGAAATTGTTCGTGAGAATTGGCGCCAAGAGGTAGTCGAATATACGAACAACACGGGTTATAGTATTGCACCATCCTTTGGGCGCAGCCTCTTTGAGCAATATTTTGTTGAGAGCCTTATTGGCTTCCAAGTATATGCGCTGCGGCCCCATTGAACATATGATAGCGAGCGCATGTATTGCGTACAGCCACAGAGCCTCGACAACTTCATCATTGGTAGCGAAAGTTTTCATTTCGACGAGCATTTGTATTGCCACTATACCCCGGTTGTGGTCGTCGTCGGTAACGTCACCATCCCCACTGAAAATGGCCAACGACAGTAGCATCTGCACCACGTACTTTGCCATCACATGCGGTTCCGATTTGACCAGACACTTGTTGTTGCGCATCACGATGGGCAAAACACCTGCTATCGCGTTCTGTATCCTCCTGACACGATCCACCCCTGGAAGCGCGGTTGTAACGTCCTTTGCGAACGGCAAGTTGTGATTGGTAACTCTCTGAAAAGCAGCCAACATAACCTTCATGAAGTAGTTGTTTCGTGCGATAACCTTGCTTGTAGCCACACTTGATATGACCTTAACTGTGGGCTCTATGTGGTTGTAAAAGACTCTGTTTTCGAAGTGTATGAGCATCTGCAGCAACCACGCACCAAGCCAGAGGCAGAGGTCTGACCACCTAACGCTCAGGTCTTCCGTCGACTCTTTGGTCGACGTTGCCTTACCTTTAGTGTCAATTCTCGACAATCCATTGGGGAAAGCAGTTTCATCGCCGGAGCTCCGTTTACCGCGCAACACAACGGTGTCGTATTGTGAGTTTTGCGTAAACCAGAGTATCAACTTGAGGATCATAATGCACAAATAGGAGGACAGGACAGTATCGCTTTTGACGGACTTTATAAGTTTTTCGGTTGTCTCCTGCAACATAGCCATGCTCTCATCGTTAGATATTTGCTCATATAGTTCATCATCATCCGCGAGCCCGAAAACTTCGAGAACATCATCCGGTTTCGGTATGTGCTCCAATGCGTCGCGGAAGATGAGCGTACTAGCCATGAGATGGAAACACTTCACAGTGAAGATCACGGTGATCTTCAGTTTGGCTTCCTCATCCTTGCTCAGCGAAGCCCCGTTGTGCTTGATAACCTGTTTGGTACTCTCGAATACCGTGATGCATACCTTGGTGAATATACCCAAAAAGAACGCGGGCTCCACTTTGCTGTTAAAGCTTTTAATTTCTTTTGGGCAGGGTTCCACCAACGACCCTTCTTGCGATACATTGATTTCCGTTCTGGAGTTCGCCGCAGACGCCTGCGACGTCTGACTGGGGGCGCCATTAGGCTTTGCGGTGGTTGGCACCTCCTTATCCTTTGTTGCAGCCTCTACAATGCGGCATGCGATGACCTTCATAACGGTCAGGTAGTTTTCGCTCCCGACGCTCGCTGTGGCCCCAAGGAATAGGTTGTTGACGTTGTATATGTTCAGGAATGCCAACCTAAGGTTCATGTACGCCAGCACCTGTGGCAGTAACTCCTCCCTGTCGGCGTCGTTGCCAAACGCCTGCGTCACTTCCTTGATGGCATCTTCATCCTCCTTTGTTTGTATCGGATTGACACCGCGTTTGAGAAGGTCGACATTGAAGTACGGGTTCTCCACAGGCACGTCGCAGGTGGACTGCACGTCACAGAGGAAGAGGAACTGCTCGTTTGGCGCTTGTTGCGAATCTGATCGTTGTAAGCTGAGCCTTGCAAGCTCATCAAAATCACAATCAGCCACATCCCCTTGTTCGCTGCTACTTGGCGAAACAGGTTTTCCGAACATGAAGTTAGTCCACCCTCCTAACCACCCGGCACCTTTTCTCGCATCCAAGTTACGCCTGAAGCGGATGGTGGGAGGCACTAGGGCGTCAGTCAGCGCGCTGCAGTTGCCAAACACATGCGCATCGATATCCAAAGCCGCGAAGGACAGGGGCAATAGGTTGAGGTAATAAAGCTTGATTATGGTGTCCATGACTTTGACCCAGGATGCCTCGTCAAACAAGTTGGACGCAGTGGCAATCACATTTAGCAGCAACGCCAGTGAAAGCTGGCACCTGTAACCGATGGTATCATCGATGTTGATGCTCGAGAGTCGGAAAGTTTGATTAATGACATCCTTTTCCTCGAACTTCAACGCAACTCTCATGAACAGCCATATCATGCGTATACACCTTTTGAGCCCTGAGATCGATTGCGCGACAACTAGGGCTGTGTTGAGTGCATGGTGGAATCGGTTTTTACACAGCAGTTGGAAAATGCTGCGTTTTATTCCCCACCCGTATGCGCAAAGATCCGTGTTAAAGCTACACATAAGCCTTTGCCTCTGTAGGACGTGGTCCACCCAGAAGAAGCCGTCGTACTTGACAGTCTCAGTCTGTTCAGAAGCCTTGTGAAGTTTAATTTCGTGATGTTTGATCGTCGTGTATATGTCCTCCAAGAATTCAAAAGGCAGGCTCTTCCCGTTATTTATTCCCTTATTGTTTCGGACAAAATCCTCCAGTTTCATTTTCTTCTTTATCTGCGAGTTGTGCAGATCCGTATTGAGCATGATAATCGAGTACGACAGGACAAAAATGACATCGGCGTTCGCTACGTATGCGAACCCAGGTTTCACGTGCTCATCCACAACACCTACATCCCTGTTCTTTCCTGTTTTGCTGTCGTCTTCTTGTGTGGGTTCAGATTGCGTCAGTTGCATGCCGGCTACGATGGTGTCGTCCTTAATGGCCTCAGTGACAAGATTCATTCTTTCGTTCGTCAGTATATTTTCGATTTCATTCTGCATGAATTGCCTCTTGAAGTGCTCGTAGGGTGCCTCTTCTTCTGCTGCGATATGGTCGTTTATCGTCCCCACGTTTGCAACCCCGTACGAGGTAAAGTTGAGTTGCCAGAAGGCATTCTCCTGGATAACCCACCTTGGCCTTTTGCTGTCCGGCACATTCTCGTTTGACTGCGTCTTTCCATTGCTGTCGGCCTTGTCATCAGTTTCGTCGGCCAGCGGCTGCGCTTCGAAGTATGTGGAAGCAAATACCTCGATGATCCTCTCGATCTGCTGCGACTCACCCGGCAACCTGAAAGACGACAGGAACAACCTAATCGCCATGACGATCGGCAACGCCCTAAAACTGTGGAGCCTCGCAAACTCTACTCTAACTTGATCCATGAATTGCGGATTCTTGTGTGTCCCCAGGTACTCTCCCACCTTTCTAAGATTCATATCCGGAACACACTTGAGGAATGTTGCCACATCCTTCGGAGAGTGGTGCTCTGGAAGCAGCCCTATTTTCTTTACCAGTGGTATCCAGCCATCTCCCAGATCTGTGGTGTTGAATGTCTCCGCTGCCCCTCTAAGCATGTCTTTCCACCGCTTAAGTTTGACGAAGTGCGAATCCTTTTCGGCAATTGGCGAATTTTTGGTTTCCATAGTGTCAGTAGCCAATGATTTAAGTATACCTTGCAACGCGTTGAGGGCCATGAACTCCAAATTGACTACACAGCTGCCGTCGCCCGCGGTCTTTCCGTATCCCGATGAAGCCTTTCTTCTCAGTACCACTGTTGATTGTGCTATTCTACCCCTTACAGGATCATTTGCGCTACTAGGGTCGAAGTCATGCGTTGGTACCAGGCAGGTTATGATACCCTTGATGAGCACGTCCGAGATGTTCGCGCACCTGACGTCGCAGTCGTAGTTTGCGTACAACTCCATGATGAGCTGCTCATTGTGACACAAGTCTACGATGAATTCCATGTTCATTTCGATGATGTCGGGCTTGAACAAATACGTCTTCGTTTCATGCACGTGGTTCACGACAGACGCGATGATATGCGTGAGCAACGCCTCGAACTGCGCCTTCATCTGCGTCCTGAAGAAGAACAGCAGGTTCTTGAGCGACCTCAAGACCAACGAGTACAGCGACAGAGTTTCCGTGAAGCACATGCGATATATGGAGTTTGCTATGAAGACCTGGACGATCGGCAGTACCGCGTTGTACTGCCTGTGGTAAAGCGATCCGAACTCCATGGTTTGGTTGAGCGTTTCCAGTCCCACCACACAGACGTCTGAGCAGAACTCGTTCCACAACGCGGGGAAAGATATCACGTTTTGCGATAGTATGGCGAAGTCGTTTCTGAACCTAGCAGCCGTGTCCTTATCCTCCTGGGAGAGGAATGAGTCCTCAGCGTATAGGCTGAAAGGTTGTTGCGACGTCTTTTGGGCCAGGAGCAGGCTGATGAATATGAAAGTGCTGCTGACTCTTCGCGATAGCCCCTTCGGCTTCGTGGGCTTTATGGCGTTTTTGTCGTAGTGCCCCAGCGAGGCCTGCAGCAGGTTGACAACCTCGTCGTGTATGAGCTTCCGCATCGCGCTGTTCCTGTGCCTCGCAGTGAGCAGCGTTGCGATCATTTTGAACATGACGCATATGTTTTCATTCGTGATAAGGTTGCCTCCCTTTGAGCGCAGTATGTCGCAGAGCGCCTTCAGGATTTTTAGTGTCAACAGATCCTCCTTTGGCTCCACATTCGTCGAGAACAGCCGCAAAAGCTCCTCGAAGGTGGTGTTGAGCACGGCAGGCGCATCCTTGTGGTTGAAGTTGGCAATTTCACACTGCGTGAACTTCGAGATGGCCTCCGCGCATAGTATAATGAGCTTGCTCTGCTTCGAGTCACATGTTTTCATCACCTCCAAGAAGGGCCTTATGTGCGCTATGTCGAGGAATATGTCCTCGCTGGGCACACCCTTGACTATCAGGAGCTTGAAGTACCGGGTCAGGGAGGGCTCCTGCAGCGCCTTGCCAGAGCCGGTGTCGGTGCCCAGTACTGGCACAAGGCTTGTGGTGTTCTGGCTGTTCCTGAGGTGATCCTTGAGCGCCGAGAGCACGTGGTAGGCCTCCAACTTCACTACCTCGATGCGCCTAGGCCCCTCAGTTTGGCCTCGATTGCGGTCGCCGGTCTCCATCTCAGCGAGCCGTCTGTTTTCAACCACCTAACGTCTAAACGCCATATCTGGGTCGTGCCTTGAGCGCCTGTTGCGGCTACCTGGTTGAATGGCCCCTTCACAGACGTCGCAGAGTATCACCTCCAAGTGAATACCTGCTCCGGGCGTCGATTATAGAGGCGTTCAATCAATGCGCTACTTACACATCAGATGATTTACTAATGAAATTTCCACTTTTACTTGGTGTGTTAATAATTGTTCGCATTTCACCACACATCGTATCTCCACTCGGGGCTGCTCCCCGCGTCACCATTGTGAACTCCATTTACGACTGAATCGCAACTAATGGTCACACATACCTACGTATTATACCCCTGATGCGTGATCTACATTACACATTTGTCTACGTGTCTGTTTTAGGGGATATTCTGGTTTCTGCCAGCTGTGTATGAACAATTGCTGAATCGCCAGCAATTTACGCAGTCTCAACATACGCACATCGAACGCTATTCGAGTGTATGTAGAGCCTAACTGTGCATCTGTAAGCACATTCGTTAAAGTCGGAGGGATTCTGTTACGGATATCACGGTGGAATCCCAGACAGGTAGCCATTGAGATTTCGGCAACTTTTATGCAACAAAGGGGAGCGTCTAAGTATACGTATACACATTTAGTGCGCTGTCTGTCTGGAAGTGCTGCTTGAGTAACGGGAAGGGATTTGTTGAAAAATCCGGGTGTTGGCTTAAGTTACCTTTTGAGCTGTTGGTGGACAGTATCTTGAACCGTGTGCGACTAAAACAGGTCACATTTGCATCTGGATGCGAATTCTACTGCGTTGAGGTGTATGTGCACGGAGTAGTTACAAGCCGCGCTTCTAGCTTCCTTCAACGACAGGTTAACACCGTGTAGTTTAATTTTTGCGCATCGTTCTCAAAATGCACGGAATCCGTCGGGAAGATGTCTACAAGACTCCCGATGAGGAGCGGGCTTTTGCTGAGAAGCTTGAAAAGGGCTTCAAGTTGCTGGATTCCTTCGTCGCCAACGTTCGTGAGAGCGACTCAACCGTGACATCGTCCAGCGGCCTTCTTGGGGATACAGAGGAGGCCGACCGAATGTTCTCCCTCTCCACTGCAATCATCGAGTTCATGCCGGAGTTTTATCCATCTTGGCATTATCGCAAGAACTACCTTCTGCAACCGCGTTTGGGCGAGGAGCGCCTGCGCTCGCTGTTGTCTGACGAACTGTTGTTCAGCGAATCTGTGCTGAAAACATCGCCCAAATGCTACGCCGTTTGGCAGCAGCGCCTATGGGTCTTGACCCTCATGTTCAACATGCGCTTTGACGACGTGGGCGATGTTTTGAGGAAAGAGCTTTCACTTTGTATGATGCTCTTCCGTTTGGATGGCCGCAACTTCCACGGTTGGGGCCACGTAAACTACGTGCGCCACTACCTCAAGCTGTTGGAGAGCGATGACTCCAGCGTCCAGCCCGTTCCCGTGGATAAGCTGTGTTACGCCGAGTTCAGCAAGCTCATAGAGAAGAACTTCTCAAACTATTCCGCGTGGTTCCACCGCGGGATGCTGTCCGAGACTTGCGGTTGCATTTCCGACGATTTGGATAATTTGACCCCCGCAATCTACACGGACCCGAACGACCAGTGCCTGTGGCACCATTTCGACTGGCTACTATATCGCCGCAACGCTCTGCGTTACTATCTTGTGCGCTGTCACTACTTTGAAGAGTCAAATAGTTTTGTTTTCTTCTTCAACGAATGCGTCAGCCTATCGACAACCGATAGCTTCATCACCGTCACGTCCCCAGATGGTAAGGTTTTATGTGCCTCATCAATAACGTTCCCGTTCAGGAAATCACTCTAAACTAGATGGATTCTGGTCACCTGTGAGCTCTTCGCCTCGTAAAAACAGGTAAGCCCATATGCCTAAATATGTCGCATGTATCTGCAGGTTGAGCACAATCTCTGTTCCGGAGTATGCTTGGAGGTTCACTTTAAAGGCCCCGCTTAGCGTGAATGAATCTACCTGCATCTCACCATCGCTGATGATAGAGACCGACGAGCGCATCGTCGACTCATTTTACGCTCATCTGCGCCACATGCCGAAGTGCCACAGGGCATCGGACATCCGAGACGTGCAGAACCCACCGCCATGTCTTTTGTGCTTACGGTACAAGCTTCATCTATCTGAATCCGTGGAATTGCCCATAGACCTCGATTCCTTGGAGTTCATGCGCAGCAACATGGTCAGCTGCCGCGGATGGGAAGACTTGTCCGGTGTCTTACGTGCCCCGGTGTTCCTCCCTGGTTCGTCGCGCATCGTATCCCTGGGTAAAGACATAACCCCTGCCATCTTGGAGCAGCAGCTGGAAATGATAGACACGCTGTTGGGTATGGGAACGGAGTCTAAGTATCTCCACCTTGCCAGGTGTGTTGCCTTTAGCGCGTTTCAATATGCGGTAGACACAAGATACGCCGCCATCTCGGGCAACCAAGCGACGCAGACGAGTGTTACAAGCATGTTATGCGCATTGATGGCATCAGAGCACGTCTCCACAGTGACATGCTGCTGCTAGACAAGGTGCAAAGCGCCCTCGACGCCAGCGCGGCAGCGGGTTCCACCTCAGCAAACCTGAGTGGCATGGGCCTACGCCGGCTACCCTACCGCGCACTGAGCCCACATATGACGCTGGAATCGTTGGATCTGAGCAACAATTCGCTGTGCGACGGGTGTGTTCCTCATGTTATGCATGCGCCTATAGTTCTGCAGCTCACTTCTTGACATCGGATTAGGTCTTCTGCTGCGACTCCACACGATATCGCTGTCTGGCAACGGGTTTAAGCGTTTGTCGAGCACGCTTGAAGCTTTGCGCAACCTTACGAGGCTAAAAAGGTATGCTATACGTTAATCGCGTCACCGAGTTATATGCTGTTTCAGGCTCGATCTTTCAGGGAATCCTCTGGATTCCGTGGAGAAATGTACTTCCATTTCCGTCCCAGAGTCATTGGTGTTAGTTTTGTGAGCGTTAGTGATTGCAATTTGTGCAGGGAAATAGACATCAGCGACACACCGCTGGCGTCCTTCCTGTTGGAGGACTCCGACAAGCACGGCGCCACTGCCGGCGTGTCACATAAGTGTCCCATTTTGGATGGCTTTGAGATCCATTTCGAGGATCCAGGCTCGGCTACAAGCCACAATGCTCAATCCTCCGGGCGTAGCGCCGGTTCCGTCACCGCGGTTCTGAGACGCGCGTACGGGCGCCCGTATTGAGTGACAGTTGTCACTACTTAAGTAAATTAGATCGCTCTATGCGTGATAGTGAGATTTGGTTACCGTTAAGACAGGAGACAGCGTCCCAGTCTCTGCGACGCGGAGTAAGACATTCTAAGGGTGACCAAGACAGTCTCCTCCCGCTGATTAGCGGGATTCTACGGTCATAGGAGTGCTCCCTATAGGACGGAGTCCCATAGGCGCGGCAGTTTCGCTCATGGGCTGCTGTGCGATAGAGGCACCTACTGTGCCTTCCCAACGGCGCTGTTGGAAAACTGGGAATCCGCGCACACATCACGTCAATCTAGCGGCTCTATACACCTTATATACAGTACTATAGCGACAGAATTTCTGGAATTCGTTGGTGTAGGGTATGCCGCATATACACGACGGCAATTTACGCTCTCAATCGGGAGTGGAAGCCTCTATGGAAGGCCTGATGTCGTTGCTAGCGTTGTCATACACCGGCCCTGAATCCAGCAGATAATATTGCGCTCAATTTATATGAGTGTGCGAGCGTACACGTCCCGTAGGGTCGCCATTTGTGACATGGTGTCTGCGACACCATAACGCGTAGGGCCGTGACTATCGGGGGAAGGACAGGTCCGACATCGTTTGTCACAACTTACAACGCGCGTCCTTTGAGGAGCGCTAAGAAGATTGTTGTACCCCTTTGTTTTTTTATCTTTTTGTGTTTCTTCCCGCGCCGGCCTGGTTGCAGTGACTCATCACGTTACGCCGTGTCGCCTTGAGGCTGCGCTACACATTTTGTGTTTTTGGTTTTATATTACGGTTTCCGAGTTCGCTGACCATATGATGGGTGTATTGTTTTAGGTTTCGAAGGTCGGCCCCGTGGTTGTCTTCCCGCCCCTGTCGAGGGGGTGTCTTTAAGGCGTAATCGTCGGGTTCCCGAAGATCACCAGCCCACTCACGCGTTGATCTTCGCTCCCGGAAGTGCGCTTGGCGAGTCGACCCGCCTTCTGAGATTTTGGTGTTTAATGGCAGTGTCGTTATTGGTCACAGCTTCGTTCATTTCCTGTGCGTGACATTCGCCTTCATGCTTGTTTAATAGCTGTATCTCCTAGGATTTTCCGTTTCGCACTTCTGTCAAGGTTCTTCGAAGGATCCTTTGCGAGACTGATACGGCACAATCCAATTCGTTTTGCCTTTTGGGAACTTTTGTTTCAATACGGCACGACGCTTCGTCAGTTTGTTGATAAACTGCTGATACAGTGTCACTCTCCAGTTTACTTTACATTATTGCGTAGGATACAATATAAGGGTGGGATATCTTTTCTGGCTTAAAGATAGTTCCGTTCGTGTGATCCTGCAAGGTGCTTTCTAATTTGCAGTATTGTGGGGTTGCGTTATCTTTCCGCAGTGTCCTACGGCCATTCGGTACTTGTACATTTATCTGGATTCTTCAGCTTCCGTTCCAGATTCGTAGCTTTCGGCGTGCGTGTTGAGGCTGACGCTGGTTGCTTGAAGAATATCTCCTTAAAGTGTCATTATTCTCCTTTGAGAACACGTTTTATCGGCGTGTATAGGTTCATTTTGCGTTGATATGGAGTTGTAGCGTGCTTTGGATCTTTTGTACACCGCCCACTCTGATTGCGCGTAATTCTCACTGCTGTCTGACCAGCCGCGCTCTCGGTTGCAACTTATATTCCGGTCATTCACTACAGCCTGCTTCTTACGTTGAAATCTTTCACTACAACGTTTGCGGGTTATTTCCGGTCAGGAGTTGCATTCTGTTTCTACCGCTATATCGGGATTAGGATACCACTCACTGCTCTGACGTTCACTCGGTCCTTTTCCTGAGGTTACATGTTTCATCCTGGAATGTCGATGAACCCCGCTGCCATGGGCACGTACGTTCAGTACGGTGAGATGCCCCCCTCGCTGCCGCTCGAGAAATGTGCGGGTGTCGATGCTTCGTACTGTAACAAGAACGGCGAGTGCCGTGCGTTTGAGCCCTACGATGAAACGAGGACTCAGCGCTCGGCTTCACTCGTTGATGAGAACTTCGGCAGCTACGATGCATACACTGCCGATCCTAACTACTATGTGGATCGCACGGGTTGCAGAAACTCCTTCAACGAGGGCTTCGCTGACATGGACACTGTCGACGTGGGGGTGGACGCATCATTCACGGAGACTGAATACCCGGCTGATTACGTTGACCATTATGTAAACACATATGGTAATGGTCGTTGCTTGGGTCCCACTTGCGGTTTCCGCGGCTTCATGCCAATGCCCATGCCCGCGCCTATGCCTGAGGAGGGTGCTCCGGACGCCGTTCACCCGGCCATGCGTCCCATGACCACCCCCGAGGCGGCCAACGTCACGGATGACTTCTCGCGTTACGGCGTCACTCCGCGGTTCCGCCAGGTGGATACCCCGTGCCAACCTATCACGCGGCAGGGCACCTTCATTGAGCCTAATCACAACTTGGAGAACTTCGTGCGCGCCTCCAGTCAACTATGTCAGTCGATGGAAACGATCGTCACCCGTCCTTCGTCTGAATGCGCTCGTCCGGATATCTCCAGCTTCGCTGCCGGCGGGATTCGTGTCACCACCCCGCCTGCGGGAACATCGTTCGAGCAGCGTGGTCCCCACCCGGCGGGCGCTTCGCTGCCGACTCAGTACTTCCAGAATTCTGGGGGTCAAACTTACGAGAACGAGCTGTTCTTCACGCCCACTCTGTCAAACAAGGACACGCGCATGTGCAACAACTACTCCGTTGCGTCGAACTACTGCGTGTACGTGGGCACGGACTCCAACGTGCAAGCATGCGGCTGCAACATGTCCCGTCCTTGCGGCGGCAACTGCCACGTGAGCGGGTGCCCACTGGTGACCTCCGCGCTCGAGCCCTCTACTGAACACTGGCCCGTTTCCGGGTCGTCTCACCTTCAGTCGCTGGTGCGTCGTCTGGACTGCGTTGTCGAGAGCTACAAGACCGTCCCGCGAATCTGCGCCAATCCCCTCAACTTCCGGCGCGTGAAGGCTCGGTCGGTGCCGCATCACACCAGATCCTCCGGGTTCAGCAGCGCTCGCGAGAGCATCGTCGGCAACAGTGGCGATTTCGTTAAACGTGCCGCCTCCATTGCCACCGAGTTTGCCGAGCGCCGCGAGGAACCCCCAACTCCCGAGTACTACGTGCAGACGAGCTACGAGGACTCTCCGTACAATAACGGCATGCTCGGCGAGGTGGAGGCTCAGGCGAAGCAGAAGAAGACCTCGAGCATCCCCGTGGCCGACCCCGCCGCTGAAGTCGAGATGCCTTCGCGCAACGAGTACGGGCGCTTTGTGCCCTCCCGCACCACTTCCGTCGAGTCTACCACCGAAGTACGCCCGCAGCACGTCGCTCCCAAGTCGAACAAAAAGAAGTCCAACACGCCCGCCGCTCACCCCGGCGAGAAGGTGAGCGGAGTATGGTACGACACCAATCGCCACCTGTGGCGTGTTGTATACATGAAGGGCAACAAGCGCAAGACGCAGGGGTTCAGTTCGATAAAGCTGGGGTACGAGGAGGCTCGGCGTAAGGCCATCGCCATGCGTCACGAGATGGTGGCCATGCGCCGGCCCGACAAGGGTTGATCAACATCATCAATATAACTGTCTACATGATTCACCCTGTCTGTCGCTATTGTCCCATTACCTGGGCTGTGAAAGACGCGGGATACCACGTTGTCGCGGTCGCGTCTTAGGAAGGCTGATCCGCTGGATTCTCCGCTTTGCCGGCCGAATTAGCCCACATAGCGCTCACACATCAATACACAGTACCTTTGCGTACGGCGTAGGCTCTTTCGGAGTCGCACCTCCCGTAGACGGCCGTTGCTACACATCCCGGGTCCCCATCGTTCGCCCTAACTTGACCGACGCCGTCGTTCAGTGTGATCCACGATGCCTACCGTTTCCGTGCCTAAGGACGAGTTCCTGCGCCGCCTTGGCGGCTCCCTGAGTATGTCTTCTGCCCGCAAAGCCTCATTCGCGCGCAGCACTCCCGGAGCTGGAAGAGCTGTGCTTCAGCTTCGGCGTCGAGTACGAGGAGTGTCTGTTGGATGATAACGGCATAGAGGTGATTAAGATTGAGATTCCTGCGAACAGGTTCGTTGCGACCGTGTCTTTCCGTAATTTGAGCGCAGGTACGACTTGCTCTGCCTCGAGGGTCTGGTGACTGCGCTTCTGGCCTACCGATGGGACACTCCGGCGCCTACAGTGCGCTATTCGTGCCAGAATCCGCGCGAAACAGCCTATGTGGAAGCGCTGCCCGAGGTTTGAGCACCCTTCACTACTGTCGTTGTCATGTGTCTCGCAGTCGAAGTTCACTCGTCCGTACATCTTCGCGGCATGCCTGCGCGGCGTGAAACTAACTCAGCAGTCGTACGCGAGCTTGATGGACCTGCAAAGCAAGCTCCACCAGAACCTGTGCCGCAAGCGTACGCTTGCCGCCATCGGCACTCACGACATGGATCGCATAGTGGAGCCGCTGGTGTACGGTCTGGAGCGCCCCGAGGACATCGTGTTCGCTCCACTCGGCGATGCTAGCCGTGACTATAACGCCGCGGAGCTTGTGCAGCATTACAACGAGACGAACAACCACCTTAAGGTGAGTCCATGTTTATGGTGTCTGATTCCCGCCAGCCATACCTGAAGATCCTGGATGGCCTCGAGAAGTACCCAGTGCTGCGCGACGCGACTGGCAAGGTCTGCTCGTGGCCTCCAATCACCAACTCCGCGTACACGAAGGTCACGGTGGACACCCGCAACCTGTTCATCGAGGTGACGGCCACTGACCGCGTGAAGGGCAACATCTGCCTGAACATGCTGGTCCACTGTTTTTCGCAATACTGCGATGAGCCGTTCACCGTGGAGCCGTACTACACGAAGTACTCTGACGGCATGGTACTATCGCCAGACCTGAGCCCGCGCCACATGGAGGGCGAACTGACCTACCTGCGCAACTTGATCGGCGTGCCGGACCTGACTGGCGAGGACGCCTGCAAGTACCTGAAGCGGATGATGATAGACAGCAAGTTCAACGCCGAAAAGGGCACCATCGAAACCAGCATCCCGATGAGTCGCCCCGACATCCAGCATGCGTGCGACATCGGTGAAGACATAGCTATCGCCTTTGGCTACAACAGCATCGCGAAACATGCGTTCCCGATGGGTCGTCTGAAGTCCGTGACCTATATGTCACGCGCAGTTCGCGACGTGCTGTTTAGCTGTGGCTACAAGGAGACACTGATGCCCATCTTGGACTCGCTGAAGACTATGTACGAGCGCATGGGCTGGCCCGAGCCCGACGCCTCATCTGATCGCCGCCCAGTTCTGCTGAAGAACTCGAAAATATCGGAGCTGGAGGCCTGCCGCGTATCGCTTATCCCAGGCATCTTGCGCACCATTGCCAATTTGAAGGGCGCCGCGCTGCCCATCCAGGTGTTCGAGGTCGGCGACGTCGTATGGCGCAGCGAGGGCAACGACGTCTCGGCCGTTAACAACACCAACGTGGCATGCGGCTATGCAAACAGCTCGACTGCCGGCCTAGAGGTGGGTGTCTATTACTCGGATGCTTAGTATGATGTGGGCGGATGGCGTCTATAAGCCTAAGGACATTTTTTTACGCTACATATGGCAGTGCTTCCACTCCAAGCACGTTTTAACCGCGGTTCAGGAGGTACAAGGCGTGTCCGAGATACTGCTGAACGAGCTGGGATTCTACAGCGAGTACCAGCAATGGGAGCTCGGCGAGAGCCACACCCCTATCCCCGAGACATGGAAGCACCTGTACCGCTTGGAGGAGGTAGACGGTGGGTACACATATTCCAGATTGCTTATTTAGTTGCAGACGGCGCGTTTATGCCGGGTCGTGCCGTGAAGTTGGTGACCTCTGCGAGTCCAAGTGTGTCCCTCGGCACCATGGGTGTGATTCACCCTGATGTGCTTCGCCGCTTCCACATCCAGCTGCCAGGTACTTTTAAATACCACCACATTCATGTTGATACAGTTACGGTGTTTGAGCTTGACCTGAGTCTGGTGAAGCGTATAATTTCTTAGGGCTCCGGCGGTAGGCATCGCGCCTCTGGCGCTTCGTCGATGGAGCCTTGGCGTAGTCCACCATGGGCTCTCGTGTGTTTCAGTTCGTTTTGTGCAACGAGACTAGCATAGTTGTCCACCGCCATTCTCACAGCATAAAGCACGGTTCCTGGAGTACGTGGTTGCCTGAGCGCGTTTTTGCCGGTACCGAGGCTACCATTTCGTGCTCTTTCAGTCGCGCATTCAGCGGTGTGTGCTTGACTCTGAACTACGGAGCGATCCTCAATCGTGAGCGCTATCTGCTGCACATTAAGCTGGAACGTGTTGGCGGTGATGATGTGTTGTCTGCAGTGTTTGCTCCAGAGGGTGACGGCACGCAGTCTCCGCGCAGCAACTTGGATAGGACGGACAGCACGTGCCCTGTGATCTTCAAAGTTCACCACGAGATCATTGATTGTGGTTCTGGAGGCCGTTTCTGCAAGACGTTCCGCATTCGTGTTCAGGAGACCGCGGATGGTAGTCTGTACATAAAGGGTCTAAAGGAATGTATCGAGGAACTTGTGCAGCGACGCGATGATGTATCGAAATGCCAAGTCGCCGAAGGCGGCATCGAGGCATTCCAGATGTACGAGTCGCTGCCTGACGACTTCACGTGGTCATGGAGCACCTCGTCGTGGCTGGACCGTCTGCGAAAATCTAACCGCTCCGTTTTGATTCGCATCGTAAATTTATCGGGAAAACATATGAAACTGCTGCTCGGTGATGGCGGCACCACCCTCGACGATGGCCAGTGGGTGGAGTACCCCGCCGAAGACCTCCCTCACCTATGCTGCACCGAGTTTGGCGTGCGTAGCACCGGTTTCTTCGGAGGCACCGGCGGCAGATGCGTGTACAATATTCTCGGCGAGAGCGGCGCCCTAAACTTCAGCTGGGAGCAACCCTCCATAGGCTCCATGGTGGCCAGTGGTGTCCACTCCAAGGGGAAGTACTCTATCGCAAAGCATTTCGAGCCGTTCAACGAGGCCACTTTAACGTACCACATCTATGATGTGGTCCCTCCCACCATTGACCTGTGGGCTGCCAAGGCCATATCGCCTGGCGTGCCCAGCAAAATGCTGGACGTGATGACATTGCCGGTCGACCCCCGCGGATACCACACCTTCGACCACATCACATTATCGCCGCTCGGCACCAATGCCAAGACTGAGCAAAATACCGCAACGGTGACCAACGTGTTGCACCTGCTGTTGAGGTACCATGAGCACGGGTGCGAGAACACCAGTGACAGCGTCGGCCCCCGCACGGAGAGCATCAGCGGGACCGAGGGCGACGAGACCGCCAACGTCGGCGGTAGCATAGGAACGGATCTATTTCTGAAGAGCCCGCGACACTTCTTCAACTCGGCTATTTTGGGCAAGAGGCGGGACATGCCCACCATATCGGCAAACTGCCTGCTCTACCTCGACTGGGGCATCGGCAATGAGCGTTTCTGCAAGATATTTCAGCCAGACGAGCGCATACATCTGCGCAGCTCAATACCAGGTGGCATCAACAGCAAGAAGTTGCTGTTCCAGTCCCGCATGATGTACTTCCGATGCGACCGCCCCGAGGTGTTCCGCGACGCAGCTGCGGCGTCCTCCTCAGCCCGAGATCGCCGCGCTCGCCCGTTCCTCCAGTCGCTATCGCAAACTGAGCTCATGGACTACGTGCTGACTATCTTCCACTCGCTGTGCGAGGGGCTGCAGCCGTACGTGACCAAGCGCATGGTGAACAAGTACGGGCCCAGCTGGATCGACGAAGTTCGCGTGCCTGTGGGCCACGTATGGCGCTCCGAAGACCAGGTGCGCATTGACATCGAGGGCATGATCTACATTATTACGGCGTACTGGATGGAGTTGTTCGAGGACCTGTTCGACGGTAACTCAGGCACTTTGCACATCATACAGGTTAGTTTTGCTCTATTTAAGCCCATTCTTTGGCAGACCGCCGCCATATACTGGGCTAACCAGGAGCTACACAGGTTCGACTCCGATTACGGTGAGTGCGCGTGTGCGTAACGACATCTTCGTGCAGTGTGGGACATGTTGAAGGCGACCGAGCGGTTACTCCACCGTCTGCGCGCCGACGGGCCGCTGAGCCACATAGAATTCATATCTCACAAAATGATAGTTCAATGATTTAGCATGGCTTCCCAGGCTGGCGTGCATTTGTTTTTGCAGCGCATCTTCGTTGCGAAGGTTCGTCGCTGGGTGTGCGCGTTTCATAGGTAGTATTTGCAGGATGACGTCGTCGACGGCCTCGTCCGCAGCATATCTCGCGGCACAGGTCACGAATACGGCGGAAAGAACGGATTCGTACAGGAAGCGAATCGCGTGCTTGAGGATATAGGCTACATGTTGGTGGTTCGTTTAGCGACACATTGAGTAATCCACGTTCTACAGCGCGTCGTATTTAACGGTGTCCCGTACTATGTGCTGAAGGACCTGGAAACCGTGACGTATATCGCGGATCCTCGCTATGGCGGATCGCAGGGCGCCTCTTCCAACATCAATGACGGCGACATGAGCCCATCGCAATCCTCCCAGTCGTCTGGTACTCGCTACACCGACTCGCTACGCGTGTTAGACTGCAAATTCACGCCTGCCGAGGTCGCCGTTTACATGGGTTGGTGTGTATATGTGTGTATCACGGTTTTGTAGACGCGATGGCTCACATCGTCCGGGAGAGTGGGTACCCGGCTTCTACATTCACATCGGTTACTGCAGGGGAACCCTTACAACTGACAGATGTGTCTACCGCCGCGACGTCGTGGAAATCGCTGTGCTTGCGGCATGCCGTTAGCGACAACGCTGCCCAGCAGGCTCTCGGTAGGTCATTGCCATAAGATCATCGGCGGACTATTTTGCAGCCGATAGATTCCAGAGCGACGGCTGGCTAGTTGTGGACACAATCGACGGAACGGTGATCCCCGGAGTCCGTTTTCACGTGGTATGTCTACCGATTCGGCGTCTCACTCTGGTAGGAGTTCATGGAAAATTACGACTTTTCGGAGCACCCCGACTGTGTGTCTTGTGGCGGAAAGATCATTTGCATGGTAAGCGGTGGCAGTGGTCGCTAGTACTGCGGGGTGTACATCGCTGCGTCGAGCAGACGTGCACAGTACAAGCTCCGCGTTTCTGTCCGCTGTGTTCGTTAGATTAGCGGTTGTATACACCCTTCCACACCATTGCAGAGTAATACCTGCGAAAGATGCGGTTCTACCTGCCATAAAGCGTGCCATGATATCTTGGATTCCGGCGAGCGGGTGTGTCGTCGTTGTATGAGGGCACAGTGCGGCGAGTAGCGCCGTTAGCTCCCCGGATTCCTAGTTCACTATTAATCTGTTCAGAAAGTAGTTATCATTTACCATAGTATAATAATCGGAGACGTCTTGGTTGTCTTTCGATTTCTGTGTCGGCGGGCTGCCGCCACTCATTGTTGCTTTTTTCGAGCAACGCATGGATCTGTTTTCAGCGTGAAAATTCCGCTGATGGCTAGGTAACGCTCTATAGAGGCGTTCCTGTGTTACTTTTGTGTGTCGCTGCGCGTGTTCGTATGGAATCCTGTCGTTCGCGATGGAGTTCGACCATGTGCAGCACACCCTCGTATATTTCTCCGAGAACGAAGAGGCGGCTCGCTTGGTTCACGATCTCGACTGCTGTTGTCGTTATCTGCTTCTAGGCGACGGCGCAGAGCCGTCGCCAGGCAAGGGTGCCGCAACTGGAGGTGATACGGCCGCCGACGCCGATGGGAGACGATCTGATTTTATCCAGGCCGATGCCGGCGCTAATACGGGCACATCGTCTGCATATATGCAGAGTACGTTGCAATGTGTCGTCACTTCGAGGTCCTTGTCGATATCGTCCGCCGAGACGGAATCTCAGCGCGGGAAGGTGTTGTCATCGCTGGTGGCTATAACTTCGGATTTGGAGGAGCTCGTGGGTCGATATATGCACTCTCCAACTCTATTATACCCTCATATAGAGGCGTTGGTTAGCACGGCTTTCGACTTGTTACGTCGCTTCGTCGAGCTTCCGTTCGAAGTTTGGTCCTCAGTTCTCAGCTGCGGGCCATCGGACGAGCTGCGCGAGTCGCTGATTGCTTTGGAGTTCGTCTGTTACCACATTTACAACGTCGCCAAAGTGGTTGGCTTGCGCCGTGTTATAGGATGTGCACCTAACGAGGTGCGATTTTTGGTTCCTCTGGTTGTGCTGATAGAATACCTGCAGTCTCACGTCCGTATTGGAGGCGATATGAAGTACGATAACAAGCGGTGGTGCATGGAATATGTCTGTCTGGCGTGGCTGTCTCTTCTGGTGTACACCCCGTTCGAGCTGAGCACCATATGGCATGCAGGAGACGGCAGTAGGATGACATTGCAGGGTCGCATTTTAGGCGTCTCGATGCATTATTTGGTTCTGTCCACTAAAGCACGTGATGCTGCGGCTATAGTGTTGTCCACGCTGTTTGCTCGTCCCGATGTCAGCGACGTGGAGGTCGGCCGTTTCATGTCGCACTGTAACTATGTGCTTACGTCGGGTTCTTCCGCCAACCGGCCAGGATCAACTCAATCTACAGCCGATAATAAAAAAGCATCTGGCGCGGCTGCAGTGGATGACAGGAGCAACATTCCAGTTTCTCCCAGTCGTGGGAGCGCTCAGCCAACGTCGGCTGCCTCTCCGGACTCAGGAGATGACCTATTTTCAAGTCCTACAATGCCCGCAACTCGGATAGATAGCGCAGATAGTGCGGGGCAACCCGCGGCTCATGATGCAAGTACCGCCCCGTCCTCACCTGAGAAGCCCATGGCACCTTTCGGAACTAACGATCACGGCCAGATCGGTGTCATGACGGTCTTGAAGCAGATGTTGAAGCGCATGTCTCGTGATGATTTGCGCCTTCACCTTCCTAGGTTTACAGCGTGTCTGTTAGACCAGGGATGGTCGCCATCGTCATCCGCATGCCGTAAGCTAAAGGCGGCTTGTTTGGGCCGTCTGGCCGTGCACCTCCTTCCTCCACACTCGTCATCGCAGCGATATCGTCGCATGTGTCGTAAGTTCATGGAGTCGGATAGCGCACCCGAGGAACCTGAGTCGGCTGACGCTGATTTTGAGATGGACGAGCGCGTTGAGGGCATTGTGGAGCAGCTACTTGGTACGTTGGTTGACAGTGACATCCGCGTACGGTGGGCTTCAGCCAAGTCTATCGGCCGGATTTCTGCGAAGCTTCCGATGTGTTATAACGACCAAATAATCGAGCACGTGCTACAGATAATCCAGAACCAGTATGATACCGTTCGTCAGTGCTTCACCAAGGGCGAGGCGCCCGTGCACGGCAGTTGCCTTGCCATAGCGGAGATAATTCGCGGCGGGATTTTGCATCCGCACATGCTTGACCGCGTGCTGGATTGCGTGGTGCTGACGTTGGATTTCGACGTCTGGCGAGGGAAGGGTTCGGCCGGAACTGCAGTTCGTGACGCATCCTGCTATATCTGTTGGGCGATAGTGCGCAACTTTGCGAGCTCATTGATTCAACCATCGCATCTGATCCCCATGAGCAAGTCGCTGGTTAACATGGCTTTGTTCGACATTTCCATAAATTGCCGTCGTGCTGCATGCGCGGCACTGCAGGAGCTGGTGGGCCGTGTTGGTAACGTCGCGCATGGTCTTGACCTCATTGTGCTGGCGGATTATTACACCGTTTCCAACCGTCGGAACGCCTTCGTCAACGTCTCATTTGCGATTTCAAAGTTGGGATTCTACACGATATCGATGATTGACAACTTGATGAAGACGAAGCTGCACCATCCTGACATCACCACTCGCCGTTACGCAGCAACAGCTTTGGGCCGGATATCTCTAGCTCTGATAGACTCGCCCAACAGCCAGCTGGCCACCCGCAACGGTTTACCAGTCTACCTGGAAATTGTGGAGCACTGTCTCTCCAACGTATTCTCCACGACATTGGGCGTCATGCACGGTTCGCTATGCGCCTTAACGGAGGTGTTGTCAGGCCTGCTCAACCACGGTGTTTTGATATCGGACCAATTTTCCAGCATAAAACAGATTCCAGTGCTGTTCGAGCGCAAGCGCCTCTTTCGTTTGAAGGGCGGTGTGCTAATCCGCCAGTCGATGTGCCGCCTTATCAATTTTATATGCCGCATCGTCCGCCTAAACGACTGCCTCTCCATAAGTCCCAACGAGCTGGACGTCTATATTGTCATTGTGAAGGACTGCGTGCGAAGCTTCACGCTCGACGTGCAGATATCCGCTGCCGAATGCCTCGGAGAGATTTTCGAGATGTTGTGCATCATGGATTATTCGAAGGCCACTTCGGTGATGGATTACTTGCTTAGTTCGCTTGCGAACCATAAGGACAACATCGCAGCTCGTCGTGGTTACGCCCTGGCGTTGGGATCTATTCCAGAAGGTTTATGCGTTGCCAATTGCGAATCTTTGTTGGAGGCTTTGTGCCATGAGGTGCTGAATAACAGCGGCAACGTCGCCATAAAGGACGCTCAAACCCGTCAGCACTCGCTGATTTCGCTGGTTCGTCTGCTGAAATTGTGCGCCAAGGTTAAACTATCTGGACCTACAATCGAGCGCATCGTCTCCTGTCTGGAGTTCGGATGCTGTGACTCTGAGGTGGACAGCCGCGGTGATGTGGGTTCCTGGGTGCGTGAAGTAAGCATCGAAATTATCGCATATATTTTCTTTTTAAAACAGTGCCAGGTGCTGCAACAGGAGGAGCACGGTATTTTACCCAACCTCAGTGATGAGCATGTTCAACGTTTGGTGAAGTGTTTGGTTGGTGTCTGCCTTGAGCCCATGGATCACACCCGCGCTCGGGCGACCTTCTTGTTCGCGCACATCTTCGGCGCGTCCTTCCACTTCAAAGTCGAATGGGTGTGGCAACGTGTGTTTTACGGCGCTCGTTACGAGTACGAAGTAGCGCGTCGTGGCACGTTTCCGGTGTCGTACATGGATACGGCTTCCGCTGTGGAGCATGTCTCCAAGTGCCTTAGCGCAGATGAGCTAAGACCAACTCGATCTGACCCCGGCTTATATGTGCGTCCTTCAGATTACAGCAGCACCGTCCGCCATCCGCTTCCGGCAGTCCCGTCCTGCAGTGACATTTGCACGGACTCGGATTACGTATCGGGGATAGAGTCGGATTACGCCAATACTGATACTGCTAGCCACATGTCTCAAGATGATTACGTCGACTGCAGTACCGTGGTTCGGGAGGCTGTTGACCCCGCTTTCAAGCGCGCCACCTTCCGAGGCGTCATCACGTCATACTCCTGCGGCCACGACCGTTTCTTCGACGACTGCGCGTTCATGAGTAGCCAGGAGGCTCCCGTGATATCGGCCATCGCGCACAACATAAACTGGCAAGTGGTTCACACGTTCGACTTAAAGGAGCTGCTGCTGAGTTTGTCGTCGGAGAGCATGGAAGGGTCAGACGCACCGCCCAAAGCGCAGGGCAACGTTTCTCTGCGCCTACCTGGTTACGCCCTGTCTCCACTTTGCTTCGACCAGTTCATGTGGATGTTATATATGCCCAGTTTCTCGTCCGTCGTGATGAGGGCGCTGTTCCAAGTGCTGGGCGGCATGGCCATCCAGGAGACGTGGAACCGCCGCACGGTTTCCGACGTGATCATCGAGTTCATCCGTACGCATCAGAACAAGGTTGTGCGATCTCCGCACGGCGAATGGATGGAGTTGCACGAGATGCTGTTGCAGTATGTGCTGGAGGTGTATCGTGAGGGCATCCGGGATAAGAACTACAAGCTGTCCACCCGCGTGGTATCGGCAGCTCGAACCTTCCTTTTACACCGCTTGATCTTCCCCAGCAACGACTTGGTGGATCTGTTGGCGAGAGAATCGGGTACTGCTACGAACTACGGCTACCTGAAGAGCATCTACAAGTGCCTGCACGCCGCCCACTCCACCATCCGTGACCGTCGCGCCGCTCGCACTGCGCTGCGGGCGATGCTGGGCTACATTTGCCACAAGTACCCAACCTTGCGCACTTATGCGCGCTCAAGCCTGATGGTGATACTCAGCAGCTACGACTGGGGGCCAAGCACGGACACGCTGGGCGCCGCCCTCGCCATGCTGGACGAGTGCGTTGCCAACAAGGGCAACGAGGAAGCCCTGCTGCTGCAGCGGCTGCTGTCGCTGCTCAAACTATAGAACTGTTTAAATGCGATATTAGAAATGCGGTGTTGTCAGAACCCGTCGTCCTCATCGCAGAAGGAGTAGTTGTAGTCGCCAACGAGATGGTCGTCGTTGTCGTTGTACATGCTGGTGTCCACCTCCATGGCGTCATCAGCGCGCTCTTCGGCGGCCTTCGGGTCGTCCTCTTCCACGTACTTGGCTTCGCGCTCCATGACCTCGTCGATTTTCCTTATGGAGTGCTTCACGTCGGTGACCTCGTGGCCTGCGCTGTCAACGCCACCGACGTTGACGTACTCCGCCTGCAGCAGCTCATCCGGGAACAGCGCGGCGTCAATCATGTCGCGTAGCCTGGCATACTGCGCGTCGTAGTCGACATCGTCAGCGCCTTCCGGGAGGGTGTACTCCAGCGACGGAAGGCCAAGCTTAACGAAGCTGTAGCCGTTGTCCAGGGCGACGGTGCCAAGCAGGTGTTGCGTGATGTCGCGGTGTATTCCCACGAGCTCCACCTCCTCCGGCAGCAGCGGCTTGGCTGGCGGGACGACCCTTTCTGCGAGGCGTGACAAGTGTTGCTGTGCAGCTTACCTTCCGTCGGCTGCTCCTTGAGCGTCTGTTCGTCGGCCGCTCGTTTCATCGAGCCATATTTGCGATATTGAGTCCCGCAAGTACGGTGCAGGTTCCTGGAGCCGTGCCCTACCGCCTTCTCGGAGGCGCCTTACAGTGTCGGCGTTGTCGCGTGCCTACCTTCCAGGCAGAGCTGATTCGCAGGTCTAGAACGGTGATCTCCTACACATCCGGGCTATGTATCGCTTGATCGTTTTCAAGTGTTTTCCTGACAGCTTGGAGCCACTTTTGAGGCTCTCCTCCCCTGGGCTTCGCTCACGTTGTCTACGCGACTGTCGTCGCACATTCAGCTGCAGCGTGAAAAAGCACAACTTATTCGTGCCCAGTGTGCCATCGTGGCACTCTACAGAGTCATTGGCTCTTCCATCAGCAAGGAGGATCGCATTTAGGCAGTTTTCCGGGGACGCCTTGGACAACGCCGCTGTCCACCCCGATTCAAACGACCTCTCCGAAGCAGGAGATTGTTCTACAGCTGGTATACAGGATATAGACAAGTTTGTTGATTCTATAGAAGACTCTACTGGTGGCTGGTGGCCGCTGTATGTGCGCGGCGAGGTACCGAACTACCCTCCCCGCCGTGAGATGTTCGAGCGTCTGACGGCTGAAGGTATCGATGTCGAGCTTATGGAAGCTTACGAAATTGAGGACTTTACGCGTTGGTTATTGATGCGCAAGAAATACGGCCCTGCCTACCCCCGCATGCCGTACGACGTGACACTAGAGCAGAAGATCGAGGAGCTTCGTCGGAGGATACCCCTCTCCCGACCTGCTGGTGATACGGACTAGTGACGCCATTGTGGCCGTATCATTGTATATGTAATAGTGGTAGTCAAATATCGCCACTCGGTTGCTTGGATATGAGTCTTGCCATCTGTCATGCGTCATGTGATATTGAGTGGTTGCAAGATTGAAAAAGTAAAATCCTCTTCAGACAAAACGAAGCCTGGGATAGTGTCATATACAGTATTATCAGGCGCGTTTTGTGACTGATTTGTTCGAGAATTATAAGGCTAACTGCGTAGAGTTAGAATGAATCGTGTTGACCGTTGTTCTCAGTCGCTGTTGCAGCGTCTGATCCAGCTGCGACTTGGTCATGGGGCATCATTGGAGAGTACAGGCATGATTTGTGCACGCAATGTCGGCTGCGACAATGTGGTTGTTGCCAACAATCAGCGTTGCAGGCGTGGCGGTGCACGAGGCATATGCAGTGTCAACCGTTTCCAGGTTCAAGGAGTCGTGCACCGGAAACGCTTTGGCCACCGTTACATGTCTACGAAATCGGGACCTAAATCGGGTGTATCGGCCCCCATCGATCTGCACGATGAATTTCTGAGCAACATCAATGATGAGGGCGAAGCCCCCTCCGCGGCCGGGAGCACGCATTCAGCATCCATTCGCTTTGTCAACAAGACAAAATCAAGCGGGTCCAAGGACCGCTTCCGCCATGGTGAATTTTCGGAGGGTGACATGTACTCCGCCAAACCAGTTTGGCAGCAGTTGAACGAAATAGAGAGCACTTGGAACATGCAGTTCCGCCGCAAGGGACGCGTCGAATCCCAGAGGGCCATTTCGAGGGCGAAGAAGTCTGTGGAGGCGCTCGACGCCATAGAAGCCAACGATTCACGTTTGGTGAACATCGACAGTTTCCGCGAAGCCGGTGGTGTGGACCGTAATGATCCCGCCGCATCAGCTGGGTTCCTCTCATCGGTCCCGCATCCAGCGCCGCCATTCCCAGATCAAAGGGGCGTCCCGCCAGGATTGCATTCAGCTGCAAACCCAAATACAAGGCGTATGCCATCTGTTGTGGGTGACGGGTACAAGAACGCCCCCGTACGCGTCGGTAAGGGAGCTGTCGCACCCACGGCAGGTGGGTCATTGAGTAGTAACCGTTGGATGGATAAAGGCAATGTGTCTGCTTCTGTCCCGCCAGGGGGCTTTTTGGTGAACGATCTACATTTGCCGGGTGACCAGTACTACGAAGCCGTGTCCCTCGAGGGTGACAGTGTTGATGGCATAACCGTGAGCGCCAAAGAGCTCAACTTGGACCCGGAAGAGGAGAAACTGCGAGCAAGCCTAGCTCCATCGGTGTTCCTGGGCCGCCTTCTGAACAATTCCGAACGTTCAGTTGTGGAGGGTATATTTGGCAACAAGGAGGCCGGCGTTATCGATGCTGCCACGCCAGCCGCTGTTATCGAATCTGAGACCAAGCTGGAGCCTGAAACGTGGCTGAACATGAACCCGGCACATATAGTCCTGCAGCAATCGATATTGAAGTGCCGATCATCATCGCAAATTCTGATTGCTATTGGTGACAAGCTGGACAAGATGAACGCGGTGAACGCCTCCACTGCTCTGCACCGTCTTGCTCGTCACACGACCTCGTACTCGCGCTACAGCCTGACAAGTAACGACACATTCTGTCGTTTGCTGGCAGTGCTGGAGCGGCACTTGCTCGACCTCGACAGCCAGGGTTTGACCAACGTGTTGTGGTCAGTGGTGCGCCTGGGGGTACAACCGAACTGGCTGGATGCGCTGCTTGCCGCCATCAACAATCATGCCAACGACCTGACGCCGAGCGAGCTTGCAAGTTGTCTGTTTGCAATGTCGAAGCTGCCGGTGAAGACTGCCACCAGCGTGGATCTACGTGATCGCGTCATTGCCCTGGCCCAGGAGCGAGTGTCACATTTCAAGAGGCCCCTCGACCTCACGTGCATCGCCACCGCCCTGGCTCGTCTGAACGTACGTAACCCCGTGCTGTTCGGCCGCATCAGCAGCTCGGTGTTGGCCGTGATGAACGACTTTACGTTGCAGCAATTATGCGGGATTGCATGGTCGTTTGCCTCCTTGGGGTTCACGGACCGTGCTTTGTTCGCTCGCATCCGCCAGTTTCTGGAGGAGCACGCCAGTGCCGGGAACATGCACGACGTTGTGCATCTGGCGTGGGCGCTTTCGAAGGTTCGCGAAGCTGATAGCGAGGTTTTCCTCTGCACCATATCCCCCCTGGTGCGTGCCCACGTGTCGCACCTGACGTGCCGTGACATAACCACGGTGGCGTGGGCGTTCGTGAATGCGGAGATTGACGACCCGGATCTCTTTGAGGACCTTGCGTGTGCATTGCAGCACCACGTTGATGAGATGGGAACTCACGACGTGGCCGCCGCAGTTGCGGCATTCGCGCACATGGAGGAATCCCACAAGGCCCTATTCAAGAAGATGCGCAACCGCGCACTTCTGATGGCCAGCGAGTTCACCCCTCTGCAGCTGGCTAAGATTGTGCGAGGATTCTCCTCGGTTGCGGATGAGCGCTTCTACAGCCAGCTGTGCCGCTCCATAGAGAGCAAGGTGCACCTGATGCTCCCCGAGAATGTGGTTGAGGTTTTGATGGGTCTGACTGAAGCAGGGCACGTTCCCCCGTCACTCCTCAAGCAGTTGTTGACGGCGGTTTCCTCCGGCGTTTGTAAGATGTACGCGGAGGACTGTTTGCTTCTGTTCCAGGTGGCGCTGCGGCTGAAACGCGACTGCAACGACCGCGTCACCATTTCAACGCTGGATAAGTTACAACATGCTCTTGTTGAGCAGATAGAAGCTCGTGTCGGCCGCTGGAAGTGCTACAACATATCGCATATCACCTCCTACTTCGAGTGTTTGAGCGGCATGGGCATCGGTGGTTCGAAAGGTGACGCCAGCGTTAGGATTTTGTCAAAGCAGCTGTCTTCATGTCTCAACCGTCTCGGCACCGCGAAGCTACCTACGGAAGACCGCAACCACGCCTTCGCTTCATTCATATCCGCATGCGCGAGTCTGCCGCCCCGCAAGCTGGCCGTGTTCCAGGCAGAGCTGTCCAAGAGCCCCGAACTTATGGCCTCGATGCACAACTGCGTGGCCGCCCTGCGGAGCGGCGACTATCTGGCCAGCGAATCATCTCCGATATCGCATGTTGACGCTTGTTATTGTTTGGTCCGCATGGGCTATTTGGATGACGGCGTGGTGTCACTTTGCGACGAGCTAGTGGAGTCTTACTCGGATCCGGATAAGCTGGACCTATCTGACCCTAAAACTTTGGACAAGCTATCCAAGACTATATGGCTCCTCATGGAATCCAACCTGCACGTGGCCTGGGTCCGTGAGCGTCTGCGTGCCGTAGCAGAGGCGCAATTCACCCCCTCTGCCAGCGATTCTCTGATACGTCTTTTGTGGTCGTCTGCTGTTTTGGGTGAGGATGAGCTGCTTATGAGCATGTTGCCGAAATTCGTGCCGGTGTTTGACCGTCTGCCTGAGGACATGCTGAGTGCTCAGCAAGTGGCCCTGCATGTGCTGCGTTGTTTGCCAGTGGACACGGACACCTCTAATGGCCAATCCACGTCGAGCACCAGTGACGCCAACAATACCCTGTCGAATTCCGTTGTCAGCTGTACTGGCGAGCGTTACTTGATTTCAAGCGAGGTGCACAACACGCTGGTTGAGTGGCTGGATTACCAGAGGGATGACCTGTTCACCGTGACCCCCGGGTCTCGTAAAAAGCGCGCCCTCGAGCTGGATTACGATGCCGTCCTATCGGAGACTTTGATATCGGTATGTTTTGCGTTGTGAGTGCGCATATGTGTTCGTAGATGAAGATCCCACACAAGACGGTCCACACTGTGGCTAACATCTACCGTGTGAGTGTTGCTTTCCCAATGGAGAACCACGTTCTGGATGTGCTGAATTTCACGGTGAGTGCAGCATTTTTTCTTTTGACGCCTTGCAGGACTGCTTCGTGCCGCATGGCCAGCCTCGCTCCCGCGCACTGCTGCGGCAGCGCCAGTTACAGCTGCTGGGTTACGGCGTTGCATCGGTAAATTTGGGCAGTGTCTACGCCACATCTCGCGAGGGCTCGTGCAAGCCGCTTATCGCGAAGGCCATTAGTGGTTTCGTTGAAACAGCGGCGGACTACCTTCCGGCCACCACGCAATGATGCAGTTCACAAGTCCCTGCCAGTAAACATTGTTATGTAACGTACGAAGTGGCAATTGCCATTATCATTAAAGCTGGTTATGCTTCACCCAAAGGCGTTTATAGACAAACCGTGGTGCGTCTCCCCCTTTTTCTGGGGACCCTGTGTTACTTGCCACCCGGTTATTCACAACGTGATTCAATTCGAATCGGTAGACCCATTTGGGATGTAGGATGCGTTTTCCATATCCCTGAGTTTTCACAAGGGTCTATTTGAGGTCTGGACCCACATCGCTACCCCGTGTCGCCGGTGGTAATCCCCTACGCAAGGTGGGGTCCGTCAACAGCAGCTGCAGCTGGGAGAGAATGGCAACAGCCGCGACTTCCGCCCTGAGGATGCGCTCCCCAATGTTGAACTTTTTGAATCCCAAGTTTTCATAAAATTCCACTTCGCTCTCGAGCCAGCCGCCCTCCGGGCCGATGGCGACCAGGATGGGACCGCTTTCATGCTGAACTATCTGCAACGACCCCAGTGTCTCCGGAGTTCCCGGGTGTGCGATGATTCTGAGGCTGTATTGGCTCTTGTCCAGGTCTCGTTGAAGTGCCCCCATGGACTTGAATAGCTGGATATCGGGCATGAAGGTGGTCACTCCCTGCTCCATGCCGAGCATCAAGGAGTGCTCGATGCTCTCGGGTTCGAGCTGGTGCGATTTGAGGTAATCCAGTTCAACGCGCGAGGAGCAGACAAGCTTTATACGTGCAACGCCAATGCTGGCTGCATACTGCATCAGGATGTGGCCAGCACAAGCCCATTTTACCTGTAATAGCTTGTCCAGCGACTTGGGTCTCGGGAGGCCAACGACAAGGTCGATCACCGGCTGCTGCGGCAGCTTATGGCTACAAAGATTTTAAACTGACATATCGGAGCAAAGCCTACCAGCGAAAGGCGTCGGACAGGCGCAGCGTTATGACCTTTGGGTCAACAGCTGTGACAGTTGCTGAGTCCAGTGTTGAGTTGACGACACCAAACTTCAGTTCCTTGCCAACATCCGCCTTCAGCACGTAACGTATATGTGCGATTCTGCGCTTGTCCGTTATGTCGACGTACATGTGACCGTCGGCCTCCCTTATGTCGTCGCGTTTCACGAGAATGAGGTTCATGTTTTCGCGGCGTTAGTTTTCCTCTTTGGGGTCTCAGTCCGTCTCCTGGGCTCAGGGTTAGCTTCGTTTGTTGGCGGGTTCGCTCTTAACCTTGCGTTCATGACACTGAGGACCCTGACTCGCTTCTGCATGACGATGTTCCACGCAGCAAGGCTCCTCTTACCTCCAGGTCGCTGAAGTAGTTGCCGCCGGTTTCAAAATTGTGTCTCTTGTCAGCTCTCACAAAACACCCGTTGTAGCCGTCTGCATAAGCGATTGCAGTCTGACGTTAGCATTGCTTACCCTTAATGTGGGTGATGTCGAACCCCCACCAGAACTCCTTGCAGACGCTGACGGGCAGATGGCTTTCTATTGAAACCGCTTTCCAATCAATTTCTCCGAAGATTTCGTCGCTATTTCGTAGTACCTGCCCCAGTATGGTGGTAATGATAGCGTACATCTGCCGCGGCGTCACGTATATAAGTTCGGCCCTCGAATGCGCCGGTACCTGTAAAAGCGTTAGTGCTGATTTCGGCAAATAATCAGTCCATTCACAGAGACAAACATCCACATACATCCCAAACGCATTTCCCATCACTCTACTCACCTCCTTGTAGTTAGTGGCGCATGCGACGTTACTACACTTGCTCACGAAGGGCTTGGCCTCGTACTGCGTGCTGTAGTGGTTGCTGAATCCTGGCGATATGAGGTTGGCGAAGGGCATCACGGCGCACAGCCCAGTATCCTTCACCTGCTCCTTCTTCGGGAGCTCTGTCGAATGTTCCAATTTGTTGGTGAGCTCCTGTAACGTTGCGAACTCGTTGAGGTGCTCCAAATAGATCATGTCATCTTTAATCCAGCTGTGGTTGATTCCCAGCTTGTCACACATGTAAGCATCCTCCTCCTCTAGCGGCTCCTCAGGAACCGTTTTCTTCGACCCGTTCTTGTCGGCGTGGGCCCCCTGCGCGGCGTCAGTGGTCGGACATGGTGAAGCCGGACAACCACCACCTTATGCGGTATATCGCCCACACATACCTGAATACCACTCTTGGAATCACTCTGCTTCCATTTCTCGCCTCTCCTGCCGCGTCCGTACGATCTGGTTACGGGCCTTCTAGGGGACTCATCGTACTGTGCCAACTGTGTTGTTTGGCGCCTGTTACGCGTGCTGTGCCGTGTTCCAGACATTGCACTGAAGCAAGCTGTGCGGCCGCTTCGCGATGTGTCGCCGCATCGCGCGCAATTGAAGAGGTCCGGGGTGCGCGTGGTGTTTCGCGTCGTGAGCCCTGCCGGCGCGCCTTCCGCCGCCGTTGTGCCCAGTATTTAGTGGGTCATGGCCATCGATCACCCGGGCGTTCCGCGCAAGCGCGGCGGCCGCAGGTACCAGTTTGACCCACTCGCTGTATCGGCGGCGTATCCCCTGGTCGCTCAGCACGTCCGTAAACAAGTTATTCGAGACAGATTGGCTCTGAAACGGCAAAATTCCGCGAACTTAAGGTCTCGCCGCGCTCTTTTCGAGCGCCTATCGCAAATGGAACGCCAGTTCGTGCGTCCGCAGTCACTAGACGAGTTGGTACTGCGGGCCACCGCGCTAAACGAGCAGCTGGCCATCCAAAGAGAGATCGAGTGCGCGTTAACGTCGCTGTTGTGCGTTGTACAGAGGATTAGGCGTGCTGCCGCAAACCAAGAGTTCGGAATATTCAGCGCCAAGCCTTCCACGTGGGAGGAGCAACGGGCCGAACGTGACGCGCTGGAGGCTTTGCGCGCACAACGTGCCAAAACGTTCGTGTCAGAACTTATGGCTCGCTCAGAGGTTGAGCTGGAACGCCGCCGGCTGGCGCTGGAGGAGGCTGTGCGTCGGAAGGAGATACGTGACAGGGAAGAACAAGCCGAAGAGGAGGAGACGATGCTGGGATGCGACCGTAAGCTGCTGGCTAGCGGCGTCTACAGGGCTCAAATAAAGCCCCACCACTCGTGATTGTGTTTGTTTCTCCGCTCAGCGTCTGATACTCGCAGTCGCGACTGCCTTATACAGGCATATGTGAACATTGTGATCCTAAAAATGGCACAACATCTTGTTATCGCATAAATATAGTTAATATCGATACACATTCATCTTTAGAATGTATAGATACGGGACGGTAGCGCTTGAAGGCTGAGCGCCGTGATCAGACCCGGTAGGCTGCTCCACCTCAATCTACGGCGTGAATCATATATACGGAATTGTTTATAGCAGTTTTATGATGTCTGTGTAAGCTCCTTGGCCGTGACCTAGCCGGTTGCGTGTCGGTGTTTTCCGAGCGCCCCATTTGTTGTGGTGGATTCTACCGTGTGCCGAGCGCGTCTAAGCATTTCTAGCAGTTTTGCGAGCCACGATGACGACGGAGAGCGAGAAAGTGGACGCCTTGGTGGCGGAGGCCATGGAGGAGAGCCCGGAGGAAGTGTCCAGCGATGGCGAGTCGGACGTGGAGGAATCGAGGGGCGTCGACGGCGGCATCCCTAAGACCCGCCAGAACAAGAACGAACGGAAGGCACGCAAAATCTTGGCGAAGATGGGCCTCAAGCCCGTCGAGGGTGTGAACAAGGTGTGCATAAAGAAGTCCAAGCAGGTCTACTTCGTGGTGAACAGCCCCGACGTCTACAAGTTGCCGAATTCTGACACCTACGTCATCTTCGGCGAGGCCAAGGTTGAGGACACCGGCGCGAGCTCGGCTCTGGAGACCGTCCAGCGTCTGTCTCAGCTGTCGTCTGCTCTGCAGGCTGTCAGCGCGGCCACTGCCAGTGTGACCAACATGGCTAACGCCCTCAGCGCCGTTTCCGAGGCTGCTGCTGCTGCGCAGGCTGCACAGGCGGAGAAGGAAGGTAACCAGGTTACGGACGTCACCGACGACCCTGAGGGCGCGGGAGCGCCAGAATCTGCCGAGGGAGGTGCTGCGGCGGAAGGCGGAGAGGGGACCGCCACCGCCAGCTCGGAGCCCAAGGGCGATGAGGGTGAGACCCCTAAGGAAGGTGGGGACGCTCCGGCGGACGCCTCTGCCGTTCCCGCTGCGGCAGTCGACGAGTCTGCCGTGAACTCGGGAGACGTGGACCTGGTGGTCTCGCAGGTCGGCTGCACTCGCGAGCAGGCCGTTCAGGCGCTGTTGAAGAACAATGGCGACATTGTGGAGAGTATCATGTCGCTCTCCGCGTAGAACTGCGAATTGTACTGTTCAATTTTCTCTGTTTAACGTTTTACATGTTGCGTGTGGCCACTTCGATGAGTCGCCTTCTGGGCGTTGTTACAATCTAAGAAACACATTAGGTGGTTTCCGTGGTCTCTACGTTAGAAATTCCGATGCCACACGATCTACGGTCTCCCAGGCTCTTACACCTGTACATAACAACAGGTGTTGTCACTGTCTACCAACTGCTACTGCTTAGGTGCTGTATAAAAAATTTGCGACCAGTTGCATTGCTACACGTGCAAAAGTTAAAGGCCAACACCAGCTGGCGATCACTGCCAGAACGAGTTGAACATGCTCTTCACGTTGCCGATGAACGACTTCTTCTTGCCCACTTGGGGTGGCTGGTGGTGGATGTACGCCAGGTCGAGCAGTATCGGCCTCGAAGGAAGGAGGCGCTTTTCCATGCCGAATATGGCCATGTAATCGAGCGTTTCGTCGCCTTTGTCCTTGTCGTTCAGCTGCAGTACGTGCCGCGCGTATATGGCCACGGTCCGCTTGTAGAACCGTGCCGCACAGAGCTGTGCAGTTTTCTGCAGCAGCTGGAAGCACACGAGAGTGCGCCATATGAGCAGCGTCTGCTGCTTCTTGGGGTGCTCTATATGCTGCTGGAGCCTTGTGTTGGCCCAGTTCATGAGTGCCATTCCGTCGTTGTGCTCGCCGGCTGCCAGTTTGTGCATGCCGAGCAGCAATCCGTTAACCGTTTTGGTAACCTCCTGCGGCATGCGGAATATCTGACCCATCTTGGAGTCGCCCATGAGGGTGGTGATATGCTGCTTCAGCATGTGGGCGAACCGCAGCGCCTCTCCACAGTCCGGCAGGCCGGAGTTTTTGTCGACCGTGCCGTTTTCGTGGAATATCGTGTGCAGCGTCATGACCTGCACCAGGGCACACTTCTCCATCTCGAGGAGAGTCTTCACGTACGTTACGACACCTGCAGAGCATTGAGTTTTGGGGAGTTGTGACTGGTACTCACCTTCCACCTGCCGCAACGCCTCCTGGTTGTCCATAGATGACATCATTTCGGAATGTATGGCGTCAATGACCTCCGATATGGGCATCATGATGTCTTCGTACGACGATAGCAGCGCTTCAGTGCCGAAGGCGTCAATGAGTTCAGCTTTCAGAGCTGCATCCACATCGCCTGCGTTGACCAGTCGTGTGAGAACCTCCTCCGTCACAACCAGCTTCTGCGTGGCATTGATCGCGTCCATCAACTGCTGCAGCAGGAACTGCGACGTTACGTTCACATGGGAGCCCCTGCAGTACACCGCCAGATTGCCGGAGTCGTCTGAAACTATGGAGATGAGCTCGGCGTTCGGATCGTCCTCACGCGCAGGCTGCTTGGCCGTCGAGGTAACTCCGGAAGCCCGCATGTGGAACGAGCAAAGCTTGATCACAGCGTTGACGTTGCTGAGCTGCGAGGCGTAGGCCTCCTGAAGCACGCGGTCGTCCTGGTGCGACCTTTTGCGCTGCTCCATGACATTCGCGTAAGACGATAGGCTGGCGTACGCATCCGCAAATCGCTTGTGTTCGAAGTGCACGTTGCCCTCCATGAAGTTCCGGTACACCCTAGCATTGTTGATGCTGTTCATGTCGCCGAACTTGTGGCACAGCGCCTCCAGCCGCGACGCAGTTTTGAACGCCCGCTCAAACCGCTTCACATAATGGTGTCGCTCCGTAGGACCCTGTAGATCATTGTGTGGGAATCGAGGTGGCATGCACTTACTGAAGTTTGCGACGACTCGCATTGTGACTTCAGCTCCATGGCATGGCTCCAGCAGCGCTCCGCGGTAAGCGTGAGGATCTCCAGGGACCTGCAGGTTGTCAGTTGCTATGGTCGCCACCCTACCTCGCATTCACGTTCTCCTCGTCGATCTCATCCTTCACGTATTTGTTTGGTTTGATGAGCGTTTTGCGGCCCTGCCGCCTCAGTATGCGCAGGCGCTTGGAGCAGTAGGCGTGGTAGCGCCCGTAATCGTCCGAGCGTATGCCATGCTTGAACCTGATGGAGTTGACGTAGTCGAGAACTGCACGTTGCTGTGTTTAACTCCGTGTTGCATACCTGCAAACCCGAGTTTCTCGCGTTCTGGGACTTGTTCGCTGCCTTCCGGGGTCCCCGGCTGTTCCGCAGCGTCCATATCTACGTCATACGTCTCGCTAGCACCGGCGGCCGCCATTTTATCAAATTGTTGTCGTTGTGCGGGCGCCCGTTGCTGAGGCCTTCGGGGCCCCGCAATCACGCGCGTCCAAGGTGTGTCGGTAGTACTATTATTAACGTTGCAATCCTTGTTCTACATATGTCGTATAAATGTGTTAGCACTTCTATGTGTGCCTTATTGTGGCCTATAATGCCTCGATTTCGCGAGCGGTGTCGGCGGATCCTAGAGCGGCGTCCCTAGCCTTTTGAGGGTCTCCTCCATTAGGCTCACCAATCTCTGTTGCATGTGTATGCGTTCCTCGCGCTCCTGTGTCGTGATGTGTGCCGGCATTCGGTATGTATGTGTGTCTTACGGGTGCTCCTTACCTTTGCAAGTTGTGCTTTGACGACCTCCGAGTTTTTGTTCACCTCGAGCATCGTACTGCGCTTCATCTCGTTCCTGCCACCCATGTAACATAGCCTCAGTCGTGACTTACAGTTGCATAGTCTCCTGTTTGATGAAGGAGGCCAGCGTGAGCAGGTCGTCATGCGTATTAGTGATGATGCTGCGGCCATTAGATTGCACTGTGAAATAAACATACGTTTTCTCCATAGCGGCAATGTCATCCCCAGCCGCTGCCACGCGCAGCTTGAGTTGAGGAAGTTCGTTGTCAATGTACTGGCGCAAGTAGGAGGCCAGATGCGTCTTCGACTTCTTCATTTCCTCTAGGTCATCCCTAAAAATTATTGAGCATGAGGTTGACGCCAATACCGTACCTTATGCGTTTAATGTGGCTATTTATGTCGTTTATGGCGTCATTCTCGACTTGCTTCCACTGCTCTTTTTCGGCGCGGAGCGTCTCGGTAAACCTGCGTTCCACTTTGAAGCCGCGCTATCGTGTTTGTCGTTACCTCTGGTATACAGCCTCCATTTTGACTACGGCTTCCTTTGTTTCGGCCTCATGTTTGGCTTTTGCGGCCGTGACGCTTCGTTGGATCGCGTCAATCTGAGGATGGTTGTTGCTTGCGTTGTCGCCTACCTTTTTGTTAGTTTCGCTGCATGCCCTCCTCTCCTGGGCTTCGCTTTCGGCAATTTTAGTCTCAAGGTTGTTTATCTTTTGGTATATTTCCTTTAAAATATTGTGATTTGCCTGGCCGACCCTACCTCCAGTATATTGCTTCTCTTGGATTCCACGTTGGACTGAAGTCCACAGAGGCTGTCCTCAAGTTTCTTCACCCGTTCCTGAACACTTATCCACCAAGTGGTTGGTAACGTACGTATTTGTCGGGTGCCTTTGGAACATGCAATTTGGCGACGGTTGAGGTCTCCTGGTGCGGTTCCGTCAGAAATTCTCGGCTGTCCATTCCCAGTTTGATTTGCGATAGGTAACCTGCCGCGTCTTTGCACAATACACGGCACTATAACAAACTTTTGAGCGAGTGCGAACTTGAGAGCGATACTGACCCGCTGGACGCGCTGCTGTTGCTGCGTTCGGCGGTCCGTGTGGACCATGATGCGTACAACGGCTTCCAAGTGTCGCCGTCTAACGCGCCAGAGCCAAGCTCTCTGAGTTCGTCTGACAGAACCATCGTCAGTGGTGTGTTAAGAGCGATATATTGCGTTTGTTGGCGCCCCTACGGCCGTTTGCGCCTATTGAGCCTCCCTATACCAGCGGAGACCTTCACGTTGCTACCACCGTTGTTATGTACGTCGGAACGTTATGTGTGCGCTGAAGTGAAACCTATGTGTGCGTAGGAGGCGTCTTTATGCAGCCTGCGGAGAAAATTCAGGGACATTCCGGCAGAAGTTCATGGCAGACGCCATCTGCTGTTCTAGTCGCGAACTTAGTACCACTGTTTTGTTTACACATATGTCTCCAAATGGATATAGTCAGTGTAGATATGTAGGGAGTCGGAATGGCGTATGAATCCCCGGTTGCGGCCGGAATGTGTAAGAAGGCACGCAAACGTTGACCCGGTTCGCGGTGTCTTACGACTCTATATCACGCAACCAACTCTGATAGGCATATTAAGAGTTAGCTTAGAGCTGTAAAGTGTCATTGAACCTGATGTGTGTTGCCTAACTCGTCGGCCATATTCATACTCCTTCAATCCCCCATCGGTATACGGTTCTGCTCATAAAGGGCGACATCAGCCACGGGGATTCCACTTGCCAGATTATTCTATCATTGGGATAATATACAGCCGTGCGAATAACGTGGAGTGCGTACGATGCTGCACGTTATGAGCCTACATCTGCGGCGTTGTCTGTACCGCAGCAACGCATCGCTGTCGTTTCCCGGGTTGTCTATCGGTACGGGGCTCTGCTGCCACAATGGAGCTTCAATCCCGTTGATTCGTCGTGCTACCTTCGCTGCAGTGTCAGACGGGAGCACTGCCGCTCGCGGTGGCACCAGCAAGGCCGGAGATGATTCGCGCTGGATGAAGAAGCCTGACCCACCTGCGGAATCCGCATCCACTGGCAATGCTAAGACCAACATTACCGATGGGAAGTTCTACTTTGACGCTGACGTGGAGAACTTGAGTCCTGAACAACAGCAGCAGAAGGAGGAGCTAATTCGGGAGCTGACACGCAAGCTGAGCGGACCGCTCGCCGACGAGAATGGCAACTTGCCGACTGGTGACGACCGTCCCATCGCGATCGAGGTGGATGGTCCGTCTCACTTCTACGCGAACAGCACCAAGTACACTGCCTATACCAAGCTGAAGCACAGGCTGCTGACACGCATGGGATACAAGGTGCTGCACGTGCCGTACTTCGAGTGGCGCCGACTGAGGGGCGCGAAAGAGCGCGAGGAGTACATGCGCGAGAAGCTGAAGGAGGAGCCCACCGAGTGGATCGACCCCGACGACGAAGCGTTTTACAACAAGCGGATGGAGGCGCTGCGCCGCCAAACTGATGGCGTAATCAGTGCCTTGGAAGCGGAATCCAAGGCTTCGCCAGCCAATGATGCATGACTTATCGCACCCATTAAATTTTTGACGTAAACATTTTGATGCGCAATGTTATTCACATGTGGGAACAGCATCGAAGGCATCCGTAGCAATGTCACAGCCATATATGATGTATAGCACCGCATTACAATTTGCGGATAAAACAGCACTCCGTACAACACTACGTATCGCTAATCGATGGTAGTAACGTATATAAGACAGGGATTGTACCCGGTCACTACAACAGTCGATGCAAACGGACAACAGTAACTCAATTTAGATTAAAGGTGGCATTGTTACGCCTATGTTGCGATTTAGTGGTGGCCAGAACCGTGCTGGGCCTCCTCCTTGAAGCGAAGCGCCTCTGGAATCTCGCCGCGGGGCTCCGGGCGGTCCGTTCGGACGTAGTAGTTGAACTGCTCGTTCTTGAGGAAGGCATCCTGGACGATTTCCGGGTTCTTGTGGCCCAGACTAAGCAGGAACTCGCGCTGCGTATAGAGCGTGGGCAGGAAGTTGTACTTGTCCATGATGTGTTGGAGCGAGAAGTTGGTGTATTTGCTACCCGGGCCCTCGGCGACTTCGTTGCCCAGCTGCGGCCACTTGGCGCTCTGGAATACACCGCGCCATTTAAGGATGCGCGTTAGCGCCTCGCTTGACGCCATGTTGCGGTATTATAAGTGAGCTCGTCTCAAGGGTGGGGAGTGGCAGCGCGAGTGTGTTAGCAAGTCATTCAGTGAGTGGTTTTTTGCCCGCCGATTTAGCGTGTACTTTGGGCATCTTAGGCAACTTGCGTTTCAGTGTGCGCGCGACCTTCTTGTGTATCGCGCCGGCCGAGCCAGCGTTGATGGCGGCAGACTGTAGCGCGGCCTGCTCCTTCTCCGCCTCCTTGGCCCTGTGGATCTTTTTGATCTTCTTCTCGGAGTAGTAGAACGGTGTCTTGCCCGTTGTTGCGATCTTCTGCTTCTCCTGGTCGATGAGGTCCTTTTTCAGAGCGCGCAGCTCGTCGCCGCTCTGCAGCTGCTTCTGCTGTGTCTTGTACCTGTCTAGCGCGCGTTTCGCGTCCGAAATGCTTGCGATGTTCATATGTGCGATGCTTCCGAGGGCAGCAGTGGCTTTGACGCTGTTGGCGCCCGCCCGCTCCCCGGCCCTTACTGCGGCCTTTATCTCCTTGACCTCCTCCTGGAGCATGTCGCCCAGGAAGGCGTACGACTTGCGGAACAGGTCATCGTTCAGCGTTCCCGAGAAGTCGCTGAACCTGGGGTCACGTGCCTTGAGCCTGGAGTTGGCGCCCTTGGTTCCGAACTTAATCGTGTTGTAGGGGTTGAACGCTGTGTTGTTGGGGAGTACGGCGGGTCCCTTGGTGCTGCTCTTTTTCGGTGCAGCAGTTTGCGTTTTAGGGAACTTTTCGCGGCTAGATATAACACCTAGTCTCTCCTTGTGTGTCGTTGTGGCCTCTTCGTGGCCTTCAGTCTGCCCATGTATGACATGCTATCGGTTGTAAGCCTACCTCTCCCGAAGAGGGCCGCTTTGCCTCCCTTTGGCGCAGCGCCTTAAGTTCCCCAAGGGTTAACTCTCCCATTGCGGTGAGATGTTATGGCGGCTTCAACGCGTTTCAGTAGACGTTGCAACTCTCTCGATATACAGAAGTGAATCTTGCGATATAACCCTCGATCAAAATTGGGGTAACATTATGGCTGTATCGGGCTTTGAGCTTATCCAGATGTAGATCCAACGCATCACACGGTCATAAGTGGCTTCTACGTCGCAATCTGAGGGATATGTCTTCACGCTGAGGGTTTCGGCGGAATACGAGCAAAACGGCCCAGCTAAACGGAACGACACTTTTTACGTCACACAGACGTTCCAGTCACTTGCAACTTGATCCTACTGCTGTTTTAAGCAGCGCTTTGGCCTTTCAGTTGCACGTTAAAGGGCATTCGCTGAGGAAGGTCGGTGACGTGTATCAATTCCACCTCGAGGTCGTCGTTTCTTGAAGAACGGTCAATTTGACGCCAGCAACGAATCTGAAATATTAGGTTACTTTGATTTCTGCGATATCACTAAAATCCATCCACTGAAGTCGATTTTCTGCGGCAGATACTGGAGCGTAGCGGCGGGCGAGCGCGAGTGGATCGCTCGTTTGCTGCAATTTGGCTCCGTATCATAACATGACGTTATCATATATGTCATAAAATAATGGCGGGGCCAGGCAAGGGGTCGAAGAGCTCGGGCGGCTCCATGTCCGAGAGCAAACTTCGTATCGCTATTGTCTCATCGGATAAGTGCAAGCCCAAAAAGTGCCGGCAGGAATGCAAACGCAACTGCCCGGTCGCTAAAACAGGTGAGCTGCCGTATTACAGCTTTATTGAGTTGGTTGGCGTTTTGGTCGGCGTCAGTTCCTCGTTGACCAGGCGGCTTATGGACTTGTGATGCGTATTGGCCCTGCTCTCGTTTTCATCAGCTTATGATTAACTCTTTCTCAGGGAAGCAGTGCATCGTCGCCGACCCTACCAGCAAAATCGCATTCATTTCAGAGACGCTATGTATCGGTTGCGGTATCTGCGTGAAGAAGTGCCCATTCGAGGCCATCACGATCATCAACCTGCCCCGTGACCTGGGCAAGGACACCACGCACCGTTTCGGCCCAAACACTTTCAAGCTCCACCGGCTGCCGGTGCCGCGACCGGGCCAGATCTTGGGTCTGGTCGGAACCAACGGTATCGGCAAGTCGACGGCGCTGAAGATCCTGTCGGGGAAGATGAAGCCCAACCTGGGGAACTTCACCAACGAGCCGGATTGGCCCGAGATCCTGCAGTACTTCCGCGGTTCGGAGCTGCAGAGCTACTTCACGAAGATCCTCGAGAAAAGCATGAAGACTGCGGTGAAACCGCAGTACGTCGACAACATCCCCCGCCAGGTAGGCGCAGTGCCGATGTGCCCCGACTAATGTGATTCAGGTGAGCGGCCGCGTGGGCGAGATTTTGGAGGCCAAGGACAAGCTTGGCAGGTCTGAGGACTTAATCGTGACGTTGGAATTGTCCCACCTGATGAACCGCCAGATTTCAGAGCTTTCGGGTGGTGAGCTGCAGCGTTTCGCCATTTGTGTCGCCGTGCTTTGCGACTGCGAAGTCACTATGTTCGACGAACCCAGCAGTTACCTGGACATTCGCCAACGTATCATCGCCGCCCGTGTCATCCGCGAGACCGTGCAGCACGACCGCTACGTCATCGTGGTGGAACACGATCTGTCCGTGCTGGACTACATGTCGGATTACATCTGTTGTCTGTGGGGAAAACCGTCCGTTTACGGTGTTGTAACGTCGCCATTCAGCGTCAGAGAAGGTATTAACATCTTCCTGGACGGTTTCGTGCCGACCGAAAACCTGCGTTTCCGCGAGGAGTCGCTGTCCTTCAAGGTGGCCGCCGACGTGGACATGGACGAGATAGAGCGCCTGCACAACTACAAGTACCCCGAGATGAAAAAGAAGCTGGGGACTTTCACCCTAACTGTGCGCGCGGGTGATTTCTGCGACTCGGAGATTCTGGTGATGTTGGGGGAGAACGGCACTGGGAAGACCACGTTCATCAAGATGCTGGCAGGGATACTGAAGGCGGACAACACCGACGCCGAGGAGGCAATGCCACGCCTCTCGATCAGTTACAAGCCGCAGATCATCACGGCAAAGTTCGACGGTACCCTGCGCCAGCTCCTGATGATGAAGGTCAAGGAGGCGTTCAGCAACCCTATGTTCCAGACCGACGTCATAAAGCCGCTCCAGGTCGAGGAGCTATATGACCAGCAGCTGAAGAACCTGTCTGGAGGTGAGCTGCAGCGTGTTGCGCTTATTTTGGTGCTGGGAAAACCCGCCGACATTTACCTGATCGACGAGCCTTCTGCGTACCTGGACTCTGAGCAGCGTATCATGGCCAGCCGCGTTATCAAGAGGTGGGTTACAATTTCGCATGATAAGCACACATATGCAGGTTCATCTTACACCAGAAGAAAACGGCGTTCATTGTGGAACACGATTTCATCATGGCCACCTACTTGGCGGACCGTGTCATCGTCTTCGAGGGTCAGCCCGGGTGAGTGCTAAAATTTACGTCCCTAATCGCGTTTCCAGAGTGAATGCAACTGCGATGTCGCCGGAACCTCTTGTCGTGGGATTCAATCGGTTTTTAAAATCTCTCGATGTGACCTTCCGCCGCGACCAGGTGAACTTCCGGCCGCGTATCAACAAGCACGATTCGGTGAAGGACAAGGAACAGAAGGCGGCGGGCAACTACTTCAGCGTCGAGTAGTGAGTATGGCACGGCCAGAAATGAGTTCATGGGAGCTCGCGAGTTGTCACGTGGTTGGCCGCGGAGGCAGCACGCATCCCCGACCCAGCCTCATGGTTCAGACCATATAACATGTCAGTTCAGTAATATGCTGTAGCTCCAATTGCATCGGCAATGTCCGATGATTTTAGTGCTTGCGCTTTGCCTGGCGGTGGTATCCGCCGTCCGTTTGCGCGAGCGCTACGGAGCGGGTCTCGCGAGCCCTTGTATCGCAGTCATCCCGGCGTTCCAGGGCAACTTAGCGTGTGCTGGACAGTCTACCAATTTGACTAGAGGCCTTGCATCGCGATGTGTCGGTCGTGGAGCTCTTTGTTTCACCGCTGCTCCGGCGGTTGATCGCCTTCCATCCTTCTTCCACTCTGGTGCAACTTCCAGAGGCAGCCACGAGCCTCGTAGACAGTCTAAGTACCAGGAAGGAACCTATTATCGCAACTCTGCTCACGCTGCAGCTGTAGATACGGCAGCTGCTGAACACAGGCGGCACAGACATGGCCCTGTGACTTCGCAGTTGTGGGCAGAGGGAAGGTTTGGATCGGTCTACGAAGATCAACCGGATGAAACAATCGCATTAGAAGAACCGGATTACACCGATGTTGAAGAGGATCTGGACTCAGATCAGGACGAGTCTGACAGCGACGTTGATTTGGAGGATATGGACACCCTGATCGATAGATACACGGCGCCTAAAACGGAGAGCGGAAGTACGGCATCAAGTGAAGGTGCCACTGTACCGGGTATTACTGGTAGGTTCGGATCCCCGGGATTTATTGCCGGCACGTCAAGCATTGCTGCGGCGGCGCAGAGCAAGCTACGAAGCTTCTTCAATTGGCGTAGCTCTGACACCAATAGCACAGACGAAAGAGGTGGTGCTTCAGTGGAAGGTGGGATGGAAGGCGGCGACTCGAGCATGGGTCAGCTCGGCGGCCGCATGCCGTACCACAGCAGCAAGCCGTACACTGAGGAGGACATGTTGGACCTGCCGTACGTGCTTTCTCGCAACGTGAACATGTCGCTGGACCGCTGGCCTGACAACTGCTTTCTACGCATCCGGTTGGAGTCCTATTACCCGTTTCTGTTGCGCTTCTCTGCTGACCGCCTGATCAAGGGCATCCGCGAACACACCAACTTGCGGGTGGGCAACGTGAAGGCTATGCCGATGCGGCGCAAGCGGTGGTGTCTGCTGTCTTCCCCGCATGTGGACAAGCGGTCGAAGGACATCTACGAAATCCAGCAGCACGTCCGTTTTCTCGACGTGTTCCCAGCGGCCAAACCTGCACAACAGTCGGGATCCTCGGCAAATGAGGATGGAACAGGAGATGCTGGAGAGGAAGGTCATAATGGCGAGGGCGTTGATGCCGATACAGTTGCAGACGATATATCTGAAGGTGCTAAAACTGGAAGTCCCCAATCTTACAGGATGGGTCAACCGAAGTCGGACGCCATGAAGTTCAAGGGGCTGCTGATGGTGCCACTTCCGAACTTCGTCAGCTTCGACTACTGGTTCGAGGAGGTGCACAAGCCCGTGAAAAACCGCAACATCGAGAAGACGTTCCGCCGGCGCATCTGGGTATCTAAGTACTTCCGCCACAACTACGAGAAGCGGGAGAAGGCTGAGCTGGTGGACAAGCTGACGTCTCCGGAGCTGTATGCGCAGATCCCGCTGCGTCACAAGCGCCACCCCTGCGACTACTTCGCGCTGCAGCTGGGCGAGCTGCGCAAGCTGTACGACTTCGTGGTCAGGCGCAAGGCGGAGGACGAGGCGCGGGCGCGCTACGGTGTGCCTGGGCCCAAGTTCTACGACATCGACGAGGTCCGCTTCGTACCAAATGAGGAGGACCGCCGCTGTGGTTACATATCGGATGACGATGCCGATGTTGACACGGAGGTCTCCAAGCAGATGGCCGCCCTGGAGAAGGCGGAGGCTGCAAATGCACGCCGCAGGTAGAGTGGTCGCGCTGATGAGCTGCGGTAACACACAATCTAACTACTGACGGTGACACGATCTAACCAGCAGAGGCAACACACAATATAAAGCCGTTTATATTTGTAAGCTATAACATCAGTACTACATTGTATGTGGGTATGGTGCTGATATGCACGTGTCTGAGTCCATGTCATTCCTGCGTGAGCGAATGCAGGAGGGCGACGTTGGAGAGCATCTCCCAATGCCTTCTTGAGGAAAGGCCCCACTGGTCGATGACACGATGGTTGAATGCATCTCCGTGGATTCCATCCAGGCCAACTCTGCAGTCGATATGGGCGGGGCAGACTCAGGTAACATACCGGTGCTTTTCTAGCAAGCTGTGAGCGATCATCACTGCGTTATCCGTGCAGTACTTGCCGGACGTAGTGAAAAGCTGCCATTCACGGATTTCGTCTTTAACATTGCGGCGGCCATCGATGAGGCTGGAGCACTGCTGCTGTTCGAGGTTGACGAGCTCGTCCAGGACCTGTGGGTCCGGTTGGAGATTAGCCTCCCGTTCCCGGCTTTTCTCGAGCAGGTTCCTGTGCAGGTTGTAGGCCTCAGTGTCACTCAGTAACGACAGATAGGCCTGCATGAGCGCGCTGTACAGCGCGTTTTTATGCTGGACGCTGAGGTGGACGCCCTCCCTCCGCTGCAGGAGGTCGGGGTAGAGGTCCTGGCTCCAGAGCAGCCTTATGAGCTGCGGCAGCTCCCTTACACCACGCATGCGGTCGACCAAATTGCGTATGAGTATGTTTTCGTCGGCGTCGTTGCGCTCGAAGTCCTTGAGCGGCCATGCCTTCTTGACGTTACCGTACATGCGGGTGGCGAACGCCCTGACCCTGCTTTCTGCGGAACCCGTACGCTTTCGCAAGAGATCCGCAATAAGCTCCCTCAACCGCTCGTTGCATGATACGCCTGCGCAGAGTGTAGTGGATCACCAAGGCAACCTACCTCCGACGAGTACCAGCTGATCGATTCCGAACAGGCTGTCGCAAATGTCCAGTGCCTTGTTCAGTTGGCGCAGCACTTGCTGGAAAACGACTGCCATGTCATAAAATGATTGTTCTGTGTCCAACTTACTCTCCTGACAGGTGTATGCCAGATGGTTCACGACATCGGGGTTTTGCGTTGTTACGTCATGGCCGTACTCCTTCCTTAACTTGGCGAGCATCGCCCGGAGTTGCGTGTGTACTCCCGAGAAGCTGCGAAAGATTTGAAATGTTGCGATCCGTTACCACTCACCAGAAGCTGGTGAAGGCCATGTCTTTGCAGGGCTCAGTCATGCTGAAGATCGGGTCGCCCCTAATCTTCCTCGCCGCCTCCTCCAGCGAGGGGCCCCCGCCGTTGCTGATATTAAGCCCCAGCTCCTTGGCGCACTTGTAAAGCACATTGCCCGCGTAGGTGTCCATGGTGTCGGTCAGCATGTGGAACTTGGCGGGCCCCTCCACGACGTAGATTTGTGAGTGCCCCCCCGAAAGCAGCAGCGCGAGGAACGGGTACTTTAGCTCCTGCAAGAATTGACACAATCCATCTGTTTGCTAACTTGAGAGGGGTATGCGTTGCCATCGGCAGAGATGCCGAACTGGTGGCCCTTGATGAACGGCGATAGGCAATGTCCGGCAAGATGGTTCTCCGCAACGAGGGGAATCCCGTGCCGCGTTGCGATCTCAACAGCAGCATCGTAACCAGCCTTCAGGCAGATTGTCATACCAGGCCCACGTGTCACAGCGATGCGCTTCACGTCGGTCATGCGAACCCCTGCAAGCAATGTCGACGTCGTGGAGGCATGCCTTACCAGAGTTGGACACGACACGGTCGATAATCGACCCAAGGTGCTCGAGATGGAAGCGGTACAGCTCGTCAGGCTTGATGCCGCCGAACTTGATCAGCGATTCGGGATTACCGGCACGCTCCTCTGCGAGGATGTCGCCATCGCTGCAGAAGGTTCACCAAAATGGAGAGCCATGTCTTACCTGGAGAGTATCGCAGCACATGCATCGTCGCAACTTGTCTCTATGGCGAGGATGTAGTACTTAGATCCAGGCGGGGGCGCTTGGCTGCGCAGCTGCTCCGAGTAGTAATCGATCTGCTCGGAGTACGTGGTCGGCACATCCGTTCCATGGGTGGCTGGCGGCAGCGCCCGCAAGCCTAACCGATGCTGAGATGACAGCCGTGACGGCCTGGTGAGGAATCCAGGCTGCGACAGTGGAAGGAGGCTCCTGCTGGGAGCTAATGCGCGCGTCCGGCAGTCGACACACTCCACGTGCAGCTGTAGAAGACAAGTCGCCGCCAGTACGAAAGAGTATATCAGGATCCTGCCATCGAGTTTATTGGCGTTCATTTCACATTTTCTGCGCCGCTCATACGAACGGACGCGGTGGCAGCTCCGTCCACACACCGCGGCGACTGACGCTTCACGTCGCCACGATGTCGCAGCTCTACATACGCCGCAGCAGGTCGATCGTCAACGATGAGTCACTCTCGGAGAGTGTCTTCACCACCCCGGGCGACTGGGACTGTAGCATGAACCTAGCGGTACATCGCAAGCACCGTAGCGAATTCAAGATCGAATGTGTCTTTCCGTCTGCGGGGTTCCTGAAGCAGCTGTTGCTGCCCATAAACCCGTCGCTGGGAGGTTAGTGTCGTCCTGGAGTTGTTAACATGCCTGCAGGGCGCAATGCCGCCGTATTCAAGGTCAATGCATTCGACTATGCAAACAACCAGATGAAGAGTCTATTCTACATTCACCTGGTTTTCGACCCCAACTGTGAGTTGTCGCCTGACTCTCAGCAGCTGGAATCTGCGCAGGTATGATGATGCAGTCCATGATGAGCGGCCAGGCGATGTACACATGCGTGCGCGTGCCCAAGTCCCGGCTGCTGAAGTACTCCATCACGTCGATGGATGGCAGCGACTACCGGCACATCGTGGACATCGCAGTGCCGCTGCAGTCGCTGATGGTGTGTTTAAACATGTATTCGCACAAGGTGAGTCCGGATTGACTGTGTTATACGGCGTTTCAGCAAGAGATGGTGATGACGTACGATAGCGACGATCGGCAGATTGTGCTGAACGGACGATGCGTGAGCTACGCCGAATACTGGCACACGAGCGACATCGGACAGTCTATGGTCTGCAGGCTGAAGACAATCAACCTGAATCCGGTGAGTGTCACGTTTGTGGCTCGGCATGTGATCTCAGCTGCAATTGCCCTTCGACGGGTCGGACTTCAACTTCGTCGACGTGGACTATTTTTCAATATCGGTAGGTTTCTCACGAGGCGATTAGGTGGTGTCATTTATGCAGCCAAAACTGTTATACCCGTGCCTCCACGATATCGCATCAGACTCCGCGAGCAGCAAGCTCGTCCTGGAGCTAGTACCACCCGACGACACCAACAGCAGATGTGTGCTGGGCCTTGTAAGTCGTCACGATCTGTCTTCATAGAGCGCAGGCGCGAGGCCGGTCGTCGATGGCGCTGGAGTGGGACTTCAGCTACGACACGAACGTATTCGACGAGTTCAACGTCCACACGCAGCACATGCACACGTACTCCATGCGCTGCTGGCAGGGGGTAACGAACGGAATAAAGCTGGCGAGGCGCATCAGAATCGCCATCAAGGACGACGGGGTGCTGCTTATACAGGTGTCCATGATGGACCACATCTCCGACGGCATATATTTTTACTACCAGATGCACCCGCTGCTAGACACCATGTGAAAGTGTTAGTACAATAAGAACTACATTCATTTGCACAGTCTTATTTTGTACATATGTAGTGGTAGCGATGTCGTTTGTAACGGCGTCTAAATGCCCAGAGGGCAGCAAGGCTTCTCGATGTATTTAATTGAAGCCTAGCGATTAGTTCAGCTCTCTTGAAGGGTAAGCGTGATGAGCTTGAGCACAGCCTCCTTGGTCAGGCCACCACAGGTGAACCTGCCGCGGTGAATGAAGGTGAGGCCCGGTATGCCCGAGGCCTTCTCCAACTCCTGGTTGGTGAGACCGGCGAGCCTCTCGGGGAAGGGCCTCCTGCAGGTGAACTGTTGCCCGCGCTCGCTGATACAGCTACTTCTCCACTGTCCAGTCGCACTCTCGTAATTGACGTAGAACGCCACGCGCTCATCAGTTGGTGTTCCCTCCTTGTCCTCCAATTGATACAGAAAACGGAAGAAAGGCATGCCCCTCGGAGTCTCGACCACGAGCCCCGAGGTGTGGGTCTGGAACCGCTGCTGGTAGACCTGTACGAACTTTTGCTTAGCGACTAGGTGCACGTCAATGTAATTGCGGACGAAAAAGTCGAACTCCTCCAGCGTCACTTTCATTGCCTGCTGAAAGCGCTCGTTAACGTCAGCGTCTGGCTCGACCCATGTGGGATTCAGGCGACCCACCCTCGAGGGCAGGCTAGTGTTGACCTCGTACCTGAGCCGCCCTTCTGCGATTGCCACACCGGTATCAACTGCGTCAATGGACTGTATTAGGTTGTCGTAGATGGACAGGTACATGTCGTTCAGGTTCTCCTCGTCGGTGACATGGTACACCTCTCTGAAAACGCGCTTGGCGAAGTGTTTGTACACTAGGCCTGCCGAACTCAGCCGAGTTACCCGGTGGTTTTCGTCGAAGTACTCGTCGAATGACCCCTGGTGGTGGTCAAATCTACGGGCCAGTGATGCCAACATGCGTAATTCCTACCTCCCCTTCTGCGGGTCGTAGACGCCCCCGACGTCAACGACAACGTCGCACGTGTTTAACACGGCAAGGTCACGAGTGCGCACAATGGTGGCGTCTCTGTACTCGGGTAACAGCTTCAAAATGGAGATGGCCAGAGCTTCATCGCAATGGAAGTTGCCACAGTGCGTGCCAATCTTCATTCTGGAGGGAAATCGTGACTAGACAGGACGGGGCGGCTTATGTGTGCCGCTTAGCAGCGCGTGAGAGAATCGTCAGGGTAAAACGGCTCTGAACGACAGTGGGCCGGAGTTGTTATGTGTGACTTCAGAGACCACAATAGTGGCTGTTCAAACGCACCTTCGCGAACAATCGCAACGCAAATACAGTGGAAAGAATTTTTTTCGGATAAAAAATTTTTGCGGCAGTGGAAGAGTGATGTGTAGTGACCGGAGTTGCTGGATCAAGATGGCACCAAATGACGCCCCATCGATGAATTTTCATGCCGCTGTGACTTATAAATGGCACATTGACGTGACACAAATGCATAGAAGTTGGTCTAGGGCCGCTGGAAACGGAGCCTGCTGGTGTGTATAGTCAGGGTGAGGACACAGGTGTCCAAAGGTAGGACGACGATAGAATATCGTCGTCATTTAATCGCTATCGTAACGTACTATACGCTTTCAAAAGCAGCTACTAACTCGTGGCATGAGTGTCTGATTCTCTAACGGATTGGTGGCTCAGTCGTGGGCCTATCAAAATAACGAATTGGAGCCTCAGTGGCACCCACGCAGCGCGCTGCACAAAAATATTATACGCCTGTAGCTGTAGCGCTGCATTTTCTTCGCTGGCAGCATAGCTTTCGTCTAGTATCTCGGTGCGCTTCACCCCATCCAATGCAGGTCGTGTGGTATCGGCCGCGGCGCAGCTCCGGGCCGACACACGAAGGCTTTTGTACTTTAATTTTTTGCGATTCGTACAGACCGTTGCCTATCTATTTGCATTACCGTGGGCCTTGTTTTTTTGCCCGAATGCACATTTAGCGGAGCGATATCCGTGATCTCAACGAGCCGGCTGTGCGCGCGCACGAAATTTAAGATTTTATTTCAAAGTTGCAGGGCTCCTATACACAGTAGAAGCCATCTAGTTAAGCTTTCTGGATTCGGTGCTGTGCTGCTGTTCAAGTCTGCGCGCCTCGTCGCCGGTTGTTTAACGAAGTGGCCGCCCTCGTCACAATAAGTCTCCCAAGTGTCCATTTTATGATAAATCAAGTCGCCATGCTGGTTGAGTTTGCATCAGAAGCCCGGCCGCCAAACACTTATCACAACTCCTGACTTCCAGAGCTTTGGTAGATGGAAAGTCATCGCAAAGGCCCGAAGACTAAGCTCAAGGGCTCCCGGTCAAAGTCGGCCAACCAGGATGCGGCTGCCTCCGAACGAAGCACAGAGCAGCCCGCCAAGGACCGCCAAATGGTCCCCTTCTTCGGCGACGGTGAAATCGACAACACGGCGTGCGTCGCGCTGAAAAAAGGCTACACTGGACCGCCGCGACGCCGTAGAAGGTCACGTATGCCCTCCACCCAGGATTCTCCGTTACCGCTGCCCAATGGGCGCGAGGTGGGCGTCAGCTCGCTGCCAATAGGGCAGTTGTCCCTTCACACGACCAAAGGCTCCCCGATCAATGTCGACCTGGCGCACCTGAAAACTGCGGGCGTCAGCGTTTCAAGAAATGCAACCATAGTAGACCTTAGTGACAAAATGTCCGACCACAAAAACGACAGAAACTCCGAAAAACTCGGGTCCACCTGCACCATATTGTCCTCCGTCGAGACCACCTGTGGCCCCGAGTATGAGTCGTGTAACGAACTTCTGGATACCTCGGGGTCGTGCTCCGACGTCGTCGTCAACCCTTCCAACGACGGTCGCGCCAATCCACAAGGCGGCGCGTCCCGGTCAACGCAAGACAAGGCGAAGCAGCTTATCAACATGCTCCGCGCCTGTACGGGCAAGAAGAAAGATACCCGCGCCAGCAAGAAAGTAACACCTCCAGAAAAAACGAAAGCGAAAACCGGCAAAGCAACTGCTTATGTGGTTCCAAGGTACCTCTGCTCCCCCGACCCTTCAAGCATCCCCCTCCCGGGACTAGGTTAGAGACGCAGAAATACAGTAATGTTCTTTAAGCCCGGAAAGGCGTGTTCGTTTAGCTGTGTTAAGTCGATGTGGACTGTTCATCTGTAGTGGTCTAGATTACCAGGCGCCGCCGCCGCCCTTCACGGCGAGGTTGGCCTCGGTCAGCTGCTTGCGTTGTTTGTGTCCCTTCTTGGTTTCGGCCTTGGCCTTGTTGCGCGCTCGTGTGTGGATTCGGTGGCCGTAGGCGTTTGCGTTTATGCGCTTGACGTGCGGCTTCCAGATCTGGATGGGCTTGGACTTGTCCGTTCGTTCGCCTTCGACCTGGCCGGGGTCGCGCTCGTCGTCAGTGTCGTACCCGCTGTCATCACTGTCTTCTTCATCGGCTTCTTCGTCGTCAACATCGCTACCGTCACTGGACTCTTCAGAGGGCGACTCGTCAGTCAGCGCGGCATTGGCGGAGCTCTCGGCGTCAGGCTCGTTGTAGTCATCATCTTCATCGTCGGTGTCGTAACCCTGTTTCTCTGCATTGCCCGTGTTACCGCCACGAGAACTCTCGCTTGAGGGCTTGGCTTCAGCGGTGTTGTCATTATCAGACGAGTAATAATCGCTGTCGTCATCCTCAGCCGCTTCAGCCTCATCAGCGCCGCCCTCTTCGGCAGCGGCATCCTTTTTCAATGACAGCTGTTCCATCTGCGAGGATACTTGCTGCATGTCTGCCTCAGGCTGCTTTACGATCTCCTCCTGGCGGAGGTGTTGCAAAATCTCGCTCAGAATGCCGTCCTCGACCTTGTCGATCACAACCTTGAGCTTCAAGCGTTCGCCGGAGTTCGGGTCGTCAGTCTTGGGGACCACATCAGCGAATCTGCAAGCTGTTAAAGGGAGCAGAGCGTCGGAGTGCCTCACCTCGGGTATTCGAAAACGTCCATCTTGAACTTCTTGCGGAACATCTCGCGAACACACTCTACGTCACGGTCGAAGTAAAACTCAGCGTCTTCGTGCGTCACCGACACCACCTGCGGAAAGTCGATGACGGTGACCTGCTTTCCGTCCTCGCTGATCATTAGGTTGAACCCATTGAAGTCACCGTGTATGATACCCACACGCGCCAACTTCACGATGAGCTTCATTAGCATATGGAGAACACGTTTCGGCTCCTCTATTTCGCGAACCTGGTGCAAAATGAGACGTCGGAATCGCCGGTACTCACCTGTGAAAGCGGCACGCCGTCTACAAACTTCATTGCGATAACATGACGATTTATGTCTAGGGGTTGCGGCACGGGGAATTTTTCCTCCCATAACGCAGACAGATAGGAATACTCCTTCTTGGCAGCCAGCTGCGACATGTACATCCAGCTGGCGTGCTTCCTTTTGCCCATGTAGTCCCGCTTGTGCTTGACGGCGCGGAAGGAGACGCGGCCTGAGCGACGGTATTAGCGACACCGCTGTTCAAACCCACCCAAGCGGTGTAGCTTCAGCACTAGCAGGTTGCCTTCGGCGTCTGTGCAGAGGTGGACGTCGGCCTCCTTGCCGACGCCGATGCGCCTGCCAACTGCACTGATGACGCCGCGCTTAAGCAGGGCGCGAAGCGCCAGGTAATCCAACCCGAGGAAGGTCAGCTTATAACCGTCGTAGCTCTCATTGCAGTGCACTATGAGCTTAGCTTTCGCCAGTGTAGCTAGTACGTTAGACATTCCGCAGGAGCGCAGATTGGCGGTGGCGGTGATGAGCTTCAGCGGGATGTACTCGTGGTTGCGCATACCGAGCTCGATCGCCGTGAGAACACGGAACTCCGTGTTGCTCAGGTGGCTGAAGTGCGACGGGTCGAGCTTCATCTTTTCCGGACCACTTTAGACCGGCGTCAGCCAGGCAGCGGCTTACTACGCCGTAATATCATACGCCAAGAGACGTACGCCCCGATATCTATTGCGTGCTATATGTCAACATTTACCGACGAAATGTCGGTTACCGTGACGGAATGACGTAGAATCTGCCTCCGCGACTTGCGGGTGTGTGGCGGTCAAGGTAACAATTGAAGAACGGTATCGCCTTCCACGGTGGAACTCGGAAAGAGTGAAAACAACATGGTTGCAAGAGTGGATGTGAGTGCTGAAGTTATGGAATCTTCATGAGCGTTTGAGTTATCGGATGTGCTCAATGGGCAGTGGGAGGAGCCCTTGAGTTCGCTCATTCTAACTGCAAAACCAAATGCATCTTCAGCTAAAGTGGCCATTTGTAGGATAGGGGTTACTTAATTGTGTAGAAGCCTTGTATTGTAGAAGATCATAATCCGTAACATAGATGCAATGGCATTCCGCCACGTCACATCCCTATCCCGCTCGCTCGGGCATCTGATGATCAATGGGAGATCCATGTACACGTCGTGCCTCATGCAGAAGTGCGCTTTGGCAAGTCTTCCTAGTCGTTTATTGGGACCTATGCCTGCCATGCACAATCGCATTCCCGGTGTCACGGGTGTCTTGGCAAACTCCGCCCATGCCGAATCACGACGCTCCATAGTAATACACAAGCAAAGAAGACAACTCGGTCATAAATTCGTCAGTTTGCGTGTAATTGTGATTTATTGTTTTATAGGAGTTCATCATGGGGAAGCACCGCCGTAGAAAGGTCAACCCGCCACGTGTGCCCATCCACCCTACGCTGGACCAAGATAAGGATATGAACCGCTTCGAAACGTATCGCGACCTGAAGTTGCGCTGGAAACGGACGACTAAGTCGCGGAAGAACCGGGTGAGGCTGGCCCGCAAGTGGCGGCAGCCTCGCTACGTAAACCCAGCGAACCCGCCCACCTGCACTTTCGTGCTGCACGAACGTCTGCCTCAGACTAGGTCTAACAGGGGATATGGCAGTCGTGTTAGACAAGATGAGGGTGCCGGATCGTCGGCAACGCAGAAGCCATATGAGCCGGGAGAAATAGTACTCGACACATCACACAACTTCAGTGTTTACCCACCACCCGAGGTGGCACAAAAGATAAGAGAAGGATCGGAGGAACTCTTCTGCGTATTCAAGTCGTCCGCCATGCACCAGCACAAGGTATTTCTGAGTACAGGGCAATGCACTTGCTACAGGTGACGAAGGGTGACCTTGTACAGATAGAGCGGCTTCGGCGCCGATCAGCAGGTGGGTTAATAACGCAGCAACTAGGTAATTTAATTGCAGGTGAAAAGGTGACTTTCGGCACGGTACTGCTAGTGGCCTCACGAGATTGGACCATTATCGGTAAACCAACGTAAGACCACAATTGACAGATACCGTAAAATAACTGCAGTGTGCCATATGCCAAGGTGGAAGCGACTATCGAACAGCAGGTAAGGTTCGCAAATGCAAGTGTACAACGCATTTTAAGACACTATGCGGAGAACAAATCAGCTTCCGCTACCGCAAGTCGAGGCGCATATCACGTTTCCTGAGGTATTAAAAATGCTCATGTTCACATTAGTTGCAGGGTTCGTCACTGGGTGACGGTGCTGCGCATCGACGACATTGTGGTGGACCCCGAGATGCGGATCGACACAACACCCGTTAAGCCTCTGCGCCTGCTGGACCTGTGGGCCAACAGATGGCTGTACGAGGACGAGATGGGCGGCGTGAAATACTCCGGAGACCGCACAGTAGCGGAAGGTATGTCACCGTGGTCGACACTCGAAATGCCTTCAGCCATATACGACGGCACCGAGCCCAGGGCCGGCAGCTACAACCGACTGGGCCTCACCGAAGCATACCGGTATCACCCTGACCCTTATGCACCTAACTAGGACATCATCTTGCGCCTCTTCGCAGCCTAAAACGATATTAAAATTTCGCAATCACACCCACCGCCTGTCTGAGCCTGCTAAGCACCAGAGCCTCCATGTCGTCCAAGCTCTCGGCCTCCGCATCTGCGCCATTTCCCGCTGTTGCAGGCGCTGCCGATTCGCCCTGAGGTTTCAGGGCGAGTGCGTATAGGTCGCACCTGAAGTTGCTCCGGTGCTTGCGATAATGTAGCAGCGCCTTCAGCGCGTGCTCGTGCGACTCGAAGACCAAAATGCCGACCTTGACGTTCATCGCGTCCATGGACGTCTCAGTGATATCTATTGGCTGAACGCGTAGCATGCCGAAGTTCGCAAACATGTTGGAAAAGTGGTCGCTGAGTAGCAGGCAGTTCAGCTCGGCCTCGTTTGCGATTTTCATGGTACGGGCAGCGACGAACAGCATGCCCTGTTGCGATGTGGAGCCGGTATGGCTCGAAGATGCAGCTTGAGCATCAAAGATATCCTCATAAGCCGCCTGGAAGCCGCGTTGAGCAGGCTTCTCGGCGTGGAACTGGTCCTGTCTAGCGGCGGCCGCCTCAGCAGCCTCCCGTTCCCTACGGAGGAGGGCATCTAGGTGAGCTGATTGTTTGGCAGAAATGCCTTTCGTGCGCTCTTTTCGCGCCTTCTCCTCCCGCTTCTTGTGCAGAGCGCGGTTGTACAGCGTGGTGAATACATCATCACGTTGTAGGTAGTCGAACGCCGCCTTGAGTCTTGCGAATTCGAGGCTGGTGTCCGCCGCCTTACTACCGGGCTTCTGCTTATCAGGGTGGCACTCCTTGGCGCGACGCAGGAAGGTTCGACGTAGTCCACGCCGCAGCTCGGCGACATCGGCTTCCTCGACCACCTCCACGCCGAGCACCGCCAGGAGGTCCACCCCCTGGAGAATGGCCGGCAGCTCCTCCATCGTCAGCTAAATTTAAGGGCGCGTGCAGCGGACCTGTGGCTCAGCTGTAGACAGAGCACCCATTCTGGTGCGCCGTGCCGTTCGAGAGCGTTGTTATCCGTCGGCAGAGACGAAGCCACCGCCGGGCAGCCACGTACAGAGCTTGACGGAAACAAATAATGGCAGACACAGCCGTTACGATTAGGATTCTTTGGTGTCCTGGAGGCACTGGGTGTACGACTCCGGCAGGCCGAGCCGGCCACACACCCTCTCTATAAGCGCCGATGATTCGGCACTACTTATTCCGAACGCCGCCATCCAGTGTCGGAAGCGCAACAGCTCAGATGTGGACGGCTTCAAGACAGTATCTGGGCGGACGTCGTCGAATAACGCTGCAAAGTCCTGGGCGATGGCGATGAGCAGGCACTCCTCCCAGAAGGGGATGCGGCTCCAGTACTCGTGTGAATATATGAGCCATCGGAGCGATGTGCGACGCGGCTGCTCATCCTCTGACTCCTCGACGACGTGCACGAAATCGGCCAGCTTCAGGATGGCGTAACCGCTCCATGCGTCGCCCTGCTTGCGGGAAAACGCGAGCAACGCCCCGATGAGTCGCGCAAACAATTTTAAGGCGGACCTGCAAACGAATTAGGCGCCGTATTGAGACACTTACATGGATGGCAGGCGATTGCACTGCAGCGAACGCGTTGTGACGAGGTTGCAGAACACCTGGCGGACGAGCGAAGACTGCATCTCGCCCACAAAGTCCGACATCTCCACGCTGTCATATTTGTCTTCCCAAACTGCGTCGATGTACTTCGTGAGCGTGCGCTCTATGCGCTGCAGCACGCGCTCCTTGGGTGCAGATAGTGCCAATTTCGATACGGCGTAATTGCGGAACACCTGAATTAGCCATTAGCACTAGCATTATGCAAGCACTCGTGCTTACCTCCGGGATCTCAGCTGTCAAATAAGTTGCATAGTGCATCGGAGAACGGCTGGATTCGGATGGGACTTCGCGCATCTCTTGATGCCCAGTTGCCTCGAACTCTGACCATTCGGTGTCGGGGTCAACTTCATTCAGTGTTGTGACCATGTGGCACACGTCATACTGCAGATTGCGCAGACGAGCTGTTTCGTATATCAGCAGCTTGGAAACGCCGTCGCGGAGCCCGCAGATGCGTTCGGCGTCGATTAACCGCAGCGACTCCGAGAGTCTGGCTGTCTCCTTTTCGAGCTCCATGCGGGCACTAGGGGCCTGCGACTGGCTGAGCTCTGCGTTTGATCGCATGAACTTCAGGAATACTGATATCAGTCCCGCGTGGAGCGGAGTCTTTACCGATGGCGGCTCGTGAAATGCCTCGGAGCACGTGCTGACCGCAGACTTGGTTTGCAGGTACAGGTCTTCGACCTCGGCGGCCAAAGACGTCCTGTTGGCTTCGACCGCATCGTATTTACTGCGTGCTCGGTCCAGGTCACACCTTATGGTGGCGACGGCGTTGGGATTGTCGTTGGGGATCGTGCATTCGTGGGCCACGGCATCCGCAAACTCACGCTGATTCTCGGCCATGCTGACGATGTAGGACCGAAGGGAACCTACAGCAGCTGACATACCTCGCGATTCGCCTTCGAATCCGATTTCCATGCGATCTGCCAGCGATTGCAGCTTCTTCGCATAGTCGGCGCCGATGCTTGACAGCTCACGCAGCACCTCGTTGAGAGATCCATTTGCCCTCAGGCCGTTCTCGACGCGTAGCAGCCGCGCATCTACGGTTGCTCCATTGCGCTTGGTGGAAGAGTGTTGCGATAAGACAGCGTCGTTCTCAAACGACTCGTGCGCAGTCGGCCTGCTGCAGGCCTCGGAAGAGCATGAGCCGCAGGGCGACTGCGCCGCGAACTCCGAATCCGACTGGTAGAGAGTGCTGATGGAGGTGGTGTGTAGGTTGAAGGTCAGCACGTCGCCGATAGAAGATAGCTTGAAGCCGTCGCTCCAAGGCGACATGTATTTCCCGTCACTGCCGCTAACGGGAGAAGCGGCCTCAGACGGCGCCATAGTGGCAATTTTCCGATATCTCGTCACTATACCGACGGAATGGGACGCCGAATTGGCGTCGATTTGAATTGTGTGTCGGGACTAGTCGTGATGTGTAAGCCGACGTGGCACAGAGAGGTGTGCGGGTGATTAAGTAGACAATCGAGTATATTTGGCTATCTCATGCTGTTTTAAAACAGCTAGGCCGTAATATGTGTTACATACGGCGTCACATGTTGCATTACGACGCAGTTCGAAGACAAAGCACGGCACACCGGCTGTGCCGGCCTGCTTCCAACCGATAATGTATTAGTAGGGAACGGTAAATTCGACATAAGACCTGAATACAACCGAATAGTCTTGGTATAACGATTCGTAGAATGTTACTGGGCTGTTGGCTGCTGACGGCACTAAGAGGCCACGCTTAGAGTGACCAACCAGGCATTGGCGCGGTTGGCGCTGGAAGTAACACTAAGTCCATGTAAAATGATATTTCACCTAAAATAAGTCTGATGTGTGCGTTGGCTTAGGCAAACGCGCCTCATCCCTCACCAACCTCTGAGCGCTTATGATGCCTGGGCGCCCCATCGCCACAACCACCCGAACCTTTTGCCGCCCACATCGTAACTTTTACGCCAACGGCTTCCACGCAGGTTTTGCAATCGAAAATCTGCTTTTACAGAGCCCACAGCGCAACTGAAGAACGGTTGGATCGCCGGGGCCGACGCCGTGAACGCGTGTCCGTAATCGTGGAATCCCCCTAGCGCAAAATGAGCAGCTCAGTCGACGAGAAGATCGTCGGCAAGCACGAGGTCACTCCCCTCGACAAGGAGATTGCCAAGTGCCTGGTATACATCGAGTCCAGCGGCAACGCCGAGCTCAAGGGCGATATCAAGAACATCGCCTTCTCGCACTGCAAGGAGGTCGAGGTGGGAGCCCTCAAGAAGAGCGCTGTCATCATCTTCGTGCCCTACCGTGTGTACATGACCCACGTCCGCCGCATCCACGGACGCCTGGTCATCGAGCTCGAGAAGAAGACCAAGAAGCACGTCGTCCTCATCGCGCAGCGCACCATCCTCCCCAAGAACTTCAGCGGCAAGCAGTTCCGCATGAGGCCCAGGAACAGGTCCCTCACCAGCGTCCATGAGGCCATCCTCGAGGATATCGCAGCGCCCACGGAGATTGTCGGCAAAGTCATGCGCGTGAAGCGCGACGGCAGCCGCGTGCTCCGCGTCTACCTCGACCCCAAGGACAAGCAGAACGAGAGCATCGAGGACAAGCTGGAGACCTTCGCCGCGGTGTACAAGAAGCTCACCAACAAGGACGCTGTCTTTTCGTTCAAGGTGACCGCATAAAACACACCACTAATGGTCTAACGTTAATGCTGTACATTGGGCGGGAGGCTGGTCCTCCGGGGCGGTCACTTAAAATGCCGTTTGGGGTCTCCCTTAAGGAGTGCCTGGCCGTGTTGGCGTGTTCTACTGTGTCGGTCGCGACCGGATTTTACGTGACGCACGTTGCGCTGCGGCCGGGTCAACGCGCCGAGGCTCGGCGCCGGCTTGAAGCGGGACAAATCACTTCTCCTAAATAATTAGTTATGCTATTTTGTGTGTTGTGTTGTCCTCTGGCGATTTTTCAGGTTCGGTGATGGAGCCGGCGACGTGGTCTGTGTCTGCCGCGCGGGATTCCGCCCAAAGGTCCTCGATGCTGCAGGGAGTTAGGTTCTAACGTTGCAAATGGCGGCTACCTCTGGCGCTCTCGCACTTCCTTGACGAGCAGGTGGACGCACAGTGGCCCTAGCCTTGCTACGATCCATTCGTCGTTCCTCGAGTGACAGCAATACGCTGTGCGAGATACAAACGGCACGTCTAGGTCAACAATTGCGCGATATATCATCCTGCCGACGCGTCTGAGTATATGTGAGTGTAGAGGTTGCTGTAGACGCACCTGCAGTGGGCCTTCGTCGTGCCGGTAGCCACTATGCAGTACATCGCCTGATCACGGCGATTGCAGCTGTCCATGTCGACAACCACGACGTTGGTCATGCGTTCCTGCGATCTCTCTGGGTACCATTCAGCGGTACTCACCTGCTCCAGAATATCAACGACCTGCTGCAGCGTAGGCATCTCGCCCTTCCGCAGGTGCACGTTCCTCCTGGCGTGCATGACATCAGTGGACAATACACAATACTCACCTCGTTGCTGCCACCTCGGAAGTGTTGTAGTCCCAGAGGTGGTGCTTGCCGGGCGAGACCACGGGATCCGGGTCGTAGGATCCGAACTGTTCTTCCTCCATCAGCAGTGGCAGCAGGCTCTCGATCTCTCCATCAGTCACCTGATCGCTCCCACCCTCACTGGTAGCCTCGAAGTACCTTCGACGCAACTGCTCGAATAGCTTGTCGCGGTTCTCCAGGTAAAACGCCTGGCCTGGTGTCAGGAATTCATCATCTGAAAGGTGTGCTGCATTGCATGGTCGTGGCAACGTACCCAAACTGCTTTCCCTGATCGTCTCCGGCACGAACTTTAGCACTGCGTCCTCGATGGTTTCCAACGGGATGCTCTTTATAGCGGCTTTGTCAATCTTGGGTTTCTCAGCGCCATCAAAAGACCCCGATGGCGCTTCTGCAGACTCATCAGACAGCGGCTCTGCCGACTGATAGGTAAATTCAGGTCCATCATGGGTGGCTTGCTGGCGCGGAAGCGATTCACTGACGTGCCTGAAACGATCTGTAGTGTCGTCCGTCGCTACGTGGCGACGAGACCAACTGGCTCCGATGTCTGCAGCACGGCACAGAGGCAAAAGAGCGCCAAGTTGCCAAGCGCGGCAATTCTGCCGCAACAACGGCCCAAACAGACGAATTACATACATACACACTAAAATGTTGAGCTATATGTACAATGTATGGTCGAGAAAAGCTTATGCCTTCTCCGCTTTGCGATGGTGCCGGCAGCGGCAACGGTGACTAGTTGGAGCCGAATGTCGATTCGTGACTGAGTTGTGCGCTCAGATTTTCTATAGTGCGCATGTTGCTCATGATCTCGTATACGATGGTTTCCTTCAGGCGGGGGATGAACTGCAGCTTCTCCTCCGGTGTCATTGCCTTGATCATCTCTGCACGTGCCCAATGATTCACGAATGTAACTTTACGTACCTGACTGCTTGAGAATGTAAGCTAGATTGGACTTTATAGCTGCAATTTCGATGGATACCGAGAGATGTGTGTAACACATACGCGCATTAGACGAGGAATTTGCCTCTTCTGCTTTGTTCTCTTGGCCTTCCGCGGGTTTTTCGTCGTTGAAACTAGCAAAGTATTGGCTAGAAGGGCAACTGTTAACACACTGTGTATCGGCGTTGTCTTTAGACGACGATGGCTTTATAGGAATCACGTACACTCCTAGCTTCTCCATGACGCCTATGTAACATGAGAAGCTCACTACGCTGTCTTACTTGGGTGTAACACTGCTAGCTCGCGCAGTTTGCGATCGTACTTTGGAATCTTGAAGTACGGATTCGTTGCCATCTCCTTGATCACGTCTGCCGGGAGTCAAACGAGAATGTTGCAGATTACACATACCCTTAGACATCTCGTCTAGGCGCTCGGCTGCACAGCATGTAAACTTAGTTTCGTCGTTTAGACTTACACGGGGTAGCCTTGGTCACATTGTCCTTGAGTGACTCGGTGAAGGTGCCTGTGCAGTGTGTGAGCGGTTGAACAGCAGAGGAAGCTGGCGTACCTTCTGGATCGAGCGAGCGGTGTTCACCGTGTCCAGCGGGTGAATTATGTTCATCATTCTTGACCGGCTGCGCTGGTTCCGGAGGAACCGCGGTGGCGATGTCGTTTTCGTTGCCAGACACGTGCCTGGCAGCGAGCAAGAACAACGCCCAAACGAGGCCGAATGCTATTTTTCGGCACATCTTAGGGTGTGTACTCGGTTAAGCCGACATCTTCGACATTGGGCTCGCGAACGAACGTGTTGAACGGAGGGCGACGAGCGCGGACTCCGGTGCGTCGGGATCAGGCGACAGGACCTGCAGGCCGTTTTGCTCACACGAACTGATAACCTACATCCGTCGGCGGCTCCAATACCTTAACTCCGTTTCCTCCGACAATTAGGAACCTTCCACTGGGCGTCCACTCAACGCAGGTGCATGTTTCTTCCATCGTCGACATACACACCGGCATCTGCGGGTAATGGTCAGGCACGGCCTGGTGTAGTCGGATTACCTGACTGTTGACGGTCAAGCTCCATATGAACACGTTGCCATTTTCGTCGACGCTGGCTAGCACCTCGGGAAGTGAGGGGTTCCTGATGCAACATCGCAACGTGCCCACCTAAACATACCAGCACAAGTCAGCTGTGGCGTGGAACGCCGGTACCAATTCGTGCAGAGGTTCTCCAAAGTTCTGCGGTGCCAATTCGTGTCGGTTTACCACTGCCCACCCGAACGTCCCAGACTTTCAAGTAGCAGTCGAAGCCACCGGTGGCGAGTAATTCTGCCACGTTTATCGCTGTTAGGAGAATCATCTAACCTGCGGAGTCGTTTTTGGATGCTGCCATTGCAGTAACTGCGTTGTCGTGTATTAAGTGGCTTTCTGATGGTTCCCCGGATACGGAACAGCTGTACATATGGCCGTCGAAGGTTCCGCAATAAAACGCAGAACCGCGACAGGCTTTCGATACCCTAGAGGATCCCAGTGAAGTGCCCCATGGTAGACTTGAAAGTGGTTCCGACAGATTCCTCAACGACCATGTGAACGCTCTCCCTGCGCTGTCGGCTGAAAGCAGCGTGTCGTCATCCAGCAGCTCCAGAGCGACAATGGGGTCAATGTGCCCCTTATCATTACTCGGCAGAATTGACTCCACTTCCACCAGAGATTTTGTGTCCCATGCGTGAATCGAACCGTTCAGCGAACCCCCGAAAAGCATGCTGTCGTGGTTGGCGAATGCCAACTTAGTCACGCCACCCTTCGAACACTTATAGCAGCGGGGTTTGCACTTACGAGGCAGCACATCTTCACCGAGGGTATTCTGGATTCAATATTGACGATCTGTAACGTTGTTCTTGACGCTGTATCCCCGACTTACGTATACTTTTCCAATGCCACCGTCTCTCGCTTTGCCCTCACCGTAACGCATGGCAACAGCATATGTCGATTCGTCTTTGACACGCATACTGGTTACGGGATCCTTAGGCAGGTAGATAGTTTGTAAGGTGCTCTCCGTCTTCATCTCTACGCTGAGTCGGTCTGCATCTATCACCGGATGTACTCACGTCGCACTGTACATCAGCGTGGACCCCATGCTACGCTGGGCATCCACCTCATCGTTGCTTTTGCAGCAGCAATCCGTTACTGATGCAGTATGATGTGTTTAGTGTAGCGGCACCTACTGAGCCGGCACAGACGACGCTGGATATCGTCGAGTGTGGGCTCCTTCTCCCCCGATTCAGACCTGGTCTGGACACCGACGTTGTATCTCTCCATTTATATAAACGTCTAGTTTCGCATTGAAAAGATATATGTTTGTTCCTGCATGTGGCAATCTGTGTCTATGCTGTGTGTTGAGCTAAGTGCACTTCGGAGCATTATGGCACCGAGTCTTGACCAACAGTCTACATGACATTAAAAGACAATTTCAGGTACGTCATGACATGCAAAGCGATAACGGTCGAGCCGCAACATTCATAATATATGAAGACGACATTAGCAAAATAAATCCAGCTCAGCCTTGGGTTCGTCGCCGTTGCCATTAGCGGCCGGCACGCGGCGGATACACTTCCTCCGCGGTTCCTTCTTTACAATATCCTATACAGATAGTTGAGTCAACGGAGTTGTTCATACTAACCAGGAGGGGAACTCGGCTATCCTTGGCGCTGCCTGGGGTGGAGATCAGGGTGGGCGTCTGCTGCAATTCAGGCGTTGCTTGGTTGTTGCTCACCTTGAAATGCACACTTGCATCCTTCGGCTGAGGTATTCTGCGGTACATTTTTACAATCATTCGCTAGACTGACTTCGTTGCATCGGGAGGTAGCATCGTCTGCCGGGAGATTGGAGTTTTGGGGGTAGGTGGTGTGACGGAGTGGTCAACATGCGCCTTGGGTTTTACCTTCTTTTCTTCTATTGTGGCTCTTAGTCGCGCGATCTCGCTGGCGTTCACCTTCCTGATTGCATCAAACTTTTCCTTCTCTTCTTGCGCCTTGCATACACTGTTAGGACAATAGGTACCAATTCCAACCATTGCGCTGTGTTTTGCCTCCAACTTCGATTGCTCTTTAGTGTGCTCCAGATCCAAAGCCTCGAGCGCAGCAGTGAGTAAGATGGCGCTGTTGCGGCGCTGTGCATTATTTTGCGGTAGGACGCAAATTAAAGGCACCAACCTCCTCTTCTATTATCTCCAGAAGTTCAGGACAGTCGTCGCTCTTCAGCTGTTTCAGCCTGGCTTTCTGTGCCTCTATCTGGTCTGAAGCGGCGTTATAACATCCAGTTGGTATATTCACCTTCTATTTGTCTGTTGTATTCCACTTTGTTCTGTTCCTCTTGGACTTTCAGCTCTTCAATCTGTCGTGGATTGTTTTCACTAAATAGGCATGTTGACAAACCGTTTTCTTTATGTATTCATGCTCTTTCCGCAGGTCCAAGCGCATCTGTTCTCGGCCGTCCTCCTTGCAAGTCACCTGATCGACCTCTTCCTTGAGCCGTGCGATGTCCTCATTCATCCTTCGAATGTATGACACTATCTAGGGTCCGTGTCAGCTTACTTGGCACATAATTTCTGGGCGTCATCCAGATCCTTTGTAAGTTGCTCATTATCGCGCATTTTCCGCTGCAACTCTGTAGCGATATAGCGACAGTTCATGCATGGAATCCCTACCCTGATTAACTTCCTTTGTCCCATTCGCCACTTCATGACGTTGAGATTCGAGGTGAGACCTTTTTCGGAGCAACGATTTCATCTGGTTACATATATGTTGACAGCACATTGAGTTTCCCACCAGCTGCTTAAGCCCGCCGTATCCCACGCTTTTGCCATAATTGTGCCAGCCAGGTGGGAACAGACCTTCCGCCCTGTCCAGCAACTCTTTTGATGTAATGCTAAAGTTTATGACCTGTCATGCAAGTAAACATAATTATCCATTATGGACCCACAATCTCTGCCGCTTTCATCCGTAGAATATTGCAGGCGGACAAATGATCGGCCAGTTCACTTTTACGCAATTGCATATCTTCCATTTGGGCATGCAGCGTATGCTCCAACTCCTGGATACGGGGATTGTGGTCTGAGATGGCCGATTGCAATTCTTCGTTGTTGCTGATAGACATTTAGCATAACACTATACAACGCCAACCTCTGAAGCGCTTGCACGTCAGCCTCAACCTCGGATACCTGATAAATCACTGCTACAACCGCTGAAATCAACACATACCCTGCCCGACAATTCGGCTTTTGTAGCACTCATTCGTTCCTTAGAAGCAGTGGCCTCCTCTAGCTGGGTGGCTCTTTCAGCGATCTCCTGCAGACAATTGTATTAATGTCGGCGGCAAGTTACGTTTTCCAGATGCGCAACATCCTTCCGGAGCGCTGTTATGTTTGTCGCAAGATCATTGATTTCCCCATCAAGTGATGCGAGCTCGGCTTCGTCTCTACTTTTGGCATCGATCAGGTCTGCAATGAGGCTCTTTGTTTCACATGCCTTTATCAACAGGGATTTGTGCTCCGCTTCTGCAGCGGCTCGTTGACCATCGAGTTCACCGTGGATGCATGCCTGGAACATGTATTAATACGTTGGAGTGTATGGAACCCACGATACGGTTCAGCTCCAATTTGTGGATATGCAGATGGTCGTCAAGGTCGGCCAGCATCATACGGTAGGTGTTCTGCCGGGAACAGAGGGTGGCCTTCATTTTCATGGTGTCCCTCTCGGCAGCGCTTATGCGGTCTTCGATATTACTCGACTGGCACACGTTATTATGTTTTGATGTAATCTTACATCTTCTTTCACCTTGAGTAAGGCGTAATAAGCAAGTACAGTCTGAGACTCCGTCGATTTTAAATCGCTTGCCGTTTGTTCTAACGACTGTGCTAGCTTCTCATCCTGGTTTGAGAGCTCATCACTCAGATCTTGCGCTCCCTTACGGTCTTCTGCTAGTTCTAAAATGCGATGTTCAGACGACTCGCACTTCGACAGCAGTGTGTCAAGCTCGAGGTGCATCCCATTCTTGATGCCCTCATCGTTAACGATGGCAGCGTTGATGCTCTCGGCCTTGGTTTGCGTCTCTTCCACGGAACGCTGTAGTGTGTTCAGTATTTTGTTGTACTGGAACAGGTTGCTCTGGTAAAGGTTCTCGTAGTGCTCCACGAGCTCCTCGTCTTGCAGAGCATGCCTGCATTTGGAAAGGCAGGTTTCCAAAACGCCAAAAAGCGACGAAAGCTGGACAACTTCACAGTCGTACTCCATCATTTAGTGTGTAGATCATATTAAAAGTGTGTTGGTCGCAGGTGGCAGTGAAATTTCAGCGGACGAAGTTCATGCCGCTACAGTTTCAGCGCCGCTTATTCTTCGGCTTGGCCTTCAGCGTACGTTTCTGCACCAGTTTACCGCCCTTCTTGGCACCAGCGTGCTTTCCTCCCTTTTTACCTGCTGGTGCTTTCTTCTTAGACGACTTTGCCTTATACTCAGAGGCTGTCTCGTGATCCAGCGCCTTGGTAACGTGCAGCGTGTAGCCCTGCACCAACGTAATTACACACGCAGCTTAGACACACCTTAAAGGGGTAGTTGTTGAACGCTTCCACCGCCTCAGGAACCGCCGTGCGATTGTCGAATAACACGAATCCGAAGCCCTGCGCAATGTGAACGGTATTCGGCACTATTGCTCACCTTAGACACCGACGTAATAGGATCGCGTATAATGCGAACACCTGTGCGAGATTATCAGCTCGAGTTTTATTCTCACCTTGAACCTGGCTGACATTTGAGAACACCTCGAAAAGCTCGTTCTCCGTGGTGTTGGGAGGGAGCCTCCCGACGAAGATGGTCTTCTTGCGATTAAATTTGCTGAACGACGACGGTGACGACTTGTTGATGAACAGATAGTGCCCGCGCAGCTCCGTGGTGTTCTTGGCCACCAGCTCGTCTACGTACTTCTCGTCCACCAGCGTGACGTACGCATTCTGGCTGGGCTTCGCGTCGCTCAGCTTCCCGCGAATCACGCCGATCCTCTTGTTGTATGCGAACTTGCTTTCGACTGGAAGCGACCTGAAATGGACGGATTTTACGATCTTTGGGTCGATACCCAAGCTCTTGATGAGCTCGGATTTGTCAACTGAAAGCGGGACATTGCCGACGAAAACGACATTCGGATGGTCTGAAGCTTATGAAGCCGTGGAGCCGACAGATGACTTACCTATATATTCCTTAGGGCCACCCTTAGACTTTTTCTTGATGGGACGAATCGGCCCTTTCGGCTTACGTGTACCGGATTCACCGGCACCTCGGCCAGTGGCTGGTTTGCCAGTTGCTTCCACCTGAGGCGCAGGCACGGCGCTAGATGCTGTGCTTGAAGGTAGTTGTTCAGCCGTAGAAGTGGTGGCGGCAACTGGAACTGTTTTGGAAGCCTGGTCGAGTAGCGCCCTCAGCTTACGCACGCCTTCGGGGACCGCGCTCTCGGACTTTCCGGCAGCCTTCTTCGTCTTCTTTGCTTTAGACTTGCCATCGGTCGCCTTAGGCGCCTTTTTTTTGGCCGCTAATGTTTTTGCCATCAGAATAGAATGTGTAACACGGTAAGCTCCACAGGTGGCCAGCTGCTGCAAATACGCCATCTAATGTGTAGGGGAGGAAAGATTTATCTAGTTGTACAACTTCTTAAGTATTTTGTATCTCTGTTCAGCGTTGAAGTACGTCCACGCAATGACCCACCGCGCTTGGCGGCCCTGGCTCAGCGTGAACGTCCGTAACTCGCAAACGTGCAAGTTGCTCACAGGGATGTGGAAATTGTCTTCGCAACCAGAGGTATCACCTTCACCCCTCAACAGGTCGCTGGCTCTTGCGTCGAGGAAGGCGACTTGTTTTTCGTTGGATGCGTGGTACCGACGCATGTCAGCCTGAATATGGCTCTTGATCCGCTTCAATGTAGACAGCCTTGCCACAAGGGACGTGAACCACAGCACATTGTGCGCGAAGAAACGGCTCTCTACGAGCATAATCTCCACAAAAGCCAGGTCTCCTCTCTCCCTTGGGTTGCTTGAAAAGGTGTAGTTAACCTGACCCGTTACACCGAACCTGACATTTTGCAGGTTTAGAGGATCGACACCGTCGATGGTAAACGTAGTCACGTCGTCGTGTTGGAACACTAGCTCGTTGATGGTTCCGCAGGTGCTCACACGAGGGTTCAAGTTGGTCCGGTCCAGGCTTGCATGGAACGGAGGGTTGCACATAGTCAGATACACGAACTCGTCCGGCTGCAAAATACCGGTGAACATCCTCAAAGGCTCCTTTTGGTGCCTCAGGTCGACAATATCCGTGATGTTATTCGACGTCAGGTTGCGCTTCGCGAGGTTGAGAGACTCAGAATTTATTTCTGATGCGATGAAGCTCCAGCCGTAATCGGTGCACCCGAGCAGCGGATATATGCAGTTGGCGCCGGTTCCAACATCCAATACTTTTACCTTCTGGCCTCTGGGAATGTCTTCAAAGCCTATGTTAGCCGGTCCGTGATGTGCGGCATCCGTGCCTTCGGGCGGTGGGTCCGGGAGGTTGTGAGAGACGTGGAGTAGGTCCGCTACGTAGTGAAGGTAGTCAGCCCTGCCTGGAATGGACGGAGCGAGGTACCGCTTCACATCAATATGCGCCGCATCGCCCGGATGGGTGTCACCATCCTCGCCGGCCCCCTCAGCGCTAAGAGAGGGATCGCACGAATCGTTGGGGCATCCACAGGGCAGGTAGAAGTTAAGGCCATACGTGGTCTTCAGTATAGCCCTTGACAAATGGTATACAGCATCAGGATGGCTGAAATCATAGTGGTGCATGATTTGCTTGCACGCAGTAGACTTGCATTTCGAGTTGGGCACCAGGTGCCGCTTGAGGACTGGGGAAATCCTGGAGAGAGCGATAAAGTCATCACGTTTCGTGTGGCGAGATCGATGATGCATGTAAGAACGGACATTTGGCTCGCTACGCCGCGGGGACTGCTGGCGCGACTCGTTGTCGACCACACTACTCGACTCGTTCCTGCCTCGTTTGCTCATTGAGACTCTGGGAAATGGCATCCAGGGCGCCAACCAAATTCAGATTGTCTGCGATATACTGTCGAGCGCCGCCCTTGATGGCGGAAGTGCCACCGCTCGCGAAGTTTACGGTTGTGACCAATACGCCGCTTCCAAGCCGATAGACGTCCCTCCGGAGGTTTAAGGAGCTTTGCCTTTACAAATTGAATATTACAAATGTCGCGGGTAGTTATAACCCGTACGCAGCCACGCCAGTAGACTTCATTATTACACACTGTGGCGGCTCGCAGGGAACGCTGCGGGGGATAGCCCGGCGCCCGGTTTCTGGTCTTTGCAGCTAGCAGGCGCCGCCGCCAGCTAACAAATGTGCGATAAACGCTCTTGGTAACGCTGGTGTTGGCCCAGCTACTCTCTTGTACGGCTCATTCTATGGCGGCGCCGGCCTACCGCGGCCCCCCCTCGTCGGCCGTGACCACCCCATGAGCGACAACGACACTGACGCGCTGCTCTGGCCGCACGGTTCATCGTGAAATTTATCTATATCAACGCGTGTGTTATAAGCTTAGTAACGTATCTTAAAGATAGGTGGGTGGTTGCGCTCAAGGGCGATAACGCGACGCAGGAAAGACAACATGACGGTCGCTGGAATGAAGTACAGCCTCATCCCGCGGGAGAACCTCGTGCTAATTTACCAGTATCTCATTAATGGTAGGTGTCGCCGCCACGCGCCGTTGCGGGGTGGATTCGCAGAGTTGGTCTCATTGTTCCGCAGAGGGTGTGCTCGTTTGCCAGAAGAGCTCGAAGATTCCTATGCATCCGGAGATTAACGTGCCCAACTTGCACGTTATGATGACCATGAAGTCGCTCAAGTCGCGCAACTACGTTGTCGAGCACTTCAACTGGCAGCACCTCTACTTCATCCTCACCGACCAGGGCGTGGAGTACCTTCGCACCTTCCTCTACCTGCCGCCCACGGTGTTCCCCGCCACTCACTCGAAGAAACCGGCGACAAAGGCTGCCATCAAGGAGGAGGTCGCATAAACCATCGCTGTCAATGTTTCGCAATTTGCTTACAGTGTGTTGCTGTCGTGCCAGTGGTTAATGTTATAGTTGTGGAAAGTGCCGAGCGTTGCACTAAGCTCCGCAGTATGACTCTTATTCTGTGTGTAAAGTGTGTTGTTTGTGTGTTTGGGCGTAGATGGGTTCCGTATTGAGTGTTCTAGCCAAAAGGGGAGTGCTAGGTTGGGAATGCGGGCAGTGCCACATGTATGGCTGCAAACCTTTCCAAATCTTTTGTAGCCAGCGGCGGCGCAAGGAAGAACCGAACGATATATTGGGCCGTGTTGCATACGACATGAGCGTCATATCCAGCCGTGTACGGTGACACTACGTGGACTAAATGAGACTAAGATTATTGGAGTGCAGGTTCTGAGATTTTCGAAGCGTGTTGAAGAATATGTTTCTACGGTGCCTCGAGACTTCCGAAGTATTAACGTGAAACGATGGATGTCACCACACCATTAGCTTAAGTTAAGCTTCATTATCGGCTAGTTGGGCTAGGTTAATTTGGACACAGTTGCAGGTACATAACTCGGTGTTTTTATGTGGCATTCGCATAGTGACATGATTCGCTTACGTACCTCATCACCAGTGTACTGCAACCACCACGTATCACAAACTACGTGAATGCAATAATTATTGAGACCTCAAGTAGGTCGGCAGGGTCATCGAAGTAGTCGACGCCGTGGTAGAGTGAGAGCACCTTCCGGCCTTTAGTGAGTAAGGCCTTGACATCGACGAGGTGGGAGGCCCTGGTGGTGAGGAGGTGCGAGCGGAAGCGCAGGACGTCCAGGCGGTAGAGGAGTGAGTGGGCGATGTAGAGCGCTGCAATGAGCCAGAGCGTGAACACACTGTAGAGGAAGGGCGCACGGATGCCATAGAGGAAATTGTCCATGGCGGTCATGAGGCTCGCGATAGGCTCTCCGGCGACCACTTCACTCAGCTTGGCGATAACCTGTGAGCACGTGAGTGAAGGCTGCAATACACCGTCCGGCGGGGTGATGCCGTGCAGGTAGAGGAGGGGCATGGCCTTGTCACAGTGGTTGAGAGATTTATGCTTGGAGCCAGAGTCGTGACATTGAAGGTTCTCGAGATCACAGTGAAGCTTGAGCAGTGACTCCCACAGTCTGCCTGCTAGGTAGACCGCCCAGCTGAGGTATGTGTGGGCGAAGGCGTGGGAGTACAGGGCGTAGGCCCGGTGGGTGATGGGCGATAGGTGTTGTGGGCAGTCGACGTTATAGATACCACAGCCAAGCAATGTGGACAGGGTATTGGGATGATCATTGTCGTGGTGGTTGGAGCTGGGAGGTGCGGAGCCCAGGGCGTCCGTGATGACTCGGAGGTCGGCGGCACCAAGGCAGTCCCAGTCGGGGCAGTGGCGGTGTCGAGTGGAGAGGGCGGAACCCAGCTTGGAAAACTGTGAAGGAGGCTTGTGAAGGTCATTCCCGAAATTGTGGAAGAAGGAGACAAGCTCCCCGGTGGTGCGAGGCGTCCGCCTGGTGAGGCAGTTGAGGTAAGAGCACAACGTCAGCAAGGGATCCTCGCCGCCGCAGGTGGTAGTGAGGATGGTGGAAATATGTTTGCCGGTTTCGTGAGGTGTAGGCAAATCCTCCTTACTGAATCCCATGTTGACGCGGCTCTTGAGGCAGATGTTGCGCGGGTCGAAGGGATGCGTCTCGAACTCGGAGTTGAGGGCGTCAGTCAGGAAGGCTTGGAGGGGGGAGTTGGAGGAGACGTCACAGCCGTACGGATAATCCCGCCAACCACCATCATATTTCCCTCGAGAACACTGCGACTTTAGGAACGTCAGCTGGTGGTGGCAGGCGTAGGCGTAGTCCCGCAGCTGGCAGAGGAGGGCGCAGCAATCAGGGTCCTTGGATTGGTCTGAGTCCTTAGACGCTAAAGTTACAGACGACACTCCCACCCCCCACTTAAGTGCAATGGCGGATAGCACTGAAGCTGCAAACATGGCGGCAAGCTTAATGGTGTGAAGGACATTTTCGGGGCTGATGTCAGCGCCGTTAACAGAGAGTCGCAAATCTGAAGAGACATCGATTCCGTTCTTGAAAGCATCATTAATGCACTTCTCCATAGCCACATGATGCTTTGGGTTCTGAAGTCCAACCAGCCAAATAAGCATATCCCTGACCGTGCGCGGCGCCTCGGCGGGGAATAGTTCCGTCTCGGGGATATCGGTGGCGTCATGCGTAGGTTTCTGGGTAGACCAGTCTGGTATACACATTTGTACATTCTGGCGTATGATATTATCCGGATTGAAGTCCGTTGTTGGCGGCGGTAACTGCTCGGCCTCTGGAGGTAGAACATTTAATGAGACGGCAGATTTGTATGGAGCGACAGTGTTGGACAGTATATCATCCTGTATATGCATCGAGTCTTCATCGAAGTGCCAATCGTACACGGGGTCTTGAACAATGGGCTTGGAGACATCTATGCGGAGGTCAATTTCTTCTTTCTCAGTTTTGGGAGACGGGGGGCCAGAAATGTATACTTCACCACCTCTTAAATTTTTGATAATCTGGTTTTTGTAGTTCACCGCGTCCGCGTAATGCAGCTTTTGACCGCTCTCTTTTTTCTGTCTGAAAATATCCTCAGCCTCTTTTTTTTCGTTTTCACGCTCACTCACGATTTTCTTTACCTTCTCGTCTCTGCGTTCATTTCTTTCTTTCTTGAAAATTTCCCAGAGTTCGTTTGCCTCTCTGACCTTTTGTGAGTGTACTTGCGCAGACTGCAAGGAAGTTGACACCGGGTGACCTTGTAGTTGCGACGCCAAGGATACCTTCATTGTCAAATCTTCTTCAGCTTCTGCCGTTGGGAACTTATTTGGTTCGGTTTTAATATCTTCGCCAGTGACATGTGTTATGTCTGCAATGTTACTGTAGTCAAGCATCATTGTTGTTGGCTGCTTGGTCAGGGTATGAGAAAGCTGCGCGGCAGGCTCTATAGTCGGAGGCTGGGGTGGCATCTGAGTTGTAGAAGCATTGTGAACTCGCCGATTTATGTTGTCGTCATATGTTTGTTGTCGTTTAGCTGACTGTGCTGCCGCCAGCCTAGCCGCCGAAGTTCGGAGAAACTCTTCACGCTCTTTGTGTGCTCTTCGCTGCAACTCAATTTTATCGTGCTCCTGCTGGACGTAATACCGGTCCCAACGGTCCTGCTCATTCCTAAGCTTTTTGTTCACATCTTGTACTGCCTGTGATGTATCTTCCTGTGCGACACCCTCAAGCACGGCTCCACCATCATTGGCAAGTGTAAGGAACGAAGGGATTTTATAGTAATGAGGCCGATAATGGTAATAGTAATCGGACGCTTTAACAAGAGGATGTTCGGTTATAATGGCATCCTGGCGTTTACGTTCTGCTTCTTCCTCCTGCTTTTTTAGTTCCTTGGCATCTTGTAATCGTTTTTGAAAATCATCGTGAAACTTCTGCGCTCTGTCACGTTGTTCTTTAGGCTGGCAAAGCTTCACTCCATTGAAAAATACTGCATCTGAACCATCATCACATTTTTTAGGATCTGGCTTAGGTAGAGGTGGCGGCAGAACCGCAGCCGGCAAACTACCTCCATTACCTCCCCTTGAAGCTCCACTCCCACCTCCACCAGATGCCGTGGCAACCGACGTAGTAACGCCGCTGCTTGGGGTTTGACCGGGGGCTTGACTTGTTAGTTGAGTAATTTGATGACTAGCATCCTGACCAGCATTTTGACCAGTCACCTGATCACCAGTTGACCCAGAGCTTGACCCTGAAGCACTCGTAGACTTAGTAGGCCCCTTGACTTGAGGGGGAGTAGGCGGCGGAGGTGGAGGCCCTTGCGGGCCTGTATTACCCTTATCACCTTTAGGCCCTTGTGGGCCTTGACCTCCTGGAGCACCGGGAGACGGGGTGACAGCAGACTTTACAACTGGTGGAACCGAAGACGCATCTCGACTTTGACCGTCACTCTGATTTGGGGGATCCGCAGCTTTCTTGCCCTGGTTCTGTGCTCCCTCCGCTTTCTTGCCTTGGTTCTGTGCTCCCTCACTTTTCTTGCCCTGGTTCTGCGCTCCCTCATCACCAGTGGCAGTCGGCTTCGCCGCCTCGGCCTTGGTGGCCTCAGTTTTGGTGGCAACTGGCCTTGCGCTGTCAGTTTTAGTTTGGGCAGGCGGGGCCTCAGGCCTTTTAGGCAGTGGTTGGGCTGGACACTGTTGACCTCCCAAAATTGTTTTAAGCGTTTTTAGGCCGCCGCCATGTTCATTGCCAAGTGCATCCAGAACACCGGGCAGATCCTTCAATCCCTGTACCCAGTTGTTCTGTTTATTCTGATTCAATACGATACCGTAGGGATAGATAGATTCGGGCTCGAAACTGTTCGGATCATCCGAGTAATCTTCTACGCTCCCCTTAATAATTTCCAACGTCTCCGTCATCTCCGTCCAATGATCTTTAAACCACTTCTCGAATGCCCCGGCAAATGCGTCGGGTCTAAGTGCGTGAGGGGTAAACGCCCTGCCGGTGGTGCTGAAGGGTCCCGGGTTTGAACCGTCATCCGAAGTACTGCCGAACAATTTAGATAATTCCGTGTCAAGTACTTTGCAATGCCTTACCAAAGCGTCCCAATCGAAACACATATTTTTACGTCTAAGCTCCGTTTCCAAATTCGATCTTAGACCACCGCTGTCTTTTTCATGGCTTTGCACATACCCGCAAAACGCCCACAGCAACAGCAACACGTTCCCAGCGTCTAGGTTATGCCAATCGTCCTTAACCAAATTGTTGAAAAGAACGCTGGTGAAAAGGTCCGGTGTGGATATATATCTTTCAAGCGCGTTGTTTAAATTATAGGCCAGTGTTTTTCCTAGCACATTTTGCAACTCATCAGGTTTGAATCCACCGTCAATAACACCGTTGAAGCCAGTGAAGAACATCTTAAGACCATTACCCAGTGATCCGCCAGTTATGGTGTCCAGCAAGGCCCACTTCCCGCCGCCCACAGGAGTATATGTATAATCAACGTGAAACAGTAACAGCGAAAACACAGCGTGTACCTTGGGGAGGCACTCGGAAAATGCTTTGACAATCTCATCAGGATTTGTGTCTTTATAATCCCCTGGATCTGCATTTTTGCTTATTTTACCATGAAGCTCTGACACGTTGCGGAGAAAATCATTTAGGGAACTTGGCAATAGTGCCCTAAACCCCGGATTATTATAATATGTATAAATACGCGCAAACAGAGCGTCAGTCACCTGGCCTTGCATACCCTCATCCGTTTTCAACCACTGAAGGAACATAAAACACTCCTTAAGGGTTCCAAGCGGAACTCCGTGCCCCTCCATCTTGCTTACAAAGGCACTAAGCACAGAGACACTAATAAATGGGCACTAAGCTACTCGTACAAGAATACATTTAATGGTGGATTAGGAGACACTAAAGCGATGAAACCTCTAAGGTGAAGTCACTACTTCCAGATAACCAAGACACTGCCAAGTTGCTTGCAACGGTAGTGATTGCGGCATTAACAGGTGACTCAGTGAAGGTGTTAGTAGCGATTAGTGAGGCATTTTAGAGGTGCAAGAGAACGTGGTGAGAGGCGTCCGCAGTTGCAATCCACCGACAAGGTGGGATGAAGGAGGCTTTTTGGGAGTGACGGCAAGGCCACAAAGGGAGAAGGGACATGACAAAGCAGCGAGTAGGTTACATCTTTGGTTAGGTGCTAGGTAAGCCGTTTGGTCAGCCGTTTGGTTAGGCAGTGAGTTAGGTGCTAGGCAAGGCACGAGATACAGTCACCATGAAAGACGTGAGATGACATGGTAACACAAAGAGAGGAATGTGAATGTAAATGTATTGTAGCTACGATAATTACTGTCATGAGTGAAAGTCGTCGTCGAAGTAATCGACGTCGTGGTAGAGTGAGAGCATCCTGCGGCTTCCGGCGAGCAGCGCCTTGACGTCGATGAGGTGTGAGGCCCTGGTGGTGAGGAGGTGGGAGCGGATGCGCAGAACGTCGATGCGGTAGAGAAGTGAGTGGAGAATGTAGAGCGCGGCGATGAGCCAGAGTGCGATGAGGCAGAAGAGGAAGGGGGCACGGATGCGATATAGGTACTCGGGAATGGTCTCGTGCGCCAGCCTGTGGAGAGGGTTCATGTGCTTGACGGCGACTTGGAGCACCTTGCAGAAATCCTCGCAGATCCGCTTGCCTTGGTGGCCGCTGGTGGAGCCGGCGAGGCTATGGGCGTCCCTGTGCACGAAGCCGTACCTGAAGAGCGTGGGCGTGGTGGAGTCGCAGTCCACGATGGAGGGGCATGATTCAAGGTGCTCGGAGTCCGGGGCCAGTGGCCGTCGCTTGGCTGGGCATTGTTTGTCGCAGCTCCTGGCGTGGCAGGTGGCTGAGGCGTCGGCGCAGGTGCGCTCGCAGTCCTGCAGCAGTGAACAGAGGAACTCGTAGAAAGCCTCCGTGAGGTATACCACCCAGGAGAGGTAGAGGCGGGCGTGCTCCTTGGCGAAGTAGGCACTCACGTCGTGGCCGAGGGGCTTGAGGTAGGGACCGCATGGGTGTGACGGAGCGGAGCCTGGAGTGCCGTTGCACTCGACGAGAGAGAAGAGGTCCCCGGTGAGGTGAGGGATGTCTGGCACTGAGCCGTGGTCACTGGAGCCAAAGATAGAACTGACGTCCAGCGTCACGCCCCGCTGCCGGAAGCACGCAGCGCCGACGGCGTCCTCGAAGGCCGCCTTACGGTGCTCGCCGTAATTATGCCAGTCACATATGAACTGGTAGTAAAAGGCGAACAGGTCGTCTGGCGTCCTTGGCGGGCGAGTTAGGAGGCAATTCAGGAAGCCACACAGCCTGGTGAGGGGGGAGGAAGCGCCGCCGCAGAAGGCGCCGAGGACGTCCATGATGGCTCTGCCTGTGGAGGCACGGGAGGCCAGCCTGGTGATGTTGGAGAGGCCCATCGGCGTCTTGCACGGCAGGCCGGGTGACTTAGTGTCGCAGCCGGAGCATGAGACACAGGTGCCATCTGCCGACACGTCATGCGGCAGGAAGCCCACAAGGCCGTCCTCGAGGAATGATTGAAGTGGCGATTTCACACCGCACTTGGGGTGCTGGTCACAGCTTTGGTTACATATTTGGTTACATATTTGGTTGCCTGTTTGGCTGGCCTCATGAGGGCACTGCTGGTTGGCACACTGCATGGTGTTGCACTTCCAACTGGAGCCGCCGACGTCTCTGCCGTACCAGCAGTCGAGCCATCCGCCGTGTCGGGCGTTGTAGAGGCAGCGGCGGTGGAGGAAATAGAGCTGGTGGTGGAGGCGTTTGAGCACATCGAACAGCAGGCAGAGCAATGTGTCCGTGTCATGGGGATAGAACAGGCCTTGCGGGTTGGTGTTGAAGTCGCAGGCGTAGATGCCACCTGCGTGGCCGAAGCCGAGTAACGTGGTGAGCACATTGTGCGACTGGTGGCAGACCTCCGTGAGTGCGTCGGTGAGGGACGGTGGTGTTATGTTCCGCGGGTGGGCCTTAAGCGCCAGGCTACTGAGGTTCATCAAGGGCACGTCGGAGTCAGTAGACTCCTGCTCATCCGGCGCATCGAACAGCGAGGGCAGCGCTTCGGAGTTGAGGCCCAGGTACACGCGATTGTACGTAAGCCCGCAGCACCATGTCAGCATCTCATAGACACTGCACGGCGGCCGGGGTGACATAATTAATTTAAGATGACAGACACGGTAAAAAGTATACAAATTGTCGCAGAGCCTTTTGAGGACACTGTGATTGTCGTTCCTTTTCTCAGTCTCATCTTCCCCCCTGACGAGGTAATAGACACCGTTGCTGAGATGGTTATAGACATACGTACCGTTGCACTCAGCGTCGTTCCGCAGCTCGCCGTCCTGCTCAGTGGGAGACCTTGCAACACTGTAGCCGCAGCGCTCGAAAAAGGTCCCAAGTCTGTTGCTTGAATTAATCTTGTAGTCTCTCCACTTGCCGTTACTATTACAACGCCGCCGCAGCTCACTGAGGGAGTCGAACATTGTCGGCACTATGGTGAGAAAGACCTTGGCGTACTTCTCACCGTAGTCGTCGATGAGCGTCTGCCCCGCGTAGCGGGAGACGTACGACTGCCCGAGCTCTGCGGCGAATTTCGTGAGCCCGTCCACCACGCAGTCCAGCGTGGCAGTTGAGGTTTTGGCAAAGCCTTCGGGAGTCATTGTGCCCAGCGCCGTGGTCAGCGTTTTGGTCAGCCCGCAGAGTCTGTGGTCGAACACACCGTTGTCGCTGAGGTAAGTGAGCAGGTTGGTGAGCGCTTCGTGTGTTCTGAAAAGCTTGCAGGAATATCTCTGTTCCTCCTTGCCTGGCGGATTCCTTTCCGCACTATTTTGCTTATGCACCCTTATAATCTCTTCGTTGACATAGTCACTCACCGGCCCGTAGAATTGCATGAAGGCGGAGGCCAAGTCAGAGACATTTTGGGGATCCTTGACTTCTTTGAGCTTTTTGATGTTCACGCCTTTTTCGCCCTGCAGCCTCGCCATCAGCCCCTTGAAGCCAATGTGCTTGTCGTTTTCGATTTCCTCCGGCAGTGTGTCCAGCTGTCCACTCACCCTGCTGGTGAAGCTCCGCAACGCCTCCTTGACGGTGGAGAAATAATGCTCACGCGCGTGCCTTGTGAGCTCGGCGATGCAGGGGTCAAGTTGCTCCTCGACGTACGCTGTGAGATTTTTAATCGTCTCCTCACGCCACCTGTCTGCTTCATCGAGGAGATTCGTGGCGTCATTTATTGCTTGATGCACCGGGCCGACGAGCAGCATGTCGAGATCATTATGGATGCTCTTCAAGTTTATGTTAATTTCATCGTTGCTGATTTTCTCTAGTTGTACTTTGAGATCTCCTGTCGCACGTTTAATGGCGTTGCACAGGTAATTCAGTTTGCTGCGGAGATCACGAACACTCTCATCCTTCAGCGCTTGGAGTTCATCCTTGATCTTGTCGAGGCCACTGATATTTTTGCTTTTATCCCACTCACCGCTGCCGAGGCCCTTGCCTTTGAGATCCTGTAACTTTTGGGTGACCTCATTGCTCAACTTGCTCTGAAGCCTTTGGAGCTCAGCGGTGATGCCGGATATGCCGAAGGTGATTATGGGAGTTTGAGTACTGAAGTCTACAGTATGCAAACCTTTAATCGCCTCCTTGATTGTCTCGAAACCCTTTACGGTTGTTCCTTTACCATCCCAGTTTACACCGCCATTTTTAAGCCCCTGCTCCCTCAGCTTCCCCAACTTTCCGGTGACATTGTTGTCCAAGTCACCTTGGAGGCCTGTAAGCGCCTGGGTAATTTGTGTAACAGCCTCTTGGATGCCTTTGGGATGCGTAGTGAAATCTGTGTTTTTCAGGTTTTCGATGTCCTTATGAATTTTCATCAGACCATTTTTTGGATCACCCTTGGAAATTTGCGCTTTCAGCGCCCTCAAGTAGTCCACGACGTCACCATCCACGACCACATTATGTAATCGGATTCCGACAAGCGCAAGTTGCCTCTTAAGTGAATTTAGGGCGGTTTTGATTTCAGTGGGTTGATCCTTCAACGTTTTCATTTGCGTTTTTAGGTCAGTGTGGATTTTATTCAGGCTGCCGTCGCCATTTTTTCCAGGTTGATCAATTGCAGTTTCTAGATGTAACAAATTGTTTACGACGCCTCTTTTTTGTGGCTCACTGTTCTCACCCAGCAACTCACTCCTCAGTTTGTCAAGCTCCCTGGTGATCAGGGTGACGCCATCGCCGATCTTTTCAGGTTGAGTGGACAACGTATTTTGTTGACCTTTAAGGTTATTTTTAATATGATCAAAGCCCTTAGCTTCGTGGCCTTTTGGTTTCCAAGTTTCATTTCCTGTTAGTCCAGTGTCCTTCAGATCTTTCAACTGGTCAATGACGCCGGCCTCACCGCCGTTATCTTTTTGCAATTCCTTTCGAAGGTTTTTGAGTTCTCCTACAATTGCATCTTTGGCTGAGTTTATTTTACTTGTTTGTCCGGTGAATGTACTTGGCAGCTTGTCAAGCTCACCGTGGATTTTCTCAAGGCGGTGGACATTGACACTTTGCAGACTTTTAAGTTGATACATTTCATCTCCATTTTTGCCATTCTTAATCATGCCCTCCAAATCCTCCAGGTGGGCATTTACACTGTCTTTATCTGTGTCCTTCGGCGGTTTTTGATTATCCTTTTTAACGAGCTCCCTGACGGCTGTTACGAAGCCAGTGAATTTCTGTTCATGGTCGGAGTGGAGGCCGGCGATTTCTTGTTGGACTGCTTCTTTGCCTTGTTCTCCTTTATCAGTCCTAAGATCTGGAACCGCAATTTTGCTCCACTGTTCCTTCACCGTCCCTGTCATATGCGAATTATAATTCTGCGCGACTTTTTGAAGATTGTAATTGTTTTGAGTTGAAGCGCCGCCACCACTCTTCGGAAACTTCTCCGCAACTTCCGCATCAATTGCATCATTCAGCTTGTTGTCTATGCTAGCCGCATCGCCAACTTTGTGATCGGTGCCCTGGCCGGCACCTATGCCAAGCGCCATGTCGAGATTATTGTGAAGGCCATTGGTCACTCTGTAAGCGCTGTCCAATTCCTTCGCAATGCTTTTCTTTGTCCCATCGGCGTCGCTTCCCATATTTGTCCCCTCGCCGAGAAATACAGATTGGAGCTCCTTGCCCACTTGCCTGCCCACCGATGACACGACGAGGAGTGTGGTGGCGATGGCCTGCGTGAGGATACATTTTGGGTCTTGGCAGTTTTGGCAGTCTTTCAACATGCAGTACGATCTGCAATTACATGCGCAGTTTGCGGTTTGTAAGACCCTTTGTAAGTTACTTTGTTTGCTTCTTTCGAAAACTTCCTCCACCATCGTCTTCTTGGCCTGCTTGGCCAACTCAAGGACACCGCCACTCTTCGGATCCTTCAACTCCTTATCAAGCCAGTGGGCAAACAGTTCGCAGGCCTGCTTGACCTTTTCAATTTTATCTTTCATGCCGGTGGCAGGTGGTGGTCCACTCTTAAAAACTTCAACCGCCAGGTCAATTTTGGAATTAATCGGAGACTTAATTAAGCCTCCGAGACCACTGTTCTCCAGGTCTTTCTTAAGCTCGTCTTCCCCCTTACTCTGCCAGCCAAATAACCTTTCTACCACGCCGTTGTGCTCCAGAATATCATCGATCCAACCGCCTACTGCATTGGTGAAACTGCCCTGGAAAAAGTTGAAATAATTCTGCACTCCCTTTTGGATCCCCTCCAGGCCTGTGCCATTATTTTCCTCCCCCTTAATCTTCTCCACTTGCGTTTGCACCGCCGTCACATACTGCGTGACATACGTTGTTACATTACTCTTAATCCCCTGTTCCAACTGCTGCAAATCCTCTCTAAGCTTTTTGTCCAAGTCGTCAACTTCCTTTCTAGCGGCATCAACCGCCGACTGAACTGCTGACTTAGCCTTATCATAATCATCCACAAGTTTATTCGCCTTATCCCTCAACTTATCGGCGGCGTCCTTAACACTCTGATTTTCATTCCCATTTTTACCTTCCAACTTATTAACAATTTCCGTGACTTTCTTTTTCGCGCTGTCCACAACTTCTGTAGCCTTACTCTTCCAAGTGGCCAGCTTGGTGACTTCCTCTCCCAGAGTTTTTTTTGCACTGTCAATCTGTACTTTAGCGGTGTCAATTTCCTTAATATTGTGGCCTATTTTATGCTTATCCTGTGGACCATTTTTATCAGGATCCAAGGCATCACGCACCTTCTCAGCCTTGCCAACCGCTGATTCAAGAACACTTTTAGCCGCGGCACTCCACTTACCTAAATCGCTGTCAACGCCTTTTAACGCATCATCAACTTTCAAAACCTGCGTTTCAGCATCCTTAATCTGCTTAATACCTTTACTAATCTCCTGACTGCCATCATCTTTATCCAACCTTTTATGCACTTCTTCCGCCTTCTCCTTAGCCGCCTTGACGGCGGTGTCCGCATCCTGCTTCCAAGTCTCCAAAATTTTATCAACCTTTTCCAGGCCTTCATTAACTTTTCCAATTTGTTCATTCGCTGCAACGATTTTATCGATATTCGCACCAAGCGTTGTTTTATTCCATCCACTGTTATGTCTACTCTTATACTCCTTCAATAAGTCAAAGGCCTCTTTTGCTCTTTGCTCAGCCTTGTCACGCGTTTTCTCGGCTTTGTTAATCCACTGCTCCAAACTGTCAATATGGCTTTCAAGCTTAATTTTAGCCTGGTCAAGTGCTTTTTTTGCTTCACTAATTCCATTAATATTATGGCCAATGGGATACTTGCTATCCTTATGCTGGGGAGCCAACTTATCTTTCACTTCATTTGAACTGTTGATCACATCTTGCAGCAATTTGTCCGCTGCGCCCTTCCAAGTGCCCAATTCACCAACACGATATCTAAGTTGTGTATTAGCTTCCGAGATTTTTTGATTAGCTCTAGTAATTGTAGTGATGTTTGCGCCCATGGATTTAGGCTTGTCACCTTTCGGATCTAAATCTGTACTAACTTGAGACGAATTATCAATGGCATGATGGAGAACACGCTCCGCCGCATCTCTCCAGGTGCTCAACTCCTCAACTTTATTCTTCAGGGCACTATCAAGTTCCCTAATCTCACCTTCAAGATCTTCTTTATTGGATCCGTCAGTAACTTCCTTTAATATCTTGTCCACATTCTTCTGCGCAACTGTGTCGATAAACTTTTTAACGTCCCTCATCCATTTGACCAGTTTGTCAACATAGCCCCTCAGCTTGCTCTTTATTTCCTCGAGCAATGACAATATATACTTAACTGCGTTTTTCAACTTTTCTACGAGTGCGGTAACTTGTGAATTGATCTGCTTAATAATATTCTCTTTCGCCTGTTTAAACTTGTTAACCAATTTCATAATTGCCTTGTAGTTCTCATACTCCCTCCGGGTAAGCGTCCGAAGTCTCTGAGTTTCATGGCTTACCGACTCACGTACATCTCTTATCCTCTCACGCAACTTGTGATTCAGATCCTTGATTTGTTTCTCTGTTTTCGCAATGTCAGTCTCAAATCTTGTGCCGTAAGTCACGTACCTGGAGACCAGTGATCCGACCTCTTTCACCTTTTTTGCAACTTCATTTCCGTCTTTCAACTTCTCGAGCGCTTCCCCCTCTGGAACATCGGCAATCCGTCTCTGAAACTCTTCCGTAACCTGCGATAATAATGTTTTTATAGGTGCTTTGACCTGATCATTGTAGGCGGCCACAGCGGTATTGTACGCCGAAACTCTGCCGGCAACATCGCCGACGACCCTCTTAAACCCCTTGTGGCCATCTCGTAAATTAGGCTTAAGATGCTTATCAACAGTTTCACGCAAGATATTTTTGCCAACCGCATACGGCTGGTTACAATGAACGTCATTTAACAGACCATGGAAAAATGACACTATGGCGTCGCACAGACGGGAGGCGGAGCCATACACAATCCCGGAACCATCGTAGGTTCCGGGAGGCTTATAACCTAAAAATGTCTCAAGGGCGGAACAGAGATTATGTAAAATGTTTTTATTAGTATTCTCAGAGTTTTTCTGAAGAGAGCTCCGAAACGCTCGAAGCTTGTCAATGACATCTCCGGCGGACGTGTGATATGATTCGGGTAGAGACGACAGGGATCTTTCAGCGTCCTGAGCGACATTGTCAACCAACTTACCGAGAGCCTCAGACAGCTGAGGAATCCCGTCACCACTATTCACCTGGAGTAGCCAGTCGATAGCCTCTCGAAGGTTCTCGGGACAATCCGTCAAAGCTTTACGTGCCATGCCATCGAGCTTCGAACAGTGGTACCGCCAAGCAACCACGAACTAATCCGCCGCCAGACAAGAAAACATGACGACACTAGTAATTGCACTGATCGACTGACACAAAGTACAACGTTGAGTGACAATGTTATTCATGGTTCTAAGATGCAACAATCCCACGTTGCCTCGCATAAGGCGTGAGAGAACACGAATATCATAAAACCATCCCACCTACCTGAGGAAGGAGGATGAAGACAAGCCCAGCAACGCAGGGATCCCGCTTGCGTGGATGCTAGAGCGAGGTATGAAGGCGGTAAACTTCATAGAGATATCTAGTGGAAGACAGAGTATGTATCCTGACAATGCCCTGTGACGACCCTGATAAGCCGTCTCCCCTCAGCGTTCCGTGACTACCCAGACAACTAACACCTAACTCTTCGCCAGTAACACTACAGCCGCGCGCCTTGCACCACAGTGATAACATATCCAAAACATCCCGCGTGAACATTACTGGAGAAGATCAGTGTATGAGTCATTCGTACCAGAGTTGTGCAGTCTGATCCCCACCCAGCTTGCCACGCCACCTTAAAAACTGCCTCCATGTGCCAAAACAAACTATGCACTACCATGTGCTTTGCTCATCTACGGTTTGGCATCATGTTAGTGATCACTAAAGTGTTACCTACGAACTCCCCGTAACTACGCTTTCTGCTGCCTATCACGTCGGAAGATATCATAGCGTCACGTAGCCACGCATCTACTATCCACCCTTATAAAAGCTAACCTGCGGCCTAACGATGACTCAGAGGCTCAGCTAGAATCAGGCATTAATGGGTCACTTGTATGACCAATCACGCAACTAATCAATCCACTCTCCCTTCAGATTATACCACGTATGCGATATACAACATCCATTACAATTATGCAGCTACCATATTCACTACATTACGCGGTGAGTTGTGGTTAGGTGGGTTATGTGGGCTGGGTGAGCGAGAAAGTTGTAGAGGAACATTATCACGGTGAGAAGTATCTCAACTTCCCAAGTGAGTTGATGCGCGCCGCTGCGAGGAGCGACTGCGCGGCGATGCGGTGGCTTGCGGGTGATCTCAGGTGGGAGCGTATCCTCAACACGTCGAGGCGGACGACGGTGATGTGCAGCAGGTACAGGAGCGACAGCGACCAGAGGGCTAACAAAGTGATGGAGAATTTCTGTCTTATCATCCAAATGAAATTGTCGATTTGTTTGATTAGTTTGACAAGGACGCAATCTCCTTCAATTACTCTTTTTAATGCTTTACATAAATCTCTACATGTTCGTTGTTTTTCAATTTTATATTCTCCGCTGAGTTTGTGTGGACTGCTAAAGGTGAACCCATACCTGTACAGTGTCGGATGCATATCCGGACATTTGACGATGGAGTTGCATTTTTCATTATGCTTGTCACCTGTAGATGGGATCTTTGAAGTTCCAGTTGCATCAGCATATTTAACTTTGCAATCTGTAGCACAGCTTCTATCGCAGCATCTGGTGCCTGGCGTTTCGCATTTTTTGCACGACTCATACAAGTTGTGGAGCAATGCAAGGAATGTCTCCGTACTGTATGTAACCCATGATAGATAACTGCTGGCATACTTTTCGGAATACATGGATCGGGTATGCAATGTAATGGGATGCAAGTATCGGCCGCAGGGTAGGCCGGATGTTATCGTGGGATCACAATCTGTAAGACTGAACAAGTCTCCATTTTCATGGTTTGATTTTCCATGCTTTTCATGTAAAACGGTATCGAACAAAATCGTTGGATTCAGGTCAGAATAATTCTGGCCGAAATTGGCTATTTTGACAGCTTTGTCAAATGCGACACTCTTATGCTGCATAATCTTTTTGTCGTTCCAGTGCTTAAGGAACTGATAGTAGAAAGCTAACATATCGCCCAGAGTTTGCGGTGGTTGACGCAGAATACACGATAGGTAAGAACACAACGTAGCGAGGTTTGAACCTGAATTACAGAATTCATTAAGAGCGTTTGTAAGATACTCCCCATTCTTACTATGCGACGCCATTGTGGAAATATCGGCAAAACCCATCGGCGTGATACATGGAATGCCGAAATGATTGTTAAGCGAACACGTTAGTCTGCAACCAGGTGACTTAAATTGGTGTGGCAAAAAGCCAGGGAGACCATCTTCGAGGAACGATTGAAGTGGTGATTTTATGCCACAGTTGACGTGTTGGTTGGCCACTTGGTCGGCCTTTTGGTTACATGTTTGGTTGTGCTTTTGGTCGCAGTCTTGCTTAGGACAGTACAGCTTGTTGCATTGCCATGAGGAGCCACCGATGTACCTGCCATAATGGCAGTCTCGCCACCCACCACGGCTACTACCATTTTTACACAGGCTATATACAAAGTATGTTTGTTGAAACACTCTACGTAAGATGTCTACAAGCATATCTAAGCAGGAAGAGACGTTACTGGGATACGATAATTTCTCTTGGTTTGTGCGGAAATCGCACGCATATATGCCACCTGCGTGGCCGTGACCAAGTATTGCGACTAGTGCAAGTTGCGAGCGTAAACAAACTTGCCCGAGTTGGACAACTAGGGTGTCAGCTGTGAAAGGTGTAGTGGCATCTAGTTTTAAATGCTTAGCTTCAATGTCCTTGTATTCTCTGTGGTCATTCTTCCCGTTGGGCTTATCGAACAATGTCTTAAAGAACGCCTCCAGTTTGCTACGCATCGGATTAAACCGAAGTCCAGACAGCCATTGCATCATCTGGTAGATATTACTCGGCGCCTTGGGAGAATCGATATGTATATGCTGACATACATTGTAGTACTTTCGGAACAGCCAGCGAAGGAATTCAACAAAGTCGATGAAAGAGATATTAGTGTTACTCTGTGCAACATTGAAAGCTACTTTGTTTTTCTCTTTCATCCAATCAGCAAGGCATTGAATGCTGGGAACGCTTCTTGTATGGTCAAGCAATTCTGTCTTAATTTGCTGACCTGTGAACTTCTCATTATACCTCAACTCCCCATTCTGCTTCTTGTCATCTTCTGGCGCCTTGAAACCACGCTTATCAAAAAATTCACCGAGCGGATTTTTAATTTTCTCCTTTTGCTGCCCCTTCGCTGGTGATTTTGCGTTAGGTTTATCAACCATTCCTAAATGAATTCTCATGCCATTCCATTCCCCTCCTCCGTTACACTTACTCTTCAACGTATTGAAGTCTGCAAACAATCCCTCCATTATGGTCAGACAGACCTTGGCGCAGTTGCGGCCCTCGGTGGTTAACTCCATCTCAGGTGGCGAAGCTGGAACTTTGCTGGGGTCCTGAATTTTTTGTCTCACCCACTCCTCTGTAGGCTTACACCCGGAGTATTTATTCACGTACGCGCAGGAGAGCTGATCGGTGAATTTTTCCATGCCGGCCTTGAGGGCGTCGAGGAGCAGCGGGTTGTGGAAGCCGTGGAAGTTGGGGGATGTTAAGTTGGTAACTGCGGCCGTGAGTAAATCTAATAGTGTCGAGAATTCATCATCAAAGTTGTGTTTTTTAGATCTTTTCTCATCTTCCAGGTGATGCAGCAACTTATGTAATTTCTTCTTGACATCATCCACTTTTTCATGCGGGCTATCATCCTTTCCAGTGCCCACCTGGTAGAAAAGGTATCCTAAAATATCGTCGAAATATTCTTTTAACGGTTTTGCTAATTCTTTTACTGAGCCCTTATCTTTCAAGTCATTTAACTTTTTACCGCTATTTTTCTTATCCATCACCTTCCTGAGCAGGCCCTTGACGCCGGAGTCTAAATCCGCATTGATTTTTGTATTGATTGCGTGGATTTCTTTATTGACTTCTTTTTTCATGGTGGTGAACATTACACTCATTTTTTTGTGATATTGTGTCTGCGCTTCGCGTTGGATTGCCTGAGTTGCTTCGGCTACTCTGCCGTTTACATACGCCTTGATCTCCTGTATGGCTTCAGTTGCCTCAGTGCCGATTAGAGTGTGGAATGATTTGGCTTCGGCAACGATTTTTGTTAGGTTATCTTTGTTCTTTTGCGTCGTGGTTCCCAGGATCGCCCAAATTTCATTTTTTATTCTGGTAAGGCCACTCCTTAAGCCATATTTACCCGCTAGGTAGTCCTTCGTGAGCATATCCTTTAACTCAGTCAAAAGCGTGTGAACACCTTTGTCGATGGCTTCACCGCCATTCGCATTAATCAAGTTGGCCAGTTGCTTGAGCTGTTGCTCAATTGCGGTGAAGGGGTTCTCGAAGATTGTATCTGCCTTCAGGATGTTTGGTAGGTCACCGGACGTAAGCTCTATTAAACCCGTCGTTTCAATGTTCTTGATCACCGGGGGAAAAGAGCCTTCGTCCGCCTCGCCGGTGAGTTGACCTTTTGTCTGCTTTATGCCAGATGTATTTAAGATGCCAAGGTAGGTGGTGAATTTCGGAACACCTTCAAGCTTGACTCCACCCTCATCATCCGCCCCGATCTCTGTAGTCAGTGTGTCACTCATCGTCTTTGCAATGTTGGCTTTAAGCTGTTCCTCCGGTTGAGACGCGGACTTAAAGGGCTTGGTAGAATTGTACTCGTCGCCGGGATCGCTCGATTTAAGAAGCGCCAGGCGAAGATTGTTGAATAGCTTTGTCGCCGTACTGGAAGCAGCGTCCACATTCATGCCCGCCTTAGGCTTTTCGGCTCCAGTAAAAGATCCGAGTTCGGCAGCAACCTGTCTGGCAGAGATGGAGAGGACAATTAGTATTCTCTTCATGGCTTCTTGGAGTATATATAACTTGGTAGTCCCGGAAGACGATCCTGGATTCAAAATAACACCTTCAATATCTCCGGCCATTTTTCCGGCAAGAGCACCAATTTCCTTTGAGGCAAATTTCTCATCAATACCGCTGGAGAATTCCCCCAAACCGAACACAACAGCTTCAATATTGTTTTGCACGGTGTTAGAATCGATCATCCCTTTAACCGCTTGACTCGCATGATCGATAACACCAACCTTAATCTTCGCAACAATCTGTTTGGCGATTACCTTAGTAAGATCTTCATCAATAGCATTTTTCCCGGCCTCGTTATACAGCGATGCCAATGCAGTATTACCCGTAACGTACGCCTTCAACCTATCTATCACGTATTCATTCTCCTCCTTGATAATATTTTCAATCCATCCCTCCACTTTAGTCCCAAACGTCTCCAGATCTTTGAAATCCCTAGCCCACTTATCCACGATCCTTATTCTAACACCCTCCAAACCATCTTGATTCGTAATCTTATTAACCTCATCCTTCACTGCTTTAACATACTTTTCAACGTATCCCCCAATCTCACTCTGAACCCGAATTTTCACCTGTCCCAAACTATCTTTCACCGCCCTGTCCAAAACTAGAACCTGCGAAAGCGCTTGTTTAACTTTTTCCATAACAGCATCTCTGGCCGCAGACGCCGCCTTACGCAGTTTAATGGCTTCATCTTTTAAGGTTAAGGCGCTATTGTAAATCGCTGGCCTTTTGTTTTTATCAACTCTCAACAATATGGCATCACACTTCTTTATAGCCGTCTGAATCATTCCCTCGGCCACAGCTATCCACTTGTCCAAGTCACCATTGACACTTCGCAGCCTCTCATTCACGTTGGTGATCGGCGTCTGAATATCAACTCTAAATTTACTCTCTAGCTGCTTTTTCATATGTTCTATGCGCTGCTCAACTTTATCATCAACTTTACTTTGAAGGTCTCGAAGTTGGTGGTGAGTCACCTCCACAACTTCGCGTAAGTCCTCGCTCATCGCAGCTCCATAGAACTTCTCTACCTGAACATGTATTTTAGATATTTCATCCTTCAGCTTATGTTTTAGCGTAGGATCTAACTCGCCATAATATGCTTCGGCTATCTTATAGTCGTTAAGAAGTGCCCCGGCCTTGGTGAAACATTCACCCAGCATAGTGGCGACATCCGCCGGGCTACAACTGGTAAGTGCGCTAAATGATTTATTAAGTCCCACAAAACTATCAGTTTCAAGTCTTTTAAATAACATTTTTACGTCCTCTGTTTTCTCATCGAGATCTCTATCCCACCTCCCAAGCGCATCTGCAACAGCAGAAATCGCTTCATTGAACTTACTTGGTGATTGATGCATAAAACCTTTAATTTTATTAGTTACGCTATTAATATAATTATGGACATCATATTTTGTCACACTCTCATCCCCCTTAACAGTCTCTAGCACCCCGTGCAAGAACGCCATCACCCCGTCGCACAGCCTGTCGAGGTCCGAGTACACGATGCCGGAGCCGGTGTAGCCTTTGGAATTCTCATCGTACCCCAAGAATGTTTGGAGACCATCGCAGAGATTTGTTAAAAGATTTTTGCATTCCTCACCTGCCTCAGTAAATATTGTAAGAGATTTTTTAAGATTGTTAAGAGACTCCTGCCGCTCCTTTAAATCCTTCTTGGCTGTATCCCTTTTAGAGTCAGAGCCATGTACTTCGGAGTAATGGCCATTGTAGTTGGATTGAGCCTTTGAAATTTCTTTTTCATCTCCAGATTTTTTGGCTTTATCAATATCATTAAGAAGCGTTTGACAATGGGAGCCAGCAAAATTAGAGTAGTATTCTTCAGCGCAATCAAGCTCTTTTTGCCTTTTTTCAAGACTCTCAGTTGCATTTTTAATGGCATCACCAATCAACTTTTTCAAAGCTTCAGCTAACTTATCAAGGCCACCACCATTCCCATGCTTAACCTGGATCAACCAGTCGATGGACTCCCGGAGATTTTCCGGACAGTCCGTCAGCTTCTTCGGCGCCATCGTTCATAACCAGGAGACAACCGTATACCTAACTCCTAATAACCCACCAGCAAATCGAAGTTGCAGATCTCCCAGTCAACTGCAAAAATGCGATAAGCGCTGGACGTCACATGCACTTTTCTTGTGGCTCAGAACTACATTACCTAGACTTGTACCTTCTGGCGGACTTATTTCATATGCGTGGCAAAACTAACATCCGCCTCGCTCACCGCTTCCCAACCTCCAGTATCCAGTTAGCTCAAAATTCTAATCCACGTCGGAGGTCGCCTGAAACCTCCTAACTACACTAAGGTGTCCAACGACACAAAGAACCGGTCTAATCTTGTGCAAACTGGGCGTTAATGTTCGTCGCAAATCCTCTCACGCTCCTCAGCAATTCCACGTTACCCCCATTACCACTACATGGCTTCCATATTAAGAAGCGCATCTTCTTGAAACGTGAATGGTATCACTATTGTGCAATGTCGTGAAATACGGCATGCTATGGATGTGCAGTGCAAACGGTAGTGGGAATATCGTTCCCTCTGCAGCCTCCACAAACCATGGAATCATAGATGCGTGATGTATGGGACTGCAACCATACTTGGAGGATTACAAGTGTGACCGTGAAGAGCAGCGATGATTGACCGAAATGAAAAGCAGCTGTTCGAGTGAAGACTGGTAAGAGGCAGATGGACGATGTTGACGATAGGCAGCTTACGACTAGATAAAGACGGAGACTACCAAGGAGGAGAATTGACTAGGAGTCATCGTCTATAATCAACTGAATAATACTATCACCATCGTGGAAATAGGAATGAGCAGCCAAGACAACCTGGTGGCGACGGAGACAATCACGACTCTGTGAATGACCCTCTCGCCCAAACAGGATGGATGCCCACATGGGTGACGTCTAATGAGACCGGTAACTCGACACGGATCCCGCAACCGACACCAGCAGCCTAAGGCGCTTGCCTGGTAAACACGAAAATCGGCCCTAAGCCACGTAGCCACATAGCGCACTAAATAAAACCAAAACAAAGATAAGTACCAAGCATCAGTCTCAGCAGTTGCGACATGTTGCGTTAAATTTAACGTTGTAATTGGCCTTAATGGTGTATCGCTAAGATGAGAATATTGATTCACCCCAAACTTTTGAAGGTTGGTCGTGGTTTTACAGTCCACACCGATGATGAACAGTGTGACAGGTGAACTAAGTTACGATAGGGTGAGACCTAAGGGCCCTCTCAACGCTGAGGTATGTACATTTGTGCAAATACGGCATCTCATCGCATCAGTGGAGAGTAAATCTCGGTGGTCGACCATCAACATCGCAGCTGACGAGTGCTGTGCTAGGTGATTTTTTTGGCCGTCTGCTAGATGCGTGTTTGACACGTTAGTTGTCATCGGCGTTGCTTGGCAATGGATGTCACCGGAACTTTCCGACGTGATGGCCGGTGTATGGCCTAGTTAATTGGCATCCATGGTCAACATTGTGGCGATCACTAATATGGTGAACACACACCGTAGCTCATTTAGGCAGTAGTTAGAAGACCTGAAGCGTGGCAAGTATACAATGCGTAAGATGCCCGTAATTTAAAGTGAAGAGCATCCGTCGTGCCTGCATGTGCGTCATGGTATCCCTTGCGGTGGGTATCGTGGCGTTTGTCTAAGACGGCTTGAGGCTAAAGGTACGTGTTTCATGCTTGTACAGGTTGATGATAGGGGAGGGAGGGGAAGATGGCAGAGTCAGCTAAGTGTGATTGTGATTTTACAGACAGATCCTGTAGCATGGAAGCTTGTAAGTGTTGTTTCTGGTGCTGTCAGAAGTGTAACAATAGAAGCAAGTGCACCGAATGTATGCAGACATACATGAGGCAAATACGTGGCCCCAAACTGTACAATTGCGACGATGGAGAATGTGAGAAGAGATGTAAAAAGTCGCAGGCATGTGAATGTCCGTGTTGTAAAGGTAGACCTAAACCCCCTGCCACCGGTTCAGTTTATTCCCCCAGCACCAATGGTTCCACCGGTGACAACAATTCCACAGCCAGTATCACCGCATCCATCATTTTCATCATCGCAATCATCCTCGTAGTCGTATGCGTTCTGAGTTTCTATCACATTTGGCCGTTCCACAAGGTCCGCGATTGTTTCGTCCGCAAGTGAACGCTTTTTATCGCATTCTTTAATCGCTTTCGGCATTTTTATAATCGCACTTATCGCACCGTTTTAGACATTATCGCATGATGCTAATATGATAACGTCTTTTTTAATGTCTCAAAATCGTGCATCGGAAGTTGGCCGGTGTATGCGTTCGTGAGATAGACCGTAACAGCGGATTAGTTAGAAAGCGCGGGTAACACTGCTCAACGTAGTATCCACATCCGCTCGCACCTACTCACCAGCAAGGCCTCCCACAACATAGACGTCAAGGCGTTACTCACTCAAGGCCGGAAGGTGCTCTCACTCTACCACGGCACCGAGCACTTTGCCTACGATATTGTCGGCCAACTTGTCGTCCAAAGGTAATTGTCAGATTCATGCCGTCATATGCTACCTTATGATGGGCTGTGGTGCAAATAAGGAGTAATGAGGTATGAGGACTACACATAGTACCGTGACGTAACAGAAACTTACAATGCTGGCGTAATTCTACGTTGGGTGCAATCTACTACCCACGGCTAAGCGATCATTTATACGACTTAACCAGCAGCCAAATTGCCAATGCGATATGCTCGACGTCGACCCAATACCGTCCATATAACTCCGTTACAGGGACAGATGACGCTTATTAAATTATGTAAGACAACGGAAATGACATAAATTATTTGTTAGTGTTTGTGTGCGTAGTTTTATAATTCAAATGGCTGCGTACACCTCCCAATAAATTGGAGACTTATGACCTATCATATGGTGCGTAAGGGTTGAAGGTATGGAAGACTGAAAGCAGCCCACCTGTGTTCCCACCAATACCAACCATAGTTGCACCGTACAGAATCCAGATGATGAGACGGAGACCCCAAGGCTCATTGTAAAACCCCATGCCTGCGATCGACGAGAAAAAGATGCTACAGCGACAGACGAATCAATTAAAATAATACGACTATTTAAATGACGCCGGTTCGATCGTGATGGCAACCGCAGCCAGTTTACGCAAGGCTGCTGTCAGTAGCAAAAAAAGATTTGAAGAGTTGCGCCGTTGGCGGCATTTGCCGCTGACCAGCGAAATTTGTGCGCAGGCGCTAAACGAAGACGCACCTCATATCCGGCATATTCAACGATTGCGGCGTGTATTGGCAACAAAATTTCGGGTTGTATTTTGGAAAAAAGCCTTTGGGCCAAAAATTGTACAAGTTAAACGGGGTCATGATCTTACATGACCGACATGATGAGAGAAACAACAGCCACAGTCTCCTCGAAGGTACCACTGAGGCTGAAGACGAGCGTGTTAGGGTCGTCTGCGGGTGTAGTCGTGACGTAGCACTTGGAGGCACTCGTGATAGACATTGCGTCTGCCGCCTTCGCCGCGGGAACGAGGATGTTGAGGTTGATTGGGTAGCTGTTGATTGTAGGATTGCTCTCTGCGACAACAGCTGCAGTAGCCATGTTGAACTTAATCTCGGTGTCGCGCGGGGCTTCGTAGCCCGCTTCCGCCATCGTGTGCACCGTCTCGCTGAGGTCTACGGGACATGTTTCCGTCTGAGTCTCCGAGTCGGTGCCCTGGTGCAGCTGGTTAGACGGCTCGGGCATTTCCAAGGAAGTCTCGGAATTCTCCTCGGGTTTCTTGGGAGCAGTGTCAACAACATCAACAGGCGGTCCGTTTCCACGCATAGCGTTTCGTTGTGCCGCCCTGTTTTTAGGCAGCATCTTGGGGTTGAACCCGTCAGGACCGGGGTATGACACGTGACAGTAGTCCTGAAGGTCGATCGTCTCCGCAATGGAGTTCGCGATGGCGCCGATCAAAGCCTTGACCTTGGACTTTACACCTTTAACAACGGCGACAACCTCATCGTGTTCGTCGGTGCTTTGGAAGAGTGTAATTGAAATGATATCAGCATCGGAGGTATCGCGTATGCGCTCCATGGCTGCTTTCGCAAAAAGTGGGAGCACAACAAGAACCAACATCCTGTCAGATTGAGTAACGGTCGCCGAGTGTTGGGCAGCATACTTCGAAAGCATGAGGTCGGCAATAATGCAAGTGGCCTTAACAACCGCCGACGTTGATCCTTCTAAAAACATGGTACGCAAATCCGTCTTGGGGTAAAGCTCCCAGGGCATGGACAACAATATATCGTCGATTTTGCTTTTGCGCCTGAACCAGTTGAACCCTTTGCCACCTCGACCGATGATGGTACCAGATACCAGTTGGGTCGCAAGGATCTTAAGAAACACGTTCTTGTTTTTGCTCTGGAAGACAGGAGCCGCCTCACGCTTTGGTGCGGCTGACTTCCATGCTGACTCTACCATTTGTATAAGCTCCTTCTCTAACGAGGCAGAAGGGCTGCGCAGATTCGCTGAATCGCCCATCACGTCGCGGTAACGCCCAAAACCCAGAGATTCCGTCCTATTGGAGTTCCACGAAGATAAGCCAGAGCACCCGTCAGCGCCGGCTTTGGCAAAATAGTTGTACAAAGCGCAGCTCGACTTCTCGGAGTCGATACTAAGAGATCGCAAGGAGGACTCAACCAGCGGTGTCACATCTACTAACGATTCGGTGACGCGCTTGCCCTCAGCGGCGAGGGTCAGATCAGACGAACTATTACGCCATGATGTTTGCTCTGAGAATCCTACGACTGTGGCGCCGTCGCTCGAGGCATTGCGACGACGAAGCCGAACGTCATCCTCAGCATGCGAGAACTTCAGGTCCACCGCGTTGAGAAACCTGTAGTCTTGCGACATGTCGGAACCGACTTTCACATTATCCGCCATCGTGTTATCGGCAGAGTTCGTGTCAACGAGAGGGATCATGTCCGCTGTAAAAGCGTATTGCTCCGAATGAGAATCTTCGCTCATTTGACTTCACCCGGCAAATCGTATCCAGAAAATAATGCAACAATCCCCTTAGCTCGATATTTGAAATTAAACAACGTCCCCGGTGAATGTAATAATAGGCCTCGCGTGATAATGGTATTTATACGGGCCACAATACAGCGGACGTCAAAAATTTCGGGCAACGCTTGCGTGATGTGTAACCACAATATCCCAATTATCCGATAGTTCCTTCAACCTCGAACTTCGTGATTGGGATAAGAAGCCATAGATTCGTTTCCTGTTCTCCACCCGTTAGTTCCGCGGAGAATGTGCCTCTTGCTTAAGGGCCGACACCGCTCATAAAAACAATGTTACACCTTTCAAGCACGAAATATGCCCGCATGCGTAGAGCGGCAATCCTAAATCCAACGCCCTTTTCGGCAGCCGATGTAGGATCTCTTGTGGTAGCTTGGCGCGTAGTGTGACTTACACGGCCAACTCCTGCACAGGAACGCCCTAATACACACCCACGAGACAACCGAAATAACAACAGTATAATCCAGCTCGCGAACGCGGGTACTCGCGCAAGCTGAATGGCGGTAACAACTACGGTGTAGTGTAGTAACGCGAATGCAATCGTAGTTCCTACGCAGAATACCGCATTAACGACACTCCTACGCACCTGTTGTTATTTCGTCAACGAAGGTGACAATTCAGCGTTAAAGCTGACTATGTATGCCGCTGCTATGCTTGTGGGAACAGCGTTGAACTGCACCAGGTTGCGCCCGAAAGATCCACGCGTCGCGCGCGGGGTGAGAAAGAGTGCGGCGAAAATCCACCTATGGTGCGGTTTTACGACATTTATTTAACGCGAAGCTCATACATTATCATGGGAATAACGACACACTTGGTATATCCCTGCCATCTCATGTGCGTCTCCTGATGTTGTCGTCGCGCGTTAATGTCAATCACGTAGTGTTTATAGACTTTGTTTTAATATACAAGGAGCTATAATACGCATTCACGCTCCTTGAATTCCACATACACACCGTTAACTCATGCTCACTTATAGCACTTTTTTAGCTATCTTTTAGCAAAACGCAGCTTCCATTTTTTTGCTTGCCATAACCTTTGATATGAAGAATGTAAAGGCAACTTTGAGACTTTAGATTAAGCACCAGTGGCGCAATGGATAGCGCATCGCTCTCCTAAAGCGGAGGTTGCGGGTTCGAGTCCCGTCTGGTGTACGTACTCCTTTTTTCAGTCACGTGAATACTGTTATACTATATGAATTAGAGCTCGCGTTTATAACTTCATTTGAGTTAGAAAAGATGACGATCCATGATAACCGTCGCAAGATTGCCCTCTGCCATGGGGAACGTGTCGGGGAACTCGAATGCTATGCCGTGCTTGCGCATTGCAACCAGCGCTCCCCCTAAGTCAACGTTGCGATGGTAGTCGTGCACGTCGTTGTAGTGGCTGAAAACATCTTGCGATAGCACTCTTGCAATCACGCTAATGTCGAATTGCTTGCCCAGAGCGCGGATGGAGAGCAGCAGCGCTTTGTCGTCATACGCCAAGTCATTAACGCCTGTGACTATGTGTCGTTGCGATTATCAGACTCACCAGACTCTTCTATTCCCTTGACAATGAGACGCCACAGATGAGCGCTGTCCCGCTGCGATATTCCGATGTGGTTGCGGTTGGCGCGGCCCAGTACGTTGTCGGTGACGTGACGCAGCACTCGCGTCAAGGCGATCTGCCGACTCCTACGCACTATGACGCTAAAATCAAAACTCGCATTACCTAGGCATGGATGGAAGCTCCATTGCGATTGTGTTTGCGATGATTGCATCGGAGCTTCCCTCGTACATCATGGTGCCGCACTGCATGAGTGTATGCAGGCGACCGTAGATACCAGATGCAGTGCCATTTTGCAAAAAGAATTGCAAATCTCGGTCGAATTTCTCGCGGCAACCCTCAGCTTGCAACTTCAGCACGGTTAGGTCGATCACAATGAGCACCAGGTGACGAATTATCTGCGCAAGCCGGCCGTCGTCGGATGGTGCGAGGCTGTAGCACGTGATGATGTCGTAGAGGTCGATGTCGGATAATTTCATCTGGCACGTAATCCATCCTGCCATGCGTCAAGATAGTGATCAGCTTCTGCACTTACCGAAGATAAGAAAGAAGGCTGCGGAGCCGAGATGGGAAGGGAGATTCAGTCCTTGAGCTACATGTACCATAGCATCGTCGATCAAATCTCGCTCCTGGAGCATCTCTAGCAACCTTGCGTCATCGATACCGAACTGTTGGAAGTATCCGGCTTCAAAGAGTCTGCCCAGAAGTTTGCCATAAGCGTCGCGGCCCGTTTGGATGGTCTTCGACTTCCGGGACCGCCTCTGCAGCCGCTCCTCAGTCAGATTTGCCACTAGCCGCCGTGTATGCGACTCACGCAGCAACCGCAGCACCTCTGCGGAAGCGTGCGACATTTCGGCCATTAATGCGAATTTTACAGTAAATGTGTAGCGTAGCCGCGCACCACAGCGGCGCAAAGAATACTGCTAAACGCGCAGAGGTACACTAACACATAAGCGTCATTACACTGTCTATACAATTTTTGATAGAATCAGTTTGTATATAATCAAAAACAGGCAGAAGCCCATCACAAGCGACGTGACTGTACGATTGCGCAGCAGGACGTAGTTGATGTTCCTCTGCAACTTGTGGATGTCGAACAGGTGTTCGTGCACCATGGTATTGACCCGCGCGTAGATGCGAGCCATCCGATCGTTGCCGCTGCGCAGAACTCCCAGGTTCAGGCTAGCTTGCTCCGTCAACGACTCCACGTCCATTATAGCCTCGACGACAACCTGGCCGGAGTTTACCGCCATGTCTAGCGGCTGCGATGGGTGCCGGTTGTCTCCAAACAACGCGAAGCTTTGGTACCGCTGGTCAACCTGCTTGCCCAGCAGACGGAATTCGTCAGTCAGCTGGTCGAAAATTCGGCGGTAGCGCTGAACTTGGCAGGCGAGCACGCGATCGGTCGAAGACGCAGACATCTTGATAAGATCGTCGATTCGCGCATTTGCAGAGTCGAGCTTGAGACGCGCTCCCTGGCGCAAGTCGATGACCTTCTGCCAGTCTCCCTGCGTGAGAGACTTGTTTTGGAGGCTCTGTTGTATGCGCGAGAACGCGACATCGATGTCACCCTTTAGCTTCGCCAGGTGGGAAAGCTCCGACGACTCATCTGGAGAAGTAGGTCCCCGGCGCGACGCAGCCTCGTGCCGCTGGAACGTCTTCAGGTACTGGTCACTCGTAGACTGCACATCGAACCCCGCCATTTTGCACCGCAGCCGGTAGTGTAAAAATCCCCGGCTGCGCCCGGGGTGTAAATTAATTACACTGGTCTCGTATGTTCCCCATGAGCCGGGTGAGAGCGCGCCTCGGACGCCGCCCCGTTACGCCACTTTTCGTCCGAAGATCTATCCGTACTCGTGGCGCCGTAAAAGCGCACTAACTCAACGCCGGAGACCCTCTGCCGGCAGGATGGCGGAGTCCTGGTCCGAGGTGTTCTCGCGAATCCCTCCGCACTTTTGGGGTCACATGGGCATATTCTTGTCGCTCGGTCTCTCAGTGTTAGGCGCAGCATGGTAGGTTGTCTGCATATTGCGGGCTGTGTGTTTTTTATGGATTCGTGGATTGCACATCGGCTATTGTCTCGCGATCTGCCTCGGACGCTGTATTGGTTGAACCGAACGCTCATCAAGCGGCTTAGTACGCGTTAAAAGTGCGGTTTAACTGTGCCTTTCGGTAGCGAGTGGCGTTTTCACAGTGGAAGTGACGTATCCATATAACTCCCGTTTCCTGACTTTGACAACATCGAAAATGAGCAATTCTAACTTATGTGCAGGGGAATTCTACTTTGTGGACCTTCTATCATGGGCGGGTCGATTAAGGAGCCCCGCATCACTGTCAAGAACCTTGTATCAGTAATTTTCTGCGAGGCGGTAGGCATCTACGGTCTCATCGTCGCCGTGCTGCTTGTGAACGCATCACTGCATTTTACCGCCATCGAGTGCCCGAAGAACATGAAGGCTGATCTAGCTATTACGGCGAAGTATTTCGTCGAGGTGTACCGCGGCTACTCCATGTTTGCCACCGGACTCATCGTTGGACTGTCGAACCTCGCTTGCGGGTAAGTGGTTCGTGCAACGAAAGTCACACTTAAATAGGGTGGCTGTTGGTTCAATCGGAAGCTCTTGCGCGCTCGCAGATGCCCAGAAGCCACAGCTGTTTGTGAAAATCCTCATGGTGGAAATCTTTGCCGGCGTGCTAGGTGGGTTTAGGTGACGAAATATTAACTCGCCTTAGGCCTCTTTGGAGTCATCACTGGAGTCGTTCTCATCAGCACAGCGCCTTAGGGCTGAGTCTTGTAACAAAACATCGCGAATAATTCTAATAACAGTTCACTATTGACATACGTACTAGTAGGGTGTGCCGGGTTGCCCCCGCCTGGGCCGGCAGTACAGCTGTCACATTCCGTTATTCCACTCACCAAAATGAGTACCAGGGCGAAGCACGGCAAAGAGCGCCAGGATAAGTACTATTACCTGGCCAAGGAGCAGGGGTACCGCGCGAGGTCCGCGTTCAAGATTCTGCAGCTCGCGAAAAAGTTCAACATCTTCGAGAACTGCAAGTACGTTGTCTTCCACACCGCAAGCGTGGATTCCTAATTATTTGACAATTATGCAGTGTACTGGTTGACCTCTGTGCCGCTCCCGGAGGTTGGCTCCAGGTCGCGTCCAAGCACCTTCCGGTGTCCAGTATCATCATCGGCGTCGACCTCGTGCCAATCCGGCCCATAAAGGGCGTTATCACGATACAATCGGATATACGCACGACGAGGTGTCGAAACTTAATATCGCAACATCTCAAGGTAAGGTTGACGGACCGACAGCACATCTCCTTCAGGGAGCCGAGGTGGATGTCGTCCTACACGACGGCGCGCCCAACGTCGGTGCCAACTGGAACCTGGACGCATTCAACCAAAATGTGCTAGTGCTAGAGGCAGCCAAATTGGCTGCGCACGTCCTGAAGAAGGGCGGCATATTCGTGACCAAGATATTCAGGTTCGTTGCCTAGTCGCCAATTTTTTGACATTGCGCAGGTCGGCTGATTACAACTCGCTCATATGGATGCTTGGAAAGTGTTTCGAACGCGTAAAGGTCACGAAACCATCCAGTAGTCGTAACGTTTCCGCGGAAATTTTCGCCGTATGCATCGGATTCCGTACCCTCAAGGCGTTCGACCCCAAACTTTTCAACTGCGAACATGTCTTCATATCTCAGGGCCAAGCGGTGCAAGAGCAGGAGGAAAAGGAAACCTCGAAAGTGACATCTTTGAGCCAGCTGCTGCGGCAGAAGAAGAAGGTGAACAGGGAGGGGTATGAGGAGGGCGACGATTTCAGGGAGTACAGCGTGCTCGACTTCCTGACTTCGGATAACGCGCCACAGATGCTGATTTCAACAAACCGCTTCAATTTCAAGCCGAGGAATGGGTTAGATGAGGAGGCGGCCAAGAAGGATGCCTCCCTGCTCAAGGCAGTAATGGCCAGCGCTCTGACCACCGAAGAGGTTAAGCTTCTCTGCTCTGACCTCAAAGTTGCCGGAAGGGCGGACCTGCAGCACATGCTCAAATGGAGGCAGAAGATATGCAAGGAGATATTCCCTAGCGACAAGGAGGCCAAGAAATCGAAAGACAAGGCCGAGAAGCAGGATGGTGGAGACGATGCTGTCGTCGAGGACGCCGGTAAAGAAGGGGCGGAGGAACCAGAGGCTGAAGAAGATGCCCTGAGAAGGCAACAGCTTGAACTTGCTGACCGCCTGCGAAGAGACCAACGCCGCTCTGAACGTAAGAAGCGCAGGGCACTTATGAAGCATAAGAAGGCAATGGCAGGCAACTCAGTTATGCTCAGTAATGACCCCGATCTGTTCTCGCTAAGTGTGCTTAAGGGGCACGATATTGAGGAGCTTGACAAGTCGAGCGATGCCTCGGGAGATGATTCGGACAAGGAAGGCGATGGCAAGGAGTCGACCCACTCCAGCGTCACAGCCGCTAAGCGCTACAACATCCCATTAGACGATAGCGACTCGGATTCCGATTTTTCAGATGCCGATTCTATGGACTTGCAATTTGAAACTGACTCGGAGGTCGAGGACCTTGAAGCGGACAAGGTCCACAGCATGGAAGTAGACCTGGAAGTGCAACACGAAATGGCAAAGCTTGCTGAAGCTGAACGCGCGAAGCCCACCAAAAAGCTCACCCGTAGGCAGCGTGTTAATCAGGAACGCGGAGCTGAAATGGCATCGCTGATTGAGAGCATACAAAGCGAGGCACGTTTGAAGGCGCAGCAGGAAATGCAGGAATCAGACTCCGAGGACGAGAGCGAAGCATCGGCGGATGATGGTAACAAATCACACGATGAGGGTTCGGAGGGCAGTAATACGGATGATGAAGACGATGCTTCAGATGATGAAGGCGAGGACGATGAACCCGTATCTGACGCCGACTCCGACGTTGCGGATGGCAAGCATTCTGATGCTGTGACTCCCGCGTCCAAAGCCACTTCCAATAAGACAAATGCGAAGATATCTGAACGTAAGGCCAAGGAAGCCATGGAGGATGCGATGGTCGACCGTTGGTTCGACCAGGACATCTTTGAAGAGAAGCCCCGAGAGACCGCCAGGAAGCAAAAGAAGAAGGAGCCTAAGAAAGAAAAGGCCTCGAAGAAGCAGGCCAGCTTTGCAGTTGTACCGGCAGTGTCGGATGCTGACGCCATCGCTCGTGTGCGTGATGCGGTTGAGGAAGAGCTGACTCGTGATAAGGCGACCATAGCGGAAGTTCAGGCCATGGGATCCCTCTTGGTGGATAAGGGCACAAGAATGGCGCTGATAGACGGCGCGTACAACCGCCGTACGTTCGACGATGGCGATTTGCCGTCGTGGTTTGCGGAAGACGAGAAGAAGCACAGCAACTACGAGATGCCCGTCACGAAGGAGCTGATGAAGCGATACAAGGCCAAGCTATACGAGTTGAAGAATCGCCCGATACGCAAGGTACTAGAGGCTCGCGGACGTCGCAAGTTGCGCATGGAGCGCAAACTCAAGAGTGTCCTGCCTCGTGTGGAGGCGATGCAGAACAGTGACACAGGCAAGTCGGACGCTGCGAAGAAGCTGCTCCGCAAGGTGAAGCGTGCCGCTTCTGACAAGCGCGAGAAGGTATATGTGGTATCCAGACGGGGAGGCACGGCTACCAAGGCGCCGAAGGGCGGTAAGGGATCGCGCAAGGTTGTCAAGGCGGTGGACAAGAGGATGAGGAAGGACAATGTGCGGCAGAAGCAGAAGCCTCGTTCACGCTCCCGCAAAGCACGCATACACTGATAACTTTCGATGGTAGATCAACTTAATGATGAAATAGAGTTGGTGCGTTCGCTTTCATTGTGCGAGTCAATCGACCTCCTCAGCCGAGCCCGGGTGACCCGTGGCTGCGGTAAACGCCCTGTCTACACGGCCGAAGGGAACTCAGGAAATTCGAGGGGTCCACAGGTGACTGCGAAAGACATCGGGGACAACTTTTTTGGCGACACCGCGCCGCTACCCATAGCGGTTGACTCTCCAGTACCTCCGAAGTCAGACAAGTCTACAACGCCTTCTGTTGCAGATCAAGATGCGCGTATCTCGGCCCTGGAAGCAGAGGTGCGCTTGCTAAAGGCGCAGAACGCTCAGTTAACGGTCAATGCGTGTGCCCTCTACAATACACTGATGCAGCATCTGGAGAAGCTACGTGCTACCTTGCGCGTGCGGGAGGCGGAAATCGCCGAGTATAAGGCCGCCTCGCAGCATCATTCGTCTTCGTAAGGGGTGAAAAGGCATGCTACACCACAAGCTATGAGCCAAAGGCACAACACCTGCATGAAGGCAGCGCCGGTAAATTGTGTGAATTCCACGTTACCGGCGGCTGATTACGCTAACAAATCGGTCTCTGTAGAATGTGCATGTTGAGGTATAGCAGTTGAACCTCCTTCTAGTGTCTAATGCCAAGATGTTGATCAGACTCGTTGATAAACGGGATGGTTGGGATTTGTCAATGTGACATTGTTGAAGATCTCTGCACTCAGCGAGTTGGCGTCTGATGCGTTTTAACAAATGCCAATATAGTCACCGATTAACATGAGTAATATATCGCAACCTTCATTGAAAGCCATGAGACACGTTGGGCATCCCTTAAGAGGCCCAACGTCTGTAAAAACGGGCTGCTACTTGAAACGGTTATACAATGCAGAAATTTAGTGATAGATACATACAAATATAACCCAATAAGCCCTGAAGTGGGTAAAACTTTGGAGTACGACGCAGTCGTACGTAGGTTCCATAATCACATGCCATCTAGAGACAATATTTCGTTTGCACATTGGGCGAGCATTATACAGACAATAGCATCATAGGTCCCCAACTCACGATGCCACTGAAAATCGCGCTGCTGTACAGGCAGTCTAACGTCATCCGCGTCAACTGCCCGATGCATTCGGGTTCCACTCACGCTACGATAATCACGTATTTGTGTACGATACCGCAAGATATTAGATTTTACAGGCCACATCGTGTCAATAGTCGTCTGTTTGATGCGCTCGGCATCAGGAACGGAACGACGCTCCCTCAGCACCTCATACGGTCAAGGTAACGTGGCGGGGTCAGCGCACGAATCAACGTCTTCGGCAACAACTCCGTCCACATAACCCATTTGTCCGCTATGAGGTTCTCCTGTGGGCTCGACACTGGCCGTGCCGCAGCACAACGCTGCACACTGTCTGAGAAGCGACAGCCGATAGGCGCACAAGCATTCATTTGGATGCCTTCTCTTCCTCAATGCTCTGTAGAAGATCTTTGATCTCTTGTTCATCGAGTACGCGAAGGCCAAGAGGGCTCAATACAGCCACTTCGATGTTGTTTGCTGCTACTTCCATAACCTCGGTCAACGCCTTTATCGACAGCGTGACCGTCTGTTTGGTGTCCATGTCCTCGGTGTAGTTCTTCTCAAGGAACTCTTGAGCGCTCTGCACGCTGTTAAACGCCGCAATATACACGTACCGTGGATGAGCGGCCGATTGACTGTGCCTTCCATGATGAGTGGATTCCAGAAGGGTCGGTCTGGAAGAGACCAGGCTTTCCATCGGCGTCGTAACCCATGAGAAGCAGTGCGACACCAAATAGACGCACTCCGCCGCGGTGCGTATACTTCTGCAGGCAGATGTATGGGTAGGCGGGACCATTAGACGCACCTGCTGTAGCCGTGCGATAAACTTGGCGATGTAGCCAACCGACGCCGGCTGATTGGTGTTCATCCGGTAACGCTGGCATTCTAGTCTGGTCTGAAACGCCGTTGACACACGCATAGCTCGCACCTACCTTGTTAATCAGAACCCGTGCGTCTGCATTAAGACCGGCGAAGGCGGTAGCGAGGCGCCCATCGAGCTGGAAAATCTTCTTTGCGCTCCTGTTGGTGTGTGTTAGCGAGATTGATGTGTCTACCTACTTAGAAATCTGCAGTTTCGTCGTCATCTTGCGCTCCGCAGCCAGGACCACGCTGTCGACACCCTTCACGCCGACCACGCAACCACCCTTCTTGACGGTCTCCATAGCATACTCCACCTGCATCAGGTGCCCGTCAGGGCTGAAAACGGTGATGGCACGGTCGTAGCTCATCTTGCGGCGCGGAAACAATATGACCAGACGCGTCACGGTTGCGCGTAGGGGGCATCTCCACGCTTCATAACCTTTAATCGTTAGCGTGCACATCACGCCTCAACACAAAAAGAGAGCGGGTAGGGTGTCGTATATCGCAACAAGGCACTCGAATCCCGTGCCGCTAAATATAAGCCTGTCTGGCTTCTGCTCTATCCGTGATTGGACTCCGTATCGTCCGTCGGCCGCACGGATAACCGAGCTGTGGACAAGTTCAATCACCGGAAAAACACACCATGTCGCGACGTTACGATTCCAAGACCACAACCTTCTCCCAGGAGGGTCGGCTCTACCAGGTCGAGTACGCTCTCGAAGCGATCAACAACGCTAACCTAACGGTTGGCGTGCTATGCGATCAAGGAGTTGTGCTTGTCGCCGACAAACCACTCACCACGCAGCTCCTGGACCCGGGGAAGATTAATGAAAAACTGTACAAGCTGGATGCGCACATGTTCTGCGCCGTTGCCGGTCTGACAGCGGACGCCACCGTGCTCATCAACGTGTGCAAGTTATACGCACAGAGGCATCGTTATAGATTTGGACAGCCTCAGAATGTTGAACAGCACGTCGTAGAAATCTGTGACCTCAAGCAAAGCTACACGCAATATGGTGGACTCAGGCCGTTCGGAGTCAGCTTCCTCTTCGCCGGATGGGACTCGCATCTGGGGTTCCAGCTATACCACACGGACCCGTCGGGTAACTACGCTGGCTGGAAGGCGACGGCCATTGGCCGCAACAGCCAGCCGGCGCAAACGCTGCTGCGCCAGGAGTGGAAGGAGGGACTTAGCCTGGACGACGCACTCTATTTGGCTATCAAGGTACTAACGAAGGCAATGGATTCAACTGTCCAGAAGGCTGACAAAATCGAGGTCGGAATACTCTGGAAAGGCCCATCTGGTGACTCCGAACCCACAGTGGAGATGGTCAGTGAAGACCGCGTCGCCGGAATTCTCTCCAAAATAGCCGAGGACGTGGCTGCAAAAACGACCGACTCTGCGATTTCCGCGTGATATCGCAACTCTCGCATAATATAGTTATTTCTATAATCGTCTAAGTGTGCCTGTTGTATATCTTCATCGTTACAGAAAGGACGTTGAGGAGATTACTGACGCCCAGTCACCCGTGTTTTCAATGGATTCAAAGCCTATTGTGTACCGCAAAAGAACGGAATATACGTCACGTAAAGGCTTGCGGAAAAGATAAACGGACCATTAACGTCATCCGTGCTCTCTCAAGAAGTATACAGCAGAACATGAGGGTAACTAGTAGAAGTGCAAAGACGGCTTCAACACTTCGGTCCGTACACACTACTGGTGACGGCAGATTTATCACACCTTCGCCCCATGGCGCTTCCGTCTAGAGCCACCCTACAGGGTACAGCAAGCGATTCAAAGCGTCTATAAATACACATCCCACATGACTGAACAGCGCCGCCACGTCTGCTAGCTTTGGGCGAAACAACAGCGTATATATTCAGGAGAGTTCCCGCGGTCAAATATCGCGTCACTAAGTGATAAAATCTACCGGGATGAAAATGCCTTGGACTTTGCAGGCGTTCTGCATTTCTGCGGTTGGCGCGCCACCGAGCTCTTCCAAAGCGTCGCTGATTGATCTCAAACATGCGAATGCGCGCAGGACTGTATGACGCAATTTGTACACTGCGGATCTCCACATCATGTTTGCCGGGGATATGGACAAAGCGTGCGACGCTAAAAAGAAACTCACCAAGGTGCATCATGAACATGATTACAGGGACATTGAGAGCTTTGTTTTGTCTAAACCGACGATTGCAGCGTTCTAAAAGAAGGTTGTATCAACGAAGCTGCTTATAATTACATTTCAAAATTAGAAACGCCTCATGGGCATTCGCATGCCGGCTAGTAATTGTAGAGACGCACAGCGAATCTGTTTGTTCCTAGCCCATTTGACAGCTCACATGTTATTCCTACTCAATAGAAAGCCCAGAACCCAGCGAAATCGTATATGATGTCCAGTACTCGTTTGTCCAGACCTCCCAGTGCCTTGCGGACAATTGCACCACTGATTTTAGCGGGGCGATCCGACTCTCCATAACCCATGGCGTCCAACATTCCATGCATACGGTCTTCCTCCTCAGAATTCGGTCCGTCAGCATAAGCAGTTGTGGCCACGTCCTTCAAAGGCCTTATGCTCGCGTACAACATTGGCGCAATCCCCACCAAAATCACTACGCAAGCTTCTGGGTCCTTCGAGCATGATGCCTCCCACGTCGCCTCCGAACTGTAAGCAGACTCGTACTGGTCAGGGGTTTTTATATCATCCAAGAACTTTTCATATGCATCCACTACTTCACCTAAGTTCTTTGCGATTGCTTCAGGCTTGGTACCCCGGGCCTTTACGACGTTCTTGTAATCACTTTCCTCGACACCTTTTATTACATTGCCGATCTTTTTCGGGTTTTTGTCCATTGGTGCGTTGTATCGTTTCAGCATCCCCTTTACGAATGGGTGGCCCTCAAGCTCCGGTTTCCTCAAGAAGTACTTCGAAAAGCGCTTTACCTTCTCGAGAGCTGGCAGCTCCATCTTACCAAGAGGCTTGGACAACATAAAGCGGTAAAGAGCGGCGCCCATAGCCTTCAGGTTGTCTTCATCTCCAGTTCCCCTCAGGGCCACCAACCAGTCAATGCCCTCCTTGAGGTTGCGGGGAATTTCAGTCAACGAATTGTACACCATCTTGAAAAGATTAGTTAAATGGTTCAATTTCTATGGGTGCATAAAATGTTTGATGTATTTACAGGCCGGCTCGTAAAATCGCTGCGTATGTAATAAGCAGAGTGAACGCCAGGTATGTGTTAATCGCAGGACAACACAGGTGCCGGTGGAACGTATAAAAAGTAGTTTAAGTGCTATATACAACGCTACATGTACAGCATATATGGATACGATAACGACCTAGGTATCCCACCGCATCCAACACCATACCATTGACGTGGCATGCAGTATCTACAACGCATGCCATTGCAGTATCCGATTTTCAGATTAAAATGGCACAGATTGAAGCTAGGCATTTTGGTACAGTTTGTAGTGATGAAACGGGGGGTTGAATGTTACGATGTGTTGCGAATGGTATATTACAGAGTACACCTTCTAGTGGCCGTCACGTCGATGTCCCGGCGTAACGCCCTTAAACACACATCCACAGGTCTCGTAGAGACATACAGAATTAATAACATGCCAAACTGGCAACTCACAGATAATCAACTGTCTTACCTAGGGTGGGAGTCATTGACCTGCGTCACAGGTGGCCAACCGCCCATCTTCACAATGCACTAGTGCGGTTGGATGATGCGGGGAAGTCTCATCACTAAGCTTCATCTCAGCAGCCCAAACGATAAATGATACAACTAATCAGCCACATTAGGTAGCGGGCCGGGCATTAGGTAGTATGTCAGGCGGTGGACTGAGTATGACAGCAGGATATCGGCCTAGGGATTAAGGCCGTTGTTACCATGGACGAAAGCCTCAAGAAGGATTTGAAGGGTGTGAAAGAGAAGATTAAATCGGGGATTCAGGATGTGATTAAGGAATTGGAAGTTGAGAAATTGGATCAGAAAGTGAAAGATGATTTGAAGACGTTGAGGAAGAAGATTCAGAACCTTTCCTCAACTGTGGAGAGTAGTACGGCTGACGGTGCTGGGCTTGTAAGTGAGCATTTGAAGGCGCTTAAAGAAACGTATACTACGCTGTATAAACTTGCTGATAAGAATGAAGCAAATTCAATCGTGAAACTGACGAAGGGACTTGACCAGAAGTTTAGGGACAACATCCAAAGTCCGCTCAGCACTAAAGTCAAAGCAGTTGACCAGGCGATTGAGAGGCTTGGCGGGAAGTTTAATAAAGGCGGTACATTTAATAGTATTCAAGAGATTTTCGGGCATATTCAAAAACAGGTTGGGGAGATTAAGGGGGAGGCGGGGACAGTGCAAAATGGTTGGAAACTGGAAGGTGGTAGCGGTCTCGAAGGGATTAAGTCGAAAGTGGACCATTATTTCAAAGCATTCAGCGAGGGCAACGGCTGGAAGTTTGCGGAAATTGCGAAGGGCTGGATTGAAGAGACTATTTTGAAGAATAACGGTTTGGTGAGAGATAAGATTAACGACAAGATTGTTGCAGGAAGCAAAGAAAACGCTATCCAGGAGATGGCAGGCAAAATGAAGGATAAGCTAAAGAACGAGGTTATTGACGAAGCGTTCAAAAAGTTAAATTTTGTCACCACCACCGGCAACGATGAAATAACACAAAAAATTGAAAAGGTCAAAGAGGCCTGCGAGGCGTTCGCCGATGATCTTGACGGGAAACTGAAGGAACCGGACAGTGCTAAATCTGGCATAGTCCATAAGGTTAAGGGTGAGTTGACAAGTTACATTGCCAAGAAAGTAAAATGCATCTGCTATTGCGGTCACTGCAACAACAACAAGGAGTGCAGTAGAAACTCCGTCACTGCTTTCATCCTGGGAGCACTCTCCTCTGTGTCACGGCAAGTGGGCAACGAACTGAATTCAGTGTTTCTCAACAACGACAACAACGGAAATCCCAGCAATGGGAGCATCGCAGCCATCTTGGACAAGATCACGCCGATTGCTGAGGAACTTGATGAGAAGCTTAAAGCGGCGACAAACAATTCCCTTCCTCCGCCCGGCCAAGACAGCCCCGCCAAAGCCGTGGACAGTAGGTTGAAGGCGGTGAGGGAATTCGTGAGTGGAAAAAATGGTAATGATATTACTAAAATTTTTAATGAGCAAGTCAAACATACTCTCGCTGAAGAAGTCAACAAACTTCCCGGCGCCGTTAACGCTTTCAACAAGTCAGCCGAAGCACAGATCAAGGCTGCGGCCCAGACGGCGATCAACAAGGCGGCTGAGCAGATTAGCAGTGGTGGTAAAATTGAGCTTGGCCCTAAGCTCATGGAGCAATTTATCAATAAGTTCAATCCTATAAAAACTGGGCTCAAAGAACAACTTGATACACAAGTTGATGAGCACATTGGGCAGGATGATCCGACAGGTGGCCAAGCGGATAAAGTCACGCTTTCAGATCTTTTCAAGCAATACATAACGTACGTTGTACCAGAAAAAGTAAAAAGTGGTTTAACCGGCATTGCAGGCGAAGGCAAACTCCCAGAGGCGATCGGGAAGATTAAAGGTGAGGGTCTGGATGCGCTTGAAAAGACTATTGGTGACGGTCAGCCAGATAAAATTGATAACAATAACCTTCACCGCTCCGTTCAAAGCAATTGAGGGAGAGCTTGACGAGATCAAGAAATTGGTTGACAAGGGGTGCTGAAGTCCCCCTGAAGGCGGTCTGCAGGCGTCTAATAGGCATATAACTTTCTTGTATTGGTGAGCGGGGAAGCCTACGTTGCGTGGTGAGTTTTGCATTTGTGTTAAATTGTGTGACAATAGCGGCGGTGCTTAAAATTGGCATACGTGTCTTGTTTTATTGTCCATGTGTGTCCTGTACTGCAGCTGTGGTCTTGTGGTGTTAGGTGGTGTTGTAAATTAGCGTCGACAATTGCCCGATAAGTTATCCTTCAAAATGGTACGTCAACCTAAGAAGCTGACGGACTGCCCGGAAAATCTCCGGGAGTCCATCGACTGGTTGATCCAGCTTAGGCATGGGAATGGTAGTGGCCTTGATAAGTTAGCTGAAGCTTTGAAAAAGTTGATTGGTGATGCCATTAAAAATGCAACTGAGAGTCTTGAAAAAAGGCAAAAGGAACTTGAATGCGCTGAAGAATACTACTCTAATTTTGCTGGCTCCCATTGTCAAACGCTTCTTAATGATATTGATAAAGCCAAAAAATCTGGAGATGAAAAAGAAATTTCAAAGGCTCAATCCAACTACAATGGCCATTACTCCGAAGTACATGGCTCTGACTCTAAAAGGGATACAGCCAAGAAGGATTTAAAGGAGCGGCAGGAGTCTCTTAACAATCTTAAAAAATCTCTTACAATATTTACTGAGGCAGGTGAGGAATGCAAAAATCTTTTAACAAATCTCTGCGATGGTCTCCAAACATTCTTGGGGTACGATGAGAATTCCAAAGGCTACACCGGCTCCGGCATCGTGTACTCGGACCTTGACAGGCTCTGCGACGGGGTGATGTCTTTCCTTCATGGAGTTCTTGATGGAGTGAGGGATGATGATGATGTTCCTTATGAAATTTCCATGCCCTTCTATATTTGTTTTCTTTTTTCCAATCCTTATCAGTTAGCCCCTTGCTTTTCAGTTCCGTCAACTTATCGGTGACGCCATCATTCAACTGCTGTCTAAGGCTGTCAGGCTCACCGGTGATGTCTTGAATGCCTGTCTGAATATCAGTGGGCTGAGTGGACAGCGTATTTTGTTGATGTTGAAGTTCACCATTAATTTTTGCGAATCCTTTTTTATTCTCTCCGTGATTCCACTCCTGTCCACTTAGTCCAACGTTTTGCAAATCCTCCAGTGTTGCAATGACATCGTCGCCTGGCTGGTTGCCTTGCAACTCTTTTTGAAGGGCAGTAAGTTCTTGTTTGATTGCTTCGTTGGCTTTTCTTATTTCTTCGGGTTTATTAGTAAATTGGTCCTTTTGCAGCGTACTAATGTAATTATGAATCTGTTGAGCATTTTTTGCATCGCCTTCACCAATCTTCATTTTTAATTTTCTCAAATTGTCCATGACATCATCAGCAATGAGGACATGATCCAACTTAATTTTTACAGTTGCAAGCGTCCACTGAATGTTGACGATGGCATTGGTGATTTTTCTGGTCTCTTCGGGCAACTTCTTAATTTCAGTGCTGAGGTCATCTTCGATTTTCCCAAGACCACTGACTTCTTTACCGTTCGGTGTCCAATCCTTATCACCAAGCCCCTGCAATTTCATATCTTCCAGTCTTTCAATAACATCATCTTCCGGCTTGCCGCTCTTATTCTTCAACTTCTCTCTAAGCTCTCCAAGCTGCAACTTAATTGCTTGGACGGCTCCGTCGATTGCTTCGGGTTGACTTTTAAAGTCGCCGGTTTGCAGAGCGTTAATCGCATTGTTATTTTCTTCTAGACCTTTCTCAGCTCCCTCCAACTTTCCTGTATTCAGTGCGTCCTGAAGCTTCTCCAACAATTTCATGACGCCTTTTTCTGAGTCATCACTGCCATTGTCACTAACCAATTCCTTGATCTCTCCGAGCTGTTTCGTAATTTCGCCGAACGGAACGGTGAAGGTTTTGTCACCGTTTTTGATTATTGTATCTGCTTCACCCTCATTCAGTGCTTTCAGACCCAGAGTCTTGATGCTCCCGATCGCCAGTGGAAGGTGACCCTCCTCTTTAACGCCTTGTAGAGACTCACCAGCTTGAAGGTTCTTCATCTTTTTGTGATTAACATAAACATTATACTTAGTGAAACCAGTGGATATATTTAGGTCAACTTTCGTTTCTGTTCCACCACCTGCCGTGTCATCCTTCCCAATGTGCTCATCAACTTTCTGTTTGAGGTCACTGTCAAGCTGATCTCTAATCTTCTTGTGGGCTTTTTCGAAATTAGACATCTGACCATGTTCATCAAGTTTTACTTTGCCATCAACGTCCATCTCGATTTCCACAACCGCCTGCTCAATCGCCGTCTTGGCCGCTTCCTTGATCTGTGCTTGAGCTTTAGTGTTGAAAGTCTCAACGGCTGAGGGAAGTTTGGCAACCTCAGCCTCCAGATTCTGCTTGACTTTCTTAAAGTTCTCTTCAAGCCCCTCAACCTCTGTCCTCACCGCCGTCAACTTACTGTCCACGGCTTGGGCGGGGCTTTCATTTTGGCCTTGGAGACTGGGAGGCGACCTGGACTTTTCAGTCGCCGCGGTAAGCTGATCGTGAAGCTCATCGGTTGTTTTTTTAGCATCATCCAATAGTTGTGCGATGTTTATCGTTGCGGTTCCCTCGCCAAGTAGCACTGAATGAAGCTCCTTGCCCACCTGGCGGGACACCGAGGACACGACGAGGAGCGTGGTGGCGATGGCTTGAGTGAGGATGCATTTTGCGTCTGTGCATTTCATGCAGTAATCTGGATTTTTGCTGGTGCAGCTTCCGCATTTACATTCTGCACTTGCTATGATACTTTTTAAGTGACTTTTTTCGCTGCTCCGTTCGGGAACTTCATCCACCATCGTCTTCTTAGCCTTCAAGGCCAAGGCAAGAACGCCAGTTTTCAACTCCTCTTTCAGATTCTGCTCAAGATGCTGGGCAAACAGTTCGCAGACATTTTTGACCTTTTCAATTTTGTCCTTCATGCCGGCGTTAACATCAACGTCACTGAACGCTGCATCATCAGCTGCCTGCTCAATTTTGTCATTAATCGGAGACTTAATTAAGCCTCCGAGACCACTGTTCTTCAGGTCCTCCTTAAGTGTATCCGCCAGCTTACTCTCCCAGCCAAGCAGCCTCTTAACCACACCGTTGTGCTGCAGAATGTCATCGATCCAACCGCCGACTGCATCTCCGAATTTACCTTGGAAAAAAGTGAAATAATGCTCCACTCCCTGTGCGATGCCTGCCAGACCTGTGGCACCTTCTATTTCCCAAGGTTTGCCAGTTTTTGGAGTGCCTCCCTTCCCCTTAATCTCCCCAACCTTCTGTTTAATATGGTCGAAAATCGTTACAAGTTTTTTATCATCCTTATTAAACTTCCCGCCAAGCTTCTCAATCGCCGTGTCAACTGCTTTGACTCTATCGTTAAGCGGACTTTGGATGTTATCCCTGAACTTAGTTTCAAGGCCCGCAGTTTCCTGCTGAATTTTACCTTTGTCCGAACCTGCAAGATTATACAGCTTAATTTTCTCCGCTGCAAGCTTAGACAATTCCTCTTTAACGAGGCTCTCTCCATTTGATTTATCAACCTCTGTTTTAAGCCCACTAATCTTACTCCTCAACTCCCCCAAATCACTCTGCACTTTCGCATCCAATTCTTTAACTTTCAACTCTTCAATCACCTTAGTTATCCCTTTCTTAATATTCTCTTTAACATTCCTCAAATCCTTCTTGAGATCTGTGTCCATGGCCGCAACAGCCTTCAGGGCCTCGCCGACTTTAGACTCAACAGCCTCCTTGGCCGACTTCGCAGCCTTTAAAAGTGTCTGAGCCTTCTCATTCAATGTTTTAGCGTTCTCATAAATCGGACCTGGAGAACCTTTATCTGTCTTAACTTTCTTAAGTATCTCCTCACACTTCTCGTTGGCCTTGTGAATCACTTCCCTGGCGGCGGCATTCCACTTACCTAAATTGTCAACTTCGCTGGCAAGAGTTTTATTTGCCTCATTAATTGCCTCATTACTTGAGCTTATTTGGTCAATTTCCCTCTTCAATTGCCCTGAACCACTATCTATCACCAAGGCATCATGTACACTCTGAGCATTTTTAATCGCCCCGTCAAGCACTTTCTTGGCCTCCGCATTCCACTCTCCCAATTTTGTATGGACATCACCAAGCTTATTATGAACTTCATTAATTGCCTTATTAGCGTCCACAATCTTCTCAACATTCTTGCTCAATTCAGCGTGAACGTCCAACTTTTCATAGGCCTCCTTGGCCTTTTTCTCAGCTTTTTGGCGGATGTTTTCAGCGTCGGTGATCCAAGTTTACAAGTTGATAACTTGTTTGAGAAGAGTGTTAGTTGCGCTGTAAATTACACCAATGTGATCACAAATCATTGCCACGTTATGCCATCACGCTCCACCGCCAGACCCAGGATGACGGCAGTCGGCTGCTGAAGGGGATGAGCAAGGCGGCAAGCAAGGGGCAAGTCTGGGCAGAGAGTGGATTGGAGGTTATGTGCTAGGTAAGCCATTTGGTTAGGCGATGAGTTATGTGCTAGGCAAGGCACGAGACACAGTTACCATGAGAGACATGACACGGCAACACAACACATGGAGAGGAATGTAGCTACGATAATTACTGTCATGAGTGAAAGTCAACATCGAAGTAGTCGTCCTTGTAGAGCGAGGGCATCCTGCGGCTGCCGGCGAGTAAAGCCTTGACGTCGATGAGGTGGGACGCCTTGGAGCGCATGAGGTGAGAGCGGATGCGCAATATGTCCAGGCGGTAGAGCATCGTGTGGGCGATGTAGAGCGTGGCGATAGACCACAACGTGAACAGAGTGTAGAGGAAGGGTAGACGGATGCCGTAGAAGAAATTGTCCATGGCGTTCATGAGGCTTACGATAGGCTTTCCGTTGATCACTTCCCTCAGCTTGGTGATGAAACCCGAGCACGTGAGTGGAGACTGCAGTGTCCTGTCCGGCGGTGTGATCCCGTGTAGGTAGAGGAGGGGCATGGCCTTGGTACACTGGTGGAGGGATTTGAGCATGGAACATTGAAGGTTTTCGAGGTCATATAGCAGCTTTTCCAGTGACTCGTGAAGTCTGTCGGGTAGGTACACCGTCCAGCTGAGGTAGTGGTGGACGAAGCTCGGGGAGTACAGGGTGTAGGCCCGGTAGGTGATGGGCTTCAAGAGTTGTTGGCAGTTGACGTTATCGATGTCGCAGCCAAGCAGCGTGGACAGGGTGTTGGGATGGTTCTTGTCGTGGTTGGCGTTGGAGTTGAGAGTGGCGGAACCTCTGAACACCTTGATGACATGGAGGTCGTCGGCAGCAAGGCGGTCCCAGTCGGGGCAGTCGTCATGTGACTTGGAGAGAGCGGAGCCCAATGGAGACACCTTTGAAGGTGCATTGTGCAGTGAATTCCCGATATTGTGGAAGAAGGTTACAAGCTCCCCGGCGGTGCGCGGCGTCCGCCTGGTGAGGCAGTTGAGGTAAGAGCACAGAGTCAGCAGGGGATCCGCGCCTCCACAGGCGGGAGAGAGGATGATGAGAAGGACGTTGCCAGTTTGCTGAGATTCAGGCAGATGCTCCATTGTGAATCCCATCCTGACGCGGCTCGTGAGGCATATGTCAGACGGGTCGAAGGGATGCGTCTTGAAGCTGGAGTCGGGGGCGTCAGTCAGGAAAGCCTGGAGGGGGGAAGGCACCTTGATAGTTTGACCGTAATGATAATCCTGCCAACCTCCCTGAGAATTATCCCGAGAACACTGCGACTTCAGGAACGCCAGCTGGTGGTAGCAGGCGTAGACGTACTCCCGCAGTTGGCAGAGGAGGCGAGCGGGGTCGTCGGAATAACAAAGCTTGGAATATTCTGAGGTGAAGTTTAGAGTTGTTGGAGCATCCTTGGAGTCCTTATACTTCATCTTGTGGAGAACCGTGGCCGCGTAGAGACATGCCTGGGTCAGAGTGTTGGAGACATGAGAAGCGTCCAGAGTGTATGGTTTCCCGGTTACATAAATTGCATCTGGAGATTGTGAGACATCCTTGCTATACTCCCTCAAAAGGTCTTTCAGATGTTCCTCAATGAAAGGAATATAACCCTTTTGGTTCATTCCAACCATCCAGTGGAGCATCTCCCGGACGGTGGTGGGCGGAGGCAGATGGTCGGTGGTTCGGGGAGGGGAGAGGGTTGGTGAGGTGGGATCAGTGGCGGAAGGAGCAACGTACCAGGGGTTACGGCAAGTTGGAGTGATGCCTTCTTTCGCAAGACCATCGGTGGCGGAAACGGTAAAGTCAAATGCGTCGAACTCATTTTCGTTTTCCGGCATCAACAACTCTCTGTGTGGTACAGGTTTGCCAAGTTGGACGAGTTCTTGGAATGGCAGAAGCTTCACATCGGGGTTATCGTCTGCTCCGGCGACGGGGGGAATGAATATGCCGAAGTCCAATGCTTCAGGTGGCAATTCCGGTTTTAATTCAGGAGACATTTTAGACGGGTCGACTTTAGGGTCAGCAACTTCTGAGCCGAAAGGTCCAATTTCGATGAAAGGTGGTGAGATGGTTGGAGGCTTGGGTTGGATAATGATATCTGGCGTATAAAAGGTCATCTCTGTTGTTGCTGTGTTTTTAGGCGTAAGTATTTTTGTAATTTCTAATTCAGCTGGAGGAACTGGAGGAGGTACACCGGTCAGCATACTTCTGTCTGTAATCGGCGGTAGGCGTTGATTACGATTAGGATCGGATATAGAATGTCCTGTGGTATCCGGTGTAGGCGGCAAGGGGGGATCGATGTGCTGTACTAGTGGCAGAGAAAATGCATCATCTGACAAAATAGGATTTCCTACAATTGTTTTTTGAGCTCGTTGATTTATTTCGTCTCTGTACATTTTTTCACCTTCTAACCGTTTCTTCGTTTCCATGTCCTTCATCATAGTTATATGATCTTGCAGGAATCTAGTTTTCTCATCATTCGCTCGTCGTCGCGATTCCGTGTTACGTTTATCTTGTTGTGCATAATGCCTGTCCCAACGGTCCTGCTCATTCCTAAGCTTTTCGTTAACAGCTTGTATTGCGCGTGATGTATCTTCCTGCGCGGCGCCGTCAAGCGTGACTCCACCGCCGTCGTCAACTGCAAACGACGGAGGGATATTGTAGTAATGAGGCCGATAATGGTAATAGTAATCGGACGCTTTGACAAGAGGATGATTAGCTTTCAGGGTTGCTTGTAATTTGCGCTCATTTTCCTCTTCCTGTTTTTTTTGTTCCACCAATCTTCGTAATTTTTTATCCAACGCTTCGGAGTCCTTCTCCCTCTGTGCAGTGTCCCTTCTAAGATGTTCTACAGCATCTTTATATTTAGCGTCAAGCTTCTTTTTGAGAGCAGCTTCTTTTTCTGCAGCATCCTTCAATTTTTTCTGGGATTCATTTACGTCGCTTGCGATGATGTTTAATTTTCTCTTAATTTCATCCCTTTGTTGTGCCTCACTTCTCTGTTTTTCTAAAAGTTGTCGATGGGCTTCTTCTCTTTTTTGTTCCACAACTACATCTAGGATATCATTGGAATGATCTGGCATGGCCTGACCAGAAATGGAGAATTTTGTTATAACGTCATTGGAAAGGGGTACAACACTGCGATGATGGTTAACAGGAGAACCCTTGACTTCGTAAGGCGGCATAGCCATCATATTCGTGCCAACCTCCCCGGCGCCCCTCTCCTGTGGATTGTAGTAGGGACGCTGATTAAAACCTCGGGCACCAGAAGGATGATGGGAAGGCCCGAAAGCAGGGTGGCTTGGCTGAGTAGGAAGGGTGTGGGCATTAATACGTGAATTGTTTTGTGATTTTGATTTAAAATGCTCGTCACGTTCATGTTTTAGGGGTGGCTGCCATATATCGTCGAATGATCTATTTGGGGCGGGCATCGTATAATTTCGAAAACATATATCATTGCCAGACAACCCTTTTCCTGAAGTGTAACCATCACTACAGTTATTAAGATTATTAGACGTAGCCTGTGTTTGAGTCCCTCCACTCCCACCTGCACCAGGCGCCGTGCCAGCCGACGTAGTAGGGACGCTGCTTGTAGTTTGAGTATCTTGTTGACCACCGCCTTTCGCGGCGCTTCCACCACCACTTTGCCCACTCCCCTGATCACCAGCTGACCCAGAGCTTGACCCTGAAACACTCGTAGGCTGAGTGAGCACAGTGACTTGAGGGGCAGTAGGCTGTGAACTTCGAGATGTATCGGCCGGTGAACCCTGACCCGTTACACCTGGCGTACCAGGGTGGCCAGGGGCTGCAGCGGGGCCGGGGGGAACAGGCGGTGGAGGTGGAGGACCTGGGGGGAGTTGAGTAGCAGGTTGTTGAGGTTGAACAACTTGTGGATTTGTCAGAACTTGATCTGGAGATAACACCGGATCCCCTGGACCAGTAGGCCCTTGCGGGCCTTGACCTCCTGTCACATCGGAAGGCGGAGGTGGAACAGACCTTCCATGTGGTGAATCCGGAGAATGTCCTCCACTTTGATCATTATTTTGATTTGGAGGCAACGGAGTTGGAGTTACATCCGCCTTCTTGCCCTGGTTGGGAGTTCCTGCAGATTTCTTTTCAGGCGGAGGCTCTTGACACGTTTTTTCTCCGTCACCATGCAAAATGTCTTTAAGCCTATCCAAACCGCCGTCACGTGGTTTCTGAAGCTCAGTTATTACATCTGACAATTCCGTCGGCAATCTCTGCGCTTCCTTTTTCGATATTTCGAAGCGTTTCCTTCCATCGAATGTGAATCCGTAGGGGAAGAGATTTCTAGTGAAATAATCCCCAAGATCTTTTTTCGCAGATTTCTCAATATGCTGCAAATTCCCCCGCACATTGATCAAATTCGTTCTCAACCAATCCGCTGCTTTGACTGCAAGCTCCTCTGTCTGAAGGTCTTTAAGTCCCGTTGACTGCCCAGTAAAGTCAAAGCGTTTTTCGGCGAACAATCTGCTAAATTGTTGTTCAAGCTGAGCGCAATGGGATTGTAAGTCCTTCCAACATATGGAATTTAAGGACATTACCTTTTGAAGGTCTTTATTCAATTTCTGTATCAACTCTCCGCCTTCTCTATTTTGCTTTGCCTCCGCAGCCACAATGTGGCAGAAGGTTCTCACCAACGAGAGAGCGTTCGCGGTTCTCTCTTTCGGTTTGGCTGAACCTCCCATAGTGGAACTGACGAACACGCTGCGGAGGAAATTGTATGGTGCTTTTCTCAAAATGGCCTGTAGGTCATCGACCATAGCATAACCCTGAGGGTAGCCACGGTGCAACACATTTGGGTTATATTTCACCTCGTTTTCACCGAAGCCCCCGGGTATGAGGCCACCGTACTCGCCGCCTGTTTGCGCTCTGAGATATTTCTGCAGGTCACCGCCATACTTTGGGTAACTGAACACGTGCCACCGATCCTCTTCCCACCCAGTCCAGTTCTTTTCCCACCACCCTCCACCCAGCGTTTTGAAAGTCGGATTCACGCAGTACTCCAAATAGTAGATCGCTGCGAGGAACTTGGGGAGGCACTCGAGGAGTGCGTCGGCAACCTGCTGCTCGTTTACACCGCCATAACTGCCGGGCTTTGGGTCGTAGCACAATCTCTCATAAAACGCCGATACGGCGGTGAGGAACGGGGACAAGCCCTTTTCAACGTTGTGTTCTGAACCAAATGAGGAAGTAAAATAATTACTAATACGGCCATATAGATACCGGGACACCTGGGTCTGCATTGTCTTATCATTATTCAGCCACTGCAGGAACTGGAGACAGTCCTTGAGGGTGTTGAGGGGAATTTTATGCTTCGTCATCCTGGTTACGAAGACAAAAAGCACAGAGACACTAACAAATGGGCACTAAGCTACGCATAAAAAAGCATATGTAAAAGCGTTTTAATGGGTGGACCAGAATACACTAAAGCGATAAAACCTCTAAGGTCACATCGCTTACAAAGACAGCGTAGTCAATCCACTAGGTGCGATACGTGAACAGGCTACAAAGTGAGACGCTGCGTGACAACTAAGTGCGGCATGGTATTACAACAAAGCTAGCGATCGCAGGCTAAAATAGGGTCGCGCCACCCCAGGGCCTACGTTGAAAACACGTGGATCATAAATAGTGCACTCACCTGAGGGGAAGGCGACGAGCCCAGGAATACGGGATGGCCGAAACTTGACAGGCATGAAATGCCAGCTCACAGTAGGTATACAGCACACCCTATTGGGTTTCCGAGTGCCGGCCAAGATGCCTCTTCTGAGCCCGCATTGTGACACCGCCAAGCCGTACCCCCTCAGAGTTGTGGTATTAACAAGGCAGCCGCCATCCAGCGCACTGCCAGGTATACTACAGCTGCGCGCTTAGCACCACAGAGATGCCACTCCCAGCTGGTCATATATGGGATGCGAACTATACCCCACGTCTCGCTAGACAAATGCCTTGGACCTTTTAAAGTTCCAAATTAATTTATGTGACGCACTATTTATAACATATTTTACATTTCTGCTCAATCGTGAAAGTCTTACACTTCTACTGGGCGCATTCCTAGTGCTCACCTCCCACCTGGTATGGACATGCTATCCACCCAACAACACTTCTCATTTCAGTTAACTACCTAAATCCCTCAATAATTACGAACAATCCCATATATGATACCCATTTCCCGTATGCTTATGATGCTAACACGGATCCACGTAATCTGGCCACGCCCCACTTCCCAGCCGTGCTGAGGTCGGACTCCTCATTGAATGGCCTTGTGTATAAGCCTGTTCATCCGCATCAGTAACTTACTTTATTTCTAGAATTCTCGTCTCCTTTCTGATACTCAAATCGCAATATAAAGTATACCGCTGCTTTCCCTCACCCATCCATCAAGCTGCGGGCTATGTGAATGAGTTAGGTGAGAACCCGAAATGCATATTGCAAATGCTAATGAGTCAAAGCAACTTTTTAAAGCAGTCTGTAGAGTACGATGTGGATAAATAGCTACTACATGAAGCCATTAGTCTCTGCCTCCCCGCCGGTGGTACAAGGTGGCCAGGCACTGCCGCAGTAGTTGCTCAAAGTAACTGCGTTTGCTTAAGCTAACTGATAAGCATGAGATATCGCCCTTGGACACATGTTAACGGTATTGCCGATATTCTGACTTTTGAACAAATGGCCAGACGATGACGTGGAACCTTTGCGATAACAGCATTACAATTACGCCACTAAGGTATGGAAGCGCATAATTCCGCTTCACCTTAATAAACGGACTTTCCACCTCTTATACACCATACAAACAACAGTAGTAAACCTTCATTATGATGCTGAGTTAGCAACCGCAAAAACCCTTTGACAACCTAAAGCGATGCTGCCACGGTGGATACACCACTTATCATAAACAATGAAATACTTAAATTAGTTTCCGCAGTTCACCAACAAGTTATCACATCTCAGTTCCTCATCAGTTTGAGTAATAGTTATCGATCTGGATGGTGGAGAGAACGACACCCTTAATGGTGACGCAGCGACATTGCAATGGCGGCGTCTGGTGCAGGGTCTCCCCGACTCCGACGAGTGAACTGTCGAAGCTCAGGATGACGAAGTGGTTAGATTGAGACGCTACTAACGACTTGCTAAGTTCACCTGTGTTCTTTACAACCCCTTCCACGTAAACTTGGCTGAAGCAGTTGGGCGGATCCAGGACGTACGGTGCGGGGCAGTAGAACGCTGCTTCCTTGGCAGCTTGAAGATCAATATTGCAGCCGAACTGAGGTTGCCCGTCAGCGTCGTAGAGTTGGGGTGTCTCGGGCTTGAATAATTCAACTGAAGGCTGGGTAAAGCCGCAGCCTTGCATGTAGGGGTCCGTTGTCTCGACGGCAACCTCGACTACGTGCCACTTGTATCGTCGTGACGATTCAACGATATGGGGCCTGGCAGATGCAGGTACAGCGCCACGTATTACACCTATGTCCACTGGTTCGAGCAATTTGCCGCAGACGAACATTGTCGATACATATTCCTTGTCTGCATCCTTAGACACCAAGATGGCACCTTTACGCGATTCTATAGTCACACGTTCAAATCCTTGCCTTTCAAAAACATTGTACGTGATTCTAAAACCATTCGGAGTACTAGCGATTGAATCTGTGTATCTCTTACTAAAAAGCTGAGGCCCATATTTTGCCCGATTAATGGTATAATAGAAAACGTCGGGTTCTTTTGGCCACCATGACGATGGTATGACTTCTTCACTTGCACCATTCTGTTCGTTGGAATCAAGATCACATGTCATAGACAAAGTTGTGCCCACATGTAGTGTAATTGTCCTCTTCGGTTTGTGTTTAAACATAATCGGTCTTTCTCGTGTGGATACTTCGAGAAACAATCCGACCTCCCGACCTGGCGAGACGCCTCCAAGTAACCAGCTAGTCTTCACCTTTCGACGGTATGTTGCGAAGCTGTACATCTGATGTGCATTTTGCTCTACGATAAGCCTGCATTTTTCGTACCCACGTTGATCAACGCAGACACAAGCATAACTGGCAGGGCTATCGCCGTTCAATTCAATGTCGAATACCTGAAATCCTCGAATCGGGTATGGAGTTGCATTACGCATAGATTCGGGAAATGACATCGCTAGATTGGATGAAAGGTCGTACGCTGTGGACTCACAGTTAGTTGGCAACAGTTCCTCATCGGTTGTGCAATGAATACCAACCTGACTACTATGCCCAATGTTCTGGTACAGGCATTCATAAATGTTTCCTATACCATTGCCCATAGACTTGGTGGAGCAATACATCTCGCTAATTGCCGGATCAAATACGTGCTGAGGCTCTCGGTCGCAACCGACGATCTTGTAGCGATGAGTGAAAGCGAAGGATACTTTGACGACGGCGCGTATCTTATCTGGGATATCCTCATTCGTGGGTTTCAGTCTCCAATGATACAAAAACGAGTTGTCTCCTCTTAGTAACGTGAGAGGTTTGCCCTCATGATATTTCAGTTTTACTTCGCCATCGAGTATCTGGGAAACATCCAACTCGAGGGCATCACCAGCAAGTGCTTTGTTGTATGAGATTTCTTCGTAAAGCTCAACGTCATATGGAGTTTTAAGTTGCCGCAGTGTAGCCAAGTACTTTGGCAGAAATTCAGCTTCGAATTCACCGGTAGGCACCAGCTGCGAAGAACCTTCGTCGAAGCTCGAATCGACAGCTGCTGTTGGAAATCGTATGGTCAACGTGCTTCCTGGATGAAGTACCACAGAACACCAAGGGCCATTTATAGCACTCGTATCGCTGCGTTGGATAATGGTTGAGATGTCACAAACGTAGTCGGTTTTCGAACGGACTTCTATCCTGGCCTTCACTTCACCTGTCTTGCGATCTATGCATCTGCATTCACCATTGAACGGACGTACTGCTAATGCGTTGAAATAACGTGCCGCCACCCACGGTCCATAATTTTGGACTTCCCAATAAGGGCGAGGTGGAGGAGCAGCCACCACTACGCCATAGTTGTTTATGATCGATCTCATGCAATCATCAGGTTGGAGACGACCATGGCAAACAAATCCAATACGCGTTTCGGAGATGGGATCCACTACGCATGATCGGACCCCGGTTACGGGGTCTACAGCAATCACGTTGTCCGGTGCAAAAAGCGCTGAGGGGCGGCTACCACAGCCCTGAAGCGGTATATTATCACGCCCTCTGTTCACGAAAACTACGCCCAATCCATTCCCTATCTTGGTTATCTCCTCGGTCAGTGGCGTGGGTGGCATCCATGGGAACGATTGTATTTCGCGGGAGCCACCAAGGCGGTGCAGGTGGCGCTGCAATTCATAGCTCAAAACCAAATCTCGAGGTCCACATATGAATATCAAACGGTTCTCAGTAATGGCGAAGAGCTCATTTATCGGTAAGTCAATCCGCAGGGTTGTGTGAAAGCGAGGTGAATCTATCCTGAACAGTTTAACCCCAGATTCGGAGAGCACTACATCCGAAAGTGCAACGGAACGAAATATGCCCCTCTCACTAATGTAAGTCTTCACTTGACGTTGGTCATTCGGAGTTGATTGAGGATGCCAGATATATTCCGTGTCGTTAACTCGGTTTGGACATACAACAGCTGCCGTCTCAATGGCATCCATATCCATCTCGCATACAACTAGAGCATTTCTATTGAGTGGTTTTAGTGGATCTCCGAAATCACAGGAAAATGCGCGGATATTTATATTCAAGAACAACCATGTTGCACAAAATGCCCATAGGTAACTCATCATTTTGCCTTTGGCCATGGTGATTGATTTTGCAGCATACTACCGACGAAAACGCTACTGTATGACAATTACTTTTGATAAACAAGGCTATAAGGGTATTTTAAATAACAAAATCTTGACAACCAGTAATTATTTGTGACACGTAGGGTCAACGGGAACACCACTGCCGCAGCTAGACAGCATCGCATGGAAGAATTTTCTTCACGTCTCCAACGCAGATAATCAACGAATGGGACAGATTTATAACGGGAAAACACCATTTTAATATTGGCAATAACTATTATGCTTAATATAACAGGAAATTTGGGCGCTCAGGTGACTCCTTACATGATGAGGAACTTCCACTCAGAGACCCATCGCGCATAACCGTTCTTACATAATCGGCAAATGAAAAGGAGCAATATCTTGGAATACGTATACCGCGCTAGGGTGGTTTGGCTAAGGCTAAGACTATTACGAATCTGTTACCGGCTGCTGCAGGTCGCATACCGAACTCTTTTGGTAAAAGATATTTCCTGCTTCAGGTGGTAAATAGACTCAACATGGATATTATAGGCATGAAGTATGTGGGCAATGAGACCATATTACAAAAAGCAGCGGTAGACGCAAACATCCACTTAGCAGACACTAGGCAATCAGCAACGCAGACAAGTATTCTATCACGAAGATTATAACCACCAATGACAACGGAAGCAGTGCCAAACGAGATGGTGGTGACAACCATTTCTACGATATGCAATATAGTGGATGACTGATATGACTTCCTTGGAAGTCGAGGATGCAAATTGATACGATTGTTGTAACAAACGCAAATGCGGTAGATGGCTGACATGTGTCAACTGACAGCTTTGATCGCCATTTGTTGAGATAACTAATCGCAGCTGATTCTGTGGATGGAGCCGTCCTTAGCATCTCACAATCATTCCGCACCCTGCATTTCATGATACGGCAAAAGCTCGGACTCACCTAAAAAGAAGCCAAAGCTCACAGCCCCTCCGATCTGTGACACTTGATAAATTAATTTTTATCAAACTAACAATAGAGACCGGTATAATCATGAGGTTGCGGTGCCTCAATCCAGTGTATACACCGGTGATTCCGCCGAAGATGCCGCCTACCGCTCCCCCCTGCATCAAATGCCAGCAAAACTCTTCAATACACACCATTTTAAAGCCCATTTTAACGCTTGCGAGACAGTTTCTTGCTCGTGGGTTTGAGGTAATTCTGTCTAAGAATCCCTGGCCTGTAGATCCGGAGTCATCGTATGTATCGTATAGACTGCAGAAGCGGCATATACAACCTTCAATACAACCCACGTATATCCGGAATAATCCGTGTTGTTGTAGTCTGCATGCGAATTAATACTGAGGTTACACTGGCAAGTTGGTGTTACCTACCGGTCACTTTCGGCGGAGCGGAAAACCCCTTGAACTCAACTTCGGCGTCGCTGGCTAGCTTCACGCCTCTCGGAGCCTCTGTACGGACAGTGGTGTGTCGCTGTGCCTGTAAAACGTACTCGGTGGCGGGACAAATGGTCCTCCACCCGGTGGTGGTGGAACTTGCTCGTCATACTTCGACGTCACAGTCGGCTTGATGGTAGTGCCGGACCCACCGCTGATGTATTGCCTGCAATTAATATAACATTGATATATCACATCTATAACGGCAAGCTTCCACCGTGGTTGGATGCAGCGAGCAGTGGCAATAGACAGCGACATACCACATGGTAATGGAGCCCGGTGTGTAAGTTTAGACAGCTGCTTTTCTCGTTTCGCGAGCTCAGCTGGCGATGTGTATGTGGAATCTTGCAAATTTGTGATCGTACGACATTGCCACGCGGTGGAATAAGCTTCCCTCGCACCACACCCCGTACGCTTTGCAGCGCCGTCAAAGACGTTTGCTTTTCACTTTGCCTTTAATTCTGAGGACCGTTAGTTCTCGACGTCATAATGTCGTAAATTCGCGGAAATGTTCGGCACTGCTTGGCTGTCGCAGCTCGAGCTGCGCAGCGCGCCAAGCCTTCGGCTGCCGTTCGACCCGGGCAGGCTGCGCATCCTGTTGCCGCGTATGCGACTCGCCCGCTTGATAGTGTACGTCCTCAGTTGCGAAGGGTTGCTGGCGCTGACGGGTATCTTGGCTTTGGCGCTGTGGCTATATTATGAGCTGTGTTACGTCGCGCTTGTATGCCCTTACTATACGGGATCTGAGCTGCCTTCTCTCCTCAACAGGTTCCGCACCATTGGCAAGACATACCGACCGACGTTCTACATGTTTGCGCCCTACTGTCAGTGGCTCTACTTGTCCTGTTTCTGCAAGATCAGCCGCCGATACCGCATTCTGCTCGACACAGCTGCCGAGGCTAGTTCGCGGTCCATTACCTTTTGCGCGAAGGTTGGCAGCTCTATATTGCGCGCAGTACTACGCTCCTTCCTCTTCAAGCGGATATTCCGGGCTCAGGCAGAGGTGACGGTTCGCGAATTCGTGGAGGCGCACAACGGCGCCATTGTTGTGCTGGACTACTACCTGCCTCGGTGGGCCGCCAACTTTTGCTCTAACTGCGGGAAGTTCAAACAGCAACGCTGGTGGTGGACGGGTGCTTCACGATCGAAGGCGACTAATGTGGGATCCACATATCCGCAGACGGATGAGACGGAGTTGGTCCGACCACGTGTGGTCGATACGCAACTCGAAGCCCCCAACCTGCATGACCACCGGTCGAACGAAGGAGCGCATCACGATGATGCGCCTCTTCACATTTCGAAGGATCTCCTGAAGTCGGCCAACCTGGATGGCAGCGCGCGCTCATCAGATCGTGAGGATACACTGGACGAGTTCACGTCGTCGGGCAAGTCGGCACAGCCCTCCGATCCGAGGATTACCGAGGATGCGGTTGGGCCTCCTCGAAAACTCCTCCGCGGAGTTATCGCAATCATTGGGGACGTGAGCATGTCGTACAGCGTCTGTAATCAGGCAATCAACTGTCACTGCGGGGAGCCCGTAAATGCGGATGAAGAAACGGGTCCATGTGCGTGTACAGGGTGTGAAACATCCGAACTAGAAAACAGCAAGGGGCTAAATGTGGATCCTCCAGGTCTCCCCGTTGTGCGCTGCCTTATTAGTGATGCACTGGAGGTAGGTTTCGCATGCGTGCAGATTCACCTGAACGTGAATCTCGGCATGGCCAGCGAGGCGTTTCCCACATGGACGGGTCTGCGTTGCTTTCCAGTGACGTTGTACAGTGATGCGCTGCTCGACCTGGACAGTGGTCTCAAGCGCATCACTGAACGCTACCCCAGTCTCCCACTGTGCTGCATCGGAGTAGGCTTCGGTTCGAACATATTGATGGAGTACATGTCCCTCGGCTCCGCAGGCAAGGCCGTTCCAGTTCTGCGTGACCCGTCGCAAGATCAACAAAAACCCCTGAGCCATGTGGGCGACCGGAGGTACACCATGATGAGGCGTGGCCAATCAACGGACCAGTACGATAGCAACGATTCGCGGAGCGACAGTGACACCGAGTCGCGCATATCTAAAAGGTCTATTGAGCGCCGGACGACGCACACAGCAGCCAAAGCTCCTGCGAAAGTTACCCAGGATGCTGCCGAGCAAGACTCACGTGTCAGCTCGTCGGCAAGGTTGCCGCATACTGGCGACTCTCCTGTTTCAGATCCTCGTCGCATGTCAGAGCCCCTTAAAGCGGCCGGAAGACACACGCTTAATCCGACTGCACCCTCTCTAACACAAGACATGCAGCAAATCCTACATAATCCAGATGACCCCAACTACGAGTCGTTCGCGTACCTCAGCCAGGTGATTGGGAAGATCAACGCGACAACGGGCGCCACCCCTAACCCCGTTGTGCCCGCCGCCGCAGCAACGGGCCCGATAGTGACCCCGAGGGAGGATCATTTCCGATTTGACGAAGAGGCTGAGGAATGCACGTACGAGACAAGCGTGGCGTACCCCCCTGCCCAGGCAAGAGAGGTGGTGTTTGACACCAAACGCATCTCCGCGGCAGTATGTGTGAACCTGAACCTACGTGCTAGTGGTAATGCGCTGTACAAGACGACAAGGCGGCGCCAGATACACAACCAGAGCATGTATATCCGCCACTGCTTCGCCGCCTTTAAGCACCAGCTCATCGCACTCGTTAGGGAGGTGCACTGTCATCGATCAAATGCGTCTCTGCAGAAGGAGTGCTACAACTACCGTTGCTGCCACTATACACGTGCAGTGGCACGACAGCCGTGGTCCCGTCGCGTCCTGCTCGGGCTGCGCCAGCCCGTCGAGGGGTTCCACGCGATCGCAAGGCATTACCGGATCGAGCACCTTTTGCTGGCAGCTCACCGCGAGTATCGTATGTCCTACCGCCACATGCGGCGGCGGGAGTCGGGCGAGTACGTGAACTACCATACGGGGATTTTCAAACGCTTCGGCGCCCGGGCCGCCACCGATTTTAAGCTGTGCGCGCTAATGACCCTCCGCTACGTCTACAGCAACACCGGTCATGACAACCGAGGTCGCGTAGAAACGGTGTCGGGTAGTCCGACGTACAAGCTTGTGAACAAGCGCATTGACACGAACCTGCGCATCGGTAGGGCCCACTTCTACGGCGGCATCAACAAGCTGATAAACCAGAGCAGCCGGCGACCACAGGACCCGAAGGTTTACAAGTATGTCGCAGAGTTGATTAATCGTGAGTACACTCGGAACGTGGCGAACATCCGTCGCTACTTCACCGCGATCACCCTGCCAACCCTGCTCCTATCTTCGCTGGACAACTCGGTGTTCTCGTGGGAGGATGTAGACATCTTCGACGTGATAAAGAACCCCAACATTGTGTACTACATATGCAAGAGTGGTGGGTATGCGACGTTTCTGTCGGGTAGGTTAAAGTGGTTGGATGCGCATTCACATGGCTGCAGGTTTCTTCCCAAATACGTGGCTTACTCGGCCCATCCTTGAGTTCCTTGACGAGATGTCGAGTCGCCGAGTGCTGATATGACTGTAGATGAGTGCTACGGAAAGGCCGCATGGAGCGGTCGTTTATTGCGCCGTGGCCAGTGGTATGCAATTGAAAACGCGCTGTATACGACAAGACGGCGCTTCACAACGCCCTGAGCTGGAAAACAGCACATGGTATATGTAATGTAGTGTGTACACTGTGTAGGTAGAGTGGATATAGGTATTTTTAGTCAGTGGTTTGACACACCGCCGCGGCGGAATTGCGCGTTTAACCACAGCTGCGTCCACTCCCGTCGATTTGCGCCAGCTGCCAGTGACCTACACACGCCAGTTTCACATGTGTGTGCAATAACCAGGCCCTCAAACTCTAATTGCTGTTACACATGTCTGGTCGGAAGCTGGTGTAGGTTACACGGTGTGCTCAGCGCCAAGACGCGCACAGTCAGCCGCAAGAGCCCCAACGGTTACCCATATTGAATTTTTGATTCAACGTCCCGATAACGCGGATTAAAGGATCGATGTCAAGGAATATGACCGTTCATGGGGGCGTCGCCGCCACAGGGTCTCTCGCGTAGTGAATGTCGCGCCCGCAATTATATGTGTGTGGTTCTGCGGAGTGGTATTGCTGGTGACAGCCGACTACTTACGTTGATGCCTAACCTCGGATTCTAAAACAGGCGAACTTGGCTTTAGCGCGAGTGCCGCCTTCCGACCTTCTCCGCGCAGCGGCCAAGCCTCTTTGAGCACGTTCCCGCGATCAAACCTGAGACAATGCCGATGAACGTATTTCGGCTCTCGGGTGACGTGTGCCACTTGGCCAGTCTGATCATTCTCATCCTCAAGCTCAAGCTCTCCAAGAACTGCCTCGGTATTTCTAGCCGTATGCAAGAGCTTTACTTCATCGTGTTCGCAACCAGGTATCTGGATCTCATGTTCTACTATATCAGCCTGTACAACACCGTATTTAAGGTGTTGTTCCTCTTCACGACGGCCTACACGGTCTACCTCATCCGCTTCTCCGCGCCGATCGCACAGACGTACAACCGCAAGATGGATCGATTCCCCTACGAGAAGTACCTGCTTGGCCCTGTGTTCGTGCTCGCGCTTTTCACCACGAACAGGTACCGTCTCCTCGACATCATGTGGACCTACTCCATCTGGCTGGAGAGCGTCGCGATCTTGCCGCAGCTGACCATGCTCTACCAGCAGCGGGAAGTGGAGAACATCACCTCCCACTACGTGGTGACGATGGGTTTGTACCGCGCGCTTTACCTGTTAAACTGGGTTTATCGCTACTTCTTCGAGACGCCGGCCTACGTCTGCAAGGTCTGCTGGATCGCCGGCCTTATCCAGACGGCCCTGTACGCCGACTTTTTCTACTACTTCGCGAAGTCTAAGTGGTACGGGAAGAGGCTCGTGCTGCCATTCACTGGCGACGTGTGAGCACCATGAGTGAACTACGTTAATTTAGCTAAATCTTTGACAGGTCGGCGTCGGCTGCCGTCTTGCGTTTGACCAGTGGGCGTGAAAGTCGTGAGCTGCGGGATATTATCTGCGCTGCGAAAACACTCACTTGCAAACGAAGCAGAAGATACGGTACTTCCCCTTATCGTCCTTTTCCGAGCAGTACACTACCGAGCCGTGAGGAGCGCTGCTGACAAGCTTACCCGCGAAGCAGCATGGACAGAGGAACGCGATGTCCACCGTGCGATAATGGCAGTAGCAAACTGCCGTGTTGCTGAAGTCGAAGGGCAGCTGCGTTGACAGTTGCTCCGAAACTGCCTCTGAAGGCAGGAACCAAAACTGTACAGGATTTGGCGCGTGTAAGATGTTTCACCAATACAAAAAGATGAACAACCAATTTAATAATGACATGATACATAACACGTGGCATTACAAATCAAAATAGAGTTGTGAAGCACTATCTGGTAAGAACAAAAAAGCACACAATAGCCACGTGGCACATGCAGTGTGGCAGCAGGGCCACTGTTTTTTCAAAACCCGGTTTGAATAAACGCACCATTATAAGCTGCAATACACATTGTTCGTAGTTCTCAACATCCGTTTCCGATTTAAGTATCTTCGGTAGATTCAAGTACTTTGCGTTGGTGATATCGCTCAGCTGCTCCAGGATGCGCTGCATCACGTGAGCTTAAATCACGTTGGCACCTACGGAAGACTGGCAAAATGCGCATGTGTTTATAGATATGCCCTGATACTTGGTGAGTTGTCATTGTAGATTTTGCTTACAGACTTAGCGGCTGTGAAAGCCACGTTCATCAGCCGTATGTACTGCTCCCGATAGTCCTTCGCTCCCGACACATCGAAGATAATTATTCGGCGACCGTATCCAGCCCCCGTTATCCGCAACCGATTAAGATCTGATGGCACATGATGGCTACATCTAACGCAACATACACAACAGTCCCATAGATAAGGCAGTTGTTAGTTGGGGGTCGCCGGACGATGGTGACCATGAGCCGATGAAGTCCAGCATCGCATTCCAGACCTGCAGCAGCGACGCAGTCACTCGTTCATCCTGCGATTGATCGCCTTCAAAACACGACGACAGCCAATCGTTCGATAGCACCCCCTCGTATATAATGCGACTGCAACAGCATTATCACATGTTGTAGTGTGACCTACGTTCCAGAGCTATGCACCCCGATGACGCAGCAGCGACTCTGCGCTGACATGTACGCGAATGTCTTCAGGAAACGGTGTAGAAGGCTGTATAAACCGCAAAGCTGCAACCGCGGTTCGCCAGACGCCAACGACCCCGTCCAGGCCACCGGTGTCAGGTCCAGAACCACCACCAGCGCGTTCTCCGTGCGCAATATGGCCTCGTCATCTCCGATCTCGGGTTCGTTAAGGCCGCCGCCGAGCGGTTCCGCGGAACCCTGGGCCGCAGGCTGCCCCTCGAGGGGCCTCTGCATCCTCACAGGCGCGTAACGGCCTTCATATGCCACACACTACCTGTTTTCCACTACAGATAATAAAAGCTACAAATTAAAGTTGTTACGACGCGGAATCCCCGCACTCGAGCAGTGCCTGGTGGTACTGCGACCTGCGCTCATGGAGATCAAGCTGTGCCTGATCCCGGAACATACGCAGACAGACCAAGCATACGGAAAGCGGTTTAACCACTGGCGTCCACTTCTTAATAGTCCCAATTCCCTCCGCTGCCTTCTCGGTTGCCGGTGGGTTGGCTAGGCTGTCTACTTCCATGTCGCACTCATCGTCGGAGTGGTCACCAAGATCAAAGGTCTTAGCAACCTCTGACGGCGGCTGAAGTACCAATACAGGCCGTGCGGCAGAATTTGTCATGCCACTGGGTTCTTCTGGTTTCGGGTGCGTCTGATTCACCTCCTGCATACCCGGTGGAGGATTCTTCTCCACCGTGTCTTGCAGTATATTGTCCGACGGCTTTTGTGTCTTCTTTTGGGCGATCTGATTGGTCATCTGCGCTGCCTTCAAAGCCGCCTGCAGCAGCCCCGCCACATGGCCTTGCGTTTGGTCCTGCTGTCCTTGGTCGACTTGTGACCCAGGATGAGCAGTAACAATGAGCGAGCTGGTCGCTTCGTCCCATCTATAGTATTCCCCACCTACAGTGAAGTAGTAACCGCTGGCCGCGTCATAGTATACGCCAAGTCGGTGGTCGTAAAAGTAATCCGAGTTCGGATCGTAGGTCATTTTAGTGGTGTCGGGCTTGCCGCCTGTCACCCAAATCGCCTTGCACATCCACGCATCCAGGTATTGCTTGGCACCGGATGGAGCGTTCACCGATTGACACAGCTGCTCCAAAGCTCCCACATTGGTGGTCCTAACCTTGCAGGAGCGGTACTCCTTGTTGCCCATCTGCCTTGCTCCGGGGTCATCGGACATCGCAGATGCGGTAAACGTCTCACTGTGGTACTCATAATTGACGCGCAAAGTGTTCATACGCGCCCCTTTGAGCAGCTCATCTGCCACCTGCTTCTCGCGGGAACGGACTACATCTAACCGCAGGTATACATCCTGGAACTGCAAAAGGGTCGACAGCTTGTCACCCATGGCCTCATTAAATGCGTTGACAGGTGTCACTGACGAAAACTGACAGAACATGAATCCCCTCCGGCTTTGCGGTTGCGGGTCTATCACGTATACGCATTTCTGCAGATGCGCAGCGCCTTCCGGAACGCTGCCACATACCAGCAACACCAGCTTCGACGGGTCTGCCGCCATGGGTATGCCTTTCAACACCACCCAGGACGACACATCCGTGACGTTCGAAAGGATAGGTTGTGACTGCACACTGACTGCATTATCCACTAGCAGGTTCATCTTCTGCAGTTGCTCGTCGGAAGGCTTAGGTTTATCACAGGTGAGGCATGCAGACCGCCGAGCGAAATTAACAAATCGGCAGTCCGCACATATCCAGTCGCATGAGACTGTCTTGCGTTTCATCATCTGCTCTAGCTCCTGAAAATTTGCGTAGGCCCTCGGCACCTCGCTGACGGGCTTCTCAGCATTGACGTCCAAGGTGTCGTATTCCACGTAATACTCGGCACCATTCAGTTCGAGCTTGCGGCTACTGACGCACTCCATGAACCTCGCAGCGTTGGCTGGCGACGGGAAGGTGACGACAGCGAAATGTTCGGTGGAAGCGCCGAAACCATATCCGTCGGGGTTGACCTGGTGCTGCAAATCGGGACCGTTGTACATGTCATTCATGCCACCGTAACCGCTATGACAGGACTTCAGGGTCACTGCATTTGGAGCGGAGGTCCCGTTCTGGATGCATAGATCCGACACTGCAGACTCCACGTCCTCCGCGGAGATGGTGGGCGGCAGTTTACGCACCAGAATAGTTGCGCTGTTATCGTCGCTCTTCGAATCACCGTAGCTACGGCGAGGACGGTCATATCCATGCGTGCTGTGTCCATCCCTGGAGTCATCCCTGTTCCTACGGGACCCGAATCCTTGGTGACGCTTGTACCAGGGCTCCTTTTCTGTTGCATCAGGATTCGATTGCCTGTTATCTATATCTTCACTGTTAGATGCTTCCCCATGGTTTCCCTCACTGCCATCGGCCTGGTTACCTGTGGATTGATGTATTACCCGCTCTCGGCTGTCGACATACGAACCACGCCCAGAATCCAAACTATTCATAGCATTGCCCCATCGTGACACTTGTTCACGACTACTATCGCTCGAGCGCTGTTCCCCGCTGGAGTTACTGGAATGATGAGCAGTGCGTGTTTGCGAATTGTCAGCACCACGAAACTCATGTTTATCACGGCGCTGTTCATGATCCCGGCTCAGCGTACGGTCGTTGTCCCTGCCAGCATCCCGTGAAGTTTCCCGATCATTACCCAATTCATGCTGGCGACTAGATGCCGTATCGCGTTGGGGCACGCTCCGATCCTCCTCTGAACTGTACCTCCTAGAACTTTTCGAAGCAGAGCTATGAGTTCCCGCGGCATCATATACGGGCTCCGATGAGTTTCCACCGTGACGATTGGCTTCACGTGAGTATCCGGAGTAATCGTCTCGGTCTCTGTTCCGGTAACCTGGGTACCTGCGATCGTAGTCACCCTCAGGTCCGTCACCGCCCCGAGGGCGATCATCGTAATCACGGCCATAACGGTCATAACCGCGGTCTCCATCACCATAACCCCTGTCACGACTCCAGCCACTGTGTCCTCCATCTTCGTAGCGTCTGTCATAGCCATCGCGCCCTTGGTCTCTATCATGGTAGTCGTAGCCACGATGGCCGTAGTCGTACCCTGAATTCCGGTCGTCATAACGTCGTCCGCGTGATTCACGAGGGCCATCATGGTGGTAGTAGTCTCTTTCGTGCTCACCGTATTGTCTTCTCCAGGCGTCATCACCGCGACCGCGGTTGCGGTCATCATGCGGGTACCAGGCACACATCCTTCTAGGACCCTTCCTACGAAAAAGTCCTCACACAAAAGCTAATAATCACGGTGACAGCGAATGCCATGATAAAATCGGTTAAGGCGAGGTCTGAAGCCATGTCGGAGGCATGAGCTGGTCCCAAATATCTGGGCGGGCGCGGCGCCGCAGCTCGTGCTGTTGACTAGAGATGGCAGCGAAGCCCCGGTCGGAACCGCATAAGTATTGACTTGCAACCTTTTGCTATAGTAGCAGATGTGTTGTACGACGTTGGAAGACTAACAACGTCGCCACAACGTGCGCCCATTCGGTGGGACTGCTGTACACCTGCCGCCATCTTCGCTCGCCTCCGCATAGACAGCGCGGAATCTCGTATAGACACGGGAGAATAGTGCTGAGGCGGATATCTTATATTCCATCGTCTCACAATCGCACCAAAATGGGAGGCGCGAAGGAGAAGTCGCGCGAGGCTGCCGCTACGGAAGACGCCGAGGCGGCATCCCCTTCCGAGTCCACGCAAGCGCCGAGGAAGCACGACTACTTCACTGACGTCCTCTTCAGCGATCTGGAGCTGTCCGAACCGTTGCTAAAGGGGCTCAACGAGCTCTCCTTCGAGCGCACCACTGAAATTCAGGCCAAGTGTATCCCGCATCTGCTGCAAGGCAAGGACGTCTTGGGAAAGGCCCATACTGGTGAGTAGTTAGCAGTGATGTTGCGATATAGTGCCATCATGGTCGTTGTAAAAACCGGGTTCTTGTCTGTTTTACATAGGCACCGGGGTTGCGGCGCATACCACGAGGCAATCCCTTTCACGTTGTTGTTCTAATGAGCGTTTACGACATTTGTTTATCAAGTTGGTTGTTGCTATAGATGTATATTGCACCGTAGTGTTGTTCAACGTTGTATTTTCGCGTGTTGACCCTCATTCGTGATTAGGTTCTGGTAAGACCTTGGCATTTTTGGTTCCCCTGGCCGAGTTGCTTTTCCAAGTCAAGTTCCTCCCAAGAAATGGAACTGGCGGTCTGATCATATCTCCCACGCGTGAGCTCAGTGAACAGATCTTCTCCGTCGCCAAGGATGTCTGCAAGTACCTGCCGCAGACCATCGGTATCGTGATGGGCGGCACCAATCGCAAGAACGAAGCTGAGCGCCTCACTCGTGGCGTGAACATCCTAATCGCAACGCCGGGAAGACTTCTTGACCACATGCAAAACACCAACGGTTTCCTTTATAAGAACCTGCTGGTCTTCGTGATCGACGAAGCTGATCGCATTCTTGAGATCGGGTTCGAGGAGGAAATGAACCAGATTATCAAGCTGCTTCCAAAGAAGCGCCAAACATGCCTGTTTTCGGCGACGCATACGTCAAAGGTCGAGGACATGGTGCGCCTGTCGCTGACCAACCCCGTGTTCGTCCAGGTATGATACGAGTTTCTGGCGTCTAATTTTCGTAGGCATGCTCAAAAGACGTCGCCACAGTGGCCACCCTGGAACAGGGATATGTGGTATGTGAGGCCGAGAACAGGTTCATGCTGCTGTTCTCTTTCCTCAAGCGCCATCTCGACAAGAAGATTATGGTCTTCTTCAGCAGTGGCAACTCGGTGAAGTTCCACGACGCACTGCTGAACTATATCGACATACCTGCTAAGTCGATTTACGGGAAGAAGCAGCAAAACAAGAGGTCCGGTGCCTACTTTTCGTTCTGCGGCGCCAAGGTACGTCTGGCCATTACCCTCCTGATATGACTTTAGTCTGGGATCCTGCTGTGCACGGACGTGGCGGCCAGAGGCTGGGACATACCCAAGGTAATTTTTGCGCCCATAAGTTACATGACATGCAGGTTGATTGGATCGTTCAGTACGACCCCCCCGCAGACCCCCGCGACTACATCCACCGTGTGGGTCGTACGGCAAGAGGCGCTGACGGCGAGGGCAAGGCCATCATGTTCCTAATGCCGGAGGAGTTGGGATTTTTGCACTACTTGAAGGAGCTCAAGGTGCCGCTGAGCAAGTACGAGTTCGAGCTCAGCAAGATCGCAAACGTGCAAGTGCAGCTGGAGAAGCTGGTGGAGAAGAATTTCTACCTTAACCGAGCGTCCCGCGAGGCTTATAGGGCATACTTACATGCTTACCTATCGCACAGCCTTAAGGACATTTTCAACGTGCACTCGCTGGACCTGGTGAGGGTGGCACGGTCGTTCGGGTTTTCGAACCCGCCTAAGGTTGAGCTCAACATAAAGCACGCCGACCGCAAGAAGCGCCCGCGGGAGCACACGGAGACTGAGATGCGCCGCGAGCAGCCGTCGACGAAGCTCCTGTCCAAGAAGAAAGGGGACAAGCGGCAGTTCTCGCGGTAGTGAAACACTGGCATATTAATTTAGCAGTGTTGACAATTTGAGTTTACGCTTTAGCGTCTCGACAAGCCGAATTCCTTCGTGCAATACCGGCATGATTGGCCCGGTTTTCATTTGTATGTCTAGTAGGTAGCACATGTACTTCATTTTGTAAAGCTGCATTGTAAACTGGAATTGCATCCGCTGCTTGCGCGACGGGTCTCGCCGGCAGTAGACCTTGAACCCGGGAGCAAATCGCCACTTGTAGCCCAGCTCCCTCAACGTGTCCGTTAGCTGCGTGATGATGACGGTAACACACTAGAGGAAACCAACCAGGTTAACACACTGGAATTCCGATTTAAATCCGGCCACGCCCATCGACCATCGTGGTTTGAAGCGGCTGCACTTCAGCGCCACGGCGCTCGCAGCCTCCAGGTCGTCGTCTTGTGGCTTCTCGAGACGGATCGACTCGTGTTCGTCGGTTACCGACCGGACGGCGGGATGAAAAGTCAACGCCGGGCTGCTGAAGCCGGCGATGTACGCGGCCGCATTTGGGCCGCTCTCGTCAAAGTTGCATCCGACGAACCATGGGTGAGCCCTTGGTCAGGGTTAACACATGCAAACTGGAAACCTACAAAAGCTCCCTCATGGTGATACGTGTAACGGGGTTTACGTCCAGCATGCGTTGCAACAGGGCCCTCGCATCATTCGACAGGTGAGACGGCTCGTGATATTTGCCCAGTTTTATTTTGACGAACAATATTGACATCTCGTCATCATCGAACGGTAGGCAGCCACACAGGAGCACATACAATATGATTCCGCAGGACCAGATGTCAATCTCGGGACCTGAATAGCTCTTCCCACAAATTACTTCTGGCGAAGCGTAGTTGGGGGATCCACAGGGAGTCCTCAGGCATTCCCCGTAGCTGTAGGCGTTGATTGCGCACCGGTCGTCACGTACCGCATAGAGTTACACAGGCCGAAGTCTCCGAGCTTGACGTTCAGGTTACCGTCCAGCAGTATGTTCTCCGGTTTGATGTCTCGATGGCAAATCTATGAGCAATGACCCAAAGAGTAATTAAACACACCATTTTGCTGTGGCAGAAGTCTACTGCAGAGAGGACTTGCCGCATCAGCCGAATTGCCTCCGGTTCGCTCAAGCGCGAGTTTTGCGATATATAGTCGAAGAGTTCGCCTCCTGTGGGCATAAAGTGACCGATTCGGTCCGAGCTTGCTCAACCCACCTTCAACGTATTCCATGACGATAAACACAGTCGTCGGTGTGTCGATCAGTTCATGTACGTATATTACATGCGGGTGACGCAAGCCGGACATAGCTCGGATTTCTCGAGCTAGCTTGTTGAGAACCCCGGCTCTCACGGTCTGCCCTTTGTGTATGATTTTGACAGCGACACGCCGCCCGGTCTCGCAGTGGATTCCAACTGAGCGACTTCTATACAAACGGACAATATACACTTACGGCGGACCTTCCCGAACGACCCTACACCGAGCGTTCCCAGAAGCGCGTACCCCTTTACGATAGTGATGTCGCTTCGCCGCGGATTCAATGCCGTTGTAGCCCGGGAGCTGGCGGGGGCGGCTGGCCCGCCAGCGTCCCAGTTAAGCTGCAACATTCCGACAAGTTCGGTTTGTTTGTACGCATACCACCGTATTGCGTACTAATTAGCCCCGGGTCAAACGTGGTACCCTCATCCGACGCGCTGCAGTGGGGAATGTGTCCTGTTATAAAAGGGCGAAACCAACCGATTTTTTGTTTCCTTGGAAGCTATGCAATTGTCACGATTGGGAGCGGTCTGGGAGTGGGCTGCATGGCCCGCTCGTGCGTCTCCTGTTCGAAATCTGAACGTGCGAGTTAGGTCGCGACAAATATCGCTCAGCCCCGCATCCGCTAACTCTAGCGACTCTCGAAGCGAATTTATATCAACTAGAAGGCCAACTAACCGCATCAAAGCCAGTGGATATCAATCATGCGCATTTGATTCGCAATGCGGTAATTTTGCTTCTGCGCATTGCAGAGCCAGTGCTGACGAAAACAGCCGCAATACCGGCCGGCAGCGAGAAATTTTGAGATCCGATGCCGTGGAAGTGGTATCTTTGTTACACCCTTGGTCCCATCCACTCCCCGGGCCCCGTGGACATGCCTACCAAATGCAGCGCCGGCGCGTTGCAACAGGCCGGGACGATGGCCCTGGAACGGAGTGGAGGCGGCGAGTGATAGGCTGCCAGCCACTTCAGAACTTGAAGGTTGGGCCTTACAAGCGTGGCAAGTGGTTCGTGAGCTACAAAGAAGACCCCGGAAGCTTCATCACCAACATTCTCATCCTGTTGGTCACGGGCTACTCTATCTTCACTATGTTGCCGGGTAAGCGGGTTCTAGAATGCTTTCTGTATAAAAATACTCAGGTGAATCGATGAGTGTCCGAAGGCAGCGCAAGATGCGCCAGCTGCTTCTCGACAACGCCCAAATGACGGAGGCCGACCTCGCATACATTGAGAACTACCGTCTCCCAGAAGAAGATGACTCAAGCTGAATGTGTGTGATGTCAAGGACGTCATGAAAGGTCGATGTGTGCAGGTCTGGCATGCACAGTGAAGGCCATTATCGCATAACACGGTATATCGCTCAATGCTACACACAGAGCTAAATGAGCGTACTGCTGTATGTTCACAGGGGTTTCCGGTAACGATCGTGCATTGTTGCGTTATTGCCGTAAATATGAACCCTTATGTGTAATGATTACGCCGCACTATGTTGGGGGGTGGGTCAGGAGTCAAGTGGCACCATGGCGCCTGTTTCGTCGATTGATCCACTCATCCAGCTGGAGGTGCCGGCTCCTACGTAGCCCTCCCTGGTTCCGAGCTCGGATTGCTGTACATATTCGGGGGTGAGGCGCGGCCACCTTATGCTGCAGAGGTGCTCGAGCTTCAGTTTCTCCAGCACGCTGAGGCCTTGAAAGGATGCGATTGGCGAGCATATCCCATCGTAACTCTTAAAAACGATTAGACCGCATTAAAAGCACCTACCGTTGGGGCTATGCAGACGGTAGAGGCGATTTTGGTCCACTCCAGTGGACACAGCATTGTGTTGTCAATTGGCGTATCGTTCACGCATGGCCAGCTCGCATGGCACCGCCACGCGTAGTCCTCACGCGCCTTGCTGTCCATATTGTCGAAGCTTTTGCGCTTCTCACAGGGTCCGTCATAGTCTGCAGGTGCAGTGCAGACTTTTTCCGACTCGTCCCATGACCATTGGTTTGGGCACGGGAGGGAGTAATTGCGCCTGCACTGTCCGATGTACCAGAACTGCTTTAGATGCTCCGATGCTAGCCCTACAAGGTCTGAACCAAATATTTGATGGACACTTTGGCGGCATCCTTACCTAGTCCTTCCACTGCTCCATGCTCGAATGCTTTATACTCTTTCTTGGCCTCCTCTAACCCCTGCAAATAAAGATACAACACTCGCTAAGATCTCTTGACCACTAACACTTTCAAGGGCATTATGGTACAACTTTTCGAATTTCTCCTGCTGCTGCAAAGGTGTTAGATGTCTGTTGTGTCAAACGTACCTTTTCATGGGCAGCTTTCGGGTCGAGGTTTGCTTCCTCGCTTTCACCCTCTTCCGCGACTTCGTCGAGCTGCTCCGATAGCTCTGCGACGTCCCTGAGGTGTTTTTGTTGCCCTCAAATAATACACATCGACCTACTTGGTGATTGCCTCCGCCGGGGTTTCCGGCGGCGGCTCTGAGAGTATGCAGTACCCGGGGAAGGCCGCTAAGCCCACACACCAGATTAATATGTGATATACTTGCATTACTGATCAATATATGGCGTCACTGCATCGCGACGAACGACGCATTGCGCCTGTCTTCCGCGATGTTGTTACACACTACCTATGGGGAACGACATCACCTGAAACAATCACAAACAATGTCGCTATGCAGGGCGTTTTAGCAGGTATTTTAATTAGCCTCTGGGCTATTGCGTGGATTCCGGCGGTATATACCGTATCGGAGCAGCACAAGTTGACGCCGTTCGGCCCGGTATGTCTACTGCTTGAAAATGTCCTTTGAATGCCTACACACATGCATCAAAATGATACTGCCTGTTGTAATGTGGTATATGTGTGCTGTGGCAAACTATATATTGGCTCAGGGCATGAGGAATGCGGTCATGAGTGGTATTCAAGACTCTGCGGACTTCGCCGTCAAGATACACGTAAGCAGCACTGGCCAGTCATCATACAGCCACAGCCACCTGTGGAAGACCTAGATGAGACGCTGAAGTCGCTGGGTAGGTGTATGCTGCGATGTACATCGTTACAACTTTCAGATGGGATTATGATGATGGAAGACGCTGAGCGCCATGCCGCCAACGAAGACTTCGTCGACGCCGAGCAGCGTCTGCTGGCAGTCCACAAGGCCAAGATTAGGTACGCAAATAAGCCTGGCATTGTGTTCATGACGTAGTTGCTCTGTGTTTCGTGACAATTCAAATCACTGCTCATGCGCCGCAGGGAAATTGTAGCAGCTGCGATGGAACCCATACACGCTATGGTAGGCGCTAATGCTCATGTAATAATACGCGCAGTTCCCTGTAAAATTCCAGGAGGTCATGGAGAATGACAACGAGCTTTAACACATCGTAATGTTCGCAATCGCAATTATGCCATCGCTGTTGTTGAGGCCTACCACATATCGCGGTACGCCTCTAGTGCTTCCTGAAGGCACTTCATCCCAGTGAGCTCTGCAATTTGCACCATAACTGAATAGCTGTGCCTGCAAACTCTTGTTTAATTTACAATAGCAACTCACTCCCAGTTCTCCGGAGACAGGCGTTGGACGTACTCCCCGCCACAGTCGCAGATGTGGCTCAGCGGCAGCTGCTTCACAGTGCGGCATTCGCGGCAGAGCGTGTCTTGTGCCTGGTACGCGCAGAAAAGATGCTGCAGGAACTTTATCATCCTGAGCTCTACATCGCGGTTGCTCAGACGTGCCCCGCACAGTTCACAACGCCTATATGTGATTTTAGGAGCACAATTGCAGCTCAGCTTACCAGAAATGCGTTACTACACCGTCTTCATCCTCCTCAGACGAAAAGCTTGACAGGAGGTCGAGGTTGAAGACCATGAAACATTCGCTGCAGCACACCGCACGCAACTCGATCCTCCGCATCGGAGATATCCAATCGACGGCAGCGTACTCGCTCTCTCCTGCTATTGTGAAGAGTCGGTGCCGCTTCTCATCATAAGCGGTGATCTTGGCAAGATCGTTCCAATCTACTGCCCTGTCTATGCGCATAATGTGCGTCACGAGCTTCACGGCCTCCAGACGCCAGTTGGAACTGCCGTAAATCATGCTTCCCGGCAGATTCGGGATATCCAGGCGGCCTAAGGCTCCCTGACCGCCGAATGTCCACAGGAAGTATTGGGTATTTTCCAGCAGGTCGCACATCCGTGAAAAAAACTTGCCGGGCTGCAGCCAGTCCTTCACGATATTCTCCTCGAGAGTCTTGCACAGCTCGTTGTTGTCGCGTTCCAGAAGCGCAGGTGGTTCACGAGGCGCTACCTCCGATGCAGTCTCGTCGGCGTCGTACTCGTAGAATTCGCCAACAGTCTTCCACAGGGGATTAAGAGCCACCGTCTTCATGAAACTAGGACACCATGCAGAAAAGTGACACTTCAACCTACTATCGGATGAACATCTCTACCGCCCCGGGCAGGTACTCCAAGGGCTTCAGACTCTCGGTGCAGTTGTCATGCGTAGCGTCCACATAGTTCTTGTACCGGATGTAACAGTCGGGAGCCAGCTGTACTTGCGCTAGGTACTCCTCCTCCAGCTGCCCAGATTAAGCAATTGATCCAGACAACTTACGTAAAAAGGTATGTTGCGGAAACGGGAGTCGCCCGATCCTAGGTTGTCAAACGCTTCGTGGACACGGCTGCGGCCCTTGGTGACGCTCAGCGTGTTCGTGTCGACAACGACGTATGACTGCGATACGTGGACGGTGCGTAGCTGGTGGAAGTGCTCGACATGCTGCAGAAGCGACGCGAGGTACTGCTGAGTGCATAGGATCGCCTACAATGCCATGAGATAGAAAAAAAGTTTGACTCACTCTAGAATACAACGCCGAATCGTACATGATGGACCCGGGGTCGCTCAACCACGGGTTGATGAAACTACAGATATTCATCAGACTCTGGAACGTCCCGTATTCGACCTTCTCGAATACGGTGTTGGTCAATTTGATCAGATTGTCGAGCATCCCACTCAGGGCACGGAAAGCCAGCGGGTTGAACTCGGCCGTATGCGCCATCCTCATGTCATGTTGGAGCTCTTCATTGCCGTAGTCCGGCGCCGACTTCTTCAAGTCACAACCAGCCAAGTCGGCGACATCGCCCGCACGAGACTCCAGCATGATGGCGTTGTACATCAGCGTCTGGTTAAATGAGATTTTCGCGCCGTAACCACGATATATCCCCGGCGACGACATGCGGAACGCATTTTCTTGGAAATCAATATCGTATTCAGAGGCTGGCATGTGGACCGCGTTAGGCAGCCCGAGGTCACAACCTGCTTCAGCTGTACCCCAAAGTAGCTATAAAACATTAGTCGTAAAGGATAAAACAACGTACAGCAGAAGAAGAGCGGAGAGCCCTTGCATACATCACGTCCAACACGAGCTTGTTTGCATCAACCACGCTCATCCCCAGCAGGTTGCCCACAGGCAGCGATGCTATCCTAGACATGGCAAACTTCAGCTCTACTTCATTTCTTTGCTTGTAAAGCAACTCTAAAGAGGCCTCTATCGCCTTCCTGTTGAGAAATTAAGCGCTGATGTAAGGGAACTCACCCCACGAAACCATCCGAGGGAAGCTGGCGGTGGTCGGCATTCACATCGCGGTCCCATTGCACCGGGCATCCCTCACCTGATACCAACTCTCCGAGGTCAGAGTCCTCAACTGTTGAATATACGTAGAAGACACACTTGCGATACAAAACCTGGGGTTGGAGAGTCTGGAGGTGATTCGCTAGTTTGCGCAATGCGCCACGGCACCCCAAAAATGAGGTAGCTCCCAATTCTAAATGATGGTCATAAAGCCCCCCAAAACACTCGGGGAACCCTTCCGGATTGGAGTAACTCTCATGATGGATGCTTTCGTGGCTTTTGTATCGAGCGCGCTGTCTGTCCAACGCCGACTGGAGATTACCTGAAAACTCTGACTCGAGGCGCGGAAACTGGGAAGAGGCTCCACCGACGAACATTTGGTTCACTGTGTCCTTGCCTTTGCGGTAAACGGCAGCAAATACCCGATTGCGCTTACGAGTGTCGGGGTTGACGCCGTGAAGCACGTGCACGAATACCACATCCACATCTTCCATATATCGCGGATCGGACGCATTCAGTGACGTGATGCCTTGCAGTGCAGATGACTTGAACTCAGAAGCTTTTGTCACGGCGGCCGACGGGTCACTTCGTGAAACGTGAACGACGTTCCCCAACTTAACCGCAAAGTCGAATGAAATCGGTAGCTGCGCCTCGTATATGCCCAACACGGTTTTGTGGAAAATGGAGCTCAGCGAATTCCGGATATTTTGCTGAAAATAGGTTTCGCGCATTTCCAGCTCTATAAGGTTCTTTTGCACTGAACCGCGTGGAAGGATACACCTCTCCTTAATGACGCTGACCTTGATGTTATCATTCGACCTTACATCCCACTGGGTCAAACAGTTTACGTAGATCTTTCTCCAAAGCTCGACACGCACGGTTGCGAACACCGGCTTGTTCTGTATTGCAACGACACATATCATGACTCCAGGGTCGTCTGGGTCCAGGCGACAGCTGTAAACGTGCCAGCGCTCGGTGAGTAGCATGTACATGTTGGAGAAGTCGACGTTGGATTTGGGGGCAGCGGTGGTCTCATCTGCCGGGGCGGCGTCAGCTGTCTGGTCCTTATCAATGGCCGCCCCAAGCATCTCATGCTTCAACCTAATGTATGGCGAGTAGCCGTGATCATGCTTGATGTTGCGACGGTATTTATGGAAGCCGTGTATGAGCGATTTCCACTGTTTTTTCAGCGCCGCAATCCAGCTGAGCGGCGCTGGCATCGCATTTGGCTTCTTTACACTCTCAAGCTTATATTCAACAGGACTATTTGATGAACCGGGATCCGATTCAGCAGAGGCGGTGGGTTCTGAGGTACGTTTTTTTGCCGCCACATGACCATTAGCATCTTTAGAAACCGAGAAAAAGGAGGTTATATCCATCTGACGCTGGTCAGACACCTCCCTTCGTCTCTTAAGCCACCCGGGTAGCTGAATCATTGGTATGGGGTTATCTAAACCTTGCAAAACGGCCGGAATGCACACCAGTTTCAGCAGTTGTGTGTCCAGCTTCTCGCGGTAGTAGTCCCAGTCCAAGATATCTCGTACTCCAGAATTCATCGCCGTGCTCAACTGCACCTTCAGCCATCGTGCGAGACACTGCGCACGAAGCGAGTCTTCCACCTTGAAGGTCTGGATGGGTATGGCACGCGCTGTGCGTGGCGCGGCTGAAGGATGGGCGGCGAGCAGAAAAGACATGCTCAAGTTGCTGTCGTGCAAATAGGAGTCGTTCTTAAAGAGTTCCGCCAAACGACGGGCCGTGGTGATGCCGAAGCACTTCTGTTGGCCTTGTTTGATCACCGGATTTTTCACGGTCTTTCGAGCTACGAGCAAGTCAAACATGTCGTCGTCTTCCAGGTTAGTGGCCCGAGAGTCAAGGGATCGCCGATAACTTAACCCGACTGCAGCAGCACTCTGATACGCCTCTTCTTTGGTTGAACCCAACAAATATCGCGGGAAAATCTCCTCCTGGAACATCTGGATCATGCGCATCTCACCGCGACGCTTAATCTCGAACCCCTTCAACTCGACAATTTGCTTCTGGTGGTTGAAGACAACGTATCGCTTCTTCAACAGGTCTTCCGATTTCTCGGAAGCGGGCAGAAACATCGCATGCCAAGGTCCATCGAGTTCGAACAGGATTTCGTTACGACGTACGCGGCGGTAACGTCCCACGTCTTCCATCTCCAGATACTGGTCGTTGGTCCACTGGCTTTCAATCAGGCGATTAAGGATGGTCGTCATGTACTCGAGTTCTACGGTTTTCGATCCGCCAGAGTCTGATGAGCCCTTTTTGTACTTAAGATCTACCACCGCTGGGAAGACATCGGGGAGCATGCACCAGATTCCATCAGTGTCCAGCTCTATGGGCGTCCCTATATCCCGGATCAGACGTTGTGCGGCATCTATGATTTCAGCGCCCGCATATGTGACAATGGCACCCATTTCCATGCTGTACCAGCGCGATCCACCACGCTTCACATAGCCGTAAAAGCTGTTCAGAATGCACTTGTGGGCAAGCTGCAGCGAATCGTTCAACAGAATGCAGTCCCTAGCCTCTTTGATGCGCACGGTGTTTCCTTTGGGCTGGCGCAGTAGACTTTTCAACTCAGTTTCGGCGTCCTTTTTGAGCTTTTTATATACGTAACGTTTGTCGCGGAACTTCAAAACGGTCTGCACGTAGAATGGGTTCTCTCGTTGGCAGACGATGCTTTCGGCATCCACTTCTTTGTTTAGCTTCATTTTATGAAATACACGCTGCGAATACGCCTTGATAACCTTCTGCAGCTCAGCTCCACGCTCGCGGTCGCCCAGCTGCTGCCACGTGCGCATGGTCTCACGCCCTCCTGTGGGATGGGGGGAGTCGGATTCGTCCCCCGAACTATCCGAATCACCACCCTCAATGCGATCGGAAGATGTATACTGTATCGTCGTTGATCTGTACGTACGAGATTCAAGATCCTTCATCAATGGGAGAATGTGGCTGCGGTCCACTGGCGAGATCTCCAGCTTCTGCTTCCACTGCATGCGCTTTTGGCAGACAGATGACTCGTTGTAATACGAACACTGCTGGCAGAATTCATCCGTTACGATGGCCGTTGGCTGCAGACGTTGCGAAAGAATGATGTTCGGGTACATGGCGCCCACGTCCAGGTGATAAATGCGCGGGAACGTGTGAAACGTGGGACGGTCACGCAGCCTGCACAACCGTTGTTGTATGTCGCGATAAACATCTTCGAAGTTAGAAAACCTAGAAAAACGCCGCCTAAGCCAACCCGGAGGCCGCCGCACATTGCTGTTCGACTTCTGTTCGTTGCAAGTGCCGTTGGCGTCTGAAGGTGTTGCACCTTGCGATGTATCTTCAGCGCTCATCATGCCGGTGTCACGTGTATTTGGGCCTGATTTCTGCTCCATACCACTGCCGGCATCGCCGGAAGCACCGTTTGTCGAATCAACCGGATGTTCATCCATTGCAGTGTCGGAATCGGAGCCGTCGCTTCCAGCATCCGTACTCTCGTCGTTGGACAGGTTCGCATCCGCCCATGATTTCAGAGTCATGTCGAGATCGTCGAGTAGTTCCTGGTATTTTTTGCTGCTGAGCTCGAACCTTTCCTCGAGGTCATCGCGGAACAGGCCACAGCGCAACGTCTCCACCCGAGCACCTATATACGAGTTCTCGTAAATAAGGTGGTACTTGGATGTGACGGGATCCCTGAAGTAACGAATGCCAGACTGCTTGTGCTTGTTGGGGAACAGCACGCCGTGAGCATACGCTTCGGCCATCAGCAAGTTCTCACAGAGGGTACCACTTCCCTGTCGCAGCACGTCATTTGGAGGAAGTGGCACGATGTAGCAGAGCGCGAAGACGAAGCTGTGAATGAACTTCATGTACAAGAAGTACGTTGCGACGGCATCGGAGACGCTGTATACCGCCAGAGTTTGCGGGTCGTTGCGAGCACACGGAACCATATCCTCCGGGTCCAGCTCGGCAGGGTTGTACTTCAACTTGATTTTGCAAACCTGCTTCAGGGTACGCGATCCGAATGGAAGGTACGAATCCCTCTCCACCCACTTGTAGCAATCCATGTTCACCATCACGCGGCTGGTGAACACGTCTGAATTGGAACGGTACACTCCCAGCGACTTCTCCATGGACAACCCGTTCAATTCCGCCCTGCGCTGTACGTACGGGAAGTCAAAGGAATCGCCGTTGTAGGTCACAATGATGTGAGGAGCCAGCGACAATATCAGGTTGAAGAAACGTTGCAGAAGGTCAGCCTCATTCGGCTCGTTGAACACTTTGAAGCAACCGCCACCCGCCATCTCTTCCGATGGCTGATAGGAGAACTCTGTAATATCTTGCGCAACCACGCAACGGTTTACGATTAGGTACCCCTGTCCGTTGAACATGATGGAGATCAGGATGATCTCGTCCGTCTCGACGTCGGGGAACTTGAGCGGGGCCTTGTAACACTCTATATCCCACGCAAACACGTTTACAGGTGGCAGAGTCGCCTTGTTCAGAGCGGTCAAACGCACTGCATTCGGCAGGCGCTCCACATCGTACCACGTGCCACAACGGATGGACAGGTCGATGGCGACGCGATTGACGTACTTCACGTCGTGCTCGTATATGTCACCCAGATGCGATAAACATTCGGCGTCCTTCCCTCCCTCATCTTTTATGGTAGATGCATGTGTAGCGGCGGAGCCTAAACTAAGTTGGGACATTGATGCCGCCTCGTACTGCTGGAGCGTGTAATCACTCATCACAAATTGGGTTCCCGGGGCAGAACCAGATAATGATCCCGCACCGCCATCCGAAACAGCCTGCGCCTTTTCCGCTTCTCGTTTAAGCGACTGAACAACCGAACGAGCCTTCTCTAACTGGTCGATCGTGTTGAAGCTGATCTTGATGAGGTTTCGTATCCCATGCATTGGACGTCCCGTCTGTGGGTCGAAACGCTCGATATGGTTTGGCAGCGACAGATCCACGCGGTTGCAGTGCTCCAGCAACGCCGGTCCGACATTGTGGCTGCCAAACTTCGCGTTCAGAAAGTCGATAACGGCGTCGACGTGGTAATTTCCAACCACCGACACGTAGAAGTAAGGCGCGTGGACCACAGCAGTATGCCACTCAGACCCATCTTCGGAAACGAAATATAGCGCCAAAGCTGTACGCGCTACCTTCCCGGCGGAGTCGGCTGCATTTTTGGGTATTCCCGAGGTCGACCTGTTGAGTGAGAAGTCTATCTCCTCATGAGCCCCTGACTGGGTGACACAGACAGCATCCGAGACCGTTGTCGGCACTACGTTGTACAGGAATCCAGACCTGTGGCCAAACAGCGACCAGCGTGGCGACCGCCGCCCAGGCCGCATCTCTCCTGTTTATCTTGCGATGGAAGGCACCGTTACAAAACTACGCGCATCGTTCCAGACAGGGACGGAATAATATCGGTGCAAATACTGCAACACGGCATCTAAATTATGTAGCCTTCTGCGGTTGTGCAGCCGCGGAAAACGGGAGGCCCGAAGCAACGGTTCGACGAAGGCACTACACACGATCACCGCTGTAGCCACGAGCATATACGTCACACACTTTGACTTCTACTTACCAAATTGCGCAAATACAGCTAACAGAATCATTGGTGGCGGCTACGGTGGCCAATTGAGCTGTAGAATATCTGTGTTTGGCTCGACGTCACTTGGCCCTTACGGAACAGACAGCGACGTCGTTGGCGCAAAGTCGCCTCGCAGACATACACTTCAGTTACGTCAATTAAGAGATGCAGACCGCTTAAAACCTGCATATAACGCTAGTCTGGTAAAACATCTAACACTATAACCACAAATTCCATGTCTACCGCTGAATGAATAACGACGCCGTGCTCACAATGTAGCTACGTGCACCGATAGGCGCTTAACGCAGGCGGCAAAACAAGCTAACCAATAAGCCAACGCAAAATTACATATTGGATGAACAAGTATTAGCAGTAACGATGTTAGATGTTGCCACGACACGCGGCTGTTACCAGAAGCATTCGTAGTTAGCCAGCGCGTTCTGACACTGATTGTGGTACTTCACCTGCATATCGTAGTATGACATGGGGTTCTTGTTGAAGCGTTCCAACTCGCGCTGCGTGCATAGCAACGACTCCGGACGGAGGTAAACATGTGGCTGCGAGTCACGGGGCTCCTCACCATCAGCTGCCTCTCCCAAGCTCGACGCAACCTTGTACTGCGCCACCAGTGACCGGAATGCCGTGCGCGACTGACGATAGGCCAGTTCTAGACGTAGGCGCCACAGGTCCATGGCCATGCACTCCCTGGTAATGTCACTAGAGAGCAACCATGCCAACCGGTGGTCGCTGTTCTGGCAGACGTTGCATAGGTTCATTCCAGCACGGTTCACGTAGAAGTCACCGCACGCGTGGTCGTCGTGTAACACGTCACCACAGTGGTCGCAATTCTTGCAGTCACCATAGCCACCGCACACATAGCACGATTCAGTGGCACCCCAGGTCAGATCGATAAGGCTCTGCAGGTTCTCGCAACCCTGGGTGCCCGCACACTGGCGCGATAACGCCATGCACGCCGTTTGTATGTGGCGCTTCGCCCTGGAATAAAAGTCGGGGAAAGCGCAACCGGACTCCAAGCTCTTCGTCAATGTCACCTTGTTGTTCTCCAGCGCAATGATACCCCAAGGAATACCAGCCGCGAATTCCTTGGTGTTGGCCAAGTCCCACTCCTTCATCGTGCGGCCTCCAAGTACCAAAAGTTTAGCATAATTCAGCTGCGAATGGTTCAACTGCATGCTGTCCTCGACCACCACAGTAACAGGGCTAATAGGCATGATTAACCCTGACCCCAAATCACATTCGCCTCTCAGCCTAAGCCTTGTTTGTGACCTCTCGTAACGGTAAAGGTCACCAGTGGTCCGGATGCCATTGAGGATGTCAATGGGAGAGGGGCTGTTCTTCATGCTGCTGATCTCGCTCTTGCACCCGTGCATTGACGCAATGTCAAACATGAGCTGGCTCAGCGTATCGTACTCGAGTCCACTGGCTTTCGCAATTTCGATTGCTTGCAGAGTTTCAGCTGTGGTGTCCGGCTGAACTCCGACTATCCTGCGGCAGTTCTTAGCGCCACAGAGGCACTTGAATCCACCGCCAACACCACGAGAGGAAAAGCCGTAGTTGTATGTCACCTCTTCACCCTTCGCAATGCGCCGCTGAGCGAACACACCCATGCGGAACGTGCCGTTGACATAGTAAGGCACACTCGAGCAGTTAGGCTCACACGAGTGGTTGATGAAGCGAGCAACATTCCCCATGTTCGTCGAGTCGATGTAAACATCCTTGTGCACCTTCATAATGTACCAGTGGCTCTGGTTTGCGTTATCCAGCTCAGCAAAACTCCAACTGCTCACGCAGCGCTGAAACTGCGCCTGCGTTATCACCCTGCCCACGTATTCGCACACCAGTTCGTCCTCATCGATGTCTTCCGTCGCGAAGGCGCCCATACCCTTGCCCTCAACCATGCGCAGACGCAACTTCGGGATGCCCATGTTTTTGAAGCGGCGGTTGCCACAGTTGATGTCACCCAAATTGCAGTTCACGTTGTTGCACTCGATGTGGCGAGCAATGTTTGAGCAGCCCGTCGAGCATCCGTATGTGCATGTACACCTTGCGGTTGCCTGCACCCCTGATATCGAGCGCAGCGAATCATCCGTAATGAGGTTGCTGGTCATGTAGCGGAACTCGCTACACAGACGCAGGACAACCACCGGATCGATTTCGCGCACTATGATGCTGAACTCCTTGGAGTGCATACGGTTCAGGCACGTGCGGACCTGGGCCCTCAGCTCACGTCGAGACGAGGCAATCAGCGGATGGCGCAGCGCCGTAGACCGCGTGGATTTCTTTGGCTTACCATCTTCTTCATCGTCGCTTGACACTTCAACTAGGCCAGCTTTAGGCGTCTTAGTGGCCTTGCCAGGCCGAAGACCTTTGTCTGTCTTGGCGCGCCGAACATATTTCCTACGTTGAATCTCTTCGCCCTCCTGTACCGGTGTATCGCCACCCTCCTGTGCCAGTTTGGGTTGCCGACCTGCTCTCGGAGATTTCTCCGCATTGGCACGTGGACGACCGCGCCGGCGCTTTTCAATCTGTGCAGGTGCCTCAGCAGATATATCCGCGCTGGCGCCAACTTCACTGACTTCTCCTTCCTGATCGTCTATGACAATAATTTCGCCAGAGCCTGTCTGAGAAGCATTGCTAGGCGACATATCTACAGTATCCTGCGTTGCTTGAGTAAGCAGGTCTACTGCTTCACCAGGCGACTGCTCAATGGCACTCGAGGACTGTAGGTCGGTAGAGACGGGTTCAACAGTGGCATCCATATCAACTGCAACGATTTTATCAACATTTCTTATCAGATCACTTCCATTTACTTCTTCACCAATAGTGGGCTGATTTACAGCACCATCATCCACACTGCCCAAAGCATCACGCGTGGTTCCTACGTTACCATGGCTCCCCGAATTCAAGCCTTCATTTCTTTCCAAATTCTCCAGATTGTTGACCGCATTGATATCTACATTCTCATCAGTCCCTGAGCCATTGTTCACACCAGGAACACTCGCTACGGCGTTAACGCCAGATTGTTCTCCCTTTTGGCCGTTAGTACCACCCCTCTTACTTCTGCTCAGTTCTTCACCATCCACCCTTGCTTGTGTTCCCAGATCCGACGGCTCCCGTTTCAAATCGTTGACAGCATCTCCATCATCCGCGTTACCAGCCTTTGTAGCCGAAGTACCACGGGGTCTACTTTTTCCGGCATCAGAGCGAAACTTTCTCGGACCCATCCCAGCCACATCGACGGTTTCGGGTCCTTTATAGAACGATGCGATATCCAGGAAATGGGGCTTCACAGCAAGCTTACTCTGGTAAAGCCCCTGGGCGGAAATGTAGGATGAGACCGCATTATAAACATCCACAGGGTGCCGACTGGGGACCATCACCTTTGGATCAATAAGCTCGTGTTGCGAACTACGTTCAACGCGATCTTTAGACAGCGCTTGCACCATTTCGACGTGGATGCAGTCTTGGCAAACCATCTGCTTCCCCGAATTCTGCAGAATGCGTACATCAGGGTGTAAGCAGTGCGTGCACCACGTTCGCTCACAGCGTACACAGCGCATCAGCACGTTGCTAGTAACCTGGTGAAACGTGGCGCGGTCTTCGTCGTCAGACGGCGGGTAAAGCGTTTTCAATGCCGCTGCGTTAGCCACCCCGTGTAGGGAGAACCTTCTAGACTGCATGTATGTCCTATACAAACGCAAATCGGGGTACACTAGTGGCCGTGACAGCCTCTTCCCCTTCGCGAAATGCGCTGTTTCAACTTTGCCACGGCACGTCCTCCGCAAGTCCTGCCACGCCGTGTTCATGAAGTCAGTCTCCGAACGGCTTGCTTCAATGCGCCACAGGGTCTCCCACAAATACGAATAACGGTCGCAGTCGTAACAACTCCAGCACGTGTGACCGTGACAAATGAAGATGGGTCGCCTGTTTTCGTCCAACAACCGATCGACATTCCCGTAAATGAGCTGATGTATCCCCATGATCTGTACATCAGGCACAACCAAACGCACTCTACGCACACAGGTGGGGTAACAGTAAAACGTCGAGCAGCCATCCATGGCACAGCGGCACAGGTCCTTTATCGGCACGAACTTGAAACACGCTGAACATCCCGCGTACAAATTTATACAAAAGCTGCACTCCCGGGCTATGCAGTTGGGGGTGACTCTGGCGCAGCCGGTCGGAGAACGGACCAGCTTACGCCATTCTTGTGGCACCACTGGCCCATCTTTACCGTCATCCCTGGCTGCAAGTTGCTGGTTGGTATCACGGGCGGTGACCATTTCCTGTGAACGCGCATCTCGGCCTATCAGACCCCTCGCGGGTCCACTCATGGATACAGCCAAACTCGTGGCGCCACCAACCCCGCTGACACCCCTAAGACTACCGGATGCGCGTGACCTGGATCGAATGCCGGCAAATGGACTACCATCCGCAAAAGGGTCGGCTTCACGCAAACCCGAGTACCCAATGGCAGCTCTGTAATTCGGCCCTGTGGATTCAAGCAGACGCTCCGGGCTTTGGCCGTTGGGCCAACCCATGTTACCCTTGCGGTTACCGCTCCTGCTTCGCTCACGGACGGCGTTTTTGGAACTTTCACGATTCGCCGCTCCACTTGTAGCTCGGGGAATGGCAGGCGTCTCCACATCCATTGGCCTAATCGGCAAACGGAGCTTGAGGGAAGCAATAGCCTCGCAGGAAGCGTGATATGCACGCTTACAAATAGAATTACAAACCACATAGGGATGTACACGGTCCATGGGTTCCCTGCAAACCCAGCAGTTCAGCGGCCAAATCAACTTTTTGTCCACTATCTTCCGTGGGGTCAGGCGGCGCAACCCACGCTTGCTGGCTGCATCGCCTCCCAAAAATTCCGTTTCAGCCTCAACCAGGTGGTCTGCTACCACGGGATACCCGCCATCATTGACATCGTCCTTCGGTGAAAAGGGTGTATCAAGCTGACCTAGTTCCCTACCCCTTGTCGTACGACGCGGCCGTCCTCTTCCCCTTCCTGTAAACTGTTTCTCATGCTCTAAATGTAACTTACTGGCTGAAGAAACACCGTCAGTTAGCTGGGATGGGTCGAAGGCTGCGATGTCGTCCATTGGAACAGCTCCCGCCGCAGAGTTAATGTTTCGTAGCACAGGCGTATTTAACACATCTAATGCCGACAAAGCAGCATTACCCATACCATCTGTTGCCGCATGAAGAGGAACAACGCCCAAGCCTCCGGGAAGTGCATCCTTACTTCCATCTACACCAGCCGTAAGGACCGCTTTTTGAGAACCACTTGAGGGGTCCTTTTCATCTTCGTCGTTGTTGTTAAGCGAGTCAAGCAGCTGTTCGAACATGGCCTTTTGCGGGTTGTTAGTCATGGTACCCAGCACTTTGGGTTGCAGGGGCTTAATCCCCGGCATGTTAAACGGCAGCATAGGCGACACAGGTAACCCATGCGGAGTCGCAGAACTACCCAACGCTTTCACTGCCCCAGCAGCCACGAATGAGTGTATGGCCGCGTCCAGGGCGTTTTCAATGTCCCAGGAAGAGCCGTTAGGCGGTCGTGCACCCCCCGGCGCCGCCGAGCGCCCGTCAGCCATGTATGAAGCCACGGCGCCTCCATCTGCCGCATTCAGGTCGACATTATGGGATTTAGCATGGACACCACGTTTTCCACTCGCCCTGTGCGTTGGGGGGATGTACGGCGTCGGCTCATCGTCCTTGAAAATCCGTGGTGCCAGCTTCGAAATCCAAGCATCGTAAGACTCATTGTCATCACCAATGCTGCTAAGGTATCCCAACACATCCTCTTGGAACGGAAGGAACTCCGGGGGTGCGGATTCCATGACTAACTGCTTCAGGGCGAAGAGGCCATCCTTGGGCTTCTTGCCCTTGATGCCGACTGACGTCACCATCTAGCCCCAAGGTAAGTGACAGTTAACATCGCAATGCAAGCTTGTTTAAAGAACCAACTCGCCGTCAACGGCGCCAACAATGACCAAAGCTATAACACCTTTTAGACAACACCGAATTTGGTCACACAAATGCACGGGAAACAGACGACAATACCACTGCAAAGGTTACTCACGGGCCCCTTATGGAACAATAAAGGAAAGCCACAGTAGCTTGTAACCACAAAAAGGCTGCAAGAGATGATAGCCAACAAGCAAGCACGGCCGCATGTCGACACAGTCGTCGCAGAACACCGATGCTGACACTCCCGTATGAAATCCTCTGCAACGCGGCAGAGGGCACAAATATATGATGGTGTGCGTGGCATACACCTGAGCACGGGGAAACAACGTACCCCCATCCAAGCACCTTCCACACATACGCGTCAGCAGCGGGACGAGGCGCAGGGCGGCATAGGCAACGCATAAATACACCACAACAGCGTACGACCATATTAACGATGATGTGTGATAACCTCGCACCTGTTTGAAACTAGTTGATGTCGTCGGAGGTGCTGCCCACATCTGCATCTCGCATTTCTCCAAAGACAGACTGATATACCGCCATCTAAGATGGAAAACGATAAGGATGCTGCGCCAGTGGCGGCTGAGATTCAGGCCGAACTCGAAAATGGGTCGCGACCGGAGTTCGATCTCGACGACACGTCGTTTATGCTGCCCACGACAATCGACCGTGCCGGCCTGTCTAGGGTAAGATTCCACTTCCACGTGGTCCAAATAGCGCCCTCTCGCATAATGACTGCATTTAGCGCTATTATAGCTGTCATTGTTCGCTGTGAAAACTTAGCGTCATGAAATGTGAACTAACTCTCGCTTCGATCCAGCCGAAATTACAGCATGCGGAACACTATTGACTTCCGTACAGATGATCAACGACCTTCTAGGGCTGGAGAAGCCAGTAGCGTTCGATATCCTATTCAGGGACGAACCGTTAAGGACGACGCTGGCGGAGTGAGTTCAGCGACGAAGGGCGCGATGCATGACACGCAGGAAACTAGAGCGGCACAATGTGGAGTCCGAAACGACGATCAAGCTGGTGTACACACTGGCCGTCACCGAACCAGAAGACGAGGAGGTTGACGTGCTTGACGACTGGATATCTGGCATCGCGTTCACAGGCCACCTAGGTAACGAACACTGCAACCAAACATCTCAACGCGATTTTAGGCCGATTTGCCACATCGTGCTTCGATGGCAACGTGTCGGTGTATGATGCCGGCAATAACGAAAAGGTTCATGAGTTCGTCACTCCGGGCAAGTCGGCCACTGCAGTGGCTCTGCATAGCTCGAGGTAAATTGTGACTGCGCACCAACAGTCTAATCAACATGCAGTGCACTCGGTGAACACTTGGAAATAGTTTGTGGTCATATCAACGGGCTACTGGAGGTATATTGTCTGGAAACTATGGGGAAAAAAGTCAATCGCAATCTGGTCGCCACCAGCAACAGGTGGGGATACCGTGTCGCCAAAACGGTTCAACATGCTGCAGTGATCACGACACTATACAAGCAATCGCAATTGATGAGCATGGGACTCTTATGGCAGCTGCTGGCGGCAGTGGTAGCATTCTGATCTATGACAATGTGGGTAATTAGATGCAACTGCACCAACTGTTCGCAGGCTTCTATAATGCTACGCTACCGCGTAAATGCGGACGAAAATCCGAAAAAAGGCAAAAGGTTAGGCTTTGTAACACTCCTGTGTTACAAACTTCGCAGGGCAATTGAAGGCGACACCATCGAACCAGTGAGCACCCTTGTGAAGCACACCAAGACAGTGACGGTAAGAGCATAAAAACAGCTAAATGTAACGTGAACGCAGGCACTGAAGTTCGTGGAGCTCCCGGAGCCGATACTGGTATCAGCGTCCATGGACGGCATAATCGCATTGTGGGATCCCAAAGGGGCAACAGCCCTTGCGACGTATGGCTGCGGCAGGGTGAGTCTAAGACCTTGTCTGCATCTCACATCACTGAATGCAGGCGGTAACCTGCTTCGACTTCAACGTGGCGCATGCCGAAATTTACACGGGGTATAACGACGGCAGCATTGCCGTATGGGAGCTCCGGGGAAAAGGGGACGGCGCGCCTCCCAAGGCGCCCAAAGACGTCACCAACTGCAACCTGACGCTGCGGACGTTAACGTCCATGTTTGGGCGGGCGGCGACCGCCATCAAGGTCAACCCAGCAAATACGAACCTTCTGTCTGCGGTTGCACTTGACGGAACCGCAGTTCTGCTCGACAGGCGCTCCGTAAAGATTCCCCTGCAGACGGTAGGCGCGCAGTGCACTTTATTATCTACACATTGCGAATGCAGGCTTCTTTCGCGAGCCACGGTGAACCTGACAGGTGTACGGGGACCTGCTGGATCTCCGCGCAGATAATGACGTGCACCACCGCAGCGGGTCAGATACGGCAACTCACATTTAGAGAACTTGCTTAATCTGTTACACACTTTTATAACGAGCCCAGCGTCGCGCGTACCGGGGCGGCGAGCAGTACTCCGCAGATGTGTATTGCATCTGCGGCCAATTCTGGCGTTCCTGCTCGACATTAGCGTCCAAATCGGCTCCAATTGAAGGCTGCTACCCGGGAGATGTTTGCAGCGCCCTCCAAGCCACGGAATATCCCGAGGCTGGATGAGACTACGGTGTGCTCTTGGATTCACGGGCACTGGCCATAACTTGGGCAAGGTAACGCAAGTTGGGACGCTTCCACTGCTGTTATTTGCGTTGTTTGAGGCGTTACAATGACAGCCAGCGACCATAACCCCGGCGAACCCGCCTCGACCATGGACTACGAGGATGAGTTGCAGCTCGCCCTCAAACTGTCGCTGGAAGAGTACAAATGGACCACGCAGGCGAACCAGAAGTACGCGTCGCACGCCTCAGGGTTCTTCGAGAGCATCAAGAACGACGTGAATGAACAATCCGAGACACAAAAGCGGCCTGATGACACCGTATCAATGAGCTTCATCCTCGACCAGATGCACCATTTCCACAAAATCATCAAAAACGAAGTCGATGTTACACACGAACAGGTGCGTTCGACCTATGAAGGCGTGCATGCTGCTGCAGAACTCACATAACGCGTCGCCCACGGGTAAAGGCGGACCCAGGTTGAGTGCCACCATGTCGCGCAACCGGCTGGCCGACTTGGTAGAGACGTTGTTCGGGACGGAGGAAAATCGGACGGCGTCAATGGAGAACATAAGATCGTGGTGCAAACAAGGTTTCTGCTTCCAGGAGAACCCCAAGGTGTTCTGGGGGCTGAAGCAGCAGTACCTTGGGCCGTGCGGCGTTCTCGCGTCCGTGCAGTCGTACATGCTCCAATGCATCCTCTTCCACAGCGGGATATACGGAAGCCTAGAGCTCATGCAGCAGTCTGATACGCCCGAAAACGTGCTCATGGAGCTGCACGAGGTGTACTATAACTTCATAAGGCTCGAACACCCCGACTTCCCAGAGGGTAGGTTACTACTGGCCGCATGTCGCCGCATCTTTTGCAGAGTGGCTACACATTCCGGCACTGCTTGAGGCGTTGTGTGCCGTGCTCTACAACGCCACGCCAGATTCGCACTACAAGGTGATCCTCTTCGAGCCTCTGAAGACACAGGTAAGGAGCGGAGCACCATACCTAGTAACGATGCGCAGAGCATGGCGAATGCAGTGCACGCAATAATGTATAGCTCGAACTACGTGTACGTCGAGTTCGACAGCATTTCGCAAGTGGCGTCGCACCTACTCAAGAACATACACCTGCTCATGTGGGAAATGGGAGTGATGTCAATCACTCTATCGGTGCTCGCAACGAGGGGGGTTGAGAATGTGAGGAACGACATGGACGATCCTTCTATACCTATGGTGGGTATATACGGGCACACGTCACAGGAGCTCGTCAACCTGCTGCTGCAGGGACGGGCGGTCTCTAACGTCTTCGACGGGGAGAAGGTACTGCAGGACAGCGACAAATCCCTGTCGTACAAACTCAAGGGAATCCCTGGAGTGGGTTGCGTGGGGTTCCTCAGCGAGAGGGAGGCCAGCAGGCACTGCGCAGTGGGGTCGTACTACAAATACCCCAAGTATCCCGTATGGGTGGTAGCGAGTTTCAGCCATTACACGGTGCTCTTCGCATTGAACATGGCGTATTGCAAGCGCACTGAGGCAGAGATGCATTCTGTCAATGCATTGAGTGTCTGGAGTTGCTTGGACCCCGACGACAACAAGTTTATATCACAGGACCTGCTGCCCTCACTCCTGGAGATGCTGGGTGTAACGCCGCTCTACAAGGACGCATGCAACCACGTCATCGCGGACTCCAACCTCGTGCTGCAGACCACCTTTCTGGACTGGTACATGTCACGGACGGCCAGTCGGTCGGGTAAACGGAGCAACGAGAACGTGACGTTGTTCCACTACAACGGCCAAGATTCGATGGCAGCGCTCAGCATGGTCTCGGTGAAACACATTTCGCAGCAAGAGCTCGGCGAGCTGCGCAAATCGGCCGAAGAGGAGGACGAATACGTGGTGGACTCCACCATAGCGGGCTTCGCGAAGTCGCCGGCCGTGAACCTGGCCAAGACCATCTGGACACGCTGGCCGAAGACCCTCGTCGACACCCTGCAAATGAGAAGCGAGAGGCGTGTCGCACCCGGTGGGTGATAATTTTTATATCACGAAACTACAACCTGTGTGACACTGAAAAGAGCGGGGCATTCGGGCCGTGCTTAACGTAGAGCGGCAACAATGACCATGTAAATTAGTCACTATTAAAATCACTTGTTGGTGACATCTTCCCGATGGCTGTGGTAGGCCATTGATGGCACTCCGGACTTTACGAACGCCCTGCCGCCATGCAACGGACCACCGTGGGCGGTCTCCATGTTCGGCAGATGCAACATTGAGGGTGCAACCAGCAGGCACCTGGCATCATCTTCGAAAAACCTCTGCTTAAATTTGGATATGTTGTGCACTAGCTTGCAATATCGAAGCGGATCTAGTGCAGAGACTGCTGAAGAACTCCGTTGCGCTTTTCTATTTTGGGTGGGCCGCGTATTTCTCGTACGGCGGTCAGTCACTGGTGGCAACGAGTTTGTATCACCGGGCCTCTTTCTGTTGGAAGTGCTGTCAACGGCTACGTCTCCCGAATGGTCAGGTACGTCGCTAAATTTGCACTTCAGTCGCGGTAGCTGCGCTATGAGGTACCGCCACCGCTCGCTCTCTTTGCGGCTGCGGTGGGCGGTGTACAAACCGTCCTTCAAATAGTCGCTCTGAGTTATCCGTAGTAGATCGAGCACTCCGGCGCGTTCAGCAGAGTAGAGGCACGCTTCTACCTTTTCCCAGCAGGATTCGATGCCCACAAAACTGCCGAGCAGCGACTGGTAAGCTTCGGAGTCCTTGGACAACTTGATTCCGGCTGCATATTTCTGCAGGCGCCTAAACGATGCATCATCGTATACACCGAATTTCCGAAAGCTGATGCTTGGCCAAAGCGAGCCCGGCGCTATGCGAGCTGCCATCATGGCCGCTTCGATCAAAACTGTGCCGCAGCCGCAAAACAAGTCGACCACATTGCCATAAGCGGGTGCTGTAGATTCACTAAATAGATATTTGCTTGGAATCGGAGATTTATAAGCGCCTGTATCAGGTTCGGCTCCTTTAGATGCGATATTACTGCCATCACTGAGGGGCTCGCAAGGGGATTTCAATGTTGTTGCCGATGAATGGCATGGAGAGGCGTCATCCATTGGGTGTTCGATTGAATGACCCGAGGCAACTCCATCCTCAACACCACCTGTACAGAGGCGTTCGTAGTCATTCAGGTCGGAACAACTCGGATGGTGGGAGGCGAAACCGATGTCATGCAGGAGTGCCACTGCCACCGTGGGGTCGATGTCGCTGATGGCAGGCTTGTAACGGTAGCTGCGAGCTGACGTGGAAGCGCCTACGGCATCAACTAGAACCCTAGCTTCACCTCTACCGACGTGGAGTAACACTTTCACATCTGGGTCGCTGAACGATACCGACGGCGTTGGCATCCCCAGGCTGCGGCCGAAATGATGCGACACGCCATCCTTGACCAATTGCGAAGCGTATCGGCCGCAATGTAGGAACCCGCTGCTTTCAGATATGTGCGATTCCACTAAAAATGAGCCGTTGGTCCGAATGAAGTTAGGCCACGTTATGGCAGCGCAACTATCCGTGAAGGCAGCCTTGTCTTTCAACGGAAATGATGCGGCCTCAACAAACACTCCATTGCACAACCTAAACAGCTATTAAAGACGTCAGATAGTTGTACGCAGCAGTAATGTTGAAAAAGCATACCCACCTCGAGAAGTAGGACAAGAAGTAAAGCCTGCGCAACGAGCCTTCCTCAACGGTCACGCCGGAACGATCCTTAATCAGGCAATGCCTGGGAAAGCCCAATGATTCGAGTTCATTTGCCAATGCTCCCTCGATACCTCGTACGCATCTAGCAAAAAGGCGATACGGTTTCTGCCAATGGCTGCTCATACTGCGATGACGCTACGGATGCGCCGCGTGTCGCCGACAACGGCACAGCTGTAGCGCCACGCAGTGGCAGTTGTTTACACACCGAAATAAAATATGGTCACATGTGCGATGCGCCCATAATTAATTTCGGATAACCCGGTATTATGGGAGAAGGCAGTACAGATGTGTGGTAGTAAAGCATACGACGGTGGCTCGCAGAACCATTTATGAGCAATCCAGCTCTATATTTCTCCGTTTGGTTTTTAGAATGGCACTTTCTGTCAGCCTGGGCCTTTTTAAAGGCCTCCCGGTTAACGAGGAAGGTCAAGCCGGAAGGAAGATTGCGAGGTGTCTTTTCGCATTCAAGGACGAAGCTAACGGGCCGAAATGGATCTGTTCCTATCGCACTCTCATTGGAGGAGCAAAAGGTATGATAAAAATCAATTAGACACCGTATCATGTTGGCTGCAGAGTTGGCCTCGGCGCATACAGTCCCAAATTACCTGCAACCCTGCGGGGTGCTCACCACGGGCATTGACAACGATGATGAACTCAAAGATCTACTACCTAGCAGCATGCTTGGACAGGAATTGCATGTGTTCAAGTGGGATCCCGAGAAAGAGGATAACCCGTCCCTGCAAGAGGCAGTGCAGTGCTTCGTTATGACACTACAAAACGGAAAATGCGAAATGAAAGAAGTGCCCGCAACCGACATAACATGGGTATGTTTGTGCATACTTTCTAAATGTGTTGCACATGCATTCAAACCTTTTTAATTGACATGATTTCCAGATCGAGGATGACATGGCGGAAGTCGGTCGCAGGGGTTATACCCCAATCGCAACCTCCCTGCTGGCGACCGTACCATTAAATACTAGCGGTGACGTAGAACTAAGCCGAGAGTTGCTAGGACCGAAGAAAATTGAGGTACTGCCGCAGCCACTCCGCAATGCCGCAACGACGTTCTTAAGGGAGCAACTTGTACAGTTCCTAGATGTGCAAAACGAAGCGCTCTCCATGGACTTGACCGATATACCCATCCCTAGAGTAGCAACAAATGGTTCAGAACCTGGTTACGCGCACCTGACGTTCGGCGCCACGAAAGAGTACAAGAAACACGCTCTCATATACACCGTTCCACGGGAAGAAGAGGCAGAAGACGAGTCCATCGCAGACCTGCAAGTAGTGCTACAAACTACGTGCGTAGCACCGACGGAGATAGTAGGAGATGAACCCACAGAGGAGCTCGCTGAGGTCACTCTGCAGGCGCTTCGCCACGTGGCCACCCTTTCATTCGGCTCTGAAAGTCTGCTCAATCAGGCAACTGTATACATAAATTCGGAAGAGAGGAGTATTGTAAAAGATGCAGAACAGGATGTAACTGTTAGCAAGTCTCCGTCAAAGGGTAAAGGTAATGCCAAGGGGGGCAAGGGCAAGTCTGCAAGCAGTCGCAGTAAAAAACCTGCGGCTCCTAAGCCTGTAAAAACTCAGGAGTCGTCGGTGGTAGCACTGGTGAAAAGTGAAGTGCCTGTAGAAATCTCCATAGGGGACTTTACCCGTAACGTATACCTGACGGTGAACTTGGACAAGGTGTCTGGTAAGATCAACGTAGGCGTAAGCAACGCAGCGGACAATGCTAAAACTGACGAAATCGAAAAGGTGAAAATCAGCATAATCTCTAAGGCATTTGTGCCAAGCGAGGACATGCATGAGCCCGTGTTTCCGTTTGGAAGCGCGACATTCAACCTGCTGGGACTTATGCAGAACGCGGATGGAGCGGTGGCCGAATGCGTCACGGACACAAATCCAGCGTCACACCTTAAACTGCTTTTTAGCTCGAAGGAGCTCTGCGACCGTAATGTGCTGATATCGGTATGTTTAATATGGCACGATAAAAAAATGTCCGCAGCCGCACCTGGACTGCGCCATGTTCCCGCAGTGGATAAGCAATAAAACTTCAAAAGCGTCACTAGTCAAGGGCCTGTACCAGTACTACCACTACTTGCAGGTTGGTGGTTTGCGAAAACGATCATAGCTGATCAGGGTGGCAAAAACGACAGCGGATGGGGATGCTGCTACCGCTCAATTCAAATGGTGGCCAGCTGGTACCTCTTGCAGTACCACACCATAAGGCCTGTGCCGACGCATGACGAGATTCAGAAGTACCTGCAGGAAAAGGACCCGTCGCACGTGGGAATGGTCGTTGGCAGCGCCACGTGGATCGGAACCGTCGAGGCAGGGTACTTCATCAACTGGTACCTGAAGTACGACGCCAAGACCTTCTACCTCAGCGATGTGAACGACTTCCGAAACTACAACTCTGTTATCGCAAACCACTTCCAGAAGGTGGGCTCCCCTATCATCATGGGAGCAGGGATGTTCGCCTATGTTATTCTAGGAATTTGTATGGGCGCGCAAACAGGTATGTATGCATCAAATCGCCATTGTTATCGTTAGTTGAACCCCAGTGCGGCATAGGAATGATGTACGCTTGCGTAACCGCAGCTCTTATACGGAGAATCTCATATTTCTGCAGGCGATGTCGCATACCTCATTGCCGACCCGCATTATGTAGGAGAAGATTCGATTAAGTCGATCAAAACAAAGGGTGCGATGGCCTGGAAGAAAATCGACTTCATCTCCAAGGCGGCCAACGGCAGCTTCATTAACCTGTGCTGCCCCCAACTGGACAGATACGACGATTAATTCAAAGAGCACAAGGCGGAATACACAATAAAATATTGCCTACAAAACTATTTTTGATGTAGACAGGAACATACACACTTACACACCCCGACTGAGCGCGGTTGCACGCCTTCCTGGGTGTGGGTCCTAAGGCCACATTACAAAATATCGCAATATTATTCAGGACAAATGAGGCACAGTCTAAAAATTTTACGCAATGCCGCGGGCATTGTTCGTTGTACCGCCGCCAATGCTGGGTATATCCACGGCTTATGCTCCACGAGGCGATACTCCACCGCCTACACCCCCGAGTTCATACGGTCTGTCTTCTCAAATGTAGCCACTCGATACGATCTCATGAATGATCTCATGAGCGCCGGGATTCACCGGCTGTGGAAGGATACGTTCGTGACGGAAGCGGTGACCACTCTCGCAGACGTTAACAATCAAATCGCAAAAGCGACCTTCGAGGGCAGAGAATACGAAGGGCCAACCGTATTAAAGATTCTGGATCTTGCGGGTGGCACTGGAGATATCGCATTCCGCATACTGGATAAGGCCAAAGACATGCGTATAAAGGACGCGGGAGGATTCATCCTGCACTCCCCCAAAACGCGGGTCAAACCGGAAATCACTATAATGGACCCCTCACATGAAATGACTGATGTAGGACAACAGCGCGCTGCCAGTCAGGGTTTTACGGACATCACATGGACAAATGCGCCAGCGGAAAACATGCCCGTACAAGATGACACCTTCGACATCATCACGTGTGCCTTCGGATTGCGAAACTTCAGCGACCGGATGCAAGGGCTGAAGGAGTGCTACAGAGTTCTTAAACCCGGTGGGAGGCTCATGATCCTCGACTTCAGCCACTGTGAAAGCAGCCTCTTGGGCGCCCTATATGAAGCATACTCCGACCTCGTCATACCCAACCTGGGAAAATATATCGCAAATGATGTGAATGCGTACCAGTATTTGATAGATTCTATCCGAAGCTTCCCTACGCAGGAAGAACTGGCAGAAGCTCTCACGAAACTCAACTTCACGCTCGTATCTTATCGCAACCTCTCCGGCGGAATCGTCGCCATTCACTCGGCATTTAAACCACAGTGACATCATACAAGTGATGATAAAATGTTTTTAATGATTCAGTATGATATTCTGTGATGGCATTTTTTCATTTGCGCATTTAAAAAGCTTTATACGTATTTCTAGTTTTGATTTCATTTATCGCAAGAACGAACTTTCAGAGGCTACGGTGACTGTCAAAACCCTAAATTGTGTAGCGAGTACACCATTTGCCTGGATTACCCCAAAGGGCAGATACGTCATACAGCAGTGTGAAGTGTTCACATTCGCGAAGGTCAGCTTGACTTGGCGCTAAAGGTATAGCGAAACAAGGGGTTCTATACTCTCTTATAAGGATACAACATTGGTAGCAGATTTCATATGGTTGTAGTAACGTAATGTGGACTAGGTGAGCCTATGAGTTATTTGTGCAGTGTGCGATTGTAGACTTGGAATGCATGAAACCGTAGTATATTTGGTCGAAAACGGTAAGAAGGCTTTGGTTATGGTATTTGGCGCATATATAAAGTACCAAGACAAAGAGGTCAAAAAGCAATGAGCGAAAAGTTGCATGAGCAGTCAAATTTGCCTTTGCAACTGCTATCAGCACACCAACACTTCCCCGTGCTATTGCCCATTTTAACCAAGCCTGCAAACTAATCGAAAACTCGCCGTAGGCCTCGAATACTTTTGGTCAGCCCATGATATACAACTACGGTATCCATACATGCTTAACGCCATCCACATGGTGCTGGGGCAACCATGATCCAAAATCTCGTAACTCTGATACACCATGAGCGTTAATAACCATTACATTAAAAGACGAGTTAGGTTGCTTACATAATGACTGCGTCATGGAATTCAACAACATACGTTCCACGAACGCAGTCGTAAGGGCGTTGATCATCTATTTTGTGCCACGTTCTGGTTGCGCTCGTGAGTGAATATATGAGTTACCATGCGGAATTACGATCCTAGTCGTTACTAGGTAGTACGTGAATGTAACCGTGACTATACCGCCCGCTGATCACCACGTCAGAAATAACATGGCGTCACCAATATGAATCTAACAAACATGCCTAAACGCTCGATTCAGCCACCCAGTCCATTACTAACATTACACGCATTAAGCCGAGAAGACTCACTGCCTTACTCAGTATAGCACTGCTCGTATGTCAACATGGATAGAGGCTCACTCGATTGGCGTTATCCTGTGCAGTCACTGGAATATGCCATTAGCGTTTACAACTCAGACGCAACAAAACGGATTAACAAATGAGCACGTTGCATGCTGGGTTGCTATTATGCGGGGTAGGTGTGTGAGGTACCGCTGTAGATACGCCAATTTCATGAGTCTATGAGGCACAAAAGTATTACAAATGAAACCCTATTACAAGCAACTAGTACTACACCACAGCCTGTCACAAGGTAACACTTGAGAACATAGCTACGATAATTACTGTCATGAGTGAAAGTCATCGTCGAAGTAGTCGACGTCCTTGTAGAGTGAGAGCATCCTGCGGCTGCCGGCGAGCAGAGCCTTGACGTCGATGAGGTGTGAGGCCCTGGTGGTGAGCAGGTGTGAGTGGATGCGCAATAAGTCCAGGCGGTAGAGGAGTGCGCTGAGGATGTAGAGCGTGGCGAGGAGCCAGAGTGCGATGATGGCGCAGAGGAAGGGCATCCTGATGCGATATAGGAACTGGTCACACTGGTCGAACAGTTCTCTGAAATACTCAGAGTTGAGGACATAACTCAGCTGCGTGCGGAAGCTGAAGCATGTTGTATTTTGCGATGCCAGCGCCGGTGCGTCCTTGAAGGTGAGGCCGTGTTGGTAGAGTGTCGGCATCACGCCTCTGCAGTGGACTGTGGAGCGGCAGCGGCAGCCGGAGGCAGGCGACTGTGGACTGAGGACGCCGTGACTGCCACGGTCACAAGGGTCCTCGTGAAGGCAATCACCGCAGCCCCAGTGCCGGCAGGAGATATAGCAGAAGGCGGTGTATAGGTAGTAAAGCAACTCCAATAGTCGCCACGGGAGGTAGACGGCCCATGAGAGGTATAGGTCGGAGTGCCTGTGAGCCAAGTAATGATATGGATCAAAGCATAGGGTAGACAGGTAGGGTGCGCAGTGGGCAGCGTCGCCTAAGCACGCCGGATCCATCGAGAGACTTGACAACTGGGCGGGTTTCGGGTCACCGCCCGTATGACTATGGTTGCTCAGACTGCTGCCATAGGCATTACTCAACGCATTGGTGAGATCGTTAGTATTTGTATAGAGACCCATGGAGACGTCGGTAATAGACCTTCGAAAGCACTCTTGAAATGAATTTTGTGAAGCATCACGCCACTCCCGAACTAGCGAAAATGCAAAACCAAAGTGCTCAGATAGGGTGACCGGCGGTCTGGGTTCGAGGCAGAAGAGTGATGAGAGGTGGCGATTGGCGAGCAATTTGGTGAGCACCTCACACAGATGTTTGCCCGTCTTAGTGCTAACCGAAAACCCCCTGAATCCAAGAGGCGTTAGACACGGCATCCCAGGTTGAGAGATGGGACACGTGTTACACCGAGGCTCACATCCGATGGCGCTGACCTGATGAGGCAGGTGGCCGGGCAGGCAGTCGTTGAGGTACGACATTAGAGGGGACTTATCTGTGCACTCCGGGTGAGGGGTAGGCATAGCAGTAACAGGAGGAGCGCACTGCCACGTGTATGGTGTGACACCCTTGCCGTACCGGCACTGCGCCCAGCCGCCGTGGTGAGCGGCACGTGAGCACTGAAAGAACAGATATCTGAGCACGGGGAACACTAGGCGGAAGATATGAAGCAGCAAGTGAAGACACTCCTCGCCGTCCTGCGGGTAATACAGTTTCGTGGAGTTGTTGTAAAAGTCACAGGCGTAGGTTGAGTAAGCGTCGCCGTAGCCGAGCACCCTGGTGAGGATGCTGGGACAGTGGGCGGTGAGCCTGTCAACGGCGGCAACTAAAGCGTCGGCGGTAAGCGTGGAGGGATATATGCTATTCTCAGTCTGCTCGCTGTAACACAGTTTAATGCATCTACGCAACTTATCATAGACACAGTTGTACTTAAGGCCCGTCAGCCAACAGAGCATTTCGTAGACGTTACACGGCGTCCTGGTGGAGGAGAGTGTGGCGTAGTGACACGCCTTGTAGTAATCGTTGAGACATTCGAGAAGAACTCCGATCGCATTTTTAGTGTCAGTATCAGAGTTGAATACACGTTTAAAATCACCGACAAGGAGCATGGTAACTCCCTTACCGGTCACGTGCCTGTTCAACTCGCCGTTCTGCTTGGCGTAATCTGGAACATTGTAGCCCTGATCGACGAGGAGCTTGCCGACGTCTGTGAATTGGTTGAGATGCTGTCCGGCGAGGCTCTTGCAGTTATGTGACAACATGGTAATTGAAGTGTCAAGTATCGGAAGCATGCTAAGCAACACCTTGGCGCACTTTTCACCGTAAGGCGTCAACCTTGCGTTTTCCCCAGTGCTTTGGTCGGCAATCTTAGGCTCCACCAAGCTACCAGTAAATGTTGCGCCAGAGTAAGTACTTATATAGGAGTTGCTCAGTTCAACATATATGTTATTAATACCATTTTTCAGCGGGCGTAGCAGAGCTCTCTGACCGTCATCATACGCGTCGTATGTGAATCCTCTGAGTTGCTTTTTGAGGCTGTCGAGTGGCGCTGTGAAGGTGAAATCGAAATGGCCAGATGCTTCGACATGCTGAATTAAATCGTCGAGCGCTTCGATTAATGACACTAATTGGAACATATTCGCGGGTATGGACTCCAGAGCCTCCAGTTGTTCGTCAGTCAGGCTCTGAGATGTGTCAGATTTTGCCGGCTTCGGGAACTTACCATTTAAAAATTCCTCCTGTTGCATGAGTTCGGGGAAAAAACCATGTACAGCTTCGCTGACCTTCTCAGCCACGTGGCTCAGCGGAGACCTATTTTTAAAGTCCTTAAAATCAATGTTCTTAATTCCTTCGACGTTCTTAACAAACCCTATTACCATTTTGTCCATGAACCCTTTAAATCCGATTGTCAAGTCATGTTCGATTTCCTTAGGCAGCCCCACCATCTCCCCGGCCACCTTGTTGGCGAAGTGTTTTAATGCGTCCTGCACGGACTCCACGTACTGCTGCCGCGCCTGCTTGGTGAGCTCCGCCATTGCTTCCTCCACTTCGTCGTTGACAAATTTCTGGAGCTCCCTCACTGTGCTCCTCTCTATTTCGTCGGCCTTACCGAGGAAGTCAGTGCACATGGCGATGGCGGCGGGCAGATCGGAGATTCGGAGGGTGTCAATGTCATTCTTGATCCCGTTGAGTTTTCCATTAATATGCGTAGTTTCCAACTGACCCATATGCCAACCGGCGTACGCGCCTGCCTTTTGAATAGCTTCACACATGGCAGTAAGATGCTTGTTGACCTTAGGAACTGTATCCCTATTGAGCGTGGCAATGTCTTTATTGATTTTCTTGAGGCTATCATTATCGTCATCATTTGTTCCAATCTTCTCTATCATAAATTCCATATTCTTGATCACGCCTCTTTCATCTGCATTTTTGCCTTGCTTACCTTGCAACTCACTTCTAAGACTCTCAAGCTCATTGGTAATCTGGGTGACGCCTTGGTTGATTGCGCCGGGTTGTTTGTTTAACTCAGTTTGTTGAGCTTGTAGTTCCTGCTTAATATTCTCCAGGCCCTTGGCATTGTGACCTCGCCAATCCTCACTGGTTCCAAGACCGTTGATTTGCAACTCTGTCAACTTATCTCTAACCTCACTTTGCAACACACCTTGTAGCTCTTTAAGTTCTTTTGTAATTTCATCCTTGGCTTTTCCAATTGCATCGGGTTTCTCAGTGAACTGCACAGATTGCAGCACATCAATCACATCGTGAATGTGTTGAAGATTTCCATCCTTAGGATTTTCTTTCCCTATCCTACTTTTCAACCAGCGCAACTCATCTGTGAGATCATCAGTGATGTAGTCATGTTTCAATGCAATTCCGATCCTGGCAAGCTCGCCCCTAATTTCGAGTATGGCGTCGTTGATTTTTCCAGTTTGCCCGGGTAATATATCACTCTGAGTTTTAAGTTCCTCTTCGATTTTCCCAAGACCACCGACACTTTTACCACTGCTTTGCTTCCAATCTTCTTTAGTGCCAAACCCATCGCCCTCCAAATCTTTCAACCTCTCAATTACATCATTGTCCGGCTTTCCGTTCTCATTCTTCAATCCCTTCCTAAGCTTCTCAAGCTCCACCTTAATATTGGTTATTGCACCCTGGATAGCTGTGTGTTGGTTAGTAAAATCAGAGGTTTGCAGCTTATGGATCGCTTCTTTGATTTTCTCAAGACCTTTGGCATTTATTTTGTCAGCTTGCCAAGTTTGTTCGTTACCAAGCCCCTTTCTCAGATCATTCATGTGATCCTTGATACCATCATCGTCTCCACCGCCGTAACCGTCTGGCGCATTGCCCCCGTTTTCGCTCTTATCTACGAACCAGGCGATGGCTTGGAGCTCTTTTCCAATTGCGTTGAACGGATCGGTGAAGGTTTGCGGAGTAATCTGATCTTGCCCTATGCCATGCACATCGATGATACTAAGATCTTTCAGACCCTCACTTTTGATGTTCCCGATCGTCGATGGAAGGAAGCCTTTTGGTTTACCGTTTGTGGAGCCATTTTGGTTAACATGTTTAGAGTAACCGAGAAATGATAGAGCGCGTTTTAACGCAACTTGGTTCTCTGAATGGCGCGGCAATTGTTCATTCACTTTTTGTTCAAGTTGATCTTTGAGCCCACTTTTGAGCGGCCCGTAGGCTTCCATAAATGTCTGCATTCTGGATTTCATTTCACTTTCAGTTGGAACAGCCTCCGTACTAATCACTTCGGCCGCCTCGTCAATAGCCTTTTTGGCCGCAGCCTTGACCTGAGTTTGAGTTGCTTCATCAAACTTTTGAACGGCTCCTGGAAGTTTTTCGACCGCTTCTTTAAATGGTTGTTTGATGTTTTCCGTAAACTTCTTTCCAAGACCCTGAACCTCTTTCTGCACTACGCCGATCGCAGTGTCAACGGCTTGGGCGGGGCTTTCATTTTGGCCGATGGTGTTAGTTGCACTTGTAAGCTGACTCTCAAGCGTCTTTGCTTTATCCAAAGCACCGTGAACGTTTTTGCTGAGGTTTGTAAGACCATCGCCGATGAACCATTCAACTTCGTCGCCGGCCTTCCAGGCGGTGGAGGCGAGGACTGGGAGGATTCGTCGGACGGCGGAGATAAGATGTGTATGGATATCATGTTTGGGCTTCATGTTAGTGATGAACTTCTTTGCTGTCCATAGCCTATCCTCAACCTCCCTAGCTATCTCCTTGACTAATGTATCGCGCCCAGCCGTTTCGTCCTGCTTCAGTTTCTCACCAAGCTGTCTGGCGAACAATTTGCAACCGTCGTTTACAGCATCGACATATTTTTTAATTTTTTCATTGCGACTCGCGTCAGCATTTTTTATCTTGCTTGTAACCTCTGCAGCGGCTTTCTTACTTTCTTCGTTAAGTTTTTCCTTAATCACAGTTGCGATTCGGTTGTCAAGATCTGAACTCTGCACACCGGTCCGGGTGATGTCACTTTTCCAAACTCTACTATCCGCATACTTCATAACCCAACTGTCCATAGGCTCATTCGGCAAAATGCTTCTCCTTACCCATCCGGCTACTATATTGTCAAATGTATCATCTGGTCCAGCTTTGCCATCATCATCCGTGTTGTCAAATTTCTTAGCATACCGTTTGACACCGTAGATTATTGCCTCCAAACCTTTCCCCTCATTTTTCCATACACCATTAGCACCCGGATTCCCCTTAATCTCCCCAACATCCCCTTTAATGTGCGCGAAAATCTGTTGAAGTTTCTTTGGTTCGCCTTTTACACTAAACTGTTGGCCAAGCATCCCAATCGCCTGGACAACTGCATCTACCGCCTGGGTAAGCGGAGTCTTGATATTCTGTTCAAACAAGTGATCCATGCCCTTCAGCGCAGTGTCAATTGAACCAGTATCCCTACCAGTAACTTCTTCAAGCATAGTCTTCGCCTTTGTAAGTTCATCCAACTGACCTCGAACAAGACCATTTACTTCATCATCGCCAAGCTTTTTAATCTCTTGCCTCAAACTCGCCAAATCAATCTTCAATTTCTGATCCAATCTCTCAACCTGTAACCTCTCAATAACTTCTCTAATTCCATCCGTAATTTTTGTTTTCACCTTATGCAAATCCTTCTTGAGATCTCCGTCCATTTTTACAACAGCATCCAACGCCGCAGTGACATACTGTCCAACTTTATTTTTAGCCTCAGTCGCAGCCTTCAAAAGAGTTTTACCATCTTCACTTAACTTTTTGGCTTTAAGGAATATCTCAGGGCCATTATTTCCTCCATTATTATCTTTGTGGTTTTTATCAACCCTCTTAAGTATCTCCTCACACTTCTCGTCGGCCTTGTCAATAACACTCCCGGCCGCGTCCCTCCACTTACCTAAATGCTGAACTTCTGTATAAAGATCGTCATTTGCTCTTTTAATCGCCTTATTAGCTGTGTCAATTCCCGTAATTTGCTGAGCAAGCTGCATATCCTTTCCTTTACCATCAATTTCCAATGCATCATGAACATCCGTCGCCCTGCCGATCGCCCCTTGAAGCACTGTGCTGGCCTGACCCTTCCACGTTTCCAAACTCCCATGAACCTTTCCCAGCGCCATATGAACTTCGTTAATTTTCTTATTCGCAGTCACTATATCTCCAATTTTCTTACTCAATTCGGCGTGAACGTCCAACTTACTATAAGCCTCTTCAGCCTTCTTCTGGGCCTTTTGGCGGATACCCTCCGCGGTGGAGATCCAAGAATGCAACTTACCAACTTGTTGACGAAGCGTTTCATTTGCGGTAACAATTCCTTGTTTAGCCTGTTCAATATTACTAATGTTATGACCAATAATATGATTCTCTTTATCTGTCTGCTTATGATCCAACTTCTCACGCACCTGTCCAGCATTCTTAACCGCTGAGTCAAGGACACTGTTTGCCGCGGATTTCCAGTTACCTAAATCGGTGTGAATCCCCTGAAGCTGTTCATCAACATTCTTAACTTGCTGTTGAGCTTGCCTAATTTTCTCAATATTTTGGCCAATCGTAGTACCTGCAGGCGCTTTATTATTATTATTATTATGATCCAACCTCCCATATACATCTTCCGCCTTCTTTTTGGCAGCCTGAACGGCTTCGTCCGCAGCCTCAATCCACTGTTTCAGCTCCGACACTTTCTCACTAAGTGTCCTATCAATTTCCCCGGCGGCCTGGTCCATCTTCTTTTTATCGTCTCCGTAAATTTCCTGAAAAATGTTTTCAACATACTTTTTTACTTCATCAATATACTCTTTTGCCTCTTCCATCCACTTCACCAGATCCTGAACGTATTTTGCAAGGCTCTCACCAATTTCTTCCAACTTACTTTTAATCTTCCTAACACGCTCCTTCAACAATTCGACAAGCGCGTGCACTTCTTGTTTAATTCTATCCTTGACTTCCTTTCCGAGCCTCCTAAGCCTTGTCTTGATTTTATGAATCATCTCGTCCAACTTCTTTTTCTGACCCTTGCGAGACCACTTGCTCAGCCAGCCCACGTGATTGAAGAAGCTTTTCCTGGCGTTCTCAAGTTTTGATCTCAGCTTCGGGTTCAGGTCACCTATGGCGGTTTTAGCAGACTCTAGCTTTTTGGAGAAGTCCCTGGCAACCTCTTTGCACCGGTCCACCAAGGAAGCAGCGGCTTCCACAGTCTGCTCATCTTGGCTAGGCGTTGATGTATCCGACACCTGCAAATCATTAATGCCTCTAGACAACTCACCACCTTCCTTCACATATTCTAACAACTTTTTAATCGGCCGCTTGATTTTTTCGTTAGAAGCCTTGACAGCGGTGTTATACTCCCCGAGGCCTCCGGCCACTTTGGGGATGACATGCTTGAAGCCATGGTGCCCAGTCCACCTGGCCTCTCGAAGCTCACGAACTACATTTTTTAGCTTGGTTCTACCAGCAACGTACGGCTGATTTTCATAGACATCATTTAACACAGCATACAAAAAAGCCAACACGGCGTCGCACAGACGGGAGGCGTCGCCATACACAATCCCGGAACCATCGTAGATGCCGGGATGTCGATAACCTAAAAATGTCTCAAAGGCGGAACAGAGATTATGTAGAAGGTTTTGATTATTATTCGCAGAGTTTTTCTGAAGAGAGCTCTGAAACGTCTGAAGTTTGTCGATAATATCTCTGGCGGACGGCACATCTGATTCGGGGAGAGCCGGCAGAGATTTCTGAACGTCCTGAGCAACATGGTCGAACAACTTACCAAGAGCGTTGGACAGCGTCGGGATGCCACCGCCGTGCTTCACCTGTATGAGCCAGTCTATCGACTCTCGAAGGTTCTCGGGGCAATCCGTCAAAGCTTTCGGTGCCATGCCATCGAGCTTCGAACAGTGGTACCGCCAAGCAACAATGCCCTAGGATACCGATTAAGAAGAGTCCATGTCCACATTGCAAAGTGTGCTAAGTGAAGATGCCACAAACTGCAACTCTACGTAACAACACAATGAACCATTGCACTAATTATATAAACGGCCACGCAACAGCGCAGAATGCATTAAAAAACACGAAAATCATAAAGCCATCCCACTCACCTGAGACGGAAGGATGGCGGTAAGCTCAGCAACGCGGGGTCCCAGCTTGAGTGGATGCTAGATCAAGGTATTAAGGCGGTGAACTTCATGGAAATGTCAAGTGGAAAGCAGCGTACGCCTCTTGGCTCCGCCCCTGTGATGGCTCAGCTGTCTTCCCTCAACGGTCCGTGACCGTCCAGGCAACAGCCACCCAACCCACCGCCAGGAACACTACAGCCGCGCGCCTGGCACCACAGCCAGAATACACCCAGAACAACCGTGTGAACATTCATTTCGAAGATCTGTGTATGAACTATTAGCACCATTGTGCAGTCTAATCCCCACCCCGCTTGCCACGTCACCTTAAAAACTGCCTCCATGTGCCAAAACAAACTATGCACTACCATGTGCTTTGCTGATCCACGGTGCGGCATCATCACCTTAGTGATCACTATAGTGTTGACATTAATGCACTGCGTCCATGCTACTCCGTACTTATCACATCTGAGTGTCCAGTTACCACGCCACCAACTGCGCTAGCCACCAAACTCATAACTTCCATGCCACTTAATGTCGTGATGGGTTGAGTCACTGATTCACCTAGGGTCAGCCCTTAGTTGACTTCGCAGATGAACAAGCACTCTGCTTAACAGCCCACAATAACTGGGGATTATAACAGTGACTCATTATTCAACTTCCATATCACCAATTATACAAGTACTATGTCCACTACATTATCTAACAGGTTGCTAATTAGGTGGGCTATGTGGGCTGGGTGAGCGAGAAAGTTGTAGCGGAACATTATCACAGTGAGAAGTACTTGATGTTGCCGAGTGCTTTGACGCGTGCGGCGGCGAGGAGGGACTGGGCGGCGATCCTGTGGCTTGAAAGTGATTTTAAGTGGGAGCGTATCCTCAGGACGTCGAGGCGGACGACGGCGATGTGCAGCAGGTAGAGCAAAGAGAGCGACCAGAGGGAAACGAGGGTGTAGACGAATTTGTATCGTATCTCCCATAAGAATGCTGGGATTTTGTTAATGACCAGGTCGGCAAGTACCGATCGGCCGTGACACACTTTTTCCAATGCCTGGCAGAAATCTTGACATGAGCGTTTGTTGTCAAGACCATTATCTCCACTTAGGTTATAAGGGCTGCCAAAGGTGAAGCCGTATGTGTAGAGTGTTGGATGCATATTCGTGCACTTCACAATGGAATGGCATTCATTTTGATGGTTATGTTGCTGGGGTTGCGATGTGTGCTGCTGTGTTTTATAATACGAGTTTACCTTACAACCCTCAACACAGCTCATGGCATGGCATCTCGTTCCCTGCGTATTGCACTTTTTGCAACAATCATCGTATAATTTCTTAAGCAAATCATAGAACGTCTCAGTAATGTAGACAATCCATGACAGATAGTTATCAGCGTATTCTTTAGAATACAACAACCGGGTGTCATCGCTCATTGATTGTAAGTATTGCCCGCATGGAAGTGACGGAGCATCCTTTGGATCACAAGATAGAAGGGTGAACAATTCACCTTCGAGATGGCTATTTTTGTTCCTACTGTGAACTTTCGAACTAAATATTTTAGTGATTTCCAGTTCTGTACTGGGATCCCAGAAGTTGGCTCTTTTAATGGCGTCATCGAACGCTTCTCTCCTATGCTTTGCTTGGCCCCCCTCATCACACCAGTGATCAAGGATATTATAGTAGAACGCGAACATGTCTCCCAGAGTCTGAGGGGGTCGACGCAGCAAGTATACGAAATAGGAACAAATTAGGCTCAGTGAACACTCTCTTGAACCACAGAACGGATCAAGCACATCCTTAATAGACTGACCAGTGCCAGTTCGTGAAGCTATTTGACATAGGTCCTTAAAGCCCATAGGAGTCTTACATGGAAGTCCTTTGTGATTGGACACGGTACATTCCAGCTTACAACCTGGCTTCGTGAACTTATGTGGCAGGAACCCTGGCAAGCCGTCTTCTAAGAAAGATTGGAGAGGCGATTTCAGACCGCACTTAACACTTTGGTCACATTTTTGGTTACACATTTGGTTTTGTTTTTGGTTACCATTCTGGTTCGGGCATTGCATTGTGTTGCAGTTCCATGCGGATCCACCGACACCCTGGCCGTACCAGCAATCACGCCAACCGCTACTATCAGGGCCGTTATAACAGAGTTTAAATAGGAAAAAGATTTGTTCATGCAGTCTGAGACATTTGTCTACGAGCATATCTAAACATTGATCTGTATCACTTGGATAAAATAAGTCATCTGGGTTTGTTAGGAAGTCACAGGCATAACGGCCGTCGGCATGGCCGTGGCCTTGGATGGTAACTAATATGTGATATGGGCGGATGGTAATATTGTTGAATAGGTTTGACATTTCTTTAATGGTAAGATCTCGGAGCATCCTACCGCTTCTCCTTGCAGGCACGGCGGCTTCTATGGGCTTGATTACCGTTGTACCGTTTTCTTGGGGTACATTGAAGTATCTCGCAAACTTACTCGCCAATTTATCATACATAGGTGTATAGTAGAGCCCAGCAAGCCAGTGAAGCATTTCGTTGACAGTGCTGGGCGCCCTTGGTTTCGAAGGAATATAGTACTGGCAGACACGGTAGTACGAGACAAGATCTCTGCATATTTCGTTGATGAATTCGTGAAGCTTTTTGGAACCGCTTTTTAAGCCTTTTATTTGACTTTCACGCAGCTTATTAATTTGTGTTCCGTTAGTCTTCGTAGAATTGTCTAACTCACCGTCCTGGACGCCGGCCTTAGTGGCCACCCTGTAGCCTCGGTCAGAGAAATACCCGCCTATGTTATTACTTGAATTAATGTTATCAGGGCCTTTAGAGGGGAACAATTTACTTAACGAGTTGAAGTCGTAGAACAAAGTCTCCAGTACGGTCAGGCAGACCTTGGCGCACTTCTCTGAATTCTTGTCACCGTTCCAGTTAAAAGTGTCCGTAACTCCAGAATATGACGATACATAAACTTTCTTGAGCTGCTCCACAAATGCCCTAAATCCGGACTTGACAATGTCGAGAAGTGTGTTGGATGATGTGGAGGAGAATTTCGAGGGGGTGAACCTTCTAATGGCCACATCGGCCTCGTAAATTTTTTCAATTGCCTTATGATTGAAGTTATTTGACCCCAAAAGTAATCGCAAGAAACTACTGATGATAGCGTAAAATTCATAAACACTGCTAACCTGTGGATCATCATCCGGAGATTTGGGCTTTTTACTCGCACCACGGTCCGTTTTCTGATTAGGTCTATGTTGACAATCGACATATTTTACGATTGGATCGAGATACCACTGTAAATATTCTGCCGCCTTATTCAACTCTATTTGAATGGGAATCTGCGGAAGCTGTGTATGGTGCGTATTCATATTCCACAGTAAGCACTTGATCCCGTTTGCCAGGTCGTCAGTTATGATCTTGTTTACCTTTTTAGATTGCTTTTCGACTAATTTCTGCAGAGCTGTTAGGTCAGCTCGTTTCTGTTCGGTAAACAATATTCGCACATCGATGGTTATTTTATCAAGGGCGTATTTTATGGCTGAGAGGAGTTGGGATCGGAGTTGATCGACAGATTGCTTGATTTGTACGTATTCTTCCCGCACAACTGTGTCAACTGTATTAATGGCGTCCATCAACGCTCTATCGGCTTCGTCGATCTTTTCGTTAATGACGTTCAGATTACCTTGTAGGGTGTACAATTGATGCCTTAATTTCCCCATGAGCTCGTCAACCTCTGCCTTCTTGGTTTCAACGTCTTCTGGCATGGTCTCAAGCCCTGTGACAACATTAACGACGCCTTTGATGGCGTTTTGTATTGTGCTAGTAATGCTGTTAGACGATGTGGAAGATAACTGTTCGGTGAACTCGGTGGTATGCAACTCACTAATCTTACTATGCAGTTCCTGAATACTGCCAGCAATAGGCTTCCCATTTTCGGTCTTACCGATGGTCTTTTCTAATTTTTGCAAATTCAGAATTACATCATCATTAACATCGCTGTTTCCACCTTTCAACAGACCTTGAAGCCTTCTAATCTCCGACTGAATTGCCTCGACAGCTTTAGTGATGGCTTTAGGTTGATCTTTTAATTTATTATTCTGCAGATCGTTCAGTTGATCGTAAATTTTGGTGAGACGTTTAACGTTAGCTTTCTGTGAAACTGATCTAAGTGTATACTCGCCGTCGCCCTCTTTAATCATCTCATCTAAATCCTCCACAACGCCTTTAATCGTAGCTTGCTTGCTGCTGTCTTTCACCATTTTCGATATGGCAGTAAGTTTGCCCTGAATTGTGCCGACGGCATGGCTTATGTCCCCGTTTAACCTTCTCACGTCACCATCCTTGACATCTGGCACGTCATTGGTAACGCCGCCCAGTTCATTAATAACCGGGTTTTTGAGTGCCTCATGAAGCTTCTGTATCGCCTTTTCGGCGGTAGCTTTGAGTAGTTCTTTGAGTGGGGTGTTGATATTTACGTCGTTGACTTTTTCCGCAATCGCCTTAACTTGGGTGGAAATATTACCACCTAATGCGGTACCGGAGTAATTTCTGATAGCATCTCCAAGCTCACTGTCAAGCTTCGATGCCGTAGCCAATGCACCATCTACGTTGCCAATCTTGTACGCATCTAGAAATACCTGGATCTCCGCAGCAACTTGCCTGGCCACAACGAGGAGCTGCTTTAGGGTGTAATGGACGGCTGTTTTAAGAAACGTATAGTTATACCCATTATTCAGTGTCGCTGTACTTTGTTTAATGTCATCACTTATCGTCGTGGCTATCGTGGTTGCAAGGGAATTAATTTTGTTTTCGTACTTTTCAACCTTATCAGCAACCTGAATTTCCTCACCAAGTTTCTTGACAAACTTCTCGATGCCCGCCTTGAGAGCAGTAAGATTTGCAGCGATGACGTCTTTTGCCCGAGTTCTTGCAGTTTTTGTTCAACCTCTTCGCCGGCATCGTGAATAATACCGGGTCTAAGCTGATTTGTAATCTTCTCCGCAATTTTCTCGTTAAGACCTTTGTAATATTGGCTGCCGTCTTTGTCCCGTTGAAGAGTCTTGTCTTTATCCTCCTTAATGTGACTCTCGTTATGCCTAACATACCTCTCAATCAACCCTTTCATCGGATGTTCCTTCAAAATATTCATCACCCAGCCACCCACTTTGTTCTCGAAACCCTTGCCCTTGAACAGTCCAGCAAGCGTTTGCACCCCACTAACTATATGTGTCAGACCCTTCTGTTGAGCTGGAACTTGACTTGTGCCCTTAATACTATCAACGTACTTCTTAATATTCTTCAGCAACTGCTGAACTTGCCCTTCAACGTTCGTGGTAATTTGTTCGGTGACCCCTTGTATCTTGCTGTTCAAATCCCATCCATCTCCGCTACTCAGCTTAAACTTACTAATCTCATTGGGCACCTGAACATTACTTGTAAGATCTGGAAGACTTTTAGATTTGCTAAGGGGCCAGTGTCCCCATCTCTACCCTTCACTTTCTCAACCACAGACACCAAATGCTCCTGCGTTTTCGTATAAGCACTGTTAAGCTGATCCGCCTTATTCTTAATATCATCAAGTTCACTTTTGAAGTTATCATCATTGTCTTCATATTTAAGCGCCGTAACAATCTCGTCAACCTTCCTATTTGCTGCTTTCACAACCTTCGACGCCTCGGTTGTCCAACTGCTCAACTTCTCTGCTTCGCCCTTAAGCGTCTTATCGACCGTTTCAATTTCTCTTTTAGCCTCCAAAATTAGTTCGATATTTTCACGAATCACCGTCTTCGTATTAGTATTTGTATATGCTTTAAGCGCTCCATGAACGTCATTGGCCTTACCAAGTACCAGTTTACGAAATAACTCCGCCTCCTCAATTTTGCGCTGTAAATCCGCAACATGTTTCCCTAGCGTACTACCAATTTGCTCAAGCGCCGTCTTGATCATATTAACATCATTTCGTAGCTTTGACTTACCGCCTGACGCAGCACCAGAAGATTTATCAACATCCCTCAACCCATATTTTACATCTTCGAACATCTGCAAAATCTTTCCCTTATATTCACCGTTAAATTTAACATAATACTCCCTAGCGTGCTGTGTTGCCGCCTGCACTGCCTCCCTGATAAACGTAAACTGAACATCTTTCTTGCTATACAGATTTGTGATGTTTCTTAAAATCCTATTGACCTCATCGTCCAATGTATCTTGAACCTTTTTTGTACCCTTCTTTACAGCCGTCTCAAGATTCTCCTTCTGCCTTGCTAATTCGTCATCCACCTGTTTCACCTGACCTAAGAAAAAAGCATTTGCCGCCGAGTCATACAACATTTGTACTGCTTCCTTCACGACCTTAATTTCTGCATTCAATTTGCCTTTTAGTACACTGTCCAACTTATCAACACGATCATTCTGAATATTATAAACCTTACTGTAAATGTCAGACACTGTATTCTTCCATTGCTTAGACTGTTCCTCAAGATTCCTATCAGCAACAATTTGGCTATTGTATTTACCTCCAACATCATGTTTCAGAGATGTTAATTCATCTTTAACATTTGTAGTCAACTCAGCGATATTTTTACCGTAGCCGTCCAACCACTCCTTTACCTTGCCGACAGACTTCGAAAGGCCAACACGCCGGAGCCAATTGAAGAAGTTAATTTCTCAAGTACACTTTCAAGCTGATTTTCAGTGCCAACAATATAATTATTGTATGTTGTAACTGAATTGTCACCTTCACTCCACTGAGAACTCCACCCAAAAACGCCATCACCCCGTCGCAGAGCCTGTCAAGGTCCGAGTACACGATGCCGGAGCCATCGTAGCCTTTGAAATCTTTATTGTAACCTAAAAACTTTTCTAAACCATCAGTAAGATTTGATAATAGGTTTTCACATTGGTCATCTGGTGTAGTAAATATTTCTAGATTTTTGCTAAGCTCAGTAAGCTTATTTTGCCGCTCCTTAATATCCTTCAAAGCGTTGTCTCTGGCATCATCAGAAAGGTAATGAACTTCATTATAGTGTTTTTCTTTCTTGGATTGGAGCATAGATAATTCGGATTCCTTTTTGGATTTTTCGGTTTCAGAAAGCTTTTCAGAATTTAAGGCTTTTTTAGCCTCAGCAATCTTAGCGTCAAGATACTTACAATGACGATAACCGGAGGCTTTGGAGCAGGAAAGTTGAGAATGCCTGGTAGAAAGACTAGTTTCAGCTTTCTCAATAGCATCACCAACCAACTTTTTCAAAGCTTCAGCTAACTTATCAAGACCATCACCTTTCTCACCATTCCCATGCCTAACCTGGATCAACCAGTCGATGGAGGCCGACGAAGGAGGCCAAAAAGGAAGGGAAAAAGAGGTGAGAGAAGAAAGTGGAAAAAAAGTTAGATAAAAATTAGAGGAGGTGAAATGGAACACTTTTGGACACTTTTAGAATTTTTTGAGAAAGGCGTTCTAGGTCAAGGAGGCAGCGAGGGAGGTGGGTGGACAAGGCGAGGGAAGTGAGGAGGCGAAAGAGGGCGATGAAGGGGGAATATGGGTTGAGAGAGGCGGTTTCGGAGGTGGAGGGGGAAAGTGGAAAATAAGGATTTGGTGAAGGACACCGACGGAGGAGGTGATGGAGGGGTGATGGAGAGGGAGCGAAGCGACCAGTGAAGGAGGTAGGTGAGTGAGTGGTTGAGTGGTTGAGTGAGTGGTTGAGTGAGTGAGTGGGTGAGTGGTTAGATGAGTAAGTGGTTGAGTGGGTGAGTGGTTGAGTGGGTGGGTGGTTGAGTGGGTGAGTTGGTGAGTGGGTGGTTGGGTGAGTGAGTGGTTGAGTGGGTGGGTGAGTGGTTGAGTGGTTGAGTGAGTGGTTGAGTGGGTGAGTTGGTGAGTGGTTGAGTGGTTGAGTGAGTGGTTGAGTGGGTGAGTTGGTGAGTGGGTGGTTGGGTGAGTGAGTGGTTGAGTGGGTGGGTGAGTGGTTGAGTGGTTGAGTGGTTGAGTGAGTGGGTGAGTTGGTGAGTGGGTGGTTGGGTGAGTGAGTGGTTGAGTGGGTGGGTGAGTGGGTGAGTATGTGAGTGAGTGGGTGAGTGGTTGAGTGGTTGAGTGGGTGAGTGGTTGAGTGGTTGAGTGGGTGAGTGGTTGAGTGGTTGAGTGGTTGAGTGGTTGAGTGGTTGAGTGGGTGAGTGAGTGGGTGGGTGAGTGAGTGATTAGGTGAGTGGGTGAGTGAGTGATTAGGTGAGTTGGTGAGTGAGTGGTTGAGTGAGTGGGTGGGTGAGTGGGGGGGTGAGTGGGTGGGTGAGTGGGTGAGTGAGTGGGTGGTTGAGTGAGTGGTTGAGTGGTTGAGTGGTTGAGTGGGTGGGTGAGTGAGTGATACACAGATCACACGTGAAGGCACGATTATGGTGAGAAGTACTTGACGTTGGCTATTTTCCCAACGCGTGCGGCGGCGAGGAGGGACTGCGCGGCGATGCGGTGCGATGCTGGTGAGCGCAGGTGGGAGCGTATCCTCAGGACGTCGAGGCGGACGACGGCGATGTGCAGCAGGTAGAGCAAAGAGAGCGACCAGAGGGAAACGAGGGTGTAGACGAATTTGTATCGTATCTCCCATAAGAATGCTGGGATTTTGTTAATGACCAGGTCGGCAAGTACCGATCGGCCGTGACACACTTTTTCCAATGCCTGGCAGAAATCTTGACATGAGCGTTTGTTGTCAAGACCATTATCTCCACTTAGGTTATAAGGGCTGCCAAAGGTGAAGCCGTATGTGTAGAGTGTTGGATGCATATTCGTGCACTTCACAATGGAATGGCATTCATTTTGATGGTTATGTTGCTGGGGTTGCGATGTGTGCTGCTGTGTTTTATAATACGAGTTTACCTTACAACCCTCAACACAGCTCATGGCATGGCATCTCGTTCCCTGCGTATTGCACTTTTTGCAACAATCATCGTATAATTTCTTAAGCAAATCATAGAACGTCTCAGTAATGTAGACAATCCATGACAGATAGTTATCAGCGTATTCTTTAGAATACAACAACCGGGTGTCATCGCTCATTGATTGTAAGTATTGCCCGCATGGAAGTGACGGAGCATCCTTTGGATCACAAGATAGAAGGGTGAACAATTCACCTTCGAGATGGCTATTTTGTTCCTACTGTGAACTTTCGAACTAAATATTTTAGTGATTTCCAGTTCTGTACTGGGATCCCAGAAGTTGGCTCTTTTAATGGCGTCATCGAACGCTTCTCTCCTATGCTTTGCTTGGCCCCCCTCATCACACCAGTGATCAAGGATATTATAGTAGAACGCGAACATGTCTCCCAGAGTCTGAGGGGGTCGACGCAGCAAGTATACGAAATAGGAACAAATTAGGCTCAGTGAACACTCTCTTGAACCACAGAACGGATCAAGCACATCCTTAATAGACTGACCAGTGCCAGTTCGTGAAGCTATTTGACATAGGTCCTTAAAGCCCATAGGAGTCTTACATGGAAGTCCTTTGTGATTGGACACGGTACATTCCAGCTTACAACCTGGCTTCGTGAACTTATGTGGCAGGAACCCTGGCAAGCCGTCTTCTAAGAAAGATTGGAGAGGCGATTTCAGACCGCACTTAACACTTTGGTCACATTTTTGGTTACACATTTGGTTTTGTTTTTTACCATTCTGGTTCGGGCATTGCATTGTGTTGCAGTTCCATGCGGATCCACCGACACCCTGGCCGTACCAGCAATCACGCCAACCGCTACTATCAGGGCCGTTATAACAGAGTTTAAATAGGAAAAAAGATTTGTTCATGCAGTCTGAGACATTTGTCTACGAGCATATCTAAACATTGATCTGTATCACTTGGATAAAATAAGTCATCTGGGTTTGTTAGGAAGTCACAGGCATAACGGCCGTCGGCATGGCCGTGGCCTTGGATGGTAACTAATATGTGATATGGGCGGATGGTAATATTGTTGAATAGGTTTGACATTTCTTTAATGGTAAGATCTCGGAGCATCCTACCGCTTCTCCTTGCAGGCACGGCGGCTTCTATGGGCTTGATTACCGTTGTACCGTTTTCTTGGGGTACATTGAAGTATCTCGCAAACTTACTCGCCAATTTATCATACATAGGTGTATAGTAGAGCCCAGCAAGCCAGTGAAGCATTTCGTTGACAGTGCTGGGCGCCCTTGGTTTCGAAGGAATATAGTACTGGCAGACACGGTAGTACGAGACAAGATCTCTGCATATTTCGTTGATGAATTCGTGAAGCTTTTTGGAACCGCTTTTTAAGCCTTTTATTTGACTTTCACGCAGCTTATTAATTTGTGTTCCGTTAGTCTTCGTAGAATTGTCTAACTCACCGTCCTGGACGCCGGCCTTAGTGGCCACCCTGTAGCCTCGGTCAGAGAAATACCCGCCTATGTTATTACTTGAATTAATGTTATCAGGGCCTTTAGAGGGGAACAATTTACTTAACGAGTTGAAGTCGTAGAACAAAGTCTCCAGTACGGTCAGGCAGACCTTGGCGCACTTCTCTGAATTCTTGTCACCGTTCCAGTTAAAAGTGTCCGTAACTCCAGAATATGACGATACATAAACTTTCTTGAGCTGCTCCACAAATGCCCTAAATCCGGACTTGACAATGTCGAGAAGTGTGTTGGATGATGTGGAGGAGAATTTCGAGGGGGTGAACCTTCTAATGGCCACATCGGCCTCGTAAATTTTTTCAATTGCCTTATGATTGAAGTTATTTGACCCCAAAAGTAATCGCAAGAAACTACTGATGATAGCGTAAAATTCATAAACACTGCTAACCTGTGGATCATCATCCGGAGATTTGGGCTTTTTACTCGCACCACGGTCCGTTTTCTGATTAGGTCTATGTTGACAATCGACATATTTTACGATTGGATCGAGATACCACTGTAAATATTCTGCCGCCTTATTCAACTCTATTTGAATGGGAATCTGCGGAAGCTGTGTATGGTGCGTATTCATATTCCACAGTAAGCACTTGATCCCGTTTGCCAGGTCGTCAGTTATGATCTTGTTTACCTTTTTAGATTGCTTTTCGACTAATTTCTGCAGAGCTGTTAGGTCAGCTCGTTTCTGTTCGGTAAACAATATTCGCACATCGATGGTTATTTTATCAAGGGCGTATTTTATGGCTGAGAGGAGTTGGGATCGGAGTTGATCGACAGATTGCTTGATTTGTACGTATTCTTCCCGCACAACTGTGTCAACTGTATTAATGGCGTCCATCAACGCTCTATCGGCTTCGTCGATCTTTTCGTTAATGACGTTCAGATTACCTTGTAGGGTGTACAATTGATGCCTTAATTTCCCCATGAGCTCGTCAACCTCTGCCTTCTTGGTTTCAACGTCTTCTGGCATGGTCTCAAGCCCTGTGACAACATTAACGACGCCTTTGATGGCGTTTTGTATTGTGCTAGTAATGCTGTTAGACGATGTGGAAGATAACTGTTCGGTGAACTCGGTGGTATGCAACTCACTAATCTTACTATGCAGTTCCTGAATACTGCCAGCAATAGGCTTCCCATTTTCGGTCTTACCGATGGTCTTTTCTAATTTTTGCAAATTCAGAATTACATCATCATTAACATCGCTGTTTCCACCTTTCAACAGACCTTGAAGCCTTCTAATCTCCGACTGAATTGCCTCGACAGCTTTAGTGATGGCTTTAGGTTGATCTTTTAATTTATTATTCTGCAGATCGTTCAGTTGATCGTAAATTTTGGTGAGACGTTTAACGTTAGCTTTCTGTGAAACTGATCTAAGTGTATACTCGCCGTCGCCCTCTTTAATCATCTCATCTAAATCCTCCACAACGCCTTTAATCGTAGCTTGCTTGCTGCTGTCTTTCACCATTTTCGATATGGCAGTAAGTTTGCCCTGAATTGTGCCGACGGCATGGCTTATGTCCCCGTTTAACCTTCTCACGTCACCATCCTTGACATCTGGCACGTCATTGGTAACGCCGCCCAGTTCATTAATAACCGGGTTTTTGAGTGCCTCATGAAGCTTCTGTATCGCCTTTTCGGCGGTAGCTTTGAGTAGTTCTTTGAGTGGGGTGTTGATATTTACGTCGTTGACTTTTTCCGCAATCGCCTTAACTTGGGTGGAAATATTACCACCTAATGCGGTACCGGAGTAATTTCTGATAGCATCTCCAAGCTCACTGTCAAGCTTCGATGCCGTAGCCAATGCACCATCTACGTTGCCAATCTTGTACGCATCTAGAAATACCTGGATCTCCGCAGCAACTTGCCTGGCCACAACGAGGAGCTGCTTTAGGGTGTAATGGACGGCTGTTTTAAGAAACGTATAGTTATACCCATTATTCAGTGTCGCTGTACTTTGTTTAATGTCATCACTTATCGTCGTGGCTATCGTGGTTGCAAGGGAATTAATTTTGTTTTCGTACTTTTCAACCTTATCAGCAACCTGAATTTCCTCACCAAGTTTCTTGACAAACTTCTCGATGCCCGCCTTGAGAGCAGTAAGATTTGCAGCGATGACGTCTTTTTGCCCGAGTTCTTGCAGTTTTTGTTCAACCTCTTCGCCGGCATCGTGAATAATACCGGGTCTAAGCTGATTTGTAATCTTCTCCGCAATTTTCTCGTTAAGACCTTTGTAATATTGGCTGCCGTCTTTGTCCCGTTGAAGAGTCTTGTCTTTATCCTCCTTAATGTGACTCTCGTTATGCCTAACATACCTCTCAATCAACCCTTTCATCGGATGTTCCTTCAAAATATTCATCACCCAGCCACCCACTTTGTTCTCGAAACCCTTGCCCTTGAACAGTCCAGCAAGCGTTTGCACCCCACTAACTATATGTGTCAGACCCTTCTGTTGAGCTGGAACTTGACTTGTGCCCTTAATACTATCAACGTACTTCTTAATATTCTTCAGCAACTGCTGAACTTGCCCTTCAACGTTCGTGGTAATTTGTTCGGTGACCCCTTGTATCTTGCTGTTCAAATCCCATCCATCTCCGCTACTCAGCTTAAACTTACTAATCTCATTGGGCACCTGAACATTACTTGTAAGATCTGGAAGACTTTTTAGATTTGCTAAGGGGCCAGTGTCCCCATCTCTACCCTTCACTTTCTCAACCACAGACACCAAATGCTCCTGCGTTTTCGTATAAGCACTGTTAAGCTGATCCGCCTTATTCTTAATATCATCAAGTTCACTTTTGAAGTTATCATCATTGTCTTCATATTTAAGCGCCGTAACAATCTCGTCAACCTTCCTATTTGCTGCTTTCACAACCTTCGACGCCTCGGTTGTCCAACTGCTCAACTTCTCTGCTTCGCCCTTAAGCGTCTTATCGACCGTTTCAATTTCTCTTTTAGCCTCCAAAATTAGTTCGATATTTTCACGAATCACCGTCTTCGTATTAGTATTTGTATATGCTTTAAGCGCTCCATGAACGTCATTGGCCTTACCAAGTACCAGTTTACGAAATAACTCCGCCTCCTCAATTTTGCGCTGTAAATCCGCAACATGTTTCCCTAGCGTACTACCAATTTGCTCAAGCGCCGTCTTGATCATATTAACATCATTTCGTAGCTTTGACTTACCGCCTGACGCAGCACCAGAAGATTTATCAACATCCCTCAACCCATATTTTACATCTTCGAACATCTGCAAAATCTTTCCCTTATATTCACCGTTAAATTTAACATAATACTCCCTAGCGTGCTGTGTTGCCGCCTGCACTGCCTCCCTGATAAACGTAAACTGAACATCTTTCTTGCTATACAGATTTGTGATGTTTCTTAAAATCCTATTGACCTCATCGTCCAATGTATCTTGAACCTTTTTTGTACCCTTCTTTACAGCCGTCTCAAGATTCTCCTTCTGCCTTGCTAATTCGTCATCCACCTGTTTCACCTGACCTAAGAAAAAAGCATTTGCCGCCGAGTCATACAACATTTGTACTGCTTCCTTCACGACCTTAATTTCTGCATTCAATTTGCCTTTTAGTACACTGTCCAACTTATCAACACGATCATTCTGAATATTATAAACCTTACTGTAAATGTCAGACACTGTATTCTTCCATTGCTTAGACTGTTCCTCAAGATTCCTATCAGCAACAATTTGGCTATTGTATTTACCTCCAACATCATGTTTCAGAGATGTTAATTCATCTTTAACATTTGTAGTCAACTCAGCGATATTTTTACCGTAGCCGTCCAACCACTCCTTTACCTTGCCGACAGACTTCGAAAGGCCAACACGCCCGGAGCCAATTGAAGAAGTTAATTTCTCAAGTACACTTTCAAGCTGATTTTCAGTGCCAACAATATAATTATTGTATGTTGTAACTGAATTGTCACCCTTCACTCCACTGAGAACTCCACCCAAAAACGCCATCACCCCGTCGCAGAGCCTGTCAAGGTCCGAGTACACGATGCCGGAGCCATCGTAGCCTTTGAAATCTTTATTGTAACCTAAAAACTTTTCTAAACCATCAGTAAGATTTGATAATAGGTTTTCACATTGGTCATCTGGTGTAGTAAATATTTCTAGATTTTTGCTAAGCTCAGTAAGCTTATTTTGCCGCTCCTTAATATCCTTCAAAGCGTTGTCTCTGGCATCATCAGAAAGGTAATGAACTTCATTATAGTGTTTTTCTTTCTTGGATTGGAGCATAGATAATTCGGATTCCTTTTTGGATTTTTCGGTTTCAGAAAGCTTTTCAGAATTTAAGGCTTTTTTAGCCTCAGCAATCTTAGCGTCAAGATACTTACAATGACGATAACCGGAGGCTTTGGAGCAGGAAAGTTGAGAATGCCTGGTAGAAAGACTAGTTTCAGCTTTCTCAATAGCATCACCAACCAACTTTTTCAAAGCTTCAGCCAACTGGGCAAGGCCATTTCCACCATTCCCATGCTTAACCTGGATCAACCAGTCAATGGACTCCCGGAGGTTTTCCGGACAGTCCGTCAGCTTCTTCGGCGCCATCGTTTAGAAGCAAGACAGTGCCTTATTAGACACCTCAATGAACCCACCAGCAATTCGAGGTTGCAGAACCCCGACTCCGCAGCAAAATGCGATAGGCACTGGACGGCTGGCTAAGAACCTTAATTATTTTCCCAACTGCACTAGGTAGGTTTGTACCGGATAAGGTATGTGCTTATAATTCATGGCAAAACTATCATCCACCTAATTCACCGTTTCCCAGCCTCCCATACGCAGACAGCTCAAAATTAGTCCACTTCGGAGGCGGCTTGAAACTGCCAAACTGCATTAGAAGATACGACGACACGAAGTAACGGCCGATCCTGTAGCAACCTTTGAATCAATATTCGCATCAAATCATCTCCTGCTCCATTGCAATTCATGGTCTGCCCCACTGTCACCCAGCTCCATCCATACTAGGAAGAAGGGCTTCCTGAAATGTGAATGAGATGAGTGGCAGGAATGATGTGAAAACTGCATGGTATAAAAAGACGTTAAAGAGGCGGTGGGAACCCTACTCCCTCTCCAACCTTCATAAGGCATGGGATTCTCGACGCATGATGTATACGAATGTGACGTTCATGTGGAGGATACAGTGCATAACTATGAACAAGGGCCCAAATTTACTAGCATTCAAAGCAAGTTGATAAGTGAATAGTACTAAGGTTCAGGTGAAGAGGATGGCAACTATGGATTTTCCGGGAAGCCAATGCAGAGGGGATAGGCCGTCGGCCATAACCTAACGGAAATCATCACCGAATGTAGGCAACAGAAGACGGTAACCATCATGGAGATCTGGATTACCAACCAAGACAACCTGGTGGAGACGGAGAAATTCAAGAAGCGGAAGTACGAAGACCTTGTCGAGGACCTGAAGGCATTGCAATTCAACCAACCGACAGCATTCAGGGTGGTGCCTTATGTGACGAAAGAGGCAAAAGCCAGAGAAGATTATGACTCTGTGAGTGACCCTCGCTCCTCGACCGGATGGATGGCACAATGGATGGTACCTGTAGCGTTCGGTAATACGACATGGATCCCGCAACCGACACCAGCAGCCTAATACGCTTGCCTGGTAAACACGTAAATTGGCCCTAAGCCACATAGCACACTAAACAAAGCCAAAACAAAGATAATGGGTAATAAGGTGTATGTGCATCAGGATGGTAACGATGGATTGTCTACAAGACGGAGAAAAGCAAAGAAAATAAGAGATCATGCCTCATCTCTAGCCGAACTTAGCTACATAGTACAGTGGAAAAGTTGAAAGATGGGCATTCAACGTGTATTACAGTAGCAGCGTGCCCTAAGGCTGGAACGTCAGCGTTGCGGCGCTATAAGTAGCCAATAATTGTGTTTTAGCACGGTTGTTTATAACACGTGTAAGTTGTGGTAAACCAGATTAATAGCGTGATACGTAATTACGTGTCATCAAACATCCATTCTGCAATCGGTACTGCCGGAAAGTGGAGGGTATGATTTGGCAGTTATAATACAGGATTAACAGCTGAATATCCTACAATGCCATTAACACGCAACAGCAGGCAAGATCAGGCATATTGTACATGAAGAAGGTGACTCCACTAATGATGTTGAGCAACTACAGTGTCATTGTAGGACTGAATTAGCCTACCGGTGAAAATGCAACCATTGTCGACTTCATTTGCCCATTGTATATTTGCAGCGCACTAAGGCGTATAATCTACAACGCTACATTGGTCCATATTAGCAATTGTGGACTTAGAGGTTTCACCGAAAACACATAACACACAGCTTTGTGGGATTGAATGAGGTCAAACAAGCGAACGCTACGAAGGAATGTCCAGCATCAGTAAGGTCATCAAGACGTTAAAATGTAGCCAATGCCACGAGTTATTAAACCACATCCAGCCATTCGCGGCTCCATAATGAGTCCGATCTCGTTAGGGATGAGTTAGGAGGCGTTGCACAAGATTAACTATTTCTGAGCTAGTATCAGAACGTTGTAGAAATTTAGTATAACGGAAGGAATTATATGTCTCATTTGATATATTTAGATGGTTTGCTGGTTTTTCGACGTAATGCATCACTGTGCATGGGGCCTCACATCTTGCTCTTCGCGTCAAACCTTGTCACGAAACGTGAAAGTATAGCCACGGTATGTGTCGTATTTTGCACGGGAACAAACACCAGATTTGTATATAAAATGACATTAATCGCAATTTCATTCTTCCCTAATGCGCTACCTTTTTGCTGCTCAAGAGTGCCTTAGCTGACAGCTGTGCGTTCGACGGCGTAACGTCGTCCTGATCTTGATCGACTTCGCTCATAACTACATTGGCTTGACCGTCGTGCTCCTCGTACACGTACACGACAATTTTCTGGCCCTGGACGGCCATAAGCATGAACGTCGGAATCGAGTTTGGCGCCCACGGCTGAAAAGCACCAGTTGCCGATCCTGGGTTAACGAGTATTTTACCCGACACCTTTGATACGTCACTAATGTGGGTATGACCATATACCAGCACGTCCACACCCATGCGCTTTGCGTATTCGTAGACAACTTCCTTATCTCCCCAGGAAGGCAGTTGGTATCCGTTTATGAGGCCTATCTTGAAGTTACCTGCTGATCTATAACATAGACTATGGTCGAACATACCAACATTGACGATTAATTCCTCCGGTAGTTTTGGGTCGTCGTCGAAGTCGCCCTTAACCATGTGTAAGTTCGGGGATATACCCAGGAGAAGGTCCACCATTTTCTGGGAACCGACATTTCCGGTGCACAGCACCTGTTTAATCTTGTCCGTATTCAGCAGCTCGCGAAAACATTGCGGCAGATCCAGTGCTCGTTGCGGGACGTGTAGGTCGCCGACGACCATAATAAGCTCACCCAGGTCACTCCCCCCGGTAGACATCTTGGAAACGCGTGCAACTATAAAAATTATGCTCTCGCATCCTCGAATGAACACTGATTCACGATGTATCGTTGCGTTCCATGGGGGAATCATACGAGTGGTGTGTAAGGTCAAATTAGTTATACTTCTACTTCGTTGAGAGTGTGTAATACACACAACGGCTTTTTCACGTTGTCTTCAGTTATTGTTATGGGTGATACAGGCTGCGATGGTTCCTGTTGGTTTTCTTTGCCGATGTCATTATCAGCCCTTATGACGACGCGCTTCTGGTCGTCCACTGTGACCCGGTACCTTTTACCCGGCTCGTATTCCTTGTTTATAACAAACTCGGCCAGCTTGTCCTCCAAGTGGCCGGTGATCAGCCGTCTGATGGGCCGCGCTCCGCCCTTTTCGTCGCGTGGCAATTTCAATACGAAGTCCACGAACGAATCGTCCACAACGATATCCATGCCAGTTTCACGTGCCCTTTTCAGGGTTTCTTCGATCATCAGCCCCGTTATTTCCCGTAGCTGTTGATCTGTGAGCGGTCTGAATATAATGATGTCGTCGATTCTGTCAACGAGTTCGGGTTTGAATTGCGATTTCAGCTCTTCGCAGACCAGCGACTTGATTTCTGCGTAATTCTGTTTTTCATCAGTCGCTTTAGGTTGAATATTAAACCCAAATGAGTGAGATCCGCGAGAAGCCCTTTCAATGACGTTTGAGCCCGTGTTGCTGGTCATGATGATGACAGCATTTTTGAACGACACCGTCTGGTTCCTGGAATCCGTCAGTTTCCCATCTTCCAAAACCTGCAACAAAATATTGATGACATTGGGGTGTGCCTTCTCTATTTCGTCAAACATAACAACGGAATAGGGATTTTTACGCAACTTCTCAGTCAGCTGACCACCAGAGTCATGCCCCTTGTATCCCGGCGGGCTTCCAAGTATCCGGCTGATGCTGTGCGGTTCGTTGTACTCTGACATGTCTAACTTTATGATGTTCTTCTCGTTGGCGAACAGCAAGTTGGTCAGCGCTTTGGCTATTTCTGACTTGCCTACTCCGGGTGGACCGCAGAACAAAAAGCTGCCGATTGGCCGTTCAGGATTCTTAATATTCGTTTTCGCGCGACGAATGGCCTTGCATATATGCTTAACTGCTTCTTCATGTCCAATGATTCTCTTATGGAGTTCACTTTCCATATTTCGAAGCCCTTCGATTTCATCCTCGCTAAGCCTTTGCAAGGGTATCCCGGTCCATGTTGACACCACCTCTGCCACATGCTCGGTGTTCACCTCGCAGAGCGGCGCCGCAGATGAATGTTCTGCCATGTCACTTTCGAACCCTGAATCTTCTGTGTAGTAAGAGTCAGCACTGCTAGAATTGCCGCGTGCCCCGTCTGAGTCTGAAATATTTGCGTAAATTCTCCCTTCATTCCCTGCACCGTCAGTTTGTTGACCGTCTAGATCCCCCTTAACTGCGAACCCATAACTGCTGCCCGATGACGTGGTTGTTTCGGGTGTTGCAGGATCGCTAGCTTCAGCTCTGCCCAGTACATCTATGTCTGTCGAACATTCTTCGACAGCTTGCATTGTGCTACCCGCAGTTCCCGCTTGATTTGGTTCATTGTTTGTGTCCTGTGTTGTTGCCGAGCTTCTGGAGCCCTCCGGATGTGACCTTGATCGTGCATGAAACCTTATTTTGGCCAAGGCGCCTGCTTCATCAAGAATGTCTATGGCTTTGTCTGGCAGGAACCTGTCTTGTATAAATTGTTTTGAAAACTTTAACGCCGCTGCCACAGCATCAGGGTTGTACATCACTTTGTGATACTTTCCATATTCTTCTGTGGTAGCGTTGAGGATGGTTTTCGTGTCCTCATCGGTGGGTTCGTTTACGTAGATGGGCTGAAATCGGCGTGACAGTGCAGCATCCTGAAGTGCTATGCGGTAAAAATTTTAATTTGAACGTTACCTTTTCGAAGTATTTCCGGTACTCCTTAGGCGTCGTGATCGCCACGCATTGAATCTCTCCGCGTGCAAGGGATGGCTTGAACAGATTTGCAGCGTCGAGTGCACCCTCGACCGCGCCTGCTCCTACAAGCATATGCGCTTCATCGATGACAAGTATAACATCTTTCATGTTTTTGACCTCCTCGATGAGCTTAGTTAGCCGTTCTTCAAATTGGCCTCTGAACCTGGCACCCGCAACCAGTAGTCCCAGATCGAGCTGTCTTAATCTTTTGTTTCGAAGACTTGGGGTTGCGCCTCCTTTTAACAATTGCATTGCAAGTCCCTGTGCATTTATATGAATACCATAATAACCCTTACCTCTATGATCGCGGTTTTCCCTACACCAGGTTCACCTATTAAAATCGGATTTCGTTTGTGCTTTCTGCAGAGCGTTCTTATGGCCCTATCGATTTCCGCATCACGACACAACACGTTTGGCAGTTCTCCCATCTCCGCTTTCGCGGTGAGATCTACGGTAAACGTATTGAGAGGCGAGGTGTAAGTATCCTTCATGACGTCGACAGAGCGTCCCTGGGCTGGCATGTACGAGTACTGGCTGAGCGCCTGTTTCCAGTTATCATTTTGCTGCACCTCTTCAGTCCTTTCCTTTTGTTCTGAGATGTACTTCAGCGTGACTTTCCGCACTTCATCCGGATTTAGCGACAGCGCGTTGAGCACCCGTGTCATCTCATCGCTTCTGCAACGGAGAAGGCCGAGCAGCATGTGCTCAGTCTCTATGGCACTGTGTCCCAGCATCTCCGCTTCTACAGATGAGAGCTCCAAGGCCTCCTTGGCTTCATTTGAGAAGGTCATCAGTTTCGTATCCAACGCCTCTTTGGAGTCGCCTGTAATGCATGACCATCAATTGGGATTATTACATACTTGTAGGAATCTGAGCAGCATCATCGGCCGTCGCTCTGACATTGTTAACCGTAACGCCGAATTCCCGTAGTACGTGAGCAGCGAGTCCGGAATCCAGACACACCAATCCCTGGAATATGTGTCTGGCTGCGATTTGGGTAGTGGAGGCTCTGCGTGCCTCCTCTTGCGATAACATCAACACTTTGACCGCATTGTCGCTGAAGTTGTTGAAGTTTAACAAAGCACGCTTGTCTGGAGAACGCGCTTGCCCGCTCGAATCTCCGGTAGCATAGTATCGTCGCCGTATGTTCGAGCTGGGCAGAAGGCTGCCAAATCTGCGGCAGCTTGAGCTTGTAGCGTCAGTTCTGAAAGCTTCTGCAGTGATGTGTCGCTCTCGATGTTCCAGTCCAACGCCTAAAATGAGAAGCAACGTCCCCTTGGTCAAGGCAGCTCCCATGAGAGGTGACCGTCGTGACGCGGTCCCATACACAACCGCTTTATTCCGCAAACATTGCGATTATTAATACGTGCTAGTTATTGCTACATATTATAGTTAATATAATTGTTTTTAAATGTGTCAGTTCGCCGTACCAATGGCTACACGCGTCCTTCCGCTTCCGCTGGCGCTTCAGACAGAATCTCAGCTTGGATGCCGCTCCTTATTTTTAGGAGCAGCGGTGTGTCAGTTACAGGCAACTGCAGTAGCTTGCTCGTCTGTGTTCTGTCCCCTGTGTAGAAGTAAGCCATGGCAGCGTACGCTACAGTGTCGCCGTTCATAACCACGTTGTTTACCGTTCCCGATGATTCTTTGCACACGTTATCGATTTCGCGATGCAAGGATATGATGGAATCCCATTCCTCTGCGACGGAGAACACCGCCAGCACAGCGTTGTACATGTCGATCGATTTATGCTCATTATGGTCGTGAGCTTTCCTCAACAATTGCAGTGCAAGCTTCCACTCGCCTGACTGCCTACAAGCTTCAACTGCGGATATGAAGGGCTCGTAACGCCCTTGAAATAGCCTCTGCTTTTCCATATCCTCAATAATTTTGAGTGCCTTTTTGAATTGGCCCGTCTTCGCGTAAGCGTCCAGGAGTAGTTGGTAGGATACGGCATCCATTTGTATGGATTCTTGTTGCATCTGGTTATAGACCGACTCCATTTCTGTGAATTTGCGCGAGACGAGCAGTGTGCTCAACAAGAGCTTGAACTGATGCAGGGTCGGCGTTTTGTTTTCTTTCACTAGTCCCGCGTAAAGTTCCATTGCATCTCGCCAATTCCCCGTCATGTAACACATAGATAACACCTCGTTGACCACAATAGGTGTTGGGACGTAGTTTTTAAGCTGTTTCATTTCCTTGTAAACTTCAAACGCCTCTCCGTACATTTGTGCCTTGGAGCACGCCTCGATCACTTTGAGGCAGTCTGCCGGTTGCACGAACGTTTCGTCACCTTTCGCGACGGCATCCAGCTTTTTCATGTCCTGAAATATCCTACTACACTCCATACCCCTTCCCTCTTTTGCCAGCTGTGCCATGATGGCGCGCATGACCCCGTGGTCCGCCGCATGTTTGTTCTGGATCATTTCGTCATACAGTTGTAGTGCGTCGTGGGTATATCCGCATTTGGCGCACGTACATATTGCAAGTTTGTAGCTGACGGCGTCGATAACGTTTTGCTTTTTGCGCATGTCGTCTAGAATCGCCAATGTCAGCTCCGCATTAGAGTTCCTCTCTGCGGCTGATAATGCCGAATTGTAGGCAATTGTCGTCGGAGATACCGCTGAAAACATGTTAGGATGCTAAGTTTCCGTTACATACTGGAGTATGGGGACGTTTGCAGCGTCTCGATACACTTGACGAAGTCTATGCCCAGAGTGGTTGCCTGAGATAATGCGACTTTCATTTTCATGACGTCTTCGTCCGTGATTTCCCCAGGCTGAGCGTCTTCTGTCACTTCTCCGCTTATGTTTTCGGGTTCTGCATTATGTATATGAAGCGTTACTATAGGACGGTACCTTTTCCTTTCGGTTTGTTGGCGTCCTTAAGACCTGCATATCGCTCACTCAATCCACCAGTTAAAGCTGACGCCCCATTATCCACGTATGAACCGAACCCAGGCATATAATCTCCATTTGTTGGGCTTTGGTCGCCCATGGGCGGATTTGGCGCCGCCTCATTTCCGTCTGACCTCGATAAGCAATGGATCGTGCGCTGTGATGAGCCTCTTAACACGGCGCCACGATTTACATCACAGCTGGAGTTAGCTGATTCACGGTTGCAGATCACACCTGCATTTGTCACGAATGCATAGGGATGAGGACTTTGCCTTGATAACCACCTGGCCAACCTAGGAGGAGCGAATCCATTGCATCCAACTGCTTTAATGCACGAAACCGTCCCAGGGAGGCATCTCTCACAGTTAGAAGCCGCGATAACTAAATTGGTGGCCTGTAAGCGAACGCAAAGTGCGTACCATGGTTCGCCCAATGCCCACAGCAGCCATACTCCGACAAGGAGGGTTTTTAGGCATATTTCAGATGCCTTACAACGCATTATCTACCATGTTGCTTTCTTATCACCGTAGAAGGTTGCATTGCCGGAATGGCGTCAGGTTACACATCCGCTGTCTAATAAGCTGCCCAGCAAAATGACTACCTTCCTAGACATATGTGTTGTAGTAAGACTAGCATTTTTTAGGTTCGTTGTTTCCGAAGTTAGTGTGCACATACATAGTAACATGTGCTGCGATGTTGGTTTATCGTGGCGCTCTGTCCTATTGGCGACGCTCAGATTGTAATTAGGTCGTTTTGCGATAAGCTGTTGTAGTATATCCCTACCATGTGTTATATATCTATGCTTGGCAGCACTCACCATCGTTTATCATCTCCAGTAGCACGGGATTCTCCAGGGCTGCCGCGACGCGCTCCTTGTCTAGGAGTTGTTTGTTGATCGCCTTCTCGTTGTTATGTGATCCTGATGCGCCCAGTTATAATTACATTTGTGAATTCACCAACCTTCCGCAATTTGCACATCAATTTTGAAGCGAGGAGGGAGGCTTTGTTGTAGCTTCACGTAGATCATGAGTCCTATAACCGTAGCCTGCCGAGGCTATCAGAATTGCGCACATTGTACGTACCTGAGAGCAATGTGGTACCGTAGGCGTGAAGTGGACGGTGACGATGCTGTTATCGTTGTCGATGTGTATGTTCTGCTCCTCCAGGACCTTTAGATTTTCCAGTGTGTACGAGTACTCAGGGTCCTTAATACCGCGAATAATGTCGAATATTTCCTGAGTATAGTTTAATATGGCTTGGTGTGCAGCATACCTGGACTTCGAAGGGCTCGAATTCGGTCGTCGGCTTAAAAAGATTATTGGCGGCCTTGTCTACGGCTTTGGCCTCGTCGTCCGAATCCAACGCCATATGGTGGTCGATGTAGAAAAACGACTTTTCTTTTGTGCTTAATACAAACCGTTCCTGCGACTCGGTAGTCGAAGGACCGTTTGTCTTTTTGTAGAGCACGGGGTTGACGTTATCCATTGGATATTTGACCCGTAATTACAAAGTTTCACCCAGTATGGATGTCAGTAGCAGTATTGTAGCTGCCAGCGTTGTTGTCTACTGCGGTCATTTGAACGCCTTAATTAACACTGACGCATGTTGCCCAGTTGAGGTGACCGCCACAGCCATCATCGCGCAAATCAATAGCACTAGACATAAATACGTACATACATAAGGTGAGCACGATATATAGGCACATTTTTAATCCTTTTAGCCTTTATTAATGTTCTAAAGGCAGTGTTTCCGATGCGTTGCCTATTTTATGATCTGCTTCTCTCTCACGCATCCTTCGGTTTCGGGATGCTGGCGTGCTCCACCGAGTACATGATGACTCCGAGCGAGCACACTATGGATGATATGACCTTCCCGGTAGTCATAACTTGCGACTTATCCGCGTACGAGAAGAGTGCGTGACTACCAGCGACAACGATGATAATGCGAACGGCCTTGAGGACACCGCAGCATACCGATCCGGCCTCCTTGACTATATAATAGTAGACAGACGAACGGAAGAAATTCGAGATGAAGAGAACGAACAGTATGCTGAGGACGCTCTGCGAAGATTGTCATTGGTGGAGTGCTTCAGGCTTACCGATAGATCGAAGGGGTTCATTGCGCTTTTCGAGTCGAATAGCATGTGTCGTTGAGGGATAGTGAATATCAGTGACCATACAAAGAATATCGTCAGCGATATCATACCCATCATGCACACCAGGTTCGGTCCCTCTATTTTTTTCTTTCGTAGCAGGTCTTCACTAATGATGGAGTTGAACGCGTTGACTAGCGCCGCGATGACAACCAAGAAGAATCCCACTATTTGTGTAGTGGTGATCTCCTCGATCTGCGTCAATCCGCTAATTGCTATGGCGCCCGAGATGAGCGATATGGATGCCCACGTCATCCCAGAGATTCTTTTCCGCAACACCACGCTAGACAGTAAAGCCAAGAACATGGTATTTGTACTAGATGCGATAGTGTAGATTGACGGCCCACACGCCACGAGTCCGGCTGCACGTAATTGTTTGCGTACATGCCGACACCAACCTTTTTCCACAACCTGGTGTACGATATCCAGCCCCGATAGCATTAGGGGGTATGACCATGACTCCTCCCTGCGAAAATATGAGCAAATCTCGTAATGACTCTTATTTGCGTAACATTCTCGCCGTATCACTCACCATATGCTTTTTGTGGTAGGGTAGTACCCTACGCAGATCATGGCCATGTAGGTCGGTATGAGGAATGTGTACGTTCCATTTGGAGTTCCTCCTTTCTGTCTCAACAGAAATATCTGCACATTTGTGATCCATTGCGTCATCAATGTCTATGGGCATGGGCAGTATGCGTCTCGGTCGCACAACGTATGTAATGGTTGTGACATTTAACAACCAGCGACATAACCACAGACACTGCCGCCTATATAGCACGAATGGACATACCAGCAGAGGTTGGGCAGAATTCGTTATCACGAATATGAGCATATAAATTGCCAGCTCCATGTTGATTGAAAATGGCTTCTGTTGCGTGTCAGTGGATCGGCTTTCGTCTTCTTTCTCTTGACCCTGTAGCGCGTATCGGCTTGAGAGGCTCGATTCGCCACCAGAGTGTTCGTAATCAGTGTCACACTCATCGTCGTACGGTAAGGATACCGTCAAGAGGCTTTCAGAATCTATTGCCGTGTCCGGGTCTCCTCTGACGACATTTTGCGATAAGTACACCTCAGTGGAGGCCGTGTCCATATATGCCATGTTGCGGATGTCGTTACGCTTCACAACTGGTATACCATATGGATAGAATCCGGGATCAGCCGATGTTAGATCTGCTCGGTTGTTTGTGTAATGTTGGACGGAACCATAAAACTCTATGTCTTCCTGTAATATAGAATCGCCCGATTCACTTCCCATCATACTATGAGCCTACGATCCACGGTTTTGAGCGGAATCCTGTGCGATCCTTTTGATGTAGATCTCAAGCCGTTCGTAGCCTTCCACAGCAGAAGGTAGCTACAAAAACCTTCGCCCTGCAGAACGCATTTACAAATATCCTGCTGATTGTGTGTGAAGGATTTCTCCGAGAAAGTACCACTGTTTTGCCACCCAGCTTGCCGCCGTGACTCGGCTCTACCCGCACGACCGTCCCCATGTTGTCTTCTTCTCCTACATCACCACATCTGGGTCTCATTAACTCTGCGTTACATGTGACACTGTATCTGTTACGCTAGTGTGTGTGCGTGAAAGTCAGAAGGCTTTGTTATAACAGGGGCAGCTTGTTCTCACAACGACGTTGTTCCCCGCAACTAAAAGCCAGGTGGAGACAAGTCGAACCCATTTCATAGCTTATCGTTAAACAATACTTCAGGACGCTCGATACTCCGTTAGGAATGAGCGTCTAGTTGCGATAGCGTTGGTGTTGTTATCGATCGCATTTCCGACGGTTGCTTGGCCTCCTCCAAACTGTAATGATTACACCACGCGGAAAACTGCCATGCTCCCGTTCCTTTTACGACACTATATGTTTATAAGTTCGTAATTCGGCGATTCCGAGGAGGCCCAGTGACACAGCCCTTTGGTAGAGAAACGATTAGTAATTCATTACACATCCACGCGCATTCTCACTTCAACAATATTTATTTTACGTTGAGCCATTTTTGGCGCTGTAAGACAACCTTCTGCCGACTGACAACCTCGTTGTCCAAGTAGTGCTTGGCCGACGACTTGCTCCCCTGACACCGCCACCTGAAATGCCGTATTCATTTGATCAATTTAGTTATTTCCTTTAGATATTGCGGCATTTCGCAATCGGCATCTATCTGACAAAGCGCTATCATCAATGCTCGCGTCGTACCACTGGGTGAGTACTTTTTTTTCGTATCTGATCGATCATCCTTCGCACATTATGCGAATTGTGTAACAGCACATCTCATACACGCCATCCGTGCTGTTTGTTACGTACACATCGACGTGTACGTTCATCTCCAGTTTTGTTTTCACTCTCCTCTTCTGAATCTAACAACGAGAGCGCAACTTTGGTTTTACGCGTCTTGAAGAGGTGTGAAATATCAATTTGTACATCGTGTAATTTTACAAGAATACGGGCTATTCGCCTCTCCGAAATTCGGTAAGTTATCGGCCTCCACACACCTATTCCGAAATTTAACTGCGGTATTGCAATTTAACACTCCTTCCATTTCATCACACTGTACAACAAAGCAAATCATACTGAGTTTCAAGGCTGCTCGTTCGGCTTTAGGTAGGTTTTGCATGCCCCCTCAATCCGATTCTACCGTGTCTAATCTTCTTTTTCGATATCGAAGTCTTTTCTGCACTGTTACTGTCTAGGTCTTATATTTAGATATGAGAATCTTTTCAAATTATCGTTAGAAATGGGAAAGGTCGCATTTCGGCTTCTGAAATAATACATGCATGTTACTTATAGTTTAAAATGTTTGTGGCTGTATCTGCGTAACAAAGGTTATGAAACATTTGAGCATGTAAACGTGTTGGATTTGCGCTACAATGCTGCCCCCTATTTCTGTTATAGAGAGACGCCATTCGCGTTCATCACTTCTCAGGTCATGGCAATGCGTAAAGACATAGTCGATGTTTGAGGGCAGGTGGGGGAGCATTACAACAAAGGCGCATCGCAAACGGTGGATATGAGCTTGTCTCAACAGTAGTTCCGCTGATGTTTGTCTAAATGCTGGCAGCCGTACAACAGATATAGGCGACGTGGAGGAAGGATGGATGGCTCGTTCAGGGGGCTGCATCGCATCCAAAAGGAGGAAGGTGCTGCATCAGGTAACCCACCGCGGGGAACCGCAACTCCCGAATCGTCTGCGACGAGATACGGAGCGTTGTCAGGCGGATACATGGATTGGACAGATAGGATCCCACGCATCTCCCGCAACACGAACACTTCCAACCACGTAGAAAAGCGGGATGTTGTCGTTCACGATTCTACGAGTGATTTTATGGGTAATGTGGAGTCAGATTTGTCCCCAGCTACGGAAGCGGTGTCGTTGGGGTATCCGAATAGCGAGACCCATGGTGTGGCGCTTCCGTCGACATCACCTGTCGCCATGAAGGATTACGGTGAGGGTCAGCATGGTGGAAGCACAGTCCCATCTTCAGACACGGTTAAGGTGGTTGCTGCTGCTTCCGATCAAGGGGTGGATATGGCAAGTAGTGACATACAACACGATGTTACATCGGATGACTTTGGCTCGCCAACGGCACGTTATGCATCAGTCATGGGAAGAGGCGACCTATGCGCCCCCTCAAGCAATAAGCTGTCGGGAAATGAGTTACAACACGGCACTCCGCGCAGACTGTCGTTGAAAAGGCCTGCGCCATTCAAGCCCAACGATCGATTCTTATTTTCGCTGCTCTGCAATTGGACCGTACCAAATTCCAAAATGCGATCAACGACATATATGGATGTACAGGGGGAAGTATTTCTCTTTCACGGCATTTATAGCGTAAAGAATTTCGAAACTACAGAGGGTCGTGTGGCCTACACCAGGCTCTGTGATTTTCAGGTCAAGACAGTCACGGACGTTCCCCCATTACCGAATGACAACTCTCGTGCTCCGGGACCTTATGAGTTCATTGCTTCGGTAGACAAGTCGCATATACGTCACGAAGCGACGACGCCTATCGTTCACATGATTCGGGACGTTGGTCTGTACAAGGAGGATGGCGAATATCATTTGTGCATTGTTATCAGCACTTTCGACTGCAGTCAGTACAAGTTTTCTGCAAAGCATGCCCGTCCTCCGCCGTTGGTCGACTCGTTCAAGTACCACAGGGTTTCTTCATACAGCTGTCGTGACTCCCTTTGCCTCCCACTCGATGATATTCGTATTCCACGTATTTCGGGCGAACGTCGACATGCTGACACGTCAACACAATCAGATAGGACAGTGGATGTTAAATCGTGGTCTCATGCGTACTCTGGCAAGTACAACGTTTACGCATCCCAAGCGCGGAGTGGGCACTCCTTTGGTTCGACGGCATCGTTGGTCAATTGCACTTTGGGGTTGGTTTTACCGGTAGTCGATGGCATCATTCGTCCAACTCTGCGTAATTTGGGATCTGGAGAGGGCGTATACGAGTATGACCACACTTTGGTGAAGCACGGATCCCAGCTGTCCTTCGCGTTTCGTAACTTAATAGTGCGTACGCTGCTTAAGATGCAGCCAATGAACACGGCAGATTCCTCGATAGATGTGGCAGGCAATAACATTACCGTTGAACTATGTTGTACATCAGATTCTCGAAAGGGCGATGTGCATCTACTATGTATGACATGCGCCTTCGTGAAGGAGTTGCTCACGGGCGGCAGCTTGATCCCCATGAAAGAGTTTAACAAGAAAGGCTCTCTTGCAATCCGTAGATCTAAGAAAGATACCACGTACATGCGTTTGAATGCGCTGACCCCGTTTTTGCAGAACACAGCTAGTGAAAAGACCTCCCCGCCACCTGCCGCCCAAGCAGAGCATGACCCCGAGGAAGGTGAGATGCACTACACACCTAGTGCGTCTCCGTTTATGGGTGTATCCGCTTACAGTGATGCAGACAATGTATCACGTCGCCGTAGGGGGAGGCCGCGCGGTAGCAGACGGATTGCACGTAACGAATCTGACAGCCCGCTCCAAAACACAGATGTTGACAATACAAGTGAAGACTCTAATTATGCATCAGATGTGGATAATCCGCGCAAATATTCTCGTATGACTCCTAGACGTAGTAATAGACTTATGGAACTTTCAAACGATTCGACAGATCGTGAGCAAGCTGTACAGACCACGCCTACAATTCGCCGAGGACGGGGCAGACCTAGGAAATCTGAACAGAACACAGTATCGAGCCACCGTAAGAGAAGGTCTTTGACATCTTCTAAAACCATTGATAGTGCGAAAAGTGGGTCATCTCTTACCACGCCATCAAGGAAGAGCTCTATCGACTTATTTAGCGATTCAGCTGATGATTCGCCGGTTAGCGACACCTCTTCACACGAAGCAGGGGATGCGGCTACGAAAAATGAAGCTAAAATGACACATGATACGACATTCTTCGAGGAAGACGCAAATCACTTTAAACTGTCAGATGAGCATCCCAAGGGTAATACGGATGATGCTGGCTGTCAGCCGTCTGTAAGTGTAGCTGGATATTTACCTCGGAGGAATTTTAGATCTAAGCATGCAAACAGGCGTATCGTAGATGATGGCAAGACTGAAGACCAAACTGAAGATTCATCGGATCCTCCAGGTTTGAATTTGTATGGTACGTCGCTTAGGCCAGGAATGGAACGAACAGGAAGTGTATCAAACAGCCCCGATGAAACATCGTCCTCACCGCGTGGCAGACGACATGGTGACTTCAACGCATCCGCGTCCGCAAGTACCATGGACAGCGATAAGCGCGCTAAAAAAGGCGTGGTGGCGCAGTCCCGTTTGAGGAAACCAGTGTCAAGACAGGGGCGCCGGTCGGATCCAATTCCACGTGACAGCAGTGCTTCGCCTGGAAATGCGTATAAAGGAGAACGTGAGCTGCCTAAATCCGCATTTGGTGCTCCCTTGGATATTTTTGATGAGTACGACGGTTTTGACTATATTGGTTACTGCGTTAGGTACCGCAAGATTATTGGCACGAGGGTCCCGGCCAAAGCTCGTGAAAGTAAGAAACAACAAGCCATTGATAACCCTTGGAGGGTTGCAGTGATTAAGTTTTGGGATCCCAAGTGGCATGTTTTCTTCGTCCACCATCTGAAGGAGGAATTTTGTCGTGATTTTAAGGGTAATATTTCAAATTTGTTTAAATCTAAATCCCTCGATGAAATTTTGGATTCAACTACGGTATGGATCGAAACATGCACATTTGATGTGTATCTAATGAACTGCCACAAGGTTTTTCATCCCTCCGGGTGGCTTCCTAGAGGCGACCCTGTCATCAAGAAAGACCCGGAATCATCTGCCGAACACGCCGGTAAGGTCGATACTATTTTTGATAAAGCCGAGAGGCGGGATGATGTAAATTCCGAAGTTGCCTATCAGGCCGCAGAATCTGCGACTACATTAACCAATGGTGCCAATGCCTACGAACTCACATTGGAAGGAAAGTCTGAACCGTCTGCGGTGATCTCGTCTTTGATTGGACAAATCGATTCCAATTGTGGTATCAGCGTTGAACTAAACATTGATATATCTTCAAATCAGCCTCCACGTCAGTCGCCATGCGATGAGGCTTCGATGCTGGAAACTGATGGTGTATTTGATGATCTCATTCTGCTCCCATGCGCGTCGTCAGACATGGATGCAAAAACAATCGACACAAGTTGCGGCAACATACCGGGAAGTAGTTCTGACCAGGCTGTACCCTGCGAAGCGATTGCAAACGATGCTCCGGCACAAACATGCGATCCAGATGCGGCAACGGCACCACAAAAGAGCCACATTACTTGTAACATCTGCAATGAGAAGATATCATGCTTCTACGATGAGCTGGCGGCTGAAGAAGCGCGCAAATCATTCACAAAGGCCGACGACACTTTGTCTCTTGGTGATTTGTTGCATTCCTTGTTAAGCATTATGGAACACCCAAATTCTGCGTTTAATAGCCCCATACATACACAGTCTGCCGCCGTGTATGATATCGGCTATTTGGAGGAGAGGCAGATGTACTATTTGATTCGGGAGAACATGGACATAGCCAGCTTGGTGATGGGTGATACGTTCCCTGACGGTATTCGTTCGTGCAACCGTTTGATCACTGCACTTTGTGTGAAGTTGATAATTTGGCTACGGTATGTATGCGGATACAAGCACAAAGTGACCTCGACGACGCAGTTTAAGGTGGTCTACTGGGGTCTTCGTTGTTCCGATTGTGGCAAGGCATGTCACGCAAGGTGTTTGCCATACTTTCACCTTACTAAAGGTCCGCCGTGGTCAGATCCCGAACACATCAAGCATCGCTACACTCACCACTCTTCCATGTGTCGACTGTATGGTTCATTTGCTGTGATGAAACCTGGATTGACCCCGATGAATCACTACCGCGCTGACTACAGCACGTGTGGTGATAGCTCTGAGGAGGATGCCACTACGAGTTCCGCATTTGCTCGACATTTATCACCTGACGTACCGCCAGAGTGGTATAAAGAGCATTATCCACTGAACTATGCTACCATACGTTCTACGCGTTCCGGTCGGCAACGTCGTGTTGGTGCTAAATCGGCATCAAACCGCGGCACTTTGGCGTCAGTGGAATCTACCGATGTGAAGATGGAAGATTCAAAGAGTCCGGTGCATTCCATGCTGCAGGGAGATTTGCCATCAAATGCAATGTCGGAAGTGCAGATGTCGACACCCCCTCCCAGAGGCAATCTGCCGTATGAAAGCTATCCTGAATCCAATGGCAGTGTAGGTTTGCCACTGTCGTTATCTGATTTGATTACTGATGTCCGTGAGGAGACCGATAAGCAAGTGGCTTCTAGTCCTGCAGCAGAAGAAACAATGGTCGATGGTTCACCCATTTTACCATCTCCCATAACAGGAATGAGCGCCGATGCAACCGACGTTCCAAGCTGTTCGTCACTTCAACTGCCCGATGTATGCATGGAAGACCCGCCGATGCTGTTTGTACCCTACTTGCAGCATGGCGATCGGCAGTCGTGGAAGTGTGACGAGTGCACTCTGTGCATGTACTGCTCTAAAAGGGTATATGTTTCAGAAGATGATGAAAATCACAGCCTGAATGGCTTCACGATCATGAACGCAAGTCGGCGCAACAATTATGACCTGTTGTATCCGCCATCTTTGAGCGAGAAGCTAGAGCGATTGAATATGAAAACGAAGGGCCGTCCTCAGATCGATTTTGTGCGCTGCGTCTCGTGTAACGTGTCTGCCCACAAGGCGTGTTGCAACCCTGCCATCCCGGATCTATCGTTTCTGGAATCGTGGCGTTGTGAAGCGTGCCTTCAATGTATATGTTGTGGATATCGCGACTCTGCCGAACCTGACTACATGAACTGGGGCCTGTTCTTCTTGTTTTGTCTTCGCTGTTGGCAGGCGTTCGAAAAGAACAATTACTGCGGCGTCTGTTACCGCATTTGGACGCCGTTGGATAACGTCTCCTACCACTGGATGCAGTGCGACATTTGTAAGCTATGGGTACACCTTGAATGCGACCGCTTCGCATTAGAACTGTCTATGTCTGGCTCAAACAAGCATCGGAAATACACGTGTCTGGTGTGTCGTAACCCTAACAAGTTGCATCGCATTTTTCGAGTGCTCGAGTTGGTTTTCAATACCGAACGTTCGGGCAACTTCCGCTACCCTATGCCTCGCACATGCACTGTGTATTGGCGTCTAGTGAAGTGTCCGATGGATCTCATAACTATAAGGAACAAGGTGGAATGTGGCCTCTACAAAACTGTGGAGGACTTCGTGTTTGATGTTATGGTGATATCCCACAACACGAAGACGGTGAACATGCCCAACACCAAAGTGTACAGGAACGCCATCAACTTCGAAGTCCGTTGCAAGCAGCTCATATGTAGCATTCTGGGCATAGATGAAGGCGATATTGCATCCATTTTGAAACAGGGTTTGCACCGAGTGAGTTTTGAGATGTTGCGCAACAAGATGACCAAGCACGTCGGTGATTCCGACATGGGAGACCAAAATCAAAAGGGAATCGGTGAAGCTTCACTTAATTTCGAGGACCTAGACTATTTCATGAACGCAAATAACACGGGCGAATTCGACATCGACGTAGTGAGCGCCAAACTAAATGCGCATCGTAAATCGCACATCTTACGCTTGCGTTATTATCAGCAGATGCAAGCTAGGAGGCTTGAGAACAGTTTGAAGTCCCTGGATGACCGCCATCTGATGACTCACTTGGGTTGTCCAGATTTCTTGTTCGACGCTAACCTTGTGGAGACGATGTTCCCTGTTCCGGTTACCCCGTGCGGTTTGGATTATCCGATGTTGGTTGCTATTAGCCCAGTAAATGCACCTCGGTTCCGTTTTTCGGTCTCTGAAAGTCGAAACGAAGATTTGGAAATACTAGTGAAATCGAAGACGCTCTTTCTATTCGACTGCACTCTGGTTCAGAGTCGGTATGACAGCGAGGTTTTACACGTATCCGATCGGTGCTTCATGGATGCGTTGCGCTCCCTGTGCACCGACGCTGCGTTGTATACAGACGGTATCTGGCTCGAGTTTTGCGTCTCCTGTGGTTCCAGCGCGTTCCCGTCATACATGATCTTTTGTCACAGTTGTGGGGAGGCCTTCCACTACTACTGCGCCGGCTTTATATTCCCACCGCCGTTTGCAGACTACGCGAACTTCTTCTGTGCGAATTGCGCTTTCTGTGACATGTGCACCTGTCGCATGGTGGGCAACCATCTGTATGACCTGAGCAATGTCAACGACTTCAAGTTTGCACATGCTCTTGGGTGGATCCCAGGGCTGCTGAATAGCACCAGCTTTAAGCTTGCGAAGGCGGTACACAACAGCATGGGATGTGGTAGTAGCTCTGAAGCCTACAGAAGGAGGTCCGAACTGGGGCTAGGTTACGTATTTGTTTCGCCCGCTGACAGGAAAAACCAACGGGATTCTGAGCAGACAGATGTTAACCATGCACATGCAACTGATGTAGCTCGGCCGGCCGGTGAAACATACTCTCGGAAGTTGGTTAACAACGCCGAAAACATTCGAAAGGATGTTCAAGGGAATCGCCCATCGAAAGGTGCGAACGCCGAAGTTACGCGTCCTTGTGCATTTTTCGCGGACTACAATTACCCCATGTATGGCATCAGATGCGTCTTTTGTGGTATCGCTTTGCATTATAGGTGCCTGATGGAGCAGGTGAAGAACTCGCCCCATGCGCCCATTGGCGCAAGTAACCCTATAAAGTGGTTCGGCGGCAAGCTCAATTCCCCTGTTGCGTATAAACCTGCGGAAGTTGACATCGATGCGCGTGTCGCACCATACAAACTCCCTACGAGTAGGAGTGTCACGGCCCCTGTCTCGGTTAGTATGCCCAATGAGGTACCGCCCGTGGCGCGTGTTCCACAACACCCCCCTACAAATTCTTTGTCTAAGAGGGTTGAAGATGGTAATCAGGTGCTACCTTGCAACGTGGTGCAAGTCCTCGGTCCACAATCTAACATCTTTCCTCCTGTTCCTATGGGCCAGATGGAGTACGCAATTACTCCTGCGGAATTGGGTGGCCAACCGCATACCAATTTCGCAAGGCGCATCTCCTGTGTTAAGCCAGAAAACTTGTCGATGTCTGAGCCAGCTGGTTCATATGATTGCCGCATTCGTGAAACCCAGGGTCATGCTTACGGAGAGAGGTTAGAGGAACGCGCCACTCGCAGTGTAGATCGTGTCAGCGTCTTGAAAATGCCATCAATACAACGTTCTCATCCATACAAAGGCAGTGAGTCGCGCAGATCTTACGATTATTCACCCAATAGCCGGAATTATGTATCATCGCCAGGGGATGACTTTATAGCGATGGATGGCCCCATTCTGGTAGGTGGCAATGTTGGAAAGTGGGATGCTGACAGGGGTGTCAAAGCTGGGCTTCCGGTGAATGTCGCCAAACCAACTGACATAGTGGAGGGAACTGCTGCCGAGACCCCTATAAAGGTTAAAGGATGGGAAGGAGTTGTTGGTGCGCCGCTTCATACATCCCCTCGTCTCCCGTCAGGATCTGATCATCGTCCCGATGTTGCGAGTACGGAAGACACATCACCATCACGTGCCAGCAAATTTAGAGATATTTGTAACCCCGGTGGGGACGAGGATGAGCCGGCTGAATTAAAAACTCCGACCGCTCCACAATTACGTCCAGTGGATGCTCGGCCGGCGGGACTCAAGGCCGCTACATCGATTCAGCATAGTTACCCATTTCCTATGGTTGATAATGCGACTTCTACACCGCCTAAGGTCTTTCCAGGCCACGAATTTGGTGTAGTAAGAGCTGATAACTCAGCTGCGGCGGCACGAGATTGTAGATTGGTCGGCGGTGCCACCGTTGAGAATACTTCATCCCTAGCTGTTTCTAATGTTCAACTCACGGGGGAAGGGGCGGTATATACTGGGGAACGTGTAATACGGACCGTTTCAGGGGGATTTGTAGCGCCCCAAACCCTGGCCGATCCAACCATGAATCGATTCTCACACGATATGGCGGATAGTGCACAGCCGTTGCACAGCAATCCTGCAACCAGTTGGATACCTGGTGGCCCCAATAGACCTGTTACGTATATCGAATTTGCACCCGAAGACTTTGGCACACTACCGTCTGTGGCACCAAAAGGCAAAAGCTTGGAAAAAGAAGTGATCTCGTGGAGCTTTGACGGAACTGGGATGTTCACATGCCGCGATGATATTAAACGTGATAGGGAAAGTTTGTCTCGTACTTTCCATTACCCACATCAAGGATTGTTTGCGCTGTGTCGGTTGCCTTCGGAAGATTTGTTGCTTAGGCATCTGCTGCACTTCGATAAGGATGAGCCGCTTGGCCGCGATATGGAGGCCGAATCGCAGAGGATGGGATACATTGATTTGAGCCACATGCAACAGTGCCATATCTCCGGGGTCCATTACTCTGTAGCGCTCAACAGCAAATGTGTGTCTTGTGGAGTTCCTGTGCAAATCTCGTCTGGCTTGCCTGACAATGTTACGGACACGCATGGACCCACTATAATCATTGACAGGGCGAGTCCTATTGAGCTTGGCGCCCACATGGGTCGTTACGTCATATGCGTTAAGTGCAAGATTTGGCGGGTCGCTCTCAAGTTTGATGGCCCCAAGTTGGATCCACGCGACTTCCTGAACAGCTTCGAAGCAGAAGACAGTGCAGGTACCTGGTTTAATAAACCTGAGGGTGGTTTGCGTAAACAGGACGAGATTAGGCTTCTTGGGTCCAATGCAATTATTAAGGCGATAGCGTTAGTCCGTAACTGGCACCTGTTCAGCCAGAACTTGGTGAAGTATGTTGGCGTGATATTGATGCACCACATCCTGCTGCATCCTAACCCGCCGAGGACCATCAAAACAAGGTCTTCGTTGATAGCAGCTCTTGTGAGGCGATTCCTGCTTGAGGAGCCTTTAAGACACCCAATGGCCAGAGGTAGGTTGTATTCCGCAATGGCGCACTCTCCGTTCTCTCCCATTTCGTTTTTGTTTTGGGCTGACTCGCTTCGCAACAGCGATCCTTACGACCCAGAGATAGATGAGCTCTTCAATAAGGCACCGAGGGAATTTAACAATCTCGCTATGAGAACTAATCCTATGGGCATGTCGTTGGGGGCGGAGTTCAATCTGGCGCCACAGCTAAACCCCGGTTTGGTGCCAATGACAGCATTTCCAAACAGCCTTCCACCCAATGCGCCGCTGTTGTTGCCGCAACCGTATCGGGAAGAGGGCGTCGCTGTACCGAATCAATCTATAGATGGTGCATCGCCGTTGCAGAGTATCGTCTTGCCTGCTTTGGTTTTGGGTAATCCGATTCCTCCTGGTCAGTATATGCCACCCTCCGGCGGCAACACTGTATACATGGAGCCGAATTCAATGGCGCAACAACCTGCGATCAACACGAATTTGGAAGGCAGTAATCAGCCTCCTGCAGATCCCCGCGGGGGGATAACATACATAGCTCGGAATGACTCCAGCCAAGGATTAAACAACCCGACAGCAACACCCCCATCTCGTGAGGGCCAAGCTTCTGTGGAACCATTCTATGGTACTACCCTCCCAACGTCTATCCCTATTATGGGTTACCTTGGAGGCGCTCAATTGCCTGCGCCCCAAGTCGGTGTGCCAATCAATCCCATGGGATTTGGTGGGAACGTTGGTGTGCCTCTGGCTACGAGTGTATTACCGGGTGAGGCAGGAAGAACTGTGCCTGTGCTGGTGTTGACCCCACTCACGAATGTTTTGCCAGGGGGTGGAATGGTTGCTGGCAACGTAACACCAGGTTCGAACGTAGGTTCCTACATGCCTCCGTTTTCGCAATCTGATGTGAGTCATGCGCCTGCTACGGTTAGACAACCGGGTGGGGAGGGCGGCGTTGGATTTTGCACCGAATCTCAGTATGCGGTGCGTACGCCTAACTATTTGGAATCTTCCCGTATGTCGTTCGACAGAGATGTTCGTCCCCCCGAACTTCATAGCGCACCCGCAAATTTGGGATCATATGATGGCTTCAATGCTCCCTTTTCGACGCCTTTATCCTTCAGCTATGGTAGCGGATTGGACAACACGGTCGCTGCTCCTACCCCTATCTTCCCAATGGCGTCGAATGTTGACCATGCGCCACCTTTTTGGCGTTCCAAGATGCTGTCGTGGTATGTAAAGGTGTTGCTGGAGTCTAATAACCTGTTGGTTTTGTACAAGCAGATTAATCAATGTGACACCAACATGACTGACTCGGTGTTTCCGAAGCCGTCTCCTAATTTCATCGATGCCAGCGTGTGCACCCTTGGGGCATTCTACAATCTGTGCGGGGGATGGTTGAGGTTCGTCGATTACTTCTTACAGGGGATTCGTCGGGGATGCACGCAATCTCAAGTTGGCGGGCATCCCTTCTTGCGGCGGCACATAGATCACATCTTCTTCACAACTCGCAATGGTTGGGAGGAGGTTAACGCCAGAGCTTCTGAGTTGAGCGCCTTGATGGGAGTGAGGCCAACACTACCTAGACTGTCCACCTTGCCCTATGTTGTGCACAATGTGTCATTTGAGGCTTCAACAGTTATATGGTTATACCATCTGTGCAAGGGTTTTGTTGAAAATGGGGATCTGGTCATGATAGTGAACCAGTGTTCTGCGTTACTTGACGCTGCGGGTTGCGCAAGGCTCTCCGCTAGGTCAATGTATCTGAATCACTACGTCATGCTTGAGCAAAACGAAAATACGGAAGAATTGCATACAAAAACAATAAGCTATACCAACCCCGGTTATCAGGGGAATCAACCACAATCCACTGATCCGCCATTCAACCCCTTCAAGGAACCTTGCCGAAACATGGCGTTCCGGAACACAAACCTAAAACCTTTGTTCCGATACATAGACAAAACAAAGGACCATTTGGATGCTGCTTTCGGTGCGAAGACAATAAATGTCCTGCAAGGCAAGGGTCTTGATGCCTGGATTCGTTTGGGCACATCTCTTATTGTGGAGACGGTTTCCGGCCGCGCAATGTGTGGTGACATAGATACGGAGTCACTAGGTGTGTCTTCAGATGCGCATTGTATCTGTGATTCGACTGTCACATCCCCTAGTGACTATTCGTCGTTTGAAGGGTTTGGGCTCAGCGATGGCGTACATGACGACACCTACGACTTACGCCTGAAGTTGCGGAATTTGCACCTCATCGAGAATGTTATTACCCGCCGTGTTATAACCCGCAATACTGCAGGCAAGGTACATCATACCGTAGCGTCTGATGAGAAAACTGCTTGCGTTTTGTGTCACGTTTCCTTCAGCACTTTGTTGCGGGGTACTCTGTTACCTTGGCGTGATGGATACGTGCATAGCGAATGCCTACTGTGGTCGCTTGACAATGCCTATCTCCCCAGGACGTACAATCAGCACTTCGACACCTTATTCCTCAGTAGCTGCGTCCTAAAGAATTATCTATTTGGGATACAGCCGAAAGACATTTACCGCAATCTGCCTCATCGCCGACTCCGCAACGGTTACAATCCATACAGAGACGGTTATTCAGTGGGAAGGGATGTGGAATCTGATTCGCTGTTGTTCAACTTCAATCTCCACGAGTTGCACGTGCTGCCCCCGGTGACATTGCCAGATAATCTGGTGAACATCGTTGTGACGGCAGCTCGATCTACATCTTGCGCGTGGTGCCATGACCTCGGTGCTACTGTGGGGTGCACTGGCCCTAAGTGCGAAATTAAATTCCATGTGACATGCGCCTTCCTTGCTGCGAACCCCCAAATGACGAAACGCCTGCTTCAGCTCCGGCGCGAGAGTGGCCGAAGACAAGATACGCCACGTGAAATCTTCCCGGTTCGTATATACTACACGCGTCGTCTACTGTGGTGTGCTACGTGTTTCCATGAGGGAGTTGCAAGCAAACTCGATCCCACGGCTATTGGATACCTGATCAAGTTGAACCCTACGCAGATGAAGACCTTCTTGGCCTTGGAGGGTTTGTCTTCGAGTGCTACGTTGATAAGCTGCCGTCAAGTCTTGCAATGTGTGCGCATAGTGCCACAAGTGATTCAGCATTGTGATATCGGCGAATTCTTCGATGGAAGTACCCATGACTACCCAGTGTTACAAGCGGAGTTCAATAGGCGTTTGGCAATGATGACCAATGACGGAACATTACCCTTTCTCCTGGAATCAATTATGAAGCCCCAGCGAACTATCCAAAGGTCACCGCTAGCCGATGTTTTATGCAAGAAGGGGGACAATTCCTGCAAGTGTAACAATGCGCGCCTGTGGTCACCCAAGCACTATTTCTCGTTTACATTCTGTGCTTCATCGGTTTCCCCATTCAACACACTGCGTATACAGAGCAACGAGCGCCAGCCCGGTGTGGATTTCACCACGAATTACGGAGTACAGTACAATCCCTACTTCACAGCAACAACGACAGAGTCGGGAAGTTACAACCTTCCTGGCGTGTTCAAGTACTCAGGTTCTACGTCCGCCTCTTTTAGAGAAGGTGATAAGAGGGATAATAACTTTGAAGACGATGCAACTGCATTGCCCCCAAATAAGCGTGTAAAGCCTGATGAATATGACCAACCTATGCCTAGCGCCGAAGGCCTGGGTGACGTCGCTGGTTTCGCTCAAATGTCGGACGGTATGCCAGAGCAGGGCAATGACACGGATGCTCGACAAATAGTTTCTATCGCGTGTGATATTGTCTGCGAACGGATACCGCCATCCACGTCACCACCTGGACCCACCCTAAAGTTGAGGCATGATCCCCTTGCTCGCCTGGCTTTCATGCGCCGGTGGAAACTTCACAAATTAAGGAAGACAGAAGCATCTGTGGCTCGAGATAATTCGTACATGTCCGGATCATTTAATCGATCTGATCATGCCGAAGCGAAGGTTCAACTTTTGAATCGTGCTGCTACATTCACGGTGCCCACAGTTGACAACAGTTCACCAGCGATTGACGTATTTCCCATTGTGCCACAGATGTACGATGGAGGTATGCCAGTGACATCCGATGTTCAAGTGCGTGAAAGGCAACTCTCTAATGATTTCGTGACTTCGAGTGAAACAGCTTCAGGTTCGGATGTGGGTGTTGAGGATGCATTGGTAGACGCATTTGAGTTAGAACCCGGCATAATAGAGGCAGAATCATTGTCGCATTCTACCGACACAAAAGGAGCTGAAACATCGGCGAATATTATGTCGGATACCGAGCCCCTAACATCTGTGCAACAATTGTCAATTGGAATGGCTCCTCCTGTGATGGAGCCCGCCGAGCTGAGAGTCACGCCTACTGGACGTCTTAGTGAGCACAGTGTTGCGCGCTTTGGTTCCGTTACAATACTTAGTGTGGGCGATGGTTTAATTTTCGACAAGGGTCATAAGGCGTATCCAGTTGGCTATACTGCAACACGAATCTTTTGGAATTTTAAGCAGAACGCTCTCCGTGATCCCAAATCTCGCGCCTCTAGTGACGTGTGCAATCCCAGCACTGCTGGTTTTGGTGCCCCAGAAGCTAGAAGCTGTTACCTTTGCACAGTGCGCGTCAGGGAAGGCATGGCATTCTTCGCCATCGGAGTTTTGGTGGGCCATCAGGATAAGGAAGGTTGCAGATGGATTGCCCAGGGTTATGATCTGGATGCGGTTTTTGCCTTGTTTCTTCAGGAAATCAGCGTGTTCTATGTTAGGCGTTTTTCAGGGGCAGACTTTTTCGGTTTGAATTCGCACTACGTTGTTCAGGAGCTACGCGTACGTCTTTGCAAGACCATCCTGGAGCGTAGTTCGTCTTTCTTCAACACGCGTGTCTTCCACACTGCGATGGTTGGCCAAAGTTTTAGTAAGGGTGAAAACAAGTTGACACCAATGCATCGTTATGGCGATAGCGCGCCGCTGGAGGAATCGACGGGAGACATTGTACTTATCGATGAGATTATCTCTGTCATCGACTTTACTGGCGATCACCCCGTTCGTCTAGATGCATGCGAGCCACAGTTACTACGTGCGCGTCGTCGTCGCCAATTCGGCCTCGCGATCCCGCTAACACAACGCCGCTACATCAGCAATTTATATGCCGAGAAGCGACTCGATGTTCGCAACTCGCCAATTCACGGTTTCGGTTTGTTCGTGACAGACGAAGTTGCCGCCGGCGAACCCGTCGTAGAGTACGTAGGAGAGTTGATCCGAGATTTGGTCGCTGATAGGCGTGAGGACGTGTACTCCAATGAGCAGGGTGGTGACGGTTCGTGTTACATGTTCCGTCTGGACGATCAGCTAATCGTGGACGCAACCCGCCGCGGTTCGATGTCTCGTTTCATCAACCACAGCTGCGAGCCAAACTGCTTCTGCCGCGTTGTGATCTGCGAAAACAACTTGAAGCATATCGTGATATATGCGAAGTTCGACTTGAAAGCTGGAGACGAGGTGACCTACGACTACCAGTTCGGCGTCGAGGATGAGGCGCAGCGATTGCGTTGCCATTGCAATTCGGCCAATTGCATGGGCCGCATGAACTGACATTACAAAAATATTTAATCTTCTCGACGCTAAATTCATGTTCTTTATGATGGAGAAATAATATGGATCTTTGTTTTAGCTTTGTATAGCGTGCTATGTGGTTACGTGTTGCGTTGGCCTATTTTATGGTTTGCCGATCTAGATCCGCAGACTATCGATCCTGGCTGCGGGTTCCACGTACTGTCGCCTAATGTTGCTGGTGTTATCCATTATGGCATACATAGTCTATGGACGCGAGAACCGTTCACAATGCCATAATATTCTCTGAGCTTTATCTTATTAATAAAATTGTGTGCCACCTTGAACTTTACCTGCTAGCTGAATATCACCCCCTTAGGATCCTTCAGCTCCTCCTGCTTTCTCCTTTGGTATATCTTCTTTGCTTCGACCTCACCTTACTTGATGATGTGTATCTGCACAACGGTGATGTTGTTCCCTATGGCCTCCAGTATTATGTATGGCCGGCTGTCTTGTTATATGTGCGTATTGCTCTATTGAGCATGAGCTCACAGTCAGGCACATAGACGATATATATACACCCGATTATATCTCCACAACAATCATGTATGTTTTGACAAATAACGAACTGCGGAATCACATATTACATCTGTTTGGCTCATCCATTGGTTCTGGGGGTTGGAGACGTTGGAGAAAATTCCCCGGTGTCTACCTGGGGCAATAAGGTCTCCGTTTCTATTCATATACCCAGGAAATCACAAGTTACAGGGTCTCCCTTGGTTTCATTTGCCGATAAACTGTCTGTTGGCAATAAATATTCACTCTTTACGTTCGTGTGCATCCACTGTATTACAATACACAAGCATGGCAAAACTTGGGATGAAAGCTCTTTGGGCATTTTGCACAATACAACTTTATTCCATCAGATACACCAGTGCACGTGTCTGTGATTTCGGAGCTCCAATAAAGCCACTCAATAGATATGCTCTAGTAGGATGTGACATTGATATGGATGACAGTAAGAATGCAACCGTGATATGCCCTCGCCAAGTCAACGACACCGAGTATGTATGGCATCCCCAACCAAATTTAGATGATCACGCTGCTATTAACACATACGTCAGTGAGAATGGGATGTTTCGTTCCGTTGCACTTTCGGATGTAGTGCTCTCCGAATCTGGGGTTAAGCTGTTCGGGATGGATTCACCTCGCTCTCACACAACGCTTAGCATCGACTTACCAACAAATAAGCTGTTCGCCATTACTGAGAACCGTTTGATATTTATCTGCGGCCCGCGAAGTCTAGTTTTAAGCGATGCCTTGCAGCGCCACCTGCACCGCCTTGGTGGTTTCCGGGAAAAACAATCGTTCCCATGGATGCCACCCACGCCACTGGCCGAGGAGATAACCAAGATAGGGAATGGATTGGGTGTAGTTTTCGTGAACAGAGGGCGTGATAATATACCGCTTCAGGGCTGTGGTAGCCGCCCCTCAGCGCTTTTTGCACCGGACAACGTGGTTGCTGTAGACCCCGTAACCGGGGTCCGATCATGCGTAGTGGATCCCATGTCAGATACGCCCATTGGGTTCCTCTGCGAAGGCAGGATTGAACCTGCGGATTGTATGAGATCACTCTTGGACGAGAATGGCGAAGTTGTGAAGCCTCCTCGGCCACATTCGTATAGGAAATTCGATAACGTTCCGCCTTGGAGGGTAGCGCGATATTTTAATGACTTAGCATTCCCTATGTTCACTGGCGAATGTAGATGCATAGGTTCCGACACAGGTGAGTTAATGGCCAAGATTGAGATCCGTTCGAAAACCGACTACGTTTGTGACATTTCCAGCATGATCGTCCGCAACCGTTCGCAACCAATCCGTGGCCCTTGGTGTTCAGTGGTTCTCCATCCCGGCAGCACCTTGACCATACGGTTCCCAACAGTGGATGCCGATTCGGCGACTAACGATGATGCAACGCAACTGCTGCCTACCGGTGAATTCGAAGCTGAATTCCTGCCAAAGGACTTGACTACACTGCGGCAACTTAAAACAACATATGATATTGATCTTTACGAAGAAATCCTATACAACAAAGCCCTTGCGGAAGATGCTCTTGAGCTGGATGTTTCCAAAATGGACCAGGGTGAGGTAAAATTTAAGTACCACGAAAACAAGCTTCTTGCGTTGAAAAGGCGTCGCAACTCGTTTTTGTACCATTGGCGACTGAAATCCACGAATGAGGACTTTCCAGATAAGGTACGCGCCATCGTAAAAGTGTCCTTGGCGTTGACGCATCACTACCGTGCTATCGCTTGCGACCGAGGGACACCAGCTGTATTTGACCCCCAAAGAAGCAAGCAATATTGTTCATTAAAATCTATGGCGAATGGTTTAGGGGACGTTTACGAATGCAATGCCTATATTAATGATGGCTTTAAACAGGTTGGGATCTATTGCAGAGCCGATGAGTTTCTGCTACCGCGCAATTGTGAATCTATGGGATACGACCTCCACTCACATAGGATTAGACGATTCTATGCGTCGGTGCAGCGCGGAGCGGTCAACGCTATCCCAGGATTTCAGGTGTTTGATATTGGTACGCAAAATCCCCCTATAAGTTACGCTTGCATGTGTGTCGACCAAGATGGGTACGAAAAGTCCAAGCTCATTTTGGAGTATAGCCGAGAAGTGTATCGCAGCTACACTGTTCGCCTAGAAGACGCATCTCGTACGTTGCTTCCTCACATATTACTTCCTTGGGGCGAGATAGGATTATCAAGCCAAGACCTAACCTCATCAATGCCTCTTATTCTGTCGAACGTATCCATAAAGTCCGTTAAACTACACGTGGGCACAAAGTTGACCATGCCATGTGCTTTTGATTTCAGCATTGAGAAGGTTGCAGGCAGTCGAGTATTACGAACGACATGGCTTCCAAAGCAGCCCGATGAATTTCATTATACCATTAGCAACACATCATATGGGCGTGAGCTTATTAGAAGATCACACAAAGATGTCATTGTTGGAACGCCAAGGGGGCTGAATTTTGTTTTCATTAAGAGAGAGATGAGTTATGGCTACCAATTTTTGATTATCGAATCTCGTAGAGGCTCCATTGTGATATCTAAGAATATGACAAACACGAAATATGTACCAATGACGTTCCTATGCACCAAAACACCTGTACCATCGGATTTTACTCTCGTCACTGGTGACGGATCTACGCCAGACGTATCTGCACCGTTCATTCCCAATTCCATAGCATCATCTACCCGATACACCTGGAATGTCGTTGAAGTTGACGTCGAGACCACCGACCCGTACATGCAAGGCTGCGGAGTTACGTACTCTTCAGATGAGTTGTTCAGGCCTGAGACGCCCCAACTTTATGACTCTGATGGAAAACCGCAGTTCGGTTGTAAGATTGACCTTCAGGATGAGGAGGAAGCCGCGTTCTACTGCCCACCACCGTATTTCCTCGACCCACCCAACTGTTTCAGCCGGGTCTTTGTTGACGGTATAGTCAAGAACACGGTCGATCTCAGTGAATCGTTGGTAGCGTCGCGATCTAACCACTTCGTCATCCTGAAGTTCGACGAATCACTCGTAGGACCCGGGGAGACGCTGCACCAGACGCCGCCATTGCAATGCCGCTGCATCACCGTCAACGGCACCGTACTCTCAACCATCCAGATTGAGAACTATTACTCCAAACTTTGAGCAACTGACATCTTATAACCCGTCAGGAGATTGCCGAAATTAATTTATGTATCCCATTGTTACCGTTACATGGTATCTCCCTCATAGTAGCATCGCTTTCGGTTGTCAAGAGCTTATTGCGATTGACAATTTAACAACATCGTATTGCATTATAATAGCTTGTCTTATTACATATAAGGGTTGGGAAGTCTGTGTATTAGGGTTAAGTGGAATTACGGGCCGCCATACTTTTGTGTTTTCCATGGTGCCGTAGTGAGGACGGTGTGAAAGCGACAATTATATACATGTTCACGACTTAAAAGTTAGGCAATGCCTTTAACACACGACCATACATAATAATTGGGCTGTGGTGGCGAAGTTCCCTTACTCCATTAATGTTGGTGATCTACTACGGCGGCACTTTGTGGCCACGTTAGCCGGCAGGTGGGAGTAGGATGTTGGGATGGGAAGAGAGAGCTGGGGTGAGAGGTATTGGTAGATTAATAGGCTTGTAACCCCGCCTCATCCTCATATAAGTGGGATATGTTCATTATCTTGGTGTGGTAGTCGTCTTTTTTAATGGAAAGGGTGGGTGTGGATTTGTTTTGGTTTAATGCCACATTTCTTTGTCAGGAAGCGTATGTCTTCAATCGCTTCAATTAGCGCGCTATGTATGCAGTAGAGCGAAGAGCAGTTACCTCACAACAAACGTCAGATGTCCACAAAGATGGGATATACGAGGAATTGCGGTTCACGAAACGTATTTGATCCTATAAAAACAGAGCCTGGAAGCCGAGAATCAGGCCATTCGGTTATTAGAGAAGTAGAGGGGCACTTGGTAGAGATGTTTCAAGGGCGACGTAGGAGGCAATGAAAGCGACGGCAGGGAGCCGCAAACGAGAAAGGTGTAGGCATATTGGCAGAGTTGAAGAAAGTAACGTAAGGAAGATGAGAAGACAGTTGGAAGTAAATCAAAGAGCGATTTCTTCAGGATGAAGGAAAACATCCGAAAAGGGATTTGGAGCCGTGTCAATCGGAAGATTGTGTCGCCGATTGAGACTGGCAAGGAAGGTTGAAGAGGATGAAAAAGGGGGTTGGCGGATAATACGGATTAATGGAGCACAAAAAACGGTCGATACTCCGAGGACTGAGGAACACAACCTACCAGAAACAATCCTGGCGGATCGACGGAGGAACACCATGCATGTTGCGAAGATAGGGGTTAGCAGCCATATTGATCACCCTACAATGATAAATATAAGTGTATCAGCCGCAAGTGGTTGGAACATCAACAGGTATGACGTTCAACCAACGTGCGACGGTTAAAGTGGTCCCCCATGTGATTATAGACGGTAGCCGCGGGCTACACATGTCAGTGATTGCCAGCAAGTGGCATGAGGGGCTTGTTCTGTCTATGGCATTTCAGGCGTCTAAGTGCTAGGCGAGCCGTAGTGATCATTCTGTGCCTATAATCTGCGAGGTGTCAGCATCGTTTGAACACAGAAGGCGGACCGTGCTTTAGTTAGCCAATTGTTGAGCACTAACCGAATATAAAAAAGGAGATCGGAAACGGACCATTATGTCATCGAAATAGTATATACGTTGCCCATTCATTAGTGTCTACATGCAGCAGCAAGAAAACATAAAGCGGTGATTAATATCACCACTGAGCCGCAACTAGAACTCCAGCTGTTCTAATTACACAAGTAATTCTGCGCACAACATTTTGTGTGCCACCTAGAAGTACGCTTGTTGAGCAACAAAATACTTGTCAGCTATGCGCTATTTTAATCTGCGCATATCTCCAAGTAATTCCACCTCAAGAGCGTCGTTGGGGTTTTAAAATATTTGATTACCTTGAAATACTTAAGATTCTATACTGTATAATGCTATATTGAGCTATTAGTCGTAATTGTTGTAATGCTAGACTTCTTATCCTTCGCTGCTATCAAAAATGACGTATATACATTCCTATGGGCAGAGGGGTGTCGCACCACTTCTTTGCCTCTACGTGGTCGTCTTTATTGGCGCAGTTATGGGCGCTCCGCCCACCGATGGTAATTCGGTTAGTGGCACGTCCTCGGTAAAGGGAATTGCATTCTACGCGCATGATGCAGAGTTCTACCGTAAAGTCAAAATCCTGGAATCACTCACCCGACCTGATAGACAACTTTATGGCTATTTGGAGTTTATGCTATTGGTGATACGCGATTCTAGGGCTTCACCTGAAATCAAAGAAGCAGACAAAAAAGAGTGTACTCAACTCATGCGTGATGTTCAAAATGTGACAAGTGCACATGGAAATTACGCGGAACTGAGAAAGATTCTAGATAAGTACCGTGCTGTATCTAGAAGCCTTCAAAGGGGACATGTAGCACCAGAACGGTATGCTGAACTGAGGAGCGATTTGGAGAAACTAGAAGAACAATTCAAAGGTAATGAACGGACAGCATTCCGCACCTTTATATTCAACAATGCGTCATATTACAGAGAATCAATCAGAAAAGCTAACAGCTTCATTCGAAAACATGCGGGTCAAACGCTGCCCTCATCTCACGATCACGGGTTACCGGGGGTAAGCAGCGGGAATCCGCCGACACTCGGGCCAGATTCGTCAGGCGACACAGGAGGGCGTCATAGTGATGCGCCCCAAAATACCCCAGCCTCTGACGCAGGCAATGAAGAGATGCGAACATTACTCAATGATCGCACATTATTAACAAGGTGGCATAAGCTTCAAGCAACGGCAAACAAAATAGAGGAAATATTACATGACCCCTTGATGAATGACATCAATTTATACGCAGCAGGTAGTCCGTATTTTTTAAGTAACGCATGGATTCCCAAGATTCAGGAGCAGTACGACACGAATTATGACACCTTGAGTGACATCAGACATGCATGGCATATCTACGAACGTTACAACGACATTAGTGATGAACTGAGAAAGGTAGATCCCAAATCCCTTAAAAAATCCGAATTAATAGAAGAACAACGGCGCCTCGAGTTAGCATTTGAAGAATACGGGACTCTCGCACATGACATGTATGTAGGGTATCTGGACTGGAGAGCGTCGAATATACTCTATATGCTGGAACAAGTTGAAGGCGAGAGGAAAAAATCCCAATCCACATCGACTGTTCATAAAACATCACGACAGGTACCTACGCCTCTGGAGGTCACACCCTTACAACAGACAGTGCCAAAGGAACCCACAATATCACAACCAAACCAAACGAATGATACCAAGCCTTCACCCAGGAGAAGACAGCGGAATGAGGCGATGCAGTCACCAGGTCCAAAGAAGTGGAATAAAACCGTAACCACACCAAGGAGAGCGAAGACATACGAGCTCAAACCGTCACCTCTGGCAACCAATCAGAAGACATCGACCACTGAAATTGAGGAAACAGGTCAACCGAGCTGCGAGGCGGCGGAAGAAAGCATCACCTGTTATATGCATGATATTAATGATTCCCAAAAGTCATCAGGGTTTGCGACAATGGGGATCACGGTTATTCGAACCATGGTGGCAGTTGGTGCAATTGCGATGATGTGATTTTACACGCCGTAAACCAAAATTGTGTAGTTATTACGTGTTGAACGTCTGCTAGGTTAATGGGTGACCAATTTGTTGCGATTTGCTACTCTTCGTGCAGCCAATGTTTGCTCATGCTAGCAACTCCTCGCCTGCGCTTTATTACCACCGGTTTCTCGATGCCAACAATTTCTGTAGGGCGTAAGGACATTGAAGCGTGTGACGCTGAAAAGCAAGCCGCCAAGTGGCATCATGAACGACACTACGGAGACATTGAGAACCCTGTTCTGCCTCATTTGGCAGCTAGAGTGTGGCGAATGAAGATATTACACATAAAACTGACGATCACTGCATTGAACAATTTTAATGCTTTCGTGCAAGTTCTCATGCCAGCTCATTACGGAGTCGGACGCAGAGTCGTTGCTTGTCAAACTCTTTGTTCACTCCACCTGCGACACCCACTCAATAGAAAGCCCAAAATCCAGAGAGGTCGTATAGCGTGATCAACATCTTCAACTTCACATTTTCCAGTGCCTCGAAGACATAAGAACCGCTCATGTTAGCGCGGCGTTCCGCCCCTTTGTAACCCAAGGCTTCCAATACACTTCCCAAATTAATCTTCTTCGAAAATGGCACCCAATTAAAGCGCGATGCATGGCTTGCAAACCGCAAAGAACGTAGGCCCGTGTACAACATAGGAGCAATTCCCACGAGGACAACTGCGCAAGCTTCCGGATCTTTGGCGCATGATGCCTCCCACGTAGCTTCCGAGCTGTAAGCAGACTTGTACTGGTCAGCGGATTTGATCTTTTCCAAGAACTTCTCACAACCATCCACAGCCTTAGCTAAGTTAGCTGCGATGTCTTCAGGTTTGAGACCCCGGGACTTGACGACGTTTTTATAATCGCTTTCATCGACAGTGCCAAAGAACTTGAAGTGAATGGACTTATTCATACGCTTGCTGAATCTCCCGAGCAGCTCGCTTGCGGGCCACAGGTCCTTAACGCTCTGTTGTCCAATGAATTCCTTAGTAGACTTCTTAATATCTTCGAGAGCTGGTACCTCCATCTTGCCAACAGGCTTGTCTGCTAGGAATTTGTGAAGTGCGGCACTCATAGCCTTCAGGTTCCTTTCAGCATCAGTTCCCTTAAGGGCCACCAACCAGTCAATACCCTCCTTGAGGTTGTGAGGAGCCTCAGTCAACGAATCGTATACCATTTTGTAAAGATGCGTTAGATAGGGCAATTGCTATGAACGTGTTTATATTGGTGTGTTTACAGGAAGCGCTTTTAAACAGCTGTGCGCTAATGGCAGATTAACAAAAGTGCTGTTCACACCTGATACATACGCGTTTTATTGAGATCTACAATGACGTGTATATAACAAGTAAGTATAAGTTGGAGGCGGACGACGCCCCGGTCTCCCATGACAGCCAGGTCCACATCGTTGACCTGGCATGCAGTATCCACAACGCATGTCATTGTCATACTAAATTTTCAGGCAGGAATGACACACACTTGCATTTGCAATGCTAGAACTATTTGCAGCAACGCGTCATGGTTTGAAGTCATATGATGTATTGCAGGTGGTATATTACAGTGCACGCTGTGCCGTGGTCAACATGGCATCACGTCATCGCATCTCTCCCATTCCCGTATACACACCTCCAGACATCTTCTAGGCACATGCAAACCTATTGACAAGCCATACGATCACCTACCAGCTGTTCATCTCCTCAACTGTGATGGCACTTCTCAGCTGCTGAGGTGGGTGACCTACCACTTAGCTTTACACTCCAATAAAACGAAGGATGAAGTCGTTTGACTGTCACAAGTCAATCTCTACGACGTCAACCAAACATATGTGCTAGACTGACTACCATGTTGCACGTTTTGTCGGTATCGGATGGTGAATTCGTAATATCAGTCACCGTATATTGATGCCAATTGTCACCTTGGGGAACACTTTGGCAGTGCACACGCGCGAACAACACTTCATATAAATGCATTACGGCACATTATTGTCTGTATTTACAGCTGGTGTGATTTGGATACTAAGCACTTCCCAGTACAACAGAGCATGCAATCTTCTACAGCAAGACAATGATGCATCGCTAGAACAGTAACGTATGAGAATTAAATAAAACATGTGAAGGATATTCCGCCATAAAAATGCCTATATGCTTCGGGGCCCGCAATAGACTACGTACGCAGCAACAAACATCGTACAGTATACGCCCCCTATGGGGGGTCGGGTTTGACGCCGGTGACACTGGTGCTATTGCTTCTATGTTTTTGCATGGCGGCGAGGGTTCACGTGGACAGCCTCCGGTTGTCAGTCGTCGATGCGACCGAAGTGCAACAGGCGCTATGTTGTACAACGTGGCGTTCCACGATCAGCCCGACCTTACAGCGCCGGTCGGCATAGGGCTTACTGCACAACGCCAAGACGGGCTAACAACAGACTCATATGGTAGAGAAACTGACGTCAAGATCTGGTCAAGTTCTGCGCGACGCCGTGACCCGTATGTTTCAGAAGGGCAAGGTTGCTGAGGCAGCGTATGCCTTCAGCCGCCACACAGCGGCAGGCCTAAGAAAGGATGGCGACGTCATTGAGGATGTGGGTAAACTGCTGGTGGACGCTATCAATACAAATGCGGCCGGCGATGTTGCCGCTACATGGTTCGTCGATATCCCTGCGCGTGATGACACTGTCGGCACCATCGAGAGGCTGCTGTGAGCGTGTCTTCGCCAGCGCCAATGCGCATGCGGCGGCTCTCAACTTCACCAATTGCCCAGAATAAGCGTATTGCTAACGCTCCGGGAAAGGGCTCGACCTCACAACTGCTGAGTGCAGAGCCTACCGAGCGCGAGTCAGTCGTGTTCATCAAGTCCGAGCTGGACCGCCCATCGCTTCACGCGCCACTATCGCGGACGCTCATCGAGGTACTGAAGCAGTGCTTCTATCGGCAGTAGTTGTTTTGTAGCAGGTGGCAATATAATAACGTCACAGGTTTGTCGGTCGTGTGAGGAGCGTTGATGGAAACATTGTGGAGCACGTTGAGGGTGGTTTGGTGGCGTCGAATGATGAATATGTGTAAACCGAGCCACAGTAAGTGGATGATTAATGCTCAGTGAAAGGCCGTGATATAGCAATTGCGGGTGGTGAATTGTCCATCACGCTTTACCAAATGCCAAGGGGAAGATCATCCGCACTAGATGAGTCTATGAGATATTTTGGATCTATATCGGCTTACGTTGACGACGACCCTGTTCACATGGTATAGAATTGGCCAATGTGACAAGAAGGGGACATTAACCTGTAGAGGTGAACGGAAACGTCGAATAAAAACGCGAAAATCATAAAGTTGAAGACGCACCGCCACCATCGTGGAGATGGGAATGACCAATCAAGATAGCCGTGGGGAGACGGAGAAATTGAAGAAATGGAAGTACGAAGCTTTGATAGAGGACCTGAAGGCGCGGCAATTCAACCAGCACACATCGTTCAGGGCAATCCCCTACGTTATGACGTGGGAGGGGATAGTGACAAAAGAACACACCAAGTATAGGCGGGACCTGGGCATATCGGATCGCTTAGAAGCCCATATACAACGGGTAGTGATCCAAGAAACACAAAAGCTAGTGTTGAGGGACATGAAACCCAGAGAAGATTATGACTCTGTGAATGACCCTCTCGCCCAAACAGGATGGATGCCACAATGGATGGTACCTGTAGTGTACGATAATTCGACATGGATCCCGCAACCGACACCAGCAGCCTAAGGCGCTTGCCTGGTAAACACGAAAATCGGCCCTAAGCCACGTAGCCACATAGCGCACTAAATAAAACCAAAACAAAGATAAGGGAGACGGAGAAACTGAAGAAATGGAAGTGAGAGGATCTGAATAGGGCACATTCAACCAGCAAACAATGACCAGAGGAATCCCCTAAGTTATGAGAGATATGAAGTCCTGAGACGACTGACAATTTGGCGGCAAAAAGGCGGCATGAAATCCCTTCTGATATGGACATTACAACTTCCGATGAGCATGTGAGCCGAAGCTCATTCCATACAATGCAGTAGACAAGCGTCGATCGTCCGCCGATGAATGTAAAACGCGCACGGTAAAAAATACTTAGCGGCGCAACCTATTAGGTGGGCGCTTTCCGTGAACACGTCCAAGAGCGCCCAATGACCAGGGACAAAACGCATGTAACAAAGATCGCATCATTAACATTATTAGACGTTATGAAGGTGACATAACACGCAATAATATACCTGGGGAAGATGACAGCCGTTTAGTCGCAACGTTTTTGCATGCACGATGCGGGCTTTACAGTTACATCAATAACTTTAGATGTCAATGTTGTTTGCTCAGTAGTACGGTACTTGACTGCTGGGCGTAAGCCGAGTGAATTTCTCGACCTGGTGTTCCACATCGTTCGTGAGTTCAGTTTCTTGCAGTGCGGGTGATACGAACGTGACCTCCGGTTCGAAGTATACGGCCCAAAGCGTCGCAGCCGACAGAGTGATCAGCAGAAGCGGTGTGGCGAGCATGCCCTTCTGGAATACAAGCACCATGAGTTCTGCAAAGAGGTGAGTGCTATTCAAAGGGTAACTCACCAGCACATCCGGTCAGGACGAAGCAAACGCCGTTGAGGTAGGCGTGGAGGTCACCAGCTCCCTCGTCGTGGTATACTTCGAGAAGATAGCAGGCCAGCCCATACAAGAAGCAGGCAAAGGCATGCATGATTCGGGTGAATACGAAGAAAACAAGTTCCGAGCTGCCCTCGTTGAGGTGTGCGAACCATCTTTGGGTGTAGAATTTGGATATGTACAGGTAGAATATGAACTGCATCGTGGAGCTGAAGGCGTCTAGGAATGTGGCAAGCCTCAAGATCTTCGAACCCGAGCGATATCCCCTTGCCCAGCATGTGTCGTCGGCGAGCAGGACCTGGAAGCACAGCAGGCTAAGCGATCCTAACATGTATATCATTGCGAAAGTGGTGATGTGTGAACGGAATCCCTCATCGAGCCTGCTTGCCTCGGGGAGGCCGACCAGATTGTAGGTGAACAATCCCTTCCCACCGTAGACGAAGTAGACAAGGTTCATGCCCACGAAGCCCAACAGTTGCATTCCGAACCCCATCCTAAGAGTGTTGTTGAAAATGAAGTTGAATGAGACGGATGGCGCCCTGCTTGGTGGGATGCCATCGTCGAGATGGTCCTTTCTCGTTGTGAACCACATCATCTTAACAAACGGTTTTGTGACCTAAATGAAGATTAGCATGATGCCTCATTCGTATTCATGTGCATACAAATGACCACATAAACATCATGTACAAAACCGAAGTTATATGTGAACGTCTACACTGCAGCTACTAGACCGGCCCTGTTACAAGGGAATGCAGTTCACGACCAATTACGCAAGCGGAAATATCAAATTCAGTACATAGATGCACTTGTAATAAAGCTTGAAGGCACAGCGGAGACTCGCAGCAAAATTTTGCGGCGCGCTTATACACACCTACCGTATACACATAGGCTGTGCTTGCACGCACACTGTTTAGCTGCAGATGGGTTGTGCAATATCGTTGCTATATCCTCCAGTTCCTATGTTTGTCAAGAATGTGACGAGGATGAAGTTCCAGTAAGTCTTATTGGGGCGCGATGCAACAATGCACGACGGCCCGCGGGAGCGCACGCTGCTTCTAATGGTGTACGGCGTCAATGTATCACTTTCTGATCACCAATTGTATCTTCGAATGCTTCAATATAGTTGGTGTGTGTTTTGCACGTTTAAGGATTTGTGCTTACACACTGTGCCCTGTGTATGCCTAATTATTGTTTTGGCACGTTAGGGGCGTGACGGCCTAACGGCAATGAACACAGGCGAATAGTTGATAAAATGTTAAGGTTTAGCATTGATTGCGGCAACGGTGGCGCCCGTCGCGTCATTTGTGCAGTTTTCAACCCTTTCTCCGAATACTTGGGCGTCATACATTTAGGTCGGTAGACCGTTCTTTATATCATCGAAGTGTACTATAGCTTCTCATTTATAGAGGCTTAACTCACAAGGAAAGTTTGCGGTACCGGTTGGTGTCTGTAGCTTTCGCTTATGCCTGTGGTCACGTGTAATCTCTCGGGGCGGCTTTAATAATGCCCGCCGGGCGTGGGCTCGGCCGCAATATAAAGCATGAATTGCTCTGCGCTTGAGCGGTCTGCTCGTTATGCTGGCATCTGTGACGTTTTGCGGCGCAGCCACGCGCCGGGGTACCGCGCCTCCCAGATTGTGCGTTCCGTTTACCAAACGAAGGTGCCTAGCTACCTAGACATGCTACATATCCCACGCCAGCTTCGTGAGAATCTTCATGAGCACTTTGAGGGGTCGTTACTATCCTTGAAGGCGTGTAATACCCACAAGTCCGACCGTGCGTGCAAGGTTTTATTTGAGTATCGCGATGGCAGCAAGGTCGAGGCCGTGTTGCTCAGCTTCCCAACGCACAAATCGCTTTGCATATCCAGCCAGGTACGTGCATGCTTTTGTCTGGTCTCATCTGTCGTATAGGTCGGCTGTGCTTATGCATGTTCCTTTTGCGCCACCGGCAGGATCGGTCTCAAGCGGAACCTGTCAGTCGACGAGATTACAGACCAAGTGCTCTATTTTCAACAACTAGGACACAATATCGACAGTATTTCTTTTATGGGTAGGCAATTCTTTCGGTTCATTTCCGACAAATGGCTTTCCCTTAAGGGGCAATTTTCGCGATAAACCTTGTCAATGACCGTTACAAAATGCGGATGAAATATCGGTGCATACGGTTTCTTATGTTTTGCCTTGGCAAGGTGCTGTATGTTGCACTTACACTTTTATTTAGGTATGGGTGAGCCTCTTTCGAACCCCAATGTGTTCCGGGCCATGAGGGTGCTCAGTGACCGCCAATTGTTCGGCACATCATCCCGAAGGATAAACATTTCAACAGTAGGAATACTGCCAGGAATAAAGAAGCTTAATCGAGACCATCCTCAGGTAGATCAAAGTTGTGCAACGTAACGTATCATAGGTCAACCTTGCCTTTTCTATGCATTCCCCCTTCACTGATCAGCGAAACAAGCTAGTGCCGGCCAATAATGTCTACCCTTTTCAAGAGGTTTTCGGCCTACTGGATGAGCGCATCCGGCTCACTGGGAAGCGTGTCTGGGTGTCGTATGTGCTCATGAAGGGCGAAAATGACACGGTGGCTCATGCCGAGGAGCTTGTAAAACTAATTAAGAAACGACCAGAAGAACTTCAGTACCTCTACCATGTAAACCTGATTCCGTACAATACAGGTAGGTTTGTAGTGACGTCGACTGACGGCCGATGTAAACACACCGTGACCTTCATGCAGCGCGTTCGATCGGTGTCTACGAGCGTACTGAAGAAAACGATATAGACAAATTTAAGGTATGCATAGTGTGATCAACATTTATTTTCTGCACATCGCTCAGGGTGTCCTTAAGAAGAGCAAAATTTCCTACTCTTTCCGGTACGTGTATTCTATGCGTAAACGCATTTTGCGCAGTAATCACTTCGGCCAAACAATCGACGCAGCTTGCGGGCAACTTTTTGCCGGTACGTTACAGGAATCCCATTTTAACATGATCGCAGACTACGATCCCGCTGAGCAGTCCCAGCTCTTCGGACACCGCCGGAAGTTGAAGACCAACTAAAACCTTTTACGGCAATGTTCTCGAAATCTGAGACATGTAGCCATCTGTTTAGCGAGATGTGTAGCATTAAAAACCCTGCCGAGGGCGTCTTTAACATCGCAACACCCTACCCGTTATACACACTTCCGCGGTGTGTGTGGCAAAAAACGACATCATCGGGAGGTTTTTGGGGCTGTTCAGCCGCCTTCGGCCTCGTCACAACACGTAATGCGACAATGAAGTGGTATATTGATACACATTATTGAGTTCAGCCTGTTAGACAATGCTGCGGCGGCTGCACATTTGTCGCCGCGGCGCAGCTCCGCTGCCGTGGTTGGCGTTGTGCGCGATCGTCGTCGCATTTTTGTGGCGCATCGCTTCTTCCGATGAGTGGTGTAAAGTCGCCACTTTCGGTCTTGAGCCTCATTATGAGCAATGCCTACCAGGTGTGTAAGCTTCCTGCGTCTGTATGATGTGTACAATTATGTGTTACCTTCCATTTCCGCTTCCACGTTTCTAACGCGACACAGATGGCGATACGCTGGTGCGATACACAATCGAAGTCGTCCCGTTGCGTCTGGATGACATGAGCCTCAGGTGAGTGGATGCAGCTCCTTAGTTTCTGACATGCACTCAGTGCCGACGTACGCATCAAGATCATCGGTGACGGGAGGGAAACCAAGCCTATAACCATAGCTTCCGTCGACGGCACCCATACCAGGTTTGCCCATCGATTTAAGAATGCATGCGTTGCAGGCTGAATGTGGAACGCATCGATGTTGGAGACCCTCGTGCCATCGAGTTGGATTCCGGCACTTCCGATTGGTCGTGCGAACGTATCACCGTATTTCGCGACTCCAAGTACTGGATTTTCGACTGTATTGCAGATGGTTCGGCGGGCGTGGTTGACGACCGCCCGCGCTACCTGCTTTCCGGGAACAAGGTGTACACCGTCAGCATTCAGACCGGAAGCTACAAGGATTCCGGCACATCAGGCCGCATATCTCTGATGCTGATTGGCTCCCTGGGCAAAAGCAACACGAAAGTCTTAGGGACAAACTTCTACACAGGTTCGTATTTGACGTTCGTGTTGAAGGCTGCGGATGTCGGTGATGTCACCGGCGTGCTGCTGTCGAATTCTGCCACTGCCGACCCGTGGTACTGCGAAGACATACGCGTGTTGTCCTCGAACGAATCGGTGAAGACGTTTGCGGTTAAGCGCTGGATCGGCAGCCCCTACGAGGAATCGGTTGAGATCACAACGGCCGAGGGCACGAGCGTGACGAACTTCAACGAGACCACGCCTATGGATATTCAGTGCCACACGCGCGCCATCGATCTTTATTCTGGGTTTGTTTCTAGACCAATGGCGTTAACATGCACAGACCCGTCAACAAGCCGTTCAACGTAACAGTGCGGTGCCCTATGAACTGCCAGGCATCCGCGCTGGTGCATATTGTGGGTTCCTCCCTGCACCATTCATCGTCGTCAATTTGCACATCTGCATTGTATGACGGCGTCTTAACCCCTTCTGGTACGTGATTTCGCTGCCTTCATGGTCGTATGTATGCGCTGCAGGTGGGGAGGTGGTGGTTTCCATAGTGGGTGCGTTGAAGCACTACCATGGCACTGTGAACCCTTTTAACCGCATGGAGTCAGAGAGCTACGAACCGTCTCCGAACAAGCCGTACTACTCGTTCTATACGTTCCTAAACGAGAGCATCGACAACGTCGAGTCCAACGTGCGGCTGGTTGATGGTACAGTTACTTGGTTTGTGTCGCCATCGTGTGCAGCGTTCGGACGTCTCTCCTCGTTTGGTAGACTAGAAGTGCTGAAAAACGGCAAATGGGGTACTGTATGCAACAAAGGAAAGTTTGGCGCTTTCAACGAAGCTGCGGCCAACCTCGTGTGCCGAAAGCTAGGTGCGTTGATACAGCAACCCGTTTTACACCACCCAGGATTCAAGCATGGCATCCACGTCATGGAAAACTGCTCCAGCGTGAACGATCAAAATATGTGCGTTCCGCGCGGTTACGCCGTTTCGTACGCCGGGCTGATGGTTTGTCTTTCGTTGATGCATGTACATTCGCACGCAGTGTTTGGGAACTGAGGATGACATATCGAGCTGCATCATTGAAGAGCCAACTGTGGACTGCCAGTCTCACAAGGATGACGTCATTGTCAAATGCACCAATACGACGCCACATGATGGCATCCCCTTCGGCACCCTGCGTCTGGTTGATGCGTCCGGCGTGCCCACGAGCACGGGCACTGGCCGCCTTGAGTTCTACAACGACGGGTTCGGCTCCGTATGCAACGAGTCGTGGAGCAAAGCCGCTGCCAAGATCGCCTGTCAGGAGATGGGATACAGCGGCCTTCACAACGGCGGCATGGTTGGTCAGGACTGCGCCGATGTCCATGGCGTGAACCTCTGCGCGCCAGTCACACACAAGATCGCCGCAGTGGATTTCCAATGTCGGGGTGAGTTGCCTATACTCCGTGTTTAGCATTTTCAGGCCTGGAGCGCGCTCTCGGCCAATGCCCTCACGAGTCAGCTGACGACATCTACTGCACCCACGACCAGGACGTGGTGCTCTCCTGCGCTGGCAACGGCGACCCGAGCGAATTCAGACACATACGGCGTACGGAGCCGTTCACGCCTGTAATGAAGAAGCTGCCGCATGCCGTGAAGCTAACATGCTACGACAACATGGGGTCTCACAGCGAGTTTCAGACAAAGCATGGCGACTTTGCGATCGCCATCTGCCCACCGGGATGCAAGTATGTTTGCGGAGCGCTCTACGGTCATTGTTCTTCAGGAGCGATCCAGCCGCCCTAAAGGGCACATTCATTTACACGGAGGATTCGGCGATCTGCAAGGCAGCTGTGCATGCCGGCGTGGTAGACGACTCTGGCGGCGAGATAGTGGTCATTCGTGCCATCACTCAGCCTACCTTCTACGGTTCCGTGATGAACGGCGTGACGAGCCTTGGCGCACACAAGATCGCTTCGGAGTTTCAGGCGGGGGCTTTTCTGGTCTCGCGAGCGACGAAGCACATCCTATCCAAGCAGATGAAGCTGCAGCATGCCCTCGAATCTCAGGCGGACCCGAAGCCGCTCATGGGCGCTGATACACCTCCGTCTCCTCCAACTGTCCGTTGGTTCCCCGAGATGGGCTGGAAGGGTTTCAACGGTTCTGCTGCGGATTTCGTGAGCCTGCGCAACTTCCCCAACACCGAGAAACTGAAGACGCTGCGTGATTTCACGTTCATCGTGCAGATGACTCCCACCGGTGCGTCGTATATAGATAGTCCTGACATGCACACCAGAGCTCGTTGGCAAATGGAGCACGTTGTTTTCGTTTCAGGGCTGCGGCGGTCTTACGTGTACGATAGACAACGCCGGAGAGATGGTTCTGGAGGAGAACTGCAGACCGGCATTATTCAAAACTACGTTCTTCCCTACACTGGGCAGTGAGTTGCCCCGACGCGTCGTTCATTGTTCTCCCAGGACGTACCACTATCGCAATAGTATACTACAGTCCCACGCGCGACATGGGCTTTTTCGTTGATGGGACTCTTATCGCAAGCCGTTCAACCGAGTTCGACTTCAGTTTCCAGGTATGTCAATCTTAAATTGACGCCATGCACCTTCCTCCAGGGAGACCTGATTCTTGGTAAATCTGCGGAGACTGATTCGGACTTCTTCGTCGGCCAACTGTTGTCGCTAGAAGTCTTCGATTATGTGATGCCACCGGATCAGGTGCTGCATCACAGCCGTTTACTTCAGACGCTGGAAGGCAACCGCATCCACTCGCGCCACTCGTCCACCCGCATGACCGTTGAGGGGAACATGTGCCTAAGCAAGTGCGTTCGCATGCGCTCTCCAGCGCACGATTCGGCGCGTCACGGCAGCCCTACGAACCCAGCAATCCACCTGAGCTGCCACAACACGCTCGAAGACGAGCGCTTCAACGGCGCTACCGGCAACGAGTTCCTGGTGAGCTGCAGCCGGAGCTGCACGGACCCGCTGCTCGTGCTGAAGGGCAGTAAGGTTTACACCCCCGACTCATCGATCTGCAAAGCTGCGGTCCACTCAGGTGCCATTCCTCTGGAGGGAGGCGAGGCTATCGTTACCATCCTGCACGGCCAGGACAGCTACGACCGATGCGTTGGTCACTACGGTAAGTTAACAGCAGCAACATTCGACGATTCTTAGGCGTGTTGAGCAACAAGTGGAACCTACCGCATATGCGGTCGTTCTCCGTGCGCCGCGCCCCCCTTGTGTTGGCGCTGTCATGCCAAGGTTGGTGTCCTACGGCCGCTCGGATCTAATCGTTTAACAGACCCCGGGATTTTCGTGCTGAAGATGAACCCCGGGACGCGCACGCTGCTGCGCTGTCCTCCGGGCTGCCTAGACAACCAAACGACGAACGTTTTCGGTACCGGTACGTTATCAGTTGTTACCATCGATGTGCTATGCTAGGCGTGTACAACCCCGTTTCCTCGCTCTGCCAGGCCGCCATACACTCCGGCAAGCTGGACAACCGTGGAGGAGAGGTCGAAATCGAGGTTTTAGGGAGCCAGGAATCGTTCGCTGGGTCGACCTCCAACGGCGTGACGTCGTTGTCCAGCGGCCAGTATTTGAAGAGCTTCCGCGTGCTCCGCGGCACTGTCAGCGCTGCCTAGTGCCCCCAGGCACAAGCGCACTCATTTAATGTACACCCGAAACATGGCTGTGTAAAAAATACGCGTTAACACTAGTTCACGTTCCCCCTTGGCGGCGCGCGAGCACCACAGTGACGCCGCTGGGAATCACGGCGTATTGGTAAAAGTCTACGGCTTTTCCGCTATTTTCTAAATTCCTTCCTCACCGACTATGTTAGGTGTGTTACCGTGTATGATCTTTCGCCTCCGGCGCCTGTTTCCGTCTTTGCCGATTCTAACAGTTTTCAGGTAAACGAGGCTTCAAGCCCGCCAGGGGTGGCGGAGGCCGCCCTTCTGGCAAGCCCATGCGCGGTAAGTTAAAATCGCTATGCGTTTCACAGCGCGCTGTAGGTCGCGGGTTCAAGGGTGGCCGCGGCGGCGGTGGCCCGGGCGGTAGGCGCGGCCCGGGAGCGGGTTCGGCGAACAAGGTGATGGTGGTGCCGCACCGTTTCTCGGGTGTCTACATCGCCAAGGGAAAGTCTGATGCGCTGGTTACGCGCAACATGGTCCCCGGGGAGTCCATCTATGGCGAGAAGCGCATCCAGACAATGGTAGGTTACCGAGGGCGTATACTGCACACTCTGACCGCAGAATGAGGAATCCGAACCAACGGAATACAGGGTGTGGAACCCTTTCAGATCCAAGCTCGGTGCTACCATTATCGGCGGTGTGGCCAATATGCCCATTGAAATCGGTTCAAAGGTGCTTTACCTAGGTGGGTTACCTGCCTAATTTTCGTCTGATATGCTTTCAGGCGCCGCTAACGGCACTACTGTGTCTCACGTATCCGACATGGTCGGTCCTACCGGCATGGTGTATGCCGTGGAGTTTTCTCATCGTTCGGCTCGCGACTTGACTAACATGGTAGGTGTGTCATTTTGTTCATCTGAGCGATTTTTAGGCCAAGCGCCGCCCCAACATCGTCCCAATAGTGGAGGATGCGCGCCAGCCGTTGCGCTACCGCATGCTTGTTGGCATGGTCGACGTCGTGTTTGCCGACGTCGCTCAGCCAGACCAGGCGCGCATCGTCGCGATAAACGCGTACCACTTTTTGAAGCCCGGAGGGTGGTTCATCATTGCCATTAAGGCCAACTGCGTGGACTCGACTGCGAAGCCCGAGGCCGTGTTTGCCGCGGAGGTCGACAAGCTGCGCAAGGAGAACTGCAAGCCTCGTGAGCAGTTGACGCTGGAGCCCTACCACCGTGACCATGCGGTGGTGATCGGGCAATACCGCGTCAAGAAGAAGAAGGCCACATGAGCTTATCGTAATAACACCGTCACATCACGTGCTGTTCAATGTTACACCATTGCCTACCCTTTTTGGCCTGAACGATTGACAATTGTGTATTCAAAATGCAACCTGTGGCGCGCATGAGTCGTACCCACCACGCAACATCTACACGACAGCGTCCTTCATCTCCCAGTTCAGGACGTGTCCATTCTCCACCCACCGTGGAGCACGGCTATGCATGAACGCTTAGATACATGTAATGCATCTCCCGCAAAGAATTCTAGCGATGTAATTGACGCAGTTTTTACTCATAACGATTTCAGGTATCTTATCAGCGCGTATATAAATAGGCACATCACTACCAGGAAGGTAAAGATGAGGGTGACGCGTATCGAGCACTCCACGGTTCTCTGTTTTTTGAGAACGGTTTTGATTTGCTGCGATACGGACGTCACATCTTCGGTTGCGCCCTCCACGTGCTCCATGGTTGCGATGGCATTAAGCACCTGCTCATTGGCCCGCTCGCCGATGACAACTGCCACCTCCCCTGCACTCCGTTGATTGCTTACGCAGCTTAGTCCTACCTATACGTTCCACAGCCTCTCCTATTTCCTGCAGCTGCTGATCGAAATGCTCGTCACGTGTGCGCCAGCGCTGGATCGATTCCCTTGCCTTGAGCTGTTCCTGCTCCGTCACTGCGCAAGCATGCGGATTAAAGTGGTGCTCACTTACTTGGCTCGGATTCAGTTGGGGCAGTAAAGTCCATGTTGATGCGTCGCTTCACAGTCGTAACTCGGCGGTACTTGTTGCTGTCGTAGGTGCTGCATTGCTCCTCAAGGTTTTGTATTGTGTCTTCGAATTGGCGCAACTCTTCGTCTGTGTACTTTTTGCGATGTCTTCTACTGGCGGTGATGCGTTCGTAGATGTTGTGGAGTATATCGAGGTCGATCCTGACCTGTTCCACTCTCGCATCGATCCTCGCCGTCACTTTGATTTGTGCCAACGGGTGGGCTGACTTATCGCGCTTAATCTGGTCGCGCTCCCGGATATCGGCCGTAATGGCGGCATTGTGCTGGAGTATTAGTTGCACCTGTGCATTGAAATCGAGGTTGCTGAGATTGGCTTTCCCCGTTGCGAGATCCTGCTGCGGATCCGGGGGATTTAAGGAGGCCTCCGACGCCGCTCCAATCATTTTGACAGATTCGTATTCACTTTAGCCACATATGCACCTTGTTTACAGTCTTAAAACGCCCAGTAAATGCGACTGTGTGAGCTCCAGTCCCCTCAAAGATCCGTGATCTACGATCGCGTATGGAGACTGGTAGACATATGTGCAAGCCTTTGTTTTCAGGCTTTCCGCACGAATTATACCGTTGTGACTATGATTTTGCTGGGTGTGTATATGCATCCGCGGCCGTGATGCTACGGGATGGCGTGTTGGTGTCTACGGTGATCGTCCGGTGCGCACATCGAAAAGGACACTGACGAGCCCCAGATACGCTTACAACAGATGTAAATGTTTGTGTCGACTCACAGCCACCACTAGGAGGCAATGTGTTCGCTGATTGCAGAAGAATCCACTGCCTCTGAAGTCGTCCCTCGGCATTGTAGGCATGTACGCGCAACATAGTGGCAGAGACGAGTTAGTAAGCCACCTATGGAGTCAAGAAAGTGTATTCTGCGCTTTTAACATTTACGTTTAACGTATTCTAGGAGCGGGATGTAGGAATCCTGACGCTCAGAGGCTGTGTGTCGAATAATATTTTTGCCTGTATTTTCGTCTAAAAGCACTCCAAATACACATTGCAACAACATACTACCGTATGTGACCGCATAGAAAGTCTTTCGACGTCTGTAACATTTGCTTTCGCGCTATTGTCATTGGGCTGTTGCGCTCTCTCTCGTCTCAAATTCAAGCGCCTGGCCACTGCTTTTGCAGGCGGCTTTGTTACTTATTTGGGCGCAATTTTTTATTCCGCGTTGGCCAGCGCGAATATACAAATCTGTTGCCGCGCCCCTTTCTCGTTGGCGCGATGTATGGCCAAAACAACGAATCCGACCCAGCGAGCGGGCATGGTGCACCGGACGCATCTTCAATGGGAACTGGGACCCATCTTCCATCCGGGAATCCACTAGTTCAGGTGCCTGGCCAACCATCCGCTGCGACAGCGCCTGGGTACGGTGCCTATTACGGTTACACCGGTTACGCTGCATACGGTAATTTTACGCCTCAAGTGTTGCTAACGATATTGCGTAGACTACGGTGCGAACTACGGAAATGTGTCTGCCGCGGCAACGATACCTCCTACGCCTCCAGTAGCGGCGCCATTGGCACCCATGGCTGTGCCACCCCCTGCTCCAATGGCGCCGGATACTACCACCGTTCCGTATACTATGGCTCCACCTTCTGCTGAGGAGAAGCTTGAGAGCGTTCAGCGCTGCCACATGCACAGTAGGTTATCTCGGTAGGGTGCTTCATGCGGCGTTCAGCGAAGCCAGACCTTAATTGCAAGTTTTGCCGCAAATACAAGTCTGCCGTTCACGAAATGAGCCGTCTTGCTGCCCAGCAGAGCGGTCAGCAGCCAGCTGAGAAACCTAACCAGCTGCCAATGACCAACTCAAGCACCTACAACCTGAATACTTTGCTTTTGAGTAACATTCTCCACTCGGAGTACTACAAGTCTCTATCGTAGGTTCCGATCTTACCGTAACATTCACGTTGCAGGACGATGAACTCTTACGTCGATGTGATGAACGAGTTGATTCAGTACGCTGACCACGCGGAGCCGTACTGCAGCACGGCAACCCGTGCACCGTCCACCCTCTTCTGCTGCCTGCACAAGCTTCTAACGTTGAGGCTCACTGAACGCCAGATGACAGCTCTCATTGACTGTCCCAAATCTCCATATCCGCGTTGTTGCGGATTTTTGTACCTGCGGTTCGTCCTGCCCTCTGATCAGGTATGCTAGTTCAATGGCTCCTTAATGGACGCCGCAGCTGTGGGACTGGTTCGAGCCGTACCTAATGGACGACGAAACGTTTGTTGTGAGTGTGAACCCCAGCCGCAAAACCACGATCGGTGAATTCTGTGAGCGTCTGCTGATGGACGACAAGTACTTCAACACAGGTTAGTTCCGGCATCGCGACATTAAAAGATGCTCAGTGCTTCCGCGTCTACCAATGCGTTTCAAGAATCGCCACGGCCCTCATTTGTTCAGCATGGCCGAACACCGGCGTCGGCGTGTTAGGAACCTGGAGTCCATGGATGACTTCGTTCCCGGAAAATCGGTTTCCGCGTTCATTAGGTACGTTACAGTTCTTTAGTAACATGACGTGATCTTGTTTACCTCTTTATCAGGTGTTTGTGTTGATGTAGTTATTATGTGCGTTTGCTTTGTTATCTGGTGTTTGTATTGGTACTGCTATGAAGTGGTCGTTTTGGTGTCGTATGTTTGTGTTGGCACGTCTTTTTTTGCCAGGGATTCTGTTACTTTACCTATCAGTTCCCATACTCTGATTTCCTAGTGACATGTCTATTACACCAGTGCATACCCAAATGCTCCGTATCTTTAATTGTCCTTCAGTGGCGACTGGGTGGAGTGTACCATCCAATCGGTATCCGACGATTACCCTACGGTAACCGTCTCGCTAACCTCCGGAGAGGAGCACACCATCGACATAGGATATATATCGCTCAAGAAGGCTGAGAAATCTGGCTCTAAACGCGGGAGGGAGTCGGAATCTCCAGAGGATGGTGGTCGCGGCCGGCAGCCTCGATACACTGACCGTCACCGCACTCGTGACGGTTCTCCCGATTCTAAAAACTCGAAAGAGGCGCTGCTACGCGAATTCAAGCGGCGCGAGAGCGAGCGCGCCCTGGCAGTTGGGAAGGTACGTTTGTGTGTCGTGGCGCCCTAACGCTGCTGCAGGACTACTCTAAGCGCCCGTCTTCCTTCAAAACATCGCTGTCGTCGAAAATGGACAACAAGCATTGCCGATGAAGTCCTTTTCGTCGAAATAAATTGCCTATCAGGCATGTTACAGTAAATTAATCGCTATATTGGGTTTTAATTTGCGTCGCGGCTTCTCCGCGCTTTGAGTTTGATTTTCCTTTCCTTCCGCCTTTTGGGGGCGCTAAGTTTTCACGATGCGTCTGATAACGCACAACCTGTTGATGTGGTGAGTGGATGGAGCGTTCGGCGCTCGCCTCCTTCCGTGTGTCAGTCGCGTACAACGCTGTGCAGCAACAGGCCCCGTTGCAGCGGAGGCTATCCTCTGCGGGTGTCCGCATCGATGGAAGATGGCTCCACGAAGGTGGAGCCGCAGGAGCTGAACCCAGAGTTCATCCGGAAGATGCTGCAGCGTATGGATTACGGCGTCTTGGTGGAGGCTGCGCGTTCGGTAAGTTTTTAGCCACAAGCGTTACTGTTAAGCATCTTTTCACTGTTATAACAAAACTCTTAGCTTGGAACTAATCTGCCCGAGAGTTACAGCGACGCTGACCTGGAATCCGAGGAGTTCATCGCACTGGTACATCGCTCCATCCTCGAGGTAGGAAACACTCCGTGCCATTTCTGGTTCTAAAGTCCGCAAACATGGACCCAGCCACGCCAGCGTGTAGCAGGCATTAGCGTAGTTGCTGCGGTATCGGCAGTTGTATACACATCGCGTATCATGCGTATATTTGGTGGTGTCTAACGGCGTGCAGACTCACGTTCTAAAGGGCACGCTCACCTGCCCCAAATGCGAGCGAGTTTACGAGATAAATAACGGTAAGCAAGCCGTAAGTGCCGTTATACGCGGACAGGGATCCCCGATATGCTCCATTGCGATGGCGGAGAGTAGACACGGTCCCGTCTCTCGGCTGCGGGAAGGACCGCCTGGGCACCTACTTTTGACACGTAATACAGTCAGTATAACACGTGATAAATGTCTGTCGTCGTTTGCGTATCTCTAGTGTGCGTTAAGCGTCTCTTCTTCGTGTGGTCTGGTGGCGTGTCTCAGGGCGGTTACAAACTGCTAATTTTGGAAGCGTGCCGCGTGCGTATCGTAATTTTGAGCCTCCACGTGGTTGATCACGTGTCCGCGTTTGTACATGTGTGATTTGTCGGGGAGTGTGTGAGCACACAGCCCACTTTGCTGTCGTTGTCTGCAGCGGTGGGGGTTGCGACGTTGTCTTACACATCACGGCAGCGGTGGCCAGAATAGTTTTATACTCCCGCAACGTGTAGTTTTTGTCTCCTCTTATCCGTCTATAATGGCCGCCAATCGCACTAGCTTCCGCTATTCGGATTTCAAGTGCGATCTGTCTGGTGCGTGTGTCCGTTTCCCCGGTATAGGCGCTTACGTGCGCATTGGTGAGAAACTGGGCTGTGGCGCGTACGGGGACGTATTTCGAGGCTATAGGCTGGACGAATGTAGTGATGTGACCCCTTCTAGTGACGATGCGGGTTACCAGCGCAAGAAGCGTCACGTCGGAGGGTCTTCGCCCACCTCCGATTCCGCTTCTGCCTCTACTAGTAGCGAGGCACTTGGCGGCTCGTCAGAGAGCAACAAGGGCGACGAAAGCGGCCTAATGGGCACCTTCTGCAACCCGCCGGAGAGCGCTCGGGAGGAGAAGGCTCCCGACCCGCATGTCCCCGACTACGCCATCAAATACTTCAAGGAGGATATTGTGCATATAATGAACGAAGGCTTCAGCTCGGGCACTCTGCGTGAGCTTAGTATAATGAAGGTGCGTTGGTCGTGCTTATTGTGGTCAAAAGTTTCAGAGTTGTAATGACCACCCCAACATTCTCAAGCTGGTTGACGTCTATGTCGGTAAGTCAATCCCGGCTCATTTAGGTGATTGCGAATGCAGGCGCCCACCCCGGTATCGCGGCTACTCTGAACAACCAGCTAAGCGATATGATAAAGTCGTCCGGCAGCGACATCTCGCGCCGGAAGGATCTGAACTTCTACCCGTTCAAGAACAGCCAGGTGTTCATGCTTGCCCTTTACGAGTTTTGCCAAGGTGGGATTTCATAGCGCCGTAAAATCTTCACTGAACGCAGGTGGCGATCTGGGTAGGGCCATATGGCGCGCCTACGACAAGGGCCTCGGGGGCTACACGCAGTCAGAGGTGAAGTGGTACGCGTTCCAGCTTCTGAACGGTCTGGCCTACCTCCACACTTCCAAGGTATGCTACTTCTAGTTTATATTCGACCTAAATGTGTTTTCAGATCCAGCACCGTGATTTGAAGCCTAACAATATAATGTTGGCCACGACCGACCGGCTGACTGTGCTGAAGATCGGCGACTGGGGCATGGGCCGCGAGATGCGCAACCTCGACGGCACGATAACTCCTACCGCGTGCACGTTATTCTATCGGCCAATCGAGGTTATTCTGGGTCCCATGGTCATCCCCCCCGAGAACGACAACTTCCTGAATACCGCCCCGAACCACGTGAGTTTTGCCATTCGCCGTGTCTAATCTGCCCTAGCGCCACAACTACGGGATCAACGCCGACAACTGGAGCGCCGCCTGCATCATCGCCGAGCTGGCCACTGGGCAGCCCCTCTTCCACGGCAACTCGGACTTCCAGGTGCTGACCCGCATCGTGACGACGCTGGGCCGGCCCACCGAGGAGGAGTGGCGCAACTGCTCGCGCTCGGAGCACTACCCCTTCAAGGGCAGCCTCTACAGGGTGGAGGTTGCCGACAAGAAGGAGCGCCTGCGCACCGTCCTCCAGGGCCGCGTGGACGACTTGGGCATCGACCTCCTGCTGTCGCTGCTGGAGTACAACCCGCATAAGCGCCTCAGCGCGCTGGAGGCGCTATCGCACCCGTGGTTCCACGACGTCGACTTCCGCCGCCTGGACGAGATGGGCGTGCGCAACTGCATGTCCAACACGCTGATGGGCAGATTCGGCCCTGGCGCTGTGAGGGACCTCGAGGCCAACTCTGCGGGGATCACTTCTAGTACGCTGCTCTCGCACGTGCTCTTCCTGGATTCGGAAGCGAAAGATCAGGTGATGGACGCTATAGACCGTGACTACGCGTGCGTGGCGCCTTCGTTACGGCAGTCCGCGCTGCCTGTCGCGATCCAGTACAGCGGCGGCGCCGCGCGCTCGCCGTCGCTTTGACCTGTCCGCGTGCTGGAGATCACGAAGCAATTATTAAATGAGTAAAAAATCTATGTGGAAATGCATCTTTCGCGGGATGGTTGCGCTGCGCGGAGGATTCCGCGTGCAGCCGTTGTCGTGGCGGCTGCTTCCGGCCCGTTGTCTTCCACTACCCGGCTGACAAGTTTGCCCTTACGGCATCATAGGCGTGATACGTGATCCACTTCCCCGTGTCTTGTTGCCATAACCGTTCGGACCGCTTTAATATATGCCGCGGTGGGGCGAAAATTATATTTATGGGGTCGCAACTGGCGTCGAGCGACCGCGGACAACTAGCGTTTAACCGGCCACTTTTTGCGCAATCCTGCCTTCCAATAAACTCCGAGCGAGTGGACTAAAATATTCTGCCGTACTAGGCTGTTGTTAGCGCGCGCTCGCGGGCCTTCTATCGTGACACCGCGGCCGAGCTCGAGCGTCGTGTCACAGTCGCGTTGCGCGTATTCGTGTCTAACGGCTTGCTACGCCCAAATTTCGTGCGCTAGTTTGTGCACGAGCTAGGGATCCAGCTGGCGACTCACAGGTGTTTAGCGTGGAATCCTTCGCGGGTACGGGAGCTCACCTGTTTATTAGTTGAGGCAAAAAAAAATTCGTCCGGATATAATATATTTCGGTCGAGAGTTGGATTCCATTGAGTGGTTGTCTCTCGCCCTACTGCGAATTGCCTTCCACCCAACGTTATCAGGCGCGGTCGTCGGCTTTGTGTACTCCTGCGTGGACGCTCCGGCTTTTTGGAAGGCCGGATCGTCTCTTTACGCGGGTCGCAAGACGCCTATTTTTGGGTTATCGTGAGGATGGCAGATTCTGCCCAGGTCGAAACACCGTACTCGTCGGCTGACTCCGGGGTTGACGTTACGTCCGCGTCGATGGTGAGAGGCGGCGATAGCTACGGCTACTCCGGCGACGTGCAAGATATTTCCAGCTCTGGTGAAAAGACAAATCGCATGGAGCGCCTCGAACAACCCGACTCGGTCGACTACGGCCTGCCTGAGACCAGCTCGCAGCAGCTCTACGACAACGGCGGAGCCGGCTACCAGCCTTCCGACGGTGGTTACGCCGACCAGGGCTGGAACGGACCGGGATACATGGGTTTGACACAGGAAGGTCTCCACTTCAGCGGCGAGGTGCCGCACGAGTCACACATGGTAAGCCCGCGCGTAGGTGTCTGTTTTTTTGGTCGGGTAAATATAGTGCGATTTCTTCATCGTAGCGATTTGTCCTGTTGCGCCTTATTGTGTGGTGTGTCTTCTTCCTGTTGTGTTGTCGGGATGTCGGGATCCTTATTCAAGCCGACCTTCCGCGGCCGGCACCTCTGTCGATGCCAAAGTTCGTATTGACTGTGGAATCCACTGGCTCTAGTCGCATATCCGTGTGTTACGCTAATGTGTATCGTTTAGAAGTGGTTGTAGCTGCAGCAATGTGTTTTGATTTTTATAGTCAGCATCTATGCGAGGGATAGTAGTTAACGCTCTTCAGGCTTTCGGCAACCAGGGGTTCGACATGTCTAGCACTTTGGTGGGTTCGTTTGGCAGTGTTGTCAGTGAGAACTCCATGCAATCTGCGGAAGGTACGTTCCTGGGTGCCATTTGCCATGGCGCATTTAGGCTCACTGCACTCTAAGATGCTGGACATGTCGCATCACGATGTGATGCCGCCTCATGGCATGTCTCTAAAGATGGACGGCGGCTCTATGCCTGGCGATCCCCCTCGACGCGCCCTTTCTAAGGGTCGCAAGAACAAGGATGAGGCCAATGAGCTGGTGCGCCGCGCCAAGTTACTGCCTAAGGTGATGGGCGTGCGTTACGATGCCAACCACCAATACTGGGTTGCGACATGGTATCAAAATCGCAAGCGGATGGATAGGTACTTTTCCGTCGGTCGTTTCGGCTTCGAGGAGGCCCGTATGCTGGCCATCGACTGCCGCAAGACGGCGGGTAAGAGCCTACAGGGTAAATCCTACGACCGGCCGCACTATCAACAAAAAGACGCGCCGATCACCCCCCGCCCTAGCTATGGTGCGTTCCTACTGTGGCTTCTGTGATTGCTTTCAGATGCTGAGGTCGGCGAGAAAAACACAGAGTACTACGGCGGTTCCGACTCGTCTAAGAAGACGAAGGATTTCAACCGTCTGAACGTTTCCAAGGTTGCACTGAACTATATTTTGTCGGATCTGTGCAACAACTGCCTGCCGAGCATCCTCGAAAACAACCACATGCCTGGGGAGCTCTATATTCATTGCTACAACAAAATATCCGACCACCTTCAGATGATAATCACGGCGAATCATTCTGAGGAGATAGAGAAGTATCTGCACCTGTTCCAGTTGTGTATTCAGAACCGCGTGCTGCCCAGCGCGTTGCAGGTTCAGGAGCAGAGGGCGATGATCACCACTTTGTGCCAGATGTAGGCCGATGGGCTGATCTGGATGTCTGTACAAATGCCATTTGATATATTTTGTTAGATGATCATTAGCGTTGTGCGGCGTTACGCCGCTTCCTTTGCGCGTTTGCCGGTTGAGCGGTTCCTGCTTCCGCTGCCGCCTCGCCGCGACACCGTGCTGTCTAAGCTGCGGTTCGTTGTCGGCGTCCTGTGTGTCTATGTGTATGCAGCCGGGTATTCATGGATCCCGTCCGGAAAATCCACCCGTTCGCCGTCCTTGCGCTGTGTCGCGGCGACTGTCCGCGTCACCTCCGAGGTGAGCTTTTGTGGCGTGGAATCCAGCGTTTTCAGCCTTCGGCTTTGAGCCTTCGGACGAGACGGCGAAGCTGCTGCTCGGAATAGTGCACATCTGGATTCTGCATCGTCGTATGCACAGCGCGGTAGCAGTTGATGGCTGGTGTGTCGACCTCTTTGCAGGGCCTTGAGACAGAGAAGATGCTCCTATGGGACTACCTGTGGTCTCACATGCGCACCATTCTGTGTGTACAGGGGGTATAGGTGCCGCTGATGTCTGTGATTGGCCGTTCAGATCCACGAGCTCCAGTTCCGCGCCAACCTGGAGGAGATGCAGCACAAGACCCTGGGATTCTGCCTGGCATTGGATGAGTCGATGGACGAAATCGTGCAAAAAGGCGACGACACCACGCTACGGAAGATGTTAATTATGTATGTCTATGCGTTGCCTGCTGTGAATAGTCGCAGTTACTTCTACCAGAGGAACAGCGGCATGATGCAATCGCAACCCTTGGACTTATTGACCAAGTACATACTGGCGCTGGTATGTCAACTACTTCCACATGCGTCTCACAGTTGTTACAGGTCGATTTCGTTTCTGAGGTCCCCGAAGAAGAGTTTCGCTATGCGGCCTTCACATGGTAAGCGACATGAATGTGGCCATTTACATTCCTGTGTTTGTCAGCTCCCAGATGCGCTGGGTACAAATTTTATTATTGACGACTAATGTATTGTGCAATATATGCCACTTAATATAGTTTATATGGCAGTTTATCGTGTATGAGTAACACGGTTGGCCGGACCGCATGTTCTGGGCACCAGCCTCGTCAACTGGCTACGGATTAGCCTCTGTATGCGTGTTATATGCTTCACCGTTATCCACATATGACGCATTTCAGGCCTGAAATCGACCACTACATCGCGAACGCAGCGGCTTAATTTAAGAACGCCGGTTTCACCTTGACCTGGGCGTACAGGAAGACCGGCTGCTCCCACATTTTACTAAGCCTATGTGATACATTTTTTTGCATCTGTTTGACAATTCTTCCTTGGATGCCGCATATGATTTTAGCGGCTTTATCGTTTCTGACGTACAGCTCCTGCGTACGGTTGATTGCTTTATCACGTTGTCTTACCATTTCTATTATTAGAGATCCATTTTCGGCTGGGGTCCAGCCGATTACCTTCTGGCCAACCTGGTAGGGCAACTCCTTGTTGAACCAGCAGTAGATGTAGGTCCGCACCAGTTGTTCGACCAGCTGCACCTTGGACATCGTCGTGAGCATGTCCGGCGGATACACCCACCGACCGGGCTTGGCCACAGCTTTGAGGAAGTGCAGAATGCGTTCCACGCCTATCCCGTGCTTCGCACTGGTGTAGAATATGTCGTCAAATGTGCCGTGGTTCTTGATTTCCCTTGTTCTGGCCTTCACCCACTTCTTGTGCTGCACCAGGTCGATCTTGTTGAGCACCAGCGCCACTGGCTTCCTTTTTTGGGAAGGGTCGTATTCACCCGTTTCTATATCCTCGTCACCATATGCATCACTTTCATCTTCCTCGTAGAGTTCCGTGCCATCTGAGTCGGTGTCATCCTCCTCGGCTGCACGATAGTTTTGGCGGTATTCCCTGTCGCCGGCATGGTCTTTAGCCTCTTCCGACGTAACTCCGGAGTCGAATGGCACCGCCCCGGTCAACAACCTTACAATTCGAAATAGTTCCGCATCTGGTCGCTTGACCGTGTCGAGCACCAACAGACATGCGTCGGCTTCCCTGTACGTCCTCCACGCAGTGTCGACGAGTGGTGCGCAGAACCGCCTTCTGCGATGCGATTCCAGTATTCCAGGGCAGTCCATGAGTATAATCTGGCAGTTGTCGGCGCAGAGAATGCCCTTGATGTCCTCCCTGGTGGTGTTCACCTTCGGCGACACCGCTGCGATGGTGCTACTGAGCAGTGCATTCATGAGCGAACTTTTACCCGCGTTGGGCAGCCCAACTAATGCGACCCTAACTAGTTTAGGGTCATCTGGTTGCTGCGGTGCGTGCCAGCTGACGGTGGTTGCCTGTGTGGGTATTGGTCGTTAAAGGTGCGACGTACGCTGAGGGGCACGGGCTGCCGAGTCGCGTTCGCTCCGTAGTAGGGCACGTTGCCGCGTGGCCTCGTCGTTACCGTCGTGTCTGTCTGTGCCTTTGGTGCGACGGTGGTGTCAACGTCGGTGCTGGCGTTGAGATGCGTTAGGCTCTGCGCGTGACCACGTTGACCAGAGAACTGACGTCTCCGCAAGCGCGGCAGAGATCCCAACGCACACCTCCACCAGCAAGTATGAGCGCATGGCGCTACTATGCGGCTGCTAAACAGGAACATCGGATAAGGGCAGCGTATTTTCTGTATACGTCACTGGTTACACCACGGGTATCGACAACCGCCTGAAGCGGCGCATCATCCGCATGCGTACCAAAGCATAGCTTCGTTTAATTGCCCACTAACAAATTCTGGCGGTTGCCGCCAGCATGTTCACGTCTCAACGTACGGCTGCGCTGAGTTGGGTATTCGGTGGGTACCGAAACGTCGTCCCATCCTCGTCGTTTTCAACGCCACAGGGTGAAATATACCACTCTGCCGCAGCTGCACGAAGTTTAGACCCCGGAGGTGACGTGTCAGACATGCTAGTTGCTGATTGTATGCGTTTCGGCAGTAATAGCTTCCGCACCCCACGCTATATGCGCGCGGGTGTGTTGTCGCATTGGCCGCGCAATCAGCCAAGTAACCAAGCTCGCTTTGCTTCGTAGCGTTTTTAAAGTGAAAAATTTAGTACTCTGTTTCCGCGAGCCTGTGAGGGGTCGCTCATTCCGTTGTATCGCCGGCAGTCGATCGTGCGTGGACGTTGTGTAGGATGATGCGTAATTCGGGTAGCGGTCACCAGCACGGGCATGCTGGTAACACACACAAAGGGGAAAAGCGTGCGGTAACGCTCGCGCGTCTCAATGAGGAGCGTTTGGGTTACGCCATATCGTGCCTTGTGGTAAGTGATATTTTGCGGCTGTGACACTGTCGTAGGGCAAGGATATTGTTGTGCACATGAATGGAGGCCGTGTCATGAAGGGTACGTTCCACTCTTGCGACCCTACGCCGCGACCTAACAAGGCTTATGACATCGCCTTGCGTCATGCACGTGCCGTTCAGAATAAGGTATGATGCATATTTATGGCTATCTGACATTTTTGCAGAACGATGATAATGGTTCGGGTAGGCAGTTCGTAGTTTTCGGTAACGATTACTCGTATGCGGTGGTGAACGGTGTCTCATTGATCTACCCTGCAAAGGAGCCGAAGACAGCGAATGCCGCCCCGGCACCCCCAGCTGGAGAGGGTGGCTCTTCGGGCAAGCGTTCGGGTTCCGGTAAATTCAAGACCGACACTGAGATTTCTGGCGCCAAGGGCCAGCGCCACAGCGAAAAGCTCGTGGAGTGGGCACCCGAAGCACCTCCTGCTGACAACCAGTTGTACACGCTGGATGGGGAGCGCAAGACTGAGTGGGACCAATTCGAATCCAACCGAAAGGATTTCGGCGTCGAGACGACTTACGACGAGAGTCTGTACACCACCGAGCTGAACCTCGACGATGTACCTCAGCGCATCCAGGAGCAGGCGACGCGGCTTGCGTCGGAGATATTAGGAAGTAGCGGCGAGGGCACCTTCTCGCAGCTCGAAGTATACCTCGAGCAGGATGAGGATGTGGTTAACAACGCCACTGCGGAACATATGGTGAAGAAAGCGCTGGGTCGCAACTCTCGTGAGGATAAGCGGGAGGACAAACGCGACGACAAGCGTGAGGACAAACGAGAGGACAAACGTGAGGATAAACGCGAAGATAAGCGTGAAGACAAGCGCGAAGACCGACGTGAGGATAAGAGGGACGACAAGAGAGAGGATAAACGCGATGACAAACGCGAAGATAAGCGTGAGGATAAGCGCGATGATAAGAGGGAAGACAAACGCGATGAAAAATACCCACAGGGCAACAAGGGCAAGGCCCGCTCTTCTGGTGGAGACGGAGCTGCCGGTGGCCACAACTCACGCCCCGCTTCTTCCAGCCGCGTGATGTCGTACAAGGATATAATAGCCAACAGTGGGAACTCCCCGTCTCCGTCACAGAAGGGTGCTACGACTCAGGATAACTCGCCTCAGCAGGGTGGCCATGTGAAGGGCTCTGGCCACGACCGTGACTCGGCTCAGCATGCGGTACGTTTCTGTGATGCGTATTCCGCAACTGTGTTTCAGCAACCTGCCGCCAGCCGTTCTGAAGGGAACCGCGGCCGTTCGTCAACAGGTGAAGCTCGCAGCGGTGAGCAGAATGTAGAGGAGTCAAGGAAGGGTGAGCGTGGCGGTGCCTCCCATCCACAGAAGTCTGAGGAGCGTGCTGCTGCTAAGCCAGCTGCCGAAGCCAAACCGGCTTCTCCCGCCGCCCAGACGACCGTAACCACTAAGAAGGCGTTCACTTTCAACCCGAACGCCTCCAGCTTTACTCCGTTTTCGGCTATCCACATTGCTGCGCGCCCCGTATCTCCGTCACACCGGTCGGCTTCTCGTTCTCCCATGAGGCAGGCTCATGGCGCCCAGAAGGTGCGTCATATACTTTTTAGCCGTCATTGCGTGCAGGCGTCATTTGGTGAATCCCGTACCGCGGGCGCTGGAGCTACCGCTACTGGTGGCAAGGGCAAGGACAATGCAAGCGGTGTTGCGCAAACGAACGTAAAGTTCCGCCCATTTATTGCTATGGTGGGTTAATGCGTTTCTAGAGCAAAATGCGATGCAGACTGAGTACCCGACGTTGGACGTGTCTGGCTACACCGCCCTGCCCTGGCCGCTGGCAGACTACACATACGAGGATGGCTGGCAGAGCTGCAGCGATGCTTCGTACCGTAGCGTCATAGGTGACGTTACCCAGTACTATGCTGCTCCCGGTATTATGGCTATGCGTCCTCAGCACCCTATGGTCGCCTCGGCAGGCATGGCCACGGTCCTGCTGCCCCAGGCCGGCCATGTCACGTACCCTGCCTACCAACTCGGCGGGATACCTGTCAGCATGGTTCCCTACAATCGGCAGGTGACTCCGAAGTTCTTCGCGCGCCAGGCTCAGCAGCCCATGCAGGCTATTGTGCCTACGCGGATACCCGTGAGCGGCACCCCGACGCCTTCCATTGGACACGCTCAGCCGCAGGTGAAACCCAAGCCTTGAGCTAGCAAAGGCTACAACCTATTCTAATGCAGAGATCCATCTTCCGGCGTTACATCGCCAGCACGTGCACCGCCTGTATGCGCGCTGAGTCGCAAGGCTCATATTCCGTTCAGCGGTTTCCAGAATCCGCACCTCTACTCAGGGCACATGATCGGTGGCATGTGAACCACGGTTTAATATGCTGCTTATGTATAGTGGCCTTTGTGACACATTGGTGATCTGGTACTGTCGTGTGCTGCCCGACTACGGTAGCTCTTCACGAGTCCGTCGGTGATCATTGACATATTTGGACTGTCAATTAAACATAGAGCCGTATTATACATTAGCAGCCATACCAGGCTGCGGGCAACGCCGCCTTGGCACGATGGCCTCCGAGGCCACCTTCGCCAACGGCGGCCGCTGCCAAACGGATATCATGCACATTGCACATATTAGTTGCTTAAAATGGACCAGAAATTGGTGTTTCAGACGCTAGCTTATACCGGTATGTGTTGTGCCGACATCGCGTCCTACGCACGTTGTTGCACAGTGCGACGTCGTGATTCTGCGATACCTCGGCGGCGTTCCAGGCCTCGACTTCCACCGTATTGACGGAAGTATTAACGAACACACGATGTGTGAGCGCAACGTTTGGTTTAGTAGGCAAGTTATTCGTCATTGGAGCAGGTGTCGTCATTCTACGGAGCTCGTTGAGCCGGGACATTCGCTCCTCTATTAGGACATACCGTCTATCCAGTTTGCTTCAGTGGCATCTTTAGGATGATGTGTATGAATGGGTTATAATTTTCAGGGGAAATGTACATCAGTAATGGTTGAATGCATAGATCGATTGGCTACCCATCCCGGCGCTTGATGTGCACCGCTCTCTAAAATCTCGTTTGACAGCCGCTTTGCGTGATACGAGGCTGCGGAGAATCGCTTTGGTGAGGTTGGTACCGGAGGATGCGGCTGCTGTGTATCCGACCAGTGGACCGTATCTGAACCACTAGCGTCGTCGCTGCTATGTTCGCATTATGGAGCATCAGACTGTTCTAGGCGTTACGTCGAGTAGTTTGTCGTACGGACGGGGTCGCGGAAACAACCTGCGTCACGTAGGTGTGTCCTCAACGCCGTCAGTGGAGGCCCCCGAGAGTACTAACACGACGTTGCATTATTCGACTGATGTCGCCCAAGCAAGTGCAACAGACCCCATTCTGCATTCTGCGGGGTCGTACTATGCCAACGTGAGAGAGATCCCATCAGCATTACCTCCGTTCGTAAGTTTCAATGAAGCTTCCGCTGCAGCCGTTCACGCCGATACCAACGATTTGTCGGTATCATCCTTCAGTGCAGCGATCAATGACCACCTTGCTAATAAAGTTAGCGAAGTTTTGAAGTGGAAGATAATGAAGCCGTGGGAGTGGTCACATCTCGGTGACCAGGCTGTGAGCTACCTGCAGCACTACAACACGATTACCAAGGGCGACTCAGCGGGCCACGTTTCTCTCATGAGCAAGATATACCCGTCCGTATTCACCTTCGATGGTTTTGGCGGTGGGGAGTCCGGACATCATGCCAAGGCGGTTGGCGACCCCGTTGCAGGCGTCCGTATGGACACGCGGCGGCACATGGGCGCTGTTTTGCAGAGGGGGGAGCTATTCGACAACCTCAGGCACATCAACAACTTCTTCATGGCCGACGAGACCCGCCTGCCGGTCTATATCGCTGCGTTTGGATCCGGTTTCTTTTCTGTGCTGATTTGCCTCTGCGCCGCACTGTACGTCAAGTACCTCTTCTCGAAGGTGCGCCGAGCGAAGAGCGGCAGCCAGCAGAGCGACTCCGGCTCCACGCTGCCACTGCTCGACAAGCAGATGATTCTGGCCGCCCAGAAGAAGGAGAACCTGGCGGAGACCCGCGCTACGAACCCCAACTTGGCGCGCATCGACGACTACATTCGTGGCGAGGTCAAGCGGTGGGAGCGGCGCGTGCTCATGGCCGAGGCCAAGGCGGCATCTCCAACAAGCTTTCAGGAGATCATGCAGGAGTTGAAGTCCGATGCGGAGAGCAGTGATGGAGAGGAAGACAATGGCGGCAGGTACAAGAAGATGTCGCCGGCGGCCGCCATCAACACCAACGTGGACAAACTATTCCAGGGCAATGCCCAGCTTGACAAGGCTCTGCACCAAGATTCTGATTCCGACGAGTACACGACCGACAGCAGCGGGTCCGACGTCAGCTCATCCGATGATGATTACGATTCGAGTTCCGATGAATCCAGTGGGTCCGACAGCGACTCATAGATGTACACTACCAATGAACCGTGTAAAATGTAGTATAATTGAATTCAGTGTTTTATGGTCTCCTGAGCTTAGTTATTGCGATTGAGTCCCCGGTTGACCACGAATCAAGCATCTCCCAACCCGATAGGGCGGGCGTTGCCTCCGCAGAGGAGGTATTCCCCTTTTTTGTGATCGTCGTGGGGTTGGTCATGAATCCGTTGGCGAACGCAGTGACCTGCGAGCCCGATCTGAGCGACGATGCGATTCCCGACTCCTCCTGCGAGCATATCTTGCGGCTTTTGAACTGGAGCAGGTCGCTGTCCGCGTCCTCGGTCGGCTTAGCCGGCGACAGGGAGTCGGTGATAGGGGTGAAGAAGCGCGGGAATATGCGCTTGGAGGGATCATGCGCAGGTGGTGTGGTGGGTTCCTTCGCGAACCGCGCGAAGAAGTTCTTGATGTCCAGCTCGCACGATTTCATGGTATCGCTGATTTCCATGTTCCTTGTCACCCACGTGCTGATGCCCTTCCTGAGGTTCGATAGCGCGAACCTGCGGTCGGCCAGCATCACAGTGCCGTAGTCCTTTATGTGCCTAATGGCCCTCCCGAGTGCCTGGTTGACTGCCCGTATCGCCTGTGAGGTGTACCACTGGGACATCACTTCGTCATTCTTTGCTTTGTCAGAGTCCCTCGACAGGAAGTCCATTTTCAGCGCCACGTTGTCGTCGTAGGGGTTGGGGTAGGGCACTCCGCACACGAACACGCCCCTGCAGGCATCGTCAGAGAAGTCGATCCCCTCGGCGATCTTGCCCCGGCACACCCCGATGAAGATGCACCCCCGTCCTTTGGCCACGAGGTCGTTGTATTCCTTCAGCTGCGCCTCGGTCGGGTCTTCTCCGCCTTGGAGGAACTTGTTGTCGACCATTATCGAAGCCTCGCTCGACGAGCTCCTTGTTTCCACGAAGATCGTCTTCACCTTTTCAAGGTCCGAGTAAATGCCAGTCCTCCGCCAGGCCTTGATCGTGCCTTCCAGAATCGAATACGACCCGAAGAAGACGAGGACGCCCGCCGGCACACATTTGACGAACGTCAGCAGCGATTCACCCAGCGCCTTGACGTAGGGGGGCGTCATTCGCAGGTTGTACACCGACGAGAGCGCCTGCGGGTCTTCATCCGTTCCCGTAATGACCCTGGCGCAAACGTTCGACGATGGTGCCACGTGCTTGTTCGACAGCTTGTACTCAAACGATATTCTGCCTCCTCCGATGTTCTTCTCCAAATCTTTGAGAGGCGACAGCGTTCCCGAGGTGAGCAAAATCGACCTCACGCCGTCGTTCTTGAGCCGGAGGAATGAGGGCGTTGCCTGGAGGCACTCGAACGTCATGACCTTTGGCAACGGCCCTCCCTCAGCAGGTGCGCTGTTGCTGCTGGGCGCATCATCCTGACTTTTCTGAACCCCCTTGCTCTTCCAACCGCCTCCCTTTGTAGCCGAGTTGCTGGGCGAGTTTGTGGCCGTTTCCTGTTGCTTACTAGCGTTGAACGTCGCGTCGGACGTCACGAACACGTGGAAGTACTCCGGGCACGCAAGCAGCTCCTTCGAGTATATGTGCTGAAAGAAGACCGTTAGCCCCATTAGCGACTGCAAGTCCTCCTGTAGCGCCTTGGCGTTTTCGTAATAAGCCTGGTACGCGTACGAGATGTCATCGACGTTGGTCGACAACGCTGCGATAGAGCTTTTGATCACCTCGTCGATCTTCATGTTCCTGAGCTCGTGGAACCCGATATTTTTCATGAGATACTGCAGCATATCTGTCGCCTTGAAGATCGCATGGTCCTTCTTGACGGCTGCCAGTTGCCACGGTTCTAATTCCTGTGGCTGCGATGTCGGCGGAGCCTCGGAGTGCATGCATATTTTGATATTCGTCATGAAGGTGTCAAAATGCTTCAGCGCCGTGGCTAGTTTCGCCATGGCTGCGAAGTCTATCGCCGGCCCTTCCGGCTTCGCCACCGGATCCTGGGCTTCGCCGGCCTTTTTGTGCGCCGAGGCGAATCTCCTCAGTGCCATGAGGTACCTCGCGACATCCACCTGTCTCACCGTAAAAGTAGCCGCCTCTTCAGCTACGCTCTCTACGTTATGTGCTTCGTCTATGATGAGGACAGAGTTTGCCAGCTTTATCTCCATGGCATCGCGGGAGAGTGGCGACAGCAGGTAGTTATACGGCAGCAAGGTGACATCAGCGGTTTCGTGCGCCTCCCTGCTGGCGTAAAACGGGCAGCATTTGTGTGTTTTCCCTAGCATCACCAGGTCCTCAATGTCCATGAAGTCGTAGAACTGCAGCTTGCTGCTCCCCTTGTTCTTCTTGAGGCCGTTATAGTACATGCACCCTTGGCCTTGTACCTGTTTCTTGCAGAAGTTGTTGAGCGCCTCTCCTGTGGCGTTTCTGCGACCCGGGTGTATGCAGAGCTGGTCGCGGGAGCCCAGCACTATGGTGGTTAGGCCCTTGGCGGCGAACTCCTTGGTGTAGGAGCTCTTCTTGGCCTCCCTGATAACCTGCTTCAACTGGCTGTGCGTCCGCGAGGCGTATATTATCCTCAGGTTGTTTGAAGCCTTCCCTTTTGACCCCTTTCCGCCGCCCTGCAGCGAACTTCTGAGGTCGGAGATGGTGCTGAGCAGGGCCGCCTCGCATGACCCGTCCGGGCTGCTGAGCTTAAAAGCGTCGGCATTCTTGAATTTCGAATGCCACAGGCACGCCAACGCCGAACACATGAGTGCGAGCGTCTTACCTGTTCCCGTGGGCGACTCCAGCAGCGCGTTCTGCCCATTTTTGACGGCCTTGATGACCGTTTCCATGTACACCGTCTGACATTGGTAGGGCGGATACGGGAATCGCACCTCAATTCCGTCAATGATGTGTACGGATTCCTGTTGCGTCGCCATGATGTGTCACCGTTTTAGCTGAGGGATGGCATCGATACTGTGCATTCACGTCGAGTCGTGAACGCCGGCACACATCGTCTGTTGCAGTCGCTTTTCCGCTCGATCGTCATGTAGAGCGTGTTACAGTGCCAAACACGAATACTCCCGCCTGTTTGCCGCGTATGTGTACCTCGTTTCCACCCCTCGAGTCGGCCGTAGACAAGGTTAGCAGAGACAAAACTGTGCTGCAGGCATACTTCAGTCCCGCCGCTTTTGCGATGTTTAGTTCTGTAGTTTGCTCTGCTAACGGTGCCACAGGCGGCGATTTGGTTCGGCAACTGCCAACTGACGGTTTGTGATGGCGGTGCCTTCCGGTCGCGCAACGAGGCGGCAGTAATCCCACACATTTTCGATTTTTTAACCGATTCCCACTAAATACGCTTCGTGCAACGGCGAGAATGATTGTTGCCGCTGTACGTACTAGTATATCCGTTATGGGCTGATTCGTCCGTCAGTTGATCCTAGGGTCTCTCTGGAGAGCAGTATGTGCCGAGCATGGTCGTTGCTGCCCGCGGAGAGTCAGTGTGGGCGGTTCCGCGGCCGGCGGCGGCGTTTCTAGCTGAGCTGCGCCAATTCCAGCAGCAATGTGACCGCGTCATCGACGACCTATACGGTCGGAGAAGCTTCGCCAGGCTTCAAAAGCAAGTCGAACGCGACATACAGACAGTGGATGTGTTGGCTGGGAGAGGATATGCTCGGCGAGCGCGTTCCGTGGTTGCCGATGCCGGCCACCGCGTCCCCGAACGGGCTTCTGACTACTCATCGCATTTCGTCGGCGTTGTCCGCAGCACCGCCTCCTCGCAGCATGCAATTAGCTACAGCAGCGCATTTCGCATGCTTGTGTTCACCAAGGCTGTGCGCATATGCAGGCAAGAGTTCACTAACATCGCTACCGTGGACCTGCTGCTGCTGGCGTATGACGTCTATACGGAATTGTACTTGTCTTTGATTGATGCGCTGATTCACTTGGGAAACTGGGAGAAGGCTACTGATGTTTTGATGCAGCTTGGAGTTGTTTTGTACTTCATCCGCAAAGATTTGTACAAAAATAAACGGTCAATTGCTAAGGCGCCCGTGAACTCCAGGTCCGAGCTTAAACTCCAACTGATCAAGAGCATTCTGGCCAAGCGGTGCATTCGTTTGGAAGCTCCGCTAGTTTACGCTGACAACAGCACGGTAGTACAGCATGTCTTTGACTGCTTTATGCTGGTGCTCCCTCTGGAGATTTGGTCGAGGACGGTTTACTTGTGGCTGCGTGATGCGTCCCTGTACAGCGTCTTAGAAACTCTTCAGGCACTGCCGATGCCTCAAAGATCGGCCTTCTATCGCAGAGTGAGGCGCTGTATTACCCACTGCAGAGATGACGTGAACAGCCCCAACCGTTATTTTGACTTCGGCTGTTCTTCCTGTAGATCCACCGTTTGGATGGGGGTGAAGGCGCGTCAAAACAGTCGTGAATTCGGCAAGCAATTCCCTGGTAAGAGATGCGGCTTTCCCTACAATGTCGTCCTTGGTTACGTCTTGTCCGCCTCAAACAGCAACCGTCGTTATGCACTGGAGGGGTTCATCATGGTGGCCAAGATTTCTATGGGCATTGATCGGAGCCTGTATGCATCGCTCTGCTTCACCGTGTCTACGGTATTGCGCATTCTCTCGTCGAAGATACGCATCTTAGATGAAGCATCTCCAAAAAGCAGTCTAGACCAGGGCACTGGCGAACGCAATGACGTGGGCACAGACACGATGCATTCCGTGGACCACATGTCGTCGCTACTGCATTACGTCGGCATGAAGCAGTGGGGGAATCAGAAGTGCTTGTGCGTGATGTCATCCGCCGATAATATCTGGGTGAAGCGCAGTGGAATGCGTTCGATATCAGTGAGCCTGACCCCTTTGCCCTCATTTTTGGGTCCGTCTAGGTACATCGGGCACAGTTGGATCGACTTGGACTACATGGTAATGCTGGATGTTGACAGTATGATACCGTGCGACGCTGCCGGATTGGATGGGATACGTTTTGTCCAGTCTCACCGAGTGGATCGACACTTTTTCCCATTAGGCGAAATAAAGATCCCAAGTAGCGATAATGGTTCAACCGAATCGTCTTCTGGTGCTGGTTGCACAAGCTCAATTTGCCTCGAGAACTTGAAGGTGCGAAACAATACGGTTGATATCCAAATGGACTTCACTCCGCTATGCCAAAACCTATTTTACTCCACCAGGCGACACAAACGCCACGTGTCGTTACGTGGCACCAAATATGCCTTTTCCGTCATTTCCAAGGCTCCTGATCACGCGCCTCAGCCGTTGGTGCATGGCTTCGACCACAAGGTTGTTCTCGCCTTGTTGGCATTTTGCGTTTCGTTAGACCGCGAGTACACCGTCCTCCACTTCCGGCAGGCGCTGGAATACCTGAACTACAGGGACACTCTGCGCAAGAAGCGAAAAGCGTTCCTACGCAAGCTCATGACCTGGGTGCCGACGCCGAACAGCCAGGAAGCTCGCCATATGATGAAATTCCAGAAGCGGATTCGCACGTCATTTCGCCACAGGTCGTGGCTATCGTACATGACGGCCGCTGGTGACAACGGCGGTCAGGCTCACGATGCCGATCGAGTTGACTGGCGAGCTACCTGCTCGCTAACCAAGGGTAGTGACGCTGTGAACATGAAGGAGTACATGTCGATGGAGAGCGTCGAACTGCAGAGGCATGCTAACGGAGTCAATTGTCTCAAAGATCCTGCGTTCACGAAGCATCGGCTCATGGATGTCGTTGAGAAGTCTTTCTACGCTCTGTCGCAGGCTGGAAACTACCTGTACAAACGATGTCAAGGATATCAGCCGTTCTGCAAACGGGGCGCGCTGCGAGGCAACCACTACCGGCTCTCCAATAAGTACCCATTCGTGGCAATTGAGGAGGCTGACAGTGGAGCATCGAAGTATGCACGTCCACGCATGCCACCGTGTGAGCACACGGCAATGACCATGTCTATGGGTGAGTGCACGCAGTGTTCCACCTCACGCTCGTTCCGACAACTCGATCGGATGGTTTTGTTGGTCGAGTGGATATCGCATTTAGTTTTCACGGGTTGTATCCGCCCCGGCAAGGTCTACCCCAAATCCTTGCCAATTGGGATGCCGGTTAATGGTTACCCCGCAACCCAAACTGCCGCCACAAATGGTGCTAACAGAGTTGCGGCGAAATTGGTTGGGAAAGGAAAAGTGCCGCGCGTGGATGGCCGTAGCTACAGGATTATGGAGTATGTCATCGATGCGTACGTTCCCGACAGGTCATCTGGATCTGCTATGGCCAATTTGTCCGACGGTTTGGCACTGCTCAATGAAGTGGTTGAATCATGTATGCTAACTTCGTTGGCTACATTTTTCCACGAGCCTTATTACAAGGGTTTGGTGTTGGATTTGGCCATGGTGCAGTTACTGCAGGGCCGTTGGTCTTTGTGCCTTGCTTTGCTAAAGCAACTGCAGGGTACTCCCGGCAACTACAGCACCCCGTTCGGTGCTGAGACAATCTCAGTGGCTACTGACGTTTTCCGTCTGACGAAGGTTGAAAAGGGATTCATTTCACGCCTGACCGGCAAGATCTTGACCGAGTTGATCGTCGAGCCCCAGTTAAGCATTGAACTCCTTTCGAAGGAATGCAAACCGGTAGAAAGGCGCTTTAATAGTGGCACCGTTCAAGGTGCCACACATGGTGAGGAGCATCCTGGGATAGCGGGGAGCTCACACCATGGCAAGTCCAATATGCACGAATCAGCCAAATCGCTAATGCTACTGGGAGTGTCGTACCTGACGCTTGGCTTCGTTCAGGTTGATCCATTGTCTGCCTCAATATCGGACACTAGTGGCAGCTGGGTGCACATCGACCATCCCGAGTTGGATAGCTTGCGGTTCGTTGAATGCGACGGCCCCAATTCGGATGCCGTCTGCGGAGAACACAACCCGCATACTTCAGATGCTGCGGCTGCAGATGATCCAGACATCCCGACAGGCCGATTGGCCGTAGCATCGGAGTACATTCTGAAAGCGCTGTCGATTGACCCGAGGTGCTACAAGGCGTGGCTCTACTTGGCCCATTGCGGAGTGCTTGCGCACGAGTACGAGTTCGCATACAGGTGTTGCCAGCGTAGCATCGACTGTTACGATGCGTGTGTGGCTGCTTGGCTGACGATGGCAGTTGCGATTAGCTCCCGCAGCCGTTGCTGCTCTCCCATCAAGGTTTCGCATGGTGTCTGGCCGGAGTATTTGGTCGAACAGAAAGGGTTTACCAAGAGACTCCACAATGGTAAGGTATCTAAGATAAGCATCCCCTCCTTTGTGGTCCCGTATGACCCAGTCTTCCCTAGCCGTGCCGAGACCACGGACGATCTGGCTCGGCACATGAGCCAAGCTGTGGGAGGCGACACTGCGGAGTGTTTGGACATTCTAATCGCAGCTACACGTTTCGGAAGCGTTTTTGCTTATGCCGGTGTGCTTCAGCTATTGTCTAGGACCGTGGAGATGCCCATTGACACCTTCCCCTGGGAGACTTCTCGTGTTCTGGCAAGCTCTTCGCGCGTGGTTTTGACGCAAATCTATTTGGTCCTGCATGCTAGCATAGAATGCGCATCGCAATCGAATCTTGGCAAGATCCCCGACGAATGGTTGTATCCCGACCTCCGTAAGATGCACTCGCAGATTCGTGCGTTGGTATCTCGTGCGGTTTCTACTAAGCTGCACGTTTCCTCCCTTCCTTTTATCCGTGCAATGTGCCTGATGTATTCGTTGGATGTCGTTGACGATTCGCGTGCTGCGGTGTTTTCGCAGGGCAAAGTGTCGTTTGACGTCAGCGTGAGCGACCCGGCATGTTTCGAGGATGAGGTGTATGGCTGGATAACGTGTTTGGAGGTGTTGACGCAAAGCGGCCACGCTGCTACGGCGGAACTGCTATTCCCTCTGCTTGAGTCCTTCCTGGATGTTAACTCCCCTCGTTGCCTCGAGTCTGAGTATGCCGCTCCATCTTGCGACAAGTTGCCTGTAGGACCTTATGCAGAGGAGTCCCGATGGGGTGCCGTGAGGAGCCATTTCAACGGTCGCGCGTTCACTTACGCTGACATACGCGCCGAAACGGTGTTCCTACGCCTCTACATGCGGTGCTACACTGTTGTTGACAGTGAGCTTGACGAGCTGCTCTCTGACGTCCAGGAGGCCCTCACGCAGTGCGCCAGTCGCAAACTACGCCTGTTGGAAGCACGGATCTTGGCGGGATTGCGTCGTTACGAAGAGGCAGCTCGTGTGTATGCTGCTGAGCTACGCCGTGGGTTCACCGGGTCGGTGTCTACTGACTACATGCTGGAGTACCAGGCTATGAAGGTGTACGCTAAAGTGCTCACTGCGCTTGGAGAGGTATCGCAATCCGCTGCGGTGACGTCTTTCGCCGATCAGTGTTATCTCACGACTCCAGTTTTGCGTTGCGACCTGTGTCTGGTCGCGCCGCTGTGACTGCGGCTCTTCGGTGTGCCTTTCTCACTATCACGCGGCTCTATAAACCGCAGTACTATATTAATGTAGCAATATTATTTGTCTTCTGTTGTTTTCGTCGCAATGTGTGGCTGATGGGAGTATTATGGGCGCTCCCTTGATTCCACGGCGGGTGTAACTCGTTTTCATCCCATGCTGGTGCTCACAACGAACCGAGAGCACCATTGAATATGTTTTTAATGTTGACTTGAGTCAGGATTTACTGTCTTAGGTCATTTGTGGCCTTCTTGGCTTTCTTTTCATCGCACGTGTGTCTCCACAACTCCAGGGCCGTTTCAAGATGGTAAGCTGCTCGATACGATTCTGCGTCCGCGCAGCGATGTGTGTAGACGATGTATTAACGTAACTTTGCAGTTTTCTATGTTCTTCGGGCAGCCGTGCTCCCTGGAGGTGGAGATAGACTCGAATCCCAGCCGTCCCTTGGTGTTCGTGGACCCGCAGCAGAAGACGGACAAATGCCCTGTCTTCTCGGTAGGTCACGTGTGTCAATGTGTGTGATTGGGATTGCAGGATGGCGAGGAGATCAGCGGCACTGCCGTGATCAGCCTAAATCCCGGGAAGCAGTTCGACCACCAGGGCATCAAGGTCGAGCTTGTCGGTCAGAGCGGTTCGTGTCTTCACACTTTGATGTTACATCATCGCTGTGCAGACACCCTGTACAACAAAACGGGGACGTATGATTTCTTCACGATGTCACGTGACATTGAAGCCTCAGGTTGGTGCCTTCGATCAGTTTTGCCTAATCGCCCTCAGGCACCGTAATCGAGAGTAAGAGCTACAGGTGGAAGTTCCCGTTGGTGGGAATTGAGAACGAGACCTACTGGGGTGTGAACATCCGCATGTACTACTTCGTGCGCATCACCGTTGTTAAGCCGTACGGCGGGTATGTGACAGCGGATTCGAAGTTCATTGATTTGCAGCAACATTTGCAAGGATGCCATGTTTGTCGTTCAGAACGTGGGGATTCCCCCTCAGATCAACAACACGATAAAGATGGAGGTCGGCATTGAGGACGCGCTGCATATCGAGTTTGAGTACAACAAATCGGCGTACCACATGCGCGACGTCATCCTCGGAAAGGTAGTGCATTATTCGGTACCTTCATTCGTGATTAGGTGTACTTTTTACTGGTGGCTCTTAGCATCAAGTACATGGAGGTTGCCATTCAGCGTGTGGAGACCATCACGCTAGGTTTGTTGTGTCCACTGTCATGGACATCTTTCGTAGGCCGTTCCGTTGTGAACGAGACGCAGACTGTCACTACTTTTGAGGTCATGGACGGGTCTCCCGTGAAGGGGGAATGCATTCCCGTGCGCATATATCTTACGGGGCTCGACCTGTGCCCCACCTACAAGAACGTGCAGAACAAGCTCACTGTCAAGCACTACATCAACCTGTTGATAGTGGACGAGGACGACCGGCGTTACTTCAAGAAGCAGGAGATCGAGTTTTGGCGCGATCGTCTGGGCTGAGTCCCAACCGTTTGCTGCGAAGGTGCCGACGGCGTTACGTTCGCGCTGTCAGGCCCTGGTAACAAGCATTCGTAATGTTATCGTAATTTAGTGGATTATTTGCTTCTGAAAATGACAAGGATGCTTCTTTCTCGTTTTGTTCCATTTTTAGAGAAGGCAGAATCGCTGCATGCCCTCGATACTGTTGGGACCAACCGTCATCGCGATTTTGATACCCCTCTTATCTGCAGACCTGTTATTGTGTCACAAAATGTGTTACAGAGCATCCATAATCTGCGTGACCAACGCTTTTAGGGCGCAGCAATATTACGAATATTTCCTTCCTGTGCAATTTCGTGGAAATTTCTTCCGCAAACTTTCCTCCTTCCCTATTCGCAGTGTCTGCAACCTAACACACACTGCAAGTGTCTTAGTGGGTTGAAATGTTATAAATCGGCATTTCAGGCCTTCTCTTATTCACATGTTACGGGTGGTGTGATTGACGAAGTATTTAAACATACGCTATGTATCACGCGTATTTCGGTTCCTTGTTGCCGCACACATAACTCAACTACATCGCTGTGTCGCCTCATCATTGCAAGCAACTTTGTATTGCACCGGGCGTCCGTGGAGATATGTTTTGGGCAGACACTGCACATTCAGACCGATGAGAAGCTGAGTGTGAATACAGTACACGGCAACTAAAAAGTCCAACATTCTAATGGAGATGCTGGAGCATCTGTTTGAGGAGTTCGAGCGCTGCTTCGACGAGATAGACAGCAGCAAGCAACTTCTCTCCACCGGTATGTACTATAACGGGAATGCTGGGCATGCTACTATATTTGGGCTCCCACCAAGATTTTCATAGTCGATATGTCTCACCAGTGTGCAGTGTTATGCCAAAGCAATGCGCTGTATCTACGCCATGGGTTGCTGCATGGCGACATCAAGTGCCTGCGGTATGTTGTGTTGTCACAAAGACTAAAGATCGTTTCTACAGCAAGGATGTTGTGGATCAACTTTTGATCTTTAACGAAATCAAAGAGCAAGCTGAAGACTTGTGGAACGATGTTGAAACGTTAAAGATTCAAAATGAGGCATTGGAGCGTGCGGTGGCAGAGAAGTCGGAGGTACTCCAGACTAAAACTCAATGTTTGTTACGCCTTCCACCCTGCCTAAAACACAATGTAGCATTGAAGGCGACACGTGAGAAGTATGACAACACAGTTGGTGCACTTAGGGATGCCCAGCGTCGCTGTAACATGAAGCTGCTGACATTACAAGAGGCGGAAGAAGTTAGTAGTTACGCATTGTCAATAATCACCGTACAGGCAGCTTCCAACGCTCATGCAACGTTGTCTACTATGCTGCACACTTTGTGCAATTTCAAGGTAGTTTAACGTTTTATCTATATCCATGGCAAACCAGAAGCGCATGCAAGAACAATTGGCGACCCAACGCAATGAGCTAGGCAAATGTGGAGAGGAAACGGTTAGTTGTAATGATCGGTGTGTTTCAGAAGTCTCAGGAGTTGAGGCGGTCTGAGATAAGCGCCACGTTGCACTTAGTAGAAGGGGTCAACTCTGAGCTATCAGTGACCTTGGAGGAGCTGCGCTCCGTGGAGCATGAAAAGCATGAATTGGAGCGGCTAATAGCAGCACAAAAATGCGATCTCAGTGCCCAGTGCGCGGGGTGTGTTGAGGCCGTCGAAAGCAATACACGATGACACTCAGGTTTGAGAAGTTGAGGTGTACGGAATCATTGTACCGGAGCGAATTGTCCGAGTTATCGCACCAGTTGATGGAAATACACGATTGCATCAAACAACACTCCACAACGTTGAGCGAGCTGGAGCGCGAAGAGTCGCGTCTGCTAGCATTGCGCGGGACGTTGATGTCTGAAGCCGCTGACCTGCAGCGCGTACTGGTGAGCTGTCGCAATCAGCTACCAACTATTCAATCCCACTACAGCAAACAACTTCAGACCATTTAAGCGAGCTCGAGAATCATCTGTTAGCGACCAACGAGGAGTCTAGCCACGTTTCGACTTGTATAAACGATTCTTCGAAGCTGCGGAGCAATTGGGAACGTGAAGTCACGACTGTTCGGGAGCAAGCTACACAGTGCACCAATCTCCTAGGCAATATCGCAAGCACCGCAGAAGAGATCGATGAACTCCAGCGCAAGATATCAGCCCTGGAGAACGAGGTGAGGTCCTAGCTGCATGTAGTGGATGAATAATTTCCTCAGAACACCGGCCTGCTGGATGAGATGTCCACATGGTCAACCAAGAATGGTACATTGGAGGTTAGTTGGGATAGTGCCCGACTACTTGTTTTATAACCCTGTCGCAGCAAGAGATTAGTCGTGTGCAATGTGCCCTTCGTTCCTTGGAGGAGTCTAAGTCGTCGCTGAAAGAATCGCTGGAGTCCGAAACGAAGCGGTCAAGTCAATTGTGCGATGAAGTCGACGAGTTGAACAAGGTGGGCGTTTTAGCGGGTGACGTATCTCTGATCAGGGCATCACCCAATCACGCATTCTGCTGGGCGAGTTGAACAAGAAGTACTCGTCGTAAGTCATCATGCACCTCACAGCTAACCACGCCCAGGGAACAACAGGAGCGTAACGCACGTTTGTCGGAGCTGAAACAGGTAGGCTGTGTTGCGCTGTGTGTTGTGACCCCTGCCAGCGCCACCTGGACGAGTACAAGGAAAAGCAGAGCGTCAAGATTTGCGACCTCAAGTCGGCTCTGAAGAGCGAACGAGCGTCCGTGATTCAGGTTCGCACGTTCATTGAGATCCGCGGCTGAAATGTCATGTAGAGCAAGAAAGACAACATCGCAAAAGCTCTGGAGGAGCGTGCTGCGCAGCTGCGTAACAAGTCAGCTGAACAGGAATGCTCACACCAACGGAAGCTGTGTGAAGAAGCACGCATAGTATCGCTGCTACAGGCCGAGTTGCGAACTTTTTGCGGCGAATCCCGCTAATGTGTAATGTGTGTCGTCACACCCTGTGTCTGCGTCACGGCAGCCCTATGTGCACGTTGCCAGCGACTCCAGAGTCATAATGAGTGAATCGTCTGAAATGGATTAACGATGGGTTACTATAGGTGGGCAAACACCTTCGAGGGTCTCCTGTACCACGTCCACATCTTGGCTGCCTTGAGTGAAACGCTCAAGTATATGCTGGAAGGCTCTTACATCAGCAAGAACACCGCAGACAATATAATGCGCGAAGCAGCAGCAGTAGGTTTACGTTGATGGTATATTTGGCAGCTGTCCCTCCCGGCTGCTTTTGCCCGTCGATTCCTTCTGATGCGTTGCAGGAGTACCACCGCGTGCTGCAAAAGGGCCTCGTCAAGCTGTCGGGCCACTACATAGTAGGCCGCTTACATCAATATCACCATACCGAACAAGCGTGGCATATAACCATCCACAACCCCATTATATGTATAGGCCAGGAGCGTCAAGATTTTTCCTGTTGGTTTTAGTTTTCCATATTGCTTCTTTTCGGTTTACATCCTCATCTCACTGTTTTGTGTACATATATAGATTCCGTAGTATGCTTACACGCTTTTTAGACAAGCGCGACCCTCCAGAAGTAAACGAGGAGTACAGTGTCAACGATCCAGCGGTGGGTTGGATGCTGCGCAATTACATCTGGCACAGCCTATTACGAGCGACCAATCGCTATCTGACACCAATGTAGCGTTCTTATACGACGGATTCTTGAAGATAATGGCGGTCTTTCCGCACGACGAAGAAGAGTTCGACTGACACAGCGACAAGCCGTGATCACTGCTTGCCCTTTCAAACCGGCATTGGATTGCCGGCGTTGTTTAACCGTACTCGCATTACGCACCCCCCCTATGTAGTATTGTTTTTCCTTACGTCTACATATTTCGCTGTACCCTATACCAACGTGAGGTGGGGGGATGTTACTACGATTAATTTGTTAATTTCCCGAAACAGAATGCGAGTTATCAACCGAAAATCGTGGCCCCCGGCAGGCGTCAGTAGTCTAACGGTTATGATATCTGCCTTCCAAGCAGATGACCCGGGTTCGACTCCCGGCTGACGCATATTTTTTTGTGCCCAATGTTATTTTTATCACTCAACGCAGCCTTCACTAAGCCATATTACAACCTTATGACTGCCTTAGTGTACTACATATTTGTATACAATTACTGTGTGTTTCTATGGGTGATGCGCCCATCGATGAGATCCTTGGCATCGCACGGGTGCATGTAACACAGCTTGATGGTGTCCATCATCTTCTTGGTGAGCGGCGCCAGCTTGATCTTGTGCATGGATTCGGTGGCCTCGACCACCGCGTCCGCGTTTGACTCGTACAGAAGCAGCCAGGTGGCCTGCAGTTGCTGTGTTGCGCGCCGCGCGGCACCTACCACCGAGGCGATGTAGAGCAATGTTATACATGTGGACGGCAGGACTTCCTGACAGTTTAGGAAGACTCCCGACATCGCGAACTGCGTGAGGGAGATGCATATGAGCATTGACTTGACGGCCGATGCTGCGATTTTACCGGTGGAGTCCAGTGGCAGCTGCAGGACGTCGTATGCGATATTGTGCCTGTCGACGCAGTATCTGACGGCGAAGTAGAGCGTCCCTAGTAGGAGCAGATACGGAATGAACAGGCTGCATTGCGAATGTTGGTTTACTGTTGCAGTCCTACCTGAAGAGCATCACCAGCGTCAAGATCGACAGGTGGAAGGCGTACCAATACCCCAAGTCGAAGTTGGTTATCCCACTGTCGAATTTGAAGAAGTATATACACATAGATCGCACTGAATTCGTGTCATAATGCAGCATTTTTTGGCTTACTGCTCAGCTGCGACAGTTGGAGTAGCTGGTTACTGGATCCGAGGAGCGTGGCGTTGATGACGTAGATGGTGGAGAACCGCCACGTGGTGTTGACGAGGACGGTTCCCAGCTCCAACGACAGCGAGTCGAAGGCCCCGTCGAAAATTTTCTGCACAATGTCCATTGTTGCGTTTCGTAGCTTACCCAAAAGGCGATCATCGACGCCACCAGCGGTATCAGTATGGTACCGATCACCAGATAGAACACGTGTCCAAACAGTAGGTACTTCTGGTGCGCAGTTTGTGTCCAGAATCCTGTGGTGGAATGATTAATTCTTTAAATGACCACATACCTACTTGCCTCGACATGAGGTTTATCATGGTAGGGTGCACGAACGAGTTGAGCCCGGCCATAATAATGGGTGGCATGATAGAACTCCAGAACGAGCGCTCGGTTAGATCGTTGATGCTGAATGATCTCTCCGGATTTCCTGCGCGGTGTCAAGTCGGGGTCGATGTTTGCTTACTGTCGTCCTTGCTCTTGACGGTATGCAGCAGGTTGAGGTGCGAGAGTATCCAGGTGATGACGATGTAGAAAATCGTCAGCAGGAGGTTACAAACCACCATTCTGGTTGCCACGTACCATCTGGGCAGGTGTAAATTCTGCCAGATGATATCCCTCGGGTGCGGTGCTGGTACGATTCGCCACGTGGGCATCCCCTCGAGCAGGTTCCTGTCCTTGAGAATATGCAGCACGACGTTCGAATCAGCGAACGACACGAAGCAGATTCTGGCGGAGGTGGTGTGCTCCCGGTTGAACTCTTCCTCGATGCGCGCCTTCAGTTCCCTCACTTTCTTCAGGAGGCCCGCGAACCTCTCTCCCAAATCCTCGAAATCTTCCGAGTCGCTCGCGTCCTGCAGCTCAGTGTCATTTTTGCCCAGCATTCGAGTGACGTAGCGCGTGATCCCCTTCGGTATCGCCAGCGAGGGTTTTTTCGGCTCCGGCTTCGCAGGTTTAGGGAGCGACAGCAGGTTGGTTGAGGACGCGCAATTCCTAGGCGTACCTCCCTGAGTGGTTGACGATGCACAGTTCCTAAGCGGTCCGTACTGGCTGGCAGCACCCTTCATGTCCGCTTCTGGGAGCATCCCACACGACCTCGACCTCCGAGGTTTCCTGGGGGCCGCGTCGGCGTCACCGCGCCTGGCAACCGCCTCCTTTCCACTGCTACTGGTCACCGCCGAACGCTTGTCTGTCTGCCGCGACTTATCGACCAGCAGCGACATGTCTCTGCACAGGCAGAGCTGCGCCTTGGTGGCCTTCAGCTCCTCCTCGAGCGCCATGCGCTTGCTGTGGTTGAAGACCAAGTGTACCGATAGCACATGCTCCGGGAAGTACTTCTCGAAATAGCGATAGAACCGCGTCGGATCGGTGATGTTCTTGTCGAAGCCGAATATCATGATGGTGTGCAGCTGCGGCCGCAGCATGACGGTGATCTGCTTGCCCTTGTTGACCTTCTGCTTGAACTTGAGGATGTGCACGTACACGATGATCGAGTATATCCACGTCGTGGCATAGAGCGTCCAGACCGTGACTTTGCACGTACGCAGATCTTCTATGGAGTAGGTGAGCAGAAAGTGAGGTTTGTTGTTCACGGTAAGATGGGTGAAGATGACGATGTTGGACACAATGGCCACCACGGAGCAGATGAGCAGCATGATGCACGTGCTTCGCATGAAGCCGAGGTACAGCACCGCCTCATTGTTCCGGATCTTGTTGTGCTTCCCGTGATAGAGGTAGTACCACCAGGTGTCCTTGCGCTTCTGTCTGGTCGTGGTCTTCTCTCCTTCCGTCGAGGTCTTCCGTTTCTTCCGTTCGATGTACATCGACGCCGCTGCCGACTTGCCGTAACTCGAACTTTCCCCCTCATTGTTGGCCGAATTGCTGTCGTCATTTTCCGCGTCTGTGCCTGCAGGCGAATTAGAGCTCGAAACTAAAGGGCAACGTCGGCGATCCTCATCGCTCGGGGAACCACCTACCGCTACTGCTGCTGTCGTAACTGCTTTGGTAGGTGACTCTGTACTTCACATCGTCAATCGTGACGCGCCTGTTGTCAGCCTGGGTCTGTTCCTGCTGCTTCCTCCGGTTCAGGAAGTGCAGCCCTTGCAGGCTGTTCTGGATCAGCAGGATGATTTTGGTCCTTTTGCTACACCACAGCACCACGCTGGCCACGAACACGGTGATATCTATGGATATGATGATAATGAAGTTCCTCAGGGCGCGCTCCATGGTTGCGGTCGTTCGGGCGCTGGCGGCGTAAGGGCGGCCATACGTGCCGCTGTGCTTCGGTTCATGCGGCGTCAGTTGCCGCCGATGTCGGCATTTTGGCGTAAGGGCAACTTCGTGTGATTTCGCCCAATGTGTGTCTGCACATTCCACGCCCCGCGGGCCGCGGCCAGTTGGGCAGTGGACTCGATACTTATTCGCAACGCCCTCTCCTAGGTGCGGTGCACGGCGGATCCTGCGCTAGTCGGACTACGTCTGTCGCACGTGAAAGCGCGCGCGTGTTCGGTTGGTGGCCTGCTCTGGTCGTCGCGGTTCGGCGACGACCGGTAGCATCGGAATTCCGCGGCGAAGCTATCGGCAATCGTGACGATGTGCTGCAGTGCGTACGATGAGCAACAGGGTTCTGAAGGACTACGTGCGGCTCCATCTGCAGCAGGTCGAGGCTGCCGACGCAGTCGCCAATACCGTTGGCAACTTCCCGGCGCTCAACGAAAACCAAGCCAAGATTCCCAAAGAGCCTGTGGCGTGGTGCCGTAGCTTGGAGCGATGCTTGGCGTACACGTTCGAGTCCTACTGCAAGCTCGTGCTGTCCACGGCGATGCAGCGTGCGCACGCCTCGCACAGCACCGAGATAACACACGAGATCGTCGAGCAAACGATAGACCTGCTGTTTCCCCTGCCGCATACGGATATCGCAACGTCTAAGGACAAGCGCCCCCACGACTTCGAACGCTGTCTGCGCCGGTACCGCGAGTACTTCGCGTGGTACCAACGGCAGGGGCATCACATTTACAACACCACCGGGAAGCGCATGAGTAACCTGAGCCTCCACCGACTACAGTGGCGGCTTAGGGCCGCGGCAGCCAACCACGCGACTGATGCGCAAGAAGCTGTGGAGGGGCGGTACGTATACTCGGCGCCGCAGCACACGACCCCGCACATACCGTTAGATCAAGTGTTCGAGAGATATGTGCCAGATTCACATGAACCCGGCGAGCTCAGTGTGGAATACGGAAGCACTCATGGCCTCCTCTATGGAGGGCCGCATGTTGGGTTCGAAAGCGAGGAATCTTGAAATTAGATCCTGCCCATCATGAATGTGATGTGCTGTCCGCTTACCCTGCAGTCCTCCGACACCCGGTCGTTCGGCGGGAACTTGACGCCACTTAGTATGGCCTGGTACATCCTCTCTGTAATGCAGTATAAGGGCTGTTGCATGTACTGTTGCGTACCCGAAAGTGACCTCCTGCCGCCGATGAAACCGAACGGGCGCGCGTTGTACAGCATCTCGTAGAGAATGCAGCCGACCGCCCAGATGTCGATTTTGTCGGTGAGCACGATCTGTTTGTTCCTGAAGTTGGCGAGCAGGCACTCGGGCGGCTGGTAGAAGATTGTGCCACCGCCGCCCCAGAGTTCCCTGGTGGACTCGTGCGGCACCATCTGCGGTGTGCGTAAATTTTGTACATGATATGCCCACCTTTGAGAGGCCGAAATCAGCTAATTTAACGTCACCCCGGTGCTTGAGGATGTTGCCTGGCTTGAGATCGCAGTGGTGCACCCGCCCCTCGGGCAGCGTCTTCATGTAGTGCAGCCCCTCCAGGATCTGGTAGGTCCAGGTGATCGCGAGCTTCTCCGGCACCGGCGCGTGCAGCTTGATGTAGTGGTCGAGGTCGCCGTCGTCGCAAAGCTCGAGGATCGTGGCGAGCATGTTGTCGCCCATCTCGAAGCATGCCTTCATATTGACGATGTTTTTGTGCGATCGGCACGTTTTGTGTATGTCTATCTCGTTCTTGACCCTCATGACGACATTCCCGCGCTCGATAGGGTTCATGTCGACGGAGAGTATGTGTAGCTTGGCCGCCTGAACGGTGAGGGTGATGGGGTCCAGCACCTCCCAGACCTCGGCGAACCCGCCCTTTCCCAGCATGTTCAGCAGCCTGTAACCTCTCTTCAGTGGAGGGAATCCAGCCCACTTCGAATTACGTTCGGCCCAGTCGCGCTTCAGTTTCTTGTACAGGGCGCACCTGCCGTTATCCAGCTTCCTTTTCAGTTCACACAGTTCGTTGTTTGCATCGATGATCTGCTGCAATATCGCCGCATCCATGTCCTTGCTGCGGTTCTTTGACCTTAGTGCACAGATCCCGCCCTGCAGGACCTTCATGAGCTTTATTTCAGCGTACGAGCAGGTAGTGTACAGCGTGCCGTCCCTGAAATTATCCTGGCTTGGAGGCACCGTATGTCGGCAGTTGTCGGTTTCGTCGAGCCAGTTGAGTGATGGCGGCAGCGTGCTGAAGCCGAGCACGCTGCCGCCGTCATCGAAGAGCAGCGAATTCAGCTCGTTAAGCAGCGCTCGATAGCCCTCAAGCTCGCCTCTTTCCTCCATTTTACTATATATCCTTTTGTTAACGTGGCCCACAGAGCTCAATCTGTTCGCGAAAGGCGTGTAATGATCCCTGGTGCTGTTGGAGTTGCATTGGAACGAGGGAGTGAAGGGTGCACCCTGTAGGGACCCCAATGCAATGCCTGACGAGGGTTGTTGCCTGGCATTGTCGATCGAGTCTGTGATGGACCTCTCACTGAGTCTCCGCGTAGGCGTGAGGATTTCTTCCCTCTGTCGGGCCCGTGCCGATGGTATGCACGAGGAGACAACTTGGATCGAGCGGTTTTGCGCGCTGGTTGCCACATCCCATGCACTCGACGATGCGATTTGAGCGCTGGTTACCGTCTTTTCCCTCGGAGGTGTGTCGCAGGAGAAGTCTTGCCTGGATGGCGGCGCGGTGCCGGCAGAGGCCGCGCCGTCATTCCCGCCCTGCGTGCCCACTGCCTGTTGGGTCTGCCCCTCTTGTGACGACAGATCAACCTCACAGTTGGCGTTGGCTTCCATCTGCGTCATGCGTTCCTCTGGCTGGCTTTCCTGCTCCTGGTCCCTATCACCCTCTCCGGTCGCAGGTCCAGAGGCTGGGGCCGTCGTTTTGCAGTCCTCTATGTCGTACTGTTGCTGAGTCATGTTGGCGGCGTTCACTGCCGTATCGTCAGTGACATCGTGCGAGGCTGTTGAACGTCCCTCTGGCTGGACTTCATTGGGCTGCAGCGCTTCGGAGCTGGTGCCCAGATCGCCGGCAGTCTGCTGGGCGACCTGGTCACGAATATGCCTCGTCAGCTCTTCGCACCTTTTTTGGCACTGGAGGTACAGCGCGTACATCTTTTTGCACCTGTTCCTGTTGTTCTGGTTTTCACGTTCGATTTCCGCAATGAAGTCCTTCCTGCCGTAGAGGCGTTCTTCCGTGACGAGTTCGCGCTCGCGCATTTTCCGTTCGCAGTCCTTGGATTCGGCGAGTATCTCGAAGAAGTACCGCGATGTGGCCGCCACCTTCCTCTTGAGTACGTTGTTGCCCTCTTGACTCTCGTAGAGGAATTCGTGGTAGGCGCCGAGTACGTCACTTAGTGCCTTGCAGTAAACCGGGCCCGACTTGATCCAGTTCCGAACCATGGCGTCTTTGGGCTCGGCTGTAACCTGTCTCTTCTGTGATCGCGTGCCCTGGAGAAGCCGTTGGGCGGCTTCGTTTCCCTCGGCGCTGGCACTGGCGTTCTCTTTCAGGGTGGCATCCTCACGCCCCTTGAACCTAGAGGCGTAAAATCTATAGAGGCAATCGTTAATGGCGTTGCGCTTCCACTGCTTGGAGAACAGGTTGTGCCTGCGGCGTTTGACGTGTTCCTGCGGAGATGTCGATTTTGGCAGTGTGAAGCTCACCTGTGAGAATATCGAGTCCTTTTCTGGTGCGGAGACGAGCAGGTCCCTGTCCTGGCCATCGAGTACCCTTTTCACTGTCTGCGCAAGCTGCTCGTCTAGCCGCGATATGGTGCTCGCTTTGCCCTGCTCGTCGCTCAGTCCGCAGTAGGGGACTAGCGTCCTGCGCGGCGTCCTCACCAACTTCGGCAGCAAGGGGTAGACCATGTCGGCGACGGAGTCGTCTTCCACCCCCGAATTGTGTTTGTACGGGTAGTCAGCCGGCACTACGAAGAGCTCTCGCTTGTCATGGACGTTGACGAACACAAGTGCCGTGCTCTGGCTTTCTTCCTGCCTCTGCGGCGTAACCCCGTAGACATCGCCGACCTTGGAATCCGCATTGCTGCTCAATTGCACCGGCATAGAGTCGCTGCGTCCACCCGTATGTACACCGCTACTGCCCGGGGAACGCATAACGCTCGGCTGTCGAACGTGTTTAGGTGTCTTGACGCCGTCGCCATCCGCAGACGGAATATCACGCCCGTTATACATATCCATTGATGCGTATCCTATTGTTACAAACTGTCCATACGTGAAAACTTGCGGCCGTCGTTGTCATACAAGTCACGCCGTCAACGACATCTGCAAAAGGCCGGTCAGCTGCCACGAAACTACGATCGCGCTATCCACAAAATTAGTGAATTGATCGTATTGCGATAATATAGTTACCGGTGACCGAAGTCTCGCTTAAACACCCGACCTTCCACTGCTCTGTGTGTCGGAGTAGACATGCGACACGCACCCGTGAAGAGACGGGTTAGCGCAGATTCTGCGGGGCATATCGTTCTCTAAAAAGAAGTTTGTATATCGGGAAGCCTGCTGTGGCGTCGTCATCACTGCAGTTGAGACACGGATCAGCTGCAGTATTGGCGATGCAGGTCGAGGAGCCGGCCGTGCTTTGGGTGTCCACATCCATCTTCTACGGCCATTCGCTATCTTTTAGCTGTCTTGTAGCGGATTCTGTTTGTAAGCAGTTGCTACATTGTCCCATGTAGGCATATGAGCGTCCGTGTTAGCAGCGGCTTTCCCGCAACGCGTCTTTTTTGGTTGATCCACGCAGCAGTTGCGCTCTGTCTCATCATTCGCGCGGATACATGCAGCTGCGTATTTGTGGGTCGAGTTAATGGGCGGAATGCAGCCTTCGTGGCGCCGCAGCCGCGCCCGGCAACCCGGCGGAGCATCCCGCTGATGGGAGCGATTGCTGGGATACAGGTACGCTGATAGCAGTTTTGGTTATTCCCGTAAATGTTGCATTTTTGTCCGCGTTACTACTTGTACTTTTTGGAAACACACTAATCTCGCTCAGCCAAGTGGCGACCTCCATATCGGAAACTATATCGGTTGCATCCACCCCGCCGTGCAGTACCAAAACGATGGCGGGCAGCTTATCTTCATGATCGCCGACCTGCATGCTACGACAGGTACTATTTGCACTGCTGTTATCAATTGGTTCAGGCGATGAGCCTATCGTCGATTTGCGTGACCGCTCCCTCAGCACGGTGGCCACCCTGTTGGCCTGCGGTGTTGACCCAGAGAAGGCCAGCGTAATCCTTCAGAGCCAATTCCCCGAAATTTTGGAGCTGAATTGGATTTTAGGCACTGCAGTTTCACTGGGTAGGTGGGCCTTTAAATTCCACTCGCTATGCCTCGTTTAGGACGTTTGAGGAAGCGTGCCAACTTCGCGAAACGCTTGGTGGCGCAGGAGTCTGATTCCATCGGGCAGTGTCTCTACCCCCTGCTGGTAGGTACAGTGTACATTCTCAACTGCTGTGCTGTCGCTCGTATATTCCTTCAACGTACGCAGATGGCCGCGGACGTGCTGTGCAGCGACAGCGACACCATCATAGCCGGGGATGACCAGGCATGCCACATCGGTCTAATCCGAGAAGTCGCGAACAAGCTGAATCGGAGAATATCGCAGCCAGTTGTAAAGGTGCCCAGGCGGCACCGAAATGGCGGATTTAGGTTGGTTGATGGGTTATTGTGCGGACCTGTTTCAGGGTGCTTTCGCTGGACGGTGCCGACAAGATGTCGAAGTCGAACAGCAAGGAGTCATCGCGCATACACCTGACTGATGACGACGAGACTATTTTAACGAAGCTGCGGGCAGCCAAGACCACTAGTGACAACGGTAATGATCGGGTTGAGGAAATTGACGTGATGCAGACCAAGCTGCTCCAGAGATTACGAATTTAATCAAACTGCTACGTTTCTTCTCCGGGGAACCGGTAGATGAATCTGATAGTGGATACTCGGAGATACAGTACAGCGAACTCAAGAGTCAGCTGCACGAGGCGATCTCGTCGTACCTACAGCCCATCCGAACGTAAGCTTCCGTGGACAACTGCCCATATCATCTTGCGCAGCCGCTACCTTGAGCTCATGCAGAACGAGGCTATGCTGAAGGAGGTGCTGCAGTTGGGTAGACATCGGCAGCAACCTGTGTTCTCGTCGGCGATTGAGGTAAAGCACGTGGGTGCGGCATTCACGATTTTCAGCGCGTCAAGCGAGCTAGCAACTATTATGTCACGTAAATTAAATACAGTGTCACTTATTCATGAGCCTAGACAGTAGCCTGTATTTTAGCGATAACTCAACCGGATTTTGTGGCGGCTGCTCCCGAGGGGGTACGGGCACAGGGTCTGACGGCCGCGCCACGATGAGCCTGGGGTGCAGAAGGCACCTCCGCTCCGGCGGCCCGGCATCCGCTTGCTCGGCTATGACCCTTCCGAATCCGGCAAGGTCGCCGTCGAGCAGAAGCCTCTTGAGTCTCTCCAGATCTGTGTTGTGCTGTCGGTACAGCTCCATGATCTTCTCAGCCTCCGCGACGCTGACTATGCGCGACACTGCATAGGCTGATTTCTGCGATCTTTCGGCCGCGCCGCTGCCCCCCGATTCGCCGCCTGCATGGCGTTGCGATTTGGAGCCAGCTGGTTCCGAAGCGTTTCTCCTGGAGCCGCCGGACGCCGCCCGACTCGATGACCTTGCGCCGCCCCTTGGGGTTTTAGCCACCGGCTGCGGCTGAGGCTGCGGGTCCGGTTCCTGTACTTGTGCGGCAGCAGCGCCCTTCTTCCGCTTTACCGTGGTTCTGGTGGACGTACGAGTCCGTGTGGCCTTGGGGACTGGCGGGGGCTCCGGGTAGACGTCCTCGGCAACGGCGCTTTCAGGCGTCACGGCTTCCGAAGCAGGTGCTGCGTCACTCAACGGCGTTGACGCCGCTGGTGTCGCCGCCGGAGTTGGGGCTTTTCTCTTCTTGGTCTTCTTCTTGGTGGTGGTTTTCTTGTTCGATGTATCTTCGACAACCGGTAGAGGGTCTTCCGGGACGTAACCCTCGTCCCCATTTCCCTTGGACACCGGCTCGTCGTCCATCACAACGTCCTTGACCACGGCGTCGATCTCCATGTCCTCCTCGTTGAGTATAATATCCATTTGACCGGCGCCTAGCTGATAGTCCTGTTGTACATGCTGATAAGCGGGTTCCTGCTTAACTTTTGGCGATACCTCCTTTACCACCTTAGGCGATTCGCGCGATTTGCCTTTGCCTGCGGCATTCTCCCGTTGCCGTTCTGCCTTAACTGGCCCCGCAGTGACGCTTTTGTCAACATTTGAGCTGCTGGGGGAGACCGCTGTGGGGGACTGGGCACCGCTACGCTCCGAAACAGTATCCGACGGTATCACCGCCTTTATTTGGAATGCCGATGGCAAGCGATACTCTCTGTGGCGGTACACGGGCGTAAGTGAGAAGTCAAGTCCGCCCGGGACCGCCGCCTCAAAGGAGTCGCGTTTTAGCTCCGCGCCGACCGACGGTAGAATATCCTTGGTGAGTTCCGATTTTGCTCTCGATATCTTGGCATCTTCGGCGACGTGTGAATTAACCTGTACCAGCGGCGCGGAGAAACGGCTGACTCGTAGCAGCCTAGACTCATCGCTTAACTTAGCCTGAGTTGCATAGGTTTCACTATGGTATGACATCCGCGGTATCTTAATATCCGATGAGTCGCGGCGGCTAATAGAGCTGCCGTTCGTAATCAACGGCTCACCGCTGCCCTTCTTCGACGATTCGCCGTCCGTGGAGCTTTCGACGGAGGATGTCGCACGCGTTTCAGAGTCGAAACCGGTGGAGTGGCTCTTCCGGTCGGTGTCCTTCACAACGCTTTGGCGTAAGTCAAACGTGGGAACCAGCCACTGTCGCTGGGAAGCCGATAGACCCGTGGAGCTGTTGGCAATCTGGTCGATTCCGAGCAGCCTTGATATTTTGGTCCCTGCGATGTCTGTCATGCTGTTAATGGACGGTGACAGAGATTGGGAAGAGCCATCCTCCCGCCCATACAAAGGGCTGCGCGACATGCTGCCGCTGGATTCGCTAGATCCGGACATCTTACGGCCGAACTCTTGCTTGGATCCACTCTCCGAGATTGGCGAGCGATGAGCTCCCGGCCCTCGGTAGGCTTGTGTTTTTATTTTTATGGATATAGCTTCCCGCTTTGCGATCGTGGCCTGCTGCTTTACAGGCTGTTCTAGAGGTATTTGGTGGGATACAGAGCCGCCATCTTCTGCCTTCGTGGTCTTCTCAGCTCTTTCAGTTCTCTGAGGGGTGTACATTCCGTGTCCGTGGTCCGCAGCAGCAGCTGCGGGCTGAGTTGTCGGCTTCTTCGATGATCCGCTCTTCGACCCCTTAGACGTGCTTTTTGTAGACGTGGAAACATCGCCCTCGTCCCTGTTCCGGTGCTCCAAGGAGCTCCCGGACGAGGAGTGTGCGCTGTTGCTCGAGCCCTTCTTCGATTTGTCCTGGCTGTCCAGCTTCGAGAACATGTGCTCGTAGTACATTATTTTTCGCATTTCCCGCGAGCTGGAGATGGGGTTGAAGTCCTCCTGTTTGGTCGACTCGTTGAGGAGCTCGGAGGAGCCATAGGGGCCGCGACGCTGCGCCCTATGGAAACCGTTCGCGGGATACCCAGCAGCGTCCTTCATGGTGACCACACACGAAGGCGAAGTTTACAAACGTTCAGCTGCTATGCCGCTCGGCCTGGAGCGCCCATCTCACATATGGGAGCTGACGCACTCGTGCTATGGAGCCTGCCGTCGGCGAGCCCGTTGCCCTAGACAGAGCATCCCACCCGGGGAAGGGTACCGATGCGCAGCTTTTACGCAAGTAGGATCGTTTCGACGACGTCCTCCCACTCGCACTGCCAACCGCCCGGTCGAACATCCGCGGGCGTTCGCGAAACGACCACGGAACAGCGAGAGCACCAATTACAGCGATCGTTCTGTCCGCGGCAAAACCGTCGGCTAAAAAAGTGATCAGCAGCGGGTGGCGCCGCGCGAAGTCCCCCTCACAACGGGTCTCCTGCCACACCACCGTGGGTCGTAACACCTCACGAACGCATGGGTTTTCACGCAATGCGCGCCGTGTGTGTTTCGCACTTTTGTCAGTAGCTTATCGACACGATGCGCGTGCCTGCGTGCGGACGGGCAATCAACGACGGCCCGGTCGGCGGCGCCCGGCGCGGCTGCCTTTGCCTGCCGCCCCCTTGTTGGGTGGATTCCGCTGTTTGACGCCCCGCTTGCCGAATTTTTTCGGCGCATGTGGTGCGGACTCTTGCTCCCTTTCGGTCTCACGGCCCGCGCGCAGCTTCGTCTCTATAAGTTCTTTCTTGGATGCAGCACGCTTTTCTCGTTTGGTCCGGAACCACATGCGCTTTTCTGCCCACCGTTGAGTCTGTGTTTTGCCCAAATTACCTTCTTTCCCCTGCTCCTTGCCGTACTTTATGACGTTTTCGCACCTGCGCATCTCCTTCTCGACTTGCTCTCCCATGAGCACCTCCTTTATCTTGTCCTCGAGGTCGTCGATTTTGCGCTTGTAGTTCTTGAGTGCGGCTGCGGAAAGCTTTATCTTGTGCTTTTCCAGGTCGGAGCCTTCGGCGGCGACGCGCTTCATCATGCTTTTGACAGCCGATCGTTCGCTTTCCACGTAGAACGTTATCGCAGTTCCCGACTCTCCCATACGCGCTGTCCTGCCGACTCGGTGGACGAACCTGCGTTCAGACTATAAACGAAGCTTAGCGTGTGGCCCACCTCACGACGTCGCTTGGGACGTGTACGTTGATGACTGCCCGAACACCCGGGATGTCCAGTCCCCTGGAAGCCAGTTCGCTTGCCATGAGGAAGTTGACCTGTCCATCTTTGAACCTGCACAGCATATTTACGCGTGTATGTTGCATATAACCCACATTTCCACCTGCTCGAAGCGCTTAGATTGCGATAGGTCACCGTGCAGCTCTCCGCATTTTAGCCCGGCGAGACCGAAGGCCACAGCGGCCCTGTGGGCAGCCTTTTTGGTCTGCAACGAGTTGAGCCAGTTTGAACGAGACCTCACCTGGAAGAACAGAATGGTTCGGGTGGTGTACTTCTGCTTGCATAGGTAGAGTGCAGCTGCCTCCCTCAGCTCGTCGCTGGGAAGCTGGATCATTTCACACTTAAGTGTCTTGGCCACGGTGATACGCGGGGTCGCCTGGATGTATATAGGGTTGACGAGCGACACAGGAACAATCTCCTTCGTCGCCTCCGTGAGGGTAGCACTGAAGAGCATGGTCTGACGGTCCTTGTTGCACAGCTTCAGGATCTGGGTTAGCTCGTCCTTGAACCCGAGATCTAGGAGCCGATCGGCCTCATCCAGCACCACTATCTCAATTCCGTCCATGTGGATGCTGTTTGAATTCAGCATAATGTCCAGCACCTTGCCAGGAGTTGCGAATACAATATACGGGACCCGGCGCAACTTGGCTTCCTGATCCTTCACTGGCACACCGCCAGTGAGCAACACACCGTTCTGGCTCACATACTTCGTCAGACCCAAGAAAACATCAAAACACTGCGCAGCAAGTTCCCTAGTTGGGAGCAATATGAGCGCCTTGGTGCCCACCCGCTGCGCATGCCACGGCGTGCGCTGGGCACTGTCCTGTCTAATGACACCGGCATTTATGAGCCGCTGCAGCGTGGGGATAAGGAACGCTGCACTCTTCCCAGATCCTGTCTCGGCCGTGGCAAGCAGGTCCTTGCCCTCCAAAGCCACCGGTATGACCTTGCTCTGGATGATGCTGGGAGCCTCGTAGCCCATGTCGAACACGGCCTGCATATGATGCGCGCCGATAGGGTCGGTCGTACCTTGATCAGTGAACGTGCGATGCCGAAGTCGGACCAATTAGATGTTGACGTTAGATGTTTGCGCATGGCGGGTTCGGGCTTGCTCTCTGCGACCTTCGCAGAAGTCGTGCCATCGTCCCCAATAGGCTCGTCTACCGAAGACTCATTCACCGCGTCTTTCCCAGTTGTATCCTTTCCAGCAGCCGCCTTATCACCTGGCGTCGCTCCTCCGGCGGCCTGGTCACTGGCTACCTCTACGGCAGCAGCACCGGTACTGCGGCCGCTAGGCGCCGAAACGTGGCCATCACGTCCAGCGCTGGTATCCTCATCGCCCAGGAAGTCGAAGAATCCGTCCTAAAGTGTCATTAGTTGCGGTCTATTAGCTGCTTCAGACACGTATGTGTGTCGTGGGCGTCACACTGCCACGGCCTCGCTTACCTCAAATTCAAGGCTGAGGCCCTGGTCGTCGTCAGACTCGGCCTCCTGTGGTGTATTGCGCTTCATTTATACAAATTGGTGTGTATTGGTTGTGTTGGTGCCAGAAAACGTGCCAGTGTGCGTTGGCAGCTCGGCTACGTGGGCAGCCGCTGCCAAGGTGTGTGGGCACCTGCCTTCCACCCGCTATGGACACAAAACCAGCACCCAAACGATGCAAACAGTAGATACAAGTGACAAAACACTGTATATTACACCATTCAGAGTTTAATGGCGCGCGTAGTACGTGTGGAAGGCGCACCACCAAGAGCGCTCAGAAAAAGTCCACGCTGTATGACTCGCGAGTTCTCGAGTTCGGCGTGATGATCGTGCGCAACAATCCACCGCTGTTGTTGGTTCGGATATCGGCGGACAGGCCGATATCACTAGACATGATGGTCACTGCATGACTCTCCGCAGAGCTGAGCAGCACCTCGTAGTTGCCAATCAGAAGGAGGGTGTCCACGTTCCTGTTAGGGATGTTGAGGAACGTGATTCCGCCGTACTTCTTGACGTCAATGCCCCACATGATGGCGTCGCACTCGATGGTGTGGGCATCGAGCACGGCGAGCCTCACGTCTCGGGAGAGACCGAAGCAGTCCGTAGTGACGTCGAAGCAGATGTCGAGGTTCGCGGTGTATCGAGCTCGTTGGTAGCTGTTCGCATTGTCGTGCGATTCGACGTACCTCTTGTGGTGCAAGACATTGCGACCCCTGAAGGTCATGGTGAGGTAGCTCTGGCCCTCTCCCTTGGAGGTGGTGATGTTCACCATGTTCATTCCCTCCGGCGTCACGATGTCACCGTCGACGAAGGTAAGGTCCTTGCTGGACTTGAGGTAGCCGCTGTCGACGGTCTCAAGGACAAACAGAGTGCCGTTAGCCTCCACCTGCTTGAGCGAGGCATTACCCTTCCCATTGTATGTGAAGTTCTGGAACCACACGGGGTCGCGCTTCAGCGATTTCTCGGCATCTTCGTCTTCGAACATCGTTGCGAACGAGATGTCCTTGAAAAGCGCCTTGGTAGCCACGTTCGTGAAGATATCCATGTCGCCCGACTTGTTGAGGTAGGTGGTGGTCCACTTGCCGCTCTCGTCGAGGCTACCCACAGCGAGATGGTACTCGTTGGGGCGCTGGAGCGAGCACACGATGGTTTCCACAGGGTAGCTGACACCAACTTTCCTGGACTTGCCTTGAATCTCGACCGTCCTGATGATGCGGCCGTTGGTAGCCCTGTAGCACGTAATGTCTCCCTTCTTGTGTGTCCTGATGTTCTCGTTCGTCTCACCGATGACCAATGTAGTGTCTATTTTGACTGACGCTTCCGGGGTGCTTTCTTCTTCAGCGGATCTGTTGGACTGCACCTCGTGGTGCTGCGCTTCCACGTCGCCCGTGGTGATCGTGGCGACGTGCCTGTTGTACTTGCCTCCAGACGAAGCGGGGGAGGCAGTCATAATCTTCTTTCTTCTCGGAGTTGGAGCTGGAGTCGGAGTTGCAATGCTAGGTTGGACATCCGTATGCATAGTGTCACTGGTGACGAACGCCTTAAAGCCCGGCGTCTCGTCTGCCTCGTATTCTCCCGTGTGTCCTGCCTGAGGAGTTGTTGAAGGCACATGCGGGAATGTATAGGATCCAGATGTCGACGTATCATACGACGAGCTTTGCGATGAAGACGTTGACGTATCATGGGACGACGAAGGGGTTGTCGTGTGCGATGATGACGGAGTGTGGGATGACGAGGATGTCTCCGATGACGAAGCTGGCTTATCAGAAGGCGACGACGCATCCGATGTCGAGGTAGAGTAGGACGATGAAGGAGTGTGGGATGATGAGGATGTGTCCGATGACGAAGTAGTGTAGGATGAAGATGGCGCATGGGACGATGACGAAGAAATATCACTTGAAGCGGTTGCTGCATCAGATGAAGAGGATGTATAGGATGGAGTGTCGGTTGACGGGGAGGCATCCGACGACGACGATGTATCAGTAGACGCGGGTGCATCCGATGAAGCCGTTGTATGGGAAGATGAAGTTGACGCATCAGTAGAAGCCGTAGTCGTATCAGAAGACATCAGAGTAGCAGATGATGACGCATCATACAACGAATTATACCATGATGACCATGAACTACCACCAGATGAACCCGTTGCCGTATCATTTGACGTCGAAGTATCCGATGACGACGGGGCAATGGTTGACGAGGACGTGTCCGATGACAATGATGATGTATCAGTAGACGAGGGTATGTCCGATGATGACGCATTGTAGGATGACGAGGAACTTTCAGTCGAAGCGGTTGTCGTATCAGTAGACGGCAGCGTATCAGATGATGGTGCTGATGCGCCGCTGTGTTCGCCGTCGTCTATATCCAGCAAGCCATCGTCCTTATCTTTGGAGCTGTGGTGGCGACCCTCCTCTACATCGGTATCAAACTCGTCGTCAATGCTCAGGAAGTCATCAAAACCAATTTTGGGCGGCTTGTTTACAGAGGCTGGCGTATCGACTGGTTTCGACGGCTTTGCCTCTACAATAGTCGGTCTGTCAACTTTGACGGAGCTTTGCCTCTCAGAGATTGCCTTCAACCTATCACGCATTTGCTGAAATCCCGGCGTTCGTGGTGCTCCCATGGAAGGCGAAGCCATGGCTTTGAGCCTGAGCAAATTGGGGTCCAGAGCCGGTGCAGTTGGAGGTGGAGGATCATTGTGCAATCGTATTTCAGTCACTGCACCCTTTAGTTCCGTTTCGGCCAACTTTGTCAGCTGAGATCTCCATACGGCCGCATCAGCCGATTGCGAAGGTTTAGATTCGGACTTGGCTGGCTCTGAAGACTCGGAAGATTCTGAAGTGTATGGAGTGCTTGGAGAGATATATGTGCTTGGAGAGCTTGAAGCGTGTGGAGTGCTTGAAGCGTGTGGAGTGCTTGAAGCGTGTGGAGTGCTTGAAGCGTTTGGAGAGCTTGAAGCGTTTGGAGAGCTTGAAGCGTTTGGAGAGCTTGAAGCGTGTGGAGTGCTTGAAGCGTTTGGAGAGCTTGAAGTGCTTGACGTTTTTGAAGAGCTCGAAGCGTTTGGAGAGCTTGGAGTGTTTGGAGAGTCTGAAGACTCTGAAGGTTCCGGATCTTGCTGCTGGGATGGTTTTGCAAAATTGAAGATGTTGTACCGCTGCTTGTTTGTCAAAGCCTCAATGCCTTTGGGCGTGACCTCGAATTCGTCGGAAGTTTCATCGTTGAAGACGACGGTGAAGGTGTTGTTGAACGGAGATGCGCAGAAGACCGCTTCCACCTTCGGATGAAGTGGGAGGTCGACGCGGTAGCCGTTGATCTGGATGGCGGTGATGCTGGCGCCCACGTCGGGCTTAACAAAATAACGCGTGATTCCCTTGAGCCTGTTGCACATGGTGATACGCGGGTCAAGTTTGCCCGCCGTGAAGTCTAGGACCAGCGTCCCCCTGCTCGAAAAATCCGGCCTGGGGAGCTCCTTCACAACAGGTTGGCCGGAAGGTGCGGCGCCTACGCTTATAACCGACGACGAAAACGCCAGAACGGCAGCCCATAATGCCAAATTCCCCCTTACCATCATCCCCTAAAACACAGATGATACCCTTGCGTTCAGAAGATAAAACACATTTCACGACAATACATATTGAGAATTTCCTCAATGACAAGCGACCGACCACCAGTATTCGGTGGAAGGTCGAAGTGGAATATTGGTGCGCCCTTTGCGCCCTCTATCTCATCTGGGATGACTTATTTTCCCAGACGTTCAGCTGAAGAAGCACGAGCTCCACCCGTCGTCGATCCGATCTGCGGAGCGCATTGGCGAGACGGGCGTGACCGTAGCTTTTTTTCCTGGCTAAAGAGAGTTGTGTATAGTGAATCAACCGGCTCAGGAGCTGACCTTCGAGGCTACACAGGCCATATGGTGACACGCAGCTATACCCCACGGGCGCGTCGTTTATGCCACGGCATGTTCCGCTTTTCGTGCCTCTAACGTGATCTTCTGCCTTACATATGATGCACATTGCCGTAATAATCAATTACCAAGGCTCATAGGGCTACGTAATGGGCATATTTGTGCCTAAAAGCGACGTCAGAGTCGCGGCGGGGCGTAGGTACCGTTGTGTTCCTTCTGCACATTTACCTAGGTGAAACGCCTCACACACATACTTGCACCACTAAAGACGTTATACGGCATCCGTTCGTGACGTGGAATTGACCGTATGTGTGATTATATGCGAACATGCCGATGGCGCTACGCTGACAACCCGTTTCGCAGGTGGCGTGTAACAGTGGCTCCTCACCAACCGATGTTTTTTCAGCGACATTAGCTTTTATGTAGCAGCTAGTGGGTGGTGTGAGCTGCTTGCTGTATGCCGTGACTCAACGTGTTACGTCACGTCACTGCCACATGTCTATTGTAATCTAGCAGCAAGAGATATTCTGTGTATATCAGCGACTGTTGTTAGTACACACAAATACACGCCGAAGCTCGATGCGTTTCTAGCAGCGCTGCTTGAGGCATGGCGTAGTATCGCCCTTCGTGCATCAGCATGACGCGCGCCAGCTATGCCGGCTCATGGGCATCCACAAGATATTTGATGTCGTGCACTTAGTGCTTCATACAGGCGCATTGATGAGCGCAACACCGCGATCCGTGGAAGGATACGGGTTATTGCAGAGACGCGGCCTCATACTACCTTAGCGTTCGTGCAGGCGCAGCTGCCGCACATCAATTCGTGTCTGTCAGGTGGAAATAAATCCCTGTAATTTTATATCGGAACTATATGGGCGTGAAACCTGCCTGCCGTCATCGCTGCTAGAGCGGATACTTGTTGACCTACATCTACCAAAATGACGACTGTTAGGCTGAAGAATGTGTTCGGTATGTAGTAGCACGTTGCATTTGTTTAATATATGCTGTATTTCCACTGTATGCCGCCGAGAATGCGCCATTCAGCTGTTCCGGAGCGTGGCTGTTCAAGTCATGTCGAAATCGGCAGTGAAGGTCCATTTTTTGTGTGTTGTTGCACGGTTATTTTGCGACATTGCTCTGTTTTTGAGATCACATGGCTATTTGAGTTGTTGCATCGATGCATTCTGGCCAAATTCATCATCTTCACGGCCCATGAGTGCCCGGTGCTTTGCGTGCGTTGTGTGTCCAAATGTTGTCGCCTTTATACAGTAATAACTTCACTGCAGGTGAGCCCTTCAAGCAGGCTTACTGCGATCTCAAGATCAACCCGAAGCCCACTGCATTCTCTCCAGGAATGGCAGCCAGCAACACCCATATTGCATTCCCGTGGGAGGTTGGGGGTGGTGGGCTCATCACCCTGATCAACATGGATAAGCTGGGACGGAACAGTGGAGCTGACCGTTTGAACTTTAAGGGTAGGTGTTTACAGATCGTTGGCATGCACTGATCATTTGTAGGGCACACTGGATCAATTCAGGATATTACCTTCAACGAGTTCGACAACAGTGTCTTTGCGTCGGCATCAGATGGTAAGGATTGACATGCTTTCAATCCGTAATTTGGTTGCAGACTGCTCTGTGAAAGTCTGGCGTGTGTCGGCGGAACAGGATTCAACCGCCACGGCGAACCTGAACGGGCATACCAAGAAGACCACCAATGTTGTATGGAACGGTGCCACCGATTTCGTACTCTTGTCGGGTGGACTGGATAACACTGTCCGCGTTTGGAACGTGCAGAGCGAAACTGAGGTTGTAAGCGTCCCTATTGACGGCCAGTACTCCTACTGCAACTGGTCTTACGACGGAGACCTGTGCGTCGTCTCCACAAAGGAGGCGAGTGTGGCTGTGGTGGACCCTCGCGAAGGCAAGGTGTCGCACACCTTCAAAGCGCATGAATCTAACAAAGCAACGAGCGTAATCTGGCTAGGAGGCAACTATGGTAACGATCACCTCGCCACGACGGGATATGTCGGCAACCAGACACGCCAGATCCGAGTATGGGACAGGCGCAACACTGACCAGCCGCTGGTTTCCAAGGATATCGATTCGGCACCAGGGCCTCTGATACCGCACTGGGACAGCGCCACTGGACTATTGACAGTTGTTGGCAAGGGCGACCTCACGGTGCGCATATTCCAGTACCTGGAGAACGATCTTAACCGCGCGGGAGAAATCAAGTGCAGCGGAACCATTAAGTCGTTCTGTTTCCTGCCTGCGACGGCGTGCGACAAGTCGAAGTGCGAGCTTGGCCGTATGCTATACAACAATTCCGGCAAAGAAATCAACCCCATCTCGGTGGTTGTGATGCGCAGGAACAGCGGGGCTGCCATGGACGAGATTTACGGGACTTTGAAACCCAGACGCCGAACAAGTGCCATCGATTGGCACGGTGCCTCAGGTCGTAGTGCGGGTGTCAGCGTGGAATCCTCGTTCACCGAGGGTTCGATCTCGGCTGCAGTGTCACCGACTTCGGCGGTCGCATCCGATGCACAGAGCTATCAGCATGCACCCTCACGAACAATTGGTTCGAGTAGCTCGATGTCACCAACTCCAGCTGTTCCCACCCCTCCGCAAGAGTGCGAGACGACCGCCACAGGCCGTGCTTTCGGCGAAATCTGCACCTCTCTGGGGGTTCTATGCCAGAAGTTTAAGCCGTCATTCGACGACATCGAGATGATAGAGGAACTTGAGACGTTCAAGGGCGATGTGGAATGCGTAATTGCGAAACTGCGACAGTTGCACAACATCCCCGATCCCGTTCAGGAGCAGCCTAGGTTTACATCGGTGCCAGCGAGCGAGGCCAAGGCACCTGTGTGCGTTGTGTCGCGTGACGAAGGACGCTCAGCGTCTGAATCCTCAGGGCTGTCGGGCGTGAAAGCGGCGATAGCCGCCATGGAGGCTCGAGCTCAGGCAAAGGCGCAGGCACAAGCGCAAGCCAACGGGCGTGCCGGGAAGCCATAGATTAACAGCAACGCCTGAAGCAGCTCCACTTTACTAGAACGTGTATCGTATTGGTGATCTTTGTAATGTGGTTACAGTGGCAATAATTATAGTCTAATATGTCTTTTCATGAATTATACACTATAGTTCATTTGTGTCCTGTTTATCTGTGTGTGTTACGGCTAATGGGTACGCATGGTGTGGGCGGAGCGCTGTACTAGGACGGTGCTACAGCTATATTTTGGCACCGGACGCGTAAACTCCATTATTCGTTTAATCGAATGCTAGGTGGAATAAGTGGTGCCGTGATATTATGGCAGTGCGGAGTTGGATATGTTAGAAACATGCCGTAAAACGTTGATCTGCGGAATTTGCAGTGCCACGAAATAGTGACATGAAATGGTGATGGATACAACCACACTAATTGAAACATTCAAAATGCATTGCCTCCTACGTGGCGTGGGTGAGTGTGATTACGCCCATATATGTGCAAGCTTAGCGATTTCGTGTAATATTATGGTGGTGGACATGCTGCACCGGTACAGCTAATCACCACTGCACCACAACCCATAAGACATTAACAAATAAAAACAATTACTGTGACAAGTCAAGAGGGTCATCGTCGAAGTAGTCGACGTCCCTGTACAGTGAGAGCATCTTCCGGCCTTTAGTGAGTAGGGCCTTGACGGCGATGAAGTGAGAGGCCTTGGTGCGCATGAGGTGAGATCGTATGCGCAGCACGTCCATGCGGTAGAGGAGGGAGTGGAGGATGTAGAGCGTGGCGATGAGCCACAATGAGAACACAGTGTAGAGGAAGGGTGTCCGTATCTTCCACAAGAATTGGTCGCACCGGTCAAAGAGATCTCTGAAATGATCAGAGTTGAGGACATAACTCAGCTGCGTGTGGAAGTTGAAACAACTCTTCTCTTGCAATACCAGCGCCGATGCGTCCCTGAAGGTGAGGCCGTAACTGTACAGCGTCGGCATCACTCCCCTGCACTGGACTATGGAGGGGCATCGGCAGCCGGAGGCAGGTGACTGTGGAGTGCGGACGCCGTGGCTTCCCTCGTCACAGGGGCCTTCGTGAAGGCAATCACCGCAGCCCCAGTCGCGGCAGGAGATTTCCTTGAACGCGGTGTATAGACAAAGCAACATCTCGTAGAACGTCCAAGGGAGGTAGATGGCCCATGAGAGGTAGAGGTCGGAGTGTCGGTGGGCGAGGCTGTCGTACATACCACGGCAGAGGGTGGAGAGGAAGGGCGAAGCTTGGTGTCTTGTGCAGAAGTCGGAGGCTGCGAGATGCATGAGGTGCGGGTGCTTGCATCCGCCGTGTTTCGCGGAGTCCGAGCCGTAGGCGGCGGTGAGTGCTGCGGTCAGCTGATGAGGTTGCTTACACAGGCGAAGTGACAAGTCTGTGGCGGATGCCTCGAGGGCCTGTTGAAGGCTATTCTTAGGCACAATGTTGCCGTCGTGCCAGTCAGCAACGAGCGACAAGGCGAAGGCAAAGTGCTCAGCCAAGGTGGCCGGCGGTCTGGGTTCGAGGCTGAGCAGCGATGAGAGATGCTCGTTGGTGAAGAGTTTGGTCAGCACTTCGCACAGCTGTTTGCCCGTCTTGGTGCTGCCCGAGAAACCCCGGAAGCCAAGGGGAATCAGGCAGGGCATCCCAGGTTCACTGTTGGGACACGTTTTGCATTTAGGTTCACAGCCAACAGAGACCAACTGGTGAGGCAGGTGGCCGGGCAGGCAGTCGTTGAGGTACGACATCAGGGGCGATTTATCAGTGCACTCCGGATGAGGGGTAGGCAGGGCGGTGACCGGAGGATCGCACTGCCACGTGTATGGTGGGACCCCCCTGCCGTACTTGCACTCCGCCCAGCCGCCGTTGTGAGCGGCAAGTGAGCATTGAGAGAGCAGATGTCTGAGCACTGAGAGCAATAGGCATAAGTAATGAAGCATCATGTGCAGGCAGTCCTCGCCGTCCTGCGGGTAGTACAGTTGCAGTGAGTTGTTATAGAAGTCAACGGCGTAGGTTGTGAATGCGTTGCCGTAGCCGAGCACCCTGGTGAGCAAGGTGGGAGAGTCGGCGGTGAGGCTGTTAACGGCGGAAACCAAAGCATCGGCAGTCAATGCGGTGGGATATAGGCTATTCTCAGTATGCTCCTCGTGACACATTTTAATGCATTTACGCAACTTATCATAGACACAGTTGTACTTAAGGCCCGTCAGCCAACAGAGCATCTCGTAGACTGAGCACGGCGACCTTGTGGAGGATAAAGTGACGTAGTGACACGCCTTGTAATAATCATCGAGACATTCGAGAAGAATGCCGAGCGCATTCTTAGTGTCCTTATCAGAGTTGAAGACACGCTTATAATCGCCGACAAGGAGCACGGTAATTCCCTTACCGGTCACGTGTCTGTTCAACTCGCCGCTCTGATCGCCGTCGCCTGGGACATTGTACCCTAGTTCGCCGAGGAGTCTGCCTAGGTCCGTAGATCTGTTGAGATGCTGTCCGGCGAGGCTCCTGCAGTTATTTGTCAATACGGTCAATGAAGTGTCAAGTATCGGTAGCAGAGTAAGAAAGACCTTACAGAGTTTCTCGCCGTAAGGCGTCAATTTACTGTTTTGTCCATTGCTTTGGTCGGAAATCGCAGGCTCCAGCAACGCAGCAGTGAATTCCTGGCCAGAGTAAGTGCTTATATAGGCGTTGCTCAGTTCGGCATATATACCGTTAATACCATTTTTCAGCGGACGTAATAGGGCTCTCTGACCGTCATTATAGGCGTCATAGGTAAATTCTGCGAGCTGCTTTTTGAGGCTGTTGAGTGGCGCTGTGAACGGGAAATCGAAATGGCCGCCTGCTTCGATGTACTGAATTAGATCGTCGAGCGCGTCGATGAGTGACATGAATTGCAGCATATTCGCCGGCATGGACTCCAGAGTCTCAACTTGTTCATCCGTCAAGTTCTTGGGATTAACGGGATCCGACGACTTCGGGAATCCACCATTTAAAAATTCCTCCTGTTGCATGAGTTTGGGGAAAAATCCATGTACGGCTTCGCTGACTTTTTCAGCCACCTGGCTGAGCGGAGACCTATTGCTAAAGTCCTTGAAATCGATGCCATTTATTTTTTGGATGTTCTTAACAAACCCATTTTCTAATTTGGCCATGAACCCTTTAAATCCGATCGTCAAGTCATGTTCGATGTCCCCAGGCAGTCCCCCCAGCTCCCCGGCCACCTTGTTGGCGAAGTGTTTTAATGCGTCCTGCACGGACTCCACATAGTCCCGCCGCGCCTGCTTGGTGAGCTCCGCGATTGCATCTTCCACCTCGTAGTCCACGAATTTCTCAAGCTCCTTCACAGTGTTCCGCTCTATGTCATCGGCGTCACTGAGGAACTTGTCGCACGCCTCGATGGCCTCCTGGAGGTCACCGGTGCGGAGGGTGTCAATGTCATTCTTGATTTTGTTGAGTTTTCCATTAATATGCGTAGTTTCCAACTGACCCAGATGCCAACCGGCGTACGCGCCTGCTTTTTGAATAGCTTCACACATGGCAGTAAGGTATTTGTCGACTTTGGGGACTGTATACCTATTGAGCGTGGCAATTTCTTTCTTAATTTTCTTGAGGCTATCCTTATCGTCATCCTTTGTTCCAATCTGCTTTATCATAAATTCCATATTCTTTATCACGCCTCTTTTCTGTGGCTCAGAGTCCTCCTCACCCAGCAACTCACTCCTCAGACTCTCAAGCTCCGTGGTGATCTTGTCGACGCCTTGGCCGATTGCCGGATGCTGGAGGGACAATATGCCTTGTTGAGTGTTAAGATCATTTTTGATTGCATCAAGGCCTTTTTGATTTCCATTTGTATTTTTATCCCACGTTTCACTCAGCCCATTGCTTATTAAATCGCCCAGAGTCTCAATGACATCTTTGTCCAACGTGTTCATCTGCGCTTTGAGTTCGTCTTCAATTGCTTTGTTGGCGTTGCCAATATCTCGCGAATTATCACTAAAATCACGGGATTGCAGCTTTTTAATCACTTCGTGAATGTGTTGGAGATTCCCTGCCTCTACGTCGTTTTGACCGATCTTCTTTTTCAATTGTTCCAACTGGTCTATGATGGCATCATCAAAGAGTCCATTATTCAACTTGAATCCGAGCCCCCTAAGCGCCACCGTAATTGCAGTAACGGCTGAGGTGATTTGCTTGGTTTGCTCAGGCAGCTTGTCATTCTGCCCTTTAAGGTCCTTTTCGATTTTCTCAAGTCCACTGACATTTTGACCTTTAATTTGCTTCCAAGATTTGTCACCATTTGCCAGACCCTTCTCTTGCAAATCTTTTAATGTCTCAATAACATCATCTTTCGGCTGACCTTCCTCATTCTTCATCTTCTCTCTAAGGTCTTTAAGCTGCGCCTTAATGTCTTTGACGGCTTTCTCAATTGCAGCGGGTTGTTTATGAAACGGCCCTTCTTGCAGTCTGTCAATCGCCTTTGTGATTGCACCAAGGCCTTTGACTTTTAAATTTGTTAAATCATTGGATATAAGGGTATATTCACTATCTCCATTATTTTTAATCATCTCTTCCAAATCCGTCAAGTGATGCTTCACGCCGTCCGGGTCCGGCAGCTGCAGCTGAGTCGACTGCGTACTGTCAACCAGTGCGGCGATCTCTATGAGTCCGTCCCTGATATAAGAGAATGGCTCTTCGAAGGTATCACTGTCTATTTTTGCTTTACCGACACCGCCATTCTTATCGATTAATTTCAAAGCACTGTCCACCTCAGTCTTGATCTTCCCGATCGCCTCTGGAAGATGGCCTTCGTCTTGCTTGCCTTTTAAGTCATTGTTCTTAAGGCCATCTGAATCCTGGTTAACGTGTTCCCTATATTGCTCAAAGCTTCCACCAGCAAGCTCAGTAATTGTGGCACCTTGACCACTTGCCGTATCATCCTTCCCAATGTGCTTATCAACTTGTTCATCAAGTTGCCGTTTGAGCCCCTTTTGAATTGTATCATAGACGTTGTGGAAGTTACTCATCAGCCTCTTCACGTCATTTTCAGTTACATCACTCTTACTAATTTCATTGGTCGCCTTCACAATCGCCGTATTAGCGGCATCCCTGATCTGTTTTTCAGCTTCATTGTTGAACTGGTCAACGGCGTTGGGAAGTTGGTCGACTTCAGCCTGAAGTTTATTTTTGACTTCTCGATTAAACCGTTGAACAAGCCCACCAACCTTACTGCTCACTGCACTCAACCTCCTGTCAACTGCTTGAGCTGTGCCATCATCGGACTTCTTCGTCGCTTCGGTAAGCTGTTGCTCTAAAGTTGTAGCCGTATTTAACGCATTGTGTACATTAGTGCTGAGGTTGGTAAGACCAGCGCCTGTGGTGAACCATTCAACTTCGTTGGCAGCTTTCCAGGAAGTGGATACGAGAACGGGGAGAATGCCTTTAATAGCGTCAATGAGATTCGTATCAGTGATGCTACCAGGTGTGTAACGAGGATCCTTGAGCTTATGTTCACCCCATAGTCTATCCTCGATCTCCTTAGCTATCGCCTTAGAGAGCGCAGCGATCTTTCCCTCATCCTTAATATGATTTCCAAGCTGTTTTGCAAATGTGTCACACGCTTTCATGACCTTTTGCAAATCCTTTGCGATGTTAGGAGTTAGGTCCGAAACTGCAAAGGCCGTGAAGGCGTCCGGAATCGTCCTCTTAAGCTGCTCCCTAACTTTATTTGCGATCCTGTCCTGAAGATCTGAACTCTTGCCACTTGCATTTGGGACTGTGAATTGTGCCTTAACTTTGATATCCGCATACTTCTTAACCCAACCCTTCATCGGCTCATTTGGCAAAATACTCCCCCTCACCCACCCCTCAACTATTGTGTCAAACGCTCCCTCTTTGAACTTCTCCGCATACCTTTTTACGCCACCAACAATTCCCTCCAGACCTTTGGCATTGCTACCTTGATGGTCCCCCGGCTTCCCCTTTATTTCCGCAACTTCCTTACGAATATGCCCGAAAATCCCATCAATGCTATTCAACTTTCTATCAAACTTCCCGCCAAGCACCCCAATCGCCGAGTCAACTGCACCTACCGCAATGTTAAGCGGATTCTGGATCACGTCCTTGAAATTAGTTTCAAGTTGCGTAGTCTGTGTCTTAATTCTACCGCCATCACCAGCAAGGCCATCCAGCTTCGTCTTAGCCTTCTCAAGCTCATGAAATGCCTTCTGAACAAGCGGTTGCTTCTTGTCATCGCCGTCCAGACCATATTTAAGCCCCTCAATCCTCTGCTTCAACGTCCCCAAATCATCCCGCACTTTCTCGTTCAACTTCAAGACCCCTATGTTTTGAATCTCTTGCCAAATCCCTTCCCTGATTTCCTTTTTCACACCCTTCAAATCCTTCTTAAGACTTTGGTCCATGGCCACAACAGCCTGCAAGGCCCTAGTGACTTTCTCCTCAACAGCCTGCTTAGCATCCTTCGCAGCCTGCAAAAGTGTTGTACCATCTTCACTTAGTTTTTTGGCTTTACTAAAAATTGTATCATCTTTACCTTTAGGATCTGTCTTAACTTTCTCCAAAATTGCTTTACACTTATCCTCCGCCTTGGAAATAACATCCTCGGCAGCAGCATTCCACTTACCTAAGTTATCAACTTCGCCAGCAAGCTCTGTATTTGCACTCTGAATCTTCCCGTTAGCTTGCGTAATTTCATTAAGGTGATAGCCAACAGGATTCTCTTTATCTTTATCTGTTATATTGGGATACAACTTGGTATACACTTCCGTCGCCTTTCCAATCGCCCCTGTAAGCACATCCTTGGCCTGCTTATTCCACGTTCCCAAATTGCTATGAACCTTTCCCAGCTCAGTATGCACGCTCTCAATTCTCTTATTAGCATTCATAATCTCTCCGATTTTTTGGGTCAGAGCCTCATGAGGTTTTAACTTTTTATAAGCCTCTTCCGCTTTTTCCTGCGCCTTTTGACGGATACCATCCGCCGTGGTGATCCAAGAACGCAGACTGTCGACTTGTTCGCCGAGAGTCTTATTTGCAGTTTGAATCGCATCGTTGGAAGTCTTAATCTTCTCAATGTTGTGACCAATTTTATGCTGATCATCTGTCAGATTAGGATCCAACTTGTCACGCACCTCTCCTGCCCTGCTCACCGCTGTGCCAAGGACAGCGCTTGCCGCATCTTTCCATTTACCTAAATCACCAATGTGCTGGATAAGCTGACCATCAACATTGGAAACTTGCGTTTTAGCTGTGGTAATCTGCTTAATTCCCCGACAAATATTTGTCGTCCCGCCAGGTGGATTTTTTTCACTATGATCCAACTGCTCATATACATGTTGCGCCTTCTGCATAGCCGCCTGAACGGCGGAGTCGGCAGTTTCGATCCACTTATTCAGCTCCGCAACTTTCTTGCTAAGTGTGGCATCAATCTCCCCGGCGGCCTCATCAATCTTCTGTTTATTCTCTCCATAAATTTCCTTTAATATCTTGTCAACATATTCCTTTACTTGATCAATATAGCTTTTGGCCTCATCCATCCACTTCACCAGATCCTGAACGTATTTCGCCAGGCTCTCACGAATATCCTCCAACTTCCTTTTAATCTTCCTAACACGCTCCTTCAACAAGCGGACAAGCGCGTGCACTTCTTGTTTAATTCTATCCTTGACTTCCTTCCCGAGCCTCCTAAGCCTTGTCTTGATTTTATGAATCATGTCGTCCAACTTCTTTTTCTGACCCTTGCGAGACCACTTGCTCAGCCAGCCCACGTGATTGAAGAAGCTTTTCCTGGAATTCTCAAGTTTTGATCTCAGCTGCGGGTTCAGGTCACCTATGGCGGTTTTAGCAGAGTCCAGGCGTCTCGAAAAGTCCTTGGCAACCTCTTTGCACTTCTCCACCAGCCCGACAACCTTGGACACCTGAGCATCCTCGACGTCCGGTTTCCCGGTAGCATGGTCAGCCTGAACACTATTAAGTTCCGTAAGCAACTCACCACCCTCTTCCACAAATGCGATCACCTCATCAATCGGCTTCCTGACCTTTTCGTTCGAAGCCTTGACAGCGGAGTTGTACTTATAGAGGCCACTGGCCACCTTGGGGATGACAGAGGAAAAGCCATGGTGCCCAGTCCACTTGGCCTTTTCAAGGTCACTAACTAGGCCACCTAACAAAACTCCACCAGCAACGTACGGCTGATTTTCATAGACATCAGTGAAAAGAACATGGAGAAATGACAACACGGCATCGCACAGACGGGAGGCGTCGCCGTACACAATCCCGGAACCATCGTAGGTTCCAGGAGTCTGGTAGCCTATAAACTTCTCAACGGCGGAACAGAGATTATGTAAAATGTTTTTATTAAGATTCGCAGAGTCTTTCGTAACAGCGTTCTGAAACTCTTGAAGCTTGGAGATAACATCTCTGGCGTACGTGTCATCTGATTCGGGGAAAGACGACAGAGATTTCTGAGCGTCCTGAGTAACATTGTCGAACAACTTACGGAGAGCGTTGCATAATGTCGTAATTCCGCCGCCCTGCTTCACTTGGATGAGCCAGTCGATCGCCTCTCGAAGGTTCTCGGGGCAATCCGTCAAAGACTTCGGTGCCATGCCATCTAGGCTGTAACAGTGGTACCGACGAGCAATCACGTACTAATCGGCCGCCACACATGGCAACATGTCCACACTTGTAATTGCGTTAGGTGACAATCACAAGGTGGAACTCTGAATCACAAAATGAATCATTGTATTAAATCGAAGAACGACAACTTCACGACGAAGAATATATAAAAACACAACAATCACAAAACCATCCCACCTACCTAATGAGGAGGGAGGACGGCTGCAAGCCAATCAATCCAGGTGCAAAGCTTGAGTGGAATTCCGGACTACGGTACGAAGGCGGTAGGCTTCATAGAGATATCGAGCAGATCACAGGGCAACACTCCTGACACCGCCCTGTTATGCCCCAGCCGTGTACCCTCGGCGCTCCTTAACCGTCACAGCAACTGTCACCCAACCGACCGCCAGTAACACTACAGCCGCGCGCCTTGCACCACAGCCAGAATACACCAACAACAACCCGTGTGAACAGTAGTGTGGGCTCCCCGTGCATAGGACTTAGTAGCATACTTGCGCAGTATAATCCCCACCAAGCTTGCCACTCCACCTTGGTACCTTCCCCAATGTGCCAAACCACTGATGCATTACCATGTACGTAGCTTGTCTACGGTTCGGTATCATCATGTTAGTGATCACTGCAGTGTTGCCCACTGACGCCCCGTAACTACGCCTTCTGGTTGCCATTACTTCAGACTGTCGAGTAACGACTCCGTCGTTCAACTAGCCACCCAACGAATAACAAACACGCCACTCAGTCGTTTATCAGGTGATTCACCGCCTCACCTAGGGCGACACTTCCAGGCTGCCGAGATGCACCACCAGCTCAGCTTCACAGTCCACAATACCGTGGCATTACACAATCTCTATCGCAGGCAAGTAACTAAAACACAAAGGTGATAAGCATACTACATTATATGCTAGGTTGTTGTCAGGTGGCTAGGTAAGTTAGGTGATATAAGGTGGTGATAGGGATAATCGTCACAGATGAAGGCGCGATTAGGGTTGCAGGTAGGTGAGTTTGCTGAGTCCCCCGACGCGCGCCGCTGAGAGGAGCGACTGTGCGGCGATGCGGTGGCTTGCGGGTGATTTTAGGTGTGAGCGTATCCTCAGGACGTCCAGGCGGACGACGGTGATGTGCAGCAGGTAGAGCACAGAGAGGGACCAGAGGGCGAGGAGGGTGTAGAAGAATTTGTATCTTATCTCCCACAAGAATGCTGGAATTTTGTTAATGACCAGGTCGGCAAGTACCGATCGGCCATGACACACTTTTTCCAATGCCTGGCAGAGGTCTTGGCACGTTCTTTTTTGATTCGGATCACTGCCTTTGCCACTTAAGTTCCATGGGCTTCCGAAGGTAAATCCATATTTGTAGAGAGTTGGGTGGGTATCTTGACATTTAACAATCGTATGACAGTCCCCTTCATGTCTGGTTTGTGTAGGTTTCGCAATGAATTCTTGAGGTGCGTAACGGGATTTTACCTTACAACCCTCAACACAGCTCTTGTCATGGCATCTGGTGCCTGGCTTATTGCAATTATTACAGCAATCGCCGTATAATTTTTTGAGTAAGTCATAGAACGTCTCAGTAATGTAGACAATCCATGAGAGGTAGTTATCAGCGTAATCTTTAGAATACAACAATCGAGTGTCATCACTCATTGATTGTAAGTATTGCCCGCATGGAAGTGACGGAGCATCCTTGGGATCACAAGATAGAAGGCTGAACATGTCACCTTTGGGGTGGTTGTCCGAGCTATGCATTTTAGAACCTAAGATTTTTGTGATGTCCAATTTTGTTTCATCATTCCAGAAATTGGCTTTCTTGACGGCATCATCAAAGGCTTCTCGCCTGTGCTCTTTTTGTTTAGAATGGTCATCACACCAGTGATCAAGGATATTATAATAGAAGGCGAACATGTCTCCCAGCGTCTGAGGTGGGCGACGCAATAGACATATGAAATAGGAACAAATTAGGCTCAGTGAACACTCTCTGGTGCCACAGAACTTTTCGAGAACATCTCTGATGTGCTGACCAGTACCAGTTCGTGAAGCCATTTGACTTAGGTCCTTAAAACCCATAGGAGTCTTACATGGAAGTCCTTTGTGATTGGACACGGTACATTCCAGCTTACAACCGGGTGAAGTAAACTGGTGCGGCAAGAAGCCTACTAGGCCATCCTCAAGGAACGATTGCAGCGGCGATTTTATGCCGCACTTGTAGTGTTGGTCAGCGTTTCGGTCGGCCTTTTGGTCACACGTTTGGTTGTGCTTCTGGTCACAGCCTTGGTTAGGACATTGCATTGTGTTGCAGTTCCACGCTGCCCCGGCAATTCCCTTCCCGTATAAACAGTCACGCCAACCGCTGCTAATGGCGTCGTTGTGGCACTGCTTGAATAGGAAAAGGATTTGTTCATTCAGTCTCAGACATATTTCTAGGAGCATATGTAAACATTGATCTGTATTACTCGGATATAATAAATCATCTGGGTTTGTTAAGAAGTCACAGGCATATCGGCCACCTGCGTGACCGTTGCCGAGGATGGCGACTAATATGTGATATGGGCGGATGGTAATATTGTTGAATAGGGCTGACATTTCTCGAAGGCTGAGAGATCGTAGCATCCTTTCGCTTCTCCTAGCAGGCACGGCGGCTTCTATGGGCTTGATTACCGTTGTACCGTTTTCTTGGGGTACATTGAAGTATCCCGCAAACTTACTCGCCAATTTATCATACATAGGTGTATAGTATAGCCCAGCAAGCCAGTGAAGCATTTCGTTGACAGTGGTGGGCGCCCTTGGTTTCGAAGGAATATAGTACTGGCAGACACGGTAGTACGAAACAATATCTCTGCATATTTCGTTGATGAACCCGTAGAGCTTGTTGTCTGTGTGTGTCGCACCTGTAATTTGACTATCACGCAGCTCATTAATTTTCTGTCCGCTCGTCTTCGTAGAATTGTCTAACTCCCCGTCTTGGACGCCGTCCTTACTGGCCACTCTGTAGCCTCTATCGTGGAAATATTTGCCAGATGTACTATATGAAAAGATATTATCGGCGCCTTTTGAGGGGAACAATTTACTTAACGAGTTGAAGTCGTAGAACAGTGTCTCGAGTATCGTCAGGCAGACCTTGGCGCAGTTGCGACCCTCGGTGGTTAACTGGGTTTCAGACGTTTTCGCTTGTGTAACAGGGTTAGTAATTTGCTTTTGTTCTGTCAACCGCTTAAATGTTACAGCATCATACACGTTAACGTAGGCGTAGCTGAGTTGCTTAAGGAAATGCTGAAGGCCAGATTTGAGGGTGTCTAGTGGGGGACTGTCGTGCTCGGCGAACTTTGTAGGACGCATGGAGTAGAGGAACTTCTCAAATTCTTCACGTTGTGACGAAAAGGTTCTGCTAAAGAAACCACCTGAAAGGGCCAAAAATAATCTTCGAGTATACACTTTAAGGTCGTCGAAAAACTGCTCAATGGGATTCTTGGTGGACGGGGAGGGAGGCTGCTGGGATGTGGAAGGGGTGGGGGATGGAGTTGTAGACTGAGACGTATTGCCCATTCCAGCACGCCCTGGTGGGTTTGCGATTTCGGAGATTTCTTTCATTGTAGCCGTTGCCGGCCGCGCTCTGTAGCTGCCGCCGGAGATTGGAGGTGGGACTGGTCGGAGGGATGGATTGCTCTGATCCTGGACTTCACTTGACGGTGGAATTTTTGGTATGAGTTGCATCTTAGTATACTTGTGAATATTATTATAATATGCATCAAATGCTGTTGATAGTTTTGTGAAGTTTTGTTTGGTAAACGGCGGTGACTGAGGTAAATCCTTCAGAATTTCGTCGAGCAGTTCAGTCGAAGGGTCGTCAAATTTGGGAAGACCAGTGACACTAATCTCCATTTTCTTGCCGTTCAAAGTCTTCAGGAGGCCTTTGATGCCGGTGTTGAGGTCTTTGGAGATTATATGTTTTATTTTCCTCAAATGCCACGCAATTGACTTCTGTAGAGCCATTAAGTCCGCTTTTCTGTTATACGCAAACATACCTCGGATTTCAGAGGTAACGCAGCCAAAGGCAGTTAGTACCTCGGCGGTGAGCTCGCCTTTTAGTGTGTCTACGGAGTGTTGAAATTTTTGGAATGCATCTTTTACTGCGTTTGTAAGATCTTTTTGAAGTTTTTGCACGGCTTGTTTGGAATTCTCATGGGCCTCTTCTACTGCTCTTTGGACTGCTTTGATGACCTTGTTCAATCGGTCATCCACTATGCCGACAGTTATAAGAGCACCGTGAATTTGTTGGTGGATTTTCTTTATGGCCTGTTCCAAATCACTCATTTTCTGCAATGCCTGCGCTTTTCTAGTTTCAACCATTCCCGGCACAACTTCCAGAATCTTAACTGTCTTAATAACTTGATTTATGACACTTTGTATTTTACCGGTTTCATTGCCAGTGAACTCACTGCTGTGGAGATTCACAAGTTGTTTATGAATCATAGCAAGGCCATTTTTTAGACCATATAATTCACTAAAATTGTCAACAGTAAGCATTTTATTAAGATCTCCCAGAAGCGTTTTGACGCCTTTTTCATCTACACCGCCATTCGGATTGTTGACCAGCATTGTCAGGTATGCTAATTGTTGATCAATTTCGCCGAAGGCATAGTCTATTGCTGTTGTCTCCGTACCTATTTTGCCGGCTTGTGTTATTACTGGCTTACCGTCTGAGCCTGTGATCGTGTGAAAAGCAGACAGCACATGCGTCGTGACTTTTCCGACGGCTGCCTCATAGGCGGCCTTGGCACCTTGTGTGCTGTTTATATAGGAGGATGGAGTGTTGTAACCCGTAATTTTATCAGGGTTGAGGCTGTAGCCGCTGTTACTATCACCGGTAATAAGACCTTCAAATTTCTTTTTAATGGTCTTTATTAAGGCTCTAAGCTCACCGTCAGTTTTTGCGTCGCCATCATTTTTAATCTCTGTAGCTGCCTTATAATCTGACATGAGCTCATTAGGGCCGTCTTTTCGTAGTTGTAAGTTCTTCAAATTTGACTCTTGCACCTGCATGATAGTCTTTTCAAGCTCCCCTTCAATCCCCTGATCAACAGTTTTGGGACTCTTGCCCCCGAACGTGTTGGTGGTGAGCTTCCCGTCAAGCTCCTCAGCCTTATTCAACGCAGAGTTAATGTTCCCCAACTTGCAACCATCGACAAGCCTTTGAATTTGGTCGCCACATTGTTTCGCAGTGGAGACAAGAGCCCTGAGTGCCGTTTTAATAGCATCTTCAAGATGAAAATTGTCCGTAACAATAGGTGTTTGTTTGATTACTTGTTCACTCTTCAGATTTCCTTCAATTTCGGTTACTACAGCTGAGGGTTTTAGCGTCTTGCTCATTTCGTCCTCAAGCCGATCGGCAAATGTTGTAAGGCATGTCTTGATCTTGGTCAGACAAACTGTGACGTTGATTTGATCTTGATTTGATCCTATAGAATCAGTAGCGGCAGATATAATAGTTTTGAGCTTCATTTTAATAACACTTTCCATATTCTTTATAATTGCATCCTTAGCCGTATTCTGACCCTTATCATTATACGGCGGCAAAAAATTTTTATAACTCTTGTTGCTCCCAGAATACTCAGCTACGTAATCACTCACAGGTTTTTTACCTATAATATCAGTCACCCATCGTCCAACCGTCACCGTAAACCCAGTGCCATACTTTTCAACGTATTCCTTCACTTTCTGTTTAATACCTTCCAGCCCGTCCTCTCCACCACCTTGGCCCCTTATGACATCTACACCCTGCTTGATTTCGCTGAGAATACCGTTTTCTACATATGTCTTCAAATCAGTTTTAATCCTTTCCCTCACTTTCAACAACCCCTTTTTTACATCGTTATCCAACTTATTAAGACGACCCAAAACAGTCGTCTCCTTATCATCCTCATCCTTACCAACCGCATCCTCAACTTCGAACTTAAGCATTCTCAATTTCAACAGGTACGCCTTTTCAATATCTCCAACAGCTCTGTTTATACCATCCATTATGCCGGTAAGCCCCTCGTTCGTCTTCCTGTATGCCTCCAGAAGCATTGCTGCCCTGTTCTTCAACTCTTCAGACCTTATTTTAATCACACGCTTATCTTCAGGTATGTTCTCTTTACATTCCTTATCAAGCCTCTGAAGCATCTTCTCACATTTCCCGAGCGCATTTGTAACAACATCTGTTGCTTTTTCCTTCCACTTTCCCAGCTTCTCATTTTCGCCGTTTAGCTGGTCTCCAACGGACCTTAAATTATCAGCTATTTTCTTAACCTCTTTAAGTAATTCAGATTCGTCACCGGGTTGTTCTGGGGTTACTTTTTGCAATGCAGTTCTTATCTGTTCAAAATGCGTTCTAATATCGGTTTCATACGTTGTTTTAAATTCTTTCAACAACTTATCTGTATCATTCTTCGCTGTGTTCATAGACACCTGAATAGCTTTGATTTGTTTCTTCTTCTCAACTTCTAAATCGAAGATTTTATTAATTATTCTTTTCAATCCCTCATCCACCTTCCCCTGTAGGTCAGGAAATCCTTGCTCAATTTTCTTGAGCACACTACTTTCCTGCGCCACCAACTCCTTTTTAACATTATTGCCCTGATCTTCTATTTTGTTTTCAATATTTCTCTGCTGTTTCACTAGCTGATCCTCCACCTGTTTGGCCTGGCTCCCGAACTCCTCTACCTTGGACGAATCATATAACACCTGTACAACTTCTTTCACAGGGTTAATTTGAATGTTTATTTTATCTTTCAGAGCGGGATTTAACATGTTCACATGTTTATTTTGGATAGTCTCAATTTCACCAAACATCTTGGACACGATATCTCTCCATGACTGCAACTGGTCTTGAAGCTTCCTGCCCTGATTGTCCTGCACTAATATCATATATTGATTCATTTTCTCGTCTTTTAATTCGCCCAATTTCATAACAACGTTGCCAGTTTTCTGACCAACTTTCAGTTCATACTTATTAAGCCACTGACTTACCTCCTTTATTTGCCCAGCAAGCTGGGTGGCGCCCTTACCTATAGAATTTTGTAGATACTGGAGAATGCCATCTAATTCAGACGAAACGCTGTATTTTGTCACATTTTCATCACCCTTAACACTCTCCAACACCCCGTGCAAAAACGCCATCACCCCGTCGCAGAGCCTGTCAAGGTCCGAGTACACGATGCCTTCGCCCGAGTAGCCTTTGGAATCAGAGTTATAACCGAGGAACTTTTCTAAGCCTTCAGTGAGATTTGTTAAAAGTTGATTGCAATTATTTTGATCAGTGAAATTGGAAAGACTTTTTTGAAGCTCAGTAAGCTTATTTTGCCGCTCAGTAATATCACCCAAGGCTCTTTCTCTGGCATCCTCAGAAAGATAATGAACGTCATTGTAATGATCATTTTTCTTTTTCTTAAGCTTAGATATTTCATCTTCAGATTTTTCAGATTTTGTGGCATCATCAATTTCCTTTTGAAGCTTCTGACAATGATTGTCATACAAACCACCAGAATTTTTATCAGCGCATAACAGTTCCTTTTGCCTATTTTCAAGACTCTCGCTAGCATTTTTAATAGCCTCTGTAACCAGCTTTTTCAAAGCATTGGCCAATTCCTCAAGTCCATTGGTACCATTCCCATGCTTAACCTGGATCAACCAGTCGATGGACTCCCGGAGATTTTCCGGACAGTCCGTAAGCTTCTTCGGCGCCATCTTCAGAGGCGAGAGACGAATTTATACATAACTTCAAATAACCCACCAGCAATTCGAGGTTGCAGATCCCCGATTCAGCTGCAAAATGCGATAAGCACTGTACGGCTGAATAACAACCTTATTTATGAACACAACTACATTACATGGAGAAGTGCTTGATGCAGGACGCATTTATAAGTCATGGCAAAAGGAGAATCTACCTCGTCCACTGCTTCCCAGTTTTACCACCCAGGTAGTCCCAAATTCAAATCCACTGAAGAAGTGACTTGAAACCCCCTACTACATTAAAAAATTCAAGGACACAAAGAAACAGTCTAATCTTGTGCAAAGCGGGAATTAATGTTCGTCGCAAATCCTCTTACGCTACTCAGCAATTCCACGTTACCCCCATTATCACTACATGGCTTCCATATTAAGAAGCGCATCTTCCGGAAACGTGAATGGTAGCACTATTGTGCAATATCGTGAAATACGGCATGCTATGGATGTGCAGTGCAAACGGTAATGGGAATATCGTTCTCTCTGCAGTCTCCACAAGCCATGGAATCTTAGATGCGTGATATGTGAGAATGTGACATAAATATCGAATATGATGGCTGTAACTAGGAACAACAGCTGACATTGACCTAGATGGAATTCAATTTTATGGGTGAAGAGTGTTAAGGAGGTGGGTGACGATGGTAATTATGGATTGCCTACGAGAAGGTAAAGGCGAAGATGGCAAAGGAACATAATCTACCGGAAATCATCGCCTATAGGCGAGAGAATACTCTCACAATAGTGAAGATCTGGATTAACAATCAAGACAACTTGGTGAAGACGGATGCATGTAAGAGGCGGAAGTATGAAGATCTGGTGAAAGAGATCAGAGGGACAGTGATTAAACAAATGGAGGACGTTAAAGGTGGTACCCTATGTGATGAGAGACATAAAACCTAGAGATGTCTATGAATCTGTGAATGACCCCCGTATCCACACAGGAGGCATTGCATCGTGGATGACACCAATAACGTTCGGCAACGTGACGACGTCGAAACCGGCAGTAAGTGTTCATAATGTGCAGGGTGTAAACCATGCAGTTGAAGGAAAATCAACGTCGCCGTAGTTAACTACTCACAGCATATTAGACAACTTGAAACACAGCTTAATAACAAGCTATCTCCATGTTGTGCGTTTGTTGCCGCCATTCGTTGAGACAGCATGATTTGCTATATTAAGTCATTCATCATTGGTGGTGTCTGTTGTCTTTTGCGTTTTAATAAGTCAATGTAAGTTTTAATAATGGTTTTCCAAATGCTCATTTATTCAATGTTCACTAGAGATTATCATATCCACGCTTTGTAACGTACCCCTCACTATGGACATAGCCCTCTCCGGGCTGTAAGTTTTCCAATGCTGTACTGGAACTCATGTTGTTGCTTTGCCCATGGATGGATGGGGGCCGGTGCTGTGCTAAACCCAATTGACACGCTGCTTTAATATACTAACAACATTATGCCTGTACGAGCGCGTATACAACCTGTAATTGACATTTGTATTGAAGCGATCTGACCATGTTATGTCCAATAAGCCACCGACAATAGAGCTCGACGCCATGTGGCCGCCCGGTGCAATCTATATGACGATAAACCGGGTAACGCATTTTAGCCGAGTAAAAATGTGATGTGAACATAGATGACGCTAGTGGTACTTTTATTGGTTGTATCCTTGTATTAATAATCATAGGCATTCGAATACTGCGTGGCATGGCTCCTGGGCCTATGATGCAGGTCATATGTGAACATTTTGGTATTCGTCCAACTCGACATTGGATTAGGAACGCCAATTAACACTCTGAAGTAGAATGTCTAATAAAAGCATGATGACATCACAAATTGGGAGCCGAACTTCATATAAACCGCTATTAGACATGCATCCGTCATCTGATGCTTGACAAGTTAGGTCGAGGTGGGGAAGCTGACATCCCTTGGTCACACCGATGCGGGAACTCGACTACTGGTTAGCATGTTCCGCTGGTAGGTACTTCAGGTATTAGAGATCGTCAGGAGTGAATATGCTAGTGGGGTACAATAGCTGAGGTTGACATTTAGATGGATGCAGCCTGACGGATTGGCACAGATTTGACATGAATGGTAGACCGATGCAGATAAACAACGTAATGAAATGAGCACCTGTTTGTAAGAAATGTATAAGGGGATCAAGACTCGTTGAGTGTTGCGATATGGTATCGACCTTGGTCAGACATTGGAACACCGCGCATCAATGCCATTGTTTATAACAACCAAAACATATGCAAATTTATTGATGTAAGATTTACATTCGGTACACAACCTTGGGAATAACGATGAGGCCAATAGATGGTGTATTGGCTATGGCATTGACCCTTTCCACGTGCTGGTATGTGGCATCCTTGTGATACGATACTTGAGTTCCATAAACAGACCCACGGAACAAACATCGCTTCGTAACTGGTACAAACCTCAGTTCTATAATACATATCACATACTACATTGAGGGTGAATTGCTTGACTTCAACCTAATATTTCCAGATGCATTGTTCATCGTTCTGCAGGGTTGTTTGTGAAGTGATCTGCGGGCAAAGATGGGGTGGCAACATGCTGTAGCCTACATTGCTGGTGCTCAATTGTCGTCTTCATAAGATCATATATGGTTTTGTATTCGGCTGAGGGGTTCAAATTCTTGCGAGATCCGTTGCCCTACAAATCAGAAGCCTCAATAGAATGAGATGTATTCTCATGAAAGGGTTGAACGATGCGACAATGACGCATATTACGGATGAGATGGGCATTGATCCCCCCCTCCCCCTTCCCTTCCACGGACCTGTTGTATCTTCAGTTGCAGCACGCAGACTTTTGATATCGTAGTTACTTCGTAACGTCGACGTAATGGATTCATGTAACAAATAATATAAACCATTTCACACGTATACATTCATAAAATTGCTCGATCAGCAACATGATCCCATTTATAAACCCGTACTAACCTTGATATAATTAGTGCAATAATGCTTAAATATTTATATAAGATTTCACTAAGTGTAAGATTTTATGTACATAGTTCCTCCAAAACACAGCAGTATTGGGGTCAGTCCACCCCATCATCGCTTGAACAAGAAAGAAAGATCCTCCGAGCTCAGCTTGGTCATGGATTCTGATGATGAAGATATGGTTGCGTCGAAAACTATCATCTTCTTTTCCTGTAGCTCAATGATACGTTCTTCGATCGTGTCCTTGCAGATAAACCGCACTGCATACACAGGTTTTGTCTGACCTATACGGTGGGCACGCTGAATGGCCTGAAGCTCGGATGCGGGGTTCCACCAGGGGTCCATTAAAAAAATGCGATTGGCGATCTGAAGGTTGAGACCCTCGCCACCGGCCTTAAGACTAATAAGCATAACTCGCAAATTGGGATTGTTGTTGAACTCCAGCAGCATGTTACGACGAGCTTCAAGGCTTGTGGACCCTGACAGCACGGCACACTGCACCTGTGCCGTCTTGAGGCGGAATGATATAAGTTCTAGCATCGAGCAATACTGCGAAAACACAAGGCACTTATCGGTGGTTGTAGTGAGTATCTCAGAAATTTCCGCGAACAGCGCCTCAATTTTGGTGCTGGACTTGAACTCGCTCAGTTTAATGTGTTGCAGGATGCTATGCTTGGATGTGCCGTGTGGTACCGCATCGCTATCAGCTCTGCCGGGCGAATATTCCTCCACCTGAGGGGTATGACGGATCTTGATAGTCAGGGCTGCGTAACATGTGGGACAGGTCACAACATTGTTATCGTCACCGGTGACGTCATCAGGCCTGCTTTGGAGGTAATCGTTGAGGCAGGGCTGATGAAAGGAATGTTTGCAGTTTGAGGTGCAGAATTCATCGCTATCCGTCAACTTATCAAAACAAAGTCCACAGCTGCGCTCGTTTCCCGCTGCCGGTAGGCTCTCACTAACGGTCGCCTCGAGTTCCGCCTTTGTCTTCGGATCTGGTGCGCTGCTTGCCTTCATTGCTAGCGAAGAAGGGCCATACAGAATCAAGTACGGATGGTCCACTGCCTGTCGCAACCTCGTAAGTAGGTCGAATATGTGCGCATAGTTGTGGAGCAGCGTGCCCGAGCGAGCATAGGTGTCCTGTGCAAAATTGAGAACGAGGGTTTAGTGCATCAACTTACGAATTTTATGGCTGACTGTTTGTAAAGAGCTTCGTAGAAGTCTCGTTCGAAATCGGAGAGCGCGTCCCTCCGTATGGTCACGTGCATAGGTGGTAGATTCACGTCCTTCGCCCTCTCTGCCTTAGTCCTTCTAAGCATGATCTTCCCAAGGACATCGTTGTGTAGTGCTTTCATCGCCACCTGACCTTCGTTGCTATATCCGCAGTTAAGAATGGGTTTCAAAAGGCGCTTGTTAAAGTATGAGTAGTGTAGAACCCGCGAGTGGCCACAGAAGTCACAGTACTTGAAGTCCGAACAGGAGAACTCGGTGCACTCGCAATTACAACCATACTTGGCACAGAAATTATACGCAAAAGGGTACATTTTGAGGAAGCTTATAAGGCTGAAAACATCGCCAACCCTATTTTGTAGAGGCGTACCCGTCAGGCACCACCTGGCTCCGGATGATCTCAGACGTATTATAGCCTGCGGTCTCATTGAATGACCAATTTAGATAGAAAACCAACCTGAGACGTTGAGTTAGATTTAGTTTTGATCCTATGTGCCTCATCGATCACTATGCGGTCCCAGACCATTTCGTGAAGCACGCTTCCCTCGCAGATAGTTTCATCGGATGCGGAGGAAAGAGCTTTCACATTCTTTTGATCTACAATTTCCCTTTTGATACGCCCTTTCAAAGGCTTGTACACGTTAGAAATTGCGTTTACTGGTTCCACTTTAACTTTTATGTCAGTTACATTCTCATCTACATCTAGCTGGTCAGCCATCTCATCGCTGGGCCCCTCTTCCAGTTTCACCTTTGTTGTAGTATTGCTAATCGATTCTCTACCGCGTTTCATATCGAAACGTGATTCGTCACCATCCGGGTTTTCTACTTTGCCCCTAGTTGTACTCCCTGATCTCAACCTTCGTCGGACCAAAGTATGGTTTTCGTCGTCCTCATCACCATCTGATACCGCATTTTCCGCTTCTTTAGTGGCCAATGAGCTGGGAGTAAGATCATAATCAGAGATAACTTCTTCATTATCGAGTATCTTCTTCCTAGATACTAACTTCTTTATACTGCTTTCCTCAACTTCCAGTTTTACCTCAACATTGTGCAGGTCCACATTAGGGCGGTTTTCTACATCGCCGATAGGAAGCCCATTTTCAGTTGGTTTCCCAGTATTCAAAGCATTCGAATAGTGCTCACTCAACCGGCGCATCTTATTAATGAAGACGATAACCTTGTTGATCAATTCGGCTTTGGAGCCAAAAGCACTCAAACCCAATTGGCCTAATAGAGATTTCAGCTCTACCACTCTTGTGGACTTCAAAAGGTTCATGTCCAATTCATCGGACGAGCCGAAAATCTCCAAGAGTCCAAGCTGTTTCATTTCTCTGATTTTGCTTTTCTCTGCCAGGACCTTCAGTTGCTCCAGAAACCCTTTGACACCACTATTCAAGGATTCCAACGCTGACTCAACATCGTCCTCAGGTATACCTAAAGTAGTGAAAGCATCAGTAATTTCCTAGGAAAGAATTGCTGTACCCCGATAATGTTACCTACAATTTTCAGCAGCTTGGCTCCATAGCAGCCCTCGTCCTCGGCATCCTCCTCCTCTTCCACCTCAACTTTCTGCCGTTTCTACACAAAATGCATATTGTTGTAGCCAAATAATGCCTACCTGTGATCCAGACGAATCGTCCTCTCCCTCTTCTTCATTTTCAGATTCGTCCTTTTTGGCGTTGATCTCGTCTACCGCTTTCTTGATGTCAGGGAACAGCCTGGCGTGAATCTTCAAAACGATTGAACCGGAATCAGCCTTCCGTTCACTAAGTCGTTGCTTCTCCGTACGTACCGCAGTGGGTCCGCAAAAGTATCTCTGGTGCAAGACGAGCGTTTTATGAAGGTACATCCGGCCGCAGTACTGCATAAACATTCAACATACGCTGCAGAGTTAACCCACCTCACACGCTACCTTCTTCTTATTTTGCACTTTTCTGAACTCAGCTTCCACTATTGCATAGGTGGTGAGAACCACATCATATTCATGCAACACATGGGTCAGGCTCTTCCGGTGTCTGAAAAGCGTTATGAAGCAGAGAGCGACGACAACTCACGGCCCATGGTAAAGAAGCACCGACAAATAGCCATCTGTCACCTTGGATTTGATTTCGTTGTACCACTGCAGGAGCGCCGCAAGAGGTGACACTATAAGCGTACACCCTCGGCGATTAAGCATGGATATGTTCTTAGAATCCTTTTTGTCCGACTTCTTTTCTTTTTTGCCTTTCTTGTCAGGTTTACTTTCCGGCTTGTAAGTCACTTGCGATTCTCCCTCTGGCGTGTCTTTACTATTGGAGACACTTCTTTTAGTTGACGTTGACTTTCCGGCCCATTTATCGCCCGGTTCTATTGCTGTCGACTTCTGTTGCGCTAACAATGCATCTCGCTTTGCAGCGATCAAAAGGGCAATCGTTTGTATGGTTTTGCCCATACCCATTTCGTCGGCCAAGATTCCCCCTTTTACAGGTCCCTTTTCTTGGTGGTACATCCACGTGACTCCGTCCTGCAACATCATCACACGGCACAACCAGGCACCATACCCTCTGAAACGGCAACAACGGCACCAGCAACTCGGGAGGTTGCGGTAGGGTCTCCAGCTTCGGGATTCTCGTTGCTGTCTCAACTGCGTCCCAGATCTCGAACTCCTCGTCCAACTCGTCCGGATTTTCCATTACTGCCCTTATCGTTGTGACGATAGTTTTCTGCAAGGCTCCAAGTCCATCGAACCCATACGCATGCTCGATAAGGTGAGCCAGAAGGGGATCATTTTGCTCCGTCCCTTCATCTTTCGTGTCTGTCCCTGCGACAAATTCGATTAATAATGGCGCATCTACTAACCCTTAGATTGGTCTTTATCAGCGGCTTCATCCTTTGCCGTTTTAGCTGCCTTCCCTTTTGCATTTTTGCCTTTGGTTTTGGCACCACCAGAGTTCGGAGCATCAGCACTGCTGGTTTCCGTCTCATTCGTGGTAGCCGCTTCTGCCTTAGGCTTCCTGCCTCGCCTAGTCTTGGGGCCAGGTGCCGTAGAATCCTCGCCACTCGTTGACGCTGCTTCACTTTCTTTATGAGTGTCAGCTACATTGTCCTGTTGAGTAGTTGTTTGCGATGACTTTAAGCTATTAAGCTCTAGGATACACACCAGTGCTGGAACGGCGCAATTTACGTGTCTCCAAAGTGAAATAAAGCCGTATGGTCCACGTATGCTCTTAACTGGAATGCCGACAATTACGCCGTTCTTGCCGATGGTCCCTTGGCATTTCTGGCACTCCACAGCAGCTGAGATTGTATTGAAAAGGTGTTTATACCGTGCTTAATCAATGTAGCATATCACTGTCACAGTTCTGGATCGAATCGTAGTATTAGACAAATGCACAGGCAATATAACTGGATTGTATTCGTTGTTTAAAATACGTCAAAAGCCATGGAAGGTCAACCTTCCATGCTGTGCTAACGCCATTAAACGCCGAATACAGAACAGAAAGCTCACTCAGCGTAAATTTAACGACATATCAAGGATACGACGGGAATGCGGCAACATACTGCGATTGTGTTTCCGGATGATGCACTTATACTTCAGGATGTCCTTTTTACGCTTCCCTTTGAAGTGGCTAGCGGTACTGGGCGACATCCACTCTCCGCTGTTCACATCCAAGAGGCAGTTGACGTAGAGCAGATTGCTGGGTGTGTGCCACGCAGCCAGAGAACTGGAATCCGCCATATTTGCAATATGTAGTATCTGAATCAATCATTAAAAATTTAGCAGATTCATTTATGAACTTTACGGAGTGAGCTAGTCAGCTATACCAGCGTATGTGTTAGCGACATCAAAATAATATCGTCTCCTAACCTGTAAATTTGGCCTCCCACTGTGGGCAAGATGGCCGAGTGGTCTAAGGCGCAGCGTTTAGGCCGCTGTCAGTAATGGCGTGGGTTCGAACCCCACTCTTGTCACCATCTTTTCCGCCCATCGCTAGCTTATAGCTATATGTGATGGCAGCGATACGTCGGTGGTTCACAGTGGTACATGTATCACCAATCCTATGCACTTTCTGTGCCAACGTATATAAAAGTAGTGTATTACATCATAATATTAACACACAATTCGGGGCTGCTCTCAGGACAAGATGGCCGAGTGGTCTAAGGCGCAACGTTAAGGCCGTTGTCAGTAATGGCGTGGGTTCGAACCCCACTCTTGTCACCACTTTTGGCCTATTTTTTCACGCAAACCAACGTACAAACGTCTCTAATGACGCTAATAGTGCCGACTTTTGTCGAATTAGGCTAGCTGATTCGCCGCTATGAGCGGAATACGCACAAAGCACGTAATCGGCGATGTGCACATAAAATCGCCACCATTTCACATCGCTGCCGCTTCCACGGCAACACGACCTATACGTGTGATAGTGTAGTTGTGGTTAATCAGCAGTTGTCGTTACACATAGCTTGGACGGCGGATATTTGGTCACTGTCGGTGGGACACTCCGCCTAACGCTCACCCCATAGCTCAAGTAACCCCGGCATCCGCGGCGCCTCCGCGTAATATCACAGACCTATTAACCGAATATATCGGGAAACAAAGACACTGTTTGACTGCGAATCGTTAGGTACGTTCTCGACCTGTACAGCCCTCCGTTTCGTGCGCGCGCCTTCGCCCACCAGGGTGTCGCGAGTTTGATGCGTAATATGGCAACCCGTCGGTACCGTGTGGTTGAGTTGCACACTTCAATTGCGTTTATTTGATTTTCATATATTTTGGGATCATATCAGTCGCAGGTTCTCGGATTTATCGTATATAGTCAGGATGAAGGTCAGCAGAAGTAAGTCATCACTCCCTCACCTGCTCTTACCCTTTTGGAAACCCACTAATTATTTGTACAGAGGTGTCTTCTAGCCGCAGGAAGTCCCGCAAGGCCCACTTCACCGCGCCCTCGTGCAAGAGGCGCATCATCATGAGCGCCGCGCTCTCGAAGGAGCTGCGCCAGAAGTACAAGGTGCGCTCCATGCCCATTCGCAAGGACGACTCCGTGATGGTCGTGCGTGGCCACTACCACGACCGCGAGGGCAAGGTCACCCAGGTCTATCGTAAGAAGTGGAAGATCTACATCGAGCGCATCACCACCGACAAGAACAACGGCGAGAGCGTGCAGGTGGGCATCCACCCCAGCAACGTTATCATCACCAAACTTCGCATGGACAAGGATCGCCACCGCATCCTCGAGCGCAAGGGACAGGCGGCCATGAAATCTAAGTACACTGAGTCCGACGTTAAGGCTTAGGTTGGCTGGCTTTAATGCGCTCTCAGACCTTTCGGTTTGGTAATATTGGCATCATGCGATATATATCTTCGACGAATGTGACGTAGTCTATGCGCGGGGTGCTCTGCGGGATGCCCAGCAGCTCGAAGAGGTAGTTCACCTCCGACTGCTCGAGCTTCTCCCCGCGCGTTGTGAGTAGCCTTATGAGCTCCCTCGTGTCGATGAAACCTGAACGGACATTTATTTGGAGCATTGGTTTCGTTTCGTGATGGCGGTGGATGCATGCGGAGGTACGCCGTGACCGCAGACTGCACTTACCCGTGTTATTCTTGTCGAACAACATCAGGGCCTCCCTCACCGCTCTTTCGGTGGGCGGTGGGGTGAAGTGTTGCACAAAAATGTTCACAAAGGCCTCAAAGTCCACGCCTGAAAGCCGTGCATGTGTATAAACTCCACATCAGTACCTGTTGACGGAGCGTTCTTGAATGCCTCTGAAACATTGTTACCGATTTCCGCATGAGCAGTCAACCTACCCTCGACTATCTGGTCGAGACGCTTGTTCGTTATGGCCTGGCCGAACGACCGGAAGAGCAGTCGGAACTGCAGAGAGCTGTCGGTACCACGGATGCAAACACACCTCGGACTGGTTGATGCAACCATCTCCATTGCTGTCTACCAGCTTGAAGTGGTTCCTATACGCAATATGTGCGGATGTGAAACGACTACTATCGCCAGTTGTTGAAAATGGGCGATGTGTACGCGGCGCTTTGCGCGTAAACCTACTCGAACATAACCAGATGCTCCGCACTCAGGCGGAGGTGTGGCCGAGGGGCCATAATTATCGACGCTCGTATGAATGTGCAGCGTCTACAACAATGATTGTGCCTTTTAGAGTCCCTATTACGGGCTCAGGGAGTGCCCTGGGGAACCGGGCGCCAGACAGTACGGATGCCGCGGTTGGCAACGTCAATGAGAGGCATTTATCGCACAGATTCCGCATCTGACATTATGCCCTTCATTGATACTATATGAAAGGATGACTATCTCTCGTGCCCTTTTAGGGCGATCCTTCCTCTCCCCGAAGCTCATCCTCGACCGTACGCCGTTAGGGTCGTTGTTCTCAGCTTCTAAGAAGAAGCAGTATACGCCGACTCTACGTCAAGGTACGTCGGTAGCATTGCCCTCAGATTGGCGTGCCGGTTGAATTCGGTTTGCGTTATCATTGCCGCCGTTACTATAACCGGCCGACATCAATAGTTGCGACTACTGTCTAATATTTGATCAGGAGAGTACCAAGTGCTACCACCACAGCCAATTCCTGCGCATATAATACGCCCGCCGTACGCTGATTCGCGCGACGAAAGCGAGTTACGCAAGTACTACTCGCAGCCCTGCGTACATGCGGAGGTCAAAAATGCCCGGCAGATTGAAGCCATGCGCGCAGCGGCGCGCGTCGCTGCCGACTGCCTAAAGCGGTGCATGGACGCAACTGCGGAAGGCGCTACTGCAGAGGACATTGATCGCTTGGGGCAGGACTTCATTGTGTCACGAGGGGCCTACCCGGCTGGCGTGGGCTTTCACGGATTCCCGAAGGCCATCTGCATTTCGGTCAACGAGGTCGCCTGCCACGGAATACCCGACACTCGCCCATTTAAGCGTGGCGATGTGGTATCGTACGACTGCACGGTGTTCCACGAAGGCGTGTTTGGAGACTGTGCCGCCACAGCTGTAGTAGGTGAAGCCACCGAGGATGTCAACACGTTGGTACGCGTGGCTAAGGTTAGGTGGTGTAACAGTAGTTTGTCATAGAGTGTAGGAGTGCGTAGACAAGGCGGTGGCTGCCGTTGCCCCTGGTGTCGAGTTCGCACGACTGGCCGAGATCGTCACCTCGCACGCCAACGCCTTCGGGCTTGGGGTGGTACGGGAGTTTGGCGGTCACTTCATAGGCGAGCTTATGCACATGCCGCCGATGGTGCAGTTCAAGCACCCCAGCTCAACGCCCGGCGTGATGCAGGCGGGGCAGGTGTTCACCATAGAACCCATCATTTGCCAGGGCGACCCCGCCATCTACACCTGGGAAGACGGGTGGACGATCGCCACGTGCGATGCGGGATTTTGCGCGCAGTTCGAACACACGGTCCTGGTCACGGACACCGGCTGCGAGGTGCTAACTCTGCCGCAGGGCTAATGCGATATTAAATAAGTTAGTGTTGCTTCCGACGAGCATCATTCGATGTCCGGCTCGTCATCGTCGTCAGATGCTCCAGAATCATCATCTACCTTCTTGGTTTTCGGTTTCAAACCGATCAGTTCGTCTTTTCGGCGTCGTTTGGCAAATGTGCCATCGTCGTCCTCGTCATCGCTCTCTTCCTCGTTGATGCCCGAGCTGGATGGCTCACCTACGCAGTGAGTAGAATGTGATACTCCTCCCGAAGCGGCGCTATTGTCCGCGTTATCGCCTGATTCATCCTTACCGGCGGCGTCGGACACAGAGGTGGTTCGGTTGACAGCAGACCGTTCGCCTTTAACGCCCCCAGGTAGCTCACGCTCAGGATTTAGGAAGTTGTAAAGGGCCGTTTTCCTGTACCCGATCCACGCCTCATCCAATGGCGTGGCGTCCGGCCCAACCTCCCTTAGCTCAACAGGGTTGTCATCTGAAATGTAGTCATGTGCGATCCAGGAGAGGATCTCGACTTCAGAACACGGGCCGTATATTGTGCCATCTCCGCGCACCCACCGGAACTGGTATCGGGTAGGGGGAGCCGATTTACCTCCGCGCTTGGGCCGGTTTTTCGCCGCAGCAAGCGAGTTACGGATGTCTTCCTTCGTCATGTAGTACACGTTCTGCCAGATTATGGTGAGCACGTGCGCAAGGTCAGATACGTCGTACTTGCTGAGATCGTTGGGCCCTGCCCCTTTCTTGTCCTTGGTGTCGGCGCCCTGGCTGGCATCCGTCGCATTCCGCTCCTGTTTACGGAATCCGGGCAGGCAACGCTTCCCAGATCGCTGGCGCTTAACCTTCAGCGCATCCACAGGGGTCTCTCCAGGTTCCAGCAACGCGATAAGTCTCTTGATAATATCAATTGTAGGGACGTCCTGCAGCTGCTCCATCAAGTCGGGACTCGACGCAGAGGCGCGGACCGGTTGCTTTGCGTAAAACGCACTATTTTCACTCTGCAGATCAGTGTAACATGAGTCATAGCAGCGGCAAGCGTACCTTAAAGGACAGCGAATTTTGCTCCTCGAGGGATGCAACCCAAGGGTCGTCGCCCTCGTCCCGGTTGAGGGACTTGTTTGTCGAGGTCATCTTCCGGTTGTTTTCGAGGTAAGTCCCCGCCGTGTCGAACGCCCCCTCCTCCATCTCGCGACGCATGTGGAACGGCTCGATCGTGACCCCGTCTTCATCCTCAACATGGTCGGCCTGCACAAAGTGTAACGGATCCAACATTGCTAGGCCCACGAAATGGGCAGCGGAATCCAGAAGACACCTACCTCCGCATCTCCAGTGGCTCCTAATGAAGACTTCTCCTCATAATCAAGATCTCCATCACCGAAACTCAAATCAGAAGGCTCGGCGATGCCACGTTGCCGCAGCCGTCGCTGGTCCTTGATGCGGTTGATCTGTGGCTACATGAGCGGAGGCACATCTACTATACACATCTTAAATATACAGCCTGAGGATGGACCTGGCAACATCTGGACCCCCGTAAACGGCGCCGAAACGAAGGAGGAAAGTTGCGTCGCAGACTGCGAGAAAAAGACAACTCACCTCGTGCGGAAGGTACATTTTTATAACATAACTAGCGAGCAGCTACAACATAAATACTATATTATTCAATCTGACCGCGTCGATAACCAAAACTTCCCATCGCGAATACCTCCGGCGGACGATAGGGTACACCGCTACCACTTGCGACCTGTTGCCACCGCCCACGCAAGCCTCCCCTCACACATCGGCCAAGGCTACCGCCTACAAGCTGCTTAGAGGTCATTCACAACGCCTGGTGGACTGATTTGTGTTCTGCCTCGTGCCGCAATGGAGGATGCCGGTGGCGTCATCCGCGTAACCGTCAAATGGATGGGCAAGCGCTTCAACGACCTCGAAATCAACCTTGACGATAATGTCGAGGTGCTGAAGACGCAGCTGTATTCCCTCACGGGAGTACCGCCGGAGAGGCAGAAGATCATGTACAAGGGTCTCATCTCAGACAACACCGACCTGCGCGAGAAGGGTTTAACCAATGGCACGACCCTTATGCTGATCGGCACTGCGGAGAAGCTGGTGGAGCGAAAGGAGCCAGTGCGCTTTTTCGAGAACATGACGCCGGAGGAGAAGTCGGCGGTACTTGGCTCCGCGAAGGTAAAGAGGATCCCATGCGTAGGTGGCTCACTATGGCAAATATATCACGCAGGGTATCATGAATCTGGGCAACACGTGCTACTTCAGTGCGGTGTTTCAGTTCCTACAGCCCGTTACTGAGCTTTGGGAAGGCATCGAGCTGCTGGAGGCCAAGGACGCCATCGACAACAAGTCCGATCGTTACCAGCTGACCAAATCGCTGCTGGACATGCGTCGCACCCTGCCATCGACTTTAACGCGGTTCGTACCGCTCCAGCAGATGCAGCTTCTTAGAAGGGTAAATCCGCTCTTCAACCGAACCGACGAGAAAACCGGCGTTTATCTGCAGCAGGACGCCGAGGAATGTCTCAGCTGTCTGCTCAGCTGCATCAACGGCCTGGCCGACAACAAGATCACCGACGAGATTTTCGGGTACATGCTCTCGACGACCATCCGACCAAAGGAAAGGGCGGAGGACGCAGCGGCTGCGAAGGACGACTCAGTCACGAGCGAGTGCAGCTTCAAACTGAATTGCTACATGGGCACGCAACTGAAATCGGTCGGCACGCTCATGGACGGCATTATGATTTCGCTGAATGAGGACATCGTCAAGTTCAGCGAGGAGTTGGGCGCCGATGTTCCCCACGAGAAGGTGGCCCGCATCTCGACACCTCCGAAATACCTCATTGTGCACCTCGTGCGGTTCGAGTGGAAGCAGGAGAGCAAGGTCTCCAAAACGGATGCCGTGAAAGCCAAGGTTTGCCGCCGTGTGAACTTCGAACGCGAATTAGACATCACATCCATTTGCACTGAGGTGAGTTCGAGTCGGGTTATCGGCATTGTCGACGGCTGAGAATGTCTTAAGCCGCTTTCATATTCAGTAATGCGCTCACAATTTATTATGATGATGGATACATCGCCATTTTTGATTAATGAATGCGTGTTGCCCCGCTGTTTGAGCCATACCCGCAAATGATTTTGTTTTGGTCTCATGTAAAATGAGTTTTGTATTACCACCAGTCCTATTTGCCCGGAGTGGCACATATTATTGTACGTGTTTCCACATCTATGTGTGATCCACGAAATTAATTTCGCCACAGGAGCTACAGCCACTGCTGCGTGAAGCCAACGCCGTGGCCATGCAGAAGGACTTCGACATAGGCAAGGCCAACAGCGCGGGGCCCTTCAAGGGATACGAGATGTACCCGGGGATGTACGCCACGGGAAAATACACGTTGCAGTCGGTGGTCACGCACCAGGGACGCACAGCCGACGGAGGCCACTACGTCTGCTGGACCAAAGACAACAATGAAGGTGGGTTACGCACAAACCCATAAAGCAATGTTCGCAGCAACTAAAGGCGAGGAACCGGACTCAGAGATCCCAGCCGGCGATGGCTGGCTGATGTTCGACGATGACCGCGTGACCGAATACCGTTGGGGCAACTTCGACCTCTGCGGAGGTAGGAGTGACTACCACATCGCAGTACTGCTACTGTACAAGGCGCAGTGCGTGAGCGTCAACACCGAAGACGCGGCAGATAACGCTGAAGGCGCAGCGACGTCTTAAAAAGCAGTGTCATACGCCGCAGTCTGACGCCGACCGTGCTATTCCAGACCCTGGTGGCTGTATAACTTAATCGTGTGCTACCGCAGTTTGTTCGTATCCTTTAGGCATGACAAAAATGTAAATCTGCGTGTTTCGCCGCAGCAGGTTGATCTACGTCCTTAGGGGGTGCCCTTCGAGCGCGACTTGCCTCCCGCATTGGCAGTGCTTCCTGACTGGAACGCTGGACAAAATACTTGTATTTTAACAACCACGAGTCATGGCGGATGAAGAGGTAGTCGCGCCCGAACAGGTGTGCGAGGCGCCGGTGGAGCCGGCCCCTGCCGAAGAGGTAACCACGACCGAGGAGCCAGCTCCGGAGACATTGTCAACGGACCAGCCATCTAATGAAGCAACAGAGGCGCCAGCTGAAGAGCCGAAGCCTGAAGAGACCACAGAAACCGAGCAGCCAGCAGTGAAGGAGGAGGAGAAGCACGACTCGAACAAACGTAAGTTGACGGCAACCGATCGGCTGACATCGGCCAATATGACGTTACTAAGCCGCTTGTAGAGTCCCAGCCCGCTGATGACCAGGTGAAGTTTTTCGTTGGAGGCCTGCACCCATCTGTTGACGACGGTAGGTCACTTGATGACTACACGCCTTGCATCGCTTTTTGCAAAACGTGGAGTATCTATGTGACATTGGCACATTCCCGCGTCTGTATGCTCGTTCTAGTTGAAGCGATACCCTTGTTCCAGCTGTCTGCTGTCCTTAGTCTTGTCATGCCGTGCTGTCTTTTCATATGTATTAATGAGTGTATTTTCTCTGGAATACGTGTGCAAAATCTATCTATGTATGATTTGTAGCGTGTAGCATGATTGGTATTCACCATTGACTATAAAGTTTTGTGCTTTTAATGTAACATCCGTACCATCCGAACTACCGTGCGGCTACTATTCTGCTTCTTATTTTGACCGTCGTTGCCCATTATTTGGCCCTGTGTAGCGTTGTTTATAAACCTTCTATCATACATATTTACGTACTGTTGCAGAGGTTATAAAGGGTCACTTTTCCAAGTATGGGCGCGTTGTTTCCGTGCAGATCATGCGCGACTTCGCCACTGGGCGCAGTAGGGGCTTCGGTTTCGTCGCCGTCGTCAGCCAGGACAACACGGAAAAGGTGTTCACGGACGATCATATGCTCAATGGGAAAAGGGTGGATGTGCGCCACATGCAACAAGAACCTGGTTCCACCGTCAAGCGCAAAATATTCGTCGGGGGCATCTCAAAGGCGCTCAGCGAGCAGATGTTGGAGGATTATTTTGGCAGGTTCGGAACGATTGAAAAGGTTATTATAATGAGGCAAATCGACGGCAGTTCAAGGGGGTTCGGGTTCGTCGTCTTCGCGGTGGACGGTGCTGCCGAAAAGGTGCTGGAGTCACCGAGCCACTTCGTGTACGGCTCGAAAGTCGATGTCCGCGCCGCTGAATCCCGTGGGAAACCATATTCGGGCCGTACGGACGCGTATTACAAAACGCTTGCGCAGGGCATGAGGACGAACAGCCACGATAATGGGAAGGGTATGCCTTACTCACGGTCGCATCACATGCAGCCGCCAGTGATTCCCCCACCATCAGGAGCACCGGTCGTCGGGTACGACCCGCAGGTGCTCCAGCAGCACATGATGTACCAGCAGTATGCCATGCAAACGCAGTACGCCTACTATGCGCAGCAGGGTGGGGGCCCAGGTGGAAGGGACCCGTCCCGCTACGTGCCTCATCGTCCAACCAACTTCGGAAACCAGCCATACAGCCAGAATAACATTGCACGATCCTACAGACCAAGGCCATATTGATTTAAAAACAAACGAAGCCATCATTCCGGTCTTGCAGGTGTCAATCCTGCACGACAAAATTTTCCAAAAAACTGCCGCAGAGGATATGAACGTGTGGTCCGTCCGAAATTCGTTTGATGGCAAAAAAGGCGGCATTCGACAAATACATGTGTGGGAATTACCGTCTATACACGTAGAGGCACCCTTAAAATTTTGCAATCAAAAAACGATTACGGGTGAAGGTAGTTGATCTGTGTCGAGTAATGGTTGTGCGGGATTTGATATCGAGGGGAACGTTGATGCAGCCTTACTCGGCCAATTTTAGATTCCTGTGGACTACAATGATCAACTACGAAAGTGGACGTCGTACACTAGGAATTGGGCCTTTACGCCAACCGGTATCTGCCGGCATAGGACATACAGGGCCACGTCTGTGATATGAAGCGCTCTCAAGGAACCACCAAACAAACCCACGAACACGTTACACGTCATTGTACGTTATGCGAGGTGCACTGTGCGACACACGTAAGGAGGTATTGGTTAGCGTCTGATTGCGTTGATCTGAGAGCGGCCTGCAAACCACGAGACAGGCGCGAGTTAATGCTGCCGCACGACACAGACAATAAAAATTTACGGGCCATGCAGGCTACCGGATACATTAGGGAGCGTCGGTGTCGCCTTTAGTGTACCAATCTGCGGTACAAATGGCCGTCACAGCGAAGGGGGTAGATGATGGCTTTTATGCCTAAATCTACAACTTCGTTGTGAAATGCCAATGACATGGTTAATAGTAATGCATATTATATTACACAATCCACGGTGGTTGGTGGTAGAGCACCCTTCACATCTGTCCTTGTGAGACCGTAGTGTTGCGTCAGTTTGTTGCTCAGCACCGCCTAGCTAACCGCAGGAAAACAACCAAATATCAGAGTTGCGGCGAAATCTAGTGGAATTCTTAATCTTTCCATTAGATCACTGCCCATCATCTGTATTCAGGGCACAAGACACGATGTCGCTGGCCCGTTTTGAAGCTTTTGCTTCTGCCGCCAACGTCTTCCAGCGGTACACATCGGCATTTAGAGCTCAATATTGTGCTTATGCGACTAGTTTGTGGAAGGATGGCGGATGCCGTTACAGCAGAGTGTGTAAGTGACTACACAAATACAGCGAGCTCATGTACCAGCAGTGACGGATAGGAGTTGCAGGAGCACTCCAACGTGCTTTACCTGGCGCAGATGGGCGGCATCAGCTGCGGCATCGCGCTGTATCGTGGACGAAACGGCAGTAGACCAGGGGTTCCAAAGAGGAAATGCCGTACCGCATGGCCAGCCGAAAATAGGCGAGGTACAGGCGCACATTGTAGCCGATTCGCTGCACCTAGAGCCGCTTAAGAATGACTTGAAGTCAATGGGAGCGAAAATTTCTATGCGTGGTAAGTTGTGTTGCTTATTTATAACACGGAAGGATGCAATGTAACGGCCGGTGGAAATGGATGTTGTACATGCAACGTTAAATGATATAAAACCATTGCTAGCTCATGTTTCTGCCTGTTCTGAGTATGGATTGCAATGTATTATACCGCTTACTTGCGTTTTTGACAAACACTTTGAGTTCGGCCATATTGATGTTGCCTGTCCTTGCATAAGGTCACGTCGTATCTTTGCGTCCATAAACTTTTACATCTAATTGATGGAATCAATCGCGCGCATTTACGCTTATGATGATATAACATGGCTGTTACCCATTTCTCGCAGACGGACTCACGCTAGTGGAAGAATGCAGTGAACTCGGCCACAAGGAGGGGCTAGTATTCATACACAAAGTGAGTTATCTACATTGCGCAAATTTGAGAACTGATGGCGTGATACTAAGTTTGAGTCCGAATGGGATTAATGCGAATGTTTCGATTTCGCCGTAATTGTAGAATGCTGTTCACGTGGCCACTGCAAGGTGCAACACTGGCCACGTTGATGATGTCACAACTAACAGAAGCCGATGATACCCTAAACAATGCAATTTCAGAATGGTTCTATCGTACTCTGGGATGCGGCAACGGCCGCATTCGCGGGCTACAGGAAGGTCATGGAGCAACATGTCATGATGTGGGTTTCGCGAAGCAGGTTTAAAACACAAATTTTCGCAGACCACTGAAACTCCCGAAGACAGTTATCGAAGAGTTCAGCGAAACCATCGATCTGGTCGATGGCGACCGCAGTCGCATTGTCAAGGGGGTCCTTCACCTCGGCAAGGACCACACCATCGCAGATAAGGTACGAACATGTAAACTGCCTAATACGCTATATTCATACAGGTTGCAGTATCTCTAGCTATGATGTCCGCGGTACAGCTCAACAATGTCGAGCTCGCCATCCGTCAGAAGATCGTCGTCAGCAACGCCGAGCTCGACCGGTTGCGCCAAAGCATGTCGAGGCGCAACCTGGACAAGCTGGCGGAACGCCTCTTCGAGTACCAAACCTACGCGCACCACACTAGGTACTGGCTTAATCTAGAGCACGACCTCCTCGAAATCCCGGACTCGCTGTGGGAGGACGACCACCTGAGGGCGCTCTTCCGGTCAACTCAGGCGGTGTTCGACATGCCTCCTAGGCTCGAAAAACTTAACCATCGCATTTCGTGGCAGCTGGAGTCCCTACAGTCGCACTCTGAATTCGTGCGGCACAAACACTCCTCCCGGTTGGAGAAGATTATAATCCTGGTCATCACCTTCGAGCTTGCGCTGGGACTCACGCAGGCTCTCTACAAGCTCGTGTGAGGCTCTTAGCTCACACTTGCCGAAAATCGCGACACCGAAACCGCCACATAATCTTACAGAAAGGGCACATGAGCCGACTAATTTTGCGTCGTCCGCAAACTGCATTTATGAGGACCCGAGACGGACGCCGCGACCGATGAACCCGACATGTGTCTGCTGCTGGCGACCCGCCGGAGTGTACGCGTAGGATCCGGGGGCGCTGTAAGCCTCGCCCCTGCGGAAGTCCAGCAGGTTCTCCATCTTCTTAGCCACGTAGTCGAAGCAACGCGGGCAGACAGCGAAGAAGTTGGGAAATCCGTGTGAGGGCAGAACCTCGCGCATCAGGTAGTAGATGTGGCCGGATATGATGCCGATTATGTTCACTACCATAGGCGCGCCCATAATGAAGTTGAAGAACAGCATCGCGAACGGCAGCTGGTACGCCTTCACCGTGAATATGTAGAAGTGGACCGAATTCCACATGTCGCGCTTCGACCAGTAGTACACGACCGCGAACAGAAGCCCTTCACACAACATCGGGTACCCATTCGGCCAGTATATCATCAGGCTGATCACCGAGACCAGCAGGATCTGGATCACCACGAAGTAGAGGTAGGCGCCAACCGAAGACGCAAACACCGGATTGCGCTCCAGCATCGACGAGAACTGGGAGAACATGTACGTGTGCATAACCCACCGCAGCGAAAACGGGCCCGCGTACAAGCATCCCAAGAGAATCCGGTGCACTTCATACTTGTAACGGATATTCTGCCAGTCGAACAGCAGTGACTGCGGCGCGGCTATCTTCAACGTCGTAACCAGCGTCAACACGAACGAAAGGGTGATTATCATGCGCGTGATGCGCGGTAACGACGCGTACCACACCTCCGGCCCGTTGCCGTCCATTTGGCAACGTAATCCGTAGAGCCTCCGTTTCGTAAATCGGCCAGGCAAGGGCCGAGAATAATATGCGATTGGTGTCAGCCACCTCTAGTGGCGGTGACACAGGCAAACCAACAAAACACGTGCCCGCAAAGTCTTGTTACGCGAAACCTATGTGCAGGCCGCCACAATTGCGGTGCGGCAAACACACACCGAAAACATCACTTATCCAAGTCCCGGATTCTTTATATACTCTTTAAATTGCCGACACTAAGCAAAAAATCGAATGTGAAACTCGTATGTACGCTTTCTATTGTGCTTTCCGTGAGGTGTGGCACATCCGATGCAGACCCCGAAAATTCACCAAAAATTGGGATTCAAAAAAATCTGTCTCCAATATAGCGGATAAATTACCATCGGTCACTGCAATAAGTGACTCATGTCCTCAGCGATGCCTCGATCCGTGATCAGCGTCCAGCGTTGCTGTTGTCGTGGACACTGCCGACGTTGACCGTTATCGACGGTCCGTTAGAAGAGATTTGTGTGATTCCCGAGGCGACATTTTCAATCGTATCTGCGGGATATTAGCTAGACAGGTCAGGGCTCGAGTTGAGCCCGAATCACAGTGGACTTCTATCCACTGTGCCACGTCCACCCGGCGTTGGCTGCCATATCGCCCGTGCTAGGTTGCCTAAATAGCTGCTGCGATGTCGGCACCTAAGTCGGGGGAGGTTGATAAACCGGAGTTGTTGCGCGAGGACGGCTCATACTTGTCCCATCTGGTTGAGGGCATGCTGCAGGAGATGGGTGTATCGCACTATGACGTTCGCACGACCCATTTGCTGGTGGACCTATTGCAGCGTAAGTAGTACCACATGTTAAAGCGTGTTCGTTTTCGAGTTGTACACTGAAGCGCCACCGTTGACGGTTCATGCACTGTCTGGTGTCTGCACCGGACCCTGCTCGGCAAGGGCTCTCCATTCCATGGGCACACGTTGACTGTGTATATGATACATATTGGCGTGTGTTTCAGCCGGCTGGAGCTGTGCTATACACGGAATTTAGTGGTGGCGCTATGTGGTCATTTGCGTGAACTATCGATTTGTATTGGTGTGGCCCTTTGGATGCGCAACCTTGTCTATACGTCTTCATGTGGTAGTGATGCACAGTGTACATAGAGCGAGCGAGTTTAATACACAATGCTTCTTTATACGAATCGCTATACAACGTGCAGGGGAGTCGCTTTCACTGCTAGACGATGCCCAGCAGCAGAGCGAGATTCGCATATCGCAGGAGAAGCAGCGCTTACTGCTGAATTCCGCAGCCTCTGCCAAGCTGCCGAAGCTGAGCGTGACAGTCAGTGAGGAGGACGCCCAGGTGGCCTGCAAGCAGTACCTCTCTCGAAACATTGAGAAGTCGTCCTTCCTCACGGTACGGAACACAGCACAAATGTCAACATTGCACACCAGGACATCAAGGAGATGCAACGTTACGCGAACAGCGTGCGCCTCGGTGTCAAGAGCATCTCCGTGCCGCCGTCGAAGCAGAGCAGGGGATTCCTGGCAGCCTTACGCTCAAGCGAGTAGGTGATAACTGCGCCATATTAAGCCTGCCGTAGAACAGCAACGTTGGGGTTCTTCCCCGCTGGAACGCCACCGCACCTCCCCGAGAACATCTCCGTCAACACCCTGGTAGGTGACTGCGTGATGCGGCTGATGTGGCTCAGTTGCCGAATTGGGACGTCACTCCGAAAGAGGACCAGTGACGGCGCAGTTGCCCCAATGTTAGTGCGTGAGTGTCACGGTGTCTGTGCGAGCCGTAGCTCCGCATTTACTCCCATGTTGTTGATCCTTACGCTCAACAAGACTGGCGGCTAATGCCGTAGTAAAGCAACGTACGGCTGGATTCCGCCCTCAGTTGCGTCAAAACTGTTGTAACATAGCTATTTGGCGCTTTTCAGCCTTTTGTGTAGCCTGCCTGGTGTGTTACTGGATCCGGGCCCCGTACACATTCCGATGGGGTACCGACGCGACGTAATATTCGTATGCCGGTATCCAAAACCGCGGCCACAACGTACACACCGAACCCACCCGTGTACCACGGGTATCGCACGCAGTGAATGGCGACCGTCGAGGAGATAACCTCGCGCTTTGTCGCGCTCAACGCGCGGCGCGAGGCAATCGACGCCGAACGCGCTCCCAAATGCGCACCTGGCGCGCGTATAGGATGCTGCACGTACCCGGCGGACCTCATCGATGGCTACGTCGCGCTGAACGAGGCCATCCTGGGAGCCCCCGGCGACCTGAAGGATGCCGCGACGCAGCCTACCACGGCGGCAGCCAGCCACTCGCTGAGCGTGCTGACAGACGAGCGCGTCATGTGCATCTGCGAGGACGTTTTATACGTGATTGTCTACCATTTGATCGAGACGAAGCAGACCGACGCCATGCTGGGCGCCCTCGTGCGCAATGAGGCCTTCTTCTGCGTGCTGCCGCAGGCGAAGACCGCCAAGCTGGTTCGGAGCGTCCTGGAGCGCCTGTCTCAGGAGGTGAAGGACTTGGACGTGCTCTACAAGGTCTTCAGCATCTACCGCGGCTGGTGCGAGTCGAAGAAGCGCACCTTCCTCGGGCTCAGGCTGGACCTAAAAATCGCGATTCTGCTTTTGCTACGGAGGAACTACTCCGCTGCCCTTAGCACACTCGATCGGCTGCAGCAGGAGGTTAAGGCGCTCGAGGACAAGCCGCTGCTGCTGGACATATACCTGGTGCAGGCAAAGGCATGCCTGCTTGTGCGCAACGTCGTGCGCATGAAGATCGCACTCAGCAACGCCAAGAACATCGCGTCCAACATCAACACGCCGACGTACGTCAACGCGGAAATAGACCTGCTCAGCGGGTTGGTGTGCCTCAGCGAGAAGGATTACGGCACGGCCTACTCCTACTTCTTCGAGGCGTACGAGGGGTTCCACATGGCTGTCGGCGGCACCCACAGCGTGCTGTTTCCCAACCTCGCGCGTGCAAAAGCCAAGGCGAAGGTTCTCGGGGAGCTTACCACGGACACGGTGGCTCCGGCGCTCGTCTCAAACGCCGCGGTGTCGCTCATGGTGGGCGAAGGCGAGCTCTACAGCTGCCACCCAACGATATCCGACATATCGCCCGTGTTCTTCACGTTCTACAACCTCACTGAGTACAAAAGAGGCGCGGAAGCAGGGAATACCGGCAGTGACCTGCCGGCGGTGGATGCATGCGGCAGCCACTACCTGCAGTATTACGGGATGCTAAACCTCGACCTGGCGGCCAAAGGATTAGACAGTGCAGAGCAGATGCACTTCGAAAGCGTAGAAGAGCCCCTGGACATCGGTATGCTTGCGCGTATTGACGAGCGCAAGCTGGTCCAGGCGCTGAAGTATCTGCTGCTGACCGTCGTCATCACAGGCCGAAACGACGAGATGATACCGCTCCTCGCGGCTAAAAACAAGCAAAAATTCGTGAACCACGTGGAGTGCAAAATGATACAGCGCATCAGCACGTGCTACAAGAACAGCTCCTTGGTGGAGTTCGAGAAGCTGCTCACGGAGTTCAAGCAGGTCATCCTCATGGACCCGGTGCTGCAGCAGGAGATCCACCGGCTGTACGAGGCGCTGCTGGAACGCAACATCACGCGGATTCTGCAGCCGTACAGCAACGTGCAAATAGACTTCGTCGCGAACAAACTGTGCCTGCCGCAGCAGAAGATCGAGAAGAAGCTCGCGGAGATGATTCTGGACGGCAAGCTACGGGGTACAATTGACCAGGGACAAGCGAATCTCGTCATCTACGAAGAGGAGGAGCACGAGACGTTCTACGAGGACGTCAACAAGACCGTCGGGCACATGACGACGGTGATAGACACGCTATACGAGAAGGCGCAGCGCGCTATATGACGCGGCATCAACACCATTAGACATCTAATTTTAATACACACATTCCAGCGGTGGGAGTCGGTGCCGGCCGCTCGATGCATCAATGCTTATCGACCGGCGCCGCAAGTTTCGGCAGGACTACATCGAGCAGGTACGGGCTGTCGCGTCGAGCATTGTAGACACGCTCACCTGAGATCGAGTGCCATTCTCTCGGTATCAGGCGGTCTATCGCGATGCAACGCTGAGCAATACTCGTTTGTGTTGTGTTGCATCACCTTGCCGAAGTGATACGTCGAGCAACTCTGATACGTGATCCAATACGACCGAAGCACACGTTTTTGCAGAGATGCGCTCGATGTATATCTGTATGTAACTCCTACGGCCTCTTCAACCTTCCATGCCGCAACCAGAACCGAGTTGAGATCAGCACCTCCGGGTAGGTGATGCATGCTGATATATCTGCAGTGGCTAGATGTCGGGACCAACTCACATCCGCAGTATTTTCCATCATTGCGGCATATTTATGCAGTGCGTTGTGTGAATTCAAAAGTGTCTGAAGTTCCTGTGTATTGCCTACAAATACTTGAAATCACGGTCATCGGTTCTCAGGGAGTTCCTGCTCTGCTCCAGCAGATCGTGCTTCTGCGTAATACACGTGGCGTCAGAGATTTACAGTGACCGTTCGGTCAGAAGTAGGTGATAAAACGCCCAGTTTCATAATTCTTACCAGGACGCGGGGAAGCGTTCACGCCCTGCTCATGCAGCGCCAGCAGCGCATCGTGCCCCTCGCCGTCACCGTGCGAGGTGGCACTCACGAAGCCATTCACGTATAAGTCCAAGTGCAATGACTGCGCGTGGTACACCGTCGACGACGGTATCTTCCTCTCTGCTGGGGACTGCATTGTCAACGTGAGTTCGTAGAATCCACTCCCAATTATGTTGCAGGTGTGGGATCTCAACGTTCTCGATATCGCATACACGTTCAGTCTGAAGCTGTCAACGGTCAAAAAGTTGGCAGTGGAGAAGTCGAACAGCACGAACCCCCTTATCGCAGCCGGTCTCACCTGCGGGTCCATCGCAACATGCGATATGCGTGCCGGCACCACGTTCAACTACTGCAACGCGAAAGTCAACGCAGAAGTAACGGCCCTTTCCTTCCAGCCGCACAACAAGCATCTGCTGGTCGCAGGCTACGAGGACACTTCAGTATGTGTCTGGGACCTGCGGCGGTACAACAGGCCACTGGTATCGCTGGGCAACCGGGGGAAATCCGACAAACTATCCATAGTGCACGGCTGCAGCGTGGCATATGGCGAGAACGGAAGCGCCCTGTCAAATCCCAAAGAACTACCTATCGCACTTTCTCAGGATTTCCATAATGAAGACCAAATATGGTCCTATGTTATGGGCGCCACAAAGGCCACGGCCAGCAAACCGCAAACAAGTCGGGAAGGCTCATTGTCAACAGGAGCTCCAGCCAAAAATGCTGAGGCGGAATCGGTTTTAGGGATCAAGATTGGAGCCGGTCCCATTTTGCCTCTGGACAGACCGCCTACTAAAGCCAAACGGCTTAGAAACACGGTCTCTGTAACAGACCTTTTAATGGGAACAGATTCCAGCACACCGACTTCTAACGCCGCCAGCAAGGCACCATCCAGAGGGCCGCAGCGGAGGACAAGAGGGCCGGCGGGCAGCAGCCTGATGGCGAAGTACAAGCTCATCGACCACAACAGGCGCCTATACTCGGGACCAGACTCGACACCGTTGCCTGTAAGTTTACTATGTTTCGACGTGTAGCTGCCATAGGCACCGCGACCTAGCGATGCCGGCCCCAGCCCCGTGCGTCCGCCGACCACGGCACGCAGCACCAATACGCCAAAGTTTAAAGCACAAGGGATGTCAACGACGATCGAATGCAGTCCTGATGGCAACTTCCTATTCGTCGCACGTAGGTTTAGGTTACTAATAATGTGGTAATCGGCGCCAGGTCACAAGGGTCACGTGGAGCAGTATGACGGCAGGAACTATCGCGCTCTCAACCAGTTTGATATCGACAGCCTCACTAGGCCCTACCAGACAGGCAGTCCCAAGAGTTATGCACAGCGGATGCAGCTGCACTCTATTGACAACGGTGAATATTTGCTCTTCAACGTCAGGGAGCAGTTGGCAGTACTGGACGTCCGCAGAGGGGCGCTGATGAATGTAGTCGCCCTCCAGTGGGAGAACCACGATGCCATAGTGGATGCCGGCGCTTCCAACGCCTCGGAAAACGTCCAGATGGCGCAGAAGTACGTCACCGACTTCGCCGCCATGAGGGGCAGACAAGATGTGTACGCGATAAATGAGCGCGGAGAGCTCTTCGTCTTACACCCAGGTAACACACTACCTGTGACTTGATAACGAACGCTGTTACAGACAAACGGGCGATTTTCCGAATGCGTGAAGAAGGAAAACAGCGTCAGCCGGATGGCCCGGAAGACAGATGGTTATAGCCCGTGAAGCGCACATAACGCTGCACATAAGCAATTTACAAATGCAATATAACGATCGCTGTCTTTCTACGTGAAACAGACGATTTGATGGTGGCCTTTGTCGAGTGATACCGGCCGGAGACACCGGTGAAGCTACCACACATTCCTTCGTCTTTTGCAGTAGTTGATGGCTGGCACGACACGGTGTCACTTTGTTAATAGTTAACATTTAATACCCTTACAGATTGAATAAGGTTATGGTCGCAAAAATGTGCATTCTTCCTACATGTGTAATGCACTGCGGCTTGTCTGACAGTATGACGGTGAGACGGCGCAAGGCATGGAATCTCGGCGTCTGACAAGATGGGAGGACAACCGTAGATTCAAAATGTGATTAACAGCGCGAAACCCGTGTGACGGATGCTGCAAGCCACTATTCCAGTGGAGCGGCAGAGTCGATGACACCCATGGCTCGAAAAAAGTCTAGAGCTCCATCAAAGCCGACGGATCCCGCAGAAGCTGAAAGTGCCGCGGATTCCACGCCACGTAGGCCTAGTCGGCGGCGGACCATCCTTATGGTTTCCGAGTTCTTCTACCCTGATGTCGGAGGCATTGAAACGCACATCTGTGCACTGTCAACGGGACTGATAGAAATAGGTACGCTGGTGACCTTATTGCGGCAATGTGCTTACAGGATACCGTGTTGTGATGGTTACGAGGCACTTTGGAGATCGACGAGGCGTGAGGTACCTGTCCAATGGCATGAAGGTGTACCACTTACCAACGATTTTCTACATCAAACCATGTGGGACCCCCGGATTCTTCGACACCTTCCTGCTTGCGCGCAACATCTACATCAGAGAGCAGGTTGACATCGTGCACGTTCACCAGGTATGGCTTTAATCTTCATTTACGCGTGACTTCTGTTGGCTCCACCGTATTTAAATGTGGATTTTTCTCATCCCTTCACAGAGCACCTCGCGCTACGGCAGCGAATTTGTGCATGTAGCATACATCATGGGACTCAAAACGGTCTTCACGGATCACAGCCTGTTCAGTTTCACAGACCTCGGGCCAGTCGCGATGACAGATGTGAGTTAGACGCAGTCGATGGATGACCCACATGCAGTACCTGAAGCACCAAGCGGCTGTGCTCAATCACACCATATGCGTATCTACCACGCACAAGGAAAATCTGGTGCTGCGTGCGGAGATGGACCCAACTGCAGTATCCGTCATCGGCAATGCAATCGTGAGTGTATTGGTGCTGCGAACCAAAATTGCCACAGGACCCTGACATATTCCTCCCAAGCACAACTAGTCGAAATGATGGGCGTATAATAATCGTGGTGGTCAGCCGCCTTACCCTCAAGAAGGGCACTGAGCTTCTGAACGAGGTCATACCCATCGTATGCAAGCGTCATGACAACGTTGACTTCATCATCGGGGGGGACGGCCCACTCTATGCGAGCATCGTGGAGCGCGTCGACAAGCTGTACCTGCATAAAAGGGTCACGCTCCTAGGCGCGGTTCCGAACTACAAGGTCAACGACGTGCTCAAACAGGGCGACATTTTCCTCAACACATCGAAGAGCGAGTCCTTCTGCATCGCCATACTCGAGGCGGTTTCGTCAGGGCTTTTGTGCGTTTCTACCAACGTAGGAGGGGTGCATGAGATCCTGCCGCACGATTTGGTGCTACTAGCCAACTACTCTCCGGAAAGCATCGCCAATCGTATTGATGATGCCATCAAGATGCTGCCGTCCGTCGACCGACAGCAGCTGCACAAAAGGGTCCGAGAGATGTACTCCTGGACCAGAGTCGCCGGCGAGGTTTCGCGCGTCTACGAAAATGTAGTGCGGGAACCCCGTAGACCTGTTATTGACGTCATCAGCATCTACTGGGACATCGACACCATATTCAGTAAGTTAGCGATTGCCATGGTTTTCATATGGCGGCAGGGGGGGTACTTATCGCCATAATCATTTTCCTCTACGCGGAGTGGTGGGTTGCGGAGCTCTTGTACCCCAGGTTTGTTATCGGAATTTACGGTCATGTTTCCCAGAGAGGAAATCGACATCGCACCGGACTGGTCAGCCCATGCATCTAAAACGCAGGAAGAGAACTTCGAAAATAAGGAGTCGTGAATCGCAAGCTGTTGACGCAATCTCTGGTCCGGAAAGCCTCTCTTTGCACAAGGAATGTCGTCTGAGGCGTGATTCGTAGCGTCGGATTAGACAGGAATCTAAAGTTAGATATTATTTTCTATGCGATTAAAAGATCACAGTTTGCTACATTGATTCGTGAACTTGTATCGCTACCTGTGTTCCAGCACTAAATTGCTGAGCAACAACGGCAACATGCGCATTTGCCGATCTGGCCTTCATAATAAGAAGCGATCAGTCTCGCCGTATATGGTGCGCTGGTTCAGCAGGTAATTCGCCTTGTACTCGATCTGCTCGATCCACGATAATGACTCTGACGCACTCATGAGATCAAATGAGCTCGAATACACCCACCATACTCGTTGTCGATGAACGCCTCAATCAGGAAACGCGTCAAAGAGTCCTTGAACTCAAGTGTTCGAAATTGGACGTTGAGATGTAGTATGCCTGTAGCTATCATCGAAAGTACCACCTTGTTATCAATGGTCGCTCCGGGGCGCAGTTGGAGCATGGGCTTGCTCAGCAGGTAGCGGACCGTTTCCGACACCGTAACCCAGAAGTGCACGTTGTTATTCAACCGGTGACGCACCGCTTCCATCGCAGGCAGGCTGAGGAAGCGGTTCATCAGGTTCTCGAACTGTCCCACTTCGGTTGCCAACGCGGCGTTGTGGACGTTGCGCACGAACATTTTGCAACGTTCCTCCTGTAGGTAGCGCGCCTGCTCTTCTTCGGTTCCTTTGAGAGGGAAATACTCGTCATCCACAGGACTGTCAGACCCTGCCAGTATCTGGTGCACTGCGGGCAGATCCAGCGACGATTCCATCTCACGGTACGACCGTATGAGATTCATCAACAACTTCAGATTGCCACCACTAACTTTCATAAGCGCTTTAACTACACGATCGCAATTCCAAATGCCCTGCTTAAGTACCGCCCGCGCAATTATAGGCTCCAACTCGGGTACCTCCAACCACATGAGAGTCGACCGGTCTACGGTTGCCTCAGCTGACGGTGGATCCGCTGGCTGCATGGACAGATCGTCCAACTTCGCCGACAACCGCTCATCAACCAACGGCATTGTGGACACGCAGTCGTCAGAAATGAGCACAGAGTCCAGGTTGTTGGCTTGCATACTGGACAGCAGCTGGTGAAGGAATCGGCCTCCACGGTCATTCAGGAACGGCGACCTGGTAAGATGGTGCACACCATCAAAGCACAGCACCAGTCTAGCCTTTTGAAGTTGCGACATTGCCGAGCACGCTTTGAGCAAATATTTAGTTGCCTGCCGAAATATTAGAGGCGAGTAAGATGTCCCTACCCAGGTGCCAGTGAGCAACGAACTCGGGTTTGTTTCCCCTCGCGATTCTATCTCCGCCTTCTCTGCGATAATACCGACGGCATAGAGGCCGTAGAAGAATGGCTCATTGGTCCCGACGGAGGAAACGTTGTGGATGCCGAGAGTAGCTGGTGCATGCTTCAGGAGCATAAGACAGATGTCATGCCATGTAGCGCCAGTGATCTGTAGGGCGTCAAGTTTATCTCTCACTTGCTTACCTCAGATCCAGAATTTACAACTTCCTTTATGCTAGCAGCAACGCGTTTATCAAGGCGTTTCAAAGACACTGGGCAATAATTTATACCCGATGGCAAAACTTACATATGCGATTCAAAAATGATCGAATGTGACCTTGCAGCTCGGGTATGTCGCCATTCACCGAATCGAACACCTTAGAATATTCTTCTTGCTCGATCTTGCCGATGAGCGGATTTTGCGATATGAGAGAAGACGACCACTGGGTCACCATGACCTACGCACCATATGGTATGTGCATTACTGGCAGCTCCTACCTGGAAGTTGTGGTTCGCATTCGCGCCGAAGTCGTAGTAAGCGTAACGGAAGTCATACGGGCTTGGGCTTTTCCCCTGTTTCATGAGCTCCTTCAGCAGCGTTGTCTTGCCACGGCCTTCCGGGCCGACCATGAAGACTGCACAGCGATGTGTATCGCGTAAGTGGCACGTTTGCCATCAGTGGCGCATACACATAACATCAAGGTGAATATACGGGCCAATACAAGGCCTAGGCGACGACACCTACCCTGTCTACTGCTCTCGGCGGCAAGGGCCTGCGAGACGCGACCTCGCAGCTGCCGCAGCAAAGGCGATTGAACTAGCGACATGACATTAAATTTTAAACAACTGTCAGTAACATTGCGCGGCTCAGCCGTTGTAGCGGGCTGCCTTCTCGGTCAGACGCCGCCACAGCAACCTCAGGAAGTCCTCACTCTGCATTGTCTCGGCACACGCGGCGCACAGCATTTCATAGGTCACGGTGATAGGCATGCTGCCGCTGGGCAGCGCCGCAGGCGGGTACTCGCGCGGCTGGAACTGCACGGGGTACGCCGGAGATGGGAAGTGTATGGGCGTCATGACGGAAGGCTGCGGCGTGTATCCCGGGGGCGATTGGTTCCCGCCTTGTACCAGCGGCCTTAACATATTCACGAGCCTCTGAGAATCTTTGCTCATCGGCTCCATGGAAGACACAGGCGGCACGTTTCCGTTGGTGCTCGCCATTGGAGCAGGGGGCATGCGCACCGAGGATGCGGGACCCGAAGGCGTCGCCGGCACACTGGCCTGTTGTTGATACAACGCCCCCGCATGATTAAATCCATCCATTGCCCTCGCATTATCCGCGTAGGGGGTAGGATACACCTGCTGAAGGGTATAAAATCGGCGTATACCATAAACATACTGCCTGCTCTGTACGCGCATTTTGGGTGACAGCGGCGGCAACAGCAGGGCTGTTTGTCGTTACTGCCACGGCGGGCGATGCCGTGGCAGGCTTCGCATTCTTGCTGAAACCGGGCACAGGCTCACGGTTGACCGTTACCGCAAGGATCTTCTCGTGGGTCTTAATGCACTCCTTCTCGTCATAGAACCAAAGGCTGCGGGTGGCCTGCATAGTGCGCTGCAGACTTGTCAACTGATGCAACAGCGAATTCCTACCGTTCGCATACACATAGCACGATAGAAGATGTAGTTGTTCTCGCGCGTTATCTGGAATTCGGGGGTTATTAACTCCATCAGATGGCGCTCCGATTTGCGGTTCACCACGATGAGGCTGTGGCGGGGCTCGTTGCTGCGCCTCAGCAAGTACAAAAAACCTTCAACTCCGGTGCGTTCCCATCTGTGGGCAATATATAGGCGGGGATAGACACATACTGCTTGTTATCATTGAGCACGTAGGCCGTCACGAAGGGAGTCTGGTGCAGAATCTCTTCCACGTACAAATCCAGCCCGCGCAGCAGCTTCAGGCTGAGCTGACTGCGGATACGTTTGACCTGCAGCATTTAAAACACGGGCGTCGGCGCATACCTCGTCCAGAGAACCGTTGTTGGTCGTGGACATCTGCGCCGACGTCTCTCCGGCCCCGGGAAGCTCCATTACGAAATAGAGGAGTTCTCACAAATTATTCATTAGTATAGACATTAAACACGTAGCACACATCAGGCCGTTGCGCTGTGTCCGATGCGGAGTATCATCACACTATACCCGCCGAGAAATTGGACAGATTTCACGAAAAGACACACTTTGTTCAACAGAAAAACGACTCCTTATTAAATTATATGTGCATCATGGCCTCATTCACTAGTATGTGCGCGGGATACCCGAGGTGATCGCTGAATCTACTAGAGTGAACCCGTAACTTCCGTTACAGCGAGTAATTGGTTCCGTAGAAACCAGATAGTGTTTAAAACGATATCATAACAGTTCACTACATCGTCATTTCATTTATGTGTTGCGCGGTATTCGCGTTCAGGCGTCGAAGAATGCTCTAATTGGCATCGCCACCCTGGCAAACATGGCCAAGGAAAACGTCAAAAACCTCACCTGAAAACCGGAATACGCGTTCAGGGTGCCAAACAAAGGTTTATAAAGCCCACAAAATTAATAGTTAAGCGAATGTTGCGACTACATTTGTGGCGACGGCACTATGCCGACTGCCTGCCACCCAGAGTATCCATATAAAGACCAATTGCATACGGCACGTGATACGTGCGCACTACAACCTTGTCCAGCACTCTGGAAATGAATGCGTTGGCGTTATAATGTTCTTCAGCCGTTATAGTCGCCTTGAAGTTCTCACGGGCGGCCTCGGAACTGGCCTGCGTGGCTGCTATCTGCAAAGCGCGCAGCAGCAGCAAAAACGATTCCTTCGAATACATGGAGACCGTTCCAGCGTCTATATCGAAATCGGACGGTATTGCTACATCCTGGTGAATAACGGCGCTTGTGTTAACATCCCAGTGGCTTACGGCGAAATGCGATGTAACATGCGATATTATGCGATCGAGGCACGCCGTTAACACTCCTGACATACCCGTGTACACGCCTTCGGAATCCAATTGCGACGACTTCAGGAGCCGTGAGAGGAATGTGTGAAGATCCGGGATTGCAAACGGGCTCTGAAGCACAAAGACAGCTTGCGATTTTACAGTTGCATTAGCAGCCAACTCAAGGCCTCGACGGAATCCTTCGAGGTAAACCAGGCGAGGAATACGCATTACCGAGTGGCAATGCGTATTACTACTCTCTTCGTTCATGTGTTTTGGTAAAACAGGCCCATCCTCTTGACTTGTGGCTTCCTGTCCTTCGGGTGTATCCTGTCCCACACATTTAGCACAGGTTGCCATAGAGGCTCCTCGTGCGTCGTAATGCTGCTCGAAACCAACGCACGCGAAAACAATGCGCGTGCGCATCAAGCTAGCGTCAACAGGTACACCAATGCTGGACGCGTATCTGATGACCTCGGTCAACATCTGTTCCTCCACCGACAACATAACCTGTTCAAGCCTCGTTGCACATGTCTCCGTGTTCTTTTCAGCACACCCGCATATGCTTACCGTGTTTGGCAGGCTCGTGTTGAAGTACTCGTATAAGGTCAGCAAATCCAGTCTAGAAACAGAAAGACGGTAGCACACCACGCACGTTCGATACCGCCCGCCTATTTCTGGTCCGCTGGCATGCAGCAACGTTGACAGGATGCCGTACGAGTCTATAGCAGATATGCCACTGCTAATGGATGGCAGATCTGGCATTGCGGCGGATGTGAACAGCTCGTGCAGCAATTCCTCCTTGCCGATGTAAACCGGATTAGAATGAGCATATAGAGCGATTGATGCCGTGTTGTAGTACCTCGGATCTTCCGGAGGAATGACTTCTAAACGATGGCGAAGATGATAATCCTTGGCCACATTTTCACCGTTCGCATCTCCGTCATGGTGCCCGTTCGTTTTGAGGCCGTGGGAAACAGATGACAGATTGCGTTCCCTTGAACACGGAGTAAATTGCACCTCTCTTTGTATGCCAAAACCATCGTCACGCAAGTTCAACGAAACTGCCACTGTTAACGGCATTTTAGATTCGCCCTCCTTCGTTACCACAGGGCTGGCAGAACAACATTGCATCATCAACCGCCTGGGAGCATCTTCACCCAGGACCAGACGATCTGCACCGATGTCAAATCCGGACATATGGAGCACATCCTGCTTCAGGCGCAGGCAGTAGTCCGAGCCGTGGTACTCCTCAATTAACCGTTTGAGCAACCCTTCAGCCATTATGTCACGAGCGTTAGAGCCGCCGCTCGACGACTTCAACAATTCGCTCCGTATCACCAGTGGGTCAAAGAGCGCCACGTGGAAAGAGATACCCGTGGCCCAAACGCTATAGGCGTGCAGGGGTGCTTGGTAGCCCAAACTGTCATGCATGTTTGCAGTAGTGCTCCCAATTATGGAGTCCAATTTTCTGATTGCCACTCGTAGCAACAATTCCAATGGCGAAACATCGCTATTCATCGACTCCTTGAAACAGTCGGCAAACCGGTGCGCCAAACGTGAAGAACTCCCGTATACACCCGCCAAATATTTACCCGTGGCAAGTGCACGCGAACTCGTGGAAATGGCCATGTCTTTTAAAGCGCGTTCGGTGACGAGAGCCAGGTCAAGATGCCCCATGTCACCGGAATGCATGAGTGGAGGTGAGTGTGGAACATCTGTCTCGCTAGCATCGCCATCTTGCGCATCACGTAGCCGCTTTTGAACATATTTGGCTACCTTCACAGTGGCTCTGGAGGCATGTCGTAAGATAAACCGTGCCAACTTGTACACTCCTTTAGTTACTTGAACAGTTGATGAGCCTAGAATCTTTAGAACCTCCTGCATGTCGTAACCGTGGTTTCTCCAGCACGAATCACACGTGTAGCACGGCTTTATGATGCACCTGACACCGTGATCAACCAGATACTTGATGTAGGCTTTCACCAAGAATCGCTCGCTGCCATGTCGATTGAGGTACAGAACTTCAACGCATCGATGAGTGGATATGTCTCGGAGGCTGCCCTCGCGCGCGAAACCATCGACGTGGATTAGCTTTATTGAAAATCCCTTGCCATCTCCTAAATCCCGTCTAGATGACGACTGTGATGCCGCATAGACATCCGAATGAGTTACATTGGCATCCGATGACGGCGATCTTACAGAACGCCGGAAACGCTTCCTCATGGGTTCCTCTATCCCTCCTAAAACCACCGGTCCGTCAAACTGGTTGTATGAATGTCGGCCAAACATCGCACCAGTTACTGCACGGTCCAATATTGAACCCACCAGACTTCGAAGATGGTGCAGTAGACGCTTACGTGCAGGCATCTGCACTGCGCCTTCGAGTCGCATGGAGTTCACATCACTTGTAAGTTTGGGTTTTATTAATTTGACTCGCTTTACTGCCTTCGCATTCTCATATGCTTCCATGATCCTTTTCAACGAGTAAACGTCTTCGAGCTCTTCCTTTTGCTTCACTGGTTCAGGACTTACAACTTCCTCAACTGGAGCTAATGGCAGCGGGTCACTTGCGACGCTCTGAGGATCGCTGGCCGGCGTTGGCTGTATGTTGCCGAATAATGGCAATGGTGGAGGCGCCGATTCGGCGGGCTGCTTGCCGAAAATATTGGGGAACGCAGGCTTGGAATCCGGAAAAGTAAACGTCAGCTTTGAATCATTGGCCGATTCTGGTGCTGCGGTTGGTGGAAGAGCCTCTTTATTGGCATCCTTATCCGTAGCTGAAGTGCTTGGTATGGTAAACAGCGGAGGCTTCGATTGCTTTGCGAAGGTGCTGTCAACGGTAAATGAAAACAACGGTTGTGGCAATTTGTCGTCTGAAGGAGGAGCTTGAAGCACAAAACTCTTCTTCGAAGATATCTCTCCCGGCTCAAGTGTACTGTCGCCACTAACCGCTTTGGTGTTGCTGTCCGACTCTGGAGGAGGCGCAGTTGACCGTATACCACACGACGGCGGCGTAAATTCCGGTGCTGAACTCGAAGTGTTTCCAACGGAATCAATGTTGCTGGCTGAAGCAGGTACAGTTGCGTCCGAATCCTTCTCCGTAGTGGCGGGAGGCCCGCCAAATATAAATGGGCTTGTCTGACTGGGCACAGCGCCAAACGTAAAGGGCTTGACGTTGTCGTTTGTAGGCGTTGTTTCTGGCTGCGTCACTAATGGCTTAGATGGCGCCTGTGCAGACACTCCAGTGGCCGAGAACCCTGAACCGAACGGGTTGGTGTTGCTTGCAGCGGCCGAAGCTGAGGAACCGAAGCCGAAAATGTTCTGGTCTGGCGTAGTAGAAGTAGTTCCGAAAGCGAACGGCTTAGGTTCTACAGGCTCTACGCCAAATCCGAAGATGCTAAAAGGCTTGGACTCCGGAGCATTCTGCAACTGTCCAAATGATAACGCAATCTTGCTAGACGCTGGGGGGTCAAAGCCTGAACCAATGGCAGGTAGACCGCTTCCAATTGGTGCAGGCGCAGCTGGGAAACCCGGAAATGCAGCCTTGCCAAAAGAAAACACGGGCTGTTGTGGTTGGGCTGGTGCAGCAGGCGGTTCAGGTTCCGGGGGAGTTTCCTCAACATACGGTGTGCCGGGAGTGTCAGGACCCGTGCCTTCAGGGTATTCGAAGTCGGGGTCAAATACAAGTTGGCGAGAGGCATAACTCTCGAGCTTCGAGCGCACCAAAGAGCTAGTCGTCTGGAATTTATTGGTCAGCTTCTGCAACGCCGCACTGTCGTACGTCAACTGGTTCGCATTGGCGCCCTCGAACTCCAAATACTGCTTTTCCCCGGAGCTGTAGATGGTGATATCGTACTTTTTCAACAACTTCTCTGCGTTCTCCGCGGGTTCGCCGTCAAAACCGAAGAACGAGTTGAAAGTTCCCATATCCATAGGGTTCACTCCCCTCTTCGCAACCTTGTACACAACCAATGTCTCGAGGAATTGGACCCTAAGGCAGGCTGCGAACCTGTTCATAAGCGCGGCGTAAAGCGCAGGGCAGTCCTCGCGACGCATCAGTCTGAAGTAGCGATACAGGTTACGCGATGCAGCCGTGTGGCACACCTCCACGGCAAAGGTTATAAGCGGCGACTCGCGCAGAGATTCCGGCATGCGCTGTTTAATGTCGCAGAACGTTGCGGAACCACCGGGAAGCAAGAGCTGAGGGATGTGCAGCAGCAGCCGATAACCCCAAAACTCAGCCTCATGCGGAGACTGGTACACCAGAATGTCCATCACCTCGTCAAAATGTGGGTTAGCGCTGCGCTGCTTCTCCATCTGGCGCTTCGAGTGTCGAACGTGTTTGTACTTGTGCACGGCTTCGTAGCCTTCCATTAGCTTGTCGAGACACGTGTTCAGCAGGCCGCGGTTCTGCGCGATGTCGTATTCCTCATTCTCACACAGTTGCTCGTTGGAGTAAATCAGGAAACGGATGCTAATCTCGAAACACTCGATGTAGGCGCGGTGCTTGGCGCAGTGCTGGACCGTCAGGTCTTGCCAAATGCTGCGCAGACGGTCACGCAGGAAGTTGTACACGTCCAAGTACGAAAACTTCTTCGGCATCAAGTAGGGCTTCTGCACCAAGTCTGCGTCCACGAAGTAGCACAGAATGTTGAAGATGGTGCGACGACACCAGACTGCAGGTCGAGTCTCCTCGGGCTTGAACACACGGCTTGCGTCGGAACGCTGGAAGCTCTTCAGCGCCAATCGCGGGTTCACCTTAGTGCTGCAAATGCGCTCAAGGTCACTCGCGGTGTTCATCTCAAGCTTCTGCTTTATCTCCTTGGCGGGGCACATGCCCAACACCTCGCCGACCATGCGGTCAGTTTGCGTTCCGCGCAAGAATGACGCCACCTCCTGGTGCTTGAGAATCGTAGCTCCCAACTCGTTACCCTCCAACGGGCGCAGCAGCTGATTACGCAGCGTCCGGCTGGCCGGGGCTGATCCATCACCTAAGCAAGCATGTTAATCCATACGGTAAAGCACTTACGATCAGGGATCGAGAGGTAGTCCGGCGGATTTAACGTCATCTTCGCGAGTTAGTACACGCGGTCAGATAGAAGGCGCCAGGCGCTACGCCACAGAGCGAAGAGTCATCGTAAAGCCTACCGGCGCGACACGCAGTGCCACAGTGACACCCCGATTCCCAGTCGATGATGGGAAATCAGACCCATACAACGGTGACATGTCCACGCCGCTGCCGATTCGGCGAAATAAATATTCGGCCGATTCGCTTAAAGCCGTCAACAAGCGTGGGAGAGGCGTGGGAGGACAAACACCTCACACGCGCTGACGCTGCAACCAACAGCAAATGTGTAGGTGAAAAACAGGAGTACCAAACAAAGGTGGCTTAAATATATACGTCACAACGTTATCGTGGTATTACATGTCCTATCTACGGGCATATAAGTGTACTCTACGCCTGTCTTCAGCGGAGACGCATGGCCTAACATTGCAGAAAGAAAACTCCCAGCAGGGTGGATTCAACCGCAAGTGCGTTGCTTCTCTGCGCAACTACAGATGTGCTGCTAGCGAATAAGCGGCAGAAGTTTGCGCAACAGATCGGGCTTGATCGATTTCCACAACTTGTGGATGTGTGACGCTCCACGCTGACGAGGCATAACCTGATTGTCTTTGCCCAGATGTGACGGCGGTTTGGGTTTACCGTACGACTTCCTGTAGCTGCTGTAAACGCATCGCGTTCTACCCGCACTTCTGTCGGACAGGAACCGCGTTCCCGGGCTGTTGTAATGCGGTGATACCACGGGCCGCGTAGCGACTTCCGGTGAGTGCCGTGTCGTGACGGCATTCCCGTCACCTTCCACGCTATGGGCTTCTCGATCAATTAACCTAAAGCCGTTTTCACAAAGACAAACTTCGTCCATATAAGACACGACACGCATGAAACTTTTCCTGCGAATGCAGGTGGCCATGTCGTAAGGGATGCGGAGGCACAGCATGTGGAGATTCGTCGCCAGTACAGCGTCAGCATGGCTGGTTACGTAGCGTGACAGCGCCGTATTCAGCATAATGCGCGCCGCGTAATGATGCAGGTAGCCCAATTTGGTGCAGCACCTCTCGATCACCTAATGCGACATAGTCCACAAAAACCGAAGCACTTACGTCGAGGATGCTGGCTGTAGTCAGTGACTTGCTGTTGGCGTATAGCTTGCGGAAGCATTCGGGCAGCAAGTTCCGCAACTCGTCTCCAGCCTGCTCTGGTGGGCTCCCGTAGTTATCAGCAATTATACACAGTATCATTGACACAGAACTTGGATCCATCGAATCTATGTTATTCACACATTCTTCTGCAAACTTCAAAGTGAAGCCCTGCCAAGGGTACGAAGGACCGGAAGAGGCGGCGTCATTGTCAAGTCGTTTCAATTGGCCGTGACTGTCAAAAACACTAAAGACCTTATGCAGTGATAGGCACTTCGAGTTTAACCTTAGGCAAATTGAAGTTAATTTAGATTCTAACCAACCTTATGATGTCGCTGAAACAGTTCAAATTCTGTGAAGTGAGCGATTCACACAAACGCCGTAACTGTGACTCCAACTGCCTCATCTCCCAAACGGACTGCTGGATATCCAAGCTGAGCATCTGTATGCAGTCCTTCGCGCAACGCGCTGACAGGTGGTGGAAGGCATCACAAATCATGTGGAACAACGTTGGGTCAGCACTGACATATGTGGATCGCACCTCCCTTGCGCTCCGAAGCAGATCCAGCTTCAAGAACATCGACGCCGTTACGTAATCTGAAACGCCAGATTTTTGCAGTGGAATAGCGTGGATAATCTTTGGAAAAACATCCAGCAACATAATGGAGAGGGCATCAGCAATCCCATGTGCATTCCGTAACAGATCACGCAGGGCAGCATCACCCGCATCGCCCCAAATTTGCAAAGACTCCACATTAACGTGTCTCAATACGTCAGCAAGGCTTCTAGTGCACTCTTGAACTGTGGCACTGTGAACGTCGAGAGTGGAGGATAGCTTAAGCATGATCTCCAGTGCTGAACACAAGATGGCACGCGAATCCGAAGCTGTCACTACACGGGTGCCTCCCAGCATGTTCTTTCCATACAAGGCGGCAGTTTTGCGCACAATCTCGAGATTCAATCGATTTAGCTCGTCGAGAGGTACCGGGCCGCCATCGAAGTCAGCGATGCTCAGGGTATCTAAGCCGATACCAACCACATCGTCAAAGGCAATAACAGCGTCATCAGTCACAGTTTGAGCCGATTCATGACTCTCAACATTGTTACTCACATTTTCGACAAAATCATCCGTAGAATAGGAGGCACTTTGTGGTAAGAAGCTGTCCAGTTGCGATATTACTTTCGCGCAATCATCCGCAGAGAGCAACTTCGCCCCGTGAACCGTATAGGACAGGCATGTCCCTATGTACTTCAGAAGCTTGCGATGCTGCGCAGAAGTGAAGTACAGAATATTGCGCGCAATGGAGTCATATAAGTTGTAGAGGGTGCGACGATCAAAGAGCTGGTTCTCACTCAAAATCCGAAGGGCTTCCAGTAACTTGTCAGGACTCAGCTGGGAACAGTGCTTGTTAAAAGAATGTAACACATACTGCAGACCAGAACCTGTGACAACGTGTCATGATTACAATAGAATGCAAACAGAATGATAAATGCCTAGCAACAACGTGGATTTAGCATACTTCTATGAATGAGCTTCATGCCCAGACAGCACAGTGCCTTAATGGCATTGAAGCACAATGCCGTGCAGACATACCTCTTATGTAATCTTTCTTGCGCTCACAAGTTTCCAGGCGTGCAATCACTCCCTCGTGGACGTACACAGGCCGACGCTCCAAAGGCCGTCTTCGAACGGCCTCCAAGGCGTCCTGAGGCTTGACTTCCACTACGTCCATTGTATATATGGTTACACATAGGCCTTATGTGTACGAAGATATCTTAATAATGGGCGATATTCACGATTCAGCGGCGGAAGACCAGATGTGTAACGACCAACGACGACGTCATCCGTGATTCTACATCATCTTGAGATCACATCTGCATCAAAAGTGAACAACACCTATTAATCATAGGCACGGTATCCAATGTTCGACTGGTTCAGTGCTGCTATTGGGGTCATCGTTGCACGCCCAAAATAGGAAGGCAAGGTGGTACATGAATCATCGGCATCAACATTAGACAGCTGAAATCTGAATGCATACGTAAGTATTATGCCGATATAGTTTAGTACACTTCATTTGAGCTGCAAATGTGGTCCATGGGACTGATGAGGGCCAACCATCAATGCCATGTAAATTGTGGGCAGGTGTCACCTCTTCTTGGGAATCTTCCTTTTCGCGAATTTGACAGGGGCTTCTGCATCCAATGCATCCGCCTGCACACATTTTAAACAAGCATGATGCGTAAATCACCTTATGTTTAGTGAACACCTGCTTCTCCTGTAGTTGCATGTCGTCCACATTCAAAAGAGGCGTCTCATATGTCGCATCGCGGATTACATCCAGAATGTCGGGGTCCCTTGGGGGAGCTGGTGGCGGGTTTATATATGGCTCTATGGATACTATGGAGTGCGAGAATGCGCTTTCCTCCGGCTTTACTACTTCCCACTGGCCAATCGGAGGCGCTGCGTACTGTTCCTTGGGAGGTTCCGGTCGATCTTCCGTAGATTGGTGGCTTGGTTCATAAACATCAGCCCCTTGCGATTGGTCCTCCGGCTCAGGCTTAATGGGAACGGCAGCCGGGGGAGGAGGCGTTGGTATCTCAGGAGATTGAGACTCCGTCGGCTCCAACTTAATACGGATTTGCGATGAAGATCTAGTAGCGGTTGTTTCGGAAGTACTAGGTTCCATTTTTATTGGAATTGATGGTGGAACGCTGCTGCTTTGATCTTTCCTTGGCGGTGGAACCGGTGTACTGCTTGGCCTCGGTGGCTCCAGCCACCTAATCTCGCCAGTTGCCAAATTGTGGTAATACTTGGCTCCCTTAGTAGGGTCGAACTTGAGCGTCCAATCTGCAGAATGTGAAAAGGAGTACTTATATTACATACTTGACGTGAGGGAACTCGAAGCAGTTGGAAGAGTGCCATCGAAATCTCGGGGGCGATTCTTCGTTTTTAATCCCGTAACATTGTTGTAGTAAGTCAGCGTACCGTCTTCCTGGTCGATGAACGCCATCCACGCTGCAGCATGCGTTGACACTGTAAAACCATAACATACTTGTGTTGCGATTGTGATCTGGGTCCTCAGATGGCGCCCCGGACAAAACACGCGAAATGGTGTCCAATACTTGCATCTGCTCTTTCTCTTTGTCCACAGGTGGGCGCAGCAGGCGGTTCTGCATGGAGAAGGAGCTGCCCACAAAGCCTGGGTCACCCGCTGGCTCGGCGATACTGGGCCCATCCACGGTGACGCTGTTCAGACGAGCGATTTCGGCTGCCTCAAACGCTTCCTGTTCTTTCCTAGCTACATCTCTGCGATGAGACTCGATCATCTTATTGCGCAGCGACGAAATATGCCGAGCGCTGGATTCATGGTTCTTAATACTCTGCCACAAAGTCAAAATACTACACAACAGACAGCTCACCAGTGTTGAACCCGATGTCCAGCACTTGCAGATCTCGCAATAATGCTTCTTCGTCGATACCCAGTAGTCCGTCATCGTGATTAGAAGACGATTAGCAATTTGGGATTAATTTTGGAAATGAAGACGCGAAAGACGCCTTATTGGGTTAAATATTAACCATGGGATGTCCTCATAGGAACTTCTGCAGAAGAAGCCTGCGAAATTTTATCATGTGCAGACTCTAGTAATAAGAGGTGAGGCGGCGCGTGGCTACAAACCACCGTAGTTATAAGGGAGCTCTGCACCCTTTCTAAGTTACCGATGTCACCTGACTACAGGGAAATATTATAAGACTCTAACTGCAATTTAAATGTGCCTTCTACACCGAGTGTGTGAGGGAGCAAGAGTCGAGTTATAAACAAAGCTTCTCGAGAGAACCCGCAACGCTTATTTGCGCTCGGACTACTGACACACACACAAAGCTCACAGCTCATCGATTAGAGTGATATGGTTGTGGAATGAGATATAGCAGCGCGGGAACAAAAACCCTCGTACTAGGAGGTGAAGACAAGCTTACGCGTAAAATTTACCACGCGCCTCTTATAAATTATTGTTAGTTTTGCTATATTCAAGCAGAAAAGAATTAAGGCGATGCCTTAAAGACGAACTGGACTGCCACCCTTCGGGGAGGGGGGGGAGATGTGACGGCCACGCGGCCCACCCGACAATCGACGTCGACTACCTTCCGCCCTAAGAGCGACTGCCGCGTCCCACAAGTATATAAATCCGTATTTTTGTAGCCGCCGGAAGCTTAAATGGAAAGCTCATAAGCTCCATTTCCGACGACACGCGACACGGACTCTACACCCGACATAGGATAAGGGGTCCCTCCAGCGACGAGAGCTAAGCTACGCTAAACTCCGCCGCTGTGCCCTAAATTTCACGCTCAAGTTTGGGTTTGCTCAGGAGCATAATAGCAAGCCCGAATTGAGCCACCGAAGCTATCCCACCATGGAGGGCGCTCAGGTTTTCATCAAGCTTTTCAACGGCAGCACCGCCGTTATCGACGTCAATGGTCTCGAGACTGTCGCCGAAATCAAGAGCAGGATTGCCGAGCTTTACGGCTTGACCAACTGCTTCCAGTCCCTCTGGGCCGGAATCGTCGAGGCCGAAGACGCCACACCCATCGCTGAGCTCATCGGTGAAGACAACACCATCGACCTTGTGCAGCACATCGACGTCTGCGGTGGTGGTAAGAAGCGCAAGAAGAAGCAGTACACCACCCCCAAGAAGATCAAGCACAAGAAGAAGAAGGTCAAGCTCGCCGTGCTCAAGTACTACAAGGTCGAGGGCGACAAGGTCATCAGGCTCCTCAAGGAGTGCCCCTCGAGTACCTGCGGACGCGGTGTGTTCATGGCTGCCCACCACGACCGCTCTTACTGCGGAAGGTGTGGCGCTACCTACCTGAACGCCGCAGAGTAACACCCGCTAATTGAAATATAGCGACTTCTATAGTCGGAGGTGTCGTGCATGATTTCATGTAAATGGCATGTGCATTTGGATTAATTAGCATTACAAACACGTTTTATGTTGTGCACGGAGGCCCTAGTTGTCGGCGGCGAACATGTCCTCTATGTCGTCCGGATCCGCCTCAGGCGGTGACGGTAAAGCTGCACCGGGCTCTGCGCCGTCTTCAGTCGCAGCCTCGGGTGTTTTTTGGTTAGCGACAATGGAGGCCCCATTGTCAAGCTCGGGTCCAACCACGTCGGAGCTCGTGTCCATGTGGTCGTCTGGATCAGATGCGGCGCCCTCAGGTCCCTCGCCGTCGGACGCTGATTCCATGTCACTACATTCGTCGGAAGCCACATCACCGTCTCTTATATCCGGTTTCTCTGGTGATTTGGCGGCGTCTTGCAGTTGGTGCATATCGTATTCGCCAGAGGCGACATCCATAGTGTCCCCCTCGTAAGGGGAGAGATTTTGGGGGGAACCGTTATCACCTTCATGAACACCTTCACATTCAGCAAGCTCGATCTCCTTTATCTCCGCCTAAAGTGGACCATGAAACAGCGATAGATGTAACGCACCTCCCTGGCTTCCACGTATATGTCGTTGATTACAAGGCGGGTGACCAGAGATGGCCTGTCCCCGGGGATGGTCAGCAGCCCACGGATCAAGCACAGTTGCTTCAGCTTCTTGATGCGCATAAGCAGGTAGCGCTGCAAGTCAGTGAAAGTCGTTAAACAATAAACATACGTAAGCCGTCTCGCGCCACTTCAGCGGGAACCTAGATAAGACGTCGAAGTACTCCATCTTCTCCCCGTCGTACGTTGAGTCAAGTGCTGCTCGGTGCTCCTCAAATTGTGGCATCGTGGTGAAAGATTCGAAATCAGGTCCCCATAGGGCAGATTCTAGACCGTAGATGTACTCCGTTGGGTATGCATTCCACTGATGCCACGCAGGCAACATACGAGTAACACAGTCCATCAGCTGCTGCACTGCAATTTTGCTGCTGGAGGTCTTCATGAACTCGCGAAAGTGGGCGAACACCTCGGGAATACGCTTCTCAAAAGTCGTTCGATACAACCACGCGAACTTATTAGACGCGGACGTGTTGTACAGTACATCGCTCAGAATGTACAGGCGACTTATCTGCAAAGGCATGAAAGTAGCTGCGTCAGAAAACCACCTTCTTGTCAACCGTCGGCGTGTCCTCCAAAATGGAGTTCACGAGGTAGTCGGTAACCTGGTACGCAGACTCGCCGTGGTTGATGATGAACATCATGGCCTCGGCCACGCTCCCCCGGGTAGTGGTGCAATCGCGCAGCAGCTTCTCCAAACGGCTGAGATCGGAGTCAAGCATGGGGGATCGGCCGCTGTGCGACATCGTCATCGCTGTATCTGCACCGAGAAGAGGCGGCACTGTGGGCGTCGGCGGCGCCGGTGGTGCGTCGGCCTTTTCAACAGGTGGATACCACCACAAACCACCATTAACCACCTGGAAAGGTTCTATACGCCACTCCTTATCAGTATCACCCCGGAGAAGCGAGTACACCTTCCAACGGTAGTATACATGCTCGGGAGAGCTTTGGTTGAAGAGGAAGTTGAAAAGGCCTTCCTCAGACTCGTTTGACATAATCATGGCCTCGAATTCTGCGCCGCCCTAAAGCAAATGAAGATGCGGGGACTCTCGAGAAATCTACCTCGACGACGTAGCGAGCCATCAGGTCGATCACCGCACGTTTAAGCGGTGATGATGGGAACTCGACGGTAACTCCGCGCTGCCATTATGTCAACAAAACGGAATACTAAACGCACCGAATCGGCTAGCAGAGTTGGCAGCTTGGAAGAAGATGATATGGGGGAGACACTGCCCTCTACGGGTTCAACATACGCCACCGGAGGTGAGCCCTGGGTCGGTGACCATCCGCCACTCTGGTGTGACCACCCCACCCTGCAACGATATCCCAGTATTTCTGCGCCATCTAGTGAGTCCTTAGCCCATTGCGCATGGGATGGGTGCGAAAAGGTCACGAATGCGTAACACTGCTTCGGACGGTCAGAGGAGTTGCCGCGCATAAGCCTTATGCGATTGATCCGCCCGCAACGGCCGAATTTGCGTTCCAAGTCATCTTCAGTTACCTGACAAAAATGCATGCGCAGGACTTAAAACCTACCGAAGGTGGCAAGTTGCCAACATATATGGTACAGGAGGCATCGGGGGCCGAGTTGCGCCTCGCATCCACACCGCCGCTGTAGACGGCAGCATCAGGCAGACCAGATGACGACTTAGGATCGCGGGCGCGGCGTTGCAGCGCCTTTTCCGCCTCCTGCCGCTGCTGTTTTTCCTTGAGCTCTGTGCAAGGTCAAATTAGAAAGGCATAACACCTGCCTTGAATAAAAGCATCGATCTCGCGTGTCTTCCCAGTTGCAGGCGTCCTCTTTGCAGCTGCATTGGCGTTGGATGTCACCCATCGCAGGTATTCGGCGCTGTGCTCATCGACATCGGCTGCCGAATCATCTCCAGCCTGCAACGCACATGAAGGAGATCACGTGTGCACGTCGTACCTGGCTGTCGAAGATTCCGGAAGCTGCTAGACTTGAGCGCGTCGTTTCCGATGGTTTGGCTGCGGATTCGCCGCTTTTCACGAAGAGGACAGGCGCAGCTGCAGGGGCCGGTGCAGGAGCGCCGGAACCTTCGAAATCTCGGACATACTCCGCGTATATCCTGGAAGTCTCAAGACGTTCCTTCACATATGTCATATAATGAAGCGAAATTGCAATAGAAGCCGTTTCAACGAGCTGACTAATGCAGCCGAAAAGAAGACGTCGCCTCTCAACGTACCTTCTCCTTGGCCAACTCCTCTTCCTTCTGCCGCTTGAGCCACGCAGCAACGTGCGACATTATAATCAACAGCTGTGTATAGTCAAAATTCAAAGTGGTTGGGGTAGGAGCGTTGCTATGTGTGCCGCCGACGGCCGACGCGCCCAAACCGACAAACGGGGCCTAAATCACGTGCTATTGAACATATCTGCAGATTAAAAACAGTGATGTGTTGGTACGAGCGCTCAGTAGAATATCCAGTACATAGGACCGGGTCCACGACTGCCGTCCGTGCGCGGAGGGGTCCACGGGTAGTGCTCGTGGATGGTACTGTAATCCAGGCCAGATTTGTACATGTAGTGGAGTGCGATGGTGGAGGACAGGGTGAACCACAGGGAGCACCACATCAGCTTGTGGTCCTCCTCGGCCTCGTGCTTGCTGGGAACCAGGCGCTGCAACTGGCGGGCCTTTAGTCTGTTGTACAGCACGAGCCTGGTCAAGTCAGTGCGTTCCGGGCCGTGCATCCCAGAACCGCGCAGGACCTTCCCCGGAGGAGTGATGTCGTCGATGGTCACCAGGGGCTTGCTGGGGAGTTCGCCGTTGAGGTGGGCCAGCGGGTCCTTCATGTGCATGAACACGGAGCCGCTCTCGGGCACCAACGGGCTGCGCACCCCGACCTCCTTCTCGATGGGCACCACAACATGCTGCAACCTCGGAGGCGCGACGAACTCCCAGAGGCCAAAGTCGCGATAGTTACCTGAAGGAGTATTAGCCCAAGCCGCAGCAAGGTCGGCAAAGCAGATAGACCATCGTTGACGCAAACATAGAACCACATACATGCGTCTCAAACGCATCCCACGGTCTTAAAGGCACGATAGGAACTCATAAATGGCCCGTGCTGGCACCCGTTGTGTGAAAACGCCAGGCGGCAAAGCACAAGGACCGTGACATGGATCCAACGAAATACAGGCACACGCAACGTACCTAAAAAAAGATGCTTTCCATTGTGTAGTTTTCTAGACGCGCGAATCAGACCGGAGCTCGCCATGGTCGATTCACGTGCCGATCATTTACGGGATACGACACGTCAGTCCGCTGCCCCGGCGACGAGCGCAAAACAGGCAGCAGCGGACGGTAGTAAATTGGATCCGATAATATACGGTGTTGGCGGCGAATTTTCCACCGGTTATTATATTTGTTAGTATGTAGACCCCTCGGCCACCTCGGGCCGTAGCCGAGCAAAGGCGACGCGCTGATGTAGGGTCGGGCCGGCAGCAGATTGCTCGGCTATAGGCAATAATATCACCTATCAATTGTAACGAAACATATAATTGCGCAACCTCGCACGCCGCACCGATACAGGGAGGCGCGTGCAGAGGCAAGTGAACCGACTCAGTAACAAAACATACACATTTCACCGCCGTTGCACAACCGTCCCGCGGCAAGTCGACATTTTTAGCGACGACATCGGCAGATTAAGGCAAACGACGCTAGACGCTTCCTAGGAGGACGGCAGCCCGCGCCGCGAAACGAGGACCGTCCGTGTCTGGTACGGCACATCGATTCAGCGCAATACGGAGACCAGCAAAGCTACAGGATCCCAAAGGTATCTCAGATCCGTTAACTACCGGCCGCGAGCCTAGTTGTTGAAGACACCCGATTTACGCCATGGAGGGGTCGCAGACAATGACGCTTCTAGCAACACCCAATGCCGTGCGCACGTTGAACAATGACGCTGCACCTTCCATGCTGGAGACGGGTTTCCGCGTGCTCAGAGTCAGGCCACGCCGAACGGTCACCTGGCAGGAGGGCACCATCGACAACGAGGGCCAGCACAAGAAGAGGAGCAAGTGCTGCTGCGTGTTCACCAAGCGCCAGCGATACGACGGCGAGAGCTCAGACGGTACGGTTTGCGTAACGTAAGCCCATAACAACCTGCAGATGAATGCAAAGCGACCGACCCTGTGCCAAACCAAAATAAGCCGAGCGAGTGAGGTACGAGAAACACGACCGACCCCAACCGGCGCCGATATGTGCTAAATGGCACGAAACTTGCACGCCACGCATATTGGATAGCAACCGCCCAGCCAAATCTGGCGTAATGTAAAATACAACGCAGTATTCGGAGGGGCGACGTGGCGGCAACCGGAGCCGAGATACGCACAATCACGCCGAATCAACACTCGGGAGCCGTATCCAGACGAAATCATCTGGAAGACGGCTGTTGGCGCTATTCGTTATTATGTTGCGAAGGATTCCGTAGAGGACCTCGCACGCGGCACCCATGGGTGTAACGCGATAAATTTTAAGCGTAGCCCTCCTATGTATGAACCTTGTCAAAATTTTTAAGGTGGATTATATTCGGTGTCCTGTGTGGAGGCGGTTTGCGCCGGATGCAGGTGGTGTTGCCTACAGAGGCCAGATGGGGCGACGGCAGCGAGGCCGCTCAGAACGGCCGGCTTCACCAATAAATTGCTCTCGACGTGGCACTAATCGGTATCGCGACACATTTCTGGTTCAATTTCAATCGACCAGTCGCGTGAGCTGCGCCATAACTGCTGCCAAACCTCACCCAGTGTAATTGGGTGAACTGTCGCGCGACAAACGCAAACCAGGCCGACACTAGATCGATCGCCTACCGCGAGCAGGAGACTCGTATTCATGTGCAACCAGGATTGAGGCCGCTTGAAGTCAAAATGGTTCAAAATACCACCCAGGCGGAGCTAACCCCCGATGAAGACAGCATCAGGATGATGTTGACCTGCAAGGTGAGCACACCACCACAGCGTTTCGTGGTTTTGTGTGATACTTTGGGTGTGTAGTGGTCGTAGGAGGTCGGGATGGCCTTTGCTCGGTGCGGAGTGCAACAGGCCATCGGAGGCCTGTCATAGCGTTTCCGCTACTGCGCAAGCCTTCCATGTCGTTAATGACCACTTGGTGCATACTGTAGTTGAACTCTGCATTGTGCGTACGTTGTTAGGTTGCTGGAACAATGTTTTGTGTAAACCGCTAATGCGCTTGCAGGTCCACATCGGAACGAAGAATGTCGAAAACAAGATGAAGAAGTATGTCTTCACCAGGACCCAGGAAGGTGTGCACCTCATCGACCTTTCGTGGACCCTGAAGAAGGTCAAGTTGGCGGCAAGGGCTATTGTTGCTGTCACCAACCCCGCCGAGGTCGTGGTCGTATCCGCCAGGCCCTACGGTAGCCGTGCGGTGCTCAAGTTCTCGCACTACGTCGGATCTCAGCCCATTGCTGGAAGCTGGGTGCCGGGCACTCTCACCAACCAGATCACGCAGAAGTTCATCGAGCCCAGACTCATGATCGCCACCGACCCCAGGACCGACGCTCAGGCCCTCAAAGAGTCCTCATACGTGGCGCTCCCCGTCATCGCTCTCTGTGATACCGACTCCCCGCTGCAGTTCGTGGACATTGCCATCCCCTGCAACAACAAGGGAAAGAAGTCCATTGCGCTCATGTACTGGCTCCTGGCGCGCGAGGTGCTCTACCTGCGCAACCAGATCCAGAGACACATGCCGTGGGACGTCATGGTCGACACCTTCTTCTGGAGGGACGCCGAGCAGCTCGAGTTGAAGTTCGAGGAGCAGAAGCGTGAGGAGCACACTGCTTCCCTGCGCCCGCTCATGCCCCCGAATGTCGAGGGTGACTGGAGCCAGATGGCCGGTGCACAGCCGACCACCGACTGGAAGGTCATGGCCGCCGGCAACGACGAATGGGGAAACTTCGTCGACGCCAGGACCACATGGCAGTAACTCGATAACTCTAATAGACTAACCGTGCCTCAAACCCACTGAAAAGCCTTCAGAGGAATTTTCTACATGACCGTGGTGCGATAAGTGAGCAATTTGTGGCAGCGCGGAAAAAATCTGTGGCTGTCAGCGGCCTGGTTGGCCGGGCAGCGAGAAAGCGCTGACAACTCGGGAAGGGAAATGTGTACGAAAACCGCACTTGCAGCGGAAAATACTGCGCTCAAACGGTTCAGAACGAAAACTACCGGGGCAAACGCGCACCGGAAGATAAAAATCTCGGGGGGCACTTTGGCTAGGCGACACCGCATTCAACACGCTAGCCAGAGATACCATCGGTGCTAGAACCGCACAAAACAGTGCATATTTATACCATCAAATCGCAATATTCACACACGGCGGAAGACACGCAACAGGCGCCGGACACGACAACTCAACGTGGTGTGGTATGTGGTTGTCGTATGATTCCGCACGCAATGTCCGCGAATGACCAACCGAGCCGACGACTGTCACACCACAAGCTACGCTCCAGACGTGACACGTGTTCAGGGTGGCTGACCCTAGGTATTCCGTAGCCACGAGGGCAAGCGCGGCTGTGTGTGAAGGCGTACTGGCGCACGACGTCGCCACCTGAGCCGCCGAGAAAGTAGTCAGGCGCTGTCTACACAAACAAGTGCCAAGAAGACAGCGGTCGGGGCGCAAATAGCGCAAAATTAATCGCTAAATCGCCATCCAGGGGACACTGGGAACGACATCACCAGCGTCTGCCGTGGGTGTGTGTATGTATCATAGGACCACGATGAGATTCCAACAACAAACGAGAGGCCAGCACGCTTCCAGAGTCACCGACGATGTGCCAAAGGACCCGCGGATGCTCACGAGAAATCTCACAATCGAACATGCCGGCGTGGTGAGGAACATCGGCGACTGCCCGCTCACCATCAGGAGGTCGGTCAGCGCGTGGAGCGTTGCCGAGTCCCAGCAAAACCCGTACTACCAGAATCACCCGCATGCGTTTCAAGCCTATGACGAGAAGGGGGCCAACACACCCAGGTGCCACCTTTTGTCACCGCAGTCTAACGCCGAAAACGACATCGCACTAGAGACTGCACACAACAGAAGGGAGCTGTATGCCGACTTGTCAGTGGATGACGCCGGGGAATTACGCAACAGGCCGACCATTTCGCTCGCCGATCTTAACGACGGAGTAGATTTCGAGGCTCTGCTGTACGGTCCGCTGAATGACGAAAAGCTCAAGCCGGTTCACCAACGCTCCATAAGCACCGCCGACAATTGCCGCTTCGAGCAGCCCCGACCCGTCTGGCATCTATTCAACGCAATCGCTTCGGATGAGGTCTACAGGAAGGCCGAGGACTGGGGGATTGACCGGTCCATATACACCAGGTATGCCAGGTCGGGGTTCTTCGCAGACTGTTACGTGGCCGACTCGATGCACCACGGGGAGTACCTCAGCGTCACAGATTGTGAGGAATTCGCGGAGTGCAGAATTCCACTTATTGTATGTATCATATCCACCAGTCGCCAAGCAAGACAGAATGAAGTGCAGAGGGGAATCGTGCCGCTGGCAGTCCACATCCTCGACAGGTACATCGAGAAACACAAGCACTCGATGGCGAGGCTTATTTCAATCGCCTTTGCGCACGTAGATGGCACGTCGAGCGAAAACAGCTCCAAGCAAGCCTCGCTGGCCTCCAGCATCAACGCCTCTGACGCAGCTGCCCTGGATACGGCAGCCGTTGCCAAACATCTCAAGGCAAAGTATAGACATGACAACCTCATCAAGCTGTGTTTCAACTTCTCGCCTGAAAAAACGCGACGGGAAAACACAGCACTGGATGGGCATACCGACACTTTTCACGACTTCGGCTGCCACAACCTGGACACTGACTCCTGTTACGAAGACGGTAGCGAGTACGATGAAACAACGCAGAAGTACAATTCAGCGTCGGTCATGAAGGCAGATGTCGTATACAACTTCGTGGCTGCAGCGTGCTTCTTTATCGCCGACAGATACAACGGACTCTCAAACACGTCCGTCAAGGCCCTGCTGGTCAAGTGGGAGTCCACATGCCTCGTATACACAAAAACAAGGCATGCTGGCAGATATATCCGCGAAAACAGAGCGATGGCGCTTTCCATCATCATGTCGTTTATGTTCGACATTTACTTCGTCCTGGAGTACAAGCTCACCACGCCGTTCCCGTGCCACATGGTGCAAGATCTCATACTCTCGACAACTGACTTTCACTGTTCCCCTAATCCAAGCGAGTACAGCGTGTATCAAAAGATTGCAGCAATCATGGCGCGCATTGCGTACGTTGACGACACCTTCCACAAGTTCCCACCCAGCATCCTCACGCTGGCCATATACGGCGTCGTCAGGCGCCTGGCGGTGCACAACGAAGTGGTGGAGGACGAAAATGCCTGGCTACTCGTGGACGAAAGTGATTCTGAGATACGAAGGTGTTCGAGTCTGCTCATAAACACGCTGATCCAGTACGTCAACACTGACATCCTGGACGTGCTAACGCAACCGGTGTACATGAAGCACCATTCTGACGAGTTGTTCGGTAATCTGTTTGAGGATCTGTGTGATCTCGATGCGGGACATCTCAGAAAGTTTGCCAGCACTTTAATGTCACTAACGTGACAGTCACTGCAACAAACATTTATCTAATTCTAAAAATCATCAGTAGTTGTTTATGCTAACATTCATCTTTTTATGCGGTTTGAGGATGGCTGGCATTCCATTCAGGGATGAGGCGCTCCCTAAGGAGATTATTGCCATGGAACAGTGCGTTGTCGCTACATGTCCGGATTCTTTTTCACTTGCATAACGCATCACAAGCGGCGACATAACGCCCCGGCCAGTGTTCGTCATTAGAAAAATATACTGCATATAAATTGCGATGTAACGTTGCTACAGAGATGCTGTGTCCCAGGTGAGGCTACAAGAGATAATGTTGGGTTTAGTAGAGGCGTATGAGATTGTATGATTCGAATCATCACTTACGTAAGAGCGCAGTTTCTAGGGGTATAGGGCAAGGTGGCAGATGGAGATGACAAAGATGGCGCCGAAATCGATGCACTCAACTACATTTACTTCGCGATCCTTAGTGCGATATATGAAGCTACATTAGGCCCTTAAACGGGAAGGCGGAGTAGCTATCAATGTCCATCTCCTCGTGAATCCTTCCACCTACAAGATTATTTGTGGATACTTCGGAACTTTTTGTCCAGTTAACAAATGCAGCGCGTAGTCCATAATACGCCTTCCGGAATTTCTCCGGATACATATTCCAGGCAATGAAGCTGGCTAATATAAGCACAGCGATGGCAACGATCATAGAACCGATGCAGTAAAACACATGTGTCCCGCATAATCCTCTGCAGTCTTTGCAGCGGGCGATGCAGTAGCCGTCTCTGTACTCTTCGCGGAAGAAGCAATAGTCTGTTTCATTTTTACCTTCAGGTACCTTGGTAACACCATCCCCATAATATGCGTAGTGTCCTTTGCAACTGTCTTTGCCTGTACCTGGACTGCATTTTTCTTTTCCAGTTTTTTGGAGTACGAATCCGTCGCAAGACCCCGGACACTCGCTATCAGGGCACCAAATACAGCAGTTACAAAGTCCGTAACTACATCCACAGTTACAAAGCACACATATACATCTGTCACCTAGATCTTCGCCTTTGCATCTTGCCATACAGCGTTTACAATCACCATCTTTACCCTTACACGGGCTATCGAGGCCCTCTGTGCCATAACAATTGTTTACACAAGCACAGCGAAAAATACGACATTTACATTTCTTGCCGTCAGCTGCAGGTTTGCATTCCTTCTTGCAGTATTCGCAGTCCTCGTTACAGCAGACCTTGCACTTCCTACAATTGGCCGTAGTGCAATTAGTGTCGTGACTTTTCGCGTTTTCGTCTATATCACATCCGCACTGGTTCGTACCCTTCTTTTCCGCCGCCATATTTTCCTATTACTACATTCACACGGCCCTTATCTTCATTTAACACCCGTCCTAAACCGGCAGAACGCAACATCCAACGCCCCTGTGACATAACACCACTGAAGCAACCAATACCTCGCAACTATGAACAACGTACCCAGATTGTTGGTAGTAGTCAGGAGATTCCTCACCTTCCTTACATCACCCAAGATGAATAAAAAAAGTGTCCCTTACCAGTGTTTCCGATCTAATAGTGTACAGAAAACAAAATGCTCTTCACTATCTCGTGTTGACACATGGTACAACTAATGAGGATGGACCTACAGCACACTCTTCTGCATCTAGTACACATCAGTTATTTATTTCAGACAATAGGTAAGGTCATATTGTGTTTCAATAGTGGTGCGAAAACGTCGCTTCTGTTGCGCAACGCACCAAGCTGGATGCACGGTTTAGAAGCCACCGTTTGCATGACTGGAATACAGGCGACGTTGCCGCGTTGAACCCTGGACTTATAGCAACATAGGCTTGGGATGTGATCAGACGAATCTGTTGTTACTTCGTTCGGCAATGTGCGATCGACTTCTCAGCTAACAACACAATTGGACCTGCGGAGTTCATTCACATACCCATCCACAGCGATGAACTTCCTAGCGCAACCGGCAGAACGCAGCCTCTAGCGGTCCCAGCGGCATGACGACAGGCCACCAAAACAACCAGTCCTTCGCATATATGGCCATAATACATCAAGGGTAAGCCATGTTTCAACGAATCAAAGTAATCCGGAGCCTATAGACACACATGCACGGCGCCATACAGTTTATACCTGGGAAAATGTGATTGTAGATCAGTGAACTGACAGACCACTGCATGCATTGATTTGCAAGATCTCTCACCTAGTGACGAGGACTACACGCACGATTATGTGTGATCCAAGAATACAGCGTCATTTCCAGTAAGCTCGGGTCAAGCTATCTCACCACTTCCTCTACTGTGAAGCCACCATGGTGGCATGCGACCGCATGTGGCAACGCATCTAACTGTACCAACAACCGAATTCATTAAATGCGCCCATGATGTTTTCATAGTTCTGTCCCGCGATGTTTCCCCCTACCAGCTTTTTCTGGTCTAATCTTTGTAGCATCCTCAAATTCGATAATAGGATGCACGTTAGTAGCCACAAACTCGACATGTGCGCTGAAGGCTAAGAACACAACGTTGCAGCTTTACATACACGGAATTCTCACCTCTAATTTCCAATTCACCACTTATGTAATATGCATCTGCGGTCCTTATCAGGTGTATGTCTGCATCACAAACTTCATCTACCGCAATTATCCAACGAAGCGCCATCTCTATCCGTAGTTATGCACTGTAATAGATATGTTTATTACTGACTTTCAGACCCTTGGTCTTGATGTTCCCGATCGCCTCTGGAAGAAGTCCTTCGTTTGCAATGCCTTGTTCGCCGGTTAGAGTTTTGTTCTTAAGGCTATCTGAATCTTGTTTAACGTGCTTATCGTAATCCTTAAACTGTCCACTGTCTTTAATGTTAACGCCACCACTTGCCGGATCATCCTCCCCAATGTGCCCCTGAAGCAGACCTTCAAGGGATGGTTGGAGTCCAGTTTGTGTATCAATTATCTTCTCGTGTACAGTTTTGAACTGCTTCATGAGGTCATCACTAAGCGTTATGTTAACATTATCCTTACTAATCTGCCCACCCGCCTCTGTGATAGCCTTCTTGGCCGCAGCCTTTATCTGCTCTTGCGCTTGCTTGTCGAACTCGTTAACGGCGCCGGTAAGCCCTCTAACTGCAGTCTCAAGTGGTTGTTTGACTTCATTATTAAACTTGTTGGTAATCTCCTGCTCAACGATTTTCCTCACCACCTGCAACCTACTGTCCACGGCTTGTGCTGTGCCAGCTTCGGGGGTGGGAGGTTGGCCGGGTTTAGGAGTGCTGGTCGCATCGTCGAGTTTCTTATAGAGATCATCAACTGTAGGCTTTATTTCGTCCAAAATTGTGCCAAACACGCTTATGCCTAAAAAGTTGAGTTCGTTGCCAACTTGCCTTGCAGAAGCGCAGAGCGCAACGAGGGCGGCACGGATGGCAGTTTTTAGATCGTCGTTGGTGGTTGCCCCCCCTGGCGAATTCCCAATCCCCGGAGTTATCTTATCCACGAACTGCTTATTTCTGCCCTTAGTCAGTTCGCCGTCGAGCTCCTTGACAAATGTCTCGCAAGCCAGCTTGATAGCTTTTAAATTCTCTGTGATGGTGTTGGGGCCGTCGCTTATTTTGTCTTGTGTAATCATCCCCTGAGCTGCATCAATTTGGTGTTTCAGCTGTTTCATAATCTGGTCTTTAATCGATCCTCTCAATGCATCGACACTATTCGTCCCAAGCCAAGAGTTCACAGCTTGCAGCCCCGGCTTATCCTTTTTATTCCCTATGACACCTTCCAACCACCCCTCTACTCTACCCTTGAAACCACTATTGTTCCCCTTCTTAACAAACACGTGAGCAAGCCCTTTCACTCGCTCCTTAATACCGTCGAGGCCTGAGTTGTTTTGCCATGTACCTCTAACAGTTCTCCCCGGCCCACCCTTAATCTCCCCAACTTCTTCTTTAATATGCCCGAAAATAGTTTCTAGTTTATCTTTGCCGCCATTTAACTCAAACTTCCCGCCAAGCGCCCCAATCGCCGAGTCAACTTTTTCGATCGCCAAGATAAGCGGACTTTGGATCTCCTCCTTAAACTTCTGATCCAGATTATTCGTCGCGTTTTGTATTGAACCTTGTGGACCAGTAACACGATCCAACGTTTCTCTGGAAGACTTAAGTTGTTTCAACTGACCGCCAACAAGACCTTCGCCGTTCACATTACTACTCTCAACTTGCTCTCTAAGTTTCGTAATCCTCTCCCTCAAAATCCCCAAATCACTCTTCACTTCTTTATCCAACTCATTAACCTTCAACACCCTAATCACTTCCATAATCCCTGTTTTAATCCCATCTTTAACCGCCTTCAAATCAATCTTGAGACTTGTGTCCATCTCCACAACAGCCTGCAACGCTGATTTGACATTCTGCTCGGCTTGTGTCTTAGCCTCACTCGCAGCCTTCAAAAGTTCTGTACCTTTCTCTTTTAATAAGTCAGCATTCTTATATAGTTCGGCATTTTTATCTGTCATAACCCTCTTAAGTATCTCCTCACACTTCCCCTCCGCCTTGGTAATGACACCCTGGGCTGCAGCCTTCCAACTCTCCAGACTGGAGACATGCCCGGCAAGTTGTTCATTCGCCTCTTTAATTGCCTTATTATGGTTATCAATGTTCGTAATTTGTGTCTTCAAATCCCCTTTACTTGTATCACTAATCTCCAACTTCTCATACACCTCATTGGCCCTGTCAATCGCCCCTGTAAGCACATCCCCGGCCTTACTTTTCCACTCTCCCAAACTTCCATGAACACTATTCAGCTTCTCATGAACATCATTAATTCTGTCCTTAGCTTGCACAATCTTCTTCACATTCTCATCCAGAGTCTGATTAACCCTCAACTTGTCGTAGGCCTCCTTGGCCTTGTCCTCGGCAGCCTTGCGGATACTCTCCGCCGTGGTGATCCAGGAATTCAGACTGTTAACTTGTCCTTCAAGTTGTCCATTTGCGGTGTCAATTCCTTTTTTAGCTTCTTCAATTTGCTTAATGTTCGTGGCAAGAGTTTGTGAACCAGTAGGATCCAACCTTTTATGCACGCCCTGCGCCTTCAGAACCACTTGGCTAAGCACACCGCTCGCCGCGGAATTCCAAGTCTGCAAATCGCCGTGAATATTTCCTAGCTCACTACTCACGCCCTCAACTTTTTCTTTAGCTTCATCAATTTTCTGAAGTCCTTTGCCAATCACTGTCCCTGTACTCGGATCTTTCTCACTGGGATCCATGTTCTTATGCACATCATTCCCCTTATTAATAGCATGTTCAAGGACACCATTTGCCGCTTCCTTCCATTTTGTCAATTCCGAAACTCTATCTTCCAATTTACTCTCAACAGTAGCAATTGCCTCGTCTAGATTGGTTTTATGGTTCAGATGTCTATCTTTCACATTCCCATTCACCTCATCCAAAATGTTCTGGACTAATTTCTGCGCGGCTTCAATGTCCTTTGTAGTTTTCTCAATCCACTTGTCCAGGTCCGTAATGTATTGTCCGAGTAATTTACTGACATTTTCAAGGTTCTATTAAAGGTGATTGGTGGCTTACTTTATAGGTGCAAGAGGGGCGTCGTGAAAGGCGTCAGCAAGGGATCCTCGCCGCCGCATTGGGGAGAGAGGATAGTGTGAAGGACGTTGCCAGTTTGCTGAGATTCAGGCAAATCCTTCTCCGTAAATCCCATTTTGACACGGCTCTTGAAGCAGATGCTGCACGGGTCGAAGGGATGAGTCTCGAACTTGGAGTTGGGGGCGTCAGTCAGGAAGGACTGGAGGGGGGACTTGGGAGAAGATATATCATGGCCATACTCACAATCCTGCCAACCACCATTGAGTTGATCCCGCGAAAACTGCGACTTTAAGAACGCCAACTGGTGGCAGCAGGCGTAGGCGTAGTCCCGCAGCTGGCAGAGGAGGCAGGCGGGGTCGGTGGAGTAATGAAGCTTGGAATATTCTGAGCTGAAGTCAGGGGTTGAAATGTCTGTCGAAAAATGTCCTTGTGTTTAATCCTGTGGAGTATGCTCGCCGCATAGTTACACGCCTCGGTCAGGGTCTGGGAGACAAGGGAAGCGGTCAGGTTGTAAGGTTCCCTGGTGACATCTAGGGAATCTGAGGGCTGGGAAGCATCCTTGTTAAGCTTCATTAAAATATCTCCAACATACTCCCTGATCTCCCCAATGAGCCCATATTGATTAAACCCGACCATCCAGTAGAGCATCTCCCTGACGGTGTCTGGCGGGGGCATATGGGAGGAGTCTGGGGGAGGGGAGGGGGGTGGTTGGATGGGAGCATCTGAGGCATCGGGGACGTACCAGGGATTGCGGCAGAGATCAAAGTTGGGGGTTATTGTAAAACCATAATCCTGAAACTTACCCCAGGTGGTAGGATCCTTAGCAGTAATGTCAGGATCCATGTTGGGATACGCCTCATTTGGAAGTGCAGGATCGATGAATTCGACTGGATGTGGCGGTATAATCAGATTTTCGTTTTTGAGGATGTTGTCGGACGGAGGGAACTTCCGAGGTTCTATTTCAAGGGGATGAGGCGGCAGCGGAAAGTCCAGCTTGGTTGGCGGAACAGATGTTGCTGGATTATGGCCCGGGACAGGATCACCACTCATGTCCATCATTTGTTGGAATGATGGATCGCTAAATTGAGATATGGACGCTCCAGGAATTGATGTCAATGGAAGTGCAGGGTCCACGGCGGTGGCTGGCAATTGCGGCGGAGTATAACGTCCAGGGGGCCTGAAGGTTGGGGGAAGAGGCGGCATGCGATGATTTCGTTTAGGGGAAGGAATTGTATGGCCTATGGTCTCCGGTATTGCGGGATTCAAGCCACCAAAATCTGTCGGGATTTTGGCATTTTGAATAGTCTTACGAAAATGTTTTATTGGGGCGCCAGATATGTCTGATACGTTGGCGATGGCTTGGTCGTCAAGCTCCACAGTGGGTATCGTATGAGCAGGATAATTATTTTTTGACAACTTGCCGCCGGTGGTTGCGCCGATGTCCGGCAGCTTGGGAGAGTATTTGGGAATGGTTATTTTAAGTCCATCCAATATTTCACCGTGTTGCATCTGTGTATGACGCCTTAGCTTATCTTCTCCCTCCCTTTGTTGTTTTTCAATTAATTCATGTTCCCTTTTTTCTATGTTTGTCATCGCAATTCTCTGCCCAACTTGTGCGTCGAGGATGTCTTGCAGCTTTTGATTGTACAAGCCCTCATATGTTTGTTGAAGTTCTGGATTTCCTTCATATTTTACGGTGCTACCATCCAAGGATGGTGATTCTGGTGGAAATGGCTCCGGCACAGGTTCTCCACCGAGGTAATCCGCAGTATGTGGCTGAGGAGTCTGAAGCCTTGCGCCAGGAAAGTGGCCGGCAGGTTTAGGGGAGTGAGTGGGAGACCTACTTAGGTCTTGGGAGGGAACTATATGGTTATCTTGTGGATCAGGATGTTGAAGTGGATTGTTATGAAGAAGCTGCGTGTTGTGTGCATCCCACATCTTTCGAAGGACATCTTCGGTTACAGCGCGATGGGGAGTCGGCGACCTGGATTTCGGAACACATATTATATTGGCGTCATGCCAATTTTTAACAAGGGTTTGGCCAGCTCCGCACTTTGGAGCCGCTGATTTCGCGGGTATAGGAGACAGCGCAGCCGGATCCTGTGGGCTACCTGAACCTCCACCCCCTCCAACTCCACTCCCACCTCCACCAGACACCGTTGTAACCGACGTAATAGCGACGCTGCTTGAAGTGTTATCGGTGTCTTGACTTGTAGTTTGACTCACATCTTGACCACCTGGATGACTAGCCCCCTGACCACCAGTTGGTCCAGGTTGTGAATCTGAAGCACTTGTAGGCTGAGTAGGACTTGTAACTGGAGATCCACCAGGCTGAGCACCTTGACCGTCACCGCCCGGTGAACCCGCACCCGGGTCACCTGGCTGAGCAGTGTGGCCAGTGCCTCCAGGAGCACTCGGGGGAAGAACTGGCAATACTGTATTAGGTTGCTGAGGTTGGACAGCATTTTGATCGATCTGAACTTGAGGTGGAGAATGATTCGTGGACCCTGTACCATTAGGCCCTGGCGGACCTTGACTACCAGGAGGCCCTTGCGGGCCTGGAGCTCCTTTTGGGCCTGAAGCTCCATCCTTACCGGGACTCGGAGCTGGAGCAGTAGACTTTACAACTGGTGTACCTGAAGAACTTTCTCCATTTTGACCATTATTCTGATTTGGAGTTGCCTCAGGACTAGTGACCACAGGTTTCGTGACCTCTGTTTTAGTAGCAGTCGGCTTCGCCGCCTCAGCTTTCTTCCCCTGGTTCTGCGCTCCCTCAGCTTTCTTTTCAGGCGGAGGGTCTTGATTTTTACATGAAACATTATACGTTCCACTCAAAATTTCTCTGAGCGTATTCAAATCGCCGTCAGTTTTCTTAAACTCATTAATTACATCGCGCCAATCTTTTTTCAATGTGTCTATATCACTTGGAAACATGTCAAAGCGAGTACTATTAAAAATCGTAAAACCGTACGGGAAAAGATTTTTCGTGAAGTACTCTCCAAGATGCTGGTTGGCCTTGTGTTGCTCAATTTTCACCAAATGTCCTTGCACGTTGGTTATATTCGTTCTTAACCAGTCCGCTGTTTTCTGCGCAAGCGCTGTCTTATTAAGGTTTCCGGTATTCGTCGACAGCCCGGTGAAGTCGAAGTGTTTTTCGGCAAAGATTTTTTTGAATCGACTTTTAAGCTTAGTGCAATGGTCTCTTAAGTCTTTCCAGCAGATGGATTTGTTGAACAATTTAAGGCTTTCATTTAATGCTGTTATCAAGCTTCCACCTTTCTCATGGTCTTCCTCCCCAAGAACAATATCGCAAAAGGTTCTCGCCAACACAAGAGAATTCGCGGCGTTCTCTGGACGCTTGGCCGATTCTCCAATAACGGAGCTCACAAAGACGCTGCGGAAATAATTATAATTTTTTTTGTCCACGATCTTTTGTAGGTCCCCAGCCATGCTATAACCTTGGGGATAGCCTCTGTCCAACAAAGTTGCGTTATATATCACCTCATCGTCAGACGTGAACCCACCTGGGATGACGCCGTGCTTTGAGTCGCCGGATTTCGCGAAGAGATATTGGTCGAGATCACCGCCGCTATTTTTGTGCCAATAACTCCCCGTTAATGCCCCAGTCCAGTTCTGTTTCCAACCACCGCCATGAAGTTGTGAGAAACTCGGATCCACATTGTACCACAAAAAGTACATAACGGCTAGGAACTTGGGCGTACACTCTAGTAGGGCGTTGCATATTTGTTCTGCGCTTTCCCTTCCATGTGCCCAAGGCTGCGGATTGTTGCATAGCCTCGTGTAGAAATGTGACGCGTGGCCGAGAAATGTAGACAGTGCGGATTCAATGGTATGTTCTCTAAGAAAGTCGGCAGTGTAATACTGCTTAATACGTTTTCCCAGCTCTTTTGCCACCTCTCGTTGCATACTCTTATCACCATTCAACCACTCCAGGAACTGGAGACAGTCCTTGAGTGTGTTGAGCTGAATGTTGTGCTTCGTCATCTTGCTTACCAAAGCAGTAAGCACAAAAACACTAATAAATGGGCACTAGGCTACTCGCACAAAAGTATATTTAAATGGTTAACTAGGAGACACTAAAGCGATAAAACCTCTGAGGTGACGACACCGCTTCCAGGTCACCAAGACACTCCCAAGATGCTTGTAACAGTAGTGATTGCGATGTTATTAGGTGGCTCAGTGAATGTGTAAGTGGCGATTGGTGAGACATTTTAGAGTTGCAGGAGGGGCGTCGTGGGAGGCGTCCGCAGCCTCAGTCCACCGACAGGTGGGATGAAGGAGGCTGTTTGGTGGTGACGGCAAGGCAACAAACGGAGAAGGGAGATGACAAAGCAGCGAGTAGATCACATCGTAGGTTAGCCATTTGGTTAGGTGCTAGGTAAGCCGTTTGGTTAGTCAGTGAGTTAGGTGCTAGGCAAGGCACGAGATACAGTCACGATGAAAGCCGTGACATGGAAACACAGGAATGTAAATGTAATGTAGCTACGATAATTACTGTCATGAGTGAAAGTCATCGTCGAAGTAGTCGACGTCCTTGTAGAGCGAGAGCATCCTGCGGCCTTTAGTGAGTAAGGCCTTGACGTCGATGAGGTGGGAGCGGATGTGGATGCTACATTGCAAGGTATTAGTCGTGTCGTTTTAACTAATGTTCTGCTACGATGTACTCCACGAATGCTTCCACTGGGTATTCGCCGAAGAACGGTTTTGAAACATTAAAACGTCATTACGGTGGCATCGTGCCTTTACTGTCTAAAACGCTGCGATCAGTGATGTTATAAAAGGTGTCGAAAGTGAGTAAAGGATGCGATACAAAACGCTCATCTGCGGAATAAACAATCGCGGACCCTGTGGAACGGCCGGATGCGTTTCATGATCATAACGCATACGACGATGAGGATGATGAGAATGACTATGGCACAACATATTCCGGCTCTACGGGGCTGGAGACGCTGGCAACATTTACACCCACAGTCAAACCAACCACCACAATAACACGCTTTATTGGAGTTACAGTCCCCGCTTTCTTCATTACATGGACATTCCCCACCCCCTGGAACACCCACCACCATCTTCACCTAGCTCACTCGTCATCAACCTGCACAGACATGAAACACGTACCCTGAGCCTCGGACAGCAGCACCGCCATGTGACTCATTGCAAAGGATACTACCGAAAGTCGTTTAGCACCGCACAGATACCACGCCCAGCGGGGTCATATAGAGAGTGCGAAACTTACCCCACACTCCGATGACCAAATGGCTGGAACTTTGGAAAGTCCCAAATTAATTTATCCGACGCATTATAGATGGCATTTTTACATCTATTCTCAATCGTAAATGTTTGAAAGTGCTGTCGGACCCATTCTTGTTATCACCTACCACCTGGTAGAGGCACAGTGCCATAGGCCTCAAAGCACCTACCAATCCAGTTGACCACCCAACCCTATCCATCTGCACATAATACAATGCGATAGATACATTTCCCATGTCGTCATTATGTTAACACGGAACCACGTATTCTGACAACCTCACATTTCACTCCATGGCGGATGCAAGTCAGTATTAGTATTCGTGGCGCCGAACGTAGTTCGTCTCCCCTGGGTTTAACTTTATATCCTACATCTGTATCTCTGCCCAAATGATGCACGTACCATTGAACCGGTTGGTTGTTATGTTCGCATCAATCCCATCAGGCTTCGGGCTATGTGACTGAATCAGGTGACACGTACAAAAATGCGGTTCTCAATTGTTGATGGCTCACTGTAACATGGAAAACATATAATATAGTGTGCTGCGGAAATGTGATGAGCACATGGAACCATATCCGTATGCGTATTTGTTGTTTAGCGTCTCCAGGGACTGCTGCCGTAGCCAGTGAACAACATTATTGGAGTAACTGAAGTCCATTGATGCTTTTTCAGATGTTGCCCACTGTTTCATAATGAACATAGTGCCTATATTTTAGCTTGTGAGCTGGTGTTCAAACGCTGATACCACACCTTCCTCACCTCATCAGTACCAGAAGCAGAGCAATGTTATGGTGCCACTTAATTACAATTCACGCTCTTGATTAGGCTTAAGGTCACACTTGCGTGTTATGAAGAGCTGTGATAACACAGAATACTACTGGCATAGCAAGTTCCATAATTACACACGAGGTTGCGCCTGTTTCATATTGTATAGTATGCGATGTAGATATCCCGTTTATCTTTGTCGTTGCTTTTTTAGTGTGCTCCGTTGCTACGTACGGTGTGGGCGATGTTCGCTCATGCCACAACCTCAATCCCCGCAGTATATTGACATCAGTAGCTCGATATGCACCGTCCGGTTAACGGACGCATTGGATGTCACACCTGTCTACCCCGTGCGCTGCCCTCTAGCTCCGCTTCGTAGGTTATAGCAGTCACACGACTAATAAGGCCTACGACCGTATAATCCGCCCAAATGTGTATTGCCACCGTATTTACGTGTTTCTGGCGCAACAATATCATGTCCATTCAGAAGAGTTTCTAAGACAACATTAAATTGTTAAGTCACACAATCGACCAGGGTTGGTATGCCTCGCATTACTCCATATGCTAGGCTACCAAGCTACACCAAGGTGCATTGATCGCTTATACAAATGATAAGGCGTGAAGCAATGTACAGCGTGATTTATAAACTGCGGGCATGAGCACCATTCCGTTCTAATACGAAGATGAAAACGTACGACATTGCAACAACAATTCACCAGAATGCAACGTGAACTACATTAAAGATAAGTTAAGAGATGTGTCTCACTTATACGACAATAGCAGTGTAGAGGACATAGATTTTAACAACAAAGCTCGTTATCACCGCAATTCAAAATTAGAAATCCCTCGAAAATTAGTATGGTGCCAACCCACTGGGGAACCGGACTCATAATCGTTGTTTGTCGAACTGCATTTACGGTTCACATGTTATTCCTACTCAATAGAAAGCCCAGAATCCAGCGAGGTCGTAGAGGATGTCCAGTACCCGTTTGTCCACACTTCCCAATGCCTTGCGGAGCTCTGAACCATTCACGCTAGAGCGGCATGCCGGCTCATCGAAACCCGCAGCTTTCACAACCACTCCCACACGTTCATCCGCCGGAGAACCTGGACCGTATTTACTTGAAGCTTTGCCCGCATTTTGCAAAGCAGATACGCCTGCGTACAACATTGGCGCAATACCGACGAGAACAACCACGCAAGCTTCCGGATCTTCCGAGCATGATGTTCCCCACGTCGCTTCCGAACTGTAAGCAGACTCGTACTGGTCAGGGATTTTTATATCGTCCAAGAACTTCTCATATGCATCGACGACTTTACCCAAGTTTCTTGCGATTGCTTCAGGCTTGGTATCCCGGGCCTTTACGACGTTCTTGTAATCGCTTTCCTCGATACCTTTTATTACATTACCGATCTTTTTCGGGTTTTTGTCCATTGGTGCGTTGTATCGTTTCAGCATCTCTTTTACGAATGGGTAGCCCTCAAGCTCCGGTTTCCTCAAGAAGTACTTCGAAAAGCGCTTTACCTTCTCGAGAGCTGGCAGCTCCATCTTACCAAGAGGCTTGGACAACATAAAGCGGTAAAGAGCGGTGCCCATAGCCTTCAGGTTGTCTTCATCTCCAGTTCCCCTCAGGGCCACCAACCAGTCAATGCCCTCCTTGAGGTTGCGGGGAATTTCAGTCAACGAATTGTACACCATTTTGTAATGAGTCTTTAAACTATGCAATTCTTACACGCGTATGAATTTGGTGTCTATTTACAAATATATTATGCAAACAGCCTCGCATGAAATGGGCAAAGTGAACGCCAGCTATGCATAAATCGCAAATGAGCACAGGTGCCGTTTACACGTAATAAAGATGAATTTAAGCGTTATATATAACGCTATATCTGCAGCAAATATGCATACGATGACCTAGATATCCCACTTTACCCAGCTCCACACGAGTAACGTGGCATGCAATACGCAGAACGCGAGTCATTGATGCATACAAGCTCCAAGCATATATGGCACATGTGGAAGCAGGAGATGTTGGTAGTATTTGCAGGCACGAATAAATGTTTGAAATTTCCTGATCTGTTGCGAGTAGCATATTGCAGTGTACGCCGCTCCGTGATTGTCGAGGTGGAGCGTCCTGGCGGCATTCAGCATGACGCCCTCGCTCATTGCATAGCCACAATCCACATCAATTAGTCGCTGTCCAGCCGCTTGGTTTTGCTCTGTTGTACCTCTTATGGCTGACGTCGATGACCAACTACTTGTCTTTACGATCCGCTGGTACCATATGATGACGCCGCCAAGGCCTCTCCCCTCGACGTTCCTCGGCAAAGCAGGCAACTGCCAGTCAATACAACAGCTGTTAAACTGCACCCTCGAGTCTCCCACCACTCAGTAGGACCAATATGATCCCTCGATATGGAGAAGCTCTGACCATTCACCGCTGGCCGGACGAGTTGCCCATTCGCTGTCTCGGCACTAATTGAAACGCAGTCTCCGTGCGTTGAAATATTACTTCTGCGCTCAATATGACCATGAAGAATGTTTATCCTGTAATGATCGTGTCACCAACCTGGTGGGAGCATTGTAGTCTGATATCGATGACACACCCAACATCCGTTGACTCAATAGCTCTCTCAACTTAAGCATGATATCATTTCTACTTGTTTTATTTCCGATGTGGCCATTCTATGAGACGGGGACCACTTATTGTGACGGAACGCCTCACACCCCAACCCTAATGAGGTCGGGCTCCTCATTGAGCTGCATGCTGTCGAATATGGTACAACGATTTCCAACATATTCATAACCTTATTGGTGTTTATTTCCCCACTGTGAGGCATTCGTTCGCTTTTCGTTGGCCCATCCCATCAAGCTGTAGGCAGGGTCTGAGAGAGATCACACCCCTAAGTAGACACCTCTCGAATGTCAACATGACTCACAGTAGCTTATTAAACTATATATTGTAGTGCTCTGTGAGTGTACAATGGTCACACGATGCCATCCCTGCATCCGCTTCCACCGGTAGTCTACAGTGGCCAAGAACTGACATGATAGTTGGTTGTGGAGTTGCTGTAATCCGAGACAATGTCCAAGATGGTTGCAGTTGTTGCGTCCTAAGAGCATTGCCGAGGTTATAATATGTAGCCGTAACCACAGTCATCCATATCACACCTTCCTAATTCGGTATACGCGAAAGGCACAGCAAAGGTGTGGTGAGACTTAATTATACATCACACTATAAAACGGGCTACGCACAGCCATAGTAACGCCCCAATATGGTGCTAAATTGAAAATCGCAATTTCTACGCTCGAATCAAAAACCCTGCTGCTACGTGAATACACAAATTAACGGAAACAATGAGGTACGCAAATTAATTTCTGCAATGTACCGAAGAGTTATCACATCTTAGTAACTCATTACTTGGCGTAATAGTTCTCAATCTGGATGGTGGAGAGGACGGCGCCCTTTACGGTGACGCAGCGGCATTCCAATGGCGGCGTCTGGCGCAGCGTTTCCCCGGGTCCTACGAGTGAACCGTCGAACTCCAGGATGACGAAGTGGTTGGAATGCGACACCACCAATGACTGGCTGAAGTCTTTTAGGTTCTTCACGTCATCGTCCACGGAGACCTGGCTGAAGCAGTTGGGTGGGTCCAGGACGTACGGCGCTGGGCAGTAGAACGCCGCTTCCCTGGCAGTGTGAAGATCGATCTTGCAACCGAACTTTGGGTTGCCGTCAGAGTCGTAGAGTTTGGGTGTCTCAGGCTTGAATAATTCAACTGAAGGCTGGGTAACGCCGCAACCTTGCATGTATGGGTCTGTCATCTCGACGGCTACTTCAACCAAGTGCCACGTGTATCGTTCTAACGGTGCTGTAGCGTGTGGAATAACCGGTGCATGTGTGTCATCATCGAATAGACCAAAGTCCGATCGTCGAAGCTCCTTACCGCAGACAAATGTCATCGGGACGTACTCCGTGTTGTCAGGGTCCTTAGATATCAAAATTGCGCCTCTATCGGATTTTATCCTCAGATCATAATAGTCATCTGTAGATGTAATCGGATATACGTCGAATCCACGCTTTGTGCCAGCGATGATATCCTTGTATCTCTTTCGAATCAGCTCAGGCCCATATGCGGTATGCTCTAGCGTGTAATAGTAAAATGCAGGATGGGATGGCAACCAGGTAGGCGGTGGGAAACCATCATTCACAGCGTTTTTTAATTCGTCATCAAGGGCACAATGCAGGTATAATGCTGTGCCTACGTGTAGTGTAATGGGTTTCTTGGGTACGTGGTGTAGCCTAATTGATTGCATATAAATGATTTCCATGTATAAATGGGCTACCTCACCCCAGGCCAGTAACGAATAAGGCAGCAACGTTTGAGATGCCTCTTCACGACTTATTATGTAGGAGTAATCTACATCATGGTTGGATCCCAACGTAAGTCTAGATCTCTCGTATCCATGTTGATCAACACAGATGCACGCGTAACTGACAGGGATATTTAGGAAGCTCATCTCGAACACCTGGAATCCTCGAATGGGGTAAAGAGTTGCATTGCGAACAGATTCAGCAAATGGCATTATTTGGTTTGAGTATAGGTCGTATCCTGTGGAGTCACAATTGCCTGGCAACAACTCCTCATTTGGACCGCACCGTATACCTGCCTGTTTCTTGCCCTCCCAGACATGTAACAACCATTCATATGTTGTCCCTATACCATTTCCCATTGGTTTAGTTGCAAGATAGTCGTTATTCCTTGTCGGCTCAAACATACTTGGTGTCCATCGGTCGCAACCAACGATATTGTAGCGATAAGTAAACGCAAAGGACACACTGACGGTTGCGCGCACCCTCTCTAGGACGGTCTCATTCCTAGATATCAATGTCCAATGATATAAGAACGAGTTTACCCCATTTCGTAATGCTAGAGGGTTGTTAACATTGTAATGCAATTTCACCTCTCCCCGAGGCATTTTGGAAACATCCAACTCGAGGGCATCGCCAGCAAGGGCTTTGTGGTACAAGATTTCGTCGTAGATATCAAAGTCATGAACGCTTGCCAATTGCCTAAGCGTAGCCATGTCGTTAGGCATGAGATCGGTTTCGTATTCATAGATAGATGGCATTTGGGAGAATGGGAGAGTCGAAGAATCCCCTTCAACATCGTCATCGAAATACCCGTCAGTAGCTGTCCAATTGTCGGCCTTTTTAGGCAACTTTATCGTCAATGTACTACCCGGATGCAACATCACGGAACACCAAGGGCCACGGATGGGGCGAAAACGGTTACGTAATATCATGCTGGCAATGTCACAAATGTAGTCGGTCTTTGAGCGGACCTCTATCCTGGCTTTCACCTGCTCCGTTTCGGTGTCTATGCACTTGCATTCGCCATTGAAGGGGCGTACTGCTAAATCGTTGAAATATCGTGCCGCCACCCAAGGCACATGGGTGTCAAAGTCCCAATACATATGAGGGTGAGGGGGATCTACAGCTTCTCCATTCTGGTCAATGAGGGACTTCATACAATCTTCAGGTTCGATCCGGCCTTCACAAATAAATCCTATACGCGATTTCGACATAGGATCTACCACACATGACCGTGTGCCTGTGATGGGGTCCACGGTCACCTCATTATCCGGAGCAAAGAGTGGTGAAGGGCGACTGCCGCAGCCTTGAAGCGGCATATGAACACGTCCTCTGTACATGAAAAACACACCCAAACCTTTTCCTATTTTGGATATTTCCTCAGTCAATGGTGTTTCTGAATACCAAGAAAATTTTTGTTGTGGAGGGATGTCATTGAGGCGATCAAGTAGGTCTTGCAGCGTATCACTCAGATTCAAATCGCGAGGGCCACAGATAAACATCAAACGATTCTCAGTAATGGCATAAACATCGTGATCTGTTAAGTCTACATGCAAACGTGTTTGCGACTCAGTTGACACTGCCCTAACATAGGGACGTGGCGTTTCTGTAGCTACTACGTCGGAAAAAGCAACGGATTTAAGCTTGCCATTGCCACTCACATATGTGTTGACTTGGGCGTTATCATTGGACGTTGATTGAGGATGCCAGACGTATTCGGTGTTGTTGATTTGACGTGGGCATACCAAAGTTGTGATCTTAACGTCATCCATGTCAACGTGGAGGCCAACTAGAGCATAGCTCCCCACTGAGATATCATAATCTGCGAAATCATAATGTAATGCGTCGATAGATCTAATCAACTGCATTAGTATTGCGCAAAATGATAACACCGCCTTCCTTTTAAATCTCGCCATGGTTATGTAGTTCGCATAAGACCATCGACTAGAAAAAATATGCCCAGCAAAAATTGCCTTTCGTCATCCCATATCTTGTGGGTATACGAAATAACGAAAAGCTATAGCTAGCAATTTTTTTAAAACAATGGTGGCAAAGATCCCACCGCCCCAGCTAGTTGCCAATTTACCGAAGAATTTTCCTCGAGAAAATTCAGCAAAAGGAATAAAAAAAACCAAGGAGGCATGCTAGATAGAAGGGTTTATGTTAGGCTTGTAAAAATGTTGATGCACCGTATAACAAGTAAATTGGAACTTTAGGCATTATCAACTTGCCCGACGAGACATTTCCTCTCAGAAAGCCGGCAACCATCATCGACTGCGCATTATCATCGCGACCATATTAGCATTAAGGAGCCCAGGATTACCAACCAATGTTACTTGGAGGCCAAGGAAACGATTGTCACTGATTGCTATTGCAGGTGACATGAAGGGGTATTTTTGAGGTGTATATTCCAGTAATACGAAACCCAGATGTTGCTCGAGCAGTCCGCCCATAGGTTGCTGGTAGTACGTGTCCACAGAATGCATACTAGCCAAAAGGGAACCTAGAGGAGATAGTGAAGTGCATAATTTTACAGTCGACATAAGGAATTGGATTGTCATAAAACTATTAGTCTCTGCGCTCGACAAACATAGGCAATCAGTCATTCTATCTACGCATACAAGTTTTGTACCAATCCTTATATAACTATTAGACAATTTCAGGGGACGGAATTAGCTAAATAACGCTGCTGACACTCATTTATAGGGTAATCGGATACACTAACGTAAAACGGTCGGCACTAAACCTATTGGGTATCAGTGCAATCCAGGATGGACTTTTCTGCAACGTGATGCTGCAAAAAATTTGGTGGCAATTTCGAGGTATATAACACATAAAAGACGATTAATAACGGCACATTCGCTTCATTCTACCACCTGTGACTTATCTATATCCTGTTATTAAAATATACAGACCAGTCGTGCCTTCCCCGTTTGGAATGCTACAAAGTAACAGCAATAGTATCAAACAGGATTCGACGCTCTACGTTTATACATTGCAAAGTGTGTAGATATTACAATTATACCACTTAGCCGGTGGAATCAACGGTATGACTACGTGCTCCTGCCGATTCCCGCAAAAAGATATTCAAACCTGGATGACATCGGATCATAACAAAACACATTTACAAACAGACACACGAGAAAAGCAATACACATTTATAATTCACATTATGCCAGCCCAATTGACTGGCATTACACCCCTAATCATCATTGTCTATCATCTGCGAGGCACTGATAATGCACGGCTCTTTCGCCTCCTAAGTTAACACACATCTGAAATACTAAAATATCCATATATTAACAACACTAATATGCCGTCAAACATGTAATTTCCGGGCGGTTATGAACCGTTCTAAGGATACACACTCATGGCGGTTCAAGCTTTTATAGAATCTCAACCATGAGTGATAATGCCCTAGAGGACACTAATACCGCTTTATCGCAAAATTCCAAAACATTTGAAGGCGCGGAAGGTGAGGCGGATGACACATGCGTTGGCGAGGATGAGGGGTATGAACTTGAGGAGCTCAAGGAGGTCGTCCAAAACATCCTGTGGGACATTGTGGACAGCAGAAGACCGTTGTTGCGTCGCTTAATCAACGCAAAAGCACTACTGGACGCTCCTCCACCACCGCCGCCGAAACAAGGAGCAAGAAAGCCTAAGGTACCGGAAGTGGACGGCCATGCACTTTTCGAGGAAGTAGTTAAAGAGATTTTGGAAATCGACGAGGAACTTGGGAACGTGGACAGAGAGATCCTCGATGAGCAGCTCTTTATCCTCTGTGGTAAGTTGGGAAACTGGTTAATGTTATCTTGTCGCAGACAATCCGCCGCCAGTACCACCATCGCAAATCCAGCTTATCCTCTTCAGGAAGAACGAACAAGGCACAGTGTTTGAGCACCATGAAATAATGTCTCGACTGTTTTCTTTTCTTGATGTACAGTCTCTCCTGGCATTTTCCGAGGCGTCGAAGCTGTGCCGCGAGGCCGTGGATACTTACGCCAGGAAGGCTGCTTACAACCTGCTGCTGCATAGGGGCTCAGTGTGCAGCAACTTGAGCTACTGTAAGTCTTAAGTGCGAGGTTTACCGATTAATGGAATGTCAGGGCGTCAGGTGATAGAGTTCTTTTTCACTAATGTGGTAACGCTGCAGCCAATCAGCCGCAGCAACTACGCGCCGATACAGGCGCAGCTGCGCATGAACAAGAACATCTTCCCTATAAACGCACAGTCCATGAAAGCGCATACCTACGTCTCATTCGACTTCATCAAGCCCCACTACATTGTGTACTGCGACCATCAGCGACCGATGGCGCACACCTGTGAAGCATCTAGGTACGTCGCACCCGGGACCGTTATAACTCCCTTACAGGGCACTTGACTGTGACCGCAAGGCGGTAACTAAGGTCATTACGGCGAACGAGTTTATAGTAGAATATTGCAAGCGGTTGGAGGTGCAGGACCCGAACTCCCCCGCGTGGGGAGTGCCCGCTTCCATGGTCACGCCGGCGTACGTTGCACTGATGCTTAAGGTAACGCTAGATACCATAGCACAGTGCATCACCAAGCACTCCGGCTTAGTCGAGTATCGCAGGACGGAGTACACCGCCAACGCAACGCACCACATAACGCACCGCATTTGGCTGCAGCTGTCCCTGAAGTGGGATTTCAGATTCGGCGACGACGCGCAAAATTCGCTCTATTTAAACGTCGCCGATCACTTCAGATGGGATGGGTAGTCTATTTTGCGATTTTGTTGCCGTCTTCGCCAATGAACACAGTAAACGTGTCGACGTATAGGCTTTTGTTGGGAACATCCACAAACTTGATAGTTTCCTCCTTTATTAGCGGGATGTAGAACCTCCTCACCGGTTTCTTGATTTCCTTCTGGTAGTACTCGTCCAAAGTGTATATCTGTTCCCCTTTGGTGTTGTGACTCGGGTCTTCATTAGAGTCCGGCTCTTCCGGAGCTCCAGTAACCACCCCAGCGTCGTGTGCTCTGTCATGCGCAAGAGCGAGGGAGTAGTTGGTGAACTCCCTACCACAAATGCTGCATGTGTAGTACTTCACATAATGGACGCCCATCATATTGGAGTTGGCCAACTCCTCTTCTGCGTCAATCACGTCGTCCGCCATGTCCAGGTCGCGATCCGTGACCACCGTCACCTTTTTGGGTTTCAGGTCTTTGGATGCTGCAGGTGTATCATCTTCCAGTTCAGCCGAACGTTTTGTGAGTGTCATCAGCGTTTGCAAGGATAGCCGAATGTCCATTTCCACTTCGATCAGATCCTCCGTCAGGTTTGCTAATTTTGGATGCTGGACCAGATCCTCACGGTGCCAGAATCCGACAACTTTCCCTAGACATGTTTTTGTTTTGTCGTTGAACAAGTAAACGTTTAGATTCAGTATGTCTCTGGAGTAGTAACAGTCCTCCTCCAAAGGTGGAACGTCCCTGATTGAAACAGACAGGAATGCGCCGTTCAGCCTCAACGCCTGGTCCTTGGTGTCCACCCCTTCGAGTTTTAGACGGTATGTTTTCTCACCGTCCAGAAGCTTTCCGGAATCGATCTTTATCGGCATGACAGTCTCATCACGGTTGGGGAACTTTAGGAACCTATACCCAGGCTCGCAGAGTCTCATTTCCGGGTTGCTGCACAGCGACCTCACTTTAACATGCCCACGCAGTCCGTGTGGTGACAATATCTTACCTACAACAATGTATTCATCCAGAGTTGTTGAGAACAGAATACTTTTATCAAGCAATATTGCGTTTGGGCATTTTACTCGTGGTTGTGGTTCGGGCGCTGGCTTCGGTAACGGTTTAGGGGGCTTTTCTGCTTTCCGTGGAGGCGACGAACCGGTTCCCGCAGATTTTGCCTCCTCCTGTTTCTCCTTTTCCATGTGATGCTTGATGTATTTGTTTATGTCCCCCACAAGATCGGGGTCAGGCGAGTTTGGCCTTCCGGATGTGTTCATCAGCACCTCCTTCGGCATAGGGGCAAATATGTTAAAAGTCCTGGCTAGCCGCTCCTCCTGTGTTTCAACTTCTTTCCGCAGCCCGCCTTTGAATCCCACCTTGGAATGTTTGCTACGTTTGTAGTACTTGTTGGGGAGGACGAGGTCACCCTCATTCCACCCTGCATCTGTAGGGAGATCATGATTGACGGCGTTAGAGTCCGCTATGCGCGATACTCTGCGGGCAGCAATATTATGCCCACAACTAACAAACGTCGTCTGATAAGGCCTGGAAACATGCTTGATGGCGAGCGCATCCGCCATATTGCAGACGAGTATCAACGCACAGACACAAACATAAAAGAATTCCATTCCCAATACGTATAGTTTTAGTGTATCTAAACAAAATCCGGTCAGTTTTTCGGGGTTACCATATCCCAGCCAACTGGTCATAGACCGTTTCCTCCCTATCCCGAGGCGCGGAGTCTAACGATCCTTCGAGGGTGCTCTCGTATTCGCTGCCACCAATGGGGGTGCTTCCAACGTTGCTGTTTGTTGCTTTGACGGACTCCAATTTGGACCCTGGCATAAAATCTAGCGCCAAAGTCCTGTATATGAGGTCCCTCTGCTGCCTGCTCAGGTTGCCGAATCCGGGTGGCGTCTCCTGTGTGGGAGTTTTCTCAGGTGACGGCTCTTCAAATATCTCCTGGTAGATATCTCTGGCTTCTGACTTGGGAGTTGCCCTAACCGGTGACGTAGCGGGTTCTATGACCCGTTCTTGAACCGGCTCCGGAACCCGTTCTGCAACAGACGCCGTAAACGACTCTGAGACCGACGCTGGGTCTGTCCTTGGTCCGTACTCTGTCGGTGTGGCTCCAAATGTTTTGACAGACTCTGCTATTTGCGTGGACTCTTCTGCATCGTTATTTTCTTGTTGTATGGAGCTCAGCCAGAGCGACCCACTCCAAGCCTTGTTTTGGTTTGTGAGGAACAGGGTGTCGTATGCATCTCCGTATTCCTGCCCCGCAGCCTCGGCGATGATTTGGTGGATGCTAATTTGACCTGTTGTGTTTTCCGCAAGGTCAACTGCTTCCCCAAAGAGCACTATCACGGGGTCCCCTGCATGTCTCAGCAGCAGCGACAGGGGGCTCTTGAGCGATTCACAGAATGAAGATAGCGATAGAAGCTCTTTCAACGATATGATGATGTCCTTGGGCGGTTCCACGCTTTCGTCGAATTTCAACTTTAGGAAGTGACTGCTGTTTATAGTTATTTTGCCGGAGATGCCCGCTCGCCTGCCTGCCCTGGTCTTGGTCCTTCCTGCGTTTTTCACTGAGCTTTTCACGATCGTCAGGGACACATGATCCTTTTTTGAATCATATGCTATGGCGATATCGTCGAATGGCGACCAGTACGGGTTTATGCTTTTATACAGTATGGTCGGCTGGATCCTGAGGTAGTGCCAATGGAGCCAATCCACATCATCCGGCACCGACAGTTTCTGCTCCTCGTAGGATATGATGGCCGATCGCTGAATGTGCTCTCCCGCACAGCTCAGAATAAACGAAAGAACGTTGCCGTGCTCCGCCTCCTCTCTGATGACGAGTTTCTCCAGTGCAACCGTCGTCCTCACGGTGTTGTCATCGCCCTGTCCCACGTCTTTTAGGAACACCGCGCAGTACCCCTGGCTCCTGTAGCCGGCCGGCGAGACAATCGAGAGGGCTTGGCAGATGTTTTTGGTGGAAACTAGCCAGTATTTTTGCTGGGTCGTTTCGAATCCGTCTTCCTCCCTTTGGTCGTGCTCCTGCAGCTGTATTGACCTAAAGAACTGTTTGCCGAGCTGTATGTGCAGCCACGCCGAGTTTGATCCGTTGAGTGCGTACAGGTTCAGCCCGTTGTTTGTGGCGACTATTTGAATGTTGGAGGACACATGGCGGAATAGAATGAAGATCTTCTTCAGCAGGAGGGTGTGACTAGCGTTCAGTTCATATTCCATCACTACGCACTCTCTTGTCGTCCCAGAGCCGGAGGTTCCGGTACCCCTGGCAACGGCGCGGCGTGCCTCTCAAAGAGTGCGATGGAAGTAAATTGCTACGTTAAAACAAGCCTAATATCTTACACATACTATGAAAACTATCTTTTAAACATAATGACAGTCGTTTTGCATGTTCAAAAGACATAGAGGGTGTGGAATCCTAGCACCGGCGCCACGCCTTATCACTCGGCCAAGCGCACATCGCAGCGCCCGTATAAGGTTTAGCCACTATTTATTAAATAACGTTATGAATGTGTGAGAGTGGTGTCTTGTGAGTCTGGGTACTCACCCATGCGGTTCCTAGGTGTGTACGGTTAGGCCGGTGCCACTCTTGCTTTGTGCAAGGTCGGCCCAAAGCGGAGTTAACCGCTACAAATGGGACCATTTGACGGCCTGATTGCGAGCAGCACTTGTCTACACCGTGTGAAACTGCTCACCAGCGCCGGATTGGAGAAGCTATTGGTCAGCGAGATTTCCGGAATCTCGAGCGATTGCAACATCCTCTCCGGGGGCCCGTGTTACGTCGACGCCCGCGCTAGCCTCTACCATGTGTGGAAGCTGATGCTCGAGAGCCGGCTGTGTGAACAGATGTGGATGCATGTATGCGATCCCTTCCCTGTTCGACACAGCCGTACCTTCATGCGCACCCTCAACAATGCAGAATGGAAAGGGTTCATCCCCTTCAGTGCCAATTTGCCGCTGCCGTATGTACGTGTTAATTGCAAGGACTCGACGCTATACCACACGGGGATGATTAAGAAGATGGTGCACGAGGTTATCAAGGGCCACTGCCACAAGTCTGTGCAACTCCAAGGGGATGAGCTGCCAACGATTATGCAGCGAAGAGGGCATCTTCCAGTGTGTCCCACACTTATGATGAATATAGACAACGACATGTGCGAAGTTCTGGCCAACGCTTCCGGCGACATTTGCGAGCGGCCATGGGCGACGGCCTCTGCATTAGACACTCGCATGAATCCGGGTGCCGTTTCCGCAATCGCAAATAAAATTGACCTCCTCCAGCGCATCAAAGACAACAATATAACCACTATATGGGATCCTCTGTGTCACAACGGCTCACTGCTGCTGGAGCTCTTTTCCATATTTCGGGGACACCGTCTTCGGCCGGTCGATCATGTCTACCCCATGAGCAACTTTCCGTTGAACGTACGAAATGTTTACGAAGATGCATACGAATCATTCGTGGCGGATGGGTATTCAGGAGGCCCGCTAAAGCTACTGGGCACTGATGTATTTGAAAAGCATGTGGCGGATGCTAAGGCTTGTTTGGGTCGATATCTCAACTCCCCCATTCATTTACGTAAACGAAGAGAAAACAAATCTACGAGTTCTGAGCGAGGAGAATCGAGTGGAAGTGATCCAAACGCAGCTTCTGGTGCACCATCTAACGAATCCGCTGCCGATGTGACCCTGACCTTTTCATCCCAACCTATGGAGGACGTCGACGTTAGCTCTGGCAACACTCTGGTGTTGACCAATCTGTACTACGGCCACAAAGGCCGTCGGAAGGAGTTCCTCGAAGCGCATCGCAGGTTTGAGGAGGTGCTGATGAGGTCACCTCGGGCGTTGTTGCAGAACGTTTACGTGGTGGCAACCGAAGGACTTCGCAGCCGTTCGAGGTTTACGTGGGAGCCTGAGCTAAATTTCAACAACGGCGGCGTGTTAGTGTCACTATTGAAGTTACGTGGCGTGAAAACGTAGAGCCTCGGTTAATAGTCATTATAACTAGCAGTTTTTTAATATAACGTTGAGTGCCTTCATGATAGCTGTATTGACCTCCACTGGAGCACTTTCTAGCGCAGATTGCGCGCAGTTAGCGATCTCGTCCTTCGCCCATAGGTAGAACTCGTGTAGGTCTTTGGAATCCTGTTCGGCCAGCTTGCGGCATTCCATCTTGTAGTCAGCCATTACCACATCGTGCTCGTTCTTCAGCTCCACTATTTCAGATTGACGCTTCTGTAGACGTGTAGCAAGTGCATTTTTGTGTTCTCTCAGGGCCTTCATGGTCTCCTTGACCTGCAGAGCTAATAAAATTTGGGGACACTACACAGACCTGTGCCTTTCGACGTTCGATCTTGGCCCCAAGGCGTTGAGTTTGCGCCTCCCTCATTTTACTGCGTGACATGGGTGCCTGAAGCCAACACATACCGCGCTTCCTCCAACGACATGCCGCCGGCCGCAATCGAGGCCAGCTGTTCTATAACACCGCTTGTCATTTTATTCTGAAAACACTAACTTATTCACACGGGCACAGCCTATGGTAACTAGTGTTTTAAATATTAGTTGCGAGTTCATCATTTTCACTGCAGGATGAAATTTCAGCGACTTTCCTTTCCCCTCACAGCATGGGGAGACGCAACCCGTGTACCGGTTTGAACTCCTTGATGTCTTTGATGAACTGCTTCAGCTCCTCCTTGTTGAAGCCGTAGTTCACCTTGTTCAGGTTCCGCCACTCCTTCGAGGTGATGCGGACCTTTGGCCTCGGCCTTTCAGGGGTTTCCTCAGCACTGCTGTCTTCCTGCTTCTGCTCCACAACCTCATCTTCCATCAAAAAATCTACGTCTTCTGGCTCTATGTCGTCGTCCGCACGGCTGCCAGCTCCGCTTTTCAGCCTCACCAGGGACATCTCGAACTGCTCTGCTTTCGGAGCCCTCGACATCCTGCAAACATATATCGCTGATCTGATTTCACCTACCTCATGAGTTCGGTGTATAGTCCCTTGATCTGAGTCAAGCCTCGCTTTTCGAGGTACATCGGGAATTTATCCGGCTCCTTGACAAGTTCTGAAACGGGTGGCAATAGTGGCTTGCCCTTGGACGCAAGGTGCTCTTCACGGAGCTCCTCCTCCGGCATTTTGTAGTCCACCCACGTCTCGTAATGCAATGTCTTTCTGTACGCGTAGAAGAGATCGTCGGGAATTGTGCGATGGCGATGTCGCATGTGCGACATCAGGGAGTTGTTGGGATGTGACAGGATTCGCAGCACCCTTTGCAAGGCCTCCCGCGCCTCCTTGTCCATTACGAAATCGTTTCGCACGTATCGATCGTATTGCTCGAGCTCATCCATCTGCACGAAGTCGCCAATTTTTCCCGACCTGGGGACCAGCGATGCGAAGATAAGTTTCTCGCGGTCCGTGGCGTCATATATGGCCTCGAGGTAGAAGTCCTGTATTCCCGACAGGAGTATCTTGATACTCCTTTCGAAGTACAGGGGCTCCTTGGGCTTCAGCTTACGTCTTTCTAGAGGGTCGCGCATGCGTTCCAGTAGTCTGTAGAAGGAGCGCCCTCTGGTGTCATAGAAGAATGCCTTGATTTCTCCCTCGGTGCGTAGTCTTGCCATGTCCAAAGTGCGCTTGAACTTCCACAACTCTCTTCCATTCAGCAGCTCTTCGATTAGTGCCATCCTTATTTCGCGGTTGTGGAGGTAGTACCTGGGTGGCGCGATGGCATAATCTGGGTGTTCATCGAACTCTATGGTATAGCTACCGAAGTTAGCCATGTCTATAGGGACATGGCGTCGTTTTTCAGATTCATCACGGTACTGCCTGGCAACCCTCAACAGCGAGGTCGTCAACGATGCTGGGGCCAACGGCCTCTGCCTGCCGTTAATGGTCTGATCCACGACGTTCTCGGCGCCCATTGGCGACAGAGATTCATCGATGGCGTGCACATAAGCGGTTTCAGTAATTGCAGGCTGCAGGGCAAGATACTTGTCGTATTGCGGCGATCCTGGAGGTGGGATGCAGAGCCCGTCCATCCAGATGAGGTTCAGGCGCTTCTGCTGCTCAAACCTGCTGAGACCAAAAGTCTGCTTGCCCTCGTTTACCTCGTTTAGCCAATGGGTGAACGCTGTGTACTTGAAGCTGTCATGGCCGCCGATTTCCGATTTCGTTTGCATGTAGCGCATATTAACCTGATTTTGCGATATCGCGGCAACCCTCGCATTAATGAACGATCCCGGCGGTGCAGTCTTTGACTTGGGTACCAGTTTCATGATCCCCACGAAGTAATCGTCCGCTAGTGTGAAGTCAGGTTTCCGGAGGTAGTTTATGGCCAGGTAGAGGTATCCGTCATCCTGCCCAAGGACTAGTGAGGGATATGAAGTGTACATCTTCAGATCCTTCATGTCCTCAACTTTCTGTTCGGTCCTACAGCGTGTATGTTTGTTGTAAGATTCTGACTCACAGTTTCTTAAACCCCTTTTCGAGTTGGCCCTGCGGCTTGCAGACGTTGAGCGTCGTAAGCTCGATGCTCTGCACGGACCTGGATACCTTTACTTTGTCATCCACGTGATATGTTTGAGGCAACTTGTACTCGTGGACGCGCACAAACATGCAGTTGTCGTAGTTGAACCCGTAGTTCAGTTTACCGACGTTGATCATGGTATCGTGGTAGTAGAAGTGCTCGTTCGGCATGTTAAGGCGCTTGAAGGTCTCGTTCAGGAGTCCTTCGGGGCTGAAATAAGGCATCTGGCTCAGGAATATGTGCGCTGCATAGTTGCTTTCTGGCATGGGCTTGCCCGCCACTCGCAGCTGTATCGATTCGCCGTGGTCCTCCTCGTATTGCGCGCGGAACCATCTTCCAGTCTTCACGTAATACATCAGCATCTCGTCATACAGCACCTTGAGGTTCTCTTCGCGCAGTTGCTCGTTACCTATCCCGCTCCTCGTAAAGTAAACGTGCTGCAGGTCGGGGTCGGCTGCGGCCAAATACACCTGCAGGTTAATGCAGGCGTGATTACTTAACACCCACCATGACGCGGTCTCCTGGATTATCTTTCGGGAGAGCCATAGAATATGCGTTGAAGCCTTCCAGATGCTCGTCCAGAAGCTGAAGAACCAACAGATCACCTTCGCGTTCCTTGATGACGGCCATGTATGGTGAGATCGGGCACGTGGGTTTGACGGACTCAACTGCCATGGCCATGTAAGCTTGCCGTTTGGTCTCAACAATGCTTGGCGACCACACCTCTCCCAGAAGTTTGTTGCCATACACATCCACGTCGGTGACGATGAACTCCATCTGGTCCTCCCTGAACCAGCAGTGCGGCTGCTTCCGTCCTGCAATTCGCGGAGTTGAGAGCTGCCTAGGCCTGATTTCCCCTCCTACACCGAGGTCGTAACTCAATATCTGCGTGGCAGTGGTGTCTTTCTTGCAGTCGTCGGGGTATATAAGTCGGGGTCTCATGTGGGTCATGCGCTTGCGCACGTTCATTTGCCTCGCGCGGATCAGCGTATCCCCAACAAGTTCATCCACCGACTTTTGCGGCACAAACTCCGGTTGGCCGAAGGACGCGAGTATTTTGTCAAATCTTCCCCGTTCTTCATCGTTGAGAAACACTAGCGACTCCCTGGCAACGACGAGTGGCGTCTCCGCCCCGATGTCGACTTCGACGGTGCCATCCTCGTTGCGCCTCTCGGGCACGCCGACAACTATCTCCCCGCATTTCACCTTGCTAACGCTTACTGGCACTGCTGGGGTGGCGTATGCTGGCACCGCGCGATATCCGAATCTCGCATTTTGCTGATGCCGGGCAGCGCCGACAGGCTTGCCACCAGCGAAACCATGGTGACCTCCAAAAGCATTCCCAGATCCTAATAGAGCACCGTTGGTGGTTGAGATGCTAAGAGCTCCCACCGCTGGAAGTGCGACTTCATTTATGACGCATGTACAGAGCAATACAAGAAACAGCAGACGAGAGGATGTAGGAAGCGTTGAGCACGGTCGCCTTGCGCAAGGCAAAACCATGTGATCGACGCTGGTCAGTGCGCGGGACGCCGCGTTGCACCAACGTTACAATAGTTGCGATACTTGCTCGAGCAGTGTTTGGCGGTACCGAGTTTGCTGCGCTCTCGACGACAAGCCCGGATGGGCTAGCATCGGGACCGCCGCCGTGCAATAATAAGACCCTATTCCGCTGCAATAATCCCTGTCTACGTCACTTTGTGCATGATTCCGGCTTAGCATAACACTTTAGGCAGTTGTCACAGGATTCCTTAAATTTGCTTGGATTCCTCGCACATTTGTGACAGTTGAAAATATATTTATGCTGCGTTGATCCAGGAGTCTAGTATTCTGTGTTTCATGTCGCCTTGGTCTATGAGTTGCCGAGGCAACCGTTGAGCGGCTTGCCTGTGCACGACACTGTCATACGTGTTCCATGTGCACTTACAATTGCAATAGGCGTGAGCTGGTGGTGTGTTCATGATTGTTATATTATAATTAATCTGTGGACATCGTCAGCACACATTCCACATTTGGCGGCCCGGTGTCTACTGCTTCGCAAGACAGGGTATAGTTCTATCGCTCAAGTCTTGTTAGCGGCGCAAAGGCTTGAAAAGTGCCATTATCGTCGTAGTGGCATCTTATCTGGCCTGATATTTGCTGCTTTTGCGCCGCTTTATGCTTTTCCGTCCCTCTTGTCGTCTCCTAGGTCGTTGTCTTCAGCACGAGCGCAGGATGGTACCGAAAAGTAGGTTGCTTGGCGCTGGCTTATCACTTCTTTGCAGAGACTTTGGGCGAGCTCCAGAGCGCCTACGACCCCAAGGCGGTCGAGGAGGGCTGGTACGATTGGTGGGCCAGCCAAGGTCTATTCACTCCGTCGAGTGAGCCAGAGCCCAATGCCAAGGGGCGTTGGGTGGCCGTGCTACCACCTCCCAATGTCACGGGAAAGCTGCACATTGGCCATGCCCTGACCGTGTCCATACAGGACTGCCTGGCCAGATGGTAAGCACATCCCTCATGTTTGTGACGCGTTGCAGGCATCGCATGAGGGGCGACACCACCCTGTGGATCCCCGGTACCGACCACGCCGGTATCGCGACACAGACGGTTGTGGAGCGCATGCTGATGCAGACGGAGAACAAAAATCGCCACGATTTCAGCCGCGTTGACTTTGTAAAGCGCGTGTTTGAGTGGAACGACAAGTACGGCAGCAACATCAAGACCCAGCTGAGGCGCATGGGAGCTTCCCTCGACTGGACACGCGACGCATTTACCATGGACGCGGTCCGCTCCAAGGCGGTTATTGAGGCGTTCGTGCGCATGTATAGGGATGGTCTCATTTACCGCGCCACCCGGCTGGTGTCATGGTGCCCCCACCTCTCTACGGCGCTTTCCGACATCGAGGTGGACACTTTCGAGGTCACAGCCCCAGTTTGGATCAAGATACCTGGATACGACTCCACCGTTGAGGTGGGGTCCTTGTGGATCTTCAAGTACCAGGTGAAGGGCGCGGATCCGGAGAAGCATATCTCCGTCGCGACCACCAGGATAGAGACCATGCTCGGTGACGTCGGTGTCGCCGTGCACCCCAATGACGCCAGGTACCGTGACCTGGTCGGCTGCGAGCTCGTGCACCCCTTCATCCCCGACCGCAAGCTGGTGGTGGTGGCCGACGAGCATGTGGACCCCGAGTACGGGACTGGTGCTGTCAAGCTGACACCATCGCATGACAAGAACGACTACGACATAGCTAAGCGCCACGGGTTGCCATTCATCACGATATTCACCGATGACGGTCGTATCAACCGTAATGGTGGCGAGTTTGAAGGCATGCATCGCTTCCAGTGCCGTAAGGTGATTGAAGGCCGCCTGAAGGAGATGGGCGTGCTTGAGGACAAGGTGCCCAACTCGAAGCCCATGACCATCCCGCGTTGCTCGCGCACTGGTGACATTGTGGAATACATGATAATTCCGCAGTGGTACGTGAACTGCCAGGACCTGGCGGCGCGCGCAATGGAGCACGTTCGCAGCGGAGAGCTCACGCTGATCCCCTCTTCGTATGTGTCCGTGTGGGAGATGTGGTTGGGTAACATCCAGGACTGGTGCATCTCTCGTCAGTTGTGGTGGGGGCACCGCATTCCTGCCTACCGCGTGATTTCCGCGGAGCTCAATGGCGAGGAGCCCTGGATAATCGCTCACGATCAGGCCGAGGCGGAGGAACTTACCAGGAGCCAGTACCCATCGCTGACTTCGTTCGAGCTCAAGCAGGACGAGGATGTGCTAGACACATGGTTTTCGTCCGGACTCTTCCCGTTGTCCACCCTGGGCTGGCCTGACGAGCAGCACCCCGACTTCCTGAAGTTCTTCCCCACCACCCTGCTCGAGACCGGTAACGACATCATCTTCTTCTGGGTTGCGAGGATGGTGATGATGTCCTTGCATTTGATGGGCAAGCTGCCGTTCTCGAAGGTCTACCTGCACCCGCTCGTGCGTGATGCGCGTGGTGAGAAGATGAGCAAGAGCAAGGGCAACGTGCTGGACCCGCTCGAGGTTATTGAGGGGACCACCCTCGAAAGCCTCAATGAAAAGATCACCAACTCCAGCCTGCCCGCCGGGGAGATCAAGAAGGCCATTGCGCTTCAGAAGCAGCAATTCCCGCAGGGCATCCCCGCCTGCGGTACTGATGCCCTGCGTCTCGGCCTTCTGTCCTTGACCCGCCAAAACAGGGCCATCCTGCTCGATGTGAACAAGATCATCAGCTGCAGGCACTTCGGCAACAAGATATGGAACGCGCTCAAGTTCGCCATGCCCAAGATCCAGGGCCTTAAGGTCGACATGAGCACCGTTCCGTCGACCTTGCAGTGGGAAGACCGCTGGATTTTGCTGAAGCTGAACGAATACATCGCCAAGGTGCGTTACACCGTTACAATATTGACACCATGCGCAGGTTACTGAGGCATTTGAGAACTACCAGTTTGGTGATGCTGTGCAAGCCGCTTACGACTTCTGGCTGTACCAGCTCTGCGACATCTACCTCGAGGTGGTGAAGCCGCGTTTGCCGTCTTTCAAGGACGTTGCCGAGGTCGGCCCCGTTGTGGAGGGCGCCATATACGCCCTCAACAGCAGTTTCAGCGTCGGACTGCGTCTGCTCCACCCCATCATGCCGTACATCACGGAGGAGCTCTACCACCACATGCCGGAGTACCTGCGCACCAGCGACTCCATCTGCGTAGCCGAGTTCCCCACCGTCCAGTCGGCGTGGGAAGATGCCTCCGTCGATGGCGAGATGCAGCTGTTGAAGTCTGCGGTGCACAGTTTGCGTTCACTCGCCGTTACGCTGGGCATTCCGCCCAGCGTGGCCAAAACAGGTTTCCTCGTCGCCACGGACCCGCGTGACTCCTCCGTGCTTTCTACACTGTCATCGCATGCGGCGACGCTGGCCAAATTCGAGAGGGTAGGTTTACCGTCATCTGTGTTGACTGTTGGCAGGTATCTGTCGTCTCCGCCGATGCCCCGGAGCTGGCACAGTGCGTGCAAGACGTGTCGTCATCGTACATCTCCTACGTTCAGGTGGACAGCAGCATGGACCTCAGCAAGACGACCGAAAAGCTGTCTGTGAAGCTGCAGAAGTCTCGCCAGTCCCTGATGGGCTACCAAAAGAAGCTGACGGCACCCGACTACGAGTCAAAGGTGCCTGAAAGCGTCCGCGAGCTCAACGCATCCAAGATTCAGGAGCTTGAGCTCGAGATTTCTCAGTTGGAACGCGCCATTGCGGAGTTGGAGAGGCTGCGCATTTGAACCGCGTCAGCCATGTCCAGAGGATTTTCTGACATCCAGCACAACTTATCACCGTAATCAACGCATCAGGGCAAGCCAAATTGCCAATTTTCGCATCGGCCCTCGTGCTGGAATTTGGCAATGGCGGTCAAAAGTTATGGCAAATACAACAAGAATCGCTAATTTAAATGATTTAACCAACTATTGACAACAAAAGTATCTGTTATGACGCCACCTATCGGGCGCCAACGGGGTTCTGGCGCTGGTGCCTGTTGCCCTGCATCTGGCGACGGTTGCGGTTGAAGTTTGGCGTGGCGTGGTGGCGGTCGTCGCGCCTGTTACCGTAGGAGAACTTGCTGTCGCGCGGCTGGAAGCGGCGGTCTTGCGAGAGCGCGAACTTGGGGTTCTTCATGTTCAGCGTCATCTCGTTCTGCTCTACAGCCGTGGTGAGGTTCTCCGCGAGCTTAATGGCCAGCTTCTGGAGGTCGGTAGGCTCGGTGTGGTTGATGAGGCAGCACTTGCTGCTGTCATCCCAGGTGGCGTGGATCTCTCCCGATATGATCATCTTGCTCAGAAGCGAGTGGATCACGTTGGGGTTGAGGTCGAACATGCCCGACAACTGATCCACGGAGAAGGAGTCGTAGACGCTCACGTATTTGAAGATGTAGGTGTTGAACGCCTCAACCTTGATGCGCTCCTTGAGGATGAGCATGACATTCTCCTTGTCAGGCAGCCTGTTCCAGATAGTTAGGCTGGCCAGCTGCTCGTAGCAGTCCTTCCAGTTGCCGCTCTGGAGGTGCTTGAAGGTCGCCATAACCATGTCACGGTTGTTCTCCGGCGGTCCGACGAACACCTGCTTGTCGTACATCTCGTACATGCGGCGGAACTGCCTCGAAATAATTTCACGGGAGTTGATGGTAGACTTCGCCAAGTTCGCGGTCTCGAGCAGGCACGCGCAGATGTTGTTGATGCACTCAATGAGCTCTATGTTGAGGTGCATGTGGAAGGGCAGCAGCCTGCGCTTCTCAGCACGCTCCTGCTCCGGCGGCTTCTCGTAGTTCTTCATCATAGAGAGACCCTGGGCCAACAGCTCCTTGTGCCTGTTTTGCGCGCATAGATCCATGAGGTACGAGTGCGCATCGCTGATGAATCCCTTCCTGAAAGCGCATATTCCCAACTGAGCAATGTTGCGATTGAGTAAAATCTGCGTCGAAATGTTGGTTTCCGTGGCCAGTTCGTGGATGTTGGGAGTCAGCAGCAAATCCCTGGCTTCGAAGTAGTGGCCGTGGAGCGCCTTGTTGAATGCCAAGTGCAGGCAGGCCCTGACCTTCTCCCTGTTAGCTCCGTGTTCAAAGACGAAGTACACCAGTTCCTCGACAACATCAGATGCCTTTTTGTTTTCGTTGGGGAAGAACTCCGTTACGTTGTCCTCTGCGGTTGCCTTCTGGCGAACCAACTCCCAAATCTTGCCCGACACCACGTCGTCCTTGTAGTGCAGGTGCTCCAGCATGATGATTGCGATGCCAGCTGCGTGCTTCATGCACTCCTTGCCCTTGCCCAGGCAGTAGATGAGGGTCTTGTGCAGCAGGTATAGCATGTTAACATTGTACACGAGCATCGTGTTGTAGTCGTCGCTTCCAACGTCGATGTACAGCAGACCCTTGTACAGCTCGTCGTTCAGCTTACGCACAATAGACTCCAGGATGGTCATCGAGCGCTCCAGCCTGCCCTCACGGGACTGTCCGGGTGCTCCGACCTCCTTTTCGCCCTGCGAGTCCTCCGCGTTGGGGTCGTCAGTATCCATAGACTCCGAAGAGAGCATAGCCTGAGGGTGGTCCCTGAGCTCTCCCAGCAGGTGAGACACGATCCTGTAGGAGTCGATCCACTGCTTCGGCAACATGGCGCCGTAAGCGTTGGAGTAGCTGTCGAACTGTATGTGCAGCAGGGTCTCAACGACAAAGATGTACAGCGAGTGCGAGGTGTTCTTGGCGATGTATGGCAGAGTTTTGAGGTGTCTGATGGTCTCGTGTGTGTTTCCACCCCTCTTACCCCTCCTCTCAACAATGGACTTTACATACTCCTTGACGTTGTCAGCCGAGAGGAACACCTTGTCTAGCACCGCCTCAATTTCGGGCGTTGAGACGCCGAATGGGTTGTCCTCAGCGGAGAGCTCTACCTTGGCAAGTGCGGGTACCACAACATCAGCCACCATTGAGACCGTAGCCATAACTCCCAACCCAGATGTGGTTGGCTGCCTCTCGCGGTCGTCCTTCTTCTTGACGGTCTTAGCTTTGGGCTTCTTCACCGAAGTTTTGGGTTTTGAGGCCTTTGCAGCGGAGTCGCTCTTCTTCACTCCCCACTTAGCCAGGGCAGACTCGTGCTTGTCGGCGGCATCGCCTTCAGACAGGCTCGAGGCACCCGAGTCAGACCAGTCAGAGTAGTCGGAGTCCTCCTCCTCACTTCCCTCCTCCTTCATGGATTCCTCGTCGCTGCCCTCTGAATCCTCGTCCTCCTCTTCTTCAGATTCCGATTCAGACTCAGATTCGTCGCTGGCGTCATCCGAGGCCTCATCGCTCTCATCACTGTCGCTGTCACTATCGTATTCATCGTCAGAATCCTCCTCATCAGAGGTCTCCTTAAGGATGTCGACGTAGGCTTCGGGGTCTTTGTTGTACTCCTCCACAACATCGGCATGCTGCTCGTTGAACTTCCTCAGACGCGACCTCAGCGTGTTCAAGGATATGGAACGCGCCTTGGACATTTTCTTCATCGCGTCCTTGTCCTTCTGCTTTTCTTCAACGAACTGCTGGAGGTCCATGATGATCTCAACGATCAGCTTTGGAATCCTCGATTTAGCGTACTGCTTCTCGACCAATCTGGCCAGGTTGTCGTAGTCTTTGAGCAGCTCTGAGAAGTCGCTGATGGTCTTGTGGTGCTCTATGGTCTTGCTGTAGTTCTGAATGACCTCCAGAGCCTTGGCCCTGGCCGAGCGCACGACGCGGTTTTCGTCGTCATCACTCGAACTGTCACTCGCAACCCAGGCGGCCGCGGCCTGTCGCTTGGTCGCGTCGCGGTCCCCAGCATCGCTGGAGTATCCGGAGGAGTCGGAATACGAGCTATCCGAGTCGTCTCCCCAGAACTTGGACTGCACGTTCGTCGCCATGGTGAAATCACAGGCGGATGCAAAGGTAAAGAATTAGTTGTCAGGATCTGCGGAAACGATGAGGTTTCGAAATAACGAATTGGACATAAAAGTGATGCAACGCCGTGTAGTTTATTCAAAATTGACACAAACACGCACAATGTATCAGTACAACGGAATATATCAGCAACATGTGTATGTAACCACGTCAAACAGCTAGGCCACGTCCGCTCAGCAGAGCCGCTGCTCGTACCACCAGCGGGGTCGCCCAAAAGAAGCAAATCACGAGGACACTACAACTCAGCGTAGACAACAATTATGTACAAAATTGACGACAGCACGACCACAGCAGCTTTATGAAACGACGACAGATATTTGCGTTGGAATCGCCAGACCACGTGTTGGACAACCACCCACGGCACCGGCAAAGCGATAAACGTCGTGAAATCAATGCCACGATGTACACACAGGCAACTGAAACAAATCACAACGAGGACAATCCACAGTTTAAGGAGCAAGCGGCCGTCTGCTCGGTGATGTGGCTGACGGGCGCAACACAAACACGAATCCACGCCAGCTTACCTCCCCAGCCTGTTTGCGCGAGAGCTCGCCACCAACAGTTTGTGCGAAGTATCCCTTACGATGTATTGAGCCGGCCGTGTGCTTTCGTCGCGGATAAGGCGCGGCCCCATAGCTCTAGCAGGAAGGCCGGTCCCGCGCGACCTGTTCGCCGGTCACACATCTGGCCATCCTGCGCGGTGTGTTACGTCAACATTCCTTTATGCGTCGTTCTCGCGCGTGGTTCTGGCTCTGCGTTGCCAACCCCCTCGTGTTGCGTTGCTCGGCACTTTGCCTTCGACGCGCGTCCACCTCGGCAATTAGTCAACACCATGCGAAGGCAGGCGGTCTAATCCGAAGCACATTACACTTTCCACGTGCTGTGGCCTGTATTCCGTCGGCACTTCACTCGCGCGACCACGGTTCGTCGCCGGCGTACCGTGCAGTACCGGCCTTAGCCTTCCAGACAAACAACCTTATAAAGCCTGTCTTGTCGCCAAGACACTCTGTTATATATCAGAGCACGCGCCACCTGTCTTCAGTCGAAGCACTTTGTAGGTTACGGTTGCGCGCTTTCCTATGATGTGTAGCTGCCCTAGAGACGGTTGCGAAGATGGCGGCGGAATCGTCACCTACGCAGATGCTCATGTCGCTGCTCACGGCGTACCAGCTGGACGCCATCATTATCGACCACGATGACCCTCACTCCACGGAAATCCCACACCCTGCCTTCGGGGCGTTGGAGTTCGTTTCGAACTTCTCCGGCAGTTGGGGCAAGGCCGTAGTGAGCCGCGAAAACGCGTGGCTGTGGACTGATTCGAGGTGGGTGAACACAGAGTATCGTACAATTTCGTCACAGATACTACATCCAGGCCGCTCAGCAGCTGTCACCTCCGTGGGAGCTCATGCGTTACGGCCAGAAAGACGTCCCCGACGTGGTCAAGTTCCTGAAGGAGAAGCCTTTTAAGCGAGTCGGCATAGACGCCAGCACCACTCCACACAAGGTTTTGACGCATTACAAGGACAATTTGAAGGACATCGAGTTTGTGGAACTGCATGACAATCCCATCTACAAGGTGTGGGAGGACAGGCCGCAGCTGCCAGTTGACCCGGTGTTCGTTCACCCGGAGACTTTCACTGGAATGAGCGCTGCTGACAAGTTGGCCAAGATAAGGGACGAAATGGACAAGGCCGGTGCCAACGCTGTGGTATTCTCGCTGTTGGACGAAGTAGCGTACGTGCTGAACCTTCGCGGTCGTGACTTAGATGTTTCACCCCTGTTCTACGCTTATCTGGTGGTTGAGAAGGATAACGCCACGTAAGTTAGGTGTATCGCGTAGACAATGCCTTTTAGGCTCTTTATCGACTCAAGGAAGGTCACTGACGACGTGAAGAAGGCACTCACCTTGTGCAACGTGGCACGCGCCGAATACAGCGAGCTTCCCGGATATTTGGCGTCCATCAGCGGCAACGCCGAAGCTAAGAATCCAGGGGACAAGTTCAAGTTGTGGGTATCGCCGTCTGCCTCAGTGGCTATTTGCAACTCGTTCCTGTCTAACGCCAGCGAGAAGATGCCACGCGAACTCTTACAGGAGAACACGCCGGCATGTATAATGAAGGTGGGCAAATTTATGCTTCTACACAATTAATGCATCAACAGGCGGTTAAGAATGATGTCGAGCTGGAAGGCATGAAGGAGGCCCACGTCTTAGATGGAATCGCTCTGGCCGAATTCTTTGCCAAGGTGGAGGTGGGTACACTGCAATTTGAAAGCTTACATTTTGCAGGGTATGAAAAGTGACGCTAGTCTATTCAAAAGCGATGAGATGGCCCTGGGTGATCTAAGTACCCAGTGCCGCGCTGACATAAAGGAGAACCGTGGCATTTCGTTCCATCCGATATCGTCCATCGGACCCAACTGCGCCATCGTCCACTACCGTGCCACGGAGGAAAGCAAGGTCAAAATTGAGCCCCAGATGTACCTGCTCGACTCCGGTGGACAGTATGGCGGCGGCACCACCGATGTCACGCGTACTGTGCACTTCGGAACCCCCTCTGCCGAGGAGAAGGAGTCGTACACCCAAGTGCTCAAGGGCCACTTGGCACTGCGGCATGCCGTGTTCCCCGAGCAGACTCCCGGTGCTTCTTTGGATGTGCTGGCACGTCAGTTCCTCTGGAATGCGGGACGCAACTACTACCACGGAACCGGGCATGGCGTAGGCGCCTACCTCAACGTCCATGAGGGGCCCATGTCGATATCGTCGCTCATGAAGCCTCGCATGGGCAACGTGAACGTAGTGTACCTCGAGCCCGGAATGGTGGTGTCTAACGAGCCAGGCTACTACAAGGAGGACCACTACGGCATCAGGATCGAGAACATGGTGTACGTTCGCCGTGTAATGGGCGACTTCTCTAAGGACTACACGAAGTTCCTGACCTTCGAGGACCTCACTCTGGTCCCCTACTGCAAGGATCTGATGGACTTGGGCATGATGACCGAACAAGAGGTCGAGTGGGTGAACGAGTACCACGCGCTAATCGCTGCCACGCTGATCCCGCGCATGGAGGCGTTGTCGACCACCAAATACGCCGATGCCATTAAGTTCCTGCGCGAGGCTGCTATTCCGTTGCGGAAATGAAGTATGTGAAATCGCTGTCTAATGTATAGTTTTGCACACCTTTATCGGTTGGCGTTGTTACACCGTCGGTGCGGCTGTAGTGTGTAGATTCCATCAGTGCCATTCTGCCAGCAATGGTGGCTTCTGGTAGTTAGTAGACGCACATGACCAATGTTTGCGACGGCCTTCTTTCGGTTGGCGCGGCCGCAGCCGTTCGTCGTGCAGAGCCGATCGGTCGTACAGTCACGATTCGCGAAGAAGGCAAACGAAGTGGCGGAGAAACTGCCTTTTAAGGTTGGTAACGTGTTTTTAGTAGTGTAATGTGGTTACCTGTGGCTAAAGTGTATGGTTTCATGGCTGTCCTATGAGCTATATGCTCCTCCATGTCTGTAGTCTGCCACCACCGGCTGAGACACATCCACTCTATTTCAGGTCACCCGCACCCCGTCAGGAAACCTCGCAGTATACGTGAAGATACGTGCGCATGGGACTCTTGTGTATACCGTAGTTCGCCGCATCTACGGTGATGTCGACGTTAGTTGAACCGCTTTGCCTCCACAACGCCCTCAGGCCATGAAACAGCAGCTACGGATCCTCTGCGAGTCCCCCGTACGCGAACGCATCGGAAGCCTAGAGGTACACGGTCTGCATGTAAAGAAGATCAAGAAGTGGCTCGTTCAATGCGGGTAAGTGTTTTATACGAGGTTATCGTGCGGCCACATCGGAGCCTCCAAAAGCAACTCTTTGCACTCATGGCGCCGTCGCCATGACTCTGGCGCATACATTTATAATGCCAACCGGCTGCTTGCAGCAGTGGAAGGTTGTAGATAATGGCCCTACATGTACTACGGCGCCAAGAGGCGCCGCCACATTTGGTCCGCATTCATAATAGCAACTCAGGTTTTGAGCGTGCCACACAAACATCGCATTAAACTGACTTAAACACTTAAATCATAGTTCTCTGTGCACCAGTTCAGTTGAGCAGGCCGTGCTCCTTGAAAAGGCGGTTCATGGCCTCGTCAGCGTCGCCACCCAGACGCATCTTGTGGCTAATGGCGAAGGAGATGTTCTGGTTGTTGTAAACACCGTTCTCGTCAACCTGCAACAGATGTGAGGGCCGGGGTTCATGACGTACCAGGCCGATGTTGATCTGGATGGATCCGTGGTCCTGAGCGGGCAAGAGGCGGGAAGTGGCAGAGCACTTGCGGGGGATGTAAAGGTCAACGAGCTTTCCGTCGTCGTTAATCATTTTGAACCTGCGTGGCGTTAGTGGAAGATAAGGGTGGCGCGAAGGCAGTGAGCAGCGACGACCGATGCCGCAACGTTCACCATAACCTACCTATATGACTTGGCTGCGCGCTACGCGATATACCAGTTATAAATTTTGTTGTACGATAGTGTGGATTAGCAGGGCCGGCCAGGTCGAGCAGAACCGTCGTTTCCTGCCCATCCCCATATGCCGCGTGCTGGTGGTAGAGGTGTGGCCGACTTGCTCAGATGAAGCTGGGCAGCCTGCTGCCGACGCAGCAGGGTTCCATTCGATACACATACATACCAAACTAAATACGGCTAATTACAGTGTTAGTCTGTTGGGGTGTATCCCGCAATCAGACATCTGATGCCCGGTGTGTCGAGCTGGATTCGTCGCTATTGTACGTAGTTAGCTCCGAACGACCACGTAGCTATCTCTAAACCATCACTACCCGCTTCTCGATGCACAATGACATTGTTCGGACACGTACTTGTCTAGCCTTACAGTACCATTAAGCACATTATACAGCTGTTTTAGCTTGTGAAGGAGATACCCTTCCGCTCCGTAACGTCGCCGCCAGCGTTCTTCACGAAGTACGGAGCCTCGTACACCCACTGGCCGGTCTTGAAGTTCGCCGAGATGAACTTGCAGCCCAAAGACGCAGTGTGGTCCTTGAGCTTCTCCAGCTGTTCGACAGTGGCGGTGATCGAGCCGCCGTCCGTGTAATCCCGCGGCGCGCAGTTCAGTAGCGTGACTATGGCGTTCTTGTTCAGCCCTTCTCCCACTGGGTGGACACGGGACGTGTTACCGTATAGGGTCACCTTGCGATGTGCGATGTCCACGATGTTGTCTAGGTTCAACTGCCTGACGTCGGTGTACCCGGGCCAGAGGATGTCCCCGAACCCTTCCCTGATGACTTGGAAGTCCATGACATTGGCGAGCTGTTTGTCTGACATTTGTCTGAGCGACGACATGGTGGGTCTTGTGGTGTAACCCTCCTTGGTTAGGATCGGCGGGTGCCCGGGTGCGTTATCCGCCAGTTTGAAAATAGGGCATGCTTCTGCCGGCTCCTTCGGCGCGGTTCCCGTCAAGCTGTTTGCGTCGTCCATACTGGGAGAGTCTTCACTGGGGTTGCTTGCGTTGAGGCTTGGGCTGCCCCTCAAGTCAGACCGGATCTTATATACATCGTCCAGAGTCCTGTGAGGTCGCTCGTTGTAACTCTGCTCTCTGCCGGTAAGCGTCAGAACGTCTCCCCGGTGGCTAGTTGCATTGCTTGACTTGTCGAAGATCACAGAGGAGCGGTTGCTTGGTAGATAGGGGAGCTCATCCTTCTGTTCAACGGTTGGCAGCTGGGGCTTCCTGAGATGGCCACCCCTCGCCTGGAAGCGCAGTGCGTCCAGCGCCTTGGCGCCACCGTTATGAAGCGATAAGAATGTGTCACCGGCAACTTCATCGGCGTCGTTCTTGTTCGACGGCAACTTGCTGGTTAGGTGCACCTTGGGCGCCTTGGTAAAGGTCCTGGACATGTCACTCTCTGCCTTGGCTTCGGCGGACAGCTGCGTTTTGCCCCTAGATTCCAGTTCGGCACGCTGGTATCTAAGTGCCTCATCAGTGTCGTCCTGATATACGCTGTAGCGTGGAATCTGAACACCGAGGTCCTTCAGCACTTGGCGCAGGCCGAAGCGGTCTTGGGCGTCCTCTAGGTCTGGTATGGTTGGTGAAGAATGCGCCTCTGCCAGAGCATTGAGCTGATTTCGCATATTGGAGGCGTTCATAGCCTGCGCTGCATTGTTTGCGGCGTTGGCCAACTTGGCGAGGTACTGCTTCGCCTCCGGTGGCAGGTCGGCCTCGTTGGTCCAGAAGCTTCTCAGTCCGGGAGAAGGCGTGTTGACGCCCCAGTTGAAGGTGAGTGACCCTAGCCTCATGGTACCACCAGCTTGCATTTGCTGTATGCCTGTAGTTGACCCGAAGGGCTGCGACACCGTTGAACCCATCGAAAAGAGCGATCCGGTGGTCCCAGCTGGGTTGGTGGACCCGAAGAGACCGGTTGTTCCGGTCGTTGATGGGGCTCCGAAAATGTTAGTAGAAGGTGCCGTCATGGTGTTTGTGGTGGTGGGCGTACTACCGAAGACATTGGGTAGGCTGGTGCTGGTTGGCGTAGTGCTGCTGCCGAAAAGGCCGCCGCCAGTCGTACCGGTTGTAGTTGAGCCGAAAAGCCTTGTTGTACCTGTAGTCCCCGTTGCTGGTGTTGTAGATGCGCCAAATAAGTTTGAGGAGCCGAACAGTCCTGTGCTTGTGGTGCCTGTCGTAGACGGGGTGGTGGTGCTTCCAAAGAGGCCCTTGTTGGCACCCCCGAATGCCGAGGTGGTGGACGATCCAAACAGGCCGGTTGAAGTAGACGTACCGGTATTGCTGCCGAAGAGCCCAGTTGACGCGGTAGTGGTTCCAGCTGGCGTAGTGCTTCCGAATAAACCTGCATTGCTGTGAGCGTTTCGATCTGGCCATAACATACCGGTGGTCGTTGATGGCTGCGTGCCTCCTAAGACGCCAGTTGTACCCGCTGTGTTTTGTTGAGTACTTCCAAACAAGCCGGTGGTAGGTTGAGTACTCCCAAACAAACCACCACTAGTGGTTGAGGGTTGCGTTGAACCGAAGAGACCACCCGTAGTGGTAGTCGGTTGAGTGCTTCCAAAAAGTCCTCCTGTAGTTGTTGTGGGCTGCGTACTACCAAATAGGCCGCCAGTTGTTGTGCTCGGTGTGGTAGTGCTGCCAAAAAGTCCACCACCAGTTGTGGTAGTGGTAGTTGACCCGAATAGTCCGCCTGATGTTGCGGGCTGCGTGCTTCCAAACAACCCGCCAGTAGTGGTTGAAGGTTGAGTGGAACCGAACAATCCTCCAGTCGTTGTAGTAGTAGTGGGTTGGGTACTTCCGAAAAGTCCACCGGTAGTGGTGCCGGTCGTTGTGCTGCCGAATAACCCTCCAGTCGTGGTCGTTGGCTGTGTGCTGCCGAACAACCCACCCGTGGTGGTGGTTCCCTGTTGCGCTCCAGGGAGACCGAACTGCGGATTAGCCTTTTTGTAGTATTCCCACCTATACTCTTCCTGGCATGTGTCGGGCTTTTCGTAGGAAATATGCGTGATGCTTGCACCGTCGAAGTGCTTGAGGGTTGCCACCTCAGTGCCCTGAATCTGCGTTCCAAACGTCGAACTGGTTGAGCCGGACCACATCCCTCCAGTTGTCGTATTGCTTCCGAAGAGAGAGGTGCCAGTGTTCACTGTGCTTCCAAAAGTGGAGCCACTGGTGGTGTTCATCCCAGACCCGAAGAGTCCTCCAGTTTGGGTCGTTTGCCCAAATAACCCACCGGAGTTGCCCATGAACCCCTGCTTGTTTTGGTCGAACAGACCTCCGGTTGTCCCCATGGTTCCGAATCCCGTGGTGGCTGGTTGCTGTGCAGGCTGTCCGAACAGCGATGTATTTTGCGATATTCCAAAACTGGGCGTCGTGCTCTGTCCCATGAAACCCGTTGTGCCCGTTGTTGTTCCGCTGCCGAAGCCGGTGAAGGTGGAGCCCACCTGCTGGCCGCTCGGCGCATTGGCCCCTAGAGCGTTGAAGGCTCCCGGCAGGTTGGTGTTCGGCTGTGTGGAGCCGCTCCAGTAGGACGTGCCTGTGTTAGTGCTTCCGAACATATTCGATCGAGGAGGTAGATGTGATTATGTATCTGGAGTCTTCAGCGCCGCCGTACACGTTTTAAGAACGGCGCTTTGGCGAGAGATTCCTCTGGTGGCAGATCACGCCATCCCATCCATCACATACACCCACACTGTACCGTTGGAATTTCTAAACACATGACTAAATCCAATCTAAGGCCCTAAAAAGTTTACGCGAACTTGTGTCGTCTACACTGCAGCCCTGCCACACCTGCTTGGGGCAGTAGAAGCATCGGTGATGTGTTTGCTGTATCTGTCAGATATTGATGCAACACGGTTGGATACAAATTGATTTATAATTATATGGCCTTCCTATCCTAGTAAAACCGTGGAAGGTTCGTTTTTAGTTCGACAGGTACCTTTGCGGATGGTCACTGCAACTCTACGTCGCATTCTTACCTTGAGATCGTCATGTTGCCGAGATTTGGCATTACATCATTGCCTAATTATGATGTGTACGCTACATGTGAAGTTTTCGCGTAGATCACCAGAAGTTATCCCGGTTTTGTAGCGCATTGATTTCAGGTGACATACAAAGCCGATTTATCATACACCCATCATCGGCGCCGCCATTGCTGTATAATCATGCGTTGAAATACAACACCTTCGCGTCTTTCTAAATGTGGAAGATAGCCATGTGAGCCGATTCTGTCACATAGCTCGGCATTGAGTAATTCTGCGGCCTATATTTGCCTTTTTTGCGGAACATCCGTCCACATACATTGTCTCTATAGGTAAAGGAGACGTTTCACACATGATTGAAAACATTAACCGATTTTCTGCAATATCCCTAGGAGGTTATAGCAGGTTGGAAACGTATGCGTAGATCTCTAGAGAGTGTTCATAAACAAATGCATTTTATAATACACCCTTCAAGTATAGCATCAGTTTTATACTAATAACGGTTTTTTCTTCTTCAACGTGAGCCAATATGTAAAGTGAAACGGTCGGAGCAACGTAGGACGTCCTTCCTTATCGCAAGATACCGCCATCCGGTAGCACAGAATCGCAACTGATAATGTGGAATGCTGTAAGGCGCTGCTATTTCGGCGCGCTGCGGCGGCGCTACCCGGAGGAGGTTCCGTAGGTTGTCGATAGACATGTCATAACGCGTTCAACAGACTTGAGCTGCTCAGGCAGAAGGCGGTGCTCATCGAAAATCTCGCGCCGGGCGTGCTTTCGGCTCACGATGACGTGCTCGACGCCTTTTCCAAATGTGTTGGTTTATCGTGCCATGTAGCGAACTCTGTCAGGGCATGAAGATATCGCAAGACGACATTCACATCATGCGCAACCGATTCGGCGTGCCATGCGGGAGGGTGATGGTGCTCGTCGAGAGCCTGTTGCAACCGAACTTCGATTTCAGTGAAGGGAGAAGCACACCGGGCGACACCAGCGCCTTGGCCCACGAGACCTCTGCAGACACGGGGTCGCAGTCGGAACCTACACAAGCATCTAGCCCAAGTTTCCTCACGAAAGGTGCTCAGAAAGCATTGCTGGAGAGCCTTCCGGAGCAATCAAGAGCGTACATCTGTGATGAGCACGACGTTAAGTGCTACGTTGAGCAGTGAGTGCAAGTGTTCATGTGGGACGATAGAGCTTCAGGTGCGAGCGGTATCTAACTCTCTCCGAAGATTTGCGGCGGTTTGCAGATCCCACTAACTTGCACCGCATAGTGACCGTCACCGGTATGAACAAGACATACGGACGTCTGGAGCTTGCGGAGGTTATCGAGCGGCACACCAACGTCAAAGTGGTAGGTTGCCGTATCCATGCGAAACGTTTCATGATTGTGGTAGAACCCTTTGAACATTGCATTTCGCTTCAAAAGCAACGGGGAACAGGACTCCACTGCATGGGTGCTGTGTGACAGCACCCGTGACGCCAACCGCATCATCGCAAAATTACAGGTAACTCTCTTCGCCGAAGCGATATTCATGGGATTCCATAGGAAGTGGCCGTGCCTAAACGGTACCAGTACGGCGCGTTGATGGGAGCTTCTTTTCTATACGCTGCTCGGTCGTCATTGTTTCTGTCTGACCCGGGTTTGGACTTCGTGACGAAGAAGAGCAAGTATCAGGTAAGTGTCTAGGACATGCCAATATGGCAGTTCTACAAATTGCAAGTGAATATATGAGAATATACTTGTGAGAATCGCTGTCACAATGCTACAGGTGTTTACCCTGGGTTGGCAACCGGATATAGACGAGGAGGAGCTGACGCACCTGGCCAACAGCCTCAAGTTTTTCCCCAAGTCAGTGAAGGTGGTCAGACTGCCTGGTTCAGACGGCACAAAAGAGGAGGTTGGAGCGTTCTTTGAGTGCGACCGTATGCGGAACACCAAGAAACTGATGGTCCGTTTGCACATGTTGAAGCGTCGCTGGAAGATTCCGGAGCATTCCCCCTTCTACGCCTACCCTAAGACGGTAAATTACATCCAACCCATACACATTATGGTTTCAGGCGGATGTGCGTTGGGCTTCTGATAACGGTGTGTATGCTGAGGACGACCCGGCAGACGACTCCGACTTGGATGAGCCGGTACACTACTGACGGAAAGCACGATCAAATTAAAAAAACGACATAATCAACATCTCATAATATTGCTCATATAACTTTAATGACAAACTGACATACCGATAACAGGGAAGGTTGTGAGTGCTTACGTCCCACACATCGCGTATCCGTAGAAGGTGGACACCATTGTTGGCATTTTCAATGCGGCACGCAATGTCTATCGGTAAAATATAACAATGGCTCATATGAGCCTGGCGTACGATGGGTAGCAGGTTCCTTCCAGCCAGCACTTTCGCTCAAGTGTTTCGTCGGTGTTTCACTGCTGACGCTTCGACTACAGCCCCGAAATTGCGCACCTTCTGCAAGCCGTACGCAAGTAGATGGATCAAACGGCTGGAGCGTATGCAACAGAAGAAGAGGTTTGCGCTCACGAAGGACGCTGCTTTGCAAATTCCGGAGTCCGAGTCGTACACCGAGACCCAAGTGGCCGGCCTTGGAATCAGACCTTCCTTCCCAATATGGAGCAGTAGAAGGTATGAGATGTTGTATAGTGCCCTGATGTGATCAAAAAGTTGGTGTGAGTTCACATTGCACTTTACTAAGAGCATCGTGTTGTTACAGGTGTATTCATGTGCGTTTGTTTTCACGTAATTGGCGTGATCGCGGTGGCACAGTAGATCGTGGAGATGCCACCGCGATCACGCCAATTACGACTTCATGCGTAAAACATATGGAATGGCTGTTGTGTGTATATGTCGTCACGTTTCTGAAAACTGTCTAGGTGCGGTGTTTTGGCATACAAGCTAGGTTGCATGTCGCTTTGGGACGATTGGGGAGAGCGTCACATGGTCACCGTCTGCCACGTGGACCGCTGTGTCGTGCTTGAGAAGCGCACTATATCGGAACACGGATACGAAGCTGTACAGCTAGGCTTAGGATATCGCAACCCAAACCGCCAGTCCAAGCAGAACATCGGTCGCTTCATAAAGGCTGGAGTGGGCTCGAAGGACAATATTGCGGAATTCAAGTGCTCTAGCGACTGCTTGCTGCCAGTTGGGCACTATATGAGCGTGCGACACTTTACCCCTGGTCAGTGGGTGTTTGTATCGGGTTGGTCGCGGGCGAAGGGGTTCAAAGGGGCCATGCGCCGTTGGCATTTCGGTGGTCAGAACGCAAGTCATGGTACGGAGTGCAAGGCGCATAGTGCACCAGGGTCTATCGCACAGGGTAAATCTGCGCATATCGTATGGCGCGGTACCAAGATGGGTGGGCATCACGGCCCTGACCCCCGAGTGACAAACTGCAGAGTGTTCCGCATCGAAAGCCATCGCAACCTTATATTTTTGAAAGGCGCGGTACCGGGTGACGTGGGCAGCGTTCTGAAGATAAGGGACGCATTAGGGATATCTGCGCGCAAAAATCGCGGCCTCCACATCCACTATCCCACATTTGTCCCCAAGGCAGGGCAGTCATATCCGGTGACGCTGCAGGAGGTGCCGAAAGAACGTGATCCATTCTTGTTCACAGAGGATCCTATGTACGACCATCATCAACAGCAATAGTTTGGACCGATGAGATGGTTTGTAGTATTTCCCACCATCCAGGCTCTTATTTGCTTTGTGTTGTCGTCCGCCACTGTCCGGTGTTACCTAATGGGGCACAATGACTCGTTATCGCTGGATATGTGCCAATTTAGGCTGCTGGCGTCGCCGAAGATCACCTACACGGGTCCGGGTCGTAAGGTGGCGGATCGCATCAAGGAGCAGTTCTCCGTCCAAAATGACTTTCAAGTGCGCCAGGTAAGAAAGGCGCTGAAGCGTTACAAGCGCACTGAGGAGCGTCGGCTGTTGGCAAAGCGCCGTAACATTGTGCGGTCTGAGCGCAACGTAGACAAGTCGAAGCATCGCAACACGGATGACAAAAGGTCATTCAAGATAGTGTCGAAATACGAGATTTACGAAAACCCGTACACCCAGTTCCTACGTCCGCTGGAAAAGCGCACGGAGAAGAACCCCCTAGGGAAGGCCACAGTCAAACCCGTGCGTATGGGAATTCCGCTGGACACTGCAGCCGGGCTATATGAGGGTGCCTCACCCGTCGCCCAGCGTCCTTCAGGGACTCCACAAATCTCCACTCTTCAGTTCATCGGAAGTTATATCCATACGGCAACGCTGCCATCTCTCTACTTGCCTGAAATATGCCTTGTCGGTCGCAGCAATGTTGGGAAGTCGTCTTTCATTAATACTCTGATGACCTACATAAAGACACGCCGCAAGAGCTGCGACATGGCGTACGTCTCCAAAACGCCTGGATACACAAAATGCATTAACATTTTCAAGGCTGTGGACGTTAAGGGCCGTGACGTTTTGTCTATAACGGACCTGCCGGGTTACGGTTACGTGAAGATCAAAAACCGCGAGACCGTGCGTGCCATGGACAGCGCCCTCCGCGCCTACTTGCAACGACGTAATGAGCTGAAGCTAATCCTGTTCCTCATCGACGGCAGCATAGAACCGCAGGAGTCCGACACTGCGATACATGAAATGCTGAAAGCCCTTGGCATACCGTACCTAATGGTTTGTACCAAAATGGACAAAGTGGCTCAAAACCAGGTACCGGGACAGATTCTGTTGTTCCGCCAGGTGTACGACGTCAAGAGTCCTTTACCAGTGGCGTATTCCAAGTTCGGTGGTGCTGACCTTGGAGGTATTTGGCGCGCAATCTTCGACGCTTGCGACGACAAGTTTGATATGGCTAACTTGAAAATATCAGACGCATACCAGAGTCTCAAGGACGCCGATTTTGACAAATACGTACAGAGCCAGTCAATGGTGTCGACGAAGGATTTGAAGAAGCTTATCTACAAAAACTTCGATCTGCTCCCCCAGAGCGTGCAAAGCGCTGATATCGATCGCATGAGCAAGGACGAAATGTTAGACGTGTTGAGGGTGGCTGCAGAGCGCTCCGACGCAATTCGCTCCAAACCTATTGATTTGCTCGAGTACAAGAAAAAACATGGCAAGAGCTGATTGTGTTGTACTCTCATGTAGAGTCGTTGCACTTATAGTTTAGACCCTATACGCTAGTTCCTAGTGGCGATTTAATTACAATATCCTGCTGTCACATAATATTTTGCGTTCGAATTGGCAATAAGTTACATTGCCATTACGTCTCAAAGATGAAGTCACTACATTGAGATTGGGTGTCGGCTGCGGGAAGCAGTGTGGAATAAGGAGTTATGTTACAGTTGGATGTATGCCAATTTCGTACGTTGACGGGATACAGCACTCTTGGGTTTTCACCAACACAACTTATCACAAGGTAATAAATATAAATGTGATCATTGATGATTCCGTTCATTTAGTGAGTATATCGTCATCGAAGTAATCCACGTCCTGGTAGAGGGAGAGCATCCTGCCGCCTGTGGAGAGGAGGGCCTTAACGTCGACGAGGTGGGAGGCCCTGGTGGTGAGGAGTTGCGAGCGGATGCGCAAAATGTCCATGCGGTAGAGGAGTACGATGATTATGTAGAGCGTGGCGATGAGCCAGAGTGCTGCGACGCAGAAGAGGAAGGGTGCACGGATGCGGTAGAGGAGTTTGTCGATCTCGTGAAACAACTCCGTGAAGTGGTCGGAGTGGAGGACTTGGCTGAGCTGCTTGGCGAGGGTGGAACAATTCTCGTTCTGCGAGATCAAGGCCGATGCGTCCCCGAACGTGAGGCCGTAACTGTACAAGGTCGGCATCGCTCCCCTGCACTGGACTATGGAGGGGCATCGGCAGCCGGAGGCAGGTGACTGTGGAGTGCGGACGCCGTGGCTTCCCTCGTCACAGGGGCCTTCGTGAAGGCAATCACCGCAGCCCCAGTCGCGGCAGGAGATTTCCTTGAACGCGGTGTATAGACAAAGCAACATCTCGTAGAACGTCCAAGGGAGGTAGATGGCCCATGAGAGGTAGAGGTCGGAGTGTCGGTGGGCGAGGCTGTCGTACATACCACGGCAGAGGGTGGAGAGGAAGGGCGAAGCTTGGTGTCTTGTGCAGAAGTCGGAGGCTGCGAGATGCATGAGGTGCGGGTGCTTGCATCCGCCGTGTTTCGCGGAGTCCGAGCCGTAGGCGGCGGTGAGCGCTGCGGTCAGCTGATGAGGTTGCTTACACAGCCGAAGTGACAAGTCTGTGGCGGATGCCTCGAGGGCCTGTTGAAGGCTATTCTTAGGCACAACCTTGCCGTCGTGCCAGTCGTTGACGAGCGACAAGGCGAAGGCAAAGTGCTCAGCCAAGGTGGCCGGCGGTCTGGGTTCGAGGCTGAGCAGCGATGAGATGCCTGTTGGTGAAGAGTTTGGTCAGCACTTCGCACAGCTGTTTGCCCGTCTTAGTGCTGCCCGAGAAACCCCGGAAGCCGAGCGGAGTGAGACAGGGCATCCCATTTGGCACACTGGGACACGTGTTGCATTGAGGCTCACAACCGACAGACGTTAACTGGTGAGGCAGGTGGCCGGGCAGGCAGTCGTTGAGGTACGACATCAGGGGTGACTTATCGGAGCACTCTGGGTGAGGGTTAGGCAGAGCGCTGAGTGGAGGATCGCACTGCCACGTGTATGGTGGGACCCCCCTGCCGTACTTGCACTCCGCCCAGCCGCCGTGGTGAGCGGCAAGTGAGCATTGAGAGAGCAGATATCTGAGCACTGAGAGCAATAGGCATAAGTAATGAAGCATCATGTGCAGGCAGTCCTCGCCGTCCTGCGGGTAGTACAGTTGCAGTGAGTTGTTATAGAAGTCAACGGCGTAGGTTGTGAATGCGTTGCCGTAGCCGAGCACCCTGGTGAGCAAGGTGGGAGAGTCGGCGGTGAGGCTGTCAACGGCGGAAACCAAAGCATCGGCAGTCAATGCGGTGGGATATAGGCTATTCTCAGTCTGCTCCTCGTGACACATTTTAATGCATTTACGCAACTTATCATAGACACAGTTGTACTTAATGCCCGTCAGCCAACAGAGCATCTCGTAGACGTTACACGCCCGTTTGGTCCTAGGGCGGCGGATGAAGTGAAACACTCGGTAGTAATATTTGAGGTATTTGCAGAGTTCCCGGAGCGGGCCGTCGCGTTTGCCTAGGTATGTGAAGAGCGTATTATCCTTAGTCAACAGCGTGCCGAGTGCCATGCCGGTGAGGCCGCACCTCAGCTCGCCGTCCTGTTTCTCGGCGGAGGAGGGAACGTTGTAGCCTCGCTCTGCGAAAAATGACGCCAGGGGATTTTCTTGGCCGTTTTGGAAAATAGGCCTCTTGGCCCACTGGGGTAGCATACAGGTAACGTTCACGTCGATCAATTCGCAGAGTATCGGCACTGTGCTGAGGAAGACCTTGGCACACTTGGCGCCATAAGGTGTCAACTTGATGTTTTGGTCGGACGCTTGCCCAGCGCTTTGGTCAGCACTCTGTGTCTTTACCAACTCAGCGGTGAACGTCTGCCCGGAGTAGGCACTGACGTAGACGTTTGTGAACTCCCCCGCAAAGGCGCCGAGTCCGCGTGCTACGGTGTCGAGCGTCGGCGTGGACAGCTGCTGGAAGGACTCCGGTCTCATCCCGGCGAGCGATTTGGTCAGCTGCTTGAGCAGCCCTCTGAGTCTGTGGTCAAAGCCATGGCTGTCCCTGAGGTGGGTGAGCAAGTTGCTCAGCGCGGCGTACACCTCGTTGAGCTTAGCGCTGTACAGCTCCTCGGACGGCGGGAGCGAAGGATTTTTCTTCCTGTTTTGCTGGTCGGCTTCCCTCCGTATCTCCCCCAGGAGATACGTCTGCAACTGCTCATACACCTCCTGGAACGCGGAGGCTATTTTGGGAATACCCTTCTCATGGCCCGTCAAATCGGAACTCAGAGGGCCGTGAAGGTATTTTATCAACCCCTTGTAGCCTGTGTACAGGTCCCTGTTTATTGCGCCGGGCAACTGCTCCAGCTCAGTCTCCACCTTGGCGGCGAACGCTGACAGCATCTCCTTTATGGTGGACACGTACTGCCGGCGCTCCTCCTGTAATAGCTCTTCCTCTGCTGCCTTGAGTTCCTGGTTAACGTAATGCGTGAGCTCATCAATGCATCGCTGCTTGAACACGTCGGCGTCCCTGTCGATGAAAGCCTTGCAGTCCTTTATGGCACCTTTTACCAGCGTGATGTGCAGTTGCTGAAGATCATCTCTTATTTTTCTGAGCCTGTTGCCGAGCATATTGTCCTTCAGTTGCTTCAGGCTGCCTCTGATATCCCTGGCAGTGTACTTAATGACGCCGCGCAGAATGCTGAGTTTGTGCTTAACGTCTTCAACATTCTCTGCTTTTATGTCGCTGATCCCATTCGTGATTTTAGTAAGGCCACTGATTTTTTGGCTGCCAAGGTTCCACTCACCGTCGGCTAGGCCTTTGCTTTGCAAGTCCCGCAGCCTGGCGGTAACTTCACGCTCCAACTTGTTTCTTTGTTCGTCGAGTTCACGTTTGATGTCTTGGATGCGTTGAGTGATTTGTTTGGGATTATCTGTGAACTCAAGGTCTTTTAGCCCTTTAATTTCACTCCTAATTTTGTTCATACCCCTAGCGGTATACGTATCAATTATCCATGGATCAGTGGTATTAAGACCGTCAGCTCTTAGTGCCGTCAACATATCGGTGACTTTGCTGTCCAACTCACCTTGGAGCCTTGTCAACTCCCCGGTAATTTCGGTGACTCCATTCTGGATATTATCGGGCTGTGTATTCAACGTCTTTTGTTGAGTGTTAAGGTCACCATGAATTTTTAAAAGGCCTTTTTTATCTACACCCTTAACGGCCCATTTATCCTGTCCACTTAGTCCAGTGTTCATCAAATCCTTCAAAGCATGTATGACGTCATCCTTTTGGCCTTGAGTGCCTTGCAGCATAGTTCTCAGGTTTCCAAGTTCTTGTACAATGCCCTCCTTGGCTGTAGCAATGTCTCTGAGTTTATCAGTAAACTCTCTACTTTGCAGCCCACTAATCACATTACGAATTTGTTTAAGATTCCCATTTTCCGCAACTTTCTCGCCAATTTGCTTTTGTAATTTTTCCAAGTGTTCCAGAACATTATCATCACTCATGATGCCTTTGATCTTTAATCCTACCTTAAGATGTTCCAACTCAATTGCGGTTATGGCCTTGGTGATTATTTCTGTCTGTTTAGGCAATATATTATTCTGATTTTTAAATCGGTATTGTATTGCTGTTAAATTGTCTGTATTTTTCCACTTTCCTTCAAATGTCCAATCACCAATTGCAAGACCGTTCGTCTGCAAATCTTGCAAAGCGTTTATCACGGCATTTTCCGGCTTGGCATAATTCTTCAACTCCTTCCTAAGCTTTGTAAGCTCCAACTTAATGGTTGAGATGGCCTGTCCGATTTGTTTGGGTTGCTCTTCAAACGTACCTGTTTGCAAAGTGTTAATCGCATTTTCTATTGTGTTAAGGCTTTCGTCAGATCCATCCAACTTATCTGTGTTAAGCCCCTTCTTAAGCTTTTCTAGCAAGTTTTGAATACCATCTTCACTGCCTGCCGGCTTGCCGTTCTCATCAACCAATTCCTGGATCGCTTCAAGCTCTTTCTTGATATTTTCGAACGGACCGGTGAAGGTTGTATCAGTAATTTGTGCGGCGCCTGCATTCTGACCAATATGCTTATTAAGTTCTGCCAGACCCACAGTCTTTATGTCCCCGATCACCTGGGGGAGTGTGCCGGCTTGTTTGATGCCTGTTAGGTTATCGGGGTTTCTAAGAACATTTTCAAGCTCTTCTGCGTTGACGTGATTTTGGTAACTACCGAATTTACTTGCAGCGAAATTCTTTATTTTACCTGCTCCGCCGCCTGCCGACGGACCATCATCATCCCCGATGTGCTGGTCAATTTCTTTTTTGAGTTCTGTTGGGAGTTGAGTTGTTGTATTACTGTGCGCCGCGTGGAAACTGTCCATTTTTGTCTTCACGTCCTCTTCAGTTACACTATTGCTGTCACTTATCACGTTAACCGCCTTGTCAATCGCCGTCTTGGCCGCAGCCTTGATCTGCTCTTTGGCTTTCTCGTCGAACTCCGTGACTTTGCCGGGAAGTCCTTCAACTGCATTTTTGAGCTGTTGTGTGACTTCATTCCTAAACTTGCTGGCCATATTTTCACTGTCATTTTTTGATCCATTCACAAAATTCCTCACATCCTGCAACCTATTGTCCACGGCCTGGGCGGGGCCTTCATCTTTGCTGGGACCGGGTGGTTTTTTGGATTGTCGCTCAGTTGCTCCTTTAAGCGCCTTATCAAGATTGTCCACAGTCGGCGTGATCTTGTCCAACATTTCTGCGATGTTGGCGCTTGGGGGCTCGAGTAGCACAGACTTCAGTTCCTTGCCGACCTGTCTCACCGTGGAGGTGAGTGCGCAGAGGATGGACTCGGCGGCTTGCGAAAGTATGCATTCGGGTCTCTCGCATTTTGTGCAATCTTTCTTGCTGCCGTTGCAGTGCGGTTGGCACTTACAGCTGCATTTTGCCGTTCCTAAGACCTTTACTAAGGCCTGTTTTCTGCTGTATTGGTTATCGCCAATGTGACTAGTCAACGCCTGCTTAACATTCTTGACTAGTTCATTGACGCTACCGCCGGTACCCGGCTTCTTCTTCAATTCGTCGTCCAGCGCCTCGGCGAACTTTGTGCACGCATCCTTGACCTTTGTGATCTTATCTTTGATGCCGACGGCATTAACACCACTGAACACTTTAACGGCATCGTCAATTTTGGGATTAATCGGTTCCTTAATGAAGCCTCCGAGACCACTGTCATGAAGCTCCTTATCAAGCGCCTGCGCCCCCTTACGCTCCCAGCCAAGCAGCTTTTTGACCACACCGTTGTGCTGCAGAATGTCATCCAGCCAGCCGGTGACTCTTTCATATTTAAACTTATTCCCGTCATTCCCGCCGCCAAATTCCTGAAAATAAAAATCCACCTTACTCTTAATCCCTTCAAGGCCTGAGCCACCAGAGTTATGCCAATTATTTCCTCCCGCCTTCCCCTTAATCTCCCCTACTTTCTCATGAATATGATCGAAAATCTCTTTAATATTCTGCTTTCCTACCATGCCGCCTTCTTTAAAATGTTGGCCAAGATCCCTAATTGCATTGTCAACATTACGGACCGCATTGCTAAGCTTCACTTGTATATGTGCGTTAAAATTACTTTCAAGGTTTTTGTTCGTCTGAATCTGAATTAGGCTGACAACTTGATCCAAATATTTTTCCTTGTGGTGGCTAAGTTGAGACAACTGATCTTGAACAAGACTGTCGCCACCATTCTGATTGAGCTTCTCAATATCATTCCTCAACTGCTGCAAATCATCTCTCACTTTATCAGGCAAATCCCTAATTTTCTGCTCAACCACATTTTTAATCCCTTGAATAAGTTGCGTCTTGATATTATACAAATCCTCTTTAAGCTTAGAGTCCATCTCTTTTACCTGTCCAAGAGCTTCTTTAACCCGAGACTCAACAAGGCTCTTGGCCTGCTCCGCAGCCTTGAAAAGGCTTTTGCCGTCGTCACTTAACTTTTTGGCTTTAAGGAATATTTCACCTTTTGATGTTCCATCCTTAGTATCAACTTTCTCCAAAATTGCATCACACTTCTTATCCGCCTTTTCAATAACTTTCTCCGCCGCAGTCTTCCACTTACCTAAATGCTGAACTTCAGTGCCAAGCTCTGTATTTGCACCCTGTATGGCCTTATTACGTTGCTCAATATTCGTGATTTCCGCACCAATCTCACTTTCTAACTTGTTATATACTTCTTCCGCCTTCCCAATCACCCCTTCAAGGACATCGTAGGCCTTACTTTTCCACGTTCCCAAACTTTTTTCAACACCCTGCAGATTTTTATGAATTCCGTTGATTGCCTTATTGGCCTTCTCTATTTTCTTAATATTGTCAGCAAGCTCCTTTTTGTAGTCCAACTTATCAAATGCTTCCTGAGCCTTTTTCTGCGCTTTTTTACGGATCTCCTCCGCATCGGTAATCCATCCATCTAACTTACCAACTTGTTCACGAAGTCTTTCGTTTGCCCCGTCAAGGTCATTTTTAGCTTCTGTAATTGCAGTAACTTTCTTGCCAATAGTGTCTGAACCATCTGGGTTCAACTTCCTATGCACCTCTCCCGCCTTCTGAACCGCTGTGCTAAGTACAGTCCTGGCCGCAGAATTCCACTGTCCCAACTCCTTAACCCTTTCCTTAAGCTCACCATCAACACGTGAAACTGCACCCTTGGCTGCATTAATCTTCCAAACTCCTTGACCAATTTTTGTCCCTGCAATCGGATCTTGCAATTCATAATCCAACTTCCCATGCACATCTTCAGAGTGCAAAATCACACCTTCAAGCACTTTGTCCACCGCATCTTTCCACGCTCCCAGGTCACCAACACGTTGGCCAAGTTGCGTATTAGCTTCCGAAATTGCAGAATTTGCGTCGGTAATTTTCGTGATGTTCTGGCCAATGGATCCAGGAGTGGCACTCCCCTTATCCAAGGCTGTATGGACTTGGGTGGAATTACTAATAGCATGTTGGACGACACTATCTGCTTCAGTTTTCCAAGTTTCCAAATCCTTGACGTTTTGCTCCAGCTTTTTCTCAACCGTTTTAATTGCAGTGTCAAGTTTATCCTTACTTTTTCCCGGGTCGTCAAGTTCATCGTAAATGTTCTGGACCAGTCCCAAGGCTGCATTTATAATTTCCTCTGCCTCCTTCATCCATTTGCCCAGATCAGATATTATTTTCCCCAGCGTCTTACTAATATTTTCAAGCTTAGCCAAAATGTTCTTAACCAAGCCCTTCAGTGATTCAACTAGGTCGGTGACTTCCTTCTCAATCTTCGAATTGATCATATCTTTGAGCTTCTGGAAGGCCTGCTTGATCAATTTGATCATAGCGTTATAATTGTCACGTTGCTTTTTGGACCACCTGCTCAGCATCGCAGTCTCACGGCCGACGCTGTTACGGGCATTATGAATTTTTTCACGCAAGGATGCATTCAAATCATCAAACGCATCTTTCATGTAATGCTTATAGTTTTTTACATTGAAGGCTTTACCAAAGTCCTTACCTCTTCCAACGCACTCCTTCGCCAATTCCTCGGCCGCCTTAACGTCGGGATCTGAAGGATTAGTTTCATTTAACTCACTTATCTTAGGAGTTAACTCACCACCGACCTCTTTGACGTATGCGATCATCTCATCAATCGGCCTCTTGACTTTGTCGTTCGAGGCCTTAACCTTTCTGTTATACTCCCCGAGGCCACTGGCCACTTTGGGGACGACAGCCTTGTAGCCATGGTGCCCAGTCCACCTGGCATTTTTAAGATCGCTAACTAGGCCACTCAACAAAGCTCCGCCAACAACATACGGCTGATTATCACCGACATCACTGATCACTCTACTCAAGAAAGACAAGACTGCATCGCACAGACGGGAGGCGGAGCCATACACGATCCCGGAACCATCGTAGGTTCCAGGAGGCTTATAGCCTACAAATGTCTCAAGGGCGGAACAGATATTATGTAAAATGTTTTGATTAGTGTTCTCAGAGTCTTTCGGAAAAGAGCTCCGAAACTCTTTAAGTTGGCCGACAACATCTCCGGCGGACGGCTCATCTGATTCGGGGAGAGACGGCAGAGATTTCCCAGCGTCCTGAACAACATTGTCAAGCAACTCACCTAGAGCCTGGCACAGCGTCGCAATCCCACCACCCTGCTTCACCTGGATGAGCCAGTCGATTGCCTCTCGAAGGTTCTCGGGGCAATCCGTCAAAGCTTTCGGTGCCATGCCATCGAGCTTCAAACAGTGGTGCCGCCAAGCAACAATGCCCTAGGATACCAATTAAGAACAGTCCATGTCCACATTGCAAAGTGCGCTAAGTGAATATCAAAAAGTAAAACTGAGGAACAGCAAAATGCATCTTTGTACTAAGACAAAGTGCCACCACGGCACCCCGCAATACAAGATATGAAAACACGAGAACCATCAATATATTCACCTACCCGAGGAGGAGTGGCGACAAGTCCAAGAATCCGGAGATACAGGGTCCAAGCTGACGTGGAGATGTAGATCAAAGTAGGAAGGCGCTAAACATCATAGAACTGTCTAGTGGAATACAGAGTGGCTGTCGCATTGTGGCGCCTCAAACCCGCCTCCCCCTCGGCGCTCCGTGACCATCAAGGTAACCGCCACTAAACCCACCGCCAGTAACACTACAGCCGCGCGCCTAGCACCACAAACATGACACTCCAAAAACCCATGTAGGCTCTACCGTAGACGCACCATATAAGATCAACTAGTTTCAGAGTTACCCAGCCCCAACTGCACTCACCTTAAGTTCCGTCACCCTACCACCTGTTACAATGCCATACGGTGCAGGCGCGCTTACAACTGCCTAAGCTAGCTGTAGTACGAGATTACGATGTTAGTCAGCCACAATGTTGCCTGTACATGCCACTTAATTAGGCCATACGCTGCCCATTATGCCAGATAATGTCACAGATTCACGCATACAAATCTTCTATAGCCATCCACCTTCTCACTTTAATGTTATCAACCCACTTAAGAAATGGCGCATCATCTCACCTACAATGACAATACTCAGCTGCTGACATGGGTGGCCAGCTACTCAGCTTCACATCCCCCTATTGCCACAGGACTACACAATGATGATCACAACGTGGCTAGTACAACATAAACATGACACGTCTACTACATTATTTGCTAGGTTGTCAGTTAGGTGGCTGGGTGAGCTAGGAGTGACATAGATGGTGAGTGGCATATAGATCACGGCTGCAGGTATCTTATCTTGCCGAGTGCCTTGACGCGTGCGGCGGCGAGGAGCGACTGTGCGGCGATGCGGTGGCTTGAGGGTGATTTTAAGTGGGAGCGTATCCTCAAGACGTCGAGGCGGACGAGGGTGATGTGCAGCAGGTAGAGGAGCGAGAGCGACCAGAGTGCTACCAGTGTCCAGATGAATTTGGCCCTGATATCGAATAAAAATTGTGGAATAATATCATGAACCAATTTATGTAGTAGGCTCTGTTCTTTCACAACTATTTTCAATGTATTGCAGAAGTCGTAACATGTACGCTTCTTCTCAATACCATTCACGCCACTTAACGTGGCTGGACTTCTAAATGTGAAGCCGTATTTATACAAATTCGGTAGTGTATCCGGGCACTTGACAATTGAACTACATGAGGTATGATGTTTGCCTAGTTCGGACATCGGATGTTTCTTTGCATTGCAAGCTTCTATGCATTTGCTAACCCGGCACTTAGGCTTTTCGCCGCCACACTTGCTGCTACACTCATCGTACAGTTTCTTGAGTAAATCATAAAACGTTTCGGTAATGTAAACTATCCAAGAGAGATAGTTGTCAGCGCGCTTTTCGGAGAATATATCACAAATGTCATTACTAATCGACTCCAAATATGGTCCGCATGGATGGACTGGATCGCCGCTGTCACCCTTGCACTTCACGAGGGAGAAGATGTCGCCAGTGAGATGTTTCGAACCGGCGGAGTTTTGGCCGTCCACATCTGTTGACGTATGATTTCCGTGCGTACTGCTCTGCTGTATGGAAGTGATGGCCAACTTATTGTACTGCTCGCCGAAAATTGCTTTCTTCACCGCCTTGTCAAATGCATACTGCTTATGTATCCTTTTTTCGAAATTCTCCAGGAAATTGTAGTAGAAACCAAAAATATCACCGAGAGTCTGCGGTGTTCGACGAAGCAGGCAGTTGAGCTGGCTACACAGTTTGAGAAGGTGAGAACCCTGAACGCAGAAACGATGAAGTGCTTGCCATAGATACAAACCGTCCTTTGTATGTGACGCTGTTATGGCAATGTCACCGAAACCCATTGGGGTCAGGCACGGCTTTCCAAAGTGGTTGGGAACGGTACAGGTTAATTTGCAACCAGGTGTTTTGAATTGATGCGGCAGGAAACCAGGAAGACCATCCTCCAGATAAGATTGGAGCGGCGATTTGACACCGCACTTCGGGTGTTGATCACAGCGTTGCTTAGTGTTTTGGTTATTGCTTTGGTCAGCTCTCTGGGGACAGTCTTGGTTTGGGCACAGCTTCTCATTGCAGCGCCACGATGAACCGCCAACATATCTGCCATAGTGGCAATCTTGCCATCCGCCCCTACTACGGATGTTGGAACACTGGCTACACAAGAAGCGCAATTGATAAAACACTCTATTCAATATATCTGCTAACATGTCTAAACAGGCAGCAGGGCTACCAGGATATAATAAATTGTCTACATTAGTGTTGAAGTCAACTGCGTACCGGCCATCAGGATGGCCGTGACCAAGGATAATGATGAGCATTTTCTCGGAGCGGTAGCCTAGAATGTCAAGCGTGTCATGTAGTTGTTTAGCGGTGAAGGGCGTAGTGGCTGAAAATGAAAGCTCTTCTGGTTGAATGTCCTTGTACTCTCTCTTGTCTTCTTTTCCATAGGGTTTGTCGAACAATGTTTTAACGTGCTCACCGAGTTTGGGAAGCATCGGGTTCCACTGCAGTCCCGTAAGCCATAGGAGCATCTGGTAGATATTAGATGGTGCTCTTGGTGTCGCGGGGATGATGTAGTGACAAACATTGTAGTACTGTCTAAGGTGGACGACAAGGCATCTGATAATGTCCATCACATTAAACTTATCTGCCTTGTTATTTGGCTTACACGTCTTTAGGTGTTCATCCGTTTTGACGACGGCAATTTCATCATCAAGCTTCTTTAAAATGCCTCCACCCGTCATGTTAGAGGAACGTTGCAACTGGCCGTCTTGCTTATCCCTTCCACTCGCCACGTAGTAGCCGCGGCGAGAGAAGTACTTGCCAAATTCAGTGCCTGCATATATTTGTGCACTCTTAGAAGCACTATAGTCTCTTACCAACAAACGAAGATCATAACTCATCCTCTCCAGTATGGTCAGGCAGACCTTGGCGCAGTTGCGGCCCTCGGTGGAGAGGACTTGTGAGGTGGTGGTGGATTTAGGATCCCTAGGGATTACTAATTGAGTAAATGTTTTCCCACTGTACCTATTCACGTACGCGTGTGAGAGTTGCTCGGTGAATTTGTCCATGCCGGACCTGAGGGCGTCGAGGAGCAGCGGGTTGTGGAAGCCGTGGAAGTTGGTGGGGGAGAGGGAGTGGATGGAAGAGGAGAGATCGGCAAGCATTTGAACCGACATATGGTCGAAATTATATATGTCATTATTGTTAGCGATGTATCTAAGTAAGCGGCCGAACGCATTTTTGATGTCTCCCACCTTAGTGAACTCCGATATTTTATCTTGATTCTTCACTTGGTTTTGAACATACGCGAAAATCACATCGGAATAACCTCTGAATGTGTTGGACAGGCTTGTGAATTTTTTCGAATTTTGTTTAATTTTTTCTAACTTATATTTATCATTGCCATTATACATCCACCTCATTAAACCCTTAACGCCACTACTCAAATCATAATCAATGGCATTTTGAATTTCTTTAATTTGGTTGGAAACTTTTGTTTTCATTTCCTCGAACATTGGATGGATTCTTTCGAAATAATCATTTTTAGCTTTCTCTTGTATATCCTTGGTGGCGGCGATGATTTCTTGGCTGATATACGCTTGGATTTTACCGATAGCTTCATTGACCTGGGTTTCAATGACGGTGGTGTAGAAGTTGTCGACTTCATGAACGAGTTTGGTCAAAGTACTGTTTTGAAGATGGTGAATGCGACCCTTCGCTGCGGTGAGGTCGTTGCCCCTATCAATCAAGGATCTATTATTTATAAGAGTCTTCAAATCTGCCAAAATTTTCGTTACACCCTTTTCATCATCGTTTCCCACGAACAACCCACCATCAACCAATTTCTTAACGGCTTCTGTAAAGGTGGTGAGTGCGGAGGTAATGGCTTTGTGGGCATCGCCTAGTTTATCTTTATTTATGGTACCATTAATAATTTTCAGATTTGCCTCCACCTGCTCCCTGATCGCCCCGATCGCCTTGGGGAGGGCACCTTCGGCTGCGTTTGAGCCACCGGTTAGAGGTTCTGCAGCGGACACCTTATCTTGGTTGACCTGACCATGGTAATTCGGAAACCAAGTCTCTTTCTCAAGCTTGACATGACTTTTTAATTTTTGTCCATCTTCCGGCAACTGGTCGTTAAGCTTTTCTCCTACCGCCTTGATCGCTTGGTCGACTAGAGCGGCGTGGTTGGTGTTGGTGCCGGTACCGCCACCATTTTGGGCAAGTGCCGTTTTAAGATTTGTGTCAAGCTTGCCCGCCTCTTTCAAGGCATCGTTGACGTTGTCGAGTTTGCAGTTATCAGCTATTTTTCTCACCTCTTTCCCGGCTTGCTTGGCAGTGGAGGAGATAGTTGGGATCATGATTTCAAGGGCACGGGTGAGATATTTTTTATGTTGTGGAGGAAGCCTGTCATACTCATCTTTTTGCTGTACATCGACAATGTACGCCTCAATCGCCGCAACTATGCTGTTGACCTTGTCTGGCAGGGTAGCTTCAGCAACCTCTGCAAGATAGCTACTAATCTTTTCCAAATCTTGAACGATCTCACCTGACGCATTGATTTCGGTTGTTACAAGAGTTCTAATTTTTGACACAATTATTGGAGTAAGTTGCTGGATTCTTTCTTCCCCATGGCCACCATTAATTCGGCTTGGATCAAAACACAGATAACATTGATTAACATATTGCTTAAGCCACCGCTTTACAGGTTCATCGTGTTCCAAAATCGATGCCACCCACTCCCCCAGCGTCGCGTCAAACCCTTTAGCATACTTGCTAACATAATCGTTCACCTTCCTCACAACTTCCCAAAGGCCTCTTGTTGTGCTTCTTGCACCGCCTCCACTCCCCTCAATACTCTTAACCATACTTTCAATGTGTTCTACAAGCTGTTGGATTGTTTTAATTTCTTGGTTCTTTTTGCCATTAATAATACCACCAAGCGTAGTAATCTTGGATGTAATGTCACCTAACTTAGTAGTAAGTTGCGTCTTAACGTTATACAAATCCGCTTTAAGCGCCTCATCCACGTGTTTTACCTGCGTAAGGGCTCTTTTCACCAAGTCCGTCAGCGTCTTTTTAGACTCTTCTGTAACAGTCAGAAGTGCGCGGGCTTTTCGCCACAGAGCATCGGCCGCCTCTTCAATTTCCTTTCTCTCTTGATTATTTTGACTATTTACCGTCTTACCGTCCAACTTATTCAAAATCTCTTCGCACTTCCTTATAGCGTTGTCTACAACATCCTGGGCTGACGAAATCCATGCCTCCAATGCCCAAATGTGCCCTTTCAGCTCATCATTAATTTCGATTATTTTGGACTTAATCTGACCCTCAAACTCTCTATTAATATTATCTTTCATGACATTAACACAGTGGTTTGCATGATTATTAATATATCCCTGCAACTCTACAAACCGTTTTCCACTGAACTCCACCACCGCTTTCAACTCATCATTTTTTGCTGAGATAACAAGCTTTTCAACCTCTAGTTGAACACGATGCACGACGTCTTTCAGCTTCTTTTTTATCTGGGGATCGAGAATATTATAATGTTTCTCGACCTGTCTATAAGCCTGTGCCAAGTTTCCAGCCTTTCTGATACAGTTGTCCAGCCTGCTGGGGACCTTGTCAATTTGGCCTGACGTAAGATTCTTAAGTGCACTAAGTGAGTTGCCAAAATCGTCAAAAGCAATGAGTTTAAGCCCATTGAAAGCATTATTAACATTATTAATTTTCTTCTGAAGCTCCCCATCCCAAACCTGCAGCGCCTCGGTCACAGCCTCAATGGTCTGAGAAAATTCCTTGGGACCCTTATACATACTTTTTTTAACAATCTGAAGTTTAGCGTCGATATCATCCACGGGATAATAATACTTCACATTTTCATCCTCTTTAACACTCTCCAACACCCCACCCAAGAACGCCATCACCCCGTCGCACAGCCTGTCAAGGTCCGAGTACACGATTCCTGTGCCATCGTAGCCTTTGGAATCAGGGTTGAAGCCTAGGAATGTTTGGAGACCATCGCATAGATTTTCTAATAATTTTGCTGCGGGATTAACGTCATTCTCTTTGCCAATAAACGCTTCAAGACTTTGTTTAAGATTTTCAAGAGACTTCTGCCTCTCCTCGATGTCCCCTAAGGCTCTTTTTCTGGCATCCTCAGTAAGGTAATGAACTTCGTTGTAATGGTCAGCTTTCTTTTTTTTAAGCTTAGATATTTCAGCTTCAGATTTTTTGGCATCATCAATTCCCTTTTGAAGCTTCTGACAATGATTGTCATACAAACCAGCAGAACTTTTATCGGCGCATAACAGTTCCTTTTGTCTATCATTAAGACTCTCGCTAGCATTTTTAATAGCATCACCAATCAACTTTTTCAAGGCTTCAGCCAAGTTCTTAAGACCATGTTCACCATTCCCATGCCTAACCTGGATTAACCAGTCGATGGACTCCCGGAGATTTTCCGGGCAGTCCGTCAGCTTCTTAGGTTGTTGCCTCATTTTGAAGCCTAACTTACCGGGCAATTATCGACGCGTAATTTACAACACCCACCAGTAATTCGAGGTTGCGTATCCCCTACTCATCTGCAAATTGCGATAAACACTGGACAGTTGGCATACAGTGTTCCTACTGCTCCGAACTAGATTGGTTTGCTTCGTGTCGGATGGTGTATGTATTTACAATTCATGGCAAAACTAGCGTTCCCCTCCCTCTCACTGGTTCCTAGCCTCCAGTATCTAGACAGCTCAAAATTCTAATCCACTTTGGAGGTGGCCTCAATCCTCCCAACTGCACTTCAATGTTCAGAGATACACATAAACAGTCTAATCTTGTGCAAACTGAGAATTAATGTTCGTCGCAAATCCTCTCACGCTCCTATGAAATTCCAGACCCGCCCCACTGCCACCCAGCTCCATCCATAGTAGGAAGAAGGGCTTCCTGAAGTGTAAAAGGGAATAGAGTCCATGAGTGTTGTGAATGAAGTCATGGTATAAAGAGACGTGAAAGAGATCATGGTAATACGATTCCCTCTCCAGCCTTCACAAGGACTACCATATTCGGTTAGTGATTTACTTTAAAGTGACGTTTATACGGCGAATGACAATTATGACCACGAATAGTTGCGAATATGAGCTGGCACGGAATGCAATTATCTTGGTGAAGAGTGCTAAGGTCCACGTGAATCAGGATGGCAACGATGGAGTACGTAGGATAGGGTCAAGAAGAACACAAGGAGCGTAATTAAACAAAAAAACATCATACAGGATAAGCGGAAGAACAGGGTCGCTATTCTGGAAGTTTGTATTACAAAGCAAGACAACCATGTGAAGACATACAGGAGAAGGAACCATGAGGATCCGGTGCAGCAGCTAAAAGGGGGCGTTTTAAGCAAAACCATAAGTAACTTAGACGCTACTCTAAGTTACGGAGGTTCGTGAAAGCCAGAGTAAATCATGACTCTGTGAGTGACCCTCGTGGCCACAGAGTATGGAGGCCATCATGGAAACACACCAATGACGTTAGACAACAGGACGTATACACCGCAACCTACACCAGCACAGTGAGACGCTAGCCTGGTAAACACGAAAAACGACACAAGCCACACGTAGACACATAACACAACACACTGGCCAGACCGATGCAGGGCTCTACCCACCAACAACAATCTGCCAGACTGTGTAGTTTGAAGCGTTCAGTGCTTACGTAGTATTGTTCCACCTATCGTCACTTCATGTTTAACCATCGAGATTGCTGAGTGGGATACAAATTTTTTCTCCGACAAATTCCTAGGGACTCCAATATTCCATTGTACAAAAATTCAATAGCCTCACCCAATCCACGTAGAATACTCGTATCCGACAATAAAAACCTGACGACTTTATCCGAGAGATGACACTGCCGTGTCAATACTGCTAGCCATGAACGTAATATTTACAGACATTCGATGCGACTGAGAGCAACCACGGCCATTAACACGCCACGGCCACTACGTTACTAGGCAAGGTGTAAATGCAAAAGTACCAGCAAGTGAACAATAAAGATAAAAATACAAATTAAATTGAAATGCTTCACTCGCAGGAAGGTTCCTCATCTGTGTTTTCAAGCAACATCTTCATGTTGAAAGGCTTGAATGCTTTGCCGTCAGCCTTGAAAAACTTGTTTTGGAACTCCACCCACTGCAGCCTGAGCGCGTGCAGGTAGCACTCGAGCGAGTCCATACAGAGCATCACGAAGAAGGTGATCACCGCGAAGGCTATGGAGGTGAAGAACAGGCCGAAAACGGTGGCCACCACGCCCCCCTCGCCCTCAAGTGAGCGGTAGATCGTCTGCTTGAAGAAGACAGATGACAGCTGCTGGTGTGACAGCGAGAGGGCCCACAGACGCAGATACGACGAGGTGTTGCTGATGACACCCAGTGAGAACTCGATAGTTTCAATCAGCTGGTGTATAAAGATATCGGCGATGTTGTGTTGCGCGTGTGCACCTCCATGGTCCTCCGTGACAGTGCCGTCGCTGTGAATAGTGACCGAGAATTCGCCCGGTTGCATTTCACTGGTAGAGCTGACCCTCTTGAATTGGGATTTCGACGCGGCCATTCTGTCGGCATCCATGTTGGACACGCTGTCAATTGCCTGGTCCCTTGCTTCAATATCGTCCGGTTGGCGGTAGACCAGCTCGTGTTCCCGCCTGGGCTCACCTCCGCCGATGACTAGCCTGCGCCTCTGTGCTAAATAGAGCATGACGGGTTTGGGGAAGAACATCATGGGGATGCAAATCAACATGAGGATGACAAGTATGCGTTGAACTTTTTCCTGCCCCTCGAACATGATGTCGTTCTTGGTCAGGTCCTTCATCAGGCACATGTCAATCATGGTGGTGATGATCGACGGTTTGGCGAAGCCGTTGTCGACTGGCGTGATCCACTTGTAGATGATCAGGAAGTTCATATAGCCCACGAAGCAGCACATCATAACGAATTGAGGTAGGAACTCGAAGAAGAAGTCCAGCGGCTGCCTGAAGTATATGGCGTTCAGCCCCTTTAGGCAAACACCCATAATCATCTGTAAGAACCCGACTATAACGGAAAACTTCATCTTGAATGAGTGAAGCATAGTTTGTTCGTTGGTGGCGTGGATCCATGCCACGTCGAGTCCGAAACCCACCGGGAAGCTTTCACTAGACTTCTTCAGGGTCTCCAAGTACTGTCCTTCTGCAACCTTGACACGGCTGTCGGGATTAGGCTCCCAACACGATCCAAAGATGTTGTTTGGCAAAGATAGGAAATCGTTGTATATGAACCCGGTGTATGTGGCCATGAGACCCATAAGCAGGATCATGTACCGTCCGTTGATTACCATGAGCGCAATCTCGCCGCCGTAGCTCTCCTTTAATTGACGGTGACGCATGAGCAGGAATATACCGAACAGAAGCACGCACATGCCATGTCCGATATCACCGAACATAATCCCAAACAGGAAGGGGAAAGTGACGATGGTGAATGGCGCTGGGTTCATCTCTTTATACCTCGGTATACCATAGGTGTCCACAACGTTCTGGAAAGCCTGTGTGAACAATCCGCCTTTGTTGTACGTCGGTGGCATGGTCTCTGGGTCGTCATAGAACCTCTTGTTTTTGAACTGGTTGTCGACGAGAAGCAGTGCGCTAACGCGTCCCTGCGACTTCTCTGCCAAAAGATACGACCTGATGTTCTCCTCTTCCTCCTCGGGGAACCAGCAATCGGCGCGCAGAGTGATGTCACTCGCCTCGAAATGGTTCAGGATATAGTAGATGTATTTCTCCTTTTTGCAGAACAGCGCCCATTCCTCAACGACACTGTTTCCCTCGGGCCTGGGGCACTCCAGGAGACATGCAATCTCCTCCCGGAAATACTTCTTGAAGGCGTTTAGCGCCTTTTGCTTGTCGCGTATGATCTCCTCGAGCTCGCCCAACCTTTGGCGGATGTGAGCCTGTGACTTAGACCAATCGAAAAGCTTGGCCTGGAATCCATTGCAAAGTTTTTGCAATTTTTGGAACGTGGAGCTGCTACTGGACGACTGGCAGTAGATTACAAATACGATTTTCTCATCCTTGTCGTGACCCGCGGCCTCTTCTTCGCTGATGAGTCCCCGGGAAAGCATAACTTCCTTAATCGCCTGGCTGTCCTGGAAGAATGTGTACACGTTGCCACGCATGGCCCTGAAAATAGCCCTCGAGAAGGCGTCCTTGTCGTGCGCGCTGATGATACCCGCAATGTTAGAGAACGCCAGAGTGGCGCTTTGTAAGTCGGTCTCGGCTGAGGACGGTATGTCGACCATTTCCGTGTCGACGATATCGCCGTTTGCGTCGCTCTCTGCCAACAATTTAGCGTTGGATTCCGCAGATTCGTCCGTACCTGCCCCTCGCTGCGCTGGCGCCTCGGCTGGGAGGTACGACTGTCCGTTAGACGAGTTGAGCTGCTTCAGCGCCACCAGCATGACGCAGTACTCGTTGAGCACCTCCTCCAGCTCAGTTCTGAGCATGAGGTCGTTGCTTTTAAACTTTTCAAACTGCCCATACAGCTTGAACAGAGACTCCTCGACCTGGTCGAGGCGGTATACGTCGTCGCATTGGAGGAAGTCATCGATTTTGTTCTTGACGATGAACGTGCCCGGCAACGCCGTAATTTCCTCTTGCAGCACGCGAATCATCCGCTGCATGTTCAATATGCGCTGGATGTACTTCTTGTAAGGTCGCTCCATGCAGCGCTCGTTCATGTCGACGAACTGGATGTTTGTGTGCCGACACAGCAGGTCGATGCATTCCCGGGCCCTTTCTTGCGGGATGACCAGCGTCCCATGGGACATGGTCACCGACCTGAAGATTCCCATGGTGTTAGTTCGGCTGTTTCAGCGGTTATGGCATCGGTGGATCAGGCTTGATCTGCAGAGGTCCGTGCTCCTTGCCTATCTCCCGCGTTTCTCTCGCCTAAGGACACAGCCCATGCAGATGTTTGTTTTGCTTTATATTATCCACGGCTTGAGTGTATCGTTGGCGCTGCAAGAAGCCCGATCTCTCGACGTACTTAGCTTCCGTGCGACGGCCGTAGCGGAGCTACCATGCCCAAAACCTTACAAACAAAAATTGCGATTCTCTTTTCACTGCCTATTTGCAGCGTTTGGCGCCGCTTTGGCGGAGCAACAGCTTTTCCCTGAGAGCCTAACGGCTGTGTATGCAGCCGTTGTGTAAGGACGGCGGCTTTCACGTAACCGGAGAATCTTGAGTTATTCGAATCGTATGCGCAAGCTTGTAAGGTCTAAACCGTTATTAACAACGCGCACGGATGGATCTTGTGCACCCTACACTGGGTACATACATCCGTCACGTAGCAGCGCGCGCCTGCGGACTCAGGTCAGCCATCCCCAACAGGCTGGCTACTAAACTGCTGTGCTTTGGGAGCTGTTACATTAGGTCATTAAGCTGTGTGTCAACACCGCTGCAAAAGTGGCATGGGAGCACTTTGTAAGGAAATTGCTCGCGCGCAAATTTCCGACCCACGCGGCGCTTCCATAGACGGCACGCCGGTTCACCCAGAGGTATCGTCATCCTCGAAGATGATCGGGTGGTCGTAAGGCCTATCTTCGGTTTCTACGTAATTATCTTGCGGTGTCCACACCGGGTGGAGCCCGACCACAATTGACTCGATCGTTTCCATGGCCTCGATGCGCTCTTCCATCCTGCCCTTGTCCCCTGCACGGCGATAGATATTCATTCTGAGTAGCACTTACGGCAATACGCAATTCCGTCCAGCAGCCAGTCGCGGAAGTCCTCGATGTCTTCTATTTTTCGGAGGTTCTTTTTGAGGACCTTCTCGTACTCCACGCAGTTGTCGTATCTGAAGCACTCTGCCAGTATCCTCACCCACTTGCTAGTGCCCCTAGCGCTCGTCAGCACCTCGGCGGCGACCCTGTCCTTTAGCGTGCGCAGAAACCGTTCGGAGAGCGCCGGGTGTTCGTCGCTTAGGCGGAATTTTTTCGACGCGAGCTTTATAAGCTCGTCGAATCGTTGCATGAGGTACTTGTTTAGCTGCTTCTGTCTATATAGCCTCTGGAGGACGTCGTCGATGTTTTCTCGACCGTCCTGCGGGCGATGTGGGCGTGCCGAGGAACACTTACCACGTAGCAGTTGATGAGTCTCACGATGATCTCTTCGGCGCGTTCTTTGCGCACCTTGTCCGCGATGGGGGCTATCTCTGATGCGATGCCCTCGAGCCGCTGTATGGATGCTTGGTCCCTGTTTTTGCGATATACGCTGAACGCCTTGCCCAGCACCTCCTCAAGCATGTTCTCTTCGTACATGTGCTCCTTAATCGGTTCCAGCGTTGTTTCATTTATTTCCATGGGCGTTTCTGGCATTCCTGTTTCATCTACGGGGTCTTGGATTTCTACGTTGGGATTGGCTTTCGCCGCCGCTTCCAACCGGTCGGCTTCCTCCTTAGTCACCTGCCTGATTTCGTAATCGCCATTGTTCAGCCCGCGCTCAATTTCGCGCAGCTGGGATTTTTTGCCCCTGCTGACTTCGATGTCCTCCAGGAATGTGCGTAATTCGGCCACTCTGTGGATGATCGCCCTATCCAGTAGGTACTCCCCGGTGGTCGCCGACGGGTTCGGCAGCGTGATTGCCTCGCCTGGCAAGGGCTCCCGGAAAACGGAATCCGGCGACGCTATGCCGGCGCATCGGAACGATCTGTGACGTCCCGGACTCCATTCCGTTACCCTTGTGTCAGGGGATTCCGTTTCCAGTGGATCAGCATGTTCATGCAGGCCATGATGACGTCCAGCTGCGTAGTACAAAGCGCTACGCGAGCCGCTTCTTAACGTATTCAACTCATGAATACTACATCCTGCTTCCACCAGTTGCCGTCGTGGCAGGAGCAATCTTTCAGATGGCGACTGCGTACCTAGGAAAGCGATGCAGTATACGGGAATGCATTTCATCAGCTTGTATCGCTTTGACCATCCTAGCGTATTTAGGAAGGTATTGCACTGTCATAGGCCATTGTGGCTAGAAATAGGTGTCTTGTCGCCGCTGGAGTGGCTTTCTGGTCACCCTCTCGTTGCAACACCGGCCCGCGTCACCGTCGTGAAAGGATGCGAGAATCTTGGGCCGCCGAGGATTCCTCAGACCAGCTCACCAGCCTACTGGATATTGTGTTAACACCATTCGAAATGCATATGGTTGATATCACGGATTCTTCGCGGTGTGTGTGACATCGGATTGTCCATTTGTGTCTGCGGGGCTCGTCACGCCGCCCGTGGCATCCGCAAGATGTATCGATCCACAATGAGTACCAAGACCGGAAAACGGGTCAACGTCAGGGTTGGCAAGCAAATTGCCATCGGGACGTACGCGTTCCCCTTGACCACCGCGGTAAGTGTTGCCCCGCATCCATGATTATGAAACCCACCGGCATATTGACGCCTAAGCGGCGAACCGTGGCGCAGTGTAGGCCGTAGTGGTCGAATATCGGCCTGTATGGTTGCGGAAGCGTGAAGTTGTTGGTGGTCGTTCCTTGCATTCACTTCCCCTTGATGCTCGTTGCTGTAATTGATAAGCACGTTTTCCTGTTCCCATACCTTGTGCAGGAGAAGAAGCGATACGGGTCTATGACGCACAGATGGACCTGTTTGCTCCGGTCGCCGACCAACGAGAACATGACCCACTACGTGAAGAAGGTCCAGTTCGACTTGGACCCATCCTTCCTTAACCCTCGTAGGGGTAAGAGTTCAAGAGCGTTCCGATATAAGGTTTTCAGTGTTGACTACTATGCCGTACGAGGTTACTGAAGTGGGTTGGGGTGAATTCTACATCGGTGTGAAAATCTTCTTCGTGGATGAGTCGCTCGAGCCGGTGCAGCTTCAGCATCTCTTGGTGGTACGTTGGACGGATCTCTCGCATCATATTGGCTGCAGTTAAATCCGTCTGACAACTCCGGATCTGGCTCGACGAGTGCGACGAACGAGACCTTCGACGAGATCATCTTCAACGAACCCTCCACCTGGTTTTACAAGCACCTCATGTGTAGCAGCACCGACATTGTGCCGCCGCACAAGTATCATGAACACTGTGAGTGGTTATGCGCAGGTTGTGTGTCATGTAGGGTGCAGTTTGGGATCACAGCATGCGTGACAAGGAGACCACGTGCCGCTATATCTGCTGTCAGTCCTACTTCCAGGTATGATAGGTGACTTCATGCAATGCACATTTTCGCAGAATGAGACTTACAGACTGCTTGCCGAGGCGTCAGAGCTTTCTCGCCAGGTTGGTTTCCGGCCACTTCTGCTGCCTGACACGCTACAGATCCAGTACCTCCAGGAAAAGGCGAACGTTATCAAGAACCCGACCATTCTCACGAAGGCTAACCCCAACAGTACGTTTCATTGCTCTACTGTGTTGTCACCTGATCGCAGAGCCAACGGTGATTGGAATCAAGAACGTCTGCTCCACACCGACAACCGTGCCGCAGGACGCGCCGGCGAAGCGCGATGCTCTAGACAGCAACTCGCCCGAGTCCTCCATTATATCGTCGTACGACCCCAAGCTCGCGTCGCTGTCCCCCTCCGCCACGGGTGTCTCGTCCACCCCGTCCGTGGCCGCCGAGGAGAAGTTGCAGTTGGATGACAAGGAGTTTGGCGACTCTGCCGACGGGACCTGAGCGAGCTCACCCTGCGCGTGTCTGCACCCCACTCTCCATGCTGGCACCCTAATGACTGCCAGCATCTATCGCGAATTCTAAATGCCATTGCAATACGCAATGCGCCACCCCAATGCCGCAGGAAATTCACATATTGATCAACCGCAAAATCCGTTGTTCGGAGCTGCGGCAAACGACAGAGCTGTAACCGGCATGAAAACAATGAAGGTAACAGGTATATTAAAATTGGCTTCCTGCTACGTGTTATGTGCGTGCACCTCGAAGGGGTGCCGCAGTACGACGTTGCGAGCACGCCTGTTGGCGACCCCATCCGTGCCACCTGTGTCGGCACCTGTCGAGTAGAGCTCCTGCGTTACCGCCTGGTAGGCGAATGTGAACGCAGCTGGGAACGTCGGCCCCGTCTCGCGGATGAAGTGCGTCACCACTACATCCATGTATAACAGCCTGTCCTCGCTGCACTCCTCGGCAAACCGCTCCCTGAACAGGTCTATTACCATCGCCCTCCCGGCGGTGTTGAAGGCCGTGCCGCGGCATTTTGCCAGATTGGAGGCGATGTATGAGAAAGAGACCACGTGTTTGTCCTTCCTGCGAGCCTCATGCACGACGAACTCCACGTTGAGCATGGTCATAAGCCCGCTAATCAGCTCCAGAGCGTCCCTGCGGCCGACCACAGTGATTAAGAGCGGGCCTTCCACTGTCCTGAAAATGCGGTGGACGGGGTCCAGTATTGAAATCGCACTGCCATTTTCCTGAATAGCAATAATATGGTACAAGGATTCGTCAAATTCTTCGCCTTTGTCACAAGCCGCAACTGCCTGGTACAGGTCGGAAGAGACGTGGAGTATCACCCGCGATGAGTGATATTCGACGAACTTGACCCTGAAGGTGTTTTCCGAAGTGGACCCGCCCACTGAGTCATGACCTTCACTAGGCGCGCTACACAGTTTTGCAGCCCCCAGGTACACGTCGTGTTTTGCGAGTATGGAGAATGCAGGTATGACGTATTCAATGAGGCCGGGGAACACGTGGCTGTGTATGGATGCGACCAAAGTATCCCAGATCGTGTCCTCAATACGTTGTAGCGGAGAAAAGTACTCTTCGTTGTCTGCAGTTACCTCATGTTGATTTGATACCCCTGGTGCATTCTTTGTGCAAACAGAAATTGGCTTCTGCCGGGGTGAACCTTCCGATTGTACACTGCCGCCATTTTCGGCGGCTTTCGAAATATTGGATAAAACATTTGAAATTGGGTTGGCGATTTGTTGGGTATCGATTTCATCCTCCCGTTTGTCTGATACCACCTCGTCTCCTTTTTCGACGTGAAGGACATCTTCGATGTGAGAACATTTGAAATTGAGTGCGTATTCCAGGTACCGGAGGGTGTCCATTTCGGGTTCAGTGCATATGCACACGCATATTCCGGGTTTACCGAAACGTCCGGTCCTGCCAGATCTATGTAGGAAAGCCTCCTTTGATGCCGGTAGGTCCATATTTATGATGAGGTCGACGTTATCTATATGTATTCCCCGACTCATCAAATCGGCAGCTATGACGACGTTCCTGTCCTTCTTCTCGGCATTTTCAGCCATTTGCTGTCGTGTGTCAGCGGATTGCCTAGAACTGCTGACGGTACAGGAAAGCCCCAATCTTTCCAGCGTGTTCGCTGTCAGCATCCTCGTGTGGCTTTCGTTGCAGAAGAGTATGCACTTACGGTATTGCAGTTCATCTAACAGCTCTAGGACTACCTGTAGTTTGAGCGATATCTGTTTTACAATATTGGGTGCCTCCGGTACTTGGGTGTAGCAGAACACAACATTCTTGAGTACCGGAGAGTCAAACTTCTCAATTACATCCTTTTCGCCTCCCTTCATCGCCTCCTTAACACTCTGTATATCCTGCAGGCAATCGTTTTCGGTAAAGCAAACGATGCCCTTCGTCGGCAGCTCCACGCGGTTAACATGGCTTGCCGAAACGATCATCTGCTTCGTTTCTCTCGTGAAACCTTTAAGGAAGTCGACAATTGGTTTTAGCGTACGATGTATGCGATACTTGTTCGTGCTAGGGTGCTGCGACGTTGGCTCACTGGCATCATGTGTTAGTAGAGAAGCCTCAGAGTTTGAGCAATCCTCCAGTTCAACAAATTCCACATCCTCGTACGACTCATCTGGCTTATTTAGCTCTTTACATGGTTCGTCGAGTGAACAGTCTATACTCAAATCGCCCTTCTCAACCAACTTTTTCAGTGTGCGATAAACATGATAGCTGAAGGTGCTTTTCAGTACGTCTAAATTTCCTTTCCCAATTTTGGAAAGTGTCGGCAGTAGTCGCCTGTAAAATTCCTCGTCAATGTCGTTGATCACGTCCTCGTAAAGTTTGAATTGGTACTTCACGAAGGTGGCCGACGTGGCTACCACCTGTACAAAGGGATTGACGAGCTTTTTGCAGATGGCTTTTGTCTGCTCCATGAAGTGCTCGTCAATCAGCATGTCTGCCTCGTCCAAGACAACGATATGCGTGTCCCAATACAATACTTTGTCCTGCGTAGCGGAGGCCTTCGACAGTCGTTTGACAAATTTTATGACGTTTATGAGTCTTCCTGGAGTTGCCACCAGGATTTGGGGCGCCCGGTTTATGAAATCGCCTACATCCTTTTGTATGTCCGTACCACCCACATTTAGAGCTGTTTTGATGTCTGGCATTTCCTCTGCCAACTCGTTTAAAGTGCGATTGATTTGCACCGCCAGCTCACGCGTGGGGGCAATAATGACTGCGTTTCCGAAAGTCACTTCCTCCACAGTTTCCTTCCTTTGCATTTCCGAGCTGTCTACCGCCAGTTGCACTGTGTCGGTATCCACTGGCGGGAGTTCGGCATCGACGTGGCCCGCTCCGACAATTTCATTTTTCGCCTGTTCGGTCCCATCATTTGGTCGGTTGTTCACAGTTATATCATCGTCGTGTTTGAGGGAGTAAATTGGCTTCACAATGTCTTCTCCCTCTTGTACTTCGACCGTTGTGTCGCCTTTCCCCGCCCTTGACGTCGTTACCGATTTGCCGGCCACTGAGACCACCGCTCCAATTTTCTTTTCAATTCCAGTGGAAAATTCAATTTCTTCTCTTGTGGGGATCTTTTCCGTCTCTGATTTTATGTCTGGTTCGGCTTTGTGCTCCCTTACTGTTTTAGCGGTCTGCATCTTATCTGCATGCCCATTTGCTGCCCCTATTTTTTCAGCACAGCAGCGCTGCTGCATCATTTGCACCAGCGCTATGCAGAAACTGAGGGTTTTACCCGTGCCCGACTTCGATTGCAGCACCACGTTTTCCCTGTTGAGCATAGCCTGGATGGCGACGTGCTGTTGCCGTGATGGCCGCGTGATGCCCCGCTTTTCCATGGGGTTCCTTATGCGCTGGTCGATTCCTAGCGTGGCGAAATCGCCGTCCGCAACGGAAGGGACCGAGTATAGTTGCCCCATTGTCGTTACCTATCTATTACTGGCGTCGTAATTGACTCCATAACCCGTTGGCCAGGTAACCACTCCTTGAGCGTGCCTCGGGTCACGTAATATAGTAAAATTATGGTCTTCCGGAAGACACCCACTTTGCGAAATGTCCAAGTTGGCCCTGTTTAAGTCGCACATCAAGGGATGTGTTCGTGTTTATGGCCTCCCTCGCTGGGTGTGTCTAAGCGCATGACCCTGAGCCGCGTCGGATCACGGCCGCCAACCGCAAATAGAAGACCGTACGCTTTGGAATCCTCGTGAATACAACACACACCGCTAGTATGCGACGCTGTAACAGCTCCTGTGCCTTCCTGTGAGCGCAGTCTTCCCTGGTGTTGCCAGGTGTTCCGTGGCGCTCCCTTTACCGGTCTCGAAGTTAACTGACGTTGTCTATGGTCCACATTAGTTCACAATTTTACAATACTGATAAAAAGTGTGATGTTTGGAATCTTAATGTAGCCGGGAAACCTGCGAATCTTTCGCGGCATCCAGCCACACCGCGGACCTAGTTAAATTGGGTCGCCCGCTTCTAATTCCAGATCGTACGCCAAAATTGGGTACGATCGCAATTCTACTGGCATCCCGTAAGTTGCGCGAATGCGCTGCGGCGATGCCTGCATACGCGTCGCTGAAGAGAGGCACGTCTGGGTACGTCGGTGTAGGCTCCAGCGCGCCTGCGGGCTCTGGAACCGACTCTAGGCGTGCTGCACTTCTTATATACCTGGGATACACGGTGAACACGTTCGGGTATTGCCTCTTTGCGACGGTAGTGTTCGATTCGTGCACGTGGCTACTGGATAGATCGGAAGCTGCAGGGATATTTCGGCTGCACGGTACCCAGCGCCACATCATTGAGGCCATTTTGACCGGAGTTGTGTCGTTTGTGTGGACTCGATTTTTGACGCAACGTTTCGATGGCGACGTATTCAGCCACGTTCTCTACTGGCGTTACCGGTTGATTAACACCTGGGAGATGCTCTCTCGCTCCCTGGGAGGACTGAGTGCCGGCATTTTGTTCGGATTGTTTTACATGCGACTGTATTATCCAGGGGTTGTTGGGTTACAGTCGGCTAGTGTAGGTAGCAATGGCTTCTCTGTCCCGTCGTTCGCTGACTGCCCCGATTGCAAAACTTTTTCCGAGATGATAGCAGGAAGTTTACCAAAGGCCGCAAATGGATTAGGTATGCTGCGCAATCTTGCGGTTGCGCACCTTCCAACCACAGTCGCATCGTTGGACCTGCTGCGCCGCATCACCACCGCCCTATGCCGCGTGGCCTGGGCGCTTGAGCAATTCATCTTCGAGTTTTGCTTTTGCATGGCCATGTATTTGGTGCTGTCTGTGACGCTGGTAGCTGACCACGTGGTGGACTGCTGTGCGTTGTACATCGTGTACAAGCGTTTGGTAGCCTTCACCGCCAACACCTACCTGCGTGACATCGGAGGGACTATCTGTTTGGACGCATCCGTCTCCGTACGTCGCTTCGTGGCAGACCGGAACATCACGCTGCTGTGTTTGCGCCTGCTGGCTAATTTCGTGGCTGTATTTGCGGCAGAGTGTTTCTTCAACCCGATGCAACGCCTGCGGCACTGCGATTTCGCCGAAATATATGGCAACGTATCCGACTCAAAAAAACAAGCAATGCTACCGAATGGCGGTGCTACTGAGTACGTCACTGCGGATGTGGTGTCGTATGCAGATGTCGGATTCACGCCGCTCCCCGACACGCACCTTGGGCGCTGGCTAGAAAGGTTCGCGTTGCGCCCCGCCAAGTGCAAAGAACAGTGAGGCAAAGGCCCAACTGCTAAATATACAATTTGTGCTGCTTTAATGCGGCAATTCCACATTGCGGTTACTAATGTAGTGATGTACCAATTTGCTTAAATGGTTTTTATCGCGCCCGCATGTCTGTTGCCAGTTTACATGATGGGTAACTGGCGACCTTCAGCCGACGCCTTTATGCACCGCGTAAAACTGCTCTCAGGAATGGATGGAGTGACTGACTAATGAGCATTTGCGTTCAAATCTGTGTAACTGGGTATCACTTGAGACATCGCAAAGAGCTCACGATATGTGGTGAGAAGTGCATACGATATTTAATTGAGGATTATGCAGTGTTCTGCGCCTTTTTATGGCGTGTTTAGTGGCATGTTGTCCTGCTCTGTGAACTTTGATGCCAACTTAGCATCACTTGGTTCCATCGACTTGTTATTCGAACTAGACATGCTGCCTGTGTTTGAGGTGTTCGTATGATGCCTGCACATGGCACCCATCCATACCATTTCCAGATGCTCTTTATGCGGGATATCCGTCCCAAGAGTGTATTTCTCGATCAATGGCTGAAGGCAGTGATCTCCTATTGCCATGCGAGCGCTACACAGTAGTCTTCGGTATATCCTGTGGTTCTGGTTGTTTGGTAGTCACGCGCACCCTAAGCCCGTCGATCTCTCCCTGCTAGGGTTGAATGCCCTGAAGCTATCACCCACCTTGTCCATGTGCTGGATGGCGGATTCCACAGCCTCGGTGGACTGGTATGCGATTTTTGCGATTCTGGCCGCTCCATCCGGCTGCAAGATCTTAATTACACAACACAACGCTTACCGTATCAATAGACGCTATTTCTATGGCGCCGACCGAGCCGAAGTTGCCCATAATCTCCCGCAGGTGGTCTTCGGACACGTTCGGCGACACGGGCGCTACATACACAGCAGTTTCCTCCACTGAGTTTATGTCTGACATTGTGCGTAAAAATAGAATGTGTTGGAGATGCTGCTATAAGACGCCCGTGTGTGTAGGCGTGATGACCGTGTTTAAAAATTACGGCAACACCAGTTGCCAGATGTGTTTTTAAAAAATTATGGTATATCTAAGCGCTTGTAGCCAACACAGCTGGCTTGGCAGCGCCAGTAACAGGTCGGAATGGTTCTCGCCTTCGCCTGAAGAGAAGCCCGTACACAGCAAACACCAGACACACGCAGTTGCTCCTAAAGTTGTTGAGCCTGCACAGCTTCTACAGTCAACTGCCCTAGGAGACTTACCGGCGCATCTGGCTCATCCTCACGAAAAAGAAGACAAACAGCTGCTGGAGCGTGTCGAACGCGCCCAGGCACCGGCACGCTATCGAAATATCATTAGGGACGATGTTTGATAGCGAAACTCCCAGGTGGAGCAAGATGGAGGCCGTTGCAACCAGCAGCCGACCATATACCTGGGCGTCAGCTACTTTGCCCAGAGCAAAGGTCAGGCTGCGTCTCTGCGAAAGTGGCCGTTTCCCCTCCATGTGGTCAGACATTTTTACGTGTGCGCTCAGAGCGGCGCCTCTGGCGCAGCTTCAGAACTGACGAGCGTGCTCCCGCCGACTAGGCAGAGCCGCGAGCACCACTTGGCCGCCGCGAGTTTTCCGTGAGAGTGCTCTCGCAGCCGTCAAAGCGGAACGGCGACATCTATGCACCTTGTAGCCGTCCAATGGTAAAAAAAAATAGTATTTGTAACACAGAGCACCCAAAATGTTCAGAGGTGGCTCTAGGTTGCTCCAGCCTTACGCTTGGCAAAAACCTGCGGCAGCATGATGGCTATATATACCGTAACTCACTGCACACAGCACGGGGAAGTTCTCCTCTTTGTGTTCTGCGTCGTCTCTCCTGCGCAGCTATGCTTTGTTGTTAATGGCACCTACCTGGCGACAGCCACGTTGCCATGTCTAGACCAGAGAGCAGACACGGTTTTGGTTGGCTGCAGGAAGTGCGCCTCGCGGACAGTGCCGATGTCCTTGACCTCCAGCTGTTTGAGAGCCTCGCTGGTACGATTGTATCTGTTGGCAATGGCCCCGAGTTTGAGGCCTGCTCTGCGGCTTATACCGTGGTACCTGTAGCCCGCCGATCCAGCGTCGCCTTTTCGGTTTGCACTTTCGTCTTTCGCGCTGCTAATGCTGCCACTGTGTCCGGGCGAACGGAAAAGCGACTGGTCGCTGGCGTTGGAAATGGACCGATTCATGGCGTAGCCGTACGCCTCAGTTGGGAGGTCGAATTGGTCGTCCTGTTTTTGCATAACTCGGGATATCATCCGAACTCTGTTGGCCGCCCTAGTCAGGATGTTAATCTTGTTTTCCGGTGTCCACTCCAGCTTCTTTGTTTTGTCTGCACCAGGGGTTGCCTTTGCTTCCCTTCCAGCTTCTGGCACGTCTTTACGCGACTGTATAGGCGCCTTCAGCGGCGACTTGACTGCTGGGTGTGTATCTATTTCAGTAGAGTCTGCAGCGGCAGTTCCGGACGTTCCTTTGAACGCGATTTTAGTTGTAATGCCTGCCGGCTTCTTTGCCGTCATCACCTGCTTTGCCTTCGGGGGAGGCATCAGATTGCTCCGGTCGAACATGCTCTTAGATGCTGCGCGAAGCAGCTCAATTTCCGCCGTCGCTGCATTTGTGGCCGTACGTTCCCTGATTTCCGCACCTGTGTGGCCGCTCTTACTATGCTGCTCTGAGGGCGCAGTTGGCGCGACCACTTGTTGCTGCTTAGTAGCACTCTCCACGATCACGTGGGATACCGCTGATTTCACAGCACCGGAAGCTAGTGAACCGGTACTCAAATTTGCATTCGCAGATGAATCGCCAGTCTTCCGTTCCGTTTCCGTGTTATCGAGGTATGCAGTAAAGGAGTCACTCGATGCCAAGTCGAGCATGATCTCGCTGACGATATTATCGAACCGATTCTTCATTTGGGGCCTGCACTTTGGCAATTGGGAGCCCTGGCTGCTGACACTGCCGGGAGCGCCAAGCTCAACTTTAGCATCCTTCCGAGGTACTGGTGGCGCGGCTCCGGCGCCCACGTTCTGATCCGTGCTTTTCTCATCTCGCGTTATCAAGCGTGTGGATAATGCTTTCGATAGCGCAGGAGGGCACTTTCCCACAGTGATTCTAACAGGTGGTGCTGGTGTTTTAGGCTTGGCATGCGCAACAACGGCTTTCGGCGCTCCCAATCCCACAGTGATCAGAGGCGGCCCGCTCTTGCCCGCCTTGCCAATCTTCACGATTGGCTTCGCGACACTGGTTGTGCTGCTCGTATCACCGTAGATCGTTGCCGTCTTGAGGGCAGCAAGCTGCTTGACACTGGTCGGCGGCCCCTTACCGACTAAAATGCACTTACTACCGGACGACATTTTCGCATTCAATTTCAGCACTCATGCAAAAACAACTGCAGTAATGCACTGTCACGGAGTTCGTACTGTGCAAGCTCAATGGATGAGGCGGTCGTGAACAACGCTGAGTTTCGGACAGTCCTTGAATCGCATGGCGGTAGTCTCTAAACGCCCTTGTCTCCTGCGTCCATGTAAACTACTAATACCATTAAAACCGCATTATGATGACTTTGATGTGTTAGCGCTCTCTTCCGCTTCGAAGCTTATGTTGTCTGCGATTCCGATGTGTAACCGATTTTCGCATCCAACAACACATTATCCACCTAAATGCGTAGCATTTACCATTTAGCTCATATTCTGGGTAATAAATAGGTAGTTAGACAGAACCTATTTAACATTTTCTTCTGATGTGTATATGACTGCTTCCACGTCACGTTGCCGCAGCACATATTCCGAACAGTTCCGCAACATTTTCTTCAATGTGTTACCACTTTACTACTTCCGTTAAGATGTGAAATTCATAGCCAAAGGTTTTACCGTAAATGTTACCCGGGCTCTGTTTTGTTCGCGGAATTATATACGTATGTAGTCGCGGCTGAGCATAGTATAGCCGCGCTGACGGTGATTTCGTGGATCTTGACAAAACACAGTGATTGGTGATTGATTAATCCCAATATGGCTGCTATACTGCGTTACGGGGGCCATATGCGCTTTCCCGGCGCCATTGTTGCGGAACACGTTGCATCCCCGGGCACTACGTGGTTTGCGCTGGCGCAACGCATGGGTAAGAAGAAGCGACGCAAGGTTGAGAAGGTGACTAAGTCGAAGGAACAGATAGAGTGCGCCACAAGGTTGGTAAATCAGACCGTAGTCGCCGCGACTGCCTCTACGTGCATTGTCCACATGTAGCTAATGCTTTTCAGTGACGTGATACGCCTTCACGACCGCGTGGGCGTGCCGGAGACCGCGCATTCTATGGCCCAGACAATCCGCAAGAATGTGAGGGGTGTCCAACAAGGGATTGTGACACGCAAGCACATTGCCAGGATGCTGCAGTATCGCGTATGTGGAGTTCGGCAACCGTTCATTTTTCGCAGATGGCGCAGGCCACCGGGCTCACGCACGACTCGCCGCCACGTAACGCTCCCGATGCGTTCGTCACCCCGCTGACTAGGTTGCAGCATGAGGCGCAGTTACCGACCATGTTTGGTGCGTTGTCTGCTGCTACACATTTATCGCCGCTACAGATCAACCTCGTCACGATTTTCCGCACGTTCTAAGATACACTGTGGACTGGTTGGCGGAAGCTTCCCCCGGGGAGCACGAGAAGCTGACGAAGGTCACGTTATCGTTTAACATGCACGACCTTGGCCTGTCCGAAATGTAAGTTGCAGTACAGCGTTTTATCTTTAAGATGTACTTTTAACCGCCACTGTATCATCCTAAAATCGTGTAGGCAGCTGCGTAAAATGAAGGAAATTCTAGGCCCCGACAACTACGACGAGGCCAGTGGCGTGGCCATTCTGCAGGGTGACATCTTTGAGACCCTCAACCACAACGCGCACTACCTTGGTAAGCGAAAAACATGCAAAGCGGCACATATTTTACTAGGCGATATTACTGAACGTTTGATGCGCGCCGTGAGGGAGTGAGTGCTGATGAGGGTTTCCATGTACATCCCTCCCCTGACATCGCAAACCGCAATCTAACTTATCTTAACTTATTATTACGCCTTTTGTTTCCCAGCAAGTTCGGAGTTCCCCAGCCTGTACGCAAAAAGGCTCAGCATGGCGTCGTTCTCGTATTCGAGTGCTTTCATCATGTGCTGCACTTGAAGCAACTGGTCGTCCGGGATCTTTGCAGTGACCATCTCCTTGGAGAGGGCGTCAAGTAGCTTGTTGTGCCTATATCCGAATCTGCGGCAACATGTTGACGACCATTGACATCACTCACCTGGCGTAAGAGGCGATTATTTTGACCAGGAACCCTGGAGGGATCAGCATCTCCTTCGACCCCATCTGGGTGACTAGGTCAGCGGCAACGGCCTCGAAAAGTTCCTTGTGGGCGTGGTCGCATTTCGCGAATGCGCCCACAAGGTGCGTGTACGACGTAATCTTGGACAGCGCACGATTCTTCACTGGCCCGTCGGTCTCTTCCTCAGGTGCGTCACTCGGTGTACTCACGGTGCCATGTCCCTCCTGCAGCTTCTCCCGCCTGAGGCGCGTGGTGACCACATCGGCTATCCTATCAAACATGGCAGTGTGCCGGTATTGGTAGTAGGCAAAGCTAAGTGCGAGCTTGCTGAGGTCCTCTAGGGAGAGTCGCTCTAGGTGGTAGAGGAGCTGTCTAGTGGCCAGGTTCAGCAGGCCACCCTGTCTGACTTTGATTCGCTTGAATATGTGAACCAGCTCGACCCACTGCCTGGGATGGAAGTGGTCGCTGAGTTCGACAGTGCGTTGGTAGAGATCCTGCCACAACTTGGTGTCGAATACCTGGCAGCGCAGCCCCTTTCGGGCTACAAACAGCACCTGATTCGGGGTGTTGATGGTCGGAGAACCGTTCTTTACGCCCTTGGAACCATCGTACGATCCGGGATCAGCCGGTTCAGCGCTGTCTACTGCCTCGGCATGCTCCCCGTACAGGTTGCTCAGCGGCACCCATCCCGGGTGCGTAGCGTCATCGCCAGGAAGGCAGGTTCTGAAAACCCGCCCTGTTGTCGAAGCCGCTCTGCTACCGACCGGAAGGAGGCACACATGCCTGCTTAGTGACAACCATGGGTGTGGCAGAGCCAGTTGGAATGTGTAGAGGCTCGTCCGTGACATTCGACATCCACCGACTGATCGAGATGCGACGGATACTCCAGTAACTTATGCGCATGAATGAACGCTGTTCCTCATGTCTGTTATGCTACATTTGTGAATTGCGTTGCGGCCTTCTTTGGGTGATCATTGATTAGACCCTCCCCTGTGGGCTTTGGGCCATTTGGCGGGTGCACAGACGGCGATTGGCGCAGCGAAGTTAATAATTTTCGGCGTTTACGACCGCTTCACGTCTGATCACGTGCTGTACTGCCGCCCTTTTCGGCTCACCCATTTTTTTCAGAGTCCCGGGCAGACGTACACAACCGTCTCTGTGCCATCCTGGCAGCGGCGCAGCGCCGTCACGAGTACAGCCAGCGGAATTCTTTGGCACATAAGTGATGTGTATTAATAATGCATAAAGGATTGAGGTGTTTGTTGGCCTCGGCCTCGCGTGCCGCCACGGCGCAGCGCGCGTTGCGCTGCAGCCATTTCAGCAGCGTGGCGAAGCGCCCAGAGAACCCCCGTGTGTTCGAAAACCCCGCTGATTTCAAGCCTTACGTTCTGGGACTCCGCTACACGGAGTTTACCAACAAGCTGGAGCTGATCGAGGACTCGCCGGTGATTCCGATCTTCCAGGTTATGGACGTCGATGGCAACCTCATCGGCGACTGGAAGAACCCTTTTCCCTCCAACGATGATGTATTGGAGCACTACAAGACTATGGTTCGGTTGTCGATATGGGACAACCTATTCTACAACATCCAGCGCCAAGGTTGGTGTGACCGCTGTTCTGTGGCACATGCTTGCAGGTCGCATATCGTTTTACATCCAAAACCAGGGTGAAGAAGCCATGCAGATAGGCTGCGGTTTGGCGCTAAAGCACGAAGACCACGTATTCGGTCAATACAGGTGCGTATTCCACATGGTAATGTGTCATGTCATCCAGGGAACTCGGTGTGCTGTACTGCAAGGGCTTCACTGAGGTGGACGCTCTCAACCAGTTGTTCGCCAACAAAGGCGATGAGGGAAAGGGGCGCCAGATGCCCATATCGTACTCCAAGAAGGAGTGCAACATCCACGCGATATGTACCCCGCTGACTTCCCAGCTGCCACATGCGGCAGGTGCGGGGTACGCACTCAAGCTTCAGAAGGCCGCGGCCTGCGCGGTAGGATTCTTTGGTGAGGGAGCTGCCTCCGAGGGAGATTTCCATGCTGCGATGAACATGGCAGCGGTGCGTCAGTCCCAGACCATCTTCGCTTGCCGTAACAACGGTTACGCCATCTCCACGCCCGTATGTGACCAGTATTACGGCGACGGTATTGCGATCCGCGGCGTTGCATACGGTATGCCTACCATCCGGTAAGTCGCCATGGACCTTGTTTACTCACTGTAATGCAGCGTTGACGGCAACGACTTTTTTGCGTCGTACATTGCAACCAAGCACGCCCGTGAGCACTGCGTGACGCGCTCGACGCCCATTTGCATTGAGTACATGACGTATCGTCTGGGACACCACAGCACGTCGGACGAGTCGTCGCAGTATCGCGGTCCCGGCGAGTTCGAGGTGTGGACCGCCGGCGGTAACAACGGTATCAACCGTGTGCGCAAATACCTAGAGCTTAACGGCCTTTGGGATGAAGAACGCGACGAAGCGTTGCGTAAGGAGGCACGCAGCTACATGCTGAAGAAGATCCGTGAGGTGGAGGTTGTGAAGCACGTGGATTTGTCGTCCGGCATTTTCGACGACGTATACGACAAGCCCCATCCACTGTTGGAGGAGCAGCGTGAAAAATTCATTGAGCACGTGGCTCGTTACGGCGACAAGTACAATGTTGAGCGCTACGAGACAAGGTGAATGTCGGCGGCCTTTCAACCGACATCATGTGCATTCATGCAATCTTTTATTTTAATCGGTGCCCGTTGTATGACAACGTGCGTATACTACCAAAGACATGTGAAATAATGCAGAATTGGGTTAAACAATATTTGTTGTCGTATTGTTATGACGGACGAATGCGTCGACGGTAGGTGACACGACGGGCGGACCCAATACGGGACAACCTAACTTTCCCGGAATTAACCAAACCCAACGTATTTCGCGTACACGACCGGCCTCAAACACGATTGTGCTGCCGTGGTCCGCAACGTGCTGCGACCTGAGCTCGGCGAAAAATTTTTTTTGTGAGGAAAGTGAGTTTATATGCAATGTTGTAATGCGCGATTGTCATACGCCAAGAAGCGCTAGAGACAAAATTACGACGTACACTTAAAGAAAACAAATTAGGTTATTTGCTCAAGACGGTAGAAGAAGCACTTGTATTCTTAATTGTGACCGCCGTGCTAATAACGATCAGGTCCCGCGAGAGACCGCAGCTTCTGCAACATGCTGGTGGCTACTCATCAGGAGTTTTCAACCCTTTATGGGTATCTGCAAATACCACTAACATCTTTAGCTTCAATATGCGATATGCCCATCTGAAATGTATGTAGACAGTGACTCGCGCACTGCATGTCACATTAGTTGTGTGAAGTTGGCTGCTATACGGAAGCTCGGCTGTCATAGTGCCTTCTAGTTCCGCCTATTTGGTGTATACGCGACTTTGCACATTTCAGTTAGGTGCCTCCGTCCTAGAAGGAAATAGCGCCGCTTTGGTGATCCGTCATTAAGAAACAGCTGCTTAATTGCGATTGATCTTTGTAAACAGGCCTAAAAATTGACCGGAAATACATACATTTATAACTGTCGGCTAACTTGACGAATGCTTGCAAAATGGAATACCATTCGTTGAGAAGGATCCCCCGTGACTTCAGGGAGGGTGTTGACTGGTTGATAGCGCTGAAGGGAACTTATCCTGAATTGACCATGCAGGCTTTGTCTGACGCAATTCACCGTTTGCTCGTAGACAAGCCTGTTGGCTTCACGGAGTTGCCATGCCTCGAGAAGGTAAAGCATATTTCGCAGCAGTTCTTGGAGCAAAAGGAATTTAAGGGCGACCCCTTCGTGGAAATGCTTCTGAAAAGATACAATACACCCATGGATAAACAACCTATGGGACTCTCTAAAACCTTAGGATTCTACCTAGAAAGCGATTACAAGAACATCATAGAGGCCCATGGTGTTAGACCTGAGAGCATCGCAAGGAGCCTAGGTAGAGTTGTGCGCGGCTATGAGAAGTTTTTGGAAGATATCAAGCACCCTGATCACTATAGGCCTACCTACAGTTCAAGGGCGACGTGGGATGCGTCATGCGCGAAGGACCCGGAAGCTTGCGCAATCATTTTCGTCGGAATTGCGCCAATGCTATTCACAGGTCTGCTTTATTTGCAGGAAACAAGCGTAGACGCAATTAGAGGAGGACGCCATTCTGAGGAGGAGCAGGAGTTGGGATCTGTGCTTACAACTCTGGGTTACTTAAAACCTGAACGCAGCGAAAAAATGAGCGGTTTAGCTGTCCGCACGGCGTTACGCGATTTGGGTGACGATGCATTGAACATCCTCTACGACCTCGCTGGATTCTGGGCTTTCTATTGAGCAGGTATCGCAGGTGAACTCTGCGAGCCTCTCAGCGACGACTTTCCTTCCGCATCACCAGTCAGAAGCCGCCACACAAATTGTCACTAAACATTTCTATTCTACGAAATGTATTAGTAGCCATCTTTATGCCTAGTATCTTCATGAAGAATACTGATGCCCTCCAATGAGGGCAAAAACAGCTTTAAACTTATATGTAATCTTGTTCATGGCGCACCTTCGGAGGTTTGCGTTTAATCATCATACGCTATCATTGTTTTGTCACCTACTAATACCATATATGGTTTTTAATTGTTGTTCACGGTGCAGCATGAAACTGTCAGGTAGCGGGGAAAATCGCTAGGCTGCATAGACTTTTAGGGATCTGATGGCCGAGAAAATTCGAAGCACCACATATTATTAGTGTCTTATAAATAAAATATGAGATCACAAAATATTTTAATCCATCCGCAATAGATCGTAGACGCAACTAATTCCACCCTGGTAAATTCGTTGGTTTTTCGAAATTATATACTCCCATTGCAATCGATACTATTCAATATTGCATGGAATAATACTGTTATAGACAATTTCACTGCTGTCATTCTGGAGATCCGGTTCCGTGGTTCAAGTTAATAGCAATGACGTCTGCTCGCTACCGTGGACGGCGAAATGTTGCCTTTGTATTCTGGATTTCCATAACTGCAATAACCGGCGTATTTGCGACTATTCCAGGTGACTGTGACCATTCTTACAGTGTGTCGTCACAGGACAAGGGCTTTGCATTCTATGCCGATAATCCGGATTGTTACAGGAATGTCAAGCTCTTCCCAATCCTATCTAGGCATGTTGAGCAAATTGCTAAAGATTTGTCTGTCATCTCATCAGCAATACCCGAATCTAAATATTCGCCCGAAAATAAAGAAGCAGTGGAAGAAGAGTGTCATCAACTTATGACTTATTTTGAAAGCATGAAATTTGACGCTAAGGAGTACGTGGAGCTAGGAAAGATGTTTGATGAGCGCCGTGCCATAATCAGAGAACTTCAAAAAGAAGATATAACACCATTGAGGTCGGCGGAACTTGATGAAGCTATGGCAAATCTAGAATACAAGTTTGAGGGTAAGGAGCCGTTCGCATCCAACATACTAGAATTTGACATTGTTGGACATTATATAATCAAGATAGAAGAAGCGGAAGAGTTCGTTCGTAAACACAAGATTCATACACAACCTGCGTGCAAATCTGTGAAACGTGCACGCAGCTATGCATCAAAGGGTAAGAGGCGCGCTGTCTCTCAGGTCTTCGAACAACCCCCATGGGTGATACAGGAACGGTGCCGTCAAAGTTAGTCGAACCGCTAGACCATTCGAGGAGAGTCTGACTCCAAAAATAAGCAATCGAAAAGAAGGTGAATAGAAGTAATTTTATGTCTACAAGAAGTAGAAGATATCTCAACAATATGCGTGCAATAAAGGAAAACGTGCCCACAAGAACTTATATAATGGGGTTAGTGCTGCTGAGATAATTGCGGCACTACATCCATTCGAGGTAGCCTCAAAATGCACTCAAGTTTGAGCATCTGGGCTTTATGGTTTGGACTTATTTGGGTATGGCGCGATAGATGATCACGTGTGGGATAGCGGGTGTCACTTCCAGGACGGATGCACTACATTGAAGCTACAAAGTTGATGCGATAGTAATATTCTAAGTGAACAAAACGAAGTTATGAGAGGTTATTGGAGCTGAGACCTGCATGGTTCCTTGAAACAAGGGAAGATACGGCGAATTGTTTATCCGATGATGTGTACTTGAGCCACCATATGGCAGCAACGAAGACAATTACGGTGAATACAAAAGTCCCAATCATGGCGCCTCCAATATCCCATCCCGACATTTTCCCCAGCAGCTCACTTCACGAACAACCCTGCACGACGATGAACAACTGACGGGATGTCTGATTTTGCAGTATAGCTATTGAACGTATTTGATCCTGTCGTTAATGCTCCACAGAAAATTATCTCTCGCTATTAGCCGATGGTATGGTTGCCTTAGTAGGGTAACATAAACCTACCCTTCAAGCAGCGCACCACCAAGATACCACGTCGCCGCATGTAAACAGGGATCTAGTCGTAACCAGGAAGCGCGTGTGTGTAACTGCATCGAGATACCAAATCTAGATTGGCAACTGCAACTCCACATCCTGCGCCTTGATAAGCATCTCCCTGGTGCTCTAAACTTCCGCATGGATTAATGCGTTGTAGTAGTGATCCTCAACGTTAAACATCTGTTTAGTGCCAAAACCCTAGCACATTTTCTTTGCTGTATCCATTAATCACATGTAACAACCTGCTTCATCCCTGCGCTAATTTGCATCTCTTTACTCCGCATACCAGGAGCACGAGTGCACCTCAAATACCATCACCGCATGCTCACAAATGTCACCATCAGCCAACCTTAAGACTCCGCAGCACGCGTAATATCATACATCAGCATTGTTGCAGCCGCAAGCTCGCCCTGTGGGTATCATCAAGGCCCGTCTCCTTTTCTCACCTCAACCCAACATTATCGTTAATGGAGGTTGGCAATCAAGATTTATCTGTATAGTTTATAAAAACAAATTGATACTAACATCGTTATATGTGCAATACTTATTCATAGCGTTCATTGGCGCACCTAGCGTAAAGTTTACCTAGGTAAAGGTCACACTGCACTGATGTACTGGATCACCAATCCAGAACGCAAATTTTGCACCGTGCGTCCGCATCTCGCCATTAAGATTCATTGATTACATCACCGCCAATATGCACAGGATTATAATGTTAGGTTGCGCAGTTTGTTCGTCAAACCCTCTACCGTTTCTACAATCCCATCGATGGCGGTGGGTGGCTACATGACCGTCGAACTCTACTGTCGCTGAATTAATTCACACAGCATATCTACGCCGTTCTTATATCTATGCATTTCGATCTCTAGTAGCGTAACTCAGCAAACTTATGTGAGCGCAATGGTTCATTGCTTGTACCAGCTGGACTGAGCTTGTCTCGACATAGGCGCTCACTCAAAGATGCCCATTTGTACAGTATGAGGCATAATTTGGCAGTTGGTAACAGACGATTTAGAAGTAGCATTGTAGCAGCTGATGGGTGTGTTTCTGACTGTAGATGTGATATTCTCGAATGCATCTCACTTTGAGTCCCGCTGATGTAACTGTTGCATTGAAGAGTGACACGAGGAAATGATCGTTTGCCGGTTTAAAACGTGAAACTATTGAGGAGATAATGAGGTTGGATGCGCCAGAAATGGCAACTGGCGGTGCCTTCCTAAAGGCGTGGTGGCAACATTCCACTGACGACCGCAGCATGCCGACTTAGAAAATTGATTGCAGGGCCCTGCAGATCAACTTTAAAGAGCTTTATGAACCCCTAATACTTCTCGCATGGTCAACACTTTTCATGGCCTTCTTGCTTGGTTTGTCATCCGGTCTGTGGTGATTGCAACAGAGGAAACCTATTGTTGAGGTGAGGCTACATTAGGATTACATACCCGTAAACCCTTTAATGTGCCTTTTTAAGTGGAATAAAAGGTAGCAATGCTGAAACATGCAGTTGAACTGTGGGATAGAATCATTGGAGAATACACCATTGCAACTGTAAAGGTTAATCCAACTGGGACACTTTGCCTGGTGTCTTCTGGGGCGATAATTGGGCGTTTATCAACGTATCAACGACAAGGAATCCACAATTTATCCGCGGATTCATGCTCTTACAATTGCAGGAATCAATGTAGTAACACAGCCTGTTACCTCAACCATGTATTACGTATCATTTCTACCGCGCGTCGAGAAAACAAGGTAGTCATGGGACCATTGGAGGTTACCGATCGTGTTTCTGACGAACGTATTGTGCCATTGTATGACGTATGAAATCAATAATTGTTTTGTTACGAGTTTTGCAGAAGGCAGGGTGGAGTGGCGTTGTCGTTTTTTGAGGGGCGCCTATTTGTCGCTAGACACAGCGTTTGAAACAACACACTGAAGCCAAAGTGTACGCTGACTACATGGTTATAATAGGTGCACTTGGGATGGGCATGAGTTGGGGAGGGCGGTCATGAGGCTACACACTCTAGACACGGCTTAGTTTACCAGAGGAGGATGCTACTGGAGCGCCATGCATTACCTTAAAGGCTAATAGAATGACTTTGAGCAACGATAGAGCTAATGATATAGCTATTTAGAAGGTTGTGTCAGGCACCACTATCTCTATTGGGTATTTTGGGGTGACAGTGGGCTCTGCGTTTGATATTTAAGAAGCGACGAAATCTTCTGTCGCCTCGCCTTATGAGAACTGTTGTATCGATCAAGGTACCGGGAATATCGATTCAACTTGGGATGCATTTTTGCAGGAAACATGCGAAGATGCGCCAACTAATTGCTAGTTGGGGAAAATTCATGAGATACAAAAAACCCGGGAACTACGATACAAGCTTGGACTAATGTGCCGATCTATATTCGTCCGTATGACATTATTTATTGTTTAGTTGTTTCATTGTATTGCGTGATTATTTGGTCAAGATGGCGATCCATCCCCCTCTGGATACACTTAAAAATATCTTTGCCTTCATGGAAGCATTCAACGGTAAGCCGCGGAAAATAAATAGTCTAGTTGATGGACTGATGCCTCGGTTCTTACGGTATTACGAAGATAAAAAGGGTAAATTGCGACCGCGCCTGAAGGTAGCATTAGCCAATTTCTTCAAACATGTGTCAATACTTCGTGGCACATTATTCCGTTCCATAAAGCCGAATAATCACGATAAATACCCTTGGAATATTATTGTGGATGTCCTTTTAGAATGTATTCCTAGGTTTGATGCTGCACTTCATTATCTACTCTATCGCGTTGACAGTGCATATAAAGATGTTGGAGGCGGGGACTGGGCGGAGATATCCTTGCATTCCGGTGATCTTCAAAAGTTTTTTACTACTAACAATGGCATTATAAACGGTGGCTTCCAACCCCAAGAATTAAATATTTTCCTGGGTAAAGATTTAGTAAATCCCTTAAAAGAGGTTGTACAAAAAATCAGACCTAGTAAAGGTAGACAAAAAGAACAAGCAACGCAAGATTACTTTCGAGACGCTTTCTTAACAACGCTACAACGGCCCTGGGAATTTGTGCAAACCGGGAATGTATTGCTTCTGGTTTATACGCTCTGCCGAGTGGTGTTGGAGGAATCGCATATTGGTGGTACGGTTAAAAAAGCATTTGATGCCGAGTTCAAAAAACAGAGTAAATGTTTGGATTGGGATACTTTGTATCACCACTGTAAAATTCTTAATGACCATTTTAATGTATTGTTTGATGATGACGATCCAAATAATGGAGGGCTTGCCTTCATCGGTAGGACGTTTAGTATGCCCAAAATGGAGGTATTCGTAAGTGAGGATTTTAGAAAGTGTCTGATAAACGCAACAACAGTACTGAGTAAAATGATACCTCAGTCAATCCATTCGGACTTACGTAAACTGCGTGATTATGCGAAAGATCATCTCTATCCTAACGGGTTCACTTTCCACGGGAATAAGCAACGCGCATGGAAAAAGATGACGCAGGAGAAGATGTGGACTGGTGCATTTCAAATTTTTCTCAGCCTTGATGAAAAGCTGATTGAACTTAAACGACTTTTGGAAGGTGGGCGATGTACCAGTGGTCAACTAACAAAAGGACCTGTGGTTCCGGTTCCGGAAGCACCCAAAGAAGTTATACCTGAGCTTAAAGTACCGGTTGTACCACCTAAAAAACCAGAGGTCCCGCCTGCCAAGGTCCCCGAAGTTCCTAAACGTCCTGCCGATGTGGCGCATCAGAACACAAAAACTGAGGCTGCCAAACCTGTGCCCACTAAAACCGAGACACCAAAACCCGTGGAAAATATGACAGCTCGTGATCCACGTCCATCAGATCCTCCTACAACGCAACAAAGTATGCCGGGGCCTGCTACGACGCCCTCGATACCTGGCGGATTTGCGACTCCACCCAAGCCTTCCAGCTCCAACATTCCAAGCTCTCCACAGCCTTCTCATCTTCCAGTTTCACCGACTACAAGTGTTGTTCACCATTCCCCTAACGAAGACCCTACACATCAGCAAGGGCCTGTAGGTAGGATTTCTCCCACCCTTCAAGTTTCGTCGCCTGAGAACGTTTTGCCTTCACCTCCAGGAGATCAAGCCCCGCAAGGGCCTAAAACTCAAAAGGATTCTGCAAGCTCACGTGGAAGTCCCGACCAGCATAGTAAAACAAGTGTCGAAGATGACAGTTTAATGGGCAAGGATTCTGGTCAACGCCCTGGTACCTCTCAAGACCCTGCGCATGCACCAGACCGAAGTGTTACAGGGCCGTCCCCTGCTACATCTGTTGCCTCTTCAACCGACGGTAGTCCGGGCAAGAGTACCGGTGCATCCCCGTCCATACCTACCAAACAAGTTAGTCAAGGACCTCTGGTTGATAAAGGTGGTATCAATACTACCGCATCTACTTCCCACACTTCTGGCCAAGTTCCCAGTAGAAGTGCTGGAGCAGGTGGTGGGTCAGAAGGCGTGACGGGTGAGAGGGGTAATGATGAACAAACTACTCCATCTCTGCATACTACAGATCAAGAATCGGGCGGCACTTCCGGAGTTTTGTCTCTTCCTGCGCAGCCAACAGACTCTATTACCACGGACTCTTCCGAGCCTCCAGATTCATCCGTTCTAACAGCGGATCAGAGGCAACGGGATAATGCCCAAGGTCAGCCAAGGCCTGCCGGCTCCACCCATCCCAGCAGCCCTGCACCATCTAATGTCCCCGGTAACTCATCTGCCCAGGTACCGGGTTCAACGCCCAGCAATTCTCCAATTCGAAAACCAAATGCGTCTCTGGACATTGTAAATTCTGAGACTCCAAGTGATTCACCTTTTGAGCCTTCATCGTCTGGTGACCTTCCGGACGTTGCTCATGATCTGGACGGCCAGGAGTCTTCTCCCATCCCTACTCAACCAATTGCTCAAGCCCCCCATACAGTTTCACGTGGAGCCCAAGGTCCATCGTCTACGATGCCCGATACGGAGGAAACTGATTCAAGTGGTGTTACAGGTACAGCTGACCCGGTGTCTTCCGTCACTAATACAACAAATGGTCGAGTCCAACAGACCCTTCCAGAAGCCGGGATAGACGTGCCTGCCTATAAAGACACCTCCAACACTTCTGATCAAGCTGTAAATGGAGAGGATGGAGGGGATATTGAAGGGCAGAGATCAAATGCTGTTCAGAATCCACCCCCGCATATTCCCCCAATTACTGCTCCAGCCCCTGCCCTGCCTGGCCCGGGCCCTAATAACCAGCGCACGGTTTCACAGGACGAAGATACTTCTACTTCAATGCATGTTAACCCCGAGGGCTCTGCGCATACTCCAAGTCATGATGTTAAACCTTCGGATTCTCTGTCATCTGGTGTCCATAAGCCTGGTAGTGGTAAGCATCCAGTTGGCGCGTCTTCTCCCAACTCTGATCACCAAGATGACCGAAACGTCCATGGGTATCAAAGATACCCTGCTATGGCATCCTCTGCACCAGATAATGCCTCAGGTGGCAGTGGAGCCGATGGTGAGGAGTCAAAGAAAAGTGTCGTCGTCCGACAGCATGGCACATCTTCAAATGTTGTGAACAATCCGAATCAGGATACTCCAGATTCAGTGCCCGTGCCACCTGATGTCCCTCTTCCAGACGGTGGTCAGGATCACCATGACCAGGTGACTTCCTCCTCACCTCAACAAAATCCTCAAGGCCCCCATACCGTTCAAGACACAAACCATGTTGCCACTAGTATGGAACCCCATGATAAAATATCTGATCAACAGAGCGGCGTAACTCAAGTAGGGGGTGCGGGCCATGTTGGTGGTCAGCATGCTCAGAGTGAAACGTCATCCCCTAAACATGAAGAATCGGCGGATGTGAAGGATTATATACATCGACCTCTCATACTATCTAGAAGTTACGATGAACAACAGGAATCGACTGGTGCAACACGTATCACCGATAACCCTGGACGCCCCGACCCCATTGGTAATCCAGCTGAACCAGTCGCTGAGTCACCGTCCGCTCTTCCTAAACCTGCCAATGATTATTCAAGTACACTGACAGCCAAAAACCCAGCTAAATCTCAAAGGACGGTTGCTGCACCGAGCACGGATGTTTCAAAGTCAGGCTCTGGATTACCTAGTGTCTCCGTTAATCGTGTCGGTAATGGTCAGGGTGCCGATTCAATTCAGGACCTAGGCCGAAAACTTCAGCCGCATTATATCCCCACAACATCAACTGTTGGCGATGATGTATCCACCAGCAGTGATTTTTCTCCTGCTGATGCAAATTTGGTGACAAGTAAGGATAAGAATCAATCGTCTGATATTCATGAACAAGGTGCGGGTACCGGTGGTTCTATTTCCGCACTAGAGCCAGATTCGACATTCATGGCAGATGCTCCAATGGACGATCAACCGGCAACGGAGAAGCAACCAAGTGTTCCTAGCAGTCCCACTAATTCGGTTTCTGACTTAGGTGCGGGTACAAATTCCGGCGATTTAGCGGAGAACGATGATAAGGATAAGACTGAATCACAACCCACTGATCCTAACAAGTGTCCCGATGGTTCATCGCCTGTAAGGTTCGGTGGTATGAAATTGTGTCAACCCAAGGCTACTATAAAGAAGGCAACTGATCTGCAAGCACAATTGAAAAGATCCGAAGAGGAAGCTGAAAAAAGACGTAAAGAGGAAGAAGCTCATGCGCAAAAAGTACGCCAATGGCAAATGAGCATGCCGTATCTAGAGGGGCACAGCGTTTTCTCTTTAAACAACTCTACACACGTCGGTGGATTGGATGGCAAAGCATTGCAGGATGAATCTGATTATGGGCCTGACGTTTTAAGTCAGCAAGAAAAGGCAGACGAAGAATGGAAAGCTGGACTGAAGAACATCTATGAGCAGCAGAAAAGTGACTTTCAAAATATGAGTGAAGCCATAAAGCAAATTCAGCGTGATTCATTTCTTAACTATCTCAAGAAAGATATTCTAGATGCTACCATTATTCATTATTCGCCACCAGAGATTAGAAATATTGGAATACCGATAGGCTACCCTGTGAAGCATAAGAACATGCAATACCCAAAATTTCACAATATCTCGAGCAAAGATGTAAGAAGATTTGTTCCAGTTGTACGTCAAGGCATTGGCTTGCCCCAGAGTCGTCAGGCCAATCCTCCTCCCCTACGGTTTAGAAGAGAGGCACACGACCCACACGCTTCATTTCGGTCGGATGTTAGACCTCCACCTATTCCCCTAGAGCCCAGCGGAGTTGCTCTTATACGTGATACTGATCGAAAAATAAAAGTAGACAATACGATGACTTCACACCACACGCCACCGCCGTTGACCGGTGCACCTATTGACGAGTATATAGTGGTTTCAAACACTTCACCCGCTGCTCCCGAAAATATAGACCCCGCACCAGCTTATCCTATGCCGGAAGTATCATTAGAATCGATTACCCCAAGATTCGAAACTGACCAAGACCCCGACGTATTCATTTACGTCCCCCAGGTCACAGTTCCGGAGTACGATTTTGACTGCGACCTAGATGACGACTTTCCACGTCTGAGCACCGCTCCGTCACTCGACCCTGCCGGATCGTCCATCCCTACCATTTCTTTCAATTTAGAATCGTTAGAAGTTGCGCCGTCCTCGACTTCCAATGACTTAGATTCAGATTTTATGAAGGCCTCAACCGTTGGAATGTGTATGCCTCCGTGGACAAATCAGAAGTTTGAGGACAATTCTTCCGACATCCCAGAAACGGAACTGCTCCCTTCCGAACCCCCAAGAACTGTAGAGGGTATGCTTCGTTGGCTGTCCGCACTTCGAAATCAAAAACATCTGAAAACTATGGAGAAATGCGTAAAATATGCCTTTGGTTGCGTAATTAATGAGTCTACAAATCTCAAACTCTGCGTCAACCAATCTGAAATATTCTCCAAAGACGTATTTAAGATGTTGGAACTAGCCTCGATGTTCTCAGGTGCCGTACTCTCCGCCATTGCGCCCGACTGGAAGCGAAGGCCATCGTTTGGAACTGTGAATCCTAAAGATCTAAACCAACTTCAGGAACCTGATGCCTGTGCCCTCCTCTGCCAGCTGCGGGACTATGTCTACGCCTGCCACCATCAATTAGCGTTTTTAAAGTCGCAGTGTTCTCGGGATAGCAAACATGGTGGTTGGAAGGATTGTCATTATGGCCGTGATGTGAAGGTTAAGTCCCCCCTCCAGGCCTTCCTGACCACCGCCTCCACATCCAAGTTCAAGACTGACCCCTTCGACCCGCACAACATCTGCCTCAAGAGCCGTATCAACATGGGATTCCGAAAGGATTATTTACCCAAGGAGAAGCGAGATGGCAAATATATTTCCACCTTTCTCTCTCCTCTCTGTACCACCGACGACCCTTTGCTTATATTATGTTCTTATCTCAACTGCCTCACCAGGCGGACGCCGCGCACTACCGGGGAGCTTGCTGCGTTCTTCCACAATGCTGGAAATGTGCTGCACGATGCGGCTTCAGAATTGTCCAAGCTGGGCACTGCCCTCTCCAAGCCACATGAAGACTGTCCCCACTGGGACCATCTTGAGGCCGAAGACATCCAATCCATCCGGGAGCTTCGAATTTCAGATTCTGCCAGCTCCATCCATTCCGAGACCCTGTCCAAGCTACTTGGCTGCGGCGCAAAGCATGCTTCTTGCCAAATGCACATCCATCCCATAACCTACCGGACGTACGCCCTTTACTCTTCCAGCTTCGCCGATACGTACCTCAGCTGGGCGGTGTACCTGCCAGAAAGACTGCATGATTCACTGCAAAGGCTGCGTGGTGATCTCGAGAAGCACGTTGGTCCTAAGTGCGCATCACTGCATCAATGTCCCGATGCCATGCTCCTCCTCTACCGTCATGGGTTTACGCCGCCGGAGGGTACATCGCCATCGTCAGTCAAATGTTCTGAACTCATCAACGAGCTGGAGGATGTGGTGTCAGGTCAGCCTATTGCAAACCTTATGGTTTGTATGGACAGATTCCTATACAAGATCAGGAAGCCCTTCCTCTACACTGTATTCACACTATGGGCTGTCGCAATCATCTTCCTCGCCCACACTATGCTATACCGCCTGGACCTCCTCTACCTCCGTTCCCACCTCTTGCGCTCCAGGGTATCCCACCTCATAGATGTTACCGCCTTACTCACCAAAATCCGGAAAATGCGTTCACTCTACAGGGTAGATTACTTTGACGACGACGATGACGAACATGGCACCTAATAGCCATGATCGCCTTCATGTAGTAATTTGGTACCTTGTCACGCATTGTTTAATGTCTATTTATTATTACGTTGTGTTTAGAGTTGTACACTGTACTATGTGCCGCCACATATAGCACGGTCTAATCTTCATGCTTGTCTAAAACTCAATCTTCTCAGCTTATTGATTAATGAGTATGCGCTGTCCTGTTGCTGGGCGTATTGGACGCTATCCAGGTAGGCACGCGGGATAACCAGGGAGTCGCAAGCGTATATAATAACCATGTCCCTCACTATGCAGCGTACCACCTTGAATTTAGTCTGTTGGTTGGACGCGTTCCTGTCGAATTCCTTCACGTCCCTGTGCTTTTTCCGCTTCCGGCTTCACCAAAGTGACTTGGTCATGTATCCCGTTATACCGTATATTAATCGTGTCTCCCCATCCATCACTGACGATTAATTCCCGATTATTATATTTGGTGGCTTGCTGCAACCACACCGAAGGTAAGTCATGGAGACGATGGCTCTATGTACTATCATGCGCTACAGTTCTCACGAAATATTTATTGAAATTGAAATTTTATACATCATATCACATATGGACGCTTTATTTAGTGGATATTTCAATGGTAGCTGGGGAGGAAAATTCCTTGCTCACCAGACAGCTGCTGTGGTCGCTGGGGAGTCATTGGCGTTCACAAAAAATTATAAGCCGTCCTTTTGGTGCTTGTAACCGAGTTCGATTTCATCGGATTTTTGAGCTGCCTTTTTCAAAAGCATTTTCGTAGATAGGGTCATTGAGGTCCCATCTAACCCAGCCGCTCAGAATGGCCAGCTCTCGCATGAATTCCATTTTGGCGTGTTGCGCAATACTCTCGCATTTTATTCGATTCGTCAGCACAGTGCGCTGTAATTTTGGTCATCCGCACGGATTACTTCGTGATAATGCTCTTGTTAGCTGCCACATGGATATCGATGACTTTGGCTCCGCAACTGTGATATGCCCGCGCCAGGTCAACGACACCGAGTATGTATGGCATCCTCAACCGAATTCGGGTGGAAACGGTTTCCTAAACACATACGGTTTTGTAGACGGCAAGTTGCGTTCTGTTGCCCTCTCCGATGTAGTGATAACCGACGAACCAGGTGATAATATCTGGGTGGAATCGAACGAGGCAGCTGCCATTCTAAATTTCAACCTAAGGGATGATGACGATATATATGTCGTTACCGAACGCCGTTCTATATTCATCTGTGGACCGCGAGATATGATTTTGAGTGATGCGCTGCAGCGTCACCTTGACGGAATTAATGGTACCATCCAAGCTCAAGGATTCCCTTGGAGCCCATCCACTCCATTGACTCAGGAGATTAACAAGATAGGGAGTGGTTTGGGTGTGTTTTTCATGTACAGAGGACGTGTTCATATGCCGCTTCAGGGCTGCGGCAGCCGTCCCTCACCGCTATTCGCTCCGGACAATGAGGTGACAGTGGATCCCGTCACAGGCACGCGTTCTTGTGTAGTCGATCCCATATCCGAAGCACGCATAGGTTTTGTTTGCGAAGGCAGGATAGAACCTGATGATTGCATGAGGTACCTCTTGGATACGAATGGCGACGTTGTGCGTGTGCCTCCACCATACCCTCATTTGAGTTTTGATTTCCACAGACCTTGGGTGGTAACCCAATATTTCAGTCTTCTAGCTTTACCGCCAATTAACGGAGAATGCAAGTGTCTAAACCCTAAAACCGGTCAAGTGAATGCCAAGATTGAGATTCGTTCGAAAGCTGACTACGTTTGTGATATTTCCAGCAAACTCTTCCGTAACCGTTCGCAACCCATCCGTGGACCTTGGTGTTCGGTAATCCTCCAGCCAGGTGGCTCATTGACCATAAGGTTGCCAATAAAAAATGTCTATGCGGAGCCTGCCGACGAGGAGGCCTCCACTGTCACATTCTCTCAAATGATGTCTCTCTATGAATACGAAACTGAATTTCGGCCGGAGGACTTGACTACACTGAGGCAATTAAGTGTACCCTATGATGTTGACATGTACAACGAGATACCGTACCACAGTGCCCTGGTTGGTGATGCCCTTGAGCTGGATGTTTCTCAAATGCATCGTGGAGAAGTAAAACTGAAATACCATTCAGGCAAGCCCCTCGCGCTACGAAGCGGATTAAACTCGTTCTTTTATAATTGGACATTAAAATCTAGAAACAAGAATGTCTTGGAAAGGATAAGCGCTATCGTCAATGTCTCTTTCGCGTTTACTCATTATTATGATATTGTTGGCTGCGACCTAGGGACGCAAAGTTTGTTTGATCCGGAGAAGAGTAAAAGTTGTTGTTCAACCAAATCTATGGAGAACGGTATAGGTAGTGTCTACGAATGCCTGTACCATGAAACTCCACATGTTGGTTGGGTTGGTATTCGCTGCGGACCAAATGAGGAGCTGTTGCCAAACAACTGTGAATCAACAGGATACGACCTATACTCAAATCAAATAACGCCATTTCCGAAATCATTGCGTTCTGATACGCCTTACCCCATAGGAGGATTTCAGATGTTCCGCATGGACTTCCAAGATACCGCTATTGGCTACGCCTGTATATGTGTCGACCAACGTGGATACGAAACATCCAAGCTTATTTTAGAGTATAATAAAAACACTTTCTACCGCTATAAAGTGTACCGCCCAGAGCGATCTCACACTTCACTTCCTTACATATTGCTGCCATGGCGTGAAATCGGGTTATCAATAGAAGGATTTACATCACCCGAATCTGTTATGATACGCCATGTACCGCAGACAGCCATTACAATACAAGCAGGCAAAACTTTGTCACTGTATTGTGAATTGGATTTGGATGCGCTCCAAGGAATTTTAGAGCTTTTAAACATTCATCGCAACTCGGCAAGGGAAACATTGAAATGGTTACCGGAAAGACCTGATGAATTTTATTATGCAGTAGAACGTACGCCAAATGGACCTGAGTTTGTTCGCAGGAGATACATAGATTCCATGGCCGCAACTCAGGCTGCATTTGAAGTCGTTTACCAAGCAAATCCTAGGAGTCCTAGATATCCAGAATTGACAATAAAAACACGCAGAAGCGCTGTCTTGATTTCCAAAGAACCGCTGCACAAGCAATACGTGCCCATGACGTTCCTCTGCGGTAAATTGATCGAACCAGCGGATGTATCTATCACCGCAGGCGACGTTCCCACATCGTCAACTGCCAATGTCGTAAGATCCGCGGTAGAATACACGTGGAATATCGTTAATGTTAACGTCGAGACCACGGACCCATACATGCAGGGCTGCGGCGTTACGTACTCGTCAGATGAGCTGTTCAAACCTGAGACACCTCCACTCTACGGCGGTGATGGGAAGTCTCAGTTCGGTTGCAAGGTCGATCTTCAAGCTGCCAAGGAAGCCGCGTTCTACTGCCCAGCGCCGTACGTTCTTGACCCACCTAACTGCTTCAGCCAGGTCTACGTGGACGGTGAAGTGACTAACCTAGGCGGTCTCAGCCAGTCATTGTCGGCCTCACGTTCTAACCACTTCGTCATCCTGGAGTTCAACGATTCACTCGTTGGACCCGGGGAAGCGCTGCGCCAGACGCCGCCATTGGAGTGCCGCTGCGTCACCGTCAAGGGCGCCGTACTCTCAACCATCCAGATAGAGAACTACTACTCAAAGTAATAAGTAGATCAGATTTGGTAACTCGTTTAGCAAAAACACAGACTAATCCCCGTTTGTTGTTGCTTTTGGTGTCTGCTGTTTTGGGTATTTCAGCGGCAGTGTGTCTTAGGTAACAAAGTAGTAATTTTTGTAGTCAGTTGTTGGCATTTTTCGGTGTTACCAGATCTTTTAATGACTGGTGTTTATTTTAATAGTTCCTGTCAAAAACGTGGAATGTAATCGCATCTGCCTACACTCTCGTTTATCCCAGAGTTATGCCGTTATGAGGAAGATGTAATAGGAGCATCCTCATTGATGCTCATACGTTAGAGCATTGGCAATGCCTCTAACACGCACGAATGGACAAAATATAGTGCCTCTTACCGTAGTTCAAGTATTCCGCTGATGTTGATAAATAATCAGTGTCCGTGCCTGAGAATGATAGATCACCGGTTGGAATTAATGCAAGGGTGGCTTCATCTACCACTTATACGATTACAGAACACATTGTGAGATGATCTGCAAGGCTGCAGGGAGTGACATTGAGGATTCCCGAATGACGATTTCCGGTCCTCACCGGACCCAGTCACATCCATCGCAGTTGATGCGATGAATGACCACAAAACGTTCAATGCCTCAATGGGTTGTTGAGCACTACGAAAGATTTTTAGATGTAGATACCTGTGTCTATGGTAGGAACTAGTGAACAACGTTCGGCAAAACGCTCAGCTCAAAGATGAGTGAGACCTCGTTAGGGGTGGGGTATGAGCCATTATGTCAGAATACGTGGTTCCGTGTTAACATAACGACGCCATATCGAATGCTACAAATACAAGAGATCATGTGTATTTATTGATAGAGCTAAGGAGTCAACTGGATCCGTAGGCGCTTTGGAGTCTATGGCACAATACTCTTACAAGGCAGGAGGTGAACAAAGTGTAACGCATTCAAGGATCTGGCGGCTTTGTGACCAATGCGTTATGCTGTATCTACTATAACTAATACGATACATTACTCAATGGTAATTTCCACAACCTCCAAGACAGTTGGCCATCGACTTGTGGGGTATGGTTGGCAATATATAGATGACCCCGATGGGCGTGGTATCTGTGTGGTGATCTTTCTGTACATTGTAGTATCTCTGGCGGTGGGTCGCGTGGCGGTTGCCTGGGTTTTTCCGGAGCACTCATCAAGGACACCTTTGTGGGGTCACTGTTCATGGCGTAGGTACGTTTTTCATGCTTGTGCAGATTAAGGGCAAGGGAGCGGGGGTAAGATGTCTGGAGCGTTGAAGTGTGAATGTGGAAAGCCATGCAAGAGCGGTTGTCAGTGTTGTCCCGATTGTTGTCCAGTATGTAGGGAAATAGGCAAGTGCACTGGATGCGATCATTACAGAAGAAATTCCAGCAAATATGGTCATTCTAATTGTCCAAAATGTGCAGGAACAAATTGGTTCACATGTGATTGTACATGTTGTAGAACTAATGGCATAAGCATTGTCATGGGTGTCATCATCTTCGTCATACTCATCGTCATATGCGTAATGAGCGTCTTTCGCATTAGGCCGTTCCACAAGGTCCGCGATTATTTTTTTCCGCCAGTAAATGCTTTGCATAGCATTCTTTAATCAGCTTCGGCATTTTTCATAATCGCACTTATCGCAGAGTTATAGACAGTAAAGGCACGAGGCCAATGTAATAACGTCTTATTTAATGTTTCAAAATCGTACATCGATGGGTACACGGTGAACGCGTTCATTAATTACATTGTAGCAGCGCACAAGGTGCGCATCAGTTCAAAGATCGGGATCAAGACAGCTCAATGTAGTACCCACATACGCTCCCACCTGACGCTGCTCGCATCATACAAGATAGCTGCGCAATCCTTACTGTCAACGGCTTTGGCGGGGCTTTCATTTTTGCTGGCGGGAGGGGATGTAGGGATTTGTGTCGCCCCCTCAAGCGCCGTGTGAAGCGCATCAACCGTCGGCTTTATTTCGTCCAGGATGTTGCCAAACTTGTCGGTACCTAGTGAATTTATCTCATTGCCAACCTGCCTCACAGAAGCGCAGAGCGCGACCAGGATGTATTTTACGGCGGTGGTGAGATTAGCGTCTCTATTAAAATTCTGAAGACCCTGCCGCGATGCCCAACTCTGAATCTCCTTGGCTATCGCAGGAGCAAATCTCTCTATTTCCGTTTTCGTGATCTTCTTATCAAGCTCCTTGACAAACTCCTCGCAAGCGCTTACGATGGCACTGAGATTGTCGACAACTTTCCCATCTACTACTTGCTTAATCTTCCCCTGAGCTGCGGCAATGGCTTGTGAGATTTCTGTCTGTTGCATAATCTTGTTCTTAACCTGATCTGTAAAATCGCTTTCCTTATACCTTTTCTTCGTAACCGCCTCCTTATACTGCTGAAGCCAAGACGTCACGGCTTGCAACCCGGGCTTATGGTCTCTGGTCCCCGGCCTCCCCTTCCCATTCCCTATTACACCTTCCAGCCAACCGCCTACTCTGCCATTAAAACCAGAATTGTTCCCTTTCCCCTTTACGAACGCATTAGTAAGCTCCTGCACTTTCTTCACGATACCTTCCAGCCCCGAATCTCTCCCCGCCTTCCCCTTAATCGCCCCAACCTTTTTTTGAATATGCGCGAAAATATCATTAAGATTTTTCTTTCCATCCCCGCCACCATCTTTAAAATTCCCGCCAAGCACCTCAATCGCCTTGTCAACATTCTCAGTCAACGTCTTAAGCGGCTGTTGGATCGCATTCTCAAACTTATCTTGAAGCCCGTCCGTCTCCTTCTTAATTGAACCGTTTGGCCCAGCAAGAACATTCAGCTTATCTTTCTGTTCTTTAAGCTGAGACAACGCACTTTCAACTAATGGATGTTTGTCATTACCTTCCATACCATTTGCAAGCTCACTAATATTCTCCTTCAACGTCCCCAAATCACCCTTCACTTTCTCATCCAATGTCAAAACATTCATATCCTCAATCACCCTCTGTATCCCTTCCTTAATCTTATCTTTAACATTCTTCAAATCCTTCTTAAGAGATGTGTCCATTTTCACAACAGCTTCCAACGCCTCGGTGACGTCGCACTCAGTAGATTGCTTAGACTCACCTACTCCACGTAACGTATGACCTGCTACCTAGCCTACTACTTAATATAGTTGATGAGTTACGTTGTTTATTATTTGGCCCGTTGTCTCGTCTGTTACTCGTGAGATGTCTACGTCATGCAATGTCATAGGTGTACAGTGTAAGTGAGCCTGCGGTTGTAGATGCCATAAGCGAAGAAGCGCCACCCCAGGTAACGCAGTGAATCTACTATTGGCTAGGTGGTCTCTACAGGCTGCGTGTTTATGAGCGTTATGCCGGAACATTGTTTGATGTTGTGGCCAGAGGGCGGCGTAGTTAAGGAGCTTTTAGAAGTTACATTACAGTGAGCGCTAACATCGTAGTTGCGCAGTGTAATTCAGATTAGCATTTATAAGTGTAACTATGGCGTGGCGCAGTGGATAGCCAATGAATTTGTGACCCTCTTCATGGATCGTACGTAGTTGAGATACCATCTACATTCATTAGTTTAGCCACCTTGTTCATAAATGCATGTTTCCTAATGGATTATCATAGCATGTCAAGTTTGCGAGATATTGGATCACGCCTGCACCAACACCAGTTGGATGGTGCGACGCATGTGTGGACACGGGGATCTTATATCGTCACTTCGCCAATAATGATCAAGGCTTGAGGTAAGTGGTTCATCGGTTTGCAGGATCGTTGCTATTAGCTGAGCTAGGGGGACGATGACGTGGACAATTGTAGGCATCGTTGGCGGCACTATTGGTATCCCGCTCCTCATTTTCTTGATCCTCTGTATCCGCTGTTTAATCAATAAGCAAGGGATTGGTACAGTATTCGCCCAAATATGTGAACCTTTCCGCGCTTTCGACCATACCACACCACAATCCGCTGTCGCCTCCACTAACATGTCATAGCTCCACGCAGCCCACGTAGTGTTTCTGTAGCGATGGCGCATCCGAGGTAAAATCATTAGATACTGACATTCAATTTGTAGGAATAGTTCATGGTAATGAAGTGCAAACTAATTCTAATTTTGATGATACCCTCGTCGGCCCCCGGGCCTCACTAGTCTGCATCTCACATCATCTGGTTTCTCCAAACATTTAAGGCAAGATGCCTCACATCCCACCAACGATAGGTCCCTTATTTCACAAATCCGCATCTTGGCTCACTGCCACTCATACCGTCTTGAACACATGCTATGCCATATTCCTCACTCGACAAGTCGTCACCCATCCTTCACCTGCGACGTTTTCGCGTCCCAATGACACCGACGACCACGCTCAGCTGACTTGCAATATGCCGTGCAACGCTAATTAATCTTAACTCATCCACCAGCATTCATGGTCTCACTGACAACTGTTCATCCGTAAACATCCAATACATGGGCAGTGTTCATGCTTTTAAGATCTTCGCCAAGAACAGCGACGACACATGGCATTGACACCGATAAAATGCACTTGACACCTCAAATAACACTCTTCTCCAACAAGTTACCAAGTTGAGCACTTGGATCACCGACGCTGAAAACATCCGCAATGCCGCCGAGGATAAGGCCAAGGAAGCCGACGACAAGTTGAAGGTTAATGAGACTCTAGATGAGAATGTTAAAAAGATTGTGGAGGCTAATAAGGCAATTGAGAAAGTGCATGGTGGCCTGAATAGTGTCGATAAAAGTTTGGGAGAGTGGAAAATCAAGGCACACGAAGTGCTTGACGGGGCGATAAGCCACGCGACGGAAGTTCATGATTCATTAAATCCGGATGAGAAAAGTAAGGATGGCATTGGCAAAAGTATTGAAGTAATTAATACATCAAGCGAGTCAATTAAAAAGGCAAATATAACTCTTGGTGCCGAGGTTGGGAATTTGCAGAGTTGGAGGACTGCGGCCGGGAGTGTTATTGACAAGGCTAACGGGAAGTGTGAGGAGATACTTAAGAAAGTTAAAACAGACGGTGACGGCAAGATTTTTACAGAAGCTGAAAAGTTAAAAACTGAGGGTACAAGACTTTTGAAGGCTGCGAGTGAGGCTAAGCAGGCTGTTGAGGCTCAAGTAAAATCGGCGTTGGAGGCTGTTGTGAAAATGGACACAGATCTCAAGAGGGATTTAAGGAGTGTGAAAGAGATGATTAAGGATGGGATTGGAGATGTGATTGAGACGTTGAGAGTTAATGAGTTGGATACTTTGGTGAAGGTTGATTTGGGGGCGTTGAAGAGAAAGATTGAGAAGCTTAAAAGTGATGTCGATGCGAGTAAGGCGGATAATGGTAAAATTGTTAGTAACATTTTGCATGATCTTGAAGAGGCGAAGAAGCCGCTAAGTAAGCTTACTGATGACGCTGATGCTAATTCAATCGTGTCTCTGACTGCGGGACTTGAAGGTAAGTTTAAGGAGCAGATCCAAGAGCCGCTTGGCAAGGCGGTCGGTGAAGTTAACCAGGCGATTGACAGCCTTTACAAACAGTTTGATCAAGACGGCAGACAAACACAGAGTGAGAATAAGGTTGAAAATATTTTTAATAAGATTAAGGGAAAAGTCAACAAAATTCTTCACGGTGAACCAGCAGGAAGAGGCCTGCAAGGCATCGAAAAAGGTTTGATTCACAGCTATGCCAACGGGTTCAAGAATTTTAATAGTATTGTGACAGGCTGGATGGAAGGGACTTTGGGGAAGGGTGATGACAAGCCGCCAAAAACATGGCTTCCGAAGTATGTTGAGGAGAGGAATAGTAAAGATAGGGGCATCAGTGAAGCGGATCGTCGGCGTGATGAGATTTTAAAAGTCCGCGATGGAATTAAGACGGCGATTGGGAGTACGTTTGAAGACGCGATTGAACAGGCCGGCAAATTGGTTAAAAACGATAACAAAATCCAAACAACCATTGCATCTGTCAAGCAAGCCTGTCTGCATTTTGTCAATATGCTTGATAACACACTTAGGGATGAGGGAATTGGCACGCTTTCTCAGCAGATTTTCCAGAATAGTCCTGAAGGTAGCGGTGCTGCTAGTCTCAACCTGCATCTGAAATACGCAGTCGAAGCCACGCTTCTTGGTCTCTCCGCTACTGCCAGCCAGGTGGCCAATGAAATTGAGTCCATCCTTCTCCTAGAGGACAGGGTGGGCGGCAAGGGTAGCGGAATGAACATCGCAAAGGCGTTGGATGAAGCTGTAGAGGAGACTAATAAACTTCACGGTCAGCTTAATCAGGCAACTAATTCCACTGGCCAAGGCACCTCTGGCCAAAATGAAAGCCCCGCCCAAGCCGTTGACAACAAGTTGCAGGCGGTGAGTAGGCAGGTTACTAACCTTGAAAAAACCTTTAAAGACAACGTCAAATGGCCACTTGCCGAAGCGGTTCAGGGCCTTGAACCCGCAGTCAACAAGTTCCATAGTGATGCCGAAGCACAGATCAGGCAAGCCGCCACGACGGCGATTAACAAGGCGGCTGAGCAGATTAAGGAGGTGGGTGGTGAAATAAAGCTTGGTAAGGAACACAATCTAATGGAGCAGTTCCACGGTCAGTTCTCTAAGATAACTGAGAAAGAAACTGGTCTCGAATCACAACTTAAGAAGCAAGTTGATACGCACATTGGGGAGGATGATCAGTCAGGTGGTAAAATTAATATTAAAGATACATTTCACAGTTACAATTCTCACGTTAAACAAGATTCAGATGGCCTTAAGATCGGAACCCTAAAAGGCCAGTCATCCGAAGGCCAACTTCCAGAGGCGATCGGGAAGATTAGAGATGAGGGTCTGGCATCGCTTAACATAATCGATGCCAGTAGCGGTAGTGAACATATTAATCAAGGAACCTTCACCGAGCCGTTCAACACAATTCAGAAAGAGCTTAAAGCGATCAAGGAATTGGTTGATGGTAAGGATGGGACGATGTTATTTGATTATACTGACGCATCTCATAAAGGCTTTAAAACATTGCTTGAAGACATTAAAAAGATGCTCACTGACGAAGAAGCTGGCAACTTGTACGGCCTTAATAAAGGCTTCGAGGCAATCAAAACGGCGATTGACACTGTGCAAACAGGGACGTTTAAGCAACGACCCACTGAAATTGGCGAAGCCATCCAAGCAATTAAGGGGGAGCTTGAAGAGCTTAGAGGGAAGTTGAATAAACAAGCTACCACCAAGTGGCGGCACTTGAAAGACGTCGGACTCAGCGATACGAATAATAACTCAGGCCTCGACAAGATCAAGAATGAACTTGAAACGCTTAAAAACGAATGTTCAAAAGGTTACCGAGAATTTCATTTATCCGTGTAATGGTATCAGGAGCGCCACCGTAGATATCGGTGGGAATTTAGATGTTCTGAAAAATGAGAGAGTCGACGATAACATCATGGAACGATACGTTGAGGGCCTGCACCCTAACATTGAAAGTACGTGTGAAGTGGAACATGAATAACTCGTTGCAAAAAGCGACAATGGCCACGGCTTCGCGCAGGCCTTCTGACACGAAGTCTACGAGTCAAAGGGTTCGTAACAAAACCCCTGAAGCTTAAAGACAGTCCGTTAGATTACGAACCGGAGCACCAACCCACAATCTGCTTATCGTAGGGAACATACGCGCCGCAGTGTCAGCACACACACAGCAGCCTCTAACACTTCCTCGCCCTGCATACCGCAGAAAGCATCTATCGCAGCTGAGAGAACTATTTTGCGACGAAAGTGAATTAATGTGTCACAAACTGCAGTTGATAGACCCTAAGGACCGCTGGAAACAGCGCAACACCCAACAGATCACAGCGGCGCCAAAGTCAGCGACGGCAACCCACAGGGAGACCCCAAGCGACAATTCTGGCACCCATTTAGTGCTAAAAACGATTATTCTAATAACGGAAGCCGGTACAAGGGATACCCGCATTCCTTACTATGTGGATACCGCGTTGGCAGCTATCACGTCACGCGGTACGCCGCAGGCTAAGTCAGACACAGCTAGCAATCCATCGTAGCATTTTAAACATTTACCCATCACCTATAATTGTGCTAACAACTCCGGCTTAAATATGCAATATTCCCGTCTGAAATGTATATAGACAATGGCTCGCGCTCTGCGCACTGCATGTCACGTTAATGGTGTGGAGTTGGTTACGATTGGCCACCTAAGTTGTCATCGCGCCTTCCAAGTCTACCCGTTTGCTGTGTAGATGATTTTGCACGTTACAATCGGACAGGTATACATTAGAAGCCAACGGCATCTGTGTTGCGCTTAATCGCCGCCCAGACACCGCATTTTAGATACACGCGCTGTTTGCAAACCGGTCTGCAAGTAGACCAAGATTCACACGTTTATAGGAAAAAAAGGAATTTAACAAAAATTTACAAGATGGTTTTCAATTCGTTAACTGATGCTCCTCGCAACCTCAAGGAGGGTATTGACTGGTTGATGGCGCTGAGGGGAACTGATGCTGAAAAGAATTTGGCTTCTATGGGTGCTGCACTTTACGACTTCCTCGTAGACAAGCCTGTTGGATTCACGGAGGTGTCAGCTCTCGAGAATGTTAAAACTATTTCTAAAGAGTTTCTGGAGAGACCAGAGCTTAGGGAAATGTGGCCCGCAAGCGAGCTGTTGGGGAGGTTCAATAACCCTGTGAAGACACAAAATATCGACCACCTGAAGTACCCGTTTCCTATAAACGACAGCGATTATGCGAACATCGTACGGGCTAGGAGTGCCGTACCTGAAAAGATCGCAAAGGACTTAGGTAAAATTGTTGATGGTTGTGAGACCTTTTTGGATGATATCGTACTCCCTGAGCAGTATGTTTCTGCTTATTCTCCAGAAGCTACGTGGGATGCGTCATGCGCAAAGGACCCAAGAGCCTGCGCAGCCATTTTCGTAGGAGTTGCACCAATGTTATACGCGGGGCTATATTATTTGAGGAGGACGAGCAATCCCGCAAATTTGAAAAGGGAACTGTCTAAAGAGGGCAAGCGTCCGCGAGAGTTTTTGAAAGCCGTTGGTTACAAGGAGCTGGAATGCCACGCTGGAATGACTGGCTCAGATATCCGCAACGCGTTGAGGGGTTTGAGCCTGCCAATTTTGGACACAATCTATGACTTCGCTGGATTCTGGGCTTTCTACTGAGTAGGGATCACAAGTTCACTGCACAAAGAGGTCGACGAACAAAGGCTCTGCTTCCGGCTCCCTGGTGAGCTGGCATGCGAACTTTCACGAAAGCATTAAATTGTCAATGCAGCAATCGTCAGCTTTACGTATAATACCCTCATGAAGAATACTGCTGCCCTTCAGTGAGGCCAAAACAGTCTTAAACATCTCTTTAATCGCGTTTATGACACACGTTGGGGGTTATTCTTCAGAGTCACATCTTTTCATCTTCGTATACCAGGCGGGCATTGTTTAGAGACTCACAGTTCATAAATTATGCTGTATACTGCCTTATGCCTCCTCCGATGGATGGGCGATCAGCGCCGCCTTGTTGTAGCACGGCGTCGTGCCAGTTACGGAGATGCAAATCGTTGAGTGCAAGGCGCGTCAACCCCGGTAGATTGTATCACTTGACAACTCAATCTTTGATCGTAGTAACTCTGCTGAACTTGCATTCCATTGCTTTGCCGTCGCCAGTGGCAGATACGGGCGAGTATGGCGACCACATCCCTGTAATTCTGCTCATTATCCTTATTTTCTGGGATGTGTCTTGGCATCTTCCCCACGGTGACGCTTTTAATATGCGCTGCATTTGCTAATTCATCTAAAAGTTCCGGCGAACCCACGAATAGTGTTGTCGGTGACATAATTACCTAAGGCATGGACATTGATCGTTATCTCGTCCAAGGAAGTGATGCAACATCGTATGGCGCAAGTAGGAGTTTACTATCGCACAAACTATGTCAATGTAATGTTGTACTCCAAACACACTGAGCAGCTCACTACAGATGCACAATATTGCAATGCAGCATCCACCATGGAAAAAAATTAACACCGTTGCCCACTGTTCGTAATTAGCTCTACAATATGTAGCTTCCCCTTGAGCTCTTGAGGTAATCCACCAATAGGAGGAACACCGCTGAACCGATGAAGGAGTAGCACATGAGGAGCTGATAGTACGGCATTCCCTCCGTATCCGCTTTCTTCAACGACGTTTCCGTGGTTTCGATGTTGCTCAATGACTCAAGCACGTTGGCGTTTATGCTCTCAAACATGTCGAGCTGCACTGCGAGCGTGCCGCTGAACTGTTCGAACATCGACGATATCTCCGACAGCCTCTGTTGGACCCCATTGATTGTTTTGAGTTCATTAGCCTGTATCGACTGCTGAACATGGGCCACCAAGTTTTTGTGCTGCATTTGTAGCACCTGCGTGTTCTGCTCCTGCGGTGCATCAACGTAATCCATGTATACGGGCATATGCGGCATCTGCACCGATGGCTGCCGCCGCAACGCCGGCGTTATGGTTCCAGCGTGCATAGATGGGCCAAGCCTAGGAGAAGAGGAGGTTGAGGCGGATACGGATTCGCTACCTTGCGCTGCTGACCCATCACCCCTAGCAAGTGTACTGCCACGGTTCGATTCTTCCATGAACAACTTCAAGTAATCTTGTGCGATAATTTGTTTGTCGGCACTTCCCTCTGCCCCATATCCCTTGCGTATGCGGTATTCTTTGACCTGGTTTTCCGTCATTAGCCGCAGCGAGGCAGTGACGTTCGTTTCAACTTTCAGGCGATAGCGCTCATACTCCTCCACGGCAGACTCCACCGCCTTAAGGGTGTGCTGCAGGCAGGCAATTACGCCAAGCCTGTGTTCCTGGAGTTGTCTTGAAATGGTGCCGCGCCTCATGCGCTTCAGCTCCTCCTCGATACTGGTGGCCATCTGCTTTATAAGATCGCCAGCATGTCTGGTGTCGTGCACAATATCTTTGATATCCGTTTGCTCAAACAGCGCGCGTTTGGCATGAATGTAGCCCATAGCGTTAGGCAACAGGGGTATTTTCACGTGGCCACCGATTGACTCTTTCGACCCGTGGCCCGCGTGGGCCAACACGGTGTAGGGTGATATAATCTCCTTCAGCGTCCTGAGCTGCGCAAACACGTCCGCAGATATAACCGAGAATCTGTCGACTGTTTGATGTTCCGGAGAGGCTGCCTGGGTATCGCGGGTTGCCTCCCGCATCATCATCTGCCAGTGCGTGGCCCGGCGTTTGAAATCGTAAGACCTATCCATCGCGGCGAGATGAGTTCCTTCAATTCATCAAAAGCTTGGCAACATGCACATATTCACAATACGACACTTGACAACGTATCCAACGTACTAATCCTCAATGAGAACAATGCGATTCGGAGATACAACGGAGGAGCGTATGCGATATTCTTGTTTTTCGCAGCACGAGATACACCAGCAGCGTCGTGTGACAGACTTACGATCGCTCAATTCGACTTAATGCACATCCGCGCCTTGTTAATACGAAGGGAAGATACGTTGCGGAGCGCTATTCCATGGCCATCTGCTTCCAAACTTGCCGTCAATACAGATCCATAATACTACACAACTATGTGGAGATGCTACACACTCGACTTAAACGCGTTGACACCCTCAAGCTGCCGCAGATAAGGTCGAATAGGCTCGTTATACCGAGTCGTGAACTGGGCAACGCAGCATCGACCGTTCGCGGCGAGCGACACAGATGCTAGCAGCTGTGACAGCTCAACAATATATTTATAACTTTGAGGGACAGATGTGTTTCACTGAGACGTTCATGTGCCTGGGATTCTGCGTACTCCCCAAGACTGCTGCTGCCGCGATAGGGCGCTCGACAGCAGCAGCCTTGGGGAGTACGCGTACACATCGCTGCAACGTGTTAGTGCCTTTAGTTGGTGTCAACAGGGTACGGCACTTCGGACCTATGCGTGTCGCTTGAGCGTATCCAAACTCGTCCGTTTCCTTTGCAGACATCTGCGCCTATCGCAAGCGACCATCGACAGGATGGCGTCGCTAAGTTCCGTGACGCAGGATTTGGCTGAGAAGCTGCACATATCCGCGGACAAGCGGGAAGACCACGACCAGCCGACCACCGGGAAGGAATCGTACCACGTTCTCAGCGAGCGGGCAATACACATTCACGATGTGACCAAGCACACTCTTCGTCAGGCCTGGTTGGTGCTTGTCCATTCGCTGCCGTACAAGTTCGATGCGTACCTTGAGGAAGGGGCGATATTCCCAGACGTCAGGCCGTTCGCGAGGTACACCAACTACTCCTCCATGCGTAAGTCTCTTAATATTTCGGCGACGTGATTTGTTTCAACTACCGACCGTGTTCAGCGCTTCTATATGTTTGTTTACATGCTTTTGAAGGGGGTTGCTTACCATATCAGCTGTCCGTTATAATTTTGCCATTTAACGATTTACTAACGTTATGCAGTCTACATGTTCAACTACGCGGTGGCACTCGCGTTATGCGACGTGGTGAAGTATGAGTGGCCCGCTGCAACTAAGAAGCACTTCGGCAAGGGAACGGGTCGCCCGAAACCCGAGCCATATGCCGTGGTAATCATGGCGCTGGCTGCACTGCCGAAGTACCGCGGCGTGAACGTGTCTAAACGCCTGTTCGACTACACAGTGAAGAAGGCGGCCGAGGCGCGCATCTTCAAACTGTATGCGTTAACTGATGAACAGGGCGCTGCACTCTACACCAAGCTAGGATTCACCCCGTGCGACGACTCGCCGGTTAAGCTGGGCGACCTCAAGGTCACCGACGAGTCCTCGAACCTCTGCAACTTTACGATTATGCAGTACACCAACATGGGCGCAAATTAATCAAAACCTGTGAGCCTAATGTTGTGGTTGTTAACGACTGCCGCGTTCGTTTAGGCCATGCCGTTGCATGCCACCTGGTGTCGGCTAGTGTACCGAGTATGCGATTGGCGATACTGAAATCTCGGTAAAACGATAGATGCAGATACTGCCGTTTCCGAGACTTGGCTCTCGACGTGAAATGCGCGCAAATCTTGCGGAATGCTATAATATGTATCCGATATATTTTTAACAGCTGGCAGTTGCACGGCACCACAACATCCGATTATCGAAAACTTGCGACCCATCAATGGGTGTACTACACCATTTGACACTGCGTTAGAGATTCACATTTTCCACCACCATGGGTGGCTGGATTGAACCCAATTAGGGTTGCTTGTTCGCCGGCTTCTTACTTGCCGGTTGTTTAGCTGCTGGTTGTTTGGCTGCTGGTTGTTTGGCTGCTGGTTGTGTAGCCGCCGGTTGCTCATCTCCAGTTTGCTCACTCGCCGTTTTTTCATCCCAACCCATGATCTTGAGGATTAACTTGGACAACAGGGGGTTCTTCAGGTAACGCTTACGAGCTGCCTGTGAAACCATGCAAAGTGCTGGCGACTGAAACTCACCTTGTCTCGTATAAGGTAGTCACGTGCCCACGTTTCGAGGTAATTCGGCCTCAGCTTGCCCCGATCGGGTTTGCAAATGAAGATGCCGCCACATTGGGCATAGTGTTGGTAGAGAGCCTGCCAGTGCGTGTGTCGCAGCAGGAACCTCGGGTTGCCTGTATAGTAATGTCACAACGATGGTGAATGAGACGACACATACCTATGATGAAGAGGTTGCGGCACGCTCGTGTGATGGCCACGTTGATACGCCGTCTGTCGGCGATGAAGGATACGTCCACGACGTCCGGGATATTGGACGTGGTTTTGCCTGTACGTATTCCATCGATATACTCTTCCATCATGCTTGCAAACCGTTTGGCTGCATCGGGTTCGTGCGGCTCGGTGTCGATAGTCAAGACGTTTGGAGGCGTGATCTCCCTCAACGTCTTTTGTGCTGCATTCTTCTGCCCGACGTATCCTGTGCGCACTGCGCTAAAGATGACTATTTCCTTTTCCATTCCTTGGAAGCCGTCCACCGTGCTGACGTCTATCAGCAGCTTTGGCAGCGGCGGACCAGGTGGTACGGGCTCCTTAACCTTTTTCTTTTCTTTTTCGACGGGTGGTGCCACTAGCTGAGGATGCCTCTTTGCAATCGTCTCCTTCAGAAGCGCCACCTGTGCGGAATATGTCGTGATAACGGCAATTCTCTGCTCCAGCAACTCGGGCTTGTAGTCGCGCTCTGACCCGAGCACCGTCAGGATCATGTCCAGCAGTTGGCAGACAAGATTGGCCTCCATCTCATTTTTGTATGACGTTTCGTCCTTGGATTGCATCGAGTCGATGGCATAGAACACCGCCGGGCGCAGCAACGGGAATTCTCGCCAATCCCGTTGCTGCCGCTGGTACACGCTGGGCGCATCCTTGAGCTGGCTCTTGTAGAAGTACATTGAGGGGAACCTGCTGATGCCGGGGTCCATACGGTACTGAATGTCGAGCAGGTTGACCGGGTATCCACACATCTGCAACCTCTGGAACAGCGACCGGTCGTACTTGAGGGAAACTGCCACATTGGAGCAGACCGTGGCCGACAGCTGGCACGGGTCACCCACCAATACGACACGTGAGCAGCCCAGACGGAGCGCTATGAGGGTCGAAAGCTCGACAGCTTGCGTTGCTTCGTCAATGATCAGGGTGTGGAACATGGCGTGGTTCTTAACCATATCCATCGACCCGCATGCCGATAGGGTGGAGCACACAATGTCGCTGTGGAGCAGCGTTTCTGTCACTAACATTGATCTAAAATGATTTTTCATGTTAGGAAACTTGTGGCCGTATTTTTTCCTTCCCAGCATGTCGATTTTGTTGTTGAGGCTGTAGACGGTAAGGTCATCGTGAAAGTTAGGACCTATACGTGTCACCGACGGGTTCAACCGTTTACCATCCGCATCAAAAATTCCACCAGTATTTGGTCGCACCAACCGCCTAACAATTTCGTCAATGGCCGCGTTAGACGGCGCACATATCAGTATTCGCCGCCTACTGTGTCTCAGTGTAGGAACCGTCACCTTTTCGGACGAGGAGCTTTTTGCGGGCTTCATGCACGCGTATGAGTCGTACCGGTGCGTACCATTACTCGTTTGCGTATCCGTGATACCGAGTGTATCGAATGCGATTTCCAGTGGTTCATTCATATTGTTGCCGTCTATATACTTGAACCACGCGGATTTGTTTTTCTGTGCTTTGTCACTTGTTCCAGCCGTTTCTTTAGGTGGCGCTTCTTTTGCTTCGCTATCGTACGGCAGGGATTCCTGCTCCAATATGGCGCTAATTATCCCTATAATGGTGGTGGTTTTACCCGTTCCCGGGGGCCCCTGGATAAGAGTAATACCGTCGCTCTTTAGGCTGTTTCTGATAGCCCGGAGCTGCGCCGCATTGTATGAAGATTCCAGGCTCTTCCTCAACTTCTTAGGAATACGTATCCCCTCCAGGTAAGTGCTTTTATGAGCGTCGCTTACCGGCTGTTCCTGGGGTGGTTCAACAGAACTCATCAACAACTTATTCTGCAACGGCATCCAGGCCATACCTCGCAGCGCTTGGAACTCCCTCAATGCCGTTGTGAACGAGCAAAGCTTTGACAAATACCACACATCCTTTTCGGATTCGCCCTTGCCGAAGTCACTAAACTTCTTACTCCCGTGCCTGCTGAACATGATCATATCCTGTATGGCTTCCAGGCGTTCTACACTGCGGACGTCGAAGGTCTTAGGCGAGCAAAACTTTGGGGGCATGGCTAGCACCTGCAGTGTACAGTGGCGCCTTTTCGCCTCGAGCACAAATCCAAGTGCATGCTTCAGCGTATCTTCGTATAGCGGGTGGTCATCCGGCACGACCACGTACGCGGGACCCTCATCTGTGTCTCTGGGCAACACATCTGCTGGCGTCATTTCTACATCCTTTTTAGGCATAACGTCATGCCCCGGCTTGCCGACGTATAGGAGCGCGATGTCGCCGCAGACGAATGGCAGCACGGCGTTCGACTTGAGTGTGATTTCCACGAATCGCCCATTTTTGTGACACCCCACCTGCAACCAATATTAACTAGTGATTGAACGGCGTGACAAATAAGCGAATTTGACGTATTAAATGTTCGATGTAGATTACATGAATCTGAATATAACGCACAATACGTTACTACCTTCTCGAAAGGGCAAGCAACTTAACATCCACGAGTGAAATCTCCAATACACCCGATGACATCCCATGAAACAAAACAAGCCTCACTTAAGTTGTGTATTGACACACATTTAGTGGACAAGTGCACCATTATCACGTAGAACACGACGATCGTTTCCCATGTATTGCATGCAAAGGAGCTTGATGTCACAACATTAGGTTACACTTATATTGCACTACTGCCGTTAGCACATCGTACTTCCTACGTATTTAGAATACATTAAACAGCCAACAGGGCCCACAAAGAGGCGTGTTGGCTGTCTAATATAACAGACTGAATGTGGGCAAGGCGGGAATGCAGGTAACAATGGACCCTAGTATGACCAACACAAATGTTCATATGCACGTCTATTATTGTCACAGATGAATCCCTGAGTAATTGGCCTTTTGCGGAATTTATACACGACAGCAAATACGACAACGGAGTAAGGCAGTAATACACAACCGGCGAAACAAGTTAGACACCGGTGCTTCCACACTTCACGCACCACGATCTTTAGTTTTCGAAACTGAACTAACCTCCGACACTCGTAAGGGATATCCCATGCTCATGTACTTGCTGCTGGCGAGCATCTGCAGACACTCGATCATGTACAAGGGGAAGAAGCTGCGTTGATAGGTTTCGACATTGTTGAATTGTATAGGCAGGGGTTCCAGCGGTGTGTCCCATCGTATCGAAGTCTGGACCTCTGGAAGCAGATTGGGAATCTCCTTCGGGAGGTCGCGATAAAAATCCACCGAGAGAACGCGCTCTAGGAGATCGTTTTCCGTTCGGAACCCCTCTACTTCGGCTGTAACAGCCATTTTGTATGACGCTGCCGTCGAACAACACCAACGGCAGGCGTACGGGCCCCTAACTCATCCGAGGCCTCTCGGGCCTCGCGAACCGTGAAAACCTCCCGCTTGCCACAGATTCCTCGCCTAAGTGTGTTCTAAGCGCTGTATTGAAATTATTGGCAGTGATAGTGCGGGACGGTGGATTTGCCACAATGACAAGGAGGCTGCTTCACCTGCCTGGGGTGATAGAGAGTTTAGAGTTGTTGCCGCCGAAGATTTCGGGATGCACATGTGTTACAGAAGGGCTATGTGGATGCTGATAGACCGCATATTGCTAATTTCTCCACTCTAGGCGTCTACGTTAGTGTCTAACTGCCGCGCCGTCGCCATACCATCAGGCTCACACACCAGCGGTGTGCGTCGCGCGGTCGTCTGGGCGACATCCTCGTTGTCCTTCGTAGACACCCTGTGGCTGTATCAAACTGCAGCTGAATGTGTGCACCATGGCGGAGTCTGAGTGCTGCCGCCGGCGCTCCTCAGCGCTGTCTAACATGTTGGAGTGGTACTACCGGGTATGTTGCTGGTGTGTATAGACATGACGTCGCAGGACCCTGTGGGCCGCACTTACGGTCCAGTTGACTCGTTCAAGCTGGTATATCTGATCTACGCGAACTACTTCGAGGAGGATACGCCATTCGCGTCTTGCTTGCGCGGGAGAATGACCTCTGCGTACTTCGACCCGCTCCGGAAGGTAGGTACTATACAATACGATCCAACATTCGCAGTTGCTGCCCATTTTGGAGAACGACTTCCTAGAGCACAACGAAGATGTCTTTGCGTGCCAACACTACATGGATTCCATGTTGCATGCTGAGGATGATGCGGTGGACAACGAAATCAGGGAGGTGGAAGAGCTGCCGCCCACAGCAACCGACGAGCAGCGGCCAGGTTTATGCGTTACACGCACATACACAAGTTCGGATTCGGATCATCGTCATATGCCTCGTCAGCACAGTAGTGACGGCGGTATAAGCGCCACTCAGCAGGCTGGGGATCAGGTATTTGACGCGGTGCCAGTGGATGAGCCAGATTCCCGTGAAACACGCACCAAACCACAGCAACGGCATGATACGAGATTCATGATTCCATCCCTAGAGGACGAAGGACACCTGCAGCCACCCGTGGCTGCGTACCACGAGGATTACACGTTCGATTACAACGGCCCCCTCAACGCGAGTAGGGCGGACCTTCACTCCGACATTGCCATACCCGTTCGACTGGGCACGGGGGCGTTTATAGACACTTATCACGGCAATACATTGGGCACTGTACCGTTGGGACGTGGCTCAGCAGTGCCGCGGGAGTTGGAAGTTACACAGGAGCCCCTGGAGCAGCGCTCGACGAAGAACTACGGGCGCAAGACAGAGGTTTTAGACATGTACGGTACCGGATATAATGTGCCAACTGTGCATCGGGATGATAACGAAACAGCGGCATTGGGCTCGATGCCGACATCAGTTGTGCTCCCGTCAACGTCGGCGGCTGCGCCTTCGGAGGAGGCGGTGCAGCATAAAATCGTTAAACGGGGAACGAAATGTGATCGGATACCTGGCACAGTTGCAACAAATGGTATACCTCACAAGGCAGAGGAATCAGCAGACACACCTACGGACCACGCCGGATACGGTATTCCGCAGCTGTCGCCCATCGCAATACCGCCACCAAATATAACCAACTGGCTCGGCGGCACGGATACTGCGTACACTCCATACGGGGATGACGGACAGACTGTACCAGGAGACGACAGCGGCGTCTTTGGTGAGAGGCCGGGTAGACATAGGCGACATGATCCCGTCGCAGAACAATCTTATGGCTATGATCATCAGCACATGACAGCGTCCCGCTCTACGCATTTGGCCACGTCACTTCAGTCCATAGACGCGGAGACTCAAACGCATACCGCCGGTGAAAGCAGATTAGCGCAGTCCGGGTGGTGGGAAGGCAGTGCTACACATCACGACGCTTCCTACAAAGCGCACATTCCACGGCCACCTGGTGTGTACCCTTCTGCTTTACATACTGCATCCATGTATAAAGACGACTCGGACGTTCCCAAGCCGGACGCGCTTATGCCCGCTCACCACATGCTGATAAAGCAGCGGCTGCAGAGCAACCTGCGGGAGACCCAGGCACACCTATCGCGTATCCCGTCCCGCAAGATAAGCCATGTTCTCAGCCAGTCGCATGGAAGGCTGTTCATGAACCAGTCTGCCCCTGAGGGAGGTGTCTAGATGCACCCTCAGACCATCGCAACCGTGTTCGTCTTTGGCACATCGGCAGTCACACATTGACTCACTACTGACGACATACATTTGCGTCATCTTTGTGTATGTTGTTGGAGGTGTGTTGTATAAGATCTCGAGTTGGCCGCCTTTTGTTCCTAGACGCCCGCCCCGCACGCTGTCGACTCGGCCGTGCACGTTGTCTCATCTGGCTCTCAAAGATAGATTGGCTTTGTTGCCATTGCAGATGCGTTGCATGCTATTCTGTAGCAATTGTTCTGAAAGTAGCAGTATTACCCGGCGACAGTTTACCTTCTCAAACCTGTGGTAACACTCGGACCACCCGTTGCACCTGAGCTTGCGTTTCCGCCGAGATGCGCACGTTTCGCATACACATGCTGTGACATTTGCTCACGACACCTTGCCGCGTGATGCTACAGGTCGTAATATTTACCTTCCTCGATTGGTTGGGTGCTCTCGCCTCAAGACCCCTCGCCATGTCTTCTTGCATCATTTTGAATGTCCGCTTCCATGAAGTAATCTTGGGAAACGGCTCAGATTTCGACAGTGACACCGGCATTTAAGCTACTCGCATGTCCTGTCGGTTATGATTTTTAGCCTTCCATGAGCGTTTTACTAGCACCAAGCCTATTGTCCCAGGGCACTGGCAACGTAACTTCCGTTCAATAATCAACATTCCGTTTCTTCCAACATGCAACCAGTCTGCACTTTCAAATCGCACAATCCAGCCTCTACGCTGATCCATAGCCCTTACGAAACTGCTACGTTCGCTTTAATGTATAACCCGTAATGATGATGGAAATCGTCGCCTGTAAAGATTTCACCGCCTAGACAACATGCAGTTTGACACCATATCAGACCACCGCTCTACACATGCACATGTAAAGGCCCATTAGCGCTCCAAAGCCCGTGGGGCAGCGGTGGGGCACATAAGACATGGGCATTAGAGGCAGCAATTTCAAATACCAGCAGCATATGCAAATTTATATGTAGAAAAGTTATTTCAGTGTGTTTCTCCACATTCATAGGGCTGTGGAGATAGTACCCGTCGCGCGTTATTGTGTATTGAACGTCGTTCTGTTACACATTTCTCGAGGCAGTGTCCTGACGAGAGGCGCATGATCGTTGAGCCGACAATTACGTATTAATCCTCCATCTCATTGGGAGGATAATTTTGTAGGTTCAGCCGCTACGAAGGTGTACGGAGACCTCGACGGTTTGATGTATATCACGCAGATGTGCAGCCAACTGTTCGGTGTCTACGTTAATTCCAACTACGTCTGCCATAACCCAATAGGGCGGATACGGTGTGCTTCCGCTTCCAAAGAATGGCGCCTAAAACACTCACGCAGTGCCCCGAGAACCTTCGGGAAGCCATCGATTGGCTGCTTCAAATCAAGGCAGAGGGCAACCTTCCAAAGCTGGCTGCAGCCGTGAAGGGGTTCATAGACAAGGCTGTTGAGGAAGTTAAAAAGAGCCTTGAAGAGAGGAAAAAAGAACTTTTATGCCCTGCAAATTTCGAGCATTGTACTGAGAAGAAGAACCTTATTAACAATACGAAGGATGCAATTAAGGAACTTCAATCTCGAAATTCTGATGAATCTTCTAGCACATCTCCGAATGAATCCGAGTTAATTAGGTTAAAATCCGTCTTAAATAAACATGAATCCGAGAAAGAAAAACATTATAATGAAGTTCATTACCTTACTGATGAAGCCAGAGAAAGAGCGTTGAAGGATCTGGATGCCAAGTTGTCTGACTTAAATAAACATAAACCAAGTCTTACCAAATTCACGGACCGAGCTGCCTTTGAAGACACTTTACTGAAGATTTCTTCTGGTTTAGAGGATTTCTTAGGTTATGTGTCTGGGAATTACACTGGTCAGGGCATTGTGTATGCCGAATGCGATCGTCTGCGGGACGCCGTTTTAATGTTCTTGCATGGAGCGCTGGAGAGTGTAAAGGCAGACAGTGCTGTAACAACCTATGGCAGTGATCATAAAGCAAAACTAAGTGATATTGCTAGAACAGTGTATTATTCAGTTGGCAAGGGTGATACGTCGTTTACAGATGGAATTGGTGAAGTCTCCAATTGGTTGACTAATTATCATGAACATCTTAATCTGAAGATTAAGCTTGTTAATGATAAATTCCATGAAATTCTAACTGAACATCTTAACGGTTCTAAAGGTTTCAAAAAGTCCCTCGAAAGTTTCAATAAGGCTTCACACCAAAAGCTCGGTGACGTCTCACATAAGCTAAAGAAATGCATCAACAAGGCCGACAATTTAGAATCCACGACACTGCAACACGCCTTAATTGCCTATAAACTTTTGGACTCCAACCTTAAGGAAATGCTTCGGGAGTCTGTCGACAAAGTTGAGAGGTTAGTTAAGGAGTTCGCGGCGTCGGCGCAGAATAGTGATCTGCTTGAGGTGTCGGCAAAGGTTGATGAAAAATTAGGAGATTTACCGATTGATGTGGAGCGTAACATTAAGGATGGTGGACATCAGGCCGTGGATCAATTTGGAGGTACGATGGCTACACTGCACAACGGTATTGTTACTCTTAAGAATGATCAATTTAACGAGTTGAAGGGGTCTGTAAATTCTGGGCTTAAAAATTCCGCTCATCAAGTTACCAGTAAGATGGATAGTGTTTTCAGCGAGTATAAATCTAAAATAATCTCCACTCTTCAGACTCTCCAGTCCAAAGTTCTACTTCTCATCGCCAAACTCATCGATGCGCAGGCTGATGAACTTGCAAACAAAATAGAGAGTCATTTGGAGAGTTTGCCGAATGCTGTGCTTAGGGGGCAGGTCGGGAATAGCGGGACGTATGAGAGCATGTTGAATGGTAAACAATCTGCGATTCGAGACTTAAGAGTCCAACTTAAAAGCCCCAGTGCACATGAAAACATTAAGCAGTACAAAGATCAATTTTTAAGCTTACTTCCTACGGTTTTGGACGCTATAAATAGAACAAACAGCGCCTGGCAGAAAGAAATTCAGCAGCAGCTTCAGGACTTGGACTCTGATATTAAAAATCTCCAAGCATCGTCTACCAACATAGAAGTGCAGTTGCGGTTAGCAACATTTGAAAAACAGCTGGATAATCTTAAAATGCTTGCGAAGTCTGTTGGTGATGAGGGCGTAAACGAGAAATTGAAGACTGCAAATGGCGAAATGGTAAGGCTTAATCAAGAGATTAGACGAATGGGCGGAAATGTAAATTGGTGGGTTAGCCAATACAAAAAGGATTTTGAACGTGCCATGCGTATCGGCAAAGAAGTATCTCAGAAGCTGGCAACTCAAATTAAGGCAAAACAACCAAAAGTACCTGCTGCTGGGTCTACGTATACTGTTAAGCCATCTAAAATTGATGAGTTGTTGGAAAAATTTGAAGCTGACGTTAAGGATAATGTTGATAACCTAATTGAGAAAGTTGGACTGAAGTCAGATGTGTTAGAAAGTGTCCACGAATCATTGAAAAATCTTAAAGATAAGATTTGGACGCTTCAAAGTGCAATTAGGAGTCTTACAGACCATGTCTCAATCGTAGAAAGGACGCTGCAGCACTGGATCGACAAGGCCACCCGTGAACTTGCATCCGCTGTCCAACAGGCCAAGGCGACCATCACCAAGTTGGCGCAGCAGATGAAAGAGAAAGTTCAGGCAGAGTTGGAAGCTATAATCAAGGAAGTTCAAACAAGGTATTATAGAACTATGGACGCCAAGCTTACAGAGTTAAATGAGAATTTAACGGCGGAGATTACAAATATTAGAGAAGTAATGGATGAAGACGTGAATAATGGAGTGAAAGGCTTGTTGAGACAGTTAAATAGTTTTGTAAGTGGCGTAGGTAACATTAAAGATATTAAGTCGTCCACTCATCGAAGCTTCGATGCTCCCCCAACATCTTCACTGAGTTTAGCTGTATTAATTGTGAAAATAAGCTTTAACCGTTTCATAAAGGGGGTATCTAAACAAAGTGACGCTAAATCTGAGGAGTCAAAAATAAATGAAGTCTCCGAAAGTCTGGAAAAACTGTTCCAGCAAATCCACAAGTCGGAACAATTTGATAATGATGTGACTATAAAGCGTGAGAAGCTTAAAGACAAGTTGAATAGGTTCTCTGCTGAGACCATGGATGACGCTCCCAAAACAGTGTTGAAGCCTTTGAAAAATGGCCTCGAGGAATTTGTTGAAGAGCTTCAGAAGGTGTATGTGTCAAAGTATACTTTACAGAAGTGGAATGATGAAGAGCAAGAAAAATATGCAAAGGTATTTTGTAGTATTCTTGAAATTCTTAGCGCGGATTTGGATATTTTGCGAGGTGAATGCAAAAGGGATGGAAATGGTTGGAAACGTAAAAACATTCATTTAAAAGATCAAAAAAATAAAGAAAACCTACTTGGAGACTTCTTCAAAAAGCGTGGTTACCGCGTTGCTTTAGGTTATGACGGGCAGGATGGTGAGTTGCAAAATAGAGCGGATTTCACGGGTAGTGATATTCTTAAGCTTCTCACCAAAAGTAAAAATGTGTTCAACTCCCCTAACAATGATAAAGGTTCCCTGTATGATCTTTATGAAAATCTCGACACTTACTATAATTTGTGTCAGCTCAGGCATTTCCCTGATGCCAAGCACCCGTGCACTGTTAAAGATATGCTGCTTTGGCTGACCGGACTGTGGCATAATTCTATACTAGACCCACTCAAAGATCACATTAAGGAAAATTTAGTAGCATCCGAAAGATACAAGGATTCAGATCATCTTACCATCCCTCCTGAGGAACTAACATTAGAACCGGCATCTCCCGTCACAGCTACGATTATATTTGATACTGTGCAAGCAATATGCACGCAATCACATAACGTGTTAATCACCATCCTGGGTCATGGTGATGCATCCGCCACTTATGCCTGCGACTTTGTCAACAATTCCTCAGGTTTATATTATCCCTCCACCGGCGAAGATTGCCTGCACATGCTGATTCACATCTTCCGTCTATTGTTCCCCATCCTCAGATTTTTGGAAAGCCAGTGTGGTAACCCGGCATCCGACTATGGTTGGTTTCAGTGCAAATACGGCAAAGACGTCCAACCCTCGGACTGGCACTGCGATGATCATTTAAAGACTCATATTGATTGTAACCGCAGGTCACCACTCATGTCATACCTTACTGACCGCTTACTCGGTTACTTGCCTCACCAAATTGGCGAAATTGGTTGTGAATCCAAATGTTCGACGTGCATATACACTTCCAAGCCGGGTATGCCTTGTCTGGCTCCCTTAGGCTTTAGGGATTTTTCTTGCAGTAAACGTAGAGGTATGGACATCTGTGATATTCTCGAAAAATTCTTCAGTACACCTAATCTTACAACCCTGTTCTGCCTCTTACCCATACCGCCTGCAACGCTGCCAGAGCATTTTGCATTTGTGTTATCGCTAGTTAGGGAGCTGCAGAGTGATGGCACTCATTCTTTCAAAGACGCAATGGAAACATCCATCATCGGCTTATCCATTGGCATCTATGATCAACCCACGGTTCTCACCAATGCGTTTTGTGATACCTATGGTTCGGAGTATGTCTCACATAAGAATTGCGACAAGCCTCACGTCATTACTCTAACAACCTCAAACATATGTTATGGCAAGAGTAAGGAAGTATACTGGGCTCCATATCTCCATTCCTTATGCACTGATTTATACCAAGTTTTTGTCAAGAAGGACTCCGACGTCTACCTGTCATGGGCTGTCTATGCACCATGGTTTTTGCATGATTTCATGACGCGCTTACAGGAGGCATTCTGCCAAATTTCCTGCAAAGAATGGGGGTGCAGCGAATGCTTGGATGGCGATAAGTGTAGGCGTTGGCGGCATGGCCTAGTTGAAAAGGTAGAAGGGCAGCGTGATAAACCTCTTTGCCAATGCCTTTCCGTTGTCAGCTGCAAAGGGGTTTCGCCAACATTGTATAAGTATGGGTTTAGATTTGGTGATGCATTTACATTGAAAGACGAAAGCACTCGTAGGTCGTGTTCCAACTTCTTTGCTCACCTTCAAGATGTGTTGAATTCAGAAGACTTCAGAAACCTATTTGAAAAGTGTGATGAGTACCTATTTAAGATCAGAGGACCATTTATCTGGACAATGATCGCCCTCTGGGTCTTATCCATTCTATATTTCGCCTACGCCATCATATACCGCCTTGATGTGTTCTACATCCGTCCGCACATGAGGCCGCCGTTGTCACACAAGATCTCTGCGCAGTCGCTACTGGGATCGCCAGGCATTCCTAGCCTTGCCAAGTTAACGTACCTGCAACGTTGAGACGTCGGCTAAACTCGCTCATCTAGCTCACCCAGCCCACCTAGCCAAAACACGGGACATAATGTAGTTTCACGTGTTAGATTCATAATAAGTGTTGTGGAAGACGCAATGAGGCATGTAGTCAGCGATTTATTAGTTAAGTACATAGCATGGTGATGACACGCTGGGCGGCCATAGGATGTAGAGGCGTCCCTATAGGTGAGAATCCAGGTGATGCTGGGGTGCTCATCGACGTGGTAGTCACTGAACGGAGTGATTAAAGGACAATTAAGGACTATATTGTAGAAATGACTAAAACTGTACAGCGCTGTAGCTCAGCCGAGCAGTTCGCAGCATACCTGTTAAGTGGCACAAAGTAAATGTTAACAGTGTTGTGACTGCGTTAGTGAGACGTATACTGTTGTCTACGATGTCTTAGTCATTATATAAGCATCTTAACTTGTCACTTCATGTAATAGTTGTGGATTCTCATAGCATGTCAAGTTTGCGAGATCTCAGATCATGCTTACCCCAGCAGCAGGTGGTTGGCGTCACGCATGTATAGATAAGAGAATCGTACATCGTCGGCTGACCAAGGGTTTAAGAAACTTAAGGTACGTTTTTGAATGTGTACGGGGTTGATTGTTAAGTGATCTGCAGAGTTTAAGATGAAGGCAAGCGTAGGCGCCGTATTTCGCGTCCTCTTCTTTGTATTTCTTTCCATCGCATTACATGTGCGGGCTAATGGGCGCTCATGGTCAATGGAAAAAGCTCGCAACCACTGCTCTGGCAAACCTCGAGCCAGTGGGCTACCAGATATCAGCGAAAAGGATAAGCAGGCTATATTAAATTTCCAGAAAACTCATAAGCCACCAAAAACTGGTAACGCCCTCAGATCGAACAACATGTATTATCCCTGGTTGCCTGCAGTGGCGAATTTGGACTACGGTAGCCCAATTTAATAGGCAGCGTCTTGTTGATTCGTCTGATCAAGGGAACTATTCTCTCAATATGTTTATCAATTATGTTTTGATATATACATGTCCTTTGTATCCTTTGGTTACTGTTATAAACATGCTAATCGATAGACCTAGCAAGCAACCTAGCAGATAATTTATTAGAGGTATTAAGAGGGCACTGTCGTGGCGGGATGTGGGTGTTAGTGCTGTCATCGCATCAAGTAATTAGAAAGTGACGATGTGTGATACGCCATACGGGTGTTCAAAGGACACCATCTCCATGGTGGATATCGGGATTGCCAATCAAGACAACCTGGTGGAGACGGAGATCATGACGACTCTGTCAAAAATACGCTCATGCCAGGGCCTGATGGCCGCCATCATGAATGGCGCCAGTAACGTTCGGCACCAGTATGGTGTGCAGCCCGCAACTGACACCAGCAGCGTAAGGCGCTTGCCTGGTAAACACGAAAATTCACCCAAAGCCACATAGCACGCTATACAAAGCCACAACACAGATAAGTGAAGAGAAGTCATTACGTTGGCGTCGTGGAAGCAATGTCCGGAACAGTGCGATTGTGACAGATGCCGGAGGTGATTAAAGAATGCGATGCAAATGGTCACTTGCGGACGAAACAACCGCGGACCTTGTGGAACGGCCGGATACGTTTCACGATCATGACGCAGACGGCGACTAGGATGATGAAGATGACGGTGACGATGATGGGAGTGGCGATACCGGTGGTGTAACCGTCGTCACGGGCGGAAACAAGGGCAGCGGTGACAGAGCGTGGACAACAGCCACATGAACAAGATGGTTTACATAAATTTCGGCAGTTCTTAGGGTCACATTGTATAAGACGCATGTCTCCACGACTGTATTCATATAAACATTTGGTGCAACCGTCCCCTTCATCGCCACCGTCAACATTACACCCCTCACAACACAAGATACAGCATATACACTTGTTATTACAATCATCTCGTGTTGCACATTTACACACTAGTGACGTCATTTTCCTGCGTCTCTCTTGTTATTAACCTGCACAGGAATGAAACTCGTACCTTAACCTCGAACCGCCAACCAGTCTCCGATGAGCGTTATGCGACCCACCGCCAGGGATACCAGAACGCACATGCGGTGCACCACAAATGCTCTTCTATTCGAATTATGGACGGTATATGTACTGTATACTTGCCAAGCTATTAGTGCCCTAACCACAGGCTAGCTGAGCTACGGTGCGTGTTTAATATATTAGTGGTCACCACAATGTTGCTATAAATGCCACATAACCAGGCCGTTCAATGGCCATCTCGTTGGAGAGTCCCGGAGTCGTTCATTGCCTAGAAACGCAGATTATAACCAACATGTCAACTACTCACCTAACAGAAACCGAGTAACTCAGCTAGCACAGCAGTAGTCGTCAGTGGATAATGGAGCACAATATGGCAGTTGACGAACCATGTTAATCGCAAGGTGTGGTTTCACGCTTTTCCCACACTAATAGAGCCCTCAATAGCATTATCTTGTATGCCTCACCAGTGCAAATAGAGTTATTATGCAGCACTCTTGATATCATTGGTGAAGTATAGCCCCAACAGCGAACCTCAGAATTTTGTGACGTGACTTAACAGTAACAGTGTTTTGCCACTACACGTCGCCATCCAGAATCCTTACGTTCCACCCAGATGACACAGTTCCTGACCATACCAAGTGATTATCTACAGTGATTGTAGTCTGTCTACACGTTAACTTTTGGTGCGGTTGGGTTGTTTAATGGAACATGGTTAAGTCATTGTAATAATCAAAGCAGATATCGTTCAAGTGTTGGTACTTCTAGCAATGGGGTACTTATGATAGTAAGGCTTCCAAAAAGCTTGACTGAGCAAACCTAGACACCGATACCCATTCAGAGATGGGCAATCCGTAGACACGTTATATTAGTTGGCAGCTATAAACACGCATAAAAACAGTAACCATGTCGATACCGTGGGCTATGAGAATCGTCGATCCTACATCGTTGAGTGGGCATTCAAGGCATCGCCGTCGGTACCCTGTGCTGGAAGGGTACTTGATATATGGTGATGGTGTATTGGAAGATTGAAGACGGTGAGGCATGTAGAACATTGGCAGCGTTAGCATGGCGAATAACTAGGCATTTCGGAAGGCATAGTAACACTGTACCAACAGCAATGGTGACACCTCTAAGATGGAAATGCACTATACAGTTAGGAATAGCAATGATTAAGCCACTTCGTATCCCAGACAATGCTTGTTCGTTCAACGCTTTTCATGATCGTCGATCGCCATCGCTCATTTGGTCTGTGCGGGTAGCAACATCGCAATGTAGTTGGTGAAGTGAGGCGTAAAGATTCTTTTTGGAGATCAAAGGCTGAAAATCGGCATTAGAAGCATCAAATGTGGACAAAAGTTAAATATGATGCAGTTGATGATGGAGGTGTAGTTGGAGAACGAAGCATCGCAACTGCTGGGGAACGTAAAGTGCAGCGGGGAAAGCTTCTGTTCTTTTTCTCGGGAAGTTAGTTGCACATTGCCCAACACAGAGAAATCAGGATCATATGATTACTTCTCAAACGTATGATGCTATAATAGCAGGATTCATTTAAGTAGCTCCGTCGTTTTTTAAGTCATGCAAAGTGTACCTTCTACACCCCGCGTCCAGAGTGGGAAATTGCACAACGGAAGCAACGACCTTCGACCATTATTACAATGCTGTGCAACATTATTTATAGTGTGAAATAAATAACTCATGTGTATTGGATGCGAAGGAATCTGTTGTAGATCCATGTTAATTGAGTATTCCATATATCAACATATGATTCGGAGAAGCGTTTTATTTTCTGAACAGTATAAGGCAGCAATCACTGCTAAGGAATACCTTTCTATACATCTTGGGTTTTGTAAGGAAGGTGAGGAATCTCCCGACTGATACCCACCATATGGGTGCTTTGTGGGTCGTTGCGCAGGGCTGGTTGTTTTAGTGGCGTCATATCGCTGGGACTGCCGGGGGCTGCCATTTCGTTGTTGCGGCAGGATGGTCATTACTGCGCAGCGCTTCCTGCGTAAAAGAGCCGAAGATGGCGGGGGCGAAGACCAACAAAAATTGCGAAGGATGTCAGAATAAATCCGGTTCAAGCAACGAAAACTTCTGCTGTCCTGTAAAATGTCCTGGCTGTGAGGCCAATTGCAATGGCAAACTCAACGTTAAAGCCTGCAAGTGCTATTATTTTCGCTGTGGATGTGTGAATGATTGTAATGAGACAGGTAAGGACTGTGGAGGAAAAAGCAGTAGTTGTCGACGCTGCCAGGAAAAATGCGTGGATGTTGATAAATTCGGTAAGAATTGTGTGTGTTTTCGTTGTAATTGTGGGACACAATGTAACGGCTACCTCTGTGCCTGCTGTAGCTGGTGTAATCCCGGCAAGTGTCCGGGGACGTGCTACGGGTACATCCTTGGGAAATGCCCAGAAGGCAAATGCAAAGGCCACGGCACGTACGATGATAACGGTCGCCCCGTATACGTAAAAGAATGCAAGTGTAAACCCGGAGGACCATGCGAATGCCTCCGCGGTAAACCCCAACGTGACACCAAATGCAGATGCATCTTCGGCGAACCAGACAAAGACGGCAACTGCGTAATCACATGTGACAAGTGCGGCAAATTGTGTCGTCAGCACACATTTGCCCGCCGATGCACCATAGGAAGCGTCATTCTTGCAATAGCAATGGTCCTATTCTTTGCCTGGAATAAGTATCCTGAAAAATTCCGAAAGGTGTATTATGAGCTACGTGCTGCATTTGCTAACTCGTTTAAATACTCCGGCACATCCACGAATCTCGCCGGTGGAAGGATTCCCGAGGAGATGGACACTAATGAATACTCCGCCTTCCCGTTTAAGGGCCTAATGTAGCATCACCTAACTCACTTAATATACAGGTAGCGCAACAACTGTCTTTTTTTAAATGTAGTAGTGTATATTGCCGCCTTCCTTCTCATTTTCGTCTGTGACCTCTCCTAACATTTGATCCCCTCCAACAAATTACGTTCTAAAGTCAGTGATGATTCCGAGTGTATGATCGCATGCTCCTCTACCAACCGAGACGATATTTCCTAACCTTACTTATTTGCCGTAAAGTTCCTGAGCATTGTGAGTGCAAACGCTGTATACCGCAAATCTTCATACAGGTTCAGGGTACATTTGACCTTTGCATTATTATGTTTTACGGTCACTCCTACATCAACATAACCGCTTCTCTTTAATTCCTACGTAGCAACGAACTCCTCAAATGCCATACAACCAACCATCAGCCTTGGCTGCCTGTCATACCCTGATACATTGCCTTTATAAATGAGACATCGTTCCGACTAGGAATAATTTCCACCATTCATAACTATATTGGTCACCTAAAATCATAACCCTAATAAAAGGTACATGCAATACCAACAATGTTGCACCATAAACGTCAACCAAAATCAGCAATAAAAACATCAAACGCAAAACGCATATAAGCGCAGAATATACAATCATTATCTAGTGTGCTCTAAGTATACTGTTGCCATGTTCATGCCATTAGGAGGCAGTGAGCAGGTACGCAACGCCGAAGTGGCAACTTCACACGTCGACCAGTTGGCGCAGACCACTGGCGATCTCTTCGTTCAGAGCCTTTAATGTAGTCTGGAACTCTTCCTCCGGCGTTGATGGGTCGGTGAACTTGAGCCCGGTAATCTTGTTGATGGTGGCGCGCATTGTGTTGTAGATGGTACCCCAGCCGAGCTTGTGGCCGCGTTTCCCCGACTCCGAGATGGCCTTCAGACACTCGTTGTAGAAGTTCACGATGCAGTTGAGCATGCCGGCGGTTTTGTACAGCGGGCATTTGTAGTCGTAGTCAGTGAAGGAGTTCTGCTGAAGGAAGTCCTCCCGAATGATCTTGGCCACCTCCAGGGTAACTTTCTGGTCCTCTGACAGCGAGTCACGTCCGACCAGCTGTACTATCTCGAGAAGCTCGCCCTCCTTTTGCAGCACATTCTTTAGCACCTTGACGCCGGGCATGAAGTCGGGGCAAGACTCCTCGAAGAAGTTCTCCAGCTGCTTCTCGTACTTGGAAAAGGAAGTGGTCCAGTTTACTGATGGGAAATGCTTCCTCTGCGCCAACTTCTTGTCGAGACCCCAGAACACCTGGACAATCGACATGGTCGCAGCGGTGACGGGACAAGAGAAGTCACCACCTGGTGGTGACACCGCACCTACGATGGTGACCGAACCTTCACGCGAAGGTGTACCGGTGCATTCCACAGATCCCGCACGTTCATAGAAAGCCGACAGACGAGACGCCAAGTACGCCGGGTAGCCTGAATCGGCGGGCATCTCGGCAAGACGGCCGGAGATTTCACGCAGAGCCTCAGCCCAACGGCTGGTGGAGTCCGCCATCATGCAAGCGTTGTATCCCATATCCCTGAAGTACTCACACAGTGTGATGCCGGTGTAGATACTGGCTTCCCTAGCCGCGACAGGCATGTTGGAAGTGTTGGCAACGAGGCACGTACGCTTCATGATGCTGACCTCTTTGCCGTCGACGGTGGTTTTGAGCTCCGGGAACTCCTTGAGGACCTCGGCAATCTCGTTACCACGCTCACCACAGCCCACGTAGACGGTGATGTCGGTGTTGCCGTACTTAGCTAGGGCCTGTAAATTAGTATTAAAACTGGCAAACGTGTACCGCAACTCACGTGTGAAATGCAGGTCTTTCCACAGCCGAAAGCTCCTGGGACAGCGCAGGTTCCGCCCATAACCGCAGGGAAGAGAGCGTCAAGCACACGCTGCCCGGTGAGTAGCGGTCTGGTAGACGGCACCTTTTTCACTATCGGCCTTGGCTGGCGCACAGGCCATACATGGTACATCTTGCAGACCTTCACTTCACCCAAACTCTCTACCTCCAACAATTTCTCCTCAATGTTGTAGTTCCCCGCGGGTGCGGCGTAGGTGACCTTTCCGCTAACGTTCGGCGGGACCATGATGTGGTGCTTGGTGAAGATGTCGTTTTCCGCCACGGTGCCGAAAATGTCACCACCGGTGACCATCGATCCCACAGTGATGTCCGGGTTCGGCGTGTACGGCCAGATCTTAGTGCGGTCCAGCGAGGGCATGTTGACGCCGAGGGGGACGTAGTACTCTTGGTATTCCTCGTAGATACGATGCAACGGCCTCTGCGTTCCATCAAAGACATTGTCCAAAATTCCGGGGCCAAGCTCGACTGACAGCGGCATACCCGTATTCTTGACGGGGTCGCCCACCCGGAGTCCGGCTGAAAAAGGATTAGGTTACACGTATACAAACAGGATACACGTTAGTTACGTTCACATCCGACACAGAGGTTGCACCGTTCATGAAACGCCGTGTGAACGCAACTAACATGGGATATATTTTCGCATGTTCAACAAGCAAAGCAAGGCACGGATGCATCGCCACGCCAGAAACACAACCACAAAATTATCAACGTTCGTGAATGTTAACACAGTGTAAAGCACACACGGTTGTACATGATCATGAATAAGACATCAACAATAGATACAACATTCGAACGGAGTTCGATAAGCAATAAAATCGTTGACACAGAGCTCGTAACAAGCCCAGACAGCAACAAATTCACCAAATGGCGCCATATCGTACGTAACCATGAGAATTACGGCGTACAAAACAGCGCCCTAAAGAGGTGTTACATCGCACACCCCTGTGACCTGGCCAATACGACGTCCAGCACATTTCCCACCAACGACAAGGCAATCATAATAACAGGATGAAGATATAATCATTTAACACTCCACTTACATGTGCTCTCGTAGACCTGGATAAAGACAGAGTTGCCATCGATGCGGATGATCTCTCCGCAAATGTTCTGCGGGCCAACATGCACCAGTTCGTACATTTTGGTCCCCGGCATGTTCTCCGCGATGACCACTGCGCAGCGGTGAGTAAGTATAAGCCATTTTGCGAAGCGCCGAGCGCGATGTGTACAGCGACCGAACGGAAGCGTGAACGTCTAACTTACATGGTCCGGAGACCTTGTAGATGGTACCGCACGGCTTGGAGTCCATTGTGTCGACGTTAGGGGTATATATTATCGTGAGTGCCAGCGAATTCAGCCCAGCTGACCGCACCGCCGCCGGCTGTAGGGGCGGCGCTCGCGCCCAGGGGCGCAAGACACACCGTGCTGATATTTTAACGTAATGTAGAGTTTAAGAAAAACAAAAATTCGAGAAAAACCATACGATAGCTAAAACTGTAAAATACGACATCTTTTGCATATTAGTTGCCTTCCTCGTTTGCAACGACGGTGAGCGATTGCCAGCATATGAAGAGTTATTCGGTAATTGCTGTGATAAAAGGCATGGACAAATTGGTTCGCGAGCAAGCGGAGGGCTGAAAGGCGACGGAGACAGCAATCAGCTATATGCACGCGTTTGCTACTCCAGTTGCCAATGCTTTAGGGGAGAGATTACGAGACGGTGTTTGCGTTCCTGTCGCCTACACCTATCTCTGGCATGGCGTATATTCACGCATCATTCGGTAACGCGCGTCGGAGTGTAAATTTCGCCGCTGATACGCGGCGTACATAGGCTGGTCAGTCCGGTCACTTGCGTCCCAACGTTCGATCATTTTGCACCATCATATTCCGGATATTTGACGTTAGACAGGTCGTATGTCGCGAAAATATTTTAAAGTACACGTTCATATTGGATTTTAGTTTCTTTGAGGGGGAAATTACGCCTTTTGCGGGTGACTGGATTGCAGTGCAAAGGAGTCCTGCGGGTCGTTACGTTCCATTTTTTAAAAATTGGCCCTAATTAAATGTAAAAGCATTGAGTTGTGCGTACTGGGGGCAGATGAAGGCTACGTCGCATCCATTAGGGGTTGAAAGGCGCCCTGCCAGGGCCGGCCACCTAAATTCGCCTAGAAGGGGCACAACCGCGCTGAGGGAACACGCTTCTTTTCCTTCTGACGTATTTTCAGCACTATGGCGTCGGTCAGACCGTGCTGCTCGTGACGATATCTCTCCTACTGCCTTGCGGAGCAAGTCTGCTGCGTCGCGTCAAATAGTGCCTAAGTGGAATGGCTGGCGCTACAAACACGATTCCGATGGCGCGTCGGAATCGAGCGGATCTTGTCAAGAGGCACACACGACAAGCACGTACACAACGGCGCTCTACAATAAGCTGTCTTCAATGTTCTACGAGTTCAAGGGGTACATGTACAGCAATTGGCAGATGTACAGCGCAGCTGCCAACGATAGGCCGTCAGCGTCGGGGCAAATAGAACCATGCAACCCTACGTCGAAGCGCTTCATGTGGACCATGGATAGCCTGGTTGGCAACAAAGGAAATGCCGACCCGTTCGTCGCGTTCATCCCCAGCTTCTCGACCTTGAAGCCGGGCTACGAGTTCAGCGACGCGTTCGTGCCACACCACGACCATTTCGTGGACTGTTTCGCGTTGTTCATTGAGGGCAGCGCTTCGCCGGGGAACACCACCGAGCCTCTGCGGCGCACGGAAAGCAACACCTCGGTGGAGAGCATGGGCGACAACCTGATTTGCGAGCTTGTGAACAAGGTTTCGCAAGAGGTTATTTCTGAGTCCGGGCCGTATCAATGCGTTTTCGAGGAAGAAATTGATTCCCGGACGCCAAACGATGGCCTACGCAATTTGATGAGCGAATTGCCGATAAGTAGCGGGAGGATTAAGTTCTTTCAAACCATAAAGTCGCTGGGAAAGACTTGGGAAAATCGTCACAGGCGTCAGGGCAGCCCGGTTTCGAGAGCATCGGATCCTGGGCCTGTCGAGTGTAGCTCCCCCGCCAGCTACATAAAGAACCGCCTTGGGGTGCTCAGCGAGTACCTGGCCCGTAGGTCTGAGGGGGCGCTCAGCGCAGCATCGTTGAAGTCATACTTCGGCAACCTGCGTGCAAGGCGAAGTGCCGACTCCGGAGACTCGTCAGCAAGCGACGAGAACGCGCGAAACCGCCTGGAGGAGCACATTCAAATTCACACAGGACACTGGGACGAGTTCCAATACGACGATATCGAGGTCATCCTCCGAGACGACGACAACAACTCGGTGGTGCAACTTCCCTACGGGTGCGTTATCATGTGATTCGCAGCGCATTGGGACGGGAAGATGCTTGCAGCCCCGCGAGCGACAATCGATCTCACGGTGAGATTCCCTCTGGGCGGCTTGGTTCCAACACACGAACGATGGTCTACCGGTATTGATCACACGGTTTTTAGTCTCAAAGGTGTATTTGTAAGCTATTAACGCTGCTTGCACTCCTTGAGGATCCGCTTGCCGACCTCGCCGTCGGGCGTCAGGTCGCGGAGGAAGTGAACGATGTCGACCCGGTCCTGGAAGTTCGGAAGCCCCGCGAAATTCATCCCCACCACGGCGCTAACGAAACGCTCCGGATTCTTCATGTACCTGAACACGGTATAGCGCAATGTATCTTGGGGACCCTACCTCATCAGGTTCGCGTCAGTCCACACGATTCCGGCGTTCTGCAGGGTGTCTGTGATGCCCGTAACGCTGTCGTGACCGGTCGCTCCGGCCGTGCGGCAGTACACGTTGAACAGCGTCGGTCCGATGGTCGCGAAACCTGCGCAAAATTAGCCATTAAGCGGTGAGGTGCCCAGTGAACATCCCACGATGGAACGCTGCCAAAAATGGCGGCAACAAACACGTATAACACCTTGCAACGTAGCACTATTAATGTTTATGTATGTATTCATGCGATGCTTTATGGAGCGTGAATTTTACATGTGGTGGCTTACGTAAAATTGGTCATGTGGAAACAACTACCACTCACGTATGCAGGTCCTCGTGCTCACTGTATGTTGTACTCACCTGAGGTTTGGCGGTTGTCAGGTCGCATTGAATGGCACTGCTGGCAGTGCTTCTTGAACAGCTTCGCGCCACGCTTGGCGTTTCCGGCCGGCAGCACAAAGTCGTCTGGGATGTCGTCCCAGTTCGCCCCGGGCGCCATTATGACAGTCGTGCCTCAAGGTACACAAATCGTATATAACGGAGCCACAGAACCCCACCACTCACATTAGAGTCCTCCTAGAGTATCATCGGATTGCATTCTACTGAACCTTATCGTCCAGACAGTTGCTCTTAGGCCCATCCCTGGAGCCTACCGAGAATGACGCCACCCTTCTGAGCGTCCACAGCGACGAGCGAGGCGATATCGCTACTTACAAAAATTATGTGAATATATACCCTGTCATACGGACGCTTCACCAGCATTCGCGGCCGACCAGGCGGCAGCGGTAAGCGCCGCCAGACAAGCACCGGCAACACATCGACTTAAAAGGGGTCGCACAAGCAACACAGAACCAATATATCAATCAGGAGGCTGACATTACGCATACAGTTGCAATGTGTGTTCTATCTTCGCGCTTAGTCGAAGAGCGAGAAACCCATGTCGTCGTCTTCCTCCTCGGGCTCAGGCTCGGCCTTCTTGGACTCGCCCTTGGCCTCACCTGCAGCGGGAGCAGCTGCGGCGGCCGCGGCAACGGGGGCGGCAGCAGCGGCACCAACGCCAGCGAAGAGTTCAGCGATGTTCTTGCCTGCCAGGGCCTTGGCGAACAGCATCGGCCTGAAGGGCTGGACCTTAACGCCGACGGCGTTGATCAGCTTGGTGATGTTCTCGGCGTTGATGTCGAGGCCCTCGTCGTAGAGAATGAGCGATGAGTAGACGCACAGCAGCTCGTCGCGCTGCTCGGCGGAGAGCTGCGACATCGGGACGGATGCCATCTTCGATATATCTGCACGAAATGTGAGCCACGCGAAAATAGTCGAAATAATTACACGAAGTGCACTTATGACGTTCGAAACAGCTGTAGATAATCAAATACACCACAAACCTCGGCGGCGATCGACCACGCGACTGATGTGGACCGCGGAAAACGCTCCCAACAGACAGCCGGGTGACGCGTGGCGCGATCTCCCGTAATAGTACCCAGCCTCTACCCCTCTTATTTAGCAATATATCGGGCGGTGAGGCGGGGCAATAATTACGGGAACACCGGCTTGCAATACACAACCACACCCATACACCCCAAGAGGGATAAAGCAAACGTACCTGTGTGGGATACTGACTTATAGTACCTGAATATGCCGCTAGATTTCTAAGCAATCAGCGCGGAAGAGTTATAACGTCAAGTGCTGGCGCAATCGGCCTATCGGCCGGTCGCCGGGCTCCCGCCCCACCCGGATTCCTACCCGCGACACCACCGGGACCAGACGGTCTTTAATGGCGGTAGCCACAAGCAGGTGTTACACACACCTTCGATAACTTCATCTACAATGGTTACGTTCCGGTGTAGAACTCGCTGTCGCGTGCTTACGTGTAGCGGAATAAGTGAATTGGCGTCTTGATTTATATGTTTGTGCCAAGGGCACTATAATCGGCTACTTCCCAGTAATCAAGCCACAAATCGGTCTAACACTTTCATTTGCTATCATTATTAAGATGTATAAGTGATTTTTTTAGAGGTTTATGTTCCTCTTGGCCATTAGTTACACATTTTGGTGTTGCTTAAACTCTATATGTTATTGGTCATCCTCTTTCCTGGCGCGCGGGGCATATCCCCGGAACTCGGAGAGCGCGGTGGCATCAGACGAGTCTAGAGGGGAGATTGAGCAGTCGATGCTCTTCTGCCACGCCAGGACTTTCCTGGGTCACATTGATATCTACTTGCTTGTCAAACTCACTTCACGTTTGCGATGTTATCCACAGTGATGCAGTTGCCGACTCTACCGCATCGTCCGACGCGGCCTGTAAGCAATTTTGTGGTCTCAGTTACTTCGACAAACCCGATATGTGCACGTACTCGTTGACGTTACGGGGCACCCCTACCATATAGACAGTGTCTAGCTGACCGGTGATATATCGAGATGTTCGGAGCATGTTGCTTACCGTGGGGAAATGCAGTCCACGTGCCGAATCCATCGAGGCGGCATACAGATGGTAATCTGTGGCATGTTAGCTGGCATGGATAGGCATCACCTACCACCGTCGGTGTCGAGTTCGTTGCGCAAGTCCTCGAACATTTCCAGAGCCTCGGAAGACTCGCGGTGGTCGTACATCCCCTTGACAACCTCGCCGCTAAAGCGCTTAGACACGTTATCACGTATGCCGAATTCGTGGTGGAGCACCTTGCACTGGCACAACGTCAGATTCGGAAACAGCTGCAAAACTCACTTTTAGCCCGTAGCGTTCCATGTAGTGGGTGAACGACAGCAACGAATGCTGTGAGCTCACGAAAAATATGGCACGTTCTCCAGGCCTGTCACGCACGAGGCTCACCACTTTGCCGACCTTGTTGCCCAGGCTGTCGGTGTTCGACACCGCAAAAAAGTGCTGAACGGAGGAAGGTACGGCCACGTATCTGTTGGCGGCGGTCTGCTCGTCGTGGTTGCGAATGATAGCCAGCGGGCATCGTACGGTGCGATATGACTGGATGAGCGTGTCGAAGAATCGGATATGGTTCCTCGAAATTGACGCCGACGCTCCCACCAGTTGGAGCTTGTTAGGGGAGAGTGCCAGCAGCGCCTGTTGGGGTATATACGTGGTGAAACGGCGATGCGCATTTACCTGGCATATTTGAAACGCCGCAGTGGGATGTTTGCGATACATGAGCTTCTTGCGCTCCGAAGCGTACTGGTTCGTCACCTTCAACAGCCGGTCTACCTCGTCGAGAATCACCATCCCCACGTGCTGCATGATCCCGCGCACGTAGCTCTTGCTCTTCGTCAGCAGGTAGACGTTGAGTTGGTTGGCGGAGCCGACGATGAACACGCTACGTGGCCCAATGTCTTCCGGCAGGTGTTCCTGGTCGTCTATAATCAGACGCACGCAGTCCTTGTCGCCCCCTGTGAAGGCAACTAGCTGCTTCGCGCTCTGAATCGCGAGCTCCTTGGTCGGGCATAGCACCATCACCCGCTGCAGCACACGAGACTCCGGGGGTTGAAACAGCCCAACAGCGCTAGGAGGAGCTGTTGATGCGTGCTCTAACAGTTCGTGCACCTTCCGAGAGCACAGCAGATCGGGAGGCACCCCGTAGTAGTACCTCAGTGCCGCGTAGAGCAGCATCGAAAATGTCTTGCCCGTAGAGGTCGCCGAATGGAACAGCGCATTGTTTCCGTACGCCAGCTCGTCGAAGAGTGCCAGCTGCAGTCGTGATAACCGCTCCATGCCGACCTCGGCCAGCATGCGACCGATGGCCGGGGGTGCCCCTGTCGGCGCCAGAACTCCAACGTCGACATCTTCTAAAGCCCTACGTGGCAAGAAGTCCGCATCCTTGAACATGCCCGCATAGGTAACCACGCCATCTGCTCCGATATCTGGAACGTGGACCAGTTCTCGGCGCTTTGGCCGCGGTGCGGAAGACGCATCCCGCAGCTGCTCGTCGACGTTCAGGAAGCCCGAAGGGGGACGCTGCCGGTGGAATCCCGTCGCCCTAACAGCTGTTGTGAACCTATCATTGTAAAATGACGGTCCGGGCGTAACACCGTAGCCGATGAACGTGCACAGATGGTATAATCCGTGCACATTCATCGTCCGCGCGCTTTCCGGCAACACGGAAATAGCCCAGTATGGCTCATGCAAGCGGCATACATGGCATTAAAACATATTATTATAGGGGTATTTTGCGCACATCGCTGAGTTTATGGTGTCTCACACGTGGAATCCACGAGGCTGCGCCGGTGCCAACAACACATCCATGAAGCAAAAGGATACAATGGATTAAAAACGTTAAAAATTAGAACATAATGCGAAAATAGTGGTTTAAATAGCGATTCATAATTTACATACGTGCTTTGGGCGTATTAATGGCGATTACTGCGAGCGATTACGCTACCATCTGCCTTCTCCGGTCGATGATACGAGGATCAGAAATACAGTTGGATTTTATCCTCCTACGGTTACACATGTCCTCAATGGAGCTTATCCCAACTCAGACGGCGTCCTTGAGTTGTGGATCGTGAAGGTCTTCCTCATACTGTTCCATCAGCGACTTGTAGTTGGCAAAGACGCTTGCCAGCTCATCCTGCTTGTCTGACAGGGCGATCTCCAGAAGCGAAATGTTCGCTTCGAGGTTGCGGTCGTCGTGGCTCTCCATGATCTCGCAGCGCTTGCGCGCAACTTCGAGTTGCATCTGCAGCGCCTCGCATGACTTCAGCATTTCATGCATCTCATGCCCCAGGCGATCGTGCAATTCCTGTACGTACTCGAACTTCCTGGCACCTAGAATCGTTATTAACACGCCTGTGACGAAAGGAAAGCAAGACAACGATCATGGAATGCAGCTGGGTTTGGTCAGGTCGGTAGACCTATTACCAAGTACAGTCACTTTTAACGCATATTTTTATCACATCGCATAACATGGCTTATAGTAATCACATGACAGAGGGTCGGACCGAAATCACGATTTCAGCAAAGATCATGTCTTACTTGTGGAATCACTCACCCGCTGCCACTAACTTCTCGTCGAATTCCTTGAACATTGCGTTGAAGCGGCGCACCTCCTCTGCGCAAAACTGCTTCACGTCGTCCGGGATCATCTCCAGCTGGTCGTCAGCTACGGTGGTGAGATTTGTCGAGTTCGCCGACACCTGGTAGCCTTCCACGGAGTCGCATCGGAACATCTCCTCCGTATGCGCCAGGTCCTTGGCGTCTTCGTCAAGCTCATCCTTGGGCCATATGGCCCACAGGTAGACGAAAATCATGTTTATAATCCACAACTTCATTACAAGACAACCCGGGTACATTACCATTACGAAATAGCTGCTCTCCAATACATGCGATGGCAGCTGCGACTTGCCCAATAACAAGCGGATGCTACCTAGAATAATGCCTTCGTCCTTCGATAGATCTGCAGATTGGTTTACAGCTGTCAATGCAGATTCGCAACTAACCGTGAAAGTAGTCGTTCGCGAAGGTCATGATGACGTATATGAACGTCAGAAGCAGCAGCAACATAGCGGCTGCAACCGTTATGTACAGTATCAATGCGCATTCTAAGCAGACAAAAAGGACCACAAATAGGTTTCGGATAATTTGGACCTGCGCTACGAGTACCAAAAATACGATTATCCCAAGCAGCACCCACAACGACCGGTGGGCTATGCGCACATCATGCATGGCCGCGTTTACAATCAGCCTGACCTTGGTGGTCGATAATCCCTGTATGTTTTCATATATCACGTTAGAATTGAAGTGGATGGATACATATAGCCCGCAGATCACGCCTATTAAGATGATCACGAACAGGTCCACAAAACGCAGACGGTCGTTTACGAAGAACACGAACAGTTTGCGCCAAAACAACAGGTTTCCGTTCGTCACACCATAGCGTTTGTCGTAACCCCTGAAGAATTTCCGGCAGTCAATCACGAACCACCACGCAAACGCTATAAACAAAACCAGGGACGAAATCGATACAGAAGCGAACACCCAGTTGTTGTAGCTGGAAGACAAATGGACCCCCAGGATGCTGCGCACCTTTACCTTGGGTACAACGGTGCCAGATGTGCGCATGTCGAACCATATTGTTGCTCTGTAGAGCTTGGACTGTGCGTAGGAGTCGACCAGAAACAGCTCCAACTGCACCCGCTCAACCACATCTGGGAAGTCCGTCCAATAATTTCCAAACAATTCACGCGCGCCGATGGATGTGCTAGTCGAGTGTAGAAGGCTGCGCACAGTTGCGGAACCAGCGTCATGTTCCATTGTGCTGAACATTGGGCACTTGAACCCAGCAGCAGCTCGCAGTTTCAACTCCACAAGAATTGCGCCCTGCGAAGGGACAGCGAAAAACCTGTTCTTGATCGTCAGGAACTCTTTGACTTCACCCAGTGTATTGAGCATATCGTTGTTGAATGCAAGAAACTTAAACAGAGAGCCCAATCCGCCGGCCGTGAGCCACTGGAACACATCTTTCCGTGTTGAGATGCGTCGTGGAAGCTGTGATACTCGAACCAGTGCCTTCTTGACACCATCAGGCTCACCCGCGTTCTGTTTGGAGGGCAGTTGAGCGCCTTTAGAGTCAGGTGTATCAGATGCCTGCGAAGCGGAACTGTTATCCTTGTTTCTTTGAACAGCAGCAGCATCCTGCCCATCGTTTAGTCCGCCATCATCCTGACTTGGAACCAATCCACTTAGTTGTAATGCATGTATTGGTGGATCTCTGTTCATACCTGGTGGTGCCAGATGTGAATTATCGGTATCCTCACCATTGGCGATTGATGAATTCCCGGCGCTAGACATATCTTCTACACCAAAAAATGATGAATGTCGAAGATCTTCAGGTACATCTACACTCGGGTCTTTTGGCCCTTTGGTTAATTTTTCATCCGGTGGTTCTGCATCAGCTGGAGGCTGCAGAACGAATGTGTGAATTGCGCAAGGCAGCTGGGCAACATCGGTGGTGAGGTGGTCGTTCAACGTCTGCTGCAAGAGTCGGCGGACGCTGCGGTATTGCCGATCCCTGATTGCGAAAGCCATCACGGCAACTACAACAATCCAGTAAAACAGCATGCGGAAATTCCGATGGTCGCTTCTGAACTTATACAGCCAAATCCTGAAACGTTGACGCCTACTAGCAATTCTCTGCGGGGTATCGGCAGCCACTGGCTGCCCCTCCACATCATGCGGTACTGTCGTAGCATGGTGATCGGGTGCGTCATTCTGCGATATTTGTATTTGAGTGGAATTGGCATCGACGTAACCGCCGGTAGCACCCTCAGACGATGTCGCTGCGATATTCGGGTGATTCATCCCATTACCACCAGCCTGGTCCGACCTCGGCTGCATGCCGTTTAACCCAGTTGATGACGGCTGCCCTGCGGTTCCGGGCCCTGCAGAATTACCATTTCTGGAAAAGGCGAGGTGGCGTAGAAACATGGCACTGCTGCGTGTTGAGAATCTGCGAAACAGCCTGCCAAGAGCATACTTTGTACGAAAATAACGCGACTCGTCGTATGGCCCATTAGGTTTCTTGGATTCGAAGCTTCTGATCTCGCTGTCGGCGTCCAGGGTTAGCATTATGGGCAGTATGCTGATCATGCCACAATACGAAAACACAGCCAGCAAGACTATAATTGATACCATATGGAGAGCCCCATGGTTGCGATAGTAGGCGTCCACCCGACTGCCATTTGCCCCGGCCAGGATGTACGCCAAAGTTATGAAGTGGTGGACGAAACTCCCGTCGCCAGCAGCCGTGTGGTCCAGGATACACATGTTTACCAGAGCCATCAAAGCCAACGCAGACAACACACACACTATCCCCAACCCTAAATGGCAAGTGGAATGGATCACGAAGAGACACATCATCGTTCCAACCCTGCCTCCGCTGCACAGCATGGCGAAACACAAAACGATCAAGAGGCATATCGTGCAAAATGACGCTACTTGTAACACTCCCATGCTCATATATCCGCCGAGTACGTGCGTTCGAAGAGTGTTGAAACCCGCACGTAAAACGGTGGCGTCGATCACCAGCCCATCTCGGCCCTGAGTAACAACGTTCTCGTAGTCTCCTCCAGCACCCATGACGGATCGGATGTACGGAGCAGAACCGCTGAACCAGTACAATCTCACAGCGTAAGCGATGATGCATGCGACCAAGGAGACCTTTGACAACACATCGATACCGAACAATACCTTCGACGTGTAGACCTGGTAGCGTCGGTGGATAGCGACGCTGTGCACGACGTATATCACTGCCAAAATCACGACGAGGCCGAATATTCCCTGCTGTATGCTGTGTGTTAGGCCGTCACGCGGACTCGAAATCGACGATGCCTTGGCCACCTTCGACAAGTTTGCACTGCCATCCGGAAGGGTCAGGAAGGTGAAAGATACGTTAGCGTAACTAACGGTGTAATCATGGGCGTTGCTCGTAAACGCCTCCAATGTAACTGAAGTTGTAGTTGGATCCGATATGATCGCCCATAACGGGAAATGCGGCGATTTTGTGCCATACTGGTAGCCCATGTTTAGCGCTGTCATCGCGGCATACAGGTTCGACCCTGGGATGTACAAAAAGTTGCCTCCGCTCTTAGAATACGTATGATACGTGCCTTCAGATGCATATGGCAGTTTCAACACAAACTTGGGGGTTGATTGTTCGTTTTCTTCGATGCTGTCAGGTTCGCCCCCGTCCCCTTTTTCAGGGATCTGTACGCCTGCATCTGGTGGGTCACTCGGGGGCACATTTGGGGGTGGATCCATCTTCACAACATCTTCCTCTTCTTCGTCTTCAACAGCATCGGTGTCGCCAGCACTGCCAGTGCCCTCACTGTCATCTGACGTATCATCGTCGTCTTCGTACCCCGCCATACCCATCCGCAACACCCCCGAAGTTTGAGGTGAAACGGGCGGCTCAGCAGGCGGCGCCTGATTTCCGGCTGCACCATACTCGATATCGCTGTAATCCGTTCGTAAGAAGGTAAGACGTATGATGTCCCCAACAAGCTTGTTGTACGAGTTGAGACCGGTGATTAAAGAAGGGATTAACCCAAACTGCAGCCACAACGCTACGTCACGCCTGCTACGTATCTCCGAGTAGCGCAGAATGCCAGTGCCTGCTCCCAAATCGATATCCAATACGCGGCGAATCGCTGCTGCATCCCCGTCCTGGCCCTTGGCAACGCCGCTGTTCAATGATGCAAGACCTTCCAACAACTTCGAGAATCCCGACTCGTTGGGTGCTATAGGGTCCTTTAGAGCAGATCTCAACGAAATCTTCGAATAGTAAGACGACCGGGAGTGCAGTGAATACATGCACAGTGCTACGAGCCCAGCAATGATGACCACTGCCTGCAGGCACTGGAGCACCAATTGCCGGCGGGGCACTTTAGCTGCCTCATCCTGGCTTTGGCGCTGATCAGTCGCAGATGCAACAGCAGCAGGCACGACAGGGTGTCTAGGCGGGAAGACAGTTGCGATGTATGAGTCGATTACCCGTCCGAAGTTGTATGTGCCCATCGTAGGCACACATCTGGTGGTAACTGGGCCCTGGCGGTGGCCAAGTCACGCCATCATATTTCACATGTTATGTAAGGGCAAAGAACCGGAGGGAATGTCCGCACTCATGGTGTAGTCGAGCACGCTCTGGTGGTTGCGCAACCCACGGAAGGATGCCATACGTTACACCAAAAACCGCACTGCACTTTATACATAGCCTAAAATGTGTGCCATTAGCTGTGTAGAGGCTTCATAGTTGCATTCAGGGTGGTATAGCCGTTAAACGCCTTCGATGTGCACGTTGATGTCGTAATGGTTACACATCACGCTGTGAAGGTGTGTTTGGGTCTGGCGATCTTGCTACATTCTATCCGATGTGCAATTCATTTTGCCTTTGTGTTAAATGTTGCGAGTTACTATTCATAGCCTAGCGAAGTACACGAAACTCCGATAACGGTGGAAGATCGACGAGAATGTGTAGACAGCCTACAGAGAGCTAATTCGTGCTAAGTCAGAAGCGCTGCCAGTCACAACACGTACATAAAACTGAAGCACGCTTTTGTGCCCTCACTTCCTTCATGCGCGTAAAATTTGCTGTCAATTGCCACGTCGCTTTACATGGTTGTAGATAAAATTATAACCGAGCTGGCGTTTCAACCAATTCGGGCAGTTACTTCATTTGTTGTTGTCTTCTTCCAATGGTAACAGCAAGCTATGAGCGGTGACGGCCGAGGACAGCCTCGAGCGCATTGTTCAACTCAGCGAATGTGACGGTGCTGTCGACTTCTACGCCGTTGAGGCTTGCGACATGGCCCAGAATGATAAGGCGCTTGCTGGGTGTCAAAAAATGCCGAAGCACGTCTAAAAATAGCGGTAAAGATCGCTCTGAAGGACGGGATGGTGACGGCCCGATATCGAACAGTTTGTCAAACCTGAAGAGAGTGTAACGCCTACTGCACGCACTTACCACTCGGACGGGGAATCAGAGCTGCCATGCAACGCCAGTCTGCAAGTCTCGCACAACTCGGCCACTGATATCGATGGTGCCATCAGCAGCAACTCTTCTATGGAACGTAGCTCGTGGCCCCTAATGCAGTGTCAGCATTACAGACTAATATGGCGCTTACCTGTGTGGCACGCTGTTCTGCTTGATCGATACTGAGGCGTTGAACTTCTCCGGTTGGCGGTCGAGGCTGTTGCCGTACATCGACAACGCATGCGATACCACACCATTGGCACCCCCCGAACGGCCGGATAGTCCCCCAACAAGGGTGCTGTCCAGCCTTGACAACCCCTCCGCTGCATTTCCATCACCATCGCTACGTAGGCACATTTGCGCAATGTAATCATCAGACACCTGGCTCACGTAGGCGTTGTACAGGCGCTGCGCGACGGCCATAGACTCCGCACTGCTAAGCGAAAGCAGCCTCAAAGTCAGCACGTTACGAATTACGAGTAGCAGCTTTTCGTAGAACTTCTCGCAATCTGCGGCCATGCCATTCAGCAGCTCGTCGTCGGAAACGGGTACATCTTCCATAGCGGACTCAAGCCGGCCGCGGGTAAGCCGATGTAAGGATTCCACTGGCCTTAGGTCAGCCTTGGGATATACGGTGCGCATGTAGTCCAAGATGTCTACACGGTTACGTGCTATTATCATACATAATCGCTCATATAGCGACTTGTATAGCCCCAAGGCGTTGGCGCAGTGCGTACGGCGCAGATCGCAAATCTCGGCGAGCGAGAACTCCTCCAGCAGCAATGAACCACGTATCCCACCCAAACTGGCCTGAAATGTTATATTGAGACGCTTCACTGCTATGAACTCACATTAGCGTCAATGACGCGGTCTGAGCTTGACAGGTATAGCAACGGGTGCAGCAAGTGTCCGCACCCTACCTGATGGTTCGACCACGCAGACACGTATAATCCACGGAGACACTCAACGGATAACGAGCCGAACTCTGCCTCCAAAATGGGAATGCACTCCATGGAGAGAGAGCATCCCTCTTCGTGAGAGTCGTTGCGCAGCAGGTACTCAACGAATAACCATGTCTGGTTGCAGAGAGTGAAACGCGGCAACTGAGAGACGTTGCAGAGCCTCACAACCTCCCTCTGCGTTTTAATTGCGGCTATACCGTTTCCAAGCGCATTTTGGCAGTGCCCAAGCAATGACACCACGGCCACCGGCAGCCACGTGTACTCCGCGATGCCCGAAATACCCAAAGTAGCGGCACGTGCACGAGCTGCGTACAGTGCGCACGACTCGTAATCGTTTCTGATCCACGCTGCAATGGCCATAAACAGGAAAACTTGCAGCGACAGGAGACCCTGGCAGCTCTCTATACCCGATATCTCGTCTCTCAGCGACTCGAAAAGATCAGTGCTCATAGGTTCATTTGCCTTAAGACAGTGACACTGCAGCACCAACAGTTGTGCTTCCAGTCGCTTAAAACACAAAGCAGGCGAATGACGTGCCACGTAATTTGCGCATTCCAATGCAGCATCAATGTACCGATGGCGCAGGTACTCGTATCCCATGAGGAGCAGAAGTTTCGATCTCTTCAGAGGGTCCACTTGTAAGAGGCATTGTGACAAACAGAATAGGTTGACGCCCGTAACAGGTTGGTGATAGTTGACACACGACATGCGTGAACTGTAAACGCATGCCGGGTCGCACGGGTAGCCCACTCCGATCGTTCTCGACTCGATCTGCCTACACAATCCATTTTGCCATGAACTGGTGGCGAGCACTAAATCAGCCAGCACATTGTCTCCGTTCTTGCCGCATAGACGGGATGCAACCTTCGTTAACGACAGCTCACGTTGCGGATACACCACGCTGACCCTGGGGAAAAACGCATCCAGCACATTGTTGTACGACATGTCCGAAACGTGCACGTCCGGTACTTCATGCGGTGCCCTGTGCTGTCCAAGAATGGGCGGCATGTCCACTGAACGGAAATCGGAGGCCGTTATGGGACTGCGATAACTGTGGCCCTCACTAGGAAACGGGAGAAGGATGCACAAGTGGTACTCGAGCGCGCTCTTCAGCAGTAAATGTGGCAACACCCTGTACGATATGCCCTCCAACTTCACCAGGTTGAAGTGACGAGCTACCTCAGGGATCACTCGCTGCGACCAAAATTCCGCAGATTCAGCGTACAACCCGAAGACGTTGTTCACCAACTTTAGCATGCGTCTGAAAATGGCTAAAAACAGGTTGAAGGGTCAACACTCACCGCATTAGGGCGTCGCAACCGATCATGTTGCCGTTGAAGAAATCCTCCAACTGGGTGTTCCACAGGTGCTTCACGGCACGCGCCACCATGTCGGCAGCCAAAAGGTTTTTCAATCCAATGTACACGGCGCGCTCGTATGCCATGCCCAGGAAGCGCATGTTTATGCCAAGCGAAGCGAACACCTGGCGTAGGTCCCAGGAGTCGAGCAGACCATTGCAGCGGCCAACAGAGTCCTCTAGAACAACGAGCAAATGCTTAAACGCTTCGTGGAAGATGTCTCCCGAATGCATGTCGCTAAATACCGACGAGGATTTCAAGGTGCATTTCAAGCTGCCGTTGTAGGCGAAGCAGAACTCGGGGCGGAAACGAGCTGAATAGAGCGGATCGGGTGTCGCATTATGTTCCAAGATGGGAGGCAGCACTTCGTGGGTCTGTCTGGAGTGCAAAACACCATCACAACGCTGCACATTGGCAACTGCACCATCGCATAGTACGTTGCTGGCATCAGAGCGCCGTTCACCTGAATCCGCATCACCTTGGCGAGATACTCCACAAATGTCAGAGGCACCGAATGGTATGGACCAAGAACACATGTGCAGGTATGACGACATGTTCTTGAATGACTCGAATAACTCAGACGAGGCTAGTAGGCATGACGAAATGTCGGTTGCCAGGACTCCAATCGGTGCCCTGCAGTCCCTAAGCAGTTCAGATGCCAGGTCGATGGGTGGCGAATCTTCCAGCGGCACCAAAGGTTCGGCCACAACCCTAATACCCGCGAAGTCTACGATACACTGAACTGGAATTGCAAAAGCGCCATGAGTGCCACGACTGTACAGAGCCTCGCACAACGCCTGCTTGCCCTTCTGGTCATTGCAATACAATTTCTTGGAGACGGTGTAGGAAACTGCATTGTCTGCACCAATAGGGCCTACAACAACGGTGTATACTACACCGTCGTGTACATACTGCATGTCTGAACCCAGATAAGACAACTCAAGCACAAACCAACATACCACAGGCAAATTTTTTCTGGTAAAATTTGTTCACCAGCGGCAAAGTGTCCTCGGTCACTGAGATGTAACCAGGAAGATACACGTTCAACCCGTGCTGCAAAATAGACAGCACCAAGGCCGTCGCCTTGTAGCAAGAAGCACGGCTGAATCTGCCCAACTCACTGAAAAGGCATGCATAATAAATCCGTAGCTTCAAACCTACAGCAACAACTCATGTTCCGCGTCGCTCCCAAGGACATTTAGTGAATTATGCGATTTTTGTCTTGGTAACGCGCTGCGATAAGCCCACTGGATACGCTCGTACCAGTTTGCATTCAACTCAAAACCGGAATCACCCGGCGCCTTCAACGACGGTCGTACGGGGTGGATGGCAGGGATATCCCAGCTATCATACGATGTAGGGTCTTCATTTGGTGACTCGTGGCGTCCGAACATGAAAACGTCGAGTTTGCTCTGCAAACTTGCGCCTATATACACATGAATATGAAAAATGAACAAATTCACCTTCGAAGAGATCCTCTGGATACACATCTTCGTATGCATCTGACTCCGAATTGCCAGCATTGGGGCCTAGATCCCGCAGCCAATCCAGGCGGCGGCTTCGGCAGGATCCTGGAGTAGACACACCCTCAAAGGGGTCAGCTGGAAACAGATTTAAACTGCCAGTCAATCCGACAAGTCCGTTTAATATTTCGATGGATGTCTCATCTAGGGCAACCTCCCGGTGAGCTGCAGCCTGCGCGATACTGGAAGGATCAAATCCGTAGTCCTTCAACGGATCGGCGAACCGGGAGGCCGATGGATCCATCGGTATTCCGGCAGATGGGCACTATTACATTATATATCGTGTATTTTGACGCATTGGTTGTTATGGAAATACGATGTGTAACGTTTAATGCCGAGCCCGCTAACGCGGCGCGCAAGAACACGCAAGGGCCCGGGAGGAGTCTAATCATGCGACTACAGCTGAGCATTAGCTGACTAATATTAATACAAATGGTCTATGCCATGTCATTTCATAATCTAGCGGACACAATAATATACGGAATGAGGCAGAACCTCGGTTAGGAATGAAACATCAAACATAAGTAGTTTCGCATCGTAGGGCGAAACCGCATTATGCTGCGCAAAAGGCTAGAATCCTACATCATCTAGTCTTCGTCTTCATCCTCCAGTCCGTTTTCCGACACTGTTTCTTCCATGTTTTCCTTCTGTTCCAGTGTTTCCTCCATCTCCGGTGATTCCTCCTCTGGTGTGCCCACGGGCACACCCTCCTCCTCTAACGGAACCTCTTCCTCCTCTGGTAGTACCTCCTCTGGTAGTACCTCCTCTGATGTGCCGGACTCGAGTTCCCGCTCAACGTCCCCTCCGCGGGGTGATAGTTCAGATGGGGCCGACGGGGTAGCCTCTCCACCAGTGCCCTCTAAATCTTCCATATCACCTGTGTATTCATCATTTTCGGGACCCACAGATGACAGAGTGTCTTCGTCATATTGGTCTTCATCCTCGTCGAACACTTCACCGCTTCGAGATTCAGGAATGCCCTCCTCCGTTGTTTCCAAATTCTCGCTGCCAGCATTGTCACCTGGTTCAGAACCTTCGAAGTTTTCTAACTCCGAATCGCGCCCTGCTAGCTCTACAGGAAGCGATCGCCTACCTCTTCCGGCTCGTGTTGTTTCCATAGCTTCGTTCTCTCCCTCTTCTTCCTCCTCTTCATCTTCCTCATCCTCTTCTTCGCCCTCGTATTCGTCACTCTCTCTCCCGTTCTCCTCTTCTGATCTCACCGTATTTTCTTCCTCCGGGTTTGGTTCTACCTCATTTTCACTCTCTTCGCTCTCCTCATTCTTCATTTCATTCTCTTCTGTCTCTTTCCCTAGTTGACCCTCTTGTTCATCTTCGTCCCTTTGCTCCCCGTTTTCATCCCTGGCTGGTACCACCTCTACTGGGTACTCCTCCTGGGACTCCTCTTGGCCCTCCTGTAGTTGCTCCTCTGGTAGCTCTGGTTCCGGCCCCGGAGCCTCACGCCTTCTTCGCCCAGCACGAGGATTGCCCTCCACGTTGGCGGTTTCCAATTCCTCTGTTTCTTCCTCACCTGCTGATGCCGTCTCCTCTTCAGAAGTAGCTGGTGCAGTTGAAACCACTTCTACCTCGTCACCCGGAGAACGTTTTCCCCGAGCACGTACACGCAGCGCTCCCGTCTCTCCGTCGGCCACCAGATAGTGAAGGTTCGTGCCCTCGTTCAAGTAGGAGCAAATCTCATACGCGAATTGGTGAGTTGGTATACCCACAGCCGCAGTGTAGCTTCCCTCAACCCACTGAACCAACGTCTCACCCAAGGCCGTGTAATTGCACGAACCGGCCACGCCCTTGTACTCCCCAGTGTCCAAATAAGCCTCTATTTCATCGTTACTGAGATCCGTAAAATGTACAAGGGTGCGCTCGTAGAAACTGCAGATACGTTTCATATTCCTATCCTTAAGCCTGTCTTCAACGTAAATGCTCACTCCGGTGACCATTACAGGATCATACTTCTGATATGCGCGCAGCTGATCGCGGGCAGCCGTCCTGTCTTTCGGCTTTCCGAAAACCTCATCCTTACACCAGCACACGGTGTCTGCACCAATAACGAATTTCACCTTATCAAAATCGAAGTCATCGGGAACGCTACCGAACGGGCTGCGCACCTCATTACGAAAAGCATTGTGTCCTCCATTCTGTTCATGGTTAAAAACACGGTCAGCCACGATCCGCGCCTTTTCGTCTGCAGTTTTCACAGCATAGTTATACGGTGTCTCGCCAGGTTCCAATACCAAGTTCTCATCGAAATTCGATCTCAACATAAGTATGTTAGTTATTCCCAAGTGTTGACGCAATACGTATGCACGCAGATCAGATTCGGAAGCCAACATAATCCAATCGCCACCGGGTCCGCTGAATCGCGTGCCTAACGACATCAAGGTTTTCTTAGCCATTTTGAAGAACAAAAACGACCGTTACAAAAAAACTAGAACGTAGTAAGTCAGAACTGCCCCGGACGAACGGAATAATTCGTGAAGCAACTGGCGTGCACAAAACGTCGTAGCGCCCGATGATAACAGCACCACCGAGAGTGTTTTCAACGATGTAACGGTGAATGCACGCATAAAACCGATTGAGGTTGATAAAATGCACACAAAATTGTAGTTATATAAAAAGATTCTCCGTTACCTGCAATCGAATCGTTCACGTTACGGCGGATGATGACGTACCTGCATGATCGTATAAATTCAATTTTCCATCGCAAAATATGTTAAGAACCGAGTAATACAATATTATTAGATGCAATTGACCGTAGAAGATTGACCTGATTGTTCAGTAAGCACGTCACCCTGTGCTCGAGGTATGTGACGAAGGCGTCGGTTTCGGTGACTAGCTCTGCGAGCCTTCCTAGGTCCTTGCTGAGCCTTTCCGGTGATAGAGCTAGCGCGTATGGGTCCTCGTATATCATCCAGAGCAGCGGCGGTATGTACTCCGGGCGCTCCAGGACGGCGGTGGTGACGTCGTCGACGGTGTGCGGCGGCGTGTTGCCGTAGAAGCGGACTCCGACGACGCGTTGCCGTATGATGTGGGTCAGCTGGCAATGTTCCCAGTAGTAGTACACGAACTCCTCGTTCCGGGGCACACGTGTCACAAAACGCAGCACCTCGGCTGACGCCGCTAATGCAGCATCGTGGATGCGTGTCATTTCGGTCTTATGAGTCTAATTCGTATGTATATGGTCGTCAGTAGTAGTTATGTTGTGCGTTTTGATGCTGTGGCCGTCGACAGGCTGGGTTTTGCGCGCAGACTCGGCATCACCCAGCTCGGTGAACGTATGAATGGCGCCGCGGAGTCCAACGACAATTCGCGCTGGTGCTTAGTCATGTGAAGTTATTGCAACATTATAACTTTATGTTGGCTGAATGAAGCGACCGTGTGTCCGTGGACGGGAAGGCGGCATAGTGGTCAATGTCCGACTCCGTGATAAGCACCTGTCTGGATGTCTAAGCCTTCATTGGAAACATATCTTATGTTAGAAACCGTGTGGTTTGCACGACAGCAAATCACTGAACGCTTTGGATCCGTGATTCGCATACAAAACGAATAGCATGAGATAGTTGAATAGAGAAGCACTAACTGCGCCACCAATAACGTAATCTACATCATCCCATTCAACCACTTTCAACCATAGAACTCAAATGACAACCAGAACTGCGATTACGTACTTACCCCGAAAGCGGGTATGGGTACTGGGGAATAAACCTATAATCCCTTGAGGAATTAGAATTGTAACACGGTTATGATCTAACCAATTCCAATCTTTGGTCTAGAATTGTATTGTGTGCTATATGCCAAATTAAAACCATTGCCGCGTCCCTCTATCACTAAGGGCAAGCGCCTTACGCTGCTGGTGTCAGTTGCTGGCTGCACACCATACTGGTGCCGAACGTTAATGGCGCCATTCATGATGGCGGCCATCAGGTCCTGGCATGGGCGTATTTTTGACAGAGTCTTCATGATCTCCATCTCCATCAGATTGTCTTGATTGGCAATGCCGATATCCACCATGGAGATGGTGTCCTTCGAACACCCGTATGGCCTGTAAAACATTTTCACTGTACAATTACATGATGCGATGACAGCACTAACACCTACATCCCGCCACGACAGTGCCCTCTTAATACCTCTAATAAATTATCTGCTAGGTTGCTTGCTAGGTCTATCGATTAGCATGTTTATAACAGCGACCAAAGGATACAAAGGACATGTATATATCAAAACATAATTGATAAACATATTGAGAGAATAGTTCCCTTGATCAGACGAATCAACAAGACGCTGCCTATTAAATTGGGCTACCGTAGTCCAAATTCGCCACTGCAGGCGCTCCTGGAACATGGAAGTTGTTCGAACCGACACCAGTAAATATTTTTGGAGGTTTGTTCGATTTCTTGGCATTCCAGGCATGTAACAAACCCATGTCGACGCCACCGATACCCTCTGATACCGCGTAGGATCCATTTTTGCGAGAGAATAGCTTGTTAGCTTTTACAACTTCTGCGTCTTCCAATCCATGGAATTCCCAGAATCCAGAGAGCTCGATGAGCGTGTTCAATACATCTATATCCACACCGCCCAACGCATCGACAATGTCTGAACGACTCATGCTGTCATGACACTCCGGTTTCACGCAACGCAAAGCGTTCAATAATTTTTCCAGGTTTTCCTTCGCCCTAGAGGGTGCCAATCTAAATTCAGCAGGATCTGTAGCATCCCACAAAGACATTAGCCCTGCGTATAGCATTGGCGCAATACCCACGAGAACCGCCGCGCAAGCTTCAGGATCCTGAGAACATGATGCATCCCACGTTGCTTTCGAACTGTAAGCGGGCTTGTACTGGCCAGGCATTTTGATACTCTTCAGGAACTTCTCACAACCATCCACCGATTTAGATAATTTCTCAGCGATGTTTTCAGCGGTGATACCCCAGTCCTTCACGGCGTCCTCATCATCGCATTTGTCGAAATCCCTAAAGAACTTTCCGAAGCTACCGGAGTTTCTATCCCTGGGTTTATGGAAATTCTGCAGCAGCAACTCTACGGCCCGCAGGTCTTTAAGTTCTGGTTGCTCCAAGAAATGTTTAGTAATAAGTTTGACTTTCAGGAAAATTGGCAACTGGTTAGAGTCATCCGGCTTGTCTGCGAGAAATTTGTAGACTGCAGCGCCCATGGCTGCCATGTTTTTTCCACCCTTTCCCTTCAGGGCTATCAACCAGTCAATGCCCTCCCTGAAATCGTGAGGGATGTCAGTCAACGAATCATACACCATTTTGTAAAGATACTTCAAATCAAGTGACTTCTATTTGTGTATGAATTTTGTGTCTATTTACAAGCCGCGTCTTAATCGAGGATAAGCAAAGCGCAGGCTCTATTTACCCTGAATAAAGACGCGTTTATTTGCAATCTACAAATATGTCTATATAACAAATTGGTGGATGCTGGAGGCACGGTGACAACCAAGCTGACGTGTCTTAGACAGATCTACACGAGTAACGTGGCATGCAATACGCAGAACGCGAGTCATTGGTTAGACAAGTTCCAGGCACAGATGGCGCATATTAAAGCGGGAGGTGTTCGTTGTATTTCCTGAGACGAGTAAAGGTTTGAAATTATACGATGGGTTGCAAATGGTATATTGCAGTGTACGCCGCTCCGTGATTGTCACGTCAATCTACAGTCATAGCCCATTATCTCGACCATAGTCAGGGGACTCTACAACACAAAGTATAATCGCATTGTGTTGCCATATACTTTCTAACTCGACGATTCACTAGCTTATCTAAGATGGCGCCTCTTCTCCGCTACCCTGGATGATCATCCACTCATCTTGAACGTCCTTTTGCCACAATACCACTGTGGTTTAATGCCATTATGGCACTGTTATATGTTTCTGTCCTTGAACATTTTACAACGCTTACCTCCACAGCGATGGTAGCTTGCGGGAACATGGCCGTCTAATTCCGCTGTTACCCGATTATTTCGCAGATGACTGCAAGAGTATTATCACGACCATGTAAGATATTGTTTACCGACGAGTAGTTTGCGCAACTACGTTATTCGTAGATTAAAGCATCGTGATAGCGAATTTAGGCATCGACACCCACTCGACGGCGGGTAATTCAACAAAGATGAGACATAGTGGTTCCGTTCTTAAAAACTATCCAATAAGTAATGACGTTTTAACCGAGGAATGCTTTTAAAGGTGCCCATCCGATAATCTAAAGGCAACGCCGCTCCAAACAGTGTCACCACCATTAGAGTTGTGGATTTGTGGTTGAAAAATGATAAAGACAAATAACACTGTTGAAGGCAACAGATACTACCATATTCGGAATGTAACAGAATTCCAAATGGCGACGCTTTCGCAAAGGCGCTGTAAAAATATTCCAGCTACGACCGTAAAATCGGTCACATGAAAATGGATTACGTGGCTCTGAAAAGCACATAGACATTTTCTAAATCCGAACAATGGTTGCTTTATAATTGATTACTACTATCACCGAGGGCTATTGCTCATCTGATCTATCGTGTTTGCAAGAGCGGAAACCAGTTGGTAGAGTGAGGCAAAAATGATTCTGTTTACAAAATAGATTGAAATCGACTACATGAGAAGCAACACAATAGAGCGATAGTTCAACATAATGCGGTTGAAGATGAAGGTGTAGTTGTTTGAATATAAGGCTTGGCTGCTACTTGAGAAGGTAAAGCTTAGCGGGAATTTTTCTTTACATGGAAGTTGACTGTACATTGTCCAACTCAGTATAAACAGATGCGTATGATTGGTGTCTAAAGGTGTGCAGCTATAATTACAGAGTTTACTGCAGTAACTGCGTCGGTAACTCAATCATGCAAAGGGTACCTACTACACCTCGCGTCCAACTTGGGACATTGCGCAACGGAATACACAATTCCGGATTAACATTAAGACCCAATATGATACTAATTACTCCTTGAAACAACCAATTGCGTTACACACCGAATGCAACAGTGCGTGGTACACCCATGCTCACCGACTTCGCAATGCGTCATCAAAATGGGCTCCTGTGGAACATTTTAGATTCTGCGCGATGCTACGGAACACACACCACGAAAAAACATGTCACCGCATACAGACGGTGAGGTAACTATGGACTCGCTTGTCCAAGAGGTTGTGGTCTCGGACAATGGTTATGGCTCTGCAGGGGTGAGTGAGCCGGGTGGTGTTTGGGCAACAATTGTGACAACAGTAAAGGATATTTGGAAGCAGATCTCGGATGGAGTCCAACGTATCTGGCAGAGCATTTTGGTGTATCTGAAACTGGAAAAATGTCCGATATGCGGCAAGCCTGGTATTGCTAGTAGTGATGGAGATGATGATCGATGTAAATTTGTTTGCGTCTATGCTGTCCCTGCCCTCATCTTACTCATTATAGGCTTAGGAATTTACATATTTCGGAGCCCCTTAAGATTTTTCAAGCGCTTGTTTTGTTGCTTCTGCTGATACAAGCCTACCATCGCATACAACTATAAACTCCGATAGTATCGCATAGACTTCATGCAGCCACGTCACACGAGAGTTTCTGTGATTGCATATTCTGAGCGCCAAAATCTACTGTAACCACTTACCACGCAGTAGCCGGATAGAAACATAACATAGTATATCGCAACCGCTACGCGTTCATAACACTTAAATTCACCACATGGCGACAGCATAGATTTGCCCAAACAAACGCTATGCAACATCAAGTGATCTCTCACTACGGTTGATGCACTGTTACGATGTCATCCATGAACGGGTCTCAGGGTACCTGACGATATGCGTTTTTGAAACATTATATAAGAAATTGTTACGGTGTCATCGTGTCAGTGATGTCTAGAACAGTGCGATTGTGAAAGATGCCGGAAGTGACTAAAGAATGCGATAAAAAGCGTTCACTTCCGAACGAAACAATCGCGGACCTTGTGGAAAGGCCGAATGCGAAAGAAGCTCATAACGCATACGACGATGAGGGTAATTGCGATGAAAACGACGGAAGGAATGACGATGGTGGTGGAACTGTTGTCACTGCTGGTACGAAGTGCGCTGGCAGCAAGACCTGAATTTTTTTTTTGACAACATGTACATTTACATGCGAGCCCTTTTTTACATACGGCCCTACAGTTTGTAGTCACACATTTATAAGTGACGTTTTGCACTCCGGTAAATAAGTTACATGCTCCGCAACTTCGACATTTGTCACAACAACAGGAACAACAGTAACAAATAAACATAGAACATTGCAAACCACAAGCCACACAATCTAAAGTCATCTTCCTCTCTCACTTTTCATCAACATGTGCAGCGATGTAATACGTACCTTCATCTCGAACAGTAGAAACGCCAACCCGCCTCCCTTCAGCGTTCCGGGAGCGTCCGGATGACCACCTGGCGTCTCGCCTCTAGAAATACCACAGACGCATGATTTGCACCACACAGATACCACGGCCAGCGGGGTCATACATAGACTGCTTGCCTTTCCCCACACTTCGCTGGTCAAATGTCTTGAGTGCTGGAAAGTTCCTAATATCCGCATTAATCGATGCGATGCATCGTTGTCATGGGTAAATCTCTCTTGAATCGGAAAAGTGTGACAATGCTGCCTGCCACCCTTTATACCCAACGCCATCGCAAGCCAGTTTACTAGCTTAATCATTGGATAACTTCCCGTCCATAAGGTGCAAAAACCAACATCTTCGTCGCTTCCTAATACGCAACATCCTACTGTTAGGCATTAGCCCCTTTCCCGTCACCCATCTCATCACGCTGTGAGCTACGTGGCTGAGTCCGCTGGCACTTTGAAAATTGCTTGTCCCAGCTATAGATGACTCGCTGTAACGTTGAAAAGCACATGATGTAGTACGCCGTGAAGATGCAATTATCGCACGAAACTACGTATGCTTTCGCTGTTACCGGTAGACTGACGTTGCCTGGCCTCACACCCTAAAGCCTTAACAATGTTAGTGGATTAAGTTAAATACGGTAAGCGGTACTAAATGTTGTCGATTATTGTGTCTTAAAGCCATTGCCAATGTTCAAAGTTATGAGCATAAATAAGAGTGCTCAAACAACATATTCTCATTAAGGCAGCGGTAAAGGCTAAATGAAGGTGTGATAAAACTTAAGTATATTCCAACCCATTAAACGGGCCTATTGCCATTCACACAACTTATAAACAGCGGTGATGAGACTACGACAAGCTGATGAGCTTCACCACCGCATTTACGAAGTTCTAACCGATATCGATACTGCCACTAGAACACGCAAACCAACATGAACAACGAAAGCAAATTAATTCGCACAATTCATTGACGAGTTACCACATCTCAGTTGCTCACCACTTCGAGTAGTAGTTCTCGATCTGGATGGTGGAGAGCACGACACCCTTGGTGGTGACGCAGCGGCACTCCAATGGCGGCGTCTGGCGCAGCGTCTCCCCAGGTCCTACAAGAGAACTATCGAGGCTCAAGATGACGAAGTGGTTGGAGCGCGACGCCACCAACGATTCGCTGATGTCACGAGTGTTCCTTACTTCACCGTCCACGTAGACCTGGCTGAAGCAGTTGGGTGGGTCCAGGACATACGGCGCTGGGCAGTAGAACGCCGTCTCCTTGGCAGCATTAAGGTCAATATTACAACCGAACTGAAGCCTTCCGTCAGCGTCGTAGAGTTGGGGAGTCTCAGGCTTGAACAGGTCAGTGGACTCGTATGTAACGCCGCAGCCCTGCATATGTGGGTCGGTGGTCTGGACATTAACTTGAACTACGTACCACGTGTATCCTATTGACAACCCCATCACCTTAGAAAGGCGATGCGGATGTGCGTTTGAAGCTGACACATTGCGAGTGGTAACGGATAAATCCGACGGTTCAGGCGTTTTGCCGCAGACAAATGCCATGGGTACATATTGCTGATGAATTGGATTTTTTGAAATCAGAATGGCATCCATGGTCGATTGAATTACTAACGTACTACATTGAGTGCCATTTTCTTCATTGTGGTATCCGAATATCAATCCACCTGGAGTTGTAGCAATTGTATCAACGTATGCTGTCTTTACAAGTTCAATCGCATCTGAAGTTTCGTTTACCGAATAATAGAATTCTTCAAGTTGTGATGGAAGCCATTTCGCCGGAAAGTCCTCATCTATACAATGGTTTATGCAATCACAATTTGACGACCCATCAGCAGCAATTCCACAGGTAAGGAACAATGTTCTACCCACTTGCAGGAAGACAGACTCTTGAGATATGTTGTTTAGCATAATGGATTTAGGTGAGATTTGTCTTTTTGATAATCCAACCTCACGCCAAGGCAGCAGTACGTAGGGAATCAATGTATAAGAGGCCTTTTCGCGATTCACCATGTAGGTAAACTTTTCATGATGATGCGACGTTACAATAAGCCTGGATTTTTCGTATCCACGTTGATCTACACAAAAGCACGCATAGCTTACAGGGCTATAGTCGCGGAAAAAATAGTCGAACAGCTGGAACCCTTGACTGGGACATGTAGTTGCATTTCGGAGAGATCCAGGAATTGAAATAATCCTATTCTTGTGGAGATCGTATCCCATGGACTCGCAATTGTGCGGTAGCAGCTCCTCATCCGGCCTGCAGTAAATACCAGCCTGCCTAAAGCCCTCTTTAATATGGGCTTTGCATTCGTAAACATCCCCTATACCATTCCCCATAGATTTTGCTGAGCAATGTTTCTGGCTAATATCTGGGTCGAATACACTTGGTGTCCCTCGGTCGCAACCGATAGTCCGGTAATGATGCGTGAACGCAAAGGCCACATTGATGGTAGCGCGTATCTTCTTTGCAACATTCTTGTCTCCAGATATAAAAGTCCAGTGATAATAGAACGAGTTTGTCCCATGTAGTAAAGCCATGGGTTTATCCGCATGATAACTCAGATTCACCTCTCCTCTGCCCATTTGTGACACATCCAACTGAAGGGCGTCGCCAGAAATGGCATCATGGTACGAGATCTGGTCATAGATGTCAAAGCCATAGACACTTGCCAATTGTCTAAGCGTAGCTAAATCCTTCGGCATAAATCCAGTATCGAATACATATTTAGGTCGCTTTTGAGGGGGCATGCCAGGTGGTGAATCTTTTTCGGAGGGCTCCGTATTAACATCTTCTGCTGGGAACCGTATGGTCAAGGTGCTGCCCGGTTGGAGTACCACCGAACACCAAGGGCCACGGATGGGCTGCGAGGTGTTGCGTTCGATCATGCTGGTAATGTCACAAATGTAGTCGGTTTTCGAACGGATCTCAATCTTGGCCTTCACCTGACCGGTTTCTGGATCTATGCATCTGCATTTTCCACTGATTGGTGGTAATGGCAATTGGTCAAAATACTTGGCTACTACAAAATGTCCATCGTTTTGTATATCCCAATATGAATGAGGCGGGGGAGCGGTTATAACTCTGCCATTCTCATCCAGGAGGAATTTCATACACTCCTTAGGTTCAATCTTGCCTTCGCAAAGAAACCCTATTGGTGATTCCGACATAGGATCCACCACACATGAACGGATGCCGGTGACGGGATCCACTGTCACCTCATTGTCCGGAGAGAACAGTGGTGAGGGGCGGCCACCACATCCTTGAAGTGGCATATGTAGACGTCCTCTGTTTAGGAAGAGTACACCTAAACCACTCCCTATCTTGGCTATCTCCTGAGTCAATGGAGTGGATGGAGCCCAAGGAAGTATGCGTGGTTGAGTAAAACTGAAATGGTAAATGTGACGCTGCAAGGCATCGCTCAAAACTAGATTTCGCGGGCCGCAGATAAATATTAAACGGTTCTCCGTAATCGCAATCATATTCTTATCCGGCTTTGACAACCTAATATACGTTCGCGAAACATTTGATTCGAACCGGATGAATGGATTTTGGTCTTCAGTGCGTATCACATCCGAAAGAGGTATGGAACGGAGCTTCTCATTTTCACCCACGTATGTGTTAATTTGACCGCGCTTACCAGACCTTCGCTGAGGATGCCAAACATACTCGGTACCATTGACCCGGGTTGGGCATTTTGCGGTTGCGCTGCAGTCGACTTGGAGATCTTTGTGACATGCGACTAGCGCATTGCGGCTCAGCAAGTCATTTGGACTGTCAAAATAACAAGTAGACGTGACTAGACGTATACTAGACCAGATACCTAGCGCACAAAACGCCAAGAGGGCTCTGATGCTAAATTTGGCCATGATCACGTTACTTGTGTTGTACGATCAATGAAGGCGACACCAAACACAAAACACTTACAACATCGATCCTATGGATATCTGAAATAAAAACCTTCTTGTAGCTACTAATTGTTTGTGATTGGGAATGTTACCCAACACCCTCACCCCAGCTGCGGCTAGGCAGCAACACTGGGAGGAATTTTCGTAAACATTTTCCAACAGCAGAGAAAAAACGATGCAAACAGACATCATAATGGACGCCTTTATTCTGTGTTCTTATCTGTTTAGCGTGCATGAAATAGTTTCATCCAGTTGTTGCCGCTTTTCGCACTTCCTGGGAGGTCACCTCCCTGCACGCTATAGGCGCAAACTGTCTAAGAAGCTTTTCTTGGTTCTAGGACTACTCGGATACCTCTATAGGGATGGGTTGCTAACACTGGATTCCGTAGCGATTGGTGACAGTCGAAATGGTCATTGGCCATTATGTCTCTCATTACAAACGTAAATTAGGTGTGGGACCGCCAGTTGTATGCTAACTGCCACGCAGATGTGTTTACGTCTTCTTCATATTTGGATTACCTTCCGTCTGATTCGCGATCTCCATTATTCCGCGTTCTTTTGTGACTGTTCGGTTGTTCCGTTTGCTTCGGCTCCAGCCTCTTCTGTGCCAGCATCGCCGTTCAGTTCCTCATCCACAGTGTCTTCTACTTCGTCTTCTAAATCATCTTCCTCGTAATACTCTTCGTCCTCGCCCTCCATGACGAAGCCAGTTATGTAACGGCACAAACTCCGCGACACCCTTTGCGCAGGCATGCCAACGGAGGTGGTGTAGCTACCGTCCATCCACTCAATTAAGCATTCGGCAAACCCCGTGATCCTGCAAGATCCGGCGGTACCTACAAACTCTTTGGTGGCCAGGTACGCCTCGATATCTTCGGGCGTCATGCGCTGGAAACGGAGGACGGCAGTCTCGTAGAAGGAAAAGATGGGCTCCTCGTGACCTTTTTCGCGGGCGTATGCGCTCACACCGGTAATCATTTCCGGGTAGGCGTCCTGGTACGCAGTGAACTGCTTACGCGCCTCGTCGATGTTGGCGGGCTTCTCGAAAATCTCACCATCGCACGAGCACACTGTGTCGGCGCCGATGACGAACCTGACCTTGTTGATGTCGAATTCTTTGGGCACACTTCCGAATGGGTTGTTGAGGTCTGCCGTCACTGCCTTGACTTCTTCGGGAGTTGATGCGCCAAATATGCGCTTGGCAACGGCGCGCGCCTTGCCATCCGCAGTTGCACGAGCGTAGTCTCCTACGTCTTCGAATTTCGACTTATCCAAATCCTCAGCAAAACCCGATGTCAGCAACAGAAGGTTGTGCATGTTGAGGTGCTGACGCAACACATGGGCTCGGATAGTTGCGGAAGTTGCCAAGACAACCCAGTCCCTGTCCGGGTTGCTGAATTGGTCGCCCAGCGACAAAACAGAGGTAAAACTCATGGTTGTGAAGAAGATATTAAAATTACAATTTTGTGCTCGAACAGGGATATAATACGTAGTAAAATTTCTGTAGCCAGCGAGAATCTTCCGTCACGAAGTGCAGGTAGCACGTTTCGGAATCCACACCACTGTCGGCAACACCACTCGGGGAAAACGACGGCAATTGCGTCCGACGACATATACCTAGAGTGATCATTCCCCGGAGCAGTAATTTCACCTCGCAAATGTCGAGAATCACCAGTTTCTCCCACACCTGAACAAATGTCTAATACACACACGCACACACCAACCTCAACCAATGTCTGCCCAGGCGCGGTCTTCAGAAGAGAAGTTATGCGTAGCATCAGAAACGCTACCAGAGTTTGGTTTAAATGACCGTCGAGTGACACGAAGCTGCCCACTGGAGACTTCACCCTGTGCTCGAGGTATGTGACGAAGGCGTCGGTTTCGGTGACTAGCTCTGCGAGCCTTCCTAGGTCCTTGCTGAGCCTTTCCGGTGATAGAGCTAGCGCGTATGGGTCCTCGTATATCATCCAGAGCAGCGGCGGTATGTACTCCGGGCGTTCCAGGACGGCGGTGGTGACGTCGTCGACGGTGTGCGGCGGCGTGTTGCCGTAGAAGCGTACTCCGACGACGCGTTGCCGTATTACGTGGGTCAGCTGGCAGTGTTCCCAGTAGTAGTACACGAACTCCTCGTTCCGGGGCACACGCGTCACAAAACGCAGCACCTCGGCTGACACCAATACCACTTCGAAGGCCACATGCAGTAACGTCGTGCTGCCTGTGACGGTGCTAACCGTCTTGTCTGTGAATTCCCCAGCGTTCAACATGGAAAACTTTGCCAGCAACTCCGATTCTGTGATGCCAGAATTCTCGCAAATTTGCACCGCGCACACCAAACGATACAGCGCAGCCTCCAACTGTGGCAAGCGATCCTCCAAAACCAACATTGACTTGCCGTACAGCGACCGTGTCACGCGCAGCAGCAAGTTGGGCAAATATCCTAATGCTGCTGCCGATGAGACCGGGATAGACACTGGCTCAGACGTAATGTTCCACGATGTTCCGGAGTTAGAAGGTTGAGACAAGGCAGTATATGCATGTTCCTTGTTCGTATATCCCTCACTGCACGGTTGAGTATTACAATGCGGAACTACGGCTGCGGCATGATTTGGGCGCTGGCTGCTACGAACATCCGACAACAAAGCACCTTCGGCAATTGGCACCAGGGAGAACGAACGCCCAGACCACCACCCACGGTCAAAGTCCGACGCATATTCGTAGTTGCGTAACGGATATTGGCATCTGATGTGGCTGCCTAATAATCGCGACGGGCAACCGATTGGATTCAGCACTTCCGAATACCGCCCACTGCACACAACATCACGATTGCGATCTTGTTCATAGAGAAATAGACCTTTATGACCACGCCTTTTGGCCAAATCTCCGTCTGTGCAAGCAGATGTTGACAAAGGCGGGGCACGCAACCCAATGGTCACTGACGTGACCGACGGCACGTCGGGCGTACACTCGCGGATGTGCCGAGATATACCGCCATCATTCAAGCGCTCATAAGATGCCTTTACACGCTGAGCAATAGGCGGCTCTTCCAGGTCCTCGGCCCCCCACACAGGCATGAAGGAGAGGTCCCCTTTCACAAAATTATCCATCATGCCATAAATGTCATGCATACTCAACTCATCCGGTGCAGCAGTGAAATGAGGAGAGAATCGATGTGAGATCGACGTTCCCAATGCGTTTAGCGCAGCCTGCTGCTTGGCGGCGTCACTCACTGCCGGAGCTGGTGCAGACAAACTTTCCCGATACATTGCGATGTGCGAAGCCAACAAATTGGAATTGAATTCATAATCGGCGAACTTACCAAACAACTTTCCCTTCGCAAAGGTGCTTAACTTGAAAAGTGTGTGCATGTTGGTGCTTTCCTTAGTGTTCACCACCCATCCCTTATCGCACCACTGACGCAGAATACTACGACCGCGGCGAAAATCAGGCACAGAATCCAGAAACCACGGGCGTACACATACGGTGGGGCTAAACAGAAGGCTCTTCAGATGACATTTGAGGTGGTCGAAGGGTGTTCTTTCGTTGGTCAAAATGCGATACATGTGGCCGTGATGCTTGAGAACGATGTGGATGTCAGCCGAACAAAACTGGCGCATACGACGAAGCATACGGGGACTCAATGAGGACTTGCCAACGATGTGTTCGAAGATATAACGGCATGCTGCCGGCTTGAACACGCCGTCGAACATGAGTGAGAGGAATGTCCAAATTCGGTCCAACGGCTGCGGCTCAGCTTTTACAAGACCGCCATCCGAAGTATCGGCTTCTCGAGATTCATCCGCATCTACGTTTGACACTTCACTGCCAATTGACATTGATCTTATCGAGCTATCACTGCGTAGCATTACCGCGTTTCGAATCACGTGTTTGTTATCGAGCGTGTCATCCAATCCCCTATGTGTCCAGTTTTGGGGGTCGCCATTTCCGAAATCGCTGTCCAATTTTTTATCAACAGTCGCGATTTCTCCTGCATCAACGACAGGATCTGGATCTGTTGCGTCTGTAGAATTGGGGAGCTGGTCGCTTTCTGTCGCTTCCTCCCCTTGACTATTACGACGATCCGCTTCCGACCTCATGGCAGCTAGCATCTTTTGACGAAGAGCTCCCCATGTAACTGGGGCACCGAATATGTGGCTTTTGGACTCCTTCAATTTCCCGTAAAAGTATGCGTTGCACACACGCTCTGCCAAAACAAATTTGGCTAACCAGATGCATTCATCGTCCACGCTCATATTCTTGGCGTAATGGACAGCGGACTTCGGAACACCAATGTGCGCAGATTGAATCCCGATGTTCCGTATGCGGTGCAACAGATACCTGTAGAGATGTTCGTGGGATACGTTAGAGTTCTGGCAGGCCAATTTCATCAAATAGTTCGGCATGTACAGAACCTTAGCCAATTTGCGATGATCCAACCCATGAAAGGTCAGGCGGAGCCAGCTGGTAATAGTGCGGTCAATTTGGCCGTGATACACATTTTTAAAGAACGCTGATCGCCTCCAGTGCTTAGGGTTGAAGAGTGAGCGTATCGGCATGTGGGCAGGAAGTGGTCTCCCCTCACGCGAAGCGTATGTTACAACCTCAGACTGTAAAGCTTGCCAAAAACTCTCAGAGTCCTTAAGCATATTGAATCGACCCACAACTTGAGTTTCGTCTTCAAGGCTGCGTAAGGTCACGCCACGGCACACCTCCCACTCCAGCGTGCATTCAGGCGTATGACTGCCAGTCTTACGATCAACTGGTGTAGCGATGACCTTCAATACCCCGATAACGCTCAAAATAGACAACAGACGACGCAGAAAATAAACCGCAGTACGGCCCCCGGAATGCTGGTATAAAGCATTGTACAGGTCGTCATCCAGATGGACTTGTAACACATTACCCTCAAGCAGATCAAACACGCTACGCAACGGGTAACCGCATCCGATTACCTGCAGATAAAGGTCCATTGGCATATTCTTTAGCGCCTCTATAGCCGTAAATTTTTTGCCTTCCCCTGCAAATTCCAATAAGTAGCTGTGCAAACATTTCACCCGCGTCACAATCGGGCGGATGTAACCATTGTTAACCTGCATACTGCTGTCGAAGGTCAGCGCGGGCTTGATGCCACTATGCCTGGCACGTTTCATGGTCACGGCAACATCCTTCACCAACGTTGTCGACATCAATTGCATAGGTCCCGCGTAGAACTGAGAAGACGGCATTGGTTCCTCCGCGGGCGCCGACAGGGAATTTGGGTCCTTGAAAGATTCGTTTATGCGATGACGTAGATTCGCTGTAATCGTGGACTTGATTTGGCGCCTTTTCGCTATCTCATTGTTCACCAATTGGAACGCCTTAAGAGGGTTCATCCGACGAGAGTCGTACAGCAACATCACCGGGAATAATACCCCCTTTAGATCATGCCCTCGAGCCATACAGATGTGAGGTCGACGCTCTTGCACGTATTTGGCCACGCGCTGAACGGTCTTGCGGTCGACAGTCTTCCCAGAATTGCAATCCATGTCAGCATACATCATGGAGATGTTGTTGCACGATGCCGCTTGGAAATCCTCAATGTAATCTGACAACAGCACCATGCGACGGCGGAATAGGGTAGTGTTCACAGCTTTAGGCAGGTCATGGCCTGTACCAAACAGCGTTTTGAACCGTTCCTCGTAAGCTTCTTCGGTAGGGCACAGTGCACGTTGAAGTGAAACCCAGTCACAGTAGGGTTTGTTCACAGGTTCCGCCTCAGGCACCCCCTCTGCCGCTCCATTATTTGGTTGCGACGCTATAGGAGGCTCTGATGTGGTGGACGTCGAAGGCCCACTTGGAGGATGTTGTGGCTGCGCTCTCTGCGCGGATGATGCCGGCGCACCGGGGGCTGAACCTCCACCAGCTGCCCCGATCTTCACACCGCCAATAATTTGAGGTTTCCTTTGCCTTTTAGCAGGACGTGTATCCTCGTTATACTCTCCACTGGTTGGCGCTGTAGACGCAGTTGCTTGCGGTGTCTTCCCCTTGGCAGTCGTAGATCCAGCTTTATTGGCTCTACCCTTAATAGCTTCACTACCTGGAACGGAGTAGATGTGCATCAGCAACTTGCCGTCTCGTACAGTCACCTTCGACACCGCCTTGCCACCCTCAAGGGAAGCTATCACTTTTATCAACAGCTTGTACGGCATTGACAAAAAGTTGTTCAAATCGTTCACTCCGGCACCTCCCCGGTGGCACCGCACCAGGTAATACGTCCACTCTGGCAAGGTGTGTCCGTGAAATAGATGTGGCGACTGGTAGAACACGGGGGCTGGCGCCGGGACATCTGCAGCGGCGTCGGAGGTGATCGCAGGCTTTTGAGTGGCCATTTTGACTACACGCAATCTGGATCCAGGTGCCGACTGGATGTCTACTGATTCTTGTAGCTCGGGCGCATTGCAGTAAGGAATTATGCAGCGCTCGAAGGTTTTCGTCTGCGAGCACCACGCAAATACGCGAGTTATCTTGCATTTCGACTCCAAGGACCGCCGGAATGACATAAAGCTTTTCTTCACCATGCGATCGCTGACGCTAGGATGGACCCAGGGAACATTCTCCAGCAGCATTGAGCAGTATGCATCCCTCCACTCGTCTTCCAGTATTATTTGGTTGTCACTCTCGTGGAGCACCTTCAACATACGCTCGTTGAGTGCCTCGCTGGGACGATTGAAACAGACCTCCTGCACCATCCCTGGCAAGCGGTCTATAATGAAGTACCGCGAATGGAACCACAACGTTGCTAACTGGCTACTGCCTTGTTCTATCTTATCTTCGTAGTCATCATCATCCTCCCTTGCCGAGTCACGGGTCTTAAGCACCTGCAGTTGCTCCTTTACGAGTTGTTTGGAGACACAATCCTGCGGGACCGACACGCGATAAATCACCCCATCCTTGGCCATGTTCACCACGTGGCTGAAAAGGTCACGCGGCGAAATCCCCAAATCGCTCACTAATTCGTGCTGCCAGTATCCTGAAGCAAATTACATCCCCAACACACGACAGTTGCCTACCTTTGTACCGGCGCGAAGCTATGGCCATCAGAATGCGGGACCGCTCGCCACTCTTCATAATGAACTCGGACAACAGCAGGTTCAGCTTCCTCATGCGAAGCGCATTGGAGCAAAACAAGCGGCTGTTGTCGATATACTGCAGAAACCGAGTGTCGTCAGACGTGGCGTCTGCCGTGGGATTCGCCGCATTACTCTGTAGATGTATTTGGAGGCCATATTGACCGCGAAGATCCCGCACCTCTAAACTGCATAATTGGGTAGCATAAGCCGTCAACTCTCGATCGTTTGGATCGGTCAAGACCAGCACATCGCGATCTTTGCACAGCAGTATCCACAGCGCAACCTGAACCACATTAATGCAACGACAAAAATGCTACCTTCGACTCAGGGCTCAGCTTGGGCTGGTCATTCTCGAAAAGAACGCCTGAAACCAGGTCACTAAAGCTCATTGGCTCACATTGTGACGCCAGATACTCCAAACAGCAGTCCACGAGGTCAAACGACATCGTGACGTTCGACAGCGACGGAAGTTGGCAGCGTTCTAAACGCTAATTGGGGGCATAATATGTACACATTTTAGTGATCGTATCTCCAGAACGAAGAATCCAGGTGCCGCGAAGCTGGCTGCATCGCAAATTGCAGTAGACAGCGCGCCTGCAACGCGCGATGTGCGACACATGACGTGGTCATACCAAGAAATAGCTAGGGTGGAACTGCGAAAACCGTGCCAACCGTATTAAAACAACAGGAATACATTAAGTGTGTTCGAATGATCACGTTTTAACGGGAATGTGTTGGCGTACATATACCTCTGTAAGAATTGCACACTGATTACCTTAACGACTTTAAATACGGTGTACTATAACTCAAATGTTGTCAAAGGTGTTTGTTTACATTGAATATGTCAATAATTGTCTAGTACAACACCTGAATTCGTGTATTGGTAAACGACGTTGGGAGCAGGTGGCGTTGTTCGGCGCCATGGGTTACTGGGAGATGCGCTTGGGCTGTAGTAGCCATTAGCGCTGGCGTTAGTTGCGGCTGAACATACTGTTCCATCCGGCTGGTCAGCGCAGTGCTCACATACGTGGACGACTACGCTCGGCGAGGATACTCTGCTGCTGCCATGTGACGGCTTCGTGTATGCGCAGTCGCACTCATACGAATCAGCTCTTGGACTGCATGTTGAGTCTTCGCAACATTGGGCATATTGTTGAACTCGGTCGGATCCGCAGTGCGGCTGTATTGCCATCCTGCTGCGACAACCATTCTCACGAGTTATCACTTGGCAAACCTCGTTGCTACTGCCGCGCTTAGAGGCAACCGAACACTCACAACTGCAGTCTTCATTCGAACTCATTTCGGAGGCGTAACACGTCCCTTCACTGTCTGAGTTTATATTTACATACTCTTCGTACATATTCTCTACACGGGCGGGGCTTGACGCCGGCATGCGGCGAGACGACCTCATAGTCATGGGTTCACGGCAGCTATCACGAGGCTCAACAATGCGTCTAGTAGACTGCTGACCGCCAGACCGACTTTTCGGCACAATCACGCCGCGGAAGGTGCAATATACTCGTTCGCCAGTTGCAAGCCTGTTTAAAGTTGTTTTCGGAATTTCTTCTCCCTCTTCGCTTGTTTCGACGCGCTTCCGCTCGACCTTCGATGAACAAGGAGACACCATCCTGCGGTTGTAAATGGAACCGACTAAAGAAGATGACGATTCACTTGTCCTCAACTTTGTAGCGGATTTCGCTTTACCCTTGGGTGCTGGCCTCCTATGCCGAGAAACAGATGAAGAAACATCCAATGACGGCACATCATAGACGTCTCCGCGCCCATCAGAGCGTTTCGGATACCACGGGGGTCGGGGGCGCATATAAATGAATGAATTGGAACCACGTCGATTAACGGATCGTCCTGCTACACTGGACCCACCAATACGTGAGTTTGCGCGCCGCGATTTAGACAACATCTCGTCGACCGACCAACTGGGAGCCGTATCAAATGTTGGCTGTTTGATCTTAGATGGAGTGAGAGGGCTGACAGAACTGCGACGTGTAGCAGTAGTGTAATTATCCTTGTACGAATGTGTCTCGGGAGCACGCGGACGAGAGGGTGTCTTACGGGCCGCAACATTTGGTTGGTTTGATACTACAGCTGCTTTGGGCGTTTGTTTCGTTGAGGAGGCGCTAGGAGAAGCGTCACATCCGTCATTGTAGCCTGGTACCTTTCTACACCCTATAAACTTGGCACGAATGGTCACCTTTCGCTGAGGGCTCAAAGGTGAAACAGATGCAGTAGACGCTTTCACGGGTATCCTATCAGCATTTGTAGGCGTATTTGGTTGGGTTTTGGACCCTTTTGTGCGAGTGCCCATCTCGATATGTTCAACTTTGGTAGTCGTTGTGCGGCCGGTATCGAGATCCACAGTAGTTACCGTGAACGGAGTCAAATTTACGCGGATTCCCGATGCATTACAGCTTTTTAATGGCGCATGTCGCGTTGTGGTATGGCTTGCCACCTCATACGAATCGCCAGAACTATCATCACCACCCAATACAAAGTTGTTTTCAGAAATCCCAAGATCGCCAGAATTTTCCGTTGCCAAGCTTTTCAAACGATCGGGCGAATATACAGGATCCTTGCAACTTTCACTACCACCAGAGTTACTTGTAGTAGCTTCATCCGCCCACAACCGGTTGGACAATGTATCCCTTCTGACCTTCTCGGAAGCGGGGTAATCACACAAGGCTGCAATCCCTATCTCATCAGAGCTCTTCCGAGATACGGGAGATTCGATGTGCGCTGGTTCAACACCCATGGAATTTCCGCGATCAAGGGATGCTGAACTGTCCACAGTCTCCAGTGTAGGGACTGCGCCACCCAAAATTATGTCGTACTTCAAATTGCAAGCTTCACAACGGCGGTACCGATATGACCGTAACTCTGGCAATAGAGAACGGTCGAGCTTGCTCAGGTATGTTATCAAACACCTTTCACTACCGCACGCGCACTCCCGACGCTTAACTGGGAGTTCCTCCTTAATGTCACTCGCGCTCATCTGCGCTGGCGCTCAACAATCAACTCGAGCGCGAGCATAAACTAGATGTATCAATAAATGTAGTTACAATGGAGCCGATGATCGAATTAATTGACACAACGTATCGTTTGCACCGGCGTGTCGGAAACACCGCACAAGAATGATTTGTTCTTAATTACATCTGATGAGGAGGATAATGTATGCTGTGGCACATATCCACTACACATGACGCCTTAAGAGTTGAAACGCAGAGTACGAGCGCAAGGGATTGGAGCATGTGAAACGCTCATGCTCGGAGGAAACAATTGGAGTCTCCAAAAGACAGCATTAAATTATGCAAAAAAATTAGCGTCACGCCAAACTTGGCACCAATAATAATTGGAAATCTTCAAATGGGCAACAACATCCTTTTTACCCGCTTTAATTTTCCAAAAAAGAGTAAGTGCCGTAGAACTCACGTGTGGGCGTAACCCGATCCAGCGAAGATACACTGCCACATGTCAATGAAAAATGCACACTTTTGATGTTACGAATAATATACACAAACAGTAACAGCCACTAATGACTTGTGAATCGTAAATAACAACGGTGACATCACCGATGATTTGTTGTCTGGAAGTGGATTCCTGACTAGGGGTAATTCCGGGCAGATTGACGCTGCCCAGCGTCAAAAAGGGGTGATTTCCAGACTATATATAGATCTTTAACTATTCCATACAATGCCATCCACATTATAGAACATAAAAATTGTTCCTAGGCTTTCTTCAACGCATTACAACAAGAGCGCGTAAATGCGCCACAGCTGGCTAGGGAAGGCTATATATAAACTGCGCCAAATTTTACCAATGCTTTTTACACTGCGCTGATGTTATCATTGAATAAAGATGCGACGCAGTTATCTATGAGTACATTGAGCGATTTGGCGCCGACAATCCAGAATGCGGCAACTAAGCAGCAGAATTTGTCAATGGAACCCCCCTAGTTGACCCGTCTGCGTTGACAAGCGCACGTCCAGCACTGTTAGGTATCCGGTAACATGCGATAAATGTCCGGGAACCACGATGACCAGAATGGCAAGATACAGTTCCTACAGTCACGCGACTGATAATCATAACATGGTGTCAATGGACGACAGAAGTTTATATGCCAGTCGAAAAGCACAAGAGGATACTAGAGCAGTATGCAAAGGAGGAATTAGAGTTACGGGTGACTGCCAAGGACAGCGAAGCACTGGGTGTGTGCCGTGCTGAGAGGATAGTCTGCCGTTAACAGGTCTGCAGATGCATCCAAAGAAAATTCGAATGCTAGTTGTAATGTACCCTATCCATGGTTTTAATATACTGTCATCCATGGGTCAATTTTTCTTACCTTGAAAAAATTTATCACTGAGCATCCTAAAGATTGCTCAACCTGCGGCCATTCATCATTAAAACGATGGCAAAATCTTTGAAACTCTACAATCTCTGCATCCCATGGCATCACTTCAAAAAATGAGTAATACAATAGTCGCCAAACTGCAGCGCGAAAACATCAAGTTGCGATGAAAATGGTTAGGTTGCGAAAAAGTTTCCTGGTGCTAGAGTTGCACAATAATTTCCTGCACTACACTTTATCAGGCTATTACAAGACACAAACGACGCCACAAAATATTTTTCACCCATACGTATAGTTTTCGTGTGCGAATAACTTCGTAGATCCCAAAATTTTCACCTTGGCAGCTTCGTTTGTCGCTTAAATTTTGTGTCCTTTACAGTCAAGACAATTCTATACTGCCATACCGCGGAACTTATCCTTGACATTTCAATTGTTCATTTTCCAGGCCACGTATCTGTTGTCCTTCTCAGCAAAAATGACGTCTATCCGTAGCTATGGACGGCAAGGAGCGGTGCTACTACTCTGCCTTTATGTGGCACTCCGAAGTGGCCTGGTTATGGGCGTTCCTTCTAAAGATGGTAATTCGGGTAGCGGATCGTCACCGTCCCAAGATGTGGGGGTAAGAGGCCTACTGCTAAATGCCTCTGTGTTTGCCGTGCTTGATTCAATGCAAGTATGTGGGAATCATATCGACGAGATTTTACACGGCCCCGTGATGAATGAGGGCAATTTGGTCAAAGCGATCACTGCCTTTTTCCCATATTGGCATGAACTTCCCAGATACTTCGAACGTTTTCACAGTGACTTTGCCAAGGGTTTGGAACAGATAAGGAATGCACGGAATGTTTACAAGCGTTACAACGATGTATGTCACACACTGAAGAAATTAGACCCGATGTCGCCTCAAGCAATCGAATTAGTCGGTGAGCAACGTAGGCTCGAATTGGAATTCGAGCAATACAAGATGCTCGCCGAAAGTGCTCTTCGATTTAAAGTTGATATATTTGCACCCGTAGTTCTGCGCCTGTTTCAGGATGTTGAAAGAATGTTGCAGTCTCCCTAATTCGCTACAAAACAGGATGTAGGCGATGAAAGGGTAATGCCTTCACAAAAACATCACAACACGTCACTTGCAGCAGGGGCAAACAAGCAGAAGGAATCCGGTATTGCAAGTAAGCCTTCAGGCAAGATTATAACCGGCAACGCGCAGCAAAGCATTGCCAGCTATACGCGTGACATAGATGATACTAAGGATTCATCAAGGGTTCGTGACAATGGGAATTATTCGGACCATGGTAGCAGTTGGTATAATGACCGGCAACTGAGCTACGGCCGTCGCAAAACTACATCACGTATTTACAACACATTGTCCCTCTCAGCAGTTTATGGGCGGCTTATTTGTTGACGTGCTGCGCGTGGTACAGACGGCATTAACTCGTGCTATAAACGTACTGTCCGTACAACGCCGGTGTTGATTAACGGACCTGTCTATCACGCCTCTAACCCTGGGCGCTGCCGCATAGAGCTGCTATACGGGGAACTTCAAACCAGCGGCCATGTAAAAGCGCAGACCCTACGCCAAAAAAACTGCATCCACGCGCTTCGCGCGGAATCATAGCATGCACATTCGTGACAGTCACTACCATAATAGATCGCGTTATTATGTGATAACATGTATAGGCGTTCATACGCGTTGATCTCAACGCTGCTCTGTATGTCGGTCACGGGTACGACGCCGAACCTTGCCGAGCCGCAGTTATCGCTTATCCACCTTAGAAGGCCTAAAGTGGTGTAAAGCGTGACTTATGAACTGCGGGTCTACACACCGCCTGTCGGATGTAAGAAAATGAAGCGTACTACGCCAAAACAACCCACTATCTTGCGCCCTGAATGAAATTCTAAATACGCAAAAAACTATGTTTTGCCTCATTTGACGATACTAGTGTAGTGGGTGAAGACTGTATCCACAACACTGGCTATCATCACATTTCAAGGTTAGAAATGCTTTGAGAAATCCAAAGATGCCCAATTATGCGTGATCAGTACTCAGAACCCATTATTGCTGACCTGCTTCTACAGCTTTTGCAGTCCTTTTACCCTTTTTGCCTTTCTTGCCTTTCTTACCCTTCTTACCCTTTTTGCCCTTCTTGCCTTTTTTAGGTTTTGCGGCTTTCGCAGGTTCACCTTCTGTGGGCCTCGCAGCTTCTACAGGTTCCACGGCTTGTTCCGCTTGAATAGGTTCTTCAACTCCCGCAAATTGTTCCTCTTGAACGGGTTCAACAGATTCTACGAGTTCTTCATCTTGAGTAGGCTCTACTGGGTCCACAAACTCCACGAGTTCATCTTGAGTAGGCTCTACAGGTTCCACAGAGTCCAATGGCTCCACGGGCTCCACGGATTGCACACATTCCACATCCTCGACACCTCCAAGCTCTCCAGCTGCTGCATTACTCAATCCATAGAAACCCCAGAATCCAGAGAAGTCGTAGAGGATGTCAAATACATCTTTGTCCACATCGCTCAACGCCTCGACTACGTACGGAATTCCCATCCGGGGACGCCTTTGCGACTCGTCATAACCAACGGCTCTCAATAAATCTGCCAAACGCTGCCTCACCTTATCATTAGACTCGTTCTTACGTGCGATTCTTGTCGCGTACTTCAAAGAACGTAGGCCCGCGTATAACATGGGCGCAATTCCCACGAAGACTGCTGCGCAATCTTCCGGCTTTTTAGAGCATGATTCGGCCCACGTAGCCTCTGAACTGTAGGCAGACTCGTATTGATCGGGGATTTTCATATGCTTCAGGAACTTGTCACAACCATACACAACGCGACCTAAGTACAATCCCATGGCTTCGGGATCATATTGGTTTTTTTGTACGATGTTCTCGTAGTCGCTTATGTAGTTAGGCCAGAAGCGCTTCCACCACATGTTGCAACTTTTTTTCTCGGGCTCATTGAACTTCTTCAGCAGCTTCTTCACGAACGACTGGTCTTTAAGCTGCTCCCGCTCCAGGAACTCCTTAGTAATAACTTTGGCTGCCTCGAGAGCTGGCACCTCCGTGAAGCCAACAGGAGTGTTTGCGAGCAACTCGTGAAGTGCGGTACCCATGGCAGTCAGGTTGGCTTCAGCATCAGTCCCCCTCAGGGCTATCAACCAGTCAATAGCCTCCTTGAGGTTGTGAGGAGCCTCAGTCAACGAATTGAAAACCATTTTGCAGAGATTTATTAAATTAGACAGTTCCTATAAACGTGTAGATTTTTTGTGTACTCGCATGCCGGTGTGCAAACAGCTGTGTCTTAATGGCGGGTTAGCACAACACAAGAGCTGTTGCCTTCTATATAACGCGCGTGCGATTGCAATGTGCAACCCTCTGTATACAACAAATTTGCTGGCGCTGTCGTTACGGTGACAAACAAGCTGCCGTGTCTTAGACAGATCCACGCGAGTAGCGTGGCATGCATTACGAATAACGCGAGTCATTGATTAGACAAGTTCCAATCAATATTGCACATAATTAACGTTCGTACGTTAGTAATTTTTGCAGTGGCGCGTCGGGAGTTAAAGTTCAACAGACGGTTTCGAGTAGCGCTACAGTTGACGCCATCCAACGTGACCCGCTCGTTATTAACATCGAAACCACAGGATGGGGAGCACAAAACCCCCTTGTACTACCTTCCACGATTGATTTAATTGTTTTTTGCTTAGAGTGGTTGTGGCAGCTTTACGTGTAGGGCCCTTCTCGGCTCGTAACAGCTGCACGCTGCGACACATTGATTCATTATTCCTGCAAAATACTAATGTTATCAGCTGTGACTGGTGATTCGCTGCCTAATTTAGCTTGAGACCCTGTTTGGCATTACCCTGTCTATAAGGGAGATTTTCTATGTAAGTGGGTCGCTAAGATGCGTGGGTCTGGTACTAATTCTCCGGTACGTGCACTTTTGGGACAGCGTCGGTGTGCAGACATTTCATCCCAAAGTTTGTAGGTCCAAGATTGCCTCTGAAACAGCCTGACAGCATCCTGCGCTTGGTCAACGGCATCAACATGCGGAGTCCTAAAATGCAATCGCCCGCACTCCCATACAACATTTCCTTATTCCGATGTATGCTAATTTTAATTTCAGCGGAGCGTGATTCCGCCAGCTTATGCCACCACCCTCCCACCGCATCCGGCGGCGGCGATACCAATGTGACGGCATCTGGCTGCGAGGTCCACGGCGCGGGATTAAGATGTCGCCGATTCACAAAGAATATCCCGTGGACACGAAACGTTACAATGTAAAGAAGTCCATAAGATCACTCGCATCCCGTACACGCGACCGCGGATGACCTAACACCTCTACCACGCTGCCGGTCTGGGTGATCATCCACATTTCCGCCGAAATAGATTATATAATGCACTCCTGCTACATCACCTTAGAGTTGCCATCAGTAGGTGTGCTACGTGAGTTGTTACTGGAAGGAAGCGTAGAGCAAGGGTTGATGGCACTCAGGTGTTAAGATACAATTAATTAACGTGGTACAGTGGCGATACCTTTGGCCGGGCTGTGACACAGGGAGTGCCCACACTACCACCTTGACGCAACAATTTCCTCTGCATTCAAGCTCTTCAAAACAGCCATTCAGTCATCCTTGGAATCGTGTGCGTCTCGTGGCGGGAACTGGTCTCTTCCATCGTAAGCGTCTGGTTCACCATACGCGTCGCCTGTAGAATCTGTATCTACGTCACCATACGCATCGTCTCCAGCATCCATATTACCTGGACTATCCGCTTCGTTACGACGCTGAGGAACCATACTATCGATGATAAGCTCCATACGATCGATGGTAAGCTCGATACCATCGGCGAGATGCTCCATACGAGTGACGACAGTCTCGATGCGACCGATGAGACCCTGGACACTATCGGCAGGCATGATACGGCCTTTCATCTTACTAATACGATCGGCGATATCCCACATACGATATCTGATGTGACTCACATTACCACCGATAGCCTCGACGGCAATGATGAGAGTCCCGATGCGCTCCATGATAGGGTCGGCACTATCGATACGCTCGATACGGTCCATAACGCGCTCCACACGCTCCTCGATGGGCTCGGCACCATCGTAGATGCGCTTCATACGATCCATGATAGGTTTGACACTATCGACAGGTTCGATACTATTAAGGAAACGCTCCATGGTATCAAAATCATCGATTATATGCCCCATCAATTTGATGCTCAGCGTCATACCAAAGACGATACTATCCTTACTGCCTATCCTGGCTGTAACGTCCTTTGTAACCTTATCGCCTTTAGTAGCCGCAGAGTCGTTCACGTCACCTAACGGGGGATTTCCTGGTACACCATGCGACTCATTGCGCTGATATATTATCCAAGAGGCAATAAGGACCACCACAAAAATGGGCATCCATATAGACAACATGTTCAACAGCCTCTGCGGCCACCGTATCTCCTTCAACGTATCCATATGCCTATCGTGGTCACCACCAATAGAAACAGACATCGCCAGATTAGTCGGCCTTCCGTCCCCCGCAGACCCATCCGTATCGCACACAACGCTGCGGCCAGCCATTGTGGAAAATAATTACCAACATGCCTTAACACCATAAACTCCTCTTCAAGTAGACATACACATCCAGACTGGCGTCCAGGTGTAATCCCGTAAGCGTGCCTCCGTAACTTTCAACCCTTACACGCCGTTAGTATCCACGGCCATGATATTTACCGAGTAGTTAGTGTACGACCATAAGTAGAATCACATTACACTCACTCGTTTGATCCAAGAAAAATGTGTGTACTCCACTTAGACAGCCACTGCTCACGCCCACTTCTAGGCTTTCGGGGTGACAAATAACAGGGGAGACAGTTTTGCGGGGCGTCCCACTAAGTGGCCAATGGGGTATAGTCCGGGAGTACGACTTCGAGCCTTACCACAGTGTTGACCATAAATGCCTGTAACTGGAATGGTCACTTAGACAAGACCGCCCATTCACATAATGTGGAGCATAGACACGCGAATTCACATTCTATAGCCACCCACTCCCATGGTAGATGCCTCAACGCCTGTCCCACGCTGCTGGCTTGGTCTCGGCACTAGGCTACTATAGGACGGCACCGGCGAATATCACAACTCAGCTACTGCAAATAGATAAACATGCCAAACCAGATTGCGTAGTGGGTTGTTGGTTACGTCCGAGAGGTGAGGCCTTCTTAAGCTCCTGGCCGTAACTATAGTCGCCTTGGGGGATGTAAGGAACTAAGGAACAGTTTATATGTTCGCACGGCGCCTTTTTACCCGCCATATAATAGCACGCGGACGGCATAGCGACGCAGAAGGAACCACCGAGATGCGTTACCCAATGCAGACCAAGAACAACAATCACAGCCGGAGCTCCAGACACCTCCACAGAAAGGCGCCAAAACCGCTATAGCAGATCGTGCTGCCTTTGTGACATTTACAGTGAGATTTGTCCGCCATCCTTCCAGCAGCTCAACTAACGAACAGCCCTGTGGCGCAATGGGCAACGCACGTTAGGCACCACTTAACCTAGTAACAATGAGGACAAATCGAGATTGCCGGACGGTTGCCTGACGTGGTTCACCCACATCTGGAATTAATCTAATTCATGTCATTATTATCAATCGATTGGTGTCTAGCATTCCATCAGGAGGTATTTGCTTTCACCCCCTCACCCATCCGATCATGCTGCAACTTATGTGGCTGAGCCCTGTGAAACCTAAAAATCAGCACCGCAAAATTGCCAACGTGAGTCACTGTGGCTATAAAAAGCATAGGTTGTACTGCGCCGTAAGCATATCATGAGAGGATAAAAGCATGACCCGTATGCCTCCCAACGGTTGGCCAAGATGTCCAGGCGCTGTTGCCGTAATCTGTTGTCTTAATTGGTGGAGTGACTGAAGTCCACTAATATGTACCAGATGTTGCGCTTTCTTATGTGTCCGGGCCGTTATAGATTTCTCAACTTGTGATCTTATGTGGAAATGAACATGCTACACCTTCCTCATTCCGGCAGTACGATTGACACAACCAAGGTATGGTGAGACGTATTTTCAATTCACACGATTAGGTATACTAATGGTATAATGTACAAGTCATGAACAATTATGAAGATACTATAGCACATCGATACATTAAAAATAGCAGTTGCTATCTTATTACCAACGTTGATGCTGTCACTGGACTAGCCAAACCAACAAACCGGCCAACATGAACTGTGACGATTAAGGTGTGTAATTGCCAAGCTCTTTACCAAATCTCAGTTCCTCATCAGTTTGAGTAATAGTTCTCAATCTGGATGGTGGAGAGAACGATCCCTTTGACGGTGACGCAGCGGCATTCCAACGGCGGCGCCTGGCGCAGCGTTTCTCCGACTCCGACGAGTGAACTGTCGAAGCTCAGGATGACAAAGTGGTTAGATCGAGATGCCACCAACGACTTGCTGAGCTCACCTATGTTCGTGACTTCGCCGTCTACTAATACTTGGCTGAAGCAGTTGGGTGGGTCCAGGACGTACGGCGCTGGGCAGTAGAACGCCGCCTCCTTGGCAGCATTAAGGTCAATATTACAACCGAACTGAGACTGCCCATCACCGTCGTAGAGTTGAGGCGTCTCAGGCTTGAATAGGTCAGTGGACTCGTATGTAACGCCGCAGCCTTGCATGTACGGATCCGTGGTCTCGACATTAACTTGAACTACATCCCACGAGTATTCTACCGAGGACCGTACGATATGGGTGGTTGGCGATGTAGGAACCTGACCAGCGATGATAGACACATCCGCCGGTTCGAGCTCTTTGCCGCAGACAAATGTCATGGGCACGTATTGATTGTGCAGTGGGTCCTTAGATACAACAATGGAGTCGCTACGAGATTCGATTATCAAACGTTGATGTCGTTGTGTTGATACGAGGTCCTTAAAAAAAACTTTAAAACCACCCGGAGCAGCGGCAATTGCATCTTTATATCTCTTAGGAACAAGGTGATCACCGTGCAATGTCTGATTTATGGCATAATAGAATATGTCGGGCTGCTTTGGCAGCCATGTGGTTGATGGCCACCCCAAATTTGGCATTAGACCTTCATAAACTGCTCTGTCATACGCGCCCAATAGACAACCAAGTGTCAACCGTTTACCAACTTCCAATGAAACTGAATTTTTCCATGTTTTCGGTGCCATAATCAATCTTGTTGGCGTGGATTCTTCAAGTATAAGATCGGCCGTCTTCCATAACGTATAAAGCATGCGAGCGACAATAAGAGTCCTATCTATGTTGCGTGTTATGTAGCGGCGAAGCATATGGTTTGTATGCCCTAAAATAAGCCTAGAAGTTTCATATCCACGTTGGTCAACACAGAAGCAAGCGTAACTATGAGGGGTACTTTCCATGCCTATCTTGATTAGCGGAGAGGTTTTTGGTGGGACCAACTCGAACAGCTGAAATCCTTGAATGGGTATGAGCGTGGCGGTTTTTATAGATTCAGGTCTTGCAATGATCTTATTGGAGTAGAGGTCATATACTTTGGACTCACAGTTGGCTGGAAACAGCTCCTCGTCTGGTCCGCAGTGAATACCAGCTAGACGGACTTGCTGCACGTCATACACGCATTCATACGTATTCCATATATCATTTCCCATAGATATGGTTGAACAGTATGACCCGTTAGTTTGGGGATCAAACACACCTTGTGTCCCTCGATCGCAGCCAGGGACGTGGTACGGGTGGGTAAACGCAAACGATAGTTCCACCATGGCGCGTATCGTCTTTGCAACATTCTTGTCTCCAGATATAAAAGTCCAGTGATAATGAAACGAGTTTAATCCGCTTCGTAGCGCGAGGGGTTTGCCTGAATGGTACTTTAGTTTTACTTCTCCACGATGCATTTGAGAAACATCCAGCTCAAGGGCATCACCAACTAGGGCATCATGGTACGAGATCTGGTCATAGATGTCAAAGCCATAGACACTTGCCAATTGTCTAAGCGTAGCTAAATCCTTCGGCATAAATCCAGTATCGAATACATATTTAGGTCGCTTTTGAGGGGGCATGCCAGGTGGTGAATCTTTTTCGGAGGGCTCCGTACCCACATCTTCTGCTGGGAACCGTATGGTCAAGGTGCTGCCCGGTTGGAGAACCACTGAACACCAAGGGCCACCGATGGGCTGCGAGCTGTTGCGTTCGATCATGCTGGAAATGTCACAAACGTAGTCGGTTTTCGAACGGATCTCAATCTTGGCCTTCACCTGACCGGTTTCTGGATCTATGCATCTGCATTTTCCACTGATTGGTGGTAATGCCAATTGGTCAAAATACTTGGCTACTACCAAATGTCCATCGTTTTGTATATCCCAATACGAGTGAGGCGGGGGAGCGGTTATAATTCTGCCACTCTCTTCAATGAGGGACTTCATACACTCCTTAGGTTCAACCCTCCCTTCACAAAGAAACCCTATTGGTGATTCCGACATAGGATCTACCACGCATGAACGAGTGCCAGTGACGGGATCCACTGTCACCTCATTGTCCGGAGAGAACAGTGGTGAGGGGCGGCCACCACATCCTTGAAGTGGCATATGTAGACGTCCTCTGTTTAGGAAGAGTACACCTAAACCACTCCCTATCTTGGCTATCTCCTGAGTCAATGGAGTGGATGGAGCCCAAGGAAAAGTTTGCATTTCTATGGAGGCGTCGAGACGGCCCAGGTGACCTTGCAGCGTATCGCTCAGAACCAAGTCTCTGGGACCACAGATGAATATCAAACGGCGCTCATTAATAGCAAAATATCCGTGAGATGGTAAGTTGACATGCAATTCCGTTTGCAGCTGGTTGGATTCTATCCAGAATAGGGGATTATTGGATTCGGAGAGCATCACATCCGAATGCGCAGCCGAACTCAGCTTGCCATTACTACTCACATACGCGTTGACCTGAGCGTTATCACCCGACATCCGTTGAGGATGCCACATATACTCGCTTCCGTCGACTCGGCGTGGGCATATCACAGTTTCAGTCTTCATAATATCCATATCCATGTGGCATCCAACCAGGGCATTCCTACCGAGTAACCAAAATGGATTTCCGAAATCGCACTCGATTGCGTTAATACCCCAAATGCAGCATGAGAATATTGCGCAAAGGGCCCACAGGCACCTCGTGATGCTAAATTTGGCCATGGTTATGCGTTTGAGTCATACGATCAATAAAGACCAACCTAAATGGATAATGGTAACATAATAGGATACGCTATGTTAATATGCGAAATTAAAACAGCTTTACACTTTATGATTAATTTTTTGTTGGGAAATTAAGGCTAGCGAAAACCCCATCGCTAGCTTGCTTCCAAGTTTCAAAGGAATTTTCGTTCACTGCTGCAACCGGAGTAGTCCTTGGGAGGACTTACGTGATAATGGATCCCACGTTTTAATAGTTGTGAAATAATTCCTGTTTGTCATGGCTTCACAGTTTGTACTGGGAATGCATCTCCATTTTAGTTGATGGGAGTCGTACCCGTAATGATACACCAAACATAACACTGGCGGACCGACAGAGGAACACCTTCACCACCGTGTAAGTAGAGATAAACAACCAAGACATTCTGGTGGAGACGGAGACATATAAGAGGAGGACGTACGAGCACCTGGTGAGGGATCCCAAGGGGGGATGTTCAGCTAGCGGGCAAAATTCTAGGCGGCACACAATGTGATTAATAAGATAAAATTTAGAGAAAATTATGGCATTATGAATGCTTCTCGCGTCCAAACGCGACGGATTCCATCACGGATGACACCTGTAGCGTTCGGTAGCAGCATTACGTGGTGCCCGCAGCCAAGATCGATAGCGTGTATGTAATGGGTTATGAGGGGCTGCAAAAAGTGGTACTATCTGAACGTAGTCAGATAGCAAGCTATACAGCTGGCAACAAGGGTAATATTTTACTGACAAAATCAACGGCCTCGTCGTAGTCTTGCTGCTCTGGTTTGCCGAAAAGACAGCTTAAGAGCTTTGCTAAAAATTGGCGGAAAACGCCCGGTTTTTTGCCTTCGCTTTCAACGCCACCGCTGGTTCCAACATCGGCCTCCACATTCTCGTCGCCGGGGTCAGACACTGCTGTGCCGTCAACATCTCCAACCGTTACGCCATCGGCAGCAGTACCTTCCGTAACGTCAGCACCGTCAGCCGCACTTCTGTCGACCTGATCAGCATCCTGATCGCCAGCAGACACTTCATTGTCATTAACATCGCCTTGGACATCGGAAGACCTAATTATCTCTTTCCCTTTAGATGGCGACGGAGATGGATTACCTTTAGCTTCGTCTCCAGTGTTGGTTATCTTTTCCGTCGGCGGCTGTGTGTCGTCGAAAAAAGGCTCGACTTTGGAACGATGGATTATCCCTTTCTCTTTTGGAAGCGAGGGGGCGGGCTGCGCCGATGTCACCGCAGAAACATCGATTCCGCTGAGGATCAGGATAGCCACGGATAGGAACCACTTCATTTTGTAGTTAAATATTAAACTCTATACTCAAATCGGCACCATATGTATATATCTTTTACGGCGATAGATCCCCTGGAAGGTATGTCGTGCATCAGCCTTCCACCGCTGACAACTAACACACAAGTGGAATGCAACTGATTTCAAAGACGCTTTGTATAATCGGATGGAATGTGCGCTACGTGCACAGACTATCTCATAGATCCTTGCGTCCAGGGTCAGCGGAACGGAAGGCACTATTGTCGTCACGTTTCGTGATCTACGAGAAGGCGCCGCGAAGCTTGCGTTTGCGTTGGATCTCAGCTTAATTCGTCGTTTATGAAGTGCTGTATTGTATTCTGTTGGCCTCCATCCAGCTTCACGGTTTTGCAATGCATATTTCGATACACATCGTATTGTGTCACTGCGATGCGGGCACCGATTTGTCACGCTCCACCAACACTGAATTACCGCCATATAGGCATCTTGGTAAACCATGCCGTCACATTAATCAGCTTTTAGTCGCGTGATCCTGCGAAGGTTTCGCCGTCACCGTAATTATTCCACTGGTTCGCCACATTGGATTCATTGGCCGATGTTTTTGGTTATTCATTCTCTAATTCAACTAGCAAACAACGTTCAGGGCAATCCCCTACGTTATGACGTGGGAGGGGATAGTGACAAAAGAACACACCAAGTATAGGCGGGACCTGGGCATATCGTATCGCCTAGAAGCCCATATACAACGGGTAGTGATCCAAGAAACACAAAAGCTAGTGTTGAGGGACATGAAACCCAGAGAAGATTATGACTCTGTGAATGACCCTCTCGCCCAAACAGGATGGATGCCACAATGGATGGTACCTGTAGTGTACGACAATTCGACATGGATCCCGCAACCGACACCAGCAGCCTAAGGCGCTTGCCTGGTAAACACGAAAATCGGCCCTAAGCCACGTAGCCACATAGCGCACTAAATAAAACCAAAACAAAGATAATGTCAAACGGATTCAACCCGCAACCGACACCAGCGGCATGCAGGGAATAAGGGTTCAACTTTAACGAACGTCTGTAATAGTCATATGTGACCAGATAAAGCACGCTTACAAAATTGGAATAGCGATACGATGGCTCCAATAAATTGTTGCATACAGTGGAGCAAACGTAAACGGTACCCGGGTGCCCGCAGTTAACGAACCTCAATAAAACGTTTTGAAATCCGCACGTTGCAGAACAACAAGGTGAGACGAACGCAGATCGACAGCATGTCAAATCGTTTAGCCCAGCAAATACAACCTCCATCAACAAAGTATAAATAAGGACACCAAGCCACAAACGGGTTCAACGATCACAAAAATGCAAGCACGCAATCTGCAAGCAAGAAACGATTTATTAATCACAGATATCGGGAGAAGGAAGTTCAGCGCATGGCTTAGTTTCCGCAGGTGCGGAAAGCAGCGCCAGCATAGCGGGCACGGGAACCAAGCTGCTCCTCAATGCGGATCAACTGGTTGTACTTGGCGTTGCGCTCGCTGCGGCATGGGGCACCAGTTTTGATCTGGCCAGTGCCGAGGGCGACGACAAGGTCGGCAATGAAGGTGTCCTCAGTCTCGCCGGACCTGTGGGAAACCATCACACCCCAGCGGTTGGCGTGACTCAAAAGGCAGGCGTCGATGGCCTCGGTGACAGATCCGATCTGGTTCACCTTCAACAAAAGAGCGTTGCAAGCCTGCTTGGCGAGGGCGGTCTCGATACGCTTGGGGTTGGTGACAAGCAAGTCGTCACCAACAATCTGCACAGCAGAGCCGATCTCGGCCGTCAACATCTTGTAAGACTCCCAGTCGTCCTGGTCGAAGGGGTCCTCAATGGAGACAATGGGGTACTTCTGGCAAAGCTCCTTGTAGTAGGCGACCATTTCGGGGCCAGACTTCAAGCAAGGCTGCTCGCACTTGAAACCCAAGTTGTAGGAGCCAGATTCCTTGACGTAGAACTCGGAAGCAGCGACATCCATGGCAATCTTGACCTGGCCATCAAAGCCGGCCTTCTTGATGGACTCAACCAACAGGTCGAGGGCCTCCTCGGCGGACTTGATGTTAGGGGCGAAACCACCCTCGTCACCCACGTTGGTCGCATCCTGGCCGTACTTGGCGTTGATGACCTTCTTCAAGTTGTGGTAGACTTCGCAACCCATGCGGATGGCCTCCCTGAAGGAAGGGGCACCGACGGGGAGGATCATGAACTCCTGCATGGCCAGGCTGTTGCCGGCGTGGGAGCCACCGTTGATGACGTTAAGGCAGGGAACGGGGAGGACGTAGTTGTCGGTGGGCTTGCCGGCGAGCTCAGCGAGGTGCTGGTAAAGGGGTACCTTCTTGCTCTCGGCGGCGGCGCGGGCAGCGGCCATGGAAACGACCAAGATAGCGTTGGCTCCGAGGTTAGACTTGCAGTGTCCCCACTCGTTCATGCTGCCGTCCAACTTCTTGACCATAAGGTCGTCCAGGCCCTTCTGGTCACGGACATCGTGGCCCTTCACACCAGCCGCGATGGTGGTGTTGACGTTGTTGACGGCCTTCAACACACCCTTGCCAAGGTAGCGCGATTTGTCGCCATCACGCAACTCCAGGGCCTCGTAAATACCAGTTGAAGCGCCGGAGGGGCACGCGGCCCTGAAGACACCGTCGGCGGTGCTGAGGTCAACCTCGACCGTGGGATTGCCACGGGAGTCTGCGTAATATGCAACACACATGACGTAAAAACATACCAAGAATTTCGCGAGCGTGGATAGAAGTAATCGCAGCCATTGTCACAGTTTGATGAGGAAAATGATAGTGATGTCGCCCCCGGTGCCAGCGCCCCCGCACATATGGGTCCCCGACTAGCACCAGCCCGCGGTGCCAAATAGGCGCAGCGACGCGCCACGGCCCTACGAATAAGGAGGTGACACTGGGGCTGTGCTGTACTGCGAGGAATCTGCGCGAGAGACGAAGCTAGGCGTCTATCGCACACCACGGTGACGCTGGAAGGACGCCACCGACGTCCCGCGGGAGGAAGCCGCAAGACATCGCATTACAAACACTCCTAAAAATGGAGAATCGCGAATCGTATGAGGATTTGCAGGTTAGTTGCAAAATGCCGACGTGACACGAAGGAGCTGTACACACCAGACACGACTGACGACGTCGCAGGCCAAAATCGCAGACTACCGTGAAAAGATCCAGCTCGTCCAGGAGGCGCTGCAGCAGGACCCTGACAACGAGGAGCTCAAGGTACTGCAAGCTGACCTTCGTGAGGTCATCCAGCTCACCGAGGACCTCATCCAGTACAAGCGGCAGAATGAGGCCGCTGCGAGCACCACTGATGGTGGCGCCAAGGCGCCAGAACCAGAGGAAGCGACTTCCGCAACAGGCGGGAATGCGCAATTTCTTGGTACGTCCGCCGCTGCAACCACGCAGGGATCATGCCATGCAGGGCGCATATGCGTAGTGCTCTACAATGGCAAGCAAAAGTTCGGGCAGATTATCCAGCTCATGGGCGATTTGCCCACTGACCAAGTTGTCATCCAGCTGGTGGGATCGGGTGAGCAGTGCGCCCTGGCAGCCAAGGACCTCAAGCTCGTGGACGCTCCTTCCCCCGACCTTTGCAAGCCTGGGACGCTGGTCCAGGTGCTATACTCCGAGGATGGGTAAGAATACGCCTCAACGGTCAAACACAAATCGTTAGGCGATGGTACGACGCGCTGATTAACAGAGAGACCGAGACGGGATACGTCATCACCTACAAGGACTACAACATCTCAGAGGAGGTGGCGCGGGACTGGGTGAGGCTCAAAATCAGGCACGACGCCAAATCCAAGGAGGTCAAGGAGATAGTGACGCCCGCAGGATACCGAATCCCGGAGAATCTCATCATCAAGCAGAACGACAACGAGAAGGAAAAGATGAGGAAAAAGAAGCTCGTGCAAACGCTCAAGAAGCAGCAGAAGGCCGAAAGGATAGAGACGGAGGCGAATCAGCGTGCCAACAGCTGGCGAAAGTTCCAAGAAAAGGTACGCGTCGCGCCGCTCGTAACAGCATCGTGCAGGCTGGCAGCAAGAACAAGAGCGGTTACATGACCGGCAAGCGCGAAGGCTCTATCTTCAGCAGCACAGACCAGGACACTTCCCTCAGTGCGCCGAACATCTTGTACAACTCGTTCGTGCCGCGCAAAAAGTTCGACTTCAACGAACGGTTCTAGAGGGGGTCACACACCTCAACACAGTCAATACTTATCGCAACACAATATAACACATGGCAGACAGCGAGCCACAAAGCGCCGCTTTTAACGGCGTCAAAGGCGTCTGCCATATCAGCGATGGCTTTCTGCTTTTCGAGACTGGGAGCTGCAAGCTCAAGTGGTCCTTCTCGACGTGGATACGGTCGGAAAAGTCGAAAAAGGCCGCAAAGGTCAGACTGACTTTCACCGAGGGACCCCTGAGATTGACACCAGGTAAATATACGGCCTCAACAACCCACTAAAACGCTCAGATGACGCGCACGCTGACATCCTGGAGAAGGCCGTGATCATCGTGGACTTCGGGGACGACAGGGACGTCCTGGAACGTTTCTGCAGCCAAGTATCGCAAGAATCTGCACCTGTTAAGGTTCCTACGGTCGTACCGGAGGTACAGGAGGCGCCGAAGAAAGCTCCGCAGGAGGCAGTAACCACCGCGGCACCGGAGCCGCCAAAGGTTGATCACAAAACCATAATAAACAGAAACAGACAACGGCTTCTGGAGACCAGGGGAGACGTTGCTGAACTATATCAGCAGTTGGTTGAGACCGAAGAGGGCTCCGGAGAGGGGGTGGTCTCACCGGAGGATTTCTGGAGCCACCATAGCGTGGACATTATCGCATCACTAGAGCAACCCGAGGCGCCATCGCATCTGGATGGGTTTATCGCAGTACCGCCAACCAGCGAGTTCGTCAATGGGCACAGGGTCTACAGGTACAACCCTGAGTTGGGCAGGGCGCTGCTGGCGGAGGATGAAACCATCCGGGCGCTCCACCGAAAGTTCGTGCATGAGAGGCAGTATCCGGAAGAAAGCTTCTGGAAACGCATACTCCAGTCGAGGCACTTCTACCATATCATCGGGGAGAAGTGCCCTGAAAATCATGGATTGTACGATGATATCAAGGGGGTGCCGATCAAAAAGATCACGCCGCCGCAACCCGCTGTTAGCTCAGTGCTGGAGAAGGTCGACCCTTACAGCGATCTGATCCGCATCGACGAGTTGGTCAAGCGAAAGCCATCAAAGTCGTTAGCCGCCAAAAGGTTTGGGGACCAACCGGAGGAAGATTCCAGGCCGTCCATCGTCGATCGGTTCAACGAACACGCCGCCAAGATCATCAACGGGTGCAGCCGTGCTAGCAACATGATGGGCTACAAGGAAGATACTAAAACGCTTGAGGAGCGGGGTGAGTCTGTTAGTGATGGGTTGGAAACATGCACCCGCAGCGGAAACCGAACGCAAACGCAGAATCACCGAAGTTTACAGTCACGACCTCTCAACGCACCACTACCAAAAAGATGACGACATGTGCATCATACAGGGGCTGAATATGCCAGGGCGCACTGGCAGCCGGTCCAACTCCTTTGACGATCAACGGAGCGACAGCAGGGAGCCCGCCAAAAAACCCGTCTTCAAAATGCGCACGAACGCGGACACGATGCGGGAAATCAGCCAATCGATCGAAGATATGCGGCAAATGGACATTATAAAGTATATCAGAAGGCCGATGAACGACGAAAACGCCAGCAGGCGCATGTTCATCCTCAACACCAAGCTCTGCCAGTCGGAAAAGATAACCCAAACAGTGCCGCGTAAGTCAATCCCGCAACCGCATTACACCACCATTCAGTGGAGTACGACGACACAACGGTGAACAGGATGCGCCAATACCAAATGAGCATCATGGAGATTTTGCAGCTCTACTACAAGACCCTGCTGCCCGAGGAGCAGAAGCGGCTCAAGCTGCTTCTTGCCGCACGGCAGCTTAAAGGTAAACTCGAGGGGCAGCAGGAATTTGGCATCTCTGCCTACGCCGCGAAGCCGCTACAAACGGGACTCATGAACCAGATCACGGCGGTCGAAGTGTATGATACAAAATTGAAAGCGTTCGTCGCCGACCTCCGGAACCAGGCGCAGCAGCGCATAGTTAAACCGAAATGAGCGGATCACATGCCTGGCGTGTTGCCGCTGAGTACCAGGTGCGACGACTTGGACTCCGCCTGGTGGGTGAGCAGCGCCTTCATGGTGGGCAGGCCCTCCAGCGGGTTAATCTTCGACAGACGCTCTGAGACAGACTGTAAAATACATATACACAAAACTTACCGCGCTCCATCCGCTTGATCTTACGCTCCTGCTTGTTCAGCCCGGGCCCCTTCCCGTGGAAGCTCCAGGATATCTTGCGGAATGCCTCCTTCGGAGTCAAGCGGCGGCCGTACTCATCCATGTAGTGCAGGGTGATGTCCTTCCCCACGTCGGACAGATCCCGCTTCTCCTCGATGATGTCACCCTTTTCCTTCAGGTACGCCAGCGCCGCGGCTATACCCGACGTCATCGGAGCGGTGTTGTCCACGCTGCCGTCGGGGTACTCCACCTTGTCCGCGGTGTCATCATCGGTCTGTTCTGGACCAGAAGTTTTCGAAACACTTCTAGCGACACGTTGAACGGCGGGTTCCTCCTCGTCATGCCTGGGCTTAACGGCATTTATAAGCTCAGATGTGGCGTTGATCTGGAGACCGGGCGCATCAGCGGCGACCGCCCCGGTGTCTATAACGCTGGTGCGTACTGCGGTCTCTGCAGACCGTTCAGGTTCCTCCGTTTTCACTGTAGATAGAGTGCGATTGCGATGTTTGGACAGCTGAGCATACAGGTGGTTACACTCCTCCACATCGTCCATGTCCAGTGTTACTCGCTTGACGATTTGTGACGGAGCAACGTCATCCGTCGTGGCTGAACTATCCGCTTGACTGGAGCGTTGCGCGTTAGTGTAATTGGAACTGAAAACCTTGTCCCAGTTCACCGGACGATGGCGGTTCTTCAACAGATCCTTCTTGCGCTGCAGCCCGCCGAAGTCGAAACTCTCCTCAGTAGGCTGGGTCAACAGAGTATTGGCCTTCTTTGGAACAGGCTCCACGCCACTATCCAAATCCACGTAGAACCCACGCTTACCACCTGCGAGGTTGGAAAGCGTGGACCCCTGGTACTCCTCCACTGCTCTGTCGTACTTGCGCAGAATGTCTGACTTCTCGTCACCGTCGTCCTCCTCTTCGTAGGGGTTGTACTCCGCAGTGCCAGCACCAGCGCCACCGCTGCCACCCTTAAGGTTGATCCCGCCGCGCTTGGCGAGCTCGGGGTTTTCCAAAAAGTTCACCTCCGCGACGCCCGCAGACTCAGCCTCCAACACGCCCACGTCCGCCAAGGTGAGTACAACTTCCTTACCGGAATCCAACGGCAACTCGTCCACCTTGTGCAGAACCTTCAGCTTGGCGCCACTCTTGACAGCAGAAGCAGTGCGCTTCGGCGGCACAGCCGGCGCGACGGGCTCCTCTTCCTCGTCGTCGCTGTAATTTAACGTGCCCATACGTTTGCGGCGATGGATTGCGGCCATTCGCCGCGACCATGCCTCCACATCGAGCGAACTGTAAGCGCCATCTACCGCCACAGCTTCGTCATCGACACCCGGTGGAGCCAAGTCATCGCTCTTGGCCAACAGGTCGGCTATGCCGCCGCCTTCAATCAGGCGCCGGCGAGCGGCTACGCTCTCATCTATTTCCGACTTGTCTGCTTCTGTCGGCTCCGGAGCTTTGGCGACACTCTCCTCCGCAGCAGGAGTGGAATCACGCACCGCCAGCGGCTTCAAGCCCAGCTTCAGACGAAGCGCGTTCGTCTCCTCTATGGAACAGGACAGCGTCCCATCCGCGCCAGGGAGCTCCATCTTTGTATGTGAGAGTTAAGTTACTGTGCTAGTGCCCTGTGTCGTGGTGCGCGCGCCCTCGGCAAGGGTCGATCGGTAACACACCTCGCAGAATAAACGGCGGCGTTGCGATTAATAATGCACCCGTAGACCGACCAAATATCACAGACCCACCGGACAAGCCACTTCACGCGGGGAAGCAACGGGAATCCGCAGCGTGTAGTCAAGTGGTTGCGCAAACAAAAGAGATATACACACCGGAAGGCCCGCTAATGGCACTGTCTATATATCTCAGATATATATACACGTGAATTACGATTGCCGGACGTCGAACGATGTGCCCCGCTGAGTCACACGATTGTTTGGACATACACAGCGACAGCGTTGTGCGTCATGCATTCCGCTGTCATAAGCACCGTGCTAATAACCTAGAACTCGCAAACTGCCCACACCATCTCGCACATTCACGACTGGGATACGCGCAGGTGACACAGTGCGCCTATATTATCCTTGTTGACACCCACCCTACAGTCACGCCGCGAGCGGAAGACGCCGCACACCTTAGGCGCGCGCAACCCCCAGTCACGCACGAGCGCTGGTGATGTTTACAGGCACACGACGTTCAAATGGCGCTTAATTCCGAAGAGCTGCAGCCCGTAGCAGGGGAGCACGAAGACTCGGGCCTGCACGCGGAGGTCTGCGCTGGAGTCAGTTCAGAGGCAACTGTGTTGGACGGGAACGACAAATCGAGCGAAGAAATGGGCGATCAAATACCGGAGACCTCGCAGGACGACTCCGCCGGATCTCGCACAGGATGGGAGGCCGCTGTTTTGGCGACTCAGACAGCCATCACCGAAGACCTGGAAAGCTACAAAGTGAGGTCGGAACTGCCGATAACCGCCAGCATAATGCCATGTGTTCTGGACCAGAACACTAAAATGGCGGGCGAGGCGCAAGGGGGCGAGCAGGGAACGGTGGAACCTGTCCCAGGAGCGGTGTTGATGGATTCGTACTACCAGCTGCCTCCGAAGGAACTAATCGCTTTAGCTGCAGCAGCTACGAGGTCTAGCAGCCTCTTCTCGTTCAAAAAGGAGGATAGGCGCCCGGCACGGCGCCCCAAAGCGGATGATCCTAGAACAAGGAATAGGTACGTCATTGGTGCTCCTGGTCATAGCTGAGCAGCACTGGACACGAGGACGGGCGCCACGGCAATCTGATTCCATACGAACCCCTCTTGGAGCCCATGACCATACCCGGACACGATCAGCCCCTGGAGCCGGAGACCGGGTTCCCGAAACCACGCCACCCACAACTACACGAGCAAAGGTTAGGATGTTGTATCGATAATCTTAACTCGTTGCAGAATCGGCGGCAATTACTACCCAAAGCACCCCGGCCGCCATAGGGATCACATGTATGCGAAGGGAGGCCCGCACGTGCCAGGCGACAGGAGGCCGAAATACGTGGATGCGCAACAGTTGATTGCTAAGCAAAACGCGAAGGCGAGAGGGTTTCCCGGAGGAGCCAACCGATGGAGCGCTCCCAGGCCCACCGATGGAATATTCTCGCTCGGTAGCCTGAGGCCCGAGACTCCACACGTGACTCCGAAAGCGGCTAACGAAGCCCACGCAATGTCCTTCAATAGCATCAGCCGTATGGTGCAGGACCTGCATCTCAAGAAGCTGGTCTCTCTCCGGAATGGCGAAGACGTCTTGAACATGACCACGCAGGATGTCTCGAACTTCACGTTCATCGACGAGGAATCACACGTCCCCCTGAAGAGCTCGCAGTTCAGCAAGATCTTCAGCGTGGTTGGGCAGCAACACAAGGCCGGTAGGTGGCTTGTACTGTAAGCGACAATTGGAGCAGAGCAGGCGAGACTCGCCGCGGAAGGCGAGAGAGCAGACACACCAGGATTCAATGTAGCAGGTGAGCGTAAGCGGCGTAGCGCACACACCTGTGCAGGGGACGCGAAAAATCGCGAACGAGCCAGCCAGTTACTACAGCAGATGCTGGCCAGGAAGACATCACCATAACACACGCAGTGCCAGTTGTGCAGCTGTCTAAACACATTTTAATAATTGATTGTAAAAGAGCACACCGAACCGCTGGGCGCCGAAATAGCCGACTTTCACGGGGCGTCGTCCGTCAGAGGAGCCGCGCGCACTAAACCGACGCAATGCGTTCGGTCGGCGCGGCCGTAACCGTCCTCGTGGCGGCGGCTCTGCCGTTTCTCACGCTAGGTCCGCAGAAGGTCGCGGCGAGAGGCTGGAATCCGGGTGAGTGGCAATGCCAGTCGGTGGAAGCCATGCTCAGACGATGAACGGATAAAGCAATTTAACGACGCCATGACGGTCAGGTACGCTTGATAACATCATTGTAACATGATTGCGATGCAGATACGGCGTGATTCCACATGAGGGTAACCCCGCAGCTGCGTTCGACATGTTCAAGGAGGTGAGCATCAGCAACATATGGCGACAATGTGCAGCTGGCAGACGGCCCTGTGGATGCCGTAACCGTGCAGTGCTGGTACGAGATGGGCAAAATACGCCTCTTCGGTTAGTCTGATTGTATATGACCATGCCTCACCACCCTCAGGATTCGACTCGTTCTACTTCTGGAGGAAGCGTGACGCAGCTGAGGCAAAGGAACTCTTCAAAAAGGCTGCCGACCGCAACCACGCCCCAGCGCAGTTCTACCTGAGCTTCGTGTACACTTTTGATGACGCCGGGTCGTTTGGACGGGACGCTCAAAAAGCCGCCACGTACCTCAGGAGGGCCGCAGCCCTCAACTACGTGCCGGCAATACTGACTCTCGCTTACAGGTCGCTTTACGGCATGGGATGTGCCAAAGACGTCAAAGCGGCAACAGTGCTGTACAAAAAGGCGTTCAGACTCAGTCGGCGGAAGAGTGATGCTCTGACCTACATGACACCCGCTGACGACTTCGTGCTGGACGAAAACGGCGTTGCGGCGTTCAAAAGGGCGGCAGCAAACACCTCGCAGAACGAGGAGAAGCAAAAAAAGGAGGCTCTTAGGTACTGGGAATCTAAGGCAGCCGAAGGGGATGGCCTGGCAATGTACGAGATGGGCAAGCTGATGGAGGACGAGCCTGCAGCAGAGACTACAGTCGCCCAGCTCTATAGGCAAGCTAGCGAGAACGGCGTTGTGGCTGCAACCAGAGACCTGGGTGTATGCTACATGAACGGAATTGGCGTGCCGCAAAATGCCGAGAAGGCCGTGCAGTACCTGACGGCAGCCGCCGAGCAGGGCGACCACGAGGCGGCCAAGTACCTCGGTTACCTATACTACACCGGCATAGAGAGACCGCAGGAGGGCAAGCCAGTCAAGCGCAATGACGAGCTGGCCGCTAAATACTTCTCGGAGGCGGCGAAGCACGAGGTGCCGGAGGCCATGTACTTCATGGGCGAGATCCTCTCCAGAAGGGGAAAGGCGGTCATCGGCCCAAGGCCGCAGAAGCAACTGGCCAAGGCTTTGGCCATGTACCGCGCTGCGGCAGATTACGGCCTCATGCATGCGTTGTCCAGGGAGGCAGAGATGATGGAACGTGGAAGCGGTGTCAAGCAGAATCCCACCAGGGTCGCCATGATATACAAAGCGCTCGCAGAAGGCCCTTTCGCAAGCGCTACAATCACGGACAGCTTCTACGCCTATGTAAAAGGGGACTACCTGAACGCCTTCCTCTTCAATGCGCTGGCCGCATTCGCTGGAGTCCAGGTTGCGCAGCTCAACCTCGGCCACCTGTTCGTGAAGGGCAGGGGCTTGAAACACCTGGCAGGCGCCAGAAACGTTGCCAAAAGCGCGTTATCGCAGTGCTTCATGCAGGGAGACCCTAGGGCTTTACGGCTGCTGGGTATTATCGCAGAACGGGATGGGCAGCACAACGTAGCGGCGGAGCTCTACACCAAGGGTTTCAAGGGCGGCGACATCGAATGCTTGGACCCTCTGGCCAACTTGATGGCGTCGCAGAGGGCTACGTGGAGGAAGGCAATTGCGCTGCTCGAACACAAGCAGTACCGCAGAGCCCGCAACACCGATGGCACCCCTCCAGGGGTCCACCGCACCCTGGACGGTATGAAGACCTGGTGGCGCATCAAGACGCTGAAAGCCAAGCGCGCGATCGCGAAATACACGACTCGCGATCCGGATGAATTGTAGAGGGACGACGCGGGAGGTTATCCCAGGACGAAGGACCTCTTAAGCGTTGCATCTCGCCAACCGCGCAGAGCACAGCAGACAACTCAATAAAATGTCACACGCAGTAAAGCATTCACAACAGTTCGTCTAATGCGTGTGTATCATTTTTATAATACGTTTGAAAAAATAACGCAGGTGCATATCACCTGCGACACCGAGCCAGGCGACGAAGGCCAATACCGAACTGCGGAGACGCCGTTAAACGTGGCGGAAACGCTTGCACACAACCACTACTGGCGTATTGACGCCCTATTGATGCGTCTCAAACGATAATGAGAGCATACACCGGCCAGCGTTCTGGCGGCAGTGCAACATGCTAAATGACCCTGCCGGCAAGGCCAGTCTCCACTTCGCTGGGCGCGTAAATGTAATCCACGCTACCCAAAGTGCCGCCGTCCTGGTACACGAACTCCGATGCGATGTTGTGCTCCCCAGGCACCTTGCATTCGTTCGGCATCACGGGCTCCTGCAGCCCGGTGAACTTCTCGCTGGGAGCGCGGTTGACGTCCGCCGTGAGGCTGTAAAACGGGAACTTCAGCAACCCGTACAGATGCCGCGCCTTGTTGATCTCGTACGGCTTGAAGGGGAACTGCGGCAGGTTGTAGCGCAGCACCGACGGGAAGTGCGGCTTGGGCACAAGTGCGTCGTCGCTCTCCAGACGTGACACAAGCCAGCGCAGGCCGGCATCCTCCCGAAGCAGGGGCTGAACAAGCGTCACACCGTTAGACGAGCAGCATTGAAACCAACCTCCACAGCCGGGTCGCGTAGCACACGGGGCGGGACCCTAGCGGACTCACGGGCTACAAAAGACGATTGCGATGCGGAATCACTGGGCAATCGATCCACGATGTCTGAGGCCCAGTGCATCAGGAGCCGGCGCGCCGGTCGCGAGCGCAGCACGCGGCACTCCTCCTGGCGCACGCCGCCGAAGCGCCGCAAAATATTGCAACGCAGCTGGAGCGCGACCATGCGCAGGAACATGGCGCGATGCGCCTCGCTGCGGAAGACAGACATTAATGTGCGATCATAGCAAAATACTAGTGCGTTGCGCGGGCTACAGATACCAGGGTGAGCGCACGACGCTGTCCACAACGCCTGCGTGCAGACGGACGCGCGGCAGCACTTAACGCTACTGTCTGCGGCGCCTCAGCGGCAGTGACATTATTTGAGGGCGTCGTAAAAACCTTTTAACAATGGAATCCGGCGAAGTCATAAGGCGTGACGAAAATTCTCACCTGCAGGGTTGCGCGCAAGGCGTTCCATGCAGAACTCAGCCGCTATCATTGGCAACAGCACAGCAGCGCCATTTATTTTAACATACGCATAAAGAAAAAAATCGGACGGACTACACAGATCGCTGCATGTTAAATCAACCGGGTGAAGTTTGCATCTGGGGACCACGCTTCAGCCGGGAGTCAGGACGCAACCGCGATCCGATCCGGTCTTTAGCCACCGTGGAGGAAGTAACTAAGGAGGGGAATTGTTGGAAGACGGATAACGGCGCAATCTGTGAGATCCCGAAACACGCTGACAGATCTCAGGGATTCGTCGTACAAGCGGCCGAAACGTCGCATCGAGCCGTCAAAAGCGGCTCTAACCGCTTCCAAGTAAACAATTCTTGCCACTTAAATAGGGAATTTAAGCGCCCTGATAATGATGATCGCGAATGTGCGAGGTTGCAGTCACCGCGCACAGACAAGCGATCGGATCTTACAGAAGGTTACAACATGACGGCGCACGGCGGGCAAATCCAGTGCCATACGGTTGTGACTTGCCCAGAAGGACGCCAAAGCCCCTCCCGATACCTTGCCAGTGCCACCAAGAGGGTGACACGGACAGCTATCAAGGAGGAACAAATCGCAAGCATCGACGACATAGTCGGCCAAGAGGGGACGGATGATGCCGCCTTCACGGACACATCCTTCGCCAGTACTCTTACGCGCGAGTCGCTCAACGAACTGCAGATGCAAACAGCCATGTCACGATGCTCTAAGAGGGCCCACAAAGCGGGGCAGAACAGGAAGCGTCGAAGTGACGCTGACCAGCGGCAGCAGTACACGCTGCTGCACTACAGCGTCCATCAGCAGATGGAGCTGCTCGACGAGCTGATCGCCAGCCTCGGGCAGTGCTACCCGCGGTGGAAGCACAGGAGGTTCGGGCTGCAGCGGTTCTACTGCCACAAGTTCAACATCCACCTCAACGCGGTGTCGAGGAACAACTACGTGAAGCTGTTGTCGAACATGTGGGAGGGTTTTGAGAAGACCGGCATAAACAGCTGGAGCAGCGGCAACATCTGGCTGCAGCTGCTGACGCACGAGTACCAGGTGCACAGGGCGAAGCCGAACGAAATATCTGCGAACCGCGAGTACTCCAACAGCAAGCGCGTAGAGGAGGTGCTGCAGCAGTTGGACGAGATATCCAGCTGCTTCTGCAACGAGCGGTGCGCGATGGACTTCATGCGGCACTCCTCGTACTGGGGACCCACCGCGCAGACCACCGTCACGCTGGAGGAGGAGCCGGTCAAGGAACCCATCGGCGAGTGCTTCGCAACTACGGACAACGTGAAGAAGGGTCAGAATTCCTCAAAAGTATTTGCGATCGTTAGTTTTTACAAAGAAAGAGGGATCATACACAACTTCACGCGACCGTATGAGCACGGCGTGCAGGTGACGCCGATGCCGGGGTTCAGACGGTCGGTCGTCTGCCTGAGCTGTGGGCGAGTGTGCTGGTGTTCCTGCGAGCGGAAGCTGTTCAGGACCTATCGCGAGCAGAAAAAGGTGGTTGAATCAGACCGCGTGTCTGCCCCAACCGAGAGCGGCGAGTCGCCGTCTGAAATTTACGACTACGGGTACGACGACGTCGCGAAGCAGTGTCGTGAAGGGGAGCCGCCGAACGAAGACGACGACGAAGAGCAGGAGGAAATTACCGACATACATGAGTTCGTGAATACCCTTCAGAACAAAAAACAATCGCTACACCCTAACATCGCCCAAACCGCCATCACCGTGGCCAATTCCAAGAAATTGGACTGCGGCATCATACACTGCTACCACACGAGCGAGGTGGAAGAGGACCAAAGTGAACCCGCGTCGCCGTCCGAGCTGAAGCAGCAGCTGCTTCGTGCAACCGTGCTCCGAGGGAGCATCGACGACATCTTCGCCGCCATAAAACCGCGCATGGGCGACTTTACGCTCCCTGAAAACACACACGGAATTTTCGAGGAGTGGCGGAATGTACCGATATACAGGAGCTGGCGGAAATGCTGGTGGCGACTTGTCGACAAGGACGCCATCGACACCTCCGACGACGCGGTGCGACCGTTCGTGCTACGTGCACTCGAGCGGCTGGACGCGTTGGGAAACGTCAGGTTCAACCTGGAGTACGGCTACGTGGCAGTGGGCTATCTACAGAAGCGGTCAAGGACGTGCAGCTATTGGCGGCACTTCTACATTGGCCAGCATGGGCTTTGGCGGACCTTTATCAAGGCGGCGGAGTACAACATCATGATCAGCACGCTGCCACTTGAACTGCAGCTGGACCCTAAGTCCATGCACTGGACGGTCTGCAAGTGCCACCAGGGGGACATGTATCGCAAAAGCTTTTCCACAGTGAAAAGGGGGCTCGTCCTGGGCTACGCCATGGCAATATCCTGGTACGAGAACCTGCTGCAAGAGCTTAACGGGGCGTCAACGTCGTACTCGGATTTTGATGAAGAATCAGATGTCGGGTGTGACGAATTTGATGAGCAGTTCTTCCTCAAACAGGACTCCGCCATCTACGAGGGCGTCAACACCGTGGAGCAGGCGTTCCTGTCAGCCAAGAGACGCAAGATCGTGCTTTCAGGCGATCGCGGATTCGGGGCCATGGGCAGGTCAGGGTCCCGAGCTGACACCGATACCGTTGACCCGCGTGTCATCGCCAGTGCGAAAGAGAAGCTCATGCTCGACCACAACCTCTGGTACGCGGATATCAACAACCTGTTCCCGGAGACAAACAAGGATGGCTTCGGCGACGTTGAGCCCGCAAAGGGTATGACGCTGAGGAACCTGGTTACGCAGTATTCGGAGCTCAGGGACTACTTCACGCTGTCCCTGAAACACCTGGACGAATGCGTCTACACGCTGAAGATGTGCGTCAACAACGCTCAGACCAAGGGCAACATGGACCTCGTGGAGCCGATACTGCGGCTAAACGACGACAAGAAGCTTGCCGACGTAATACCGCAGGTCCCGATGCAGTGGGTGACCTTTCACCAGGCCAACGACAGCTGGACGTGCGTGCTTGAGTGCTACGCCTGTATAACCTGCGCTCCTCGCGCCTGCACGAAACAGAACTGCACCAAGTTCCAAAACGGAAAGGAGGTAATAGATCTGCTCCGCAAAAAGTTTGGCCCGTGCTCGGTAGAATTCACTCGCCACCCGTTCCAAACGAGCGAGGGTGACTCTGCGGAACCCCCCACCGAAACCGATGACTGTTGTGTCGTCGGCTTTTCGGCGCAGAAGTTCGGCTTTAATGGCGCGAAGGCGCTGGCAACGGAGTTCCGGAAAAGGTTCATTCAGATCGTCTACTCATCCATGAAGTACGACGGGAGCTTCTCCGACGCCCTGCTGGGCATGATCGCGGAAGAGATCGGCCTGCTGACCTCGACCGACGCGTACATACTGCCCAACAAGGGCAACGAAGAGCAGCGGCAGAACCTCATAGAATCGCTCACCTGCGGAGTGTGCTCTACCTTCGGGGATCGCATGCAACACCGGAACGGCACCGTGCTGCTCAAGCAGCTGGTGAAGTCCAGCGTGCCAGGCAAACGGCTCTCTGAGGTGTTTGCGCTCGAACAGATGGCCGAAGCGATTCTGATGGACTTCAAGATCGACATCAAGTTCTGCCCCGTGCACATGGCGTGGGTGGTGTGGTGGCTCGACTGTATGCAGCAGAAGCGGGTCATGTTCTACCGCGTCGAGGACCTCATCAACGTGAACAGCCTCGAGGAGGCGCTCGCGGAGCTCGAAAAGCACTGGATGGACGCCGTGTCGGCGCACGTGGAGTACACGGTCGGGCACACCGCGGAGCGCTGTCAGCTGACCATCATGTACAGATTCGAGGAGGCCTTCCACCACCTCACGGGGCTGCAAAAGAACTTGTACGACGCCTTTCACACCGCGTTCGCGATGGCACTGCGCGCCATCACGGACTCCAGGCAGGAGTTCAAGCTCATCAAGCGGCTCTGGCAGATCAACAAAAACGAGCCGGACGACCTGGTGGCGCGGGACGTGAACGCGCAGTCGTTCGCGCTCACCGACACTGTCGTTTTCCCCTTCGGGGCGTTACACGACGAGGGCACACCGCCGCTCTCCGACGCAGAGTAACACGTGCTTAACTGTAAAACCTTACTTGACGCGTGCACACCAGCGCTACCGAGGTGCGTCCATTATTGTCGCATCGCCGGAATGGCGGCCGAACAGATGTCGCGGTACAACTCGCGGCAAATGAGCAGGCGGAGATGCCGCCTGCTGTGCCTCTACGGCTGCTTACACGCATGGTAAGCTCGCCCCGCAACACACCTCTAAATCCCCGCGCAGCCGTTTGAGGGACTTGGTAATCAGCAACGTGGCGTTTAAACCGCCCACGAGGCGCGGATATGCCATAGACAAGTATGGAACGTTCCTTTTGAAGAAGGGCCACGGCCCTCCTACCGCCGTCACCAGCACCCTCGGGCTGTATGGTATCGACCTGTTCCACACCTTCCTCCGTGGTCCGCGCAACCAGCGCTTGTCCGTGGTGGTGATGCGCCACAGGCCTCGTTCCGGCGACGAGGAGGAGGATGAAGAACCTAGGGTGAGGGAGGACCGGGAGCTCATCGTCTTCAGCCACGGCAACAGCACCGATATCGGTTACATGTTCACCGCGTACGTCAACATATGCAAGGTACATGACGTCGACCTGCTTGCGTACGACTACAGCGGCTACGGGCTGTCCGACGGCGCCCCGGGGGAGAAGGCCGTCTACGAGAACATACAGACGGTGTACGAGTACGCGCGGCAAGAGCTGAAGGTGCAGCCCGAGCACATCGTGCTCTACGGCAACTCGCTGGGCTCGGCGCCCTCGTCATACATCGCCAGCATGCCTGAGAAGTACCCGATAGGGGGACTTATACTCGAAGCGCCCCTATCCTCTGCCATCAGGCTGCAGGTGGGCAACGTCGCCCACACCCCCAAGTTCGACGCCTTCACGAACGTCGAGTACCTCAAAACCAAAGACCTATACCCCACCCTCATCATCCACGGCACCTCGGACGCCGTCATACCCGTACAGCAGGCGCGGGAACTGGCCTACATCGTGGAAGTCCGGCACGCCGAACTCATGCAGAAACAGGACGAGCAGGTCACCGACCTGACGGAGTCGGACGACGCCGGCCGGCTGAGCTCCACCGAATACGGCAAGCGCGGGTACATCGATCTGACCAGAACGCCAGAGGACTACCTCCGCACATGGTGGGTGCCGGGAGCGGGACACAACAACATACAAGTCGACAACATGACGACGTACAATCGCAATCTGGATATCTTTTTCAAAATATGCAGGAAGTGGAGAAAGGACAAAAATCTTAAGATACAGCGTTAGATTCCTCGGCTCCAACTACGCGGAGGCCTGCGTGGGACTTGCGATACTTGATGAACGCACACGCCAGCATGGCTAGCACATGTAGCTGCGAAACATAGTCAACAAATGCATTACAACATACCGCGGCGGTGATATACGACGCAATCTCTTTTGTGCGCCTGCTTTTTTCCGGGATGCCAGAGATGTCGGCGGGGCTGGCGATGACGCGACCCAGCATTACCAGCACGAAGGCCAGCCAGGCCGACATGACCATGTAATGCACCAGATATTTTTCTAGGCACCGCATGGTGGAAATGTGAGTGACCGCTTAAGCGGATCCGCCCGCCCAACGCGTACGGGTCGCGGGTGGCATGGCCATGGAAAGAATATAAAGAGAGTTGTGCTACATATATGGATCGGGAAATTACTTCTTGAGAACCTGGTTGGCGATCTCGGCCATTTTCGCCTGCAAGCGCATGATTGACTGGGATTCCGACACACCTTAAGCTCCTCCTCAGACATCAAGAACTTCTTGTCCATGAATTTCATGTCGCAAGAGAAGTTGTAGACAATCGGCACACCGTGCGGAATGTTGATCTTGGTGATCTCCTCGTCGGTTATGTTTTCGATAACCTTCATCAAGGCGCGGATGGTGTTACCGTGAGCTGCGACGTCGTGAGACGAGGCTATAATTGGCCACAAAACACGCAATTACCGCACACCTGCATATCACGCAGACACATAGAGCGTCTCGCGCTCCCAGGAACCACGAACACCAGCGAAGGAACGCCGACAGCCGAGGTTGCACATGTGCCACGGTGAGTCAGTTGACCTCCATCGCACTTCCCGCCAAACGGCGGAGTCGATGGGCGCCACCATGGCGAACAATCAACCGAGCAGCGCTCATGGCACAGTAAAACACATCGCCACGAATAAATAACTGGGCTCATACGGCCCTATAGACACAACACAAACAAAACGGCACGCCAATACATGCATGAACGCGCATTTGACCTACCAACAACCAACACAGGCTCTCCAGCCTTCATCTGGGGAATAATGGTCTCGTTCCAGTAGGGGAGGACACGCTTCTGGCACAACTCAAGGCTCTCGCCGTTGGGGATCTCGTCACGGGGAATGCAGTCGTACATCGGGTCGTTGCCGGGGTAGAACTCGCTGTCAAGAGAGCAGGCCGGGGGAGGGGTGTTGTAGGAACGCCTCCATATGTTGACCTTTTCCAGGGAGAACTTCTCGACGGTTTCGGCCTTGTTCAAACCCTGGAGGGCACCGTAGTGGCGCTCGTTCAAACGCCAGTTGCGGTAGGTGGGAATGTCACTGTGGCCCAAGACCTCCATAATGATGTCGGCGGTGACGATGGCGCGCTTCAACACTGAGGTGAAGAGTGTGCCGAACTTGAAGTTGGCTTCCTTGAGAATTTTACCACATTCCCTAAAGATCACATGATAGACGCCATACAAAGCCTCTTACCTAGCCTCATTTTTGCCAGTTTCGGTCAAAGCTTTGTCGGCCCAGCCGCAAAAACGGTTCGCGAGGTTCCACTCGCTTTCGCCTGACAACGGTCACAAACACGACGGTACAACGTACCGTGGCGGACGAAAACAACGGTGTACATTGTGTTATAAACGCAATTTTCAGTTAGCACTGTGTGAAGTGTGAATGCCAGCAATCTGGGAATGACTGTCGGTTCCTCCCAGGTAGGGGTGTGGTAGCCAGAGTCTACACTATTGGGCGGTATTTTGGCCGGCGCATTTCAAGGAGGCGGCCAATAAAATTTGGCATTCACGTTACAACAGGTGTGCCGATGTCAACGCGGTACAGCGTGCGTACTATACTCCCTTATACATGGAACTTGAAGTGAACTGACGTTTCCAAATCAAGAAAGACGTCACATCTGCAAACTATAATACACACGAGTGTCAGGAGGGAATTACATTTGCTGTGCAGATCGGCGTGGCATTCGAAGCCGGGTTTGAGGTCAGACACTCCCCGACGAGGACGTCACGCCGCGGCTCACCAAGACGCAAAACGTCCATACACACGTATGGGCAACCTCGATCGCACCGTTTATAAGGTGTCCGGAAAGCAACTTACGTGATCAGCTTTCCGCATATCACCTTTGGATGTGCGCCGCGCGGCGTGCTGCAACGATACGCTGAAAACGACAGAGAGATATCGCCTCAAGGCAACGTGACACAGAAACCATGTTCGGGTTTCTGAAAAACTGGCGCAAGCCAGCGGAGACCCCGCCGCCGCGGGGCCTTAGGCGGACGGCCTCCCTCAGGAAAATCAACCAATCCTTTCTCAAAATAAGGGAAATCGACGCAGACGACGAAGGCGATGTGAGGAAACTGCTGTTCGACCACTTCAGGTCGCTCACCATACCGGCTATGGTCTACTGGGTAGTGCAACACGTCCATGACCTTGTGGCCATCATCGTCATCATGTCCTTCCTCCTGCCGCTCAAGAGCCTGCTATATTTCTGCGTATCCTTTCTCATATATCTCTATATCCGCGCCAGGGTCGAGATTGAAAGGCATATAAGGTGGTGCTGCCCGGACCTCGAGTCGGTTTTCGACACCTATCGCACAACTGAGGGATCGAACTTTTGGGTGGGCTACTTCTCCAAACACGAGGAGCTAGGCACCCCTACGGAATCAAATACGGAAGCTGCACCAACGCCAGTCTACACCAGATCCGAGGAGACGGGTGACGACAACGGCGAGGAGAGGGAGTCCGCTCTCAGTGGCAGAACGGAGCCGGACACCGATGCGAGCAGCTCCCAGCCAGCTGGCGAGGGCGGGTCTGCCCGTGACGAGTCAGTATCGTCGAAAGGGCCGGACTCTGACCGCCAGCCACACCTCAGGGTTAAGAGGTACACGACAATGTCGGAGGCGTCCGTGGTTTTGAAGGACGTGCTGACGCCCACCAACTGCAAGGAAAATGAAATCCTGGGTTGCGTGGGCATAACGCCGTACAGGAACAAGTCCACCGTGGCACAAATGGTCAGGCTAGTCGTGAGCAAGAAGTGCAGGAACATGAAGGTTGGCAGCAAGCTGCTCAACCACCTGGAAAACTTCGCTGTGGGATTCGGGTACACCGAAATCCGGGTCTACACGAACAACCTCAACACTGCGTACCTGCAGTTCCTCAAGCAGAACGGGTTCGTCATTCAACAGATTGTGCGGCGTGGATTCATGCGCGGCGACCTCATCATATGGAACAAGACGCTGTCTCAGCCGAACGACCTCCTCGTCACGGGTACGTCGAAAATTTCCGACCAGCTCATCCACACACAGAAATGCCATTACTCAGGAAAGTGGATGCGAGCTTCATCCCGGAGTGAAACACATCGCAATATTTTCGTTGGAAGCCTGCAGCGGGTCGCCGCAGCAGGGACACAGAGGCGCCGGATTTGCAGTAGCGTCGGGGCGCGACGTAACACAACACTAAAATTTTCTAACAACAAGCATGATAACACACACGTAGGAACATGGAAAGCGGGGTTCCAAAGACTAGGATACCTTGGCTTGGTAGAGTCCTATTAGTCGCTGTCTGGTGTTTGGCGCAGGGGTCGCTCGTCGACGCGAAGGACTACTACCGCCTGCTGGGTGTCTCCAGGAACGCCTCGGAGGCGGAGATTGCCAAGGCGTATCGCCAGAAGGCCAAGCAGTTACACCCCGATGTCGCGCCGGGCAAGGAGGAGGAATTCAAGGACATCAACACTGCCTACGAGGTGCTCAAGGACGCTGAGAAGCGTCAGCTGTACGACACGTACGGCGAGGAGGGCCTGAATGGCGGCGGTGCGCAATCTCAGGGTCACCAAGGGTATGACTTCTTCCGGCAGGGCGCCTGGGGCCAACACGGAAGGGCTTCGGGCTTCGCGTTCGACATGAACGGCGGATTTTTCGACGACATCTTCGATAACTTCGGTTTCGGAGGCGGCAGACAGCACTATGGTGGATCGCAAGGTCACCACGGTTGGTACAAGGCAATATCCATAACATGCTCTCAGGTGGAAGAGGCGCCGGAGGCAGTGGCGGCAAACGCATGTTCAAAGGGACCCTGGTGGAGGATGTGGATGGTGCTGGGTTCACAACTAGCATGTCTACCATCCGGACCTTGAACCTATACGTTTTCTACATGGACGACTGCCCCCACTGCAGAGAAGCGAAGAGGCCGATCTCCGACTTCGCTACCAAATTCAAGGGCGCCATTCGCATGTATGCCGTCAATTGCAACCTATACAACAACATATGTGTCAAGAACAAGGTAGAAAAGGTGCCGCAAATCGTCGCCTTCGCCCAGCCCAATAAACCTTTGTTCTACGACAAGAGGAGTTACGCCGAGCAGCTAGACGCGTTCGTCAGCCAAGCACTGCCGTCTGAGTTTACGATTATCACAAATAGAATGGATCTCGATGAGTTCCTCTTCGAAGAGAGCAAGTTGCTCAAGGTGGTAGCCATCATCAAGAGGGGCGTTTACCTCACCAAGCTCAAGGCGCTGGCCAAGGACCTTAAAGACAAGGTCGGCTTCGCGTTTATACGTGGCAGCAACAAGGAAATGGTCGCAGTGTTCGGCGCCAGGGGCAACACAACGACGGGTGTACTCATCCCCATCGAAGACCCGGAGGCACTCACCGGTAAGTCCGACCTCAAACATTCACAACATCTGACCGCGTGTGCAGGCAAAACGATAGACATGGGTACTTTGGAGTATCATGACATCGTGCTCAGGCTGAACCTAGCCCAGTTCGAGGCCAAGAGAAGCCAGGGCGTGCACGGCAACGACGCGAATTATTCGCAGCTCACTGCGCGCAGGATGGCAAACGGGGAGTGCACTGCGAGCGACAATCAGTTCTGCTTCGTTTTCGTCAAATACGGCAAGGTCATCGAGGATGAGGTTCACGAGGCGCTCCGCGGCATCGCCAGAAAATACAGCAACGACCCTATCAAGGTCAGATTTGTGAATGCCCAGGATGAGGTAAGACGATCACGTGCAACACCAGTGACACAACGCAACAGGCGCAATTCGTTGCGGCGTTCGGAATGCCGTCGTCATGCCCCTTTTACCAAAACTGTGCACGGCTGATAGCATACAGGGGTAAACGCAGGAAGTACGAGGTGGGTCTAAAATACGCAACGAAACCAACATCCGACGCAGATCTTCGACGGCGGACTGACCGTTGAGAACGTGGAGCAGTTCATCAACAACGTCATCTCAGGCGCACTGACACTCAAACAGACGCTTACACACGTGCCTACGGTAAACGGCCCAAACCAGCACGACGAACTCTAAATATATTGAATATTTTTAAAAGATGGATGACGATGATTATCACATAGACCCGGACTTCCTTCGGAAGTTCACCGACCAGTACGGTGACCTCGACCACCCGCTCTTCATGGACGAGATTCCACGTGAGCCGCTTTGAGCGTCGTGCTAAAAATCGAGCAGGTGACGCAACGGGGAATGAAGACCTAGAGGCACTACAGCAACTTCTGGCAGACGGTGAAACGAGGGAGTCTATCGCAGAAAAGTACAAGGTACCGAATGATGCTATACGTAGACATCCACAACCAGGAAGTGGGAAACGGCTATGTGCAGCAGGGCGCGTACTACTACGACGCAGCGATATCCAGCTACACTAAAGGGATCGATGCGCAGGCCAAGAACGAGAAGCTGAATGCACAGCTCTACGTCAACAGAGCATTGGTCCACCTTAAAAAGAGTACGGCAGCGGCTGCATACATACAATTGCTTGCAGAGGAGTTCGTAAAATGTGTTGATGACTGCAAAAACGCCATTAAAAACGACCCAACTAATGTAAAAGCGTACGTTAAGCATACAAAGCGCCGCATGCCAACGCAGGTACTACAGGGGCGCGGCGGCATCGTACGAACTGGAGCTGTACAAGAAAGCTCTCGCGTTTTGCATCGCTTACCATGATCACGTAAAGGAACAAGGTGAAAGCGGCGATGCTGATCTTCCGGCGATCCTGGAGGCAGGAAGTCCTGACCTGCTCAACGTTTACAAACGTACCATCGACAGGCTGAGGGAACGGGACGAGCAAATTGCCGCGATAAAGAAAAAGGAAACTAAGGAGAGGGAGGAGGAGCTAATGGCAGCTAGGGACGTCTTGAAGCTCTTGACAGCGAATGGTATACAAACGCATACATGAGCCAACACTATTCAGGGATCAAATTGCAACAGAACCTCTACGAAATACCGCAATCGCAAAACGTTGTATTCTACCAGGAAAACGGGTGTCTACACACGTCCTGCCTTCTAATATACGATGAACTGGGTGTCACAGATTATATCGAAAACTTCGATTACTCCACCACCGTAGGAGACCACCTGGACGTCATGTTCCAGGACCAACACGACGAAAAGGCGTTCACTCGACACAATTCGAAGTGCTTCTATGAGGTTAGTTGTGGTTTTCGAGTCCCTAATAATGCGCAGACCGCCAAAGGCGACTACCATGAATTCGGAACGCACGACACTCTAGCCACCATCATATATGTAACAAAGGTGGCCTACAGGGTGGCGCCTGTGCACGTGGTGCATAAGGACTTCGACATTAAAACTTTAATGAGTTAAATGAAGTATATGCCGCCCAGAAACGTCTTCACAAAGTCGTTGAAGGCGCCTGATACATCTGTCAGACTCAGGCTCTCAGATGGCAATGTGAGGTACATCTCCCTGAAAACGTTAGCTGCGCCACTCGAGTAACGTACCTGCCGTTGGAAACCTTGGCGCTGCACCAGCCCTGCTTGGAGCGAACGTGCATACGCGTTATGACCTCCAAACTAGACTCGATCAGATGGTGGATCCCACGTATGATCTGTAGCTCCCGCAAAGCCTTCTCGTCAACATCGTTATAACCAACGCTGAAAGGCATTGATATAGCAATATAATACCGTCGGCATACCTCCTGATAGTCTTTGTCACGGAGTTAAGGGAAACCGTGCGCAATTTAGACGCCACGGGAGTATGGCTGAGCGACTTCAACAGTGCTGCCATGCCATTGGGTGCTCCCGAGAGATACTCCTTGATGCTGCTCAGCGTGAACATCACGTCGTCACAGTGCAGCAGGAGCACCAGATAGAGGTCGCCCATGCAGACCACGCCCAAGTGGTACGCTTGCCCGTTTATGTGGACCTTCGGGCTGAAGGCATCGCCCGATTCAGACTTCATAATGTGCGCCTCTCCGACCCCCTCTCCATCGGCCAATGGCTTCATGCACAACTCTCGCTGCTTGGACACCTGTACATCAGTTATGGCATTGGGATGCTGGCAACTAACACTGCCCTGGTGCTTTATGAGATAGGTGTAGAGCGCCAGCATGTTGTCCAAGTCCAGGCTGAGAATAATTAAAATCCCAACACTGGCACTTACGATGAGTGGAGCACTTCTTTGTTGTGGATGAATATGTAGTCGTGCACCGCCTCAAACTCGCTGCAGAGGTCGGCAATCAGAGCCTACGAACGGTGCCAAAAATGAAGATGAAAATTACCTGTGCGTCCAGGGCGCTCAGGGCGCCAGCATGCGATTTGTACGACGCATTCCAAACTGAAAACAGGGTTAATTAAGGCATTTATGGACGAACTATTCAAAATGTGGAACGAGTCGCCGGCGGCCTTCGTGATAAAGGACGGCAGGAAGTCCTCAAATGCACGCCTCACGTGTTCGACGTTCGACGACGCATTACCGCCACTGGCGTGAAGGAGGTCGTACAGGGGACCATACAATAGCTCAAACACCTTCTTTGCGTTTTCGAGGACGACCTTAGTTATATAGTGCTTCCAATGGTGGCTGTACTCAGCCATCTCATTCCAGGAGTTCTCTTCATTCTTGAAACACTGCAGATTTATGAACCCACGGTACACGAAGCGAATACATCCGCAACATGTAAAATGTGCACATGTAGCATGCATTCACAAGGCATCACCATACGAAGTGGAGCATGATTGTTACAGTGTCCATCACGCTATATTTGGAAAAACAAAACCAAAAAATAAGTGTGTAGAAGCACTCACCACAACGAGATATATCCCGTCACACCACTCGCTGATCGTTGTTGTGAAGAGCTTAGTACGCAAAAAGTCTATCTTGTGCTTGGTGAAGGAGGCAAGCAGAACAAGCAGGCCCTCGATCAGGCCCAAATGCGATCGACGTTCCTCTACTTCCCGGTGTTCCGGGTAGTAGTAAAGCAACTTAGCATCCTAAACACGCTATATATGCAGGAGGCGGGCACTTACTTGAACTTCCTCGTCTGTCGGATTCGGCGAGGACGGTGTCCGATTTATGTCGAACACAAAAATGGTGCTCACGTTACTCATCGCACCTACATAGTAACACACATCAACATCAAGGCCCTAATAGAAGCCCCTGTATGCCGCTGCAGAAAGATTAGGATGTGCCATTACAGTGGAATGACCTACCCATGCACAGCGCACCTGCTCCGAACAGGGAGCTGAAAATACGGTCGACAGGCCGTCCTTTGGCTCTACTAGCACACGAGAAAGCATATACAGCTACACCGCTTAACAGTGCGGTGCCGGTAACGCGGCAAAATGTGCAGTCTTCACTGCGCTTCCCGGTCTCCGCGGATTCTACGGAGGAATTTTCCATAAAGCCGCAGAGACACGCCCACGACAGGAGGATACAGAGTCGGAAACACCTTCAAATCAACCAGAAAACTGATGATAAACGAGAAGACACCTAGCTAAACGCAAAAACAGAGATTATAACGTCACCGCAAAGATGGATAACCACGATCCCGCCGTAATAAACGGAAGTAGGTGTCACATTCCTAAATAAACACACTACATAATATCTTATTACATGCCATGGTGCAGCCTATCAAGACTCCGCCGCCCAGAAGCGACCTGCGGACGCTCTACTCGGTGACCAGGAAACGACGGCACTGGCGCCGCCCCGCACACTCAAAACGCAGAGTGGAGGAAGGGTTTATAGTAAGCATAACTTTTAAAAGCAACATCCGGTTAGCAGCTCAGCAACCTAGTTCCGACTTGGAACAGAAGCACCTACACATAGACATACCAGTAAGATCGCAGTATTGTTTGACGTACACTCTCTATCAGGAGGGAACGTCTAACGGATTGGAAACGCATCTGGACGCAGTTCTGCTAGGCGAAGCAGCTGCAAAATCCCCGACTACCGGAATTGAAAGCCCGAAAGAGCGTTTCGACATCTGCATACAAACCGTTGATCCCAGTCCACATCTGATTGAGGCCAACGCTGAAGCAGAGCACGCCATATCATCAGACACAGAGATTGGTAGTCTGGTTGGGTTGGAGCTACCGAGCAACGTCCTTGAGGTTTTCGAGTCTGTAAGTTCCAAATTGGAACAGTTGACGCAGGCCGTGAAACGCTTGGAGAACATGCAAAAGATCATCCTCAGACGTGTGAATCGGAAAAGCAGCTACAACCAGTTCTTATTAGACTGAAATACGCCAAGGATAGTGAGAGTGAAAGGCCAACTATTGACATGTGCGTCTAAGCAGTTACGGATCTCAAAGATACAGGTGCGTCCATTTCCGGGGGTGTAATAGAATCGCACCGGGTGAAGAATGCGTGAGTATCACCATTAGGCGCAACAATGAGACCATTACTTTAAAGACCATAGATTTATTTTGCTAAAGAGGGCCGAGGACCAAATTCGTCTGCACCCCAAACATGGAGGGACACAAAATAGTTCTTTCGGACGATTTTTTACAAGACTTCTCCGGATCAAAACGCACGTCGTACACCAAAACCCAAGCAGCGGTGAGTGATGAAGCAGAAAAACACTGTCGCGAGTGGGAACACAAGTTGGCCAGATGCCTCAACAGCTGCCAGGGCGCCATAAGCGCAAGCTACCGAGCCTCGGAGGCCGCGGGAGCTGATGGAGCGCCATCCGCGCATTTCAGGAAGGTGTTGGAGTGCACCAAGGAATTTAGGGAGTACGAAGCGTGCATCCGCAAGGAAGAGAAGTGGGACACTAAGCCACAAACAGACCACGGCAACACACATACAAACTAATCCAACTTCAAAGCCTTTACAAACATGAATGATAACACGTAGTTACACCGCTGCAACCATCACATTCTCGCTTGTGCACTGGTGCCAGCAAATACCAGACATAAGTTGAACAGCAGTATGATAGCTACACACGAGGGAGCTGCACTAGTATACGTTCTAAAATACCACAAGAGATGGATGTGTAGGGTTCTGATGCAAGCGGTAGGCGCGCGTAGCAATGCCCCTAGGTGAAGTGCCACTGCTTAAACAGACATGGCAGCCTGGCATATACACCCAATGTAGCATATGCGCAGCCATACACATTGAAATATACCATATACATGTGACGAAATAACTGTGCACAGCCGATCCAGTATCGAGGAAACTGGCGCAGCAGCTGCACATATTGAGGCTGATGGGGTGGTATCCATATGAGGAATTGAGCTAGCATTACCCACCCTACATTTCATTTTCTGTCTACCGGCGGCGAAAACGCTGACGCGAGAAAACCAGCAGGATATATCGCCCGACAACGGCTGCACATCTACACGAGGGCTCCACCCAACTGAGTGTGCGGCGGGCAGCGAGACGGAAGACAAGCGCGAGCTAACCCGTCATCGCCAGTGCATAACCAGCAGCTGAAAAGGAAGGAATTGCATCACGCTTTTCAACACACATTAGCAAAATGTTTGCGAAAAACTTCGTCACAGCGGCCGTGGCCCTTGTCGCAGGCTTGGCCCTGACACACAGCCGCGTCGCCGTTGCCGACTCCGCTTCTGGAAAGGGTGAGTGTAATTGCGACGTCAATTAACGCCTTGCAGTCGAGGGACCCATCATCGGTATTGACCTGGGTACCACCTACTCCTGTGTCGGTATCTACAAGAACGGCAGGGTGGAGATCATCACCAACGAAATGGGAAACCGTATCACCCCCTCGTACGTCTCTTTCGTGGACGACATGACCAAGGTGGGAGAAGCTGCCAAAAGTGACGCCACCATCAACTACACCAACACTATCTTCGACGTCAAGAGGCTCATTGGACGCAAGTTCAACGACAAGGAGGTGCAGAACGACATGAAGCTCTTGCCTTACACCATTGTCAACAAGAGCGGAAGGCCCTACATCCAGATCAAGGACAACAACAAGACCAAGGATTACGCGCCTGAGGAGATCAGCGCCATGGTGCTCAAGAAGATGAAGCAGATCGCCGAGAACTACCTCGGTAAGGAAGTGCACAAGGCCATCATTACTGTGCCTGCGTACTTCAACGATGCGCAGCGCCAGTCCACTAAGGATGCCGGTGCCATCGCTGGCCTCGAGGTGGTGCGCATCATCAACGAGCCCACCGCCGCTGCCATTGCCTACGGTATCGACCGCGCTACTGTGGAGTCGAACATCCTTGTGTACGATCTTGGAGGTGGTACCTTTGATGTGTCCGTTCTTATGTTGGACTCCGGTGTCTTCGAGGTCATCGGTACTGCCGGTGACACCCACTTGGGTGGTGAGGACTTCGACAGGCGTGTGATGGACCACTTCATCAAGATATTCAAGAAGAAGCACGGTGTCGACATCATGCAGGACAAGCAGGCTGTGCAGAAGCTGCGCAAGGAGGTCGAGGCCGCCAAGCGTAACTTGTCGTCCACCACCGAGACCACCATCGAGATTGAGAACCTCATCGACGGAAAGGACTTCAGCGAGACCCTCACCAGGGCCAAGTTCGAAAGCCTCAACGAGGACCTGTTCGTAAAGACCCTCGACACCGTCAAGGATGTGCTCAAGACCATCCAGATGTCCAAGAGCGAGATCCAGAAGGTCGTGCTCATCGGAGGTTCCACCCGTATCCCCAAGATCAGAAAAATGATCGAGGAGTTCTTCGGAAAGGAGCCCGACTACGGAATCAACCCCGATGAGGCTGTCGCCTACGGTGCCGCTATGCAGGGTGGTGTGCTATCTGGAGAATCTACGCACGATGTGCTGTTGCTAGATGTCTGCCCACTTTCTCTCGGTATCGAGACTGTGGGTGGTGTTATGTCTGTGATTATCGAAAGGAACTCTCTGCTTCCCGCCCACAAGTCACAGATCTTCTCCACCTCCTCTGACAACCAGACCACCGTCACCATCCAGGTGTACCAGGGTCAGCGTACCATGACCAAGGACAACACCCACTTGGGCAAATTCGACCTCACCGGAATCCCGCCGGCACCTAGGGGTGTCCCCCAGATCGAGGTCACCTTCGACGTTGACACCAACGGTATCCTCAGCGTGTCAGCCGAGGAGAAGGGAAGTGGCAAGAAGCGCAACATTGTCATCACCCCTGACAAGGGCCGTCTCTCACCCGAGGAGATCGAGCGCATGATCAAGGACGCGGAAGCCAACGCCGAGAAGGACAAGGAAATTTTCGAGAAGGTCCAGAGCAAGCAAGCGCTTGAGGTCTACCTCGACTCAATGAAAAAGACGGTGCAAGACAAGGACAAGCTCGGACAAAAAATTGAGGAGGACGACAAGGACATTATCCTCAAGGCGATCGCCGAGGCCGAGACATGGATGTTGCAACACCCCGACGCCGACTCGGAGGAGAACACCGACAAGCAGCGCGAGGTCGAGGCCATCTGCAACCCCATCATCAGCAAGCTTTACAGCTCCGGCGAGCAAGCTGACGACAGCGGCTACAGCGACGAGCTCTGAAACTTTATAAGAATGCTAAAAACTTAACTGCCCGGTGCGCGCTGTGGGGCCCCGGTAACCGGCCGGTGTGCCGTGTCACACGCATTATTAGCACATCTAATTGCATCTCGCCGCTAAGCGGACATGAAATTAGCTGGGAGGGGCTGGAGAATATGTCTGGGTTGGAACTTTTTATGCGCGGGATTCCCCAAGGGTGTGCCACCTAGGCCAGAGAGCTCCGAGGAAGTATACGCCCTCCCGCAGCCTTATTTACGCGACAGTCAAATGCAGCAAGAAGAACAACCGGTGGTTACCGTTGTTGCACTGCAAGAGGAAGGCGACGCTGGCGCGCGCAGCGACCTCCACCCAGAACAACCTACAATGGACGTAGACACTGATAAACGCGCTACGTATCCCAATGTGGACTTGCCCATTATTCTCCCCAAATACTATGCCGATGTCAACACCAAGAAGGGCCCAGACTACTGGGACTACGAGAACATCACGCTCATGTGGAATGTCCCTAACAACTATGAGATCGTGCGAAAAATCGGCAGGGGGAAGTACAGCGAGGTGTTTGAAGGCACCAACGTGTCCACGAAGGAGAGGATTGTGATCAAAATACTCAAACCACTCAAGAAAAAGAAGATTAAACGTGAAATTAAGATTCTCCAGAACCTGAGCGGCGGACCCAACATCATCAAACTCCTGGACATTGTCAAGGACCCTCAGAGCAGGACGCCGTCGCTGATATTCGAATATGTCAACAACACGGATTTCAAGATCCTGTACCCTATGTTGACTCTCCCCGACATCAAGTATTACATGTACCAACTCCTCAAGGCAGTCGACTACGCGCACAGCCAGGGCATCATGCACAGGGACGTGAAGCCGCACAATGTCATGATAGACCATGAAAAGCGGCAGTTGAGGCTCATTGACTGGGGTCTAGCAGAGTTCTATCACCCAGAGCAGGAGTACAACGTCAGGGTCGCGAGCAGGTACTACAAGGGCCCGGAGCTGCTTGTGGACATGAAGCTCTACGACTACAGTCTAGACGTGTGGAGCATAGGATGTATGTTAGCCGGTATGATATTCAAAAAGGAGCCGTTCTTCTACGGGCACGACAACTACGACCAGCTCGTCAAAATCGCCAAAGTCTTGGGAACTGACGACCTCCACGCTTACTTCGAGAAGTACGGACTGAAGATGGCGCCCGTGTACGAAGAGATTCTCGGCACCTACCCTCGCAAGCCCTGGTCCAAATTCGTTAATGCGGAGAACCAACACCTCTGTGTCCCTGAAGCCATCGACCTGCTCGACAAAATGTTAGTCTACGATCACACGATGCGGATCACACCCAAAGATGCCATGCTCCATCCATTCTTTAAGGAGGTTGCCGAAGAGTAATCGCAGGCCTCCAGTTGTGGATTGGAACGTAAACAACATGTAGCTGGACGCTTGCTATTGTAACGTATAATGCGTAACTCAATATTCTAAAATAACGCGAGGTGCTGTGTGGCGGCGACGCTGCGGGGCCTGTCACTTCATTTTTCTTATACACACCGGTAAAATGGCCATCCGTTCGATCGGTAGGCTTCTAGGCAACAGGGTAAGGTCTAAATTGGTCGCACATCATTCCCAGGCCGTCTTTCAACGCGGACCTGGACAGAGGAACTTCTCCTCGGGAGCCAGCGTCTACGTCGACAAGAACACCCGGATAATATGCCAGGGTCTCACCGGTAAACAGGTATGTATTTTAAAGACATGATGAACGGCTTTGCCATGCTAATTTGAGCTAGTTGCGATGCAATAACCAAGCTTCCACTTATCGCTGATCTTAAACGTTGCACGAAACATTGCTTTCAGGGCTCCTTCCATACTTCGGAATGCCTGAAGTACTACGGGACGAAGTTTGTGGGCGGCGTTAACCCGAAAAAGGCCGGTAGCGAGTGGCGGTGTAACGATGACAAGCACTCGCTGCCGGTGTATGCCACTGTCGGCGACGCCATGAAGGAGACAGGGGCAGACGCCACGGTCATATTCGTGCCGCCGCCTTTTGCGGCAGGTTCGATCGTGGAGGCAATAGAGGCCGAAATGCCACTCATCATTTGCATCACAGAGGGCATCCCGCAACACGATATGATCAAGGTCAAGACCATGCTCAAGGATCCCGCCTGCAAATCGACGCTCATAGGGCCAAACTGCCCCGGTATCATCAAGCCCGAAGAGTGCAAAATTGGCATCATGCCGGGACACATCCACAAGAAGGGTAGCATCGGCATTGTCAGCAGGAGTGGGACCCTCACATACGAAGCAGTCACGCAAACGAGCAACAACGGCCTCGGCCAGTCAGTGTGTGTCGGAATTGGAGGCGATCCCTTCGGCGGAATCACTTTCACCGACGTGCTGAAAAAGTTCGTAGCGGACCCGCAAACAAAGGGTGAGTGTCTAACTGGCCGCAATGCATGTTAGCGACGATGTGGACCAAAGCACATCACTTATATGTGTTTTATGTGATGGCCTTCGCTAATATGAATGCAGGAATCATGCTGATTGGTGAGATTGGTGGAAGCGCGGAGGAGGACGCAGCCGAGTGGATCAAAGCAAATCCGACAGACAAGCCGATAGTCGCTCTCATCGCAGGCACATGTGCACCTCCAGGGAGGAGGATGGGCCATGCTGGAGCTATCGTCAGCGGAAACACCGGAACGGCGGTCGGCAAAATCAAGGCGCTTCAGGAGGCCGGGGTACTGGTCGCCGAAACGCCCGCACTACTGGGCTCTACCATGAAAAAAGCACTGGTAAAATGAACACTTTTTTAAAATGACCAAACGCAAAAGCTATGAGGCCGAAAGGGCCTTTATAGAGCCGTATCCCGCGGCTAGACACATGTACCGCGTCAAAAAGGGCTTCGTGCCCGGAATGAACGTTGAGGGATACGTATTCGCTAACGATAACCTGTCTAAGCTGCTTTTTCAGGAGCTGCAGCAGTATAGCACCGATGCCGGCACGTTCCTTCCGGCCCTGAAACAACTGGCCAACGTGGCGGCGTTGCCAGGGATTGTGAAGGGGAGCATAGCGCTCCCAGACGCACATTCAGGTACTTCTGGCGCCAACATGTGTACAATAGAGTGTAGGGTACGGATTCTCAATAGGAAACGTTGCGGCGTTCGACATCAACGACCCCGACGCCGTTGTCTCGCCAGGCGGGGTGGGATTCGACATCAACTGTGGAGTCAGGCTCATACGCACTAACCTGACTCTGAAGGACGTCGAGCCCGTAAAAGAGCAACTGGTGCAGTCTATGTTTGACCATATACCCGTTGGAGTGGGATCGCAGGGCATGATACCATGTACGAACGCCGGTACGTGTGCTTCGTTGCCAATTAATTACGTCTCTACTCAGCCCTTAACGAGATTCTGGAGTACGGTATGGACTGGACTGTCATGCAGGGGTACTCCTGGGCCGAAGACAAGGAACACTGTGAGGAATTTGGGAGGATGATCCAGGCAGACGCCACCACGGTCTCCTCCAGGGCCAAGAAAAGGGGCCTTCCTCAGATGGGAACGCTTGGCGCAGGCAACCATTACGCCGAAATACAGGTAAAAGCGTGTGTTGTGTCGTGAAATATACATGGATGCAGGTTGTAGATGAGATTTACGACAAGTACGCCGCAAAGGTGATGGGAATAGACCAAGTCAACCAAATTTGTGTAATGATACATTCCGGAAGCAGAGGGCTAGGGCACCAGGTGGCTACAGATGCCCTCATAGACATGGAGGCGTCTCCCAGCGCATCAAGCATTAAGGTGCTCGATAAGCAGTTGTCTTGTGCAAGGATAAACTCGGACGAGGGCATCAAGTACCTAAAAGCAATGGCAGCTGCGTCAAACTACGCATGGGTAAACAGGAGCGCCATCACATTTCTCCTTCGACAAGCGTTTTCCAAGACGTTTGCGCAAACTCCGGATGACCTCGACATGCACCTCATATACGACGTCTCACACAATATCGCAAAAGTGGAAGTGGGTCACCGCAGGCACGTTTCTATAGGCTGCAGGAACACATGGTGGATGGCAAATGCAAGACACTGCTCGTACACCGAAAGGGCTCGACAAGGGCCTTCGGCCCGCTGCATCCACTAGTCCCCGCCGATTACCAACTTGTTGGCCAACCCGTGCTCGTGGGAGGCACGATGGGCACTTGCTCGTACGTGCTCACAGGTACAGAGCTTGCCATGGACCTCACCTTCGGTTCCACATGTCACGGAGCAGGTGAGAACAACGCACAGAGATAAGCCGATATGAGCACACAGGGCGCGCTCTGAGCAGGAACAGAAGCAGACATACGCTGGACTACAAGGACGTGTTGAACAATTTGTACGAGAAAGGAATATCGGTCAGTTCAGATAAATTGTGTTTTGAGGTCCGCAGATCAGGGTCGCTTCGCCCAACCTTATATCGGAGGAGGCGCCTGAATCCTACAAGGATGTCACTGAAGTGGTGCAGGTGAGACAAACTTTAAACGATGTAATAGGGTTGTTAGACCTGTCACGAGGCTGGAATCTCGAAGAAATGTGTCAAACTGAGGCCAATCGCCGTTATTAAGGGGTGAAGGCATAAAGCGTCGTCGTAACGCTCACACACATCGCACAGCACGACACACACAGCTCACCTAAGTCGGCATATGACGTGTTGTATATAAAATATGGGCCCTGATAGATGAGCGCATCAGGCGTGGCAGATGGGCAGCCTTCCCCCATTGCCCACGGGAATTGCCAACCGCGTCGTCGAGAGATGGAAGGTAGAAACACACCATTAAATTTCTAATATTCGCAGTCAAAATCTCCCAGGATTTTATCAGACAACAACGACGACTTAAATCATAGGCGACGATTTATCGCTGCCTTGGTCGGTCTGCACAGCACTCGAAGCTAGCGTGGCGTCGAATCCGCAGCGAGTTTTGAGCTCCTAATTAAGTTGCAGAGCACATTCGTTTGGTGCGTACAACGAGGAGCAAACTTTGCTGGCATTTCTGTCTTGTCTAATGCTAACAAGCTTCTTACGGTAGATCGCAACTTACAACATCGTAACTCCGCAATTAGCCCTTGAAGATGTCTTTCAACTACTCGAAGGCGTTTGCCGTCACTGGTAAGTGTAACCTTCACCCGAATTGCACATCTATGTCAGGTGCCGTGGCCTTTGCGGCGTGGCTAGTCTATTACTTCTTTCAAGATGACTATAGCAGTGATGATGAAGAAGAAGGGGACCTCTACAAAAAGGACTATGCTACGTCTAACATGACATCTGCAAACGCAGCTGTGGAAAAAATGACTCGCACAGATGTACTCGATCTGCTCGCGAAGATCTCGGCCAGCCAGGAAGAGTCAAAGACAATTCTGCGTGCCTTAGTGAAGGACGTCATCAACAGCGGATTTAGCGAAACCATGGAAGAGATCTATAAGCGTATACTGAAAGATGTTCCCGAGGACCCTTTGAAGGCTAGAGGCCTCACTTTGTTCGATCTTGACTACCTTGTGGAGAGGTACCAAAACGACCCCGCCGTCCGTGCACACATCATGAACATGATTAACTTGCCGCCAAGTGACAACAAGGAAGACGAAGTCGACATGTCCACCGATGAAATAGTTGCTGTGTACGAGTTCATGCTTGGAGAGCTGAAAAATCTACGGGATGCGCAGCAACCGTTGTCTACGTTGCCAGATGTCAACGCAAACGCTGCAGGCCTCACCGTACAGGCGATAGTTGGTGCAAAGGTGCAGAGCAAGTTCGGATACACCTCGGTGCAGATCGACCGCGCCATCACGAAAAACCAGGGAGAACTGGGCATGAACAGCAAGTTTGCACGCCTTGCCATGCAAATACAGAGTGAAATGGCTGAAATTACAGGGTAGGTTTTAAAGCCTAAATAGCAAATGCGGTTGCAGCACGGGATGATATCTGCACAAAGCAACACGATCGTCGGACAGCTAAAACACGATCCATGTTCCACGGAGCATATCGTTACCAACCAATATAAACTGTTACTATTGGATTAGATGTTTTGTTTGTATGAGATGGGAGATTAATTGCGCCTTCGTATGCCCATGGGCATATCAGAAGCATCTTACAGCCGTTCGTTTCGTTAAATGGCAGAGGTCCGCGATACTGCACTCATTTAGTGTTATGACGAGTGGCTACGAGTGTACGGGATGGTCCTTCGTACTTAAAATCCATGTGCACCGCGCTAGCAGGGGACATTGGTAGTGATCTTAACGAGGCACTCATTGAGTTTTTTGCAGCACTGGGTGGCTAAGCCTTAATGACCGCTGGCTCTCATGCCCCGTACCCATTATCTTTGTTTTCGCTTTGTATGGTACGCTATGTGGTTTGGGGTCAATTTTCGTGTTTACCAGGCAAGCGCCTTACGCTGCTGGTGTCGGTTACGGGTTGCACGCCATACTGGTGCCGAATGTTACTGGCGCCATTCGTGATGGCGGCCATCAGGTCCTGGCATGAGCGTATTTTTGACAGAGTCGTCATGATCTCCGTCTCCACCAGGTTGTCTTGATTGGCAATCCCGATATCCACCATGGAGATGGTGTCCTTTGAACACCCGTATGGCGTATCACACATCGTCACTTTCTAATTACTTGATGCGATGACAGCACTAACACCCACATCCCGCCACGACAGTGCCCTCTTAATACCTCTAATAAATTATCTGCTAGGTTGCTTGCTAGGTCTATCGATTAGCATGTTTATAACAGTAACCAAAGGATACAAAGGACATGTATATATCAAAACATAATTGATAAACATATTGAGAGAATAGTTCCCTTGATCAGACGAATCAACAAGACGCTGCCTATTAAATTGGGCTACCGTAGTCCAAATTCGCCACTGCAGGCGCTCCTGGAACATGGAAGTTGTTCGAACCGACACCAGTAAATATTTTCGGAGGCTTATTCGATTTCTTGGCATTCCAGGCATGTAACAGACCCATGTCTACGCCGCTGTGACGCCCTGCCACCAGATGGGATCCATGCTTGCCAGTGCAGTAATTGAGAGCATCTACAGCGTCTGCGGTTTTCATGGGTTTCGAAAGTTTTACGGGTTTCACGGGTGCCGCAGGTTGTTCCACAGGATCTACAGCTTTCACAGGCCCTTCGCATTTCACACCTCTAAGTCCTGAAACTCTCACAGGCTCCTCATATTGTACACTTCCAAGATTGACAGCTTTTGCGACTTCTACCACTTCTTCCGCGTGAATAGGTTCTTCAACTTCTTCAAGTGGTTCTTCTTCAACGGGCTCTTCAGAGTTCACATCTCCAAATTCTCCAGATTCTGCAGCCCGCGCTCCATAAGTTGTCCAAAATGTGGCGAAGTCGCAGAATATATCCAATACATCTGTATTCATACTTCCCAACGCCTCAAGTGTGTCCGAACCACTTATACCATCGCGGCATACCGACTGATTGTAACCAACGGCTTTCAATACATCTCTGAAACGCATTTCTGCATCCTCATCCGCCCATGTAGCTGCTGCGGACCTGCTCGCGTCCAATAAGAATAGTACGCCGGCGTATAACATAGACGTGCTCCCCACGAAAACCGCTGCACAGGCTTCCGGGTCCTTCGCGCATGAGGTATCCCACGTTGCTTTCGAACTGTAAGCAGACTTGTACCGGTTCGGTATTTGTATATCTTTCAGGAACTTCTCGGTACCACGCACGATCTTATCTAAGTTATTTGCCATGGTTTCAGCAGTGACGCCCCTGGCCTCTATGACTCGCTTATAATCGCTTTCGTAGACATCTCTGGAGATATTCACTTCCTCGTCGAGGTTTGGATTCACGGGTGGCTCGAATCGTTGCAGCAGCTCATTCGCGGGCCACAGATCCTTAAGCTCCTCTTGCTGCACAAACTTTTTAGAAATGTATTTCATTTGCTTTAAAGCTGACAACTGCTGCCAGGCAACAGGCTTGTCTGCGAGGAATTTGTAAACCGCAGCACCCACGGCCGCCAAGTTGTTTTCAGCGCCAGTTCCCTTCAGGGCCATCAACCAATCAAGGCCTTCCTTCAGGTTGCGAGGAGCCTTAGTCAGCGAATCGTATACCATTTTGTAAAGATTCGTTAAATCAAGTAACTTCTATTTGTGTATGAATTTTGTGTCTATTTACAAGCCGCGTCTTAATCGAGGATAAGCAAAGCGCAGGCTCTATTGACCCTGAATAAAGACGCGTTTATTTGCAATCTACAAATATGTCTATATAACAAATTGGCGGATGCTGGAGGCACGGTGACAACCAAGCTGACGTGTCTTAGACAGATCTACACGAGCGACGTGGCATGCAATGCGCAGAACGCGAGTCATTGGTTAGACAAGTTCCAGGCACAGATGGCGCATATTAAAGCAGGAGATGTTAGTTGTATTTCCTGAGACGAGTAAAGGTTTGAAATTTTCCGATGGGTTGCAAATGGTATATTGCAGTGTACGCCGCTGCGTGATTGTCGAGGTGGAGCGTCCTGACGGCATTCAGCATGACGTATTCACTCATTGCATAGCCACAATCCACATCAATTAGTCACTATCCAGTCGCTTGGTTTTGCTCCGTGGCACTTCTTATGGCATACGTCGATGACCAACTACTTGTCTTTACGGTCTGCTGGTACCATATGATGACGCCGCCAAGGCCCCTCCCCTCGACGTTCCTCGGCAAACCAGGCAACTGCCAGTCAATACAACAGCTGTTAAACTGCACCCTCGAGTCTCCCACCACTCAGTAGCACCAATATGGTCCCTCGATGTCGAGAACCTCTGACCGTCCCACGCTGGCCGAACGAGTTACAAGTTCTGAGTTTCTACACTAATTGAATCACGGTGTCCGTGCGTTGCAATATTACATCTGCGCTTAATATGGCCATAAAGATAGTTTATCTTGTGGCGATAGTGCTACTAATTTGGTGAGGGAATTGTGGTCTGATATTGATGGCAAATCCAACGTCAGTTGATCATCTAGCTCTCTCAACTTAAGCATGATATCATTTCTACTTGTTTTATTTCCGATGTGGCCATTCTACGAGACGGGGCCACTTCTTGTGACGGAACGCCTCACACCCCAACCCCAACAAGATCGGACTCCTCATTGAGCTGTGCGTTGTCGAACTCGGTTCTTCCTCGTAAAGTATTAATCTTATTTTCCATGTCTTCATCGACTCCTTTATACTTAACGATCCACTATGAACTATTTCACTGATTGATGCCGCCCGTCAAGCTGTAGGCTGGGTCTGAGCGCGGTCGCACCTCTAAATCTGCACTTCGAAATTGTCACTGTGATGTACTTCACTTATGCAAAGCACATGGTATAGTGGTATGTGAAGATAAAATGAGCAAGCGAAACCATCCCTGTATGCCTTCCCACCCATCACCTAATATAATCCGACACCTACACGGTAGTGGCTCACCAACATAACTGGAATCAGCGGAACTAACTCTTAGGTAACCGACATTATCCATTGTTGCCTGTTAAGTTTATCGTAAATCTCTCAACTCGTGGACCAATTGGCAAACTACGACATGGCACCTTCCTCACTGTGGAAGCGAAAAACTAATAAAGAAGGTATAATGAGACATAATTATGTCACCCTGCTAAGTAGGTTCCCCAGCTCATATACATGTTACAAACAGCTGTAGTAACACTCTGTTAAGCCTATGAACCGCGCCAACGCAATTCGATAGTCCTAGTGTAGTTGCAGACTGCCACTGAAATACTCAAAACAAGGTACACGCCAAGATCGATAAAAACGAAAGCAAAAACATTTTTGCAATTCACCAACGAGTTACCACATGTGAGCTACTCAGTACTTTGAGTAGTAGTTCTCGATCTGGATGGTGGAGAGGATGACACCCTTGATGGTGACGCAGCGGCATTCCAACGGAGGCGTCTGGCGCAACGTCTCCCCGGGCCTTACTCGGAAACGATCGAATCTAAGGATGACAAAGTGGTTGGATCGAGATGCTACCAACGACGAACTGAGACCACCTAGGTTAGTCACTTCACCGTCAACTGAGGCCTGGCTGAAGCAGTTGGGTGGGTCCAGGAGATACGGCGCTGGGCAGTAGAACGCCGCTTCCTTGGCAGCTTGGAGGTCTATCTTGCAACCGAACTGAGGTTGTCCGTTGGCATCGTAGAGTTGGGGAGTCTCAGGCTTGAATAGGTCAGTGGACTCGTATGTAACGCCGCAGCCTTGCATGTACGGGTCCGTGGTCTCTACATTTACTACGACTACGTTCCACGTGTGTCCTATTGACAACCCCATGACATGGGAACTGGGTTGTGCAGATGCCTTTGAGGTGGACCGGTTGCCAGTGATAACGGATAAATCTGATGTCTCGGGTGCTTTGCCGCAAACGAATGTAATGGGCACGTTTTGCATGTGAAGCGGATCTTTGGAAATCAATATGGCGTCCAGAGTCGTTTGCATAACCAATTTATTTTTTTTTGTTCCATTTTTGTCACTAGGGTATCCGACTTTGAATCCACCTGGGGTCGTAGCAAGTGAATCGTTGTATGTAACCTTAATAAGCTCAATTGCATCCGGGGTTTCGTTCATGGAATAATAGAATTCTTCAGGTTGCGTTGGAAGCCATGTCGCCGGCAGGTTCTCGTCTATTCTAGGGTGCAAACAATCGCACTCCAACTCCTCGTCACACGACCGAACAGCAATAATTGCACAAGTCATGGATAATGTTTTGCCCGCTTGCAGAGTCACTGACTTTCGGTATATGTTGTTTAGCATAAGAGATGCGGGTGGTACGAGTCCCTCACCTGATAAGCCCACCTCACGCCAAGGCAGTAATATGTAAGGAATCAATGTGTGAGAGACCCTTCCACGACGTACTAGATATCTAAGCTCGTCATGATGATGGGATTCGACAGCAAGCCTTGACTTTGCGTACCCAAGTTTGTCGACACAAAAGCACGCGTAACTGAGAGGGCTATCGTCGTCGTAGTAATAGCTGAACAACTGAAGCCCTTGAATGGGATATGGTGTCGCAATTTGCACAGACACAGGAATAGAAATCATCCTATTCTTGTAGAGATCGTATCCCATGGATTCGCAATTGTGCGGTAGCAGCTCCTCATTTGGCCTGCAGTAAATACCTGCCTGCCTAAAGCCCTCCTTAATATGGGCTTTGCATTCGTAAACATCCCCTATACCATTCCCCATAGATTTTGCTGAGCAATGTTTCTGGCTAATATCTGGGTCGAATACACTTGGTGTCCCTCGGTCGCAACCAATTACGCCGTAGTGATGCGTAAACGCAAAAGCCACATTGACGGTAGCGCGTATCTTCTTTGCAACATACTTGTTCCTAGATTTCAATGTCCAATGATAATTGAACGAGTTTGTTCCATGCCGTAATACCAAGGGTTTATCCAGATGATACCTCAGTTTAACCTCTCCCCGGGACATTTGTGAAACATCCAACTCGAGGGCATCGCCAGCAATTGCTTCGTGATACAAGATTTCTTCGTAGATATCAAAGTCATGGACGCTTGCCAGTTGCCGCAAAGTACTCAAGTCATTCGGCATAAATCCAGTTTCGAATTCACCGATAGGCAGCACTTGCGTGGAATAATTGTCGGAGCTCGAAACGACAGCCTCTGATGGGAACCGTATGGTCAATGTGCTGCCAGGATGGAGGACCACTGAACACCAAGGACCACGGATTGGTTGCGAACGGTTGCGGACGATCATGCTGGAAATGTCACAAACGTAATCGGTTTTCGAACGGATCTCAATCTTGGCCTTCACATGGCCCGTTTCGGAACTTATACACCTACATTCGCCATTGAAGGGTCGTACTTCTAAGTCGTTAAAGTATTTAGCCACCGACCAAGGCCGATGGAAACTGGAAGTCCTATCATAACTTGGCGTAGGAGCACTCACAACGTCTCCATTCTCATCCAGGAGGAATTTCATACACTCCTTAGGTTCAACCTTTCCTTCACAAAGAAACCCTATTGGTGATTCTGACATAGGATCTGCCACGCATGAACGGATGCCTGTGACGGGGTCTACAGCCACCTCATTTTCCAGAGAGAAGAGGGGCGAAGGGCGACTCCCACATCCTTGAAGTGGCATATGTAGACGACCCCTATTCAAGAAATATACACCTAAACCACTCCCTATGTTGGCTATCTCCTGAGTCAATGGAGTGGATGGAGCCCAAGGAAGTTTATGCGGTTGAGTAACACTGAAATGGTAAATATGGCGCTGCAAGGCATCGTTTAAAACCAGACTTCGCGGACCGCAGATGAATATCAGGCGGCGTTCTGTAATCGCAACCAACCTATTAGACGGCTTTTCGAACTTAATATCCGTTCGCGAAACACCCGATTCCAACCAGATAAATGGATTTCGGTCTTCAGTGCGTATCACATCCGAAAGAGGTATGGAACGGAGCTTCTCATTTTCACCAACATACGTGTTGATCTGGTCGTCACCATTCTTAATTGAACGAGGATGCCATACATACTCGGTACCGTTTACTCTGTGTGGGCACATCGCAGTTGCGTTGTAGGAGACTTCGACATCTTCGTGACACGCAACGAACGCATTCCTGCTCAGCAAGTCACGTGGGTAATCAAAGTGGCAACTCGCTGCGACTAGATGCACAATAGAACAGAGCGCTACTGCGCAAAACGCCAAGGCAGCACTGCTGCTAAATTTGGCCATGGCTATCGATTTTAAGACATACTATAGAGGGCAACTGCACGAAATACAAATCGTTTCTAGCCCAGATACAATTTATGGGTGTGTGAAATGATAGCCGTTCTACGACTAGTAATTGTTTGTGATTGGAAATGACAGCGAAGACCCCCCAGCAACAGCTAGGCAGCAAGGGGGCGAAGAATATTCATTAACAGTTTTCTGCGGGGGAGAAAAGGGCGACGCGAGAAGATGCCGTAACACACACCGAATTTAAATCGCGATATGATTTTCATGAGTAATGTAGCCCCCAAAATTGGGACATGAGAGAGCGTCTCTATACTTGAACATGAGTTTCCTCTAGAGAAGCCAACGCGCATCATTGACCACACCCAATCGGCAACAATTAGACGGGAAACGCGTTCACCATAGTGCAAATCAGGGTTACCATACAATCACACTTTATGTAGACAGAGGCGCCCAAGAGTAGGAGCTCTGAAGACCTAATCGCGGGCCTGAAGGTGCGGCAATTCAACCAGCAAACAAGGATCAGAGCAGTCCCCTACGTTATGAGGGACATGAAACGCAGAGAAGATTACGACTCGTTGAATCACTCCAATGCCCAAACAGGATGGATGACACAATGGATGGCACCTGTAGTGTACGATAATTCGACATGGATCCCGCAACTGACATCAGCAGCCTAAGGCGCTTGCCGGTAAACACGAAAATCTGCCCTAAGCCACGTAGACACATAGCACACTAAACAAAGCATAAACAAAGATAATGTATTATGTTGTTGGATTATTTTTTGGGGTAGGTGTCAAGGTTTGGGTAGCGTAATTGGTGCTAGATAGCTACATTGTGAACATATAATTCCTCAAAGCCTCCATATCACACAGAACTGAAATTTGTATGTTGCCGTTTTACTGGTCTACAGTGAAGGAATTCGGTCACTCGCATTCAACGCCCGGGTACTCACCCGCAGCGACCAATGCGATTGTAGACATGGTAGCATATTCTATGACGGATACGAAAGAACACGTTATGGGGATTGTGAATGCTTAGTGTCAGCTACAGTTCGATGCGAATGCAGGATCGCATCATAATAGAATGGGCCTTGGTGTCGATTCTGGCGATACACGTGAAATATGACGAATGAGACGTTAGACTAACTCTACGGTTTGGTGAAACGAACGAATCAACGCTATGAGCAGATATGCCAAGGATACAAATGAAAACATAAAATGTTACTTGAATTTCTCAAGGTAGATTGTGCTCTGAGTTGCCTCCATCAACTGATGCGTGCCGGGCTAGTTCGAGTTAGCGGCGTAGACGGCCTTTAATGACATGAATTTTTAAGGTTGGACACTGGTTAAAACAATGTTATTTCATTTTTAAGGAGTCAAGATATGAGGTAAATGATTGTTGAGGGGGATAAAGTGGAGGTGTGAAATTGCGGTGGATGAGGTTTTCTATGCAGGCAGACGCCTTGTAAGTATTGTAAAGCTATGCATGGAAATATAGACACGTATAACCCGTGTATAGAAATCAATAAAGTAAGATTCTTATAACTCAGCACAGATATTGAGCTGACACGTACAAAGGTTGCGCATCATTTCATGAGGAAGTTGAAAACGTTTTACTTACATGCTGTACAATGGTAATGTCACATGGTCACTGTTCGGTTATTATGGGATATATGCTGTGGAAATCATCTGGGCATTATCCGTGGTTTCTAATACGTCTCTTGCAACATGACTTGGCGTGGTATGCTGGTATTGCCAAGGTCAGGGGTCGGCCCTTATTGGTAAACTACGTTTTGGAAATTTGACCATTACGTTACATTTCAGGAACTATTGGTTGCGTAATCTGATTCTCGCGGCAATAAAATACAATTCACTCAACGGAGAGCCCATATTCCGGGTTCGTTGCTAATTGCTGTAAATGGCCGTTTGATTTAATATGGCATTTCATAGCTGCACCTAGCCTATACAGTGTAGTTTTAGTCGTACGACATTGCGATGGAAGTGTTATGACAACCCGAATATCGAAAAGAGCGCGAGGAGCCGTAAGTGGTCTTTTTTGCTAGAGTCCAATATGGTGAAGGCTAGCAACACCAGTTTTTATAGCGCCAATAACCATATTCACAAGCTACGATTGACATAGCAGTGTTGACTATTATCTCCCTCCAAAGCGTCATTGTCTGGCGGCGGCCACTGTTTACTTAGACAGTGAACCAGTGTCGGCGTGCATACAATGCTTGAAATCGCTTCTACGACGAATTGTGTGTGATATTACACGTATACAAAAGAGATAATTAATTGCCATTTCATTCACATCCAGGTAACCCATGCTGCGGGCGGTTCACACACTAGGCCACCCGGCGTATAACGATGACTGAGCTCAGGATCCCCGCTTACAGCACACATTCTTCGGGATAGTTACTCGGAGATACGGCTACATTCGCGCACTTGTTTGACTTTAATAGTATGAGGAGATAACGTCAAACTAGCAGTGGCACGAGTTGGCGGGTCTACCTCTCGTTGAAATGCAAGAGAACATACAATGATAGAAGGAATGGTTGTGGTAGAATGAAGCCACCTGTGATTTAGAATTCCTAACGTTGGTACGGCTGACAAAGTTTGGGACCCTCTTAGGCCGTATGGCGTGCCACCCAGGAGCTAGAAAGTTCGTGACGAAACACCCGCAGTTTAGAGCTGGAACATCACAGTACGAGACAGAGCATTGGTACAAAATCTACGCATTACGAAGACACAAATACAGACGACATGGTACGCGCACAGATAATAGTCCCAGACATGACTGTGCGCCGGACTAGATAGCGATCTGTGACCGCAGCTGGGAAAAACGTTTTTCGCAAGGAATGTGAATCAATATACCGCCGTTTGCGGTTGTTATACGCCGTGAAGCGCATGGGAGAAAATTGCAGTACACGCTTAAAGAAAACAAATTAGGTTAATTGCACAAGAAATCGGGGGAGTGTTTGCATTCTTCATCTTGTGACTGCCGTGTTGGTAACGAGCACGCCGCGCAGGCCGCAGCATGCTTTGAGACAGGTAACTCACATCCCATCGTAACATTTTAAAGATCTAAGCGTCGCTTTAAATTGCACTAACATGTCTAGGCTCAGTATGCGACGTCCCTGTCCCAAATATACGTAGACAATGACTCGCGTCATGCATACTGCATGTGACGTTGCTTGTGGGTCTGGCTGGGGCACGTCAGCTTGGTTGTCACCGTACCGACAGCGCCCGTCTGTTTGGTGTAAAGCAGATTTTGCGCATTTCAATTAGACACGTGTACATTAGAAGGCAACGGCTCTTGTGTTGTGCTAACCCGCCATTAAGACACAGCCGCTTGCACACAGGCTTGTAGATACACAAAAATACATACGTTTATAGCGTCCGTCTAACAAGACGTATCTCTGCAAAATGGTTTTCAATTCGTTGACGGAGGCCCCTCACAACCTCAAGGAGGGTATTGACTGGTTGGTAGCCCTGAAGGAAGGCGATGCTAAAAGCAACTTGGCTGCCATGGGTTCCGCACTTTACGATTTGCTTGCAGACAAGCCTGTCGGCTTCACGGAGGTGCCAGCTCTTGAGGCAGTCAAAGTTATTACTAAGGAGTTCTTGGGGCTACCTGAGCTTAAAGGCCAGTGGTGCGTAAGAAGGCTGAAGGATAGGTTCAACGGGTATATGACTAGATTCAACTACAGGCGCGGTAAGCCCATGTTATATGTCACCGACAGCGACTATAACAACGCCATAAAAGGCAAGGGTCTCACTGCCAAAGACATCGCAGAGAACTTAGGTGAAGTTGTGGATGGTTGTGAGAAGTTCTTGGATGATATAAAAAACCCTGGCCAGTACAAGTCTGCTTACAGTTCAGAAGCGACGTGGGATGTATCATGCGCGAAGAGACCTGAAGATTGCGCAGTGATCCTGGTGGGAATTGCGCCAATGTTATACACGGGCCTGCATTCTCTGTTGGATGCGACTGGAGGCGGAAAGATCGGATTCAAGATGTCTAAACCCAATAGCCGTTCAGAAAATCTGTTAAACGCAGTGGGTTACGAGGTGCCTCAAAGGCGCACTGAGATAATCGGTTCAGATTTCCTCAAGGCGTTGGATGCTGTGAGTTCTAAAATGTTGGGCACAATATACGACCTCGCTGGATTCTGGGCATTCTATGGATCGCATAAGAAAGGAGCTGTAAAAGCTGTAAAGTCTGTTGAGCCCGTGAAACCTGTGGAATCTGTAGAGCCTATTCAAGATGAAGAGCCCGTAGAGGGCGTAGAATCTGTGGAACCTATTCAAGATGAAGAGCCCGTAGAATCTGTTGAACCCGTTCAAGAGGAACAATTTGCGGGAGTTGAAGAACCTATTCAAGCGGAACAAGCCGTGGAACCTGTAGAAGCTGCGAGGCCCACAGAAGGTGAACCTGCGAAAGCCACAAAACCTAAAAAAGACAAGAAGGGCAAGAAGGGTAAGAAAGGCAAAAAAGGCAAAAAGGGTAAAAAGACTGCAAAAGCTGTAGAAGCAGGTCAGCAATAATGGGTTCTGAGTACAGGTCCCGAATAATTGGGCATCATTGGATTTCTCAAAGCATTTCTAACCTTGAAATGTGATGATAGCCAGTGTTGTGGATACAGTCTTCACCCACTACACTAGTATCGTCAAATGAGGCAAAACATAGTTCTTTGCGTATTTAGAATTTCATTCAGGGCGCAAGATAGTGGGTTGTTTTAGCGTAGTACGCTTCATTTTCTTACATCCGACAGGCGGTGTGTAGACCCGCAGTTTATAAATCACGCTTTACACCACTTTAGGCCTTCTAAGGTGGATAAGCGATCACTGCGGCTCGGCAAGGTTCGGCGTCGTACCTGTGACCGACATACAGAGCTCCTGTTAAGCACTAGCCGTGTTAACACGTGTAGACTGCATCACCCGACAACTCAATGTTTGACCGTAGTTACTCCTGTGAGTGTACACGCCATGTTTCCGTCCCAGAGATGCCGGGACGTAGGTGCTGTTTTTTGCCGTGGGATATGCGCTTGTGCATGGGTCGCTGTTTTGACGTTCCCCGTGACACGACGCTATAAAGCGGTCGCCAGCTTCAAAGGTGTGACATCCAATACACCGGGCAACCAGACGGATCACATCGAGCAACAAACGCCAATAACGTGCAGGCAGTGAGATTTTGGCACGAGCGAGCACCGGCACAAGCCATATGCAGACACTTATATAACAATATTCCACTTTAAACACAGCATTTATATGGGTAGTAAGTTGGTATGCGTTGGATGTGCGATAGATTTGTCATGTTTATCATTGGGCGAATGTGAGATGGGAAATAAGATCCTTGCGATTAAACTTATTCTCCACCAGAGCATAAGATTTATGATACGAAAAGATGCGATTGCTTTGCTATTCGCTGGGCAGACACCTTGCAGTCCATGAACAATGAGTCAGCCTCGTCTATGAATCGCCTGTCTAGTACATCGCTTTGTCCAATTTGCCTCAATATATTTGCGGGTGCGATGAGTTGCATGCAATAACGCAGGCTTGAGTTGGCTCCTATTTCCCCTAATCGTAATAAGGCATCGTCAGTAAGCGGGACGTTTTCCGCTTTCCCCCGTATGCGCAAAACTTGCACTAACTGCTCAACCATATATTGTTACGTTTCAGCACCCACCTCATCTACGGTATATGGTAGTGTTTTGATGATCAACAGTCGGTCGAGGAGATCCACGGGAATTCCATGGGGTTCGATGGAATCAGTTCCTCGAACTGTGCAGAGCTGCATGGATTAGCTTGGTGACAACTTCAGCCTACACCACGGTTTGTCGAGAGTATAACAATGGGCGCCAGCGGAGATTCCAACGCCTTCGTGAGGTATGTAAAACACTCGATGTCGAACATGTGGACCTCGTCGATGTACAACACCCCTGGTACAACCTCCGCAACACCCATGTCTATGTAGCGATTCACGGCCTTGTTCACTTCCAGCCTCAATTTTTCGGTAATTTCCGTTTTCTTAGGCTTGATATATTGGTTTATCATGGACAGGACGTCGTTCCCACCCTGCGCATCTATTTTTGAGAATGCTCTGCACGACGCACCGTAGGTTGTGAATTTGCGACATCAAGGTCATTTAGAGACATTTCTTGCACGCATTGCTTTTGCTTGTAGACATCACCCTTTGGGAGGGGAACGTATTCCTCAACCTCCAGGTCAAACTCGGTAGCGTACGCATCGCACCTGCCGCATCGGCGGACTTGACCTAGAACACATGTCGTGCGCCCTTCATTAATCTAACCTGTTGAGGCGTCTATGTATATAACATCTCCTATTGTGACCTTTTCTTTAACCATCTGGTCATGTATCTGCGGCGCCAGCCTCAGGGTTTTGGACCCCTTGACCGTTTTGAGGGTGACGATTACGGCGCTTATACACTTTGCTGCAATCACATGTACGGATTTATGTCGCGAACAGTACCGAATCCTCCGCTCGGGTTTTCTGTTTCCTCAGCCACAAGTTCAGTGACTTCCCCTTCGTACACTTGTTTTTCCTCCTTCAGAATGATGTGTATCGACTTGCGGAACGCCTCGTTCAAGACCTCGGTCTTCTTAACCTCAGTACTGAACACTTCAGTACTTGAAAGTATTGTGAACGGCGCGGCTGTGTTAAGCTCTTTTGCTATGGCCATTGCCAGAGCTGTTTTGCCGCTGCCGCTTGGCCCCGCGAACAGTAGCGCCCTTCCTGTAACATATTATGACCAGTGTCATGCGATGTAACCACACAGACATTAAAACCAAATAGAAGTCACATCTAAGGATGCTTACCGGCCATTTTCTTCTCTTTGATCATATCCACCGCGAGTTGAGCAGCCTCCCTGGCCCTGTACTGGCCTACTAGACCGCAGCCAACATCGAAGCAATCTATGTATTCCTGGTACTTCGGATCAGTAGCACCGCTTGATGGGTTAATGAGTGCCGTGTCTACTTCGAATATCGATGGATTGACGCCCAGTCCCTTGATGTGGCTGTGCACGGATATCTTCTCCTTGAACGCCTTTGGCGCGGTTCCTTCCGCCTTGATGGTGTTTATATCTGGCACGCAATCTTTTACTACACCCATAGCCGCCATCTTGCTGCGTAATTTTGGATATGCGCAACGTTCAACGCTGAGAGTATGGTGCCGACCTTCCACATCGTGCCTGCCCTCCAAAGTTGCACAGAGTGCCGTCTCCGACGGAATGAGATGGATTTTTAGCTAAATTTACTGGTTGGCTCTGTGTACATTGAGGAACGTTCTATCTGGTTACACATTTGTCTCAGACCAGGCGGCGGAAACGGCCGTATGATTGCTCATTGTGTTTTTGCTGTAATTCACCGTATCGTGATAAAATAACCTGCAAGCTCATTGGCTGTTGCGTGGATCGTGTAGAGATACATTTGGATGGCATTGTGGCACTTCTTTCGTGTGCTTGATCGTTGCAGATGTGTGTATGATCGAGCTCTGCCATTAACCGTATCTGTGGCTATAGTACTGTAAAATACCGATATTAAGAGGTTAGACGATTGGCATTTCTGTCTAATAGTCTCTGATGGCTCCGGACAGATGTTCATGCTTTGCTAGGATTTCGCGTACATCTGGACGCGAAGGTGGTTGCAACAACGGAGGTTGCAACGCTGCCGACACAACTGAGGCAGTGAATGCCGACAACCCTCTGTTGGATTCTATCGTGTTGCGTAGTTCATCATTGGGTAATTTCATTGCGCCCCCGTGGCATTTGATTAGCCCTTGTGAATCTAGCGTGGTCGATAAACTTTGGGAAGACCCCGAAGGGCACCCCGAGCTAACTTCTAAACAGAAGAGTCGCCTGTCTCGTTGGGTACGTTTTTTCTGGGGCGATGGCAAGAAGTGTTTCTTCGCCTCTGCTCCCAACAGTGGGCGCATAAAGCAAGGGTTCGTTGCCGACTGTTCCTTTCTATCATCCTTGGCCGCCCTCGCAGATTACGAATCTCGACACTCTGTCCCTTTATTAACGAACATCATAAAGTTTGTTACAATCGGCCCCAACGGTTACGAGGATTTGGTGCAGCCAACACAGGGATGCACTGAGGCGCCTCTAACAACCGATTCCGACATCGCCATAGGGGTTAAGTTATACTTCAACGGTATTGCCAGGTGTGTCGTTGTGGATGACTGGGTTCCCGTTAGGGCCGACGGCCGCCTGCTATGCGCGCATTCTTCGGATCGCACCGAGTGCTGGGTGAGTATCCTCGAGAGGGCGTTTGTAAAGCTGAACGGCGGCCGCTACACCATCCGCGGCACTAACCCTGGAATAGACATATACCATTTGACTGGGTGGATCCCGGATATAATCTTTTTACAGCCGAGCGGTTGCGTCCCTCCTGGCGTTGCGACCTCCGCTGACCGTTCTACAAACAAATGGAACGACACGTGGGACGTTATTTACGCGGGCTTCTGCGGAGGCTCCTGCGTTGTGTGCCTCGGCACGAGCGACTTCGCGGATGCTGTTCCAGTCGGTCAGGATAGACCAGAGGGCATTTCCGTTGCCTCCGGCATCGTCAGTGACCATGCCTACAGCATGCTCGACATGAAGGAGGTGCAGATGCCCAACAAGCGTCGAATACGTTTAATGTACTTGAAGAACCCCTGGGGAAGTATTTCTTGGACGAAGCGATTTTCTCCGTCCGACTCAAAATCTTGGACACCGGAAATGCAGAAGACCCTAGGCTACGTTCCTAACCCTTCGGAGGACAATGGAATGTTCTGGATTGAGTGGAATGACGTGTTAAAATGGTTTTCGCACCTGTACGTTGCGTGGAAGCCCAGCATCTTCCGCAGTCGTGTAACCTTACACCACGTCTGGGAACCCAGCCCGCAATTCCTTGATTCTTGGGCACCCGATGACATGTCCCTCTCTATGTACAACCCGCAATTCAGTGTAGTCGTATCGTTTGGTAATTCCAACTCCGCCACCCTCTGGTTAATGCTGATCCAGCATCGCCGGGACTTCGAGGAGCCCTTGAAGTACCTGGCAATGCATGTATTTTCGCGCAAAGACGCCGTCGTTTGCCCCGCTATACCCGAAGTTCAGGGCGTGTACAACAACGGCGAGTGTATTTTGTTGAAGCTTATAGTTAAGTTAAGCTCGTTTAGCGAATCTCCCGTCAAGCATATGCTGACGGGTGACCCCGTTATCGCTTGTACTGTGGATGACGAGTCAAGTGTGATGGTACTCGTCTCGTATTATTCCAAGAAAGTGGAGAGCGCAGCGCCATTCACGATTCGCGCGCTGTCTTCAAGACCTATAAAGTTGACCCCGAAACCCTGCGTCGTCCGACCGGACTGGCACAGGACTGTAATACAAGGAGAGTGGACTGACAGCAACAGCGGAGGCAGTCCCCAAAACATATGGACGTATTTTAAGAATCCGCATTACAGGCTGTTCTTTCCCGAGAAATGTGAGGCTGTTGTTTTGCTGGAGTCCGCCAGCCCCCTTTCGGTGAACCTCCGGATTTTCAATGGGCGTATAGCTACTATCCGTGCTCTAAAAGCTGGACAGTTGACCTCTTCGGATGAATATAGGGTTAACTGTTGTTCCGTATCCGCCGCCAACTTCTGCGGCCATTACGTCGTCATTCCTTCCGCATATCGCGCCAGCGACCATGGCGCGTTCAGGATAATTGTACGCTCGAGCAAAGAATGCAGTATATCTCCATTGCCCTACCCGCAATCGCCCGTTCCCTCCACCTTGGGATTAATCAGTCAACGTGTCGACATGCAGGGCCCTCTTAACATTCAAGTGTCCTGTCCGACGTTGGTATCGATTCGGATAAAGGTGCCAACCGAACTTTTAAGTGACAACTTCGCGCTGCTGGGGTCATCTGCCGGGGCCCCACACCCGCAGCCTCGGGACGCCTGCTTCGGCTTTGAGGCAGAAAACAAGTTCTTCTGTCTCTCTTTGGCGTGCAACGTCTGCGGTGGCGCAGGCGGCAGGTTACGCCAAATAACCAAAAACGACCCGCTACGTGGTCACGCCGATGGATATGATTTGGTGCTGTACAGTGACCTGAATGGTGGGAACTCCAACACGGGGCGCACCCCGTCTGCGTCCGCTCGTTACCTGTTCGAGAACGAACGGGTGATAAACTTCACCCTGGCCGAGCTGCAGCCCACCAAGGTTCCATACAGGCTGTGTTGCATCGGCGGCGTCTCGCGAGGGATGGTAACCCTCACGTCCGACCACCCCGTGTCGATTGTGTAATGCAGTGATGTTAATGTTGCAGATTATTGTACGTTTCTGTTTTGTATCGATGCGCTAAAACCAGGGCTGGTAGTTGGTTTTCAGCTTACCTAGCGTGCTGGAGTCGGCGGACGCGTCGATGATGCACGTTATGATGTTGTTGATGGGCATGTTGCACTGCTCCTGGTCCGTGGGCGACCTGAGGTAGGAGCAGTAGTTGAGCACGCGCCCGATGTACTCGTCCAGTTGGTTGATTTCGCGGTTGGGGGTAATGTTCGGTGTAACGGCCTTCGATTCGCCGTTGGATCCCTGACTGGATGCTTGGTTTCCCTGGCCGTCAGCTTTGGCGTACGGCGAGTTGGGGCCGGAATGGAATATGCCGAAATCGTCGCTGAGTATGGCGCTCAGACATCCCAAGATGTCGATCTTGTACGTGTGTATGGCGGCGCAGATGGCGTACATGACCGCCGGCATGATTCCCATGCGGCAGACTGGTCCGATCATGGTTTTAATGTTGCGAGTAAATCTGAAAACTCGCAGCTTGGAGTACTCCACGAATATTTCTCGCGAGTAGTTGAGTCTGAAATCCAGCAGCTTGAACCCCCCGGTGCTGAAGTTCATGCTCAGTTTGCATGGCGTGGCGTACGGTGCTACGAACATGAGCCCGAGTAGCGCCTGTATCGCGTAGTTGCTGGTGAACCTTTGCCTTAGAGTCATGAAATCTTGGTAGTTGTCGAACCGGCTCATTGCGTACTTGAGGAGAATGTCATCAGGTACGAGGGAGCACAGATCGCTGTATGCCTCCATGAGAACGTCTTGATGTATTTTTTTGTACCATGCGGTGAACCACGGGTACTGCCTGTCTTTGAACATTTGATACACTTGCGTGAAGCCGAGGTTATCATCGCACTCTGCGTTGAATTGCCTCCAGCGTTGCACCAGTTGCTGCGTCACTCCTGTCTCCATCTTCATCTTATGTAGCACCAGCAGCAAAACGTTTGTCTCCCGGTACATCGATGGGTGCATGTTAATCATTTTCTTAAACTCAGGACGTTCTTTGACGATGTTCCGGTACGACACCGCCGCTGAAAAGATCTCCGAGAGCGTTTCATCGTGCTCGTCCTCTTCGTAAAGGCAAAGGTAAGGGTCGAGGGACACCACGTTTACAACCGGCATGACGGCATCCCTTCTGCGCGTTTCGTTGTACTTCAAGGCGTAGTGGTTGAACAGTTTCAACATCTGGCTGATATGTTGGTCCGACTTTTGCCTCAGAAGCGTCAGAGGCTGTACGGTGTATACGTACACCTGCCCATTTTGCGCAAGCATAGAGATAGACTTCACGATATGCATACCCCTCCGACGTTTCTTCACCTTAGGCAATAACGCCACTACATTCATGCATTCCCCTATGCTATCCCGCTGTTTGGGGTACAGCAAAGTTAGGGTGGGCCGTATTGTTGGCAGCTGCAGCTCCATGTCTAGCATTTGCAGGTGTTGGCAGAACTGGTGTACCTTCATGTGATTCATTTGCTGCTGCAGAATATCGCTTTGCGATGTCTTGGAGAGCTCGCTCAGCTTCGTCATCCAATCGATCAACAAGTTCATGGTCTCACTGCACTTCATTTTAGTGCTGGCCTCGCTGAACTCCTTGTCAAATTGTTTCATCATTTGCGCCATTTGAGAGTCCGGGTCTCCTGTTTCGTTCAACAGCGACGATCGGTGTGGCATTTTCAGGGCCAGGTAATTGAAAACATGCGGAGGCACCTTTTCGTTGAACGGTAGGTCGAGGCACTCCTCGAACACGGTTTCCGTGGCAGACAGCACCTCGTCGACGAAGTCGGGTCTACCGATTTGCGTCACAGTGGCCGCGAATGATTCCAGCATTGTTCCCACATTTGGGTTTGATGCAATGAGGTTGCTCAGGATCCGTTTCATGGTTGCTGGCTCAGTCAGCTCGGCTCCGTTTTCGCTATCTCCGTTCGAATTTTGAGCGAAGTATTCACACCTGAGAGCATAAAACACCTGTTGAGGCAGTCTATTCATAAGCAACTGTAGGACGTGCTGCATTTCTCCATCATCCAGCCTATTGAGGCCCGAGATGAGCTGCGGCAGCCACGACAACCACACCAATACTGGAACACGCTCGCTGTATTTCTTGAATGTCTCGATACACGACTTATTCATTGCTATGAACTTCATTTCATTGAGGAGCGTGAGTACGCGCCCTATCAGCAGCCAGTGGTGGTGTGGGCGTATCGATATAGCTGTCAGATATCCCATGATGGCGTTCTCATAAAATTCTGAGGGGAAGGTCCCTTCACCTGACTTCCATTGTTGCACAGCCGAGCGATCGATGCGCTTATCGTTGTACTTTGCCCACGCTATCCAATTTTTAGAGAGCATGGGTTCAAGCTTTAGGGCGTCCATCATGAAGTTGGATGCGAGTTCGTTCTCTACATGAGTCGGCCTCTTCGGTATTTCTAAAGCTGCCTTACGATTGATTGCGTCTGCCAGAAGTCTGATAACGTGCGACTTGAGAGTTTCACAACCCGATCCCGGCACAAGATCAAGATCTACCGTAACAACCCCCTTTAGCATATCATGTACATTGACAGGTATGGAGACGTACTGCTTTATGCGCTCAATCATGATCACCAGGCAGTCCTCGGTTACCAGATTGCTTTGCTCCAGTATACTCTTATGGAATTTGTGCGCCTTGTTCAGTATGACAGCCGCCACCAGCGGCAGTTGGTGTGATTTGCGTGTTACGGAGGCGAACTTCGTTAGTGTCCACTGGAGGTCCTGCAGATTCAGCATCGCAGCTAACTTGGCATCCTTCGGCACAGTGTGACTGTTTGCCACAATAGACTTCACAGTTGAGAATATGAATGTTCTCCATGCCAACATTTCATGCCACACGGACGGCATATCGCATGCCAAGGGCAGCCGCTTACGCCACTTTGAGACTATGGGTACAGACTCTGGCACCTTACCCGCGTGCACATTCCTCATAATATCCGTCAGATATTTCATACCCTCTTCAACTTCAACGAAGCGCTGGTGCTGCCTCATGGGCACCCTGTGGGCCTCACAAAGTCCCTTGGGCAGGAGCAGCCACGAATCTAGGAGCTTACTTTTGCCGTATTTTACCATTTTATCGGCCTTGCGTGCACAATTCAACGTGAATGTTGGCGTGATTCCATGATCAACTTCCCTGAGTGGCAGGATGTCAGTCTGCAGCTGTTGGTATACTTTATTGATCGCACATTCGGCGTTATCCAACGCGAATATCCTGCTTACGTTGTCCAGACCGTCCTCCGGCAGAATTTCCCCCCACTCCTGCAATGCGCTGCTGGACTCCATGAATAGTTTCTGGTCTCCCGCAACGAATGATACATCCCGAAGCAGGTCCCATTCACCCAGTTGCTTGCTTGCCTGTACCCAGCCGCTGTACCATATTTTCGACTCGTCAAAGCTCGACACAGCCTCCGCCGTTTGCCCCGTCACAGCCAATGATTCCATAATGGAGTTGAATTCACGCTGCGCCTGCTTCCACTTCGCGTGTTGCAGGAAGCAAATCGCCAGGCGCGTCTCTTGCGTAATCACCCATGTGCGGTAGGCCCCTATAGTCATGTCGTTCATGTTGAGGCGATCATACAGGTCCGACAATACCGTCGCCATCCTGGTGATATCCAGAGGTTGTGATAGAAGCTGCTTTTCCAGGTGGTAGAGCGCCTCGTGCCACGAACCCTTGGTGACAGCCAGATACTTGAGCACTTCAGGCGGTATGTTGATGGGAGGGTAGCAGCTAATGGCGCCCTGCAGTACGGTTATGCACGTATTGCCACTGCTGTAAAGATGCTCCTCGCGGCACAGATACCGACAGACATCTTTACCCACGTCTTCTTGCTGGAAGGAAGTGAAGGTGTCGTATATTTGAGGGAATACGGTCGTCCACAACCGCGAGGCAAACTCCTCGTCAGAGTGCCACATAATCCTCAGGCAGGTTTTAAAGCGCCGCATAGAGGAAACACTTTCGAAGTACAGGGTGTAGTACTCATGCATTTTCCCCAGCAGGGAGTTATACACCTCCAGCCGGTTTTCGACTACTGGGAATGAAAGCGGTTTTGGCTCCGGTTTATTTACTTCCATTTTAGGTGTAACTGCAGCCATCCGCCTGAATTCCCTCAGCAACGCAAGATTGCTTTTAAATGTGTCCCTGTGTTCCTCCGAGCATACGAGTTCCATTTGGGTCATATGTATGTTTCTGTCCCTGGGTAACAGGGTGGGTAGCACCGGGTATTCCTCCGAGAATGATAGCCCCCAGCTGTCCAACGACAACGTGAATATGAGGTCGAGGTACAGCGGTATGTAGTACTCGTTGTCCCTGTTGCCACCAATTTCCGACGACAGCAGGTACTTGACGATGGAGTAGAGGTCGTTGGGGATGTCAAGCTCGTCGAAAATTTCGCTTAACTCATCACGCTTGTTTTCTAAGCACAGCAAGTATGCCAACATCTGCTTTCTAACGTCAAGATCATCACATTGCGGTCGATCCAGACATGTGAGCATGGTCTCGTAATAGGTTCCAGAGAGCGTCTCATGGTGGGCCAGATGGCGTAAGGCATAAACAAATTCCAGATCCAAGATCTCTTTGAGGTTGCTATCGCCGTACAAGTGCTTTAGTTTGGCAAGCACAGAGTCATATGCGACAGAGGTGAACAGATTCCGTTTCTCATGCGTCCCCAATTCTTGATATACTGTACCGACATGGCTATGATCACCCTTTTCCAACAGCTGTTTGGGATACGCCTTTTGCGTACCCTTCATCCAGTTTCTGAGCTCTATCTGCTTTACGTTATCTCGGGATGACACAGTGAATCTGCATAGCGCTATCGCACCTTTCGCAAAGGCCGTCGGAGTCGAACTGGCGGCTTCGGGAGCATCGCCAGGAGTTTCACCCTTGGAATCCGTTTTTCGAAATCTGCTTGTTACCTTGGGGCTCTCGTCCTGGAACTTGGCAATCTTGCGGCTGGAACCCCTAGCAATTTTGGTCGCGTATCGATCCATCGACTTTTCACGCCCTGACCCACGGGATTTGGGCGTGCATGGAGCACTTCTGGAAGTTGGAGTGCCTTCTGAACGCCACGCGTCATCAAAAGCCGTATCATTTGCAGGCGTTTGCTCTGACATTTCCTTTGCCGCCTTCATCAGTGCATGGTTGAAAGGGTGGCCAAGTGTTTCTGAGAAAAACGCGGCAATCTCACGTATTTTCTGCTTCACAGCAGAATCCACGATGGAAATGGACCAGATTGCGGTGTTTACGAGATTCTCCATTCTCCGGCTCTCATTGGCGTCACTGACAGCCGGCTCCTCCGATTGCGGTGCGTCGTGGGGTATGGAGTACACGTTGTTGTACACCCGGAGCCTTCCAAGAGCAAATTCTTCCATGTCCTCGAGATGTGACAGGGTGTAGTGTAGTGTTTCAACAAACTCTGGCATAACACACTTGATGGCTTGTTGCAAAAGGCCGCGATCTGTGCTCAGCACCGTGATCAACGACACCAACGATCTGATAGCGTTAGAAAAGCTCGATCCCATATCACAGACAGACGCTATTCTGTCATCCGCCCACGAATCATGTAAGTTCGTAGACTCGCTTCGTGAAAATGACGACAGATAATTGGGGGAATCCTTGCCACTAGTTGACTGCGATTTGGGGCTGTGAACGTAATCAACGGCTGTTGTCTGCAGATAATGACATTCCACATGAGGCCCTGCATCCTCTTCTTCAGTTTCCAATTTATCGGGCGCGCCTTTCCTGGCTACCTGCATTTCTGTCACTATTTTGCTCACTAGCCACATCGGGAAACAATTGACTGGCGGTTTAGTGGCACTGGCTACATCTATCATTTCTGACTGCGAATCCACCATATGCGACTGCTCCTTAGCCCCCACCACACCGTGCTGGTGATCAACGACTGTTTTGCTTTCTGAATCCTCTTTCTGTGTAAGTGCCGATTTCGGCGGCTTGATTCCCATGAACGCATCTCTAAATAGGCAACACATTTTATAAATGCACGAGTCCACAAATCCAACTATTTTGGCATTCTTCAAACCCCAAACCGAAGACAATGCCTCAGTGATGTGATCAGCTGAGGTAGGGCGTGGAATTGTCTGATCCAGCATGCGGTCGAGCATTTCCATCAGCACAATGCCACACTTGGTCAAATTTCTGACCTTGATATAAGTCAACTGGTCACTTCGGCTAGTACGCATCGCTTTACTAGCCTCGGGCACTTCGCGTGGGCTATCGGAGGAAGCCCCTACGCCTGGGTGGAGGCAGAAAGTGTCATTGTCGCGCAAATGGCATTGGTTGAACAGATAACGGACACCGCTCTGATTCGTGTTAGAGACCTTCTTGAGTGCAGTGCTCAACAGATCGTACCTTTGCGTCTTCACAAGGAGATCGACCACCAGTGTCATGTAGGGTGTCACATCAGCGACAACCACGTCATCCGAACATAAGCATGCCACCATCACATCTATGCAAGCCTCCTGCACAACTTCGATGTCCATATCTAACCCATGTTCCACGGCCACTGCAACGGCTCCGAAAAAGGCGTCCAACGCCCCACCCTGTATTACGTTGCATGACCCATTAATGTCTGAGTGCACCACCATGATGACTTCCTTGATGACATCGTTGAACAAAGTGACATCCTCGTGCAAATGCAAGACAAAGGCGGCCATAAACGGAATCATGAGCTTGGGTTTCTCCTCGATTTCTTTTATCTTGTTCAGTAACAACCATTTCCACAGAAGCGGCCTATAGTTGTTTGCTGTATTGGCATCTTTAGCTGCCTTCCCGGACTCAGCCGGCACAAGAATCCCTGATAGTACCCTTATCAATACCGACGCGGAGTGTCTGAGCACTTGCATGAGTGTGTAGGGAGTATCGTCTCCAGCTCCAAAGCATCTCAGCTGTATCGTGTGGTGCGTATTCAAAAAGACATAAACGTCCTCTTTGGCCATGACATCGAGATACCTTTTGAGCACCGCTGCTGCACCAACCGGAGGCGTATCGTTGATTTCTATTAACTTGCACAGGCATATTATGGCAAGGAGTTTCCCCATTGCGTCGCCATCTTCTGACGATTGCCAACACAATTCGACAATTTCCTCGATGACCGATCCCAATCCGCTTCGAGTTTCTTTGCTAAGCATCCCCAGAAGGTGTTTCAGCTGGTAATTGCGCATTTCAAATATGTTTCCCCCGATGACTGGGTTGGCGATGCAACTGATTCTTCCAGATCTGTAACATTCCAGGAACCCGTTGGAGAGGAACTCGTCAAGTCGGGATCTCTCTTCTTCGCCATCCTTGTCGCTCATGATTGCGTTAATTTTTTCACGCAAAGTTGGAATTGGCACCACCTTGATCAACACAGCTGCGCACACATAAGCAACCTTCCACCGGACCAAACGGCCGTTATCGAGTTCAAAGGGTGGGCTGAGGAGGTCGTCAAGTTGCTTGTTGCTGTTGCAGGCGATACGCAGCATCGCATCCACTAGCTTCTTGAAGTGCTTGTAATCCGTAACCTGTTTGGCGTTTATTTTGCAAAGCCAGTGTATCAGGGATACGTAGAAGAGATTCGAAATGTCATTTCCAGAATCCAATGAACCATAAGCGTTCCGAAGCACGTAGTCTACGTCCGCCTTGCAGCTGACAAAGTAGAAGAAGCTCAGGCACTCCATCTTCATCGTGTTATTGAACAGGTTGTAAACAACGCCGTCGTGGTGGAGGACCTGCCATATGCCGTAAGCGACCGAACCGGGTATGAAAACCCCCTTCCTGATGCAATCGATTGTATTGAACCACTGGTTGAAGATGACATCCGCACATAACCTGCCCGCACCTATGCTTGCTATGAAAATCATGTAATCGATGAACTGTGCATTTTGGTGCTCGTCGTTGATGGAGGAATTCAGCGTGCCCTCTATCAAGGCCTTGCCAACATTGAAAAGCGATTCCCTGAGTGCGTCGTCAACCACATCTTTGTATGTTTTGATGACGTCCAGTATCCTTTCGAGCAGCCCCTCGTCGAAGATAGTTTGCAGTTGAAAAATATACTCTTCCAGCGCCATGGAGAGTGTTCTGGAGCGAACGATAGCGTTAGTGGTGTTGCTCAGCACATTTCTAACCTTTTCCACAACATCGTGCCCTCCTGTTATCATAAGCTTCAAGAACCAGACAAGGATGAGGTTGAACGTGTCCTCCAGCTCCTCTGCCGCCTTAGCGTACTCTTCGCTAGTCAGTAACACCCCGAGCACTTCAATGTAAGCATCAACCTGTGCCCCAAACGTGGCGTTTGCCTCCTCTCCGCCGTTCATAGACTGAACATAGGTCTGCAGGTTCCCAACAGCTGATTGTAGCAAGGAGATGTCACCATTTTCCATAGTCGCCACGAATAGCTGTACATCTGGGTTTTGCGAGTTGCGTGCAATGGAGATGATTTTCTGCATCTTAGCCGCAACTTCTGCCGTGTTCTTCGCTACCTTTAGGCACATACGCCCAGTTGAACGGAGGTACCACGCTGGATGTTCTAGCAACGAGACTGCCCAGTTTATCATGGCAGCCTCGTCGGCCACGAGGAGCGCCTCAAGGGCTTTGCTCATGGCTTGTATAGCTGCTGCATCACCATCGCTGAGCTGTGCAACGGAGTTGGCAACATCTAGCACCACAGGTTGCACAACACTTGGATGATCTTCACATATTTTCACCAGTGCCATACACGCACCAACTTTTTCGTCGGCGTCGTGCGAATTGCACGCCAGGCACAGCATGGTGAGAATAGTGTCGCAGAGCTTGCTACACTGTGTGGTTTGCGCCGCGGTGAACACATCCCTCAGGAAATCTGTGGCAACCTCCAATTCCAGGGGGTCCACGTATTCACGTGGCATCCCAAAGTTGTATTCCGTTTCTTCGCGAACGGCCACAATCCGGGCCGCAACTCCCTGCAGTACTAAAACGGGGTCAACGCAGACATCCATAGTGGTCTGGGCGTGGGTTTCGGACGTGATAACGATATACCTCACGAGCGTGTTCATCAACATGCCAAGCTCACGATACACCTGTGATTCCGCAAAACACCGTTTGCCAACAGCGCCAGCCTTAACCATTGCATGCATCATGGTAAACACAAATTCTTTCGTCGTTTCACTGGTAAGGTACTTTGTGTTCTCCCCTCGAGTAGGTGGGTTGCCGGTTCCCTTGCTGGCCAGTGTCAGGCCACACTCCGCAAGTGACACAGAAAAGTCCATCATGGGGGCGGTTGCATTTTGGACGAACACAGCAACTCCCTCGAATTCCGTGTGGCTGACATGTGGTTTGGACATCTGCCGAATCACACTGTTCAGTCCATCCATTACGGGAATACCGAGCCCAATAGCATTTGGCACATTGTTATCCATAGAAACATCATCCACACCCGAGCCTGACCTTGAATAGCTTCCTTCGAAGTCACTCGCATCTCCGCTTGTCTTTGGGGTAGCATCTGATTTTTCATCTGACACCGCGGTATAATCGGTCATCCCTGAGGTGGAATCATCCGAGCTGAGTTGCAACATTGGTATGTCAGTCGACATCTCATCGTCAACTTCATCTTTTCCTACTGGATGCATGTCTATTGGGATGGCGATGGCATGCTTTATGTCGTGCCTGAGACGCATGTCCCTGGTATATTTCGTCGCATACGATCCGATTTTGGAGAACATGTGCATGATGATCTTGGCATTTTGCCTGAAGCGGGGAAGCGTTTGGTCTTGCAGGTACGTGCTCAGGCACTGGATAAAGTGCGGCTTGACAGTCGAGGTTTTGTATATGGTGACTGGCGCCACCAGGTTGTAAAATTCATCCGGTGGCAAGTTCTCCGCCCACGAGTCCAGCATTTCCAGCACGTCAGGCACCATGTCCCACTTGAAGTCCCTCAGTATGCAAAGCGCAGGCTTGGCGCACATGGTCACCAGTTCCGGCTTGAACGGCCCCCTGGAAACGGCTGCCATCATGAGCTTCAGCCAGTCCCGATGCACGTTTGCCCCGCCTTTGATGACTTTGCGCACGATCGTCTCAATGGGCCCACGTAGAACCAACAGCGCACCCGAGTGCTCCTGGAGTTTGTTGATGCCCTTGAACATGGCAGTTGCCACGGATATGTACGGGTACGTTTGCTTGACACTGAGCCTGGAGATAACCGTAGTTAGGCACCGTATTTCCGCTTGACAGGCCGTCACAGCCTCTGGAACGTCCGCAAACGACTTGAACATATGTTTGGCGATCGCCAGCGCGAGGTCGATGATCGCCTCCGCGTCTTCCTCCACCAGGTTAATGGCGCGTGGCTCCCAGTCGTTGAGCGAGAAAAGGCCGATGACCCCCTCACTGTACGCAGCTACATTTTTGACATACTCAACCACATTGTTCTGGTTCTTGAGCACTTGGAGGATGAAGGTGAGCATGTGCGGTGCAAAGGTTTCCACATACCCCTTTTTGAAGCAGTCCAGGACAGTGGTGATGAATCTGTCCTTCAGGCTCATGACAAAGACAACTGGTATCAAGAGTTTAGTCCACTGCTTGAGCGCGGTGGACCTGAATGCACCCACGAACATTTTCAGCGCCATCTTAATGAACTTCTTGATATCCCTATGATCCAGCAGGTGGTCTTTTGGGCCCCCTGACTTCTCTTTGTCAATCATCACGGACCTCGCTGTCGCACCCGCATTTAATATGGCGCAGATACTCTTGCATATCTCCAACGACTCTATTTGCGTCAGCTTCCTTTTGCTGGGTGGCATCTGCGGCTCCTCATCAACTGCTGAACCTAATGCTAGCTTCTCCTCTTCCACTTTGACAACAGTGGTTGACTTGTCCGCACCCTCCTGTACGGACGCGCCGAGCACGGGCGTGTTGTTGGGCGTGGTTGGCTTTGGCTTGTCAGTCTGTTCCGCCACCGATAAGGCCGCTATGCAGTTCACCGCCATCTTGATGAGCGCAGGCATGGTCGCTTTAACGAACTTGACGTAACTCGCGTCATTCCACATAACCGCCGGCACATTGAGTGCCTGTATTTCGTGTGTCGCCTTGTGGAACAGCACGGCTGCAATATCCTGGAACATGGGCAGGTCGCTATAGTTGATGTCGTCGTAGGCGCTCCTCAGCCTCCTCGTGAAAGCGTGCAGAAACGTGATGAGCCGTTCGCGCATGTGGTAGTCATCCGTGCTTGAGTATGCGTTGTGCAGCCTGAGGCAGTTGTCGGCGACGCCTGTGAAGTCCTCGTCCTTCATGTGGTGTAGGCACTCTATGAACACCGATATGATGCAGATGCCCACCATCGCCTCGTTCTGCCAGCCCTCGTTCAACCTGAACAGCAGGTCTCCCGCAGTGATTTCTGCAAGCAAGGCCTTGTTGAGGCCGCTGCTGGTGAGCAGGGCCATGCACGCCATCAGCGAGGCGCGCCTGTCGTAGGACTCCGCCTTCTGCAAGAGCGCCACTATAGCGTTGAACACATTCCTGGTGAGCAACTCGACGTCTTTTACGTTCATTTCGATTGCATTGGAGCACGTTTTAAGCGTTTGGCATGTGACCTTGACAACTGCATAGTGGAAATCGTCGTTCTCTGTTTCAGTGTTCGAGCGTATGCGAAAGCGTGCCTACCTATTTTGGCGCTCTTGAAGAACATTTCTATTCTGGGGAGGAGTTTGGTGAAGTACTTGGCTTGCGATTTTTGCTTGAACAATAAATCGAACACTCCAGACAACATTTGCATGCGCCACGTCCGCTCTGCCGCATCGTGGAATCCACGCTGACTTGGGCTGCCCTCAGACCCGCCGTTGCCTACGGGCACACTATCTATCAGCCTGGCGAATAGTCCCAGCAATGAGTCGAACGAGCTGGATGCCGCGCATGTCAGCGAACCGTCGAGCAGATTGCCCAATATGCGCCGGCAAACCTCGTATTGACCGGGGCTGATCTGCGTACCTATGGTGTGGAAACATAGCTCCACGATCTCCCGCTGCACGTCATGCGTCACGTGACACTTATTGGACTTACCGCTACATTGTCGGCAGGCCTCTCCCACATGATGCTCTGCTCGATACATTCCAACGTCTGTATCCTGAGCTCATCGTCTGAGACGCGTGACTCTATCAGGTCCTTTATGACGTGGAAGCGTTCGTTGATCTTCACCACGCGTTCTCTCGGCGTGCATCTCGACGCCTGGTGAACGAGTTGGCGGGCGCTTTGCACGGTTTCCTGCATACAAAGGTTCCTCTGTACTTCCTCCATGGTGCGAACGACACTGGAAGTCACCTCCTGCAGCTCTTTTGGAGACTCCTCTGGCCCCTGGCCCGCGTGGCCCGGTCTGGGCATCGAGGCGACAGCGCCGTACTCAGACGCCATGTCTACCTCTCAGGAGTGCGTAAGAATCCCCTATCCGCTGCCGCTGTGGCCTTATGGGAGGATGTGTTTGCGTCGCGTTCCGCGCGCGTTGCTTCCACTCCAGCTTCTCCACATCCCCCGGTGTGTACTTTTTGCGGCCCTGTTAGTTGGGGTCCAGTTCACCACATGGTACGTAGGCCGCCGTATGTGTTGGCTGTGTGGGCGTCTACGTGATTTTCGCGTGGATCGGTGATGGTGCTTGTGCCTCAGAATCCGAGGGATAGGCTGCCGCTATTTGGTACCTTCCATTCTCTAACCTTCTCCGCATTAAATTGCGGTAGTCGTGCCGTAATGCGCGTGATTCCATGCGCTGATTCTTGCCTCAGCCGGTGATCGGTCGCCTGCCCTTCTCGACGAGATGGCCAACAGCGCCGCGTCCGGGTCAGACCATTATGGGCATCTCCTGCGGGATAATCTGTACAAATCGCTCAATTTGTTCGCCGGAGAGTTCGCGGCTCACCCCTTCAACCCTTTGGACGAGTTCACGCGTCGCCGCCTTTCGTGCAAGATTCTGTCGGACTATGGCCCCGTGTTGAACTACCAGCCCAAGGCTCCCAAGACGCAAGCGCCAAGCGCCCAAACCCAGGAATCCGCAGCGTCTACGCCTGCGAAGGAAGCGCCAGTGATTAACGTCCGCAAGGCCAAGACCCCGATTGCCGAAGTCGTGGATGGACTGCACGCCGCGTTGTCCAGCTCTCGTCCCGTGTCTAACAAGCTGGCGTACTTAGATGCAGCCGTATCGGATGAAGTCAACTTCGGCATTGTGCGCAAGCGCCCACTGCTGGCGCTGGGCGCTGGCGACTCCGCTAAGCGACACGAGCATGGCGCTATCCGTGCCGTCGACAAAGGCGACAGCACCGATACGAGCGCCATCACTTCTTACCTGCGGGAGACAGTCGCAGGTGGCCATTCTATCGCAACCCTCGGCATAAAGCCGAAAACTGACGTCATCCGTCGCAACAAGCCCAAATGGCACCCTCCGTGGAAGATGTACCGCATGATCGTTGGCCACCAGGGGTGGGTGCACTGCGTGTCTGTCGACGTGTCTAACCAGTGGTTCGCGACCGGCAGCTCCGACCGCCTGATTAAGATTTGGGACCTGGCGACGTGCCAATTGAAGCTTTCTCTGACCGGCCACATCAACGCCGTGCGTGACCTGAAGATCTCCGACCGTCACCCTTACCTGTTCAGCTGCGGAGAAGACAACACCGTGAAGTGTTGGGATATAGAGCGTAACAAGGTGATACGCAGCTACCACGGCCACCTTTCAGGTGTGTACTCTCTGGCTCTGCACCCAGGTCTGGATGTACTGTTTAGTGGCGGCCGTGATGCCGTCGTTCGCGTCTGGGATATTCGAACTAAGGAATCTGTGCACGTTCTCACCGGCCACACCGGCACTGTTATGAGCCTGGTGTCCCAGAGAGCTGAGCCACAGGTGATATCCGGCTCCCAGGACAAGACTGTCCGGCTGTGGGACCTGTCTGCCGGCAAGACAGTCACCACCCTCACCAACCACAAGAAGAGCATCCGCGCCATGGCCGTTCACCCCAGCGAGTACACGTTCTGTAGTGCCGGCGCAGACAACGTCAAGGTGTGGAAGTGCCCCGAAGGCGTGTTCCACCGCAACATCGGCGGTCACAACTCGATCTTGAACTGCGCCGCCATAAAGGACGACGGGGAGTCGTCGGTGCTTGTAGCCGGCTCCAACAACGGCCAGCTGCACTTCTGGGACTGGCACAGCGGCTACAAGTTCCAGACGCTCGAAAGCGTGGTGCAGAAGGGCTCACTGGAGAGCGAGAACGGCATTTTCGGGTGCGCGTTCGACATGAGTGAGAGCCGCCTGATCACCGCCGAGTGCGACAAAACCGTAAAGATCTGGATCCAGGACCCCGAGGCGACGCCTGAGACCCACCCCGTGGTCTGGAAGCCCGAGGCTGCGTCGAGGCAATACTAGTGCCAGCCGCATTCCGATTCACACGGTATTAATGTTATATTACGCTTAAGCAGGCATTAGCACTGTCAGTTAGCTAGAAGGGTACACAAATATTTTTGGTGAGACACAGCCCTCGCAAGGAGGTGTTGCTGTGTGCTGGGGTCAGGTCTGCACCCCGTCCGAATGCGGCGCTGCCGCCCGTCCTGCAAATCCACAAATTCAAACCGCATTTACCGCCTTCGCAAAGCTCGCCGCTTGTGTTTCGTTCAGGTCGTTTACGCTCGTGAAGAGTGTGTCGTTGAGCTTGAACTCGATAACGTTGGCCTTGCGGGCGATGATGCGCCTGAACCTGAATCCCATGTAGGCGAGCGCCGCATGCAGAATCGCCATGGCAATCAACCCGGTCCCCGTCACGAAGAACGTGCTTGCCAGGTTGTCTTCCACTCTGAACTGCTTCCCGATGTACACGGCCTTGCCGAAGTGCACTCCCGACAGCACCAGTGATGTGGTGGCGATGCACAGGTTGTTGAAGGTGAAGATAGAGGTGAACCCTTCAGACTCCAACACGACCGCGATGATGCCCACGATGTTGCTGAGTGTCAGTGCTGACACGAATATCGCCATCATGACGGCCAGGTTGAACATCGTCCTGTCCTCAACGAATCCGAAGATGTAGACCGTGTACCCGCAGAGGGCGCCGCAGAAGGCCAGCGCCACTGAGCAAAGCACAATCACCATAGTCTTCATGTGGTTATCGAGCCACTCCATGGTGCCGATCTTCGGCTCCGGTGTAACTTCCGTAATAGTGTCCATTTTTATTGTTTTTGTTAGGCTTGTCTAGTTTGCTGTAAATCAGCGCCTTTGCACCGTGAGCTCTTGAGCTACCGGCGGCTTCTGTCTCGCGTAGGTTCAGCGACCGGATGTTGTTAGGCCAGCTGCGAAGCTTTGCTTCAGCGATGCGTGAGGATTGCGTAATGCAACAATGGCGTTTTGGTGTTCTGTGAAGCGGAAGATGTACTGCCGCTCGTCTTGCCGGGTTACTAAGAGTGATAGATACCGTATTGCGGCCATTGCGGGTTGTTTTGTACGTTTATACCCTCGTTAGCTGTTTAGTATGTGCGGGCCTCGTTGAGCCGGAGACGTGCCGATAAAGGGAAGCATACCGGCTTCGGACCTGCGGGCCAGCGTCACCGCCTACATATCCTCACGTATCAACGTGTGATTCGCCTGCCAGTTGCTATATACGACTACAAATTTGGTAATTTTGGATTCCTCAATCTGTCAGTGCGGGGTGATCACGGGTGTTACGGGGCCTGCGAGACGCCGCATTATTTCGCCTTAAACGGGCGTCCCCTGCGTCTTCCAGCGTGTCTACGCCTGCCTTGACGCCAATCAGCAGACAGCGCGCCGCGCGTTGCAGCCCATAACCACGGCGCAGTGGTTGAGCGCTCCGGGCCGCGGAGCATCGGCCTTCTGTAGGCCGATATACGTCATATCATCCTACTAAAGCAGCGACACACATTTACACTCGTAATCTCGCTGTAATAGTTTAACGGACGATGACCGCACGCGCGGTGGGTGTGGCGCGGCCTCGGTCCCCTATTCGCCGCTGGTTCACACACTACCGACCCTCGTTTACGACATTTAGGATGAACGTTTCTTCAAAGCAGTCGAAGGCTTCCACGTCTTCTGTTGAACCTTCAAAGGTATTTTTGGGCGCCGTCCGTCGGTCACCTCTCGCAGTTACGTTGTTCAAACGCGCTCTGGAAGGTTAAGTGCAGCGTATCGCTACTTACCGGCTTTATCCTCGGGATAATCCCAGTACGGGGAGTCATCGGCTTCCTGGCGTTCGCGGTGGCCCAGGGCATCGCTGGTCTGCTCTTCCTGGCGTTCCTGAAGCTCCCGGACTACGTCCTCGACCAGATGGAAGCTATGACGGATCACCTGATGATATCTTTCAGCTGTTTCACGGTAGGTTTAGGCAGCCGCTGCTTTTCATAATGTCACAGGTCACCTGGGTAATCACGTATAGCCTGTTCAATTTTTAAGGCCGAGAAGACCTGGCTGAGCCCTCGTCTCCTACTGGCGCCATCGCCGCGGACGCAATGTAATTCCCGCTGAACGAGTAGCTCACTGCGGAGACCGGTGTGTTCTCCCGGCTAATCGTCACAGATACGATCTGAAGTTTGATATGCAGTTATACCGTATTGAGCATTGCATTACATATTGAGAGCATGTCTGACTGCCACATGCTGCTTCGTCGATGTATTGTTGCGAAATGTTGCTCCATGCTGGGATCAGATATTGTCATCTATGGCATTCCCATTAACGTGGCAGCACGAAGCAACCCGTTCGTTGCGATAAAGCAGACGATGATAAATGATGATAGCCGGAAAAGATTCGGAGTAAAAAAGATCGGTCCCGGTAGGGATCGAACCTACGACCTTGTGGTTAACAGCCACACGCTCTAACCAGCTAAGCTACGGAACCCCGTTAAGCAACGCCGAAAACGTATCTATATTGTGTAAAAATAGCTTTCTTCAACAGACGAAAAGCGGTGAATCTTCTGCTGGAATTAGATGTGCTCGCCAGTCTCTCGGTATGATGTGTGTATGTGGCGTACGATTATGTGGTGTGTCCTTACTCCGTTGACCAGCCCGACGGTCTGCTACGTCTCGCCGCGGCGCTCTCGGCTTCCGCTTTTGAGTTGTGACTGTCTTCTTTGTTCTCTTCGACCGGTTTTTGTTTCTCAGACTCAGCCTCCTTTGACAGCGCGACGTAGTAGTCGGGGTCGTAGACGTCCTTGCTGTAGTTTGAGCAGTGCGGCTCGATGTCGAACACCTTCATGACCTTCTACGGAATTTTCGCTGGATTCGCTAAACTTCCCTCTAGCAAGTACGGGTTTTTAAACTCGACGGATTGCTCGATGTTGTTGTTGATGGTGCAGCCCTGCTGGTGAAGCTGTTTGAGGTGCTCTATGTTTTGCTGCGCGCACTTATCACTTTTACGGTTGGAGCTAACCTTCAGTGCCTGCGGCACTTCTACATCGGTCACCTCTGCCACATCGGTGTTATGTGTCTGGCTCATGTTTGATTATGTGTTATGTTATCTGATCACTTTGACCCGCGTCGCGGGTCTAGCCAACGCCTTCTTCTCGAGTTTCTTAATCTTCTCCGGCGTCACCTTGGTGTTTTCCTCCTTGGCTTCCTTAGCCTCCTCCTTCTGCCGTTTGATTTCCTCCTTGAAAAGCACTGCGATCATGTCCTGCCTGGCCTTTGACACGACCTCCCGTGTCTTGTCCATTACGGTGTAGTTCTTCGTGTAGTCGGCGATGTGTATTGCCGCCGCGAGTATCTTGGCCGCAAGCTGGTCGTCGTTGCCCACCCTCACGTTGAGAGAGATCTTCCGCCACTGGCGGTAGCCTTCCGGCTCGGGCACAGCGTCGGCCGCGTAGAACGAGATGAGGTACGGCATGAACTCCTGTAGGACTGCGATGACGTATGCGGCGTACTTCGCGAAGCACTTTTCGTTGCCGTTGATGTAGGCCCTGTGCGTTGGCGGGAGGTCGTTCGTCTCCAGCACGTACGTGGTGTTCGCCACCTCCTGGTTATTCTTGATGAAAGTCTTGTTCGTCATCTTATGCGTGATCGCGAAAACGATGCAATCCTGAATACTGTTTGCATGTGCAACCGGCAGCTTTGCTTACCATTTTGGGCAACGTCATTTCAATGGTCATGGTGTCTACCACTTGGAATAGGCTCCGTAGGATCCACCTGTGCCACATGCATTGCCGCTTGATAAGGTTGAATCGAATGAACATGCGGTCGCAGCTGGTACGTCCCGACGCGTATATTTGAAACTTGTGCCACTTCAGCGCTTCGTAGCAATGCGGCTCGTCGGCGATGTGCGCGAAGTTCTCCTGCAGCACGGGCTTCAGGGTCACAAGCGCCCTCTTGACTCGCTGTTTGTTGGTTTGGTACCCTATGAACGCGTATATCAGCATTGCAACGCAGAAGCACAGGAAGTAGAAGTAGTGCCTTCTGAAGCTTTTGGGCATCTGGGAGAGCAGCGGGCTCATAACCAGATCCATGTCGAACACATCCTGCTTGTTCGGCGGCTGCTTGACCTCATCTGCGCAGCGCATTACGGTCATGTGCTGTTGACTTACCTGTGGCTTCAAGTTCAGGGTCGACATCGAATTCGAAAGGCTCGAACTCGATCCGCGGCGCCGCATCTCTGGCGGGCTGATCATTCGCCACCGGTGTAGCCGCTGTACGTCTATGTGTCATTTTCCAACGGCCACCTACTGGGATTTGCGCTGACTTCCGACTCGTTCGTGGACTGCTGTTGGCACTCTACACTGTGGAGAAGTCCGATGGCGACGGCAGCAGCCGCGCACAAGACCTTCCGGTTAATACGTACCATATTTAGTGCGCCTATGCTATTTTATACTAAAGTCACTCTGCGTCTGCCACGCTTCAGCCTTCCCCCCGCGGTGCGTAAATGTACAGTTTCTGGCACCAGCTTCGCCCAAGGCGCACTAATGGCAATTATTTGAAGCGTATTAACGCAGTGTAGTGTGCTGCTTCGCTACAAGAGCCTTGGGCTTCGGTCGGATACCCGCACATACGGCTCGTGTGTAGCCTGTGTGGACATCGCGCGCGATGTCGTTGTGCTTTATGCCCAACCTTCGTGCCGCTCAGTTAATTGTGGGCTATACGTCCGTGATCTTCGCCACCGGAGACATTAGGACGGTGTATATGCGCGCCGGCGTGAAGGATCAGTGCCTACTGCGTCGAATCAGCATCTTGCATACAGCATGGCACAGTTTTCAACGGACGCATGGGATCAACGCGGCTATTTCCGCGCGAACGGTACCACAGCGCACATAGAATTACCACCTTCGAGCGAAGATTTCTGGCAATGGTGGCGTCTCTGCTATATTTGCATTGTCTGTCCATGCTGCATCTGCGCAAAGCGGCTCTGCGCTGCGGATCCGCGCGAGGTGTATTGCACATACAACATTTCTCAGATGGTGATTCTAAATAGCTTAACGTCTCGACGACATCGTAGCTACCCTGACTACTTGGCGGCCGCTAATCCTGCATCGCGCCCTCGTATGGTCGCCGCGGCCTAGGATCGCGGCTGCTCTCGGCCAAGATGTGGTCATGGCTCAGCCGATTTATTGGCAGGGAAGAATCCGAGCCGTATGAGGGCAGGGTGTACCTGGTGACCAACTACTCGGAGCACCGCGGCACCGTATATGAGCCCTTCTACGTGCCGTCGCAGGATTCTTTCATCGTCAAGCAGTGGCGTCGCCTGGTGGAGTTTTTCTCCAGATGCTTCCGCCGCAACAATGACGATTCGACCCTGTCTACTGAGGCTGCTGCCGATGAAGCCAACCGCCTGGCCTTCCTCCGCGGCTCGCGGAGGTCGAACTTCATCAGAACGACCAAATACTCGCTGCTGTCGTTCCTCCCACGCGTGCTGTTCTTCCAGATGACCCGTGTGGGCAACCTGATATTTTTGGGCGTTTCGTTTCTGCAACTGATCAAGGAGGTGTCGGACTCCAACGGGCTCCCCACCTACCTGATCCCCGTGGTGTTCGTCGTGGTCGTATGCATGGCGCGCGAGCTGGTGTCAGACCTGACGCGATGGCAGAACGACAAACAGGAGAACGGTCGAACCGTTCACGTCTTCCGTGACGGCAAGCTGCAGCAGATGAAGCAGCAGGACATTTGTGTCGGCGACATCGTGAAGGTCCATGCGTACGAGTACTTCCCGTCCGACCTTGTTCTGCTCAACTGCTGCGACGAGCATGGCGTCTGCAACATCGAGACCAAGAACGCCGACGGCGAGTCTAACGTGAAGTACAAGCACGTGATCCCCAAGTTGGCCGCGCTATTCCGCAACGATGAGGAGGCGGCACGAACGCAGATAAAAATCGTCTGCGAACCACCATCTGACAACCTGCACACGTTTTCGGGAATGGCCTATTACAGCAACGACGATGTGGAGGAGATTCAGGCTCGTCGTTTGAAGCGTTTGCACAGCATGCCCTCCGTCAGCGGCGAGGACTCCGCCGTCAGCCTCTCGGACATCAGCACCAAAATCCACAAAGTGCAGCTGCAGTTCGACCAGTTGCTGCTTAGGGGCACCTCCATGGTGAACACGCAGTGGGCGTATTGCGTCGCCGTGTACGTGGGACACCAGACCCGTTTGCTCAACGGCTCCACCGGCAGCTCCAAGCGCAAGAACTCCAAACTCGAGAGCATATACCAGCGCAACATGTCCACGGTGATGATGATCATGTTCGGCTGCGTGCTGATCTCGGCTCTGATTGGCGTATACTGGCTTATCACAACATCCTACCAGCACGACTATCTCCATCTGATCTCGGCCGGTGGGGCCTGGCGCTCGTTTTTGGTCGCCTGCGGCAGCATGATGCTACTGCTGGCCGCCATGATCCCCGTGGACCTGATCATTCTGTGGGAGATCGTCCGCATGGTTGAGTCGTGGCAGATTCGCTGGAACGCGGAGATGGTCTCCGACGGCAAGCGTGCGGAGTCGCGCAGCGACCAGCTGATTGAGGACCTGGCCCACATCACCCACATATACACGGACAAGACGGGCACGCTAACTCAGAACGCGATGACCCTGAAGGCCCTGGGCTTTGGAGCTGTGGGCAAGGTGTCGCCACCGTGGTGGGGAGAGCAATTCTGGGCTATGTACAGCAACCAGACCCCTGAAATGCGAAAGACGCTGCGCGAATTCGTCTTAGTTTGTAGCTTATGCCAGAGTGTGGTCATACATAAGGAGAACGGCGAGGAGATCAAGCGCCGCCCCGAGCGTGTGTTGAAGACGGTCGATGGCACGGCCCGCCTGGTCGCCATCGACAACGTACCCATCCAGTATGATGCGCCATCACCGGACGAGCTAGCGCTGGTAAACGGCATGGCAGAGCTCGGGTGCGTGTTCTCAAACCGCCGCACGGTGACCGAGATCGACATTTCCCTGGTGACACCGGAGGCCCAGCAGCTGATGCTGAGCAAGGAAGACTATGCGCTCTGGCTCGCCTCAAAGGAGGATGGCTACGTACCGACGCTGCGGTTCACAATTCTCGATGCCATTGCATTCGATTCGAACCGCAAGTGCATGAGCGTCGTGGTGGAGGATGGCGACGGCCGTATCCTCACGCTGTGCAAGGGCGCTGACAGCGCGTTGCTGTCGCTGCTGCGCGGCACTCAACGCATCAAAGTACCCAATTTGGAGGAGCAGTTGCACGACTTCGCAACGGTTGGCCTGCGAACTTTGGTGTTTGCCGTTCGCGAGCTGAGCGCATCGGAGTATCGGGTGTGGCACGATGCCTACTCCACGGCGCTACTTGCTGGAGAAGGCCGCGACGACGCGATTTCCAGCATAGTTGCCGACCTAGAGCGCGACATGAAACTGGTGGGCTGTTCCGGCATCGAGGACCTCCTGCAGGAGGAGGTAGGTGATGTGATCGGTGATCTGAAGGAGGCCGGGATACTGATTTGGGTTTTGACAGGGGACAAGCTGGAGACAGCACTGAGCATCGGACGCTCCACCAATATCTTGGACGAGGACACATGCAACGCCATTTTGAGCGACCCCGACCCGGCGGCGGTATCGACTGAAATTGCTATGCATATATTAAACTGCGTGGGGGCATCAAGGTCAGGCAGTGAGGCCGATCTGCCCATAATACAGAGCGGGTTTTGCGCTCCGTGTGATGACGATCTACCGGATATTCAGGAGCGCAAACGTCGGAGTTCGGCACCGGAGTTCGCAAAGTTTTGCGTGACCGTGACCGGCGAGGTCCTGCAGACTGTATATGCCAACGAGGACCTCAAGGCGCAGTTTTTCCGCTTAGCGCAGCTCGCCGGAGTCGTCATCGCGTGCCGCATGACCCACAAGCAGAAGTTCCTGCTGACTCGCGACAACTCCAAGCTAAACGCTTACGGCACGTCGCTTGCCATTGGGGACGGCGCGAACGACGTGGACATGATCCTCACAGCGGACGTCGGCGTCGGTATAGACGGCCGTGAGGGCCATCAGGCTTGCCGATCGGCTGACTTCACCATTGCGGAGTTTCGGTTTCTGCGCCAACTACTGTTTGTGCACGGCCGCGAGGCCCTTCGCAAGAACAAGTTCCTGCTCTACTACTGCATATTCCGAAACTTCAGTTTCAGCTTCGTGAACGTGATCTACAACTTCTACACCGGCTTTAGCGGCGTGAGCGTGTTCAACGCATGGAGCAAGCAGATTATCAATTTGTTCTTCACGTCCTTCCCCCTGATGTTCTACGTGATACTGGATCGGGAGGTGCCGCACACTCTGCTGACTCGCTACCCCATCCTCTACAACACGTGGAGCACGAAGCCCGTGAACCAGCTGGTGCGCTACCTGATCAAGAACCTGGGATCCAACTGGCTGTCCAAACGTTGGCGCCGCCGCCTGGAGGAGCGCCGAGGAGTGTACGACCCCGTTACGTTTTGGAGTTTCCTGCTCGCCGCCCTGTGGCTGTCGGTGTTCGAGACGCTGATCATTCTGAGCTTCACCAACACGAACGACGTCAACATCGGGAACGGCTCCGTGCTGAACTTCGGCTTCGGCCTGTTTTCGCAGGCGATGTACGTGCACCACGTGCTGGCCGTGAACGGGATCGTTTGCCTCGTCTCCAAGAGCTGGTTCTGCCTGAACCACTTCTCGGTCTGGGCGGAGACTGCGATACTGCTTATCTTCTGGATCATCGTGAGCTTGGTTCCCGCGTTTGCGTATGTGCCTGAGGCGCACGTGTTCATGGGCACATTCGAGACCCTGCATGCGTCGCTGGTGTACTACGGCGCCATCCTCATAAGTCTGGTGGTGACGCTGTTCCCGTTTTGGGGGTACCTCTTCTACACCTCCGTGTTCAACCCGTCGCTGGAGAACCGCATCGCCATCGAGCTGAAGCGCGGCACCTTCAACGGCATATCGTTGTCGCGGCGGAACTCGGTGGCGTACATCGCGAACGCGGTCGTGCCGCACGGCAGCATCCCCTCGGGCTTCGCGTTCGCCATCGACCAGCGTGATGCGCTGATGACCCTGATTCAGCGCACGATCCACAAGATCTTTAACAACTGAATTAATGATAAAATTTCCGTTAGGTCGCCTCCTTCGTGGCGAAGTCCCACTGCGTGTTGTCCAGTGGGCATACATGTCTCGTTTTGAGCCACTTGGAGATGCAGTGCAGGTGGAATGCGTGACTACATGCTCCCCAGGCGACGGTGCAGCGGTCGTCGTTGTTGCCGCCGTCCTCCAATCCAGCAGCCTGCACGCAGTTAGGGAGTTGCAGTTATAAGCGCGGCGTCCGCTGTATCGGTGCGCCGATGGCCTACCTGGCACTGTATGCAAAGGTCCATGATGTGATTTCTGCATATCGCGCAGTTGTCTACTGCGATGTTCCACGACCATAGCGCGACGGCCGACCACTTCTTTATGGTAAACCGCGGTTTCGCGGTTTGGGTTTCCATTGCGTATTGAATGTGTCGTTACACATTCGTCGCCCGCCGTGTCGCTCCGCTGCGGGCGCTCTCGCGCGCCTCAGTCCGCAATCACGTCAAGTTCCGAGATGAGTAATCGGTCGATGCATATCGCCGTTGGCGATACTGCTCCTTCCATGACGGTGGAGCAGTTTCTGATGCGTCGCGTGATGTCGACTCATCTGCTCAACCAGCGTCTGTTTTCGAACCCGGCGGCGAAGAAGACGCCTGCTGACATGCCGAACATAATCAGACCGCAACCGATGCCCTCGGACGCGCTGCGGCTTAGGTCGAAGGTGAAGGACCTGTGCTACAACTGCGACGGCTCCCGGCTTTACGTGGCGTCACGTGACACACTCACCGTGCTGGAAACCGAGGGACTCACGGCTCACTGCACGCACTATGCGAGGTGTACGCGTGTCCTGGTGCATCCGAAGGACCCGGAAATATTCGCTTTGCTGCTGATGGAGGGAGGCGAGATCCCTCGTGCCTGCGTGAAGATATTTTCGCTGCCGGAGAACCCCGGAGCCGAGCCCAAGCTAAAGTGCACCATCTGGAGCGGTTTCGATCAACCGTGGTACGCAGGAGCGTGGTCATTGGACGGCAACACAATCGCACTGATCGACCGTGGCGACCGCCTGCAGTGCGTGGACGTCTCCACGTTCGCCGACTGCGAGCTGCCGCCTTCTTCCGCGATCTCGCTGGCTACCGAGGTATACGGCGTTCTGTACACTTCCGACGCTTTGGTCTTGCAGAAGGTCGACGGGCGCATCGACATTCTGTCGTCTGACCTGACGGTGCGTGCGTCCGAGCAGGCGCACTCCCACATCGTGATGGCTAGTGCGTACAACAGCACTCTTGATCTGATGGCTACAGGAGGAAGCGACCACACGGTGCAAGTGTTTTCGTGCGCGGATGACTACACCTGCATTGGCACCTTCCCAGGCCTGGAAGGCAAGGTCAGCAGCCTGAGCTTCTCCCAAGACGGTGTGCTTCTAGCCTGGGGGACCAAGGACACGCTGTACGTCAGCGGCGACAACTCCAGCCTATCGGACACAGCACCTACTGGAGATGAATACTACCTGACGGTGGCGGGTACGGATCCTTGCGAGGTTTATGTTCAGGTTCGCATGCCAGTGGCGGTGACCCACGTCCAGTTTTCTCCCTGCGGTTACTTCATCGCGTATGCGTGCGACTTCGACACGATGCCCAAGCAAACTGGCTCCACTGGTGCAGTTGGAATCGTGCGTTTGTCGTAAGAAATGTTGCTTGTGGCGACCTTCCACAGCTCTCCCGGCGGGCGCCGTGCGCCTTCCCGCTGGGCCATATCAGGTCACTTGTTATTAATATTATCGCAAATATCGCTAACCGTTTAGTTGCGGCGTGCTAGTACGGTGTGTGCCGCGCCGATGTCGCCCTTTTGGCGCCTGGCGTTGCTTGCGCTGCACATCGCCAACTCCTCCCCGGCCGATGCCGCGACGTCGCGCCAGCAGACCGGTAGGCTGAAGCAGTAGCACATCTTATGCGTACCAGCGTTCTGGCCAAGCGGATGGCCGAGTCTAAGTCAGCCCGAGGCTACCCTGGAGTCGCTTCACCTGTGTGTAGCTTCCTGCCTTCCGCAATGACAGTTGTGTTAGGGGCCCTGATGACGTCTTGACGGTATCTCCCGAAGTGGATGCACGAGCAGAGTCGTCTGCACTGTCTAATGTCATCAGTTCCGCCCCGTAAGTGAATGTGTACGCCATTTTGTTTTACGACATCATGACAGTCGACCTCTCAGTGTCGTTGTGCTTTCGGACTCTCCCGGTGAGCTTGAGAAACTGCGTTCCGATGTGGTAAGTTGATCTATCGCATTCGCGACTGTACATGTACTTATTAGGAGAGCGTGTTGCGTCTAACGCGCGAAAGACAAGTGGATGCTCGGGATCTCGGCGTGACTCCACCGGGTAGGTCAATGTTCAATATGTGGGTAATACCAATGACCCAATTGGGTTAAACAGCGTGTAACAGTTGTACAAATATGTGTGTACGTTGCTGTTGCGGTGGTGTGTCTCTAAAAACATGTATGCGCGTTTGGCTTATTGTCCTGTAGAGATCTCTGTGAAGCCACCCAAGAGTTCACCTCAGCCGGACACCACCTCCAGGTATGTTTCACAGCGTCGAAGCTCTCAACGTATCTGCAGATTGCACATAATATCTGTACATTACCAGCGTTACACGAGCAACATCCCGACGCTGTTGATGTATCTGCTGGCTGTTCCACATGCATGCAAGTTGTGAGTTGGCAGTCCCCCTTGATGAGACCTTTGCAGCCTATATTCCGGGCGTGCGATGGCACGTAAGCACATCCCGCTGGTGAACACGTTCTCCGTCTACTTCATCGCGTTCAACCTGCTTGCGCCGCTTTTGGGCGAGGGATTGCTGCACTCGCTGTGCTGCATTATTGCCGCCAAGTTCGCTCACAGGTTTGTTTATGGCAATATACACAAATTTAACGCTGGTGATAGCGTGTCTATGCGACCATTGAGGATTCTGCGTTTGTTTCCGCGAGGTTGGTTACCTGCCTCAACCGATTTCAATGTTTAGACATACGGAAGGAACCCATCGGATGGGTATGGAAAACCCGTTTCATCTGGAAAAATACTTCGTTATAGGTGTTTGAGATACTGTGTGTCTGCGGCATATTCGCCAACGTCTCTTATCGCATCGCATTGGGGCTGTTGCAACTCCTGGTTGGCAGAGCCCACATACCAATTTGGTTTTCTGCGTGTCTACCGGTGCTATATGCCATCCACATTCTGCTAGTATCTTCGGTATGTGATATGTGATTCGAGCTTTAAAAGGTGCAGCTGATACTGGCGGCTCTGATCAAGATTGTGCCAACCTACTTCGCCCAGGAACTGGTGTTGGCATGTTCATCGCTCTACATCATCCTTTCGGGTAGCTAAATGCGTTCATATATGTCAATAGTTGCAGGATTGGCGTTCGTGAACGATCTACTAGTCTACGGTGGCCTGCTTGGAAGCGGTTTGGTCGGTGTCGACCCTAGTAAGTGCCGTTGTTACACATCCCACTGGTGTTCAGCTGTGTTCTTTACGGCTTCTCCGGTGCCTCACCTGAGCAGCGGGCTATACATGTCCGCGCTGTGCGCCGGTAGCGTGTACGTGGCAGCGTCTTTTGCCGGCTGGAGTGGCATTGCTCCCACACATTAGCGGTAGCCGGCGGCGCGCTGTGTGTGGCGTTCGGCGCAACCTCGTTAATTTTTGTTACCTGTAATAACAAAATGGCGTCTTTTCTGCGTATAACGGTGCCCCGTTGGGCCGAACGTGCGCTATCGAGGCGGGCGTTCCGCAGCGCAGATGACTGCTACAGCCTTCTATCGCCGGGCTCCTCCATCGAGACCCATGAGCTGTACGACGCCCTCAAGTTCCTCGCCAGCGGCGTATCTGAGCGCCGCAGCGCCCTGTCTGATGACCGTTTCGGCGAGATTCTTTGCCAGGTCGAGAGCCGGCTGCCCAGCCTGAACTCATCGTACATGGGCAACTTTGCGCTGCGTGTTGCAGCGATAGTGCAGACGTCAGGCAACTCGGCATCGGGCACTGGACCGGCCAATGCCGAGCGCGGCCGGTCGTTGCTATCTAAGATCGCTGCCACCATGGTTGAGAAAGGCGGTCAGCCACGTGAACTGGCGCAAGTAGCCTATGCTGCTGCCGCCACGGGAGCCGACTCGGATTCAATTTTCGAGTATTCCAAGCAGCAGATAACCGTGGAAATAGATTCTGCTACGCCTGATGCGCTGAATCTTGCCCTGCAGACAGCCTATAAGAGAGGTTCGCGTGACAAGATCTACTATGCGCTGCTGTGCGAGAAGTTGTGCGAGCTGACGGACAGGTTCACCGCCAACGACGTGATGCATACGTTGCGTGCGCTTGCTAAAACTGGGTATGTCTGCTGCAGCTAACGCCATTTCAGCACGCTTCAGTCTGTTGAAGGGATTTTTGCTTCGGCGCCTGTCGACCCTGATAATGGACAACCTCGACCAGTTTACCGCTGCGCAGCTGGCGGAGGCCTCATACCGGTTGAGCCAGCTAAAGTTCCTGACTCCCGCCAACTTCTCTCGGATATATTCCGCGATTGAGCCAGACCTTGGTTCCCTGGCCGACCACCTCCGCCTGCAGTTGCTCGCTGCTGGCTGCCTTTCTGAGCGCGAGGACCGCAGCGCCCTTGAGAAGCTCCTGGATTCATTGGAATACAAAAGCAACTGGGATCTATCAGGTTGCGTCGACTTCGTGTACTCTAGCGCCTATCTACGCCGTTACGGCGAGCAACTGCCTAAAGTGCTTGCCGCGGTGTCGGAGCGCCAGCCTTCGCTGACCAGGTGGGTCAACCTATCACATACGCTAAATGCGAATTCAGGAAATATGCAATGTTGTTGAAGGAAGCGGTTGATTCGTTCGAGGTGGAAAAGGTGCCGATCACTTTCGATTTGGGGCCTCGGTGGCGTGATGTGCTCGCCACTTTCGGTACGTTGCCAGTAATTCGTGCTAATCTGCGCCGCAGAAAAGACCGAAAGCGAGTTGACCCAGGGCACTCCTGCGTTCCAGGAGGTGCGCAAGATCCTACAGGGCGCCTCCAGCAACTTCGCAGAAAATCAGACGGTGGGCCCATTCACTGTCCCGTTTTTGGATTCCGAGCGCAAATTCGCCATTTTGATCGAGTTCGCCAGCAACATGAGCAACCTTCATATCAAGATGAGGTTAGTTTCGGCGCCACAGATTTTATGGCTTCCTATACATGCCCATTGGTGTCACTGTTGCTCAGGTGTCTGGAGGCGTTGGGCCACCGTGTTGGCGTGGTGAGGTATTGGGAGTGGCGCCGGCTTAAGACCGAAGTTTGTTTTGCACACATCGGTTTAATCATGTGACTACAGTCATCACAAGCGGACTACATTTCGAAGCTCCTACATAGGCTGTCGCGATGAGCGCCCCGGCCGCCGCGCTCTCCAAGGCCAGGGTAAGCGACGATACTACGTATAATCTGACACACATTCAGCGCCAAGAGCTCGAGTACGCATTTCGGCTGTTTGACACTCGCCGCAAGGGCAGTCTGACTTTTCTGGAGCTGAAATCGCTGCTCACCTCCATCGGAATATCGTTGACCCGTAACGAGCTGTCGTACCTCCAGATGGGTGTGTTTACAGCATCGATGTGCGCTAATCGGTGATGTGTAGAGGAGGACATTCGCGGCGGCTTCATTCTGGAGGACCTGTATGCGCTGGCGACGTCAGTCTACACCGACGGTGTCATCCGCCAGCGGCTCGCGCAATCGCTAGAAGCTCACTTCCCCAAGCAGGAAAGAGTCAGCCGCAAGGACCTCGAGCCGTTGCTATACAAGCTGGGTTAGTAGTTCGTCCACCGATGTGGATTCTCATGTTTTTCAGGGCGTCGTCTCCTGGTTGACCCTGCCGAGATAGAGACCTGCTTGAACGTTTACTGCTCCGGAGGCAACGGCGACCAGATCTCAATATCAAATTTCATCGACATGTAGGTTTTTACCGCCTTCTGTGGTGATGTGTACGTAGGGTACTCTCGGAGTAACTCGTGGCCGCCGACGTCGTTCATATAAGTGTCGAAATCTGGCATGGTTTGTTGGAGGGGCTCGCCGCTCCGTATCGGACACGTACTATCGCTTGTGTTAATTTTGTGGTCGTATGGAGGTAGCTTAGTGCTGTCTATGACTGCTTCTAACGCTTGCTTACGTCGTAGCGCGTCCTTCCTTGCGGTTAGCTCCGACTTTTCACTCTAACAGTCTCTTAGAATAGTGCCGCGTTGCCATCAAGGTTGAATAGCGTGTCCCGCACGGCCGCTTTCTCCGCACATCGGAGCGGCCCTGCCGCAACGTCGCCCAAAGGCGCTCATTCCACCCTGGTCGTATGCAACTGGAAATGCTACTCATCAGCGTCTACGGCGTCGGATCACATCCGGCGCTTCGCCAACCTGCGCATCCCTTCTAATGTCGAGGTATGTGTATGTGCCTGTATCGGTGGAGTAACTGGGTGTAGCTGTTGACTGCGCCATGCTCGGTGTTTCTGCGCGAGATGGTAGCGGAGTACAAATCTGCGGGATCTTCGTGTGTCGTCTGCAGCCAGGACGTCAGTGCAGCATCGGCAGCAGTCGGTCCGTTCACCGGTGAAGTGACGGCTGGCCTTCTGAAGGTAGGTGGCTTCTGCTCACGACGACATAACACATGAACAACAGGACATGGGCATTGAATGGACCATCATCGGACACTCTGAACGTCGTGGAGGCGGTCCATTAGGCATCGTAGGTCATATGTGTAACGATCCGAACGACTGTCGCAGGACGAGCGAAGGGAGCTCATTAATCGCAAGCTGAAGGCCGCATTAGCCGCCGACTTGAAGGTGATCGTATGCGTCGGTAAGCATAGCAATGTAATAGACAACATTAATGACACACAGGGGAGGCTGGAAGCCGTGATACCAACTACGTTATCCAGCAACTTGAGGTTTGTCACACAGAACTCGTGTTGAGTATTCTACAGGACATATGTGCGGGTGTAACGGATTCTGACGACAGATTGGTGATTGCGTACGAGCCTGGCGGATGCGTGGGCACCGATCGGCCTGCCGCGCCAGAAGAAGTCAATGAAACAATCACGAGCATCAAAAGCGCGGCAAGGTGTAACCTAAGGCGCTCTCGCTTCATTTACGGAGGCTCTGTCGACCACTCCAACGCCAGCCAATATACCCGTCAGCCTAACATCGACGGAATAATGGTGGGACGGCTGTGGCAACATCCAGACTTTGAACCATTGCTGGAAACCATTTAGACAACTTTAAAACTATGCAGTTTCACAATTCTCGTTAAAAATAGTATAGACAGCATCATTTTCGGGCGGAATTTCACACCCGAGCTGGGAGCTGCGTGTGTGCACATATACACGCCTATGCAGCTACCAAAGACAGCTCTCTAAGCGTAAATTGCCGCCCACACCGCCTGTGGCGACGCGGCGCGTGGATATTCTTGGCTGTGGGGGATGCTGCGCTTCTGCACATCCCCAGTTGCGCCCGCGTCGGGCGGAACACCTGTGTGCGGTCAGTCACACTTTTCCACAAGTTTCTGTGTCTCGTATTTTTGACTCATCCAAGAACTTGTTGAAAATGTCTGGTCGCGGCAAGGGTGGTAAAGGTTTGGGAAAGGGTGGCGCCAAGCGTCATCGCAAGGTCTTGCGTGATAACATCCAGGGTATCACCAAGCCTGCCATCCGTCGTCTTGCTCGTAGGGGAGGTGTCAAGCGTATCTCCGGTCTGATCTATGAAGAGGTCCGTGGTGTACTCAAGGTCTTCCTTGAGAACGTCATCAGGGACTCCGTCACCTACACCGAGCACGCCCGCAGGAAGACTGTGACTGCTATGGACATCGTTTACTCCCTCAAGAGGCAGGGCCGTACCCTTTACGGTTTCGGTGGTTAGACTCAATGATTACCGTTTGAAGTAAACTCGAAGATCTCTCAATTCATCAACTCGCTCAAATTAGGTTTCACTTGAAACCAAACTGCCTTTTAATCTCTGATAACCATTAAATTCACTTTATTTTGCATATCGTTATTTGGTTTGGTAGAATAGCTGCGTTTCCAGTTGAGGTGGTTTTTCTCCTTGGAGTGTCTTCTGTCGTCCGGTGACAGCTGTGTTGTACCGTCGCATCCCAGCCCACGCTACTGTGAACGCTACACCTTCACTGCATTTAAATGCCGCCAATTCTATTCCGTCGTATTAATATATGCAAAATAATTTAAAAAAACAAAAAACAACTGCGTTTCATTTATGGTAGGTTTATTTGCTACAGTGGTTTTGCACTGCAGCATTGTTTAGCTGCATTATTGTTGGTCCTGTCAGCACAGAATAACGGCTGCTGAAGGGCTCATTATCTGGTCCTGGCGCGGAGAGTCCCGGCACTGCCGTTGCGGCGATTGCCTCATCATGCAGGCGCGCTTCTTGCACCGGGGTGAGTCGACGGCCGTATGACACTCAAGCAGCGGCATCTTTCGTGCACCTTCACCCTTGTTGCTGGACGATCCAGAGTCCTGGCTGCCGTTTTTAGGGGAGCTCCTGCCGAATAGCGTGCGAATGCTGCCGCCTGACCCGTTGTCAGATGGTCCATTACGCCTGTCCTGCGAGTTACCCATGGAGTAGTTCTTGATCTTTAGCCTTCTGTCGAAGATGCTGGTAAGACCCGCGAGCCAGGGGTGTGCAAGGGCATCAGTGGCGTTTGCGATGCGCTTGTTTCGGTCGAAGCTCAGCAGCCTGCGGCACAGGTCTCTGGCAAGGGGAAACTCGATGAGCGGTGGCATGTTGAAGTCAATACCATTTGTTTCCGCTGCCGTGAGCATGGCGTGGCTCGATTTGGCATCGTACATCTTCTCCATCGACACCGGAGGAACTCCCGTCATAAGTATATATAGTACAATACCGATGGACCACATGTCCGAGGCGGTGGAGTATTCCTCTCCCCTCAAGATCTCAGGCGCGAGGTAACCGTAGGTACCTACCAGTCTCCTCTTGCCATTGACAATCTCGATGCTTTCTGCGTTCGCGTTGTCCATCATTTTGCACGTGTCGAAGTCGATGAGAACCAGTTCGTACCTCTCCGGCACAGGGAGTGCGGAGTTGGTCGGGTTACGGAACATGATGTTCTCAGGCTTGATGTCACGGTGCAACATGTTCCTCGAATGCAGTAGTTCAACTGCCGAGATGATTTGCTTCATTATGTATTTGCATATATCTTCCGGAATGACCTTCTCCTTAAGGAGGAACTCGAAGAGCTCACCTCCCACCAGCTTCTCGGTGACGACGTAGAACGAAGTTTCTGACTCCCAGACTTGTTCAACGCGCATAATGTTGGCGCAGGGCTCGAAGTTGAGCAACTTCTCGCACAGCATACGCCAGTTTCCGAGTCCTTCCGGTCCGGGGGGTAGCCTCGACTTGGATATTATTTTTAGCACCTTCGGTTCGCCGGTTCTCCTGTCAATAATGTCCCTGAGCACGGGCCGCGACGTGCTCTTTTTGTTGCAATCAGCGCAAACTCGAAGCTCCGAACCTATGTAGTAGTAGGCTGACAGCTTGCTTCCTGCAGATAACCTGCGGATCTTCTTCATACCCGGAGGGTACATGTCGCCCCCAGGGCAAGTATCGTAAAAGTAGGACTCGCTGTCTAACGTGGATGAACGGCTGGACGCATCGGGTCTTTGGGCTGGGAAGCAGGGGTCCTTGAGCTGCGCTTTGCAGCCCGCGGCCGCCGTGTTTTGCTGCATTTCCAAAAACTATTACCTGTAAAATCATTAGAACAAAGCAACAAAAACAACACATACGACGTAAATAGATGCTGCCAACACCGCCATTGCGACAGCATCAATAGGGACGCCTCCTGATTAAGGCATCTATAGCATCAGGAAGAGTCGCATACCCCCGACATCGGCGGAAGCCTGACACACAGGCGGGCTAAAACGCCACCGACCGGGCACTAGCACATCAACCAAGGCATTACAGATGCGTGTAATTGTAAGCGCGCTTTCATATGCCTTGTGTTCAGTATGTGCATAAGCCAACTGCAGCCATGGCAGTCCAGCCGGGGGGCATAGAGCGACACATGGTTTCATGAATGAACACCTACCTCTTCAGGTGTAAACTGCCTTGATTATAAGCTGCATAAAGCAAACCATGCGATTATCTCCTATCGCGAGTCCGAGCGTCTTGGCAGCCTTCGCTGCGCTCGTCCTACGGGAGCAAGTGCAGTTACGCACTAGGTAAAGATGGTCCCTAACGGGCAGCAAAATGTCTGCCCTTTCTGCAGTTTTTGCAGAATCCCCGGAAGTGTGCGAGCCTTCAGAGTCTTGTGACCGAAGCCTCCCCTAGCATGTGCCCTCAGCAGTGCTTCGCGCGATGTTGCATCTAGGTGCAGAGCTCCCTGGTTTATTCCGCCGGTTTATTGCTTGATCAGAGGCCTTTTAAGGTTAATTTAAAATATTTTGATGAACATTATCCGGGCCTAAAATTAAAATATTCGTATCCAAATCACGCCGCGAGTTGGTCGATGATGGAATACGACTCCCGGTTTGCATCCAAGACTATTTACCACAAACTAGCTCCACTCGACCTTTTCAAACGGCCAATTTCGCCGAATAGGCCAGTCGAGGGGATTTTTGGGGAGTGGAGACGTACATGCCTCATGCGCCATCCTCCGAGAGATAGGACGCTCGAGCTGGGGCTGTGTTAATGGTCGTTATGTTCCCGCTTTAACGGCATATTAATAGAACGAGCGTTATGAGAAATTTTTAGTGGTCATTTTTGGTTGAACTGGCAGACCATGTGGTCTATGCCGATATGACCTAAGTAGTAGTGAAAATTGATGGCCAAATTATCACGGCAGCGGTATAATTTTCGAGGAATATTGTCGTTTCCGCTATCCACTTCATTTTCCCAAGGGATCTCTGTGAGAAACACGCATGGTTGCCCCGATGTGTTGTGCCCCCAGTGAATGGTGCCTGGTGTGTTATTGCCATTGATGAGCGGAATGTATTATTGGGTGTAGCGTTATGCAATTCATATTGTTTGTTTTTGGAAGCCGAAATGCTTCCTGCGATAGTATCCGTCGTTCCTTTTCTTCGGTAATCTGATTTTCTTCGTTCAATTATCTTTGGGCTGTATCTTCCATTCGGCCCATAGCATCACCTCTCCACGCCGCCTTAAGCACTCTCTTGAAGTCATCATATGTCACATAGTTTTTGCTGCCCGATGCTTCGGAGATCATCAGCCTGAGATCTTCGTCATCGATGGAGCTGCCTACAGTCTGTCAAATCCCTTGTTCATAATGCCTTACCTAGGTCTGCCACTACCGTCCTTAGGCTATCCATTGTTATTTTACCTGTCACATGTTGCGTTACGCAACTTGTTAACGTACCAGAGCCATCCTCCAGCAGCGCAAATATCTTAGCTGCTTCACCAGCGGTGTACCGCTTGTGAATGACCTGTAGAACCAATGTCTTGAAATCTGCAAGTGTTATGACATCGGTTTGGCCCTTCTTTATCTCAGCGAACATGGTTGTGACCTGATTCGATATGGAATCCACATCTGTGTGTGTGATCACATACCGCGTCACGACTCGCATTAAGCCTAAGAGCTCTGAACGCCGCTTGACACTCGAAGAAGTCAATTTCTCCATTACCGTCCCTGTCAAAAAGCGCGAAAGCGTCTTCCACTTCCTTCTCCAGCTCCGGATTTAGCACATTGCGATGTATATTTGCGATATCGGCAGGTGTGTCCTCCATGTCGGAGGTGAAAGAATCTGCACTGTTCATTTCACAAAACTAATGACATACAATTACAAGTGCAATACAAGCCTGGTTGTGCGCTCCCCAATGTGCTGATATAGTACGACGCGACAGAAGGTGTTGACAGCTAAGTATGAAACGTAATCCGACGTCTGTAAAACCATTATACGGTCAACAACCGCGAATGATCTGTGAATTGAAGAGAACCGTGCAGTACTCTTAGCGTTTCAAACGTGGCATACATGGATGACCGTGTTACGCTTGGTCTGTTATGAAATGTTATTATAACATTTCGGGTGAATAAGTCACATACAGTGCTACAATGACTGCGATGCATCAATTTACTTTTAATCAGCGAAGCTAAGCATCGGAAATGGTTTATAAGCAACCTTCTCAACTAACGAAAGATGGATGACCTCGGCACCGGGACGTCAACCAATAACCGGAATTTTAAGATACAAATACAAAAACACTATTAACAATGAACGTTCTTCAAGGCATATGGCTCGAACGAATACCTCGGGCGTTCGATAAACCACAACCGGGCGTGGTCGCCGTCTAGCGGCCACGGAGGTCGAAATTCCATTCTCCACAAGCGTGATAGCACGTTAAAGCCCCTTCAAAAACTTATTACTAATACTATATCTGTTTGTGGGCGGTTTACTTGGCTTCGCGCAACGTGCCTCCCTGTGTGGCCCAACACGTCCCCATGACGGGGTGGTTCCGGCTCTCCGGGTTTGCGCCGCGTTCAATCCACATCGTATTCCTCAGCTTAGTTATCGCCTATTAGGAACTGGCGTCTGTCCGACAAATGTCCTTTGATTAACCCAGCCGATAGTTCAAGATGGTAAGCGCGTCCCCCAGCTGCTCGCGTTTTCGTTCTTCCGTGTATAGTTGGCCGCCGCGCGGTTACGTGCTACTTTCTCGGTATTATTGCTGTGCGTGGTCTCGTGGTGTGTTTATGTGTCGTGCGTTTTTGCAGGCTTCTCATCTGTCGCGTAGGGTCGCGGTATAAAGAAGCATATGAAGCGCATCAACGCGCCTTCTCACTGGCTTTTGGACAAGTTGAGTGGTCGCTACGCTCCGAAGCCATCCCCAGGACCTCACAAGTCCACGGAGTGCCTTCCCTTGATGCTGCTTTTGAGGAACCGTCTCAAATACGCCCTGACGTACGACGAGGTCAAGCTGATCGTGATGCAGAAGATTGTCCGCGTCGACGGCAAGGTGCGCACCGACGTCACATATCCCATCGGTTTCATGGACGTGGTTTCGCTTGACCGCACGAACGAGCACTTCCGTCTGTTGTACGACACCAAGGGTCGTTTCGTCCCGCACAAGATCACCGCTGAGGAGGCGACTTACAAGCTCTGCAGGGTGAAGAAGACCTTCCTCGGCCCCAAGGAGGTCGGCGTGGCCATTACCCACGACGGTCGCACCATCCGTTGCATCCACCCCGATGTCAAGCCCGGCGACTCCCTGCGCATTGACCTCGAGACCGGCTCGGTCATCGAGTTCTTCAAGTTCGAGGTCGGCAACCTCGTCATGGTCACCGGAGGACACAACCAGGGCCGTGTGGGCACCATCGTCCACAAGGAGAAGCACCCCGGTAGCTTCGACCTGATCCACGTGCGCGACGAGGTGGGCAACACTTTCTCCACTCGCAGCACCAACGTCTTCGTGATTGGCGTCGGCACCAACAACTACGTGTCGCTCCCGAAGGACCGTGGTATCAAGAAGTCGATCATCGAGGACCGTGCGCAGAGGCTGGCGCGCGCCCACTAATCGAATTTTCTTAAGCTCTAAACTGCAGCTTCGGCTCTGTGTTACGTGGTGGTGCCGTTCATCACGGCCTTTTTTAGAGGCTTGTGTATGATTCGGTACATTGTTTGTATGTCGTGTGCTTTGTGACTGTTTATTTCGCGTTTAGGCGTTGCTAGTTCTGATGGTTTGGTGTGGTCATGGTGTCCAGCACCACCGGGATGTGCTATCGGTTAACGTGGCAACCGGGCAGCGGCGAAAGCCTACTTATAAAATTATCTACAAGATAGATGTTGATTTCTTTACGAGTCTGTTAGTTGCTCGCAACACGCATTAGAGCTCAGATGAGGGGTAGTCGCCATCCTGGCCCTTGCGCTCACGGGCGTCGTCGGAGAGGTCAAGGTCGTAGTCGCCTGGGAACCTCAGGAGCTCGCCGTGGTCGGTGACAGAGCTAGTGGACAGCTCCAACGCGTACTTCATCCACATGGCGTAATCGATTGGCTCGGTGCCGAGGATGGCGTAGACGTCCTCCAGGCTGGTTTCAACGTCCTCGGAGGCCTCCTCCTTGAATGCAAGGACAAGTTCCTGCGAGGACAGCAGGCCGTCAGCGTTCAGGTCGAAGGGCTTGAACTCGACCTCCAGGAACTCATCGTCCTTTTCGCTGTCAGGCTTGGACGAGGAGTACTCGTCCATCGAGATGAGGCCGTCGCCGTTCTTGTCGTGCGTCATCATGATGTCCTTGATCTCCAGCTCGAGCATGGCCTCGTCGTGTGCTGGGTTGAGCAGAATGTGCATCTCCGCCTTCGTGAGCTTGCCGTCGCCGTCCTTGTCTGCAATGTTGAACCTGCGGTTGAGTCCCTCCATGAAGTCGTCGGGAGTGCCAGCCTCGGGTGGGAACGTCAGGCTGAGCTCCTCGAAGTCAATGAAGCCGTCCTTGTTCTTGTCGACCATTTGCATTTCCTGCTCGAGCTGCATATTCTGCACCCTCTGGAGGTTCTTGCTGTTGAACTTCTCGAGCTCATTGTTGGAGATCATGCCGTCCTTGTTCTCGTCGATAATGTTGAACAGCTTGGCCATCTTGGTCTCCACTTGGTCACGCGAGAGCCCCGCGGGCTGGTCGTCGATGATGTGTTCGTTGCTGTCCTCGGCAAACAAGGCAGCCGCAGGCACTGCCAGGGCTAAGAGCACCGCAAACCCGCAAACACCCTTCATTTTCGATTACTCACGTGTCTTTCACAAATGGAATTAAAGTGGTGCCCATCCGAGCTACCCTCAGGCCCGCAGACCGGCGGCACGGGAACCCAACCTATAGGTGGCATCCCCGGCCGAGGTGCGTAACGCCAACGCAGCTTGCCGCGTTAAGTATTTAAAAACATTAGGTAGAGGGTGGTTGTGCCGTTTTTATCACCTCAGCGACGAGCTGCGCAAGGTGTGTGTGTGTGTGTGTGACACATACAGATGCTTGATCAAGACATGGTCTCTTCGAGCTCGCTATCTGGCTTGTTCGGAGGACCATTTAGCTTGTTACTGGCATTTAAGAGGCAGATGAAGACAATGGCTTGCCATCTCCGGCGAACTCCCTGATGTTGCCGTCGAACTCGTGGACGAAGTCGTAGCCTGCCTGCGAGAACATCGAGGAAGTCCAGAACCAGAGCACTGCGATCCAGCTCATGTCGTCGGTGGGCGCGGAGTTGCTGATGTCGTCAACGTACTTCCTCCTGATGATCTGGTAACCGGCACTTAGACGATACGTGAACGACGCGATAAGCTGCATGAGGAACGAGTTTATCGCGATGAACCTTATGGAGTTCTTTCCTCGTTCGCCTTGGTCGTCTTTGGAGCACGCGGCGACGCCGATGTAGCCCACGGTGTCAACGATGGTGGTGCAACCGGATATCAGGACACTGATTATGCCGACGTTCACCTGGTTGTTGTGCAGCCCCTGGAAGATCGCGCCCTGCGGGTAGTGCAGCGCGATGTAGATGAACGGCATACAGGCAAACGGGGGAATGAGGAAGAGCCATGTCATGTGCCAGCTCCTCGGCGCCTTCGGCCACGGCATTCCCATCGATTCGATGTTCAACTTCATGAAGTGGATGACGAACGTCACGATGAAGGTGAAGAACATGCGCGTGAGGTTGATCGGGTGAGATAGTTTCCTGTCCATCATCGTGTACGGCAATAGTCCGGGTATGAAAAAGTTTTTCAGAGGCCAACCACACACGCACATGAAGAATGGCGAGATAACCCTCCTGATGACCTGACGCATCGGCATTTCACGCTTTACAACCAGCTCCTTTGACAGGTTGCAGCAGCCGTTTTGGCACAGCTCCTCCATCTTGGGTTTCGCCGGCCTCATGCCCACAAGACGCATAAGGAAGGCCTTGAAGGCTGAAGGCACCTGTTCACTCGTATCCTCCTTCTTTTCCTCTTTGTTTTCCTCTGTTTTAGAGTCAACTGATTGCGATCCAGAGCGCTCCGCAGGTGTTGCCTGCTCCGTGTCCTTTTTCTCCGACTTCATTGTTGCCTCCGTCTTCAATGTTTCCGTAGTCTTCATGACTTTCAACGGTTTCGGTGTTTCAGCTGGCTTTACTTCAGCCGGCTTTGATTCTGCTGTTGGCGTTACCGCTGGACATTGCCCCATTCCTTCCGCAGCTTTCGCCTTTTCAGACGCATCTGCTGCTCCCTCAGCCTTATCTACGACTACCGATTTACCTTCTCCTTCAGCCTTTTCCGCTTCTTCCTTTGCGGACGACTCACCAGGTGGCGCATCCTTGAATTTGAGGTGCACAATCCAACCAAACGTTGCCACAACGGTTACGACCATCATAAGAATTAGGTGACTCGTAACCATCCACGTGGCCTGATCGGCGATCACAAAGTCCATGAACACCTGGATTGCCCATAATATAACCTTCGACGTTTTGAAGGAAAGGGAAATGGTGCTCATGTCGTCCGCTCCAAGAGGGTAGAACGTGCTTTCGAACATACCCCTGATGAACGCGTGCACGATGAACATGATGTAGAATCCCACCGCAGCGTTGGAGACGTAGAAGGATATGAAAAGTGCGATTCTCACAAGGCCCATCAACACCATGCATACGCAGCTAATGGTGGAGATGTGGTTCGTGAACAGCATTTGAACTCCAACGGAGAGTAGCGATCCCACGAAGTTGACGAGCGTTTTAGTAGCGTAAAGCTTCGTGGTGTACACGCCAGTGTTCGCTGCCGGAACGTTCAGGGCTACGGTGAGATGCTTCGACGCAACCGTAGTGACCTGGTCCGGCAGGTACATGCACATCGCCACGAATCCGATAGCAGTGTATCGGAGCCATGATGACCTGTACCATTCTCCCCAACCCCGCTTCTTGGCCATCTCATTCTCGATGACGACAATGGCGGCTCCTTCTTGCGATTTAGTCATCAGAACGACAGTTTATCTGCAAACGTTTCGGTCACTTGCCGTTTTAGCCCACTCCCATTCGAAAATGGGCAGATGGGTGACGGACGTTCAAACACGTCCGTAGAAGAGTCAGCTGCCGTCCCCTGAGACTAGCCAACGGTCACATTTGTGCGATAAATAATTTACGATGTGCAGTTGGAGGACTAGGGACTGACATTCCGCATTAGAGGGCTGCAACCAAAAATTGATGTCGTGCCGCGTGGTCCACCTATGGAGACACATCGGCCTTCCGCCACATCAATGAAATTATATGCTGTGAATAATAAAAATTTTAGGGTTTTGGAGCAATTCTCTGTGTCAGAATAGTGAAAATTTGAGCGTCAAAATTTTAACGGTTACACATCCCTGTATGGCGATAATACGTGATCCGTTGTTTAAGGTCCCTTTTTCACGTGCATACGCACAGGTGTGTTCGGTATAAATTTGCTTCTAATCGGTGTGACGACGTTTGACGTCCGTAGGCTTCGGTTTACGGCAGCGCCGGCCACTCCACTGTGGAATCCACCAAGGAAAGGCAACACCCTTACACTTATAATCGCAACATAGTGGTCACTGATAACTCGGCTTCTTTTAGTGGTAAATTCCAACCGCTGCAACACTACATGTTGATATGTATATTGCGTTTTTTCGTTATTAACCTTCGCAACGTATCGCGCCGTTACAGATGCCGTTGTAGCTATCGTCGTGTCCCATCAGTATGCCACAGTGGCATGTTGCGTGATTCGATCGCTTATTAGTCGCATAGTCCATGCGGTTGCCCGTTTTATGTCTCTGCTTCCAGCTCTTGATTTCATTTATCGCGACCTCTTGTGCAAGTTACAGTCGTTACGGGTCTCGTGCCGTCAACCAATCGCATCTGGGCGCTGCTCATCTCAGTACGGCTGCAACCACCTGCTTCGTCTCGTTCGGCGGATCGGATACATTACGCATTCAGCGTCACCAATATCGTGATTCGAGTTTGTGCTCCTTGGCCGAGTACGCAATGGATCGCAAGAGGGGTCTTGGTCCCAGCGCTTCGCGTCGCTGGGGACGTCGACTCGACCAGGAGAGGAAGCACAACTTCGGCAACGTGCCCGGTAACGAGGAAGTTGGCGGATGCAACCCGGAATACAAGTTTGCCGAGAGCTACCTCGATGAGGAAGACGGGGTGTTGCAATGGCCGCCACAGAACATGCAGATCCACACAAGTAACCTGATCAATTACCTGAAAGGGAAGGATGGTGGGTTTTGTGTTTTGTGGAGCCACAGAATTTCATGCAGGTGGACCATACGGTTCTTACAAGAACCTGCAAGGTCAATGGAGTGTGATGGACAACACAGTTACTGTTATATTCGACAGGTATAATGACATTTGTGTCTTGACAAGATGGTTGCAGGATTCAGAGTGACCCTTTTGCTCCCCCGTCTAACCTTCGCATCCGGGTGCCGAGTGCAGTGCATAGGTATGGCAGCCGTTGCATTTTGCCTTGACGTTCATCAGATTCCCGTCGGACGTGATATCCCCACGATTGCGCAATGTTGCCGCTTGTGATGCTATTGCTCGCCGCGTATGCTCGGAATTGCAGCGGCTTGACGCAGCTGAGACCGGCAGGACCCGCCGCACCGGCTTCGAGATGACCAAACCCCGGCAATATGTGCTGGCCCGTAAGAACGTTGTACTGACAGACGAATACCTGGAGGTGCGCATGTACGCTCACATGCCTGGCAACGGTCGGCGCGTCAACGGTTATCACGCGGTGCACATGTTTGCCGACGTGCTTCCGGCGCTCGTGCGTGGCGCATTGCAATACGGCGCCTATGATTCCAAGAGGTTCTACAACCACATCAAGAGCGTTGAAGACCAGGAATGTAGGTGTATTGTGTTGGGCAATGTGACATATTTTGCAGACCTTAGATCGCAACTGGCGGCCCTGGGCCTGGTTGCCTTCGTGGCAGATGGTTCGATTCTGCCGCGTGAGAGCGGTATCAGCGACAAGCCAATGGCTGGCGACTCAGTGTTGCCTTTCAAGTCGCCGGAAAGTTTGCAAGTCGCTGTTACCCTGCCTAACAAGGGTCGTGTGGTCGGCATGGGCCTGAAGCGTGGTGTCACACTGGTTGTGGGTGGCGGATACCACGGCAAGACCACACTATTAGAGGCGCTGCAGGTTGGTTTACCACGGTGTTGTAGCGTATAGCATGCTCGTTTAGGTTGGCTGTTACAACAAGGTGCCTGGTGACGGTCGGGAGTTCGTGGTCACCTCTCCGAATGCTGTGAAGGTGCGTGCTGAGGATGGCCGCAGCGTCAGCGGCGTTGACATTTCAACATTCATTGGCACCCTTCCAAACGGCAAGGACTGCCGATTATTCAGCACTCCCGACGCCTCGGGTTCCACTTCGCAGGCCGCCGGGATCATGGAATCTGTCGAGATGGGCGCCGACCTGCTGCTGCTGGATGAGGACATTTCCGCGGCCAACTTCATGTACCGCGACAACCTGATGGACGCCTTGGTCTGCAAGGGCAGTGAGCCGATCACCACCTTCCTGCTGCTGGTTCAGGCATTTTATAAAAAGCTGGGCATTTCGACGATCATGGTGTCGGGCTCCTGTGGTCTGTTCATGGACCAGGCTGACACCGTCATCCAGATGAACCAGTACACCTGCCAGGACCAAACTCAATCTGCACGCGAAGTAGCATCGCGCTTCAAAGTTGACTTGCGTGAGGTATTTTTCATTTTGTGCACCATCACCTGTCGTAGCCAATCGCCGCTGCCGTAGCCGGCAATGACATTTTCGAGACCTCTCAACTGAACGGTCGCGTTGTTTCGCCACGTAGGTTGTGTAGAACCAATGACAATATTACGCAGATACGTTCAAGCGTGAACAGCAAAAGGTGCGCCAACACGGCATGGGCAGCATACAGTACGGGACGGAGAATATTGACCTGGGCTTGTTGGAGCAGTTGGTGGAACCCGGGCAGACTAGCACTATTACCAACATTATCATCCACTTGGAGAACCTGTTCCGCGAAAACAGGAGCGCTGTGCATAATAAGTGAGTAGTATTCACTTCTGGCTTCACCAAATTGTGTCAGAACCCTCCGCGAGCTGCTCGAGCTCTTGTACTCCAAATGGAGCAAATCAAATACCGGTTGGTGGTTTCGTTAGTGATGTTAAGGTTTCATCAGTTGGGTACACCGGTCTCGACGAGGTGAACGGGTTCCGTCCATTCCCAGCAGTAAGTGGCTGTTTAAAGATAATTAGCGTTTTCAGGGTGACTGTTCGATGCCGCGCATCTTCGAAGTTGCTGCTGCACTGAACCGTATGCGCAGTCTGTCGATCTCTAGTTTCAAAAAAGACGAATATAAGCCTCAGGCTTACGGTGCTTTATCATGATTGCGAATACCCTGTGGTTCGACCAGATTACGAGTCGTTTCCCGTGAGCATGTGGTGCACCTTGACGAGCGTCTCGTCATCTCTGAGCATGAGACATTTGCAGTGGTTCATTTTCTGCCCAGAAGATGGATGTCGCAACTTGGATGCCTACCTGAACAAGTTTCTTGTTGAGCCTGTTGCAGAGTTCTGCCAACGCGGCAGCCGCAAGTTTGTCTGCAACTTTTTGTGGGCAATTTGTGGCATCACTCACCCTGTTTCGCCTTCATCCTGCTGTGCTTGGCTTGCAGCTGCGTGATCCGCTCGTCGAACTCCTGTGGCATAATTTTTCATTCTTAGATTTTTCATGTTGCTCTTTATTCAACAAAGTCATGAAACACAATTTGGCAATCATTGGGTGTGGATGAAATGCCGATCAATTGCATACATGTTTGCAACCAGTCACTGGCATGCAGTTTAGGTGATGACCGTTAAGTCATCCCCTCCGGCATTGTTGCGGTCTTACCTTTTGTTTCACTTTGTGGGTTTCAAGTAGCTCGATCAGTGATCTTTTGAGCTTTTCGAACTCTTTGACGTTCGCTTCAAGCTGCGGTTCTCTGTAGATTCTGCAATGGGCCTCTCACCATTTGCTTTTGCGTGACATGTTCCTTTTCCTCGTTCTCGACCAAGGTTTTGCGTTGTTGCAGCTGTTTGTCTCTACGCGATATGATTGTGTGCCTGTCATTGTTCACCTGTGAGTGGTTATGTCCTCCTTGATTTTCCTGCGGTGTTGTGAGTTTCGATGTGTAGGGCCTACTTGGTCATTCGGGTCAGAACCTGCTCGATCTGAGTGTCGCATTCGCGCTTGGCCTGCACCGCGGCCTCGCGGAGCTTGTCTACGATGTGCATAAGGTCAGACATTTTAACGACTAAAGATTGAAATGTGTGTTCTGGCAGCAGTTGTCTACGTTTCCCTCTGGGAAACTGGGAAAATCGCGCGGAAAATTAGCGCGTTTATATGCAGCCTCTCCATATCCAGTGTCCTCTGGAGTGGCAATGCGGGCACGGAAGGCTGCTTGAATTCATCATGTTGACTATGCGTTTGAAATTGTCGGAGAGGTTGACCTTGTGTTGCTTCATCATCCATCCAGAGGTTGGTGCGGAGAGCTGCTGCTGCAACCGCGTCCGCAGTGTCTCTTCTAAGTGCGAATTTGCATCGGCCTTATTGACGTTGGGTGCATCTGAAGCCGTTGGCGCCGCTGTAGACACCTTCGGCAAGCTCTTCTCGGCGATTAGATTTATTGCGATCTTGTGCGATATGTCCCTGTTGCAAGCCCTGCAGGTGTAGTAGAAGGCTCGTAGAGAAGCTGTCATTGGTGCTTCAGCGGTCCTGTCGACTCAGCTCAAACTTGGATACGATGTGTATGAACTCATAACCGTTCCTCGCCTATATTCCGTGTTCCCTTACAGTTGTGGACTCGCATTATGCACACATCTACATCATAAGTGTTCCTGTTTCGCACCGCTTTACACATCGACCTCTAAACGACATCTGAATGACGCCTTCACGCGACTTCCACTCGGTTGGGGCCGTGGACGTTGCCACACGAATCACTATGGCATTACTGTAGAAAATGAGTAATAAACAGTAGAGATGGTGCGGCATCTTGCCCGTTCGGTCTACGGCCGTCTGACCAGCACCAGCTTCGGGAGTCGACCACTGCTTGAGGGATTCCGAAAGGGCAGACCGCCAGCCGTTCGTCTGCGCACTTCTTGTGATAGCACGGGCAGTTCTATCACTGTAGACACGGCAGTATCGGCGGATACTTGCGCTCCGGATTCCCGTATCAAGCTACACCCCTTGCTGAAGCTTGCATTGCTGCGGTCAAAGGGCATATCGCAAATCAACGAAGTACAAGAGTCGGCCTTCCTGTCGATCCTAAGCGGGAAGGATGTTACTATACATGCGCCTGTTGGTGAGTTTATGTTTTTGCTTTCTTTACATTCACAATTAGGTGCTGGCAAGACCCTGGCGTACTTGCTACCCATTGTGAACAACATCTACAACATTCATGACCTTCTGGAGGACCTCCAGCTACGTTCGGGCGATGGTACATTTGGCGACAAGGAGGATGCTATCCGTTTGAAGGCATTAGGCTACAGCCGTCGCGTGTCGCATGCCTTGCTGCCGCGGTCAATGTCCGACCTGCGGCAGGACCCGTCGGAGTTGGATGCCTCCGCTGCAGCGGCACTACAGTCGGCAACCACCGCCAAGAAACTGGTAGATACGCTGTACAAAGTGGATCCGAGACTCTTGGGGCGGGCTGGCAGTGGGCTCCCTGTGATATCTCGTCGGCTCTGGGGACGGAAGTGCCGGAATTCGGTGTTCCGCGCGTTGCTCTCCAACCCTCTAGGATCCGTAAGATGTTGCATGATAGTAGTCCCGAACAAGGACCTGGTGTCCCAAGTGGTCAGCGAACTGGCCGCCATCGACCCCTTAGGCAGGTTGTCCGTGCAGACCCTCACCCATGTCCACTCCACGCCTCCCCGGGGGCCGGTAGTTACGGACGGGTCATCGCAAGCAGCTCCAGACGAACAGCCCTTCTACCCATCTCCTCATACTCTGCAATATCTGGGTGGCATTGATGGCAAGTTGCGTCTGAGCCTTGAGGACGAACGTGCGATGGTGCAGGCGGTGCCCACGGTACAGGTATCCGAAGGCACCGTGGAAACCGTACCTATCAACATGGGACGCGGAAAACGTAATGTAGTGAAGGTTCCCATGCGCGCCGCAGCAAGTAACGGTCTTGCCGTGTCTCAGCTCTCTCCTGCAATGTACTCGGTGGACGGCCTTGTGCCGCGCAGCATAGAGTTTGTGAGGCGCCCAGTGATGTCGCATCCAGTTGTCCAGTAAGTTGTTGAATTACTTATGCTCCGTGTATATCCTTTGTCAGGTATGGCAGCTGTGATGTCGTGGTGACCACACCACAGCTATTCCTCAACGACCTCTTGTCGTCGAAGCGTCTGGGAGTTGTACCGGCCTGCGTGGTGTTTGATGAAGTGGACGTGCTGTTCGAGAACAATGCGAGCCGCAGTGCGATGATGGAAATATGCAGCATTCTCCGTCCGCGCCCGCGGTTGTACAACCCGTTGGTACACCACCGCCGGCCTCGTGCACTGCAGCAGCCTCCATGCCAGTTTGTCCACGTGGCCTCTACACTGAACTATGGAGGCCTTCAGACTGCAGGATCGATGTTGTACGAGCGTTTCACCAGCAGCCGCGTGATTTCGACGTGCCTCAATCACCACTTGGCGTCGTGCGAAATGCGGTTCGTCGATGTGGACAGCGCATTCGAGTCGAAGCTGCGCTGCCTCATGGAGGTAATAGTGGCAAACCCATTTGCCAAGACTCTGGTGTATATCGATAGTCTGGATGGCGTGCGGAAGGTAAGCTCATTGCTCCGGGAGAAGGAGTGGCCGGTGCTCTCCTTCCACAGCCGATCAAGCCTGCCCACCAGGCTGGCGCTTCTGGAGACGTATCGTTCGGAAGAGGTTGCGATACTGGTTTGCACCGATTTGTTTGCGCGTGGACTGGATGTTAGCGCTGATCATGTGATCAACTTCAGCTTCCCCCGCGATGCCGCTACGTTCGTGCACCGCACGAAGGGAACGCCGACCCTGGTGACCAACTTCGTCGAGCCAGGAGACACCAACCTTGCTTCAGAGCTAAGAAGGTCTTACGAGTCCGGGAGATCCGTCAACCAGCTGCTGACAAGAAAACGTAGTTTTGGCAACCGGTACCGCCGAGCCATGCAGGCCAAAGACAGACCAGAGCAGGTTCACGCCAGCAGCTTCAGGTCAAGGCGAACGTCACATAACAATTCCAACAGTCGTAAGGCGTCTAATATGGGGAAATCAGTATCCCCAGACGAGGATAACTCAACGGCTGACCCTGGCCGAGACACCGCCAAATCTAAAGCTAACGACAGAACCCGCAACGAAAAAAAGGAACCGCAACGAAACTATTTATCATCAGAACTGCCAATTGACGCGTTGAACGGGACATGGGAGCAGAAATCGATGGATACGGGATCCACAGCCAATGTAGGCGACGCCACTGGATCAGAGAACGGTGCGAACGCATCGGTATCGGCAATTAGAAAGCATCGAAGGGATGGCGTGAAATACCGAAGGCTCAGCATGAAGCGACGAGGAATAGAGTTTTACGATAACTTTAGGGCCTTTTCTTAGGCCGCCCGTGTTTGTTGAGTTTCGGGGGCTTCGGGTTGCACCCGTGCACCTCGGGGAGTAGGTGCCTTATGCAGAACCTCTTCCGGCAGAACTTGCAGTCATGTCCCACGACACGAACTTGTTCAGAACATAAGCTTTGTCCATCTGGCTCCTTGAAGTTGCAGAACGCTATTGAGTTGAACTGCTCCTGGAGCAGGCGCTCCTCCTCGGAATCGCTCGCGCTTTGGCTCATTTCGTGTGTTGTTGTAGTGACGATGTTGTGACTTCGTGTTATACGCCTCCACTAGGTCATCTGGCGTAGCTCACTTCGGGACGGGGTTGAGCCACTGGCCACCCTGGCCGTAGGCGGCAGCCACGATTTGCGCAACTACAAAATTATATACACAATGTATTGCTTCCAACATACCTGTTCTCTGCTTGTGGGCCATGTACGACATGTACCAGACCTTGTACACGCCGTAGCAGATGAGACCCGCGCCGAGAGGGTTGGCCCACCACCAGTAGCGGTACTGCGAGACCCTGGCGACCTGGGCAATTTCGTCGTTGAGCTGGTGCGCCACTTTGGAGGCCACGTCGTTCAGCTGCTTGCCCTCGCTCTCCTTCCAGACGCGCTTCCAGACGAGCGGGTTTATGGCTCTCCCGGCTTTCGCGATGTAACGCTGCAAGTGCCAGCCCATGGCGCTAGTGTGTTATATAAAATTATCGTGAGTGACTTCACTCGCTGCTGAGCACAAGCGAGTTTGCTAGTGACCTGATGTTCGGGTCCTTGGAGAAGGTGCTGCATCACATGATATGTGTGGCATCCTCAGCCGTACCTGCGTTCCCGTCCGTCTGTGAAGTAGCGAAGCATCCCCGGCTTCAGTGGAATCCTGTCCCTGAGGCAGCGTTGGTGGCGGTTAGCGAGAGGTGTGTGCCGCGCCGCGGCGGTGGCGCCGGGCGATACACATGGACACGAAAACATACCTGAAAAGGTTGGAGAATCCAAATGCAGTTGGGCTGAGGTAGTGTAGCGATATGCGCAGTGGTATCTTGAGCAGCTTGATCCACTTGGCGATGAATCTGGTTACGAAGTTGGACGGTATGTACGATATGCCGTCCAATATCGAAAACTTGGCATAGAAGAGCCCCTTTGCGATCGCAAACTCGAGGACGTGATTCGCAACGTCTTTCAGGCTTTCTATCACGTCTCTGCGTTGCGCTTGCGCCTTGAGGTCATACAACTTGTAGCCCTTGAGAATGTTGAACCGGCATTCATCCACCAGTGCGCAGTAGCGTCTGTCGTATTTGCCAATTGCTTCCTGGAGGCTCCTGCGCGCATTATGCCTCTATGATTTGCGTATAACTCACAAATCCAGGTTTTCGTCCACGGATATGGTCTGCAGCTCCTCCTGGAACTCCTGCATCACAGTGTCCTGGATCTTGAGGGCCATGCCGTCCATCATAACCATGAGCTTGTGTTGCAGTGATTCGATGAGGTTACGGCGTACGGATTTGTATTGCGTTTCTGTCCGTCCAGATACCTGGCGGGCTCTCGAATCGAACTCGGCCATCAACGCCTTAATGAGCGTGTCGGCCTGCGCCTTCAGCTTCTCCGGCATCTCTGCCAGTGACACTGCACTTTCTCCCAACCATTTATTGATGCTGTGTGTTAGTGAGTGGCACTGTGTATTGCGACTGACCTCATTTCGACTTCATTTGCAATTTCCAGGAGTTGGCGCAGCGGCCTGCCGTCCTTGGTCAGGTCGACCTCTTTAAGCTTCCCCGCAACGTCATTCACTGAGGCATCCATATACTCTTGTACCTTGCGCAGTTTCTTGACTGTTTCTTCCTTTATGTTTGACTCGGACTCGAATTCCGTCGGGCAAGCTTGTTTTAGCGTGATTCTGTTGCCTATCCAGCCCGACGCGGCGTCCAGGTATTGCTCAACCTTGGTGTGCGGAGTGAAAGTCACAGATACATCCACCATATCATTTGCGCTCTTGAACATCTGTGCTAACGCACTGTGGATTTCCTTTTCGCGCCTTTCGTTGAATTCGTTCCTAGCGGCATCATCCCCTTTGCGCTCGTGGTAATTGTAAATGACGAAGTGCAGATTCAGTTTCACGTCGTCAATTTGCCTCAGCAACAGCAATACTATATCTAGCAGCTGAAACTGAAATACCCCACGGCCCATGCTTATTAAAGAGTCGTATTCCACTGGGATGAGAACACCATCTGCCCGTAGGGTCATGATGGCCAATTCCGCAATGTTGGTATGGTTCTTCCTCTTCTCGTAAATGGACTCGTTGGCCAGCTCACTGAGGCCTATTTTATACTTATTCTGTAGCAGCTGAATGATGTTGGCCTCCTTTGCTTCCGGCGCGCCTGCTACCGCGCTGTGGTCGGCCTTGACCACAGCACAGGGGTGATCACCTATGTTAAGCTTCGTCAAAGCGGCGTCATCCGGCCGTTCTGATTTTTCCGGTAGGACGAGGAATACGCTACTCACGGCCTTCGAATCCGGTTGCTTCGGTTGTGGCTTGGACATTATTGTACAAAGCGGCATAGCCATTTGCCCCAATCGAGGTGCGACACGTATGCCATTGCAGGCAACCGCTAGTGATGCGAAGGTCACGATAATGTGTTTGATCCACGACATCCTGCAGACCAACCTTATGAAGTTGTGCCACTATGCCTAGTCTTCGTCAAACACGTTATATATGGTGACGTGTAAATTGGATGCCCGTATTCAAAACAGCCTTCAGTCTTGCAGCTACCGCGATCACAGCTGTTTCGCAGCGTTACAATTGCGATGCATTTCAGAACATCTCGGTGTTCATTGTGGAGACCACGCGCTGCCTAGTTGCGGTACGCTGTTCCTTGGCCGAAGTGTACCGCTTCGTCTTTCGGTGATGCATGTGCGAGTAACTCGGCACAAGCTTCTTGTAACAATACGGCGAGTCGTCGAAATCTATCTTGAACGTTTTGATCAGGGTGTCGAATGCGGACCTGTTTGTCCGGTACAGGTACCCCAGCAGCCTACGTCTGCGGTGACCTAGTTTAATAACCTGGAGTCTGGCCTGTACGTCCTTGTGGTTGTTCTTGACGTGCCTGGCGAGGTAGTCAAGTTTCGCGGTTAGCGCTGCGATTTGTACTTGTGAGGAGCCACAATCACGGTCATGCATTTTAAAGGGCTCGCTCAGCTCCTTTTCGTACAGCTTCGAGAAGTACTTGCCTCGCACGCGTATGAGGTTGGGATGGAAGCTCCAGTCCCCCTCCGGCACGAAGTGCGCAGCGTACCCGAGCGGGTTTAGTGCGCCTGGTCTCTGGTCGCGTTCGACCTCTTTCTGAACCTGGCGCAGCGCCGGAATCTTCCTGAATATCGGCTCGTAGCGCCGTAGATCTTTTTCTACTATCGGATTCTTAGGTTGTCGCTTCTTCTCTGCACTGATATGTGTTATTGTGTTAGGACTGGGTAACATGGCACAACGCAATGTGAGCGTCGTCGGTGCTGCGTGTCGCAGAGCACGGCGACAACATCAAAGACATCGCCAGTGGCACCACTGATCACTCAAACCTACTCTTCTTTGGCAAGAATTCTTCGAATGACTCGGGTGCCTTGGATTCCTCGTCTAGATCGGCGTTCGCGTCGGTGTCGTCGGCCGTGGCGCGGAGCGTGAATATGCCGATGCCCCTGGTCTTCGTGATCAGGTTCAGGCGGTCAACGAAAGCACTTTTGCGCTTCCGGAGCTTAAGAATCCGGCTGCGTTCCCTACCGAACCGTATTTTGTAGCCTTCCACAGCAGCGACGACCCAGTAGACAAGCGCGACCTTAAGGCAGAGTGGAAACCATCGCATCGCTCGATGGTCCTGATGAACAGCTATATAATGTACTACATGACAGTTATGTGCTGCTGGATGCGGTTATTGTGAACAGTTGTAGTGCGTTTCGCGTCCTTCCATGCCGACGCGGTCGGTGGAACATGGTTGCCTGCTGTCCCTACACATCGGCGCTCACTTGCCACCGGTGTAGCTATTCAGGTGGCACAGTACCTGGTGTGCAATATCGCGATGCTTTCCCCTTATATAGCCGCGGCGGGGCTGCTGGCGTTCGCCCGGTGTATCCACTGCTCGGCCGACGTCGTCCAGGAGAAGCTGAGCGTTCAGCCGCTGCAAGATGGCTCCTTCCTGCTCGCGCTGGACGTTTCGGTTGCCACGCCGCGCTTCGTGCCGTTTCCCGAGCTCATGGCGTACCCGGGTGTGTTGATGGACGTGCTGGCGCCGGACTTTGCGAAGATATTCGTGAAAAGTCGCGTCAACAACTTCGAGTTCACGCACCATCTCGGCGACTGGCACTCGACTTGGGGGTGTTCCAAGTTCCCGGTCTTCAACACCGGCGAGACTCTCTGGGCAACATGGCCGCACACCTATTCCCCGGTGGAGGTCTACGACTACTTCGAGACCCTGGCAATGGGACTCTGGGGCATAACTGGAGCCCAGCTGCATGTGTTGACCTCGCGGCAGTCGTTCATTTTCGACATGAATCGCATTGTTACCCTGGAGGAGCCCACAAGGTCGACGCCCAAAGCCAAGAGCCTGCTTTCGTCTTTTGCTGATGACGTGTTTTGCGTGGACAACCTGTACAAGTGGCGCACTGCGTTGCCGTCGTTGGGGCAGGATGGGCTGCTGTCGCTGATTAACGACGAGCGCGTCTGGTCGCGGTCGCCTTACAAGGGGGTTAGGATGCGCATGTCAAAAACGAGGGAGCACCTGGCCCTGGCAGTGCAGTTCCAGCTGGTGGTCGGTCGCAAGTCGTTTAGTAAGGGGCTGTGGAATATTTATCGCGGTGCTACGGCCCCTCGTAAACTATTGGACGCCACCACTAGTGCAGTAGAGATTCTGCTGCCGGAGACGTTGCGCGAAGCTTTCGGAGGTGCAGACCGACTTGTGTATGATTGCCTTGACGATGAACAACGTTCTGAGATTGACGAGTCATTCGGCAAACTTCTATCGGCGACTCAGGGAGGTTACAAGCATTCTTGCACCCCGCCGTTGAGCCTCAAGGTCTACGAGCTGGAGAGCACTACGCTCAATGTACAGAGGCGAGTGCAGTCTTCGCTGTCGATAATCATCGAGAACAACAATCCCGATGCCAAGTACATCAAATTCATACAGCCGTTGCCTTACTGGCTGGTACCTCAGATATCCAGTCTCACATTCGAGGTATCGCAGCGGCATGAGTCAGGTGATCCTAGCATGCTGCAGTTCTCCTGCAAAGGTGGCGAATGTTTCAAGCGCACGGTTTCCCGTCAGCACAACATGGAAGGCTACGCGATGATGAAAAGTCAGACGGAGGCTATTCGCGACATAGTTCATGCCCGTAAGGTACAGGTGCCCGAACCGCCCAGCAGTTGGGGTGGGGTTGCTAGGGACTTTGCTAGACAGTACGACGCAGATCTCGACGGTGACATGAAGGAGCCGTTGTTTGTGTTCGAGCGCTCCGAATACTGGACGGAGTTCGGGTTTTCTGTACTTCTACCGGCTGAGTCGCGAATAGCGTGCCGCGTCGACCTGCAGAAGAACCAGATGCGCTTTTCGGAAATCGACTACTCGATGCACCGGGGACAGCTGATACACTCAGCCGTGGTGTTGGAGACTTCAAAGGCTGCAGTCGAGGACATATCGCAACCGGACGCGCAGCTGCACTACCCCGGAGCATTCTTCTCCCACGTGGTACTGCCGGACAACACGATGTCCTTCAACGTGATGGGCGGTGTTGGCGTCATCATTGGATTGCTGTTCAGCGTGGTGTTCCACCTGGGCACCAACAGGCCGCCTCAGGAGACTAAGGTGACACCCTCGAAGAAAAAGGATTAAAGCGGTGCTGGCTTTAACACCTCGAGGAGCAGCTGCGTTACGGCTCACCAGCAGCTAATGTAGTCAGGTTCGCTGATGTACTCGATGATGCCAGGTGGAGCGCGTTTCCTACTGGTTAGGTCAAACGCTTCGTTCCGAGCAACATTGCGGGATGACGATGATGTGCTACGTTATCGGTACGTGCAACGAGCGCATGCGATGATGCGGACATCTGCGTTCTGCAACACGCACAAGCAGCGATAGTGTACAAGCACACGGAAATACAGCGTGCGGCTATCGCAAACATCAGGCTGCAAAAATCAGGCTACCAACAGCAACAAAGAACTGTCATTCTAATACTATAACTCATTTATATTGTTATACGGCATTTTACATGTATTAATTAAAGCGGCACGGTTCGTTAAATCTTACAAAAAAATACACAGCAACTCCGTGGCGAGCGCCGTACCGCACTATAGAGCCCGCATAGGACTCTTTCACTTTCCAAATAGCGAAGCCACAACTGGTGTACAACGACCATGTGGGCACACCCCGCCCGGCAGGGCGATAACCGCGGCCCTCTGGGCAGAAATAGGCCATTCCGCAGCCTAGTAAATTAGGCATTAGAACATGCCTACAATTCAAGTTGTACAAATCTTCCACGCATAAATATCAACTATATCGGCTTCCAATGCTCTGCATGAGTAACCGATATTGCGCACATTGAGCGCACATGATAAGCAAGCGTGTATTCGTTGCCTAAGCAGAGCGTTACGCTTACTAAGCGCATTGCTCGGCTTCCGGCGGTACAACACCGTGGCATCTCCATTCATCTCGCATCGCTATAAAGCTACAGGGAGAGCGCACTAGACATCCAATATTCAGGCTCTTGAACAATGCAGCCTCCTCAGGTACCACATGACCAGGTAAGGGATCACTATGTAGTCCCCGAAAGCTGGCAAATCAGACGTCCAGACCTCCCTTCACTCCTCCTAACAGTTGTAGCATTCAGCCGCCTTTGACGTACTACGCCTTCTCTGCTGCAGGGGTTCCGACGCCTGGCGCTACTCCCACGTCTATAACCCCGGCTCCTACACCTACTGCTTATAAAATATCAGATGGATAGACATTACGCACTTACGTTTTTATCTTTGTTCGAGGCCGCGTAGAAGATGTAGCACAGGAAGCCGACGGCAAGACATAGGAACACACTGTTCATTATTTTGATGAACCTGCCGAAGCCAACGTCGGTGACGGTGAAGAACTTCATAAGGGTGTACTCCCTCGGGGCGTCTGCATCCGTCAGAACCCTGCCATCCTCGCCAATACGGCTGTAGTTGCCGAAGCAATCGACAATGTCCCTGTAGAGCTGGGAAAGAAAGTCACCCACCGCCTGGGCACCGTGCTCAACCGGGGGCTCCTCCGGCTCGCTCTCGTGGCTGGCGATCCAGTCAGGTTTCAGACGACATTTGAGGTTACATTCGTGCTTAGCTTTGGCATAACGCACGGAGCCGGCCAAAAGCGCCGCAACAACCACCAATGGGGCTATGGGCTGAAGCTCAATCATTGTCGGAGATAGTAGCGAAATACAATTATCGCGGACCTTCCACTACCCCTACCCTCCTGCCGACTTTATGCCTAGCCTAAAATATACAATTTTCCAGGCGTAAGCTGCCGTGTGCTGTGGAGTTCAGTTGTGGGCAAACGAGGGCGCGTATCTGAGGCATCACCTTGCGCGGCGGTGGCCCCATATGTCATGCGATTTTGTCAAAAATTTTGCCGTAGCCACGCAAAGAATTGTGGTTTGCTGCTATGGAAATTTTTTGCAGCGATCTTTTTGGCCCTTGGACACCCTTTATCCGCTGTCTGTAGGTGAGAAGCACCCGGCCACCCATGTGTCTTATTTTGCACGATGTCAGCAGACTGTGTGCCGATATAAAAGTGGGCAATTTTTACATATAAGAGTCACAATGCTAAGCGGGGTGTCATAACAGCGTGTCGGCGCTCTTCCCCGCACTTTTGAGGGGTTTTTAGGGGGACGCGATATGGGCACTTGCGAGTCATGGCCTTCCTCGCTAAATTTCACCTAAGTTTTGCTTCAAATTGCAGAAATAGCTATATAATGACACATGTGTTGTTTTTTGCGTTGTTAAGGCTTTAGGCTGCCAATGTAAGGCCGCTTTTCAGGGTTATACCTTCCGCTTCTTGCATGCGGAAGGGGTGCGTATTCAATCCAGTGGGAATAATGCCATTTTAAGCGATTTTGGCAGCTTTTACTGCTAATATCAAGCAACTGTCACCGTCATTGGCCTCTATAGAGTAACTGCTAGCGTCTATAATTGAAACAGTGGGTTAGACGGCGCTCATGCAGCGACCAGGTTATCCTTGAGCAAAAGGTCAAAGGCCCCAGTCCCCAGCGGGACCTGTTTCCCCATGATAATGCACTCGCTGACGCCCTTAATGGGGTCACGGCGGCGGTGGACGGCTGCCTCAAACAGGTGTTCGTTGGTCTCCTCGAACGACGCAAGCATCAGCGTCGACGCCCGCATCTTTTGAATGCCGAACCTATTGATGCCAATGACCTCGCCGCGGAACGTCATCACGTCACCAAGCAGTTTCATGTAACGCTTGTCGATGTCGATGGAGTACGCGTCCATGCACTTCTGGATCTCGCTGATGATGACGCTGCGAGCGGCTTCGATGCCGAGCACCTTGGCCACCTCGAGCACGTGGTTGCTTTTTACACCAGTAGACAACACTCCAGCGGCGCCTATGACCTCTTGGAGGCCGTATCCCTCTACCGCGAGCTGGTAGTGGAACCCTTCTGCGCTTGTTTCCTTCTTTATGACGGTCCGCCTGACGTTCTTGCCGCCGGCGACCATGATCTGCATCAGGCTGGCGATGAGCGCATGTTGCTGGAAGAACTGCTGCTGATTCGCCGCAAGGTCCATGCTCAACTTCCACTTGTCTATGACGTGCACGCACTGCTTGCCCAGCTTGAACTTGGTGATGATGCTGTTGTCAAGGATGACATCCCGCACCTGCAACGATTGTACATATATGAGTGAAGTCCGCCTACCTTTTCGGCGTCGATTTGCAGCAGTAGTTTCTTGATCAGCGGCTCGTTTAGTGTGATTTTGAGCACCACCCCGGTGGGCGCAAATATCTCCTTGATGTCGCTGCAGACCTGGCCCAGGGTGGTCTTTTCGATTCTCGCCTTGACGGCCAGCGCGTAGCCGAAATCGCGGTTGTTGAGCAGCGGTACCTCGATAATGGGCGTCTGGATGGTGTTGGCGGCGTTGATGATCTCCTTGATACGGGGCACACCCAGGGTGACGTTCATGGACGCCACTCCGGCGAAGTGGAACGTCTTGAGGGTCATTTGCGTACCGGGTTCGCCAATGGACTGCGCTCCCAGGGCGCCAATGGCTTCCCCTGGGACGCAGATTGCCTTCTGGTAGTCCTTCCAGCAGCAGCGGACGTACTCGAACACCTGGCGCACGGACAGTCTGTGCTGGCATTTTATCATGCCCATCCGATACTCGGTGGGTGTCATGCCGCTGGCGTAGAAGTGGTTGCAGATGTCGGCATAGCTCTGCTGGATGCCCATGCCATCGGCCCATTTCCTCAGAGTCTCGATGATGGACGAATTGTAGTCGTACTGCTTCCTCAGCTCGGGGTCGCTTGATCCCTCATGCGACAGCTCGAAGTGGTCCTGAATCGCCGATGGCAGCACTTCCTTGAGCATCGGGCTCAGGAACTCCACCCAGGCGACGATCTCGTGGGGGAACAGCGGCAGGTTTCGCTCGCGTTGTCCCAGGGTTTTGTACACGGCGAAGAATGCCCTCAAATTGTTCATGACCTGTTGCGACCTGGACCCGTCGACGAGGCCGGATCTTGCGCTCGCATTCTTGCCCCAGCTGACAAGGGTTTCAACCTTCTTTTGCAGCTGGATGGGTAAGTGCCTGCGCAACCCTTCATCTGCCATGAGGTGCTGCAAGGCATCGTCGCCAATGTGGTCCACCGACATCGGCAGGATTTCCAGGACGCTGGAATGCGGTGCGTCGGTTGGTATCGTGTTGCGGGTGATGCAGCGGATGTGCTTGAGTGTCAGGTCGAGAGCGGTGATGTCCATGTGCAGCGACGCACCGCCGAGGCCATCGTCGCCGTACAGGAACTGCACAACATGCCCGTCAGACGTGCGAACAGTGTGGTCATAACCCACGGATAACACCTCTAGCGCCTTCATCAAACGACGCTGCATATAACCGGTCTCACTGGTTTTCACCGCAGTGTCGATGAGACCCTCCCTGCCGGACATGGTATGGAAGAAAAACTCCTCCGGTCCCAGCCCAGAAAAGAAGGAGTTTGCCACGAAACCCCTGCTCTTGGCGTCCATACAGCCGATGTCGAAGTGGGGAAGCGTACGGCCGATGAAACCGTTTTCGATACGCTGTCCAGACACGTTCTGCTGTCCGACCAGTGCCACCATCTGTGCGATGTTGATGAGCGCTCCTTTCGCGCCCGAGTTGAACATGATGAGCGGCTTGTTGTCGGCCCTCAGGTTGGAGTTGCAGGCTTTTCCGGCCTCGTTTCTGAGCTCGTCGAGCACCCGCTTGACCTTGAGCTCCAGAGTCTCCTCCCGGGTACAGCCGGGCAACGCCTGCAGGGTGTCGAAGCTCTCGATGGCCTCAGAAACCTTCGTGTACCCATCCTGGAGCAGCTTCTCCTTCTGTCTCAGCAGCTCCTTGCCGGGTCGGACGTCATCGAGCCCGATGGTCATGCCGAAACCGGCGAGCCACCTGCTGGTCAGCTTGGACACCCTAAGCATGCAGTCTGCCGCGATGTACCGATTGTTCCTCGTAAGCAGCTGATAGAACAGCCCGCTCTTGGACGCGCCTAATGACTTTTTGCCCAATGCGCCTGACACCAGCTCCGAGTTGTGGAAGATGACGTATCCGTCCTTCGGGCACATGCACGAATGCAGCCCTGACGGTGGGTCGTGGAACTCACGCTCCTTGCACTCGAAGTTCACCACCACCTGGCAGTTTCTGTTCGGGCGCAGCAGCGCGTTGAAAACCTGCTTTCCAGTCCACAGCATGACTGGGTACAGGATTGCCGGCGGCGGCAGGTCGATGTGGACCTGGGCGTCCGTGAAGTGGCAGCATACCTGGGCGAACTCCTCCCTCGTCAGGAAGCGGTCTTTAGACGTTATCAGGTAGCTTGCACACAGGAAATCCTGAACCGCCGCAATGAGAGGCTCGCCGTTTCTCGGCGTCGTGAGGTTGTGCAGCACGTTCATCAGGTGCAGCGCCTCTGCCTTTGCCTCGTAGGTTTGGGGTAGGTGCAGGTTCATCTCGTCTCCGTCGAAGTCGGCGTTGTACGGCTGGCACACGCATTCGTTGAACCTGAACGTCGACCCGGGCATCACCCGGACCCTGTGGGCCATGATACTCATCCTGTGCAGGGACGGCTGACGGTTGAACAGCACAACGTCGCCGTCCCAGAGGTGACGCAGCACAACGTCTCCTATGGCGAGGTTGTCGCTCATGTATTTGGGGTTGGCGTACTGCAGGCTGCTTTTGCCGCCGTTCGCCTTCTTGACGTACGTGGCGCCAGGCCATATCGATACCCCGTTAAGCACGGCCTTTCTCATTATTGCGATATTTGAGGCGGTCACCTTCTCGGGGAAGGTCAGCTTCATGGCGATCCACTCCGGGACGACCACCTCGTCGATCCCGACGTTGGGGTCGGGCGAGATCACCGTCCTGGCGGAGAAGTCGACCCTCTTCCCACTGAGGTTGCCCCTGAAACGGCCCTCCTTTCCCTTGAGGCGCTGGCAGATGCCCCTGCCAGGCTTGGAAATGTTGCGCGATACCAGCAGCTGTGACACGGCTGGCGCGTCGGCGTTGATGAGCCTCGTGCACTGCAGCTGCAGGCACTGCCAGCTGAGGATGAACTGGCTGATCTGACTGCCGTTCTTGATTTGGTTTTTCCAGCCGTTGTTGAGCTCCACGATGTCGGAGAAGATGCACGTGAGGTCGTCCTCTGTGGTTCCCTGGGCCTCGATGGTTACACTGGGCCGAATGCAGCTCTGCAAGCGGGTTATCAAGAAGTGGCACGTAAAGACATACCGGTGGCACGGCGAGGTTGGTGATTAGCAGCTTTTCCGGTGATACCACGTTGAGGATTTTGGCGTGGATGGGGTCGATGGCCTCGAACAGCTGCTGCACAACCAGCGGGTTCAGGTCCTCCTCCACGGTCTGCATCTTGCCGCCCTCCTTGAACTTGATGACGTGGCGCAGCTTCATGAACTGGTCCATCACGGGTTTAACGATGCGCCTGATTACGCCCTGCTTGGCCTCACAGCGCGGGCACTTGGTGATCTTCCGGCACTCCTGCAGGATCTGCTTGAACAGCAGCGGCTTGAGCAGGGGGTCGTCTATCCTGCGCCGGTGCGCCTCCAGGAACTTCCGCGCCAGGTGGTCAGGCAAAAGCAGGTAGGAGCACTTCTTGCAAATGCAGTACAGGATCTGGATAGTGTACTTGAAGAAACCGATGTGGAACACGGGCAGCTGCAGCCGGATGTACCCCCAGTGACCGACGCACTGCTTGAGGTCCTTGCCGCATGTCTGGCATAGACTACCTCCTCTATTAGAACCTGCAATGAAGTTAGGAAACCAGGCACTGACGGGATGACGCACCTAGTTTCAGGTCGAGCACTCCCAGCGGCAGCGGCTCGTTGGTGTTGTTGTCGTACAGCTCGCGCTTCATGATCTGCAGCTCGGCCAGCCGTGATATGACATCACTGCCCATCACGTCGAACTGCACGCCCTCGATGGTGCAGCCGGTGACGGCATTCTTGACCAGCTCCTTCTTGGTCAGCACCTTGCCGACAGGTTCATCGACCGACAACACAGTAACGGCCGACGAGCTAGGCTGGGCGATCGCCGCCTCGGGCTGCGCAGCGGGCGCCTCCGTGACCTGGAAACGCTCGCACAGGCTCATAAAGTCGAACGGCTGAGGGTCGTCGCTCTCAGCCGCCGACGGCGCGGCCTGCGCGCCCTCAGGGGACACTTTCTGCCGCTTGTTGGGAACTAGCATTGTTTATGTTGTCTATCACATGGTATGTGTGCGATAAGGTATAAGTCTCGGAATGAAGACTGTGTCTATCACGCGGTCCGATCGGAGCGTGGCCCGAGTGGGTGACCGGTTCCTCAGAGCTTGGGGTCGCGGTGTCGGTGTAAGACACCGACACATCCTATTTTTACACTCCTCTCTACACATAGCAGCGTTCTTGTATATAGGCGAAGTCATCGCTGGACCCGGTTGCTGGAGGTGTTGTGCTCGGTGATTTCGCGGTCGCGCAGATTCTTCTGGATCTGCTTCAGCAGCCGCTCGCAGTCCGTGTTGAGCTTGAGGGTGCGCTTCGCCCAGTTCGGCAGGCTCGAGAAGTCGTTTTTGAGCGCCTTCTCGGAGCGTATCAGCTCCAACTCACGCAGCGCCACCTCCATGAAGTCGCTGAACTTGGCGCGGTTCTTCCGCAGGTCGGCCGACGCCATCGCGTCGCTGGCGTTGCGCTTCATGAGGTTCTCATGCTCCTTGGTGACCTTGTCCAGAATCTTGCAGTGGAAGTCTGCGTCGCCCTTGAACCTGGCCAGGCACAGGGCGTCGTCGTAGTCGGCCCACGTCCAAACTCCGGGCTTGTACACGTGTAGCTGACCGGTGGCGTCGGAGCTTATTGCGATGAGGCCGTGCTCAGACGACCACCTGCAGTCCGACGAGACCACGCCGCCGAGGCTGGCGTAGTGGCCTCCGTAGAGGCACACCAGCCTCGCGGCGAGGTGCCACGAGTACGATAGATCTTGCGACCACGTGCGGTGGCACAGGATGGCGTCGTTGCGATCGAATATGTCCTTTGCCATGTTCCAGATGGCCACGGTGGAGGCGTTGGCGGACTCCCGGGCGAACAGCGGCTCCGCGTACTGCGCCATGACCAACGTATCGTTGACCCACTTCACTTTCACCACCGGGTGGTACCACCTGAGGTACTCGTAGACGTCGTTTGGCAGATAGCTGGGGATCGTGGTCATGCGCACGAAGTCGATATCCGGCGGCGTGCCCGTTACGCCCATGCACTGCTTCCACACGTTGTAGATCTTTATCTTGCCCGTCTCCACCCCGATGACGACCATGTTGGGGTACATTTTGTTAACGTCCACTGACAGCAGCGCGTTGGTGTCCACCTGTATCGACGCGTCGCAGTTGTTGTCGCCCAGCGTCCACAACCTGAGGTAGCCGGAGTCGTCGGTGGCGTAGATCAGCGGCTCGTGAGCGAACTTGTCGCCGACCAAGCTTAAGTAATCCCTCGCAATTCCCAGAGTGGCGGTAACGTCTGTTGGCCTGCAGCCCTCGGGGAACTCCAGCTGCATGAACGGCTGACGAGTGCCGCCGTCGTTCACGTCACCTATGCGCCAGACGCAGATGCGGCTACCGCCCACGGCTGCGACGTAAACGGGCACTACGACTTTCAAATTCTCGATAGACGAATAGATGTACGTGAGGCACGTCTCGTTCGATATGCGCCGGAACGGGACGCCCTTGTGCGATTCCGTAGCGACGTCCAGTCCGACGCAGGTGATAGGATCCGACGGCAGTTTGAAGTCCATCGTCTGCTGGCGGAGCGCGTCGAGCGTCTTCAGCTGCTCGTCGCCTAGGAGGCAGGCGGTGCAGTGCTTTGCCGCTCTCGCAGCGGCGGAGTTGCCTCTGCCACGATGAGGTTTCTCCGGCGGTGCAGGCGCATCGCCACCCTCAGCGTTTCCGCCGGTAACGGGGCCGCCTTCCAGCCTGTTTTTCAGCTCCCTGAGGCTGCGCACGTACTCCTCGTGCACTGTTTTCCACTTGTGCACGACCTCAAGGGTCACCTGCAGCACCTTCGTGATGTCGATGATGTGCACAGTGCCGTCGACCTTCTGCACGGTCGCGAGGTAGTTGCGCCGGCTGTCGACGATGGCGCAGGTTAACTCCAGGCCGACCACGTGCGTCTTGAAGAAAATCTCAGGTAGGCACAGCCTGGTGCGCGGCTCCACCTTGCGGTTCTGGCACTTCTCGCACGTCTCGAAGCAGCCGAACTCGTCCGACGAAAACGAGTGTGCGTTGAAGCTGATGCCCTCGGTGAGACACTGGAAGTCCTCGCTTTTGGGCGCGCTGTACAACAGCGCCTCCTTGCCCTCGATGGTCTTCGAGCTCTGCTCTCCGCGCCACACGAGGCCGACGCGCAGGGAGTCCTGCGGCTCCAGCTCGCCGGTCTCGGTGCGCACCACCATGAACATCAGCTGGTAGTTGCCGTAGATGTCCACGAACTCGTTTATTAGCCGGCAGACGATCACCGTGGTGCCGATGTTGACCATGGCGAGGTGGCTGTAGTTGAAGATGAGGTTGGAGTACAGCCTGCTGGCCATGTCCTCAGTTTCGCTAGGCTTCCATTCGTTGTAGAGCCCGGGGTTGTGGAACCAATCGAGGGCCAGCATCTTTTTCTCGTTACCGGTCCACTGGTAGGCATGCCGTGTCTTGGGATCGCGGAACGTCTCACGCAGGAACTGCGTGCGCCGCGCGAACGCGTCGGCGTCCAGACCCGCGACTTCATAGCGCCCCTTGCGCGCGTTGCCGTTTGGCTTCCGGTCGGCGGTGCCCAGGCGGGACGACCTAGGCCGTGCCGGAGTTTCTCCCATTGCCTACGTAAGTTTTGTCTACGCCGGCAAATCAGCAGCACAGTTAAATGTGCGGTGTGTCGAAGAGTAATCTCGCCATACGGCTGATTTGGGGAATGTGTCCGAGCGACAACCACCACAGCGTCGCGGTCGCCAGGCAGATAACGGGCAATGTACGGCCGCAACAATGCAAAATACAGACTACAAATTACATTTTAAATGTAGGTGTTACGCTCCAGATGCCGCTTTGGCGTCGAGGAACTGCTTAGCTTCCCGCTGCATCATCTCGAGCACGTTCCTCGCGAACTGCGTAGGGTCCTTGACGTTGTAGCCGCCCTGGATCGAGACCACGTCCAACAGCTGCTTAGCAACCTGACGCGGCAGGTCGCTAAGCTTGTCGGTTTTGACCATTGCATTTAGATGCTGGATGATCGGGTGGTCGATGTTGATCTCGAGCACCGGCTTGCTGACCATCGAGGTGCCGAACAGCTCGGTGTCGTTCATGCCAGCGGATGTAGCCTGCTGTTTCATGTAACGCTGCATGCTTGGGGATAGCCCAAAGTCGGTCTGCACCAAAATGGCGGGCGACTCGACGAGCCTGTTGCTGATCTTGACGTCGTGCAGGTCGTCAGGGAACAGCGCCTTGATCCAGCCGCATAGCGTCTCGAACTCGACTGGCTTTTGCGATGATTCACTCTCTGCCGCCTCCTTGAGTTTGAGGTCGCTCTTGTTGACGTCAAGCACAGCGATGTTCTTGTACTTGGCGGCAGTCAGCGAAGACAGGCAGAACTCGTCTATGGGTTCCAGAGCGTACAAAACTTCGTAGTCTAGCGCCTTCAGTTTTTCGAGAGAAGGCGAACTTTGGGCCGATTTTATATCTTCGGCAGTGAGGTAGTATATTGCCGACTGGTCTGGCTTCATACGGCCCACGTACTCGTCCAGCGACACACGGTCCTGGCCCGATTTTGTGGACCAGAACGTGATGAGAGATGCCAACTCCTGCTGATTCTCCCTGTCCTCGACGACACCGATCTTTATGTATTTACCAAAGTGGTCGGAGAATTTCTTGAACCTTTCCGGGTTCGCGGCCTTCAGGTTTTTCAGCATGTCGATGGCCTTTGTTGCGATACGTTTGTTGATGACGGTGAGCGCCTTCGAGCGCTGGAGGTACTCCCTGCCGACGTTCAGCGCGAGCTCGTCGCTGTCCACGACACCGCGGACGAACGTGAGCCATCTGGGCACGGCCTCAGAGAACTTGTCGTTGATGAACACACGCTTGACGTAAAGCCTGATTCCACGCGATTCGTCATCGAACATGTTGCGGCTGAGCTCCCACGGTAACGATCCCGGTACGAACAGCAAACAGCTGAATTCCACTTGCCCTTCTACCTTGAAGTGGATGTATGACATGGGGTCATCATACGCCTTGAACGTCGATTTGTAGAATGAGACGTAGTCCTCAGGTTTTATGTCGGCTTGATCCCGACGCCATATCGGGATCTGAGTGTTCACATGCTCCCACTCGTGCCTCTTTTTGCTGATGGTCTTGTACCTCCCGGGTTTGCCCTCCACGGCAGTGGACTCGTCGGGCACCCTTTCATACTCAACCTTCTCTACCCACACCTACAGGTCATTTTTAGATTGCAACAATAACGTATGCCACCTAACACGAAGCAAAATGTGATAGAAGTGCAGCAACAACGTGTAGCGGAAACACCGATGGAAGTCATGACACTAGGTACAGGTACATACGCTAGAAGAATGTATGTACGTGCAGGTGTCATTGTGGATTGACATTAACGCAACGGCATACAAGGTGTAACGATCAATAAACAACTGAAACAGACACACAACAAGACACACCTTAACAAGGAATCATGGGCACCAGAAACAATCATGATGGAGTACCACAGCATTTATAGTAAAACGTTCAACATACAACAGTCACACTGAACATTGTGGCAATAGCACACAGGGGTGTTTGTGTTGCGCCGTTTATCATATTGTATTTTGATCTCATTGTTTCCCAGGCTCCTCTGTGGGTTCTACAGAAGACAACAAGGATCCTCAAATAATACAAGTTAGTAATCATCTAAACGGGCAGAAAGGGTTGTTGTTGCTCATTTTCGGAGCAATTGTATGCATTCCCAGGTGCGTATAGAATATGTATTAACGACCATTACACTCACAAACAACCCACTTGTAACAGAACAATTCCTATAAATAGGAACACTTACAACATTCGAACACAACAGCACATTTATAGTCATTGATAGGATGCGCAGTGATCGAGATGCAACTTTGCATTTTATCAGACAGACGACATGCCAAGTTCACGTATCAACACTGCTGCCATATATTCACAAGGATCACGCAAATTGCTTATCGGCAAGGCTTACCTGGATTGGGAATCTGACGAACTCAGAGTACTTTCGTAGCAGCTCTTTAATCTTGTAGTCTTCGAGATAGTCGTCGCATTCAGGTTTTATGTGCAGCACGATCCGGGTACCGGTCTTCATGAACGAGTTGCTAACTTGCTCATCGTTGACCTGGCCGACACTGAAACTGCCGCTGGTGTCAGACCGCCACCGGTAGATGGGGCCGTCCTCCTGGCCGTAGGCCCTAGAGAACACCTCCACCTTGTTGGCTACCAGGAAGGCTGAGTAGAATCCAACACCGAATTGACCAATCAGGTTGTTTGTGTCGGTAGATTTAGATGTTTCCAGCTGCAATGGCGATGAAAGACATGGTTCATTAAGTCTTTCTTACCTGTTTGAGGAATTTGGCCGTTCCCGACTCGGCGATGGTGCCGAGATTCTTCACCAGCTCATCCTTGGTCATACCGATACCGTCATCCTCTATGGTGAGCGTGTTGTGTTCTTTGTCCGGGAAGATCCTGATTCCGCCGAACGCTTCCTTAGGAACCTTTTCTTCTGGGTCCGCCTGTATACGACGCTTGTCTAGAGCGTCGGCGGCGTTGGAAACCAACTCCCTGAGGAAGATGTCCTTGTCGGTGTACAGCGAGTTAACGATAATGTCCATAACCCTGCTGACCTCGGCCTGGAAGGGGAAGCTCTGTTCGTCCTCCACCTTGACGTCCGGGCCAAGCGCGCCGAGGTTGAGTTCCTCGTCCATACGCGTCACCTTGGCATCTTCCATGCCGGACAGCTCGGAAGAAAGGCCAATTTTATGCTGCAAGGCATCCTGCAGTCCGCCAGTGATGCCGCTGGGTGCGTCGGCCGACGACCCGTAGAGCGGCGGCGCCCGCCGGCTGTCTTCCAGCTGCACGTGCGGCTGTTGCCGCCTGTGTTGCAGCGAACTGACAAATTTTGGCTTGGGCCTGAAGGCCCAAATGCCCTGGAGCAGTGCCAGCGCGAGAAGGCCGACGAAGGCACATCGCGCCCAGCGGCGGCCAGCCCTGGCCGCAGCCGGCGTCATTTTCGGTGCCCCCGCTGGCCCGGCACTTTAGTGGGCTGTGCCGTGGCTACGGTTTTGGCAATTTCAACTTTTCGTTGAGACTTGCATAGGGTGTCTAGTGCGGAAGCGTGGAAGGCTGGTGTTGCCGGCCTAGTGGTGCTAGTCGGGCGGAGAGCGGCTGCACATGTCGACAGCTAAGTCGCCGTGGGTCAGTCAGGTGAATCTTCCGCGGACTGGACGGTGTTTCTGGTTTCCTAATAGGCGGTTTTGCGCTCTTTAGTGGGTTGTCTACGGGTCACTGCCCCGCACAGCGATGGCAAACACGAAGGACGCCGCGCGGCACAACGCCACACCCGTTGAACAGAAGGCGAGACAGCAGTCGGTGATCGACGACTTGGCGTCGCGAATCGACCGAATAAGACTCGATAACGCAAAAAGAGGCATTAATTACGACGGAAAGGGCTACTCTCACTACAGCCAACGCAACGCGCCGGCGAGTGTCTGCGAGGGGTTCCAGCAGCTTTCCAACGGTGAGAGGGTGAGCGGTAATTTCGTGGTCCGAGACAAATACACCCACGGTTACGGCGCCGCGTTACCCCCCCCAAAATTCTTGTCTGCCAACCTCGACTCCGAGCGGTTGAAGGCGCTGGAATATGACGCGTCTTCCAAAACGGAATCGATCAACTCGCTGTGCTCCGACGCAAACGCGCCGTCTAGCCAGCGTGGTGGAGGTGTGCAGTCGGAAGTTGACGACTTCACCGACAGCAGCGACGACGAGGGGGGCAGCGAGACCTTCGACTGCACACTGAGCGAGAGCGAAGATGGAGATGCGTATGTGTCCGGAGGGTACCACCCAGTGAAGCTGGGCGAGATTTACGACGGGCGATATCGCATCGAGGGCAAACTGGGATGGGGATACTTCTCAACGGTGTGGCTGGCGACTGACATGCGCACCAAGCCCATGACCTTCGTGGCCATCAAGTTCCAACGTAGCGCGCAAAACCACACCGAGGCCGTCCGGGACGAAATGGCCCTGCTGAAGAAGGTCCGTGACCAGGTCATATCCCGGTCGTGGATAAGGACCAAGCGGTCGTACCGGCAAGCCTTGGGTAACCTGTACAACCCGACCCGCGGGGTTGTCTCCTTCCTGAACAGTTTCAAGGTGAAGGGGCCCAACGGGACCCACATATGTGTTGTTTTGGAGCCTATGGGGCCCAACCTGCTCTCTCTCATCAAGTTGTACAAGTTCAAGGGTGTGCCCATGCACCTGATCCGCAAGATCACGGCGCACATATTGCTGGGTTTGGACTATCTGCACCGCGTGTGTGGCATCATACACACCGATCTGAAGCCGGAGAACATTTTGGTCACTTCGAAACTCAACGGCTGCTCACCTCTCGAGAAGCAGGAGGTGGAAGTGCCCCCGCAGGAGCCGGTAAAAAAGACACAGAAACTGGACATTACGTACGTGAAGCACTGCATCAGGCCGAGTCGTAGTGACCCCAGCTGCCTGACGAGCTACGACACGCCGCATGCCCTGCAGGACGCCATGTTCCGCAAGCCTTACAACCATGTGCCGTTCAAGATAACGGAACCGCTCCGTGACGCGCAGGCGAAGGCCGCGGAGATGGGCATGTACCACCCATGGGTTGCTGAGCATGTAGGATACAAGCCCACAATCGCAGGGCTGCGCAAACGCCCAGTCGTCGTCAAGACGCAGCAGGGGCCAATGCAGTTGAAGCCGGTCGACTTATCGTTCTTCGACAACCCCAACGCGGTGTACAAGATCTGCGATCTTGGAAACGCGTGCTGGATCAGCCACCATTTCACCAACGAAATTCAGACGCGTCAATACCGCTCGCCGGAGGCCATCCTGCAGGTGGGGTACGACCAGTCGGCTGACATATGGTCGCTGGCGTGCATCATCTTCGAGGCGGTGACGGGTGACTATCTCTTCGATCCGCACGGGAGCACCAGCCACGACCGCGACATCAACCACCTGCAGCTGATAGTGGAGCTCCTGGGGCCGATCCCGCGGTGGATGCTGAAGTCAAGTACGAAATTCCGTCAATATGAGCGCGAGATCAACGACGTCAAGCCGTGGCCACTGGAGAGTGTGTTGATGATCAAGTACAAGATGAGCCCCCTCGAGGCGCAGGAACTCTCCCAGTTCATGTTGTGCATGCTGAAGACAAACCCCAAGGACCGCCTGCCCGCCGACACGCTCCTGCACAACCGGTGGTTGAACGGCATGCCATCACGCACGTCAACCGCTCGGTTGTAGGGCATCTCAGCGGCGTTAAGGTCCTTAGGTGCAAGGGTACCTTGGTACGGCTCGACGTAGTCCAGCCCAACGACGGTTGTGTAACTGTAGCAGTCTTTTGACGGCACCGCAATTAGGCGCAAAGCTCCCCGCTCTGGTGCATGTCATCCCCTCCGCAGTCCCGGCAGCTTTAGGCGGTCAGCTGCCACTTCCCGATAATAACCGACCGAACCCACACTTGAATGTATAGCACGAAATACGTATATATGTACGAGCGATTTTACCCATACAGCGGGGATAAAAGTTTGCCTGTGTTAACTACGCTTACGGCTGCAGTTGCTAGGCACAGCACGCCTTGTCGAAGCCGGGGATGCCGCCGAAAACGCCTGCACGTCATAGACAGCACGGCTGCGGACGTACTTTTCACGCGGTCGTTGAGCGATATCGTCTGCGGGGCGGACTCCTGCGCGCCGCCGGGCTGCCGCTCGAGTCTGTCGGCGAGCAGCCTTGCCGCCAGGGAGACGAACGCATCCTCTACGTTCGTGCCAGTTTTGGCGGAAATCTCAACGTGAGGAATGCCGGTCTTGTGACTAAAAACCTGTCGATAGTGTGAGGTGGAGTTAGGTGCGTTTGGGGCTAGTGATCACCGACCGGAGACGGCGCGACGAATGCAGCACCCACCTCTACGTCGCTCACGTCTACGTCTCTGGAATTGCCCTGGTCGCATTTGTTGCCGATCAGCAGCCGGTGAGTTCCCTCCGGCGCGAACTTGTCGACTTCGGCAAGCCAGGCCTCGACATGCTCGAACGACAACTGCGGAGCTCATGGTGGTAACGCCAGGAACCGTACCTTGTCGGTGATATCGTACACCACTACTATACCATCCGCGCCGCGGTAGTAGGCGCTCGTTATCGTCCTGAAGCGCTCCTGACCTGCCGTGTCCCACTGCACAATGTGGATGCGCGGAAGTAACACCCACGATCTGGAGCTTCACCCGGTGGCCGCCGACCTCGATGGTCCGGAAACGCTGCACACCGTTAACGGACGCATGCAGCTACCCTACGAAATCAACGCCGATGGTCGTGATATAGCTGTCCGTGAACGTGTCGTCCTGCGACGCATGGTTCGGGTCTGCGCGGAACGTACAGCGAATCGGAGGAGGACGCAGGACTTGCCGACACCGCTGTCCCCGACGAGCACCAACTTGAACAGGTAATCGCTGCCAAGCAATTAGCGGTAGGTTACACACACGAAACGCGAGGAATAGGCCTCAGGCGGCGGGGATTCGTGCCGCTCATTCGGGAACTCACTAGTCCTTAGAAGCCTTCGATACCATATTCGAACATGGACGCTGCTTGCCGTTGCAGTAACACCAGACGTAACGACAGAGCCCTATGTGTGGAAATACGTCGGCTGGCGGCCAAGGCGGTGTGTTAGGGCTCGGCGTGGTGCCGCGGTAGCCCCGGCAACGCGCCACCGGGTGGTCATTCACAGCCCCGATAGATGACAGGTGGCGGCTCTGATATCACAGGTTGCGGTCAGTGAAGTAACATCCGGTGGAGAGTATGCCTTATCGCGTTCGCGCAGGTGTGTGCGGGTTTCGGTTAGGTGGACGCTGGGCTGTGCAGCACACTTCGGCTCGCTCGCGCAGCTGCCGGAACTTCTCACGCACACACCTGCCGTAGGTGGGCAGCGGAAACGCACTTGGTTTGGAGAGGCAACGGCGGTTTCGTTGCCGCGCCGATCGTTCGCGAGAGCGTGCCAGTCGAGGCCACCGTCTCTGCAGCAGTACTCGCAGCGGCGGTCGAGCGGCGTCCACGGTAAACCGTAGAGCATGGACGGCAGCTATCTTGCCGCGTGTTTACGGGAGGCGCGTCTGGGAGTGTCTACTGTCCGTCTCCTCGCCGAGCTTTCGGGAGACGTTCTCAGGGGCGCATAATGCAGCATCTCTACGTCGGAGACCCAGTTCGGTTTCGGTAAGTAGGTCGCCAGGATCATACAGAGCTAATTAAGTGAGCGTATGCAGGGTTGACAGCCCCGCCGGCTGGCCGTGACAGCGAACACACGGCCCTTGGCATATTGCCATAGTTCAATAGAACGCAGCTACGGTCGACGCGCTTTTGCGCGCGGCGACGTCGTTTCATATTGTGTGTAGCGGCATCAGAGATTGCTGCTGCAACGAATTTTCGGGCGAAGGTGAAGAATGCCCTGCTGATCCTCGAGCAAATGGCAAGCTACAGAGGAGTTGAGGATGTCTCGCCGCGGCGCGACCCGGCCCTAGTCAAGGGCGGGCAGGCGTCTTCGGAGGGCGCACAGGGAAGCAGCCAGTACCCAATGAGCATAAACTATGGAGGTGAGGGCGTAGAGGCCCAGGACTACGAGGCATCGCAACCTCCCGGCGTCACCGTATACCTCGAAGCCACGGAATCGTACGGTAAGGATACCGTGAGTCCCGTTGGCGACGACGAAGATGGGGGGATACACGCCCCCTCGAGTTCCGTGATGTACGACTATGGAACGGACTACGCCGCCAACCAGCCTATGGCGGTGCCGCGGTACGACATGGGGCTGGTTGATGCCTACGACCAATCACCAGCGGGCAACCAGATGACGCCCGCAATGACAAATAACATGTCTGGAGGAATGCCCGGGGCCATGTATCCGAGCATGGCCAACGGCGAGGCGGCCATGGACCCAATGAATGCCCAGTACTGGTACGGGAGCAATTCAATCGAGCAGCCCATGGTATCACCATCTTGTGATGTTACAATGTTCCACAAACCGATGACTACGCGGTACGACAACTACCGCTACGCCTACCCATCATACTACCCGCAAAATGGACAGTCTTACTCTCCGTACGGATCAGACCAAACTCTGCCATATCCCGGCAATTACGGTATGCAAGAAGAAGCCTACTCGCCTGGAAAACAACCCTTTAGCCCCAGGCGGGCGGTCAGCACGGGTGCGCTACCCGCACCGTCCAAAACCTCTCCGATGAACTCCTACCAGGTGTCGCCAGATCGGGCGGCAATGCGAGGATGGAACACGCAAGGCTATTCGGAGAGTATGGATCAGAACACCATGCAGAACATACCCATGATCAACCAGCCGACGCCCGAACAGCAATCGATGCAGATGCCTGCCAGGTTCGGCCCAGACGCGTTTTACGGCGAACTCTCCAAGAGGCTGCAGCAGGAGATGAAGACAAAGAGACAGGGGTCGTGCGGACGCCCGAGGAGCACCCGGCACAACTACGTATGCGCCATGTGTAACGCACGGACAACCCCGCAATGGCGATACATTAAGGGAACCTCGGTTTGCAACGCCTGCTACATGCGCATACGCAAGCAGAAGCTCAAGCAAAAGGCGCTTGAGAAGGAGGAGGGTTATATCTTCGAGTCCGACAGCTCCGAAGTGCAGACCCCAAGCGATGGGCGCATGTCCAATTCGGCAGGCGCGCCCAGAGGGAGGCGTACAGCCCACGGCTAAATCACGATAAATAACAGCCGTACACGCAGTGTTTTGCACGGCGCGTGTGATGTGGCAAACTGTGTTTTAAATTTTAAGTGTCGCGGTGCGCCGCTATACTGTCGTAGCAGCAGAAAAGCTCCATGTCTGCGAGGAAAATTCGCCGTGCGGCGACTTCCGCTGTCCAATTTCGACGACTCGATTAACACTGTTTGTTTACCGATTGTGGCGCAATTTTTATAGTTGCTTGCCATACGCTTAATTAATGCCAAATAACGACCACTGGGCATCAGTACCGGTTCGTGGTATGATTCCCGCCGGATTTCAAATTTAACTGTGATCTGTCGCGCCAAAAAGCCTGGCGTAACCAGTCAGCCGCAATGTACTCTTCGTTGGTGGCGCTCGTGTTCGCTGCCTTCCTGGCCTCGGCGGCCGCCGACCGGTGGCAACCCGTCACGGTGCTAGAATACCTGAACGCCGAGAGAGGGGGGCACGTCGGTCGCAAAGAAACCCAAGAACAGCTGAGTAAGGTGGCTAAGTTGGATTTGAACAGTCTCGCGCGTATGTTCTACCTTTGGCGCACCCAGCAGCCGAAGGTATGCCAGCGCCCAGTGCTCGTGGACGACTGGTTCATAGAGAAAAAGTGGACGACGCTGCAGGAACGGTTCAACTTCTACGGGCTCGCGTACGCCATAAAGGAGGTACCAGGGGACGGGTCATGCCTGTTCCACACTATAGCGACAGCGCTGCGGGAGAGCGGGGTGACCGCGAAGATGCTCATGGGCTTCCTGAAGCCTAGGCCCAGCAAGCACATCATCAAAATGATGGAGGCCGGAGAGGTTGAAGACGGGTTTTACACCATGGAGGCGATCAAAAAGATCTCCCTGGCGGAGCTACTGGGCATATACGCAGACGATCCGCTATCAATAAGGCACTTCAACGCGAAAGATTTCGCGAGTAAAATCGAGAGGTATGCGTCCCTTCAGGTCGACTGCAAAGCGTTGAACGAGAAGGAAATCATGGCGCTGTTTGACAATGTGGACTTAACCGTCGTAAGCGAACGGCTGGGAGACGGAGCGGACCCATTGACAGTGGCAAAGGAGGTCTACAAAAAGGTTCGACCGCAGCATGACAATGTAGTGGGCAGCTGGATAGACATCCAGACTCTGGAAGAACTCTTTCAGTTCAGATTGGTGAAATTAGAGGAGCACGAAGCGCGTGTCTCGCTATCCCGAGGGTTGGATTATCCGATCAACTTCGTCATGCTGACACATTACACGGTAGGTATTGGTGCTAAACGAAATATACATTGCGCAGGATGGATGCCACTTCAAGCCGGCCGGATTGGTCGATGTGTGCGGCAGCTCAGACAAGAGCCCGCAGCGCCCGTGGTCGATCATTATGTCAGGGGACGTGCCCCTGCCACTCGCGATAATGATGAAAGACGGGTAGTGTGTGAGAATTTGGGTTGCCGGTGCGATGGCAACGCCCAGACAGGGAAGCACCGCCAAGCAGCAGTGCGCCGAACTAACATTGTATATTCACTAGTAGCTATGATGCGTCTGGGTTTTGTGTTGCTGTGTGCTGTTGCGGCGCAGTTGCGCCTCGCCGCTGGCGATCTGTCTCTTAGGGTGACTCAGCCGAGGCGCGTCGCGCAGAATGTGTCTGGCTTCGGCCAACTTGTGCAGTTGCCGGAAAGAAGGGCTGCCGGCAAAAAGGCCACTGGTAGCCTCAGGTCTAACGCGCCAATAAACGCGCATGAGCGCGCAGGCAACTGGCCACAGTACGCTGTCCACCCATGTGACCGGTACGCCTCGTGGAATCGCACGACCTCGGTATGGGACGAGTTCCTGCGCCACAACCGCATGGCGCTCTGCAGAAAGAACTACGGAGCTGACGGAAACTGTCTTTACAACGCCATTGCTGGCATCCTCAGAGACCACGAACTCACCATCCAGAGGGTAGGCATCACTGTCAAGACCTTGCCGGCGGGCATATCCATTTCGCTGGAGGACCTCGACTTCAGCGGCGAGTACTTCACTGTGGCCGACCTGCGCCGCATTTGCGCGATCAGCTTCATCGGTGTCGACCCGAACAATCCGAATGCGCTGCCGTTCTGGGAAAGGGACGTCTTCATCACCAAGCTGGAGATCCTGTCGCAAGTGGAGGGTTCAGCCGACTACGGTGACATGAGGTGGGGCCCAAGCAAGTTCTATGCAGAGATACTTGCTGGTGGCGACCGCGTTGACATTGCCAGGCGGGTGTACAACATGCTTTCGCAAGTGAGAAACCCGTACACCTGGGGATCGTACGAGGACATTGACGCACTCGCGCATGTGCTCAATCTTGACATTATGCTCTTCTGGAACACGGACACCAAGATCCAACTCTTCAGGGGGCACCGCCAGCCCAAGGAGAAGCGCACCGCCCTGCTCCTGTACTACACCGAGATGATACACTTCGACGGTGCGGGACTCGTCAGCGACATCGCTGTGAGCCCCCCTGTGCCAATCAGGAGTATGTACAGCGCAAGCGCATTCCCAGACTTTTTGAGGGCATTGGCGACATGAAGCAATAAGCAGTTCTAAGCATGTGGAGAAGGCAGGTGTAGTATTTAGGCCACTGGTTCAGACGGATTCTGGGAATCCTGCTATGGATCCCAATGATTAAAGACGCCGGCATCTTACGTCAGGGGAAATTTGCAAGGTGCCTCCATAATGGGTGTTTGTAATACCCATTACATAAAATCGGCCAGACCCACGCAAAGCTGTGACCGATGCTGCTACTGTTTTTCATTGGCAGCGCTAGCACATCAAGGCCCGCCGCGCTTTACCTCTTGATGTCGTCTTCGATATAACACGGTGGCTGTGCCATCGTAGATAAAGCCGTATGCACGCTGTCAAACGTTTCGCATCGAGTGGCACCGCAATGTGAGCACTTGCTATGCATGTGGCGACAAGCTGTGGTAGGAGTTGCCGTTTCACGGCCACGTATGGAGCTGATACCTCGTAGGTATCTTGCTGCGATTAAGCAACTCGTGTCTCATCTACGCTGAACTGCGAATAATTTCATGCAATATATGCAAACTATCAAAGAATGATCGTTTCTAGAAGTGCACGTAAATCGATGAAAAAGTTGCTACTGTTGTATGTTTTATAAATCTATTATGATGCGATAATTGTTCTGTTACAACTTTTGTGCGTTTCGCTGTTACTTCAGATGAGCTATCTGTAGAGCAGCTGGTTGACCGATCCCAGTGGGACGTCGTGTAACGGTATCTTCTGCTTCTCGCGCATGCGGAGTACCTGTTGAGCATGTACGTCTGTGAAATAGTGATTGGCATAGAGCTTTATGGTACCAGTGAAGGTTGAAGGTGAATTGAGCGGCGGCAGCATGGACCTCTCAGTGAAGAAGTTGTAGAGCAGAAAGTAGAATCCCAGGACCACTAGCGACGAAGGCAGCGCAACAGCCCAGTGCCTGAAATCACATTGGTGATCGGGAGAGAGGTTGCAAGACGACTAACTTGGATGGGTAGTACGTGATGCCGTAGGAGTTAATGATCCACTCGGGGGTGAGCGCCCATAAGAAATAAAACACTGCTGGCTATGAAAGTCTAGATAAATATCGTACCTAGTATTACATAAGATAGTAGCAGCGTCAGATACGCCTTGAGCTCCGTTTCCATGGTTCAAAGTGAACGGTGTTGACGCCGTCTACACCGTAACGCTCGGTAGGGTCTACCGTCTCCGCTTGTCCTTGAACGTCAACCTCGTCCATTTTAGCTTTGGCAGTCCAAATGTGAGTGGTGTGTAAGGGTTTGAAGATTAACGTACGCGATGTCGCTGGTGGACAGGGTGTCCTCAGACGCCAGAGCGGAGTTCCTGTCTTCTATCGCAAACATTGTAGTTTCCATCGAAAAGTCGCTGTCTGCGGAATCTGGTGGTTCATTAAACGGGACTAATGGGCATAGACATGTTCAGTATCGTGTCGCTGGGACCTTTTCGTCTCCGGAAAGTGGTGAATCGCAGGACAGTGCAGGGTGCATTCGTCAGTTCATATCCAAGGGGAATAAGTTGCATCTGAACTGCACCCAGGATGTACATGACCTTATATCGCATTTGATTGGTGCGGACGAGCTATCGGCGCTGGGATTGGACTCTTTTAGGACGCTAGCTGCTCAACAGGCATGGCGCTCATCACCAAGGAAGACCGAAAGCAAATCATCTGGCCGGTCGTACACACTATATATGATTCGACCGACGCTGTCAGATGCTGCTCAACTGAAGTCGGTGCTGCATTATGACAGGAGCGAGTGCTACGTGTTGTGCCTGCCGGAGGTATCCGACATGTTCCCAGGGGTGTTGCAAGGAATGCTTGGCAAGTCGTTCACCGTGCTGCGAGGCATTGGTGGGCACCGTGGCAATCGCGTGGTGCACCTATACAGCTGCAATGTGCATATGGCGCCAGTTGAATCGTCTGTCCTTTCGATGTTCATCTCCCGGTCATTCCAGACGTTCTACGCAGAAGGGGATCCCATGTCGGCGTGGTTCTACTCCAAAGCATTGGAACACCTGGAAAGTCGGATATTCGACGGTGCTGTGCCAAGGGTCACGTGCCTAGGGCACCTTTCTCGGATGGTGGCCGAGATACTGCTAAAGTGTCGCAGGGACTCTGCTGCTGATCTGATCATACTTGGCACTGAGCGGTCCCACGCTGGATCGGACATGCCGTATCTGACCAAGGAACTGAATGCACATCGTTACGGCAAAGAGTCGACAACGGCAAGTTCTGCAGAAACTCATTCTCCGAAAACCGGAGACAAAGGTACTAATGCGGATGCGCGGGCGACTACGGACACCATGCGACTGCTCCGCCAGTCGTCCATGGTGGACGAGGCTGTGCTCATAGACCGATCTGTGGATTTAGTAACGCCTATGTGCCTCAACTTCACGTACGAGGGCCTACTGGATAACCTGTTTGGAGCTGTCAAAGGTAATCTGCACCTGCCTCCCGGCGTTGTGGAGGGTTCAGCGGGAGCGGCGCCGATAGGTATCCTGGACCAATATCGCAGTAACATCACATCAAATAAAGGAAGCTCTTCTGCCAAATCCACGCAGTCCAGCTCTGTCTTGACGCTGAACTCGCCGTTATACAAAGAAATACGCTGGATGAATTACAGCGAGGTAGGCAAGTACCTGCACCAACGTGCGCTACAAGTGCACAAAGGGTACGAACGTGGCGGTTTGTCTACTCTTGGTGAAATGGACGCTTTTGTGAAGAAATTTAAGAACCTGCAAAAGGAACATTCCGAACTCTCGGTCCATGTCAACTTGATGTCGTGGCTTTCTTCGCTGGTCAACGGCGACCTCATCCAGCTTTTACAGCATATGGAGGACACTATATTGCAATACTCTTCAGACGCGAAGCCCGAGGACTCTAAGTTGGCGTCCATTACAGCTAAACTGTTCAATAAGCCCTGCGACCCCTTTGTGGCGCTGTTCCTGGATCTCATTTTCTGGAACGTCGACGTCAATCAGCTATATAGGTTGCTGGTGCTAGCAAGCCAAACTCGAGATGGAATCAAGTCTGGCGATTTGCAAAACATCAAACGCGCTGTGGTGGATCAGTACGGATTCAACCAGTTACTGGCGATGCATGAGCTGGAACGTATGGGCATGGTGCGGGTCAACGATGCGCCAGATGGGATGCGGTGGTCTCGACTTTGCAAAAAGTTAAATTTGTTGGTGGATCGAGACACCGGATCAGCAGACTACTCAATGATTTTCGGAGGGTACGCGCCCATATCGCTGCGGCTGTATCAGTTGATCGTGCTGTCACGTGGGCTCGGTTCTGTTCAATCAGAGCTGCGGTTGCTGAACTGCCCAGTATCTGTGCTGCGGCAGAAGAACCTCGTTTCCGAACACAAGCGCCAGGAGTCCAAAGCTGCAACATATAAGGTTTTGGGTTATCTGGGTGGCGTGACTCTTGGCGAAATTGCCGCGGTCGCCTCCCTTAACCAGAAGCAAAGCCAAAAGATACTTCTGATCACCACCGATATCGTAGGCATGAGAAACATGCTCAAAGTAGACGTATAAACCCACATAGTGTTTTTAGTTACATGTTTGTGTGCCTGTTGTGCCCTTCCTCGTTGGTGGTTGTGCAATACATAGCCTGGGTTAATTTGTGGTATGGGTAACCCACAACATTGACAATACAGTGTTTCACGTAATAATGACGCTACGTGTACTGGGTGATGTCACGACAAGTTATTGGAGGCGACATTGAAGTCTGATATGGTAGGTTTTGAACGAACTATCTTGTCAAAAATCGTCTCAATTCCATTCATTTTAAGTGTGTGGCAGACTAAAATGGTCAGCGCAACAATGATTAGGAAGCCGGCAACGCCACAGATGCTGCCTACAATTGTCCACGCATCTCCCATCTTTCCCCCGTTCACGTAACAATCAACCTGCACAGCGATGAACAACCTACCTAAAATCTCTAACAGTATTGGGCAGCTTACAAAATGTAACGTCTAAGCTTATACCTGCAACGTGAAACCCGGCATATGCATAACCAAGAACTATGCATGATCTAGTGACTGCGGTATCGCATAAACATCCGTGGTTAGCATGCATTCGCTACGCATGTTGCGCAGACATAAAATGATGCTCAACTATATAATAATTAAGATCAAAATCACAAATACAATAATGAAAGGCCATATGCCACGCTATAGATTTGGGAATAACTGCCTAGGTGTGCTACAGTGAAGGATTACAAAGTTAGTGATTGCAACAATGTTGCTTATCAATGTACCGGTAACCGTCAGCTTTTCTGTTATCATCGAATCACCATTATGCCATAGACTGCCCTAACAGATGGTTCAGAGCCTCATCTAGCATGTCACTCTTCAGCTGTCAACTGGGATGGCCACCCACTCAGCATCGCGTTCTGATGCCGTTACCGCGTCACATCACTGGCTCACATCGCTTGGCCTCAGCAACACCGATAGAACGCGTAACACTACATGCTGATTTATGCGCTGGGTTACCGATTAGGTTGGGTAGGTGGGATTGGTGGTGAGGGTGGAGTAAGGGATGGTGGGCTCGGTGCCACTTGATCAATCAAAAACATCTTGGAGGCCATGATACCAAAAAGAGTTTTGCATAATCATGAAAAATACGATTATAGCAATGGTATTCACTGCAATGATGTTACAGTTGTTACGATATTAAACTTCTACATGTGCTACGTGAAGCTACATTATGCCCGTGGAAGGGAGAGCGGAGTATCGTTCAATGTCCATCTCATCCGACAGATTCCCACTTTTCCCACCTTCGAACTCTTTTTGGGGGGTGTACCTTATTCTGTTCCAGGTTTTGATCTGTAAGATAAGCAATCACTGAGCCATTTGGGTCCCTGAGTCGGATAGAGAATGAACAATATGAGAAAGAACAACAGAAAAGAGAGCAACGCGCCGCCAAGTATTCCTCCAACAGCACTCTCCGTCATATTCCCTTACAAATCACTTGACAGCTCTGCACAGCTTTGAGCAACTTACCCAAGAGGTGGTAGCAGTTGAGCAGTGTATCCTCAATTGATGTTGCGATATGATTAACGTCGCCTATATTATCACGATCAAGGGTTTAATACGGTAAGCATTAATCAACCCTTCAAGTATCCTACCACCGGGATACCACGCACCAGCATGCGGATAGCGACGTATCCACGACCAATGCACATGCCCGCCACTGTACCAAAGATTATGTCTTAGAGGTCGCAAATTGACTCTTGATAACCGATATTTGTTGCTAGATGTCTTTTACCTTTTTAGCATTACCATAAATTTTTATGCGCAATCTAATTGCTTATCAGCATAACACCACCACCTCTCCAGAACGTCCCACCATTTCTGCAATGTGAAGACCGGCCACATACAACGCTTAAGTCATTGCCTACTTAAACTGCATCGGTGTATGTTACACATCGGGTTGTACTACTGCACTCCTAAAGTTCACAACTTGACCATCCACCAACTCGCCCAACATTCATTCGTTCCGATACCGTATAGCAAAACCATTATTACGCGCAATATCTCTTTTTTTTCATCTTTACGCACAGACGCTATAAAACCCTTTATCCTTTCCAAACCCGACATGATCTGGCATGCGTTGGTTGATAGATGCGTCTCAGATCACAAACTATTTTTATATTTCTTCGCAACGTTCAATGTTATAGTTTGACCATTTGGCGTATGCGATCATAGCGTTCATTCGTTCGTCTTACATAATGTTAGTAAGGGTATCATGCCACACTGGTCATCCCCAGGGTGCAACAGTCGACCAAAAAATGCTTTAAAACTTCTTTGATGCGCCTCTCTAAAAAGTCCAGTCAACCAGTTCGCTACTGGCATCCACAATGTCCCTTTACCATCACATTTCGATGTTTCGGAACATGTTACAGTATTTAGTACCAAATTAGTCGCTGTGGGGGCTCTGGGGTTTTTAATTCTAATATGGTTAAGTGGTATGATGCATGGTGTCAGCGCTGTTATCATTGGCACAGTGGATATAGTTCACCAAAGAACAGTCAGCTGAAGTATTTATTAACGAACTGCTGCGGTGTAAGAGCTTGACTGAGTGGCCATGATTGTAGGCGTCCACTCAGGTAGGCAATCCAATAGCACGGGGCAGAGTTCAGCAGTGGGGATTCAATGACCCGACCAATATTAAGTCGCAACTGAGCAATTATTCCACGTGGAGACCTTGAGGAAGTACCAATTCAATCACTGATCCCGATGCAGTTGTGGTGAAACCCATATTGCGAATAATGATGAGAGGTTAATCCGTTGACGACAGTGATGCATATGAGATTCCGCGTCTCAAAATGGGCAATCGTGAGACATTTGTAGTTGCCTTTTAATAATTTTCCACCAGCGATGGTGATGCCTCGATTTGGAAAATTGATGGCAGGATTTCGAAGAGAAAGGTCAACACCTAATTCATCAACCCATTTCATGTCCCTCTTGTTCGATGCCTTGCAGTGTATTTAAAGGCCACTGCCACGTCGATCTGTGCTCTTTGAAACAGACAGCGCCTGGTGGAAATGTGAGGCGAGATGCTTCGGATGAGGAATCCACAAAAGGTTCGAAACGACCTCGTTGAGGGGAACGAATTGGAACAACAGCAGAGCATGCGGCATTAGATGCTGACTAATTCATTCTTTTAGAATGATGCGCCACAATCGCTTGCGAATGTCAACGTCCAGTGGTCCATTTCGTTCGTAGCTTAGGCAGAGCGCTGGGCCTCATCCTACATATAACAAGCGGCTATCCTGATTAGTCCGTAAATTCATGTTCTGTGAATTGAACCACTGACATGGTAACCACGTCTGTGACCTGAATGAGTCACTTTATACCTTCTTTATCTCGCGGGGCGCATAGCAGACGGCCATATACACCAGCGCAGGCTATAAGGTCAGATTGTGACGAACTATATTGTAATATTAAATATATTATGAGTAAGCCTTATGTATTGGGCAGAGTAGGATGCTGTGTGGTTCCATGCTTATCCACGGAGCCATGCATCTTCAATACCGGCTCCTAGAAAGCACTTTAGATTTTGCAAAATTTTACAGAGCAACCGTTATCAGTAAACACATTACAACGTATCCCTGCCACGCGAAATTAAGCTATCGCATTCCACAACTTTCACCGCTTTCTAGGTGAGTTGTTAATTGCTGTTCAGGGTTTATTGATAGATAAGTATGACGCTGAAGATTAATGATCCGCGGTGTACATGTTGCATCGGCAATAAGTGCGATACGGCTGAATGTAAGTGCTGTTGGTGGTGTTGCAAAGATAGGTTAATCGCCAACAACAAATGTAAAAAGGACTGTTACAAAAGAGTATGTGACGATTGTAAATGGAAGCCCATATGCATTGGATTTGCCGTAGCGTTGGTAGTTTTGTACATCATGTACCTCGTCGTCTGGGCGCCGTTCCCCGCCATGGACAGATTACGTTCATACTTCAGTGGTTACTACCCTACCCTGGGTAACCAGGAGAATTTTCACCATTGACCATAATCTCACCTAACATTCAACTAACAATATAATGTAACAAACATGTTTGATTATTCTTCTACTGGTTGAGTTGTAAGAGCCGACGGTATCATCCCATGGTGACAGTGGGGCTGAGTAAGTGGGCATTCAGGTTGGCAACTGACACGTACCATCCAATGAAGTACCGACTCGTCTATTAAGTGAGTGGGGTTGGAGATGCATGTTATCGACTGAGAGCGTAGCTTGGCCATGCATGGGTGCGTTCTCGCGGACGACACCTGGACGCCGATGTGACAACCACGTGGAGGCGTACTTAATGGGCATTGATGGTTAACACTTTAGTGATAACTAACATCACGATTCCACTGTGTACTATTTAATCACTCGGTGGCGCACCCGTAGAGTGGCAAATAATAAGTGATCAGTGGAGTTGGGGCCGTTTTCATGTGACTTATATTCCGTAATGGTACATCGTCAGCACCAGGTTCACAACCATGCACATGAATACATGTAGCAACACTGGATGTCCATTGTGTGTTCTTGTTGCGAGCTCTTGGGGAACACGTGCCCCAGCATACGTTGGACAGCACGCCACATGTGTGGTTATAGGAGCTATGCGTCATCAGTTCGCCGATGATGGTTAAGGTTTGAGATACATTTTTTATTGGTTTTCAGGGGGTTTGTCGATAGATCTGTGAGGGAAGATGAGTACGTCATCAACGTGCCAATGTACAGGAGGAACGTGTGATGCGGAAGGATGCAAGTGTTGTCCTTGGTGTTGTCCAACATGTAGGGATGACAAGTGCCAGAAGGGTGGGAAGAAATGTAGTCAACGGAAAGACAATTATAAATGCGGTCCTTTGGGTTGTTGGCAGTGCAAAAATTGCTTCACCTGTGAATGTGGGTGCTGTAAGGACCGCAGAGGACCATTGGGTTTCGCCATCTTTCTAGGCGTCTCCTTTATTGTCGGCTACATCATATATGTCGTCGTCTGGGTGCCTAACCCTGCAATGGACAGATTACGTTCTTACTTCAGTGGCTACTACCCTACCCTGGGTAACTGGGAGAATTTCCACCAATCTCCATAATCTCACGCATCCGACAGTGTAACTACAATTTAGGAAACTAATGTTAATGTATCATCGTATATCTCCATCTCTTGTTCCGTACGCTGGCGTCATTAAGAGCTTTGGGGCATGTTACTGTATACTCTCGTGGTATTGTGACACCTGTAATCCAATCAGCTCTTATAACTCCATGGTATAATTGCAGTGACATAGTGTTTATTCTCAAAATAAAACAGCGTTGTAGGGTGGAATAAGCCCGGGCCCTATGACACGCAGGGCCAGTCTATATCAGCTGCGGCATCTTACTTCTATGCACCGCTATAGCGCAACATTGAAGATCAATTCAGAATATTTGTGTAAGTGGGCGACTGTGAGAAGTCCAAAAGTATAATATGCGACGCATATTGTTCTAATTTCTACAATCGATAAGCCTCATGGTGGACGGCGCTACCTTATGATACACAGAAACCGAATACAAGTGGGATGGTTGCAGTGGTATTGCATACAAAAGCCGCTTACAGTCATAGGGCTGCGTCGTGAACCCGAGTTCGTCGGAGTGCAACTTTTCATGAGGTTGTAGACATCAATAATATTACATACGCATTGTATAATTTCTGATAATGTGTTCACCTGTTTAGTTATCGAATATATGTTAACACATATATAAATGCGCTCTCAAGAGGTTGGATGGTGAGCAGTTATTTATTAAAGCCACGTTGCGATGTTTCCTAGTAGATGAAACAACCACATTCATATGACGCTGTCAGTACACATCCTTTATATGTGTTAACATCTCCTTGATACGCTTCGTTTCAACTTCTATCAGAAGGTCTTCACCGCTTTTAATCAGCACGTCGTGGCCCTCGAACTTGGTGCTCGCAGCTTCCACCAGCTCATCCTTCTGGCGATTTAACTCATTTTGTACCTGCAATATGTGTATAATACTGCTTTTTAACTCTTGGGACGCACATGCTTTGGAAGATGTACCGTAAATTGCAAACATACCGTACGTTTAGTGGAATCCTCTTCGAACTTGAGAAAATGCTCCTTAAGCTTTGCCAACCGTTCTTTGGGTTCCAGTCCATAAAACGGGAATTTTTCCATCTTTGTATTTGATTAGAATATGGTCATCGGGTCGGAATACCGGGATGTGTCGGGGTGAATGTGTATCAGGAGATATCAAAAAATTCGCCACGGATTTCACCAAATGACGGAGACTTTACGCGTCGATCATCCTCTACGGGCCAATTTCATCACGGATTTGTGGCGATGCTTGGGAGGACATCTGCGTGTGAAGACTTCCAGGGGTGTAACCGTCGAATCAACTCGCCTGAGTAACATACTGGAAGAAGCCGAAAGTACCAGCCCGTCTTCATCAGCTACTTCTAATGGATCTGCAACGACCAAGTCGAACGCTTTTATCACGGATAGGCTGAGTGGAGATGCCAGATTCTTGCTTTTTGCCGGTGGATTGGCTCGACCGGTGAAGGGTGTGCAGGCGGTGGAAGGATTACATATATCTCTCGTTCGCGGTAATTCATTTGCCATGTCAACATATAGCTTGCAGCAAATATAACGTACGACAATGAGGATGGAATCTTGGAGGTTGTGCCGACAGAAGCGACGAAGCTGCCTCCATGCCCTGCTGACGTAACTGCATGGAATCACTACTCCACATACACAGAAGGGATAGAGTACGGCTCATTCACAGTTGAAAGCCACTGCTCGGAGCATATGACACGATTATTAAGCGAATACGCGTTCAACGAGGGGAATGGGAATACCATGTCGGCACCGCAGATAGGACCGCTTGATGCCGTGCTCTACGTTCTGTGGCATTGGGCTAGTGAGTCCACCAACAAAGCAGCCATCAGCCATCTGTCTACTATTAACGAAGACGTGGCCAACTGTTTTTCACATGAGAACGTGAAGCGCCATTTTGGCAGCATGCTAATACCCCAGAGCCACCACATTCTCGAAGGGCCGCTTCTAGATTACCTAAAGTCGGACAACATGAGCATGCCGCCATGTATCGACCAAATAACGTACAACGATGTAGAATCGGGTAGCGATTTCGATGGATATGAGTCGATGTCTGATTCTGACACCAATTACGACTGGTCAGCAGTGGAGCCATTCGTGGAAACGCTTAAGGCGTTGATTGCCAAATATCAATCGGTAGTTCCCAGCATTAACGGTGTGTTTCTAGACGATGCGCTCTGGGTGGCCAATATGAACATTGAATGCACATCCCCCAGGTACGTTCCACCACCATGGCGATCACACAGTTTAGGGAGGTCTTGTTACTGTTGAAGTCTTCCACCTGTTGGCAAGAACTGGTAGGATCAAAAGGGTATTTGACCATATACCCGGGCATATACTTTCGAGGAAGGCTGCAATTGAGATGTTTCGTGTTTAAAAATGAGCTTGTGTGTGTGGAGCAGATCTTCGTGAATGAGAACTTCGGCTTTCTGGCGAAAGACGCACAGTCCCTAGTGGGATCTTTGAAGTCTTACTCACCCCGTATAATGGAAGTTTTAAACAAAGCAGGGGTTCAGAGCGCCATATTTGACGTAACGGTATCCACGAAAAATGGCGAAATAGAAATGCTAAACATTTACCGGTTTGGGTCTTTACCAAACGGCCTGCTGCAGCTAGAGGACATCTATCACTTCTACTACACGGGTAAAAGCGACGGTTTGAAACCGCCGGAGCTCGCCGATATGGCCGTGGTAGATGGAGTGCTCGTTGTGTTCGTGGGCGCCAACTCCAGCAGACTGAATAAGCACGCGTGGTGCCCCAAAGATATAGGCAATCTGAGCTTCAACACGCACGAGGACCTCATCGACTATCTACGCTTCCAAACACAAGAAATGTAGTGTACACTTTTGTGATGCAATTTCCAAATTATGAGATTTTGCTGTCGGCATAGTTGCTGGGGAGATGCAACACTATATACGCCACTCACGGAGCGCAAACCCATTGTATGACAGACATAGTTTGTTAATTTTACAAACAGCTGTAGCAGCCCTTTGGGGTCAAGGTTAACCATAACAAATAGGGCCGTTTAGACTTGCTGTTACGTGGCGCACGAGGGGGTATTCCAAGGCCATGTGTAAACTGAAGCTACATCCCGCACTAACGCCGATGCGGCCATCAATGTGGCTCCCCTAAGGTCGGTACACATCTGTGTCCACAACATTGCAATGCAGAATCAGAATTGGAACGATTGCCCACAGCCACACTTTGATGTGACATTAGGGTTGTCGAATACGAACCCCTCCTCTAGTTGCGATACCTGGTAGTCGATGTTGCAGCCAAGCAGGTGGAATGCAGCCTTGTTCTCAATGGCCAAGACAGGTTCCCCCGCTTGGTCCCTGACAATTTCGTCCATTGCGTCAAGCGATGATATATCTACCAGTTCCATTTCGTACGAATACCCATTGCAGCCTTTAACTACAAACATTAGCTTGACGATTTTCCCGGCTGCAGCAATATGAGCGGCGGTCGTATGAAGTTGTAAACCTACGGGTGTTGCATATCTCACGAAGCCGACTGATGGCATTTGATGTAAGTGTCACCAGTTGCCCCTTTCTAGAGTTAACGGGCCGACGTTTCACCTCGAAGGCGGGAGATGCGGTCGAGAATAGCGCATGGTGCACTGAGCAGGGCTGAAGCAGTGGCCAGGCACTAGATCTCGTCTTTGTGAAATCAGCAGCATCGTAAACACTTGACGGTGCTCTACATTGCGAATTTGGAGTCTCAGCGCCTGGTGTGGAGCGGTTAGAGCTGGCCGACGCCTGAAACAAAAATGGCCGGCAGCTCACAGCCGCAAAGCAGCGCCGATCGGCGACCAAGGCTTCCGAAAAACTCGAAAAAAATCTCCGTAGCATCATAATGGCTCCATATTCATGATAAGATGTGAATTAATGCCGTGCACGGCCCAAATTGAGATAGTCACATCCAGATGTCCTTCACGACCACAAATCCGTATCAATGCTAAAGTTGACAAAAGTGAACCAACAATGCAGCTTCACTTGCCATAAATTAATTTCAAAATGGTTTTTAATACGATGTGTACTATTAGACACGTAATGTGAACACTAAATCGCAATCAATAGTCCAGGCCACACCGGTGGATCTGACCACGAGGCACAGTGCCGCAGAATGTACGAAACTCATAAGCATGTGAAATGCCGCATAAGTGCACGCCAATACTTCGTACATATGACGCGAGACTACGATATTAAAAATGCGAAAGCGTTGACTACGAATAGTCAGCTAAATGTCTCTCCAGAGCACGATCCTAGGGTCGCGACGGCAGAAGGCCCGAGTGGCCAGCGCGAGGTTGTCATCGGTCTGCATGACCCTGCCCTTGCAGCCGACGAGGACGTCCTCGTGTTCCAACGCGTTGCGGCCGTAGACGGCTTTCTTGAGGTCCGCCACCGTGGCCGAGTCATCGAGGTAGACCTTCTTGCCATTCTTGAAGCCCTCGATTAGCGGCTTGCTGCCTTTAATCCACCTCCATACGCCCATAATCGTGTCGTCCACGTAGTTTAAGGCGTCAAGTAGAACGGAGGCTGATGTCTCATCGGGTTCGGAAGTTTGCTTCTGCACAGAGCCGCTTTCGATCTGGTCCAGGTAGTCGACCGGACCCCCCGCAGTGGGAGCGATGTAAAGGCGATATCCCAGACGAGTGTCGGCGCGAAAACGTGTGTACCAGATTACGCTGGGGAAGACGAATAGCATCACGTACTTGTTGTTGCTCTGGCTGTAGTAGAACGAGTTGTAGATACGACCCAATCTGTACCGCAGGCTGCGACGAGCCGCGGTTAGGAGCCCGCACTGGCTCATTGTCGAAACCACGAACGCAACAATGCGAACGGTGTGTCGAAGTCCGAGGTATAATGTCACAGGAGAACGGAGCGGCGCACTGGCTCCGATTACGCGATATAGCCCGCGGCGCTCAGCGCAGGCGTGCTAACCAATTTATACACCGCCAAACGTGCAGTTATTGGCGCCGGTGGCGGACGGCAGGCGTAACCTTCTGCTATATGTTGGGTAGTACCGCTGCCACTGCGCGCGTACGGGTCTAGCGGCAGAGGAAGAAACAGGTTTCGGGCGCTAAGGAGAAACACGCTATACTCTCTTCAAAAGGGCCCAGTCTCCGGCCGATGTGTTGACCGCACTGGCCGCGGCGCCCCGGGCTCGCGCGGCAGCCGACGGCCACAAGCAGCAGCAGCGCCGAACGCCAACCGACCGGGCAACCGCGATGGAGATACTCCTAGAGACCGCTAAGGTGCTCACGTCGTCGCTCAGCAAGTATGCGACGTCCGTGGTTGTGTCGGCGGCGTCACGCAACTATATGTGAGCAACGAATGAACCTAATTATATCAGCCGCAGCACTCACAGGACAGTTCTAGGAATTGGTATGGCGCGGCACAGATCGTCAGTGCGCCGGAAGTTGAGCGGAAAGTTCTTCAACTTCAGTCCCTTCCGCGAAAATGCGGACACTAAAGTCGAGGTAGTGGTCAAGCCCATCGACGACGAAGAGGCTATAAAGGTTAGTTTACGGCGACATAAAATACAAATGACCACAGCTTGGAGCCGACCTCATCGCTGACGTTCTGTTGATGTCGCTCATGTTCACGTATATGTTTTACTCTCTCTATCTAAGGTGGGTGGAATGCTGCTCAGTCGCACCGCGGCGGTGGAGCGAGCCTAAAGACATGGCCGTTGCACCCGCAGGAGGCGTAATCGTCGGTCTAATTACCGATATTCTAAAATTATATGAACCTATAAAATGTTATAGGCGCAAAAAGTTCAACGATCTGTGCGACAGACAGAAGGAGCGCGAGCAGTTCATACTGGCCCGTCTAGAGTACCTCGAGGCGGAGTTGCGCAAGCTTCAGCAGGCTGGCACAATTGTACAATAGCACTCGTAGCTAAATTAATCGCATAAAATGTCAAATTGTGTAGTTTGAACTTGGTTTGCGGCGCCGCGGTTGATCGCGGTATGCGTGTTGGCGATGCATAGAATCTGCGCTTTGTTCAGACGAGCATTCACGGCCGCAAACGGGAGCATCAGTCCTACTTCGAGCGCCAACGAAGTTGTGTGCGGGTCACAGAAGACACTAGCTTTCCGACGGCTGGTGTGTGATCGCCTTTCGCTCTCGTCGTATTCGCTTCTAGATGACGATTTCAGACGACTTTCCAGGTATAGCAGCGAGGTTTTAACGACCAATCAATGTGTATTACAGGAGTAGCAAGGTGGTTTTTACCGGACTGAGTGCCTTCCTTGTAGTACCCGGAGGATTTGCGCTACTCACGACGCCGTCTGAAGTCTCATACGACCTCACATCGCATCAATTCAAGCTCAGCAGCGCTACACTGTCATGGCTCTCTGCAACCGCGTTGACGTTTTATCTTACGCGATATCACAAGTCGACGTTAACGTACGTGAAAGAAACACCCATGCATCATTTCTCTTTTAGCATTGGAGTGACACTTGTTGGACTTCTGGGATCGTGGGGAAGTCTCATCGCGGAACGATACTCTGAGTTCTGCGGTTATTGTGGTCTTTTAACGAGCTATATACTGTTCGGAGTGGCAGTATGTCCCTATCGATTGCGACCTCTACGTCTCACAGGTAATGAAACTTTCGGCCGACGCATTCTATTAACTGATACATTTTAACACTGTGTAACACTGTTTTGTTGCGGATTAATGTCGAATGCAGGGCTTCGAGTAATTAATCACGATGCCGGAAGAGCGCTCGGCCCTGGCGGCTCACGTGGCACCCCGCTTATGCCCGCTTGCGTTGCCAAGCCGATATTCTGGGCTGCGGGCCTCAACACTTTGCTTCTGATGTTGACGGCATGGAGAAGGTATTATGTTAGGGAGAAACTTGCCACCTCTAAGCCGGAGGATATCATAAGACGGTACGAAGCAATCCACGGACGACCTGATTGAGTCGTGGCGTACTCAAAACCTAATTTGTTATACATCCTAAGCAGTCTTATCGAATTTTATGCTTGGATCATTCCAGCTGGTCAGTAAATGCATCTATTGCTGTATTCGCTGTGCTGCTATGGTGCTAATGGTGCAATTTGCTGCTTACAACATGGGGCGCTTTTTAGTGTTCACTGGTTTGCCTACGTCACGGTGCCAGCTGTGCTCCAGGCAACAGTCGTACGCCGTGCCGCGGATGTGAGCCTCTCATCAGGTGGGGCTCGCTGCTTCTTTGGTGGCACTACATCACCGAGTCTTCATGGTCGCTGGCCATCATGGCACTCATCGTAAACATGGGGTTGCCAAATTCCTGACTACAGATAACTTGCTAAGCAATCAGCACCTTCAAACTCACTACCTTAAGTGCCACATTTATAGTTCTCAGTTAGCAGAACACTCTCCATTTGGGCTGCTTTACCGGGTATCTAATTCATGCATCATCTGTAGCTTCGTCTCCACTGGCTTATATCGCTTGCTAATTTCAATCTACACAGTGGTTATAGCTATATTACGCCGGTCCGTGACGATTATGTCCAGTAGGTTGTTCTCAGTGGCTTGCTGCGAGGAAATTCCTCTATGGGCACAATTACGTTTCGTCAATTCCCAAATTTTTTGTTATGTAATGCACCAATTTTTCTGTTAGCATTATAAAATTTTACTCTTTATCGAACCCATCCGCTTTATTTACCGATGATGCCAACTAGCTCCGTTGAGGAAAATTCCTCGATGTTGATGTCTACCTGCATCGATGGGGTGCTATCCGGCTATACTTGAGACGAAAATTACTAGTACCAACATTTTTGTGGTTTCATGTATCCATAATATCTATTTTGGGTTAAACAACTTTATTCAGCGTAGTTTCGTCGGTCGCACGAAGCAGAATACGCAGCGATGGCAAAGTTCAGCATCACGAGGTGTCTGTGGGCATTTTTCGCAATCTGTCTATATTGGACGAGAATTACTGATGCAATTGACTGTGATTTCGGATATCCACCTGGATTACTCAGCAGCAGTGCTTTAGTTGGATGCCATATGGATATCGATTCCATTGAAAACACGATTGTGAAATGTCCACGCCGAGTCAACAACACCGAGTACGTATGGCACCCGAAACCAACTTGGCATGAGCACGCTCAGTTCAACACGTACGTGGGTGAAAATGGCAATCTTGTTTCCGTTGATATTTCGGATGTAGTGCACTCTACATCCGGCACTCAACCCATCTGGTTCGTATTGAATGTTTCACAAACGGAATTGCATTTTAAAAAGCTTTTTAACAAATCTGCCAGCATCACTAAAAGACGTCTTATATTCATCTGTGGTCCGCGAGATTTGGTTTTGAGTGATACGCTGCAAGGTTACCTTGATAACCTCAATGAACTTGACCAAATGCAAGCTCTTCCATGGACTCCAACAACGCCTTTGACGGAAGAAATTGCCCAGATAGGGAATGGATTGGGTGTGTTTTTTCTGAACAGAGGACGTACGGATGTACCTCTTCAAGGCTGTGGAAGTAGCCCTTCTCCACTCTTTTATTCGGATAGTGAAGTAACAGTGGATCCTGTAACCGGAATACGTTCATGCGTGGTGGATCCAATGTCGAATTCACGTATCGGGTTTCTCTGCGAGGGCAAGATTGAACCCAATCATTGCATGAGATGGCTCTTAGACACAAATGGCAGACTTGTTAACGTTCCTCAACCATATTCATATTGGAATTTTGATCACCATAAGCCTTGGGTGATAGCGCAATATTTTAATCAATTAGCATTGCCGCCCATCAATGGCGAATGCAGGTGCGTTGATTCCGAAACAGGTCAGGTGAAGGCAAGGATGGAAATCCGTACGAAAACCAACTACGTTTGTGACATTTCCAGCATGATAGAACGCAACCGTGCAAGTCCTATAAGTGGCCCTTGGTGTTCGGTGATACTACATCCAGGCAGCACATTGACGATTAGGTTCCCAGTAGAGGGCGTGGATTCTGACTCCAGCGATGAGCACGGCTTGCAAGTGCTGCATACCGGTGAATCCGAAGCTGAAGTCCTGCCGAAGGACTTGAATACCCTGCGACAACTGAAATCAAATGATGACACCAATGCTTACGACGAAGTCTTGTACAACGAGGCCCTGGTTGGTGATGCTCTTGAGCTGGATGTTTCGCAAATGTACCGCGGCAAAGTAAAGCTGAAATACCATATAGACAAACCTCTCTCCTTACGAGAAGGACTCAACTCCTTCTTATATCATTTGACTTCGATATATAAAAGCGGGGATGTCCACGATAAGATACGCGCCATTGTAAATGTCTCATTCGCGTTTACCCATCGCTACAGGATAGTGGGTTGCGATCGAGGGCCACAAAGTGTGTTTGACCCTCACCTAAACAAAGAGCGTTGCGCACTCAAATCGATGGGGAATGCTTTAGGGAGTGTTTATGAATGCCTCCATGATTTGCGGCAAGTCCTTCAAGCTGGCATTCACTGCAATTTAGACGAAGAGCTGTTACCAAACGACTGTAACTCCCTGGGGTACGAGCTCTACTCCAATAGCATTATACCTATGCCTTTCTCTGTGAAAAAGACGGTGCAACATCCCATTCGACGGTTTAAGCTGTTCGACTTTTTCATTCTCGACAATGGACCTGTCAGTTATGCTTGCATTTGCGTCGACCAACGTGGATATGAAAAATCGAAACTCACTTTAGAGTACAACCATGAAAAGAAGTACCGCTACACAGTATGTCTAAAAAAGGAATCTCATGCATTACTTCCTCACATATTGCTGCCTTGGGATGAGGCCAAATTATCGGGCGAAGAACCCAGAGCACACAAACCCCTTATGATACAGCATTCACAGGATACCATTAAGATAAAAGTGGGAACTACGTTGTTACTCTCTTGTGAAGCCGGCTTGGATGTGGGTCACCTACTTATCGAAAATTCAAGCATTCACGCTGATCCGGGCAGGAATGCGTTGACATGGCTGCCAGAGAATTCTGAAGACTTCTATTATACAGTGAACCAGACCCCCGATGGGCCTGCGCTTGTAAAAGCGGCGTACACAGATTCACTTGTTACTACGCCGGGAGGCCTGGAAGTTAGATATAGCGAGTATGACAAGAGACGACGATGTAAAGAATTGGCGATCACATCGCATAGAGGCGCCATTCTTATTTCTAAAGATCCGCTACACAAGAAATACGTGCCCATTAGGTACGTCTGCGGTAAGACGCCCGACGCATCGGACCTTTCCGTCATCACTGGTAAGATGTCTGCTTTCCCCAATCTACCGACTATCGGATCCTTGGCACGATACACGTGGAATGTCGTTAAGGTTAACGTCGAGACAACGGACCGCTACATGCAAGGCTGCGGCGTCACATACTCGTCGGACGAGTTGTTCAAACCTAAGACGCCCCGACTTTACGACGATAACGGAGACCCTCAGTTCGGCTGCAAGATTGACATTCAGGCTGCAGGAGAAGCGGCGTTCTACTGCCCGGCACCCTACGTCCTGGACCCACCCAAATGCTTTAGGCAAGTCTCCGTGGACGGTGAGGTAAAGAACCTAAGCGGCCTCAGCCAGTCGTTGGTGGCATCTCGATCCAACCATTTCGTCATCCTGAGATTCGATCGTTCCCGAGCCGTATTAGGTGAGACCCTGCGCCAGATGCCTCCGTTGGAGTGCCGCTGCGTCACCGTCAAAGGGATCGTTCTCTCCACCATCCATATCGAAAACTACTACGCCAAGTAGTGAGTTGATTAGTGAGGACAACTAGTTGCTGAATTATGCGAATTAATTTGCTTTCATGGTTGATGGTTATTTATTAAGGTAGCAACATGGCTTTCGGTTGTCAATAGTTTATTGCGGTTGACAATTTAACAGCATCGTATTGCATTATAATAGCTGGTCTTATTGCGTATAAGAGGTGGGAGGTCTGTGTATTAGGGTGAAGTGGAATTACGGGGCACCATACCTTTGTGTTTTCCGTAGTGCCGGAGTGAGGACGGTGTGGTAGCGACAATTATATACATGTTCACGACTTAAAAGCTACGCAACTACTTTAACACATGACCATACGTAATAATTGGGCTGTAGTGGCGAACCTTCCTAACTCCATTAATGTTGGTGATCTACCACGGCGGCACTTTGTGGCCACGTTAGCCGGCTGGTGGGGAGGCATACATATATGCCTTTATCTACTCCTTAGATGTTTACAAATCACCACATCATGTGCTTTACAGAGCTACAATGAATCATACCGACATTTCGGAAGTGCGCGTTTCTAGGCGTCAACAGACTCAGCCACATTGCTTACAACTTGATGGGACGGGTGAGGAAAAGCAGGGTTGTACTTTATATTGTGATTCGGGTGTCAGAAAGGAGCTCAGAATTTTAGAAACAAAGTAGGTTACTGAGGTGGGTGAACAAGCTTATACACAAGGCAATTCAATGAGGAGTCCGACCTCAGCAAGGCTGGGAAGTGGGGCGTGGCCATATTACGTGGTTCCGTGTTAACATCATAAGCATACAGGAAATGAGTATCATATATGGGATTATTCGTAATTATTGAGAGATTTAGTTAGTTAACTGAAATGAGGAGTGTTGTTGGGTGGATAGCACGTCCATACCAGGTGGCAGGTGAGTACCAGGAATGCGCCCGGTAGCATTTTAAGGCCCTCAACACCGGTAGGAGATATAAAATATGCCATCATTGATGCGTAATTTCACAACTTGACAGACGTTTTAACAGCTGAATATGGGGTAAGGTCTGCAATATATATGACCAGCTGGGAGTGGCATCTCTGGTGCTAAGCGCGCAGCTGTGGTATACCTGGCAGTGCGCTGGATGGCGGCTGCTTGGATGTCGCAGAACTCTGAGGGGGTACGGCTTGGAGGTGTCACTATGCGGGCTCAGAAGAGGCATCCTGGCCGGCACTCGGAAACCCAATAGGGTGTGCTGTATGCCTACCGTGAGCTGGAAGTTCATGCCAGTCAGGCCCCGGCTCTACCGGGTTACTGGATCGGTCGCCTCCCCCCTCAGGTGAGTGGGATGCTTATGCGATGGACATGTTCATAGCTTTAAGCTAGACAACCCAGGCCTGCTTTGTTGTACTACATTGACCCACTTAGTTGTCACGCGGCATCTCACTTCGCAGCCTGTTCACTCAGTCTGCTTAGCGGTTTAGCTACGCTGTATGTATAAGAGGCGTCACCTTGGAGGTTTTATGACTCTAGTGTCTCCTGGTTAGGCATTTAAACGCTTTCAGTTGTACTTTTGTGCGAGTAGCCTAGCGCCCATTTATTAGTGTCTTTGTGCTCTTTGATTTGGTAAGCAAGATGGCGAAGCACGGAGTTAAGTTAGACACCCTCAGGGACTGCTTTGAGTTCCTGCATTGGTTGAATAGTAGGAAAGATGTGCAAAAACAGGTGGCTAGAGAACTGGTGACGCGTTATGGAAATTCTTATAATCATATTTCGTTTACGGGCCAACTGCCACCTGCTGTCTCCGAATTCCTCGGGTACGTGTCCACGTTTTATAAGAAATTAGTAGCTACACCAATTAAGGAAAGTTATGTCGATCCACAAGCAAAAGATGTCACCGAAGCCCTCCTTGACTGCATTCCCAAGTTCCTCGCCGCTTTGTATTTTTTGCTCTACAATGTGGATTATAAGTTCGAAGCAGTGGGTGGGGCGAAGTGGAGAGATGATAACCCTGGGTGGGAGACTACTTGGTCGAGATACTTTTGGCAACAAGAGTATGGAGGTGGGCTGCAGGATTATCTCAGGGTGTCACTGAGCGATAAGTACGGTGGCCTCATCCCCGGCGGCTTCAGTTACGGCGAGGTGACGTATGGTTATGAATATGATTCTCGCTATGGCTATCCATACGGTAAGGATATGACTACGGACCTCGAAAAAATGCTGGGCAAAAATACCGACCACAATTATTTCCGGGACGTATTTTTTACAACAGTCATTTCTAAATCCGGCTTACAGAAATCGAACACTGCGAACGTTCTTGCATTGGTGAAAACGTTTTGCCAAATCGTAATTGCGGAAAAGAACCCTGATGGTGGAAGCTTGAAAGCAGCTTTGGAAAAGGAGCTTAAAAGTAGCAAAAAATGCATAGATTGGAATCAATTAAAATCCCATTGCAAAACCCTTGAGCACCAACTTGGCAAGTTGTTCAAGATTGAGGGCTTTTCCTACACCGGCCAGGCGCGGAGTGTTAATGAGCTCAACACTGAGAGATTTGCGGGGGAGACGGCAAAATGGTTTAGAAATAATCTGAGCGAAGTTCAAAAGAATGTGGAACAAATAAATAAAGATTTCCCAGTTGACGACACTCTATATTTGACTGCTCTTCGGCCTTTTGCAACCAAGAACATATTCCCCTACGGTTTTATATTTGGTAACCAAGGCTATGGGACGATGGGATACGCGTGGAAGAAGTTGTCAGATCATTGGGACAGTGTCATAGACATGCTTGGCAGCGATGGTGACGGTTTGGATAAGTTGAAAACGCTGCTGGATGGTGAGCAGTGCCCTCCGCCTCAAAAACCACGATCAAGGCCGGCGCCTGCGCCCAGGCCCACAAGGCCTGCCAGGCCTGCACTACCAGGGATGCCTAGAACTTCGGGTGTAAGGACAACCGGTGCAATGAGTGTTGGAGGTCGGTCGTATGTTGGTAGTAAGGCTTCTGGTGCTAGAGGAGGAACCGCAAGAGGGATGGGGCCCCACCATAGAGGAGGGGGCCAAGTTAGAGGAAGGGCACCGGGGGCTCCAAGAGGTAGCGTACAAGGCCCAGGGAATAGAGGCGCTCCAGGGGCCAGGGGCACACAGGGGAGCAGAAGTCCAGGGCCTACGGTGCTAATTCAGCGCCGGGCCTCACAATCTCAAAATGATCCCCAGCATCATTCCCAACAACCTCCTCTTGCCTCCAGTGCTCCTGGAGGCGCTGTACTCCCTGCATCTGTTGGTCCGCCAGGTGGTACGACTCCGATTTCACCGGCCGGTGATGTCACTCCAGGTATGTCAGTCCATTCTGTTTCAGCTTCTGGTCCAACCGGAGCTCCAGGCCCGACAGGGCCTCATGGTGATAAAGGTGATCAAGGCAAGCCAGGGCCTCCTGGTACAGGGACCACGGTGTCTCCTCAGGACGCAATTTCACCTGCTACTACGTCGGTTTCAACTCCATCTCAAGGCTCTGTAGCATCGCCAGTTCCTCCCCCTCATCCCGGAGGCCCTTCCATCCCTGGTAATCCAGGTGCCAAGGACCAGGATCCGGGTTCACATGGCAGTGTCGCTCATGGTCAACAGCCTACTGCAACTACAGCCCGTGTGCCTCCTCAGTCTCCGGATGTTTCAGATTCACGCTCTGGGTCAACTGGTGGCCAGGGGGTTGGTACACAAGGTAGTCAACATGGTGCTCAACCAACAAGTCAAGGCACCGATCCAACTCCAAGCGGTGTCGATACTACGTCGGTTGTCCAGGCGTCTGGTGGAGCTGGAGAGGGTGGGGGGAATGCATTCACGTGCCCTACTGCGAAGGTAGAAGTGGATGGTCTGAATGGCAATAAAATTTGTCTCTCTAAAGAGGCTTTAAGAAGGGCGTCAATCTTTAAAGATATGTGGGAGAACAGATATAAGGAGATGCAGAAGGAAGATGAGGAGAAGCGTAAACAGGAAGCAGAGGAGGAACGTAAAAAGCAGGAGGAGGAAGATGAGCGTCGACGTCAAGATGCGATTAAAGCTCGGCATCCCATTGTGCCGGGGAGTCACTCCAATTACCATGTCCGCAATCCGTACCACAGATTTCCATATAACAGGTGGTCGTCATCTCCAAGTGGCGACCAAGGGGGAGCCACGCTCGACGGTTTCCCACAGCATGATGCATCGGCAGCAATTCAAGGTGTGAACAAAATGATCTTCGAAGAGCAGGACCTTTGGGACAGGCATTACCTCCAGCAGGAGCAGGGCAAAATTGAGTTGCAGCGAAGAGCGCACAGGGAGCGTGAAGATTTTCTCCGCTCATCGGCGGCTAGATTGGCGGCAGCAGGGTCAGCTAAACGGCATCAAGCACAACAAACAGATGACGACAACATAAATCGGCGTGTTCAAAATGTTACTAGAACTCGGGTGCCACCCAAGCCTCTAAGCTCCGTAACGCTAGAAGATGGTGTCACCTCCGCACTGTCATCGATGACCCATATTACAGACAAAGTAATTTCACATCGCAGCCAACATCCTCCGGCGACACAGCTGCCGAAACCAACACTGTCCGGGCAGCGTCCCGATTCACCGAGAAAACAGCTGGAGACTGTCACACTAGGTGACCATGACATGGCGAACGTAACAAACATTACATTTAGCGATGTTAAAACTCCTGCCGACCCCAATGCATACTATTACGGGGGGCTAACAGGGAACTCTGTGAAAGATGGCTCAAACGTTATACGGCGAAAAACATTTGTTGCAGATTCCTTAGACGCCAGTAAACAATTATTCGAGGAACGACAACGTCGACGCCTTGCAGTGGATGACCAAATAAAACAATCAACGCAAGAAGAAAAGGATGCCTCCAAGGCATGGAAAGATGCGCAGCAAATAGGGTTAGTTGAATTTGTGCAGCAGGGCATTTTCGACGGCCAAGAAGTCAAGCAGCCTGAGCAGCAAACGGACCCACGCCTATATCAGCATTTTATGAGTCCGACGCCGCCTTTCGATTTTCAGATTGACACCGCAGTGCATCATTATAATAATTCACAGCCGCCAAACCCGGGAAGCACAATGGACCCACAGGGCATCGATATTGACGAACAAGTAATCCAACCAACGGAACGGTATGATCACGAAGCTAACCATACTTCAGATATGTTGTCAGTTGCAAACGACTCACAGGTGCCTAAGCTTGTTGGCGGACCAGTTGACCCCGCGCCCTTGGACATTCGAGACGAAAATACACGACACATTGATTTCGACGGTGTTGCCATACCCCGGAATCAGAGGGACAAGCTGTACCTGAAGACACAAACTCCGACCATCCAGTACACCCCGTGGAAACCGGATTACGTCACAAGGCCCAGGTCGGACTCACCCGCAGTAAAAAATCTTATACAGTCCGACACCATTTTTCAGGGTCAGAAAATAAGTCAACCAAAGTTGCAGACTGTTGGTGTACGAATGCCCCCGCCCCTCACGCCAGTGGAGATCGAAGCCCCCCCGGGCGTCATGATCAATGAGCCGATATGCCCGGCAAACTACCCCAGTGCCACCACTGAAAAGCTCCCACCCACCGATGCCTCCAACCCGCCGCCCCGAACGGTGCGTGACATGTTGTGCTGGATCTGTGATTTGCCGTATGCACTAGGCCACTCCGCGCTGAAGCGACACATTGCGGGCTTATTTGAAGGCTCTGAAATAATTGCATCGTCGGAGTCTTTCACAGACAACGATGTCATCGGTGCCCTCTCCGACACCTGTGGCCACGCCAGCTCTGTGCTTGCTGCCATGGAGGGGCCTAAGCCCGCTGCCCCTAACAAATTCCACTACCAGCGCTACGGCGTTCCCCTGATGCACTACTCCGACGACCCCTACACGCTGCTGTGCCAGTTGCTCAACTACGTCTATGCGACGTTACATCAGTTATTGTTCCTGCGCACCATGTGCGGGCGGGACACGCATTCTGGTGGATGGCGCGACTGCCAGTTTGGTAGAGCTGTGAAAGCGTCCGAAGCCTGGCGATGCCGCAAAGATCCAGTAGACCCTATGCAAGGACAGGACCACGGCTGCGACGCCTCCCCCCTGCAAGGCTTTCTCACCGACCAGTCCGTGCTCCCCACCTACTGGTATCACAGGGGCGACATCTGCCGTCGGAGCCGTGTAAGAATGGGCTTTCGTCCGGACCATTTACGTCAAGAGTCGAAGCATGGATTCTACATTTACAACATCCTGACTGGGGTGTGTTATAATAATGTCGACCCACTCGAGAAGCTCTGCAAATATTTTGTATGCCTCACCAGGCGGACGCCGCGCACCACAGGGGAGCTTGTGTCTTTCTTCCACAACTTCGGGAATTCACTGCACAACACATCTTCACAGTTGTCTCCACTGGGCTCCGCCCTCTCCGAGCCACATGGCCACTGCCCCGACTGGGACCGCCTCAAGGACGACGACCTCAATGCCCTCCAGGACATCCGAGGCTCCGCCCCCCCCATCGCCAACTCCAACCACGACAAGGACCATTCCAACACCCTGTCCACGCTGCTTGGCTGCGGCATCACTAACGCCAAGTGCCCACAACTCATGAAGCCCATCACCTACCGGGCCTACGCCCTGTACTCTTCCAGCTTCGTCCACCACTACCTCAGCTGGGCGGTCTATCTGGCAGACAGGCTTTGGGAGTCACTGATCAGGCTGCACTATGATCTCGAGAACCTTAAATGTCACGACTCCAACTCCAAGGCTCTCCACCATTGTGACAAGGCTCTGCTCCTCCTCTACATGCACGGCATCACCCCGCCGGAGGGTGGATCGCAGCAGTCACTCACCTGTTCTAAGGTCATCGATAAGCTGAAGGAAGTGATCTCCGGGGAGCCTATCGCAAGCCTCATGACCGCCATGGACAATTTCCTCTACGGCATCCGCCTCCCCTTCCTCTACACTGTGTTCACACTCTGGGTCATCGCCACACTCTACATCACCCACACGACGCTATACCGCCTAGACGTCTTGCGCATCCGTTCCCACCTCCTCACCACCACGGCATCCCACCTCATCGATGTCAAGGCGCTCCTCAGTCACAAGAGGAAGGTGCTGTCACTTTACGACGACGTCGACTACTTCGACGATGACTTTCACTCATGACTGTAATTATCGTAGCTACATTCACATTACATTCCTCTCTTTGTGTTGCCATGTCATGTCATGTCTCTCATGGTGACTGTATCTCGTGCCTTACCTAGCACCTAACTCACTGCCTAGCCCACCACCTAACTCGTCATCTACTTGCCTCGTTACCTCGCCCCTTGCTTGTGACCTCAGCCGTTAGCTGCTTTGGTTGTTGACCGGCGTCTCCCCGACTCCTCCACCTGCTCCACCTCTGTCCTCCAGTGACTCGCCTCGCCGCCACTTCACAGCTCAGTAGCCCCTCTTCGCTTTTCTCAAAGCACTTTATTCGCCCCTCCCATCTAGCATTGTAGTCATGTTAACAGCAATTTATATGCTTGGAACGCTGAGGCCAAGGATGTCCTTGGCCGTGCGATTGGGAAGGCGCAATTTGTATATGATAGGTTGGGAGATGGTCAGTCTATGATTCAGGGAATTAGTGATATTGAGAGCAATGATAAGGCAATTAAAGAGGCAAATAAGGAACTTGGCACTGAAGTCACGGCTCTAGGTAAGTGGGGTGAGGCCGCCAAGGATGTTATCACCAAGGCGGAGGTGAAGTGTGACAAAATTCTGGAGAAAGTTAAGACAGATGCTCAAGGCCCGATTTATAAGCAAGCTCAAATATTAAAAGAGAAGAGAACAGAGCTTTATAATGCTGCGAAGTTGGCCAAGCAGGCTGTTGAGGCTCAAGTAAAATCGGCCTTGCAGGCTGTTGTAAAAATGGACAAAAGTCTTAAGATGGATTTGAAGAAAGTTAAGGAGGAGATTAAGGATGGGATTGCGGAGGTGATTCAGAAGTTGAAAGTTACTGAGTTAGATTCTTTGGTGAAGATTGATTTGGGGACGTTGAGGAAGAGGATTAGTGATCTAAAAGATAAAGTTACAGACTCTGCTGGCGATGGAAATGGAAACATCGTCGGCAAGCAGTTAGAGGACCTTAAAGATAAGTATGCTACGCTGGATAAAATTACTCATAATGGTGAAAAATCAATCGTGTCTCTGACTGCGGGACTTGAAGGTAAGTTTAAGGATAATATCCAACAGCCGCTTAGCGAAGAGGTCAATAGAGTTTACGCGGCGATTGGTAAGGTTGGTGAGAAGTTTGAAGGTAAGAGTAATATTGAAGGAATTTTCAGACATATTAAAGATAGGGTTGGGGAGATTAAGGGGGAGTCAGGGCAAAAAAAGAGTAAATGGTATCTTGAAGATGGTTCAGGTCTCCTTGGCATTGAGGGTGCGATAAATCATTATTTTGAGGCGTTTTCCACTGGGCATGATTTTAAATGGAAAATAGTTAAAGGCTGGCTGGATGATATGTTGCCGCACAACGGCGTGGTGAAAAAGATACTTAAGGGGCTAGGGTGGGATGAGAAGAGAGGCGATTTTCTGCCGACTGCGTTTAATGTGAACCATAGTCTGACGGAGAAAATTAGGGACACGCAGAATCTTAGCACAGAAATTCAGAAAGGCGTTGACGTGTTCAAAGGTCAACAATCCACCGCCGGCATTCAAGAAAAAATTAAAGCTGTCAAAACAGCCTGCGAGACGTTCGCTGACGCTCTGGATGAGAAGCTCAAGAACTCGGGAAATGGAATAGTCTCTGAGGTTAAGGGTGTGGAGGGGCTGAAGAAAAGCGGCGTCCAAGACCCCAAATGCATCTGCGACTGCTATAATTGCAACTACTATGGTGGAGAAGGGTGTGCCAAGAAAGCTGCCGCCGAATTGATCATGTGCGCACTCACCGCTGTGTCCCGGCAGGTGGGCAAGGAGGTTGATTCCCTTATGCTCGCCGACTACAGGATGGGCGGCAAGGGCAGTAATATGAACATCGCAAAGGCGTTGGATCAAGCTGTTGCAGCGACAAACAAGCTTCACGGTCAGCTCACCGCGGCGACTGCTACCAACCAAGGCACCGACCCAAATGTAAGCCCCGCCCAAGCCGTGGACAAGAGGTTGGAGGCAGTGAGGGATGAGGTGAATACCAACATTACGAATAAGTTTAAAAGCAATGTAATAAACCAACTTGAGATTGAGGTCAAGAAACTTCCCGACGCCGTTAAAGAGTTCGACGAGAAAGCTCAAGCACAGATCAAGGCTGCGGCCAAGAAGGCTATCACAGAGGCGGCTGGGCAGATTAAGGAAGCTAATGGTAAAATAGAGTTTAATGACGATTTTATGAAACAGTTTAAGGAAACCTACGAACCGATCAAAACTGATTTACAAAAACAACTTGAGCAAAAAGTTTATGACCAGTTACCTAAGGCCGGCGGTACAAAGGAAAATACCCATGTCAAACTCCAAGGTGCTCCCAACATTAATAGTTATAATGGTCACGTTGGTCGAAAACACATTGAAGACCTCAAGAGCGGTGATACCCTAAAAGGCATTAAAAGCGGAGGCTCTCTTCCACTGGCGATCGGGAAGATCACAAGTGATGCGATGGCAGGCCCTTTTGCCTGAAGGCGGCTTGTAGGCGTCTAATAGGCATAGAACTTCCTTGATTTGGTGAGCGGGGAAGACATTGTTGCGCGGTGAGTTTTTCATTGGTGTTAAATTGTGTAAAGTTAGTGGCGGTGCTTAAAATTGGCATACGTGTCTTGTTTCTGTCTATGTGCGTCCTACAGTGTAGTAGTGTAGCTGTGATCTTGTGGTGTTAGGTGGTGTTGTAATAACGCGTTGGCAATTGTCCGGTTAGTTAGTCTCCAGAATGGTGCGTCAACCTAAGAAGCTGACGGACTGTCCGGAAAATCTCCGGGAGTCCATCGACTGGTTGATCCAGGTTAAGCATGGGAATGGTAACGGTGAGGATGGTCTTGGGCCTTTGGCTGAGGCTTTGAAAAAGTTGATTACTGAGGCTATTAAAAACGCTAGAGAGAGTCTTAATGAGAGGCAAAAGGAACTTGATTGCCATAAAGATTTCAAGCATTGTGGTGAGTTGAAGCAGCAAATTAAGGATGCTAAAGGTGATGAAAAATCTAAGTTACAATCCAAGTATAATGGCCATTATTCCGAAGTACATGGCTCTGAGTCTAAAAGGGATACAGCCAAGAAGGATTTAAAGGAGCGGCAAGAAAAGCTTAAGGAACTTAGTGATAAACTTAAGACATTAATTGGCGATGAAAATAATAATAAAAATGGAGAATGTAAAAAAATTCTAGAAAATCATACTGAAGGTTTAGAAAAGTTTTTAGGCTTCAACCCAAATTCCAAAGGCTACGACGGCACTGGCATCGTGTACTCCGACCTTGACAGGCTCTGCGACGGGGTGATGGCGTTTTTGCACGGAGTTCTCAGTGGAGTGAAGGATGATGATGAAGTCTGTTAGTGGTTTTCACGCCCTTTCGTATTTCAATCTCTTTTTCCAATCCTTATCACCAAGCCCTGCGTTCTGCAAAATTTTCAATGTATCAATGACATCCTCTTCGCTATCCTTGTCACCTTGCAGCACACCTCGAAGGGCAGTAAGTTCTTGTTTAATAAGGTCGTTGGCTTCTCCTATTTTTGTGGGATGTGTACTAAACGGATCGTCATGAAGTTTTTGAATTGCCTTTTGAATCTGTTGAAGATTGTCGCTATCTTTTACTTTCCCTTTACCAAGTTTCCTCTCCAACCGCCGCAAGTAGTACAGGACCTCATCACCATTAGGAATGGCGTTATGATCCAACTTCATTCCTACATCTCTGAGGATATCCTTTATTTCTTTTGCGAGTATCTCCATGGCTTCACCAATTATTTTCGTTTGCCTAGGCAATTCATCATTTTCTTTTTGAAGGTCACTCTCGATTTTCCCAAGACCACTGAGAGATTGGCCATTTGGTGTCCAACCGATTTTATTCTCAAAACCTGCGCCTTTCAAATCTGCCAACACGTCAATAACACCATCTTTAGGGACGCCACCATCTTTCTTCAACTTCCCTCTAAGCACCCCAAGCTCCGCCTTAATTGCTTTGACGGCTTTCTCAATTTCTTCGGGTTGGGTAGTGAACGGAGTTTTTTGCAGAGCTTCAATCGACGTTTTAATTGCATCAAGGCCAGGAACTGCATGAACCCAGGACGTTTTATTAAACATACTCCTCAAACTATTTAGGTAGTTTTTAACGCCTCTCTTTTTATCATCATCCATGAATTTGACATCATCACTAACCAATTTCTTGATCTCTCCAAGCTGTTCCTTTATTGTGTCGAACGGACCGGTGAAGGTTTTTGCTCCTGCGTTGAGTATATCCTTGACACCATTCTCACCGAAAGGTTTCAGACCCTCATCTTTAATCTTCCCGATCGCCAGTGGAAGAGAGCCTCCGCTTTTAATGCCTTTTAGGGTATCACCGCTCTTGAGGTCTTCAATGTGTTTTCGACCAACGTGACCATTATAACTATTAATGTTGGGAGCACCTTGGAGTTTGACATGGGTATTTTCCTTTGTACCGCCGGCCTTAGGTAACTGGTCATAAACTTTTTGCTCAAGTTGTTTTTGTAAATCAGTTTTGATCGGTTCGTAGGTTTCCTTAAACTGTTTCATAAAATCGTCATTAAACTCTATTTTACCATTAGCTTCCTTAATCTGCCCAGCCGCCTCTGTGATAGCCTTCTTGGCCGCAGCCTTGATCTGTGCTTGAGCTTTCTCGTCGAACTCTTTAACGGCGTCGGGAAGTTTCTTGACCTCAATCTCAAGTTGGTTTATTACATTGCTTTTAAACTTATTCGTAATGTTGGTATTCACCTCATCCCTCACTGCCTCCAACCTCTTGTCCACGGCTTGGGCGGTGCCAGCTTCGGGGGCGGGAGGTGAGGGGCCATTTTTAGTCGCCGCAGTAAGCTGACCGTCAAGCTCTTCAGTTGCCTTTTTGGCTTTATCCAACAGGTCTGCGATGTTTATCGTTGCGGTCCCATTGCCGAGCAGCACTGAGTGTAGCTCCTCGGCCACCTGGTAGACGGTGGCGCGGAGCGCTGGGAGCGTGAACTTGATAAACTTTTTAATTTGGTCTTCATTGCGGCTATTCTGCTGATTGTTTGCAACCTTCGGTAAAATCTCCTTGGCGACACTTTCGAGTAAATCATCGCTGTCTTTAAATTTCTCATCCAGCTTTTCGACAAAATGCTTGCACCCTTCTTTTACGGCTGTGATGCTATTTTGAATGCTATTGTCTTTTTTCACTTCCTTAACCTTTCCTTCGGCTGCTGTTTGGTCGTCATTAAAATGTTTATTAATGGCGTTGATAACTGCACCACGGAATTTGTCAATGGCGGATTCACCACCGGCAACCGTAGGTTGGACCCGCGACAGGTTCACACCCTTCCGCTCAATCCACGCCTTAAGCCACGCTTGAAGATTACGATCTTTCTTCTGTTCACCCTTCTTCCCCCAAATCGCATCCAGCCACCCTTGGACTCTTTGGTAAAATGCATTTTGCCCGGATAACGCGCTGTAATACTGCTCCACTGCGCTTTGAACGCCATCCATCCCGCTGCCGGTATTACCGCGCCACTCTCCGTTTCCTTTGTCGCCCTTAATCTTCCCAACCTTTCCTTTAATATGCTCGAAAATACCTGCAATTGTCCTTTTGTCCTCCTCGCTTTGGATCCCAGTAAACTTCCCGCCAAGCTTCCCAATCGCCGTGTCAACTGCTTTGACTTTTTTGTTAAGCGGCCCTTGGATCGCGGTCTGAAACTTACTTTCAAGCAATCCAGTCTCCCTCGCGATTGAACCATGTTCCTTGCTAGTAGTATTATCTAAAATAGTCTTTTGCGTTTTAAGCGCCTTCAATTGCCCACCAACTATATTATCATCTGAGTCATCATCTTTAACCTGCTGGTTAAGCTTCATGATATTCCCCTTCAACGTCCCCAAATCATCTTTCACTTTCTGATCCAATTTCTCAACTTCCAATCTCGTAATCACATCCGTAATCCCATTTTTAATCTTATCTTTAACATCCTTCAAATCCCTCTTGAGACTTTCGTCCATGGCCACAACAGCCTCCAACGCCTCAGTGACCAATTGGCCAATTTGCGTCTTAGGCTCACCTCCTCCACCTAAAGTGTGACCTGCTAGCTCCCCCAGCTCATGGTCTACTACCTGATATAGTGGATAAGTTACGTTGTCTATTATTTGCCCCGTTGTCTCATCTGTTACTCGTGAGATGTCTACGTCATGCAATGTCATAGGTGTACAGTGTAAGTGAACCTGCGGTTGTAGATGCCATAAGCGAAGAATCGTTATCCTACGTGACACAGTGAATCAAATGTTAGCTAGTTGGTCTCTATGGGCTGCGTGTTTATGGACGTATGCTGGAACATTGTTTGATCATATGACCAGAGGGCACCGTAGTTAAGGTGCTTTTAGAAGTTACATTACAGTGAGCACTAACATCTTAGTTTAGCTGTGTCACTCAGATTAGCATTTATAAGTGTAACGATGTCGTGGCTCAGTGGATAGCCAATGGATTTGGGACCCTCTTCATGGATCATACGTAGATAAGGTATCGTTTATATTCATTGGTTTATCAATGCATGTTTCCTTATGGATGCTCATAGCATGCCAATGTTGCGAGATCTTGGATCATGCTTACACCAACACCAGTTGGATGGTGCCACGCATGTGTGGACACGGGGATCGTATATCATCGGCTCGCCTAGAGTGATGGAAGCTTAAGGTAAGTGGTTCATTGCTGTGCAGCATTGTTTGTCAAGTGGGCTGTGGAGGAAGATGGGAGGAACAGAAGGCTGGGCGTATCCTGTTGCCTGCACTATAGGTATCCCGCTCCTCATTCTCTTGGTCCTTTGTATCCGCTGTTTAATAAATAAGCAAGGGATTGGTACAGCGTTCACCCAGATATGTGAACCTTTCCGCGCTTTAGGCCGTCCCACACCATAATTCGCTCTCCTCCACTAACGTGTCATAGCTTCACTTGGTTTGCGTATCGTCAATCTAGTCATGCAACAATGTGAATGTCAACGCACTTGGTCCTTACAAAAGTGACAACCATCCCTTTTCGCACGCAGCCAATTATGGCACGATGGCCCCGAATCGGTGTATCGGTTTCACACAATACAGATAGTTCTATGAGTTAGGCAATTTGGTTGTATATGCTCTGTAACAAAGGTCGCGACATGGCTTTAGTGGGTCACGTGGGCTTAGCGCCCATTAAGCGCCCTGCCTTAATGATTTCGTCGACGAGCAGCGTTTGCTGCGCCACTGTGGTGGCTATAGTAAGGGTCTGCTTCTTGACATTGTAATTGTCCCATATACCTTCGGCTGCGGGGATGAGAAACTTCCCGGTGTCGAGGTCTAGTCCGACGTACCTGCCGTACTCGCTATCGATGTCAAGCAGTTCGAGCACAACTTCCCGCCCGTCGAGACCGGCGTTGTCTGCCAGGGTCTTGGGAATGGCTAGCACACTCTCGGCAAATAATCATCGCCGTAGGGTGTTGGATCATCATCTCAGTCAGCAGCACGCTTCCGTCCTTCGTGATCTTGATGTTTCCAGCGCCGTTGACCAGCATCTTGCAGGTGCCCTTGGGGCCCAGGTTGGTCTTGGCGATGTCGCACAGGCTCTTCGCGGCGTGAATGTTGGTGGCCAATGCGCCATGGTATCGTGGCTGTCGTCCTGCCTGTTGAGTATGTTCACGGACATCCTGCGTCATCGTCCCAAGGCGTGTATGCTATTATGGTCACGGCCAGACCCGACCCTTGTTTGTAAACTACGTTTTGGCCATATGAACGTTGCGTTACGTTTCAGGCAGCATTGGTTGCGTAACCTAATTTTCCGAGCAACTAAATATACTTCACTAAACTGACAGACAACCCATCTTCTGGATTCGTTGCTAATTGCTGTAAATGGCTGTTTGATTTAATATGACATTTCATAGCTGCACCTAGCCTATACAGTGCCATTTTAGTCATACGACATTGCAATGGAAATGTTCTGCCAACCCGAATACCGAAAAGGGCGCGAGGAGCCGTAAGTGGGCTATTTTGCGTGATGCCAATATCGTGACGGTGAATGATGCCAGTTTAAAATGGTGCCGATAACCATGTTTCCAGACTATTATTAACGTCGCAGTGTCAACTATCACCTTCAAAAAAGCGGCATTGTCTGGCGGTGGGCAATGCTCGCCTACCACTGTTAGCTGAATTATTTTTGACCGGTGTCGACGTGCATACAATGCGTGAAATCGATGCTACAACGAATTATGTGTGATATCACAGTTCTACAAAAGATATTATTAATTGCCGTCTCTTCCACATCCAGGTAACTCATACTGCAGGCGATTCACACACTAGGCCACCCGGCGTATAACGATGACTGAGCTCAGGATCCCCGCTTACAATACATATTCTTCGGAATAGTTATTCAGAGATGCGACAATTTTGAAAGTGCACATATGTGGCGCTCTCAATATGCGGGAAAATGTCGAACGGACAATATAATGCTATGGCGGAGTCCCTCCGTTGGAATGCAAGAAAACACATAATGATGGAATTGCTGTTATAGTACGCAATAAATCGCAGTTCGCGAATTCAGACGTTGACACTGCCGACAAGATCCATGATTCGCTTGGGCTGTACGACAAGCGGTGTCGGAGTTGCTAGGTGTAAAACTAGATTCCTGCAGAGTGAAATGTACCATTACTGCACAAAGCAGCAAACTAGCCCCCAAAAGCCTACGTATAGTAAGGACTTAGGTACGACATCCCCCTCATATATATATTTAGGTCTCAAAGAGGATAGTTCCGCCTTATGTTGCAGCATGCTGCGGCCACAGCTTGGGAAATAAGTGTTTTGCGAGAAAAGTGAATTAACACATCGCATCGTGCAGTTGTTACACGCCAAGAAGCACTTGACACGAAACGTTGCTGCAAACACTTAAATAAAAAACAATTACGCTAATCGCGGAAGAGAGTAGACATGTTGGCATTCTTCACCGTGTGACTTCGGCGTTGATACTGAGCAGGTTCAGCGCGACTCCATAGGCGCCGCAACATCCTACCGGCTACCCATGGTAACATTCTAAACTTTTGTGCGCTGCCTTAGAGTCTACCAGCATGTTTATGTCTCGTATGTGACGTTCCTGTCTGAAATATACCGGGGCAATGACTCGCATTATGCGTTCTGCATGCCGAGCTAATCGCGTGGACCCGGCAGCTTGGTTGTCATCGTACGTCTAAAGTTCGTGTATTTGGTGTATAGACGGATTTGAGTATTTCGATTAGACACTACATTAGAAGTTAACGGCACCGGTGTTCTGCTCGTCATAGATTAAGACGCAGCTGTTTGCACATCGGCCTTTAAATAGACAAATAATACGTACGTTTGTAGCATTTGCCTAATCTAACGCATCTGCACAAAATGGTATACAATTCACTAACCGAGGCTCCTCGCAACCTCAAGGAGTGCTTTGATTGGCTGGTGGCCCTCAACGGATCTTCTAAATTTAACACGCAGGCTTTAGGTTTTGCGGTTTACAATTTTCTCGTAGACAAGCCTGTTGGTACGTTGCTTATACCATCTCTCGAGAAGGTTAAACGTCTTTCTAAAGAGTTCCTGGAGCAAAAGGAACTTAAGAATCGCCCGTACGTAGAAGAACTGCTGAGTAAATACAAGGAGCCTGTGAATAAACAATCTAGATCCATAAAGCACTTCTTGGGTGACTACGAAAGTGATTATAAGAACGTCGTAAAGCGCAGTGGTGTAAAACCAGACGACATCGCAGAGAACGTAGCTCGTATTGCGTCTAGTTCTAAGATGTCCGTGATGCTTATTGGCACCCCTGACCAATACGAGTCTGCTTACAGTTCAGAAGCAACGTGGGATGCATCGTGTTCGAAGGACCCAGAAGCTTGCGCAGTAATCTTCGTGGGGATTGCGCCAATGTTGTACGCAGGCCTACAGTCTTTGTGGGATGAGACCACCCCAAAGTTCTCTGGAAGTGAAACGCCTATTGAGACAAACCGTATGGGAAAGTTAATGAAAGCGTTGGGTTTCACAGAACCGGAATACCGCGGTGACACGAGTCGTTCACATGTTCGCAGGGCGGTGCGCTTTATGCATCAATATGTATTGGAAGACATCTACGACCTCGCTGGTTTCTGGGCTTTCTATTGAGAGGGTTTTGCAGGTGGAGTATATACGCACCTCAACGAACAACGGTCCTGGCTCCGCCCCACAGGTCAGCTGGCATCATGAATCTCCACAAGGCATTTCTAATTTTGAATTGCGGTGAAGACGAGCCTTATAGATACAATCTTTATCCAATACGCTGCTGCCGTCAACTGAGGCTAAGCAGCGTTCTGAACTTATCTTTAATTATGTTAACGACGCAATATGGCGCACTGTTCCAACGTCGCATCATTTTTTCTTCGCTTATCAGACGGGCGCGGGATGAGAACCTGATGTTTGTGATGTACGGCGTACAATTATTATGCTTTCGCAGGTGGATGATCGATCCGTGCCGCCTTGACGTAGCTCGGTAAAGTAGCCGCAAAAATTCAGAACGCCTATTGCGTGCGAAGCGTATTAGCCCCTGCAGATTATATAACTTATCAATGCAATATTTGATGGTATTGACTCCTGAATATGCGTGCTATTGTTTCACACAAATTATGTAGCATTGATGTATTGTTCTGTATTTTGCATTTATGGTCCTTATGAATCGTTTACTTGTTGTGTCCCGCAAAGGGGGGTATAGACGGCAGTGCACCACCATAGGAGTGACGTCCAACACGCCAGTGAACCGGACATCGTGCAATATAGTCCTTCTATAAGTTGTGCGGTGAAAATGCTTGATAAGCATGAAAACCAGGCCAGACCAAACGTAACCAATTAGCGCACTGCACAATTTAAAACAAAGATAACAAGGAGGTCCTGAAGGGCCAGAGTCGCGAAAGTGATGAAGATTGAGAAAGTAAAATAATCCTTTCTCAAATCAAGACTGCGATTGTGAGCAAAACGAACACCGATGTTACCGACGTGAAGAACTACGCAAAGATTTTTACGCCGCGATTCTACGCGATTGCAGGTAGATGAAAGGCTAATTGAAGCATCTGAAAGATGGCATTATTGGCAATGGGCATGAAAAAAATAATAGAGCAAGTTAAAAGTCTCCGGATTTAGTTTCCATAGATCTTTGCATACTTCTACATTGTAATTGTGAGGGAAAGTGTGAGGATGATTGTCGCCGGGTAGTAGTAGATATGTATCCATTGTGAGATAAATGAGCTGCGTGCCTCCAACTTTACGCATAGCAAATATGATCATAAGCGTCTTGCCAATCACATGGAAAACAAGACTAAATGGAGGCGCTTCCTGCATCTGTACCTGTGGCGCTTCTACTACGGTGGTTTATAGCGACGTGATGGCACAGGTGTTGCGGCACGACTAACTATACCACCATGAGGCATTCTACTTCGCATTAACGTTGTGACTTATGCAGGGACTATCAGTGAAAATTAGGTGCACATCAGACACTGAGGGTTGAGTATCACTACATTGCGATTGAAATTATTTTGCGATATTAAAATTTTACGTGTGCTACGTGAAGCTACATTAGGCCCTTAAACGGGAAGGCGGAGTATTCATCAGCGTCCATCTCCTCGTGAATCCTCCCACCGGCAAGATTCGTGGATGCGCCGGAACCTTTAAACGAGTTAGCAAATGAAGCACGCAGTCCGTAATACAGCTTGCGGAATTTCTCCGGATACATGTTCCAGGAAAGGAAGATGGAGCACAAAAGTAGACCGATGCCTATGAATATAGAACCGAAGCAATAACATACATGTTTCGCACATAATTTGCCGCACGTTGGGCACTTGCGAATGCATTTCTTGTTCTCATAAATTTCGGCGAAGGCGCGACAGTTTTTTTCGCATTGGTCAGGATGTGGGCTGTTTTTATTTGCGCCGTGATATGGGTAGTGCCCTGTGCAGTTGCCCTTGTTTTTGCCTTTGTCTGTGCATCTGCCGATGACGTAGCCGTCGCAGTTTCCAGTACAATAGTTACGCCTGCACCATGGACAGCAGTTACAAAGTCCGTAACCACATCCACAGTTACAATTTGCACATATGCATCTGGCCCCCAGTTTGTTACCTACGCAATGTTTCTGGCAGCGCTCACAGTTGCTATTACCCGTATCCTGACACTTGCCATCTTTACCGCCTTTATAACAATTCTCCAGACAACCACAGCGAGTACAGCGATAGTCACATTTGCACTCACCCTTGCTTTTGCACTTGTCTTTGCAGCTTGGACATCCGGGCATACAGCAAATTTTGCACTCCGTGCAATTGGGAATATCGCATCGCTCTTTTTTGTCATTACAAAATTTTGTATCACATCCACACTGGTTCGGTTCCGGTTCCTTCGTTTCCTCATCCATATTCCCCCTCTGACAGCTTCCACACGACCATGAATGTCATTGAACATCCTAGCGCAATCGGCAGATCGCAGCCTCCAGCGGTCCCAGCGACACGACACCGTGCCACTGAACAACATCCCCTTCACAAGCGACGAACAAATTACCTTACGTCTGCCATGTTTGAAAATGTTAAGTCCTACAAATTTTACTTAGATACATGCACATTGCCTTCCACCCAGATGCGCATGCAGACATGAACTACAATCCCAAAGCGTTGACATACCGTGAAGCTCCAGCACGAGCATACATTGGCACTGCACGCCACTTCGAAATGTAGATGATATGGCAGTCAACCATCCACGATCTAGGAAAACTATAGCACATCCCCTCACCACCTACTTTGATCTCGTATGGGTCTTCTATAATGTTCCCAGCTGACCTACAGAGCGTGTTTACCATTTGTTATTGCTATAAAGTTGCCCAGGAATGCCCAGTGAGTACGCAGCGCTCAGGGAATGAAGTCCTTCAACGTTCGGGCATCATCCGGAATCACGCCTATAATTACACCGCTTCACATCCTACGTTCACACGTAATCACCATCATGCCAGCCACACATTTAACCCATGAACGTGCCATGCCACGTGGTGTGGAATTCCTACGATGCTGACCTAAATGAGAAGTCATTTCCATCAACTCTACAACCCACTGCCGCCACCGGATGACGATGGTGACTTACATAGCGTAAGCAATCAAATATATCACGCGGTAGGTCACGTTGTATACAGGGTTTAAACAAAATTACTGAGTGGTTAGTTGAGCGAAGGTCCGGAAACTATTGGAGGGCGCCCTTGTACGGCTATTTCAGAATCCCGAAATAAAGACATGAATTCATGGATAGTAGTGCCTCAAAATTAGAGCAATTGCGATATTAAGATGCTACGTGGAATAAGTAAAACTAATATTGATCCTTCGGCGGGTACCGCTCGTAAGGGTCGTAAATATCCGGGGGACTATATAGGTAATCATGTAGCCGCCGGAACGGCCACATACGTTTCTCTGTCATATAGAGAATGATGCAGATGATGATTGTGAAAAGAAGTAGGATTCCGGAAAATATTGCAATACCATTAAGTCTTCTTCCTTGACAACAGTGGCATGAACAGTTAAAACCGTATTTTTTGCATTTCAAACAAGTCCCATTACATCTCGTCCTGACATTTTTCTGACATTCACACTGACATTCAGCATCCATCTTCTCGCACAGTTCGCTTGTATAGAAGACCCCTGCACAATCATGGATAACCTACCGGGGGCGAGTGCCGTGAAGCAATACGCCCTAAATTTTGCCTACTAAACTGAACTGACTAGCGATTTATGTCAATCTAGTAGAGGTGTGTTGACAAAGCTCGGTGTATTTGACGACGCGGACCACCACTCCCGATCCGCCATCAAGGGATACCATGTCGCTGCATGCGGTTGGTGGCATAGTGATAACCAAGGTGCACGTCCACCTCAATGCTATAGAATCTTCCAGCAAAATAGCCGAACAGGGTTAAATTTCGCAGTGATGTATTTTGGGATGTTTTGTATGTCATTAATGACACCATTGATGCACGGTGTTCGCTATTGCCTATCCTAGATCTTGGCCTAGTCGAAACCCTTCATTCCCGCGCACCACATTCAGAATTCACGACACAGTATACCTACTAAGCGTCAGTAAAGCGCACAGGCCCACAACGTGTATCACTTTACTGTCGGTATTACCTCTCCCATTCACACTAATGTCACCCACCATACCTTAGATTGCCCCTACCAATATATTCACCGTAAACAGTCACTCAGTTCTTTCAATGTAATGTGGAAACCTCATCGACGCAGATCACTCCAATCAGCTTTCATCTTGCAGCATCGATTTTATAAAATCCAATAACCTTTTCTAACTCAACCTCGTATGAGATCAGTCAGCGGATTGAGAGTTCGTATGACGTCATGTGAAATGTTTTCATGAATGTGTAACTCCGTCGATTAGGTCGTTGATATACCTGTTCATAGCAGCGCCCTGCTATGCTAATATAACATTACCTTTCCGACAGAACACTGTAGTCATCTCCTTTGTACACCACAGAAACAACCAGATGAGCTCACGTCGTGTTTACTGCCCCACGATTACAAAATACATCGTTTTGCCACAACATTTCATGATTATTATGTTACCTTTAAATGTTGCGGCAATAGAATAGGTTGCAGAACCCACTATCTACGTGTTTGTAGTGGGCGGCTGTCTGATGTCAAGTCACACATCAGTGCGAGCGCATTTATGGGCAGCATTTGGCTGATACGTTGTCATAATGAGGACAATTATTCCTGATATACGAACTGTTCGGAGAAATAAATTATTACTGACTCCGGTCGCTCACCGAACAGGCTGAGCACACCCAATGGGCACTCCTCACCCACGGATGACCAATTCTATAACACCAAACATGGTTTAGAAGTGGAGGATGGAATGGGATGACATTAACAATGTTCTGACTGCAGAGTCTGAATCGTAGATGCGGCATGCTTGAGATAGCATTGCTTCAAGTACTGATGCTGCCATCGTTGCCGAGCACCATTTAGAAACGGTAATGATAAGTTGAACGATTGACGACAATAAAGCATTTGATTCTTGATGTTCTAGACTGTGAAACGACGTTCATTTTTGAAAGGCGTCGCAAAGACGTTCCAGCATAAACGGCAAGACATCTAACAAGGAGATTTATTACACAGCTTTGAAGAGCAGTGCTTAAATCATTTCTAAACCCAATCAATACTTGATTGGTCAATGCTAATCAGGTCCATCTAATTACATTTCTCATCTGGTCCGCGGTGATTGCAACACAGGGAAGCAGTTGATGGATTGAAGAGAAGTAATTGCTTTTGCAATAAAAATAGTAAAAACTGGCATTTACAGAAGCATTATGCCTTTAAAACATTGAATAATGACGCAGCTGATGATGACGGCGTGGTTTTCCCATAAGGCTTTGCCACTACTGGTGAGCGTAGAGCGCAGCGGGAAATCTTCTGTTGTGTTTCCCTGGAAGCAGATCGCACATTGCTCAACGCAGCAAAAGCAAGAATGTATGATTACTTATGAAGCGTATGCTACTACAATAGCAGGGTTTAATTTACTAACTCGTTCGTTATTTAAGTCATGCAAATGGTACCTTCTACACCCGCGTCCGGAGTGGGAGATTGCACAACGGAAGCAACGAATTCTGAACAGTATTGTAACACGATATGACATTAGTTATTGTGTGAAATAAATAACTAATATGTATTGGTTGCAGAAGAGCGTGTTGTGGATACATGACCGCAAGGTGTGCTATGCGCCTCCAACACAAAACCCTGAGAAGCGTTTTATTTTCCGTACAACATTAGATAGCAAGCACTGTTAAGCAACACCTTACCATACATCTTGGGTCTTGTAAGGAAGGTGAGGAATCTCCTGATTTCTACCCACAATTTGGGTACGTTTTTCGTCGTTCCGCAGGGCTGGTTCCTTTAGTGGAGTAATGTCACCAGGATTGTTCGAAGTTGCATTCTGCCGGTTGCTATAGGATGTTCAATGAAGTTCAGGGCCGTGTGAAAGGAGTCAGGAGGGAAGATGGTGAAGGTGGAAGCGACGGCGACGAACAAGTGTGGTTGTGACAAAAACTATTGCACTAGCCACGGCGACCCTTGCGGTGATGCTAAATGTAAGGTTTTCAGATCATGCTGCCTCCCAAATTGCCCGTTCTGCAAGGACTGCGTCGAAGGACAGAGATGTAAATGTTATTATTGTGGCTGTGATTGTCAGAATGAACCTGATATAAAAAGCGGCAGCAAATCGTGCAAGGAGTCCAAGTGTACACGCTGCAAGGATAAATGCAAAATGGTAGAAAAGGGCGGCAGATGTTTATGTTTCCTCTGCAACTGTGGAGACCACTGTGATGGCGTGAATTGCCAGTGCTGTAGGTGGTGTAATCCGTACAGCAGGTGTAGTGGAACGTGCGATCGCGAGGAAAAACACGACGAGATCGAATGCCCCAAAGGAAAATGTGCCGTAAAGCCCGGCACTTGCACCGAAGTCAAATGCAAATGCAACGGTACTACCGGCGCCAAAAAACCCAGCGGACAATGCCCCTGCGAATGCAAGTGTAAAGGCGAATGCCCCAGGATAATGTGCCCCCAAAACAAAAAAAGAGGTGAATCAGGCGTCTGCGACAAAAAGAAGACCGACGGCACATGCGGCTGCGAATGCAAGTGTACCTGCAACGTCATCGGCGTCTATTACGACGAGAAAGGTAAGCCTGTTGACATCATCGGATATGAAAATGCACACTTCTACCTCGGCCGAAAATGTCGATTCCCGTGCAAAAACTGCGGTAGGCTATGTTCCCAAGATAGATTTTTCCTAGGATGCTACATAGGAGGCCCCATACTTCTAATTGCAGTGGCCATGATTTTCGTCTGGCGTAAGTATCCTGATCCATTCCGCAAGCTGTTTTACGAACTAAGTGCTGTATTTGCTACTTCACGTAAAAGTTCAGGCACATCCACAAATAATCTTGCCGGCGGAAGGATTCCCGAGGAGATCGACATTGATCGCTACTCTTCCTTCCCGTTTAAGGGCCTAATGTAGCTTCACGTAGCACACGTAAAATTTTAATATCGCAAAATAATTTCAATTGCAATGCAGCATCGTGCATCGTAATTTCATTCTTCAATATCGTCAAAGTGCAACTGAAGAACAATGTTTAACAGAACCGCCGAGTCTCACTACTTTAATCTAGCAGTATTAACTGGTCAACAGTCTCCTGTGACATTGTGACATTCACCATAAGTGTGGTGGCTATATGCCAACATAAAAAGAGGCCCATACAATACTAATCCACACATAGCAAGTTAGTCAAGTAAAACAGACGCTACAATAATTCCGGGCTCCACCAAACATACGTTACGTAAGAATCAGATGTGAGGCGAGGAGATCGCATCGTTGCGGTGTTATTGAAAAACCAGTACCTTGTGCCCCATTATTGTATGCGCAACTTACTATAACTAAGCCGATGTCTCGCAAAGAAACATATGTCTGCTTGCCTCCCACCGCAAGGTGTTCGGATCTTAGTTTTGGTCTCACGAACGAAAACCACCCGTTCGGGCCAGTTATTCATGGCCAGAAAGGCAGCTTCTTCAGAGCAGCCCAGAATAGTATATCATTTGCAGGAACGCGAAATTATTTGAGTCGTGTATAGTTTTAAATCATGAAAAATTAATTGGAAAATTGACCAAACAGTTTTGGTGGTGTATGTGACGGGGAGGACGCTGGAGTCTCGTTCCAACCCATTGTGATACTAAAAACACGAACGTACATAATCTACATTTCTAGGTACTCCCTGACTTTGTCGATGAATGATTCGGTGTCCAGGTATTGCTTGGTCTGCGACCCGTGGATGGCGATGGCAAGGTCCTTGGTGTAGAACCCGGCATCCACAGCTGCCACAGATGCGTGCTCAAGCTTGCGTCCAAAGTTAGCCAACGCCTCGTTGCCGTCGACCATGCCGCGCTTCTCAAGCGCACGGGCCCACGCAACGATAGTCGCAATGGAGTTGGTGGAGGTCATTCCGCCCTGCTGGTGGACGCGGAAGTGTCGCGTGACGGTGCCGTGAGCAGCTTCAGACAGGAACGATTTGCCATCTGACGAGTACAAAACTGAGGACATCAACGCCAGGGAACCGTACGCCTGAGAGACAATGTCAGACTGCACATCTCCATCGTAGTTCTTGCACGCCCATACAAAACCTCCTTCGGACTTGCATGCGTAGGCTACCATGTCGTCTATCAGCCTGTGCTCGTAGAATATGCCCGCAGCCTCGAATTTTGGCTTGAACTCAGAGAGGTACATCTCCTGGAAGATGTCCTTGAACCGGCCGTCATAGCTCTTGAGGATGGTGTTCTTGGTCGACAAGTAGAGCGGCATTTTGACGTCGAGAGCGTAGCTGAAGCACGCTCGCGCAAATCCGTATATAGAAGCGTCAACGTTGAACATTCCTAGCGCAACACCGGGGCCCTTGAACTCCGTTACCTTGTGCGTCTGCGGCGCGCTGCCATCGGCGGGTGCGAAAACCATCTCAAGCGTGCCAGCACCGGGAATTTTGATGTCGGTAGCATTATACTGGTCACCGAATGCGTGACGGCCGATCACGATAGGTTTCTTCCAGCCCGGAATGTAGGCTGGCACAGTTTTGGTCATGATCGGGGCGCGGAAGACGGTGCCGTCCAAAATGTTACGAATAGTACCATTAGGCGACCTGTACATGCGCTTGAGATTGAATTCCTTGAGACGCGCCTCGTCAGGCGTGATGGTGGCGCACTTCACTCCGATACCATGCTTCTTGATAGCCTCGGCGGCATCGAAGGTAACCTGGAGCGTAATGAGCAAAAGTCAGGCGTTATATAACAATACCTGATCGTCAGTAGCATCACGGTTTGGCAGAGAGAGGTCGTAGTACTCCAGCGGAACGTCCACGTACGGCAGGATAAGCTGAAACGAAGTGTATCAGTAAGGCGTACAGCACACACCTTGTTCTTGATAGACGCCCACATAACACGGGTCATCTCGTCCCCGTCGATCTCTACGATCGGGTTACGCGACACAATCTTCTCCATGGCGCTGTGACTAGAACGTCCGATGTGTGAGTCGACGGCAGTGGAAAGGCGGCGGCGGCCCGGGTCGGTGAGGGCAGGGCGAGTGATGAAGCTGCACAGGTAACCTAACGCAACGAGCGGGTTGCGCATCTGCCTGAATCCGTTCAGTCGCACTATGCCGCTCATAACAGCCATCCTACAACGCGTGACCTCGTGGGTTTGTGATTGTCTTGCGCGTGGCTCCTCGAGACATGGTGCGATATGGGGTCGCAATATTAGGAATCCGCTCCTTCCTGGCTCCACACAGCTGGATTACGTCCACTATCTGCCATAGAAAAGTGCAGGGAAGCCATATGTGTTGGTGTCGGTCTCTCCACGCCCTGCGTCGCGCCGTTCGGGGTGTGGCGATGACTGGCGCACATTTCGGCTATTGACTTCCTCCGCGGGCATATAACAGCGTAGTTGAGGAACTCTTGCGTTTTTAGTTTGCATATTGATGGCGTGCCGCCCATAGGTGCACGTTCGCACGTGGAATCTTGAGTGGAAGGCTGGGACTGGAATCCAGCAGCGACGCGTTGGCATATTGCTGATCGGTATAGCTGTGTGATGCACTCCTACATCGTGTGTATTTTTATACACATCCGTTGAAGCGGTATTCGCACCAAGAATCCTTCGTTAGTGGTCAAGATGCCGCCGCGCTTCACGTCATTCAAGTCTGTGTGGAACAAGGTGATGCGTAAGAACGATATCGAGAATGCGGTGTCACCGGAGAAGCCTATAGTGCCTAAGCGGACACCTCTGCAACTCAGCACGTCAAATGCTGCATTATCAAGCTCTTCGTCATCTACCATACGGTCACAGGCACACAGGGGTGGAACAAGGTTCCAATCGACGCTGTCAGAAGACGGCGATGGTTCAACACCGTCTCTTAGCGTGCCACACAGTTATGAAGAACACGCTGTTTCAGATGCATCATGCCGTTCGGGCGTATACAGCGGAGGTGCGACCAGCGTAGCCAATCATGGCCCACGTAGCAGCAAGACACCACGCACCGCTGGCTCTGATCCCAACTGTCCAGTTGGCAGCGGGACACCGCTGCCGAACACACGTGGCACTGCGGACAGTTGTGGAGATCGCACACCTTTTGACACATCCCAGGCAAGATACACGGGCCCAAGCCCGTTGACTCAACAGGGGTCTAATCAAGCTGTGTCTCAGGGAACTCAACGTGGACACCACACCATGACACAACAAGGAACGCAACAAAATATATCACGTGGCTCTCTTTCAGCAATGGACGTGGATATACACAACTCGCCACTCCGCCAAGCTCCGCATGATATGCATCAAGGCGTCCAAACGCAGCCATTTCAACAGAGGGACAACTTTGGAATGAATCCGGGGCATCCGTACCCGCAATCTCAGGTCATGCAGCCAGCTGTTCAAGAACACTTCCAGCAGCCCATGCCACGCATTATGCAGCACGATTTGCACGAGGAATTTGCACTCGAGTGCACTCATGATCCGCTGGATGCGGGAATGTTCCGAGCGCTGATCTTCACCGACACTCACTTGGGGCACAAGGAGTCGGATTCTATCCGGGGAAATGACGCCTTCAACGCATTTGAGGAGGCCTTGTTGCTGTCAAAGGGTCTTCGCGTGGACGCTATATTTCACTCGGGGGATCTGTTTGACGACTCCCACCCATCACGTGGCGTGATGTACCGCGCCATGGAGATGTTGAGGCGGCATTGCCGGCGCGGAGATGAAACCAGCGATGGGACAACGATGCCGCTTGACATAGAGATCCCCAAAAGCTGCAGGCCGCGTAACGAGGACCAAAGGAGGGCAGCGTTGAAAGGAATGGACATGCAAATTACACAAGAGCGAAGGGTACCATTTTTTGTAATCCACGGGAATCATGATAACCCAACTGCGCTAAATGGTCTCTCTCCCATCGACTTGTTGGACGTCTCAGGACTGGTCACCTTTTTTGGCACGGCGAATGACATGAAAAACGTCACGTTGCACCCGATACTGATCGGCAAGGGAAACATTAAGGTGGCGCTGTACGGTTTGGGCTGGGTTAAGGACGAATGCCTGTACGAGGCCTTCGAAGGTGGCCGCGTGCATTTTATTCCCCCGGACGAATCGGAGCATCAGTGGTTTAAGGTCCTACTTTTCCACCAAAATCGCTATGCTCGCAGAGGAAAGGGGGTGAAAGACTACATACCGGAGTCGTTTCTTCCCGAATGGTTGGACCTGGTGATTTGGGGGCACGAACACGAATGCCTCAAGTTCCCGCAGAGAACCGAATCGGGGAATTTCCAGGTATTACAACTGGGGTCCACGGTACACACGTCGATGGCTCAGGCTGAAATGGCGCCTAAGCATTGCTGTCTCATGGAGTTGGGGCCGGACGTTGTCCACTTTTCCCCAATCACCTTGGAATCCGCGCGCCAACTACACTACAGCGATATTACACTTTCTCAACTAGGCATCGCGCAAGGCAGCGAAAAGGAGATATGGTCGAGGCTCTCGTTGATGGTGGAGCACGTCTTGCGCGCTATGCGCAATAGGCCGAAGACAACACTGCGTGTATCTGAAATAGCCCACATTATCGTGCCGCGAAAAGCCAAATTCAGGTTAGAAAAGGTCATTCAAGATGCCGAAAGCCTACCTCTTGTCAGGTTACGGGTGGAACATACGGGATTCGACTCCATTAATCCGCGTACATTTGGCAACGATTTCGCCAACAGAGTTGCAAACCCCGCCGATATGTTGAGGTTCTGGCAGAAACAAAGCAGACACCAACGTTCGGATGATGAGGCGGATGAAAGTAGTCCTAAGGACATAAAGATGGGCGGCGGCACCAGTGTTGGCGTCGACGTCAGGAGTCATGTTTTCCCAACCATTGAAAATAAGCTGAAACTCAAGGTCCTTCTGGAGCGTGACCTAAATGGAGCTGTCGAGCGTTTTGCTGCTGGACAGGAGGCACAATCTATAGCAGAATATGTACGAAAAACCGTGGAGGACATGCGGAAGATTCTACACAAGGAGATGGCAGCACATATTGGTGAACAACTCTCTGATGACGTCTACGGAGAGTTGGTGGAGCGTACGGTAGTGGCACATACTGAAACCGTCCGCGCTTCACAGGGACTAAATGCATCACACACTAGTACCAGTGCGGTGTTGAACGGATCACTTTCAAACCTGCCCTGCGATGACAATAAGGACGCCATCAAGGTGCAACAACCCGATAAACTTCCGCCACCCAACAACTCCATCGGTATTAACGACACCGTGATGGCAAGCAATGCTGACAATGACACTAATCGCGATGCACTCAAAGGGCCAGGGGTGCTGAATGTGAGCCAATCCAGCAATGCCTCTTTGGGACTAAGCCGTTATGCGTTCAAAGGCGCTCCTTCAAAACTGGGCACATCTGCTGGTATGGTTATGAACAGATCGTTGGACGAGGCTGACTTAACAAAGGTGAACGCGTCGTTAAATGCAAACGATACCGTGAAAATGAATTCGTCAATTGGAGTAAATGGCACCGTGAACATGAATTCTTCAATCGGCATAAATGGCGCAGGGAGCGATATTGCTTCCGTTGACTTGAGTGACTCCGTGGATTTGGGCTCTTCCATGTTGGGTAGCGGGGATGTAATGACGGATTTCATGCCAGAATCTCCATCCCGTCTCAACCAGTCGAGGAATCTGTCCCGCTCTGAACCCGGGGTGCTCCGCACATCAGGAAATACGTTCATCACGTCTTCTTTGGGACACAACCAAAACACACAATCTAAAATACTAGAACACATGGCTCGGCTGAAGTCTAGGGCTGCCTTGGCAAACGAGGTTAAGGTTATTCCCAGGAATCCGCCATCGCATAGCAATAAAGAGGCCTCAACACCGCTGCGACATTCGACGCAGGCGAATGCGGGCGTGGAGCAAAAGCGCAGTCGTGTGGATCTACCGGTCAGCCAAAACGTGCTAGATATAGCTGCTGCTGCCGTCTCACAGAGTAAGCGTGCGTGTTTGGACGAGTCTGGGCGTTATTCGGCAGCGGGAAGCAGCTCAGACTTGCCTAACCCACTGCAGGACATGGGTTGCGTTGTAAGTAGTCTGAGTTACGGAGACGTGAGCCCGGTAACCCACGATGCACATCCGCTCAAGCTCTCCGACTTCGACGATTTGGCACTGTCCACAGGTGCTGGTGGCGCCCTAGACCGTTCTTGTGGCGGCGGTGTCGCTGCTGAACGGAGCAACATCACTCTCACGCCGGCAGCTGCCCTGGCTTCAGTCACAACGCCGCGCCAATCGCATACTCCGGCAGCCGACCGGTTGCCATTAGGAGGGGAAGAACTGTCGCCAGATAAGTCTCAGGGACGAGGGGTTCCTGACCCGCAGGACGACGCAAACGAAGAATCAAGCCAACGCAGCTTCTCTCAAGGATTCCGAAACACTCTCATATCGATGTTCTTCAAGAAGAAGTAGCCGCGCTTACGTGTTGAACTGGGTTTTGTGACCTGGTGCTGTAGCGGCGCTGTAATACAGCGCGCTGTCAATACGCCTGCGAAGCGTATGTGTTGTCGGTAGAATAACTGTTCTGTATAAATAATCGCGGTATGTATAGACAGCGTATCCATGCGTATGTGGTGTGCTGTGGAAGGCGCCGAGTGTGTCGGCTGCGTGATGGCCGGGCCGCGATCACTGAATAGAAATGTGTACCAAGGAAGACAACATATTGCAGATTCTGCACGCCATAGACGCCGCGCTGCCGGCGGGAGGGCCCGCGGACGCTGCAGTCAGCACGCTGTCGCTAGGCCCGGGCGCCGAGCACCCGAAGGTGATCAACGCCGCGAAGAGCTTGATGGCCAAGGGCTACGTGACGCTCGAGGAATGCCGAAGAAGGAGATATTTGCTGAGCGCTGAGGGCAAGCTCTACGCCGCTGAAGGCTCGCCTGAGTTCAGGCTGCTGGAGCGTGTACGTGCGTCCCACGAAGTAAGTCATGAAATGTTCGAAAGGCCATATTCTGCAGCCCATCACGATTTCTGAAGCCAGTGCTGGCATACCGAGTGCGGAACATGGTCTCAAGAAGGCTCTGCGTGCCTCTATGCTCCGCGTAACCGCGGGCCAGCAGCTGTCGCTGGGCGCAGCTGGCAATTCCACTACCGAGGACATTACCAGGAAGCTACTGCAGCTAATCGAGTCGCATGGTGCAGATGAGCAGGCAATGCTTGACGCGCTGAAAGCCGTTGTGACGGATGAAAAGAAGCTGCGCTCGGAACTTGATGACCTGAAGAAGCGCAAGTTGATGGATTCTCAGGTTGAAGTTTCCTATCTTGTGCGCAAGACAGACAAGTTCCAGTGCCACATAACGCAGCAGATCACGGATCTGACACAGGAGCTGTTGCAGGAACGGAAGTCCTGGTCAGCATCTGACATGAAGCCGTACAACTTCTTTTCGAGCGGTAAGCGCATATCGCGCGGCGCATTGCACCCGCTGACGCGCACTATGCGAGAATTCCGCGAAATATTCACGTCGATGGGGTTCGAAGAGTTGGACACCGCGAATTACGTGGAATCCAGCTTCTTGTGCTTCGATGCCCTGTACATTCCGCAGCAGCACCCGGCCCGCGACTCTCAGGACACCTTCTTCACTAAGGCTCCCGAGCTCGCCAACCTCGACGGTGTAAGCCAAGAATACGTTGATGCAGTGGCGGAGGCCCACGGTGATGGCAGCCGGTACGGCAGCACGGGGTGGCAGTACGACTGGAAGTTGGACGAGGCCCGCAAACTGGTGCTGAGGACCCACACCACCGCCTGCACTGCCAGACTGCTGAAACGCATGGCGGAGCAATTTGCGGACATCAAGCACACCCTGCCGAGGAAGTTCTTCTCGATTGACCGCGTCTTCCGAAACGAGAGCATGGATGCCACGCATCTATGCGAATTCAACCAGGTGGAAGGTGTAATGATCGGTTTCGGTCTGGGTCTAGGACACCTAATGGGCGTCATGTCATCGTTCTACTCCGCCATAGGCATCGAAGAGCTGCGCTACAAGCCGGCATACAATCCGTACACCGAGCCTTCCATGGAGATTTACGGGTACCACCCTGACCTCAAAAAGTAAGACCTCTATGCTGTCAAATCATGCTAATACCGTGCAGATGGGTCGAGATCGGTAACAGTGGCATCTTCAGACCCGAGATGTTGCTGCCAATGGGCCTGCCCGAGGGCGTGTCGGTTGTCGGTTGGGGGCTCAGCCTCGAGCGGCCTACCATGATTCGCCACAACATCAGAAACATCCGCGATTTGGTGGGATGCAGCTACTGACATTAAAAGAACGTATTAAACCTGTTCTTGTGTACCATATAATGGTATAAAGACACATTTGGCAGCCTCCAGTGTGTAGCGCCGTGTCTTGCACATCTCAGTGTGTAGACACCGAAGCGCTGGCGTCTACGTCAATTTCACGACCAATTCCGGCAAATATACCAGTGAATATGGCATTTTCAGCCTAATACGGTAACATGTGCGCTATAGCACTGACATCCTGCCGGAATCATCCTACCTATGAACCATGAGGCCGCAGCTGACACGCATCTGCCAAGGTAGGAGTTAAATGCAATACACAGCCTTATGTGTGCCCATTCATTGTGAGTCACTGCTTGGGGATAAGTTGTCCTCTACATACGTAAATACATGTCGTTAAACAACGTGAATAATGCTCTGCGAAGTGATAATACTACACGTATCAGTGACAATTATGAAAAGCTGAGTCCACTGAAATATAACGTAAATGGCGTTAACTTGACTCGCTAATCATCCGTTTCGATTTCCATTAGGCGCCCATGGTGGCGCCGTTATGCTTCATTGTGTTGCGACACGAGCTCATACATGCGCAGTGGCGGCTGCGTTAATGTGGCTGATGGAAATGGCCGAGGCAATACCTGCCGGCCAAAGGCTTGAAGAGCTGTCACAAGAATACGATTTGGGGGATCTCCCTTTATGTCGCACTCTGCTGCCAAGCGATAGCGCAGCCCTGAGTTACTGCCTGAACGGATCCACCTGCCGCATAGGCCAAGGCCAATCCGGCTACGCGCAAGTCGTCTGCGACTGCTCAGAAATCGCAACATCGGACTACTTCTTCGCAGGTCCGCAGTGTGCCACCAAAGTGGCGCGCATGTATCGCATCCAGCAGGCCCGCAACCTGGACTCAACCGTGCAAGTGGTGAACACGAGCTTCTTCGAGGACGTGCTGGGAATGAACCAGTGGAAGAACGATGTGAACTCGGTGGGCCATCTCCCTCTGTGAGTGTAGTGGCGCGCCACCACTCAAATATCGGAGTTGATCGCTGCCAACACGTCGGCGGGTGTTTCGACACCCATCTCGGCCAGGTCACGAGAATACTCTGCCATCTTATCACGCGTAGCGTGCATAACTGCAACGTTCTCGGATATCAACATGTTCCATCGCTTCTGCTCGGAGCTTTCCTATACCGGGGATTAAGGGCATCAACTGTCTACTCACCTCAGTCTTGGCGAGCTCAGAGCGCAGCGTGTTCAACTCGGCGCGGTAGTAGTCCAGCTCGCGCAACAAACGGCGCAATGCGGAAAGCTTAATTTCGCTATCTTCTGCCATTGTTACTGTATTTAAAGTCACGATGATTCCACAGTGATAGGCTTGCGCATATCAAACGCGTCGTTCTCGCTGTTGTAGTACTTCGGTAGCCTGCGGTGTACGCGGTACCCCAACTTATTGTAGAGCGAAAGCGCGCCCTCGTTCTCCGGGTTAACAAAAAAGTTTATGAACGCGCAGTTTAGCTCCTCGCGACACACCCTTTCAAACTCTTGCATCAAACGCGTCGCAAACTTCTGCCTTCTGAACGCCGGACGAACTACCAGCGATGTGACATGACCGTACGTTACTCCGTCTTCTATTTCGGTTTTGCCTGTGGCGACATGAGGTCATGTGTATCTGCGGGAGTGACGCCAACGGCGTCTCCCGTGTACGACACAGCGACGCTTTCACACGAGCAGACACGCGCTTCTTAACGCGAAGATAAATACACCATTCATGCAACTGACAATAAATTCTGGCCGTCGGGATCGTCAATGTGTAGCAAAAGCGTCGGTGGAACGCCGCGTCCGACACCGACGGCCATTCAGAAAAACGTTCATAAAACAAAGCGACCGCACACTACCTGACTAATACAAATACTAACCAATTATAAAGGCTGCGAGTTCACCATCAATGTCTATAACGAAGCACAGGTTAGGGTAATAAACTAGGAACATCAGGTACTCTGCGAAGCCATAGAGTTCGGTGAACCTGTCTTTCTCGATACGACGTATCGCATGGATGTCAGAGAAGGTCATGCGCCTCATGGCGCGCGTTTAGGAAAACGTCGAATCACCTCTCGCTGGCGGGCTCCGCCTCCTGCTTGCGCGGCAACACGTCCGGCAGGGAGAAGGTACCGTAGCGGCGGGCGACGAAGCGGTCGTTGTTCTTCAGCACCATAAACTCTTTCAAACATGCTGAGCGAAAGTAACATGGACAATTCTAACACACACCTTTGTTGAACTCAGCAGCGGCACTGGCGGCGGGGACTGCTGCGCAAATATTTTTCCGACACACCTACAAACATACCGGCAAATAAGGTGGAAAAAAGCGCCACGAAGGCGGAGAAGCAGATGGCGAAGTTCATTTTCGTTAAAACACGACGCGAGCACCTCGTATACGCAACGGAAGGAAATCCGCTTTTACGCTGAGCAATCACACTCGACGTATCCGAATTTGACGGTGCACGCTGGATGCTTTTTTGTGGAAACGGAGCTCTTATCGTCACCACATCGCGCTGCACATCAGCAGCGTCATGCCGGCAGCAGGGGCAACCAGGCGCAGATGGCTGGGATATGTATAGAACGTTAGTTTTCCACATTAAAGCAGCGCCAGTTAGTGTAAGAGGCAATATGCAATATTAAGCCACGTTTTGTGATGGAACTCATTGCGAGAAGACTGGGCGCGATGCCTTGTCGGTGTAGCTGCGGCCGCCCAGCTGCAGCTCCATGGTTAAGTCCGGCACGTTGATCTGCTGGTTTTCGTTATTAGGGTGTATCCGGCAGCGAACTCGGTAGCTGCTCTTACAATCGGCAAGCTGAGCTCTATTACACATTTACCATGATGTGCACCAACCTTGAAATCATCCGAAACAGATGGCGTCATAAAGTCGTCCGATGGGCATTTTAGCTCACCGCAACTTGTAAAACAGCTGAACCCCACGGGATACGTGGCAAACGCAGCGTCCATGCACTGTATCTCGGAACTCTGTAAGAACAACCGATGTGATTACAGGTGTTGATGGAACCCACCTCGTAAGGCAAACACTTGTAGCGCTTCTTCCCATCCAGGCAGTCTGCGACAACGAGTAAGCCGTGCGAACAATTTTGGGGCGATCGACGCATTTTATAACAGATAATGCGACAAGCATGTACCATGATCGTCGTTTTCCAGTGGCTGCCACGCAGCCCATATATCATCAATGTAACAGCCATGCGTATGCCAACCACTAAAATTGCACATAAAGGACAACAATCTAACCATCCGTTAGAGAGAAATCGCTCTTCTTGTCCACTGCCAACCGGGTCTTCCACGCTGCGGAACATGATGTTGATGACGGACAACCTACTCTCAGCTTGAGGGCTACACACCAGACTAGCATCATCCGGCCCGCTTGCACATGAAGAAAGGCAGATCGTGTTCATGGTTACCGACTCCGGCTGGAAGAGATTATCGAGAGGACACACGGGCTCACCTTGAGTGCGGTACACACCGGCATGCGGGTGTACACCTTCTGCAGCCCTAGTATATGCCTGTGGTCACATGTTACCGGCTACCAAGTACCATACTTGTCGCGTATAGTCGCTGAATGCCGAGCTGCGGAGGCAGGCGACAGGTAGATGCTGAGAATCATCGACAGTAGCAACACCGCAATCAACACCGCACCGGTGACCATAATAATACAGGTAACCATTTTCAAAAATTGGTCTTATGTTACAAGCGGTATACTATACTTTATATGCTCGCTATTAGACATGATGCATGAATGACATGTTGAAGCGCGCGAGAAGGTGAGGCAGCGCCGATATCGCCACACCCTGCTCCGGAAGGTAGAAGTCATGTAACGGCACCGGGGTTATCTGAAGCTCGCTCGGAGATACAATCGAACAGAAGTCACGTAACGTCACCTGCAATCTTTTAAATTGCCGTTGCTCTTACACACTACCTGGTAAATCAGAATCTTCTCCCGCGGGCGGTTGACGTGAATTGGCAGATAGGGTAGCACCTCGGAATCATAGTCCTGTCTCCAGAATTCGCCGAGAAACTCGCCAACGTTGACATTTTCGGCATTGGCACGAAGGTCAAGCTGATGGGACCCTTTCCGGGCCACTGAAATGAATCGCGCCATCTTCCGACGCAGTGCGTCTTTTGGGTTCTCGAAAGCGTTGCACTTGCCACCCGGAAGTCCACAGGAACCCTCCGAATCTTTTAAGAGCAGGATGTGCGGGAACCCATTGCGATGGCAGAGAATAATTCCGCAGACCGTGATGCGCAACCCTTTCTGGTTGTAAGCTCGAATGCGTTTCCGCACTATATCATCCGAACTCTTGAATAGCAGACCGCGACCGATGGGAGCGGATTCCTCGCGGAAGCGATAAGAGTCAGCCGGGTAGACGAGCCAGTCTGGCCGTTCATTACCCTGGGAGCCAATTTCAACGTTTGTGTCCGCCATAATAACCTAAAAACAAGATGTTTGCGATCCTTCACGCTTAGAAATCATGGGTGCGACGATATTCCGCTCAGTAAGACTGCCGAGGAATCCCGAACTACGTCGCTGCGATACGCTGCTGTGGTGCCCAAAACAAAATTTACGGCACACACCACAGCCAAATGTTATGTGGAAAATATGCCCAAGAGATTTATTGAGCGATGGAGCGTGGAAGGTCGACCAGTCGCCCCTCTAGAAGGCTGCTCAGCGGTACAGAGGCCACACACAAAATCAGTAAAACAAAACTAGCATTATGATAGTCTCACAGCTCGGTCACTTTGACGAACTGCAGGCGTGTGTGATGTCCTGCGCAGCTGTAGTTGCTGCTGGTGGAGGTGACCTTCAGCAGGTTGTTGCGCACCTCTACCTCCTTTACCACCGTGTACAGCGAGCCCGCCGCGACCTCAACGCACCCTAACAACACCTCTCCATTCAACTCCACTGATAGCCACTGCGACGTGGGTGCCGTGGCGTTGGGTGAGGAGAGCGCATAAGCGTCCAACTCAGTGCTTGGCTCCGGGATGGTGGAATCGCCAACCACCAGCTCTACCTTGAAACGGCCGTTGCGGGGCAGGTCGATTGACCAAAAGTTGGGCTGACATCCACGGGTTTGGATGCAGCGCTGCGATTCACCCGGCAGCGGAAACGCGATGCCCAGTGACGTGCCTTCCGATACATTCGGCCTCAGCCAACCGTAGGATACCTCGCCCATCCTGGGGTTGCCGCCAACCTGATGCACGTACGAAGCGTCTATAGGCCCCTTGAGCGATCCGTTGTCGATCAGGAAGCTCTGCTGCGGCAGCCGGTTCGGCGCTGACTTGAACAGGATGGCGACGTTGAACGGCACGTCGCGCATGCCCCGGTTTAGCCTTGAAAGCACGAATCCCAGAGACTCCTCAGAGCCGGGGGCACGCACTATTGTTAAGGCCGCATGACATGCCAAGGGATCCCCGCCATGATTGCAAAGGTCGATCTGGAGTGCGCCACATGGCGGCGTCTTTATGTCAAGAACCTCGGTAGCTTTAAGAGCGGTGGTCTGATCGAAACACTTCCTGCTGCACACTATCTCGTAAGAATGTCCTTCAGACAGCGGTTGAACCTCCACATTGTTCTCGAGCGTGTCACTGCAGTTCATGAAAATGCGGCGCAGCCCCGGCGACTCCTCGACAAGCCTCTGACCGAGGAAGTTAACCGCCAGTGACGTTGCCTGCGAGCTTGTATATAGATCGTCAACCCGCAGTAGCACCGAACTCACTGCCCTAGGCTCGCTCAGGTGGTAGAGGCTGGAGCGGGGGTCGTTGGAATGCAAAATCTCGAAAAACTCCGAACGGTCGCCAAACTCCAGCGACAGCCTGCGAACCCACCTAGAAGGGTCATCGCTCTGTTTCAGTTGAAACGCTGACAAAAGCACAGGGCGCCGGAAGAGCACCTTGAGCCACGCTCCGGCGCCTTCAGTTGGCCGCCAGATGGCGTGCTTCTTGTCCAGTAGCTTTCCGGAGAGCCCAGCAGTACAATCGAACCCTTCGCCCACGCTTGACGATTGCAAGCAGTTCAAAAAGAATTCGGAATCAGGCAGCGACAACACCGTCACTGGGCCCTCTCCCTGAGACGGCTCTTCAGCACTTGCAGACAGGAACATAAAGAAAGGCGTTTCGCGTACCTCAACGTGAAACGTGTAAGTATGATTGCGTTGTAGTATCGCACGTTTGACCCTAAGAGGCGTTGCATTACCGTCCTTATCCACCAGTTGTACAAATGAACCTCTGCTGTCCCCGAACTGCAGCGCATCCTCCGTCACCGCGCTCAGCGGCACCACTTCGTGTACGTACGCCAAAAACAACGCGCATGTGACATTCACCTGCATCATGAAACGGCCGAAGCGAGGTGACCGCACTGTGCGTACCAGATAGGAGCCCACAAGGTCGTTGGATAAATCGCTGAGGAACGCGGCCTCATCGTCCAAAAATGCCAACGCACCGTTGGAAGCGTTTTCGACAACGAAGTGCCCATGCGGTAGATAGCTTATGGCCAGACGCTGCGGGACGATTTTTGTGTAGAGGTAATCCTTTATCACCTCCTTCGGAAGGCGGAGCGACGACCACTCCAACTTCACTACCGCCTCGCCCGCCCGGTAATGGTACTGTTGAGAATTGCTGAACTCGACCTGTATGCGATAAAATTGACCACCGATCAGCTGCTGAGACTGCGATGTTAGAGTGGCGCCCTGCATCATGGTGTCGATCGAGTAGCGGTATCCCGAGTCGGCATCACCCTGGCGAACCAGACCGTTGTTGATTATCTCTACTCCGTCCAGCTCCATCCGCACGTATGACTGGGTTTCAATCGAGAACACGAAGTTGCCGGAATGCGGCGCCCGCACGAACCCCCGCCAGATAACGGAGAAGCGGTGTGGGTTGAGGCCAACGACTGGCATGAAGTCAGAGAAGACGAAGTTTAGCTCCCTGTCGACACGGGTGCTGTACGCGGGAAACTCCAGCAGGTGGCCAGGGAAGTAGGTGCCCACTAGACCGTCGCTGACCTGGCTGGATGCGTCGTGAGGTAGCTGCTGCTGTATTTTGTGGTAGCGGCACTGTTCACGCTTGAGCTCTTCCTTGATCGCAACCACGTCGTTCGACAGCGACCGCATCGACTTCAACATATCCTCTGCGCCGTTCAGCACCTCCTCCAACCTCGTTAGTGAACGTTCGAACCCCTTGTGACCCACGCCACAAAATGACATTATCCGGCGCTCCATGGTCAGCAGCAAGGAACGATGCTTGGTAAGCGCATGCTTCATTTCACCAGCCTGTTCAGCCTTCTCCCGGATACGCCCGATTACGGCTGAGCGGATCCGCTCGTAATTCGGTGGCGGCACACAGAAGCCCCAGTCGCGTTCGAGCTTGCCGGTCAACTGAGATTCGTGGTAACACCACTCACGGTCCTGGGTACCATCGGGAGCTACTTCGCGTGTGCAATCCGTGTAGATTTGGTTCTTCTCGAGGAATGCAGCCGCGCAAAGGTTACCGTCAACCGTGCGCCTCGGCCGCGCACGGTACTGCGTCAAGTAGTACATGATATCACTGTCATCCTCCTCACTGCCCTCCTCGGAAACAGAGTCTGAACCCGGCAACTGTACCACCCGTTCATTCTCTTCCGTTCCGTCAGCCTTGTATGAACCATTCTGATCGTTCGAATCGGGGGGATTTCTCGCTTCGGTGGTTGTATCTGCCGATGTCTTCGGCGCACCTGAAGGTCTTCCATCAGGAGCCGATGTTGGTGGAATCGCCTGTCTAACGCCATTAGACTCCAACCCGTCCGATTGTGGACCTGATTCGCCTGCTTTAGGATCCTTGTCGCCGTTGGCAGGGTCCTCGAAGAAGGTGAAGGCCGACTCCGCGAGATGTGTAGACCGCAGAGCGACACACCAGAGAAGGAGCGGAAACAGCCCGCATCTCATTGTATTAAGGCGTTGCGTGTGACCTTCTCGCGGCAGAGGTCATCGTAGCGATTTGGGCTTCCGACATCTCGGAGAAACGACATCAACGTCGCGGGTGGGGATGCGATGTGTAAGCAGCGCTTACACACATCCCGCAGTAAAAGGGCAGTGGGATCAAACAGTTCGTAATACACATGTTGCATTTGTATTTGTAGCGTGTAATTCCCATCACACACCGCGTGATGTGTATTCAGATTGCTTTTAACTGAATGCATCCTCCACCGGCCGGAAACACCGTGGTCGACCTTGACGGTCAGGAACACGGCACACCGGTCGGATTACGCAATGAAAACCTCAGACACGCTGTGAAAGCATACTGTACTACATTATGAAACAGGTCGAGCCTTAGCCGGTGCAGCACGGCGTAACGTCACAAAGGTCCTCTTCCTCGTTGATGAAGGCGTTACTCCACTCGTTGATTGGGTCGCCCTGGCGGCGACGGCGGAACACCGTGCGTGATGGATAGAGCGGTATGCGCTGGAAGGCGTCGTTTGATGCGAAGAATTCAGTTGTGAGCTGCGGAGCGTCGTTGACTAACTGTTGTTCATTGAGAGCTGGTTCGCGATAACATACCTGCGGCACCTGTTCGGTTCCTAACACCTCCATGTAACGGTTGTACTCCTTTCCGGTGTAGGGGTAGCCGTGATGGACGTACTCCGGGGGCGGGTACGCGTAGCCGCTGTCCGTGACGGGATACTGAAAGTCCTTGTAAAGCGAAGGGTCGCACTCCAAAGTGCTTTGCAGGGGGGCACCTTGGTTCAAGTTCTGATAGTCCATAGAGTAGCCTTCAGAAAAGCGGTAGTCCGCAGGCATCACGTAGCCGTCTTGCTGAGTGGGAATCGTGGTCACGCAGTTGGGGCCGTAAGCGTTGTATCCTGATGTGTAGCCCTGGTTGGGAGCCATAAGGCAGCTGGTGTAGCCTTTCAGGCTTTTACCGTCCATCGTTGTATGATATACTCCGGGGTCGTAATGTACGCTCGCCGCTGCATATGACCCAGGAATTGTATCCCTAGGTTGTTATCAGCGATTTCAAATGCATGGCTAATTTTTTGCGTTGGAATGGCGTGACGGCGAGTCGCCTTGGCTCAGATGGCCACCGGTGCACATTCCAATAGCGACAGCGCGCGTCAAGGAAGCCGTCATCCGCGTTCGAATTGCACAACTATTACGTACGTTGTTTCATTTACAAATGTGTGCACATTTTCCCGCATATTTCCTGCGGGGATGTCTCCAAGGCCACAGCTCGGCCTCATCACCAACACGCCTGCGACGTTGCTTCAGTTGAAACGGTTGTCGTCGGAAACACATCACTCCGCATCACTGTGAGCATGGCTTGGCATACACATGTATCTTTCACCCTCTTACGGCCGCGAATAATGTGATGCTTTCCGTAGAATTGTGCCAATGGTTTCTCAAATCGGCATTCTCGGGATCACAACACATGGGTGATGCTTCCAACGGAAAACAATGTATAACCCCGAACAAAATCCACCTGAAACAGTCGCTGAGAAATGGGGGCGCCCGGAGATGGACCAACGAATGCTCTTCACAGCGTAACGATGTTACCTCGTCTTAATGAATCACCCTACCAAATATCCGCCCTTTGTGCATACCTCAGATAACAAATACTTCCGCGATAGGACTATACGATGCAACAGCGTTGAATTGATATTCCACCAGCAGGGCGACAATTTTGCTGCAGTCACCAGCGCATAGCGGCCGCAGCTGAACGTCAGGCGCCGACTGCGCCATACGCGGATTCGATCAAATAACCAGTATCCTTATTCAGACGGTGACCGTCACAATTCAGATTGTATAAACGAACCGTAAAACACATCAAGCTATCTTGCCGTGTGCCGCCAACAATTCTCGCAACACGCCATAAACCTGAACCGGACGGTAACGTGCTCAACAAATTCCTAAACGATTAGGCGTTATCCAATATGATCCTTTAATCTAGAATCGGTCCCTGATATGTGTCATGCAGGCCGTGATTGCCATGTTAGTAGTTATTTTGAACCACGGGAACTCTGATAACAAGCTCGCAGTTGAGGTCTCAACGCAAAAACCGTCCATTGAAGACATACACCGCTCCACCAAAGATATGTGCTGGCATATAAACGAGCCTGCATCCAGGAAAACGGGCACTGCATCATCCAGGATACAAGGACTGTAGTTCCCATTGAAGGCTAACTGGTGCACTCGCCGATTACGATGCTTCTGCATGTCCTGGAACAAAAGTGCAAGCAGCCTCCAAAAGAAGCCTCTGTACAGGGATAACGCGCCATCATGTGCTATTGCACCCTTGACAAGCGACATTGTATCCATCGGGGTGATTCCGTCGTATGTCATCGCACGCGAAGAAATGGTCATCACGGGGTAGGTGAACAACTCTACAAGAGCCTGCACCGCAAAGTCATATGCATCGATCTCGAAGTTGCGACGCAGATAACTGGAGAAAGTATTCTTTGTCCACGCGGACGGCGGCGAGCTATCAGACTCGTAACTGCCTTCCACGGACGAACTTCCCCAAACTCCAGCATACCGATCACGCAGATGCGACAGATGGCCCTGGCCGAAGTTGAACACGCTTTTGCAAGCTCCTAGCACTGCAATTTCCAAGTGCGGAGCGATGTAACGTGGAACAACGAACTGCATCACATCGCACAGCAGCTTGTGACCCGCGTACTCCGGGAAACCGCGGTAGAGACCCCAAATACCATGGCGGCGCCACCACGACTGCGCCAAATCAAGTGAGGCAGAAAAGGCCGATGGCGAAACGAGCGCGAACACGTTGCTGAAGGAGAATAGACTCCCGTAAATGCCGTCGGGTGAAGCGCGGCGGTCGGCCGACTTCTGGAACCGAATCACACATACGCACTGCGACAGGCGCATGAACGGGTATGCCAGCACTTCAGGGGCGCCGAGGGTGATTATTATCTTACGGGGAGGCTGCCTCCGTCCGCGGTTGTCGAAGGAGGGTGGCTGCCCGGGCATTTCGATGTCATGATCCACCACGGAGCTGTCTGATTTGTCGCTCTTGGCGTACCGGCGAGAACTGATCGACGCGGAATCCATCTCCGGTGCAGATTCTTCGGGAGGTAACGACGAGAAGCTTTCGGATAATGTTGGCCGCGCCGTGGTCAGTGTGTACTCGTCGCTGCCAGCGCGCACCGTGACGGCGGAGGAAAATTCGGTGAAATCCAGTCTTTCAGAAATGTCAAGTCTGGAGGGAGTCAACTCATCCGAGTTCGAGCGTTCTACACGCCATTCAAATTGCGATCCCATTGCCTCGCTGAGAAAAGCGCATACTGTCTGCCCGGCTCGTGGAAAGGGCCGGTGGGGAAACAGTAGCCCCGCAAAACGCCGACCTTCCGGTGATTATTCAGGTGTTATGTGGTAAATTATCAGCTTAGTGTGATCCAGGAGTAGTTACCTATGCTGCCTTCCACAAACATTCGTGACCAGGCTAGGGCAGCAGAGCTTTTTAAATTGGCGCCAGACGGGCCCCCGCAAACTTAGCGCCACCCAATTACAGCAACTAGTGCTACAGAGGACGTGGCATTGAGGTGGAATTATATGGCGTGTCGCCAAATATTCATGCGCCGATGTACAAATTCGTACCGTGGCGCAGAATCTGCCAAGAATTTTCGGCCAGCTAGGGTATGCCGCCGGAGTCAACGTCTATCGCATAGTACTCCTGAGTGTCGGCGTAAAGCGGCATCTATACGTATGTGCCTGCTGCACATCCGGCAAAGAGGCGGATTGCTGGCAAAGGGCGCGGGGGACTCAGCCCTATATAGGGAATTTTCGCGGGGAGAATACACACAAATTGTTCACACGGTGCTTCGAAAGCTCACACATTAGCAAATCGAACGCACTTTTAATGGCCAAATTTGTCATGGTCTGTCTATGCGGTACACAGGCTGTATCAGGTGATGCGGTGGGCCTGTGCCTCTGCAATGCCGAATTGTTCTAAATGTGACGCCACGGCCAACTATACACCTATTAATCGCAGCTGATGCCGCTGCGCGTTAAAGGAACATATAGGTGAGATATTTAGGAGAAGCTAGACCGACGTCAGAACTCGTCCAAGTGACCTGAGTTAAGGTGTTTTATCTGGCTAGAAGCACCATCCCTATATAGGAATTTCTCATTTAGACTCAGCAAGCCGGCTGCGGTCATGCACCTCCAGCAATTGGTGGGAGTTATCGGAGAGGCTCGTCGCACCCTCCTGTAGATTGCCATTTGAGCTTAACATACCGACGTTTGAATTGAACAAAACGTGGTATTTTGACTCACCTGGATACATTCAGCGCAAATAAAGTGTTAATCCAGTGATGTGTAAAGGGCGATTGTAAAAAGACATCGCTACATGCCTGGACGCTCCTGAAGGTGCAACATAACCGATTGCGATCGTATTTTGGCGGAATCCTTCGTCAGCACGACGTTAATCACGATGTCTAGGGACGGTAATAGCCGTTCCATGTTGGGATCGCCAATGTCCCGAAGCGCAACTCAACAAGAGGATGATAGCGTTGCATGGGGGTCACCCCTACCCTTGGCGCCTGACTCCTCTGAAAGCGAGTCTGTAGAAGACAGTCAGACGCGCTACAGGAGGGACAAATGCCTGGACTTGGAGTGCGTTGACGAAGCGTACGTGGAGAGCGTTATCAAAGAATGCAAATCAGTTGCGCGAGGGATGATGTGGCGACTGTTTTACGCCCAATGCATTTTCTTTGTGGTGCTGTTCATTCAGGCGGTATGTGTCTGGAACAGTGACCGGGTGTACAGTAGATACATGACAGGTGTTGCGCCTCCTCCATTGTATGACTGGCAGCAGCGCACCTTCAACATGTCCCCGCTGTACGACCACCTGCAGGTCGCCTTCATGTCGTGGTACGGCGACACCAATGTATCCATCCGATGCGCCGATGTGCTTATAGCCTTGCTGTGTATTGTTGTGTGCTGCAAGGTAATTTTCAGCGCCCCGCTGATGTTCGGATGTCAGATGGTAATCCGGTATCTGTTGCTGATGTCGCAGGTGTACCTGCTGAGGGGGCTGTTTATCGTCGCAACGGTGGTGCCCACCCCAGCGCAACACTGCAAGGTATTTGATGCAGACGCCAGCTTCCCGGCGCAGTTAGCGCACGTCGTCAAGGCATACTTTTCGATAACTGACACCTGCACCGATCTCATCATATCGGGGCACACGGCCGGGAGCACCCTGTTCATGGAGATGTTCGTGCTGCACAACAACATGTGGCACCTCAACACGGTGGTCGTCATAATGGTACTGCTCATCTATGTGCTACTCATCGTCGCACGAGCGCACTACACCATCGACGTCATGTTCGGGATCCTCTTGTCGCTACACCTGTACGTACACCACTTGCGTATCATCTCCAGGGTGGGAAGGAGCACGTGCAAGGGTCTTAAGATGGGACAATCGCTGTTCTCCCGCTTCTGCAGAATCTTCGCCAAGTTTGAGATGGTAGAGGAGCGCATCGAACTGTTCGTTAGACTGCAGCACCTCAAGGAGACCACCGATGACCAGGTGTGGCATGCGGACAAACTCGCCTTCTACTACAACATTTTTGGCATCGATGACAATGTGGAGCCAACGTGCATATATAAAGGCTTCGACAAGTGGTCCAAGGCAAACATCACGCTGCTACGCCGCATATTATGGCGCCGCAGGGAGCCAGAGCCGAGGCCGGCTCTGGAGCGGAAGTCTGGAGAGGGCCCCAACCCACGGCTAACGCTGCCTGATGACACACCTACCACCAACAACACATATTAAATCGTATGAAATAGCACAATGGACCATTTCTTGCACGGTAATTGACACTAGCGCCAGATGTGTGACGTTGCTCAGGTGACGACTTCGTCGACGACATCCTCGACGAAATCGAGGCCAACGCTTCCACAGATGGACCGCGGGAATTCGTTCGGAAGCCAGCTCCGGTCGAGATATACCCGCTAGACAGCCGCGTCAGCAACGGCTTCTCCAGCCTGAGGGTCGTCGACTTGGCGCGCAACCTAGGTGCCGGCGGCGCCTCTGCCTACGCCGTTGAGGACATGCTATACGCGAAAACATGTGCACTGGACAAGCAGAAGGTGTTCAAGTCGGCGGCGTTACTTGGACGCGGCGACGAGTTCGCTCTGAAGACTTCGGGATTCCGGCTGGGAAACCCACCTGTCTACTTGAGGTTCTACCAGAAGCCGAACCCCGATACTGCGGGAGCGCACGAACGCGATGAGCATCTGCTGGGGCAACCCATCGATGAGATGTTTAAGTAAGAACAAATGCGCTGGCGGTAACAACGATGCAGCAACATGCTCGAGAGACCCGATCACTCACCCGCGCCGCATGGCCGTGGAACGCGCCTTTTGGCGCGAAAGATTAAACGCAGCGCCCCAGGGTCGACCACCAACGAAAGCTGGCTCCTCAAGTACCAGCCTCGGTACTACTCGGACCTGCTTACCGAGGAGGCGATTAACATCGAGGTTAGACAGTACCACTTTCACCTGCATCTACCGCAGGTTCTCAATTGGCTGCGCCAATGGAAGTGTAGCAGGTTGCACTCTGCTGGAAAATCGCAAACCAAGCAACTTTATCAGCCATCGAGAGGCATAAAGAGGCCGTATGGAGGGGGTGGCAACGCAGGTTTGTGGATGACGGTGTAGTCAAACATGTTGCAACCAGACGGGGACGTGGAAAGCGAGGATCACCACAAAATACTGCTGTTGGGTGGCCCGGCAGGCGTCGGTAAATCGACGGTTGTGAACGTCCTCGCGCATCACTGTGGTTTCGATGTCGTGGAAATAAATGCCAGCGAAGATCGCAGCAAGGCCAAGATTCTGCCGATAATCAAGGGTGTCATCACCGCCAATGCCATTTCAAAAAATAGACCCAACCTTTGTCTGCTAGAGGAGGTGGACGGACTCCATGCTGCGGAGGGGCAGCTCATCGGAGCTCTGAAGGAACTCAACCAGAAACACATGATCAAGCGTCCCATTGTGTGCATTTGCAACGACTTGTACAACAAGAATCTGAGGGAGCTTAGGCAGATCTCAAAGGTCATCGTCGTCGACTCCTGCGACGGCGAGGCGCTCAGGGATCGCCTGCTCAATATCGCTAAACTTGAGGGCTACAAAGTTGACGATCAAATGATCGACGACCTGATTAAGCTGCACCAAAACGACATCAGAAGCTGCATCACGGCTCTAGAGTTTATGATCAAGTGGGTTCCTGCAGTGAGCCGTTAACACTACCAACAGGAATCCGGAACTCGCACATAACCTTGATGCCTTCGCTAAGGACAGGAGCCAGGATCTCATCGCGTTCTTGCGCGAGCTTTTTGACCCCAAAACAACGCCGCAATCGTTGAGGGATAAGGCTGATGCGTTGTCCGCAGCAATCGGTGCACAGACGCTGTGCAACCTCGTCGTAGAAAACGTCACCAAGCTGGGAGCAAGGTCACATTTCAACGCCGCTGCCCTGTTTGATATTATGGCGCAAGGAGACGTGATGCACAACGCGTGGTGGATACAAGTCTCGTTCACCTTCGTCAAACTGATGCAACTCAAGTCTGCTTTCAAGTTCATCCTGCCAGGGTCTCTCTACAGCCACACGTATGGACAGAAGATGGCCAAGAGCGAATCAGTGCTCAAGGCAATCCGGGGTAACTCATTGATCGCATCAAGTGAGTCCAGTATAATATTATTGCCTAAAACGATATACAGGCACGTTTTCGAGCAGCTTCGCTGTTCAGGTTGTTCCTGCACTGTGCACCATTCTAGCTTCTTCGCCCGACAGATCGGTCTCGTGGACCAACGTTGCGAGGAGCGTCAGCGAGATTGACGTGCTGTGGGAGGCATTTGCGCCACTGAAAGCCGGGGTCGTCAGCAGGCTTGCCAAGTTGGCCGTGCTGCTTCAGGTCTATGGAATCACGGTGATGGAGGTACGGAACACATCCACCGCATAATATACATCTATTGCAGATTCAAGATTCTTTGGCGCTAGACCCTCCGATTTTGGAGCTTTCAGGCGCTAATAACGCCAAGCTTGGCCAAGAGTTCTGCAAGACACTGCAACAAATACTCAAACCCGGGGGGATTGTATCGCATAGGGGAAATCGGCCAACTACACTTCATGCTTATTTGCAGGAAATAGGGCACTTGGGCTACACAGCATTTGCGCGCAAATTCAGTGCCCAGGCGGAGGCTGGTGAGGAAAAGAAGGCGAAGCTATTGTGCCGGAAAAGCGGGGCTCCCCTGCCTCCCATCACGTTCGGACAGCTGCTGCAACGAGAGTACGAACGATACCAACGGCTTGTGGCAGAAAACGACTTTGTTCGCGACATGAGAACATATGGAATCTACAAGTACTATGGCGAGAAGTGCAGCGCAGTCAAGTATATCGTGAACGACATCTAATGTTAACGTTTCGACTTGTAGGAATACGACAAAACGGTTATTTAAACGGCTCGAATCGCAGAACGTGTCTATGAAGCGATGAGGCACTGAGCCACGTGCATAGTTAATCTACAGCAGACGACAGGACTTGTCGCCCATAATTGTAACAGTAAACTACTCCAGACATTGTCGCGCTCTTATGATGTTGTTTGGCCGGATTCTATCCTCGTTACGTACGCCGTAACGCGGTTAACTGTAATACGCACGCGTTGATCACTACTGGTGTATATCACAGCACGTAACCAGTGTGCTAAGCCGCGTTATTTATGTCGTCATGGCAGCACACTGCTCCCATACAACACCCCAAAACGTTTCCCATTCTCGGTCATTGCTCATACCGACCATTAGGTGTGGAATCCACGGCCGCTCGGCCTAAGACAATGCCTCTCAGAAGGGGTACGCGGCAGCCATATAAGGGGATCTACGTTCGCTACTAGGCCAGACATATACTCAATATCACCAACTCCTTGGCGATTAAAATGTTCAGCGTGTCCGAAGGTATCAATTTCAACGGACACCTAACCCGCGCCTCCCCATCGAGCGCTGAACAAACGCGTGGCGAAATGTTCCAAGGCACTCCAGCAGGCACAGTATATCACGCCTAAAATTATGCACTCACGCTGGAACAACGTAGGTACGGTAACAGTGAGGATTCCACCGAACATTCGCGGCCAACGTGCAGCTCATGGCGGTCGGCCGCATATAGACAGGCTGTCGACATCACCGGCCATAACATCGCAGCTTACCCGCAGAGTCGCTGAAATAAGCGACACTATGGAGGTCCGGATATCGCCTCGCGAATTTTGCCGGGCTCGCAGCTATCCCAGCGAAAATGAGCTTTCGTCTGGTCAGCACGGCTGGAGCACCTCGGAATGTTCGTCTTCCACATGTGACACCAGCGGATCGCAGAGTCGCGCCAACAATTTCAGGTTTTGTGGCGCCAGAAGCTCACCACTCCATTCGTTGAAGCGGTCGACGCGGCCGAAGGTACAGCAGCAAATCGATACCAAGAAGGCGGGCGTCATATGTGCCAATTGCGATGCGCTACGGATGCAACTCACCGAAGCAACAACTCAGTGCTACGACCAGTGGATAAGCCGCATCAAAGTGCTCGAGGACATGCTCCAGGAGAAGCAGAAGATAAACGACGAGCTGCAGGCGGCGTGGTTAGAACAGCGGCAATTAGTCGAAGAGGGGCAACACCGCATCGCAGTGCTCAATAGAGAAGCAGAAGCTGATGCCCAGACCGCCTTAAACCTTAAGAGTGAAAACTATCAGCTCGGTGAAGCCATAAGACAAAAAGACGAGCTCATAGAGGAACTCTGTGCTGAGATCAAACAACTGCAAGAAAAGAACAGGCACAGCGCCAAACTTCAAGAAATGGATATGCATACCATTGATAAGTTGCGTCGCATGGTGGCAGCCAAGGACAAACACCAGAAAGGCACGTCTTCAGGCGCCAAGCGAAATCGTAAGGTGAACGTAAGAACGACAATCGCACGAAAGACACGGAATCGCCTAAACGGAAGGCATCGAATCAAGGGATTCAGTGTAACTGTCAACCGTTTGATATCGTTGCCAGCTGACGACGCAACCTCGTGGAAAACAGATGTGACAGGCCCTCCTGTCGGCAATGAAGTGCGGATTTAATCCATGCCCAGGAGACGGCTAATGATTTTTTTATCGTCAGACGTATCCATGTTAAGTAAATTTCAAACGCAGAACGTGACGATATCGAGGACAACTGAATACACGCATGCTACTCGGTGACAACTAAAACTAGATTTGGAGTCTAGAAGCTCCGTCCGAAATCGTAATAGATTTATAAACTGGAGGTCGTACGCTCGTGTTCTTCAAAACTATGATAATCGTTACTAATATAGGTTGCCATGCACTATTTTTTCCATTACCCCGGCGATCAGTAGTTGAGAAAACCCCCATTTTACGATCGCGCTATACCTTTTGATGTTAGGGTTAATGTATGGTGGCTAGGTTCACTCGATGCAAGTGCTTTCTTTGGCTAAATGGCAATGCTCCCTGTCCACCACGCCCTTAACCCGGAACGTCTGGGTTTGCCCTACTCGTGCCCACAGCCGCGGTATGTCTTAAAAATCGCATCTCATGTCGCTAAGTTGGGTGCAACTTTGAGCTTTGCTTGTTGGTTGTATTCACTATGAGGTTGTTCATCGAGTTTTCATACCTACGCTTAGTGTATATTTACGTAGCCGAAATATAATCCCGGTTTATGATAATTATCTCAACAAGGGCTGTGGTGTTCCTACATCGATCCGCCAGGATGATGTCTGGTTGGCTGTATTCCTTGCTCTTCTGGGTCTTGACTGTTTTGTCGTAAGGGGCCCATCCATGTTTCCCATGCACTTCACTTTCGATCTTGTGGGCGTCTATCTTCTCCTTGGGTAGTCCTATTTGTCTCCCAAGCAATGAGCCGAATCTATTGGCTACTTCTTCATGCTTAGGGTATTCGTTATGTATAATCTTCGGGCACTTTTTTCACCAGGCGATGCACGCTGCACTTTCCTCGCAACCAACTCATGAGACCCATAGATGAACAATCCACACCAACATAGGGCACCATCAGGTTCCCACGTTGGCGGCGACATATTAGCATGTAAGTCAAGAAGAGTCGCTATGATTAATGATTGCGTTAACTAGTGATAAAATCTACAAGTATTAATATGCCCTGAATTCAGCAGGCATTTGCACGTCAGTAACGGGCATGACACCGAGATAAGCAACGCGGTACTGACGGTTCATCCACCTGAGAAGGCGTAGAGGAGTGTAAGGCACGATTTTAAAACTGCGGATATCCACATGATGTCCTTCTAGCCTGGCCTTTGAAGCGTGCCACGCTGAACGAACAGCCCACCAGATTGCGTAGTGAACTCGATTAAAGTAACGGCAATAACTATGCTTTGCCCTCATTCCGCTGCAGCAGCATTGCGGATTAGGTTTGTATCTAAAACGCTGGTCACTACCTACGTTTCATAAATTGGAAATGCCCCGTGATAATTCGTATACCAAGTCACTCGGGATCCGCAGTCAATCTGCTTCCACAACTCACACAACACCTCTCAATAGAAAGCCCAGAAGCCAGCGAGGTCGTATAGCGTGCCCAGCATTCGGAAACTCACATTCTTCGACGCCTTGAAGATAGATGTGGCGCTCACGTCAGGGCGGCATTCTGGCTCGTCGTAACCCAGGGCCTTCATTAGCTTTTCCAAACGCTGCTTTTTATTATTATTTGACAAATACCCGCCTGCAGCTCTGCTCACGTAGCGCAACGAACGTAGACCCGCTTCTAACATCGGCGCAATCCCGACGAGGACCACTGCGCAAGCCTCCGGATCCTCCGAACATGATGCATCCCACGTTGCGTCCGAACTGTAAGCAGACTTGTATTGGTCAGGGTTTTTTATATCATCCAACAAATTTTTAGTAGCATGCAGAACCTCACCAATGCTCCTTGCGATGTCCTCAGGTTCGATACCTTCGGCCTCCACGACATTCACGTAATCACTTCGGTTCACAGAGTACAAGTGGTTTAATTCCATAGCGTCGGTTTTATTCATGGGCTCATCGAACCTCCTCAGCAACTCTTTAACGAATGGATGGCGCCTAAGCTCCTTTTGTCCCAGGAAATCTTTCGAGAGACGTTTAACCTTCTCGAGAGCTGTCAGCTCCATTTTGCCAACAGGCTTGTCTGAGAGAAATTTGTGAAGCGCGTCAGCCATAGCCGCCAAGTTCTTTTCAGCATCGGTTCCCCCCAGGGCAAGCAACCAGTCAATGCCCTCTTTAAGGTTGTGAGGAGCCTCGGTCAAAGAATTGTATACCATTTTGTAGAGATAGGTTTAAATCAGCAACTGGTAGAGGTGTGAATTTTCTTTATTTAAAGGCAGGTGTGCAAACAGCCTTGTCTGAACGGCGGGCGAACACAATGCATGTGTCGTCGTATTTTAATGTAGGTGTCTAAATGAATTATTCAGATCCGTATATAAGCCAAACAGGCAAACTTCAGAGCCGAGAAGACAACGAGGATGCCTAATCCCAATCAGTTCTAGACAATGAACATGGCATGCAGAACGCGAGTCAATGTCTATTTGCATTTCAAACAGGAATGCCACATACTGAGCCTTGAAATGCTACCACATTTTTTAACGTAAATAAAAGTTGAGAATGTTACCATGGGCTGCCGGTAAGATGTTGCAGTACCTATGGACTCTCGCGGGGACTGCTTGCTATAAGGAAAACGATCACATTGTGACGAATTCAGGCACCCTTTGGACTGTCTTTCCCCGTTATATTTATTGTTTTCTGCCTTGAATTGTCGCAGCAACGTTTCGTGTCAAGTGCTTCTTGGCGTGTAACAACTGCACGATGCGATGTGTTAATTCACTTTTCTCGCAAAACACTTATTTCCCAAGCTGTGGCCGCAGCATGCTGCAACATAAGGCGGAACTATCCTCTTTGAGACCTAAATATATATATGAGGGGGATGTCGTACCTAAGTCCTTACTATACGTAGGCTTTTGGGGGCTAGTTTGCTGCTTTGTGCAGTAATGGTACATTTCACTCTGCAGGAATCTAGTTTTACACCTAGCAACTCCGACACCGCTTGTCGTACAGCCCAAGCGAATCATGGATCTTGTCGGCAGTGTCAACGTCTGAATTCGCGAACTGCGATTTATTGCGTACTATAACAGCAATTCCATCATTATGTGTTTTCTTGCATTCCAACGGAGGGACTCCGCCATAGCATTATATTGTCCGTTCGACATTTTCCCGCATATTGAGAGCGCCACATATGTGCACTTTCAAAATTGTCGCATCTCTGAATAACTATTCCGAAGAATATGTATTGTAAGCGGGGATCCTGAGCTCAGTCATCGTTATACGCCGGGTGGCCTAGTGTGTGAATCGCCTGCAGTATGAGTTACCTGGATGTGGAAGAGACGGCAATTAATAATATCTTTTGTAGAACTGTGATATCACACATAATTCGTTGTAGCATCGATTTCACGCATTGTATGCACGTCGACACCGGTCAAAAATAATTCAGCTAACAGTGGTAGGCGAGCATTGCCCACCGCCAGACAATGCCGCTTTTTTGAAGGTGATAGTTGACACTGCGACGTTAATAATAGTCTGGAAACATGGTTATCGGCACCATTTTAAACTGGCATCATTCACCGTCACGATATTGGCATCACGCAAAATAGCCCACTTACGGCTCCTCGCGCCCTTTTCGGTATTCGGGTTGGCAGAACATTTCCATTGCAATGTCGTATGACTAAAACTGCACTGTATAGGCTAGGTGCAGCTATGAAACGTCATATTAAATTAAACAACCCTTTACAGCACTTAACAGTGTACCACGAAGACGGGTTGTCAGTTGAGTGATGTATATTTAGTTGCCGCAAGAATCATATTACGCAACCACTGCTGCCTGAAACGTAACGCAACATTCATATTGCCGAAACATATTTTGCAAACAAGGATCGAGTCTGGCCGTGACCATAGTAGCATACACGCCTTGGGACGATGACGCAGGATGTCCGTGAACATACTCAACAGGCAGACCGACAGCCACGATACCATGGCGCATTGGCCACCAACATTCACGCCGCGAAGAGCCTGTGCGACATCGCCAAGACCAACCTGGGCCCCAAGGGCACCTGCAAGATGCTGGTCAACGGCGCTGGAAACATCAAGATCACGAAGGACGGAAGCGTGCTGCTGACTGAGATGATGATCCAACACCCTACGGCGATGATTATTTGCCGAGAGTGTGCTAGCCATTCCCAAGACCCTGGCAGACAACGCCGGTCTCGACGGGCGGGAAGTTGTGCTCGAACTGCTTGACATCGATAGCGAGTACGGCAGGTACGTCGGACTAGACCTCGACACCGGGAAGTTTCTCATCCCCGCAGCCGAAGGTATATGGGACAATTACAATGTCAAGAAGCAGACCCTTACTATAGCCACCACAGTGGCGCAGCAAACGCTGCTCGTCGACGAAATCATTAAGGCGGGGCGCTTAATGGGCGCTAAGCCCACGTGACCCACTAACACCACGTTGTGGCCTTTGTTACAGAGCATATACAACCAAATTGCACAACTCATAGAACTATCTGTATTGTGTGTGAAACCGATACACCGATTCGGGGCCATCGTGCCATAATTGGCTGCGCTAGAAAAGTGATGGTTGTCACTTTTGTAAGTACCAAGTGCGTTGACATTCACATTGTTGCATGACTAGATTGACGATACGTAAACCAAGTGAAGCTATGACACGTTAGTGGAGGAGAGCGAATTATGGTGTGGGACGGCCTAAAGCGCGGAAAGGTTCACATATCTGGGTGAACGCTGTACCAATCCCTTGCTTGTTTATTAAACAGCGGATACAGAGAGCCAAGAAAATGAGGAGCGGAATACCTATAGTGCAGGCAACGGGGCCGACAGCTCGCCAACTCATCTTCCCCCTAGCTCAGCTAATAACAACGATCCTGCAAACCGATGAACAACGCACCTCGATCCACGACCATTATTGGCGAAGTGACGAAACACAATGTCCACAGCCACATACCTAGCATGCCGTTCACACGGTTCTGGGGCCAGCGAAGTACAAGACATCGCGACACTGGCATGTTATGAGCTTCTATAAGGAAACATGCATTGATAAACTAGGTTGCTGACCTAATGAATATAAATGGTACCTCATCTACGTACGATCCATAAAGAGAGTCCCAAATCCGTTGGCTATCCACTGTGCCACGCCATTGTTACACTTATAAATGGTAATCCGAATGACACTGCGCAACGACGTTAGTGCTCACTGTAAGGTAACTTCTAAAAGCTCCTTAACTACGCCGCCCTCTGGCCATAACATCAAACAATGTTCCGGCATAACGCTCATCAACACACAGCCTGTAGAGATCGCCTAGCCAATATTAGATTCACTACGTTACCTAGGATGACGCTTCTTCGCTTGTGACGTCAACAATAGCAGGCTCACTTACACTGTACACCTATGACATTGCATGACGTAGACATCTCACGACTGAAGTACACAAAACAAGCCCAACTGCATTGTTTGTTACTTGGGATAGATTATTGTAGGTTGCGCGTTGAAGCACTCAAACTTGGAGAGTTTGCCGCACATTTCCCCAGTCTGGAGCATTGGAAGCCTGCCGCCAAGGATGTTATTACCAAGGCGGATAAGAAGTGTGATGAGATACTTAAGAGGGTTGATAAGGATCATATAGACAATCAAAAAGGATCCAGCGGCCCCGTGATTTTAAAGCAAGCTGAATTGTTACAAAATGAAGGTAAAAGACTTTTGGAGGCTGCGACTGCGGCAAAAAAGGCTGTTGAGCAGAATGTCACCGCGGCCTTGGAGGCTGTTGTGGCAATGGACGGAGATCTCAAGAGGGATTTGAAGAGTGTTAAAGAGAAGATTATAGCGGGGATAGGGAGTGTGATTCAGAAGTTGCAGGTTAAAGAGTTGGATAGTTTGGTGAAAAAGGATTTGGGGACGTTGAAGCAGAGGATTGAGAAGCTCAAAACAGAGGTTGATGAAAAGAGTGATGATGACAGCCTTGTCAACAAGGAGTTAAAACAACTTCGGTCTGCCAAAGAGGCGCTTGAAAAAGTTACTCATAAGGATGACGGTGGAAAATCCATTAAAACTCTGACGGATGAACTTGACACGAACTTTAAGACCCAGATCCAACAGCCGCTTAGCGAGGCGGTCAGTGCAGTTAACGAGGCTATTGAGAAGCTTGGCGGGAAGTTTAAAGATCATGGTAACCTTATGACTCTTCATAAGGTTTTCGAGCATATTAAAGGAAAGGTTGCGGCAATTAGGGGGACACCTAAGAAGGGTAGGCATAATGGCTCAGGCCTGGAGGGTATTGTCAGCGGTATCAAACAATATGCCATAAATATTGGCAACAATGTGGGTAGATCATCGGTAAATAGCTGGGTGATGAGGATTTTGAATGCGAATGTGTTGGTTAATGCGTGGATTGATGAGTATGTTCGGAACAACAATAATAAATTCCAAGATAGTACAGTGACTGCCGAAAATCAAAAGATCCAGAAAGTGAAAATTGTCTTGCAGAATACTATTCAAGCGCGGTTTAGCAGCGTTGTAGTAAATGAAAAACCAAAAGGCCAGGGAAATGTTGCTGGAACATTGGCGGAGATACAGACATTTCACAAAGCCGTCTCCCAAAAGATAAAGGAATCACTTGATCCGATAACTAAGGCCCAGGAGATTGCCACCCAGGTCAAGAGTGAGGTGATTAATGGGGGAGGCAACAATAATGATGGATATCTCCGAGGCGCCATAGAAGCTACCCTCGCACAGCTTCCTGTGCTGGTAAAAAATTTTGACGACGAGCTCAACACATTCGCCAGTGAAGGCAACGCCGGATTTGCCAAGTTGGATGATGCGCTTAAAGTAACCAAGGATCTTGACAGTCAGCTTGGCGATGCGACTAACCCCAGCCAGCGTGATCCTTCTGGCCCTAATATTAGCCCCGCCCAAGTCGTTGACAAGAGGTTGGGGATGGTGAGGCAGCAGGTAAGACTAAGATTAATGGTCTTGTGGTGTTAGTTGTTAGGTGGTGTTGTAAATTACGTCTAGACAATTGTCCGGTAAGTTAGCCTTCAAAATGGTACGCCAACCAAAGAAACTTACGGGCTGTCCGGAGAATCTCCGGGAGTCCATCGACTGGCTAATCCAGGTTAAGAATGGGAATGGTGATAACAAAGGTCTTGAGAAATTGGCTGAAGCTTTGAAAAAGTTGATTGGTGATGCTATCAGAAATTCTAGCGAGAGTCTTGAAAATAGGCGTAAAGAACTCGAGGATGTTGTTAAATCTAATCCAACTAAAAATAACGATTTAGAGGAAATTGATGCCCGCCGTATCTCTCTTGGTCAGCTCGCTGGACAGCTGGGTGGATTTATTGGCGGCGGACAGGAAGTTAAAGATGCAATTTTGTATGGTTTGCACAGCAATGTAACTCAGCTTGAAAAGCTTTTGAATGCATCTTGCGGAGGTAAGGGGTGTTGTGGGACTGATAAAATTACGCTGAATACATATAATGAGAGCCTTAAAAAATATCTTGGAGTGGAACCTTTAACCTCTGAAAACCTTGATAAAATGCTTCCTGATGGCATTTTAAAAGGTCTTATTGATTGCTTACGTCTGCTTAAGGGTAAAATTCAGCAAAAAATTGAGAGCCTTAAAAATGATATTGAAAAGCTTAAAGATGCTGGTCAAAGCCCTAAAAATGCCTCTCAAATTGACAAACTTAATAAGGATGTTCAGTCTCATAATGCTTCCATGAAGTCTCTTGATACACTGAGTGAGCTTTGTGGATATGCTGATAAAATTCATAATAATCATGTTAACGAAAATCCCAGTAAAAACCTTTTAGATAACCTCTGCACAGGCCTCGAAAAATTTCTCGGCTACGAGAAAGGGAATTACACCGGTGAAGGCATCGTGTACTCCGACCTTGACAGGCTCTGCGACGGGGTGATGGCGTTCTTGCACGGGGTGCTTAGTGGAGTGAGGGATGATGGTGTGGAAGCTCCTTGGTGATTTTCGCATGCCGTTTTATATTTTATCTGTTTTTTCCAATCCTTGTCGCCAAGCTCAGTGTCTCTCAAATCTTCCAAAGCGGAAATCACATCATTTTCCGGCGTTCCGTTCTCGCTCTGCAACTGCTTCTGAAGGTTTTGAAGCTCATTGGTGATTTGGCCGACACCACCGCCAATTTCAGTGGGTTGACCAGACAACTCACTTTGTTGAGTGTTAAGATCACTATTAATTTTTGCGAGGCCTTTTTTATTACCATTCCATTTGTCCTTTCCACTTAGTCCCTTGCTCTGCAAATCGTTCAATGTTGCAATGACATCTTCGCCTGGACTGCCTTGCAAGTCATTTCGAAGCTTCCCAAGTTCATCTACAATTTGTTGCTTGGCATTGTGAATTTCGTCTGGTCTCTCCTTGAACGGTCCTTGTTGCAGCTGTTGAATTGCCTCATGAAGTTGTTTAAGATTTCCATCGTTGTGCGTACCTACACCAATTTTCAGTTTTAATTGCTTCAACAGGTCTGTGATGGTATCATCAACGAGACCATTATTCAACTTTAATCCGAGACCTCTAAGAGCAAACGTAATTGCACTTATGGCTCTTGTGATTTTTTGAGTCTGTTCAGGCAATATACGATTCTGTTTTCCAAGGTCACCATGGATTCTCCCAAGGCCACTGAGAGGTTTACCTTTACCATTAATCGGCGTCCATTGATTTTCCTCAGTGCCAAGGCCCTGCTCCTTCATGTCATTTAGTCGTTCAATTACATCATCTTTATCGCCGTTCTCTTTCTTCAACTTCCCGCTAAGCACTCCAAGCTCCTGCCTAATTGCTTGGACGGCTGAGCCGATTGCTTTGGGTTGGTTACTAAACGGCCCTGCTTGCAGAGTGTCAATCGCCGATCGGATTGCTTCCAAACCTTCATCAGCATTATTCAACTTTCCTGTATTAAGTCCGTTTTTAAGCTTATTCAACAATGTCATGACGCCTTTTTGATCGTCATCATCGCTTTCCTCATCAACCAATTTCTTGATCTCGTCAAGCTGTTCCTTAATCTTGTCGAACGGACCCGTGAAGGTATCTGCAGTAATTTGATCTTGGCCAGTTGGATTTGGATCGATGACGTCAGTAAGCGTTTTCAGGCCGTCAGTCTTAATGTCCCCGATCGCCTCTGGAAGAGAGCCTTCGCCTGTAGTACCTTGCAGAGACTGACCAGACTGAAGGGCTTCGATACTTTTTTGATCAACTTGACCATCGTAATTCGGAAATTTTGCTTTAGTAATTTTTACCTTCTCAGCTGCTTTACCACCTTGCTGACCTGGCGGATCATCCTCCCCAATGTGGTCTTCAACTAGCTTCTTAAGGTCTCCGTCGAGCTTCTCTCTGATCAGCTTGTGGGCTGTTTCGAAATCAGACATTAGGCCACCCTTCTCAAGTTGTGGTTTACCATCACGTCCCATCTTGATCTCATCAGCCGCCTTGGCAATCGCCATCTTGGCCGCATTCCTAATCTGTGCCTGAGCTTGACGGTTGAAATCTTCAACTGCCTGGGGAAGCTTGTCTACCTCAGTCTTAAGTGGTTGTTTCACGTGGGTATTAAAATCATTGACAAGGTTACCAACCTTAGTGCTCACTTCCGCCAACCTCTTGTCCACGGCTTGGGCGGGGCTGTCTTGGGATTGGCCACCGGAGCTGGATGGGTCAGTCGCCTGGTCAAGCTGACCGTGAAGCACGTTGGTTACTTTAAGCGCATCATCCAACGCTGTTGCGATGTTTTTATTGGTACCACTGCCGCCCATCCTGTAGTCAGCGAGCATAAGGGAATCAACCTCCTTGCCCACCTGCCGGGAGACGGCGGTGAGTGCACACATGATCAATTCGGCGGCGGCCTTTTTAGCACACTCCTCTTTTTTCTTGCCGTAGTAGTCATAACAACCGCACTCACATATGCATTTTGGGTCTCGGGTAGCGCTGCTTTTCATCAGCCCCTCCACACCCTTAACATCGTTGACTATTCCATTTGCCGGGTTCTTCAGCTCCGCATCCAGCGCGTCAGCGAACGTCTCGCAGGCTGTTTTGACAGCTTTAATTTTTTCTTGAATGCCGGCGGTGGATTGTTGACCTTTGAACACGTCAACGCCTTTCTGAATTTCTGTGCTAAGATTCTGCGTGTCCCTAATTTTCTCCGTCAGACTATGGTTCACATTAAACGCAGTCGGCAGAAAATCGCCTCTCTTCTCATCCCACCCTAGCCCCTTAAGTATCTTTTTCACCACGCCGTTGTGCGGCAACATATCATCCAGCCAGCCTTTAACTATTTTCCATTTAAAATCATGCCCAGTGGAAAACGCCTCAAAATAATGATTTATCGCACCCTCAATGCCAAGGAGACCTGAACCATCTTCAAGATACCATTTACTCTTTTTTTGCCCTGACTCCCCCTTAATCTCCCCAACCCTATCTTTAATATGTCTGAAAATTCCTTCAATATTACTCTTACCTTCAAACTTCTCACCAACCTTACCAATCGCCGCGTAAACTCTATTGACCTCTTCGCTAAGCGGCTGTTGGATATTATCCTTAAACTTACCTTCAAGTCCCGCAGTCAGAGACACGATTGATTTTTCACCATTATGAGTAATTTTATCCAGCGTAGCATACTTATCTTTAAGGTCCTCTAACTGCTTGCCGACGATGTTTCCATTTCCATCGCCAGCAGAGTCTGTAACTTTATCTTTTAGATCACTAATCCTCTTCCTCAACGTCCCCAAATCAATCTTCACCAAAGAATCTAACTCAGTAACTTTCAACTTCTGAATCACCTCCGCAATCCCATCCTTAATCTCCTCCTTAACTTTCTTCAAATCCATCTTAAGACTTTTGTCCATTTTTACAACAGCCTGCAAGGCCTCAGTGACCAATTGGCCAACTTGCGTCTTAGGCTCACCTCCTCCACCTAAAGTGTGACCTGCTAGATGGCCCACTTAACGTGTAACCTAATGCATAATGTAATCGACGGGCTGAGATGTCCATTGCTAGAAATGCTGAGCCCCAGGTCACTATCGAAACGTGTCAGTGTCACCCCGCCTTGTGAGTGTTGTGTGAATCTGGTGGTTGGCCGTCAACGTGGACAGCTGAAGACTGCTGTGCTAGGTTAGGCACTGGGTAGTCTGTTATGAGTGGTTGACACGCTAGTTTTCATGTGCGCTGATAAGCAATTTGTGATTACGGGACTGTTCGACGTGATGGCCAGTGAACGGCCTAGTTAAGTGTCATCCATGGTCAACATTGTGGTTATCACTATATTCGTAATATCGCGCCGTGGCTCAGCTAATCACTCATTGGCGCGCCCAAAGCGTGGCACGTGGAAGCCGTGTTAAGGTGGCGTGGTCGAAGTTGCTACTACGCAACTTATACCAGTTGATATGCATGCCACGTCAAGGATACTATTAACATGCGCTATCTCAATTGTATTTGCGTGCTGTAGTCCGTGCGGGTGTAGTATCCCTAGCAGCGCACTGGATTGCAGGTGCCTCGGTCTTTCCTTATCGCTCATCGGAGACGGCTTGGCGCCGGGGGTGTTCTGACTGGGATACGTGCTTCATCGCTTCGCAGGGTTTGTTGTTAAGAGGGTGAGGGGGAGATGAGTCAGACGTGTAATTGTCGATCTGGAAGTGATTGTGAAAATCTGAATTGTAACTGCTGTCCCTGGTGTTGTGGAAAATGTATAAGTTGCGACATATGTTGCGTGTCATATATGATACGCAAAGGCAATGAATGTGATCATAGGGGTTGTAACAAGTGTGACACCCGCACATGCGAATGCCCATGTTGCATACGCAAACGTACACCGCTTGCCACCAATGTCGTTGCTTCCTCCAGCAGCATCGATCCCACCATTGTCATTGTTCCCATCACTGCCATCATCTTCGTCGCCGTATGCGTTATGATCGTCTTTCGTATTCGGCCGCTCCATAAGGTCCGTGATTGTTTCGCCCGCAAGTGAACGTTTTGTATCGCATTCTCTAATCAACTCCAGAATTTTCCATAATCGCACGTATCGCACAGTCCTAGACAGTAAAGGCACGATGTCACCGTAATAACGTCTTATTTAATGTTTCATAATAGCCCACAGGCAGGTACCCGGTGAACGCGTTCACGAGTTAGATCATGGCAGCGCATTGGTTAAAAGAACAGGATATACACCTCCCAATGTAGTACCCACATCCGCTCGCACCTCCTCACCACCAGGGCCTCCCACCTCATCGACGTCAAGGCGCTGCTCGCTGGAAGCCGCAGGATGCTGTCACTCTACGGGGACGTGGATTACTTCGACGACCTAGTTGGTCAACTTGGCGTCTCACAGTAATTAGCGCAGTTAAGCCTTAGTTTTGTATATGTGGCGTTGCTTTACAGCTACGAATGAACGACTTACGTGATGTGGTGAATATAATACCCCGGTGTTTTGCAAGATCGCCACACGTGCAAACCCGCAACCGTAACTAGTAACCTAGTCCACCAATACGGCAGCATAGCTGACAGTGCGCGTTGACGTGTTAACTGATTGATCCCCATAACATTTGTCGAGAGAGTCACCGGGGTCACCCCATGGCTATAGTGGAGAGAGACGCTGAGTGTTCGGTCATCCATGTTAGCGTCTCAGATGTGCCATGATAGGTTAGGTTGTTATACGTCTGCTTGGAGACTGCCCGGGACGTTAGTGCTTTGGCGGGAATATACAAGTTATGGTGATGCGTGCTTGCGGAGGTTGCGCCGGGACACCTACGTTACAACCACGGAATGGCGTAGACCCTGTGATACACCACTCGTAACGCATCATAACATTGCAAATGTTGACGTGTATGTGCAAACATACTAATATATCTAAGATCAGTGTGTGGCATTTCTGTCTGGATCTTACACATGACAACGACATGCGATCTGCATGCAACATTAATAGTATCGACCTGGCTGTCATGGGACGACCGTACCTTATCCGAGCCTCTACTGTCCGCCTATTTGGCGTGTGTACAGTCTGGTAGATCTCAATAAAACGCGTATTTATCAGGTGTGAACAGCACTTTTGTTAATTTAACATTAGCGCACAGCTGTTTAAAAGCGCTTCATGCAAACACACGAATATCCACGCGTTTACAGCCTTTGCCAAATCTAACGAATCTTCACAAAATGGTGTACACTTCGTTGACCGAGGCTCCTCACAACCTCAAGGAGGGCATCGATTGGTTGGTGGCCCTGAAGGGAACCGATGCGGAAGCCAACGTGAAGGGTCTGGGAGCCGCAGTTTACAAATTTCTAGCAAACAAGCCTGTTGGCTTTACGGAGGTGCCAGCTCTCGAGGAAGTGAAACTTATTTCCAAGGAGTTCCTGGAGCAACCGGAGCTTAAGGACATGTGGTACGTAAAAGACATGCTGGGGAAGTTCAATGAACCTATGGATAAAGACAACACATTATATAGGTGGTTTGGAGCTCTAGCCGAAAGCGATTATGAGAACATCATAAAGGTCCGGGGTCTCACTGCTGACGCCATGGTGAAAAACGTCAGTGATGTTGTGGATGGTTGTGAAAAGTTCCTTGAAAATATCAAAGCCCCTGACCAATACAAGTCTGCTTACAGTTCGGACGCAACGTGGGACGCATCATGCGCGGAAGACCCGAAGGCTTGCGCAGTGGTCCTCGTGGGTATTGCACCAATGCTATTCACGGGCCTACGTTCTTTGATTGATGTGACCGGAGTTGCAAATAGGACAACTCCCGCATTTAGGGGGGAGAAGAATTTGGGGAAGTTATTGAAAGCCGTGGGTTACAAAGAACCTGAGTGCCGCGCTGGCATGGGCAATTCAGATATACGCGGTGCGTTCAATGGTGTGGATCGATATATATTGGACAAAATCTACGACCTCTCAGGATTCTGGGCTTTCTATGGATTGAACAATTCAGAATCTGTAGACGCCGTAGAGCCCGTGAAACCCGTGACAACGGCAGACGCTGTAGAAGCTCTCAAGTACCACACTAGCAAAAATGGGCCCCATATGATAGCGGGGGATAACAGTGGCGTAAACATGGGTCTGTTACATGCCTGGAATGCCAAGAAATCGAATAAGCCACCAAAAACTGGTAACGCCCTCAGATCGAACATGTATTATCCCTGGTTGCCTACAGTGTCGGATTTGGGCAATGTTATCCCAATTTAATAGGCAGCATCCTGTTTATTTGCATGGCCGAAGGATATTGTTTCAACATGTTTATTAATTATACGTTGATATATATACATCTCCTTTGTATCCTTTGCCCACTGTTGTAAACCCGCTAATCTATCTGCATATCAAGTAGTCTAGTAGATAACGTACTAGACATTAGGACAACGTCGAAGGGGCCGGATGTGGAAGTCAATGCCATTAGCCTATTATGTAATTAGGTAGTGAGAGTGATACGCCATCCTGGTGTCTGAAGAACGCCATCATCACCGTGGAAATAGGAATTAAAAATAAACACAAATTGGTGGAGATGGAGACGATAACGACTCTGTGAGCGACTTTCGCACCCAAGCAGCATGGACTACACTTGCAACATTCGATAGCAGGACGTGGAACCCGCAACCTACACCAACGTGAGGCGCTAGAGCGGTAAACGAGGAAACCAGGCAAAGCTGATTGTAGCCACTCAGCACACTATACAATTTAAAACACAGGTCAATAGACGTGAGAAATACGGATGCAATAAAAAGTTGTATATTACAAATGGGCATGTGGGTCCATAAATTTAGTACAGTGAAGGTGACTCCGGCGACACCAATAGTTCCCGATCAATGAGACATTTTATGCCCACCTCTTATTAATGCGTAATGTTTTTCAGATGCCTGAAATCAGAGAACCGCCATTACGCCCAGCGCCACCATTGTTTGAATAACCCTGATGCCCATTGTCACAAACCCTGATGAACCCTTAGCATCCGTTGTGTTAGGTATATCGTTGAGAGTTCCTTCTGTGGTTTGTGATGTATCTTCTCCGTTTGTAGCATGTGTTGTGCCCCGTCCACCTCGAGTATTTGCATTACCCGTAGCTGCCATGTGATTCGTGTGATCTGGTGTAGGCGTGTTACCACTGGGCTTAGGCTCGGCAGCTGTGCTTGCAGCCAAAGGCACATCCTCTCCACCACTTACAGCCGAGTTACTCCCCGCGGGTTTACTTGGCGGCGGTGATGTTTGCTGGCCGTTGTGTCTTCTAATGAACGCTACTGCATCGTCTATAATACTTTTGTGCACTTCTGCTAAGTCGGAATTTATAAGGGCAGCTGCGAAGCCTTCCTTATCTTTGAATTGTTTTTCGAGTTCATCCACATCTTTCTTATGCTCATCGGAGCTTCCCTGCTTTACATCTTTATTTTGCGGACGTGTTTTTATCTCAGCGTATTTATAAAATATATTGCTTAGTTGGACGTATTCTGCCATGTGGAATACATTTTGCATGGTTGTCAATAAATTTTTAGACTCCCTTTGCTTTGCTTCTTTAACTTCCGGTGAAGCGTTGGAGTCAAGTATTTCCCATGAGATAACAGCCAAATCTGTATAAATTAGGCTGGCTCGCCCAAGTAGTGCCATATAGCGCTGGAGACGCTGATGGAATTCCTCGTTATTGGCATAGAATGCAATGCCTTTTGGTCCGTTGTCCTTGCTGTCCGGATTATCGGGTCCACCGTTAGCGCCAACAAAAGCACCATTGAAGATGATCATGTAGAGACATAGAAAGTATGCGAAAATCCGCCGTACAATGTGCCAAATAGATGTCATTATTACCGAATATAACCAGGCAGCCAAAACGTAAAATGATAGAAATTGCAATGATCAACTTAATATTACACGACGCAGTATCAACAATTATCTTCTATAATTCCGGTAGAGCGTTTCTAACAACCAATGAAGCTACTGAGGCAGAATTGGCTGTGGCTATGAGCACAGGTGACAAAACATTATACGCATTGGTAAAAATTATTTTGTTGTTGCCCAAGCGTGCATTAATGTGGCACATTGAACGTATCACACGGCATATGGTGTGCATAATGTGTCGAGTAACCATTGTAGGTTGAATTTTCGTCTCGGCCCACTAGTGATTTTCATCGCAGCTTGAATTTTCGCCTCCAGTTGTCGCATGTAGATATTCATTAACAATCCATATATCGCTTCAGTGATAACAGGCAACATTTACTTCGGAATATGATTAATAATCGGAAGAACGATGCATATCATATTACCATTCGATGAAAAATTGTCATACATTGGACGACCTAAGATATGTTCACGAGCACGTTCGCTTGGGAGTTGAACCTGCCACAGCTGATTCTATGTAACATCTATGCGTCGGTAACCTCCAGAAGGAGTAGTAAAATTTTATTGTCTACTAGCGGATGCTACTGCCCTGCAGCCATAGCAACACGGTTTTGCTTAGGATACTTGTATGTTTAGTTGCCTGGCGCCATATAAGTGAATAATTATGGCATGGCCAAAATTTCACCTTTTCTAGGGGCTTATGGTGCGCAATCTATAGGCATTGGGTGCCGTCCATGTGGGTCTCCATCATGTTCCATACGCCCAACTGCTGCCTGCGCTTACTATGCAATTGCATAACAATGAGTTACCAAATCATTACCTGAAGTACCGCCTTCCACTTATTCTGTTTGTTAAACGTCCCCCCCCTTCGCATGCTCCACTAGGTCCTCCTACTTCCTCTTTAGGTCTCCACCTCGAACAGGTTGTCTGCGTTCGTAACACCGATGTTCCAGACAGCGATAGTGTTATGCCGCCTATATGTGAAGATGGTGTGCAGCCTATTCTGTTTTTTGGATTTTTAAGGAAACTTGTGTTTAGTTAGAGAGCTATGCATCAAGTTACAGCTTTTGGCTTATATTACTTATGAAAATCATATCGCGATTTAAATTCGGTGTGTGTTACGGCATCGTCTCGCGTCACCTTTTCTCCCCCCGCAGAAAACTGTTAACGAAAATTCTTCGCCCCCTTGCTGCCTAGCTGTTGCTGGGGGGTCTTCGCTGTCATTTCGAATCACAAACAATTACTAGTCGTCAAACGGCTTTCATTTCACACACCCATAAATTGTATCTGGGCTATAAACGATTTGTATTTGGTGCAGTTGCCCTCTATAGTATGTCTCAAAATCGATAACCATGGCCAAATTTAGCAGCAGAGCTGCCTTGGCGTTTTGCGCAGTAGCGCTATGTTCTATTGTGCGTCTAGTCGCAGCGAGTTGCAATTTCGAATATCCGCCTGGGTTGCTCAGCAGCAATGCTCTTGTCGCGTGCCACGAAAACCTCGAAGTCGCCTACAGCGCATATGCGATCTGCCCACGCCAAGTCAACGGCACCGAGTATGTATGGCACCCACAACCAACTTCGGATGATAACGGCGAAATCAAGACGTATGTGAGTGAAAATGAAAGGCTTCGTTCCGTTTCTATTTCGGATGTAATACGCACTGAAGGCGAAAACCCATTCATCACACTGGAATCGAATGTTTTCCGAACGGATATTAGGTTTAAAAAACCGATGTTTGAGATGATTGCGCTTACTGAAAAGCGTTTGATATTCATCTGCGGTCCGAAAGATTTGGTTCTGAATGATGAACTGCAGCGTCACCTGGGCCGCCTCGATGGCTTTGGCAAAATGCAACAACTCCCTTGGACTACAACCACACCATTGGCTGCAGAAATAGCAAAAATAGGAAACGGACTGGGCGTTTTTTACTTGAACAGAGGACGTATGGATCTACCTCTTCAAGGATGTGGCAGTCGTCCCTCACCATTATTTGCTGCGGATAATGAGGTGGCCGTAGACCCCATCACCGGAGTCCGTTCATGTGTGGCGGATCCTATGTCGTTATCACCCATAGGGTTCCTTTGTGAAGGACGGATTGAACCTGATGGTTGCATGAGGTCCCTCATTAACCAGAATGACGAAGTTGTGACTGCTCCTACACCGTACTCATATAGGGATTTCGATAACCGTGGACCATGGGTGATAGCGCGATATTTTAATGGACTAGCATTGCCACCCATCAATGGCGAATGCAGGTGCGTTGATTCTGCAACCGGTCGTGTGAAGGCAAGGATGGAAATCCGTACGAAAACCGACTACGTTTGTGATATTTCTAGGAAGGCCTTGCCTGAACCTTTTAGCCGCATCAGTGGCCCTTGGTGTTCCGTGGTACTTCATCCGGGCAGCACCTTGACAATAAGATTGCCAACACAGCACGTAAACTCGGTTTCTATTGGCATGGCTTCCGCGGACGATACCGACAAAGTTTTAGATATGGATGTAGACGAGTATGAATCGACTGTTGCGTTCTCGCAGCCACCGGCTGTCTATGAATATGAGACTGAATTGCTGCCGAAGGACTTGACTACTCTGAGACACTTGGCAAGCGTCTATGACTTTGATATTCACAACGAAGCGTTGTACCACGAGGCACTTGCTGGCGATGCCCTCGAGATGGATGTTTCCCAAATCGCCCGGGGAGAGGTCAAACTGACGTATCACCTCGATAAACCCCTGGCACAACGGCATGCAACAAACGCTTTCGATTATCATTGGGCTTTAATATCTAAGGAAGAGGAGGTTCAGGAGAAGATACGTGGCACTGTAGATTTGACGATCGCGTTTACCCATGAATACGACATAATTGGTTGCGACCGGGGGACACCAAGTGTGTTTGATCCAAACGTGAGCAAGGCACATTGCTCAGTGAAATCTATGGCGAATGGAATAGGTGACATTTACGAATGCAAAGCCCATATTAAGGAAGAGCTTAGGCAGGCCGGTATTTACTGCAGGCCAGACGAGGAACTGTTGCCACATAATTGTGAATCTATGGGATACGATCTCCACAAGAATAGGATGATCTCAATTCCTGGGTCTGTGCGAAATGCGACACCATATCCCATTCAAGGGTTTCAACTGTTCGACTATTTCTTCCGCAACAATAGCCCTCTTAGCTATGCTTGCTTTTGTGTCGATGAACGTGGATATGAAAGATCAAGGCTTGTTGTGGAGTCACATCATGATGAGGAGTTCACCTCCATAATAAACCGTGAGAAGGCCTCTCATACACTACTTCCTCACATATTGCTGCCTTGGCACGAGGTTGAATTATCAAGTGGTGGGCTCACATCGCCCGAATCTCTTCTGCTGAACAACATATCTCAAGAATCAGTTAACCTGAGAGTGGGTAAAACGTTGTCCATGACCTGTGGGATTGCGCTTGCTCGGCCGTCAGAATGTGATTCTTCTGACACTACCATAGATGAGGACTTCCCGGCAACATGGTTGCCGACGCAACCTGAAGAATTCTATTATTCCGTGAACGAAACCCCTGATGCGATTGAGCTTATTAAGGTTACATACAACGATTCACTTGCTACGACCCCAGGTGGATTCAATGTCGAATACCCTAGTGACAAAAATGGGACAAAAAATAATAGATTGGTTGTGCAATCGACCATGGGCGCCATCTTGATTTCCAAAAATCCAATTCATAAGCAATTTGTGCCCATGACATTCGTGTGCGGCAAAACACCCGAGACATCAGATTTATCCGTTATCACCGGCAATGCATCGACTTCAGACGCACCTGCACAGCCCCTTCCTAATGTCATGGGGTTGTCAATGGGATACACGTGGAATGCCGTTGAAGTTAAAGTCGAGACAACGGACCCCTACATGCAAGGCTGCGGTGTTGCGTATTCGTCTGTTGAATTATTCAAGCCTGAGACACCCAAACTGTACGACGCTGACGGACAACAGATCGGTTGCAAGATAGACCTCCATGCGACACGCAAGGCGGCGTTCTACTGCCCGGCACCATATGTCCTGGACCCACCCAATTGCTTCAGCCAGGTCTATGTCGATGGCGAAGTAAAGAACGTAAGCGATTTCAGCAAGTCGCTGGTAGCATCTCGATCCAACCACTTCGTCAACCTCAGATTCAATCGTTTACGAGTAAGGCCTGAGGAGACGTTGCGCCAGACGCCGCCATTGGAGTGCCGCTGCGTCACCGTCAAGGGCGCCGTACTCTCCACCATCCAGATCGAGAACTATTACTCAAAGTAATGAGTTACTAAGGTGTGACAACTCTTCGGTACATTGCAGAAATTAATTTGCGTACCTCATTGTTTATGTTGCTGATAACATGTTGACTCGGGTATTTCAGTGATAGCATGGTTTGGGTTGTCGAAGCCCTCCGGTTGTTACCGCGTATGCAACATGTTTTTTGTTATGCTAGCTGTGTCTAACCTGTGTGAATGGCCATAAACCCGGGTGAATAATGTGGAATGTAATCGCCTCTGCCCACACCATTGTTCCCACGTTAGCAGTGCCGTGATGAATAAGGTGTGATGTGGCCATTTGCCTAGTGACCCTCAAGTTAAGAGACAGGCAATGTTTGCAACATGTTACAGTGGATATTATATGAGGTTGTAGGGTACATCACTAGCTCCACTAATGTTAATAAGTAACAACGGTGTCAATCTGTCTTCTATTGCCAATCGGTAGGAATTATAGCAGGAGCGCCTTCATTCGCGTTTAATACCTCCACGGCGCAAACAATAAGATGATCTGCAAAAGTACATTGAATCACATGGACAAGTGCGAATTGGTGGTTTTAAAGGCCTCCCCTAACTCAAACACATGCCTTACAGCTTGATGGGATGATGCAAGGGAAAGCGATGGAATGTTTCACAATGGATGCGTAGTTTGGAAATCAACCAAATTGTTAAAACGGAGCTAGCGCCAGCAGCGAGTGAAATATGTGCGGCAGCACGCAGCTTAATGATGCGTCCGACCTCGTTAGGGTTGTAATGTTAGACCATCCGTCACGATACGTGGTTCCGCATTAACATTATTAATATATGGGAAATATGTGTATAAATGAAATTGTGCATGTCAACTGAGAGTCTGGGCAGACAGCTAAATAGCGATACCGTTGGATATGACCCAAGGCGACTGATACAAGAGAGATGAATGGCAGGTATGTAACAATAAAAAGCAATCAACGCAACGCACAAGTGTATGCAGAATTTTATAACATCTTAGGCAATTTGCGCAGCGTGTGTGTGCGCGTGCCTGTTTGTGTGTGTCTGTGATCTGCATGGGTATTTGGTTCCACAGCACGGGCGGCTGATGTATCAATGCCGAAAGGTCGTATGGCGGTTGTCTGGATGGTCCTAGAAGGCTCACCGGAGACGGCTTAACGGTTATCCTGCCCGAGGTTAAGGCACGTGTTTGATCGCTGTGCAGGTTTGTCGTTAGTGGCGTCTGGAGTGTTCGAGGCGTGAGGTACGTTGTCATGTAGTTTGCAGGTCTAGTTGTCGAGTCATCTGACAGGAAGATGAAACCCGCGGCTTGTTTAGGTTTCGGCTTGGCGGGATCCATACTTTTCCTAGTCATCGGAATAAACATCTATCTGTCTTATCATTATCGCGGAGTCGTCTACTCGTTGATAAATCTGTGCAGAAATACAGGCGAAACCAAAGCATGTTGCCAAAGTGCACCCGATAATGTCGATTAATTAGCATCGTACCACATAATGTAGTTTTACGTCAAGTTCATACACAGTGCTGTGGTGTACATCGTCATTTCTTCACGCTACCACCTTATTATGGAGACACTTTACAAAAACGTTCTCCGGCAATTTCCTATTCTCTCCAATGATCTGTCAGCCTCACCTGGTCCACGTTGCGTCACCGTAACTATGCGACGTCCCGCGTCAATGTTGTAGAGTCATCCAATAACTTAGTTGAACGGTTGAACACGGGTCTGTTAAACAACGTACATCCGTGTATAATATGCATTGTCTCGTGCGTCGTTTAAAGGAAAATTCTTGATAAATTTGAGCTTGCTGAAATGTGGACTACTACAAACACAATTTTGTCACGGCATCTGTACAGTCTAACCACAATCCCCGTTGCAGGATGCCCATAAGAGAATATAGAATCCTCTGTATCAGGTAGACCGCTGGCAACGCCTCGCTTGGCCTTCTCATTGCCCACACAAACCAGAACCTTGTGATCGACTTTCTCTCGCCTGGGTGCAGACCCAGTCGGCGTGTGTTCGCAAGATTCATTTGACTTCTGTCATTCTAACATTGCATATTTTAGAATGAACTTTTCCGCGTCTCTCATAAGGTTTATGTAGTAGCCGCCAATGCCGTACGCCAGCAGGTATGATGCAAACTGCTCTTTGCTTTTGAATTTTTGTTCTAGACCTCTCATAGCGCTATTGAGTTCAGCTGATCTCTCCGGAGTTATACATTCTCTCATAATTTCTCTGCCGAGGGTTCGGTACTCATCGAGCATACTTCCTAGTTCTACGTAATATTTGGTATCACGCATTACATCTCCAACGAGCTTAATTGCATCTTGACACCCCTCGAGCTCTGCCTCTTTATTTTCCATTGGAGCATGAGATTCTTCGATTTCATCTGAGATGGCGCACAAATTCCTGTACATCTTCTCGGCACTTCCATATAGCATTGTTAGGTGTCTCAGATTAAGATGCAACTCGGCATTAGAAGCGTAGAATGCAATATTTTCAGCCGATGATTTCCCAATATCCGGAGATTCGGCTGCGCCAGGATCTCCCATAGAAAACCCATTAAAGAGGATCATGTGGAGGCACACAAGGGATGTGACCCCGCGCCTTCCGTAGTACCGCGTGGACGCCATTTTTGGTACCAACAACAAAACAAGAGCCTATAATATTGGCACCAGAGATTGTAGAATTCGATATTACGCCCTGCAAAATCGAATGTCATCGGCGGTTAGGCCGGTAAAGAGATTCTCAAATTTAACGATGTTGCTTGGAAGGAACCACTTTGGTTCATAAAAACAAGTGTATATAAATTATTAGAATTTATTAGACTATTTTGCGGTGATACATACGTAGTTTTGTATTTGACTAACAACGCTCGGTTAAATTTTTTTGTTCATGTGGTGCCCCTCTAATTTCCTATGCTGCCCTGCGATTTTCCTCGTCACTTCAGAATTTGTATTGCTAAATGACCTCATCAACCAATAAACCACATATCATATATTTACTGATATAAAAATTATGTAAAAATATAAGCTCTATTTATATCTGCCTAGTCTGGCAATTGGATGCGCAATGCTGGGATTGCTTTTCGTGTCCACTGAGCGCACACGTCCCGCACACTAAGGACACCCTGTGCACAAGAAACATCATCCGGCTCTCGTATAATGGAATCTTCTGTATAACATCGGATGACTCCTGCCACCTGCAGTAGTAATCGGTGACAGTCGCAGTCACCTCTGTCCTGCAAGTAGACGATTATGTCCGATATAATACAGCATATTATAATACGTCTAGTCTACATATCGAGACCAAATGCCCCAATGAGAGAAATGTATGCGCAAATGTGTGCCTATGAAATTGGCCAATTTACGCTTGGCTTAATCACGGTTCTTTTAGACATTCAACGGACCACAACCACTTGGACAGTGATGTGTGCAAATGTGAAGCTCATTTACATACATATAGTAGAGGATTCCACAGTGATAACGTCATCTGCTTGTAGCTCTTTAGGCCAGGCCTATTACTGCGCGTTAGATATCCGTGGCTTCGCGGCATATCTCAACGAATGGGCACACCAAAATATCACATTCACACTTTAGAATTACCAAACCGTCACATTTTAGACATAACGGCGCGTATGTCATCTGTATGCGTAGAGGCGACGGAAGAACGATAATAAATGGCGTATATAGAACCGGGAACCCGCAAAGGAGCTTAGACGACATAAAATGGGCAATTTAGCAGCACTAGTGCGCAGCCAAATACACATGTCACGTGCATGGACATATGTTAGACGGTGTGTCGTGGAAGGCGTTAACCTACGCACCGTCCGAGATTCGGATGCGTAAAAGAAGCCTTCCTGTACGGTACTCCATACACATCACGCCTTTTCTGTATTGCGGTATCGACCCCTCATGACACAGAACCAGGAGATGAACGTGTGCAACAGAATATCACGTCCACCCCTTGGTCGCCGAAACGACATTAGGCCTCCTTCGTGATTACGGAGTTCTTCGCAATGATACAGATATACAAAGTTGTTTAATATTGCAGCTTCTACAGCATACACCTGTATTTGGCCATCGTAAACCGCTAACTGGCACCCCGCGATGAAAACGGCTGCACAGGGAGAGACATTATCCCCACGAAGCTCCCCTCATGACTCGATGCGGGGACACACAGTCATCTTATATACGGATTCTAGGACAAAATGATCGCTATTTTCGTTGTTCCCGCTATTCTTTGCAGCGGCTTCTTCATGGGAGGAGGTGTGTACGCGTACGTCGTTAAGCGATCGGCCGCATCACTCCTCGCCTCCGCCGCTATCTCTGGCGCTTACGCCGGTAAATAATGCGTGTGTTACGTTACACTTTATGCAGGTTGCACCTATGTCATGTTGGCCAGGCCTTCTGCGTACATTGGATTCTGTCTGGCAACAACCACTTCCATCCTGGCCCTCGGCTTGGGATGCTACAAGCTGTTCGTCGAGCACCACTCAACGGTGCGTGATACGTGGGATTTGTAGACCCTATTGATGCATCTATATGCCCAATGTGTACGCGATGATGCCCTGTGCGCTATATGGATTTTTATAGTGAAGATTCGATCGAATTCTGAACTTCCTCGATGTTCCTGCGAGATTTATCCCAACGTGCTGCGTCTTATACATCGACTTTTGTGTTATTCCATGCCAAATGTTCGATGTGTCCATGTATTACCTTCTGGTTGTGCATTGCATTCGTTGCTGACATTTTTTAATCGAGCTCAGACGGCAAAGAGGAACGTGGCAGTTTCGATCTATAGCACGGGACTAGCTTCAACATGCTTTTACATCGCTGTTTTGTTCGCCAAGAAATTTCTGGTGCCTTCCGACGCGTTGTCGTTGAGATTTGCGTAAAAGCTTCGAAGCGTTTCGCAGAAACTGCATTTTAATTTCAAAGCTTCGACATATTTTCTGATTACACTACATCATAAAAGTGGACATCTCATGCCTATATTTGTAAAATTTTGATTCGGCATACAAAGATTAATCCGGACATCCGCCAGTTGGCAATGACGGCTGAGTACAACATCATATCCAACCAAACTACGCCGATGATGATGTGCATGTGGTGTTCGTGACGGCGCACCCCGACGACGAGTCGATGTTTTTCTGCCCGCTGCTGGAGCTGCTGAGCAGTACGCCGTCCATCGTCGGGGGAAGGGTGAGGGTGGAGTTGATATCGCTGACTAAAGGTGCGTTGTAGTGACACTGTGGACAACATGCATACGCTTCAGGTGACTTTGCGGGTCTCGGGGACGTCCGCATTGCAGAGCTGGATGCGGTATGCCGTAGGTACAAGGTGAACTGTACGGTGGTGGACGAGAGTGAGTGGCAGGACGGGCCGTCAGCCTGGGACGTTGCGAAGGTCTCTGAGAGGATCGAGGAGTTCGTGATTGAGCGTGGCGTAGGTCTCATTATCACCTTCGACCGCCACGGCGCCTCCGGACACCCCAATCACATCAGCGTCCACAAGGCGGTGGTCAGGAATCCTATAGGAAGGTCGATAAAGTAAGTTTAGAGAGCTAAAAGCGTTACATACAGCTGCAAATGCATTGGATTGAGTGACAACGTGGACACCGGAGAAGCCACGTATTCCAAGCATCCTGCCTATATCGCTACATTTTTGACTACTGAACGTATAGAGAACGAAATTTATACACACAAAATTAATATAATCGATATACTATAAAGGGGCGCCGCCGGAACAGATAGTAAACGTTACTGGTCTGACGGTGGTATACACTGTGAAGTTGGACGTTGGAAGTCCAATGAAAACCACGGTAAAACGTGAAGGCATACTTTCAATCCAGATCTAAAAATTTTAATGGCTTACTACGCCACAAAATCTTTAAATGAAGTGATTAACATTTGATTCTTCTCTGTCTTTACCCGTCGGCTTGGCACCGCCAACGTATGATGCCGGCCAATTTAAAGGCCTTGAGTACGTAAAAACAGCGATCGCAATACAGTACCACCGTTTTACTTCATCGGTGGTGAGCTATGGTCAGGCTAAGGTCATCCTCTTACCTACCTGTGGTCCTTTGCTGCCTCCTTGTGGTTGCGAAAATATGTTTGCCTGGCCATGCTTCGAACGACGTCGGCTGCGTGAAGCGCGCAGCTCTTAGATGCCTGCCATTTATGCGGAAGAAACCGGTTAAGGAAGAGAAGGTCGCAGAGGAAGATGAAATCATGCCTGATGATTCGGCATCCGTCACAAAAGGAGCAGTCAAAAAGCAGCAAACCATACACGTTAAAAGAAAAGACCATGAAGCTTTATACAAGAATATAAAAGCCAAGGTTGATACCTTCAACGCTTCTTATGGACTAGGGAACAGCTTGGAGCCCCTAACGATGCGTGACCGTCTCCACTGGTTGGCATGCTTCGCCGAACAGTTAGCCTTGGCAACGCGATTCATCAAGCCTCTGGAAAGTCACATTAAATTCGATACACAGAAAACGCCTGACAAACTCCTGAAGCTGCTGAAGGACTGCTCACTCGCCGTGTACAACCTGAGCAGAACCCTCCTTATAAGATCACCGAGTGTTAAAGACTGCCCCACGAAATTAGAGCAGAATAACTTGGTCCCCTCTTTCAGGCGTTTACAGGAAATGCGGTACGAGTTGATGGCAGACGCGGAGGATATGAGGGCGATGGCTGTCGTTTTAAAGCGTGAATTCAAGGACTTCGACATCGTCGTTCCGTCGAGCGAGTTTCTCAGAAACTGGCTAATAACGGCAGGATACAAGGAAGAACTCTTTAAGGCTGATATGAATGGGATCTTGGTTGCAAACGCGTTTGAAGAGTTGGCCGGACGTGAAGGCGACGAGGACTCGGGGTACATATCCCAGATCTTCTCATACATTGAGCCTATAGTGGAAAAAGTCACACCGAAGGTAAAGGAGCGCAATGACAAGCCTCGTAAGGAGGATAAGGACCGCAAGGATAAGGAAAGAAAAGTGGACAAAGATAACAAGGAGCGCAAAGAGGATAAGGAGCGCAAAGAGGATAAGGAGCGCAAAGAGGATAAGGAGCGCAAAGAGGATAAGGAGCGCAAAGAGGATAAGGAGCGCAAAGTAGACAAGGACCTTAAGCAGGGCAAGGAGAATAAAGAGGATAAAGCACATAAGGAAGATAAGGATCGTAAAGATGACAAAGAGCGTAAGGATGACAAAGAGCGTAAGGAAGATAAGGATCGTAAAGATGACAAAGAGCGTAAGGAAGATAAGGAGAACAAAGAGAATAAGGAGCAAGCGAAGAAGTAAACTCGCTAGATCGTTGTGGTACCCTGCTTCTCGAATCGGCGGAATGTATGTGGGCCATGAGGGCCATTGGATTAATCTGAAGCTAGCGCATGTTGGCGAATTTGTGAAATCCTAGGAATTGGTAAAAGGCCACTTAAATGCAGTAATATCGAAATTACACGGTAGAACCGTGGCGAAAATTGCCCGGGGTGCCGTGCATTAGTGACATTGGCGCCAGGCACTGGCATAATGTCCTTGAAAACAAGCGCGTCAATGGGACGCATTAGGCAGCGGAATATTTCCGACTTGCTTGTGTGTTTTGCCCAATGCGGCAAAACGTAGCGTGAGATACGGCACAACTAGATGCCGAGCTCACTTTATAATGACAACTATATTTTAAAACCTAATTGTCAACCTAGTAGTGCTGTGCGTGTTGTCTGCTGCATGTGTTGATCCATGCGTGTTCGATTTCATATATTTGAGCATTAGGCGTTTTCACGGTTGTCAGCCAAACACGCAGTCGTACGCTACATAGAGTGCCCGCTAGTTAAGCTTAGTATAGCAAAACGATTCAGTCACTGTTGGTCATCTTCGTGCTCCTTCACGATGCGCGACCATGATTTGGGAAGGTAGTCCAGAACGAAGTGCGCATGTTTTAGGGACAGGGTTAGCGACACCACGCGTTGGATCTCCGCAAGATCGAAATCGGACTCCAACTGCTCCATTGCTGCTATGACTGCCTCCAATATGTGAGAGCGCGTTTTATCCTTGGCACGCAGCAAGGTGTCGTAGGGTTGGGGCGCCGACTCGGAATACCTCGGCAGCCCCGTTGACTTTGCAGCAACGCAGGCTGCAAAATCCACCGGTTCCGGCAGTAGAGGGAGGTAGCACACAGTAGTGTAGAAGAATATCAGCTGCTTTGGCTCCATTTTGTTGAGCTGTCCAAGGGAGTGCAAGACGTTGCGTACCACAACGTCGCGCAACCTATCCAGCAGCGCTGCTGGCGCCTCTCCCGCCTCAGCTTCACCTCTATACAGCTGACTAAGTCTGGCGATACTGCTTGGCTCAAAATGCAGGCTGTTGCGCTCCAGGTGCGGTATGAGCGACTCCAGGACTTTGCTCAGCATGCCGAACCTCGAGAAGGCCCACAGCGCCCGCGCCAAGTGCCGATGGTATATGTTGTTGACTTTAAGTGGGTCTTGCATCTCCTCAGCTACCATAGTCAGATAGCCCTCGTGCAAAACTCCTAGGCGGCACAAGCTGCAGACGTTCGCGAGCTTGTTAGAGAGCGGCGTCTGGTCGTTCAACTCAATTATGCGCTGCATCAATATAGCGATAACCGGGAAATCGAGTTTCGCCGAGTCCCGTTCGGCGCGTTCCGCGAAAACTCCCAGAAGGTCACACAGCTCGTTTGAGTCAAACGTCTGCATCTCGAACTCCAGTTGCGGCAGCAGAGCATCGCCTCCAAAGTCTACGAAGTCATTGCAGAGTTTCTTAAGATCGTTACAGCGTAAACTTGAAGTAATCAGCGTCCAAGGCTTCAGTATGGATGCTCGGTATTTGCTCATGTCCAGCATGTCGACCTCGAGAGGAACCGACGTTGAGTCGCCCTGCAGCACGTGGGCGCGCTGCACTATACGCGATATGTTGCGCACCAGCCCCAAGCGATTTATCACCGTAATGGAACCGAATACGTGCTTGTCCTGCAGCCGCTTCAAAATCTCCCGGAATACCTTCAAGTTCCTCAGCCCCTGTAGCTGCAGACTCGTGTTGAGCAACTGCACGCAGTCCGCAGCGCTGTAGTCTACCATGCGGTCGATGAAAGTTGCCACCAACGAGTCCTCTATTGCACGCTGTCTGATGAAGGCGGGCAGTTTAGAGTACGCAATGGCGATCTGCAGAACCACTGCAGGCGGGAACTTGTGCGCATTGTACGCAACGTTATGCTCTAGATGTGGCAAGAACGTCTCTCTGATAAAATTCTTCGGTATCGGCTTCCGCAACATGATATTTGATTCTGCTTCATTTTTGACAATATCCCTTTGCGGTTGAGAGCGCTCACTCGACACGTGCCCCTCTTGTCTGTTTGCAGGCTCCTGGGGGCTGGAATCGGTCCTCAAAGCGCCAAAGCATCGAGCAGTTCGCACCCTCCGTGCAGTCACGGCATCATGGACCATGAAATTGACGCGGGGTAGTTGATGGCGAGAATAGCTGCACATTCCGCGCCCGCACGTGGAAGGTGACAAACGTGCGGCAGTGCAACCATCAGACGGCAGGCAGTGACTGCGTAAAATGCCACAATAGCTCCCATTGTATTCACAGCACGACCTCATCGCCGCCCTTTGGGCAACGCTATTCAACGACATCTTGCTCAAGCCAATTCAAGATATTACAGAACATGAAACAACAACACCCAATGATATGATGGACGACGCTATACTTTGTGCTTTCGCCTAATCCTTAACTACCGAATAAGATGCCAGCTCTAGGAAGATTGTGGAAGAATCCGTAAAAACAATCCCAATCTCCCAAACATGATCGAACCGTAGCTCAGCACCTTATATACGGACCAGGAGGCCCTGATGAAGCTAAAATATACCTTTCATCATAGCCTATACAACATAAAGGTGGCCAATGCCAACCTAGGAGATCATATTGGGGAGGAAGATGCGCTGTCTGATGAGGTGCGTACCAAAACACCACCAGATGTGTAGAGAACAATCAGGGCAGTGACACCCTGAATTTAGCGACTACCAACAATTAAAAAAAGTTACGCCGTATATAGGTTTATGTTACGATAACCGAAGTATGTGGACGCAGCGCGATGGAATCGCGCCGACATTAAGTGTATGTAAACGAGCCGTCACATGACGCGGGAAATAAAGTGAAATATCCATACAGACGTATAGCAGAAGTTAGGTGCTAGAATATTGCAGCGGATACTCCGAAGTGAATTTTAGGTTGGAAAGGGAAGGTAACGTGGACCTTGCTGAGCGTTGAACAGCCCGGCCCGTACTTATCAAAATACTGCTTTGAGCGTGATATTGCGATTAGAAATGCACACATTCACCGCGGTAGTGCCATATGTGTGGAATCGTGACGATAGGTGAGACTAGACGCGTCGCGTTAATTTGCGGTGGCGTACAGCGACTTTGCTCCGACAACCAATATTTGACATTACTATTACCGTAACACCGTTAAAATGTGTGGATTCTAAACAAGTATATTTGCGTTATCATCTTTGGACCCCATGCATTCGCGTCCATCATGCCCAAACAGCGGCGACCCGGAATACGATTTTCCCATGGACATTAGTCCTAATCATTCATTCAACGAACGGCTATACACCGCTCATTCATGCCGGTAAATAATCGACTGTTTTGTGGTCGTTAAATAATGACTGCTTTCCGCATGCATGCTTACCCCGGATTTAGGCGGTAGAGCATACTGTTTGGCCGCTTCCACGATGGCAAACGGGCGATACACATCGTTCGTTAAATTTACACCGAAATTCGTTTCGGTGTACCTTTTTAATCGTTCCACTTGGTCACGCTAGCGTGGCCAATTAGCTTATCGCAGATGTTCGGGTCTACCAGAGGCGTAAGAGGAATCTCGGAGCCGCTGGTCACCTCGTTTCTGCAATGCGGCGCCTGTAACGCCGATATGACACAATGGTTCCTCATATTATTCTGGGCGGGATCGCGGGCTGTCTCTTTGCCTACTTCTCCTGTCGTGTGGTTGGATTCGGGGGCAACAAGTTGGTCACGGAATCTCTGATGAAGGGCGTAGGATACCACGATGAGGCGAATGTGACACTCGTGATTGCTTACCCAGGTGACGAGACTAGGTATTTTACCCCGTTGATGGAGCTGCTGCGCATGAAATCGAGCGACCCGGAGAAGCGCTTAAAGATGTCAGTGTTGACGCTAGCGCCAGGTGTGTTAGAGTGCAAGCCGTCACATTTGTCGCAGTGAAATACGACCCCGGCGCGTTACAGCGTATCATCGAAATGCAGGGGATATGTCGCAAGTACAACATGAACTGCGTCGTGGAATATCACCCGATGAATGACCAGGGAGCTGCGTTCTGGAAACCAAGAGTATTGTGTGACCGCATAGCCGAATTTATGGACGAAGTCAATGCGTCACATGTCTTCACGTTCGACAAACTCGGCGTTGATGGGAACCGTGCTCGCATCGCTCTCAATCAAGCTGTCATGGAGCTGTCGTCAAGGACGCCGTCCCGTCACGTTTGGTTGCTACACACTTATGAAAAGGTGTATAATGCATTGCCGCTGTTCGCAACTATGAAGGCCGCATTCACGAAGTTAGTTTGATGTGCATTTGGTCACACCACTCTGCAGGGGTTATCGAATTGTTTTATACTCACCTTTCGAGGTGGTCCAAAACATGCGGATTCATAGGAGCCAGTGGCGCTGGGACACCACCTTTTGGTCGTTTTGGTCTCCTTATAGTTACAGCAATATGTACGAGAGGCTTGATAAGGACGATACGCCTTACGTTTACGTGGGTGACTAGAGTTACGAAGCCGATAAGAGCACGCCGATCTTTGGAGATACACGCGTTCCGAGAATCGAGATTGTCAATGATGCCGAGTAAGCGCTTCGCGTCCAAATCGATGTGGATCATGAAGCGTCTGCTAAGCGTAGACATTGAGCCCCAGTGGGGTCTGTATTTTAAAAACATAATCGCTTTTGCGGGATGCGTTGCCGCGTCTCAATGCAGGGGCTGCAAAAATGACAACCCCCCATATATTTTAAAGAAGCTATGTTCGCGCTGCCCGCCACATGCCGGCAAACGTCGGCATGCCTATTTTTCAGGGGGCATCGCGGTATTTACTGCTGTTCTGGAATGTTAGAAATCGAGTCCGGATGTGTCGGCGGTTTGCGGGAAAATGCGTTGACCAGCATACACGGCCGGAACTATTTTATAAGGCATATGCGTTTCAGTCATGCAGACAATGTAACATCGGGCGAAAATGCCCTAATTTGTCATCGTATTTTTGTTGTAAGGCCTATTCCGATTTTGCGGGTTCGCTGGCAGTGCATCTTGCAATTCGGGTATATTGGTGAAGGGTGACGATGAATGCACCATTTGTAGCGGCACATTTGTGTGACGAAGGCGCCCTGTCCTACTACACTATTCGCGCCGATTCACACTCTTTCGACCGCAGAAAGATTATATGGTTATGTAGGAGGCAAGTAATCACATAAAACCAGCGCGATGACTCACATGCGGGGTTTGCTACAATGCTTCAGCTGCCGCCAAGCAAGGCCTATAGTAAGGGAGAATATTATATCTAAATGACAACTGCGTAGTTTTGAGTTCGCCAGCATACACAGCACACGCTCGATGGCATTAAGACTTCGTGTGGAGGCATCGTCGTAAGACAGCAGCGAGCCTTCCACAGCGTACCCTGTAATTAGTACACACACGACCCAACACTGGCATTTCACATTTCGCAACACAGGGTTTACCTATACAGATTTATGATAAATTTCGTGTGTGTGTCGCTTACTCAATGTCTATCTCACATTCTCGCTCCTGCCTCTGGCTTGTGCCCCATTGTACCGAGCTTCATGTGTGCGGGGCGCAGCTGCGCTGTGCAGATGATGCAGTGCGTCACGCCTTCGTGGACGTTTCAACTTTTTGTAAAATGTTGTATTCCTTCGATGCCAAAATAGGCATGCGCACGTGACGCGCTGAAGGATAAATTTGTATCTTATAGTTCTATTTATAGTATATAAAATTAAAAATGTCGACAACAGCGATTCCGGTGGGGGTTTCAACATCATTTTTTGTTTTATTGGTCATTATTGTTATCGGAACACGGCTGTGGCTGACTCGTGTGAATCGCTTATTTGTTCAGCAGTTGTTGTCGGAGTTTGATGGCGACAGTGTGCCCACTGTCACCTTCGTTTTGGCGCATCCGAGCGATGAAACGTACTTCTTCACCCCTACTTTAGAAGTTTTGGCAAACTCCCCTTATGTCGCGCAGCATGAACTCAAGATTCGCCTACTGCTGCTGAGCAAGGGAAAATACGTCGGCAAGGGAGATGAGCGAACCTTCGAAATAGAGTCTTTATGCAACAAGTACAATGTGCTGTGCACGATCTTAGATGAACCCTACACACAAGAGGGACCGCAGTTCTGGGAAACTAGCCAAATAGTCACCCATGTTCATGATTTCTTGAAGCAGCACAAGTCGCAGGTGGTCATCACCTTCGACCAGTACGGTGCGGACTCAGATCCCAACCACATCAGCACGTATCACGCCGTCTATGAGTCGAAGGAGAAAATACCTGACCTGAGGATCTGGACGCTTCGGAGTTACGGTGTGCTTACGACAAACTGTGCGCCATTTGCCCTTATGCGCGCTGTGTTTGCTCGCCCCAGTGCAAGCTTGTTCACTTCCTTCCCTGCTGACAAGAACACGAAGATACACGCGAGCAGTTGGACGTGGAAAACCCCGTTCCGCAATTTGTTCAGCTCATACAGTTACGTAAACACATACAGGACCTTATGAGCTGCACTTATTACCCAGTGACACGGTGTAATATAGTAAAATTTTGCATCACGATGGTGTGGAACGTGCATTGTGTGCTGGTACAAGGGTAGTACGCGGCTGACACAGGCGCATGCAGGTTAGTGGTCGCTAATCCGCACGGCGCTCATATTCTACTGAATTCATACTAGAAAGAGTGGCGTGTTGAGTTAAAAGTAAGATGCAACCTGTGACATTTTGTTACTCTTTAAATCTCCAGTTGAGTGGGCCTGTCTAACGAGGTGTCTTCAGTCGAACTGCGATTTAAGACATCCCCAATCAATCAACGAGGAAGACCATTCAGGCACATCGCCTGCATACTCGATGATGTAGAGATGGCGACCTGGTTGAAATGGGTTGTTCTATTAGCCGCTGTGATTATAAGGCAGTGGACATCGCACATCAACGCAACCTTCACCAAGGAACTGCTATCCAATTTCCCCGAACAGAATGAAGCCAACAGAATCATTGCCTTTGTGACGGCGCACCCCGACGACGAGTCGATGTTTTTCACCCCGCTGCTGGAGCTGCTGAGCAGTACGCCGTCAGTCGCCGGTGGAAGGGTGAGGGTGGAGTTGATATCGCTGACTAAAGGTGCGTTGCGCTGAGAGTGTGACCGACATGCATATCCGTCAGGTGACTTTGCGGGTCTCGGGGACGTCCGCATTGTGGAGCTGGATGCGGTATGCCGTAGGTACAAGGTGAACTGTACGGTGGTGGACGAGAGTGAGTGGCAGGACGGGACGGCAGCCTGGGACGTTGCGAAGGTCTCTGAGAGGATCGAGGAGTTCGTGATTGAGCGTGGCGTAGGTCTCATTATCACCTTCGACCGCCACGGCGCCTCTGGACACCCGAATCACATCAGCGTGCACAAGGCGGTGCTCAACATGAAGAAAAGGCTACCAGGGGTAACGGTCTGGCGTCTACATACATACGCCATTTTGAACAAATACTTCGCTCCATTTGCTGTTGTGCGTTCCCTGTTCGTCAGACCCAGCCTTATAAGCTTTTCGCCGTTGAAGGTCATCCGTAACATGAGCGTCCACAGAAGCCAATGGAGGTGGTATTTGTATCTTTGGTCGTTATTTGGGTCATATAGCTACACCAACTCTTTCGACATACTGTAAAAATGACGGTATGCAACTGCTACAAACTGGCACCATATAACAATCTTCATGCATGCGGTAGAGGTCGTTCCTGTGTTTGATACGGATCTATCCGGTGAATAAATCCTTCGTGTGTAAACATTTCTGGTTTTATAGATCCATGCCATTTGTTCGCAAACCGAAAACGCGGCAATTGCGAACCATATCGGCATAAGGTGACTCGAATTTGGAGATTTATGAGTGCCATACTAAGTTGACACTGTAGCGCATTTGTTTACAAGGTCGGCACCAAGGCAGCCGCTTATGCCAAAAACGTTGCCGAAGGTGGAACCTTTGTGACAACCGAATGTGTAGGGAACGAGGAAATAAATTCTGGCTGTGTATATCTATCAGATAAGACACAAGGTTGCAACTGAGGGATGAATTAATAGTACAGGAGAACATAAAGGTAATGGATAGCCGGCCCGGCTCTAGACAGCCTCCAGACGAGTCTCCACAAAGTGACTCAACGTGTTCTACCCGTCGCATCGTACGCTTTATACCCTAAAAGGATGATATTGTAGTGTGGGATGCGAGCAGTCGCCCGAGAACAGCGCGCCGATGCAGCTGGGGAATTCGCCTTGACGTTTTCGGTGCCACCAAGCGATTATCACACCAATGGCAAACAGTGCAGTGAAATGATAATTCCGTGGTATATTGCCTCAAGAATGCGTAGTGAATGCGCGGATGTATGTACAGTCATGGAGGAGTTTTCCTCATAAGACAGCATCTTGCTTACCACAAGGAGTGTGGCTTAATGGATGTACGCACAACACAATATTCGTATGCTGCAATTACTAGCACCGCATTTACTAAACGAGATTTGCGACAAAAATAGCCACGCATGTCTTTTATCTGGCAATGTCTTTAACACCTTCGCGCGCTTCTCAGATGCTTCCGCCCCATTATACTGCACATCAGTCCACCTACTGATGTTGAGTTGTGCAAGCAATCCGATGAGTCACGCGCTGGTAGGGGTTTCAACTTTTTTGTAAAAAGTTGTACTCCTTCGTTGCCAAAATTGGCATGCGCACGTGAGGCATTGGGAGATAAATTTGGGTTTTGTGGTTGTATTTATAATATTTTAATGTAAAAATGCCAGAAAAAACGACCTGGGGTGCATCGTGTGCGGCTATTACTGTTTTAATTCTTCTTGTTTATTATGGAACACGGTTTTGGCTAAATCGTCGTAATCTCCATTTCGTCCCGGAGCTATTAGACGGCTACGACATCAAGAATCTGCCTACCGTTTCTTTCGTTTTCACACATCCCAACGATGAAGCTTACTACTTCTCGCCGACTTTGGAGATTCTGAAGGACTTCCGCAAAGCACGTCCAGATCTCGATGTTCATGCACTGGTGCTGTCGAAGGGTAGGTACAGCGGCGAGGAGGACAACCGTGTCTTGGAAATCCAGAGCATATGCAACAAGTACAACGTGCAGTGCACGATTTTGGATGAGCCTGACATGCAGGTTGGACAGAAGATGTGGGACAAGGACAATGTGTCTGCCCTCATCCAGAAATTCCTGAATCAGAACGATTCTAAGGTTGTCATCACGTTCGACAAGGACGCTGTGGACGGAGAACCCAACCACGTCAGCACATACAACGCCGTTGCTGAAACGAAGAAGCAAATGCCCGACCTGAGGATCTGGACGCTTCGTAGCTACGGCTTCTTAACCAAATTCCCGCTATTTGCATACCTGCAAGCTATATTTACCAGCCCCATCGCCTGCGTACACACGATTGGCCCGGCGTACCAGAACGTGAAGATTCACAAAAGCGAGTGGTCTTGGACTACCAGCTTCGGTCTGTTTTTCAGCTCGTACAGCTATGTCAACATATACAGCCGCATGTGAGCTGCGCTCATTACCCTGTAACACAGCATAATGTAGTACATTATTGCACAACTGTAGCATATAATGTTGCTTGCGTGTGGTGCTGCTAGTTCATACACAGCTGCCATGAGTGCGGAGCGATTCGTCGTCTCCCTGTACACCACGCACTGACAGGCAAAGCAGCCATGACACTAAGCTGAAATGCCAGTAATAAACAATCATATGCACCTATATGCAAAGCGTGGAAAGCCCAGTAGTGAGACTACACGATTGACAGATTGTTAGGTGACGCATTATTTCCGTTCGGCGAAGTAGTCGCGGATGTCGCCGTCGCTCTGCGGCGAGGTCTTCTTGGGGATCGGGGTGCTTGCGATCACCGCCAGTGCAGAGTCACCAAAGGCCCCACCACTGATTTGGAACTCACCAACGCAATCATAATCTGAGTCCGATGTCTGCCAGAATGAGGTTATGGCAGTGCTGTGGATGTGCACCTATAACAGACGGCACCATAGTGTATAACTTAAACAGACGCTATGAATACATCCCATAACAGCCTCAATTTAGCGGTGAATCTTGCATTGCTTGCGTACATCACACCGTTACACCTGCCATGGTACGTCTACCCACCCCGCTGAAGATCGTCAGTCCATCCTTGTCTTCAGCGTAGAGATGGTAATCTTCTCCGGAGTTATAAGGTGAACCTCTGCTCCCCAACCGGAGAGACAGTCGCGATCAATGGCGGCCATTAGGCACTGCGAAACAGTTTCGAACAGCTCCGGCGGATCCATGTTGGGTCTGTAGAGAGACTCGCAGATACCATATAGCTGCTCCGAACACGTGCCCACCACCACAAAGTCATCCGCATTACACGGCGCTCCGATAAGGTCGAAGCAGTACAGCTTTGGCGCGTTATGCTTGTCGAGGCCGGCAATAATACTAGAGACGAACCACGGGCCGAACCGCCGCGAGTACAGCAACGAGCCCACCATATGAGCTAGAGTTTTCACCTCCATCTTCTTCATGCAGTTCAGCTCATACATGTTGGCCTTGAACTCGATTTCACCCTTTCTGCAAGGAAGATTAACACAAAGCGTCCTCGACCCACAGTGTCTGAATATCGGTAGCAAGCCCGCAGGCAGCAAAGTAGGTGGAATCCGTTATCTTGAACGCCTTAGGGAAGTTAGAGCTGATCGTGTGCTGCCCATTCAGTCCCAGGCGCTTGTCACATGCGATGGCCACGCAACCGTTGCCGACCATAGCGACAACGGCGCCTCCGTTATAGCTCTCGATATCACCCTAACAGACAATTAATCCACTGACGACACGAGTCTTAAACACTAAGCATAACCACGCAACCGGCAGAACATAACACTAACGTGAGGCACAAATTCGGAGTGGATGTTTACTGTACAGATGCAAACGTCCAAACGAAGAGTTTACTGGCTCCCAAAACACACCGACGCATATGTACGACCCATACAGCATTTTAAAAGCTAAAAATCACGAAATCGAAACCAGCGAACACGTGATAGTATGAAATCGCGCAGGCATTACCATCTTTCAGGAGGTATGTGCAGAATGGCAGAGCCTGGACGGGCTAGCGCTTACGTCCCCTCTACAAGCCTCTATTTTAGAAAGCTTCGAGGACTCCTGGTGGCCGATTATGGTTCTGGTCGGCGGGGAAGTTCGATGTGTAACTTGATGGGTTGTTGTGAGGATGACCTCGCAGGCTGCAGCGCCGCACTCCGCTACGTAAAAGGGCGCATTGGACAAAACACATCAAACGTCGTCTTAATGAAATATTACCTAGTACTTCTAAGATGTTGAGATGTCTACGAACGCATCTCGAATAATGAAGGTGAAGCTTACCGTCGCATCGTCGAATTCCACTTTCCGTTAACTGGCACAATTGTTGAACGAATTAACGCGAAGCAGTATTCCGTGATATGGTCTATGTTATACTTTCGACTCCGGTAACATGAATCGATAATGCGTGATCGTGGCAATAACATAAAATACACCTTCTCGGTTTAATGCAATTATTTCAAGTGCTGAATTGTTATACGGTTATCGTGTCAGTTGTTAATATCATGTATCCATGTCCAAGGCGCTTTAGCTGTTAGGTTTTATTTTTTTGGGCCATTGTCTGCCATGTTAACAGTACTGTACCTCAGTGCATATTTCTTTCTGTTATTTGAGGTACACTATAAGCGGCATTCGAGCGAATTGGACGCGTTTATAATGACATCTTGCCATTAGTGATGGGTATGATGAAACGCATGATTTCGCAAGATAGTGTTTCATCTAGGATGGCATGTAACAGTCACGACAAAACCCAAGAGTGAGCCTCAACTTGTATCTATTTCATTTTTAATTCACTACAGCGCCAATATAACGGAGAGGCTTTTTACTACCAATACATATGTTAAATATTACCAATGCAACACCTGCTACGCTGCGAAAGGATGGCCATCTAAGTAATGGAGACCCGTTGTTCGCATTCATCATGGAAGCTTCATGAAACCATTCAAATCAACATACCGAAACATAGACATCACAATTGCGTGCAAATGCAGCTCTATAAAGCGACAGTGACGTGTCAGCCGACACAGGCCGTATCACTGAATCCGTTTTGTAGTGGAAGTGAATAATATAGACGCACCAATTGTTACAAAATAGCATAGTATTCATGCAACCACGGCACTGACAGATAGCGTGCAGCAATACACCTGAAGTGCTCATTGATACCATAAGCAAAGAAGATGTCTAAGACGGTAATTACGAACATGCCCTCAAGGCTACTATCAGACTACAACTGCGTCACACATGTGTTTATATTTGTATATACGATGCTGAAACCTGTGGAATCTCGGTTTCTCACGGCGATATGCCAAATGTGCTACCAAGGTATCCGTGTTAACGACTGAATATGTGGAGATTGGGAGAATAAAAGGACGAACAACGCATGTTGATATGTTACATCACTTTGTTGTTAATTACATACAACACACATGATGCACATTGGCAGAGTAGCCGATGTTTTGAACCACACGACGAAGGGATTTACCAGACAACATTAACGCGCTTCCACGAAAGGTGTCAAAACTGTGCAAAAGCATAGACATTCAACGAAAATACACACTCATATAGTAAAATGTAACATCCTTAGAAGCATGCCTACAATCGTAATCTGGTTGCCATGACATTAATCTCATGAAAGTCATTATGCCAGTGGAAGCGAATGAGCCAGACAATCGTTGCACATCCACTAAATTGCATTAAAAATCGCGGTAGGTCACGTCACCTCTCGGGATTCCTGCCGGTAATGTGTAGATCAAACCATAGCGGTGGTAGAACGGTGTCTGCCAGCCCGCACAGCGCGTTTATTCTACTGAATGCATACTAGAAAGAGTGGCGTGTTGAGTTAAAAGTAAAATGCAACCTGTGACTTGTTGTTAACTTTAAATCTCCAGTTGAGTGGGCCTGTCTAACGAGGTGTCTTCAGTCGAACTACGATTTAAGACATCCCCAATCAACGAGGAAGACCATTCAGACACATCGCCTGCATACTCGATGATGTAGAGATGGATACCTGGTTGAAATGGGTTGTTCTATTAGCCGCTGTGATCCTAAGGCAGTGGACATCGCACATCAACGCAACCTTCACCAAGGAACTACTATTTAATTTCCCCGAAGAGAATGAAGCCGACAAAAGCATTGCGTTCGTGACGGCGCACCCTGACGACGAGTCGATGTTTTTCACCCCGCTGCTGGAGCTGCTGAGCAGTACGCCGTCCATCGCCGGTGGAAGGGTGAGGGTGGAGCTGATATCGCTGACTAAAGGTGCGTTGCGCTGAGAGTGTGACCGACATGCATATCCGTCAGGTGACTTTGCGGGTCTCGGGGACGTCCGCATTGTGGAGCTGGATGCGGTATGCCGTAGGTACAAGGTGAACTGTACGGTGGTGGACGAGAGTGAGTGGCAGGACGGGCCGTCAGCCTGGGACGTTGAGAAGGTCTCTGAGCGGATCGAGGAGTTCGTCAATGAGCGTGGCGTCGGCCTCATTTTCACCTTCGACCGCCACGGCGCATCTGGACACCCCAATCACATCAGCGTGCACGAGGCGGTGCTCAACATGAAGAAAAGGCTACCAGGGGTAACGGTCTGGCGTCTACATACATACGCCATTTTGAACAAATACTTCGCTCCATTTGCTGTTGTGCGTTCCCTGTTCGTCAGACCCAGCCTTATAAGCTTTTCGCCGTTGAAGGTCATCCGTAACATGAGCGTCCACAGAAGCCAATGGAGGTGGTATTTGTATCTTTGGTCGTTATTTGGGTCATATAGCTACACCAACTCTTTTGACATACTGTAAAAATGACGGTATGCAACTGCTAAAAACTGGCACCACATAACAATCTTCATGCATGCGGCAGAGGCCGTTCCTGTGTTTGATACGGATCTATCCGGTGAATAAATCCTTCGTGTGTAAACATTTCTGGTTTTATAGATCCATGCCATTTGTTCGCAAACCGAAAACGCGGCAATTGCGAACCATATCGGCATAAGGTGACTCGAATTTGGAGATTTATGAGTGCCATACTAAGTTGACACTGTAGCGCATTTGTTTACAAGGTCGGCACCAAGGCAGCCGCTTATGCCAAAAACGTTGCCGAAGGTGGAACCTTTGTGACAACCGAATGTGTAGGGAACGAGGAAATAAATTCTGGCTGTGTATATCTATCAGATAAGACACAAGGTTGCAACTGAGGGATGAATTAATAGTACAGGACAACATAAGGGTAATGGATAGCCGGCCCGGCTCTAGACAGCCTCCAGACGAGTCTCCACAAAGTGACCCAAGGTGTTCTGCCCTTTGCATCATACGTTTTATACTCTGAAAGGATGATATTGTAATGTGGGATGCGAGCAGTTGCCCGAGAACAGCGCGCCGATGCAGCTGGGGAATTCGCCTTGACGTTTTCGGTGCCACCAAGCGATTATCACACCAATGGCAAGCAGTGCAGTGATATGATAATTCCGTGGTATATTGTCTCAAGAATGCGTAGTGAATGCGCGGATGTATGTACAGTCATGGAGGAGTTTTCCTCATAAGACAGCATCTTGCTTACCACAAGGAGTGTGGCTTAATGGCCGTACGCACGATACAATATTCGTATGCTGTAATTACTAACACAGCATTTACTAAGCGAGATTTGCGACAAAAATCGCCACGCCTGTCGTTTATCTGGCAATGTCTTTAACACCTTCGCGCGCCTGTGACGAACCTCTGCCCCATCGTACCACGCATCACGTGCGCGTGCTGTCGTTGCGGTTTGCTGAGGAAACGGAGAATTAAGTGTCAGGGTAGGCTTAAACTTTTTTGTAAAAAGTTGTACTCCTTCGTTGCCAAAATTGGCATGCGCACGTGACGCATTGGGAGATAAATTTGGGTTTTGTGGTTGTATTTATAATATTTTAATGTAAAAATGCCAGAAAAAACGACCTGGGGTGCATCGTGTGCGGCTATTACTGTTTTAATTCTTCTTGTTTATTATGGAACACGGTTTTGGCTAAATCGTCGTAATCTCCATTTCGTCCCGGAGCTATTAGACGGCTACGACATCAAGAATCTGCCTACCGTTTCTTTCGTTTTCACACATCCCAACGATGAAGCTTACTACTTCTCGCCGACTTTGGAGATTCTGAAGGACTTCCGCAAAGCACGTCCAGATCTCGATGTTCATGCACTGGTGCTGTCGAAGGGTAGGTACAGCGGCGAGGAGGACAACCGTGTCTTGGAAATCCAGAGCATATGCAACAAGTACAACGTGCAGTGCACGATTTTGGATGAGCCTGACATGCAGGTTGGACAGAAGATGTGGGACAAGGACAATGTGTCTGCCCTCATCCAGAAATTCCTGAATCAGAACGATTCTAAGGTTGTCATCACGTTCGACAAGGACGCTGTGGACGGAGAACCCAACCACGTCAGCACATACAACGCCGTTGCTGAAACGAAGAAGCAAATGCCCGACCTGAGGATCTGGACGCTTCGTAGCTACGGCTTCTTAACCAAATTCCCGCTATTTGCATACCTGCAAGCTATATTTACCAGCCCCATCGCCTGCGTACACACGATTGGCCCGGCGTACCAGAACGTGAAGATTCACAAAAGCGAGTGGTCTTGGACTACCAGCTTCGGTCTGTTTTTCAGCTCGTACAGCTACGTCAACATATACAGCCGCATGTGAGCTGCGCTCATTACCCTGTCACACAGCATAATGTAGTACGTTATTGCATAACGGTAGCGTATAATGTTGCTTGCTTGTGGTGCTGCTAGTTCATACACAGCTGCCATGCATTCAGAGCTAACGTCCATCAACCGCCTACCCCGACCTAGTATGTAGAATAGTCATCATACCAAAGAGAGCCACAAACAGCAATACAGGATTATACCTAGCACAATATAAAGCGTGGGAAAACCACTAGTGAGACTACACGATTGACAGATTGTTAGGTGGCGCATTATTTCCGCTCGGCGAAGTAGTCGCGGATGTCGCCGTCGCTCTGCGGCGAGGTCTTCTTGGGGATCGGGGTGCTTGCGATCACCGCCAGTGCAGAGTCGCTACCGCCCGCCCTCCCAGAATCCACGCTACGAGATGTGGGCGGCCCCTGCCCAGCCTCCGGTGACGAGGCATGCTTCACCTTGGGAATGGCAATGTTCAGGCTGTCCGCCGCGGAGAGGCCACCCAGGTTCAGGGGAGGGACGGTAACGGGGCTCTTGCTGTTCGTAACGGTCGGACTGCTGATGTACCCCTCCAGCGCGGTAGTCGAGGGCGAGGACGTGCGCGCAGGCACCTCAGCGCCGCTCGCAGCTGCCTTCTTCGCCGGCTCGGCAGACGGTTGCGCCAGAGATTGCTTCGAACGAGGGGAACCTGGCGCGCTTGCATTGTCTTGTGAGGATGCACTTTCGCCGGCGGTACCATCATCCACTGCCTTGGAAGTAATTGGGCCACTGCTAGGTGACGGGGGACTGACTGAGGACGCAAGTGTTGAGCTCGATGAGGCAGGCACCAGTTCTATTCCGCATTTGGAGTAACAGTCCAACACTATCTTGTCCATGTCTTCCAGCGCGGTGTTGTAGATAGCCTTCAGCCGAGCGTGCGGGATGGCGGCATAATCAATCTCGTTGGGTCCGTCTGCCCCCATACTCTCTAGCATCTCAAGCGCAGAGGCCGCACGTTTGCGGCGATCCTCATAATACTGCAGCTCCTCCTCTTCCAAAACATCGCAACTACGACGAGTGTGGGAAAGTTTGCCGGTGAAGGCGAGCATACACTTGGAGCAGGCGGTCTTCTTCACTACCTTGCCCGGCGCTCCCGGAGCCATCTCAACACCCGCTGCCGTCCCATCTTCTGAAGTTTGCGATAGGCCGGATTGACCATCAATTGGTACAGTTACCTCCAATTTGACGTACTCTTTGGGGAAGGGGCACTCAGTAGCGTAGCGGACCGAATTGTGCAGTGGAAGCTTGCAATTATCACAGAGCTGAAGCATCCTGAACGGCAGACGTACCGCCAAGAAGTTCACCTCACGTTTCAAACGAATTATGCCAGCAGCTTCGTCTGCATCGCGTTTCGCACGGGCAGCCTCAATCCTTTTGGTCACCTCATCTATGAGGTTGGGCGGGCACAAGCGCTCGTACGCAGTTCGGAGCCGGTTCTCGTACTGCGTTTCCAACGATCGGAAGTTATCCAAAAACGCTATACGATCCTCCCTACGCCGCTTCTTGTTCTCTTTATCGTCAACAACGTCGTTGGAAGCCAGCTGTTTGCGCAGCTCACGCTGCTGCTTCTGCTGCTGTTCCCGCTCCTCCTTCGTCATCTTCTTCCGGCGGTCCTTCTCCTGCTGAATCTTGCACTTAGAACACAAGAAAAAGATCCAGTTAGATGAATTTGCGTTCAAACCACGCTGCGTCAAGGCGTAGTAGTAATCCTCACCCACGTAGTGACGGGTGTAATCCGGAGGGAAGCAATCGTAGCAGAAGGCCGTCGGGCAGTTGGAGCAGTGGATCAACATGTTGTCACACTGCGAACTCTTGCGGAAGCACAGACAACACTCGTGCCACCGGCAAGTCCACGTCTTCTTCGGCTCCACCAAGCTCTCGCATACCTTGTGGTAGCTCTTGGGGCAGCGGAAGCAATTTACAAGTGGCCCATAGTCAAGCTCGACAGTAATACCATCCTTGTCCTTGTAGTTGGCCTTGTGATTTTTAGCGTAACCGCAGCAGAAGCAACGGCATTCGTGGCGTATGGTTCGGGATTCGGTTCTCTTCCGGAATCCTTCGGGCACATACATAGACGAAGGACGGCGGCGTTCACGGCCGGAACGCCAGAGCAAGCCACCGCTTTCGAGTTTGCGCAGCAACTCAGCTTTATCCTTGGCGGTGCTCAGAAGCTTCTTCACTTGCTTGTGGTCCAGCATGTCAGACACGTTAAGGTCAACGCCTTCCAGAATACTGGGAGCTTCCACTGTGTTCTCAGTTGGGACGGGAGCACTTTCAGCTTCCGGAGCATCCTCCTCTTTCATGACGTCACTCACGTTCACCATATTAGGGTCAGCTTCCTCCTGCAACAGGGAGACATCCTCGGTCTCGTCGATTTCAGCCGAGTCATCCAAGCCCTCCGGTGGCGTCTTGCGGCCACGCGAAATGATGTCGTCCAGATACCACTCAGTGATATCCTCACAATCAGTCATCTTAAGCGCATTGTTGCCATGCATCATCATCTTCAGGATTGCAGCCGGGGTGAGCGACACTATGGGCGCCTCTGCAGCCTCCTCGTAGTCCATAGCCTGGCGGTAGGAGTTTATCAACATCTTGTCCAAGTGGAGCTTCTTCTCACGGCACAGAGCCATACGCTCCTCAACTGTCCACTCGGAGATCAATTTCCAAATATGTACGCTGCGTTTCTGCCCGATGCGGTGGGCACGGTCAATGGCCTGTAGGTCAATAAAGGGGTTCCAGTCCTCGTCAAACAGAACCACGTGGTTAGCAGCCGTAAGGTTGATACCCAGACCTCCTGCACGGGTACTAATCAGGTATATGAAATACGGACTGGACGGCGAGTTGAACTCCCTAATGTCCAACTCACGAATCAGCTTGTTCGTGGAACCATCCAAACGCATGTACTTCCATCCACGACAGTTACAGTAAGTCTCCAACTCATCGAGCACCAACTGGAATTGGGTGAAAACAAGTACCTTGTGCATCAGCGGGTCTTTGGAAACCTCGGCTTGGGCAGCCGCGGGGTCGGGGTCGGCTGCTGCGTTGGCACCGCCGGACTCTGCATTTTCAGGCTTCACATCTTCCCCTGAAGCTTCTGCCTTTACACCGGCACCATCGCCCTCACGTTTTAAAACTACATCAGCCGTTTCTTCCTTGACACGGACTTCGTTATCAGTCATTTGTATATCACCCATATCTTCCTGTTTTACTACAGAATCAGCTCCATTATCCACGTCATGTGTATTCTCCAACTTTACATCCGAGGCGACCGCCAAATGTTCATCGGCGTTAGAATCATACTCCGATTTCACGCGCCTACTAGACCTCAGTCCAGAATGTCCCTCTTCACCGTACACCGCCGTATCCGTGCCGTTCATTGTGACATCGTCTTCTTCGACGATACGCCCTCTCTTGTGTGCCGTTTTGGCATTTTGCGCGGTTTTTGCATTTTTGGTGCCTGACGCTCCCTGCCTCCTCCCGGAAAGCGAGAAGTTGAGGGTCTCGCGCTTGTAGGGAGATTCGTTGGACACGGGACATTCGTACATACCCTCAACCATAAAACGTTCGTTTCGGGCCGTAGGTGCGGGCTGGCGCACCAAAAACTCGTGGGTCTCAATAACAAACGGCTCCTGCGCCGCAACACCTTTCATCTTTTTGTGCAACTTCAGTTTGTGCTCCCTGATGGTCTCCAGTTCCTTCAGGTGGGCGTTGTACTGGTCCTGGTATCCGGGCACAAACTCACAATTTTCATAATGCAACTGACACAGCAACTTGTCCAGGAACGTCAGTTTGGCACTAGCGTCACGATGCTCCTTGTCGCGAAGCTCACGTAAGCGGCCTGCATCTGTCTCCACCTGGTTCTGCAGTGGCAACGACTCCTGCTTGAAGAAGTCGAATAGCTTTTCAGTCTGGTGGGCCCTGCTGACGATGCCGCGAGGGTGCCCACAAACAATACGCATTTTGATGACCATACCAAGCAACTTCTTTACACTCATCTGCTCCTTCATCAAGTGACGCACACTCATCAACGTGCGGTACCAGTGAAGCGACTCGGCGCTCAAAGGAAGCCAGACATCGTGGAAAACCTTTGGCTGTAAGGTGATAGCCTCCTCTTTCAAACGCCGCAACATAACCCGACTCAGCAATGTTTTAATGGCCTCAAGCTCCTCTTTCTTGAAGGACGCATTCGCTGCCGCCGCAGCGGTGGCCGCGGGCGACATTGGCACGGTACGGCCAAACTTCTTGGGTTGGTTCCGCAGCGCCTCATCCATCAATATGGTGTCCTTGAATATATCCGGGAACATGAAGTTGATTAGTGTGAACAGCTCCAATGCATTGTTCTGCAGGGGAGTACCCGTTAACAGCAGGCGCATGTTCGCCAGAATACGATCCATCGAGTGACGCGCAGCGCCCGACTGGTTCTTAATACGGTGGGCCTCATCCAAAATCAGGCACTGCCAACGAGGGATAGTCTCCACGAAAAACTCCTCCTCGCTCTTAACGGTCTCATAGGTGGTAATGTACAAGTCGTATAAACCTTTGTTGGCCAACCGGTCATCCATGGCATGCTGGCGCTCCGTGCGGGAACCGCAAATCTTAATGGAGGTCAAGTGAGGCGTGAAACGGTGCACTTCACGCAACCAGTTGCCCACCGTAGACAGGGGCACCACAATCAGGTGTGGCCCCTCAATCTTCATCATTTTCAGGTACGATAGAAAGCACAGCGTCTGAATAGTCTTGCCGAGACCCATCTCATCGGACAAGATAGCGCCACCCGTGAGGAACGATTTCAACAGCCAATCGACACCGAACTCCTGGTGAGGCTTAAGCTGCACCCCGGTACGGAGGGGGCGCCCCTCTATCCGCCGCCCACTGGGATAGAACGCGCTCTTGTGCGCCTTCGCAATGAACTTTTCCGCCTCTATCATGCCCTCCTCCTCGAAGTACTCCAGTATGTCGTCGATGCTGCGCCCGTAGTTAACCAGGCGCTTGCGGGAGGAGGAACTGTCGTCCACCAGGTTGCGAGTTAGAGCCTCCATGCACTTATCGGTCACAAAAGGCCCTAGCTCATCACGATGAGCCAGCAAGAATCGGTTGCGATACTTAGTTATTTTGGCCTTCCACAGCACAACGCAGCGTCGCCGCTCCTTCAGGTTTCTGTCTATCTGCTGCACAGTCCAGCGCTTATGCATCTGGTTGATGAAGGGGTCCTGCCCCTTGCAGCAGGGGCACTCCCACACGTCACCGATAGTTCCCACATCAAATTCGGGTAAACAACCGTGGTGAAAGGAGTTGCTGCAGAAGTCGCACCCCAGCAACTTGCCGTGGCGCTGACACACGTAGCAAATGGAGGAATTTACGTGATCGCCCGACTCCGCCAGGGGGTTCTGCTTCTTGCGGAACGTCACCACCTGGAAGTCCTCGGGCTTGCACATAGGGCAAAACCACTGCTCGCCATCCGGCTCCGCAACGAGCTGCAGGCAGCTAATGTGGTAGCTGTTGGGGCAGCCGTCACAAAGGAGCAGAACGTCGCGATCATCGCGGTTCTTCTCCTTGCACAGCTTACAGCGCTCGTCATTTTCAATCACGTTCTCATCCTCGTATCGCAGGCAGTTCTCACACTGGAACGTGGAGAAGTCGTACTGCCCGTTGACCACCTCGGCGTTGTGGGCACCGCCGGTGGCGATATCGTGCTCCAGGCACTCCCGATGGTACGATTTCGGGCAGCTGGTGCCTGCGGGGCGTCATATACACACACATACTGAACCTACACTTAACAATCGCATCGCCAGCCCTGTAATCATCTTGGCAGAGCTTACACCAACTGCGGCGCGGAGCCATGTCTGCGGACTCTTAGAGCGGCAATTGACACACCCGGCGAATGCTAACAGCGCTCACACGTGCGAAGGAGCGCGAAAAGGACCCAGCTAACGCCGGCACAAGGCATACGTCACTTTATGCAGGCGCGTCGTCGTCACGCTGCTTCCTTCCAGACCGGCAAGACGAAGCAGACACACAGGTCCATCACTCTACGCTCATTCAAATGATTGCGAACAGCCTGCACACGACAGCCGCACAAAAGCGTAGACTGATGGCATCGGCGACAAGCGCTGGTCGATGGGAGTGGGGAACGGTCCTGGAGATGGGGTCTCAAGGGGCGGCATCGCGTCAGTTAAGCGCCCAGGGCCGTTGGCGATGCCACACCCACACCAGAACTGGCCCGGGAGAAATCGCTGCATTTCATTCCGACTGCTGTGGGACGGGGTGATTGCGCACAGCGATGTGTAGCTGGCTACCCCGCAACGACTGCGAATGTCGTGAAAAACACGCAGTGTGCGCATCGTGTGACATCTGCACTGCTTTATTATAGATATTTACGTGTCAATTTCATGCATAAATCGTGGAAGACAGCATAAGAGCGGTGCTGACAGCTGTCACGCAGCGCCTGCATTCATCCAGCGTCCCAGTGCATATCTACGCTAGCTACCGGCATTAAAATACACATTTATGACTAAAGTGGTCCAATCTTTATTTTGGAGGCTTGTCTACTATAGTGCCACCGGCAACCACGTCCCCGCCGGCCTTGAGTAGCACGCGGCTGAGCAGTGATAATCGGTGTGAGACATGCCCATTCTGTGTCGTGTTTTGCTTCATATTGGATGTGTCTGATGCATTGCGGGGCATCATGCAATCGGCCATGGATTCGGACACTGGTTGCACGAACAGCGGGGCAGCCAGCTGCAGCACCAACACGCCTTCCTTCCCAGGCCACAGGGAGGTCACTCGCTTCCATTTTCCGGCGCCTATACGCTCCCACACGCTAGATATGGCTCCATTGCTCTGGAAGTAGCCTACAAAGGCCGTGACTCCGAACCCGAGGGTAAGCTTGTGGCTGGATCCCCGGTGGACCAGCACGTGGCAAACTATGCTTGACATCTCCACCAGGTGACCCGATTCCGCCTTTAGGCTCTCAAATGTTGCCGTGTCCACCAGCAGGCGATCGCCAGTCAGCGCTTGTATCTCCTGGCCACGCAGAGTCATGCTGTCTGCAAAGTCCTGCCGGGATGCGAAGGAGGTGGCACTCAGGCTCATAACACCGAAGCGGGTAGTCATGTCGTCCACCTTCGACCCCAATGTAGCCGCACTCGCGGCACTATCACTGGCCGGTACTAAACACGACACGTCACTGCACGTCACCATGCTACGGCTCGGCAGTGCTACGAGCTTGCATGGAGTACGCAGCTCAGTCTCGAGGAAACACGAGCAACCGACATTGGTTTTCGACATCTCCCACATGTCAAAAATGTGGCACAACGTGGCTCCAGAAGGAATCTGACTCTCTGGCGTGGCACAGGACAATTCCTCGCTGAATGCAGTTTTTTGCGCAATACTCCGCAGTGCATCGACCACGGACGGGCCATCACCCCAATCGGAGTCGCGCTGCACTAAGTTCAGCCCGCTCGTTCCAGACGTCGGCACCACTATCAACGCCGACAGTGCGTACGACGACAGTCTTTCACGCACCAGCCGCATGGCCTCCTCGATCGGCTCCCGTTCGGAGCAACGGTCGACCTTGTTGACACAAACAACGAAGTGGCGCAGCCCCAACGACCACAACAAAAAGAAGTGCTGATCAAAGTATCCGTTAGCGTCCCCCTTTAGAAAATCCAGGACGTCAACAATGACTACCGCTGCCTCGGCGAATATGGCCCCGCGCACCAGGCTCGAGACCAGCTCATGATGCCCGGGGGTATCAATAAAATTCAACTTCACGCATCGTTTAACGGAAGCAGCTGAAGCTGGCGCAACTAATTTGCTTCCAGATGCAGATGTGGTGCCTTTTGCGCCACCGTCAGCTTCCGGGGACGGAACATCTACCACGGCCGATGCCTTCGTCGGGTCAATGGTGATGCCGCGCGAACGTTCGTCTTCACCCTGGTCCAGAATCCATGCGAATTCACCGCGTAGTGACCTGGATTCCACTGCCCCGAGGAGGGTAAGCAAGTGCCCTAACAGAGTGGACTTGCCGACATCCACGCGGCCACAGACCACGACGTTCAGCACAGGGAACGAGCCACGTCCATCCTGTGCGGATACACCCTTATTTGACCGCCCGGGTGCATTGCTGCTACCCGAATTGGCTTGATTTTGCCCAGATTTAACACCAACGACAACTGACGATGTCGTACTTCCACCAGGTTGTCCGGTGCCACCCTTCCCTGTCGGTTCATGCGATTTAGTTGCAGCACCCTTCTGTGTCACATGCGTTTTTGTCGCGGCAGCTGCTGCCGTGCGCGACTTAGGCTGCACATTTGCCGCCGGTGCGCCGCCACGGCGGCCCTGCCCCTTCTTCTGGACGGGGACTACAAAGTCGTCGTAATCAGACACATCATAATCCGAGTCAGAATACGAGTACTCGTCATCTGCGCGAACTTGACGCCGTCCCGCTGCCATTATGACGCGGAAGGTGGAGGAAGCAATACGATGTGTACCGTGACCATCATCAGGTCCGTGCAGTGTGCACTAATGCGGCCCTATAGAGCGCGCACCATATCAAAACAATACAAAAAAGAGAGGAATCGAGCGGAAGGCGGCACACCACGCAAACACGTTACCCACGCCACGGCAGGCTGAACAACGCTCTATGGTGGCGTCACTTTCTTAATTCTTGTCTTCACCGACATATCAGCGGCACGCCTGGAATTAAGATTGTGAGGGACGGAACGCGCTTAATTAGTTCAGTCCACTCATCTAAATAGGGGCGGGCGACCTTCCGTGTGTAATGCGCTGCAGTTAGAATAATTTTCCGCGATACACCCGCACTGCGGATTCTGAGCGGCCAGCTGGATGCGCGTAAATTAGCACACCAATGGACGAAAAAATCGCACAGCGGCTGTGCCACATGCTGGCAAGCTGCGAGGAGGCAACGCGCCAACGCGCCTTGCGCAGCATCGAAAAGCTGTTCGCCCAGACTACGGAGAAGGTTGACGAACTGCTTCTGCTCAAAATCTGCAAGGCGCTCTACTATATGCTTTGGATGACCGATAAGCCGCTCAAGGTGCGGAAGGTAGCGGTCACCATCGTAGAGGCCCAGAGCCGGTTTGCGGACCGAGCTAACCGGATGCACTTCTTCTCCTGTCTATTCAGGTCTATGTCTATGGAGTGGCCGCTCCTAGACAAGCACCGGCTCGACAAGATGCTGCTCTTCGTGCGCATCGTTGTTGCATCGCTGCTGGATGTGCTGAACGGCGGGCGCTGGGATATGGGTGAGATGCGAGAATTCGCAAACATCGTGCTAGACAAGCAAGGCATTTTCAACAAACGAAGTTTGGGGCTGGCCTTCCAGTTCATACAGGTGTTTTGGGAGGAGTTCCGTGAGAACCGGGAAGGGCTGCTAAAGAAAAACGAATTCGTCGAGCTCAGCGATGCGGCCTTCCTCCAGCTGATGGCACCGTACCTGCAACTACTGGTTACCCTGGATAACAAACAGGTGCTAAACACATTGGACATGTACATCCTGAAACCAGCGGCGACCGTTCCCGGAATGCCCGTGCAGGGCTTCCTACTCGCGTGCGCAAAGCTTGCCGAGAGCACCGTCATTCGCGGCTCGGCGCGCAAGGTGCTAAAACAGATACTTAAGGAGCACGAAAACACGGATGATGCTGGGCAAGAACTGCAAAAACAGGTCGACGAGACTATTGCGGCCATTGAAGCCGCTGTGGTGGAGATCCGGCAGGCGGACGGCGAGAGCGTCGCGGCCACCACTGACGCACAGGGTAGCACCGACAGCACAGGCGCTGTGGCGGAGCTCAGCGGAGAGAGCGATGACGTTGACGGCGAGTTGTCTGATGGGAGCGTTGAGGAAGGCGACTTTGAGATGGTGCCCCAGCTTGAGGACGTATCGGAGGAATTGCAGGCCGACGTGCCTGAAGAAGATATCGAATTGGACTCTGGCGAGGGTTTCGTCAGCCTTGCCGAGGCCTTTCTTCCCCGATTATCGAAAAAGGGACTGGGGAAGCACCTGCGGGAAGTCGCCACCCTGGACAAGGTGCGCAAGTTCATGATCGCGTCGGGAATAGAGGACCACGAGATGCTGAAAAGGCTGAACTCCCCTAAAATGCGCAGGCAGCTGCAGCTGCTGGCGCTTCACTCCATCCGCTGCCTCAACCCGGACCGGAGGTTCAAGTGCGCGCGGAAGTTGAACCGTATCGTGAACATCACCGAAACTTCGGAGGCCCTGCCGAGCCGGAGGCGGTCGATCGACATCGCAAAGGCGATACACAACATCAAGTTCGTTAAGCCTGAGAAGTCCAGTCTGCGCAAGCGCGACAGGCCAGAAAATGAACCGAAAAAACGTGTCGTTTTCAACCTTAAGAACAACCAGGTCGCCACTATACCGAAGAGAACGAAGAGCACGCTGACGATGCCAATGTGGTACTGAACCGCTGCCGCGGACAGTGCAAGTGGTACCACACGCCGACGTACATGGGGAATGCCATAATATCGTAGCTGTGCAGCGACAATGGTCGCCGTTTCGCCAGTACCCTTCAGGGATCTGGTAGAGGTCACGGGGACTCACAAGGTTGGGATCCGTGGTTCCAACATCGATCGTTCGACATGGCTGCCATGGAATCGGCACGAAAACGCGGCGCATCAATGCATTAAACGAGTATCGTTAAAATTCTGAGTCATCAGGCTCGCCTGAAACTACAAACCCCTCGTCGTCGCAGTTCAGAACCGCGGCCACATCGTCCAGGTAGTGGCACAGCATGCCCTGGATCATGTGCTTCAGCGTTACGTCGCTCTGCGCGCAACCCACGCACGCCCCGCTCAGGCGAACATACACGAACCCTGCGGCACAGTGAACACAACGGCGGATAAATGGCTATGCTCCGTATGTATTGGCGCAACAGAACGCTACAGCGTCAAAAGCTCGGAGGCGCAGCAGCACAGGCGATAACGGAGCGAGGGGAACACACCTGTTTCTGGGTCGTATGAGATGAAAGAGACGTCACCTCCGTCCTGCTGGACCACGGGGCGAATGCGCTTCTCGAGCAGCAGCCGTATCGAATCCACCACCTCCTGGTCCTTCTCGCTGTAGCTGGAGGGGATCACGGCGCGCGCTCGATCCGAGAAAGAGCGTACGAACTCGCCGTTTGGCCTGAAATATCGCAGCGATTTGGGCGGAGTGTGGCGCAATGCCACGCTGCAACGCGGTCTAGAAACCTGAGTGAAGAGCCGCGGAAGCGACCGCGACAGAATCCACATCCGATGGAGCTACGTCGCCGTGGCTTCCAGAACCACAGCTACGTAAGGTACGCTATAAAAACCAAACTACACACTTATGTGTACGTAAACGTTCGATTAATGTTGTCTGTGGTATCGCCGTTCGAGCCGCGAACCGAACACTCCGGGGCCTCGCCGAAAGGGCGCGCTGAGCATCAACCTCGCGGAGACGCCGCGTGGATAAGGCCCCCCAAAGTATATTTAAAATTCCAGCATGTATTAAATTGTCAAAGTGATTGCGATAAAGGCATCCTTCAGTGCTGTTACGGTCGTTCTTGTGGTCTACGTGAGAGCGGCTTGCAGCGGTTGTACCCGGATATAGCTCTCTATCCGTTCTGTTGTGTGATAAAGTGTACATATATTGCAAATAAGGCTAATATCTGGCATTTTTGGAAGCAATACCGACCAACGAGACCTGTAATCCATATTTTTTTAAGCCTTGGCTGCCGAGGTAGCGTGATACAGCCTGGAAACGGCAAAATCCCGGCTGCAATCCGGAATATTAGTGTAATGCCCGCGAAAAGATCAAATATGTAGGGGAAATTTTCATCTATGCCGTGCCTGTAGGCGCTACTACGTGATCCATTTCGTTGGAGTTGCGCTATCTGACATGGAAGGGGACGCTGGATGCAAAAGCAGGAGACTCGCTCTTCCAAACATCAGTCAGGAGAACACTTGTGGTCGTTAACGACTTGGATGTGACATTATAGGCCCTGCTTAAGTTAATTAACTGGCGGCAAGCCCTGAACGTGTGGACAAAATAATCGTGTCTGAGTCTGGCTTGTAAGGTCGTTATTGCGTTTGCTATACGGCCCTTTCGAATCGGTTTTGATTGTGTATGGAACAATTTTTTTTTTACTAAAATGAGCATCGACAGCAGTTTATCTCCCAAGCACCCATTGTAGTGAGGGAGCCCATTAAAGGCCATCACAGCGTAAGAACGGCTGAGTGCAAGTAGACGTCGATTCTCGATACCCGTCATTTCGTAACATCAACCGGACGCCCATTGCACACAAAATGGCGAATGAACCTCCAGGAACTGAACCGGAGTCGGACTCCCAAGAGGCGGGAGACCGTCCTACTGAGGAGATGACAATCGATCCTTCAGTGAGTCAGGACGCCGAATCCCAGTCCCGAGATGATAACGAACTAACGGTAGATAGGCAGACTAATTCTGATGACAATGAAATGAAAATAGTGGAGTGTCATGGAGCTTTGGTTCCACTCACCACCACCATGGAGACCAACAATCTGGACTGCGAAAGCTACTACTTGTCGAAATCGAATTCATCGGAGCTGACTAGCGAAATGGAAGGCGATAATGAACGGGATTTGGATAACCTATTAGAGCTCCACGCTGACTACCTTCCTTTGTCATCGGATCCCAGCACACCAGTAGGTAGCACCCAAGACGGAACCCACGAGTGGTATGACGTAATTTCACGCACAAAGCGGCACATGTTGAACCAGTTTGGTCACGAGGAGAATCCGCGGCTGCGAATGGATAACAGCGCCGGAAGTGAACCCCGGCATATACAGGAAAACCGCATCGCCAAATTCGTCGGAGCTCACAGGGCGCCCCGAAATGCACTGTGGAAATGGATGTTACCAAAGCTCGAACGGTTCCTGGATGTTCATGACGTGCTCATGCTGCGGCAGACGTGTACTGACCTCTACAGGCATAAATATACTCTCCGCCCACATTATGAGTTGTGCTTCCGAGGATTCGTCGGATATGACATGGACGTCGTCATCGGGTCTGTGATACCGTTGCTTGCCAAGGTATATAGGTTAACCGACTCTGACAAGGTGGGGTTGGACTTTAGCCAGTGTTTCAATCTGAAGGATATATCCATTGTCCACATGCTGTCCACACAGGCCATGCTGAACGGCGGCCTGGAGACGCAGATGATCTGCAGGAACATGAGGTCGCTGACACTGGATTATTGCCACCAGATCACGGACAAGGGATTGGAGATACTGCTTGCGACAAAGCTGCCAAACCTGGAGAAGCTCAGCATGGTGTGCTGCCGTAATGAGGGCATTACGGGAACGCCGTTCACTACGATGCTCTCCGAGGACAGGTGGCCGAAGCTAGCCAAGTTCAACTGCAGCTTCAGCAATGTAACTCTGGAATCCATAGAGGCCATCGCTGATTTCATTTACCAGAGGACGGCAGCTGAGCGGACCCAACAGGCGTCTGACACGGTATCCAGAAGGTTACACGCCGATTGCACGGGATATGGGTGCAATGAGAGGCTGTGGCACGAGATGGGACGCATGATAACACGTGTTGGTGATTCACACGCCAACGATGAAACTGCGCATACGTCTCAAAGCCATCCCGCTCCTCCGTTGTGCCAACTGGAGATCACCGGCTCCTGGGGCAGCAGGATGTTCCTCGATAAACACGGATTCGGAGCGGAACTCCACGCCTTCGCTTCAGCTTTGAAGGTGAAGTCAATGAAGATATGCTCCAAGCTAACAAAACGCGTGCACCGCGGGCTACAGGACATCGGTGACCGGGCGCCGGATGATGCTGCCCTGCAGCTGGTGATGTGTCGAGGAAGCGAGCTGTTGGTGAACTGCCCTATAGCGGAACACGACGAGCATAACACAATGGACACGTGGACGCTGCCGATATCCATAACCATTCAGAACGACGATATGGAGCTGTGCAACCTGTTAATACGTAGAGGGGCGCGTGTAAATGTTTGGGACTATTGCGGGAAAAGTCCGCTGTATAAGGCCTGCGAAATGGGCACGACCGCTTTTGTCAAATTGTTCGTGAGGTTGGGGCAGGCCCCGATGTCACTCGATGAGAACGGATTTTCTCCGATGGCGATATGCGTTAAAACTGGTAACGCCGCCTATGTCGAGCTTCTGCTCAAAGCTGGGTTGCAGCTTAATCTGAAGTGCCCCCACATCCGAGATTTCAAGTCGCCACTGTACATAGCCTGCGAGGCCATGGCCGACGACTGCATTCGCTTGCTGCTGGAGGGCGGCGCGGATCCTAACTGGCTCTACCACGGGAGGCTCAGTGTGACTCTGCTTGCGTACCAAAAAGATAGGAATTGGTTGCCGATATTCCTCATGTACGGCGCCGGCAGGCCGTTGAATAAGAGGTGGATACTGACCGACGTGATGAGTTGCGCCATCAAGAATGGGGATGTTCAGTCGGCGGCCATTCTGGCAAAGGAGTACCCGGATCTGCTGGAGCGGAAGCACAACGTCTGGTCGACCCCGCTTGTACAGGCAGCACGGCTGGGTGAGCCCGAGATACTCCAGACACTGCTGGACGCAAGAATCAGCAGGGGAAAACCGGATTCGCGCGAAACGACGCCGATGCACGCAGCAGCTGAAGAAGGACAGCTAGAATGCCTGCGCCTGCTCATCTGCAGTGGCGATAATATCGACGTGCAAGATGTTGCGGGCAGGACGCCGCTCTACCTCGCGGTGCTGGAAAACCAGGCAGGCGCAGCAGAGGTTCTGCTGACCAGCGGCTGTGATCCAAACATCGCAGAGGTTTCGAACGACGAAACGCCCCTCATGGCCGCGCTGGGAACCCGCAACGAGGATATCGCACTGCTCATCATCAGCAAGGGCAAGGGCCTGAAGCTTGATGCAGCAGATAAGTTGGGAAGGAGCGCGAGTCTGTATGCGCTGTACTTCGAGCAGATTGCCGTTGGCGAGGTCATTCTCCGCCAATGCGCGCAACAAGGCATCGTCGCCTCGGCCGCGGAGATCCGGTTGTTCAACGCAGTCATCTGCGACAGGATCAAAACACGATCAGCGAACTACAAACACCTCACGCGATACGCCAAGCACTACCGTGACGTCAACGCGGACGTCATCAGGGACAACGGCATCGACTTTTTGTTCGCGCAGCGGTGGCCCCTGATGAAAAGCCTACTTGGCAAGATCAGGGGGCTGGGCGCAAACCCCTAAACTCTTCTCGGAACTATTTTAATTACTTTTACCTAAAGCCGCGCCCATAACCATGCCGAAAAACAAAACCGAGGCGAAGGCTAAGCTCGCCGCCGCCAAGCGGGAGGCGCAGGAGCGGAAGGCTCGCAAAAAGCTGCTCAAGGGCAGCAAGGAGAAGGACATCAGCCAGATTATCAAACGCTTCCGCTACAGCCACGAAACGGCGGACAAGGGCAAACTGGTCGACTGCGAAGGTGTGCGACCGGGCCCGCGGGCAAGCGCTACGTTCACGCCGATGCAAAAGTGAGATACTACCGTTCTAGAGCCTAACCTGCTAGCAGTGATATCGCAATACTCTTCGGTGGCGAGTTCTATGACGGAATCCAAGTGGAGGTTTACAACGACACCTTTTTCTACAATGCAACCAAGCACGAGTGGAAGATGTTGCAGACAACGGCCAAGCCACCACCAAGGTGTTCCCACCAGGCCACTGTCTTCAAGTAAGAGACGGATTGGAATGAAACAAAAGTCGCAGCAACTACCTGTACATATTCGGAGGGGAGTACACCACTCTGGACCAGTTCCACCACTTCAACGACATGCACAGGCTGTGCCTCAAAACTCTAAAATGGGAACCGGTGGAAGTCAGCGGAAATATACCTACGCCACGAAGTGGTCACCGAATGGTGAGTAAACGGAGCTCGTGGTTATAAAACGTACAGGTTACCTGGAACGGGCACTGGGTCCTGTTTGGGGGGTTCCACGACACCACCAGAGAGATAACCTACTACAACGACCTCTACCTCTTCTCTTTCAAAACCTTTGCCTGGAAGCGCGTTTGCCAGCAAAGGTTCTCAGGAGCCATCCCGGAGCCCAGGGCGGCATGCCTTATGCTCGCGCCGAAGAATTGTAAGTCGTGACACATGATGCACGTTGGGAGCCTTGTCCTGCACTTTTGTATTGTATAATGCATATAATGTGATACAGTGTCGCCAAACATTACACAGATGTCAATACGTGTTTATATCCGTATATCACCAAATCTCATTGTATGCAGCCAACAAGGTCCTGGTCTTCGGCGGATTCACCAAGACAAAGGACACAAGCAAGAATGTAGCGGGGAAGTACCATCAGGTAATCACTAAATGTGCGCCTGTCGAAAACTTGTCTTAGGATTCATGGCTCATCAACATGGAGCTAGCACTCCAGGGCGATGCACTGGTGTGGGAAAAAATCAGCACCAAGGGCAAGCCGTCGTACTCCATTGGTAAGGTAGATTCATGGATGTCATAAACTTTCAATAGGTTTCGGGGTGGCAAACCACCAAAATGTCGGCCTGGTGGTCGGCGGAGTCTCCGACACGGACTCCGGGGGCACCTCGCTGAAGTCAACTTTCTACAACAGCGTGTACACTTTGAACGTCGATCAGAAGTGGGTCAATTCGATTAATTAGTCCCGTCATGCGCACACGCAGGAGGTGGTATCCGCTCACCACAGGTGACAGTTCGTCGAACACCGAAAAGCCCGAAGCCGAAGCAACACTCGAAGGTAGGTCAATGGTGTCACGGATTAATATATGGCAGACAAAATGAGTAGCGTATCACTAGCAGCTAATCCGCCGCCAAGGATGAACCCACACGTCGTGGTGTGCGGAAATACGCTGTACGTGTACGGAGGCATCGTCGAACAGGGATCGGTGGAAGTGACTATGAGTGACATGTGGGTGCTAGACCTCGGCAAAAGGTAAATTGGGCTACCGATTGATACAACACGCACAGGGATGGCTGGAGATGTATAGACCCTGGTTTCAACTTCGGTGACGTGTACAAGGGCGAGATGGACATGGAGGAGGACTCGTCCTCAGAAGATGAACCCACCAACTCGGCAGAAGAGGGCGAAGGTGAGGACGACGACGATGATGAAGATGACAGCGATGACGACGAGATGCTGACAGATGAAGACAGCAGTGATGAGGAGAACGACAACGCATAGTGTGCCGGTGCGGCACAAATGCGGGGCCACGATTTCCAACCCATTTTAATCGATTAGACACACAAAGGGCACACGCAGACACCATTGTCATGCAGAGAGGCGTTTGATGAGATGACATAACAGGTGTCACACACAGAGACTTCACACACCCAGGCACCAGCTGCGCGTGCAGGCGTCGAATAACCTGAATAACTGGAGTGTCTTGTCGTGTCTACCACTGAAATAATACAGCGATAGTCATCAGCAGATACCACAGCGATTGCAGCGAACAAACTTTCGCCTGGGGGGAGGGAAACTTTCGTCGCTAACGCCCTCCTTTCTGGACGGCGTAGCCCCCCAGCTACACCATTCACTCACATTCACTTGTTCCGTCATAGGCTACTTGCAAAATACAGAACCTCGCAAATCCATTTCGTCACTTTTAGCAACCAAAATGGATTCCGCCTTTGACGTGTGTGCTGGCGGCATCTCGCAATTGTCCGAGATTACTCTCGACAAGATCAGCAGGAAGATCACCGCCGCCGACATCAAGAACAAGCGTACGCACATTGTCTGCACCATGGGACCCGCGGTTAAAACCGCTGAGACCGTGGTTGCCCTCATCGATGCGGGGTTGAACGTCTGCCGCTTCAACTTCTCACACGGAGACCACCAGTCGCAAAAGGAGATGCTCATGAAGGTACACAGTGCCATGGAGCAGCGCCCGCACGCCAACGTCGGTCTTATGCTCGACACCAAGGGACCTGAGATCAGAACCGGTCTCCTCAAGGAGCACAAGGCCATCAACCTCGTGCACGGCCAGTCCCTTAAGATCACCACCGACTACACCTACGAGGGCGACAACGAGTGCATTGCGTGCTCGTACCCCAAGCTCACTGAGTCCGTGCAGGTTGGCAGCAGGATCCTCATTGCCGACGGTAGCCTCACCTGTGAGGTCATGGAGAAGTTCAGCGACCACATCGTCGTCAAGGTTCTCAACAACGCCACCATCGGCGAGAAGAAGAACATGAACCTCCCCGGTGTCAAGGTTGACCTTCCCGTCCTCGGCGAGAAGGACATCAACGACATCCAGCAGTTCGCCGTCCCCAACAACTTCGACTTCATCGCCCTGTCCTTCGCTCAGTCCGCTGACGACATCAAAGAGTGCAGGCGCGTGTTGGGCGAAGCCGGCAAGCACATCAAGGTCATCCCCAAGATCGAGAACATGGAGGGTCTGCGCAACTTCGACGCCATCCTCGCCGAAGCCGATGGTGTCATGATTGCCAGGGGTGACCTCGGTATGGAAATCCCGGTCGAGAAGGTCTGCATCGCGCAGAAATACATGATCAGGAAGTGCAACGAAGCCTCCAAGCCCGTCATCACCGCCACCCAGATGCTCGAGTCCATGGTCAACAACCCCAGGCCGACCAGGGCTGAGTCGTCCGATGTCGTCAACGCTGTTTTGGACGGTACTGACTGTGTCATGCTTTCTGGCGAATCCGCCGGCGGCAAGTACCCGGTGGACTGTGTCGAGATCATGTCCAAGCTCTGCTTCGAGGCCGAAAACTGTGTCGCCAGCCGCAAGCAGTTCGCCAACGCCATTGCCGCCACGCGCAAAACCCTCTCTCAGGAGGAGGCTCTTGCCCGCGCCGCCGCTTTGGTCGCCATGGAGATCAAGGCAGCTGCCATCCTCAGCTTCTCCGCTGACGGTAGCCTGACCCACTACATTTCTGGCTGCAAACCCACCTGCCCCGTGGTCGCTTTCTCCACCGAGCAGCACGTCACCAAGTACATGAGCGTCTGCCGCAACCTGATGGCCAAGAGGATCCCCGCCTACGGCAACCAGGAAAACGACATCAACACCGCCATTGCATCGGCCAAGGAGATGGGTGTCATCGAGCAGGGAGACATGGTCGTTGTTGCCTACGCCACCGGATCCGGTGTCCAGGGCTCCAACAACTTCGTGCGTGTTGTCTCAGCATGAACACAGCCAAGGACTGAAATGTCGTGGTACACATCTAGGAATCACGGCTCCCCACAGAGCCACATTCTCACATCGAGAACACTGAACTATTTTCGTACACACCCGACACACACAATTCATTACGTGCTAGTGGCGTAGAAATGGCACTGTTTTGCCTCTGCGAGCTCAGATGAAAATCAGCCCGGCCAGACTTACAAACGCAAGAGCGCTCACGGAACACTGCGGTTGGAAGCTGCAAGTCGCCCTCTGTATAGACCGTCAGCCGACGCAATTCGAAGAATCTGCGGCAGACAGGGCGTTTCGTGAATTTTCGGAGGCCTGGAGACGCTCCACACTCACCCAGCTCAACGTGCCGAAGCTCTCCACCATCGAGAGCAAAATCACGCACAAAATAACACCTTCCAAGGAGCGTAAGCTCACGTCCACCAACACGGAAAACGAGACCGCCGTGGAAGTCACGGAGGAACTCGACGAGCTCCTGGCTAAGGAGATTGCGTTCCGGCCGACCAGGAGGCGTACACAGAAAGGGCAGCTGGAAACCAAGCAAGTCGAGAAAGTCAACGTCGACGGGGATTCAAGAAACGTGGAAAGGCTTGCGAAGCACTGGTTATTTCTCGCGCTCAAACACAAAATACACGGGTGGATTCTGCCCACAGCCGACCTGTATCACGGAGACGGATTGAGACAAGTTAGTACGCGCGGCTGAAAAATACACATTGTGGCAGACTCTGCAACGTTTGTGCGCCGAGCAGCTCGGGGAGACCTACAATCCGTATTTTATCGGATACGCGCCATTCTTTCACCGGACCCTGCCGGTCCAGAATGTTAACGGAGAGTCCGACATAAAGGGCAACAAGGTACCTTAATGCAGCCGCTGATCTTATACACAACCATTCAGATCTTCTACTTCCGTGCTAGACACGTGCCGGGAACGGCACTAGACATACGGCCGCAGACAACCGACATCGTCGATCACGCTTGGTGCACCGTACACGAACTGCAAGACAAGCTAAACGACCGAAAACTCGTTCAGGCCTTACCACTCGTGCAACATGGGGAAGAGCAGTGAGAAGCCGACGAACAGCGAGGCGCCTATGCTGATCGCATTCGCCGCTGACCCCTATTACCGCGCCATGCTTTACGTGGTCGTTTTCATCCTCGCGCACTTGGGGGTGCTGTACAACACGGGATTCGACGCGACTGAGGTCGCCAGGCGTTCGGTGCTGGTGAACATGCTGCATATGGCAGACAGCAAATGGGCGGTCTGGCTTTTCGCCCTTCAGGCAGGAGTTGGATTCCTGTCCCTGTGCGTATACGCGTCCAAGTTCGTTGCTGCAGGAGCGCCGCTGCCGTTCATTCTTCACGAGCACACCGACCTGGTCGGCCACACCGCCGTCATAACTGGTACGTTTTGGCATGCCGTCGTGACACATTCCCGCAGGAGGTACGGGTGGTGTCGGCAGGGAGACGGCGTTGCAGCTGCTACTATGGAGGTGCAAAGTAGTGATCCTCGGCCGGGACAAAACTAGGGGTGCGAACGCCGTGGAGTACCTTCGACAAAAGGCTAACGTGGGATTGTAAGTTTGTGCATTCACGTGCCCTAACAGCGTTCCCAGTAACATGATACAATACGTGGAAATGGACCTCAACGACAAAAAGTCTATCGCAATGGCCGCAGAAGAGATCTTAAGGACGAACGCTTCAATAGATTTCCTCATCAACAACGCCGGAATCGCCGACGATGCCACGTTGAACGCGTACAAAATGGAGACCATGTTCGCCGCCAACTTCCTCGGGCACTTCTACTTCACCGAGCTGCTCATGGACGCTCTCAAGAGGGACAAAGCGCGGATAATCAACTTATCCAGCGTGGCGCACTATGACTACGACCCCAACGATGACCCGCTCCTCAAGGGTGGCGACACCATGGAGCTCTCGGGAAAAGCAAACTTCCGAACTTATTACGGAAGGTCAAAGCTCTTCAACATATGGCACACTCAATCGCTGCAACGGAGGTTTGACAGGCTGGACAAGGAGGACAGGGGCGTCGTGTGCTTCTCAGCTGCGCCGGGCATTGTGGCGACGCCACTGCTGCGAAACTACATGCTGCGGTTCGTGCCGCCGATGTGCATTGCCATCGGCTGGTGCTTCACCAAAACGCCCAAAGACGGTGCGAACACTACACTGTGAGTTCGAGATTATCCAAATGATATGCGTTACAGGTACCTATGCTCCGCGCCGCTAGAGGAGCTCACCCCTGGAGGGTACTACTACGAGTGCAAACTCGGGTACGTGAGCAAGCACGCGCAAGATGTGCCCAAGCAAGAGGCCTTGTATGCACTTGCGGAGAGAATGATTAGGAATTAAAACTCAGTGTTTGCGATACAATCTATAAGATCAGTGGCCGCTTGCTGCAGGCATTTGTACACGTCTGTCGTGACGCCGGGGCAGCACATCAGGTTCAGCGGCTGGAATCGTGACGAGCCGTCGGCTCCACGTAAACAGTACACGCTGACCGATGCCCCCAGACGCTCCTCCTCGCTGGTGGGGTCTACGAAGTAGGTCTCGTCGGAGAACCGAAGGAAGGTGACCGTGAAGGGCAAGGCCAGCAGTTGCAGCGGCCTGGAAAGGTGCATGGAGCTCCCTCCCAGAGCCAAAAGTTGCCCTACCATGTTGTCATCCGACAACTCCACGGACAACTGCTTCTCAATGGCACGGCGGTTGCTCCTAAGCAGCTTCAGAGCCTGCGCAGACCATGATAACACAATAGAAATCAAACACACCTTAGCATCTCCACTGCTAGCTTGTTCCAATATCCCCTGATCTAGCGCAAGCAGCCTGTATGGATTCACCGGATCGTTGAGGTCCAGCAACACAATAGGCAGCGTCGCCTTCCGCAGCGCGAAGGACGCCGCCAACACAGAGGTGTCCAGAAGGTTGCCATCGTATTCCTCGCACAGAATATCAATCTCGAGTTTCCAGCCAAATCTTCTCCGCACCAGGTACTCGCATACAGCGTTAGGAGAGGCGGTTCCTGGTTCCTCACGCAGCAACTCGGCGAAGCGCAGCTGCGTGGTCGGAATCACCTCGTCACAATTTAGGACTGTTTCCAGGAGCGTGGCAACGCAGAAGTGGAAGTTCGCGCTGTTGCCATTGGCATCGTATATGTACGACTGCACCTGCTTCGGCAACTCAACGCTCACGGATACTGAGTTGTCGCTCCCTGGCGACAGCGGGATGGTCACGTCGCTGTACCCTGGTACCGCTTTAACGGTGCAATGAACGTGAGTTTCGCCTGCTGTCAGCCTAACTGACGCAATTATAGTGCCATTGTCGCCCAAAGACCTCCCAGAGCCGGTCGCGCCCTCAAGAAGGTCGGACACACCCACCGTGCGGAACGCCCGGAGCTTCCGGCCGTCCGGGCGGACCTGCCGGCGTATGTACTCGCCATAGAACCCTACTGGATCTATCTGGCGGTACACATCGCTGGAATACGCCTTGGCGTTCGACGGAAGCTCGCGATCGCTAGACATGACAAATGGCGGCTTGCCGCGGTGGATAGGCACCCACAAACCTGATACCGCCGTGATATACCCACGTGGCAGCACAGCAGCTGTGTTGCGCAGAAATTTCTTAAAGAATCAAGGGAAATGAGGTAACTTAGGTGTAAACACTGGTACGGGATACCGCGCCGCTTGGCGTGTCTGGCTCTGTGTAGCCAATACGCCGACAATGAGCGCGCCCAGCCATGCTCCAAGACATACACATGATACCGTCCTCCGCTGCCAGCATATCTCGCCGCGAGCGGCTTTTGCCGCCGAGTGTAGATGCTTCAGCGGTGGGACGGTGCCCCGCCCTTGAATCTAAATCGACACAATACCAAACTTTTGCCAGAAATACCATAGCGCGGCACATTAAACGCACATGTGTATCCGTGGACAGCGCCGCAAGATTCTAAAGGGCACAAGCGACCTGGGCATTAAGCCGGGTCGCTAGTGATGTCGCCCTAAAACCCAACTAACACAACCAAGCGCGATGAGTAACTCCTCACTGGCCAAAATCCGGCGAATCTAACACCAGATTCAGAAAATTCCAAGCATCAATGAAGTGCACCTTGAGCCGCCGGATTCCAACGATCTTACCGCTGTGTATTTATTGGATCTCGGTCAACGTCGAGCCTAGCGAAAGATGCTCGCAGAAAGAATCTCAAGACAACAATCGCTTCAATCGCTAGAATCGCTCCAACACAACGAAAAAATTTTGCGACCTCGAAGCAGCAAGCAAATTCGACGGTGATGCTTGCAACCGCATCGGCACTGCAGCGTTTGCGTTAAAAAGTTTAGAAAGACGTGGAATTTTACCGTGAAGTACATTCAAAAGGCGTAATTCGGCACTGGCGAATTTGGACGCCTATTCTTGCCTGAAAAGTTGACACCTGGACGTGGGACGCCACGTCGACACCGGTCGGTAAATGATGGGCACGGACAAGGGGACGGGAAGGCGCGAGCCTAGCGCAAACAGCAATGCAGATCAAAATGCAGCCAATGCATTATTGCAAAATGTAGCGACACACGAAAGCAGGCGACAGGAGAAGGGCAGATCTGGCACAGGGTCATACGACCACAGACAGCACTTGGAGGGGGATGTATACAGCAACGGCACGGAACTTTACATGGAATCTCTTGGGAATGACCAATTTTTGACCATTCAGGACATATACGGCCAGGATCACGTTGCCACTCCGAAGGGCCACACCAACCTGTCACAAATCGGCAGTGAGAGTGGCTCCTTCCTTCTGAACCAAGGAGGGGACCACAAGGAGCAGGTCTTGCACTACGCCGCGGACAAATATGGGCCGATGGTTGCATACAGCAAGCCGCAGAAGGCTGCTCACTTCGGATACACCGTTGGAGGCGACTTCTACCTGCCGCCACCGGCGCAGACGGCGCCTTCTCAGCCAGAAATATCCTTCACCTCGTGGAACCCGAGGGATTTCTCCATGTACCAGCACAACACGTTCTTAGGAAACGACAGCGGCAACTCAACCATAGACGGAGATTCGGTGGAGGACGCTGAGGAGCTCGTCGGACCCGACGGCACCATGCCGCCGGCCAACAAAAGAGACCCGATTTACACTGCGATATCAGGCCTCAAGTGGAAGGCAAAGAGCAAGAAATGGGTTGTCAGGTGGGACAACCCGATCACGAACAGGCGCGTGTACAAATATTTCAGCGGGATCAGGTACGGGTTCATGGAGGCCCACAAGCGTGCCAAGTACTACCTCGAGTTCCTCAACGCGTCAGTAGGCAGGCTAGAAGCGCCTAGCGTTGGCAACCCGTTCTGTAGACGCATAGATGGTCCTCCGAAGGGAAAGGCGAACAAGGGGCTCATAAGGAAACTCATGACCCGGAACCGCGCTGAAATCATGTTCAAAAATAATCATGTGATGTATGGGTACAACGGCCACCCGCCCTACAGCAACACAATGAAATTTGACGTGCCGCACGACTCGAACGCCCAAGAACAGCCCATGTACCGGTTAGGCTCAAGCATGAACGACCCGTACTGCATTGCGGAAGCAACCACTTCCGGATACTGAATCCAGGCAGCGCAGACGTCTGCACCATCGGATGACACAGAGCCACGCCAATCTGCTGCGCAGGTAACCACGGAACGACGCTACACCCAATAGCCAAGGCGTGAGCAAGACGATGCAGACTAACGATGCACTCGGTATCCAGGCTTCAACATCGGATACGAACCACATCGCCAACCGTGTACATTCTATTTATTATCGCCTCCATACACGCTAGAATTTGCGTAAGAGCAACACAGAGGATCCATAACGGCTCAGGAGGGCCGCATTTTTGTCAAAGATTTTGAGAAAACCCTGCTGCCTCGGCAACTCACGACACAGGGCACGGGGCGACCGCCATCACGCGAGACGCTCCCACAGGGCAACGCTGCAGCAGTGCAATTCGGCAAAAACAAACGATACAATTTTTAACCGCATACATGTTATCCGATGTCTAAATTAAGCCAGTACAGTCCCGAAAACAGTCTAGTCTTCAGACTCCGGGGACTTGTATGGAAGGTCGATGTAGAGCCTCTGTTCGCATATTAGTCGGGTCGATGAATCGTAATCGTCGGTATACACGCATTCCACCTACCCCCTTGTTCACGTGCCTCCAGAAGGCGTCGCAGGCGGTGCCGAGAGCGTAGCAGCTCAAACAACCGCCGGCGATGCTGAACATCCAGTAACCCTTGCTGTGCTTCAACACGTGGTTATATATCCTGTGCGATGCTGTGAACACGAACTAAAACTGGTGATTTGCCTACCTGGTGGCGTTTAAAGCGGAAATAAGCGGGCCGAACATGTCCTTGCCTCGGCGGCTCCGCTTGAGGCTCTCCCAGACCCCCTTGGGGTACTGGTCCGAGTAAGGGCTGCCGAACACCATTTTCGACCTGCCTAGTTAGACCTGAATCGCCCGGTAGCAGCAGCGCGCAGCCACGCGACCGCGCCGTCCCCAGATGTATACGGCGCTAGGCTCGTGACACCTCTACTAGAACAGTATATTATGGCACAAAATTTTGCTAAACTCATGCGGAATTCTACACGCTATGTAAACTTTCTGGGTGTGCTTAGAATAGTTAGCTGAGCAGTCGCTGATGACCACGGCGTTACCGAGAAGTAGGCGCTAGAGAAGCTTACCGACTTATATCGGGGCGATATGTTGCTTCCTCTGGCCGGAATGCTTGTCAATACACGCCAAAAACAATGCTCTCGGGATATGCATCATTCGTAGTTGTAACTGGGAACGCGGAAATACACGGCCAATTTTATCCTTGTTTTCCACTGCTATGGCCGCGAAGTATTAATCTAACACATGTGAGAATTCCAAAAGTCTCGATGTGTGAAGGAATTCGAATCCAAATGCCCTGGCGTAGCTGCGTGTTTAACGCAGGCGTCGCACATTAGCGTAACCAGCACCCGCTAGACAGTAGGATTGGTGAGCCACTTTATTTCTAAAATGTACACTCTACTCTGATGTACATTAAATGGTACAACATAAAGCAGCATGAGATATAGAGGTTGCTAGCACCGTCCTCACGGCCGGTACCGCGGCGCGAAAATGCCAAAATGGGCGTCATTGCTGCTATCTAACTGGAGTACAGTACTACAGGGGATTTGGTGTCTGATATGGCTTTGTCTTCTCGTCTCGAGATGGAAAGGAGGACATGGAAGGCAGCTCAGATTACTGCTGGCCTGTACCCTGCTCTTTTATCGCAACCAAGCACTTGATAAACGACCTTCACAGCACAATGGAGTGTGCTATGTCGTATCAGGGGCTTCTATCGCAACACGAGGGGCAATCATGTCTCCATTTCCACACCATGTTGTTTCCGGGATGGGCGATGGCACTTGGTATACCGCCGCCTTCATCCACAGGTATAACAGTGGATGCGCACGTCACGGGACCATATTGCGTAGATACAGGACTATGTCACGCGATGATGATGCGGCAAAAGAAGACGAAGCAACGGAGCAGCCATCCATGCCCAGAAATGTTGAAACTGAAAATGGCACTACCACTGGTATGCACAAGCAATCCATGATGGGTAATCGGATTGTGAGGAGATCAAGGTCTAGAAGAATCCTTGGCAAACCAAAGACGGTTGCAGACGTCATCAGGCGACGCATGATTCCACAACCTCCGTCACTTAGGGAAACTGATCGTTTGATAGCAAGGAAGCCATGGAAACGAATGGGCATACCGTCCATCATTAAACAGGAGAGGCAAAAGATAGAGGAGACTGATGCATTCCTGGACGAGTATTTCCATTCATATCTCATCAAAAAAGGAACCGATGCGGGACTGCGCTGCGGCGTGAAGACTGTGGACGCAAAGCTCTTCCAAAATAGTCAGAACAGCTCACAGAAAGGGTCTAGCAGTGGCGACGTAAATCGGACGCCTACATATAAATACGATGCTGACGAATTGTTGCAAATATGGAACACGAAGGGGGGGCACTTCTACACCAGCATGCCCAAAACGGTTGCCATGCTGCAGATTGTGAGACGCATTGCGGTAGATTCAAAAGCCGATGTGGAAATGATCAAGCGTATCCGGGACCATGTCTGTTTCAAGCGGATAGTAGGTAGCGTTGTTCGGCACATGAAGTACCTTACACGAATTGAGCTGCCGAGCCACCTCAAAAACTACCCCAAACTCATGAAAATGGTGCCCAAATTCAACAATGAACAAATGGTCACGATTTTCACCGTGCTGGCGTATTTCCGCTTCAGCAACGAAAAGGTTCTCGACGCCATGCTGCAGTACTCGAAACCCTACAAAGAATTCACGCCGGAAGAAATGAGATCTGTGATTATATCGTGCATCAAAATGGGTGCCGATGCTTCGCAGATAGTGGGTGATTACGTCGATAAACTGAAGGCAGAAATCATGCAACCGGTACAACCGAAGGGAAGCCCGCAGCAGGAGATGGATCTATACCTAGATGTGCTGCGTATATGCAGCCAGACGGATCACATGGATAACGAACTGTTCAAGCATATAGCGCAATTTGTAATGCAACAAGAGCAGATGCCCGTGGAGACGGCAATAGGAGCTGCATGCCTGTTCGCAGAGGTACACCATATCGATGAGGAGCTGTACCAGCACCTGTACTCGATGATGACGAACAATATTGATGCCATAAGAGGTAAAAATGTAGTTACGAAACTGGTACGTCGAACTCAAGCGCTGTCGAAATATCATTCAGGTCACGGGGCTGGCCATGTGTCACTCCAAGCCCCCTAAAAAACTGGTTGATCACTTGGCCAATTCGGTTCTCAAGGACATCAAAACATACAGCTTGGTTGAGCTGACTGCGACGCTTAGGTAAGCGTGAGTGCGATTCTTGTTAATGGATGCAGGAACCTTGCGCTGATGGATAGCTACAATGATGCCCTCTGCGACAAAGTCTTCAACCTAGAACTCTTCACGAACCCACCCTCGGTCAAGGTTCTGCAACAAATCAACCTTAAACTGAACCAGAAGAAGACTGTCTATGCGGTAGGTTGTGTGTGAAAATGGTCATACTTTCTTAGGCATACCTGCATCCAACGGCAACGAGCACGCTAAATGTGGTGTTCGGGAATGCCTACCAGGCGTACCTCGGGTACCAATTACTGGGTAAAACTCAGAATAAATTCGAGCTGCCGAAAGAAGCGGTGGGCAAGCTGAAGGTGAGTCTGGCAATGGCCAACACATGCATAAAACAGGACATCTACACGGCGAGCGCCAAAAACTGGACTTTTGGTTCATCGTCGTTCCACATACAAGTGCTAGACCTGCTCAAAGAGGTACGCAGGAAGAGCTAGTTGCTAATTGTAATACAGGCATTTGGAATTGAGTCTGAAATTGAGCACATAACCAGTGACGGGCTTCTTGTGGACATAGCCATACTGCCATCCAGTCTGGCGAAGTTTACGGAACAAATTGGCGCTAAGGACTTTCTGAAGGACAAGAAATGCGCCATTGAGGTGCATGGACCTTTCCACTACCTGCAGAAGTCCACGGATCTATTCCCACCGCCACTGAACAACACAACGGTATTCAAGGAAAGGTACGGTTATAATACCCGATAGCCGCGTGTATCAATGTGAAAGTGACGCTGCGATATATTTATACAGGCTGTTGAGAGCGCAAGGCTGGGATGTCGCACACCTTCACTACTGGTCACTCGTCCCATGGTAATAATGCGGCTGTATTGAACGTAACTACGTTGCAGGATGAAGAGGGATCACAAAATCCGCGTTGTCGCTAGACTCCTTCCGCAATGGGTGAAGAATATTTGCAATATCGCTGATGTAAATGCAAAGCCGAGTCAAATAGCACCCTCTTGATACTTTCCGGAGGAGTCACCCTCGTACTCTATAACGGTATTAGCCTATCAAATAGCCAACTAACCTTCCACACGACACTGGCATACGTGGTTGTCGGTGATTTCCTGAACGATTTTGTTTTCAAAAGGTGTAACGTACCGATTCGTCGGGGAACGTAAGTATGTCGATGTACTCCATCACTATGCTAGGCTTCTTCCATGGCAAAACCAGGGGTTCTGGGTCGCTTTTGGTGGCGCCCATAGAACCGATCGCATTCATGAGAATGTTCTGGATTTTATCCCTAGATTTCTTGCCGGCGTCGCACCTAGGGGAAAACAACAACAAACAAAATACAAAATGAAAACATCTTATAGAAGGTACTCTCATCCTCGATATGATACTTTAAAGTAGTCATACTTAGGTGTGTACATAAGATGTGCCCACAAATCAATGCTACGCGAGTGTAGGATTCCACGTGGTGTGTAGAGGTCAATGTGCGGTGACGCTGCTACACTTATAAGCAACCGAAACGCATAGAACAGTTAGACGTGCGCTTTTTACAACTCAATGATGTTTATTTCGAAATGCTAAACCAGTTGTAAGGGCTTCTAGCCGTTGAATCGCAAAAATGAAGTGGAAGGTTACCCGGGTTCTGCGTCCCAAAGGGCACGGCGGAGTGGCTTCTAACCGAAACCGGCGGCCAACACAAACCCTAAAGCATATGCCATTTGCAGATGACTTCATGTGTGCCAGGTTACCGACTGGAAAATTCGGGGTGGAGCTGGTCAAGGGTGCATTCCTAGGATTCCGTAGACACGCCGTGAATAGGTTCCTGAAAGCCTTGGCGTTGCATGGCAACGAAGTGCATGAAAGGTCACGATTGGTACAAAGGGATGACAAATATGCTCATAACACGGATTCAATCCTGCAAATATACCTTGAAAGGATGCCTCTCGACCAGTTGTTGGTGCTCTACCAGGTATGGCGCCTTCCCATCCATCACACTCAGCTGCAGGTAAACCATAAATGCGCAACTGTAAACAGTGAGTTCAAGTATTCATTCATAGAAGCCGTGTCGCAAAAACTGGTAAATTATATGCGTGATGTCACGTCTCATGAAACCATTGGCCACTATCTCAAAAACCCGACGCACAGCGCCCGGACACGATGCAAGAGACACAGCGCGGAATTTTGCGAGTTTTTGATTCAGACTAGGCAAAACCTGCTCAGATCAAGGAAAGAAGTTTTTGAAGGCCCAAGCGACGGCAACTCTAATGCTGAAGGCTTTGTGACATTTAAGAGGATGCAGAATAACCCACCCAATCAACTGGATGCTGCTAACGGTGATAAGGATGAAACCAAGTGTGAGGTAACGAGCTCTCCATCATCACTCGGTGAATACAACCCGGTGCAAAATCGTAAATGTAATGACAGGTTGCGTACTGTGTCTACAGGTGGCGAAACCAGTGTAGGCGAAGTGGAGTCACCAGTTAATACAGACTATTGCACACCAGGAGAGCATCAGTTACCAAACAAAATGGCTGGGGAAGCAGTTTGTGCTGACAATGGTCTTACTGTATCGCATCAAACTAGGACAGAGGACTGCTTTCTGTCCACGCATGTCATGGGAACTGTACTGGGGCATATGTTCGCAGTAAAATTCTGGCACAGGGGATTCCCATTCCACACGTGGATGAATCAGTATTTTGTTCATAACGCGCACATCTACCACCCTCTCTTCGCACGGCTCTACATGACGCATATTGTCGCATCAATCGAGAGGAACACCAATCCCGTGGATCTGGATGTAATGTGCGATGTTGTCAAGCATGATATTACCATGTACGGTAAGCATAACGTTTCTATGGAAGAAATGTTTGCAATACGCACGAATGGATGCCTGCACGAGGTCAAATTCGGAATGCCGGAAATGATAGAAATGTTTTCCTCTGTTAAAAGGTTGGCACAGAATGCCAAAGTCAGGGACGTGCACACGCTGGTAGTCAAGGCGTTGTCAGACCTTATCGCAAAATCGCACGTGGACGCCAAGGTTATTAACACAATCGCCAATATATGTAATCGCAATGATGGTGTGGGAGGTGTAGAGCCGCTCCTGTACGTTCTGGAGTCCAAGTTGATGAATAACCTTGATAATGTCACTTGCATGGATGTATGCAGCCTGCTGCAGGCTCTGCATAAACATGACCTGCACAGCCAAGACGTGGTGGATGCGATGGCTGATAAACTGGATATAGACAACGTCGATGAACTCAGCATGTCAACCATTGCACTCTCAATCCAGACTCTCGGCCGTATGCAGGCGCATTTTAAAAACAACAATTTCCTGAATAGAATAGCGAATATGTTGGTGAACAACCCACAAAAGTTTTACGAAGCATCCGAGTCAAACTGCTCGGGCATACTTTGGGGATTATACAAACTTCATTTCAAGCATTCTAAGTTTCTGGAAATGGCTGTACAGAGGTACTCTGCAAAGGAACTTGGCACGCCGAACGTTAACTCCTTGGTCATTTCTTTGACTGCGCTAACACGGTTGGACAGCTTCACCCACCCCTCTGTGCTGGTAGAGATATACAAGCTGATTCTCAGGAACATATCAAGCATGACCATTTCTACATCGCAGCAGCTGGTTACCTGTGTCACTCGGATGTTGGAGAACATCACGCTCTGTTGCTCGGACCAAACGAGTTACAAAACAATGAGGAGCATCAGCAACAAGCTCATCAATGCGGCTATGAAACACGTTTGTGAACGCCTGGTTGATCAAATTAACACCGCCCAGGCGGGTGCAATGCTTAATGCGCTATACCGCTCAAAACTACGCGCACCGGACCTCATTGCGCCACTCATCGCGTCAATTGCCGGGGCATACAAAAAGGGCCAAGACTGGCAATCAAGCTTGCATACACCAAGGAAAAGTATCTATTCCTACGACTCAATGCCAGACTGTCCATTTGATGTTGAGGCATGCAACAGGAGATTGGAAAAGGTGGAAATCACGCATCTTGTAGGCATATGTGAGGCGATATACGGTCTCGATTATTGGACTCCGTATTCGCTTAATTTAATGATGCAACTCCAAAAACACATCCAGCCGCAACTGCACGACATGAAGGCTACGCACATTCTTGCGGCGAGCTTGTCGTTCTCCAGTTGGCCATTTACGGATATCCAAATGGAACCAACGAAACCCACCAGTGCAGCGCCTAAGAGAAGCCGCACAACGAATATGATGCAGAGTGTTCGAGCTGTTGTAGAGCACGACTTGGATAAGATAAAGGAACGGTCGGAAACCTGGCTTGAAGCGAGCACGTTACGACAGCCACCGTCTGAAGATGTTTTGAGCCATTTCAGAAAAATGCTGATGAGGAGCCAGTTAAAGGAAGACTTTCTATTGCGGTGCATAGAGAGCCTGCACAGACACGGAAATTTCTTATGCGCAGCGTCTATGCCGCTAAGGCGATTGAAGATCATGTATGATATGTTGAGATACAACATTTATCTCGATCATTACGACACTGTCGCTGTGGAATTGCCGATGGCAACGAATGACTTTGCTTCTTCCAAGTGTCCATTTCTAATCCTAGAACACAATGCACCCGTCAAACCCGCCCACCTGCCTATTGTCATGCCTCAAAATTTGATTGAGTTCCTCGAGCATCTGTACGGTATATCCAGAACTCAGTCCTTTCACAACTTCATATTCGAGGAGGGTAGTGAGCAAAGTGGTAGTCCTAGTGGTGTTGAGGAGGACGACGAAATTCACACGGAAGTCCTTGATGGTGTTGAAACCATGTGCAACGGGAAAGAGGTGCCAAGAATTCGACCTCTATACTCGTCAACAATAGACGAGGGGGGGTTGGATCTGGAGTCATCATCTTACCACAACCACCAAGGATCGGGGGCAATCTTTCACTTTGGGGACAATTACATGTACGTCGACCCGGTGATAGGCGGTTTCCGCACAACCATTCTTCTGTTGAACACCAAGCGACATTATGTACCGCACTTGGTTCACGATATATACAAGGTTTAGGCACTGGTAATCCTTGTAATCTATTTTTAATAATATCTTGAGTGTGCCAATGCGTGAGCAAATCAGCTGCTGTGTTGTTGCGTCTGCTATTATGGTATCCCCATAAATTATTCATCGGCCTGCCACAGTTCGTATCTTTGTTTTGCCTTATTGGGTGTGCTATGTGGCTACGTGTGGCTTGGGCCGGTTTTGCGTTTAGCGGGTTATCGCTTCATGCTGCTAGTGTAGGCTGCGGGCTCCGGGTCCTGTTGCTGCACGCTACTGGATGTCGCACATTTGACGTTGGGATTGTCGTCTAGAGCCTATTCACAGGGCATATCAAGCAAAAGATTCATAATGCCCGCAAATCCACAACACACGTGAATGAACAATGACATAATGCTTGCCCTTTTGGGGCGCAGTAATACTAGAGGGTCTCAAAGGACTAACTACGACAAAAGATTATGTTGTTGAATGACAGTAGGTATAGGGGTCAACACGCCTTGCACTCAGCAGAAGGACGCATTCCTAAACTGCTATGCTACCAATCAACGCCAATGCGGCATGAATGTAATTAAAGAAACGCTGAGGACCGTCTTTGGCTTCTTTTGACTCACACAATGCAGTGGATAAAGAGTGTAAATATAACGCTAGCGATAAGAACGTTTCATAATGTATGAATGTTTCGTGAGAGTTCGAAAGATGTTAGCTCGCTGGGGAACTGGAATTAGCATTAGTTGATTCGAACTCTTAGTACAGTTCACCCACCATACTGCTCAATAGAAAGCCCAGAACCCAGCGAGGTCGTATAGCGTCACCAACATTTGGAATTTCACATTATCCACCGCCTTCAATACATAAGAACCACTAATTTTAGCGCAGCATTCCGACCTCTCGTAACCCACAGCTTTCAATACACTTGCTAGACTAGAACATGCCGCAAACGTCACCCCTCTCAAGATTTCGTCATGACTTGCCTTGCGCAAACAACGTAAACCCGTGTACAGCATAGGTGCGATCCCCACCAGGACCACTGCACAAGCCTCCGGGTTTTTCGAGCATGACGCTTCCCACGTCGCTTCTGGACTGTAAGAAGACTTGTACTCATCAGGACTTTTTATTTTTTCTAAGAACTTCTCACAACCATTCAAGACTTTACCTAATTTCTTTGCGATAGTCTCAGCAGTGAGATTCTTGGTCTGCACGACATTCGCATAGTCGCTTTCGAGTCTACCTCCAAAGCAACTAGCGAAAAAGCCAGGATGCTCCTTACTCAGAGGTTTATTGAATCTCCTCAACAGCTCGTTGGCGGGCCATATATAATTAAGTGCCGGGCTATTTATGAACTCTTTAGAAATACGTTTAACTTCCTCGAGAGCCGGCAACTCCTTCTTGCCAATGGGCTTGTCTGCGAGGAATTTGTAAAGCGCCTCGCCCAGAGCCTTCAAGTTCTTTTCAGCATCAGTTCCTCTCAGGGCGATCAACCAATCAATACCCTCCTTGAGGTTGTGAGGAGCCTCAGTCAACGAAGTGTACGCCATTTCGTACGGATTCGCTAGATTAGGCAATTGCTGTAAGCTTCTAGGTTTTTCGTGTATTTTCAGACCAGTTTACAGAACAACCTGCGCATTTAAACGCCAGCGTCTTAAAAGCGAATCAGCACTACAGTGTTGTTACCTTCCTATAGATAGCCACCTAATCGCAATTTAACAAAACATCCACACACAATAGTCAAATGATTAAGTTGCGGCGCTGGCATAACAGCGGACCGTATCCAGATCTACACAAGTATAGTGACATGCAGCACGCATGTCATTGTCGTATGTAAGATTCGGACAAAAATGGCGTACACCTGGTTTTGCGCTGTTAATACATTTGCATCTACGCGTCAAAGCCTGTGATTTTATGGCACGTCAGGAGCAGTAGATTACAGAACCAAGCTGTCCCGTGTTTAACACATCGGACCATGTTCCAGATTCTCACTACCTAGCATCCCACCTAACAAGTCAGATGCCACGCAATCACCTCCACAACTATTAGCTTCGTGACCAATAAGGTGCTTTCCAGCAGTTGTGGTGGCTGGCCACCCACCTAGCTCCACAGTCCACCATCACCATGAGGTGACGCCATTGACTCTTACGATGCAACCTTCACGAAATCGGCAAAACATTAAGCAAGCAATGAACCTATTGACTACATTAAGTTGGCAGTCTTATTATAGTAGTATTTTACATGGGCTTTGTTAAGCCGCCCTACGTCCCCGGAAGGCGAGGTGTTTCTCAATCCCCATCTTCTCGAGAGTCCCTCAGCATTTTCGCCGTCACCCGTGTTTTGCCATAGCCTGCATTGTAAGTGAATGCACAATGCGTCCTATGAGTCGCTTCCCGCGCTTTGTCAGGATGCATTCCGGCGAACTAGGACTAGTAACACTACATATATGGGAACGAGCATAGGCCCGTAGCAGCAATATACATGCCACGCACAATGTACAGCAGATTTCGCACTTGAGGACGCCATTACCGGCTTTGTCGCGGTTTTCGCTGTCCTTGCCGAAGCGGCTCTGGTAGTTGCCAACTTTGCATTGGTTCCTCTTCGCTTTCACCGATGAGGTATCCGTCGCAATGCTGTTTCGCATTTTGCACAAAACAACTCCAGCAGTCACGAAGTGCACAACTACATTTACAACTACAATTAAAGATGTACGTCGCATCACTTTTGCATTTAGTGGCAACAGAGACAACCGGCCTCACAGCACGTGTCGCCTAACATACAAAATATATCTGTGCACAATACACAGAGTCTTCGCCTTCTCTCGAAACGCTTGAGTGATCCGAACAAGGTCGGCCAGGCTTCCAAGACGAAGATGAGTGGCGAAACCCGGTCGCCATGTCACGTCAACTGAAATCGACGTGACCAACAATCCTGTCACAATGGAGAACCGAAATCCGTAAATCCACCGGCGCAGTAGAAGCTCTGTTTCCAGACCTCTCAGCGCCTGCGACAGGCGGGCAGGTGATAATGCGCTCCAGCACGGGCATGGTGAACGCAAAGTCACGCCCTTGCACTGCGCATTGAAGACATACTTGTTATACGCGGCAAGGGCATCTGCTGTTTTCCAACTTCATTTAAAAGGTATAAAGGAGCGAATGCTCTTCTAGTCAACTAAAACTACAGTCCTCTGAGCCGTGATTGCTGTCGACAGAGGCCTCGCTTACACGCGCCTCCAGCACTGGAAGCATCAAAAGCACGTGACATAAAATCAGTCGTAGTCTAGCCGCCCGTGCGCTTAGCATTGTCGTGCAGCGATGGTGTGCCAAGGTTGCTGGTGCTCTAAACGCGGGTAGCTTGGAAGATTCACTTACGAAAACCTGGTCCCTCCTTCAACATTGCTGTCATCGATTCTAGTGTAACAAGCTCATCTCCCCCGTCCCTGCTTCTGTCCCCTGTCTCTAAGTCTGCCACATCGCGTGGTGGATCGGGTGGCAACGAGTCTATTGCCTTTTCTCCTTTCGTTTTCTCACTAAAGACCCTTTCTTCCCTCTTCTTCCTTTCCTCCACATTTTTTTCCTCAATTTTTACCTTATCCTTCTCGTATGTGCCAAACAGCGCGCCATAGCAGGCGATGTTGAGCAGTGAGCCTATCACGATGATGTACATGGTCGACCTCCTCAGGGCCTCGGTGTTTCTATCTTTGATGCCCTCATCCATGGCTTCGAGTGGTTGCTTGGATGGTACATAACCGTGCAGCTTCTCTGACACCCACGCGAAAATCTCGACGAAACTGACGCTAATCGAGATGCCGGATATGCACTGGATTATGGCGGAGGCCGTGGCCTGATACTTGTCTTCGATTGCTTTCTTCATAATTGGTCTATCCACGCCGCCGACGGTAACTAAGGTTGCACCGAGAATCGCAAATTCTATGTAGTGATACCACAGCAAACGTCCGTCCGGCGCCGGGGACATGAAGAACAAGAGACAGACGATTAGCCGTACGCCCATCACGACGATTCCGGCAATCAGCTCGCCATAGTCCTTATGAGTACTTGTAATCTTGTCAATAACTATTCCTCCAGCCGCAGTTCCTGCTGCGCCGCCGATCGTCGTGACCACGATGGCAACGCCCACCTTCAGGTCAGATACACCCAAGTACTCCAGGTACGTGATCATGTACGGAAGCGTACACATCGGAGCCTCCGCGATCAGCATCGTGAATATAGATAGAAACGCTGACCACGACGTAAAAACCGCTTGAAAGGCACCAGCTACTCGGCTCGCAAATTCCTGTATTGAGTCATAAGGAGAGGTGTGTTCCGGCTTAGTATGGATTGCAAATATAATTGCAATACCAATTGAGATCCATACGTATCCCAACACGATGTACGAGACACGCCAGCCAATATATCCCAGCAAGATGTTCTGAGCAGCCTCTGTAGTCAAGACGGCGCACAGCATACGGCCAATGGTATTCAGAGCATGAAGACGAGTGAACGTGCTGCTGCTGTTCGAATTATTATCATCATCTGAATCCGAGATTATTTTTTGTTGAACTGGGTATACACAGCCAAACGCGGCGCCGTGCAAGAAGCGCAGGAAGAGGATCTGCAGAAGCATGACCGATGCAACACTTCAAACCTACCGCCGAGTAGTGCGACGTCCAGCTGAGCAAAATCGAGGCGATGCCCATGAACAATAACCCGGCAGCCAACACCAGGTTGGTCTCAAAGGCGTCCGCCAGCAGTCCCCAAACCAGTGAGCAGCACAGGCGCGACATGATGGACACAGTCATCAACATCGTCAGCTGCCGCTTGGAGAAGCCCAAGGTCGACTCAAAGGCCCTCATGCACATGTACAACACCTGCTGCTCGTAACCCTCAGTGAAAGATACCAGGTGGTACAAGATCTGGCCAAAAGTGCCATAGTCTGCGATCTGTTTCTCTCCCTTAAATTTTGAGCTTTTCTCGGCAGGTTCCTTAGCAGATCCAGCAGGAGCTACCCCAGCTCCTTTTAAAACAGCGTCCCCCGACATTATGACGAAGCCGTCTCTGCTATTCCCATTAACGCACAGTGTGAGTCAACTAATTGAGGAGCATAGTATGCTCGACGTGAGCAACGCAAGAAATCCGTATATGCGAACTGTCTTGAATCACTGAATCAGACATTACATAGGCGGTCGTCAATCCATGATTTAGGTGCCGCCTAGCGTGCATACAATGGTATAACCATATAACGGCCTTGTATTTCGCTGTACCGGAACCACTCCCCCAAAGAAGGAAAGGCAGGGTGTCGCACCGACCGCAAGCTGCCTAAACCTGCGGAGTCCAAATGGCAAATCGGCAGCAGGAATTGCCAAATTCGACACCAAATCCAGGACCTTGCCGACGCAGACGGCGCTCCTGACGACCCCGAGTATGAATGTGTACCTCTACGTGTAGGTGTGTGCCACCCTGTGCAGTCGGAAGCAGTAGACACGAGGCTGGAGATCTACACATCAGCACCGGTACATAACAAACTATTTTTCCTTATGTAAAAATTTGTATGGCACTGAATAATTACAGTTTTTAACAAGTTAGTGCCAACCATGCAGAATCTGCCGTAGCAGCGCCCAGACGAGCCACTGACCTTCCCATCACTGAGGGTCTTGCGGTGACACAGATACTGGTAGGGAACCCTCATAGCGTGAAATGAGCCGGAAACAACTTGCTTATACAATAGATCCATGTCTGTCTAAAAGCCTAACATAATGGTCATCACGAACCATGTCTACAGTGGGCACGTGAGGGCTGAATGACGTCCATACCGTGTTGAGCATGCCCCCTTAGCATCTAGTAAATGTCTATTAAGCAACGGCTGCTTGACACTTTGCAGCGCTGCGTGGCTGCAACGGAATAGTTAGGCTGTTTCGTAAACAACTTTAAGAGGACCAAAGCCTTGAAATGGTCAATATATAACCATACGACACACATAACCGATGTTACATTGCCATTTATCGTGTCGTGCGGCGCACCCACTGCTGGGCCGGCTTATTATTAGTCTTTGCACTCACCAAATGCTCGCACAAGCGCATTACAGTGTTAAGTGTGATACGGCAACACCAAGTGACGTTAAGAGAGATTTTTGCTTCCAAGGCCCGCATATGTGGAAGAATACGGCGTCCACTCGGAGACAAATTGACCTATGGTGTAAGCCGATGACTTCGTCTTGTAGAGGTGAACAGCAAAACCTAGGAGAATCGCAAAGAGTACAAGGGCGATGACGAAACAGATTATTGGTGTGATTGACCTCCGGTGTTCCCTGCAACGTTCACATGGACAAACAATTTCCACATTTGCAGCCGCTGGGGGTGCGGTGTGTTCTTGGACATTGACAGTTCATCTTCCCCTTACTTAACAGCACGCCTGTAGAGAGATAAAGAGCGTGCCTTAAGCTTCTAACACTCAGAGAAGCGAAGGCATTGAATTCCCACACCTAGTCATTAACATGTCATCTACTCACCTAATAGAAGACTCACTGACATACTCGCCACTCAACGTACGCTTCAGGTCACTATCCAAGTTATGGAGACAACAAATTCAATTATCTGACGGTTTGTGGTTAGGTTGGGTGGGTGGGTGGGTCAGGTTACAGCCGGATGTAGGTGAACTTGCTGATTTTTCCAACGCGTTCCGCTGCGAGAAGGGACTGCACAGCGATCCTGTGGCTTGAAGGTGGTTTTAAGTGTAAGCGGATGCGAACTCTACATTTAGATGTGTTGACCCAGTTATTTTTACTCATGCGGACCTGAAACGCTGCTACGATTTAACCCATTAACGCGTTCACCGGGTACCTGCCTCTGCGCTATTATGAAACATTAAGTAAGACGTTATTACGCTGGCATCGTGTCGGTAATGTCTACAACTGTGCGATAACTGCGATTATGAAAAATGCCGGAAGTGATAAACGAATGCGATTCAAAACGTTCACTTGCGGACGAAACAGTCGCGAACCTTGTGGAACGGCCTAATACGAAAGAAGCTCATAACGCATACTACGACGAGGATTATTGCGATGGTGGAAGGGATGACGATGGTGGAAGTGATGTCGCCGGTGGAGGGATGGGCACGGGTGGCAAGGAGTGCACTTTTATCATGACCACATGGACAGTCACATGCGGGCCCCTTTTTACATACTTTTCTACAGTTCTCAGGGTCACATTCTAAAGATCCTGTGCGCCCATGGTATTGAGATATACACAGGGGGCAATCTCCCTCACCGCTACATGTCTCACAACATAAGAGGCAGCATATACATCTACCCTGCTGACAATTCGTTCCACATTTACACTGACTCTCCTCCGACATATTCCCCTCCCTTCCCTATCACCAACCTGCACAGCCATGAATCTCCCACCTTTAGCCCTGAACCGTCAAGCCGTCTCCCATGACCGCCAGGGATACCATAATATACATGCAGGCACGAGGACATGCTCTTCACTTCGAGTTATGGGCATAATACATACTGCATAAGTGTCCCTATGGTAGCGCTAATGAGTCTCTAGCTGAGCTACGGTGCGTGTCTGCTCAATCAGTGGTCGCTAAAATGTAACGTATAAAACTCCCTTAAACACGCCGTGCATTAATCATCACGTCGGTAAATGCCCCGCAACCATACATCAACTCATTGATAACCAACATGCCATTCACTCATCTAGCAGATCTCCCACTACCTTACTAGCCATTCCACAACACACATTAAGGATTGAACATGTCTGCTACGTCGTAAGACACATTTAGTTACGCGGTTTTAAAATCGTGGCTTGTTAAGGACACTAAATCTGGCGAAACACCAGCTTCGTAAGCTTGAGACACCACAGTGAGTAACATGCCGCACTTACACAACTAATCACAACTGATGACAAAGTAAAAAACCATTACATGAATACAATTACCGTGAGGCATTAAGTTGGTCGACAGTATCGTCGTCGAAGTAGTCGACGTCCTTGTAGAGTGAGAGCATCCTGCGGCTGCCGGCGAGCAGCGCCTTGACGTCGATGAGGTGGGAGGCCCTGGTGGTGAGGAGGTGCGAGCGGATGCGCAGCACGTCCATGCGGTAGAGGCGTATGACGAGGATGTAGAGCGTGGCGGTGAGCCAGAGCGTGACGGTGGTGTAGAGGAAGGGGGCACGGATGCGATAGAGGAACTCGGGGATGGTGTCGTGCGCCAGCTTGTGGAGAGGGTTCATCTGCTTGACGACGACTTGCAGTGCTGTGCAGAGATCCTGGCATGTCCGCTTGCCTTGGTGGCCGCTGGTGGAGCCGGCGAGGCTGTGGGCGTCCCTGAGCGCGAAGCCGTACCGGAAGAGCGTGGGCGTGGTGGAGTCGCAGTCCACGATGGAGGGGCATGAATCAAGGTGCTCGGAGCTCGGGGCCATCGGCCGTTGCTTGGCAGTGCAGTCGTTGGCGCAGCTGTTGTCGTGGCAGGTGGCTGAGGCGTCGGCGCAGTTGCGCTCGCAGTCCTGGAGCAGTTCCCTGAGGAAGTCGTAGAAAGTCTCGGTCAGGTACACTACCCAGGAGAGGTAGAGGTGGGCGTGTTCCTTGGCGAAGGTGGCGCGTACGTCGTGGCCGAGGGGCTTGAGGTAGGGACCGCAGGGGTGTGACGGAGAGGAGCCTGGACTGCCGTTGCACTTGACGAGTGAGGAGAGATCTCCGGTGAGGTGAGGCACATTCTGCTCGGAGCCATGGTCACTGGTGCGGAAGAGTGGAGCGATGTCCAGTGTCACGCCCCGCTGCCGGAAGCACGCGTCGCCGACGGCGTCCTCGAAGGCCGCCTTACGGTGCTCGCCGCCGCCGCTCCACTCAGATATGAAGTTGAAGAAGAAAGCGAACAGTTCGTCTGGCGTCCGTGGCGGGCGAGTGAGGAGGCATTCCAGGTAGCCGCAGAGCCTGGTGAGGGGCGACGATGCGCCGCCGCAGAAGGCGCCGAGGACGTCCATGATGTGTCGGCCTGTGGAGGCACGGGAGGCCAGCCTGGTAATATTGGAGAGGCCCATGGGCGTCTTGCACGGCATACCGGGGGACTTGGTGTCACAGCCAGAGCATTTGACACAGGTGCCGTCTGGCGACAGCTGATGCGGCAAGAACCCTTGTAGGCCGTCCTCGAGGAACGACTGGAGCGGCGACTTGACGCCGCACTTGGGATGTTGGTCGCAGTTTTGGTTACATATTTGGTTACATATTTGGTTGCCTGTTTGGCTGGCCTCATGAGGGCACTGCTGGTTGGCACACTGCATGGTGTTGCACCTCCACGCTGAGCCTCCGACTCCCCGGCCGTACCAGCAGTCGAGCCATCCGCCGTGCCGGGCGTTGTAGAGGCACCGGCGGTAGAGGAGATACAGCTGGTGGTGGAGGCGTTTGAGCACATCGTACAGCAGGCAGAGCAGCGCTTCCACGTCGCCGGGGTAGAGCAGGCCTCCGGGGTTGGTGTTGAAGTCTACGGCGTAGATGCCTCCGGCATGGCCGTAGCCGAGTAGGGTGGTGAGCACTGAATGCGACCGGTGGCACACCTCTGTGAGGGCGTCGGTGAGGGACGCTGGTGTTATGTCCTCCGGGTGGGCCTTTAACGCCAGGCTGCTGAGGTCAGTGAGGGACACTTCGGAGTCAGTAAAGTCCTGCTCATCCGCCTCGAACAGCGATGGCAATGTATCGGAGTTGAGGCCCAGGTACACGGCATTGTGCGGGAGCCCGCAGCACCATGTGAGCATCTCGTAGATGGAACACGGCGGCCGGGGTGAGGGACACACTCTGAGGTGGCACGTCTTATAGTACTCATGGAGGTGCGTGGAGAGGCATTTGAGGAGCTCTAAGAGATTACAGCCGTGTTGTACGGACAGGCATTCTTTGAGGTGTTCGTTGTCTTCGGTATTCCTAATGTTCTGGGTGACGAGGACAAACACGTCGCAGCCGTTGCAGTCGTCGCGCAGCTCGCCGTCCTGCAGGGTGGCGGAGGTGGAGACCTTGTAGCCGCAGCGCTGGAGGAATGTGCCGAGCTTACTGCTTGAATTGATGTTCATATTCCTCCACTTGCCGTTCTTCCCGCACCGCTCCGCCAGCCTGTTGAAGGCGTCGCACAGTGTGGGCATCAGGGTGAGGAAGACCTTGGCGCACATGGCGCCGTATGGTGTCAGGCTGCTGACATTTCTGACGGTGACGGAGTTTGTGCCTTGGGATCTTACGGGCTCAGTTAAAGTCTCATGCTTAACCAAGGCAGCGGTGAACTGTGCGCCCGAGTAGGCGGAGATGTAACAATTTCGGAACTCGGCGGCGAACTTTGTGAGCCCCTCCACCAGGCCGTCCAGTAGGGGACTTGAGGGCCTGGCAAAGCTCTCCGGCTTGAGGTGACTCAGCGCGTCGGTGAGGCTGCGGAGCAGCGCTTGGAGTCTGTGGTCATAGCCCTGTGTCTCGCAAAGATAATTGAGCAGGCTGTTAAGATCGCTGTGCACAGCGTCAAGCAGGGGAACGTAAGGGTCCTGAGATTTCGGCAGTAACGGATTTTTCTCGTCGTCACCATGCTTCTTCAGTCTCTCAATCTCCTTACGGAGATGCTCGTTGAGTGGCCCGAAAAAGTGCGCGAACGCGGAGGACAGTGCTTGAAGTTCCCTGCTTTTCACATCTTTGAGCCTATTAATGTTCACGCCTTTTCCGCCTTCAACCTGTTTCACAAACCCTTTATACCCTATCTGCAGATCCTCGGTTATCAACGGGGGTAAGGGAGTTAATTCTTCCTCCACCTTGGAAGCGAAGGCCTTCAGCGCCTCCTTGATGTTGGAGACATACTGCTGCTTGGCGAAGGCTGTTAAGTCGTCGATTGCGGTGTCCACTTGGCCGTCGACGAACGCTGTGAGGGACGCAATGCACTCCCTTCCGAACTTGTCGGCGTCCCTGTCAATGAACTCCCTGCAGGCCTGAATTGGGCCGCGCTCCAGACGGATCTGCAGGTTGTGCAATTGGTCTTTTATCCCAGTTAACTCATCATCAAGCATCTTCTCCTTCACCTCCTTCAAGGTGAACGCGGCGTCTCTGGCGGAGTTCTTAATCGCTGTGCACAGCTCCTTGAGTTTCTCCTTCACGTCTTTAACGTCCGTGGTTTTTATGGCCACGATGCCTGTGGTTATTTTAGTGAGGCCTTTGTTAAAGCCATTGTCATTCCATTTTTCAGAACCGTCATTAACGCCACTGTCTTTCAGCTTTTTGAGCTTTTCGGTGACCTGTTCATTCAACGTGTCTCTAAGGCTGTTAAGCGACAGGGTGATGTCTCGGACGCCACCGCCGATATTTTCAGGTTGTTGTCCTAGCGTTTGTTGTTGACCTTGAAGTTCACTATTAATTTTTGCTAGGCCTTTTTCCTTATTCCAAGAATTTTTGCCAAGCCCCTTGTTCTGCAAATCGTTCAATGTGGTAATGACATCACTGCCTGGCGTGGAGCCTTGCAGCTCACCTTGAAGCTTCCCAAGTTCATCTACAATTTGTTGCTTGGCATCTCCGATGGTTTTGGGATGCTGTTGAAATGACTTTTGTTGCAGCTGTTGAATTGTATTTTTAATGGCCTCAAGACCTATATTCTGTTTCATTCCGATCCTACCTTTCAACCGGCGCAGGTTGTCTAGGATGTCATCATCATTGAAGATATTTTGCACCTTGAATCCGAGATATAGAAGTTGCCACCTAATGTCACGTATAGCCTCCCCAATTGCTTTGTTTTGCTTGCCCAATTCAGTATTCTGACCTTGAAGGTCACCATGGATTTTCCCAAGACCACTGAGAGTTTGACCTTTGACATTCTTACCATTCCATGCACTCTGAGCAAGACCATGCTGTTTCAAATCTTCCAAGCTGTCGATGACACCATCATTTGGACCGCCTTTCTCTTTCTTCAACTTCTCTCTAAGCTTCTTCAGTTCCGCCTTAATTTCTTGGACGGCTTTTTCGATTGCAGTGGGTTGGTTTTTAAACTGATTGTTATGCAGATTTTGAATTGTCGTTTTGATTGCTTCCAAACCTTTTCCAGCTCCATTATCCCATAATTGTCGACCGTTGCCAAGCATATATGTAAGATGTTTCAATAAGGGTTTTACGCCTTTTTCCGGGTCTGCGTGTAGAAATGGCGGGACGCCATTCGGGTCATTTTTCTCAACCAATTTCTTGATTTCTTCAAGCTGATTCTTAATTTTGCCGAACGGAACGGTGAAGGTTTGTTGAGTAATTTCCGCTGCTTTACCACCGGTGACTGGCTCGATGATGCTAAGCTCTGCCAGACCTAGAGTCCTGATGTTCCCGATCGCCTGAGGAAGATGGCCTTCGTTTTTGCCTTGTTCGCCGGTTAGAGAGGATAGTTTACCTTTGTCTTGGGTCACGTGCAACTTATACTGCTCAAAGCTGTTACCAGCCAATTTGGATATTGTACCACCTTTACCACCTGTTCCATCATCCTCCCCAATGTGCTGATTAACTTTCTTTCCGAGTTCTGTTTCAAGCTCCTTCACAATCTTGTCGTGAGCTGTGTGAAAACTATTCATCTTATCCGACAAGTCAATTTGACTTGCATCACCACCCTTACTAATCTGCTCAGCCGCCTTCTCAATCGCCGTCTCGGCCGCCTTCTTAATCTGGTCTACAGCTGCAGAGTTGAACTGTGTGACGGCGCCGGGAAGTTTGTCTACCTCAGCTTTAAGACCATTTGTGACTTCATTTTTAAACTTGCTGGTAATATCATTACCATTTTTTCCATTCACGAATTCCCTCACCACCTGCAACTTACTGTCCACGGCTTGCGCTGTGCCAGCTTCGGGGGTGGGAGGTTGGCCGGGTTTTGTCGCCTTGTCAAGCTTAGTATAGAGGTCATTGGCAATAGGCGTAATATGGTCCAAGATCTTTGCGATGCTCCCGTCGCTGGGACTGCTGCTGTCATCGGGTATGTTGAGGAACACTGAATTCAGTTCGTTGCCGACCTGGCGGGCCACGGCGGTGAGTGCGCAGAGGATCAATTCAGCGGCGGCTTTCTTGGCACAGTTTGGCTTGTTGCAATTACCGCACTCGCAGATGCATTTTGAGGCGCCGCCGCTTTTATATAACCGTGACACGTTCTTAACCTTGGAGACTATTTCATTTCCCGGCTCCTTCAGCTTCCCATCCAGAGCGTCGGCGAACTTTTGACAGGCCTCTTTGACTTTCGTGATTTTTTCTTGGATGCCGGCGGGTTGTTGACCTTTGAACACGTCAACGCCTTTCTGAATTTTCTCCTTAAGCGGTGCCGTCTCCCTAATTTTCTCCGTCAGACTATGTTTCACATTAAACGCGGTCTTCTCAAATTCGCCTCTCTTCTCATTCCACCCAAGCGCCGTAAGTATCCTCTTCACCACTCCGTTGTGCGGCAACATATCATCCAGCCAGCCTTTCACAATTGTGTATCTAAAACTATTCCCGTTATTTCCCCCGCCAAAGGCTTCAAAATAACTCTCCACCTTGGAGCTAATACCATCAAGGCCTTTACCACCTGTATTTTTCCAATCTTTACCCCCTGGCGTCCCCTTAATCTTCTCAACTTCCCCTTTAATATGCTCGAAAATACTTTGAAGTTTTTGTGGATCACCGCTGATCCCATTAAACTTCTCGCCAAGCTCCCCAATCGCTGAGTCAACTGCTTTAACTTTAGTGTCAAGCTCATCTTGGATATGCGTCCTAAACTTCTCATCAAGTCCATCCGTCAGCTTTTTAATTGAACTATCACCGTTATGAGTAATTTGTTCAAGCGCCTCCTTGGCGGACTGAAGTTGTGTCAATTGACCATTTACAAGACTGTCGCCATTCGGTTTATCAACCTGCTGACCAAGCCCCAAAATATTCTTCCTCAACTTCTCCAAATCCCTTTTCACCAAATCATCCAATTTATTAACTTTGAACTCTACAATCTTATTCCAAATCGCATCCTTAAGATCATCCCTGACTTTTTTCAAATCCGTCTTCAGGGATTTGTCCATTCTTACAACAGCCTGCAACGCATCCTTGACATTCTTCTCAACAGCATCCTTGGCCGACTTCGCAGCATTATAAAGCTCTGTTCCCTTCTCTTTTAATATTTGAGCTTGCTTATAAATCACAGCTTCTTTAGCACTGTCTTCTGTTTTAACCCTCTTAAGTATCTCCTCACACTTTTCGTTGGCCTTCATAATTACTTTCTCTGCTACATTCTTCCAACTCTTCAAATTCCCAACTTCGGCTGCCAGAGTTTTATTTGCTTCTATAATTAACTTGTTATCATTTTCGATCTTCGTAATTTTCTTACCAACCTGTTGACTTCCATCTTTCAATGCATCGTGAACTTCCGTCGCCTTTTGAATCGCCCCTTCGAGCACACTCCTGGCCTGCTCCTTCCACTCTCCCAAACTTCCGTGGACACTTGTCAGATTCTTGTTAACATTTTCAAGTGCCTTATTAGCGTCTACAATTTTCTCAACATTCTTGCTCAATTCAGCGTGAACGTCCAACTTACTGTAAGCCTCTTCCGCTTTTTGCTGGGCCTTTTTACGGATGTCCTCCGCGGTGCCGATCCAAGAATTCAGACTGTCGACTTGTGATTTAAGTTGTGAATTTGCGCTAATAATGTTGTTTTTTGCGTCTTCAATTTCTCCGATTTTACCACCAAGCGTCGACTTACTTTTATCAGGATCCAACTTGCCATGCACTGTCTGAGCCTTTCCAACCGCTGTGCCAAGCACACCGCTTGCCGCATCTTTCCAGTTACCTAAATCTGCGTGAATACTTTTCAACTGATCGTCAACACTCTGAACTTTGTCTTTAGCTTGCTTAATGTTCTCTATATTTTGGCCAATCGTTGTCCCACCATGTTGGTCTTTTTTAGTATGATCCAACCTCCCATATACATCTTCCGCCTTCTGCCTGGCCGCCTTGACGGCGGCGTCCGCAGCCTCAATCCACTTATTCAGCTCCGCAACTTTCTTGCTAAGTGTGGCATCAATCTCCCCGGCGGCCTCATCAATCCTCGTTTTATGTTCTCCATAAATTTCCTCCAATATCTTGTCAACATACTTTTTTACTTGATCAATATATCTTTTGGCATCCACCATCCACTTCACCAGATCCTGAACGTATTTCGCCAGGCTCTCACGAATATCCTCCAACTTCCTTTTAATCTTCCTAACACGCTCCTTCAACAATTCGACAAGCGCGTGCACTTCTTGTTTAATTCTATCCTTGACTTCCTTTCCGAGCCTCCTTAGCCTTGTCTTGATTTTATGAATCATCTCGTCCAACTTCTTTTTCTGACCCTTGCGAGACCACTTGCTCAGCCAGCCCACGTGATTGAAAAAGCTTTTTCTGGCGTTCTCAAGTTTTGATCTCAGCTTCGGGTTCAGGTCACCTATGGCGCTTTCGGCCGACGTCAGCTTTTTCGAGAAGTTAGCAGCATATGTCTTACACTTCTCCACCAAGGACGCAGCTGCCTCCACAGCTTTCTCATCTTCGGTGGGCGTTGATGTCTCCGATACCTGCAAAGTATCAATACCATTACGCAACTCACCACCATCTTTCACAAATGCGATAACGTCGTCAATCGGCTTCCTGACCTTTTCGTTAGAAGCCTTGACTTTTTTGTTATACTCCCCGAGGCCTCCGGCCACTTTGGGGACGGCAGTCTTGAAGCCATGGTGACCACGCCACCTGGCTTTTCCAAGCTCACCAACCACACCACTCAACGCAGCTCTACCAGCGACGTACGGCTGGTTTTCATAGACATCACTCAACGCGCTATGCAAAAACTCTATGATGGCGTCGCACAAACGGGAGGCGGAGCCATACACAATCCCGGAACCATCGTAGATTCCGGGAGGCTTATAGCCTAAAAATGTCTCAAAGGAGGAACAGAGATTATGTAAAATGTTTTGATTATTATTCGCAGAGTCTTTCGAAAGAGAGCTCCGAAACCCTTGGAGCTTGGAGATAACATCTCCGGCGGACGGGTCATCTGATTCGGAGAGAGACGACAGATGCTTTTTAGCGTCCTGGACAACATTGTCAAACAACTCACCTAGAGCCTGGCATAGCGTCGAAATCCCACCACCCTGCTTCACCTGTATGAGCCAGTCGATCGCCTCGCGAAGGTTCTCGGGGCAATCCGTCAAGGCCTTCGGCGCCATGCCTCTAGCACCGAACCCTGACGCCGCAACAACCTCTTACATTGCACGCGGTAATATGTTGGGAGCACGCCGAGTGACAACGAGGTGAGTGACGTGGGACTGCGGATGGGACAGATGGCGGCGCATCGCCGCGGCGGAAGCAACGGCAGTGCAGTCCGGTGGCACGTGACACCTCTAAGCTAGCACTTCACCGTCCCTAATATGCATAGCTTTATCCTAGCCCAACAGTCAATATAGTGAGCTGTATGTATGTGATAAGCAATTAACGCCATCCCTGTCTGCCTCCCCACCGGCTTGCTAGCGTGGTCACGCGCTGACACGGCAGTTGGTTATCTTTATTGGTGGAGTAGGTGAAGTCCACTATAAGATGCCAGATAGTATCTATTGTAGTGTATTAAGGTTGTTGCCAATCTCTCAACTTGTGAATAGATGTGAAAATTAGGATGCGACACGTTCCTCATCCGAGGAGTACAAAAAATGTATCAAAGATTTGATGGAACGTAATTCCACGGGCTTATTTTTACTCACAAATGTTATAAACACAACAGTACGTTGTGAAATTGTAAATCTCAATAATCACATTCGAACCTAAAGGCACGCTACCACTGACATACACAAATCAACGTTGGCACAAACACAATCAATGAGATACGCAAATTAGTTTCTGCAGTTCACCACAAGTTACTTAATCTCACTCACTCATCACTTGGCGTAGTAGTTCTCTATCTTGATGGTTGAGAGAGTGACACTTTTTACGGTGATGCGTCGGCACTGCACCTGACGGGGTGTTTACCCTTAGAGCCGGAGAGCACAGCTCACCAGACGTACTCGTCACGGATTGATGGAAAAGGTTGATCGCCATCTTGTTATTTGGAATAGCACACATGACGAAGCATCTTTAGAATAAGACGATCACGGTTCTCTGAATGACCCGCATTCACACAGGATGGATGACACGGATGCCCACAGCAAGAATATGGCGTGAAACCCGTGCCATACAGCAGATGGGTGAGGCGTTAACCTGTTAAACCCGAAAACTGGCCCAAGCCACACGTAGCCACATAGCACACTAAGTAAAACCAAAACAGAGATAAGACTTAGATAATTAATCTTTGATGTCAAACGAGTTTCCGCAAGAACAACGCTTCGAGAGGTTCTTTATGTTATCAAGCACGAACTTCGACCCTACCAGGTTGTTCTGATAGTCTATAGTACACGAAGCGATTAGTTCCAAACTTGCATCGTCGCTGAATACTTTCATGCAGTTTTCGCCGTCGTATATGCACCTGCAAATTTTGGAAGTTCCACGTCAGCTGAAACACACCTTAGATCATTCGTATCGTCCACTATTTTGAAGTGGTACTGGAAACCTGAGCACCCTCCTCCCGAGACTGACACTACAAGGCTCCTGTTTTCGTTGCCGTTGGTGAGGAACTTCAGACGTTGCAGAGCGTTAGGTGTGACGGTGACACTTCGCAGTATCGTGCACAGGCGCATCATTGCGCCTAAATGACGAACATCTAATGGACTTGTATGCGTACGATACGTATGGTTCGCATGTGAAGAAATCGAGCTCCCAGACAATGTTTGCCTTCTGCTCCGTCACTGCCGGAACCGAGCGCTTTGCGCCTTTTATGGCGTTTTGGAAGATCGTATTACCGATTTTTGCCTTATCCGCCTGTTTTATACTGTTAAAATCCGCTTTTTCGTGATTTCCTTGTTGACAGATCTCATTCAGGCATTTAAATGCTGCGCCCTTACCACCGCGTGTAACCAATGACCCATTCGACGCGCTTTTGGAGTGACAAGATTGAACGGCCCTTATGTGGGCTCCATCTCCACCTGCACTGTCGTTTGCAGATAATGTTGATGCCCTGTGTCTGCCTAGATCACTCGGTTGGCTGTGCCGAGAGGTACCAGTTGTATTAGACCGCCGTTGGTAACCTTGACTCTGCTGACTAGATGGCACCCCCGCAGAGTTGTCACATACACGAGCAGAATCAGGCTTAGCAGCGTTGCTAGATCCGTGTCGCTCGCCTCCAGATGTTGCCTGGTTCCCTTGACCCGTAGCCTCTTGCAGAGTGACAGGAAGCCTTCTTTCTTTCAAGGCCTGGAAGGCTGCTTGCACGTTCCTCACTACCGGTTTTTCAAGGTTGTTCTCGATTCTGGTGATGGCAATCAGGAATTTTGGATGGCGTTGGAGTGGAATTCGATGATGCCTTAGCGTGACGACAGCGTGTCTGAGACGTTGTGCAGTTGTAAAAGATGGGCATACCTGGCAGAATTTTCGAGGTTGCGTTTAAAAACATATGATATTTTTTTTACCAACTGGCGGCTCAAATGCACTCGCATCGACCGCCTGTGTAGGCACAACAACGTGAGTAGAAGGTCCTGATTTACTTTGAACGTAAGGATGTTACACAATGCAAAAATGGCGACTTGATGTCGACTGCCTTGTGGGCATTCAATTGATATTTGCTGAATGGAAGTCACAAAAGCGGACTCCGGTTGCTGTGCGACGGCATCAGTTGAGTTTCCGATGGCAGAGAAGGAGAAGTTGTCTCCGCGTAACACAGGAAAATCTTCCTCTTCCTCGACGGATATATGCTTCTTAAGTGTGTGGCCATTTGCATCCTCGGGAGCGTCGTTTAACGGCTTGTCTTGCGCTCTTGTTCTGGTACCCCTGGTACCGCCTTTTTTGGGACAAGAAAGGACCCTGAAAAAAGATTTCACTTTACCCATTCATACGACGCAATAGCAAATATGTTTGGTATTTATTTATGGCACTAGAGGTGCCATAGCTGTACCGTGGCGCGCATTAACGTTCTATAAGCTGCTTAGTGTTCTTACTGGCTCACCAATACGCACATAATGTGGCAGACCGCGTGGTAGCTATGCATTTCGACCACTTGTTTGGTATTCGTGATACACATAAGCTACTTTGCAACATTATCGTTAATATCAACATGGCGTACATCCCAAACCCTTATATAACCGGATTCAATCCACACATTCACGTTACACAAGCCGCTGCAGTATCTGTTAATAATATATATCGTTATCGATGCAACACCAGCGCCTCTCTCCATTGCATTTTCGGCAGTGTTTGCTAGACATCGTCTGTATTGCCATGACTTCTATCGCTCAACACACGAACGGGGCGAACGCTACAATAACGACACTTAAATAAAAGTGGCGGAAGGCTGTTTTGTAGGCTGTATTTCGTCCGATTTTTACGCATGTAATGTAGCAAGTATGTCCCGAGACGTTCGATCCACGATGCCACATCGCCCATAATTACTGGGGCGGTGCACAGACTAGCTTCACACATTTATCAAAATGCTGGGCGCTCATCGGCATGTGTTCCACCGTGTAACGGCGGAGATTGACCATGCTCTCCCAGCCTACGTCCAGGCCCTGCGCGACGAGGAGTATGACGACCTCCATGGAAACGTTTGCTCCAGTTGGGAAAGCGCAGACTGGTCCGATGTGACCTACCGCTTCGAAAGGTTCGCATACTACTGCTGTGACCATGGATATCTCGCGGACGCATCCAACATCGATACGCTGGCGATGTGGGCCCGCAGGATGTGGATCCTCGCTGCGCATGATATCGATGGCGTTGACGCTTCCCTATGGCAGGATGTGGGCTCCCAGGAGGTGTTAGATGAGCTGTCTCACATAATGAAATCGCAAAAAAGGCTTACAATGAAGTTCCGTATCCGGTTGCTACGTTGTGTCTCGTATGTGCTCCACTCGATACTGCATGTACTACCATCGATCTGGGAGGTAGACAGTTATGAGTGCCGCGCTGAGATGGAAGCGCGATTCAATTTCATCACTATCGATGTCTTGCTGAAGTTATTCGAGCATTACATCGCGGAGAAGCCGATTTACACAACCAGCAACGTCAGGAAGGTGTGGATTGCCGCTGTCGTTCGCATTGCAGGTTGCATGCGGCGCCTTTGGGTACACAGGGACGATGTAGGCATCGAGTTGGTGTATAAAGTCATCGGTAATGTCGATGAACTGGAGCTGCGTACCAAAGAAATATTCTTCAAGTTCAGGCTGATACTGTTGATGTGCCCTAGCGCCACCTTGTACAGGTTTCTGATGGACGGCACTTTGTTTAAATGGTGGAATTTGGTGCCTGAGGGTACCGTTAATTCGTGGAACTCCGTGATGCTCCTTTTTATTATGCGCGCCATCAAGTTCGCCTGGGCCACCGGGAAACCCTACCTGACCGACGATATTACGACGAACTTGCCGTACATATTCCACGTCTTCAATTCAAATCTAGGCATTCCCAACTCGTTCAACACAAACAGGACGAGAGAATCAATCCCGGGCGAATACACGGTGCTGTTGCTGCATCCGTTGTACACTTGCAAGATTTTAGGCCAGCTACTAGCGTATCTTGTGTGCTCCATTAGTGAGCAGGGAGAACCAGTGGTGCCTTTTGCAACGGATTTTATGGATTATTTGTCTTCGTCAGTGAGTGTAATGTACCCATATACCCATCCCTCAAATGGTGGCAGGTGGTCCGCTAACCTTGCGAACTTCGTAAAGCACTTCGTTTTGACCTACACGGTTCGAGTTGGTCGTGAGCGCGGATCTCCCAAAGTCGTCGCTTCCACCGTTGGTACCGTTAACGGCGATGCTAGGTTCCGTCTCACACGGGCTAACGACGTGGCCATAGTGGACTTGTTTTTCTCCATGGCCCGGCAGGGAATTTATTGCAAGAATGTCACCCTTGCGCCATATTATGAGGACGCAATAAAGCGGCTCTGCACTCTGGTACCTGACAGGACGCTAAGTGAGCTCGTAGACCACCTGATCATGTCGACCGAGACTCTCACGGAACCTCATCGGATATTGAGTTGCTTGCGTATATTCGGGCAGCTGACACCGACGATATTGACCTATACTCCACTCGCACTGCTGCCCATCCTCGACGCCTGCGTTAAGGGAATTGACGCAGCGGACCTATTCAAAACCGGCCAAGCACTGACGCTGGTGAACATCATCTTCTCCCACATGCCTTGCCGCGACCTGTCCGACATCGAGATTAGCAAGCAGGACAAGGTGGATCTGATTCGGGCGGTATATATGCGCGCACCAGCGGAAACCAGCGGCGACGTTGACATGACCCTGCAGGTTGCGCCAGTGCAATGCACCGCCGTGGACCTCAACAACTCCGTGTTCGACGTCGCTAGTCCTTTGGTCGCTCCAATAGGTGAGGATAACGTCTTTTCGCGAGAGTTTGTCGTGCTTCGAACCACCAAAAATATGGGCGAGGCGGTGGCTGCCCTAGATAATGTGCTGAACCAGCGCAAGTGCATATCGCAGAATCTACCGGGGTGGTGCCAGGACTGGTTCGAAGCCGTGTTAAGGCTGTCGGAGAACTCATCAAGACCCGATGCCGACAGAGAATCGATGATGGATGCAGTTGAGATGGGCACTTTTGTGCTGTTGCGTTCGGCGTTGGCCAACATTTTATCGCAAACTGACACCAACACCTTTGCGTGCATCTGCGAAACTTTCGTGCGATGGGTGTGTGACAACTCCTTCCGCGAAAATGCGCTGAAGTACATGGTTACCATAGCCACCGCTCTCAGCCACTCCAACAGCAAAATGGCGATGGAGATGGTTTTCGACAAATTGTTCGATAAGTTCTCTCGCGAGGTAGGAAGCTCATATGCATCCTTAAGTGAAGACCAATTGGCGTGGTACATCGGCTGCTTCTCCGGCCTAGTGCGCCGTGCCAACGTTGAGTTGCTGTCGCGGCTGCCCAAGCTGAGATGCATCTTGAAAGCGGGTCTTTCCCACACATCAAAGAAGGTTTTCAAAGGTGCATCAAAGTTGTTACAACGCTGCGTAGAAAGCTTGACTGGCGTGTACTTCACGGATGTAAAGTGCGCCAACAACTTCAAGGACGATTTGAGTCGTGGGTTGCTTTTGTGGGACATTCCTTGGTTTGCACGCGATGCCGACTTTAGTAACGGGAAATGTGACATCACTGGCACCCTTGGCGTGCAATGGCATATCGCAACAGCGCAGGAAATGGAATGCGCCGTCGAGCTTTGCTGGTGTTTCGTTGATCTGATGGTGCGCTTGACGGAAGGTACCGTTGACATGGCAGGCCCTGCTAAACCCTCCGGCGCCGTGCCCTTAGAGATGGAGATTGATCCCTCATGCACCCTATACGTCAAGATGAACCGCGCCTGCATGCTCGCCAAGCGGTTATTGCGCAGCTTGAATCAGTTCAGCGTTGATGATCGTCCCGTGCGTACCAAAGGACTGCTAACGGTGACGCCTGTTGAGCGCCCTGAGATACTAGAAGTTCAAAAGTTCGTAGAGCGATTCATTCTGGCTGTGCTATCGAAGTTCGGCGGCATAGAGTCGACCAATGATCTGGTGGTTGCGAACATCTACACTAAACTCCTGAAAACGGCGGGGGAGTACATGTGCCGCTGTGTACAACAACACGACGGTGATTCGTTCGAAAACCTCTCCGTGGTTGCTTCAATGAAGAATGAATGCCACATAGGAACCACGGTGACGGCTGCTCGTGCAATGTTTTCCTGGACGTCATCGTACCACGGGCTCCACAGAGAAGGTCACTGGCAGGATGCGCCTCGTGTTGCGTGGCTGTTAATGGTGCACGAACGTTTCCATAGTCGGCTGAATATCCGTAAGCTTGATCACGACTGCGTGGGACCTCGTAAGGAACTCTTGAACATGATATTGCAGTGTGCCACATCCCAATTCAAGGACCTGGCTTTCCACGGCCGCAATATGATAAAGCCGCTAATTTCACTCCACCGACGCGTGAGATCACACGTTGCCCACTATGTGTTGGATCAAGGCATGGCGGTATATCCCACATCGGCTGACGGTTCGGATCGTGCAATCAATGCTTTGAGCAACATCTCGGATAGTTTAATACACTCACTTTTGAAGCACTTTGGATCCTCCGAGAGCGCTTTCGATAAGTTCTGCAGGTTCATCTGCTCCGCGGTTATGACAGTTCCGAACAAGGATTCTTTGATGGTCAAGTTCGACAACCGTTTTGTTGATGTGCTCAAGAACCGCGAAGTTATGACCCCTAGTGAAATAACGGCGGGAACCATGAACTTCATCTTGGACTCCCTCTTAGACACCAGCTCGAAGCAGGCTCCCGCTGCCAGTCACTGGCGCTTCCAGCTTTACGCGACGTCGCTTCTGGTCTGCTTCAACAACTTGATCCCCAATGAGAGCCGTGGCCGGTACATCTCGTGGTTGATGGAGGCGGTGGACCGCACAGTGAAACAACCATGTGTCGTTACTGTAGCTCTGCACGGGATTTATCGACTCCTGGGCGACACTCCCACGTCTGGCAATTTACCCCCGGAGTTGTTTGACCACAAGTTTGCCGAGACCCTGATGAGGGCAATATGCGTGGCTAACCACGAGGATCTCACGGACGACAACACGGCAACATTAGTGCGGTTGAACAAAATTGTCACAAGTGTGATCAAGCTAAACCGCACATGGCCCCGTAGCCGTATGGCTCTCAATTCTGGGTCATTTTCGCTGCAGAACTTCTACCTGATGTACTGGTATTTCTCTGCGATGCTGGATGCGGGTAAAGCGGACACCATAGTGCAATGCAAGGAGTTTTTGACCGGGCTTGCGAGCAGCTCGCCAATTATGCGTGATGATCATTGCGCATTCGCCGAAATCACCACTGCGTTGATGAAGGCATCGCTCCGTACCGAACGATCGGTTCGTGAAAAGATCTGGGAAGTTTTGCATCCGGTGATCAAGATAGATTTGGAGACGATTGCGCAGGATCGCATTGTGGATTTCATGGACGGTTTGCGCCTCGCGCTTGAGGACTATGACCTTTACGGCGATGCATGCATACCCATAATAAACGTGGGAATAAATTTCCGCGCCCCTCTGAAAATGGACGCCCTGCAGTCGTGCGACTTGGCCTCTGACAACACCACAAGTCCGCGTATTGTCAAGCAGCTCAAACTGTATCGGGCACTGCTCCAGCAGCTGACAACGAAACATAGGGGCATATTCGAAATCCTGTGCGACGCCATTTTGAACGAGGATATCATTTGCAACAGCTCGCTGCAAATCGTAGACGAGGTGGGATACCTCTGCTCGTTTATGGCAGGCCTGTGCCGCATGTACGGCGAGTTGCACGAGTTCAAGCAGCTGGTGCACTCTAGCATATCGCAATTGGTCGCCAAGGTCGACGCAAACGGTTCCGGCGAAGGCACAGATGATATGCCGATCAAGGGATTGTTGTCGGTTATCAACATGCTGTACTCCTCATCCGTGCCACTGCAGGACCTGGGCCACCCATACACTCCTCAGTTTTTGTCGTTTTGCCTGAACCATAGAAACCACTCCAACACGGTGGTTGGCGATATCGCCACTCGCGCTGTGAGCGAGATCGCATTGTCGTCGTACCACCACGAGAAGGACCTGTCCGCTGTGGACGCTGTGGTATCCGTCCTGGATAACGTTTGCAAAGCCCAGTCGTACAACACAAAGGAGTACACCATAAACGTTGCAAAGGTTTGTTTATACCGCGTTGTGTGGTATCATCTGTCGTCAGACGCTGCAGCGAAACATGTGCATGTATCTGCGGCGAACAAATGTGGTGAACGTGCTGCTGGAGATGTACATTTCGGCGCTACAGCACCGACAAGCGCGGGATGCCGCTCGTGATGCGCTAACGTACATAGTTCTGTCGTCAGGCGATCATCTCTACATCGAGTTGACGGAGCGCTTCTACAGCCTAATCAAGGAAAACCATGACGAAACGGCGAGCGCCGGCGTCTTTGGCCTGGCAGCACTCATCGGAACTGCGCCGTATCATGTGCCCAAGTGGATGCCGTATACGCTGACCAGACTGGTGAGTTTAGAGACTATCAATGTGCTGATGTGTGACAGGCTAGTTGCGGGGCTTCGCGTTTCCCAGACATCGTGAGGGTAAGTGCACATTCTAGTGAGATAATGACACCGTAGCGTGTTGTCCAGACGACACTGCAAGACTTCTTCAAGTCTCACATGGACGCCTGGAATCAGGTCCACGTCCACAAGTTCACCCCCGAACAGCTCGATGTGCTGGAGATGTACAAGGGCTGCCCGGCTTACTTTAACTAAATTATGCATAATTCAACTGACACATGTAACCTCGAGGAAGGCTGGTCGGCGCTTTTGCGCGAACACCTCGCCAAGTGAGCCATTTTGACGGCGTATAAATACCTACACAGAATCGCGGATTGCGTGGATTCCATGGACATCCGCCGCTCTCCCAAGCCTATTTTTACACCCAATGATTTTATAGCTGGTTACTCGTGAGTTTGTCTCCCAATCCGTTCACTGTTTGCAGGATTGTCTACAAGCTGTGCACGGCCAAAAACTCTCAGAACGAGGAGCCACTTTATCGGCGAGTATCGCAGCTCTTCGTCGACTTTATCAATCGCAAGGTGGGTGTAATCGTTATGGAGAAGGATGTGTCGCAGATTCCCGTTTCTACCGATGCGCCTGTTCCCGTGGAGCAGATCGTCGACACATGGGCGCGTTTCCGCGTATACGCGTCTATGATAAGCGGATTGTTTTCTTACTTGGACCGGTTCTATGTGAAATACTCCTCAAGCAGCACAGTGAAGCTTACCGCACTTGAGGCGTTCCAGCGCATCGTTAGTTTGCATGCCACTGAATACACGGATCATTAGGTATTTGAGAAACGCAAGGAAGAGCTGAAATGCCGACTTCTGGAATTGCTTGATACGCGTCGTTCTGAGACCGATGTGGACGAGTTTTCCGTGGAAGCGCTCGCTCAGATGTTCCACGAGCTGGACGGCAGCGGGGGGCTGCAGTACAAGAACGAACTTGAGTCGGAGATAATCGCACGCGCAGCGCGGTATTATTCAAGCATGGGGCCGTTATGGCTACAAGATTGCAGCCTGTTGGACTATTTAAGTATAGTTGATGTGAGTTCTACCAACGGATGACTTAGAATGGCGTAGCACTGCCTTGAGCAGGAACGTGCCGACTGCGTCCGTTGGCTAAGCGAATCTACCCTCCGGCCATTAACTGACACGGTGCACAAGGCTTTGATAGAAGATCGGCAGTTGGAAATAATCCAGAAAGTGGGCGAGATAGAGCCCCTAATCGACCAGGGCAGCGAGGCGGTAGGCCGACACAACCATTTTATGAGTGTGCCTCAGGACCTCCAGTTTATGTACAAAATGATCAGCCCGATCGAAGGCGGCATTACTGCAGTAGCAGAGTCTTTGAATAGATCAATCCGGCGTTCTTTATCGTCCGCTTTGTCGTTTGACGAGGTGCTGCCAGGATGGCTTCGGTGTCAAAGTACTGTGTTCTGTCAATTTTATAATGTGCATGCAGAACTGCTAAAGAACTGCTTCGTTAAAAACGACACCTCTGCGGGGGATGGAAGTGGAGAAGTTGCCCCAAACAGCGCACCATCAGCAGACGCATCCGTGGATCCCACGATATCCAACGCGGTTCGCAGAGCTTTCGGTAGTGTCACAGCTGAAATTGCGGATTTCACAAAAGACTTCGTTGACTACTGGGACAATGCTTTGGTGGCAGCTGATGATGGTTCGGTGGCACGGTTGCAAAACTGCTGCGGGCTCCTGGAGGCCCTATACCACAAGGCCGAATTTTACCAATGCTACAAATTCAAGTTAGCAGGGCGCCTTCTCTATCGCCGGAGCTCGCTGAACATGGAGCGGAGATCCCTACGCATGCTACAGGGCCTCTGGGCCTCGGATGATGTTGAACGCCTTCGCCGTATGATCCATGAGACTTCCGAAGCACGAAAATGCAGCACCCCTTTCATGGTCATATCGAAACCTAATTGGCCATGCTTAAGAGGTTGGCTACTTGTGCAACCATCAAACGTTGTGCAGACTACTCGGAGGACGTCAAACTGCACAAGACCTTTGAGGACGGCTTCGCTCAACTGAAAGAAATGCAGCGCACGCACCTCCATCGTGCTCTTTCCCACAACCGCATGCTGGGTCGCGTGGAGTTAGACCTGGACTGCGATGGCGGCACCAGGAGATTAATTTGCGATCTTGTACAGGCGTCGGCTTTGTTACTCTTCGAGGGGTCATCAATGGCGCTCGACGACATCGCAGCCAGTATTGAAGTGAACCGCTCATACGCCATCCGCATTTTACAGCCTCTTTTTGATAAGGGCATACTGTATCTTCAGGTGTGTTGCCGTTCGTCTATTCGCTGACCCATATTTAGGCTGGCGACAAAGTTGAGCTTAATTCCGACTTCGACGACGGCTCTGATGTGACCCTGGACGCCGTACCCAGCTACCGCGACATGCGCTCTACCGCTGCTTCGACAGGTTCCTCAGCTGGAACTGCGCTGGACCCCGAGGCAGCCATCGATGCTTCCATCGTCTCCCTCCTGAAGGCTATGAAGAGCATGAAACGCGACGAGTTGCTTTTGCAGATGCCGCGGTTCAAACGCGAGGTACGCCCCCTATATAAACATGCAGTATACTAATAACGAGCAGGATGTATTGGCAAGGCTTAGCAGCCTATGTGAGAGAGACTACGTCACCATTACCGACGACACCATCGCCTATGCGCCGTAGCTGGCTGTGCCTAGCTACATCACCTTATAGTGGCTTTACTTTGTATCCAAAGGCCACGCTGCCAATGTCAACACTACATTAAGCGCAGTTTTTTGTGTATTTTATGACGTGTGTTTGCTTGCTTCTATTTGAGCTGCTTTAAATTGTTGTTAATTCACGTTATCCTGCGATTTGTGTGTATTTCGCCGGGGACCGCTGCATTTAAACGTGTATGAAATTGTAGCAGCGCGCTGCTGATGCCAGCAGCGCCTCGTATATTCCGAATGTGACCCCTCCGCTGATTATGGACTTGATGAGCTGCATTTGGAACCCAGCGTAAAGCCCCCTGAGCCCCTTGTTCCGTACCGTCCAGCTGAAGACCTGGAACAGGCTCCGATGCGAAAGTTCCGTTGCAAAGCACTGCTGCATGGTCCTGCTGACGTAAACCGGATAGCACAAAGTAGTGGGAACAATCCTGGCTACCATCCCGTTCGCTATGGGCTTCGCGTAGTGCACGTGTTCTAGGAATCGGTTCTGCTGCCAGTCGACTTCCGCAAGCGACTCGTATACGCAGATGACCATGCCGTAGTACACAACCCCAACGAGGTTGGCTTCCCATCCCTTGTAAAGGCCTGGTAAACCGTCGTTTTTGAACGTGTTTATAAGGTAGTGCGTAGCGCCCCGGTACTGCGGCCATCCGTCGACCCTGGTCCTGCTGGTCTGCAACTCCATGTTCAGCTTTGCATTCCATGCAGGGTGGAGCACGGCAGTGGTAATCAGACTGCTTAGCGATCCATTCACGAGCTTGGTTGCGTTTTTGCTTTCGAACTCGATTATTTTTGATTGCGATATCTTGTCGAAGCTGTATCGGAACAGGAACCAACCGGCGCCAGAAATCACCATAGAGCATCCTCCTCCCCGATAAAGTCTGAAGATGCCATCCTTCCAGCTCAACCGGATCATGGCGGCGAATTTACTGCGATTTCCTCCCGAGATTCCATGGTCGTATATGTTTAGCGATTGTAGACGTGTCCGAAGAGAGGCAATTGGCTGTAGAAGCAGCGTACAGGTCGCCCCTGCGACGGCGTTGGCCAGCGCAGTGAAGGTGGGATGCGACTTCAGCTGCTCAACTGTGACTGTGCTGCGTGTTTCGGCCACACCGCTAGCCACGTCACCATCCTGGCCCATGATGGCGGCCTTCGAATGGGCGCTAAACAGCTCGGACGTAGTGAAGCAGTGGAGTTTCAGTTGTTGTTTTCATAGTACCGTCGATCGGTGTACAAATCGCCAGTGACCGCAGCGGTGTGTGGAAGGAAGGCTACTGCGGTGGGCGAGTCACTCCGGATTCTTTTATCCAATATTCCACGATGTCGAAACGCGCGCAGTTATTGGAGAATGAGAAGCTGGTGCGAGCGCTGTGGCAGGAAGGCCGCGTGTACGACGCGGCCGTGCCGGCCTCTCGCTCCGCCGACAAGTACTTCTGCACATTCCCCTACCCGTACATGAACGGGCGGCTCCACATCGGCCATGCGTTCAGCATGTCCAAGGCCGAATTCCAAGCTCGTTTCCAGCGTACCCAGGGCAAAGCTGTGCTGTGGCCGTTCGGCCTGCACTGCACTGGTGAGTGCGTCCAAATGGGTGTCTAAAGTGCGCAGGTATGCCTATAATGGCATGTGCCGACAAGATGAAGGCTGAGCTAGCTGAAGTACGTGTTCGATTGACAATCGCAAAAATAATGCATAGGCTAAGGACCTTGGTTCGTCAGCTCCAACTGCCAACTCGGAGGATCTCCCCGTCGAAACCACGGGCTCCGAGGAACAGGCACAGGAGAAGGATTGCACGAAGTTTAGTTCCAAGAAGAGCAAGTTGACCGCTAAATCTAATGTGAAGGTTCGTACGATGTGTCTAGCCCTGCCATTGTTTGCAGATGACCCAGATGGAGATTATGCGCCATATGGGCATCAACGACGACGAGATCCCCAAGTTCGCCGACCCCCAGCACTGGCTGACCTACTTTTCGCCTCTGGCGATACAGGACCTGCAGCACTTCGGTACATCGGTGGACTGGCGCCGCACGTTCATCACCACCGACCGCAACCCCTACTACAATGCGTTCGTGGAATGGCAGTTCACCCGCATGAAGGACTTGGGCACCCTACACTTTGGTTGCCGCGCTTCCATTTTCAGCCGCTCTGTGATGCAGCCCTGCGCCGATCACGACCGTGCTGAAGGTGAGGGTGCGACTGCTCAGGAGTACACTGCGATAAAAATGCATTTGGAGGAGTCGCCATTCAGTGTTCTTGATTCCCTGGATGCGGTTTACGCGCCGTATAAGGACGTGTTAGCGTCTAAACAGGTGTTCTTGTTGGCTGCAACGTTGCGCCCTGAGACAATGTACGGCCAAACGAACTGCTTCGTGCTGCCCGAAGGTTCCTACGAGGTGGTGTTGGGTTTCAGCACTCCTAAATTGCACTTCAACGATTTCGGGGTTGTGGAGACCATAGTCAGCGTTGAGGAGGCCGTTAAGAACTGTGACTGCCTCTACGTCGCATCTGCACGTTCCGCCATGAACATGGCGTACCAGGGTCTGGTTCTGCTCCGTCCCCCTCAAGCGCCGTCAACACTTAGCGAAGTGCACTCTGTGGCTCGTTGTACCGGAATGGATTTGATCGGCTCCGCTCTGCGCACCCCTCTGAGCGTGCACGAGCGTATCTACGTGTTACCGATGTTGACGATCTCGATGGAGAAGGGCACCGGCATCGTGTCATGTGTTCCCAGCGACTCCCCCGACGACTACATGACGCTGTCGGAGATCCGCAAGAAGGGCGCATATTACAAGGAGAAGTACAACGTCGACGCCCTCCACTGCAGTCTCGACGCGGTACCGGTGATCGACATCCCCGGCCTCGGAACTTGTGCCGCCGAGCTGGTTTGCCAGCAGGAGAAAGTAGCCTCCAGCAAGGACAGTGTGAAACTTGAGCGTTGCAAAGAGATTTTGTACAAGCGTGGATTTTACGAGGGCGTGATGGCTGTTGGACCCTACACCGGCCGCAAGGTACGTTTTGCTTTGCCTCTTGTGACATTGTGTTCAGGTGTCCGAAGTCAAAGAGATCATCAGGGATGAGATGTTGAAAAACGAACAAGCGTTCGTATATTACGAGCCGACTAAGCGTGTGGTGGCTCGTGCCGGCGACGTCTGCATCGTTGCCCTGTGCAACCAGTGGTACACCAAATTCAGTGACGAGGCCTGGAAGCAGCGCGTGCTTGCCCACGTGAGCGACCCTTCTAGGTTCACGTGCTATTCCGAGTCCGCCTTGAACCAGGTGAAGCACGTCGTGAGTTGGTTGGACAACTGGGCATGCAGCCGTTCTTACGGTTTGGGCACGGTGCTCCCGTGGGAGGATATTAAACAAAACAAGAACTCGCTTATCGAGAGTCTGTCCGACAGTACCATCTACATGGCGTACTATACCATTGCCCATTATTTGCAAGGCGACATTTTTGGCACAACCCCTGGTTCCCTGGGTCTGACGGCGGAGCAGCTTACCCCAGAGGTGTTCGACTACATCTTCCACCTGAGCGACAAGACGCCATCCGGCCTCGACGCTGCTATGTGCGACAAGCTGCGTTTAATGCGGGACGAATTCTCGTACTGGTACCCGGTTGACCTACGCACTTCCGGCAAGGATCTGATTTTCAACCACCTGACGATGAGTCTGTTCGTTCACAACGCTATATGGGGAGGAGTGAGTTCAATCGATGCGATGCCGAGGTCGTACCTCTGCGTGGGTCACATTCTCGTCGACGCTGAAAAGATGTCTAAGTCCAAGGGCAACTTCCTGACGCTCGAGGACGCGATCGCGCTGTACACCGCCGACGGTACCCGTGTGGCGCTTGCCGATGCAGGTGACGGTCTGGATGACGCCAACTTCGCCAAGGAGACGGCGGAGGCTGCCGTGCTGAAGTTACACAGCATTCTGCAATCGGCGCAGTCCGACATGGAGCTTGCCGGCCGTACCAACAGCGGCAGCAGCCTCTCCGAGTACGCGAAGCGTGTCTTCATGAACGAGCTCTGCGTCCTTGCCGAGCGCGCTAAAGAGGCCTACTCGAACTTCGTGTACCGCGATGCGCTGAAGTACTGCTTCTACGACTACATCAACGCTCGCCGCAACTACATGCAAATGTCCCAGGGCGACGTCGACCATGCCGCCCTCACGATGTACCACGAAACCTTCTGCCGTATCGCCAACCCGATCATTCCCCACATGTGCGAGTACATCTGGTTGAAGGTGTTGGGCCACAGCACATCGCTGGTGGGCGAGGCGTGGCCTAAGCTTCCTGCCATCGACTGGGCTCTTCATAGGTTAGTGAACATTATGGGTAACCTAACGTGTTGTAGGCAGGTGAAGTTGTTGTACAAGAACCTCGACGATTTCCGCAAGTGCAAGGAGAAGTCGCAGGCAACATCCAAGAAGCGCAAGGGCGCCGCACCGGTTGCGGAATTCACGGGCGCGGTCATCTACGTTGCCAAGTGGGTCTAACATGCAGGGCGTTTAACATCATGCAGGGAATATCCGGCACTACATCAGGAGGTGCTGCGTGCGCTCCAAGCCATGGATGTCGTCAGCGGCGCCATGACCGAGAAAGACGTCATCAAGGCACTGTCGACCTCTGACCTCGTCAGCAAGGCTTCAGTGGCTGACAAGAAAGCCATGCTCGCATTTGCGAGCTTCCAACTGCGTGACGTAGCAGTTATGGGCAGCAGCGCCCTGCTGCTGGAGCTGCCATACTGCGAGCTGACATTCCTGCGTTCCATCCTGCCGTTCGTGCAGCAGTCGCTAGAGGTTACCGGTGAGCTATGAGCTTATAATTTACATGGTTCGCAGAGTTACACGTGCTGCCGCACGACGAGGCGCACGAGCGCGATACTACTAGCATTCGACAATCGGCCTTCCCCGGCCGCCCGGCGGTGTTCTTCTACTAGTGCTTGAACGGCGAACACAAATCAAACTTTTCGACGTCCCACTTGGCGGCCTGCGCGCTTAGCATGACCTCGTCTATGCAAGCCTGGGCCATGTTGTATGCGTATCTGACCGTCTGTAGCCCCCACTTCCACAGCTGCATTTCCTCGCGCAGCTGCTCCCCGTCCGTTGCACGGCTAACGTTCGGGTGGTGCGTGTTCACTTGCGCGTTGAGGCGCACTAGCACCTCCTTGAGGCTGACGGCTGACCGCTTGCACAGGTCCCAAATCTGCTCCAGCTGGTGGTCGATGAAGCCGGGCTCCATCGACTCGTCGAGCAGAGTCCAGAGCTTCTCCGCAATGTTGTATGTCAGTATCGCCAGCATGGCGTCACGCGGCTTCGCTGAGCGGTGTATGGCGCACTCCACAATCCCGTCGGACCCCAACGCCACCACAAACCGTTCCCCCTTGAATATTTTGAGGTACTCCGCCAGCGTCGCCGGGCACACCGACATGTCGGCCAGCGAGTACTTGACAGCTCCGTGCTTGAGCGCTCCATCCCGCCACGGGAACAGCAGCGGCTCGCGGGCTGCGACCTGCTCGGGTGTCAGGAACTTCATGCCTATGCGTTTTTGCACAAGGTTAAGAGGTTCGTTGGGGTACCGCACATTGCTATCCTCGCCAGCCTTGTCCGCTTCCCTGGCCCTTTTGAGCTTGTTGCAGAGGTGCTTCGAAGTAAACCTATTCAGCAGTCTGCTGGCAGTGTCGAATTCGTAGTCGTGAATCATCTCCGCTATGGCGCCGCACTCGTCGTCCTCGAAGCATGAGTTGCTGGAAGAGTCGTCCGAATCGCTGTCCTCGCCGTCGTCGGAGTCACCACCCTGGTCACCTGAGTACCGGTGCCTGAGTGCCTCGAGCCGCATTTTGTGGTACCGCAGGTACCTGTCCAACCTGCGCAGCAACACGCTGGCAAAATCTTCCAGCAGCACGAAACACCGCTGCGGGTTGAGCGTCCTGAAGCAGACGCTCTTCGCGCACATGTAGGTCGAGATTCCAGACACGACGCAAAATCCGGAGAACACTCCAGTTTGAACCGCAAATGGCTTATCTGCTAGCAGGGTGCCAAGTTGCATTCCTGTGGCCATGCCTATGAAATCGCATATTGGGCTTTGCGCTTCCAGCTTTGCGGTTATTTCTCCAACGTTTGTTGCAGCATTTTTGACGCAGAATGTGGTGTGAAATGCGGCCTGAGCTGCCAACATCGTCAGCATCCCTACGTGCTTGAGCACATTGATCGACACGTTGAGGAGCACCTTCGGCTCGAATTTCAAAACGTTGCCCACGAAGCATGCCACTCCAGCAACGCTGCACAGCAACCCTCCCAACAACCTGAACGCCTTGGGGTTGTCATCGAATCCCGCTCCTATTTTGCCGAACCAGACAAAATTGAACGCTCGTGAAACTATGTCCTTTAGCACGATGCTAGTCAGCGCCGAGCTGACCTTGCCGCGTGTCATCCAACTAATCCAGCGGTCACTGCATCTCTGCCCCGCCTCTCCATCTTTGCTAACGCCCTTCGTAGTTGCCGCATCTCCTGTAGGGCTGACCATGGGCTGAGTCTGAGATGCCAATGCCATTGCAGCCGCAATGGCGAAGCGTTCGAGCATGCGCCAATGCGCATATCTGTAATACTCATCACTGACAATCTGCGGGTGAACCGTTCGATTGATCAAAGCGCCGATGTTGCGGCCGAGTGCCACTATCTTGTCTATTGCTGCGAGGTTGCAGGACACATCGCGATATGCGCCATTTGCGAAGCGGTCTTGGTCTACCACCAGCCGGTCCCTGGGCTGCCAGCCTGTTCGCAGATGATACAGAAGATGTACATGCTCCACATACCGGTATAGTATCTCGGAACTGTTGGTTTAATGCGATGTTTAGAAGCACTGCCCAGGAAGGCTGGCCGGAGCCCCTTGAATGTTGCGATGGGAACATGGGAGAGTTTTAAATCACCGACGTTCCCTAGCCGGTGATTTGTGTGTGTATCTCCACATTCACGACTGATGTGTAGGCCAAGGAGCGGCCGGCCGACGCCAACATGTGCTCCTGCCCGTGAGATGCATACGGCGTCGGCTCCCTTCCATAGCGGCAACCGCAGTACGGCGTACGCCAGCCATGCTAGGATTAGATCCAGCCTTCCTCGGCACATACGCGGCAGGAGGCGCCGCCGGCGTGCGACAGCCTCCGCGAGCGTGCACGTGCTAGGTATGGAAGAGATTCCTTGCTATGGCACCTCTCATCGGCTACTAAAATGCTCTGATACAGAGTGTATCGCTAATAAACGATGCGCTAGATGGGTGTTGACGTTACTGTTTCTTCGTAGATTCCCCTATTGGGTATCGCGCCCCTGCTTGCGGCCGCTTCCGAGCATATTAGTCGTGCAACGGCTAGAGCACAACTTGTCTACCAACATAATACATATTATGCTTATGTGTATATATTGGTGACCAAGTTGGTAGCTTTCGGCGATTGCCATTGTTTGCCCTAGTTTCAGGATAGATCCGCGGAACTAGCTGCACGTCTTGGTGCTCCGACTTTTTTCTAGGGCTTATGTAGGATTAAGATCGCTGCTTACAGCTAGTATCTCCGGTGGTAGTTCGGCCTAATGTCTCAGAGCCGGTTCCGGCTCAGCGGCCCCTTGGTGGGTGCGGGCATCGCCGGGTTTCTCGCTGTGTCCTATATCGCATATTACGTGTACCAGCAACTGCGGAAGCGGCGTATTATGCGATACATAAAGCGCATATACAACAACGACCACGAGCTCTACGATGAGGCCGAAGATGAGTACAGCGACGAGGACGACTTCTACGTTGACGAGAGCGCCTTCGACACCCACCGTCTGACCTCGAGAGCCGACCTGGAAAATACCCACGATAGCGGCAGGTCGCGCAGTAGGTATCCTTATGGCACCCTTCACCGTCGTGCCAAGGGTGCGGAAGAATTTGAACAGGATGACAATATAGAGAACCTCGGCGGAGGCGCCAAATCCCGAGTCTCGAGGCCGCACTTCTACGGGTCTTACAAATCTCGGTCAACGAAGTTCAGCGGCAAGAAGAATGATGCAGAGACAGCGGATGGTGACGATGACTGGGTTAACGTGGATGACGAAGGTAGTCTCAGCCCCTCTAGGAAGAGCGACCTGCCCAAGTCAGTTGATGAATCCGCCGATTCCGGCGCAGACTCGGGATCTGACGAAGATGTAGAAGGAAAGGTAGGTACACTCAGAACCAATAAAGGACAATTTAGCAGTCCGATGGAATAGATGCATCCTGTCTAGTGGAGGCCGTCGGGTCGGGGCCTGCGGCTGGCAGTGCTCTTCCTGGCCGGCAGCGGGTTTACTTCAAGTCCTTCGGCTGCGCTCACAACATGTCAGATGCGGAATACATGAGTATGTGACCGTTTACACCCGTCTCACACATGCGCAGAGGGCCTACTAAGCGAGTACGGATACACCATATGCGATACACTCGACAACGCCAACGTAGCTGTGATCAATAGCTGCACCGTCAAAGGTCCCAGCCAGGATGCCATGACGACGGAGATAGTTCGTGCTCGGGAGTTAGGGATACCCGTCGTCGTTGGCGGTTGCGTTTCCCAGGCTGACCGCAGCCTCGGCGTATTCCAGGACCCTGGTGTATCTCTTCTTGGAGTCCAACAAATAGAGGGTGAGTATACTTGCCGCTTGGTATAGAGCATAACTGTTTGAGCTTCGATTAACTGAATTGCAGAGATCGTAGGGGTCGTGGAGCAGGCGCTGCACAATCGCAAGGTTACGCTGCTGGATCGCAAAGAGTTGCCTTCGTTAAATTTGCCCAAGATTCGCCAGAACAAGCTTATCGAGATCATACCGCTTTCCACGGGCTGTTTGGGTGCTTGCACCTTCTGCAAGACGAAACAGGCGCGAGGAGTTTTGGGCAGTTACAGCTTGGAGGCCATCCTTGACCGTGTGGAATCGGTGGTAGCAGAGGGCATACAACAGATTTGGCTAACATCAGAAGACACTGGGGCCTATGGTATCGATATAGGCACAGATATAGTTACTCTTTTGAGAGGCATCACTGCTCTTTTGCCGCCTAACGTAATGCTTCGACTGGGCATGTCCAACCCGCCCTACATCAAGCGCCACATCGCCGGCATCGTCGACATTTTGAAGCACCCGAACGTGTTCGAGTTTTTGCACTTGCCAGTGCAGTCTGGAAGCGACCGCGTGCTAGACTTGATGAACCGCGAGTACCATGTCGAGGATTTTGAATACTTGGTCGACTGCGTACGCAAGGAGTTGCCGGAATGCACCATCGCCACGGACATCATATGCGGCTTCCCCACTGAAACCGACAAGGATCACCGCGAGACGCTAGATTTGATAGACCGTTTAAAGCTGCCCGTGGTTAACATTTCTCAGTTTTACCCCAGACCCGGCACTCCCGCCGCGAAGATGAAGCCTCACGGGAACAAGGTGAAGAAATCGCGCACACGTGAGGTGACGCAGTTGTTCATGTCCTACGAACGCAACAGTGTCTACGTCGGCCGCACCCTTCCGGTCTGGTTTTCCGACGTAGACACCCCGCGAGGCCACACCGTGGGTCACACGAAGACCTACGTAAAAGTTATAGTGCCGCTTGACCCCAACCTGGTCGGCCGCAAGGCCATGGTCAGCATTGAGGAAAGCAGCAAGTGGCACCTTAAGGGTACTGTGTGTTCGTTGGACGCATGACACCTAATATCGTCTCTCATTAATAGTATGGAGATGGTCGTTGACCTATGATTTATTTATAATTTAAATATATTGCCATTAGGGTGTATAGTTGGCATTTGGCGATTTGTTGTTGGTCCCGTAACAGAATGCATTGTCACATTAGTCCGGGGTCGGAGTTGGGGAGGTTTATGCCGTGGACTGCCCGCATCTCCTTTTCGTTGAGCGCCACGTAGCAGTCATTCTTCAACGGCTGCTCCACGAGGTCGGTGAGGTTCTGCCGCACCATGTCGAGGAGGTCTGCACGGTAGGACCGCCCGTTGTGCTGGTAGTACACCACCTCGTCGTGTTGGAACCTTGCGCGGTTATACAGGCGCTGCTCAGCCGGAGTAAGGTCTACCCAACCGTCCACAGTGAGCACCTGCCAATTGAATGTGTTGTACTCATGTTTCAGCTCTTCCTCGTCTTTGTGCTTCGAGGCGGTGGGAGAGAAATCCCAGCGTATAGGTTCAAAAGTGCTGTGTCAAGTGAGCCACAGATACGCGCATTAACCAACCTGATTCCTGCTTCCGTTTTACCCGGTGGTAGGCTGGGTGTTGACGCTAAGGTTATCCTCCTGTTTGGGACGTTATGAATTGGGTTGAGCTTCACTTTGGTGGGGTCCACCGTGCCCGGCACGCTGGTCTTCAATATATCCGGCATACGAGCCGCTACTGCATCGTTGAACGATTTTACTGGATCTGGGTCCAATCGCATGCGTTCCTTCCATTCGTTAACAGCGATACCGACGCCCGACGTCTTCACACCCTTCGTATATAGTTCCATGGATCCGGCCAACTGCGCGCATTTTGAGTTATGACCACTTTGCTCATGTGACTCACCAGGTGTACGTCCCTGACGGCGGCGACTATGCTGTCTGTGTCGCCGCGAACGTGCTTGGCATAGTCTTCCTTGCTCATGTCCATAACGGAGAGGGTTCCTATGGTGTGCCCGAAGTGCACCCAAACGGCATCCTTTCCGTACATGCACCGTTTAGCCCGTATGATGTCACCGGGTTTTATTTGGCCCAGCGGCAACCTGCGTAACGCCTCAATGTTGGAAACGAGCGGCACTCCATCGCACACTGTCCAGTCCGCAATGAATACCGGCAGTACTTTGCCCACTATTCCCAATCTGATGCGTTGCACCTCACTGCGATGCGTCCTGTCCAGCTCTCGGTAGGGTATGAACGCCAAATTCTCCAAAAGGCGGGGTTCGTCTGGCATTTGGTAGCCCTCTATATCCTCCACATCGTCGCCCTGGTACTGCACCAGGAGACCCGAATTATATCGTTGAATGGCCCTGACTTTGAAGATTTCACGTTTGAAGTGTTTGCGATAGATGTCCCTGTGCTTGTACATTTCTTGCACGCGGCGTGTGGACACGTTGATGTCGTTGCCGTGCTTGGAGATCACCTCGAAGTACATGACGTCTCCTTTCCTGAATACGGACGTGAACCCCCCGGAAGGTACATCTTGTGGGCTCCTGAAGTGATCGATCAACCGCATGACTGCCAACTTGGAGGTGTGGATATCCACCAGGAGCCGCTTCGGCTTCACGTCCTCCACCGTGCCCTTTATCAACTGGCCCACTCTGACTCCGTAGTCCTTGGTGCCGAAGCATTCCATGTTGAACTTCTCGTAGGCCTCCTCGAACTTATCGAAGGATAAAACGTCTCGAAAGTAATATCCGAGTGGTTTGGGCAACGGCAGTCCATCGATTTCATCAGGTTGTCTGGGGCCAGATCCACTATTAGCTTCTGCAGCCGTATCTGTGAGGCATGTGCGGTATAATTACGAAACAACCGTACCTTTCGAGTTTGTGGAACCCTCTGGTGAAGCCGTAGACGCCTCAGATGGTGGGGAGGTGGAATCGTCACCGCGCGAACCAAAGCGCTTTAAGTACGCCTCAAGTCGGTCCACCTTTGGTGACGAGTCAGGGTCAAGCAGCATGGGCACTTCGAACCGATTACCTTGCAGCTTAGGCGATTTGATGTGCTCCACGGTACCCTTGGTCAATTCCGCCACGTCCGCATCAGGCTCCACAGACCTAACACTGCGCAGAATCTCCACCATGGTATCCTGAAGAATGCTAGATCTGTCCTTCCAGAACTCTTCCCAAATCCAATAAGGAGTGTTTGGTTGATATCCCAATCTGTCGTTTTGCACCTTTCTCCTATCGTGCCTGCGAACTGTTAACATTTAGCGGGGGAAACGTACAAGTGCTGGATGTACTTCAATCTGTTTTCTTCGTCCTGACGCAGGCCGCGTTCGTGCACTAGCCGATTCATCGAGACATTGACACACGCATTGAAGATGTCAGCCTTGAAATCAAGCATGCGCGTTTTCCTTTCCTGTTCGTTCCTTGGAGCACGCCTTTTCAAGCTGTTCTTCGCCAAGAGTTCCAGTATTGATGAGGAAAGATGTTCGGACCACTTCATATTAAGCCTCTTGCCACCAATTACCACGCGTGGTGGTTTACGGGGGCCGCTTTTCGACCGCCTGATCGGGATGTCGCTGGCATCCGCATCGACGAAATACGACTTCAAAACATCACCCGGTGTGTCGTCCGTGTGCAGGTGGTCATAATGACTGTTCAGCTTATCGATGCGCTCGTACCACATGTTGTCGTAATCGATCAGAGCTTTTCCCTCCAGTCCTTCTCTCCCCTTTAGGTATTCGTAATTCCATTTTGCGATAAATATGGGCGATCCGTAGCAGTCGGTTAGGAAATAGTCTTCAAGATTCGGGTCTATTATTTCCAGGTTTTCGGGGATGTCCTGAGGGATCACGTTCACGTTGGCGCGTTCATAGTCCTTCATTGCCGCCAAAAATAGCTGGAAAATCTTGTCCTTGTGGCTGTATGAGCCTTCCCTTTCGCGGGCCATTTTTATGTACTCCTCATTTCTGGTTAGCTGTTGGTCACTTTCGCGTTCAAAGTCGTTAGAGGTGTCGGTCGTGGTTTCACCTGTGTATTCCGTATCGGCTGCGCCATCTACATCGTGGTCAAATTCTCCATCACGTCTGTTTTCGTCGTCCGACTCCAGTTGCGGCATGATGCCCTCACCCAGCAGGTACAGATAATAGTCGTCGTAACTGTGCCGGAATATGCGCCGGGAGTGTTCCCCGCTGCCCTCTTCCTCATCATGTCCATCTACCCGCTGCATATAGTAGTCCTTCAACAGTGAGTGAGGCACCTGCCTCTTTCGCATCTCGAGGAATTCGTCGACTACCGGGTCTCTCCCTATCTCGATTGGGGTCCTCAAGGGTAACTTGGGGATTCCCCCGAAATCCTCTGTCACCCATGGGCGACTTTCGGGCCTCAACTGCCGGAACTGTTGCTCTAACTTGCCTGTCCTCCTTTTCTCACCTCTGGTGGGAAACCTTCGGCTCATTCCCATGTATCCGTTGTACCCGTAATCGTCTCTCGAAAAGTCGTCCATCATCCGCAGTTTCCTAACACGCATATTACCCGTACCACAGTGTATTTGTGTTATTTCACTGTCGGTGTGACGTATATATGCGGCTGAGATGTTGGTCCGAGCGACTTTGCGCGTTTTGGCAGAAGCCGATGCATGCGGATTGATAACGGCGGATTCTGAGATGCCCATCGCTACTGCTACCAAAGCACAGTATCCGATCAGCATTAACACGACCAACTGTATCGCCCGCCATGTCTTTCCACCCGCCTGGTTCGTGTATAGAAGGCGTGATGTCATCGTGGATCCCCAAATCCACCGGGCGCCGACGCGGCATCATTCTACCGCTGACGCCCCCAGCAGTGTACCTAGCTTCCTTAAACGTATTCTCGATGCCATTGTTGAGCTGAAAGTACTCGATTAAAGGTGTATCGTGGTGGAAGGCTCGAGATTCCTCAACAGCCACCTTGTCTCAGCCAGATATATCCAAATGAGTCCACATCTCCATTGCACATGGATGAAGCGCGGCCAATATTTTACTAATAATGCTACAGATAGCAATGTTGACGCATAAAGTGATAGCAAGTAAGAATTGCAGCGATCGTACCGATGCCACCACGCCTACACGATGGAATGGCTTACAAAGCAGCCGTTGGTCGTGACCAGATATAGATTCTGTGACGTGCAATGTGCTGGAGTAATATTATTCAATGCGATTCGCAATAGACATTAGTGTGTCGATTCTTTGGTAATAAGCGGTTTTGCGCTGCTTTGTCTGTGTATACCGTCATATAAGGGGTTTCACGGCTACGGGGTCCAGATTGACGTTTCGTTTGACTTTTATGGTACACATCTATATTATAAACATTTGTGCGGGTTTTTATGAAGCATCCTGGCGTCTTATTGAGCGTTTTACTGTAATGATGAGAACTTGTGATCCTTATCGAATTGGCATTGCTGATTTGTTGATAATATCAATATATACGTGTACATCAAATTGTTGCACGCTTTTCAAGCGGAAGTGATGATGTTTATAAGTAGAAGTCTGCTTTGAAAGCGTCTCCGCCACATGGTAGGCGCATCTAACGCCGTCCCGTTCGGCTAACGGACAACAACATATAACTCGCGGATGACCACCAATATTGTTTCACATTTGATATGTATCTATATACGGTACAATAATACGATGAAAGTGTGTATCGAAGCTTTTAAATCGTTTTTACTGGCCTCGGTGTTTTTCCATTCGGCATAGGCGATTCCATGTCACCAGCAGTCACCCGAATACGCTCTGGCGGAGTTACCTCTACGATCGGAAAAGTGCATCTTTGCCGTTGTAAGCAGGGTGGACAAACATGATATTTTCTTCCATTTTTGCCCCGTGTCTCGACCTGCAGCCGATCTTGCACTGCGGGCATTGTTTTTGGAGTCGCATCTCGACCTACCAGTAACCGGTGCATTGGCCGCACAACCTTCGTCTTGTGTTTTGTAACGCACTTGTCTATGCACTGCTGGCGTCTTTGTGCTTCGTTAGTTGCGTCGGTGAATCCTGCGAGCAGCGTCAGGAGCGCCGCTATCGCTGCGATGACGTTCATTTTTACCTTTGTGTTTATTTGTAAAAATAAAAGGTTTAATTTCAGTGGGTGGATATGGTATCATCAGAGTAATATTTTGTTTCCGTGCCGAATTTATTTGGTCGAAAATTCTATGGATCCCCTGTACGTTCGGTTTGATGTGCCGGCACGGCCGCCACGTTGCGGTGATAATGACGGCTCCAACGCATTTATTAGCGCTTGCTTACATTATATGTGTTAAATGAGGCCGTTTCACGGTTCTGTTCGGCGAATAAGAGCACGCGAATATTATTCTAAGAACTGCGTGTTGAACCACTGTGCTCGGAGACAACGTAGGGTGTTTACAGCGCATATTTGAGAGTGCACAAAATTATTATTAACTCGTGTTCGTATGTTACTACATAGAGGAATTGTGTCTAGCTTTTGGTCTGATGATCTCTTTCGAGTACAGTAGCGTCCCACAGAGCAATATTGACGTCCCTACTTTTTCTTCATCGCATTGCAGCTACCCTTGCACTGATAAATTTTAAGACGTAAAAACACTAACAACATACAAACCACCGATTGAACGAGCCTGCCTTGAATTGCTTTTCGCATTCGTATTTGCAGCTCTGGCATACTTTATCGCACGCCCCTTGGAAGTATGAGAAAACACCGCCTTCCGCAACTCTCGTCATCATCACAGATGCCGCTAAAACAGCGGTTATCACAATCTTGTAGAGGCGTTTAAGCTCCATTTTAAAAATTATACTAATGTCTGTAGATCTCCAACTCCCCGGTGAGCTACTAACTCATCGGCGGAAAATCTTTTCCTAGATCCGTTGAATGTTTCTATGGTATTTACATAACACAGATTTAGTTGAATTTTTTCTTTAACCAGATCACACGTTCAATCGAAGCGATCGTACATCCCATTGTACGATCAGTTTTGTGGATTCAGCTCCGCTGTATTGTTGCGGTTGTAGTTTTAAAGCTGGTTGTTTAGAACCATTAATTTTCTGTACTATTATACATTTCGGTTGGATTTGCTCGTCTGCAAACCAATCTGCGCCACTGTGGAAATTAGAACACAACCCCTGTGGTATTCGACCTCAGGACTGGGTTTCGTCACCAAGACATCTCCAATTTCACTACACTACACAAAATGACTTTGCGCAAACTAATTCTGCGGTTGGGAGCTTTGATGGTGCTTGCAGTTCGCATCTGTTCGGTCAATTCCGTCGAGCTCAATTACAAGCTGGTCGCATCGGGCTGTGAGGCCCGGTGTCGTAACATGTTCCCACGCCAGGTGCCTAAGGATAAGGCAGCTTCACCGTACGACGGCGTTACCTTTGGTGACTTCGATGACATCAAACTGTTCTCCGTAAGTTGTACATGAGTAACGTTCTGATTGGCGCAGTGTCTGGAGGCGTGCCGCATGGCGCTGACAGCGTACCCGAAGGACGACGACGAGATACGTCGCAACGACGAGATTTCCAAGAATCGCGGACCTTGATCGGGGTGAAACCCTAGGCGGACCCCCGCATTCCCTATAGACATCGTAAATAACATATGTAGGGGTAAATACGTTATATTTAGTTCCGAGTCTGTATTGTAGGCACTGGTGACAGCTTTTGCCACCAGTGCATTTGTGTACAAAAGACGTGTGGAGTCTTCGGATAACTTCTTGCCGATGCGGGAGTGTCGAACACGTAACGCGGCCGTCGCACTCTACTGGTTGGTGAATTGCGGCGTGTCGTAGAAGCTTAGCCCGGTCATGTTGCTCATCGCTCCGTTGTTCACCATCGCTGCGCTGCCCGGTAGGACGTTGGACCCCATGGGGCTGGCGACTTCTCCATGCGGACTCGCGACTGAGGAGTTTAGGATGACAGCTCCAGACGATGAGTGCAAGTTTGCGTTGACGATTCCTGGATTGAGCGTGGTTTGTACGTGGTGTGCCTGCATGTCCGATCCCCACTTCAAATTGCTCGGTCCGTTAGCAAACGGAAGCGTCATGGCGTAGGTGGGGGTGTTGTACAGTCCGTCGCTCTTACCGTCACCATGCAGCTGAGCGGAAGCCTTCCCCAAGCCGTATATTACGCCTTGGTACTTCTCGTCATCCAGCTCGTTTTCGAAATACCGCTGCATGAGCTTGAAGAACGTGCGGCACGTCACCAGACTGTCGCTCCCCGCCTGGTGCTGGGGTCCGATTCGCTTGACGTCCAGGTGCTCCGAGATGCGTTGTAAGCTGCTCCTACCCGAAAGTTTAATCGACCGTTCATCTAGGAGGAACTTGATGTCGTACAGTGAAGGGAAGAAATCGTGCAGGAGGTCGAAAAACTCCGACTGGTTGGCAGGAAGGCTGGTGCAGGTTAGGAGCTTGAGCACGTAGGCGAAATCGTAGCTGCCATGGAAGCTTACCCAGACGACGTCCTCGTTCATGACAAGTCCGGAGGCTATTATGAGCTCCCCAAAGTGCGCGACATCGATTCCTTTGCGCTGGTGCTTCTCGAAATCGATTCCGCTCTCCTTCAGTAGCTCGATGGAGTCATAGGCGTACATGTCGCGCTGCAGGTCGAACTTGAAGTTGAACTGCCACGTGGAAACGCCGCTGGGCGTCTGCCCGTCAGCGTCGGCGAACGTGAGGCCGAGCTGAATGATCTTGAGCAAGTCGACATTGCACTTGACTGTCTGGTAGTTGTAGTCCTCCTGGTAGCTTGTGGGCTTCGCGACGATGCCGGGGAATTCCGTGTCGATAGAGACGTACGGGTAGTGCTCAAGCACGTCCCTTATTCTCTCGAACGCATCTTCCAAGTTATCCGACCACACGTCCACTATCTTTAGTTCTTCATCCATGTAGCATTTCGACTTGAGCGCATTCTATTCGAATGCGGCCACCCCAAATTACCATCTCCCAGCTACCGCAGTTCCTCAGGGTGTAGGAGTCACTACGCCCTGTACGATTGAGGCGCGTTACGTCCCCGTCTCGATTTTTGAAACGGTGTGCGTAACCCGCTCCGTCAAAAACCACGGACGCGACCGGGTGTCCGTTGAGGGCCTGCGTGGTAGGGGTGTTAAACCTTAGGATTGGTCGCGAGCGTCGATCCGAGCTCAGCCCCGAGTGCGTCGCGTACGCGTCCGAAGAACGCGCAATGCGTGGAATATAGCCGGTGTCGACGTAGGTTCCGCGGTGTAGGTACACGACAACATTCGTAATACACTAGCCGCTACTCGCGTCTTCCTCGGTTTGTCCATGCACATGAAATGCACAGCCCGCTTTGCGTCGGCGATTGGCTTCAGTAGCTATCTACCAACGTTTTCACGGTAAATTGTTTTGGGTCTGTTCTTCACGTTAAATCTTCATGCCAGCGCCGGGCGCCGTCGCGCGTCTGTCGGTGGCGATGGGGTGGCGACGTCTAGAGCGCCTCAGCGTACGGCTTTCGGAAAAAACTGGTGTGAATATTGCGGCTCCGCCTTGCTGCTTGTCTGATTTTTATTTTCTAAAGCGGTGCCGTTCTGGTGGTTGTCTAGGCTAGCCGCACTTGTCCCCGCTAGGTAGTGGGTGGACGCTTGCGTGAACCCATTTACTTAACGGGGCTTCACATTGTCTCCTGTCTGGATAGACGTTTTTATAGCTGTATTAATGTGTCTGTCGCGTAATCTAGCTGCGAGACGCGACTTTGGGCTTCTTCTCGCCCGTGCGGGTTGACGACAGCCCCCGCATCTATCTGTCCTGCGTATGTTGCGACATCCGTAGGGCTCATTTCTGTGTCTGCAGTTCTAGTGTTATGTCATACTAAATTTCTCTGGCGGGTAATCGCTATCTTCCGCCAGATCTCGGCCCCGTCGGCGGTCGTCTATGTGTGCCGACGCCGCGCAGCTCACTTTAATCGGTAGAATACTTTCTGGAACACTGGTCGTATAGTAGAGAGCGTTATATACTAACGGGTTTGGTATTCGCATTTCAACTTCTTGTCCTTCTTGCTGCGTCCCTCACGTCATGGAGTAGACCATCCAGGAAGCGGCGTAGAGCTGGCCTCCGTCTTATCGCATCATGAGATTTTCTAGCGCCCGCTTACAGCGCAGGGCGCTGTCTGCCGGCCGCAGCGCCAAGGAGTGCTTGGAGGAGTTCCGGCGCCTGGCGGCGGAGCAGTCGCGCTGTCGTATGACCTTCGAGGGCTGGCCGCCACCTTCTCGCCTGCTAATCGGCGACGGCACCGTACGTTGTTGCTCTATGAGATCATTGCGGTGCAGATGGCGCCGTTGGGTCGCGATATCTTCGTATTTCGCCGCGCGCTCAAGGATGGGCTGCGCTTCGAACCGACACTGGTCCTCTGCTGTGCCGGCCGACCGATGCTAATGTTGCGCCGGAGCGAGTTTGAGGCGCTCGTGCAACGCATACCGTGGATAAAACAGCAGATGAGCGAATTCTACAAACTAATATAGCATATTTGTGTTTTCTGTAGTCATCCCTCGCCGAAGCTGCCGTCGAAGCCGCAGAACGAGGTGAGGAGGAAGATAGGGAAATATTTCTTCTTTTCTATCTTCGAGCACCAGTTCCAGGCCGAGGTGAGCCGGCCGTCGATGCAGCTTCCCGCGTCGTTAAAGTTGTCCGCACCACTTCCGTCGAACGCGTGCCTGAAGAAGTCCGTGAGGATGACCATTTTGAGCCGCTTGGGCCCACCGAATTGGGTGTCGATGTACGTCCTCATCGCATCAGTGGATGCGTACAGCTCCGGTATTTTCTCGATGCATGAGACTATAGGCGACAGAATCCGCGGTATTTGTGTGTATTTGTCTATGAACATGAACGAGTTTGGCACATTGTGGTCGCCAAGGTGTACCATGTTGGATCCCACCCACGAGCCGACTTGCTGCTGAACCCTTCGCAGTATCTTACGCATTCCGTTCACTACATTTGGGCCGTACTGAACTCGGTTGAGTCCCTGTCCAGTGTTGCGCAGCCTGTATGGGTTTTCCGCGTCCAGCAGGTCCGCCTCCGCGTAGTGCCATAGGGCGAACATGTCGTGTGCGATTTCCCTCCAGAGCGTCAGCGATTGTAGGACGTAGGTGAACTGCTTCGCGTGCCCGTGGCTGAGGCGTGCGCCGTCGCTGCCTGCGTTGATAGACAGGTTGTACTTGGGGTTGGGGTCGTTGGGGTTAAAATTGTCCTTGAGATATGCGATCATGACGTCACAAGGTCTGCGGAATGCGCGGAGATGTGAGTAGTGGTCCGAGAGTGAGTAAAGGCATGTCTCTACCTCCTCTGGTGTCATTTCACCCTCGTCGGCAGCGTCGGTCGAACTTGAGAACGGTCTTGTGATAAATGAAAATTCGATGCCCATGATGCCGCCGCTCTTCTTGCGCGCGTACTTGTTCGTCAGGTAGCGAACGGCCTCTTCCTTGGCGGCAATTTCGCGCTGCACTTCGGAACGCGACTTGCCCTCTGGCGTTATTTCCATGGTTGCCAGCTTTATCTTGGGATCGTGCAACATGTCGAGTCCGCGCTTCTTGGTGGCAAGCAGGCTGAATACGGTTTTGACGGGCGCCACGCAGTCGAAGTTGAGCAGCTCCTGAATCTCGGGTTTGCGTGAGTCCATGAGGAAGTAGATCAGTTTCCCGTAAGAGTTCCTGATTTTGTCCGGGTTGAGAATCTTGTACCTCCTTCCGATTTCGAAAACGTTCCGGAAGAATTCGGCGTTTGCGGCATACTCCCGGTCTCGGACCAGGCGCTGCCCATCGTCGTAATTGTGCGCAATCGCCAAACCGCTGAGGATGGCACATACCTCCTTGATCTCTTTCACTATTCGGCGTGTTTTGCTGCCATCGTGAAGGATGTCGATCTTGTCCGTGTACTCGCTCACGTGCAGCGTGCTGTCTAACAGGCGCATGAGTTTGCGTTCACCCAGATTGAGCCTCAACGGCGCGAACTTTGCGATCTGCAGGAAGTACTCCGGGAACGAATGCGATTCTCCGTCAATGGGCATATTAACGTCCGGTGACGGCACGACCTCCGTTGAATCCAGCAGGTTAATTCCAGTGAATTCTTCTTGCTGGTCGCTGGCTTCTAATTGCTGAACCTATTGAGCTAAAATGGTGTATGCGCACTTACCCTTTGTTCCAACACATCCGGGAGAGCTTCACGCAACACCTTGGCGACGTCAACATGGGCGCCGAGAGCGGAAACCGCTGTACACAGTTATCTTATTACGTCTCGCTCATACCTCTGGCGAGATCTACTCGGTCGAGCTTGGCCATTAACTTGACAGCTTCACTTTCCAGCGCTGTGGAGGCGGCAACGCCGCCATCTTCGGTTGCTTTCACATCCTCGCTGTCCAGGAGGCTCGAGAGCTTATTCGGCCCCTCCATCTAATCCTACGCACGCTCTTTGACGTTTTTGTAAACCGTCTTATAGCCCAATTGTATTATATAACTTTTACCGGTCGTTTTCGTTTACATGTGCCTCGCGCTTATTCGTCGTTGCGGGGGGCGATTGCAGTTATCCGTAATGTCTACAGGCATTTAAGGGACGTATTTTTGTACGTGTTTACGTACGTAATGGGTTCATCGGCGAAACGAGGCCGTTTGACTTCTCTTCCGGGCGCACCCTTCCCCACAGCATAGACACGTTGCCTCCGTCGCAAGCTCGGGGAGGCTGCTGACGTGTAGTCGGATTCCACCCAGATAGCGAGTCGCAATGCCGTGCCCGTGGTGGATTTTGACTTTATAGTCGAAGAAACCGCCCAGCGCCAGTGTTACACATTTCCTCGGAGACTCGTGCTGGAACCGCAATGGCCGACTCTGAGTCGAAGGACGATGTTGCATGGCCTCAGAAATGCACACACTTTATTCGTTGGCTGCTACCATCGGTTGAGAGTCTGCAGGAGCAGCAAAAGCTGGCGTTTACAGCCGCTTTGGCGAGAGTAAAAGGTTCGTCGCAATGTGCAATGCACGCATGTATCATGAGCTTTCTTTTAAGCCAAGTTAATCCCGATTCAAGGAAGTGAGAAGTACAATGAAGGGGAGTTGCCCACGCTGGAAGATGAGCTTTGGCTGGTGCGTTTCTACGCGTTCCAGCTGTCGCGGTTCATGGCTGCCAACCACCTGAAGGACTCTGTTAAGGTAGCTGGTTGCTGTGATCTCCACACGTAGTTCAGGAGACAGCTCTTACGTTCTTCAATCGTTTTTACTTGCGGCGGTCGATGCTGGAATACGATCCGCGGATGATCATGTAGGTCCGAGGTGGCCGAATGTGCATGTGCGATTTCAGGTTCACCTGCATAACGCTGGCGATCAAGCTTGAGGACATGTGGCGCAACTACTATGTGGACAAGCTGCTGGGATCAGTCGATGGGCTGAACATCGCTCGTATGTTTTAATGCAGCCATTCCCAAAGTGTTGGTAGGTGTGTTCGCATTGGAGGCAACGGTTTGCGACGCGCTGGAGTTCAACTTTTTGGTGTTGCATACGTCAGATTCTATGCACATAATTCGCATGCGGTGCATGGAGGTTGGTGTTCAGGTGTGATTCGTGCAACTGGCCGCAGTACCTGAAAGAGAGCCTGGGCATCGACGACGATATTTTGGGCGAACACCTGGGAATGATACTTTCCGTCTGCAATGACGCGGAGAAAGATGCTCTGTACATGCACGAGGATCCGGAGTGGGTTTCAAACTCCGTATTTTAACGGCCACTAGGTTCATCTTCCTCCACACTCCTACCCAGCTGGCGGTCGCAAACTTCACGCGGCACTGCAAGAAGCGCATGAGCTCGCTTGTTTCAGTCAACAAGTGAGTCCTAAACGATGTGATTTGACGTTGTGGCAGGTTCTTGGCGAAGAAGATGCTCTACGGCGACGAGTCGCGTTTGCCCGTGCTGACCAAGACTCTTCAGAGCATAAATGTAGGTGTCTGGTGCGAGTTGCTAACGTTTACAGGATCGCTTCACACGTCACATGGAGCTGCGGGCATCCATGGACTCAGAAGAGCAGAAGGCTGGTAAGTCATCGTGTGCAGCTGAGCTGTGCAGTGATTTTCGCTCTGCCATAACACGCAGGGGCGATACTCGACAAGTACTTGCCGCTATACAGCAGCTTATAATTATGTTTAATCGCATTACATATTTAAATATGTATAATATGGTTTGGTGATTCGTGATGGCCTCCAACAGCGAGCGTGCCGATGCGCGGCAGCGAGACTGCTCGCTAGGTGACTCAGACGGCCACAGCTACACATTGGAGCCGGTGCTACAACACCGCAGTTCACCTATAGATTGGATCCAGCTGCAGCGTTTCGTCACATGGTAGGCTCACCCTACGCTGTCTCATCCGTCCCAGGCTCATGTCCGTGTCCGCAAAAACGAAGTGCCCGCTGACTCTTCGCAATGGCCGCGTACACTCCCATAGCAATGTGATGATCGCCGTTCCGTATTTGGATTCGGACTACCTGATGAACGACCTGGACGCCCTGAAGGTGGTGCTGCGCTCCACCGAAAGCGGTACCCTCTACCGAATGTTGGTCAACGAAGCTTTGTAGTTATGATTAGCAGCAAATCGCCGGCATGTCACATTTCTGAGGGTACATGCGACATAATGAAGGTTAGTTGGACCTTTATAACGGCTAATTGTTGCAGAAGTTTTTGTTCATGGACGTGAAGAAGCAGACGGGGGCTGACGAATCAAATCGCATATCGCAGTTTTGCCTCACTTCAGAGATGTACCGTAACGCTGACAACTTAGGGCACACTGAAGCTGGGGAATTTGAGGATTTGGACTGCCATCCAGCAGAGTTTGTTAACAAAATGGAGGCCGACATATCGGAGGACCACCTGTTGTCGGTGCTGGAGTCCTACGCGTCGGCACCGCGTCACCTTTGCAGGGACCCGGAACAGTTGAAGGAGGCCGTCAATAGGTACCGATCCACGCCATTCACTGCCGAATTGGCTCCGGAATCTGCCCCGTCAAGTGCTGAAATATCGGGCGACGACGATTACGTGGGCACACCGGAGTTCAATTTTGGCAGTGAATTGTTGCGTCGTTACGCATCTATCGCTCACAAGCTTCGCAATGACCCGTTGTTCCCCAAAACGTTTGCTTTGGACTGCGAGATGGTTTCCTCGACGAAGGGTACAGAGCTGGCTCGCATCACGGTCGTCGATGGCCTATTGCGTGTCGTGTTCGACTCATTGGTGCAACCTTCCTGCCCTGTGACAGACTATCGCACTCCGTATTCGGGTATAACGGAGAAGGGTTTATCCGGGGTGACTGTCACATTATCCGACATACAAGCTGCCCTCTCCCGTATTGTAGACGGCGAGACCGTACTGGTCGGACACTCTCTGTACCACGACTTGAGGTAGGTCATCATATTTTGTGAATAAATACAATACAGAGCATGCGAAGTCAGCCATGGGCGCGTGATAGACACCGCCCTGATGTACGCCCTCCAGAACCGTAGAAACAAGCCGTCCCTGAAGGCGCTGGTAGGTTGTAGGTTTTAAGAGAGGAATGCTGTTCAGGCTGAGACGCATCTTAAGTTGGACCTATTGCGCGATTCTGGTCACGACTCCTATGTTGACGCAGCCACATCTATGTATCTTGCAATGTCTGGCGTCATCGATCTGGAGCCTCCTTCGACGAGGACCATCAGCATTCTTGGTCAAGAGGCGTTCTCTCTCTTATCGCGGCCGGAGGAACAATTCCCTTCACCGGTTGTATATGTCATCGATCCCATGGCGGATCATTATAAACACGTGAGTTCGGCTCTGGCCCAATGTAATCTGATCGCAGCAGCTGGAGTGTGGCATTTCATTGGAACAAACTTCCGATGATGACTCGTCCGTTGATCGTTTAGTGGAGTTGGTACGTAGTAATAGAGGTGTGGATGCTGCGTGTTACTACGTCTTGGTTCTCCGGGACTTCCAGAAGATGTGCCTGCGTAAAATGTTTGAGTCGCCCAGTAAGTTCACGGGGTAACCATAATCGTAATGGCATCAGAAAATGAGGAGTGTACGTCGTTGACTAAGCGTGTCAACCCTAAATCGGTATGCGAGTACCTTATCCGCCTCTCCGCGCTGACTGATCGCGTTGTTGCTTGTCTGGATCGCGATGACGTCACGATGATGTCAAACCTGAGTGGTGATACGGCAAAGGTAGACGTCCTCTCTCAATCGCTTCATGCCAAAACACCGGGCCGTATGTCTAAGCTGTCGCGCCTATTGTGGCGACTTTATGCGTTAGGTCATGGCGAACCAGCACCCAATTGCGCTAACATGGGGGACTCGGCCGATACACCTGACGCTGTCGAGAAATTCTCACGTCGCACTCAGATAGTCACCGTGGCGACTTTAAAACGTGAGCACGAGATGGCGCTACGTGATCGTCACCTCAACTGGGCGATCTTTTTGACTAAGAAGAGTTCGAATAAGCGCAAGCCCATTTCCCAATAACCGCAACTCTGATGCAGTTTAATTGTGCTGGAAAATACGCGAAATGATAGTTAGAATTTAATATACGTGTGTTATGTCTTGTACACAATGGTTGGTTTCTATTCCGCTATTTTGCGATAATTGTCTACTTACTGCTGGGACCGTAAGTAGTGGCGACCACTGGTTCACGTCTCGCACGTTACAGACTGCGTACCAAACATCGCCTGGCCCTTGAACAACGTTAATGTCCATCTTTAAAAGGATGGGTCGCCTTTTGTTTTGTAGGACTGATTGTTCAAAGTCGTGGTCCCCTGTTTCATGTCCCTCAGCACCTTTTGTGTTGCTTGGATCACTATCCGTTGTATGTGGGCTTCTAGGCGATCCGATATGCCCAGGTCCCGCCTGTACTTGGTGTGGTCTTTTGTCACTATTCCCTCCCACGTCATAACGTAGGGGATTACGCTGATCCCTGTATGCTGGTTGAATTGTAGCGCCTTCAGGTCCTCGGTTAGGTTTTCTTACTTCCTTCTCTTGTAGTTCGCTGTCGCTGCCAGGTTGTCTTGGTTGGTTATTCCTATTCCTACTTCCATGATGGCGATAAGGCTCCTCCGTCGATCCGCCACTATTATGTCTGGTAGGTTATATGCCTTGATCTTCTGAGTCCTGACCGTTTTGTCGTACGCGATCCATCAGTGTTTCCCAGGCACTTCACCCTCGAACTTGGGAACATCTATTTCCTCTTTGGGTAGTCCTATTTGCCTCCCAAGTTCCGAGTGGATTATCCTCGCAACTGCCCCGTGCCTCTTTTTATAGTCTATATGTAGTATTTTACGGCATATTGGGTATCATTAATCTCTGTTAAGCTTCCATTCAGAACCGCTGCTTCAACACCGTGAATGCAAGGCAAGTCAATTATTAAACTTGTGTGACACTACACACGCATTACTATGTGACACGAATGCCAGCACTCTTTTAGAAATTAGTTGTTTAAGAGAGGTTTTTGCTTCCAAGTGCGGCATATGCGGCAGAATATCCTCCACACTCAGCGAACAACTGCCCTATGGTGTAATCGGATGACTTCGTCATATACAGGTGAACAGCAAAGCCTAGGAAGATAGCGATGAGTACAAGGGCAATGACGCAGCAGTTTATTGTCCTGATAGTTAGTGGCCAATGGATCTGGGTGGTTAGCCGTCAACGTAGACGGTTGGATACTGCTGTACTTGGTGAACTACATGGTCGCCTGTTAGGTGAGTGGTTGACATGCCAGCTGTCATGTGCCACGCTAGGATATGAATGTCTCCGGGAGTCTCCGACGTGATGGCCAGTGAACGGCCTAGTTAAGTGTCACTTAAAGGCGGCATTGTGGCGTTCACAGATATAGTAAAGACGCACCGCAAATGATCTAGCGACCTAATAGCGTATGTGAAGCGTGGCAGCTCTACAATACGTATGCTGCACGTGGCCCGAAGCGAAGAGCGTCTGCAGTGCCTGCATGTGCATTGTGGTATCCCTGGTGGTGGGTCTTATAACGCCCATCGGAGCCGTCCTGGCGGTTCTACAGCTCAGGGATCGAGGTACGTATTTCACGCTTCTGCAGATTTGGTTAGTGGCAGTTCTAGTGTTCGAGATCGAAGTACATGTTTCATGCCTATGCAGGTTAGGGACAAGTGAGCTAGGGGAAGATGTCGGAACAGTGCAATTGTGGTTTGCCATGTGACCAACGTAATTGTCAGTGCTGTACCTGGTGTTGTGAAAGATACAACAGTTGCTTACAATGTACCGTGGGAAAGTTGATGAGCGAAACCAGACATAAATGTGAGCCTACTAACTGTGAGACAAATTGTAAAGAGCTGTCCACATGTAAATGCATCTGTAAAAGCCAACGTACACTCTCTTTCACCACTGCCCTTGCTTCCACCAGTGACTTTTCCACCGGCGGCAACAATTCCACCACCGATGTCGTCACTCCCATCATCACTATCTTCATCGCAATCATCCTCATCGTCGTATGCGTTATGAGTTTCTACCGCATTCGGCCCTTCCACAGGGTCCGCGATTATGTTGTCCGCAAGTGAACGCTTTGTATCGCATTTTGTAATCATTTCCGGCATTTTCACAATCACAATTATCGCACCGTTTTAGACATTACGAGCACCATCCCAACGCAATAACGTCTTATTTAATGTTTCGAAATCGTGCTCCGGCAGGTACCCGGTGAACGCGTTCATGAATTATATCGTGACAGAGTATTAGCTACAAGAAAAGGATTAACAATGCTCCATGTAGGGCCCGCATCTGCTCACACCTTCTCACCACCAGGGCCTCCCACCTTGGCGACGTCAAGACATTACTCACTAAAGGCCGAAAAATGCTCTTACTGTACAACGGCGTCGACTACTTCGACGATCCCACTGGGAAACTCAACTTCAAAACGCAGTTATCGCGCTCAACTAGCCATTTTTTGCGTTGAGAAATGTGCTGCCAAGGTGATGCAATTATGTACGAGGGGGTCACAGGTGACAATGTGGCGTGCCGCCGAGCTCGGAAAGCCGGATCCATCACGAGCGCAACTCACATAACTCCGCCCAACCAAACGGCACCAAACGACATTACTTGGAGCATTTAATCACAGCCATAATGGCAGATATCTGAAAATTGGCGGCTTCTTTCCACGGTAGCAGTGGACCGAAGCCGAGTGGTCATCCATCTCGACAGCTGCGGAGTACCATGATCATTAAGATAGTGACCTATTAATTAGGTGTATGAATGGCATGTTGATATTGATGCAGATCAATATACGATTTTCAAAGGAGGGCCCACGGGAGAGATTCTTGATTATTCCGGGACATTGTACGGCGTGAGGACCATGGGACGACGTAAAAGGTAATACGGTAACCTCAGCCCATGGTAACATCTAACATCCTGAAGTGTAGCAATAGGAATACTTATATCGCCAGGCTTGGTATGTGTCGCTCGTGTCTGAAATTTGACGGCGATGATGACATGCGTTGTGGATACTGCATGCCAGGTTAATCGTGTGGATCCGGCTGCGATGGGGCAGCTTGGTCGTCATTGCGCCTCTGAGGTCCGACTGTTGTGTCGTATCTACAGCGTTGTAGATCTCAATCAAACGCTTACTTATTAGGTGTCAAAAAGCGCTGTTACTTGTAAAAATTAGGACAAAAGCCTCTTAAGGGCTCGGCCCGTAACAGCACAAAATTAAGACCTTTGTCAGTCACTTAATTCAACGCTCCAGTAAGAAATGGTATACAGTTCGCTGACTGACATTCCTCGCAACCTCAAGGAGGGTATTGATTGGTTGATCGCCCTGAGGGGAACTGATGCCGAAAAGAACTTGAAGGCTTTGGGCGAGGCGCTTTACAAATTCCTCGCAGACAAGCCCGTTGGCAAGAGGGAGTTGCCGGCTCTCGAAAATGTAAAACTTATCTCTAAGAAGTTCCTGGAGAAACCGGAGCTTAAGGACATGTGGCCCGCAAGCGAGCTGCTGGGGAGGTTTAATAAGCCTATGAACAAAAACTTCGTTGGGTTAGCAAAGTGCTTTAACAATGCCGACGAAAGCGATTACAAGAACGTCGTAAAGGCCAGGCGTCTTACCCCTAAAACCATCGCAGAGAAATTAGGTAAAATTGTGGCTGGCTGTGAGAAGTTATTAGAGAGTGTCAAGAACCCTGAGCAGTATTACTCCTCTTACACTTCGGAAGCGACGTGGGAGGCATCTTGCGCAGAGAACCCGGAAGCCTGTGCGGTAGTCCTAGTGGGGATTGCACCAATGCTATACACAGGCCTACGGTCTTTGCGGGAGGAGAGCAAAGTTGGAACTGGGGTGTTGCCACTCTCTGGTAAGGGTAAGCCTATGGGAAAAGTGTTGAAGGCCGTGGGCTACAAAGAATCAGAGTACCGCGCTGGAATGACTGGCTTAAGTATCCGCAATGCATTGAAGGGTCTGACTCTGGAAGTTCTGGACACAATCTACGATCTCTGTGGCTTCTGGGCTTTCTACTGAGTGGGTGGCACATGTGAGCCGCAAAAAAAGAATTGGACCCAGGGTTCCCAGTGGGTCGACGTCACTAACTCTCACGAGACGTTTTTATTACATGAAATGTTTTTAAAGCCGTCTCTTGGTATACACTCTTAATCCGCGATACTGGTGGCGTCATCTAATGACCAGAGCATTTATAGACATCTCTTTAATATCTTTAGTGACGCCATTTGGTGTGTTCTTGTTCGAAGTCACGTGTTCATCTTAGTATAGCTGACAGGCGTTGTTTGTATGTCACGCTGCATGCTGATTTGTGCCTTATCTGGTGAATGACTGATCACCGTCCATGCCACGCGTTGGACAACCATCCTCATAACTGTCTTCTAATACGTGATTGTCACGCCATGCAGTTTTGCGGCGACCTGAGATCGTAGCACCGCAATTAGACTAACTGCTACCGTGGATAGAATAATCGTGATCTCCACTGTCACAAGTCCTTATAGAACTCTTGAATTTTTAGTATCACGTATATTGTTAACAGCATCCACATTTACCTTGTGATCTACGTATTGCATCTGTCGCTTTCCCTTCATCATTGATTTGCATCTTCCTTGATTTCTCTCACAGCGGCGTCGTTAAATCTGGGGACTTCACCTTCAACTTAGCCAGCTGTATCTCTAAGCACTCTTGTGACGTTCCCCCTGAAGTCCTCTTCAAGTCCCTGAACTTCCTGTTTCACCGCCTGCAACTTGCTGTCCACGGCTTGGGCGGGGCTTTCAGGTTGGCCGGGCGAAGGGGGGACGAGAGGTTTGCCAGGGTCGGAAGTAGTTGCCTTAGTAAGCTTATTTTGAAGCATTTTAGTCACACTCAAAGCTTTATCCAACGCCTTAGCAATGTGCATCCCTGTGTCCTGTCCGCCCATCCTGTAGTCGGCGAGTAGGACTGAGTCCAGTTCGTCGGCGACCTGATTAACTGTTGCGCGAAGGGCAACAAGGGATGCTTCTACGAGAAGCTTTATATGTTCCTCGGTGGTGCTTCCTTGCAGTTTACTCTTAACCTCACCGTGAACCTTCCCGGCTATCGCGGAAGCAAGCGAGTCAAGTCTGCTGGAATGCAGTTTCTCATCCAGCTTGCTGACAAACTCCTCGCAACCTTTCTTTACGGCTTCAACGTCCTTTTGGATGCTGGGCGGAGCGCCACTTCTTTCTTTCGTAACCACTCCACCGGCTGTCTGTGCTTCTGCAGTAAACTTCTCCCCGATGTTTTCAATGATTTTCTCACGGAATATATCCATGTAGCTTTTACCGCCCATAATCGTGCCGCGGCCACCAACGCTATTCCACTTCACACCCTTACTCTCAACCCATTGTTGAAGCCAAGCTTGTAGAACCTTATTTACCTCCTGACCATCCTTCTTCTCCCCCCAAATACCGTTAAGCCAGCCTTGGACTCTTTTATTAAAGTTGTCGTCGCCTTCGAAATTCCCCGCATAGTGATTTATCGCACTCTCAATGCCGAGCAGACCACTGCCACCTTTAAGATACCAACTTTCTGATTCACCTTCCTCCCCCTTAATCTCCCCAACCCTATCTTTAATATGTCTGAAAATACCTTGAATGTCTTTGGGCCCTGCACGGCCAACGTCATTAAACACACCGCCAAGCTCCCCAATCGCCGAGTCAACTTCACCGACTTTGCTTTTAAGCGGATGTTGGATAGCACTCTGAAACTTACTTTCGAGTTGATCAGTGTGGGTTTTAATTGGGTTGGTAACATTGATAAGTTGTGTCTTCGCCGTTGAAAGACCCTGCAACTCTTTACTTACAAGATTATTCACATTATCGTCCCTGGCAAGATCACTCATCTTCCCCTTCAACGCCCCCAAATCATTCTGCACTTTCTCACCCAAATCATTAACTCCCAAATCTTTAATCACCTTTTGTATCCCTTCCTTAATCTCCTCTCTCACTGTCCTCAAATCCCTCTTGAGATCTCCGTCCATTTCCACAACACCCTGCAAGGCCTCACCGACCAATTCGCCAACTTGCTGCTTAGCCAACTTCGCGGCATTATAAAGTTCTGTTCCCTTGTCTTTTAATGTTTCAGCTTGCTCATAAATCACAGCTTCTTTAACATTTTTATCTGTGCTAACCCTCTTAAGTATCTCCTCACACTTCTCGTTGGCCTTGTCAATAACATTGTGGGCCGCAGACCTCCACTTACCTAAATGCTGAACTTCCGTACCAAGAGTTTTATTTGCATTCGCTATTTCCTTGTTAGCTTTGTTGATGGCTTCAATATTTTTGCCTACAGGATGAACCTTATCGTCCTTATCTTCCAACCCCTTATAAACCTCTTCCGCCTTTTTCACCGCCCCGGTAAGCACTGTCCTGACCTGCTGATTCAAATCACCCATATTACCGTGAAGACCATTCAGGCCTTTATGAACTCTTACATTTTCATCTTTTGTTTTAACAATTTTCTCAACATTCCTACTCAAATCAGCATGAACATCCAACTTACTGTAAGCCTCTTCCGCTTTGCTCCACGCCGCCTTGCGGATACTCTCCGCGGTTTCGATCCACGAATTAAGGCTGTAAAAGTGTATTTTGTGCTTTTCATTGGCTTGGCCAGTGCTGTTTGTTGGTGCTTTCAGTGCCTTCTTTGGCGGGGGTCTTAAAAGCATAAACACAAAGCTTTTATCAGATGGTGATGGATGAAAAGTTGTGGTAGCGACATTATAGGTTATGTTTGGTGACTAGGGGCTTATTACCGTCGCAAAACATACTATAAGACAGCTGAGTTTGTCGTAGACATTTGTGGATGGTGGAAACAGTGTTGGCGCTGAAGGACGGCTGGCGACCACTGGAGTGAGGAGAGTAGCGTAACGCATACTAAAAACTGTATGAGTGGAGGTGGATAATGCTATGAATATGTGGCATAAAGACTGCATTTGTGGCAATTGGAAAGCCTTTTATACCTATATTCACGGGCGCGAAGGATACAACGTAGGAGGCATCGCCGGTCGGCGTACCTCATCAGATCATCAGACGTTTGTGGCACAGTGCAACAAGCGAGACATAAATGTAGGATGCTAGTAACATTTTGGTGCTTCAAGGAATTGTACCGGGTTGTTGGCTACCATGACTGAAACAGCGGCGAGGAGCGACTGGGCGGCTATGCGGTGTGATGATGGTATGCGCAGGTGGGAGCGGATGTGAGTACTACATTGGGAGGTGTATATCCTGTTCTTTTAACTAATACGCTACTACGATCTAACTCACGAACGCGTTCAACGGCCACCAGCCGATGCGCGATGTTGAAAAATTTAAATAAGACGTTATTACATCGGCGTTGTGCCGGTAATGTCCAGAACTGTGCGATAAGTGCAATTATGAAAATGCCGACCGTGATTATAGAATGCGATACAAGACGTTCACTTGCGGACGAAACAATCGCGGACCTTGTGAAACGGCCGAATGCGGTAGAAACTCATAACGCATACGACGATGAGGATTATTACGATTATGGGAACGAAGACGATGCATATGCATTTATTTCTACAACATGTACAATCACATGTGAATAAACTTGTTTCTACGCATTTCGAACAGTTAGAATGACCGTATATTTCGGAACGTTTCTTTTCGCACGCTTTGCACTTGTCGACTCCAGTACACCCCGGACAACACCAGTTACAGCACCGACAAGGTGACACTCTGCACACTCCGTCCTTTCCAGCGCAATTACATCCCTCTGCCGACATCTTCCCTTATCTCACATGTCATCAACAGACACAAACATCAACTACATACCTTAAGCCCCTAATAGTAGATCCTCCAAGCCGTCTCGAGAATGTCCCAGACAAACGCCAGGGATACCACAATGGACATGCAGGCACGACACAAGCTCTTCACTTCAATTTATTGGCAGAATACCTATTGTACACTTGCCACTATAATGGTGCGCTGATGGGCGTCTAGCTGAGTTAGGGTGCCTGCTGACTGTGTTACTGATCAACAGAATGTTGCGCATAACTGCCACTTAACTATGCCGTACACGGGCGATCACGCCGGATAGACAGCGACATTGGATGCCTAGCAACGCGCATGATAACTAACATGTCTAGCACTCACCTAACAAAGGACCAAGTAACTCAGCTAGCACAGCAGTCGTAAACTGCCTAGGTTGATGGCCAACCGTTCAATTCCACGGTCTACTGTCACCGCGCAATTTATTGAAAGCTGGACTCCGGCGCTAATAGATGCGAAAGACGATAGACCCAACTGCATTTAAGAAACAAAGTTATTGCGATATTACAATTTAACGTGCGTTATTTAAATCTACATTAGGCCTTTAAACGGGAAGGCGGAGCGGTGATAAACGTCCATCTCCTCGTGAATCCTTCCACCGGCAAGATTCGTGGATGCGCCGGAACTTTTAAACGAGTTGACAAATGCAGTGCGTAATCCATAATACACCTTGCGGAATGGACCAGGATACATATTCCAGGCAATGAATATGCCTATTAGAATCCCAACGACGGGAATGGCAATAGCGCCAAAGCGGTAACATACATGTTTCGCACATAATTTGCTGCAGTCTTTGCAGTAGGCTATGCAATTGCCGTTCTCATAAAGTTGGGCGAAGGCGCGACAGTCCTTTTTATTTTGGCAAGAATGTGGAGTGATTTCTTTCTCGCCGTAGTATGGGTAGTGTCCCTCGCATTCTTCTTTAGTTTTGACACTGCATCTGCCGATGACGTAGCCTCCACACTCTCCAGGACAACTATTGCGCTTACACCAAGGACAGCAATTACAAAGTCCGTACCCGCATCCGCAACTACAGTTTGCGCATATACACATCGTACCCAGTCTTCCATCTCTACATTTCTCCTCGCAGCGCTTACAATTTTGGGTCTTACCCTGACATTTGCCGTCGCTGCCGTTTTTATAGCAACTCTCTTTACAACCACAGCGAACGCGAGCACATTTACATTTTTTATTAGCTTTGCACTCTCTCTTGCAGTTTTCACATCCGGGTTCACAGCACGGATTGGTGCCCTTGTGATCGGGCTTTGTGCATTCCTGACCACCGCCATCGTGACATGTTATTTTCTCACACCCACAGTTGTTCTTTCCCTTTCCCTCTGTCATCCTTATTCCTGGATTCATTCACATACCCATCCGCAGCGATGAACATCCTGGCGCAAACGGCAGAATGCAGCCTCCAGCGTTCCGGTGATACGACGCAACTAAAGCAACCAGCCCTGCACGAGTGAGAGCATCACATCTTAATGGCGCACCATGCCTTGACAAAGCAAAGTTATACAAAGCTTGTGTCCACGGAGACAAGCCGCTGCACACCTCGTGCTTTGACAAGCGTGGTTGCAAATAATGCAACTCTGGCACCACCCCATGCATCAGCGAGTCACGTTGCCCACATCATGACGGCAATAAACACTTAGCTATATATCATCCAAGAATGCAGTTTCATCTCCAATAGTATCATGTCACTCCACCTCAGCACTGCCCTTACTGCGGCAGACATGGTAGCATGCAACCGCATGTGACAAGGTATCCAATTGTATCAAAAACAAAATGCATTAAACATCCACATCGCATCTGCATATATATCTACAACAGAAGTAGATTTTTCTAGCTTTTGCTGGCGAAATGTAGTATATCACTGTGGACATTGTATAAAAAGGTGCACAACGTCCTTAGGTGTCAACGCAACATCTGCGCCTAATGATAGGTTTATAACGTTACTGCTTACCATACACTATGGTATAACCTGTAAGTGCCTATTAATTGTCTACTCAACCGGTACTGGTATAAGGTAGATAGCGGTGTATCCACCTCCTTACTTGACTGTCTATCGCAGCGTGACACCGCATTACTGGTGCATCATATTATCTCTGTTTCAAATTGTACAGTGCTATGTGGCTACGTGTGGCTTGGGTCCGATATTCGTGTTTACCAGGCTATCGCCTCACGATGCTGGCGTAGGCAGCGGGCTCTACGTCATGGTATCGCCGAACGCTGCTGGATATAACTTTCAAGGGCCCCGTGCACCACCATCTAGGGCCTCTGCAGGGCACAAAAAGAACAATTCAAAGGGCCCACAAATGGGCGCCCACACCAGTGCATACCACCTCACTTCTCGCCCGTTCGGGGCGGAATAATGTGAGGCCAGGACATTTAGCACGATAAAAGATTAAAACGTTTAGTCATTAGGTCCAAGGGTTAACATGCTTTGCAATCAATAGGCGTTCTGCATTTCTGCAGACGGCTCACCACCGAACTACTGCATTGCTGCACGTACCGCCTGTAGACCTGAGGGGTGAAGGAATGTAAAGCGTGACTAATAAATTGCGGGCCCCACACAATATCCGTTGGGTATACGGACATTGAAGGGTGAAGCTGAAAAGAAACCCGCCAACCGGCGTCCTGAATACCATTCAAGAGCTGCCAAGAACTTTGCTTGCCCTCATTCGATGCCAGCAGCGCCATCGACGAAGGCCGCAGAGATTGAACCGGAGTTAATTCCATTTCCCAAATTGGAAATGTTCCGTAAGGGTTTCTATGATGCCTCTCACTAAGGAACCGGACTCAGGACCTCTTATTGCTGACCTGCTTCTACAGCTTTCGCAGCCTTTTTACCCTTTTTACCTTTTTTACCCTTTTTACCCTTCTTGCCCTTTTTGCCTTTCTTGCCCTTTTTAGGTTTTGTAGCCTTCGCAGGCTCTTCAACGCCTGTAGGAATTGCAGACCCTACAGGTTCCACGGCTTGTTCCGCTTGAATGGGTTCTTCAACGCCTGCAAATTGTTCCTCCTGAACGGGTTCTACAGATTCCACGAGTTCCGCGAATTCTACAGCCTCTTCCTTTTGAACGGGCTCTACAGATTCCACACCTTCCACGGGTTCCGCGCCTTCTGCAGAATCCACGGGCTCTACAGATTGTTTGACATTCCGGTCCCATATTTTGTCAGATCCATAGAAAAAGTCAAATCCGGAAACATCATCGAGTATGGACGTTACGCCATGTGACACATTGCTCAACGCATTGAGGACCTCCGAACCACTCAGGCTTTCTCGACACTCCGGCTCAACGAAACCCATGGCTTTCAATACATACCCCAAACGCGTAGACGCCCCGACTACTTCCGAATCACTCATGGTAAATTTGCGTTGAGGTGCTTTGTAACCGAAGACACTCAATACCTTTTCAAAGCGTTTCTTTGAATCACTCGGCTCTCCCTTATCTGCAGCTTCGCTAGCATCCCTCAAAGATTCTAAGCCTATGAATAACATAGGCGCAATACCCACAAAGACCGCTGCGCAATCTGCCGGGTTTTCCGAGCATGAAGCCTCCCACGTCGCTTCAGAACCGTAAGCAGACTTGTACTCATCAGGGCTTTTTATTTTTTCTAAGAACCTCTCACAACCATCCACAACTTTGCCTAAGTTCTTTGTGACAGTTTTAGGACTGCCTCCCATGGCATTGGTGAGTTCGTCAAGCGTCTTATCCATGGAACTAGCCAAACCTCCCAGCATCACGTTCGCGGGCCACAAGTTCCTAAGTTCCCTTTTCCACATGAAACCCATGGAAATAAGCTTTATGTGCTGCAGAGCTATAGACAGCTTAGTCTCAGCAGCCTTTTGTGCGACATCCTCTGGGATATCCGCTGGGACATCTGCTGGATGATCTTCTGGGATTTCTTGTGGGATATCATCTGGACGATCTTCCGGGATTTCTTGTGGGATATCATCTGGACGATCTTCCGGGATTTCTTGTGGGATATCATCTGAAAGACCTTCCGAGAGACCTTCTGGGGCATCTGCTGGGAGAACTTCCGGAAGCTTTTCTGCGAGCAAATCGTAGATTGCGGCGCCCATAGCCTTCAGGTTGCTCTCAGCATCAGTTCCCTTCAGGGCTATCAACCAGTCAATGCCCTCCTTGAGGTTACGAGGAACGTCAGTCAACGAAGTGTACACCATTTTGTGAAGATTATTTAAAACAATCGACCGATAAAGGTGTGGAATTTTGTCTATTTGCAGCAAGCTTATCTAAACACCCGCGTCTTAGTCGAGGAAAAACACAAGTGCTGTAGCCTTATAAAACGCACGTACCCTATCGAAATGTACAGGCCTGTACATGAATCGAGCAGTGAGAATTTGGAGGCGCGATGAAAAGCCTGGTGCCCCACGTTAGCCAGCTCCACACTACTAATGTGCATGCAGTGTGCACAACGCATGTCATTAGTGTACCCAATTTTCAGACAAAAAATGACACACACGGAGTCCCGCACTGTTGGTATCTCAGCAGCTACGTATCAACTTTCGAAATTTACGGGTGTTTTGCGTTTAGTATACTGGAGTCCACACCATCCTGTGGTTGTCACGTCTATCCCCAGTCATAGCCCACCATCTTCATCGTGATCAGAGCACGGCAAAACACAGAATGTAACTGCATTGTGTTGCCTTACACTTATCCGTCAGGAGACTCGCTAGCTTCTCTATGATGGCACCCCCTGCCCACTAACTTGGATGATCACCCGCACATCTTGAAGACACTCTTGCCGCCGTGCTGCTGCAAATGGACGCCGTTATGTCACAATTCTATTGATGTTCTTGAACATTTTGCAACGCTCATTGCCCCAACGACGGTGGCAACTGGCGATGTGGCCGTAGAATTCTAGTGCCTCTGGTTTAAGTCACGTGGCACATCTAAGTCGTGTTTATATCTGAGCCAATTTTTGCCTCTAATACCAGCCCTCAGCAGAATTATGTGAGTACAATGTTTCGTTGCTTGTAACAGCTGGACTAAGCATGCATCAACGTTAGCATTCACCCAGCGGTGGAGAGTTAAACCATGTGCTATAGCATACGGCACTGGGAATTATATGCCATGGTGTAATGATGACGTAATGGGGGAAGGGATTCTAACGACTTATGTGGTAGCCTGCAGTGAACGTCAGTTCAGGCATTGACGCCGTTGTAGGTGTGGTAAAACACATAGAGCGGCGATGTTGACGCAATAGATGCTTGCAGACGATGAATCATACTAGGGGTTTGATGTGCCAGAAATGGCAAATGGTACTACTTTTTTAATGGCGTGGTACCGACGGACAACCCATGACCGCAGCATGCCCATTAAGAAAATCGATTACGGGCCCTAAAAGCACCGCCAAAAACATGATCTGACACTAACAATGCTCGCTTGTTTAATGCTGGCTGTGCTCTTCGAGCGCCATTGCTTATCCGATCTGTAATGATTGCAACGGACGGAAGCAGTTGGGATTTTAATACATTCGAATAATGAATTACTAGACGATTCAAATAAGCACTGGAAATGTGCACAGATGGGGAGCAATGTTGCATCCTGATGCACGTGGTAAGAAAGAGGCCACTGCAGAGAATGGCGCTTCGCAACTGCTTCTTGACGTCAATGCTCAGCGAGCTACTTTATCTTGTACGCTCTCGGAATACAGAGGATACGGCATCGTATAAATAACAGTGGTTCACTGTTAGTCCGAGAGCTTATGCGTTCATCGTTAATGTCACAGATAACACAATTTAGTATTAGACCTTATTTACCCACATCATTTAAACCTCGCGCCTCTCACAGAAAATATCGAGTTATTCCGGGGCGGTATACAGTTTGCAGTTTTAATGAAACATATAATGAAAGTAAATATCGTGTGAAACGAATACGCTTCTTAGGTATTTGGCGTAGTGGAGCCCGGTGGATTAATGCCTGCCCAGTGTACCGTGAATCGTGAACACAAGATTCTGAGAAATATTTTCTGTTCTACATAATGCTACATACACAATTCAAACAGAGGACAAGTTGATATGTACCCGTTGCGGTAAATAAGGGCATCTTATACCGCAACTGCGATCACCTTCTGGCAACATTGTTCAGAGCTGCGCAGGGATGTTTGATGTGGCGAGGCAACAATGAATCAAGGGAGTTTTGGATGGACGGAAGGAAAGTGTTCTTCAAGAAATGATAATTTCGCACTTTAAATGGTTGCAAAGATATAAAAGCCATGTCAGTGTTGTTATTGTGGCTGTGAGAAGCGTAGTTATCCCTGCTGTACGTGGTCTTGTGAAGGATGCAATGGTAAAGGTAAAAAGTGCCAGCTATGTCTCCCTATATCAAAGAAAATCCCATTTAGTAAGTCCAATTGTACAAATTGCTTCGCCTGTGGATGTCATGGGTGCAAAATTCGCTTATGCCCAATATATGGCATTTACGCATTCGTCATCCTCCTACCCATAGTCGACAATATATATCCCAACAAAGCTCGGAAATTGAGGTTTGGAATGAAGAATGCCTTTAGTGAGGACTCGAAGCTATTCGCATCATGCTTAGTCCCACATCCAACAATTCCTCATATACTTAGCCAATTGGCAGCGTACAAAAAAATGATACCACCGCGTTTGCTAGATAGGTGGCAATCTGTATAATTAGTGCCGGATGAGTGGTGCGAGTGAATGGTGTGATAGCCCGTTGTAAGCGGATCGCAGTACCAGGCCGCCGAACTGGGCGATCGTTTCTCCATATCAGTAGACAATCAGTCGCATGCTGAATAAGTTATTGTTTTATCAATCGTATGAGCGGATGTCTTACCGCTTAGGTGATTTGTATTACGATGTTGTTGAGCGTGCTTACGGGCGAGATGCCCCGTGACGCCAGGACATCCTCCGACGTTGTAACTAGCAGACGGCATAGACACCGTGGCACTCATCGGCAAAATTGCGGCCATCACTAACATAGTGGGACCGTACTGCAGCTCCTCGCCCCGGCACTCGGCAACGCGTCCGTGACGTGACGCATGGAGGCCGCGGGATGGTTGAGTTGGGCAGTGCTCGTCTATCTAATGGATTTGAGTTTCATGGTATTTTTAAAATGCTGTAAACTCAATCCATTGCCACATGCGCTGGCCTCGGAGCTTCATGATATTCCAGGTTTGCGGGGGCCGCGGCCTCCCCTTGACAACCACCAGGTGGACAGCATGCTACATGTAGTAATACAGACATCGTATATCGTCGGCTGGCCAAGATTTTTGGAGGCTTGAGGTACGTTCTTAATTGTGTGCGGGGTTGATTTTTCAGTGATCTGCAGTGTTCAAGATGAAGGCAAGCGTGGGCACCGTCTTTCGCGTCCTCCTCTTTGTATTTTTTTCCATAGCCTTACATGTGCAGGCCAATGGACGCTCATGGTCAACGGAGAAGGCTCGCAAGAATTCCTCTGGCAAAAATGGAAAAAATAAGTCACCAGCGGTTGACTACGGGGTCAACATGGAGCCCATAAATCGCCCCAAGACGATGAGGTTCCGCAAGCCGCCCAGCACGTACTCTGGCCTCGGCTCGAACAACTTTTATTATCCCGGGCAACCCACTTTGGCAAATTTGGGCGCTTCTATCCCTCTTTAATGGGCTGCATCGTCTTATCTCTCTTCGTCAGGCCAAAGGAGATGCCCTTGCACCACGTTGAGTGAGTATATGTTGAAATCTATGTCGCCTTCATCCTGTCTTCAGCCCACTGGCGCTGAAATGCTAATCGCTTGACCTAACTAGCGACAGCAGATAATGTAGTAGACGAAGGTTTCATACTTTGCGCTCGTACGGTTGGTTGCATGTGGAAGGCGTCGCCGTCGTACCACCTTTAAAGTGGATTCTTTAGATTGAGCGGCTAGCCATCCAGTTAGCGCCCGAAACCGCCATTCTGACTAACATATTGCCTCGTATGACGGTTGTATGGGCATCGTGCCATCCACTGGGTGCGTATTTGGAGAATGTGTAGAGTCGCGCCCATGGGCGAGGGACTGGGTGGTGACTGGGCATCTTCCGGCGTGATGTGCAGTGTAAGGCGTGCTTATGTGGCAATAATAGTCAACATGGCGGCAATCAACGGCATTTGAATCCAATCCTGCAGCTATGTTAGCCCGCTGGCAGTTCACACAGCGCGGCACAATGTATGTGACCAGTGGAGCATACTTCACATTCCTGAATCTTATTTAGCTGAATGACACTTTATTTTCATAATGCCGGCAATTGAACTCCTCAACGCATGTGTCGGTCGTGATGTGCAATGTACGCCGGAGCTGCGTGATGTTGGAGCACAGGGCGATGTCGCGCATGTCTCTATTTGGCGATAGATTTGAAACACCAAGCTACTTGTTATCGGTTCAAAGTGATGACTGAAATGAGTCACGGGCAGGGGTCGGCATCTAATTCGCCTGAACATTGTAGGTGTGTTCTATACCCCGGACACAACTGTGCCGATATTTGTTCGGGTTGTGGAGATACACAGGGCTGTAGAGACAGGTCGGGTTGTGTGTGCCTATGTTGCACGCCTCTCCTAAGAAGACCCAAGATACGCTTCATCGGCTACATCATTGCCTTTATCGGCATGGTCATCACAGTGACATGCTTGATGATCATTCTTCGTGTACGGCCATTACAAAATGTTCGTGACTATTTATCGAGCAGAGGAGGCGCTTTCAGAGGATTAAGGTATATTCCCAAGGAGACGTTGGAACCTAGGCAAACTGACAAGCTGCCCGAGGAGATGGACATTGATGCTTACTCTGCATTCCCTTCCAAGGATCTCACGTAGCTCTAAGTATCCCGCGTGGAATTTTATTATCGCAATAAATGTAATTTAAATGTAGTTCTCTCACGTAGGCACGGAAGGCAACACACCACCAACCGAACCACATTTTAATATAACACATCAGCTCATCAAATCGCCAATTCGCCTTTTAGGTATAATATGTCTCATTAAGCTGCAGTTTGTGATTCGTAGAAGTTCAAGTGCGTGTGTTGCTCTGATTGCTTTTGCGCTTCGCGCGGCACTGCTCGGCCACATACACCAACTCGTCTACTCGGCGGAGATCTTCTGGCGCGTAATGCGTAGTCGCGTGATCGTGCAGCATTTCACCTACACGTGCGCATAGGTCTGACACCTGTGCGATTCGTTTCTGTTCCTCGGTGCCTTTGTTGGCAAGCTCTCTGGTGACCGAGGCTTCGTACCTCCTGAGGAAATAGCACACTCCGTGAGCAAGGTACTTGGGCGGCATAACCTCCGTGCTCCTAAGCGTATCCTGCCATCTTTGGGCGAACTTTATCACAAATTGGTCATTTGACCACGACCTCAGCCTATTGCATGCTGCGGCCAGCCGCGCTAGCTCATGATCCTTGAGGCAATCCAGATGTTCCTCGAGGTATTCGAACACCCACTCCACGAACGCCTTCTCGGCGCGTGCGACCTCCCGTTTGAGGCGTCGTTTTTCGACGGTATCTGCGGCGAAGTCTGGCGGTGGTAGTAGGTCCAACGTGTATATGGCGTCATCGATACCTGTAATTCTATGTATGCCATTGAACTTGCTGACACGTACCATTCAGGGATGCTGGTATGACCTCCTTCAGCCTACTAAGTGTTGCGATGATGAGTGACGGCGCCTCGACCTTGGAGGCATACACCGACCGCAAGATGCATGATAGATCCCTTGTTTTGAAGGCAAAAATGTCAAGCTGGCGCATCATACGCTCCGCGTATGACAAAACCTGAGCTTGAGTTGCCTTCAGTTTCTGTGACGATTGGCGGTCAATCCACTCGACGCCATTCGACGTGTTGGTGTTGCCGGTGGCATCGGCATTGCGATAACGGTTGGCTGCCAGCAGCCCGGTTATGGAGAGGGCACATCCGGCTGCGTCCTGCGGGGAGAACTCCGTGCCTAGACGTTTGACAGCATCTGCAACTCCACTCCAGAAGGTCCCAGGAACGTAGTGTAATGCCTTTGGGTGGCGTGCGAAGGCGTTGAGCGTCAGCGCTATTGCCTTTGGGTGTGATCGTTGAAACTTGAAATCCGAAGTAAGGGCTCGAATAGTATCTGGAAGCGTCACACCCTGCAAGAACATGTGATGTTGCAATTCAAGGTAAACACGTATGCGCCTTCAGGTGTGACCGGCACCTCATGCAATGGTATACGCAGTCCAATCGCATGACACCATGAAAAGACCTACAACGGCCACAAAACGCACACTATCAGCACTTGGATACAACCAAAAGCGCTCATGAGCTTTTACGTGGACCACTTACTAGCTTGGCCAACGACAGCAGCAGCGTCGCTGCTGTTTGTGGTTCCAGGTGGCAGCTCGCGCTGACAGCCGAGGCCCCTATCTGCCAGATCTCGTCGCGCAGTCGCTGAGGCAGCGCTCCGCGGGAGTGCCTCGCGATATGCGCCGCTCTGTTTCTCAGCACATAGGCAAGTACGCTAGGGTGGAAGTGATCGCTGCATCGCGTCTCAAAGTTCGTAACAATGCCGCAGGGCGACGCGTTTGGTATCCGCATCTGTTATAGCCGCTTATTCGATCGCGGTACGCTATGTCTACTGGTGTGTCTGCCTGTAAGCACGCTCCCTCGGAGGGCAGCGGCGGGGCGATTGTAAGGAAAGCGTTGCTGCTGCCTTCTGAAATCCTCGTACTAATATATTCCTCAACTTTTATAGCTCGTTCGGTAGCCTGTGTGTCTATTGGTGTGCCTGTGTTGTCATGTGCCGTCTCTCGCGCGCGCCCCCCTGAGCTGGGTGCGCAACGCTTCCGTAACGCGTATCCGCAGTCGTCGTTGTTTCCGCCGACAAAGCAGCGTCGGCAGTTGCAATTTTATTTCGAAAATCGGCTCTATTGGCCTCGTTTGCCGCATAGGCTGTGTGTACCCGTGTCGCGGGCCTCCGCGTACGAGGTTGTCAACGGAGCAGGAGCGCTAGACGTTGTAGCCAGTGTTGGCTTCAACATAGTCGTAGGTTAGTCATACTTTGCTCCCCGCTCGGTTGCGTGGCGCGTTTTTGCGCTTTCCTCGGTTGGTTTCCACACACCCCTGCAGCAGAACATGAGTTCTAAGAAGAGCTACAAGACAGTCCTGCTGGGTGACGCCTCCGTGGGCAAATCTAGCTTTGCCGTGCGCCTGACCCGTGGCGAGTTTTCGGACAGCACGAACTCCACCATCGGGGCGGCGTTTTTCACGCACACGGTCCGCTGCAGCGCGCCTGCTGCAGCAGGCGCCACAGACAGTTCTGCGGCGCCCAGGGACCGTGCATCGCAACAGGGTCGTGATCAAGCCTCGGGAAGGGGTGCGCCCAGCTCATCGTATTCGCCAGACGATGCTCCCGCGGGGCAGGTCAGCGTGAAGTTCGACATCTGGGACACTGCGGGCCAGGAGCGCTTCAAGAGTATCGCACCCATCTACTACAGAGGCGCGGCATGCGCCATCGTAATTCTCGACGTTTCTTCATCGCAGAGTCTCCAGCATGCTACTTCGTGGGTGAATCAGCTGCGAGTCGCGAACTCCAACGAGACCATCGTGGTCCTGGTGGCCAACAAGGTCGACCTGCTGGGCACGAACGAGGAGAACGCACGCACGCTTGAGAATGCACGTGCGTACGCAAAGGAACAGTCGCTCCTCTTCGTAGAGACCAGTGCCAAGACCGGGCAGAACATCTCGGCGGTCTTCGAGATGTTGGCTCAGGAGATTTTGCGCAACCCCAAGCGCTTCGAGCACCCTTCCGCTTCGAAGGCGTCGAGGGCGCTGAATGTGAACGAGTCGAGTTCGCGTATGATAAAATTAAACTGCTGTGATAGCGCGTGATAATGTTGCATTTTTCAGTACTCTACACCTCGTCGCCAGGGCGCAACCTAACGTCTGACCTGCCGTATCTTGCTGCCTGCTCCTCGGCCTCACGTCGGATCCTTTCCATCTCCTGCTCGGCCTCACGCCTCAACCTGGCACGGGCGCGGCTCTCTGAGACCCGGCTTAATACCACCCGTGCCACCGGTATGAGCACCGGCAGCAGCACGAGGAAGCTGATCCCCGTGATTCCCAGCACGAACCAGGTGTAGTACTTGTTGAAGGCGTGCCTCATGCACTTTCCGAAATTCCGGAAGAAGCAGCCCACCTCGCCTGCATTGCAGGTGCACATGTTATCCGACTGCATGGCTCCGAGCTTTAACACATGCTCCTCCTTGGACGTGTCGGTGAATTTGTCGAACGAGCGAACGTCCATTCCCATGGTTTTGGAAGGTGTGATGAGTGTTGCGTTCACTACGAACGTTTCGAGGAGGCTCACAGTCGATGAGTACAACTGCACTTCGCATTCCATCTTGTCGGATCCCTCCCCGGCGTGGATAGTGATCGGTACCACCGACTTTGCAGTGCTGTTTGCCTCCACCTGCACGTTCTGCTCCTCCGAGGAGGCCACGGGGCTCGTGTGAGGCTCTTCTGCCTCGTAGCACTGAATGCGGTGGCTGAATTTTGCGCGTATCTTTCCGGCGTTCTTGGTGACTATGTTCATCGTGCATGCTTCGTGGCTGGCAACTTTGCACGGCCCGCTCATGGTGGCGCTCACTATGAATCCTACTGCCTCCGCTATGATCTGGGTGACGGTGGCGTCGAAAGTGTTAATCTCGATTCGTGACGTATCCGCCTTTGCTATGGAGTACGCAATGGCGTGCACGTAGCTGCTATCGTGCCATTCGGTTGTTCCCTCTTCGAAACCTTCGTCCTCTTCCTCATCATCATCCTCTGACGAATAGTACTCATCATCGGAGTCATCGCTGTATGACGCAGGGCCCCTCCAAGCACTTCTGCCCGTGGACGTGTGGGAGTCCTCATCTTCCCTTTTCACCTCCTCCATAGTAACTTTCTGCTTTGTTTTGCGCACTTCTCTACGTGCTAACATGGGTTGGACGCCGTACAGCCTCGGCAGTAGCGCCTGAACACTGTGATCGAGTTTCGTGTTCATAGCTTACCTTTTCCTTTCGTTCACTCAGGTACCAGCCCAGCTGGTTTTGAACGCAGCTGTTTGGCGCGCTGTTGCATAGCCTTCCCGCGTTTCCCCATGTGCCCATCGACACGCCTATTTTGTCGCACTGCGTGCCCGTGGTGTCGATGGCGTCCGACTCGATGGTGCGCACGTTTAGGGCACACTTCTCCATGCGGCACCGGACGTCTCCTTCATCTTCGCATTTGTGAGGCGCCCGTGTTTCTTGTTCACAATTGTACTGCACACCATGTACGACACAACCATGCAACCAACCTTCCTCGAGCTCCCTTGAACGGTCTCATCGGTTTCAGGCCAAGAGGGCACGGCGACGAACTTGTCCAGCTTTTGCGGCGCATTTCCGTCGAGCCACTGCTGCGTGATGATGGTCAGCGTGACATCCAGCTCTTCGTTTTTCACTGCTTGCTTTTCGGCAGAGAGGGTGGCCTTGAGATGCTTGTCCTTGTAGACCGGTTCGCTGAGATAGCGCGTTTCATCCGCATCATCGCTCGTATAGTACCCCTTTTGCGCAACTGAATCGATATGGTACGCCATACAAAACCCTCCTACCATCTGGTATAACTCCTGCATCTCCGTCGAAGGCGTAGACGTCGACGAACACCCTTCTGTGTATTGTCGGCGGGTATGCGGGCTTCAAAATGGAGTACCACGGACCCACAACCTCGAGGCAGCTCATAGAGATGCACTTGCCGTGCATGAACGCAGCTAGGAATCCGGTGCACCCGAAGTCCGCCCTGGGTGAGTAGTCCGTAACGTTGACGCCACACACGCAGCAGACCTTATTCTTGAACTGCTCCTTTATAGTCGGGGGCACCGCATCGGGTTTGGAGCATATCTCTAGATCCAGAGCATCGCAGTTGTTGCATCCGCCCGTCATCGCCGAGTACTCCACGCTGCGGTTGTGCTCCCGGTACTGGTACGGCACATCCTGCAACATTTGTTCGCTCAAAAATCTAGCTAACCATGAGGTATTCCAACTCGTACGACAGAGTGGTGAATGATGTCTGTATATGTATGTAGAGTCCGCTGTTCGGCTTGTCTTTGCGTCTCAGCACGTAGCTCGATGATTCCTGCGCGTCGTCCGCATGTACCAAAACTAAAACGCACCTCTCCACCCTTCACGTCGATGTTCGTGTGCGACCGCCACTCGCAGTCGCCATCTGTGACTGCTCGGCCGCCCTTGTCGATGCACTGTCTCACGGGGCTGATGATGACGGCCGCCGTCGGCCGCACCGCGGCCCAGATCAGCAGTACAAGCAGGCACGTGGCTTGTCGAAGCAGCCGCTTGACGGAACAGTTCATTACGGCATGCGTCATATTGCGGGGAGAAGTACCAGGTGCGCGTCTCGTTGAGTCGACGTACAGCAATTGCGGGCCCATGCGGGGGCAGTAACGGGCAGTGCACTTGCTGTCTAAATGTTTTAATTAAATCGGTCACGGCGCGCTTCGCTTTTTCGCGACTTCTACGGCTACGTGATATGTGTCTAACACGTATAGTGACGCCGTTGCCACGATCCATCGTAACATTACGTCAGGGGGAGACGCCGGTGGTATCTTTCCAGCAACCGTGCTGCTTGCTTTCGTGGGTGTTGCCTGTGACACCGAGTTTTGCGACACGTAGTGCTATGTGCGACAGCCTCCTTTCAACGCCCATTGTGGAAGCAGCTACTTGGTTAAGCGTTATTCCCTAAGTCTGTGCTCTCCGTGAGTCTAGCGGAGCACAGATCCCAGATCGCCGCGCTGGCCGCTAACGCGATCCGCGGTCTCTTACACATTCGCTCACATCACTTCTAAGACTTCAGATAAGATGACTGCTCCGCTTGTGGCGCAGTGCTGACTCGCTTCTGCGCCGCTGCACGGCAGCACCATCGGTGTGTCCCGGGTGTGCATTACGTCACCGATAGCCCGCTAAAACGGCGGAATTTAGATTCCTCTAGTTGTTTAGCGCGGATTTGGAATCACGTTTGTTAGGGCGGCGCGTGTTGGTCGTGAGATCAGTTGGCTCACGTGGTACTTCGCGCCACTAATTTGAGGCTGCTGCCTCCGTGACGTGATTCTTACACCTATAGGACTTCTTGACAACATTTCTAAATCCGCCGCTGTATTATAGCCGCCGAGTGCGGCGTATGCTCGGGGACATGACCTCGGCGAGTGCCGTGACTCCAGATCACGAGGTGACCTGTCGGCTGCGTATCCAAGCGCCTAATTCCGCTTGCGAGGATGGCAAGCGATGGCGCTGCGCAGGAGACAGAGTCTCGCCCCGATTTAACGCAGGTAGCGGACTCCTCTACGGGTGCTCTACACGTTCTGCCTACTGATTACATCTCCGCTCTGGCACAATATGGCAGCATCAGCGGCGCGTCGGAGTGGTCGCGCTGTGACAAGCAGCCCGGAGCAAGCGCCTCCACCGAGAGGATCTTTTGCGACTCTGGCACGTTTGCCCAGTCCAGCTACGAGGGAGCTCTATACCAGGCTTTCGAGCCCTCCGCCTGGCTGGTGGAGTCCGAGGTTCTGAATCGCACCCACCGCTACTGTCTCACGGGGAAGCCGGTGGTGCTGCCGGCTGAGGAGCGCTGCGACGCATGTCTGGGCCTGCTAATCGGTGATGTCTGCCGCTGCTCGGCGTGCGAGGTGGTGGTACACCAGAATTGTTACGGTCCCGAGTCAAAGAGTTGGGAATGGTACCAGGGAATATCGCATGAGCTGCTTCCGCTAACGCGTGGTGGCGCCCGATCGGATCATCTAGGAACCAGCACGACTCTGCAGTCGCCATTCGAGTCACCGAAGCGTCGTGTTGATTTATACGGCACGAATAAACCAAACGAATCTGAGGGACCCACTGTACACTTTAGTGACCTTCCCACCGAATACAAAGAAATCAAGTGCGATGTTTGCAGCGCTGAGGACCTAAAAGACACTCCGAAATGCACACTATGCGGGCTCTCTGGTGGTGCCATGCGTCATTCGGCCGACTGCAACAGGTGGGTACACTGCAGCTGCGTGGCCTTCGCACCAGAATCGTCCGGTATAACTTTTAGGCGCCCGCTTCGTATGCGCGAACCAGAGGGCGTCCAGGCTTTCGTCGCACAGATGACATCGAGCAACAATTCGTGTGACGCATGCGGCAGTTCGGACGGTTTGGTTATGCCATGTTCGTTTGCGAAATGCTGCAAATATGTGCACGCTCGCTGCACGATGTTCTACAAGGGTTACGGTGGCTGTGCCTTCTCCGATCAGGTCTACTATATGTTGGATGAGCGGCAGCAGTACTTCGACTTCTTGGGGACGTTCTGCGCAGAGCATTCGAACTACGACTACGTAGTGCTGGGCATACAAATGTACCTACGGCGCCGCCAGGTACTGCGTGAACAGGGATCGAGTAGTTATCGCAAATACCAGAACGAGGTGGCGGACATCGTCCGCATGGCCTCGGCAGTAACGGCATCCGCCCTCCACGACGACGATGAGGACGAAGCGACGGAGGTGCCACCACCAGAGTTGGTGCTGCACGTGGAGCCTCACATAAGCGTTCCCTCTGAGGATGAGGACCTCAGCGATTGTGAAATGGACGATGAGGAATCCGAGCTGGCATGTGACCAACGGTCGCTGGACGACTGGAAGGATTACTTGTTGAGTTCGGATGCCGAAAAAGGCGACACTTACGAGATTGCCGCCATTGAGAACTTAGAGGGCGATGAGATAGACTTGAACATACCGATAGAGGCAGCGTCTCCGTGCAACGAAGTGCCGGTGGTAGAGGTACAGGCGGCTGCCGGGGATGCTGGATTAGACGGCAGCGGATCTCAGTTCCGTAGCCAGCGTATGATGTGGCAGAAATTTGACATCTTCCGGCCGCTGCCCTACGGCCCCGCATCCGACGGCCTACTGGCCAACATGGACCAGAACTCCCGCAAGAAAAGTGTGGCCGAATACTCGCGTCTGGAGGACACCGTATTGGCGTGTTCCGATTTCCTTGAGCCGAGGGATTTGAGTGAAATGTTTCTGCAACAAATCCTGTTTGGCTGCCGTGGGGTGATGGACTTGCTGCAGTCCCTGAAGGACGACATCGACCAGGAGTTGCAGTCATCGCTGAAGGCCAATAACGGCTTACCCCCCGACGAGCGAAGACACTCACGGTTCCACGTGCTCGTCGACACCGGCCGGACTGCTGGTGTGTTGATTTTTAAAGTGAACAAATGGCTGCTCGAAGTTTTGCAGGCCGACGCTGCCTTGACGGAGCGCACCGACAAGTCGGCCATTTCCGCTGCTGGCATAGCCCTTGACGAAGAGGTGCGCCACTTCCTATCTCACGTACAGAGTGAAGTGGTGCGCAATACATACTCGAACACGTCGTTTTACACGAATTCCGGCGTGTTGAAGGAAATCGACTTCTCTAGCGGTGTCGGTGAGTATGGCTTGCGCGACGATATACGCCAGCTCCACCTAACGGTTAACGCCGTGACCAGCGAGAGCGAGATGTCCCGCATTCGTCGCAAGATGCTCAAGAAGGGGAAGGGTGACCCTTCTCTAAACAGCATGGAACTTGAAAAGTATGTCATCCTCAATCCTATGGAGAGTGAGTTGCTGCGGCGCTGCGCCTTCGAGATGAGCCACGCCAATGACGCCAACATAAAGCTCGCGGTGTTGAAAAATACCGTAGACGCTTCCGTAAACACCAGCTGCCTGCAGATGATCGACTGGTCGGCTGTGGTATCCAAAATTAAGACGTCGACCCATCACACCGGTGGCAGCAAGGGCGGTTCCAAGGGGTCCTCGCGTTCATCTCACTCGTCAAAGTCGTCGCGAAGTTCACATGCGGATAGCGGCGGGAATTCCCAAGGCGCGACGGTTGTTACGGACCCAATGGCAGCCGGCGCATCAGGCCGCACCTCCGTAGGAGCGGCTGGGGCATCGACTCCGACATCGACCAATGATTCGAGCGTCACGTTACCACCAGTTCCCATGGTTTACTTGGGCAAACACACGTGGCCTGTGGTGGACGACACGAACTTCGTGAGACGCCAGAAGGAAATTACGGAGTGTGACCTCAGCGTAGTTTCATCTCAGTTGCGTAAAATTCGTGAGAATATCCGTGAGAACGTCTTGGAGATGAACTCTGGCCCACCCACCATGAACCAGCGGCTGGGATATGCCACCAAGTTGCTCGAACAGTACGAGTCCATGGAACGTTGGACCACTTTGGTGACAAACTTCTGCCGTGGTATCTGCGACTCCCAGGACTCGATGACCCCAACGGCTGCGTCGTCCGCCAGGATGCATTCACCCACAGTGGTGACTCCCAACACACCAGACATGCGCAATGCGGCCAAAAAGGCTGAGGGCATGGCCGAAGGCGCCTATTGCAGTGTGTGCTTCGTCAACAAGGGCAACAACCTCAACCCGATCTACACGTGCTCCCGCTGCTTCATGTCAGCGCATCGCAACTGTTACGGCGTTAGCCGCGCAGGTAAGGAATCCGACAACAGCGACTACATATGCCGTCGATGTGAATACGAGCGCCGCACCATGGGTGGGCAGTGGCAGACCGCCTTCCGAAGCTGCAGCATCCTGTGCAGCATTTGCGGCCGAGGTGGCGGCGCGTTGAAACGTTGCGACGTTGACGAGTGGGCCCACGTCTTCTGCCTATTGTGTCTGATGCCGGAAACCGAGTGCAGCAACTACACCGCAATGGAGCCGTGGACGTTGGCCGGCATTGCGAGGTGGCGGCGCGAGACAATGTGCTCGATTTGCGGCGTTGATTGGGGCTACGTGTTGCGCTGCAACGACTGCGAAGTGGCCGCGCACCCCCTATGCGCGTGGTTGCACGGGTATCATGTGTACGCGACCTCGTCCGTGGGCTATCCGGCGCATGACTCCCAGAACAGCGGCTTGATGCGTGAACTCCGTGTGCGCGTGCAGTGCAACGCACATGACGAGTCTCGTCAGTGGCAGCAATTCGTGTCGACCCGGAACAAGCGCTTCCTGAATCGCGACACGGCATACTGGCTCTTTGAGGGCTGCGACAAGCGGAGAAAGTCGCGTGCTATGTTTTTGGAGTCTATCATATCTTCCGAATCTATAGAGACGGGATCAGTCGCCGCGGATCCAACCGATCCAGTCTCAATCCCAGGCGACAGACGCTGTGGAATATGTTTCGGCACTGGATTGCTGACTGAATGCAACCACTGCCATGCACGGGTGCATTACAACTGTTACGTGGAGCAGGATGCGAAGGGCGCAAGCAGCCTTTTATCGGATAAGCTAAACTCCACTAAAAGCATGACCTGCGACGTCTGCCGCAACGGCGATGATGGCGCAGTCTGTGCGATTTGCCGCCTTGCGACTGGTCTACTGAAACAGGTTCCGACGGCGCGTGGTAGCGGAGACACCCATCGTCGCTACATTCACGCCGTATGCGGAGTGTGCTTCCCAGAAGTGCTGATTCAAATGTACAAAGGCCAACACGCCGGTATTGGGGATACTCCGAAACGTGCTTGCACTGCAGTTGGCGAGGCCAACGGGGCATCGCTCTGCGCATGCTGCCGGTCACCTGAAGGACTCATGGTCCGCTGCTTCAAAGAGGGCTGCAATGTCGTCTTCCACGCCATTTGCGGCATGATGAATCGCTACGTGGTGGAATCGCACAGCATGGACATCGCAGCCGGTCCGCGGCACGTGGCGTTCTGTCAGCAGCACTCACTGCTGTCGCGCAGCGTCGGTAACAACATCAAGCTGATGCTCCGGCTGCGACCAGTGCTGAAGCTGCTGAGCGAGGCGGTGGAGGACCTGGCGTCGCAGGACATCATGATGCGCGCTTGGTACCGGAAGCGTCAGGAGCTGCTCAACGCGGAGTGCCCGCTGGGCTCCCTGATTCAGAAACCGGTGAACAAATCCTAATGCTTTACATTTAGGTGCACATTTTAGATGTGTGCGCGTTAGTCAGTCTATGTGCGTTATGTAGCTATCCAGCGGCTTCGGCAGTTCGTGCCGCTGCCGGGCGCCATGAGAGCGCGCTGGATTCCATCCACTTATACGGTCGTTGCGCTCTTTGCGGTCGCAATTTTGTTTGTTGAAGCGTTCAGGACACCTGAGACGCACTGTTGTATGACCGCGAATATTTTTGAACGTGGAAGGTTACAACGGCGTTACGTGGAGCCTCCAGGTATGTCTAGATGCTCTTTTTGAGCTTTGTGTGTCACAAAATACCACTTGCACCAATTCTATACACTGTAATGACTGATATACTTGTGATATGACATATTCATTCTGCTTTTAGGTAAAAGTGCGGTCCGTCTGATAACGCCTCCACCTAACCTAACCGGTGACCTCCACGTGGGAAATGCGTTGAACCTCGTCTGCAGCGACATATACTTACGACACGCCGAGCTGTCCAATCGCGAAGTATATGCGCGCTTCTGCAGTGACCATGCCGGCCAGGGTTTGGAGCGCATTGTCAACCGCACCGTCGGCGTCGACAAGCCACCCGGTGATAGGATCCGTTGCGCATTGCGCCACTGCAAAACCGTCTCAGAAGACCATCTCGATACTCTGACGAGCTTAGGTGTCGATTGGCTGTATGGAGGCTGGACGTTGGGACGTCGTAGCAAGGAGGTTACCAGGCATGCTTTCGTCAGCCTTTACCGAGATGGTCACCTCTCCGAAAAATTGTATCCGACTTTCGCCAAGATAACCGATAAAGGAGTCACCTTTTTAGACTCCGCTGATGTGGAAATTGTAAAAACGCCAAAGAAGCTCTACGCCATCAATCTGAAGTTGGTCGATGTTAATGTTGATGAGAGCGAATCCGCTGACGCATCCTCGGATGCGAGATCCCCAGACGCCCATCCATCGGATAACGTATATAATGGAGAACACCTTACAGTGCACACAACCAAACCTGGACTGCTCCATGCCTCGGCAGCCGTCGCCGTATCCGAAGCGGTTTCCGAGCGGCTCAAAGGTAAGGCGGTGGTTCTTCCAGGCTCGGATAGACGCATCCCCCTGATCGCCTCAGCAGGCGTGGAAGATGATCGAGCAACTTTTGTCATGCCAGGGTACCTGTTTGAAGATTACCAGCTGGGGTTGAAATATGGCCTTGACGTGATCGACATCACCGATGAACGTGGTCGCCTGAAGAATGTCATTCCAGAGCTGTCAAATTTGACCATTGCAGAGGCTGAAAAGAAGCTGATCGACAGTTTTGTCGAGGTTGCAACTGTGGAGGAACAGTCTCCTACGCTGCTTGGAGACCCGAGCTGCGATGTATACACGCTGCCCGCACCTCACTGGCTGATCGACGTGGGCGCCATATCTGGTCCTGCTTTAGACGCCATGAATGATCTTGAAGTAGACCCTCCAAGCCGCAGCTCACTCCTGCGCCAACGGGTGGCGTCAACTCAGCCGTGGTGTATCAGCCGATACGGCTGGTGGGGCATGCGTGTCCCCGTTTGGTACCTGAAGAAGGACGGGAGCTCTATGCCCTTCCCGGCGCACTCACAATCGGAAGCAGAGCAAATGGCCGAAGAGCATCTGCAATGTTCGCTCTCGGATGCATTGAGCAGAGGTTACAAGTTCGAGCAGGACACACGAACCCTCGACACCTGGTTCACCTCTGCTCTGTGGCCCATTACGTCGACTCCTGGCACGCATTCGTCACCATTGGCACCGGATTCATGCAATGATACCAAGTTGCGCGATGATGTTCCCTTGGACGGTGTGGTGGTTGATGGTCTAGCTAGTGGAGAAGTCGGCGAGAGTACCGCGGTGGAAGATATTATGGCCTCCATCGACGCTGCCAAGAAAGACTTAGTAGACTCACCAGATGCTCCCAAATATGATTTGGCGTTATCACAGGCTGCAACGCTGAGCCTGACGAATGCCACCAGGGTATTGTATACGTGTTACGACATCCTTCACTCTTGGGTGGCCCGCATGCTGCTGCTGTGCACGTGGTTTTCGAAAGGAAAGCTACCTTTCGACAAATTGGTATTACATGGTTTGGTTAACGACTCTTCGGGTCGGAAGATGAGCAAGTCTGAGGGCAACACTGTGACCGCTAGGGAGTTCGTGAGTGGCTTCGGCCAGCTCCCAGGATTTCCAGACCTCAGCAAACCTAGTGATGTGGATGTGTTGATCGCAAAGGTCGCCGGTAAAACCGTGAAGCACACCAACCCGCTGGCTGTGGCACAGGCACGGCTTGTCTTGGCCACAGCCGCGTCTAAGGCCAACGTCTGTCATGATTTGGGCGGGTACGCAGATCGGGTGAAAAGTCTGCTCAAGAAGGTAGCTAATATCACAAAGTACGTCAGTAACGCGTGCAAGCAAGCGAACCTTGACCACATGTGGGACATATCGCCTGATGAGGTGGGCAACTCATTCGTGGAGCGGCTGGTGTCGGCCGGCCTTTCGAGGTCCGGTAGGGAAGTTGGAAATTGCATCGAGACCTTTTCGTTCCGGAAGTCGTTCGAACACTTAGAGAAGTACGTATCCGTATTCTCGGAGTACGCAATTCCCAGCCACCGACACGGCGACTTAGGCATCGGAGCTCTAGCCCTGGGTTACCGAGACCTCCTGAGGCTGCTGATGCCGTTCACTCCCCAGCTGGTGACCGCCATGCCAATCCCTCTTGGCATGATGGGCACTGGCGAGCTGTTTGAATGGCCTGTTTTCGGCGACCCCGTTGCTGAGGACGAGCGCGCCTTCGACGTGTTCGAAAGCGTCATTCGGCAGCTGCGCAGGCACGCACTGGAAGGGTCCGACAACGCCGTAGTAGAGGTTCCGGAGGACCTCAGGGACGCGATCGAATCGCACCGTCCGCTGCTGACATACTTGCTCAAGCTCACATATAACACGGTCATACAATTTAATGTACAGTCCTAGTCAGCCCCTTTGAGGCCTGCTGCTTTGCAACCAACGGTCTGTGTGTGGCGGTGTGAAGTTGTTCCGCGCGGCCCATGTGAACCTTTCGTCACCGTCGCCGTTGTATGGGTACGAGTTCCAGTTGGGGTGGTGCTGCTGTATGTAACAGGTGAACATCCTGACCACCAGCGAGTAGAACGTCCGGTCGAACTGGTCATCCCAGTCGAAGTGTATTGGCCTACCCTTGGCGTCTTCGAGCACCCATATCGAGCGTTCCTCCTCCACAGGCCGCCGCCTGCGGTAAGTGGTCCTGACGATGTCGCGGTACTTGAGCTCATGCGATGCGGTGTGCACCGTGTTGGATGAGCTCGATAGCTCGTCTTGCGGGGTCGAGTAAGCCTCGTGCGATGACGCCACCGACGATTCGGAGCTCGAGCTGTCATCCGCGAATTGGCTCTCGTCCGCCCGTTCGCCCGGCTCGGTATCATCCACGCACGACTCGAAGCGCACCGAGTGGCTGAAGAGGTCCATAGTCGCACCCAAACGCCGAGTACTGATGACCGATGTCGCTTCCGTGGCCTTGTACGCCTGTTCCACGGCCTTCTTGATCATGGTCTCCAGGTCTGAGGGAGTGTCCATGTCGCTCCTGCAGACGATCCTTGCGATTTGTTTGAGGTTGAGGTGCATGAGCGCGCCTATCTGCAGCAGCCTCACCGACACCCGCATCGTACGCAGGCATTCGGGTCGAATAAGGAGCCGTTTTCGCAGCCTCTCGGCATCTTTGTCCGGGTCGTATGCGAAGATGAGCTTGAGTTCGTTTTTCGCGAACGGTATCTCCGTCTGGGGCCAGTCGAACCACACCAGATCCATGTCAGCCACATCCACCACATCGGGCAATATCAGTCCATGATCTATCGGTATCAGCTTGTAGCGCGGCGCCCCCGACGGTAGCGTCTGCCCGTCGTGACTGCGCTGCCTCAAATCCATCACCAGGATGTTTCCGTCGTTTCGGTCGAGGTTGACCACACGTAGGTCCAAAATTCCAATGCGATGTACGTCTGTTACCGGGAACAGACTAGGGTTGTAGTTGCCGCTTGATTCCTTGCAGTCAATAAACTCCTGCAGGGACCCCGATTTCCACTTCAAACCAGATCCCACGTCCTTAATGAACTTCTCATCACAGGAGTTGTGGAACGCCGGATGACTCGCTTCCACCATGGTCGTGTCGGGCACCCCGCACGCTCCCCCGTATGCAGAGTCCAGCAGGTACGCCGCCACCTCACGGCTGGCGCCCTCTCCAGACAGCACGCCTGACCGAAATCCTTGCTGGTTAAGCTTCCCCTCGTAGCCGCGCGGGTTGCAAGGCGCAAAGGCTTCCTCGTCTATGGGCTTGAAAACTGCACAACAGACACGCTGCTTGTTGTACATCATATAGGTGCCCCCTGCGGTAATGTCAGCCGCAGAAGGGCGTTCGCTCACCTGTGCCGTCCATAGTGAGCTTCGGTTTGATGTTGTTCTTTAGTGATAGTGCGATTTCGTTGATTATGCTCTGCATGTGGGTCGTGGTCTTGATCCCCGCCCGGCGAATGCCCGCACTCGGGTTGCTCTCGCGCATGGACCAGAAGAGCCGGTGGTCGTTCTCACCCTTGCCCATGTAAGTCTCCATGGTACGGTAGTTCGGGAGCTCCACGCCCTTGTATAGGATGCGTAGGTCGCTAACACCGGTCCCAGACGGCAGGTGTAGCTTCTTGATGAGCAGCCTTTTGACCATCTGCGCCAGATGAAAAGAGGACAGAAACACGTTACCTGGACGTCGTAGAAGGGGTAGAGCCTGATGGCGCCATGGCGGTCGCCGTGGAGCTCGTGCAGCACGCAACGCGTGCCCTTATCTTCCGGCGACACATCGCGGAGTGCGTTATGTGTGCTGAAGTAGTTCTGCTGCGATATCCGGAGGCCGCCAGAGGACATGTTTGCGGTCTGTGGCAGGTGAGATCGCAGGTCCCTGGCGACTAGGAGTGGAAGGCTAAACTGGCGGCGGCAAGTGTGCGGTGGCCACGCGACATCCCAGTGACTAGTCAGGCGGCCATGTGTAATCCAGTGATAAAATGAGTATATTACCGTATTAGTTGCTACCAAAACGTTCGTCACAAACTGGCGGTGTTGGTTAGGCACGCGTTTTTCGGTCGGCTTATGCCGGGTGTCCAGGGGGCGTTGAAATAGTGCCGCCACGGACAGACGCGCCTTGAAATGTGGGTCGAGAGACACTCGGTAGATTCTACGCTTGAGTCGCGTTCACGGCACGATTTAATAATCTCGCGCGTCAATGGACTTTGATCCGGCGAGAGGTCTCAGCAGGGCTCCGCGGTGATGTCGGCGGGGCCTTTCCGGTACTTTCCGATGATTATAAGCACACCCCAGGCCATAGACCATATCCAGCCGACGATGGGTAGCAGGAGCTGCGCAACGCCGATGATAACGTCCTCGAGGCAGTCGTTCGTGATTCCGAGGATTATTGTGCCTGAGCCGAATATGATCATGTTCAGCACGCCGCACGTGTACACGAGCCCCGCGCGTCCATCCGTTGGCACCTTGAGCGCCTTTACGCGGTTCCACGCTCTCTCGAAACAGACCAGCATGTTGACGGCCGATGTGATGAATCCCTCAGTATTTGCGCATTAGATGGAAATTCGTAGGCTCCAGTATTTTTCGCATAGGTGTGGGTCATCCAGGTACGCGAAATCCGCCACGCAGGACCGCTGGGGATTCCGCGTTGACGCAGCCGACGGTGCTCCTAAAGCAGGTTGTGATACAGCGACCTCGGCGTTGTATGCGAATTTTTGTACCCATAACTATGATCGCTATCACGCATCAGCGACCGTATGGGTGACCTTAGGCTGAAACCCGCGGTAGCAGAGTCCCTGCCGCCGTGAGTGGCGGTGCCACTCATCATGCGAGGGCGTATCGAATCGAACAGACTTATCGGATCTTCTATACGCCGTAGAGGCCTCACTACAGATCCGCTTGTGCGATTCGCGTCGCCAGAGAGATAGCTCGGGTACTTTTGCTCACTAGCTTCACCGGTCCTTCCACGAGGTGTGTAACCGAAATCCTGCGTCCTTGCTAAATTTGCGCTCTTCTCCCACGGGAATGGCGACACCAGTGTATCCACGTTCATGGTCTGGTTGTTCGAGGTGGCTCTCTCGACCACCGGCGTTTCCAAAGCCCCGTAGTCGTTCCCGGACTCCACGCCCGGCTGGAAGGCACTCAGGAACTCCTTCTGGAAGTTGAACTGACTTCTCTGCGGCCTCACTGGTGTAAGCGTGGATTGATCGTTTGGTAAGATAGTCGATCCCAATCCTCCCCTGCGGTAGCTGTCACTGTCGAAAATGTTCCCATTGCCGACAAGTGTCGTGTTGTTGGTTGCAAAGCGGTCGACACTTTCATTCAACACGTCACTAACCCTTGCACCTGGCAGTCTGCCGGTATCACTGCGTAGGTAATCCGGCCGTATCACGGTCTGATGTTCCTGCCGCGCCGACAAGCGGGGCTCTGGCCGCATGCGACGGGTCACCACCGGCGATGCCATGACGAATGGCTCGATTGGCGGGAGGCTCCTTGCCGCTATCACGGATGGCACATAGGCACTGGAGCTACGCAGCTCCGTGGCCATCTTCTCCAGGCTAACTTCAGAGACGTAGCAACTCTCCCGGCTCAGCTCCACCAGGCTCGGGTATAACTCTCGTACCTTCGCATCGGTGCCATGCGGTAAGGCGTATGGGTCGGAGGCAAAGACATTGGTCGCCGCGATGACGCGCCGACCCTCACCACTCGGGTAGGACTCGAGCGTGCTGGCTCTATCGCCCATGAGCCGGCGGTATTCCTCCTCCAGGTGGAACGACTTCCATATTGCGGTAGCGGCCATGTCTGCGAAGGAAGACTGCGATTAAGGTTTGCGGGCTTGCACGGCCCGACGCGGTGCGTGGCCCCGCTGAATCTAGGGCTACTGCGGGCCACTTCCGTTTGCCTTGCGGGGACTGAACGGAAAACGTCACACACCCAGTGTGGACATCTGTGTACAAGGACCAGCCTTTGTCATTTAAACGAAAATGTTACAGGAATTCGATACTACGGCGGTCTGTGGGTGGATGTCAAGGAAGGCCCGTCGCGTGACTACGTGCCACATGGCCACCACGATGTCGTCGGAAGGTCACAGTGAGATATGCCACTTTACTGTCATGACGTTGTTTATGGCATTTTTGATATCTCTAGTAGTGAATAAAGTTACGTCATAACTATGTTACGGTGGTTGAGATGGAACGCAGTAACTGGGCTGCGGTTGTTCTGACGACAAAGGACCGGACAAATGCAGCCCACACTGCACGCTGTGGGCTCCATCTATTGCTTTAGAGCGATACAAGTGCTAAGATCACCGATGGGCATCCATACATGTAATGAGTCTACGGTCGCGCTCCTTCCTTGAGGCCGCGCTAATGCCAACGCCTCCAGATGGCTGCACGGCGTATTGCCGTGGTTCGAGTCAGTAAATATTGACTTACGTATGCCATAACGCTATCTATTGGCCGGCATCGTCGCGCAGTTTCTCCAGACGTATAACCGGTGGGGAGCTGATTCTGGCGATATGCGCTCACACGCGCCGCCGGGAACTCATAACCTATCGCGTCGATTTTCGCACGCGCACCATTTTTAGTGATAGCACGGCACTCTACGTGTACGACTAGCTGCATCCACACGCGAGGCAGTGTGCACGTGACCGTTCGTGCTACGACCGGTGCTTTAAATGGCGATGATCGCGCTCTTCATCACGAATCAGCACGGCAGCTTAATTTACTACAAGGTTCGTCCTCACCCCGCACATCTTATACTGTGCAGAGTCTTAACGGCCGTGACGCCTTCTCGTCAAACGATGCAATCCGTTTAGCCAGCACACTGCACGGACTCTCGACCATAGCGCCGAAACTCTGTGTGCCCAAGTCAGCGCAAGTCCAAACTCTGCTGCCGCAGCCTAAAGGTACGGTTTTGTGCTGTTCCCCTTAACTCCATGCAGGTATAACGTGCATAGAATCCAGCTCTTTCAGGCTCCAGTGCTACGAGACGCTGACAGGTAAGGTTACGTTTCTATCTGCGATTCTACACTGTCATTCAGGCTTGAAGATCTGCATAGTTTGTACTCCTCAGGGCCCCTCACGGGAGCACGTTAACGTCATCCTGAGCTACGTCTACGAGTTGTACGCGGATTTCGTGCAAAAGTGCCCGTTCCACCAGACTGACATGCCTGTGCGTTCTGAACTCTTTGACGACCGCATAACGGCCTATTTTGCGGAGCTCTCGACCTAAAAGCCGCCGTAGTGAGAAGAAAGCGTGCGCACAACCTAACCGGAAATTTAAAAAAGTCTACAAGGACGTTTTAGTCGGTCTAGCATAGGACCAGTTGCACTCTATAGTGTCAACGAAGTTCTTGCGTCGGCTAAATTTTTACTGATTTTATCATTGTCGGGGGCCCATCGTATATTGGCAGCAGAACCGAGCCGGTGCGAATTTTTCAACAGCGGAGCCAGGTATACGACGAGAGTGGATTCAACTCAACTGTGCGTCAGTGGGTCTAAGGGAGGATGTCGTGGCGCACTTTCGGCTACGCGTGCTGCGTCATGTGCGGCTTCAACTTCGTGGTCTTCCAGTTCATCACGGCGCACCTCAAGGGCGACCCGCAGTATGTAGAGCTGTTGCCGGAGCGCATTCCTACGGCGCATACAGCCTGCTTTGCTTGCAGCATCGTCCACCTTATCGCAATGCTCATATCGCTGGCGTATCTGCGGGGCTACATAAAGTTCGACCCGTTCGAGAGGCCAATGCGATTCATCAGGTCGACCGTCGGCCTAAGCCCCGTATCTGGGCCCATGAGGTACCGCAAGATAACCGAAAATGGAACGGCGCTGCCGGAGAGCTCGAACGACGCAGACACGGATTGCAGCGAAAGCCACTACTTGCAGTAGTGGCCGTTGGACACCTTTAAAAGGTTGTGACCGTTAGCATATACACGGTTAAGCATGTGTACACTATAAAGCTGCTTAGATGTTATTTTACGTGGTGGCGGTGGTTGATGTGTAGGCCCTGTAGCCGGCGCGACGGCCTCCCCACCGACTCCGCTGCCTTCGTCATTATAAACTAAAAATGGACGCACACCAGCCGAGCCAGGCCAGCGTCAACGCTGAGGCCGTCCTCACCAATCCGGCGCTCCGGTTCAACATCGCCGGGCTGCCCGCGCTCACGGCGTACCTGGACGAGCAGATGACCGACGCCTCGATATACAGCCTGGAGAACAACGTTGGAATCCTGAAGATTTACACGTTGTACCCGCACATCGCGGACCATATCGTCATCCAGAAGATTCTCGTGCAGTGCTTGACGCGTCTGCCGGCCAACGACTTCGACATCTGCATCGCCCAGGTCCCGATTCCCACGCAGGAGCACCCCGTCATCGCGGAAGTGATTGCGCTGCACAACATGTTGCAGAGCTGCCTGTTCTACAAGTTCTGGGAGGCGGCGCTCAAGCCGATGGCCGACAATGCTGGCCTGCCCTTCGTCGAAGTACCAGGTCTGCGTGACGCGGTCCGGAGGTTCATCCTGGACGTCGTGCCGCTCCTCTATATGCAGATGAGCGTGCCTGAGCTGCGTTCCATGCTGAACTACGAAAGCAACTGCGAAGAGTTCGAGCAGCTCCTGGCCTCCTGCCGGTGGACGCTCACCGGCGGGTACTCGCGCTCTGACCCCAACGCGGGTATGTGCGTGCCCGCCGCGCGTGAAGAAAACGTGAAGAACCAGAGGGCTCAAGAGACCCACACCGACGTGGACAAGTACTTCAAGGTCGACTCCATGCGTGTCTACTACTCCACCATGCGCCATGGCGCCTGATTTTACGTCGTGGACTAATTCGAGCCTCATGTACGAGGTCATTGGGGTTGCCGCAGTCGTTTAATGCCGCCATTGCGACAGGCGACATCGAATGGTTGCATCTATCGGGTGTTCACTCACAATACTAAAGCATTGGTATGCGGGGCACGTTGTCTACCATGTGGACACCCCGTTGCTAACTTTCTGGTAATGTTGATTGAACGCTATAATGAACTGTATTGTCGTGTTTTATCGCCTTTTTTGAAGGTAAACCCGATGTGCTACCAACTGGAATACATGTAACCAATCAATCAGGGGGTGGAGGCCACCCTCAACGTGTCGCTGACATTGCGTTCGTAATCGCTTTTCATCGTGATATGTGGGTAACTCTATTGCCGAATTGTGTAGTAGTATAATTAAGCGGTTCGCATAGAACGCAACTGTTATGTGCCGTCAGGCTCCACTGCGCAGGGCCTTGCCGATAGTGTGGACGAAGAGGGGTACCAAAGCGGCGGCTTCGGCCTTGACCGACGCGCGCCCGTTGGCGAACACTGCCAACAGCTGCAGCGAGTTCGTGGTCGACGCGTAGAAGCACTCGTTGACCTTGTTGCTACCCACGGCTAGGCCAGAACCAACGAACGTCAGGCCGGCCTTCGCCAGGCGGTCGGTGACGGGCAGGTTGTCACCGACGGCGAACGTCTCTTCCTGGCCGGACATTCCCCAGAGCTCCTCGAACTCGCTGCGGGTTATCTTGGCGCCGTGAAGCAGCACGATCGGCAGCTCGTAGAACACGCGGAAGTAGAAGACGTCAACGTTGGTCTTGATAGCAACCTGCAGCGCAATAGGGTTGGCAGGCGGTGTGTTAGACATGATGATATTGGCTGCGAGCGGGACGTGCGTTTCCGTCGTCTTCTCCGGTGCCACTAGCACCGGGCTGGCGAGCGGCGCTGCCGGGCTGAGACCAAACGAGTTCTTGTTGAACTGGATGGCCAGCAACGAAATCGACGCCGCAGTTTTGTTTGTCATTGAAAGCTTCAGCGACATCTTCTCGCCCTCACGATACAGGCACGCCACCACCTGCAAACCCATCTGCCCGTTGGAGCCCTGCTGGTGCTGCGTCAGCACCACCTCGTCCTTGCAGGTGTAGCGGAACACCCTGCCGAACGTTTCGAAAAGGTCCTCTTCGCCGTAGTAAGACTGAGTATCGCGGCTTCCACGATGGTCATCATCGTCGTCATCCAGGCCGTCGAAAGTGCGGCCCTTCCTCGGACTGAGGTCGGAGTCAGCCGTGTCCAAAAGATCGCCGTCACTGGACGACGCATCTCCGGCTTGCTTGTCGCGCGCCGCACCGAGCGGTTGCGCATCCTTGAAGGTTAACGCCCATGCCGGAAGGTGGTACACCGACGAGACGTGGCCGAGGTTGCTCAGCAGGTTCTCCAGCACCTCGTTGTCCATCACCGACTCGCCAATCGGCGGCAGCGGCGCCATGACCACCTTGGCAGCAACAGAATCGCCGTGTTCCAGCAGCCTGAGGTACATCTGCGCGCGGGTACGGACGTCGGGGCTTGTGCTCTCATGCACGCAGCGCTGGATCACATGCTCCACCATGCCAGTATCCCTTCCACGGGTCACGACCACCTTAACGGCTGCTGTGAGCAGGCTCAGCTGCACCGAGTGGTCTTCGTCGTGCATGGTTTCCGCCATGTTTGCGAGGTACTCAGCCGCGTCTGGGATCTTCGCTGCGTATTGGCCTATGATCCAGATCAGCGCGGCTTTCGACTCGACGGCGTGCAGGTACTCGCCGTCGGCGCACATGGAGAAGAGCTCTATGTTGAACATGTGCGGGTACGCGCGCAGCAAGTCGCGGTATACGATGGTGCACTCCTCGGTGAGGTGCGACGCCCGGAGCCTCAGCAGCTCGTTGAGGGTGGTGCCACAGGCCGACAGCGCAGCCTCCAGGCGGACACCCAGCGACCCTATAGCCCGTACAGCCCTCCTCACGAAGTCATGGTCGATGTCTGTGGCGTACTCCGACAGCTCTGCCAGTATCTTCTGGAAGTTGCTGGTCGTGGCAAGTCGCACCATGATCTCCAGCTTCTCGATACGGACGTACAAAGGGTCGCGGCTCTTGCAGAAGAAGGCGCGCACGTGTCCCTCAAGCAGCCTGGGCCACTTTTCGATGATCACGAGGATCGAGCGCAGCGCCACGTACTGGATCTCCGGGTCCAGCGACGCCAGCGTCACCAGCGGCGCGGCCAGCTTGCCCTGCAGGACGCGTAGGTAGTCCTTGTCGGCGATTTTCGGAAGCATCTTGATGACGACCTTCATGGCCGACATCACGACGGCCGGGTTGATGTGCGAGAAGCGCGGCAGTACCGCCTCGATCAGGGTCCGCGCCTCCTCCGGGGTGGAGGGCTTGTATAGCATCAGGGCGTCCAGAATGTAGACCTGCCCCCACTCCATGCACTCGTTCAGCGAATGCAACAGCCCGTCGAGTTTCAATGGGTTCTTGGTCAGGATCTTGGCGATGAGGTTTTCGTCAGACTGCTCGGAGATCTCCACCAGCGTCGACACCGCATTAGCCACCACCATTGGGTTGTGGTCCGACATCATCCGCTCTAGCACCTCTATGAACCCCTCCTCCCTGACCAGTTGCGGCGATATTCCTGCGCTCATATGTCTCCATTAGACCGCTACCTACCATGAAGTTTTGCGATGCATATGGCCGCCGTCTTGCGGACGTACGGGTCTGGGTCAGAGTGGCAGCGCATCAGCGGCTCCACCAGGTACTCCGTGACGGCTGGGAGGCGGATGTACCCCATCGTGCGGACTGCAAGCGCCCTGCGAACAGAATGACGACCGTAGCGTCGTTCCCTACCTGATGAGAGGGTTGCGATCCTTGGCGTCCTTGCAGAAGGTGTTCACCGCCAGGATCGCCAGCTCCGGCTGCACCTTGGCGTAGTTGATCACGTAGAGGTAGACCAGCTTCTTGAGCTCGAGGTTGTTGGTCTGTATGCAGTTGACCACCTCGGGGAAGAGGCTAGACACGTCCTTTCCGACGGTCATCGCCCCGATTATCTTTTTGATTACATCCTTTCGGCGGTCCTTGGTGGCCTTCTGCAGCTCCTCGCGCAGCTCCTGTATCTCGGAGCGGCGGTTGCCGCGGAAGTACTTCCCGTCCATCGCGGCGAGGCCGAAGCAGCACACACCTCTGTAACACGGCCAGAATAGTGCGCTAGACGGTCATGTATACGCGCAAATTCCGGTTCTGTCTGCGGGAGCTGCGGCGCGGCACGAGGAGACGGTGGTCCCCATGAGTCATCGGCGCGTGGACAGCGCCCGCAGCGGCGGCTCCGGGATGCGCTGGCCGCAAGAAGCCAACACCAAAGCAACTAACACACTCTAAACGTGGCTCTACTGACTGCCGCAAGCGGCCTCACAACCAAATAAGCATAGAAACACTCTAGCGTTTAACAACCAAGTTAGGTTTACTCGGCGTCGCGGAGAATGTCAGAGTCACCCGCGTCGAGGATGGCCATGCAACCGACGCGGAAGTATTTACCGCAAACGGTTCCCAGGTCGTTGTTGTCGCCCGCGAACATGTGGATGTTGCACTTGGCGAGCATCGCGTAGTGCTCGATCTCGGCCCTGCGGATGGGCGGGCAGTTGTTGCTGATGATGACCATGTGCGCTGCGAAAGTGTCACGCCGTCGTTGATTGTAACCTACCTTTGCCTGTGCGCAGAGCGGACCTGGTGGACTTGAAACCGAGGCACACCTTTCCGGACTTCATGACCAGCTGGAGCTTCTGGTTCATGTTGTCCATACCCTTAGACTTGGTCTTCTTCGCCATCTTGATAACAAGCGATTACGTGCTACTCAGTGGTAAACACCTCTCAGCACTACGATGTGGTTGGGGGTGAGCGGCAGGGACGCTCGGGCAAATCAGCAGACGGAGTAAGACCGCCAATAAAAAGCTTTTTAAAGGATAATGTGATGTGAGGGCAGGGCCACGCCGGAGCGGTCGAATCTCGGGTTTCGACCACCAGCCCCACCCGGCGGCGCCGCCCGAAGCGCGTGAAGCGGTGTTTGACGCCGTCGATATTGGCAAGCCAAAATGGCGTAAATATTTCGCCTCATTAGCTTATAAGTTATTGTGTGTTATGTGTACAGTGTCTTCTACTACATGGCTCACGCCGCTGGTCGTATTGATGTAGTTACAGAAGCGCCACCTTCGCGTCCGGTTACCGTGGTTTGCGTTGATTAAATATCTTCTTGAAGAAGGCTGTGCTCGGTTTATCTGGTTTAATGTCATCTTTGGCCTTTGTAGGCGATGCTATCTTCACGACCTTGATATCTGCTGGGCCTGCCGGTGGTGAGCTGCGTAGGACCTGTGTCAAACCCTCCCCTCTCTCATGCTGTTGTTCTGCAGCATTATTCGCATCGTTTTTGGCGTTACCAGCGGCAGCTGCGCCTTTAGACAAGGCGCGTACACCCTCGTATGTTGCTTCAGCCTTAGCCAAACTTTTTAGACTCTGGAACCACCTCTCTTTAGCCGACATCTGGTCGTCGTTGGCATATTTGTTCGTTTCTAGGGGCCTGTCGTCGAGGCTGTCCGCCACTGGCGCTGTCGGCTGCTCTGTTTTCCTTTCCTCCCTTTCGACGGCGGGCGCTTCTTTAACTATAGTACTTACTAAAACATCGTCAGCTTGTGCTGTGAGCAGATTTCCCGTCGAGGGTACCTTGGCGACAGGTGGCCTTCGGGTGTTAGGTGAGGGCATGCGACCGGGCAGATTGGTGGGCATGTCAGGCTTCCGGGCATTAGTGCTCGCCGGATCGTTAGTTGCTGGTGCCGCTTCATGTTGCCTTGCCATCGATCTGGGCTCCATCAGGGTGTCAGCTGCCCTTGCAACTTTCACAGATGGCCTTAACACCGGGTGCGTCTGTGGCACCCGTGTTGCCGTGCTCGGTTGGGAGTTCAACACAGGGATGTTCTGCGGCAGACTGTCGCAGCTGCTGGGTACCAAATCCGGGGTCGTTGACACCCGTGGAAGCGGTGGTTCGATGTAATCGAGGTCACCCAGGTTTATCTTCCGAACCGGCTCCTTTATATCGTCTTTACTGAACGAGGGAGAGTACCCTCGTTGTCTGTCGTCCATCGCGTCACCACCACCGTAGAACACTTCTGGAGGGCGTGCCCAAGGCCGTGAAGGGTTCCTCCAGATCATGTTGTCATACGACGAGGTGGAACCGTCGAAATCTGGGTATTCCCTATAACACCGCTGGTACTCCGGACTCTCTTCCCGCAGCACCACGCTGCTCTCCGTTTCAGTTGCATACTGCGAAGCGTTACTGTTATCAGAGTAGCGTATGGAGGCATATCCGTAAGACGACGCTCCCTCGCTGAACTCGATATCCAAGTCGCTGTTGTCACCGGGGTCAGAAGGAGTCAACATTCGCCGTATCGCTGCATTTGGCACGCGAGAGCGGCGCGGTTCCCTTGGCACCTCAGGTTCGTAAGGCGATTCCCAACGGCCGCTGTGATCGTGACCTTGTCTACCATAGGAAGGTGCATCGGCTCTCCCGGTATGGCGGTGGTTGCCTTCGAACGGCCGCTCCTGGTATTCGCCATGTTGGCGTGACCTTTGACGATTACGTTGGCGATTGTACATCGGCGATTTGCGCCTTCCGGCACTATTTTGCGATAATGGTTCCCTGGGTCTGATGGCCGTTGCGTTGTAAATAGCGTCTGCCCCCTGGGATAGCGCAGTGCACGTTGACAATGCACTCTTGCCAGTGCAGCTCACCAGCTGACACACTGCCAGCACCATGGAACCTATTCCTGAGACTAGGTGAGAAGCCGCTTCCACCCACGGCTCAGTGGCGTCGCTAGGTGGGGGAGCTACATCCTTCCTTTTCGTACGGACCTTTACGGTACGCTGATGGGTAGCTGGCTGGGTATTCGGTCTGTAGCTGTCAAATGACCGGTCATCGTACGGCACCGTGTGCTGCAGAGCCTCGGCTTTGCTCTTCACTTCCTTCAGGTGGCGCCTCAACTTGTGAGTCTGGAGCCTCAAATCTAATAGGTCTTCCAAATCTGATCTGCGACGCTCCTCGTCATCCGATTCGGTTTCTCGCGCGAAGCTAGGGGGATAGAACTGGGAGCTTAACTGGGGTGGTGCTCCGTCACGGTATTCGTGTCTTCCAGGCAAATTCCTTGTCACCGTACCTCGCTGCTTTTCCTGCTCATATGCAGGCGGCCGACCAGTATCAAACCCAGCGAATGCTTTATGTTGCAGTTCAGAAACAGGATCGGCGACATATCGGTCAGAGGAACGTATATGCCGGGTGGGCCGTATGGGCGGTTGGGTAAACCGATCTTCCATGAGTGGCCGACCCGGTTTTCCAATAGGGACCATACTGGGCGGCGGCCTATCTTCACCATGTCCCCGCGGAGGTTGGTACAGCTGTGAACTCCCGTTTCCAACTGCCCTCCCATGCCGCGGCGAGGGGGGAGGCTCTCGCTCCAAAACGACACCCTCCCGACGGTCACTGGAGCGAAGCATGTTTCGCCGGTGGTGAGCGGTCAGTGGCTCACGTCCTTTTCAGCGCACAGCTGACAACCCACAAACTGAGGATCCGGCTGACTCAACAAGACACTTGGCGTATATGCGGTATGACTTGTTGGTGTCTTTGTTTTGGTTAGGAGATTGGGTAACACAGTCACCCTAAAAAATCCACACCGATGATAACGAAAACTTAAAAGCCACTTTAACTTGTATAATCTACTGCGAAACTTTGATGCGCCGCCCTGCTGAGCAGTTGCAAGCAGATGGCGCATTGATCACGGCGACTCTCATAGCACCGAGAGCTCTAATGAAACTGCAAAAAATTTTGTGTTTCCACAAACAACATCGACATCATACTAACCGCCTTTCTCCGCGCTAGGTGCGCGGAACCGCGAAAATACGCCCGGCGGAATTTGGATCTAAAAGTCAGAAAGTTGACACAGCGGTGCACAGACATTAGTTGGCGGTTAACGTCCTCCCGACATGGCGGACATGCGGTGGAAGAGCACTGACATCTTTGCGATGTTGTCGAAGCAGAGCGCGCTGACGTTCTTGGTGTGGGTGGCGCACTCGTTGCTCATGACGATGGTGGACAACTGCGATGGCTTCTCGACCTTCTTCAGCGGGCTGAGGTCCAGCTCCGGAAGAGGCAGCACGGGCTCGCCCTTGAGGCGGTTCTGCTCGTTCTCCAGCCTGCGGCGCTCGACCAGCTGCTTGTGGTGCTGGGTCAGCTTGGCGAGCTCGCGCTGGTAGCGGATCACCTTGTCCTGGTTGTCGCAGAGCGCCTCCAGCGACTGCGAGAGGAACTCGAGATTGTGCGCGAGGTACTTGTTGTGGTCTGCGTCCAGAATGTCGAAGACGGAGACGTTCTGCGCGGGGCTGTCGAACACGTACTGGCTGAGGAAGCACTCCGAGAGGATGGAGTTCTTGACCACGATCGGCACCTCGACCAGGATCTGCGTGCCCTTGAGGTTGTTGAAGTTCTTCACGTCGCCCTGCGCGTTATGGTACACCTCGAGCAGCTGGTCAGAGGCGCGGTAGGCCTTGAACGAGATCTCGCCAGTGCTCGACATCGGGTCGAAGCCCAGCATGATAGCCTGGTCAATGGCCTCCTGGTAAATAACCAGGTTGTCGATGACCTCCTTGGACTGCACATCCCCGAAGTGCAGCGTCTGGTACCATCCGATGGCGAAGCAGTCGACGTGGATGTCGTGCAGCAGGTCCGTCATCTTGTCCTGGTACTTCATGAACTCCTCGTCCGCCTTTTCCTCCAGCTCCTTCTCGCTCATGTTGGTGGTGCTCTTGTCACGGTTGAGTGCGTTGTAGATGTCGCGCTTCTGCGGGAACGAGAAGCAGTTGGTGACCTCGAGCTTGTCGCCGAAGGCCATGCCCAGCAGCTGGCCGTTGACCGGCACCGGGTAGTTGTCCTTGCAGTGCTTAAGCGCCTTGATGAGCGCGAGGCTGTCTATCTCGACGTAGGTGTCGCTGGAAGTCACCGACGGCCTGCCGGCCGACCCCGCGTCTGGCGGAGTCGTGACCGGGCTCCGCGCCATCGTGGCATGGGAATTCTTGATCGGCGTATTATCCATTGTGTATGCGATGCCCTCAACGCGCAAAAATTGCAGCGGTTGGCGATTTTCCCGGGGTGTGACCCCTGCTCGACCTATGGGGCCGCCGCCGATGTGTTCGCGGCGCCGCGGCTGAAGCGCGGTGGAAGGCACGCACATCGCGCACGCAGTGTATCCTATATACCGGCGCCGATACACACCCACGGCCGTGGTAGCAGGGAAGCCGAAGCGTCCGCCGCTCCCTCGGCAACACTGCGGCGACAGTGAAGGGAATATACCTTCATTCAGCGATGTCGCTTCGCCGCGACCCGCGGGATTCGTCAAGCAATGACTACGGTTACGATTCTCTGGTAGGAGGGCGTGGCTGCATCAACATTGTGCGCAGTCAGATGACTTCCTCGACTACGATTACGACATCTCGCCGCTTTCGACTGGAATCTCGGTGCCAGTGTTCGACATCAGCGACTCCATGAGCATGGCTGAGCCAAGCTACAGAGAGTACAAGAGAGGTGGGCGTGATTGCGGCGGATTCATTGTCTGCAGAGTCCAATCGCATCTCGGATGACGCGCTGAATGCCATGCGCGACGAGTACTACGCCAAGTCGTGTATCACCGCCAGTGCTTACGACCAGGCGACTTTCTACAAGCTGCAGGTATGATGACACTAGTAGTGTATTGACGTATTGCGAAGGCGGAGATCCTGGTCAGTAAGCGTAAGTACAAGGAGGCGCTCTGCGCCGCGCTCGTGGCCGAGCGTGCGGAGGGCCGCTCCAGGGTCATCGACGCGGTGAAGATGATCTGCATGTACCAACTGAACGACGAAGAGCGGTTCAAGGAGCTCAAACAGTGAGTGTTTATCGCATCAATCCTGACATGTTACAGGGAGCTGACCGCCAGCGGTCTTGGCGGGCTATCGGAAACGCTGAAAAAGCAGGCGCTCGGCACCATCGAGGTCTCAAATTGGGTGCCGGAGTTTCTCAACTGTTTGGATCAGATGAAACAAAAAACTGATGTTTAAATCAACGTGTCTATTGATCGTGCACCTCGACGGCGACGGTGAAGCTCTGGTCGCCGAGCTCGAAAGTGTCTGTGTGTACTTTTCCGGCAGTGGGCACTTCGCGCGTGACCACGACGCTGCGGCGCAGCGTCTTCTCGAGGTATTCCGTCTGCAGCGACAGCTTCTCAAATGCCGTGTCCCCGGATGGCTGCACGAAGATGGTGATTGAGTCGTTCACTGACAGACGCAGCTGTTTGCGCAGCTTCTGCACGCGGTTAGCAACCTCACGGGCGCATGCCTTCCACCGCAGCTCTTCGTCGCTCGTGAAGTCTAGCAACACCGCCACCTCGCGGTTCGAGTCTCCGTCGATGTCGGGGTGCGCAAGGGCGCCGACGTCGATGCGGCGGGTGATGACCACGTCGTCCAGGGTGATGTTGTGGCCCAGAACGTCGGCGCTGCCCTCAGTTTCCAGCTTAGCGATATCGGCCTGGCTCATGCCCTTGATGGCGGCCGCCACCTGCTTCATGGCCTGGCCCAGCCTGGCGCCCAGTGCCTTGAAGTTGGGGGTGATCTGGCAGCTGATGCACGATACGTCCTTAGACAGCTCAACGTTCATCACGTTAAGCTCGTCCTTCACGAGCGCCTCCAACTCGCGCACGGCAGCCAGAACGCGTTCGTCCTCGTGCACCACCTTCAGGCCCGCAATGGGCGTCTTCAGCGAAACGCGGCGGCGTTCACGCACTGTACGTCCTAGCAGGATAACCTGCTGCATCACGCGCACCTTGAAGGTGATCTCTTCGTCGACAACGCCGCTTACGCGGGGCAACATCTCGAAGTGGATGCTGTCCATCCTGTTGGTAGCGGCGCGCTTGAGGTTGGCGTAGATCATCTCGGAAGTGAAGGGCGCGAACATGCTCATCAAGCACGTGAATGCGTCTAGGGACGAGTACAGCGACGCCAAAGCCACGTAAGATTCGTCCTCTCCGAACGCGCCACGCATGCGATCACGGTTGATGCGGATGTACCAGTTGGTGAGCTGCTCCAGGAAGGCGAGCAGCTGGGGAAGCACGTTATACAGGCGGTATGCACCCATCTCACGGTGCACCCCTTCAATGAGCTGCTGCGTGATCGAATGCACCCAGATGTCCATCACGCACGAGGAGTTCACCGCAGCATCGGCGCTGGGGACAAAGCGCCTGCCTGTCACAACCTCGTATCGCGACACCTCCTGGACGAGGAACCGGTATGCGTGGAACCATGGCAATATAACGTCTTTCAAGATGCCGCGCACGCCTTCTGTCATGAACCTAAGCGGTTCCGCTCGCACTGCAGGGGAGGAGATGAGGTACAGACGCACGCTGTCCGCACCGTATTGGTTGATGATCTCCACAGGGTCGGCAAAATTCTTTAGCCTCTTGGACATCTTCTTGCCGTCACTGGCCAGAACGAGGCCGTTAACAATGATGTTGCGGAATGCTGGTGCGCCGAACAGGTGCGTTGAGATAACCATCAAGGTGTAGAACCATCCACGGGTCTGGTCCAGGCCCTCCGCAATGAAGTCAGCCGGGAAGCACTGCGGGAAGCTTTCCTTGTTCTCGAAGGGGTAGTGCACTTTGGCGTAGGGCATTGAACCGCTCTCATACCAGCAGTCAAAGATCTCAGGGATACGGCGTAAAGGCTTGAACTCCGGTCCACGTGGGTCGGGGATCTCTATGTCGTCAACGAAGTGGCGATGCAGGTCGGTGACTTTCCGGCCAGAAAGCCGCTCAAGCTCCTCGATGCTGCCGATACAAACAACCTGGGTGTAGTCCTCACTGACCCACAGCGGGATTGGTGTGCCCCAGAAACGGTTGCGGCTCACGCACCAGTCACGTGCGTCTGCAATCCAGTTGCGGAAACGCTTCTCCTTAACGAATCGTGGCACCCACTCAGTCTGTTCGACGCAGCGCAGAATGTCCTCGCGGTAGTCCTCCACCTTGATGAACCAGCAGCTGACAGCGCGATAAACCAGAGGCGTGTCACTACGCCAGCAGAACGGATACGAGTGCACCAGAGTCCCTGCATGTACGAGCCTACTAAGCTCCTTCAACATGCGCTTGATTTCGGAATCCGCGTCCTTAATGTACATGCCGCCCACGCGCTTAAGGTGGGACTTGAAGTTGCCACTCTCGTCGATCAGCTCAGGCAGCGCTCCACGGATAATGCCGTTGCGCTTGCAAACTCTCATATCCTCCTCACCGAAGTATGGTGCGGCGTGCACGATACCACTACCGGCGTCAGCAGTGACCATCTTGTCGCCCACGATCACGTAGGAGCGCGACAGCTGCTCCTCGCCGAAGCCGGGCTCGGCGGCGTAGAAGTCGAATAGAGGCTCGTAGCGCTTACCAACAAGCTCTGAACCCTGCATCTTGCGCACTATGCGGACGTCCTTATCCAAGACCATGCGGGTGTCGTTGCAAAAGCTTTCCATTCGGCACTCCGCCACCACGTAGTCGACGCCACGCTGCTCGTGGTGGAGCACGACGTACACGAACTCGGCGTTAACAATCAACGCAAGGTTCGAAGGCAGAGTCCATGGAGTAGTGGTCCACGCCACCAGTTCTATGGGCTCGTCGACGCAGCGGAAGGCCACGTAGACCGCAGGGTCGGTCACGTCCTTGTAATTCAGGTTGGCCTCGAAGTTCGACACCGGAGTGGTGCACGCCAGCGAGTACGGCATCACCTGGAATCCACGGTAAACCACGCCTTTCTCGTACAGCTGCTTGAAAATCCACCACAGGGTCTCCATGTAGCTGGTGTTGAGGGTCTTGTAGTCGTTGTCGAAGTCGATCCACCGACCGGTGCGGGCGATGATCTCCCTCCATTCACCCGAATAACGCATCACAATCTCCCTAAAAAGAGGTACACGCTGTGTCATATGTCTGCGGCATACCTGCACTTCTCGTTGTAGACGCCAATGCCCATTTTCTGCACGTCGCTCAGGTGTTTGATGTTGTTCAGCTTGTCGATCTCGTACTCGATGGGCAGCCCGTGGCAGTCCCAGCCGAATCGGCGCTCAACATCATGGCCAGTCTGGTACGCATAGCGCGTCACCACATCCTAAGAAATCATGAGAGTGAACGGCATGGACATTGCCTACCTTTATGGTACCGGCGAGAATGTGACCGTAGTGCGGCAGACCCGTGGCGAACGGCGGGCCGTCGTAGAATGTGAACTTGGGACGTCCGCTGGCAAGCTTGTTGGCCGTGTGAAAGACGTCCATCTCCTTCCAGTGGCGAAGTATCGCTTCCTCCTCCTTGGGGAAGTCGACCTTCTCATCCACTGCAAGCGAGGTTATAAGCAGTAGACAGGCACACACCTGGCAGGAAAGTGGCGGTAGCCGCGGCTCCTTGCGCCATCTTGCTGTTCAAGCGGCTACCGTCAGCCGCAGCTGAAAACGAATGGGCTGCAACAGATCGGCGCCGACGAAAGGAAGGCGGCGGTGAAAGTCGCAGCGATGTTGCAAAACGTCCTGTTTTATTGAAATGTGTGTTCCGCACGCAAGCGCGGAGCATATGGTAATGGGCGCCGGTGGAAGGCAGCGACCTAAGCAGTGCCGGAGCCTAACCCCAGAGGAGACAAGAATAGCACCTTGTCTGGCACTTTGCACTTTGTTTCGTACAGAAAGTTGTACAATACGATGTCAAAGGTTATTGCCGCGCTGCTAATAACCCAGGTGGCGCGCGCTCTCTGCCTCAGGGCGGCTGGAGGCGCACAGCAGCAGCGCGCAAGCGCCTTCGTGCTGCCTTCCACCGCTATTCCTGCCGACAATGTGTCAAAAAGGCTGTCAAGACACGGAGCGGAAGCGTTATCCTCGTCGAACGAGCCGCTCCCGCCGGTCAAAGGTTGTACAGCCTTCCACAACCCTTAATATTTTGCAGCCTATGTGCCGCCCCTACAACCGGGCGAGATCAAGTACATGAGCCAGACGCTAGAGGGCGATTTTCTCCCCGCAAACAACTATGTGCTGATAGTGAAGAGCGAGGCGCAGGAGTACTCATCGGGAGGCGTATATATCGGAAAGAAGGTAGGCGCGATTAAAATCACCAACAATCGACACAGCCCAACAAGGAATTTGCCGGCCGGGTGCTGGCCATCGGACCGGGTAGATTGGTGCCAGAGACTGGGTGAGTTTGTGCACGAGGGCAAATGTAAGGTGGCACTGTTGCCACCAACTGGCGTTGAGGCTGAGCCTGGCAGAATAAACCTCTGTCTTGGGGTATGATACGCAGCGCTATACTAATCGGCGGGTGCAGAGAGGACCGGTAGCGTTCCAGCACGTCCGCCGAACATTGCCCATCCAAACCTAGACAACACACCCAATGCCATTCCGCCTCATGAGCATGCAGTGCCGTCATACCGATGACCGTCAAGGTCGGAGACCTTGTTCTGTACGACCCACCAACAGAGGAACCAGTGGTTAGTTTACCGAATTGCCACCGTCATCTTGTGCAGCTCAAGTACAAGAACCAGGAGTGCGTGCTAGTCCCTGAGGAGCACATATACGCCCGCGTCGAAACTGACGGAATTTCACCCAGGCCGCTGAGCTCCGCTGACATCAGGCCCATATCGGACAGGTGATTGACTAATGTGGTCGCTTAGATGCATCGCCTCAGGTTGCTGGTACGCGTCATCGACAGCCCGAAAAAGACACAAAGTGGACTCGTTCTAGCTCGCTCGAATGAAACGGAGGGCACGATATTCCGCGCAACCGTGATATCCATTGGACCCGGGGAGTACACTATGGATGGGAAACTGCTTCCGGTCGCCGAATTCAAGCCCGGAGACACCGTGCTCTTCTCGGACGCAGCTGCCGACGGCGGGGCGTTCGATTTGCACCGCACCCAGCACGCCTTCGTTCGCCGTCGCGCAATACTCGCGAAGGTGTAAGCAATGCCGCTGGCTTGGCCAGCCGAAGGCCAATGTGTGTGGGTGCCACGGAACCGCGTGTAGGCGCCCTCCGAGTCGGCGCATGGCCGACATTCACCGACTGCCCAGTCCTGTAAAACGTGTCTAACCTATATAGTTGACTGCAATGCCAACACTATCATCGCCTTAATTTTTTATGACCATGGAATCTGCCGGTGATGGTGGCGCGGAGGCTGCCTCGGTCGACGCCACGGCTGCGACGGCCGAGGGAAGCTTGGTGGCCAACCTGAGCGCCGAGGATTACGACAGGCTCTCGGCGTTCTACGGCCCCGAGCTGTACTCGATGGTCGAGGACGAGAAGCACCGCGAAATCGTCGAGCGCAACTCTGCGATGCGTGTAGGTTTTCGGCACTTGCCAACGCTATGCTCCGCAGGACGCAGTCAAAGGGCTGGGGAAGGTGAAGCTGGGATCGAGGTCGAAGCTCACTGCGGCCGCCGAATTCATCAACATCCCGCGGGAGAAGCCGAGGCATGACAGGGAAGACACACCAGCTAGAGGTTGGAGGTCAATTACACTTAGCTCACGGCAGCAGATGCGAACCATAAGCGGCTACTGACGGTTCTGGGATTGAAGAAGCTGTACAACTCGCTCTACAACCAACGCGTGCCCTTCAGAGTGCGGCTCGACATCGAGCTTGCCAGGCTGCTGGAGTGGATTGCGCCCAGCGAGGAAGAGCGCGCTTACAAAGAGAAGGTTAGACATACAGTTGCTGGACTAACCCGTTCAGGTGCTGCTTCAGCTGGAGTTGATAATCTCTGCACTATTCCCCAATGCAGTTATGCACGTGTTTGGCTCATGTAGGTCACCATCTCCGGCGGATCAGCAAGCTTGCAGATGCCACGGGACTCTCGCTCCCTGGAGGCGACATAGACGTCTGCATCCAGACGAATGAGGACGAGCTTTCCACGCTGAAGCTGTTGGTCTACGCCCTCAGCAAGCTGGACCTGCTGCACTCGTTCGAGTGCGTCTTCAACGCCAAGGTGCCAGTGGTCAAGGCCATCGACAAGGCGACAGGTAGAGCTCCAGTGCATTTTTGCGACACTTTTCAGGCGTCAAAATCGACATTTCAATCTGGCAACAGAACGCGATGGACACCACTCAGTTCATTAAGGAGAAGGTCGGTTCTACGTCAACGTGTAGACAAGTCGCGCAGTGCGAACAGTACAAGTACATGCAACCGCTGATACTGCTGATCAAGCTCTTCCTGCAGCTGCGCAATCTCAACGACACGTACATCGGGGGCATCGGGTCGTACCTGCTGTACTGCATGGTGCTCAGCTTCCTGCAGCTCCACGTGTCCAGCTGCATCCGAATCAAGGACGAGGAGAACACGCTGGCCAGCCTCTACGTGGACTTCTTTTACTACTGGGGGTTCCTGCGGGACTACAACCAGTTCGCCACGACCGTGCGCGGGTTCGGGCACGTCTTCCCCAAGAACCTCCTGAACACCAGGGACACTGCGCTGCTGACGTGCGAGAGCCCATTGGAAACCTCTGTGGACATCGGAAAGAACGCCTTCAACATGGGCAGCGCCCGGGCGTCGTTCCAGAACGCTTTCTTTGTTCTCATGGAGAAGCAGAACATGTCCGGCGATCGCAGTGGCGCCCACGAGCGCCACAACGACTGCATCCTCGAGGCCCTGTACGACCCATCGCACCCTATTTTCCAGCACCGGACGGAAAGCCCAACAACACGGACCACACACTCGTCGTACGACTACCAGAAGCGCGCCTCCTCCGAGAACTCCCTGAAGGAGGTCTGCGAGCAGCTACGGCGGATGGCCGAGGAGGCGGCCGCACCTAACGGGGAGAAGTCACTCATGGGATCGGTATCGCACAAGACGGAGGACGGTGCGGCAGTAGACAAAGGGAAATCTCTGCCGTTCTACGTGATTGCCGACGCAGTCACCAAGGAGTTCTACAGCTCAGACTGACACTGCATGGGTGTAACATAGCTTTAAAGCAGATGTTTCTTTGCGATGCGCTGCACGCGCAGGTTAAACTCGCGTGAGACGATGATCCCGTTCGGCGGGTAGAGCGGGTTGTAGAGGTACTTGCAGTACAGCTCGTGCACTTCCTTGAGAAAGGCTCGGACCGAGTCGCACGAGGGCGGTGGCGGTAGGGGTGTAGAATGGGCAATGCTCGACGCGGGCAGCGTCCACGTTGCAGCGCGTGTTACCAACAGGAAGCGGACGTGACTCGTGCTCACGAACGCCCACACAGCCAGGCAGTCGAACACATCCACCTCCTTGAGGTACATAGAATGGTTGGTCCACACCAGGTCGTCGATCACGTCCAGCGCCTGGTGTGCGACGAACGAAGAGAGGTGTGGCGGATCTGGCCGCCAACCCGGAGTAGAAAGGTCTTGAATCAGCAGCGGCCGGTCGTCCCGGCTGACGATGATCAGCACGAGGATCTTGGACTTCGGCTCGGTAGCGTAAGCGTCCGGCTCCGAAACCGGCTCTAAGTCGGCCATTTATCGTGGATGTGTAATATTAGTGCGGTGTTACATGGCGGCGCAAGTGTGTAGCACGAGTGCCCTGCACGCCTCGACATCAGGCTTTCTTCACGGCCAGTGGCTTCTTCAGCTGGAATTTCGGTTTTATTGCAATCGGAATCAATGGCTTCTTATCGTCTGCGCCTGCAGCAGCATCGCCGGCAGTCGCCGGTTCCGGTGGCGGCGCAACCTTAGGTGTAATTCCAGGCAGTCCGACCTTCGGCGCGATTCCTGGCAGTGCGGTCTTGGGTGTGATTCCGGGACCTGGTGTCTTCGGAGCGGCACCTGGCAGGGCCGTCTTGGGCGTGATTCCGGCAGCTGGTGTCTTCGGAGCGGCACCTGGCAGGGCCGTCTTAGGTGTTAATCCTGGTAATGCAACCTTCGGGGCAATACCCAGCGTCTTGCTTTTCGGGGCTATCAGCGGTCCCTTGGGAACCGAAGCGACTGCTCCATCAGCAGGTGCTTCCGTTGCCGGCGCCGCTTTGGGAGCTATCTTCGGGACGATCGCTTTGGGAGCTATCTTCGGGACGATCGCTTTGGGAGCTATCTTCGGGACGATCGCTTTCGGTGCAGCGCCTTCGGTAGTTGGGGATGTCTTCGGAGCGATGCCCACTGGTGCCTTGGTGACCCCCTTAGGAGCCAAGAGAGGCGCCTTCTTGGCAGGAACCGGGTCAGCCTTTGGAGTCACCGTTGGAGCTGCCGCTTCAGCAGGCCCGGGTGAAGCACTCACTGGCGCTTTAGTCACGGCCTTGGGAGCCATAGACGGAGCTTCTGCCTTCGTTGTTATAGGGGTCTGGAATGTAACCTTGGGCGTTAAGCCAGCCTTCCCAAGTGGTGCCTTAACAGCTACTTTGGGAGTTGCTGATGCGGCATCTGGCTGTGGCGTTGAGTCAGCCGAAACATTAGACTTGCTGGCGACCATAGGCGGTGCTTTGGTCGGCATAGCCTTGGATGCAGCGGCTTCGGGAGCCGGTGATTTTGCCTTGCCATCAGAAGCCTGTGGAATCGATGATTTGCCGAATGACGGCGCCTTCGTGATGGAGGGGGTGGCTTTAGGCGCAGCATCAGGTGCTGATGCTGCCTTTGCTGGTGTGGCCGATTCGGTGGACGCCGTTGCCGCTTTGGCAGGAGCTCCCAACGGTGTCGGCTTACCCTTGAGGAACAGTGGCTTGCGCATTATGGCCTTCTGCTTGGGCTGGAACGGCGTATCCTCCGCTGGTTTCGGCTGAATAGTTGTGCGCGGTGGAGGCAGCTTTGCCTTCGCCTCAGGCTTCGACACCGATGGCGCCTTGTTTGTGACGGGTGCAGCTGTGCTGACCTTGTCGGGAACCGTTGGTTCAGATTGCGATGGTTTGTTGGCATCCACTGGTGCCACTTGGCTCATCATGAGCTCGTCGTTGCGACGGATGAAGTTCACAGCGGGCAGCTTAGCACCGTCGGGGATGCCCCGCACGGTAACGATCAGGTCACCGCAGTGGTTCCCGCCAGCGTCGATTATCTGCCACGGCTCGCGCGCATTCAGCGTCCTCTCGTCCACAATCGACATTTTAGAACTTCCCAACAGCACGCTACCGGAGTAAACGTCCAGAATCAGCATCGGCAGTACGTTGGGGACACGCGGCGGCAGCTGCTGAACCGATACGCAGCCGTTGATGTCGATAACGCCAGATGCGTTATCCATAGGTCTTGCAGTAACCTTCATCACGCGAGACGACGTAGATAGTGCGGTTTCGGCCGTCTCGTTGTCGTACCGGAAAACGCATGAATACCACCCGGGTTCGTTGGTAGACTTGTTGCTCTTGAGCATCAGCTGGTGAACCGTTACCGACAAGCCACGTAGCTGTGCCGACGGCGAAGCAAGCTCCACCGGGGCTGGTGTTGGGGCTGGCGCAGGAGCCGCGGGTGTCGGCAGGGGGTGGGACTCGGTCGCATTGCCGACATGGGACATCGATGCGTAGATGGCGGTGTAAAGAGTGTTCAGCCTGACATCCAGGTCCCTGCATGGGTACAGGTATTCTAAAAACAGCCGCAAAAATGCCGCACGGTTCTGGCTTTGCAAGGTAGCGCAACTGCCAATTCCGACGAATGCCTGCACCAGTGTATCCAACTGGTTGTAGAGCAGCTCGATCTTGTCGATGGTGGCACGGATTTTCAAAGGCTGACCTACTAAGGCCCTGATCTTGGTGTCCAGATGTTCGATCTGAGTGTTTGCCTCGGCAAGCTTCCTGCGCTCCTCGACCAACTCCTGCTCGAGGCGGTATGCCGTAGCCTCACTTTGCTTGCGCAGCTCACGCTCACGGTTGTACAAAGTAAAATAGTTGCGCATACGTTCTTCCAGGTCATCGAGCATGTGCTCAATAACCTCCGGCGCCGGTCTATGGCGGCCGAAGGGGACGTTCCGGGTGAGCACGGCACGGTTAGGCACGCGCATCTTCGACGACCTGCCAGAGAGCTGCTGCCAGGGGTCCTGGTCGCCGCCAGAAAATCCAATATCCGACATCCTTGCACCAGCTAGAGATCTGTCAAAATCCTAATGCCAATTTAGCACCGGCCGTTGAGGCGCATCGAACGCGAAGGATATCGGCCGAGCGCCTACACACCTGAGTCGAAGTCGATGCCACGATTAAAAAAGTCGCAATGAGCCGGCTCCCGGCGGTTCTCGTGGATCATAGTGGAACTATCAATGGAGTCGTGTCTGAAGACAGCGCTCCGCGGAGCACCTCGGGGCAGCAAACCGGTGCTTCCGGTACGTCGAAGGCGGAGAGAGCTCAGAGTCTAGCAGGCTAAAAACATGGTTCCTGATTGCCATAGCGTCACGACGCACACATTAAAACGCGAAAGTCTCTGAAATGGCCCGGTTGTAACCCAAACACAACACCGGGCAACAGTGATTCAGCTGCAAGCAAGCAGACAGAATCGAACGTATGTGAGCTGCAGGCTAACGCAGCTCAACGGCGGCCGTAGTGACGCGGGGCGTCGGTCTCGTACGCACGATGCCGAGGGCGATACGCGTAGTCGTACTCTCGTTCCCTCTGCCGGTAGTCCGTCTGGTAGTAGTCACGCCGGTCGTGTTCTAGCGCATACCGGTCGCTTTCACGGTAGCCAACGTAGCTCTCGCGGTACTCTGAGGGGTAGCTCGGATGAGGCGCGCTCATGATCATCTCGGCGCTGCGGTGGTGGTAACGGCCATCGTCGCGCATGTATTCGCTCGGCCGATACGAACGCCTAGTGCAGCCCGAACGACTCTCGTAGTCATCAATCCGCTCGAATGACCGGTCGCGATACGTGTGGCTCGAATACATCGGGTCTACCGTGTTACCGTCGCTCGCGGTGATGGAGGAGACGCTGCCTTGCCGAGAGACTGGACGATGGTGGTACCAATCTACCTCATTGTGATGCATATGCGTCTCGTACATAGTTTCGCTCGACCAGCGGTTCGGCCTCGGCAGGCCGTAATCGCGTGGATCCTCGTACCGTTCAAGCGACGGCCCGTGCCTGTAACCATCATCCGGCGGGTAGACGTCGTGGTACTCACGCACACCGTGGTCACGTTCATACGCGCTGCTACTAGAGCCCTGGTGAGCGTAGTAGCTTCTATGAAGGGGCGGGGACTCATCGTCGGTGGATAGTGCGGGGAGCCTGTCCGAGGGGGCAGAATGCGGAGGCGTGTTGCCGCAACCCGGATTGCGACCACCAGTATTCGGCAGGTCGGCGAAGAGAAGCGTCGTCTGCGTGTCATTTTTCTTCAAAGGGATCCGGATGCCCTTCAGGAACTTGGTTTTGCGCTTCTCGTTGTAGCTGTCGATGAACTCGCGGTAGAGGCCGTTGCGACGCAGCTCGATCGAGTGCTTCTTGTCGACCAGTTTTCCCGTTATCCTAGGTTCCTCCTCAGTCGGGACTGCATTTTCCAACGCAGCGCCAGTGGTGCTATCGCGCGAATGCGATAATTTCCGTAGATGTTGAAGGATCCCTCCTTGGCCAGACGGCCTCACCTCAACTACATTGTTGATCAAATGAGCGGATCTCATTTCGAGCACGTCGGAGCCCGTGTTTATGATGGCAGATCCGCGGTTGTCGTTGGGCCTATGGGCCAGCACGTCAGTCCTTCGGGACTCGCTTGGGTCCGATACGGCATCCCGGCTAGGCACGGGTACCCTGGGGCGTTTCGTCACCTCCATCTGCGACGCCGATTTGGCGGGCGGTTGTGTGTCCAGGCGCCTATCATTGGGTACTTTGGGAACCCAGGTCTGGGCCTCGGGTGAAGCCAGGGACATGTCGCTTCCCTCGGGCGTATCGTCGCTGGGACGCCTCATAGTGTCCCGTAAAAGTTGGAAGCGCATAAAAGAGTTGGGCGTGCGGCCGTAGAGTGCCATAGACGGACTCGCTGTCGGCGAACGTGCATCTCCAGCCAAGCGCTGGCTGGTGCCAGCGCCATCAATCTGAGCAAGGGAAGCGATTTGAGCGGGAGCAGCTACCGAACTTGCGGCACGCTGACGATCAGGGCTGGCAATACCGCCAATATTACCCGATTCTGCAATACCCGACCCATTGTTCTTCGTTGTGTGGTCCCCATCGATACCATCCTCCGACGAGGCGCTCAGGGAAACAGCGTCGATGAAGCCATCCTCACCGCTAGCGTCGGTACCAGATGTTGTCTGCGGTTGTTCCTTGAAACCCATGCCATGCGTCACGGGATCAGGAGGGCTTTCCACACTATCCTTGGTGACGGTGTGCTGGTTCTTAGAGTCTTGGTGTTTGGGCGTGCAAACCTCCACCTCATCCAGGGCGCCGCCTCCGAGCATCAGCTCGTCGCCCTTAATATACCGCAAGTCGGAATCCGTCATAGCGCTCTTCAGAATGTCCTTCAGACGGTGCGACAGCGCCTTCAGCGAGCTTGAAGGGCTGCCCTTCTTGCCGGAGGGCGTTGAGTTGGTACCACCGGATTGCTCCGAACTCGTGCGCACCGGTGTCCGCTGGGCCGCCCCGACGAGGGACGAATGCTGAATCGCACCCTTATAACTCAAGTAGCCGCAGTTGTTTAATGACTTTGCCCGTTCGGTGGCAGAAGGGGAACGTGGCTCCATCTTCCATATGGAGGCAGCTGCTTCAGCTTGGCAGCTCAGCGTCTCCTCCGACAAAAATGCGCCAGGCGACTCTGACGGGCACGGCAGAAGCGGGCGGCACACCTCATTGTACACCCTGCGAAACGGGTCCAAACGGCTGATCAGTTCAGGCTGGATGAAAATGTTCGACCGCATGGAAGGTCTGGAATCTGCACAAATATAAACTAAACATGCGGGCATTCTCACCTGCAACACGCTGTATACGACGCACTCCCAGATTTGCTGCTTCATTATCAAACTCGTGGAAGTACAAATTCTCCAGCTTGACCATCGCGGCCTCGCAGCCGCGACGGATGCCGCGACCATTGATCTTGCTGTCTGCACCAAAATTAGCCGTCAAAAGTGCGTCATGCACGTCATAAAAACGTGCACGTACCTGGTTTTTTCCCCTTCATTGTGGCGCGGAATCGAGAGAGACTGTGTACAGGGCGCGGCTAGCTACGCCTTCAGCATGATGCGCGGCCGTTCCAAGAAGGTAGCCGCCGCGGAGCTAGAACTGCAGGCAACATCATTATCCGTGCGTGCCGCCTGGAAGCAAATATACACGGACACGATGCTGCGCGCTGCACTGACGTCTCTCCCTCATGCAACGGAGCTATGTCGGCGTACCCGCTTCGTGGGGGCTAGCGGCACACTGTCATACGGCACAGACAGCTTTTCTACCCATAGCGCAGCTAGATTCTACACATACCCGATAGTACACACCCGATGAGCACCTGATCTCGGCGGAAGGTCGCCTCCGACGCCGTAACTGCGGTACACACATCTGCCGTGGCTGTGACAGCCACTAGCATAGCCTCTGTCTGTTACCACAGCCAGAGTCGAAAATCCGTTTAGTATCGAAATGTCGATTACGGAATGACATAGAAGTCTTACAACAGAGTGTGCGAATCGATGCTCTGGCTTGCGGCAGCGCACATGTAGGCTAACAGCTCGCAACCACGACACTTGTCGTTACATGATAAAATCACTGTCGTAAGACCTGTCAGCTACTGCTGACCTTAGCGGTACCTTCACGGCCGCAATGTTTTGTGTTGTGCCTAGATTCGCCAAGCAGCGGCTTACGACGCGAATATACGATGCCGGCACCAAAGCGTCGCTCAAGGTGTATCACCTGCAGGAGTACGCCAGGTACCGAGCGGGCTTAACGCCATCGGCATCTCCAGGGGATTCTACGGCTCCGGGCAGAAATGTACGCCCAGATGCAGCGCGGGACATACCGCTTTTTCGGAAGATAGAGGATTGGAGGCAAATAGTAGCAGAAGTTGATGAGTGCGTTCGTGAGCTGTCACCGGCGCAACTGCTGGCGACTGCTATCGCATATTGGCGTCTAGGACGCGTTGGACGATCCGAGTGGAAGCGGCTCTGCTCGGCAGCGGCGCGGCACGCCTACGGACCACATGCAAACGTCACTGGCATATCCGCCAGTGAGGTTGCGCTGATACTGTGCTGCTATGCCCGCGTGTTCAACAAGCCTGTCCACTCATCAACCAGCTTATTGCGGTGGCTGGTGCGCGACGTTGGCGCGCTTAACGAACGTGACGTATGCATGACCCTGTTCTACATGAGACGGATGCGCTTAATTCCGCCAGTGTTGGACACATCCGAAGACACTTCAAGCGCAGCTATTCTGAGGGCCATTGTACTTGGTTTGGCTGCGGAGGGTGGTAACAAGTTGCCCAAGTTCTCCCCTGGCGGACTGGCCTGCCTGGTGTCGAACATCACGTATATCGGACATATACCGTGGGGGTTAATCTACCATGCGTGTAACCTCATACGGAAGCATGCTGCGAGGCTGGATCCGAAAACCATGGCCATGCACGTCAGGTCGCTCGCCATGTTACGCTTTCCTGACAAGGGCACGCTCAAGGTTTTCGCGACACTTCTCGACACGCAAAAACCGCTGCCCACCGCGACTATCGCATGTGTATTGCACTCGTATGCCAAGCTGAGGTTCAGGCCGCGGAAGCATTTCGCTGCGCTGGTTGAGCAGGTGCACAGGTGGGTGGTCACAGCCTGCCGGCAGTGCAACATCATGTTCAGGGGGATCTTTTTGTTTCAAGATCATGAAGTTGCCCAGGTGGCCTTTGCATTGGGGCAATTGGGTTATCGCAATGAGGAAGTTTTTGAAAGCATCTTCGCCTTCGCAGAGGTAGGCGGTGGACCGCCAAACGATTGTCACGGCACTGCAGAATCGAGCCGAGCACCAGAACCCACAGAACATATCAATGCTCATGCAATCGTTCGCCAAGGTCGGAATGTACCATCGTGGAGCCGTGAATGCTCTTCTGCAGCAGGCGAAGGACACCGTGGTGGGTTTTCAATAACACCGCCGATATGCACCGATATTCAGGCTGCCTTCACGCTTAAGCAGAGCGTGGCAGTGCTAGACGCCTGTGTAGTGCTCGGACACTTCGATAGTGACGCTTTCCGTGCACTGTTGGCCAACGTCACCAGGCTCGTTGAGGTGAGTTGGGCTCCCGAGTTCTTATCGCTCCGAAGGATGACCTTCCCGACGCCACCATCAACCAGCTCAACAGGATCATGTACTGCCTGCGATTCGAGGTAAAGTACGCTTAAACCGTGTTGGGGCGTCAAAATCTGCAGCACGCCAAATTCGTGGAGGAGTCGCCACCTAGCATGCAGACCTTGATCGGCCTCTACCAGGGGCACTTTTTGGAAGCGCCGCCGAAAGAGGTTAGTCACACATTGCAATCACAAACACAGTATTCAACAGCCGCGTGATGCACTGTACGAGTGTCTCGAGATGATGGAGGCCGAGTACGAACGAAATGCATCAATAGGACCGTATCGCATCGATGCACTGATTAACGGGTAGGTACCGCTTCCGATGCACCATAAACACAGTCAACACAGGGTGATAGCGCTTGACTTACTCAGCGAAGCAGCATTGTGCCCACTGACGCAGCACCCGCTCGGGTCGGTGCGCTTGAAAACAAGGCACCTAAAGGCCATGGGATACACGCACACTACACTGCCGATAAAAGAGTGGTTAGCTGGTTAGGCCAAATTGACAATTGTTTCAGGCTCAAGAAGCCACAAGATGAGCGGATAAAACGCCTTGAAGAGGCATTAGCCCTGTAGACTGACCTTGAATTTGTCTGCACAATTTTAGCTCAAACGATAGCAAACCTACATGTGTCATCGATAGACGGCGACACGGTCGCAGCCAAGCCTAGCGCTGCCAGTGAGCCGCGCACGATGCCCGCAAGCAGGTGCAAATAGAAGAGCTTGTAGTCCTCGGACAGACCCATGCCGTCGCTGCCGCCTGCACCGGGAGACCGGGGTCCCAGGTGCGAAAGCCATGGAATCTGGTCACACAGGATTATATAAGTGCCCTGGCTGTTAGATTGGAGGCGCCCGGCGTTAGTTCCGAACAGGTAAGTCCACACATTCTTGCAGACAAAAATGACACAGGTGTTCTGATCCCAGATACGACCCTTGCCGAGCGTCAGCCTACGCCACTGTCAGCCTTCTAACCCCCTAAACTCACCGGGTAGCTATCCTGGCTCCCAAATAATAGCCGTGAAGGTCGAGCGCCGCCTTCACGGACGCGTGTCCATCTGACGATTGCGATTGAGGTCCCTCGGACTGCAGCGGCGACGAGCGCTTGCGCATCGAGCGGGCCAAGTAGTACTTCACCAGCTCATGGATGAGCAGCAGCTGCACGTGCTTCGCTGCGGTCGCCATAGCGGCAGAGGGATGCACACTGCCAACAACGGCGCGCCGCTGCCTTCGGCCTGCTGCAGCGACAGAAGTACCCGCGCAGTAATAATATGGCAAAGGAATTTAGCACAACTGCTATTCCATATTATGTTTTTGCGCCCGGAAATGTGTCGTCACTCAGTGTGTCTTCCCACACAACTGCGTATCGCGTCATCATGTTGACGTGGTTGCTGCGCCGCTCTTCGCCCAGACTGCTAGTCAAAACACGCAGCATACACGATCGTACAGAACTACTGAGTGATGCTGCTTTCGGTTTAACGCAAAGCTTAAGTGGATGCTAATCAGACAAGGCCGTGGACGTCGGATGTGGTTGTCGACATCGAAGGCCAGCGACTGCATGGCTGACAACCAACATCTCATGTAACAAATAGCCGTACAACAACTGAGCTTCGGTCAAGGAAACGTTGGCCTTGCAGTACGTTTCGCTTCAAGAAGGGTGAAAGCAGTTCAGCCTATTGATGTAACATCTTCTCAACGAATAAAGTAAATCTATGTACCAACAAGTCCATTTCGCAATTATTCAACAGCGGTGAGATTAGTTTATCGAATTGAGTCCACCAACGTATAGAAAAAGACATTAACTGCGTACCGTTCAAATGGATGGCACGGCAGCATCGATATACATAGTGTATCGCAAGTACACATTTACAATATACACCCAACTGTTTCGTACATAAACAATGTGGGAAATTGGTGTAGAACAGTTAGACGACGTAGAATGGGTCCGTTGGAACCAACGTCGGCCAAACGGCAAGTCACCTCAATCGCACATTACGCAAATGAACGCTGCTACCTAATCTTACAATCGTTTCTACCTCAATTAAAGTAGAGTTATGGTGAATAACTCGGAAACTCTCGCCACAACCGGCCGCTGCCCTTATAGGGTAGAGGCTGCCGGAATCATGGGGACGGCGAGAACGGACGACTCCAGCCATTCAACACCTCACCTTTTATCTTCATTAATTTAGGTACGTTTCGCACAGTAACTTGTGGGTCGTCGAAGGGTTTATGAGCGCTGGCGTCTGCTTTCGGGTTGCACGCGCCACCGCCGGTAGTGCCGCTGGTGTATCCACCGTGAGCTCGCCCGTATTGTAGCACGTCTGGCGCATCATCTCCCATCAATATATTTGCAAAATACGTTTGTGACTTATGTTTCTGCAGATCGCGCACAGTCGCGTAGAAGGTCTGACAAGATGACGACCAGGTTCAAGAACTGCCGCAAGCTCAGGGGCCACGTGTCCCACGGTCACGGAAGGGTTGGCAAGCATCGTAAGCATCCCGGTGGTCGTGGTAAGGCCGGTGGTCAGAGCCACCACCGTATTCTTTTCGACAAGTTCCACCCTGGTTACTTCGGAAAGGTAAGGTGCGAGCACGCGACGTAGCCATCACACGCAGGTCGGTATGAGGTACTTCCACAAGATCAAGAACCGCTTCTACTGCAGGAGCGTCAACGTCGAGAACCTGTGGTCCATGGTCCCCAAGGAGGACGTTGAGGCCGTCGCCCAGGAGCCCGGCAAGGCCCCAGTGCTGGACCTCGTGCAGAAGGGCTACTTCAAGGTGCTGGGAACCGGAAAGATGCCCCAGAAGCCCCTCGTTGTGAAGGCCAGGTTCTTCAGCAAGCTCGCTGAGAGGAAGATCAAGGCCGCGGGAGGCGCGTGCGTCCTCGTGGCTTAATCGGTGACGACCTGACATCAGTCTAATCGTGGTAACATTCATAAATTACACGACTGTTTCACTTATAAGCGGTGCTGTGCGGCAGTGGCGCTCAACGCAGAAGCGGGTTAGGGGTGTAGGGCACGATGGCCGTGCTCTTTGAACCGCCGCCAGGTTGGGTCGAGCTGGTGGTCGACCCGGATTGCCCGAATAGGCCACCCGTGTTCTGTTGACCAAACAGCGATGTAGAGCTGCCAGTGCTGCCAAACAGACCACCACCTGAGGTGTTAGGCTGCTGGGCAAAGGTGTTTTGCTGGCCGAATGTGAATGTAGAAGATGGCGTCGTGGTCGTGTTGCCGAAGAGGCCCCCTGTAGTAGTTCCGGACTGTTGTGGTTGTCCGAATACGTTTGTAGTCGTGCTTGCCTGCTGTTGCTGTCCGAACAAACCAGTGGTTGTAGTTGGCTGCTGGCCAAATAGGCCCCCAGTTGTGCTCGGCTGCTGCTGTGGCCTGAATAGACTGCCGGAGGCAGCAGGTTGCTGTTGACCGAACAGCCCCCCGGTCGTCGTGGACTGTTGGCCAAATAATCCTCCCGATGCTGCTGGTTGTTGTTGGCCGAATAGGCCTCCCGATGAAGCCGGCTGTTGTCCAAACACACCACCAGTCGTGGTCGTCTGCTGTTGTTGGCCGAAGGTGGGAGTGGAGCTCGATCCGAAAATACCTGTGGTTGTGGAGGTGCCGGTGGCACCTGTTCCAAACAGGTTTGTTGTGCCTGTTGTACCAGTAGCGGCAGTTCCAAAAGCATTCGTAGTGCCCGTTGTTCCGGCCCCGAATACGTTGGTCCCGGTGGTAGCAGTTGTCGATCCGCCAAACAGGTTGGTGCCGGTGCTACCAGTCGTAGCACCAAACACATTGGTGGTGCCTGCAGGTTTAGAGGCAGCGCCGAACAAGTTGCTGCTACCGGTGGTACCGAAGATGCCTCCCGTGGTACCAGTGGATCCTCCAAATAGGGGCGTCGAGGAAGTGCCTGGTGCGCCTGTGCCGAACAAGCCGGTCGACGGCTGTGTTGTGCCGAAGAATTGCGAAGTGGCAGGCGGTTGCGTGGGCTGCTGCAGAATGTCGCGGATGTTGTAGGCGGACTGGTCAAGGTTGTAGCTGCCGGTCTCACGGAACGCCGTGTTGAACTTTCGCAGGTAAGAAATTTGCTTCTTGATCTCGTCGCCGACATCACTGCTAGAGGTTGCCTGCGGCTCTCCCTCGTTTGCGGCGGGGCGGATGGGAAGACCCACTGCGGTCAGGAAAGCCCTCTTCAGCTCGCTGGGCTCGTCGACCACGCCGCTCCAAAGGTCATCCCGGTTGCGGTGCCTTTCATCCATGCCACGAACCGCCTTGGTGAGACGGTCTCCCAAGCCGGAGATGCGTTTTTCATGACTCCCGAGGACGCGGTTCACCGTGGTCACGTACTGCGACATGTCGATGTCCTTCAGCGACAACACCTCCATATTAAGCACATGGATCTCGTTACGCCATGAGCGGATGTTGTCAAGCAGCTCCTTGGTCAGCTGTACGTGCAGGTGGTTGGGCACGCGAAACATCGCCGAGATCTTGCTTCCTCTAGGGGTCTCGTTAGGGCGCAGGGACTCCGACAGGCGCCTGGCCTTTATAGAAATCAAGTTCTGCGCATCCTGGCGCTTGCAGCGGTCGTTAACTTCTTGCTGCAGCTTCGATTGTAATAAACTAATACCGTTAAGCGAGTTCTTGATCTCGTCATGCGATTGCCAGCACTGCGCATCCAGCTCCACCAACCGATCGACCATGGGCCGCACCTTCGCGATGTTCTTCTCATGAGCAGTCAGAAGGAGGTCGGCCACGTCGAAGTGACCGCGCCATTGCGGTATGAGCTGAGTCAACAGACGCACAGTGCAACGGGAGTTGACCTTCTGCGGGACGGCGCCAACAGCAGGCGCGGATTGGCCGAACGCGGTGCCACCAACCTTACCGGCATCACCGAAGGTCGGCGCCACACCAGGTGTAGATGGAGCGCCAAACTGTCCGATGCCGCCAGAGAGCGATGTGCCGGTACCGGTGCCGAAGGCAGGCGCGCTGGCAGTGTTCAACGATGTCGTGCCACTGGCGCCGAAAATAGATCCTGTGGCGGTTCCGGGCGCCGGCGCAAAACTGAATGAAGACGCCATTCGCACGGGCCACGCGTAAAGGCAGCGATAGATGTGTCACTGCGTTGCGCGACTGAACGACGCGGCTCGGCGAAACTAGTCGACTCGCAGCCCTAACTCCGCTCTGCTACTCACACATAACGCGGATTCATAAAGGCCATAAGCCACATAGTTGTAATTTGTGCAGTTCCGAGGGGTGTGCCAAGGATGGTCACGGTAGCCCAATTAAGTAGTCCCATCCAATGCTTAAAGCTGACAGAAATAAGTATATAACTGTACAATCCTTAGTGGTCGGTGTTGTTGCCGGCCATACTGCGTCGAAAATACCGGATCCCATCCGAACTCCGAAGTCAAGCGGCGCTAGGCCGGGTTAGTACTGGGGTGGGGGACCGCCCGGGAACCCCTTTCGGTGCCGGCAACCTATTTCAACTATTTGAGAACGATAAAGTCTACCGTCATTTTAGGGAAAAGTGGGACTGGGAACGCTCAGCAAACATGCTTTTAACAGCTACAGGATGGATGAAGCAATACCAAAGACAGCTGAACCCCGTGAGGGTGGTGGCCTTGGTGCCCTTACAAATCCCGTTACATGTTCCAAGGCAAGCATTACAAGGTAACAAATACCTAACGTAAATATGCAAGATTATAATTAATTTGAGATATCGAGTTGACCCATTGGGTCATCGTCGAAGTAGTCGACGTCCTTGTAGAGCGAGAGCATCCTGCGGCTTCCGGCGAGTAAGGCCTTGACGTCGATAAGGTGTGAAGCCCTGGTGGTGAGGAGGTGTGAGCGGATGCGGAGGACGTCCATGCGGTAGAGTAGCGAGTGGAGGATGTAGATCGTGGCGGTGAGCCAGAGTGTGACGATGGTGAAGAGGAAGGGGGCACGGATGCCGTAGAGGAACTCATCGATTTGGTGGAACAACTCCGTGAAGTGTCTGGAGTGGAGCACGTTCTGTAGTTGAGTACAGAAATGGTGGCAATATTTCCTGTTATTGCCGTGTAAGGCTCTCGTGTTTCCAAACGTAAATCCATATGCGTGAAACGTCGGCAGGACGCCGTGACAGCTCAGCAGTGCCTTGCACTTGCAGTTGAGGTTGACGCCATGTTGGCCCGGCTTGCAGGGACATTCGGAGCAGCCGGAGCTTGCGCAGTCAATGTCTTGAAAGGCGTTGAGCAATTGCTCGAGCAGGTACCAGAATTGCCACGCCAGGTGTACGACCCACGAGAGGTAGAGGTGGGCGTGCTGCTCGGGGAGGGTGTGGCAGGCGTGGAAGGAGAGAGGTTGGAGGTAGGGGGCGCAGGTCAGTGAGTCGGAGCACTGCGCTCGGACGGTGAGGCTCGACAGATCCGAGTGGCTGTCCGTGTTGGCGTTCTTGTCGGTGTCGGCGTCCGCCTGGGCTGCAGCGGCGTGGTCTGCGGGGGAGTGGTACAATGCGGTCAGCGCGCTGGTCAATCGCACCGCCTGCTTTCTCGCACAGAGATTCATGGAGACGCTGGGAATTGCCTCACTCGTCAGGTGACTTATGAAATCGTTATTGTCGAGATACTTCAGACGCTGTGTCCTGTGATCTAACCCGCGGCGTTGCGCAAAGTTGCAGAAGAAGGCAAACATGTCACCGAGAGTTTGAGGCGGACAGGGGTTAATTGAGGAAAGGCACCGCAGCAGGGAGGGCAACGGTGACTCGGCATTGCTGCACAAGGCGGTGAGCACGGCGAATATATCTCTGCCGGTGCCCGTTCTAGATCCCGCACGTGGCAGGTCCCAGAAGCCCATCGGAGTGACGCACTGCTGGCCTGGCTTACCAGTAGGGCAGGTGAGACATTCAGAGTCACAACCGACGGACGTCAGCTTATGTGGCAACAAGCCGGGTAACTGGTCCATTAGATGGGCTTGTAGAGGCGATTTTGGTTGGCAGTTTGGTCGACAATTTGATTCGATGCTTGAGTGGTCGTTGCACTGCCAGTTGGCGGCGGGGACGCTTCTGCCGTACCGGCATTCTGACCAGCCGTGGCCCATGGACGCTTCGTATCGGCAACGGGCGCGCAAGAAGTTGAGTGCGCGCAATGCACGTTTACACAGGCGAGCCAGGATGTCCAGGAGCTCAGCAACGTCTGAGGGGTAATGAAAGCCGCGTGAGTTGTCCCAGAAGTTGCAGGCGTATTGGTAGTCGGCGTGGTCGAAGCCGCGACCGTTACCGCAGATGGTGACGAGGAGGGTACTGCTGTGATGTGTCAAAAAGCCGAGGGCGCCGGGGATGCAGAGCAAGGAATATTTAAGCACGTCATCAGTTTCACCACCAGACAAGTTATGGCAATGCGGTTGAATGCGTTTGTATACTGCGGTGTGCGGCAGCCCGGCGAGCCAAGCGAGGACGTCCCTGACGGTGCAGGGGTACCGGGGTTCTGTGGGGATGTGCAGGTGACAGACACGCAAGTAATATTTGAGCATGTCGTGGAGTGCGTCCAGGGGATCCAAAGCGTCATGGATGAGGCTGCAGATTTCAGCACCGTTGCAGGCATTCTCGTTACGCAGCTCGGCGTGGATGAGGCCATCGGAAGCAACGACAAAGCCACAGCGCCCGAGGAATTGCCCCAGGGGATTGTACGCATTTATGTTGTGATGTGCCCACTCATCTGTGCAGCCCATTCTGAGCTTATTGACGGCGCGGAACAGCGTGTCAGTGACAGTCAGAAGGATCATCACGCACTTGGCGGCCTCGGGGGTGTGCGTCTTTTTCGCCGCGTGGAACAGCACGCAGTCGTCGAAGGCGCCGTCGTAGCGGCTGATGTATGCCCTGCCCAGCTCGTCTACCAGGGCCGGGAAACCTGCTCGCAAAACGTTTAGCAGTAAAGGGCTATCGCCGTCGCCGAATTTCGCAGGCGCGAAGCTGTCAATCTCATTCCTCAGTGCGTACAGGTTATTGCAAAATTCGTAGCCAAAGTGTCCAGAGGCCTGGAGACCACTCAGCAGTTTGGTCAGCGCCGCAGTCGTCGGCGCAATCTTCCTGGAGTCGGGCGCGAAGTCCGCCTGAGTTTTTAGATTCAGGAAGAAATATGCGAACGCCGTCCGCAGTATTCTGGCCGCGTGAGTGAGCGGCGATTTCGGCTTCGGGGACTTTCCCTGTGCACTGGAGACTCTCGAGACGTCTCTGATATTCACCACGTTTTTAACAAACTTGTTTTCCAGTTTACTCATGAAGCCTTTGAAGCCCATTTCCATATCCTTGCGTATTTCCCTGGGTAACGGTTTTAGATCCTCGGCCACTGCAGAGGCGAAGTGTGACAACATGTCATGGATGTTGGACACGTACTGTCTCCTGAGTTCCTCGCTGAGCTGCTTGAGTGCATCGTCAACTTCCTCGTCCACCGCTCTGTGCAGCTGCGCTTTCAGCTGTCTGCCGCCGTGCTCCAGGAACGTCAGCAGTTTCTCAAGCTCCCTGATGGCGGCGGACAATTTATCGTTAACAGCGTTAAGATTTTCTTTGATTTTTACCAGTTGCATTTTTACGTCATCATCTTCAAACCCCTGCAGCTTGCGCTTCAGCCCTCTGCCGTCCTCAGCAACGTTGTAGCAAAGGTGATTCAGTATACTTCTCACGTCGCTGACGTCCACGTTCCTCACCATCGCGACTTCATTCATGACCCTCTCGAGACCCACGGTGCTCCGCCAACTTGCACTGTCACTCAACCCGTTGGTTACCAGATCGCCCAGCGCTTTGATGACGTCATCGCTCAGCACGCCTTGCAACCTTGTGAGCTCCCCTGTGATTGCCGCCTTGGCTGCCTCGATGGCTTCGGGATTGTCTGTGAACTGTTTCTTCTGCAGCCCAGTAATCACTGTGTGAATGCCTTGAAGGTTTCCCGACTGGGGAACGTCCTTACCAATTTTCTCCTTCAACCGCGTCAAGTGGTCTACGACGTCACTGTTTGTGCTGTCATCATTTAATCTGTAACCTATCATTTGAAGTTCGTCATGAATCTTATCTAAGGCCCTCTCGATTATCACAGGCTGCCTGGCCAGTATGTCATTTTCTTTTTCAAGCTCCCTTTTGATGCTCTCGATTCCCTCTGCAACTTTGCCGTCAACTGTCCAGTTGCCTCCACTTTCAAGACCACTGTCCTTTAAACCTCTCAACCAATCGATGATATCATCTTGCAAATTCGTCTGAAGGCCTTCAAGCGCCGTAGTAATTTGGTTCACCGCTTGATTTATGTTTTTAGGTTTCTCAGTGAACTCACTTTCCTTCAGCCCTTTTATGTCCTCATGAATTTTCATCAGGCCATTGAGGGGTTGATAGTTGACATCCTTACCATGCCACTGAGCACTGCCAAGGCCAGTCTCTTTTAAATCTGTCAAGTCGTCAATAACGCCATTTTCTGTCCTCCCATTAGGATCTTTCTTCAACAAATCTCTAAGACTCTTAAGCTCCAACTTAATTTTTGGTAAAGCTTCTTCGATGGATTTGGGATGGTTAGTAAATTCTGTGGTTTGCAACTGATGAATTTTATTATGTATTGCGTTGAGGCCTTTGACAGTGTCTTTAGGAATTCCATCTACTTTGCCTTTAAGATTAACCTCTCCCTCCTTAAGCATCGTACCCAAATCACTCAACCGCTGCTTTATGCCATATTCATCTGGGCTACTGGTTTTCGCCGACTTATCCTCAACACACTTGGCGATGGCTTGGAGTTCTTGGGTGATTTTGTTGAGATGTCCTTGGACTGCTGTTGTGGCTGTAGAGACGTTGCCGTTAGAAAGCTCATCTTGTAGGCCAGTCTGTTCTTTGTTATCTGCGAAAGCAGGCAACTTCTTGAAGTCATCCATTGCAGTTGTAATGTCCTTTTGGATCAATTGCTGATACTTGCCGGTTAGTTCATCTGGTGGATTGTTTTTCTTAATTTTATATTGCTCCATAGTGGTTTCAACATTTATACCCTTAGGATCAGTATCCTTCATCGCATTTTTAACCTGCTCCGCAATCCCCTTAACGCTGGTCAAAATGGTATTCGTCTGGCCGGGGCTGTGGGCACCGCTTCCTCTGTCAAGCGCTGTGTTTGCTGCGTCTCCGAGATCAATGTCCAGCTTCTTAGTCTCACCAACAACTTTGTCCAATTCGCCTGCGATGCTTTTTGAGTTGCCTGGCACATAATTTCCCACCCTTTTCTGGAGAAACACAGATTCCAGTTCGTTGCCAACTTGTCTCACTGTAGAGGTGAGCGCGCACATTATCAATTCCGCGGCGGCTTTTTTGCCACAGTCTCCATTTCTGCATTTTGTGCATGGTACGTCGCACTCGCAGACGCATTTTTGAATCTTAGCGACGAGTTGCCCCAATGGCAACGCCTTTTCCTTAACATGGTTGACTATTCCTCTTGAGCCCTCCATCAGCTCCTTATCAAGACCGTTGGCAAATATCTCACAGGCTGTTTTAACGGCGTTGATATTATCCTGAATTGTGCCGCTGACAGTATTAACATTTTGGAATGCGTCTTTGGCTATACCAATAACATCTGTTTTAAGCCTGTCTTTCATTCCAATTGCGAAAGCACTGATGTTACCCTTCTCACTGTTCTCATCAAACTCCTGCTTCATATTGAGTATCCTCCGCACGGTGCCATTGTACCTCAAAATTGTGGCTTCCAACCAGCCCTTTGCAATTTCTGCAAAATTATCGTGGCGAAATGCAGTGGCATAATTACGCACTCCCTCTGCGATTCCCAAAAGACCTGAAGCACCTGGATTATTCCAAATACTTGTGTCGCTCCCCTTAATCTCTCCCACTTGCCCCTTAATCTGCAAAAGCATCTCACCAACATGCTTTTTCATCTTGCTCACAATATCCTTTTGCAGCCTATCCAAATCATCTTTCATGCCCTTTTCCAAATCTTCAACGGCCCCTCTAACTTGACCATCCAAAGCGCTCACCTTAGTAAACGTCTCCTTGTAAGCCTCCAAAAGGTCCGTGGCTTTTTTCTGCAGTGCGGCGGCTTGCTGTTTAATTACAGGGTCGCCATTCTTTATCTCAGTTTTTGTAAGTATCTCATCACATTTATTTTGCCCAGCTTGGACAATTTTGTCAGCCGCAGTATGCCAGTTATTCAAGTGCCCAACTTCCTCACCAAGAGTTTTATTCGCAGAGTCAATTGCCTTTTGAGCGGTGTCAATGTTCTCAATATTTTTGCCAAGAGATTTTTCTTCTGCTTTATTATTTTCGTCCAACGCTTTCCACACATTTTCCGCCTTGCTCACCGCCTCTCCAATCACTGTCGCAGCCTGCTGCTTCCAGTCACTCAAACTCCCAAGGTGGCCGTGAAGCTTATCTTTAGCCTGGTCAAGTGCCTCTCTTGCTTCGGTAATTTCACCGATCTTCTTACCGATATCATGCCCTGAATTTTTCTCAGGATTCAACTTCTCCTTCACCTGAGTAGAACTGTCAATCACCTCTTGAAGCACCTTCTGGGCCGCATCTTTCCAGACACCCAAGTTGGTGTCAACATTTGACAGTCCACTATGAACACTTCTGATTTTACTATTGGCTGCTTCAATCTCTCCAATTTTCCTAGACAGGGTCTTGTGAACTTGCAGCTTATCGTACGCCTCCTCCGCTCTTCGCTTAGCCTTGGCACGGATTTTCTCCGCACTGTCAATCCAGGAATTTAGCTTACGGAGTTGATCACCAAGTTGTGAATTTGCGGCGACAATTCCTTTAGTGGCGGTATCAATTTTAGTGATGTTAGTGCCAATAGGATCCTTATCACTCTGAGGATTCAACTTTCCACTTACTTCCGTTGCCCTACTAGATGCTGCCTCGAGCGCTTTTATCGCGTCTGCAATCCACGCTTCCAAACTGCCCACTTGGACGCCGAGTTGTATTTCAATCTGCTCTAGTGTCGATTTAAGTTGACCCAGGTAATTAGTTTGACTGCCTTCATTGACCTCATCCAATATCTTCTGGACATACTGCTGCGCCGACTGGATGAATTGCTCAGCCTCCTTTATCCATAAATCCAATTCGCTGACGTAAGTGCTCAACTTTTTATTTATGCTGCGTAGGTCATCCAGAATTTTCTGGACCCTTCGTCTGACACCGTCGACAAGCGCAGTCACCCTCTCTGTGATATCATGTTTTAACATCTTTCTGGCCTTCTCAAGCGCCTTCTTTATAATTTTAATCATAGAGTTGTAGTTCTCTTTTTGCTTCCTCGTCAGCGTCATAAGGCGCCGATATTCGTGATAAATGGTTTTCTTCGCGTTGCCTACTTTATCACGCAAGTTAGCGTTTAAGTCCTTCACATTTCCCCGGACACCTACGACACTGGCTACAAACTGCTCGCCTTGCTTAACACAGCCCTCCACCAGCTGGTCGGCCTTCTCGACATCTTGCTCAGTCGGAGTTTCAACCTGCAAGCCATTAACACGTTTAAGCAACTCACCACCCGGATTCAGATAGTCAAGCAACTCTTCAATCGGCCTCTTGACTCTTTCGTTCGAAGCCTTGACAGCGGAGTTATAGTCCCGGAGGCCACTGGCCACCTTGGGGACGACAGCCTTAAAGCCATGGTGCCCACTCCGCCTGGCTTTTTTAAGGTCACCAACTAGGCCACCTAACAAAGCTCTACCAACAACATACGGCTGATTATCACGGACATCACTGAACACTCTATACAAAAACGCCACAATGGCATCGCACAAACGGGAGGCGTCGCCGTACACAATCCCGGAACCATCGTAGGTTCCAGGAGGCTGGTAGCCTAGAAATTTCTCAAAGGCGGAACAGACATTATGTAAAATGTTTTTATTAGAATTCGCAGAGTCTTTCGGAAAAGAGCTCCGAAAAGTTTGAAGTTTGTCGATAACATCTCTGGCGGACGGCTCAGCTGATTCGGGGAAAGACGACAGAGATTTCTGAGCATCCTGAACAACATTGTCAAACAACTTACCGAGAGCCTCGAACAGCTGTGAAATACCGCCACCGTGATTAACCTGGATGAGCCAGTCGATCGCCTCTCGAAGGTTCTCGGGGCAATCCGTCAAAGCTTTCGGTGCCATGCCATCTAGCTTCGAATAGTGGTACCGCCAAGCAATCACGCACTAATCGGCTGCCACACAAGGCAACATGTCCACACAGCTGAATAAACTGAGTTTATAGGTAGCTAGGTGAAACTATGGGTGAAGAAAATACATCATAGTAATGAACAACACGTGCGTGCCACACACAAACTACATTTAAAACACAAAATTGATTTAAAGATCGGACCTACCTGATGAGGTAGGACGGCAACGATCCCAGTAATCCGGCGATCCAGGGTCCAAGTTGACGTGTAAAACCAGAGCAAGGTGGGAAGGCGATAAGCTTCATCGAGATCTCTAGAGGAAGACAGGTTGGCTGTCCCACCCCTGGATACTAACCCTGCCAACTCGTCTCCCCTCAGCGCTCCGTGACCATACAGACGATCCTCACCGACCCACTACCAGGGATACTACATCCGCGCGCCTGGCACCACAAACATAACACGCCAACAACCCATGTAAACAGGAACGTCGACGCACCATGTATTATCAAATAGTATCACAGTTACCCTGCCCCAATTCCACCCACCTTAAACCACGTTAACGTGCTACCTGTAACCATGTACCAAGATGAAGGTGTGCTACCAACTGCCTAAATTAGCTGCAGTACGAGATTACGATAATGGTCATAGTTACAATGTTGCCTATAAAAGCCACTTAACTAGGACGTACGCCGGCCATTACGTCAGATAATGTCACAGATTCACGCATCAAAATCTTCTATAGCCATCCACCTAGTCACTTTAATGTTACCAACCCATTTAACAAATGGCTCATCACCTCACCTACAATAACGATACTCAGCTGCTGACATGGGTGGTCAGCTACTCAGCTTCACATCCCACTATGACCGTGGGACCACACAATGATGATCACAACGTAGCCACTGAAACACAAACATAACACCTCTACTACATTATCTGCTAGGTTGCTAGTTAGGTGGGCTGGGTGAGCTAGGCAGTGGCACTATCAAAGTGGTGAGTGACACCGAGGTCACGGCGAGAAGTATCTCAGCATCCCAAGTGAGTTGATGCGCGCCGCTGCGAAAAGTGACTGCGCGGAGATGCGGTGCGACGAGGGCGAGCGCAGGTGGGAGCGTATCCTCAGGACGTCGAGGCGGACGACGGTAATGTGCAGCAGGTACAGGAGCGACAGCGACCAGAGGGCGAGTAATAAATATGAGAAGGGTGTGCGTATTGCCCATATATATTCTGGAATAGTAACGTATATTAATTTGGCGAGTGGAGCGTTGTCTGTTTCTTTATCGCTGATAACTCCCATCAATGTGTTGCACAAATCCTTACACGTGCGTCTCGTTTGTACGTCTTCGGCACCGCCCAATTCGTGTGGGCTGCCAAAGGTGAATCCGTATGCGTATAATGTTGGATGCATATTGGCGCACTTGACGATGGAGTGGCATGATTTTTCATGTGATACATCTCTGGCTGCTGTAGATGTTGCTTTTTGAGTGTCGGATTTTGCAGCTTCGTAAGCCAATTTCACGGCACATTTCTCATCACAGCTCTTATGGCATTTGGTCCCTTTTTTGTCACATTTATCGCAACATTCCTTATATAATTTCTTAAGCAAATCATAAAGCGTTTCTGTTGTATATATGATCCATGAAAGATAGTGTTTGGCGTGCTTATCCGAATACATAACCCTGATGTCATCGTCCAACGACTGCAAATATCGACCACAGGGGTGTACAGGATTTGCATGTGGTTGGCAACTAACAAGACTAAACAAATCACCTTTCGGATGCGTGGAGTTCCCGTCATAGTGGCTACTGCTGCCGAACACGGGAGTAATATCCAAGTCGGCATATTTCTCACCGAAATATGCTTCGTTAACCGCATAACTAAATGCATCGTGCTTATGTTGGATTAAAGTTTTAACCTTCTTCGGGCCTCCTTCCCAGTTTTCAAGGAACTTATGGTAAAAGGCAAATATGTCCCCCAACGTTTGAGGTGGTCGGCGGAGGACGCACGTGAGCATACTACACAGCTTATTGAGATTAGAATCTGGACCGCAGAAATCGTGCAGCGCTCGCCTGAGATATTCACCATTTTGTGTATGAGAGGCAGTAACACTTATGTCGGAGAAACCCATAGGGGTTTTACAAGGAAGACCTCTGTGATTACTTAATGTACACGTCAATTTACAACCTGGCGTTTTGAATGAATGCGGCAGAAAGCCAGGAAGACCATCTTCCAGATATGATTGGAGAGGCGATTTTATACCGCACTCGTAATGTTGGCCGGCCTTTTGGTCGTGCTTTTGCTTACACGTTTGGTCAGGACATTGAAAGGTATTGCAGTTCCATGATGAACCGCCGACCGACCGGCCGTACCAGCATTCTTGCCAACCGCTACTACTGGGGCCGTTACGACACTGGGTATATAGGAAATTAAGTTGATGATACACTCTACTCAGTATATCTACAAGCATATCAAAACACGATGCGGCGCTGTTGGGATAGTTTAATTTATCTTGGTTGGTGAAAAAGTCAACGGCATATCGCCCCTCCTCGTGGCCGCGACCGAGGATGGCAGCCAGAGTGTCTTCGGAGTACAAGCAGACCTTGCGAAGTGCTTCGATAAGCTGGATGGCGTCGAGAGGTGATTTAATTGGATCTTTCTTTTTGTCTGGCACGGCGACTTCTAATGCTTCAGTGTTTAAGCTATACTCTTCTTTGAGGCCCGTAAACAATTCCTCAATGTAATTCTTCAGTTCATCATATATCGGATCAAAGTATAACCCGAGGAGCCACTGTAACATCTGATATATGTTGGATGGAGCTTTTGGCTTGTCGATATGCTCATGGTGGCATACCTTGTAATATGCTCCAAGATGGGCGTGGAGCTTTCTCATGAGACCATGTTTATCCTTGTTCACTTTGTTGTCGTCATCTTCGCTGACAAGTTTGTGTTTTTCGCCAGCTTTATCAACCTCCTTGGTGAGGAGATTATATATATACTGGCCGTTACGGTCCTGGTGATTTTTCACTTCACCATTTTGTTTGCTCTCTTCGGAGAGTATATATCCCCAATGTTGGAAGAATGCACCGAGTTTATTGCCATTGGCTAAATTGATTTGCGCGTTATTATATTTTTTACATGCCTTCCTCAACCAACCAAGATTAGTATTCAACGTCTCCAGTATGGTCAGGCAGACCTTGGCGCAGTTGCGGCCCTCGGTGGTTAACTGGGTTTCAGTGGTTTTCTTATCAGCACTTTGTTTTGTTTCCACCCAGTCATCCGCACGTTTTTGACCGCTATACTTATTCACGTACGCGTGGCCGAGTTGCTCGGTGAATTTGTGCATGCCGGACCTGATGGCGTCGAGGAGCAGCGGGTTGTGGAAGCCGTGGAAGTTGGGAGATGTTAAGTTGTCAACTGCGAAAGTGAGTGAGGCGAGTAGATTGCCAGACTGATGGTCAAAGGTGTAAATGCGTTTGCCGGTAGGGTCATCGGGATGTGGCTTGTCGTCTTTAAGGTAGTTTAGCAAGGCGTCCAGTCTGACGCTGACATTCCACACCTTCTTAGACTCATCGCTGAGTTCTGGATCCTGTCCCGGCGCCTTGGCAGGCGTACGCACCTGCAACCTAATGTAATCGAGAATGGCGTCTAAATAATGCTTGGATTTTTCAGCGGCATATTTAAATTCACCAACGGGAATCCTGGAAATCTTATCATTATGCGTATTCAAAGCACTCAACAATCCTTTAATTCCACTTATTTTGTCATTAAATATAATACCATCAATCTCCCCTTTTTGCCCGTCGACAAGTGTTTTGAGCGCCGCCAGGTCGGCTTTGTGGCCCTGAGCGAAGAGAGCGCGGACTTCGGTGGTGAGGGTTTGGAAGGCTTGGGAGACGGATGTTAAGCATGCTTCTTGGGATGAATTTAGGGTGGATTGGAGGGATGTGATGGAGATATCTATAGCACCACTTGCCTTATGCACAAGCTCATAAATATAATTGAATTTGTTGTTGAGTTCAGTATACAGCGCACTCATTCTTTCCACCGCTTCCTTCCTCTTTGCGTCAACTTGCTGTGGAAGGGCTTCAAGTTCGTCGATAATAGTAGGACTTATTGCTTGTTTGGCTTGGTCGTACTTGTCCTTAGCACCCTGGCCATCGTCTGTCTTGTAATTGAACTGTGATTCAAACTTCGTAGGATCCACGGATACATCTCCATTAGGATCTGGTCTCTCAATGCCCTTACCAAATTCGCTCTTAATAGTCATAATCAAACCTCGGAACGTACCGATGCCTGTACCGTCCTCCTTCTTCGTCTCTTTATAATAATTTGACATGAAAGCAGTATCAAATTTTATAATACTTTTAGGATCCATGATAACCCCCTTTAGAACCTTGTCAATGGCCGCATACAGTGATTTGCGAACAGTGGCGAGGAGCTCGGCATAGACGGCTGTACCGGACGATACTTCTTCCAGTCTCCGAAGATTATACAAAACACCTTCTATTGTACCACCAACAGCATAGTTTCCTGAGTTTCTCCAACTCTCTTACTAACTGCGTAAACGGTTCCGCCGATCCGCCACTTCCAAACTGACTAATAAGGGTTTTAAGACCCTCATCTCCCTACCGCTGCCCTTCGCTAATTTCGCCGCCTCCTTAATCTTCGTTCCCAAACTGCCAGCAAACGCCTCCAACTTCAACTTAATGCTATTTCTCAAGCCTTCCAAATCAGTTCTTATATGGTCATCCAATTTGTCAAGACTATGCTGCATATCCTTCTCCAATGCCTGGTCAACTGCTGCATCAACTTTCTTCTTCACATCTGCGAATTTATCCTTATACGCCTTCTCAATCCCATCAACCGCTTCGGTTACCGCAGTGAATTTCTTCTTTAGTTCTGATTCTTTTCCAGCGGGATCGGGATGATGAGGATTTATATTGTTCATCCTACCATGCAACTGAGTAAACAACCTTTCAATCTCAGTCTTATAATCCTGATTATATCTATCCAAAAAATCCCTAGCATCTTTCAAGCGATCATTGAGATGCCCAATTTGTTTATTTTTTGTACCTCCCAACTTCCTAACACTCTCATCGATTTTACTAAACTTTTCTTTAATGTCTCTCTTGATTTCATTTTTTGTCCTCTCCAACGTTTTATCTACAGTTTGCACTTGCTTTTCAAGCCCATCCTCCCCAGCCGCCCCAAGCAGCATCCCAACCGCCTTTTTAACCACCTTCATCTCACCCATTACTCTCTCCTTTAACGCCTTATCAAGCTCACTAACTTTATCTTCTTCAATATTCTTAACCTCTCGTGAAATGTCTGACACCGTAGACTCCCATGACGCCAACTGATCTTTAAGGCTATCGACCTTTTTAGAGTCTACAACGTTGGAATATCCTTTCGACAAATTATCACTCAGTGCATTTATTCCGTTTGTTACTGCTTCGCATTTCTTGTTCACCTCACTCTCATACCTCCCAAGCCACCCACTCACCGCAGTAACCTGCGGACCAAATGCGCCAGACCCCTTACCTATGGAGGTTTCAAGTCCCTTAAGAACTTCAACAAGTTTATCACCATTATTATCATATTTCGTAACATTCTCATTCTCCTTCGCTGCACTGAGAACACCGTGCAAGAACGCCATCACCCCGTCACAAAGCCTGTCAAGGTCGGAGTACACGATGCCGGAGCCGGTGTAGCCGTTGGATTTATTATCGTACCCTAAGAATGTTTGGATACCTGTGCACAACTTATCAAGTAAATCACGTGGATTATTTTGTGAAGATGGAATTTTGTTAGCATATCCACAAAGCTTCTGCAGTGTATCAAGAGACTTCTTGGAGGCATTATGAGAGTTAAGGGATTTAGAATCCTTCTCAGAGAGAGCATCTTTTTTAGCAGCCTTTTCACTCTCAAGACGCTGAATTGTAGTATTAAGCTTGTTAATGTTTTCAGCAATTTCCTTTTCTATCTCACTTAATTTATGTTGAAGGTCATTGAATTGCGTTTCAACATCATTTTCATCAGAGCTTTCAACTTTCTTATTAATTTTCTCAATTTCAGTCGTTTTAGTCTTACAACACCCCTTGTCCCCGCAGGATGCCTGTAAACGCTTAATAAGCTGATTTACATTGCTGTGTAAACCATGCAAAATCGCATCTTTGACTTCCTGTCCACCGCCAATAAATCCCGAAAACTGTCCAGCAAGCGTACCAAGAGAGACACGGCGGGCATCAATATCATTCAAAGCACATTGTCTGGCATCCTGAGTCAGGTAATGTACTTCATTGTAATGTTTCTTTAAGTCGGATTCCATTTTGGATTTTTTAGATTCATCACCATTAAGCTTATCAATTTCATCCTGCTTGGACTGACAAAAGGACTCCTCAGAAGATGATTTTTCTGGGCATTCAAGCTCCTTTTTCCTCTTTTCAAGACTACTAGTAGCATCATCAATAGCTTTTTGAATCAACCTTTTCAAAGCTTCAGCTAACTTATCAAGGCCACCACCATTCCCATGCTTAACCTGGATCAACCAGTCGATGGACTCCCGGAGATTTTCCGGACAGTCAGTCAGTTTCTTCGATTGGCGCACCATTTTCGTAACGCAAACTTACCGGACAATTGTCGACGCCTAAGTTACAACACCCACGTAGCAATTAGAGGTTGCAGATCCCCAACTCCTCTGCTAAATGCGATAAGCGCTGGGCGGTTGACGTGCAACCTTATTTATGTCCCAAACTACATTGATCAGATTTGTGCCTGATGAGGCAGCAATTTACAATTCATGGCAAAACAAGCATCTGCCTAGCCCACCAATTCCCAGCCTCCAGTGTCCAGACAACTCAAAGTCCTAATCCACTTAAGAGGTGACTTGAAATCTCCCTACTACGTTCAAAAATTCAACGGCACAAAGGAACAGTCGAGCACGGGGAAACTGGCGAATAAGGTTCCCATCAAATCCTCTCCCGCTCCTCTGAAATTCTAGCCTCACCCCCACTGCCACCATAACCATAGGGCTTTAATATAAGGAGGCACATATTCCTGGATCGTGAATAGGAAGTATCAGCGAGTAATGTTGTGTTACGATGCATGGTAAAAACAGTAGTGGCTGTGATAGTGGAAATTGTGTTCCCTCTGCACCCTTCACAAGTAGTGGCATCTTCGATGCGCGGTGGATGAGGATTTGACGTAAATATGGAGGCCGCCGAGGTGTAACCATGAGGACCAGCAGGGAGGACCGGGATTAAAAGCGATTGTTTGGGTGAAGAGTGGTGAGGGGTAGGTAGACGAGGATGGTAACGGAGCACAGAGTACGACACGGTCAAGTCTGAGAAAATGAACGGTCATAAATGACGAGGGGTAACATTACCATAGAGGTGGAAGAACAGAAACACCGTTGTGGAGATAAATATTATCAATCAGGTTGAGTTTGAGGCGAGGAAGATATGCGAGAGGAGGGAGCATGAGGACCTGTTGAAGGATCATTGAAGTACCATGTTCAACTGGCAGACAACTTTCGATGTGGTACCCTATGGGATGGAGGACGTGAAACCCAGAGAAGATTATAATTCAGAGAACGACCCTCTCGCCCAAACAGGATGGATGCCACAACGAATGGTGCTTGTAGTGTACGATAATTCGACATGGATCCCGCAACCGACACCAGCAGCCTAAGGCGCTTGCCGGTAAACACGAAAATCGGCCCTAAGCCACGTAGCCAGATAGCGCACTATATAATTTGAAACACATTAATCGTATGCCAGCGGAAACCTTTTCCCTACCATTATAAGCATGGCAAGTGCATCCTTCAACGCAATCCAACCAAGTCTTTATCTTAATTATGCTGTCATTACATTGAAATAGAACCGAAAATCACATATAAATTAATGCTGCCACGTACACGTGGTCGCCATAATAGATGGCTATGGGTGTCAAGGTCATGTAGGGACAGATATTTGCTACATTAAAAACACAAGTTATATTCAGTACTACCGTTGCCGGTAGCGATGCTTGTTGATGTGAGTTCAAACATTCGTGGCCCATCGGCGTGGTGCAAACAACATAATGCCAGCGCACTACGGGACACAAATGCTGTGTACACTGAATTCATGAGTACAGAGACACCGTGCCTCCCCACAACTGCATGAGTGAGGACTCGTCACTCACAACGCCGCCTTTCACGCGCAACAGCCGAGAGCATCGGCGCAGCACACGCCGGTCGTGAGTCACCAGGAACGTGATGCAGTGGGAGAAGTACCGATACACCAGGCTGCAGATCGACTTGCCAGTGCCGAAATACGAAACCTCTGAAGCGCCGCAGGACCGCACCTCGTCGTCGTCATCTGCAATCTCGGCCCATTGTGGCTCGTCGATCAGGATGATGCGGTACATCCGGCGATACAGCACCAGTCGCGCGAACCACAACTGGCGCTGCTGCGATACGGAGAGCACAATGCGGTTGTGACCGTCCGGTGGGTTTGACGAGTGGGGTGCTTCCGAGGAGAGGGAAGCCCAACCTTTGCCGGACAGCGGACACAGGGGCGGCGCCAAGAAGATTTTCTTGACTGCAGAGGATTCTTCTGGTACTAGCACTGTGTCCAGTTCGGAGCCGCCGGGAAGCGATTTGACGAGATCCAACATGCCACAGCAGTCCAAAGCGTGCATGATCTCGTCGTCAGAGTATAACATCCGGGGGTCCAGGAATCGACGCAGAGTCCATCCCTTGAATATGAACGGCAGCTGGGGAAGCACGCCGATAATGTGGCGCAGCACCTTGCGTGGGATCGTGTTTAACTCCACGCTATCCATAAGCACCGCCCCCCCTCTTCCAGGTGCTACGTTCTGAAGCACACTCAACAGAGTGCTCTTTCCGGCACCAGTACGGCCCATTACCCCAATTACTTCACCAGCACGAGCGCAGAAGGAGACATCCCGCAATATGTGATGCGTGCTTACCGTGCCGGCAGGCGACGGGGTCATCAACGAGACATCCTTGAGCTCAAGCAGTCGGGTAGCGGGGGGAAGATAATCAGACGCGGGCAACACTTCAATAACGGGTTTGTAGAAAACCCAGCCGAAGAGTGAAATGTATCGGCGGAAGTAATACGACCGATACTCACCTATTCGGCGATGTAGCAGCGACGCGTATGTTTCTTCAAAAGTAGTGCCCTGCTGCGCCACTCCAACATCCTCATCAGGCCCATTGGGAATGTTGACGGAGTAGTGGTCGACTGAAGCCGGGCTTAACGGCTCACTGGCTTCATCAATCTCCATTGAAGTGACTGCTGTGTCCACAAAAGATGCAACCCTGCCATACGACGGCGGAATGTAGAGCAGGTTCTCGCTCATGCTGTCGAACTTTTCATCCAGGGAGGAGCCGTCTTGCATGAAGAAGGACTCGAAGCGCGCTACCGAGCACATGTACCTCTCCAGTTGGGAGTAGTTGGTGATGAGGGCTCTCAGGCTGTTGCCGAAACCCAGACAGAGCGATATGGCAACACCGAGGTGGCCTACCTTGTGCGGTTCCCCAGCGACGTAACTGCGCAAAACTGGGATCGTGATGAACACTGCGATCATCATGGCCGCGCCCACATTGGTAGCGAGGGTCACCCACATCGTATACGCTGCCTTCAGGAAGTGCGTGCGGTAGTACTCGTCTGAGCGCGCCCTAACATCTTGTAACCACTTGCTTTCCTTGCGGAAACTGCGGTAGACCGATGAACCCGTCATAACATCGTTGTAGACCACGTTCACGTTGCTGTTGGCGTCCAGCATCAGACGCTGCAGAATCTTGGAGGCGCGGATCAGCTTGCGATGGGCGAAGTAGTACAGGAGGAAGCACGTGACCAACGGCACCGGTACAGCTAACGGCATCACATAACACAAGGTAGCGAATTTTACCAAAAACGACAAAAACGAGTACGATGTCTCGTGTATGTAGTAGCCGATATGCTCGTCGATGATATGAACATCGCTCGTAAAGAAGGTCATCAGAGCACCCATGCACGACTTCAGCTGCACTACGGCGGATGGCTTGAGGAACGACGATTTCAGCGCGAAATCGTAAAGTCGACGCGATCCACGCATGCTGGCGTATACGACGACAAACATCAGCAGCAAGAAGCATGCCAAGGAGGAAAAAGTGAAAATAGTAATCCAAACGTAATACTTGCGGTGGTGGGACATCACGTCGTTCACGTCGGAAGAGTCCGTTGCTTTGCGCAGATTATCAACCCATTTAGCGGCAAGCAAGAGCTTGATGTTCACAGATGCATGGCTTACCAGGATGGAGAAAACCAGCACAAACAATATGAAATAGCCAACTGCGCGGAAGTACACCAGATAGCCACTCCATATGTTGGCAGGTCTGCCGCCGCCGGCTGATGGGACGAATGATAGAGTTCTAACGGGCGGCTCGTGGTCAAATGTTGACATGCCAGTAGTAACGGCTCTGTATTTGCCTACCGAGTGAACACTCTCTCTGCACGCCATCTTGCCAAACGCACTGTAACGAACGTCATCAGATTCCGATTCTGTTGACGGATCATCGCCTGTCAAATCAAAACCCAAGTACATCTCAAGGGACATCGGATCGCTGAGAGTACCGTTTTCTATCACCCCGACGGATACGTCTGAGAGCCCCGTGACAGACTCTGGTGTCATCGCAATGTCCAAGGTCATTGTAGACATCGCCATCACCACCGCAACATCGTGGTGCACCAACAAGCCGTTCTTTCTGTTGAGAAGGTTCCTCAAAATGGAACGCGCTACACTAGAATCCAACCCATTGAGAGGCTCGTCCAAGCAGACCAAGAAACAGCAACGGTCACCCTCTGAGCGTTCGTTAGCCTTGCTGAAGACCAGGTAGGAGTACAGGGCACGAGCCAGACTCAGCCTCACACGCTGTCCACCACTCAGAGAATATCCCTTCTCGGAGATCACGCGCATGTCGCCGTCCTCCCACGAGGCAAAGTCAGACTCCAGTTCCACCGCCGAAGTCACCCGGTTGTAGATGTCCTCGTCGAACGCGTAGCCGAACGTGATGATGGAACGGATGCTCCCGCTGGGCAGCCATACCTCCTGCGACGTGTAGAATATGGGCATGCCGGTGGAAAGTGGCGCCACGGCCATGCTTCCAGACACCAGACTCATATCACCAAGAATCGATTTAATGAAGCTCGTCTTACCGCAACCCTGGTTGCCAGTGATGATCCTTATCTCGCCACGCTTAAGCTGCACATTTAACGACTTGAAAAGCGGGCTCCTGCTGCTCTGATCAGTGTCCAAAAGCAGCTTGCGGTTGTTTATATAGCTAAAGGAGGCATCCTTGAAATACACCACAGTGTCAATGGAGACATCTGGGGGGATGCTCCGCTCGTCCACCTTAGTGGGCTCCGAAACGGTCTCCTCGTTATTGGCATCCAAATAGAAATTGGGAGAGCAGTTGCGCAAAAACGCTTCTACGCGACGGTATGATGTGGCTGACTCGACCATCCAACGGAAAGCCTTTGGCAGCTTACCGCATGTCAGGACGATTTTTGTGACTATGAACATGACAGATATAAGTTCGTTCACGTCGAAACCGACGACTTCACCATTTTCGCCTTTCGATACTTCTTTGTTGAACACATATACAAATACCCAAAATACTAGTATCCCAACGGATCGCTCCATGGCACGGTTCAGAAATTGAAAAAACAAACGGACCCGAAGCACCGTGAGCTCGTCCTCCCGAGTGCTCTCAATGGCGCGGTAGCCCACGTCATCGATGCCCATCGCGGTGCACAGCTGCAGGTTCCCAAGCACGTCGGAGCTCACCGAGGCCCGACAGTCCATGGACTCCAGCGAGTACCGGCGCAGCCTGCCATTCACAAGCTCCAGGACCAGCATGAAAAATACGAACGCCGTCACCGTCAGAGTGGGCAGGAGAACAGGGAACCCCATACTAGTCCTCACGAATACCATCCCGACGAAGAAGTTACACGCAAAGCTCACAATGGCCATTACCGAGGCCACGTAGTTCGTGATGGTCGTTGCGTCCAGAACCATGTGGGTGTAGATGCTCGGAGGGAGTTCACGATTTTGGTGCCGGCGAGCAGGACATAACAGCGGGTTCGGGGTGCAACTCTCATCGGGGCCACTGAAGTGGACCACCTTCTTGCACGTGCCCAGCTGGCTGCCGGAATCCACAACCGATGAGTAGGGGCGGCGGTAGCACAACCCATGCTGGAACAGCGTGATGGTGATGACTGCTTCTATACAAATCTCAATGCGATGGATGAAGAGCTCCACGTGCTGATGCAGTATCGAGTGCGTCGTTTCCACCAGAACGACCCCGAGCACGATACGGAAGACCGTAGACAGGCGCTGCGAATCCGTTGACAGCAGATCGAGCAGGTACTTCAGAAGTATTGCCGTCCCAATGCCTATCAGATTGACGCACAGGATACCCAACAGCGTCAGCAATGCGCGGCGCCAGAAGGTGAGGACCATGGCACGTAAAAATATACTGCGATAAGGCTTGATAGCAGGCTCAAGCGGTGAGGATCCGGCGGTTTCCGACTTCTCCAGCTGCAGGAGGCCATCGCTGATGTGCCGTGCGAACACGGTCTGCCACCAGGACAGCTGGTCGTTTTGGGGAAGCTCGTGGACGGACTCCAAATTGCATTTTTCCTCGCCGACGAAGTCCACCCAACTGCGCACCCAGTACATAAACACCTTGCTGAAGAACCCTGCATTGTCAAAAGTGGGTAATCGCGTGCCGCTGCTACCGGTCGGCGGCAACGTCCACCGTCCCTTTGACATGGCAGCGCTGAGACGGTGAGCCAAAGCACCACTTCACGTATTAGTGTCCAGTCCCTTCATAAGGTGATGATAATTGGCAGATTCCATTGTGACCAGAGAAAAGGCCATACCAGGCAGAAAACAATCCACGGATCACCGCCCCGTGAAATGTTGCGATGATAGCTCGAAAATACCCCGCGATGTTACACAGCCGATCAAATCAAAGGATGCAATAGTAAAATACCGGGCGCATGTCGGATGGATGTAGAAGACAAACCTTAAAGTCTACTAATGCCCAGACGCGTATACAACGACAGATACGTCGGAAGCAGCAGGTCACACACAGCTACGTTAATGATCAAAAAATACTACACATTGGTTACGATGATCAAACCTTCCTAGGGTGTACGCGGATGTGACCCACGTACAGAGGGTCCGTTTCCTAGGGGGTCGCGAAGCAGAGGAAAATTACGTTACAGGCAGATATAACTATAAATTGTAGTATGTTTTGGTTGGAATTTGCGCTATATTGTTAGATCTTCGTGTTTTGAAAGCGCTGATTAACGGTTAGCGGTCGTATAACGATGTGTATGTAGGTCATTCGCCTGCTCCGCCAGCTTTAAAAAGGGTACAGTTATCGCCAGTTTCACGTAGACATGGGCGATATATAACTAGCGCTAAACTATAAGTACATGGAAGTGGCGACGTACTGGCTCCTTTCATTACAATTTCCCGTAGTTGTACCCGAGTGAACACACCGTGAGCAATAATGCAAGTTCGCTCCGACTTAGCGCTCAGCAACGACCAGTTGCGTCCGATAAGTGAATAGAGGTTTATGTATTTAATGCCTTACAACAATTTTGTGTAAGAGTCAAACAAATGGCGGCAGCAGGTGGACACTGCCGTTGCTGCTCAACGCGACATCCCGGGGGAAATGGAGGTCAGTATCGGACAAGCGTCGAGCTTCGGTTCTCAGAACCGATTTTACAGCCTCATATATCTCGTTGCTGAGGTCCTGCGGCAATGATGAAGCGGCGCATTTTTACACATCGGCACGCACCTCCTTCGACAACGTGGCGTCGAAGCATTGCCAATAGGGCAGGACGCGGAACTGGTCGTACACACGGCGTACTGCTTCCAGCCTGCACTCGTCTTCGTAACGCTCCTCGCCTTGATGAAAATGAGAGGAAGGTTGCGTATTCGGCCTTACCAAAGTTGCTGCGCCTCGCGCTAACCGTAGCGGGGTTGTCCAAGTATATTACAAGGTCGGGGCTCACCAAACCGTCATCAGGCCATATACACCACTCGTATGAGAGGCTCTGCGCGTCATTGAGGCGTTTTTGCCGTCGACTGTACCTCAGCGCCCACTGAATAGGCCACTCCCGAAAACGCGTATCGGTCCATCAAAATGTGAGTTCCCGCCTCCAGCGTAGACACCACTTCCTTCCTGTAAGACATCACGGGCACTGGGCACAAACTTACATCATCTCCCAGCGGTTAGCTGAGAACAGCAGGTGGATCGCACGGCGAGAACGCACAGTGTCGCGTGACGTCAAGTGCTCGATGAGCACCTTTCCACACTTGGTGTCGATACCTTAGCACATAAGCGGCTTTATCACAGCATACCCACATGGAAATTTGATCAGCCGGTGGCTAATGCCCTCGGAAGTCAGTTTTTGCGATAGCAGCTGCAGCTGCGTTGTCTTCCCCGACCTACACAACGTTCGACCGCGAGACGACGATCACGGACCTGTCTATGCCCTCGAACACAAACAGCTTGCCAGGAAGGCGGATGTTAGCACGACCGCTCTCAGACATCTTCTGCGCCGCGCCGTCGAACGCAGCCACACCGACCATGGGGGCAGCACCGACAACATCCAAATAGACACGGCCTATTTGCCGGCGAATCGCACATAATACGCCACTCCCTATAATATTAGAACGCTGGAATCCCGAATGCAGTTACACATCCGAGCGGAATCGGTGCTAGAACGTAGAATGAGTTTGTCTACATGACTGACACACGCCGAGTTTCTGGGCGCTCGTGCAACGATATGAATCTTTTGGGGCACGGATCGGGGGCGGAAAACCAGGGGTCGGGCCTGCTTAAACTCCGGCAGGCTGCCGCCGTGAGAAGGAGCTCGCGCACGGGGCGCTCCGACGGCCAGGTGCCCCCGCACCTCCTCTCCAATGCGACCTCAGCAGGTGACCACGCCTACGCCCGCACGGCCACTAATACGGCGAGGTCATCAAGAGGAGGCATGGTGGCAGACCGGGAAATCGATATGGCGGCAGCAGAGACATTCAGAGAGGGCATACGCGCCCGCGATGCGACGGACGGGGGCATCTTGCGGGGATGCGATCTTCTCGGGGACATGGATAACGAGTTAAGTCACTCCGTGGATGACAGTCTGGACTTGGACTTGTCAAGCTCGTGCAGGCTTGACGCTGCGGAGTCGAACTACTTCAGAGACCCGGAAAGCAACGGCGTACGCAACATTACAGACGTCCTGTCGTTTGACAAGCGGCTAGGGCAGGGGGTATACGGAGACGTCTTCCTATGTCACCTACGAGCTGATCGCACGAAACGTTTCGCAGTAAAACGTATACAGCAAGCCCCTTCACCGGTGGAGAAGATTTTCGGACTCGACCAGAACATCATAAAGGAGCTGCACGCCCTCAGAGCGCTCAAGAGGCCTCATGCCAACATCGTCAGGCTCTACGACTTCTGTTCCGCTATGGAGACTCTGGTACCGCGTAATTCGTCGAAGTCATCGCAAAAGGACCCGAAGAGGAAGTGCGTTGCCTTCTACCTCATCTTCGAACTCTGCGACATGGACCTCAGCCAGTTCGTCAAGGAGGCATCGCTCAAGTACAAGGCTCACGAAATGGACCTTTTCAGCACCACGAGCGAGCATGCGGACGGCGAGTACCATATCCAGGATATCATAAACCAGTGGTGTACACTATACCTCAAGAAGAGGCAGGACGAGGCCTTCAAGGACGGCGGGCCCGGCACCTCCGTGCGCAGCGAAAGAATACCGTTGCCAGGGCTGCCCGAGGATATCGTAAAGGTCATCATGTACCAGATGCTGCAAGGGCTCGCGTACATACACTCCAACAGAATTATACACAGGGACATCAAACCACAAAATATACTACTAAAGAAGACCAACGGCGTCTTCGACGCGCTTGAAGCGCTCAAATCGCCCAGCGCCTGGTGAGTAACTAGTTTGCAGATCCGCTAATTTGTGTAGGCAAGTGAAAATCGGCGATCTGGGGCTGTCAACAATCGTACCGGCAAGGTACCTCACAACGATGACGGAGGAGGTGGTCACGCTGCTGTACCGGCCGCCGGAGTTGCTGCTCGGCGACTGCAAATACACCACCGCCGTTGACATATGGTCAACGGCTACGAGCGTAGGCGAGTGCCTGCTGGGCAAGCCGATGTTCAGGGCAAGGACGGAATTCAGCGTCCTCATGCGCATCATTTGCACCGTGGGCGCGCCGCGGGTCGATGAAATGCCCGAATTCGCCAAGCAACTCAAGTACCTCACCGACAGCATGCCCAAGGTGACCAGGGAGGCCAGGTCGTCGCTCAGGAAAATGTTCACGGACCACTTCGGGAGACTGCTGCTCAGCGAGACCGGGCTCGACCTGTTCGTGAAGATGCTACAGTTTGTGCCGGAGAAAAGGATAACCGCCGAGCAGGCACTCAAGCACCCGTGGTTCGACGACATAGACTCGCTGCTGAAGCCGTCTATCGCGAAGTCCTACCACAGCCTCGAACGGGTGTTCCCCAAAGGACAGCGGGATATGCTGCCGCTGCCGTTCAAAGGCGACCTTTCGGAGTACAAGCAGCAGCTGCGCAAGGCGACCCTCAAAACGGCCTCGATAGACGAGGCATACATGCAGTTTGTTTTCCCGTGACCGGGCCCGTACCAACGGGTGCCGCGGGACGCGTGCCCTGCAGGGCCGCACAAGCCGCACATCGCGGCGAAACCGTACACACCTAATTATATTGCACAATTCACATGCTGGCAGGCTCAAAGCAAGGGCTAAATTGTACGGCGTAGGTGACGGCCACGGAGTGCGACGCCCACAGCCGCACCTGCTGTAAGCGGAGGTCACGCCGAGGCATGCCGCAGAAGCAGCTGTGAACGATGGAGACAGCAGAGGATGCCATTGCGCGGGCGGCACCTACCGTCGCTCTGGCGCAACTGGCACCGAAAAAGGACAGAGACATCAAGCAGCCTAAGGCGGGGACAACTCCCCTCAAATTTCGCTCGTTCCAAGACTTCTACCTCACGCAGGGCAAGACGCACAATCGGGACTTCCTGACGGCGCAAAAAGGGCGGCGAGAACCTTGGAAGTGTCAAATAAGTCATACCCCGAACAACGCTATGACGTCGATGGCAGGTGTGTGGAAACGTGCTCTATGTTTTGTATTGTGAGGTGATGTGTTTCTGGAATTCGGCGAGGCTGTACGATGGAGCCATGGAGGTGGCTGCGTGATAGGCAGCTCGGAACATCGGTGGCAATTGGTGGTAGCAGGAGTTGGCGTACACCGCTGACCACGGTTCTGCGAAACCAGCCGATGCGTTCGGGGCGTTCATCTCCCGTCGAATGGGATTAGGCCAACAATGTTGCGCGCTGTGCCTCAGTTGAGGGTTCGGCGAGCTAGCCTCGGCCAGATGGCGTTGGGTGAGTACAGCCTCGCCCGGTGAAGCTACCCAGAAACACTCCAAAAAAATTAAAATGTGCCTCAACCTTTTTAGACACCTGAAAAGGCGTCGAAATAATGCCAAAAATGGCGGTCATAACAATGCAGGAGAAGAAGATGTGACGATACCAACATCGTACAAAACGTACAACGAGGAAGAGCTCAGTACGGCGCTGAAGGGACACGTTAAGCGTCTGTGTGATTACTTCCAAAATGGAGTGCCCAACAAAAATTACGCGAATACCATCAAGGCGATGGTTGCGAAGACCAAGCCCAGACAGCCAACGCACTCATCGCGGTCGGACTCGTCGTGCAGCACCACCAACAGCCTCAAAAAGAACGACGTAGTTCAGACTAGCCCGAAAGCTGAGCGCGTAAGCGCGCCAGCGGTGGGAATCGTCGAACTAGCACAACACATCGCAAGCAGAAGGTCGGAAGGCAAGCGGCCGAGCACCAACCAGGAGGCCCTGGAGTTCCTCGAAAATGAGGGAATCGCTTACAATAACGCCCTTATGGTCATGGGTCACGACAGGAGTAGAGGAAGGTCGCGACAGGTGTTCAACTGGAAGACCGCCATGAAGGCGATGTGTACCGGGACCGACGTCCCGGACACACCGGACAGTTCAATCCTGGATGGCGACGAGGTGGTGAGGGTAGACCTGCCGTTGCCGTTAGATCCGGAAATGCGCGAGTTCCTCCGTAAGCGTGGATTTGTAATCGGCGAGGACGGGATGCCCATCACGGCCGAGGACGATGTCGTTGAGTGCGACGGCGTGCAGTTCTACGTATTGCCGCACCAGGGGTCGATGTCGCGGACGAATTCGCGCGCGAATGTTTCAGAGTCGCAGCCACGCGAAGTATGGGCTGATCTCAAGACGGGTGCTGTGGTGCCGGAAGTTTCGCAGTGCCCTCATAAGTTCAAGACCTACGACCTTCGGATCACTAAGGAGACCACTGAGCCCGACGTTTCGCTGGGTACGGAAGAGGAGGAGTTCGAGGGTGCAACACGGCAGACCGAGGAAGCCGCCTTTTTCGACAAGACGGATTACAACCTCGACGACTTCACCAACCACATGTTCGGGTACGCCGACCTGCAGAACATCGACCAGGTCATCAACCACATCCGGAACATTCTGCCAGAGGAATGCGATGGCGAGAACGTGGACGTAGCAGAGCTCTCCACCGACCGAAGGGAGAAGAACGCCGAAAGCTTCGGCTGGTTCCTGGACAATGCGCAGGAAACGCAGGGCGACACCCAAAGTGAAGCTCAAGACGAGTTGGCGGAGTCATTTGAAAATGGCCTGTTGATAAGTTCAAGCGGCTGAAGCCGTGGCAACCAACTGGCGGCCTCGTGTGCCCTGCGTGGGGCCACAGACTGCCAGGCTGGTGGCGCTGAAACCCAGCTATAATCCATGTATATACAATTGCTAAGCCTTTTAACTATATTAGATCTGGTTGGCATATCCTGCAACCTTGCGGTTCCGTGCCTGGTTGAAGTAGAACAGCACCGAGCACGGGAACATCACGAACGGCAGCGCACAGTACAAGTAATACGTGTCGATCGAGAAGTTGTACGCATTTGGCATGGGGCTCGGGAAGTCTCGAGCCAGCGGGATGTTGCGTAGCATACTCGCGGACTGCCGGACCAGCCAGATCTCCTCGAACGCCAGCAGAGGGTAAATCACCAAAACCACTGAACAACGTCAACACCGAAAGCAATAGAACCCACCCTTATGCGATAGCCACTCCAACACCGTGTGGCGAGTCCCCCGTGCCGCGTACAAGGCGCTCAGGCAGCTTAGGATGTTCATGAGCGTCCACGCACTGACGGGCAACAGCACCGACCGCATCGGCACAACCTCCTTCAGCAGCGGGATGGCGACGAAGTAGACCGCGAACATGCGAATACACTGCCCGATGTTCAGGTATAGCGATGCGCCGCAGCAGTCTCCATCTGAGCTCTGTGAGCGTGAGGGCAGGGACACCTACCTAGGAATGTGTAGACATGCAACAGGCACTGCGCAACTAGCCCGCACTGGAAGAGGGGACGGATGTACGTCCAGAAACCTTCAGGACTCAGTCGTGAGAGGCTTTCCCATGTGGGCCAGTGACCTTCGTCGTGGCGGAGCAGGAACGTCAGCAGCAGCAGCTCCACGCTGACCCACACACAGAGCGAGGATACATAGTGAAGGACGATGAGCCGTGAATACCACCCCGCACGGCGCGGTATTTCAAGGTTATTCATCGACGCTGCCAATGCACTGGCCGAGCCGACGCTGCGGCGAGCCTGGCGTAAGCACCATAAGGGTCCCTGCAGCAGAAGGCCCATGACAAAAACAGCAACAGTAAAAAAAGACACTGCGGTTATACTACATAGTTATGGGGTGTTTAGAATCAATTGCTCCCTGCGTTTTCTGCAGGCGCGCGCTTCAGGCGCCGCGCAGCGGCTGCCTCAAGACGGCGTTGGCGCTCGCGCTCCTTGTGCTCGCGCTCGAACGCGTCCTTGTCGAACTTGTCCGGGATTCCCACGGTGAGGTTGAACACACACTTCGAGTCGGTGGAGTCTTCGTCCTTGGTGAAGTAACCAAGACGTTCGAAGTGGAGCGGCTCGCCGACGTTGAATGACACGGCACTGCGCTCGCACAGGCTGTCCCCGTATATGTGCATCGAGTCGAAGTTGAAGTTCTTGATCCAGTCGCCCTTCTCGACGCAGCCTTCCTTGGGGTCGGGCTTCGTGAAGAGGCGAGAGTACCAACGTACCTCGACACGCTCAGCGTCCTTCTCGTTTATCCAGTGGATGGTAGCTTTGACCTTGCGCCCGTCGGCCGGGGCACAGCCTCCTTTAGTCGACGGATCGTGGGTGCAGATGATTTTCTCAATCTTGTCACCGTTCATGACCACGTCAGTGCACTTCACCCAGTAGCAGTGGCGCAGCCTCACCTCCCCGCCGACGAACAGCCGGTGGAAGTCCTTGGTAGGGTTGACCATAAAGTCCTTAGCGTCAATGTAAATGCGCTTGCCGAACGTGAGTTTGCGAGTGCCGGGGTTGGGGTAGGTGGCGATCTCGATTTCCTCCTCGTAGTCCTCGGGCACGTTCTCGATCTCCAAGAGGATCGGTTCCACAACGGCGAAAAGACGGGTAGCGTGCTCGTGCATGTACTCGCGAATGCAGTCCTCAAGCAGCTCGATTTGGATCAGGTTCTCACGCTTCGCCACGCCCACCTTCCTGCAGAAGCGGCGGATGGCGGCGGCGGGGACACCGCGGCGACGCAGACCGGATATGGTCGGCATCCTGGGATCATCCCAGCCGCGAACCAATCCCTTGTTCACCAATTGGATCAGTAGACGCTTGTTCATCACACAGTAAGTCAAGTTCAAACGAGCGTACTCGATTTGGCGAGTGCGGAGAATGCCCAGCTTCTCTTGGAACCAGTCGTAGAGCGGACGGTGGTTCTCGAACTCGACGGTGCAAATGGAGTGGGTGATGCCCTCGATGCTGTCGGATTGACCGTGCGCGTAATCGTACATCGGGTAGATGATCCACTTGTCACCGGTGTTGACGTGTGTTGCGCGAATAATACGATACAGGATAGGGTCACGCAAGTTCATGTTGCCAGAAGCCATGTCTATCTTCGCACGAAGGCAGCAATAGCCGTCGGGGAATGCGCCGTCACGCATTTGCTCGAACAGGTGCAGGTTCTCCTCCACGCTACGGTTGCGGTAGGGAGATTCCTTCCCGGGCTCCGTGATGCTGCCGCGGGTCGCACGGATCTCCTCGACGCTTTGGTCATCCACGTAGGCCAAACCCTTCTTTATCAGATCCACGGCCCAGTCGTAGAGCTCTTGGAAGTAGTCGGAGGCGAAGTAGAGGTGCTTGCCCCAATCATAGCCGAGCCAGCGCACATCGTTCTTGATAGACTCGATGTACATAGCTTCCTCCGTAACTGGGTTCGTATCGTCGAACCTCATGTGTGTACGGCCGCCGAAGGCCTTCGCAAGCTCGAAGTTCAGGCATATCGACTTGGCATGTCCGATGTGCAGGAAGCCGTTAGGCTCGGGAGGGAACCTCGTGATAACCTCCTTCACGCGGCCTTCAGCCACATCGCTCTCGACAATCTTGTAAATGAAATTCGAGCGGTCGAGGTCGTCGGACCCATCCAGACGCGCAGCAGAGCGACTCGACGCTGTCGTGTCTTCAACGACACCACTCATTATCCCACGGCACAGCCCCAAACGACGGGGCGAGAAACGAAACAGAAAATTACGAACGAAAATTATGACGCTTGTGTTGAATTAAAAATAAACGAGCAAACATTGACTCCGTTAAGGCCACTTAGTGTGGGAGCCACGCCACTAGTGACCATCGAAGCGCCGAAATGGGGTAGCGATGTCGTAAGCGGCTTGTGGCGTCAGGAAGAGGACCTGACGCGTCCGCGGGGCGATAATAAACGGTCTCGAACCTAGGGCGTGGCAGCAATGGCGCCACATTGCTTGTCCTGGTGCAACGAATCACTCATCGTGAAGTCAGATTCATGTTGGCCGGCACGTTCGAAATGCCGCGAGTTCCTACAACATAAGCCCATTTCCTGAAGTAGTCAGTGATCTTGGAGCAGTAGGTCGAGGCTACGTGCAGGAACATCTTCCACCAGGCCTTAATCGTCACCAAAATCTTATTCATTGTTTATCGCAAGGGAGGTGATTAAAACTTACATTATACGGTACACTAATAACTACACTTTAAATTTTAAAATAGCATGCATATACAATTTACACCCGCCACCTATCCGGAGGGTGTGACCCGCTTCCCGGCCCGGTCGATCGGCCGGTGGCGGGCAGGCTGTGAGCGCCGTCAGGTACCCCAGAAGTCGAGCCACCAAAACGGCCCACAGAATCCAGCACATCAGCCACGAATACACATTAACAATAGGGCAATTCTTTCGCTACGGAATTTTGAAGGTCCGAAGCGAATACCCAACGCACAGCCGTATTGGAACACACCCGTAGGGAGGCGGCCGCGCTCGAAGCCTACTAAGCCCACACAATGAAGAGAGGTAATTCGCACCGTTTGTAAATATATGGCCCGCAGGACGTGGAGGTGCCGGTGGAAACAAGCTCCGCGTTACGCTTGGTCTACCCGTGGGGGCCATCGTCAACTGCTGCGACAACAGCGGAGGCAAGAACCTCTACATCATCGCCGTTAAGGTAGGCCCTTCGCGCCTTTAGACCGGGATAACGTGATGATTCTCAATGATAGGCCTGAACATCTTGATGATTTCATACAGCCGAACAATCCGATTCTGAACCCGTTGCATAACCCAAACACATTCATTGAATTCATGACCTTCCAGGGTATCGGTGCCTGCCTCAACAGGCTGCCATCGGCCGCCGTTGGCGACATGGTCCTCGCGACCGTCAAGAAGGGAAAGCCCGACCTCAGGAAGAAGGTCCACCCCGCCGTCATCGTGCGCCAGCGCAAGGCCTGGAGGCGCAGGGAGGGCTACTTCATCTACTTTGAGGACAACGCCGGAGTCATCGTAAACCCCAAGGGAGAAATGAAGGGGTCCGCCATCACCGGCCCTGTCGCCAAGGAGTGCGCAGAGCTGTGGCCCAAGATCTCCGCCGCGGCGCCCTCTATTGTTTAAATAAACTACGATAATTTAATGCGTTATCGGAATGTTACATCAGAAACACGATGTATATTATGACAAAGGCCACCAGGATGAAGAAAATCTTCAGTAGCAGCGTGCGATTGCTCGAGATGCGCTTGTAGTAGCGGGACAGCTCGCTTTGGGCTGCGGAACATGTGACTGGGAGCGTGTATGTCGACTAACCTGATATCACGTTGTTGAGCGACTCCTCGGTGTCGGCGTCGATGCGCTGGATCATCTCGTCCTGCTGCGTCACCAACGTGGTCACGCGCTGGAAGATCTGGGTGAGCTCGCTGATGGCGCGTTGGACGTTGGCGAGCGCCTCCGCCTTGGCGTCCGCGATCACAGAGCGCGAAGGCCGTTCTAGCTCGCCACTGCAGCGCAATTAGGGTTCATTTATGACTGGGTGCGCCTACCTCTCTATGTCGAACTGCTGGCCGCCTTCGGCGGGCTGCTGCATGGTGAAGCGGCGACGGCCGTAGCCGGGCGTCATGGCGCTGCGATCCAGGTCGCTGTGCGAGTACATCTTGCGGCGCGACTCCTGCTGGATCATGATCTGGGCACGCTGGTACAGCGCGTCCTTCAGACTCTTGGTCAGTTCGCACAGCTGCTTGCGCAGGGAGCCGAGCAGATTCTCGTAATGCTGACGCATGTGTTCATTCTTGTGGCGCACGCTGTTCACGCGGGACTCAAAGGAGTCGATGCGATTAGACGCAGCGGTTATGCTCTCCTTAACCTCCCCGGTCAAACGCTCTATCTCCGCAGTGTGGTCCACGTAGATGCTGCGCTTGCGCGCCAGCGCCGTCAGCTCGGAGAGTTTTATGCCGCATTTTGACAGTTCCACGCTCAAACGCTGGGCGTCAACCTCGAGTTGCGATGGCTCAGCCGACGGAGATGGCGACGAAGCCGCCACCGGAGAGTTGCGCGCAACCTCCTGGAGGAACACATTAGTGCGGTTTACACCGCTCACCATTGCGGGAGGGTGTTTGAATCACATGAATGCTGAAGGCGGCTCGGCGGTCCACCATAAGCGGTTGAACGGCTCGAGCCACTACATGTCGACGCGCGCACATCTACACGTCCAACGCTTTAACGAGCAATGTGTAACATGCAGTCATGCTATTCTTATAGGAGTGGCTATAATGTGATCATGCTGCAGTACACAGTCAGAATTTTGTGATCCCTCAACGGCCGTGTCTCGATACCTCGAGGGATTGCCGGAGAATAATACGACGGCAAAAATGCAACCGTAGCAACCAATTGCAAATTGCAATCCACTGTATCGAATACATCACAAATTTTAAATGTGGCATGGCTGGACTTTGCCATAGGAGCATTTGCCAGCGACAGCCAACAACTAAATGTCTTTCATTAAAGACTTGAATGGAAACATTGTACAAGGCAGTTGCCGATTACACCAATCACAGGCATTAGAATACAAATAGACACGAAGATAGAATATCGGATAGCGATACAATTCGCTGCGGATTCCACCGTCAACGCAGAGTTCATCTGATACGAATCACCAAAAGGCATACTCGGCATTACCTTGGATAAAAAGACATACTTTTTGAGCCATGTAGAGAAGGAAATGCTTTGATTCTGCGGGATTGGGAATATAGGTTGACGAATTGACATCCCTCAGTGATGGCCAGCGGTCGGTTGCGGCAGCCGCAGGCGGTGGAGGATGCGCTGGAATTCGTGCGCAACAAGGTAAATTAGCATGCGATGTTTGACGACAGATTATGCAGTTTGCGGACGTAGGAAACGACCTAGAACTTGTTGAAAAAAAACTGACGGCAGAATTGAGCGCAGTATTTGGTCCAGATGTCTTTCAACTCCACGGCCGCTGTCAAGACCTCAAGGCACAAATCAACAAAATGATACGTGACCTTGCTGTAAGTTATATTAGGCGTTGTGTGGTCTAAATTCGGCTCGCAGGAGCTCTACGAGGCGCGTAAAGAGCTGGTAAATGTTATCGGGAACCAGCTCACACTATCGGCATCACTCAAAAACTTCGAGGTACGATGCGGGTCTGACTCTGCTGGTTGTATTACGACGTTGTAGCACTATGTGTAAATGTGTGATTGCTAGGGTCACAACTTTAATGCCATTACAATCCATGTACAGAAACTGATCGATCCGCACGCCAGGGTGGATGACGACACCCACTCGATGGAGATGCTGGGTATGCATTATCAGGCTCTGTGGAACGGCGAGGAATTCGAGGTCGAGGAAGCGGAAGAAGTCGAAACTAAGCGTCCTCTGACCCCGCTAACAGTTATAGGGTTGGTGTTTTCGACGACGTCGTGTAATGCAGCAACAGCAGCAGCCTCGATGTAACGCCAACAAAGGTCGAGACACCTACACCAGAAACGGCTTTCAAGCCTGTAAGTACCACTGGAAACGTTTAATGGATGCGCAGATATCGCAAAAGCAGTTCGACGACATACCTGCCCTGGTCAAACGAAGGGCAAAGTTGGAGCAGATCAATGAACTGTACAAACACCTCTTTGACATGGCGGTTGAACGCAAAAGGTGCGGTAACTACACGGGAAACAGTGCATAACACATCCCAGGTGTCTACCGGTGAAACTAAAGGAAATCTCGCAGGCGGGAATTCAGGTGTTCGGGCAGACCGGTAAGCTGGAAAACGCGCAATCGGCACACACATTCAGGGACTTCCAAATTGGCCTCATTGAGGTATCTAAAACTCGCCGAAATCAATAACAAGTGAGTACAAAACAACACATCCATCCACTGCTGGGCAGGGAGGAGACCGTCACACTGCTGGATGAACGGTTATCTGGCACACATCACAAAATTAGAAAGACAATGCGGAACTAATCATTAAAATAATATGCTGCGCATCGTAAAAGTGCAATAGACACGCCGCGTATCGTTCCCGACATCGTACACATCTGCGATGTCGTAGCGGAATCCTACCACCCTGTACCATAATATAAAATGAAAGTTTTACATAAAGCGCAGCAATGGCTGCCGCTCATTATCGCAGCTCTAGCGCATTTGGTGTGCGCGCGGAACGCCAACGAATTTTACACATTCAAGGACGCCACGGCGACGTCGGTATACGTTACCAATACGGATGACGAGCAGAAGTTTGGGCCGGCAAGGGCGTTCCAAATCGGTGCTTCTTACTGGTGCAGCGCCGGAAGCCACACATCGACGGACTTCGGTAGGTGAAGGTTACGACATCGCTCACGGGCTCAGTGTCATGGACCGGAGAACTGTGGGATCTGGCCAAGCTATCGCAAATCGAAGTGATCTGGGAGTATGCTCCCAAGGTAAGAACAATTGAGAACTTTTTGCACATCTGTGCCAGGAAGTTGAAATCTCGACTTCTATCACGCAGGACAGCTTCAACGTTGTCATGCCTTTCCGGGAGACCTTCGAGAGCAAGCGTAGGTGAACATGGCCCTGTTCCAGACGTATGCAGCATCGTACAAAGAGGTGTTCAAATTAGACCTCCCGGTAGAGGCTAAATATGTGAGACTCACGCTGAGAGGAGCTGTCAACGAATACTTCGGCATCAGGGAAATACACATCGTCGGAGCAGGAGATCCCATGTTCGTCATCAAGTCTGGCATATCGACGACGCTGGGCGAAATGTGCCTGCAACTCGAGGAGGGGCGCACGGAGAACAACACACGTGTCGTACTGGATTTATGCACCCATGCCATAGCAGCTGCGGACGGCAGGGTAAGGCGTCCGCCCTTCTCAATGCCACATACGGTGTAGGATCTCTGGAGGCATGATTCCAGACAAAGACTGGTTAGCGCCATCACGTCGCCACCCAAGTGTCTAACGTCTGTTAGCCCAAACAAAAGTTAGTTGCCGAATACCGATAGCATCACTTTCATCAGTCGGGGCCCTTGTCATCACGGAGTGTACGGATGAAGGTGACGAGCAGTGTCGCTGGGAGTTCATGGGAAATGGGCAGCTTGCGCTTAAGAACGTCAGCGACCTTTGCATGACGCAGGCGGCGCTCTACGAAGACAAGGCCGGCATGGGCAACCTCCTAAGCATCATGAAATCCAAGATACAAATAGTTGCCTCTAGTACCACAGATAAGCATGGCCCGGAACTTGTTATGGACGGTGATGTGAAGACATATTGGGCATCGGAGTTATTCCTGGATTCAAACATACACAGCGTCAACCTAACTGTCAACTTCGGTAAGATCCATTGTTCTTCAACCTCACATATGAATTTAGGGGAATCGGTACATGCCGCAAGAGTACGAATTGATTGGGAATATCAGCCAACGACCTACATAATAGAAGGTAGCAGCGATAACATCGTATTTAAGGAGCTCGCCCGAAACATGTCGAACTCAGACCACATCACCATAGACACGCTGGCAGTGAAGGCATTCAAGCAGCTCAGGATAGTCATGTTAAGGCCGCATCATTCAATGGGCAAGGTGCAGGGGGGATTTGTGTACGGCATAAGGGAGATAGAGGTGCTCACCAGCAACATGGAAACGGTGCTTGGCAACTGCAGGGCGGCGGCGAATACGGCGGACGCCAGAGACAAATATTTTGTTTCGTACGTTTCTGAATTTGAACCTGGACTTGCACATGTCATAAAAAACATGGAAGACGAAATACATAACATGACTGGGGAAATCATGGATGAAATGGCTACTCTTAGTGACACACTGGACGACACCGATACCTGTATGCAGGACAAGAAAGAATATGATAAAACTCTAGAAAGAGTGCATACGAAGGAAACTGCACTGTGGAAACAAATACAGGCATCCTCATTATGCGACAAGTCCGCGAACACGGAAGTGATGTACTCCACGGTTGGCGAAACCATGAAAAACGCAGCGGAGGACTGTTATGTCATAAAGCAGATGATGGGAAATCCGACTTCCGGTTTTTACTGGATCCAACCCAGGTGCTCGAAGCATCCCCTGCGGGTGTACTGTGATATGAACTCCCAGACATCAATGTTCATATGGGATGGAAAGGATACCCATGCGGCACCTCAGTCACTGCAAAGCATGACTTCGCCGCTGGCAATCAGGTACCAATGCGCAGCTTTCGGCTTGGAACCGCTGGTAGTCAAATCCAAGCATCAGCTGGATGGGCTCAAAGAGGCGTTGTACATCATGGGCTTCGAACGAAAAACCGATCACTACGTACCGCTGGCATACAAGTTCGGGAACTCGCACAAGTTCAGAGACCTCATGAACATATTCTCATTTATGACGGATTCGTCTATTGTTGAGACAATGGTGCCGAGTGACAAAACAACCGATGAAGAAATGCAAGCGTTGCACACCGTTAACCACAATGCAGCAGGGTTGTCCTTGGAAACGGGAGAAGTAGAGAAGTTCGATCTCGAGTCGGCAAACGTGGAAGCTATTGTGTGCTCAACCAACGTCACGGACGACAACGTGGTGCCGATTGACATCAAGTGTGATGATAGGATCGATAAAACCGAAGCTCTTGTCGCAAATACCAACACCAACATCGTAGTAAGGTGTTCGGAGCACTGCGCAGATAGGAAAGAGCTGCCAGTGTACGGTGTCGATGGAGTGTACAGCGAAAGGAGTTCAATATGCAGGGCCGCGATACATGCTGGTGTCATCGCAAGCAGGGGGACTTTCACGGTGGCTGTGGAGAGTGGCTTGCCATTCTACAGCGGTAGTACCGAAAATGGCATACAAAGCTATGCGTATAACAAGGCATGGCAGGGCTCAAAGGACATTTTGGATGCACAGATGCCAGATGATGAAAAGGAAGTGGACCACACGGGACCTCCCAGCAAATACAGCATCCGAATATTGCCTCGTGAACGCTTGTGCCCAATAGTGCAAACACATGGATCCTTTTTGCAGTTACCAAACAAAGAGCATGAGAAAGCGGGACACTCCGAAGAAAATGGTCAGTCAACTGCAGTTGAAGAAAAGCCAGCCCCAAAAGAGGGAGATAAGTTAGATGTCAAAGGATCATCCGATGAAAGCGAAGTAATGAATATTACCGATCTGGATCCAAACACAAAGACCGAGGCCGCCAAGGTGCTCACCGAGATGAACGCCATGTATGGAATGGACCCCAAGACTGTGGTCAACACCGTCAGAAACATTGCTGCATTGGTGAGCCGGGCCAAGAAGTATATCAAGCCACTCGAGTCAATTACACGGCATCAGGAAAAGCAAATGAACACGATGTGGGTTGCTGATTTGCATGAATCACAGTTTTACAGGTTCGACCGCGTGGAAGTGGCATCTCAGAAGGCCACACATCTTAAGGAGGTAAAGGAATCGCATAAAACGAACTATGAAAGGCTACTGCACGAACAACAGGCGAAAGGGGTGGAGAGTGAAGCGCCCATAACCATGGACTATACCAAAATGGCATTCTCCAAAACCTTCAGGGTCTACGACACAAGCATGACTTCGGGGGGAGAGAGCCGATGGGGATACTCGGACGCACCATTTGAGGGCCACCACAGCTACATGGTGCAGAGCAGTGATATAGATAGTTCGCTGCTCGGAGAAGGGGCATTCGCAATCCTGAACAACCGTCGGTACTTCGACTTCGACCTCAAAGTCGACGTGCTGGCGAAAAACGACGGAGCGATTGGGGTGGCATTCCGGGTGCAGGATCAATTCAACTTCTACCTTTTTGTAATGCATTCACGGCAGAGTAACAAGCAGCTCATCAAGGTGCAAGATGGAGTAGCTCTCGTGCTGGCAACCAACCCAGATGAGGGTTATCAGAAAAATAAGTGGATCGCTGTGGATATTGCAGCATCCGGTAACTCGATTGTTATCAAGTGCGACGATAAGATCATGCTCAGGTAAAATGTGGTATTATGCTATACATATGTGCGCAGGGTGCTGGACACGTCATTTTTGCATGGTGCCGTGGGACTGTATTCGTGCGGGAGCAATGGGAACTTCTACTACGACCACTTCAGCGTTTCGCCCAAGGTACAAGTAAAAGACGATCATGAATCCAATGAGGCAAGGCTTAAGACGCTCAAGTGCTGCACGTACAACGAGAACTTCGACGGGAAGTTCAGCAATGCCTACACCGTCGTTACCCCGCACCATGTACACGCAACGTCGTGGCGATTCAAAGACATACTTGGGGGCAAACACAAAGCGATACATCAGCACCATTCTGCTCAGGACGCGTTGGATATTGGATCGATAGCGCTGCTCAAGCACGACAGAATGTGCAGAAAGGGTCACATCAGGTTCAGGTTTCTGCCCACGTGCGAAGGAGGGGTCATCGGCGCAGTCGTTCGCTACGCTGATGTCAACAACATGGTGTTGGTGGAAATAAGCGGGAAGGAGTTGAGAATCAGGCATATACAAGCAGGCGCAGCCAAGGTGCTGGTAACAGTGCCAGCTGCATTTGCTGTTTCGAAATGGAATGTCATGAACGTGACGATCGATAATAAAAGCATATCGGTTAAGGTCCACAACAATGTCGAGCACGGGTCGTTCCTGACGAGCATCTTCAAAAATGCGGATTTCGAGTGCAACGCCGAAATAGGGGACGACAGTGCCTTGGGTTTCGGAGTGGGTCTCAAGGCAAGCGCCTGTGATTCTAGCTACTTTGACACCCTGCATATATCTCCCGAGGAAAATAACCAGGCGCTTCCCGCCACCAACTTCATACAGCAGTACTCCGCTGCTAACCTGTGGAAGCCATGCGTCGAAAATGTGCACATACTCAGCAGGGTTGGACTCTGCAGGCAAATGTATCGAAACAAGGGGAACGCACACGTGTGCGCTGAGAGCTTCTGCACGCCGTGCTGTAGCTACCACACAACGCTGCTTGGTGACGTCCACCAGCAGGCCTGCGTGGCGGAGTGCCAGAAAAACAACCACCTCGTCCACAGCTACCTAGAGAGGTTTCTCTCGTATGTAAGCAGCTGCGTATCGCTAAAGGGAGTCGGGTTCGACCACTGTGAAGGGGTAAGTTCATCTATGTTTGACAAAACAACTGTGCGTCAGGACCGGCAGTGCCTGAGGCAGGCATGCAAGCTCTGCTGCAGCAGCGGCCACCGAGAAAACGGGCCGCTGGACAAGAACCTGATGGCGCTAGAGACCTCCAGCTGCCTAGCCCAGTGTAACAGCCTAGTATAGGGCCGAGCCCTAGAACCCGGCCAACATGTATGCCAAAGCGCAACAATTTTGTATAATAATGTAACGACTGTGTTCCTTTTTCAGAACTTTAAATCAGCGCGGGTGACTATCAAGTGAGGGTTCACGTGAAGGTCACTAAACGTTTCCATGAAACTCGGAATCACCGCATTCACACGCCGCAGTTTGTCGCGTCCGACAAATTTCAAAAGGCTCTCCTTGTAGGGCTCGTTTTTCATACGGCGCATCAGTAGCGCAGCCGCATGCGGTTCCATAAGCCGTCTCACCCGATTTCGGGACGAATACTTCATATACTCGAATTGCTTCAAAACGCGGCGATAAGGGTCCACCAGGCTGTCGAACCACGACATCTTGGCGTACGGAGTATCACACAAAACGGCATACATCGACGCCATCGCCTTCATCAGACCTAAAAATCCTTTAGGCGCGGTCAGAGACGTTCCCATGGGCTCGTGTGCTTGCGATTCTTTGGTCAATGCCCGATTGACGGCGTCGGTCATGGGATGACTTTTGGGTGGATCTCGTGGTGTGGGCTTGTCACCACACGAGTCTTGCGATACAGACGCCTTCCGAACCCGACGGCGTTTCGCTGCAGAGGTAATATCAGGTAAACGGTATCGCGGGGACGTTTTGGAAACGGTGGCTGCATGAACATGACTCCCAGTTATTGGCAAACTTACTGGCTTCGTCCTTGGGGGCCGGGGCCGCCTCTGCTGGGGCACGGTTCGCGTTTTGCGATAACCGCTTGGCCTTAAAATCCAACAAACTAATAATCTGCTTTATCATATCAGGGCGAAGAGAGGCATAGGTGTCCTTAAGCTTCAACGCCGCCTGGTACTTCACCGAATCTGGTTTATTGTACGCCTTTACATTGTTTACGATAAGGGCGATGTCCTCGTCAAAAATGGAGGGGTCGTCGAGGTATTTCAAGCCCTCCGCCTTCTGCTGCATTATGCTGAGGTCCATCGGGACCTTCACAGCACGGGTGTACTCCACGAGCGTACATGGGTCAGCGGGAGTGGAGAATATGTTTTCCGTGTCGAAGAGCTTGAGCTTGTTCAATGTGTTTGTGTACACATCCTTCAAGCGACGAGTTGTCCCGTTGGCGTCTAGCTTGCTGAGCGATAGACCGACCTTACGCGATATGTGTGGCTTGCTGATGATGCCATACGCGTGCAGCGTGTTCCGCACACCTCCCATTTAGAACCATTAGCGATAGTCTTTGCGCGTGAGTGAAAAGCTAGCCGCGATGACGCGCGACCCAACACCAATTCGGTGTCACGACGAACGGCGTATTTTCACGCCCTGCATATAGAGCTTGTCGCGTCCAGTAACCTTCTCGAAAACGAAGATGCGGTACAACATGAATGCCTCCTGCTGTTCCGTAGACATCTCCACAGTAGACATCACACGTAGGTGATGCAACACATTCTCCAACACATTAGCCGTGAGAGTGCTTGCCAGTTTCTTGAATAGCTCCGGAGCGCGCTCCATGTATTCCGGAAATGTGAAAGTCTCTAATATACGGAATCCGAGCCGAGTGCACAGCTCGGAGAACGACTTCCACGGGACTACATACTCGCTCGCGTCTATGGACTCCATCAAAAAGAAGTGGTACTTCAGACCCCATTGGCTCTCTAGGCGGCTGATAAGCTCGTCGGGGTGGTAAGGTTGCCCAGTTGCTTCGTCTACCAATTTTTCGACCGCCGTGTCTTCCATGGTAACCCTAAAGATGGAGTTGCCGAAATCCCATCTTTGTCCCGCATCATCCGATGTTTGGTGCGGAGGGTTGGCAATCAGGCCCTTTGCGATGGCGTTGCAGCACACAGTGCTGCCGATGAAAATCCCCTTCTCCCCCAGTGCCTGGTGGATGTGGCGCAGCATCATGCTGGCGCTGGCCTCGTCAGAGATTATATAGTGGATGGCCAGCTGCATGGAGACCACGTCGAACTTTTTGTTCCGCACGTAGGTCGTGTACACCTTCTCATCCAGCAGGTTGCCGTGGTGGAATTCCGCTTTGAACCGGAAACGGCGGCCGCGCAATTGCTCAGAGAAGCGGCGTCGGGCCTCCATAATCTCGGACAGAGATATGTCTATACCCATAACATGACTAATGCCCACAGTAGCGTATTTGTCCAGGTCTTGGCAATGACCGCAGGCGAGATCCAGGACGGTGTTTTTGCGTCGAACGTAACACGCAATCATCACACGCTTCACCAGGTTGTTGTGGCGCCGGAGCGCTTCGATGGCCGAGCCCTTTTGACGCACCAACTTACGCGTGTCGTAGTGCAACTGTACGGCCTCAGCAGTGTCCCCGAAGAGATTAGGGTAAAAGTCGGCAGTGGGTACTTCATCCACCGACATCGAATCGAAGCTGTCTAGGATCATGCGTAGGTTGCTGTGCACCAGCGACAATATGTAGCCGAACCTATTCGCCTTGCAATCCGTCAAGCGCCGAAATTGCTTCCCCAGCTGGGAACCGTGTACACATAACTGCACGTAGTGGCGACGTCCGTCCTCAACAACCTCGCGGTCGAAGAACGGGAAGGCCGACATGTCCGAATGCTTACTGACCAGGCATGTCGTGAAACACTCAAAAAGCCGCTCAATTGGCAGTTGCGTCATTTCGTCGCTCAGAACAACGTCCCAGTGATCGACGATGTTCAGCTCCCACCTAACGAGTTTCTCGTCATTGACGGTGGTCGTCTTGTAGTTGCGCATATAGCGGAAACACAACTTCAGGGTCATGCCCAGGACGCCGCCATCATTTTCCCCTTCTTTGGCGACAACTGAAGATGTCTGGAGCCGATAATGGTATTGCGATTGTGGCCGATAGACGTGCATGGTGTTCAGCACGTTGTGGTCCCAACACTGCATGTCGGAGAGGCGCAGGCCCTCTTCGGTGCTGTACGGCACCCGGTATATTCGGGTGTGGTGAAACCCCTCCAATGCATCCCCTGGGATGCGCTGGTCCACGTTAGACGATGATACTATCTCCACTTCGACGTGGTCGGAGTCTGGTGCGAGCCTGTGACCGCCGGCCTGGTTCGTGAACATGTCCATGTACAGTGCATTAATGCACGTCGGGGCCACGTCTGGAATGAACGCCACCTTCGATTCATTATTGTCGAGCACGCACTCCGTCTCAACGGGGAGGACGATGTCGCGGTTCTGCGTGAGACCCATCAACCTCCCAACATGAAAGACGCACCGAACAGAGAGAGGGTCACGAGTGCATGCCATGCTCTCCCTCACCAAACGCTCGATCGCGCCACTCACAGTTGCAGTTGAGTCCGAAACGCCAAACACCGGGCACCCCTCTATTACGAGAGGGTTACTGCGAGTTGTTAGGACCTTAGGGGTGTGCCCTTTGGCGGCGGTATCAATCGGCGACAGCACCGGCTCAGCTGGGACATTCTTCTTTGGAATCTTAAGCTCCATTGTTTCTAGTGTCCATATGCGATATGCCGGTATTCAACAGCGCTTCGCCGGAGTTAATATCATAACGTCCACGTGCCAGCCGACCTCCGTGCAATGAAAGTGATCAATGCCCACATCTCCCCTAGGATGGCACACCCATGTGTCGCGTGGTGTGTATTTTCGCAGACGCTTGTTACAGAGCCGAACAGCACTGTTTGTCAGCTCACATGTCTAAACCAGGGTAACGGCGCTACACCACAACACACCACCTTGAGCACGCGTTTACGGCAATAACTATCTCAAACTCAATTTGGCAACAAGCGCTCCGTTGATCCTGCCATAATAGCAGGATACACATCTCTGCTTGTCGTACATTTCCGTCTCTGGCGGATGTGTCATCGCGCAAGACAGCAGTCTGCTTCCGGAGTCGCCATGCTGTAATTAGGCACCTGTGCTTGAAAATCATCCACAGGCTCGTAGTTTTCTTTTGGGAGCTGTTTTTGGTACTTTATCACGATGCAGATGACTGTTATCCGGGCTCTGCTCGCCGTAGCAGCTGCCTCGTGTTTCGGGTTTAAATCTGCATACGCAGGTTACCTGGATGTCGCGACACTCATCACCGCGAACAAGAAGCTCTGCCTGACCGAACCGATCAAAAAGGAAATGTACACCCACATTGCCATACACGCCTTCGACGTTAGGCAGGAGCAGGGTGTGGCAATTTCGATTAAGGAAGAGGGAGCCGATAAACCCATATACGAAGAAAGCAACCTAACCAAACACCTCTCCGTGTCATTTACTGCCATACACGGTATATCAGTGATCTGCTGCATCACTGCACCGCACTATGATATCTACGTCGGGGTTGCTATCAAGTCGGGAGCCGACGCAAGGGACTATTCTATAATCGCCAAGAGTTCCCACTTGGATCCCGTGGACGCGCACCTGCAAAACGCCATCGACGAGTTCAGCGCATTCCACAAGGCGCAACTTACCGGCAGCCGCTCCATGGACCGCACCAGCAAAAAGGCAGCCGACGCATACTACATGCTTACCAAGTTCGCCATTGCAAACAGTGTTTTCGTGGTCATTTCCACAATATGCTTCATCCTCTACTTCAGAAGCTTCTTCCTATCGAAGAAGGTGATGTGACCGGCATGATTACAGCCTTTAATTATCAATAAAATTCGTTTTACGTGGCGTCTGACACGGCGGTGGTGTATCGTAAAATTATACGCATAATGGATAAATGGTGTTTGCTCTGTTTCTGGCTGGCCACATTGCGGTAGGTGGCGCCATATAATTAAAGCGTATTATCGCCTGTAAAAGCGTACAACATTTATATTGGACATGGAACATTTTCAGGAATACCAGATGGAGTGGCTTACGCTTTTAGAGATTGGTGGAGTGGAGAAAAGGAGGAGCCGTATTGGATGTGCCCAGTTGAGACATCTTGAGAGACGCATAGTGAAGCGAATTCCTGGAATTGTGGAAGAATGAGACAAGCTCCCCGGTGGTGCGCGGAGTCCACTGGGTGAGGCAGTTGAGGTAAGAGCACAGTGTCAACGGAGGATCGTCGCCGCCGCATTGGGGAGTAAGGACAGTGGAAATATACTTGCCAGTTTCGTGAGGTGTAGGCAAATCGTCCTCCTTGAATCCCATGCTGACACGGCTCTTGAGGCAGATATCGCGCGGGTCGAAGGGGTGAGTCTTGAACTTGGAGTCGGATGCGTCGGTCAGGAAGGCCTGGAGGGGGGTTGAGGGCAGCATGACCACCTATGATAGGTGTTAATAGAAGCGTCGAAGAAAAGTATTTGCCCGTGGTTGTGATTTTACGAAAGGTGGTAATTTAACGGTATTACGGCTTTGTAGCTATCGTGACGTGCGTTTGTAGCTGCGTTGGGAAGGCTTCGAAGCTAGTTAAGTAGCGTTCAATCAAGCGGTTCGTATACACGCTGGGCATGTGTTTTGATAAATATAACTCGTCACATTTTACTTATTCATGGGCAAAGACCTGTTTGACGTGGCATTGTCACTCTTAGCTAAATGGGCAAGTCTATCGTTCTGGGGTAAAACGAATGATGGATCACTGTCCCGCCGTAGAAAGCGCTTGAATTAGAGTGCACATGTTATCTATTTTGCGTAGTTTCATTTGACGTGATTTGATAACAATGGATGCCATGAATTATGGTACCGTATAGAATAACTAATATTGATGTTCCTCCTCTGATGCATATGTCACTGTCTGCCTATAAGTTTATTTGAAATACATTTGGCGAAGACATCAACTATAGTAGGGCAGAAAAAATGTCAGAAAGGGGGGGAGAAGTTACAACTGCAGCTCCAAAACTGTGGTACGATGCGTTGGGGGAAACGCTGTACAGCCTTGTGTCTTTCATGGAAGGCTACGACCAACAGGTGTTGTCCATGTGTATGCGGGCTTTTGAGTTAACGTTGGGGTTTTCTCAATCTCAGTTGTCTACTTTGGCAACCGTATCCACTATGTCCCGCATGGGTTGCTGCATAATTTGGGGATTATTGGCAGACCTGCATGAGTCAAACTACGTGCTTGGTGGTGGCCTGTTAGTGATGGGTATGGCTTCGGTTTTTCTAAGTTCCGCGTCGCACTACAAAGTGGTAAGTTGCAATTTTAACGCTTCAAAAATTATTGCAGGTTCTATTTTTGCGTTTCTTACATGGCCTTGGTTTTGCGTGCGTTTACCCCGTGCAACAAAAGATTGTTTCCGATTCAACTGATTCAAAGGATTCAAAACAATCAAAGGAAGAGAAGGAATCAAAGGCTAATACTATATTCACACGCCTCCAGGCTCTAAACTGCATCGGGCGTCTGTTATGCGCCGTCATAACCACGCTGATTGCCCGTAAAATATTGTTGGGCTATTATGGCTGGCGGACATCCTACGTTGTGTTGGGGTACGTATGGATATTGTTTGGCATTGCAATTACATTTGGAATGGAAAGTAAAAAATGTCAGGAAGTAAACAGCGACTCTCAAGGTAAGAATGACTTTAAAACGCTTATATCGAACGCCTTTAACGAAGTATTCACGAATGCGACAGCAGGGATATCCATATTTACTATATTCATCGCAGAAGCTCCAATGTGCGCTTTTAATTATATGACCATATACTTGCAATATTTGGGAGTCTCTGACGTAATGGCAGGCGTTGCTATTGCAGTTACACTAATAGGGGGCGCAGCGGGAAGTGGAGGGGGCGGGCAAATTATAAAGGAGTTATCAAAACACGCTAAAGGATACGGCGAACTTAGTTCCGGATGTATAGTAATGATCATACGACTAGTTGTGTGTCTGTTGTTCTTCCTAGGGAACCCACCATGTGGGAAGTTGCTTTGGTATCATTATGTGGAGTTGGCAACACTTGGGGGGACATTAGTTACCATGGGCGCGGTAGACAGAACTGTTATGCTTAATGTAATTCAAAAACAGTCTCAGGCAACGGCATCCGCCATAGTTCGAACCATATCAGGCATCGCCAGTAGTGTCATTCTCTTCCAGGTTTGTGCATATTTGACAGAGAAGGTGTTCGGCTACGTACCTTCTAGGGAGTCTTTTGAAACCATGGATGCATCTGTTAAAGAAAGAAACGCCGAAGCCCTGCGGAAATCCATGATGTACATTATAGTGGCAGGTACATTACTAAACCTTGTTTGCTACGTTGCGATGTTTTTTACCTATCCACAAGCTAGAATAAATAAAGATGATGAAAAGGTACAAGTAGAAGCATCAACATCCTAATTTTTTATTGTAATGCTCCTTGTACTTCAAGAAGCGCCCCCATTTGCCTGTATATTAAGCATTAGAGACCTTTTGTGCGGTGTCTGCTTGCCAAATTCAAGGATATATGTATTAATATCATTATATATTACCACTTGTCGTGGTGTGGTTTTCTTTCCAACTTGCGGCGAATTTCTCTGTAAGTCATGCCACACTAAACCTAATATTAAGGGATTGCACATGAAATATATTTGTAGTTAGATGGTGGCAAGCACTTGCGATTTGGTCCAGTCTACAAAATACGGCTGTGATTCGGCAGCAACATTTGCTTCATACCAATAAAAGAATGGATAGCGCATCTACCAGCAAAACCTCGGACAATGCCATCAATATAAGGGTGTGATTCCGCAACTGCCGTGTGCCATATCTATCAACGGCGAGCCTACCGCGTGCGTCACGTCCATTCTGTATTGCCCACCGTCACATGACCACACATGGAAGGCGCTCATCGAAATGTTAACGCGTATCTCCTGCTAGTGCATATTGGCTCTTCAAACGCGGGTATCTCGTCTTGCAGGTCACTTGGTTACGTCCGTTTCCGTTGAAACGCTTTGACATTGGAGTTGAAGGCGACAGCTTTTACGCCCAATGAAGCTATGCATTACTTTATACGGCCACTGCCGGTTGAATTGGACACAAGTGAGATCTTTATACATGAAACATCAATATTAATACACGAATATCGCTGCGTTCTGCCAGGAGTTTATTGTGTCAGCGATTTTTTGCCGCTCTGTTACGTAACGTCAACGTGCTTCTAGTTTTTTGTGTTATGTTGCATGTAACTATTTCTGTACTCAGAATGACGTGTGACATCTACATTACACAGCTGCAAGAGCGCTACGTGAAGTAGGTGACGCTATGGGAGGTCGGTGGAGTGAATTCCTGGAGGTGCTGCAGCATATTGCAGTGCAGCAATTCCGTAGTCGCAAAGTGGAAACATGGTATGATGATGGATGGCACTGCACCGTCTAAGCACGGAATACACTACATTACGTGATATGTTGCAGTTAGGTGTACCACGTGGTTTCTAATGTTTGAGCGTAGAATCTTCAAGGCCTTGTATACTCCAGGTTGGCGCGCATGCCAACACGGGTCACCGCAAGGAGAGACTGAGTGGCGATATTGTGCGGGGAAGGTAGCCTGATGCAGAGCCGAATGTGGAACACGTAGAGGCTCCATATGAAAACATGCACGAAGTAGAGCAGCGAGGAAGACCATACAGCCTGTAGATCTTATCTTTGTTTTGGTTTTGATTAGTGTGCTACGTGGCTTAGGGCCGATTTTCGTGTTTACCGGGCAAGCGCCTTAGGCTGCTGGTGTCGGTTGCGGGATCCATGTCGAATTATCGTACACTACAGGTACCATCCATTGTGGCATCCATCCTGTTTGGGCGCGAGGATCATTCAGTGTCATAGTCTTCTCTGGGTTTCATGTCCCTCAACACTAGCTTTTGTGTTTCTTGGATCACTACCCGTTGTATATGGGCTTCCGAGAGATCCGATATGCCAAGGCTCTGCCTATGCGTGGTGTGGTCTTTTGTCACTATCCCCTCCCACGTCATAACGTAGGAGATTACCCTGGTTCTCGTTTGTTGGTTTAATGTTTGCGCATTCAGGTTCTCAATTAGGTGTTCATACTTCCCTCTCTTGATGTTCTCCGTCTCCACTAGGTTCTCCTGATTGGTTATTCCTATTTCCACGATGGTGATCATGTTCCTCCGTCGATCCGCCACTATTATGTCTGGGCGGTTGTACTCCTTGATCTTCTGCGTCTTGACCGTTTTGTCGTACGCGATCCATCCGTGTTTCCAGTGCACTTCGCTCTCGATCTTGTGGGCGTCCATTTTCTCCTTGGGTAGTCCTATTTGCCTCCCGAGTTCCGAATGGTCCATACAGCCAAGAGGGTGAAGCAGAAGGGACGGCGGATGACGAATAGGAAAGCGTCTATTCTGCCAAATAATTTGCTGAAATACTGCGATGTAATAACCTCCAACTACTTGACAAATTTTTACACGTCCTTGTTTTACGTTCTGTACAATCAAGTGATGTGGCGTCGCCATATGCGAAACCATACCCATACATCGTAGGTGATACACTTCTGCACTTCAGTATACTGGAGCAGTGACATGATTATTTCCCATCCCCGTGATGCCCATACGTACATGGGCGGTTGGAACACTCTAAGTGCTTACATGACACATCTTTTAACGCTGTTAGCAAGCACTGAAGTAAATCTCTGAACGTCCACGTCAAATGGACTAACCATGATCCATACAATTCGGCGTGCTTTTCGGGAAATGTATGATAGGCATCGTAACAGAGAGGTTGGAAATAGAGGCCACAGGTGGACCCTTCGGCACACGGAAGTGATTGAACATTCAACACAAGTGGATAGTGAGGAGATATCGCAACGTGATTTGTAGTTTTTTACATCCGTAAGATCACTGTAGAAATTGTGGAACCTCATCAACGCAGCAGTAATCGCACTACTATGGAAATCTTCTTGAAACCAAGTGGGGAAAGGGAAACTTAGGTCAATGGCCTCCTCAATTTTCCCTTTGTACGCCGAGTCGTGACCATACTTTGATCTATTCCATCTTTGTAAAATATTGCAATAGAACGAGAGCATATCTGCCAAGCTTTTTGTAAGACAGGGTGACAGCGAGATAAGATATCTAAGAAACGCGGGCAAAGGTGAGTCAGCACCGCAGCACAAGTCACCAAACACGCTAAATATATCATCACCACGCCGTGTAATAGATGCAGAATGTTCCAAATCCTAGAATCCCATAGGGGTAATACATGGCGTACCTTTCGGTGCAGGTGGACATGTTTTACATACGGACTTACAGTCAATGGACTCCAACTTATGTGGCATGAAACCAAGAAGGCCATCCTTTAAATATGCTTGCAGCGGGATTATGCCACCCAATCATTGACGGTTGAAGACATATTTTCACATGGCCACTGATATCCTTCGACAGTGCTGCCATATTTGCAATCACACCATCCGTGGTTTTTGGAGTTGTCACAGCATCGCCCACTACCCCTACTGTGGGCACGGCTATACGCGTCTATTAACCACGCACCCTATCACTAACACGCCATCCGCCCATTGGGTGAATCGCTTGCTACCCTATCATGCTGTCTTGTGGCTGCTGGGATTGATGAAAATCCGTTCTGCTTCGCAGTCCGCTGAGGCGCCTGGTGACGCCGTCGAACAAGACGTCACTGGCATCGGTATCCCAAAGCGCCAGTTAAACAATGAGCGAGTTGACTTCGTTATTTGCTAGGTTTCCCGCTTGGTGATGCTATAAGCTACTGCTGGAAGGCGAAACTAAGTGTGAGATGGCGGCTTCGAGTCCTTATCAAATCCGTTCATTACTTCAAGCCTCAACCCCCTAGTTTTATCAGAATGTATGTGGTCGACTATGGCTAAGAGGAATAAAAGAGCAAAATTGCCAAATATTGCGCATAAGCGAACTTTGCACCAATTACATGCACAAACGAACCTTTTTTGCAATTGTTATACCCGCCATGCGGTACGTTCCTTTTTAGAAACACATACTCCGCATGATGCTGCCTTGCATCCTACACAGCACCGGGGGCAGCAGTTACAATTTGTGTCCTGACTTTTATTTACACAGCCACAATTACAACATTTATATCCCACATTTTCTGCGCAATCATTTTTCATGCAGGAAATGCCCTTTCCAGTAGAACAGTGTCCTTTTTCATTTACACCGCTCTATCATCTTCCCCTACATATTACTTGGCAATACACCCTGCGCAGCGCTAAAAAAAGTACCGAGACGGTTGTAGCAACTGCGGATGCAATGTCATAGATACCGCAACATGGGTATAGAGCAGCCTATTTTCCGCTGCTGTCTACCATGTGGAATTGTGCAGAATGGAAAATGCTTCTCGGCATATTTTGTTGAGGGTTTATGGCACATCTTGTGAGCGTAGATGTATCACAGACTCTACTGTACCCAATAGAGAAGAATGTTATCCATTTCGGGAAATATTCCTTTTAATTTTATTTTTGATTAAAACTGAGAAATGTGGCCTGTTCCGGCATAGCTCGGTAGGTCCTGTGAGGGGCAAGAGGTATAAATTATGCAGCATGCGTAATTCAAGTAGCATACGAAATCATGTTTGTGACAATAATGATGACAGCATGAAGTCTGGGTCTATTTGTGAACCAGGGTTATAGATATGTTGTCATATCCCCTGTATTCCTAGAGCGTACAATGTAAATTAGCTCGCTGGGCATTGACATTAAAAAGCAGTTGCGAAGTCCGTGTTGCTAATCGCAACTTTCTTACGCTTCTATCCCTTATGCATCAGTATTGGCCTCATATGCTCTCTTGTTGAATTCCCATTGTATTTTGTTGCCTGATTCGTTATACAAAGTCTCTCGCCTTACACTACCAACTGGTTCCGTCTGTTGTCAACAGACCAGACCAGAAGAGCGACAGAGCTAAAAGGTCCTTGAAAGCGTTAAACAATTATGCAGAGTGCCGGTTCAGAAGTGTTTTAAGCATTGGTCGTAGCACCACTGATAAACTTCCTCAATCGGGATGCATTGGCCGTACGTGGAACCTTATAGCCACACCTTTGCAAATACACATCTATTTGCTATTTCAAAAGACACATAATATAGTAGCATCATTTGCCTTCAGTGTTATCGATGTCTACAAATTTTCTATCACGGATCCGCAACAATAATGGCGGCGTCGATGTTTGAATCGGCGTGCAGTGGAGATGATAGGATGGGCACTTTTGAAAGCATTCCGTAGTTTAAAATCCGTTGCCGATTAACGAATTGTTATTAACTGTTGCGTTATGGCTTTTCTTGTTGGATTGCCCGCCACCCAGTGGATGTCGATGCATAAATTTGCTCAGCCCATTTTTTAAGCTGCTATAATATACTGGTAACACAGCTGTGCAAACTGCCACTCGACCAGCAATATTTGCCGTCACCGCGATAGAAAACTTGCAACCGTCTGCGGAACGATTCGGTAACACCAGAATCTTAAGGTAGCGCGGCCAATCACCACCGTTGCTGTACGAGCGTTGTAAAGCGTTCAAGAACATAAATATATAACTGTATCACAACGGCATTAATCCGCAGTGGTACGGTTGCAAAAAGATACTCAAGAGGAGCGGGCGATCACACAAGGCAGCGAGCAATAGATGCCATCATAGAGAAGCTATTGAGTCGCCTGACATGTAAGTGTTACAGAACATAATGCGATTACATTCTGCGTTTTGTCGTACCCTGATCGCGATAAAGATAATGGGCTGTGACTGGGGATCTACGTGAAAACCATGGGACTATGTAGACTCCAGTATACTAAACGCGAACACCCGTAATTCTTCAAAAGTTGATACGCAGCTGCTGAAATATAAACAGAGCAAGACTCAGTGTGTGTCATCCCTGTCTGAGACTTGGTTACGCTGGTGACATGCGTTGTGTGCACTGCATGCAACATTAGTATGGAGCTGGCTATTGTGGGGCAGCTAGCTTTTTATCGCGCTTACTGGCCCGCCCTGCTCTATTTATGTACCGGCCTCTACATCTCGATAGGGTTTGTGTATATTGGAAGGCAGCGGTACTTTTGTTTACCCGCTATTAAGGCAAGGCTGTTTAAATACGCGTGTTTTTTGCAAACTGTCCTTTAAATACACACGAAATTAATACATTTATATCAGTCGCCTAATTTAACGGAGTTTCACAAAATGGTGTACACTTCGTTGACTGAAATTCCTCGTAACCTCAAGGAGGGTATTGACTGGTTGGTAGCCTTGAAGGGAACTGATGCTGAAAGCAACTTGAAGGCTATGGGCGCCGCAATCCACGATTTTCTGGCAGAGCATATTTCAGAAAAGGCTACAGAGAAGTCTGTTGGTTGTAAGCATTTTCCAGCTCTCCAACACGTAAAGCTTATTTCTATGGGCTTCATGTGGAAAAAGGAGCTTAGGAACTTGTTTCCCGCGAGAGAAATGCTGCCAAGTTTCATTAAGTTAATGGATAGAACGCCCGAAGAGCTTACCAATGCCATGGGAGGCAGTCCTAAAACCGTCACAGAGAAATTAGGCAAAGTTGTGGATGGTTGCGAGAGGTTCTTAGAAAAAATGAAAAGTCCTGGTGAGTACGAGTCTGCTTACGGTTCTGAAGCGACATGGGAGGCTTCGTGCTCGGAAAACCCTGCAGATTGCGCAGCGGTCTTCGTGGGAATTGCGCCAATGTTATTCATAGGCCTAGAATCTTTGAGGGATGCAAGCGAATCTCATAGCTTAAGTTGGGTACCGTTTACGAAGAAGTTTAGTTTGACAGGTGTATTGGAAGCCATGGGTTTTGTTGAGCCGGAATGCCGCAATGGTCTGAGTGGTTCAGATGTCCTCAAAGCGTTGAGCAATGTGCCGTATGGCGTAATGTCCATACTCGATGATGTTTCTGGATTTGATGTCGTATATGGATTGGGCGACGAAGGGTCTGCACAATCTGTAGGTGCGGGATTAAAATCCGCGGAACCTGCGAAAGCTGTGGAATCTGTGGAACCTATTCAAGAGGAACAGCCCATGGAATCTGTAGAGCCCGTTCAAAATGAAGAGGCTGTAGAATTCGCGGAACTTGTGGAATCTGTAGAGCCCGTTCAAAATGAAGAGGCTGTAGAATTCGCGGAACTTGTGGAATCTGTAGAACCAGTTCAGGAGGAGCAGTTTGCAGGAGTTGAAGAACCCATTCAAGCGGCACAAGCCGTGGAAGCTGTAGGATCTGCAATTCCTACAGGAGTTGAAGAGCCTGCGAAAGCTACAAAACCTAAAAAGAGCAAGAAAGGCAAAAAGGGCAAGAAGGGTAAGAAGGGTAAAAAAGGTAAAAAGGGTAAAAAGGCTGCGAAAGCTGTAGAAGCAGGTCAGCAATAAGAGGTCCTGAGTCGGGTTCCTCAGTGATAGTCATCATGGAAACCCTTACGGAACATTTCCAATTTATGAAACGGAGTTAACTCCGGTTCAATCTCTGCGGCCTTCGTCGATGGCGCTGCTGGCATCGAATGAGGGCAGGCAAAGTTAACGGCATTTCTTGAATGGTATTCAGGACGCCGGTTGGCGGGTTTCTTTTCAGCTTCACCCTTCAATGTCCGTATACCCAACGGATATTGTGTGGGGCCCGCAATTTATAAGTCACGCTTTACATTCCTTCACTCCTCAGGTTGACAGGCGGTACGTGCAGCAATGCAGTAGTTCGGTGGTGAGCCGTCTGCAGAAATGCAGAACGTCCATTGATTGCAAAGCATGTTAACCCTTAGATCTAATGAGTAAACGTTTTAATCTTTCATTTTGCTTATTTTCCTAATCTGAGATTATTCCGCCTCGAACGGGCGAAAAGTGAGGTGGTATGCACTGGTGTGGACCGTGCGTTTGTGGGCCTTATGAATGGTTTTCTTGTTACCTGTAGACGCCCTGTATCGCCGTGCACGGGATCCATGAAAGTGACGCCCAGTAGAGTTCGGCAGTAGTACAACGTATAGCCCGCTGCCTACGCCAGCATCGTGAGGCGCTAGCCTTGTTAAGACGAAAATCGGTCCTAAGCCACACGTAGCCACATAGCACTATATAATTTGAAACAGAGATAATAAGCACATGCGCCATTAGGGCGGTGTCACGCTGCAATAGACAGTCAAGTGATGGGGTGGATACACCGGTATGTACCTTAGACCAGTACCGGTTGAGGAGGCAATAAATAGGCATATAGAGGTGATACCATCGTGTATGGTAAGCAGTAACGTTATAATCCTATCATTAGGCGCAGATGTTGCATTGACACCTACGGACGTTGTGCACCTTTGTATACAATGTTTAGAATGATACAAAACATTGGACTGGCAGAAACTAGTAATATCGACCTACGTTGGCTACATATATGCGGATGCGATGTGGATGTTTAATGCATTTTGTTTTTGATACAATTGGATGCGTTGTCACATGCGGTTGCATGCTAACACGGTCGTGCCACAGTAAGGGCAGTGCTGAGGTGGCGTGATCTGAGATTAATGAGATTTGGTCGTTTTCTTATATCACGTGTAGTTTTGTGTGACTTTAACGTCATGATGTGAGTATGTTGACTCGTGATGCATGTAGCGGCGATGCTCATGGTGTCCGGTGGCATGATCTTCGACAACGCTTGCCTGGGAATTAAGTGTACGCGCTTTATATGACTTTAAATTGCTAAAAATGACAGCGGATTAAGGTGTCATGTCCTTACCCGTGCAGGGGGTGTTGTGCGATGGCGCCATATCACCGGGACTCTGGAGGCTGCGGTCTGCCTTTTGCACTAGGGTATTCAATGAAGTTCAGGGACATGTGAATGGAACGAGTGGGGACGATGGATGAGGAAACGAAGGAGCCGGAACCTAACAAGTGTGGCTGTAATAAAAATCCGTGCACAGAAGACAAAGGAGAGGGATGCTCTAATCTTGATTGTGAGGAATGCAACTTGGCGAGATGTCATCCCGATTGTCATCAGTGCGTAAGAAATAAGTGCACAGAAGCAGGTAATTGCCAATGTATCGTTTGTAACTGCGGATGTAACAGAAGATGTGGTGAACGCAAAAAATGCAGCGATAACGATGGCAGTTGTGAACGCTGCAAAGAAAAATGCAAAGATCAAAAAGCAGGTGACAGGTGTATATGTTACCTCTGTAACTGTGGGTGCAATGGAGTGATGTGTTGCTGCTGTAGATGGTGCAATCCTAGTACCAAATGTGGCAGCAAGGGGGAATGCGACGGCGAGGATGAACACTCCGAAGAATGCAAGAAAGCAGGCCATGACGGTGGAACGTATTATTGCCGACACGGCACTGAAGCTAACAAATGCAAAGACTGCGACAAGACTGAGTATTTCTACGGCGTAGGCAAATGCCGCATCAAGTGCACAAACTGCGGTAAATTGTGTCCACAAGATGCGTTTCTTCGCCTTTGCTACATCGGAGTCCCCATACTCTTAATCGTAGCGGTAATCGTTTCCGTCTGTCGTTTGTATCCTGACCCATTCCGCAAGGTGTTCTATGGATTACGTGCTTCATTTGCTAAGTCGTTTAAAGGTTCCGGCACATCCACGAATCTTGCCGGCGGAAGGATTCACGAGGAGATGGACGCTGATGAATACTCCACCTTCCCGTTTAAGGGCCTAATGTAGCTTCTCACACTGGAAGCATGATTTTAACATGGCAAAAAACACGCCATTTTAATGTAGTCAATGCTTGATTTGTGTTGTGGATGAATTTTGTTGGACGAGCTGTAAGAGTGGTGTCACCCCTCCTTGTCAGTGTTGTCTGAAGCTAGTGGTTGGCCGTCAATGTGGACAACTGACAACTGCCGTGCCAGGTGAACTACATGGTCGTCTGTTAGGTGAGTGGTTGACGTGTTAATTATGATGTGCGTTGCTAGGCAAACAATGTCACCGGAACTCTCCGACATGATAGCCAGTGAACAGCCTACTTAAGTGGCCTTTATGTAGAACATTGTGGCGATCACTAGCATATCAAAGACGCACCATAACTCGGCTAGACGCTTATTAGTGCGCCAATAAAGTGACACTTAAACAATACGTATTCTGCCGCAATTCAAAGTGAAAAGATTGTGTCGTACCTGCATGTCCATTGTGGTATCCCTGGCGGTGGGTGGTATAACGCTCATCGGAGAAGGCTTGGCGGTTCTCCGGTTCGGGGCTCAATGTACGTGTTTCATGCATACGCAGTGTAATAACAAGTGAACTAGGGGAAGATGTCTGGAGCGGGGTGTCATTGTGGTAAAAAGGGCGGAACGTGTAATGGAAGTTGCACGTGCTGTCGCCATTGTTGCACATACTGTCAGGGCAATGCGTGCGAAGCGTGCAAAGGTGCTCGAGCAGGTGAAAGAAGACAGAGCGGAAAACCCATTGATGTGTGTTGTGGGAATTGTGTAGATAAAAATCCCTGTGATTGTACATGTTGCACACGTAAACGTATATGCCTTCCCATCGGCCTTACTGCTTCCATCATCGTCATTTTCATCGCAATAATTCTCACTATCGTATGTCTCATGATCATGAAACGCATTCGGCCGTTCCACAAGGTCCGCGATTTTCTCGTGCGCAAGTGAAGGCTTTGTATCGCATTCTTTAGTCACTACCGGCATTTATAACATCGCCCTTATCGCACCGTTTTAGACATTACCGGCAGGTTGCCAACGTAATAACGCCTTATTTAATGTTTCAAAATACAAGATCGGCAGTTACTCGGTGAACGCGTTCATGAGTCACATCTTGGCAGCCCATTAGTTAAAAAGCGGGATTAACACCGCCCAACGTAGTACTCACATCCGCAGCCATCTTGGGCTACCCGCATCGCACAGGATCTCCACCCAGTCCTTGCTCGCAGCGGCACGCGTCAACTCACTTGGCAAGCTGGCCCATCTACAACATCGATATGCAACCTCTGCCATAGTCACCTAACTCAGTGCCTAACCAAATGTCTAACCTATGATGTAACCTAGTCGCTGTTTTGTCATCTCCCTTCTCCCTTTGTCGCCTTGCCGTCACTCCCAAAATAGCCTCCTTCATCCCACCTGTCGGTGGACTGAGGCTGCGGAAGCCTCTCACCATGCCTCTCTTGCAGCTCTAGAATGTCTCACTAATCGCCACTTACACCTTCACTGGGTCAACTATTAATGCCCTAATCCACTTCGGATCGCAGCATCTTGACCACATGTTGCGCCACTCCCCTCACTCCGCTGGCCAATGCCCATCCCTCACCCGCCACGCCTTTATTACGATTACCAATCAGGCTTTCATCAACGTTCGGGACAACATCAGCTCAATGGTTTGCAATGAACTTACTGAGTTCCTCGGTATTTTGAAGCCTTGGTTGGTAACCTCTTACCTCAGCTTGAGCAAGTTAGTAAGACGCTGCCGGCTACGTCATGGAGTTGGCAAAGTGGATCGGTGGGGATGATGACAATATCGCAATACTGCTGAACATGGTAAAGGAAATCTACGCAGAACCTTATGAAACAGGAATAGCAAGCGTAATCTTCACATCGCAATTATACCTCTGCAAGCCACTTGGTAGTGTCTTGGTTATCTGGAAGCAGTGACGTCACCTCAGAGGCTTTATTGCCTTAGTGTCTCCTAGTTAACCTGTAAAACGCTTTCACTTGTATTCTTGTAGCACTAGCTTAGTGCCCATTTATTATTATCTCTGTGCTGAGAGCATTCGTAAGCAAGATGGAGGCTCACGGAGTTCCGCTGAACACACTCAAGGACTGTCTCCAGTTCTTGCTGTGGTTGCATAGAGATGATGGTAAGCAACAACAGGTGGCCGAAGTGCTGTTTAGACGTATTGATACGTATTATCAAAAGAATGCTAACTACCTCTCCATAGGCAACGTTAAAAAGGCCTTGTCCCCGTTCCTCGACCAGGCGTCACATTTCTATACGAGGTTATGCTATAAAGTAGATACAGTCAATTATAACGGCAGTAGAGCAGAGGAAATTGTAAAAGCACTGCTCGACTGCGTTCCTAAGTTCCTCGCTGCGATATATTATCTTTGGTACTGCGTAGATAATACCTTTAGATCGCTGGGCGGTGGCACTTGGGAGTTGGACTGGCCTGGGGGGGAAAGAGGTGGATGGTTGACACGTTATTGGGGCGGTCAACTGCAGGATTACCTCAGAGCGGAACCAGGCGCTGACTATGGCGGAATTATACCCGGAGGGTTTGGTTACGGGGAGGTGAGATATTATACATTTTGGGGTGGCTACCCCCAGGGTGCTCAAATGGCTCCGGACCTTAGAAACCTTTTGGACAAAGAGCACCACAACTTTTTCCGGGACGTGTTTGTCACGTCCGTTATTGAGGACTCTGGCACCCATAAGGAGAACATGGCGAACGCTCTTGAGTTGGTGAGAAAGTTTTGCGAGATTGTTGAACAAGAAAGGGAACCCACCGGCGGTACCTTAATAACAAAATTGAATGAAGGTTTAAACAAACAATGGGGATCAAGGGACAAATCCATATGCTGGAAAGACTTACATTCCCATTGCGCTAAGCTTGAAGAACAATTCAACAAATTGTTCGCCGAAAAACGCTTCGACTTCACGGGCCAGTCAACGGGACTTGAAAACCTCAAGAAAGAGGAACTTGCAGTCGAAGCTGCGAAATGGTTCCGAACGAATCTGATCCTTGTGCGGGGGAATTTGCAGCATATTAAAGTAGATGCAGCGGCGAGCAGGGATCTTGGCAAATACTTTACCAATCATCTCTTCCCCTACGGATTCACATTCGATGGAAGAAAACGCTTTCAAATAACGCCAAGCGAAGCGAAGAAATTGCCGAAGGAATTGTCCGATGTAATCAGTGGGCTTCAAAAATCTAGTGACGGCGATTTGGATAGGCTTAAAGATATTTTAGATGGTAAAGAAAGAAGACAGTGTCCAGAAGATGATAGCAAGAAAGCGGAGGGAGCACAGAACCAAGGCAAGAAAGTGGAGGGGAATCCAACCCAAGATAGCAGTCAAAGTGCAGATACGTCTTCAGGTACATCAGTTGGAGATTCTCCTGCCCCAACTCCGTCTCCCAGTGATCCTGGACTCCCCGGCCCCGCTGGTCAGCCAAGTGATACGGTTCAGGGTCCAACGTCCGTTGACACTCCAGGTCCACAGCCTACTTCCCCTCCAGTCACTGTGCTCACTCAGCCTACGAGTGTTCCAGGTTCAGACTCTTGGCCAGCTGGTGATCAGGGGGCTGGCACACAAGGTGGTGGAGGGCAAGATGTTGGTCCAGGCTCCGGTCACGATTCAAGCAGCGGCGCTACTCCGTCGGATGCCACGGGGCCTGGTGGAGCTGGAGTTGGAGGGGGTGGGTTGACTGAGGGGACTGATGGAGGGGGTCACCTTCAACTTGGCCGGCTGTATCTCTAAGCTCTCTTGTGACGTTCCTCTTGGAGTCGTCTTCAAGCCCCGTAACCTTACTCTTCACTGCCATCAACTTACTGTCCACGGCTTGGGCGGGGCTTTCAGTTTGGCCTTGGGGTGGAGGTTGTTGGCTGAGGGTAGTCGCATCGTTAAGCTGATCGTGAAGGCTCCAAGCAATAGGCGTAATATGGTCCAGGATTTTTGCAATGCTACCGGGGCTGGGATCTCCGTTATCGGGTATGTTGAGAAACACTGAATTCAGCTCCTCGGCTACTTGGTTGGACGTGGAGCGCAGGGCGATTAGGATTGTTTTCAGGACATCATTAAAATGGTCATCATTTTTGGTACTCTTCATGTTAACAATCTTGCCGACAACCTCTTTCTTCACGGCTTGAAGAAGCGATGTGATTTGGTTTTTATTAAGTCTCTTATCAATCCCCTTTACAAAATCCTCGCAGCCTTTTTTCACAGCCTCAATGTTCGAAGTGATGTCATTGGCGCTCTTTTCTTGTGTAACCTTTTCACCGGCTGCTTTTGCTTCGCTGTGAAGCTGCTTCTTAATCTGGTCGATAATTTCGTCACGAAAGATCTTGTCAAATGTGATATCATCGCCCAGCACCATCCTCGTCCGGCCATCATTGACATGCTGTTTAATCCACTCGCTAAACCACTCCACAACCCTCTGTCTTTGCTTGCCCAAAATGCCCTGCAACCAACCATTCACAATTTCGTTAAACTGCGTCCCGTCACTCCCGGTGAACGCATTGAAATAATCCTGCACCTTGGACTTAATCCCTTCCAGGCCTTGGCCACCTTTATTGTCCCAACCTGTACCTCCAGTCCCCTTAATCTTTTCAACTTCCCCTTTAATATGATCGAGAATCTTTTCCAACTTTTTTGCATTTTCCCCGCTGAGCCCATCAAACGTCCCGCCAAGCCCCTCAATCGCCTTGTCAACTTCACCGACTTTCTGGCTAAGCGGAGTTTGGATATGATTATCAAAATTACTGTCAAGGCCATTCACCGCTCGCTGAATTGAACCATGTTCCTTGCTAGTAGTCAAATCCAACGTACTCTTCTCTCTTTTCAGCACCTCCAACTGCCCATTTACCAGACTCTTAGTAGCATTATCATCTTCGGTGAGCTTTTCAATATTCTCCTTCAACGTTGTCAAATCATCTCTCACTTTCTCATCCAATTTCTCAACTTCCAACTCCGTAATAACCTCTTTAATCCCTCTCTTAATCTCCTCCTTCACACTCTTCAAATCCTTCTTAAGCGATGCATCCATTTCCACAACAGCCTCCAACGCCTTAGTGACTTTCTGCTCAACAAGGCTCTTAGCACTCTGAGCTGCAGTAAAAAGCTCAATACCTTTCTTTTTCAACTCTTCAGCTTGCAGGAAAATTTTACCTTCAGGTTTATCTTTTCCAACTTTCTTAAGTATCTCCTCACACTTCCCGTTGGCCTTGTCAATAACATCCTTGGCGGCCTGATTCCAACTACCTAAGTTTTCAACTTCATTTCCGAGACTCTCATTTGCCTGGTCAATTTTCTGTCTAGCATTATCAATTTCACCAAGTTTCAGGCCAACATTCGGACTATTATCTTTCAAAGCATCATGCACTGAGCACTCTGAATCGCCCTGGTAAGCACTGTCCTGACCTGCTGATTCAAATCACCCATATTACCGTGAAGACCATTCAGGCCTTTATGAACTCTTACATTTTCAGCTTTTGCTTTAACAATTTTCTCAACATTCCTACTCAAATCAGCATGAACGTCCAAGTTACTGTGAGCCTCTTCCGCTTTGCTCTACGCCGCCTTGCGGATACTCTCCGCGGTTTCGATCCAAGAATTCAGGCTGTAAAAGTGTATTTTATGCTTTTCATTGGCTTGGCTAGTGCTGTCTGTTGGTGCTTTCAGTGTCGCCTTTGGCGAGGATATTAAATGCCTAAACAAAGAGCTTTTATCAGGTGGTGATGGATGAGAAGTTGCAGCAGCGACATTATAGGTTATGTTTGGTGACTTGGGGCTTATTACCGTCGCAAAGCATAATATAAGACAGCTGAATTTGTCGTCGATATTTGTGGAAGGTGAAAACAGTGTTGGCGCTGAAGGACGGCTGGCGACCACTGGAGTGAGGAGAGTAGCGTAACGCATACTAAAAACTGTATGAGTGGAGGTGGATCATGCTATGAATATGTGGCATAAAGGCTACATTTGTGGTGATTGAAAAGCCTTTTATACATATATTCACGGGCGCGAAGGATACAACGTAGGAGGCATCGCCGGTCGGCGTACCTCATCAGATCATCAGACGTTTGTGGCACAGTGCAACAAGCGAGACATAAATGTAGGATGCTAGTAACATTTTGGTGCTTCAAGGAATTGTGCCGGGTTGTTGGCTACCATGACGGAAACAGCGGCGAGCAAGGACTGGGTGGAGATCCTGTGCGATGCGGGTAGCCCAAGATGGCTGCGGATGTGAGTACTACGTTGGGCGGTGTTAATCCCGCTTTTTAACTAATGGGCTGCCAAGATGTGACTCATGAACGCGTTCACCGAGTAACTGCCGATCTTGTATTTTGAAACATTAAATAAGGCGTTATTACGTTGGCAACCTGCCGGTAATGTCTAAAACGGTGCGATAAGGGCGATGTTATAAATGCCGGTAGTGACTAAAGAATGCGATACAAAGCCTTCACTTGCGCACGAGAAAATCGCGGACCTTGTGGAACGGCCGAATGCGTTTCATGATCATGAGACATACGATAGTGAGAATTATTGCGATGAAAATGACGATGATGGAAGCAGTAAGGCCGATGGGAAGGACTGCATTTTCACCTGGACAACAGCCACAATCACAAGATGGTTTACACACGATCTTACAATTCTTAGGGTCACATTCTATAGAACGTATGCCACCACCACCGAATCTATATAAACATTTGGTGCAACCATCATTACTACACCCATCGCAGCACCCTATACAGCATATACACGGGCCAGCATTACATTGAGAGTTTGTGTTGCATTTACATGAAATCTCCAGCGTCATCTTCTCCAAGCTCCCCTATCATACACCTGCGCAGGTATGAATCACGTACCTTGATCCTGGAACTGTGACACCGTCATTACGCCTCCCCCTCACCGTTCCATGACCGACCAGCAACCGCCCCGCGACCCACCGGCAGTAAGGCGCTAGCCATAAGTCTCTCAATAGAATTGCACCATCGCGTACTTTATGTATTGGTAACCTCGCCCCACATTGCTGGCCGAACGTTTTGCAAGCTCCGAATCCTTGTATTAATTGAAGTACGATGTTCGTGTTTTGCAGCTTTACATCTCTCTAGAATAATGCCGTAACGTCAGCCTCGCCTGCCATGCCCTTGTCACTCACCTGATAAAAGCATTGCGCCACGGTATACATGATACCCGTCCTTTTAGTTTAGTATCGAACACTCTCAACGTAAACGTCATGTCATTTTTACATATTTTCTATTTTGTTCGTTACCACCTGAATACGGAAATACTTTATCTGATGCAATGCTCCACAGCTCAACCGTAGTGACACTGCACTCCGTATTGAGCTGAGAGTTCTAAGCTAGCAGCACCAATTATCACATTCGAACCAAACTCCCTGCTGCTACGTGAATACACAAGTTGACGGAAACAAGGAAACACTTAAATTAATTTCCACAATCTCCTGATGAGTTATCGCATCTAAGTCACTTGTCACTTTGAGTAATAGTTCCCTATCTGTATGGTGGAGAGTATGACGCCCTTGATGGTGACGCAGCGGCACTAAGGTCGACGAATCGTTTACTCGCACCAAGGCACTGAGCGAAGCAGACCAGACATAACGCTGGAGGACCGACGGGGGAACACCATTACCATCTTGGAAATAGGAATAACCAATCAAGACAACCCGGTGGCGGCTGAGACGGTAACGACTCTCTAAATGGCCCCCGTGCCCAAACAAGATGGTTGTCATAACAGAAGGCGATCAATGTTCTCAGTAACCAGACAGTGTAACCAACAACCATGGTAAATAGAGTGGGATTCGTGGGCATGCATATTATAAAATCTAACCATGCCATTCGCCACTGATGAAATAATCGAAAAGAAACAGAACAAGCAACATGCATAAGAAACGTTGCAGCATTAATATTCAAAGTCTATATATTATATGCGGGAGGTCTGTGGGTTGCAAGGTTTGATTGTCTCGGGCTACAACTCGTAACACAACTGTGTCACGAACATGAAATGTGCCCCTAACCGATTGACGCGTGTTTCGCTCTGACAAAGTAACGACAGTGCCGAACGCATAAAACGCATCCGATTCCGCGTCGAACAATTTCCCAAGGAGATAGGCCAAATCACCAAGTTTTAATTTACGATCATCTTCCGCCTCAATTGGCGGTTGCGTAGCGTCCGTTGCAGTCGGTTTGACGATGACGTCTTGAATGGTGATGTAGTCCCACGCAGAAAACACGGAACCCTTAAGCAGCGCCTTTGCACTGCTGATTTCGTATAAGTCGGGAGGGTTTGCATGGTTTGAAATGTACTTCATTATGCTGAGATTGAAGAAATTATTACGGAGTCCGTGTTGCAGATCCTGGTTTCGTTGGTAATCAACTAACCTCAGAGATGCTACTATTTTGGATGAGGCCGAATGAGTGGGCCCATTACTATCCAGAAGAAACCACTGGTGTCCATTTGACTTTGCATATGCGACGTTGTTTTCGGTAGTATGTTTGCTCCACTTGCCCCACGGAATTTCTGCATTGGTTTCTGAGGCGACCTCCATTAACGGTAAAGCCTTATATATTTCCAGAATAGCCATAGATGCAGCTATACCAACAGTTGTGGAGATAGCAGGAACAATGCGCTTTGCAATTTTTATAATAGTGGACATATCCTTTTGGCCAATGCCAAAATTGTAGGCTCGCATATTGCTAGCTGCAAAGAGGCAATTGCGATCATTTGCATCATTTTCGTCAAATGATAATGGCTGCAAATCCATTTTTACTTCCTGGCGCAACAATTTCTTCACGCCGGGATCACTAAAAAGCCTTTTTACAGCATCAACGCACGTGATAAAATCTTGGTCCTTTAACGGTCTTTTAATTGACCTTAAGTGAGACTCAATGATGTTTACCGCGTCTTGCATAAGCGTATTTGTGTAATCAAGACGTTCGTGCGGGGTTGTTGTCACAGAATGCATGGAACGCTTTTTAACTCCGGCCATGGCGTCTATTAACATCTTCTTTAGGGGGAGGTCCACCTTGAAATGTGCCGCATATGCTTTTGCAGCCCATTCATGAGGGGTCAAGCTTGATGATAGAAGTTGGGAATTGCTCAATATCGACTCGATGACGTTAACGAAGTGCTTATCACCCAACTGCAAGGCAGATCTGATGGTACCTAGGGGGTTGGTGTAGAATTTGTGAAATATATCATGCTGCTCGTTAAAAACCCACGAATACAGCTCTATAGCGTAGAAAACGGCATCTACTATGGTCCGGGGCACTCCTTTAACGGAGCAGCTGGCACTGGCGTCTAAGAAGGCTTCCGATCCTACGGTTGACCCATACGTTTCCGTAAAATACGGTACAGATATGAAAGTGCTACATTGCATGCCATGTATTCCAGCCTCTACAAAAACGTGTGAATTCTCTACGGCATAGTTGTCCATAAGCATCCTGGCATGTATATTATCCACTGCCGATAACAATACTGTGTGTTTGACGGGAGCTTTCGTTGTAAGTCGGAAATTCTCTGTGAATGCGACGTTCCGTGGCGTGTAGCTTTGAAGACGGCGATTTGTCATCCTTTGCAGATTCTTCACAGCTGCCACAGCCTTGCTGCTTCCGACATCCTCCATTGTGAAAAGGTTTTGACGTGTCAGATTGGAGACATCCACCACATCGTCGTCCAGCACAGTGACATATTCCACACCCATACGGGCTATAAGTTTAAGATATTCGCATCCAAGTGCCCCTGCCCCTACGAGTAGATATCCGCACCTACTAGGTAGTTGAATGTGCGCCTGCGCATCCCCCATAGATATACCCACACCATTGTTGGGGAATATATCGCTTCTGTCCACCATTATGATTTCTGCGGGTGTAAACATGGAAGTTAATCCCTTAATTGCTTCCTGCGCGGCTAGCGACCCTGCGCACATTTTAAACGATGTGTGTTAAACCTACCCATTAGCGTGACGATAGCTGGTGCGTCCACATGCCTAAGTGTTGAAAACGTTTTAATCACGAGCTTGTCCACATTGGGGTAAAGCCGCCTGCAGCATTTCGCGAGCAACGTGTCATTTTCCACCTTTTCGGTGTTACCCATTGGCTGCGTCTGTCCACCCTGTGACGCCATAAGAGCCGCTGCGACTGTGATGACCTTCTCATTAAATGCGTTTTCTTCAGACGGAGCTATAACAAGTCTCCCAGGATTTATACTGTTTCGGCGAAATAAATGCAACAATGATTCCCATAATCTGGGTTTCCCTCCGAACAATCCCTTCACCAAGTCTCCCAATGATACGAATCGAAAGTTGGTTGGCGCATCCACCTTTCGAACGTAAAACACACCTTTAGGCCAGTCCCTAGTATCGGTATTGATGACCAATTTCACAGATTGTTCGCTGATCGGTTCTACCTTAAGTACTTCGGCATCCATAATGAGTCTGCCCGTGTCGATCGCGTTGCCTTCATTGTCAGGCATAAGATACTTTGGCATGGATATGCGGATAATATCACCTGGTACATATTGCAATATACCGTCATCGGCCGATACTTCTATGGCAGCGTTTTCGCCGTCGGCTGACAAGCTGGCTTGATGTTCTGCATTCTGCATGTCAGAGGTTGCCTGAACCCGGTGCTGATCACCAAAATCGGACAGCACGAGACCATACACACCTATTGAAGTGACGTATATGAACTTCGTCTTGTTCCTTGTGACGGCATTGACTTCTATTGCCTTGTGTATGGGCTGGTCTACAAAAATCACAGCATGGTGACACAATTTTTCATACTCGGGTTCCGCCTCCAATAACTTCAAATTTGCATCCGGTTGTAGGAGCAAAGCTTGTGATACCACATCTTTAGCACGACCGACATCGGGGTCCCAAATCTCTACCGTACCTACACCTGACCTGAGAAGGTGTGTAATGATCTCCGAAGAAACTTTGGAGGCTCCGACCAGCAGTACCCTTGATTGACGAAGTGATTCCACACCTTCGTCGCTGACAACCATGGATACTCTGGAGAACTTGCTATCGTAGGCGTCATTTTGTTTTGTTTGTTCCACTTGACGCGGTGAACACCCCTGAGCTGCCGGTACATCTCTGCAATTGCGATTATTGATACTACACAACCTTCCCCAGCTGAAATCGGCTGACAAACGTTTTTCAAACGGTCTTCTGTTCCATTTACCTGCATGGACCGCCGAAATAACGGCTGTTGCAACCCATAACCTCAAAGTCAGAGATAACAACGTTGGCAGTGCTGTTACGTTCTCTGCACGCCTTCCGACGGGCAGAAACAGAACCATCGCTGTGGCTTACATATTTACGTAGCTACATATTGCTTTACATATTTAGTAACGGATAGAAGGTCGTACACACTACACCGTACGAACGTCGTAGCACGGGTAACAGATTCCATTACAAACAAACTGTCTATTTGTCTTGCCAGTAGTTATTTTCTTGGAGGTATACCCTTGCTCGTTGTGTGGCTATTGATACCTTGTTTAGCAGTTTTACTGCCTGGGTGTCGTCGACCTCCAGTTTTGTGAGTGTGACTTTCGCATCCTCTTCCACTTTCTTTAGCTTATCCACGTCATCTTCGTCGATAAAAGATATCGCCACGCCGCTCTTCCCTGACCTTGCCGTTCTCCCGACTCTGTGTATGTAATCCTCCGTCGTGCCGGGGAAATCGAGGTTAACGACGAATGAGACCGCCTGAATGTCGATACCTCTTGCGACGAGGTCCGTGGCAACTAGAATTTTGGAAACACCAGTTCTGAACTTTGCGAGGCAGGCGTTTCTTTTCCGTTGTTTCATCAGTGAGTGTATGCACGTGACCTTGAAATCCATGAGATCCAGAGCCACCGACACAAGCTGGCAACGCCGCTTAGTAGCAGTGAATATGATCCCTTGGTCCGTTTCGTTTTCCATTAGTTGCGTCTGAAGGATGTGCACGAGGTACGGCAGGTGGACATGCTGCGGGAGGAAGAGGTAGTGTTGCTTGAGTTCCAGATCGCGGAACGAAGCCTCTTGACCCTTTGTCACGTCGAAGAAGTGAAACTGAACACCCTGGAACGAGTCACATAGTGCCCGTATAGCCTTTGTTATGGTGGCCGAGAAGAGGTATGTAATCCTCCCATCCTTCGTCGAGGGGATGCAACTGATTACCCTTTGCAAGGGTTCTTCGAAGGACTGGTGCAGTAGTATATCCGCCTCATCAAAGACTAAGTATTTGACTTTTGCAAATACTTTTGCGATATTGCGTTCCTTAACGGCAACCTGTTCAGCCAGTCTGCCTGGCGTGGCTATGACGACGTGCGGCCGCGCTTCCAGTTCCAGCGATTGTTGCACGATGTCCACACCCCCCACGCAGACGCAAATCTTGATGTTCATCTGAACGCCAAAGATGTTGAACTGGTCTCCGATTTGGAATGCGAGTTCCCTTGATCCTGTGAGGACGAGCCCAAATACCCCGTAGGGATCTTTTGCCAGTGCGATAAGTATGGGCCAACAGAAGCATATTGTTTTACCTGTTCCGGTCTGCGCACATCCGATAACGTTATCACCCTTGAGCGCCGCTGGTAAACACAGCTCCTGGATTTTGGTAGGCGTGGTGATTCTTAGACTGGCTGCCAAATCTATCAGCCACTCTGGGACCCCAAGTTCCTTGAAAGTCTTGCCAATGACCTTTTCATCATGCACAACAAGTTTTTCCTTGTCGGCGTCGGACTCTTTTGCTTCGCTGTGGACATGGAGCTTCTTACGTGGCTTGACCTCGGCTACAAGTTGCAGCGGTTTGCTGTTGACATCTTCCAGAACCCAGTTTGACACCTCCTGCTCCTGGAAGTCGCGTTTGACCTTGTCTTGTCCCATGGTAGATCCCTGCTGCGTTCGAGTCTCATCGCTCCTGCCTTCTGGGCATGAAGAGCTCTAATAACAACGAATTACGCAGCTTCTAGGGACACATATAGACATAATTCCACGTAGTTTGTTGATGTGTAACCATCTGCGATAATTTCTGTCTGACGATATCACCGTTGCTCGGGCCTTCTGTGCCCGCGGCTCAGCTCATCACAAAATGTAATTTCACCCTACCGACCACAACGATCCATTTTTTTCCAGATCGTATTGGATGTTGTTTTATCCTCGTATGTGGTGTGTTTAGGAAGCCAGTTTGTCACCATGGCGATAAGTAAGTTTGGGACTGTTACAAGTCACGGTTTTTCAGGGACCCAGTACGAAAACAGTAACGAAGTTGGCGTGTTCGCCACTCTTACTAACTCCTACGCACTTGTTACGTTGGGTAGTTCGTGCAACTTCGCGAGCGTATTCGAGGCGGAGCTTTTGCCGCAGATCCCAGTGGTTCACACGACCATTGGCGGGACCCGCGTCGTCGGGAGTGTTTCAGTTGGTAGGTTGAGTTCACAATAACAGTTCCAATCGCCAATCCGCCTTCATGTTCTCCAGGAAACCGCAAGGGACTCCTTGTCTCCAGCATTTGCACGGACACCGAGTTGCGCCACCTGCGCAATTCTCTGCCAGATGCCGTCGAGATTCGCCGCATTGACGACCGTCTTTCGGCCCTAGGGAACGTGATTACGTGCAACGACTATGTGGGTCTCATCCACGTGGACATGGACAAGGAGACCGAGGAGATCGTGGAGGACGTGCTCGGAATCGAGGTGTTCCGCAGTTCTATCGCAGGAAACGTGCTGATCGGGAGCTATTGCCGTTTCCAGAACAAGGGAGGTCTGGTTCACGTGAAGACCACCACCGATGAGATGGAGGAGCTGTCGCAGCTGCTTCAGATCCCACTGACATCCGGAACGATAAATCGGGGTTCGGACGTGATTGGCGGAGGTATGTCACAGTTTCGGCGTTTCATAGCTGTTCAGGGCTGATTGCGAACGACTGGGTGGCATTTTGTGGAATGTCTACAACTGCCACGGAGATTGCCACGGTGGAGCGCATCTTCCAGCTGTCGCGTCCGACCGAGCTGGACGCTTCGGTCACGGACTCACACACGCTGCGCAACGCCTTGATCGACACTTTGATTTGATATTGATGTGTCTAGGGATTGCGTGTGCTGCTTTGACCATGTCGTCTTTGATGTTGGCGCGATGTGCTCATTAGGAATGTTTGATGAGAACACGGTCAACAATATTTTTACTTAGCGTACTTTTTCCTTTGCTTAACGCTACAGGTCGTGCGTTTCGCCTACCTAGCAGATATTCACGCGCGTTTTGCGTGACCCTGTCTAGGTTCTCCCCGTCTTCCTCACGTCGGTATAATAACTCCATCTCTCCAATGTGCGCCATTACTAACTTGGAAGCTACGTCCACGACGGACAGCCTCGTCGATGTACCGGACGGCGAATCACCCTCGCCCAGCAAGCCTTCCGCCATGAAGACAAAGAAGACTGGCATAGAAAAGAAAGCACCTAAAAAGCTCGTACAAACCAAGCTCTTGAGCAAGGCTTCGGCTGAGAAGGCGGTTCCCTGGGTGACTCTCCCTAAGCTCGGTATGATTCATCGATGTTGCTCGACTAGTGTATGCAGACCCTAACGAAGACAGAGCCGCAGCGTTCGCTGAGATCGCCGCCGCTAGCAAGAAATCAGGACTTTACATCGGAGCTCACGTGTCTACTGCCGGTGGCCCAGATTTCGCAGTGCTGAATGCGTACAACACATGCGGTGGGTAGAGATTTTAGTGCTTGTTCTGCAGTTGGTGTTTGGCTGGTGTCAATTTTTGCGACGATATCAGCTTCTCAATTTGGCAGTGTTGTACCTTCGCTTATTTGTCGTATTAAAAGTTTTTTATGCGCTCCCTGTAATCTGGGAAATTTGTCGCCACAGTTATTAACATACGCTGCAGGCCAGGCATTTGCGCTCTTCCTCAAGAACCAACGTCGATGGGACAGCCCACCATTGTCGGATAAAAGTGTTCAGAAGTTTGCCGAGAACATAAAGAAGTGCAACTACGACGTGCGATACGTTCTTCCCCACGGCTCCTACCTAATTAACATTGCCAACCCCGATGCCGAGAAGCGGAAGAAGTCGTACGAACATTTCGTGGATGACATCCAGCGTTGCGAGAAACTGGGAATCACGCTGTACAACTTCCACCCGGGTACGTCCGGTGTATAAGTTTTCAACGTTTTGCAGGGTCCACCGTTGGCATGTGCGACAAGTCTGAGGGCATCCGCAACATAGCGGTTTGTTTATTTACTGCCTATACCGGTAACTTCTTGTCAGAACTGCATCAATATGGCGATGAAGGAGACCAAATCTGCCAAGATCGTTTTGGAGAACGCCGCCGGTCAGAAGAACGTGATTGGCTCCACCTTCGAGGACCTCCGTGACATCATTAATTTAGTCGAGAATAAGGAGAGGGTAAGTAGACCTTTAAGTGCTTAATATGTGCTCAGATCGCCGTGTGTTTGGACACGTGCCACCTTTTCGCCGCAGGTTAGTTGCCTCTTTCCCTGATGCCATCCCTTGCCAGGCTACGACATACGCACGAAGGCCAAATTCGAGGAGGTGATGAAGTCGTTCGACAAGATTGTGGGTCTCAATTACCTAGTTGCAGTCCATCTCAACGACTGCAAGTCTGACCTGGGCAGCGGATTGGACCGTCACGAGAACATTGGCATCGGGAAGCTTACCCGTGAAACGTTCGAGTTTATTGCCAACAGCGGTTATTTCCGCAACATGCCCATAATCCTGGAGACTCCCGACATCCATGGCGACGAAACCATTTACAAGCAGGAGGTGAAGGTGATGTACAGCCTTTTCAATGAAGACAAACCCGAAGCTACCGCGTGACCCTTAGACAGGCGTCCGAGGATAGTCACCCTCGGCTCGGAGCAGGCTCTCTACCTAGATAGAACCTTAAATGAGACTTTTTACACTGTAATGTACACTCCGAAGGTTTTATATGCGCGCTCACAAAGCATAAGTTTAGCCGCCTATGGGGATCGAACCCATGACCTTTTGATTACGAATCAAACGCAATACCACTATGCTAAGGCGGCCTGCCTGAGGCCCTAAATATTACTTTCAGGTATAGCTTACACTTTTTATTTACACCTATGCGTTCGTATCGCGACACGCACTTTGGCATTCGGCGTTTATGAATCCATGTAACAGTGTGTTGTGTACTCTAATCTTCGCCTTCGTCTTTTGGGCGAGGAATCCCCGTGCAAAATGTCTACTGCACACTGCCTTTGTGCCGCGCCTAGACGCTAGCCTTCCTAAACGATGCGGGCGGTATTTAGGTAGCACAGCATCCGGGGAGCCCAGCAGCTCCGCCCCTGTCGGAGCTCCGGGTGGTATGGGCAAAAAGAAGAACCTGTTCAAGCACCAGTTCGACGACTATACCGATGTTGGAGCTTCCACAGTCAACAAGTAAATTTCCTGCTTAATTTTGCGAATTTCGTGCAGAAAAGACGAAGAACGGTGGCAGGACATAGTGATGGAGGAGATCGCAAAGAATCGCAACGTTGAACCGTCGGATAACTTTTTGTTTGGGGAGTTCCATGCAGATGAATACATGCTAGGCAAGACGACTGACAACGTGGCAGCCATGCGGAAGCCTTCCTATAACTACCGCCTTTCCCCAGAAGGGAGGATGAAGCTAGAAAATCGCATTATCCATCTGAAGCACATGGCCGCGTCTAACCCGGGTACCCCCAAATCGGTACGCCCCAAACTTTGGATAGTTCGCCCCAGCTGCGGCAACTACTGCGAGTTACTGGAGCGGGATGACGAGTGCCTGAGGTCTTTTGTGAAGCGGGTGCGCAAGTATTTCCCCCAGGATCGACTGGAGATCCTGAAGGTAAAGATCGACATTAAGATGCCTTTGTGCGAGGTGTTTTTTGAGGGCGACATCACCGACATGGTGCGCATCTTCTATGCACGTGGTGGTACGCTGCAGTTTTACGTCGTTCCGCGCTTTTGGTCGCGTTGCCCACTGCTGGAGAAGGACCCGCGCCTCGAGGCCAAGTACGGCAAGTCGACGGCGCCGGGCCTCTTCCCCCAATGGGACGAGGACGGAATGCTAGAGGAGCTTATGGACTGCATGGACGTACGACCCGACTATGCGCTGGTAGGTGTGTTGTGTTTACGTTTAACTTTTATCAGGAGTTCCGCCTGCCCAATGCGTGGCAGCTTCTCCCAATGGTACCGGAGCACGATCGGGCCTTAATGGTTTCGCTGTTCGAAAAAGTGCACTGGCCCACCCGCCTCCGAGTCCAAAGTGCATTTGAGCAAGGCATAGAAGACTATCGCGATGTAATTTCTGACGAGTACGCGGAGCTGCAGCGCCTCGACCGCGGGCGAAGCAACATTTTGGACTACTGGCTGTGAGTTGTGTAAAAATTCCTCTCATATTCCGTAGGCCACCGGTAGAGCAGTGACACGGGGTTCCGCATCACAATTTATATGCTGGAACGCCACTTATTTATTCGACCCGGTCTTCTTGCGTTTGCTCGTCCACCTCTATCGCACCGTCATCTTCATCATCCTCTTCATCGAAGGCATCCTCGCCATCCTGCACATTAGATACACTCACTAAATTCTATACTAACCGATTCATCTTCTGATTGCGAAATCAGTGGCTCGATGAGTGAATTCATGTGCGAAATGCCCTCGAAGATGTTTTCCACCTGTTCCGCCTGGGCCGGTGCTAGGATGACTACCGGTATTTCACCCTCCTCATCGTCAGCGGAGTCTCCTTGAAGTTGTATGAATACACATGGCGTTTCGCAGAGTGCCTTGTCCTTTGAAACGGCGTGGAGCACCATTCCCAGGTAGGGGAAGGCATAGGAAACCTTCGAAGTATCGCTGGCCATCCAGACAAGCCTGGAAGTCGTTATGTATATCGTTCCATTGCCTGAGTGGTTTTGTAAAGACGTCATTGGTCAAACATACCGTGATCTTCGTTGTTGAATTTCAGGCTAACGTTATTATACGTAGCGTGGATCTGTTCGTTGTTTGCCGTGTCGAGCACAGGTGTGTTGTCGACATTCCTCTCGATATTTCTCTGGTAGCCTTGGAAGGTAGCCATGTTGTACACCTGACGGAATTTTAACGAAACAGTGGCGTCTATACGGTTATTATCGCCGTTCCCTTTCCCCATTAGGGGGCCGTGCGTGACGTTGGATTCCTCGAACCGTCCACATGGCAGCGACACATGGAACAGCTAGCGCATAATTTCGACATACATATACCATAATTGGCGGTGTGTCTGCCTTCCATGCTGTTATCGCATGATGTGTGACCGATTGTCGGCAGAGCTGGCGTGACGTGTCTAACGCCCAGTTCACCGCGGCACAATGCAGTCTCTCGACCGCTACCTGGGAATAGCTCTCAGCGGAAGCTACTTGTCGTACTGCCTTATCGTGAAGGATGTGTTGCGCAAGGCAGGCTCCGTATCGTTGCGTTGCTCGTCTGTGCAGCATCCTAGCAGGATCGCTGAGGCGTTCAAGATGCTTCGCAGCAGCATGACTCCATCAGAAACACCTGGCAGCACATCGCCTGTGTGTTTCGTGGGCATGCGTGGCGATAATGTCACTCCGCGCTCCGAGTTGGCTGCACGCCGGGCCTACAATCGGTGTCGAGTCCGCACCATCGTCGAGTGCCAGTCCGACGCTATTTTCGGGTACGTACTAATGAAAGGCGTTCAGCACCGCTCAGAAACAAACCCGTTATCTTCAAAGAGCGCGAGCTTTACGCGACGATGGGTTGGTTTCCCCGTACGTGCATGCATCGTTTGGCAGGTCGCATCACTAACGAGAAAATCATGGGCACCACGTGCCTCGTCAAGTGCGCAAGAAAACGGTTCACTAGCTTGCTGTCTGTGGATGCTGCGCAGTTCAGCGGTATCGCAGTGGCGTGGGCCACAGCCGTGTGCCTTAAGGTGGGTAGCACCGTGGCGGTGTCGATTACCTCTGCAGCGCCGTATGGAGATCGAGTCCATGAAGCTGGACGAGAGTTTCATGCAGTCCGTAGAGTCAAGGGTGAAGCGCGACCGTATAGTGGCCGAGCTGGTCGCTACGCTGGAGAAGAACAAGGACGCCGCCGCAGGTGAGTCGCTCAGTTGCGCCCTGTCAACAAGTCGCAGCGTCCGACCTCCAGGAGGCACTCCGGAGCCGCATCAGTTCACTGGTAGACAAGCATTTGGACAAATTAGTGTAATCACGTTCCGTATCGTTTCCTGTGGAATATGCTATTGTGTGGCGGCGCCATGTAAAAGGCTATCAGCTGCAGGCCCTCCTCGTTGGCAGCCAGTTCCAGGTGCACCAAGAACTTCGACTTGTTGATCCCCAGGTACCTGCCAATTGTCAGCGGCTGATGCATCGCTTCAGCACCCTCCTCCGGCTCCGCGCCCTTGAGCTGCTGCAGGTGTTGGAGCGAAGCCCTGAACAGAGCCGGCGGTTGGTGGAGGTACTTTTTGATGCAGGGAGCGTCACTAAACTTCCTTGGTCCGATGTATATCTTCTGCCGTGTGTTGAGTCTGGCGTTCTGTGTCGCCGGCTTTTCCCGGTTCGGTTTCCCCTCGACGCCGAACAGGCCCTCGTCAATTTTGATGGCGTAGACGTTGTTGGAAGTCTGGATGAAGATGCGATTCAGCTGGTCCTGATGGTACCACAGCGCGTTGTATATCTGCACGTTGCTGTTGCAGATCCTGTTCGGGACCCTGTGTATGGTCTCACCGTCGTACGCGACGATGGTGCGCATTTCCACATTGTAGAAGTAGTAGAGCGACCCCTTCGAAAATACCGCCAGGTACTTGAAATCCGGGCTCGCACAGGTGGACACTACCCTGTATCCGTTTTCAAACTTGGGCAGCTCGTGTATCGCCTCGGTTTCCAGGTCGAGAAGGTACACGAACCCCTCCAGGCTGTACAACGTAACCAGTTTGCGCTGCAGCGTCTCATCGAGGTTGAATCGCGCAACGTCGATCTTGATGATGGGATCCCTAATTGGGTGTTCCAATTGGCGCATCTCGCCGGTTTCCACGTTGAGCCTTGACAGGCGGAATTTGGTGTCCCCCTGTTTGAGGTGCGACACCAGCAGTTCGGTGTTGGATACGAAATGCATCGCGTGCACAGTCATTTCTTGCACCTGCTGTTCACCGGATCTTAACTCCAGATTCTCCGCACAAAATTTGAGCAATCTCATCTGCTTTTGGTTGGCGATTGCCACTACACTTGCGTCCGGCGATATTTGCGCCGCGACGATTTGCCCTCCTTCCCGCTTGAGCTTGATGGCGGCGAGCTTGTACGGCATTTCGGTGTCCTCCTGCGACTCCCTGGGCACGTACCACAGGTCGCAGTGGTCCCGGTAACGGCACAGCGCCAGCGTCTTGTCCTTGCTCATGACCACGGGCGCGCCCACCCAACTCGGGATGTTGAGCAGTATGAGGTTCGTCCTGTACCTCTTGCTGTTTTGGTGCTTAAGCCCCCTCGATATGGTGAGTATACCATCACTGCCGCTGCTAACTATCCGGTCGTCGTTCGGGTGGACTGCGAAGCACCTCACGTCGCCCTTGTGGTAGTATTTGACTCCGTTAGCACTCCACCCAGCTGGTGCGTTTTGTTTGAGGTAGTTCCTTTCGTTGTAGGCGTACACCGTGATTTGGGTGTCCACTCCCCCTGAGAAGAGCGTGTCACCGTCGGCACCGACTGCCAGACAGAGCACGTCAGCACAATGTTGCGTGAACATTTTGTGCATAGTACAGGTCTTCACATCCCACAGTATGACGTTACCGGCAGAATCACCACTGGCTAGCAGTTGGTGTTTCTCTATGAACGCCAGTGCCCATATTTGCGGCTCCTGTTGGTCGTCTGCAGTGTTCGCTACCCGTTTCCCCTCAGCAGCGGCATCCGTCGCGGTGTCCGCATCAGCTTCGAAATCGGTATTGCCCGTTTTCCTCTTTTTAGATGTGGGAGCGCCCTGCTTCTTCACTGCTGGGACCTTTATTTTGACGGCCGGCACATCGGAAGATGGGTCGTGCTTGAAGATGATGGAATCAGAGGTCCCGCAGAAGAAAGACCCGTCAGGCAGTGCGCACACACTCAGTATGCTCTTGGTGTGGCAGGCGTACACCTTGTCGAAGTTCAGTTCTGGGTCCCTGGTGTGCCTGTCGGTCGAGCTCCACAGCCGGAATGCGCGGATTCTTCCATCGTCACATGCGATAAGTACCCTTGTACCGCACTGCGTCAGCGCAGCCGAGAATATGGCGCCTCCGTAAGAACAGCACGACCTCTGCATGACTTGACAATACACATTGTGTGCCACCTACCACGGGCAGGAGAAGCTCCAGGTCCCAGTCGGTGATGACCGCGTGTAACCCAATGGTGATGATTCGGTACCCGCTGAGGGTTTTGCCGACCAAACCGTCAGTCTTGGGAACCCAGATGATCGTTCGTATCGCCGCGTGCTCGTCCGACTCGCGTAGCGACTGCATTCAATGAGTTGCGGTATGGCAGCTGGGCTGGTAAAAGGTTAGAATCACATCATGTACGACCCTGAAATGCCTACACCTTTTTTCACGTACACATAGCAAGGTTATTCCCCCGCTCCCACATATCTAGCTTAACTGGCTTACCGTTATATGGACCCTAGTTTCGACGTTGTATATCTCGACAGCGAAGGGCTGCCTTGCCGCCGCGATGTACTGCCCGCATGGCGAGAACGCCGCGGCGTTCACGCTGGAGGTGCTGGAGTCGTAGATGCTCACCAGCGAGAGTTTGTGAGCCATGTTTGGGCTAATTGCGGTTGGGTACCATCCACGTCCGAGCGTCACCCGGAAATGATCGGTGCCTACTGCTTCCTCATTGTGAAACTCTGCGTTCCCACCATCCCAGATTCTTATATGTTGCGATAATGTTATGCGATATGTTGTAATGCTAGGGTGCCTAATCGCCGGCGCGGAACACAATTCCCGCGGATGCGGCCTTCCACGATCGCCCTCCAAGAGCACCGGCATCACACGGTAGACCTTCAGGCCATCATTTTGTTTAAATGTGTGAATATTTAACGGCTATACGCGAAAACTTATGCTGGTCGGTATGTTGAAAGCTCTTGGCTTACGGGCGTTAGCTACCTTCATAAGCGCCATAACCTGCTCTACAACACCGAGCGTCTGCCTTCCACGACATATTCCATATAGCGCTGTGAAGCGCATCTGATACAATGTTGCGAAGGGTGTGACTGTTTTGGGTATAACCCCGAACTTGCAGGTCGTTCTGGTTCGGCAATGTTCGCCGTTTGTCGCGGTTCCCAGCCCTGTTGAAGCTGAATTACAGCATTACGTGTGACAATTTAATGTGGAAATCACATCATTACCACTGTATATTGTTGATGAACCAAGAAGAAGGAATCACTGCTCTTCTGTACTGCCTCTCAGCGTACTGTTAGTGTTATGGCTGATGTGTAGCGGGTATTCGTAATCCACATTACTCAATGCAGACGCTGCTGTAATTGGAAGGCTGGGTATACGATGTATGTAGAAGTATATGTGTAACAGGTGCACCCCCAATGCTGCTTACAGACACGCGTCTCACAGAGCCACAATAAACTAAAACGAGCGAATTTACATATACACCTGTCATTCTACGACAAATTCTAACGATTTCTATGTATTTGCTGAGGAAGAAGTGATTAAAAACGGATCGTTCCTCCTGTTAGACTCGCAACTTTCGAAACTCTGGCAGTTTGGAAAGTCCATGGAATCCCCTATCGTCGCACATAGTGTGAGCTTAACGTGATTTGTCGGCCAGTTCACGCTGGTATAGATGGCAGCCGCCGTCAGGGAGTACTTCTGGAAGCACTGATTTTATAATTCCATCGTCGACACGCGTTGCTGCGCGTTAGTCCGGAATGGCGGAGAGAACCGAGCCTGATTCACCGGACTCATTGGGTAAGTCATTTTCATACGTAAACTGCCTCTTCATCATATCTGGTCTCATATACGTTCAGCTGGGCGCCAGTCCGAGATCGCCAACCTTCGTGCACGCTTTCACAATCGCATTCCCGTTATCTGCGTGGCCAAGAAGTTTAGCACTCTCCACATTGATAAGTCCAAGTAGGTTACGCTTTTATTCATGGTCCTAGGTGGGCGATGCAATGCGGTTACATGCTGACTAATATATACATCTCTTGCCGAGTGGAGGAACGTGTGGGAATTTTTTTTTCTACGTCTTCATGTTGCGGTGTTTATGCGTTTGAGTTGCAATTCGAAGACAGATCTTCAATGTTTTCAGGTTTCTGGTGCCGGCCAACATGATGTATGCCGAGTTCAAGTACATTTTGCAGAAGCACTTGGTCGCCGAGAACATCGAAAAGCCCGAGCGCGTCGGGAAGAACGTCGCTCTGTACCTTTACGTGGGAGGAATAATCCCTATGGCCCAAGCACTGATGGGCGAACTGTTCCAAAAGCACCAATCAGAGGAGGGTGTCCTCTACATGACCTATGCTAACGAGAACACTCTGGGCTGATGCAAATGTCATTGGCACCCTTGTATCCAGTTAAACACGGCTGTATATGGGTGGAAAACTCCAAGATTTTAATGTATACCCCATTGTATTGTTCCCTGTGTTCGACTACACATCGTTCTTTGAGGTCGGCAATGTTAATGTTTATTTCGCCTTAGTGGCATAATGCCTCCATAAAGGTTGGCATGTGATGTTTCTGGCAGCGTTTGCATTCGCTGTGCTCTGTATCTTACCTCTTTGCGTGTCTGTTTCGTCGTCGCGGTTACACATTGGCGTTTTGGGCGCCACGGAAGTCGGTTATAGGCATAGAACCACTCACAATTTTGCACATTGCAATCTAAATTCGCACCTGGGTTCGTCGGCATCCTTGCAGGGGTGCGATGGCGCGATTGCTAGGGGCTTGCGCGGTCACTGCGCCTTCCTTGCGAATACCGGCGCCTTCCGCGATAAAAAGGGTTTGAAAAGGAAGGATGTTATACACGGTAACGATGGTTATGTAGAGGAAGACCCGGGTGATGTTGGAGTCGATGTGTCGTCGATGCCATCCGCTGCATCGACACGCGAGCGGATAAAATCGTTAAGTGATCAGCTTGCGTCAGCTAGAGACCATCGCGAAAGGGTACATGTTCTGGCATCTAATGGCGCTATCCTTTATAAAGGCGCTCCGGAACCGTCAGTATTGACGAAACCGCCGCTGAGTTTATCTGAGAGCAAGTGTTTCCGTTTGCCTGATTCCGGGCAGGTGTCTAATACCTCCCGCAACTATTTCCTGTTCCAACCTCCCTGTGAAGTGGATTATAAGCTGGTGTCTGGATGTGTGTCATCGATTTTTGTCGCCGTCCATGTGGACAGTTACGGTCTGGTGCATGTGGACGGGACGTCCGATTCGCTCATAACCAAGGCAACCCTGGCGCTCATACTCGATGCTGTGGAACTCAAGCAGTCTGCTGAAGTGCTGGGTATGCGCGCATGTGACGTCGGTCACGAGTCAACGCTCTCTGGCCTGGGTTTCATGAAACATGATGGAGTCGGCACAATCTTAAACCACATCAGGTCGGAGGTTAGGTCCCAATCTGATCGACTGAACGTCGTGAGAAGGTCACAACGTCACTCAAGTAAAAAGTATTCTAAAAGGTGAGTTTCCGTACGGTGGTAATGTAGACTCCTCCACTTGATCTCTACATGCCCGTTCAGGGTGGCAGCGTTGTTGAGCGGCGGGGTGGACTCGTCAGTTGCTCTGTGGCTATTGAAATCCCGCGGTTACGACGTAGAAGCATTCTACTTGAAGGTATGGGGCGTGGAGAAGGCCGAGGACACAGGTTTGTGCACCGTTGCATTTGGGCAATACCGTCGCAGGAAACTGCGAGTGGGCTACTGACGTGGATTACGCCATGAACGTGTGCTCTATGCTGGATGTACCGCTGCACATACTACCGTTCCAGGACCTTTACCACGAGCAGGTACTACGCCCATTCGTTGAAGGCACGAGGTACGTGTTTTTCTCTACGTTGCATGGCGTCCAGATTGGGCAAAACTCCGAACCCCGACGTTTGCTGCAACGAATTCATCAAATTCGGAGCATTTGCAGACTACGCGACGCGTTGGGGCTTCAGCCACGTCGCATCAGGCCACTACGCGTCCGTTGTTGAAGACCTGTGCAAAACCGACCATCCAGGTTACGCCTCTGACGCCACACCCGGGCCATACAGCGAGCGCATAACTCGGTTAAACCTTTGCAAGGACCTAAAGAAGGACCAGACGTACTTCCTCAGCCGTTTGACCCAACGTCAGCTGCGGCACGTCATTTTTCCCCTATCCCGATTGCTTAAGGTTGAGGTGGGTGTTCTCACTCAAACTAAATTTATACGGTCCAGGTGAGAGAGATTGCCCGAACACTTGGATTCATGAACTACGCACGCAAGGACTCAGTAGGGCTCTGCTTTTTGGGAAAGGTGGATGTCCGCTCATTCCTGGCCGAGCGCCTGGGCCAGATACCGGGACCCATAGTGGACTATGATAGCGGGGAATGCATCGGCGAACACCCGGGCCTCTACCACTTCACGGTGGGCCAGAGGGAGGGCATTGCACAATACCTAAGCTCGGTGCGCGAGACCCATCGCGCCCGCTACGTGGTCCGCAAGGATGTAGCGACGAATACGTTGTACGTGACTTCGAGCTATCACTGCGGAAGGTACGTTACAGAAGGGGGCGTGCGCCGCCGCTTCGAGATAAGCGATTTGACGTGGACAGTGCCAGATTTTTCTAGACACATAACATGCGAAGGTAAGCGTTTCATTTTTTGCACCATATGCTGTAGGCGTAGGGGCGCCCCTGTTGTCCTTGAAGCTGCGCCACTCCCCTGCTTTGGCACGAGGTGTTATCCAGTTTGACGATCCCAAGAATCCTACTCGCGCGTCGGTCAACCTTGACCGCGCCGACGTTGGCGTGGCAAGCGGCCAGTACGCTGCATTTTACGCAGGCGACGAATGTATCGGTGCGGGAAAGATGGTAGCCAGCGTTACATAACCGCCAGACGTTTAGGTGCCCGTTAGACACCTATTGAATCACGTTGCGCCGAAAATTCCACGGTCTGCGCACGAGAAAAAAATTCGCAGCTGCCTTGTTGATTCAACGAGCTTCTTACTATAAAACAATTGTGCAATTTTTTAGAGCAGGGCGATTTGTCAACGTTTTGAACTACATATCGAGCGGCGGTTGTCAGCAATCGCTGTAACAGTGAGTTTCACGTTATCGTGGTATGGCCGGGAAGCGATCGTAACTTCAGCTGAAACTAGAGACCGAGGAGACTTCTGTGCTTGTCTCAGCACGAATTTGTGAGCTTAGATACATTTTAATCTTACAGTGGGTTTCATAAAAATTAATCGGTGTTGTTGCACAATCTTGTCTTCTTCATCTAGGCACAATGATTGAAACTGAACGACCGTCACGTTGCGCCAGCTTTGTCAAGGTCGGGATCATTACGACGGCAGTGATTGCCTTAATAGGTTCTACAAGCTATCTCATTGTGTATTTAATGGGTATGGGTGGCGGTAGGGCCCCGCAGCCGGGGTACGATATTATCAACTGTGACAACTCTGGCGAATTCGGACATATGCCACGTCCATCCAAAGATGGAGATACAGACCTAATTCCCGAAGGCTTAGAGCATCCAGACCAGGATGCCGATGACATTCTAACCCTAGACAACCCCGATGGCCCGGTACCTATGAGGCGTGCATATAAATTGCCAGGAAGTGCTGATAATACACCAACTAGAAGAGCTAGTGCACCAACACCTGAGCAAAATATCCGTCCACGATCAGGGAGAGCAAGTTTTCCATCAGGAGGGAGAGACAGTGCTCCACAACCTGGAGGAGCCACTGCTCGACACCCTAGTGGGAGTGGTGTTCCACATCCAGAGGGGCCTAGTGAAGCTATGGGCAACACAGATTCAAGAATTCCAATTATTGGCGAGCATCTGAGATATCCCGGTAATTTCACTCCACTGGCAGACGTAACTATGGACCGGAGTTTGGCAAAATTGCATCGTGGAAAACGATGCATCGAACTGCGCCCGGAAGAAAACACGAACCCCGATGTAATACAGGCTACTAAGTGGACTGGCTATCATATATTTGAACCCAAAGCGCCGAACACATTGTTCTGCAGTGTGATCATGAAAAACGGGCTTACTGCAGTCATGGTAAATTCTGAAGTTGTGAAAAGCTACGTTGTGGTTGAGAAGACACGCTACGGAAACATACTGTCGCTTTTCACGGTAGACGGTAAGGGAGAACCATCGGTGACGCAACTGGTCGAAGCTAACGGCTCGAAGAAGTATTGCCTGAACGATAACTACTGGGGTCTCATGAAAGGCATTTACGAACTCAATAAATATACCCTACCTGTTGCAGCCAAGGTCTAGTTTACGCCGAGCGCTGCGCATGATTTTGTCCACAACGCAGTAGGCAAACTTTCAGTGTATACCATACGTGCTAGCCACTGCGCTACCATCTCGTGACGCATGATAGTATGCATCGTGATGGTGTTGCGCGCAACCGTGGCTGCACAGAAAGCACCGTCTCCTCTCACGACCATGCGGATTTTCCACAGATATAAGGCCCTGTTGGAGCATCACAACCCAGCGTAGAATGTTCAAACGATGCTTCGTGACGAACCAGCAGCATTGCTAGACCTTTGTGGCAGATCACAGCCACACCACCGAACAACACTACCGGAACATGCGAATAATTTGCATCCGTTATTCATTTATGGTTGAAATACGATCTGTTACGAGTGCGCCTAATGCGAGTACTGTATATGTTTAGCACGTGCTCGCTGCTGCAGCATCCGCCGTATGGCCTCCTTACTGTCGACAGGGGGCGCACCCTGTCGGTTCGCCGTGTAGTTAGACCACTGCCCACCCGCGTTGGAATAGTAATCCATGGGATACGTGCTCTTGTAGACCTCCTTGTTGTAGGCGACGTACGCTTCATAGGGGTTCAGCAGCGGTTTCCCGAACCCTGCACCCCAGTCGATCGACAGCCTGGGGCAGCCGATCTGTATGTACGCGTCCACGTCAAGCTGCGCCAGCTTGTCGAGTGTAATTTCGGACAGCAGTCTGACGTGGTACTCAATCTGGGCTGTTTCCAACATCTTTGTGAGATTTTTGAGGATGTTGATATTACCCTGGCGTCCCAGCATGCTAAGTACCAGACAAACTGACTTCGCGCTCTTGGCCCTTTGTATTGCGTCACTTCGAGTGGCGTGCAGCGTTTCGAGATCGTAAGACTCCCCCGACATCGTTTTGTTGAATGGGTCGAAGCGAAAGGCGCGTATGCCGGGGTTCTGTATAAGGGCGCTCTCCAGGTGAAACCTGCCATCAGCTACGAATACTATCGTTCGTTCGCCCTCTTCATCAAATGTGTCTACATGGGCCGGATCCGATTCCTGGTTCGTACCTACATGCACGTCGCTAGAGTCGTTTCCGCCGTTTGCAGTTGCTGGTGGTTCCATGCAACAACGGCTGCCGTCATCCGTGTTGCTTCGACAGCAGCAATTATCACCGCTGGACGTAGATTTGGCCCTCTCGTTTCGCTTGAACTCGCAACCGTGCAGCACTGGCGACGTGCATCCCAGCACCTCCCCCGGAAGCAGCGGGGTCACCTGCGGCACTATCACCTTGTTGTTGAAGTATCCGACTTCATCGATGATTGTGGCCGCCTCGCGCAGCACGTTTGAGTACTGTATGGTCCCCATGAGGAATATCTTGTCGTGCGGCTTAAACACCTGCATGACCGCTTTCGCGAGATAGTGCGGCGAGAAGTTGATTTCGACGAACACGTATAGGCACTGCACGGCTACCGAAGTTACGGGCACAAGACATGAGTGGCCGTAATGTATGATGAGGTCGCATCCGATGGTCTGTGCGGTGATGTCGTCGATGCAGCAGGCGCCATAGGTCACGTCGGCCATGATGATGACCTCGTCTATAGACTCGCAGAAGAACTTGAGTATGTCCGCGATTTCGCACCCCCAGGACAGCAGCCCCTCTGGCATCTGTAGCGCCACCTTCTTGGCGCGTAGCTGTCGCACCTTGGCGACACTTTTTGCGATTTCGAAGTTGTAGTTCGACGGCAGTGCCTTCTTCACAATTTGGCCCATGAAGTCGGCTTCCGTAGCCGTGTCCTTATTGCCCGAAGGGGCTGTGTCTACTACATTTAAATCCATGGCTTCCATTTAAACAGATAGCGGCGCCTTATGGCATCACTGCCAATTGCTTCTCGGCTACATCGTCTGACGCTCTTGGCGTCGTTCACAACACTAAACAAATATATTGCCAATCCAAACTGCGATTGTCAATACAAAGGTGTTAATTGCCACCCATCACAATATACACATGTTGCGTTATACGTGCCACTAGACAATCCCCGTTTGGGAGTATGTTTCGATATCACGGCGACAACGACCGTTTTCACCTCTCCAAAGACATATTCTACCGCTTGGATCGGTATGGACGTTGCTGTGTATAGCTTCCGTTTGCGGGGATACTCTGCCGCGAATGCATTGCGCGTCACGACACAATGAGGGGAAATGTTTATTCTGTAAATTGTGTTGTTACTGCCTAGCTCTCACACATGCGTTGGCATTTCATTAGAAGTTTCACGCCTATGTGCCTGGAAATACTACTTCCGCCATTGGTAGTAGACATGGACAAGCAATGTAACTTCAACGCAGAATAACCATGAGCTCTACGTCGCAATGAACGCAGAATACGCGCCGTTTTCAGTGCACATCTATGATGTGTATCTTGAAGATTGTATAACGGTGATCTACTTTGCGGTAGACAATGGTGGAACCGCTGCCACAGTCGGCAGACAGTATTCCGTTTTGCCGATTATTAGGCGGTGAAGACGCTGTCTAACACAGCTTTATACCGTTTTTCACGATGAACTGAATTGTGGATGTATTGTTACCATTTCAAGTCCGTGTCTTTTCCGACAAGTGCGTACAGCGACGCAGCCCGTCGGCGCAGTGCGCATGCTGAATTCGCGCGCGCACCAAGAGGCTACACAGCAAAGACACACATACGCTCGTCTCATCTTGTTTGTGATCACTTTAACCCTCTGACGTCGATGTGCGGCAGTCTAGGGCACCTTCTTCTGTATACACATCTCTTAGACTCCGCTCAGGCAGGAAGACTCACTGTGGCCACGGGGGCCGTGTAAGACAACAAGGAAAATATTTTCACGACCATAAAAACTTGGTTGTGGTATTTTGGACATCGTGTGGAGGATATAGGACCGAGTTTACTGGATTGATGATGTGTCGGTCGCTACCCGTATCAGAGCCTAGTATGCACAGTGTACAGTGCATTACGTGATGCATAATGGCTCGCTATGGCGGTCCGTATAAACGCACTTCGTCGCCGTTCGTTCACTCGCATCGGTGCGATTACGTCGTTGACGCCGACAGGCGGAAGGTGTACTACCGTGCGTCTTCTGTGAGCCCTCCTCCACCGGCTGCATACAAGCCACGCTTGAAAAATGTTAGTGCTATTGACTCGTGGGAGGCGTTCGAGAACGCTCTTGACGCCTACGGGAAGGGTGGCTTGGGTGGCATAGGCGATGAATGCGACGCGGCGACGGCGGCGAGCGCACGCTCAGTGGAGCCGTCAAAGGACTTCTCATACTACGACTACGATAAACACATTTCTTACGAGCATGAAGACAATACCTATGATTCCATTTGGGCTGATGACTATGTGGGTGACCCCCCGCACGTCACCCTGGAGAAGGTGGAACCCCGCAGTCTGCTTGGCATGCTGGGTTCCGGTCTCAACAGAGCGGACTACATATGGATTCCCGGGAGCGCAGTTACGCAGTTGCAAACTACAGTGACGGGTCATTCTCCATGCCAAGCTGAAGATTTCCAGGAGGCTATTGACACGCATGCATCGCGTATGACATATGTCGAACCGCAACTAGAATTGCTACCCCGAGTTACAGCGCCTGCGGTCCGAGATACGCATGAGGATGTTGGATTGTCACCGACTCAGCATGCAGATGAAAATGATAAACCCAAGAGGTCTCCAGTTCGCAGCCTGTTCGGCGCGATGCGCAATCTCAGGCGCCGCGCCAATAGCATATCGCAAGATTCCGCCATCAGCGGAGACACGTCCCAGGGAACAATCCACCGCTCTGGCAGCCGTTTGGGCGAGCGCCTTCGGCAGCGCGACTTAGGTGTGCGTGGCAAAAGTGACGATGCCACTCCATCGGGTGATACAACGCAACGGACCGGCAGAAATGTAGTCCACTTAGAGGACGTCGATGCGTCGGCCGCTGAGCTTCTGAGGGGAGTTATACCCGGAACCACGCCAGCGCGGCAGTCACACGCAGCTGCCAGTGCCAAAACGCCGCGTCCGAAGGATGACGTGCCACCTCCATTTGCAATCCCCAAATCAATTTTACGCAAGATCGTGCCGAAAGAGTTCAACATAGACGACCCACACAAATCTAAACTCGCAGAGAAAGTGGAAGAATCGGATGTTACGAGAGAAGCGGCGAGGAGGCCGACATCGCCGCCTGCTTTGACTGAGGCCTTGGAAGCCGATGTGATGCCGATTGAAGCAGGCAGGGTACATAACATGTTCCGCATGCGCTACGATATCCGTCATGCTAGAGATCATAAAGTCAGAGTCATTGGCTCTGAAAAATCGGAAGATGCTGCCGGGTCCACCCTGGGACCTTTACGTGACGCTGTGGGCGAAGGGCGGCAACTATCGCGGCTATTTAAAAAATTACATAAGCGTGATCTTTCGTCAGAAAAGGTCCCGAGTATGTCGTTGGATATGCCGGCCTTTGTCATGGCTTCGAAGGCCGCAGCTCTAGCTGTAGAGAGCACTGAACAAGAACAGGGACAGGATGAGGAGATGCCGTCGAACATCGAGATCTCGAGGATGATATCTTCAAAGGCGATTGGCCAAGGAGATGCTGAGTTCGGCAGAAAGATGACTATGTTGTGCTCATTGGCTGAGGATCGTGACGACCTCATTGAGGACAGTGATGGCGAGCATCTGGCGTCCGGCGACGTATCACCGGTGTATGATGATTTGATACGTCCCGTAGATATACCGGCGCCGAAAAGCATTGCGGCTGAGCTTATAGAGGCGTCAGATGCCGGAAGTGTGCGCTCTGGGCGTGCTGCTATTGAGGGCGCTGGGACGCTGCGGGATACCCTTGAATCCGCTCCCCTGATAAAGCCGCCTTCCTTATGGATTCGGTCAAGGGAATCTGGTATAATAGAAGAGATCATGATGCCCAGGTCAATGCGTGATCCATTCTCAGTGATAAAACCTGACGAAGCCCCTCTTCTTTCCCCCAAATGTTCACGTGTTTCAGTCAAGGCGGCATCCGAAAGTGGTTCGGAGTTACCAACGAAGATTTCACTCTCCGCCGTCTCTGTGTCGCGAGCTCCTTCCTTACAGTATGCTGCTGGGTCTTTGCGTACCTCCATTACTGGTGGATCACAACATGATGAATCTGTACATTCTGGAACTACATCCCCGCCAATAGAGACCGATGAACATGTTCCCTGGGGTGCCCCTGTAGTCGATACCCCGATTGATAAACCTTCTTCGAGGAGCGTGAGTTCTGTGACGCCTCCCGTGGTTGAAAGTGAAATGGACATTGCTGATGTGGATGTGCCTCTCTCTTCTAGGACATCCTCCAAGCAGCCATCCATCCCAAGCTCACGAAAGTCGTCTGTGCCTCCTTCAGTCGCCGAATCCGACTCAGCTCGGTCGGCCAGTGAGGCGAGTGCTCCCATAGCGCGTCAAGATGTCCCGGTTGTGCCTGCTTACCAACGGATCTGGCGTCTGTATACTCATCAACCTGGCAAAATGTCCACAGCCGGATCCATATTGAGGGGCTACACCGACAGTGCACTTCGTGCCGCTGGGAGTCGGCCGAGGCCTGAAACCGCTGACCTGCTGTCGGAATATGTTGCCAGAACACGTCCAGAAGCGCGCGAAGACGAACAGCCCAGTGAATCAGAGGCAACTAGCCGTGTTGCCAGCATTGAGAAGAGCGACTCTTTATCTCGGGGTCCTTCGTTACGTCCATCATCTGAAGATTATGGAGATTCGCCCGATGATATGACCGAGGCGCCTGGCGGAGATCTGCTATCGCCTCGTGAACCCTCTTCCGAAGATCAGCCTACTTCCACTTCGGAGTCGGAAGCAGTGTCACGGCTGGGCTCTAAGGCTTTATCAGAAACCCCATTGGAGCCGGTGACTGAAGAGGACGCACCCGAATCTGAACATGAAGATGAAATTTTGGATAAACCTGAAGAAACTGCTGACGTAGAGCCATTAGCTGAAGAAGAAGCGCCCAAATCGGATCATGAAGACGAAAATTTGGATGAACCTGATGAACCGGTAGTCGAAGAAGAAGCACCCAAATCGGAGCACGAAGACGAAATTTTGGACACGCCGGAAGAGCTGGCAGATGTGGAGCCGGTAGTCGAGGAGGAGGCACCCAAATCGGAGCATGAAGATGACATGTTGGATAAACCGGAAGAACCGGTCAAGGTGGAACCCGAAGTTGAAGAGGACGTGGGTGCTCCAACCGATGTTCCACCCACCCAGGATGATGAGCCCGCCCTCCCTGAAAAGCAGGCTGAGGAAAGTGACTCTGAGGGCAAGAAAAAGAAAAAGAAGAAAAAGAAGAAGAAACATAAGAAAGAAAAAATAGACAACATAGAGGACCGCCCTCGGCCCCTCCGCCACCTGGTGGACAAGCAGCTGAAGGACGGCTTTTCAGCCACCGTCTATATCGTGACATGTGGGTTTCTGCGTCTATGTGGTTTATATTTTTGCAGCGAAGAAGAATGCGATATCGACATTGTGTACGGTCAAGTTCGACTACGAAAAAGATCGCTTGATTCTGGAGACGCCCGCCAATGTGTTCGACATCGATGCGTCCAAGGTGGTGGCCGAGGAAATCCCCACGCTACCAGGCGCGCCAGTTCTACTCAAACTGACCGTCTACGGCAAGCGATCGTCTGCCATTGTCATACAGAGCACTTCGGAGCGCAACCTGGACGTCCTGGGTGGCACGGTGGGCTGGGTGAATGCCATCCCCCACGCAGGCCAGGCCGTTGAGGCGGAGTTTGACAACGCTTTGCAAGGCGCGAGAATTGGCGACCCCAATCACATGTCGGATGCTATGATCGTGACCCGGCAGCACTCGGTCGATGCGCTGATGCCGAAGAATGCTGGCCAACGTCCAAGTCAAGACGGAGGCAGCTCTGTACAGAAGCGCAAACAGTCATCCCATACGTCAACCGACTCTGCTGAAAGCCTGGGCGGCAAACCGTCTTTCTTCCGGAAAGTTACGTCGCGTAAGTTTTTCTAATGCCACTGCTCATTTTCCCGCAGCCACTTCGCAGCCCGAGGATGCCGGAACGCAGAAGCGCGGCCTACTGTCGAGGATACTGTTGCGGAAACGCATAAACAAGGAGTCGCGGTGATCTCCCTCGCCAAAATGGGCTTAGGTTGGCCGGCTGTATCTCACACGCCTTGGACGCCGCGCGACAGCGCGCGCCCGTGAGGATCTCTATTTATTATCACAGGGGATTAAGGTTTTCACGCTGTACACTGGACGGACTTCTTGGCCCGCTGGGGAGTGGCGGGGTCTGCCGGCCACGCCGGAGCTAGGCGTGCATGATTCCCTACTGCCTTTGACGTATATTTTTGACCGTAGTGACGGCTGAGTGCTCGCCGTAGCGTCGGCAATTTTATAGGTAGTAATAGTGTGCAAAACGCTTCGAAATTGACGTTCGTTGGACTCCTTCCTTCTGGGCAGGAAACCGGTATCGTCTGCGGATGTGAGCTCCGTCTATTTCGCCTAGCGCGTCTTTCACGAGCGTGCTTCCGACGCCCTTGTGTTAACAATGCGTGAATCCGGTGTGTGCGTAAAGTACCCCTTGGAGGAGGCGACAAACGTGACGCGCTACTCGTGGTTCGAGCGCAGCAACCTCGTTGCGTACGAGCCAGGTATGCGCCGTCGATTGTCGCAGGATTCCTCCATGTTGCAATCTGCGGGAGATGTGCATAACGAGAATGCTCCCAATCTCCAAAACGACGGGATAGGCTTGTCTCCGGGCCCCTCCGCCACCCAGCGCGAGGAGAGCTCTGCGGTCAACGGCGCCGGCTCGAGGGGCGGGTACCGCGTGGAAGGTAACGGAGAAAGAGACGGTCAGTTGGATCAGAACGCTACGAGTTCGAAACTTCCCACCGTTTTGGTGGAACACCGGTGGTCGTTCCTCTTCTCGCGGTCCTCGCGTACGGGCAAGTCTCCTTCGGCCCCTTTGTTCGAAAAGAAAGCCAGTGACTCTGGCACGCCAGGCGCAAAAGCGACCGATGTTGCGCCGCTGAGACCCTTAGGCAAGCCCAATAAGCAGACCGGAAATGAAGAAGATCCGTCCTCTGCGGATGACGATAGCGACTCTTCCAAACACAAGGTTACCACAGTGCAGGCAGCATTCAATTCGCCTGGGTTCGGCGGCCGTTCTTCCGTTCTGAGATGTCTTGTAATGGACCTGGAGCTGCGTTTTGTCGCCCGAACGCAGATGAATTACTCATTCCACCTGTCTGCAATATCTGAGCGCGTGGTTCACGAGGGGGTGTACCACATCGTTAATTTCACTCGCGGGTGGAACCCGGTGATCACAAATGAGCCCATTGACATGGACTGCGTGTTACGATTGCTGCAGGTACTAGATGATGTTGTAAGGGACTCTGTGATGGAGAAGCAAGAGCAATCCGAAGGCACAGCGGACAAGGAGCAGGATGAGCCGGCACGCAAATTCCAGAAGGTTGCCGGGGACTCCGCCTTCGAATCACACGCGCGTTCAGCTAGCGTGTCTGGAAATGTTGCCGCCCAAAACTCAAGCGCGGATAGGGACGGAGAAGGGCGAAGTACTATGCACATAGGAGCGGAGCCGTTGTCAAACACTATACCTACAGATGCCACACGCACTGATACCCCGAAGCCGTCTACGCTGGGGTCCGTATTTTTGTCGCTGTCATCGGCCCGCGGCAGGTTGTTGCAAGGAAGTCGCGCTGCTGCGTCCGGGCAATTTGATGCTGAGGACCGTCTTTTCGCTTTGATCAGAAGGTCGTCGGGGGTGGATTGCTCCGATGCGCTCATATCCGGCGTCGTGGACTCTCTTATATGCGCTTACACCAACGAGGGCGGTGTAAAAGGGACGGGTGGCTTCGTCCGACGCCACGTCCGTGTTGAAAGGAGATTAGTCCAGTTCGAACAACCACCACGCCCGCTTTCCTCTGATGCGGATGGCGGTCATCCGGCAGCGTACTGCGACGGCTCAGAGGCTGTTGAACGTATGTGTCTCTGCTGCTCGAAGTACGCAGTGTGCCCAACAGTGTTCAACGAGTACATCATCTTCGGAGGCACCCCGGCGATTCCCCCGGATATGGAGCTAGGTAGGTTAACTGTCGCGCTTACATCTTTCACCACATCGTATAGGTCTCTGGATCTTTGACTCCCCTTTCACACGCGTAAAGATGCGCGACGTGCCCGTTGTCTACCACCAGCAAGTGCAGTATTCCACCAAGAAATACATCACCGTCGCGGATTTGAACGATGCTATCCTGTCTACTCGCGTACTGAACTTAAGAATGGAGTTCTGCGGTCGCGGAGACTGGGTTTTTGATGACGGTACTCTCCCGTTGAACGAAACCGACAAGGCTCGTACCATCTACGGCAAGGTCGTGTCGGCTGACGACCTGATGCAGCTAGAATTTTCCGGAACTGTGAACCAAATCGCCAAGAAATTCTTCGTTTTACAAAAGGCCTTCCTGTCTACAGGCAAGGGTGAGTTTCTGCCGTTCCTCGTATCATTCCTTGAACAGAAGGAACATCGCGCCTCATCTTCATGGACCCATACGCCAACATCGACGCCAGCATCTGCGACGACAAGGATTACGTCGACCACCTCATCGACTTGCTGACTGTAATGTACAAGGAGAGCCCTGGCAACTTTTTAGCGTCGTGCAACGGCTACTACTATCACGTGGGTTTTGTTAGGCGTAGTTTTGTGCATGGCATTTCAGGAGGACGGCTTCCTGCCCGAGAGCATTGACGTGCAGAGGCTGCGTAACACACTTTTCAACCTCGAAAGCAGCCACTACCGCACGGCCATGTTGGCCGACATTGTGTCGGACCAGAAGCACGTGCTCGGTCTGTCTCAGAAGATGCCGTTCTTGACCAAGTGCAAGCGGGTGATGATCGGCAAGTCACGCATTCACGGCTACGGGCTGTTCGCTGTCGACAACATCAACAAGGGCGACCTCATTTTGGAATACGCTGGTGTGGTCATCTCCGACCACATGGCGGACATCCGCGAAACCATATACGACCGGTTGCTATGCGGCAGCATCTACATGTTCAGGCTGGACCTGAACCACATCATCGACTCTACGTTCTACGGCAACTGCGCGCGCTTCATCAACCACTCATGCGACCCCAACACCGCGACTACCAACTTCAGCTACATCGACGAGGACGGTTTCGGCGCCCACGTCGGCATATACGCGTCGAAGGTGATCCCGGCTGGAGAGGAGATTTACTACAATTACCGACTGTCTGCAGGCTCGGCCAACCGCGAGGTGTGCCACTGCGGTTCCTATATGTGCACGGGATACATGTCGCTCGTCAAGTAACTGGTGGCTGTGCAGGTCACCGCTGCCTGGCGAACGCGCATCCCGAACGGTGGACTACCGGCCTCGTGGCCTTATAATGTTATGGAGGTAGCTGCGCCTTCTACAGTAGCTTTGTATCTACGTCTATAACGCCGTGCGTGCGTAGTCTGATAAGCCGACGGAAGCCTGTAAGTGAGCTGTGTTTTATCGAGTGATGTGTAACGTTGGCAACTTGTCTAAAAGCCAGTAGACACAATGCTCCGGCAGTTTACGGCGTCCTGTGTCAACACCGTGTATTAAACAACTGTTTAAAGTAGAATTTAGGTCATTAAACACTGCTGGCGAGGCCGCGACAGAGGCACCCCATGCGATTCGTCGAGTGGAATCACGGCGTCGTGCGCGCTCGCCAGGTCGACAGCAACTATTTCACAGACGAATCGCGACATTGTAGCACGTAAATTTCTTTACCGAGTTTCTAGGCGTACCGAGCTCAGCGCGCCTGCTCGGAATCTCGAGCACCGTACGCGTCAAGGCGCCCCGCCCGAGAGGCGCGCCGCAATTCGGCTCTGCTCCCGGCACGGCTGGCGCGTCTTCCGCTGCCACTGTCCGACGGCCGTTTTCGCAGATGGCGGGAAAGAACACGCGGATGCAGCAGTGGCTGCAGTACCGCGTTAGGGTTACCATCAAGGACGGACGGAAGTTCGTAGGCACGTTCATCGCCTTCGACAAGCACATGAATGTCGTCCTTGCTGACTGCGAGGAGTTCAGGCTCACCCGGGGCAAGGGCCCCGACAAGAAGAAGGTGGTAAGTTGCAACGTCCGGCAGCCCGCGTCACATAGTGCAGGAAATCAAGCGCACGCTCGGATTCATCATGATGCGCGGCGAGAACATAATCTCATTCACGGCAGAGGCACCTCCAGCCGCTCCCATGGTGCCGTACGCGATGGGCGGACCCGGGAAGGCGACGCCCGCCGGCCGTGGTACGCCCATCGGCGTCCCGAGACCAGGCCCGCCGGGCATGCCTCACTTGCCCCCCGGTGCAATGCCACTCCAGGCCCCCATGCGTGGTCTTGTGGGACCTGCGCCGATGCAGATGGCCCCTCAGCAGGGCCCTATGGGTACGATGCCCCCGCGGCCCATGTAAAGTGCCTAACCGCAGCCCTTGTGGGCGTAATTGATCATGTTAGTTTAATGGTGCATTTTGGGGTAGTTTCGCGGCCGATCAACCGTCTATATACGGCGTTTCATGCGCTGTAACGGCGATGCAGCTGGTGTTAGAGCTCGGAAGCGAGTAAACGGCGCCCAACAGTGGCATTTACACGTGCAACAATATTAAGTTGTGTTGTTCACTTAAACCGTTAGACATCACATCGATGCAACACAGCTGTAAGAGTACAATTCCAACCAAAATGCTTCGGGTGGAGAAGTAGGAGTATTAAATACCCGTTTGTAGCAGTGGGGGTGCGGCATGGCGGCCGTCAACGCTCACGATGAGTCGTGGTCGAAAACCGCATTGTACACGTCGTCGTAGCTCTCCACGTATATCACATTGAGCTTGCTAGTGACGCTCTCTTCAAGGTCCAGAACGTCGGGTTCGTTGGTTTTCGGCAAAACCACGGTCGTCACGCCCTCACGGATTGCGGCGATAAGCTTTTCCTTGATACCGCCGACGCGCAACACCTTGCCCGATAGTGTGAGCTCCCCGGTCATGGCCAAATGAGGCTTGATGCGCTTCTTGGCAGCTGCGGAAATGAGCGCAGAGGCCATGGTGATGCCACCGCTGGGACCGTCCTTCGGTGTGGCACCCTCCGGGACGTGGATGTGGATATGAGCCTCGTCCAGGAAGAGGTTGCGCGGCTGGTGTTTGCGTATGAATGTCTTGCAGAAGGTGAGCGCGATTTGCGAGCTCTCCGTCATGACATTTCCCAGGTGTCCCGTTACCTTCATCGTGCCGTGGAATGAGCCGAAGCTGGATTCCTCACTTGGTTCTTCAGCAGTTTCAGGAGTTAACTTGGAGGCAGGTGTGCGATTGGGTTCCACTAAGTTGCCGCGTTTGTCGACCATTTGTCCGCGGGCCTCGACATACATGGTTGCGCCGCCGGCGTTGGTCCACGCCAGTCCCATGACCACGCCGTAAGGCAGCGGGTAGGGGTGGAGCGCGTCTCTGGTGTAGATTGGTACTCCCAAATACGACTGCAGTTTGTCCTCTTCAATCACCAACTTCTCTATACCCGAAAGCACGGAGCTCACGGACTCATCGTCAGAGCTCGCTTCAGCGGACTGATCGCCGCACTCGCTGGAAGCAGCTGTGGATGCTATATCGTCTGGGTTTGCAATAGCAATTGCGCCAGATACCTTCGCATCCTCACTGGCACCAAGCACAATTGGGGATTCCTCCGCACTGTTTGCACTGGCCGGCTCCAGTTTGTCGGCATTGTCCATGACAATGTTGAGCGCAACCTTCCGGTATATTTTCTCGATACAGCGCAGCAGACTACGCACTCCCGCTTCGCGGGAGTAGTGTTCGATCACTGCCTGTATGGTTGAATCGGGCATCTCAATGACGTCAGGTTGGAGCCCGGTGGACTTGAGGGTCTGCGGGATCAGGTAGTTCTTGGCGATCTGGAGCTTCTCCTCAGGGAGGTATCCGGGTATGTTGATGATTTCCATGCGGTCAATTAGCGGCGCTGGGATGGTGTCCACGGCGTTGGCGGTGCAAATGAAGAGCACATGCGACAGGTCCACCGCAATGTCCAGGTAGTAGTCGCGGAAGTACTCATTCTGCGAAGGGTCAAGAACCTCCAGTAGCGCCGATGCGGGGTCACCCCTGGCGTCCCTACCCAGCTTGTCGATTTCGTCGAGCACTATCAGCGGGTTCATGGAGCCCGTGTACTTCAAAGCCTGAACGAACTTACCGGGCAGCGCGCCGACGTAGGTGCGCCTGTGGCCGCGAAGTTCGGCGACATCGAACAGTCCACCAAGTGAAAAGCGATAGAGCTTCCGTCCCAGTAGTTCGGCCACGGAAGTGGCGATGGATGTTTTCCCCACCCCCGGAGGACCAGCCAGGCAGATGATCTTGCCGTTGGCTGTGCCCTTCAGTATGGACGTAGCCATGTACTCCATAAGCCTGGTTTTTACGTCCTTCAGACCGAAGTGGTGCTTATCCAGAACCTGTCGTGCGTTGCGTATGTCGCGCGAATCCTTTGTGAACTTGCCCCAGGGCATGCCGAGCAGCCACTCGAGGTGCGACCTGCATACGCCAAACTCAGCGCTAGAAGTTTCAAGCTGCTTGAGCCTGCTGATGCCACTTTTGTAGCTTTCAGATGCTTCCTTGCTCATGAACTTCTCAACCTTGGCAAACTCGTTTTCGAAGGCCTCGATGAGCGTGTTCTTGTCGTCGCTGTCCAGGCCAAGCTCCTTGCGGATCATCTTCATCTGCTCCGTGAGGATGTACTTGCGCTGTTCGCGCGACATCTTCTCCTCAATCTGCGTCTTCACCTCAGCCTGCACCTTGGCGAATTCGAGGTCATTCTTCGCGACCTCAAGCACCATGGCCAGCCTCTTGTCGATGTTGACCTCCGCAAGTATGGCCTGCAGCTGGTCTCGTTTAGCCATTGATATCCCTGCAATGAGGTCGGCGATGCGCGACGGATTGTCTAGGTTGTATATGCGGATGATGTGGTCGAAGTGCTCCTTGTAGAAGTTGGAGGTCTTGATGAGCTCCTTGACCGTAGCGATGATTTCTAGATGCAGCGCCTTGGTGACACGGGAGTCCTCGAAGTTCTTGAGGTCGTCCTCAACGTACTCGATGGAAACCCTGTATAGCGGATAAGACTCCGAGGGTTCGGCATGTATGCCGGTCATCTTGATGCGGCGGTGCGGCATCAGTATGACCTGGCCTCCCTGATGCGATAGATGAGGTGTAATCGTAATCACCTGTAGTAGGGTGCCGTATACGTGCATCTCTTCATAAGATTGCACCGCTCCAGCGTCGTCCCTCAGCATCGGCATTGCAACATTTTGGAAGTCGCGTGTATGCTGTGTCTTCGTGAGGAACCCACCCACATAGTCGTTGCCAGCGTTCTGCTTCACGTTTGAGAGGCACTCCAGTACTGCCTGATCCTGTATCTGCAGCACCTGATAGAATCCCGGAAATGCAGGCTTCTGGAACATGGCCAGTGCCGGCAGAGCATGCAGGCGGCTGGTCGAGTGGAAGTGCAATATGGGCAGTCTAAACTGCACAGGGGCATTGCCATCGTATTCAGGCGTTTCTACTTTATCTTCACCCTTGTCGCCGTTGTTTGCCACTACGGTGCTGTCCTCTCCCACGGTTTGGGTGTCGATAACAGCAAAGGCGCCATCATGATCGGTTTGAATCGATTCACCCACCGCAATGAGCTGTTGATCCACGGTTTCACCGTCAGTAGTTTCCTCATTCAGTACAGATTCATGCGATGCCTCAGCTTTCGGGTGTTCTTCATGCACGGCTCCATCTGCTGGATGGGCCTCGTTGGATGTGGCGGCCTCAGTGCCATTGGATGCCGACTCTTCAGTCTTTATGGGTATGGGCAAACGCCTTATCTTACCACCAGTGGCATTTCGTCCTATCCGTTGCTTCTCCACCTTCTGGCCACGTATAACCTGGAATATAATATTCGGTTGTCCATTAAAAATGCTGCCGATAACCCTTGGAGGCTGATCTATGTCCTCCGACTTGCCATCCTCAGCGCTGCTGCCGCTAGGGTCGGAATCCTTTTCCCCACTCCCTCCATCACGTTTCTTTGAGGAGAAGTGGCGCGCATTGCGTGCGCTAAACAAAGGGGAGAATGTGCCTTCCCTTCGACTTGAGCCGGGTGAAAGTTGACCGCCCCGCAAGCTACAGTTCCAGCATATTAGGGCGGATTCCACATTAAATCCACATCTCGAATTGCCGCATACGAGTGCCGGAACGTCACGCTGGCAGCGAGCAACGCAGTGCCGCACGGAAGCGCTTTGGCAGCGCTGCATCAACCACATTGCTCCGCCAAGTTACGTTGTCCAATACTGGCAACTGAAACTAACAGTAATAAACAAAATTCCATCCGGGGCACCGGGCCAGAGATACCGCTTGAAAGGCCTTTTTACCTGCCCAGAGCTGTAGGTTCATGGAAGGCTGCTAGGCGTAAACAAGCTAAAAGCACCGCAAGTTGCTGCGCTGCTATGACATAGAATGCAGTTTATTTGCTATGTGATAGAGTCAGCTCGACCGGCCGATTCAGTGGATAGCATGGGGAGCGCTGCACATCTAGGGTGTAGCCTACGCAAACTCAGCGGCAATGGTCGCGGCGGAGCCGGAAGGCATCGACATTCGTCACTTATTCATGTATAGTGTAGCTATATGATCACTACTGCGATATATTATTCCCTGTTTCTAACAAGCGCACGATTATCAGTTCGCCACTACGGGCAGCCGGCGTACGCATCGATCATAGCCGAAGACTTCGACGATTCACGTTTTTTCGATTTCTTTGATGCGTCTCTCGATGTCGTAACACTGGCGCTCCAGGTTGACTATGCTCGCCTCGTGGAAGGATAGCACCTTTGCCACTGTGTAGAGCGGCTCCGGCTGGCAGGCAATTGCGGTGTTCTCAGCCTCCTTGTTGGCGTGAGACAGCTGCTCACTGAGCTCTTGGAGCTGCCTTGTCATGCTCTGCACGGTGTTGTAGTTGGCGCTGCGATTCCGGACGTTTTCCAACTGCGACTGCAGCGAGCGTTCCATCGCGTCGAGGATGTTAATGGAGGCATTCTGTTCCTCCTCCATCTGCTTGATGACAGATTCCATATTCTCGTGCTTTTCTATGAGTCCTTTGTATTCATTTAGCAACTTGTTTAGCTTGCTGGACTGGAGCACCAGGTTCCGGTCGATGCCGGCGACCTTGTCGGCGAACTCCTTGAAGGACTCGATTTTCTTTGACAGCCTGCCTTCCCAGTTGTCTAGCAGTTCCATGACATTGTGCTGCTCTGTAACGCTGAAATCCAGCTCGAACTTTGGCTTCTCCTTTTCTTCTTCCTTCGGTGCTGCGCTTCCGTCGGCGGGTGTGGTACCACTAGTTGTTGTCGAGGCACCAAATGTAAATTTAGGCCCCTCCGTTGTAGACGGCTTGGTGGACGATTGCGCATCGCTCGATTTACTGTCTGCCTGTGAATCCTTAGTGGCAGAGGAGCCGAAAAGTCCACCGGTGGTGGAGGGTGCTGTCGTACTTGATGTGCCGCTCGTGGTGCTAGCACCGAAGAGGTTTGAGCTCGGAGTAGTTCCCGTAGTTGAGCTTCCTGTAGCGGACGTAGTGGAAGTCGTAATAGTGCCAGCTGTTCCAGATGTCGTGCTAGTTGTCGTATCCGTCGTTTTACCGAATATATTGGTAGTGCTGGTTGTGGCCGGCGTAGCCTGTGTGGAGCTTGTGGTAGTACTACCGAACAAGTTCGGCGCAGTTGATCCCAGACTCTTCGACGCGCCAGATTCCCCCGTAGTGGTTGAAGTGGCAGCACCCAATGTGGTAGTTGTGCCAGATGTTGTGGTAGACCCTGAGGCGCCGAACAGTGACGAGGTGCCCGTCGTTCCAGGTGTCGTGGAGGATGCTGATGTACCGAAAATCGATGACGTTCCGGTTGTTGCTGGCGTTGTGGACGTTCCCGAACTACCAAAAATTGACGATGTGCCCGTTGTTCCCTGCGTTGTAGAGGATCCGGAATTGCCGAAGAGAGATGATGTACCAGTCGTGCCACTGGTGTTTGTAGTACCAAACAATCCTGCACCCTGTGTGCCAGTGGTACCGGAGGTAGGACTTGTGCCAGATGTAGTTGCTGCCGGGGTAGAAGACGTGCCGAAAATGTTTGTCGTAGACGTGCTCGGCGTAGCAGCAGCGCCGCTTGTGCCAGAGGAACCAAACAACGACGTGCCAGAAGTTGTCGAGCTGCTGGCCGATTGCCCGAAAATGTTGTTCGTCGTGGTCGATCCAGACGCAGGTTGAGTGGAACCGAATAAGCTAGTCGCCGGCGAAGTGGTCGCGGAGGCCCCTTGCACGCTGGATCCTGGGGCTGTAGTGGTGGTTGCAGTACCAAATAGAGGCGTGCTCGTAGCTGTAGGAGTGGCAGGTTGCGCGGCACCAAACAGGCTTGTTCCAGATGTCGAACCGGTACTAGTGGAACCGAAAATACCTGTGCCTGTCGTCGGAGTTGTAGTCGAGGCACCGAAAATGTTCGACCCGGTAGTGTTTCCAGTTCCGAATATGTTGGTGGTAGAGCTGCCAGCAGTTGTACCTGTTGTGGCCGGTGCCGTCGCAGCGGGAGTGCTACCGAAGATACTGCCACCCGTGTTGGTTGTGGTGCCGAAGATATTGGTGCTGGGTGTTGTTGTAGTGCCCGCGGTGTTTGTTCCAAAGATGTTAGTGTTAGTAGCTGTTGTGGATCCAGTAGTGTTGGTTCCGAAAATATTGGTACCAGTAGACGTAGTTCCGGCAGTGTTCGTGCCAAAGATGTTCGAGCCCGTCGACGTAGTCCCGGTGGTGTTGGTACCAAACAGGTTGCCACCCGTAGCGGGAGTGCTTCCGAAAATGTTGCTACCAGTTGTGCCTGTCGCAGTTCCTGTGCTTCCAAACAAGCCACCTGTGCCCGTGTTAGTACCGAAAATGTTGGTACCAGTAGCACCGGTAGTATTGGTACTGCCAAATAATCCTGTACCTTGTGTACCAGTAGTAGTAGCAGGAGTGGTACTGCCAAACAACCCCGTTCCAGTCGTTCCCGTAGTACCGGTGGTATTAGTGCCACCGATGTTACCAAATAAACCACTGCCTGGTGTTCCAGTTGTACTGGTGGTGCTGGTGCTACCGAACAATCCTGTACCCGTTACCCCCGTGGTGTTGGCAGTGGTGGTACTACCGAATAGCCCTGAACCCGTGGTATTAGCGGTGCCAGCGGTGTTGGTAGTACCGAATAATCCCGTACCCGTTGTACCAGTGGTACCGGCGGTATTGGTGTTACCGAAGAGGTTGGACGAACCAAAAATGTTTGTATTGTCGTTCTGCATTTTTATATAGTCCCTTGGCTATCTTTTTGCACACAACATCCGAATGCCTTCGAAATGGCGCTCAGTAATGCTCTGGCGTCTGGTTGCAGCTAATGAATCCGGTTCTGCAATACCATACCTGGTCTAGACACCATATATTGTTTTTAGCTCGTGATATCCAATCGTAAGCGACAGAAGTTGACCAAGTCCCAGTTTACCGTAGTTCAAAAACCTCCGACGTTGTTTCGGTGACGCGGGTCTTGACACACTGAGCCTTGATAACACATAGCCCAGTTACAGCACCACTGAAACACTGTTTCGCCTTTTGTATACTGTGTAGTGCTTCAGCCGAGTTCCGATCGCCGTATTTGCCGCCAATACAGTGTCACCACTCACGTCTGAAGGCGGTTAGGCACGGTTGCACGTCCGTCAATCCGAGGAGTTATCCCTTCTTGATAGGATACACAGAACGTGTATATAATACGATTAAAGTAGGCGGCGGCCTTCGTTTCGTTTGTCGCGGGTTCGTAAGCATCTCCCCATCACTCCCGTAGATGAGGGCAACACGGCGAGGCTCAAGAGTCCGGGGAACACATTAACGCCACTGTGCCAGTGCTTTATTATTTTCCATTTGAGTGGCGCGGCGGGGAGCTGCCCATAAATTTTTGTTGTCTTCCAGCGCAAGTATCGCCAGCGGAGGAAGGCCGCGATTCCGCCGCTGCGTGTACAGTCGCCCGAAAGAGCGTCCCCTGCCGCAGCGGCCAGCAGACTGAGAGTCTGGCGATATCCGACGTACTGAAGTCGTGTATGCTGTTTTTGGCGGAAGGTGTTGGCGTATTAACACCCGGGCGAGATGGACTTTACTCGGGAGCCGAACAAGGTTGAGGTGGATGAGGAGTTCAAGAACGCAAAATGTCTGAACCTCTGTGAGCTTCACCTCATCTTAGGTGACCAACTGCGTCTTCAGCACAAGCGCAACGAGGCCGCCAAGCAGTGAGTTTGAACATTTCGGTCATCCATACTTCTGCAGGCTCATCAAGACATCTCACGATTATGCTAGTCGTTTCGCTATCCTCAAGTTCAGAAGCGCCATCGTCGACATTCGAACGTAGGTCTTAATGCCTATTGATGTGGCAGCCGTGGTACTTCGGCTGCATTCCCATTCCTGCGGTGAGACCGGTGTCTGCGCTTCACGTACCAGCACTGAGTTGTATTACCAATTTGAACACTTTTTCATATCATGGCATTACATCTTCGTTCTTGTGGTATGCCGCTCATCTATTTACAGCACTATTGAGAGGGATGGATCGTTGCACGAATTCGAGATGGCCAGCTTGGTGAACCTCTTGCCGAAGTCGGTGGACGAGGCAAAGTCGCTGATCCCCTCTCTGAGCCGCATCCCGGATGAGCGTATCGACGAAATCCTAGAGCTGCTGGAGAGTTACCGCGTGCAGTCGTGATCATTCTAGACAGCTTCGATCGGTGTTCTGTCTTGCTGCATTACGGCAATCGTCGTATCTATTCCACCGTGAACAGACAGCGATGGTATGCAACTTGGTGTTATACGCAGCAACGTAACATATTGGGGCACCGTGTCCCGTTTAAACTAGCCTTAATTATATCGCAACAGTATTCGTGCCGATGGCGCTGCCACTTGGCAGGCATTATAATAGTGAGCCGCCCGTCGATACTTACGCACCTAGCTCTTTGTGCAGTGCCGACTGCGTCATGCGTTTGCTGCCGTCGGTCACAGTGCGCTGGAGTGGATGGGTGGGAAGGGCTGCACGTTGCTGAAGACGATCATGAGCCGTTCCCAGGAAACGTAACCCTTAACCAGACCGCGCCGGATGAGGTTCACACAGATGCAGAGCATCTCCTGATCGGTCATGTGCGACAGTTGCCAGCGCACTATTGCCGTCAGCAATTCGACGGAGAGCATGTTGGGCTTCGCCTCGGGTACGTTGGTGTTCCACCAGCTCTTGGCGTTCTTGATGAGGGTGCGATAGGCTATGTACTTGAGCTGTTCCACGCATAGGATTGTCCCCTGCACGGTGAAGACGTCTGAGAACTGGCGGACAGTATCGGTGAAGAGCTTGACATCACCCAATTTGATGGCGCGCACAATGTCGCTGTAGTGGGTGAGCTCATACTTCTCCAGTAGCTTCTGCGGCGGCAGCTTGCCGAGCCCGACGCGGACTACGATAATGCACTCGAGGATGTGCCTGAGCAGATGTTACCAGTGTCTCCAGGAGCAGACACATACTTGCGCATTTTGATCGAGTCCTGTAGTGTATTCGAGAACGCCCAAACTAGATGCTCCTCGGCCTGTTGATGCTGAAGTTGGTGTTAAGGTCGACGTACCTCGACGTATTCCCCCTTTTGCATGTGAAGCTTGCCAAGATAGTAGCGATAGTTGATGAGTGGACCTCTAAGTGCCCTCGAGTAGTTGATGGCGCTGCGTGCATTCTTGTTGGTGCTATTTGGCAGGGAACTTACTGCGATTCGATGGTCTTCAGAAAACCCGCGGCCATCTGCATGTTCCCCAGCTGCAACGTGGATGAGCATGATCCGTGTGTCAAGTGCGTACCTGGATGCACCCCTTGATAGACTGCCCGAGGAGGATAATATAAGCTGGGTGGCGCGTGTCGTCACCCCTAACGCGACCCATCTTGCTGCGGACGTTGCTGAGGACCTGCTTCATGTACTTGTCCTTGTCGCTGTCCTCAGCATTGTCGAATTCGCCGTTGTCCTCCGAAGATCGGTCAGCCTGCGGAGCGTAAGGTCGCCGTTAAAAGTACGCAATCTCACCATGAGGCCGATCTTGCTTATGAGGTTGCATATGGAATGCAGCGCGGGCACCAGCCAGTTGTATTCGACCGTGGTGAGGCCCAAGTAGAGGTCCATCCAGATACTTCAAACACATTAATAACCCATTTATGTAACTAACTCGAGTAGCTTGGACGATCTTTTCAGTATTTCATCCCATGGCGCCAACCCGTTGGAGATGAGTATTGCCACCTTGATGTAGTGGGCAAGGAACAATCGCATCTCAGCGCCATATATGGAGTCGAACTTGCCGAAAGACTTTTGGCAAGCCTGCTCTATCTTGGCCTGCGATACGTTGTGTGCTGTGGCGGCAGATCAGTCCTGTCATACCTCGTCAAATCCTCGGGCACCATTTAGCTGCAGCTTGTCGCATTTGCTTCGTATCAGCACCGCTAGAGCCCTTCCATCACAGTTTTCCACGGCTCTGACAAAATCTGTCGCCCATGATTGGACGTGGGAGTGAAGTGTTGCCGGCATCGTGATGCCTGGCCGTGTCCTATCAGCTCCTGAATAACGCCTTTAACTGACGCCTCTTGTCTATCAGCTGGCACGCCAGAAGATATCACTGGCGAGTTGGATGGCTCATCCGAAGAAGGCTCTGCAAAAGCCGGGGTGTCGCAGCGTCGACGTGCGATGTTAGAAGTGTCCTGTGGTAAAAAGGGCTACGGAAGGCTAAGGAAATCGCCTCTTAATCGGCGTCATAGCGATACTAATAGTACATCTTGCGAATATAGCCTGATGTGTGTTAACGCCGCCCTTCAAGCATCACAATTGTCTGGTCTGTTGGTAAGCGCGCGCCTCGCAACCACTCCCTATTGATACCCTGCCAGCACTGGCAGCATTTTTCGCAATTATGTGTCGATTATAGAAGGTTACATACAGTTGTGGCAGTGGAAGCGAATTATATCGGTTCCTTACGACGCCATGGCAGCAGAGCCGAAGGGTGTCTTGCTCTTCCAGCTCGCTCAAGGCCTTCCTTTCTACTCACAGGTTAGCAAGGAGCACTTCAATTGTTGTGTGTAAAGTGTTTGTAAACGTTAACGAAGTGTCAGTTCAGATTCTTATCGTTTCGTAGGTCACCTGCTCGCGTCACGCACGTGACGACAGTTCGGACAAGTTTGGAGATGTTCCAGAGGGGAAGACCCTTTTCTTACGGTCACTGGACCCGTTGCTACATCGTGAAAATATATCAAGAGGTTTAGAGCGCTTTGGAAATGTGGAAGTTAGAGTGTTGCCCAAAGCATCGCAATCCGACCCTGGCAGATCGGAATGTTCAAGCATGTTCCATGCTATTATAGACGACGATAAGACCGCCAATAAGCTGCTGGCGGATTCTCGTCGTCTATACGGCAGTATAATTCACGCCAAATCGCACAAATCGAGAGAGGATTCGACCTTTCTTTCAGTCGCACTCCAGCGCCGCCGCGGTCAGTATCGAGGAATGGACATTCTGCAAAAGAACGCAGACGAACGTCTCGTTACCTATGACGTAGAGGAATATGTATCTGGTCGGTTGGAGCGCGAAGTGACTGTCGATGACGAGGGATTCACATTGGTCACACAAGGTCCAGAAGCCGTCAAGGCAGGTGCATACCGGCGTCCGTCAAAACGTTCGAAGAAGATATCCACGACGACGGTCGAGTTTTATCGTTATCCGAATAAGGAGAAAATGATATACGTTTCGGCTGGCGGAATAACAGAATCAACAGATAACACTTCGTAATTTCTATATTTGCCAGATACTCTGTGTTCAGTTTTAAGACCTCTTAGAAACTCAAATTAAGATCTTTTGCATTTTTTCTTAACATAGGTCCCGTTTGGCTTCTCATGCTCCTCTGACAAGGGACAAAATGGTGGAACCCATTATGCGCATATCCCTCAGCGGGAGGTGGTACTTTTGGCGATGTTCCTCCACTCTCATACGAGTGACCGTTGTATGGCCGTCTGGATTAGTCAAGTATGAGCTGAGACTCCTGAATGCATGAGATTCATATCGCGTATCTGGAGTATGTACTGATAACTCTGTTTCTGCGCGGTACGTGTGTTATCTCTGCACTATCTGATCGCAAAGGATAATTCACCGATAGTTGCTACTATCTGCATGTTTAAATTGTGTGTGGACTGACATTGTTCTAATCAAGACTTGTTTGTGCTGGGGAGCATTCTTGTAGGCTATTTACATAGCCACGAGGTAATTACAGGAAGTAGTGATTAACGCTACCTAAGCGTGTCAAACTACACTTTGCACTAGATTGAAATTTAGGTGGGGTATGACCGTGGTTACGCTTAAAGGTGCGCAAACTTCGTGGTCTTACTGGAGACCGTGGCACCGAACACACCGTACCAACACAAATCACTACAATACCACGAGCAATCACAAGGTAGCAAAAAACAACGTGAATGCTACAATTACTGTGAGGCATCAAGTTGACCCATTGGGTCATCGTCGAAGTAGTCGACGCCGTGGTACAGTGAGAGCATCTTGCGGCTGGTGGTGAGAAGCGCCTTGACGTCAACTTGGTGGGAGGCCGCGGTGGTGAGGAGGTGGGAGCGGATGCGCAGCACGTCCATGCGGTAGAGGAGTACGCCGAGGATGTAGAGCGTGGCGATGAGCCAAAGCGCTACGGTGGTGAGAAGGAAGGGCAGGCGGATGCAGTAGAGGAACTCATCGATTTGGTGGAACAACTCCGTGAAGTGGTTAGAATGCAGGGCCTTGGTGAGTTGGTCGTTGAGGTCACTGCACCGCGTCCTCTGGCTGCCGGCTACCAGGACGTGGGCGTTGCGATAAGTGAATCCGTAGCGGTAGAGCGCCGGCAGGGGTCCGCCACATTCGACGACTGAGGGACAGTGGCAGGCGTCCTTGTCGCCGTGGTTGCCGGGCGAACTAGGGCACGTGGCGCAGCCGTGGGCCGTGCAGTCGATGTTGTTCAAAGCATCAAGGAGAGACTGCAGCAGATACCATAACTGCCACGCCAGCCACACTACCCAAGAGATATACAGCTGTGCGTGCTTCTGCGGGAAGGTGTGGTTGGCGTGCAGCGCCAGCGGCTGCAGGAATGGGGCGCATCCACTGGGTGATTGACAAGGCGGCTCGGCGGAGAGACTGGAGAGGGCATCGTGGCTGTCATCACCATGATCATGGCCGACGAGTGCCTTGAGGGCGTCGGTGAGCTTGGCATTCTGGTAGCTGCCGTGGAGCTGTGGCCACAGTGGGAAGAGGCTGTCGATGGCCTTGTCGTTCAGGTGCGTTACGTAACTCTCATGGTGGGAGTACGCTCCTCGAGATGATTCGTGGTCCCACGTTCTGAGCAGATGAGTGAACAACGCGAACACGTCGCCGAGTGACTGCGGTGCTGAGGGGCACAGCAAGGACAGCGTTCGGCAGAGTTGGAAGAGGCACGCGTCGGCGTCACTGCAGAGACGGCCGAGTGACTTGGCAAGATCCTTGCCGGTGCGCTCCACTGAGGCAGCGAGGCCAAGGTCCCAGAAGCCGAGCGGGGTGAGGCACTGCTGACCCGGTAGGTTGCCGGGGCAGTCGACGCATTCGATGGCATTGTCAGTAGCGGTAAGCTTATGCGGCAGGAGGTTAGGACAGCTGTCGGTGAGGAAAGACTGCAGCGGCGAGGTGGGCGGGCAGTTGTGACTTGCGTCGGTGGCCTGCCTGTCGAAGGTGTTACACTGCCAGTGGGAGGACGGCACCTGCCGACCGTAGTGGCACTCCCGCCAGCCCTTGGTTTCGGCGGTGGCACGGCAGCATTGGGCGTAGAGGAAATAGAGCACTGAGCACAGGCGGCATACTATGCCCCTCAACATATCCAGCACCTCGGCGGGGTCGTCCGGGTAGTACAGCTGTGCGGTGTTGTTGGCGAAGTCGACGGAGTAGGGGTAGGCGGCGAGGTCAAAGCCGCGACCGCGGCCCTGTATGGTTACGAGCAATGAGTTGGCGTACGAACACGCTTCTGCGATAGTGAACGGCAGGCCATTTATGCACTGCACCATGACTTTATCCTCCCTGTTGGGTGTATCGTTATCGTCGCAGTTGCGGTTGAGCAACGCTCTGCAGTGGTCGGTCAGTTGGTCCGCCACCGGAGTGTACTGCAGGCCTGTAAGCCACGACAGCATGTCCCTCACCGTGCAGGGGTATCTGGGCGATGCGTGCACCTTAAGGTGGCACGCCTGGAGGTAACGACATAACATGTTATGGCAAAGCGCAAGAATGTCAACAACTTTAATTTCTTTCTCTGCCGACTTGCCATCGATCAGCATTTTGACGCTGACATTCTCAACTGGGGATTTAAGCAACTCATACACTGCGCCGCCCGAAAATTGATTCTGCAACTCCCCCTCCTGGAGTCCGTCGGTGAGAGACACCTTGTACCCGCATTTGGCGAGGCAGTTGCCCAGGCCGTTGTCCCTGTCGTCGGGGGTGAACTCGCATATTTTGTTGTTTCGCCAGTTGGTGCCGCATTTGGTCTCCAGGTTGCTAAGCGCATCGTGAGCCATCGGGATCATGCTCAGCAACACCTTGGCGTACTTGTCGGCGTCAGCATCCCGGCACTCCGCGCCAGAGTATGTGGAGACGTAAGCGTCGCCGAACTCAGCGACGAATTCACGGAGGCCACGGCCGACAGTGTTCAGCAGCGGAGTTGTGATCTTACCGAAGGTTTCGGGCTTCATTTCACCCAACGCCTTAATCAGATCGTTGAGCAGACCGGGGAGTCTGTGATCGTAGCCTTGTATATTCTGAATATGGATGAGCACCGTGTTAATCGCGGCGTTGACTTCATAGAGCTTCGGGGCGTAGGGCTCCGCCGGCGGCGGGAGTGAAGGGTTTGTCTTTTTGCTTTCTTCATCATGCGCCCTCATAATCTCATTCTTCACGTAATCCTTCAGTGGCCCGAAGAATTTCATGAAAGCCGACGACAGTGCTGAGACATCTTTTGGATACTTGACGTTTACAAGTTTATTGATGTTTTCCCCTTTACCGGTGCTTACATCATCAGTTGTCCCATCCTCCAGCGTCTTCATAAACCCCTTAAATCCTATCGTCAAGTCTCGATCGATTTCCTCAGGCAACTCCTCCAGCTCCGTTTCCACCTTGGCGACGAAACTCATCAGCATTTCTTGTATAGTGGACACGTACTGCCGGCGGGCCTCCTGTAACAGCTCTTCCTCCGACGCCTTGAGTTCCTGGTCGACGTATTTCGTGAGCTCGTCGATGCATCTTTTCTTGAACACGTCGGCGTCCCTGTCGATGAAAGCCCTGCACTCCCTGATCGCAGCCTCCAGCTGCCTGGAGCGGAGACTGTTAATTTGGTCCTTGATTTTCTTCAGCCCTTCGTCGATGAGAGTCTCTTTCATGTACTTTAAGTTGTCTCTCAGCGCTCTCGAGCCGTGCTTTATGGCGCTGCAGAGCATCTTGAGTTGATGCTTGACGTCTTCGACGTCCTTGCTTTTTATCTCGTCAATCTCCCCGGTGATTTTAGTGAGGCCTTTAGCCTGCTGACTGTCAACTGTCCATTTATCAACTTTCTCAAGTCCCTGATCTTTCAGTGTCTCCAACTTGCTGGTGACCTGTTCAGTCAACTGCGTCTGAAGCTTTGTAAGCTCACCGGTGATCTCCTTGACGCCTTGGTCAATGTTGCCGGGTTGTTTGTTTAAATCACTTTGTTGAAGTTGAAGCGCATTTTTAATTGCGTCAAGGCCTTTTTCATTTCCATGTTTATTCCACTTTCCACCACTCAGTCCATTGTTCTGCAAATCGTTCAGCGTCAAAATGACATCACTGTCCTTGTGGCCCTGCAGCACAGTTCTAAGCTTGATAAGCTCACTTTTTATGGCCTCGTTGGAATTGCGGATTTCTATGGGTCTATGAGTAAATTCCCCTTCTTGCAATTTTTGAATCACATCATAAATGTATTGAAGATTTCCATTAGTTGCGTCACCCATGCCAATCTTCTCTTTCAATCGTGTCAACTGGTCGACTACGTCACTATCAATGTCTTTATCATTCAACCTGAATCCGATTAGTGCAAGTTCCAACCTAATTTTTTCTATGGCCTTGTCGATTTTACCAGGCTGCTGGGACAATGTTTTATTTTGTGCTTGAAGCTCCCCTTTGATTTTCTCAATTCCGTCTACAAATTTGCCGTCAACGGTCCAGTTCCCACCATATTCAAGGGCATATTCCCTCAAGTCTTCTAACTTCTCGGTGACATTGCTTTCCAAATTACTCTGAAGTTCTCCAAGCGTCGAGCTTATCACTTGTACGTATTCTCCAATTGTGCTTGGATTTTTAGTAAATTCTTCGTCATGAAGCTTTTTGATGTCCTCATGGATTTTCATCAGGCCGTCCACTGGGTTACCACTTTTAGTTGGATTCCAATTTGAATTTTTCCCAAGGCCCTCTTTTTGCAAATCGTTCAACGCGTTGACAACGGCAGTTTTATCATTTTGTCCATCTTTCTTCAACTGCTTCCTGAGCTCTTCAAGCTGCGCCTTAATAAGGTTGACGGCTGTACCGATTTCACCGGATTTTGGAACGTACGTCTCTCTCTTCAGATTTTGAATTGCTTCATGTATTTTTGCAAGGCCTTTGACATTTTTGCCTTTTAGTTCTTTCAACTTTCCATTTTGCAGCCCCTCTTGAAGCCTTTTCAACAAATCTTTTACACCATCTTCATCTCCGTTTTTGCCTGCCGGCGCCTGTCCATTTCCCTTGTCGACGAGCCAAGCGATTGCTTTGAGCTCTGTTTCTATTGCGTAGGACGGGATTTTAAAGGTTTTTTCTCCTGTGCTGAGTATTGTGTCGACACCATTCTGAGCGAAGGGTTCCAGTCCCACAGTCGTGATCTCCCCGATGTCCTTGGGAAGATCACCAGCCTCTGCGATGTTTTGTAGCGTATCGGTTTTAAGGGAGGATATTTTGTCTGTGACATATTTTTGGTAACCGGTGAATTTTCCTTGAGCGAATTTAGTGATTCTTTTACTGCTATCATCATCCCCGAACTGTTGCTTAAGCACATCATCATTTCCATCACTGCTTTTCAGCGTGCCAAGTTGGAGCCTACTGCTCTCTGTGCTGAAATCATTCATGAAATGTGAATCAAAATGATATTTACTTGGATCACCAGTGGCGCCAGGCTCCTTCTTAAAGCTTTTATCAAGTTCTCCTTTAATCTCCTCATCTGCTTTACCGTTGCCATTTTTGCCGGAGCCTTGCTCACTAGTCGGCTTGCTGAGCGTAGTTTCCAGATCCCTGGTTGCTTTAACGGCTTTGTCCAACGCCTTTGCGATGTGTATACCGGTTTTTTCGCCGCCCATCCTGTAGTCGCTGAGGAGAATGGAGTCAATTTCGCTGGCCACCTGGTGGACGGTTGTGCGCAGGGCTATCATGGTGGCCTCGACGAGTGGTGTTATATGCTTCTCCTCTATAGTGCCATACATAATTTTACCTTTAACCTCATCCGCAACGGCTTGTGCAATCTCCTTGGCAATTTGGTTACCATTCTTAAATTTCACATCCAGCTGGCTGACGAATTCATTGCACCCATCCCTTACGGCTTGGACATTTTTTTCGATGCTTTTGCCGTCACCTTTTACACTTTCAACTTTTTCACCGGCTGTTTTTCCTGCGTCGTCCTTAAACTTCCCCTTGATCTTTTCAATTATTGCCTTGCGTAATGCTTCCATATCGGATATGCCACCCAGAACCCTCAATCGTACCATCGACAAATTCACACCCTTTGCAGTAATCCACGCCTTAAGCCACTCTTGCAGCTTATGATTTTCCTTCCCCTCATCACCCTTCCCCCAAATCGCGTCCAGCCAGCCTTGGACTCTGGTGTTGAATGAATCTGCCCCGCTGAACGCATTGGCATAGTGTTTTATCGCACTCTCAATGCCGAGCAGGCCTTTAGCGTCTTTACGTTTCCAATCATCTTCCGTCCCTGCACTCCCCCTAATCTTCTTGACACTCTTATTAATATGCTCTCTCAACTGGTGGACATACTGCTTCACGCCGCCGTTAACTCCCTGTTCCAACTTATGTAAATCATTTTTCACGTTCGTTTCCAACGTTTGTCCTAATTTCCTGACAGCTTCCGTAATATTCTTCTTAACCTTAAACAAATCCTCTCTCAGCTTAGAGTCCATGTCTTTTACCTGCCCAAGCGCTGCTGTAACCTTGGACTCAACAAGGCTCTTGGCCTCACTCGCAGCCTTGAAAAGCCTTGCACCATCTTCACTTAACTTTTTGGCTTTCTTATAAATTGTGTCACCTTTTGAATTTCCATCTGTTCCAACTTTCTCCAAAATTGCATCACATTTATTTTGCCCAGCTTGGACAATTTCTCCAGCCGCTCTCTTCCAGTTACCTAAAGCCGTGACTTCATCTCGAAGACTTGAATTCGCAGAGTCAATTGCCTTTTGAGCATCGTCAATTGTTTTAATCTTCTTACCGATTGGATCTTTATTTTCGTTAGTGTCCAACTTGTTATAAACCTCTTCCGCCTTGCTCACCGCTTCGCCAATCACCTTATAAGCCTCTCCCTTCCAGCCCTCCAGACTGCCAAGGTGGGCGCCAAGCTTTTGATTTGCAGTAACAATTCCCTGTCTTGCTTGTGTAATTGCGCCAATATTATGGCCAATTGGATGGCCCTGAGCATCATCAATTTTAGTAGGCTCCAAGTTCTCCTTCACAATCCCCGTGGTGGCAATGACGCTGTCAAGCACTTTCTGTGCCGCACCTTTCCACCTTCCCAAGTTGCTATGAACACCATTCAACCCACTATGAACACTTTTAATCAGCTCATTGGCCTCTTCAATCTCCCCGATTTTCTTTGCCAGCGTCCTGTTAACGTCCAACTTATTATACGCTTCCTTAGCCTTTTCCTCGGCAACCTTACGGATTTTCTCCGCTGCGCCAATCCATGAATTCAACCTACCAAGTTGTTGGAGAAGCCTAGAATTTGCAGTTTGAATCGATTCGTTAGATGTCTTAATCTTATCAATGTTGTGACCAATGGGATGATTGTCATCTTTCTGATTAGGGTCCAACCCGCCACGCACACTCTCCGCCCTCTGAATCACATTGCTAAGCACATCTTTTGCCGCAGCATTCCAGGCTTCCAAATTGCTGTGAACAGTTTGAAGGCCAGCATTAACATCCGTAATTTTTTGTTTGGCATCCTCAATTTTCTTAATACCTTTGCCAATCTGTGTCGTCCCCTCAGGGGGAACTTTTTCAGTATGGTCCAATTTCCCATGCACTTCATTAGAACTCGTAATCGTCCCTTCCAGCAGTTGGTTCGCCACCTGCTTCCAAGCTTGCAAATCCCCAACGCTCTTTTCCAACTTGTTCTCAACCTTTTTAATCGCCTCGTCAAGATTTTTCTTGTGGTTTGGCGTTTTGCTTGGTTCATCCGCGTCGAGTTCCTTTACAATCTCGTTGACTTGTTTTTGCAATACATTGTCAACAAATTCTGTTGCATCCTTCATCCACGTTTCCAATTTCACCACATAGCTGGCGAGCGTCTTACTGATATTTTCTAGTTGAGCTAAGATGCGCCTAACCAAGCCCTTCAGGTTGTTGACCAGGTCAGTGACTTCCTTCTCAATCTTCGAATTGACCTTTGCTTTGAGCTTGCTGAAGGCCTGCTTGATCAACTTTACCATAGCCTCGTAGTTCTTATACTGCTTCTTGGACCACCTGCTCAGCATCGCAGTCTCACGGCCGACGCTGTTACGGGCATTATGAATTTTGTCACGCAACGATGCATTCAAATCATCAAACGCATCTTTCATGTAATGCTTATGTGTTTTAGAAGTGAAGGCCTTACCGAATTCCTTACCTCTTCCAACGCACTCCTTCGCCAATTCCTCGGCTGTCTTGACGTCAGACTCTGAAGGATTAGTTTTATTTAGCTTACTTATCTTAGGAGGCAACTCACCACCTTCACTTTTGACGTATGCGATAATGTCACTGATCGGCCTCTTGACTTTGTCGTTCGAGGCCTTGACATTCTGGTTATATGTCCCAAGGACACTGGCCACCTTGGGGACGACAGCCTTGAAGCCATGGTGGCCAGTCCACCTCGCCTTTACAAGGTCACCAACTAGGCCACCTAACAAAACTCTACCAACAACGTACGGTTGATTATCACGGACATCACTGATCACTCTATACAAAAACGTCACAATGGCATCGCACAAACGGGAAGCGGAGCCATACACAATCCCGGAACCATCGTAGGTTCCGGGTGACCGATAACCTAAAAACCTCTCAAGGGAGGAACAGACATTATGTAAAATGTTTTTATTAGAATTCGCAGAGTCTTTCGGAAAAGAGCTCCGAAACCCTTGAAGCTTGGAGATAACATCTCCGGCGGACGGCTCATCTGCTTCGGAGAGAGACGACAAAGACCTTTCAGCGTCCTGAATAACATTGTCAAACAACTTACCGAGAGCCTCGGACAGCCTAGGGATCCCGTGTCCTTGCTTCACTTGGATGAGCCAGTCAATTGCCTCTCGAAGGTTCTCGGGGCAATCCGTCAATGCTTTCGGAGCCATGCCATCTAGGTTCGACGAGTGGTGCCGCCAAGTAATCACGTACTAATCCGCCGCCACATAAAGCAACATGGCCACACAGCTGAGTAAACTGAGTTTACAGGTCGCAAGGTGAAATTATGAGTGAAGGAAATGCATCATCATAGTAATGAACAACACGTGCGTGCCAGACACAAACTACATTGGAAAAGACGAAATTGATTAAAACATCCAACCTACCTACCTGAGGGGGGAGGATGGAGACAAGCCCAGCAACGCAGAGACCCAGCTTGCGTGGATTCTAGAACGAGCTATGAAGGTGGTAAGGTTCGTAGATATATCTAGTGGGAGACCGGGAAAGTCTCCTGCATCCGCCCGGTGATGCTTCAACCGTATCTCCTCAGCGCCCTATTACGGTCCCGGCAACCGCCACTCAGCACACCGCCAGAGATACCACTGCCGCGCGACTTGCACCACAAACATAACACGCCAATAACAACCCGTGTGAACAGCAGTGTGGGCCCTCCGTGCATAGAACTTAGTAGCATAGTTGCGCAGTAAAATCCCCACCGAGCTTGCCACGCCACCTTAAAACATCCCCCAATGTGCTAAACCATTGATGCGCTACCATCTGCGTAGCTCATCTACGGCTTGGCATAAATGCACCGCTCCCATGCCACTCCGTACTCATCACGTCTGAGGGCCCCTTTATCACTCCACTGCCTCCTCTAGCCACCAAATGCATAATTTTCAGGTCACGAACTGTCGTCATGGGTTGAGTCGCTGTCTCACCTAGGGGCGGACCCTATTTGGCAACATAGATGACCAATCGTTCACCTTTAGAGTTCACTCTAGCATGGGATCATACCATTGACTCATCATTCAACTTCCATGTAGCCAATTATACAACTACCATGTTTACTACATTATGTACTGGGTTGGTAATTATGTGGGCTACGTGAGCTAGGCAGTGGCGCCATCCAGATGGTGAGTGACTTCGTCATCACGTTGAGAAGTATCTCAGCTTCCCAAGTGAGTTGAGGCGTACGGCGGCGAGTAGCGACTGGGCGGCGATGCGGTGGCTTGAGGGCGAGCGCAGGTGGGAGCGGATGCGGAGGACGTCGAGGCGGACGACGGAGACGTGCAGCAGGTAGAGGAGCGACAGCGACCAGAGGGCTAACAACGTTAACATAAATGGCCATCTGATAGTGCAGATGAATTTGTCAATTTCGTGAAGAAGATCAACAAGCACACATCCTTTACCGATTACTTTTTTCAGTGCTTCGCAAAAATCCTTGCACGTTCTTTTGTGATGTGGCGCTATCGTATCTTCACCACTGAGTTTTGTTGGACTGCTAAAGGTGAACCCATATGTGTACAACGTTGGATGGGCGTTTTGGCATTTGACAATGGAGTTGCAGTCATCTTGATGTTTGATGTCACCATTTGGAACATTGGCATTTCCATCATCGTCAGTGTATTTTACCTCGCATGTCTTTGCACAGCCCTTATCGCAGCATCTGCTGCCCGGTTTCTCGCATTTTTTGCAAGACTCATACAAGTCGTACAGCAACCGAAGGAATGTCTGGGTTGTGTAAGTAACCCATGAAAGGTATCGGCTGGCATTATATTTAGAATATATGTCATAAATATCTAGAGTGAGAGGATGCAAGTACCGGCCACATGGTAGGCCTGAATGCGTCTTATGATTACAATCTGTAAGACTGAATAGGTCTCCTTTGTCATGGTTTGACTTCCTACTTTCCCCATGTTCAACGGTCTTGAACAAAATCGTCGGATTCAGGTTAGAATACTCCTGGCCGAAAATGGCTTTTCGCACCGCATCATCAAATGCCTTCTTTTTATGTTCGCTCTTCGTCGAGTGCTTAAGGAAACAGTAATAGAAAGCTAACATGTCACCAAGCGTCTGCGGCGCTACGCGAAGCAGGCATTTGAGGTAAGAACACAACTTATTGAGGTGAGAATCTGGGCCGGAGAAATAGGAAAGGACTCCCTTAAGATCATCACCCTTCTGGGTTCGGGACGCTACTATGCTTATGTCTCCGAAACCCATAGGAGTGAGACACGGAAGACCACTGTGATTGGAAACTGTGCACGTAAGTTTGCATCCGGGTGTTTTGAAAGAATGTGGTAAGAACCCTTGTAGGCCGTCCTCGAGGAACGACTGAAGTGGCGACTTAAGACCGCACTTAGGGTGTTGATCGCAGCGTTGGTCAGACGTTTGGTTAGCTATTTGGGGACAGTTTTGGTTGGCACATTGCTTATCATTGCAGTTCCATGAGGAACCGCCGACATCTTGACCATACCAACAGTCATTCCAACCACCACGACTGGGGCCGTTGTTACACTGGCTACATAAGAATCGCAGTTGATAAAGCACTCTATTCAGAATATCTACAAGCATGTCAAAACATGAAGATGCGCTAGTGGGATATAACAAATTTAGGGAGTTGTTGGAAAAGTCATAGGCATATACACCGTCAGCGTGACCGTGGCCTAGGAAGGTAATGAGAACAGTGCGTGAGTATAAACACACCTGGTCGAGTGAGAGTGACAAGTTACCATATGTGAGAGTTCCATCCGTTGGGTGTTTCCTTGCGTCTGGTACGGCAACAGGGAACTCTGCCGTGTCCAATTTATACTCTTCCTTTAGCCCATCAAGCATTTTTGTGAACTGGCCTTTAACACCGTCGTACATGTGATTGTACTTCAGGCCGGCAAGCCAGCACAACATGTTATATATGTTGGACGGTGATTTAGGTGAGGCAGGAATGTAGTAGTGACCGACGCGGTAACACCTTCGAGAAAAGTCACGAAGGAAGTCAACAATGTCGATGAGAGAGATGTCACCACCTTGTTTCTTCTCCGCTTTCCATTGTTTAAGTGATTCAACATTGTCGGCGTTTTCAATTTTCATCTCAAGTAACGTAGTCTTAATTTTACTTCCTTCCATCTCCTTCTTGTCCTGTAGCTCACCGGTCTGCTTGCCATTTTCGAAATTGACCGTGTAACCACGTTTATGGAAGAAGCTACCAAGTGATTTCTTCTGATGCATATTAATCTGCAAAGTTCCATTCTTACATTCATTTTGCAAATCAAACAGATCTTTTCTCAGCCCCTCCAGTATGGTCAGGCAGACCTTGGCGCAGTTCCGGCCCTCGGTGGAAAGGACTTCAACGGCGTCACCGTCCGATTTAGTCTCTACCAGTTTACCTAAAGGTAAACCACTGTACCTGTTGACGTAAGCGCGGGAGATTTCCTTGGTGAATTTGTCCATGCCGGACCTGAGGGCGTCGAGGAGCTCTGGGTGCTGGGTATTTGCGAATTGCTTGGGGGATAGAGAGGCGATGGAGGAATTCAGGGTGGAGAGGAGTGTAGAGAAGCGGTGGTCGAAGGTGTAGATACGTTTAGTATTTGTAGTGGATGGTTCATGGCTTAGGTGAACGAATAGGCTATCTAATTGTTTTCTAATGTCATCTACTTGGGTGGCTTGATCAGAGAGCTTGGTCGGAGTGCCCACCTGGTCACCAATATAAAACAAAATTTGATCGAGATATTTTTTGAAATTCATTGCCAAATCTTTGAATTTTTGAGCATTATTTTTAGTTACCGCATGTGACGTGGATACAGCATCTTTAAGCTTGCTACGCAAATTACTACCATCTGAACCAGGGTGGTCGCCGCCATAAAACGTAACCAAGAACCCTTTCAGGCCATTTTCTCTGTCAAGTCTAATAAGTCTCTCGATCGCAGCTTTCTGTGTTTCCACGATCTTCTTCAAGGTGTCGAGCTCTGCTTTATTGCGACTGGCGTAGAGCTCCTGCGCTTTCTTTGTAATGCTGTTGATTTTTTCTTGGACTTGTTCTTCGACATGATCCTTTATATCTCGGAGAAGATTTCCAGCCTCCATATCGATCTTCTGATAAAACTCGTCAGTTGTCTTAATTATTCCCGTCAGGGTGATGGGTGGATATGCACCGCCGACAGTGCTGCCAGGAGAGCCAATGATTGTATTTTTGATTTCATTATGGATTGTTTTAAGACGTTTTGGAAGCTGATATATTTTGCCGCTGCTGTTCTTAAGCATTTCTTGCAAATCTGCCAATAAATTTTTAACGCCTCGTTGGTCATCTACCTTCTCCGAACCGGTGTCACCATCCTCCTTTTCAACTAAATTCTGGACGGCTTTGCAGAGGTCTCCCAGCGCTTCAGTGACTCTAGTGCACAAGTTCTTGAAGGTGTCAGTGTAGAACTTATCATCTTTACCAGGAGAAGGTTCAGGAGCGTTTTGTTCCACAACTTTTCCCAAATGTTGGTCATTGAGCACATTTTCTTTAATTACATTGATTGCCTTCGGAAGGGTGCCTTCGGCTGCGTTGCCTTGTAGAATTGTGCTATCAGTGAAGCCATCTTGTTTAATGCAAGCATAATATCTACTGAAGTTGCCTTCAGTAATGTTGACCTTACCCTTTAGATCCGTCTCCCCAATCTTTTGAATCAATACACTACTAACCTGGGTGGTTATGCCGTTTTCTAGTGCCCCTTTCAGCGTAGCGTTTGCAGTGTTGAAGCCGTCCATACCATTTTTAGTGAGATCTATACGCTTCTTATCATCAGCAATATGCTTATTCACCACCCCTTTGATATCTTTTCCCAGCCCTGCCGTAAGTGCGGATTTTATATCGACAAGTTTAGGGGTTGGTTCTCCATACCTCTTATAAGTAGCATATTCATTACTTAGACGCGTTAATAAACTTTCGATACCACTGGCAAGCGATTTACTGGATTCATTGTTACTGTTAGCGTTGGTATAAATATCATTAAGTTTCGTTCCAAACTCCTTCAAGTGAACATTCAGAGCCGCACCTAAGGCTTTGAGGCCTTCAGCTTTATCACCACTACCACTCCAACCCTTAGCCGCTGCAATTCCCGCCTGCAGAGCCTTTCCCAGCTCTTCCTCAAAATACCGATTTAAATCCGTCACAATCTGCTCCTGCAGCGTGTGCAATCCATTCTTCACTTTCTCATCCAACATGTAAAGGCCATCTCGTATCTTCAACTGCGTATTAACATACTTGTTAATATCCGCATTTATCTGCTCTTTCACACTATTCAACTCATATCGTAGAGCATTGTTCGTCGTCACAACCTCCTTGAGCGCTGTCCCAACCCAACTACCAATCTGCATCTTCACCTTATTCGCAACCCCGCGCAACTCCTCGGCCTTATCCCTCAATTTCCCCGCCGCCCCATCAACGGCCTCTCTTTCCGACGATGAAGGAGTCTCATGAACCACCTCTACAATCTTCTTGCACTGCTTAATCGCCGCGTTCACAACATCCTCGGCCCTCTGGATCCATTTCTCCAAGTCACCGTTAAGGCCTTCCAGATCCCTTTTAACTCTACTAATCGGATTCTGAATTTGCTTTTCAAATTTCTCTTGCAATGTATTTCTAAGTCCAATAACACTCTCAGTAACCTTATTTTCCACATTTCTCCTCAATTTCTCCAACTCGTCTTTCGCAGTCTTATTCAACTCCTGAAGGTCACTATTTTCTGCGGACTTTTTCATAATTTCTATAGCACTATCAATTTTCCTAAGTGACGTGCCCATTTCATTTTTAAGATATTTGTCAAGTTTTTTCGAGGCATCATTGGATTTCGTGATGTAATGATGAAGCTCTTTGGTGGCCCTCCTCCACATGAGAGACTGTTCACGAAGTGACTTATCAATGTTATTACCATGTGCGTTAACTTTTCTATCAATGGAATCTTTTAGTGAGTTAAGAGGACCAGTAACATCAACAGTTTTCTCCTCCACCTTATCATTATACCCCTCCAACCACCCCTTCACCCTGTCGACGGACGCCGTAAGCCCAGTAACACCTTTTCCAATTTGGGAAAATACAAAGTCCGTGACCTTTTGAAGCGTAGCCTCTTCTGACTGAATATATCCGTCGTATATTTTAACAGCATCTTCACCTTTAACACTCTCCAAGACGCCACCCAAAAACGCCATCACCCCGTCACACAGCCTATCAAGGTCCGAGTACACGATACCCTCGCCGGTGTAGCCTTTGGAGTCTTTATTGTTACCAAGAAAATTCTCTAAACCATCAATGAGATTTTCTAAGAGTTTTTTACATTGTTCAGCATTTGGAGAATCTTTTTCTCCAATAAGAGCCCGAAGTTTTTTTGTAAGATCTTCAAGATTACTCTGCCTCTCCTTAATATCATCCAAAGCACTTTGTCTAGCATCCTCAGTAAGGTAATGAACTTCATTGTAATGTTTTTCTTTCTCTGACTTAAGCTTCAGAAACGTAGATTCAAGCTTATCTAGAGCATTTTTATCGAGGTTATCAGGTTTTTTAGCTGCCTCTATTTCCTTCTGCTTTTTCTCAATCAGCTCATTTTGATCATAACAGTAAGAGCCACTTTGCCAGTATTTTGGAGGACATTGAAGTTCCTTTCGCCTCTCATTAAGACTTTTAGTCGCTTTCTCAATAGCGTCGTTGATCAACCTTTTCAAAGCTTTGGCCAACTCATCAAGACCTTGACCATTACCATTCCCATGCTTAACCTGTATCAACCAGTCGATGGACTCCCGGAGATTTTCCGGACAGTCCGTCAGCTTCTTCGGTGTACGTACCATTTCAGCAACACTAACTTACGGGACAATTGTCGACGTCTAAGTTACAACACCCACGTAGATATTCGAGGCTGCATACCCTCAGTCCACTTCAAAATGCGATAATCCCTGTAAGGCTCACTCACAACCTTATTTATTTTCCCAACTACATTAGTTAGACTTGTGTCGTGTGAACTATATATTTATAAGTCATGGCAATGCGAACATCTACCTCCCTCACTCACTTAATCCCAATCTCCAGTGCCCAAACAGCTGAAAATTTTAATCCACGTAGGAGGTCGCCTGAAACCTCCTAACTGCACTTCAATGTTCAACGGCACAAACACAGTCCAATCTTGTGCAAAGTGGGAATTAATGTTCGTCGCAAATCCTCTCCCGCTCCTCAGCAATTCCACGTTACCCCCATTACCACTACATGGCTCCCTTATTAAGAAACGCATCTTCTTGAAACGTGAATGGTAGCATTATTCTGCAATGTCGTGAAATACGGCGTGCTATGGATATGCGGTGCAAACGGTAACGGGAATATCGTTCCCTCAGTGGCCATCACAAACCATGGAATCATAGATGCATGGCGTATGGGACTACAGCCTTACTTGGAGGATTCCAAGTGTAACTGTGAATAATGGAGAGTATTTACCGAAATGAAAAGCAGTTGTTCGAGCGAAGAGTGGTGAGCGGTAGGTGAAGGACCATGTAACGATGGACTACTTACGACATGTTCAACTTGGAGAAGACGAATAATATCACGGAGATAAACCGACTGCATATTGTAATAGCATGAGAGGAATAACATAATCGCCATCGTGGATATAGGAATTGCCAATCAAGGCACCCTGGTGGAGATGGAGAGATGCAAGAGAGGGAAGTATGAACACCTAATTGAGAACCTGAAGGCACGGCAATTCAACCAGCATACAAGGATCAGGGTATTCCCCTACGTTATGACGGGGGAGGAAACAACAACGAATGAAAGCATCAGGCATAGGCAGAGCCTTGGCATATCGGATCGCTTAGAAGCCCATATACAACGGGTAGTGATCCAAGAAACACAAAAGCTAGTGTTGAGGGACATGAAACCCAGAGAAGATTATGACTCTGCGAATGACCCTCTCGCCCAAACAGGATGGATGCCACAATGGATGGTACCTGTAGTGTACGATAATTCGACATGGATCCCGCAACCGACACCAGCAGCCTAAGGCGCTTGCCTGGTAAGTGCGAAACTCGGCCCTAAGCCACGTAGCCACATAGCGCACTAAACAAGGCCAAATGACACTAAGATACAATGGCAAAGGACTATGCTTCTGTGGAGGCTGCCAACAATTCTCTATCTGCGAGTGTACGACCAACAGGGAAGTTGATTACGGGACTTTAGAGGCCAATGCTTGAAGCATATATGAACCCAAGCAATACATCCCTTGTCAATTTTCTCTACTATATTTGAGGGTTACTGCCCATTTGGCGACGGTTTATAGTAACAGACGAAATCTGTAGGAATTGTGAGGCAAAGCAACAGGAATGACGAATCAAAACATTTACTTTCACCCCTTGAAGGGGGATCCACCAGACAAATGTCGAACAATGCGCCATTTGATTACGAAAAGCCATATTTTACAGTTAAGCTTACATACCTCGTGCAAATGACGACGTTCGGGGTGACATTTCGCTCCTAGCTCTTAGAAGGGGCGTTCAACACTGTATCATCAACCAGTCACGGCGAAGAACTTACACTTCCAGAATAAATGATATGGCAATTGTAACATTTATTATAACAATTCGCTCTACTCCCCAAATTGTGGACGTTCTATTTTTTAATATCCCGAAATGCATAGTACGGAGCCATCTAGACATGCTAAAACAGCGCTTTGCAGTTCTGACCAGAATTACAACAAAATTTATGGCATTCTAAATATCCTAGTTCCCACGTATTTAGCGCAATAGAGTGCGTGGTGTTCCTTGCTTACCCACCGTACCATGCATCGTCAACACCGGCTACGGGGAAACACTTTAGATTCGATACAAAGTTACATAGCAACCGCTAGCAGAGAATACATTACTCGTTATCACTGCCGCGCTAACTAAGGTATCGCACCCCCCCAACTGCTACCACCTTTTGGGTGCATCGTTAAATGCTGTTCAGGGTCGTTTGTTAAGTGAGCCGAGAGGAAGATGGGAGACTCATGTGGGTTGTGTACTTATAGTAGAGGTAAACATGATGACTGGTGTATACCTGTAAAAATTCTAATTGCCGCTGGTGCCTTCATACTCCTCGGTGCCATCATGTACGTCCTCTCCTGGCATCCGATCCCGGGACTCAAGAAATTCCGTGACTACATGACGGATGAGACGACACCTGCCACTTCTTACTCCGCTCTTAAACCTTGATAAGCAAGAATTGCCTGGCCTAGTCCACTTGAAATCCTTGAATCGATGTAACTACCGTGCGTTAATGTAGTACAACTGTCTAATAGCGGAGGTCGATCGATGCCGCGTCTATATACCTGCCGCATTATGCCAAACTTCAAATGTTGTGTGTAAATGTCTAAAACAGTAGACATGTGTTATGTGCATCCATTTTGTGCTGTAAAGTTATACAGTTTGGATTCTGCATCGCAGAATCGAATCTGCATGTGTGCTCTTTTTTAGCGTGTATGTGTAACATGTCTTGAAAAGAATCAGTTGGTCTGTTTCCAGCAATTTACACTATATCAAGTAAGGCATCTGCATCTCCGTCGACACGCCGGCAGTAAAAGAATGTCAACATTCTCGTGTTCATTACAACATTTTCACTTAACAATGCTATGACAAGGTTCTAAATATATCTAACATTGACATAATCGTTTGTATCTTAAAACAGGAGGTTAGGCCCACCTCATTTCTGTGGTATTCAACGTCAAGCGGAGTAATGTTGCGGCGCCCAACTCAGCTGCTTCCCCATTGATCTTTTGAGATTCAGGGGAGAGATCCGCCAGTTTTATTTGGCCCTTTTAACGGAGTGCGTAACGTCGTCTTACGCGGCGAGCTGGTTCACGTGTTCACCCTAGCATGTCTGACTCCTTTGTTTTCGATGACTCCGCCAAAAGGCAAACAACGCCGACACCAATGGCAATTGCGCAACACAACCCTAACTGAATATACTGGCTTCACTTAAGCAAGTAGTCCTTGGCCTCGTTGACCTTGGATGCGATGTAGGTGGATCCTCCGTTGTCCGGGTGGTTGCGCATCATGAGTTGTTTGTAGTTTTCGCGGATCTTGTCCTTGGATGCCGTCGACGACACGTTTAAGATGCTACATGCTTCGGAGTAGGTCATCTTCTGCTCGAACCCTTTTAGGTTCATTCGGCCCAAACGGCCTCCCATAATGCCTACACCGGTAAGCTGTCCAGGGTTGCGCGACAGCACTCTCCAGTGCGCCGGTAACCGTCTATAGAGGTATCTGCCGACGAGTATTCCACCTCCGCACGCCACAGCCACCAACGGCCATGGCATCGCGTTAATTCAGCAGACTCTAGAATTGCACGGCGGTGACGCGTTATGACATCGATCCTTCCAACCTATAACGCTGTATTCTACGTGTTAACGGGCGGTACAAAACACCGCAAAATCCTGAAAAATATATTGGAGCAGTTACATTGATTATTTAACCGTTGAAAATATATCATGTGGATGCCGTCACGGTGGCGGCAGTGCCCCGCCAATGTCGCGGTAGACCGTCTACCTCTTGTGATATACTGCTCCCTACAAACACACATTTATTATATTCAGAGAATGAGGTGCGAGAGTGCTACGATTTTAATGTCTAGTCTAGATTCCGATTATCATCTCTTAGCCGGGATTCACTGAGGTGTTAGGACGTGACCAGGGAATCTCCACAGCCTCAAACATAGCTTCGGGTAATGCAAGTTCACAGAAGATCACGCACTCCGTCGGGAGGCATTGTATTGGCTATCACTGCTGAGAACCCTGACGACATTTGGTGCATCTACAACCTGTTGGCAGAAGGTGACGAGATCGTAGTATTCACGTCGAGGTGAGCGTCCGAAGCTAACAATACAGTTGTTTACAGGAAGGTAAAGAAGGAGAACGTGAACTCCGGTGCAGTGAGTCAGGAGGTCAAAAAGTTCAACATCCATCTGTCAATCGAGGTTAGTGGTCTCAGTTGTCGTGTGACGTGAGGCAGCGGATTACGTACGCGTCATCAGACGACGACCTCCAGGTCTCCGGTAAAAACATCTCCGACAACCCTTACGTGAAGGTATGTTTATGACGCTGAGTCGTTCTCACCGCGGCGCAGATTGGGCAGTACCATACCGCCGAGATACGATTGCACTCGAAGATCACACTAACGAAGGTACGGTTTAATTTACTCATACGCGGTTCACTTACGCTCGTACAGCAAGTGTGGAATTCATATTACGCCGACAAGTTACGGGAAGCGACTGATTTGGCAGGCCAGGCTGAGCAGGCGTTTTTAGTGCTCGATACCGGGAAGGCGTCGCTGTTCCTGGTACTACGTTATCTCACCAAGGAGGCATTCACGATTACTCACAACATACCCAATCGCAAGATTTCCGACATCCGGTATTCTCACCACCAGAAGGCTCAGGAATCATTTTTCAAGGCCGTGATCCAGAAACTGCACGACTCGATTAATTTCGAGGTCACCCGCACCGTGGTCATCACGGGTCCTGGGTTCACAAAGACGAGCTTCTACGAGTACCTGCGCGACAACTTGATTCGCCTGGGATATAGCGACCTGCATCGTCACCTGAAGAGCTTCGTCGTCTGCGGCTCCACGTCGTCTGACCGCCGCGCCATCGGCGAGGTGCTGAGCAACGAATCCTTCGCCGAGCGGCTTTGCAGCCACCACTACGTGGAGCACAACAGGGCGGTGGAGGCGCTGCGCAAACGTCTGGAAGCAAACGACGACACTGTTGCCATTGGTTTGGGGGATGCCATCAGGGCTGCCGAGCTTGGGGCAGTTGAGACGCTCCTGATCTCGGAGGACCTGATCCGCAAAGGTAGCACGGAAACGCGTAAGCGCGTCCATAAGTTGATAGAGGACGTGAAAAACCAGGGCGCTCGCGCATTTTACTTCTCCGACGAGCACTTCTCTAGCGAGTTCCTGAGGACACTCACCGGCGCGGCGGCCCTGCTTCGATTTGTCATAGGCGAGGCACCAGAATAGGTTTGAAAGCGATTATTGGCGAAGTAGTGTGCCGTCAAAGGCGTGTTTAATGAGGCTAATGCAGAGGAATAAATTGTCACGATTCATTTGAGTACGGATGTGTCGGCATTCCACAAATAGGGTGCTACCGTTATTGCGTTATTTCGGTTATCGCAGCAATGTTTTGGTATCTATAATGCCGTTCTTTTGTTGATGAATCCGGGTCGTTGAAAGTTTTTGCATTTTTTTTCACGATGCTATTTCGACTACCCGCGGCACCGAGGTGCCACAGCTGCAGGTTGTTTACGACCGGGTCTGCAGGCACTGCCATCGGCGCCACTGCTGCAACCGACATCCCCACTCCATCGCATGTGGCCGCACCTCCTCGCCGACAACAACGTCATTCTCAACTTATACGCAGGAGAAATACAGTTGCTGTCGCAACGGACATGATCTCCAGACTACGGGGAGCAGGCATGTCCCCGGCCGAGATAGTGCAGATGCTGAGGACACTGCGCCACAGGGCGTCAACACCGCCGGCTACAGAGGTCGACCCATCGCTGAATGAGCGTGTATGCAGCATACTCCGCCGTGGTGCTCAGGATTGCCAGTTGCACAAACTGCATCAGTCGGTTTCTAACCTAACAGAAACTCTGTCAGTGTTCACCGACGCCGGCGTACCCGAGCCCATGGCCCGGGACATTGTGCACAACAATCCGACGCTGCTCGCTCTAAGCAAGGCTGATGTCGAAGCACTGTGTTCGGAACTCCTGGCATCCGGAGTGGACTTGGGCGACTTCGCATCGATTCTATCGCAACACTCACCGCACGCAGTTGTGTCAGACAACTCATAAACTATATTAAGGTGTATGTCACTCGCGACCCCGCCGATGGCGTTGCATGCCTTGAATCTACATGTTGGTGGTGCGCGATATGGCCTCGTTAACAATATCTGAGATCTCGTCGCTGTTGATATCGTTCTGCTCTTGCAGGTACTGCAGCGACGACTGGAAGCTGGTCTTGGAGGTGGTGCGATTGACCTGCCTGGGAGTATCTTCTGTTGCGGGGGCGCTGCGTGCGCTGACTGAGCCTGTGTCAATCTTCCTGGTAATGACGAGCCCAGTGTCGTCCGGAACGAGATCTTCCTCCCTCCTGTTTGGTCGCATCCCGTCATTCATGGAATAGTTTCGCATGAGCTGGGGCCTCCCCGGCCGTTCGTGCGTCCTGGCGGAGCTGATCTGCTTCTCATGGTTGACAGTCGCTCCGGCCTTCCTGTTGCGTTCCATGAGCGTCTGCCCGCTCACGAGCCTGTGGCAGCTGTACAGGCACCACTGCGGAAGCTTTATGTTGACGACTGGTGCGTCCTTAGACAGGCTCAGCCTCGTGAGGAACTTCTCAATGGGCACGCAAATGTCCTACACGTTATTATCATCCTCCCTTAACGACAACTTACATCGATGATGGAGTACATGTTGTGCTTGGACGCCGGTTGGAAGTCGGCCATCTTGAGGTCGCTGTTGTAGGACTCGAAGAGCGTCTGGCCGTGGGAAACCGGCACGATCTCGTCGACGAGACCGTGGATGATCAGCAGCGGAGTAGTCGGCCCCATGTCATGCAGCGCCTTTTCCGTGTCCCAGAAGTTGCTCACCAGCCACGTCCCCAGGGCGAAGTAGTCCTCGATGATCTTGTGAATCGAGATGTACGGCGACTGCAGCACGACACCACCGCACTGCACGCCACGTTGCTTGAACTCGGCTGCTATGGCGGCCGCAGGACCAGTACCGATCGACCTGCCGAACAAGATGATCGACCTAGGGTCGACGCCGAGTGAGATGAGGAAGTTGACGGTCGCCCGGACACGATAGTTGATCAGTTCACCGGTGGCCACCGCCACCTCCGGAGACACGCCGTACCCCGGGTACTCTACGGCGAGAACCGTAACATTGAGCTCGTGGCTAATCAGCCGCAGCTCTGGCTTGACTTGGCCGATGTCGCATGAGTTGCCTGCGTGCTATGCCGGGCAATAACGCCTAACCTACCATGAAGGTATATCATAACGACGTTAGAAGGGGCTGGTGACGGCAGGTATAGCACGGGGAACGACCCCGGCGTGGCCCCTCGGCCGCCCTGTGTGTCGTACGCAAAGCGCTTGGGGATCCATATGAGCTCATAGAGCTGGGATGTGTACTGCGGACGGGTTATCTAGCGGCACACCGCAGCCTACCGATGCCGGCGGAGCCGGAAATATGAAGGTGTTCGCTAGAGAGAACGCGTTACCCATCTTGCAGCGGTCATGAAGACGCGTGGAGTCCTCCCTTACAAGACACGGGCATTTCGCAGAGCAAGTGTCTGCGATGGTCCCGCTTAAGGTTGTATATTGGCAGGACCGCAAGTGGTCGGGGTACCGTGTACCTGGTACGGACAGCCCAGGTTCCCCTTCGCGCGCCAGCCCGTCAAACACAACGGGAGGTACAGCATTCAATTAAATGCCACTACTCTAGCCACACTGAATTAAACTAGTTCTTTGGAGTGACATATGTGCAACATTGATTTAGTCTCAGATTGACTGGTCACGTTTCGACATCGACGTCAGAGCTCGTCGTGCTGCGATGCAACCACGGGCGAGAATGCGGGCAGCTTGTCGCCTCTCACAAGCTTGAATCGCGCATCTCCACCCAGGATCTTCTCCAGCATATTTTCGATGCCTTCGCGGGTCACGGCGCCATCGCCTTCGAAGAGCATGAATCGAAGCTTCTTCTTGGGGTTGAAAATGGCAACGGAGGGCAGATCAGCTGGTTCCCCGAAGAGTTTTGCGAACTCGGGCTCCGAAGCGAGGTTCATCCACATCCACTTGCCGGTGAATTCGCCCTTGTACCTGGCGCTGAGCTCCATCAGCATTTGCCTGTCGTCCGCACCCAACTCGCCGTTGGTGAGATAGATCACGCAGAACCCGTGCGATTTGTTGAAACAGATGTCCATGTGCGATTCCAGGGTGAGCTGCGGGAGGGGGTCGTGCTTCCATGCCTTGGACTTGGCCGCCTTGGGGGTAGTAGCTTCGTACCCGCTTCCCAGCAAGAAGGTCTCGGAGTAGACGTTCAGCCACTCGAACATGCTGCTGTAGTCGAAAGTGCCCTCGAAGCGGTCGACCTTGGAGTCAGGCTTGACCACGATCAGGTCTGGCAGCGACTTGACCTTGTACCTGGCCTTAAGCTCGGGGTTCTCGCCGACGTTAACGAAACCCAAAAGCAGCTTCTTGTCCATCACCAGACTGAGGGCCTTGTACACGTAGTTGGGTCCGGCCTTGTCACTGAATAGAAGCGCCTTGGGCATGGTCTCGAACTTGCCCATGAACTCAGGGAGCTTACCAGGCTTGATGACCTCCACTAGCGATGCCACATGTTTGACCAGCTCGCGCTTAATCATCGCGCTCACCATGTTGCCGGAGTAGTTGTAGGCGGGCATGGGCAGCTTTGGGTATACACGCAGCACAGGGGTCGAGTACCCAGCTCCGAGCTCGGCCTCGCAGATGCTCCGCAACGAACGTGAGCTGCAGTCCATAGCGACGATGGTGAATATACCCTTAAGCTCACGACTAACCACATCGATCTCCTTGTCGATCAGGCGCTTGATGTCGCTGTCCGAGGGCGTGTAGAAGAATGCCGCGGTAGACGTGGTCTGGCGTGCAACCTTTACCTTAGACACGAATGTGGTCTCGTTGCCCACCTGCAGTTCGTGCTGCATGGGGTCGATGAGCATCGACGAGCAGCCGATGCTGGCAACCGCAGCTGCCATAAGCGCAACCAGCGCGGCGGTCCAGTGACTTCTCGATTCCATGATGCCACGTTTATAGGACGCAATAACGATGAGCAGTGTTGTTGAATGTACTAACGGCTTCTTCAATCGTGCCGGTAGACGATAACTCGGCGTTGGCTTTGGCCAATATAGAAAAAAGGCGAGTGCTGGCGTAGCTTTTGCAGTCTGACGACGTTAGCTTTCAGCTTCAACGGCACTTGGGGACGAAGCTCCAGTGCCAGAGAGTAGCCTCGATATAGACACACCCGTGCGTCTAATGATAAGCACTGCAGCAGCTCGTGGACGGTGTCTGCAACCGTCGCTATCAGCCGTCGAAAAGGTGAGAGACGCTGGGCGCCAAAAAGCAATTCCGTGAATCTCCGAAAATGCGGTGTAGCTTCGCGTCTGTATACTATACAGATACGGCGGACTCGAGGGAGATGTGTATTACGCGCGTCGAGACCCCGCGTCAGCGCTGGGGCCGACATACACCCCTGCGTCGGGGAAGACGACCCGGGTCACGATCTCGGATCTGTTAAGCGATAACGGCATATAAATGCCAACTAGGCATCATATACTTTATCACAGCATGTAGTTGACCGGAATTTGTTTTACGTGCTTTCGTGTCTAGAGCTTGCACACCTACCAACATGATAAACGGGCAATTTACACACTAGCTTTGTAGTCACAGTACGGCGACAGCAGTTCATTACAATGCTTTCAAAGGTCATTCCCTACGCGTTACGGCGCAGGCAAGACCACAGTATACTATCCTACCAACCGCTCATACTCAACAACACAAAGTAGCAGGTTGTATCATGATGTGTGATATTATAGATAAGTCATATGTGGACTTCGTTACACCGTCGCATCCATGTCTGCCTAATGCGATTTCGGCTGTGGCATGAGCTGCGCCCCTGGGGGCGGTGCCCAGCAGACGAAGTTCACTGGTCTGCAGGCACCACGTTCCCGCTGTGTCATGCAGGTTCGGTATACGCCTTCGGCATGATGCACTTGTTGTAGAGCGGTATCTTGCCGTTCTTTTCGAAGAGCGCGAACTCCTGCAGCAGCATCTCGAAGGTGATGTCGTCTTCGATACTCGACTTCACAGCGTCAACTACGGCGAGGCTGTTGGGCAGCTTCTTGTCCATACGGATGCGCTCCGCGTACCATCCACCCTGCACCCACGTTCCGTTGTCGAAATCGTAGTCCGCCTTTCCATCGTTCAACGTCACGCCGTGGGTGGCGTCGCTCTTGGCGCGCACTTTCGGCACGAAAGTCCAGACGCGTGAGTCGGTGATCCATGAGCACTCCACGATCAGCTGCGTGATCTTGCTGCCGATTGCCATTGTCAGGATGTGTCGGTACACTTCGCCGTAAGGTGCCAAGTATTCGTTGTAGAACACCCTAGTTCCCCTAACCATAACGAACAGCTCCACTAGCCGCGGGCACCTCCGCTCGTCATACAGGACATCCACGCTGAAGTCGACGGTGTTGAGGTGCGGCGGCTTCCACTTAAGCAGCTTCGGACATGTGCCTGGCAGGTATTGCAGCCGCACAGGGGTGAAAATGAGCCCGTCACTCACGTGTGGGAGGCTCTGCGAGAACTTTTCGATGTGTGCTATCTGCGATATGTCGAAGAAGTCCTTCAGGTATATGGCCAGTGGCGGCTGTGCTGCTTCTGCTGGTGCCCCCTCAGCGGCTTCCGTTGTCGGCGCTTCCAGCGACTTCTGATATGGCAGTATCACGTCGGTGTAGACAATGGATAGACGGTCGAGGAAGTTGAGTTCCCGCAGAGAACGCCTCTGGACGTATACGCCGTCATAGCACATGAAACGCGGATGCTGAACCTCAACGCCATTAACGTGCATCGTGTCCACCACGATTTCCCCATCCAGTAACGTCAACTGCTGCGTTTCGGAAGGGTTGCCTCGTACCGGTAGGTGTATCGGTACATAATGCACTTCCTCATTTCTTCCAATCAGGTAGATGGCGCCCGACGCCGCCAGTAAAAGCGCACGAATACCGTCGGTTTTCTCGCACACCACGTAATCGCTCCGAAACAACAACGGCAGATCATTCCTGTGCGACAATTAGGCAAGTAAAATTGTGGCGGGTAAGGTTGTGCACACTGGCTAGAGAACGACACGATAGGCACTGTCGAGAAAAGTAAATGTAACTACGATAACACACATAGGTCAAGATGGAATAGAAGCACAGACCATCAACATGCAAACGTCTTATCACTACTATATAATGACAGTTATAGAGAAATGCATATTTGTTACAATTGTGGGTTAACCAGACAACACCATTAAGCGCATTGAACACCTGGAAAAACCAATAACAACCAGAAAATGGACCAAATACCAACTTAACGGCACACATTCATGACCACCCACATTAGAATCCAACACATTGAAAGTAGCAATAAACGATTCCCAACCCGCAATAAGCGCAACAGCGGGTAGAGATGAGGCCACCAGAACACCAAAACAGACCTCCAAACGCACAAAGCAAACACTTAAACACGATTATATAGGAACGAAACCGTGTAACACCCATATTCGATGTGAAAAACAATGAACACACGACGTAGACAACAACCCGCTGTAAGCGCTGCATGGGCTGCGAAAAGCGAGGACCCAGCACACGATTATGCAAACTACTGAGATACGTTATCCACCCATATATCCCACCTGTGTGATACATACCTGGTGAGAGAGACTGGCTGCGCTCCAGGGAAGGACTGGTGCTTCCAACCTAGCAGCTGACGCACCTTGGTCAGCACCTTGTCACGGTCCTCCTCGGCCGTGATGGGCTCCCCTGGCATCCGCAGCGACGCGTTGGGCGCCGCCTCGGCCATAGAAACCTCATCCATGGCGAAATACGTCAATGGACGGCGAGAAGACCAGGTCACCGAGGGGCTGCCGCGAAGTGCCAAGAGTAACTCCGAGCGTGGCGCCTATCCAGACATGGTTGCGCGCCTATAACGCGCAATTCAGATAGCTGCCATCATACGGGGTGCCCTTGTAATTGCGACTGAGCAATGGCAATGTGTAGGCAGCACTGCTCCTGGCGCTGAGCACCCCAAGAATCTCGCCGTGAATGCCGCGCCATGCAGCGGCGGTAACGAACACACCCCGCACACATCGTTTAAGCTTTGTATTTAGATTTCGATTTTCAGTTTTAACATTTGATAACTCCCGCGGCAGTCGTTGCGAGGTACGACTATCGCCACGGCCGGAGCAGATGTGTAAGCTGAAAAATGGACTATGAGCGCGCGGGGATCGGCTGCTGAGCTCATGAAAGGTACCAGGGTCCTAGAGGCGGACTCTCTGGTGGATTGAATGCATCCGAAAACATGTCAAGAGCGGAGAGCATGAAGGACGAACCTGACGACTCGGGGAGGTCCTCCCTGCAGCGGTCCATGGACGTGTTCTGGGCGGTTTCCAACCTCAGCGTGGAGTGGAACAAGAAGCTGCTGATGGGATCGTTCATTCCGTCCGAGAAGAAGGACCGCTACTGGAAGGAGAGCAACCTTGCGATGGCGCAGATGATCGTTGACAGCATCAAGAACCTCAAGGGCTGCTGGGTAAAGGTCGGCCAGATCCTGAGCACTAAACCCGGCATGCTCCCGCGCTGCTACGTCGAGGCGTTATCGCAGCTGCAGGACCGTATGGGTCACAGCGACTTTTCGGAGATCATCGACACGCTCGAGGAGGAGTTGGGGTACATGGACGACATCTTCAAGAATTTTGACTCTATCCCCATCGCGAGCGCGTCGATAGCGCAGGTGCACAAGGCCATGTTGCATGACGGCCACGTGGTGGCGATCAAGGTGCAGCACAAGTGCAGTGAGCAGAACCTGCGTAACGACCTGGAGATTTTAAAGATGATTTTGTGGGTCGCCCAAAGTATGGGCACATATCAGAGGATGTTCGCATCGATCGACGATTACACGGCTGCGGCCTTGCAAGAAATAGATTTCAAAATCGAGGCGGAGAGCTGCCGGCTCGCCGGCGTGGACGCTGAGGTGTCCGGCATCCCCATAGTGGTGCCACGCGTTTTCGACAAGTACTGCTCGAAGCGTGTGATCACCATGGAGTTCTTCGAGCTCTACAAGATGACCGATGTCAAGTTTTTCCAGGATAACAACATCGATGCGTCGGGCATCGTGTACGACATTCAGGACTTTGCCATATACCAGATCCTGTCGTCGGGAAAGTTTCACGGCGACCCCCACCCGGGAAACGTGCTGCTGACGCGCAGCAAAGTGGACAACAAGTTCTACCCGGTGCTGCTTGATTGGGGTATGACCCAGTCGCTGACGACCAAGCAGCGTATTGGGCTGTGCCACCTCACCTACGCTATGTGCATCGGTGATACCATAGGGTGCTTCATGGGTTTCGTTGAGGCGGGCTTCGACATGACGGCCCACAAGGACTTCAGTTACGAGCGTTTCCTCGAGTCGCTGCTGAACATCTTCTCGTCCGATTTCAGCAAGGTCATGGATTTCTGCGCGGAAGACGGTTCGATGAACCTTGTCTCTGAAGACGAGAAGGCCGGCGAATGGCACTACCAGGGGCGCATCTTCATCAAGGATTTCATCATCAACGCGCCGAACTTCTTCCCCATTCTGCTGAAGGTCGTCTCCGAGTACCGCAACTATGCTATCACGCTCAAGGTGCGGCTGCCCTTCCTGCAGATTCTGTACAAGAACAGCGGCAATGCGCTGTACAACGTGTACTATACGCCGCTGTTACATCTAATGTCGAGCGAGTCTAACAAGGCAAAGTTCTTACGCAAGGCCCGGCGCGTGAAGCAGGTGCTCTCGGCCGACTGCGTGGAGGTGACCGATGAACAGGTTGTCACGAAGGTGCTGATGCACGTATCCACGTCAATGAAGTCTAAGGTGCGTCTTTCGGAACCGATCAGTTTCAGGAAGCCCCGTTGCTTATTGGAGGCCAAGGTGTCCGCCTTCCTGACGCACATAGCGAAGGACAGCAGCCTGCTGGTGGCGGCGCAGGTATGTGTCATTCGCAATGGAGCGGTTGAGGTGGACTTGGCGCACGGGTCGATGGGAAGGTACGAGTGCAGGCCCGTCAACTCCGTGGCGCTCTTCCAGGTCAGCCACATGATGAACGGGCTGATAGCCACTGCCGTCCTGAACCTCACGACGCATTACGACGTCTCTCTGGACGACCCCATCAGCAAGCATTGGCCTGAATTCGGGCAGAATGACAAGGAGCAGGTCACCATCAGGGAGATGCTGAACCACTCCTCCGGGCTGGTGATGCCGTACCCCAACATCCTCCTCATAGAGAACCTGGACTACGAAACCATGATAAAGGACATTCAGCAGGCTAATTTGCACAAAGAAGCCATTGGCATGACGAACTACGGCTACCTCTACTTCGGGTGGATCATGGGAGAACTCGTTCGCCGCGTCACCGGCAAGACCGTCGAGGAGTACATTCTCGGCTTGGCACGTGATGTCAGCGTGCCTTTGGGGCAGTTGGTCTTCCCGTCGCTGCCGCTCAATTCGGATGTTTACAGACCAGAAGCACCTGATAACGACGGCTCCTATGAGGTTGTGCACTTGGATGCAACGTCTGCCATAGACCTGGACGAGCAGATGATCGAGATCCCTCTGGGCTCGCCCAACTGGAATGATTCATCGGAGGATAGCACGCCAGCGTTCTGCCAATCACCAATGGTGGCGCTTGACGCAGTGTCGCCATTGGCAGGCAGTATGCAAGCTACACCTGCGATCAGGTCGGACGTCAATCTGAACGACTCCGTTGGAAGCGCGTCGAAACTAGTGGTGCCAGAACCGAATACAGCCGACGATAAAGGCAGCGGTGTCATTGCGGATAAATGCACCGCGGCACTCAAGTCCAAGGCGACATCGCTTGTCGATCTCCACCCGCCCGACACTAGACGACAGTCCTCCGAGGACCTCGGCGAAATGATGGGCACCATAGTGGACAACGGCAAGGAAATCCCGATGAGCAAGTTCACGATGATCCAGACACAAGGCTTCGCGAACAAAGGCCTCGACTCGAGCGGTTCGCATGATATGTTGGACATCCTCGCCCCCAACATCACGCAGCCGAACTCCCCTGGCAATGAGTTTGCGGGTGCCGAGAAAGATGTCGAATACATTAACGCCGACGCGACGGTGGACATCAAGGAGGTGCTGATGAGCAAGGAAGAGTTCTTCAGTCTGCCGCAAATGTCGGAGACGCTGCCCACCGCCGAACAGAACATCGAGAAGGCCAAGACCATGAAGGCGTCAAGGCGCAGGCGTTGCGTTGGACGCATGCTACAGCGTCTTGGTGCGGTTGCGCGTGAGGGAGCAGAAACCGCGGCTCCCCAGCGCCGCTGCTGGTGTACGGTGACGGATGACAGTGACGAGCTCACTTACCATCGCTGCTTCTACCCGTCCAACCGGTGCCCGGTGGAGACCCGGTTCGTCCGGAACCACCGCACGCCGTTCTTACGGCTCGACGACCTCGACGTCTCGGAGACCGAGAAGATGGCAAACCAGGACCTCGCGGAGGGCACCAACGGCCGGTACGACCCCGTGCTGGTATCGGACAGCGACGTGGTCACCGATGACGACGAGCTCAGCGAGCTGGACCTCATGGACGAGAAACAGACGCTGAGTCGACTGCGCCTTCGCAAGTTCATCATGAAGCGGCAGCCAGTCAACCGTGTGTTCCACCACAGCAACTACGACGTGTTCAACTACCGGTGCATCATCACGGACCCCATGGCCATGGAATACGAGCCCATCTATCAGAAGTCGGTGCCAGGCCTCAACGGGCGCGCGAGCGCCGTAGCCCTCAGCCGCTTCTACCAGGCCGTGCTGGACGGCACGCTGGTGGACAAGCGGCTGCTGGCGGAGGCCGAGCGCACGGTCGCGGTGGACCGCAGCATCGTAACGAAGATGATAACCGCGCTGTACACCCCTGCCTGGGGCTTGGGGTACCAGCGTTTCTACCTGCAGCGGCAGGGCAGTGAGGAAATGCTTATCGGTCTGGGCACCGTGGATGTATCGGGATCTCTGACGCTGATGGTGCCGAAGCTCAAGCTGGTGGTCACTATGCTATTTTCGTGCACGAAGAGCGTGGCGCTCTCCCACTCGCTGCTATCGTTGGTGCTCGGCCACTACGGCCTGAAGCTGGCGCACGCTAACCTCAACGTGGGTGACCCCACGTCACTATATAGACTTTTGGCGACAATTAAGATTTAAGTTATTTTGATCGCTTCCGGTCCATGGGTCTCAGAATCTGGAAAGAGCACATGAGCGTCTTGTCGACGCTCATCATGGCGCCCGCGTTGTCGAACTCCCCGCAATAATTCGGGGCACTAAAAAGCGTGACCAGACGTCGCTTGGAAAAAAATTCGTAACCGTCCTCCACCACCTGATGGGCGCGGCAGATGAGGTCGAGTTCGTGCTTGATCAAAAAGTTGACCACGATGTCGGAGCCGAACGTGAACGAAACTCCTCGGTCATTTTCTCCCCACCCCGTGGTGTTCGTGTCCGGATCACTCCAAAGAAGGTCGCAGAGAAGGCCGGTGTCCGGCACGTCAGTTGGTCGCGCAATCTGCCGGATCTGGTCCATGGAGTTCAGCTCCGGCGAGAGACCGCCGTGCATGCAAAGTATCTTATCGTCAATGATCGCAGCCACAGGCAGGCAGTTGAAGCAGTCCGTGAACACCTTCCAAAGCTTCACGCTGTAGCGGCGCTTGCACTCGTCGTAAAATCCGTAGATGCGGTTGATGGACGCACACTCATGGTTACCGCGCAACAAGAAAAAGTTCTCAGGGTACTTGATCTTGTACGCTAGGAGCAGGCAGATGGTCTCCAGCGACTGCTTTCCTCGGTCGACGTAGTCCCCAAGGAAGAGGTAGTTCGCGGTAGGCGGGAAGCCGCCGTACTCGAAAAGGCGCAGCAGATCATAGTACTGCCCATGAATGTCTCCGCAGATTTTGATAGGTGCTTCCAACTCCAGGAGCACCGACTCCGACAGAAAGATCTCGCGGCTCTTGAGGCAGAGACTGCGGATCTCCTCCTCGCTCAGCTGCACGCTACGCAGCGGCCTATTGCTTTGCACTTCGAGCAGGCGCTCGATGATATTGTCTACTTCCAGTTCCATATTAAAACTTACATCCCATACAGACGACGAATGCGATTCCGTGCTCGGCCCGGGGCAAAATTCGAAACGCCGAGGGATGATCCAACCGGCCGGCAAAACCTATGCCCATCCTCCGCGCATCCCTAACGGAAACGCTAGAGCCTCACCGTCGCTAAAGTTCCTTCCTCGCAGAGTCCACGCTAAAGCGGTTTACGCGGAGTGCTCCGCGGCCACCGATAAGCTGCGCGAACGAGACGGACCCGCGGCGTGAAGCGCAAGGGGCTAAGGCGTGTTGGCGCGATAAAAGGCAACTGCCCGTCAACAGCAGGTGTTCCGTTGAAGTTTTCGGTATGTGCAGCTGAGGGGTAAAGGGGCGCCGCGCGACGCACCACTATATTGGGAGGCACGGTTGCGCCATCTAAAAAGAAAACTACGGTAATAGGCTAAACCGATAGTTTCAGATTGCTTTTATCAAAATATGTGTGTACGCCGCACTGCCGTTGAAGCGAGCTGCCGTGGCGCGTTCTGCACCTTCGATCCATGGTGCCGAAAACACCAAGTGGGCCGGAACCGTCTTGCAACACCTCCTGCTAGGCACGCATGAGTATTCGGTATTGCACAGTGCTAGTTATACAATGAGTTTGGCACCTTTATGTCGTTTAGCATATTGGCGTACCGGGGGAGCTAGCGGTGATAGCAGCTACACATCGTCGAATCCTTTCATTCGCCCAAAGGTACCTTTTATTCTGAACCCTCGCAATATACGGCATATCGTAGATCGTGCCGATTCGACATCGATCCAGCTTTTCCTTATGTGACCGCTCATTTGCCAGTTTCTGCCGCACCTTTCACCATAGATCAGATAGCGATTAGTTTTGTGCACTACTTATCTGTCGCGCTTAACAACAAACTGTGTGATCGGAAAATCTCTACTACGCACTAAATAGGTGGCGGGCAGAGGGCACCTTTTTAAGAGCATCGAAAACCAATACATGTGCATCACATAAGGGCGCGACATGTAGTACAAGAACACAGCGAATTACATCGTATGCAACATTATAGTGAGTGTATGTCACATTCCGAGACAATGTGGCTGTAATCGCGCACTTAAACGGGAACCACATAGGCTGTTTGAAACGTCACTGCCGAAGTTTGGTCAGGTACTCCGAAGCCAACGTTTTCTGCCTGCAATCATGTGAATAACGTCATTTGAACAGCTTTGAACCCACTTTTTGAGAAATGAAACATCCACCAGATCCTTGCCCTTCACCTCAGCACGGGTGGCACTGCGCTTCGCCGTAACGGGGGTGTCCCGCGACTTCGGCTCCCCGCTTTTGCGGAGCACCAAGTCGTCGACGGCGTTCTTCAGCGCCGTGTTCGCTTGCAGGTCGGAAAAATGCAGCTCGCTCTGACATCGGGGGCAGTGGTAGATGCGGCTGAGGTCGATCTTGGCGCGGCCGCCAGCACGGTCGACTACGCATTCGAGGCAGAACGATACCCCGCAGCACAACACTGCCACCGGGTTGTTGAAGAAGTTGTTGCAGATGCTGCAGCGCAAACTGCGCACCATGTTCTTCGACTCGGCCTCGCTCAGACCAAGCTGACTCTGGATCCGTTGGTCGGCAGACTTGGTGAAAAATGCACCGCCCGAAACCCTCGACATGTCCTTCATGACGGCGAACTCGCCAGCTGAACCGGATGGGTGCCACGTTGCCCGAACTCACTCCTGAGGAGGTACACCTCGCCGTAGTTGCCGATCTCGTCCTCCCCGATGACTTGCAAGAAGTCCACAGGGATGCCCGTCGCAAGCCGGACCTTCTTGTGCGGCTTCTTGCCATCCGATTGCGTGCAATTCCTGATGTGGTGGCCGCGCTGCCCGCACAGATGGCAGACGTAGTTCTCGGCCACCGGTATGACCTCTGCGGCGCCGTGGTCGAACCGGTGACCAGGTGTCGAATAGCTAGCGTGAGAGTGTGACAGCCTTCTAACACCACGGGGTGCGCCACCTGTAACAGGCGCTCCTGGCGCCGCTAACGTTCTATGGCGATAGTATCGACGCGAAACCGCTTCCGTGCTCTCCCCACCATAGAAGTCGCGTTCTTGCATGGCGGCCCGGATACGGCTGTCCTCATCGTCGGAATCGATGGCAGACTCTGCATTCACTGAAGACGCGCCGCCATTTAACAGCGACGGCTCCGATAACGAGCTGTGTGTAGTGGCATCGTCAAACTCGCCAGCCGTGCGTTGCCTCGTAATAGTAGGAGACCCCCCGACGAATGCCGTAAGCTTCCTATCTTCCACAGTTTCCCCGTTCAGGGATTCCGCGTTGGACTCTTGCGTTTGAGATTCCATAGAAGGCCGAGACGAAATTGTCGCCGAGCTGCTTTGCGCCATGGAGACTGTCGTTGCGATTCGAGATATGCTGCCCGTATTTGACTCCGATTTGCTGGTGGAGGCGGCTATGCCAGGGACTGCGAATCGTTTCTCAGCGGCCTCCAACAGTTTCCGCGCCTCAGCTGCAGGGCAGCGGGCAACAAGCACTTGGCACTGCTCGCCCAGGCTGTAGCTGTCCGGTAGGACTTCAGGCTCGTTCGACGGCAGATACAGCACGAAGTCGATTGCCGTAACGTTCTGTAGGCCGCACTCCTCCTTGAGCTTCTCTCGGGCGATCCTCACCGTGCACGGCAAATGCACCAGCCTCGAAGTGCTGAAGGCAGAGCTGGTGCCCTTCAACTTCCACTGCAGCATCTCCGACATCTTGATAAGCGTCTATCTGGAGTATAGACGGTTGTGAGAAGGCTTGGCCTGCAAGAGACGGCTACAACAAGAAGCCGGCAATATGCTTTACGACTGCATTCAACACAGGACGGACATTACAGCAAAATAGCTGGTATCACATGGCACAATGAACCGGCACATTCGGCATTAGAATCACGCAGAACGGTATCAAACGCACATACGGCGCTACAATCACCGTTCGGAGCGAAACTTCACACCGGGTGACCTAACACCCCCGACGGAATACAGCCGGCAAGTTGGTCAACACGTATCGCAGAACGCCCGCGACCCAAACACGGACACCGCTCGGCAAGCGAGACTACCCACCCTAGATGTTCAACCGACCTAACATGCACACAAAGCATAGAGCACATGGCAGCACGCGCAGACTCTATCAGTGGCAGCCAGTGGACTCAGTGCCCAAGGATATAATCAGAAGTTCTTAACTAGCACAGCACTAGGATGACATCAACGTCCCAAGGGTCCAACAGAACACGAGGGACGTTGGCGAGCGAAGGCGAACACGGTCGGTACTTCCAGGAAAGGACAGGTCAGCCGAAACAGCGTCTTCTTGCGATATAGTGGCGCTTAGCCAATAGAGCTTGACGACCTGAGTAGAATATAAGCCTGTTGATAAAGCAAAAACATGTAATCCAGAGCACGCGAGACGCATCACACAGGCACACCGACAGCTGCGCCGCCTAGAGATAGAACACTACGGCCACGGCGCCAATGCATTTAATATAAGCACACATCAATTTTCATAGAGCCTAACTCACCCTTAGATGACTCCCGGCGAGAGAAACCCGTCAGCAGAGACTCTATCAGGTCGTTGTGGCTTACTGCAGTACCGCTGGTGTCTAAAGCGGCAGCATACAGCGCGCCAATTTCATACGAAAATTTAAGTAGGAGAGCGGGACAGAACCATGGAGCGGCACTGTCTATCCACTAACCTGCGAAAGCGCCAGGCACAAGCAGCAACGCGCACCCCATAACGACGCAAAAACGAATCATGTAGCACAAGTGGAGGCATTAGAGTAGCTGTTTGCTAAAAGACGTCCGGTGGGCGTCGCGTGAAATGGGAGTCGCATGGTCCGCACGACGACCCCGCGCCCACAGAGCCGACGTAGGCGTTGACGCACTCCTTGAGGCCCAGCAGCTCATCCCTGAGCGCCACCTTCTCCCTCATCAGGCTCGATGCGAGCACCTCGCTCGCCTGCAGCCGTCGTATAGTCTCGTACTGGTTGCGAATGACGTTGCAGAGCACGTTGTTGCGATGCAGCAGCTGGCCGATGCGATTGGAAAGCTCCTCACTCTGGTCCCCCTGCGAGTTTTCGGGCTGCGAAGTGTCCTCGCATCCCCGCGATATTGCAGCGTGGTAGAACTGGGTCAGGTAGTTGGCCAGCGGCTCCTTAAGGTCTTGCGTGCTCTGCATGCGGCGAAGCCCATCCACAATCTTCTCGCTCCACTCCGAAGCGAGCTCATGCAAAGAGATTGCGTCCTCCTCATCAGGTAGAATAAGTGTCACTGAAGAAGGGCTGTCGCTTGGGCGTGCAGGTGAGTCACGGCGCCCGGTTGCCGACTCTTCGTACAGCGAACGGACGCTACAGTGGCGCTTGCGGCTCATCCTGCCGAAAGTCTCATCGCAGTAGGCGCTCTCCGGAATACCCGGGTCGCTAGTGCACAGAATCTGTCCTCGTTTATTCGTCATCCTTAACTAATAATGTGGCTTTCCGCCTCCGATAACAAAAGGTGCTCGACAGCGTCGAGATGCGCCCGCACGTAAACGCAACTGCAAGGCCGATTGTGAGGACCCTAGCAGATTATTACGTGACAGTCACACGCCAACTCTTTTGGCGCGCGAACACTAAGCCGCCGCCTCCATTCAACCTCGACAGAAAATCCGAGTGTCGCTGCCAATGGTCACCAGGCCGAAGCCACTTCTCGCAGACGAGTTGCGTCTAGATCCGTAATAATATACACACGTCCGTAATCGAAATTGCCTGCTTGATACTGGCGCGCCTTGAGAACGATTAGGTGTACACGCAACAATGTGACGTGTCCCTCGTATGATACCAGATGGACCGAAGTGCCTTTACAGTAAGGAAAACGGCCTGTACGTACATCCTAATTCGCCGCTGAAATTCCTCAGACGGCCTCCCCGGGTAATAGTAGCCGAGCAATTGATGACCGTATGCGAAGGGAAGCCACGGGTTCACCAAGGGTTATAGGCGGCTCTGCGGCGAGTTACCTGCAGAAACCGTTATTAAAAACTCGGGACAATAAGCCAGCGATTGTTTGAGCAGGTTATATTTCTATACACTCGGCCGTGCTGCCGAGGTATCCGCGCACTCCACCCAACATGTACGGCGACAGACCGCAAACTGCGATAGCACGTCAGGTTATCTGCCTGCAGACATAAAGCGGGTCGCTAGCGCAATATGTCACGCCACCCAGTGTAGCGACATGGACCTATATCTGCCGCGAGTCGACGGCCACGGGACGGGCAGCGTTTCATGTGTCTACCCCGCAACACGCGCCTAATAGACACATTGTTTCCAACACAAGCCTGCGTCGTGCATTCGCTAACTCTGTTGAGCATTCAGTATGCGTTTCCCTCCCAGGGTGTACCACTGTCGCTTTTAGTGGAAAGTGCCGATCCTTACGTGTTCAAATCCGGCGCTGAGAGGCATCCGCGTCGCGGCAATTTGCACCGTACGGTGGCATATCGGCTAGTAATCAGTTCTTGGTGCTACGGTTGCGTAGCGCAGGTATACAGACGGAGAGCACTGCACATCACATACAACGCCCTTGACTTTAAAATTTTGGAAGCTTTCTAGCTACACATACAATCATTAGCGTCACACACGTGTTGCCAATTAGCACAGACTCGCGGGAGGTGAGTTGTGTTGGCGATCACTAGCGTGCTGACGACGACCCAACCTTCCGCAGGGATGGAGTGATTCCATCCTGGCAAAATGAAAAAATTCTACCAATGCTTTCATTAATGGGTGTAAGTGCGGCTCAATGACAGGTACAAGGTGTAAAGAAGGCTGATACAGCCGTGGCAATCGCAATGCCGCCATTAACATTCGCATGGTGTGTCGCGCACATGTGCTTGGTGACAATGGCGGCGACATATCGCATCCACCGTGTGGAAGACACTTCGTGGCTGAGCATATCTGCGCCTTATGCGCGTTGCGGCGCGCAGTTTGGTTTTATCTTTGCCCCTGGCTCCGAGAGAGGTGGTATAAGACATACATCGCACTGGCAGCTCTCACACACGGCTTCGACTAACCAGCGCAATGCTTCATTTCAACGCCTAGACGATGCGGAAAGCGCACAACACAGCCTTCAGAGACCGCTTTGCCTCTATGCCAGGCCAAGAAAGAACAAAGGTATGTCCATAATCTCCCAATCGCCATGCTGTGCAGTGGAATCCTCGACTACGGATGAACCACCTTTAACGGCACAAAAGCCGGATGGCGGCATTGATGCAACACCTCCTGCTAAAGGCGCAGAAGAAGAAGCAGGGATTAAGGTGGAGGCTGATGTGGGAGTTCCCACTGATGCCACAGCTCCCCCGAAGCGCAGGAGGGGGCGACCCAGAAAGGTTAAGGTCGAGGTAGAGGCCGAAGTTTTAGCCGCCACCGATACTGACAGTAACATTCCTACGCCCGAAGCAATTGATGATAATGCGTCTGTAGAACCAGAAATTGGAGATTCAGATGCGGCCGATGTGATAATGTCTGCGACCACTGCTGACGAAGGCGGTACGCAACAACCCACAGATACTCAACAGGACCCTATAATTGACACAAATCAGGAAAGTGAGGTTAATCAAGACGATCATGCGGATATTGAAGCTGAGGATGATGTTGAACGCGCTGGTGAAGTAGAGCAGCACGATGTGGTTGATACTGCTACGGAGGATACCGTGGAAGAATCGCAAGGTGATGTTAAAGATGATGAGGAAGAAATAGAAGTTGCTGAGGTGACAACAATTGCAGACGAACCTGTTAACAATACGGACGAAGAAATCGAATCAGTGACCAAGGCGGAAAGTGCACCAGAAACCGACGTTGCCGCCGAGGAAACCGAGGGGGATGATCCCGACGATCAGGAAAATGTGGATGCACCACCTAAATCTGATTCCAAGGATACAGGGAGTTCGGAGGAATCTGGGAGCAAGGGCCCTAAGACGTTTCTGCAGATGTTGGAAGAGCAACTAGCATCGCGGAAGACCCGGCTTCCGGAGTCATTCTACGCAGAGGAAGTGTACAGTACGTTTGACAATACGAAGCTTCCAGAGGGAGCTAAGACGCTGATGGACTTCTACAACCTGCCGAAGAACTTCGACTTCAAAAGCATGGTCGACCTATCCCTCCACGGCACGGACGCGTTGGACACGCTGGGCGTCTACGGCACCAGCAAGCCGCAGAAGGCGGAGGAACCGGTGTACACCGGCAAGTACCCCGACAGCTTCTTTGAGACCATCTTCCACTACGAGCCGGAGCCGAGGCGGTACACCACCGCTGAGGGCACCCCAGAACCCGTCGCAGTGGAACAGGTGTTCTACTCCCTGAAGGGCAAGCGACCCAGTGATATAGTGCCTCCCGAGAGGCAGTCGCCCGTGGAAAAGATAAAGGAGGACTATCTTATGTTCGATGTGCACGACTACCTCAAGCACTACCTGACTCATCTAAACCAGTACAACTACCGGGTGCTGAGCAGCCACCACAAGAGGGACGACACTTTGAACCACTACCTCAACAACGAATACATCCAGTACATTCCCAAGAAGTTTCCGCCTGAACCAGACCATACGGAGAAGATCAGGGCTTACTTCATGGATATATTGCCAGAGCTGATGGACACCCTGGTCAACCTCATCAAAAACGACCCCAACAAGGATCGGACCCCTTCGCCGCCGTTGCACGATATGGACTTCGCGCCGGGTTTCAAACTGCCAGATTACATGCAGAAAGGCTACGAAACTGACGACGAGCGCACCAGCGGGTTTGAGGAAAAGGACTTCCTCAGGTTCTCCAGCCTCCAGGGTCTGCACGACCCGGAGAGGCACCTGAACTATCCGTACGCGGACGTTGAGCCGCTGTACCAGCGCCAGCTGCTGTCCACGTACCTGGATTTGGTAAAGACTGGCGAGCTGGGCGAACCGGAGACCTACAAGAAGTTCAAGGCTCAGGCCGCCAGCATCAGGAACGAGCTGTACACCGACCGGACAAAGCTCCCCCAAGAGATATACGGCAGTGCGGGCGCCAAAGAAGGGAAAACCGCTCGTACACCAATAGAGCGCACCACCAGGCTCACCAAGGTGTACGAGCGCGGGAGCCGGAAGCGCAGCGTTGCGCTAGTCTACCTGGAGCCAGGCAACGGGCACATCATCATCAACAACAGGGATGGGTACCAGTACGTCCGGTACTGCACGCAGCGCATCAGGGAGATGCTGGAGCCGTTGGACGTGCTCTACATGTACAAGAAGTTCAACATCGTCGCCGTTGCGCGTGGCGGTGGCATATCCGGACAGACGGGCGCCATTAGACACGCACTCGCCAGGTACCTCACGAAGGTGCTGGCGCCCAAACTCGAGCCCTATCTGTCGATGCGTGACCTCACGAAGGCCGATACGCGGCAGGTCGAGCGAAAGAAAACCAACTTGCGCAAGGCGCGTAAGGAGGAGCACTACTCTAAGCGTTAGCGGGCTATGGCCACCCGCGCCGAAAGGCGACCCAAATATAATATTTTATTACACATTACACACTATAGCATAGCACGATGGCGAAGAAAAAGAACTGGAAGCGCATAGACGTTTCCACCGTGCACGAATCGCTCGTTGAGAGCAACATCGCAAAGAGCGTTGCCAGGGATGGTATCTCCGATAAAATAGAGATCGATATCGTCGGTAAGTTGCCCTTGAGGTGGTCGCAGAGCGCTCATGATTAAATAGGTGAGGCACCGTCGAAGAAGCTCGCCAAAAAGATCAAGGCGCAGCAGGCCGCCGGACCGTTAGCCGCTCGTGGCGCTGTGGAAAAGGCCAAGCTGATGAAGCTGGTGGAGAAGATCAAGCAGAAGAATGAGAGGATCGAGATTGACACCGACGAATCGGATGGTCGCCGCAAGGTGGGTTGCCGCTACCAGTGGCATGACTGAAATGTTGCAGAGGGAAAGCGACGACATCTGGTCGGAGGGGACTGAGAATTTTGTGAAGCGCCGTCCCAAAATGCCAAACCTCGCCAAGGTCATCCCTGCAGTTGCGGCGCCGCACGCAGGCCAGAGTTACAACCCTACCCCGGAGGCCCATGCAGAGCTTATCGACCAGGCGGTCGAGGCGCTGCCGAAGGAGGAGCTGGAATCGGACTACCCGCTGACCGACCTCATAGAGAAGGCCCTGCCGACGCTGGAGGTCGAGAAGCTCACCTTCATACAGAAGCAGAAGTTGGCGCATCTGGTGGTGCAGAATAACGTCAGCGAGGAAACCATCATGGAAGTACTACAGGAGACCCCCGAAGAAGGTGGCGAGGAGGATCCTAACGATGACGAAGATGAGGAGGAAAGTATGCCAGAGAGACGCAGCCGCGCCAACAGGCTCAATAAGAAGACGCGGGCCCAGCGTAACAGGATCAAGCAACACAGGGAATCAATGAAGCAAGCGCAGATGCGAAAACGCGTCAAACAGCTGGTGCACGACATCCGAAGCCTGAAGAAGGATGCCATCACCGCCGAGGACACTGATGCCAACCGAGAAGGAAGGGAGGAACGGCTGCGTAGGTACCTTGAGGGACTTGTAAAGGGCAAGAACGTCCCCAGGTTCGGAAACAAGGTCTACAAGGCGGACCCGCCGCCAGTCGCGCTCTCTGATGAGATGAAGGCCTGCCTCAGGCAGCTGCAGACACCGACCAAGACCCCGGTCGACCACGTACTGGATTCAATATACAGGCGTGGGCTCGTGCCAGCGCCGCCTGTTATCGACGAGAAGTACCGCGAACACGCGCGTAAGCGGGTCATCAAGCACGCGGTGAAGTTCAAGAGCAAGCTGCTGCAAGGCACCTGATAGGTCGCGCAGGCAGCCGCGCACACTGCACTAATGTAGTCCGAAACTCACACCCCGTTAACATGTTTAAAAATTACATTGTCGAGGACCTAGTCACGCTTGAAGTTGCGGAGTACCTCGACGACGCACACCGGAAGCTCACCGAGAAGGTGGAAGACAAATACGTCGACAAGGCAAGCGGCGCCTAGACAGAGGCTCAATTAGCGCAGGTTATCTCGGGTGTAGGACTCGTTGTCCTCGTGCAGGAGTTTGCCGTCCATTCGGAGCCCAAGATTCTTCCCAACGACGCCAGCGCCCTCTTCACCCTGCGGCTTAAGCTGCTAGTCTTCGCGCCGGAGGTCGGCGAGCTGCTGAGCGGCACCGTCGTGGGCTCCGACTCCGCGGGGATAGAGGTGTCGCTCGGATTCTTCAGCGACATCAAGCTGATATCGCTGTTCATGCCGCAAAACGCGGCGTTCGACCAGGATGCCAAGGCGTGGTATGTCGTAGAAAACGACACCAAACGCTACTGCAAATCGAGCACCTCTGTCAACTTCCAGGTCGTAGAGGTCACTTACAACGAGATGAACGGTACGGTCCATGCATAAGCGACTCACGGACTGCAGACCTTTCGAAGGACGACCAGTTGCCAGTCATGCTTGTGATCGGCAAGCTGGCGTGATAATCGCATCGCAATGTGTCAGATAATGTGGCGAATAGCCAAACGGTGTCTTAATTTTTTTAGCATCATAGCCATGCGTGCACCGCCATGGCGATACCATGCTGCCAATGGCACGTATTGTTACGAAAAACATCACCGTAGCCAAACGCTTCGCTTAACATAAGCGACTAAAACTACACACAAATCACGCATGTGAACCCACGTAAGGCATGTGCTAGCATCGAAACGATTGAACATAGTGACACATTGCTGGCATACAGCCTGCTTGGAGTGGGCATCGCACATATGCTCATCATGCGTCATCCCGTGACGCCTCTAGCGAACGAGTACGCAGGTGGTTGAGGTGAGCTGCGCAGCATATGCAGTCGGCAGGTGACGAGGTAAATTACCTTGGTACTGGTCGGGGTCGATGGCACGCTGGATGTCTTCCAGGGAGCAGGAGTCGGCGAAGAATCTGTACAACACATAAGCCGACCTGGGTCAGCCTCTCACCTGTGTTCTACGTTTGGCGAAACATGCACGATGATTTCGGGCCGAGCGTCATAGCTGTGCAACATGTGGAAGGCCAGGTGGTACACACCTCAGCAATTCGTAGGCGTAAGATAACTGCGGAAAGCGCCGGGAAGTTTCCGGACGCATCAGAGTGAGTAGCAGGCGGCGGCACGTTTCGCTGTTGCGCGATCCCGGCCGGTAGCGAATATGGACGCGTTCCACGTACGCCAGCAACGGAAGGCGCGCAAAAAGGTCATACCGGGGCATCCTAACCCGAGCAAGCCCCTCTAACGGATGTTAACTTGCCATGTGATGTGTTAGGAAGGAATGTGTGGGTGGAAGTCGGAGCATGGTGACGCGCGACGAAGAGGTACCCGCTTACACGCGTATAACTCGGCGCAGGTGAGACACTAGACACCGGCTTCGGACCGAGGGCTGGAGATGCCGCGCAATACGAAGTGTTTTAGCATTCGTTTGCCGGTGAAGGAGGAACTCGGAGCGTCCCAGCGCTCGCAACATCGGCCGTAGAGAGGAATCGGGGTAGTAAAGGGCCAAAACGCCGCCACAGGATGCCAGACATCTGACACCGCATGACTACCCGGTCACCATGTCGCGGGTGAAGAGGCGTCAGCCTAGATTCGTCATCCAGCTTCATGATCGCAACATCAGCTTCGTCAAGGCGAAAGACGAGGCACAAGAGAAGAGCGACGAAATCGAATTCTTCAAGGATGGCAAGCTGCATACGACCAAGCGCAACCCTCAAGTTGCGGAAGACGCCAATGCGCCCTTCAAAAAAGCCGTCGAGCTCATCGAGACCCTGCAGGGGAGTGATGCATTCGGCGTCGACCGGCTGCCAAGCGCCAAGCACAACGAGAAGTTCGACAAGATGGCGGGCGGGCTGTTCAACCCGGGCATCAACATATGCTTTATTAACGTCATCTTGCAGGTGCTCACGCACTCGCCCTACCTCGCCCCGGCCATGATGAGAGGCGCCCACTCCAAGGTCTGCTCCAACGCGGTGCGCAAGATCGTATGCGTCACGTGCTTGCTGGAGACGCACGTCAAGAGGGCGTTGGGCACCCGAGTGCCCTTGAAGAACCCGCTTGTACATCTCGTACAGAGGCTCATTTGGAAGCAGTACCGTCTGGGTCGCCAGGAAGATGCGTTCATCTTCCTGAAGCACCTCCTCGAGGCGCTCATCAAGGGGTGCTACGGGTCTAAGTACTCCAACAACCCTGTCACGATGGTGCCGCAGAACGACGTCATGCGGAGTTTTATAGGCAGGATCTTCGGCGGGTTCCTGAAGAGCGTGGTCATGTGCACCCACTGCCAATACAGGTCCGAGAAGCTCGAGACCTGCTTCGACATCTCGGTCGACATATACCGGGGGAACAAGCTGGTGGATCTGCTGACGGCGTTCTTTAAGGAGGAGACCCTGGACAACAACAACAGGTACAACTGCCCCAAATGCAAGCGGCACCGGAACGCCACGAAGGCGATGTCGATATACCGCGCCCCCAGAATCATGAACGTAGTGCTCAAGAGGTTCGGAATGGGCTCCTACGGTTTTGAAAAATGTAAAAAGGAGGTCTCGTTTCCCCTGAGCTTCTCAATGTCGATACACACGTCAAAGCAGTCGAAGCCAGTTTGGCTAACCTACGACCTTTACGCAGTAGTCTGCCATCTCGGCGGTTCGCTGCACATGGGGCACTACGTGACGTTCGTGCGGGGGCAGCACGGGTTCTGGAGCTGCTACAACGACGCCGCGGTTTCCACCGTCTCCCAGGAAGCCGTGCTAAGGCTCAAGCAAGAGGCCTATCTGCTATTCTATGCGGTCAACGACGAATGCGCGCAAGTATGTGACCTACTTACCAACGACAAGGCAGTCACGAACATGTTCACCACAAAATCCTCCCCCGTCAATCGCAACCTGCAGACCACCACTGCGCATTATCGGAACGACGTCTTGCGCGAGGACTCGATTGCGGACGACGCAGGAACGGACAACTGGCCCAAATGGCCACTGTACGATTCCGTTGGGCATGAGCAGCCTGCCGCGCAGGAGCACAAGGTTCCACCCGCGACACTGTCAAGCAGCACAAGCGAGGACTCCGAGGAGGAAACAGTCGATTCTGACACCGAACCTGAAAATGAGCTAGATGAGTTGCTGAAAATCGATAGTCCGCGAATGGACTCGTTAAGGGTCGTGAAACACTTTGTTACGAGACGGTCACATGGATACCGATTGAAACTGATCAGGCTCTTCAAGCAATACCAGATTTCTCAGGACGTCGTCGATGACATCATGCGCATCAAAGAGCACATAATGGACCTCCGGAATGCGGCGGCAGCCGAGGAACCTCAGAAACAGGAGGTTCCAGAAAGTGACGGCGAAGCGCATTTGCGGCCGCTAGACCTGGACACGATGCCAGACAGCGACGTTGACACATGGTCAGATGCAGATCCCGGTGAAGATTACCACCAACTTAAGAGCAGCATACATCCAGAGCTGCCTAAGAGATCGCAGGAGGACGTGGACTACGACCGCGGGAAGCTCAAGAAGGTCAGGAGCGCTCCGCAGCCGCCCTTAGGAGGCGTTCAGTACGTCACACACAACTCAGGTACCAAGATTGCAGTGCACCAGAAGGAAGCGTTCGACAGCGCGCTGGGCAACCGCGCGCGAAAAAGACGCTTCGCGGGCAACAAGCGGCGCAGACAGCGCAACCGCGGGTGAACGGGCACACCGAACACTGTTATAACTCAATTTTACACATCTGCAACATGAACACAGACGGCGGTGTAGTTTGCCAAATCCGGGCTGGCAAGTGCATCCTCGAGGGCGACGTCGTACGCCCCGACCTGAGGAAGGGCACGCTCCGCCTCCACAGGGTGAGATAGGGCTCCCAGCCTACTAATGAGATATGGCAGGGCGTAGACGATCTGCTGTGTGTCCAGTGGCTGCAGCGGGACAGCGACGACGTCGAGGTAGGCAGCCGGCTGCATCACGCTGAACACACCTAGGACACGTACTATGTATTCGAAGATGCGCTGCTAGAGCGAGTTGCGGAATGCAAGGACGGGGAGGTGTACGCCCTCAGGTTCACTGGCAACAACCACAAGGTCATGTATTGGATGCAGGAGACCTCGCTCGGTGTCATCAAGGTAGGCACCGTCGCCAGCAGCACATGGTTTCGCAGTCCTTCATGGAGAAGGTGAACACCACTATCGGGTATAAGCCGATGGATACGGACAAATGAAACCTAAATTAAACGTAGCAATTGTTGACGGCGCGGTCACGTCATGAACCACACGAATCCCAACAGCAGGTACACGAACATCGACAGTCCCCCGCTCTTCTCCAGCGCTGCTTCCTGAAAGCGCATATGAGAGTGAAAGTGGGTGCTTGAAACTCACCGTGCGACGCAACATGCTCTGTAGCGACGATTTGTTCCACCGCAGCCATCTCAGGTCGCGGCGGTCATGACGATCGCACAGCCCGCGAATGCGTTCCTGCAACAATTTTAATGTGCACGTAAATGCTGGTTACCCTGTTCTGGAACCCGGTGGCGTACGCAGAGCAGCCCACCGAGTAGTTCCAGCGGTTCTCGAACTTGGGCCCAACGGAGGGTGCGCCCCTCCACGCGATCTCGCTGTCAACCACTGGTTTGCGCGAAGTCACGTAACGTTGAACCGCTATGATGTACTCGTCCAACAATTCGATCGTGACCAGGTTGTTGCGCACCAGCAATATGCCTGCTTTCCATGTCTTGTCACTATCATCTTCACCCATGATGCTGTAGTAGTACATGAAGACAAGGCGGAACGACCGCAAGAACTGCAAAAAGATATGTACTGAAACCGCAGTACTTACAGCTACAAGCTCGAATACGGTGTACGAATTCAAGATGGGCACGCCGGCCAAGAAACTGGTGGCGTCGGGGGCGAAACGCAGGTACACGTCGAGTGCGAAGCAGAAAATCTCGTACAACAGCGCCGTGAAATTCATGACGCTCTGGCCGTGTATCAGGATCGTAATGCACATGCCGAAAAGCGTGCTTGCCGTGTTCACCGTCACCACGTAGAGGACGTCGAACGGGCTCATTTCAACCACCTTTTCTGTTCACGAATATACTCTTGTAGCGACGCTTCAGACTCACCCTTGCGGCCGCGTAGCATGTCGCCGTAGCGCATGTAGGCTTCGCGCTTTTTGTCGTTCACTAGTGTTTTGTACATCTGCGACAGCTCGACGTAGTCGGTGGAGGCAGTTGGCGACGTGTTGCGATCCTGCACATGGTCACTCCTGTATTAGCCGGCACTTACTGGGTGTAGGAGCATGGCTTCCGCCTTGAATGACTTTTTAATAGCGTCCAACGAGCTGTGCGGCGTCACCTTCAGATGCTGGAAGTAGTTCTTCTCGGACTTCATGCTGCTGATGAACACGATGGCAAACATGACGGCCATCGACAGCTCGCGACCTTTTAGCGCATTACAACACGTGACGACCATCACCTACCTAAGGTTCTCCTGCGGCTGTTCCAGATCCGCTCTGCAGCATGTATGCTCAAGGCGCAGAACAAACTCACTTGGATTGGCCATGAACCTCACCGCGGGGCCCACGACGAAGGACAGGATTATGAACTTGATCATCGTGTCAGCTTGTATGACCCCGGGAATATCGAAAATGAGAGTTAGAGAGGCTAAATTTACAGCGCCCGTGAGGCGCTGTTGCAGGTCAACCGCTCAAAAGAAGGAACTAGCCATGTATCCCAGAGGCTACACATGCGCTAAGTGTGACAACTGAGTGTCAACACCAACGTTAGATACGCATAACCGAGGGAAAGGATTATGAAAAATGCAGGCGTTAGGAGCACACACCTGCGCGAGTGTTGTAGCAGTGTATGCAGTCAAGATAATCACTCTAGCCGTAAGCAAATTTAGCCGTTACGGGTATACGGCAAAATGACTCGCGGCAGAATGCGGGGCCGGCAGCCATGGGCCGGTCCCTCTCGCCGCCCATGGCGGGTGGTACTAGACAAGTCGCACTTAGCAGCCATTATAATCTAACCAGGACGTCGAAATACTACTAGAATCTAACTTTAAGTGTGGTTTGCGGCGTGTATAGGACAGCAGCAGATGCCCATTACGACCAGTGGTACGCAACTCCGTGAACGGCACGAAGGAGAACTGCATTCTGCATACCGATCGGCAAGACGTTACTGGCATCTGAGTCACGGTCCTGGTACCATGACATCCGGGGAGATGTGTGCGTAGGGGAAAATGGCGACTCCGGGGGAAGAGGAAGCAGCTGCTAGGACGGATAATCAAGACAATTATAAACGGTGTATCCCGTACATTGGACTAGTGACGACCGGAACGGTCTTCTGGGGCTACATAATCACCAAGCGTGTCAACCGCATGCTCATAGGGCGCTACGACGACGTTGTGTACCAGATCAGAAGGGCGGAGTCTCTGAGCAACAGATTCAAAGCATTCAAGCTTTTCACGATAGGAGGTGCTGTTGTGCCCGCATTGACGCTGGCAGCAGTTTACATAGCCGGTAGACGCCAGGATAAAAACGAGGAACAGCTCTCTAAACAACTCAAAGCTGAGGCGGTGGAGGTCTCAAAGGCTGCGTCCAGTAAACTCGCGGATTGCACGTACAATGCAAGCAAACGGCTGGAGCGCATAGCAGACGGGGTGAGAGGATTGGGGCTGGAGCAGGCGGGTCAGCGTATGGCAAACGACCTGAGACACGACATACAAACGGCGAAGCGCTGGATCAAAAACCTATTCTGATCCCATGCGGAAGCCGGTTAAGCGGTACTTTGTCGCGGCAAGCGATTACTCCCTGACACAGAACGATGACAATGCACGACCAGGGCCTGCTTATACCGATGATCACGACCGTGAAGCAGAGTGGGACCACTCCGACTTCAAGGTGCCCGGCGCGGTCTCGATGCGATGGAGATCCGACAGCGCCCCAGACGCCGTCTTCAGGGACGGGTTACAGATCCTCAGGATATTCAAGGAGCACGGAATCGTCAATACCGATGACCCGCGGATCTTGCGCGTCGAGGAGGTGCGCAACTTTTTCATCCACATGGACAAGTGCTACAAAACGCCGAAGATATCCATGTCGGATCTGTTTGCACGGATGCTGCAGAGCCTACGGTTGCTGCCCAGCATAGTAAGGGACGCGAGGTTGCACAACAGGTCCGGCAACAGCAATGCAGCGGTGCTCATGGATGACCCCAATGAGGACCGGTACAACGACGAGGTCCCCAGCCAGCGGATCGATGTGGTTGTCGAATGGGAGAAGATTAAAATGCAGCGTATCATTGGCGGGCTCAAGGTTCTGTTCCCGTTCACGACCATGGCGAAGGCGCAGATACAGATTCTGGCAAAGCTGGTCAATGCCCTTAAAAACTCGGAGCACGTTATCCTCGAGTCGCCAACCGGCACGGGTAAGACAGCGGCTATACTGTCAGGGGTGCTATCGTGGATGTACCAGGGTCATGTACAGAACACTGTCGTCTACGAAAATCCCAGCGATGCGTCGCAATCATCCGCGTCCAGCAGCAGTTCTTCATCGCAGTCGGAAGCCAGCACCAGGGTCAAGGCGCGGGTTGTGTACCTGACTAGAACCCACGCGCAGATCAAACAGGTCATGGCCGCAATCAAGAAGAGCGGGTTCAGGCCGAAGAGTTGCTGCATAGCGTCGCGGCTGCAACTCTGCATTTACAAGCCAAAGAAGGCTGACGAAAATGGGGAAAATGAAGGCAGCAATGATGAGGAGGATGCTGACGACCCGAAAAGCAGGGTGAACACGCAGTGCAGGCAGTTAATAGCAAATGTCGACAAAGCGCGGAATTCCGCGAGGCAAAGCTCGTACACGTGCTCTGGAAGGACCATCATCCCTAAGGCGAACCCAAACGAGCATATGTGCCCATATTACCTCAACATGGGTTGCAAGAATTACGCCATCAGCACGGCGCTGCGGTTGCTGAGCAGCGACACCGCCACGTGGGACATCGAAGACCTCATCTCGTACGGAATGCAGCCGAGCCATCCTGACGCCTCCGTGGGCTGCCAGTGCAGTGAGCAGCGTGATGTGAAGCCAAGGAAGAAACGCGATGGGGATATCACGAGCTACTTCAAGCGGAGAGGGCACTATGAGCCGCCTCCGTCGCAGGATGGCGTGTGCCCGTACTATACCGCGAAGGCTGTGGCCCAAGTGGCCGATTTCGTTGTATGCCCGTACCCGTACATCATCGATCCGCACACCGTGGTCAGAGGTAACGCCATACCTAACAAGGTGGCCACCATACTGACAACGGAGACGAAGTACCAAAGCGTGAAAAGCGAGATCATGGAAATAATTAGCGAGAAGACCAATATCAGCGGAGCGTCTGGCAATGGCATATTCGCCAACATGAATAACACGGTGCTCATTTTCGACGAAGGGCACAACCTCGAAAATTCGTGCATCGAGGAGGCGTCGTGGGATATTGGGTTGGACGTCCTCAAAGCGATTTTGAAGTGGCTGTTCTTTGTAAGGGCGAAGGTTAAGGCGTTGGATGACGTGGACCTCAGCGACCCCGGTGACAAGTCGTCGCTCAAGGCGAGTGGCCAAGTGAACAAGGCGCTCATACGGGTTATCACCTTCTTGCAGGAGCTGATTGAAGGGCTCGAAAGGTTTTTGCACTCAAAATCCGACGGCAATTCTGGTCGTAGGAAGGGCGATTCTTATGAAAGAGTGATTCACAGCTGGGATAGGTACGACCAGGCCCACAACCCCTTGGGAGGGTCGGCGGAGTTTATACAGGCATTCAACCTTGACATTGCCAAAGTGTACATCGTATATTGCAGCATGATGCAGATCAAGTCGCAAACCAGGACACTCAGCCTCAGCGGGGTCAGGTTGGTGGAGGACTATATTTTCCAGCTGGAGTACTTGCTTGCCATCATGGTAATGCTCTGCCACATGCCCGAGTGCTACAATGTCCAGATAGTCGCCAACGGTGATAACGCGTATAGCCTGGGGATTTGGCTGATGAACCCGGCGGTGATGTTCAACGAATTGGCCCTCAACGCGCGGAGCATAGTCATCGCGTCGGGAACACTCGCACCCATTCCTCCCATGGTTGCGAGCCTGGGTGCGGAGTTCGAGCGGAGGCTCAAGAACAACGTCATATCGGCCTCGCAGACGCTCACAAAGAACCAGCTGGCGCTCTACACGGTCACGCATGTGTCGAACTCCAGGTACAACAACGACGCCATAGAGTGCAACTTCAGAAACCTCAAAGATAATGCCTTCCTCATACAACTCGGGAATTCGATCGCCAGGCTGCTCGAAGTGTTGCCCGGAGGCACACTCATATTCTTCCCCAACCGAACGGCGATCTCTGCGTGCGTCCAGCTCTGGGGCGAGACTTACTACGATGCTGGCCCCAGAAGGACCAAAATCACAATCCTCGAACGCATCATGCAGTGCAAGGACATGAACTTCTACCAAGAACCCACTGTAGCAGCCGAGTTCGCCGCAATGTTGAAGGAACTGCACGAACAGAAGAAGTTCGTGCTGTTCGCCGTGTATCGAAGCCACTCGTCGGAGGGGCTCAACCTCAAACTGTCCTCCCTTATACTTGTCGGGCTACCGTTCCCATCTGTTGTCGCGCCCAAAGTCGGAATGGCCCGGAGGTACCACAAATCGCAATCCGAACCGTACAACTGGTACCTCAGGGAGACCTACCGCGCAGTCAATCAATCCATCGGGAGATGTATACGCACGAAAGACGACAGAGGTGTAGTGATCCTGCTGGACCGGCGTTACACGGCGGCCAAGGAGTATCTTCCTTACTGGATCCACCCCTACAGCAGGGCTCAGTTTTCTGTCGAGGGCGTTAGAGAAGACATTGAAGCTAATTTTCAGTTCTAGTGTTGTGGGCGTATAAGGCGTTGCCGTATTGTTTAAATGAGCGTATTTATGCTGCTTTATAAAAGCTGTTGCGTGACGTGGCGTTTTGCTACTATTGCGAGTAATGCGGACGCCCCGCCGCAGCGGCCCGGGCGTCACGAATTACTCAATAGCTATATATCGTAGAGCGGTAATCGGTTGCTATAATATACAATGCTATTGGTGTCTCAAATGTGGCTGTGTTGAGAATTTTGTGCCGTCAGGTATATCGACAAGTTGGACAGCTGCAGCAACGGCCGGCCGTAATAAGCAAATGACACGTCAGACATAGATGAAATCGGTAGATGAAGCAACTAACACACCTGTAGATGTAATATACATGTTTTGACTCGACTCTCCGCACAACTTTGCCGGAGAATCCACACAGCGGGCTGTGCAGGATTCCTGACAGCCGAACCGCCTCAGCTCTTTTAGCCGAGAGCCAGATGTAAATATCGCAAAAACGCATATATATTCTGCGAATCCGTCGGCTCAGTTCTGTGGCGCGGCTACAGCTCGACGTGATCACAATGGGAACACGCGCAGTAGACCTGCTTTCAGTGTACGATCGCAACCAGGAAGCGACGCTCTACGTCGGCAATGTGGACACTCAAGTCGACGAGGAGCTGCTGTGGGAGTTTTTCGTTCAGGTGGGACCCGTGAAGCACGTGCACATCCCGCGGGACAAGGTCACCGGTCACCACCAGGGATACGCGTTCGTGGAGTTCGAAAGCGAGGACGACGCGGACTACGCGATACGCATCCTGAACTTCGTCAAGCTCTACAACAAGCCGCTCAGGTGCAACAAGGCTTCGCGGGACAAGCAGAACTTTGAGATAGGAGCCAACCTGTTCATCGGCAACCTCGACGCCGACGTTGACGACAAGCTGCTTCACGACACTTTTGCGTCATTCGGGAACATCCTATCGGCGAATGTGGTGCGAGATGCAGATGGCGCTGAGGGGAAGACCTATGCATTCGTCTCCTATGACAGCTTCGAAGCCAGTGACGCCGCCCTGGCGGCCATGAACGGACAGTTCCTCTGCAACAAACCCATACACGTGTCATACGCGTACAAAAAGGACACCAAGGGAGAGCGGCATGGCAGCGCCGCGGAACGCCTCATCGCAGCCAACCGGCCTCAGGAGTTCCTCAGCCAGATGGGTGTGGCGCCTTACGGTGGAGCAACCGCACAGGCACCGCCGCAGGCGGCACCGGTGTACCCGCCTTTGGTGACCAACCCTCCGATGGGAATGCCTCCAGTCATGCCACCAGCCCAAGTGCCAATGCCGAACGTGAACGCCTACCCTCGGCCGGCGGGGGTGCCGCCAGTGACGGTGCCGGTCCCGGGCATGCCGCCGGTTCCGACTATACCCCCAGCACCGCCAATGATGGGGATGCCGCAGAACATGCCGCCTCCACCGCCAATGTACAAGTGACAGCGCGACAAAGAGCAACGCAAACACCTGTAATAATATATCAGTGTGATACACCAGGGTTCAGAGTGGCCCGCTACGACTGATATAAGAGCAACGTGAAATCGCAATTTTAGTACATTAAAAACGAAATAACTGTGAATTCTTAAAAATAAAACATGTGTTCAATGTATTGATGGTGAACTGCGTACGTAAAAAAATCTTCACTGAGGTAGCTTCCAGTCTATGGGTGTCTGGTCAGTTTTCTTCAGGTAAGCATTGCACTTGTTGAAGTGGTCACAGCCGAGGAAAAACTTCTGCGACAGTGGAGACGGGTGGCCGCACTTTAGCACGTAGTGACGGGTATTTGATATGCTGCCGCACTTCTTCTGCGCGGACTTGCCCCAAAGCAAGAACACCACCTTCTCCCGATGCTTGTTTATTAGGTCTATGACGCTGTCAGTGAACACTTCCCAGCCGTAGGTACTGTGAGAGAGAGGTTGGCTGTCGATTACTGTCAACACCGTGTTCAGCATGAACACCCCCTGCCTGGCCCAGTAGGTGAGGTCGCCGTGGTTGGAAGGCGAGCCAATCTCCTTGAAGATGTTGCGCAAACTTGGTGGAGGCGGCACTCCGCGTGGGACGGAAAATGCCATTCCCATGGCCTGGCGTGGCTGGTGATAGGGGTCTTGACCGACGATGACGACTTTTATTTTAGAAAGCGGGACTAGCTTGAACGCATTGAAAACCAGGTTCTCGGGGGGGTAAATCTTCTTAGTTTTACGTTCGTTTGTAACTTTAGTCCACAGCTTCTCGAAGTACGGCTTGTTAAGCTCGTCCGACAGCTTTGATCCCCATTCATCACCGAGCATCGCCTGCACGGTGGCAACGACACCACGGTTGGCATTATCCGAATCTTCTAGTACCGGTGCAGACGTAGTGGCAGGTGTAGCATCCTTTATAGTTACCGTCGTTGTTTCCACTGCATTGTGATTCGGTGGAGTCGTCGTTGTAGCAGAGGTTTCGGCGGGGGTCAGGGTATCCGTGGCTGCATCGAGAGAGCTGCGCGAACGTTTAGCGCCTCCCTTCAAGGGAGCGAAGAAATCCGTTAGAAGACGCTTCGCCATTCCAATGTAGCATAAACGATTGATACGGAAGAGGACGGAGGAAACACCAGGGCTCACTAAGGTGTAGAGGCAGACGAAGAAAACGAAAGTAGACACGAGAATGTGCAGCTGCCTTCCTAGCATTCCCTGCACACGTTAATGCCTATTATGGCTGGAACTTATAAATATCAGCCTTTAGCCATCGCGTAGGGATGCGATTTCACAAATGTGCGACTTATAGCTTGTATTGGTGCCTGCGTACGCGGATGACGACGGGTGGGCGGCGGTAGCGAATTACGCATCACGAATGCCAACAAAATGTGATGTGTACGATGGATATAAAAATGGTTTGCTATATTTTAATCCTTGATCGCAGAATACGGCGTTGGTGAAGCGCGACCGAGTAGTTAATCCGATTTCCCCGGAGAGGGAGCCGTAAATCGGCACGGCAGCTGGACCGAGACATTACCAATGGATTTGTACACGACGTTAATGGAACAGTCGACGGGCAAAGCCCGTCGAGAGGGAGAAGAGGATGCCGAAGCGCCGAAAGAGTACAGGTGCAACGTCCTCATGAGTCTCGCCCTTAGCGTGGTGAAGCGCGAGAGTGAGAAGGCGGCGCTGCTCAAGTTGAAGGGTTATGAACGCGCGGACATAGAGAGGACGCGTGGGAAGCATTCGGTTGTCTGTCGCCACTGGCTCAAGGGAATGTGCATGAAGGGAGAATTCTGCGACTTCCTTCACCAGCTCGTATACTCCCGAATGCCGCCGTGCAGACTGTTCGAGAAGAACGGGTTCTGCATTGACAACCAAAGGGGCAACTGTATCTTTCAGCACATTGTGGAGCAGCCAGACTCCGGACCATCGCAAGATCCACGGATCAAGGAGGCCATCGCAAACGGCATCAACTTCGCAGAAATATCGCATGAAACCGACCCAGATGGATTCGCCACCGCTTTTGTGCTTGCAATCAGCACGGTTTTCCCGAAAATATCCGACCTGGCGATCATGGAGGAGGCCATGCCCCCCTCGCCACAGCCACAGGACCTCGTGGAGCCGGTAAACGAAAATGTTAACGCAGCTATGGCGTCGACAAATGCGTCAGACGTCGAGGCTAATGAGGATAGGCCTCTCATCAGCGCGTCGATACCGGGGCTGGTGAAATTTGACGCAGCCGCGATGCTAGATGGCGAACGACGATCGCATGCATTGTTCGACGTCAACAGCAACAACACGAAGTGCTTCATGATTAAGAGCAACAACATGATGAACATATACTTCTCCATCTGCTACGGAATATGGGCGACGGGCATAAACAACACTTTAAAACTCGTCAACGCTTTCCAAAAGTGCGAGCATGTCATACTGATTTTTTCGGGAAACGAGAGCGGCGGGTTCCAGGGGTACGCAAAGATGATGACGTTGCCGATACCAGGACTATACCAGGGTATCTGGGGAAGCTTTCATTCCCGGCTGGGTGACAACTTCCGGGTGAAGTGGATCAAGCAGTGCTCAGTGGAGTTCGAGGTGCTCAGGCATGTCACCAACCAGTACAACCAAAATCTGCCTCTCAAAAAATCCAGGGATGGAACAGAGCTACCACTGGACGTGGCAGAGACCATATGTAACACGCTATACAACGCACCGGAGGACGACCTACTGAAAGGTAATTTCAAACAAACAATATTCAACTCTTCGCAGGTACTCCAATGGCCACGTGGGAACGCATCGACCACGAGACATATTTCGATGAGCTCAACAGCAAGAATCTGCTATATACAACATTCGGGTTGCCATTCACGCCAATCAATAAGTAACATAACGAAAACGGACATCCTTGTCGCACTTGTCTAGATGGCTCAGCGGTTCTCACAGAACACCCCCCAGCGATCTCATCCGCACGGTGTTCCATCTGGGAAATCCGAGGTAATGCAGACCACACGACTCTTAATGTCAGTCGAACTCCTCAAGAACTTATGCGTTTCGTTAGCTACATACTATTTTGTGACTACTCTTATTTGCCTATTGTGTGTTTGGTCTACTTGTGATGTGTGACACATCTAGGGTGCACACGAAGCTACCACGTCAACATCCTATGTGACATGTATACGGGACTATATGACGATTGGGCGAGCTTTATGACGCCTCGAAGTACGCAGGCTCCGTGATTTTGTGAGACACCACATGACTGGAGATGATGCAACAAATCACTACTGTACCACAACCCATAAAACATTAGCAAATAAAAACAATTACTGTGACATGTCAACGGGTTCGTCGTCGAAGTAGTCGACGTCGTTGTAGAGTGAGAGCATCCTGCGGCTGCCGGCGAGTAAAGCCTTGACGTCGATGAGGTGTGAGGCCCTGGTGGTGAGGAGGTGCGAGCGGATGTGTAGGACGTCCATGCGGTATAGGAGTGAGTGGAGGATGTAGAGCGTGGCGGTGAGCCAGAGTGCGATGGTGGTGAAGAGGAAGGGGGCACGGATGTGCCAGAGGAGTTGGTCGATTTGGTGGAAGAGTTTGGCGAAGCGGTCGGAGTGGAGTGCCTTGGTGAGTTGTGCGTTGAGGTCACTGCAGCGCATCTTATGGCTGCCCAAGACCAACACGTGTGCATTGCGATATGTGAATCCGTAGCGGTAGAGCGTCGGCAAGGGTCCACCGCATTCGACTATGGACGGGCAGTGGCAGGCGTCCTTGTCGCCGTGGTTGCCTGGCTGACAGAGGCACGTGGCGCAGCCGTGGGCCGTGCAGTCGATGTTGTTCAGTGCATCAAGGAGGGACTCCAGCAGATCCCATAACTGCCATGCCAGCCACACTACCCACGAGATATATAGCTGTGCGTGTTTCTGCGGGAAGGTGTGGTTGGCGTGCAGCGCCAGCGGCTGGAGGAATGGGGCGCATATGGCAGGCGCTTGACAAGGCGGCTCGGCGGAGAGACTGGAGAGGGCATTGTGCTCTGACTTCTCATGGTCATGGTCGGCGAGTGCCTTGAGGGCGTCGGTGAGATTGCTGTTCAGGTAACTGCCGTGGAGCTCCGTCCACAGCGGGAAGAGGCCGTTGATAGCGTCACCGTTCAGGTGCGATATGTATGACTCATGCGGAGAGTACGCGCCTCGATATGATTCGTGATCCCACATTTTCAGTAGTTGAGTGAACAACACCAACATGTCGCCGAGTGACTGCGGTGCTGAGGGGCACAGCAAGCGCAGCGTTCGGCAGAGTTGGAAGAGGCAGGCGTCGGCGTCACTGCAGAGGCGGCCGAGGGACTTGGAAAGTTCCTTGCCGGTGCGTCTCATGGAGGCAGCGAGACTAAGGTCCCAGAAGCCGAGCGGGGTGAGGCACTGCTGGCCCGGCAGGTTGCCAGGGCAGTTGGCGCATTCGATGGCATTGTCAACAACAGTAAGCTTATGCGGCAGGAGGTTGGGACAGCTGTCTGAGAGGAACGACTGCAGCGGCGATGTGGGCGGGCAGTTATGACATGCTTCGGTGGCCTGCTTGTTTAATGGGTTACACTGCCAGTGGGAGGACGGCACCTGCCGGCCGTAGTGGCACTGTCGCCAGCCCTTGGTTTTGGCGGCGTCACGGCAGCACTGGGCGTACAGGAAGTAAAGCACACGGCACAGGCGGCATACTATCTGAGTCATCATATCAAGCAGCTCTTCGGGGTCAGCCGGGTAGTACAATTGTGCGCGGTTGTTGGCTAAGTCGACGGAGTAGGGGTAGGCGGCCAGGTCGAAGCCGCGGCCGTGGCCCTGGATTGCGATGAGCAGTGAGTTGGCGTGTGAACATGAGTTTGCGATATCATAAGGCAGATTATTAATACACTGTGCCATGACAGCGTCGTCCCTGTTGGGGACATCGTTATTGTCGCATTTGCGGTTGAGCAACGCTCTGCAGTGGTCGGTCAGTTTGTCCACCACCGGAGTGTACTGCAGGCCTGAGAGCCATGACAGCATATCCCTCACCGTGCAGGGGTACCTGGGCGATGCGTGCACCTTAAGGTGGCACGCCTGGAGGTACCGACAAAGCATGTTATGAAAAAGACCAACGATGTCAACGACATTAATTCCATTTTCTGGAGGCTCGCCGCCAATCAGCATTTTGACACTCACGTCGGCAACTGGGGATTTAAGCAACTCATACACTGCGCCGCCCGAAAAATGATTTTGCAACTCTCCCTCCTGGAGTCCGTCGGTCGTTGACACCTTGTAGCCGCATCTGGTGAGGTAGTTGCCCAGGCCGTTGTCCCTTCCGTCGCCGGTCAGCTTGCATATTTTGTTACCTCGCCAGTTGGTGCCGCATTTGTCTACCATGTGGTTGAGCGCCTCGTGCACCATCGGGGTGAAGCTCAGCAACACCTTGGCGTACTTGTCGGCGTCAGCCTCCCGGCACTCCGCGCCCGAGTACGCGGAGACGTAGGCATCGCCGAACTCTGCGGCGAAGTCACGGAGGCCACGGCCGACAGTGTCCAGCAACGGAGTTGTGATCTTACCGAAGGCTTCGGGCTTCATTTCACTTAGCGCCTTGGTCAGCGCGGCGAGCAATTGGGGGAGTCTGTGGTCGAAGCCTTGTATGTCCTGTATATGTATGAGCACAGTGTTGATCGCGGCGTTGACTTCGTAGAGCTTCAGGGCGTAGGGCTCCGCCGGCGGCGAGAGTGAAGGATTTTCCTTTTTGCTTTCTTCATCATGCACCCTCTTAGTCTCATTCTTCACGTAATCCTTCAGTGGCCCGAAGAATTTCATGAAAGCCGACGACAGTGCTGAGACATCTTTTGGATACTTGACGTTTACAAGTTTATTGATGTTATTCCCTTTCTCAGTGCTTACATCATCAGTTGTCCCATCTTCCATCTGCCTCGTGAACCCCTTGAAGCCTATCGTCAAGTCCCTGTCAATGTTTCCAGGCAACTCCTCCAGCTCGCTCTCCACCTTGGCGGCGAAAGCTGACAGCATCTCCTTGACGGTGGACACGTATTGCCGGCGCGCTTCGGCTAGCAGTTTGTTTTTCTCGGCGTTTAGTTCCTGGTTGACGTAATGCGTGAGCTCATCAATGCATCGCTGCTTGAACACGTCGGCGTCCGCATTAATGAAGCCCTCGCAGTCCTTTATGGCGCCTTTCACCAGCGAAATGTGCAGTTGCTGAAGATCATCTCTTATTTTTCTGAGCCTATTGCCGATCATATTGTCTTTCAGTTGCGTCAGGCTGTCTCTGATATCCCTGGCTATGTATTTAATGACGCCACGCAGGATGCTAAGTTTGTGCTTAACGTCTTCAACATTCTCTGCTTTTATATCGCTGATCCCATTCGTGATTTTTTCGAGGCCACTGATTTTTTGACTGCCAAGGTTCCACTCACCATCGGCTAGGCCTTTGCTTTGCAAGTCCCGCAGCCTGGCGGTAACTTCACGCTCCAACTTGTTTCTTTGTTCGTCGAGTTCATTTTTGATTTGGCCTATGTGTTGAGTGATTTCTATCGGCTTGCTAGTGAACTCATTTTCTTTCAGCTCCTTGATATCATTCGTGATTTTAGCGAGACCATTATGCTTTTTATCATCAACTTCCCACTCTTGCTCACTATTTGTAAGCCCCTTGTTTTTCAACATCGTCAACTTTTTGGTAACTTTGTCCTGTAAATCACTCTGGAGCCTATCAAGCTCACCGGTAATTTGGTCTACGCCGCTGTCAATATCACCGGGCTGTGTGTTCAACGTTTTTTGTTGAGTGTTAAGATCTTTTTCAATTAGTCCAAGGCCTTTTTTGGTTCCATTGTTATCCGATTGCCAATCTTCTTTTTCACCGAGACCATCAGTCTGCAACTCTGTCAATCTTGTAATGACATCATCTTTATTTCCGTTCGCACCTTTCAACGCCTTTTGAAGGGCAGTAAGTTCTGTTTTAATAGGGCTCATGGCGGCGCCGATTTTGTTTGGGTTATCAGCAAATTGTCCTTTTTGCAGGCCACTGATCGCATTATAAATTGCTTGCAGGCCTCCTTTTCCTCCTTTATCAATCTCATTCTTTAACTTTTTCAACTGGTCCATGAGGTCATCATCAACAAGCCCATTATCCAACTTGAATCCTAGAACTGTAAGTTGCCACCTAAGTTTTTTTATTGCCGTATCGATGCTCTTCGTCTCCTTGTCCAACCTCCCATTTTCCCCTTTAAGGCTCTCCTCGATTTTCCCGAGGCCAGAGACTTTCTTATCCTTACCTTGCCAATCTTTATCACTGCTAAGCCCCTTGCCGCGCATCTCTTTCAACACGTCAACGACGCCATTTTCTGCGCCAACATCTTGCTCTTTCTTCAACTTCCCTCTAAGGGTCTTAATCTCATTCTGTAGGCCTTGGACGGCTGTGGTGATTTCTGCAGTTTTCCTGAACTCACCGGTATGCAGCTTGTTGATCCTGTCCTGAATTGCGGCGAGACCTTGGACATTTTTGTGCTGTGGATCTACAGCGGAATCAAGTTGATAATCCTCTTGCGCAGCATGTTTAACCATCTGCTCCAAATCCCCCAGATAGTTCTTGACGCCATCTTTTGCACCGGACGTTGGATGCGACGTCTGTATATTACTATTAACAATGTGGGCGATCTGTTCGAGCTCGTCCTTGATTTCAGTAAAATGGTAGTTGATTAATCCTTTAGCATCTTTTACTTCACCTATTTCAAGTTGTTTTTGCTGGTCTGGTTGATTTTTGAATTCAGCCATCTGCTTGAATGGTTGCATGGCATTGGGGATAGTCGTGTCTATCAGAGTTTTATACGCGCTGCCAGATGTTGTTTTCGTTTTCTCATAAAGCGACATCGTCTTTGCAACGGTGATACCACTGGTAACGTCATCCTTCATCCCCTCTTTAACCTTCCCCTCAATCTCCGTAACTTTCTGCAAAATATTATTGCCTTGGTTGCTAGGGGTGGAAGGTTGTGGACCATTTTTCGCCTCTTTTTCCGCATCCTCCAGATTCTTGTCCAGCGTCCTAGTCAGGCGTGCGACGCTGTCCAATTCCCCTGCGATGCTTTTATCGCCCATCCCTGTGCCGTTGCCGAGCAGCACTGAATGAAGCTCCTTGCCCACCTGCCGGGCCACCGATGACACTGTTACGAGCGTAGTGGCGACGGCCTGCGTGAGGTTGCATTTTGGTTGCTCGCATTTTTGGCACCTATCTGGATTTCCTTTTTTGCAGTAATATCTGCAATCACATTCGCAGTTTGCGTTTGCTATGATACTTTGTAAGTGACTTTTTTTGCTCGGTTCGTGAACTTCATTCACCATCGCCTCCTTAGCCTTCAAGGCCAACGCAAGGACACCGCTGTTCACATCCTTCTCTAGTTCCTGCTCAAGCCTCAGGGCAAACAGTTCGCAGGCATCTTTTACCTTTTCAATTTTCTTTTCAATGCTGTCGGCAAAAGATTGTCCACTGGTGAACACGTGAACAGCATTAGTGACTTGTACTGTGAGCGGTTCCTTAATAAAGCCTCCGAGACCACTGTTCTCCAGGTCCTTCTTAAGTTCCTCGTCCCCCTTACCCTGCCACTCAAGCAGCTTTTTAATCAGGCCGTTGTGACCAAGAATATCATCGATCCATCCGCCGACTGCTTTGTCGAAAGTACCTTGGAAAAAATTGTAATAATTCTGCACTCCCTGCTTAATCCCTTCCAGGCCTGTGCCACTGCTTCCGTTACCCTTAATCTGCTCCACTCTCCCCTTAATATCATTAAGAATACTGCCAACATGTTCTATCATCTTACCAACAATCTCCTTTTGCAGCCTCACCAAATCGTTTTTCATCTCACCCTCCAACTGTTCAATGGCGGCAGGCACTGCTTTCTTCAAATTCTTAAAATTCCGATGCGCCTGGCTGTATGCATTCAAAAGGTTCTCGGCTTTTTTCTTCAACAACTGAGCTTCCTTATAAATTTCACTTTCCTTACCTTGAGGATCTGTTTTAACTTTCTCCAAAATTTTACCACACTTCCCCTCCGCCTTGGTAATAACATCCTTGGCGGTATCTCGCCACTTACCTATATTATCAACTTCGCCGGCAAGCGCTTGATTCGCGCTCATAATATGCTTATTATTTGAACTAACATGTTCAATATTATGACCAATAATAAAGCCTTTCGACACATCTTTCTCATTAGGATCCAACTTATCATACACATAGTTGGCATTTTCAATAGCCCCGGCAAGCACATTCGTGGCCTCCTGCTTCCACTCTCCCAAACTTTTTTCAACACCACTCAGCTGCGTATGCACTCTTTTAATCTTCTCATTAGCTTGCACAACTTCTCCGATTTTCTCACTCAGAGCCTTATGAGGCTCCAACTTCTCATAGGCCTCCTTTGCCTTTTGCTCCGCCGCAGCACGGATCCCTTCAGCGGTGGAGATCCAAGTGTTCAAGTTGCCAACTTGTTGTTCGAGAACTTTATTTGCCTCTTCAATTCCCTTTTTAGCTTCATCAATCTCACTAATTTTCTTACCGAGAATATGGCCGTTATCTGTTTTAGTATGGTCCAACCTCCCATGCACGTCTCTTGCCTTCCCAACCGCAGTGCCAAGCACACTTCGTGCCGCGGAATTCCAAGTCTGCAAATCCCTTCCAACTTCAACAAGCTTTGTGTCAACTTGCGTAACTTTTTCTTTAGCTGCGTTGATTTTCTGAACTCCTTGGGCAATCGTCGTCGATGAACTATCTTTATGTTCCAACTTACCACGCACTTTGTTAGACTCTGAAATCACGCTTTCAAGAATTGTGTCCGCCGCTTCTTTCCACTGTCCCAACTCACTAACACGTTGTCCAAGATCATTATTAGCCTGTGAAATTTCTTTATTAGCATCTTCAATGTGTCCAATGTTTTTACCAAACGTTGAATTATCTCTCTCCTTATCCAAAGCTGTGTGAACACTCTCAGAATTCTTAATAGCATTCCGAATCACACTGTCTACTGCACTCTTCCAAGTATTCAACTCCTGGACTCTTTGCTCCAGCTTCTCTTCAACTCTTTCAATCGCCTTGTCAAGTTTGTCCTTAGTTTTATCTGTGTCATCAAGTTCATCGTAAGTGTTCTGAACCAGTTTCAAGGCTGCGTCTAGAATCTCCTCAGCCTCCGTCATCCAATTGTCCAGATCAGAAATGATTTTCCCCAGCGTCTTACTAATATTTTCAAGCTTAGCCAAAATGTTCTTCACCAAGCCCTTCAGTGATTCAACCAGGTCGGTAACTTCCTTCTTAATCCGTGAATTAATGTTTTCTCTGAGCTTCCGAAAGGCCTGCTTGATCAACTTGACCATAGCCTTGTAGTTTTCAAGTTGCTTCTTGGACCACCTGTTCAGCATCGCAGCCTCACGTGCAACGCTTAATCTAGCATTATGAATTTTGTCACGCAACGACGCATTCAAATCATCAAACGCATCTTTCATGTAATGCTTATGTGTTTTAGAGGCGAAGGCTTTGCCAAAGTCCTTACCTTTTTCAACGCACGCCTTTGTCAAGGCCTCAGCTTCGTTAACGTCGGTGTCTGAAGGATTAGTTTCATTTAGCTTACTTATCTTAGGAGGCAACTCACCGCCCTCATCTTTAACATAATCAATAATGTCACTGATAGGCCTCTTCACTCTATCATTCGAGGCCTTGACATTTTCATTATATATCCCCAGGCCACTGGCCACACTGGAGACTACAGCCTTGAAGCCATGGTGCCCACTCCACCTGGCCTTTTCAAGGTCACCAACTAGGCCACTCAACAAAGCTCCACCAACAACGTACGGCTGATTATCACGGACATCTCTGATCACTCTATGCAAGAAGGACACAACTGCATCGCATAGACGGGAGGCGTCACCGTATACAATCCCGGAACCGTCGTAGGTTCCAGGAGGCTTATAGCCTACAAAGTTTGCAACGGAGGAACAGAGACGATGTAAAATGTTTTGATTAAGATTCGCAGAGTCTTTCGGAAGAGTGCTCCGAAACCCTTGAAGCCTGGAGATAACATCTCTGGCGGACGGCTCATCTGATTCGGGGAGAGACGACAGAGAGTTTTCAGCGTCCTGCACAGCATTGTCGAACAACTTGCCGAGAGCGTCGGACAGCGTCGAAATCCCGTCACCACTCTTCACCTGGAGGAGCCAGTCTATCGCCTCTCGAAGGTTCTCGGGGCAGTCCGTCAAAGCTTTCGGTGCCATGCCATCGAGCTTCCAACAGTGGTACCGCCAAGCAACAATGCACTAACCGGCCGCCGCACAAGGCAACATGTCCACACAGCTGAGTAAACTGAGTTTATAGGTTGCTAGGTGAAATCATGAGTGAAGAAAATGCATCGTCATTGTAATTAACAACATGTACGTGCCACACAGACTACATTGAAAAAAACGAAAATCATAATGACATCCAACCTACCTGAGGAAATAGGACGGTAACGAGCCCACATCCAAATTCATATGAAAGGTTATAGCACAGTAGAAGAGTGACAATATTGATGTAGATATCGAGTGGAAGACTGGGCAACTCTCCTCATGTCGACTTGTGTTGCCTCAGCCGTCTCCCCTCAGCGCTCCTTGACCGTACAGGCCATTGCCACCTTCCCATTACCATGGATACCATTGCCGCGCGCCTTGCACCACAAAACATAATACGCCAATAACAACCATGTAAACAGGAAAGTCGGCGCACCATGTATTACCAAATAGTATCAAAGTTACCCAGCCCCAAATCCACTCACCTTAAGTTCCATCACCCAAATACCTGTAACAATGTGCCAAGATGAAGGTGCGTTACCGACTGTCTATGTTAGCTGCAGTTCGAGATTACGATATTGGTCATAGCCACAATGTTGCCTGTATATGACACTTAACTAGGCCGTACGCTGCCCACTACGTCATATAATGTCACAGATTCACGCATTAAAATCTTCTACAGCCATTCACCTGGTCACCTTAATGTTATCAACTCATTTAACAAATGGCTCGTCACCTCACCTACAAGGACGATACTCAGCTGCTCACATGGGTGGCCAGTTGCTCAGCTTCACATCACACTGTTACCGTGGGACTACACAATGATGATCACAAATTAGCGACTACACAAACATAAGACCTCTACTACATTATCTGAGAGGTTGCTAGTTAGGTGGGCTGGGTGAGCTAGGCGGTGACAAGTAGGTGAGTGAGATACAGATCACACGTGAAGGTATGATCACGGCGAGAAGTATCTAACCTTGCCTAGTTTGCCGACGCGCGCCGCTGCGAGCAGCGACTGGGCGGCGATGCGGTGCGATGCCGGTAAGCGCAGGTGGGAGCGGATGCGCAGCACGTCGAGGCGGACGACGGCGATGTGCAGCAGGTAGAGGAGCGACAGCGACCAGAGGGCGAGTAACGTGATGGAGAATTTCTGTCTTATCTCCCAAATAAATTCGTCTATTTCATTGATAAGATCAACAAGAATGCAATTTTTACCTATTACTCTTTTCAATGCCTGGCAGAAATCTTTGCACGTTCTTTTCAGCTTCGCTTCCTTATCTTGTCCGCTTAGTTTATGTGGACTACCAAATGTGAATCCGTATTTGTACAGTGTCGGATGTGTGTCCAGGCATTTTACCATGGAATAGCAGTCTGTAGTATGCTTGTCCTTATTCGATGGAGTGCTATGCTGTTCCTTTTCATCAGTATATTTCACTTTGCACTCCTTAGAACAGCTCTTTTCATAACATCTGGTGCCAGGCTTTTCGCATTTTTTGCAAGACTCATACAAATCATAGAGCAACGTTAAGAATGTCTCAGTACTGTACACAACCCACGAAAGGTAATTACCAGCGCGGTCTTTCGAATAAATATCATATATATCAAGGAACAGGGGCTGCAAATATTTGCCACATGGTAGGCCCGAATTCGTATTATGATAACAATCTGTGAGACTGAAGAGGTCTCCTTTGGAATGCCCAGGGGAATGTGTTTTGCTCTGTTGTATGGAAGTTGGGTTTAAGTCTGTGTACGCCTGTCCGAAATTGGCTTTCTTGACTGCATCAGCAAACGCATCACGCTTATGCACCGTGTCCTTACTACCCCAATTCTGAAGGTATCTATGGTAGAACGCTAGCATATCACAAAGAGTCTGAGGTGGTCGACGTAGCAGACATTGCAAATAACTACATAGCTGATTCAGGTGAGACCCTGGATTGCAGAAATCTCTCAGTGCTCCAAAAAGGTGCGCACCGTTTTTAGTATGGGAAGCAGCAACACCGATATCGGTGAAGCCCATGGGAGTGAGACATGGGATACCGTGGTGACTGGACAAAGTGCAAGTCAATTTGCAACCAGGTGAAGTAAATGTATGCGGCAGGAAACCTGGAAGGCCATCTTCCAAGTATGATTGGAGTGGTGATTTGAGGCCGCACTTAACACTTTGGTTACAGTTTTGGCTACACGTTTGGTTGTGCTTTTGGTTACTGTTTTGGGTAGCCGTTTGACCAGCGTCTTGGTTGGGGCATTGCATAGAGTTGCAGTTCCAGTTGGACCCGCCAACACCACGACCGTAATAACACTCGGCCCAACCGCTACTACTAGAGCTGTTGCGACACTGGCTATATACGAAGTATGATTGATAGAATACTCTATTCAATATATCTAAAAGCATGTCGAAACACGCGCCAGGGCTAGAGGGATAATTCAAATTGTCGAAGTTTGTGCGGAATTCACAGGCGTAACGGCCGTCGGGATGGCCGTGGCCGAGGATACCAATTAGTACAAGTTGCGAGCGTAAACAAACCTGATCGAGTTTATCTTTTAGTTCCTTAGGTGTAATTGTTGTCGTACCGACAAGTTTCAGTTCCGTATCGGAGAACTCTTTATACAGTTTCGCTTCTTGTCCCTTAGGCTTCTCGAACAATGTCATAAAATGCCCTTGCAACTTGCTATACATCGGATTAAACCGAAGGCCAGAGAGCCATTGGAACATCTGATAGATATTACACGGTGCCTTGGGAGAATCGATGACCGTATGTTGGCATACTTCATAGTATTTTCGGAAATCGTCGCGAAGGAAGAGAGCAAGGTCATAGAGCGAAATCTGGATATTACCGTTGGATGCAGTTGCAGGAACACTGTTTTTATTGTTCTTCCAGTCAACAAGCAAACGAATGTTGGAGATGTTTATATTTTCCTTGGTAAGAAGCTTAGTATGAATTTCTTCACCCTTCATAGAGTCCTTGTCCTGCAACTCGCCAGTCTGCTTGCCTTGCTCGGAGTTAACCTTGTAACCACGGATAGCAAAAAATGTTCCAAGAGGGTTGCTACTTTTTATTCCTTTTGAATCTACATCATACAAACGAATATATTTATCTTTCCATTCCCCTTTAACTTTACATTTGTCCCACAAAGTATACAAATCATAATACACCCTCTCCATTATGGTCAGGCATACCTTGGCGCAGTTCAGGCCCTCGGTGGAGAGAACAGTTTCGGAGGATGTGTCACCTGGTTTTTTAGTTTCCTCCCACGTTACCGATTCACCGCTATAAGCGTTCACGTACGCGTGGGAAAGTTCAGCGGTGAATTTGGTCATGCCAGACTTGAGGGCGTCGAGGAGCTCGGGGTGCCGCGGGTTTGCGAATTGGGTGGGTATTAGAGAGGAGATGGAGGCTTTGAGTCTGGCATGTAGGTCAACAAATGTTTTGTCAAAGTTATATACTTTTGTAGTGTTATTTTGCAGGTGGTTGAGTAAGGCGTCAAACTCGTTTTTATGTTTGGTGAGAGGGGTAACATGCTCTGTAGTCTTCGGCTTGGTAAGAGTCATGGACTTAACATCCTCCTCATCCTCACCATCAACTTGATATCTGCAATATTCCATAATATTGTCCACGTAATCTTTCCATTTTGTGCTCAATTCTGATAACTTGGTGAGATCATCTACTTTTAAAGCATTCTTAAGTTGATCAAGCAAATTGGGAGGAACACCATCACCATCAGAATATGGAACTTTAGAATTGCCGATCAGGACCCTCACGAGGCCCTTAACTCCCGTAGTTTTATCTTCAAGGATTATACAATCAATAGTCCTTTTTTGTTTTTCAACGATTAATTTCAAAGCCTCAAGTTCCTCTTTCTTGCGGGTGGCGTAGAGGGATCGGGCTTTTTTTTGGATATTGGCGGTGGTGGATCCAACCTGTTGTTTGACATGGATTTTAATATCTTCAATACATAGTTGTGCATCGGTTTCGATCTGAGTGTGGAATGAGTTGGCTTTTGCAATGATGCCTTGAAGAGTATCGGTGCTCACACTGCCGGCGTCGCCAATTATATTGTGAAGTCGTGTCTGAATCTGTGATAGGCCTTTCGTAAAAGCATCCCAGACATGTTCATTTCCAAGCCCGCTCTGCAAATCAACCAGCAGAGTTTTCACACCTTTTTTGTCAATTTTAATCTCTTTTAGAAAAGAGCTTCCGCCCTTGCCGCTTCCCCCATCGACCAGTTCGGTGAGCTGTTGGAGTTGGTTTTGGATTTCGGCAAATGGCTTCTCGAAGGTTCGGTTCCTTTCATCTATTATATCCTTGATCCCATTATCGCTGAGTTTCTTTGTTACCTCCCTTTTGATATCGCCGATCTTCTCTGGGAGAAGGCCCTCGGATTTATCTGTAGCGCCGATTAGAGCCGTTTTGCCGGTATTGATGGACGACGTATCAACGCTACGAAGGTAATGCGAAAACTTCGTAGCAGCAAGTGTGACTTGGCCATGTCCATTACCCGTACCAATTTCCTGCCTAAGTATGCCAGTCATCGTAGCATCAACCTTGTAGGGGGAGTCTCGAGGAAGACTAGATATAGTGTCTCTGCTCAGAGCTTTTTCAAGAGTGTCAAAAAGCGGGGTAGCCACTTTTATGGCCTCATCCACGTTGTGACCCATATTTCCTTCTGTGTTTTCTGTACCGGCGAAGGATTCAAGTTGCTGTGCAGCCTGATTGGCCTTGGCACGCAATGCGGCTAGGATGGTTTTTACGGCTGATTCAAGATAGCTCTGTGAACCCAACTCACTGCCTTCTGCCGCCACAAATTTATTCATCTCCATGGCTATGTGAGCAACGAACTTGTTTGTATCACCGGACAATTGCTTACCGCCATTCAGTTTCGCATCAAGCAACACAACAAAATTTTCAATACGGGAGTGTACAGTGTCAATGTCGCCTTGGACGTTGTCTTCTGTATCGTGATCGAAACTAATGTCGTTAATTAAACCTTCATCGAGTAGACCCCTAATTTGCTGTGCTATTTGCTTGATGTTGTCAGAATTTAACTCATTTTGGGTGTTGTGCACGTGGTCATTAAACTGCACACGGCTGCTTCTCCTGCTCATTTTAACATACTCCCCAATGGCCTCTGTAACAACACCATTATTCTGTAAAATATCCTGTATCCAAGTCTCCACCGAGATACCAAATTCCTGTTTTGCCGATAAAGTCTTAGCATAATCCTTTACTTTCGTTTTAATTCCTTCGATACCCTTCTTCCCTCCTGAGTTTCCCTTAATACTCCCTACTTGCCCTTTAATTGTACGGAGTAACTTCTCCCTAACATACGTCCCAATTTCAGCCAGTAACTGTCCTTTCAGATCATTCAAATCCGTCCTAACCGCCAAGTCCAACTGAACAACCTGAGTAAGCGCCTGAGTTACCTGATGCTGAACGGCATCTCTGGCCGCAACTGCCGCAGCCCGCAGTTCAATGGCTTTATCTCTTAATGTTTCTGCGTACTCCGTGATTTTTGTCTTCTTGTCGTTGGTTTCATTATTTTTATGGCTATCCTGAACCATCTGCAAAATGTTTTCCGTTTTAGTCAACGCTTCTTTCAGAACTTCTTCTGCCTCATTAATCCACCTCTGCAAATCGTTATTAACACCGTCTATAGCGTTTTGTAACCTCTCAATAGGATTTTTTATATCTCTTTGAAATGCCGTTTGTAACTCAACGTTAAGTTTCTTAACACGGGTATCAACGTTCTGCTTCACTTTATCTTCTAGACTCCTTAGCTCACTCCATGCGGTTGCGACAATAACTTTCATATCATAATTTTTCGCTGCCATATCGTAGGCCTTAACAGCTTGATCAATTAAATTAAACGAGGGCGTTAACTTTTCTTGTAAAATTTCATCAAGCCTACCCATAAAATTCTCCACGTTGCGAACCTTCTCCGGGAACCACCCGGTGGCTGATTTCAACGCACTAATTTGAGTGGCAAGATTTTTATCTTTATTACCATCAAGCGTACGTTCAGCATCACCAATACTCCTCTGAAGATTGTCAAGCAAACCGGAAACATCGTCAACTTTTTCATTTAATTTATTTCCATACCCGTCCAACCACCCTTTCGCACTGTCAACAGACGTAGAAATCCCACTAGCCCCATTGCCAATTTGTTTAGTAATTAAGTCAAGAACACTGTTAAGCCTATCCTGTGGGGTAATATAGCCATCATACTTTTTAACACTCTCATCCTCTTTCACTGCCTCCAACACCCCGTGCAGGAACGCCATCACCCCGTCGCACAGCCTGTCAAGGTCAGAGTAGACGATGCCAGAGCCCGAGTAGCCTTTTGAATCTTTGTTGAAACCTAAAAACTTTTCTAGACCGTCTGTGAGATTTGTTAGAAGATTTTTGCATTCCTCTGTTTTATCATTCTCGGTAAATATTTTAAGATTTTCTTCAAGCTTACCAAGAGAGATACGCTTCTCATCAAGATCCTTCTTAGCTGTATCTCTTTTAGTGTCAGAGGAATGTACTTCAGCATAATGGTCATAATACTGGGTTTGAAGCTTCTTAATTTGGTTTTCATCTTTATGATTTTCAGACTGAAGCTTCTTAATTTGGTCATTCAAGTGATCACAATAGGAGAGAGAGTTATCAGGACCGGAATCATTTTTGTAGTGTTTTTTAGGACATTCAAGTTGCTTTTGTCTTTCCGTAAGACTATCAGCTGCCTTCGTAATAGCCTCTCCAATCAACTTTTTCAACGCATGAGCCAAATTTCCAAGACCCTGACCCTGACCATCACCACCGTATCTAACCTGTATCAGCCAGTCTATGGACTCCCGGAGGTTTTCCGGGCAGTCCGTCAGCTTCTTAGGTTGGCGCACCATTTTAGTAACGCAAACTTACCGGACAATTGTAGACGCCTAAGTTACAACACCCACCTAGCAATTAGGGATTGCAGATCCCCGACTCCGCTTCAAAAATGCGATAATCCCTGTAAGGCTCACTCACAACCCTATTTATTTTCCCAACTACATTAGTTAGACTTGTGTCGTGTGAAATATGTATTTATAAGTCATGGCGATACGAACATCTGTCTCCCTCGCTCACCTAATCCCAATCTCCGGTGCCCAGACAACCCAAAATTCTAATCCACGTCGGAGGTCGCCTGAAACCTCCTAACTGCACTTCAATGTTCAAAGACACTGAGGAACATCCCACTCATATGCAAAGTAGCAATTAATGTTTGCATCAAATCCTCTCACGCCCCTCAGCAATTCCAAGTTACCCCCATTGCCACTACATGGCTTTCATATTAAGAAGCGCATATTCCTGACACGTGAATGGTAGCACTATTCTGCAATTTCGTGAAATACGGCATGCTATGGACGTGCAGTGCAAACGTTAATGGGAATATCGTTCCCTCTGCAGCCTCCACAAGCCATGGAATCTTAGATGCGTGATGTATGGGACTGCAACCTCACTTGGAGGATTCCAAGTGTGACCGTGAAGAACAGCGGGGATTGACTGAGATCTAAAGCAGTTGTTTTAGTGAAGAGTGGTGAGCGGTAGGTGAAGGACCATGTAACGATGGACTACGTACGACAAGTTCAAGACTCAGAAGATCAAGGAGTACAACCGCCCAGACATAATAGTGGCGGATCGACGGAGGAACATGATCACCATCATGGAAACAGGAATAACCAATCAAGGCAACCTGGTGGAGACTGGGATTCAAGAAAAGGAAGTACGAAGCTCTGATCGAGGACCCGAAGACGCGATAATTCAACCAGCACACAACGTTCAGGGCAATCCCCTACGTTATGACGTGGGAGGGCACTGAGGCGGAACAACACGCCGAGTATGATCGGAACCTGGGCAAATCGGATCGCTTGGAAGCCCATGTACAACGGGTAGCGATCCAAGAAACACAAAAGCTAGTGTTGAGGGACATGAAACCCAGAGAAGACTATGACTCTAAGTGGGCCCCGTGCCCAAACAGGATGGATGCCACAATGGATGGCACCTGTAGCGTTCGATTACACGAGTGGATCCCGAAACCGACACCAGCAGCCTAAGGCGCTTGCCTGGTAAGTGCGAAACTCGACCCTATGCCACGTAGCCACATGGCACACTAAACAAAACCAAAACAATGATAGCATCTGAAGGGCTGTGCCGTTACTGTCTAGAGCAGTGCGATAACTGTGATTATAAAAAGTGTTAGAGTTGATCAAATAATGCGATACAGAACGTTGACTTGCGGACGAAAAAATCGCGGATCTTGTGGAACGGTCGGATGCGTTTCACGATCATGACGCAGACGGCGACGAGGATGATGAAGATGATGGGAACGATGACAATGCTTATACATTTAGTTCTACAACATGGACAAACACAACTCCAAAAACCTTCATCTTGACATTTCGCACATTTAGAAGGATCGCATGTATTTAAAAAGCTTTTTATCTCTTCGCATACATTACACGCTCCGCTTGCCTTACACCCTGGACAGCACGTACAACGTCCACTACATTCTCCGCCCCTATTCCTACAATTACATCCCGCTTCCGACATCTTCCCCCAACTACCTTGCCATTAACCTGCGTAGCTATGAAACACTTGCCTTAACGTTGAACTGTAGAACCGGTAAGCCGCCTCCAATGGGCGTTACGGGAGCATCCAGACAAACTTCACGCTACCCACCGCCAGGGATACCATAGCCACGCGCATGGCACCGCAGAGATACTACACGCAGCAGGTCGTCTGTTACCTTGCAAATGCTAGGCCACATTTTGCTGGGCAAATGCCTTGGAATCGTCAAAATTCCCACTTAACTTGTGCGGCGCATTTATGGCGGCATATTCTACATCTGTTTTCAATCTTGAATGTCTTACAATGCTACCTTACCATTCCTGCTACTCAGCCACCTGTCAGGATCACTGGGCCATCCACCCAAGAAGGCTTCTAATTTCGGCCGACCATGTAGCTACCTTAATAAGCACGAACAATCCCATGCATAGTACCCATTTCTTCTATGTTCATGATGCTAACACGGAACCACGTATTCTGACATTACGCCTCACATACCAACCGTAATGACATTGGTGTCATGATTGAGCTGCCTGCTGTAGAAACTGATTCACTTACATCCGGCATTTATTCCGATCGACGCATCTAAACCTCCTGCCTAATACTCAGCATCCTGTTGTTGGGTATTTGCTTCTTTTCCCCATCCATCCCACCAATCTGTGTGGTATGTGGCTGACTCCGGTGACACCTGGAAAAGCGCACTTCGCAGCTGTAGATGAGCCGCTGTAACATTGAAAAGCACATGATGTACTGCACCGTAAAAATATGATAAGGATATGAAACCATTCCTGTACTACCCCCAACTGTGGGCTAAAAGTCATCCACTGACAGTGTGGTTGCTTAATAACATTAATTTAGATGCTGGAACTCGCTACTAGGTTTTACTTAGTGTTCCTTGCTACGTGTAAAAAACATTGCCTATATTATAACCTGTGAAGTGGAATGACAATAACCGTATTACACCGTACCCATTCCGACAGCACAAACTTCACGACAGACGCATGGTGGTACATCATTCCACACTACCCTGTTAAATGGTGTCTTCGACACCTACACGTGTTATAAACATTTGTGTTAACAGAAACTGATTGCTGACTTCGATCGCCGCCATTCTGGCGTTATAACCTTAGAACAGGCTGCTACTGGAATACACGTTGAATGCCCATCTTTCTTTGGTTTATCATTGTTTTGGTTTTGTTTAGTGTGCCATGTGGCTACGTGGCATAGGGTCGAGTTTCGCACTTACCAGGCAAGCGCCTTAGGCTGCTGGTGTCGGTTTCGGGATCCACTCGTGTAATCGAACGCTACAGGTGCCATCCATTGTGGCATCCATCCTGTTTGGGCACGGGGGCCACTTAGAGTCATAGTCTTCTCTGGGTTTCATGTCCCTCAACACTAGCTTTTGTGTTTCTTGGATCGCTACCCGTTGTACATGGGCTTCCAAGCGATCCGATTTGCCCAGGTTCCGATCATACTCGGCGTGTTGTTCCGCCTCAGTGCCCTCCCACGTCATAACGTAGGGGATTGCCCTGAACGTTGTGTGCTGGTTGAATTGTCGCGTCTTCGGGTCCTCGATCAGAGCTTCGTACTTCCTTTTCTTGAATCCCAGTCTCCACCAGGTTGCCTTGATTGGTTATTCCTGTTTCCATGATGGTGATGGTGTTCTTCCGCCTATCAGCGACGATCATTTCCGGGATGATTATGTTCTGTGGTCTTCTCCGTCTTAACGTCATCGTACGCTATCCATCCATGTCTCCCGTGCACTTCGCTCTCGATCTTGTGGGCGTCCATTTTCTCCTTGGGTAGTCCTATTTGCCTCCCGAGTTCCGAGTGGATTATCCTCGCAACTGCCTCGTGCCTCCTCGTATATTCTATGCGTAGCATTTTCAGGCATTTTGTTGCGAGATGATCCACATTCTTGCCGTTCTTGCACCTCGGACACTTCTTCGTCGGTGACATCCATGTCAGGTGCCTGTCCTGCACTGCCGCGGCTTGCGCTTCTTCTGACGGGCTGAGGATTCCACTCGTTAGGCAGTGACACGATGCCTCGATTTCCACCAGTGGGCCCTCACGTTTGGCGAACAGCACCTTATGTGTTGATTTAACCTCCATTCTGCCATATAGTCATTTGTGCTGGGCCATCCCGAGGTCCTGGGGCTTTCCGCCATTGTGTCCTCCAATCCGAATTCCATTCCACATCTTTCTTCCAGATGCATCTTGACATATGCGCATGTCACTCGGTAATGCTGCATGATAGCAGCAGATAACCGCAACTTCAAACAGCCCCTTCAGATGCGCGTCATCATGGATTTGATTCGCAGACATGCTGTCCAGGTATTCCCGTAGTAGGCCATTGGAACACATTTGTATCCGTCCATGCAGGACTAATGAAGTACGCATAAATAATTGTCACCATATTGATAAAGAATAAGTGGGTTAATATTCGGGGTACATCGCATAGACTCAGACGTTGAATTTGGTTTCCAGCAGCGAATGCAGCCCCCCTATACCAAATTCATGGCGAGGCTTCTCGACGTTCAAGTACTCGTATGACTCGAGCGAATCCAGCTTGTCCATCAATATCTCTACAGACAGCATGCTGCTCTTCATGCCAGGGAGACGTGTGGATTTCGAGCACGTGTTCAGCTCGATGGAGTTCTTGAGCGCGGCCTGGTAGCCTAACGTCTTCTGCAAACGCTCAAACTTCGCCATCTCCTCCTTCAGAAGGTTCTTGCAGTCGATGTCGTGCATAGGATGCACAGACAGCGTGTCACCGTAGGCTGTCCTCACGCCGTTTCCATCCAAGGGGCAGTAAGGAAAGTTGTTCAGGTCTATGTTGACCGACGCCAAATCACTTGTGCCCTCCATTGCCAGATTTAGATTAATATGATATAAGAAAACGCCCAGCGGCACTACGCCAGGTCGTTGACGGCGAACGAAGCGCGCCTCGAGTCTGCCTGTCCTGTAAAACGCAACCACAAGGATGCGCAAAAAACAGGCAACCTCGGTCTACCCTAAAATATATGTGTTTATACGACACACCCTTCGTCGCCTGGAGTGTTTTTACAATTGAAACCACGAAATTGTGTAATGTGGGTCGCGGCAACGAAGCGACCACAACGCCGGGCACACATCAAGTTTCTCTAGCGCAGAAGCGAAACACGACGCCCGGTCGCGATACGTAATAGTGTAAAATATGCGGCGATACGTTAATGTGTGCTAGCTAGTACCAGGGAAACTACTAAGGTGCAAGCGTACTAAGAACAGTGACGCGGGAGAGCCAATACAGGCGATACAAACGCATTGCATTTCATCCAGTCTCACTAAAATAGTTCATAACTATTAAATAACAGAGCCATTGGCGCAATACAATGTGCTAAGGTGACACCTTCCATAAGATGTTGTATGGTGTCTCGTAGTGGCTACGCCGAAAACGCTATCTCCGGTGTCGACAGCCGTAAACACCAAGAGCTGTGCTGTAAAGTGGGTTACAAATGAATTTACGCATCTTGAGTGTGTTTTAGCCTGTCATACCGCCAGAGCTGGACCGCTGAACTCCTCCCCATTACATCTCGACGCGCCCCAGGGGAGGCCACTCTCTCAAGCTCGCGAACCACTGGAAATCAACGGCTAAGGAGTAGACTACTCGCTACAGCACTTCAGTAAGGTTGGTTTAGTGTAAATTGTCATTGCAAATATCCGTTGGCTTTGTGGGTTCACGCGCTCAGTCACACGGCCTGCGCCAAACGACGGAGCACGACCGAAATTAGCGCGTTTTCAGGCCGGCGTCGAGCGCGGTGCACATTTCATTATTATTTATTGCGCTAACAGCTGCCAATACGACCCCTCACATACCGCTGCAGATTGCCACATACACCACAGATATTACGAGATGGCTCTCAAGTACGTTTCGAGCTACCTGCTCGCCGTCGCCAGCGGCAACGAAAGCCCGAGTGTCGCGGACCTCAAGAAGATTCTCGACGCCGTTGGGTCCGAAGTTGACGATGACTGCCTGGAAGGTCTCGTCGCGTCCATGAGCGGCAAGACCGTCCACGAGGTTAGTGGTTACCCTCTTTGTGTCCCGTATTGTATGTGGATATACCGCGTGGTATTGCGTTTTCGATGTGTTACTTCATGACTGGCCGTCAATAACATATACATCAACGCTAATGCCACGCAGACGATCGCAGCCGGCATGGAGAAGCTCCAGAGCGTACCTACTGGTGGCGTTGCTGCTGCACCTGCCGGAGGAGCTGCCGCTCCCGCTGGTGACGCGCCCGCCGAGTCCAAGAAGGCTGAGCCTGAGCCCGAAGAGGAGGAGGATGACATGGGTTTCTCACTATTCGACTGAGCTGTATGGCCAATATAGAGATCGCTGCATACGGATGACTGCCCGCAGGGGAGGGTCACCCATGATAACACGCGTTTTAAGCTACATTCGATTTGGTGATACCACACTGGAGCGATTCCAGCGGCTTGTATTGGTGTGTGAGTGTGTATGTCACCCAGTGCCGCCTGGAGCACGCATCTCCTCCCTGTACGTGGGTTCTTGTGATACTTCCAAACTCAATTGAGTTAAACTCAAAGAGTTGGACCCCTTGTGACGCAATAATGGCGATACCAGCGCATTGTTTGCGCGACTTTATCGCACGTGTTGGAGGTGAGATTCCGGCCTATAATAACGATACGATAAATATTGCGTTCGCCTGGCGACCTTTAAACGCTCTTATCAAACTGTTTATACGGCCGCAGGCGAAAACAGGCTCGCGGTGGTCACTTCCGGCGGCACGTGTGTGCCGCTCGACCGTTGCGGGGTCAGGTTTATGGACAACTTCTCGACAGGGCGCAGAGGGTCATGCATCGCCGAGTAAGTAACTTATGATGCGTGTTGCTTCCGTTGAAATGCGCGATAACCCTATGCAGGGAGCTGCTGCGACAGAATTACCATGTAGTGTTTGTCTACAGAGAGGGTACCTGCAGACCATTCCTAAGGGATGCTGTCGGATGGGGCGACCACCTGGCGCTGGTGGATGGGATGGAACTTTCGGACGATGGCTCCATCAGATGTAGGTCCGAATAATACATAATTAACGGACTCAGTCGTACCGCCGGAATCAAAGCAGGAGTCAGTACGCAACGCCATAGCAAACTATCGCAAGGTAACTTTAAAGGAATGATCGAAAACACGTTATCAGTACAAAGATAAGCTAGTGCTCCATAAATTTCGCACAATGTGGGAGTATCGCGACGTTGCAGAGTGGGTTATCGTGCATGCGGGCTGACATGGAGCAGACAATTGAGTCACGACACGAAGCATTTAGGGACAAATGTCATATGGTTCCTAACTGCGGCAGTCATGGATTTCGAGATTCCAGATGGCCAAATGGTATGTGATACATCCCCATCGCGATGCGGCGGCTATATCACCATCTCACCAGCCGTGGGTTGTTGGCCATAAATCCGTATGTGGCAATCATTCCGATATTCACCGAACCAGGCATATATAATCTTGCAGCCTCATCACAAGGTTCCGTCCCATCGTCCGATGAACATTACCCTAGTGCCTACTCCTAAAATCAGGTACCGTTAACCCATATCCAGATCACAGTTAACAGGGACATTGTGCGCGGCATCATAGGGAACGCTCCTACGATGTGCTGCTTTAAACTGGAGACAGATACGACTGTGCTTATCCAGAAGGCCAAATTTCTGCTAGGCGAGCCTACCATGGCGGATGCCGTCGTTGCCAACATATTGGATCAAAGATACAACCGAGTAGAGATAATCTTCCCAGACGGTACATCCCAAAATGTAGACTCTAAGGTACGATATTGAGGACTTATATATAGCGAACACCGCAGGACGAAAGCATTGAGAAGGGAATAGTAGACGCACTGATACAGGTGCACAACAGTAAAGCGTCACGCTAGAAGACTAAAAAACCGTCAAAAGCGTAATGTGTCTATAATTTTTATTATAATGTATAATGTTGGTGGTGCGTGCCACGGGGGCCTTTACCATAGTGAATAATGCAATACAAGGAAGAAAGTACCGTGGCACTAAAAGCGCCACCTGCGATAACACCGCTTCACAGCAGATCTTCGTTCCGAATCGGTGTTGCGCCGCCCAAACGGGACTCCGCAACGAGTTTGTCTACCTTGGATAGCTGGATCTGAAATGCTGGCACCTGTAGATGGCCGCATGAACACCTACGACCATACCAGCAATAGTACCCCAACTTGGATGAGCATCGCGTGTTCTTGCAGATTATCTTCCCAGTTTGAGAGTCCACGTCGGTCATCCAGTCCATGGGTTCCACAAACACGCTGCTGCACGGCTCGTCGTCGGGGCCGTGGGAGTCCCCGACGCTCTCGTGTTGGATGACGTTGTACCCGTAGAACAAGGTTTGTCGGCACTTCACGCAACTATACACCGCTCCGTTGTCCTCATCCGAGTTGGGGTTTCGGCAGTTCGCTTCGTACTCCTCCAGGCGATCTAAGTCGATGCGGCGGAGCAGGTTACGATATTCGCCCCAGAATACGTCGTGGTTGGGTACCTCAAAACCGTGCTTGTAGTACAGAAGCAGCTGGCAGGAAAACCCCGCACTGGGAGATGCGATAGGGTGCACGCTCTTGAGTTGTTTGATAACGCTGGTGAACGTTGCTTCCTGCTTCTTCATCAGGTAGGCACATACCAAAGAGCAACTCCGCGACATTCCCATCATGCTGCAAACAAGTTAAATACGCAAGTAATAACACCAACCAATGAACGAAGGTAGAACCGTTACTAATGGTGCTCACAGCCTCCACAAAATCGTACGCGAACTGAAACGCCCGAAATAGCCTTTCGTTGGAAGTGTCTTCAGCCCTCACGACCATATGCAGCACGTAAGTACTCTGGTCTTCATCCGAATCGGGATCCGAATCTTGATTGGCTCGGTAGTGCGGGATGCGATCTACGTGTAAATTGATATAGTCCTTGTCGAAACGGGGCGACTTAATCAAATGCGAATAAGCGGCGCTTTCGTGGTCGTCGCACTGATGGAAGCAATTGGCGGACTCATTGCACCATTCCGGCACATCGAAACATGCTGATATCACGCCCAGGAGGTTATCGGGGGTACTGCCGGGTTCGAACCTGTTGGCAGGGCGGCGATCAGGCGGCAGTCGCACGTCATCGAAGAGACGATGTGCTGTGTACAGGTCGCCAACGTACAGGCCGTCAACCACCTTAGACATCGTTCTGCCTTTGTGCCAAAGACTCAAAAGGCTTGGACCTAACATAGGATGTCACTGTTGGCGCAATCCGCAGAGCTCGCACACGATGGCTAGGAATCCACTACGCCGGCCGTCGGAACCGAGTAATTGGCTTATCCTGATCAAGCCGTAATATCAAAATGACACATACAGAATGCCAAGGTGTACCCGTCGAATAGAAGGTCAGTGAATCATTAGAGTCTTATATGTTGTGGCACTACTGCGGTTCGCGCGTCTGCGTAAATGCGGCGTAGCACACCCAACGACGGCGCATTACACCTAACACACTGCGCAACGCACATTTGAACACATTTTTGAACGTAATAGTGGCGACCTTCCGGCATCGCTGGCTGAGGCACTGGGAGGAGTAGGGGATCTGAGTTATATACGGGACACTCCGAGCGATCAGATAAGGGCTTTGCCCACTTCTGCCGCCCTAAGGGCTCTGATAAGTGTTGGAAGCGGCGGTATCATGGACGCACTCTCGCCGGAAGCAAGGGAGGAATACCAGAGCTTTGTCAACGTGGTGTATGCGTTTCTGTCGTACAAGAGCGATGCATCCATCGACGCGCAACGCATATACAGGTCTATGCAGCTGCTGTCTGCTGACGACAAGGCGCTGCTCATCGAGCAGCCCGCTGTCCGTGTGATGAAGATCATACATGCACTCATCGCAAATCAGAATTTCATAAACGCCATCTTGAGCTGCTTGTGTGGACGCAATATAAGCGAAGAAGCGGACAACTATGATCCCATGGCGCCAGATCCATCCCCCAAAACGCGGGAGGATGGCGATGCCGATACGGATCCTCTGATAGACAAACTAAGGCTGATCGTCAGGAATGCGCCGTTCTGGCAGATTCCTAAGGAAGTCGAGGACTCGGAAATTGTGCCTACGCAAGACCACGAAGCCCTGTCGAGGAACATAAACTGGGTCAGAACAATGCTGCGACAATTTGTACGCGACTGGTCGGAGGAGGGCGCCATGGAGCGCGAGCAAACGTTTACACCACTGCTGGAAAGCCTGCAGCGTCATGTTCCCATCGAGGACCCGGAAAAGCCACCCAGGTGAGTTGCACAGCATGGTTAAAGTGCTCTCCTCAAAACGCAAATGACATATTTACAGGGTTCTGTGCCCGGGATCTGGATTGGGACGGCTGCCATACGAGGTAGTGCGGCTTGGTTACGACAGCCAGGGGAACGAATTCTCGTTGTTCATGCTTATAGGGTCGTATTTTGCAACCAATTTTATGAAAAAGAGGAACTGCTTCAAGTTGTACCCTTACTGCCTCTCAACCAGCAACCGGGTCAACCACGAGGACCAAATGTTCACTTGCCACCTACCAGACGTAGCTCCGGCAGAACACGGAGTGAAAAGTGATTTCAGCATGTGCACGGGGGATTTCACGGAAGTATACGCAACTGTGGAGACGCCCTTCGATGCAGTCTTAACGTGCTTCTTCCTCGACACGGCCAAAAATGCGATTACGTACATACGCACATGCGCAGGGGTGCTGCGCCGTGGAGGGCTGTGGGCCAACATAGGCCCGCTATTGTACCATTATGCGGACTTCAACCACAACTCCGTCGAATACTCATGGGAGGAGCTTAGGCATATCATTTCCATTTGGTTCGATATCGTGCGCGAGGAGTGGAGGGATGCCAACTACACGTCGAACAAACGCAGCATGATGAGGACGCAGTACAGGTGTATATACTTCGAAGCGATACGCAACGACGTGGAGGTATATGGAAAATCGGAGCAATTCTAGGTAAACTAAGGCGAACACAACTGAGCCTTCTGTATTTGTAGGTGTAATGTAACAACTGTGGAAGCCGGCAAAAGGATCACGGCTTCATTGTATTGATAGAGCTACTAAATGGTTTTTAAGTGTAGGACCAGACGACCGATGTGCCGGCGCAAGTTTTCGTGTCAGCGCCGCTCACCGCAGTGGCCACAATCAAACTACAAAGGCCCATAACGGCCAATGTACCATGTAATTATCGTATTTGTTGTAATAGTGTTTTCACTTGCGATGTGTATGCACTGAGTTGTCCCATCGCTGCCGGTATGCGGCGTCTAACGCCGGCTTAGTGACCTTCCACATCACAAATATATGCGCCAAGAAAGATAGACATGGCAATTTTATCGCATAAGTGATAGCTTTGGGTGGTATGTGTTCGCCCTGGCGGTATAACTATATCGCAAATGGCCAACGCGGTACACGCACATGTATAGCGAAGGCGACGCCACTGCCCAGCAATCGCATTATAATCCTAGCAGCCATATTTATCGCATTAATACACGGTGTTGAAGCGCTTACAGGGCGCGTGAACCGGTCTACTGCATCACCGTTGCTCGCAGGACCCAGATTCCACTGGCATACGACGGCATTCGTGGATTCTTCGACACATCGGAACACTGGGCACGGCATCGCCCCAGTATTCGCACAACGCTGGAAATACACGAGAGTTACACTCCTCAAAGACACGCCGCATGTGGGCAAAGCGGGCGAAGTCGCCATCGTCAACCGCAATTACGCGTTTAACTACCTCGTGCCGTTTGGATTCGCCAGATACACCACCCGTGCCGAACTGGTCGGGATAGTGTTAGATACGGAATACAAGGAAGCGCTAGCCAATGTTAGAAAGGCCAGTGCGGTGCACATGAAAGCGCGGTTTGGAAAGGACACGGTGCTGCCATTTGAAACGCCAGCGCAGTCAGATGGATCTAACTTGCTGGTTTCGCCACTCCTGCCTATCGATGTCATCGATAAGATGAGAGAGAAAAAACTGTTGCTGGCTGTAGACATGCTAAGAGAACAAGACATTAAAATACTGACCGAGACCGGCACCATCACCGAATTCGGCATATACAAGGTGCAACTGAACGTGGACCCAGAAATTGACATACAAATCACCGCTGATGTTAAGGAGAAGCCGTTAGACACATCTTTTCTGAAAGACGTAATGCTGTCGGAATCCAGCCAGGAGTCTTCGTCAGAATAACTGTGGTATCGCTCTACCACAGCCACTTGACGTGTTTAAGGAGTAAGGCCCAATATACAACATGCCCAAGATCTGCATAAATATGCAACCGCTTATGTGTAGGTATGCTGGGTATGGCACCAAAGGGGGAAGCTGGTGGCAAAAAGTAACTTTGTCATCATTGCATAGTCTCAGGAAGGATGTAGTCTCGTTGGGAAAGACGTGGAACGCACCTTGCACTGCACAATGCCATATAACCAACAGTTATGTGCATTGTAGTAGCGTTGTGAAGCGGTTTTCTCATCACTCAGCCCAGCGTGGGAAGTATTACACCAACAGGTTTTACATGAAAAAATGCAAGTCGTGCGCCTTGTGGAACAACTTGTCAGTGATGCAGTGCGTACACTGCCTCACTGCTTTGGGAGATGAGGACATAAGGCTGCGGGTGGTGGACCCCCTGTGCCGAACCGCCAACTCAAGAAGAAGCGAGACGGAGGATGGGAATCTGGAATACGTCATCTTACACCGGTGCTTCGACTTCACGGTTATGCTGCACCCGCAGCCCTCAGCGGCGATACACCTCTCAGCTGTGCCCAACGGAACGTTCTACGATATCAAAAACTTTAGAAAGACCCACATTCCAATTATCACCACAATGAAGTCCCGCTGCGACGCTATTATACGCGATATAATAACCGGAAACTCTGGTCCCGACTTCCTCAAGAACAGCACACCGGTTGCCCATCTCAGAGGGATCATCGAGACACCACAAGGCGACTCGAAGAAGCGGAGCGCCAGCGATATAGTCTCGGAAGCCATATACGGGTTCAACTACCCCAACAACTTCTCCCACGTCGGAATGCACGCCGTTGTGCCCCCAATAAAGTGCTTCAATCTTTTCAAAAGCCCGTTTTTCTACCCGCTTTCAAAGGTACTATCGGACCTCGAGCACCTATCCCAGGTGAAGACGTATACAGCGGACGAGGCAAAACAGCTGTAGGTGACACAAATCACGAACTTATCATATGCAGTTACGAGAAGGATATCATTATGGAGGACATCCTGGACATAGACGCTACCTTCAGAGTACAATATGGTCTCTGAAGTCACGGTGATTGGCACGATCCCAACAGCAACTGACAAATACCTCCGCGCAGCGACGCGTATCACCGGTATACAACCATATTACAGCTATACTGTGGTGCCACTGTAAATCACCGCAAATCAGGCATGTGGTCTGGTATGCACTAGTCCGCACGTGATGAAACCGCATTATTTCAGATTTTAAAAATGTGTCATAAAATTTTGCTGGTAGCCTACGTTAATTAATTACATATAATACGATGGTCAAGCAACCCATCATGAGTAGGATCGACGGTCACGTGACCCGTACCGCTTGCCACCGTGTCGCCTTCTGGTCTTGTAGCTCTGCGAAGAGCTCGCGGAGGACCTGGAAGACAAGCTGGATGACGAACTACTGCGACGACGGCGCTTTGGGCTGCTGCCTCTTCTGCGATGGCTTACGGAGCGGTCGCGGCTACGACGGGCCTCATACCGCCTACCTCGACCTCTGCGAGAAACCGGCGATTCGACCGAGCGCGAAGAACGGGACTCTGAAGACGCTGAGGGAGTGGGCGAATCAGTAGACGCGCTTGAGTATGACCGACGACGGCCGTGGCGAGGCGCCCTGCGCACCGCGGGGGAAGACCTAGACGACGAGGACTCGCTGCGATTAGAATACGACCCAGAAGAACTGCGAGACGGAGACCGCTCACGATGCACGCGACGACGGTAACGTACCGACGCAGAACTGGATCTTGAAGAGTTCGATGAAGGTGACCTACGACGCCGACGATACCCTCCGTCACCGCTACCACGCTTGCGAGTGGAATCGTCGCTGCGGCGGATGGGATATTTTCTGGCAGGACTATTTGCGTATTTCCGAGCTTCGTACCGCTGCGTGCCATATTCCCGTCTGCTTCGCGAGGTCTGACGACGCGCTCCACGAGATTCACCTGGAACCGATTCGGCTTCAACAGATGCATTCTCTACTGGAGTCGGTTCGTTTTTAATCTGAATGGGACCTTCAGCAGAGGCATTAGCATCACTCCCTGCATGGTCGGGTGCGGGAAGTGAGGAACCCATTTGCCGTAGCGTGTCCTCTACCTCGTTTGCGGCTCCTTGAATAGCCGCAATCTCGCGTTTCTTCTCGTCAATGAAGGCCTGCGGGATGCCGTATTCGCTATCCTGTGCAGCTAGCAGCAGATCCCATAACTCCTTCACGAAGATGCGGGCGTTCTTGGCCATGAAGCCCGTTAGGTTTATCTGCAGCTTTTTGGGGTCCAGGTAAGGCTTCTCGTTGAGGCACTTGCCACCATCACCTGCGTCATCATGTACGAAAGATTTTAGCCATGCAGACAATGCATTTGTTGCTTAGATACGATCGTAAAAGTGAAATTTGCCACGTATAGAGCTTGATAAGGTCAAAAACGAATAGTTATAACGGACGCTCATGGCACTTGCACGCAAGGTTATGTAAAAGCGCAAGTAAACTCACCAGCGTTCTCCGCGTTAGCCTTAGCATCGGTTTCTCCGAAGAACTTCAGCTGACTCAGACAATAGTCGACCACAATTTCATCTTCCACGCCCATCAGCTCGGTCACCCGGCGAGTGATCCAAGGCTTGAACGCATCTATTTGCACCTTGGTGATATCAACGGACTGCGAGAAACAGGCGGGCCACTTCTTAGACTCCAGAAGCTCGCGCTCCTTGCCGGCTAAGAAGGGTGTCTTCAAGTCGCCGCCATGGCGGCTGAAGCGCGAGCCCCGCAGCATCGGCAGTAACCAAAGGCCTCCCTAGGTTCGACTTTTACGTATAGACAAGCATGTGTGCAGCAATACACACACTCATGCAGACTGGTACGGCCTAATGCTGCGTGGAAAACGCGCTTCGCGGCGGAACTAGCTTCGTGATAACGCGGCCCCATTGTCCACAGCCGCGGTGCTCAGCGCAGCCCGCACGGTGCCCTGTGTGAGAGGCATTTCGATTTTTATGTCATTTCAGTGGTAAAGGTGGTCATAGGGCCACGTGAACCACTATAAGAAAGCCGAGGGTTCGAGCTCTACGCGTCCCTGCAGAGGGCCGCAACACACATCACAGCGGAAACGCGCTATTTTACGGAAGTCTGCGTAAAACACACACACGCGCAGACATACACACGGCATGAGACGGCTGATTTATATACCAGATGGAGTATGATGGACTTGAATGAATACTCCCATAAAAACCTGGACCACAACCAAGCTAAATTCATATGTGAGTTTGCCGGATGGGAGCGTAAATTATGGCGCAGACGAAAACGAAAAGAACTATTTCTACGTCGTGAAGAGCTTTTCCGACAGGAATGTGCGCGCAGCCCTCGAGCACAACGTTTGGGCGACTACACCTAAGAACGAGGGCACGTTCGACGAAGCGTTCAAAAAGTGCGAGAATGTCGTGCTTTTCTTCTCCATCAATGGGAGCTCGCGCTTCATCGGATACGCTCTGATGCGCTCGAGGCCGGGGGACTGCAGCGTACAGAATAACGTGTTTTGCCTACCCAACGGCAGACAGTTCAACGGAAAGCAATTCGACCTCCTTTGGATTAGGGTGGTCGAACTACCTTTCTCGGACTGCGTTCACCTTAAGAACAGCTTCGACGACGGCAGGCCGGTGAAGGTCGCACGCGACGGGCAACGGATTGACCAATCGACTGGAAGGGAGCTGTGCATACTTTTCGAGAACAGGTTCCTGCAGAAGCCTATACCGTGGAGACCTGAGATGTACGGGAGCCAATTTGGTGCTTACGTGGTTAACCCTCAAGGATACCAGTGCGTGGGAGTACCCCCAGGTGCCCAAGCTATACCTCCCTTATCTGGATTCCCGGTTATACCTATATCTCACGCCCCCGCCAATTTGCAACATATTGGCGTCGTAACGCCTTACTACCAGGTGCCCCCAGTGTCGTCACCGAGGAGTCAAAAGAAATCGCGAGGTTCTGTGTCGCCTCAAAGTGCGCAAACTCCAAGACCCAGCGAAGTTGAGGGTGTCTACCGCATGACCGAGGAAGACGCGTTAAAGGCGGTGGAATATAATCCGGCACTGGCAATATTCCCCGTTGATTTAACGAATTTGTCATACGAGCACTACGTCTCTCTTTATAACGTCTCGCACCAGTACTGGATCGAACAACAGGAGCCCGACGTGAAGCCCGAAAGCGAGTGAAACAATGTACGCTGGAGTTTTCAGACTGATTGGCGGGCTCGGAGTCCACAATCAGTGGCAGAGATACAGCGAATTGTCACGCGCTTATAATGCCAAAATTGGCTCAAGATGTTGTAACAAAATATTTTTCAGCCGTGAAATAGATGGTGATGATTTGAACATAAGCCGAAGAAGGCTCCTCATGCGAGTGAAAAATACCGGCATGAAGGAACTCGACGCCCTGCTGGATGGGTACATGGCCAAACGACAACGAAACATGGACGCCAAAAGCGTCGCCGATTTTCACGCACTGTTGGACATGGAGACACCCAGCCTGTACCAAATGTTTCTCGTCACACAGCGGTTACCTGAGCATCTTCAGGGAAACGCTGTTGCGGCAGAGATACTCACCTATGCTCAGGGGGGAAATTTAACGAGCTAAAACCGTTGAAATGTCCGGTATATCACCTAACAACACACCGAACTAAACCTTTTTTGTTATTCGTCAATTTTGTGGCGAAGTTTATTGCTTTCATGTCTGTTTTTATTATGTGGTATTTCACAAGGCTGAGGTACCATGGCATATGTATGCAGATAGCGTATTTATAACATCAACAGCACATTGTGGCATGGTTAAATGAATTCTTAGTGACCTAGGAGAGGTTACGAGAGATTAGTGAGGCGAAATCTGGGAGGATGCTAGACAACATCTTCATGCGGTATTTCCAGATTCCCGAAGTTGGAACGTGCAATTAATACAAACGCTGCAACATTTAGGTCGTATCTGGCATGTCTACGGAACTATATGAGGATTGGGAGAGCGTTATGACGCCTGTAAGTACGCAGGCTCCGTGATTTCGTGAGACACCACATTACTGGAGATGATGCACCAATGCAACAAATCACTACTGCACCACAACCCATAAAACATTAACAAATAAAAACAATTACTGTGACAAGTCGAGAGGGTCATCGTCGAAGTAGTCGACGTCGCGGTAGAGTGAGAGCATCCTGCGGCTGCCGGCGAGCAGCGCCTTGACGTCGATGAGGTGGGAGGCCCTGGTGGTGAGGAGGTGCGAGCGTATGCGCAGAACGTCCATGCGGTAGAGGAGTGAGTGGGCGATGTAGAGCGTGGCGATGAGCCAGAGTGATGTGATGGTGAAGAGGAAGGGCATACGGATGTGCCAGAGGAGTTGGTCAATTTGGTGGAAGAGGTTGGCGAAGTGCTTTGAATGCAGTGCCTTGGTGAGTTGTCCGTTGAGGTCACTGCACCGCATCTTCTGGCTGCCGGCGACCAGGATGTGGGCGTTGCGATATGTTAATCCGTAGCGGTAGAGCGTCGGCAAGGGTCCACCACATTCGACGAGTGACGGGCAGTGGCAGGCGTCCTTGTGGCCGTGGTTATCGGGATAACAGGGGCACGTGGCGCAGCCGTGGGCCGTGCAGTCGATGTTGTTCAAGGCTTCTAGCAGTTGTTGCAGCAAATCCCAGAATTGCCATGCCAGCCATACCACCCACGAGATATACAGCTGTGCGTGCTTCTGCGGGAAGGTGTGGTTGGAGTGCAGCGACAGCGGCTGGAGGAAGGGGGCGCATCCACTGGGTGCTTGACAAGGCGACTTGGCGGATAGACTGGAGAGGGCACTGTGCTCTGAGTTCTCATGGTCATGGCCGGCGAGTGCCTGGAGGGCGTCGGTGAGATGGGCATTTTGGTAACTGCCATGGAGCTCCGTCCGCAGCGGGAAGAATCCGTTGATAGCGTCGTCGTTCAGGTGCGTTAAGTAACTCTCATGGTGAGAGTACGCCCATCGGGACGATTCGGTGTCCCACATTCTGAGCATTTGACTGAACAACGAGAACACGTCGCCGAGTGACCGCGGTGCTGAGGGGCACAGCAAGCACAGCGTTCGGCAGAGTTGGAAGAGGCAGGCGTCGGCGTCACTGCAGAGACGGCCGAGGCATTTAGCAAGTTCCCTGCCGGTGCGCTCTACGGAGGCTGCCAGGCCAATGTCCCAGAAGCCGAGCGGGGTGAGGCACTGCTGGCCCGGTAGGTTGACAGGGCAGTTGGCGCATTCGATGGCACTGTCAACAACTGTGAGCCTATGCGGCAGGAGGTTGGGACAGCTGTCGGTGAGGAAGGACTGCAGCGTTGATGTGGGCGGGCAGTTATGACTTGCATCGGTGGACTGCTTGTCTAAGGTGTTACACTGCCAATGGGAGGACGGTACCTGCCGGCCGTAGTGGCACTCCCGCCATCCCTTGGTTTTGGATGTGGCACGGCAGCACTGGGCGTAGAGGAAGTAGAGCACACGGCACAGGCGGCATACTATCTCTCTCAGCATATCAAGCAGCTCGTCGGGATCAGCCGGGTAGTGCAGCTGTGCGCGGTTGTTGGCGAAGTCGACTGAGTAGGGGTAGGCGGCGAGGTCGAAACCTCGGCCATGGCCCTGTATTGCGATTAGAAGCGAGTTAGCGTGTGAACACGCTGTCGCGATTGTCATCGGCAGGCCGTTGATGCACTGTGCCATGACTGCATCGTCCCTGTTGGGGACATCGTTATCGTCGCACTTGCGGTTGAGCAACGCCTTACAGTGGTCAGCCAGTTTCTCAGCGACTAACGTGTACTGCAGACCGGCGAGCCACGACAGCATATCCCTGACTGTGCAGGGGTGTCTGGGCGATTCGTGTACCTTAAGGTGACACGCCTGGAGGTAGAGACACACCATGTTATGAAAAAGCGCAACTAAGTCAACGACATTAATTCCATTTTCTAGAGGCTCACCGTCGACCAGCATTTTGGTGGTCACGTCTGGAATTGGGGAGTTAAGCAAAGCATGAATTTGCTCACCGTTCATGTCGCCATGGTTTTGCAACTCCCCCTCCTGGAGTCCGTCGGTGGGTGACACCTTGAAGCCGCATTTGGTGAGGTAGTTGCCCAGGCCGTTGTCCCTGCCGTCGGGGGTGAACTCACATATTTTGTTGCTTCGCCAGTTGCTGCCGCATTTCTCTGCCAAGTTCTGGAGCGCATTGTGCGTCATCGGAATAAAGCTCAGCAACACCTTGGCGTACTTGTCGGCGTCAGCCTCCCGGCACTCCGCGCCCGAGTAAGTGGAGATGTACGCACCGCCGAACTCACCGGCGAAGGCACTGAGTCCCCTGCTCACGGAGTCCAGCGTGGGAGTGGAGGGCTTCTGGAAGCCCTGCGGCCTCAGCTGTGTGAGCGCGTCGGTGAGGTTGTGGAGCAGGCCTCGCAGCCTGTCGTCGAAGCCCTGCGTCACGCAGAGGTAATTGAGCAGGGCGTTGACATCGCTGTGCACGGCGTCCCACTCGGCGGCGTAGGGCTCTTCCGACTTCGGCAGTGAGGGATTCTTTTCGTCGTCACTCTGCTTCTTCACTCTCTCAATCTCCTCACGGAGATACTCGTCGAGCGGCGCGAAGAAATTCTGGAACGCGGAGGACAATGCTCGGAGCATTCTGCTCTGCACGTTCCTGAGCCTGTTAATGTTTTCGCTGCGCTCACCCTCCATCTGCCTCATGAGGCCCTTGAAGCCTATCGTCAGGTCCTCGTCGATCTCCTTGGGCAGAGTCTCCAGCTCGCTCTCCGCCTTTAGGGCGAAGTGTTTCAGCGCGTCCTGCACGGACTCCACGTACTGCCGCCGCGCCTCCCTGGTCAGAGCCTCTTCGGCTTCCTTGATCTCCTTGTCGACGAATGCGTGGAGGTCACGGATTATTTGCGCCTTGCCGTTCTCGAGGAATTTTACGAAGCTTTTAAGCTCTCTTATCACACCCCTCACCTGCTCGCTCAGCAGATCACTGAGGTTGTCTTTTATTCCAGTCAACTCTTCTAGGCCGTCACCTTTCAGACGCTTTAAGTCCCTGCTTAACTCGTTGGCTTCCGTCCGTATCGCCGTGCACAGCTCTTTGAGTTTATCCTTCACTTCCTTAACGTCCGTGGTTTTTATGGCCTCGATGTCCGTGGTAATTTTTTGAATACCATTTAAGCTTTCACCTTTATCTGTCCATGGCGTTTTGCCCTCAGTAAGGCCACTTTCTTTCAGCTTCTTCAGCTTTTCGGTGACCTCAGTGTTCAACTGCTGTCTAAGGCTGTCAAGCTCACCGGTGATGTCTTGGACGCCAACCCGGATATTTTCAGGTTGGGTGGACAGCTCACTTTGTTGATGCTGAAGTTCACTATTAATTTTTGCGAGGCCTTTTTGATTTCCATTTGTATTTTTATCCCACTTTTCACTCAGCCCCTTGTCCTTCAAATCCTTCAGTGTTGCAATGACATCACTGCCTGGATTGCCTTGCAACTCATTTTGAAGGTCTTTGAGTTCATCTACAATTTCTTTCTTGGCGTTGTCGATTTCAGTGGGATGTTCTTGAAACGGAATTTGTTGCAATTGCCTTATTTTCTCGTAGATGTCATGGAGATTATCTTTGGCCTTTATTCCATTTTTGCCGATCTTGTTCCCCAACCACGTCAACTCGTCTATGACGTCATTAGTAGTGAATAAACCTTGCAACTTAAATCCTACCCTTGCCAGTTCCCTCCTAATTTCGATGATGGCTTCGGTAATTTTTCTTGTTTCCTCGGGCAATATAGCATTTCCTTTCTGAAGGTCACCGTGGATTTTCCCAAGACCACTGAGAGGTTGACCTTTACCATTAATTGGGTTCCATTTATCTCCACTCTTGCCGTCGAGACCAACAGTTTGCAAATCTGTCAAAGCGTTTATCACATCATCTTTATCACCATTCTTCTTCAACTTCCCCCTAAGCATTCCAAGCTCCGCCTTAATTTGGTCGACGGTCTGGCCAATTGCAGCGGGTTGTTCATTAAACTGACCCGTCTGCAGACCATGAATCTTGTCATGAATTGCTTGGAGACCTTCTACAGTCTTTATATTTAAGCCGTCGCCTTTAAGAACAACACTATCTTGATTCTCAAGCATCTCACTCAAATCCTTCAACCGTTGCCTGATGCCATCTTCATCTTGTGGTTTCTGAGACTCCAGCTTGTCCGGCCACGCCTGTTTATCCTTATCAACAAAGTGGGCGATGGCTTGGAGTTCTTGTTTGATTGTAGAGACAAATGTGCCAAGTTCTTTAGTTCTCGCAGGGACATCGTCGGGAGAGTTGAGTTTAGGATCTTTGGTGAAAGGCTTCATCGCCTGGGGGATATGAGTGTTAAGCAGATCGTGATACTTATTTCCCGGATCCTTTCCATCTCTCTTTTCTGCGTATTTTTTCATAATTTGTGTGCCAAATTTCATAGTGATTGTCGGCTCATCTTTAGGAATAACACTGTTAACCTGCTGCTCAATCTGCTCAACTTGAGTGGCAAGAACGTTGCCGTTGGCACCGGGTTGGTCTTTTGCCTTTTTAACTGCATTGTCGAGATCACTGTCCAGCGTCTTAGTCAGGCCGACGACGTTGTCCAATTCTTCTGCGGTGCTTTTGCCGTTCACGTTTGCACCGCTGCCGAGAAATACAGACTTCAGTTCGTTGCCAACTTGTCTCACTGTAGAGGTGAGCGCGCACATTATTAATTCCGCGGCGGCCTTTTTGCCACATTCTATTTTGTTGCAATTACCGCACTCGCAGACGCAATTTTTAATGCCAGAGACGAGGGATCCCTTAGTCAACGCCTTTTCCTTGACCTCAGAGACTATTTCATTTCCCTGCTGCAAAAGTTTCTGATCAAGTCCGTTGGCAAACGCCTCACAGGCTGTTTTAACGGCGTTGATATTTGTTTGAATGCTCCCGCTGACTGTATTAACAGATTTGAACGCCTCTGTGGCTACGCTAGTAACATCTGTTTTAAGCCTGTCTTTCATTCCAATGGCGAACTCCTCGATGTCCTTCTCACTCTTGTTATACGCATCCTTTTTACCGAGTATCCTCCGCACCACGCCATTGTACCTCAAAATTGTGGCTTCTAACCAGCCTTTCGCAATTTCTGCAAAATTTTCGTGGCGAAATTCAGTGGCATATTTTTGCACGGCACTGACAATCCCCAAAAGACCTGAGGCACCCTTATTATTCCATTCCCTACTATCCTTCCCCTTAATCCCCTCCACTTTCCCCTTAATCTGCTCAAGCATCTCACCAACATGCTTTTTCATCTCTTCTACAATTCTATTTCTGATATTCCCCAAATCCTCTTTCATGCTGGCTTCCAAATCTTTAACGGCATTTTTAACATCCTCTACCAGATGCTGAACTTTGGGATAGGCCTCCTTGTAGGCTTCCAAAAGACTCTCAGCTTTCTCTTTTAACTTGTTAGCGTTCTGATGAATGTCTGTTCCAGTAACATTGTCTCCCTTATAAACTTTATCCAAAATGTCTTGACATTTTTTATCCGCCTTGGTAACAATTTCTGACGCCGTCTTGTGCCAACTCCCCAAGGCCGTGACTTCGCCGCCAAGATTTGTATTTGCGTCCTCAATTTCCCCTTTAGCTTTGCTAATATCTTCAATCTGTGTCTTCAAGTCACTCGAAACCTCAGTGTCCAAAGCCTTATGAACATCCTCCCCCTTGTTAATCGCCCCGGCAAGCACTGTCCTGGCCTGCTCATTCCACTTACCCAAATTGCCATGGACACTTTTCAGACTGTTATGAACTCTGTTAATTTCCTCGTTTGCCTTAACAATTTTGTTAACATTCTTACTCAATTCAGCATGAACGTCCAACTTACTATAAGCTTCCTCTGCTTTTTCCTGGGCCTTAGCACGGATATCTTCCGCGGTGGAGATCCAAGAATGCAGATTCGCAACTTGTGTTTTAAGCTTCTTATTTGCTTCTTCAAGTCCTTGTTTAGCGATGTCAATATTCTTAATCTGCGTACCAAGAACATGGTCATTATCTTGTTTATCAGGACTCAACCTGTCACGCACTGTCGTCGCCTTCCCAAGCGCCGTGCCAAGCACATCTTTTGCCGCGGCATTCCATGTTCCCAAATCTCTGTGAGCCTCAACAATCTTCTGATTAACACTTCCAACTTGCGTCTTAGCCGCCTCAATTTTCCCAATTCCCCGACAAATATTCTGTTTGTCATCATCCTTATTCAACCTATTATACACATCCGTTGCCTTAGTCTTAGCCGCCTGAACAGCGGCGTCCGCAGTCTCAATCCACTTGTTCAGCTCCGACACTTTCTCACTAAGTGTCCTATCAATTTCCCCGGCGGCCTCATCAATCCCCTTTTTATTCTCTCCATCAATCTCCTCCATAATTTTGTTGACATATTCTCTCACCGATTTAATAAATGCTTTGGCCTCTTCCATCCACTTTACCAGATCCTGAACGTACTTTTCAAGGCAGCCTTTAATCTCTTCCAACTTACTCTTAATATCCCTGACGCGTTGCTTCAACAGACTAACAAGCTCATGCACTTCTGCTCTAATCTTTTCTTTCACCTTCCTTCCTAGCATTCTAAGCGTAGTCTTGATTTTATGGAGCATGGCGTCCAAGCGTTTTTTCTCCTGCTTCTTGCCGTACAACTTGGACAGCCACTCGGCGTGCTCCTTGATAGTTTTCCTCACATTCTCGATTTTTGACCGCAGTTTGGGGTTCAGATCGTTTATGGCATTTTGAGCCGATGTCATACCCCTCGAAAAATCTTTGACGACTTTTTTACACTGCTGAATCAGGGACACAACAGTGCTAACCTGCGGATCCTCTTTTTCGGGATCCCCGGAAACACGCTCCACCTGCAAATCATTAATACAAGTATACAATTTATTACCGTCCTCTTTGACGTAACTAAGCATCTCATTAATTGGCTTCTTGACTTTTTCGTTCGAAGCCTTGACAGCGGTGTTATACTCCCCGAGGCCACCTGCCACTTTGGGGATGACAGCAGCAAAGCCATGGTGCCCACTCCACCTCGCTTTTTCAAGCTCACGAACTACACTGCCTAACTTATCTCTACCACCAACGTACGGCTGATTACGGCGGACATCACTGATCACTCTATACAAAAACGCCACGACTGCATCGCACAAACGGGAGGCGTCGCCGTATACAATCCCGGAACCATCGTAGGTCCCAGGAGACTTATAACCTAAAAGGCTCTCAACGGCGGAACAGAGATTATGTAAAATGTTTTTATTAGGATGCGCAGAGTCTTTCGTAAGAGAGCTCCGAAACCCTTGAAGCTTGGAGATAACATCTCTGGCGGACGGCCCATCTGATTCGGGGCAAGACAAGAGAGACTCTTCAGCGTCCTGAACAACATTGTCAAACAACCTACAGAGAGCGTCGGACAACCTTGGAATCCCGCCACTCTGCTTCACCTGGATGAGCCAGTCTATCGCCTCTCGAAGGTTCTCGGGGCAGTCCGTCAAAGCTTTCGGTGCCATGCCATCGAGCTTCCAACAGTGGTACCGCCAAGCAACAATGCACTAACCGGCCGCCGCACAAGGCAACATGTCCACACAGCTGAGTAAACTGAGTTTATAGGTTGCTAGGTGAAATCATGAGTGAAGAAAATGCATCGTCATTGTAATTAACAACATGTACGTGCCACACAGACTACATTGAAAAAAACGAAAATCATAATGACATCCAACCTACCTGAGGAAATAGGACGGTAACGAGCCCACATCCAAATTCATATGAAAGGTTATAGCACAGTAGAAGAGTGACAATATTGATGTAGATATCGAGTGGAAGACTGGGCAACTCTCCTCATGTCGACTTGTGTTGCCTCAGCCGTCTCCCCTCAGCGCTCCTTGACCGTACAGGCCATTGCCACCTTCCCATTACCATGGATACCATTGCCGCGCGCCTTGCACCACAAAACATAATACGCCAATAACAACCATGTAAACAGGAAAGTCGGCGCACCATGTATTACCAAATAGTATCAAAGTTACCCAGCCCCAAATCCACTCACCTTAAGTTCCATCACCCAAATACCTGTAACAATGTGCCAAGATGAAGGTGCGTTACCGACTGTCTATGTTAGCTGCAGTTCGAGATTACGATATTGGTCATAGCCACAATGTTGCCTGTAAATGCCACTTACTTGGGCCGTACGTTGCCCGTTATGTCAGATAATGTTACAGATTCACGCATTAAAATCTTCTATAGCCATCCACCTACTCACTTTAATGTTATCGACCCAATTAACAAATGGCTCATCACCTCACCTACAAGGACGATACTCAGCTGCAGACATGGGTGGGCAGCTACTCAGCTTCACATCCCGCTATTGCCGTGGGACTACACAATGATGATCACAAAGTGGCTACTACAACACAAACATAACACCTCTACCACATTATTTGCTAGGTTGACGGTTAGGTGGGCTGGGTGAGCTAGCGGTGGCTAAGGTGGTGAGAGCACAGATAAGAGGACGGTCACGGCTGCAGGTATGTGAGCTTGCCGAGCTTGGTGACGCGTGCGGCGGCGAGTAGCGACTGGGCGGCGATGCGGTGGCTTGCGGGTGATTTTAGGTGGGAGCGTATCCTCAGGACGTCGAGGCGGACGACGGCGATGTGCAGCAGGTACAGGAGCGACAGCGACCAGAGGGCTAACAATGTGATGGAGAAATTCTCTCTTATCTTCCAGATGAATTTGTCTATATCATGGATAAGGTCAACAAGAACGCAATTTTTACCTATTACTCTTTTCAATGCCTGGCAGAAATCTTTGCACGTTCTTTTCTGCCTCGCTTCCTTATCTTGTCCGCTTAGTTTATTAGCACTCCAGAACGTAAAACCGAATTTATGAAGCGTAGGATGCATATTCGGGCATTTCACAATGGAGTGACATTGTTTTTCGTGATAGGCATTCTTGAGTGTCTCGGAAGAATTTTCAGCATCGTAAGCTGATTTCACTTTGCAGTCCTTAGAACAGCATTTATCGTAGCATCGGCTGCCCGGGTTGTTGCAGTTACTACAGCAGTCATCGTATAATTTCTTAAGTAAATCGTAGAACGTTTCCGTCAGGTATACGATCCATGAAAGATAGTTGGCAGTGTGCTTTTCAGAAAATGTATCGCGAATATCTAGATAGAGGGGCTGCAAATATTTGCCACATGGCAGGCCCGAATTAGTCTTATGATAACAATCTGTGAGACTGAAAAGGTCTCCTTTGTCATGTTTGTCGGAGTGGGTCTTGCTAACTTGGATGGAAGTTGGGTGTAAGTCTGTGTACGTTTGTCCGAAATTGGCTTTCTCGACTGCTTCAATAAAAGCATCATGCTTGTGCAGCTTAATATTTATCGCAGTCCAGTTCTTAAGGAACTGGTGGTAAAAGGCAAACATATCGCCAAGCGTCTGCGGTGGTCGGCGAAGGAGGAACGAGAGGTAAGAACACAACTTATTGAGGTTTGAACCTGTGCCGCAGAAATAGGCAAGTTCTGCCCTGAGATCTTCACCTTTCTGCGTGCGTGAAGCTACATTGCTAATATCGGTAAAGCCCATTGGTGTTTGACACGGGATACCTCTGTGATTACTCAGAGTACATTCCAGCTTGCAACCGGGCGTCTTAAAGGAATGTGGCAGGAACCCTGACAAACCGTCCTCTAAGAAGGATTGTAACGGTGACTTGACACCGCAGATAGGGTGTTGGTTACATATTTGGTTGGCATTTTGGGTAGCACCTTGGTTAGCGTTTAGCTTGCACGCTTGGTTATGACATTGCACATCATTGCACTGGAATGAAGAGCCGCCGATGTGGCGACCATACCAACACTCTTGCCAACCACCGCTCTTAGGGCCGTTGCGACACTGCGCCCATAAGAAATTAAGTTTATAAAATACTCTATTTAATATATCTTCAAGCATATCTAAACATGATGCAGCGCTAGTGGGATACATTAAATTATCTGAGTTACAGCTAAAGTCAACGGCGTAGATACCATCGGCGTGGCCGTGGCCTAGGAAGGTGATGAGAACCTTCCGTGAATATAAACAAACCTGTTCGAGCGTCCCTTTTAGCTCCTTAGGTGTGATTGTTGTCGTGCCAGCGGAGTCAATTGGTGACGTTCCAACTAAGCTAAGATCTGTATCGGACAATTCTTTGTACAACTTTTCTTTCTTATCCTTCGGCTTCTCGAACAGCTCCTTGAAATGCTCACTGAGTTTGTCATACATGTGATTCCACCGCAGACCGGCGAGCCATTGTAACATATGATAGATGTTGGACGGTGCTTTAGGTGAAAGGATATGCTCATGTTGGCATACTGCATAGTACTTTCGGAAAACATCGCGAAGAAAATCGGCAATGTCGAAGAGAGAGATTTCAATGTTGTTCTGCCTATCACTAGCAATTTTATATTTCTCAATCTTCCACGTTTTGAGGACTGGAATGCTGTGCGCGGCGGCAATATTCTCCGTGATCTTGCCAAAAATATATTCACCGTTTCGCTCTTTGTTCAACTCTCCATTTTGGTTGTCCTTGTCTTTCGGCACCCTGAAGCCACGGTTCTGGAACCAGTGGCCGAGGTCATTGGGAACTTGCTGAGTTTTCTTATCCTGCTCAATCAAACACATTTTCTTTTCATGCCATTTATTCTTACCACCGGATTTACATTCATTTTGCAAATCATACATATCTTTTTGCAGCCCCTCCATAATCGTCAAGCACACCTTCGCATACTTCCCTTCGTCCTCCCGCTTCCACTCCTGCAGCGAATACCGCGAAACGTACTGCTTCTGCAACTGCTCGACAAATTTATCCATCCCATCTTTCAGCGCATTGAGCACGGGCCGTCCTGCGTCCGGGAGCGCTAGGGGTTGGAGGTTGGAGACTTTTTCGGATAGCGTGGCGAGCCTGTTGGAGACTTCGTGGGAGAAGTGGGAGTGATAATTGACTGTCGATGCAAGGCGCTCGATATGTGTGTTGAATATTTCAAGTTGATTGAAATCTTTATCGGTTTTCTTTAAATCATCTTTCACGTATTTTAAAATAACTTCAATGAAGCGATATGTTTTTGTGGACAGTGTTGTAATGGTTGTGGGAACACGGAATGACGTATGGTTTTTCTCTAACCAATATTTCATGATACTCAATAAACCTTTAATTCCAGTGGACACGTCGACATATATGGTGTCTGAGATGACAGCACGCTGCTTCTCGACAAGTGCATTTAGAGATTCAAGGTCTAATTTTTTAGAACTGACATACCGCTTCAGTGTGTCGGCTCTAACGGCACGTTTTACATTCTCAACTTCATCGTGAATATGCTTATGTATGGATGACTTACACTTATCAACGACGTCCGGGAGGGTGGATTTGAGCAGCGTGGTGACGGCTTTTTCAAGTTCGGTTACGTTGGAGGATTGGAGTTTGCTAAATTTATCTTTCAGCTGTTCGAGGCTGCTAGTAAGACCTTTACTGAGTTTAGATTTGAGTGGACTCTTCCCAACATCCTCTTTAAGTTGCTGCAACAACTCTTTGGCACCTTTGTCGTCACCGTCGGACACAGTCGAAACAATCTTGGCGATTTTCCCGAGCTCCTCGGTGATTCCGCCGAGTAAGCCGGAGAACGTTGTGTTCTTTTTAATTTCCTGTCCACTTATGATTCGCTCGGCTCCATCGAAAGCCGTGGTTCCACACTCCCTGATCGCAGTTTGAAGAGCGTTCCTATTCTTTTCGTCTGGGTCAACTTTGTTCTGAATGATTTGTGGGTCACGCGGGTTATCGCTATTGAAGTCATTATCAAACTGCGTCTTAATCTTCTCAATTTTCCCGTGCACTGTTGTGTCACCGTTACCCTTGGTTATCTCTCTATGGAAAGTGTTGAAGACATTTTGGAATTCTTGCGGTTGCGTTTTTACCCTTTTGATTGCTTCTTGAATTTGTGTTTTAATGTCGTTGCCTATGGCGGTGAAGGCGGAAATGTTGTCAGAAGTTGAAATACTAGTGACGTAAAGACTTTTTTTGAAGCTTTCAAGAGCATATAACACGGATTTGACAGAGTCAGACGGAGATGAGAGCGATTTACCGTATGAGTCTTTGATATTGCTTAGATTTGAGGCCGCCGAATGAAGCCACTGCTTTAAGTCACCTTCAAGGCCTGTAAGACTACTGATATAAACACCGTAACCATGACCCAAAATTCCTTCAATTGGTTTCTCAAACTCCGCACTTTCCAACTTCTGCACAAAACCCTCAACCGCCGTATTAATATTCGTATTCCGCAAACTCTCCAACCCCTGATTCACCTGCTCTCCCAAATTCCCAAGCGCCAACGTCGCCTGCTGCACCTGATGATCAATATTCTTTTTCATCTCGTTCAGCTTATTTACATAAACCTCTTCTAAGCCCTTAATTTCCCCAATAGCTTGAGAAGCCTGCGCCTTTACAGCTGCTTTAGCTGCATCATACGCCTCGTGCAGCTTGTCCGCCTTGGTCTTCATTTCGGTGGCATTATTGGTGATTTTTGTCTGCTTACCACTCTGTATTGTTGCACTATTTTTATCGTGCCCATCCTGAACGCCACCCAAAATGTCTTCAATCTTCTGCAAGGCTGTGGTCAAAATTTTCTCCGCTATACCAATCCATTTTCCCAACTCGCTAAAATATTCGGTAAGCAAACTATCGATTCTTCTGACCTTATCCTGAATATCTTGAGTGCTTTCCTGCAATGTTAAATCGAGCCAATCCACACATTTTGCAACATAAACTTTTACATTTTCGTTTAACTGTTTCATCACCTCATCAACATTCTGCCCCATAGCTTTGAGCTCATCTCTGTCCTTTTTCGTTGCTTTTTTCAGATGTTTTACTTCCGTTCTAATCCTTTCGAAATCATTCCTAATCTTCGTCTTCAAAGGTTCATCGAGCATGTTTATTGCATGTAAAGCCGCTTCTATTTTCGCACTCAGACCATCGGTTACAGTATTATACCAATTAGCAAGATTTTGCTCAAACGACTTACGATTGTTTAAATTCATAACCTGCAAAATATTCCACTCAATCTGCTCTTCAAGCTTTTTTAATGTCCCTGCGTCACCTAGAATATTATCAGTAGACTCAAACAGCTTACCAAAATACCCCTCGATGCCAAGCTTAACCTTTGTAACATTATCATTGAACCCCAGCTTACCATCATGGAGATGCGACGAGAGATGAGAGGCAGTCTCTCGAATTGTACTAGTATTTTTATCATACGTGGACACGCTGGGATTCTCCTTAACACTCTCAAGAACACCATGAAGGAAAGACATCACCCCGTCGCAGAGCCTGTCAAGGTCCGAGTACACGATGCCCTCACCGGTGTATCCTTTGGAGTCAGAGTTGAAACCTAGAAACTTTTCTAAACCTTCAGTGAGATTGGTTAAAAGAGTTTCACAACTATTTTTGTCGGTGAATTTGTTAAGGCTTTCTTTAAGCGTATTAAGAGACGCCTGCCGCTCAGTTACATCCTTCAAAGCTTTCTCCCTAGCATCCTCAGAAAGATAATGAACTTCGTTATAATGGTCATCTTTCTCCTTTTTAAGTTTTTCTAAATGAGACTCATCTTCACTTTTTTTAGTTTCCGTAGCTTTCTTTTCAGCTTGCTCAATTTCCTTCTGCTTCTTATTGCAATGGGAGTCATTATCCCGGTATTTCGAAGGACATTCAAGTTGAGCACGTCTCTTTTCAAGACTAGTAGTAGCCTTCGTAATAGCCTCACCAATCAACTTTTTCAAAGCATCAGCCAAGTTCTTAAGACCATCTTGACCATTCCCATGCTTAACCTGGATCAACCAGTCGATGGACTCCCGGAGATTTTCCGGGCAGTCCGTCAGCTTCTTCGGTTGACGCACCATTTTGAAAGCTAACTTACCGGACAATTGTCGACGCCTAATTTACAACACCACCTAGCTATTTGAGATTGCAGATCCCCAACTCCGCGGCAAAAATGCGATAAGCGCTGGACAGCTGACATACAACCTTATTTATGTTCCAAACTACATTGATCAGATTTGTGCCTGATGAGGCATCAACTTATAATTCATGTAAAGACGAACATCCACCTAGTTCACTGCTTACCAACTCCCAGCATCCATACAGCTCAAAATTCGAATCCACTTCGAAGTCGGATTGAAACTTCCTAACCGCATTGCGGTATTGAGCAGCACAACGGAACAGCGGAAACAGTCGAAATCTGCAAATTAATATTTGCATCAATATCTCTCCCGCTCTTCGGAGATTCCTGGCCCGCCCCATTGCCACCACTGACCGTTAATATTGGGAAGCACACCTTCCGGAAAGGTGAATGGGAACAGTAATCGGCAATTCGGCAAAAGACTGCATGGTACAAATGTGAATCGAAAGAGGACATGCGAATATCGTTCCCTCTGCAGCCTCCACAAACCATGGAATCATAGATGCGTGATGTATGTGAATCCGACAGGTATATGGAGGATTTCAAGTGTTACTATGAAGAACTTCTAAGATTTACCGAGATGGAAAGCAACTTCATGAGTGAAGAGTAGTAAGGGGTTGATACATCACGTTGGTAACGATGAGTTGGCTAGGAGTTGGTGCCCAGGATATAGGCCGTCGACCATAAAATCCCGGAAATCTTCACCGAATGCAGTCAGAAGGAGACGGTAACCATCATCTAGATAGGAATAACCAATCAGGAGAATCTAGTGGAGACGGAGACCTTCAAGAAATGGAAGTACGATGCTCTGATCGAGGACCTGAATGCGCAAACATTAAACCAAAAAGCGAGGACCAGTGCAATCCCCTACGTTATGAAGTGGGAGGGGATAGTGACAAAAGAACACACCAAGTACAGGCGGGACCTGGTCATATCGGATCGCTTGGAAACCCATATACAACGGGTAATGATCCAAGAAACACAAAAGCTAGTGTTGAGGGGCATGATACCCAGAGAGGATTATGACTCTGTGAATGACCCTCTCGCCCAAACAGTATGGATGCCACAATGGATGGTACCCGTAACGTTCGATAACACGACGTGGACACCGCAACCGACACCAGCAGCGTAAGGCGTAGGCCAGGTGAACAAGAAAATCGGCCCTAAGCCACGTAGCCACATGGCGCACTAAAAAAAAGCAAAACAATGATAAATGAAATCGACAAAGGTGTGAGACGTAATGTCAGAATACGTGGTTCCGTGTTATCATCATGAAGAGATAGAAAATATGCCTATTACATGGGATCAGATGTACGAATTTAGAGAACAAGGGAGTCTACAGAAGTGAGAAGTGTTGTTGGGTATATGGTACAGTGATCCTACCAGGTTGGATGTGAGTAACGTGTTTCCCAGTCAGGGATATGGAAGCGATATGATCGGCTCATAATATCGTGCTTACAACAAGTAATACAGCGTATTACTCAACAGTTAATTTTAAAATATCCAAGGCATTTTCTCAGCGAAATGTGGGGTCGGGTTGGCAATCTCATGGTATCCGTGGCGGTGGTTCGTATAAGGCTGATGGGAGACGGCGTGGCGGTGCCACTGTTCGAGGCGTGAGGTACGTGTTACCTCGCTGTGAAGGTGAATGATAGGGGAGGGGGGAGAAGATGGCGATGGATAGTGAGTGTCTGTGTGGAACGCATTGTCAGCAGGATAGATGTATCTGCTGTCTCATGTGTTGTGATGGGTGTGAGGGTGGAAGTTGCCTCCCGTGCATATCTAAATACGGTGGTGATCGCGCAGAGAGTTATGAATGTAGGCCTGAGAACTGTCGAAAAATATGTAAAAAGGGGTCCACATGTGAGTGCCCATGCTGTGTAAGTGCACTTCGTACCATCGGTGACGACAGTTCCCCCACCGGTGTCATCGCATCCGTCATTTTAGTCGCAATCATCGTCATCGTCGTATGCGTTATGAGCGCCTTTCGCATTCGGCCGTTCCACAAGGTCCGCGATTTTTTCATCCGAATGTGAGAGTTTTGTATCGCATTCTTTAATCAACTCCGGCATTTATTATAGTGGCACATATCGCACCGTTTTAGACAGTAACGGCACATTACAAACGCAATAACGTCCTAATGTTTCAAAATTGCTGATCAGTAGGTGCCCGGCGATGGCGTTCATGAATTACATCGTAGCGGTGCATGAGTTAACAGGACGGAAGTAACACATCTCGCTTCTTCCAAATCTTCATCGCTGCCTCAAAGTGCTACCGGCGCAGCACATTATCGCCGACGCAGGTGTCAACTCCCTCAATAAGCCAAACCTATTTGCAGGTGCGGTATTAATCGCTGCCATGATGCCTCTAACAACAATGATGATGTCACTTCCTAGCTCCCCCAGCCTACCTAATCCAATACCTACCTAATGTCTAACATAGTGCCTGATAAGAAATGTGGCAGACAATGTAGTTGATGCGTTAAGGTACTAGCTCTTTGGGACGTTAAGCTACGGATTAGCTGTGAGACGCGCCAGCGTCGTGTTGTGTTACAATGCACTGCATCAGCTGGGTGGTCATCTTTGTAAACAGGTAACGACTGTCATGATAGTTGGACGAGTGAGGCATATGTCACGTGAATTGGTGGTATAAGATGATGATTGCATCTTTGGATAGGCGATGAGCGACGTAATGATGAGCCATCTGCTAGGCGTCGCCTGAACACTCCGACCTTTTGGCCACTGCGTGATGTCGTGACTAGGTTTTTGTGGGTGACATTGTATTAAGGACTAAAACTGCAATGCGACAATTTAGCCCATATAGGCACTCATTAGCGTTACCATGGCGTGGCCTAAGCTGGATGAAGTTGGGATTGTGTTCGTTGATCCTATATGGTTAAATGAAACATAATCATATTATTACCATGTGTCCACTGTGTATGCAGTGTTGGTGGAGCACGATGGTATGGCCGAAATGCGAAATTATCGTCACGATTGCATGCGCAGGTGGGTGGAAGAAGGTGTTCATATCTACGCTTGAGGGGAAATTTGAAAAACCAAGGTAAATCATTAATTGGTTTGCAGGGTTACTTTACAATTGGGATGTAGACGAAGATGTCGGACACGTGGCAAATCCCTGTAGCCGTTGCCGGCACTATTGGTATCCCGCTCCTCATTGTCTTGATCCTCTGTATCCGCTGTTTAATCAATAAGCAAGGGATTGGTACAGTGTTCGCCCAAATATGTGAACCTTTCCGTGCTTTCGACTTTGCCACACCACAACCCGCTGTCGCCTCCACTAACATGTCATAGCTCCACGCATCCCACGTAGTGTTTCTGTAGCGATGACGCATCCAAGGTAAAACCATTAGATACTGACATTCAATTTGTAGGCATATGGTTTATGGCAATGAAGTGCAAAGTAATTTTAATTTTGATGATACCCTCGTCGGTCCCCGGGCCTCACTAGTCCGCATCTCACGTCATCTGGTTTCTCCAAAAGTTTAAGATGAAACGCCTATTAATCTATCAACAGCCAGACCTTTAACTCACCTTATCATACCCTGATTTACATCCACTATTGCCATGTCGATCACACATCACGCCACACTAGTCACTCTTGTAGTTACCACTCATCACTAACCTAAGACAGCGTTTCCAGATCTCACGAATGACACTGATGATTCCACCGACCTGGCCTATAATGTACCATGCGATGCTAACCATCAACGAGTCAACTCGCACAACTCTCAATCCATCAGCATCCAATGCGTCCTCTGTGTTTATGCTTTTAATTTCCTCGCCGATGATGACATTGAAATCCCCAACAAATAGCACTGACCAAGCCGAGGAGGACCTTAAAACACAAGTCGACAGTCTGCATTCTTGGATCGGCACCGCGGAGGAGATCCGCCAAAAGGCCCAGAAAAAGGCTGAAGAGGCTTACAGTAAGTTGGACGTTCACGCTGAATTGAGTAACAATGTTCAGAAAATTGTGGACGCCAATAAGGTAATTGAAGGAGTTCACAAAGGCCTGAATAGTTTTGAAAAAAGTTTGGAAGCGTGGAATCAGCAGGCTGGGAAAGTGCTTGACGGGGCGATAAGCAAGGCGACGGAAGTTCATGATTCATTAAATCCGGATGAGAAAAGTAAGGATGGCATTGGCAAAAGTATTGAAGTAATTAATACATCAAGCGAGTCAATTAAAAAGGCAAATATAACTCTTGGTGCCGAGGTTGGGAATTTGCAGAGTTGGAGGTCTGCGGCGGAGAGCGTTATCCAGAAGGCTAACGAGAAGTGTAATGATATACTTCAGAAAGTTCAGACAGATAAAAATGCTCCAGCTGGTGTGATTTTTAAGAAAGCTCAAACCTTACAAGATATGGGTAAAAAGCTTTTGCAGGCTGCGCAGAAGGCTAAGCAGGAAGTTGGTGAGAAAGTCACTGAAGCGTTGCAGGCTGTTGTGAGGATGGACAAATCCCTTAAGGTGGATTTGAAGGGTGTAAAGACGGAGATTAAGAAAGGGATTACAGAAGTGATTACATCTTTGAGGGTTAATGATTTGGACAAAGAAGTGATAAAGGACTTGGGGACGTTGAAGGAGAGGATTGAGGGGCTTGCGAAAGATCTGCCGAATAATGGAAAAAATGATCTTGTAAAAGATAAGTTGGAGGTGCTTGAAAAGCATAAAACGAGTAATCTGGATATTGTTGTTAACAAGATTAAGGACGAGACGAATACTAACCTTGAAAAGAACTTTAATGAGCATATCCAACAGAAGCTTCACAATGCGGTCGGTGCAGTTGACTCAGCGATTGAGAAGCTTGGCGGGGAGTTTGGTCTGAACAGCGGACAAACACAGAGTGAGAATAAAGTTGAAAAGATTTTTAATAAGATTAAAGAGGAAGTCTATAAAATCCTGAACGGCGACGGAAAGAAAGGTTTAAATGGAATTGCCACAGGGTTGATTCACAGCTACGCCAAGGGGTTTGTGAATTTTAATGGTATTGTGGGCGGATGGATGGAAGGGACTTTGGGAAGGGACGCGAAGCATGGAGATGACGGCAAGGCGCCCAAAACATGGCTTGGATACTATGTTGAGGAACGGAAGAACACTGGTAGGAGCGGTGACGACGCGGCGAGGCAGCGGCGTGATGAGATTTTAGCAGTCCGCAATGGAATTAAGAAGGCGATTGGGAGTACGTTTGAAGCAGCGATTGGGAAAGCCTGTCGAACGGTTGAACAAACTAACGGCAATATCGAAACAACCATTAAAGCTGTCAAGCAAGCCTGCGAGCATTTTGTCAGGGAGCTTGATAATGAACTTAAGACGGGAATTGACAATCTTGCCGATCAAATATTCAAGAAGAGTCCTGAAGGTAGCGCTGCTGCAGGTACCAAACCCTATCTGAAAGTAGCAGTCGAAGCCACGCTTCTCGGTCTCTCCGCCACCACCAGCCAGGTGGCCAACGAAATTGAGTCTATCCTGCTAGGCGATTACAGGGTGGGCAATTACGGAAACAACTCAACCAGCATCGCGGCAGAATTGGACGCAGTGCACGGATATACTAAGGCACTAAATGATAAGCTTAACAAGGCGACTCAATATGGCTCCAAGCCTCCCACCCCCGTACCAGGCACAGCGCAAGCCGTGGACAGTAAGTTGGAGGCGGTGAGGAACATGGTCAACTCCACTATTACAGACGACTTTAAGAAGAAAGTCAAACACGATCTTGCGACTGAGGTTGGGAGACTTCCCATCGCCATTCAACAGTTCGACGAAAAGGCTCAAACACAGATCAGGGCTGCGGCAAAGACGGCGATTGGGAAGACGGCTGGGCAATTCCAGATGAAGAGTGATGGAAGTGAGATTGACGTAGAGGCTAATATGCCAACGTTCCACGGAACATACGATACGATTCAAAAGCAGCTTCAGGGCAAGCTTTATGCAGAAGTTGATACGCATATTGGAAAGGATCACAAGTCCGCGAAGTCCTGGAGTTGATCAAATACAGAGATCCTGACCACCATCTCGGCCGGTGAGTTATACGATCTATAAAGCACCCTCTCAGTTATCGTCCCCTCAGCCCGTCTTGCTTATATTATTACCCCTCATGCTTCTATGCTTGTTTTTTGAAATCATGCATATACCTCAAAACATGTTATCAACGCCCTCTAACAGATTAGAAGTTTCCAACGCATCGCCCGTCAAGAAAATATACTAACCAAACTCCGATACCGCTTGATGCGCACTACCCATTTGATGATCCAACTTCAATGTAAAATCGCGCACGCGTAATATGCATGATAGATGCATATTTTACGTCCCACGTCCGCTGAACAAATCGGTGTTTTAAAGTCTCATAGGCACCTTAATCATACCATAATACCATACATACATTTGTTACACGACACAAACGTTCTTCACATAAAAAATCCTGTCAGGTTTCAAAGCATATACAATCCCATTCTATATAATTGCCACTAGAATTTTCGTGCAGTAACATGTAATATTTACGAATGAGGAATGGGCGTACCCCATAGAGAGTTAACATGATGTCCTACATTTAGGTCGGTGTACTGGACACCACATTCTAGAAAGAGCGTCTATAAGTAACCATGGTACGGATCGTACTCATATGCCGTCCGTGGATCCTTACTTTGATTGCGCATTGCGAACTGCATTTGTGCTACTGGATCAGTGTTTGGCTGCTCACTGAACGGGCCCACAAGTGTCAACTGCGTTGTTTCCTCCACTTTTGGCTACCGCAAAGTCATCATATACAATCCTCAACTCACTTTGTACACGCGGTGACTCTGCTCAGAGTCGTACTCGGTGAGCGTATCACGATTGCATGGCATCCCTATGTCAAACTAAGTTGTCACGAAGTGGTCACCAACCTGATCCTGGGTTGTTCATGTCGGGTTTCATAGGATGGATAGCAGAGGAGCCTTGCACTTCATACCAATCTAATTAAACGTATAGTTTGTGGTGCAATTGCGAGCTGCATACCGTTGTTTCCGTCTTGGTAGAAATCGACATCTTCATTCACCCCGATTTCGTCTTGATCGTACACGTATTCACTCCCGGACGACCCGTCCATAAGTGCATTTTCCGTGGTTGATTCGTCTTCAATGGCGGATGCGTCGTGCACGGCGTTGCTTAGGTGAAGCGCTGGCCGTCGGTCGCCTGCTGCGCGTTGCATGTTCCGCATTCGATTTTCGTCGATGAGGTAGCTGATAAGTTCGAGGGTGTTGAATTGGCTGTACGAATGGAACAACCGCTCGAAGGAATCTAGTTTTCCCGCGTAGCACCCCAAATTCGGAGGTATAGTCATGCCTTGCCCAGCCATCTCTGACGTTCGGCCTTGGCTGGGCAGCGCCTTTGAGTAATGCGTTAATTTACTTGCAGACGACCGACTCTTTTTTCGAACGGCGGAGTGACGAAGTTCAACATCACTGTCATCAGTGTCGCTGCTGCAATTCTCCGTGTAGAGATCTTGGCGCTGGCGTCTGATGCGTTTGCTTGGAACAATTTGTACCTCCCTAGGCCCTGTTGACTCGTTCTTTGCTGAACGCAGTCTAGACCGGCGATCTAGGTCAAGTAATCGCTCCTCCGTTAATTCTGTGATGACCATTCCATCCTCAGTTTTTATTTGGCGCCCCAGGTCGATGACCCTGCGCAGCAGCCGGAAGGCGAGATCAAATGTTGCGATAAGTACATCCTTGCTGTCGTAGTTGAACACACAGCTCACTACTTCTCTGTTGTGTCCGCGGTACTGCACCCTCCAGGTGCCACGGGTGTAGTATATGCCGCGTACGCCACTAAGTGGTTTTGCGCCTACTTTTATTTTTTTATCGATGTCTTTTCTGACACTAAGGGCTTCTTCACTTGTCTCCAGCTGTCCCAATCGATCCAGATCCTGGAAGTAGTGATTATATATATTTCTGCATTTTTCGTAAGTGTAGGGGTTGATGGACGCGCGGTAGGGCAGGTCGTCGGCGGTCACATCCTTCCACGATACCATTTTTGTCACCAAATGGCCGTCATCGCCATCGGATCCATAGCGATTATGCGTCGCAACATCTTCCATTTGTTGGCTAAACGCCTGCCATCAGTCGCTAGGTGACATGTGAGCTGGGAAGGCACACCGTTGATCTAGAGTGACACGTGAAGCGGCGCAACTGGAGTCTTTTGGCACTCATCTTTACTGCAAAGGGTACATTGACCGGCTTTTGTCGTGAGTACCGCCGCGAATCCTGTGCGAGCGGTCTAGGGGAGCTGGAACTAGCGAATCACACCCTTGAGTTTGCCTCCAAGGGGTCCTTGCTAGTTCAGCTGTGCACATCACTATCACTCTATACCCAACTAAACGGTACAAGGCTGTTACACTCGTGTCCTGATGCGCCTTGCGCGTACCTACCGTGGTCACCTACTGCGCGCCCAGTCAGATGTGTACTCAAAACCGTACAAAACACAAACAGCTAAAGGCGATCACACAACAGATACTCCACAGGGATTCTGCTTATAATCGCCTTTAGCTGTTGATTCGACAGCGGCATTAAGTGTTCGTCGGCCCAGCTAGCTCACTGGCAGCAGCTGGCCGCTAGACGTAACAGAATACCAGTACTTCTATTACACATCACACAATTACCTTCAAATATTGCTACACATCAACTATAATACACCTTACTTCAAAGTCTGATGTCAAATCCACCTACTCGTATCACTTGGAATCCTTAAACGTATTGGCCACCGCGCAACATACCGTTGTCTGGCATCGTTGTGGTTGGGGGAAATGCTTGAGAAATGTGTAGCGGTTTATGTAGGTGAGAATGTAGCCCCTTTCGGTAGGGCGGCTAGCTCAAATGGTAGAGCGCTCGCTTAGCATGCGAGAGGTACGGGGATCGATGCCCTGGTCGTCCACTCTATTTTGCATTCGTACTCGCTACTAAAGACTTCCGGAGTGACTAATGGAGGTCGTAGTGGTCATAGTTGATCTTGCGCAGTGCCCCAAAGCTGTTCTCTGCCGTAGGGCCGCCGAGGCTGCGTCACCTCGCTGACAGCGGCGGCCCTGGACCCATGGTTACGTAAACAACAGCACATGTACCGATACAGTACAATGGAGCAGCACAATCATTTCCACCAGAGTTTAGATCACCAAAAGATGATTATTTGTTTAAAAAGATGCGAAGTTTCTCATGAGTGCATGGGCGGAGCCATCCTCCCGTGAGCAGCCAACCCATCCCTAACAGACACATCATGTATACATTCGCGTAAAACAACTGTAGCTGTGCTACTGGTGAGATAATACCATCTGATTAATTTCGAAGCTGTTGTCGCAGCACTGTTGAGCCAACAGTTGCTGCATTAACCGCCGCGCAGTCTGTCGGCCGTCTACTGGTCGTCAGTGTTTCTGAAGAAATCACGCTGACTGAAGTTCTGGAACCTGTGATTCTGCTGCCGGCGCTGTTGCTGACCCGAACGCTTAACGCCACGATCCTCCTGGTTGCGCGTGTACTGCGCGCCGCCAGCGTCGGCGTTCATCAGGTTCTGCAGTATCATGTTCGAGCGCATCGTGAGGTTCTGGGTCTTGTCGATGACTTGTTGGTAGAGGTTTGGAGGAACCGTGGAGATCTCCACGCAGTTCTTCTCGCTGTCTATTTTCGCCTCCAGGTGGGAGTGCCTGATCAGGTTGACGATCCACCGTTCCGCTTCCAGCGAGCTCATGTTAACCTTTTGTGCGATAAGGTCGAGGTTGATCGACTGGTGTATGCGGCAGTACGTCTCGAAGATGATGTGCCTGCTGTACTCCTCGATCTGGAACTTGAGGGGCTCCAACAAAATGTCGACATGGCAGGCGTTTTGGATTTGCATGATGTGCTGTTGCGCGTCCTCGAAGTTGTAGTCCACGAAAAGCGCGCTCACCAACGCGGTGAAGGTGTCGGAGTATTTGGCCTTCCCGATCGAGAGCGACGTACTGATGACTTTGAAATGGTCCTTGCGATTCCTGTTGAGTATGGCGTAGACGGCGTAGTACCTCAGCAAATGCGGGGCTACCATCAGCACTACCGCCATGTTGCGGTCGTCCATGAGGTACTCCTGGACGTGCGGCCACTCGTAGCTCTTGGCATTCTTGGACTTCACCTGCGACAGCGGAATGTGGTACTTGAAAACGTAGAAGAGCGCCCAGTGCAGCAGCCAGCAGCGTTTAAGCACGAGCTCCTTGCGATTTTTACCCAGTTCCTCGTTGTTGAATATCTCGGCGAGCCTCAGAATGCACTGTACCCCGGTCCTCGGTAGGTCGGGTTCCAGGACACTGCTTTCCTTGTTGTCATCGTAGGGGGTAACCGTCGTCGCCATAGCCATCAGTTCCTCCTCCGTAGATGGCAACAGAACGCCCACCGTAATGGAGCGCAATATACCCCAGTAGCACTTGGCCCTGTTGGCGGCCGTGTTGCCGTCGAACGTGTACTTGGCCACGTTCTCCAGGTAGTACACCAGCCATTGCTTGCACTTCTTCCACTCCCCGTTGTCGGAGTACAGTTTCGCGAGCCTGAATATCGCGGCTTCCGATTCTGGGCCAACCTCGATATCGGTTGTACCCTGCGTTGCAAGCCACTGCTGCAGGGACACCAGCCAGATGCGCTCGGCGGACGATGATATGCGAGTGGCCTGGCTCTTCTTGTATATCTCGAGCGCCTCCTGAAGTGGCGCGATGATCTTCAGTATGGCGGCCTCCTGTTCGCTGAACTTCTCGTCGGTCAGCTTCTTCGAGACCACCTTGCTGGCAATATCCGCGCGGACGGCCGACAATTCGCCCTGGTACACCCCCTTTTCTTCCAGCCAGTCCAGCACGTGGAGCAGCATCTCGACGTCCAGGAACGGCGAGATCCGGCTGGTGATGTCATAGGGCGTGCACTCCTCGATGTTGACGCCCATTTTGCTCGATTGTGTTTGGCTCCGGGCGTTTCCAGGCCGCTACGAATATAACGGCGGTTGGAAGGCACAGGCACCTGGTGGGCGCGTGGCGCGCGGGATATCCGATATCCTGGCGAGCGCCGGGCACGTGTGTCTGGGTGGACTGCGTAGTTACAGCGTAATACCTCGCCCGAGTTGCCCGTTCGTAGACCACCCGGGTGTGATAGTATTAGAAAACCGTATTTTAGGTACTGTTTCCCGCCGCGTGAGTTTTTACCGCGTTCGACTACGACAACCCCCATCGACCCTCACGGCGGCGATGCGTGGCCGTTTTCACGTCGAGGGACACTAACTTCTCCCGGACGGCTGAATCCCGTGCAATTTACATATACGTTCGGGACACGGTCGGCAACAGTCGGCGCCGATCTCGGTCGAATGTCGCTTTGAGTCACCTCCGCGGCGCGATTCCGTGGCGGAAGGCTCACCTCTGATCATGACCGCTCTATTGAGTTTGCCATCATTCATCGTCGTGCTTCTGTTGACTATTTGCACTTCGAGTTACTTGAAGGTGTTCCTTCCCAACTACTTCAACGCCCGGCGTCCCGGTTTCTTCGGTCTTTTGGGGAAGTTTGCCGTCATCGGAGACCGTTTGTCGCCGTACGTTGCGATTTGCTGTCTGGTGTGTGCCTTCTGGATTCTGTTTATGCGCTGAGAGCTGTTGGAAAAAACTTGGAGTGTGTTGGATACACCGTAAGGACGGCCTTCCGCTGACCAAGACACACGAGCTAACCTGAAGGTTGGCACGAATTACACCATATACGCCACCACTCTGTCCGTTTGGTAGGATAAGGTTGTATTTAATCTGTTGGAAGGTATACTAGACGCACCACCTCACGATGATGCCAGAGCAGGCTTACCACGCAGCCGACACGCTGCCCAACCAGACGTTGTACGTGTCCAACCTGGATGACCAGGTCCACGTCAACGACATAGTAAAGCTGCTGTTCGAGCTGTTCATCCCTTACGGAGAGATTGTCGACATTCGAGCCCGCCGCACGCAGAAGCTGCGGGGGCAGGCGTTCGTCTCATTTAGGTGAGTGTTAAAGGCCCCCAATTTCATGGTTCGCAGCGAGATTTCTAGCGCTACCGCAGCCTTAAAAGGCACTAACAATCGCATTTTTCTGAATCGTCCCATAAAGGTGGCTTATGCCCGCAAGCAATCGTACAGGTCCATGAAACCGTCGGAATGCTACCGCCTGATGACCGCAGAGCGTCATCGCCCCTCGGACCCCGCGCAGGTGCAGGACATGGCCGAGGACACTCAGGACACCAGCGCAAGTCACACTCTGTTCGTCGAGAACATGCATCCCGAGATGAACAAGATGGCTGTCGAGATTCTGTTCAAGCAGTACCCCGGCTACAAGGACTGCCGCTTCGTGGAGGGCAAGTGCGTAGCTTTCGTCGACTTCGCGACGGAGTACCAGGGCGAGGTCGCCCTTCAGGGACTACAGGGGTTCAAAGTGTCGCACGGCCACGAGTTGCGTATATCGTTCGCCAAGTAGCGCCGGGGTTGCCGGCAGCTCTACGTCGACTACTTACGATGCATGTTTCGAATGCGGGACGGATACGTTTTATACTAATTCGCATTGTAATTATTGCTAACGTTACGCGGCTGCACGGCTGCGCGTTCTCGGCCCCGTGTTATGGTGGCCGCTCGCGCGGGCGACATGTTCGGCCGTTGCGGCGGCAGATCCGTTGAAAACATCGCGTTATGCTAACGGACACTTCAAATTTAGTTCCGGAGCGGTTTTGAGTGGTAGACTCGTTGCGGTCGCGTTAGTCCGCGGGTAGACGTCCTCTTCTTCGCGCCGACTCCTCTCCGCTGGCATTGCTCCAGCGTGGCGACTTAGGACACTTTTCTAAATGTGTTTTTTATAGTTTAAGTGGTGGCGATGGAGCAGGGTGGGTTGGCGTCTGTACACGTGGCTCATGGGCTCAGAGAAAGTGGAAGGCGTCGGATGTGCAGCCGGTCTAATTGCGTTGATTAAACGCATGTTCAACCGGAAGGAGCGCCGTAAGCAAAGATGCAGCCTCGAGGTCCGCACGTCGGCTTCGAAGTTGCAGAAGGAGAACTTCGAATTCGTTCGCACGCTAGGAACCGGTGAGCAAACTTTTGTGGATTATGTCTTCTGTCTATCATACGAGCCGCTTTGGCAACTGCTGATGGCATGAAACGTGTAGTTATGCCCCCTTTTGGCGTATCCGTTGCAAATTTTACTGACATGCGTGCAGGTGGTTTCGGACGTGTGCTGCTAGCAATTCCGAAGGGAGTGGAGGGCATAGAGGAACCATGCGCCGTGAAACGTCAGAAGAAGTACACCCTGATCGTGCAGAAGCAGGTTGATCACGTAATCTCCGAGAAGAAGCTACTGGCAAGCGTCAACCACCCGTTCATCGTTAACATGCTCGGCACGTTCAAGGACCCGCAATACATTTACATCGTGATGGAGTGCGTCTTCGGCGGCGACTTTTTCGGCTACCTGCGTAGCATAGACAGGCTGAACAGCGACGCTGCCATGTTCTACGCCGGGCAGATCACTGCCATCTTCGAGTACATGCACTCGCACAACATCATCTACCGTGACCTCAAACCGGAAAACTTGCTAGTGGGCCGCGACGGGTACCTCAAGTTGACCGATTTCGGTTTCGCCAAGGTCGTAGAGATGCGCACGTACACGCTGTGTGGCACGCCCGAGTACCTCGCCCCCGAGATTCTGCTCAACAAAGGACACGGCAAGGCCGTTGATTGGTGGACGCTGGGCATCCTTATCTACGAAATGTTGGTGGGCTACCCGCCCTTCTACAACGAGGACCCTATGGGCATCTACAAGAAGACGCTGGAGTGCCGCCCCGTTTACCCGAGCTTCTACAACCCGTAGGTCTGCCTTATGACCCCTCATGTTTCCCAGCGATGCCAAGGAGCTGACCAAGAAATTGCTGACCTTCGACCCGTCGAAGCGCATTGGTAACCTGCACAAGGGAGCTGAAGACGTTCGCACGAGCAAGTGGCTGTCGCCGTTGGACTTCGACAAGCTGCTTAAGAAGGAACTGCCCGCTCCCTATGTGCCCGAGCTAAGCGTAGGTGTTACTGTGTATTATATGCAACTATTTTGCAGAGCAAGGATGATACTGCTAAATTCGGAGACTACCCAGATTCGATGGATATCCCCCGTCCGGTCGAGGGCCGAGACGATCCCTTTGACAACTGGTGATTTGTTATTATATTCCCGGCTAAAAATGCCACATTACAACTAGAGCTTCATAATATTTTATTTCTAAACGGTGTTCGCATAAAGACACGTTCACAGGGGTGTGTGGACTGCGGATGTGTAAGGCCGCGGGGCGCCGCTCCTGGATGTGCCCCAAGTGTTGAGCGCGTTGGCCGTGCATCTCGCTCTGCGGTACATTTGTGGTTCCTCAGTGTGTTACCTGAGGCTCCGGTGGCACACATTTCGCGCGTCTGGTAGTTGACGCGGTGTCTGGACGCGTATGTCTATACGCGTAATAATGTTTGCGCTGCACACACCGTTGTAGGCAGGTGTCCGTTTCGCCAAATTTGCACGGCTTCACATCGGATACCGATAGGTGGTTCTGTGACTTTGTTGCGTGAGTCATGGCGCCACCTGATGTTACTGCGATGAAGCCGGTGGGTCGCGCTGACTCCGACGAGTTTTCGGGAGAGCTGGTTTTCTCAAACCAACCTGTTTCTAGTGCGACTGAGAATGTGAGTGTGCCGGCCGAGGAGGATATCATGCGCCTCCCCTCCCTTGGCGAGGGGTACAAAAGCAGCCTCTTGCAACCAAGCACTGCCGCGTCTGGGAGTTCGAAGGCGTCTTTCATGCGCTGGCATTCCCAGGGACACCTTTTGATGGAGCTAAAACGTGAAGACGAGCGTCTTCGTCGAGAGGCTAAGGCGCAATTGGAAAGCTCATCATGCGGCGATTCAATGTACGAGGGCGATTTCGGATCGATGAAGGCTCCGGAGAGCGCAGACCGCGACCAAAAAGACTCCATGGCGCGTCTGCACTCTCTGTTTTTCACTTCCGAATCGAAGCTGCAGCCCGTCAACAACGCTGTGGTTTCGTTTCTGCTGAAGACGTTTCGCCAGTTAGACGAGTCAAAGTTGATTTCTGCCCCTTTCGAGCTCACTTCCGAGGTAGAATCGTTCCGCGTTCGTATATTCGAGGTGATGAACAAGGATTTTAATAGCGTGAGTTTGTCGGAGGCGCTGCTCACGGTCGCCTTCAACCACTACGCCGGCGTCTCCCACCCCGGATACATGACTCTGGACGAATACATGTCCATGATGTCCTTGTACAAGGGGGTATTTGCGAACGAAACAATGACACGGTTCGTGTTCGACTCCATGGACCGCCGCCGAAAGCTGATGATTACACTGAACGATTTCATTGCCGGCATGATGGCCTGCTCCCCGCAGGCAACGCACAAGGTGACCAGCGCAGCTGGCCGTCTGCGGCTGCAGCACATCTTCAGGGCCTACGATGTTAAGCGGAAGGGACATCTTAACCAAGATGCACTGCGCGTTCTGCTGACCCACATACAGCAGCTTGTGCGCATCGCCAACAGCTCGAAGGTGGAACGGATGCCCGGCATGAACGGCTCTTTCATCGACATACATCGCAGCGATTCGCTAGTAGAGTCGGACCCGCAGAGTGCCTCTTCCAATTTGGACGAGATGCTGGAGCTGATCATGTCAACTTATGAAACTGGCTTTGGCTACGACGCATTTTACTCATCTGTGGAGAGCGGTTTGATCAAGGATTCTCACCTCTTGCTGCGTTCGGACAAGGACTTCTCCGAGCTGATTGGCCAGCATCTGATCCATGCGCTCGGTCGCGTGGTCATCCCGTCTGAGGTGGCGGTCAAGGCCGAGGTTCCACCTCTTCCCGTCACGGAAACGCCACTACCGGAAGAGGAACAGAAGCCCGCACCAGTGAACGAGGATATGTCCTCTCGTTCTGTTGATCGCACGAGGAAACCATCCATCTGGACTTCCTCCAACTCCCCAAGGTCGGCTGAGGCAGGCAGCCAGATAGCGTCACCCTACTCCAGCACGTACGCCCGCGACGGCAGGGGGTATTCCGCGGAGCCATTCTACGGCATTAGCGGTATGCGTGACTCGCCTAGGTCCCTGTCGTCAAGGAGCCATTACGGCCTTTCTGGGCCAGGCACCGATCGCAAGCCGCTATTCCAATCCGGACCGCTGAAGGGCGGCTCTTTGGACGCTGCAATGCGCCCGTTCAACGAAGACGCCTTCTTCCGGAAGCTTGCTCCGTACACAAAGGCTGGAAACTTCAGATCATATGACTCCGACTATGAACTTCGTCAAACCGGTGCCAAATCATCACCGTTGGGATTGGGCATGGGGATATCACAAGGCTCTTCCGCGTTTCAAGGGACCGCGGCCATCAGCGAACCCGAGTTATCTGCTGGCAATCTGCTATCGACTAAAGCTTTGGACAGCGCTCTCAGCGTCACCCGTGAACCGGGTGCTGCACGGGACATTACTCCGTTCCTGCAGAAAAGCGACGTATGGAACCGTGCGAAGAGCGTGGAGTGCCACACAGAGTGGATGTCATTTCGGAAGCGCGCTGACACGGATGGCATGTTGGGCACCTCTCGTAGCGCTGGCTACGCACGCACTTCTGGACCGAGTACTACAGGGTTCGGCTTTTCAGAACTTCGCAACCTTATGGAAGACAAACTGGACATTACCAAGTCCATGCTAGTCTCGGGGTTGAACGCATCAACCACGTCACCACCGGAGAACACCGCAGCTGAGACGTTGGCGTTGACAAATGCGTCGCCCAGCATGATCGTAGTGTCACCTCGTCGACCTGGCTCGCAGTCGCAGGAAACAGCGGAATACGACGTGGATGCACCAGCTCCAGGGCGCCACAATAGCGTGAGGTTCGAAGACTCTGTACCGGCGTCGTCTGCCACTGCGGCATCGGAGTCCGATCTCGAGGGCATCCTTAGCAGGCGCCTGTCGGACCTCTGTCGCCGTTATCGCGCGAGGTTCATCGGGTTCAACAGTTCTGTGCTCGCTGACAGTACGGTTGCGTTGAAGGTGTACAGTGAGATTTACACTCGGACGTTCAAGTGCCAAGACTATTGGGGCATCTTCGAACGCTTCCACTGGTGCTCCTACAACGAGCTGCTTGAGTTGTGCGACGTGGTTTGCGGAGTTGTCAGGCAGGAGAGCAGCGTGCTCTACCTGCAGGGCACCGTGCAGGTGCATGGACCTCTCAACGGGAGCGTGCTGACTCTGCTGGAGTCATTCAATTGCCTGGGCTGGCCGCTGCACGGCAACACCACGGAGCGTAAAGGCGCGCGGCTCGTGGATGCCGGCCAATACGCGAAGGGCGAGACCACCAAGCTCGTCTTCTTGGGTGACCTCATCGGCGAGGCAGAAGGCTTCTCTCTGGAGACACTGTTGGTGCTCTTCTCGTTGAAGGTTCTGTTCCCGTATCACGTGATCCTTCTACGTGGTCGCCGGGAGGCTCGCCGTCGTGACTACAAGTCTGCGTTGTTCCGCGAAATATACACGAAACTAAGCGACAACGCGCGGCAGTTGAAGCTCGCCGAAGACGAGGCGCTACTTCTGCAGAGCGCCCAGGAGCTCTACCATCGCATCTACGACGTATTCGAGCACATGTCGCTCGCAGCTTTATTGGATGAGCGGGTGCTCTGCGTTCACGGCGCCCTGTCGAAGGCCTTCCGCTCAGTGGAGCAGCTTTCGCAGTTGCGCAAGCCCATCATTGTCGAACGGACGTCGGTGAAGGGCGACAACCGCTCTCTTGGCGCCTACTCCAACGTGCACGTGCGGAACGCATTCTTCGGCACGCTTTCGGATGCCGTACCGAACGGGTCTGATGAGCAGTTCCACGTCGACTTCACCGAAAAGGAGCTGGCGTACTGCATGAAGCGCGGCGGCATTGAGATGCTGATCACCGCCGGCCCAACGACGGAAAGCGGCTACAGCTACGCGTTCGGCGACCGCGTGCTTCAGCTGGGAGGATACACTCCCGGTGGCATTTACACCGCAGCCCTGCTAAAGGAGCAGCGCAGCACGCAATACGTTATCACGCACAGATCGATCAAGCTGCCGTAAACTAAAACAGGGTTATTGTAAGATACGCTTGACTTTAATATATTTGTTATGATATTTGCTGCATTCTGAGGTTCTGCACTATGGTGTCGTAGTCCAGGCTGTCTATGGGCAACGCATCGTCAACCTTCAGGTCACACTTGGCGGTTCTCACCTGCACCTCATTAATCAACTCTACGTTTTCACCTACCAGTGATTGCAGGGTGCCGAGCGTGTTCAGTTTGTATGCGATATCTCGGATGAGGCTGCGCACGTAGGTGCCGCCTGAGCCGGTGACCCTGAACGAGAACCTCGGGAGCTCCTGAAACCATTTTATGTGCCACAAAACATCTTTATACATACGATACCAGGGACTTGCATCCTTTCAATGCTGTGCACAGTGACCAATGACGACTTGATCTCCACTGGCAGGTTTCTGATTGCATAATTCCGCAGACTCTTGCCGCCGTGCTTCTTTGCTGTTTTGTCATGATTAGACCCTTTAGAAAACATACAGCTGTATAGTGGTGGCACTTGGTCATATGGCCCCTGCATCGATTGGATGGCGCTGTCTAGGTCGGCTTCAGTAACATGCTGCCAAGGCGCTTCCTTGACCGTCTCTCCCTGTGCCAAATGATCCACGGATAATCCTTCTTACGTGGGCATCAAGCGTATTAGTTTCATATCCCAGTACCGCAGTCGCTTCGTAAGTTTTGTTACCTGTGCCCATTACTTTCTGGCATGCACCACCTACCTTTGAGGTAGAAGGATAGCAGTTTTGTTGCACTGCCCACTCCTATTGCAAGCACTCCTTCGGCGTGCATGTCTAGAGTTCCCCCGTGTCCCACCTTAATTTTTGGGCGTGTGGACGTCGTCATCCGCTGCCGCAATCCGTCCGTGAGTATCCTTTTCACTATCTGGCAGGCATCGTTAGAGGTCATTCCTGGGGACTTGTAGACGTTCAGAATGCCGCTTATAGGTGGTGGTTGCGGCTGCAAGGGGCGCAATCCGAACCCGTTAGCTACGGCACTCGCAACGACCACCACGCACTGCAGAAGCACAACGACGGTCATTGCGTTTCTTTTCCGCGTCTAGTAGGCGACACCGCGTTGTAGCAGAACATTTGCAGCTACATTTGCGCTATTGTAAACACTGCGTTATGTGCCGTAGCTGCGTTACGCTAGATTAGACGAGCGGCGTGGCAGCCGCGTCGTGTCTTCTATCATAATGCGATGTTTCATGCCGTGAACTAAATATAGATACTACACATCTTACTCCTTTGTTAAACTATGCTGGCAGTAACACAAAAATGACTGTTATATAGTAGTCCGGCGCTGAATTGCCTGTCTACTGTACATGACATACACATTGCTGACGTCAGCCGAATACCAGCTTCTTAGAAGAACGGTCCTCCAGGTCCAGGAAATGGTCCGGGTCCCCTTCCCATCATGCCTCCGCGGTTAGCTGTCGGCGACCAGGGATGCAACGACGGATCGATGGAAGGATCCGGTTCACGGCCAAAAGGCCCAATAGCGTCGTAGCGTGGTGCTGTAGATCCTGGAGCTCTGTACTCAAGTTAACGCCGTATGTGTTACCGCTTAGCTGCGGAGTGAACGGTGACCAACCTTAGTTGCCTGGGTGCCTCCTCGAAGAAAGGATCATCCGGTCCCATGAGCATGCCACTCGGGTTCCTAGGCCTAATAGGCCGCATCACTGCATGCAATTGATCACAGTTACATTGGGTTAGCACCGGTGTGACTTCCCGGATCTCCCATGTCAAGGTACGCAACACGATGCTGTTGTCACAAAATCGTACCAACAAGGCAACAATACGACGGGATTACCGTAAACAGATTCACAAACGACACCATTGAACCATCACTAAGCGTGTTACGCCCTTAAACTTACAATTCGGTAGGTCACGGGGCAAGCCCAGAGCAGGGTGTAGGTCGTCGACACCACGTCCTGGCACGTTCGTCTGCCCCTATACGGCATGATTAGTTGTTTAACATGCTATTCGTGATCATATAAGACGTATGAACTACTGCCTTTTCTATACAACCCCGTCGAAAATGGCGACTATCATCGGTTAACAAAGGAACGAGGCTGTCTCTACAATACAGTTACACCCCCGACGCTACATGCCACTGGCCACTAGAGTAATGTAGCACATCGTAAGCTCCTTACCAGTACTCGCTCTGCTTCTAGATGTGCGCCTACGGCCTCCAAGACCGGGTCGTTTGCAGGCGCCAAGGATTCCTCGACATCGTCGGTACGGGGATTTAAATCTTTCGGATCCATTTTATTTATTCATGGCCACAATTACTGTCTGTAATGCGGCAATACAATTTACAGTGAGTGATTCGGTGCTCCGAGTTTCAAGGCGGTGGGACACCTTACACAGCGCTTCAATGCTGTAACCCGGCATAGGTTTCATGTCGTAATAGTGAATTTTCAAAGTAATATAATTGAGCGACAGAATGAATTCGCATAGTAAAATGTCAATTTCGCGTTTATGTGCCGCGAAAAATCAACTAGTGGCGACTCGTCCACTGCAACGCGGTAAGACACGCCCTTCCACGCAACTTCACGCGCGGAAGGCAGCGTACAATCAACACAAAGTTGTTTTTCAATACGTAATTGTGCGACATGGGCTACATGTGTGACTTAGCAGTCAGTAAATGCTAGGTGCGATTAGCCATGTATGTGCTCTACATGCTGGCCGACCAAACACAAAAGAGGACATGTCTCAGCACACTAAAACAAGACATAGCTGAAGAAAACACACATTGCCATGCTATTTCGCCGCTGTCATATCTGTTTGAATTTTCGAGACAGGTATCCGGCAGTATTACACCGAAATTTCGTGCTGCGTTCGACGCATTACCTGACAACTGGCACACCGGTGTAACCGAACTGTTTATCGTTTCCTGTTTAATCCGAATGTGGTGTATTCTACGGGCGCGTTCCACTCACGGGCTGCAAAACGAGTCAAGGCGTTGGTCTACGAGCTTTGTAACGGGGAGACCAAAATGACTATAGTGCACCGTGTAAACACGCACAATTGCAACAGTCAAATTTCGATGCGTATGCAAGGCTGAATCGCATCTTAGTGAGGTATTCTCCGTCAGTAACACCGTGTCCGGTGCGCACGACGCGGCGGTTGTGCAATCTTCACACCGAGATCTCGTATGCATTCTATACAGAAACTAATGTGAATTGTCGAGTAGATACGTTTTGGGTGTCGCGGAATCTATTCGCGTGGGAGCTACGCGTTTTTGTCTGCTCGTGGTTCCCTTGTCGTCACGTGACTCGGTCGCGTGATTCCGTGCTATTATAGGCTGTTTGTTAAGCCCAACTGAGGCATACTGGCTAGTAATTCTATTTTACGCCGCCGAACTTGATATTCCTACCGGTAAGTAGGCTTGCAGGACTCTGTGAGTCGACCGCGACCACTCCTGCGGGGACCTCTTCTTTGCTACTCACAAGGGTGGATAGGCACCCATTCTACCAACAATTGTACACAAGATTGTTGAATAGGCTTGCGGAAGGCACAAATCGCTGTACTTTTAGAGTCGCTCCGCCTTTGTTGGACAATGCAGAGCACGCGGGAATCGCCGAAACCCATTGACATCTTACGGTCAAGGTCGTCGGAAAACTACAAGCGGGGTGCCATTGGGACTGACAGATCGTCTAGAAACGTTTCGCTGGATATCGCCAAGAGGTTCTCTCGCCAGGACACCAGGTTTCAAGACGACAAAGATACCCCCCAGGAGCGCATGGATGCGCGCATACGCAGTGATAGCGCGCTCCGTAGGAGCAGTCGCGACTTTTACAAGGAAACAGGAACCAGTAGCTTCTCTACCGGGAAGAAGGATAGGTCAATGGTAGCCACTGCAGGTAACAGTATGGAGGGTGGCACCAGCGACTTGGCGGCTAGCGACTCCCTTTCCCTCAGTATGCGGTTGGCTGCTGTCTCGAGAGCCGCAGGACCAAGAGAAGGGTTTCCGGGGTGCAACAGCTACCGCGAGTCTGCAGCCATCTCTAGTAGCAGCAGCTCATACCCTCCGCTGAGGTATTGCGCCAGCGGCGTTATCGACGCTCGCAAGTACCGTGAGGAGCTTCTGATGATCACCCGTGGCCATGAGGATATGGGAATGCGGCTGTACAACCACCCATGCTATAGGTGGTTCCTCATGGCAATAGTTGTGGCCTACGCTTGTTTCCTGGGATTCTGTACCCTGCTCGACTGGCACGACATCTCCACTCCTTGGATAACCGCCATCTTTGTCTTTCGCTTTATGTTTTTTGTACTCTTTACTTTCGACCTGATCATGCAGGCCACGCAATGCGTGAATGTCAAACTCTACAGACACCCGGAGTTTCTTGTTGATTTCGCCCTGCTCCTCTGCGAAGTCGCCAGCACAATATACGTTGTTAACGCCGTATCAAATCACTGCAGTTCCGCCTACGAGTCTACTGCTCAGTGCCAGCGCTACCTGAGTAGTCTGCGGATCTGGTCATGTCTCCCGCTGCTCCGTCTCTACAAGCTGTGCAAGCATTGTGGGCCACTTCGTACCCTGACGAAGGGCATTATGTTGAGTATCCAGTCCCTGGCGTGGACTGCTGTTTTCGTTATCATGGTCATCTATGCGTGTGCCATATACACGACCTGGGTCTTTACGGAGGTTGAGAGCGAAGAGATGGACGACTACTGGGGCACGCTGCTGCGGTCGATGTACACCCTGTTCACCATCATGACGCTGGAAGGTTGGAACGAGGTCAGCAATGACACTGCCAAGTTCTACCCGAACTCGAAGATGTTCTTCGTGATTTTCGTCTGCTTCGCAACGCTTACTGTCATGAACGTGGTGACGGGTATTATCCTGAATACTTTCCTGACGGTCAACGAGAAGTTTAGTGAGGAGAAGTGCAGCAAGGGGAGATGCGACCGATATGCTGAAGTAACTTCGATTTTGGGCGAGGCGATCAAGGGTGCGCCGACTGGGGATCAGGCCTACCTATCGGGAGAACCAACGCCACAGTTTGTTTCTGCTCGTACGTGCTCCAAGGATACCATGGAAGAGCGTACAGCAGCGTCGGAAAGCTCAAACCAAGGTGGTCGGCGCTTTAAGGGGGATGCCGACAAATTGTCTACGAAGATGTTCAGGGTGGGTCAGTCAATTGGATTGAAGATGCGTAACACTATGTGGCGCATAATGCCCGTGCTGGCCGGCTCCCGCGACTCCACCAGGGGAGAAGTGACTTTTGCCGACATTGAGAGCGGAAATTGCGATGGTGGTGACAATGCGCCCGATCGAGCGCAGGCGCTGAAGCTCCAGGAACCGTTGACGCCTACGAACGCCCGCGTTGGTGCTGCGCCTGATCATGATGACTCAAGCCCCAATGCTCCCTCAAGACCAACATCGAGTGATATCCTCAACGACCTCATGGATGCGGCCGACTCACCTGCAGCAGGACAGATCGGGACCCTCAAGGCGCCTATACCGATGCGTTCGCCGGCCGTCCCAGCTCCGCAGCCCGCCGCAAACAACTCCATTCAGGGCGCATGCAGGATAAACATGAGTCGCGACATGCGATCGAATGGCCGCGTTATGTATGGATACCGCAATGAGGGTGACGGAGGGTCGGCCGAGATGATGCGCTTTGTGGAAACGCAGAGCGGAGACCACGCGATCATCGACATGACCTACCGCGACCCCTATGCCACGCTGACTGACCCTTCTATCAAGCAAGCGCTGCGTCATGCCGGAGTGCCGATGTTCCAGGCGTACGAGGTGCTCAACATGTACTACGCAAACGGGCTGTATCAAGTGACCGTGGCCGAATTCGCCGCTGCCTGCGAACGACTTCCAGGAAATGCCAGCGGTAAAGACCTGCTCTCCTTCGAACTGGCGTTCGCGCGACGCCTGAGCGTGCTCGAGGCGCGTGTTGCCCAGATAGGCACCAAGCTCGACGTGCTACTGGAATACCTCGCCGGTTCTGCCGCGGCACCGTGTAACAAAAACTAGTTTCCCTTAATTTTTCATCGCACATGTGTGTCTGCACATCAGCGAACTTGTTCTTCGCCGCGTCGCTGTGGGGAGTGTGTCGTTGCGAGGATTTACTTGGAGCCACTTCAGCTCTGGTGCTAGCACGGACGCTGCGATCCTTCGGCTGTGTGTTGTGTGATACTGTGGGTGCTCCGGTGGCTGTGCGCGAACACGTCAGCGTGCCGTGACCAAGCGTGTCACCGTCTGGTCGTTCGACTTCCCCCGCATATCGACCCTTCTGAGCCTCTTCCTGGCCACCATGGCGATCGAGGCGTTCATAGGTAGTCGTATCTCGATCACGACGAATTCGGAGTTGCGTTATGAGGGTGAGTGTTGCGCCCAGGCACCATCCACGCCTTTGTGTTTGACGGATTCCCCTTTGCGATAATGATGGCTACGTTGACCGCGATTCGTGTGACCATTTTGTGTTGTTTCTTTAGCGCTATGTCTTGCTTGCTCCTGTCTGCCAACTTGCGGATCGAGCTCCTTCCTATGGGAATCTGCGTGGCAAGCAAAGGAGTTTCCGCAGCTGCCTAGGCTGCAGGCGAATCACTTCTAGTGGCCGCGACCGAGGCTTCGTTGAATGTGTAGATGTGCAATGTTTTTCATGCGTGCTTCGTTGTGTCTGGAGATGCCATTGTATCACTCTACAATACTGCTGCAGGCCTGCTCTTCGACCTTAATAGCGATGACGCCATGATAGTGCTACAAAACGTGCAGTGCATGGGCACTGAGAACCGCACGACCAATGGAGGAGTCCCCCCGTCTAAGCGGATCCACGACTACATGGTGTTCAAGGGTGAGGACATCAAGGACCTTGGTGTCTGCGAGGTGAAGAAGGATAACTCGCCGGAGTACAGCGTGTTCAACGAACCCGCGACACAAGGCGCTCCCTTTAATAACCAATTCGGCCAGCCGGGCGGACCGGGACCGGCTCCCATGTATGGCCCTCGGGATGGTCCCAACGGGCAGGGATTCGGGGGCATGCCACCGCCCCAAATGATGGGGAGCCCGATGATGCCCCCAATGGGATCACCGATGTATATGCCGCCCGCGCGTGGGATGTACATGGGACCGCCTAGCATGCCGGGACCGATGATGGTGCCTCCTATGGGTCGTCCAATGGGACCCCCGCCCATGCACGACGGTCCTTTGGGCGCTCACGACGCCCGACAACCGCCCCCGAGCCCCTATTGGCAGGAGCCGGGCTCGTTGTTCGGCGGAGGTATGCCGACTGGAATGCCACATCGGGACGAAATGCATCCGGGAGGTGCGGACAAAAGGATGCCTGGGCCTATGTTCATGGACTCATCTACGCCTCCTCGTTACGAGGGAGACTCTGACCGATTTGACTTAAGAGCGTTCGACTTCGGTCCTGACCCCTTTGCCGAGGGTGATGCGCTCGGTGGTGGCGAACCCAACTCCTCGGCCCCTGAAGACGAAAGCGGCCTGGCCGGTCAACGCCATGTAGAGAAACGGGAAGGGTTCCCCAAATCAGTGCAGCACAAGGTGATGGCACCAACTCAACACGAACGGAAACCCCTTACTCCAGTGAACGAGTTCAACATCATTAAGGCCGAGAAACTCCTAGCTAGCCTCGGCGGTGCAGACGTAAAGGGGGACGCGGGACCATCGCAAACCAAACCCAGTACCGTAGTCCCGGATGTCAAACAAGCCAAGCCGGAAAAGGCCGAAGTAGTTGCAGCAAAGGAGGAACAGGAGCTACGGACCTACTATGACAAGAAGAGCTCCTTCTTCGACAACCTGTCGAGCGACGTCCACAGTGACAAGGTAGGTGTATATGACAGCCTTCTTGACTTGCTCGCAGAAAATGCTACGGAAAGAGCGTCAGAAGCAGCACGAAATAAATGTGGACACATTCGGAGCGGACAGTGTCCGCCGCAGCCACAACAACAGAGGTCGAGGCCGTGGCGACCGGCGGGGTGGCGGCGAGCGCGGAAGGCGCGGTAGCTGGAACCCCGAAAGGGGTGAGCGCAGAGGTTCGCATAAGGCGGAACCGGTAGAGACGGCTGAGAAGGCGTAAGTTCTGCTGGGGCGCCGACTCAACACATGCTTTCAGGCCCGAGAAGGATAAGGACAAGGAGCAGAAGGCCGAAGTACCCGCTGCCTCTGCTGACAAATGAGGCGTTTATACGGATTTGACAACTGGCGCGCGTGCGCATGAAGTGATTCTATCGCTCTGCGCCACCCAGCGTGGCCCGCGAGCTGGTATGCCTAGCTAGGCATCTACAGCGCTTCGATCCCGCAGGATCCGCGTCGGGTTTTACTACACATTAGCCAGTATCGGCTGAGTTTAACTGCTCGGCAGTCAGCAATGTGACTTATTCGAATCTTTAAGTTATTGAGCAGTGCCCTTTGTGAGGTTGGTTGGGTGTACGCGCCCGCAATTTAGACGTGTGTATCGTGAGATATCGCTGTCTATCGTCGCATACGGCTGTTTTCTATCCGGGAAGGCCGTGTCTAGCGGCGTTTGACTGGTGTGCGAGCGCTGTTTTCCCGAGCGACATCATGCGAATCTCGCGAGTTAGCCAGTGTTGCGGCACGCGCGGCTCCTTGAGTTCGGTCGACTTCCAGCCGCACGCTCAGCGACGGTCGGTCCACCGCATCGCCACTGCAGCTGGTACCGAGGTTCAGATATGGGCGCTCTGGCGGGATGACTCAACGCCGAAAAGGTCGGCGCTGAAATGCATCTGCCTCCACACATTCCACGAGCATTCACCGTACGAAGTCGCCACCGCGAGGTGGTCGCCTAACGGTCGCTACCTGGCCAGCACCGACTCCGGCGGCACTACCCACATCCTGGAGCGCAACGACGCGAAGTGCCGTCAACTGGAGCACTCGTTGAGCGACAATAGGGATGCTGTAAATGCGGATGACGTCGCATCCGCTTCCGAACCGGGGGCTGCCGCTCCGGAAACAAAGGTAACTCGCAAATTCACGTTCAAGTACGATGGTACAACTGCCAAGCGGCAACGCCAAACGAGCATGCCGAACCGCACAAAGCCAGGAAAGAAGCGCATCAGCTACGACTCGCAGTCGGTGAAGACTGAAGTTGTCAAGCCGGTGACTGTGGAGTCGAATGGCGGTAACTTCGAAGTGTGGACTTCCATCCAATCCTTCCAGTGCCCCTCGCGCATGGGCCAGCTGTTCGACATCAGCTGGGCGCCCGACAATCGCAGCATCGTGGGAGGGGGGTTGAATGGCCAAGTTGCGGTGTTCGACATTTTCACGAAACAGATGGTTGCCCATTTTGATGTATTTGAGGGGCAGCGACCCGATTCGGCCGTGAACAGCCGAGGCTACGTGAAGAGTGTTGCCTGGGACCCGATGACCCTGTATATAGCCGTGCAGACAAGCAGCAGGGAGGCTTCGGTATGGCGACGCTCACCGCCCAATCCCGAAGGATCAGCTCAGAAGTGGACCTTCAAACGCGTATTTTGTGACACCGACCTGTTCCAGAAGTCGCAGTGCGACGTGCTAGGGGGCTCACGCATATCCTGGGCGCCGAACGGCCAGTTGGTGGCGTTCCCCAGCGCAGGCAAGTCCACGCTTAATTTCGCAGCGTGTTTCGAGGTTGTACACGCTGACCTTTCCCGCGAGGTTGCCGTGCTACTTGACGGCAAGCTGGATCACCGTCGACTCCAGCTGGTCTACGATAACGCTGACCACAACGTGCGCCAGGACGCGATGCTGCTGCACGGCCATCAGGCGCGTGTGCGCAACGTCCGATTCTCGCAGGATCTGATGGTGCCTCACAAACGCGGCCTTTGCAAGGGCGCCACCTTTTCGGACAGCGACCGCTTCGTCCTTTACGCGCAGTCAAGTGATGATGGAACGATTTCAATATGGCGTTTCAAACATGCAAGCAACTGGGATTCGCAGTACAAAAACGAGGCGCAGTGCATCTGTGTGCTTCAGAACGCCTCGGACGAGCAGAGCAGCTTGGAGGACCTCGCCTGGGGCAACGGCGGCAGGTGGCTGGCGGTGGCGGCAAGTCAGGGTGGCATTATCCTGGTTGAGTTGAGTGAGGATGACACCTCCACGCGTTTCTACAGCAACTGGATGAGCGGGTTGAAAATCGAGGACACCCAAGGAGTCACTACTAGTTTCCTGCACAAGGTAGAGCAATACCAGTCGAAGAAAACGTCTCAGGCGTCAACCGGATCTGCGGCAAAGGAGCAATCTGAACCTCCCTCTGATTGCAAGAATGCAGCCGGAACAAGTGAAGTGTCCGATGTCACGCCGGCCATTGTCACTGCAGGCAGCGCCGCCTGGGTTGCCACCGGGGGTATGCGTAGGTATGCTGCACAATACTACCAAACCTTTGGTGGAAGCTTATCCAAACTCCTGAGCGTTCCTTTAGGGTTGAAATGTCATTTCGGCGGTGTCATGGGGATAGAGGCTAAGCAGTTGATGCAATGTGTGACAGCGATGCTGCTAAGCACACTGATGAAGGCGCTTCAAGGTATAGCGGAGGCATTGGTAACAGCGGCGGCGATTATACTTTGTCACGCGCGTCGCACCATCGCAACTCCTAGAATGCCCGTACTGTGTAGGACCGCGGCCATTTCTGACTCACGCATCGTGCAAGCACACGTTGATATCGCATCTGGGCCCGCCAGCTTCGGCCAGGGAGTGGAACTCTCTGCCACTGCTATACGGGGCATAAACGTCAAGCATGTCGGGTCTATGGATCCTACGCGCCTCTATGATCCAGATTCAGCGGACCCGTGTTTGGGACAGTCTGAATTTGGGCGGCAGGATTTGGTGACGTATGAGTGCAGCACCGGCCTGCCATCATCCACCAACGGATGTGACGGATTGGGGGATGCGTACAATAACTATTCAGGGGAAAACACGGCTGCATCACTGACGCACTCAAATTCGGGTACAGTAGAAAGTGTTGTTGCAACTGCTGTTACTGAAACATCGCCATCACAGGGAGCTGCGTATGCTGACAGCCAAAGTGCGACAGCAGGCGAAGCTAAGCAAATCGCATTGGGTGCCATTAGTGCATTGTCGCCCACGTCAAATACATCGAGGAATAAACGTCTAGCAGATGAGAGAACGGTAGCAAGCCCACATAAAAGGGGGAGGCCGCCTGGACGGAAGTGGAAAGCGCCACCCGTCACGGTCGACAGGATTACCGACGTATGGTTAAGTATGGAATACCCGCAGGGTGAGGATGATTTGGTTGAACTTTTAAAAACTGTTGAGAAGGCCGTCACTGCAGCCGACACGAACCCCCCGGAGGCACCTCAACAGGAACCTGTCGCACCAGTGGAGCCTGAGGTATCGCAACCAGCTGCCACTACGGAAAAGCGTGAATCTTTTGAGGCACCGGTGCCTGACACCCCAAAGGAAGTGGAGGAAACACTCGTTGAGGCCGAAACTACTGAGGTATCGAAAAGCCCAGAAGTCCCTCCAAGTTCCATTGAAAAGAAACTACTGGCACAACCAATATCTCCACCGCGTTTTAATTCGCATGCGGCTGCACCGCCTCAAATGGCGTCATCCCTGAAACAGTCACCCCTCGGACTACAACATTATCTATCGTCCTCTAGGAACTCTGCGATGAATTCACCTTTGTTGACTGATGGCCTCAGATTTGTATCATCGCCAATTGCCGCTTCAAGTCAGATGTCGCCACCGTTGGTCGTGCCGCCTCGTATGTCGCCCATCTGGGCGGGCTCCCTTGATTTGGCAGCTAATATGAAGGCTGGATTTGGGCCCCCTGTAGGCGGCTTGCAACAAAATACTACACTACATAGGCATTTTCAAGCTGTACCTGCTCCTCCGCAGCTGCAGCTAGACCAGAAGAGGCCGTCTACGCGGGCGGAAGGTTTGTTCGAGGTTCCCCCCATCCGGCCATCGCTATCGGTGCAGCTACAAGGTGCTCGAAGACAGCTAGTCGTGGTAAACCGTGCCCATTCTATGTGCTCTGCGTTCGTCGCTTGCGTGGAGAACAAAGGTAATGGAACCCAAGGTGTTCAGTGGACGAAACAGATCAACAAGGGATACGCAACTCACATATGCCCTATACACAGCCAGGGGATGGCGCTAATTGTCACGCAAATAGGCCACAGATCAAGCCGTAGGGGTTCGCATGACTTTGCACAACCCTTGCATACCAGAAGGCCCCCCGTCGGTGGAGGCCAGGCGGTGGACACGGATCCGGCCGGGAGCAATGCGAAGCCAGTGTTCGCGTCATTCTTCACGCTGCTGGACACGCGAACTGGTCTAACGCTGATTGATGGGTACCCAATACCAAACTTCAACATCGCCAGACTCAATGTTTTCCCCTGCGGTAACCGTATATACGCCGCGTTCACCGCTACAAGAGGGGCCATCGCTTTGTTTGTTTTCTACCGGAAATTAGGTTCCATTGCGTGGACCATATTGCCCAACATTGCGATGTCGGTGAGTGATTTACTCAAACGCGGCACTTGCGCTGATATTAAGCAGCTGCAGCTGCTATGCGTCAATCTCAACGCCGCCCAATGCTCGACGCCTCAGAGTAGCGCACTGGCACTTATGATCACCAAGGAAAAAGCGCGGGCTGAAGCTGTTAACGTGGCGCCGCAACCGCTAAACCCGGAAGTCGCTGCGGCATCAAATAATATTGACCAAAACGTAAGTGAACCTTCAAGGAAACGGCCGCATGTTGAGGGCAAGGAAAGGGACACCACCTTCGTTGCAATGCTGGTGTACATGAATGAACCACAGGTCTACGTTCTCACGCAATACTATGAGCCCTTTCTCATAAATCTAGCCCCCGTCCACAAGTTGTTTCACCCTAAGAAGTCTGCAAGCAACGTCCTGTCATTCGCGTCGCTATGCAATACGTATCGCCGCGAGCTCGGGCGTATTGAAGGCCCTGATCATGAGGGCAACGCGCTCTTCAACGACGTGGTGCACCGGTTGGCTGACATCTTCCACCTGAACCCGTCGTTGAAGGACCACTACAGTTACCCCAAAACTGAGAAAGTTGTCGAGGAGGTAGTCGTGGATGCGGCGCTGCAGCGTGATCGGCTGCTTGCGGCTATGCTGGTCCTTGGCAGCCGCTCCGAGTATATACTGCAGCTACACGAGCATATTCACGATATGATTGAGCGCATCCAAGCCGCCAAGCTTTGCCATATAGTGGTACAGCTGTACAAGCGTTCAGTTGAGTGGTACACGGGTGGGTGGAGGGGGCCGCGTGTTAAGCTAAGCGGGTTCGATGCCCGCCTCATGCACGTCATAGGAGTGGACGTCTCCGCCATCATGCACGAATTTCTGTTGCCGCTGCTCTGGGAGTTGTACGTGGCGCTGGAAGGGGAATGCAGCGTGCGCGGAATCCCGCAGGCTCAAAACCGCCCGGCCCCTGTCCCCGGCCCGCCTTTCCGAGGCAGGTGCCACAAGTACTGCTCCATTGTATCATCACGCTGTCCCATCAGCCGGGCGCGCAAGTTGATGTGCAACAGGCGCACTATAGGCAACGAGAATCTGAAGGAACTGCGTGAGGTAAGTATATTATGCTGCGTTATGTTCAGTGGCTTGCAGATTTGCGGGGTAGGGCTGCACGCCGCCGCCTCCTGGGAACGCGCCTTGTCATGTGCGCAGAAGGCGTTCACGAAGTAGATGTCTTCTCTACTGAGGATTCTTTCGCCGCTTCGAGCTCGGACTCCTCCCACGTGCAAATGCTGTCGTTGTTATCCTTGGGGAGCACATATTCCGCTTCCACAAGAGCCTTCAGCGGGTCGTCTTCGGGCCGCGCCTCCCCGCGGTCGACTTTCTGCATGAACTCGAATGCCATCTTATAAAGTTCTTGTGGGTAGTGGCGCATGCGGTGCCTGGGATCGTCAGGCGAGTACTCCACCGGCTTTACGTAGAATCGCGCAGCAGGCACCTCGTCCTCAACCGAATAGCGTGCATACGGTTTGTTGAGAGGGTCGACGGTCCACATGGTTTTCATCTCCTCCATCGGCGTCAGGTGACTTATGAGCTTGCCTTCCCGCCTCGTGTATGCCTTGCTGAGATCGGGCCAAGTGAGTGCAGCTCCCTTCCTGACGTAGTCCAATATAACCTCGTTCCTGATGAGACCGCGCTTTATCATGTCGTCACTGAGGGTGCGCCGCCGGTCCAGCCTGCTTGGCGCCTTCCCCAGGAGCATGAATCGCTCCTCTTCGTTTTTGTACATGAGGTAGCACTCGCTTTTCTTTATCCAAAATCCGGCGACGGCCTCGGGCCTGTTCTTCGGTAGCCTGTTCGTGTCTTCCGCCCCAACGCCCGTTTGGATCTTGCTGTCCTCCCCCCTCTGGTCGTACTTTACGTTGTCGTCACCAGGCGGGCATTCGAAAAAGTCGCCAGCTGGCAGGGAGACGTACACGTAGTCCTTAAGCAGGTCGGCGAAGAACGGCGTGTCTAGTTCTACGGGAGCATTCTCGGACAGCAACCTGTTGATTGCATCAGTTGATAGCACCACACCTGGCAGCGTCTGGGCGGACCCAGGCACTTCTGATTTATCGGGCCGGCCAACAACATACATACGGCCTTGAGTAATGGCGCCCATCCCAGATACCATAGATCCATTTATGCGCTGGTGAGTTGGGGCATCTTCGTCAGTAACTTTCACTCGGGGTGAGGGCATGTCAACAGCAAGTGTACCATCACGCTCAAACGGTACAGCCCCGAGTTTAACCTGATCCTCAAACGTGGGTCTGGTTGCGGCGATATGCTTAGACGAGACGTTGGACGCCTTGAAAGATTCAGATACTGTCCGCCTTATGGTAATCCGCAGCCGACCCGGCCAAGACGTCTGTGCATGGTCGGTTTCAGTCTCCCCTGTCTTTGGTGAGGTCGGATCAGTAGCATCATCCTCTTGATTCCCGGAACTCTCATCACTAACATTTTCCACGCCGACGGATTCGCCCGCGGCCAGTTCACGATAGAGTTTTGACGATCGAGGTATAACCTTTGGCAGGGCCAACACATGGCCCCAACCATCCGACATGCGTTTGCGCAAAACATCCACGGGATCCCGCTCAACAATGGCGTATTCCTGCTTCACTGGCATCAAAGATGTCTCCATGGGCAGCGGCGCCACGTAGTTACAGTTACGGCCGTAGAAGCCTACCTCGTACGCCTTCGCCACGAAGAGGCTTTCGTAGCAGCCGGCGCGCGTGTACGGCGAACGCCTCGCCCAGTCGAACGCATCGTCAGAGTCGAACTGGTTAATGATGCTGAGGTCACCGATAGGCAACGACTTGTTCTTAGTGTTGCATGCGTCCCTCACATTGTTCAACCGGTCCAGCAGCCTGTCACGTTGCTGGGTGGTTATGGGCAAAAACTGCTGCAGCGGCATGCTCAGGTCGACCATCGCGTCCTTCCTGGGGGCATGCAACATAACGTGCGTGTTGACGCAGTTTGACCGCACGATGAAGCGCATCATCTTGTCTCGGAGCAGCTCGTGGTCATCACGGTTTTCGTAGGAACCCAAGACAAGGTACTGCCGCGGGTTCTCCCGGTTGGGATCGCGCTTCTTGAATATCTGGTACTTCAGCACGTCGTCCACTTCGAACAGCAACAGCTGCTGGTACAGGTTGCACCTGGCCATGGGGTCCGAGCACGCGAGGTCCACTGCATGGTGTAACGTCGGTGCCGTGAGGAAGAACAAAACACCCACAGATGTCTCAACGGGCTCCTCCTCAGGGGGCTTTGGGCGCACCAAGATGGTTGACCGGCGTGCCGAGAAAACTTCCTGCTTGAAGTTTTTACGCACCCGCAACTTGTACATCCTCAGCACCTTAGCCGTGGACCGCAACATGGTCGTGGAGAGTCGAGCCCACAACGCTTGAGACATCACCATCTCGCTCACAACGGTTTCGAAATGTTTGTAAGGCCACACGCCATCTTCTGCAAAGTGATGCCGATACAAGTCCTCATTGATGGTTTCGTGCTGGCGAGGTGACCTCGGCCCCAAATGTGACATGTCGCCTTTCTTCCCACGGAAATGTTCGCCTTGCTCAATAGGGTGCTTTGAATGCAACATGGTGTTGTTGGGCATCACGGCGTCCCTCCCGGAGAGCATGCGCAGCGTCAGCGGAGAGTTGTACAGCCCGCTGGCGAGCCGGCCCATGGGATCGCCGTCCGTCAATCGGTAGCCTGACCAAAGGACTGCCGGGTCACTGATACCAGTGGCAGTGTGATACAAGCCAAGCGCGGCAAACGTGCGCCAACCCAATGGCACGGAAGGGCGCTCCTTGCTTCCTTCCGTTGGGGGCATATCCGGGGGTAACTGGAGTTTTGGCGGTTCGGGTGTGCGCGGAGATATCTCAGTCCCATTGCGCACATAATTGAACTCTGGTTGGTATCTGAAGAATGCCTTAATGTGCCTCTTGCAGTAATACCCCTGGCATGTGGGATCGACCAGATCGTCAACATTTGAACCGTCGGTGACGTTTAGGCACTCTCTAGCCCTGCTAGCGGGCATAAAATCGGTGAGAGTGCGCAGCGCAGCGCGTTGCGGGAAGGTGCGCAGAAACGGATATCGCCACATTATGGCATTCTTGCTGCGCGGGTCCTGCATGAACTGGGTGAGGTCGCTGAACATAGTATCCGGAGTGGAATCGCCTGGATCTATCAGAGGAGGAGAATCTGAATCCGCTTCTTGCGGCCCAAACACGGCGCCATATTGCTTGACAACAGCGCCGCTTGTCTTCGACTCCACCGACAGGATCCCCCGACCTTTAGCGGACAGCCGCCTGAGGCTGCGGGTTCCTCCACGGAAGAATCTTCCAGTAGTGCTAAATCCATCTTTATGTGTTGCATCCGCCGTTTGCTGATAAGGAGGCCTGACAAACGCCGATGCGTCTGACTGTGTTCCATCCTGTTGAGCATGTGAAGCCGTAACATGGGAGCGCAGCGACGGCGTTTTCGACACACGCTCGATTGCATGTGATACAGGCAGCTTCAAGGCGACCTGGGTTGCGATATGATTGTGCGAACTATGGTCAGCATGGTCAAGCGATGCGTATCCCCTCCAATGCCGCCGTGCAGCGCCTCCGGAGACGATCAGTGCTAGGAAGACGCATCCTGAGCATCGCAGCAGCTGAAATATCAACGATTCCAGCCACATCGGCCAGTGTGTTCAGCTAGCGGCGCCGGCAGCGTAGGCTGAGGAAGAACGCTGCCGTCGAGAGCCATAGCTTCCAACGTGCTGCGCTTTCCGCCGGATTCCTACCGCATATCAGGCCTATTATGATGTACAATGTGAAATATGAAGGTAGTCTTCCGCTCCATTGGCGGCATAACTCCTCCGAGGTCCCCATAGACACATCGAGCGACAATGTGCTGGTTGCATTGGGTCAATCCGTCCATTAGCCAAATAATCATCAACACATTATACAGTTAATTGCAAATGTCTTCAAATCTGGCTACTGTGTACGTATTTGGCGGGATTTTGGCGCCGCTTACGGCGGCTGCTTCGTAGTTATCATAATAACCTTGTTTGATGCTGTCAATGTAGAATAGACGCTATGGTGAAAACTATAAAGTAGAAATGGTGGTGGAAGGAGTTTCGGCTGCCGAATACCTCGGTAAGTCCCTGCTTCCTCTGTCTATGATCATCGCTCTTCAGGCCAAGTGCGTGCTGCAGCAACGCGTAGGACCTCAGAGAAGCTCTACAAGCGTCTGGTGAGGCATGGGCGCGGTTACGAGGTTTTTCCGGGAGAGGATATACCGGGAAGTCGCATTCTGCTGGGCGAGCTGCTCCTCATCGGCTTCGTCGAGCAGTACAACTCTGGAGGCTCTACTGAAGACTTGATGGAACTGTTTCACAGCAGATGTCTTCACGAAATCTCTAAAACGGGGTATCTCTTGTCCTACGCGCAGCCTTACAACCGGCCGCCCATTATCGCATTCCAGAATCTGCAGATTTTAGGCAACAGACACATCCCGGGTGACTTGTCTCCGTGCTCACCTCAGGGCACAGCGTCACTGAATAGCGGATCTTCTAGCGGGATTCCGAGTCCTACTGGTTCGCTGAGCGTCGGCGAAGTCGACATCGACGCGTCGCTGAGCATGACCATAGGGGAGTTTCGGCACGATGAGGCGAACATGGGTCAATCGCCGATCACTATCGCAGAAGATGACATGAGCGATCCAGACATGGTGTCGACAATGGGATCTAATGTCCAACGACAAATAAGCAGCATCACATTCGGGGCTGACAGCGAGGAAATGTTCTACGGCCCGGCGCAATACGCCGAGTCGCCGCAAAGATTGCTGGAAACCATCGGCCATACATCAGCGCCTGCGCGTGTATGGGAGCGCAAAGTGGACGCAGGGCTTATGCAACGGAACTGCAGTGTGCTGTGGAGGTCTCGAATCGCATCCTTGTTTACCGTGGTGACCTCCCTTTCCAGCGCCACTCAAGTCTCCGGTTGTCCCCAGTGTGCACAGCTGCTGAAAGTCGTCAGTTCGTCATTTCCGTGGAGATTGAGCTTCCTGTTGTGGTGTATGAGACGCATCGATAACCTGGAGGCAGTGTACGGCCAAATGTTCCACGAACTGGTCTGGCTCTACCACAATGGCGACGCACTGATGGGCACCTATTACGGACAGGTGGCCAATAGCATTGGGTACAATGTGGACACGCCAGAGCTGGTCAAGACTGAGGCGAAGACTCTCGCCCACACCCTTGTAGGGTGGCTGTCGGACCAACGCATCCACAGGTTCATCGAGGCGTTTCCGAACATCAAGCTGCATAAGCTCCTGTTATCAGCCATCTTGAAGCTGGCGCCTGCCAGTGGCGCCAGGCACGTAGACCCGGTGCACCTAAAGTTGTTCAGAGGCGCCGCCGTATCGTTCATGTTGGGCTTTGGGATGCATGTACTTGAGGACATCTGCAACACTGGCCGCCTATCGTTCGACAAGTACACCACACAGGGAGTCCAGTTCTCCTACCGCCTGAATTTGCGACTGCGTCAACTTGGGTGCATGGTGGAGGAGTACGTCAACGTAGCAGCTCCTTATGCGCAGGCCAGAGATGGGTGGAAGGTCATCGCGCCCTTCTTGGGCAGCACCGGACTGTGCAGGTGGTTGCAGTCGATGAACTTCTTAACATGGTCTGGCGAAGGAGAGCGGATGCAATGCAGGTTGGCCATTGTGGTGCTCCACATGGTGGCGCTGAATCACCAACACCCATTTTTACGATCGGGGGACATCATGTTTCTGAGAAAATTCCACTGCTTGCCATGGGCTTCCGCACTGACCTTCTGCTGCAAGGACCCCGCCATCAACCACATGGTTGCTCCACTAACAAGCGCACTGGTGCAGTGCTTGGGCGAGGGGATGCTGCTCAACCTGGCGTCGGGTGACACTGTGATCAGCACCGTCAACGACGCGATGCTGAATGCCTCGGCGGGAGAGAAGGAGCTCCACGGATATTGCGCAATGAAGCTGGAATCGATTGTGTCTTCGAATCGCACGACGATGTACACGCTGTTGCGTGTATTGTGGCCAAAAATTATGAGCAAGACACTCGGTTATATCGTGAGGCGCATGGCGCTTCCCGCCATAATCTACTATTCGGCATCCCACCTGATGCGCCTCATATGGAATCAGCGCGATCCGCAGGAAGGGGTGAGTGTAGGGATTGTGCCAACCGACAAGACGCAGGAACGGTCCCCCAAACCAAACGGCGAAGCCGGCAAGCAAGCCTTGGGGGTCCGTTGGGCGATATGCCATTTGAACACGCTGTACTCTATCGAACCCACGCTCTTCGACTCGGCATTCTTGGACAGCATCATATACAACTACGTTGCGAATAGGAGCACGGTATCCATCCAAAGGATGCAAAAAGTGCTTATGCTGTTCCATATCGATGCAAGTGCTGCTGATATACAGAACGAGATCTCGTCCAACTACATCGCACTGCACCAAAACCCCATCAACGTGCTCTTGCGCATGCCTGGCAAAGCTGTTCTGAACTCGTTCGTGCTCAGGGCGTTCCCCAATCTGCTGCTACAGCTCTTCCACAGCCTCTACAAGTATGTCTGTTACGGATTCTCCAGTTTCAACGTGGGCGGGAATTCTCAGCTGGAGCCTGCGCATATAAACTCCCTACAGGTTGGGCTTATTATGAGGATGAAGTGTATATGTAATTGCAGGAAGCAGCGGCACTCAATGTGATTCTGGACCTTCTGCCCGAAACTATGCCTCGTGCGGTTGAAATCAACATCTCAAGCTTTTTGTCGATGCTGAGTTCAAAGGCGACCTTCACCGACGAAACAATCTCCGCCAGTGGCCTCCCTCCGAACAAGATTCTGTCGTGGATAAATCTCGGTGTGCCGGAGGAGAGATCTTTAGAGAAGGTTGCGGAGCGGTTCAAAGTTGCGGTGCACAACCTCCTCAAATCTACCAAGGTGCACCCTGCTGGGTGGGTGGCGCCACCTTATACGCTTGACATTGACGCAGATCGGTGGGGCGTGTCACCATCATCCCTCCTAAAGACGGGCAACGCACGTGCCTCGAGCCGTACAGCGCGGGGGATGTGGCGACCTATCACCTGTACACCGTGCTACTACAGGTGATGGATATGCCGGAACTTTCTAAGGTGTGTGGTCTGTTTTGCTTCGTTTAAACGCTTGTAGACACCGGGTAATATCGCAGAAGATACCAACGCACAGCGATTTGTGCGGGTTATCGACATATATTGGCGCTGCCTACAGAAGGCCAGCATGCGCAACTCCGTGCTGGAGTTCATCAAGAGTTCCATATCAATCGTTCTTCGCCTGCACTATCTCTGCCCCTGGATGGTAAACAAGTCTACAGGTGAGTGACTGCGTTGCGGAAGGAGCAGCGATGTCGTGCTGTTCCGCGCATGGGCGCTACGCACGGTATTGATGCAGTGTCGTGTATTTTAGTTGTAATATTGATCTGTGGCCGACCATATTAGTTCATGGCTATCACTTATTCGTGCTTTATATCACGAAACGTGCTGATTATGCGCAGAGAAATTGCAAACATGGATACACTCCGACCGCGGTGGAGAGCCGGAGTTGCAGGAGTTCACGAGGTAAGATTCACGCACAGCACGAAGAACTCATCGTGTGAACGAATACACATCGATACAGAACGGTAATAAACAGCCTGCGCCAAATATACGACGACATCGCGGAACTGCAAAAGCTAGACGAGTTCAACTGACGCGGTAAAGTGGGAAGCTACCAAGCACGTGACCCGCAACTGTGTGTTACTGAATCATATATAAATCAGATTAGTCTTCCGTTTGGTTGGTATGATCATTTGGCTATACCCTGCCCCTCCGTATGCCATCCAATAACCGTACGGCCGCTCCGTGCATAAAGACGAATCATGTCACACACTCAAAGCATTTATATAGCATACGATTAACCGCGCTCATTGCGGGGAAATTGTCGGGTCTGAATGGGATACGATATTTGTGCAGCACCGGTATTCACCGGACGTCGAAAAGTCAATGCAACATCTGTGGCTGTTAAAATTACTGCAATGTGTAATTGTTAATACAAACACACCGCGTATATGTATGCGATTTGTCGAGCAAATTGGCTGTCTATAAATCGCGTGTATGTGAATGCGTAACACACTCCGTGATACGTCCTTCTGTTATGTGTGTTAGAAGAGAGGGCACAAGCGGCTTCTATCCGCCCCGTGGATGTTCACATAAGCTGCAGTGGTAGTGTACCATTGAAAACGCAACATGATGGCTTGTAACCCCAGGAATCACGGCTTGAAACTAGCCGACCTTCCAGCACCGAGACATATCAAAGAATAAACATCGCAAATTCAAGCTTCCGCATATATCGACCACAATGGGGGGTACGCTAGAGTTCCAGGATACGGTGGCGGTGCCATTTGGTCCCTCGGAGGAGCCTTGTAGCGCTGGCATATCGCAAAATGGGTGTCAAACCGATACGGTACCTACTTACGATGACAAGGGCATCATGAACTTTATATTGTTGAAGTGGGTAGTATTCTGGGCGAATAAACTTAAGGTCACCTATTTCAAACTGTCGATGCTGCCGCAACTTCCTAAGGCCGACCAGATTTCGTACTGGCAGCCCATCTTTTCTAAGCACATCAGTGATGGATTGCTCAGGTTAGAGAAGTCAAAGGCAGAAGCGGCGTTCGCTGGGGACGAGGCCAATCCAACTAAAGCACCTCGCCACCTACTTATGCGTGCAATTCTATTAACATTCTGGAGGCGCATCGTGCTCCTTTCGTTTTTGGCAGTGCTTGACAGCGTTTTAAACATCGGGGTGGCAATGATCCTAAAGTTTCTGCTTGATACGATGAAAAAGAAGGACCAGCTGGCGATCAACGTTATAGCCATGCTTTTTCTAATCATAATAGTGGAAGTGGTCCATTCGATTGTCCAGCAGCATAAGAACTTTTACAATCGTCGGACCGAAATCATTATGGAGGCGGTTATGTCCATCACACTGTTCCAGCACGGTTTGTGTCATCGCAAGGATTACTGCATTGCAGTAGAGGAGAATTGCCGCCTAAATGGCTGCAAGGATGCTGTGCATTCCTGCAAGGCCGGGTCCAACTTATGTTCACCTAACCCGCTTATGTGTCCGGCCAGGAGACACAAAAATGCGGAGTTGCCGCCTAGCATGTACACCTTTCTTTACTTCGATACCTGCAATATGGCATCCTTAACAAATGTCATCACCAGCGTTATCAGGTTCCTCTGCAGCTTCGTATTTGGGATGGTAATTATAAGATCGCAGATTGGCGTCGACATACTCTACCCTGCAATGGCCATGCTTGCACTGACAATTATCATGGTTGGCATAGAGTTTATGAACGGATATGTGCTGAAGCATTTGCTGACATGCAGGGATGTGAGACTGGCTAAGATGAGCGAAGTGATGGGGAGTTTGGACGTTATTCAGACGTCTGGAATGGAGGATATTGGATACAGAGTTGTGAATGACAGCAGACAGGACGAGATCTGTTTGCTTAAGCATCGTGTCTTCCTTTCGCTCATCAACAAGGCCATAATGAACAGTGTTGGCGTCATTGTGAAACTCATCGTTTTGCTCGAATTTATTAGTCTCGTCAAACGTGCTGCTGATCAACGCAATTTTGACTTAGCCGCCCCAATTACCTTGCTGTTCGTAGTTACCAAGATCACAACGTCCCTGACAAAGCTCCCCACCACGCTGAAGTTTTTGATCGAGACGCGCACATCCTACAGGAGGCTCTCAGACTTCATAGTGGCATGTTCCCCGAATTACTATTTAAAAGTGCAAGACGTGCCCGAAAGGTCTTCCACATCTTTGGATCTTATGAACAAACCAACAAGCCTCCTTTCCAACAACCATTTAGTAGTTTACAAGAACGCCAGCTTCGCATGGTTCCAGACCATCGAAGAGAGTTTGGAAGAGGTGCCGATTAGGTCTCCCACATTGAATGGCATTAACTTTGAGCTTAAGCGTGGCGAGATCAAGATAATTACGGGTAACCAGGGTTGCGGTAAGACGAGCTTCATCAAAGCGATTCTTGGTGATATGAGTCTGGTGTCTGGAAGCATGGCAGTCGCGCCACTGTCCACTGGGATGCCCATCTTCTACACGTCGCAGGAGGTGTGGCTGCCCAGCGGAAGCATCCGTTCGATCATCACGTTCGGGTACGCCTTCGACGAGGACATCTACAAACGGGTGACTTCGGCAGTCGAACTCGAGTCTGACTTCGCCTCGTGGGAGGACGGTGACATGCGTGTGATATCCGAGAAGGGCTATTCCTTGAGTGGCGGTCAGCGTGTGAGGCTGAGCCTGGCTCGTGCGTTGTACGCTTACTTGGTCTTCAGCAAGGCCAACGAACGCCTGGTCGGGGATCGGTGCTGTTTCTTGGTCTGCCTGGACGAGCCTTTCAATGGTTTGGACCCGACTGTCGCAGGCTCCATATTCAACAACCTCTTCAACAAGGACACGGGGCTGCTGGTCGGGGACGACGTTGCCGTGGTCATGGCGATGTCACCCGCGCATCTCGATTTGTTGTCGACTTCGCTTATGTCCAATAATGTAGCTTGTATGGAAGTATTGAACATTGGTGATGGTTCTATACACCCACCCACGGGATGCAACAAGCCGTCGAACGACGATTCGCTTTCCTCTCAGCGCAATAAAGGTTTCACAACGGATGTTGCTTTCAAGCGTGCTTCGACTTTAACTCGTATGCCGCGAAATATCTACAAGGGTTGCGAGATTGGAGAGTTTTCGACCATGAGTGTAGGGTATATGTCTTGCGGAAAGCAGACCTCCATCAGCAACACGGTCGATGAGGCAAGTGAGCAGAATAAGCGTTGTTCTACTTCATCAGGTTATTTGAGATACTTGGAGGCTGTGGGATATAAAACATGCTTCTCCATAATCGCACTGCTTGTGGCCAGCATAGTTATGCAGAAAATAAATGCCATTTACATTGCGCGTTGGTCTGACACTGTTAGGGACCTCGGAGGTTGTGACCGGGACAGTAATGCTGATATGGATGTGATATTGGCAGCGCATGAGTATGAGGCGGTTTTGGTGAAGTTATTTTCTGCTCTTTACTTATCCTTCTTGTTCGCTGCTTTCCTCCTCATGGTTGTTGGCAGTTTGAGATGCTCTTCGCGGCTCTTTGCATTCGCATTAAATTCGATTTTTCATAAGACGTCTTCAGTTATTGCACTTAAGAAGTCAATTGGTGGTGTCATTACAATGTTCTCATCCGACTTCGTCCACATCGACGAGAAATTTTGCAAACAAGTGAGCAGCACGCTTCTGGGATTGATCCGTATAATAGCCCAAGCTGTTACAATGTCCTACACGATACCCTTGGCTTCACCTGTGCCGATCATTCTTGTTTCGGGTCTCTATTTCTATATTATCCGCCGCTATTTCATTCCGGCGAAGAAATTGGAGTGTCTGATGCTAGATGCAACATCGAACATCAATGAGTTGTACACCAGTACAATTACAGGGTCATCACTTTACCGCAGTTATCGGAAGGAAAGTCAATGCATCGATACGATTACGACACAGTCAGAGTATTTTTATAGGTCGAAGTTCCTGAAACTTGCATTGAACGTATGGGCAGCGGTGGCCGCCAAAATGATGACGTGTTGTAGTGCGGGTGTTATGTTTTTCATTTCCATCATTTGTCATTATGCATTCGGTATGGACTTGCGTATTGCTCAGGTCGGTCTTGGAATATCGTTGACTTTGGGGTTTAACGACTCCCTATCTATGGTCATATACAACATCGCGGTCGTTGAAAGGCAAATGTGCTCATTGGCGCGTTATAAAGGTTACTTTTTCCAGGGCAAATCTACATTCAAAGACAAATTCGAATCGATGGGAGAAAGCGTTTTATCTGAATATTGTGGGATAGGAAAGACCGAAAATGGCAAAATCCGCTTAGCTGATTTGGAGAAGAGACGATCTGAAGAATATCTCAACCTTAACTTCAGAAATTATATTTCACTTTGGGATCGTCAATTTCACAGCAGCAAAATCGAATTGTTGGATGCTTCGCTATATGTGCCTCCTCGTCACACAGCCCTCGAACTGCACAACGTCAAGGTACCCGAACCCACCCAGGAATTCAATGCCAACAAGAATTACATTTTGAAGGGCGTGACTGCGAGCACGCGTGCGGGCGACGTGGTTGGTATTGTGGGCCGTACTGGTGCCGGCAAGAGTACGCTGTTGAGTGTGCTGCAAAACATAGCAGCGGGAAGGGAAGGTTCCGTGCTGCTTGACGGCCGGGAGCTAAACACTATCCCACGCAAGGTGCTGCGTCACATTATCGGCGTGCTGCCGCAGATGCCGTTCGTGTTCAAGGGTTGGACCCTACGTCGTTTCCTCGATCCCCGTATGTTGCACTCCGACGACGAGATCATGCACGCGTTGGAGTGCTGCGGCCTGATGGATCTCGTCCAGTCGCTGCCCGGGGCCAATCCGCTGGACACTGTCCTAGTGCACGAGGACATAACGGTGCAAAGGGGCTATTACGTTATAATCCCCCTCATACGCCTCAAGGGTGGACAGACTGCAACCACCACCGACGACGCCGAGAGGGACGTGTCCACCGAGCGTCCAGATGGCAACGTGACGTGCTTCTCGATGAGCCAGCTGCGTTCGTTATCCTTTGCTCATCTGGTGCTGTATCGCATGACTTATCGCATTTTGCTGATCGACGAGCCGCCCTCCGACAACTGCGCGGGTCAAGACGAGGCGGACCAGGGCACTGCGAGCCCGTCTGGCGCGGAGTCATCTTCGGACGCGTCAGTGCCCATCTACGACCTGGTGAAGATGTTCTTCAGCCACTGCACGACGTTCATCGTGGCGCACGACAAGAACGTGCTGCGGTCGTGCACTTCGGTGTGGGTGATGCAGGGCGGCACGCTTGTCGAACGCTGCTCCACACAACAGTTCATGGACAGGGGGATGGCTCATCTCACCTGATGCTGTGGTCAGAACCATGTGCTGTGCACCAACAGAAGTCAATTATCCTTTCTTATTTCTCTATGACTATTATATTGTGTTGTTGCGTGTCGTTATGGATGGTATGTGTACAAAGGGAAGATTTGGTGACCTAGATAAAGCGCATCTTTATAGGAGATTACTAGAAATAGGCCAGATAAGAAGGCAATCAGAAATCACACCGCAATATCTCACCAATATTATTTTGGTACATGAATACCACATAGACTAGATGAGGCTATAAGAAATCATTTTACATACACCAACGCTGCAAACGCTAACTAAACGACGATCAGGCATGCTGCATTACTTATTCCGTTGTTGTTAGGTGACTGGGTGACGGAGCGCGGTGAGCAGTGAAACAGGGGAGGTGAGTGAGTGAGATTACATTAGCGGTGAGTTGGGTGAGTAGGTGAGTTAGGTGAGCGCCGTGATAATGATGATGACAACAGTCACGGTGAGAAGTACTTGATGTTGGCGAGCGCCTTGACGCGTGCGGCGGCGAGCAGTGACTGTGCGGCGATCCTGTGGTTTGAGGGTGATCTCAGGTGGGAGCGTATCCTCAGGACGTCGAGGCGGACGACGGTGATGTGCAGCAGGTACAGCAAAGAGAGGGACCAGAGGGCTACGAGAGGTAAGTGAAGAAGTTGAGAAATGTTGAAGGATTATTTTAGGCACATTTTTAGGGCGATTTGGGGGAATTTGGGGAAAGGCGATTTTAGGTCAAGGAGACAGTGAGGGAGGTGGGTGAAGGCAGGGAGCGAAGCGACCAGTGGAAGAGGGAGGTGAGTGAGTGAGTAGGTGAGTGAGTAGGTGAGTGAGTAGGTGGGTGAGTGGTTGAGTGAGTGGTTGAGTGTGTGAGTGATTAGGTGAGTGAGTGGGTGGTTGAGTGGTTGAGTGGGTGGTTGAGTGAGTGAGTGGTTGAGTGGGTGAGTGGGTGAGTGAGTGGGTGGTTGAGTGGTTGAGTGAGTGGTTGAGTGTGTGAGTGATTAGGTGAGTGAGTGGGTGGTTGAGTGGGTGGTTGAGTGGTTGAGTGAGTGGGTGGGTGGTTGAGTGGTTGAGTGGTTGAGTGGGTGATACACAGATCACACGTGAAGGCACGATTATGGTGAGAAGTACTTGACGCTGGCGAGTGCCTTGACGCGTGCGGCGGCGAGCAGTGACTGTGCGGCGATCCTGTGACTTGAGGGTGTTTTTAAGTGGGAGCGTATCCTCAGGACGTCCAGGCGGTAGAGGAGTGAGTGGGCGATGAGCCAGAGCGTGATGATGGTGAAGAGGAAGGGGGCACGGATGCGGTAGAGGAATGCGTCCATACAGGTCATAAGCGTTGCGATAGGCCCACCTGCAACCACCTCCTCCAGCTTGACGATGACCTTCGAACACGTGAGTGAGGACTGCAGTGTCCCGTCCGGCGGTGCGATGCCGTGACGGTAGAGGAGGGGCAGGGCCCTGTCACACTGGTGGAGGGGCTTGGACTTGGAACACTGAAGGCCCTCGAGATCATATAGCAGCATGAGAAGGGAGTCCCAGAGTCTGTCTGCCAGGTACACCGCCCAGCTGAGGTAGTCGTGGACGAAGCTGGAAGAGTACAGGGCGTAGGCACGGTAGGTGATGGGCTTCGTGAGTTGTGGGCAGTTGGCGTTATCGATGCCGCAGCCGAGCAGTGTGGACAGAGTCCTGGGATGGTCCTTGTCGTGGATGGAGTTGGGAGGGGCGGAGCCCCGGATGTCCTGGACGGCTTGGAGGTAGGCGGCCTGGAGACGGTCCCAGTCGGGGCAGTGGCGATGTGGAGTGGAGAGGGTGGAGCGCAGTGAAGATGATGACTGCAGTGAATTCCCGAAATTGTGGAAGAACGAGACAAGCTCCCCGGTGGTGCGCGGCGTCCGCCTGGTGAGGCAGTTGAGGTAAGAGCACAGTGTCAGCAAGGGATCCTCGCCGCCGCAGGTGGGAGAGAGGATGGTGGAAATATGTTTGCCAGTTTTGTGAGATGCAGGCAAATCATTCTCCCTGAATCCCATCCTGACGCGGCTCTTGAGACAGATGTCACACGGGTCGAAGGGGTGAGTGTCGAACTTGGAGTCGGGGGCGTCAGTCAGGAAGGCCTGGAGGGGGGAGTCAGAGGAGACAGCACTGCCGTAATGACAATCCTGCCAACCACCATGCGACTGCTCCCGAGAACACTGCGACTTTAGGAACGCCAACTGGTGGCAGCAGGCGTAGGCGTAGTCCCGCAGCTGGCAGAGGAGACAGGCGGGGTCGGCGGAATAACGAAACTTGGAATATTCTGAGCTGAAGTTTAGAGTTGACGATCCATCTTTGGAGTCCTTATACTTAATCTTGTGGAGAAAGTTTGCAGCGTAGTGGCATGCCTCGGTCAGTTTGGAGGTGACATGGGAAGTGGTAAGTTGAGAGGGCATCCCGGTGACCTCGAGGGCATCTGGAGGCTGTGAGACATCCTTGTTAAGCTCCCTCAAAATGCCTTTAACATGCTCCTTAATAATCTCAACATACCCATATTGAGTCAATCCAACCAGCCAGCAGAGCATTTCCCTGACGGTCTTGGGAGGCGGCAGATGGTGCGAGGCTGGGGGCGGGGAGGGGGTTGGTTGATCAAGATTGTCTGAGGAAGAGGAAACGTACCAGGGGTTGCGGCAGACGCCAGCGTCAGGGAACAGTGGAATGCTCCGGGCGGACACCACCCTGTCAGGCTCACGCGGCATCCCAGGATCTGTATACCCTTGAAGTCCAGGGAGGCCCGGTGCAAAGTCCAGATCGAAATTTGTATTCGGAACGCCCGAAAAGCCTTTGTCCTCCCCATACCAGGACTCCGCATTTTTCAACTCGTCCCGCAGGATATCCTCCGCGTTGGAGTAAAGGTATTCATCAGGATTATCGACAAGGTCTTGAACAATGGGCTTGCGGACATCAATGTGGAGGTCGACATAATCTTGTTTGGCATCAGATTGGCGATCAATTTTTTCGAATACCAGTCCATCGTCTTTCACGTCAGAATACGGATCTATGCCTATAAGTGCGCTCTCCACTGCGTCTGGATGCGGTTGTACAACTTCGATGTCCCAGTCGTATTGGTCACCAGTTGGCGGCGGCACTGGGTCATCTGTCTCAGGAGGCGGCGAATCAATGACTGATCCTGACAGTGACAAAGCTTTGGGTGCTAACGGGTCCGGATACTCCGGATACGGAAGTGGCATCGACGTATGTATGTAAGGTACGACGACGTGGCCAAGGTCGTCGTCCCGTAATTCCTGAAGTATCCAGGTGTCCTTAAGTTGTTTCGATACATTTTGCTTAGCTTCTTCAAGATTTCTCTCGAATTTCTCTTGCTCCTTTTTTGCAGTCCACTCTACTAATTGCTTCGGATAATTCCAATCATTTCTATACCTTTGCTCCCACCATAGGCCGGGATCATACAAAGATTCATTGGAGACGTCGACGCCATCAAGGCCCATAGTGGCTGAAGACTCAACAGCAGTAGGGATCTGATGAAATGTTTTAGGATAGTAATACTGTAAATATTGCTGACGTCTCCGTTCCTCCTCCTCTTCCGCCTTTTTAAGGACGTCTGCTTCTTGTTTTCTGAGTTTCTCCAGAAAGCCAGGAGAAAGGTTGGGGCCATATGATTTGGTTGGGGCGGGATTCTGAGGAATTCGAAGGCACACTTCATTACCAATGGAATCTTTCACTGAATATTCATCTGATCTGCACTGTTTTTTACTAACATTTGGAACGGATTGAGGAACAACCTTATCTCCTGACCCACTCCTACCCCCACCTGCACCAGCCGCCGTGCCATCCGACGTAGTAGTGACGCTGCTTGGGGTTTGACTGGAGCCTGGAATTGTTGGTTGACCACCACCGTGGACACCGCCTTGCCCACCCCCTCCACTGCCAGTTGGCCCAGCGCCTGACCCTGAAACACCCGTACGCTGAGTAAGCACAGTGACTTTAGGGCTGCCAGGCCGTGGACCTGCAGCATCACCGGCGGTAGCTGGAGGAGGGGAAGGAACTGGCGATGCTACAGAGTCTTGAGGTGGAGCTTTAACCGACGTAGTAACTGGTGAACTTGTGTCCTGAGGAGACCCCGGAGTCACTGTAACAGGAAGTCCTGGAGCTCCCGGATCACCACTAGGCCCTTGCGGGCCTGCATCTCCTGTACCAACGGGAGGCGGAGGTGGAGCAAGCTTTGCAGTTGGTGAAGTTGGAGACGCATCTCTACTTTGACCATTGCCTTGGTTCTGTGCTCCCTCACCATCCTTAGTGGCAGTCGGTTTGGGGGCCTCAGTTTTAGTGAGAACAGGCCTTGCGGCCACGGGTTTTGTGGCTTCTGTTTTGGTGACAGGCGGGGGATCGGGACATGATTTTCTTTTACCTTCTAAAATTTCTTTAAGCCTATCTAAATCGCCGTCAGTTTTCTCAAACACGCCGATCACCTCACGCCAATCACTTCTTAAATTCTGCACAGCATTCTGCTTCATGTCAAAGCGAGTCTTATTAAAAATCGTAAAACCGTACGGGAAGAGATTTTTTGTGAAGTATGCGCCAAGATGGCCGTTTAGAGTGTTATCTGTTTTAATTTTATTCAAATGTCCCCGCACTGTCGTCAGATTTTGTCTAAGCCAATCCGCTGTCTTGCTTGCAAGATCCGTCCCTTTTAAGTTTCTCGTGTCCGTCGCCTGTCCGGTGAAGTCAAAGTGTTTTTCGGCGAACAATTTTTTTCCCAATTTATTTCTAAGCTGAGTGCAATGTTGTTTTAGGTCTTGCCAGCATATGAAGTTATTTTTTGAACTCATAAGTCTGTTTAAACCGTCATTCAATGCTTTTATTAAAGTACCGCCGCTATGTTGGTCACTTTCTCCTGCCACAATATCGCAAAAGGTCCTGACCAATGAGAGAGCGTTCGCGGTGCTCTCTTTACGTTTGGCTGATTCTCCAATAACGGAACTGACGAACACGCTGCGGAAATAATTGTAGTGTTGTTTGCTCAAAATGTCTTGTAGGTCCCTAGCCATTTGAGCACCCTGGTAGTAACCTTCCCAAAATTTATTATATTTCACCTCTTGGTAACCGAACCCCCCAGGTACCATGCCGCCGTATTTATCGCCAACTGTTGCTCTGAGATATTCCTGCAGTTCACCGCCCCAATAGGTTCCCCACCATTCCTTCTCTCCCCCAGGCCAGTCCTTTTCCCACCCACCGCCTTGCAGCTTTCCGAAGGTATTGTCCACATTGTACCACAAAAAGTACATAACGGCTAGGAATTTGGGCATACACTCTAGAAGGGCGTCCACAATCTCTTTCGGTTGTTTACCGTCATATTTCCCCGGCGTAGTGTAGTAGCACAATCTCGTATAAAACGCAGATGCGTTCATCAGGAATTCAGACAGTGCGGATTGTATGTCAGTCTCTTTAAGATACTTGTCATTATAATATTGATTGATACGGTCATATAAATTTCGAGACACCAGGCCTTGCATTCGATTAGAATTGTTCAACCACATCAAGAACTGCAGACACTGCTTGAGAGTGTTAAGCGGAATGTCATGCTTCTCCATCTTGCTTACAACGGCACCCAGCACAGAGACACTAATAAATGAGCGCTAGGCTAATGGTACAAAAGTACCTGTGAAAGCATTGAAATGCTTAACTTGGAGACACTAAAGCGATAATACCTCCAAGGTTACATCACTGCTTCCAGTTTACCAAGACACTACCAACTTGCTTGCAGCTATATAATTGCGATATCAAGTTGATACTCACATTTCCTGTTTTATAGGGTTGTGCGTAGATATCCTTAACCAAGTTCATCGGTATTGCGATATTGTCATCATCCTCACTGATCCACCTATCCAACTCCACAACGTGGCCTGCCGGCGTCTTACTAACTTGCTCAAGCTGAGGTAAGAGGTTACCAACCAAGGCTTCAATGTGCCGAGGAACAAAGTAACATCGTTGCGAATTAGTGAGTTGATGTTGTGTATAAGGTTGTTGAGAGCTTGCTTGATAAAGGCGTCAAACCTGGAGGCTGGCTGGCGACGGCAGGAGTGAGGGGAGTGGTGTGACATGTGGTCAAAAAGGTGAGAATGGAAGTTAGCTGCGTTACGAATTGATGAGCTAGGGGATTGGTTTCTAGGCGTTTTGCTTTTAATGTTTACAGGAACCAGATGATGTGGGTTGTGGACGGACGAGATTCAGAGGGGGACGATGGTAGTAGCAAAATTAGAAAATGTTTTTGAGTCAACTCCCCAAGGTGTACGTCAAAATATGAGGAGCCGATGGACTCTAGTAAGATGACTTTGGATGTGACGCGGCTAAGGTATGCTATCTGGAATGGCTGTGGGTGACAGCATGGTTATGTGGAACAACACCGACAAATTAATGAAATACGTGGCACATTAATTTTGCGAGTATAAGCCACGTTGCTGACACGATCACATGACACTCAACTACAATCAGCCTCTAAGCTACAACGACCACCACAAGTAAACCACCACGCAACACCTAACGCATCAATCTCGCAAAGGGGAAATATACATTAACAATAGCAGTTAATGCGACATTCAAATGGCATCTATTTCGATATGCCATTCAACGTGTGTTATATAAAACTACATCAGGCCCTTAAACGGGAAGGCGGAGTATTCATCAGTGTCGATCTCCTCGTGAATCCTTCCACCGGCAAGATTATTTGTGGATGTGCCTGAACTTCTACGCGAAGTAGCAAATGAAGCACGTAGTCCATAATACACCTTGCGGAATTGATTAGGATACTTGTGCCAGGCAACGATGATGGCCACTGCAATTAGAAGTATGGGGACTCCTATATAGCACCCGCGCCTAAATGCATCTTGGGAACATAGCCTGCCGCAGTTTTTGCACGGGAATCGACATTTTCGGCCGAGGTAGAAGTGTGCGTTGCCCTCTCCTTCGATAATGTCAAAAAGCTCGCCTTTCTCATTGTAATAGTAGCCGATGACGTTGCAGCTGCATGCGCAGACGCAGACGCATTTTCCGACTTCTCCGCTAGTGTTGCACACACAGTTGTGGTTACCGCCATGTCTGGCATTGAGGCATTTGATTCTGGGGCAACTGCCTTTACACGTGCATTCGCAGGGGCATTGTCCGCTGGGTTTTTTGGCGCCGGTAGTACCGTTGCATTTGCATTTGACTTCGGTGCAAGTGCCGGGCTTTACGGCACATTTTCCTTTGGGGCATTTGTCCTTGTCGTGTGTTTCCTCGCGATCGCAGCTTCCCTGACACTTAGAGTACGGATTACACCATTTGCAGCACTGACAATTCACGCCATCACAGTGGTCTCCACAGTTGCAGAGGAAACATAAACATCTTTCGCCCTTTTTTACGTTTTGGCATTTGTCCACGCAGCGTAGACATTTGCTTTGAGAGCACGGCTTCTTTCCTGTTCGTACCTCGTCTTCTTTCTGACATTCACAGCCACAATAATAACATTTACATATCTCTCCTTTGACGCAGTCCTTGCAGAACGGGCAATATGGGAGACAGCATGATTTGAACTTCTTACAGTTGGCATCACCACAAGGGTCGTTGTGGTCAGTGCAATAATTGTTGTCACACTCACACTTATTCTTCCACTTCTGCGCCTTCGGCTCCGCCATCTTATCCACTGACATAATTCACAGTCTTGCACATCATTGAACATCCTAGCGCAGCCTCTGGCGTCCCGGTGATATAGCGATACGGCACCTTAGCCGATGCCCCTAACATGTTGCCTACCGGCTGCTCGTACGAGCACTAATGACAATATCGTTAAATGTATATGGCATATTATTTAACGTACCGCTTTCGCGGCCGCGCCTGGAGCCCCGGAATCGTAGCGTCGGCTGGGCGCTCGATCCACTGCGTCATCGGGTATAATACAAAAGCATGCGCATGTGGATGTTCTAGCTAGTGCCAACCTTGTGCCTTACAAAGATTTCCAAGCCAAAATTATGCGACTATCGCTACCCGCAGTTTAGGTGGATTGTATTACTCTAACGTGAGTGCTTTGTCCGTGATTGTCGCGCATTGTACTCAATTCGCTGACATTTCCAATTACAGCTTCATAACAGCTGTCCACTTGGCCTTGCAAATTCTGCACTACTCTAACGGTTGCACGTAGCCTGCCTCCATTTGGCGGACGGAGGCTTCAGCATCGGCACGTCCCCTGAGATGGACTCTTGTTTACGCTAAATGTCGTTAGTCCTTCCGATGCTGTGTCACTGCTGTATGTCCAGTGCAGATATTATTTTACAGTTGCGACACAGCCATCACCATGAAACCTGCGCACTCCTCCGATATTTGCACGGCACCGGCGTCCTTACCTGCGTCTCAGCCAACCTCTCCGCCGCTTGCACGGCCCATGTGGTAGACTCAATATTTTTGGTTTTGCATGCCATCAATGTGTTTGATAGTTGTGGCAATGTTGTCGCACTGGCCGTTAAATGTTTCCTGCATCACCTGTATTTTCCTCTCGATTTGCTTTTCCACCTCAATGTGCTGCCTAGTGAGCTTATCACCCAGCTGCCTTACTGATTTTTTCACCCTGGTATCATTAACGGCGGCGCCAGTATTTGTCGACATATTCTTTGAATACCGTATTTTACACGATATCATTTCTCCATCATTTTGTCAATTCCACCCAAAGCTCTTCCTGCTTCCTCGGTCTCCTCAAGGTACCGACCACCAATCCCCTCCCGATCTCCCACCTGATCGGTCATTGACTTAGATAACATACTAACAGACATGTTACCATACCTCACGCTTGCAGCATCATTCAAGGGCGTTGTAACATTTTCACCATTCCTTTCCACACCCTGCAGCAAAGCTCTGACACCCTCACTGACGTGGACGATCGGCCTTGTACAATGTTCAGCATAAACCCTGACTCATCTTTTAATTCCATAATTTACCCGCCATCTCATCTAACATTGCTAGCACTACGTCCTTTTCATGAACCCCCACTTCGCCTACAACTCAATTATCTCGTTGGCTTGTCCATCACCCCTTTCATTGATGTCTCCATTCCCATACCAATAACGCTCTATGTGCTCCAAATATGGTCTCCACAGCCTTCATACTCCGCTTTTTTGCTCATTCAACATCTGCAGTACGGCCCAATCCAATTCACCGGATGCATGTTTCAGCGTCTGCTGCAAGCACCTCTGTGTAAAGGGCATGACAATCTTTGTAAAAATTTTCCGCATCTAGTAAATCTCATTTTACACTCCAGATAAAGTAATACGTGCCACGTGAGTGGCATTGTCAGCGCCGTTTGTGTCATCTGAAATTATAACTGTAGGTTGGAGACGGCCAAGACAAAGGGAGTGAGCAGTGTGACCTAACATGTGGCCACGACGGTGTGACTATATGTGAACTGCGCTATGAATACATTACATAAGGATTGTATTAGTGGCTATTAGTGAGCTATTTGTGCAAGTATTTGGAGGTGCTAGTGCCACACCACTGTGGAGGTCACGCATGGCTGACATACATCACCACAAAACACAGCACACAGAAACACATGTATATGTAACTGCTATATTGTTATCTGACGTCCAGTAACTCTAAAGGGCCGTCGTCGAAGTTGTCGACGTGGTAAAGTGATGGCACCTTCCTCTGCTTAGTGAGTAAGACCCTGACATCCCCTGCGGAGTCACGAATCGCCTTGCGTAGGTTCTCCATTTTTGTGTTCAGGTTTTGAAATGCCTCGTTTTTCAGCTTCTCAAGTTAATTCCTGATCTTGACGAGGCCATTGATATTGTTACCTTCACTCCACTCTGTATCACCTTTTTCAAGGCCATGCTCTCTCAGCTTCTGCAGCTTCACGGTGACTTCAGTGTTCAACTGCTGTCTGAGATCGTCAAGCTCCTTGGTGATCTGGTCGACGCCACCGCCGATTGCGCCGGGCTGTGTGGTCAACGTCTTTTGTTGACCTTGAAGTTCACTATTAATTTTTGCGAGGCCTTTATTATTATTACTGTTATTTGGTTTCCAATCTTTCTCAGTTAGTCCATTGCTCTGCAAATCCTCCAGTGACTTTATGACATCCTTGCCTGGCTTGGAGCCTTGCAACTCACCTTGAAGGGCAGTGAGTTCATCTGCAATTTGTTGCTTGGCTCCGTCTATGGTCTGGGGATGTGTTTTTAACGGATTGTCATGAAGGTCCTTAATTACATCATAAATTTTCAGGAGATTATCTTTATATTTATATCTCCCCGTCTTCCCAATCTTCCTCTGCAACGACCGCAATGTGTCAACCAGGTCTGTTGTATTAAAGATATTATTCAACCTGTATCCGAGAGTTCCGATTTCCATCACTATTGTCTTTATGGCCGCGGTAATTTCTCCGGGTTGCTTGGCCAATATAGCCAGTTGACCTTTAAGCTCATCTTGGATTTTACCGAGACCGCTGACTGTTTTACCATTCCAAGCACCCTTACCAAGGCCCTCGTTTTGTAAATCTTTCAATGTCAAAATAACATCTTCTTTTTGGCCTTTAGGATTTTGCAACTTCTCTCTAAGCTTTCCAAGCTGCGCCTTAATTGCTTTGACGGCTGTGTCGATTGCTTCGGGTCCGCTTCTAAAGTTGCCGGTTTGCAGAAGACTAATAGCTTTTGTGATTTGCTCAAGGCCTTTTTCAGCTGCGCCGTCCAACGTTCCTAGTTGAAGCCCATTTTGAAGTTCAGCTAAAAGATTTTTTACGCCTCTATCTCCCTTGCCAAGGATGCCATCAGCAGCAACCAATTTCCTGATTTCTCCAAGCTGTTTCGTAATTTCGGTGAACGGACCGATGAAAGTATCTTTATCAATTTGATTGGAACCGCCATTCTTTTCAATGATACTAAGCGCCGCTAGACCCACAGTCTTGATGTTACCGATCGCCAGTGGAAGTTGGCCTTCGCCTTGAATGCCTTCTAGCTGACCTTTCTTAAGATTCGGATTTTCTTGTTTAACGTGACCATTGTAGAGCGGAAAGCTTTTGTCAGTAATCTTGACTTTCTCAGCTATACCACCTGACGGACTTGGCGGATCATCCTGCCCAATGTGATCATTAAGCAGACCTTGAAGTTGTGGTTGGAGGCCATCATTTTGATCAGTGATCTTAGAGAACTGACCGCTGAAATTGGTCATCAGCTTCTTCATGTCACTGTCACTTACATCAGCACTGTTACTAATCTGCTCAGCCGCCGCTGTAATCGCCGTCCTGGCCGCAGCCCTGATCTGAGTTTCGGCGTTGGAGTTGAACTGGTCAACGGCTGGTCCAAGCTTTTCTACCTCTAGGGCGAGTGGTTGTTTGACTTGCGAATTAAATTTCCCTACAAGTCCAATAACCTCATCCCTCACTGCCTCCAACTTCTTGTCAACGGCTTGGGCTGTGCCAGCATCGGGGGTCGTAGGAAAGGGTTGGCCTGGTGGTGTTTTAGTTGCCGCTTGAAGTTCACCGTCAAGTTTCTTAGCAATAGGCGTAATATGGTCCAAGATGGCTGCGATGCTCCTTCCGCTGTCCTTGTGAATCCTGTCGCCGTAGAGAAATACAGAATAAAGCTCGTTGCCGACCTGTCGCACTGTAGAGGTGAGCGCGCACATTATCAATTCCGCGGCGGCTTTTTTGCCACAGTCTTGGTTTTTGCAATTACCACAGTCGCAGATGCAGTTTTTAATACCGGAAACGAGTCCTCCCTTCTGCAACGCCTCATCCTTTACACGCTTGACTGTTCCTTGTGCTCCACCATGTAGTTCTTTATCGAGCGCATCTGCGAGCCCATTGCAAAGCTGTTGGACGGCGGTGATATTTTGTTGAATTGTGCCGCTAACGACATCAACATTTTGGAACACATCTGTGGCTGCACTAGTAACATCTGTATAAAGCCTCTTTTTCATTTCAATCGCGAAGTCCTCGATATTACCGTCCTTCCTCCTCTCATCATAGTTTTCATCCATACCGAGTATCCTCCGCACGGTGCCGTTGTGTTTTAATACCGTGGCCTCCAGCCACCCCTTCACGATATCCGCGAATCTATCTCCACTAAAGGCCTCCACATAATTACGCACCTTGGACTTAATCCCCTCCAGACCTGAGCCATTTTTATTCTCCCAACTTCCTCTTGTCCCTTCCTTCCCCTTAACTGCCGCAACCCTATCTTTAATATGTTTAAAAATCGTTCCAATTTTTTTATCATGCTTACCGAAATTCCCGCCAAGCTCCCCAATCGCCGAGTAAACTGCTTGGAACAAACCACTAAGCGGAGTCTTGATATGCGTATCAAAATGAGTTTGAAGTTCTGAGTCTCCGTAATAATTTTGCCGGTATTCTTGGCAGTAAGTTCATCAAGTTGCGTCTTGGCACTTTTAAACGCCGATAACGCGTCTTTGACTAGAGGATGTTTGTCATTGCCTGGGTCTTACAATTTGACGTGAGCCCACAGCCTTCAGGAAATGTTGAATGAAGTTGCTAGCAAGTTGCGGGATTTGCATGCCGTTGGTCTCGGCAGTGGTAAACGTTGGCAGAGCGACGCCGATGGCTTAGACTTCATTAAGAATCTATTCCGACAGCGGAAAATGACGCTGTCCAACATAGTACCAGCAAACTAAATTATCTGCGTGGTGCTATTAGTAACGCCACCGTAGCCCTAGGTGGGAATTCGCATGTACTAAAGCATGAGAGTATAGACGATCGTATCGCGAAAAAAAGCTGACAGCCTGTATCCTGACGTTGAGAGGACGTGTAAAGGGGTACATACATTACCCGTCGCCATCTGCGGCAATGGCCGCGGTTTCCCTCAGTCCGCCTGAGACGACATCAATGAGCCACAAAGTTCGGAACGAAACACCTGCAGATTAAAGCTGTAAGATGCCAAAACCAGAGAATTGGTACGAAATCTACGCTTTTTAGGGGCACACATACACAAAACATCATCGTCATAAAAACAGTGATACAAGAGACGGTCGTGCGCTGGATTCCATAGCACCCGCCGATCACAGCCGACATAATGCCTGTTTTGCTAGCAAAGTGAATCAGTGTGTCGTCGTGTGCAGCCGTTATATTATAGGGAGCGCTTGGGACAAAAGCTGCTGCGACCACTTAAAGCAGACAAATTAATTGAGCCACGGAAGACGGCACAATGACTGTTTGCATTCCTTGTTATGTAACAGCCGTGCTCAAAGCGAGCAGGCCCCGCATCACGCTCTATAAAACACTATTTACAACCCATAATAATATTTATAACCTTTACGCGTCACTCAAAATTGTAATAGAATCTCAAGGTTCAGTATATGCAATTACTGCCTGAAATTTTGTGTTCGACGACGACTCGCGCTTGGCATACTGCATGCTACGTTAATTGTCTAGAATTGGCTGCGATACGGCATCTTGATTGTCACTGCGCCTATGAAATCGATCTGTTTGATGTGTATACGGGTCTGTGTATTTCTATAAGGCGCGTATATATTGGAAGGCAACGGCAGTTGTGTTGTGCTGATCCGCCGTTAAGACACAGCTGTTTAAACACGCGTGCCGTTTGCAAACCATCCTATAATAGACGAGAAATTAACACATAAATAGAAGTCTCCTAATTTAACGCATCTTTACAAAATGGTGTACAATTCGTTGATTGACGCTCCTCGCAACCTCAAGGAGGGCATTGACTGGTTGATAGCCCTGAAGGGGACCAATGCGGCAAAGAGCTTGACGGCTATGGGTGCTGCAATTCACAAATTCCTCGCAGACAAGCCTGCTGGCTTTACGGAGGTGCCAGCCCTCGAGAAAATAAAAAGCATTTCGAAGAAGTTCCTGGAGCAAGACGGGATGAAGTACGAGTGGTGCGTAGAGAGGCTGCTGGGGAGATTCAAAGAGCCTATGAAAAAACAACCCAGCTTATTCGATAAGTGGTTTGGAATTATAGCCGAAAGCGATTATGAGAATGTCGTACAAAAACATGGTGTAGACACTGGAGCCATGACAGCGAACCTAACGCAAGTTGTGGACAATTGTGAGAAATTCTTAGGTGGAATCAAAGACGCTGACCAGTACAAGTCTGCCTACAGTTCGGAAGCGACGTGGGAAGCCTCATGCGCGAAAAACCCGGAGGCTTGCGCAGTGGTCCTTGTGGGAGTTGCGCCAATATTGTACACAGGCCTACGTAGTTTGTGGGCTGCAACCGAGTCGGCAACCAAGAGATGGCCACCATACTACGCGAAGCAGCGCTTAGCAAATATATTGCAAGCTTCGGGTTACGTAGAGCCGGAATTCTACGGTAGCGTAAGTGGTTCAGATCTCCTCAACGTGTTTAAAGGTATGGATGTGGAAATATTTACCACTCTCTATGACTTCGCCGGATATTGGGCTTTCTACGGAGAGAGATCTGCAGGAGCTGTGGGGCCTGCAAAATCTGCGGCACCTGAACAACCTGCAGCAGCTGAACAGTCTTCAGGAGCTGACGAACCTGAAGGTGGAGCTGCAGAAGGTGACGAATCTGAAGAAGGCGAAGAGTCTGAAGAAGCAGATGAACAGTAACAGATGGTGAGTCCGGATGCCGAGTGAGTTGGGGGCATTGGATTTATCGAACTATTTCTAACTTATGAAATGCATTTATGCAAAGATGTGTGTATAAAATCTTCATCCACAATATGGGCATAGTTAGATGAGGCGAAACATAGTTATTGACGTCTCCCGAATCGTATCCGGGACGCAAGTTGGCGGATTCTTTTAACGTCATAAGCTTTCATTTTCGTATACGTGACCGGCCCTGTGGAGACCCGCAGCTTTAAAGTCACGCTCTACACTGCTTCATGCCGCCTGTGTTGGATGAGGGATGCGTGGCGTTTGAAAAATTTCGGCGTTATACGTTTGTGAAATGTATAACGCCTATACATGTTATCACATAACGCAATCTTTTATCGTAGTGACCCTCGTTAATACACATGCTATTATTACTCCCAAAATGTGTACTGCTGTTTTCGGTGCGGTTTTGTGCTTGTGTACGTGAGTTGCTGACTTTACATTCCCCGTAAAGCAGCTCCAGGCGGCGGCGCCCGGGGCCAAAGGTGCGAAATCCAATGTCCGGTAAACCACCCCGATAACGTGCAGGCAGTACGTTTATAACGCGAGTTATAAACGTCCATACGCCGCGCATCAACTCAACAAATAAGTCGCCCATAAACGGAAAGTGCCAATGCGTTATAACTATGTAAGGTAGTTTTGCGGCGGCCTTAGCTCAGAGAGTGGTCATTATACCAGCTGCTGCCATGGTTCGAATAACCGTTATTCCCATTGTCACTGCTCCCGATGACCTGCCATCATGCTTTGTTTCACCTGTATGGCAGGCAATGGTTTCTTCCGTTTGCTCAGAACTCAAGCCGCCTGAAGCCGTGCTTTCAGTAACCAATACCCCTCGCTCGGCTGTCTGCTGTATTATTGTGGGGCCTTTCCGTATTGTGGTTTCGGATGTAGTTATAGGTTCATGGTGATTCGTTGTTCCTGGTGATGGTGTAGTCTCATATTGCGTTTTGGTCTCTGGTAAGGGTGTGACATCCTGATGCTCAGCTACCTGTTGTGGGGTTGTATGAAAGGCCGATGTCAATTGGGATTTTTGCCTCTCTTCTTCAACTTGCCCCACCATATAGAGTATATTTGACGCTATTCTATCTACATCCGCTAGAGAGGCAGTGTCTACGAGAGTTCCGTACTCCTCGAATGCTAACTCGAGCCGCTGTTGCTCTTCTATTAACTCGGATGCTTGAGGAAATTTGGGATCTGTCTTTCTCAATACATCACTGATGCTGTTGTAACGTTGGTAAATATTCCACGCATTTCTGATGTCCATAAAGTCGTCATAATTCTTGTCGTACTGGTCTTGAATTTTGAGAATCATCGCATTATCTGGAGAGGAAGAACCACCTGATGCGTATAAATTGGGATAATTCATCAATGGGTCACTTAATATGCTTTCTATCTTCTTCGCGTCTGCCTGCACCTTACCCAACCTGATTAATAAAGAGCGATCGTTTAGTAATTGCCGCATGCTTTCATTGCCTGCGCCAAATACTGGGGTACGTTGCGGTACATCACTAGACCGCGCTTCTGTACCACCAGCCGAATCTGCTAGTAGTGGTACTGGATTCTCAGCACCTCCCCTCCGTGGTCCTTGGTCGTGAGAATGCTGCGGGATTGGCGTTTGGCCCGTATGCTTTCGAATGAATTGCCGTACCTTTGTTGTTATATCTCTGTAATAAGACGCATAGTTGTATCTTGAAATGTCGGATGTGATCTTTTTCCTACCTTTAAATCGCTTTTCTAGATTCTGCACAGCTGTTTTAAGCTCATCCAACCTTCCCGGTGTTACATGGTCCCTTTGAAGACGTCTGGTTATGGCGCGGTATTCATTAAGCATATATCTCATTTCGCCGTAATTTATATGTGCAGATCTCACGCTTTGAACATCATGCATGAGTTGAAGGCACTCCTTTATGTTTTCTTCTTTAATGGTCGGTGAAGCATTAGAGTTACGCATGACCAATAGCATAAACTCCAAATAACCACAAAGTTGAGTATCAGGACGAGAGAGTGTTTCGAGGATTTTGACTTTACGACAGAACTCTTCATCACCGGCGTAGAATGCAAGACCGCTTGCAGGGGATGTCCCACTCTTTGAAGTATCCCATACACCGGGAACAGCCGTAAACACACCGTTGATGGCACTCATATAGATGTAGAACACAAAGGAGTCAATTAGACGCATATAGTGCCGAATAGATGCCATTGTTACTGAGCGGGATTAAGGCGCCATAAGCTAGCATCACAGCCATGGTAATGGTTGTCCTTACTATTAAGCTATGCAGGATCTACTGACATCTTCTAGAGTGCCAGTAAATTATGTTTACCAACCAACAAAGCTACCGGCGTAGATTTACGCTAAGGCATGAACTGATTTGCGAACAAAACATCCGCATGAATCATATGTAATGTTTTGTAATAATCATGCATTTTAATGTCTCATATGATCTGTGGTGCCTAATATGTGTCACACGTTTAGGCAATCTGCAATTTGTGTTGCGGCTCAATGGTGATTTTCCTCGCCGCTTCTTATTTTCGTTGTGCTGTGGCATGTAGACACCAATTTATCAACAGCAGAATGCTTCATTCGGTTGTATAACGATTTTTTACTGCTTTCTATTAGGTGAGTTTGCGGCAATTATCTAACCACAGCATATCCTGCTTTTTGTGTTTATAAAAGGCCAACGCCCCAGACATTACAGGCAGACTGCGCTCTCCGTACCTCCTGGCACTTAGGAGTCTGAAATGCCTTGTCCATAACAGGCTCTTCATGCCACTTTGTGGGCATCAGTTACATTCTAGGCCACCCACAGCTACCAGATCAACCTGAAGAATTCTATTATACGGCCAACCATACGCCAAATGGAGCTGAGTTTATTCGTCAGAGGTACAAAGATTAACTTGGTACTACTCCAGGCGACATGAAAGTCAGATACGAAAGGTGGTACAACAGACCTAACTACAACATTCTCACGATTAATTTCAAAATGACTGCAGTATTGATATCCAAAGACCCACTGCACCACAAATACGTGCCAATGACGTTCGTCTGCGACAAGACACCCGAACTATCAGATTTTACTCTCATCACTGGTGACGGATCTCCGCCAGACGTATCTGCACCGTTCACTCTTAATTCCATAACATCATCAACCCCATATACCTGGAATGTCGTGGAAGTTAACGTCGACACCACTGGCCCTTACATGCAAGGCTGCGGCGTCACATACACATCAGATGAGTTCTTCAAGCCTGATACACCCAAACTCTACGATACCAACGGACAACCTCAGTTTGGCTGCAAGATTGATCTTCAGGCTGCCATGGAAGCTGCATTCTACTGCCCGGCGCCGTATGTCCTGGACCCACCCAACTGCTTCAGCCAGGTCTACGTGGACGGTGAAGTAAAGAACATGAGCGACCTCAGTAAATCGTTAGTGGCATCTCGATCCAACCACTTTGTCATCCTGAGCTTCGACAGTTCACTCGTCGGAGTCGGAGAAACGCTGCGTCAGGCGCCGCCGTTGGAATGCCGCTGCGTCACCGTAAAGGGCGTCGTTCTCTCCACCATCCAGATCGAGAAATACTACTCCAAGTAGTGAATAGCTGAGATTCGGTAACTCATCAGCCGTTTGTGGAAATTAATTTATGTATCTCATTGTTACCGTTACATGGTGTCTCCCTCATAGTAGCATCGCTTTCGGTTGTCAAGAGCTTATTGCGATTGACAATTTAACAACATCGTATTGTATTATAATAGCTGTTTTTATTATGTACAATAGGTGGGAAGTCTGTTTATTAGGGTGAAGTGGAGTTACGAGGCGCCACAGTTTTGTGTTTTCCACACTGCCTTAGTGAGGACGGTGTGATAGCGACAATTATATACACGTTCACGACTTAAAAGCTAGGCAATGCCTTTAACACATGACCATACATAATAATTGGGCTGTGGTGGCGAGCTCCCCTATTTCCATTAATGTTGGTGATCTACCACGGTGGCACTTTCTGTCCACGTTAGCCTGCAGGTGGGAGTGGATGCAGCGGTGGCATCATCTGCTTCACATATGATTACAGCTCACATAATGAGGTGACCTATAGGGCTGCATGGAGCCATACTGACAATCGCGAACCGCTGGTTTCTGGGTGTCACACGACTCAACCATACTACAATGATTGATGGGATGGATAATGTACATCACTCCAACACTTTGGTAAATGCTAGGAATCACGAACATGATGAAGATGTGGGAAAGGGAGTCAATGAGGGATGCAAGTGAACCACGTTCTGCTGGATGCACCTCAATAAGGAATTCGTTGTGAGACGCAATGTCAGATTACGTTGTTCCTTGTTAACGCCACAAACACATAGGAAATGGTAATCTTACGCGGGATTGTGCATAGTGATTGAGAGAGTTAGGTAGTCAACTCATGTTGCAAGTGTCATGTCTATTATGGCGCAATGCTTTCATCAAGTGAGTGGCAGGAGAGGCTGCCTGCATGATAATATTATGCAGAGATGTGGAGTTAAAAAGCACGAGCATTGTTTGTCAATTGATGGAGAGACTCAGAAGCTGTACGTCGTGCGGCCAGCAATGTGTGGGGCAAGGTTGGCAACACATGTGTGTCACGCTGAGGCGCTTCGCTTATCGGAGACGCATGGCTGGTGTCTTACTTGCGGTTCTACTGTTCCGGGCTCGACGCACGTATTTCATCGCTATGCAGGTTTAAGACAAGGGAGCTAGGGGAAGATATCTAACCAAAATACGTGTAAATGTACAAAAGGAACGTGCTCCAGTGGAAGCAACAAGTGCTGCACGAAAAAAGGGTGCAAAAACAATGAGCCCTGTAAATGTTGTTGTACATGTGGAGATAAATGTCAGAACGGGGAGTGCAAGTGTTGTCCCTTGTGTTGTGAGAAATGTCCAACGTGTCCAAAATGCAAACAAAAATATGCAGAACGCAAGAAAAATTACAACTGCGATGAAAAATGTGATCCCGGAAAATGTCCAGAGCCGTTGAAGTGTAATTGTAAATGTTGTAAAAAGAAAAAGGAGCCCATTCCCATTGCAATTGCCATTCTCTCCGTAATCCTTCTAGCACTACTTATCATTTGCCTCGTCATCTATTTCCTCAAATGGCGTCAGATGCCAAGCCTTAATACTCTGCGTGATTACTTTAATTAGCATCTCAAATCAACCAACATTTAATATTAATTTAATTATTATTCCTTACAGAATGGTTACATACAATTCTAATAGTGCACTGATTACGTGGCGCTAATATAGCCGCACCCCTCATCTCCATATCATCCTTTTACCCCGACTCCAGACATAATGCACATGTTGTTACCCAGAGTTTTCCGACCACCTCCACGACGTCTCCAGCAGCATCATCTAGTCCACGTAGCCATACAGTAGCCATGCCACATTCTACGTAAAGGTATCACCGGCGTCACCCTCAATTTCAAGGTTTAGGTTTAGTGAATCGCCGTGTTGGCTGCTTGCTTGATCTGTGCTTGAGCTTCAGTGTTGAAGTTGTTAACGGCGGATTCAAGTTGGGAGAGTGCAGTATGAAGTGGTTGTTTGACTTGCGAATTAAATTTCCCTACAAGTCCAATAACCTCATCCCTCACTGCCTCCAACTTCTTGTCAACGGCTTGGGCTGTGCCAGCATCGGGGGTCGTAGGAAAGGGTTGGCCTGGTGGTGTTTTAGTTGCCGCTTGAAGTTCACCGTCAAGTTTCTTAGCAATAGGCGTAATATGGTCCAAGATGGCTGCGATGCTTCCGGGGCTGGGTCCCGCGTTTAGGGGCTTATCGGGTATGTTGAGAAACACAGAATTCAGTTCGTTGCCCACCTGCCGGGACACGGCGGTGAGTGATCCCAAGATGACAGCAGCGACGGAGTTTTTCGTACATTCATCGCCGCTGCAGTGACCGCAATAGCATATGCATTTCGCGTCGTGTTTTATGTATGTCAACAGCCCCTTAACGTCGTTGACTATCTGAGACACGTTGCCACTTTTTCCTTCCTTCAGCTTGTTATCAAGAAAATTGGCGAATGCCTCGCAGCCTGCTTTCACAGCTTGAATGCTTTTTGCAATATCTCCACCAAAGCCAATTTTTGCTTGAACCACTTCACCGGCTGCATTCGCTTCTTCATCAAGATGTTCCTTCATTTTACTTGCCATTTCCTGGTTAATGTTTTCTGTACTCCCATAAATAATATTGTTCTTAATCCTATCACTGACCAAACCGTTATGCGGCAAAATAGTCTTCTCAATCCAGCCCTTTGCTATACCTTCAAACTTATACTTACCGTTGAACGCTTCGAAGTAATTCTCCACTTTCGACTTAATCCCTTCGAGACCGCTACCATCTTTATTATCCCAACTTGTCCCCGGCGTCCCCTTAATCTCCCCAACCTTATCTTTAATCTTATCAAAAATCTTTTCAAGTTTGTCTTTTTGATCACCGCCTAGTTGAAACTTCTCGCCGAGCGTCCCAATCGCTTGGTAAACTTCTTTGACTTTAAGGGCAAGCGGAGTCTTGATATGCTGAGTAAAGTTTGGTTCAAGCTCACCCGACGCCTCCGTAATTCTGTTAATATGTTCCTTATCCAATTCATCCTTCTTACTTTTAAGCTCTTTCAATTGCCCACTTACAATGCCACTGTCGACATTGCTAGTAGCAACTTGCTTATCAAGATTCTGAATCTTACTCTTCAAACTCTCCAAATTATCTCTCACAAAACCATCCAACTTCTCAACTCCCAAATCCTTAATCACCTTCTGAATCCCTTCCTTAATCTTCTTCTTCACGTCAAACAAATCCTTCTTGAGGGATGTGTCCATGTCCACAACAGCCTGCAACGCCAAGCCAACTTTCTTGCCAACTTGCTGCTCAGCCTCACCTACTCCACCGAACGTGTGACCTGCTGCCTATGCCACCGCCTAACCTACTATATATTGTAGTTGATGAGTTCATATGCTTGCTGTTTGGGATAATGCGTAGTGTCAGTCGTGAACTGTCTACGTCATGCCATCTTGTCGGTTTAGTGTGAAGCTAGTGATTGGCCAACCACGTAACAAGACGACTATTGGTGTGTTACGTGAGATTATTCTCCATGTTAGGTGAACGGTTGAGCTGTAAGTTATCATGTGCGTTGCTAGGCATCCAATGTCGCTGTCTATAGGACGTGATCACCTGTGTACGGCATAGTTAAGTGGCAGTTATGCGCAACATTCTGTCGATCAGTAACACAGTCAGCAGGCACCCTAACTCAGCTAGGCACTCAGTAGCGTCTCCATAAGTGGCACGTAAACAATACGTTTTCTGCCATAATTCGAAGTGAAGATTGTGCGTGATGCGCTGCATGTGTATTGTGGTATCCCCGGCGGTTCTGGAACTCATTGGAGACGGCTTGGAGGTTCTACGGTCCGGGGCTAAAGGTACGTACTTCATTCCTGCGCAGGTTGATGATACAGGTGCTAGGGGAAGATGTCTAGATTAAAGTGTGATTGTGGTTCTAAATGTGAGCTGATAATATGTGAGTGCTGCCCCTGTTGCTGTGAAGCGTATAGAACTTGCATGAATTGTTCCGCATTCTCCTGGACGCAAAAAACCAGTTACAATTGTTCGAATAGGGACTGTAAGGCCGTATGTAACAACGGGGACACATGTAAATGTATATGTTGTCAAAATAAACGTATACGTGCTTCCAGTGCCCTTTCTTCCCCCGGAGGCGTCGAATCCACCGCCGGTTCCACCACTCCCATCATCGTCATCGTCTTCATCATAGTCATCATCGTATGTGTTATGATCATTAAACGCATTCGGCCTTTCCACAAGGTCCGCGATTGTTTCGTCCGCAAGTGAATGTTTTGTATCGCATTCTTTAATCACTGCGGGCATTTATACTAATCGCACTTATCGCACGGTTTTAGACATCGTCGTCACGATGAACAGTGATAACATGTAATTTAGCGCTTCATAAGATTGCATCGGCAGGTACTGCGAACGCGTTCATGGATTACATCGTAGCAGCGCATTAGTTAAAATGACGGGATTGACAGCTCAATGTAGTGCCCGCATCCGCTCCCACATAACATCACCTTCAAGCCACAGGATCGTCGCACAGTCCCTGCTCGCGTCGGCAGGCTGAGTAAGCTGGAGTATACACGACCTTGAAGGTGCCAGGCTCCAACATTAGAATTCACGTGAAACACCTAACTGTAACATATCACGTAATGTGATTTGATGTGTTCGGTGCAATCCATCATGACATGTTTATACTTTGAAGCTCCTCAGCTGCCGTACTAAAATATAGTTCAGCATGCTCACAGCGTCTCCAAGGCTTTCCTCCACTAATCTCTCATCACCTCGCACAGTACATCCAGCCTTCAGGAAGCCTTGTAATGTGAGTGTCAGACGTCACACCAAGCACGGGGATTGTTGTATGCAACATAGCATAATAGACGAGAACCCCGTTAGGGTTGTGTAACAGAACGGCAAAACCCACCGACGAAACATACATTTGGCAAACAGCAACCATAGTTATATACTAATATTAATACTCCAAGTACAGAATTCCTCAGTAAGGCTCGACCTAACCAGTGCGGATAATAAAAAGCGGGGTAGTGTTTCCTTAGGTGGGAAATAGCCGCCTTTTATTCCACTGTCGACGCCGCATCTGGAAATTGACGAAACCTACAACTCTGTCACCGTATTAAACTGCAAACCCTGGATATACTTAGCAGCACTAGTGGGAGATCTGTTTAGACACCTCTATTAGCGACCGTCCTGGGCAGGCCTCTGGAGATTGGCGATACATCACGGACCTCGTGAACGCGACGGAATGGCACATGCCTCTGAATTGGCGGAATTACGTCTCTGTATGAATGGTAGTTGCTGTAGTTAGTGTTGCGGTGGGTGCAGTTTTCGCCCTTGTGTATGTAGAGAGGTAGACTAATTTTCAACCTCATTTCGTGGAATGAAGCGAATGGCAAATGATTTTGCATTCAGTCAACTGCAAACGCATTTTTTCTACATGCAACTAATGACACCTCTTCCGCCGAAGACCCTTTGTACGACCACGGTGAAGATAAATCGCTTCGGAGTATACGGTAATATATGGTATACTTGGCAGTGATATTCTACATGGCCTAGCGGGGATATTATATTAATGGTCTTACATGTTCAATATACAAGCAGTTCCGACGATCATTGAGCTTCGAACAGCAATACTTAAAAATTAATTCGATGATGTCGCTGGTTGTGCCGCTGACGGCTGATTTTTCTTTTCAGCTTTAGCTTTATCTTCTGTATACGTGTAAAACAACGGAACATAGCAAAGAAGATTGATTATCGCACCTGCAACGATAATATACATCATGGATTTTCTCAAGGCTTCAGCATTTCTTTCTTTAACAGCTGCATCCATGGTTTTGAAAGACTCCCTAGAGGGCACGTAGCCGAAGACCTTCTCAGACAAATATGCGGAAACCTGAAAGAAAATGACACTACTTGAAATGCCGGATATGGTTCGAATGATGGCTGTTGCGGTAGCCTGATGTTTTTCATCGATTGAATTCTTCATAACGGCCCTATCTACCGAACTAACAGTAACTAATGTGGCACCAAGAGTTGCCAGCTCTGCATAATGATACCAAAGCAACTTTCCACATGGCGGCTTTCCTAAGAAGAATAATAGACACACGACCAATCGAATAATTATCACCACGGTTCCGGAAATAAGCTCCCCATAACCGTCGACCTTTTCCGCAAATTTCTCTATGCCTTTCCCCCCCGCTACACTCCCCACTGCTCCTCCAATCAATGTGACCGCAATCGCAACGCCTGCCATAGTGTCAGATACTCCCAAATACTGCAAGTATATGGTCATGTAATTGAATGCACACATTGGAGCTTCTGCGATGAATAATGTAAATATGGAGATCCCTGCTGTCTTACACGCAAATACTGCTGAAAATGCTTGGGATATTAGTTCCGTAAAAGCCGTGGATGCAGGTTTGTTCGTATCCTGGTTTTGCATTCCAAATACAATCCCAATACCAAACAATATCCACACGTACCCCAACACAACATAAGAGGTGCGCCAGCCATAATATCCCAACAATACTTTGCGCGCAATCAACGTAGTTATCACTGCGCATAACAACCGTCCAATGCAATTTAATCCCTGCATTATACCGAATATTAGGCTAGATTTCTTCGAATCATATGATCCCGACACAATCTTTTGTTGCACTGGATAAACACAAGCAAATCCAAAGCCGTGCAGGAAACGCAATAACAGAATCTGCAGTAACATTAACATTAAAAATTGCAACATACTGATCTGTACTGCGACGCCGAGCTTAGAACAATCGAAACAATGCCCAACAATAATAAGCCAGCGCCGAGCACGTGATTAGAGTCATACCAGTCTGCCAGCAATCCCCAAATTAGACAGCAACCCATGCGAGACATAGTCGACACGGTTGCCAACGTAGACAACTGAGACTGAGAAAACCCCAATGTTAGCTCGAAAGCTCTCATACACATGGAGAGCACCTGCTGATCGTAGCCTTCAATGAATGAGACCACCTTGTACAGGGCTTTTCCAAACTCATCATACTTAAGTTTTGGAGTTGCGGTTTGGTCCGCCGCTGCTGCCATATTTGCTGGATTAATGTGGCCTGCGTCTTCGTCGAATGTAGTTTTAGCCAACAATTGCACGTAGCTCATGCCATACGCATCAGAGGTGTATCCAGATCATTTATCATATTCGGCACCATTTCATGACATTCACTGCAATAAAATCGTCCTGAATCTTCCTACGCACAATACATCACGTGTGCGCGACAATACACGCTCTATATACAACGGCACAGTCAAGCATAATGCGTTTCACCCCAGAATCTTAGCCTGGCCCATTAAGCTAAAAGGGGCATAAATACATCGAAGCAGCTTTCATCGTGACTACTTAAATTATGAAGAACGATGTTTATGAAGAATGATTTGTATAGAAGGCACACGAGCCAATCGATTCAACGCTACCTGGTTACCTTCGAGACCTAAACGTAACTACAAATGTAAATCACGATAGCCGCAAACCTGTAATCGCAATAATTACCATCTATAATTAACTCAGCGGAGCAGATAGAAACTCTGCGTCAACACCCATATCAGTGCCTGCAGTGCGTTGCCGTGATGTATTGCCTCCCAACTCCCCCCTCCAGGCCTTCCTGACTGACGCCCCCGACTCCAAGTTCGACACTCACCCCTTCGACCCGTGTGACATCTGTCTCAAGAGCCGCGTCAGGATGGGATTCAGGGAGAATGATTTGCCTGCATCTCACAAAACTGGCAAACATATTTCCACCATCCTCTCTCCCACCTGCGGCGGCGAGGATCCCTTGCTGACACTGTGCTCTTACCTCAACTGCCTCACCAGGCGGACGCCGCGCACCACCGGGGAGCTTGTCTCGTTCTTCCACAATTTCGGGAATTCACTGCAGTCATCATCTTCACTGCGCTCCACCCTCTCCACTCCACATCGCCACTGCCCCGACTGGGACCGTCTCCAGGCCGCCTACCTCCAAGCCGTCCAGGACATCCGGGGCTCCGCCCCTCCCAACTCCATCCACGACAAGGACCATCCCAGGACTCTGTCCACACTGCTCGGCTGCGGCATCGATAACGCCAACTGCCCACAACTCACGAAGCCCATCACCTACCGTGCCTACGCCCTGTACTCTTCCAGCTTCGTCCACGACTACCTCAGCTGGGCGGTGTACCTGGCAGACAGACTCTGGGACTCCCTTCTCATGCTGCTATATGATCTCGAGGGCCTTCAGTGTTCCAAGTCCAAGCCCCTCCACCAGTGTGACAGGGCCCTGCCCCTCCTCTACCGTCACGGCATCGCACCGCCGGACGGGACACTGCAGTCCTCACTCACGTGTTCGAAGGTCATCGTCAAGCTGGAGGAGGTGGTTGCAGGTGGGCCTATCGCAACGCTTATGACCTGTATGGACGCATTCCTCTACCGCATCCGTGCCCCCTTCCTCTACACTCTGTTCACGCTCTGGCTCATCGCCACGCTCTACATCCTCCACTCACTACTATACCGCATGGATGTCCTCCGCATACGATCTCACCTCCTCACCACCAGGGCCTCTCACCTCATCGACGTCAAGGCCTTACTCACTAAAGGCCGGAAGGTGCTCTCACTCTACAAGGACGTCGACTACTTCGACGACGACCCAATGGGTCAACTCGATATCTCAAATTAATTATAATCTTGCATATTTATGTCAGGTATTTGTTACCTTGTAATGCTTGCCTTGGAACATGTAACGGCATTTGTAAGGGAACCATGACATTACCCCCACCGGGTACAAATGCCTTTGGTACCGCCTTGCCCGTCCTGCCGCTATTAAAAGGGTGTTTGCTGAGCGTTCTCAGTCGTCGTTTTATGTAAAATGATCCAGTATTTCGAATTGCAAAGGTTGTTTTAAAATAGGTTGCCGGCACCGAAAGGGGTTCCCGGGCGGTCCCCCACCCCAGTACTAACCCGGCCTAGCGCCGCTTGACTTCGGAGTTCGGATGGGATCCGGTATTTTCGACGCAGTATGGCCGGCAACAATAACGGTCACGAAGGATTGTACAGCACAAAAGCGTTGAGTTTTGCATTTCGGAGAATACACACGAATAGCACTAATTTAGCCGTCAACATGGTATCACTTACACTATTATATGTAAAACCCACTAATAACATAACGTAAAAGCGATGTGTAACAGTTCCAGAAAACTTCATGGAGCTGGGTGTTACGCAGTGAGATACGCTCCTTCTAAGGGAAAGTTGATTATGTTGCCATCACAACTCACAAGGCAGCTGCGTTTAGAATAACTTGCGCTCGATTAGAATTATTCTACACTATTTCCTACTTTGTTTCACCGCTGCCTGATCTCGTACGTGTTCAAATGGTCGTGGAGGTTATTTTCCCCGCACACAACAGTTCTATGTTAACCCTTCTCTATATACTAAGAAGGCGCATCAGTATCGAAGCTGTTGATTAAATGGCTACACTACAACGCGTGTGGATGTGAATGATTTTTTATGCCGAATCAAATGGGCCTCTTGGCACCTTTATCGTTTCACTGTGTACTACGCAGCCATGGTATTATACAAATATTAATCAGATGAGTAAAATTTCGGAAGCATATTGTTATTTATCAAACTGATGGGGACGAAGTACCGTCGCTGGTTGTAAGTACAGCGCCATCCCTCAAATATTAATGTAGCTTGTATGATGGGGAGATATGCGAGTGGATTTAAACAATATTTTAAGCTGTTGAATGTGACCTTCTACAACCAGCGGTCGTAATGGGCGTAGATGTGTTATCCTGACCACAACTAGGCTCCCGCAGGTTTGACTAAAAATTCCCGGATGAGGCTCGCTGAATAATGCGGCTCTCTAAGGATAGCTTGCGCTTTAGCGATAATAAGGCAAACTTCACTTATGACAGTGAAGAAAACGAATATGTTGGCGAAGAATACCAACGGCCACCCAAAACCTACGATGACCGTGGCTTGCTGAACTTCCTTTTCATTGGCTGGGCAAAATCATGGGTGAAGTACATATGTACTCATTTTATTACCCCGGAGACTGTGCACCGGCTCCCGAAGGCCGACCAGATCTCGTACTGGCAGCCGATCCTATCGAAGCACATCAGCGATGGATTGCTCAGGTTGGAGAAGGCTGAGTCGGATGCCGTACTTAATGGCAATGTCTCAAATAAGGAGAAGCCTCATCGCAGCATACTCCTTCGTGCAATCCTGCTTACCTTCTGGCGGCGCATAGTGCTGTCGCTACTGTTGATGATGGTCATGAGCATGTCCACCGTTGGAACCATCGTCCTTTTGAAGCATCTACTGAAAACATTATCTCAGAAGGACCAGGGTTGGGGGAACATCGTCGCAGCGGTATTATCGATAGTAGGTCTTGAGGTATCGAGGACGTTCCTTGATCAGCACGCGAACTTCTACTACATGCGTCTGCAAAACGTCATGGAAGTGGCAATATCGCTCAGTCTTTTCCAGCATGGCTTATGCCATCGCAAGGACTATACAAACTTGATGCAGCGTCGAGGAGTTCGGGAGGGGTGCAAAGGTGCCGTCCATTCGTGGCCACCGGTGGATGACAATTGTTGTGAAGATCCCCTCATATGCCCGGCCCGGCGCCACAAAAACAACGAGCTCCCACCAAGCATGTACACGTTTCTATTTGTCGACACCTACTTCATAATATCTCTCGTGGACGCAACCGTGATGCTTATGCGTTTCACGTGCAACATGACTCTGGGTATGATGCTCATATACACTCAAACAGGTATGAGCGTCCTATGGCCAATACTTGTTATCGTGAGCATCACAATTCTAATGGTGGTTGTGGAAGCTGTGAACGGGCTAAATATATCTCATGCACTCCAATCGAAGGACGAACGCATTTCAAAAAGTTCGGAAATTATCGGCTGTATGAAATTGTTGGAGATGACGGGCATCGAAGATGTTGGGTATGAGATCATCAAAAACAGCCGGGATGATGAGCTGTCGGTGCTTCAGACTCGGTTAACATGTTTCTCAATCAACAGGTCGATTATGCGGGTGATCGGCACTGTTGTCTACCTGGTTGTCATCACTGATTTCATAAGGAAGTTGAAGACAGTTTCAAATGACAGCAGCTTTGACATATCTGCGCCGATTACCTTGCTTCACATAGTGCATACCATTGTCGGTTCCTTCGACCATCTACTCAAAAGTTTGAAGATGGTTGTCGAGGGTGTGGCATCCGTGCGCAGAGTGGAGAGATTCATTCGCGAGTGCTCCCCTAACTTCTACGCCACGAGGCCGGAGGCTCATTCCGATACACTGGAGAATGAGTTGAAAGTGCATGATCCGATAAGAGATTCGACGATGCCTAATTACACATTAGTGCTGTTCAAGAATGCTTCTTTCAATTGGATTGCCAACAGGCAAGATGCACTGATTCCAAAGGATTCCGATTCATTTGTACTTTCCGATGTTACCTTCGAGCTTAAGCGTGGTGAGATAAAGATAATTACGGGTAATCAGGGTTGCGGTAAGACGAGCTTCATCAAAGCGATGCTGGGTGAGATGAGTCTGGTGTCTGGAAGCATGGCCGTGGCGCCACTGTCCACTGGGATGCCCATATTCTACACATCGCAGGAGGTGTGGCTGCCCAGCGGAAGCATCCGTTCGATCATCACGTTTGGCTACGCCTTCGACGAGGACATCTACAAGCGGGTGACTTCGGCGGTCGAACTCGAGTCTGACTTCGCCTCGTGGGAGGACGGTGACATGCGTGTGATCTCCGAGAAGGGATATTCCCTGAGTGGCGGTCAGCGTGTGAGGCTGAGTCTGGCGCGTGCACTCTACGCCTACCTGGTCTTCAGCAAGGCCAACGAACGCCTGGTCGGGGATCGGTGTTGTTTCTTGGTCTGCCTGGACGAGCCTTTCAATGGTTTGGACCCGACTGTCGCAGGCTCCATATTCAACAACCTCTTCAACAAGAACGCGGGGCTGCTGGTCGGGGACGACGTTGCCGTGGCCATGGCGATGTCACCCGTAACTATTTCAATATGCACCTCACTCGACATATTGGATGACCTGGCAGAAATCCATATCCACAATGTTACTGGAGCTCAGGTAACCATAATGGATTTTATGGGGAAGCAGCCACCAAGCGGAATCAAGGTGCACGTGGCTGCATCTGAAGACAAAGTGTCAGAGTTAGAGAACAAAGTTCCTTACAATAGTTTTGCAACATTAAGAAAGAGCCATTTGATGGATTTAAAGCAATATGGTATTGTGAATCGTCTACAAACACTTAGAGACGAAGTGGACCTTGGTGCGCACGATTTGCCAGGGGAGGTGGAGGTCCAGAACAAAAAATGTCTAACAGGTCCTTCATATGGGACATATATTTCTGCAATGGGACTGTGGTACACTCTTGCAGTTTCAGTGCTATTAACTGCAGGGGTTGCTGTCGATAAGGCCTTCGGGGTTCTGGTGGCCCATTGGTCAGACCTCGTTAAGAAGTTGGAGGGCCAGGAAGGCGATACGATAGTGAGGGCAAGTCAAATAATGAATGAACACGAAGAGACCGCGCGAAAAATGGGAATACTGGCATCGTTTTTCATTATTCTCATCTTTGCGGGGATGTTCACCGCCATATTCGCGAACATTCGTGCGTCCAGGAGAATCCACGAATGCATCATGAATTCTCTGTTTAACAAGTCCGCTGCGGAGGTCAAACTAAAGGGCTCGTTGGCAACTACAGTGACGTTCCTCTCGTCAGATATATATTACATTGATGAGCACATTGGACGCTTCATTGTTGCTACGTTTTTTACCTTCCTGAATATCTGTGTGCAGTTCGTCACCATTTGCTACTCTGCGCCTATTTTGTCCCCCATACCAGTTGTGATTATTCTTTTCCTGTATTTCTTTGTCGCTAAATCGTATCTCATGGCTTCGAAGAAGTTGCAATGGATAATGCTGGAAGGCAACAGTTCAATAAATGCAGTATATGGTGATGTGATAACTGGTTCTGAAATATACAGGAGCTTCCGCAGGGAGCAGCTGTGCGTGGACCATGTCCGCAATTATTCGGAGAGTTTTTTCGCTATAAAATTTCTTAAAATAGCCGTTACTTCGTGGGCTATGTTGACATGTAAGCTTTTCGTATCTGTTATGGTCTTATGTGCTGCGTTGGTACCCGTTTTATACGCATATATAAGGGGGGTGGAGTTGAAGGTGGCTCAAGTGGGTTTAGGAATTACGTATTCTTTGGGCATAAACGGCCTCCTTAACGCCTTCATGTTTAACTTTTCCATGCTAGAAAAGCAAATGTGTTCCATGGTTCGATTTCGGGAATATTTCCTCCAGACCAGGATTCGTTTGGTGGATCGCGTTGACAAGAACATCGAGATGGTACCAGGGAGCTCATCGCTGCACGAAGACGCCGACTATATGCATAAGCATTTGATCGAGCTTACACAGCGTCGGAAAAATGAGTTCCGACAATGTATGTTCAGGAGATATAGGTCAATTGTGAGCACGTTATTATACCGCCCGAAGTTTGAGTTGCTGGACACCGGCGACTACTTCGCAGGAGAGCACACAGCCCTTGAACTGCATAACGTCAAGGTGCCCGAACCCACCCAGGAATTCAATGCCAACAAGAATTACATTTTGAAGGCCATAACGGCTAGCGCCCGTGCTGGAGATGTGGTTGGTATTGTGGGCCGCACAGGCGCCGGCAAGAGTACGCTGTTGAGTGTGCTGCAAAACATAGCAGCGGGAAGGGAAGGTTCCGTGCTGCTTGACGGCCGGGAGCTAAACACTATCCCACGCAAGGTGCTGCGTCACATTATCGGCGTGCTGCCGCAGATGCCGTTCGTGTTCAAGGGTTGGACCCTACGTCGTTTCCTCGATCCCCGTATGTTGCACTCCGACGACGAGATCATGCACGCGTTGGAGTGCTGCGGCCTGATGGATCTCGTCCAGTCGCTGCCCGGGGCCAATCCGCTGGACACTGTCCTAGTGCACGAGGACATAACTGTGCAAAGGGGCTATTACGTGATCATTCCCCTCATACGCCTCAAGGGTGGACAGACTGTAACCACCTCCGACGACGCCGAGAGGGACGTGTCCACCGATCGTCCGGATGGCAACGTGACGTGCTTCTCGATGAGCCAGCTACGTTTGTTATCCTTTGCTCGTCTGGTGCTGTATCGCATGACTTATCGCATTCTGCTTATAGACGAGCCGCCCTCCGACAACTGCGCAGGCCAGGACGGTGCGGACCAGGGCACTGCGAGCCCGTCTGGCGCGGAGTCACCGTCGGACGCGTCAGTGCCCATCTACGACCTGGTGAAGATGTTCTTCAGCCACTGCACGACGTTCATCGTGGCGCACGACAAGAACGTGCTGCGGTCGTGCACGTCGGTGTGGGTGATGCAGGGCGGCACGCTCGTCGAACGCTGCTCCACACAACAGTTCATGGACAGGGGGATGACCTTGACTGGCAGCACAGACGCCGAAACCGGCAGTCCTCGGCTCATGTAGCCACAGCATTGTACAAAACAGAGTGCTTAGCGTGCATACGTCTAATGCCAGTGGATTTAATATATGTGATTTAAAATGCAGCGTGTAAATTCTTTAGTATGCGCTAGTTACTTTGTGTGGTCGAGCAACTGCATGTGCATGATCTCAAGTTCGTGCGACCGCTCTTACCTCATCGTCGGCCGTGCCGAAAAGGTCGGGCCTGCCCGCCACGAACGATGCAAGGTTTCCCTCGACGTCTGAGCGTAATATGTGTCGTCCATATGCAAATTACCTTCTAATGGTGCGAATGCGCTTTCTTTCATGGCCTTCTCTATGAAACGCTCTTTCTGGTGCTTCCACTTGGGGTCGAGCAGAAGTATCTTCAGGTGCGCTGACATTTCGGTAGCTGGTATCATCTGGCCTGTAATAGGGCATCTCTGCATCTCGACCGCAGTTTGCGCCTTTGATTTCCTTGTATATGACTTTTTGACCTTGATGATTTCATCTCCGTCCTGCGTGTTGTTCAGACCGTAGTGTTGGCATAGTCAGCTTACCTGTACAATGCTAACGTCATTGTCTCTGGCAACACGTCTTTTATAACTCTCAGGCGCATCCGAGAACTTCGAGACGGCGGTCACAGTTTCTATTGGCGCCGCATTGTCTGCTTCCTGCGGTTCCGGTGCTGCAACATCAGCAGTGGATGGCTCCTCGGTCTCCACCGCTTCAGCATCCACGATCACGGGAACGTCCGGATCGATTTGATCCGCGTCCAGCGGAAGGACCGATGTTAATTGTTCACCACTGTTCCTTGCCGTTGCGGCTGTCCTTGGGTTGCGTGTCATGAGCAGCATGGCAGCTCCTGGTTGCGTGAAGTCGATTGGCGGCGGTAGCCCCTCTTCGTTCTGCAAATGACCATAACTTAAACGACACGTGCTAACTCACAGGAGTGAAAGTGATTGTTTCTGCGATGAAGAATGTATGCCAGTCGATTGACTGCATTTCCATGCGCTCCTCGGCTTTTCGCATTTCCTCTGATGCGGCTTTTGCCTGTTCACGCGCATCCCAGTCTGCCCTCTTCTGGCACTGCCTGAGGTAGGCGATTTTGTCTTTGGCGACAGTGTTAAGCTTCTCTATCTGCGGCTTTGTCGGCAGCAGGCACTTCGTGTAGGACTCGGTGAGACTAGTGAAGAAACCAAAGAGGCAATGCGACGGGCTGAGGAAGTCGAATTGCGGGTTGCTTTTTTCGCGCTTTGCGAGTTCGACCAAGAATCGCTGCCCGTTCCTTGCAACGAATGTAGCAGTTGCCTTGATGATATCCCTGCGCGTCAGTGAGGTAATCGATACGGAGTTGCCTTCCAAGTGCAGAAGCGCATAAAGTAGCATCCACATGGCCTCAGGCCACATATATCTTCTAGTTATGTAACTTACATGTCCATGGCAGCTACGAAGGGCTGGGTAAAGGTGAAGGTATCCTTCTCCGGTTCGTCGATTTCATCGTCCGCGCCGCTCGCGCCGAAATCCGTGAGCGCCAGCAGCCTCTCCTTGAACTCATTCTTCAATTCGAGCTTCTTGCGCCTGTCTAGGATCGCCTGCGGTATGGAAGGCTTGATTTCCACATCTGCAGCGGTGTGACTACGACTCTATAGACGCCTACCTATGCCACTCTTAAGTTCCGTAAGCTTGAGTCTGTAATATGCGTGGTACGCGTTATTCGGATTAAGGAAGGCGAATTTCGCGGCGGAGCCGGCGGCTCCGTCGCCCTGCTCTGCTCGTATACGCTGCTCAAACTGATCGCCATTCTTTGCCACGAACTGGGCGGTTTTGTCTATAATAGTTCTGATATATTTCGGTGGAAAAATAACTTCCGCAGCGGATTCGCTCATTTTTTTATTGTGACAGTGGCGCGAGCCCGAGTGAGATGTGTCTGTGGTTGTGGCGACGGTCAGGTCCTGGTGTGTGCCTGCTACCGCCTTGCCCGTCCTGCCGCTATTAAAAGGGTGTTTGCTGAGCGTTCTCAGTCGTCGTTTTATGTAAAATGATCCAGTATTTCGAATTGCAAAGGTTGTTTTAAAATAGGTTGCCGGCACCGAAAGGGGTTCCCGGGCGGTCCCCCACCCCAGTACTAACCCGGCCTAGCGCCGCTTGACTTCGGAGTTCGGATGGGATCCGGTATTTTCGACGCAGTATGGCCGGCAACAATAACGGTCACGAAGGATTGTACATAATCGGCGAGACCATCTGTAATACGACATCAGCACCGAGGTTGCATATTAGCGGTGGATTATTATTTGACATAGCCCCAATGGTGCATACCGTTCAACGAGCACAAAATTGCTTAGATCTTAAACTTTTATGCCGATTGGCGTCTACTCTTGATTCCAACGTCCGTGACACGTGCTTCGCAAAATCTCTCGATAACGAGATCCCTCAACATTTATCACCTCTTATACAACAAGCATATCATACTAATGTCAGAGACTGGGTAATTGTGGTAGATGCTCCGTAGAGAGAGGCGCAGACACCAATTTACACACAAACACAGACGCGCCGAATCAATAACCTTAGAGTCCGTTCATTAATACTATTCAGATCTATCGTCTACAGATTGGTGGATAATAGCAGTAGCAAAGTCTGCTGACTGCTATATTAGACGTTTACTGGGTTTTTTGAGCAGGGGTGACTGCCGTCGGCGTGCCTTAAAGCACCGTTACGATCATCATTACAGATATTTAAAATGTTCGCAAAATGACTATTTAAATGTTTTTGATCATGCTTGCAGCAATTGCTCCCCCCGCTTTTTTTCCCATCCCTATCTGTTCTGCGGATTCCACGATCCGTGCCACCGGGCTCTGACGGGTCTCAGACGTTGCTAGTTGCGCGTGTCGCGGCGCCGTGGCCTCGTGGTGTAATATTTCGTTACACACATGAGATTACTGTAGTTACGGGCGCTGCGCATACGGACCTGGTCACGTCAACTGTCATTCGGTAGCTCCAAATTCCTGTCCTTTGCCGTCAACCCGTGTGTTGACAATATGGATAATCCTAGTGCTACTTCCACGAACACCGATGCTGAGCAGCAGCGCCCTGAAAAGCCTGATGCTGAGCAGGAGTGCCGTGAAACGCGTGACGCTGAGCACCGCCTGAAGTACTTCGATACGTGCAATTGGTTCAGCTTCGTGTTCATCGCATGGAGCCGCTCTTGGATGAACTACTTCTGCAAATCTTTCATTGAGCCCGATGATATACATCCGTTACCAAAAGTGGATTCCGTCGACCTTTGGCAGCCCATATTCGCCAAGCATGTCAGTGATGGGCTGTTGCGATTGGAGCGATGGGAGTCTGCCTCCGCTTCGGAACCAGGAAAGCCAAAGGCGTTGAGACCGTATAGGAGCATTATTCTACGCGCTTTGTTTTTAACGTTTTGGCGTTGTGTTGTGGTACTGCTTTTGGCCCACATTGCGTTGAACCTGGTAAATGTCGGTACTGCGATCTTGTTGAAAAGGCTGATGGGTTATATGAACGACAAGGAACGATCGATGAAAGCTATCATAGGTATGATCCTCATTATTGTCGCTGTCGAGTTCGTGCACTCAGTGATCGGTCAGCACGTGTTTTTGTATTTCCATCGAGTTCATGTAAAAATGGAAGCTGCCATTACCATCACGCTGTTTCAGCACGGAATGTGCCACCGTCGTGCCTACGCATCGAGTGTTGATAGGCTGCCGGAAATGTCGTCGTGCAAGGGAGTTGTACACTCTTGGCCCTGCAAAGACAATGAATGTGCGTCCAACCCACTGCTCTGTCCGGCTAGGAGATATCAGAATAGGGAACTGCCGCCGAACATCTACGTGTATTTGTTCGTCGACGCGTACGCAATAGTGTGCATTGTCAATGCGATGATCGATATCGTGAAATTCGTCTCTGTCTTCGTTTTTTCGATTTACCTTATTGGTTCACGTATCCAGATCAATGTGTTGGTTCCCGCGTCGATAGTGCTCACTATCGTTTTTATTTTGATATTGATTGAGGCGATTAACGGTTACGTGTGGTACCACACGCTTCAGTCCAAGGATAACCGTGTGGCCAGAACGGCCGAGGCACTTGGGCACTTGAACGTTCTACGTGTCATGGGTGTGGAAGACGTGGGTTATAACATGGTGAGACACAGCCGTCAAGACGAGATGATGTTGCTGAAGACACGTATCTCCCTGCACGCCGTGAGTGTATTTTTGAACCGCATTATTGGTGTGTCTGTCTTACTTTACATTTTGCTGGACTACATTAAGACCTTGAAGACATCGATACACGAGTCCACTTTCGACATCTCAGCACCTATTACGATCATGTTTATCGTCGAAAAGATTGCCAGTGCTTCTGAGAACCTTCCCAAGACCATGAAGACCGTCGTGGAGGCTGCTACATCGCTGACCAGAGTTGAGTGGTTTATTAGGTCTTGCTCTCCCAACTATTACTTGAATACTTATAAAGAAGCCACTGCCTATCTGAAAAGCCAGTCCAATAAGTGGACTCAGGCCGACCTCCAGGATGAGCTTCCTTCTGACACAGTTGCACAGTTCAAGGATGCCTCTTTCGCCTGGTATTACGACAGAAAGGAACTACTCAGCGTTAACAAGGCGTCGAATCCATTCTTCGCCAAAATTAACTTTGAGTTGAAGGGTGGCGAGATAAAGATCATCACTGGCAACCAGGGTTGCGGTAAGACGAGCTTCATCAAAGCGATGCTGGGTGAGATGAGTCTGGTGTCTGGTAGCATGGCCGTGGCGCCGCTGTCCACCGGCATGCCCATATTCTACACGTCGCAGGAGGTGTGGCTGCCCAGCGGAAGCATCCGTTCGATCATCACGTTCGGGTACGCCTTCGACGAGGACATCTACAAACGGGTGACTTCGGCAGTCGAACTCGAGTCTGACTTCGCCTCGTGGGAGGACGGTGACATGCGTGTGATCTCCGCGAAAGGTTATTCTCTGAGTGGAGGTCAGCGTGTGAGGCTGAGTCTGGCTCGTGCGTTGTACGCTTACTTGGTCTTCAGCAAGGCTAATGAGCGCCTCGAAGATCGCTGCCGTTTCTTGATGTGTCTCGATGAACCATTCAACGGTTTGGACTCGAAGGTGACGGCTTCCATTGCGGCAAACCTTTTCAAGAAGGGTACAGGTTTGCTGGTAAGGGACGACGTTTCTGTCGTCATGGCGATGTCTAAGATGAACTTGGGAATCTGCCTGTCATCTGTTGATTCCAGTATTATGGCTGACATTGCTGTCTTAATGATTGAAGATGGCTGCTTATCCGATGAGCGAGGTTTCCAAGCCTTGAGCACAGAAGGCCTACCGCGTGATACTTCACCTACTGCGAGCTTGGGGACTCGTGTTGTGCGCAAGCACAGCTCTCTTTTCCGCATACCTGATGGAGTATGGCGGTCTTGTGAGGACGGTGCATTGAACATGCGTAAAGAAAACTACCACCTTTCTCGCCGTCTGAAGGCCCTTGCTACCAACTATACGAACGATATGGCATCACAGGGTGACCTTTGCGCCACCAAAGAGGGTTATTTGACCCTATTTAGGGCAATGGGATTGATATTGTGCTTCACAATCTTATCATTTGCGTTTTCCAGTGCCGTCGTGGATAAGGTGAATGCGATTTGGGTTGCCAAGTGGTCGGATTCGGTAAAAGCTCTTGGAGGGACGGATAGGACCACACTTACGGATCCCGCTGCCATAGTAAAGGAGCATGATCACACCAGCGTTTTGATCACCACTTTTTCGTCTTCGTACATAGGATTGATTTTCTTTGCCATTGCACTCATCGCCGTCGCCAACGTCGTCGGAGCTAATCGCCTGCACGATTTCGCGCTAAATTCAATGTTTACGAAGAGTTCATCAGTTATCACGCTGAAGAAGTCTGTCGGCGAATTGTGTACCTTTTTGGCTTCTGATATGTCTTACATCGACATTCACCTGGTGTCACTTGGCCAGCACGCCGTTTTCGGATTTTTGAAATTGTTGTTGCAATTCGCTACCGTATGTTACACGATTCCGATTTCCATCCCAGTCCCCCTGATTGGTGGTGCGATTATTTACTTCGGCCTCCTACAGAAGTACCTGGTTGCTTCGAAAAAAGGTCAGCTGCTCATGCTTGAAGGTGTTACAAACATCAACGCGGTGTACGCAAGTGTCATTGACGGATCTGCTGTGTACAGGAGTTACCAGAAGGAGAAGCAGTGCATCAAATCAATTTATGAGAGGTCGGACTATTATTACCGCAGCAAGTTCATCAAAGCCGCCTTCACTGCGCGTTTCATGATCGAGACGAAACTCATGACCTGTCTGATGCTGCTTATTGTCGCGCTGTTGCCCGTACTATACAGCTACATTACGGGCAAGCCTCTTCAGGTCGCGCAGGTTGGTCTAGGTATATCTGTTACCATGGCTATTAACTCCGCCCTCACGTCTTTCATTTTGTACTATGCGTCGATGGACAAGAGTATGTGCTCCATGTCGCGCTACAATCGCTTCTTCTTACAGGGCAGATTTTCGTTGAACGAGAAGTTCGAGAGCATGAACGAGACAGTGTTGCGCAAGGTTGGTGATAAGGATGACTGGAACAAGGAGCGTTGCGCGGGTCTGTTGAAACGTCGTAGGAACGAGTTCCGAGACTTTATATTCCGTCGTTACCGTTCGGTGCTGAGTTCGCTGTTTTACAAGCCGCGTGTGGAATTTTTGGATTGTGGAGAGTACCTTTGTGGAGAACACGTTTCGCTGGAATTGGAAAACGTGTCAGTGCCGCAGCAGGCGACGACTAAGGGTGAGAGCTCTCATTACATCTTGAAGGGCGTGACTGCGAGCACACGTGCTGGAGATGTGGTTGGTATTGTGGGTCGTACCGGTGCCGGCAAGAGTACGCTGTTGAGTGTGCTGCAGAACATTGCGTCGAAGAGGGAGGGTTCCGTGCTGCTCGACGGCCGGGAGCTAAACACTATCCCGCGTAAGGTGCTGCGCCACATCATCGGCGTGCTGCCGCAGATGCCGTTCGTGTTCAAGGGTTGGACTCTGCGCCGTTTCCTGGACCCGCGTATGTTGCACTCCGACGACGAGATCATGCACGCCCTGGAGTGCTGTGGCCTGATGGATCTCGTCCAGTCGCTGCCCGGGACCGATCCGCTGGACGCCGTCTTGGCACCCACTGCCTCCATTCTTAAAGGCGGGCACTACCTGATCACACCCCTGATTAAGATAAAAGGCGCCAAAAACACGGGTTTTGTTTTGCAAGCATCATTAGAGGATAAACCTAACGATACATCCGCTTCGAAGAGCTTCTTCTCTTCAACGCAGATGCGCATGCTGTCTTTCGCTCGACTCATTCTTTACCGAGATTTGTACCGTGTTTTGTTGGTAGACGAACCTCCGGCTGATGAGAATTCAAATGAAGGTGGATCGGAGACTACCAACCAGGATGAGAGCCGTTCCGGCGCGGCTGCGCCGCCCGTGTACGACCTTGTGCGGATGTACTTCAAACACTGCACGACGTTCATCGTCGCGCACGACAAGAACGTTTTGAAGTATTGCAACAGGTTGTTTGAGATGTGTGGTGGAGAGTTGGTTACAAATAAGGTTTTGGAGCCCGGGGATATCGAAAAGTATTTCGAGTGAAATAAATCGATCCCTATTGTAAGATCTATGGAAGCCAGTGGCTATTTCACGTGATCTGTGACGCCGCTGCATAGGGGATGTTTATCCCCTCCTACGTAATATTAAATGTATTATAATAATTTTTCCTAGCGACCGCGCTCCCCGGTTGAGGGATTCTGTGGTTCAACAGAAGCGTGCCGTCAACTCGTAATTGTAATCTTTTCGCTTTATACGCGTTTAAGTTGGTCGCTGTAATTATTAATGGCGCTGCAGCAAGAAAATTCTCACCACCGCATACTGCTGTGCGGCGTGGCCGTGACTTCCATTAGTCATATGGAGTTGTGACATCGGTTTGGTTGAGTGTGCCCACGTGAATGGCAATTTGTTTTAGGGAATAGATACGTTTTGTTTGCTTGCTATGGGGACTATTCTCTCTAGCATTCTGCCTTGGTAGCGCCGGCGCGTTGTCGTTGCACATTCCAGTGCCAAAACATCGCAGGTTCTGCTCGTATGTTTCGGCACAATTTAAAATTTCCATTCCTTTTCTCGACATGTGCAGCCCTGGCGAATAGCGCTTGCAGCCATCCGATTGTCTAATCGGAGTTGGCAGTTTGCGACTTGTTCGCTCGCGCCCAGTGCGATAGCTGCAGGATTGCCACAAGCGAGGGCAACGTGATCGTGTAAGTTTTGGGAATGGAAGACGACATTATCGGGGACCCCGGCCACAAGCCGTATGACTCTTGCCGCAATGATGCTATGCCTGATACAGCTTACTACGATAAAGCGGGATTCTTCAACCGTTTATTCTTCTATTGGGTTAGATACTGGGTAAACAATGTGCAGAAGAGCTCGTTTGACAGCGAAAGGCTGCATCCATTGCTCAACGGGGATCAAATCGGCACGTGGCAATGTTTGTTTGCAAAGAATATAAGTGATGGGATTTTACGGGCCGAACAGAAGCGCCGTGATGCCGTACTAGCGAATGGCGATTGCGACAAAAACAAGTTGTACCGCAATATAATCCTTCGAGCCCTTTTTCTAACGTTTGGTCGCCGTGTGTTACTGTTGCTGGTTGCAACCGTAGTCTTAAATGTCGGCGGAGTTGGCATATCTATGCTGTTGAAGTTGATGCTTGACAAAATGTCGTCTGCGGATTGTTCCTACGCAATGATAATTCGCTATGCCCTTTACATTGCCGTCATCGAGTTGGCGTCGTCCATGTTTGAGCAGCATGTCATCTTCTATAATTGCCGCTTGGAAACTATCATGGAGTCTGCAATTTCAATCACGCTGTTCCAGCACGGTATGTGCCACCGTCGTGCGTACGCGGCGACGACAGATGGCCGATCTGAATTGTCTGCATGCAAGGGAGTTGTACACTCTTGGCCCTGCAAAGATGACGAATGCGCGTCCAACCCACTGCTCTGTCCGGCGAGGAGATATCAGAATAGGGAACTGCCGCCGAGCATGTGCACATATGTGTTTTTGGATACTTATGCATTGATGTCACCTGTTGAGGCATTGGTCATCGGGGTGCGATTTTTCACAACACTGATAACGGCGTTAGTTATTATTCGCACGCAGATCAGCACTGATGTGGCAAAGACCATCATTATTTTGGTGTCCATGATACTCTTGACGGGGTTGATTGAGGTAACCAATGGGCACGTGTATCTGCATTCCATGCAGTCCAAGGACTACCGTTACGCGAAAACCTACGACGTGCTCGGTAACATTAACCTGGTACAGGCGATGGGACTTGATGATATTGGTTACAACATTATCCAAGACTCGCGCAACGATGAAGTGTCGGTGCTGTTCACACGTTTGACTCTGACTGCATTCAACCGAAGTACGATGATGACAATAGGTTCGATCGTTTTCTTGGTGATACTGCTGGATTACATCGGGACTCTTGAAACATCTCTGGGTACTCAGCCTTTTGAAGCCGGTATCCCCATAACTCTCATGTTTATCGTGGGCAAGATTACCAAGGCAACCGAAAATTTGCCCAAAACCGTGAAGGTCGTAGCAGAGGCGTATGCATCGATATTACGTGTCGAGAAGTTTCTGACCACCTGTTCACCCAACTATTATCTGACTTGTAAGACCAAACCACAACCGATGGATGCCGCTATGACAGCTTTAGCGTCGAAAGGTGGTCCCAGCCTGAAGCAGGACGTGGTCGTTAATTATGAGGATGCCAGCTTTGCATGGTTTCAGACCATCGAAGAAAGTTTGGAAGAGGTGCCGATTAGGTCTCCCATATTGAATGGCATTAACTTCGAGCTTAAGCGTGGCGAAATAAAGATAATTACGGGTAACCAGGGTTGCGGTAAGACGAGCTTCATTAAATCGATTCTTGGTGATATGAGTCTGGTGTCTGGAAGCATGGCCGTGGCGCCACTGTCCACTGGGATGCCCATCTTCTACACGTCGCAAGAGGTGTGGCTGCCCAGCGGAAGTATCCGTTCGATCATCACTTTCGGGTACGCGTTCGACGAGGAAATTTACAAGCGTGTGACGTCGGCAGTGGAGCTGGAGTCTGACTTCGCCTCGTGGGAGGACGGGGACATGCGTGTGATCTCCGCGAAAGGTTATTCTCTGAGTGGCGGTCAGCGTGTGAGGCTGAGTCTGGCGCGTGCGTTGTACGCTTACTTGGTTTTCAGCAAGGCTAATGAGCGCCTGGTCGGGGATCGGTGTTGTTTCTTGGTCTGCCTGGACGAGCCTTTCAATGGGCTTGATACAAAGGTTGCATCTTCCATCGCGAGGAACCTGCTGAATAGGGTAGATGGTCTCTTGATTCATGATGATGTGGCGGTTGTATTGGCCATATCAAAAATGTCAATGGAGATATGTTTTAACAACTCGAATATGCACGACTTGGTGGGGATTCCAGTGTATCGCCTTGGCTCGAGAGGTTTGAGGATGATCGACAGCATAGGCTCGCCGGATTCGCGCGACGTCACCGTTCCACCCATGGGTGATGTCGCACTTTCGGAACCAGAGAGCCTGCGCACGTACAAATCTCTGACGACCATGCCACCTGCAGTGATGCGAACAAACGTATACAGCGTATCCTCTTCCAGCTTCTCCAATCCTAGTTTTGAGGGGAAATCTCCCACCGCTTCTAAGGAAGATCTAGAAAAGGAGAAGATGCTGAACAGTGGTTCCACCCAAAAGGCATATTGGGTTTATTTTTATTGCACTGGATATGTTACGTGCATCCTCATCTTGGTCATGGTCGTAGCTGGTATTGCGCTTGAGAAGGCAAACTCTGTATTCGTTGCGTCGTGGTCGGATTCGATCAAAAAATCGTCAGACGCAGGAATAATGACCATTAATGAGGGGCGTGAGTTGTTAAAGAAACATGAGCACACTGTGAATTTGATTAAGGGATTTTCAGTGTCATACGTGATTTTAATATATTGCGGCACTATTTTAACCGCTATTGCCAGCATGCGCTGTGCCAAGAAGCTGCACCAGTTTGCAATCAATTCATTGTTTTTCAAGGGCACTGATGAACTGTCCTTGAAGAAATCGTTCGGTGACATAATCACGTTGCTGTCTACCGATTTATTTTACATTGATGAGATTTTGGGGAGGACGTGTCTGTTGTCGGTGATATCGTTCATGAGGTTGGCGATACAGTTCGTCACAATGTGCGCTGCGGCTCCCATAATCATTCCGCTGCCGATAATTATGGTGGTGTACCTCTACACGCAGGTCGTGGGAGCGCACATAACCTCATCGAACCGTTTGCAGTGTTTCATGTTTAAAGCCATTGCGAGAATCAACGCAACATTCACTGACGTTATTGGAGGTGCGGCTATTTATCGTGGTTTCAGAATGGAGTTTCAATGCTTAGAATATTTGTATGAGAGTTCCGAATACTATTTTAGAACGCGGTTTTTAAAGAAAGTGTTCCCAGCGTGGCTTATAATCATTTCAAAGATATTAACATCCTGCATTATTTTTATGGCCACTTTGTTAATTTTGGCATATGCCCATTATACAGGAAAATCAGTCCAGATTGCGACATTGGGTCTCATTATTACTCTTGCAATGGAAGTCAATTCATTGATCACATCATTCGTCTATAACCACAGCCTTACGGAGCGTATGATGTGTTCAGTGTCTCGTTATGAGAAACATTTATTACAAGGGAACAGTTCTCTGAACGAAAAGTTTGATAGCATGAACGAGACAGTATTGCGCACGGTTAGTGATAAGGATGATTGGGATAAGGAGCGTTGCGCAAATTTGCTGAAACGGCGCAAGAGCGAGTTCCGTCACTTCGTATTCCGTCGCTACCGTTCTTTGGCGAGCACGTTGTTTTACAAGCCGCGTGTGGAGTTTTTGGATTGCGGGAAATATCTGTGTGGAGAGCACGTTTCGTTGGAAATGGAAAACGTCTCAGTGCCTCAGCAGGTATCAGCGACGGGCGAGAACCGTCGTTACATCTTAAAGGCCATAACGGCTAGCGCCCGTGCGGGTGACGTAGTGGGTATCATGGGTCGTACCGGTGCCGGCAAGAGCACTCTGTTGAGTGTGCTGCAAAACATAGCAGCTGGAAGGGAAGGTTCCGTTCTACTCGACGGCCGGGAGCTAAACACTATCCCGCGTAAGGTGCTGCGCCACATCATCGGCGTTTTGCCGCAGATGCCGTTCGTGTTCAAGGGTTGGACCCTACGTCGTTTCTTGGATCCCCGCATGTTGCACTCCGACGACGAGATCATGCACGCGTTGGAGTGCTGTGGCCTGATGGACATGGTCAAATCGCTGCCGGAGATCGATCCGCTGGACGCCGTCATGGTGGAACAGAATTTAAATCCAGGTCGAGGCTTTTATCTCGTAACCCCGCTGATCAAGCTGAAAAGCCCCGACGAACAACTTCCTGTCTTAAGAAGAAAATCGTTTGAGTCGTCAAAAAGTGACGACAAATCTGGTGCAGTTTTCTCAGATTCACAGCTGCGGATGCTATCGTTCGCTCGACTTCTCCTCTACCGGAGAACATGCCGTCTGCTGTTGATCGATGAGCCCCCGTCGGACAATTGCGCTTCCGTGGCGGACGACACGGCGATTGTCCATGCCGTAACCACCATTGATGGCAGTATTCCCGTTTACGACCTTGTGCGGATATATTTCAAGCACTGCACGACGTTCATCGTGGCGCACGACAAGAATGCGCTGAAATCGTGTCAACATCTTTGGTACGTGGAGAACGGCGCAATAGTCCGGAAGGTGTCCGGTGCCGACAACGTAGCTGAGTTTCTGAACTCGACAGTCAGCTAACCACCTCATAATTATGAGTTACATGTGAGTTGCACAAGCGGTATGTCGTGTTATATATGTTCAACTGATTCAATCGTGTAGAGGTTTCTTCAACGTCGATTGTACGGCCTGCTACCGAGGCGAACGCTACACGCTGTTACCTTAGCAGCTGGGTGTTATGCATGTGTTTCAATGCCACCTTCTGCGTACGGCCAATGTATTTCTCGATCGTACAATTGACGTGTATGTTGAGTTTCACATACGCGTTAGTGCTGCTGTTGGAGAATTGCTGCGATATATGATGCTGGCCGTTTGCTTCTTCAAATTAGCGTCAGCTTGTCACTTCAGAGGTCACTGATGTTGCGTGGCTTACGTCTTGGTTCGTTTAATGCGTACTTTGACTCATCTACCAGCGCCTTGAAAGTCACAGGCTCGTTGAGGGAGAGAATGAAAAGGGACTTCCTGTTGAGCCAGCAGTTGAGGCTGCCCAGAGCTCCTACGAATCTCGAGTAGTTAAGGTTCCACTCCCTGGCTGCGCGATTGACCGTTGCTGTCCAATGTATTCGGATGTAGGTGTGTCGCTTCCTGCGTGCGTTGAACGAATACAGTAGCGCCCTCGCCGCTCGCGTAGATGCGAGCTTAATGCATCCCTTGCTGCGCCCTCGGAAGCCTCTAGCTACCTCGAATACAACTTGGCGAGGTATTTTCATATCTACAGTACCGTAACACCCTTTTGCGTGCCGCCGTTATCGGTAGCCGTAGAGCGCCGCCGGTTTCCGTGCTTTACTTTCGAATCCACCGAATTTTCACGACATTTGACTTAAAAATATCTTCTAATGCCAAATGTAGCGTGCATTGTGCAGGGAATCTGGCTTTTGTAGGCAAGCCGTCGTCCCTAGTGGTGTTGCCTATAGGTGGCCGCACATCGCAGATAATTAGTGTCTACTGACGACACAAGTTTTTAGCCTATCGCTAGCCGTCTTTTGACTGATGCTACACATCTCTGACGGGTGTTTAGTTGCCTTTTGAGCGACCAGTTTGCTTGCTTTTCCTTACACATTGTATTTCACCTTGGCTGAGATGGTAAGACACCGCATTCTTCGCCCGCTCATCAGTGCCTTAAAGGTAGAGGAGACCAGGAAGGAGACGGTAGCGCTCATGGAGGCGCTGCTCAACAGCGGCATCAAGGTCAAGTCCGCTGCTGAGGTAGGCGTTTTAAACAAGTGACCTCCACAATGCTTTCTGCCACATTTGAGCCACTATAGGCTCTCTAATGGCTGTATATCTACATATATGTTTGAATGCTTCTACGAAAGTGATGCTTTCGATCTAAGCTATGACTTTCAGGTCGGGAAGAGAGCCGTTGAGTACACTCGTGGAGACGAGATATCGAAGTGGATCTTGAACAACAAGCCGACTATAGCCAAGCTGGTTGGTAGAACCAGTGCAGTGCGTTATAACTTTCAGTGCCCGACACTTTTGGCCAATGCGGACATATCTCCGGAGAGCGACGACGTGATCCGCGTCTGCGATGAACTGATCGATGCCGGCTTTATTTATCGCGCGCAGTACCAGCCCGTAAGCACCACCATATTCTGCGTGATTCATCATCGTTGAACAGATTGAGGGCACTATCGAGAAGACCGCCGCAGGGACGTGTAAGTGGTTGCTCACGTGTCGTCATCATGCTCAGTCCGTCGTCCGATGTGGCCCAAGCGCCTGATAAAGACTCAAAAGCAGCGTTTCGACACTGTCGGATTTTACATTATTTCCTACGAGGGCAACCAGCGCTGGAACTACTTGATGCTCACTGCGATGATACTGGGAATTTTCGTAAGTCGCCATGGACCAAGCCTAATGATTTTCAGGCGATATGCATGTTCCAAACCTGGCCACTGGCGCTTAAGCTGGGGATGTGGTACATTTCGGTTGTTCTGATTACTATAATGGTAGGTCGTGCGGTCTTCTGTGCGTATATACGGCAGATTTCGTTGCTCGTGATCCGTCTGGTGCTTTTCATCCTCTTCTGGTTCGGCGGTTTCGACTTCTGGGTATTCCCTAACCTTCTGGACGAGGAGCTCGGCGTGATAGACTCTTTCAAGCCTCTGTACAACCTCACCCGGCGCACCGACACTATCTACATGCTGTGCTGCCGCGTGCTGTGCGCTATTTTGCTGGCAGGTGAGTATGCCGTGCCTCCGCACACCATAACGCCCTGCAGCCTCGATCCACGAGCTGGGAAAGACCCACGACTTGAAGGATGTAAGAGACTTTGCCCGTCAGTCGTTTTTGGACGTCATCGAGTGGGGACATAACAAGCTCACCGCCGGTAGGCTGCAAAAGTGCAGACAGACATGGATACGCAGTTCCCGAGGAAACCCCGTTGTACAAGTCCATTGGCGTGGACATTTCAACGGACTTCGAGGCAGAGGGCCACAACGAGGAGGCGGGCGAAGACGGCATGGATGACGACGGTTCGTTTTTTCGGTCAAACGGCAGACGTTTGCAGACTACAAGTGCCTTTTGGCGTGCGGCTACCGTTCGCTGGGCCAGCTCTTGAAGGAGTGCATGTTGAGCTGCGATTGTATGGAAGTGAGTGTGTGCAATTGGCGATACACTTGTGTTTCAGGAGCTGCTGAACAACCCCTGCTTATCAGGCTGCCCGGAGGATACTGTTCGCGTTTTGACGGAGTCTAAGACCGACATTTGCCGCAAAACGCGCGGCCGCTGATAGTGTTCTTCACAGGCGCGCGTTTGTATGCGCATGGTGTGTATGGTTCGAGCGTCTGGAGTGCTTAGTGATTCTATATCCTTTGCGCCACCGTCTTAGGTGTTTATGGGAGCCTCTAGGTGTCGGTATTGATTCAGCGCGTGCCACTAAGCTATTCATATAGGTGCTCATCTCGTATTTCGGCACCGCATTCTCGTCGTATTCCGTTGCATATTTTGCATTTCCCAACCGTTGATTTTGACGTATTCGCAATGGTGAACATTACCATAAATAATCAATTTGGCGACAGCCAGCCGGCTACGCTGTCTCTGACGAACATCTCGGACGACATTACGTTGTCTAGTATCTGCATCCTCATCGACAACCAGTTCAAGTGTCTGAAAAAAGATTACAACGATGAGCGGGACCCTTGCGAGAAATTCGTCCTGTACTCCGGTAACAAGGCGCTGGACAACCAATGCCAGTTGCGCGAGTACAACCCTGTGGGTCTCCCGGAGATCACGTTCTACCTGTACGAGCGCAGCTTCCTGAACATCACTGTGAAGGTCGTGAAGCGTAAGTTTTGTGTTCTGTGGCCTTATTTGCGTACAGATGTGGAGTGCTGCGGCCTGTTCTGCAGCCCGCTGCTCAGCAACATCTTCGCCCAAAAGTACTCGTTCACGCTGCTCGACCAGGAGACCGTGCTGGAGCTCAAGCACAACGTGCTCGGGAAGCTCACTTCCTATGTGAACAGCCGCGGGTTGGTGTTTTTTGCTTCGTGATTATACGTTTCTCAGTGAAAGCCTCACCCTGGAGGACTTGCGTTTAGTGAACAAGAAGATGGTCATCGAAGACAACTTGATGGTGTTGAAGGACCTCAACAACGGAAAGGACGCTTCGCTGTTGCTTTTGGTGCCGATGGGGTACCGCAACAATCCCGTGGCGCGCGCCTCTGTTGTCGCCGAGCCCGTGAAGGACGACGAGGGCACCAAGGCAACAGCGTCCCTTGAAAGGTCCCCCACTCCCAGATGCGTATCGCCCGTCCCCGAGCCTGTGGAGGCAGAGCCCAAGCAAGAAGAATAAATATACTCCGTCCCTAACCAACCGAAGGAGCCCATCCCTGCGGTACCCGCTCCGAAAGTATAAACAACAGCGATTCTACGTTAATGTGCATTAGTGTTTCACGTCTCCTGTCTGCCTAACAGGTCTCTCAGACGATAATGTCTGTTTTGTGTGACTGTCCCACTTGTGGAATATAGCCCACGTTGTGGCATCGCAGTTGTCCCAGTTTGCATCTTGGTTACAAGTACAACACACGGGTATAACGTGAATTCTCAGTCATCCTTTTCACGTTCGTCCTCTGCAGCAAGTGAGGTTGCTGAGCGATGATACGTACTGATTTCTGCGCCGCTGGCAAATTTACGGATCATGGAGACGATAAGGTTGAGCCAGTAGATGTTCATCACCTGCGATGGGTAACTTGCGATTCAGTGCCAACCAACCGTGAGAATGGTCAAGAGGCATATGCACAGCAGCCCTCCGGGCACTGTGAACACGTACTTCATTGCGTACTCGTAGGTCTCGGGGGTGCCGATGTTGAAGAACAGCGGCCTCACTACGTAGGCGCCGAGCATCACCAATCTGCAGACGAAGTGCGAGGTTCCGTAAAGCAGGAAAACGGCTCCGGTGACGAGATCAGGGACAAGCCTTAAGTACGATAGGCACTTGGTGGTGAAGAGCAGCACGTCCGGTATGTCGTGCAGGATGATGATAATCTGCATCCCAGATGAGTTGCGAGGGTTCGTTGAACCTACGAGCCCGGTCCTGTGGAACCTGTACGAGTATTCGAGCAACAGCAAGGCCACTGTGGTGAAGTGGTGGAACCGCAAGATGTGGATGTCCGACCGCCTAGTCTCCCAGTGGATGTACAAGCAGCAGCTCATCCAGAACCCCATGCTGATGAGTTTGAGCATCCTGACGCCACCGGACATCGGCATGTTGGGCCACGTGATCGTGTTGTTCTCCACGTCGGTGAGGGTTTCGTAGAAAAACCTGAACGTTGTGCCGCATATCACCGCCGCCCTACTTACCACATTCCCTTGTGGTCCTTGAGGAAGTAGTAGAGCCATTTGGGTTCCCCTGGCGTGCCGTACTCGGCTCGCAGCAGTAGAATCGTACATGTCAGCGACGTTACGTGCCAGCAGAGATACCTGGCCACGATGAACTACGCGTCCGCCTCACTCACCACAGGGATTCTGCGAGCTTGTAGGTCTTCTTCGGTTTGGCGACATCCGCCTTGTCGATGAGGACGTTAAACAGCGGCTTCCACAGCGGATCCTTTTGTCCGTCGTATCCCGCGAGCAGGAACCGTAGTACCGTGAGTACGACCATGGCAGTAACGACAACGCAGGCGTCGGACTTGAGCTGTCCATCTGACGTGGAGAAGAACATATCGTGTACGGCCCTCATCATTTTCGGTAGAATATTCACGGCACTCTGTTGCGATTCCGCTTAACCCCGCTGACAGAACTTCCTATCACCGCGGTTCGGTCGTGTGAGTCACGGAGCGTGTGTTGCCATGTGTGCACTTCAAGTGCTGCTTGTGTGTAAATGGCTACACACTGCGATACTCCGTGTGCAAATATCGCTAGAAGGTGGACTTGTGCTCACAAGTACGACGGAAGTCCCGCCCAGCGGCTGCGCTCCGCTCGGTACCGCCCTCAAAGACGGAGTGCTCGTCGCGCCGCAGCGTAGACACGAGAGTGCGGCTTTAAGGCTCAAGTGGCACCTATACAGCTGTCTAAATTGAAAGGCTGTCGTGTTTATTTTTTCGTGGCTTCCTTGAGGTAGGCAATGAGGTCTGCCCTCTCCTGTTCCTTCTTCATGCCGGCGAAAACCATCTTGGTTCCAGGGATGTACTCCTTGGGGTTGACCAAATACATGAAGAGGTGCTTGTCGCTCCACACGATGCCTGTTTCGGATTGAGTGGCCGTTTCATTGCGTTCATAATCGCTATTCGGCGTGTACTTACCGGAAGATTTGTTGGCGTCGGTGTAAGCGTAGTCGGCGGAGCCCGACTGCCTTCCGAACAGCCCGTATAGGTTCGGACCCTGCTTGGTTGCGCCTCCTGCAGCGTGCTGTGTTCATTGCCGTGGGTGCTTTCGTACCTTTGTTAGTAGTGTGGCACTGGGCGCACTTGGACTTGAACAGCTTGGCGCCCTTCTTCTCGTCACCAGCTGGGACATTAACATCCGGCTCGGGCTTTGCCATTATTTCTTATAGGCGATTTAGCGAATGTCTGCGCGAATCATATGTGCCTTAGGCTTACAAGCGCACATGGATCAAACCACGGACCACCATCGCACGTAACACTAGATAGAATTTGCCATTAACTACGAATGGTATTATGAGCCGTTGCTTGGCTCATAACCCCGCGGGGAGCCCAGACGAACACACTGGTGGCTCTCTATACATAGCAAAGAAGGCCAAAGAAAAGATAACGAATACACCGACGCAACAACCTTCCACATAGACTTACGTAGTCAGCAGGAGCAATTTTTCAACGGCTTTGGTTGGTTGCAAGTGTGGAAGGTGGCCGCGTAGCGCGCGGGTGTGAGGGGGATGGTGTCGAAGGGGCAGGAATGGCTATGTGGGTGTTGAGGGGACACAATTTCCTTCTATATGACTCCTAGCTTTTCTAAGCAAATTTTCAATAATGCATGAAATTTCGTTGGCGCCGCTGCCTTGTTATCAAACACATTAGGTGACCATCAGCTTTTTTTGCCTATTGCTTTCATTTCTCTCCCGTACGGTTCAATGCCACGTATTCGATTACTTTGTATATGGAAGCAGAGAAAATTCTAATTTAGGTTGCGTCAAGCGATTCTATTGTGTTGCTTACGATATTAAATGACTTTTACCCCTAGGCATACACAATGACTCAATGGCACGGACGTAGGTAACAAGGGTAAAAAGTCTACAATATTGCGACACAAATAGATTGTCTTGATCAATTATAGTCGCCATATCGTAACGATGTTTGACAGTCCATCTCTGGTCCAATGGGTGTGTATGGTCCTTCCACCCCGTCGCCTGCCTTCAAAAAATTAAAACCGTGAATTTATGTGCCACAAATAGCGTATATAAATTCTTTCAAATCCTGGCTTTTGACTGGCCGTAACATTCGCCGCAGGCTGTGTTTATACTATACCCTTGTCGGCACCCTCTAGATAGTTATTAGCCGAAAACAGTTGTAACACGAACTTGATATTTATAAGTTGGGAATATATTGTCTATAGAATAATGATGATTGCTTTTTGCTAGTGAGACTTTTGGATTCCACATTAGACAAGCCGGTTATCGCAACGCTGCCAATTAGCGCCTTCTACTTTTTCTGGTGACAGTTGGCGCTCTATTGTGACATAAGTGTGGTTACAAGCAGCTAGGTGTTGGATGGAGTGTCAAGGGGTGCGGAAGTCATTATTGAAAGCGTTTCGGTAGCACCATGTACTGTAATGCCCATGCGCCACGGGAACAAGAGCATCAGGTTACTGGATGGGTACATACATATGACATCCTTCTTCATTAAAGTTTGTCTGTGGCTAACATGTTTCGTACTAGTGCCTTATACATCGATTTCATCTCTGAATCTTGTTCAAGCAGTCCAGCTGCTGCCTAGTCAGCGTGCAATATATCGCAATGGATTCCCTCAACACCACCGAGCATTCCTCTTCGGCGTGCCACCGCGTGTTGACAACCTGTCACTTGTTACGACACGAAAAGGCGCATTATCGCAAGGGCTGAGGCATACCGCCACTTATCGCAAAATATCGGGGCCGTGTATCAATGTCCATCGTCCAACTGCTCTGGGATTGTTCGGTGGTTTGTCAGGATGGTTTTCCAACGCAATCGGCAGCCGGTGGTATGTGCCTCCGATGCCTACTGGCAAGCTTGCGTCCACTATTCTGCGCAAACACGGTCCGCTGCAGACAGGTACGAAGCGTGGCGTTGCGTTCTGATGTGTTGCAGAAGAGGAAACAAAAAGCTTCTTCGAGCTGATCGGCGCACACCGCGATGCCGATTTGGTGGAGATAGGACAGGCGTACGAGCACGCCGTTGACACACTTCCGGAGGACATGCGCGAGGTGCTGAAGCGGTCTTTTCACGAGTTCCTCCGGAAGCAGTTTGTGGAAGCCTTCGAGCACATGGAGTCGTTCATTAAGCGCGGACCAGTCGCCTGGGAGGAGTATTGGGACCCTTCAAAGTGAGTTTGCGTTGCATTATTGTATAATACACCCCTCAGGGACGCATATGGCAATCCAGTTGTCAGCAAGTTCGCCACACCCGAAGAGGAGGACCAAGCCATGGCAGACCTCATGCCACCAGAGTTAGACGTGTCGAAGTTCCGCGAATACTGGCGCAAGAACAGTTCGCGCTTCAACACGATGATGAACAAGGTGGACATGACGTCAAGGGTACGCCTGACCAGGTAGGTACCACCGACGTTAAACCTAATCTGCACTTAGCAACTTTGGAGGAAGGCTACTGAAGTGCACTACTACGATGATTCCGGTCATGATCATGGGACTGTTCCCGCAGTTTTCTTCAATGTCCGTGGCATTACAGGGTCTACTGGCGTCGGGGTTCATATTCAAGGGCGACCGTGCTGCCATCCTCGCGAGAGAGAAGGTAATCTCACCTTGTTCATAAACCTCACAAAATACACAGAAAAGCCTGGAACCAGGCCCCGCAGCGGCTCCGCCGGCACGGTCACCCTCATCGAGGACGTTACTTACATCGGCGGTTCTCTGTGTCCACAGCCTGCTGGGTATAGGTGCTGCTAAGCTTATGGAGCATTACGTAGGTTGGGCTATAAACACATCACAGTGCTATGCAGACGGCGGTGTTGGAATACTTGACTCCCCAGATCCTGAAAGTTGCCAGCATCAACTTCCAGTTCCTTATCGCAGCCTTGTTGTGGGACACCAGCGATCTTACACCATCCGGCCACGCCAAGCTCGAAGAGCGCCGCATGTCCAAAATCACAGACACTCTGACAGACATTGTGGATTAAAATTTTAAAATGCACGACACGGTGTACTTCCAACCCCTGGAACAGGGGTTCACCCCAGCTAGGTATTTGTGTACTATGGCGGATCCTGACAGCAACTGGCTGTCGGTTAGTAAAGTGTGTAAACATTACAAACACAGTTTCCAGAACCTTATGAACGCTCATGTAGTGAGTTATTCATGAGCGTAGACAAGAGAGCAGAGTTGTGCTACATTTACAGAAACAAGTAGCGCACATCCCTCTGCGACACTGGCATGCCGTTGAAGACGGACCACTGGCCCATCCACGTCAGCAGCTGCCACCAGTCCCTAATGGGATCTTCCGTTTTAGTCGCGCGCACAATTGCGCGTCGGTGCTTTTCCGAGGTCTCAGACCTCGGCTTCTCAGTCTGTTTATGGTGTGCCATCAACAAAGCCTCCCTATACAAGGCGGCAACATCGTTCTTCTCCCGCAGCGTCGATGGCAAGTACGCTTTGGGTGTTGGGTCTTTGATGTGCCTGTGATGATGCTTAGTGGGCTTCATCTCCGTGATGGTATCGTGTAATAGTTTAACGAGGTTTCCCTTGTTATCCTCCGCAGCGAACTCAACGACCCTGTCGTAGGTTTCTTTCACTGCTGCCAAGCATGATTCCGCAAACTCGCTTGAATTGCTGCAGAAGACTTCCTTCTTACGTTTCCACTCTTCCGCTTGCTCCAGCAATTCATCCTTTTCTTGGATATCTTCGTAGAGACGACCAGTGGTGAGAACAAAGATGGCTTTTTCGCTTCCATCGGTAAACACTTGCGCTCCCTGTCGTTTGAAGTGCTCTACGCATTCTTCGCATGGTTCGTGCAACAACAGCCACTCGAGTGGGTCCGCTGGTTCCTCTATATTCAGATACCTTTCCCTGCGCGTGTTATCGCCACCCCCTGGCATTGATTTCACTGCCGATTTATTATTATTTGATACGACGCCGTTGTGTCCTGATGAGTCGTCCGCCCCATCGGTTTTGCCAGCTAGCTTCGCAGCAAGGCGCTTCCTCAATTTCCAGCACCCGCGACTGCATGTTTCGTCGAGGTCAGAATCCGTACCATCGTCGTCTCCAAGATCGCTATCCCCGTCCATAGTTGCAATTGGAGCTGCATTTATGGGTTGGGATATGTCGGGGGTGCTTTCCTCGGAGCTGAAAAGATCACGACCGCCATCCATCCATGATGATGCGACTTTCGGTTCCTCCTTAGCTTCCGTTTCGGCAGCAACCTGCTCCTCCATTTTCTTTTCATAATACTGCTTTCGTTTATAGACGTATCTGGAGCAGTTGGCAAGCCACGTGTGGAATTCGTGCCAGTCATTGATGTACCGGACGGCAATCTCCTCCTGTTGGAGTTTCCTTTGTTTGTTCATCACCATGTTGCGCTCCACATTGAACTTTGTGGCCTGAAGAGGCACCGTGTTGCTCTGCCCCCTAAAGAAAATGTTCCACAGCGATATGAGTTTGAGCTTGTATTCCATTTTTCCCATGTGATGCAATTCCTCCAACAAGTCCAAATTTAGATCATGTAGGACATTGTGGAAGTAAATCATGCTGTTCATGAAGTCGTCGGTTAGGTACGTGTTCGTCTCCCAGCCTACCCACAGTAGTTCCGCGTCGGGGTTGAGATTCCTCAAGAACGGTGCAGACACATTGATCATTTGGGCATCATCCGGGAACAATTGCAGGAACGACATAAGATTCAACACCCAATCCAGTGATTTTATGGGAGTCATTGCCTGATCCATTACAAAATGGTGGAATTTAACCTCTTTCCTCTGGATGCTTCTATTACCATGTGGATTCGCTCCGGCAGTGGTTTGCGATAAGGGCCCCAATACATACCACAGGGGGATAGAGCCAGCACGTGAGGATCCACTGGATCCCCATATACCAAAGGCGCTTTGGATGTCCGAGAGGAACGTTTTCGTGACGGTGCTCTTGATCAGCTGGGTTGCCGGCGGTTGGCCGTTGTCATAGATTCCGACAACTCGCAACTTTTCGGTTACATAATTAAGGGAGTTCGTCGTTTCCCTATACGTACCGGTGATGTTGGAAATCCAGGATAAAATGAGGATAACCGCTATACCCAGCAGCACCATGAGATTAATGCGCGTTCCCATTTTGCCCCCGGCTCCATTTCCCGCTCCCCTATGCAAAGTTCCGCTCATAACAGCTGACGACAAGTGTAGTGCGCTTAAAGCCGTAATTGCGGTCAACAATGTTTTGGATCTAGAGACAGAATGCTGTACACCGAACCAATGGAAGAATCCCATAACCGCCCAGAAGCATAGCAAGACCCAAATGTATTTGAGGCAGGCAAACGGGCCAACGTCAGAGTAATAGTCAAGGTTGGGTTTGAATCTCTGTGATGCACGTTCTCCCTTGAGACGAGCGTTGTAGACAACACTCAATTTGTCCTCCGTGCTTAAGGTATTGAAGCCGGGTGAGCCGCTGACAAAGCCAAGTGCTGACGTTTTACTACCTTTCATGCCTACTAAAGAGTACCAAGCTCTGTTCACCTGAGCCTTTATCTGCGTTATCTTTGTGTTGAGGAATTTTAGGCGCAGACATTGCATGGCAACAGTGGCTAGCGTCCACGTTATGTTTTGAATAAGCAAAATATTTTTGTAAGCAACCTTTAAACAAAATCTGAACAGTCCCAGAAGCGTTTGTACAACACGCTCTTCCGCCGCAGCAATTTGGTTGATCTGTTGTTCGTAGCAAGGGAAGGTAGTACGTACTTTCCCTGCGACTTCATACATCTTCTCCATTTTTGCCATCCTTTTTTTGAGGCCACAGTGAGCAAATTCCAACAAATTGCAGAAAGCAGTCAGGGATTTATTAACTTTAGCAACATTTTGTGATATTTCCGCCGCACATTGTGTTAGCTTCACTAAATTTACCTTTAACGTCGTCGCATTGCTTTTAAGTGAATTGACATCCTCGGTTATTATCTGCAGCGCACACCCTAGTTTGTGGCTGCAACATGAGGTACCCATGGCAATTGGGCTACCATATTTCATTTCTATCTGCTCTGAACATGCGCAACTCTTCATCTTACATTTATGTGGGGCAACAGCAACAGTAGCAGCTTTGGATCTTGGCGACTTTTGAGTTTCCAAACACCCATCGCAATGAAATAGAGAATCTGAAAGCCTTCTCAAGTTACAGCCCTCGCCGCACACAGTTCCTTGTTTGCAATTGCAACCTTGGCAATTAACCTCTTCACACTTTTTAGACGTAGGGCCGCACGATGCTCCACACATTACATAACATCGCACCCGTTCCCTCCAACATAATGGATTGCGACAAACATGGGTTTTCATACCATGACACACTTCCTTCACTTTGTCACAAAGTGGACAACTAGATGGTGGAGATGAGCATGAACAGTTTTGAAGAGACGGTGATACAGTCGACGTACAACTCGGAGATTTAGTGCACACTTGGACGCCCTTATTGTCACAAACCTTAGTATATACGGTATGGAAAATAAAAAGAATTCCACACGATAACGACGCAGTTGGACCCGAAGGATCACATTTTGCACAACAAAAACAGTACTTTAAGATGGGGTATACTGCATCCGCTATGGTTTTGGCTCCCAACATGCCTTTCTCATCCGCGCAGCAACTGCACTGCGATCCGGGAGGGCCGGAATGATTGCATTTCAATTCTTTATTTTCGGATACACAATTCACCAATTGTGTCACAAATCTCGAAAATCTAGCCGTCTCACTATCTTTGCAACAGCTCGGAGGGCACGAGGACGTATCAGCAGGCGTACCGCAGCTAGTCACTTCCAGGTTCTGGCACAAATCACCAATATCGTCACACTCTACACTGGAATCCTTAGCGCATGATAACACCTTTCCAACACTTTCAGCTAAAGTTTTGACATAAATCTTAAATTCCTCGGCAGAATCGCACGTCTCCTTTTCCGACGGTACAACATTTTTTGGACATTCGGTATAAGCATGGTTATATACATGCGATTTACGTGGTGTATGTTTCGGTTGCTTACCACCTTCCTCAGCTACCTCCTTATATGTCATTTCGCAAATTTTGGATCTTGCTTCAAGTGATGCAGCCGCCTCGACAGCACCTTTTAAGCATGCGTCCAATAAACCACCCGTTAAGTTGGTATACTCATTCAAAAACGAGCTGTCAGGGTCCTTCACATTTACTTCTTTGTCTTTACGTATGATAGTTGTATAACTTGATTTTTCCTTTAGCGCCATGTCTGGGCACAGCTGCCCAATTGTATCGACTAGCCCCGAATACCATAACACCACATCGTCAATCAAGCTGTCTATGAATGTTTCGCCTGGTGCCAAAATCCGCTTCATAACGTCGTGCATATATTCAGCAGATGGTTGGAGTAAATGATATGTATCGTTGCATTTGTTTGTGTCAGATTTAGTTGTTTTATCCCACTCCACCATATATTCATTAAGTTTCAGCAGGTCAGAAATCGATAACACAAGTATGACCATGACACGTATTGTGTTGAGAAGTCCAACAGCACTAAACTCATCGTTGTAAAGTGCTTCTGAATGTTTAGACTCGGTGCAGCATTTCGACATTTCCACAATCCTGCGGATTAACTCGTTTTTGTAAGAGTGCAACATTATAAGAACTTTGCAAATCATCCGGAGAATCTTTTCCAGAAGTTTCCAAACACATTTAGGCGTGTATTCGTGATGTTCAGTGTCGCTGCCATGGTGATGACCGTGCCCGTGTCCACGGCAACCTCCATGATGATGCCCGTGTCCGTGCCCATGTCCGTCGTCATTATCTTCATCACTGTGCCCATCATGACTCTCTTCATCACTATGATGACTGCCATCCGCATCATGATCGTTGTGTCCATTACCGTGTTCTTCATCATTACCATGCTCATGTTCACTGTGACCCTCATGACCATGATCGTGTTCCTCTCCATGATCATGCTCATCGTGATCTTCCTCATGATCCTCACAGTCACATTTACGACGTTGCCGCAGTTTTCTATGGATATCTTTTACATCCCAGCATAACTTACAAAGCCACTCCTGTATCAGAATAAGCTCATCTATGGTGAGCAATATGTCAATCAAAAGCATTATCGACTCACAATAGCTCCTGAGCATACACATAAGTCTCCTTTCCAATTCTAATGATAGCTTTTCTGGCACGTCTCCTTTCTCATTGAATATCTCTTGCTTGTGGATATCGTTCACCAGGCTTCCACAGCGGTCTTTGACCGAGCTGATCGAGCTCTTTAGGAAATCTTTGATGTGAGTTTGCTTTGACAAAAAACAACACGTGCAGCCGGAAATGGCCCGGATGCTCGCATTACGTGAATGACTTATTGTAATTCTGCCATGTCCATGCTTCGATTCCTTCTCATAATCGTTTGTATCTACAACACGTCGTAGAACACACATACAGCATTGTCCAAAGGTGGTGAGCCTATTCAGGAAACTGCACGCAGTGGCGTCAATTCGTTTTGTAAGTCCATCAGCGTACATTGTGCCGGTCCTCTCCGTCTGCAGCATTAGAATAGACTTCTGATGCAAGAGCATTTTATGCAGCAACTGTAGTGAATCCCATGACGGGTCAACCGCAAATGGCATACCATGTAACATCCCGTTGCAGTTGATGAAATCGCAATACTGTTTCATGATCTCGTCAACGTTGTCATACAGGCTTCCGCTGTACAAGTTCCCCAGATCCCAAAGCGTGTGATAGATTCTCTCTACTGCTTGAGTGCACAGAAGGTATGTGGAATCACGGCATTGCCACTGCGCCCACAACTCACCATGTAATAGCGTCCACTGCGTGGTGGCGCTTACTCGCGCTCGATTCATCGTTCGTTTCTTTAGGTGTGACACGGCTCTCATCTGCGAGTTGCCGATGGACTCCTGATACGTGGCAACATCCTTAAACATTCTTGCCTGACGACATACGCTCATCAGTGCGTCAGCGCCTGTTGTTTTGAGCACCTCCCGTCTGTTGGCATGCTTGGCCCCAAGCACACGGCGCATCCCCGCACTGTGCCCGAAGAACTCACCTCGAGGCGGCGGATTTTCGAAATACGCTAACCACGCAGGAGCGATGGCAGCTACAGCGTACACGATGAACTGGGTGAATACGAGGTTCACCGAACGCGATGGGTTGTGCGTCACTGCAATGACGAACGCAATGAACAGCGGGTTGGCCGTCCATAACAAGGGCACATATAGCGAGTTGATTTGCTTCTTCAATGAATCACGTGAAATGTGGCAGGGCGCGCACATGATTAGCGGGAACCAGCATTCTTTATCGAGGCATGTTTTTTCTCCGGTGCACAGAAACATGTAAATGGTGAGGGCAGCTGCGATGGCGCACATCCCGGCCGCCAGGCAGCAAAGAAACATAAGCGTCATCCTTGACCGTGACACGTAGAACAACATCCCTATATCCTCAGAATCGCCCCCCAGCAGCCAGTTGCCCACGAACCAGCATGACAGAAGTGGCCCTGCCATGGCAGTTCCCACGAAGAACGCTGTCAGGCGATAGTAGGTGTACGCAACACCTCCCGGCATAGAATAGTCTGTCATGCAGTAAATAGCCGCCGTCTGCGCCATGCTCGACAGCATGGCGGTCGCCGGAGCAAACCTCATCAGACTGTTGACCCGCAGATGCAGGTCGCTGCTCCTGGCCCATATGTACCCCGCGGCACCGCAATAGCACACTGTCAGCAGACATTGTTCCACAGCCAACGATATCCTTCCTCCAAGCCCAAATAGGAGCGCGATGGATGCCCCGATGAATGCGCAGAATATAATCAGCTGCCTTGTATTGTAGAACGCGTTGGAGAGCTCAGCGTTAATCCCCAGCCCATCCAACAGCGCAATGCTGCCTACATAGCCTAAGGCGTATACTAGCGTCACGCTTATGCCTACGAAGAAGTAGGCGACGCAGCTGAATACCGGCGTGACTCCGTGGAGCCTCCGGTCACGGTCGTCGTAGTCCCAAGAATACGCCATTGGGAACTGATGCTACCTGACTCTTAGTGCTCCCTCATATCTCCTGCCATCTAGTTTATTCTCCCAGTAGGCCCTCATTTCAGACCGGCCAGGCGGAAGCTTGATTTATTGCCAGCAATTAGCGGCATACGGCGTATCTTCCTGCCAGGGCAGGCTGCAGCACAGCAACAGCCTTTTGATACGCGTAAAAATATGTCGGATAACGCACGGCAGCTACGGCGCCTAGGGACCCATGCCTGCCCTCTTCGTCAGGATGGGTGCTACTAGGGAGCCCTGTTAACTGCCGTCACATTGAACACACAAAATAGCCAGGGCCATATAACTTTAACGTGCTATTTTAAGACGTAAGTGTGTCGTATTTATCTCATGTGTATTTTGCTTTACCGCTTTATTACCCTAAAGCGTTACACATCGCCTATGTGAAGCAATGGCAGGAATGCCATAAAGATGCTTAGTCAAACGTTTCTCGCTGCCTCAGGATTATCATATTCGTAAATTAAAACCATAAACCTTTTGACAGCGTGTGTCTTAGGTCCATTCCTTTCATTATCGGATTGCGTGTCTTGTCTGGTTACGATAATTTCAATGCTCCGCCATTCAGACGACACATAACATTAGAGCAATGCGAAACAATACCGATATAGAATGTGTAATGTTTAAATTCTGGCAACGAGCTTCAGTATTGTTATCGACCACTAGAGCTTAAAAGACTGCGGCATGTGTCGCCACACCCGTAGGAATAAAGTGTTTTTTGTACACATTGTCGCATTATATAATGCTGATTACCCTGAGATAACGCCTCGGATAGATCGCGATCGCAATGTCTAATCCAGAATTCCACCCTAATCCCTGTTGTCGAAAAGCCCTCGTCGACTTCTCCTATATCGGCACCGGATTTCACGTAGGTGTATCATGATAGTGCTCATGACAGCATTAAGGGATTGTCATATCAACCAGATGAACCTAATACCGTCGAAGGCCACCTGTTCACCGCCTTCGCCAAGGCGCATATAGCAGCCAATGTTATGAACAAGTATGCTTGCATTGTGACCTAGTTGCCATGACTACGCAGTGGTTACGAAAGGTGCGGGCGAACGGATGCTGGCGTCCATGCGCTCCACAATTACTGTTCATTCTTTATGGATCCATGGTGAGTAATGCTGTATCCTACCTTGTAACCCATGCAGCTCCCCCGAGGATCCCGCTGCCACGTCAGCGCCGGACAGCAACGAAAGGCGTGCGTGCTATCGCATCAACACCTTCGTCAAGGCTGCAAACAAGCACCTTCCCCGGAGCATTCGCGTGAACAGCGTCCAACGCGTGGCCGACGACTTCAGCGCCAGGTACACCGCTGATCACAACTCCATTTATCGCCTTACATAAACGCAGGCACAACTGCGTTCGTCGCACGTACAAGTATTTCTTTCAGCTGGGGACTATGAACTTAACTCTAATGCAAGAGGCAAGCCAGCATTTTGTTGGTTACTCCCAATCTCCCCTTGATGCTCTACAGGTTGGCAGCCACAACTTTCGGCATTTCTGCAAGCAAGACAATCGCAACCCTAAGGACCCCAACCGCACGATATATTCCTTTACGGTGGAACGGTACAACGATTTGCTCTGTGTCGCTACGGTATGTGGTCGTTCCTTCCTCTGGCACCAGGTAATGCCATCGCCGGTGACATGTGATGACACCGTTGCAGGTGCGGTGCATGGTTGGAGCGCTGTTTTTGGTGGGAGGCGGAACAATAAGTGCTTCCAAGATAGCTGAGCTACTGCAACGTCCAGATGAACCTAGGTTTCAGTGAGTACACGTTCCTCGTATTATGGATCCATGCCACTTAGGTACAAGATGGCAAGTCCGCATGGGTTAATACTAGTGGACTGCACTTTTGACACTCCCACGATACCACGTCCTATAAGCAGCCGAAGCACGTATAAGGTGAGCGTGCCTACTTGCATAATGCATATAGACTTCAGGAACTGCTGGATGACACTGTTCAAACCCTAGGTCCTATGTCGCTTCTGGCAAATTGCGAATGAGCAACACTGCGTCAATGGAATTATTATATTCTCACAACATATCAATATACCCTGCGTATGGCTTGGTCGACTTAATAGCCCGTGTTTAATGATCGCATTACATAAATCGTAGCAGACAGGGCTCGTGTCAGTCTAATTTGGTGGCATAGCACTTATGGCAGCGCATTGTGTTGCGATGAGAAGCATCGCAACATTTTAAAGTTGTTACCAAAACTTGCCCATGTTGACCGCCACATAAGGCATTGAGAGTTAGGATACCTGGTGGATGTATGGCACTTGTTATGCTGCAGATTGATAACCATGCAAACTGGAAGGTTCAACATGGCATGCTAAATCGATCGAATGACCATTGCAATAGCCACAAAATTTAATAGAATGCATGCATCGCACACATGGTAACATTTAATGCGTTGCTGGCACTTCAGTTGGCACATAGAAGACTCAACATGGCACAAAATACCGAGGAAGGTAGCTCTGGTACGTTGCCATAAAGACTGTAGACATACTACCTCAGATCCGTTACACACAATAGCCGCAGGACTGCACATAGCGAATGGGTGCCACACCTGGCAGCCACGCCGCGTATCTACGGCCATAGGCCGCAAGTTCGGGGTTGTAATACACTCATATAAATTTTAGACAGCTATGTGTGGGGGGTTACGGGTATCCACGGCACACTAGCTGGAGGACCCCGGGGCCTTAAAACCGAACAGGGGTATTTATACCGATTTCAAAGCAACTCGGTCATTAGGATTCTCCAATCTGACGCAACTGTGTTGCGGTGACGTGTTGGTCGGCTGTATGTGTACACGCGCCTTCGGAAAAAGCGGGACGTGGAGTATCGGAGCCGCCACATTACGTACCGTGACGATTCCACTGTAGAAACGCTTGTGAATTTTTCAAGGGTTACTACAGTGCCTGGATCGGTTGAAGGTGGCGCTTGCTACGCGCCGCTTTCCACAACATAGATCGCAAATAGACAGCCGCGTCGCCGTTTATTATAATTAACGCGTTGCCCATCACAGCGACGGCTTATTCCGATGGCTGATGAGTCTGAGAGAGTCGGCGGCAGTGATGCTGGCACGGGTGCGGATGACAACAAGTCGATCGATGAGTCGTCTGCTACTTCGTCCTCCAAGAAAAACTGCAGGCTGATGGAACGTGGCGAAAACGCTCCGCAGTCGGATGCCCCCTCAGCGAATTCCGAAAATGGGAATAGCTGTGGAGTGGATAAGGATGGAGGTGTCCCTGAGCCAGCCGCTGCGGCAGCAACGGAGTCAGTTGCTGCGAGCACTGCACCGGCGCATTCCTCGAATGACACAAGCGTGACTGGTCGTTCAAATTCGGCGGGGGGATCAACGGCTTCAATGGGTCGGCCTGCTCCGGGATTCTCTCACATTGCCAGACGGCTGATGACGGACAGCGCCAACATCAACGTCGACGAGCTGGTGCAGGCGATGGACGCTCACCAGCCATCGTCCGGCGAAAGCGAGGACGAGAAAGAGGACCGCATGCGCTTATCGGAGACGCAACGCATGCTGCGGGAGTTGACGGCGGACTCTGACCTGATGAACCAGGTGATGCGAGCTGCGACCAACCCGGAGATGGCCAAGGAGCTTGCGCGGCAGGCCGATACCGCCTGGAGAAACATCGAGGCTGTGCCCGGTGGCTTCCGGGCGCTGTACCAGATGCACCGCAACATCCAACAACCCCTCTGGCAGGCGATGATGAACGACGGCCAGAGGGCTTCCGCGGCCCCCAAGCGCCACGGTAAATCGAAGCTGCCGGATCCCAAAGAAAAGCTGTCGGTTGAGGCGCTACCCAATCCGTGGGCGACGCCTCCATCGACTTTTTCGGCTTCACCAGGAATGCCTTCTTCTTTAGGAGGCCTTGGTGGCCGGGGTAACAGTGCGAACATCGGCGGCCTGGCCAACCTGCTCTCTGCACTTCCGATATCTTCCAGCCGAGGATCGTCTAAGAGTAACGAGTCGCCAAACAATTTGGGTTTTATGAGCACACTCAACCCGTATATGCGGAACGCTGGCGCTGGATCCTTGGGATCGTCAGGAGCCTCCGGTGCAACTGGGTCTGGTTCAAGCAGTTCGGCGCCATCAGGAAGACCCAGCGTTGGTAGTAACTCAGCACCCACTTCACAGGATGCTGCATCTACGCCACCTGAAGCACCGACGCCAAACGTTACTGGAGCGACCGTGACTCCTGCGGAGGTTACCACGCCGGCAGGCGAGACTGCTGACGCGGGAACCGAGAAGTACGCCGAGGAACTGGCGCAGCTTGAAGCGATGGGCCTCCACGACCGAGATCGCTGCATAACGGCGCTAGAGGCGTCGGATGGCGACCTGTTCACAGCTCTAGGGCTGCTGGAGACGCTCGAGGAGCTCGACAAGGTGGAGCCAGGCGAGGACGCTTAGGCCCCTTCACCCTCCAACTTTTACGTAAATGTTAATGTAGAGATACTTTACATTCAAAATGACGTTCGTGCGTGCCATTATAGTGTAGCAGCCTCCCCCGGGCGTGATAGCCCGTACAACATGGTACAGAAGTCCGTGTAATTGATCACCCCGTCGCGGTCAAGGTCGACCTCGTTGAAGATCTCCTCGACAAAGTCGTCGGAGAAGTCGCACCCCTTGATGTCGCACTGGAAGACGCGGCGCATGTTCTCCCGTGTAATCACGCCGCGGTCCTCGAGGTCGAAGACCTTGAACGCCTTCTTGCAGAAGTCCTTCTGCATGTAAACCTCCTCGTCGATGGATGCGGCCAGGAACTCGACGTAGTCGATTGCGCCGCTGCCGTTAGTGTCCAGCTTCTCCACCAGCCTCTGCATGGCGGGGTCGTACTGACCCTTCACCTTGTCACTCTGAAGGCCGTTGACAATGTCCCTGACATACAGCACACCGTCGCCGGCATTGTTCAGCACGTTGAACACGGTGTTCAGAGAGCCGATGTCACCGTCTGACAGATGGTGGGCGATACAGGTGAGCGCCAGCTGCTTCATGGTGCTGTAGTTGTCGAACTTCTGGAAGCGCTTCACGAGGTCCTTCGTGAGCGAGTGCCTGAGCACAGGGTTGACGTGGATGCTGGTGGCGTTGTTAAGGATCCACTCGTGGTTGAACGCGGCCTTGGCCGTGAGCCTGTACCTGGGGTCGTAGGAGAGGCACCGCGTGATAAGGTCGATGGCACCCTTGGAGATCTTCTTCCAGTGGTGCGGGACGAAGTTGATGACGCCGCGCTTAACGTTGTTGAGAATGGTGGCGTTGTCATTGCCGTGGAAGGGCGGATAGCCCACCAGCATGATGAACATGATCACGCCGGCGCTCCACACGTCGCAGCTCTTGTCGTAGTTGCCGATTAGCACCTCTGGCGCGACGTAGTACGGCGTGCCGACGAGGCTGGTGAATTTGTGTGCCTTGCAGCACTTTGTAGCAAAGCCCCAGTCAATGACCTTGATGGGCGAGTTGTCGCTCATGTTGGCGTACAGGATGTTCTCCGGCTTGAGGTCGCGATGGATGATGCCTTTACCGTGGCAATAAGCGATAGCGGAGAAAATCTGCCGCATCATGGTGGCGGCGTACTGCTCACTGAAGCAGCCGCGCCTGACGATCTCGTCGAACAACTCGCCCCCTCCGCACATCTCCATGACCAGGTAGAGGCACTCCTCGTCCTCGTAAATCTCCAGGAGCTTAACGATATTCGGGTGGTCCAATGTCTTCCTGCAAAACGTGTCAACGAGCAGCAAATCCAACTTACATGATGGTGATCTCACGTTTCATGCGCATGGCGTTTTCGATTTGGGCCTTCCGGATGACCTTGACGGCCTTCACCTCGCCGGTCTCCTTGTGGCAGGCCTTCAGCACCTGGCCGTAGCTGCCCTTTCCGAGGCGGCTGCTGTGCAAGTCATACACGTCGGTGATGCTCTTGCCGTCCACAAGTGCGGTTTCGTGGATGAGGAACGACCGGTCGAATGTGGGCAGTGATTCCTTGCCCGGAGGCTTCGGGTCCTTGACGTACTTGAAAATTGGGGTCTGAATCAGCAGCCCCTTGAAACCCCGAGTGATCTTATCCTCATCAGGCATGCACTTAGTGCAAAGCGAGTTGTACTCGGGTTTGAGGTGGCCGCCCATACTGGTGGCGGCCTTGAACTTGGGAACCGCCGCATGTTGCTCGGAGGAGTATGCCCTAGCAAGAGGATTGTGCGTGGTCCACGAGCTCTTGTCTCCGTTATTATCCTTCTTGCAATCGTGATCGTGGCCGTGACACCCTGGCTTCACGGGCGAACTGCTATTGACGATGGTGCTGTGAGTAGCCGCAGTTGTGTCTGTCACGACGTGGTCGATTGCGTTTGGGGGAAGTTCCAGCAGTGAAATGTCTGCACCCTCAGGGTGTTTTCTAGCATATTTGACAGCGTGGATCTTGGGACTACGGTGTGGCGTGCCTCCAGTTCGAGGAGACTTACCACCGCGAGAAACCTCAACGTCTTCGTATTGCCCATCATGATCCACCTGCATGCTGGGCTGGTATGGAGCGCACCGCGCGACTTTCCCACTCACGCCCTCCATCGCCAAAACTTCGTACAGCTTAAACGATGGAAACTTGCGTGTTTATACCTCCCTTATGGCGTAATGCTGGATCGCCTTACGCCGCAGTAATGAGAATTTCCGTGCGCCCGCCGTCGACGTCTGGAAAATGCCTCGACAACGAGCTGCAAAACGCCCAAATAAAACTAAAATTGTCTATATCCGGGATGTTGCGTGCATTTATCCGGACTCCATCTAATCTGAAGTCCCCTACCACCCGCTCCTTGAGCCCGGTCGAGGTTTATGTGCGACTGCGGTTCGAAGGTAAGCAGTCTAAAATACAGAGGTAGAGAATCACGGCATGCGATACGGCACACTAAAGTCGGACGGCGTGTATCCTTCACGCCAACACGAGTTAAGCTGCAACGCCTTCAATTCTCAGTACCGAACGGTGCATATAGGCTGTTCACCATACCCTCGCTAGCCAAAGCAGGGACGTCGGTGCACATAAATATACCTTCCGGTGTTGCTAAGCGTGTCTTCCAGTACGGTGAGATGGCATATACCTTTGTAAACACTCACACATGACGGAAGGTCGTTAAGCGCTTATTCTGCGACCATTCACAGCAAGGGTTCAAGCAGCCCCTTGTATGCGAACGTTCAGAGCATCACGGAGGAAAGAAGATGCCAAGTTCCGAAGGCTACAAATGTTAATCTTTAAAGTGTCGTGAGATAGCAATTATCCAGCTCCGTGTCTTCGACAAAGCAGAATATCACCCCTGCACGCATCGACGCTGTCTTCCAGAGTAGGAGCCCCGTACGAGGCGGCTCCGATGCCAAATTTTAGTCACGAATCGAAGTCAGTGCAACGGACAAGGGCGTCCTCTGCACAATTCGTCCGTCTCGTCAGTTCTACGAGCCTAGCCCGACGTGCGAACACTGCGAAGCGTGCAGTCGTGCGCGAGTGCCAAATACGGCAAGTCACATGATTGGGACCGTGTTTCACGGCAGTATTTTTCCAGATGAGCCTTCTCGCGTTCGCTTCCGGCAATCGATGTGTTAAATCTTAAAGGATCCCGGCGTGTAGGCAGCAAATCATCCGCTCCCCGGCCGGTAACATACAAAAATCCAAAATAAAATCAACTGTCGTGGCGTCTTCCAGCGCCCGTTTTCAGTTGCATGGCGTATACCTCGCCAGCCTGACTGTACGTGTCAACGTCGTTATATGCGGTGTGCCCGCGACGGCTTCAATGAGCAACTAAATTGCCTCAAAAGGACAGCTTTAGCTGTCTCTTTCATACAGTCTGCAAACTGCAGCGTGTCAGCGTAGCATTTTCCGCTCTCAGTCCTTCGGCAGCGACGCGCCCCAAATCACAGCCTATTAACTGCGGGTTTCATACACACAGTCCGCTGCTACTTCTGTAGATGTTTAGGCCAGCGTATTTTCAGTGGAGCACCGCAGAATTCCACCTGGTGTGTTCTATCGTATTCGGCGCCACGCTGTCCTGACCGACGCTGTCAGTCGTATGTGTCTCTGGGAGTCACGGAAACATTCAACCGCGAAAAGCGTGTGGATTTTACAAACACATGCACCACTTCACCGTAAATTTCCTTCTCACACGTAGCAGTGCTTGTCACACATCCACACGGCGCCCTGAGTGTCTTTGTTGACTCCAACCTCCAGTTGCGCTGTCTTCCTGGGCACACTCGGTTAATACGCTTTGCACTGGCTGTGTATGTCGTATTGTAGCCATTTGAGCTGTGGTTATAGGTGGATGCCGGGCGACATCGATACAAAGGTTGGACCACAGGGTTATGAGATAGGCGCCGATCGGCCAGTCATATTCGTTACTGGCACAGCCAGATTCCTTTTTATTAAAGGCATTATGCGCCTTTAATAGACTGTACACATCGTGTGGACCACGTGCTAGCGAATAGCGTCCCCTCACGCCTCTCGCCTGGGCGTTGCCATGGATAGCTGGGCAACACACCCGGATCAGGTAAAGGCCGGAAGCGGTAAAGTTAGAGCCGAAGACGAAAGTAGTCGGGGGAAGGTTGTGGAGGAATCTCTGGTGTTGCTAGATTTTCCGGATTTTCTGACGACGTCGGTGTTCGACAGCGCGGTGTTCCGGCCTGTGCCGGAAGACGCGACAGGCAGCACTTTCGCGATTGACAACTGCAACTTCAACTCGTTGCGCTTAGAGGAGCTAGAGGGCGCGGAGCCTAAGTGCGTGCTGAATGGGCAAATTCCATTCAAGGGTAAACGGGTGTCTGCAGGCTTAACCTATTTCTGCTTTGACATTGCAGAGCCCAAAGCGGATTCAGAAGCAACTCCCACCGAGTCGAGGCGCAATCAGCCTTACTTGCGCGAGCGCTGGCATACGGATAAGCTGATCGAGTTTAATGTGCCGCTGTGATGTCGGGTCGGAGGCAGATGTTCCCGGCGCGGCCGGATCCGTCCGTGCTGCAGCAAGCAAGCGCCGCGACGCAGTGGCATTCAGGCACCACCCTATCTGAGGACGAATCGTTGGAACCAACGCCTCGATCGGCCGAGGTGTCGCCGAAAGTTGTAGAAAAGAACGGCGTTGCTGAGAGAAGGGCGGAGACGTCGCCAACCCGTCAACCGCGGGAAGCTGCGCCTATCCCGGAGCCCGCTGATGAAGGTGATGTCAAATCCGACAACAAAGCGATGTCGAAGGAGCACCAGGAGGCGGAATCGTCAAAAGAGACTGAGGTAGGGGTTTGTGGAATGAAATCACATCAAACGCGCAGGCCGACAACTGGCTTGACTACGTAGTCGACGCTGCAAGGGGACGCATTAAACGAAAGCCGGGCCAATCAACGTCTGATCAAGCCGGTTCTTCACTGGATCTGGGCAAGGGAGGGCTGGTGAAGGTTGCCAAAGTGGCAAAGCGCAATGACGTCACCACTCCTGGTGTAGACGGAGGCCAGTTGTGGCGAGAGCGGCTAAAGCGGCGCCAGCAAATGCTTAGCGAGAAAGATCTTGTGCAACCGCTGCCGACACGCCAGCAGCGTATGGCCGGATCCGATGAAATTTCTCGCAAATAGGGCCTGTCGCTTCGCGCGACGACTGCGGCATTGTATAAGCCTAGGATGTGCATGGCAGTCGAAGCCGAATTCAAGCGTAAGTAAATCATTGTCTCCTTTCGCAGCGGCGGGAGTCTATTAAACAGTAGACGCGGCGCAGGCGCAGCGACCCTGCATGGCTGTATCGCATCGCGGTCCCCATGGCAGGAATATATGTGATTCCCTGGATGCTTTCACGTCATGAAGCGTACCCTATTAAGGGGAAAACTCGCCAGTAAAGTTTGAGTTGTATTCGTCGATCCCGTCCCGCGACGGTTTCCGGCGGCAGGCTGCCGACTCTGGAGGTCCAGTGCCGCGCTTAGTTCTCAGCATCAATGGCGTCACGCAGCAAAAAGCGTTACCTTCACGAGGGCTGGATTAGCAAGTGGACCAATTTCATCGGAAGCTGGCGCCCAAGGTAGGCCGAGGCCCTGGCGGCGCGAAACGATGTGCAGATATTTCATGCTAGAGCCCGGATGCCTCAAGTATTCGCTAGAGAAGGATGGACTCGTCAAGGAATCGTTCATTTTATCCCAATGCACCATGCGCCTCTGTGCCGGTGGGTTCCAGCCTTATGCTTACACACAGCGCAGACGATCCGGTGCGTCTCGACATAGACGTCGTGGGCCGGGGAGTGGTTTGCCTGCGCACCGACACACCGGCGGAAAAACAAAAGTGGTTTGTAGCCTTCAAGAAGGCCCAAAAAATCCTGTTCCAAACCTACCAGAAAAAAGTCCTCACTCCCTCCGGCGTGTACAGCATCGAAGGGCGGCCGGGAACGTACGGCAGTTCTGACGCAGCCGCCGACCAGGAGGAAAGCACAATCCTCGAGAGCCCGCAGCGTTATACCAGCGCCGAATCGCCGGGGACGGTTGCCCGCAAGGCGTCCGAGGAGCAGTGCGTCATATCCCTCGAGGGGGACGACCTGGCGGAGGACGGCGGCCGCAAGTCCGTTGATGTATCGGAGCTGTTTGTAAAAACAAGGTTTGGGCAGGAGCCACAGACGTCGCTGAACTGTATGCTCAGTAATACGAGCTGTTTCGACGAGATCACGACAAAGATCCTTGCCGAACTGCGAGAAGTGCTCTCGGGCGACTCCCTGAAGAAGGTAGAGACACTGGGCCTAATTGCCCGCGAGTACTACGTGAGTACGCAGCAGCTCTACCTGGAGGAGGTGCGCTCGCGTAAGGAGCTCGAGCAGTCGCTTTTCCGCGTTACCAGGCGGAACATGAAATTGGAGCAACAGGAGCTGAAGCGGTCGTCAGGGGTCGTTGAACGCAAGGGTCACCTGGCGGAGATGCATGTCAGCGAAAAGAGCCACACGGTGGATTCGGAAGATAGCGACAGCTCCGACAGCGCGTACTGTGGTCACGTGGAGGATGAATTCTTTGAGTGCGAAGACTTTGCACCACGCACCCATAGCGAATCGTTCGAAGAAGAGGGTGTAGTCAATAACGACGTGCTGCCATCATCGGCACCGCGTCAGCAATCGCCAGACGACGCCATGAGTGACAGGAACGCCACCGTGGACGCCGCCACCCCGTCGGCCTCGGCCGGTGGGAAGGTACCGAAGGGTGCGGCAATCAGCCGCCGCACCAGGCTCCCGAGACCGCGTACGGAGCTCAAGGTTAGCATATGGTCCATCCTGAAGGACCTCATTGGAAAGGACTTGGCGCGCATCAGCATGCCGATATGTCTCAACGAACCCACCTCAGCGTTGCAGCGTGACTGCGAGGCCTTCGAGTACAGTCACCTGCTCGACACCGCTGCACAGCAAGCCAAGGCCATTGATCGCATGGCGTACGTGACGCTTTTCAGCATCACGCCGTACGGGTCCGCGGTTGGACGCGCGTACAAACCCTTCAACCCGATGCTCGGGGAGACCTTCGAGCTGACGCACCGCGGGTTCAAGTTTATGGCAGAGCAGGTCGGGCACCACCCGCCCATCTGCGCATTCCACTGCCACAACGACAACTTCGAGGCCTACGGCAGCACCAACGCCTTGGTGAGGCTGACGGGCAAGTCGGTGGAGGTCAGCATCATCGGCCCCTTCCTGGTCAACCTGACGGTGGGAGGCGCGAAGGAGCAATACTCGCTGCAGCGGTGTTACGTGGTGATACACAACATCATTATAGGAAAGATATGGATCGAAACTGTGGGTACCGCTATTTTGCGCAACATAACCAGTGGCGAGTTTGCGGTGGTCCAGTACCTGCGCAAGGGCTGGTTCGACAAGGACTTCCACAAGGTGCGCGCGCTGGTGTTCGACCGCTACGCCACACCGCACTACCACATATCGGGCAAGTGGAGCGAGGTGGTCTACATGGAGTCCTTGCGGCCGCGGGCTGGCCGGCGCCATAAGCCGCTGCTGAAGCCTGATGGACGCCTGGACTACGATACTTCGTTCTACAAGAATGAGGAGGACGCCTGGGACGCCTTTGTCAACGAAATTGACTGGGAAAAGCTCGACATCATCCCCGGGACCCGGAAGCAAGTCTGGAGGCCACATCCGAGGCCGCCGTGCCATGAGAATTACTACGGCTTCGGGTACATGACCATGGAGCTCAACGAGCTCTCTCCGGACTATGACCCGAAGCGCGGCGTTTCTATTCCGCCGACCGACTCGCGGTTCCGCCCGGACATGCGGGCGTACGAGGCCGGTGACATGGACTGGGCGGTGCAGGAGAAGCAGCGCCTGGAGGACCGTCAGCGCGAGGCCGCGAAAAAGCGGATCGACGGCGAGCGCTCCTACAAGCCGCAGTGGTTCAACAAGAAGCTCGACCCGCAGACGCGCGCCGCCAGCTGGGAGTTCACCGGCGAGTACTGGCGCCGGAAGGCGGAAGGCACGGTCGCGGAGGGCGTACCTGATATTTTCGCGCGGTGACCGTGCAGCCGGCACGCGTTATAAACACTCACTGCGCAATATTGTTGTATTTTGTACGCACCGTCAGTTTTTGTCGCTGAATTGTGTGACCTTCGCGGTCTTCCGTGTGTGACGTCGCCATGGACGTGAAGGTGGCCTCTGACCAGTTCCGGCGCCGAATGCGCCGGTGTCTGTACCGTCTGATGTCGCGCAGTGAGTTCTTCTTAAACAAAAACGCCAGACCGGACCACTGGATTAGAACGAAGGCGGCGATGGTGGCCGTGCGACTTGGGAAGGCGATGAATAAGGCGGAGAGCGCAATCGTGATGGTAGTTGGCCCCCCGGGGTCAGGGAAGACGTATCTCGTCAATGCCGCCGTGGAGATGTTAATCGAAAATGATACCGAGGACATGCCGTATCCACCAGACTTAGAATCTGAGGAGGAGGGTCTGAGGGGGGAACGCATACAGGACATCCCCTCCGACGCGGGGAGTGTCAGCGACATGCCCTGGACTGTCAGGCTTGTATTGCTGGAAGCCTACAACTACCGCGACGAGATGAAGTGCCTGAAGCACCTGGCCTTGCTCATAGAGAAGATTGCGGGAGTGAACACCTCCCGCTGCGGAAAGCCGCGCCTCCTGGAAGTCCAGCAGCGCGTGATACGCTGCTTGAAGCAGCTGAGGAAGGCCCATATCTTTGTGGTCATCGTGATAGAGGGGGTGGACGTGTTCACCAAGGGCAAAAACGACTGCAGCGTGAAAACGGGTACATGCTACCGCAGGCAGGGCCTGCTCTACTTCCTCGGCAGCCTGTTAGACTCTGAGGAGCTAGCGTTCGCTATGGTCGGCATCACGCCAGACATACGGACGGTGGATAGGCTTGAGAAGCGCGTGAGATCAAGGTTCATGCACTATACTGTCTACTGCGACCGAAGCAACGATTACGATGAGGTGATGGCGCCGGGCAGGCTGTCGTTGTTGGGGGACCGCGCCGTGCTGACCCTAGACAGCGAATCCAAGGTGAGTCTTTAGTTTGGTGTTAGAATTGCGTTCAGCAATACCTCGGAGAGAATATGTTATGTGGGGGAAGCGCAACCAGCGCCATCGCCGCCGCATGTGCGCAGCTGCCGGACGATGCGTTCACAAAGCAGGAAGACGGGCAACTTTGCATATCCGCCGAGGCGGTTTCGGCCGTTTTTCGCGATTCCGGGAACACACGATGGTTCGAGGAGATCGTTTGGCAGCTCTCGGTGGCCGACCACTACGTGTTGGTGGCGCTCGCCCGGCTGCACGCGCTGGGCATCGTGCCGGTGACCCTCATGGACGTGGAGCGGGATCTGAAGGATCTGGCGGCATATTATCCGAGTGAGAAGGAAGCCATCCCACGCTTCCAGGTACGTATTCGTACGATGCCGCCAGTCGGACTTCGACGTCGAAGGCGGTTGATCGCAGTTGGCACATATTCGCGCAGGGGCTGGCACGCGTGTTCATTAACCTAGTCGCCATGGGAGTGGTTGACTGGGTGCGCTTAGGCGTCAATCGGTGGGGATTCGCAGACTCCGGCGCCGGAATTTGCGACCCGCAAGGGGCGAACGCGCCCTGTCGATTCACCTACTACAAGACGTAAGTTAGGAAGTATACGGAGTCATAGGCCCCAGATATCTCAAGCTAGACCACAACAAGTTGTTGCCCACACATCTTGCGGGCTGGCTGTCCTTGGCGACGCGGACACTCAGGTGACCTTCGTCGGCCGGCGTCGGGAACGCTACACAGGGCACAAGACACATCTTCCGGAAGAATGTCCGCAAACTGCCACTAAAGGCATCGCCTTATTTTATCGCAACTTTTGAGTCGCGATTTAGCAGCAAGGTTGCGCCGTAAAGCTCCGCTCCCTTGCCATGAAGGTGGTATCCAAGGGCGAGCCGGTGTCTAACGCGGAGGTGCTGGCGGCTGTGCGCAAGCGCCTGGAAGAATATCGCAAACAGACGGCCCCAGCTACGTCTAATGAAGAAGATGATGATATTGCCATGGACGTCGACTTGGACCACCTAGTACCGGTGGCTGCGCTGACGCAGAATGGCGAGGAGGAACCGCTGTCCGCCGACGTTGAGGAGTGGTACAAGCGCATCAAGAAGCTGCAACGCTTCCGCCTGGACGACCCGAGCAGCTCGGAAAGCGACACGGACCGCACGAGATTCCTGGAAGCGCTGGAGCGCTATCTAGCGCCGATCTCATAACTACGATAATATACGTCATTCACTCAAAGTTGTCAACTAGCCGCCACGGCGGTATGAGACTGACTCCAGTGCGCCTAGCTGAGGTGTCCTGGAATACGTGCCTGTAGCGCAAGAGGTTGCACCACTTGTCCTTCAGCTGCATCCCAGTCCGCCGGCCGCCGAAGTACGTGGTGGCGAAATAGGCCCACCTGCCCGCGCCGTGCTTGTTTATTGCATCTACTAGCGTGAGTACTTCGTCTCGTTTCCACTTGCCCCTGCGACGTGCGGGGGTGGCGCTCTTCAGCTGCGGCGACGCCGATGTCGACCCCACCTGAATCCGCAAACCTCGGTTCCTAAGTGTAATCCCTACTGGGTTTGTTTCAGGTTGCGACACCTCCTCAGGGGTGCTACTTTCCTCGGGGGTGGCAATTTCCTCAGGGGGCGACGTTTCCGCAGGAAGTGGCGTTTCTGCATCTGGTGCGGCTTCTTCAGGGGTGATGATCTCATCAGATTGCGACACTCCCTCAGAAACGGTGGTTTCCTCATGTTGAGATACTCCCTCAGAAGCGGTGGTTTCCTCAGGCTGCGACATTCCCTCAGAGGCGGTGGTTTCTTCAGGCTGCGACACTCCCTCAGAAGCGGTAGTTTCCTCAGGCTGCGACGCTTCTTCAGGGGTGGTGATTGTCTCAACTGGTGACGTTTTTGCAGGGTTGATGATTTCCGTAGGTGCGGCAGTTTCCCCAGATTTTGCGATTTCAGCAGGAGGTGAGATTTCTGCAGCCGGGGTGATTTCCTCGGCTGGTAACGTTTTCGCAGCGAGGTTGGCTGCCTCAGGAGCTGAGATTTCCTCAGGGGCGGCGGTTTCTGTTGGGACGACAGTCTCTTCAGCCTGCTCTATGGTTGTTGGGGCCGATTTGTGACTTTCTGCCTCCGGCTCATCTCTACGGTTCTCCTTTTGGGGTGAGCTTGATGCCGATGCCATGGGCTGCTCTTGCTCTGCAGCTGCAACGTCAACGTTGCAGAAATCGGTCTCCGTCCTGTCAACTGCCTTATTAACAAGAAAGCATGACCAATCGTCATCCATGGCGCTAGTTAAACGCGGCACGGACGGCATTTCAGCGCTAGTATGCGCGGTTGGCGGGGCGTCTTTATCTTCTTTATTGTCCGCCTCAGCCCGCGCAGCACTTTGGCGCATGCCACACGAAACAGGTCTGCGGAACACAAGTGAGGGGTCGCACGATTTGCAACCATCCTCTTGCTCCGTCCTCCACAATGGCGAGAAGAACATTGAAAGTCTCGAGGCGTCGGCTGGGCAAACAACGTCATGCAAAGTCAGGTCGACCGAACAACTTCCCGCCGATGAGGAATCGGAAACGTCTCGAGTCACTTCCGACTCAGCGGCTTTCTCGGCGGCACTCTTGGCGGGAAGCGCCGGATCAACCTCTTCTGAAGTTTTGTTTGACGCCGGTATCTTCGCTGGGGTCGCCTTTGCTTGCTTCTTTGGTGGCTCTTTTCGGCATTCCTCCGTTTCTGACTTTTGGGGCATTCTTCCTCTTATAATGGCGGCCAGCCTTTTGAAGCGATGCATCGTCAGGTTTGGGCCGTGCACCTCCTTGTAGAGCTTGACTGGGCCCTCAGAGGGCAGCCCGAAGCCCAGGGACCTGTATTCCATCAGCAGCGGGTTCTGGATGATCCTGTTGGCCTCGGACGCATATCTGCAGAGGCCTATGCTCCACTGGAACAGCAGCTTGTCAGCCACGTTTACGAATTCCGAAAAGATGCTACATGATGGGGAATCCTCGGGTAACGCGGTATCATGAGTCCGAGCCGATGACTGGGGGTCGCCAGAATTGGCGTCGCTCCGCTGTTGCTGAATGGGGTTGTTCGCAATTTCGCAGTCCAACTCATCGCGGTACCCCTTCCATGCTAATTGCCCGCGTATGATGAGAGCCTTCTTGTAGCTAGTGCATTGCTCTCGGTATGTAATAAGCAGGTTCCTGTTTCGCTTGAACTCTTCGTCACGACGGGACACCGTCGAATCCCGTATGGTGGAGCAACAGTGGTGCGAATAGGGGGAATACATACATGACCTCCCCACTCGTGGCTCAGGGCTCGCTGACGCAGCAAGGTCCGGCTCTATGAAGTCAGGAAAGTTCGGCGGTGCGAGCTGGATGGTGTGGGCACACGGCGTGGGTCCCAGCCGATGCACAAGCTTCGTGTAGAGGGCGATGCAGACCCGGTGCGCATACTCGTGGGTGAATTGTAAGGCCTCGGCGCATAAAATCGTGAACTCGATGAGCATCGCCGAAGGCGGGTGGCGGCGTAGGGCGCGGCGCAAGTTGCGCAACAGCATCAACAAGGCGATGAACAGCAGGCGCACGTAAACTCCAGGTTTCCGCGAGAGCACGTGCAGCATATTCTCGGAGTCCTGCACGTATGTAGCCAGCTCCTTTAACGTCATATCCTCCTCAATCGCGGAGTCGCCCACGTGCACGCAGGTTCCCGTAGGGTTGACGCCCGGCACCAGGCCGCCGAAGTGCCGCATCAGCCGCCTCTCGACGAACGCGTAGATGCCAAAATACGCAGACTTGTCAATACCGCCGGAACGCATGGTTGACTTGACATAGGCATCGAGAAAAGAGTGCGTGTGGCAACGGCGCAGGCACGACGTACCGCCGACTGGCTGGCCCTTGCAGCCCAGGGCATGCAGGGAGAAGGCTGGGTTTTTACCGACATATCGTCGAATGTATGCTCTAGCGCGGAAGTCCGGGCGAGTTAACACGACATGCTTCCGGCGGGTCCGCTTCGGCGTCACGGCCTCGCTCTTGTCCGGAATCGACACGGAGCCGTCATCCGGAATCTGCTTGGTCGCTGCAACCAGCCACGGCTGCCGCACAAGCAAATGGTACGCGAGGAAGTCGAGCTTCAGCAGCTCCAGAGACACGTTGTCCTTACACGACGAGACGTAGAGCTCAGGCTTCGCGGTGGAGGGATCCTGCTGCAGCGATTTCTGCTTACTACCCTGCGAGAAATTTCCGGTCTGCCCGTTGGTATCTAGCATGTCTGTTATAAAATCGTTGGGTTTGCGGCGATAGGCTGCAGGCGCTGCGATTAGACGGTTGCTGACGAGCGCCGTCGGTAGACACCTAGGCACGTACCTCGCCAGCTACTGCGTAGGCGGGCGCAAGCGCTAGACACAGTAACAGAAACCCGCAATTTAGGTATTTATATATGTGTTTGGAAGTCGCATTACGGCGCTCAGTGGAAAAAGTAGTGCCCACACACCAAAAGGCTGGGCGGACGTTACTGCTGTCAACGCCCTGCGGACCAGCCAATTACATCGTCTCTCGCCGCGGCCATCGGGCGAACACTTCACTGCTTCTGGTACTTCTTCAGGAACGCGTCGATCCGCTCGCAGACGGAAGTCTTGAACTTGTCCATCATGCAGCGCATCAGCTCAGTGTGCTCGGGCTTCGGGTCGTCCTCAAAGGAAACACGCATATAGTCGCTGTACGTCTTGCCCGTTTCCATGGCGCTTGAAATCTCGGTCATGGTGAGCGTCCCTGCGAGGCAATGATGGCAGTAGCAGCGACATCGCAACGTACCACGGTAGACCGATGCCTTCGACTCATCGTCGCTTGAGTAACCGGCTCCAAAAGCGGTGTCAATCGACGCCTCGAACTTCAGAGAACAGCTGAAGTCGAACATGTAGCGGCGAGTGGCCCTGATCAGCGCGATCTGCGCTTCACACTCGAGGTCATCAACAGAGATGACCTTGATGCTGCTCCGGTGGATCATCATCGCCAGCTTCTCCAACTTCTCCATGTTTTCGGCATCGTTCATCTTGTCTATGTTGATCTGCGACGTATGGGAGTCGCAGAGATTGGAACCGACGTTGCTCAACATTTCCATGACGTTGAAGCTGGGGTCGCGTTGCGACGGGTCGTTCTCGTAGGAGGCACGCTCCAGACTGTCACGGAGCGCTTTACGACACCAGGACGACATGTCTGCGCGGTATTATCACTGTTATAAAAGCGGAAATAGGCACAGAGTCGAAACCACTAAATCATTCATGTTATGCAACAAGGCATCTCACACCACCGCAGAACACAGTCAAAAGCAAACGGACAACCAACCTTTCTCTTCGTACGTTGTGCCCTTTGAGTTCCAGGAGGAAAGCGAACGCGACATCGTGTCGGACTGCGCCAGATATTGAGTCGGTTATGCCGCAATTGCACGTACCGATGCGTCGGTCTCTATCTTCTGAGGGACCCTGCTGCTGGTAAGGTTTCCCTCGGGCTTGTTTTTGCCGAAATAGCAATAGCCTACACAACCAGTCACGATTCGCTACACCTGACACTCACCCATCTTCTTAGTCTCCTGGATGATCTTTTGGTCCTCCTCGTCCATGTCAGACTCCTCCTGCTTGGGCTTCTTGGTAGCAGCCGAGGCGGCGGTGGGACTCTTGGGCTCCTCTGAGGCTTCCACTCCGTTGCGTTTCTTGTCGTCGCCTTTGGCCTCGTTACGCTTTTTCTCCTCCTCGGCCTTCACCTTCTCGATGCGCTCGGCTTCGCGTTTCTGCTCTTCCTCCTCCTCCTTGCGCTCCCACGCCTCAAAGTCGAGCTCATCCTCGCCCTTGTCGCGGCGCTCGCGATTGAAGTCCTCGAAGCGGCGCTGCTTACGCTGCTGCATCTCCTCCGTGCGGTCGACGTACAGTCCGCCCGTCTTGTTGAAGAGGCCGCCGAAGGCTTTCTTCTGCTGCTCACGGAGTTGTTTCTGCCTCTCGCTGATCTTCACGAGCAGCATGCGCGCGTTGCTGTTGCTGGCGTCCTCGGCGATCATAGCCTGGCACTCGCTCTTCGCCTCGTCGAGGTACCCGAAGTTGAACCTTGCCAAGGCGCGGCGGTACTGAGCCTTCTTGTTTGCGGGGTCCCATCTCAGCGCGTCCTCAGCAGCGGTTATGGCTTTCTCATGATCGGCCATGCCGAGGTACGACGCACTGATGTTGGAGTACAGGACGCTCTTCATACCATCGTGCTCAGTCACATCGGACGGAAGCTTGCTGAGGCGGTCGACGGCTTTCTGCACACTAATAAGCGCTCACCGTAACTTAACACCCACCTGGTACTCCTCTACGGCCTTGCTGTAGTCGGCGGCTTTGAAGGCTGCATTGCCCTGCTCCTTCAAAGAGTTCGCCTCGGCAACGCAAGCCTGCACATCCACAGGCTCATCCACCTCGATGTCCGAGGATGCAGGCGAAGAGGAAGACGATTTTTCAGACATGTTGCAAAATGACGCAGATGTAGTAGTCGCAAAAGAGTGATGGTCGACCGTCCGAGCCTGCACTCCACGTGGCGTGCCGGCAGGCTGTGCTGTGCCGTGAGGAAGAGGCTCATACGGCGAAATCTCAGCACGGTGTAATTGTAGGCAGCATATCTATTTGAGTTTAGTGCATTTTCATGTTATTGAGCCCGTCTGCGACGAACGAGATGTGTAGGCGTCGCGCCGACGGCACTGTGTAGAGAGTGTCTGTACAACCGTCTTTTGTCTAGAAGTATCGTATACTTGTCAAGAAGACTGTATTAAAGGTTATTACAAGGTCGCTTGGCCGATATTCCGGCGGTGTGTTGCCGACTGCGATGTCTCCGACGTCGTTACAGGGATGTAATGGGCGAAAATGAGCGTTAATGGGCACGGTGTGAGAACACGCGCTTATACTGTCGGCTTCATCGTAACCAGAAGGTGATCCTTCCGTTTCACGCGCCATTAGGCGATCTTTGCCTAGTTTACGCATTGCAGTTGAGACATCAGGGTGGACCATGCGTCTGCCACCAACCTGATGATCAACGCAGATGATGGCTGGAGCGGCGGCCAAAATGAGCCTCATGAGTCAAACAGCGCGGATGGCGCCAACGCTGAAGGGTAGGTAAATGTGATGTTTTTTCAATACTGTTGAAGTGGGCATGCCGCGCTCCAGGACTTCTACTACGTGGATGGCCTCACGCCGAGGAAAGTGGTGGAACAGATATACCGGAGGTACAGAAGGGGACATCACTTCTCGTATTTCGGAAATTTCCTCTTCTACCTCATGCCCGCAAGAGTTCGGGACATGCGCAAGGAATATGAGAAGCACCTATTCAAGGCCGGAGATGCGGAGCCGCACCTCTTCGGGCTACTCAACGAGATATTGCATCTGACGGTTGTCTCTCAATCGCAACCCCTAGGGCGAAGGCATGGGCTGCTCAGCGAGCATGCAGGGTCTGCGCCTAAGCGGCGCTCTGACGCGGCAGACCCACAACGCCCCAAACGCAACTGCAACGTGTTTGTATACGGCGATAGCTCATTTGGGCAGATGAGTATCGCAAAGCACGCTGCGGAATATTTATCGCAAAGTGCCCATGTAATCGGTCTTGAGGTTAGTTTTTCTACACAAGCTATATCTACTCTGTGCTGTCATGAGAGTTCCATAAGAATACTTGGTGGTTATATGTGGTGGTGACAGTGAGTATGTTGAGGTGTCGTGCCGTTGACGTGTCCACTGTGTTATGGGTATTACGTGGTGTACTGTGCTATACCGGAGGGAAGGATCTCGTATCCCTGTCGTTCATAACGTGTTGCGCATTCGACGCCTAATGAACATGCAGCCGACTGGTACCATGACTGAGCATATGACGGATGTCAACGACCTGCTGGGGATGTTCGGCGACTACGCATCCCATGACAGCGTCTACCGAAACACGCAGATGACCTACAAACTGAATTTCGACACTGATCACAAACTCACATCGATCAGCGTGGTGCCAAATATGGCCACGGACACGTCATGGTGAGTGTGAACATAACAGTGTCTTCTAATAGTTTTGCAGCGCTGCGGTGTCGTCTAGGTATCGGAGCTACCTGGCCAGCAGGAAAAAGGATGCGGCGCTCCACGATGTTGTGGTACGACCGCCAACTATCTTCTACGCATTGCTGCGCGGCAGCATCCAAAGCAATTTCCGGAGGTGGTTGGCAACGTGCAGGCTTACGGCCAGAGACGCAAGGCTCATACTGCAAATGTTGCCCGAGCATGAGGAATCGCAGCATGATTGGCATCTGAAAAATCTCGAACGGGCCATACGCATCCTATTAAAGATTGGATTCGGCGGTGACGAGATTCAGTCGATCATGCAGATTCTGGCAGCGGTACTGCTGTTCGACACCTGCACGATGTTGCGTGCTAGGAATGCCGACAATGAGCAGCAGTCGGCATCAGGCAGATCCGCTTCACAGGCGGAGAGCCAGCGTACGGATCAGGGTGCAAAGAACAAAGTAGATGGTTCCGGTAGGATGAGCGTTAGGTCCGATGCGCCAAAAGCATCGTCCCGAACAGCCACTGGCCGGGCCTCGCAGGACGGCGGTGGCGTTCTCAACCCGAAGGATATTCTCGTGTTCGCTGCGGATGTGCTGGATATACCGTTCTTCAGAGTGCCAGCAAAGATGCTGGGGTCGCAAGAGCAGCTCTTCAGACTCGACCTGCTATCGTCGGATAATCTGGCGCAATTCGAGAATCTGCCATCTGCGCTCTTCGTGCGCTTAAAGGTCGCCATCTACCGGAAAATAAACAGTTTTTTAGATCTTAAGCGTGGATCTGTGGTGCGCACCACAATATCTATCCACTGCAACGCCGGGTGCTTTCCCCGATCGCTACGCGTCGATAAGCACGGAGACCTTGAGCTGGCCAGGCGTGCGTCGGAGGAGGCCTTTGTGGACAAGTTCATCACTGCTGCCATGCAACGTAGCAACACCTCCGCTGTTGACATGGATACGGCGAGAAGGAGTCGCAAGGCCGTGGCCGCGTTGAGCGGCGCCACGGGGCTGCTCGGCAGGGTTGTAGTGATTGCGCATGATCTGTCCGACGAGACAAACGCCGACAAGTCACGGGAAATCACTAAGCTGGAAACAGGTATGGTTGTGTGTGATAAATATCTCAACGACGCTTTGCAGTGGAGCATTCGTGGCACAAAGTGGATTACGACATCGCAACCATCGCGCACGAGGAAGCCAAGATGTTCACGATTCCAAGCCGCGTAGTGCGGCTGTTTGCGTATTCGAAGAACAAGTTCATCATCGACCTGCTGGTCTCCAAAAGGTCGTTACACAACGTGTCGGGTGCATGTGCCAGCGCCCTCAGCTACATGACGTTCCTTGACACGAGTATCGCAGACAGCGATGAATCCCACTTCATCGTATGCACCAGCCCAAAGCTGACGCGTAAGCTTTACAAAAAGGTTTGTGATAGGTATGATGTCGATTACACTTTTTATCAGCACGAACATCACTCGACCAGAACAAGTCGATCGACCGAGGAAGATGAGGATGGCGAGCACAAGGAAGACGGACCTGAGGAGGCAGACGAACAGCAAGCAGAATACAGTGACGAGGATGACATGACGCTACTTGAGCGGGCATTATCGACGAACGTGCCGTTGCTGAAGATCTGTGTGACACAGCGCGACCAGTCGCAGGTGACCCTTGACATATCGGCTGCGCTGGGCGCGTTCCTCCCGCTGGCGTACGTGGCATTGCACTGCTCTGCGCATCGCAACATACCGCTTATGGATGACAAGGTCGCCCTCATGCTCCTGCTACACTCATTCAACGTGCCGACCTCGGCGTACAAGATCTCGGGGAAGACCGTTACCATGAGGCGGGCGCTATGCGTCAAGATCCTGGCGCGTGCCTTCAAGTACCTGAACGAGGTGCTAGGAAGCGTGCGGTTGATACAGCGCTGGTGGTTCGGGTACAACGTCATCAAACTCAAGGAGAAACTCGCCCGGACGGTGGTGCGCATGCAGGCGCGCGTAAGAGAGCGGCTGTTCCAGGAGCACGTGCATACCCGGGCAAAAGCCCGCGATCTCAGCACGGATTTCATAGGTCTATGTGTGGTCCTGTACCACCTCAAGGTGAGCTTGCTCTCCTCATCGCAGAAAACGCTGCAACTCCTGCATTCGATGGAGAAACGATACCACGAGAAGGAGTATCACCACATACAGCACGCCGCTGCAGCGTATATACAGGCATGCTGGCGTGGCAGGGTGCAGAGGAAACGATACGCCCAGATGCGTGTCGAACAGCTCGAGGATTTTGCTGCCACGCTTGTGCAGTCCGTCATCAGGCGATTCCTGGCGACTGCGAAGCTGGTCCAGCAGAAACCTACACGGGACATAGCGGCGACGGCGATCCAAGCTGCGTACCGCGGGTATCGTGCGCGGCGCCAATACGAGGTGCTCAATGGACTCAAATTGGCGCTTTTGTCGATAGTGCGGAAGGGATCGAAGCTGCTAAGCCTGGGGGACCACCTCAAGTTCGTAAAGGAGCGCAAGAGATACAACTCTACCACAATGCAGATGAAGAAGCTCATCATGATGCAGACTAATCTACCCCCTGGATTCACCAAGGTGCAGAACATGATCCGAATGTACTTCGTGCGCAAGCAATACCTCCACTTGCGGTCGGCCATCGAGAAGGTGCAGGCGCTGGGGATGACCAAAGTGGCGCGCATAAGGTACCTCGAGCAGGTCAAGGCGGCCACCACGATACAGCGTTGGTGGCGCGGCGTTAGACGTCCTGGTGTTGCGCCGTTGTCGGGCAACGCGTTGTACTACCTCAACATGAGAGAGTACACGGCCGCGGCGCCCCTGCGCGAGCTTTGCAATGCGGTCGGGATAACGCTGTTCCACTTCCGCGCGTACCATGATCTGCGGCACGTTTACCCGCGATCGTGGGCAGCCGAAGCGAGCGGGATACTGGATTACTTAATTCAGATGCAGCTGACGCTCATCGACACCGGGAACGCGGAATGCCCACGCATCATCGGACTGCAGTTCGCGGTGGGGGCGTACCACAGTCTGATGCTGGTAACGTATACAGAAGGCGGCAATACAGCGCTCTACTCATGGGGTGGGGCCTCGGTGCTGGAGGCGGAAACGGCACCGCATCCACGTCCAGCAGGAAACCGGCCGGGGATGGCGTCCCCCGGCGGCAAACAACGGAAGCTGCAGACCCAGTACCTGCCTAAACCTCTGGAATTCTATGCATGGGATACAACGGAGCTCATGGGCACGGGAAGACCGCAACTGGTGTATATGCCGCGAGTGGAGATCGCGTCAATCTCTTGTGGCAACGAATTTTCGTTGGCACTGGATCGCAACGGGAGGGTATACAGTTGGGGCACGAACGTCCACGGGCAGTGTGGCCAGGGCCACCGGCTGACGTATCTCTGGTCGCCTACGATGCTGCCGTTGCGAGAGGTGACTGGGGTATGGTGTGGTGAGGAGCACTCGATTGTGCGGGTGTCCGTCGGCGGGTACTTCGTGTTCGGGCGGGCGTTTGGGTACGCCATATACGCCCCTGAGGACATCAAGGCGCACTGTGACGCTGTACAACGGCAACGTATATTGGCGGTGGCGTGCGGCGGCAATATAACCGTGCTATACACGGCCGAGCTCCGCTACGTGCTTCGCGTGCTGGGAGGTGGCCCCGCATTTGCTGAGTGCTACAATCTGCGAGGAAACATCCACTCTGTCTGCACTAACGGCCGTATGATCTGCGCCGTGGTGGATAAAACGGGCGAAGGAGGTGCCGTCGGCCAGCAGGTCCTGGCCTGGGGACACCTTCGATGCTTCTCAAAACACTTCAAGGAGCCGCTGCCTAACACTGCGCTGCTCGTCAACGCTTTCTGCGAGATGTTGGAGCACCCGGAGAGGAGACGGCCGCGAAGGTCGCTGGTCAAGGTGGATTCGCATTTAGCCAAGTCATGCTTCCTTGCACTGCCCACCCCAGTGAACGTCGCCAAGCGCGTCATCAGCGTCACCTGCGATCACCAGCAGGTGCTGTTTACCTGCCTGCAGGGGGTGGTGCTCGGGTCACAGACCTTCGAACTGATCCACGACAGCCCGGGGGACATCCGCGACTCCGACGGCCACAGCATACGGCTCAGCCCCCAGGTTACCAACGCCCGACTTGAGCCGGCGCTCTACCAGTTCGCCGCGCTGGAGCAGTCGGAAGCGCAGGTGCAGCTTGCCTATAACCGGCTCTCCTGCTCCGTCGGCTACGTCGCCACGCCTACACCTGGCGACCAGACTGTTGTGTAAATTTTGCGGTATACCGCGTTTTGTAACACCTAAAAGCGGATAGTAATTTTAGATTGTGCAGTTTCCTAGCTCGGAAATGAGCTACGGGGCTAAGCGCCACCGGGGAAACCCGCGGCGCGACGGTCCGTCAGACCGCCCTGGGTACAGGGGCCGGGTCACGGCTCCCTACGAATTCAAGGTTGACGAAGCGCTATACCAGATCAACCACGAGGCAGCGACTGCCCTGCGGCGGCGGATATTGGTTAGGGAGGAGGCGGAAGGCTTCGATATCGGACCCTGCCAGTTCAGACAGATATCCCAATTCAAGCCCTTGGACTTACGCGCTGCCCCGCCGAGGAACCACATGGGCGCCGCTGAGGGCGGCTGCCCATTGTGCGCTTCGGGACCGCAGCGTCTATCGCAATCAACAACAGCGTTCCTGGCAATGGAGCAGCAGCGGCACGCCATACTCTTCGACCAGCTCGTGCTCTCGCCAAAGCAGCACTTGCAGAGCACGCTGTATCTCGATGACAACACCTATACCGAGATCCGGAATTACCAGAAAACTCTGGTGCGCATGTTCGACGAGCAGGGTAAGGCCGTCGTGTTCGTGGAGGTCTCACTGCGGGACCCGTACCTGCGAAACAAGGAGGACGGGGGCACGCGGCGACACCAGCACTGTCGCATCGACTGCTTCCCGATCCCTTCTGAGGCCCTGGATGAGGCGAGGAGCTTTTTTCGCAAGGCTGTCGGCGAGCTGGTGCCCGAGTGGGCGAGGAACAGGAAGGTAATGGAGGTCAAGGGCAAGAGCGGTGTTCGCGAGCTTATACCAAGGGGGTTCGACTTCGTGTACGTAGACTACTCGCTGTCTGGTGATGGCATAGCGTGCGTGGTGGAGGACGGCAGCGGCGTGCCGATGTCCTTCGCCAGAGAGGTCGTTGCCGGCGTGCTCAGGATGGATGCCATGGCACGCGCATTCAGGAAACCAGACACTTATACGCAGGCGCTCAGCTGGCTGCGTAACCAGTACCAAAACTTCGATTGGACTAACATTAAGTAGGCGCCTCGGCACCAATGTCCTGGTAGTCGAGCTGACGACGCGCAGCACGGCGCTCCTCGTTCTCCGCTGCCACGCCCGACAAGAAACGCTGCTCAAGTGCTTCCATATCGGCGCTGGTGTGCCCCTGGGTGCCGTACAACTCCAAGTTGGACGCATTTATCTCCAGGAAGTTGCGTCCCCAGCCAAAGGGGGCCAGTATGCGTGTGGCTTCGTTTACCATGCCTGGTGGTTGGTGATGCAAGGTACAGCCTACACTCACCTAGAATCTGCAAGGCAGCTGCCAGTGCTTCCACGCACGACAGCTCAAATGGGCGCCCGTAGTGCGTTGGATTGGCGGCGATGAGGAAAGGGAGCAGTCGCGCATGCTCTGCATATGCGTTAGACACGTAAAGGGGTCAGCCACATTAACGGTACTCCTGCCAATGGCATGAAACGACACAATCAAGTTCATTAAACACTAAAGCAACTTACTGACGCTGAGCTGGCCCTGGTTGACGGTGTCGACCTTGTTCCAGGAGCAGTCGATCACCGCCAACCCGCGGGTGCGCACGAGCTCCAGGTCTTCCAACGACAGCTTGCTGCGACCGAATGGGCTCAACACCACGCCGGCGAACGACTGCCCGATTTTCAACGGTTGTATGAGCTTCATACGAAGCAATTTCCGACCGGTGCAACGTTTCTGGTCGCACTGGTTGAAGTCCCACGTGAACAGCTTCACCCGGCTGTCGGCCGATGCGGGGCGGTCCGTCGAAGGCGACGGCTGAGTGCGTTCACCCTCATCGGCTGCTTCGTGGACTTCACTGGCGCTAGGAATCTCGGGTATCTCCTGCGCTGGCGCTCCAGACGACAGCCGCAGCGCACGAGCGTAGACGTCGTGGATGCTGCCGACGCTTCCGGCGTTGCGCTGCGGCAGCTTCTTGCGATTACCTGGCGCCATTGGTGGCTATTAATTTGTCATAGGTGGCGCGATGGTGTCTTAGGCCTCTAGGTGCTGCAGAAGGCGGCCGTTGGCGGTACAAGTTACAAACACGCGCCAAGGGCGAACGCAGGCAGCAGGCGTGGAAAGCACCGGTGTTTTAGCGTGTAGCGGAGTACATATACAACAATTATAACGTGTCTAACATAGCCCTGGTGGAGGTGCTGTGTAGCCGGTTAGTCCCACAGCTTGATCGTGCCGTCCCAGGAACACGTAGCCAGACGTGACGGCTGCTGAGGATGCCACTGGCAGTCCACAGTCACTGACTTGTGCCCTTCCAGCGTCACCAGGTTGCGGCAGCTCAGCCAGTCCCACAAGTAGACACGGCCGCGAGCGTCGCCACTCGCCACGAAGCGCCCGTCAGGCGAGCAGGTCGGGCGGATGGCGTAGCCAGTGCAGAGGTGGCCCTTGAACCGCTTAGCACCAAACAACCGGAAGCGGGACCCGGAAGCCTCGTACACCAGAATCTGGTTGCTCATCGCCTGCGCGAGCATGAACTTGTCGCTCGGGTGCGCCGCCACTGCGGGAATGCTGTGCATGGAAGGGTCCGATAGATGCTTGACTGCTACTGGCAGATTGTACTCCCAGATGACTATCTGACGGTCGTCTCCGGTCGTCATCAAGCTACGGTCATCGTTGAAGAAGGTGACGGTGTTCACATTCGACATGTGCGCGTTGTACTCCAAGGATTTCTGCCCGGTGCGGGCGTCAAACTGGCACGCCTTCCGGTTCGAACCTCCGATAATGAATATGCCCTCATCTTTGGGGTAGACGGTCACACAGTACGGAAGAGCTTCTTGCTCGTAGACCCCAAGGACCTTGCCGTACTCAGTGTCCCACAGGATCACCCTGGAGTCGAACCCGCAGCTGTAAAACTTGGTACCATAGGCGTTCGCAAACGATATATCACGCACGCCTTTGCAATGGCCCTTATAGGTGCGCAGACAACTCCGGTTGTTGTGCGCGTCCCATATCTTCACGAAGCCGTCCATTGAGGCTGACAGGAGGCAGTGACCGGTGCGAGGGATGTACCTTATGGCATGCACGGCCATAGTGTGACCGACGTACGTGTGCACCTCTTTCTTAGGCAAGAACGACTTGTAGTCGTCGGGGGCAGCCATCCTTACGTGCCGTGGGGGAAGCACCCACGAACGTGAGGGTGGCGCATTGGGGTCGACCGTGCGGTGGAACCTCGAGACGACAACACCATCAAACGACGTTACTGGGTAGCCATCCTGGAACGCGACTTTGTTACGACCTACAGCAACATCAGGAGCGCAGCTCGGAAAGGCCAGGTCTGCCTGAGCTATCATCTTGTACATGTTCTTCTCGAGCACCGGAAGCTTGGGCTTTGGCTTCCAATTGGGCACAATAGCAGCTTCTACTGGTGCTGCTTCTTCGTATGGTCGCCAGGGTCCGAAGTTGCCATCAGCCGCAGCCTCCGATTCAGTCAAACGCCGAGGCCGCTTTGTATCGGCGTCACGCTGGTGGGCAAGGCACACTCTACGGTTGCCGTCATGCAACTCGTCCTCAAAGCTGATTAAGTCCACATAGGTCTTCTCGGTGACGCCCGCGGGAGTGGCAAATGTGCCTCCGACGGATGCGGGCACCCTTGCCGTGCGGTCCACACTACGCTCCTGGTATTTCTGGGGGGACTTCTGCGTAATCAGACTAGGGCTCTGGTGGGAAGGGTGGCCGACAGGGTAGTTTAACATAACCATGTCCTTTGAATTCCGGGTGTGCTCCCTCAACCTGCTCTGCATCAGAGCTGTAGCGTTAGCCTCCACTCTTTGCATCTTCCGTTCAATTACCTCGGGCTCGGCAATCGTCGAGCCAGCGTCTGCATCCGCGCCACTCACTCTCACAAGCCCCTTTGCGTTGTTGCGAGATCCCAACACAACCGATACCACCCCAATGCGCCCATCCGGCATCACGGCAAGAGCGGGTTCCTCAGTGACAGGCTTGTACCCGCCATCACGGTGCACTGCATTCCCCTCGTTAATACCTTCCGCCTTTTCCAGTTGTTTGAGGCGGTACGACGCATGTATTCGGGAGGTCGGAGGATAAACCTCGTCTGACACTTCGGGATCCAAGGTATCAACGTCTGCAAAGCATTGCGTAAGTGGCGATTCGGTTGCTTCGTGGACCAAGCATGTACACCCGGACCCGATCACAGACTCTTCTTCTTGCGTCGGAGGGATGGGTAAGTTGCGATCGGGGGAGACGGGTTGCTGGGGGCTGTTGCTTTGACTGGGCTGGGGTGGCGAACGACGATCCCCAAAAGCCAGAAAGTGCGGATGGATCCTGTCCAGAGGAAATAGGCCAAATTTTCGCGGATTATTTCCATACGGAACTCCACTATGCACTTTATTGCATGCGACGGGAGATTGTGTCTGAGTTCCTGCCGACGTTCTCGTCGTGGGCGTGATCGGTGCTGTCGCACCCGACGGAAGGCTATCGTCGCTAGCGTAACCGGTAAGCGCGTCCATTGTTTAGCCCAATCGCTTCACATTCCTGTTCTCCTTGAAGATTGGTTGCCAGCTGACGCAATCGCTATGGAAGACGCCCCAAACTGCGACGAAGGAGCAGTTTGAAGGGCAAATCAAACGTGATAGCCTTGATAAGCGATTTAATATATAGCTAAACGCTACATATTATGCCTTTCGCATGAATATCCCTAAGCGGTCGCAACAGCCGGTCGCTGAAAAGATGAACAGATCTCCAAGGGCCCGGAAGGACGCCCCTCAGCCAGCTCTGGCAAATGCATATCTCGGGCTTGTTAATCCACACATTATGCCCCAATTTAAACGCACTTGCATAGGTGCGATAAATTCAGTCGTGAATGCGAAAGGGGCTGTGGACTAACTGGGCCCGCCGCTGCCGGAGGGTGATTGTGGGTGAACTTGGGAGCTTACACAATCACGGCAAGACGGGGCCAAAGTCTAACACCGACAGGGTGCGACTCAAAACAGCCCGATCGTTAGGAGTAAGGAGGTGAGTATATTAGCTCTAGCCTTCGAGCTCCAGAACCGGGAATTGGGACGATCACGCGGCGCGATATTTGGCTGCGCATACCAGCCATCAAAAATGGCGCTGTAGCGACGGCAAATTTCGGCTTATACCAGTGATAGCATCTGTTCCGTGACTTGGAACGGCGGAAGCGGACACATTTCTGGAGAAGCGCTGTACACAACCCAGCGAAAACGAGAGGCTAAACCTAGGATTTTACCAATTGATCATACACGAAATGGATTGGCAAATGCTTACGGCATCAGCCTCAGCGCTGGCACCGCTCGACGCTGGTATACAGCACACCTCGGTGGTCAACCTCTTCAAACTATCTAAGGAGTGGGCCAACGCAACAGACGCGAATGCAGGCTTTACCATTGACTCCGTGGAGCAACCTTCTGGCAGACGCGATAGCGATAAAACTGGTTATGTCGGTGATTTGGACGATGACACCGTCGATGAGGAAGGCACACCCTGGTGCGACAAGGACCTGCAGCTGTGGGAGCGTGACAAGGCGGCTGTCGTCGAAAGCCTAATGAACCGTCTGCGCTCATCGGGTCACGGTGCCAGGATACGCGACAAGCACGACCGAAATGTCGAGACACCCTCCCAGAGCAAAACCGAACCGGCACGCGAGGCTCCCGATATCGTTATGTCACACGAGCTTGAAATGCTGCTAAGCTGGCTTGATCGCCATGCGCACAATAACGCGAGCATATCCGATGAGGCTAGACGCATATTTGTGGACAACATGATTCCGCTGCTCCGCAAATGTGACGCCAATGCGCACAACTTCGTCTCCTTCATGCTCGACATCGCACGTCTGGGAGACGGCAAGAAACCGGAGTTCATGAAGTCGTATCTCAGAGTGTCGCTCAAGCACCTGCAGAAGCACGCGTGGGGAAGCTTGCACCTCGCAATTCTCAACACCAAGGGGATATTCATGGACGCCCTGATCTCAGCGCCGCACCAGAACCCACAGGAAACACTCAAGATGTGCGTAGAGTGCGCTCAGCTGATATTCCCAAGTCAGGCTGCGCATATAAGCGCCGGAGCAAAGCCGCAGAATAGTGAGTACTACTTCTTTATCGCATACCTGCTATTCCGCGCTGGCTCCGAGGAGGGATTGCGCATTTTGCTTGGCAAAAATGGTCGCTACGAGCTGCCGGCCGGGTTGGACTACGAGCATTACCCCCCGCTGTTCACTGAAATCTGCCAGTTGCTGATTGGTGTGTTGCAGAACAAGGATCAGGACGCCAACAAGCAGGTGCTGCTTGGCAAGTTCACGGCGGAGTATTTCCCAACAAAGCAGGCCAACAGCATCACTCTGTTAGGGAAAGGAAGCAACTTCTACGTGCTTCTGTTGCTCAGCATAATCTACCCGGATTACTATGCTCCCTGTGATGCCGATGCGCTACACACTAAGGAGGACTATCTGTGGTACCAGATTCATATCATCTTGGCTGGTTCCGCCACGTCTCTCAGCATGTCGGCTGCGAACCTGTGCCACAACTTGACGCAGGAGGTCAACACCATTAAGGCGAACGACGGGAATGTGCTTGAACGCGTATTTTCGTATGCGTATTCCCTAGCGCTGGTGGGAGGGGTCATGGAGGCCATCCGCCTGTTCATGTCCGCAGTGCACGACCCTAACGTGCAGGCTGTGGCCCTGGTGTTTTTGGTGTACTTCGAGAACAGCGGGTTGCTCAGCGCGGATGATCTAAGGTACATCGCAAGCTCACTCTGGAACCTCGAAGAGGCCACGGGAAAGTTGGAGGAGATACCCTATCTCACCCAACTCGCATTCAGCAGGAAGAGAAATGTTTCGCCGGAACTCAAGATACTCATTGCGACCATACTGCCGCAGCAGAAGGCTACTGCGTGCATGAAGTACGTCGTATCGGAGAACTTCAACGAAGCGGTTAACACATGCTTTATCGGTACCGCTACCACGCGCAACGGCATGTTGGTTATCGGGCCGCTGTTGCAAAAGCTCATCAAGCTTGCCACAAGACGTAGCGCGGCAAAGCTTGCCATTCTGCTGATGGCTCAGTACTCTGCGCATGTAGGGCTTTGGGCTGCGGCGTTCAAGTGCTTCTACTGCACACAGGACGTGGAAAACTGTGTCTCCGTGTTGGAGGCGTGCTGTTGCTACCTGTACGATAACGCGGAGCAGTCGGGGGCCACAGCCGTTACTGGCGATGACCTGTGTGTGTACTTCTCCCTCGTTAAAAGCCTCTCCCCCGGCAACAAGCGTTTGGCAGAACTAAGCAGGCTGTTCGATTGCATCAAGGTTTCTGTGCTGGTCAAAAACGGTGACTATACCGGGGCCGTCATGGACGCCAAGCGCAATCACATCTTTGACAGCGTCACCCATGTCTTACGCAACGAGTCGCACCAGATATACTTCAACGCGCTGGTGGACTACATCAAGGCCCTCAAGAACATGGTTGAAAATGGTCACCAACCGGGAACCTTGCTGACCCAACCGGAGGCGCACAACCTGGTGGACCTCCTGGAGTCAGCCTACCAAAACTGCAACGCGGACAAAAATCGCACGGTAGAAGCCATACACATGCTCATGACATTCATCACGATAGTCCCACCGAAGCCGGGGCAGAGCGTCTCATGAGCGCAGTGACCCTGTGAGGGCCGCTGAATAAGCTGTGGGGCAACTGAGATTACATTCTCTAAATCTCGATGTCTGTAGTTCACGATTTAATTGGCCCTAAACTGGGTAGTCGTGTGTTCAATTTGCAGTGGCGAATATGGCCGTTAAATGCTGTATTTCCAGTGTTGGTTTGTAGCCGTTCTGTTGCCGTGGTTCGGTGAGTGGGGTGGGGTGGCCTGTAGCGGTTTGCTGATCCAAAGGTGGTTAGTTGCTGTAAACCCATGTATACAACACACGTGGTTGGAAAGTGTATGCCTAGCAAGGTGTTCAGTATTGAGCGGCACTGCATATACGTTGACTTATGTAGCATGGATGATGCGTTATCTTCTATGTTTCTGACTAGGGGTGTTATAGGTGGTTGGTCAGCGAGGTAACCGTGGAGGCACGGTCACGCCTGCAGGTAGGTGAGCTTGCTGAGCGTGCCGAGGCGCGGCGATGCTGGCAGCCTGAGGTTGGAGCGGATGCGGATATTACATTGAGCTGTCTTAATCCTGTCCTTTTATGTAACGCGCACCTGATGCGCTGCTGCGATGTAATTCACGAACGCGTTCATCGGGCACCTGCCGGTGAAATCTTATGAAAAATTAAATAAAATATTGTTACGTTGGCGTCGTGCCAGGACTGTCTAGGACTGTGCGATTATAATAAATTCCGGAAGCGATTAAAGAATGCGATACAAAACGTTCAGTTGCAGACGAAATAATCGCGGACCTTGTGTAAGGGCCGGATGCGAAAGACGATCATAACGCACACGACAGTGAGGATGATTGCGATGATAATTACGATTACGGAAGTGGTGACATCGGTGGTGGAACAGTCGTAACTGGTTAAAGAGGCGAAACTGATGGCAGGTTGCTCACGTTTGCGTACACAACAATGACAGCCACAGCTCGATATCTTCTCTGCACAATTCGAACAGCAATACTGTTCGGGTCTTCCGTGTTGTCTTCTAACCGCATCGCACGCTGCGCACTGATCGCTGTTCTTACACCACGCACAACACCCGGGGCAGCAATTACAACTGTTCTTACACACTCCGCCCCTTTCTTGACAATTGCACGGTGTCATATTCCCTTCCCCCTCTATCACAAACCTGCGCAACCATGAAACACGTAACTTGAGCCCCGAACCGCAACGCCGTCTCCGATGAGCATGATGCGACCCACCGCCAGGGATACCACAATGTACATGCAGCGCTCCACAGAGATTCTTCAGTTCTAAGTACGACAGAATATTTGTTGCATATGTGCCACCATATTGGTGCGCTGATGAGACCCTAGGCGGTATACTGTGCTTGTTTCCCATATTAGTGACCGCCACACTGTTGTCATATATGCCACATATCTAGGCCATCCCGTCGGATGATTCCACCGACATTCATTACCTCTTAATGCACGTGATAACTGGCATGTTAACTGCTCTCGTAACGTGCAACGAGGTAGCTCACCAAGCACGGCAGCTGTCATGTGCCAACTTCGATGGCCTACCGCCTAGCTTCACACTACACTGACACTATGCGAGAATGCAGACACGTCCACGAGTGACCAACGAACATCTCAAGGTATCAACTACATTATATGTCATGTTAGGCCCTAGGTTATTCATTTGCTCATGTGCTAGGTCATCCATTTGATTTGGCATTAGGCCAGCCATTTGGTTAGGCGGCGAGTTAGGCATTTGGTTAAGTGGTAAGCAAGGCATTTGGTTAAGTAGTGAGCTATGTGCTATGCAAGGCACGAGATACAGTCACCGTTAAAGACATAACATGACAACACAGGGAATGTGAATGTGAGTGTAGCTAAGATAATTAAAATCACGAGTGAAAGTCATCGTCGAAGTAGTCGACGTCTTTGTAGAGTGAGAGCATCCTGCGGCTTCCGGCGAGCAGCGCCTTGACGTCGATGAGATGGGAGGCCTTGGAGCGCAGGAGGTGGGAGCGGATGCGCAGCACGTCCAGGCGGTAGAGCATCGTGTGGAGGATGTAGAGCGTGGCGGTGAGCCAGAGTGTGAACACAGTGTAGAGGAAGGGTAAGCGGACAATAACATATTCACAGCCAATCCACATGCATATAACAGTGCCAAAGCGTGTTTCCTGAAGGCATAAAGGTGTGTGGAAATCTCACGGACCGTATTTTACTCTTGTATGTGAGTTTCTAAACTATTGTAATAGACGGACTGAGTCCATGATTGGCAATGCACCAAATCCACTGAATCAATCATTCCGACAGTTCTTTCATACATATCCCTCATCTCCGACCTCATAATTCGTACTCTCCGTAACTTGTTTCCATATACCAACCTGCCGGCCTGTCAACCTCCTCTAAGCTAAATCGCATAACTTGAGCTTCACCCCCTCTAAATCAGTATCCATTGTTTCGGGTAGTTTACGCCAACGCCATAGTGATGAGTCACTCCGAGATGTTTCCAAAATTGCAGGATCTATCTCATTAATGGCCATCAGCTTACCCCACTTTGACGTACCCTGCCATGCCTCTCTATGGAGGTATCTATAATCGCCGTTTATGCGCACTATTTATCGCATATTGTGGTGTCATCGTCTAGAAATTCGACGTAACACTACGTAGCGTAACCCGAGCCACTTCATCCAAAATGAGGGGCGTTTATTTTTCAACAGTCGTAATGCGGTGGGTGAAGTTCGAACATTCTCGTAAAATCATTGTAAGGCATATGTGATTAACATTAAACATAGTCTACCACACTAATACAATAATGGTGCCGTTGCCGAACACAACGCCTTGCTTACAATCACAGCAATTGTATCGGGTAGCGGAAAGGTGAAATTTTATCGCCGGATCAAGCGACGGAGCACGTCTTATCATTCGCATCTATAGAATTACCTTGTTATGCGTATTAGCACCCAGAGACAGCTTCTATCACCATATTGGGACTGTGGGCCCACCAAAGTCCCTAAACCTTGACAGCATTTCCCACTCGGCAATGGGGTATTCAAGACCAGGCGACATTATATAATTGTATAACACCAAAGCACACAACAGCTGTTCCTATATATCTATCCGTTTGGAATCGCCTGTGGGATATTCATTTTAGAGCATTGATTAGAGCCATGCCGCCGATGCTACGTGAAACCGTAATATAAAATGGAGCTCAAGCAACAGACATTGTTAAAAATTAATAAACGTAAGGGTGGGCAAAAGTAGCAAAGAATGCAGTTGCTTCTGATAAAAATGTGTACCGTGAATACGCCTTACTGGTGATGACAAGATAGCAGGCTGCGTTATACACCGCATTTTACAACATTTAGTGAAACACGTTCACCGATGCATACTGTGATACGTCTTGCATGCGTCGTAAGGGCTACACACAAGCCAGACGGCGGTAGCAAGGCGATATACGAAACTCCTCTAGATGGAAGTGAGGCAATTTTGTGTTATGCCTATAGCGGGAAACACATTATATGTGTGTGATATAGAATCGATACTGTGACGAATAAGTTGTGTCTATAGTCACTTCGTGAAGAGGAACGGTGCCTAATGAAGTGTGCACCGTAAACATGAACACTAAGTAGCCATTTTGCACTCTCATCGTGACTGCTTTATAGTGCAACTAAAAACTAGGATGTCAAAATCAGCGGTACTCTGCCGTGAGTGCCTCTGTTGCGACTAGACAGCTATAAATGGCGCATATATCAGATTGAGCAGTCAGCGGTTTGCGCTTGCGTTCTGCGTCATTTGATGTAACAAATGCGGCGTTTTCTTGTCATTTATGTCGAAGCACTAAATTGCTGTTATTAGGTATCGCGCAAGTGCAGACAACATCCAATCTGCACGATCTGCGACCTGGTGCCATAGCTTCCAGCATACGAGAATAATCTCGTTGCACCCTACAAACAAGGCCATTATAAATTAATTTCGTCGCCGATTTAATTACTTTGAAAAGGCAATTTTACGACATTGTGCAACTCGGGCATTGAGGTTACACCGAGGAGCGCTAATTAAAGCACATTTGTAGAGGCGTGTGCAACGCACATAAATCGCATAAGTAGTCTTGTGGTATATAAGGGTATTAAACAATGAAATTCCTTCACTCGCTCCTCTTCGTGTTTACGTTGGGCGGTGTCTTGGTCGTTAGGGCCTGGGATCATGGTGACGATAGCTCTGTTAAATGGCAACCAAGGCCTCGAGCTCAGTATGAGTCGCGGCTAGAGTTGCCTCAGGGTACGAGGGGAACATCTAGTAGCTCGGGTGTATCTCGCGAAACAGCAAGTTCAAGTGTGACTAGTGGAGATACAGAACATGCTGAGAATGTCGGAAAATCTCTTGCTGATCCTCAACCCATAGGCGGTGTAAAAACTATAAATTCGGATTCGGCCGGTACCCAACTTTCACCAATGCACCCTGCACCTACCAACGAGAATGTTGATGTGCCGCAAGAAAGGACTGGTGACTTAACTACCGGTGAAGAACGCAAAAGTGAAACTGAAGAAACGCTAAAAACAAAGGGAAGCGAATCTCCAAAGCAGAAGATTGAGACGCCCTCGTTGAAATCTGAATCCAGCGCACAAAAAGATCCACAGGAACTCAGCACTCAAAGCCATGGTCAGCAGGGAGGTGACAGATCTAAGGAAGGAGTACAGGGGCCTATGGGAAAACCTGATCAACCAGAGACTGAGGTCAGCCTTCCTCAAAAACCTACCGTGGAAGGTACTGGTGGTGCCCCGGGAAAGAATGGCCTTGCTGACCCTGCTCCAACATCTTCGGAACCAGCTGTTCCTGCTGAGGCCACGCCCAACCCTGAACAACCTGCTCTCAAGCAAGAAAAGGATGTGAAGGAGCCTGGCAGTGGTGAGGACGCTGGAGACAATGGGAGCGGACGCAGCGATGAGGAGGATGATGAGGAAGAGGAAGAAGATGAAGAAGAAAATGGAGGGAACGATAATCGCCAAGCGGTGACGGTGGATGGGCGAACTAGTTTTGATAAGCTGCGTCGTCGTAGCGCGCTGCGTAATGGTGAAACACAGAACCCTTCCGTTCGTCAGTCTCCAGAAAGTGCTGCCGGTGGCGATAATGCTCAAGCCCCATCTCAATCTGCTACGTCAGTCACCCAAAACACTGCACAGCAGGGTGCTTCGCAGCAACAGGCCAGTGGCCCAAAGGGCAACAGCGAGCAGGTGCAGACGAGCATGGAAAACCTTGTTCACGTCAAGGATAGCAGCAGTGTAAGTTTCTACCAGCCTATTGAACATATTCTTTTAGGCCTCTCTCGCTGCAACCACTGGTATTGTCGTACTAGCTCTTTTCTTCATCTGCTAGTCAAGTCATACATCATTGATAAATGTATCTGTGCATCACTTTGTCTGATATGATATGTGGCTGTTAAGCTAGCGCCACCTTATGTAGCCATTCATAGCTCAGCACTTACATGCTATCGGTATTGGTTGCGTGTTTCAGGTCACACTGTTACCGAACGCTGCATGTATCATACGTGATGGCACCTCTCTTGTCTGGACTCGAGTGTTATTCCCAGAATTATCTTCTCTGGGTTACACATTACTAATCGCTTAAGGTATAACCTTGGGAGTTGTCTGCTACCTGAACGCTCATAATCTGGCGTCCTTGACCAGGTCCTCTTTCCGCCTCGTGGGCCAGTCTCCACTTATCAATAGGAGTTCTTTACAACGCTCTAAACGATGGTGGCCGTGTTATACCACCTATTCTAGACGAATATATCCCGTGGCTTCTGCCAGTGGCGGTGCCTCGCTGTTCAGTTTCTTGTGTTATATTAAGCACAAAATATTTAATGCAGTTATAATAAGCTGCATGATGTCACATCTGTCCGTTTTAGTAAATTTTTGTCGCGGTAGGAGCCGTAGAGGAAAATTCTCAGGTGACCATCCAGACAGCTGCTGTGATCCTTGTAGGGTTATTGGCTCTTGTGATCAACCATTGATCCCTTTGTGAATCTTTTGGACAGCTTCCACCTTGTTAACTTTATTTCAACTGCGTAATTTTTCTAAAGTGGTTGCAAGTATAGAGGCGGTGATATGCCACGCAACGGCATCACAATGAACATATCTCTAGTAATTCGAGTTCTTTTGACCTTCGGCGCTATATGGCTACACTGCATTATATCTATTGAAGTGATGCGTTGTGACTTCGGAGAGCCAGATGAATTACTCATCAGCAATGCTCTCGTTATGTGCCACATGGATATTGATGACTTTTCCTCCGCAATTGTAGTATGTCCACGGCGAGTTGACAACGTCGAGTATATCTTGCATCCTCGTCCAACTTCCGATGGAAACGCTCATCTCAATACTTACGTGAGTGATGAAGGTGTGTATCGTGCTGTTTCGCTTTCGGATGTATTCGTCACCGAATCGCCAGTGTCATTCGCCTCAGTGGAATCGGATCAAATGCAAAATATTCTGCATATAGAGTTGCCTACTGAGGAGTTGTTTGCAATAACAGAACGCCGCTGGATATTCATCTGCGGTCCAAGAAATCTGAACTTGAGTGATGCATTGCAACGTCAACTGGACCACATAAATGGAGCCATACAGATACAAGATTTTCCATGGACTCCAGTCACTCCATTGAGTCAAGAAATATCAAAGATAGGGCATGGTTTGGGTGTGTTTGTCTTGTACGGCGAACGTATGTACTTACGTCTTCAAGGCTGTGGAAGCCACCCCTCGCCATTGTTCGCTCCGGGTAATGAGGTTATTATAGACCCAGTCACAGCCACCCGTTCATGCGTTGCGGACCCTATGTCGGAATCACGCATCGGATTTCTTTGCGAAGGGCGTATTGAACCTGAGGATTGCATGAGATCACTCATTGACTCTAATGGAGAAGTTGTGGCTACCCCCGAACCACATCTGTATTGGGGTTTCGGTGACCATAGACCTTGGGTAGCAGCCAAGTATTTTGAGAAATTCGCACTGCCGCCATTCAGTGGCGAATGTAAATGCGTCGATTCCGAAACAGGTCAGGTGAAGGCCAGGATAGAGATACGCTCTAAAACTGAGTACATTTGTGACATTGCCAGCAAGGTTTTCCGTGACCGTTACCACCCCATACGTGGCCCTTGGTGTTCAGTGGTGCTTCATCCGGGTAGCACCTTGACAATAATGTTTCCAATAGAGTTTCTAGACTCAAGCTCAGAAGAAACTATTGACATGGATGTCTACGAAGCTTCCCCGTCTGGCCCTCTCTCTCAAGAACCGCCTAGATATTTATTCAAAACTGAATTCCTGCCAAAGGATCTAACTACACTTCGGCAACTGAGTACACCTTACGATGTTTATATCTACGAGGAGGTCTTGTATCAAAGGGTAATTGCTGGAGATGCTCTCGAGTTGGATGTTTCTCAAATGCACCATGGGGAAGTAAAACTGACATACTATGAGGATAAGCCTCTTGCACTTAGGAGAGGATCCAACTCGTTCTTTTATCATTGGATATTAGAAGCTATAAACAACTACGTATTTGATGGGATACGCGCCGCCGTTAATATATCCCTTGCATTTACTCATTACTATGATATAGTTGGTTGCGACCGAGGACCACAACATGTATTTGATCCAGACATGAGCAAGGACCATTGCTCAGTAAAATCTATGGGGAATGGTATAGGGGATATTTACGAATGCTCTTACCATATTACGTGGGATGGCTGGCAGGTGGGTATTTACTGCAGACCAGACGAAGAGCTGTTGCCGAACAATTGTGAGTCCACAGGATACGACCTATCATCTAATAAGGTTATGCAACTCCCTGAATCTGTTCGTAATGCTACCACTTACCCTATTCGAGGATTTCATGTGTTCGATCTTTACTCAAACGGCGATACCCCTCTCAATTATGCTTGCGTCTGTGTTGACCAACGTGGGTACGAAAAATCAAAGCTCATTTTAAAGTATACCACAGACGATTTCCACACATACAAAGTACACCGCGCAGAGCGACCTCATAGGTCACTTCTTCACATGTTGCTGCCCTGGAGGGAAGTCGGTTTATCAATCGATGGGCTCACATCACCGGAATCGCTTACGATACACTACGTACCACAAAGTACCATTACAATAGAAGTAGGAAGAACTTTGTTGCTGCATTGTGAAAACGGTTTGGATGCTTTTCAAATACTTAATGAGCCATTAAACGTTCACGCTAACCCGGGCAGGGAGACATTGAGATGGCTGCCAGACAATCCTGAAGAATTCTATTATACCGTCTTCCATACGCCAAATGGGCCGGAGCTTATTCGTCAGAAATACGAAGATTCCATGGCTATGAGTGATGGTGCATTGGATGTCTATTACACCGAACACTCGAGTATACCTGGATATCTAAAATTGGAGATATCATCACACCGGGGTTCCATAATCATATCTAAAGATCCACTACACAAGCGATTTGTCCCCATGACATTTGTCTGCGGAAAATCACCCCAACCATCAGATTTGTCCATCATGACTGGTGATGGATCCACTTCAGGCACCTCTGCCCAGCCCACTTCCCATATAAGGAGAATGTATATAGCATACACGTGGCATGTCGTGGAAGTTGACATCGAAACTACGGATCCCTATATGCAAGGCTGCGGCGTTACCTACTCGTCGGATGTGTTATTCAAGCCTGAGACACCCCAACTCTACGACGCTGATGGTCAACTTCAGCTCGGTTGCAAAATAGACCTCCAAGCTGCCAAGGAGACGGCGTTCTACTGCCCGGCGCCGTATGTCCTGGACCCACCCAATTGCTTCAGCCAGGTCTACGTGGACGGAGTTGTAAAGAACATGAGAGAGCTCAGCAAGTCATTGGTGTCGTCTCGGTCCAACCACTTCGTCATCCTGCGTTTATACAGTTCGCTCATAGGACCCGAGGAGACACTGCGCCAGGCGCCGCCATTGGAGTGTCGTTGCGTCACCGTCAAGGGTATCATCCTCTCCACCATCCAGATCGAGAACTATTACGCCAAGTAGTGAGCAACTGAGATGTGATAATTAACTGGTCAATGAGACAATTGTTTTCATTGTTTATGATAAGTGGTGTATCCACCGTGTTAGCATGGCTTTCGGACAGGCCGTCAGAATTGCTGAGGTAAAGCTCAGCATCTTTATCCAGTGCTATAATAGTTGTGTACAGCTTGTGTAGGTGGCAATGGCCCAAACATCCAACAAATGGTATTATATGTCACTTGCCATTAGACTTTAATCATTTCCCTAGTGTTGGTTAGAAGCTACGGCGGCAGTGACTGAGCACGCTGGACCACCCGTGGAAATGGAAGCAAGGGTGGCTCCACCTGCTCATTATACAATCACAGACCACATAATGAGACTGTCTGTAAGGTTACATTGAGCCATGTTGACATTTCCGAAGTGCGATTTTAGAGGTCTCGCCTGGCCCAGTCACAACTTACAGATTGACGGTCCGTGAGGGGAAGGAGAGAATGCCTGGTGCTAGGTGTTTGAGGGCCAGGAATGAGACTCATATCTGTGATATAGTGTTAATGATAGAAATGAGTGAAACGAGTTCGGTGAGACTTATAAATGAGTTAGACATCCGGATTTGGATGTGAGGCGTTGTCATAATGCGCATTACATTAACACAATGACACTATAGCTAGCGTTACAAATAGAAGATATTATATGTGCCGGCGGTGAGAATTGGATGGTCAACTGAATTAATGGGCACTTTGGGGTAGATGCTACAATGCTGCTATAAGGTGAGTGACAACGGTATGACAGGCGAGGTTGTCGCTACGATCATAGTATACAGAGGTATGGAGCTGTAGAAACTGAACACTGTGCTTCAATGAATACAAAGATTCCGAACTTGCAACTTGTTCGGTCACCGATCTGTGGGGCAAGGTTCTCAATATTTGGATGACGCGATGGGACGATTTTATTGTGGAACTCGTGGCTAGTGCCTTAATAACGGTGTGTAGCATGGTTGCCGCATTGTTGGTCGAAGAACGCTGATGGGAGACGGCTTGGAGGCCTTACTGTTAGAGGCTTAAGGTACATGTTTTGTGCTTGTGCAGCGTTCTTGGTTAGTGCCGTCGGGGGTGTTGAGGGCTTAAGGTACGCGTTTCGTGCCTGTGCAGGTTACTGACAAGGGAGCTGCGAAAAGATGTCTACGGAGAGTGAGTGCCGATGTGATCCTACATGTAGGAATGATGGGTGTATATGCTGTATCTTTTGTTGTGAGGGATGTAGCGGTGACGAACATTGCCGCCCATGTACATCTAAATACGGTGATGGCGACATACGTCCTCTAAGCTGTGATCGTCAGGACTGTAATAAAGTATGTAAAAAAGCAGATTGTGAATGCCCGTGTGGTCATAAACGTGCACCCCTTGGCTCCCGTGCCCTTTATGCCTCCACTGGCAACAATACCATCACCAGTCTCATCGCTCCCATCGTCATCGCGATAATCCTCATTATCGTATGTACCATGAGCTTCTTTCGCATCCGGCCATTTCACAAGGTCCGCGATTGTTTCGCCTGCAAGTGAACGTCCTGTATCGCATTCTTTGATCGCTTCCAGCATTTTTAATTATCGCACTTATCACATAGTTTTAGACATTACCGGCACGACGCCAATCTAATAACGTCTTATTTAATGTTTCAAAATAGTGCAACGCCTGGTGCCCGGTGAATGCGTTCATGAATTACATCGCAGCAGCGCATCAGGCGCGCGTTACATAAAAGGACAGGATTAAGACATGACAATGTAGTATCCGCAACCGCTCTCACCCGAGGTCACCGTCAAGCCACAGCCTCTCCGCCCTGCCGTTGCTAGCCACCGCACGCCTCGACGCACTCACCACCAACTCACCCAGCCACCTAACTGACAACCTAGCAGATAATGTGGTAGAGGTGTTATGTTTGTGTTGTAGTAGCCACGTTGTGATCATCATTGTGTAGTCCCACGGCAATAGCGGGATGTGAAGCTGAGTAGCTGGCCACCCATGTCAGCAGCTGAGTACCGTCATTGTAGGCGAGGTGATGAGCCATTTGTTAAACGGGTCGGCAACATTAAAGTGACGGGTTGGATGGCTATAGAATATTTTAATGCGTGAATATGCGACATTATCTGACATAGCGGGCAGCGTACGGCCTAGTTAAGTGGCATTTATAGGCAACATTGTGGCTATGACCAATATCGTAATCTCGTACGGCAGCTAACATAGACAGTTGGTAGCACACCTTCATCTTCGTACATGGTTACAGGTAGCACGTTAACGTGGTTTAAGGTGGGTGGAATTGGGGTAGGGTAACTTTGATACTATTTGATAATACATGGTACGTCGACGTTCCTGTTTACATGGGTTATTGGCGTATTATGTTTGTGGTGCAGGGCGCGCGGCTGTGGTATCCGTGGCGTTTGGATGGGTTGTGATTGCCTGTACGGCCAAGGAGCGCTGAGGGGAGGCGGCTTTGAGGGGCCGTGATGCAGGGTAGGGACGAGCAAGCTGTGTTTCACTCGAGATCTCGGTGAAGTTTACCGCCTATCTACTTTGCCCTACTTTTCTACGTCAGCGGGGCACCTGAATTGCTGGGTGTGTCACCTTCCTCCTCAGGCAGGTAGGTCTATGAGAATTTTTTATCGCATCATTTATTTGGATAGGAGGCATGAGTGTGCAGTGTTTCAGTGTAATGATGCACTTTGTTGTCACTCAGCTTTTTACTTTGTAGCCTTTCAAGTTGAATTGTTCGGCCATTCTGTCTTGTAGGCGTCTCCTTAATGATTGACAGGTTGGAGATGTCACTGTTTGAAGCTCGATGGTATGGCACCGAAAGCTTTGACGGATTGCCCCGAAAACCTTCGAGAGGCGATCGACTGGCTCATCCAAGTGAAGCACGGTGGCGGGATCCCGATTATATGCGACACTCTCGGTACGTTGTTTGACAATGTTGTTCAGGACGCTGAAAAGTCTTTGTCGTCTCTCCCCGAATCAGATGAGCCGTCCGCCAGAGATGTTATCTCCAAGCTTCAAGGGTTTCGGAGCTCTCTTCAGAAAAACCCTGAGAATAATAATCAAAACATTTTACATAATCTCTGTTCCTCCCTTGAGAAATTTCTAGGCTATCGGTCTCCTGGAACCTACGATGGTTCCGGGATTGTGTATGGCGACGCCTCCCGTCTGTGCGATGCCATTTTAGCGTTCTTGTTTGGTGTGACCAGTGATGTCTATGAGAATCAGCCGTACACTGCTGGTAGAACCATATTGCATGATGAAGTAATTGCGAAGCTTGAACCTCAATTAAGGCGCGGCCACCAGGGGTTTACTCACGCCATCCCCCAGGTGGCCAGTGGCCTCCATAAGTATAACGCCGCCGTCGAGGCTTCGAACGAAAAAGTCCAGAAACCTATTGATGACTTGTTAGAATATATAGAACCAGGCGGTGAATTGATTAAACGTGCTGATGCTTTGCAGGTTGGCGGTGTTAAGGAAGCCGAGGCCTTGGCCGAGGCGTGTGTCAAGCGAGGTGAGGCGTTTAATGAAATGTACAATCCTGATACCCAAACAGCAATGAATAGCGCCGTGGAAGGTCTAAATGAAAAATTACGTGAACGTCTCCGTGCGGCGTTGAAGGCGGTGAGCCATGAGACCAAGCGTCTTCAGACCTTGACGAAGAAGCAAAGGGAGAATTACGATGCTATGATTGCCATGATAAAGAAGGCGTTTCAGAAGTTGAGAGAGAGTGTTAAAAGGGAAATTACTCGGGAAGTAGATAAGCTCATCGGCGATGTGAAATCCAGGGTCCAGAAAATCCTGGACGACCTAAAGAGCATAAATGACAAGTTGAAGGCTTACGTTAGCGAACTGGGGGAGTGGATCCAGGAGGCGGAGAAATTCATCCACTCGGCGCAGCAGTATGTGCAGAAAATATTGGATGAAATTAACTTGGAGGATTCGTATAAGTATCCTAAGCAGATTAATCGGTTGATTGATCAAATTGAAATACAACTTGGCGTCCATGCAGGGGAGTTGGGCAATTGGAGGGAGGCGGCAAAAAATGTTTTTGAAACTGTGATCCAGAAATCTGATGAAGTTAGTAATGATCTGGATCCAATGAATACTAGAGCGGACATTGGCAGATACATTGGACATGTTCAAAGGGCTAACGCAAAAATTGAGACTGCGAATAATAAACTTGGCGACCGTGTTGCTGAGTTGGAAAAGTGGAAGGATGCAGCAAGTGGCGTGCTTCAAAATGCTATTAGTAGGGGTAAAGAAGTGTACGATCAGTTGGATCCTAGTAGTCCAACATATCAGATTGGCAAGAACATTGCAGCAATTGGCACCGCTAAAGGTGCACTTGAAGAAACCAATAACACTCTTCTCACACAAGTCAACAGCCTGAATTCTTGGATTGGGAGTGCGGAGGATATCCGTGCTAAGGCACAGAAACACGCGGAGGAAGCCTATAAGAAACTTAACTACAACGAAAAATTAGCGTTGAATATTAAAAACATAGAGGATGCCAACAGCAAAATAAAAGAAGTTAATACAAATATTGGCAGACACGTTGGTGAGTTAGGTGACTGGAGAAATGCGGTGGAGTCTCTGCTGGACGGTGTGATCTCAGATGCTGGGAAAGTGAAAGATAAGTTGAGTCCTGATGACAAAAGTAGGCCGCTTAGTGAGCAGATTAATAAAATTAGTGAAGCCAAGGATGCAATTGTCAAGGCTGATAAACAACTTGAAAACCATCTTGGGAGTTTGAGTGACTGGAAGAGAGAGGCTGAGAGTGTGCTTGTAGGAGCAATAAAAAAGGCGGAGAATGTGTGGAAAGCGTTGGATGAAACAAAAAAAGAAGATAAATCGCTTGGAAAAAATATTGAGAACATTGAGACCGCAAAAAAGGCGATTGAAAATGCGAATCAGAGTCTTGGTGAGGAAGTTGGGCACTTGAATAACTGGCATACTGCGGCTGACAAAATTGTCGCAGCTGGAAAAGTGAAGTGTGAAAAAATTTTGGAGAGAGTTATTAAAGATGGCAAAACTGAGGGTACGCAAATTGGTATAAACGCCCAAGCCTTACAGAAAAAAGCTGAGAACCTTTTGGAAGCCTACAAGAATGCGTATCCCAATGTCAGCGGTTTAGTAAGTAAAGTTCAAGGGGCCATTTCACAGTTGGAAGCCGGCATGAAAAGCGATCTGGAGAATTTGCAGAAGAGTATTATTAGCAAGATGAAGACACATGTTGGGAGTATGCTTAGTGATATTAAGAGCAGTGTGGAGAGCATTAAGGGGAAGGCAGGAAATATAGCTCCAAATAGTCAATGGGAACATAGTAATATAGGCTCCGGCCTTGCAGGCATTTCAACGAAGGTGCAGAAATATTTCGAAGCGTTCAACGGGCAGTGGCCGTTTGACCGTATAGTCGGCGGTTGGATCGATGACATTCTGCAGCACAACGGTGTGGTTAAAAAGCTGCTTGGATGGCAGAGTAGGCAGGCGCAGACACTTGAGGAGGAGCTGAAAAACAGTGGTCTCGGAGGCTCAATTAAGTCGCCGCTCGAAGAACAAATTAGCCTGGCGGTTGACGTGTTCACCAGTGGACAATCCTCTGCCGTCGGCATTAAAGGCAAAATCTCACAGGTCAAGGAGGCCTGCGAACTGTTCGCCCGCTGGCTTGATGAGGCGCTGAAGGATGCGAAGAGTGGCGGTGTCCTTGCGATGGTCAAGCAGGCTAAGGATGCGATGGTGAATGTTGACGCTAGCGAACGCAGCAAACAAAGTCACTTAAAAAGTATCATAGAAAAGGCAAACTGCACATGTGGTTGCGGATACTGTGGCAGCGGAAGTAACGATAGGTGCCAAAAATGCCAGAAACCAGACTGCATCCTCACTCAAGCCGTCGCCACCACACTCCTTGCCGTGTCCTCGGTGGGCCGGCAGGTGGGCAAGGAGCTTCACTCAGTGTTCCTCAGTCCCGACGACGGAAACATCGCAGGCTTCCTGGACGCTGCGAAGGCGGCAACTGATAAGCTGGACAAGAATCTGGAGGAAGCGGAAAAAGAGGCAAATAAAAAAGACAGCACCCCCGCTCCCACTGCCGGAGACAATCCTATTTTGCAGAGCGTTAACGGGATTGCGACGCAGGTTAACATAGCAATGAAAGGCAGCGGTAATACTAATATAGAAGTTAAAACTACGATGACGAATTATGAGCAGAAGAAAAAGGAGCCAGCAGGTGCACAAGGCCTGTACAAAAAACTGACCGAAGAAGATATTCCCCAGGCGCTGCAACCTTTCCAAGACAAAGCTGGACTCAACAGCACTGACCAAGTTGCTGGTCAAAAAGGAGAAGTCGGACAGCAATTCCAAAAAATCAACGACGAACTCCAAGCTGTAGCCTGGCACGTTAATAAGGATAAGACGTGGCCGAAATCGCTGGGACCCGAACCGAATGAAAATGAAGGCCTCACGCAATTGTTGGAAACGCTTAAAGAGGGGCTTGAAAATAAAGCGTTGGATGGAGTTGGTAAAGCTTTGGTACAAATTAAGACGGCGATTGAACAGTTGAAAACACAGACGTATGACAAACAACCTCAGCAAATCCAGACTGCAATCGACCAAATTAAGTCGACGCTTAGAGAGCTCAGAGAGAAGTTGAAGAAGAGTGATAAAGATGACGTCATCTACAGACTAAATGATTTGAAAGAGAATGGTCTCGAAAAAAAACAAAAATGGAATCCAACGAATGGTGGCAAAGCAGTCGACGGCCTGATGAAAATTCATAAGGAGATAAATAATCTGAAAACCAATGAGTTCACTACGCACCCCGGCATAATTGGCGACGCAGTCGACGTTATTACCCAGGAACTTGGAAAACTTCAGAGTGATTTGGAATCGAATGTCACCACCAAGTTGGAGAAGCTGCAGAGCAAGGGGCTTAATACACAGGATAACTGGGATGATGGTAAAAAAGTCAGGGGCTTCGAGAATATTAAAGGGGATGTTAATAAGCAAAATGAGACGTTAAAAGAAAAGCACAGTGAAATTGAGAAGGCAATCAAAAATATAAGGTGGGCACTTAGAGTTCTCGGATTCAAGTTGGACAATGTGTATACCGATGATGACGTCCTTGACAAGTTGAGAAAATTAAAAGACAACATTGGCCAAGGCAAAGCGCAAGATGGAAATCTCCAACAAATTCACACCGTAATTGGTGGACTACAATCCGGTGAGTTTCGTAGAAACCCGCAGAAAATTGAGGAATCAGTGAACTCAATAAGTCGGGAACTCAGACAAATTCGACGTGAGGTGAGAACTGACGTCACCGATAGGCTTATGTCGCTGAAGGAGAAAGGCCTCGAGGACGGCGGAGCCGACTGGACGGACAAGAAAGATGTCAAAGGCCTCCGAAAAATCACGCGTGAGATTAAGACTCTGCAGACCGGCGAGCTTAAAAAGAAACCGCAAGAAATCTACGATCACATGCAGGCGATGGGCTTCGCGCTCGCCGCCGTGAGAGGGAAGTTGGGCAAGGATGTCACCGCCAAGCTGCGTGAATTTACGACCGAGGCCCTCGGGCCCGGAGAGCACTGGGAGGTCAACGGCCAGCAGGCCAGGGGCCTCGAGAGGATTGAGAGGGACGTGGAGAGCGTGCGGGATAAAGAAGTCAAGAAGGTGAGAGAGAAATTCGTGGAGCTGTGCAACGGCGTAAAGGAGGACGCTGAATTTGCCAAGGCGAAATTGGATCGCCTTAAGGAGAGACTTTTCAACAAGCTCACAACTGCGAGGGGGAGCGTGCACAAAATTAGGCATGACATCAGCGAGATGCAGAGGAGTCTGGAAACCGGTCCCATCAGGGACGCCGGAGCGTTCGTCAGGAGCCTGGACGTGGCCGGCAAGGCCGTGAAACAGCTGCTGGAAAAGGCAGTGGACAGGGAAATAGACGCCGCACGGGACGCTCTTATCACCGAGCTAAATAGACAATATGTCGCCGACACCAGGGAACGTCTCCAGCATTTTGCCGAGACGGTGGCCGAGGCGCTGCAACCGTTGCCGGCGGGAATAAGTCACGACTTGACGGTGGGCTTCAAGGGCTTCATGAATAAATTGGAACACAAATTTGTCGCACAAGTCGCGAAAATCGGGGAGGCCTCCGCACACCCCGGCGCTCGGGTAGAGTCCCCGAAGCACAAGTCGACGCTCAGCCACGCGGCCAAGACGCTGCGCACGGCCTTTGCGTATCTCTTCCAGAACGTGAAGCGCCAAGAGGATTTTGCCACCGACGCCCCCAAAATTGCGCCCACCGCCGACGCCCTCGCCACGCTGCTTGGCGCCCTCCAGGTCGCCGGGCACTTCGACCACAAATTTTGCCACAACCTGAAGATACTCAAAAATGAGCTTCGTGAGTTCGCACCCAAGAGCTTCGGCGTGCACTCCACCTTAATGTCCCAGTCCCTCAAGCAGGGGCTCACCGCCCTGGCCGACCATCTGGGCGGCGCCTACGTCAGCGCCTACTGCTGCCAGACGCCGAGTCACGCCGACGCTGCCAAGTACGCTAAGATATTACTCACCATTTCCAACATGCTCTACTGTGATTTTGATGACCTGCGTGCCGAGCTTTTGTCCGACGATTGGGCCGATTATCGGATCAGTCTGAGTAACCCCCTTGGCGTCTTCTTCAGGGACTCCGGTTATCGCGTCGCCGAGGATGGTTCCGAAGAAGCGGAGCTGCGGGACGACGCTGAGTGCAACGGCAGATACATTGGTGGCCTCCTTGATAGAGACGGCAGTACGCTGTTTAGAATCAGCAGTGAACGTGACGCCGGCGTTCTTAAAAAACTCTTCGACGTGCTCCTTACTTACTACAGCGCCTGCCACCTCAGACACATCCCGTCACCAATAACGCCCTGCAACGTGTACGAGATGCTGTGCTGGCTCGGCGGGCTCTGGCACAACTCTGCGTTTAGCCGACTAAAGCGCTACATGAATTCGTTGTTCGACAGGCCCAGCGACGGACTCACCGTGGTTGTGCCTTCTGATGTGAGTAAATCCATGGTCACCACCATAAAAGTCCCCGACCTGACGGTCGCTCTCCATGAGGTATGCTCTCACGCCGAGGACACTGTCGTCAACGTGCTCGGCCACGGCCACGCCGCCGGCCGCTACGCTTGCGACCACTTCAACAACACCCTCAACCTCTCGTATCCCGCTGATCCGGCTGACCTATTTGACATGCTAGTTGGCATACTCTTCAGAGTGTGCCGCCAGCTGTGCTTCCTCCACCGGCAGTGCTGCCATGACACTCAGCTCGGCGGCTGGCGGGACTGCTGGTACGGCCGGGGAGTCGGCGGATCCAGTTGGCACTGCAACACCATGCAGTGTGCCAATCAGCAGTGTAACCTAGGTGCCAACCAAGGTGCTACCCAAAACAGTAACCAACTGGGTGACCAAACGTGTGACCAACACCCTGAGTGTGGCGTCAAGTCGCCGCTGCAGTCGTTCCTGGAGGACGGCCTCGTTGGCTTCCTGCCGCACTCCTTCACCGACCCAGGGTGCCAGGCAAGCTGCGCTGTCTCCTACCACCGCGGCATCCCCTGTCCCACCCCAATGGGTTTCCGCAACATCAGCCTCACGGCCTCCCACACCAAGCGGGGCGACCGTCTCCGCAGCGTCCTCGCCGATCTCTGCGGCACACCGGACACGCCCCTTGCCAGGCTCTGCGCATTCCTGCAGTGCCTCCTCCACCCACCGCCGCAGTCACTCGGCGACCTCTTCGCCTTCTTCCAGGGATATCTCCAGAACTGGGGCGGCGGCTTCTACGCACTCACTGCCGTCCGCGCGCACACTCAGGACGCCTTCCTCGACGCCGTCAAGGACGCAAACCTGGGACGCACATTCACCTTCATCCCCACCGCAATATACGCCGCCAACGCCGCCCACCACTCCGCCGCCGACCTCTTCAGCTTCGTCGGATGCTCCGCCTCGGCAACGACTTGCGGCCGCTACCTCCGGTCGCTCAGTTACCACAGCTTCGCCGTCTACTCCCCCGCCTACAGCGGGCACTACCTCAGCTGGGTGGTCTACCTCACGGAGACCCTTTACGACCTGCTCCACCAGCTGTGCGAGGACTGCCGCGGCAACTGCGGCTACCCGGGCGCCTGGTGCCATGAGCGCAGCTGCGCCGAGAATTGCCCTGTCACCTACAACGACGAGGCTCAACAGTCCACCAGCCTCACCACCGCAGGACACCGCCTCTCCTGCCGCTCCCTCGTCCAGTGCCAGGACACCCATCCCACGCTCTACCAGTACGGCTTCACCCTCGGCAGTCCCTGGAGCCTCGAAGGCATGGCACGCGACGAACAAGGCAAGCGCACGTGCAGAGACCTCTGCGCCCAGCTCCACAGAGTCCTCCACTCCCAACACTTTCCCTCCCTCTTCCAACGGATCGACCAACTACTCTACACCATACGCTTACCCTTCATCTACACTGTGTTCACACTCTGGCTCACCGCCACGCTCTACATCCTCCACACGATGCTCTACCGCCTGGACGTGCTGCGCATCCGCTCCCACCTCCTGCGCTCCAAGGCCTCCCATCTCATCGACGTCAAGGCGCTGCTCGCCGGAAGCCGCAAGATGCTCTCACTCTACAAGGACGTCGACTACTTCGACGACGACTTTCACTCATGATAGTAATTATCTCAGCTACATTACGTTTACATTCCTCCCTTTGTGTTGCCATGTCACGTCTTTCATCGCCACTGTATCTCGTGCCTTGCCTAGCACCTAACTCACTGACTAACCAAACGGCTTACCTAGCACCTAACCAAATGCCCAACCTAGCATCCAACCTACGATGTAACCTACTCGCTGCTTTGTCATGTCCCTACTCCGTTTGGCGCCTTGCCGTCACTCCCAAAACAACCTCCCTCATCCCACCTGTCGGTGGATTGAGGACGCGGACGCCTCTCACCACGCCCCTATTGCACCTCTAAAATGGCTCACCAATCGCCACTTACACCTTCACTGAGTCACCTATTGACACCGCAATCACTACCGTTGCAAGCATCTTGGTAGTGTCTTGGTAAACTGGCAGCAGTGCTGTCACCTCAGAGGCTTTATCGCTTTGGTGTCTCCTAGTTAACCAGTAAAACGTTCTCACGTGTTCTTGTGTGAGAGTAGCTTAGTGCCCATTTATTAGTGTCTCTGTGCTGAGTGCCTTTGTAAGCAAGATGGCGGCGAATAAAATTAAGCTCAACACCCTCAAGGACTGTCTTGAGTTCCTCTTCTGGTTGCATAATAAGAAGCAGAGTAGTATAAAAACCAAAGTGGCCACTCAACTATCTAATCGTCTTAGTGGCAGATATCTTAATCCTAATCAACAACAAATTCAGCAGGCACTCTCCGAATTCCTTCGCAACGTGTCCAAATTCCATAAGAATTTGTGCAATAGACTAACGCATGGCAGTTATAAAGCAAAAAACGAACAACAAATCATCGACGCTCTTTTAGAATGCATTCCCAAGTTCTTAGCCGCAATGTACTTTTTGAGGTATCATGTAGACAAGAATTTCAAAGCGCTGGGTGGAGGGGAGTGGAAGGATTATATGGTTGGAAGTACAAGTAGATATCTGGCCCGCAATATCGACAAGTACCTTATATCTCAATCCGGCAGTGAGTACGGCGTAATCCCCGGAGGATTCATTTACAACGAGTTGAAAGCAAGTTACCGGGGTGGTTATCGCCCGGCTTCTCAAATGGCCGGTTACCTTACAGCGATTTGTGAAAAGCATTCCAATAAGCCAAATATACAAAATTATTTCCTCGACGTTTTCTCCACCTCAGTGCTCGGACAACATGGCACAGATCTTCCGAATACAGCCAACGCCCTGGCGTTGGTGAGGACTTTTTGCGAGATTGTGGTAAACAAGCAGTACAATGATAAGGGAGGAAAGTTAATATCAAAACTGAATGAGGATTTCAAAGACAAGCAAAATCGCATTTGTTGGACTAATTTAAAAGCACATTGCGCTGAGCTTCAAGAACAATGTCGGAAGATTTTCGCCGACCACCGTTTTTCATTCACTGGCTTCGGTAGGAAGGTGGAAGACCTTAAGAAAGAAGAGTTCAGTAAAGAAACTGCAAAATGGTTGAGAGATAATTTGGCGACAGTGAAGGCTAATTTGGGGAATATTAAAATAGATAACACGATGAAAAGTACCGCAGACTATTTCAAAGAAAATCTCTTCCCATATGGCTTTACATTTTACAAATATAACTTCGGAGACAAGAAGACTCAGCAAAAATGTTTTGCAAGAAAATTGGGCTAATGTAATCGAGAATCTTCGTCAATCCAGTGAAGGATTGGAGAAGCTTAAAACAATTTTGGATGGTCAGAAGTGCCCAGAAGAGGATGACAAGAAATCTGAGGGAGCACAGAACCAGGGGAAGAAAGCGGAGGGAACTCCCAACCAGGGCAAGAAGGCGGATGGAACTCCAAATCAGAATAATGGTCGAAGTGGAGATACGTCTTCAGGTTCGGCAAGTGGAAAGTCTGTTGCTCCACCTCCGCCTTCCGGTGATCAAGGAGGTCAAGGCCCGAAAGGGCCTACTGGTGATCAAGGCAAGCAAGGGTCTACTGGTCCAGGGGGTCCGGTGTCTACTCAGCCTACAGGTTCACCAGTTAGAAATGCTGTACAAGTTCAACAACCCCCGCCTCAACCCCCGCCAGGACCTCTCCCTCCAAGCTCTCCCCCCGGTACTGCTGCAGCCCCTGGCTCCGCTGGTAATCCGGGGGCCAAGGGTCAGGGTTCAACGTCCGGTCATCCTCCAGGTCAACTGTCTGTTACCTCGTCAGTCACCGTGCATCCTCAACCTCCGGGTGTTTCAGGTAAAGACGCTGGGCCACCAGGCGGTGGGCAAGATGGTAGTCAAGGCTCCGATCACAGTTCAAGCAGCGGCCCTACTCCGTCGGCTGGCACGGCGCCTGGAGTAGGTGGGAGTGGAGAGGGTGGGTGTTCTAATCCTATAACTTTGGGTAGAGGATTTGGTAAAAGTAAATACTGTCCCCGAAATGTTATTGAATGGAAAGCGTCCGCGATTAACGAATATATTAAAGAACAAGAGGACAAAGATGAGCGTCTGCGGCAAAAGGCCTATGATGATGCTCAGCGTCGTTGGCAAGAGTATCATCAAAACCTACAATATTTAAATGGTTCCGCCCAATCAGTTGTAGAATCGCAAGTGGATGACCCGCGTTGGTTGACAGATGTAGATTTCGCAGTTCAGATGTCAGACGCACTGGATGGTGTAGCGATTCGTGATGTGAGTCCACGTAAACATGAACACGAGCGGAATTTGGGACTGTCAAGGTACGATCAAGAGATCGATCTCCAACATCGTAGACAACAGCAGTGGGAAAGCTACTATAAAGATCAAAATGACAAAATTCGTCAATCAGAGAATCAGCATCTACAGGAGGTGCAACATATCCGTGATGCCATAAATCATTTCAAAGAAGTGGAATACCGTAAACAACGAGAGGCCGCCGAAGCCGTGACTGGCGTGCCACTTACGTTTAAGACCCCCACGAATCTGCCGGAATTGCCAACTCATTCGATGAAACCGACATTTCCAATGGCCACTGGAGCACTCATCCGCAACTCCAACCTGAAGACTTCAGTGACTCCCACGGCTATGTTCCTTCCTGTGCCACAACCAACCATCGGTTTAAAAACCGAGATCCCAGAAAGGCCTCCCCAAACTGAGAAGGAAGAAATTGACCTCCAAATCGACGTCCCCAAACGCAGACTGCCTGACAACAATCTTGACTTTGATTTGGACTTCGATGATGACACGACGTATATTAAAAATGCGATACCAAATGACCCAATCGTTCCATCTACCACCGCTGCCGATCTTAATTTTGAGTTTGTAGAATATCGACCGCATTTACCACCCACAGACTTCGACAGAAGTAAAATCAAGCAACCAAAAGTAGAAATGTGTATGCCAGATTGGTCTACTCAGACGCCAACGCATGACCTTGCCGATATCCCCGAGACAGAGCTGTTCCCCTCCGAGGCGCCGCATACAGTCAGGGATATGCTTATTTGGCTGGCTGGGCTGCGAAATGAAAAGCATCATGACACCCCGCAAAAGTGTATTAATAACGCTTTCAAGCGCGGCGATGATGACGCTTCAGATCTCACACTCCCAGTCAACGATTCTAGTATCACCGCCGATAATCTCCTTCAGACCATTAAGCTTGTCGCCGTGTTCGCAGCCTCAGTGCTCACCGCCGTTGCGCCTGAGTGGAGAATGGCAGTGCCGTCTGCAACGTCGACGCGCAGTGAACCTGATTGCTGCGCCCTCCTCTGCCAGCTGCGGGATTATGTGTACGCCTGCTACCACCAATTGGCGTTTCTAAAGTCACAGTGTTCTCGGGATAGCAAACAAGGTGGTTGGCAAGATTGTGATTATGGCAGTGACATCAAAATGCCATCTCCTCTCCAGGCCTTCCTGACTGACGCCCATGACTCCAAGTTCGAGACTCATCCCTTCGACCCGTGTGACATCTGCCGCAAGAGCCTTGTAAACATGGGATTCAGGGAGGAGGATCTGCATAAAGAAATAAGGGATGGCAAACATATTTTTACCATCATCTCTCCCGTCTGTGGCGGCGGATTGAGGCTGCGGATGCGTCTTACGACGCCCCTCTTGCACCTCCAAAATAGGACACTGATCACCTTTAATAGAACCTTGAAAAAGTCTGTAAATCGCTGGGACAATACATTATGGATCTGGACAAGTGGATCGTAAAAACTACGAAGGACGTTGAAGCCGCGCAGAAATTAGTCCAGAACATTTTGGATGAGGTGAATGATAATTCAGAAACTAAAAATCTGGAGAAACTGAAAAATGCGATTAAAATTGTTGAAGAGCAGTTGGATGGCAGAGCTGCGGACTTGAGACAATGGAAGCTGGCGGCAGACAAACTGCTCCAACATACGATTGAGAAGGGCAGTGAAGTACATAAGAATATGGATCCTACTCCAAAGGATCCCCCTGAAGGGACGAAGAAAATTGGCGAAGGAATTAAGAAAATTGAAGATGCTAAGGATGCAGTTGTGAAGGTGAATGCCGGACTTATTGACGTTAAAAGTAATTTGCAGAATTGGAACCTTGCGGCAAAAGGTGTGCTGGGCAAAGTGGTCAGTAAAGCTGGAGAGGTGCGTGAGAAGTTGGACCCTGCAGAAAGCGCAGAACCTATAGGTAAAAAACTTAAGAGCATTGAAGACGCTAAAGACAACATTGTTATTGCAAATCAGACGCTCGGCACACAAGTTAAGGCTTTGTACAGTTGGATCACCGGGGCGGAGAGAATCCGTGCCGCGGCGGAGAAAAAGGCTACGGAAGCCTACAAGTTGAAGGTTAATGAGACTCTGGATCTGAATGTTCAGAAGATTGTGGCAGCTAATAAGAAAATTGCGAGCGTGCATACTGAGCTGGGAAAGGTTCATGGAAATTTGGGAGCGTGGAATCAGGAGGCCACGAAAGTGCTTGAAGGGGCGATTGCACAGGCGACGGACGTTTATAATGAATTGGATATGGAGACGAATGGAAAGAGTCAGACGTTGAAGGGGAAAATCGAAGGAATTGAAACTAATAATAGGGAAATTCAGACTGCGAATAATGAACTTGGCCAAGATGTTAAGAGTCTGGAGCAGTGGAAGTCTGCCGCCCAGGGTGTTATTACCAAGGCCGACGAGAAGTGTAATAAAATTTTGGAGAAAGTTAGTCAAAAGCAACCTGAAGGTAAGATTTATTTGCAAGCTGAAATGTTACAGGAGAAGGGTAAAACACTTTTGGATGCTGCGAATAAGGCAAAGACAGAAGTTGGCGTGAAGGTTAAAGAAGCGTTGCAGGCTGTTGTGGCCATGGACAAAGGTCTCAAGATGGATTTGAAGAAAGTTAAGACACAAATTCAGAGTGGGATTAAAGAGGTGATTAATAGTTCGGGGCTTAATGATTTGGGTGAGAATGTGAAGAGTGATTTGGGGACGTTGAGGAAGAATATTTTGGGACTTGAAACGCAAGTTAATGATAGTAAGGATAACGGTACTGGGCTTGTTGGTAAGCAGTTAAAGGACCTTGAAGATTCGAAAAACACGTTTAATAAAAATGGTGTTGAGCCCATTAAAAATGCATCGGATGGGCTTCAAGGAAATTTTGATACGCATATCCAAGATCCGCTTAACGAGAAAGTCCAACAAGTTGGCACGGCGATTGAGGCGCTTGGCGGAAATTTCGATGGGCTCAGCGGGGAAAATGCAAAAAAGTTGGAAACGATTTTCGAACATATTAGAGATAAGGTTGAGAAGATCAATGGGAGTGAAGGCACCCCAAAATCTGGCAAACCTTGGGAAATAGAAGGTGCCACAGGTCTGACAGGGATAGAGAAGGGAGTGGAGCATTATTTCACTTTTTTCCAGAGTACTTTCACCAAAGCAGTTGGCGGTTGGATCGATGATATTCTCGGTCACAACGGCCTGGTTAAAAGGCTGCTTGGGTGGGAGCGTAGGCTGGCGGAGGAGCTTAAGAAGGAGCTTAATGACAGTGGTCTCGGAGGCTTTATTAAGGAACCGCTTAATTCCAAAATTGAGAAAGCACAAGCAGTGATCAAGAATGTTAACGCCGCCGGCATGAAAGAGAAAATTGGAAAGGTCAAGCAGGCCTGCGAACTGTTTGCTCAGCAGCTTGAGGAGAAACTGGAGAAGGAACCGGAGCGTGATGGTGTCCTTCACTTGGCAAAGAAGGCCAAGGAGGCGATGGTGGAGGAAGGTAAGAAATCAACCAGCACAAAAGGCAACTTACAAAGGGTCTTAGAAAAGTCAAACTGCGAATGTAATTGCGGATATAACTGCAAAAAAGGAAGTACAGATAGGTGCCAAAAATGCGAGCAACCAAAATGCAACCTCACGCAGGCCATCGCCACCACCGTTGTTGCTGTGTCTTCTGTGGCCCGGCAGGTGGGCAAGGAGGTTGATTCAGTGCTACTCGGCAATGGGACCGCAACGATAAACATCGCAGACCTGTTGGATAAAGCCAAAAAAACAACTGATGATCTTCACGAACAGCTTACCCAGGCGACTAGCCAATCCTCCGGCCCACCAGGCCGAAATGAAAGCCCCGCCGGAGCCGTGGACGGTAAGTTGAAGGAGGTGAGGGAATTCGTGACTGACAAAAATCTTAAGGAGAAATTTGATCAAGTCAAACAAGATCTTCAAAATGCAGTTACTGAACTTCCCGGCGCCGTTCAAAAGTTTGACAGTGAAGCTCAGAAGCAGATCAAGGCTGCGGCCAGGACGGCGATTGACAGGGCGGCTAACGTGATAAGCAATGAAAGTGATGGCAGCGTAAAGCTTGGAAAAGATGGTGTCATGCCAAAGTTTTACGAAACTAACGAGAAAATCCAGAGTAGTCTCCAACCATCCCTTCAAGCTCTGCTTGAGAAGCACATTGGTGAGGATGATGGAACAGGGGGCGCAGTTGCTCAACCAGATAAAGTCACCATCAGTAAAGTAAATTTTGGAAATTACAATGATCACGTTGATCAAGCTAATCTTATTTCTAAAAAGGGTAGACTAACTGGCGAGAAAGGCGCAAATGAAGGCCAACTTCCACTGGCGATAGGGAACATCAAGACCAAGGGTCTGGCGGATCTATGCTCACTAGATGTGTCATGCATCTTAAACACAAGACACTGAGAAACATTCCATTTCGCACGTTGCATAGCAGACACAAGGGAAACATACATTGCCCTATGATCATGCTGCCGTAACTGGGATACCGCATACCTCAACCGATACCACCATCTGGATATGTCGTTCCTTGGTTTGCAGGATCTCTGAGTAAGCTGTTGTGAAAGATGGGAGAGGAGTGTAAATGTGACAAGGTTGAGTGTACTACGCGAAGTCGTAAGTGCTGCAGCACAAATGGTTGCGCAAACAACAGATGTGAGTGTCGTTTGTGTACGTGTCATAATAAATGCCGTAAATCGGAGGGCTGCAAATGCTGTGCCTTGTGTTGTCACAGATGTAACGGTGAAGGCCCAAAGTGCCAAGAATGTCCCTCTAAACTAAAAAACTCCCCTCTAGCAGGTACGCTTGTGAGAATTGGTTCACCTGTCAATGTAATTGGTGTCTATTTCGGTTGTGCGCTATATTTGGCACTTTGTCATTCTTAATCCTCTTAGCTACCGTCTACTACATGTATCCCGACAAAACGCGGAATTTGAGGCTTGGACTAAAGAATGCATTTGTTAAGGATTCAACGCTGCCACCTCATACATAGCTCTTCCATCCAGCTATCCCCTATAGCCTCACCAAATAGACAACACAGCAAATAATGGAGTCAACACGTTCATTGCTGAATTCGTTTTGGGGGTGACGATTGCTATTGGAGCGGTGTAAGTCAACGGTATCGCCCGATATCGTAAGTGGACTGCAGAGACAAGTAATTGGTCCTCCAAGTTAGCAGTCGAGGAATGCCACTATGACAAACGTATTTGCCCATTCGACACCGTCATGGCTGTCGTAGTACCGACTGGGAGGGTGTCTAAAGGAGGTGTGTAGGCGTGCTAACGGGATACATGCTGGGCGACGCTGTGACACTGTCCGACACGATGTGCAGGGGAAGGCATGGTTAGAATGCATTTATGGGTGAAATCGCGGTAGTCACTAACCTTGTAATACCGCACCGCCGCTAACCTAGACAGCTGGTGGCGCACCCCTGGCGCGGCACAGACTATATGATTGGTGGAATATAGTCCATGTTCCTCTATCCTACATATTCCGGTCTCGTGTTATTTTCACACTGCTACCAATCAATCTTATAAACGCAGGGGTTGGTTGTGGATGTGCAATGTGTGCCAGCGTTGCGTGATTTTGGAGCACAAGGTGGAGTCGCGGGTGTCTCTGCTTGAAGAGGAATTAATAGGTTTAACATACGTTTTGTTTGGTCTGCAATGACGGAACACGGGTGTAATGAAGATGGTTCTCGATGTACCCAGTCCAAGGAGTGTTCATGCAATGATTATGGATTTGGAGAACATCGCGTAGAGACGAAACCGTGTCGCCGCGATTGTGAAGGCTGTGGAAGTTGGTTGGACTGTGGATGTCAATGTTGTAGGCCTCTGCAATGCGGATTTTATAGCGGCATCACCATACTAGCTTTTGCCGCAGTTGGCATCATTATCTATTACCTCGTTACGCATCATATGGCGGCTCTCAAGAAAGTTCGTGACTACGTTTGGAATAAACTATGGGCTCCCAGAAAATTAAGATTCATTCCCAGATCGGAGTTGGACGCCCCGAGAAGTACGCATATTACCCAGGAGATGGACATTGACCCTTACTCTGCCTTCCCCTCCAAGGACCTCACAGATTCAGGGGCCAAGTGGAATTTAAATATCGCAATAGCTGCCGTTTCACGGCGGTAGCGCCAAGCACCGTGTCGTGTTCTTACTACGGGAGCATGGAAATACCATACATAACGATACCAATATATGCCGAAAAGAGGCAAGCCTCCGTCCAATGTCTCGTAACATCACAGTCCACATATTACTGTAACCTTGTTACGTCCAATGTCGATGTGGCGGCGTCCAAACAGGAGAATCAGCTGCGGATGACGCAGCGGCGCGCCACACCATATGTAACTGAAAACACTGTATGGTTACTACAGACCTAAGCTAACTAAAATTATGACATTAGCCTACAAGTACATAAGTGTAGCTGTGGCGATCATTGCCCACAAGCCGAATGAGAACGTGTAGAATCCCGATTCAAAGCGCACGGGTGTTTGTCGTGCGTGATCCAGTGATGCGGCGATGAAATACTCCATTGGGTATGCGTGCACAAGGTGAACCTTTCCGGAGTTATGCAGGTTGGCATTGACATTCTGCAGTTCCCGGTACTTGTTGATAGGGGCGGAGTGCGCGGTTTGGTCGCGCGTCTGGTTTAACATGCGATGGATCTGCAGCATCAACTCAGTTGAAACTGGAAGCGACTCCTTCGCCACATACCAACGCACAGTCTCCTCACATCCTGGGCGGGTGAAGGAACCGTCGTACGCGAAGTAATTCAGATTCTTGGTCTCCAACATCATTAGAAGGGAGGAAAGATTGATTGGCACATCGAGCTCGACTACAGGAAGTTCCGACCCGTTAGTGGTACCAAGGTCGCCCACACCTGACGAATTCGGATCTGCCGACACCTCAACCTCCGATCCTACGCTCAGCACTTGTTCCATGAATCTTTCGGAGGGGAAAGATTTCAGAGTTTCGATGCGGGTTCTCTCCATCTCTTCGCTCATGAATGTCATGGAGAGCACTGCCCAGCGGCCCCAGTGAACTCCAGTGTCTCTCGCACGGCGCTTCTCCGACACGTGGCGGCGGTCGCCTTCCTTGTCATATGCAGCTTTGTGCAGATGATCGAGTAGGTATTTGTGCAGCAGCTCGAACTGTTCGCTTTCCACCATGTCTGAATATACCTTCGACTGTGCTGATTTTAGAGGGTGTGGCTCGTGCCCAGTTCCATCGTTATTCTTTTGCACAGCAACCGAATCAGATGATATCGCGGCATCAATTCTTCTATCTGCAAGTTTCTCACCCTGCGATTGAGCATGCCCCCCGGACATGCTGCTTTCAACTTTATTATCACTGATGGGGAGTGGAGAAGTGTTATCACGTTCTTGGTGAAGGTTACCCCTATAACTGCCGTTGTGGACAGGATGTACGGCCATATCATGCGAGTTGTTGCTTGAGAAGTTCGGATTTATGACATGATGCCCGTCTGCCATCTCTACGTCGCTCAGAACCTCAATAAAGCTCGCACCAGCTTCGTCGTCCACGAAGTTGGCATTCTTTATGTCCTCCCCATCATCCACTTCGTCGTCTTCTTCGTCCTCTAAATCGTCGTATTCGTCGGAATCGTTCTTGTCATTGCTTTTCTCGTGAGTACCGCCGACGGCAACGGGTTTCGCTGCAGATTTGCCATCTTCTGAATGACCGTTGTCATTACCGACCGCAGAAGAGTTTTCTGATAGTTTATCTTGCCTAAAATTGTTCCCGTCATTGTCAAACACATCATCTTGCGATTTCTCTTCTTTTTTCGTATCGGTATCCTCATACTGCGGCTTATTTACAGCAGGTGGCGTAGATTTGAAGTTCCCAGATGGAACCTCAGAGGTTCCTTGTTCTCCCGACGTCTTTGGTGTCGAAGGCTGATCTATACGCTCACTGTGACCTTCTTCAGTTGTCTCAATCGTAACAGGCTTGTCACTTTGACGAACACTGGCCGATTTCTCGTCGGTTTTTGGAGTGTTGTGGGCCTGATCATGGGACACTGTTTTATCACCCTCATCACTCTTTGGTGCTTGAGCATCCACATCTTTAGATTTAACATTCTTAACAGCCAATTCTTCCGATTTATGAGATTCTTCAGTTTTTTTTGGCGACACCTTACTTTCGGCATCCACGCCTCCTTGAGTGCCAACCTTGTTAACATGGTTAATCATATCGGCATCGTGCGTGCTCACTAGGACGTTCATGTCGGTATGCTCGTTGGTTTCCATGCTTCTGATTCCGGAATCAGCGCCCGAGTCGTCACCGTAGTAATGCCAGATCTGCACCTCCACTTGGCGTCTGTTGGCAGAACCCTCAAAGGTGTGCTCACTGGGCGAATGAAACTCGATGTGAGTTGCCATGTACAGGTTTGGCCTGTCAGTAGTGAAGAGCGCACCGAATGTAGAACCTTCGTTAGCAGGAATAGACAGGCGGAATACTTTGTCGGTGCGCATCACCTGCACGGACGATATGAGATGACGGTACGAATACACGATATCTCCGCGCTTCCACCCGTCGCCAAGAGTATTTACTGTAGTATCTCCTTTAAGCACAGACTCGAACACATGCTTGAGATTTTCTGGTCTGCGGCTTACCAGGCCGTCCACGTGTAGATCCACTGGCGATTGCATGGTGCCGATTTTGCACATACCTGAGGTCCAATCGGCACCATGACGAGCGTAATCCCATGCAGGCACAGCCTTGCTTTCACTAGTACGCGAGGGACCATCTACACGATGCACATTGATCGTAGATGCATACGGTGCTGCCACATTCCTGGATTGGTTCTCTCCTTGCACGATGACAGGCGACTCAGAGTTGGTTGAGGAGACTACATTAACGTTATTGACGATTCCGATGGGCGACAATCTCTGCCGCGTTTCCAATGCCACAGAAGATGGGATGTTAAGGGACACAGTCACCACTAACACCAAGACAGACAGCATGCGCCGCGGGAGGGAACCCGACGACACGCCGGAAAATCCCAATCCCGTATCCTTGACCGCATATACAAAAGGCGCCATACCGTAATATGGTTAGTTCCCGTTCGCCGCAATAGCAGTACATAAACGGTAGATGGCCGCGCCTGTGACACACAGACAGCCAATCAGTCCACTCTACGATTTCCAAAATCGTAAAATTCCACCCCCTTCGGTGTTAATATTTCGTAAGCATTACCGAGCCGACCTGTGCGCATCCACAGTCTCGACTTGGCGGTTTTGAACGCAGCAAGCTACGTCAGACAGAAGCCACCAGCAGGAAGTGAAACACATCCATGCTGCATCGCCGGCGTACAACAGCGGCTAATTGGCCATACTTGGCCTATTAAAATATGAGCGTATTGCGGCCCGAACAGGCCCAGACGTCTATCCATGGTTCGTCAGATGCCATGCGTCCAGGTGCAGCCTTCTTCCGGCGTCAAACGGTTTTACGTCGACTTACAATGGCTACTTATATGGTCTCCGTACGATTAAAATTCGATGTGTAGACTGCTGTTGCTTTTACGACCTTGTCTGACGCATCCAGCCCATCGACACACCGCCGTGTCTAAATTCGTTTGAGACCTTAAGCAACTACGTGGAAGCGTATACAGAGCACATAGAAACGTGAAAACAACATAAAGTAACGAGAATCATTAAGTCCTCTAGCAAACCGCTAGGCGTGAATCACTCGAAGAGTCCGCTATCGCTGGCGCCGGTTAAGAAGGTCTTCAGCAACCGGTCCACCTTCTCTCGAGTGTCCTTGGCTCCTTCGTCTAAGTGCTCTAGATAGTCTGCAGACGCATTAGAATCCAAAAGTGGTGCTTACCAGAGATATTGTTGTATATGTCCTGTATATTGACACCCTTGTTGTGTAGGAGTACCAGGAGGCACGAACTGAGGTTCGAGTTGCCCATGTTGTACAGACGCAATATAATGCAATCCACCAGCTGGCATATTGAGAGCCCCGCTTCGTAGCGTTCCAGGTACTCTTGGTTATCCTCATTCAGCTGCAGAGCTGAGTACAAGGAACGTGCGCTTCCGCTGCGATCCTGAGTTTTCTTGGCCGCGGCTCGGCTTAGCGCAGTGTACTTCTCGTGTAGCTCGATTAACCGCTCCAATTTTTCGTATTTGTGCTCGACGAACTTGTTCATCACTCGAGCGAGCTCCGTTCCAGAGCTGTGCGTGCACAGCGAGTGGATCACTCCTAAGACGTGTTCATCCTCGCGTTTCTCATCCTCCGATCCTGGTTTAGTGCGCACTCCCTTTCGCATCAACACGCTAAATATGCACTTGAGCCCGAGCCTGAGACGATCATGAGACAAAGCCGATTAGACAAGACAAACCCAGAAACGAAGAGCGCACAGTTTTCCGGGCAATCCATCAGGGCGTAATCTAGCAGCGTTATCGCCAAGCGATATGTGGAACGGCGCTCCTTTATAAGCCGAATCAGCAGCTTAACACCTTGCAGTTTCCCGAAGATCAAGCGATTGGACTGTCTGAGTACAGTATGGGCATAATGCAGTGCACAAAACTCACATAAGCATCAATCTGCAGAGACACTGAACAGCGTTTTCGACAAGTTCCTCTTCCTCAACCCCCTCGGGGTCCTTTTTGCGGAATACCGTGATTATGCGCAGCAACTTATCAACGCCGTCCAATTCCTGTCCGCCCACCAGCGCCAGGCACTCCTCTGAATGCTGCAGGAGAATACACAGTATCTCCCCCGCGTGCACACGGTTCGAATCGTATTCTAGCGTTTTGCTCGCCTTCATGCGACGCAACAAAAACTGAAGCAGTTCGCGATTTTCGCTCATGTCCCCCTCCACCGACGGGAATAGCTCCACGAGGCTCTCCAAGAGCTCCAGCGCACTCTTAACGCCTTCATAGTCCACTTCTGAGTTATCCTCCTCAATCTTCAGCAGCGCCGCAACACACGGCACGTGCAGGCTTAATTGCTGCAGGGAACGCAGGAACTTCTCTGCACGAGGGAGTCGAACAAGCGCATCTGGGTCGATCAGTTCATTTAAAACGGCCAGTGTAGCCATTGCGATGTCTGCATCATCATGGAAGGCCGGTAACCGAGGTTGACATACCAATGTTTGGATGCGATAGCGCGTCGCGCAGGATGCGCAGACCGCCGAGCTCTTCGAATGGCTCGAAAAGCTCAGGCTGAGCGCATAGGTCACGGAATAGACGAATCTGCTCATCTAGGTCGACTTCCGACTTCACCCATCTGTGAAGTTGTGGACTCAAATAGACACGTCATTCCTACCGTTCCGGTTCTTCAGGGTGTTCCAGACGCACCTGCTGATTGCGCAGCAGACGTTTTTCGAGCACGGACACATGCCTTTTGAGGTTGGATGCCGTGATCGCCTCCCTCTCCTGCAAAGCGGTATAACTGGTTTCTGAGCTTAGCGGCACGGAAGGTGGTTAAAGGTGCACTAAAGGAAGGTCACGTACCTCATCAGCCGTGGAATCCATACTCAAAACGTCAGCTTAGACTATTTGATTCGGGAGGTCAAAACGCGATGCGCTTTGTGAGCCATCAGCAGATGACTCTTGCGCGCGCCATTCGTGGGCGGAGACCCGTACACATGGACCTCAAAACGGGACTATTATCGCTACGACAGTTGGAATCGCCCATAAATACGAGAATTTACAATTTAAGACAGGCAAAAGTACATGATCGCCTATATTGGCGTGGAAGATTGAGGGCTGTGTAACGCGGCGGATGTAACGCTGTACATTAATAATCTTGCTGTCCAACATCATCCAGGGTACATTACGTACTAAAAGCAACCGTCATGATTGCAACCAATGTGTATACTCTTTCGGACGATGAGCGCCATCGTCACGTGATGTGTAAATACCCCGCAGGACACATTTGATTCAGGTCTTCCGGTCTCGTTGACGCGCCGGCACGACTGTCCGCGTACAGTACTAATGTGAGCCAGCGATTGTCTGTTATTTAAGCGACGCAAGTACAAGTATAGCTGTATTGGCGTCTAGGCAGCACCTGCACCGGAAGTTTACAAGTGTGTCTTCAGTCTCCTACAAAATGAAAGCATAATCGCTTTTCAAGTACAGAAGAACCGTCAATACGATCCTATCAAGGGTTTATAAGCCTAATACGGCAAACAAGGTCCATCTGTGATAACACGCTACAACATCAACTTTGTGGAACTGATTTGGAACCTTACGGCATGGAGAGATGAAGCATTCCGATAAAGATAGAATGTTCAATGCAACGCCTCAGGAGTCTTCTCGGCGCCGCGAGGCGGGTAGAGATGGCCGGGAGCATGTCATTAATAGGGGGTTGGAAAAGAGATTCCACGAATACCTTAAGGATTTACGCTGGGGGATGCCGAACACGTCCTATGACGGGGAAACCGGAACCAGAAGCTCTACGCTAGATAAAAGTATGTCTCACAGCAGAAAAGACGAGGAAACGAGGGGTTCCAGGTCCTACGGCAGCAGTGCCACCGAGGAGCAACGCAAACGTATGATGCGTCTGCATGCAACCGTACCGGACTCTACGTTCGCTGAAAGGAGCGCCGCACGCGTAAGCAAGACCCGATCGCGTCGACAAGCCGCCGATAGCTACGTCTCACAGCTTTACACCACCACTATGGACGAGATGCTCCATACTGGCGATTTTTTCCAACATGCAGAGAGCTCATCGGATAACGCCTTCAGCATCCGCCATGATTCGCAGACATCCACAGATGAAGGCAGCCCTCTGGTTGTGGACCATGAAATGCATTACGCTGCGGAGCCGGATGTGACAAGATCCAAGCAGCGTCGGGAACGCCGTCCTTATAGGTGGTACCCGGAGTCGGATCAAGACACAAGCAACAACGCGGAAGTTAAATCACCAGCTAGGAATGCCAGGGAGGATTCACGCCACAGCGACAACGATTATATATTCGATGTTGAGTTTAGCTACGAGGAAGCTGATGACGCCAAACCTAGCTATGCTCGCACAGATGGGTTGCCCGAAAAGGATTATAGTGAGCTGGTTATGTCACTCAGAACAATGGCCGACAGAATAGAGTCGATGGCTAGCGCTAGAGACGCAGCCCAACGTGAAAACGAGCAAATGCGCAGGACCCTCGGCAGTCAGCTGCACCTGAAGAACCAAGAGCTGGCCCATCTTCGCAACCAGATAAGGGAACACGAATCAGAGAAGCGTGATCTGGAGGCTAGATTAGATGCACTTGAGGCAAAACTGCTGCGCGTAAAGAGTACCCGCAGAGCGAGTCTGCCTAAAGACCAAGAGGGTGCCGACGGCGAAGAAACCGACGACTCAGACTACACCGCAACTATGCCCGCCGCTGTTATCGATGCTGAGGAACTTGACCAGAGGAGCCGTGCGTACATAAAGACGCTGAAAACGTATCTATACGCAAGTATGGGCCTGTCTTCTAACGCTGCTTTTCAATCGGAGCTCTACCGAGACCTGCGCTCGATGCAGGACGTGGTGCGTTGTGGCGACCTCGTCGACTTCATCAACGAGTGCATACGGAGCGACGCAGAAGTTTTACACAATCGCTTGAGGCACTCGGCGTTGCGGCACGGTATCAATCGCATATTCACAGAAGGGCACCTACCGGCCGCCGCCAATAGGTACCCTTACCCGCAGGAGTTCGAGCGACGCGTGGTTGAAGAAATTGAGGCAAGCCACCCACCGCGCAGGTTCAGCATGCACCCTTCCTCGAAAAGCGATGCCCAACGCGAGAAAATGGGAGTTGTCATGAATCGGGTAGTGTTGCTGAGTGTCCTCAAGCACAGTGATATCAGCACGCTCTACAACTACCTCTTCACCGCACTGTACTATGACAATTTCAGGATGGTGAATATTCTAAAGGAAGCCGTCGCGCGAAGGTTCCTCGACTTCCAGATGGCGCCGAAGTACAACACGCGTGTTAGCCACCCGCTGATGTGGTCCTTCGGCGATTCGTGCAATGCCACCCAGGCGTACCGGTACATGAAGGCGTTGGACCTCAACTTCGCCAATTTCCCGACAGACCCACACGATGGCGATAACCTTTGGCACAGAGTGGCCAAGGGCGACGCTGTGGCTGTGGCGCAGACATTGAAGCCCTATGCGATCCACGCGGAGCACATCAGCACACCCAATAATCACGGCAAGACCCCGCTGGATGTCGCCAAGGGCAAGGTACGCACCGAACTTCTGGCCTTGGCAGTAGTCCAAAAGGCAGCAAAGGGCTCCGAGAGCTATCGGGAGAACGACTTCGAAGGGGCGCTGAAGATGTACACGGATGCCATCGAGATGCAGATGGAGGTGCTGAGCACCGACGGCGGTGACAAGGTGATCGCTCACGATATAAACCTGGGCAAGCTCTACTACAACAAGGCCCGCAGCCTTATGCACCTAGACAGGTGGACTGGTACGGTGGAGGCGTGCGAGCTCTGCGTGCAGCACATTCCGTCATACACCAACGCCTACGCCACCTGCATTCAGGCGCACGAAAAACTGCTGGACTGGGGAAATGCGGCTAAAACGTGCTATCTGATGCGCGAGAATTGCGGCGTGTTCGACGACGAGAAGATGGTGGCCCTGCAGTCACAGATCGGGGCAACCATGTTCCAGGTCCTCGGGCTCAGCAGTACGGCTAGCCCTCGCGAAATAAAGCAGGCCTTCAACCAGCTCTGCAAGCTATGGCACCCGGATAAGATAGGTCTGGACCCAGCCAATGTGGACATCAAGCGTCGTGCGATGAACCAATTCAACCGGCTGTACGAGGCCCGGGAAAAACTGCTCGATGACAGCACTAGAATGCTGGAGCAATCGAAGCCGGAAACTCAGTATAAACAGCCGGAGCCGATTGTCGACTCTGTGAGCAAGGGATCGAAGAGCGTTGATGCCAGTGCTACCAAAATAGAGCCCCTGGAACAACACCTTTCGAAACTAAAAAGCGAGTCGCAGGACGACACCGCCGTTGACGACCACCTTGTGCAAACGGCTGTAGACCGCATACAGAAGCAGATGAACGAAATGCACGTCAAAGCATGACGAAGGCGGTTGAATTCCAAGACGCTATCAAAGGGTGTGTAATGCGCACAAGAGACGTGGAATGTATAAACATCGGCTAATAAATCCGAAGACTGGCCCAGCTACACAACACAAAGTTCGTGGAAGACGAATCGGAACAATGCCATGCGAAGGAAGTTTGTAAAGGTGCGAAAATGCAACCTATGTGTAGTTCGCTGTTGTGTGGAACAAAATCGTCCAACGACCGGCAGCGGGATGCCACTATTGATTTTCACCAATCTAAAACTTTAAATTATTTCAACTATAGCCTTGAAAATGCTGAAGTGTGTGATAGTTTTGCTTCATTTGATATGTCTGGAGGTAAATGTTGTTACTTCGGCGTCTTAGAGCGCTCTTGCGGGCGAAAGTGATGTTTTTGTTGAGAACTTGGCGATTTTTACCGCTGATTTAGCATTCACTTTTTAATATACTAGCGGTGCCGAAGCACCGCCGGTATGCCATGGGCACATAGCACGGGCGTACAAACGTCAGACAATGCCCACCGATTTTGCAAATAAGTGGCAACATATGGGATCCTTACTCACCATACGAGTCAGTGTATCTCTGATGTAGCGGCGCGAATAACACATCAATGGTGCCATCATTGCCTCTGGGACTCACACAACTCCAAAGTTAAACACAGCAATCGTGAGTCAGATAATGAAGCGCGCAAACATATAAACTGTCAACATTACGAATGCGTGGAAATTCTCTGCGTTATGACTGCCATTGCGCGACTTTTATGTTGATGAGGCACTTAATCAAAGGGTTTCAATGATACATGTACCCCTCCTGTTACACTCCGCTCCGAGTTTTGTTTCCATCTCGATTTCTAGCGCCGATTTCATCTCACTGCCGTTGCCCCCTGCTGCGCGTATGCGCTCAAGGACGAGGTGGTACCACAAAACGGTTATGCTCAAAAATACCTTGAAAAACAAGATTGTGAGTGCCCCAAACAGACCGTTGTAGAACATTATCTTCAGCAGCTTGACAAAGATGCCTCCGTCATTAATACTGGAGCGAACGAACGCCCAGAAAACTAGATTCCCCGTCATCGTCCCTAAAGCGTATGAAGGGTGTAGGCACACAAGGAAGTGGAAGGGCAGGCTCAGGTGAAGCCAGAGGGTTCCCGGAATGAATCCTAACAACGTAAACCCGTTAAAAATCAGGTGCAGAATGCAGTGTATTAGCAGCCCGGATCCTTTCATCTTGGTCTCGTACAGGTAGTTGAATACGAACAGCAGAATGGCCAGTCCAAACTCTATGCCGTGGAAGACCATAAGGGTATGCATAACATTCAGACGACTCCACATACTCCCCCTCACATTTTCCCGATGCATATTAATAACACGCCCCTTTAGCGACATTTTGGCTGCAAAAATATTATATGCCGCGAGGCAGTGCCTTGGTGCGCCGTCCGCTGCGACGAAAATTCCTCAACGCGTAGATTCTGCGATTTTAGACGCAACAGAGTGCTACATCGAGCCATATACAACGCGCCGTTTTTGAAATTATGCTAATTATAGTACGTTAATTTTTAACATTAAGCATTGCAGGGTTGCCTTCCTTGGGCTGCGAGAACCCTGCAGATACCATCCAGCCGGCTGGTGCCCAGCTCTACTCCTGGTTCAACAGAGACACCCACTCGTGACGTTTCTCCAGATCCTTCCTTTGCTGTTCCAGTTGATTCTCCTCCAGCTTCAAGGACGGCAGGCACTCCCACCCGGTTCCCCCGAAGATTCGCATTGACGCCAGCACCAAAACGTAGTACAGCAGCGGTAACGTCAATAAGAGCCTTAGTAGAGACACCAACATGAACAGGACGAATGGAAGGACGGGGGGTGAATAGTACAGCATGTTAAAGAGCGCGTAGCTGTCCGCCTGCTGCCTGATATATAGCTGCGCCAGTGCCGCTAACATAATCGACTGTAGACACTGATATGATCCGACATTTAACTTACGTGCGTCATGAGGTAGAGAAAGCAGGAGACTATCAGCATATACGTCATACCCATGCTCCTGAACACCACGGTGAATAGCAGCGAAGTAGAGAGTGCACTTCCGATTTTGAAGGGTAACGGCATACCGAACCCAAAAATGTTGAAAAGCACCGCATTCTCCAACGGCCAGATGCAGAGGTAGAGCACTGCGGCCGCGCTCATGAGACCCAGGCACGTTGCCATCACGGACATTCCAAAGGGTCCGGTGGCTATCGTGTTGCGGTTTCGCAGCAGCCCGCAGTTTTTATGAGTCGTGAACAATCCCATCTTCGACATCTTCATCTTGTCAAATTTTATCATTGTGTTTGAGTGGTGACGCTCCACCGGCGACTGCGGCAGTGCGAAAATTCCTGAGGCGGAATATTCCAAGTTGCTCCAGCAAGAGCAGCACTTTAGAGATTAATTGAACCTTTGCACATATGTCGCCACAGATTGGTTGTTGGATACATACTGGACAGCAGGATAGGCGCCGCGTTGTGCCACGGTGGCGAAAAGGACATCCTATTTTTCTTTGATGCACGCATCGCAATTTTCAAGGCATCAAGCTACTTACAGTACCATTTCACCAATATGTGCCTCCTACACCACGGTAAAGCCTGTATCTTGATAAATTGGTGAAATCTCACGCATCACCCCGCGACTCTGCGGCACTTACGGGGGGTCTATCAATGCCATAATTGCCAAGGAGCCAGTTATCGCATCTTCCATGGGTTATCTGTTGAATACGTTACCACTGCATTTGTGTAGACTACAATGCGTTGTGCGCTGTAGTTTTCCAACCGGTCGAGGGTGCATGGGTTTCTCGTCATGCTGGCTACGGATCCACATCCCAATATAGGCTGCTGACAGCATTACAATTTACCACTTCAAACAACGATTCAAGGGTATGGAATCGTTTCATGGAAAAGACTGTCGCCATTTTGTACGCCACTTCGGGCGACAGCTCATGCTGCCTACAGTAGACAGACATTCTCCGGCAACAGAGCTGCCACGTCGACATTCACCTGGAAACAATGCAGCCCAGCAATCAATAATAAGAACATTACAGCACCACAGAAGTTAATTCAACTTATACGTGGCCTTCATCCGCTCCAGCACACTCTGTTTCGAGGTTTCGAGCAGTTCGCCGGCCAGTATAAGCTCGTTAAGCAGGCTGTGCAGCGTGTTGAAGTTGCACACGACGTCGAGCTCGTGCACGTTGCCGTAGAAGTCGTCGAGTATCTCAACGATGAGGTGGATGAGCTCGTGGTACGCCAGCGTGTTGTCCTCCCGGTCGGTGTAGATGCTGATGACAATCCCGGCGTACTTGCGATAGACAACCTTGCGGCCTTCTAGGTCGAAGAAGTTCACCCAGCGCACGTCCCGCTGCGCTATCTCCCTGTAAATAAGGTCCGCGATACGCTTCTTTTCCTGCTGGCCGAAGTTGCAGTACCTGCGCGTGATGCCGTGCGGGATAAAGCGCCTACCACTTGGACAGGCGTGTGTTGTCCTTTACATTCTGCAGGAAGACGCCGTAAATCATCGTTGAAAGGCGTGCTCTGACCGGCAACGCCGTCGGACGGCGGGACAGAGGTGGCGTGTCACGGTCTGGCCGGGGTCGCGCTGGCGTGGCGCCCGTTCGTTGGCACGGCACTACACCCAATACACATGACCAATTACAGTAGTGTGTATGCAAAATTGACGTTTAGACAGTCCAGCATTGGCCATTGAGTAGACACGGCGACCGGTGGCCACTGACCACCAGAGCTGTGTAAGCCTCCGCTTACGCAACAGTGGCTCAACGAACGTCCACGCCCACCGATATCAGCAGTTCCTTTATGAGTACGTGCCTTGAGAGCGCATTGAGGAACGTAGCGCGCGCAGAGTAGTCCTTGAGCAATCCCGGGTTGACCAGTATCGAGCGCAGGTTCAGCCCGTTCGTCACCAGGTCGTTGTCGAAGTCCAGCCACGTCTGCGACGTGATCACACCGTTGAGTTGCGCCACGGCCTTCTCTATGTTCTCCTGCGTGAAAGCGCCGTCGTCGTCTGCCGCAACGCCGGCTTTCTCCGATTCGTATGCGTCCACGTGCTTCGACGGGGCGCGGGTGCTCACGCTGCGGATGTAGCGCATTCCTTCGCCTGTCAGCGGTCGTTCCATTCGCTTGGTTTTCATGGGGGCGTACTGCATCATCTCATCGGCAAACAGTAGCTTGGCGGTAGCGAGATAACGCACCGCCTTCCACATCTCGACCGATTCCGGGCTACCGTTGAACATGAAGCAGCGTGACATCCACCTCATCTGTCTGCGATCATCCGTGGATAGCGGGCTGGGTACGCTTTGGTTGACGAAGCACGTGTTGGCGGCCCAGTCTTCGCATTTCGTCATGCGCACCACCCGGGTCAGAATGGAGCGCGTTGAGCTGGGGCCACGCCCGTCAGTTGACCACGCGTCACCCAACGAGTGCCGGAACAGTGGGGTATACGATGGTACCTTCAGGAATATGTATCCCGGGAGCGACTTGGGCGGCGTGCGTTCCATGGCGTCCTTCGCTATCACGGATGACAGCGATTTGAACGCGTTCAGCAGCAGAAGTACATTTGCGATTTGCGATGATAGCGATATGCCTTGCACATTCTGGGATTCGCCGGGTGCAATCTCCGGCGCCACCCTGTCTCTGAACGCCTCTAGGGCGTCGGTAACGTTCTTGAACACGGAGCCGTTGGCCGCATTTTGCGATGAGGTACTCGTTACCACTTTGCGCGGCACACGGCTCTTGCTAGAATCCACTATATCCGAATATATGTCCTCCTGCTGTTGGGAGCTCTCCGTTGGCCCCTCACCAGATTTATCCTCCGTCATCAGCATGTCATGATCCGCGGCGTGCGTCGTACCGTAGACCAAGGAGCATATGAACACGTCTTGAGCGGGTCCTGTCTGGTGTATAGACGCGCAGATGTCGTGTAATAGCTGCATGATGAGTAATTGAAGCGGCGCGTTGGAGTTCTTCCCGCCGTTGGCTTCCTCACTGCCGCCGTGCTGTGTAAGGGTATCGCACAGCTGACGTATGATACCGTTGAGCCACAAAGTGGTAGATGGAGTCACCTTTATAATCTCTGAATCGATCTGCTTGTTAATTATCTGCACGATCAGCTCCATTGGCCCTGACAGCACGGTGTACAAAATGTTCAGGGCCGTAAACGGGATTTTGAAAGCGTGTTTAAGTGCAGCAAACCCTGCCAAAATAACCTCCCACGACAGGCAGATCGCGGAATCTGAGCGACCGTCACTAACGAAGTCGACGGTTTTGAGCGTGTTTTGCGAGGCTTCGTCGGTCGACACGGTTTCGGCGTCCTTGGCCTTGCACCCGTTTAAGGTATTGCAGATCCACCACACGGCACCATTTATGTGCTTCATGTAGTTGTGGAATTCCGGATCACGGGTCAGGGCTGCGTGGTGACCCTCCCAAAGCTTATTATGACAGCTGAACAGATGCAGGTAGCCATCAAACAAGACTCGGCAGCACCCTTCAGTCATCACCTTGCAGCCCTTAGTGTATCGGCTGAACAGATCCATGATCCAGTTGTTCACCCTGAATACAGCGGTGGGGCCCGCTTCCTCGTTGGAAACGAGCGCTTTAGCGACCAGCGACCAAAACGTCAACAGTCGGTACGCCTTGCCCGATGCGTTGCTGGAACGGGATGCGTCAGCGCCAGCCTTGAGGCACTCATCCAAACACCTGTCGGCAACAGCCGAGAGGAACACCATGACCGGCGCGCCGTTCACAATTAGGAAGTGGGCAATTTCACTGGCCAGGACAACCGTGCATGGGTTGGCGGAGTAGCACCGCGTTGCAACGGCACACATGAATTCGGCAAATACCGGTACCTTTAAAGATTCTATCCGACGAATGAGCCCCCAAAACGCGGAATTCGGAATGTCACATCCCAACTTGACCTCTCTGCTGCTTAGAGCGACAGTGTATTCGCGACCTTCGAACAGTACCCTCGTCCTGCGTCTTCCAGACCACGCCTCGTTATCTTCGTCCTCCAGGACGCGTAGACACGCCTGTACATCGCACTTTGGATTTATTACGGGGCCACAGGACGCGATGAGTAAAGCGGCGCCGTCAGCCATGCACGGCAACGTCGTGTACCAGCCCATCAGCTTGTTCATCAGGTAGCCTTGCGACTTCTCGTAACGCAGATACCAGTACGACATCAGCTTACAGAGCCACTTCAGGCACTTGCGTGACGTGCGTCCCAACCGACCGTCAAATGCCCATCTCTGGTTAATCATGACACCGTTCACGGACAGCACAACGAGCGTTAGCATATCGTCGTTGATGTAGCGCACAGGCGCACCCGTCACCTTGCGGTGCTCATCCGTCTCCTCGTGGCAATGCCGATCGCACGACAGGTGATGGAGAGACGAGTAGACAACTTGTGCGATGTTGGTAACTAGGGGTATCGCATCTTCGCTTGAAAAGAACCACTCGTAGCCGACCAGCGACTTGAAGGCTCCCATTTCGACGTTGAACACCGTGTCGATATCAGGCGATATCGAAGCTACCGCGTGGACCCATAACCTCAGCAAGGTTTCCGCGTTCTCGCGTTGTCGCAGCAGATCTGCGAACACGGTAACATACTGATCCATGGTGCTGGCGAAGCTCAGAAGTCGGACACCGTAATGCACAAATTCCGGCAAACGTTCAGGTGGTGCAACGTATAATCTGCAGGAGTTGTAATGGCCAGCCTTATCCGCTGGAACACCTAGGTCGGTGACCCTTGCCGAATAACGCTCACTTGGCGTCCAGTGCACGTCGCCCATTTCAACGGTCTCGGCGCTGACGCTGTACACGGTGCTTAACTGTTCTGACACCATCGACCTCGGAATTGTCTTGGACGATGTGGTGTCCGTCAGGAACACACTGTTGTTCAGTTTTTGACCCACCAGACCCATTGCGTCCATGTGTGAAAGCTTTGACATGCTTTGCTTCAACGTGTTTGGGTGCAACTCCACTCCAGCGCTGGCCAGCAGATCCCGCAGGTACACATCCACATCGTCGAAAAGCCGTCCACCTTTTGCAGGGCCCATCAATGCCGATGACTTAAAGAGTCGGACCAGGTTGTTACGCAGGTCACATAGCGGTTGCAACTCCAGATCCGCCACTGGAGCCCCCTCGGGCACGAACATGTCAAGGAACGTCCCCAGAGGAGTTAGCAGCTGGTTTCCCATGAAATAGAGCAGCATCCCGCTTTCGTCTTTCAATAGGGCATTACAAACGATTTCGAAGAGCTGCCACAGCTCCATGTTCTCCCTATGGCCACCTGTGCCAGCCCCCGATGGCGTTATGTCTGTTATGGCCGACGTGGTCATCTGAAGCACGGTCTGGACCATGCTCTGCTCCGCCAAAATTGTTGGAATGACCCGGTATCCACATGGGTACTCCGTACATATGCGATGCAACGCGCTGACGATTTGAGGGCATGATCGTTTGCCGAGCAATGCCGACGCCATCTTCAGGACTATTGTCTGTATCGCCATGCTTTGGCACCTCGACTTGCAGTATATAGCATGAGAGCTCGCGTACATGCCGCTTTGAAGCGCGTTGTTCAGAGCCATCCCGTTGACGAAATCGCAAATGTCCGTCATGTACAGCAAGCAGGCTCCGAAGTCTATCAGGTTGGTGTACTGCGCCACGAACCACAGCGGGCGCTCCAGCATGACATCGATATACATGGGTGCCACCGGGAAGCGCTGCAAGTGGGAAAGTAGCGACCCCATCAACTGAGTCAACACAATGTGCATTGTGGTCTCCAAAAGGTACGACACAGTATACTGCCGAACTTCGTGGATATCGCGCAGCATGCTATTTTTGACCTTCCCAGTATGGTGAATCTGAATCATTTCAACTGCTTCGTTGAAACTTTGCAGCAGCGTATTTAGGTGTTCGTATGCTGGGGCGTCGTCATCCGCGCGCAGCTTCGGCCCCAGGCTTTGGAAGAGCTGCTCCACACGCGACAGAGCCAGGAACAGCTCCACCCGCTGACCTAGCGCTTCCATACGCGTTTTCATGTTGAACAAGGAGAATCGGCGCAGCTTGGCAGCCCCAAGCAGCAACGTGTCGCTCAGCGAGTCTATTTTCCCTCCGGGATCGCCCTGAAGAAAGTTGCGCATACATTTGCCATGCGAGACTATCTCTACCAAGAGGTCGAGCATATACCCGCGCTCAATCCAGCGATAATTTTCCGGTGCCACCAATTTCCCGACAAGTTGTTTGCCGAAGTTCATATCGAACATAAGCCTGTGAGCGACGTCGCAGTCGCGCACCAGGACCTGCAACAATCCAAAGTACAAATTCTCCGCATCGAAACACAGGTTCTTAACGCACTTCTCGACGACGGGGACGATAACTTCATTCAGTGGTATTTTGTCTGAAAATATAAACTTGGTGTGCTTGTAGCATTCCATGAACAAATCCATGAGATTCGCACATTCGCACAAATCTACATCCTCTTTGAGAAACTCCTGTAGATGGCCAACGAGATACTGGACGAGCTGCTCCTCTCTACCTGGGTCTATCGAGGCCTCCCGGAGCTCAAACAGGGTCTTGCACGTTGCAGCATCAGTATACCGCTTGAGGTGGGATAACGGCAGGTTTTTCGTCTCAGATTCCGGCTGCGGGGGCTCAATATGCGAAACAGCTTCCGCAGAATCAACTGCATCCTGGCATTTTAGCGCGTCTAGAGTGTTGTTGCCGTAATACATGCACTCCTCTTCAGGAGCCACCGTCCACGCGCCAGAGGCCTCACGGTGCCGCAACAACACGTACGACACGCATTCAAGGCGCCCAGCTACCAACAGACCGTCCACACGCAAAGTTGTGTCATCGGCATTTTCGTCCACCTCGTAGACGAGCGTCAGCCAGTTTCGGTCGGGGATCTCCATGAGGCAGAGGGGCACATACCGCCTCCCCCCGTCGTCCAGAACCACTCGTGCGAACACATTGACATCAGACTCGCTTAGCGCAGTTTCGGTTTGCGATCGAAATCTGTGCATCGCGACATCCTGCATTTTAAGCACAGCGGTTTCCCCTGGGGGAAGGAATGCGATAGAGTTGAAGGGCAGGGGACCATTGTCGAAGCTGATCACCTCGAAAAAAATCGGAGTCTCGCGGTTGTGCTGTATCTTCGACTGCACCTCAATCTCCGCGGGCGAGCGTCTGAAGGTGCCGTAGCTGAACGCCACCTTGTTCCGGAAATACGGCGGCAACTCGGGCTCCTCCCTCGTCATCGTGGACTAATAACTCTTATGATGCCGAAACAGGCGACAAAACCCGAGGAAGATTGTATCTGAAACGGCCAATTACGAATAGTTCCTCATAGCATAATTTAACGGGGTGCTACTGTCTTCGTTATGCCCTTGTGCAAATCCAAATGCGTACATGGTACTCAAAGACGCGCCACCGGCGACGCAATATGGCGATAAATTCACATCAAAGCCATTAGGTGGCAAAGGCGTGGCTCCAGGCGAACGGTCCGCTGTCATTCGAACCTTTGGCAGACCTACGACTTCCAACGAGGCTATTGCGCCACCGTCTACCTTCCTCCTACCACAAACGCCCTTCTTTTATATACACCTACAGTATACAACACGGTGGTGACTCCGACTGCGCCGTACGAGCACTAACGGCAAATGACGATGTTCCTCGAGCTGCGTCGCGTCTGAATGTAAAATTTGGTCACCAAATATAAGCAACAGCAGATTACGCTTAACTTTTAGGTCATACTGCACTTCATTTAAGCTCCTTCCACGGTAATAGTCGGCGGTCTGCCTAACAACGTACCCATCACGCAGCAGCGACGCGCGGGTTAAGGCGTAGGGCCACTAGGCGCCTTCAGGTGGTAGATTACTGATAAATTTAACCGGTTATGTGTTCGTGTTTTATATATTATGCGATGTGCGATCCGCCAGGGCTTCAAACACCAGGCTGCCTAGGGCACATCCCTCTGCCAATTCGAAGGCCAGGTTAGTGTGTAGACACTTGATGTGCACGAAGCTCCGACTGCCACCGATACCGTATACCCTGGGAGTGTTCACAATAGCGAGCGCTTTTTCCAACGGGGATCGATTCTTCGGTCGCGATTCGGCCGATTGCCCTCCGGGAGTGGACGATAGCGATATGTACGAACTGCGCGCTGTATCTTTGCTGGCACCGCCGCTATCGTAGAACCGGCTGAAATGAACCGAGTTCACTATCATTGTGTACAGCGCGGTCAATATGGCGGGATGCAGCAATGCAAAACGTTGGCAGATGTATGCCAAATTGTCCAATATTAACCGTCTTACGAAAACACCGGATTCGCGCCCTCCCTCACGTCCATACGCGCTTGCATGTGTATCTATTTCCCTTTGCAGGTGCATTATAGCTCCCCCACCTTCCAATGCCGACACTTGCGCTACGAGCTCAGGGTCGGTAAGCCAATATGTCGTGGGAAACGGCACCAAACGGCCCACCTTGCCAAGGACGTCCCCGTGCTCTTTCAACAGCTTTGATTCCACATCACTGCTAAATGTGCCCTTTACTTGTGCGCTCATCAGATCTCCGGATGTGTCGCCTAACACGTCCGTTGATTCTCCCGTATCACTGGGTTTCGCTTTATCGGGGTGGCTGGGACTCGAGCCACCCCGATAAGTTTCTGCCAATTTCTGATGTAGCATATGAGCCACTTTATTGGCCTCTTTTGAAAATGTCGAAGCAGCATTTGTATCGGGGTGAAGGATGGCCTCCACGACGTCAAATATGGCATCTGCAGCGGTGCTGGGTACCTCCGAATCATCCTCAACGGCAAGCTGATGATCTGCGGATTTGCATGAAGCCGTCCCTTCGAAATACGAATTGAGAGGGAACTCGTGTGACGTGTACATTTCCACATTACCGTTGTAGTCCAACTCCGCCCCGGAGCCGCAGCTGAGCGAACGGTTGGAACGTTTGAGAGATTTCCTCGAGTTCTTCCCAGGTTTCTTATCCACTTTTACCACGAATGGGCTAATAATGGCAACAACTTTGGCCGATGTGCCCCCCGTGGAGCAGGTCACACAGCCACTGTGATCGTAGTTGAATGTAGCAGGGCTCTCCAGGCTGCCATTTGCTACAAGTCTTCGAGCAGCATTAATCAACCGTGCAGAGCCTTTGTCAATGCCGGTTGACCTTGTTGATGGTTGGCCATTAGGGTCCAGACCGTCAACTGTGCCGTCGTAATTGCCTGTCGATTCAGTATGACCGCCATCAGTAGGCTGCGTTGTGTTAGCGCCAACGTTTGTTTCCGTGATGTTGCCCCCCTTAGCGGCAACCGCTTTGCTGCCGTCATCACTTTTTATTGTGCTGGCTTCATGATCCATGGTACCTGTGACTCCGCCGGTGTCAACACGTCTACGGTGGTGCTTGTAATCGGGGCCCTGCCTGACTTTGCAGACGCACCTAAGCGGCATGGACAGCATTCCCACAGCTTCTCTGCCGATGCAGCTGCTGCAATATTCATAGTCAGCTTCAGAGAGGGTTGCAGCCGAGCACTCTGATGTGTTGTGCCTGCGGGGACAATGGAACCTCTCGCGCACCCTGTGGAGAATCCGGTTCACGTTTGGGGACCATGATAGGTTGAATGCTTCGTTGTTCCGATTGGTACAATCAGCTGTATTGTTAGCAGCACCATTGTCAGCAATAACGTGCCTGGTACCAGTGCCATCGCAACGCTCATGCCCCTCTAGTGTTCTCCACCGGCTCAGGAGCGAATAAAGTGTTTTAACAGATCTGGGTTCGTAGAGTACCAGCTCTCCCCGCAGCAGCAACAGAAACACTACGCTCAGGTCAATGTGGCTCAGCAGCTCAGCATGTAAAGACTCTTTGAGTGCGTCTACGCTGTGGTTAAGATCCTTCTGCACACCCGAATGCACATCATCCTGCTCAAGTGATGTGTTATCCATTATAGTTCATTCCGCTCATATAGACATAGAAGGTCGTGGAATCTGCAGCCTCAAAATAGGCCTACGCGCAAGCCGACTAGAGGGATTCGTAATACCGGTAAAGGACTCCTAAACTGTGTATTGCGATGTGTAACCGCATATGGTCTCAACTTCGTTCTTATTTGGAGTAAATTACACCAACATCTTCAGGGTTGTCTACAAGGTCTAGACGTCATAAATCCAGAATGCAGCGATTATCGGTCCCACTAACCAAAAGAACCGCTAAAATCTGCATAGGCAACGATCTTCCACCAGCGTCGCTGATCCGTGCCGCGTCTTATTGCGTGTCGCGTTACGCCGGTCTAACTTCCCAACCACACATCACCGATTGGACAGCGCCCCAGTCTCGGCTACTTTATACTTCGTACTGAAATTGGCACTAATCGGTAAATTACGTTAATGTGTATTGGCTGAATTTTGCAACATGGACGCGGAAAGGACATTCATCATGGTAAAGCCCGACGGGGTTCAGCGCGGCATAATGGGCGAGGTGTTCAAGCGCTATGAACAGAAGGGGCTGAAGCTGGTGGCCGCTAAGTTCCACCAACCGAACGCTGACGTAGTTGCTAGCCACTACAGCGAGCACAAAGAGAAGCCCTTTTTCGGCTCGCTCTGCGACTTCATTACACAGGGACCTGTTTTCTGCATGATCTGGGAGGGGCCTGAGGCGGTGAAGATCGGACGCAAGTTGGTAGGCGTCACATCACCTGTGGAGAGTGCGCCAGGTATGTTACATGTGCATTGCCGTCATAGCCATGCAGGGACCATCCGTGGAGACTTCGGCGTTGTCACGCACAAAAACCTGGTTCACGCCAGCAGCTCAGTGGAAGACGCCACGCGCGAGTGCAACTTGTGGTTTAAACCGGAAGAGATCGTCTCATGGGAGAAGACTGTGGCAGGCTGGATTGTGTAGGACCCGTCTGCCGACGCTATACAGGAGTGCATGTGCAACGGCAGGAATAGCTTCGATAGTTCAACAGCGATGGACTCAAGAATCGACAGATAGCCACATGCAGCAAACATATCTCCTTTATCGCGTTAATGCCCGCAGTGGCGATGTTTATGGCGCTAGGCACGCGTTGCACGGTCAGCTGGTCAGCGACTTCACAACGTCGTTGATTTCCAGCTTGTTAAGATTCGTGTACGTCTGCCCAGTGCCCACGAATACGATGGGCTGCCCCGTGATGTAGCACATCGAGAGGGCAGCGCCGACCTTGTCGTCCACGGTGTCGAACTTGGTGAGAATGATGCCGTCGATCTTCCGGCCGCGCAACTCGTCGCTTGACTCGCCCATGCGCTGGATCGCCTGGTTGAACTTGCGAAGCTGGTCCACCGCGTCGTTGCCCACCAGGGCCTCACCCACAAAGAGCAGCAGGTCGGGGTTGTTCACGTGGATCAACTTAGACAGGGCCGCCATCAGCGGCTCGTTGTCCTGCATACGCCCGGCGGTGTCGATCAGCACCACGTTGAATCCACCCGCACGAGCATACTTCATACCCTCACGACAGATGGCCGATGGATCCTTGCCGTAGCCGCGCTCAAAGAGCTCCACGCCCAGCTTGTCCGCATGAATCTTGAGCTGCTCCACAGCGCCCGAACGGAAAGTGTCGCACGCGATAAGGAGTACCTTGAACCCGTTGCACTTCAGCAGGTAAGTAACCTTGGCCAGGCTAGTCGACTTGCCCACCCCGTTCACTCCAAGGAACAGCACGGAGTACACCTCGTCACGTGCGTTGGCTTCGGAGACATTGCGCAGCAGATTGATCGGTTCCTTTGGCGTGAGAATCCTCCGAACAGACGCCTCAAGCGCCTCGCGCACGGTGGCGGCGACCGACTTCAGCGACGCCGTCTTCTTACCAACCAGGCCCGCCGAGATGGAGTCGCAGATCATGGTGGAAATGTCGTTGGCAACGTTTTTCGCGTTCAGCTTAAGCTTCAGCTCCTTCAGCGGTTCTTCTATGGCCTCAGGCGTCAGTACCATGTTCCCCGCGTATTTCAGTACCATTTTGGCGAAATTGTCCAGCACGCTGGGGCCGTTGGAGCCCTCGTCGGTGCTGGGCTTCGGAGTCACATCGCTCCTGCCGCGCCCGAAAATCCGTCCCAGCGACTTACGCACGCTGCGGAATATGCCACCTTTTGTTGAAGGATCAACGGCCGCTTCAGGTTGAGGTGTGGCAGCACTTTCGGCGGTCGACGGCTTATGGCCCGACCGCGATTCCTTGTCAGTTGAGAAATCGAGCGCGTCCATTTCTCGCTTCGAAACCGTTTGCCTTATCCCCCAATCACGCCCGGTTTTACCCGGTTTCTTGGACTGATCCCTCTTGCCATTTGCGGCACGTTGCGGGGTGTTGTCCGTTGTCTCCGTCGTTGCAGGCTTGCTCGCGCTCAAACCTATCTTGTACAGTAGCTGGCTGAACTCGTCATCGAACTCGAAACCCAGAGTGTCGGTGATCCAGTTGATTGACGACGGGTTCTTGTGGTGCCTCCGCACATGCGCCACGAAGATGTCGGCGGCGGTATCCAGTAAATTTCCTATGTTTTGGGAACTCTGGATGCCCTGTTCAACGTTGCTAAAAGTACGTTGCGGTAAAACTCACTTGATACATAATGTACATAACTGCATCAATCGAGTGCAGCGCCTTCCAGCGGAAGCTGACGCAATCTATGCTGGCCTGCTGAGTAGCGCCTCGCTCCTGCAAACATGTCAGACATGGTAATGAAACATGATTCATAGATCTATCAACCATGCCAAATTCACAGCTACAATGGATACCTTTGATACCTGAGACGATAGGTAGCGTACACGCACAGTGTAATACGCTCCCCTAATCGGCGGCTGCCGTTGCATGCGGCTCAGTGATTCGGGCACATAAACAAAAGGAACATGGCTCTACAAAACACAACGATACGAGAAAAATGCGTATAGAATGCCGAAGAGGTTTTACAGTCGGTTTATGAAGCAAAAGGTACGACAACAATCACCGTCATAAACGGTTCGAATCGATTCACTGTTACACAAAGGATGCATACGCTACGTCATTGATCCACAGTCACTTCCGCGACACAGCACATCACTTCCAACACTTGAGGAATGCTCATAGCCGGCTCTCAGGCAGTATTAAGATGCGCATACAGGCTAATCATGAAAACATCAACCTCAGTAGACACCGCACACATACAGTTATAATCATACCCAAGAAAAACATGTACAAGACTACAAATGCAATATGTGACAGGGAGAACACACCTCTAACAGAACGCTGCTGATCAGCTTGTTAAGACCTTCGCCGTTAGGCTGTCTGTCGTGGCCATCGAAGCCGTGGTCGAAGTGCTGATTCCAGAGCACAACGCCACCACGGCTCACAACACAAGCGTAATCTATCATTGTAGCGCGACGGAAACCACTGGAAGCGTCAAGCTCGCGCTCACCGTTGAACGTAACCCGCCAATAGAGTCGGTCGGCACTCCACAACTACTGCGCCGCAGAATCCAAACATTAAAATCCCATATATTAACACGCGTGCTGCTACTATTTGCGGGGAATGTGACAGGTGTGTGGTAATGGAAGCGTTGTCTGGTTGTCTATGACAACATAATGCCAACGTAAACACATAAGAATCGTGAATAGGCTTTTAACGCACTAATCTAACACAGGGTGGATATTAGGATTCTATGGATGTCGCAGAGATTCGCATCCCGGAGTAAGACGTCGATGCGATGACCTATCAGACAATACGCTACAATGATGATTTTACAGTAACACATGTTTACACATATGAAATCAATGACACCTCATTACACAGAACATAGTAATTATGTGTGTCCGAACCGATAGAATACACGTACCACGTCACAAGGACCACGCTGTCGTTCCATCACCGATCGGTGGGACAAATGACATCGAGTGTTACACCGAGCTAGATACTTCGTAAAAGGTATCCTTTGAATGCAAGGCGCATGGACAGACAACGTCGAGTAGGTTGACATTAGATGAGATGGCAAATGTGACACACGCATATGCCACCGAACAATAGAAGTAAAACTGTGACAAGTATTACACCATAAACACAAAAACAATCATGTCAGACAACATCCCAAGATGTGTTACCGCTTACGGTTGAAATCGCATAAACAACGTCGTACACATACGCTGCCTGTATAACACATAACAAATACACATCACCTCAAAGGCACCGAGAAAGAACAAATCGGAGACGACCGTGACAAATGATCGAAGTAAGTATTGTCAGCTTTACGCTGTACAATAAAAATGAGATAACTCACAAAGGGTAATTTTCGAAATTGGCAGGTTGGATAGCCACGAGAGACTATAAGACAATGACTACTACATGTATCTGCTGTTTAAGATGCGTTTTAACAATAATGCTTGCAGTCGGTAAAAATACGCTAAATGATACGGGGCCCCCTCCACCGCCGCATCCACACGACTCTGTGAGCATCGGGCACATCGGCATGTTTTTACATTATAATAAACTCCGATATTTATATTTTATATTAAAAACAAGAAATGCAGTTAATTGTCGTTTCCCATTAACGGTGCCGCAGATGTGTGGACTGGCACCATGCACATGGGCTCCCATACACCTCGGTAAAATAATTTTAGAATTTATGCACTGCGGAGTAATTTAAAATATTGTTGGCAGGGCGCCCCTTTCTCGTCTATCTTTCGCGGTGCACGACTGGGTGCACCTCTATTGTCTTGCCCTGGTAAGCAGACACGACATGTCCATATGGCTGGAGCACTGACCGTGCACATCCAAGGCAGACAGCGTCAGATGTTTGCGGGGGAAATACGGCCTATCCGCCGGTAACCCGCAGTGCGCCCCCTGAGACGACGTCTACACATCCACAGATTGGCTGCGCTTCATCTGTATCTGTCGCCTAATCCTTTTTCCAGTGTAAGGTGATTGGCAGTGCCCAGCTTTTTAGAGCATCGCCAATTTCATTTTCGCTTTAGGTTGTGTACTGTTCTACATTCTCCAGTAGACAGACCCGACTGGCGAAGAGAAAACTCTATGCGCGACGCTGCCGGTCACGATATTACGTTGGTTGGGTCAGTGATAGCGGCTGATGCTTACACCCGCGTTCGATGCCGGTTATCCAGCGGTAAGGAGTGGACGACAGTAACCTCGGATGTGTATTCGTGTTAATGTAGTACCGTCAATGTAGTCCATTTTTCAATTTAATGTTTATAACATTAGCATCTATCTACTAACTGTCGAGAATATTGCTGTTCTTTAATGCAGTCTCGGGATACAAAATGAAGGACAACGAAAATGTAGGATATACCCTGTGCCATCACATGGCCAGCGGTACTGGGATAGAGCCTCTTGTCTCATCTCAAAACAATGAGATACCGGGCGCACGTTGCGTATCGATATCTCAAGAAGATCAGAACTCAATAGGGTTTGCGCTTTTTAAGAGACAATTTTCGTTTGATGAGGAAATGGTCATATGTAACCAAATGACACCAAAATTCGGATACGTCGACAACGTTGATATTTTCGATTCGCGTGGGGTAGACAATTGCGATGTTATAGGTGTAAAACAGGTTAAAAGATATGTATCAAAGGTCTCCGAATGTTCTGATGACACTCAATTGCATGTACCATCGATGCTGAATTTACAAGCTATGCCCAGAGACGATTTGAAGAACACATACGCGATGGATGATGCCAAGAGTACCATTTCCTCCATAGAATCAAGCAGCCCCTTTGGCTCCAATAGCGACAAGGTTAACTGGAATAAGTATGAATACGAAGAGTCGCTATTGACGCCTACGACGTTCGCGTCATTCAGTCACGAAGGTTTGGATAGTGCCATGGAGATTTTGAGCGGTGGCGCACTGCGGTTCGCAGAAGAATCTTTTCTTACAGGATACGATGACGCTTTTGCCTCTGACGAGGTTTACGATATTTCGGAAACGAATTTCGATTTTTCCACTGTAACGAGATCTGTTACGGAAGATGACATGATGGAAGACGAGATGGTGCCCCTCATAGATATGGTGTGCGGTATACCCGATGTCCCAGAAGAACCTATGATTGAAATTCACCACGACATGCTTGTTGAAGCACCCAAGGAGGAAGAGCCTGAGGTTTTGGACCCTCCCCTGTACAAAGAAATGCAAGTTAAGTTGTCCATGGCGAAGAAGGTGAAGTCTGGTAAAAAGAAAGGTTCACGATCTAGTAAGGAGCCGATTATGGTGGATGCCATCAACATTAATGTAACCAAGGAAGGAGTAGAGGTTTCCGGTGAGTTGGGTATCGACCCTGACTCGGAAGAACGTATTGAGTGGTACCCAGGCTTCAATAGGCAGTTGGGAGCTAAGGGCAGGAGCGCTCTCCTTGAGCTCGTGAGACGTGTATATAGGCAGAATCCTACGTACTACAAATCGATTTTGCAAGCCAGAAACCCGCCATCCTCGATCAGCAACCTTCCCTTTTTCAACATCCCCATGTTGTGGGAACTCACTCACCAATTTGGTGTCTTCCAACAGGCCCTTGTCATCCACAAGAACCAGATGTGTGCCGCCTACAGAAATGACAAGGGTAGGGGAAGATCGAAGGTGGACCGTAGTCATGCAATACATGACACAAAATCACCACAACTATCACAGGAAAGTGTTAAAGATGAGCATTCGAAACTATTGAGCCAGACAAGCGAAGCAAGCTGGGATTCTGATTCGACTGGCGCCTCCCAAGAACTTCAGAATTCTATGCAAGTGGAGACGAACTGCTCACAAAACAAGTTGGCACAGATTAAAGATGAACTCCAAGTGCAAAACAACGCCGTGTCGCAGAAATACATGGTAAAGCGCGACGCCACTATGTATGAACAGATGTCTTCCGTTGAGGCAAACGGCGGAAGGACGACTCCGCCGGCCCAGGTGGAACACGTCAAACATAGCAGGTACCAAGGCGTTAAGGCTGAAAATGTGACTCAAGTTGAGCCTGTTAGGCAACATTTTACCACCCTCTCTGGAAGGTCAATCAAGCCCACTAAGAGATACGCGGACTACCAGGGCGAGTTCGGAAACCAGGCTAAGCGCTACAGCGCATACAATGAGAACCACAACCAGACTACCAATGACACCGTATCAAGCTGTGGTTCAAACGACAATTCTCAGGATCTCTCCAATGGAATTGCCGAGTGCGACAGCCCCGCCCTTTCCAGCTCCACTGTCGTTAGCCTTTCCAAGAGTGAGGACGCGTCTGCAGAACTTGACGAATCCGCGGAATTACCGCCATTGTCACTTGTATGGCGCGTCAAGCAGCAGCTTTCACAAAAGAACATGGACGTCAGGCGCGATGCCATGGCTGAGCGTCTCAGCCCCGTCGCGTCCGCACGCGGTACACCCACTCGTTGCATTTCTGTGTAATAAACATCCAATATTAATGATTTGTTAATGATGGCCACCGGGTTCTCCTGGGAAGTAGTGGTAGTAGGTTTCAATGCCGCCCCAGATTATGATCGGCGACATGAGAATGCCGGTCCACACTAGCGGGGACATCTCGTCATAGCGGGGGTCGATGTACTTCGCGTGCACCGTCCCTGAATCTGGCAGACCGATGCGCATCTTCTGGTAGTTGGGCGGGTAGGCCCGGTCGAATTCCTCCTTAGTGTACGGCAGCTTGCGCGGGGCACGCCAGATGCCTTCTACGTGGTGTACTGGGGCGAAGCAACTTGACTCCTCGTATCTCGACCCGCGGGTGACGTCGGAAATTGCTCCAGTGGTGCTGGTAGGCACCGAGGAGAACGGGCGCCTCGCTATCCTCCGTACAACGATTCGCATTCTGCGGCGTCTATATCAACCCGGCTCACAAAAACATAACACAGGACCGCTCGTTACCGTAACCACTAGTCACTGCTTGCAAAAAGCGTAGTTCACATGAAACACGAGGTTGATGTAATAGTTTAACGGTCATCACATTCGGCAGTGATTAAAAACGTTTAACGGAAACGTTGCCTCAAACTCAGCGAATACGTATGCGACATCAACATAACTATCTAAATAACACTCGCATATGGATGAGAATTACTCAACGAAAGCGTACCTGCTGCGCAGAGACCGACCCGGTCACCAGATGGCAGTGAAGCGCCAATAATTACACCCAAGGGAGTTGGATGGTTGCTTGTTATATATACCCCAAATGTATATATATCGGTTATTATAACTCTGTCGTTTCAAACCGCCGTTGTCGGAGGGTGGCGAGCAGTCTGCCGCAGCGGGGCGCGCGCCTTCACATCCGCCGATCGTCGACGGACGCACATCGTTGTTGGACATCGACGGTTACACCGTAAATGCTATAGATGCAATGTAGACTAAAGGTTGAACTGTTAGTCAACAGCAATTGTACACACCCGCAAGATTCGGGCTGAAGCCCCGTCGCTGCCATGGCGCCGAAAGCTGGCGCAAAAGGTAATGCAGTTCGCTTCAAAACGTTTACAACTCCCTCTCAGGTGGAGCGAAGAAGGCGGTGAACAATGTGCCGCTTAGGGAGCGGCTCATGGCCCAGGGTATATACACATCCTCGACCAGCACAGAAGGACGAGGAGCTGTGGCACCGCTCTTCTCGCCGCAGAAGCCAGCGCGCAGGTCATTGAAGGCGAAGAGCACTTCAAGTAGCCTGCCGAAGGTTGGCATGTCGAGGTACTTCCAGCGCAAATCCGACGTGGACAGTCGTACCTCGCTGTCTAACTCGAAATCGCATAACACAGGTGCGTTACATACGGGTGAATTGCGGCATTTTGCGTCAGTCTCCGACAATGCAGGGAGCTTCGCATTCATGTTGGACCCCGCGGAGGTCGCCAGAGTAAAGGAGGCTTCGGAGGCGCTGCTTGCCAGCCTAACATCCGAAGAGTCGGATTGCGCCGACGTGCAAATCGTCGACACTTCCTCGCTCGACCAACTTGCGGCGGAAAGACCCGCTGCCACGTTTGGGGGTTCCAGCTGCGCGCCGCTGCTGAATAACCCGCGCGGAGCATGTTACGCAATGCTACGAGTACCGCCCACATCGCACTTTGGCCCGTTCATCAACACTTCTGGGGTTATGGTGTTGATATTTATCGATCTGCCACCCGGGAAACTCTTCTACGAGAGCCTGAACCTGACGGGCAAGCGCAAGGTACCCTGCCCTAGACAGGCACACGTGCTGGTGCTGCCAGATGATGTCTTCAAGCTGCACAACGAAAGCAAAACCGGCGAAGCGTCGGTGCTCATGCTGTCCTGCCGCCGGGACGGAAAAGAGTTCAACATCGAGCAGCACGTGCAGGGCGCATTCCTGACACCACTACGTGAATTAAATGCGGGGTGACGGTGCACCCTCAACATCGCAAAATATAACGAAGTTTGGCAGTCTCGAGTTGCTGAACACACTGACACATGTTAGATTTTAACTATTAGACGCATTGTTAAGGCGCGTCGTCACAGTCCACATTGATGCGCTGTTGGCTTTCAGCCCGCTTGCCAGGAGGCGTCTGACTTCGTTACCGTCGGTGATGTGTGGGTTTTGACGGGTATGCTCATTTTAGCTTCGCCGTTAGACGCACAATCTTGTCCTCGGTTATTTCGGGGTACTGCGATAATATCAGGTCGATCACCTGATCCTCCACGTCTCCCTGCAGCGATGATGTGCGTTGAAGGAAGCAGGCTCACCTGGCAATCGATCTTGTCCATCTGGCCAGGCACTCCCTTCACCACTCCGGCCCCGGAAGCAAACTGCTTCGCGAACAGCTTGGCGGCGGCCTCAAGCTTCACACCTGCAAGTGCTGATGGGACACGTGGGACACCCAGACGTACCAAAGAGGTGAAGACCTGTGACACTGGTGACCACCTTCCGCTTAGAACGCGTGCTGCGCTGCACCGTAACCTCCTGGCGTACTTCCGGCTTCTTCTTGCGCGGAGTTAGCGTAGGTGCTATTACGATCTTCGACAGCTGCTCCGCCATGTCCGCAGCGCTGCCGAAAATCTCGGGGTAGCGCCGCGCGCACTCCTCACGACACTCGCCAGACTCCCATTTGTCCCCGAAGTCGCAGAAGTCATACGGCATACCGCAGTGCGGGCAGTATTCCACCTCGACGGGCACCAGCGGCGGCACCTCGTCCTCGGGGACGGAGTCTACCGGCGCCTTCTCTTTAACCATGGTGCAATATCGGGGTGTGTCAGCATACGGAGCCGACGGAAGGTGTACCTGCGCCACACCGCCACCCAGCTTTGACGCGCGGCGAACGCGCCGAAGGTCAGGGGGCGAACAGCTACACATAAATACAAAACCCGCGCAGCATTGTGTATTGTAACTAAGCTTTACACTAACGATGTCGTTAGGCTCTTTTGCGATGCTGAAAGTTCAGAGGGATCCCTCCGAGACAAGTCCGGTGTTACCGTCGCCCGGCGGCGTTGCTGGCTCTGCATCAGGAAGCCGAGGGAGCTCCGGCACGTCCGATATACTGCCGAGGACGTACGGCCTCAGCCTCTCCTGCATGGGGAACTGGCGCTCGCCCACGCAAGATGCAATGTCCTGGTAGCTTAAACTCTCACGCTCGAAGAGCAGCCTTGCCAGCTTGTGCACCAGTTCAGCCTTCTCGCCCAGCAGCGCTTTGACGCGAGCGTACTGTCCCTCGATAATGCTGCGCACTTCCTGGTCGATAAGTTGTGCAGTGCTCTCCGAGTACGCGCGGTAGAACCCGGGCCCCTCGTCACCATCTCGCTGGTACGACACCAGGCCCAATGCGGGGTTCATGCCCCACTTCGAGACGAAGGCGTAGCACATTCGAGTGACCTTGTTCAGGTCGTCAGTCGCACCTGTGGTGATACGCCCAACGAAAATCTCCTCCGACGCACGACCACCCAAAATCACTGCGATCCTGTCCAGCAACGCCTCGCGGCTGAACAGCGGCGTCTCATCGGCAATCTGCTGAGAGTACCCCAAAGAACCGCTGCTACGAGGTATTATGGACACCTTGAGCACGGGATCAGCGTGCTCCAGCCACCACCCCACCAGCGCGTGGCCGACCTCGTGGTATGCCACCACCAACTTCTGTTCGGGGGAGAGCAGCTGGTTGCTGCGACGCAGACCGGCGATGACGCGTTCAATGGAGGCCTCGAAGTCCACCAATTCCACGCCGTCCGTCGAATTGCGCCGCGCAGCCTGGAGGGCAGCCTCGTTAGCAACATTAGCGATCTGCGCACCCACGAAGCTTGGTGTTAGCGCAGCCAAACGGCGGGCCAGGTCGTCCACATCTAGCAGCTTGTTCAACTTCAGCGGAGCTAAGTGCACCTTGAAAATCTCGTAACGCTCGTCCAGGTCCGGGCTATTAATGGTGATAATGCGATCGAAACGCCCGGGCCGCACGAGCGCGGGGTCTAGGATTTCATGGCGGTTGGTGCCGGCCAGCACGATCACGCCGCTGCTCGCCTTGAAACCGTCCATCTCAACCAGAATTTGGTTCAGCGTGCTGTCTCGTTCATCGTGGCTGCCGGTGCCATTTTTTCCCCCACGCCTTTTGCCCACGGCGTCAATCTCGTCGATGAACACAATGGAAGGCGCATTTTCGCGGGCCTTCTGGAACAAACTGCGCACCCTAGAAGGGCCAACTCCGACGTATATTTCGACGAAATCGCTGCCAGAAATGAAGTAGAACGGTACATTCGCCTCCCCAGCGACCGCCTTAGCTAGCAGAGTCTTGCCGGTACCCGGAGCACCGCACAGCAACGCCCCCTTGGGAATCTTGGCGCCGTATTGCTCGTAAGACTTCGGGTTCTTCAGATAATCCACAAACTCGCTGATCTCGCGCTTGGCTTCGTGCATACCAGCCACGTCCTTGAAACGCACGCCAACCTTGATGTCCTTGGCATTGGTCAAGTTGAGATTCCGCATACGGTGTATGCGGTCAATGTATTGACTGCTGGACAATATCCTCCAAGCAATTAATGCCATAGAGACGACAGGAATCCCAACGGCGATCGCATACTTCAGCACACGTAACCACTCGACTTCCTCAACATGCTTGACAGGGATGAAGTCTTCGGGGCGCACACCTAACGACCTCTGAAACACATTTGAGCAGTAGACAATACACTATAACACACCTGTATTTCGTCCAATTTCCGTTCCGCTGAGTCAACGGATTGTATGCGGAAGGTCACCACCTTACGCTCCGTCTTGGAATCACTCCGCAGCAAACAACGACAGATCTTGCCGTTCACGATCACTATGTTATCAACGAGACCGCGCATCAAGTACTTCTTTAAGAATTCCTGCATCGTTATCTCGTTAGGGAGATCGCTGGAGTAAAAAAATTTGAGGGACCCTAGCGCCAACAGTCCGTAAAACAACAACCTGAACGGCGCTGCACACAGTGCCGCAAACGGGCTGTTGCCATCGTTTTTCGAGCCATTAGGATCCGTAGGCTTGCCTGGATAGTTGCCCATCTTGCCTTCGGGTTTTTTGGTACCACTCGATGGTCCACTATCAGCTTGGTCCTCCGAAGCACCGGTGTCGGAACTCCCTCCACGGCCCGCAAACCTACCGAAACCGGTAGGTACCTTTTTCGAAAAGTGCCGCGAGCCGCGTACACCCGCATAGCAAACATGTAAATTAGTATTTAAAATAAACGAAGCATTGCAAATAGACGAGTGAAAGGGCCTTCCACGTGAAGCCAGAGACGGAAGCGCCCCCCCAGCTAGCTCCAGCTCGCCTGAACGGAGTAGGCGATATCCTTCGGCTCCAAATAGCCGGCGCATTGCCTGGCGTCCCAGCGTTAAAGCCGGCATCGCCATGACTGCGACCTACGCCAATACGGTAACTGCGGGCCGCCGCGGTCCCTGAAAAGGCAGGCTTACGATATATCTAACGCACGATATAATCTAAAATCCTATATAACAAGAATCCAACAGATGGGCCGCGGGTTGCCGTCGCCTGAGAGGCGGTGCACGGCAGCGGCGGGTGGCGGAACGACGTTACGTAAAATAGAACAACAGACACGGTACATACACATATATTAATCATGAATTTTGTATTTTTTCAGCTGCGTTGTTTTTATATCTCAAGAATCTACAAATGAACGCGCCACCTGCCCCAATTAACTGTACGATATAAGCAGTACACATCGGCTCCACTTTGCCCGCTTTATATGTGCCTAACAATCTCCGTCGCACTACAGTCTACGACAAGCACGTTAACAGTATACTTTGCCGCTACAGTGGCTTAGAAACATTGGTACAATTCTTACTTGGAATTAGATTCTACATCTTTGCCGGGCTGAGCTGCGATATTTCGCCACGGAAAAAATGGCTTCCTAATGTCTCGTGTCAAATATGACGTATATGTGAGCAAGCGTGGTACTATGGAGTTGTCTAAGAAGTTCAGGCGGCTTAAGAGGATTGCCGCAAGGCACAAAGCATTCACGCAGGCCGTGATGAGATTGACGCATCTGCATGATGACGACAGCACGACACTCCAAGATTCTTCGAGCTCGGACTCAAGTAGGCCTGATGCAACAGCGCATCGATCAGAGAGTGCTAATATCGCAAAATCGCAGCGGATGGAAGAGGTGACGGCTACAAGCAGTGTACGGAAGCGAGCCAAACGACGACGCAAATCGGACACAGCTTCACATACCGCATCAGACACCCATCAGGATACTTTCGATACGTTAGGCATCGACGGACGTATAGTAGAATGGCTGAAAACGAAGAACATTCTAGTTATGACGCGGGTGCAGAAATTGGCCATTCCCAAGTTCATTAAAAGTGGTACGGATGTGCTGGTGCAGTCCCACACCGGATCGGGCAAAACACTCTGTTTCGTCGTGCCCATCCTCGACATGTTTATGAAACGATCGGCCGATTTCCCCGACAGTGCATTGATCGCCATTTTCGCCGTCATCATGCTGCCTACACGAGAACTGGCAACCCAAGTGCACTCCGTCGTATCGGATGCAATCTCACACATGGAACAAAACGTTGAATGTAGCTTGGATACAGGTGGCGTTCCGCTTTCGTGTCTTGTGCTCATTGGTGGATCGCCCGTGGAGCATGACATCAAAGCCATCACGAAGCTGAAGACCGTTCGCGGTGCGCGACCGCTCGTCATAGCGACACCCGGAAGGCTTCACCACCTGATAGATATGCTGCAACAAGAAATGATGTGGACGTTCAAGGATGTGACCGCGCTGGTGCTCGACGAGGCGGACCGGTTGCTGGAGATGGGATACCAGGCAGACATGACGGCAATAATGGGCAACATGCCCAAACAACGCAAGACTGGCTTCTTCTCCGCCACTTTACCCAAAGAGGTGTTGGAATTCGCAAAAATGATTCTGAACAACTACCACTTTATCAACGCCGATGATGGAGCTTCCAATAAAAGGGTGGCTGCTCATGGAGGTGAGGAGGCTCAAACAGGGTCGGATATGGGACATGCCGAAGGTGCAGCTACGTATGCAACGCCGGTGACGCTTAAGAATTACTACCTCATACTAGACCCAAGGGAAAAGTTGCACTTCGTAGTGCTATTGCTGGAACATCTCAGGATGACTGGCGTCAGAAAGTGTGCCATTTTCTTTCTAACGTGTGATTTGGTGGACTACTTTTCACTCATGATTGAGAAGTGCCTGGCCGATGGTGGTGATCAAGCGAAAGAAGGCATGCGAACGATCCTTTACAAAATTCATCGCAAAATGCCCACAGCTAGGCGCCAGCTAAACCTGGACGCCTTCCGTAAAATGCTGGGCGCTGATGGCATGAAAAATAATTCGGAAGGAGGGCCCGAATGTATGGGTGCAGCTGCAAAGCCCGCTGGCAACACGCTGCAGGTGTTGCTTTGCACCGATATATTCTCTAGGGGAATAGACATTCCTCAAATAGAGTGGGTTATACAGTATGATGCGCCACAAGACCCTAACTTCTACGTACACCGTATCGGAAGAGTGTCACGTGCAGGGGCATCTGGAAATGCAATACTGCTGTTGAACAACAGTGAAGAAGCCTACGTGCAGTTCCAAATAAATCGCAAAATACCACTCACTCCACTACCGAGCAACGTACTAGATGGTGCTACAAGCTACTACGATAGGATCTCTGGAACGGAACCGGCCTTGCCTCACCATCTACACAGGGAATGCACTACAGTCGCCCATGGCAAGCCATATGTCGACTACCTGCAGGAAACAACACCCGAAAAACCGGCTCTTCCCTGGGAACATACCTCCAAGATGCTATCGTACGTACGGGCACAACTCGCTGCAGACAGGGCGTTGCTACTATCGGCAACAAAGGCATTTGTGTCCTACACTCGGGCGTATTCCGAACACAGACTAAAGAGCATATTCGAACAAAAGGTACGGTCCTGGCAGGATTGCGTAGTGACTGATCGTGTACTATACATCTTCCTTTTTAGCTATCGATGTTGCTACGTATTGTATACCATTTCTGTGATCGGGTGAATCACTTCGCAATTAAAGGTGACCGAGCCATGTCGGAGTTGTATTACGCGGTTATCTGCTGTTCTAATTATTCAGCTGCCTATTTACATACTCATACTCATGTCGCCACAGAACGTCGACTATGGGGCACTTGCCACCTCCTTTGGCGTCCTTAAGGTTCCAAGGGTAAAGGAGATACTAGGCAAACGATTGCAAAACTTTGCCAATAGCGATATCGATGTTAACTCGGTGGCGTTCAAAAACGAGGAACAGGAGAAGGATAGGCTAAAAAAACTTCAGCAACGGGATAAGGAGACTAAACCCAGCTTACCGGTGAAGAAGACCGAGCCCAAGGCGAAAGTGCAGCGGACCAGGAGCGAGAAACGCGTCGTTAAGCGGTAAGTTACTTCCACGCAGTAATCTATGAGCTTTCAGCGAAAATGCGTTACGTGAGTGGGAAGAGCTCGCACGCGAAGAGTCACTCGCTAAGAAACTTAGAAAAGGCAAAATAACTCAGGAACAGTATGAAAAGCTTTTAAGCAAGCAGGCACAAAGTGACTCAGACGAATCAGATTCGTCCGACGAATGCGACCATCGGCCACAGGTCGCAGAAAGCGATTCGGACTGGGAAACCGTATGTCAATTGTTGAATTTGATCATAGTTCTCTCAGGAACTTGACAACTTCGTCAGCGAGTGGAAAGATAAGCCAAAGACAGCACGCATATGAATTTTTGGTCTTAATACTTAGCTCTGTTTCTCCTTGACTATAGTCCGGTAACTGGCCACGGTATAGTTCGCAGCGATAGTATTTGTTCGGTGTAGTCGGTACGTGGATAGTTGATAGTAACTCACTTTATACACTACCCATTAAGTTGTCACTTATGTGATCTAGGTGGGTCTGAGAAATCATCGTAAATCAACAAGCCTCCCCAACACAAAGCACTTAACACGTCGAACTACATTATCCTTTGGGATGATACTAGGTAAATCTATTAGCGCGTTTAAAACAGTGACCAATGTATAGGACGTAGGGGGTATACATATATCAACATATAATTAATAAACGTAGTGCGAGAATAGTTCCTTTGACCAGACGAATAAGCATGACGACGCCACCTATTAAAGTGAAATAGCAACGCCTAAATGTCACACAGTGGGTGCACCTGGAACGTAAAAGTTGTTTGCACCGGTGGCAGAAAATGTGGTACGCGAGGTACTTTGCTTTGTCGGTGTCTTGGTAGTGAACGGATCTGACACTGTTGGCAGCCAGGGATAATATATGTTATTCCTACCAAGAGCGTTAACTGTCTTGCGCGGCTTATTCGATTCCTGGATATTTAATATAGCCTGCTTATCCTTCTCGCTAATATCTGGTATCCCACAGGGTCTAGTTTTGCCAGAGACGTGGTTGCGAGCTTTCTCCATTGACCATGATCTCTCATTAGCCTGCACGTGCATGATGACGGAAAGAAAGACAAAGACGAGGGCGCGAAAAACGGCGACTATGTTTGCCTTCATCTTCCCTCACAGCCCACTAAACAATAAACCCTGAACAGCGATGAGCAACAAACCTCAATCTTCCAAAACTTTAGTTCAGCCGATGACAAACGATGTATCCATACATGTGTGAAGCCATCCACCTGGTGGTGGGGCGTGCATTTTACCAGATCTCGCGGCTGACATACCATGAAGCTGCGCAGCCGACGCATGCACCTGTAAGTTGCATTGCCAAAATGATGACGTGTCACATGATTACTCACGATGTGATAACACTAAACTTCACTCGGCCCATTTCCTACCACCTTCTCTGTAAGACCTATCTGCCACGCTTAAGGCGCAGTAGCAAGCGCAGACGTACGGTGTTAGTGCCTAGCATACTGTGGCCTCTGTTCTACCATTTACCGCTCATTCCTGTGGTCATCGCGTTCAATGTTCTGGCTTCACCAAAAATCACGCCAGATCACATCCCTCGGTCACCTACACCATACCTTGTATGGCAGACGCTCACCCACGATGGCACTTCTGATACGCTGGGGTGAAGGACTACCCAGTCGGCGTCGTATTCCACTCGCACCGTGCGGTGACACCGATTGCTCGCTCAACAACTATGATGGCAAACAACTGGTTGAAACGCCGAAGTACATTGTCAGCTATATTGCTAGTTTGCTGTGCAAGCTCAGGGATCACGGTTGTAGGTGCGCAAGCGCGGCGATCCTGCAAACCACCACAGTATTATATGTACCACCTAATATAACCCATTAATTCACTGCTACACCACATACTATCACAGGGTAACAATTGGCAAAGTGAATGTAATGATTATTACGTGACACCAAGTTGCCCCATAGGTTCGTCGTCGAAGTAGTCGATGTCGCGGTACAGTGACAGAAGCTTCCTCCAGTGAGTGAGTAGTGCCTTGACGTAGATGAGGTGGGACGCCTTGGAGCGCATGAGGTGGGAGCGGATGCGTAGCACGTCCATGCGGTAGAGCACCGTGTGGGAGATGTAGAGCGTGGCGATGAGCCACAGTGTGAACAGAATGTATATGAAAGGCTCCCGGATGCCGTAGAGGAATGTGTCCATGGCGGTCATGAGGCTTGCGATAGGCTGTCCGGATACCACTTCCTTCAGCTTGTCGATGACCTTGGAACACGTGAGTGACGGCTGCGATACATCCTCCGGCGGCGTGAACCCGTGAGAGTAGAGGAGGGGCAGGGCCTTGTCACACTGGTGAATAGACTTGGACTTGGAGTCGTGACATTGAAGGTCCTCGAGATCACAGTACAGCTTGAGCAGTGACTCCCACAGTCTGTCAGTCAGGTAGGCCGTCCAGCTGAGGTAGTGGTGGGCGAAGCTGGCAGAGCACAGGGCGTAGGCCCGGTAGGTGATGGGCGTGAAGTGTTGTGGGCACTGGGCATTGGTGATGTCGCAGCCATGTAGAGAGGACAGGGTGTTGGGATGGCCATTGTTGTGGTTGTGGTTGTGGTTGGAGTTGGGAGAGCCGGAGCCCCTGATGCCCTGGACGGCTTGGAGGTCGGCGTCACCAAGACGATCCCAGCCGGGGCAGTCGTCATGTCGAGCGGAGAGGGCGGAGCCCAGCTTGGACAACTGTGAAGGGGGATTGTAGAGTGAATTCCCGAAATTGTGGAAGAAGGAGACAAGCTCCCCCGTGGTGCGCGGCGTCCGCCTGGTGAGGCAGTTGAGGTAGGAGGCCAATGTCAGCAAGGGGTCATCGCCGCCGCAGGTGGGAGTGAGGATGGTGGAAATATGCTTGCCAGTTTCGTGAGTTGCAGGCAGATGCTCCTGCTTGAATCCCATGTTGACACGGCTCTTGCGGCAGATGTTGCGCGGGTCGAAGGGATGTGTCTCGAACTTGGATGTGGAGGCGTCAGTCAGGAAGGCCTGGAGAGGAGATGGCATTTTGATGTCACTGCCATATTGACAATCCTGCCAACCACCATGTGATTGATCCCGAGAACACTGCGACCTTAAGAACCGCAACTGGTGGTAGCAGGCGTAGACGTAGTCCCGCAGCTGGCAGAGGAGACAAGCGGGGTCGGGGGAATAATGAAGGGCATATTTTTCTTTATCCTCGAAAAAGGTTTTGAAGTCATCGGATATGTCTTTGTGCTTGAGCCTGTATAGAACGCTGGCCGAGTAGAGACACGCCTCTGTCAGTTTGGCGGCGACATGGGAAGCGGTCAGCTGAGTGGGATCCCCGGTGACCTCGAGGGCATCTGGAGATTGTGAGACATCTTTGTTGATGTCTTTCAAAATGCCTTCAACATGCTCCTTAATCTTCTCAACATACCCCAATTCATTCAAGCCGACAAACCAGTAGAGCATCTCCCTGACTGTGTTGGGCACGGGCATATGGTCGGAGCCTGGGGGAGGGGAGGGAGCTGGAGTGACGGTAGTGGAGGAGGAGGAAGGGGGAGCGTACCAGGGGTTTTGGCAGACGTTAAGGTCGGCCATTGTGTTCAACGTAATCGTTGTCGAATGCTTTTCTGGATTTGATTTATCAAAGTACACCATGGTTTGAAGGTTTTCGGCGTCATTGCGATATGTCTTCCGCGCCGATGGCATTGGCGGTCGGGGTTGATCAATGAGCTCCACTGGAGGAACGCCCATTGTACGGTATGCTTTTGATTTATTTGGGGGAGCAGGAGGGCGGACAATTTCTACATCTACGGGAGGCGGCCTCGCTGGGTGCAACTCACCTACAGGATACGAGGAAGTGAGAGAATCGATGTTATTATCGTCAATCGACTTGCCGGTGACATATGGAGTTGGTGGCGCTGGGAGCGAAACTGTGTCCTTCGTTTTCATCTTTGGTGACTGCGTTAAAACGGTGCCAGTGACATCCGTAAATTTCGCCATGGAGTAGTCGTCTAGTTTTACAGTGGGAAGGGAATGATTTTTAGATATGATAAAAGTCGGTTGAGGTTTTGTAGATTTAGAGGTCGGAACCACAATATGATCTCTTTCAATTGCAGTTCCAGAAATCGTACCAGATTTTGCTAATGAATTGACTGCTTCAAGCCTCAACTGCTCCTTATGATCGTGCACCGTTCTCGCATGTTGTAACTCTTTGATTTTTGCCTGCCTTAGTTCCATATCATGTTTCATTCTATCCAGTCGATTTACCAGTTCTTGGTCACCATAATATTTTTTCCATTGATCGTCTAATTCTTGACCTCGTTGCTCCTCGTCCAGTTGACGATAATCCCTAGAATTGTCGAATTTTGCATTACCTTCGAGACTGATGGCATCGCTATATTCGTCATTCATAATCATTGGATAAGCCTCATTCTCTTCTACTTCACTTCCACTAAGAACGGAAGGCTTTTCTTGGGGTGGAGGAGTCGGAAGCCTATCACCAGGACGAAGCCTAGTAGGTTTCAGGGAATGGCCAAACGTAAGATGCCCGGAATTGTTTTGATTTTGCAGAATATCTGGTGTATTGAGATTCTGAGATGCTGAGTGTGACTCATTTTTGACTTTCTCGTGGATTTTATTAAGAGCGTCAGGATCACTAAACTTGTAGGGAACTTGATTAGGCGGCTTATATGTTGAAGGACACCAATTGTTGCCACCTGCCAAAAGATTTTGCAGCGTAACATTCCGGCATGGTATCGGCTTCGGCGGATCCTGCTGCCCCTTCCCACCCCCTCCACCAGGCGCCGTGGTACCCGGTACAGTAGGGCCGTCACTTGAACTGTGATCGGAGGCTTGATTACCATTTTGACCACCGCCTAGGTCGTCGCCTTTTCCGGCTCCTCCACTACCATGTATACCAGTCCCCTGATCAGCAGTTGACCCAGCGCCTGAACCTGAAGCACTTGTAGTATGAGTAAGCACAGTGCCTTTAGGGATACCAGGCTCTGCACCTGGAGTAACACTGTCAGTTGAAGATGGACCCCCGACACCTGGCTGACCAGGGCCTCCAGGAAGAGGGGGGGCAGGCGGTGGAGGCTGTGGTTGTTGAGGTTGAACAGCTTGTATAACTGGGGAACCTGGCGTCGAAGAAGACACCGTGGACACTGGAACGGAAGAGTCGGCAACGTTTGGAGTTGGAACCTGAGAAGACGCCGTGGAACCTGAGCCAGGTGACCCTTGCTTACCTCCGTCACCAGTAGACCCTTGCGGGCCTGTAGCTCCATCCTTACCGGAAGCCTGAGTTGGAGCAGCAGAGTCTGCGACTGACGGACCTGGAACCTGAGGAGACGCCGGATCCACTGTACGTTTAGACCCTGGTAGACCTTGACTACCAGTAGGCCCTACCGGGTCTGGAACTCCTGGAGTACCAGGAGTCTGAGCAGAGTCTCCACTTGCCGAACCTGAAGACGTATCTCCACTTTGACTAATATCTTGATTTTGATTCCCCTCCGCTTTCTTCCCCTGGTTCTGTGCTCCCTCACTTTTCTTGCCCTGGTTCTGTGCTCCCTCACCCTTCTTGCCTTGGTTTGCAGTTGCATCAACTTTTGGTGGCAGAGGCTTTCTACATTTTCCTTGATACGTTCCGTCCAAAATTTCCTTAAGCCTTTCCAAACCTTTACCAGCGGCAAAAAACTCATTGATTCCATCGCGCCAATCCTTCATCACACTCTGCAAATCTCTGCTCGTCATTCGCCTGCGATCCTTTACAGTTAATGTGAATCCGTATGGGAAGAAATTATCGGTAAAATATTTGCCAAGGTTGCCCTTACTAGGCTTGTCGATGGCAGGGTCTTTTGTATCTATATCATTCAATTTGCCCCGCACTTTGGTTAGGTTCCCTCTCAACCAGTCCGCAGTTTTGGTTGCAAGCTCTGTCTTAAGGTTTTTGGTATCCGTCGACTGGCCCGTGAAGTCAAAGCGTTCATCATAGAAAAACTTATTAAATTGATTTCTAAGGTGAGCGCAATGTTCTTTTAGGTCTTGCCAACAGATGGAATATTGGGTTTTTATTATCCCATGGCCAGCTTCCAATTTTGGTTTTAATGTTTTACCCTTATCTTCTGTTTCAGCCGCAGCCACAATGTCGCAAAAGGTTCTCACCAGTGAGAGGGCGTTGGCGGTGCTCTCTTTACGATGGGCTGCGTCTCCAATGACGGAAATGACGAACACGCTCCGGTAGAAATTGTAATATTTTTTGCTCAAGATGTTTCCAAGATCAGTTGCCATATAAGAACCCTGGTAGTAGCCACTGTGAAACAATGTTGGGTTATATCTCACCTCGCCGGTATCGAAACCGCCGGGGAGTATGCCACCATATTTAGCATGATCCGTTGATCTGAGATAGGGCTGCAGTTCGCCGCCCCAACTGTTATCATACCCAGGATAATTCAACTGCCATCCCCCGCCGCCAAGTCTTGAGAATGTATTATTTACGCAATACTCCAAAAAATAGATTGCTGCGAGGAACTTGGGTAGGCATTCAAGTATAGCGTCCACAATCTCTTTCGGTTGTTTACTGCCATAACTCCCCGGCCTTGGGTAGTAGCATAATCTCTCATAAAACTTTGACACGTGGCCAAGGAAATCCGACAAGCCAATTTTGACGTTGTCTAGGTTGAAATGTGTAGCACCCTCTTGAAAATATTTACTGATACGATCATGTAGATTTCGGGCCACCTGGGTTTGCACATCTGTCCTACTATTCAACCAGAATAGGAACTCAAAGCAGTCCTTGAGGGTGCCAAGCGGAATGTCATGCTTCGCCATCTTGCTTACGAAGGCAAAGAGCACAGAGACACTAATAAATGGGCACTAGGCTATGCTCACAAAAGTACACGTGAAATCAATCTAAATGGGTAAACTGCAAAAGAGGAAAGCGATCAAACGTCTGAGGTGACGCCGCTTACGTAGACATAGTAGCCAAACCGCTAAGTGGGCTGAGTGAACAGGCTACAAAGGGAGACTCTAAGTGACAACTAAGTGCGACATACCAACAAAATAAAAAATTCGGGATCGCAGGCTGAAACACGCCTGCGCCGCCCCCTAAACTACATTCAAAACATGTGGATACTAAATAGTGCGCTCACCTGAGGGGAAGGAAGGCAACGAACCCATGGATCCGCAAATGCCAGATGCCGGCTGGAATGGTAGGCTGCCTCACGGTAGGATGGCGGCAAACTTCACAGATATCACTGGTGCCAGACAGGACGCCTACCCTAATTCCGCATTGCAACGCCGCCATGCCGTCTCCCCCTCAGCGTTACGCGACCAACCTGGCAGCCGCCATCCTACGCACGGCCAGGGATACAGCAGCCGCGCGCCTCGCACATCCGTATCGCCCCATCAAGCCATTCATTAAATTACAAACCTTACCCCACACTTCGCTGCGCAAATGTTTTAAGTTTTGCTTTAATTGACTCACAATGTTAGTGGTTTGGAACTGTGCATCACTGAATAATATTGCCATGGCTACAGGATCGCCTGCCATACCCTTTTCACTCACCTTATAGCAGCGTGGTGCCATGATATCGATGACACCCCATTCCTCAGCCTGAGCACCAAACTCTCTCAATCGACACCTAATCACGAGTGCACCAGGTTTTTACTATATCGTCTGCATGTCAACACTTAACTACTTAATCCGATGTAAGGTCTCACATCCCGACCGTTACGCGGTAGGACTTCGTATCGAACTACGTGTGGCCCGACGATGTTCCACCGCTTCTAGGATACCCTCCATGTCCGGCGTATTCATTACTTTCCTGGTTTCCAAAATATCACGATGAGGCGTTTTGAGGTTTTGTGGTTACTCATCCCATGCAGCTGTAAGTTAGGTGGATGATTCCGGTGACACTCCAAAAAACTCGCCCCTAAAATACCTATATAATTCATTGTGGCATTGAGAAGCACATAATACACTACGTTGCGAATATATAAGGAGCAGATGAAGTATTGCTTGCTTCCATTCCTACAGGTTATACAACCTCGTCATCACGTGCCACCGTAGTCCCTCATTAACACTGGTGGTGTCGGTGAGGTCCACTTTAAGCTACCAGGCAGTATTAATTGGTACGTAGTAAGGACATTGCCCATATTTTAACTATAGGGTCAGTCGACAAATGACGACAACGCATCTTTTTCATATCGGCGGTACTAAAAGCAACCCAAGGATTTGGTGGGACGTAACTACATCTGACGCCGAGAACTTGGCGGATTGCTCTTCCCAGAGCTTTTATAACACTCTGCTAAGTTGATAAATTATCAACCTAATTACCACATTCGAGTCAACAGCGATGCTGCTACTCGTGTACAGTAATTAACAGAAAAACGAGATGAATAAATTAACATCATCAATCTCCTCTAAAGTTACAACATCTCAGCTCCTCATTCCTTGGAATAATAGTTTTCAATCTGGATGGTGGAGAGGACCACACCCTTGGTGGTGACGCAGCGGCACTCCAATGGCGGTGCAGAAGGTTAAGGAACAAGTTCATACACTGATCACTAAAACGTTCAGGGATGTGTAAATGGACAGAAAGCTCAAGAGGGATTTGAAGGGTGTGAGAGATAATATTAAAAGTGGGATAAAAGATGTGATTGGGAGGTTGGAAGTTGAGAAACTCGATGAGAAAGTGATGAAGGATTTGGGGAAGTTGAAGAGCAGAATTGAGGGGCTTGCAAGTGAGGTTAATGGTGGTACGGACAGTAATGGTAAAATTATAAGTAAGGAGTTGGCAGAACTTAAAAGGCATAAGGGAACGCTTGATGAGGAACATGTTAACAAAATTAAGAGTGCGGAAAGTGAGCTTGCCGGTAAGTTTAAGAATAATATCCAAGATCCGCTTGGCACTGCGGTCGGTGCAGTTGGCACGGCGATTGGGGAGCTTGGCGGGACGTTTGAGAATGGCAAACTGGAAACTATTGCAAGGATTTTCGAACATATTAAAGGGGAGGTTGGGAAGATTAAGGGGACACCGGGGAGGAACCCCAATGGTAACGATGGTACAGGACTAGAAGGTGTTGTTCAGAGAGTAAAAGGGCTTGCTAGGGCATTTGTTAACCCTGCCGGAAAAGGTTTTGAGGCCAGAGTGGTCGGATGGCTACAGAACAGTATTCTGGGGAATGGTAAGCAGTCATGGGAAAGAGAATATAAGCCCGGGATGCAAGCCGTGAATACATGGCTTGAGCCGTATCAGAAGGCGGCTAAGGGGGGCGGGCATAATGAACAAGCATTGAAAGATCAAGTTATAAATAATATTAAGAGTGCGCTTGGAACCCAAATTACCGCAGCTCAGCGGATGATTATGTCAGTGCAGAATGGCATCACAGTTAATCTCACTGCTATCGTCACCGCTTGCAACACATTCGTCGAAGAGCTCGATAAGAAGATCACGAAGGGCGCAATTGATCAGCTTGCCAATCCCGTAGCCGGGCAGATTCAGAATTGGATGCAAGGGCAGGGTCTTTGGAATCGTGTGACTGACGCTGATCTCAAGTGTGCCGTCCGCTACACTCTCCTTGCACTCTGCGCCGGTGTGAAGCAGGTGGCTACGGAGATAAAGTCATTAGGTACAGACAAATTTGGGGAAATCTTGGACACTATAAAGCCGATTGTAGATAAGCTTCACAATAATCTAGACCTGGCGACTCAAACATCCGCCACCTCCACAGAAAGCCCCGCCCAAGCCGTGGACGGTAAGTTGGAGGACGTGAAGAGCAAGGTTGCTGGACTTGAAGAGGACTTCAGGGGGAACGTCACAAGAGTGCTTAGAGATACAGCCGGCTAAGTTGAAGGTGAAGTCCCCAGATTTAACGACGCCGCTGTGAGAGAAATCAAGGAAGCTGCAAATCAATGATGAAGGGAAAGCGACAGATGCAATACGTAGATCACAAGGTAAATGTGGATGTTGTTAACAATATACGTGATACTAAGAATTCAAGAGTTCTATAAGGACTTGTGACAGTGGAGATCACGATTATTCTATCCATGGTAGCAGTTAGTCTAATTGCGGTGCTACAATCTCAGGTCACCGCAAAACTGCATGGCGTGACAATGACGTATTAGAAGACAGTTCTGAGGAGGGTTGTCCAACGCGTGGCATGGACGGTGATCAGTCATTCACCAGATAAGGCACAAATCAGCATGCAGCGTGACATACAAACAACGCCTGTCACCTATACTAAGATAAACACGTGTTACGTCAAACAAGAACACACCAAACGGCGTCACGAAAGATATTAAAGAGATGTCCATAAATGCTCTAGTCATTAGATAGCGCCACCAGTATCGCGGATTAAGAGTGTATACCAAGAGACGGCTTTAAAAACATTTCATGTAATAAAAACGTCTCGTGAGAGTTAGTGACGTCGACCCACTGGGAACCCTGGGTCCAATTTTTTTTTTGCGGCTCACATGTGCCACCCACTCAGTAGAAAGCCCAGAAGCCACAGAGATCGTAGAGCATGGTAAATAATTCCCGATCCACATCTGTCAGAGCCCACGATATATCTGAACTGCCTAAGGTGGCACGACACTCCGGCTCCTCGTAACCCACTGCTTTCATTACATCTCTCAAGGCCTTCTCTGCGTCAGACCCTGGCCCATTTCGAATGGCAACTTTCGTAGAGGACCACAAAGCATGTAGGCCTCCGTATAACATAGGCGCAATCCCCACGAGGACCACGGCGCACGCTTCCGGATCTTCCGTGCACGATGCCTCCCACGTAGCTTCCGAACTGTACGCAGAGTCATACGAGTCGGGGTTCTTGGTAGTTTTCACGAACGTCTCACAAGCACCTACAACCTTACCTATGATCCACGCGATGCCTTTAGCATCGGCACATCTGTACTGCATCATGTTTTTTAAATCAGCTACGTTGGTGTTACAAAATAATCTACGCAAGTTGAAGAAATTCTTCCCCAAACGCTCTTTGAACCTAACCAACATTTTCCTTACGAATGAGCTATCTCTAAGCTCCTTTTGCTCCAGGAACTGCTTAGTGATAAGTTTAACATTCTCAAGAGCCGGCAACTTAGTATATCCAACAGGCTTGTCTGCGAGAAAGTCGTATACTGCCGCGCCCATAGCCTTCAAGTTGTTTTCAGCGTCAGCTCCCTTCAAGGCTACCAACCAGTCGATGCCCTCCTTGAGGTTGCGAGGAACCTCAGTCAACGAATTGAAAACCATTTTGCAATGATTGAGCAGATCAGACGACTTCTATACACGTATGAACTGTTTGATCTATTTATGCGACAGTTTGCTAGCAGCAGTCTCCTTATCGCGGATAAGTACAATTGGTGTTGACACCTAATAAATTCGCATTTGATATAGATCTAGTATGTTGTGGATTCGCCAAACACACGTGCGATAAAGGCGTGGACTCTAACATACAACCCGCATCGCTTGTTAAATCTTCAAACGTCGATGTTTTTCGCTGCAAATCTAATGATATTGCAACTTCCGTATGTATCATGCCTGCGTTAACCTCGCACACGTCAATGACATGCGTTGTGGATTCTGCATGCCACGTTCATAGTATGAAACAGGCAGCGGTGAAGCAACCGGGTCTTCATCGCACCTTTATCGTACCCACAAGTGGTGCATCCACATATTTGTAGGCTTCAATTGGGTGCGTCTTTATAGGGGCTCAACGATGCTTGTGCTCTTCCGTGATCGAGACAGCAGGTGTTCACGTTGCTATTTGCAAAGCGCCCTGCCATTACACGCAAAATCCACACCTTTGTCAGTCGCTAATTAATAACCAATCTCTACAAAATGGTGTACAATTCGTTGACTGAGGCTCCTCGCAACCTCAAGGAGGGCATTGACTGGTTGATGGCACTGAGGGGAACTGACGCTGTAAAAAACTCTAGGTCGATGGGTGCCGCACTTTACAATTTCTTCTCAGACAAGCTGGTTGGATTCAAGGAGGTGCCAGCTCTCGAGGAAGTCAAAGTTATTACTAAGAAGTTCCTGGAGAAGCCGGAACTTAAGGACCGGTCATACGTAAAGGGGATGCTGAAACGATACAACGGACTTATGGATAAAAACCCGAAAAAGATCGGCGATGTAATAAAAGGTGTCGAGGAGAGCGATTACAAGAACGTCGTAAAGGCCCGGGGCGTCAAACCTGAAGATATCACAAAGAGCGTAAGCGAAGTTGTTCATGGGTGTGAGAAGTTCTTGAAACATATCAAAGCCCCCGACCAGTATAAGTCTGCTTACAGCTCAGAAGCTTCGTGGGAGACATCATGCGCAAAGGACCCGGAAGCCTGCGCAGTTGTCCTCGTGGGGATTGCGCCGATGCTGTACACAGGCATATTATCTTTGTGGGATGCCAGCAATCCTCCAGTCTTTGGATGTAGAACCCCTGGGGCGGCTGAGCGGTTGAGAAAGGTATTAAAAGCCGTTGGTTACGCAGAGCCGGAGTCCCGTAATAGTCTGAGTCGTGATAGGGTCCGCAAGGCATTGAGCAATATGCATAAAAATGTGTTGGACACAATCTACGACTTCGCCGCATATTGGGCTTTCTATTGAGTGAAAATCACTGGCTAGCTGTAAGAAGAGCTAAGCACAAAAAGATTCTCTTCGCGGCCCCACAGTGGATTGCTGTCAACGAATTCTCACGAAACATATACGACTGTATAAATCTAATTATCGCAAAAGTTGTGGATACAATTTCCATCGACTGCACCGGTACTGTCATATAACTCCGAAGACAGTTCTCAATGTCTCCCAAATCGCATTCAGGACGCAAGATGGCGAAACCCTTTATTGCGTAAGACGCTTCGATGTTCGTATACCCGAAAGGCATTATATGGAGAACTTCAGTTTTGTAATCACGTATGACGTTACGTGACGCCCTATCAGCTCTGTGGCTATCAGTATCGCTCGGCGCAGCTTGGTAGCATGGCAGTTACGGGAGCTCAGAACACCTCTCTACTACAAGGCGTGTTAATATTTGTAGATGGTATCAGTCCAGATGTCAGCCTTTGATCTTAGTTACTCCTCTGCACACACACGCTATTATTTCGCCCAAAATACGTAGGCGCTGTTTGTTGGTGTGGGTAGCGGTTTGTGAGCTCCCCCATGCATTCATCACTCCCGGACAGCGCATCTACGCCGATTAACTGATTCATAAACATTTCATCGACATCGCATTCCGCTTGTTGGAATAATCACATGAATTAGATACAAAAGGAATATACACGGAGGGATCACCTGCCCTATCCACCGCATTACGGCACCGGGTGTGACGTTTTAAGGCAGTTGTGCCAGGAAAGAAGTATCTGATGAACCCACATTACGGAATACGCCCCCATACGCTAATGGCACAACAGGCGAAACTCGTTGAAAGCTATCGTGCTGTGCGGATCTATAAGAGCAAAAATTTGGCTATGTAACACATTGGGGGCAATAAAGCGCGACCAACGAGAGTTATCTCGCGATGAACGGCCTCTTCGCTATACGGTTATGGAGATACAAAGGGACGGAGATCAAGCGGTTGTGCCATAAAGCTACGACAACATCGCGCCGTGGGTGTGCTCGCTGACAGCAGGACATAAGACAGCACGCGACTTAGACAAAACAAAATGGGCTATAAACATAAATCCCGGGTCGCAAATGTGCTACTAGACACTCAAAATGAACCAGTACAGGACGACACCTTACACAGCTGTTGACCGCGCCAAGTGCTATACGCCCTTACACGCAGCCGCGCAATTACACAAAAATAAGCAGTAGTAATACGTAAACGTGAAAAAAGACGAACACTGGTCATGGCAAAAACTGCCGGCGGACTGGGGACGGACGCCCACAGAGGCGGCTTGATGCCTCCGAGTGCACATCCCGACTCGCCCTAAAGGTACGGGCTGCAACGGCAGAAACATACACATCGGCCCTAATTACTAGGCAACGGAAAAACAATAGCCGGGGAGATAATGTTAAAGGGTCGGATCGATCTAGAAAAATATTGACATAGCATCTGATCGGCCGACGGCAAGACGCCTGTGGATTAAGCGAATTACCGCCGCCGAATGCTCAAACTGAACTTAAGCGGCAAAACAAGCACTCGTTGACGGCCTGCGAGGAGATCCCAACATCACCTAAGCTCGCCCAACACCCTATCTCAAATGCAGTACCGCGCTGAAGCGTATCCGTTCAAGACGGTGGCTCCGCCACCAATGGCTGCAGGGCGTGCCACCATGCCCCCAAGGAATGGGACGGGAACCGTGTTCCGCAGGCAAAACACAATGTCACGCAGCATGGAGCTGCCGCAAAATACGTTGCGGTCGCCATTCAAGCCCGACCCTGGAAGCAGGGCACCCATGATGATGCCGAGATGCTCGACTGCAAGCATCTTTAATGGCGCACCGACCGTTAAACCAAGTCCTATAATGCCTCCGAGGACATTAAAACCTCAGACAAAGTTGATGGCTGGGAACGGAATGAGGACGACGGTGTTGCCTCAGCCACGCCTGCGTAGCAGCTCATTAACAAGAAGTACGATTATCCCTGACAGATCGCCTGCAGCAATGCCACGTCAAGGAACTGGGATGTCACGTAAAAATTTTACACCAAGCTCATACGTGACTGAAGTATTTCCCACGTACAATGCGGCACAAAGATCATACCCTCCCTCTAGAGCCCCGACAACACCGGCGCAGTATCGCTCAAGAGCCAATTCATCGACTGTTATCCATCAAGGACAACGTGCCCCGCATGGCAATGGGGTTCACATTGCGTTCAAGGGCAGAAACCAAATGAAGGCTTCTTCAGCTCAGCGGGTAAGTAGACAGTTGACTTATAATCAAACTATCGCAGAGCCAGTCAGTATTTAAGGAAGTGGTAGAAAAGATTAAGGAACACACCGCCGCGCTTCCAACCATCGACGCGAAGGATGCTGCGCAGTTAGTAGGGGGGTTCGTCTCCGGCACGCTCAGCGTGCTTGCCCACATCGTCGGCGATATTCGCGGCGACATCATCAACGGCCTGTTTAAGCCGGAGGACCCCACATATGACGCTGCAAAGGCGTACTATTACGCTGGAAACAACCACCCTACCATTCCAACCGGGATGACCCAGCGCATTGACTACATTGAGGAAATCGACAAGTGCACCCAGATGAGGGCAGGCAACATGCGTGGTGGAAGACGGAATTCAAACGCACAGAGGCCTGTGCAGCCTATGCATTCTTACCATGAGCAAAGGCCAGAGCCCGTGCGTATGCATCACCCACGGCCCAGCACGTTCGGACATGATCCCCACATGTTCTCGGGAATGTCAGAGCGATCGCTAGAGGAATTTTTGCTCAACGACTCATACTTGGACTCTGCGCCACCATCGATGCCTAGATGAACCCATATATGAGCCAGCTGAATGGCAATGAGGGATTGGCACTTCCTATAATCGACGTACTAAGCGAAAAATTGCTAGGAGCCTGGAAGGCCATGCCTAACCTTTAAAATTTGAAGAATCACATACAATTTCGTCTATGCATAAGTAGCCACCATGTGCAGTGAGATATCGTTGCGGGCTACCTTCTGCCTGATACTGCACGCTCCGTTATGCTATGGGCCAGAGTATTGTGGAGTGTGAGCTACCGTGCTATGATCAAAGCGTACAGAAGCACGCCTGTTTTGGGTGTACACGGTGCCATTACGTGCGTCAAAAATAATCAGCTCTTGTTTATACTTCCACGTGTTCAGCATGTGATAGCGTCTGGATTCGCTATTGGTGAACGCACATGGCACAGTAAAACCATTTGGTTGCAACCAACAGACACATATTAAGCCAAGCATAAACACCAATTTGTCTCTTTGCAAGATTTGTACACAGAGCACCGTTGCTCATAGGTTTCTACGCATGAGCAGCTCATTGAACTACACGTGTCTAGAGAATTAACGATTTCAACAGGAGATACAACAGGGCAGAAGCATTAAACACGTAATCGCACGAATTACTTAGTTATCAATGCCAAAATAAGCCGCGAAAACGGCCTAACGATGGCCTTGGAAACCAACATTACATCTTCTTAAGGGGAGCACGGCATTGAGGGCCGGATGGTATCCTAACTTAAAGCAACTGCATACCAAATGTACTACACATAACCCCTTTAAGACAAATGGAGAGCAGACATGACACCGAATATGTCGCATCGTTAGGAATCGCAGCGACAACGTTACGTTACTGTGGAGAGGCGCGCCTTACACACCCAAGCTGTGTCGGACATTACAAACACAGCATGCTATAACAGCAGCACAGCTACAATTGCGGCGGCGTAACTCGATCATCGGTCCGCCATGTCTTCGCAAAAAGACGACCCTGCCTCGAGGCTGAAGGCGCTCGAGCGCATGGGAGTCGTCAAGGACTACAGCAGGGTGTACCGTTCCACTGTGCTGGTCGTCGGAGTCGGCGGAGTAGGCGCCGTTGTTGCTGAAATGCTGACGCGGTGCGGAGTTGGCAAGCTAATCCTGTTCGACTACGACGACGTGGAGCTGGCAAACATGAATAGGCTCTTCTACACCCCCAACCAGGTTGGAATGTCCAAAGTTGAGGTAACGTTTTGATAACACTGATGTGACACAATGTCTTCCAGGCTGCAAAGCAGACACTGAACGCCATCAACCCGCAAGTGCAAGTTGACGCCGTCCATGCAAACATCTGCAAGGACTATGCAGCCTTCTATGAGCGGATATGCCACGGTGCTCTAGGCGGTGGACAGGTCGACCTCGTGCTGTCATGTGTCGACAATTACGCTGCGAGGGTCACGATCAACAAGGCATGCTGCCAGGCTAACCAGATTTGGATGAATTCGGGTGTGGCCGAAAATGCAACAAGCGGGCAAATACAGACGTGCATACCTGGAATGACCGGATGCTTCCTGTGCGCACCGCCGTACATTGTGGCTGTCAAGGGTGACGAAAGCACCATCAAGAGGCCAGATGTGTGCACGGCCAGCCTGCCCACAACCATGGGAGTGGTAGCCGGGCTGCTGGCGCACAACGCGCTCAAACACATTCTCCAGTTCGGGAACGTCACGAAATTGCTCACGTACAACTCCTTGCAGGACTACTTCCCATCGTACTCAATCGGTTGCAACCCTGAATGCAACGAGAACTACTGTCTGCAGAGGCAAGAGGAGAAACGAGCAGAACGCGAAAAGGCTCTGGAGGAGGAAAGAGCAGCGGCGGAAGCAACGTCTAGCGCATATGAACCGGTGGAACATGAGAGCAACGAGTACGAAATCACGGTAGTCTCGGAGGACGAGCTGGATGATGAGAAGGCAACTGAAACGGCTGTCGCAGCAGCCAAACCAAGTCAGGCGCCCGCAGAAAAGCTGTCGCTCAAGGAACTCAGAGAGCGTCTTCGAAACGTATCTACAAGCGGCTAAGACCGTTGTACAGGTTGTAAAAACGGTGTCGAACGCCTCCGCCTCTTTTACACTCGAGTGAAGATCGGCACCGAAATGGCTTGCTGGCCATGAATGTGCTGTATAATCATACACATACAATGTACGCACCCAACGGTTTCTCATAACAGTAAATGTGTATGATAGCCGATACGTTTTGCGGAACTTTGGGTGTGGTCCCGTAGTCACCAGGGCCACAAGTATACGATTCCTCCACCACGAAACACCATCGGCGTAACACATTAGCGGGTGATGTGCCTGGGAATTGTGGTATTCATTAAATTTAGAATATAGCCAATCACAAGGGGCATATCGTGGCCTGCAGAAGGAGGATGTGTAGACACTGAACTGGCGCAAGCGAGGGTAACGCCAGTTTATAAGGCCTCAAGATCCCCCAACGGTTAAAGTGGCCTGTGCTGTAATCAGAGGAGGACTTACGCGTCCGGTAAAACTACGTTAACTGCCGCACATCGCAACAGGAAGTCGTTGAATCCCGCTAATCTCAACTGTCTGAAACACAATGCAGGGCGCTTTTGCCTTATATGCATTTGTCACGGCGGCAATCTCGCCGGCGCTCAAGTGGTTCTCGTTTCTGAGCTGGAAGCCTGTCGAGTACAAGAACATGGAGGCAGCGATCTACTCCACAACCGACAAATACGTCCCGAACGAAATGTGAGCCAATGCGCCGCAACGACATATAACCTTACCACAGGGACGTAGACAGGTGCATTTCCAATGGATGGTGGGACCTAGCCAAGAAGATCGTGCTCCTCTCGCACGAGGAAGGTCGGTCATAGCCGGAGGATAACAAACACGTGCAGGCGTCGACCTCTCGTACCGCGTCAGACAAAGCGTAGAAACGGTCCAGAAGCGGTCCAACGAGCTGCTCCAGCTGTTGAACAAACACTACGACGAAGTGGATATCGTCAAGGTCGCCTTCCAGTGGGCGGAGTCACCGCATGAGGTGTTCCTGGCGGTGAAGTTTTCCAACAGGTGGACCAGCCCAGGTGAGGCAAAATGTAACCAGCACGAACCTTACACAACTGTAGGGGCGCTAGTAGTGTCTGACGAGTCGCTGGTGATACAGGGAAACACGCTCAAGTATTCCAGCATGGGCACCCAATCTGACAAAATGAAGAAGTACATCTTGGAGCTGGAGCTCTACGACGATGTTGTGAAAAGCGAGACCAGGGTGTCTCCAGTTTCAATGGGGCGATTCACCATCACGCTGAAAAAGGCGCGCCCGGCAGTCTGGAACACGCTCACCAAGGGCAACGAAAAGATACCCAACCAACAGATATGGTGGGACATGAAGGACAAGCACCAGATTGCATGCGACACCTTCGTAGAAGAAAATCCCGAGGAGAAATCGGAACTTTAATGATATTACACCGTTTGTCACCCACTATAGCTGCGTACCTGGCGTGCTGAGCGCCCTGTTAACAACACGCATCAGGCATAGTGGGGCTCAAGACACCCCCGAAATTTGGTCCCTTATGTGCTCAATTACACGCCCTAAATCGCCAGCATCTAGGTTCACCTGCAACATAGTGAACAAAGTTCCATTCGCATCAATTACCTTGGTCTTGTCGGCAAGGCGGTGCACCTGGTATGACATACCACTGGCACTCACGTCTGGATGGACGAATATTGAGGCCCCAACTCGATCGGCAAAATCCAACCCCTTATTCCACTTGCTGGACTTGTAGTAGTGGTACACCCTTAGGCCGCTCTGGCGTAGTCCGGCAATCACGTCATGCACGCGCTGCAAATCGCTGCCGCTTGACGTAGCCTGCCCGGCACCGGGAGGGGAGGTGAATACAACCACGTCAGCAAGGCTCCATGGCGAGAAATAACCTCTGCTACACATGAGAGGAATGTGGAAGGATAGACCCACCGAGAACGTAGTAGCTCTGCAATGGCCACATTGCCCATGCCGAAACCCACGGCATGCGACAGTTGTCGTTCATCTCCACGCAGATCTGGCAAGCAATTGTCGTAACGACCGCCTCCGGCCAGTGCACGGCTCTGAGGTTGAGAGCGGTCGAAGCACTCGAACGCGGTCCCCGTGTAATAGTCGCTCCCGCGCACAATACTCGGGTCAAACGTAATCCAATCGGCACAATTGGCACGCTCTAACCCTTCTACTATGCTTCTGCACACTACATGAGGCCAACAGTGGCGCTGAATACTCACCGTAACACTTTGACAAATGCTGCATCGGCGGGGAATACCTCCTCTATGCTAGACAGGGTACGGCAATTGGCAATGAGGCCAAGCAGCGCCGCAGTTTCTGCCGTAGTGAACCCCAACAATGACAGCATATTTTCAAACTCCGATTGCGATACCTTGCGATATTTGTCCAGCACCTTGCGGAACTCGTGCAGCCACTGGCTATCCGACGAATGCTTTCCCAGAACGTCCAGCATAGCCGGTACAATGTCGCGGTGGCTCAGGTGTATAGCCACGTCCTTGCTCGTCAGACCAACCTGCCGCATCGTTAGAGACCGTGTGACCCGAGTCCAAACGCACCTTGCGGAAGAATGTAATGAGCATTGTCAAAAGCTCGATCTCAGCCTCTGGACCAGCTACCCCGACAATATCGCATGTCCACTGCAGGTGGTTACGACGTCGGCAGTGGCCCGGTCGCTCGTATCGCCAGCAGTCGGCGAGGGTGAACCACTTCGACAGTTGGCTGGGGGCAACAGCACCGCACGGCGAATCAACGCCTGAAGCTTCCCCCTCGTCTCGCAACATCGCCATGAACTGCGGAGTAACGTCACCCCGCAGCGCCAGCCGCCGTCCCTTACGGTCGGTGAACTCGTAGAGCTCGTTGCGATGCTCGTCGGTGGTGACTCCGCCGGCAGCGCCGGTGAACAGCTCGGAATGCGCAAGCACTCCCAACGAATATTCCGCGAATCCAAAAGCCTTAGACAACGACAGCCACTGAAAAAGAGTCAAGAGATGACATATACAATACGTAGCTCATGCAACGCTGCTTACCTCGTCCTGAAGTTGCCGCTGCTCCTGTTGCTCCCTCGGCAGGAAGCACTGACCGCCACGTACAGTGTAGAGCGCGACCTTACCAGCCGAATTAGCACCCACAGCGTGGGTCATACGCGCCGTAATGGCGCCATTGTGGACAAAGGGATTCCCCGGAGCCACGAAGGCGCCGAAGTCGCGCGAACGCCGGAGGCATCTGCACCAAGCGACAACTATCCACCCAAGCGAGAGCCACGCAAACATTGAATGTGCCAGGCTACGCGAAACGCATGGAAGGCAGCTGCCACGGTGCAACCGTGACGGAATCGCCACCGGGCCGCGTAGACACAGCGCGCTCAGCGCAAAAGATCAGCACCCGACCGGGAAGATGCTACACATCGATGGAATACTACCGAAAATCGTAACTCGTCGACCGGGACAGCGGCCCCGGCCGCAACAACCGCGCCGCACGAAGACAAGGCTACACACCTACATGCATTGAAAATTGAAATAGATGTTACATGTGGCACTAGTCTGCGCGAGTCCGGTTGATGGAACGATTCTTGGCTTCTAGAAGCAGCTTCAGCAGCTGGACCTCGTCAAGGACCGTCTGCTGCAGCGGCTTCGACTTCTCGCACTGCATCTGGCTCTTGATGCGCATCAACATGGAGAGGCTCTTGGAGGCCTCATCCGGGCCGGAGCTGGCACTGCCAGCACCGCCTCGGCCGTTGTAGGGCATGCGCTTGCCCGAGAACATAGCGGCGTAGTCGCCTCCCGGGAACTCACGCGGTACGGGCGGCGGGTTCACATTCTCGTAAGACACGGGATGGGGAGGAGGCCGGAATTGGGAGAGCGAAAACACGTGCCGAAAAGCGTCCATAAGATCCACAGTTGGGTCGTTCTTGTCTCCGTAGTCGTTGGAGAACAGAGACCCGCGGTACGACCTGCCGCGGCCACCGCGCGGCGGCATCACCGAACCCGGCGGCTTTGAAAGACCGTTGGTGTTGAGCAGCGAGTGCCACACTGAGTGGTCCCTGGGACCTTCAGCGGCGACTGGCACGCTAACGCCGTCCTGAGACAGTGACGGCCCGGAGCTGGCCTTGCCATCCCTGAAAAATACATCGGTGTCCAACAGCGAGCGCACCCCATATCCCTCACTCGATCGTCTCGGCAGGTCATCCTTGGGCAGAATTTTGGGGCGGTACACAGCCTTGCGCTGCGAGCTCTGGCGCACGTTGGGGCGGACGAACTCCCATTCGGAACGCGGGTAGTCCATCCAACAGACGCCGTAGCACTCGTCGAACTTCTGACTCTCCAAAAGGTCACCCTCATGGCTGAAAATCTTCAAAAAGTTGTCCACTTTCATGCGCGGGAAGGTAGATGCAGCCATGAAATAACGGGAGTCGGAGGACCACTCGGACAGGACGGTGCATGGTTCCTTCAGGTGCACAATCTGCTCGTAGTCACGGGCGTCCTTGCGGTACCAGAAGCAAATCTCGCCAGCCAGGTTACCAAATCCACACAGCGCAACCATGTTCCCCAGGGGGTTCCACTTGATCGTGTTTCTGTAGGACTTGGGGAACGTGAACAACCGCACGCAGTCGGAGTTGTACAGCGTGATGTCGCACGGCATGTTGCCCTCCATCAGGATGAATTCGTCACGCGTAGGGCACCAACGTGCGTCGTGGGTGGTCTGAATGTTCACCCGACACACGAACTCACCTGACGCACGGAACAAGAAGCAGTTTGAGGTTGAACCGTACTTCTCACCCGCCAAATCCACAATTGACTGACCGAGCACCAACAGAGAACGCCCAGAGGGTGACCAGAACATGTCGGCGGAGTCCTCGGTTTTCAACTCGTGGTCAACGGTACAGAGCTGCGTCAGCTCATCATTCACGCACCGCATGGTGGTGATGCGCAAGTTGCCAGCAATCTGGGTGCTAACATCCGCCTTGGTGTAAGCTGCCAGAGATATAATGCTGTTTCTGGCATCCGCCCGAATGCGGGCAAGTGTTTTGCCCTCTAATGCCGCGCTGGAGCGGGGGGACGTGACACTGATCCCCTTGGCACCGGCTGGGCCAGTGTTGGAGTCGGGTACCGATCCCAACAAATCCCCCGGTGCAACTGACGATGCATCATCACGATCCGAACTCCCAGCCAGGCTGCCAACAGTTGTTGCATCAGTTCCACTACGTTCACCTAGAGACAGCCCACCGGTGTGATTCGCCTTACCTCCCGGGAACACGTCGCCTCTCTTCTCATGTCCAGCAACCCCACCAATGCGCTCGTCGTAAAAGTAAGGGGTGCACTGTGGTGAAAAAACTTCCACAGAAAACACGCGTGGGATTGGGATGGAGTGCATCAGACGGGTACTCTTCAACGGAGTGTTCTCGGAAGACGTGATTGAATAAAGCGACACCTGTTGGCCGTAGCAGAACGCAAACATGTCGCTGTGGCCCACCCACTTGATTATAGGCCACTGATCGGGGGACAAGCGGCGCGTGCTGAAGCTGCCCACGATGGATTTCTGAGAAATGTCCCAGATGTGTAAGTTATCCTCCAGGAACAGACCGGTCTCCCTGGAGCAATTGATCAGGTTGAAGTAGATCACCAGGTAGACGCCATTGTTGGACCACTGCAGGTGTTTGATGTTTTTGCACCCGATGGGGGTGTACAGGTTGCGGTACTTGCCCACGCCACGAAGCGTGTCAAATGAAAAATCAGATGGGGTGTTGCCTTTCACGTGCAAAATTGAAAGACCCAAGCGATCATCCACAATGGCTACGTTGTTGTTCGGCGAACGCGCATAGTGCCGCGCGAAACGGTTCAACGACCACACCGTGACACTGGAGTACGGCGTGGCGCTGTCCGACCGAGCGCTTTCATTGGCATCTGCCGAATAATCAGTGGGGGTCTCCGTGCGACGGCCTGGAGCGCAACTGTTGACGAACAGGCCATTTTTCCCATGCACGAGGAACATGTTCGTCTCCCTTGGCCTCGCAGCCATCGTCGCTTCGCTGCTTCGATCGAATAAAGCAAACACCTCACGCTGAACTAAATGCACCAACCAATTCAAACCTAGTAAACGGGATAATAAGTGAATCAATGCTAGCACAGCAACAAACAGTAGCCTCCACAGAAAGTTTAAAATTAATCCGAACAACTGATACTTCTACGTTGCAATTCCTTTTCACACGCTGCATTCAATGAGCCTAAAAGCCCCGCTTGCGCTTAAAGCACGCACGGGGTCGTGCGCCAGGCACGGTGATATCCCAGAGTCGCGCACAGAACTCAACGACCGAAGGGTATAGACAAAGACGAAGAATCCGAATGACAGACAACCGCTAACAACCTACAACAGCGATACACCACAGTGTCGTTACCAGCTTAGCTTAGTATAACGTCGGATGAAGCCAACCAACCACCTAGCGCACGCGCAGCCGAATCCCAGACAGCCTAACGGAATCCAAACAAATGCGCCCGAATAATGCTCGTAATTCAACCTTTCACTACGCTTGATGATTTTACTACCTGGAGGAGTTAGAAGGACCGATTTTGGCACGCCGCAACACAGAAGCGGCTGAGATTCCAAATGTATGAAGCACGAACCGAGCGGCTACACCTTGAAGCACGCTATAAAAGCGCGCAAAACGCTCCGACAGAACGCCTCGCGAAAATAAGAATGTTACAAGATGGCAAAGCAATGTCCCAACAAGCTTTGAAAAATGGAGCAGCGACAGGCGCAGCTATAATTAAAACTGATGTCACCAGTATACACTATTCAACGGTCAGGGTTAGCTATCCCAAACTGACTAGCGCGACGGAGAGCCGGACGAGCGCAGAGCACCAGATGACCCAATATACGGTCACACAAACACGTTGAAAATAGACAGAAAACTCTCAAATTTTGCCAGCTCAAAAAACTTCTGGCGAACTGACAATGTATGACACGAAACGCAACAGGGTTTGCCGTGGACAGACGCGCCGGAACGCCAAACGTGGACAACGAAGGCACGCGCAGCGTACGTTATGAAGGGGAGAGCCCCAGGATAGAATCGCCAAGCTCGGGCAGTCAGATATAGCAGTACCTTTGTACGGTGGTTATAATCCATAATTAAAACTTGTTAGACGCCTTGGAGGCCTTCATCTCGGCCGACAACTAGGGCGTACCGCGGTCACCTACGCCGGCACACACCTTCGTTAATGTTGCACGGCGCACACTTTGAACCTGGGTCGCTATCGGCATCCGCACATGGCTTAAAGGCCTCTGGAATGGCCGGAGGCCGTGTCTGTGGCTATTGCTGCGCTCTTTGCGACACAGCGCATAGGCGCAGACACTTCAACACACCGCGTGACATTAGCGGCTTCCACCGGCGGCCAATCCCAGTTAGACGTCACAGTAGCACACATCCAGGTTGCAGCTGCGGCGCATAACGCTTAACGTTGATGCGCTATGGGGACCGGCACGCGTAAGCTGGATGTGTGGATTCCTTAACATCGTCGCCTTCACTCACGGTTCGGAGGTATTGCACGCATGAATTCACATGGATAGGATTACCTAAAAACTCAGCATTTTAATTATCATTCACAAGCGGGCGAATCCTCCGGTTGCAGGCCGTACGACAGCAATGGACAAATACAATCTAGACTTCCTGCCGCCGGCAGCGAGGCCAATCGTCAAGCCGTGTTTACCCTTCATACTTGGAGGCGCCTCGGGGTGCCTGGCTACCGTCTGCATACAGCCGATAGATATGGTAAAGGTCAGGATACAGCTCGCGGCGTCTGCGGGACAAGCGCAGATCTCTCCGGTCGCTCTTTTCAGACAGATAGTCAAAAACGAGGGTCTGAAGTCCATGTACAAGGGGTTGGACGCGGCCTGCGCGCGTCAGATCCTTTACACGACGACAAGGCTCGGACTCTTCCGCACAATCAGCGACAAGCTGAAAGAAAAGCAGGGAAAGGACGCCCTTCCCTTCTCCCAGAAGTGTGCTGTCGGCCTATTTAGTGGCGCAGTGGGCGCTTTTATCGGGAATCCGGCCGATTTGGCGCTGGTCAGGATGCAATCGAACCAATCGCTACCACTGGCACAGAGGAAGAGCTACAACGGAATTTTGAGCACCATATGCCACATCACCAAAAACGAAGGTATCACCAGCTTGTGGAAGGGATCAACGCCTACGATCGTCAGGGCGATGGCGCTCAACGTGGCAATGCTCGCAACGTACGACCAGGCGAAAGAGGGGCTCAGCCCGTACATAAAGAGCAAGTCGATGGTCAGCGTCGTCAGCAGTGGAATAAGTGCCTACTTCGCGGTTCTGGCGAGCTTGCCATTTGATTATGTGAAGACGTGCCTACAGAAGCAAAACAGCGGAGCGCCGCAGTACAAGGGCGTCACCGATTGCTTCATCAAAACGTACAGACAGGGAGGAATCAGGCTCTTCTACGCCTCATACAGCGCTTTCTACATGAGAATTGCACCCCATATCATCATTACACTCCTTCTGAGGGAGTACTTTGAGCACCTGCTGCTTAGGAAACCGTGAGTATGACCCGACCCGGAAAACGAGCGAAAATGCCGTTAAAACGACTATAATGCATAAAGGCAAAACAAGAACACTGCATCTGACATGAAATGCACGTTGAATCATGCCAATGCAGCCCTCACACGTAACAACAGCCGTCTGAGCTGCAATATAATTGTCCAAGATGGCCACCGCCGCCAAAAATTGTCGCCATAATCTATTATTGAATATGTTTAACTGCACTTAATGCTGCTCAAGACAGCGTATAAATGTCCTAGGTCGTCGGATAGATGCGATTGAAAGACCACTAGCATTCGGGTAGGCCAAACTGCGCAACGCACCCGTTCAGAGTAATGTCACCCAGTGCCGCAGTCAGCTTAGTCTTCAAATGCGTAATCGACGCTCAACCTCGCAGCTGCGTCCATCGCAATACGCATCGTTTGACGGCGTGCCTCAATAACGTCTTCCTCCTCCACCACTGTGCCCGTGCTCTCGTCGAACTTGTCAGGCTCAGTCTCGTTGCATGAAATCACGCCGGCAACCATGCTACGGATGCTGCATGTGACCAAAAACGTGGACACCTCGCGGTCCTCCAAGTCGACACCGGTCTGCAACACCTCGTCATGGAGGGTGTGGCCGCGATCGACTTTCGGCGGATATACCGTGTCGCGAGTCAACGAACGCGTTAAACGAGTTGCGATTCCCAGCTTGGCAGCCGATTGCCGTAGCGAGCGTACGGCATCGGGGTGTGCCACAGCGGGGTAAGTGATGTCGACTTCTATCGTCGACGTTTGTTCGCCACGGCACGATGCGTAGGTAACGCAGACAGCCTTGCGAGGCACACGGCCGGGGACCAAACTGACTGTATTCGTGATCAAAATCGCGCACTTAACACCGAAAAGGCCCAGTTCGCAGAGCAAACGGTGCAAGTTGGTAGCACCGTAACCATAGCTCAAAGCGAAGAAAGTCTGACCATTGAACTCCAACTCCATGGAACGAAGCGATTTGTACTGACTGAAGAACTCATGACGAGTAGCCAAGGAAGCCAGCTCGTCCAACCAAGGAGGGTTGCCAACCACCAGAGCCACGGGATGAATGCGATCCAGAGGCACGCCGATCTTGTTCATAATCCCCGGAGGGCAAACCGCGGTCTTGGTCTTTGGCATCTTGGCATATGGATACAAAATATAGCTTATACCGAACACAATTTATAAGTATACAAGCATGGATTAACCTATATGGATGAAGCGCCGACCACGACGCTAGAATCCAAAGGGATAACCCTAACGCAAAAAGGAATCCTGCCCTATTCACAAGACCTATACGACAACAAGAGTTACTCGTACCCAATGTTAGATGGAAAATACAGAGGAAAACAAAATATGGAAGCCGACCCGAACTGTGTCACGCGCGGCGGTTGTTGCCTGTGACTCTAGGACAGCGGGCATTGAAAGGTAAACCATGCGACGAAATTACACATAGCAGTTCAACTCGAAACGGATTAATTGTGTGTAACAAATCCAGTGACTGGAGTAATAAATTTTATCCTTCGTGCCTATTTGTGTCTAATTTCGAATCGTGTGTATCGACAGCGCAGACGGTCCGTACAATGGCTTAGCAACAAGGATGGTCACCTTGCCCATGGATGTATACTGTACTTTCTACGCGTCATAGTCTAGACAGTTTGGAAATGCTATAAGCGCGCAACACGCTCATCTCGCCACGACGCACCGTTGTCTAGAGATGTCTAAGTGCTGATAGTTTTTAGATATGCAAGTGGTCGGCGCATAAAATACACAATGTTATAATCGCTACACACCGAACCGTAGCCTCAAACCATACAAATACCCTTTAAGTACCGCAAATCTTGCTAAAGCGCCATGAAGGGCATGGGGACGATGGAGCCACGAATGCTAAGCCACTGTCAATTAAGATTCCAGCAAAAATGCCCGTAGCGGCAGTAAATGTGAAAAATATTATGTTGTTGTATAGAAGGTTCGACAGGAATCAACACAGAGGGCAATTTATTGGCAGTACGCGATATCCACCGAGTGCAAAGTACAGCGGAGGCAACGCAACATAGACAATTTAGTGCCACCCTACCAATACACCATGGAGCAAAAGGACTCCGTAATCCTCAATCGCACGTCCATCCCCAAGGACAGGGTGCACAGGGTAGCCATCATATGCGGTGACCAGAAGCGATTTGACATGTTTAAAACCCAGGTCACGAACTACAGGGAATTTGGGTACTACTCGTGCTGGAAAGCTGCGGAATTCGAGTACAACGGGGAATACTTCCTGCTAGCGTGCCACGGAGTGGGTAGCCAACCCACGGCAGTCCTGGTTAGGGAGCTCATCGAACTCGGTGTCAAGTGCATAATTCGCAGTGGCACTAGCGGAACGTTCATGCCGAAGAAGCATGTCATAGGTGACATCTGTATCTGCTACGGCTGCATCAGGGGGGACTCCACCACCAGAAACGACATCGACCTCGCGTTCCCAGCCGCTGCGCACCCCGATGTCGTGGAAGCACTCAGAAACGCCAGTGAGGAGCTCAACGTGCCCACACACATGGGCCTATGCTACACAACCGACCTCTTCTATCGCACTGGCATCCTCGGCGAGGACCCCAAGATGCCATTTGTGAAGTGCGGTGTGGCCATCGAGGACACCGACAATTCAGCCATGTTCACCCTCTGCAACATATACGGCATCAGGTGCGGCGCCATATGCACGATCGACGGGTGTCCGTTTGAGTGGGAAATTGGTAACTACGGACCTCACACGCCGCAGATGGCCCGAGGCAAGGAATTCATGATCAGGGTAACCGTTCGCGCAGCTGCGGAGGTGACGCGCATCATTAAGGAGGAAGAGGCACAGGCCATAGCGGTCGCTTGATGCCAGCCAGCGTTTCGGATTACGCAACAACGCGACGTTGCTTGACTGCGAAACTCCCTATAGCAGGGTGTGCCAAATGCGGCAGCGCGCAGTCGACAATCCGCCGTAACCATCACATGCATTTATAAGTCACGCATGTACACAACTTGAGGATGAACACCTCGGTAATTCATAGCAACGACATTTTTCATATCACACTAATGCCTACAACGTATGTGCCACAGTTATAGGAAGGTCTGTCTATTGGGGGTTAAGATAATTCAGCTGTCCGTTATACACCAGACACGAGTTATCTACTCATCATCTTCCTCTTCCCCTTTATCTGACTCCTCTTCATCTGATTCCTCTTCCTTGGCGTCATCCTTATCCTCTCCCTCCGTCTTGCGACGCTTGCGCTCAGCCTCCTCAGCTTCGATACGCCGTTTCTCAGCAGAGATAGCCTCGAGCCGCGCTATCTCCTCCGGCGTCTTGCTCACGAACTTGTGAAAGCTAACTCCGCCAGAAAATACGCCGTCCTCGATTTTTATGAGGCGCATGTTCAGACGGGGGCCCGCCTCGGTCAGCCTGCACGGGGTATTAGTGAACAATGGCACTAAGAAAAACAGATGTAAAGTAAAATGTGCAAACTACATCCCGTCAAAAACAACGCACCTAACAGCTAACTTGTGAGCTTCCTCTTCCGCTTCCTCCACGTCAGTCCGCCCAGGCAGACCGTATTTTTGGCGCAGTATCGCATCACCGTGGTCCACGTTGTTCAACTCGACGTAGTCATCATTGAGATCCGATACATCAACTTTGCCTCCGGTGGCGGTGCGCAAGACATCCTTGAAAGTAGCGTCCTTGTCCTGCATGAGCCGCTTTATCGAGCGCTTGTCGATCAGCTCCTGCACCGCGTTCGACGTGTTGCAGTCGACCAGGTTTATCAGGTAGTGACGCATCACTATCATGTCAGATTTGCGATCCTTGTCGAACAGAACAACGCGCTTGCAGTTCTGCATCTTGACGGTTGACACGTCTATAGGGCTGAACATGCCGTTCAACGTGGTCGCCACGGTTTTCATTGCCGGTGATGTTTCACCAACGGAAGCACGGCCGCGGCCACCAGGCGCGCCTGAAAACCCGTTCAGAACCACCAGAGGCGAAAAGTGGCAGGCTCCTCCGATCGATTTCGGGTTTGAGCTGCTCTTTGCGATATCAGAGACCAACGCCATAGCATCAATGGCAAAGGTCAATGTCGGGCCTTTTGGCAGATTGGCCACCTTGAGGTAGCAGCCTCGCTCAGTCTCGCTCACGGCGAGCAGATGCGTGAGCCCCAACGCCTCGCTGACTTCGGTGAAGTCCTTCATCTTTTGGTGAGAACCCTCGTTCAGCCGGCTAGCGCAATTCGGAGAGACCAGCACACGCAAGTCCCGTACCAGTTGCTTCAGCTCCGGGCGCAGCGAACCGCGGCGGATGATGACGATGCGTGGAGCGTCATCGTCGACCTCCTGGGCCTTCGCAGCATTCCGCTGTCGACGGCGCGCAGACTTAACCATGGCCAACAACTATCAACGCCGACTAAACAACTTCATTGAAATATTGCGCATACAAACTTGGGGGAAACGGAGCGCGAAGTCAGCCTTCCCGGTGCCCGCCTGTCTGACGCAACACAGCCTACACATCCAATGCGGTGAACGCTACAAAACAGCCTTCCACGGCACATAAGCCACGCTCATACGAACATATGCAGTGTAGCAAGTTTTAATGACCTTTATCGAGGGGAAAGAGAATCTGATGACTCCCTTCGGTCTTACCGGCGGCGTTAGGCAAACCCAGTTACCGAATGCGAAGCCGGCCAATAGCACACCTTCAACCACCCTAATGCGTTACTACTTACTATAACAACAGATTAAACCGGAGTTCGCACTTTTAGCGCGATACCGAGGTTGCTACTCGGTTGGCCAGCCGACACGCTTCACGTTGAGGTTGTCGGTGTCGATACCGTGCGTGTAGCTGTGCGTGCCAGAACGCGACTTCAGCGTGGCAATCGGCTGACCGTGGAATGAACCGGCAAACGACTCGATCTCCCGCTTCACGGAAGTGTAAAATGCCTCGGGCAGAGTGCACTCAACCGGCGACTGGCTGTCGGTGCCGCATGAGGGCAACTCCCACTGAGGCACAGCCTGCCAGCCCGACGGGTATCCGTTGGTCTCCTGCACCAGGCGGCGGTATACGTCACCGCCGAAAGACAGAAGCGCGGCAGGGAACTGTTGCAGGTCCGCGTCGTACGCCGCGCGAGGAACCTGGTCGGCGTCGATCACCAAAAACTTGTTGCCAGGATACTCTCGGGACAGACGATCAACGCAGTCCAGCACCGATAGAGACGCGGTGTTCTGCTGGCTCACGAACACAGACACAACCAAGTCATCTGACTGTACGCGTTCGCGATCTGCAAAAATTGAACAACCGTCATGAGAGAATCATACAGAACAATGACAAATTCAACATACAATACGTTTAAGAACCATCAAAACACAGCTTAACAACAGAAACATGACACCGTATATGCACAAATGACTTAAAACCGACCCGGAATGGAATAGACGGCACTGTAAAATTCGGCGTGGTCCTTGACCAGGCGTACGTTCGAACGCTCGGGCACTCGGATGGGAGCTGATACCGTAGCAAGCCTGGAACGGATGCTCTCAACTGTATGTAAGCCGCGGCGGCCGACCAAAGCGCTGCGTATCGCTGCTGGAACGCAGGCAGTGGCTCGAGTGCTCAACACACACGCCACGTCGCTACCAGGGAAGCGAACGCGACCCGGTACCACACGTCTTAAAAAGCGCATTGTGAGCGATTATAAATACGCAGTGCGGCGCGGCAGCCTACTCGACGGTCAGGGAACACCGCCCACCAACGCGTCCGGTGCCGCTACGGCGGAAGGCAGGTGAACGGACGACACACAATACGGGAAAATACCGTACAGGTGCTCTCACAATTGATCCTTATACTCATATACGTCCATAACTATCACTAACTGGGTGGAAGGAGACTGTAGAGTAACGAAGGTTGAGTGTAGAGAGCAGAATCACACAAGTTGTTGTGTCTCGCTAGAAGACATCTACCGGTCGTTACAGGGGTTGTAGTCGTATGCTTATAAGCGTGTGCGAACTCAAGAATCTATAACGGAATTGACAGACGCAGAATTTCCCAGCGTGTCCCTGCCACGACTGCTATACGACGATCCCAGGCCAAGACCGTTAACACACTCGAGAACAGGGGCTGAACGATCTACCAAGATGGAGTTGGAGTATTTCCCAATCAAGAACCTCACCACTTACACCTCAAACTGGACCATTAAGGCCCGGGTGCTGGAGAAGGCTCCGCTCAGACAAATAAAGGGCGACAACCACCTCCTGCATATAGACGTCGTCGACAAACATGTACGTGTACCGGGCATATTAAGCTGTATAAATGTGCAGGGTGACACCATCAGGGTGAAGTTTTGGGGCAAATCTGCAACGAAGTGGGACGAGATATTGCAGAAGGGAAAGGTAAGACAGACACACCAGTGGTGACATACGGTTTCACAGGTGTACACCTTCTCAAAGGGCACCGTAGAGTTGTCTAACAAGAGGTTTAACACTACCCCTCACAATTATGAAATTACTTGCCACCAAGAAAGCATCATAGAGCCTGTGGAGGATGCTGGGGATATTACGCTGCAACGCGACCACAAGCTGCTCACACTTAGGGACATTAAGACGATGCCAAATGTCACGCAGGCGCCAGTCGACCTGCTCTGCATCGTCCACACCGTGCAGCCGGCGGTGAACGTCGTCACAAAGGCCGGGAAGGAGATCCCCAAACGCATTGTGACGTTGGTTGATGACACGGGATACGAGATGGAACTGACGCTCTGGGGAGAGCACGCGAGTAACGATGCCATCGAGCAAATGGAGGGGAAGGCCGCAATTGTAGAAAAGGTGCTCATCAGGGAGTGGCAGGGTGCCAGAAGCTGCCAAACCGTGTCGTTGTCAGAGATCCAATTGGCGACTCAGGAAAACCTCAGAGACCAGGCCAAATTATCGCAGCTGCAGAACTGGTTCGAAGACGCGAAAGCCAAGAACGAAACCTTCAAGACCATGAGGCCCCAAGCTGTTAGCACCAGGGACCAGTACGAGCTGTCCGACATGGTCACTGTGGCCGATAGAACCAAGGGAGGGTACCTTGTCAAAGGCAAATTGCGAAAAATATTCTGGAAGAACAAGGACGGGTTGACAAGGATGTGGTACCAGGCCTGCCCCATGTGTTCCAAAAAGGTCCTCATGGACGGAGACGACAACAAATTCAAATGTATTTCCTGTGGCGATGTCACTGTCGTACCTGTGCCCAGGTACATGTTCTACTGTAACTTCGCGGATCACACTGGGAGGCTCACGGCGCAAGTTGCGACTGATATTGGTAGGTTGCCTACTCACCCGTAACATATAACGTCAGGCGAGAAGCTGATCGGTAAGACAGCGAAGGAGTTGGAGGAAATGGATCCCGACCAGCTGAAACATTTCTGCGATTTTGAAGCGACACACAGAGATTACAAAATCAGCGGATACATCAAATCAAGGGTGTACAACGGGGAAACCAAACACAACTTCACCGTCACACGCGTGGAACACTTGGATTATGCTGCGGAGGCCGCACTGATGCTGGAGAGCATGCGTATCACATATGATGATGTACTCAAATTCCTGGATATCAGAACGGATCAAAGGGATGCCAAGAGGGCGAAGGTTGAAACGTCCGACGAAGATTAAAAACTGTTCAACTCTACAATAGCTCCGATTCAGCTTCCTACGTGGTGATACATACTATCATCACGCAAAAAAATCAGCGGAGCTCATACACATCGCCACCGCCTAGGTGGCGCGTAATCGCAGGGAGCTGAAGTGTCTTTAACTCACGAGTTATACGCATTTGCTTATAACCGTGATAACATTTGTGGGTGGATTCAATCTGTCTTACGATCCAATGTGCGCCTCGTGTTATGCCGTTACCGCGGTAGGCGGCATTAGACATCGCGCGAAACGACATCATTTACCGCTGCGAGAAGGTTACGGCGTTTCATCAGATAATTATAGATATGCAATTTCACAGTTCTTAACTTTAGACAAGAGAGCTATATAACGTGTTTGTTTGACTCCGACACACTAAGGAAGGTTCCCTTCCTGCTGTGTTCATAGCGTAATAGCAAGCACAAAACATTAAATGCTGCCAAGAATTCAGTTGTAATCTCACGCCAATGTGGTACCGATGAAGCTGCTGGCCCTTATTTCCGGTGGAAAGGATGGAATCTACAGCATCATCGCTGCTCAAAGGGAGGGACACGAAGTGGTGATGCTAGGGCACCTTTCTCCAAAGGACGGCGACCAAGTTCACGAGCTCGACAGCTTCATGTACCAGACAATCGGGCACAACATTGTGCCTGCGATAGCTGAGTGCATGGACCTCCCCCTAATAGAGCGCCAAATAACAGGTACGCATTCCACCAACATTGATCACATATGACGCATACGCTTGACTGTTATCGAACTACAGGTGCACCCGTGGTAACTGAATCTCTAGAATATGCTCCAAAAGAGGGCGATGAGGTTGAAGATCTCTACCACCTTGTTGTCGACGCCATGGTTAGTGATACCGTCAATGAGCATAACAAACAAGCAGAAGGAGCGCAACGACATAGAAGCCATACTAACAGGCGCCATCGCATCGCAATACCAACTGCAACGTGTTCTAAATGTGTAAGTTTGTGAATGCGATAGACGTAGTAAGGTGGAACCCCAATCAAATGACTAACCATCATCTGTTGAACGCCCAAAACCCTTTAAAGTTGTATATGTCACGAACGGCATGCAAAGTACCGCAACCAATATCGTCTAACTTTGTTTCAGGGCGAATCGGTTGGGTCTTAAAACCGTGCAACCTCTCTGGGGACGCGAGCAGAGCGAACTCCTCGCCGAAATGATAGAAAACGACATGGGCGCAATCATCATTAAAACATGCTCCATGGGTAAGTTGCACCACTGCGTATCTAGTCAAACATCAACACGATTCGTGTGAATGGACATTAGACAAACGATATGCATTCGTAGGACTCAACGAAAAACATCTCGGCAAATCAATTCGCGAATTGTATCCGGAATTTCTCGAAATTAGGGACAAGTACGGATTCAACGTCTGCGGAGAGGGCGGGGAATTCGAGAGTCTGGTTCTCGACTGTCCCATCTACAAAAAAAGAATCGCAATCACGGAGCACAAACACGTTCTGCACTCAGCGGACCCATTCGCACCGACTATATTGTTCGTACCGCTTAAGTGGCAACTTCAACCGAAGGCCTGAACCATCCGCTAAATGTAATGTGTTAGTAATACGCTGCCATGTGGGCTAGGAGTTTATTGGCGTACGTCGACCATGGTTGAACTAGGCTCAATGGGCAGACACCATTATGCCAGAGAACTAATGCTGGTTACGTGGCTCGTACTTCCTTAAGGAAGCGTAAAAACGTGACGCAGATTACACGTGCAGCATTGTTAACGACAATTATGTGTCTTCCAACCATCTAGGTGTGTATCATCATTCATTTTAAAAAACGGAAACACAGCTGCCTAATGAGGACGACGAAAGCTCCGCCACAGTAGTCACGGTGGCAATGGCTCGCGATAGCAGTTATTTTCGTCGCGTTTTGGTACTATGGGGGAGAATAGAGGGCAGGGGTGAGGCGCTAGTCCGGACCAAGCAATTCAGTCTTTGTAACCCGAAGACTGCAACAAAATATACGTCTATTACCAGCGATGATGATACGGCAAACCGTCACCATGACATGATGCCTCAGATAACTGAGCTGGACTACGAATCCAAACGCAAAAGGGTCCGGTGGGATTCCATTTTCACGCGTTCACACACCTAGCCTCCAATGAACATATCTACCTTAGATATGTTTCAATCATCGTTAAACGATGCCCAAACCATACTGTGCAAAATTATTTCGCAAGAAATATAACACAATTGCGAACTCGCGAATTCATGCTCGCTTAACTCGCACGCACTTTTAAGGCGCCGCAATAAACTTCATCTACACACGAATTACGATTGCTTACTTTCTGGATTTACCGACGCTGGCCCTTGTCCGGGCTGCAGAGGTATAGGTCTTTGGTGCGTCGTGGATCGCGCTAACGTTTTGCGCCCGCCGGCTGCATTAGTATTTAAAGACTATTTTTCATCTGCTTGGTGAATTATCACTGTCTAGCCGGTGATATCGACGGTTAAACGCCGCAAGGTGTAGTGGCGCGTCGATACGGCTTCCGAACTACCCGTCCACTGTGATCCGAGAGACCAAATCCGGCTTACGATATACACATTTCACACAGATCGCAACCATGCATCGCCTCAAGGAACTCACCGAGGCGAAAGTCTACATCATCGGCGATGAGGTAAGAGGAAGCGGAGCGCCTCGTAACCACTTGTACGTAGGACACCGTGGTCGGGTTTCTGATGGCTGGAATAGGCAGCAAGGATGGGTTGGGACGCACAAACTACAAAATCATCACGTCGAGTAAGTCCTAGCTGGTCAATAGGCAACCTAACGCTCCTTTGCAGAAGTGGGCAAGCAAGAGATTGAGCAGACCTTCAACGAGTACAAGGAACGAAGAGACTGCGGAATCATTATCATCAATCAGCACATTGCTGAGCAAATCCGAACGGTGATAGACCTCCACACGGGACCAATACCCGCCATCATAGAGATACCCAGCAAGGAGCAACCATACGACCCTAACAAGGACTCCGTCACGCAAAAGATCAAGGTCCTATTCGGGGAGACGTGATCGCAACAACTTCAACGCCACCGCTATCAAAACACTACCCGACTAAAGTCTATAGTATGCAAGGTGGCGCCTTAGAAGGTCGCAAAGCAACCGGCGGCGCGGCCGTGCTACACTGGCACAAACAACCAATGTACCGTATATACACCTAATATTAAACTTCGTGATCGCACAAATGCGTATATGTGTGTAACAACGCTCAAACGTCCAGAATAGGCTCAAACTGCTTTGTCTCGCGGGCCATCTTGAGGAACGTTGAGTTCTCGTCGTAGGACTCGTCATTGTCGTCTGCCGTTATTTGCGGAATGAACGTCACACCATTGCCCGCGCGATCGTCGATGGGCAACAGCCAAAACAAAGGGTTCTTGCCCAGAACGCAGGAGAGGTTCTCGTACAGCGTGCCTGACCAAATGGAGCGGTCCAACCACAGGTTGCTGTACGACCCCTTCTCCTGAAACTCGATCGTCGTGTACGCCTCGCAGATCAAAAAGATGTGGAAGCTCAAAAATCCGCTGCACAGGAAGAACGAGAAAATCGACATGACCTCGGCAACGAGCAGCACAACGTACTGTTTTGCTGGTACCTGAACCCGATTGAAAATCGCGAAACGCAACACGAACAACAAAAACAAGTTATGAAACACAGCAAAAAGAGGCAGGTGACATACAAAACACAATGCCATATGAGGAGAAGCAAAACTAACCGTAGGACTCTTCATTACATGCCGAACGGTAGGGAAAGAAAAGGTGGACACTAGGCCAGACAAAACAACGGCGTAGAACACGGTCAAGAAAAAGTACTTGTGGTTAGCCCAACCGATGCAGTTGTTCACCCAAGGGCAGTGGTGGTCCATCTTCAGCACGCAGCGACCGCATACACGGCAGTGGTGGGCCCGGTCCGGCTTGTAAATAGAACACCACTTGCAAGAACGACGATCTCCGGACCTCTTGGTCTCGCATAAAGTTGGCGGCGTGTGCTTTTCACTGCCGGGGTACATGCACCACTCCAGCGTTTCAGGCACGCGGCCAGGGTCAACTGTGGCGCACAAGATGTAGTTCAACAAGAACAACAGGCAGCAGACACTAGTGCTGACCAATATGGCCACCGTCTTGTTACTCAACACTCCCAAATGGCTTACGTCATCCTCGATGGCTGGCTTGAGATGATAGAACACGAAAACCGTGTAGACAGTGACGAAGCTCGCGACCACCAACACCACAGGCAGGTAGCGGAAGAATGAGGTACCCGACGGAGTCGGCTGCACAGCATAAACCGACTTCGCAGAAACACGCGGTGAGCTCAAATTGCGATCTTGACTGCAAATAAGCGGATCAGTGTCATTGTCTGTTGGCATCGAAGCGCCGCGGCTCGGCACGAACGATGTGTAGGTCATCAAGCGGCGGGGCGACGAGCGCTGGGAGCTCTGAGCGGAAGACGACGGCACAGATGCCTCAACGGCATGTGAGATGTCCAAACTCAGCGCGTCCATCCCGGCATCACCATGCTAGACAGCATTGCCACACCCACAGGGAAACGTGACACACTGACACAGTGTATCCTCCCATCACAGACGGGAGTTTTTGGCGGCTTTGGTTATGTTTCAGCGTCTTTCAAATGCTTGACGATGCCTACACCCTCGGCTAACACCCTGTCTATACGAAGCACCCGGATGCATACGCGCGCTGGCCGTCAGAGAAATACAGATTCTCGGAACAGCTCACGCACGCTAAACACATCCGCGTCAACCAGTTTAGACTGCCAGTACTCGGTGTTGCTGCCGAGAGCCTGCAAAACGTGACACCTCCCGGTAAATCACTCACCTTCTGGCAACGAAAGCTTGAGAGGATGAAAAGCGTAAACATGCGCTTCCAGTCATCAGCGAACTTCAAAAGAACGTAACACACCAATGGGCTGCATTTGTGTATGCTCAGAAGCAACCCGCTCGTCGATTTGCCGGCTTCTTCCACCTACACATCTGTTAGTCGCGCCTCGATACACATACCTCAAAGTCCTCAAATTCCAAAGATGCAATGCTTCCGGAGCCTCCAAACACGCGAGAATTGTACAGCTTCCGCATGTTTGTTACAGAGCACGACTCTTTGGGTTGAGAATCTCTATCCTCAAGCGTAACGCCATTAAAATCCACTCTTAATTCGATGTGGCCGCACCTTCCTTCCGATAACGACGTGACACCACGTGACAGGTCGTCATCGAAATACAGATGCGCTGCCGTGCGATAGGAGCCCTGGGAGAGGCTTTCGAGGATCTGCAACGACCACTCGTCAGACATGGACACGGGCCCAGCCACGCACCAACTCGATACCTCCTGACGTCATATATGCATAAAGCGGCGCTAACTCACGTAGAATTGGGGGTGTGGAACGTAACCGGCCTTCGTGGCGGTAGCTACATGCGGGTCATATACACCCACTTTGGGCTTGCTGAACTCGTCGACGGCCTGATGCTCCACCCGGCGATGGGCTCGGCAAAACACATACTTCCCAACAGCATCGAATGGGATCACAAATGTAGGCCCTATACCCACGCGGTCGGGATCATACCTGTCTGCGCAATTGTAGTCCAGACCCAGGAACCTGCATCATGTGACATGCGGAACTTTGAACTCACCACTCGTAATCCAGCACTCCAAATTGTTCGCGATATGGTGACATATCCATGCATTCCACGGTGCTTCCGTGTACGGTTACACCCTCGATGCATACGGGATGTGCCTCTGGGTCAAGCACGCCTGGTTTAACACGGATGTTGGGCACATCATCCAAATAGACGCCACGTATATCATTCTCCTCCACTTCCGATTCCGATAAACGGCTGAAGTCATCGTCGTAAGACGACACCGTGACTTCACTCGTTATGGAAGAACGTTGGATGAAGCTCTCAAGGCTGTAGCGATATTCTAGGGCAACATCGGCGGAAGACCGATCCACCGATACAGCCTCTTCCTGCGATACATGCTCCCACAAAGGAACTATATGGTCTTCCACTTCGACTCGGGTCATATACTGAGTCCATGTAACGACAACCAGGCCGACCTACCGAATCACCGTGAAGCTGCGGACGTACTGGCGCGACGGTGCCACGAAAGCGAGGCTGCAGCATCATGAAGCATTTGTGTGATGAGAAGAATGCGACGGAATAACTCAAAGATTGTGCGACTAGGGATACACGTACCTTTCGTGGAAGTTCACCGTCATTACTGCCGCCAAGCTGCAGACGGCGGAAGGCAGCAGGTAAGCCAGACATCGTGCGCCAGTATCGAAGCACACCTACATGATGTACAATAGTACCATAAAACCGCAAGGGGTAGGCTATCGGCGCCTAGACAGACACCGTCGCTCTACACATTCTACACATACGGCACACATATAACGACGTTCCGATCCATAATCAAGATCCATTGGCACACCGCGCGAATAAAGTGGTTAATGCGAATGGATAGACAAACGGAAATACGCATGGAGAACTTACACATCAGGATTCCTACCTTATATGTGCACGCACAACGACGTCGCGAGCAGACACATTGCTGCCGTAAACATTGTCGGTTTATTAAAGGCAAAATTGTGTATAGATTATTGTGTACAGAATAGCAACGATATAAGCAACAACGCTAAATCGCCTCACGGTGGCATAACTATTTGATATAAATTCATTTTTATTAACGAAGTCTGACGCCGAGTACCTTGATCACCTTAATATCGCTCACGGACTTGTGACCGACAACGATTTGATGAACTCGCGCTTGTCCGTCTTCGGAATCGTATGGGCCATCACCCGGAGACACTCCAGACACTTGCTGATGGAAAAGTCCTGGTGACAATTCAGAATGCAAAACGTTGCAAAACCCACCTCTTTGTACTCTTTTCCGCTGTTGTTGTCCTTAGTTATGACCAGGAAGCACTTCTTTTTGGAGCCTTCTTTGAACGCACCCACGGCTATCTCGAAGCCAACCAGCGTGCGGTGGTTCTTACACAGCTTTTCGTACGCCCTTGGGTGGAAGTCCAGCACGAATTTCAACTACAAACTTTAACATGGCAGGCAGAATAACCCACCATCACTCCGGCCTGAGAGTCCACAGCTATCGCAGTACCGTGGTCACAAGACTCGAGGACGCCATTCAGCAGGGGGCGAATGGACCCGAAGTTCCTGATTATCAAACCGTTTATCTCCAAAGGAGACGACATGATCTCGGAGTGTATGCGCTGCAGTTCCTTGTTGCGGGAGCTCAAAATGCTGGGCTTAAGGGTAGAAATAAACTCCTTGTACTTTTCTTCACTCTCAACCAGTTCAACCTGTAATGCTGCACCTTCCAATTCCGGTGAAAGCTCCTTCACAGCGGTCATGACCTCCGGCGATTTGTTCACCCAGGCGAAACATGTTCCACTGTCGGAAACAGGGGAAATGAAGCGAATTCGCACCTAAAACACAATAGGCTATTGCTAGCAATACACGAACCTGCTTGTCCTTCTGGAGAGCTTCTTTCACTGGGGTCCATTCACGAATTTTCTCGGGAATGTTGGAAATAAACAAGATTGGCCCAGCCGCATGATACGTGTCGTGCGTCTCACCGAACTTCTTTTTCTTCTCGAACAGCTTTCTACCCTCGAAACGAGGCAGTCCGTCGTTTTTGCGCACGTACAGTGTGCCGGAAATCTCTTCCAAGCTGATGCCGGGTAGCGGGTTTGCGTCCAGTGCTGACTTCACATCTTCGGCACTGGCCTTTATGTCCAGCATCCTCTTGGCGCTCAAGATGTACTTCAGCTCCAGCACATTCTGAGCCGCTTTGAAAAACGATTGGGTAACAAACGCACCTCAACACCTGCTCTGGAGCTGTCTTCGTTGAACTTCTGATGGTAAAAGTTGTCACGACTCAGGTTCTCATTGGACAGGTAGTGGCCGATCTGACGCTGGATGAACCTTAAACGCTGCTCTGGAGTTGCGTGCGATAATACAACCTTGAACTCTTCATCTGTGACGCGAGACTTTCCCAAAAGGGTTTCGACAAGTTCAACACTTGAAGAATCATCCACCAAACGCCGCTTGGAACCACCATTTTCATCTGGAACAAACATATATGGCAAATATGTAGAACTAACCGCCATCGGCTTCGAGTGATCGCTTTGACACCTCGGTGTCTGTCATTGTGTTAGGAAAGGAGTAGAAGAAGAACCGTCGACGGAATCACGCAGCACACGACCTATATGGACTAGCGGTATTATTTAATGATGAAACTTCTATCCATACTAGACAACCTATGTATATTATGCGTTCATCCAAAGGAAGATTATAAGAAGTGAACTATCCCCGTTGGTGTAAAGGCCATACTACACCTCGCCCGTGTGCCGGTCGCGGGTGGTGGGCTATGGTGTTACACATTAGGTGAACCGCGGATTTGAGTTGGCATTTCTGAGCGTTCGTGTGTGTCAGGGCGCGCTGCTTGATTGGCGCCTGTGTCGCTGTCTGACGCCGTGCCGTGTCAGCGGACAACCGCCGCGGCAGGATGAAGATCAACCTGTCTTCGGACGACATCAACCTTCTGGTGTACCGTTACCTGATAGAGAACGGGTGAGTTGCGGGCGCGGCATAACTCGGGCGCACGGACCCGGCGTGACGGCCAACTCGCTCCCAAACCAGCCTAAGCGTTGCGCAGGTACAGCCACACGGCCTTCGCGTTCAGCAAGGAGGCCGAAATACACAGGAATCCATACTACAACAACCATGCGGACAAGCTGCCGCCGAACGCGCTCGTCTCCTTCATGCAGAAGGCGATGATATACATCTACCTGGAGTACCACACGGATGACCTCACCGGTGAACAGATCGTGTGCGAGGAGCCCTTCTCGTTCTTCCGGAAACACGCCTGCTTCCGCAAACTGGGGCAACAAAACGGCCTGCCAATAAAGGAAGCGTTGCAGCTCGCTGCAGAGCAAAATGAAAAGGCACGCGAGGCCGGCCGTAGTGGAGCGAAAGGCGCCAGCAGTGCGGCGCCTAAAAATCGTTCAGGTACGTACAGTTAAGAAGAGCCACGCCATTGTAGTTGTATGTATGTGACAGTAGTCGACGTGTCTGGGAGCGGGTGATTGCAATGAGCAGCCTGCCTCATTATGGTGTATACATGCTGTGTGGAGTTTGTGTAATGCGGAAGACCAGCATAATTGACCCGTCTTGCGGTTACCTATCCACTCATACCGATGCAGGTATAGCAGATGCCGACGGAAATCCTCACGTTGGAAACTCGCTGGCGCAACTCCCACCCATCTACGTGGGACCGCCGCAGAGGAGACTGGCAGACAGGTGGCAGGTGGCCGGCTACATGTGTCTGCTGGACTACGGCCCTAAAGGCACCGCAGCGAGTGCACATTTTAACCCCGCACTGCCGGGATACATCGCAAAGAGGTGGGTGACATTGATTAGCGCCAACACGCACGCGCAGAGTGGAGGGTGCGCCGCCGGCCCTGTACCGTGTTTCGAAGGTGAGCAGGATCAGGACGTGCCAGATCGTGCCCCCCGCCGTTAAACTTACCGAAGCGGCCGGTGGCCCGGAGGGCGTAGGCACCTGCCTCAGGTGGAGGTACGACGGGCACGTGCTCTGCGCAGGCTACGAATCGGGCGCCGTTGTCATCTGGGACACCAAAGGCCGCCGGCTGTGCGGAGGCAGACTAGGCAGCGCGCCAATAACGGCTGCGGCGTTTTCAGGCAACAAGCGGTTTTGGAACGAGACTGACGATGCCAACACCGTATGCAAATTGGCGGCGGGAGACGCGGCAGGCAATATCCACGTGTTCAAGGTAGAAGATGGCATCCACCACGTCACTGTGTACAACCAGGGTGCCGTGGTGACAGAAATAGACTGGAGGGACCACGAGGTGTTCACCGCAGCCAGCGCGGACGCGACAGTTCGCATCTATAACACCGCGACAAATGCAAGCGCAATCGTACAGGGTGCCGTGCAATCGAACCCGCAATTCATGGAGTGGGGGCCCACGGGAAAGTGCCTGGCAATGATCGATAGCACGGAAGTGCTCAAAATATACAAGCCGGACGGTCACGGTGCACAGGGCTATATAACATCACTCAAGGCGCACACCAAAAGCATCATCGCAGCGTCGTGGCAGTATGGGCACCACTCAAAATCCGTGAACAAACTATGCACCATCGCCATGGACAGGCAACTGCTAGTTTGGGACGTCGCCGCCGAAACTGTGGTTTCATCCATCCTCATCGACCAGGTCCCGACCACCATAACGGTCAACGCGTCAGACACGTTCGTCGCCGTGGGTACGTATGGAAACATGATCAAGGTCTTCAACCTCCCTTCGCTCACGCTCAGCTGCTCATTCTGCGACCAAAGCCTGCCAACCAGCATTACGTGGGCAGCGGATGACGCGCATATCGCATACAACGTGTACAACCAGCAGAGGACACCGGTGGTACCGGTAACCACCTCAGCTTCCTTCGTCGCTGACTGAGGAACGCAACAACGGCTCTAGGGGCCACTTACGCACAGCTAATACGACTAATGTTGATCTTAAAAGGCGAAATTTGGCGGGCGCCATTAGAAGGCGTGCTAACGTGTTTTCGGTACAGCGTGCCGGCTGAGCTATGGGGATTCTGACGCTGTAATGTGCAGGAAACAGGCACATTTGTATAGATTCCAACGCTAAAAATTACAAGCTAGATAATTTATGAGGAGCGATGGTCTGTTGGCTTGAAGGAAAGCCTCTGCCATACCGTCCGCCGAGCCACCGGTAGGTTGGCTGGATTCACCCGAGTAGACAAGATCCTTCCGTTCCGAGACGTGCGATAGGGTCAAATAATTATAGTGTGTGTCGTATGACGCGTTGTCCACGGCCAACAAAGGCTACACGTGCAACGGTGTACCTGAACGAGGACCATGGAGTGTCTGTTGCCACCGAACGCGTTCCTCGGGGAGGATCAAACTTCCTTTCACGTTGAAGAAGACACAACAAGATGCGTGCGTGATGGCGTTAATAAGGTGGTTGTACCCGCGGGGGAACTCGACCAATCTGCAACGCCGCTGTGCAGGCCCGAAGCGAAGCCACGAACGTGGGATTTACGGCGGACGACTTTATGATGCCACCGCATGCGGTTGGTGTGACACCTGGCACTCCCAAGTTGCGGAGCAAGCACCCTCGTCCATCGTCGGCTCTGCGTGGCATTGAGGAGGCAGATAGTATGTCGCCTACAATGTCAATGAGGGAACGCGTCCAATGGAGGCAACAGCTGTTGTCTAATTCGTGTCGTTTGGATGTTTCCAATGCAGAATCTGATTCGGCAACGTTGTTTGACGAGAGAGCGAATAATAACGATTGCATGTCCTCGGATGTAACACCATTTCGAGGCGCAGCACTGAGGACCCCTTCGAGGTGGCAGCCGCATGGACCAGAATCTCGTAGTGTGCCAATGCGCACATTAGGAAGGAATGACAACGATACGTATGTGAACGTGAGTGACGATTTGGTGAAGAACCCAATTCTGGCAAACTCGGTGAGGAGCGCCAGGATGCGCAAATATCCCGACGACGAAGACGTGGAACGGTCGCTGAAGGTCCTTGGGGCATCACGCTGTTGGACTGACAGGCTAGAAGAGAGCTCAAAAGGGTTTATTGGTGTCGACCTGGACGACGACGACATGTTGGCGACCCAGACACCGATACGCAGCTTCAACACGGTGCTGTCAACATCGCAATCTGACTATGGGTATGACTCGACGCAGCCCGCGTCTTTAGGCTCTTCGTATACCCAGTGGACCAATGCGAGTCCCATAAGCACGCCGGGACGCTCAACCGGAGTTCATGCGTCCAGCACACCCAACAGATACGTTCAGACCATGTTTGGAACCGGGTATGCCACCGATCTCGACGCCTTCGGAGGCGCCAGACTTGAAGACATGCGAAAGGAGGAGGTAAACCCCATGGCATACGCAAGGTTGCCGAAAGGCATGATCTCCGAAGCCAGAATGGGGGCGGAAATGAGCACTCTCTACAAGCACTTCAAAAACATGTGCACATTTATCAGGAGGTCGTCCATGCGTAGTGATCGCCCCTACTTCAAGGTGGTGCAACTGATGGTGCAGCGGATGTCGAGGAAGGACTTCACGATGGATCAACTTAGGCAAATGGCCTGGATGGCGCCAAACCTAATAACGCTGAAGTGGGTCAGCATAAGTGATTCAGTGCGAAGGCGATATAAAAACGAGTACGCGGAGTGTCGAGGGGATGTAATCAGCGACGTCCAAGTGAGAATACACAAGCAAGACGGGAAAGTATGCTCGTCGAACAGCGATTTCGAAAGTACGTGCTTCGCCTTTAAGAGTGTCCTGTGTGCGTGGGTTGCGCGATGTGAGGCGGAATACGTGCAGGAGAGGGGCTCGTGTGATGGGTTTGCTCCAGACATGGCGCTGCCTATGCCGATGGCAGCCCTCCCGACGAAGCACTGCAGAAGTCTCGCCAAGGACAACGCTATGCTTGCTCCCATGTCAACACCTACGCGTTCCGCCTCAAGACAGTCACAATGCGCCGAAACCGTCTCGCCGCGACCGACCGCACTGCTCAGCGCTAATCGGCGGCTTCATGAGAACGAGTACTTTACCACAAGTAGAACGCTCAGCTCGCCCGACAGTGCGTCAAACATGTCTTTCAACGATCGTTACGAAGACGATTCTACACGTTACGTGTCCCTCCACACTAAGAGGATGAGGGAGGCCCCCATGTTGCCCATGGACACGGAGCTGCTCGACACCCCAGGCATGCGCCGCATTAGGGAGAGCGCGAAGCGTCTCGCCACTGAGAGTGCCAACAGCACCAATCTAAAAGAGCATGACGTGTCCTACTGGAAGGATGTTCGCCGTTTTGTGAACGCACTTGTGGACCTGTCAATCGCGGACACCTCGCCGCCGGTGTTGCGCATCGAGTGGCTGGCGGAGTTCATGACCAAGTACGGCACGAAAAGGGTTACTTACGACAACGTTGCGGAATGGGCCAAAACGTTAATGCATTTGGCGCCAGGGGCTATCCACGTTGGTGTGTCGAAGTTCGACGATTATAGCACCGTGCTCACCTTCGGCCCGCAACCGACTTTTGACAGTGCCATACGATATGTCAACCAGCGAATAAACGCGTGTAATAAATGAAGTGACAGTGCGATAATTTTAAATGTCTATACTGCATTCAACGCCTAATATCCGTTCCGGCCACCCGGTCTGCGCTGGGACCGCGTCTAAATTTGGTTGCTTTTCGCCTGTGTAGCCACAGTACATTGACGTCGGATATGGCATGACCACAGTACGCTTTGTGCGCTAGGTGATGTTACGAGACATTGGGCGGAGGCTTGCCTCTTTTCGGCATACATTGGATATCGTTATTTACGGTAGTTCCATGCTCCCGTAGTAAGAACGTGACACGGTGCTTGGCGCTACCGCCGTGAAATGGCAGCTATTGCGATACTGAAAATCCACGCACGCTATGTGACGCTACATTAGGCCCTTAAACGGAAAGGTGGAGTATATATCGGTGTCCATCTCCTCGGGAATCCATCCACCGGCAAGATTCGTGGATGCGCCGGAACTTTGAGCCCAGTCAACAAATGCAGCGCGTAGTTCATGGAACGCCTTGCGGAATGGACCAGGATACATACGACAGACGAAAACGATGGCCACTGAAACCAGAAGTATGGGGACTCCTATATAGCACCCGCGCCTAAATTGATCTTGGGGGCATAGTTTGCCGCAGTTTGTGCACTTGGAGCGGCATTTGCTGCTGAGGTAAAAGAGTTCAATGTGGTCGCAGTCTTTTGTGCATTCACTAGCTACATTGGCGTGTTTGCAGTAATACTTGCCTGCATCATGTTCTTTGCCTTTGCCGCTTGCATGGCTTTTGCAATCCACGTGGTGTTCATTCTTGCCGTCGCAAGTGCCTGCCCCCTGACATTCGGTTTTAGGATTACACCACCTACAGCAGCTACACATCGCTCCATTGCATCCACAGTTACAGAGGCCACATATACAATCGCCGTACGTTGACTTTGTGCATTTTTCCTTGCAATTATTGCACTTTTTATTAACGTCATCGTAACACAGCTCGCCTTTTTCAAAAGCCTTCTCACATCCACAGTCACAGAGGCTGCATTGGCATTTTTTTTCATTTTTGCATTTTTTCCGGCAGTTCGGGCAGCCGTAATCACTGCACTTTTTTTCTCTGATGTCTCCGTTCTGACATCCACAGTAACAAATAGAACATTGGCATTCCTGTTTTTCATTGCACTTCTTTACTGTGCAGCGTCGGCAACCGGAGGGGCAGCAGGTTTCCCACCATTTTGCATAAAACCGTTTATGACATCCATCGCAAGTGTCCTTTTTCGCTTGCGCCATCTTCCCCTACGACTCCACTCACACGGTCCTAAACTTCATTGAACGTCCTAGCGCAAGCGGTAAGTCGAAGCCTCCAGCGTCCCGGTGATACGACGCCACTAAAGCAGCCAGCCCTTCACAACGACGAACAACGTACCCAGATGGTGGGTGGCAGCTGGGAGATTCCTCACCTTCCTTACAAGACCCAAGATGTATAGTAAGTTCTTCCTTACCAGTAATTGCCACTTATTATTGTGCAGAGAATAAAACGCTTCTCAGTATCATAGTGATGCCTGGCACACCCGGTGACACTGACCTACAACACACTCTTCTGCATCCAATACACATTAGTTATTTATTTCACACAATACTTAATGTCGTATTGTATAGCAATCATTGTAAGAAGTTGTTGCTTCCGCTGCGCAAGCTCCCAACCCGGACGCGGGGTGTAGACGGTACAATTTGCATGACCTAAATATCGACGGTGCTATTGCATCGAATCTCGCAATTATGACACCATGCGGTTCATACGTAATCACACTTATATTAAGTTGCTGCGCTGGGCAATGTGCAATCACCTTCCGGGGAAACAAAAAACATGTTTTCTCGCTGCACTTCACGTTCACCAGTAGTTGCGAAGCCTCATTCTAAGACCAACATCATCATAATTATATGCCGCACTATCCAATATCGCTTTCAATTAAAGCTTCCAAAGTTGTTTATTTTTACCTTTTTGTTTCCAAACAATTATTTCGCCTAACTTCACCAATGGGTTTCCACTATTGCTTCACCACAGACCGGATGGTCGATGTAACTAGGGGGAGCTGAATAACATTAACCGATCAGGCATCAGTAGTATTATAAATGGTTTATACGTTGCCCTTCAAAGCTGTGTAATCCATTCCGTTAATCTGGATGCTACGGTCCTTGCCGGAACCTTGTCACATGACCCTCACACAACTATCGCCATTTCCATGCTATGACACCCGGAGTCGTATATCTTTCATTGCTTTCAGCCGTTCAATTCATCATTACCATATCTGAAATTGTGTTTCAAGAGGAGAGACGGCAAAGCTTGAATTACCGTTCTCTCAAGCATGTTGCTTCTACTATTCTCGCAGTCCATAGTATAAACGTGATTCCTGTCATCCAATCCCATCTCCACGGCTATACTATGACTGGTGTTCGTGACTTGGACAGATCTCAATGGGCACTGTTACCGGGGCTTGCTCCGTCCAGTTTATATGCGATTTGAGTAACAACAAACTTATACGAGATGTTCGTAAATCATCTGTAATTGATTTGATTATGATTACAACTTAGCCGTGTCTTGTGCAATAACTCACTCGCGCTAATGTGTGACTTGACGTCAGACGGCAACTTACAAGTTCGCAGATGGTGCGCGTTCTAGCCTATTATATTACCTCACATGTGACCGTAACGTAATGATCGTAGATTGTCATGGTGGAATGATACAACGTTTTAACACTCTGACAACTTACCGGAAGCTAAGCCAGCCCTTGTTTTTGCGGTGCACGGAGATGACTACCGCGTCCTGGTAAAGAAGTTAACACCAGATTACACGTACACGTTACGCTATGAGATGCTACGCCCATGGGGTCAATCACTGATGTACACTTTCATAGAAACCCTTCAAGTGATGTAATAGGAGTTGTCAAGCCGCAGATTCATCTCATATCAAGTGGAGATAGGGAAGCCGACGGCCTTCAACTGAACGGATGCTGCCAAATGAAGATCGCTTGGCATATTATCTGATGTTATATAAGGATGGGAGCACTGAAGATGAACGTTCTGCTGATGGGATATAGCCGATGTTGTGACATTCAGGAATGAAGGTAGTGGTACCAACAAACCCCTGGTGTGACCTGTAAACAGATGCGAGTGCCTGCAGTGTGACAGCAATATGCTGGCGTAAATTGTGATAGTGGAACACGGGCATGTTGGAGTGTTTCGATAGGGCTGAGATGTAGGATGGACGATGCCCAACAACACGCATCAAGTAATACGTAACCTTAGATCCCGATATGTAACCATCTAGCGACATTTGCGGAGCTGGCAATTGGTCAGAGACATCCAGGTAACCCACTGGGGCACATGAGTTGACATGCTCCTCGCTTGTGAATATGGTGTTGACTTCATGTGATACGGCATCCCGGTAGTGCGATATTTAGGCTCATTGACGGGTACGTAGAGTCACATTCGTCTCCTTACTGGTACGAATGACCGTTATGTTATTCACATGGCGTGTTGAATTATTCAAATCAAAATCTCGCCGTCTAGGCGAGCTGGAGCGTCATGTACCAAGTAGGTGTAAGGCATATTAGTGATTGAAAGTACTGCTGTAGGTGCTGTTAAAACGGGATTAGGGGCGAGTTGCTGGATTCCTCTGGAATATTGTCCGACGTGGTGTCCAGTTTAAGGCCAAGTTAAGTGGCGTTTATGGAGTACGTACTGGTGATCACTAATACAGTAAGCACGCCCCGTGGCACAGCTAGACACCAATTAGCGCTGCCATAGGGGCACGTATAAAATACATATCCTGTCTATTATTCGAAGTGAATAGCGCCTGTGGTGTGCTGCATGTCCATTGTGGTATCCGTGGCGGTGAATCGTATAACGCTCATCGGGGACAGCTTGGAGGCGTCACAATTCGAGGCTTGAGGTACGGGTTTCGTAGCTGTGTAGACTAACGACAAGTGAGCTAATGGAAGATGGTGGCGCTAAAGTGTACTTGCGAACCTGAGAGTGGCTGTGAACAACGGAATTGTAAGTGCTGTCCCTGGTGTTGTTCGAATTGTATTAGCTCGATGTGCTTTACATGTTTCGTGTTATACGAGGATCGTAAACAAAGATACAAATGCAATCCTTCGGAATGTAAGATCAAATATAATCAGTGTAAAGTTGGCACGTGTAGTTGTCCATGTTGTAAAGGTGAAAGTGCGCTCCCTGTCTCCAGTGCCGCCACTTACACCGGCGGCAACGGTTCCACCATCGTCATCGCTCCCATAATCGTCATTATCATCGCAATCATCCTCACTGTCGTGTGCGTTATGATCGTCTTTCGTATTCGGCCGCTCCATAAGGTCCGTGATTGTTTCGCCCGCAAGTGAACGTTTTATTCATCGCATAATTTAATGGCTTCCGCCATTTCTTATAATCGCAGTTATCGCACCTTTCAGACATTACCGGCACGATTGCAACGCAATAACACCTTGCTTAATTTTGCAAAATCGTGTATAGGCTGGTGGCCGTTTAACGCATTCATTAGTTAGATCGTAGCAGCGCATTAGCTAACCGGACGGGATTCACACAGCTCGACGTCCTCCTAATCCGCTCCAACCTCAGGCTGCCAGCATCGCACAGGATCTACACCCAGTCCCTGCTCGCCACCGCATGCGTTCTAACACTCAGTACAGTGTCTCAGAGCTATCTTTGTTTTGGTTTTATTTAGTGCGCTATGTGGCTACGTGGCTTAGGGCCGATTTTCACGTTAACCGGGTTAGAGCCTCACGCTGTTGGTATAGCACACGGGATCCACGTCATGTCACCGAAAGTTACCGGACATAACTTTTATGGACCCCGTGCACCGCCATCCAGAGCCTCTACAGGGTACAACAAGAAAACTATTCATAAGGCCCACAAACGCGCGATCCACAACAATAAACATCGCCTTTATGTCCTCCCGCCTGGAGCGAAATAGCGGCACTTTAGTCCAGAAGCGTTACTGCGATCAACGAATGCGTTGCTAAGTTATGCAATCTACACGTGCTAATACGCCTTGCACTCAGCATTCCTACAACCGCTATGCTGCCAAACAACGTCAAGTGACACTGATGACCTTTAAACTACCTGAGACGGTCTAAAGCGGTGTAAACAGCGATTTATAAGCTGCGGGTTTGCATAATCTACGTTGGGCACATGGACATTGATGCGTGCAACGCTGGGGCAACAGCAGTCGCCAGAGTGCGCCATTATAGAGATTAAATGGAAGTGGAGGGCTGTCATTTGACGGGCATTGTCTACTGCGTGAAGATCGCATGCATTGACTTGGGGTGAGCTACATTTCATAAATTGGAAGCTTCTAGTCAGAGGTCGTTAGATGGTTACTCAGTGAAAAGGCATAAGAGGTTCCTCGTTGGTCGATCTTCTTTTACAGCTCCGGAAATACCCTATTAATAGAAAGCCCAGAATCCAGCGAGGTCGTATATTGTGTTCAACATTTCGAAACTCACAGCATCCAACGCCTTGAGGAAATCTGAACGGATTATTTCAGTGCGCCTTTGAGGCACCTCGTAGCCCACGGCGTTCAATACCTTCTCCGAAACACGGTTATTAGACCCCATACATAGGGTTCCTTTAACTGAGGCCGCGTCGAACAAAGAACGTAGGCCTACGAACAACATTGGCGCGATTCCCACTAGGACCACTGCACAAGCTTCCGGGTCTTTCGCGCATGATGCATCCCATGTCGCTTCCGAACTGTATGCGGACTTGTACTTCCCAGGGGTTTTTATATCATCCAAGAACTTCTCACAACCATCCACAACCTCACCTAGGTCCTTCGCGATTGTTTCAGCAGTGAGATCCTTGCCCTTAACGGCATTGTTATAATCGCTGTCGGTGAGATACATCATGGGCTTACCGCGTCTGTGGCTGTCTTTATTCATACGCCTGTTGAATCTACTCTGCAGCCTTCTTACGAACCACTGGCCCTTAAGCTCTGGTTTCGCCAGGAAGTCCTTAGAAATAAGTTTAACATTCTCGAGAGCTGGCAACTCTGTGAAGCCAACAGGCTTGTCTGCAAGCAAATCGTAAAGTGCCGCACCCATGGCAGCCAGATTGTTTTTGGCATCAGACCCCTTGAGGGCTATCAACCAATCAATACCCTCCTTGAGGTCGTGAGGAGCCTCAGTCAACGAATTGAAAACCATCTTGTAAAGATTCGTTTAGTTAGACGGATGCTGTAAACGTATGTATTTTTGTGTATCTACAAGCCTGTGTGCAAACAGCTGTGTCTTAATGACAGATGAGCACAGGTGCAGCAGCCTTCTAATACATACGCACTTTTCAAAATATACAAGACCGTCAATACACCTAGCAGGTAAACCGTGAAGGCGCTATAAAAATCAAGCTCTCTTGTTTCAGCCAGATCCACACAATTAACCTGGCATGCAGAACGCATGTCATTGGGCTATGTAGGTTTCAGGCAGGGACGGCACATACTGGGTTTGGATATGTTGGCACATTTTGCAGTGGGTGTCGCAAATTAAAATGTTAAGATGGGTGGCGAAGAGTATTTTACAGAATCTACCCGCTCCAGTGGTTGTCATGTAGGACAAGATGTTGCTATTACTCAACCTATTTCTCATTTGCACGTGTATACACAAAATCCAGTTACCCACCCAATCGTTAGCATCATTTAACCGCAAAATGCGTGAATCGCCACATCACCTGTAATGTAACTTCTCAAATAAGGATATGAAACGGCCAATAACTCAGCTTCATAACCCACTAAAGCAAAGGTTGAGACTATTTGGCTCTTATTAGTCGACCACTGTAGCACTAACTGGAAACATTTGGTGTGTTGATTATTATGTTGCCGATTAGTTGGAAACGGAATGGGACATCGCTAAAGTCACCCAACCTGTCGTCATGCCATTTTATTGAGGTCGAGGGAGATCACTCGGGTTGGCACGCTTAGCTGTTATGCCTCATCACTAGTGTAATGCAAAGCGTTACAACAGAATAGACTATTATCTAGATGCGGTCATTACTGTGTGACACCAAGATGGCCTATGGGTCGTCGAAGTAATCAACGACTTGGTAGGGTGAGGGCATCTTCCCTCCGTGAGTAAGTAATGCCGCGGCATGTATGAGGTGGGACGCCCTGAAAGTCAAAAGATGTGTGTGGAAGGCAGTACGTCCCGGAGGTAAAGCATCGTGTGGGCAAAAAATAGGGTTGCGACAGACCAGAGTGCAGGCAAGGTATAGAATAAGGGCCTCCAGAGTCTGTAGAAGAAAATTTCCATGCAGGCCATGAGCATGGCAATAGGCTCACCGGAGACCACAACTTTCAGCCCGTCAATGAATCCGGAACTGGTGTGTGACGGCTGCCATATATGCTCCGGCGGCGTGAATACGTGAACGTCGATGAGGGCCAAGTATTTTCGGTGGTCGGTCTGTGGTAGCGATTTTTCGGTATACGATTGGACATGGAGGTGTAGTTAGCAAGGTCCTGAAAAATCAGGAAAGATTTTTGTTTACGTTGGTGATGGTTCTTTGATTTCATCTTGGTGTAAGGCTTGGCTTGGCTTGTCATTGATGGATTCACCCACTACATCTCCAGTGGCGAAACCGAGTTGCGAATCCGTAGGTTCCTGATTGCCTCTGGCATCAGGTATGGCATCTCCAGTGAATCCAGTACTAAGTACATGTGCCTTATACCACTTATTTGCTTCTTCATTTAGCTTCTGCAAGATAAGATCCGGATCTTCCGGCATGATTGTGCCATCTAAATATATCCCCACAAGATCGCTAAAATCATTTACAACATTTCCATCCACTTCTAAAATCACCTCCGTGCTAACTTCTGGCACTTCTGCCCCCTGTTTATCGTGCACCGTTTCACCATCGACACTGAGAATTGCCTCGCCATCAACCTGACCATTCTCACCCCCTCCCAAACTTTCACCTTCACCAGAGTCATGGTTCTTTGACGTCTCATTAGGGCTGATGTCAGAGCCATGCCCTATGTTGTCCGGGGTGCGCTGAACTTCATGATGCGTGGGGTCAGAAGAATCGATGCCTGGTGAACTCGATGAATTAGAAGTTCCTTCTGAAATTCTTGGATCGTCGTGTTGAGTTTCAAGAGCCCCTTTACTTTCTGCATCTTTATCATTCTGTTCATCCTTGGCATCATTATCCTGATTCTGTGCTCCGTCACCATTACTAGTCACAGGCTTCGTCACCTCGGTTACGGTGTTATCGGGACTTGCGTCAGCTTGAGGAACCTCTGGTTCTTTAGGTGGCACATCCGGAACTTTTTTTTCGGGCACGACTTCCTTGGGGGCTTCGGGAACAGTTACCGACGGAGTCTCTGGTTCTTTGACTTTTTCTTCTGGGCACGGCTTACCATTCAAAATCTCCAGAAGCTTCTCCAGGCCGCCGTCGTTGCTGCGAAGCATCTCTATTACAGCATTCCAGTCGTACAAACTTTTATGCTGCTCACTCGGCGATGTATAGATTTTCTCTCCGTAAAATGTGAAACCGTATGGGAAAAAATATTTCTTGAAATACTCCTCAAGCGCAACGTAATAATTCGAAACCATGTGGTGATTCCTATCTCTGGAGAATACAGCATGGTAGTCCGTTCCTTGATAAAGCTTTATTTTCTCCATATGCTTCTTCACATCGTTCAAATTACCTCTCAAGAATTCCGCCGTCTTCCGAACAAAATTCTTCTCGTTAAGATCCCCCCGTTCCCGCATATAGCCGGTAAAGGAAAATGCTTTCTCGTTGAACAACTTGCCAAAATGGGACATCAGTGAGGAGCAATGGGTTTTTAAAAAATCCCAATGTATATAACATTTTCCATCTGTCACAGCTTGTTTTATTATATCAGTGTTTCCGCTTTTTTCAGTCCCATTCACAATCTCGCAAAACTTATCCACCAACGCCAGAACATTTGCGGTGTTCGGAGTGTCCGAGCCGGCAGTGGACAACACGGATATAGCGAAGACGTCACGAAAAACATTGCAGTTGTTAGAACCTTTGTCGAAAATGTCTCTAAGGTCATTAGTCATGCTAAATCCCTGGCGGTAACCAAAAAAATCACTATAACCATATTTTATATCGCCTTTGAAAAATCCGCCGAGGAGAACTCCGGCGTCGTTGCGGTCATTTTCATTCCTAATAATCGTTGTGAGATATTTTTGCAGGGGGCCGCCCCAGTACCGCCCCAACCAATCCCGTCCATCGTACCCAGGATAATTATCCTTCCACCGACCGCCGCCTAGCGTCTCGAAATTCCCATTCACATCGTACCACAGATAATAGATGCCAGAAAGGAATTTGGGGATGCATTCCAGAAGAGCGTCGGTGATTTGTTGTACGTTGGCTTTGTTGTCAAGTGAGGCCCCGATGCTAAGTGCTTTTCGACGAGCGTCGTCTTTTGCCAATTTGTCATAAAAGTTATATACCTTGGAGACGAAATCGGTCAAAGCTGTTTTAATGCATTGCTCATTAATACCACTATAATAATTACTAATACGGCCGTATAATTCTCTTGCCACCTCGCCAAGTACCGCGAACTTCTCAGTATTCAACCAATGAAAAAATACGAAACAGTCCCTCAGAGTGGTAAAATAGAATCTCACAGCCGACTCCATTATGGACTCGCATAAGACTATTGCACTATACTAACGGAGAAGCAGCAAGCCAAACCCGCAAAAAACAACGGCAAGGCGTCTGAGGATGCGCGCAACGCAAAACGTCTAAAGTTAACGAAGATATAAAGTGACAGCGCAACCAATCAGGCAATAAAGTCACCGCGTACAACGCAACATGACCAAACCTCTAAGCGCATGGGCGAATAGGCTAAAAAGTGAAACGTTGAGTGGAAAATGCGTCACGCTAAAACGAGGCACGCACACACTCGAAATTGCAAACCAAAACAGGTCTGGACTGCTCTGAAAAACGCAGTAAAGAAAACTAAAGTCACATATGCCAATCAACTGAGGCGAATGGAATGAGACAATCCCATCAATGCACCAAACCCGGAGCCCTGCTGGTAGAGAGGCTGGAGCAGGGTGGAAAGACGGCAGATATCTCGAGAATTACGAGTTGAAGATTGAGCAATTCTTCTGGCGCTGCAATGCGACGTCGCCTAATGGTAAGTAACAAACGTTCAGTGACCCCGATTAGCTACAGCACAACGCACACAAAAGACACCACATCCACGCGCGATGCAGAAGCTAGTACCCCAGCAGATCACGCACACACGCCGAGCAAAATGTCTTGAATGCGACGGATATTCGCCTACCGTATTGCGGTGTGTTAGTGATTGTCAATATTACGTCCTCGTTGCGCGCTGTCCTTTCGACGCGCCAAATCGTCCAACCAACGGTATGACAATTTGGTTGTCTGCCCAGTTCCCAGTTGACGTGTACAATTTCATATATACACATTTCCCGTGTGTTAAGCATATTAACGAGGAACCGTGTATCGTGACAGATAGTCTCGCATCCCACCCCTAACGAGATCGGTCTCCCTATTGAGCATAGAGTTGTCCGATTTTATCCACTTCCTCCGATCGTTGACGCTATTTGCTCACATTCTAACTCCTTTTCTCATGTTTGAAGTCACAACCTGAAACGCTGGATTGCTGGATGACATTCATCCCATAAAGGTGTAGGCTATGTGGCTCGATCGGGTGACATTTCTATACACTCGGTTGTCGGTGTGACTCGCCGTAGCGTAGCCAGACGTCTGATGAAGTGCGCCGTGGACGTCTGCTGAGCAGATTGAACCATCCACTTCCGCTGGTTGCCTACGGTGGGCAATCGATCACCGACGTGATGGTCGCTTATAAGCATTACTCGAGCTTCTCATTTCCACAAGGTACGACATATCACTATTTGCTGCGTTTTAAGTGTATTGCGAGCCCTTTAACGTGGCGACGACAGATTAAGACGGCATAGTTACGCCTTCCTTATTCCGGCAGTGCCAGGTGAACAATATTAGGATGATGCACAATGCCAGATTACCCTACATCAGACCTACGGCCATCTTCACAAGTTACAAGCACCTACGACAACACAAAAACAAGTTGTTTAATTTCAAACCGCAAGTGCGACATTCTAGCCCAACTGCAAGATGACACGGGAATACAAAAAAATGATAAAAATCAGAGCCTGTCATTCACCGATACGTTGTCGCATCTAATCTGCGTATTACTTGGGGTACCAGTGCCGGATGTAAATAATGCGTATTTATGTTTGTGTTTGAGACGTTTAGGGAGGTGAGGCGAGATGCAACAAGGAATGACTGGAGATGTAGGGAGAATGTTAGAGAAAGTTGTATTACGGTATTACCGGAACTCCATAGCAATATCACGGCGTAATGATATATGTAGAAACAATATGCAATCACGAAACTTGCATGCTACATTAAGGTGTTTGTTAGGTGTCTGGGTGGGCCAGGCAGCGGCATCAAGGTGGCGATTATCATCGCGGCTGTAGGTAGACCAGCTTGGCGAGTGCGTTAACGAGTGCGGCGGAGAACAGCGACTGGGAGGCGATGCTGTGGCTTGAGGGAGATCTCAGGTGGGAGCGGATACAGATACTACATTGAGTTATCGCCATTCCGTTATGTTAGCCTATGCGCACCTCATGCTCTGCCACTATGTAATTTACGAACGCGTTCACCGGGCACCTGCGATTTTTGAAACATTTAATAATACGTTATCAGATTGGCATTGTGCCATTACTGTCCAGAACAGTGCGATAAAAACGTTCACTTGCGGACGAAACAATCGCGGACCTTGTGAAACGGCCGAATGCGTTTCATTATCATGATGCATACGGCGATGAGGATAATTGCGATGACGGTGATGGGAGCGATGACAATGCTTATACATTTGTTTCTACAACAATCACATTTACAACTCCACAAACCTGCTTCTGCACAATTCGAACAGCAGTAACCGTATGTCTTGTATAATTGTCTGGACTTAACGCATACACTGCACTGTTCGCTGGGTGTACACCACTGACAACACCATGGACAGCACCTACAACTGCTGTCACTACACCTGCTGCCCCTTCCAACACAACTACACCGACGACTCATCTTCCCTTCCCTCCCCTATCATCAACCTGCACAGGTATGAAACACGTACCTTGACCTCAAACAGTAGCACCGCCAAGTCGCCTCCGATGCGTGTTATAAGACCGGCCGCCAGGGATACCACAGTGCACATGCAGGAACGACAGACTCTATTCACTTTTAATTACGGACAGAATACATATTGTGTGTTTGCCATCATATTGGTACGCTACTGGGTTTCTACGTGAGCCACGGTGCGTATTTATCATATTACTGATCGCCACAACGTACACAAATGCGACTTAACTAGACCGTGCATTGGCCATCACGTCGGATAGACACGGCGACCTTCATTGCCTAGCAACGTACAAGATAACTAACACCTCAACTACTCATCTAACAGACGACTGAGTAACTCACCTACCACAGCGCTGTCAGCAGCCTAGGTTGATGGCCAACCACCCAGCTTTACAGTCCACCGTTACCGTGGGATGACGCAGCCACGTCCCACGGGTAACGCACAACTCAACATCCCAAAACACGAGCATGTTAACTCATCACCTACATTAGGTACGTTATTAGACGTTTGCTTAGGTGGTAATTTGCACTTTGGTGGGCTAGTTGAGTAAGGCTAGGCAGATTGTTGAGGTGCGTGTCACCAAGGCCTTGCAGGCTTTTGTGGAGATAGACAAATCTCTTAAGATGGATTTGAAGAGTGTGAAAGATAAGATTAAGAAAGGGATTTGGCGCAAGATTGTGGAGTTCAAAGTTGATAAATTGGATGATTTGGTGAAGAGTGATTTGGTGACGTTGAAGGGGAAGATTCTAGATCATGCAGATACTCTAGAGGATCAATCTGCCAGTCGTATTAAAACTGAGTTGGGTGCGCTTGCAGCGCAGAAAAAAGTTTGGATGGTATTGACGGTAAGCCAAATAGTACAATTCAGCGGGCGACTGCGAATCTTCAAAGTATGATTGAGAGTGCATTCAAGACTCCGCTTACCAACGTGGTCCAAAAAGTTGACGTAGTCATAAAACGATGGGCTTGGCAGTGAAATGTGGAATGAAGGTAACAATATCAATGGCCTCGTCAAGATCAAGAATTAACTTGAGAAGCTGAAAAACGAGATCGTTCAAAACCTGAACACAAAATTCGAGAGCTACGTAAGGCGATTTGCGACTCCGCTGGGGATGTCAGGGCCTTACTCACCGGAGGAAGATGCCATCACCCTACCACGTCGACTACTTCGACGAACTCCCTGTCGATCAACTTGGCGTGTCGCGGCAATTATTGCATCCACGAAGTCATTTGTTATGTTGGGTTAGGTGCTATGACAGTAGTGATAAGTAGTGTTAGGGTTGTAGGTAGTGCTGTGACATTCAGGACGCAGACGAAGCAGTCGTATTTCTAAGCTTAACGTAATTACGGGGCCACGGTTGAGACTTCACCTAACTAGCAGGATGTTACGCAATGTGGTAGACATGTTTAACTAGTCTTGTGGATGAGTAGTAAGGTTACTGCTGCAGTCCCCCTTTGCCAGTGGAATGCGAATCCAAGCAATCGGTCGTCCAAGACACCAACTAAGGAGCGCCACCTTAGCTAAGCTAGTGACTCATACCATGGGTGTCTGGGCATCATGTTAATGCTTGTGTGTGCGTCTAGAGGATGTGTGTATGCGTGGCCATTGTCAATATGCGTCATGAAACCGGCGCACTTCCGACGCGATGAACAGCGGAAGGCGTGCTTAGGATGCATTTATGAGTGAAATTCGTGTAATCATTGACATTGTAATACCGCACCGTAACTAACGTAGACAGCTGGTAGCGCACCCATGACGCGGCCGAAAGTATACATCCAGTTGAGTCTACCGTGCGTTTCTGAATCCTATGTGGTTGAGTTTTGTGTTATTTTCACAATGCTAGCAACAAAATTCCTGAACGCAGATGTTTTTTTTGGATGTGCAATGTGTGCCGGCGTTGCGTGACTTTGGAACACAGGGTGGCATGGCGCTACTTGACGAGGTGTTTAAACAATTGCAATACTTTATCCTAAGTTTGTAGGGATGGGTAGAAGGGTTCAAGAATGGAAGGATCAAGTTGACCTGTCTCAAACTTGTTCATGTAATGATGATGGATTTGGAGATAACCATGGCCTACAGGTAAAGCCGTGTGACAGCGATTGTGGAGGCTGCGGGTTCATATGTGCTTGCCAATGCTGCAAACCTCGCCAACGTGCAATATATGGGGGACTGGCCACGGGTGCAGTAGTGCTTGCGGTAGCGATCGGCCTTGTTGTCTACTACATCGTTACGCATCATGTTGCGGCCCTCAAGAAAGTTCGTGACTACGTCTCGAATAAACTGTGGGGTCCCAGAAAATTAAGATTCATCCCCAGATCGGAGCTGGATGCCCCCAAAAGTACGCATATTACTGAGGAGATGGACATTGACCCCTACTCTGCCTTCCCCTCCAAGGACCTCACAGATTCGGGGTCCAAGTGGAATCTGAATATCGCAATAGCTGCCGTTTCACGGCGGTAGCGCCAAGCACCATGTCACGTTCTCACTACGGGAGCATGGAACTACCGTAAATAACGATATCCAATGTATGCCGAAAAGAGGCAAGCCTCCGCCCAATGTCTCGTAACATCACCTAGCGCACAAAGCGTACTGTGGTCATGCCATATCCGACGTCAATGTACTGTGGCTACACAGGCGAAAAGCAACCAAATTTAGACGCGGTCCCAGCGCAGACCGGGTGGCCGGAACGGATATTAGGCGTTGAATGCAGTATAGACATTTAAAATTATCGCACTGTCACTTCATTTATTACACGCGTTTATTCGCTGGTTGACATATCGTATGGCACTGTCAAAAGTCGGTTGCGGGCCGAAGGTGAGCACGGTGCTATAATCGTCGAACTTCGACACACCAACGTGGATAGCCCCTGGCGCCAAATGCATTAACGTTTTGGCCCATTCCGCAACGTTGTCGTAAGTAACCCTTTTCGTGCCGTACTTGGTCATGAACTCCGCCAGCCACTCGATGCGCAACACCGGCGGCGAGGTGTCCGCGATTGACAGGTCCACAAGTGCGTTCACAAAACGGCGAACATCCTTCCAGTAGGACACGTCGTGCTCTTTTAGCTTGGTGCTGTTGGCACTCTCGGTGGCGAGACGCTTCGCGCTCTCCCTAATGCGGCGCATGCCTGGGGTGTCGAGCAGCTCCGTGTCCATGGGCAACATGGGGGCCTCCCTCATCCTCTTAGTGTGGAGGGACACGTAACGTGTAGAATCGTCTTCGTAACGATCGTTGAAAGACATGTTTGACGCACTGTCGGGCGAGCTGAGCGTTCTACTTGTGGTAAAGTACTCGTTCTCATGAAGCCGCCGATTAGCGCTGAGCAGTGCGGTCGGTCGCGGCGAGACGGTTTCGGTGCATTGTGACTGTCTTGAAGCGGAACGCGTAGGTGTTGACATGGGAGCAAGCATAGCGTTGTCCTTGGCGAGGCTTCTGCAGTGCTTCGTCGGGAGGGCTGCCATCGGCATAGGCAGCGCCATGTCTGGAGCAAACCCGTCACACGAGCCCCTCTCCTGCACGTATTCCGCCTCACAGCGCGCTACCCACGCACACAGGACGCTCTTAAAGGCGAAACACGTACTTTCGAAATCGCTGTTCGACGAGCATACTTTCCCGTCCTGCTTGTGTATTCTCACTTGGACGTCGCTGATGACATCCCCGCGACACTCCGCGTACTCGTTTTTATATCGCCTTCGCACTGAATCACTTATGCTGACCCACTTCAGCGTTATTAGGTTTGGCGCCATCCAGGCCATTTGCCTAAGTTGATCCATCGTGAAGTCCTTCCTCGACATCCGCTGCACCATCAGTTGCACCACCTTGAAGTAGGGGCGATCACTACGCATGGACGACCTCCTGATAAATGTGCACATGTTTTTGAAGTGCTTGTAGAGAGTGCTCATTTCCGCCCCCATTCTGGCTTCGGAGATCATGCCTTTCGGCAACCTTGCGTATGCCATGGGGTTTACCTCCTCCTTTCGCATGTCTTCAAGTCTGGCGCCTCCGAAGGCGTCGAGATCGGTGGCATACCCGGTTCCAAACATGGTCTGAACGTATCTGTTGGGTGTGCTGGACGCATGAACTCCGGTTGAGCGTCCCGGCGTGCTTATGGGACTCGCATTGGTCCACTGGGTATACGAAGAGCCTAAAGACGCGGGTTGCGTCGAATCGTACCCATAGTCAGATTGCGATGTTGACAGCACCGTGTTGAAGCTGCGTATCGGTGTCTGGGTCGCCAACATGTCGTCGTCGTCCAGGTCGACACCAATAAACCCTTTTGAGCTCTCTTCTAGCCTGTCAGTCCAACAGCGCGATGCCCCAAGGACCTTCAACGACCGTTCCACGTCTTCGTCGTCGGGATATTTGCGCATCCTGGCGCTCCTCACCGAGTTTGCCAGAATTGGGTTCTTCACCAAATCGTCACTCACGTTCACATACGTATCGTTGTCATTCCTTCCTAATGTGCGCATTGGCACACTACGAGATTCTGGTCCATGCGGCTGCCACCTCGAAGGGGTCCTCAGTGCTGCGCCTCGAAATGGTGTTACATCCGAGGACATGCAATCGTTATTATTCGCTCTCTCGTCAAACAACGTTGCCGAATCAGATTCTGCATTGGAAACATCCAAACGACACGAATTAGACAACAGCTGTTGCCTCCATTGGACGCGTTCCCTCATTGACATTGTAGGCGACATACTATCTGCCTCCTCAATGCCACGCAGAGCCGACGATGGACGAGGGTGCTTGCTCCGCAACTTGGGAGTGCCAGGTGTCACACCAACCGCATGCGGTGGCATCATAAAGTCGTCCGCCGTAAATCCCACGTTCGTGGCTTCGCTTCGGGGCCTGCACAGCGGCGTTGCAGATTGGTCGAGTTCCCCCGCGGGTACAACCACCTTATTAACGCCATCACGCACGCATCTTGTTGTGTCTTCTTCAACGTGAAAGGAAGTTTGATCCTCCCCGAGGAACGCGTTCGGTGGCAACAGACACTCCATGGTCCTCGTTCAGGTACACCGTTGCACGTGTAGCCTTTGTTGGCCGTGGACAACGCGTCATACGACACACACTATAATTATTTGACCCTATCGCACGTCTCGGAACGGAAGGATCTTGTCTACTCGGGTGAATCCAGCCAACCTACCGGTGGCTCGGCGGACGGTATGGCAGAGGCTTTCCTTCAAGCCAACAGACCATCGCTCCTCATAAATTATCTAGCTTGTAATTTTTAGCGTTGGAATCTATACAAATGTGCCTGTTTCCTGCACATTACAGCGTCAGAATCCCCATAGCTCAGCCGGCACGCTGTACCGAAAACACGTTAGCACGCCTTCTAATGGCGCCCGCCAAATTTCGCCTTTTAAGATCAACATTAGTCGTATTAGCTGTGCGTAAGTGGCCCCTAGAGCCGTTGTTGCGTTCCTCAGTCAGCGACGAAGGAAGCTGAGGTGGTTACCGGTACCACCGGTGTCCTCTGCTGGTTGTACACGTTGTATGCGATATGCGCGTCATCCGCTGCCCACGTAATGCTGGTTGGCAGGCTTTGGTCGCAGAATGAGCAGCTGAGCGTGAGCGAAGGGAGGTTGAAGACCTTGATCATGTTTCCATACGTACCCACGGCGACGAACGTGTCTGACGCGTTGACCGTTATGGTGGTCGGGACCTGGTCGATGAGGATGGATGAAACCACAGTTTCGGCGGCGACGTCCCAAACTAGCAGTTGCCTGTCCATGGCGATGGTGCATAGTTTGTTCACGGATTTTGAGTGGTGCCCATACTGCCACGACGCTGCGATGATGCTTTTGGTGTGCGCCTTGAGTGATGTTATATAGCCCTGTGCACCGTGACCGTCCGGCTTGTATATTTTGAGCACTTCCGTGCTATCGATCATTGCCAGGCACTTTCCCGTGGGCCCCCACTCCATGAATTGCGGGTTCGATTGCACGGCACCCTGTACGATTGCGCTTGCATTTGTCGCGGTGTTATAGATGCGAACTGTCGCGTCCGCGCTGGCTGCGGTGAACACCTCGTGGTCCCTCCAGTCTATTTCTGTCACCACGGCACCCTGGTTGTACACAGTGACGTGGTGGATGCCATCTTCTACCTTGAACACGTGGATATTGCCTGCCGCGTCTCCCGCCGCCAATTTGCATACGGTGTTGGCATCGTCAGTCTCGTTCCAAAACCGCTTGTTGCCTGAAAACGCCGCAGCCGTTATTGGCGCGCTGCCTAGTCTGCCTCCGCACAGCCGGCGGCCTTTGGTGTCCCAGATGACAACGGCGCCCGATTCGTAGCCTGCGCAGAGCACGTGCCCGTCGTACCTCCACCTGAGGCAGGTGCCTACGCCCTCCGGGCCACCGGCCGCTTCGGTAAGTTTAACGGCGGGGGGCACGATCTGGCACGTCCTGATCCTGCTCACCTTCGAAACACGGTACAGGGCCGGCGGCGCACCCTCCACTCTGCGCGTGCGTGTTGGCGCTAATCAATGTCACCCACCTCTTTGCGATGTATCCCGGCAGTGCGGGGTTAAAGTGTGCACTCGCTGCGGTGCCTTTAGGGCCGTAGTCCAGCAGACACATGTAGCCGGCCACCTGCCACCTGTCTGCCAGTCTCCTCTGCGGCGGTCCCACGTAGATGGGTGGGAGTTGCGCCAGCGAGTTTCCAACGTGAGGATTTCCGTCGGCATCTGCTATACCTGCATCGGTATGAGTGGATAGGTAACCGCAAGACGGGTCAATTATGCTGGTCTTCCGCATTACACAAACTCCACACAGCATGTATACACCATAATGAGGCAGGCTGCTCATTGCAATCACCCGCTCCCAGACACGTCGACTACTGTCACATACATACAACTACAATGGCGTGGCTCTTCTTAACTGTACGTACCTGAACGATTTTTAGGCGCCGCACTGCTGGCGCCTTTCGCTCCACTACGGCCGGCCTCGCGTGCCTTTTCATTTTGCTCTGCAGCGAGCTGCAACGCTTCCTTTATTGGCAGGCCGTTTTGTTGCCCCAGTTTGCGGAAGCAGGCGTGTTTCCGGAAGAACGAGAAGGGCTCCTCGCACACGATCTGTTCACCGGTGAGGTCATCCGTGTGGTACTCCAGGTAGATGTATATCATCGCCTTCTGCATGAAGGAGACGAGCGCGTTCGGCGGCAGCTTGTCCGCATGGTTGTTGTAGTATGGATTCCTGTGTATTTCGGCCTCCTTGCTGAACGCGAAGGCCGTGTGGCTGTACCTGCGCAACGCTTAGGCTGGTTTGGGAGCGAGTTGGCCGTCACGCCGGGTCCGTGCGCCCGAGTTATGCCGCGCCCGCAACTCACCCGTTCTCTATCAGGTAACGGTACACCAGAAGGTTGATGTCGTCCGAAGACAGGTTGATCTTCATCCTGCCGCGGCGGTTGTCCGCTGACACGGCACGGCGTCAGACAGCGACACAGGCGCCAATCAAGCAGCGCGCCCTGACACACACGAACGCTCAGAAATGCCGACTCAAATCCGCGGTTCACCTAATGTGTAACACCATAGCCCACCACCCGCGACCGGCACACGGGCGAGGCGTGCTGTATGCGACGCACGCTTCCGGCAAGAAGTCACCCTAAACATTTCACAGACGGCGGTTCACTATAACACAATACAGAGTCTGCATTTAAAGATTGGGAATTGCATATTAGAGGCCTACACGGTAGGTACATTTGAGTTTATGATAATGTAAGCTTCCTCTTCGATGTGCTGAAGCATACCGTCTACTAGCGTTGACGTGTCTTCGGATTCAAATGATCTGTATTGCGTATCTGCTGATTCTGTACGCTCATAATTGAGCGTGTTTTTCTGCTTCGTTATCCAAACCCTGGCGTGGAAGTTAGGTGGACCTGTAACACTCTCCAGCGCCGTCTTGCTTCCCAAGAATCTGGCCATTTTCTTTTCCATATCCTCCAGATTCCATCGCTGATTTATCGTAAACAAAGAAGACAGAACATCTCTTAGGCAAGATTCGTCCTCATTGCGGTATACCTGCAGTTGGCACGTGATTCCATCATCCTTTGCAACCAAACTCTCGGAGACAAATGATAGATGTAGAGACAACGGACTCCTGCAATGGGATAGCAGGAAATTCATTGCATACTTGAATCTGAGTTGTGTGAGTCCCTTGGTGTTAAGTTTGAAAACGCCATAATTCAAACACGGCGATTTAGTCTCAAGCACTTCGTCATTGTCGCGACTCACATCGACAGCGAAAAGCTTCTTGCCACTTAGCGAAAACTGCGTTGCATCAAAGGGGGTTTGTTTTTTACTCCTGAATATGCGTGACATTTTCTCGGCCACGTCGGTAAACGATAACTTTTCATAATAGAACTTTAGGCATGTAACATAATCAAGCACATCCTCGTCAGTGTGCAATATACTGTTAATGAGATATTGTATCATACCGTCTAACAGATAGGAAGGCACTGATGGTGCGAATAACAAAGAGTCGACCTTTCTGATGACGGCAAGATACGTCATTTTTTTGTTTTCGTTTGCGATAATTATAGCCCGGACTATTTTACGATGTATCTTAAAAAGGTTCAACTGCATGTTCGTATCCAACAGTTTGTCTTCGTTCCCCATGTTGTTCAAATAGTCTTCGAGCTCCGTAAAGGTTTCATGGAGATCACACAAGCCTCGCATTATTTGGAACAACGACTTGGGGGTTCTCATATGCGGTGGTAGAAAATCGAACTCTTGTTGGAACGACATAACCATCATCCATACATCCCGCACCGAGGGGTTTACGGCGTCACTTTTTGGTCTTTCACTTCTGGCGAAGTGGATGTCCAACGTGCGCAGAAGCGCAATGCAAAATTCTGCCGTCAAAATGGGATCTAAATAGGCAAATTTATCTCCACCTGTATACATGTAATCACATGGGGATGCCGGAACGGCGTTCATGAGGAACCGCTTGATCTGTGCATCGGAGGCAGGTAGTGAGTCCAAGATGGTTTGCAACGACACCTTGTCCTCTTTCCTTATACTTGATAGGTTGGGCGCCGTCTTTATGAGATTGTGCACGTAAGTACAACGTCCAACAATCGACAGGATATTATACGACTTATCTTCGTGAGTTTCTATTTGCATGGGATTAACGAGCAGGATCTTGCCACCCAATTCCACCCTTTCGAGGAAGTAAGTTTCATCTTGCACGCTCACAACAAGCCTCGATTGCTTACTTCCCGAGTAGTTAGTTACCAGTTTGAAGTACCCTTGTTCGTTCATGAACAGATCCACCATGTAATGCTCCACCCTAATCAGCAGCCACTGGGGGTCGGTTAATTCCAACTCTTCCGATAGACATAAAAACCAGGGCACGCCATCACCCATATCCGCGGAGTGCTGAATAATCGACGGCCTTTCACTGAACACGATCTTCGCACGCGTGACGGCAGATATTTCAAAGTAAGCCTCATGCGTTTCCATACATTCGCCGCCGGACGTTCCATCGGTGCAGGTGCAACTACAATGGTTCTCCACCTTTCTAAGTACCAAGAAATAATCTCCTGCTTCCAGATCCACGTACCGTCCGTTGATAATGTGAGCGCCAACGGTCAGGGTGATCTGCCCATCACGCCTAGCAGTCGCAATTTCACCTTCGGATTCTAAAAGCGGCAGCGACGTAGTGAGCTTTCCCCATGCTAAGGAAACACCCGAGACGCTGTCTATGGTTGTAGTCCTTGAGATAGCACGCTTGCCATTGACATCGAAGCTCCTCGTGATGTTCAAGGCGTTAATGGCCATGGGCTGATGTCTTTTGGGGTGCTTGCTGCGATCACGCGGATCCGTTTTATACCCCGCAACCTGCGATGCTATGGCTTCTTTGATCGGATCCTTGATGATCTGTGGCATATCCCCGAAGAATTCGAGTAGCGAGATTGGCCCGAATAATCGACCACATGTTGCACCTGAATGGTTTATTTTGACGCTTAAGATTTTGAATCTGAATGTCTCTGTGTGATTCTTATCCTCTTTCTCGGCATCGCCTTGTGGATAAGCGCTACCCGTGTTGCTTCTACAGCAAGAAGGTATTTGCGACATCATTGTCACGCTGTCTTCATTCCCGTACACGCATTTAACTTGCTCAAACCTTACACATTACATGTGCAATCTACATGCACTTAATTTATATACCGTATAATTCCGTATCATACACGTAGACATCTATGGATGGAATCATCTGCAGCCTTATGTGATGGGAGGCGTGTGTAGACACCGATTGACCAGCGACCAAAACTGTAACATCCAATCCTTCTTATATACAAAATACAGAACTTAATGCACTATATGACGGCTTCGGAAGTCTACTGTGTTCGCGGTTAAGGGACGACCTGGGATACTGCAAGTGCCGGTGATGAGTCATCGATCCTTCCGCTTGTGAATGATGCTTTTGCCATGAGAATGGCAAACTTTATTACCATGCTATGACATCGCCGTGTTGTTATAGATACGTCTCATGATGGTGTCGTGTGTCTAGATTTGCGATAAATAATTTTGACTGCGACGGACATTCACGGCGACCATGGACGACCGACGCATCGTGTTTGACGCCGACCTGGATGCATACGTCGACGAAGGCCCATGCAGACCGCCTATTTGCCGTCATTCACGGCAGTGTATAGCCTTGCACGGAGGCATCCCTCCTCAGGAGAAGTACTACACGCTTCCGCTTTCGTGCATCCAGAACCACTGCTGGATCGACAAATGGAGTTTGACTAGTGACAAATCGCACTTACAGCTGCAATGCGGGATATCGCTGCAGCTTGTGCTGAACGAACTGCTGAGGGACTCCACTATCAGCATCCACGAGTACTACGAGACCCTGAAGTGCTTCAAGCAGGTGCGTCATAGTACATGCGCTTTAGACATTAAAGCGTACAGGCAGTCCAGGGAAACCTTCATCGCATCAAAGAGCTCCAATTCTCCCAGAAGCGTAGCCTGCCGATGAAGCTCGACGGCAAGCTTGTAAACTACAAGAACGAAGGCACCACGTGGATCTTCTTCCTGGAGCGAGTCCACATCGCGATGGGCAAACTGACTCTCTCGTCCCCTTCCATGAAGCTATACGTCACAAAGTCCAATTCATAGGCCCCAAACGAGCGCATTCACTGCGTTATTGCTTTGTGTTGGCTGCTGTGGCTCAACACCCATTTGGCGGCACGCTGAACAGAAGAGGCAACTTTAATGCTGCCGCGAGCGGCATGCCTTATCTGCCCACATATTGTCATTTAATGTAGATTTTGTACTATTTTGCTATCGTAATCGCGCATTCCACCACTGTAATAGGTATGCTAACATCAATATTGTCGGTCATTCCTCTCATGGCCATATGTCCACGTCGTCCCATTACCGTACCACTTCATTAAAATCGCATACTTAAATTATCACACCATTACCATAAACACGTTACTGCACTATCATATCATTCCCACAAACACAACATCTAGCTATCACATTATTACATCACAGGTCCCGTGGCAGCACTGACATGACCACCCCCAACGTCACCTCATACCACTGCCTCGTGATTCGGCACATCGTCCGGCTGTTTGATGAACTTGATCTCATGGCTCTCCACGGTCTCTCTTGGCGTGTACAGCACCTGCTTCGGGTACACCAGCTCTCTCAGGGTGTTGACCAGCCGTTGCAGCCCCAGCCTGTGCGGCGCCGAGGTGCCCACCACCCTCACGTGCGGCGTCTCGTTCCTCAGCTTGTAGTACACCTTGTCGAGGTTGTAGAGCGTCTCCTTGTGAAACATGTCACATTTGGTCATGATCACAAGCTCAGTCTTGTCCTCCTGGTACATCCTCGACGCCTTCACTATGGCCCTCAGTTGTTGCAGGGTGTCCACCGGGTCGTCGTCATCAGCTGCGTTGATGACATATGCTACTACTTTCGTGCGATATATGTGCCGCAATATCCTTGCGTAAATATCCTCGTTTTCTGCGGAGAAGGGTGGCAAGTCCATCAGCCTGAGGTCGAGTCCGTCCACGAACCTCAGCACCGCCACGTGCGGCCTGGTGGTGGAGCCCTCCTCGGGCCCAATCCTGGTCATGTACGACGTAAGCGCGCTCACGAGGCTGGTCTTGCCCGCGTTCGGCCTTCCGATGAAGGCAACATCGTTTATCAGCCTCAGCTCCAGTTCAATGTGAATGGTCTCCCCGACCTCAGGCAACCTGTTGTCGTGCTTCTTGAACGTCGACGGGCCTAGCCCACCCTTCCCACCTCGTGCCACCACTATGGAGCTCCGTTCCTCCTGGAACTGGTGCCTACAACCACCACGTGAACACGTGCATCGCCAAGTGCTCCACTTACCAGAACACGCTCCGGTACCCAGTCATGGTCTTGATGCGCTTCCTGACTATGACTCCAAGCGGCACATTCACCGTGGTATGCTTCGCGTGCTTTCCGCGGCTTGTTCCCTCCGCATCCCCTCCGTTGTTCGCCTTGATGGTCTCCTCGATGTGCAGCAGGCTCTCCACCAGGTGCGTCGGCTTAAGAATGACGTCGCCACCGTGGCCGCCGTACCCCGGCCCCGCCAGCCTTCTCGAGCGGTTGACGTTCGGAAGCGGACTGCCGCCGTGCCCGCCCTTGCACTTGACCCTGAGGTAGTCCACGAAGGGCGTCTGGTACCTGGCAACAACTTGGGTGTGCGGCCGGCATGCGTTACCTGGGGAAAGTCTCCTCGTGCTTGGGCGCCATCAACTCGCCAAAAGCCTTGACGACATCCTTGTTAAACGTCCGGGCCACCCCTGCGGCCCTTCTGGGCGTCAACATCAGCGCCATCGCCTCGATGTGTAGCCCTCTTCATCTCCGTCGTTCGCTGCCATCGGCGGCAGGCCAACGATGCAGCCAACCATCTAATTCCGATGAATCGACGCCATATAACGTCTAATTAACCCACATAAAGCGTCTACTGCGTTGTCTAACGTCTGTGTTGATCGTGGCGCCCACCTGCTCCGACCATACACCCCGTCAACAGCGTCGCCATGCGTCCCATTCTTGGGCGGTTCCACGCCACAACCGGCCTCCCAAAATTCCCAGAACTTGTCTTTGGCACTGTGTGACCATCTGCAACGGCAACATGTGTCAGCTGGCGAGTTGCTCCTCCCGTTGGATTCTACGCGGCAGATGGCTGCTTCACAGCGCCGCGGCGCCCTGCCGCGGCGCTGTCGTTCCTCCAGGCGCCATCCACTCCCTCTGCCGCCCTTATGTGCGGGATGTGCGCCATTTGTTGAGCGCATTGTCCGACAATAGCTTCCCAGCCGCCCCTGCCATCGGCAACGTTGAGGGTACTGTTCGCTACTCATCCGTTGAGTCTAAACGCTTTGCAGACAGTGTTACCGTCGCTACTTCTGCCGATTCAACAGCAGTTACGCCAACGGACTCTCCCGAAGAGTATTGCAACGAGATCCTGTCTGACCCTCTGTCCGATGTGAGCGTGGAGGAGAGCGCCCGGTTCGTCGTGCCGTTCCCAAACAGCGATCGACCACATCTGCTAGAGGTCATAACTCGCCCTTTCAGGTATGTGACTATATAGTTTTACCGCCGTTAACGGCCTGCGTACAGGAAGAACTACACGTTCGGCGCTGCCTCTATCATGCTGCACCTGTGCGTGGAGCGCCTCGAGAACGAGGAGCTGACGGAAGCGTTCGAGATCGGCCCGGGGTTCAACCGCCGTGCGTACCTGCTGTTTTTGCACGTGTGGCTGCTGCATAGGCGAGCAATGAAGGAGTGCCCGCTGGGCATCCTGCTGGACCGGTACCTGTTCCGCTGCGCGTTTGAGCTGCTGGGAGAGTGGCTGACCATGCGCGGCGTGGCGGAACACCGTTTCAAGCGCGAGCGCGAGAACTGCCAGGCGTTCATGATGAAGTTCCTGGTCGAGCTGGACCAGTGCACTCTGGACGAGGAGCTGTACGCTTTCCTTTCGCGTGCCCTGTTGCCGTACGTGCCTGCGGGGCAGTCGGCGATAATCGTTTCAGGCGCACATGCACCTGACCGCGACGTTAGGATCCACCGTGCAGTCTCTTGTGAAGTCGAGCAGCGGCACTCACGCGTCGAACCTGGGATTCGTTTCTGGACATGTTCCGTGAGATGTTTGCACAGCGACTTGAATCCGCCGCGGCTGTTTTTTTCCATGATATTCTGTAACAAGTTACTGCTACCTTCCGTAGCAGCGTTTTGTGCACCTACTGATGGCGCGTTAATGTCATGACATGCGGGCAGAGTTTTATCCTCCGGCCCTTTCGGGCAGTGCAATGCCACTATATTGTGTTCGGCGATGTTGAATGTTGCACTCCTGTAAGTGCTCCTTGCGTAGGCATAGTCAAGCCGAAACAATGCGTCTTCGGCACTCACCCCGTAGTAGTTGGAAGTGTTGCTCTGTATGTATACCTGTACGACGGCGACATCGCTGTGCAGGTCGTCCCAAGAATTGTTCCTTGCGCACAGAAAGTACATTGCATTGTCGCTTCTCGACGACAGTTTGTAATCGGGGTCTAGGTACAGCTCGACGGACGATGTTAGGGCTTTTGGTTGTTTCACCATAGTCAGCCCATACATGGCCCTGGTGGCGTAGACTGGCCTGCCACGAATTTTGTCCGCGAGGACACCTGGGTAGAACCGCGGTATGTCGTCGAACACTTCCCACTCGTTGTTCGGGTACAACCGGGTAGCTGGCCGGTCGATAAAAAAGTCGGAGCAGTCTATCCGTCGTTTTTGCCCCGGATCCAGAGAGATGTGGAACAGCTTGGGCCCATCCGCTGGTTTTAATATAGCGTCATCTGGTATTATAATTTTGCCCGAACTGTCAAACTCCTCGAAATTCCCCACCAGTTTGATTATCACGATGGCACTGTTCTCGGTTATGGAATAGTCACGTTGATGGCTGCTGCATTCGAAGTGAATTTCGTCTCTGATGGGGCTGCGATCATGGATGCCACTGAACACAATTTTGTGCGTATCTCCTCTGGGGTTTGTCACTAGCGTCCTTGTAATTGCACCATGTCTATCGGTGACGTAGTCGTCATCAACCTTTATGTAGCCCTCTCTGGGGTCTTCCGGTTGTAGCGGGTAGTACTCCTTCTCAGATCTGCGGGGGCACCTGATGATCAACTCCTCAGAGGGGCGTAGGATGACCTTGCAAGGCCGCCAATGCTCCATGTTATCATCGAACAGGCACATCTTTGTATTGCTCAGCGTGAAAATGTATGAGGTGTATGCTGGGCTTCTGCTCTTGCAGCTTATATTTAGCTTCATGTCCTCGAGCGCCGAGCTGTTGGAGAAATCAATGACCATGAGGTAATCCCCTCGCTTCGACAAGTGCGTACTAGGAAACATGAGGCGCATATCTATCACGAATTTTTCTGCGGCAGCCGTTAGAAGACTCGGAGGCCACAACGTGTGCGTTTCGAGTGGGCAGAACAAGGACACGGCTCTCGCATGGGTCAAGTTATATTCGTGATGCTGCACCGCGTTCAGTTGGTGGGTCACCTCACTATCCGACGTCGCCCGAGGACTTGGTTTGATGACGTCTATGACTGAGACGGTGTTGGAAACAAGATGGAACAGTCTTTCTGATTGTTGCTTGCTTGACGTGCAGCTCAGATAAAAGCTCCCGTGGAACACGCGAAAGAGCGAGGACAAGTCTCGGCTCTTTACGGTTAGGTTCCCTACATCGATATGTTTCAAATTCACGGTCACGTTGAGTAGCGAAACCGCTTCTTCCCATTTTGGATTAAGACGGGAATTACTGATCCCGTCCGAATGTAATATATTGTGCTGCATTGCTCCATGGTCGACTGGTGTCCAAACCCCTATCCCCTTTTCGTCTCCTTCGGCCTTGCACAGTGCTACTAGTTTGTCAACCGGGGAATATTCCTTCGTATAAACCAGATCGTGATTTTGGGGAAGGGCTTCAATCTGGCTGATTTGAATTAGATTTTCCACTATGATGGGTCGGTCGGGTATGGCTCGGACGGCAATGAGCGCCGACGGGGTGTATATTTCCCGCCTGTGACATTCATTCAGGCACACAAAATACATTGTGGAAAGTTTTCGTAGTGGCTCTCCGGTCCATAGGAATGACAGCCGCCTTGACGTGTCGCAATACGGCATGAGAATCAGCGAATCGTTGATATCATCCAGGAACCCCAGCCTTTCATCAGCAAACGACAGAAGCTCGTTGTCTATGTCCGCCTTGGTGTATGGCGATGATTCAAGATGAGCACCACCACGAGGGGGTGACGTATAGTAGGTGGTTAATTTGCTTGGGTAGAAGTTGGCGCCTCCTTCCGCGTTCGGGCACGTGATGGTAATGCTCTCACCGCGATAAAGGTCCACCTCTGCCACGTGGAATGTAGGTCTGTCTGGCTTAAGCTTCGTGGTGAAGTCAGCTATCAATTTGCCAGCCGATCCCTTCGTTTGCAGGGTTTTGTAAACACCTGGTTTCAGCGTCTTGCCATGAGCACTGCTCATATTATGCATCCATGTCTCAAATATGAAAGCAAGTGCAACTAGCACTAGACATTCTCCGAACTTCATTTTGCTGGCGGAGCTTGAGGTTGGAAATCGCTAGCAATTACATACGGAAGGTCTTACGATTCCCCCCACCATACACTTTTTAAAATCCTCAATTTGTTAAAAAACAATCCCAATACGTTTTATTTCTCCACTATATATACAAGTAATTATAATGTATCATCACATAGCCATATTTATTTAAAGTTTGAAATCGGTATGCACGCAATGAACTTTTATCCCCAGCCTGTGTTATGAAACTAACTTTCATCGATTCGCACAACAGACACAACGCAACGAATTATTGAAGTAGAACTGTACCACAATAATAAATGTTTCAACCACAGCACATGTTTCTTTCGAAGTCACTTAACACGCGATCTCCGTCACCAGCTAGTTGTGATTGTGATGGATTTATGTTGTCCACGCGAGCATGGATAAGACCCGTTTTAGCGAGCCTAATCAAGTATTATTTGACTCTAAAATGGTATACAGCCAATGGTTGGATCAGGTGTGAGTGAACATTTGACCCGGATACACGTGTAATAGTGATCCCTGAGTCTAGGTGTTCAGGTAGTGCGATAATTTTTGATGAACAAGAATTAGGCGCATAAAGGGTCCCTAAATGCTGTGACGATGTTCTAGAGTGGCATCTATAATAGAGGCAAGGGATTGTTTCTCTGTTGTTCCTCAAATCAATCAATCTCATGCGAAAGCGATAACACGTACACGTTTTGTGCGTTTTACGAGCGTCACAACGTGATACGCGGACGTCAATTCACCGGATACGCGTAGCTTATTCGATAATTCAGCTTTGCCAATGGCGACAAGTTGACACAAGGGTAGCGGCGTTTCGTATCCGCAAGCCTAGTGCTTCATATGTGTAACTGGAAGATCAGAAATAAGGCTCGAATGGCAACACTTTGGTGGCTTCTGTTAATGCCTTCCGGCATAACGTAGATACAGGTGCAAAGCTGCGGGAAGTCTCCGCCCATACCTCTTTTGAAGCGATGCGACCTAGACATTCACAGCGCCTTGTGTATTATAAACTGGTGAGACCCTCGGCTTTAAAACACTTCTTGTCATACAGATATTTGAGTGTGTCCATTGGTGTGCGCGACCAGAACTTTCACTGTGTACGGGCGATGCGGTTCGTACTTCGGGCGGATGACACCGCTGCGCTTCCTTCTGACCTCCCAAAGAAAGAAAGGCACTAATAATTAGACTCATAAAATTGCGCACATAAATTTCGAACACTGTCTATTTAATACATTAAGGCGACTCTTTAATTTCCTCAGAAGTAAGCGACGTCGGAACAGTATCGGTCTCATTGGACGCTACGCGCTGACAGTTGGCGGATTAGACATGACGCCTATTAGATGAGGTGTCTTCCGTTGGAAGATGTGTGGGTTAATAACATCTATGTGTTGCGTTGTTCAACATGGTAAGTGGTCCTCACGTGACTGCCGCGTCGGCGTCTAGAGGTTACGACGATGCCGAGCATTACGTGACGTATTCGAATATCAATGGAAACGGCCAACATACGGTCTCCGTTAGCCGTCAGGCGCATCCGAGTCGCTCCCCTGGCATTTTTGGCGTCGGCGTACGCAGATTCTCTACGACCGATGGGACGTCGACACCCATATCGTGGTACTATTCGGTACCTGACTCCAGATCCGGCAATGGCTCAGTGACACCAATGAGTGATACACCGTACGAGCATGAAGTGATCCTGCGGAGCTACTTCTACGGCCAGCTGGCTGACGTTATGAGACGTTCGATTTGGTGGACTATTATGGGTGTGATGATTGCCAGCCTAACGCAACAGCACAATTCAATCACAACGAGTCGTACAATATTCAACGCAGCGGTGCTGTTCGGTTCGCTGTTCGCTGACCTGATTGCGGAGGTTCGTTTGATATGCGCATGAACATTACGCCTGCAGAGCATGACTATTCGAAAACTGTTGTGTTCGACTCTCCTGTGGCGCCTATCGATCTGGGCAATATTTCTGCCTGCTTCGTATTGTTTCTTCGGTAGGTATACGCCGTATGTTGTTACAACATATTGCAGATTACTGCCTGCAGTGGTCGGGAATATTTTCATGGTGCTGCTTGCTGGCGGTTATGTTGGATGGCTTTCAAGAGGCCTTATCCAACACGTCTGATCTAGTTTACAAGGGAATCGACCGTTTGAGCCACCACTACGATATGGCTATCACGCCGGCTAAGCATAGCAATATGCTCAACACCTACCAAATCACCTCCCTCCTTTCGTTCGTCTTCATGGTTATCCCGCTATCACTTATCGCATACGGACTTAAGTACGTGGTCGACAAGTCAGGTTGGTCCGTTATATCATATTTACCATTCGCGTACAGAGATGTTTCTTCTGGCAATCGTCATGGGCAGCGCTTTTGTCGTGCTTTCTGTCGTTTCGCTCTGCTATTACTGCAGCGGCCTGGGCTATGCAGTGCCCGTGGATTACTCCATGCCCTATGATAGCGTGGAGTTGTCCGTTTCGTCCGCGTGGGATGAAATGTGTAACAAACTGGATGACATTAAGGAGGGCATGCTGCTCGCCTGTTCGTCGGGCTCCTTGTTCAGGCAGATTTTATTCGTGTCGATGGAGACTGCTTTTGAACACGCGCTAATATGCTTCTGCATCCCGATAACCGGTAAGCCAACGCTGTCTAGCCAATAAGACTTCGCAGCTCTAGACCGAAGCCTGTTCCGGGACCTTGGCGTCCTGCATTCCGCCCTCATATGCGCCGTATTGGTATCGGCTGGGAAATTGGGCGGTTCTGTGTACGGATTATACGCCTCTTGGTACCATCCAAGAGATTTTAGAGACGTGGCGCCCGTGCGGACGACAAAGGTCTACAGGTGCGCTATACGTGTATGTTTTGACAAGTCTCAGGTGCCTTTTGATGAGTTGCCTGTCCCTGGTTGGGCTTTCTATTTCCAGCTACGCGAACGACGGCGATATTGACAGCACCATCGTGCAAATGATTGTCGTGGGCATCGTGATATTCATATTCTTCGCGTTTTCTGCGTACCCGAAGGCCATCGTCTCGTCGGTCATGAACGTGGCGATACTGAGTCACCCGCTATCGTACAAGATTTTTGACTTCGTGAACACGTTCGCACTGCTGTGCGACATCGTGTTGACCATCGCAGTAACGCTGTTCATGAACAAGGCATTTGGCACCGTCGGCATAAACGGAGCCGTCATTTCGGTCACGGCGTTCTACGTGTTACACACGTTGTACCACTTGTTAATAGGTAAGATTTTAAAGTCTGTTTTCCAATCGCTCAGGCATAAGGCTAAGCAACCTAAACCCGGAGTCAAGGCTACATTCGCCTCACGTGCCGTACGGGCCCCCTTTGGGGAGGCTCTAGGTCGGTTACCACCCAGTTCGTCTTGTAACCGACGTCATAAAGTTCCGCTAGCATGGCTGGCAGTTCGCCGTTGCGATCGTACAACAAATATTTCCTGCAATTTTGTGTTGCATCTGATGCGTTGTCTTACCTGTAGAGGTTCAGTGCGGCTTTAGCGTCCTCCACGGAGTCGTGCTCGCCGCGCTGTATTTGCTGGTGGAGTATGTATGCAGCCAAATACTGTAGCGATATGTATCTTCTTCTTGGCAGCCTGAACAGCTCCACCGTATCGATTACTTGGCCGTGCGGGACGACGATGTTGAGCATTTTGAAATCCTGCTCCAGACCGTGCCCCAGTATCTTGCACCCGGCGTCAATGAGGTACCTGATCTTCATGTATATGGCCTTCCGTGTTGTCAGCCAGTGTACCGAGGACTTCAAGTCCAGATCACCGTGGTGGATGCCAGAGAACCTGATACAGTGCTTAAGTAAATTACCGCATTTCTTACCTCGTGAGGTAGTCCTTTGGCGGTTTTCTCCGATGAATGTAGTGGTCCAAGAACGGGACGCCAGATGCCTCTCCCGAGCCCCTAACGGCGCTGACCCTAAAACGGTTTAGTGGATTTACCATCGGCTTCTTACCTGGCAATTGATGCTAGATTTTGGTCTCCATCCTCTTTGGCCGAGTACAAGAAACTTTTCTTCTGCTGTAAACTCGCGTTTGAAACTGCATTGTCGTCCGGTAATGAGCGATGGCTCGTGAGCCCCAAACTTTCATTTCCAGTTTCGACCCCTTCGATGTCCAGGGCGACGATGAATTCCCTTAGGTGCAGCGACAGCAGCTCGTTGACCGACAGTGGCACAAAAGTGCGATATTTATCGTGTGCCCTTGGGTTGTGAGCGATGTTGGACTCGGAGATGAAAATAGACGCCGGGATCGGCACCTTAGTGCTTGGTATCGGCAGCGGCACAATGCGACCGTTGATGTTCACAACGGTCATCTCCGCGTTTGCTGCCGGGTCTATGTCCTTGATTGCGCCTAAAGCTTTCTTGCGGTATATCAGGGTGATCGGTCGCTTCCAGGGCGCGGAGAAATCCAGCATCTGTTCGAGGTCCTCCTCGGCGAGCTCGCATACGTAGCCATCGTTGATAAGGATCCATTCTTGTTTGTCCTGCGTGGAATGCGTTTGTTACAGTGAGAACCAACCTTCATGGTCTGCGGCACTCTGATGTACGCCAGTAGTCGGTAGCTTGAGTCCTCGGGCGGCACGGAGAAAAGGACGCTTATGAGCTCGTATGCGTCATCCTTGAAGGTGACGTGCTCATCGATTCGCGTCACCTGCTCCCCTTGCTGATCTTGGTTGCAGTGCACTATCATAAAGTTCGGCGTTTTGCTGACTTCGGTGTGGTACTTGGTGCGGACAAGCTTTTTGCACTCAGTGCAGTATGACACAATCTCCTCATCGTCCGCCTGTCCGGAGACGAATAGGGTGTAGTCCAAGCAGAATTCATTTTCCAGCGTCTTTGTGGTGCGATGTCCGTTTGCACATTTTGAGTCCACCGTTTTCGAAAACCCGAAGACATTTTTGATTAGCTGTACTTCATTAGATGCATAACCACGTTCGTCTCTGCCGTAGTACGTGTCGAGCTCAGAATTCATTTTTTCAATGATCCAGAGCAGCAACCGCTGGATGGAGGACGCGGAAGTCTCCGATCTGTCCACCGGCATGAGTTCCTGGAGCTGCGTCGCGCGTAACTCGGATCTTTTGGCAGGCGTAAATTTGCATTCTTCCTCCACAATCCCCTGCTTCATGTTTTCATGCGCCACATGTAACATGTGCATCGCAAACCCGACTTGGCACGTTAGGCAGTGCTCCACTTCGCAGCTATGATACCGTATGGAGGTGAGCCTTTCTAGGAAGAAGAACACTTGCACGAACACCTGAACCAGGTCGCCGTGAAACGTTCCTATCATGGAAGCAAAATGCGTGGTGTTGGAGTATTTGTTCTGATCTTTTATTTTTTGGAAGATGGGCTTCAGATTTGCCGGATCCATTTCGTAGGCCGCACCAACTTCGTTCGGGAGTTCTATACTGTTGACTGCATAGACCTCATCCGCCATAAACACCCGGTACACCCCCTTACTTATGTCAACGCTTACATCGATATCGTGGTAGATCCACGAATGCCCATCGTTCAACCTTGGGTACTTCACGAACTCCATAGTAGTTAGGTCGCACTCGAAGAACCCGCCATCATCCCTGAGCGCGACAACCTTGTTGCTGCTGGGAACCACGGCCGTCGCCTTTATCGGGCTGCCAACCCAGATGGAGCCGGTATTGCCCATCCTCAGATCATGCACCTGCAACAACGGTTCATAGATGGGAGTGTTACCATATAAGTAGCACCCAGTGGTGACCACATAGTTTCCGTACGCCGATATGCTTCCAACTGCGTTAGAGTGTGCCTCCACGGTGTGCGCCACCTTTTGCATCCTGTGGTCCACAACGTGCAGGAGGCCTGAGAGCATCCCCACACAAATGGTGTCGGGATATGCCTTTTCTGCAGCCGCATAATTCTGCGACTGTATCGCATATCCAAGCGCAATGGCCCCCGACGTCTTCTCTTGCGGCATCTTATGTTTCGTGAACAGCTTCTTGGGCCGATCTACCCGTCCCGATGACGGGATGAACTCCGGTATCGCCTCAAAACTTCCGTATTTCCTGGCGATACTCTCCAAAGATGATGCGCTTGCATTGTAAGCTTCGTTTTGCGGGTAGAACTCTGCTGGTTGTTCGGCGTCATGGCCATGCGGTACGTCGTACTGCTGGTGGTATGACATTATACACGAACTGGCGGAATTGTCACCGTTTAAATTTGCCACTGCCGTGATCTGGTCCACTGAATCCGGCACGCTCATCGGCGCATTCGATAGTTTCATGGTTCCGGATATTTGGCCCGTGAGGGCATCGACGGAGAAAAGGTCCTCTGCATTTGTAGCCAACCATATGTTGGTGTTGTTAGGCGTGCAATTTAGAAGCGAGCACACGATGTGTGCAGCCCCTTGATTGGAGATTTGCGATTCAGCCCTTTCGGATGTAAGCCTCATCCGTCTACCTCCATCCCTGTTAACCAACTCCACTCCCTTCGCGTTGGACACTATTAGGCCCGTTTCGTACGGCTGTATTGCGTTCACAGTGCACATGTAACAGCCGCAGTACTCGTTGTATTGATACCCCTTGCCCGCTCCATAGTGACCGCCGTTCTGCATCCCCCAGTGGTTGTACTTAACGGAGTTATCCTCGGCGGATATGCCGACGATCGACCCCGTAAGCGGAGTCCGCATGTTGGAGTGGATCCCATTGTAGACCCAAACGAGATCCTCCCACCTGTCGTACTTCAAAATACCGTTTCTCATCTTCAGGATAGCTTAGGCACGTGTGATACCACCTGTCGCTTGTTCCCTACACACACCGCTGAAATATCGCCAACTACGGGCTCCACCTTCTTCCACCCCTCCAAGTTCTCAGACCGTCAGGGACTCATTAGCTTGTATAAACTGGTAGTCCTCGTCCGCGCTTGAATCCGATTAAAATAACCAAACCTTAACACATTACTGACTTTGGGGCACAGACTTGTTACCATTCTCTTATATAATAAGATTTTGTCGGTGTTCTGCGACCTTTTGCTAGAAAAGCGCCAAATCCTTAGCGGAGCGTATCGGCGTAGGTGTGTCAGCGCTATATGTTCCGTATAAGCGACTCTGTTTCACAAGGATACAACACAGCCGCTATTCCTACGGCCAATTATTATCGCTAACAACGTGGCGACCTTATTTTATCGTTTTAAGGCGCCTATTCCGCCCCCATGTGTCCGTGATACCTGGGCCTGCAACACCTCTCAAGCGACGGATTCCAACATTTGGGGCCTACACATCGGTGATTCCGCCGTTGACACATCGTATGCGCGTTCACTCAGGGTGTCTTGCGCATATTAGGCCCCCGTCTTTGAAGATGTGTACCGTCGGCGGTGTTCTTTAGTTTAGCTCCAGGCTGCCTTTCAGAATGGGCACCAGGGTTTACGCGTTCACTTACGCGGGCAAGCCGCTGTTCACCAAGTAAGTTATCTGTCTTCCGTGGGAGAATGCGTATTGATTGCGTCCATGCGAACTTTCCATACCTGGACCGTATGCTTATGCGTCTACTCTTATTCCATTCTAATTTTCGTTCAGTTGCCCTGAAGGCGAGCAATCCCTCGCGTTCTACGGTATGTTTCTGCCTTTCGCCTCTGAAATCTGCAGGCGTTTTGTGCGCGGTTGCCTCGAAGGTGTCCACGCTACTGTCTGAGTACACCTGCAAGGATGAGTTGCGGTACATCAGCGCCGGCGACGAGCACTTCGTCTACCTGGACCGCGGCCCTCTGTGCTACTTCGGGATAGGACCCAAGGGCGAATCGCCCCTGATGGTGTACAAGATTTTATCGTACCTGCATCTCCAGATCCTATCGATTTTGACCCGGGGCGTAGAACGTGTTTTGCTGAAGCGGCCTTCGTACGACGTGCAAAACCTGTTGGGTGGGACGCAGTCAATCTTGCGAAATCTGGTGACGAGCATGGACACTCCCCTCAGCCTGCTTGAAACGCGCGGATATGAGGCCCTTCCGCTTCCTGCCGATACTCGTTCCAAGTTGAGCTCATTCTTCACTGACTTCAAGAGCCCAAATGTGCTGTGAGTTACAGATTTGTGAGTATTTCAAGTATTTGGCAGCTGTTGTTTGATGGTGGTTTGCCATAGGGTGGTGGTGGTCACCATGTCTAAGAGCGTAACCCTCAGTCCCTCAGGTACGTTTTGCGTTTGGCAATCGTAAACGCTGCGCAGATATCGCAATCATATTAATCATGGTGGGAGGTGCCCGCGCGCTGCGCCAGGAGGAGAGTTGGACCCCCATTTGTCTGCCCGGCTTCAATGACCAGTACGTGCCAGGTCCTCGTGCCCTATAGTATACATGCAGGGCGTTTACATACGCTTATGTGAACTGTGTGCAGCCGCATATAGCGGTTATCTGCATCTCCAGCAGCGGTGAACAGGAGCTGTTTCACAAGATCTCTGAGCACGTTGGCGGCGTAACTAAGGTGCGTGCATCTGCCACGAAACTACACAAGTGCAGCAAATGACCGACTCCGGGTTGTTGGATCGTTTTCAACTGCCGCTGGTGTCACTGCAATTGGAAGTTTTTTGCGGGGAGGATACGTCGTGTGCCATTTTGCATGTGCTGTACTACTCGAAGAAGCTGGGGCAGTTCTTTTCGTCGGCGTTCCGCAACACGCCGTTCGGCGACAACGCCGACGTCATAAAGGCCGCCTACAAATCGTTCTCCGAGTTCCTTTTCAGCAAGGAGGCGCATGGCGCGATCACCGCCCGTTTTGAGGTTTGTGCGTTTTGGGTTCGCATCGATGTTCGCGCAGTGCGTAAACGTGTACGTGGAGAACAACCCCGAGTTCAGCCTCTACTTCGCGACTGCTGCGTGGACCACCATCACGACGGAGCTGGTGTCCAGCATTGTATCATACGTCAACAAGCAGTTCCGCTTTCTGTTCATCACGCGCATACCCTCTATAGTGTCACGATAGTTGAGCTGAATTATTTAGTGGATAATCTGGTTCGATCTGATGATCTGCTGAAGGTAACCACCCGGGTTGTTCATCAGTTGCTCCGTTTCCCCCTTCTCGATTATCTTTCCGTCGCAGAAGACAGCGATCTCGTCTGCCTCGACGATCGACGACAGCCGGTGGGCGATGACTATGGTGGTCCTGTCGGCGCTGAGGTTCCTGAACGCCGACAGTATTTTGTGCTCCGTCATCGCATCTAGCGAGCTCGTGGCCTCGTCGAACACCAGTATGCTCGGGTTCTTTAGGAAACACCTGGCAATGCCGATTCGCTGCTTCTCGCCACCGCTGAGCTTCATACCCCGTTCTCCGACCACGGTGTCGTAACCCAATGGCAGGTGTTGTATGGTCTCGTCTATGCCAGCCCTTTTGGCCGCTGCGATGACGTCTTCCATTGAAGCGTCCGGGTTGCCGTATCTAATGTTGTACTCGATTGTTTCGTTGAAGAGGACAACGTCCTGTGGCACTATGCCAATAGCATTCCTGCGTAAACATGAGTGCGTTGAGTTGTCTCGGATCTTACCTGAGGCTGCCGAGGGTGACGTCCCTGATGTCCTGACCATCGATCAGTATTTGGCCCGCGGACGGTTCGTAGAACCTGAACAGCATCTTGGCGATGGTGGTCTTGCCAGTCCCCGAGTTGCCGACAATGGCGACTGTTTTCCCCTGCTCCACCGTCAACGAAAAGTCCTCGAGGATTTTCAGGGCTCCAACGTTACTTTCGTACGCATGGCAGACGTTTTTAAACTCTATTTTGCCCGCTTTTATGACCAAATCCTTGGCCCCTGGTTTGTCGTGAACTTTGGGCTCGTGCTTCATGAGGTTCAGGAACTTCTGCAGGTCGACCATGCTCGTCTTAGTTTCCCTGTACATGGTCCCTATGAGGTTGAGCGGTATGGCGAGCTGGAAGAGGAGGGTATTGACGAGGATGAGGCCTCCGAAGTGTGCCGTGCCTTCCGCAATGCCCTTGAGCGTCAGCCACATCGAGAAGAAGAGCCCGGTGTTGAAGATGGCGTTTTGGCCAAAGTTGAGCAGTGCGAGTGACTGCTGCACTCGCACTGCGTTGTTTTCGTAATCGGACTGCTGCGATGCGTATCGCTGCAGCTCCCTGTTTTCTGCGTTATAATATCGCACGGCTTCTGCGTTGGTGATGGAATCCGTGAAGACGCCCGCGGCGCATTGTTCCGCATTGACCATTTGCTTCCGCAAAACCATCCTCTTCTGCGTCACCAAAGCCGTGAACAGCACGTACACGATCATGGTGCCGACAGTGAGCGACGCAATAGCGGGGCCCAGCTTGTAGCAGAGCAGGGCGGTGACCATGGCGAACTCGAGCACCGTCGGCACGATCTGGAAGACGAGTATCCTGAGCACCTGCGATATCGCCTTGATCCCCCGTGTGAAAACGTTGGATATTTCACCGGATTTTGCGGCGATCAGGAAATCGATGTCTAGGCAGTGAATCTTCATGAACATTTTAGACGCATTGAGCATCCCCGTACGTTCCATAACGGTGCTGAAGACCGCATTCCTCGTTTCCGTGAAAAACGCAGACGATACCCTAGCCAAACAATACGCCACCAGGTAAGCCTGTGCAATGCCAAACGGCGTCGTTACTAGCCCGCCGAGTCCCAGGTACGCGAGCATACCGGCGTTCGCTGCCGGGTTAGCCGCCATAGCGTCGATCATTGCCGACATGCATAACGGTATTACAATAGTAGAGAGCTTGGAGAGGACCAGGCATACCATGCTTATGGCGATTCGCTTTTTGAGCATGTGGTCCCTCGGCCATAGAAGGTCGCGAAGGGTCAGGACCTTCCCTGCCTTGATGCGCTTTATCTCATCTGAGCGCTCAATATTCGGTCCCGATGTATGCGAACGCTTTGCCGATAGTAGCGCGGCGCTTTCCGACCCCTGCGCTGCGCCCCGGCTAGACCATCCGCAGTGGAAGGCGGCACCGGCGCCCTCGTATTGACGCCGCTCCGCCGACACATGGTTTGGCGTGTCTTTCTGCGTGCTTATACGTCTTGTATGACGTGACCATACGATATTTTTCCACGCTTCACGGCCGATTTCAGACCGGCTTGCCACCAAGCCAGATGGATCCGTCGGGGTACATAACGTCCGGCACTGCCTGTGGATCTTGCTCAGGCCGCAGAGAGACCGGCATAAGCGGTTCACATTATACGGCATAATGCCGAAAATAATTTTTTTGTCAACTCCCGGATGAGTTTGGGTGTTAGGCACAGCCTTCCAGTCGCTGCAACCCTACACCGCACATCCCTCACAGCTAGTTGCCAATTTTTAATCTGCAACTTAACACGTATGAGTTCGATCTTTTGTGCGGTATTCAATTTGGCTGTAAACGGTGGAAGTGAATCTATGGTGTGGCCGACTACGCCGTGCCCTCAGACAGCCATGAAATTTTAGGCCAACCAGATATTTTGGATACCTGTGGCTAGCGATATTAGATGTGCAAATTTTTAGTGAGAAATAAATGCGTGAACTTTAAGGATTTATTTATAATGTGTAAGCGTACCATGCCGCAACATAGTAAAGACTACGCCGTGTTTCTCGCCATTGACGCTCTCAACCACAAAACACATCGGTTATATAATTTTGCAGTGAACGCGCTGCTCACTTGATCTTGCCGCGAGGATGCACCCTACTTCCTGTAGGGTGGTCGTCGCTGGTGGTATGGGTCAGTTATAATCGCCAGGTGCCGGCTGCATCGGCCCGCGCCTGAATAACCCTAAACCACGGACCATCACCTATTGCCGTGCCCTCGGGTAGGCGTGTGCCATCCGAGGTGTGACCCAGGGGCGTTGGGTCCTCTGCCTGGCAGCGCTGAAGGCCTTAGTGTGTGTGTTCCGTAGTCGTTAGACACTGACCGGCGTCATCGCGAGCCCTCTGTCGCGTTTGAGCTGTGGCCCCAATCTGGTTTCTGCCAAGTGCAGCCTGCGGCGTCTAAAGGTATGAATGCGTATGGTCTTCCGTACGGCGGTTCGCCATGAGTTCGGCTCGGCCGCAGGTCACAACCACCCACCACAAAAATGCCGGACATGTGTCACGCTGCGGCTGCAGTGGTATGCGACGACGAAGGGTCATATTGTAAAACAACATTAGGCTTGTCATTTCTGTTGAGTGGCTCACGGCCCGAGCGACTTGCGAATCTGTTCCAGCGTCACTCTCGCGTCTGCGAGCTTCGGAGCGTCGCGTATGGCGTCTGAGAAATGTTGCCACAGCTCCAAAGCCAAGGCGCGGTCGGTCAACTGGTAGTACTTGAGCACGCACGCAGCAAAGAGGTTGACGCATACTTCCGCGTACTGTATGCCTGCGCTTCTTAGTGCGGCTGGCTTTGACACCTACCCTGTTTTGCTACGTCCAGCGGCAAGAGGTTGCGCACTGTCTCAAGGAGTCTCAGCTGGGCTGCAGCCCTCTTGTCCAGCTTGAGGAGGTTGACGAAGTGGTATATAAGCAGGGCAGCCTTTTCCTTGACCTTCAGGTTACTGCTTGCGGTGCAATGGCTTACGTACATCAGGCCCCCAATTCGGACGAACCGCTCCTCGGCCATGGCGCAGTGCCTTACGGCAGCTGCCATGGCTGTTATCAGCTTCGGCTCGAGCGGGGTGCCGGTAACCTGCACCCGCAGATTCAGCAGGTAGTTCAGCAGCGGGCCCTTCGCCGCTTCCACTTGCACCTTGTTGTTGTTTGATAGCGTAGTCGTTAGTAGCTGCGTCACCATAATCACACCTAGCTCTCCATCCTACCGATAGCGCCGCCGGCAGTATGTTGCGGTCGCCCTTGCCGAGGTGCTCGATCACTGCGGCGAGCACGCCTGTCCGGTGAGCTGACGACGCGTTTCCTGGGTGCTCCTCGTAGTACTGCTCCATGGTGTCGAAGGCGTCCAGCAGTTGCGATACATCATATTCCGCACCACCCACGGACGACTGCTGGATGAGCTGCGCAGCACGTTTCACCTTATCGTCGTGATCGTGTACGCTTTCCATGGCCTTTTGCAGGAACTCCACGTCCTCCTTGGCAATGGGTCTCGTATTGCCTGCGAAATATGAGCTTCGGCGAACTTGGTCACATTACCTGTGGAATTCTCTGGGACGTGCTTTAGCGTCCATTTTAGCAGACCCTTCCAGTCTGGAAGCGACATCCTGTACGATTGCTGATGTTTTCTTTACGTCCTAGTTACTTGATCTTAGCGAGGTAGTCGTCGAGTCCTGCAACACCTCAGGGTGGCAACGACCTCCATCACCTACCTTTGACGGTCCTGGCCTTCTTTACTCCCAGCTTTAGATGCGCGTTGGCCTCTGAGTGCTTGAGCGGCTTTTCTGCGACACAATGTGGAGGTGTGTCCATTTGCACATACGGAATTCGAGACTTCGGTTCACGAGCTGCTGCAAGAGCTCGTTATGCGACTCGACAAGAGACACCACGTTATCCCTGTGTATTAACGGGTCTTCCGTGGCTAAGAATTTCCTTTTGACTTGCTTCCAACGATTGAGTGTCTCGTCTGACTTGCCTATGGTGAGGAGATCGGCGACTGCATCGGATAGATTATCGCGCACATCTCGTTACCCAGAGTCTTATCCGCGTATGACTGAGTTGCTTCGGAGATTACAGGCCTGACGGGCCCGACGATATAAGAATCCAGCAGTGGCAGGTACGATGAAAAGAAGTTCCCTAGGTTGAGGGAGAGTCCACGCACATCATTCACGAATTTCGAACTGTTTATGTCATTTTATACCGTCAGCGTGCGCCTTACTATGGAAACAGGTGCCTGAGTCGGAAGACGTCGTCAAGCTGCGTGCCGGAGTTAATGTGTAGGCATGATATGTTGTGTCCAATTTCCTTCACAGACTGATCAACTTGATCGTCCATATTATAATTACGATTTTGGTCATATGTGTTCGAATATACGTGTCACTTGTCCTCCACCATGGGTGGTGCATACGTCGCAAGCCACACCCTGCCTGCTAGGCACAAGTCGAGATCATTGAGTCGATATCTTTGACCAAAATACGCGTTTTTGTTGTTAATGTTGTTAGGTGAACGTTTTTTCGATACAAAAGTTGTATCTAGGTTTCTTGTGTTGATGCTTTGCAATGGTCGTTGATTTTCAAACTGTTGCAGTCATTTTTGCACCTTCTTATCCGGCCAAAAGGTCGTGTTATTGGCTGTGTTGTGACTGCTGTCTATAAGTTGCATTCTTCGAATCGGTGGCGGTGTCCAGCATCCAGTATGCTTTTTAACTAAATATGTGATAAAACCCTATTATATAAGTTACGATACGGTTGCCCCGCATCGCGGTTATAGTGTGGTTATGAGCTCCAATTTTACGGCAGGGTAGATTACCGGGGTATGTGAGACACCGCTACTACCGTTGTCGTACGGCAAAAATAATGCCACCCCGGCTGCTTTAGAAGCGCAATTAAACCTTTTTGCCATTGTGTCGTTAATGTCAATAATAGGTTCAACCGGGAAAAAGAAAAAAAAATCGTTTTTACACTTCTCGATTTGAGCGTGTCATCCTTGCGCAGGGGCCATGCTAATCTTCTCTGTATCGTTCCAATTTTTTCTGATGGCACTCCGAAGAGGCCAGTTGGCCTGTATCGAATTTGCGGTGGTGGCGGACTATAGTGTGAAATGTCAGTATGTGGGGGTAGTCACCATATAGGCGAATTTATATTTTAAAAGACATTGGCATACAAAATAAACGCTAGTAAGCCAAATATTCCGCTTTTTCGCGTTCATTCGCTGATCACATCAAAATGTGATTTGGGCCTAGGTCGGCTGCGTATTGGTTATTTATTGCTGGAAGGCTTCATCCTGGAATCAAACACAATAGAAAGTGCGATAAGCTGTAAAATAGTCCATATGGCACGTTTTTGATGATTGTCGGATGGCATCAAATAAACCGAGTTGCGGCATCGTAATGTTGACATTTACCGCAACACAAGGAAAATTCACTTCTACTAAAATATACCATGTTGGTATCTAGCAGCATTCCTGGAGCGTCATGGCTACAGCGGAGTACCGCTGTAGCTAGCGCAAGTGCCACGATGAGTTTAGACCTCTGCGTGTCTACAGTATTCCTCGCAACTGGCACAGATTACGCTGCTTAAGCGGGGCCAATAAAGAGGTCTTGATGAGTTCTACCGGAATTTAGCATCAAAGCCCTCGCAAATGGGCGTTTTAAATGACTTCCATAGCTTACGCCTTCTTGATGCTAGCGACCCTATACTCCGCCAAAACCAACAACTCACCACAGCGCTACACTAGTGGCACTTTACCCCCTCCACGCCAATATAGTGGCTTCACATGACACAATAAGTTCTACTCACAAGTTCCCGTAAAACTTTGTCCATCTTTCTATAGGTTGTTAACCCCCGCGGTAGGTGTTAGTAGCGCTGACATTTCTTTCCAAGATCGAGGATTGAACTCAGAGTCAACGCAGAAGATAAATTTTATCAGCGGTTATCTGAAAAAAGATTTTATTTGTTTGCTTCACATCGGCATCTCGCGCCATTCCGAGCAACCACGCAGGTACAAGGTGCACATCAGCGGTCACGTGCTGGGCGCCAAGGAGCTACACATTGCTGCCTCGGAGGGCGTACTCCTTTTATTGACGTTTGTTTTGCCAATTGGCACGTCATTGTACAGGTGCACTCGAAATAAGTGCATTTGTTGTGTCGTTCTGGGTGTAACCGTGCGACACCCGAATTGCGGTAGAGAGGTTTCGGGAGCGATGTGTGTCTAGGGAAACTGTCGAGGAGCTAACAAAGAAGTTTTCGACATTGGATGCCGGTGTGCGTTTCGCACATTGCCATCCGTCAGCGTTTTGGCGGTTGGCGTAGCGGCATCCAACCTGCATCTTTTCCTGGAGGTGTTTATCTCCGTCCGATGAGGCTGCAGTCTTGCCTTTCCTTTTGAGTTAATGCAGTTTATGTGTAATGTAGTTTTTGAATTTGAAGAATGGAGTATTCTGAGTACGAGGTATCAGAAGTGAGTCGTGTCGGATGGCCCGGAGAGGATAAGGTGGATCTCGGCGGCAGCTCCCTGTCAACGCCCGCTTTCCCAGGGATATGTACGCGCCGCTCATACATGCGCAATTCGCGTGATGTGTGCGCGGATAAATGCAAGTCGTCGAACGTGACACCTTCCCTGGTCTGCCGTGTTCGGAAGGCGCGGGATAGCATCGCCGACGAGTGCACGGATGATGGATGCAACGAGCCGAACAGCATTACTTCCATGGCCGTTGACCTGAAGGCGGGGTTTGGTGGTCGCTCTAATGGCTCGTGTGGTGGGTACCGGACAGCCTCAAAGGGAGGCAACGGAGCTGCCGCCGGTCCTCTGCTCTGCGGCGCCCACAAATGTAGCGGCATCCCTTGCAATAATGTCCATCTTGCTCCGGATGTGCAGTGGCCTCCCGCCAGCATCGGGGTGCTGCATGACCTGGAGAACTATGTCGAGATCAACTTTGCGGACTATCGCCCGCTGTACAACCGGATAGGGCCTGTCATGTTTCGCACATCGTTGTCGGAAGGCCTTTATTCCTCGGCGGCGGAGCTTCGTCTAGCTCCGGAGCTGAACTCGCTTCTGATATCTCAGAATTCTACTCAGCGTATTGTTTATAACGCTTTTTGGTTGCCGAAGCAGTTCCCCAAAATAGCCCTAAAGGTGGCGGTGAAAAGCGTCAGGGACTGCAATATGCGAGATGGTCGAAGCATCAAGCGTGAGATTGGTTGCCATCTGTTCATTTACCAGAAGCTGGTCGGCGCTTCACGGGATGCCTGCCGATCATCGCCCATTGTTACCGACGAATGGCCCACGTCGGAAGTGCTAGGATACTATTTGGACAAAAAGAATCCAGGTGTGTCCGTGCTCATAACTCGCAAATTGTTCGGCCCGGACTTTTTCGACATCATCCGCTCCGAGTGTTCCCCGCGCTTCGCCACGCGCAACACCCCGCTATACGAGCTGAACAAGCTGGACTGGTGTATAATCGCAATGGAACGTGTCGCTCAGTTGTCTGACTTGGGAATTCGCCACAACGACCTGAAGCCCGACAACATCGTGCTGGACATGTACGAGTCCGGCGGCGTGAAGCGCGTAGACGTCAAGGTGATCGACCTTGGCGCCGCGTCCATGGAACACACCAAGGAATTCACGGGGGGCACCTCTTGGTACGAGTCTCCCGAGCAGAAGTTGTTGGAATATTACACAAAGAAGCACCACAATACGAAGCGCGCTCAGACCGTTGAAATAAACCGCACATCCGACGCTTGGGGACTGGGCCAGTCAGTCATCGAAGTGCTGCTAGGACGGCGCATGGTGGACCACATGCGCCCACCCTTTGGCTCCGGGCCCCCGGAGCTCATAGACCCTCCTCAGGAGGTCACCGAGGAGAAAGTCGACCGCCTCTGGTGGGATCGCGACGAGTACTGGACAATCCCGCCCCGAGTGTGGCTGCAGCACATCCGGAGTGCACTGCGGATGGACTCCGCGACGCAGAAGTTTCCCATCTGTGCCCAGGCGGCACGCTACGTCTTTGACAATCTAATGCAGGTTGACCCTCAGCAACGCGCATCCATACGGAGCGTCGCAGAGGGCCTACGGCATCTTGCCAAATGCGAGATCGCGAAACACATCTAAAAGTTGTAATGTCGTGTCATTTTGTGAGATGTGTACCGGGTTGCTTGTTGGGCACGACGCTCGGCTCCGCGGTAGGCTTCCACACTCGTCTGTAATGCGAACTATGCAAAATTTCGCGCCCGCCATGGAGCAAAGCGACGGGGTGTCTTCCAACGCGCTGGGCGAGAACCTGCCGCCCGGCAATTCGATGTCGCAGAAGCCCGGGCCGGCCTCGGCGGCGACGGCCCAGTCACAGGAGAAATTGCCGGAGCACGTTCTCCACCAGCTTATACTCGATTTGGCCATTCACGACAAGCGGGAATACGCGCTCGCGGAGCTCTCGAAGCAGCGCGAGCACTACCCAGACCTGCCGCTGCTGCTATGGTACTCCTTCGGCACCGTAGCGACACTCCTGTACGAGATTGTATCTGTCTAGTGGGTTATATGCGAGTGAAACTGAGCCTGTGCAGCCACTACCTGTACCCGATGAACCTCTCCATGGCAGACTCGACGAAGGCGTCCAACTCGCTGACGCTGCTGCAGTGTATCGCATCGCATCCGGAAACGCGCCGTCTATTCCTTGCGGGTAGGTTGTGGATCCATGTCTATGACGCGTCGCAGCCCACATTCCGCTGTTTCTCTACCCGTTTCTGAACTCCTCGTGCAAGAGCCGTCGTCTCGAGTACCTCAAGCTTACGTGCTTAGGCGTGATAGGCGCCCTGGTAAAGGTTGGTGCTATGCCCATGCGTTAAAACGTGTACAGAGCGATGACGAGGAGGTTATCTGCTTCCTGCTCGACACCGAGATCATCGCACTATGTCTCCGCATCATGGAAACCGGATCGGACATTTCCAAGACGGTGAGCCCGCTATTGTGGAGTCTCATGGGTTTCAGGTGGCCATTTTCATCGTACAGAAGATCATGCTCGACGACCGTGGCCTCGCTTACGTCTGCGCTACTGCGGAGCGTTTCTACGCGGTGGCGGCGGTGCTGAACAGCATGGTGATGAGCCTGTTGGAGTCGCCGTCTCGTCGCATTCTGAAGCACGTGGTTCGCTGCTACCTGCGTCTGTCTGAAAACCCACGTGCACGCGACATGTTGCGCAAGTGCCTGCCCAAGCCGCTGCGCAAGATGTAAGTTAACCCGTTGCGCGTCTAACGATTTGCAGCGATCCCGTGTTCTACCCCTGCCTGAAGGAGGAGCCGATGCTGAAGAAGTGGCTGTTGCAGCTCATATGCGACACCGAGCCTACGCAGGAGATGTCGTCGCCCCAGCAATGAGCGCACATAAGCCGCAAACACCGCGCAACAATGTATTAATAATCGGTAGCCGCTTTGCCACTGCGATGCAAGCTCAGTTTACTATTGTAAAACTTAATAACGCAAATGCGCCCGCCTATACCGCATAGGCGCGATTTTGCGCATGTCTCTGTTTGTTTAGTGGTATGCTTAGTACTCCTCTCCGATATCCTCGTCGTCCTCAATGGTGGCCTCCTGGTACTGCTGGTACTCGCTGACCAGGTCGTTCATGTTGGACTCCGCCTCCGTGAACTCCATCTCGTCCATGCCCTCGCCGGTGTACCAGTGAAGGAACGCCTTGCGCCTGAACATGGCGGTGAACTGCTCCGACACCCTCTTGAACATGTCCTGGATGGCGGTGGAGTTGCCGACGAACGTGACAGCCATCTTCAGACCCTTGGGCGGGATGTCACACACGCTCGACTTGGTGTTGTGTGGGATCCACTCCACGAAGTACGAGCTGTTCTTATTCTGGACCATCGACATCTGCTCGTCGACCTCCTTGGTACTCATGCGGCCCCTGAACATGGCGCAGGCGGTGAGGTAGCGGCCCCTCCTGGGGTCGGACGCGCACATCATGTTCTTGGCGTCGAACATCTGCTGCGTCAGCTCGGCCACGGAGAGCGCGCGGTACTGCTGGCTGCCCCTGCTGGTGAGCGGCGCGAAACCGATCATGAAGAAGTGGAGCCTGGGGAAGGGGATGAGGTTGACAGCGAGTTTCCTCAGGTCAGAGTTGAGCTGTCCGGGGAATCTCAGCGAGCAGGTGACACCCGACATAGCGGCCGATACGAGGTGGTTGAGGTCTCCGTAGGTGGGCGTGGTGAGCTTGAGCGTGCGGAAGCAAATGTCGTACAAGGCTTCGTTGTCGATAACTTGGACCTCGTCGGCGTTCTCGACCAGCTGGTGCACGGACAGGGTGGCGTTGTAGGGCTCAACGACGGTGTCGGAGACCTTGGGTGACGGGAAGACGGAGAAGGTCTCCATGATCCTGTCAGGGTACTCCTCGCGGATCTTGCTGATCAGCAGAGTTCCCATACCACTTCCGGTACCACCTCCGAGCGAGTGTGTGATCTGGAAGCCTTGGAGGCAGTCGCATCCCTCAGCCTCCTTGCGTACAACATCAAGGACGGAGTCGATGAGTTCAGCGCCCTCTGTGTAGTGTCCCTTGGCCCAGTTGTTTCCCGCACCGGTCTGCCCGAATACGAAGTTGTCAGGCCTGAAGAGCTGCCCGAATGGTCCAGCGCGCACGGAGTCCATGGTGCCGGGTTCGAGGTCCATCAAAATGGCGCGGGGCACGTAGCGACCGCCGGTAGCCTCATTGTAGAACACGTCAACGCGCTCCAGCTGGAGGTCGCTGTCGCCGTGGTACGTTCCGCTCTGCAGAATTATAAGACATCGTCATCACCCAAATCTAGGCAGGGATATGACGGTGAGGATGCACAGTGTCCGCATTGGCAGATTAGACATGTGCCCAATGCACTGTGAGAGCCTCTCGTTGCCACATGTAACCGACTTGCATGCATTATACGGTCAATTAGACTCACCGGGTCGATTCCATGTTCGTCAGAGATGACCTCCCAGAACTTGGCACCAATTTGGTTACCACACTGACCAGCTTGAATGTGTACGATTTCTCTCATTCTGTAAGCATATTAAAACCTATTTAGACACTGTGGATCAGCTGTGTAGCCTGCGTTTGCAGCTATGAGTCGCCGCGTTCCCAGCCCGGCTTGGGACTCACTGTGTAGCAACACCCACTTTGATTCTGCGTAAATGCAGTCTCAGAATTCCACAGCAAGTCACCGCCTTTCAGGGGTGCGCTGTTGTCGAACTGGTTAGTGGATCCTACCGTCCACCTCTACACACGGGGTGTAGCTGTGGAGGGCTATACAGCCACTTCGGTTAGAGGATTAGCCACCAACCCGGGTTCAAACAACGGTGTTGCATACGAGTTTTGGTTTTCATATGCAACCTTAGAGTTTTCGGCGCAGCACTGGGTTTAAGGAACGCGGCGGCCGTTTGCCATCGGCTGTCCAACTTACGTGTCGTTTTGATTGCGTCGCTTTCTTGGTCTGCCGATATGAGCTGTGATGTTTCACAGCTTTGAAACGTTTGCGTGTTGCAGGGTAGCGTGTTAATTCTTCGATTCACAGCACAGTTGGCGCCGGACGAAATTCCCGTTGGACAAATTGTTACAATAGTATTATTATGATGTGTGTCGTTGTCTCTGATACGAGGTCTCGTGCCCGTAGATCTGTGTCGTCGAAAAGACGACGAATTGGCCCGGATGTCTTTCCTCGCGAGACACGCGGCCAGTATCGCGACACGTATCCCGTAGACGTAGCGGTCTAGCGACGGTCACTCGGCGCGTGTAAGCTTGAGAAGCTTTCTGTAGCGATCGATCTCGGCCCGTATCCCGTCGATCTGCTCCTGCAGCTTCGTCCGGTCGTCATCTAGGCCCTTGCGCTGTATATTTTTTACCAGCGAGACAGATTTCGTTGAATGATCAGGTGCATCGATGATCCCTTCGTCGTCTGCTTGTTTGACGATACTGTACCAGCGGTTCAGGATGTCGACCTCCTCCTGGTAGAGGCGCATCAAATCCGCTTTGAGAGATGCCGCAGTGTGTGTCTTCCGCTTACGTTTAGCCTCCGTTTCCTGTTTCACCTGGTCTCGGTCGAAGTATTCGTCCCACTCATCGAAGTATAGATTGGTGTCGTAGTAGTCTGCGGCCGTAGCCTTCTTTACCTTGCTCATAATCTCCTCTTCGTCCTTGGCTGCCCAGCTTTTTGCGATCTTCTTGGGTTTGGTTGCCGGTTTGGCGTCATCCTGATTAGTTGGCGTTTCTTCGGGGCCACATATCACGTATGTCCTGCTGGTGGACCCGCGCTGGCCGATGCGGATTTGGTCGCCGACCTTCAGCACATAGTACTTGTAAGGCTCGATGCGCACATGGTTGAGGGTGGTTCCGTGCGTAGAACCAAGGTCGTACAGCAGCAGCTTGCCGTACCTGTTTAGTTGCAGAACCAGGTGCCTTCTCGACACTAGCGGGTTCTTGTAGACCAGTTGGCACTCGTCCATTGACCCCAGGACGCAATGCGCGCTGTTGCCCAGCTCGACATTTTCCAGCAGGGTGCCGCGGGATATCACGTCCACGGACAGTGCGTGCGCTTCCTTGCCCAGCACCTCGTTAGGGTCGAATTTCGCCCATGGCGGCGGCACGTAGTCGACGAGGCCCTTGCCTTCCTCCGGGCCGCGTCTGACTGCGGTCGGTAGCGTGAGCTCTAGTTGCTCCCACTCATGCATTTGATAAAGTTCGACATTAATATACAGTTGAGTTGCGGGCGCCTTCACGCAACTGCGGCGCGGCCGCGCGGTGTCTGGACACACCTTGGGGCGCCGTCTGACTTAGCTGGCGGCCAGCTTCCTGATCTTGGCCTTCAATTCCTCTATTTGCTTGAGGAGGCACTGGTTGTCGAACCTGAGCTTTTCCAGGTCCTTCACGACGCTCTGGGAGTGCCTCTCGAGGCGGTTGCGCTCGCCGCGGAGCGTGTCGACTTCCTCCTCCATGGCGTTCCGCTCCTTGGTGATCTCCGACAGCTGGTCGGCGAGCTGCGCGTTGCGGTTTATGAGCTCGGTGTAGAGCGTTTCGTTGTAGCTTTCCTTCTGCTGCCCAGTTTGGGAAGCCTCGGCATCGTCCGACGATAGCTGCTGCTGGAACACCTTGATTGTGTTCTCGATTTCCGATTCCAGGAAACTCTTCTCGTGCTTGCACCTGCTGAGTTCGCGGCGGGTCCGCGCCGTTTCCTCGAGCATTATCGAGAGGTCGTCGTTGGCCTTCTGCAGGGCGAGTACGACGTCGAGGCGCTTTCCCCCCTCCGTTGGGTCCTGCAGCTTGCCGTCGCGCATCACTTCCAGTGAGTTCGCCTCGAGGGTGTTCAGTATGAGCTGCCTGCTGTGGAAGGCTCGAAGCATGAGCGCTACCATATCGCGCTGCTGCTTGCTGAACGCACGGAGCGTGAGCTCGTGCTTCTCGCTGATGCGCAAGAACAACTTGAGGGGGTCTTCCGTGCACAGCCTTAGTCGCGGGAACGAGCTCGAGTATTTGCACTTGAGTATGCCGTCCCCCTTGATGTCATCGTCCGGTTGCAGTTGGACCTCCTCGGCCATTATGTACATGGCGTACTTCACGCTGCTGCCGTCTGTTTTCATGGCGTGCGCGGGGATCTTCAGCACGTCACAGAGGCACTTTACGCTTGTGGCGTCGCGCTCCAGGAACAGGTCGTGCCGTGCAGTGGAGTTGATGAGGGCGTCCTGTATGGCCCTCCTCGATGCCACGTCGACATCGAAAGGGCCGATCTCTCCGATAGCGGTGCCCAGACCGCCACTGTGCGTGCAGTGGATTATGAGGCTGGTGCCGATGTCGTCGGCGGTGAGCGAGTAGCGAGGGCCATCGGTGTGTTCGATGTCTACTTCGTAGCTGGCATGCCTTCTCTTCCACTTGAAGGTGCAGTCGAGCTCGTTGACGCCAGAAACTGTGGCGATAACCACTCCGATTTCGTGCGGGTGGAACTTCACGTTGAACCCGAAGTCGAATTCTCCCGATACTGTAACGGTTGTCCGTTTGTTGGCGCAGCTGCCGGGCGCCGAAAATAGCGAGCACTGCACCTGGTTCAGCCCCTTGCAGAACGGCGGCTGCAGGTTTTCTAGGTCGATTCCGATCTCCTTTGTCGCCTGGCTTGCGTGGCGTTTAAGCTGGACGCCGACCTCGTCGATCGCCGCCTTGAACTGCCCGGTGAGCTTGCGGAACACGGCGCCACCGGCATCTATTTTCGATTTCCAGGACTCCATCTCGCATGATTGTCCGTTTTACGTGCGATACTACACAATCGGCGTTACATACTGCCGAAGCCTACACATTCGCACTGGATACACATACGTGTACGGGCGGTGAAAGATCCCGGTTCGCTATAGCACACTCACGGCCGCGGATGTTCCGTGCATATTGCGCTGCATACTAAATGCAACGAGTCTACAGAATATATTAGGCAAGATGTGTAGGTGGCGCTCGCGGAGCGTACGCCCGTGTCTAATTGTGCGGTGGCTTCGGAGGCATGTTCCGCAGCCTATCCGCGAGTCCAACGCTAAATCTTGCCAAGCCAGCCCTTTGAAGTGCTGATGTGTATTGGTCCGACGGGTGGGCGTCAGCGACTGGCCCCTCATTATCGGCCACCTCCTGAGTGAGACTGAAATCAATGTCGAGGTCCTTGCCCGTTTGGTCACCGCTGCTCGGGGCGTCCAAAGGCGAGGCTTTCCTCACGGTGCTGGCAGCAGGCGGTGTTATCTTGGCGGACGTAGTTGGCCTGCTCTTTTGTTCTCCTGCCTTGGCGGTGGCGGTGTTACGCCTATACCGGCTGCCGGGTGTATCCTGAGAAGCTGCCGTATCGCCGCGTCGCGATGAGCGTGACTGGCCGCGTGTTACCGTTTCCTCATATTCCTCGTCTTCGTCCTCCTGTTCATAGCCGCTCTCCTCGTCGTCATCCTCACCGTAGTAGTCCTCCCCCTCACTTGACTCATAAAACTGAGGCTTCTTCGCGCTGCTTCTTGGAGTGGTGGTGCGGCTTCTAGGCGCAGCGGGCGATGCGCTTGGTTTTGACGCGGCTTTTACGCCCTTGGGCGTAGTGCTGGTGGCCCTTTGGGGTGTCCCGGCACCCCTCTTTGGCGTGCTTGTAGCGCTCGCAGACGTTTTGGCACCTCCCTTTGGAGCTGAATGTGCTGCTTGTTGTGTGTTTAGCGATTTCGCTTTGGCGGCCTCACGTTGCTGCTTCTTACGCCTTGCTTCATCCATCAGACGTTCGATGTCCGAGGCGGCCAGGGCGTCTTGTGAGAAATCCATCTGGCTCAGGGAGAACCCGTCGTCAGACTCGGCGGTCATTGACGCGTTGTCTGACTCATCTAAGACCGCTTGTTGCACGTACGGTTGTCTGTTAGGGTTAAACGACTCCATGCCTGCATTTATTTCTGGCATTGCTGTCTTCATTGGGTTGGGAGGCCTCTCCGCGGGTCGGTCAGTTGCGGACGGTGTAGCGCAACTTGGTTTGCTTGCGTTTTGCATGTCCCTCGCATTCTGGTTTGCACTTGAAAAGGCTGTTGCGATAGAAATCTGTCTCCTTGTGGTCTTCGAGGTCTTTGCTGGTTTGGGTGCGGCGGCCATGTCCTCATCATCGTCTGTGTATGTGTCGGAAACAAGCGCCACGTCATCATCGTAGTCGCTGGAATCGTCCGCAGCAGCCTTGGTTTTGGTTCGTTTGTTTGCCCTGTTCGATGAGGACGCTGGAGTGCGCGTTGCAGGGCTCTCGGCTACCTTTGGAGTGGCGCCACTCTTCTGGTTGTTAGAGGATTTCAACTTCCTTTTGCCAAGTTGCAGCAGTGCAGCCCTTGACGGAGTGGGTGCCGCCGTATCCTGTTGCCGGTATGTTGCCTTCATGGCTGTCTCTAGGCGCTCCAGGTCATCCAGCCACATGTCGGTGACGGTGGTGACCATAAGTTGGCGCAGCTGCATTTCCTTCTGTGCGTGCTCCTCATTTAGTTTCTGGACTTGCTCCAGAGTGAGCGACCACAGGGGCATGTTGAGCAGATAGTTGTAATCTGCCGCCTGGGCGTCCAGGGTTGACGTCCTCTTTGACTGACCGCCGGGAGTGGCGGGTTCGTTATGAAGTATTGGGGGGTTCACTTCGCTGCCGGCGCTGGATTTGACAAGTTCGGAATGCGGGTCGAACTTGAGCCCCCTCAGTTCGGCTATCAGGACGGCCTTCTGCTTTTTGAACAAAATGAGCTCCTCGTTTATCACCATGTGTATGAACCTGACTTGGTTGCTGATGCGTTTGAGCGTTAATTGGAGATTGTTTATCATATACAGACGCCTTTTTTCGTACGTTTCCAACCTTACTGCGGCAAAGTCCCTGACGATCTCCAGCTCGTTGCTGTACCGCTTGAGCTTCTTTTGGCCGTCGAAGAGCGTCATGTTGGAGGTGGCGATGCTGGTGCGCAGCTTGAAGACCTTCTCCACGCCTTCGTTCAGTATTTCCTCTATTGCATCGGGATTTACGTTAACGGTGAAATGGACGCTTTCGTGGGTGGAGTTGTCCACAAACCCCAGAATCAAGGGTTCTTTCCTACCAACACCCTGCTCAAGGCTCTCCAGGAATACCTTATAGTCGTGGGTCCACTTACGAACCGGTAACTCGGTAATTTCCAGCATTCCTTCTTCGCCCAACCATTGATAGGTTCCGATGCAATCGAAACCGCCTTTCTCGTTCGGCTCTATTTTACCTGTGAACTTGCGATACCATGGCACCATGGGCTTCATATCCCTGTTGGTGAGGTACAACCGTAAATTGTTGATGATGTCGTACGGGTTGTAGTTGGGAATTTGGCTGCTGAATCCTGTTCCTATACCTTCACTGCCGTTGACCAGCACCATGGGTATTGTGGGTATGTAGTAGAACGGCTCGATGGTTTGCCCCTCCTCGTTCTGGTACTGCAACACGTTATCATCCTCTTCCACGAAGATTAGTCGGGTGATGGGCATGAGCTTAGTGAAGATGTAACGCGCCGCAGAAGCGTCTTTACCACCTTCTTTCCGGCTACCGAATTGTCCACATGGCTCGAGCACGTTGATATTGTTAGATCCAACAAAGTCTTGCGCCATGTTGATGATGGTTTGTTGAAGCGATGCTTCTCCATGATGGTAGGCGGAGTGCTCGGCGACGTAACCCGTGAGCTGCGCTACTTTACATTCCGCAATCAGGTTTCGCTTTAGGCAACCGAACAGGACTTTACGTTGCCCAGGTTTCCACCCGTCTACCACAGAGGGGATGCTACGTTCCGTATCGTAGATGGAGAATTGGATGAGTTCTTTGTTGATGAAATCAGAGTACTTGAGGTTCTTGATGGTGTGGTCGACGGTTGTGCCGTGCTCGTAGCTCTGCATCCAGGCCTTGCGGTCGTCAACTCTTTTCTTATTAAACGCCATGTCGATGCTGTCGTCATCTACTTCATCTTCGTACACAAAGTCGATTAGATGCTGTCTAATGTTGGTGAAGTACTCCTTGAACTCCTTGTCCGTGGAGGTACCGAGACCTTTGTAGTATTTGATGCGCCAGCCGGACACGTTGGTGGTGTTCACCCAGTGAACATAATCCTGCATTGTGAAGAACGATACCACGGCATCCCCTTTAGTGGCCTTGATGAGCGGAGTTACGAACTCCCTGATGAACCCCCGGTACTGTATCATTTTTGGCCAGAAGTAGTGCAGCAAGTTTATGAGCAGGCCCTTGATGTGCGATCCGTCGTAATCCTGATCTGTCATGATCATGATGGAGCCATATCGAAGTCCTTCCGGAGTTGTTTGATCCTTTTTAGATATGTCCAGGCCCATGATTTTAAGTATGTTTTGTATCTCTGCATTTTGCACCAGTTGCTTGTAGCTAGCATCCCTGACGTTCAACAATTTTCCTTTCAGTGGGAATACCCCATAGTTGTCTCTACCGACGACCGACAACCCTGCAAGGCAGGAAGTCTTGGCGGAGTCACCTTCCGTGAGGATCAGAGTGCAATCCCGTGCACTGCGTGTCCCAGCCCTGTTGGCATCCTCCAGCTTCGGAATACCGGTTAGCCTGTTGACGGCCTTTGTTACCTTCATTTTCTTCTTGAGTTCTATGTTCAGCCTGTGCTGCGCGAATGACACGATGCGCTCCAGCAGCGTGCTTTTGAGTATCTGGGCAACCGCCTTGGGGTTCATGGTGTACTTGCTACCGAACTTTGTTGGCTTGGTTGTGAGCGTCTCCTTCGTCTGCGAGTCAAAGGTTGGGTTCACAATTTGGCAATTGACAAACAAGAATATGTAGTTTTTGATTTGGTAAGGTTTTAGCTCCACACCATCCTTGTTCTTTGACTTCACTTTGTTGGTAATTGCCGCTACAAGTGGATCCAGAACGTGCTGCACGTGTGTCCCACCCTTCAACGTTGTAATGTTGTTGACAAACGAAACCTGTTGGAACCCGCTGCCGTCGGTGGCGGATACCATTACCTCCCACCTATGGGCCTTGTCGTATACCTTCATTAGTGGAGCCTCATCGTCGAAGTATAGCGATACGTAGTGCCTGAAATCGCTGACTGGGAGTCTCTCATCGTTCCAATACACCCTAAGGCCAGTTGTGCCGGCGACGTCGTATACTCTTTTCAAGAGCACCTTGAGCGTGCCATCGTCCATGGCAGAAATGCCAAATCTCTCGTAGTCAGGCACGAATGTAATTTTGACGAAATCTTTACCGTGATAAGGTATAACCTTCGCCGGAGATTGTATCTTTTTCATATTCTCCTCCCACTTCATTGCGAACTGTTTGTGTCTCCTGCTATCTCCGCATGTGACCGCAAAGGTCTTCGAAAAAATGTTCGTCAGTTTGGCACCGAAACCGTTCCTACCGCCAGTGATGCGACCTTCCGAGTCATCGTAGTTGTCAGACGTAAGGAGCTCGCCGAAGATCATTTCCGGCACGTAGATGTTGTGCTCCTTGTGTATCTGCACCGGGATGGGCTCGCCGTCGTTTGCCACGGTAATTGCCCCTGTTTCCTTGTTGAAGTTGACCTTTATGAAGGTCATCTTGTTCAACGAGGGGTCTGACTGCTGTCTGGCGTGGACATCGGCTGCGTTGACGAGGATTTCATCGAATATCTTGTACAGACCAGGGATGAAAGAGACAGGCTCATAGACCATCCGCTTAGTCTCCTCATTGTAAATCCACATCTGCTGCGTCTGCAGCTCTGTGTTGCCGATGTAGGTGTCCGGTCTGAGCAAAATATGCTCTAGCTGCGATTTCTTTTGGTAGCGCTGCTCGATCGTCTTCTGCTTCGGCGCCATCTTGATCCGCAGTCTTCGTGTCTTTTTTAATGTCGATCTAACACATACACCTGACTAAACGGTTCCGCCGGAACCATGTGCGATAGCAGCACGGTCTTCTACGTTGAGGCCGAAAACGGCGTCATATGCACCTAGCGGCGACAGGGTATAGCATCAATATCCATGGCGACGTAATCAATAAAACTTCTACCGTATGATATAGATCGGGTCAATACTGCAATGTTTTCTGTAGAATGTATTTTCCCGCCTTCTTAGGCGGTTTTGTTCCTCCCTCCCAGTGTGTAGATGCAGCTGCCGCTCATTCTCTGCTGGTGAGACCCCGCCGCTCAGAGGAATTTACCTGCAGTAGCGCCAGGCAGTTATCTAATTTTGTTGGTCTTTGTGAGTGGTGGTTAGTCGGCTAGCTTTGCCTGTGGCGCTCAGCCGGCAACTAGCCGCCGGAATCGGGAGAAGCTGTCGAGCTTGGGTTGTTGCGGACTTTTGTCGACGACGTGCTCTTTAGCAAGTCTAACCTGTGGCGCTTGAAGTTCGTCTTTTGTTGTGTTGGCCTCCGAGTTGGCTACATTGTGGCAGCGTTCCACGAGGTTGGCGATGAACTGCGTTCGGTCGCCCTGCAGATAGTGGTCCGCTCGGCAGCCAACTGTACGTATCCCGCGGTCGTCCATGAGTCTTATTTGTGCAAATACGTCGTTCCGCAGCATCTGGCGCCTGCCGGAATAGAAGTCGTTCATGAGCACGTGCACAGCCACCTTGGTCGACCCAGGCAACTCTATCACTATAGGCAGTATCATGTCTCCAGCATCGTAGTTCCTGTACATACGCGTCTTGTCGTCAAATTTAGACAGGAACGCCTCGAGGCTGTTAGCAATGTCTTCCGTGCACTGCGCTAGCGACATCAGTTGAATGTCCACCTTCAACTTGTTGGACGCGAATCGTACATTCCTCAGTACCAAGTGGTCTACAGGCGAATACAGCCTCGGGTACAGTGTGTATTTTCCACTCTCTCCGCGCAGCTCAGCAATACCAGCTGCCCTGAGTATTGCGATCTTGTTTGCTGTGGATTCGTCGGTAGGCAACTCTGCCATGCCAACCTCCACCTGTTTTGTCATGGTATCCACTAATTCCACAGGAATATGTGTTAGCCGATTTACCTTCAGTATTGCGAGGGCCGTTAGCACATGAAGCGCATCTTTAGCGTTGTCTACTTGGAGGCAGGCGTCTAGAATGGGCTGGATGTGGTCAATGTACCCAAGCCCGGTTAGGTGATACGCTAGAGATGCAGCTTGCGTTGGTTGCAGACAATCAGCGCGGCATGTCACAGAGTTTACTTTTTTTAGAAGCGAATTGCTTTTGGCGCCAAGTCGTGCCGCCAGCCTGCACATTGCATCCACTTCCCTCAGTTTTAGTGTCCCAGTGATGTTTTTCGTTATAGCCACCATTAGCTCTTGTGCTTCTGTACTGGTGGATACGTCGCATATTTTGCCAAGAATATGTATAAGGTCCCACAGATCTGTTTTGGAGTACCTCTCCCAGCTGTTGAGCTCGTTCATCTTGTTGACCTTGTAGATTAACCTGCGGCAGACGAGTAATGCACGGTGATCTTCCGAGCTCATGAGTTTCAAAAAACCGAGGCATTCTGCGAATGACATTACCCTGGTTCGGTAGGTCAGCTCATTAGTTATCTCCTCTTGCAGTATGGGCGCCTGGTTGCGGATCTCGTTGTTCACCACCCAGACTGCACCATCATCGTCCAACGGTGACTCTAGTTCTACGAAGCTCTGAGCATCCTTCAATGCCTGCAGCAGTGATACCAGCTCCCTGGCTTCGAACTCGAGGATGTGCTCGCGTATCCTGATGTGCGCCTTGTTCATGTTGGCCATTGAGGCATACAGCTGCCTTGTGACCCCGTTCGAGTTGGCGTATATCAGGTGCACGGCCGACTTGTAGTAGTACATGATATCAGTGGGTCGCATCTGTATCATGAGATCAGCGCATCTGCCCAGCAGCGAAAGAGTCGTCTCCGTTATCAACGTTGCTTCTGGTGACTGTTCATTTTCCCTCTCATTTGCGATGTCGCCTTCAGATGGCGGTGTCTTGTGGCTGTTCATTCCTCCGTCATCTTGATGCGTGCCCTCAGAAGATGCTGCTCGGTGTGGTCCCAACCCTTCCACAGGTGGATGTCCGGGTGGATCCGATTCTGCTGCAAAGCCCCTAAACCTCGCATAGGAATGCAGCAATAGTGTGAGCGTGTGACAATTTGCGATGTATTTTATCTTTGACGATATGGCCAGCGACGCCTTAACGAATATGGCGTTGGCATCTCTGACCCTGAGCTCTAACAAAGCGTTAAGTAGAAGGGCAATATCCTGGGATGAATATCAGAATGCGCATATATGATGTAGCTAACCTTTTCCGATGTTTTTGCGGTTATTCGGGACTCTATGTTGGTGTTGAAGCCGTTTATCATCTCGTCCGCCTGCATGCCGACTTTGGCAAGGCCGTTGTACAGCACGGCGAAATCCCTGATGTCGTATTTGTCGACATTATCCCGCATCGCCTGCTAGCTGTTAGCACTACATACGTGCACAGTATCTCACCTCAAGCAACAAGTTGATGAAGCTTGAGTCCCTTCTCCCGGATTTGGCGAAGGCGGCGAAGATGAGTGAGATGTCGGTGGGCGAGAACCGGTCGCTGGATTCGCCATCCTTATCAGTGGCTTGATTTTTGACCCTCTTGCACACCTCTTGGACGTAGGTTGTCCAGACAGCTCTCATGCGTATGTGCCTCCTGGCCGAATCCTGTATCTGCTTACGGAGGTCCAGACATGAAAGCTTCGCGAGCCGTTTCTGGGTAAATATGTAGTTTCACCTCTACACATCGCCACAAATGACGTAAATATAGGTGGAAGACATGTCGAGAAAACCTACCACGTTCGGCGCTGCAAGTACCTTGCTCCTGCCCTGAAACAGCGAACGACCGAGGGCCCTCATGGAGCGCACATTTAAGTCTACATTTCACATGTTATCTGCGATAAAAGGGTGTAAAGTGCTGTCTAATGACGAGCAAACGTGTTGCTCAATAACGACGTGCAGCCGACTTTCGTGCCTTAGGTGATGGGGTACGACAGGTGTCACCCGGTTAACGTGTCACACACGGCTGAGTTCTGGCACAGCCCCGCGGGGACCATCCTTGCGGAAGGGGCAATATCGTTGCAAGTGACGCCTAGCGGATGCGCGATAATTGCTAGTTGAAAACTACTCCAATTCCCGTCTATCATTTCGAAAGATATGTTAGCAATTTTTGCGGCCCCCCGGGGCTAACAATCGTTTACCCTTAGCCTCACATAGCACACCCAGCGGCTCCCGCGTTGTTCGCCACGCCCCCGCGCGGGGCTCGCCGTACACCTCAGTTGCATCCACGATGGTGAAGTGGGAGCTGGGCACGGACGGTCGGTCCGACGAGCCGGGCGACCGAACGCGGCTCCTCCAGCAATCTGAGATGCTGGGCGAGTCCCTCAACAACATCGGCGACTCTCGCAGGTGAGAGGTGTCGGTGGATCGATCATGGGCTTCAGGGTCCTCGAGGAAACTAACGAAATCGGCACGAACGTTATGAGCAAGCTACTATCGCAGCGGGAAACGATCATCCGTTCGACACACTACGTAGGTGTAGTAGCATAGTCGGCAGTGACGCCACGCAGGCCGAGGAAACCGGGAACCGCCAGCGCGAGACGCGCAGCCTTCTGCGCTCGGAGAGCTGGTCGGATTTTTACACCAAGGTGGCGATGTACGTGACGATTGTGTGTCTAACCATCGCCATCATATTCGCCATAATATACCGCATCACTAAGTAGACTCACTACCACTATCTTAAATTCTGCATACACATAATTTTACGTTTCAACTCTGTGGTTAGACTGGAGGTGTGTCGTGAGGGAGGTTCGACAAGTTTAGCCTGGAGTCCGCGAAGGGGAGTTACTTTATCCTTCCGCGACGCGGACGTTGTCTAACGTCTTCGTTGTAGTGTTTTGTCGATATTAGACTTTCTGGAGTTGCAAGGAAGGTCCAAAATGGGCGCGGAGCGCGCCGTTGCGGCGTACGACGATGGCTTGTCGAAGCGATTCCGGATTATCGGCGTGCCGTACGCAAACCAGTACTTCACGCTGAGCGCGGAGAAGCTGGAGACTTTGCGGCCGTGCTTGGTGCCCCTGATCAAGCAACACTGGGGAGAGGCGTCGCTGGAATCCGACGCCGCTGACGACTGCACACCCAGCCGTTATCAGTACGTGAACGCAATCAAGGACGCTAAGGTTGGCGATATGACAGGTTGTCCATCCGTTTGTAGTCGCACTGTGTCATCATCGGAGCCATATTCAAGGACATGAAGCTGCGGCCGTCGCCTCTCACGGAGTATTCGGAGCAGGTGAAGCTGTCGGTAGGCGCTGGATGTTTTGCAAAGCATCCCCATTCAGCAGGAGCACGTTGCGAAGTTCACGTCGGAGGATGATCGATTGTTCATTGAGGACCAGAGCATCCGCATGGCCCTGCGCGGGCCGCTGCTGGATCCCCAAAAGCTCGTCACAGGGCTGGTGGGTTTGAGTCATGCGTGGTGTATTGGACTGGCATGTATGTGGTTGCTGTATCTTCTGGCAGGGCATTTGGCTCTCCAATAACGTGGAGATACATTGCGAAATGTTATGTTGCGTTGTAGTATTCCCTCGTTTATATTCTGTGGACCTTTGTTCATTGTGATGCAGGTGATGGCGATGAAGGGGATCATTAATGACCAGGGCGAATTCGACTGCGAGGACTACCTTATGCCGGGTCCGCCCACGTCCATACCTATACCTCCTGCGACTGAGGAGAAGTACGTGGCGCTGGTTTCGGGATTGAACATCGCTGGTCCGCGTTCGAGCCACGATCCACTACTGATGTTACGCGACTTTGTACTGGGAAACACGCCGTAGGTTCATTGGCGGGAGACGTTGTAGTGTGATTCAGCATGAATGATCTGAGCAGCAAAATCGTCCGGCTGGTGATAGCGGGTAACGGCATTGGTCAATGTGACGTGCCGTCACTAGCCGAGTGTGATGTCTACTTCGCACAGCTAGCTGCGGCACTGCCGGTCGACCTCATGCCAGGTAGGTGATTGTGCTATTTGTGCGTTTATATGCTACGAATGCTTCGGACAGCCTCACTTTTACTAGGCGACACCGACCCATCTAATCGCAACCTTCCCCAGCAGCCGATTCACCCGTGCTTTTTGGAGCACAGCAGGCGTTACGGGACGTTTCAGTCGACAACAAACCCCTACTTCTTTACTGTGGACGGTGTAAGGTTCCTGGGGACGTCAGGCCAGGCCGTGAAGGGCGTCTGCGACTACAGCACTTTGTCTGAACTGGGTGAGTTGCTGGTGTATTGGCCGCTGAACGATGTATTCAGAGGCGCTTCAACTGACGGCTGCTGCGCGGTTCATCGCTCCGACGGCACCGGACACGCTCGGATGCCACCCCGAGGCTCGCGTGTTTACACTTGCGGACGACTCGGAGTACCCGCATGTCATTTTCAGCGGTAACTCGCAAGAGTTTGTCAGTGCGGAAGCTGGAGCACCTGGATGCTTGCCGAGAGCCATTTGCGTGCCCGCGTTTACTTCGCTGCCTTCCGTTGTCTTGGTGTCGCTGGCCACCCTGGAGGCGCGTCTAATCAGGTTTGCGTAGGCCGGCGAACCTATCTCGCTACCCTGAAAACTTGTACACATTTACAAAAAATGTGTTGTAAGAGCCTTTATATGGATACATGTCGCGGATTTGTTACCCGGGGTGCACTGCTCAGCATCGTCCAGGATGGCGGCCGAGGCCGCGCGGCAGGACGGACAATAACTATGCTAGTTACACATCCGCCTGTAACGGTGTCCAAATATCAACTTAGGCTTTTGTTAGTGTCTGGTTGCATTTAGAATGGATCATGTGATTGATCCAGCACGGTTGCGACCGCGTGTCTTCGTGTAAATTCAGACGGGTCGATCACACGTCCCTGTACTCGCCACTAGCTTCGACTGCTGCGGTGTAAATTCATGTTGAATGCCGGCGTCGAGGAAGGGGCGCATAGCCCCGTTTTTGGTGGGAGAGATGGCGCATCGACGGAGCTACCGTTGGCCGGGCTCCCTCGATATCGCACTATCGCAGAAGCGCCCAAACTACCGGCTGGTGAGGGTGCTGAAAGTGTACAGGTGAGTGGATTTAATTTGATGTGTATGGTTGTTGCGTGTCCACAGGGTGAGGGGGTCCTGCTCCACAACCGTATGCTGCAAACCCCCTAGCGAATGGCGGTTCATGCGTATATCTCGCACGATGAGTGAATGCTTGATCTTATAACTTCCGATGCCATCCGTTTTAAGCGTGCAGAATACATGTGCATATTTACGAATTTTATGTTTGACCCTTCTAATGCATGTCATTGTCTCGCAGCTGCCGGAGGGCGCTTTAATGGGAATCATTTTCAACCTGGAACAAGAACGTGAGACATACCTTGAGGCTGTTGCGGTATTGCATCAACAGCTACTAGAGGCGCAAGAACACTGCCAGCAGCTCTCCGACTCTCACGAGCAGATACGGCGCAACCTAGAGGCTGAGGTGAGCGAGGGTTGGAAGGAGGCCGAGATTTGGGAAGCGAGGTATCGTTCGGTAGAACAAGTTGCCAAATGTATCGGTTTGGACGTTGCTGGTTTACAGAAACCGGCGAATACCAAGTTGTGCTCATCACTGGAAGTGAAGCCAACGAATCGCGCAATATCGTTGAACTCTGACGCATGCACAGTAGTGACAATAAAGGACCTACATCAAACAGCTGCGCAACAATTCAATGCGGAGAGTCCTCGTGGAGCACGGTTGCGTCCCGTGGAACGTTTGGAATCCCCATATGATGACCATGCACCCGCGAAGACTGGCGTAGTAGTCAGAGCGACGAGTGCTTTGGAATCGGGTAACAGCATACTTGCGGAAGACGCTCACAGCAAAGTGAAAGATTCCATTACAACATGGGAAGCTACTTCGTCTGCCCTTTCGACTCGCGATGTTGATAGGAAAGGGGTGCATGAATCGTCTTTCACGGCAACGCTGCCGAAAAACCGTGTACTAGGTCATCGTAAGGAATTCAGTATATTCCGCAATTCTGGAGATGTCACTACCGAGGGGTTCAAGCCACGTCGACGGAACTTCTTGTGCGGTAACAGCAAGCGTTGCTGCTGCTCTAGTCCTGCAGGTGCCCCGTGCTCGTGCTGTGGTAGCGCAGATATAGCTCCACAACATCTGACGTTCACCGATCCTTCAACCACTAATTACCATGGATGGGTTTATTTGAACAGTCCGCGTACGTTGAGTGGGCGGTTTGACCGGTCGTCCATGGTGATTCGCAATGCCAACATCGGGTCCACGCTTAGCTTGGTGTTTGAAGCAACGGACTTCTAGTTGGTGATCGGTGACATCTAATTATTAAGCTTAATTTTCCATGCAGTTTTCTCTTATCCGATTGCACTCCCGGCGTCATGTGACCGACGGGGTACCGCTTCAATTTTTTTGCACAATGCCGCAATCTTTAATTCGTTATCAACGCCAATGATCGCGGGCTATTTTGCAGGGTTCCTGTTGCGTTCTAAGCTCATAAACTTAATTTTGCGTTGTCTATAGCCTTTAACATATTAGGATCATCTATGCATCGCGGCGGTGATGTTGATTGTTCTCGAACGTTTCCGTTCTCTACTACGCCGCCCGATTCAAAGCCGTTTTATGTTTGGATGTTGTGTTTACATGTGGTGCCGTATTCGAGGTAATAGGCTGCTGTACTGCCTCTGTGCTGTCTAGTGATACTAAATTACGCGGTGGGTTGTTACGTTAGTCAGGTGAGCATGATTATGCCCATATTTATGCAAGCTTAGTGATTTCGTGTAACATTATGGTGGTAGGCACGCTGCACCGGCACAAATAATCACCACTGCAGCACAACTTATCACAAGGTAACAAATCACCACATGAATGTGATAATTACCGTGACACTCCAAGTTGGCCCACAGAGTCATCGTCGAAGTAGTCGACGTCTTTGTAGAGTGAGAGCATCCTTCGGCTTCCGGCGAGCAGCGCCTTGATGTCGATGAGGTGGGAGGTCTTGGTGGTGAGGAGGTGGGAGCGGATGTGCAGCACGTCCATGCGGTAGAGCAGTGAGTGGAGGATGTAGATCGTGGCGATGAGCCAGAGTGTGATGATGGTGAAGAGGAAGGGGGCACGGATGCGATAGAGGAGTTGGTCGATTTGCTTGAACAACTCCGTAAAGTGGTCGGAGTGTAGGACTTGGCTGAGCTGCGTGCGGAAATTACGGCAATATTTTCTGTTATTGCCGTGCAAGGCTCTCGTGTTTCCAAATGTAAATCCATATGCGTGGAACGTCGGCAGGACTCCGTGACAACTCATCAGTGCCTTGCACTTGCAGTTGCGGTCGACGCCATGTTTACCTGGCTTGCAAGGACATGTCGAGCACCCGGAGCCCGCGCAGTCAATGTCTTGAAAGGCGTTGAGCAATTGCTGGAGCAGGTACCAGAATTGCCATGCGGTGTAGATAACCCACGACAAATATACCTCCGCGTGCTTCTCAGCGAAGGTGTGGCAGGCGTGGAAGGAGAGAGGCTGTAGGTAGGGGGCGCAGGTTAGTGAGTCGGAGCAGTGCGCTCGGACGGTGAGGCTCGACAGGTCCGAGTGGGTGTCCGTGTTGGTGTTCTTGTCGGTGTCGGTGTCCGCCTGGGCTGCAGTGGCGTGGTCGGCGGGGGAGTGGTACAATGCGGTCAGCGCGCTGGTCAATCGCACCGCCTGCGTACTTGGGCAGAGGTTCATGGAGACGCTGGGAATTGCAGCACTCGTCAGGTGGGCAGTGAAGCCAGAGTTGTCAACATACTTCAGACGTTGTGTCCTGTGATCCAAGCCGCGGCACTGCGCCAAGTTGCAGAAGAAGGCAAACATGTCGCCGAGACTTTGAGGCGGGCAGGGGTTAATTGAGGAAAGGCACCGCAGCAGGGAGGGCAACGGTGACTCGGCATTGCTGCACAAGGCGGTGAGCACGGCGAATATATCTCTGCCGACGCCCGTTCTAGACCCCGCACGTGGCAGGTCCCAGAAGCCCATGGGCGTGACGCACTGCTGGCCGGGGGATGCCGTATGGCACGTCGAACATTCAGAGTCACAACCGACGGACGTCAGCTTATGTGGTAACAAGCCGAGTAACTGGTCCATTAGGTGCGCTTGTAGCGGCGATTTTGGTTGGCAAGTTGCTTGGTCCGTCGAGTGGTCGTTGCACTGCCAGTTGGCGGCGGGGACGCTTCTGCCGTACCGGCACTGTGACCAGCCGTGGGCCATGGACGCTTCGTATCGGCAACGGGCGCGCAAGAAGTTGAGTGCACGCAATGCACGTTTACACAGGCGAGCCAGGATGTTCAGGAGCTCAGCAACGTCTGAGGGGTAATGAAAGCCGCGTGTGTTGTCCCAGAAGTTGCAGGCGTATTGGAAGTCGGCGTGGTCGAAGCCGCGGCCGTTACCGCAGACGGTGACCAGCAGGGTACTGCTGTGATGTGTCAAAAGGCCGAGGGCGCCGGGGATGCAGGCCAAGCAATATTTAAGCACCTCATCAGTTTCGCCACCAGACAAGTTATGGCAATGCGGTTGTATGCTTTTGTAGACTGCGGTGTAGGGGAGACCGGCGAACCACGCCAGCATGTCCCTGACGGTGCAGGGGTACCGGGGCTCTGTGGGAATGTGCAAGTGGCTGGCACGCAGGTAACATTTGAGAAAATCGTGGAGTGCGCCCAGAGGCTCTATGATATTGTCGATGAGCTTTCTAATCTTCTCGCCGCTGCAGTCACTGTCATTTCGCAGTTCGCTGTGCTTAACTGTGGCGGACGCCACACGGTAGCCGCAGCCCTGGAGGAACACGCCGAGGCCGCAGCCGACGTTAATGTTGTAATACGCCCACTCATCTGTGCAACCCATTCTGAGCTTATTGACGGCGCGGAACAAAGTGTCAGTGATGGTCAGAAGGATCATGGCGCACTTGGTAGCCTCGGGGGTGTGCGTCTTTTTCGCCGCGTGGTAGAGGATGCAGTCGTCGAAGGCTCCGTCGTATGTTGATATGTACACGTTTCTTAGTTCCTCAACGAACGCACGCAGCCCTTCCCCGATGCCATCAAGCAGGGGGCTGTTGGGCTTAGTAAAGCCTTGTGGCCTGAGAGCGTTCACAGCGTCGATGAGTTTGTCAAGTTTACCAGGCATCTCAGGGTCGTAGCGATTTTGCCGAATTAAGTGGCCAAGTAGGTCATTAAGTGCTGTGTAAATTTCGGCGAGCTTATTGGTGTACAGGGTCTCAGGGTCCCGAGCAACGGGATTTCTTTGTGACATATTTTCGTCGTGCTCTCTCTTGATCTCAGCCTCGAGGTACATACGCAACCGGCCGCAGAAGACGTTGAAGCGATACGACAAATCGCGGAGGCTGGCGGCATCCCTGAGCAAATTTATGTTTCCGTTATTGTCACCAGCAATCTGCTTCACGAAGCCCTTGAAGCCTATCGCCAAGTCGTGATCGATTTCGTCGGGCAGTTTGCCCAGCTCGCTGTTCACCTTCGAGGCGTATTGCTGCAGCATTTGTTTCACGCTTGACACGTAATTTGCGTTGGCCTGCACGATCATGGCATCCTCGGCTATGCTTATTTGCTCACGCAGATGCTCCCTGATTTTCTGCTTGGCCAGCCTGCCGGTCTCGTCGGCGTCCCGGAGGAACTGCTCGCAGGCCTCTATGGGCCCGCTCAGCAGATCGGCCCGCAGCCTCTTGAGCTTATTCTTAATTTCGTTCAGCCCGTGCTGCTCACAGCCGTTGATGACCACGTAGTCATGATCGATCAGAGTGCTCAGCCTCTCCACTGTCTCCTTGACGCTGAGTCCCGGTAGCTTCACCGCCTCGCACAGCTCTGTGAGTCCTATGCCGACGACCGGCACCAGGGTGTGGACGTCGTTGAGGGCTTTATGGATTGCTTGGAGGCCATGTCTTTTGTCATGTTTGGAAATTAGAGTTCTCAGGGTCCTCAAGTGGTCCACGACGTCACCGTCAAGCATGACATTGTGCAACTTGATTCCGATTTTTGCGAGCTCCACTCTGATGTTTTCTACGGCTTTTTCAATGGCGTTGGGCTGCTTTCCCAATTCTTCATTCTGCTCTTTGACATACTCCTTGATTGTGTCGAAGCCCTTCACATTTCTGTTTTGACCATCCCAGTCGTACCCACCATTTTCAAGGCCGAACCTTTGCAGCTTTTGCAACTTGTTTGTAACATTGTTGTCCAGATCACTCCGAAGTTTTTGAAGTTCTTGGGTAATAACATCGACTGCGTCTTGGATGCCAATGGGATGATTAGTAAAGTCAACGAGTTGCAGAGTTTCAATCTCTTCATGAATTTTCATCAGGCCATTTCTGCCATTCCAAGATATTTCCGTTGTGCCGAGCCCTTCATTTATTATATGATTCAGTCTGTTAATGACGTCGTATTTATTTCCACTTGTGGCTTTCAGATCGTCTCGAAGCTTTTTGAGGTGATCCTTAATTTCTTGGACGGCTGCTTTAATTTCTATGGGTTGGTTAGTGAACTCAACAAGTTGCAAAGTTTCAATCGCCTCCCTAATTTTCTCAAGGCCTTGGACTGGTGTACCACCAGAAATCGGTGTCCACTCTGTGTCACCATTTTCAAGCCCCTTGGTTTTCAGATCATTCAACAATTGCGTGATACCATATTCATCCGGTTTGCTGGGTGGCTGCGTCTTCTTCTTGCTGCTGTCCACCATTCCGGCGATGTCCTGGAGTTCTTGTTCGATTGCGGAGAGATGTTTGTTGACTGCTTGCGTGGCTGTTCCTACGGTACCTTTTTGAAGTTCCTTCTGTAGTCCAGTGTGTCCTTCGAATTCAGACACATCCTTGAAAGCATCCATCGACTTGAACTTATTCATCGCCAAGGGTATAGCTGCAACCAATTCGTTGTACTTATTGCCTTGGCCGGGGGTTTTTGCTTTATTATAGGACGTCATGACATCGGTGCTAAACCTTTTCTCCATTTCCTTTTTATCCGGAATGACACCTTTAACCTGCTGCTCAATCTCGTTTACTTTCTTCAGAATTTCATTGGTGCCTGGGCTTGGGGGAGATGCGGGGGCACTGCCCTGTGTAATTGCCTTATCATGCGCCGCTTGCAAATTCTTTTCCAGATCCCTGGTTGCTTGCACGGCTCTGTCGAATTCGCTTGCGATGCATTTGCCGCCACTCTCGCCACCCATCCTGTATGTGCCGAGGAAGACAGATTCAAGCTCGTTGGCAACCTGGTTGGCAGTGGCGCGTAGAGCTATGAGGGCCAGTTCGGTGACGAAGTAGACTGGTTGGCCGGTGTGACTATATGGAGTTCCCCGCAAAATCTCCGTGGCAAGGTTGATAAGTCCCTGTTGGAATTTGTCATCCAGCTGCCTGACAAATTCATCGCAGCCGTTTTTCACAGCCTCCACAGTTGCTTCAATTTTATCGCTGGCTTTGGCAATATGATGTTGTACAATGTCACCGGCTCCCTTAATTTCCTCGTCCCTAAGCTTCTCCTTAATCTTGCGGATGATTGTATTACGAAATGAGGCAATTGTGAAACCTTTACTCGTCTTCTCTCTAGCATATTGATTAAGCCACTCTTTCACCTTGGTATTCTCCTGGTGTTCATCCATCCCCAAGATTTTTAGCAACCATCCGTTAACTATGCTTTCAAAATTATCCTTGAAGACACTGGCATAGCTGCCGACTAATCCGGTGACAATCCCTTCTAGGCCTGCGCCGCCTGTATTCTTGTCACCACTCCCTTTCTCCCCCTTAATCTTCTTCACCTCCCCCTGAATCTCCCCAAGCATCAAACCAACATGCGTCTTCATGCTTTGAACAATCCTCTGTTGCAGCCTCTCCAAATCCTCTTTCATGCCAGATTCCAAGTCTTTAATGGCGGCGGGAACGTGTTTGCTAGCTAATGCCTGAACTGCTTTATGAGCCTCCTCGTATGCCTTTAGAAGCTCCGCGGCTTTTTTCTGCAATGCTGCAGCTTGCTTTTGTATTACGACATCATTCCCTGAATTCTTAGATACGTCAACTTTATTCAAAACATCATCACATTTTTTATTTGCCTTGTTAATAACATCCTTGGCGGCATCCCTCCACTTACCTAAATGCTGAACTTCTGTATTAAGATCATTATTTGCCCTTTTAATTAAGTCATTAGCTGATATAATGGCTTCAATATTTTTTCCAAGCTGCATATCCTTTCCCGTATCATCTACATCTAAGGCGGTCCAAACTTCTGTGGCCTTTTGAATCGCCCCTTGAAGTACTGTCTTAGCCTGCTGCTTCCACTCATTCAAACTCCCAAGATGGGTGGCAAGATTTTGATTAGCCTGATCAATTTTCTTATTCGCTGTCACAATCTCTCCGATTTGCTTACCGACATCATGCCCTGAATTTTTCTCAGGACTTAACTTCCCGCGCACGTCTTTAGAGTTTGAAATCACAACACTAATCAAACCGTCTGCCGCATTTTTCCAGTTTTCCAGGTCACCAATATTTATTGTAAGCTCGGTATTAATTTTCACAATTTGTTCTTTAGCGTCAAGGATTTTCTGAATATTTTCAGCAAGCTCTGTCTTTTCACGGCTTTTATAATTCTTGTAATAACTGAGAATTTTAAAAGCCTCTTTCGCTCTTCTTTCAGCCTTTCCACGCGTTTCCTCGGCGTTATTAATCCATGTCTGCAAATCCTTGGTTTCCTTGTCAAGTCCGTTGTTAATCTTATTTACGTTTTCCTCAATTTCCTTCCTTTTTTCACCTTTTTCTGCATCAACTTCATCCAAGATTTCCTTAACATTCTGGTCCGCGAATGCAATGAATTTCTTGGCCTCCGTGATCCAAGCCTCCAGCTCGTCGACATATTTTCCCAACTCGAGATAGGTGTCAACAAGCTTTGCTCTGATTTTTTCGACCACCCTCTTTAACTTTTCAACGAGCGCATCAATTTCATCGATAATCTTTTTACTTACACTGTCCTCCAGCTCCCTCAAAGCCTTTCTAATAACTTTTACCATAGCATTATAATTTTCAAGTTGCTTCCGCGTCAGGTTCTGAAGACGCTTCCTTTCTTGCGCCATATGTTTCTTAGCAGTCATAACTTTATCACGCAACGTAGGATTTAAGTCTTTTATTGCGCTAGTTGTGCTGGCCACAGTGTTCATATTATTGTAGAATGCGTCAGCACGTTTTTGACATTCCTCCACCAGCCCCTCGGCATTCTTAACTTCTTCCTCAGTAACATTGTCAACCTGCAAACCATTAACGCGTTTAAGCAACTCACCACCCGGATTCACATGGTCAAGCAACTCACTGATCAGCTGCTTCACTCTTTCGTTCGAGGCCTTGACATCCTCGTTGTACTTACGGAGGCCACTGGCCACCTTGGGGACGACATGCTTAAAGCCATGGTGCCCACTCCACCTGGTCTTTTCAAGCTCACCAACAACACTACTTAACTCTGGTCTACCAACAACGTACGGCTGATTATCACGGACATCACTGAACACGCTATGCAAAAACTGTATGATGGCATCGCACAAACGGGAGGCGGAGCCATACACAATCCCGGAACCGTCGTAGGTTCCAGGAGGTTTATAGCCTAAAAATGTCTCAAAGGCGGAACAGAGATTATGTAGAGTGTCTTGATTAGGATTCTCAGAGTTTTTCGTAATAGCGTTCTTAAACGCTGTAAGTCCCGAAATAACATCTCTGGCGGACGGCTGGTCTGATTCGGGTAGAGACGACAGAGACTTTTCAGCGTCCTGAACAACATTGTCAAACAACTCACCTAGAGCCTCGGACAGCGTCAGAATCCCTCCACTGTGCTTCACCTGGATGAGCCAATCGATCGCCTCTCGCAGGTTCTCGGGGCAATCCGTCAAAGCTTTCGGTGCCATGCCATCGAGCTTCAAACAGTCTCATCTCCAAGAAACAATGCACCATGCCGGAGCTTGCACGACAACATCTCCTTGCCAGCGAGTGCTCAAGGTGAAGAAGCTAAGAGGTGAAACACGGTCTGAAAGATATGCGACATAATCCGACTAAGCACGAAACAAGCGAAATATCAGACAAAAGCACGCCCAATTCACCCCGCAGAAATTAATTTAAAAAATGGAAATCATTAACAATCTCACCTGCCTGAGGATGAAGGGAGCCTCCAAGCCCATGAATCCGGCAATCCTGGAGACAACCCGGCTTGAAATATTAGAGAACGTTATGATGCCTGCATAAATGTGTTCAGTACGAATGTAAGATAGGGGAGCAGTCCTTACCCCGAATTGCGACGCGGCCCAATCTCGCCGCCACGGCTTCCTTAAAGGTTCAAGCAACCTCCATTCGACTCCGTATCATTCACACCACATCGCACGCGCTCCGCACCACAAACGGGATTCACTTTGAATTACGTGAAGAAAATATATGCTTAATTCGCCATGTCTGAAATACGTCTACCATGGTTGACCACTCTAAACTACACCCACGTTAAATCTCGCCACCATACGTCACGGCGAAGGCGCACTAGCTACTGCTTTAGTGAGCCATGTTACGTGTTTACTATGTTAGTTATTGCCACAATGCCGCCTTGAAATATCCCGCTATCATGCCACCCAGTGGCCGTCAAGTCAGACAATGTTCCCGCATCACGCAGCTACCACGTCTAGCCACTTACATAATCACAAACGTAACATACATATCCTGTGGAATGGATCATACGGTCCATAACAGCAGTAGTAAGCTACAGGCGTGTATGACCAACAGGAATCGACACAGGCCACTGACATGTTATGATGATGCAGCCATATCTCACAAGTATCCCAAAGCTGATAATCATAAACAACTCTAACCTTAATGAGTCAACTACATCACGTAGTAGCTTGCGCGTCATGTATGTGGTTGCTACATTAACTACTGGTTGCTGTTAGGTGGGCTGGGTGGGCTAGGCGGTGGGTGACGTGATCACGGTGAGAAGTATCTTAGCTTCCGAAGTGCCTTGACGCGTGCGGCGGCGAGGAGGGACTGTGCGGCGATGCGGTGCGATGAGGGTGATCTCAGGTGGGAGCGTATCCTCAGGACGTCGAGGCGGACGAGGAGGATGTGCAGCAGGTACAGGAGCGACAGCGACCAGAGGAAGAGCAGGGTGTACATAAAAGGTGATCTGATGGTAAAGAGGTAATCGTCGCATTCTTTAAATAGTTGCTTGAAATGCTGAGATGCTGTCACGCTAAACAACTGAAGATAGAATTTGTGGCATAGTGCCGGACTGTTATCATTATTCAATGCCGCTGCGTTGCCAAAGGTGAATCCGTATTTATATAAAGTTGACATGACGCCTCTACATTTTACAATGGATGGGCACTGACATGAAGTTGCCGATTTGCCATGCTCTCCCTTTTTGCACTTATCGCCATGCAAACACGTAGGACATCCCCAATCTGCGCAAGAAATATCTGTGAACGCCTTGAGTAAATTTTCAAGGTATCTATGAAGATTCCAAGGAATGTAAAGGGCCCACGACAGGTATGATTTTGAATGCTTCATGGCGAAGAAAGTGTAGGTGTCGCAGGAGAGCGATGAAAGGTAGGGAGCGCAGTGCATATCTGAGCTATCTACACGGCACGCCGTCATTGACAGGCCAGACAAATCCGCGTAGGAAGCCGTGTGATTGTCTGCGGCGTGACTGGTCTGATTGACACCATATGCGTTACTGAGAGCATCCGTCAGGTTGTCCGGTGTCTTACATAGGCTGATAGATACATCTTTGATTGATGACTCAATGGCCTGTTTAATGTTGTTGCTCTTTTTGAGATTGGCGTCAACTAGCCCCCGAACTAAACATATGGCGAAATTGAAGTGTTCGGCCAATGTGGATGGCGGTTTGGGTATAAGGCAGAAAAGGTATGGTAAAATGGTGTAATCAAAAAATACCTCCAGCATATTAAACAAATCTTCACCTGTTTTCGTACCACCGGAGAAACGTTTAAACCCTAAGGGTGTCAAGCAGGGCAGGTGACGTGAACTTGGTGAGCACGTGGTACATTCGGCTTTGCATCCAATTGCCTCCAACCCGTGCGGCAGGAAGCCCGTTAGACAGTCATTTAGGTATGAATGAAGGGGCGATGTTGGTTGACAAATTGGTTTGGTGTTTGATTGGTCATTTGGTTTGTCGATTGAGTGGTCTCTACATGGCCACTTGGCGGTAGCAATGTGCTTGCCGTAATGGCACTGTGACCAACCATGAATGCTAGCCGGGTATCTGCACTGGCTATACAAGAACTTAAGTGGCGGGAATAGTCTGCGAAGTATATCAAGCAATGTGTCCAGACAGTCTTCCCCGGAAGATGGATAGTAGAATTTCATGGAGTTGTTGTAGTAGTCGCAGGCGTAGATGCACTCGGCGTCGCCTGTGCCAGCAACACAAGTGAGGAGTTTGTAGGATTTTGAGCAAATGTCGTTGATTGCCTTTTCAATATCGTCGTACGTTATATTAGTTGGATATGCATTCAGGTATAAGGATTGGCGATTAACTAGTGTTATATCTATGTCACCTTGTGTCTCCGTTTTCTGTTTAACTTGATCATCGAGTTTTCCAATGACCTCTCCCAACAGAGCTTTGTACGCAGAGTTATAATGCAGACCGGCCAGCCAAATGCACATTTCGTAAACGGAACACGGGTGCTTCTTGGATGATGACTTGAGTAGGTGACCAAGTTCAAAGAATTTATTAAAGTGATGGCGAATACATTGGAGGATATCGAAAACATCAAAGTCCTTACTTTTTTTCTGAGTTTTTACATCCGTACCATTCGATTCACAGGCTTTGAGGTGAGGACTGACAATATTGCTGCTATGTTTAATTTCCTGAAGTCTTTTGACAATCATTTCACCATTCATATTGTCATGGCATCTCAATTCACCTTCCTTGGATGTCTCCTTCCCCGCCACCTCATAACCGCAGTGCTGAAGGAAATTGCCAACAGAATTAGGCGTGTTGAGGCCAGAAACCAGGCATATCTTATTCTTCGGATTTAATCCACATTCTTTCTTCAACTTTGTCAAGTCGCCATATAATGAGGGTAAAAGGGTTAAGCACACTTTGGCGCATTTTTCCTTGTCAGGATTTTGTTCGTCACCCCAATTTATTTTTGCGCCGTCATAAACGTTTACATACTGCTTCTTAAGCTCGTCGATGAACTTCGCAAATCCATGCTTCAAAGTTGTGAAGACGTTAGTAGGAGAATTATTTACATTCCCAGGATATAAGACACCGAGAGTATTCTTGAAGTCAGTAAGATTAGAAGTAGTAAGGTGACCAAAATGCTGCGCATCGCTGATCTGTTGCAGCAAGGTTTTTAAACTTTCGGAAACCTTATCGATTGCAGCCTTCTCGAAGTTTACGTCGTTTTGCTCACAGAGAGCGTGGATAAAATTTTCGAAACCCGCGTAAAGACACGTTACCGCACGCCTCAGTCGAGAATCTCGCGGAAGTTCGAAGGCGGAATCATATGTCAGAATTTGTTTGTTTTCTTTAATTTTTTCAATGAATATAGTTCCGATCTTATTCATAAGCCCCTTGAAACCCTTTTTCAGGTCAGTGTCAAACTCTTCTAGCAGAGGACTTAACTCTGTTTCAACCCTGCTGCCGAATGCTGTCACTAAATCTTTGACCGACGTGACGTACTGCTTTCTAGCCTGCGTGGTGAGCGTGTCAGTCGCAATTTTGACTTGATCGTTAACGTGCTGCGTGAGGGTTCCAACGCATGTCTTTCTGTATGCTTCGGCATGTTTTTCAACAAAGTCCTTGGCCCACAAGGTGACAGTAGTCAATTCACCGGTTAGCAACTCATAGATGTCGTCGTGAACTTTTTGTAGAGTGTTGTTCTGATCTTTTCTGTCACCAGTAGTTTTGCCAATCTTCTTTTCCTTAAGCTCCGTCAATTGCTGGTTGATTTTTTGGGCGGCCTCTGCCATCGCCATTTTGAGCGCTTCGAGATTGGACGTGACGTCGGTGGACCATTGGATGAGTTCCGTTGCTTTATCGGATTTTAGTAATTCGGCTTGGATTTTGGCATTTTCGATTGCCTTATCAACTTCGTCGGCGTGATTTTCCACCGTGCCGGATGAGCCGGGTCCAGGTTGTCCAGTCGCGGTGCTGAGGTGGGAGTGGAGCGTCTGGATTTTGAGTTGCACCCTTCCCAATACGTCATCAATATTTTTGCCGTAGTCTTCTGGTACATCGTTATCTTTAACGCCGTTTAATTGTTTGCTGATTTGCTCGACATTTGTTATGATCTGCATCATATTTGCGATCTGCGAATTTTGGACAAATCGTTCAAGTTCTTTGGCGACTTGTTTGAAGTTGTTTACTATAGATTTGAGAATGGGTTTAATGATGGCCTTGAGTTGAGGATCTGCGGAAGCTGGCGTTAGCGATTTAGCCTGTGTTATCCCTAGCTGCTCCCCAATTGCCTGGACTGCCACACCAATTGATGAATTACCCTCTTTTGGAAGTTCCATTTCAATCCTTGCGGCGAAATCTTGGAACTTTCTACCAATGTCACCCACCCCTGCACCTTGAAGTCCGATTGCGTTGGCAGCCAACATTATCTCCGTGTTAATGCGCTCTGGGAGGTTCTTGTTAATGGCTTCCTCAACGTTCTTAACCCTAAGCGAAAAATCATTGTCAGTCAGCGTACCCCTGCCTTTGTTGACTGTAACATACGAACCAATTCTGTTGCTAACAATTGTCTCTTTGGCTGTAACAATATCTTTCACCCACTCCTGGACCGTAGTCTTAAAAGCATCTTCTCTGAATCCCTTGGCGTAAGCAATTATGCCGGCAACTATCTGCTTTAAACCTTTATCATTTTGGGATCCATCACGAGTTGGTTTCTCATCACCAACAATCTGACCTACAAGCCCATTTATTGTACCCTTTAGGCTCTGCCAATTCTCATGTATACTACCTGGGCCTCCGGTTTCCGTTCCAACCTCGGCTTGAATACCTATAACCTGCTGTTTAATATGCTCGAAAACCCCCTTAATATTTTTATTAGGCTCCAAGAGCTCAGGAAACTGCCTACCAAGCTCCTTAACCTTCGCATTAATTCCACTGACCGCTGAGTTAAGCTGCGGAATATATTTCTCAAGCCATTCACTCCACGCCGTCAACTTTTCTCCCGCATCCTTAATTTTGTCCTGCTTATCCCACGCGAGATTCTTTTTCTCAATTTCCTTCACTTTCTTCATTGAACCGTCCAGATGTTCATCCGCCTCCTCAATCCATTTTTTCAGCGACTGGACGTACCCTACCAGACTCTTATTAATACCGTCAAGCTTCACTTTAATATTGTTTACCAAGTTCTTCAACGATGTTACGAGTTCTCCAACATCCTCATTAATTTTCTTAATTATACTGTTTTTTAGCGCATTCAACGTTTCATTGATTTTCGCAAGCATCTCCTCCAAATCCCTCCGCTCCTTATCTGACAGAGTCTTAAGCCTCGTAGCTTCTTGGGAAATATTTTTTCTGGCATTGTCGATTTTATCACGTAAATCAGAATTTAAGTCTGTATATTCTTGTTTAGGCACATATTTAGATACTCTATTCTCCGTTATTTTATTGTTAAAAGCGTTCTTAAAGTCCTTGACTTTTTTTTCACACTCCTCTGCCAAGGCCTTCGCTGCTTGAACCTGAGTGTCAGTGATATGCTTTAACTTTATATCATCTAAACTTTTGGACAGCCCTTTTTTGTCTCTGACATACGTTAACAACTCTTGGATTTTGCTCTTAAGTTCATTATTCGAACGCTGCACCGCATCATTGTACCTCCCGACACCATCGGCCACCTCAGTTATGACACCTTGAAAACCCTTATGACCTGAACATAGTTTCTTCTCAAGAACACTTACAACTTCAGTAAAAAGCTTCTCTTTTCCTACTTTGTAAGGCTGTTTGGTGTGGACATCTTTAAGCACCCCGTGCAAGAACGCCATCGCCCCGTCGCAGAGCCTGTCAAGGTCCGAGTACACGATCCCAGTGCCATCGTAGCCTTTGGAATTAGGATCGAAACCTAAAAATGTTTGGAGACCTGTACAAAGGCTTTCTAATAATTTTATTGCGGGATTATCATTTTCAGGATTTTGAAGACTTAATCTACTAAGTTGGCTCGCCTTCTCAAGGGACGCCAGCTTGGAAGTGAGAGACTCATGAAACTTAGAAAGGTGACCGGGAACAGATTCTTGTCTCCTTTCATAGCCTTCTATCTGAGACTCAAGTTCGCGAATTTGCTGTTTAACAAGCTGAATTTCCTTTTTAAGACCATCAATGTCAACAGACCACTTGACAGACTCAGATGACTGGGAAACAAAAGATGCGTACTCATTTTTAAGCTCAGGATTTTTGTTAATAACAGCGATAATTGCATTGTTGGTGGCCTCTCTAACACTTTCAGTATTGCCAATAAATTCCCCAAGTTGTCCACTAAGCTCAGCAAGCTTATGCTGCCGCTCCTCAATATCCTTAAGTTGGGCAGTCCTGTCAGACTCAGAAAGGGAATGATATTTTTCGCACTCCCTTTTCTTGGCTTCGCAAGTCTTAATCTGGGCATTTAAAGCATCGTTATGATTAGGAATTTTAGAGTTTTCAGGAATTAAGGAGTTTTTGGCCTCAGCAATCTGGTCATCAAGAGACTGACAGTGGGACTTAGGAGAGTTATCAAAGGAGTGATGCCCAAGACAATTGAGGTTATTTCGCTCAGTTGATAGGCTAGTATTAGCTTTCTTAATAGCCTCACCAATCAACTTTTGCAAAGCTTTGGCCAAATGCTCAAGACCTTTCTCATCCCCGCCGTGCTTAACCTGTATTAACCAGTCGATGGACTCCCGGAGATTTTCCGGACAGTCAGTAAGCTTCTTCGGCGCCATATTCAGAAGCGGGAGGTCACCTTATACATAAGTCCGAATATCCCACCAGCAATTAGGGATTGCAGATCCCCGACTCCGCTTTAAAACTGCGATGAACACTGGACGCTTGTCATACACTTTTCGCAGTGCCCGAGCTACATTGATCAGGCCTGCACCTTACGATAGCGTTATGTTCATTATATGGCAAAACTAACATCCGCCTCGCTCAACGATTTCCAACCTCCAATACCCAGACAACCTAGATTTCTAACCCACTACGGAGTTATCTTGAGACCTCAAAACTGCATTTCAATATTCAAAGACAGATACAAACATCCTACGCCGCTGCAACCTGCAAAATAATGTTTGCATAAAATCATCTCCCTCTAATGAAATTCCAGGTATGCCCCACTACCACTACAGGCCATTAAGATTAGGAAGAGCGTCTTCATGGAACATGACTATGAAGTACGACAAGGAATGTTGTGAATAGAGGCATGGTATAAATAACCAGAGGAAACTGCAACGAAAATGATGTTCCCGCAGCCGTTATGAGAAACGGAATCTTCGATGCCGTATGTAAGAGAACGTAACGTTTGTATGGACGCCGAGGTGTAACTGTAAGAAGCAGCAGGGACTAACCGCGATGAAAAGTAACTGTGCAAGTGAAGATTATAAAGGAGTACGTGGATTACGATGGAAACTATGGAGTGCATAGGCCAAGGCGGAGGAGACCAAAGAGCCTGATGGACCAGAGACCATGGACTCTAACACGAGGAAGAGCGTAAACGCCATCCTGGAAATAGGAACTGCAACTAAGATAAGGTTGTGAAGATGGAGAAGTTAAAGATGAAGATATACGAAGCCCTGGCGAAAGACCTTAGCAGGATGTTCAACCAGCAAACTAGCATGGCAATGCCGTATACAATGGGTAACATGTAACCCACAGAAGACTAACTGACCCTCGCGCCCAAACAAGATGGATCACACCAGATCGACGTGGAGCCCCTAGACTACACCAACAGCGTGAAGCGCTAGCACGGTAACGGGGAGAGTGGCCCAAGCCAAACGTAATGAATGGCAACTCTACGTTATTCAAGTGCTCGGGTGGATGGCTGTAAGCGTTCTCATGGCCGAGATGTTGAGTGATGCGCCGGCATTAGCTGACGTGTTGAGTATAGGAGAGCGTGGTTACTGGGAACTCATGGGCAACATTTTGTTGTTCACTAAGGTAATAATCCAGCGCAATTGGTCCGCTAAGTAGACATTAGCGCATCTATAATGTGGTCCATGGTGGCAAGTGGTAAGGTGATGTGGCTAAAGGTGGGTGGAGTTGTGACTGCGCTACTTTAATACTAGTTCATCAAATATGGTGACTAGACATTTGTGATAGGATACGTTTCCAAGACCGTCTTTTCTCTGGGGTACAAGACGCGCGGCTGTAGTGTCACTGGCGGTGGAAAGGTGGCGATGGCCTGGATGGTCACGGAGCGCTGAGGGGAGGCCGCTTGGGGATGTCAAAATGCAGGGTATAGACACACAAGCTGCCGTTCACCAGTAAAAGCTATGGACATGCCACCGTCTTATTGTGATGCATAATGTCATTTCAGTTGTGCTTCGGACTTTCACGAGTCGTGAACTTTGCAGCTTCCTTAGTCCACAGGTGAGTGGAGTGTTAGCATTATTTTTGTCCCAACACCTCTATTGCAGGGCGTGTTGAGAAAAGAAGCATCTGCGATTTCGGAATGTCTAGTGATTCGTCCTAATATTATGTTTCATTTTTAGCCCTTTTATTCAGTCACATGGCGGTTTGGCTTTGCTGTATTTTTATGTGGCAACTGTTAAAGCTTTAATCACGTTAAGATATTTTCTGCTTCACAGATTTGAGAGCTTAGTTATGCTGTCATCATGTGACGTTTAAGCGCATATTTCTTAATGTGTTGTCATTCTGTTACTCGTAATGATGGTGGAGAGTGGAAATAGATTCTTTTTTACAACCCTCAGGGACTGTTTCGTATTCTTTGATTGGTTGTATACTGAACCTGAGGGGAGGAAAACGCACGAGGACGTGGCCAAGAAACTTTATGGGCTTCTTAAAGATTATTACGATGGTAGTGAACTTACGGAAGGTAAAATTCAATCCAATTTGACCAACTTCCTCTCCAAAGTAGACACCTTTTATAAAAAATTGGTGGCTCAACACGTTCCTCAAGAAGCACTTGGAACAGCCGCCTCGATTAAAAAGGATGCCACACCGGAAGAAATTGTCAACGCTCTCCTGGAGTGTCTTCCCAAATTTCTTGCTGCAATTTACTATCTTTGGTATTGCGTGTCTCACACGTTCGAGTCACTTGGCGGAGGTGGGTGGAAGGATGACTGTCCCGGTTGGGAGAAGGGGCGGTGGTACGGGTTGAGAAACAATTGGGGCGGTGATCTTCAAGCATATCTCAGATCCAGTGACACTAACGAGTACCGGGTCATACCCGGCAGCTTCAATAAAGATGAGGTGAGAGATGGTTGGTCATACAATGGTTACAGCCGTGGTTATTCTATGGTAACTAGCCTAAAAAACATTTTCGGAAAAAGAGATGATGCGGAGGAAAATGTTTTCCGTGACGTATTTGCCACCTCTGTTCTGGCCGCCACTTCTGGCACCCAAATTTCTAACACTGCGAACGCCCTCGCATTGGTGAACGTGTTTTGCGAGATTGTGGTTGAGGCAGATAAAAACGTAAATCGTGAGAAGTTTAAAACCCATGTACAATCAAAAGGCGGATGTATACATTGGGATTTTTTAAAAGATCATTGCTCCACACTGAAATCCCAACTTGGCAAGTTGTTCAATGAGAAAGCCTTTTCCTTCACCGGCTATGGGGGGAAGCGTCAATACTTTCAAACGACGGCTTTCGTGCGGAGGACAGCGCAATGGTTGAGAGAGAATTTGGATGAGGTGCGGAAGAATCTGGAGAAGATTCAGCAGTTTGAAAGTGAACATGATGGCAACGCAAATGAATTCGCCAGGCTGAGCAAACATCACGACATGCTCCAGGCATATTACGCCGAGCTCGGTCCACATTTCACTAAAAATCTTTTCCCCTACGGTTTCACTTTCTACGGGGGAAAAGAACACATTAAGACAAACGCCCCGTATGAGCTTTTGAGAGCGGAGTGGGATAGTATAATATTTGATCTTAGGAGAGCAAATGGCGGCTTGGCGGAGTTAAAAAGAATTCTGGATGGTAAGGGGTGTGCAGCGCCCCCTCCAAAACCCCGACCTAGGCCGGCGCCTGCGCCCAGGCCTCCGAGGCCTGCCAGACCTGTGCCACCACCACCAGGGACCTCCAGAACTACGGGTGGAAGGACAACCGGTCCAAGGCTTCTTGGAGATTGGTCGTATGTTGGGAGTCGGGCTTCTGGTGTTGGAGGAGGAAACGCAGGAGGGAGGGGGACTAACCATAGAGGAGGGGGATCGGGGGCTTCAAGAGGTAGCGGAGGGGCACCTGGGGCCCCAAGAAATGGAATACACCACTCAGGGTCTCGAGGTGCTAAGAGCGCACAGAGAGGCAGACATCCAGGGCGTACGATGTCTACTAAGCCCCAACGCGCACAATCTCAAAATGATTCCCAGCGTCATTCACAACAACATCCTCCACCTGCTGCCTCCAGTGCGTCTAGAATTTCCAGTCCACCGGCTGCAACACTTCCGACTCCAGCACGCATTGTATCTCAACCCCCTGCGCATGGTCACTCAAGTGCGTCCAGCTCCAGCTCTTCGTCATCTAGTGTCAATGGTACCGGTGGACAGGAACGGGGTCCACAGGTGCCTGCTTCTGGACATGTTCAACAAAATGTTCAAACATCCATGGGCAGCACGGTGACCCTTCCTCATGCATCGCCTGTCCTGGAACCTGGTAAACAGTGTGGTGCCTCGCAAGACAGTATGCAACCTAGGTCTTCGGATCCTTTGAATTCAGCCTCCAGGTATTCTGGTGGCGTAACGTCTACTCAACATTCTCCAAAGGGTACTTCAACCCCAGGGGAAAATACAGACGCCCGTATGGGGATCGTTGTCCAGCCATCCCATATCCTGCCTTCTAGTCCAGGCGCTGGTGAACGTGTAGGACCGGGTGGGGCGCCGAGCACCGGTGGGAGTTTGACTGTGGATTCAACGGACGGTGTTTTGACAGCTTCAGAACCTGTTGCCTCTCTAAGCGTTATTACTGCTCACGATCAGAGTGCTCCACGTCAAGACTCTCTGTCGCATGGTGCCGGTGATCCAGGCCATGGAGGGTCTTCAATGCCACATGCTGGGTCAAGCCACGATGGAGCCCCGGGGGCCGTTGGTACGCTAGTTGACCAGGTTCCGGATTCAGACGGCAAGCTTTCTTCGGGAATACGTCCCGCTGTCTCTTCAAAAACTGCGCACACTCAGACTTCAATTGTTCAAACCCCAGATTCCCTGCCACCGGTTGTCCCTCCTCCCGGTGGTGGCCAAGGCCTAGATGGACAGGCGCCTTCTTCTAACCTTACTCAACAGCATCCTCAAGGCTCGCAACAGAATTTAACCTCGGGTGAAACTATAACAGCCGCTACAAATCGTGCCGGTCCAGGTGGCGATGAGGCCAGTGGAGGGGGTGGGGGCTCTGCACGTGGTACGGATGGCGATTCCCAGGTCGGCTCTCATTCTGGTCAACCCTCTAACACCTCTCAACATTCTGTGCAACATCATACTTCAAGCCATTCACCCCGAGATTCTGCATCTGATATCGCTGATTCACCGGGTGATAGGGGCCTTGCTCTCCAATCGCCTCCTCTGATAAATCCTCAGGGTGACACGGGGGATGCAAGCGGTCATAGCCCGGCATCCATTCCACAGGCTCCTATCTCAGACCCTCTCAGTGATCCTGATAATGCAGTTACAAGAGGTCAACAAATTGTTCCAACTCGGGATAATGGACCTCTAGGTCAGCCAGGCCCGACGCTTTCTGTTCCTCCCCCTCCGCCTTCCGCTCCTCCCCCAAGCATAGCTGCAGACCCTTCAACGCCGCCTAGCACTCCACATGGGTCCATGGGCGCCCAAGGTGTTCATGGTCAACAAGCTATGCAGACTCCGGATCCTAATTTGATTGGAGACACGGACCATACAGAACCTCTGAATCAACAGGTAACCTCCAGCTCCGTTGACTTACATGATCCCCCTGGTAAGTCAAGAAGCGGGTCTCCGCATTTAACTCCTGGTACGCCTACAATTTCACAGCATGATGCTGTTCACGGCGCTGTTCTTATTCAGCCTTCAAGTGTCTCAGGTCCACAGCCTTCCTCAATTGCTGCCTCTCCTGCCGGTGGTGGTCAGGACCCGGATGACGAGGCGTCTCTTTTGGATCCTAATCTGCCAGATGCTACACTATCCATGGCCATCCCAGGAGCCCTGCCCATGACCTTCCCAGTTCTGCAACCTGGTCAAGAGAGCGGTGGAGCTGCAGGGAGTGGGAGTCCAGGGGTGACAATCGGTGGCCCTAATTCGCTTAACGGACAGACGTTTAATAACAATTTAGGGTCTTCTGGCGCATCTATGAATTCAGGCAGCGATGCGTCGCATCAAATACCACCTCAGACGCCAATGCTGGACCCGAATCAGTTTCAACTTGAGATTGAGAAGCTTTACACTCCGGATATGATTTACGGCGCTGACACGTTTCAAGGGGAACCACTGTCTGCTGTAGGACATAAGAGGGTTGTCTCACTGTCCGACACCTATTCTAATATCCCTACGCAAGCGCCGTTTCGTGAAAAATTCCATCCAAAATTTACCACACTCGAATTCGAGGACAAGTGCGTTCCTCCTTGGATCGCCAAGAGACATAACGACAATCTGCATGAATTCCCCGAGACGGAGTTGTTCCCCTCCGAGTCGCCGCATACAGTCAGGGAGATGCTTATTTGGATGGTCGGACTTCAGAACCCGAAGCATCATGTGGCCATGGAGAAGTGTATTAAAAAGGCATTCGACAGCATGCCTGACGCTACACTCGGAGAGGTTAAGCTCTCTGTCAACGGTGCTGAAATCACAGCCAAACAGGTACTTGACGCCTTAAAACCTACCGCCATGTTTTCAAGTTCCGTGCTATCCACCATTGAACCTAACTGGAAGGGTAACATCACATTATCGGCAACATTAAAACCTAAGGTCTCTGACCAATCTCAGGACCCCGACCCCGCCTGCCTCCTCTGCCAGCTGCGGGATTACGCCTACGCCTGCTGCCACCAGTTGGCGTTCCTAAAGTCGCAGTGTTCTCGGGATCAACTCAATGGTGGGTGGCAGGATTGTTATTATGGCCGTGATGTATCATCTCCCAAGTCCCCCCTCCAGGCTTTCCTGACTGACGCCTCCGCCTCCAAGTTCGAGACTTACCCCTTCGACCCGTGCAACATCTGCCTCAAGAGCCGTGTCAACATGGGATTCAACACAGAGGATTTGTCTGCATCTCAGCAAACTGGCAATACACTCCACACCATCCTCTCTCCCATCTGTGGCGGTAATGACCCCCTGCTGACACTGTCCTCTTACCTCACCTGCCTCACCAGGCGGACGCCGCGCACTACCGGGGAGATTGTTTCCTTCTTCCACAATTTCGGGAATTCGCTGTACTTACCATCTTCACAGATGTCTCCACTGGGCTCCGCCCTCTCCGAGCCACATCGACACTGCCCCGACTGGGACATCCTTGCTGCCGACGACCTCAATGCCCTCCAGGACCTCCGAGGCTCCGCCCCTCCAAGCTCCATCCACCACGACAAGGACAATGATCATCCCAGTACCCTGTCCACACTGCTTGGCTGCGGCATCGATAATTTCAAGTGCCGACAACTCATGAAGCCCATAACCTACCGGGCCTACGCCCTGTACTCCACGGCCTTCGCCCACAACTACCTCAGCTGAACGGTACACCTGGCAGACAGACTGTGGGAGTCACTGAAGAGGCTGCAGAAGGAGATGAAGAACCTTCAATGTCACGACTCCAAAGCCCTCCACCAGTGTGCCAATGCTCTGCCACTCCTCTACCTACACGGGTTCACGCCGCCAGAAAGCACATTAAAGCCCTCACTCAAGTGTTCGGAGCTCATCGCCAAGCTGGAGGAAGTGGCCAACGGAAAGCCTATCGCAAGGCTCATGACCGCCATGGGCAATTTCCTCATCGGCATCTGTGCCCCCTTCCTCTTCGCCATCGTCGCGCTCTGGCTCATCGCCACGCTGTACATCGCCCACTCACTCCTCTACCGCATGGACGTGCTCCGCATCCGCTCCCACCTCATGCGCTCCAAGGCCTCCCACCTCATCGACGTCAAGTCCTTACTCACTCACGGAAGGAAGATGCTCTCACTCTACAAAGACGTCGATTACTTCGACGATGAACCTGTTGACCAATTTGATGTTACACAATAATAGCCTCATTTATGTAGTGGTTGGAAACTTTGTGATAGGTTGTGATGAAATACTGGTTTGTTGTGTTATTGCAGCACATACGGCACCATGGTGTCATGCAGGTTCGGGAAAATGGCGTACAACTAGCCGTAAGTGCGCCAGAATTCATACATAAGGCTCCACAATATCTCACTCAACATCACAGCACGTAACGTCGTAGACGTGTTCATTGGTGAATCGGTGTTTTGGGCCACGCGTGCCAGACGAGTAGTGTAAGTCAATGGCATCATCCAATGGTGACAATGGAATACAGAACCAACCCATTGACCATTCAGCTCAGCTGGTAATGCGTGTGATGCTAAGTGAACGGGTACCCTACGAGTCATTGTGTTGGTGGCTAAGAGATGTGAAGTGGCGTGATGCAATAACGTTGACCGACCTGCTGACCATAGGAAATTCTAGTTAAGTGGCTTGTATGCCTACATTTTGGAAATCAATAGCATAGTAAAAACGCCGCATAACCCAGCTGGACACTCATCAAAGCAACAATAAGGTGGCAAGTATGCAATATGTGCCCTGCCCGTAATTGGAAGTGAAGAACGTCCGTCGTGCCTGCATGTGCGTCATGGTATCCCTGGCGGTGGGACGCGTGGCGGTCGCCCGGACGCTCCCGGAAAGCCGATGGAAAAGGGCTTGGCGGTTCCACTGCCCGGTGCTCAGGTTACCTGTTTGATGCTTGTGCACGTTAGTGGCAAGTGAGCTAGGGGAAGATGTCGATATGTAATTGTTGTAGCACCGGTAAGTGCATTGGCAGAGTTTGTGCGCACTGTTTTTCGTGTTGTGAGGGATGTTTAACTTGCATAACCTGTCATGGTCAGCGATGCACAAGGGAGAAGTGTGAAAATTGTATACGCCCTGCAACTGCTGCCCTTGCTTCCAACAGCGACAACAATTCCACCGCCGCTTCCTACACTCCCATCATCGTCACTGTAGTCATCGCAATAATCCTCGTCGTCGTATGCGTTATGAGTTTCTATCGGATTTGGCCGTTCCACAAGGTCCGCGATTGTTTCACCCGAAAGTGAACGTTTTGTATCGCATTCTTTAATAATTTCCGACATTCATCAAAATCGCACTTATCGCATAGTTCTAGACAGTGACGGCGTGACGCAAACGTAATAATCTTTGAACTATGTTTTTGCTTTTTTTAGTGCGCCATGTGGCTACGTGGCCTTGGGCCGATTTTCGTGTTTACCAGGCAATTGCCTTACGCTGCTGGTGTCGGTTGCGGGATCCACGTCGTGTTATCGAACGTTACGGGTACCATCCATCGTGGCATCTATCCTGTATGGGTGAGAGGGTCACTCACAGAGTCAATCTTCCCCGCATTTAATATATGTCGGCACATTGGATATCACCTTCACCATTGTAACTTGGTTGAACTATCACAAAGAGATGCTTTGCATGATATTTGTACATATACTCAATAATCGACTTAATATGGAGGCTACGTTCGTTTCGGTGGAGGTAAAGCCATTGCATGTTCGCCCACCTTGCGTGTCCATGTTTCTCGGAGAGTCTTGCACGCATCTCCATGTCTATCCTGTTAAAGTACGTGATGTCCATGGATATTACCTTAACGTAGTTAATTACACACAGAGCATACTCGTTCATGGCCATCAATAGGTTTTTAGCTGACAGCTTTGACGCTGCGAGTAGCTCTACTCTCCTGCAGATCTCGTTCACGATTGTCTCGTACATCGCATTGCATTCAGTGATTGAGTGCCTGTTCTCCGTGACTCCTAAGTACCTGTACGTGTCTGGCCCCTTCATTTTTGCTATGCTTGCGCACACCGCCGTGTTGGGTGCAGATTTGTCGCGGTTGATCACGAATCCTGTATTTTTGAAGAATAACTCCACTTCACGGGCCATCTCTATAATCGTACTTTCGTCGCGGGCGAAAATTTTCAGGTCGTCAATATAGAGAAAGTGTTTTATCGCGAAGATTCTGTCGCCTGGCAGGTGTATCTCCACCTTAGGGAAAAGGCGGGTCAGGTGCCTGCTCAGTGGGTCCAGGCATGACACGGACATTAAGTTCTTGAAAACACCACATTATGACATATTGCTTCATTATATACATTAGTGTTGACATGCCGTGAAACGCGGCGCATATTAGACGACATTGAAGGCTACTCCGACAAGACTGGAGAGGGGTGCCTCATAGTTGTGACGTTATGACTCTAATACTATCTTGGAACTACATTGTAATTGTGAATACGCGCGATGCAGTGCACGCACTTGATGGTGGGCGCTTGATTTGCTGACTTAAACGCTTCAGCAGTGACAGATCGCACGGCTAAGGTAGACTCCGAAACGTCATGGGTGTATATCAAAGTCGAGATCATCCTCTACCAAACCTATACGAATGTCTTCAGTACCATTACTGGGATCATAAGGAACGAAATTCGCCATTACTGCAGACTGCTCGATGAAGGTATCGTTGGTGATGGTCTCATCGGAGTGGACGGTGGCAACGTCTGCGATGCGTCTACCGTCTCTACGCTCCCATATTGTGACTGATCTACCGATGCACGGCATGTCGGGAACAACATGTTGCGCGATGGTCACCTTTCCGATTCTGTACGTGTTGCGGTATGTTGGGTGGATGTCGATGTCCGTTGACCGTGTGCTCGTGTTGTAGAGTGGGTAGACATAATTTGGCAACTCCATGGCATTCATATCGAGGTCAACTGACTTTCTCTGAAGTTCCACATACGTCGCCGAATCGGGTTCTGTCTCGACATACTCCTCGAGCTCTATCGTGTTGCCGGTGTGCAGGGTTCGCACCTTCACAACCTTTCGCCCGGTTTCGTTGATATTCTCGTACACATCCCTGAGGGTGTAATGGCAGTCACCTTTTACCACTCGATCCCCAAAAGTAATATCCCCGAGAACGTTGGTAAACTGGTTTATGACGCTGTACCAGTGGCCATCCTTCCGCAAGTCCTTGGTGACATCCAAGGGACAAGTGTCTTCATTGAGATTCAGGGGAAGACACACCCGATAATTCTCTACGTCATTAGAGCCTGCTGTTTGGCTAAAGGCATTCACAACGATGGCGACTCCCATCATGAGCCACACCCATGCCATGGACATATGGGCTCCACCGCGGACTCCAGTTTTTGCCGCCATCGACGACACAGCCGCTTCTTTCGCAGCGGTGCTAGATGATCACTTAAATGCGGGGTGTATACCTGGCTGTCGGCGTACCGGCACGTTCTACAACGTGATACACATCTGGACGTGGCGACGCGTAGCTCGAGCGCGTTGTACGTCTCGCAGTCGTGGAGTCACCAGTATGCTCTACGCGGCGCTTCAATAGCCAGCCTTATCCTAGAAGCCCGCGGCGGCGGTTTGATCGGTGGCTCATGTGAGCTGGCACGGCGGTTCGTGGCCCGCTTTGCAATGACCTCTACGTCGCCGCCACCCGCAGGCCGGGGCAACACGACGTTCCGGTACGACGTGCTTTGCGGCCCTGCAAGCGCCCTGCCGCAGAACATGTACGCACGATTCCGCTTTGATGCGGCAGATACGCTTTTCCTTGGGGCTGGAGTTTGTGTCTGCATGTTGCTGGCCTTGGGCATTGAACGAATCGAAGCATTAGCGGGCACTTCAATCTGTATCGTTTGGTCGCCGCGTTCTATTGTAATGGCTTTAGGCGTGCGTCCCGGCTTGTCTACGAATCGCCGTTCCTGGCGGCTAGGTCTGCTTGCCCGGAAGCCTGGAACGCCAGGCTTTTCCGTTGTGAAAGCCGCCTCCCCCTCGAACTGTAGTAATTGGGGTGCGTCATCGTACACGACGTGGTGACAGACGTTGCATGTGTCCGGTGTAGTCACCAATTGTATATCAACTGCGGAGTGATCGCATGTAGAGCAGTCAACCCCCTCAACTCCGTAATCACAGTATTCGTCGCAGTCAGAACACACACAGTCGCTGCATTCATGCAGGGTGACATATTGTGGGCGCAGTGGAATGTAGTGTGGATTTTCCGAGGCGGAGTCCGACTCCCAGCCTCCATAAGGGTCGCTATCCTGAATGTAGAGGTCACACATTATCACTAAACTTCGTTAATCGGATCGAGATGATCGAACTAGCTCGAGACCGGCTTATTTGGGTGTAGCATTGTCGTTTCTGAGGGCTGAATATTAGCGCTGTTGGTACATGGGCGGAAGCACAGCCGGCAGCCACAAGAAAACATTAACATCACTCACAGAACACAAAAACACAGTTATAAACACATAAATTTATTTTGGACTCACCATGTGCACATAGAAGAGGAAACCAGAAGGTAGCAGGTTGCGGGTTGGCGTGCTGCTAAGCTACGGAAGATTCACATCGGATTTTTACTGTCACTCGGTAATTGGTACGCATAGATCCAGCAAGTGACACATTCGATTCCGTACCCGCATGTGTGAGCTCGCAGCTGCGACACACTCCCCCTGAGCCCGGTAGAGGCCACGTCGGTCTGACGCGGCTGCAGGCCGTACGGCAGTGCATGGTTAAGTCACACACATGCTGGTTATACTACTGCTGCTGGTGTCGGCGCTGGTGCTAGGGGTCACATTGCTGAGCGATGTGCGCCTTTGCCGCAACCGCTGCCAAGTCCTGCCCCTGCTGAGCGAGGTGGTAGAGGTATGCTATAATGCGATGTCTAAGAGCCGTTCTCAGGCACCATGCACTCCGTCCGACGAGTTTGACCATCGCCTGGTCTATATCGTAGGTTATACTGGCTTTCGGGTCCATGCGTTACAGGACTGCGTGATCGACACAAGGCACACTTTTTACGCCCCGAAGGAGTTCTCCAGCAACATATACTCTTACAATGGCGCCTTCTTCGACACTAAAGTCGAGATGTATCAATGGGTAGACAAAGTGAGCTACTATGGCGTGCACAAGGTTGGCGCATTTGTGGACCACGCGGTGACACAAAGAAATATCGTGGACTTTCTGTTCTCGACGGAGCGCAACCCGGGGTACTTCCCGCATGTGCCCGGAGTTGGGCGCAAGTTTGCGCCGAAGCTCAAGCTGGGCGGGTACAGTGTCCCGCCCGGAGCGTTCGCGGCGGTGCGGGGAGTCAGGCAATTGCCTTTGATAGACGACCGTTGGTATCAGCCATCGGATATCACGTACCCACTCCCAGTGCCCAATGTCGACTACCTTAATACCCAGGTGCATAACAATGCACTTTACACCGGCGACCCCCTGAACCCGAAGGTTGGTGCCTGTTCAACGCACTGAACCGTTGCAGATCGGAGATTTGAAAGTCACCTTTTGGGGCAACGAAACGATGCGTTTTAGCGCCATAGGTCGCCAGAGATCCGCATTAATACCGAAGGAAACGTTTTTGGAGCCATTTCCGTTACAGGTGCGTTAGCCTCAAATCCGTATCTGTGGACGCGTAACCGATTTGCTGTTCTGATTATCGCAAAATTCTAAGTCATACATATAATTGTTGCATTATGCAGTGGCAATGGGCTACTTTTTGGTTATCGTTCCAACATGCGTTCAGGATCACAATGTGGTACTCGTAGGGGAAGGCGGAGGTTCGCCGCTCGCTCTGGCTACCGCTTTTTACAGCCAGTTCGAGAGCACGCAGGCGACATATTGGTCGCTGCGCCTGACGTCCTTGGCGCTGATCACGGCGACGCTCTATATGTACTACTACGGCTTGAGGGCACCCAAGGTAGGTGAGCTTTGGCATTATCCGCAATGCGCGAAGAGCCGGGTAACGCTGCTGCTCTGCAGTTTTTGCGCAAGCGCGGCCACGCTGTGCATGATGGAGGCCCTGATCTGGATGCGCTACCGCCTGTACCTATTTTTCCTCTTATCGCTGCTCGGTTGCGGGTTCTGCGGGGCCGTGATGTCCATATGGTAAGTAAATCTGTCGTGTTTGTGTGCAGATCCACGTGCAGGAAGATGGATCCGTGCTCTGGCTGGGACCCTACACACGAGAGCGGATACCTAGGTGTCATCGGCCGCTACGACTCCCGGCGGTGGTCCACAGCCTCACCCACCGCCAGCGTTGCTATGAGCAGCGACCGCCCCCTGCTCCCCTCACTCAACATGTGATGAAATGCGCTAAATGTGTAGATTGTGATCTCGTCTCTGTGGCACCACTGATTCTCACTGCATAGCGCACGCACGCCCGCGCCCGTTGCTGACCGCATTTGCCGTTTCTTGCCTAAAATGTAGCGATGGAATACATCTACTTTTTCGTAAACCCGAGCAGCGGAGGGAGGAAGGCCTCGAACTTCTTCGAGGTAAGTTGTGTCCGCGTCCCTCTGCCGACGCACTAACGCCTATGCAGCCTGAGGTGGATGAACTGCGCTTCTCGAAGCCGGTGCCCGCAATCGTCCGCATATACTCTATAACGGATGGCGCCAGCGGGAACAAGCCGGGGTTGTGTCACCTCCGGGACTTTATGGCTTCCAAGTCCCCGGAAGACAGTGAGTGCCACCTTGGCCAGTGATAATTGCGCCGCAGATGTCAAGGTGGTTGTCTGCGGAGGTGACGGGAGTATGGTGTGGCTCATCTCCGAGATAGAAGCTCATTCCATCGACTACAGCTCGATCTCCTTCGCCATTGTGCCTTACGGAACCGGCAATGACCTTGCGCGTTCCGTGAACTGGAACGACCTCAACGGGCTCATGCCGTTTGACATGAACATGACACCGTGAGTTTCGGTGTTTTCCTGATCAGAACAGCTCAGGTTGAGGCGCGTCATTGAGAGGCTGTTCAAGGCGACGGAGATCCAGCACGACCTGTGGCAGATTTTAATCACGGTGGAGCCCGAGGGGTCGTTCAACAAAATAAGCTCTTCGACGCATCAGAAGCAAACTATTCTCGATGCCGAAGGCCATGAAGTGTTGCACATGGAGTTCGTTATGGGCAACTACTTCAGCTTGGGCGTGGACGCAAGAATCGGCCGTGGGTTCGACCGCAAACGCTCCAACTCGGGTCCTATGAACAAGTTCATATACATGTTGCAAGGCTTTAAAAACTCGATGCGGCCCGTTGTGCGTGTCGACAAGCAGATTGACAGAATGCTCTGCGGCGAGGGGTACAACAAGACCGTGTTTACGACCGACACTCACAACCTCGAGTTCCCCATCCTCCCGAGGACCGCCTCGCTCGTAGCGCTCAACATCCCCAGCTACTCGGCCGGTGTTGCTGCGTTTACGAAGGCGAAGCGCATAGGACTCGAAAACATGCGCGATGACGAGATACGTGAGTTGAGCAAGACCTCGCAGAAGATGGGTGACCGACGCATGGAGTTTGTGACCTACAGGCGAATTTCTCACATAGCCTTTGACTTCTGCGGCCTTGGTGTGGCGCGCCGCCTACACTTCGGCGAGGGCCCGTGGAAGATTCTGTTTAAGGAGCTTCACCCGAGGGAGAAGGTCTACTTCCAGGTGGACGGCGAATTTTTTGTGATGCTGCAGCCTAAGGAGGTGGAGATCAAGCACTTCAGGACCATCAAGCTCCTGAAGTGAGCTCGCCGTTGTGTTTCAGGGGGGGAAATCGGCACTTGCACATCCAGCTAACCCGCCGTGCTACAGCAAAATCGCTGGCTGCGGCGCGTTTTGCCCGAAATGTGGCAACATGTTAGTGTCACCTCGCTGCATATAAGTAATATAACATGTATACGAGGCAGTGTGTCGCACAGCGTTGTCGTCGTCGACTTCGTGGCCCGCCTGTTTTCACCAACGACTCCTTCCTTGTCGAGGCGGTGTCTTCCACTCGCATTTGACCAAATGCACGTGTATATATTACGCTGGAAAATATTTTATGACTACTTTGCATCCGCTTGGACATTGAGTGCGCCGCGCGACCCGCCCGCCGTGTGACGTCACGGCGACCTCCGCACCCGGCGTTTTAGAGCGGAATCCGTCCCGTCGTATCCGGAACCTTTTTTCCCTTTTTAGGATTGAACTGCCTACTTTGTCGTCAAGATGGCGTCGTTCAACCCTTCGAAGCTCCAGGTAGGCCACGTCGATGTCTGGATTCCAGGCTCCAGCCGTTCGAAATCACGACTTCATCACCGCGCAGGTCAAAAACAAGATGCCCGCGGCGGTGCAAATCACCGCGGAGCAAATCTTGCGTGACGCCGTGGAGTGGCAGAGTCGCGAACATCGCGTGCCAAATAGGACGTTCGTCGATCAGGATGAGCTCGTCTACTACAAGTAGGTGCCACCAGCCTCGCTGTGACACTCGTGCAGGGCGCAACGGCGGAAGGAGTTCGAGGACACGCTGCGGCGGCAGCGCCATCACATCGGCACCTGGATCAAGTACGCGCTATGGGAGGCCAATCAGCAGGACTTCCGCCGCGCACGCTCGGTATTCGAGCGCGCTCTGCAGGTGGACGCGAACAACGCGAACCTCTGGCTTCGCTACATCGAAACCGAAATGAAGAACAAGAACGTGAATGCAGCACGCAACCTCTTCGACCGAGTGGTCTGCCTGCTACCGAGGGTGGACCAGTTCTGGTTCAAGTACGCTCACTTCGAGGAGCTTCTGGGCAACTATGCCGGTGCACGCACCGTGTTTGAGAGGTGGGTTTGGTAATCCTAGCAATGCACTGGGTATAGGTGGATGGAGTGGAACCCGGATGAGCGTGGCTGGATGCTCTACATCAAGTTCGAGGAGCGCTGCGGTGAAATCGACCGCTGTCGCGAGATATTCGAGCGCTTTCTGGAGAATCGCCCTTCATGCTCGGCATTTTTGAAGTTCGTCAAGTTCGAGCAGCGGCAGAAGAACTACCCCCGCGCCCGTGCGGCGTTTGTGAAATGCGTAAGTGGCTTTTGCGCAACGGCTATAACGCATGCAGCTGGAGATCGTGCCGTCCGAGCTGCTCACGGAGGAGTTCTTCATCAAGTTCGCGGCATTTGAGACGTCGCAGGCCAATATCGCAGGCGCGGAAAAGGTCTATGAGCAGGGTCTCATGACACTGCCGCGCGAAAACGCAGAGCTCCTTTATCGCACGTACGTCTCGTTCCAGAAGCAGCACAAGGACAAGGAGACCATTGACAACCTCATCGTTACCAAGAAGCGAAACGAGTACGAGCAGAACCTGCTTGACGAGCCGTACAACTACGACGTCTGGTTCGACTACATCCGCATGGAGGAGCAGACGCTGTCCGACGACGGGCACCCTGAGGGCATCGACCAGTCGTACGCAGAAGCTCAGCAAACGCGCATTTGCGAGCTTTACGAGCGCGCCATCTCCAACCTGCCGCAGGTCGACAACCGGCGGCTGTGGCGGAGGTACTCCTACCTGTGGATCGGGTATGCCATATTCTCCGAGCTCACGCTGGGGCAACCCGACCGCGCTATCGCAGTTTATCGCAAGGCACTACAAGTGCTACCGAAGGAATTTGCAAAGTTCTACATCCTGCTCGCAGAGCTTCATGTAAGTTGCAACCTCCGCACCTGCTCATACCGCTGCAGCTCCGTCAGGAGGATTTAGACAGCATGCGCAAAACGTTCGGCATGGGCTTAGGCCGATGCAGCAAGCCTAAGCTGTTCGAGGCGTACGCGCAGATCGAGCTGAAACTGGGCAACCTGGACCGCTGCAGGCACATCCACGCCAAGTACATCGAGATGTGGCCGTTCAAGCCCGACAGCTGGCTTGCGTTTGTGAACCTGGAGCTCATGCTTGACGAGCGGGAGCGTGTACGCGCCCTCTGCGAAGGCGCCATCGCCATGGACCAGATGGACATGCCCGAGACGGTATGGAACCGCTACATTGAGATCGAGAAGGAGTGGCAGCAACACCCGTACGTCCGCAACATCTACGAGCGTCTGATTCTGAAAACGACACACATAAAGGTGTTCAAGGGGTATGCCGAATTCGAGTTTGAATCCGGATACCTGGACAAGGGAAGGGCGGTGATCGAGCGTGGTCTGGAATTCTACAAGGCATCGGGCCACCAGGTCGAGCGCGCCGGGCTGCTGGCACACCTGCTGCAGATGGAGCGCAAGTATGGTGACGCAGAGAGCACTGTCAAGGCGCGGTCGCGACAACCCAAGAAGGTCCGCCGCAAGAGGAAGTTGGAAGATGGCTCCACCGTGGAGGATGTCGTGTACGTATTCCCCGACGACGGACTGCAGCAGAGCAAGATCCTGCAGGCAGCGCTCCGCTGGAAGCAGAAGCAGCAACAGCTGGCATCGAACTAGCATATTAAGATTACTTTTTGTTTCTGGGGCGCGCACGCATGATCGTGTGAGAGCTGTGCCTGCCCGTCTTCATGCGCTGCATTGCGTAGTTGTCCTCTAGCACCTCCAGGCGCCGTATCTCGTAGCGCATATCCGGCTCCTGAATGCGTTTGCAGAATCGGGTGGCATTAGGGCTTACCTGTTCCTCGTTTTCGTACTTCGCAAGTGCCTCCTTGATGCTGTCGAATGCGCTGCACTGAAACGACATAAGACACACTATATATTCCACATGCATCATATATTGTTACAAATACGTCAGCTTAGGGCAACCAAGCAATGGCACTTATAGCAGCAAATAAAATATTAATATAGGGCTCCGAAACGTATGATACGAAGCGCAACCAATGCATATTACGCTTTCATCAGACCGGCGCATGTAGAAGAACGCAATCCAGCTGGGTACACAACTTACCAATGCTTCGAAGTCCTCGCGGCGCAGGTACATCAGGGGCTTCCGCTCATGGTTGGCGACGCATAGCAAAGTTTCGGGCTGGCGTTGTTGAAATCGCGCTAAATACAACGTACCTGTCCGTCTTGAACGGTGTTGAACACGAAGAACTGCTTTCCCCAAGGCTCTATCTGCATGGCGTTTGCAATGCGGTACACGGACCTACTGGATGGAGTGGTGAGGCGCCTTCAGGCGGCCATTGGCCTATCCGCATGCGCTTATACTGTAGCTCTGAAGCGATATAAACTCCCGTGTAACACAGGAGAGCGATTACCCTTCCAAGCCTTCGTACGGACTGCGACATATGTAGCCTTCCGGCTGCGACAACCACTAACCCGGATAGTATTGAACGCGGCCGCGCACGGCGTAGCGCAACACCGACATTTGGCGGCGTTAGAAAACGCCGCCGGTCGTTCGAGCAGACAAGGTGTAGAGCTGGCGGTAGACAGCAGTGCTAGGTATGTGCTGCGATATTACACATTTAGGTGGTCAGCCGGTTCTGAAGTCAGACGCACGCTTAAGTGCGCCCTCGTAACCGTGGTAATCTGCGGAGAAGGCTCGTGCCGCGGGTCGCCCGCGCACCCGGCCTAAGGCGACCCAGCAGTGGAGTGTGTGGTCGAAGGTGACTCCAGACTCTGCAACTGCACTAATGGCCACAAAGCAACATAACATACTCTTAGGAGATTCCGGGTTGTCCTTGAGCTCTTCGATCAGTCGGCGCTGTAGTAATGTGTGTCCTGGGCTGCTTCACTTACGTCCAGCTCCTCGGCGAAGGCGATGCTCTCGGCCTTCGACGCCTCCACGCCAAACTTCTTCACAGGGAACGGCTTACCGTTAAGCTTGCCGAACTCCGTCCACAGCACTTCCCACTGCTCATTCAGCCGGTCGTAGGCGATTTTGCAGTGCTGGAACTTCCGGTCGCAGTCGAAGTACCCCTCATATAACGACACTGCTGTGTTTCGCTCGGCGTGCGTCGGCTGGAACCTGCAGACACTGTAAGCGCGGCAGCTGGCAGCCGTACCGATTCTTGGAGTGGGCGCGGAAGGCGTTGCCAACTCCCCAGCGGAAAACGTGATGTACGAGCCGCGGTCTAGTCGACTGCGCCGGGGAGGCAGGTGGGCCGGGCCAGCTCTGCTCTGATACAGACAGAGCGTTTACGTGCTCATCACCATCAGATGCATGAATGGATTCGTTTGCGCGGCGACTTGCCGCAGTTTTACGGCCCAGAGACGACGTTACCGCCACGGTATCTGACGCACTGGAGAAGCAACGGCGCGAGCACCGTAGCAGCCTGTCTACGTATAATTCGCACGCAGACAACATGTCTACGAATTATTTAGGCCACACCGCGACTGAATAGCCGCGGAAGGCAAACATATGCGCGTTACGATGCCTTACACACCACTACTATATAGGGTCTCGGTGATAGGCGCTGGCTACGATCAGGTGTTGATAAAGCACCCGTATCGGCATCCAAAATGCCACTCGCGGACGATTTTCAGGTCGTTTCGTTCAACGACCTCTTATCGCAATGCATCCAGAGATGTGTCGTCGATTGGCGCTGCTTCTGCTACAGGCAGGTCAACGACGAGTCGTACGTCGACAGCCATGCGCGCACGGGGATCATACAGTTCGCGAGGGCGCAGCGCGAGGTATTCCTCAAGCTGTACGTTCTGCATCGGTTTATGCGAGAGCAGAGCAAGTTGGACAAGCTGCTGCAAAAGACGTACTCCTTCGAAAACTACCTCGATGGCTGCGGCCGGGACTTGGCGCTTAACCTCAGAAAGGCGCAGCAATTGGATCTGGTGGTGCCATCCCCCAATACCGCGCTGGCCGTTGACCTGCTTTCGACGGGCCGGTATACACGCATGCCGCTGATGCTGCAGCAGCTCGCGGAGTCGGCTACCACCAATTCGGTGCCGATGCCACCACTGGGCCCGGAAGAGGCCGATCCGACCGTGGAACGCATATACAGCGAGTACCGCATCCGGTTCCGCGGCTCGGAGTGCAGGCGCAAGCAAGCTGTGGTGAAGTATAGCAATGCACAGTGCACCCTCGAGAGGGAGGGGATGTTCAGCGTAACGCTTGTGTACGACTTTTACACATGGCAGGTGCTATTAGCCGTGCCTACAGTGTTGGAACGTTTCGGATGCAGCACCGACGGCGAAGCGCGGACTACGTTCTTCTCGATGTTGATGTATGCCGTGGCGATCCACAACACCCAAAACAAGCGGAATATCTTCGACGTGGTGTACGACTGCGCGAACCTGTACGTCGGGAAGATAATAATGGAACGGCTGAAAGCTCAGGCCGTGGATTACAGGGCGCTCAAACTTATTGTGACCGACTACACTTACTACGTGTCGTCGGAACCGGAGCATATGCTCATCTCGTGCACCGATGTGGAGATGGACGAGCATAATTGGCTAGTGCTCGACATCAAAACCTTCCCTGGGTTCAGGGAGGACGATGCGGAGTACATCACGCTGAGGTTCGAGATGGAAGGGAGCGGCGACATCAGTGTGACGACGCTGGAGCTGCCCAATTTGATCTGCGAGAGCCGCATCACGGAGCACCGACTTGACCAGTGGTTGGATATCTTGGCTAACCGCCTTGAGAAATATCAGCTCGAAAAACTAGGCAACTCTGCGTATGTGTCCATGAACTACGCCACGGGTTCACTCAACCTCAAGGGGCTCCCAGTCACCTTCACCCTGGCCGAGTCAGAGCCGCTGATGCAGTGCTTGCACGTTAGGGAGGCGCTAATGCGCGTGGGGGGCGGAGAAGATCCCTGCTCCGAGTTATCCCGGGAGTGGCTGCGGGAATTTTGGCGGGGCCGACCGTGCATGTTTTGCCCACCTACTGGCCATACGGAACCCGTGGAACCGTGGGATGAAACAGAGTTGTCCGCTGAGCTTATTGCACCCCTCGTACAAGATGCAAATAGTGCAGAGGGTCTCCTCAGCGAGCAGCTACGACAGTTTGTTATGGACTTCTGGATTTACCTGGCGGACAAGCCGAATGCTGTGCATGGTGCTATCGCCTACCGGGCCAACAACGTGTTCAACTTTGAAAGTACGGAAGACGTAGAACTGTACCTCACCGCCGCCGCACACGACGGGCATATCGCCGAGAGGGTGGTGCTGGTCATCAAGGAATCGGTGCTACAGGGTACGATCCGGCTGACGGACGACCTCTCCCACTATGCGGCCGCGAAGAACATGATATTGGGGATAATACACTTGGCCAATAAGATATCGCACCTGCGCGGGTTCACGACCGAACCGCTCGCGCCGGACCACCAAACGCTCGTCGCGTTTCTGAGGGGCTTAAAACTGCAGATCAATTACATGGGGGTGTGCGACTGCGTCAGCCAAAACGGCATCTTCACGCGTTTCAACTCCATGGAAGCCGCTTATGCCTTTCTAAATAGCATGAAGACAATGGGGGATTAAAACAAATCCCCTTCGACCCTATAGCCAATGCCTGACGCCTGGAAAAAAGACGTCGAAATGTCACAAAAACGTGTTTAAATGGTAGTATCGCATGCATATGAGCTCCCATTTGGCGGCTATAAGATCCGAATATGAACGTCGACACAGCTGCGCACAACACGTCTAGACCATGGATACATGTGCCGTCTACGTTGCACCTCCCTTTTGCCGGTGCTTATAGACGCCAATATCACATTCCTGACGCTGCTAAGGGCGCCTCTGCGGCACATATACCACGGAGTAAAGTGTAGACAGTTTTACGATATTGTTCACAACGGTTCACATCCGGCAGAGCAGTAGGCCAATCTACTGCGATAAGCGCACGGCACATTTCAGCAATCCACCTCTAAACCTTCGGCTGGCTCTTGACGCGCGTGATCGGTTTTGCCATGTTCTGCGACAGCTTAGGATACCAATGTGTAGGCGTACCTGGAGGCAACGATGACGAATGCGCGCAACGGACTCGTTCTCGCAGATGGAGAAGTACGCCAGGCGAGTATAGTGCCCCGCGTGAGAAGCCAAGGTGTCACGCTGGATGTTGAGCGTCCACTCCCTGAAAAACGCTAAGAAGACGACCGCGGCATCCACCTACCACTTGGTGTTGTTCACGTGACCGGTGCCCTGGTACTTGCTCTGCAGGTGCTCGAGCTGAGCGTGGATATTGAACCGATCATATCCGGACATTTCGCCACGAGAAGTTCACTCTGAAGCGCCGCGGAGTCCCACCGCAGCACGCGTAACGTGGGCGCGCTCGCGCGGAGAAAGACGGGAAGGGCGGCCCATTCCATCCGAAGCTGTCACCAGGATGGGACATTAGATTGGTACGGGAGCTCAGGAACGTGATTCTGAGGCATAATGGCGTCGGACGCCGCCCCGACCAGCACCGTGACACACGACGACGAGTTCTCGCCTCCAGGGCTCGATCACGACGCGCTAGGTTACGCGAAGGCCCATCAGGATGCCACTATAAACGATGCTGAGATTCCAAATCCGTTGGCGGAGGTCGTATATAGTCCGCCCATCGGTCTGTCTACCGACGAGGTCAACCGTCGCATCATCGCAATACTCACGGTAGGTCGAACGAAACCCACTTAAGCGGCCGTTGGCGCGGGTGTGGACTGTATTGCTTGTGGCTCATTGGACAACTTGCATGCGTACGCATGGAGTGACAGAGGAAGGTGGTAGACGGCACAGGGATAAGCACCTACGTCGGCATCACGGTTTGCATTCCAACGGCTTGTCCGACGCTGAAATATCCACACCACACGAAATTTACAAACAGCTGGTGCCGTTTTTGCTCCCGTTTGAAAATTCAGCTGTGAGCTTCACCTGTGCTGTCATGTCACCAACCGATGACCACTCTGTAACAATGTCCGATTCCATTTGCGATATATCCGCGATGCTATCGTGTTCGCTCTTCTGCTTGTGCAGTGCTAAAACGCATAGCGACACAGAAGCGTCTGACGTGTCGCCCACGTACGTAAGCGAATGTAACATCACGTTCAGGAATCGCTGCAGAAGCACGAAACCGATGCCGACGGTAGATCATACCTCGAACCTCTCTTCAGAAAGGACCTGTGTTTCGGCACAGTCGCGTTTGTCGGCGTACTTACCCTTGTGGCCCAAAAGGATCATGCCAGGGTCCCGTGTGTCATTTACTTCGTGCTCCTCACGGGGTGGCTCGCACTCAACGCGTTCGTGAAGTTGACCATGAAGCGGATCCGCAGGTCGCGAGTCAGCGAGAGGGTAAAGGACATCCTCACGTCATTCAGAAGCGACATTGGAGCCACTGTGCACTCCGAGCTGGAGCAGAAGAGGTTCTCGTTCGATCCACCAAACTCCGTCCTCATACCGGTATACCGTAACCGGGAATGGAAGCGTCTCCCCACCAATGTGCTGGTCTCCGGCGACGTGTTCAAAATGAAGCCTGGGGAGGTGTTTCCCTGCGACTGCAGGATCATACTGAAGTGTGATGTCGAGGGAAACGTCGTTCTCGGTGATGAGGTCTTTCAGTTCGGAAGCGTTTGCGGCAGCGTGGGCGAGCCCAAGCCGAACGTGGAGTTCATTGACGGGACGTTCATCGCTCAGAGTGACGCGATGCTGCCCCAACTCAAGGCCTTCCTGGACACGAAGCTCTACGGCAACCCCCTGGTCAACCGCGGATTAGAGCGCAATGTCTTCGAGGCACCGTTCGAGTCCAATGGCGGCTCCTGCAAAAACTCGGTCTGGGACCTGAGCGACAGCACCCACTTTTCCAGAATGCACATCACCAACATCGAGATGTCAGTCTACCTCATCCTTACCGCGGTAGCGGCGCTGACTCACGGCTGGCTAAATGGGATTAGCGAGTGGAAGAGCACGCTGTTCGTAGTCAGTACGCTCCTAATTTGTTTCGCATTCCCAGGTTTTGAGCCGCTTGTACAATTGGCTGACATTTGGGGTAACGTCAAGCTACAGACGCTCTTCAATTGGCACAATGAAAAGAGGCTCACCGTGGATATCTGCCCGCAGCTGTCGAGCTCTAGTTCGTCCACGTTCATCGGAGGCTCCAAAGCTGGGTCAGTAGATAGTGACATGGACGCCGACCAGATCCCGCTGGTCAACCACCTAAAGGAACTCAACAAGGTGATGAAAAGAGGCTTAGATAGTGCCGGCAGTCTCCTACACGTGCTCTCGTCGGTTACGCTACTGTGCTTCGTGGACGACGTTGGGCTGCTCACGGAGGGGTGCGCAACGCTGCAGGAAATCGCAATCATCAAGGGCAACGATATAGAACGAGCCAACACAATGAGGTCGATGGTGGATTCTCCCCCGCGAAATATGAATTCCACGATCTCCCTCAGGGGGAAATCGTCAATCGAAAGCGATGACTCGGCTTATCTCAGCCTCAAAAAAGGAGAAAGTTACCGAGAATGCGCCACATGTGGGATATCAAGCACGGGTCACGAACACCTCGTCATTCTCGACGTGTACTCCGACTCATCCCAGTTCGGCAAACAGTACGTCAGGTTCAACAACGAGGACGAGCGTGGGTGCCTCCCGCAGCTGCTGCCGCTGTCGTTCGCCATGTCCGTCACGCAGTTCCCGCGGTACCAGCCGCCCTCGCTCTTCAGGTTGCCTCCCGAACTCATATACACGTATGTCGGGATGCTGTCAAACGAGAGATTCTGCGATTTCACCGACTGCCTGTGCACATTCACGGGTTCGATCGGACTCAAGCGCTCGTTCAGCCGCCGGTTCCGGTTGATGAGGTTTGTCATCCTGATAGATGAGGCACACGGGCCCAACGGGATGCTGTTGTTGTTTTTCCTGCGCGATCCCAGGAAGCAAATTGTCCAGATGTTTGCCAAGGGCAAACTGGACATGCTGCTTGAGCGCAACCTCAACTACCACAACCACCAACAAGGCAAGATCCTTGGCGTTAACAGGCTGATGAAACGGAAGCTGAAGGAACTCAACATGCAGTGGGTGTCCTCGGGAATGGTGTCGTTTGCGTACGCCTACAAGCCCATCCACCTGGAGGAGTTCAACATGCTCATGGCACACCTGGACTCCACAACCGTCTTCAGCGTGAAGACGGGGAAGTCAGAGGGACGGCGGAAACGCAAATACATGTACCTTGAGGGGGCGACGCCAATCTCGATGCAGCTTGGCGGCGAGGACCTATACAGCTGGTTCAAGCAGTTCAAGAAGCAGGACAAGAGCGAGCCTTCCGAGCCCTGGGACACCATACCCAAATCGACCAAAAAACGCATCCTCAAGGGATATGTCGGCGACATGGTCAGCGCGTGCCTCAAAAACACGGTACTGCTAGGCATGTCAGCTGACAAGCGGCTGTACCCCAAAGAGGTACCGAGCCGCATCCAGTCGTTCCACGATGCCGGGGTGCGCTTCGTCTACTTCAGCAAACACGATGAACGTCAAACAAGGGTAACGGGGGCTCATCTTGGCCTGGAAACCAGCTGGAACTCTATGATTAGCTTGGCTAACTCTGAGCGGTCCACGTACATTAACCAGGAAGGAAACGTAGTGCTGCCCAGCGGTATCGAGAACATCAAGCGGCACATTGCAGAGGTTGACGACATCCCGCTGCAGGTGTCCCTGTTCGCGAATTGCAACCCAAAGAACACGGCCGAAATGCTTGGGATATTACGGAACAACGGTGAAACCATCATGTGCATCGGTGGTGGCCTGCGACCCTCCAACTTCTACGTATTTAGGGAGGCGCATAGCTCAGTCTCGGTGGCGCAGGGGTACCACCCGGTCTGCCGTTTCTGCCGCGGCAAGCGCTGGAGCGGCGTCGCGAGAGCGCATATGTTCGACGAGGCGCTTCCCGAAATGAAGCTGTCGGCGGCGCTGACCAGCCTGCCATGTGACCTGCAGACGTCGACCATGTATAAGGTCGCGGATCCATACTATGTGATGGAGATGCTCTACGAGGTGTTACGCGTTGCTCGACATGTGTCCACGAACATCCAAGAGTCTGCTGCATTCATGAAGCTCGCGTGCCACTCGCTAGCCTGGTTGCTGTTCCTGCAGGCCTGCACAGGATTCGCGGATTTCATACAGCCGATGGACTTTGCGTTGACGCTCTGTGCATACATCCCGATGGTTTCAATTTCGCTGCTGTCAAACCCGCCGGACGACAAAATCATGGAGACGCTACCCAACAAGATACACAAAGATGATCTCAAGGTGAAAGGCAAAAGCATGCTGCGCAACTACTCGAGGCTCTTCCTCGCAACTACCCTAACGGCTGTGGGATACTGCATATGTCTGTTTATAATAAACAGGACGGTCACGGCAGAACTCTCCACCAGGGGAGTTGCGATGGAGATTGGCAACTGCGACTCCCCCTTCCGAATGCCCCTGCGACAATGCGTCAACAAGGTGCGCGACACACTAGCAGCCCATCGACAAACTCTGGGCGAAGATATGGTTACAGTGCACCCCGATACGCCGCACGTGCTCGCTCAGCTTTGCGCCTCAGTGCTACTGGTGTTCAACCTCGCCACCGCCTCGAGCTCGTGGGTGAACAAGTATGGGCATGGTTCAAACTGGCCCTGGCACAACATCAACTGGATGCTCACGTCGCTCGCCGTGATTGTCGGCCATATAGCAATATTGGCGCTGAGGATCCGATTGTCACAAATATCGTCAAGGGAGGTCGCGCTGCTGTTCCCGCTCCACGCTATTGGTTTCGGACCCGGGCTGGCGCTTATGATCGTGCTCTTCGATCAGCTAATCAAGCTGCAGCTACGCCGCGAACGCAACATTGAGCAGAAGTTTTTGGAGCTCCTGTTCTCTACACGGCTTGGCATGTGGAGCCCGAAGTAACCAGCTTTCATCAACACGGTTGCGAACCGCATTGACTTATATACTTCCATCCAATCTATACTACATAGTGCTGTATGTGTCTAGAAGCTGTGGCACTTCGTGAGGCAGCTATGAGTTATTGTCGCTTTAGACACTAGGAGGGTGACGGCGCCAGTCGGTCGCACATGATCCCTGACCGCAAACACAGCAAACCGTATATTATATAGACAAGCATCGTACACATAATACTCATATAGCGTTTGATGGTGAATAGGCTTATATAGGAGTCAACATAAGGCTTCTTGATTGAAAGGGTGTGTCTAATTTCAACAGTATCGCGCCTTCCACCTTCATATCCCTTCAAAATCGTAACGTGAGCACTTCTGAAGGCAATACATGGAGTACACATCTTCGTAATAAGTCTGTTGTTGCGCTGTGTCGGCCTATCATGGAAGACTGGCAGAAGTGGACGCGCAGGACGAGAAACGCCGAGGCGACGAAGAAACCACCGCAATTCCTCTTCTTCCCGAACCGCACGGCAGGGCAAACGTACTTCATCACGGTGTTAACGGGTATTGCGATTCTATCGCTTTCATTCGGACTGCTCAAGTCGGCTGAGGGCAGCCAGGACAAGATCGCAAGGACGATACAGAACGACATCCGCATCCGCACTTGCGACATCAGCAACGAGCACGTAAGTTGTGAAACTCGTCTGCATTGCTAAATCAGAGCAGCAGGCCATATTCCAGAAGCACCGGGAGGAGAACCAGATCAGACGCCAGCGCAAGTACCTAAACTTCAACCCTAAGCCAGCGGCGGCCATCCTCATCTCTGACCCGGAACTGCGCAACAACGAAAAGAGCGGGCACCTGGATGTGTAATCTGTATTTCTCTGCCTCCATACAATTGCTTTCTACGCAAAAAGTGATGATGCCTTCCTAGCGCATGTTGTGCTGGACCTATAGTAAGAACAGAAGTAGCTTCTACGGTAGGGCTATGATGGCTCGTGTAGCCTTGTTTAACATAAAACTATGATCGGGAATGATTGGCTTCAAACTCATACTTCTGAATCATGTCGAAATCGTGTGACAAATCTATGCTTTGTGCTTTCATACGACCGTTGCCCAGTAAAGCTCGTGTCGCCGCCGAAGTTTTGATCTGGCTACGCATATAACTACTATTATGGGGCAGCTTCCGCTGATAGGATATGTTTACTGCTTTATTTGTTCATTTGCTGCGGTGACCCGGCGCCCCGGGCACTTCGGCAGCGGTTTGGCGGTGCTCAACGACAGGCGCGTCTTACGTCGTAACTGCCGACACGTACTATCCGGCATTCACTGCGAGTCGCTGTCACTTTCCAAAAATTGACGGGTCAATCCGCGCGGCCCGTAAGTGGCGGACTGCTGGAGGCGGCGGAAACGCTCGTTCTCCCTGACCGTAATGCGATGGCGCTGAAGCGATATCTTGGAAGAGACCGCATCGGCGATGGATGTCAGAGTCATACGCTGGCGCTTGGCTCCCACCTCTTTGGAGCGGGTGAATTTGTTCTTCAAGATGTTGGAGAACTTCATCTGCAGCCTGTCGGTGATCACCGCGTGCACCGGCTTCAGGTCAGGACGCGAGTCCTCCAACAAGAACACGGTTTCGCTGCGGTAGTCGACGTTGAAGGGAGTCTTGCCAACAAACAGTGTGAAGGTGCCGTCGTCCCACTCCACGAAGTGGGTGTTTGTCTCCAGGACGCCAAACGGCTCGGAGTCGCCCTCGATAGTTTGCCCGAAGCGCCAGCGCATCATCGCAGTGTTCTCGCCGCTTTGCGGCTCCTCCAGCAACGTCGGGTTTTGGCGCAGCCTTTGTCGCTCCTCAATCTCGGTGAAGGGAGATGCGGCCATTGAGACGGCGAGGGGGAATTTGCAAATTACCAGATGGTGGTCTCGCACGGGATAAGCGGAAGACGGGATTGTCTTGTTAACCACCCTTTGAGTAACCGGTTCCGGTTCAAGTTCGGGCTCTGAACCGGTCTCTGCCCCTGGCGCTTCAAGCTCCTGAGTGGGCGGATCCTCGATGGTGGTGAGATACGGCGCCGTGTTGTCTTCCACAGAAGACTCCTCGGAATCCTCGAAGAGGCCGTGCTCCAAATCGTCGTCAATCATTGCGGAGATGCGGCTGTCAATCGCTAGGAATATACCGTAAGGCAGCGGATTGAGGCGCCGTTATAACACACGGCAAGGCAATATAAACTGAAATCGGCCTATACAACCCTGAAATGATGACGTATTATGGATTAGTATACATAAATAACGAAGATAAAGGACATCAATGAGCGCCAGCCGACAGGATTCCTTCCTTACAACAGACGCAAGACTCCGAAAAGATGGTCGCTCGCAGAGGCATACCTGGGCGTAGAGAACTTGTCGCGCCCACTACGAGGTCATAAATGTTGTAACACACAGCTTTACATAATTTACTCCTATTATAAGTCGATAGTGCCCACCGAAACCACCACGCGAATCTGCTACACCCACTACACTACTCAGACACGGCACCGACATAGGAGGGAGCACTCCCAAGACACCGTTGCAAATGTGAAAGGTTGATAAACCCGAATTTGCTATGGATTTCGAGCGCCGAACGTCGTCTATATCGTCCAACATATATGGATCGCAGGACGGAAGGTCGCGGACGTCAAGCTCGATGAACGAGGAAGTAAGCATCCCGATGGGGAGCCATTCGTCGAAGTTTGTGAATAGAGAACCGACGAGAGAGATGAATCAAGGGCGTTCCTCAATACGGGATGATGGGCGGGACCGCGGTTCGGAGCGCTCTAACGGCGCGGCCAAGAGCGAGGAGAAGGGCGAACCCACCATCAAAAAGAGCCCAGAAACCAGTGCTGCCGCTACCTTGGACAACGAGGATCTCATCGCCGGACTGGCGCTGCAGCGGCTCTGCGACGAAAAGCCGGATATCGACACCCTAGCGAGCTCGCTCATGCAGCTTTACGACTACCTGGAGTATTCGACGGACGAAACGGAATCGCCAACCGAACTCGTTGACCGCATAGCGCTCACTGCACTGCGGGTTAAGGTCAAGACGGAGTCACTCATCAACCGCGCCAACTGGCGCATGAAGGCGGCGGTGCGGTATGCGCGCCATCTCGAGATCAAGCGCAGGAGCATCCAGAAAAACGTAAGTCCAAACGGGGCTGGCTTACAGTCATTATCGTACAGATACCTCGGATCGAAAACAATTTCATGGGGATGTACCGTGACCAATACCGGAGCAAGGGCGTCAGCGAAATCTACGACCGTCTGTACAAGGTGCTGGGAAAGATCCCAGAAATCTCACATATGGAAATCAGGGAGGAGCGGCTCAGAGAAAAACAAGAGACTATCGCCGCAAATATAGAGAACATGAGGCGCCAGATTGTTGCCCAAAGATCGCAGCTGGAGACCATTTGCCAACTCATGGCCGATGTCGCAGCAATGGAGACTACCTCTTAGAGGCATGCCTGTGTACTTTTAATAGAACGTGTCAATTTTAACACGAGTTTTGGTGTTCTTATGCACGACACTCAACGGTTGTTGGAAACTGCCGGACGACAACGGCTGTCGCGGGCTGCAAATAATGCGGCGTCTGCAAACCTCATAAATATATCCATCACGATACATCTTGCATTGCTCATGTTGCAACGTCGAACACTTCATTAGATGCCACGAAATTATTCAATCCGGAGCTACGCCAGCACACGCCTCAGGTAGGGGCTGCCGGAACCAAGGAGTAGGCGCTTGTAGTAGGTGTCCACTGAGGCGATTGCGGCGCTCAGATCCACGCTATCGTCGAGCTTCACTGGGGGTACTGAGAGAACAGTCCATCCATTCGATTTCAGGAAAGCCTGTTTCATCTGGGTGGGGCCGGTCCGCATTGGCGCGCATGCCTCGGCGGCATCGCAGACGCACGTGAAGTGAAGCGGACCGTCCACCTCGAGAGCGATTTTCTCGCCGTAACCTTCTATTGCGATGTCTATGCTCAACAGATCAGGGGTCAGAAGCTCTACCTTGTGGGGAACGCCAAGCCGAACCAGCACGTCCGACACGTACCTCTGGCTCGTGGAAATCTTAGAATCGTTGTGACCGTAACGTAGCCCATGTAAAGCCTCGAGACAGCGGTCTGTGAGGCAATTTTCTTCAATGCCCCCCAACTTCAAGCACCTCAAAATCGTGTAGAGTTGGTGCAGGTGCGATTTTCGGCGTAGACCCGCGCTGGGCTCTGACAGCGTTTCCTCCCACAACCGCTCGATAAGAGAGACGTCAATCCGGTCGAGGCACGTGCTACGCACGGCTGCGCCCCAAAACACCCGAATGACAACGCTGCGATCTATCCCGGGTAAACTGCAGAACTGCAGCATACGCTCAAACAGCCCGTCCAGGGGCATATCAGGCGCCGTTATAGCGAGCGCCCACGCTGCGATTGCAACTGATTCCTGCATACGGCGTGGGTAGGGCGGTAGTTCATGGTCTAGGTACCTAAGGACGTACTCAGAGAATTCCCTGCACAGTACGTCCAACAACGCCTTGTGATAGAGCCGATTGCCACCGATGAACTTGAAGTAACGACACCACAGCCTTGGAACGTCACCGGAAGGATATAGTTTGTTGCGATAAATATGGTTCGTGATCATCACAAAGAAGTCGCGGTCCATCGACGAGCAGTTCTTCAACAGGTAGAGCACGCGGCCCATGACAACCGGCGATGTGACCTCAGCCAAATTCTCGAGCAACTTCAACCGCAGCAAGTTCGTCACGTTTGAATCGTCCAGGTTCGCCTGGGAGAGCCGTTCGACGAGACCGCACATAGCATACAGGCTGAGGCGGCTATGGTTCTCCATGACGTAGCGATATGCCTGCTTAGTCCCGGCATCAGCGCACTCATGAGTGGGTCGGTGAACTCCATTGTTACCCACCAGCACAGACCGCGGTGGCCCACTTTCCTCGGCACCGACTTCGTGGCCTTCGGAGGCCGTTGCTAGACGACGGCCTGCAGATGACTGCACGGCGGAACCGCCAGCATCAATCCGAGATCTAGACAGGACACTTCTTACGAATCCTTGATGCAACAGAGCCGTATGCAGGCGCTGGTAGCCATTTCGTGGAGTACCATGAGGGAGAAGCAGCCGCTGGTACATCACGACGGCACAGCCGTGTAAGGGGCCCTTGAACAGCGGGAATTATGAGGCGCCAACAATACACATTGGTTTCTAACGTAATTACTGTGAAATTAGCATGAGCACGGAAGGGGGTAATGGAATCCAAACTGCGGAAGGCGTACACCCCTAGTGCCTAGGAAAACATGCCGTAACTCCAGCTCCAGCCCAGATTTACCCACCAGAATGGTTGTATAAGTGGAATGGTAAATGTTAGTGCTCGAATCTGCAGAAAGTGCGAATGGATACGCCATAGTATCATTACGCAGCGGAGTCACAAGACACTGCAGCAGCAGACGACAATGGCTGCTAAAGCCGAGCCAGCACACACACAGATAAAAATATCTCAGACGCGTAAGCCTTTGAAAGAAGAAACTACAAATGCGATGACAGCGGAAATTAGGAGTGGCGCGGCGCGTCGATGAATACACACATCCAAGAAAGCAACGCCGGTACCACTAACACCCGCGCGTACTCAGCATGTACGCAGCAACGCGGAATCACAAATTTGGAGATTTTCGCGGCGTGGCGCAGCTTTTTTTTTGCTGATGTACTCCTCGAAGTGTCTACTCCGTCGGCATCCCCATACTAACTTGGCCGGACGTGGAAAGCGAGTCGACGGGCTTCACTTCATTATAACTATAGGGCTCAACGCTAGTACTCCACTCGCTTCACAAAGTACCGCCCCCCTCAAATAGAACTCGACGCTTTGCATCGACTCGCGTACACATTCCACATCAGCGTTTCAGAATTAGCCTACTCAAAATGACGTTAGTCGTTGAACTGCCTTTGCTCATATATACTGCAGGCTCTCTCCGAACGTTTTCTGGGCGCAGACAAAGGACGCAGTTTACATGACCGTCGAACTCGAGGACAACAAGGACACACACATCGATCTCAAGGACGACGCTCTTACTATCAAGGCGAAGAAGGATGGAAAGGATTACGAATGTGCCATCAGCTTCTACAAGCCTATCAAAGCCTCGGAGGTCATGAAGGCCGACGAACGCTTCCTCAGGTTCAAGCTTCCCAAGGCTGATGAGGAGAAGTGGCCCTCTCTGAACTCTGACGGCAAGAAGCACTGGCTCAAAATTGACTGGGACCGCTGGGTCGATTCTGACGCCGAGGACGATGACGTTGCCAGAGACAACTTCGACATGGGCAATTTCGGAAACTTCGGCGATTTCGCAGGCATGAGCCCCGACGGCTTCGAGGACGATGATGAAGACTTCATGGGCGACGAGAACGATTTTGACAAGAAGGTCGATTGCTGCAGCGCAGGCGACTGCGGGTGTGACAAGTGCGAGTGTGGCTCGGTATGCAACTGCGGTTCCAAGTGCAAGTGCGAGGAATGCGCCTGCGATGTTGACTGCGATTGCGACGCCGAGTGCTTGAACACCGATGGCGGAAAGGTCAACGAGTGCTGCAGCAAGGGTGACTGCGCGTGTGACAAATGCGAATGTGGGTCGGTATGCAAGTGCGGTGCCGACTGCAAATGCGCGGATTGCGCCTGTGACACTGACTGTGACTGCGGCGCAGCATGCGTGAACGTAACTGCCAGCTCGGGCGCGAGCTGCAAGTGCTGCGACGACTGCACTTGTGGAAGCAACTGCGCTTGCACGCCAGAAAACATGTGCACACCTAACTGCAAGTGCGCCGCCACCGCAGCCTAAGCAACAGCAACATATATTAGCGGATTGGGACGCTAAGATGAATAGATCAACAGAACATACGTACTCTGAACACTAAAAACGATATGATCTTCTATACCTGCCACTCTCGCTAGCATCTGCGCCCGCCCACAACCTGCCATTATAGGTAGTGTTGCGAGGGATGCTACGTGTAAGAAAGGTAGTGAGAATCTGCATATCCAACGACCCATTCTGCTTATCACATGGCAGAGCGTGGGATGAGATCAGGCAATACATCTGTCAGATGTATATACCTGAACAGTGTGCATAGGGGTAAACAGGTCGAGTGTCTTATGGTAGTCAGACCCTGCTACCTACCTAGTGCTTCTACACGGATACATCGAGCGTATGATGGCCTTATCTATAATAGTCAAACCGCGGCAGCAGTGCGCGGCCACTGGGCGAATTGTAAAGAAGCGGGACTGGGTAACGTTGGATTCTGTGTCAAACGTGACACATACCCAGAAAATGGCAATAACACCGTAACACACTGCTTCAATACGAATATACAAATAAAATTGTTGCACAGAACCCTCAAAACACGGTAAGGTATGGCTTCCGCGTCGGTAGCTCCAACGCGCCAGGCAGGCGCAGAGCCCCCCACTCCCACGGGAGAGTGTAACTAACGGCCGCCGAGCTCAATCACTACGATCCCACATCTGTAGAACGGTTTTTTGCCAACATAACAGCCCGTGATATCCACATTGGCAGGCTTCCTGGCGCGCGATCAAGATGAAGCTCAACTTGGCGAACCCGTACACGGGTATGCAAAAGACCATGGAGGTCGACGATGAAAAGCGCTTGTTGCCCTTTTTTGAGAAGCGTATGGGAGCTGAAGTGCCCGGCGATTCGCTCGGTGACGAGTTCAAGGGATACGTCTTCAAGATATCGGGTGGCAACGACAAGCAGGGTTTTCCCATGATGCAGGGTGTTCTGACCACCACCCGTGTGAGGCTTCTGCTCAAGAAGGGTATGAAGTGCTACCGCCCCCGCAGGACCGGTGAAATGCGCCGCAAATCCGTCCGCGGCTGCATCGCCTCACCCGACCTGTCGATCCTCAACCTTGTCGTCGTCAAGAAGGGCCCGCAGGAGATCGCAGGACTCACCGATGAGGACAGGCCACGCCGTCTTGGTCCCAAGAGGGCATCCAAGATCCGCAGGCTGTTCAACCTCGGCCCCGACGAGGATGTCCGCAAGTACGTCATCAGACGCAAGATCGAAGGCCGCAACAAGACCAGGGCCCCAAAGATCCAGAGGCTCGTCACCCCTCAGAGAATTCAGAGGAAGGAGAGGCGCATTGCCCTCAGAGTAGCCAAGGAGAAGGCCTCGCGCGAATCCCTCAAAGCCTACTTCAAGATGATGGAGGAGTACAAGGCCTCCAAGGCCCCCGCCGCTGAAGGCAACGCAGCCGAGGGTGTTACTCGCAAGGCCAAGAAGGCCATTAAGAAGGAGAAGAAGGTAGCGAGCGCTGAACAGTGAACGTGATACGCGCGCTGGCAAGCTTAGAAGGCACTATGATAGTGGTGGCAATGTGTAAGCAGACTCGAAGGAGGTGACGGCGCCAAACACGCCGATATTTAAGCGCCAAGGCATTGCAAGGTGGTGACGTATTTGGAGCCCCGGTAGAACAGCGAGTTTTTCATAGCATCCTGGTCGTACAAATCGGAGGCTGTACCTGTACATCCAAGGGTGGACAGGCCAACAATCGAAAGTCCCCCGAAAAGCCAAGCCAGCCAGAGACGCGCATCGGAGGATGGCAACCGACGCCTAGGGCTGCTCCGACACACCGCCGACTGACGCGGCGGCGGAAACGCCACCCAACAGGGAGCCACAGGGCCCCAAGCAAATAGCGCACACTTCTAATTCTTTGCCAAATACACGATGTTATTTAGAGACGCAAAATGAGCTCCGCTTCTAGTAGGCCTTTGCCGTCGCGAATGTTCGTTGCAATGGGCCGCCGCAGTAACGTTATGCAGGACGCTTCAAATCTTGAAGCAAAAACGGACAAATGCATTCCTCGGGTACTCTTTGCTGAAGCGCAAAAGCGACGCGCTTACCTCGAAATTCAGGAAGCTGCTCAAGGAAACCATAGAGGTGTGTCACAGGTTAAAACGTCGCACATAGGCGCGAACAGGGTAAAGAAAAGGTCATAGAGGGATTCAATGAAGCATCTTACGCGCTTGCCAATGCGGTTTGGTCGGCTGGAGACTTCAAGTCCCTGGTTGTGGAGTCAGTCGGACGCTCCGCGGTGACGCTCCGCGTCCGCACCGAAAACGTGGCGGGGGTCATCCTGCCTAACTTCGAGCTCAGAGTTGATCCCACCGTTGATGTAATCGCAAACATTGGACTAACGTCAGGGGGAAACGTCATCCACTCTGCCAAAACGGCGTATCTGGAGTTCCTGGAGACTCTGACGGCATTAGCGTCCCTCCAAGTAGGACATGAGGGGAGCACATACAACGATGCAGGTTTCATTCATGATGCTCCAGCAAGAGATCAAAATGACAAATAGACGTGTTAACGCACTCGATAACGTAAGGCACGTCAAACGCCAACTCATAGAATGCAGCTGGTGATACCCACGATCGACAACCATGTGGAATACATCAAGCGTGAGCTAGACGAACTAGAGCGTGAAGAGTTCTATAGGTGGGTTAAGTAGTGCTGCTGCAACCTTTTAGCCGCCATGCAGGCTAAAGATGGTGCGCAATATGAATCAGGATGACGATGTGCCTGTGAAGCCAACATCAGCTGCTTCACATGACGGCGGATTTGACAACAACTCTCGGATTTCAGATCCCCCAAGCATTATATTCGATAACGCCGATGAAGATATTGTAGTCTAAGCCGGATTGGCTAAACAATCACGAACCGTGACGTATACCTAAACATTAGGTGTCGTGTTGCTCATTTTCGACTCTCATATGTGGCTACGTGTGGCATAGGGCCTATTTTCGGGTATACCAGGCAAGCGCCTTAGGCTGCTAGTGTCGGTTGCGGGGTCCACGTCGTGTTACCGAACGCTACAGGTACCATCCATTGTGGCATTCATCCTGTTTGGGCGAGAGGGTCATTCACAGAGTCATAATCTTCTCTAGGTTTCATGTACCTCAGCACTAGCTTTTGTGTTTCTTGGATCACCACCCGTTGTATATGGGCCTCCATGCGGTCCGATATGCCAAGGTCTCGCCTGTACTTGGTGTGTTCTTTTGTCACTATTCCCTCCCACGTCATAACGTAGGGGATTGCCCTGAACTTTGTGTGCTAGTTGAATTCCCGCGCCTTCAGGTCCTCGATCAAAGCTTCGTACTTCCGTTTCTTGAATCTCTCCGTCTCCGCCAGGTTGCCTTGATTGGTTATTCCTGTTTCCACGATGGTGATGGTGTTCTTCCGCCTATCAGCGACGATTACGTCTGCGCGATTACGCTCCTTGGTCTTCTCTGTAGTTACCATCCTGCCGTACGCAGCCCATTGTTACCAACGTCATCCACCTGCTACTTAGCACTCTTCACTAAGACTATGGCTTTTAATTACCCTAAACATTTGTTGTTCTCCATGGTTACACCTCGGCGGCCTTCATACAAACGTTGTGTTCTCATACATAAGGCATCGAATATTCCGTTTCCCATGAATGTGGCAGAGGGAACATCATTTTCGTTGCAATTTCCTCTGGTTATTTATAACATGCCTCTATTCACCACATTCTTTACCATGCTTCTGAATCGCATTTCAGGAAGATGTTCTTACACATTAATGACCCGTGGTGGTAGTGGGGCATACCTGGAATTTCATTAGAGAGGGAGATGATTTTATGCGAACATTGATTTGCACGTAACATCGGACTTGGTCGATTTCTAGTGCTGTTAAACATCTTAATGCAGTTTGGATGTCTAAAGTCACCTCCAAAGTGGACTATAATTCTGAGCTGTCTGGGCACTGGAGATTTGGAATCGGTGAGATTGGCGGATGCCCCTTTTCGGGAATTATGAAACCAAGCCGTTTCTGACACGACTGTAAGTAATGTAGTTAGTGGCAGTACGAAAAGTGTATGCCAAGCGTCCAGTGCCTATCGCATTTTTACAGGTGAGTCGGGGATCTGCAACCTCGAATTTCTGGTAAGGTCCTTGAGGTTGCGAAACGGTAATCTCTCGCTTCTGACTGATGGCGCCGAAAAAGCTCACGGACTGTCCGGAAAATCTCCGGGAGTCCATCGACTGGTTGATCCAGGTTAGGCATGGGAATGGTGAACATGGTCTTAAGAACTTGGCCAATGCTTTGCAAAGGTTGATTCAAAAAGCTATTGATGATGCTACTAATAGTCTTGACAAAAGGAGAAAGGAACTTGAATGTCCCCCAAAACATTGGGAAACTACCTCCTATTGTACTGAGAAGCAGAATTCCATTAAGGATATTGAGACTAAAATTAAGGAACTTAAGTCTAAAGATCCGCAACCTACAAACGATTTAAATGTCCACAAATCCCAACTATCTATGTTTAAAAAAGAGAAAGATGACCATTTTAATGAAGTTCATTACCTTACTGAGGATGCTAGAAACAGAGCCTTGGGGGATATAACTGAAAGGCAGAATAAGCTAAAGGACCTTCAAAAGGAACTTGAAGCTTTTATTGGTAAACAAGAGGTTAAAGATGCAAATGAAATTCCTGCAAAAGGTATTTTAGAAAACCTGTGTTCCGGTCTCCAAACATTCTTGGGGTACGATGAAACTTCCAAAGGCTACTCGGGTGAGGGCATCGTGTACTCCGACCTTGACAGGCTCTGCGACGGGGTGATGGCGTTCTTGCAAGGGGTTCTGGACACTGTAAAAGATGATAATGTTGTCACTAATTACGTTGTTAGTCCTGATTTAAATAGTGTTCTTGACACACTTACTAAAAATATTGGCACCGGGCGTAAAGGGCTTTCGGACTCTGTCGACAGTGTCAAGGGGTGGTTGGGGAAATATAATGAGGAAGTTGGCAAGAAGACACAAGCAGTGACTGGACCACTTAGAGAACTTAAACGTGAGATAGATACATATAAACGTACTGTAGAAACAATGAGAAGTGATGAAGTTAGTAGGCAACATGATAAGTGGAAGGAGCAAGCTGAAATGTATTCTGAGCAGGCCACATTGGCCAACAATGCTTTACAAGATCTCGACGACAAGCTGAAAGATACGTTGAGATATCATGTTGACATTTTGTTGCAGGCAGTGAAAAGCTTCAAAAGGATGGCGGACAAGGATGATATGGTCAAGGTGTTGGAGCAGGTGGAAGATCATCGGCAGAAGATTACGGACCATTTTCAGAATGTTCATGATACTGCAGAGAGGACTGTGAAGGGATTCTTCGCAGAGGTTGATAGAAATATGGGCGAGCTCGGCAGGTTAGTTGGCCTAGCCGGCGAAGCCATAACCAACGCCGAGCAGAAATTGGACACGTTGATTAAGGATGCCGGTAAGGCGCATAACTTGGCACACTTGAAAGGGAAAACAGTCAAAATACTTGATGGGGAAATTAAAGCAGAGTTGGAGTCTGCGGTTACTAGATTAACCACTGCAGCGGGAACACCAATGGATGAAGTATTTAATACGAAGATCAAAGGAGTGCTGACGAGGTTGGTCGAGAAAATTAACGAGGCAATCAAGGCTCTTGGGGGAGAATTTAAGGAACTAAACAAACAGAATAACGATACAATTAACGCAATTGTTGGACATATCAGAGAAAAGATCGAGAAAATTAAAGGAAATTCAGGAGGCAGAGCAGAAGGCCTTGCGCGAGCTGTGGATAATGTGCAGAAGTATGCGGATAAATTCAAAGAGGGTAAGGAAGGGTTTGAGACCATTGTCGAGGGGTGGCTTCGGATGGTTTTGGAGAAGGATGGTATGAGTCAGGGTTTACTTTACGGGAATGTTAAAGGATGTATTGCGAAATATGTTGGCGTTGGTGAAAGTTATTTTAAGCATGAATACAAGCCGGGTAAAGAAAAGGGGGACGAAATCATTCAAGTTATTAAGAAGAAAATAACTGAGAAGCTTAAGAAGATTCGCAAAGACCTTATTCAGGAATCTGGCCAAGCGGTAACAAAAATTCTCGACGAAGTCACCGATGGCACTACCGACAAGATTCAGAAATATATTCGTGCTGTAAAAGATGGTTGCGACCATTTTTCCACGCAGCTTGGAATTAAGATTGAGGAGAAGGAATTTATGGATAGCTTTGCGCTAGAGATAGCCAAGGCGATTGAGACCGACAAAGATGGTCTGTTTGACAGTCATCCGTCTCCCACCGACGATCCAAATCTCATCGATGCCGTGAGAATTGCTCTAGTTGCACTCTACGTCACCGCGAAGCAGGCCACAAAAGTGCTTGACAACTTCGCCCTCGACACCAACAGAGGCGGCACCAGCATCGCAGGCACGGTGCAGGGGGCTTATGATAAAGCCGAAACACTCTACGGGTATCTTCAGAAAGCCCTAGGTCAACCTGCGGGATCCGCCGGTGGCACGAATCATGCAGCCGAAGTCGACCAGGCGATTAAAGGAGTGAGTGATGAGGTAGGGAAACTCAACGACACGTTCGCATTTTACGTTAAACATGCCCTTGATGATGCGGTCCGCGATGTTACGCAGCCGTTGGGGGATTTAAAAGACTTCGCCAGCGAACTGAACGGGAGTGATGGCCTCCCGAAACTAGTGAAGCAGCTGGAAGTGCTGAAAACGGGACTTGAAAATGGCACCGGCGCAGACGGGCTTAAAGCATTGATCGGAAAATGCAAGCAGGCTAACCAGGAAGCCAAGGGGTATTTGGATAAGCAGCTGACCGATGGTATTAATAAGGCAAAGCAATACGCTGAAGAATATATCAAGGTAGTTGCAAAAAAGGTCATACAAATGGTATCCGAAGCCTCCGCGCAAATAAATAATACCGCCAAGCAGGAATATTCCCAATCCATGGAGAAGGAATTTACTCTCTTGAAAGAAATCGTGGATAACCGTAGAAATGAAATCGAAAACGATATCTACTTCGACTCCATAAGCGTGATGAAGGGGTTATTGAAGGAGATGAATAATAATATTATTATCCTAGATACTCTTAACAGTAAAGTGGATTTCGTCTCGAGAGCCATCCGCATATCTCCCTTCCTCACCAAAATCCTAGATTACGTCCGCGACGATACTAAAAAAACCGATCCAAATTTCGAAGGTATTAGCAACGTAAATGTTCATGTTAAGAGCCTATTCGTTGAATTGTCTCATATTAAACACTTCTCCCACGAAGTCTCCAACAGGCTCTCCATGTTATCCGAAAAAGTCCACAACCTCCAACCCCAAGACCTCCCGGACGCAGGACGGCCCGTGCTCACGGCGCTGAAAGATGGGATGGAGAAATTTATCGATCACTTGCAGAAGCACTACGTTTCGAGGTATTCGATGCAGCAGTGGCAGCCAGAGGAGGGAGAGAAGTATGCGAAGGTGTGCTTGACGATTATGGAGACGGTGTTCCATGAACTCTATTGGCTTCGGCGTGGGTGTAGTAACAAGAATAACCATAACAAACAAATTATTTTAGCCGATGGCAATAAACTTGGGGCCGCTTTCAAGAAGCATGGCTTCGACGTATCGAAGGATGCCAAGACGCAAAATGGCGAATTGAAGAGGGACAGGAATGCCGGTGAAATTCATACACTCCTTGTCAAGAGCAGCAATGATGGAAAACATCTCTACACTAATGACGATGAAAAGGAAGATGCTGGGCCACTTAAAACATTTCATGTACACCTTGAAGAATACTTCCAAGTCTCTCACCACCGCATTCCTCCGAAACCAAAGTCACCGTCCAACATCTATGAAATGCTGCAATGGCTCTCTGGGCTTCGTTGGAATACGATGTACAACAAACTGCAAGGGCATTTCACAAAGATGTTTGAAGAATTAATGGCAGAATATAAATTACACACTGAAGCATTACCAGTCGCCGTGCCGCCCAAAATGAGTGAGACAATTAAATCACCTCTCACAGCAAGCCACCTTAACAATGAACTTCGCAAAGTCTGCTCACGATCTCACCAAACACTTATCGCCATCCTTGGCCACGGCCACACCGACGGTATATATGCGTGCGATTACTTCAACAACTCAAATAATTTCTTATATCCCGGTAGCGCTTCTTCGTGTTTCGATACGCTCGTAGAAATTATCAATCTATTGTATCCGCAGATGTGCTTCTTATATAAGATGTGCATAAATGGGCCAAGTAGCAGCGGTTGGGCCGAGTGCCAATATGGGAGATACGTCGGCGGTTCCGATTGGCTGTGCAATAATAAGCAGTGTGCCAACCAAAAGTGTAAGCTAAACGCTAACCTAAGCGCCAACCAAAGGGCCGACCAAACGTGTGACCAACATCCCAACTGCGGTGTAAAATCCCCTCTACAATCCTTTTTAGAAGACGGTTTGCAAGGCTTTTTACCACATTCCTTTACTAGTCCTGGTTGTAAGCTTACGTGTACCGTGACCAACCACTTTGGTAAGCCGTGTCTTACTCCTATGGGTTTTGTTGATATTGGTGTTGCCGCATCGCATACGAAAACAGGTGGGGAACTCAAGGAAGTTCTTTTCGATTTCTGTGGTGACGCAAGCAAACCACTGAGCACGCTGTGTATTGTGCTGAACGGCCTACTTCGCCGACCGCCGCAGACCCTTGGTGATATGTTCGCGTTTTACCATGTATTCCTTCAGAATTATAGTAGAGAGGGTACTAAGCATAGAATCACTGCATTTAAGGAAGCCGTCAAAAAAGCGTATTTTGGCAACGAATACACCGCGTTGACAATCACTGCTATACAACAGACCAAATCGCATGACCATAGCAGCAACAGCCACCAAAACGGTGACCTGTATACGCTGGTTGAATGCAACAATGCGAAGTCCTCCAACATTCCATCCCTTCCCTGTGGATCATACTTGCAGCCCCTTACATTGGATGCCCGATCCATGAGTACCGAAAAGCACGCCGATTACTACCTTTCATGGATTGTGTATGTAACAGGAACGTTTTACGATTTACTCAAAACACTCTACGAAGAATGTTGCAATAATTGCAACAAGCCAGGCACCAGATGCTATGATAAGTGCTGTGTAGAGAAATGCCCAGTAAAGGGCGCCTACGTAGCTGAAGAACCGTCAAAGAAACTCTCGACCGCAAAACATACATCGGAATGCCACTCCATTGTGAAATGTCAAAAAACCCATCCGACTCTTTACAAATATGGATTCACATTCGAAAGTCCACACAAACTCAGCGGAAATGATGGTATTGAGAAGCAACGTTCATGTATAGATTTTTGTAAGACACTAGAGAAAGTAATTGGCGATGGATGTCTTCTAGTAAAACTCATCAAAGACATCGATGATTTCATTTGGGAGATACGACAGAAATTCTCCATAACACTGTTAGCCCTCTGGTCCCTCTCCTTGCTCTACCTGCTGCACATCACCGTCGTCCGCCTCGACGTCTTGAGGATACGCTCCCACCTAAAATCACCTTCAAGCCACAGGATCGCCGCACAGTCCCTCCTCGCCGCCGCACGCGTCAAGGCACTCGCCAACGTCAAGTACTTCTCACCGTGATCATGATGTTCATCCTGCCTTCATGTCACTAAATAACACACTCACCATCTAAGTCACGTCTAGCTCACCCACCCACCTAACCAATAGACTAGCAGATAATGTAGTAGAGGTGTTATGTTTGTGTTGTAGTTGCTACGTTGTGATCATCATTGTGTAGTCCCACGGTAATAGTGGGATGTGAAGCTGAGTAGCTGGCCACCCATGTCAGCAGCTGAGTATCGTCCTTGTAGGTGAGGTGATGAGCCATTTGCTAAATAGGTCGGCAACATTAAAGTGACTGAGTGGATGGCTATAGAAGATTTTAATGCGTGAATCTGTGACATTATCTGACACAATGGACAGCGCACGGCCTGGTTATGTGGCAGTTACAGGCAACATTGTGGTAATGATTAACATCGTAATTCCGGAATGTAGCTCAGTTAGGCTGTTGTAAGCGCACATTCACCGTGGTGCATGGTGGCAGGTGGTAGGGTGACGTGGTTTAAGGTGGGTGGAATTGGGGCAGGGTAACTTTGATACCATTTGATGATAGACGGTGCGTCTACGATAGTGCCTACATAGTTGTTATTGGCATCTTATGTTTTGTGGTGCAAGGCGCGCGGCTGTGGTATCCCTGGCGGTGGGATGGGTTGTGATTGCCTGCACGGTCAAGGAGCGCCGAGGGGAGACGTCTTGGGGACGTCAAAATGCAGGGGTGCGACAGGCAACATTTCAGGTCGAGATTCCTATGAAGGTTAATGCCTTACTACATTGCTCTAGTTTTCCACGCCAGCTGTTACCCTGGAATTCCGAATTCCTGGGCTTGTTGCACCCCCCCCGTCGGGTAGGTGAATGTTTTAATGGTTCTCGTTTTTTCATATGTTGTTTTGCAGGGTGCGGCGGGGGCACTTTGTCTTAGTACAATGATTTATCTTGTTGTTACTCAGTTTTACTTTGTGATTTTCACAGCGCAATTACGACTGCGGACATGTTGTCTTGTGTAGCGGCAGCTGACTGCATTGTTGCTTAGCGATGACACTGTTCGACGCTAGATGGCATGGCACCAAAGGCCTTGACGGATTGTCCCGAAAACCTTCGAGAGGCGATCGACTGGCTCATCCAGGTGAACCAGGGTGGCGGAATTCCAAGGTTGTCCGACGCTCTCGATGAGTTGTTTCACAATGTTATTCAGGACGCTGAAAAGTCTCTGCAGTCTCTCTCCGAATCAGATGACCCGTCCGCCGGAGATGTTATCGACAAACTTCAAACGTTTCGGAACGCTATTCCGACAGACTCTGAGAATAATGATCAAAACATTTTACGTAATCTCTGTTCCGCCGTTGAGAGCCTTTTAGGCTATCAGCCTCCTGGAACCTACGACGGTTCCGGGATTGTGTACGGCGACGCCTCTCGTTTGTGCGATGCCGTGTTAGAATTCTTGCATAGCGTGCTCAGTGATGTATATAATAACCAGCCGTACGTTGTTGGTAGAGTGTTGTTAGATGGTCTTGTTGGTGAGCTTGGAAAGGCCAGGTGGAGTGGGCACCGTGGCTTCAAGGCTGTCGTCCCCAAGGTGGCCAGTGGCCTGGGGAATTATAACCAAAATGTTAAGGCCTCGAATGATAGAGTCAGGAGGCCGATCAGTGACATGATTGATTACGTCAAAGAGGACGGTGGTGAGTTGACTCCTAAGATACGTGAGCTGAATGAGACTAATCCTTCAGAGTCTGACGTTGAAGAAGCTGAGAAGCTGGTGAAGGAGTGCGTTGGAAAGGGTAAGGAATTCGGTAAGGCCTTCACTTCTAAAACACATAAGCATTACATGAAAGATGGGTTTGATGATTTGAATGCATCGTTGCGTGATAAAATTCATAATGCTAGATTAAGCGTTGCACGTGAGACTGTGATGCTGAACAGGTGGTCCAAGAAGCAGCATGAGAACTATAAGACTATGGTCAAATTGATCAAACAGGCCTTCAGGAAGCTCAAATATAGTATCAACTCACGGGTTCGGAAAGAAGTTACGGACCTAGTTGATTCACTGAACGGCTTGGTTAGGAATATTTTAGCTAAGCTTGAAAATGTCAGTAAGACGCTGGGGAAAATCATTTCTGATCTAGACAATTGGCTGAATGAAGCTAACGAAATTATAAATGTGGCGTTGAAACTGGTTCAGGACATTTACGATGAACTTGATGACCCAGGAAAAAGTAAGGATAAACTTGACACTGCAATTACAACGGTTGAGGAAAAGCTGGAGCAAAACGCCAAGGACTTGGACGCTTGGAAGCGTGAAGCAGACAGTGTTCTTCGGAATGCTATTCAGAATTCTGAGAGTGTTCATACAGCCTTGGATAAGCAGCGAGATAAGTCTACGCTTGGTAAAAAGATTGGTGAAATCGAAGATTCAAATAGAGAAATATCGCAAGCTAATGAACAACTTGGCGTACGAGTCGGTGAGCTGGGAGCGTGGAAAGACGCGGCGTACGCCTTACTTGGAAGTGCAATTTCAAATACTAATCAAGTGCATAAGAATTTGAATCACGAAGCACAAGATGATAGTTCATGGACGAATATTGCTCTAGGACTTAAGCGAATTAAGGACGCTAAAGAAAAAGTTTCGCAAGTTGATAAAGGGCTTCAAGACGTCCACAGCAATTTAACTAAGTGGAACACTGCGGCAAGCGGCGTGCTTGGCACAGTGGTTAGGAAGGCGGAGAGTGTGCGTGAGCAGTTGGCTCCTCAGCATAAAGATAAGGAGTATCCTATCGGCCATAACATTGATAAGATTGAAACTGCTAAGCAAGGAATTGAGGCTGCAAATAACAGCCTTCTCCAACATGTCAAAATCTTAGAAAAGTGGATTACCGACGCGGAGAAAATCCGTGGTGAGGCGCAACAAAAGGCGGAGGAAGCGTACGAAAAGTTGGACTATCATGAGAAACTTAGTCAGAATGTGCAGAAAATTCTGACAGCTAATAAGGAAATTGATAAAGTCCATCAGGGGCTGAGTGGTGTTCATATGAATTTGGGAGAGTGGAATCAGCAGGCCAGCAAAGTGCTTCAAGGGGCGATTGATAAGGCGACGGAAGTTCATGATGCATTGGATATAGATGGTACCGGTGGGCAGTTGAAGACACAAATTGGTAATATTGAAACGTATAATAAAGCCATTAAAGTGGCAAATAAAACTCTTGGTGACGAAGTCAAGAATCTTGGGAGTTGGAAGTCTGCGGCGGAGAATGTGATTTCCAAGGCGGAGGGGAAGTGTAATGATATACTTAAGAAAGTTAGTCAAAATGATTCCGAAGGTAAGATTTTTGAGCAAGCTGATAAGTTACAAAAGGAGGGTAAAACACTTTTGGAGGCTGCGAAGTTGGCTAAGCAGACTGTTGAGCAGAATGTCAACATGGCCTTGCAGGCTGTTGTGGAGATGGACTCGGAGCTTAAGAGGGATTTGAGGAGTGTCAAAGAGAATATTGTTGCAGGGATTAAATCGTATGTTGAGGGAGAAATTAATGGGTTGCGTGATAAAGTGAAGACGGATTTGGGAAAGTTGAAGGAGAAGATTGAGGGGCTTGCCACAGGTGTGAATGACGATGCCACTAAAAACATTCTTGTTAACGATGCATTGTCTAAGCTTAAAGTTCAGAAAAGTGAGTTGTATGAGAAGACTACTGGTCCTGATGGTTCAATTCAGGGAGCGGTGGATGAGCATCAACGGAACTTTACTTCGAAGATCCAAGAGCCGCTTGAAGGGGATGTCAAAGCAGTTTGTGATGAGATTGAGAAGCTTGGCGGAAATTTTGGTGTGAGTGGAGGAAAGGATAATCAACAGAAATTTGAAGAGATTTTTAAAGAAATTCAAAAAAAGGTTGCGGCGATTAAGGGGCAGGGAGGTTCAGATTGGGACAATAAAGGTGGCTCAGGCCTGGATGGTATTGCAAAGGGAGTGGAGAAGTATTTTGAAGCGTTCAGCGGTAAGTATAAGTTTAAAGGTATAGCCGGCGGATGGCTGGATGCGATCGTAGGGAAAGATGAGACTGTTGGATGGTTCGAAAAGTGGATCACTGATTACATTGACGTTCTGCAGGCACAACGAGCGGTGCCTCTGGGCGGTGACCCAGTTGACAAAATTTTGCGTAAAGAGATTGTGAAAAAGATTAAGGATGCGCTTGAAAGCGAAGCAGGGGAAGCAGGTAATAAGGTTGAGCAACAAAAAGCGCAGGCCGCCGGCAAAATCAAGGAAAGCATTGACGCTGTGCGGAACGGGTGCAACACGTTTGTCACCCAGCTTGATCAGAAATTTAAGGGGGGAATTGAGAAGATTGCCGAGGAGATAGAGAGGACGCTTGAGAAAAAGATTGTTATATTGAAGCATAATAACAATCAATACCTCCATGAAGTCCTGGAAATAATCCTCATCGCTCTCCGCTCCTCGGCCAATCAGGTGGCGGCGGAGCTCGATTCTATCCTCCTTGCAGATTATAGGATGGGCAAGGACAGCGGTACCAGCATCGCAGCGGAATTAGACAAGGCGCTTGGTGTGACTAAGCAGCTTGACGGCCAGCTCACTAAGGCGGTTGAGAAGTCTAAAACAGTCCTACCCGACGGCTCCCAAGATAGCCCCACCCAATCCGTGGACAAGAGGTTGGCGGCGGTGAGTAAGCAGGTTGAAGGGCTCGGAGAAGCGTTTAAGGAAGTCAAGAAACCACTTGATACTGTGGTCATCCAACTTACTACCGCCGTTGACGATTTCAACAAAACCGCCGAAGCACAGATCAAGGCTGCGGCCAAGACGGCGATTGACAAGGCGGCTGGGCAGATTAGTGAGGAAGGTGAAGACATAAAGCTAGGTGCAAATGGTCTCATGGAGCAATTTGACACTCAGTTCACTAAAATAACTCATCCCACAACTGGTCTCAAAAGTGAACTTGAGAAGAAAGTTACTGAACAGATTGGGGATGATGATCCTAAGAGTGGCGGCGGCGCAGAAACGAAAGTCGACTTAAATACATCCACTAGTTTCACTATGTATGATACCTACGTTAGGCACGGAAAGGTGAAGAGCCTTCAGGCTGGTCAGTCTCTAACTGGCGAGCAAGGCAAAAACGAAGGCAAGCTTCCAGAGGCGATTGGGAAAATTAGAAGTGAGGGACTGCTAGCTTTCACTGAGAATGACGTCAAAGCAATTCTGGACACGGGCAAAACAACCTTCGAAAATCCCTTTAACAAAATTAAATCGGAGCTCCACGCAATCGCCGGGATGGTTGACAGTAGACACACAAATTTCTTTGGCGAACCAAACGCAAATAAAAAGGGTGTCACGGATTTCTTGGCTGAGGTTCTAAAGGGACTTGGTGATAAGGAGTTGGGTAACGCCAAAAAAGGCCTCGAGAAAATCACAAAGGCGATTGAAAATCTGCACACCGGTAAGTTTACCAATCAACCCAATGAAATTGAGAAATCCATCTCAACAATTAAGGGGGAGTTTGATATGCTTAGAATTATTTTGAAGAATGATCCTAAAGATGACGTCATCAATGCGTTGACAGATTTGAAAAACGAGGGTGTTTTGAATGATAAGTGGACGTTAAATGCTGGTGATTGGAAAAATACCAAGAGCCTGACAACAATACAGAAGCAACTTAAAAACCAAAATGAGACATTGCCCACCCAAACGGCGAAAATCGCGGATGCTATCGATGCAATCAGGTGGGAGCTAAAAATGATTGGAATAAAGTTACATGATGATTTACACGACGACATAGCGGACAATTTGAAACGATTGAAAGACAAGATTGGCAAAGGTGACGCAAAAGATAAAAATCTTCAACACATATATAAGAAGATTCTAATGCTGCAAGAAGATCAATTTACTCATAAGCCCATAGAAATCCGTGACGCCAACAGATCAATTAAAAGAGAGCTTGGGAACCTTCGACATGTGCTGCAAGGTAAACCAGGCCAGAATGATGGCGTCATCAATGCTTTGAACAATTTGAAAGGCAAGGGCCTCACTAAAGGTAGGTGGGATGAGAAAGATATTAACGGTCTTGACTCTATTAATAGTGACCTTAAGCATCAGCAAGATACCTTGTCCAGACAGCACCCTGCAATTGAGACAGGTGTCAAGGATGTCACCGATGATCTTACAAGGCTCCAAGGTGAGTTGCAGCAGAAAGTCAGCGATAAGTTGACTGAGATGCGAAGCAAGGGGCTTACAAATAGTGAGCAACAGTGGGAAGTTGATGGTAAAAAACATAATGGCCTCACTAAAATCACAAATGATATCAAGAATCTGAAAGAAAATGAGTTCACTAGCAAGCCGATCGAAATCACTCAACACATCGGCCAAATCAAAAATGAACTCGACGAACAAAGAAAGAAGTTGGAGCGTGAAGTTACCGCCAGGCTGCGGGACTTGCAAAGCAAAGGCCTAGCCGACGGTGAGTGGAACCTTGGCAGCCAAAAAATCAGTGGCCTCTCGAGAATCACGAGTGGGATCAGCGACATAAAATCCACGGATGTTGGAGATGTAAGAGATAAACTCAGCATCCTCCGCAGTGCTATCTGGCATGCCGCCAGGGATACTGAATTTAACTTGAAACTAGTGAAAGACAATATGATCGGCGACAGGCTCGGAAAAATAAGAGATGATCTTCAGCGACTGCACATCACGCTGGTGAAAGGCGCCATAAAGGAATGCGAAGGCTTCATTAATACGGACGCCGATGTGTTCAAGCAGCGATGCATCGACGAGCTCACGAAGTACGTAAACCAAGAACTGGAAGCCGAGGAAAACAAACTGCTAGCCGAGGCGCGCCGGCAGTACGTGTCAACCATAAAGGACATGCTGTCAGCGTTCGCCGCCAAGGTGGAGACTGAGCTGGAGGAGTTGCCCAAGGAAATCGATGATGACCTGAAAAAAGACTTTAAAGGTTTGATGAGTAAGATGCAGGGGGAATTTAATGAAGCAGACAAAACATTGGATGACGTAAACATCAATTTGCTCAAGGATCTCGCCGCCGCGCCAGCTGAGTCAGCCGAGAAGATAATGCTTTTCCGCAAACTGGCCACAGCCTTCAAAAAATTCTGGTCGCCACTCGCCTCGTACGTCAACAGGGAGATCGTGAGGGTGAACGGGGAGAATAATGCGAAGAGAGATCCTGTCGGAAGAATTGTACGTGATTACTCTCGTATGCTTCTGGAAATATACGACGCATTCAACGAGTTGCTCCACTACCTTGAGGTAAATAATGCCTTCGACCATCGCGTCCCGGGGATGCTTGATGACCTTAAAATAGCGCTCGCCGAACTGAGACCAGAAAACTTCCAGAAGCCGTCCACTCCGCTGCTCGACACCCTTAAGAGAGGCCTGCATGGCTTTGTCGCAGAGCTCGGCACAGCGTACGTCTCCGCATACTCCGGTGCCACGCTCGACTGGCGGGACGCCCACAACCCCGGCAAGGAGAAATGCGCCAAGGTGTTGCTGAGCATAGTTCCAATTCTGAGGTCCGGCGTAGAGGAACTCAACGAGTGGCTGACAGGGAGGGAGCAAAATTGGTGGCATCACACAATTCATATGGGCAATAAACTCGGAGATTTCCTCACCGGGTGCGGTTTTACTGTGCCCGCAGCGGACGAAACTAAGCCCGCGGAGCTGCAGAACTCCGACGACATGAAGGGTAAGCATATCCATGGGTTGCTCACTGAGATGGTGCAGCACGCCGACCAAAATGAACACCTCAAAAATTGCTCCGCTGTTAAGCGAAATGAATCACATGGAGAAAATAATTATAATCTCTTTGACATCCTTGCGTGCCTCTGTTGTCACCTAAATGAATATTATCAGACGTGTCACCTCAAAGTGCATCCCTCACCCAGGACGCCGTGCAGTGTCTACCAGATGCTCTGTTGGCTGACGGGCCTCCCGCACAATAGGGTCTATGAGCGCCTTAAGCAGCAGGTTAAATCTTCTATAAACAACTCCGACGATAATTCCACAAATACCAAATGGTACATGGCCGCGCAGCCCAAATCAGTCACCGCCACGAATCTGGCCGCCGCCCTTCACGATGTCACGTCCCAGGCTCCCACCCTGCTCACCAGGGTACTCGGCTACGGCAACGCATTTACAACGTACGCCGTTGACTTCTACAACAACTCGCTGAAATTAGAGTACCCGCAGGACGGCGACGATTGTCTCCATCTGCTGCTTCACATCATCCGCCTCACGTTCCCAGTGCTCAGATTTCTGTTCTCTCAGTGCTCACTCCCCGCTCACCAGGGCGGCTGGGAGCAGTGTAAGTACGGCAAGGGTGTCATGACATACAACTGGCAGTGCAATCCTCCACTGAGCGCCCTGCCTAGCCCTCACCCGGAGTGCACCGATCAGTCCCCTTTGATGTCATACCTAAACGACTGTCTGCCAGGCCACCTGCCTCACCAGTTGGTCTCTGTCGGCTGCGAGCCTGTTTGCAAAACGTGTCCCAGCTCACCAAATGGGATGCCCTGCCTCACTCTCCTCGGCTTCCGGGGTTTCTCTGGAAGTACGAGGACAGGCAAGGAGCTGTGCAAAGTGCTGACCAAATTCTTCGCCAATCGCCATCTTTCATCACTGCTCAGCCTGCAACCCAGACCGCCGACCACCTTGGCTGAGCACATTTGCTTTGCCTCGTCCCTCGTTGGTGGTTGGCAACGTAGCGCTCTGCCGTCAGCCATCGATGGGCTACAATATGCATTCACAGCCTCCATCACCGGCCAATCCATGACCCTGTACCGCAAGCCCAGCAACCTTACAGACGCTCTAAGTGATGCTTACGGCAACGGTCGGAGCGGTCATGGTATTCAGCATTCCACTGCCAAAAATGCCGACCTGTCCAGCCTGTCGATGACAGAGTGCTGCACGCTTCCCAACGACGCCAACGTCAACTGCGCTCCCTACCTGAACGCCCTGTGCAGCGATACGTATTATTGCTTACCTCACCGACACGCCGACCTCTACCTCTCATGGGCCGTCTACCTCCCGTGGCGACTATGGGAGTTGCTTTACTGCCTATTCACCGCTTTCCAAGCAATCTCCTGCCGGGACTGGGGATGTGAGACGTGCCTTCACGAGGAACCTTGTGACCCGGGCAGCCACGGCGTCCCCAGTTCCCAGTCACCGGGGCACAGCTGCCGATGCCGCTCCACAGTCCAGTGCAGGGGCGTGATGCCGACCTTGTACAGTTACGGCCTCACGTTCGGGGACGCACAGGCGCTGATATCGCAGAACAAGAATTGTTCCACCCTCGCCAAGCAGCTCAGCCAAGTCCTACACTCCGACCACTTCACGGAACTGTTCGACCAGTGCGACGAGTACCTGTGGAAGATCAGAACGCCGTTCTTCTTCACCATCGCAGTGCTTTGGGCATTCACCCTCTTCTACATCCTTGGCGTCCTACTCTACCGCATGGACGTCCTGCGCATCCGCTCCCACCTTCTCACCAACAGGGCCTCCCACCTCATCGACGTCAAGGCCTTACTCACGAAGGGCCGGAAAATGCTCTCACTCTACAAGGACGTCGACTACTTCGACGATGACTTTCACTCATGACAGTAATTATCTGAGCTACATTCACATTTACATCCCTCTCCCTGTGTTATCCTGTCATCTCACGTCTCTCATGGTGACTGTGTCTCGTGCCTTGCCGAGCACCTAACCTAATGCTTACCCTAAAGTGTAACCTACTACCTAATACAAATTTGGCTGGCAATGTAGTTGACGCGTTAAGATGTTGGTTCTCTCGTTTGTTGAGCTGTGAGTTGCTTGTGAGACGTGTCTGAGGAGTCCAGCGTTATCAGTGTACTGCAATAGCCAAGTCGTTGGTCATACAATTTGGAAGTTTATGCGTGTCATTTTGGGTAAAACAATGGTTGTCTGTTAGGCGCCTCTTTGGTGTGTTAATTGTTATGTGGGTGGCCATGAAATGAGTCGCTCTGTTAGATTTTCCGGCATGACCACGCAACGGCGTATTTATGTGGCCATTTATGTAAAGCGCTGTAGTTATCATTAACATAACACACCACTGTAATACGCGTAGGCAATCCTTACTACCCCTTAGCATAGGGGGAGACTGGCCAGTGGATGCCGCCTTTTTGGACGTGATATAGTCGTGTCTTGCCACCCTCATAGTTCGGAACATGCCGCATCGATTGATGTGGCGGTAGCTGAGGTTCATGGTATGTCAGAGTCGCCGGATATCGGACCATGCTTGCCCTAGCATAATGTGAATGGCATGCCACGTGTATGGATTTTGCCGTCACTTGATACAGAGTAATAGGTGTTTAATGTACATTGTTAATTCGTCTGCAGGGTTTGTTGGTTTGGGGGAGAAGGGCGAGTTGTCCATGCCAGTCATCAGGCGGATCATGTTCGGGAGGATGTTGTACCCGCTGTAATAAGGTGTTATGTCAATGTAATTGTTGCAAAGAAAAGAGGAACACGGACCTCTCCGATTTTCCGTAATTCTTCTAGCTGTTCTCGTGCTCGCACTCATCATCTATTTCAGCACCTGGCATCAGACTGCAAGTCTGGAGAAATTGCGTGATTCGTTCAATTAGGATCCCAAGCCCACTTCTATCCTTTAGTCCAATAATCTCTCATAGCCTCCCCTACTCTACACAACCGTGCCGTAGCGTTGTAACTATGTAATTTTAATGTAGAACATTAATCTTAAACACCACCTATAACATCTGTCACCCGGTGTATCATCGTTGGTATCCGTTTGACGGCCGCAGGTGACGCCTATTTTACTCAACTGAGACTCTAGCGGCGACCAGGGAAACGTAACATAAAGAACAGGCAACTCATGTTTATCACTCAAGAAGGGCGCTTTATTGTGACGTCAGGTGCAGCCGCAGTAAGACAACTCTGTATATTTTCGTCACTTGGAGTAGTCTGGTGATTTTCTCTGGTAGGCCTTTTAAAGGATCCAATTCTGCTTATGATTTAGGAACCCGCCACAGACACCTCAGACTTATCTCTATTTTGAATTTACATGGGATGTAAAAAAGATCTAGATAACATAAAGGAGAGGAGAAAGAAGCATTAAATCGCGTGTCTGTTTGTTTATCTGTTTGCTAGGTGGGTTAGGTGTTAGGTCTAGCGGCCTTGGGTCGGTTCATGCCGTTATCCGCATTCCTAACGTTGCGGGGTGTCTAGGCACACGCTCAACAGGCAGCAACGGTGCTGCCTGTCGCTTGCCCTGCCGGAGTTTGGCTACCGGCTACCGACGCGTGTCCTGAGGCACACACGGGCTCCCTCACGCTGCCCTGTCCAGCGCTCCTCGTCCCGTTGGGTCGAGGTCGCCGTCGAGGGGGTGAGGAATCGGCGGCAGACCGCCTTGCACCCGTGTCTGTCGATGCCGACCTCCCTCCGTTGGGCAACGGCGCGGTCCCAGGCGCTGCTTCCGGTCCCCCCTGCTGAGGTTTCCGTCTGCGGCGCCGCCGGGCACCGCTGGCTCCAGTTTGCGGGCTACCCGTACGCCCGTTCCCGGGCCCCGGGCTTGTCCGCGCCCCTTCGCTTCGCGATGGGCTCGCGCCCCCTTGCCGGCGTGTCCCTAGTGGGCGAGCTCCGCTCCGTGGTGGGTCGTGGTGAGCCTCCATTCCCGGGGTAGTGCTTGGATCCTGCCTCGTTCTTGAGTGTGGTGCAGTCCCGTTGCCTGGCGTTACCGCTTTCGTTCCATACTTCCTGCTATATCCACTCCTTCGGGGCCGCGTATGGGAGCTCGCGCTCCCGTTGGGGGCGGGTGTGTGCGTCCCGTCTGACGGTGGCGTCGCCGCCGCCGCTTCCGGGTCCCGGAGCTCTCCTTGACGGTCTGCTCCACCCTGAGCCTGAGGATCTCTCCTCCTGCTCCCTCCCTGTACGCGTCCCTTCCGACTTCTCTCGATCGCGCGTTGGATCCCTTTCACCATGTCTCCCCTCGTGGATGCCCCAGCCGACGCCAAGGACTGGTTTCGTAGCCAGCGGTGGTCACGCTCCTCCTCTCCCTCTTCAGGCGGCAGGTCACCGTCGAGCAGCCGCTCGTGGCGTCCCACCGTTCCCGGCGGAGTTTGATCGGGATCGTAACTCAACTCGCGGAATACGATCTCCAGCGTGTCTTGCAAGACAATACGTTGAATCTGCGCCTCCATACCATCAGAGATTCCTATGCGTCTTCGGTGTTCCGCGTGGTGACGAGTCACCAGTGCATCCCACGTCATTACATAGGGCACGACATCGATGACCGTATCCTTATTGAACATCCTATGTCTGAGAGCTTTCTTCAACGCCTCGTACTTAAACTTCTTCTCCAGTTCACGGGCTACCAGTGTATCTTGATTGGTTATACCGATCTCGATCACCAGTATAGTGTTCGTCTTCCGATTCGCGACAATGATGTCCGGTCGGTTGTGCTCCAAAGGCCCATCCGTAGGGATCACCTTGTCAAAGGTGATCCACCCGTGTTTCCCCGAGATGTGCTGATTGATCTTCTCATTACCTACCCGCTGTCTTCGTGCTCCAATTTGCTCCATGGCCACTCCTACGATCCTCCTCGCAACCTTGTTGTGCCGCCCTGTGTACTCGACTACTCGGAGCTCCCGGCAGCGAGTCGCCAGGTGGTCAACATTAACCTTCGAGCCACAGCGGACGTGTTTGTCGCTCACGCTCATGAAGGAGAGGTTGCGGTCTTGGACCAGTAGCATTAGTGCCTCTTGTGCCGGTGATAGGTCGCCCTTCCGAAGCCACAGTGTCGACTCGTCCCAATCCACGACTCCAGGTTTACTGTTGCTATACATTACCCGATGACAGGCTTTTTCATTAATTTGGGCATGCAGGTAGCCAGTCTGGAATTCGCGCAATTTGGCTGTAGCGTCCGCTATGGTGGTCTTGTCGTCTATCTCTAGCCCATACGTACTGTGCAAATGCAGCAGGATCTGGCCAATGACCGAGTTTTTGCTGCGGAAATGCTCGAGGATGGCGGCCCTGCGCTCGGAATACCGAGCGTCCTTTTCTAGGGTCATCCATAGCCTCATGAGCATTGACTCCGCGCGGAACTCGACATTGTGCAGACCTCGACCTCCCTCTTTGCGAGTGAGGTACAGGCGCTGCTTATTTGCCGGTACTTTATGGGCGCCGTGCTCGGCAAGTAAGGTTCGGATCTTCAGATCGATGGCTTGGAAGTGGAACCGGTCCAGCTCCAAGACTCCGATATAATAATTTATCACACTCAGAGCGTACTGGTTGATTGCTCTGAAGAGGTTCCGGCTGTTAAGTTCTTGGTCGAGGAGCCGAGTAACCCTCTTGTAGATCTCTCCAGCCAGGACATCGAATACATCGTCACTCACTCTGGAGTCCGCGTACTCATTGATGCCCAAGTACTTGTACGTCGAAGGGCCGTCATACAGGCTGTCTCCTCGTTGAACTGCTGAGGCATCGCCATCGGTGTTCATAGCACCCTCCGGGGCCGCGGGATTGCTCCCGTCGGCTGGCTGGGCTACGCCCCTCATTTGGCCCGTGGGCGCTCCAGCTCGGCGCTGAGCACCGACGTTAGGCCTCATCCTCTTGGCGAGGTGAGCGCACTCGGCCGCGTTCGTCGCAGACTTATCGCGGTTGATTGTCATCCCAATCTTCCCAAAGAAGACCTGCGTCTCCTCTGTCATAAGTCGTAGCGTCTCGGCGTCCTTGGCAATCAGCTTTAGGTCGTCAATATACAGGAGATGGTTTGTGGCCATCACCCTGCCGTCGCGCGTTTGCATTTCTACCGCGTCGTACTTGCTGCTAAGCAGCCGACTCAGCGGGTCCATGCACAGCACAAACAGCAGGGGGGACAAGCTGTCCCCCTGTAGTAAGCCCTTCTCGACTCTCTTGTCAAACAAGTCGTATCTCTGCCACCGCACACGAGTCTGCCATCTCGAGCAAATGCTCTCGATGAAGTGCATCACCCACCCCGGGAACCGGAGATGTCGTAACACACTGCGCAGATACTCGTGGTCGATGTTGTCGTATGCCTTCTGAACGTCTATCCAGGTTGCGAACAGCCGGTTTCCGTGACGCTCGTTCAGCGCAATGTTGGTCAACACGTGTTCCTTGGCACCCTGGATCCTGCGGGCCACTCCCAACTGGTTGGGAGTGAGCAGGCCCCGGGCCTCGACCTCCCGCTGCAGCGCCCCAGTCACGCACCTTGTCGTAACCTTGTACAGGTTAGACATGCACGTTATAGGACGATACTGGGAGGGCGACGTTGGCCTATCCCGTTTCGGAAACAGGTAGGTGATCCCTTGATAGAACCACCCGTCCTGAATCCGACCGTCCACCACCGCACCACGTACCGCTTGGTACAATGGCTGGTGCAACGACTTCAACCACTTTATGTAGTAGTTGAAGATCCCGTCGAGCCCCGGAGCTTTCCAGTTGGGAACCCTTTTCAGGGCCAGCTGGAATTCCGGAAACTCCGGGAAACCGAAGCACTGGCTCATCGGAGGACGCTCGCTTAGGTATTCCTCCGCTCCTGCAGGGGGTTCTTGGCGGTTTCGGCGCCTCCGGGAGTTCCGGCTGCGCTTCTGCCGCCGGGATTCAGCCGGTGGGGCATTGCTGCCATCAGGCGAACCTTGGGGTGGGTCCTCCTGACTCTCACCGTCGCTTCCTCCCTCCCCTTGGACTTCGGGGTATCCGAGATCTCCGAGGAACTCTTAAGCATTACATTTCTTGCAATCCCTAAGACAACGCGTTGAGGATAATGGCGTGCTGCAAATCTGTAGTTCACAGTGCAACGAAGATGGGAATTCTACATTACAACGCATCTGTGTACTATATATAGCGGTTACTACCGTTCTGTCGTCCACATTAAATACGGGACAGGCAAATGTTTAATGAATTTATGTTCCGGTAGGTGCGGATAGCCTGTATTGTGCAAAGGGGTGGATATTTGCCGTATCTATCTAGATCAGATTTCTAACACTATCCATCACACTAAAAGCGCCTCTTGAATGGATTTGGCGTAAGTGACATGGTGTAAACTAAGGTTACATTACCCCTACCGCGTCACCAATCGTTGACCCATAGACTGGTACAGATTTCCCGTGACATAACATAGCGGAATGAAAGTTTGACTGACAGCACCGCTACGTGATTAGCTGGCGAAGTATATATATCGTGATGGCGAAACCTCATGCCGCCTTACGGGTGTTGAGTTGTAGGTGTGTACCCACCAAATTGCTGTCTAATGCAGATAATTGAGAATATTTGGGCCATTTTAGCGCTTCTTTCCGACGGATAACATACACGCGATTCGCCCGCCAAAGACATCATAAACGCGGTGAGTGTGTCACGCGCACTGAGGCTGTAACGCAGCGTACCGGTTCTCTGCCACTCCATTCAAACCATAATGGCCGCGGCAGCGGCCCGAGTGGATAAACGCCAGCTCGAAATTCAAAACTCTCAACGATTCAGCGGATCACCGACGTAACTGTCGGCTTACATTAAATAGGGATGACTGGTCGAAGGTCACCCACGCTGAAATACTATTATCTCATCCATATTAAATAAAGAATTCAGCAACTTCAAAAACAATTCGTTTGACTGCCTTCTTCGTGTCATGGCTATGTATTGACTCTAATGTTCCCAAGCTCTGTGGAGCGCCTTCTTCACGTTACCTAATATAGCGTAACGGACTGTGCAATGGAACAGCTGGGTTTCATAAGATCGCTAACTGAGTAATGGTGAGCATGAAACAGGCACGTCTGTGTGCCTATTTCAATGTGTGTCGGTAGACCACCGACACACATTGAAGTGGAGGCCGAGATACCTGATGACGATGCGTCAATGCAAGCCCCCTATCGCTGCATTAAATACTCATTTAAATGTATACATATTGTTGCTAACTGAATGTGCTGCCTATAGGGCATATTCGCTACTCGCGAACAGCATCCGCAGTCTACCGGCACACGTGCGGCGACATACGACGGATCTGGGCACCGTCATAGGAACCACTTGTGTACAATGTAACATTTTTAGTGACACCGCGCTGCTAATTCCACGCACGATACCGTTTGGTGGTCAGATCATTTGTTAAGTGTAACGCCATTAGATCCCGGCGGCTTTCTTAGCGTGAACCAGCGATCCACCGTTCCTCCACGTACACTTGCCACTGTGGCATTTTATGCTGGCAAAAGTTAGAGTGCTCGAAGACATATCGCTTCAGTATGAACAACGGTCACCGCGCCGTTCCCGGCAGGTGACATACGACACATAAGCCCAAAGATCAGGCGGCTGCTATGACTTTGCAACGTTAGTCGGGGCCATACAACGTAGTGTGTGTAATATTACGGCGAAGGAATTCCCTGGCGAAGCGGGGGTTGCAATCTGTGTAGTCTGTCCGGGCCCCCTAGTGGGGGGAGCGCGTCGCCAGGGTCGTTTTTGTCGCCCAGGACGTTACAGTCGTATAATTTGCTCTGATAATCGGTGATTCCCATATTTATTAAAGATGGTACGTTTGGTTTGTTTGTTGCGGTCTGACTGTTGCGCAGGGTATCGACTTGAAGAAGGGCGGTAGGGTAAAGAAGCCCGGACGCAAGGCCTTGGTTAGCAAGGACCCCTACCTGCGTCTTCTGGTGAAAACCTACAAAACTCTCGCTCGTAGGACGACGAGCGCGTTCAACCGCACGGTTCTGAAGCGTTTGTTGATGCCCCGACGCTTTAAGGTGCCCATCTCCCTCTCGAAGTTGATCAAGCACATGAAGGGCAGGGAGAACACCACTGCCGTTGTTGTAGGCACAGTTACAGGTACGTATTATACCGTGTTGGATGTTGTGTCGGGCATTTATTTGTTGGTGTGTCGTTTTGTACCAGCTGGGCTGCACCATTGCGTGGTTCGTGTTTGGGGTGGTTTCAGCGTTGCCCTACACCATTTTCTCCTCGTGTTTGCAGTGCTTTGTTGCGGGTGTCTGTTGGTTCATGAGAAGGACATGATGATGTATGTTTCTACTGAATCGCGACGGTCTTCTGACTCTGCTGGAGAGGGTAGAACTTACTGATTCCTCTACGCACGGCAAATGTCGCGTGTTATTGTATCAGCAGCGTTGTTTTCGACGCGTTTCCATCGTTTTGTTTTGCGTTTTTTCCGTGACCCTAGGTTCTTACTACTGTCATTTGTCATGTCTCGTGGTAGAGCCTTCATGACCGTTGTTTGATGATTCGTTACTTTAAATGTCGTGCGCATTGTTCGTATTACTCCATCTTTAATTGTTTGCATCGTCTGTCATTTTCTTTCAGATGACTTGAGGGTCAACGAGGTGCCCAAGTTGAGCGTGTGCGCTCTGCGTATCACCCGCACCGCTCATGCTCGTCTTTTGAAGGCAGGCGGTGAGGTTCTGACCTTCGACGAGCTCGTTGCTCGTTCCCCCACCGGTTCCAAGTGCACGCTTTTGCGTGGTGCCACCAAGGCCCGTGAGGCCGAGAAGCACTTCGGCAAGGCCCCTGGTACCCCTGGGTCATCTACCAAGCCGTACGTGCGTTCCAAGGGCCGCAAGTTCGAGAAGGCGCGTGGTCGCAGGAAGTCTTGTGGTTTCAAGGTGTAATCGGACTCGTTATAAAAATTCTGCTAGAGATACCTCTGCATTGTTTACTTGGTCGAGGTTTGACAGCGGTATTTCGTTTTGTTGCTCCACAGCGTATTTACTGTTGTAGTTATTTGCCGGGGTGTAGTGTAATCTATGTGGCGGGGATGGGCCAGACTTGTGTTTCAAGTTGTGTGCTGTGCTATGTGGTTGTGTATGGCGTGCTACGCTCCCTCTGCTTGCCATGAACCTACGTATTACGCGCCATTAGTGTGATTTGCGGGCTCCATGTCGTACCGTTGCTGAACATTACGGGAGTCAATAGGTCGGCTTTGTATAGTGAGCTGTGCGACTACGTATGGCTTGGGCCGGTTCTCGTGGTTACCAGGCTAGCGCCTCACGCTGCTGATGCCGGTTGCCGAATATTGACCTCTATGCTGCGGAGACTAGTCGCTTGGCACACCTTCGCTCATGGGGGCTGCCGTCTAGGGCCGCTTCGTCGGGCAGATCAAGTCAACGATTGACAGGAGCTACAACTGCAAAACCCAGGTAAAATGCGGAATACTTTCATGTTTGCTCACTCATGTAGGAATAGCAGCACGTGTCGTCAAAGACCTATGTAGGATAGAAGGTTTTCCAAGTCTTACAATCCAGACGTGCCAACACGCCTCGAACTCAGCTGGCGCTCTGTGTTCCAGAGATGGGTATTATGCCGAATCTCGCCGAGCGGCGCCGATCGCTCATACATTTGAAAAGGCCTAGATTAATGTACAGCGTGACTCTTAAATTTCGGCCTACAAACAATGTCTGGCGGGTACACGGATATTGAGGCGTCTTAAGTAGAAACAACAGCACACCAGATGGCATCCTGAACGTGATTAAATAGAAGTTCAAAACTGTGATTGCCTTTATTCGACGGCAGAAGCATTGTGCATTATGAGTGCAGACTTAATTATGGCTTAGATAAGGTGTCGTAAATTAGAAGCGACTCGTGAGAATCCGTATGTCAACTGACTCAGTATCCGGACTCATAATCGTTGTTTGCCACGCTCGTTTCAGTGTTCATCTGCGATACCCACTCAATAGAAAGCCCAGAATCCAGCAAGGTCGTAGAGTATGTTCAATACATGCACCTTCACACCTCCCAACGCCCTGAGGACATATGAAGCACCCATGTCAGCGTGACATTCAGGCTCTACGTAACCCACGGCTTTCAATATATTTCCCATGGGTTTGTCCTTTTTAGAGCAGTTCCACCCCGCGGGTCCTGTTTTGCTCTCCTCCCACACAGAACGTATCCCTGCGTACAACATTGGCGCAATCCCCACTAGGACTACCGCACAGGCTTCCGGGTCCTTTGCGCAAGATGCATTCCACGTCGCTTCTGAACTGTAAGCAGAGTCATACTGCTTAGGGGATTTTATGCTTTCCAGGAACTTTTCACAACAGTCCACAACTTTGCCTAATTTCTGTGTGATTTTTTCAGCAGTGAGGCACTTGGACATTACGATATTCTTATAGTCGCTTTCTTCGATACGTCTAAAATGCTTATCGAGTTCTTTGCGACTTTTCCCGATAGGTTCTTTGATCTTCCTCAGTATCTTTTTCACGAACCAACGGCCCTTTAGCTCCTGTTTCTCCATGAACTCTTTAGAAATACTCTTAACATTCTCGAGAGCTGGCAGCTCCACCTTGCCAACAGGCTTGTCTGCGAGAAAGCCGTAGAGGGCAGCACCCATAGCCGCCAAGCTCTTTTCAGCATCAGTTCCCTTTAGGGCTATCAACCAGTCAATACCCTCCTTGAGGTTGTGAGGAGCCTCGGTTAACGAATTGTACACCATTTTGCTGAGGTTGGTTATTAATTAGCAGCTGACAAAGGTGTGGATTTTGATCAATTCACAGGCCGAACCTTTAAACGGCCAGCGTATTTAAACAACTGTGTATTAATCCTCGATGAACACAACGGTGATGTTTTCTTCTAATAAGTACGCATCTTATTGATATTTAAATCTGTACATACACGAAAGAGGGGAACGTAGGATGCGCGATGCTGACAAAGTTTCCCCATCTCAACCATGTTAATACCATTAACGTGACATGCAGTGTGCAAAACGCATGTCATTGGCATACGCTAGTTTCACAGAGTATGGCATACACTGAAACTTGAGGTATAAATGTATTCGCAGAGAAGCTTCGGCATTTGTAATATTACAAAAAGTTGCTGGTAGTATGTCACAGGGCGTACGCTGTCCCGTGGTTCACGTAGGACAAGATGTGGAGATTACTCAACATATTTCCCATATGCACGTATCTACACAAAATCTAACTATCCACCCAATCATTAGCATCATTTAACCACAAAATACGTGCATCACCACATCACCTGGAATATAACTTCTCAAATAAGGATATGAAACGGTCAACAACTCAGCTTCGCAACCCACTAAAACAAAGGTTGAGACTATTTGGCCCTTACAAGTCGACCACTGTAGCACTAGCTAGAAGCATTTGCTGTATTGGTTACTGAGTTGCTTAGTAGCTGGAAACGGAATGTAACATCGCTAAAATCACTCAACTTGTAGGTATGCCAGTTTATTGGTGTCGAGAGAGATCACTCGGGTTGGCATGCTTCGCTGTTATGCCTCATCACTAGTGTAATGCAAAGCGCTACAACAGAATAAACTATTATCTAGATGCGGTCATTACTGTGTGCCACCATGTTGGCCTACGAGGTCGTCGAAGTAATCAACGTCTTGGTAGGGTGAAGGCATCTCCCCTCCGTGAATGAGTAATGCCGCGGCATGTATGAGGTGGGACGCCCTGAAAGTCAAAAGATGTGAGCGGAGGGCAGTACTTCCCGGAGGTAAAGCATCGTGTGAGCTAAGAGGAAGACTGCGACAGACCATAGTGTGAACACAGTGTAGAGGAAGGGGAGCCGGATGCCGTAGAGGAGATTGTCCATGGCGGTCATAAGGTCTGCGATAGGCTCTCCGTTGACCACTTCCCACAGCTTGTCGATGACCTCGGAACACGTGAGTGACAGCTGCAGTATCCCGTCCGGCGGCGTGAACCCGTGAGAGTAGAGGAGGGGCAGCGCCTTGTCACACTGGTGGAGGGGCTTGGATTTGGCGTCGTGACATTGAAGGTCCTCGAGATCATCTTGCAGCCTGAGCAGTGAGTCCCACAGTCTGTCTGCCAGGTAGGTCACCCAGCTGAGGTAGTGGTGGACGAACGCCGTGGAGTACAGGGCGTAGGCCCGGTAGGTGATGGGCTTCATGAGTTGTGGGCACTTGGCGTTAGTGATGCCACAGCCAAGCAGTGTGGACAGGATGTTGGGATGGTCCTTGTCCTTGTCGTGGATGGAGTTGGAGTTGGGAGGGGCGGAGCCCCTGGCGTCCTTGATGACTCGGAGGTCGGCGTCCTCAAGACAGTCCCATTCGGGGCAGTGGCCATGTGGCTTGGAGAGGGAGATGCCCAGTTGAGACAACTGTGAAGATGTATTGTGCAGTGAATTCCCAAAGTTGTGGAAGAACGAGACAAGCTCCCCGGTGGTGCGCGGCGTCCGCCTGGTGAGGCAGTTGAGGTGCGAGGACAATGTCAGCAGGGGATCGTCGCCGCCGCAGGTGGGACTGAGGATGGTGGAAATATGCTTGCCTGTTTGCTGAGGTTCAGGCAAATCCTCCTGCTTGAATCCCATGTTGACGTGGCTCTTGAGACAGATGTTGCACGGGTCGAAGAGATGAGTCTCGAAGTTGGAGGTGTCAGTAAGGAACGCCTGGAGGGGGGACTTGGGAAACGATACGTCACGGCCGTACTGATAATCTTGCCAACCGCCATCAGATTGATTCCGAGAACACTGCGACTTCAGGAATGCCAACTGGTAGTAGCAGGCGTAGACGTAGTCCCGCAGCTGGCAGAGGAGGGCGCAGCAATCAGGGTCCTCAGGCGTCGACTTTGCAGATGGCACCGCCATCCTCCACTCAGGCGCCACGGCGGATAGTACTGAGCCTGCAAAAATGGCGGCAAGGTGGATGGTGTCGATGACGTCTTTGGCGGCGATACTAGAATCGTTGACTGGGAGTGTGAGGCTGGCAGAGATATCATCGCCGCGCTTGAATGCGTTATTAATACACTGTGTCAGAGTCTCTTGGTGCTTCGGATGTCGCAGTCCGGCCAGCCAAACAAGCATATCCCTGACTGTACGCGGCGCCTCGGAGGGGAACAGCTCCGTCTCGGGGATATCGGTAGCAGCAGCAGGATGCTGACTCGCCCAGGGAGCGACGCACATTTCTACTGTGGGAAATGTGAGACTTTCCGGATCGAATGTCTCGAGATAAGGAGACAGCGGGGGCAGATCAGACTGTGATGCAATCTTGTTATATTTTACAGGTAACGGAATGTATTGAAAACCTTCATTTTCATACGCTTTGTCCGGAGTGTAAACTTTCTGAATATCAAAATCAATTTGAGGGGAAGGTGGCATGGTATAATTTCCCCTTGCATCATCAGTAGGCGATCCGCTGAATTCCGTCATCAAGGACATGGGAGGCGCGATGGTCTCTGACGGGATGGGTGAACGCATTGGGTCAGGTTGCAAAACACGGTGGCCTGTCACGTCCAGAATATCTCTCACGTACGGCGTGTTTTTTGGAGGTCTCGGCCATTTCGGAGGCTTAATCGTGTGGCCCACGGGAACAATAGATGCCAAGACTTCGGGCACAGAAACTTTTGGCATGCCTCTGGCGTTTGACGGTACAATGCCAGTGAACACGTCGCTAGCATCCCGCTGGTCATTTGCGTATTTCTGTTCCTCATAAGATTTATAACGCCCTGCAGCTTCCTTTTGATGTTTGTTCAGCTCTTCCCTCCTTCGTTTTATCTCTGCACCACGTGAAATTAAATAGCGTTCATGACCAATTTCCGATGGATCTTGCAGCTCCATATCACTGTCATTTTTTACGATTTCACCCTCCAAGGCCAAATCACCCGGCTCCGGGAGAGGATGACGGATGACTGGAGCGTGATTATTCCTATGCCGTTGCAAGTAATTCAAATACTCCTGCAGACCTCTCTGCTGCCTGAGTTCCTTCTCTTCTGCCTGTTTGACCCAATCCGCTTCCTTTTTTGCTTGTGGATCTCCTTCGTCCAATTTCTTCTGCAATGCGTCGGCGGCTTCCCTCCGTTTCTCCTGCTGCCGGGCGGCATAGTCATCGGACTGTTTTAGGCGTTTACCATCTTCTTGTTGTTTTTTCCATTTTGCTTCCGCAGCCTGTTGCTGCTTTATGAGATCGGAACCATTATCATAGTCATCCTCCAGATCGTTCCCATCCAGTCCACCAAAGTAAGTAGAGCGGCTTGGAGAGAAAACATTTTGCCCACCCAGATAAGGCATCCTCTTTTGCAATTCGAGTGTTTTGTACTCATATTCTGCTTGCTTTCTACGCTCCTCATCTTCCCTCTTGTGCTCCTCTGCCTCCTTTTGCTGTCTGAGCCTATCTTCCCTCTGCCGTCTCCTCTCTGCTACTCGTTGGTTAGCTTCTTTTACCTTTTCATCCCACTCTTCATGCATTTTCCTTCGTTCAGCGGAATCCCATGTCTTACCATCTCGGGGACAGTATTTTCCACCGCCGAATTCAGCAGGGAATTTTATCGGATTAGAACACCCACCCCCTCCATTCTCACCGACACCAGGCGCCGGGGCACCCGACGGAGCACCGACGCTGCTTGGATCGTGATCGGAGGGTTGACTTGTTGATTGACTAGCATCTTGACCACCTTGTGACCCAGGGCTTGAACCTCCAACACTCGGAGTCTGAGTAGGACTTGTAATTGGAGGGGGAATAGACTGTGAACCTGAAGCATCACCGGTAGGTGAAAGCTGACCTACACCCGGCTGACCAACGGCGTCACCGCCTCCAGGAAGACGGGGAGGAGGCGGCGGAGGTGGAAGCCCTGGCGAGAGTGTATCATCAGTGCGTTGACGCTGATCAGCATTTTGAACTGGCGAACCTGGAGAAATTGGAGACCCCGGCAACACTGTAACAGTAGACCCTTTTGAGCCTGCATCACCGTTAGGCCCTGCCGGGCCTGCATCTCCTGGACCACCGGATGACTGGGTGTGAACAACAGACTTTCCAGTTGGTGAAGGTGAAGTTCCATCCACCTTCTTCCCCTGGTTCTGTGCTCCCTCACTTTTCTTGCCTTGATTTTGATTCCCTTCAGTTTTAGTGGCAGGCGGGGCCTCAGACTTTTTAGGTGGCACAACCGGAACCTTCTTCTCCGGCACTACTTCATGGGGAGGCTCCGGTGGACACTCCTGACCTTCCAAAATCTTTTTCAATTTCTCCAATCCTTCATGCTCTCTTGTAAGCTCATTAATTACACTACTCCAATCACCGGACAAAACATCATGAGGCGTTTTCTGTCCTTCTAAGTTATATCTGTCAAACGTAAAGCCATATGGGAAGAACTTTTTGGTGAAATAATCCCCATGATCTTTCCTGAGGATTTTCAAGACACCTTCATCTATTTTAATGTTACCCAAATTAGTCTTCACTTTGTCCAAATTCTCTCTCAACCATTTTGCAGTTTCTTCAGCGAACTCTTTTTCGCTAAGCCTATTACGGTCCCTTTTAAAGCCTGTAAAAGAGAAGACATTCGGCTTATAAATTGTGCCAATTTGTGATTGCAGGGTTTTACAATGACTTTTTAACTCACTCCAACAAATACATTTTTTAACATTATCACCATTTAAACTCTCATCCATTTTTGGTTTTAGCTGTCCCCCCTTCACTGTGTCCGGTTCTGCATCCACAATCCCACATAATGTGCTCACCAACGCCAGGGCATTGGCTGTATTAGGAGTATCCGGGCCGGCAGTAGACAACACGGATGTGGTGAAGACGTCGAGGAAAAAATTTTGTATATTTGGCATATGGGAATGCTTTTCACAAATCGCTGTAAGGTCATTGGCCATTTGAGAAGCCTGGCGGTAATCACGTCTCAAATCTAGTCTACCGAATCCTCCAGGAATGACACCATATTTAGAGCTGGATGGTTCAGTGAGATATGCCTGCAGATCACCACCCAGATATTTACTTCCACCAATCTGCAGGCCCTTCCATTTCCCCCCTCCCAGCTTAGCGAATCTTATGTCCACCTGGTACCTCAAAAAGTACATCACGGCTAAAAACTTGGGAATGCAGTCAAGCAGAGCGTTGAGGACAGTTGTGGCGGTGCTTGGATTAATTTTGCTCTGCTGTGGCTTTGTGCATAGTTTCGTATGAAACCTAGACACATTAGTGAGGAATTGGGACAGTGCCTGCTCAATTAGTTTTTTACCAACAGTATTGTATTTGCCACTAAGACGCCTATGCAGTGCTTCGGCCACCTCTTGTTGCTTATCACCATTTTGATGCAACCACAGCAAGAATTGGAGACACTCCTTGAGGGTGTTGAGCGGAACTTTATGCTTCTCCATCTTGTTTACGAATGCTCTCAGCACAAAGACACTAATAGATGGGCGCTAGGCTAATTGCACAAAATTACATTTAATTGGTTATCTAGGAGGCACTAAAGCGATGAAAGCTCTAAGGTGATGTCACTGCTTCCAGTTTACCAAGACACTGCCAAGCTGCTTGCAACAGTGGTAATTGCAATGTCAAGATTATGCCTAATTTTCCTGTTTCATAAGGTTGCGCCTAGAGTTCCTTAACCATGTTCAGCGGTATTGCGATATTGTCCTCAGCCTCCTTTATCCACTTTGCCAACTCCACAACGTAGCTGCCCAGCGTCTTACCAACTTGCTCAAGCTGAGCTAAGAGGTTACCAAACAAGGTCACCAAAGTGTCGAGGAAGTAACTAACATCGTTGCGAATCAGTGAGCTAATATTGTCTCGGACGTTGTTGAAAGCGTGCTTGATAACCTTAATAAAGGCGTCGCAGTTGAGGGATGGCTGGCGCCGGCAGTGATGGGAGTGGCGTGACATGTGGTCAAAAAGCTGAGAAGGGAAGCTAGCTGCGCTACAAATTGATGAGCTAAGGGATTGACTGGAGATCGGTTTTTAGGCGTGTTGCCTTTAATTTTTACAGGAACCAGATGATGCGGGTTGTGTATAGATGAGGATCAGATGCAGACGGGGGTAGGAGCGAAATTGGAAAATGTTTTTGAGTCAACTCCCCAAGGTGTACGTCAAAATATGAGGAGCCGATGGACTCTAGTAAGATGACTTTGGATGTGACGCAGCTAAGGTATGCTATCTGGAATGGCTGTGGGTGACAAGATATGCTACATGGAACAGCACCGACAAGACTCTCAACTACATTAAAAGCACGGAACAATGTCAATCTCATTCAGCCGCTAAGCTAAAACGATCACAAGTAAACCACCACGCAACACCCGACGCATAAATCTGGCAAAGTGGAAATATACATTAACAATAACATTTAATGCGACATTTAAATGGCATCTGTTGAGATATGCCATTCTACCTGTGTTATATAAAGCTACATCAGGCCCTTGAACGGGAAGGCGGAGTATTCATCAGTGTCAATCTCCTCGTGAATCCTTCCACCGGCAAGATTATTTGTGGATGTGCCTGAACTTCTACGCGAAGTAGCAAATGAAGCACGTAGTCCATAATACACCTTGCGGAATGGACCAGGGTACACACGCCAGACGGAAACCATGATCGCTACGATTAAGAGTATGGGGACTCCTATGTAGCACAGGCGAAGAAACGCATCTTGTGGACATAGTTTGCCGCAGTTTGTGCATTTGGAGGTGCATTTGCTACTGACGTAAAAATATTCAGTATTGTCACAGTTTTCTGGTTTGCATGTGCCAGCTTCTTTGGCGTGTCGGCAGTAATACTTGCCTGCATCATGTTCTTTGCCTCTACCGCCAAGAAGGCTTTTGCATTCTTCGGAGTGTTGTTCCTTGCCGTCACATTCCCCCTCTCCCGGGCATTTGGTACCAGGATTACACCAGCTACAGCAGCTACACATTGCTCCATTGCATCCACAGTTACAGAGGCCACATATACAATCGCCGTCTGTTGAATCTTTGCATTTTTCCTTGCAATCCTTGCATTTTTCGTTAGCCTCGTAGCACAGCTTCCCCTGCCTAAAAATGGGCTCACATCCACAGTCACAGAGGGTGCACTGGCACCTCTTACTCGTTGTGCATTTTATCCGGCACTGCGGGCAGCCGTGCTCACCGCACTTTAGGTCTCTAATTTCTCCGTCCTGACATCCACAGTGACAAATAGAACATTGACATGCGTCGTTTTCAGTGCACTTCTTTTTTTCGCAGCGTTGGCATTTTTCGGGGCAGCAGGTTTCCCCTGCTGGTACATAGCTTGGTTTACTACAAACTCCACAGTCATTTTTCGCCTGTTTCTCCACCATCCTTTGCTCTGACGTCATTCACATATTCATCCACAGCGATAAAAGTCCTAGCGCAACTGGCAGATCAGAGCCTCCAACGTCCCGATGATATGGCGATACGGCACCTTGACCGATGCCCCTAACATGTCGCCTACCGGCTGCGCAGGTGAGCACTAACAACAATATCGTTCCATGTATATAGCAAGTAATTCAGCGTACCGCTTTCGCGGCCGCAATCGGAGACCCGGAATCGTAGCGTCGGCTGGGCGCTCGATCCACTGCGTCATCGGGTATAGCACAAAAGCATGCGCATGTAGGTGTTTTATCTAGTGCCAACCTTGTGCCTTACAAAGATTTCCAAGCCCATAATTATGCAATCATCGCTGCTCACAATGTAGATGAAGTATTACTCTAACGTGGGTGCTGCGTCCGTGATTGTCGCGCATTGTACTCAATTCGCTGACATATCCAGTTACAGCTTTATAACAGATGTTCACTTGACCTCGCAACTCGTTCACTACTTTAAAGGTTCCATGTGTCCCGACTCCATACGCATCACGGAGGCTTCAGCCTTAACGCCTCCCTGAGGTGGACATGTTGTTTACGCTAACTGTCATTAGTCCGTCCGGTGCGGTGCTACAGTTGCATATCTAGTGCAGATATCATTTTGTAGTTGCAACATAGCCATCACCATAAAACCTGTGTACTCCTCGGATCATTGCGCGGCACCGGCGTCCTAACCTGCGTCTCATCTAACCTCTTCGCCGCTTGCACGGCCTTTGTGATCCAGTCAATATTTTCGTCTTTGATGTTCCCAGGACTCCCCGTATTCCGCCAAATGTTATCGCAATTCCCATTCAACGTTTCCTGCATCCCCTGTATTTCCCTCTCAATTTGCTTTTCCACCTCAATGCGCTGCCTAGTGAACAGGTCCCTCAACGCTCCCAGAACGCTTTCCACGTCATCATTATTTACCGTCGCGTCTAACATTGCAAACAACCATATTAATTAACGTGTTGTAAAAGATATTTTGTTTTCCAGGTTTTTGTCCATTCCACCCAATGCCGTTTCTGTCATTACAGCCTCTTCAAGGCACTGCCCGCCACTCCCAATTTCCCACCTGATCTGTCATTGGCTTACATAACACATTAATCGACATGATACCATACCTCACGCTTGCAGCATCATCCAAGGGCATTGCAATATTTCCATCTTTCTTCTCCACACCCTGCAGCCAAGCATTGACACCCTCACTGACATGGGCTATCAACCTTAATCCAGCCTTCAAACTACATTAAGACGCACGTGTTAATATCGTCGTTCGCTTGTTCTTTAACCTTACTCTTCTGGGATCACAACGTATACTTAAACCCCACTCCACCGACAACTCACTTATGTTGCCGGGTTGTTGATCATACCTATCACTCCCGTCTCCATCTTTACACAAATAACGCCCTAATTGCTAGAAATATTGTCTCCACAGCCTTCACACTCCGCTTTTTTGCTCATTTAGCATCCCCACGGCCCCATCCAGTTCATCGGATGCATGTTTCAGCCGTTGCTGCGATTACCTCTGTGGAAATGGCAAGGCAATATTCGTAAAAATTTTGCGCATCTAGTAAACCTTATTTCACAGTGTGGATTGAGTATTACGTGCCACATGAGTGGCGTTGTCAGCCTCGTTTGTGTCATCTGAATATGTAGCCGCAGGTTGGAGATGGCCAAGGTCAAAGGGAGTGAACAGTGTGACCTAACATGTGGCCACGACGGTGTGGCTGTATGTGAACTGCACTATAATCAGATGACCTAATCAGCGTATAAGTGGCAATTACTAAGCTATTTGTGCAGTTACCTAGAGGCGCTAGTGCCACTCCACTGTGGCGGTCACGTATGGCTGACGTACAAATCACAAAACACAGCACACAGAAACACATGTATATGTACGTTCTATAATTATTATCTTATGTCCAGCAACTCTAAAGGGTCGGCGTCGAAGTAGTCGGCGTCTTTGTAGAGTGAGAGCATCCTGCGGCCGGTGGAGAGCAGCGCCTTGACGTGGATATTTCATTGAGCTGTGCTAATCCTATTCTTCTAACTAACGCGCATCTGATATGCTGCTACTATGTAATTTATGAACGCATTCACCGGGCACCAGACGTTGCACTATTTTGAAACATTAAATAAGGCGTTATTACGTTGGCGTAGTGCCTTTGCCGTATACAACGGTGATACAAGTGCGATTATGAAAAATGCCGGAAGTGATTACAGCATGCTATGCAAAGCATTTACTTGCGGGCAAAGCAATCGCGGACCTTGTGGAACGGCCGGATGCGTTTCATGATCATGATGCATACGACGATGAGGATGATTGTGATGCAGATGGCAATAGAAATGTATACACGTTTATTTCTACAACATGTACAGTCACAACTCCACAAACCTTTAGAATCACATTTTGGACAGCAACGATGCCAGGATGCATCGTCGGGATCTTTTCTGAACTCTTCGCAGAAAGCACACCTGTTTCCTCCAGTACACTTCTCACAACACCATGAGCAACATAAACAACCGCCGTTACATGGATTTCCACAGTTACACTGCTGGTTCCTCATCTTCCCCCAGCTCTCCCATCACCAACCTCCGCAACCATGAAGCACGTACCTTGAGCCTCGCCCCGTCGAACCGCCAAGCCGTCTCCGAGGAGCGTCATGCGATTCACCGCCAGGGATACCACATCCGCGAGCCTCGCAGCACATAGATACCACGCCCATCGCGTCATCTAAATATTGAGAACCCTACCCCACAGATCGGTGACCGAACGAGTTTCAAGTTCTGAATCTTTGTATTCATTGAAGCACAGTGTTCGTTCTTGCAACCATACATATCAGCGTAATGTTACCATGGCGACAACCTCGTCTGCCATGCCCTTGTCACTCACCTGATAGAAGCATTGCTCCATCTACCCCAAAGCGCCCATTAATCCAGTTGACCACTTAATTCTCTCCGTCGACACATATAATATCATCTATTTGAAACTTTAGCTATAGTGTCATTATGTTAATGAAATACGTATTATGACAACGCCTCACATCCAAACCTGGGTGTCTCACTCATTTATAAGTCTCTCCTAACTCGTTTTGCTCATTTCTATCATTAACACTATATCACAGATATGAGTCTCATTCCTGGCTCTCAAAACCTAGCACCAGGCATTCTCTCCTTTTCCATCATCCATCCCATCAGGCTGTGGGCCATGCGGCTGTTCGGCGACACCTTGAAGATCGCAGCCTCAGTGTCCAATATGACTCCCTGCAGCTTTTAGGATCATCTCATTATGTGATCTGTAATCGTATAAGGGGTAGATGTAACCATCCCTGTATGCCTCCCCACCGGTGGGCTAACGTGGCCGTGGACCAACGGTGTGGTTGCTCAACATTACTTGAATCAGTGAAATCCAGTGGCAATTCGTATGTAAAACCGAATGTTACGTGTTTGGGGCAATATCGATGTTTCAGCTGATATTTAGATCTGTAAGGGGGCGTAGCGCACCGTCCTCATTCTTGGAGTACAAAAAGTAGAGCGAAGATGCGGCGACGCACAATTGCATTTCACGTTTTTTGACAGGGCCTATCAGCCTCAATACCGGTCATTAAAAAGATATGGTAGCACCAAAAAATGCCAATAACTGGCTACCGAAATCACTACTTTGTAACCTAAGACACACTGCCACTGGAATACCCAAAACAGCAGACACCAATAGCAACAACAAACGGGGATTAGTCTGTGTTTTTGTTAAACGAGTTACCACATCACAGCTACTCATTACTTTGAGTAGTAGTTCTCGATCTGAATGGTGGAGAGAACGACGCCCTTGACGGTGACGCAACGACACTCCAACGGAGGCGTTTGGCGCAGGGTCTCCCCAGGTCCTACGAGTGAATCGTCGAACTGCAGGATGACGAAGTGATTGGACCGTGACGCCCTCAATGATTTGCTGACATCGGCCATGTTAGTGATGCTACCGTCCACTAATGTTTGGCTGAAGCAGTTGGGTGGGTCCAGGACGTACGGTGCTGGGCAGTAGAATGCGGCTTCCTTGGCAGTCTGAAAATCTATCTTGCAACCGAACTGTAGGTTGCCGTCACCGTCGTAGAGTTTGGGCGTTTCAGGTTTGAAAAACTCGTCCGATTCGTAGGTAACGCCGCAGCCTTGCATGTACGGGTCAGTGGTCTCGACCTTAACTTGAACTACGTCCCATGTGTATCGCGTAGGGGATCTTATGGTCTGGAAATTGGGTAGTACAGGTGTTTCTGAAGTTGATGCGTTGCCAGCTACGCTGGAGACATCCGTTTGTTTGGGCGCCTTAGCGCAAACGAATGTCATTGGCACGTGTTGTTTGTGAACCGGATCTTTGGATATTAGAATGGTGCCCCCACGTGATTCTATTTTTAAGGATACATATTCCGTTAAGTATGTTTCGTCACTCATGATTCGAAAACCACCCGGAGTTGTGGCAATCGAATCCTTGTATCTCATACGAAGGAGTCCATCATCACCAGCTATCTTTTTAACTGCATAATAGAACTCATCAGGTCGATTTGGAAGCCAAGCAGTTGAAAGAAAATCCCTAACTGCGCCACGGATTAAAGGATCATATTGCAAAGACGCAACGGAGCCCATTCCACAATGTAGGAGCACAGTTTCTCCCACATGTACTGTAATGGGCTCTTGGGGTACATAGTGTATCATCAGACATCTGGGTGCTGTGTGTCCCTCCCCTAATAATCCAACTTCAGGCCAAAGCATCCATATATATGGAAGTAACATGTGAGACGTCTCTTGCCGATTTGTTCCGTAGGTGTAGTGTTTTTGATGGTCAAGCTCTAAAATGATTCTAGACATTTCGTATCCACGTTGGTCAACACATACGCAGGCGTGGCTTACAGGACTATCGTCGCGAAATTCAAAGCCCAATATCTGAAAGCCTAACATACGATATGGTGTCACATTTCGAATGGATCCAGGAAATGACATCATTTTATTGGAGCGGAGATTATATCCTAAGGAATCACAGTTGTTTGGCAACAGCTCTTCATTGGGGCCGCAGCGAATACCAGCTTGCAAACGTCCGCACTTAAGACGAAACGTACACTCATAAACATCCCCAATACCGTTTCCCACAGAATTAGTATAACAATACGCCATACTAAGATCGTGATCAAACACATTTGTCTGCTCTCGGTCGCACCCTACCATCGTGTACTGGTGGGTGAACGCAAATGCCACATTCAAGATTGCTCGAATCATATCAAAGGCACACCTGTTTCTGTATTTCACTGCCCAATGAAAATAGAATGAATTAAGGCCGTCTACTAGTGCGAGAGGTTTGTTATCATGGTACTTCAGTTTTACCTCTCCTCGGAACATTTGGGTGGCGTCCAACTCAAGGGCGTTTCCAGCAAGGACTTCGTGGTACAAGACTCGCTCGTAAACATCAACATCATAATGCGTACTCAGCTGCCGCAGCGTAATCAAGTCCGTCGGGAAGAATTCAGCCTTTAATAAAGATCTAGGAAGATTCTGAAGGGATAAGCTGGTAGAGGAATGCTCGTTGGGGGACTCCCAATAGACAGCCTCTACTGGAAACTTTATTGTCAAGGTGCTGCCAGGGTGTAGTACAACCGAACACCAAGCGCCACCGATAGGAGTTGCAAGGTTGCGTTCGACCATGCTGAAAATGTCACAAACGTACTCGGTTTCCATACGAATCTCTATCTTGGCCTTCACCGCTCCTGTTTCAGGATCGATGCATCTGCATTCGCCACCGAATTGTGGCAATGCTAATTCATTAAAATATCGTGTCACCACCCAAGTTCCATAATTTTGGAAATTCAAATATGAATAGGGTTCGGGGGTGGTCACAACTTCTCCATTATGGCCAATGAGGGATCTCATGCAATCATTAGGCACAATAGTGCCTTCGCACAGAAATCCAATAGGGGATTTTGACATCGGATCCACCACACACGAACGAGTGCGATTGACGGGATTTACAGTCACCTCAGTATCCGCAGCAAACAGTGGCGAAGGGCTACTACCGCAGCCCTGAAGCGGTAGGTGTCGAGTCAGTCGATTCAAACTAAGGACACCCAAACCTCGCCCTGTATGAGCCATTTGCTCAGCCAATGGCGTGGTTACAGTCCATGGGAACGTTAGCATTTGGGTTTGGCCCCCGAGGCGATGAAGATGAAGGTGAAGATAAAGCTGTATTGCTTCATTCAAAACCAAATCTCGTGGTCCGCAAATGAATATCAAACGGTGTTCGGTAATTGCAATCAAATCATTGTCTGGTGTGCTGAAATGCAGTTCTGTTTTTGCCGTATTGGATTCGAACCATATTACCGGATTCTCGGCTTCAGAGTGCACTGCATCCGAAATTGCGACAGAGCGGAACTTGCGATTTTCAATCACATACGCGTTGAGATTAACGTCATCATCAACGATTGGTTGGGGGTGCCAGATGTAATTTGTGCCATTGACGCTGCTCGGGCACATGGCAGTTACTGGCCCAGAGTAGTCGATATCCATTTGACACGTTACAAGAGCGTGGCTCGTAAGCAACACATCCGGATATCCGAAATCGCAAATCAATGCGTCAATACATGTGATACCATATAGAACGGTTGCGCATGATGCCAACATGAGCTTCAAGCGATATGGTTCCATTGTGATTAACGGCGCTTGCTTGTATGGCGAATGCAGACTCTATATTTGCAGCCGACTTAGCAAATCACTCAGTCCAAATGGAGCAAATTAAATAGAAGCTTGCCACACGTTGACAACAATAACCTGATGGTTGAGCGCAAATTGCGGCCTCCCCAACGACCGCAGCAGCTGTCTGGTTAGTTAAGAATTTTCTTTCATGGCTCCAACCGCGCTAATTCATGAATAAACTGGATACGTATGACAACACAGTTCATTTATTAATGGTGCAAAATATTTTGGCGTGCATAATATTAAAAATGTTGGTTACGAAAGGACCATCGTACCAGCCCACCGGAGATAATTGTCGCGGGCAGACAAACTACCATTACCATTAAGGATACACGTACGGAGAAGCCATACTATGTGGAGGAAATTAAAACAATTATAAAACTGGCAACGATCGCCACCGCAGGTGGTGTTAAGAGCTCCAATGTTGATGTACATTACAGACATTAGAGGCGCAGTCGATTCTTCGTGTACAGTTTATTGCCATGACGTATGGGTCGTGGGCTTGATATAGTCATGGAACGTGGCAGCCGACAGGTACCCGTTTGCCGCACATCAGCTAAAGCCGAAGAGCGAAGAGTATATTAAGGTGTGGGGTTAAATGAACTACAAAATTGAGCAATAGCGTTCGGCATATTCTTTTGAACTGAAACAGAAGTATTTGCCGTCCAAAAATTCAGTTTGGAGTGCTTGATACGCATTTGCTTGGTTCCTTTTGATGTAACAGCAAGTGCAAGCACTGCTGAATATACCTGTCATTTTTGTGATTAGGCTTGTATATGTAGCCTCATTGTATAAGCCCATGACCAGGAACAGCGTCATAAATGCCTATCTACATGTGTAGCATGAAAGTAACGGTAATTGACCAACCATAATGGTGAATGCTACGACCCTTGCAATGATGTCACGCCGTCTCATGCGATATGAACCGAATGGATAAATACCTAATATATGCTTGATGCAACCCCAACGTTTTTCGTTGGCCTTTGCCGCCGACTCGTATTGAAATCTAGCAACTGCTTCACTTTGGCTCGACATAGCTATGGTGCGAATGTACTGTGCCTTCCCAGCATCACTGAGCCATCTAGAGAAGTGCTTTATCATAAAACGCTGATAAGCAACGCCTCTGTCGAATAGGGCAACTGATTTGATGGTAGAGAAACCATATAAGAGGCCGAAAATATAACCGCCCTGAAAACAATATGCATGCTTTTATTTATGGTACACAATTTATGCAACATAACTAATTAATCCGAACAAACCAGTCGGAAGCACCGTTGTCATGTGGAGTTTCCATCGATGACGTCAGATACGGTAAACTGAAGCATATGCACTCAGCATTCACGAAATTGTTTACCGGAATGAACGTACCACATGGATGTGAGCGCTGACAGTTTTATCCATAGCGGCAAAATCGACCACAAACACCGTCACGCTGATGAGTAGAATAAGTTCCGGGGATCCCATGGCATACCAGTGCTCCACACAATAAGGCACTATTGCACCAAGGAACCCTAATTGTATTCCTGAAGAACCGACCTGCTTAAGGCAAGGAACGAATACAGCGCCAACTAGGTATCCACCGTAACCCGTTACGAAGCACCCTACCAGCGTACGGAGGAACCCCCACTCCTGAAAATTAATCATGTTATGTTAACACCCTTACCGATATCTATAGATATAGGCATTTTATGATAACGTAACTAACCGGTTCTATGATGTAAAATATGAGAATCTGTGCCGCAGTATTATTCAACAGATGGAGCCATCCACCGTGTAACACCATTGCAGTTATCATCCGGAACCATTCGCCATAATGCCTTATATAGTTGGTATCCACGCAACCGAGAATGTTTAGAGTACGCCATTTTGGCCCATAATACGCACTATATGAGGCATTGAGCTCGAGGGCGCCTATGGATGGGTAACCGTTATCCTCGCCGGTGGAGTGGAAGCTTATGCTGTCGGCCGGGTTGTTGGTATTGTTTTCACAGGCGCTGTACCCAAGCGGCGAATAGAAGGGCAGGTTTATATCCGTAAGGCTGTAATCAACACGCCCTATGCACCGACCATGGAACGTTGTTTTGTTTATGACAAGGCTGCACATTTAATATAGATGTGTATATTGGCCAAAATCTAGACACACAGCACATAATAAACAACTATATGAACCATACTTGACGATTGGCACAGTTGAAATTCAAACATAGACAGCTAACCTGAGCAGAAATACTACGATATAGATAACGATGGAGCTCTTAAGTATGTTGAGGCTCCCGGTTTTGGGATCTCCAGATGGGCCCTTTCTAATGCAATATTTTAAACTCTTCAGTATATTATCCAATCGTCCGTGTAGCGCCACTATACAGTTGGGTATGCAATCACTCCATCCCAGTATAGTTCGTGTTGCCGGTTGTTGGGACCTCTCATCCACGCGCCACGTTTGAGATTCTGCCATTATAGAATCACACAGAGTCAGAATCTAGCTTGCACATCGGCAAATTTATGGCAAAGTTAGCGCAGGAGGCGGTCCTCGCGATATTTTTTTCCCGGATGTGACAATTAACAGCCACCCATAATCAACGGTCGGGACATTTTTGGACAGGTCAGAGGCCCATCTGCGATGCTGTGATCACAGCTCTAGCATACATAATTCATATATAACACCGGCCACCAGTTGATTCTATCCTCTGTCCAAAGATCCATATTTGATTCAGGGTGGAATGGTCAAACTTTTAATGCTTTTGCCCGTATGCTGCAGCGTTTGGATATAGATACACCATTCTACTCATCTTATAATTCTATTTCAGTTGTTCTGCAATATTCAAACTATTTTCGCATCCATAGATATCAACATACGATCGCCATCTCGTGGACGGGTTGACCGCTCCTATCATCGCTTATCCACGTCTCCACGTGCCTAGACCGGACCCAATACACGTACACTATGGCCACAAACGGTGCACAAAGCATTGCCTGCGCCTAGAATGTCGGTGATGTCCACCTCATAACATACTCCTCATGCCGCCTGCGCTCGGGGTAGTTGACAGACCCAAAATGGCCTCAGTGTAAACCAATCAAGATTGGTTTTCGTAGTGGTCTACATTATGGTGATGGTGGTTTCCTTTTTTGCCTTCATGCGATTTCTTACAAGCATATTCGTCATCCCATCATCGGTGTACACGGTTAACTGTCTCCAACCACTAGTTGTACACCGTTGAGTGTGCACGCCTTCTACTGGTTGTCTCACGGCATAATTGGATAACCTATACTTACGATTAAACCGAAATGCAACCCTGTGTATACTGTTCCGCCAATGATAATTCTGACTCCAAGCATACCCGTTGCACGATTACGCTAATGGAACCGCACAATACGCCACCATTGAACTTAATAATTAACAAATACAATACCGCCCATTTTCGAATAGGATGACGAAGCAACCACTAACATCCTAGGCTCCGGCCCCCGGGTAACATACCGGTATGTTTTCCGTTACGAAGCACCTTTTCGACGTTGCCATAATGCAATAATCTACCTTCGGATTCTTTTGCACGCACATTTCATATCAGCTGACAATTCGCCGATATATGGGCGGTGTAGTGTCGGATCACGGCCAGGGAATTCAATACCGAAGCAGGATAGGACATCTGATGGATGCCATCATTCACCGGAGCCAGAAAAACCGCTGTACCCAAATCCAGGGCACATGCTTGAAAATTTCTGCCATTTTAAGCTCCTGCATGGCACGAACCAGTTAATGGCCAACAAAGTAGCAGAAGGAGAATCCCTTGAAACTATCCGTGACCCGGTAGCATAAGACGAAACGCATTCCGCGGACTACAACAATGTAGTAGCCACAAAATTGACAAGCACAGCCGCCAAATATAGAATAGAGAAGCGCAACACATAGAACCGATAAACATATATCAATGCAAGATCACATTGGCAGACTGCCCAGTCAACCAACCACACGAAACCTACACACCGCGATGTAAAAATGAAATGCCCAATTACATTACAACCACATGAGTTGTTCAGAGAGAAAGCGATGGTCTGTGGTCCGCGAACGTCTCCCGGTCGGCCTTGTTCACGAACGACTGTGGCCTCAAAATGGGGAACTTGAGCTTGGTGTTGTGAAGCTGGGTGGTGCGAACCTTGCGGCAGTCGGACTCGGCGATCTCGCGGGCGCGGATGATCTGGATGCAGCTGGCACGCGCCTTGTCACGACCGGCCATCTCACCGTACATCTGCGAAATGGCGCCCGTCAGGCTGGTGTCGCGGTACTCCTTGTACATGTTGTGGATTCCGGTGCGGCACTCGTAGCGCAACAACACACCGTAATTCTTCACCGTCGTGGGCTTCGGCTCCAGGAGCACGTTGCAGGCCAGAATCTCGCCGCCGGAACGCTTAGCCTTCTGCAGCTTGCGCATAAAGTACCAGAAACGACCCTTCGCGAGCACGGAGTTCTTCGCGAAAATGTTCATACGGTAAATCAGAGGGTTGGGGTTCTTCTTTGAAGGCGCCGCCCTGCCAACCACGTGGAAGTGGGTGAGGTTCTGGCTGAGGGAGGGCTTCCTCTTCGCGTCGCTACGCTTCACCATCGTGCCGCAACGCTGATGGGGAATATGGCTGTATCCGATATAAAACAACTGTCACGCAATATGCGCCGATATTATAATGCCACCGTCGCGACGTAGCAACGGTCAACAAGGCTGAAACCGGCCGCACAGCGCCCACCCCACGCTCCAAAGGCCTGGGCCTCGCGCGCCCCCTCCTTATATACAACTATCGCCCCTGGCAGAAGTTACAAGCCGGTACAACGGCTCTATTTGCAATACAAATTGACCGTCGTAGCCGGTTTTGGGTAGGTAGCATGGCGCCATTCGTGGGATGGCCCACGGCAGTCGTAGGCCGATCCCGCCGAAAGACAACACACCTCGCGCGGTTGTTACACCGTTCGATGTATTGTTACATCGAATGTGTGTAAAACTTCTGGTGACGTATCTGTGTTTTTCTATCAATGAAGACAAGACGTTAACGGGGCTACAGTGATTATGTGTCGAGGGGTACGGAAACCATCGAGTGTTATTGCTGTGTCAACACACACTGCGAGCAGCTTTTTTACGCCGTTACTTGGCTTTAATGTGTCGCAATGGTCTAACGTAGCGCTTCCGAGAGGAGCGCGCCTTCCACCGTAAACGTTGCCGCGAATACACACATGTTTGCCAGTCGCACATACCATACTTTAACTTACAAAAAGGACCGATTATGCGCCTTCGGCTGCGCAAGGACGTTATCGCAACGCTTGATGCTGTCGGGCTTTTGTGTGGTCCCGGCGCCACTTCACGAAATCCAGAACCGGTTGAATTGCCTACCATTCCAACACGCATACAAAAATGGCACCTATCCAGCGTATTTTTGCCAGCGCTCTCGCGAGGAATTCGCACCTCACCAGCCCGCTCGGAGCGCGCTTCCTGTCCCAGGTGCCGAGCTTCCAGAGATTCGACGCCAGGCAGCAGCCAAGGCCCACAGCCGCGCAGCTCCCCAAATCGTTGTACATCCACCAGAACGGCGTGCAGAATGCTCTGCTCACGAACTTCGCAAACAGGGTAAGTACGCGTACACCGGAGTGAAGGCCCAGACAGGGGTGATTCAAATGGCCACGGCTGCTATGGCCTGTGTCTTTAAATCACCTGGGCCTATATTTTACTTTGAATATCGTCTAATACGTTTGCAGGGCCACATGGCGAGTCTCGCGCCATTCAACAACAAGTTCGGCGCTAGGTACGACGGAGGTATCGCCACGCTGGGTGCCGCTGTTGCACTGATGTCTGTTGGAGGAGTCGCTCAGGGTATTGGAAACCTGTTCGCAGCACTGGTTTCTGGCACGGCCCGCAACCCGTCTATCAAGGAGGACCTGTTCACGTACACCCTCATCGGTATGGGTTTCCTCGAGTTCCTCGGCATCGTGTGTGTCCTCATGAGCGCTATCATGATGTACTCGTAAACCTCTCACTAAATTTCTTCGCATGACTACAATAACACTCATGGAATCTAGTTCATAGCAAAGTGTCTATCGTGGTGTCCAGTCGGTTAAATGCGCCGACTTATCGGCGCGGCTCACGGCAGAGCATTAAAGAGTCGTTCATGCACGAACACAGGCTTTAGCAGACAGTTTGGTTTCTTATTTGTGTGGCAAACGGAGCGTCGGAGGCACTGACGGGCCTTTGAGAGAATAAGTACTTGGAGAAACGACGTCGCATAAGACGAATGGTGCGTTGGCGCAATGTAAGATAAAAGTTGCCCGTAACGTGGCCGTTTCGAGATTGGTGTCTCTTGGAGCTACTAAAACGTGACTAGCACGCAAAGCGCATGAGGCAGAAAACGGTCTGCCATAGTGGCGCAATAAACACTATACAAGCAAATGGACCCTTGTTTTGGGCGCCATCAACATAATTTATAGCTTTTAGGAGAAGCTAGGTGATAAAAAGTCTGTACATGTGGAAAGTGACATCGTCACAGACAGCGTGACACAACACTATCGTCACGCCGGAAATATAAATCCATTTAACCTCAAATCACACCGAGCATGACATTGTATGGTTCAATTGTAGCGCGTATCAAACAGAGGCAAACGGCTCCAGTAGACGCAGCCGACGGTCAACGGTAAGTTAAGCGGCATTGTGACAATTGCTTCCAAAACAATCATATACGAAACGACTTGCAGGTTGATGCATATGCCGCAATTATTACGCCACGAGCTATAAAAGTATGTTCGGAGGGTTTTTCAAGCCACACATTACCGACAGCAGAGACGGCAACCTGCGCGCGACCGGAGTTCATGGTCACATGGAAGAGGGTCATTGTTGCGGTCATTTGACTTAACAATGTTGTACATGTAATCTGCCGCAGAATAGGTTTCTTATCCCTCGATGTGTGTGGCTTCAGGAGCTACTTCAGCGCTGCCGAATCTCGGCGAACCTAGACGCGGCAGTTAAGAGATGAAGAAGGTCGCGCTGCTGCGTTAAGCGATCGCATAGAATATCAAGGGACATCCCACTTTGTTGATGAATCTCAAGCGACAACAATGAGCAGAAGGCAGGACCTCGTGCCGTCAACGCACAACTCCCTCGACGTGCTAACGGAAATCTACAGAAATGAGGAGGCGTCGCTGCTCATACAGACGTACCCGTTGGAGGTGGTGAAGAGGGCTGTCGGAGAAATCACTGTGTGCCTGTCGGCCTTCACTCACTATGCAAGGGAGTACCGCGATACGCTTGCATTCTCACCGAGCGACACCAAGAAGCTTTTCAAAAACAAGCTGCTCATGGACTACTACGCCCTCTGCTACTTGTCGGGTTCCAAGAACTACTACCTCTACAATACGCACCGCATGAATCTGATCAAGGAGCTCGCCGTCACCCACAACGGGCTGTACGATGTCATCCCCATGAACGTCATCGAGCGCCTGTCGGACCAGGAGGCAACCTTCCTCAGAGATACGTGCAACGCCATCATTAAAACGCCCATGCCGGTGCGTCCGAAGAGCTATAGCATCATTGCGGTTCTCAAGGACATCGTCACCGACGACATCGCAGACAGGAGCAACCCCAATATGCGCTACTACCCCAAGGGCGCCAAGCTCACAATACCGACTGACATGGCGGAGCTGCTTGTGCAGTCGAATTGGATCAAGGTGATAAAAACAAACTTATAACGCACACCATGCTGTGCGTGTTGTACGATCCTATCGTTACGCCAAACCGATTAACCCCCAAAATAGGGAACCCGCTCGCACCCATTGGTGGTGCGCCAAAGCGGTCTTGTCGCACGCCTAAGTGACTGCTGTTAAATGATAATTCGCTACTTTGGGCTGGTTCGCCCAACAACTTCATGCCAAGTATTTCATGGGTAAACATTAAGCAAATTAAAATTGGCTGAGATCCCATTTCTACACAACGTTTCGTCATGTTTATACATGAAACGCGACATGTACTACGTTTCGCGAGGCCCGCTACGGGCCATTTCAGCGCGCCGTTAGGCGACTACAGGGAGGTGGCTCTGATGACAGTGGTGGCACCCGCTCTCTCGAGAAGCGAAGTGGTTCGAGGATACGAGCAAAGCACAACCCGTGAGCGATAACAATGTGTCCCACCAGCCCTCCACGAACTGGTGGCCGCACACTACCAGCGCAATGCCGCAGAGGCCCTGCACCAGGTAACGGCGGTTCTTGCTTTTGCGATAGTTGACAATCACGGACAGCAGCCCTAGGGGAATGACGCACGCTATCTCGACCTACAACCGATGGAATCTGGAAAACGGCTCCAAACAAACCACGTGAAAAACACTCTCATAGGCGTGAAGATTCTGGAACATGTCCAGCAGACGGAAGAGCGTTATCAGTACTGGAAGCACGACACAGTCTATCAGGCAGAGTAGTGCAGCGTAATTGAGCAGAAATACCCCTGCGCGGCGCAGCCTGAGCGTTAACAGCGAGCGAGGAGGCCAACCTACCGCAACTTCATCCATCCGAACGAACCGACGCGCAGATTCCACGGATCCAACTCCGAGGCCTCCATACCGCCGGCCGCCACATCCAAAAATGATACTGATGCTACGACAGTCAGAGCATGTGTCGCGAAAATGGGCGCGGCGCACCCGTACACGCCGCTTCGGTGACCGCGTAAACTACACACTAAAACAAAAAAGCTCGCTTATGGCGCTTTAAATTTAACCGTAAACTAGGCCTAAGGGCTAGACAAGCGAATAACGTACTAAAATGTGTTAACCCGCTGCCACAGGAAGAAGTTGCTGGTCATACCACGGCCAGCTGGGATGACGCCATACGCGGTCTGACGGCGCCAAAAAAGCACACACCTGGCATTTAACAAATAAGGTCGAGTGACTCCCTCGATATAGCACATAAATTCGTGCTTATTTTTGGCGCCTTCGATTTATGCGGCGCGGCTACGTGAGGCAACGCGGATTCCGCGCCCAGGCCACCTATGGGGTGGTAGCTCACTGCTTGTACTTCATTTAAAATCGCACCGGCCACTCACTCCGCGCACAGAACGGCCATATTTGAAAGTATTGAGAGACCCGAAGCTACGGAGTACAAAATGGCGAAGGAAGCGAAGAAGACAAAGAAGCAAGGTACGTACACTAGCTATACGGCCCATGATGTTGCCTTTTGCTACTTCTGAGCTTATGACGAAGTTACACCAATATTTACCGAGGCCAAACATACGGCTTAGCAAATCTTTTGACCGCGATTAATGCCACGTACAGATATCGCCGCTGTGGAAGGCAGCAACGCCGCCACGCCGTCTGAGTCCACCAAGGTTGCAAAGAGCAAAAAGGCGGACAAGAAGCGGTCGTGGTTTTCTTTCGGGACGAAGAAGGACTCAAGCAGCTCCGAAGACGAAACTCCCAAGGAAGAAGTGATGTCGAAGCCGGTACCCGCCCACCAAAGCTCAGACGAGTCAGATTCCGAATCGGACAATGACTTCGTCGTCGTGCCCAAGGGGAAACCGGTGAAACCAGCTTCTAAGAAGAACAACGCCAGCACTGATGCCGATAAGAAGAAGGGCAAAGATGTGGAAAAGTCAACCGATGCTAGTGTCTCTAAGAAGGCATCAAGCAAGAAAGCTGCAACGAAGAAGGAAGTGATCGCCGAAAAGAAGCCAGTCGATAGTTCGGATGATGACAGTGATGACGACGATTCAAGCGAAGAAATTGTACCTGCCAAGGTGGCACCAAAAGATGAAAAGGAGGCTGTGGCTAAGGCGGACGACGATTCTGACGAAGATGACAGCGATTACGGTGACAGTGATGATGAGGACAGTGACTCTGAGGATGACGAGGAAGAAGATGAAGACTCCGAAGAATCCTCGGAAGAGGATAAGAAGAGCGTTAAAGTTGACACGAAGGCCCTGAAAAAGGCCGAGGAAGAGAGTGAAGACTCAGACGAATCCTCAGATGACGAAGAAGTGCTGCCGGCGAAGACCGCCCAGAAGGTGGTGAAGAAAGAGGAGAAGAAACCAGCCAGTGACGACGATAGTGATGACAGCGACGATGAGAGTGATGACGAGGACAGTGATGAAGATGATAGCGAAGATTCGGAGGACGTGGTGATGGCGCCTGCCAAAACTACGAGCGAGAAAGAGAAGAAGGCCAAGGAAGAGCCGAACAACAAAATGGATGTGGACGAGGACAGCGACGACGATGACGATAGCGATGAAGATGACGACTCCTCGGATGAGGATAGTGATGAAGAGGATGAGAAGGAAGAAGATTCCGAAGAATCGTCGGAGGAAGAGGAAGAAGAGAAGGCAGGAAAGAAGGATGAAGAAAATGAAGAAGAAGATGATGAAGAAGACGAGGATTCCTCGGACGAAGAAATGGTGAAGCCAACACCCCCTCCCGCTGCCAAGGCACCGAAAGAAGCTAAGAAGCCCGCCAAAAACGCAGAGAAAGGAAACGGTTAGTTACAACCCAGCGTGACATTCATGACAGTGTTTATTGCATGATCCATGACTGTGAAACGCAACCGATGAACACTACATTTTACTATCGTCAATCCTGGGGTCTGCTATGATTAAAACTTTCCGAATGATCTCGTGATTAAACTATCGAGTGAAGCGATGAGCGAACCCATGCCATACAACACATTTATTATGCGTTTGTATTGTTCGTATTCTGCGTTTTAGCATCAGCGCCGGTCCAACGGTAGCCCGATATATTGAAACCCGTGGTACCGGCCAAACCCTGACGGCACTGTATTGATTTTCCATATTGACTACACGTGGCATTTTCACTGTGCTTATTTTGTTGCAGATATGTCTCCCGCCGACAGCAAGGGTGGCAGAAACGAGATTTACTGCGGCGGCCTGCCCTTCCAGATAACTGAGGAGGAGGTCAAGGAGCTTTTCGAGTCGGACTGCGGCCCAATCGTCCGTATCAACATTTTGCAACGCAAGGGTATTGCGTTCATCACGTTCGCCAGCGATGAAGCGGCTCAGAAGGCAGTTGAATACAACGACACCACCTACCAGGGAAGGTCGCTGAAAATCAACATCACGGCCGACCGCCCCAAGCCAGCGCGCCAGCAGGGCTTCGGCGAGCAAGATGACATACCTCAAAGCGGCACGGAAGTTTGCATTCGCAACCTGAGCTACAACTCTTCTGAGGAGGGCCTGCGCGAGCTGTTTTCCGAGTGCGGTGAGGTTGTGCGCTGCGTCATCCCCAAGTTCGAAGACACTGGCAAGAGCATGGGACGCTGTTTCATTGGGTTCGCAACTGAAGAGGCTGCAGCTAAAGCCGTGGAGTTCGACAACACTGAGATCGATGGCAGGACCGTCAGCATCCAGTACGCCCGCCCGAGAGCCCCTAGGGGAGACTTCCGCGGCGGTCGCGGAGGATTCGGAGGCGGCCGTGGACGTGGCAACATGGGAGGCCGCGGAGGTTTCGGCGGTAACCGTGGTGGTCGTGGCGGATTTGGTGGAGGCCGTGGACGCGGTGGATTTGGCGGAGGCCGAGGAGGATTCGGAGGCAACCGCGGTCGCGGAGGATTTGGCGGTGGTTCTGGAGAGTTCAAACGCAGAAACGATGGCGGTGGCTTCGAAATTGACGCTAAGAAACCCAAGTCTATTGTCTTTAACGACTCGGATTGAGGCACTCTCCCATATCAGGAAGGAAGAGCCTACCGTGGGAAATGTGAATTCACAATAATCCACAAAATTGCAACACCCCTCTTAATGCTGATTTAGGCAACTTTGAACTGACATTATATTACGTGCTCAACCAAACAGCGACCTGGCAGCCTTAGACTGGAAGGCGACAAACTACTCCGTTGTCTGTTGGCACACATTTGTTGCACCGTTTATATGGAATACTAGTACACATCCATCAGAAACATTCAGCTGGTGATTGTGAAGCGTAGTTTCACATATGTGCGGCCCTTTTTGACTCAATGTGTAGGCACTGCGTACCACGCCTGGCATGGACAATGACGAAAGGGCGATGACAATAGATAATGGAGAGGACCAAGGTCTGGTTCTGCCACAACGCCTGGATGCTGTGGGTGTTTGGGACGGGAACCAGGCTACTGTCTTCCAGCACCGCGGTCCCGTATTCCACAAATTAGCAACGGCCAAGCGCAAAGGTGTACTTATGCTCACGACTGAGGAGACTGTATATGCCTTGCTAAGAACGAAATTCGCCCTCCTACATGAGGATACGCTGGAGAGAGCAACGGCAGAAGAATTACTCTGCGGAATAGTAGCCGCCAGAGAATTCGAACGGCTCCTCAGGGTACATGTCTACCTTGCAGTTATCGCTCAGGGTAAAGTGATTGAAAGAATACCAAGAAATGCCGACCCCGTCAAGTTGAATTGCCCATTGGAATGCGCCGATGGCGACGAACAGCGGCAAGATCAAGCAGCGGCACATGCATCGTACCGTACAAGTGATCCTTCACTGCATGGAGGGACACCACCGGATCTGGATGAGGCAATAATCGGCACCCTTGCAAACAATCCGCAGCACACTGATAAAGATTATGAACACACCGGCAGTGGATATCGCACATCAGCAGCGGAATCTACTGCGCCGCAGACGCAACCCTTATCCGCATCCCCTCCTTGTAGCCAAAATTTGACAGAGGGGAAACCTTGGCCAGCTACAGGAAAGCTGAATGATGTGTTACAAAGAATAGAACTTGATGGTGCGAAGTGTATGCCGCATGAACTCTTGCAAAAATTCAGAGAAATATGCGGGACAATATATCCGGTGGAGCCTGTAACGATCTATACCCCCATTTTCGCTATTGAGGGGACACCGGTATATGCGGTTACCGCCGATGCTACATGCTCCAACTTGCTAGGAAGCAGTGCGACCGCTAGCGCGTTTAACGTTAGGTGCCCCGATGATGGATTGTGCCTCGACGCATCGAGCAATGACGTCATAAAGGACCATTGTGAAACGGAGGCTGTTGACAAAGATCTGGGCCAAATATCGCAGTGCGAAGAACAACAGCCAGGTGTTGAAAACAGCCATAATGGCTGCATCACGGATGATGCAGGCTCTGAAGGAGCCAATGGGAGATGCATAGTAGCGGTGTCGAACTTCGACACCGTGTACTTCCTCGACCTAAAAAACAATATAACATATTAAAGTTATGTTGCGATCAACTGTGAATTTATTCGCCGGGGGTAGGCGGGGTGCCCGAAGTGCCGGAATCATCGGGGTCGGAGAGCCCAGGGAAGCTGGCGGTTTTACGGCGCAGCTTACTTCCGTCAACTCTGCCCTGCTTCGCATCGATTTCCATGCCTTTCAACTCGTCTACTAGCTGTTTAGGCAACTTCCTAAATACAACCTCGGTCCAAAGCCCGCTGTAGAAGCGGTGTTCGCGGTCGTTGGCACCAAGTTGAGGGGTGAGTGGAGCCATGCCCGATTGGTAGTCGGCGGCGCGGTTGAACTCCGCCTCTTCTTCCGGTACTGAGGGTTCGCGATAGAAAACACGCTCCATCATCGGTGGTTTGCCTTTGAATTCGCCTCTGGGCGTAGCGGGGTGGCGCGCAACGCTGGCGCAAAGATCGGCAACTTCACCCGCTTCGCCGCTGCGAATTCCGAAGTATTCTCGCACGTGTGCAGCCTTGTCAGATGCGTCCGATAGGTAGGGGATGACTCCTCCGTCACCAAGCCGCTGAGAAAGCGGTCGGCCAAAAACAACCGACAGTGCATGCCGCTGGATGCTCATTGCGTGTTCCAACCCACCGGGTTCACGCAGTGCATCCAGGTCACGACGACGACCATAGAAGTACTGGTCGCGGCGTATGCGTTTCATGCGATCGCAGTGACGGTTCTTTCCGTAAAGGGGCGCACGAAGAGCTGGTAGCGTTCTCAGAATGGGGGCGTCACACGCACGCCGGAACGCGTAACCAGTGGACCATTGACTGACCAAAAGAGTCACCCCTGCGATAACCCAATGCAACATATACAGTCGCATCATGGAGATGATGTGATACGACCCAGAGGGTAGCAACAATGGCGAGTGGCCCGAAGAAATGGACAGACCTATAGGCGAAGCACACCGTTGACCTACACACGGTGCAGTAAAATCACACGTACTTAAAGTTTTTCACCTCTGCAAGCGACTCTTGGAACGAAGCAGTGGGCACCAACTCATAAGTGGCATCAACCACATTCGCCTGCTGCACTCGTGACTTTCCCCGAAGGCCGATGTAACGCAGCTGTACGGGCTCCTCCCCAGAGAAGTGTAAAGCCAAGTCGGATATGTCTTTAAACTTGGCAAACGACAACTTGTGCAAGAAAGACCCATGCGCATCGGGCGGAAGCTCCAGTTCCTGGGTAGGGGTCACGGCCTCTACGTCGCTGAAGTCGAAGTGTTGCCTGTTAGCGTACAGCCTCAAGTGCAGTACTTGTGTTGTGTCGTTAACCACCAAAAGTTGTGCGATGTCACACGGGTTGTAAAATCGGAGTGTGAATAACAGCTCGTCGTCGGAAGATGGGTCGCTTCGCAAAGTCTCCCCGGAAAGACGATCGTTGTACGATTTGAACACCAAGCTGCCGCTCTCGGGGCTCGCGTCGCTGTTGAACACCCTCACGCCGTCCAAATCAATTTGGCTGCGCAAACACGCCGCGCTGGTGCCAAGCTCATGTTCCGCCTTGCAGCCGCAACCAGAGAAATGCATCTTCGCCTACTAAGAACTCACATCCGCGCAGGAAGATGCGACTCTGCACACGTTACAGTGTAATAGCTCATCTGCTTCAGTATAGAGAGTATGTGCGGACAATATCCCCCCGCAATGGCTTGAGCAAAGAGGGGTGTGCCTTGCGGCAATGAGACAGGCGCGTATCGGCCAGTAACTCGGACAAGGGGCAAAGATGGCAAATCAATAGTTCCTAGGAACACCAAATAAGCCAAATGTGGCAGACGGCGCCGGAAGTTACCAGCAGCACGCGCAAGCACGAGCGCGCCACCTCCGATGTTATGGTGTGACGGTGTAAGTAGCGTGATACAGATCCATCTGTATGATTTGTGAAATCAACACATTGATACAATAATAGTGTACACCAATTAATGATTTAATCCTCAGGTAGCCACTGTGTGAGAGTTATCACACTGGAATCACAAGGCAACCAACAGAGTACCCTTTAGTGCACAAGGAGTGGAATAGGAGATTAAATGGAACATCGTGAATTTATATCTGACTATGTCAGTTCCTATTCTGATGCGGAGGATTGCCCACAGTCCAGAGAAGTGGAACATCTCAACAACGTCATCACACGCCACAGCGCAAACCGCGTGCCGAATGAGGGCAGCATAAAAATGCGCTCTCCACGGTGGATGTACACCATGCTGATGTGTAGGTAAAAGGAGGGTGGAAGACTCCGGTTAGTAATGTGATCCCTCAATACCGCAAAAACGCGGAATTCACCGAAACTCCCGAGGTGTAAAGGTATATCGGGCATAAGGTTTAGCGCCATGGCGGGCCATCTACCGTGTGGTATAAAGGCCGTGATGGCATGCTTGTATGCCTTCCCCTTCACGTACCTACTGGCTCTCCTCATAACACGGTTGGCTCCATTCGACGGTGCTGGGATCACGCAGCTCATACGAAGCGGTCTCTGCACCAGCAGTTTTACGCAAGACTGGGTGGGGGGAGTTTGGAGCTGTAAGGGTGCGAAAGGCGCGAAGGACGGTTTAATATATTTCCAAGATGTGTCATTCTTCACGGACGGTGGGGTCACCGGGGTAACGCTGGTGAGAACCACCAAAACGAAGGATGGATTTACGGTGGATGAGTTATCCGGCGTCACACATGCCGCGTACGAACTCATTCGAGTATGTCAGAGGCTTGAGGAGCCGCTAAAACGGCAATCCGACACAAATACGCACGGCCTCAACCTGCTCAGGGATGTATGCCCCTTTTTAGAGGCGCATATCGCTAGAAACATGCCGGACAAAACCCTCGTTGGTCACACGGATGACACCTGGGAACTTGTTCACGTGCTACTGTCCAGTGTTGGCAATGTTAAGGGAATGGCCATGACCGGCTTTCTATCGCGATTGGAACTCGCCCACGACAAGGAACGCACATCTGCTAAACAAAGGGCCGGCGACCAACACATCATCAACATGCTGCGTCCGGTCGTCATGTACTTGGCGGAACATGCGGAGCACCGCCTTCCTGCGGAAAAGATAACCTCCAATAAACTTATAAAGATGGAGTCGCCACTATCCCATGTGGCACAGTATGCCATCCCGACATTTTTAGCACCCGGGATCGGAGTTGCAAAAGAAACTGTGATTAGGCTGTTGTCCACGTTTCCAGAGGCGGCTGCCATGTTCGTATTCTCCGTGCAGCAGAAACTGGCTGACTACCCGCACCTGGAGGCGGCAACCATGGACGACAGGCTAGTCTTGCTAGGGATTTTTATTGCCAACCTGCAAGTCATGACAACGACGACGTTTGACTCGCTTGATGAGTTCTCGAAAATCGCTTCGAAAACAGGCGTGGACTGGAAGAGGAGGGGCCCCCTCGACGAATTTTGGGATCTCGTCGCTAAAGACAAGCGATCGAGAGCCTTTGTGTTTAATATGTTTAACAGAGCAGCACAGCTCACGGTGGATCCGGGATTCTTCGACGCGATGACATACAACATCGACATCGCCACCAGGGTCACGGATCATGTATTGGCCACATACGGCCTGAAGGCCGACACACCACTTGAACGGTCAAATCTGATCGAGAATGTAGTCTACCACATGGTACAAATGTGCAGGTTCTGCGTTGTTGACGCGGACAACACGGGCGAGCTGTCACTCGAGGAATTCATCGGTACACTAATGAGCGAAGGGGACGCCGAGGTCTTCAGAGAACACGTGAGCCAGGTGTCCGACCAACAACAGAACTTGTTTGTTCACTACAACTTCGACTTTATCAACGGGCGAGCTAAAATGGCCAAGTTGCACAACCGGAAAGCCCTCGAAGCGATCAACGAAAAGTACAACGAAGTGCTAGACACCTTCATGATCGTCGACACCAACGGGTCGGGGGAGGTGTCCCTGGAAGAGTTTCTTCAACACGCGTATATTACTACTCCGCTAACAGCGCTCAACATGACTCGATGATTGGCGCGGGAACACACACTAGGGCATGCCCGCAGAAACGGTGCAGGCGTGCCCCTCCGGTGAAAGTCGCATTGTATTCTAGATAAAAGAAACCCATGTAATAATATAGTAATGCACGTGTAATAACGCAGTTATTCATATCAATGCAAATTGGTTAAAACTGGTTGAGCGAGAGGAGAACGGCGGCTTTGCACATCGCGCCTACACATTCAGTTGAGCTACCAGCGCAATCAGGGATTTCGCAGCCTACGAATCGGGGTCATAGTAATCTAATAATACGTATAAACGTCCGAAACGCGGTCAACCTCGGATGCTTGGGTCAAACTGCCCAAAAGTGCTACGAGAAGAGTCGGAAGTACAAAAGACAGGAATTCCACTGATGTCTATCTCCAAGTCGGATCCGCTTGCTCATATGGTCTTCCACTGGTATGGTGGACTCGTCTTCGGCTACTCTCCCCAACGGATTGCCGAGCAGCTCCCAGTTATCATCAACCAGATCCAATAAGACGCAGGGGAGCGTGAAGGCGCAACGGCAGCAAGATAACTCCGATGACCTGCAATTAGTCAAGCATCATCTAGGAATCAATCGCACGAGAGTAAACACGCAAGACATAGACGTAATATTAGAAGAAAATGCAAAGCTAATACAGCAGTTGCGACATCCGCACCTGAAGAAGGACAGCCACCAGTACGTGCAAATTTTTGCGCAGCTACAGCGCAACCTCGTGCTTATCGCAAGGCTTGCTGACCAGCCCAGGTAGATTAGCCTGAGGTCAGAAACAGGCAGTGACTGATGTTGAAATTCCAAACATCAAACTGAATTTGACATTTTTATTTGTCATAAAGTTTTAGCAAATACAGATTTTTAACAATTTAACTTTTCATTTTCAATTTACCATTTTTAAAGATGTTCAAACCTGAGAATCACTTCATGACATGCATGCAGCTCCTGACTAACCTGCAGTTGTAGGTCAGGTAGTGGACTTGTGCACCGACTTTGGGGGCAACTGGCTTTCTACAAAAGTGGGTTAGGCGAATCATCCTACTCGCGCTTTGATGGAATCACGTCAAACCAAGCACCGGGAATGTCGAAACATCTACCAGGTAAATACCAGCTGACAACTAAAGAATGGAATCACACTATAATATTGAGGGATACGTCTAGGCGACATTTGCCAGAAGGTTGCGATATAATCTCAAGAGCTGATAATGCGTAGCATGTGTGGTAGAGGTCGACGGCCTTGCCGGGCTTGTCGCGGAAGCCGCCGGAGGGGAACTGCGAAATGCACAGAATGTAGGCTTGCAACATCAAGTAGCTCAGGTTGAAGGGTTTGTCAGCCGAGTCATCCAGCAATGCGAGAGTGCCACCGATCCAGAACGCGTAGCACACGTCAACAAGCTTGTGAGGTCGCCCCTGGAAACCCAGCTGAGGAGTTTGGCGCAGATGGCACCAACGCCGCAGGCGCGCAACATCTATACAATCCAAGCGATTTAGCAGCTTGAGCGCGGAGGTGCCGCAGTAGACATATCCGGCGTGGGACTCCAAGAACGGTTCGCCAGAAATGCCGCCGTCGTAGCCCTGGCAAGCAGCGACGCGAGCCGCGACGCCCTCGGAAAGTTCATCGTCCAATATGCCTGCCATTGAAGCGGATGCAATGGCGCAATAAAGGCCGCGCACGTCGCACTCACCGCCAAGGTGGACGCTGAAGCTGCCATCGGGTTTTTTCATGGCAAAGAGGAACGAACGCAATTTGCCCGTGTCCAACAACGGCAGCGCATTGAGCATCTTCAGGCAACATATTGCGGCGTAGGTAGTGGCCAGGTGCCCGATTTGGCCTCGACCTCCGCCAAATCCTCCACCCTTCTTATCCCAGCACCCAAACAATGTTTTGAGGGCACGTTCACGGTAAGGTGATATGTCAACGCCAAGTATACGCAGGCTGTGGAGCGACCAGTACACGATCCACGGCTCCGAGCAGTTGAGGTGCTCCAGGGGGACCGTCCGGGCGGGGCCACATAGAGTAAGGTGCTTGGCTATATACTTAACGTGCACCTCCCGCTGCAACGGCGAGCTTTCGCATGCCACATGCCCAATCCTTCGCAGAAACATGGTGCCATGGTCTTTCGAATTGAGACGCACGGTGCCGTCGGCGATGCTGAAGTCGCTCAGGATGGACAATACCAGCCGCGCGGGGCGGTAACGCAACAGCGGCTCCACAGCGATACTCAGACATGGCGTACCATCGTATATCGGCGGCTCCGATGCAACACTACCTTCAAGGTGTTGCATTAAATAGCGAAAGAAAACCGATGAATACAACACCATGCAATCACGCTCCACGAGGAACTGCGCTTGGAGAGATTCCGACATTTCATCACTCAAACGGCGAGCCCCCTGGGCGTCGCAACCCCGGCATACATATGTCATGTAACTGGCCAGTAGCTCCCCTCCATCCTTGCAAAGAATCGAAGATTCATCTGCAGACAAATAAGAGACAAAATGCAGGTGAAGTAAAAAGCGACGGCACCATGTATGGGCCAACTGACTTGCATATAACATACGAATACAACATATACATATGTCGATATGATTTCTACATGTTGGCCCCAAGGAAATGGGTAAATTATATTACAGATCATGCGCACCTATGGCCCATAGGGGATATAAAGGTTCCTAAGCTAGGCATAGTTTCTGTATAAGAATACATAACAACGAGGCAAACACAGAAGATAGTTCACAGCATAGAATCTCAAGGGTAGAGTGACTGTGGAGAGATGGACATTGAATGTGCGAGGAACCATGCATTATAAACACCCTCGCTTTAACTAACCTTCAGATAGCATGATCGTGCCATCATCAGATACCTGTTAGATGTGAAACGCGCGAAATATAACCTACCTCTCGTGAAGGGGAGCCGACTGCGTCGATGCTGGCGCAGCAGGATTCCAGCCCAGACACAACGTCGCGAGCACGACGGATCATACGATCGTGGATAGAATCCATCCTTAAATTCCCGTCAAATCACCGTGTCATCCTCAATTCTATGCGTGCGAAGTATGAGAAGAACGGGGGCGCGATGCGTCCCACCACGTCATGTCACCTCTTCAAGGATTCCCTATAGTGAATGTTAGACGTAACTATCACACCCCTGGCAGGTGTATGGAGACAATGAACTTATGTGTAACATGATCGCTGATATGTGCGACCGTTATCGCGACGTAATTTGGTAATGATAAACGTTCCTTCTAAATCCGGGCGGCAGGTTCTAATAGGGTGCATATACGTGTGATACACGTTGATTGTCGTTTTCCCATACACAAGCATCCATATGAAACACTATAGAAGACGTTGGTGCTTAATGTCGTATCCGCGGCCTCGGCACAATGGGCAACTTGCCTGTGCACCTGCCCAAAAAATACGCAACTCATCGTGTCACCGCCAATTGCACACATAAACGTATCGTGAAGGCGGTACGTAGTACATGAGTGATATGAACCGTACCGACACAGCTAGCTTCAAGGCCCGCATGTGGCCGCCGCACCTATACCCGGCAATCAACCATGCAACCACAGTAAGACAGCGAAGCAGCCAAACAACGAAGCGCTCGGTTTCCGTGAATCCCGCACGATGTAAACAGCAGGAAAATGCCGCAGTGCGGCGCAAGTCGTTCACTTGCTCTAAGGATGAGCAAGTCCTGCGCAGCATCACCGACATTATCGGCTTCGTCGAAGATATGAACACTACAAAAAAGAGAGATATCAGTAGTGACGACAGAAGCACATGTGACTCTCCATCTGCTATTAAAGACCAGCTGCCTGCATCGAACCTCGTAAAATTGCTCTCTGCCAGGCTGCATGAGTTAAGCAAACTGCACCAGTACAGACAGGCAGCTAAATCGAGATCGGTGAACTCGGTTAATAATAACATGAATGCAGCGGAAATTGTCGCAACACATGGAGCTGCCAATGATACTGCGCTGAGTTATTGCGGTGCGGGTGGAGGCCCATTGGCTAACGGGAAATGGCACAATACTGGTCACACTCAGCAGTGTTACGCGGCAAATATGGCGTGGCCTTATAGTGCCGCAACTTTATACAAACGACCGGTAATTAACATATCTGCCGCCAAAGCGGACGCGGCGCTCATAAAGGAGGCTGCAAAAAGACTGAGATGGGATACATGCGACGTAGGAACAGGGGGCGATATATTCTGGTTCTCCAACTGCTTCACGGAGCGGATGCTCAAAGATCAAAGCAAGCTTCTATTTGGAGTCACATACAAGAAGGTGACCATAAACCGATTTGCAAACATACAGGCAGCAACAAGGAAGTCGTTGTTTGCATGCCTCACAGATATCTACGTCAGGTACACAGAAGACGACCCGTGTCTATACAGTTTAGCAACTTGCCCAAAGACATACCTCTTTCCCAAATGCAACAAAAAAGTCCTGAGCGAGATGCGAATGGGTATCCCGATGATACTCAAACCGTCAGCAGGCTCGATGGGAAACGGTATTAAGGTCGTCACAAGCCCCGAGCGGATACCACAGACGATAGCAAGGGGGGACAACTACATTTGTCAAGTGTACATCGCTCGTCCGATGCTTCTAAATGGTCGGAAATTCGATTTCAGGTTATACGTGGTTATAACCAATATCGGGGGAGGGTTCCACGCGCTGCTCTCCACCCTGGGAATCGCCCGCGTCTGTATCCATCCCTACCAGCTGCCAGACAGCTATAACTGTAATGATAAGTTCATGCATCTCACGAACTATTCGATTAACCGGCACCATGCACGGTTCCAGAGAAGTGCGGACGTTGACGACAACGCAGGGCACAAGCGCACGCTGCGGTCGGTGCTCGACACCCTCAGCAAGACCCACGGCATCAACAGTAATGACGTATGGGAGCAAATGGTCACAGTAAGTGAGTCGGCTGTATCGACACTCTACCCGACTGTGCAATTAAATGCGGATCACACCGATGCCTACAGCTTCCAAATCATGGGACTGGATGTGCTCCTCGATGAAAATGGTAAAATGTGGCTCTTGGAGATTAACGCCAACCCGAGCCTACAATACATGTACCACGACAATAACGCCGTCAAATACGATGTGGTTGATCAACATGTCAAAGTCTCGCTTGTGGAGGAGTGTCTAAAGTTGGCGCACAGGCTGCGCTGCGGAAGCACACGCAAACTTGAGCTGCAAACGTGGATAGAGCTTCGCGTGCGCATACCACCGGAAATAGGCGAGGTTACGGCACTGTTCGCCGAATACAAAAGCAAGTATAAGGAGGAAGACATACATTGTGACGACTGGTTACGCTTCTGTAAAGACAACGGTCTGACAGCGGCGTTGCAAGATTCCATCCAAAGTCAGCACAAAAACAAAGCAAATAATGGCAAAATTGACTTGCAAGAAACAAAAAAGATCATGAAGAACATATTCCTACGCACGCACACACGCCGGAAGGTGAACGGGTTTCCCGAATTTCTCAGTCACATGGAAGCCATTGCGTTGTTTATTTTCAGGCGAATGAAATACCAAGACTCCTCACACCTGGGAGCGGAAGTCGAAACACAAGCGCAGACAGTAGATTCGCAAAACCGGAGACGCGACCACCACAACCTACGCCCAGCGGCTTGCCTCCGCAAACTGGTAGACCACATGCAATTCTACACAGACTTCAGAGTCTAGGATGAGTGTGACCCCGGATATCTCCGAAGCGCTTGAGGGCGTCTCAGAAGAAGACGCACGCCTCATTGCCCATCTGACGTGGCTTTACGGAGGATATTCCATGAGAAGCAGGAATAAATCGGTTACGCCAACAGACGATGACGATGAATCCGATATCTCGCCCAAGGTCACACACAGTAAGACAAAGGTGCAACCTGCGAAGACTGAACGAAGCGCTACGAACAAGCCATCACGTCCGAAAAAAGACGAAAAGAAGACAAGCAGCAGGAAGCATGAAAAACAACAGACTCGTAGTGTAGATGATGCTAAAATCGCAGATGTGACAGAATCTCTTGCAGTTGGAAATGTAGACACGAAGAAAAAGGAAGTAGACACCCCACTCAACGCAGCACCAAACGGTGGAAATAGTGACATCAACTCACAAAGTACAGAGGCCACGGAGACGCCATCGGGCACTGCCACGGATGTGTTAAATGACGAGTACTACTACGGCTACTTTTTGAGGGGAAAGGACACGATGATTTTGGACCGCAGAAGGCCACGGTGGGCAAACGGACTTACTCTCAAGGATAAGGTCAACAAGTTCTTTGAGTCTGGCGTCGCCACTCGCACCGAAATCTGCGATGGAACTCCGACAACGCTATCCATTTGTAACCAATTCGAACTGTCTAACCACGAGGCCATGGTCGCCGATGTGGACCGTGTACATTACTACCGCGCCGCCATCTTCTGGTCCGGATACAACGACAGTGATAATGAAGAAAGAAAATCAACGAAGTATACACTCGCACAAACGGATTTTGAAACAGATGTGCAAAACCATTCGAGTAACTCCGAGGCTGGGGCTGGAGAATCCGTCCAAGAGGATACCAACTCCTCGTATCCCACTACAAGGTGCAACTCCGGTGAATTAAGCCCAAACAGTCCGATAAAGAGTTATTGCGCAGGCAAAAGGGTTCTTGAAATCGGAACGGGTCCTATGTGTGTCCTTGCAATGAATGCGCTGAACGCCGGCGCCAAATTTGTGGACGCACTCGAAGTATCCACCAGCGCCGCGAGACTCGCTTCTAAACTCATGGCAGCATACGGCGTAGCCGACAAAATAAGGGTGTTCAACTGCCATTCAAAGAACTTCTTTTTCGACGCGGCCTCCTTCTTCGGACTGAAGCGAGAGGACTACGCAGGGATGACGGAAGTCGATCTCCCAGCCAGTCCACCGTACGACATGATCATCAGCGAGATCCTTGGTGACTTCTGCTCGCAGGAAGGTGTGGCTGACGTGTTCTTGGACATGCAGCGACGCGTATTTTTCAACAAACCCGAATACCTAAGCAAGGTTAAAAGCATACCCACCGCAGCCGCGACAATGTTCGTACCGTGCGTGTTCCCAGACGCAGACAATGTAGTAAACAAGGCGAGCCTTCACGATGAGATGACTATTTTCAGCCCCACTCTGAAAATGTTGCAAAGCGTGGGACTGCGAATTGACAACCTGCCGCTATGTGAGCCATGGCAGGTGCTCGAAGAACTGCGCTTTCAGGAGTGGATGCAGCCACAAATGTGCCAGCACTTCGAATCCGCTTTCGCTATCACCAGCTCCGGGCCCATGTGCGGATTCCTGATTGGAATCGATGTCGAAATCAGACCTCACGAGCACTTCGGCACGAGGTTTGGGCACTGCGAGTCCTGGTACTCGAACATACTCCTATACGAAAAGGAGTACATGGTGTATGCCGGTGATGTTGTTCTAACAAGAAGCATCGCAAACCTCACCAATTACGTCTCTGCCAGTTGTCTCGGCGATAAAATTGACGTGTCGAGGCCGTCGTACTCCATAAGGTCGTACATCCTCAGCCCAGTGAACCCCGACGACTGGGATGTGGAAGACAACGAAGTTTTCAACTACACGGAACCGTTCGAGTCGAGACCTATGAAATGCCCTTGCATCGATGACGCCGCACCGGAACCCGTCACAAAAGTTACAGTCGCTGCCCTTTCACAACTTAGTCGAGATGTTGTCAACAGCCAGTGCTTAGATGCGGAGGATTGGCTCAGCAACCACCAGTGGGTGCGCATCGGGGATGACCTCTACAAAATCAGGATTCGCCCACCGCCAATAATAATCGACTACGATGAGCAAACGTCGGCCAGCTTCGGCCAGGTGCCGTCAGGCAAACGGAAATTACCCACGGACCCTCCGAGGCGGTACAAACTGGTGAAGCCCAAACCGTGACAGAGGTATGCAGTAAACTCAAGAGGCCTGCAATATCAAATATTCTGCGCGTTTGCAGCGACTGGCCTCCAGAGAGTCAGCAACAGTACCATATTTAAAACGAGGCTAATTTTTAGCGACAACATTTCATGCGTGTGGCTTATGCATTCCCGGCGGTCCGAATAGAACTCCCGCATCTCACTTGTTGCGAAGACGCTCAGCACTCTGATGCAATTTCCTCGCGATACAAAGTAGCACTGAGACACCCGTAGTTGTCACTCGACGCGTGAATATTGGTCATGTGCCCATGATGCCTTGTGATAGTTTCGTCAAATGGTGCACGGTCGTCTCGCTACTCCTTGTCCTGAAAACGAATAACAAATTAGATCCATCACGTTCAACACCTCCAGAACCTCAACTGCGCCCCAAGAATATGTCACAATCTGAATATATGCAATGGTTAGTGCGAACTCAGAGACTACGGATGTTCCAAGCGCCACAAAGGAACGTAACGTGTCACCCCTAAACTAAAAAAGCACGCATAATACGATAATACATTGAGTTGTGCCAGTTGTAAGCTCCACTACTTGCGGATAGTGTGGACAACAGTCAGAACCACGAAAATCATGAAAGTAGCCGCGTGGTTGTGATAGTTGATCAGAGCCTCGGCGTAAGGGGTCGCAGGGTCAAATCCTCCTATCTGCGTTCTCCATCTCTGTGGAGCGTCCGCCCTGCACGAAATGACTTGGTTATCAAATATCGAACTTACTGCGCCGGGAAATGCCTTATAGACGGGATTTGAAGCCTGCTGCGTATATGCTGCAGCAAGCTCTTGCGGCTGCCACCGTTGCTGGCGCCGCCGTCCGACATTGCAATTAAAAATAATTGGTAAAGCTTATACCCCGTGAAAGTGACGCTTTCATAGGGTATGAAGCGCCAGAGCGAGTCGTTCGACGACGCGACTAGTGGGGACGCACATTTGCAAATAAGGGTCGTAAAGGGTCTTATGTGTATGATTTTACGTGAAATACAATTGAAATAACGCGTGTTGTGAGTCAAGCTCGTTCCTGTGCTGTGTCGTGTCGGTGGTACAATGTTTCATAGCGAGCATCTCATGTCATTAATGTAGGCATCTCGTTTTTTTGACTTATAGTAGTCCCTATACAGTGAGCAAAGACCATCAATGTAGATGTAGTTATCAGCAGGTCATCTTTCCTGTGTTATTAGTGGCGGCGATGCTATCGCTGTCTTTTATTTATTGCTGGAGACGTGCAAAAAATGAGCATAGGGCCTTGCGTGTCGAGTGAACTGATTATATGAAATCAGCATAAACACAGCAATCATACGGAATAAAGTATGGTGGCAGCGTGTGACGCGTATTCATCATCATGGAGCACAACGCAAAGGACACGCTAGGCCTGTTGTGCAACATGATGTATGACGACATTCATCAGGCTGCACCGATACGTATTCTATGATGTGGAGGCCCCTTTAGTGTCACATTTTTGTTCATTTGGCGTATATCACACTTCTATGCTGCATGAGCTCAGATGCCTCTAAGGAGGCTGCTGTGGCAATTGAGCTGAAACCATGCCAGAACAATTATTCGTGGCACATCTAACAGCGATTGAGCTGGTGGGAGCTTGATACGTTATACAGGGGCCTGTCTGATCACCGGGGACGCTAGTGAAGCAGCACGGTGAAATGCCATTGAGCAGTCCGACATCGATATCACAGCATTGAAGACAAACATGCAGTGGAATTCTGGGCAGTATGATTCAACACTATATGTACCTGAATGCAACCGAAGGTGGGCAATGACGCTGTTACAACGAGAACGCCCTTATGTCTATAAACTGACAAGAGTGATAAAATATCCTTTGCGGCGTAAAATACGCACTTCCGCGCGTTTTACAGTTGATTGGTATGCAACAATTGCTAGAAGTTGTTTGTCATGTGAGTATCCACAACGAACTCATAACTGTTAAAAAATCGGAACATAGCTCTACATCGCAGACGAATGGCTGCAGCTATATTATACAAGAGGTCATAAAGACGCCCACTATCGCGTGTTGATGTGATTACTTAGAACCATTATGCTAGACGGCGAAATAAAATTGAAGGAAATCTACGATGCGATATTAAGCTTTGCCAAATCAGACTACCTTACACCGTATAGGTTACAAATGACCGATGATGGATAAATTAGTTTCATTGCGTTCTTATGTTGAAGATAACATCACATACGAATAACACATTTACGAAAAGGCGACGGCAAAGATAGGCCAACGCCAACCTCACGACTTGTCGGCAACAAAGAACAACCCCTGGATGTTAGCAGGTTTTACTTCATATGCATTAAATTTAGAAAAGTGGCGGGTAATCTGACGGTAGAATCCCGTTGCTGAGAAGGTCAACAATGCCATCTGAGGCACCGATGGTTGTCTGGCGGTGGAGCATAGTGAATTGTAAGATCATAAGATTATTATCAGTAAATAGCTACGTTGCGATAACACATGAACAACTAAATCACTGCGATGTGTGAACCTATTAACAAAGTTGGCGCGATCATACTTGCGAAAGTTTCGTGCCGTCCTCCACTAAGCCAAATAGCGGATACGGAATAACAATTGCGCCGTAGCGATGAAATCAACTAACCAGTTTAGGCGTACCATATAGTGTCGGTGTCTATATTGTCGAAGATTCTCAATGTGCGCTAATTTTAAAGCACGACGTGGTAAGAACGCACAAAATGAAGTGCGCTTCTTGCCTGGTGGAGCGTCCAGCTCTTAGGAGATCAGTTAATAGGCTGCCATATTGCAAAAAATGCTTCGTCGAGGCTTTTGAAGACGAGGTGTACCAAGTGATCCAAGAACAAAAACTCATTGAAGATGGAGATGTTGTTTGCATCGGAGTTTCAGGAGGCAAGGACTCATCGGTACTAGCACATGTTCTTGCCACTTTAAAAGAGCGATATAAACGAAATTGGACGCTAGTGTTGCTTGCTGCCGACGAGGGAATTAGGGGATACCGTGATGATTCGCTCAATGTAGTGATGAACATGAAAAATCCCAACTACAATGAGTTGATGATTCTGAACTTCAAAGATAGGTTCGGATTTACGATGGATGAAATAGTAGCACTGATCGGCCAAAAGAACAACTGCACAGTATGCGGCACCTTCCGTAGACAAATTCTAGAAATCGGTGCAAGGCTACTTGGTGCCAACAAGCTCTGCACGGGACACAACCTGGACGATAATGCGGAGACCACACTACTTAACTTTTGTAGGAACGACCTGTTTAAACTTGCCAAGAGCCTAAACGAACGAGAAAATACATCCATCGCAGCGGATCTGCCTTGCGAACATAATGCAGAATCTCGCCAGCACGAAGAATCAAAAGTAAACAACGCCAATGGAACGCCATTTACACGCATAAAACCCATGATGTATTGCTATGAAAAGGAAATTGTGATGTACGCTCGATATCTGAAACTGGAGTACTTCTCCACGGAATGCTCGTATGCACCGGAGGCATACAGGGGGTATATGAGAACATTCATCAAACAATTGGAGGCTGTGGATCCACGGATTATACAGAACATTGCCCACTCTTCACAGCATTTATATGCACATTATCCAACTAATCGGCAGCTTAAAATGTGCAAAAAATGTGGCATAGAAGGTTTAAATGATCTCTGCAAGGCTTGCATAACCGTAGAGAAGTTGTCATCTCTTGCAAAAAAATCGCAAGGTCAGACGAATACTTGGATCTAAATGTTATTATACATACAAAGTTGTTCATAATTAAGTCGATATTATGACGGCTTACGTTCTATGATCATGCGGTATTGCTTATTATACGTGTCACCGTAAAGGCACGTCTCACCCTGCACAGATGGCTAATGCAAATTAGCAGTACAAATACACTCAGAACATCTCTGTAGAGGTTAATTCAAGTTTGTAGGCCTTTATTGCAACTTGTAAATCCTCCCCCCCCCCCCATCGTAAACTTTGGTGAACTTTCCCTAGATATGCATTGATAGTTCACCATAAAACAGGTTGTCTGTTAATTAACAACATACCCAGTGGCCGAACGTACTCCCCGACAATACGCAATATGTTTTGTTACGTGTTACCTCTTTAATAAGTATGCCGGTATATTCTTATTGACGCATACGGATAGCATGAATTAGGGTGAGACAGGACGACCGGCATAGGCACGTCGCACCCGAACTTCAGTAAACAAAAAAGTGGTAAAATACAACTGACATCCCTCGCACTCAACGGTGCCACATACGGTTGTAATAACGAACACGCAACCAATGTTGTGCGAAGACAGTTCAACCTACAGGCTAACTTCAAGGTAGTACCCTAAGTAATGAGTGACATGAAACCCAGAGAACATTAACACATTGTAAATGACCGTCGCATGCATACATGATGACGCCCAGGCGTATTAGACTAAATATGCTTGGCAACAGTAAGCCGTAGAACATCCAACCAGCACCGATAGGGTGCGGTGCATGAACTATGAAACGCAACTAAAAGCAGCCCGTGACAAACGCAGAGACAGTACAGTACACAATTCGAAGCAGAGCTATCTAACAGTGTGGATGGTGTGGGTAAGTGGTTGAGTGTGACAGCCACGGGACTGAATAAGTTCTAATTACTACTTGCGGCCAATTGCAGCATTTTCAACTTTTATGTATTCTTATAAATATAGTAGTATCACAACTTTCACTGTCTGCAATGTGGTCTGAAAATTGGATACGACAATGACATGCATTTTAGATACTGCATGCCACGTTAATAGTATGAAACCGGCAGCGGTGGAGCAACTGGGTTTTTATCGTACTCATAACGGGTGCGTCAACATATTCGTAGGCTTCAATTGGATACGTCTTTATAGGGGCTCAACGACACTTGTGTTCTTCAGTGCTTGAGACAGCTGGTGTTCACGTTGCCGTTTGCAAAGCGCCCTGTCATTACACACAATATCCACGTCTTTATCAGCTGCTGAGTTTTACTTATCTTTACAAAATGGTGTACAATTCGTTGACCGAGGCTCCTCACAACCTGAAGGAGGCTATTGACTGGCTGATGGCCCTGAGGGGGACTGATGCTGAAAAGAGCTTGGCGGCTATGGGTGACGCGCTTTACAAATTCCTCGCAGACAAGCCTGTTGGAAAGATGAAGGTGTCAGCTCTAGAGAATGTTAAAAAGATTTCTAAGAAGTTCATGGGACAAAAGGCGCTTAAGGACCAGCCATTCGTGAAAACACTGCTAGGGAGATTCAAGAGGAATACGAGTAAAACAGTTAGTTTATTCCATAGGTGGTTTGAAACCATGGCGCAAAGCGATTGTGAGAACGTAATGGAGGTCAGAGGTGTCAAACCTGAAGACATTACAGTGAACTTAGCTAAGGCTGTGGATGGTTGTGAGAAGTTCTTGGATGATATAAAAATCCCTAACCAGTACAAGTCCGCTTACAGCTCAGGAGCCACTTGGAGTTCATCGTGCGCAAGGAACCCGGAAGCTTGCGCAGTTGTCCTAGTGGGTATTGCGCCAATGTTGTACGCAGGCCTACGTTCCTTGAAGGAAACGAGCGCAGAAGCTGCGAACCGTAACTGGCTAGCTAGTTATGCAGAGCTGAAATTGGGAAAAGTGTTGACAGCCGTGGGGTACAAAGAGCCCCAATGTCGCGCTAAAATGAGTGGTTCAGATGTTTTCAAAGCGCTGCAAAGTGTGAGTTTCGAAATGTTGAACACGATATACGACCTCGCCGGATTTTGGGCTTTCTATGGGTTTGATAAAGTAGGGGATCTGAAAATTAAGCAATCTGTAGAACCTGAACGACCTGCAGAACCCGTAAGACCTGCAGACCCTGAAGGTCCCGTGGAACCTGTAGGACCCGGAAAACGTGAAAGACCGGAAAAACGTGGAAAAGGATTTGAAGATGAAAGATTTGAAGGTGAAGAACCTGAAGATTCTGTAGAACCGGTAGAGCCGGTGCAATCTGCGGAAGGTGAAGAAGCGGAGCAGTCTGTGGAACCGGTAGAGCCAGTGCAATCTGCGGAAGGTGAAGAAGCGGAGCAGTCTGTAGAACCCGTTGAACCTGTTAAAGAAGAATAATTTGCAGGAGTTGAAAAACCTATAAAGGCGGTAAAAGCTGTGAAGGCCGTGAAGGATGCGGAAAGGCTGCAAAAACGTTGCAAAAAGCTAAACAAAAAGCATCTGCCTCAGGGTCCCCAGTGAGCCGGCAGCACGAATTCTCACGAAAGATTTAAAATTTACGAAACGCAGTGAGACATGATTGTACACATGACCCTCTTTTACAGTTCTGGTGGCGCAAAATGAAGGCAAACAGATCTGAACTAATCTTTAATTATGTTAACAATTAAATTTGGCATGACTTTTTAGCGTCACACGTTTCCATTTCAGTATACCCGATGGGCATTGCGTAATCTCAGCAGTGTATGGATCACGGCAAGGAGGCCCCTACGCCTTTTCAGGCCGTTGAGCGATCAGTCCCGCCGTGGAGGAGTTCGACGTTATACCTATTAATTAGGTACAGGGTAGCCGCTGACTGCAAGGTCTGTTAACCCCCGTATATGGTATAACCTCGAAACTTTGTTTTTGATCGAAGTAACTCTCCTGAATATGCGTGCGATTGTTTCACAGAAACGATAAAGCATTAATATATTGTTGGTGTGAATCGTGCGTTTATAGACCTTATGTATCGTTTGCTAGACACGCCCCATAGAGACACTCTAGGCAACAGTACACGGGGTACGTAAATGTTATGCCAAATGCTCTCGGCAGCCGCGAATACGAATGCACATGGCTGCACCATAGCTTTACCTTCACTACTCATCCTCATTTTCTGGGCTATGTTTTTTGAGAAATTCCTTAGGGTGTCGATGGCCACGCGTGCCGTAATTTCTGGGTAGCCTAGTCGTGCCGACGTATGCACGCATCTTGTTGGTGGAAGGATTACAGAAGAGGTGGAAATTGACAAATGCTCCGCCTTCCCATCCGGGGACATTTTGTGGCTTCACAGAGCGCAAGTTAAGCTATAATGTAGTTGCGAATATGTAACGTAAATTTAGTAGCTTCCATCGTTCTGTGTTCCGACGTATGACTATGGAAGTGCCTCGTGAAGTATCCTTCGACATTCGCCAAGCATCTCCACCCCTTCCCTCCACATATCACCCTGAAACGTTGTAATGTTAAGAAATTATGCGTTTAGTGGGAAAAGCACCGGTTGCTTCATAAATGCTCACCCGTCACGCACTGTCTATGGAGACGAATCACAAGGTCCAGATCTCATTATTAGACAATTTATGCTTGCGGTGACCTTAAATTACAGAACTACCATTGTACCAAGTGCTACCATGGTTTGAATAACCCTGGTGCCCATCGCCACAAGTCCCGAAGGCTCCTTAGCATACTTTTTGTTCCGCACATTGTTGATAATTCCACAGCTAGCTTGTGTTCTGCATAAACCACCTGTGGTTTCTCCTTCACCCGTGATATCCTGCGGCGTGTTTTCATCTGCTGATGTTGTGGTATCCTTGAGATTAGGTCCGGTATAATTCCTGTGGTCTTCAAATAGCCCCAACCTAAACAGTATGTGCGACACCACTCGCTCCAACTCTCCCAGGTATAAGCTATTTACGATATACGCGTACTCATCTAATGCTAGTTCGAGCCTCTGTTGCTCTCTTATTAATTCAATTCCTTGAGGAGACGTCGGACTGATTCTTTTTAGTGTTTCACTGATGTCGTTGTAGCGTTTGTAAATATCCCATGCGCCCCTTATCCGTATAAATTCTTCACAATACGTGTCGTAATTATATTGAATGTCCTCCGGAATTGTATCCCGTATCTTCGTTGTAAAGGCACGTAATAGCTCTTCTATTTTCTCCGCTTCGGTCTGAACTGTATCTAACCTTGTTAATAATGAGCGATCGTTGAGTAATGTCCGCATCGTTTCATTGCCTGGATCAGACGCTTGGACATTTTCGCCTCCACCACTATGGCGCCCTCCTGCACCGCCCGCTAAATCTGGTTCGAGTTCTGCTGCATTCGCCCCTCTATCCGCCGATGACCCTTGATCATGAGAATCAGGCGACGTTGGTGTCTGCACCTTATATTTTCTTAATATATCTCTTGCCCGTCTTGCGGTGTCTCTGTAATACGATGCATTATCGTAGTTTAAGGTTGTTGATGCAAAATTTTCTTTTGCTTTGAATCGCTCTTCTAGATTCTTCAAAGCGTTTTTAAGTTTAGTCAACCTTTCCGGCGTTGCTTGTTTCCTTTTTAGGCCTCTAGTTATGGCACGGTATTCATTTACCATCTTCCTCAGTTCAGCGTAATCCATACTTGCACTACGTAGAAGTTCAACATCATATATGAGTTTAGCACACTCATCTGCATCTGCTTCCTTATCTTCAGGTGAAGCATTAGATAGGCGTATATCGGCTACTAGTTTCTTCAAACTAACACAAAACTCCTGACAAGGCCACGCAAGTGATTCCAAAACTGTGACCTTACGATAGAAATCTGCATTCTCGGCATAGAATGCAATGCCTCCCGCCGGGGATGTTCCACTAGCCAAACTGTTATCTGTAGCGGGAGCGCCTTCAACCAAACCATTCAGGAATATCACGTAGGCAAAGATGAATGCTGCGATTCGGTGTCGCACACAGTAGCGAATAGAAGCCATCATTAATGTAAGTAATCACAGAATCAGTGCCTGAAAATACAATTGAAATTATTACCTAACATTATACAACACAGCATAGAAAGTTATCCCCTACATGGCCGCTGAATTGTTTCTAACAGCCAACAATGCCGTTGCGGTAGAATGCCTTCGGCGTATGAGATGGTGCAAAAACGAAATATTCACAATTATTAAAAATATTTCATTCTGAGTCTTCGGTACACTTCTATGATGTATGAAATGTGATATTTATGATGCTTTGTGCAATTAGAACAGCTGGAATTTTCTCTGCAGCTCACTAGTGATCTTCCTCGCCACTTCTTTTCGTGCTGCTACATGTAGACAGTCATTAACCATCCATATATAGCATTATTCGACGATGTAATATATAAATTTTATTCTGACACCGTACTGAGAATCCGAAGAATGATACAGATCATATCACCATTCGATGGAAATTTCTGTAGGTTAAACAACCAGAGGGGTGTAGCTGGTTATTATTCTCAAGGCAGTACAACGCAGACAGTGCACACTGCGTGAATTACATCCATGCGTAGGCATCCAAGCTAACGCGTGCCCAGATTTTATTTCAGCCTCGCCCGAGAAGCGTACAACACCAGGGAATCGCTGGACGTTATGAATACGGCACCGACGTTCGATACATTCGGAGATGTGTTGAATAAGCATAATGCCGTAATGGAGAAATCGAAAGCCGCCTCAGTCCTGGAAGCCAAGCACTGCCTCTAGAGGGTTTGCGAACATATTCCAACCGTCACCTTTTTAGACTGAAGTTTGAGTTACGATAACATTTGGCTCTGGCATTCGCTAAATGCTAATGTGTAATTGGCACGTTACGTTGTCAGCCATGCGGCAGTTGAACACTCCGTTATCGGCGCCACTTGTCGAAGCCGTCTATGTGGCTGATTGGGTAGATATGTTTGGGGCTACCCTCGTTGCCGGCCATACTGCGTCGAAAATACCGGATCCCATCCGAACTCCGAAGTCAAGCGGCGCTAGGCCGGGTTAGTACTGGGGTGGGGGACCGCCCGGGAACCCCTTTCGGTGCCGGCAACCTATTTAATTAAGAACAACCTTTCCAATTCGAAATACTGGATCATTTTACATAAAACGACGCCTGGTAACGCTCAGCAAACACCCTTTTAATAGCGGCAGGACGGATGAAGCAATACCAAAGACAGCTGAACCCCGTGAGGGTGGTGGCCTTGGTGCCCTTACAAATCCCGTTACATGTTCGGTGGAAAACATCACAGGCTAACTGATCACTTGTTTCCTCTCCTTGTATTGCGTGCACACGTGTGGCTTGGGCCGGTTTTCACGTTTACCAGGGTAGCGACTCACGCTGCTGGTGTTGGTTGCGGGGCCCAAGTCGTGGCGTTGCCGAACGCTACAGGTACCATCCATTGTGCTATCCATCCTGTTTGGGCGAGAGGTTCATTCACAGTCATAATCTTCTCTGGGTTTCATGTCCCTCAACATTGGTTTTTGTGTTGCTTGGATCACAACCCGTTGTATATGGGCTTCCAGGCGATCCGATGTGCCCAAGTCCCGCGCGTACTTGGTATGTTGCTTAGTTACTATTACCTCCCACGTCACAACGTAGGGGGTTGCGCTGACTATCGTTTGCTGGTTGAATTGCCGCGCCTTCAGGTCCTCGATTAGAGTTTCGTACTTTCTTCCCTTGGATTTCGTCTCCACCAGGTTGCCTTGGTTTATTATTCCTATTTCCACGATGGTGATCATGTTCCTCCGTCGGTCCGCCACTATTATGTCTGGGCGGTTGTACTCCTTGATCTTCTGAGTCTTGACCGTTTTGTCGTATGATGTACATCCACTTTGCGCTGCCATCCTACGTCTAAGTTCCCTCAATCGTTTCCTGGAAAATATGCGGATTGATGTGGCTCCCTACTTCTTTTCGAACGCTCTCTCCCTTAATAAATCACTCTTTAACTCACCTCTAACCTCTTCATTTTCCTCATCTCCATCTTAATAAACCTTTCCACGGCCCCAGCTTCCCGCACTGGCACTGTACATACATTAAGCTGCCACCATCATTGCACCTTGCACAATTATTTGTCGGTGGTATTTGGATGACTTTGGACGTGCCATGGCTGGGGTGTGCTATGTGGAATGGCTGTGGGTGACAGGATGTGATATATGGAACAGCTCCGACAAGACTCTCAACTACGTAAAAACGAAGGTAACACTGTCGATCTCATTCAGCCGCTAAGCTACAACGACCACCACAAGTAAACCACCACGCAACACTTAACCATCAATCTCGCAAAGGAGAAATATACATTAACAATAACAGTTAATGCGACATTTAAATGGCATCTGCTGCGATATGCCATTCAAGGTGTGCTATATAAAGCTACATTAGTCCCTTGAACGGGAAGGCGGAGTATTCATCAGTGTCCATCTCCTCGTGAATCCTTCCACCGGCAAGGTTCGTGGATGCGCCAGAACTATTAAACGAGTTAACAAGTGCAGCACGTAGTCCGTAATACACCTTGCGGAATGGACCAGGATACAAACGACAGACGGAAACCATGATCGCTACGATTACGAGTATGGGGACTCCTATATAGCACCCGCGCCTAAATGCATCTTGGGGGCATAGTTTGCCGCAGTTTGTGCATTTGAAGCGGCATTTGCCTGCGTAGTAGAACATTGCCTCGCAGTTATCTTCGGTGCATTCTCCATCTTTCTTGCCGTGTTCGCAAAAAAAATTGCCGTAGGAACTGCAGTTGCATATACATTCGCATACGCATTTTACGGCATGTTTATCAGTTGTGCAGTCGCAGTTGTGGTTAGGGCCATGTTTGGCCTTGAAGCATTTGGTTCTTGGGCAGTCGCCGTTGCAGCTGCACTTGCATTCCGAGCATTCTAAGTCACCCGTTTGGCCACTGTCCTTACCTTTGCAGACGCACTTGCCGCAGGTTCCCGGGTATTTGGCACACATGCCTTTGTTGCATTCTTTTTCGTCATGCTTGTCCTCCTTTTGGTCACAATTGTCCGGACCCGTGCATGTGGTATACGGATTGCACCATCTACAGCACTGGCAATTCACGCCATTACAGTATATTCCACAACCGCATAAGTAACATGTACATCTCCCGCCCTTCTCTACCTTTTTGCACTTCTCCGCGCAGCGCTTACACGTTTGGGACTCCTTGCACGGCCTTTTGCCTGCCTTCACTTCAGGATCATTCTGACATTCACAGCCACAAGAATAACATTGACATGGTATTCCAGCTTCGCACTTCTTTTTTACGCAGCGTTGACACCCGGGGCTACAGCATGATTTGAACTCCTTACAGCTGGTGTCAGAGCAAGGCTTTTCATGATCGCATTTTCCTGTATCACATTCGCAAGCATTTGTGGCCTTTACTTTCGGTTCCGCCATCTTGCTTTCCCTGATACAATATGAGCCTATTCCGGGTCTAACATTCTATCGCAACCGGCAGAACGCAGCCTCCAGCGTCCCGGTGATATGGCGATGCGGCACTTTGGCCGATGCCCCTAACATATTGCCTACCGGCTGCTCGTGCAAACTATAACGACAATATCGTCAAGTGTATATGGAATATTATTTAGCGTACCGCTTTCGCGGCCGCGCCTGGAGCCCAGAGTCGTAGCATCGGCTGGGCGCTCGATATACTGCGTCATCGGGTATAGCACAAAGGCATGCGCATGTGGATGTTTTAGCTAGTGCCAACCGTGTGCCTTACTGACACTTCCAACTCTATAATTATGCGATTATCTCTGCCCATAGTTTAGATGAAGTGTTACTGTAACGTGAGTGCTGCGTCCGTGATTGCCCCGCTTTGTACTCAATTCGCTGACATTTCCAATTACAGCTTCTTAACAGCTGTCCATTTGGTGTTGCAGCTTCAGCAATACTCTAACGGTTACACGTATCCCGACTCCATACGTAGAATGGAGGCTTCAGCCTTGACACCTCCCTGAGATGGGCATGTTGCTTACTCAAAGTGGCACGCATAAGTCCGATGCTGTGCTATTGCTGTATGTCCAGTGCAGATATCATTTTGTAGTTGCAACATAGCCATCACCCTAATACCTGTGTACTCCTCGGATCATTGCACGGCACCGGCGTCCTAACCTGCGTCTCATCTAACGTCTTCGTCGCATCCACGGCCCTTTTGGTTGACTCGATTTTATCCTCTTCGGTGTGCATAGAGTCATAAATATATGTAGAAATATTGTTGGACTTATGTTTCAACGTTTCCTGCATCTCTTCCATTTCCTCCTCGATACGCCTCTTCACCTCAATGTGCTGCCTAGTGAACACGTCACCGGCTGCCTTACTGAATTTTTTCACCCTGGGATCATTAACGGCGGCGCCAGTATTTGTCGACATATTCTTTGAATACCATATTTTACACGATATCATGTCTCCAACATTTTTGTCCATTGTATGTAATGCTCTTTCTGCCTTTACAGCCTCTTCATGGTGCAGGCCACCAGTCCCCTCCCAGTTTCCCATCCTATTTTTACTTCGCTTACATAACGTAGTGACAATCATGTTGCCGTAATTACGCTTGCAGCATCATTCAAGGGCATTGTAACATTTCCACCTTTCTCCACACCCTGCAGCCAAGCTCTGACACCCTCACTGACGTGGGCTATCAACCTTAATCCAGCCTTCAAAGGAGACGCTAACATAACCAATCATGATGCAATCTAGTCATTATCTCATCTTACATTGCTAGCACTACGTGCTTTTCATGAACTCCCACCCCACCTATAACATGCCTATCTAAGGTGCTCGTTAACCTTGTGCATCATGACTGTCAGGCCCGTCTTCATCCCACTGCAAGCCCCTCTTTTTGTTCGATATATGGCCTCCACGGCCTCCTATCTTACCTTTGTCTGCTCATAAAACGTCTCCCCCACTGCCCCACCCAGTTCATCGGATGCATGTTTCACCTCCTGCTCCGATAACCACCGTGAAAAGAGCATGGCAATTTTTGTAAAAATTATGCGCCTCTAGTAAACCTTCTTTTACAGTTTGAATGGCGAATTATGCGTCAAATAGGTGGCATTGTCAGCCTCGTTTGTGTCATCTAGATATGCTGCCGTAGGATTGGAGATGGACAAGGACAAAGGGAGTGACCAGTGTGACCTAACATGTGGCCACGACGGTGTGGCTGTATGTGAATTGCGCTATGAGTAGGTGATCTAATGACCGTATTGGTGGCTATTAGCGAGTTATTTGTGCAAGTATTTAGAGGTGCTAGCGGTACTCCACTGTGACCGTCACGCACGGCTGACATACATCACCACAAAACACAACACACAGAAACACATGTATATGCACGTTATATAATTATTATCTAATGTCAAGTACCTCCAAAGGGCCGTCGTCAAAGTAGTCGACGTGGTAAAATGATGGCACCTCTTCCCGGTGAGTGAGTAAGACCCTGACATCCCCTGCGGAGTCACGAATCGCCTTGCGTAGGTTCTCTATTATTGTGTTCAGGTTTTGAAAGGCCTCCTTCTTCAGCTTCTCAAGTTGATTCCTGATCTTGACGAGGCCATTGATATTGTTACCTTCATTCCATTTTGTAGCACCTTTTTCAAGGCCATGGTCTCTCAGCGTCTTGAACTTCTCGGTGACCTGAGTGTTCAACGTCCCTCTAAGCCTGTTAAGCTCATTGGTGATTTGGGTGACGCCTTGGTCAATGTTGCCGGGTTGGGAGGATAACGTTTTTTTGTTGAGTTTGAAGTGCGTCTTCGACGTTTTTGAGGCTTTTACAATTTCCTTTTGCATTTTTATCCCACTCCCGTCCACTTAGTCCACTGTTCTGCAAATCTTCCAAAGCATTAATGACGTCTTCCTTACTGCCTGGAGTGCCTTGCAACTCACCTTGAAGGGCAGTAAGTTCATTTACAATTTGTTGCTTGGCATTTTCAATTTCAACGGGTTGTTGTCTAAACGGTTTTTCTTGGAGGTCCTTAATTGCCTCGTAAACGCTATTAAGATTCAAATTGCATTTTTGTTTACCTCTACCAATATGCTTTTCTAACTCTTTCAACTGGTCAAGGACGTCATCAGTAGAGAACACATTTTTCAACCTGAATCCGACACTTGCAAGTAAACCTCTTATTTCTTTTTCAATCTCTTTTATAGCCGTATCGATGTTTCCAGTCTCGGTGGGTAACTTCTTAATTTCAGTGCCAAGCTCTCCTTGGATTTTCCCAAGGCCACTGAGAGGTTGACCCTTGACATTCTTGCCATTCCATGCACTCGGACCTAGACCAGCAGTATTTAAATCTTCCAAAGCGTTGACGACATCATCTTTACTATTATTCTTCAACCACTCTCTAAGCACTCCAAGCTGCGTCCTAATTTCTTTGACGGCTGTGTCGATTTGTGTAGTTTTGGGATCATACGTCTGCGTTTTCAGCTTTTCAATCGCCTTTTGGATGTCAGCGAGGCCATTTTCGAAAACTCCCGGAACAGGTTTGTTAAGCATATCTTCAAGCTCCGTCAAAAGCGTTTTTACACCTCTATTGTTTATGTCGCCATAGTCGAGTATGTTTTTGTCATTGTCATCAACCAATTTCTTGAACTCTTTGAGCTCATTTTCAATTTTGTTGAACGGACCGGTGAAGGTTGTATTGTCAATTTTCCGATCAGGACTGGCACTGTCATCGATGATATCAGTAAGCTCCGAAAGACCCTCATCTCTAATCTTCCCGATCGCCTCTGGAAGATGGCCTTCGCCTTGCTTGCCTTGTAGAGCTCCACCGGGCTGAAGAGTTTTGATCTTTTCTAGTTTAACGTGGCCATTATATTTATCAAAATGATCTGTATTAAGTTCAACTCTTGGTTCACCTTGACCACCTGCTGGATCATCCTTCCCAATGTGGTCATCAACTGTCTGTTTGAGGTCACTGTCAAGCCGTGTTCTTATGTGACTGTAAGCTTCCTCAAACGTCTGCATGATACCGTCTTTACCAATCTTTATACTTCCATTATCCATCGTGAATTCCTTAACAGCTGCGCCAATCGCCGTCTGGGTCGCATTCCTGATCTGCGCTTCGGCGGTGGAGTTGAAGGTGCCAACGGCGGCGGGAAGCTTTTCGACTGCATCGGCAAGTTCAGTTATTACTTTACTTTTAAAGTAACTCTGAATTGTGTTGTTAACCATAGTCCTCACCGCCTCCAACTTACTGTCCACGGCTTGGGCGGGGCTTACATTTGGGTCGGTGCCGGGTTTGGTAGTCGCCGTGGTAAGCTGTTTGTCGAGTGCGTTGGCTACTTTGAGGGCGTCATCTAGATTATCTGCTATGCTGGCGATCTTGGGGTTACCCCAGGCCTGCTCGCTTAGGGCGAAAGATCCCAGTTCCCCAGCAACTCTACTTACGACGACGGGGAGCTGCTTGAGGGTGAGTTGGACGGCAGATGTGAGATGCCTATCTTCATATCCAGAGCTTTGGTTTCTATTCTTAACTGCATCATTTATACCCTGTACTATCTGCTTCACAAGCATTTCAGCTGCACTTTCAAACTGCTCAACGTTTGAAACCTGAAGTTTTTTTCCAAGCTCTTTGACAAAAGCATCGCAACCATCCCGCACAGCCTCAACGTATATTTTGATCTTTTTATTGGGATTGTCCGCGATTTATCGCATCTTCTTTTCAACTACATCAGCGGCTGTCTGATTTTCCGTTTTAAGCTTATCCTTAAAAACAAGTGCGATATGCTTGTTAAGCTCTGTATAAGACTGCGTACCGTTCTCATTTTTCTGCTTATCATATGGATGACTTATACGCCCATTATTATCCGTAACATACTTGTCAATAAACGCCTTAATTGGATCCTTCTTCAAAATGGTATTCACAATCCACCCCTCCACTTTATGCGAGAAATTATAATGGTCTCTGTCCATACCGTTGAATCCCTCAGCCAACCTCTTCACCTTGTCCACAACGGCCTGGAGACCTGTTTTCTTGCCATTTTTATTTCCAACAATAATCGCCGCAACCTTTCCTTTAATATGCCCGAAAATCTCTTGAATACTATTCACTGTACCGTTGCTATCAAACTTCCCGCCAAGCTCCCCAATCGCCTCGTCAACTGCACCGACTAGCTCGTCAAGCGGTTGTTGGATATGCGTATCAAACAATGTATCCATCTCCCGCAACTTATCCTTGATTGGATTGGTGTCAGTCTCAAACTTTTGCTTCGCCTGCTCAAGCTTATTGAACTCGTCTTTAACAAGGCCGTTGCTTTTGTCATCGACTGTCGCGGCGAGCCCCTCAATCTTCCCCCTCTAACTCTTCAAATCCTCCTTTACTTTTTCATCCAAATTCAAAACTCCCAACTGCCTAATAACATCATTTATCCCTTTCATAATCTCCTCTCTCACTGTCCTCAAATCCATCTTGAGATCTCCGCCCATGGCCACAACAGCCCGTAACGTCGCAGTTATCAATTTGCCAGTTTGCGTCTTAGTCTCGCTCACCTAACGCGTAACCCAATAGGTAATATACTTGACGAGTTACATTGTTCGTTGCTTGGGACACTGCTTTGTTAGTTACTCGTGAGACGTGTCGACGTCACCCCACCTTGTCAATGTACTGTGAAACTCGGTGATTGGCCATCAACGTAGGACGCTGACGACTGCTGTGCTAGTTGAGCTGCTACTCCGTCGGATGTTAGGTGAGTGGTTGTCATGTTACTTATCATGTGCGTTGCTAGGCAGTGAATGCCGTCAGGACTCTCCGACGTGACGGCCTAGTTAAGTGGCATTCGTGGCCAACGCAGGGATCACTAATAAAGTAGACACGCACGGTAATTCGTCTATCCTGTAGTTAGGGCACCAGTACCGTGGCAAGTAATCAATAGGTATTGTGTCCCTAATTCAGAGTGAAGATCGTGCGTGGTGCGCCGCATGTACATTGTGGTATCCCTGGCGGTGGGTGGCATAACGCTCATCGGAGACGGCGTGTAATATTTGCTTCAGGTACGCTTTTCATGCTTTTGCAGGTTGGTGACAAGTGAGTTGGGAGAAGATGTCTGAAGAATGTCACTGTGAGAATTCAGGTGCATCGTGCCCTCCTGGAACCTGTAAGTGCTGCCCTTGGTGTTGTGAGACATGTAATGGCATAGAATGCGATACATGTGCAGCCGTAGTCATCGGAGGCAACTCACGCAAAGACACTTATGTATGCAACAATGAATGTGTGACCAAATGTAAAAAGTGGTACACATGTAAGTGTAACTGTTGTCAAACTAAAGGTATATGCACTACCATTGCTGTCATCATCACCCTCATCGTCGTATGCGTTATGAGCGTCTCTCGCATTTGGCCGTTCCACAGGGTCCGCGATTGTTTCGCCCGCAGGTGAACGTTTTGTATCGCATACATTAATCACTTCCGGCATGTATCATTATCGCACCGTTTTAGACATTACAGGCACGCTGCCAAGGTAATAACGCCTTATTTAATGTTTCAAGATCGTTCATCGGCAGGTACCCGTTGGATGCATTCATCAATTACATCATAGCAGAGTATTAGTTAAAATAAGGGGATTGACAGAACCCAAGCTGCTGTCCACATATGCTCCTACCTGCGCTCACCGGCATCGCACCGCATCGCCGCCCAGTCGCTACGCGCATCAACGCACTCGGCAAATTATCGTACCTCCAGCCATAGACGTACCATTATCTGTGATCACGACGTCACGCCTGGCTCACCTAGCCAGCTTAACAGGCTTCTAGCTGATAATCGAATCACACGTTTTAATGCGTCAGCAGTGTGATGAAATCTATCATCATTTCGCATTCGTCATTTAGGACTGCAGAAATATCTAACGTAATGTCCTCCAGCATGTACCCTGCATTGCCCAACCCTCATTACAAGAATCACACATAGACTCATCTATCGCACATGATGCATTTTTAGCCGTCACAGGCAATTTCAATGAGACCACATTCACCTAGAACGAACATAGAGGATTGTACATCTAGTCACTTTTTGAACGATAGCAGAGCGGTAAAAGGTGTAGTTATATATACGTTTTCTGGGTTTTGCTGGATCCCATCGTATTGGACGTAGCTAACACAGTTCATCACTACTGCACCAAAACCTATCACAATTTAACAAATGAGAATATTAATGTAACCATCCACATGCAACGATTATTAATAAATTGTGTTCAATTCGTGAGTACATAGTCGTCGAAGTAGTCGACGCCGTGGTAGAGTGAGAGCATCCTGCGGCTTCCGGCGAGTAAAGCCTTGACATCGATGAGGTGAGAGGCCCTGGTGGTGAGGGGGTGCGAGCGGATGCGGAGGACGTCCATGCGGTAGAGCATGACGATGAGGATGTAGAGTGTTGCGATGAGCCAGAGTGCTGTGATGGTGTAGATGAAGGGCGCACGGATGTGCCAGAGGAATATGTCCATGCATCTCATGAGGTTTGCGATAGGATGTCCGTTGCTCACTGCCTCCAGCTTGGCGATGACCTTGGAACACGTGAGTGGTGGCTGAGAAACGCCCCCCTTGGCGGGGCGGTGAACCGTCCGTTAGGTGGCATAGTACCGGCGTAGGCATTGTCACTCCCCCAGGAGGCATCGAAGTACGTTGGTAACCGCTGCGGAGGGTTGTTTGTTAAGCTAGCTGCGAGTGAAGAAGTGGTGTTTGTGTTATGCAGGGAATTGCAATAATCGCGCCGGCAGTGCTTTCGCCAGCTTTATGCCTCCCTCGAGGTATCTAATTTATCACTTCGCATTCAAAAGCGGCACGACTCCAGGCCCTCAATCCACAAAATTTTAGCGCGCCTCTGTATCTGAGGACTTAATAGATAATGTAGCCGAGATGGTAAAAAATACACGTCGTGTAATCACACACACGTGTATGGAATAACGTGTACCTAGAGGCATCGCCACCTCATCTCACGAGGGGACGTAAATACTAGAATAGGTTGCGCCACGCACAACAAAGACAAAAACGATGAGCCACCGACCGATTGATGGCCCATACATCTACACACGGAGTGTATGAATCGCCTTCATGAGATATGCATGAGAATCTATAAAAAAACCGGGTCATAAATAGGCCTACACAAGGAAGATGTCGACAGCGACACGGGCAGGAATCTCGGAGCAATTATGTACAATAGAATCGCTAAAGCGCACAAATACATACACACATGTACGCACAATTAAAACACATCGATGAATAGAGCGATAAAAAAGGCATCACAGATATCGACGTAGAATGGGCACCCAGCCCAAGTCGCACATACAACCGAAACTTGGGAGTGTGTATTCTCTATCGCAGCTGCATAAACAAATTCGGCTCTAATACCCACGATACGGCATAATGTTTAAACACGTTTTTGACGGTACAGGTGTACTCCCCGTTCATGCAAACGTGGGGATTGGTCTCTGGGCTCCGGCACAGTTATGATCGAATCCTTGCCCATAATACACATTTGATTTCTAGTAGGCTGAGATTTGTGGGCAGGTAAAACGGCGTTGACTTCGCCAATCGTGACGGGATCCGCCGCCTTGCGCCCCAATCCCTCTGCTTGGTTCTTCGAACATAGCAGCCTTACGTGCCGCCGAAGTCAGATCAAAGGCACACCTATTTTTAATAATAAAATTGAGATGCAGTTTTTTCACCATAGACCGCATTGATAGTCAGCATCGCTATCCGTCGACGGTCTCGCCCACAGGATTACTTACAAGCACGTCGTTTCGTTCCTCCTCTGGGGTGTGTTTCGGCAGTGTGTTCTTCATTTTTGAGTGATTGCGTGTTGTAGATTAGGGGTATATCTTTATTTACTGCGAAGTTGCATCAAGAGCGGCCTCATTTGCAGGAATACTTTTGTTGATCGTAGGCATGATACATGTGCGAAATTTTGGCGCAGTATAACAAGTTCAGGAATCTGTGCTGGGTATATATCCGGAAGGTTGAAGCCTCTTTTTAGCGATTAAATAGTTGAAGATGGCAGCGGAGTCCGGGAGTGCTATTGGCAGTGGAGGTGGAAGTGTGAGCAGCCAGAGGATCAAGATCGTTCTTCTAGGCGAGCAAAACACGGGAAAGACGTCTATTGTGACGCGTTTCGTCTATGATCACTTCGTTCCTGCGTATGCGGCCACCATAGGTATTGACTTCCTTTCCAAAGTCGTGACCGTGAATGGCAAGACCATGCGTTTGCAGTTGTGGGACACTGCCGGACAGGAGCGCTTCCGCACGCTGATGCCGAGTTACATTCGTGACTCCAGTGCGGCCATTGTAGTATACGACATCACTAGCAGGGAGTCCTTTGATAAGGTTGGCGACTGGATTAAGGACATTAAGGAGCTGCGTGGTGACAAGGCGGTCATCGTCCTAGTTGGAAACAAGACTGACCTCCTCGACAAAAGGAAGGTCTCCTACGACGAGGGTGAAGAGCAGGCTAAGAAGTTTGGATGCCTGTTCTGTGAGACCAGCGCTAAGAATGGCGACAACATCAACGACCTTTTCAACCCTATAGCAACTGAGCTTCTCAAGAACTTGGAACCGGTGCCCGTGAATGACAAGCGTAAGTTTTTCACGCATCGATATGTGTTGTGCGAACAATTATTGACTCATGGGCCCTTTGGCAACCCATGGAGTGTGTACTAGTGTGGATGTTGGCGTCCTTGGCGTGGTTTCTGCGATGTTTGATATATCTGTGCTTAACCTTTTAACAAATACGCAGTTGTTGACATCGACTTGAAGGCCAGCAACGAGGAGGCTCCCAACAATTGCGCCGATCGTACCAAGAACACCTACCTGACCATTACGAAGAGGTGTACCGGCTAAAGTACCGAACATTTGCACCGTTATATTACGGTCTAAATTCTGAAATCGTAGATGCTTTTTCGTTTGTTGTACACCGCCGTCTTGGTTGCGCGTTGGAGCGTGTTTGCTTCGGCCGGTCCGGCCGCGCGACCCTTCCGCGCCTTCGTATTGGCGGCCGGCCGCGACCTTCCTCACTGTGACAGGTTGAGACACTGTCTAGGAGGTGAGTCATCGGGTCGAGTGGCGGTCAGGAAGGCTGAGCGCCCATTCGAAATACGTTCTTTGAACAGCGATACCGCCTCTATATTGGACAGGAGCTCGAATGCGTTGTACGAGACTCTTTCACAAGGCAGCTATGCTTCGCCCGCTGAGTGTGTGGCAGCGTCGGCTGCATATGTGTTGCCTTTAATGGATGCAGTGGAGGTAGGTTGTTGTTGCATGTCAGCTTATAATCTGCCACTAGAATTTCGGGGAAGCTGTTAAACCGCACGTACCCCCTTTGGCGCAGGATGCTTTACAGAGCATTCACAAACTATCGCAATTCTACTCACAAGTGCCTTTTCTTTCCTACACGATGTCGACACTGATCTACTCCGGTCTAGTGAAGAAGAACCAGTTGAAGACATCGTACTTTGTACGTTACCACTTCCTCCAGGTATAGGAATAATACACATGACAGTAACGTTTTTCAGTCGCTGATCCTTTCGTCCTTCCAAAATGCGCTTGCTATGTTTTACTTCAAGCTGCTGCCCATAGACGCCTCGTCTCAGGATTTCGTCTCCGTTGTTAGTCTGATGTCTGCAGTCATAAGTTCATTCGGAGCTGTGTTCTACTGCGTTTTTCATGCAATATTGGGGCGTTTCGCTGCGCTCCCCATTATTTCGGATGCCGTGCAGCTGCACATCGGCGAGATACCCTCCAACGAGATTCTGAAGAGGCGCATCACAGATACGGATTCAGTCGCTGCAATGCGTTGATGGGCTATAAATGCGGTGCCGCTCGGTCTGGTACAGTGTGGCTGTGCATGTGTTGATAGTGACACGTATGTACATAACCTTCAATGCTACATAACCGCGAAAACAATAGGCATAGATGTATTAGAACCCATCTATTAATGAAATTAAGCCACGTACTGTCGGGTTACTTTGTGGAATGCGGCGCATCATTGCGGTTGCACGAACTACATTCTCGTACCGAGGCTTTTTATGATGTAGCGATCGGTTGCAGAAGAGTCATGATTTCGGCCGTTGATTTTATTTTGACAATATCGCCACACTCGGATTTGTTCGCCGCTTCAGCGTCACCACTTTCGTCGCTATCAAAGGCGAAGTGCATAACATTCGCCACTTTGCCCAGTACAGTGTTAACCACTGTTGCATCAGATTCCATATGCAGTAGTGGTTGAAGCTGCCTGACCATGGATGCACGCCCGCCGCTTGTGGTAGAGAAGAGCACTCGCTGTTACGACGTAAAAACGAACGTGCATGGAACTCACGTGTTTCAGTAGATGTTCTCCAAAACATCCGGTCTTTTCCATGGCATCCAGTACCGTTGCGATAGCCTCTTGATTAGGTACCTGCCGCATATTGTGCAAATTGTAAAATTGAATCGCCTAACCTGCACGAATAGGTAGAGCTCGAACTTGATGCCCAAAGAGATAAGTGGCACTAGGTTCGCCCCAATTACTTCATAGGTCCCCTTCTTGAATATAAGCTGCATGATATAGTGCTTCTCCACATATGCACTTACATCGTTTATAGATATCGACAGTGACGGTTTTGAACTAATCCTGCGTGGTTTTTTGCACAACCGGTGTACTGCTGCCGCACCTTTTCTTTTCAGTCTCGATTGGCGATGACCTTCTCATACGCCACAGTTGTGAAGGCCGCAAATAGAGCGCACAAAAACCTAATACCAGGGAAGTTAAGCCTGAATACAAATATATTGCTATATTGGGGCGATTTATGAGCGTTTCTAATTCCTGGTCAAACGTACCGAAGACTATTATGGCGAAGATTGCGCCTTGCTCAAGCCTCACAGCTGCCGTGGGATTCGCCTCCATGAGTTCACGTATGAATATGCGATTTCACTATTAGTTTGCGAGATGCATTGGTGGCTCACTGCTACGCCATCTTCCGTGACGCCGAGAGCGGCTCCGGATGTGTAGACAGATAAAATAATAAACGTCCAAGGGCAACGAAGCACCCTGCTTCGATACAGCTACACTGACATTTATATGTGACTATGAGACACTAATTTGTGTTACGTGCGCCGCTGCTTAACATTCGTCAAACAGCACAATGTGCCACATTAATATGGGCACACCTAGTCGAGTGATCTAGCAGTTTTCAACCTGATTGCCTAAAATTGAGATGTAAAATGCACTCTATAAAAGTACATGGTCTTCAAAATGGTATGTGTACATAAATGAGCACGGCGTTAGCAATTTTGCGTTTGCCCGTGGGTGATGTCGTTTTTACATTCTTCAATGCTACTGCTGCCTCTCATGGCATTCGTTGACACCAATTAGGCATTTTATGCCATAATGCAAGGGATGTGTACGGATTGTAGACGGTCCAAGTGTCGATTTCGGTAATCAGCTCACGTGTGTACGAGGGTGCAACTGATGTGCTCCCGCCGATAACGACATCAGCACACGCTAAACGGTGTTTTTTGCGGGCAGATTTGCACTCACATTATCTGCTCAGTTTGGCACAAAATTGTTATTTCGTTTTTATATGCCTGTCGTACTGGGCTGTCAGTTGTCGCATCGTGAAGTGCATACGGGTTCCACGCATCCGTTGTCCAGATTCATTACGTCCCGGCATGTTTTAGGCGCTTTGATACACTGGCTTTGCGGCACTGTTGTGTACGTTTATCGTATTGTACCATTGCAGCTTTTGGCCTATTCAGACTTTGTAGCGTTGCCTTTTGGTCTAACGCTTCAATAATACGAAATTCTGGGATATTTCGGCGGTGTCAAAAGGTGTATTGTGGCTTTATTGGTATAAGGGATTTGGCTTCTGAACCATCTTTTTTGAGTTACCTTTTTATGTCAGCATACATATCTGCTATCGGTTCTAATTTTGATTTTTTGGATAATCCTCTAGGCGCTGGATAATCAGCTGTTTTATTATAAAATGAAGTCTTTGTTGTTCTCTTTGCTTACAATTTCTGGTGCACTGGTGGTACCTCTATCGGTTGGGGCGGAGAAAGTGAACAATAATACTCTGGTGTCGCAACGCACGCCAGTAGGCCAGTCGTTGGTGGCGAACTCATCCGATTGTGCGAATCTGCATGGAAAAGGTTTGCGCGTTTGCAGCACCGTCTACGCGGCAGATAAGGCGGTAGACGGGGCCCGTTGCGATGAAGCCATCTGCAAGTTACAATGTTGCCACGCTGCCAAGGAGTGCCGGAAGTCGCACTTCCTATCGCTGACCAGCGAGGAATGCATCTATTCACACCTACAGCGAACAATGGGCAGCTGTTGTATTGTGGGAAAATCCAGTGGTGGTACGTTTTAATGTTATTCATCTTGTGTCGCTTTAGATTCATAAGTGGAGACTATCCACTGGTTTTGGTATACAGGCGTTCGTTGATGACTGGCAAATTCGTGTTTAAGCTATTTACATCTAACTACACATATGTTCAATGATGTGCAGCAACCATGGTTTACGCCGGCGGAGCAGTCGTAGGCATGATCATCGTCAGCGGCCTCTACTTCATCGTATCTATGGGATCGTAAGTGATGCTACATATGCGGCGTCCCGGGACGCTAGTGTTGTGTCATGTTGAGCTGTATACTGTGTTTGGTGCCCCTGGTTCGCTGATTCACGTGTGTACACGCCCCGAATCTTAATCCTTCTGCCGGATCATTGGACTGTAAGGCGTACCGCAGTGCGGTGTCACGGGTGAAAAGTTTTACCAGTGAATAAAAGTTGATTTGTCTACACATGCTATTAGTGTGCATATCCGAATGCTTCACTTTTGTCAAATTTGGCTCGCACATGTTCATCACTGTTTCAGACATAAGAAGGTGATAAAGGGCGAGAAGCCGACAGATGACGATGAAAAGGAAGACGCCAAATTATACGAAACCAAAACGCCTCATATGGATGTAAACCAGCTTATTGCCACTGACGGCGACGATGTCTTCTGGGAAGACTGAGGGATCTAGTGCGTACTTCCATGCATGTTGGCGTGGCGCACGGCGGCGCGCAGACGCGCTCATATTAAACTTATTTAAATAATATAATGTAGCATTAGTGCGACACACTAACTACAATCAGAATGTCGTCTTATGGTTTTAAGGGGCCCGCGATGTCGCGTGAAGTGATCGCAGAGCTCGAGCGCAAGTACAGTAAAGGTTGGTCCTACGTAGGCTTTTGCCGACCTCTAGTTTATGTTACATATCGATCTGTGTCGCTAATTGCCGTCAGTTGATATACGTAAGCCGGCACATCTGCGTACGGCGTAGTTGTGCCTTTCAGTCTCGCCAAGGTGAAATTCCTAAAAGCGCGGCACTGAATCTACATGTAGCATGTATACGACGCGTTAAATATTTGGAATGTGGATGCTTGCACAATTTTATGTTTCCTGTAACATGTGTTTTTTGGAAGGTAACTTTGCCTGCCTTGTGTGTTATCCATATTGTTGCAAGACGCTGTCTAAACACGTTGTATAACTATTTTTGCTCGTCAGGACATCTGTTAATCATTTGCAGCTACTCCGGTCCGTGACGGCGTGGTGAAGGTGCCCCCCAAGGAGGCTGATGTCTGCGGCGTGTCCAGCCCCGAGCAGCACACAATTCATATTGCAACGCCGCCAAAAGAACCCGCGGGCACTGACGCAGATGAACCTGTAGACAAGGCCGCCATCATGGCGAAGCTGGCGTCGAACTGTCCAAACATGTCACCTGCATTCAGGTTGATAGCAGACGCCAAGCTTTGCCTGAAGGTAAGTAGTTTGACCTGTTGTTGCTCCACCTGCACTAAAGCAGTGGTTTACGTGTTGTGCGTTGTTTGATTAATACATTGAGTGTAGCTTGTCTCTTATTTGCTTTTGGTTATAATTAACTGCAGGGCAACAACCAGAGCCCCGACGCGCTTCACCGTCGTGGAGTGTAGATGCGATTACACGGTTTTGATTATAGCGGCACAGAGGTCCTGTCTGCAGGCGATGAGATCACTGCTAGATGAGGGCACACGCAAAAATAACATGAGGCAGCCAGTGGACATGCTCTGGCAGCGCTAGGAAACGGGTACATTACGAACACACAATGGCACCGTTAATTGTGGCAACACACAGGACACCACAATGTGTATAATATTGTTATTGTGCACTTAATCGTTTGCATGTATAAGCGTACCCGAGCACTGCCTTGGCCTTTGTCCAGGGGTCCGTCGATCCTTGCGCCTCTGCCAGCAGCTCCTGCAATACTTGCGTAGCTCTGTCCTTGTCAATTTGGTCGACTGGTACAGCCTCCACTGCTGATACCTCTGCTACGCTGTCGCCGTCTACGCTTGCTATTTTGAAGAATCCCGACGACAGGAAGTATTTGGCAACTTCGCCAGTTTCTCCGCAAACAACCGACACAACGCCAGGTTTAAGGTTGCTGAGCATAGCAGAGTGACCTTTGGTGACCGTGAAGTATCCCTCAGAACCTGCGCGAGGTTAAGTTGCCTAACAACAAGACACTAGAGCTACATTCTGGCACGACACAGCGATATTTAGCTAAACTGTTTAACATATGTGACGACAATGGCACTCCATATGCAATAGTCAGCTTCCTACCTGGCAAAGTGGCCTGCTTTACGACCTTTTTGCTCACGAGCGTCGTATGCGGTGTCATGAGCGAGAAAACCAGATTCCCGCTACCCGTTGCGTTGGCAGCATGCCGGAGAATTCTGGAAAATTGAACTGCCATTTTGGCCCGTTCCAGGTATTGACTGGTTATCGCTACGGCGTGACCGGCAGCTGCTAGTAATATGCGGACACGGCTTCACCCTCAAGAATGCTACACCTCGCGATAGCAGCAATTTTGAGTGTCTGTTAGTATCTGGTGCTGGTAAAAGAGCGTAACAACAGTTCAGACTATTATGTGCCTTTAGTGTGTAGCTAGACACGGCAGCAGCCGTGAGAGGCAATACTCTATGAAAAATGGCTCCGAGGGTACAAAGCTTGCCGCTATCAACTGCACATAGTTGTTAAGCGCCTTCTACCAGCTAGTTACTATCGCAAAACTTGATGAAGCGTATTTATGGATGCGCCATATTCCTGGAACGTATTAACAAACAGCAGCCCTGCTTGATTGCGTATGGTCAAACAATAGCTCGAATATAGTCACATGTTTCCACGTTGCCAGATTGGTAATGTGTAACGGGCGATCATACCGCGGCGTGCCCGGGGATCGATCACCTTGAGATGGGGGCCACGCTCATTCTTCGTTTTTTCCGTATCGCATCACTGGAAGATACAGCAATGAGGCGGGTTTTTTTAAAACGCGCCTACCGGTAAGTGGTTGTCTTGCCTGCTTTTTATGTTCGTGCTGTGCGGTGTTGAGAATCCGGCGCCATCGAAACTGGCATAACCCCTTCTGGCTTAAGCTGTTCCTTGCGTGATATCCAAGTAATTCTTCCGCCATATGTCTTAGTTTGCATCTGTCTATGACGTTTGCGAGCTGTGCTACGTTGCATATTCGTGTATGATTCGAATTGAGCGTTAACCTTTTCTCAGCGAGGCGGTGAGCTGGTTTGGCTCAGAAAACTATCGCAAGGCGTTTAATTGCGCACCCCGCGTATCCATTCTACAGTCCGACTACCGTTCAATTAGGTTTGTTTAATTTTTCGTGCAGTTCAGTCTGTGCAGGAGTCCGTTGCTGATGCGCATGGGGACGCTTGACGAGGTTCGCGAGGCCCTGCGGCTGAAAATCGGCGGTCAGCAGTCGTTGTGGGACAGCTCCCTGGGCGTCACTGGTGTGGGTGAGTTGTGTGGTTTGGAGGCAGTCTGTTTTGGTGACCACATTGGGGGCAAGATTTCAGTACAAGGCATGAATGTCTGTTTTGATATACAATGCTCCAGCTCAACCTAGTGAGTCGGCAGACGTTTTATGAGCTGTGTGGACGCCGGCGTAATTTTCGTGCACTGATAGGGGCAGTCCCAGTTTATTCTTGAGCCTAGTTGATGGTCGTGTTCCCAACACGTGGGATAGGGTCGTCTTTAGCCGTTAATAGTAACATTTAAAGTCTTCCATAGTTCATTGCCTTGCCGGCGTCCATGTGGTGTTGTAGTTTCGCGTTAAACGGATGTTCTCTTTACGCTACATCTTGCGCCGCAGATGTTTCTTCCCTCGAAGACTACGTCCGGAAGTGCCTCGACTCCTACACATGTATGATGCCATTACTACAACAGTTTTGTTGGCTAAACTTGAGAATCCACGAGGTTACCCATGTCATTGCTTTGCAGCCGCATGGTCGACCATATTAAACAGCTCAACCATCATGCTACAAGTAACACGCAAAAGAGAGACAATTCAATTGGATATTAAAGTTTGACACGTTTCCAATGACTGACTAATCGGCAGAAAACGGCTTTGCGTTGCTGTTGGTGAGGTGAGTGTTGTTCAGTTCTGTTGCCTATTTGCGGCAATGGGGAACCGAGTGTCGTTTTTGTACGACAGCAACACCGCTATGTAAGTATGTAGCGTCTTAATTTGCGTGTATTTGTTGGATGCAACGATTTTTGCTTCCTCCGATTTTAATGCTAATTCAGCCTTATATACGCTATTTAAGCATAATTTGCTCGGCACGTTTGCGTCGCCCCGAAACTTACGTCAATAATCTCTCTATAAAATGTACTATGCAAATTGTAACAATTTGGGACCCGTTAGAAATAGTTTAACATCTTAGTTAACCTCTTACCACATCTGTAGCGTTAAGAGGTACCTATGAGGTAGCAAATGCTCGGTGAATTCGGCAACGTGGTTGTAAAGATGGCTGCGCTACACTCCAAATTTACTGCAGCCTATATACGCTACATGTTACTGCCTGATCCATCATGTATTGCATGATGCCATCATTTTTTTAACTACCATCGTTTCCTGCAGTCTGGTGTGGGGTCAATATTGGCGGTGACGATACATTTGTTTATTTATTTATGGACCCCAGGTATGTTCGTATAGGTATTTCCACGATCACCAATTCGGTGTTCAAGACCTCACTATAATAGACACATCCTTTGAGGGGTAACATGATCTGGAATATTTAAACAGCACTTTACGGAATTATATCCGTGTTGGAGACATTTGCTCAATGTGTAGAAATGAAAGCTGTAAGGTTGAATCACCCTGAATACATTATGTAACATAGTACCCAACGTCCTTTACCTCTGTTTTGGTTTTATTTAGTGCGCTATGTGGCTACGTGGCTTAGGGCCGAGTTTCGCGACTACCAGGCAAGTGCCTCACGCTGCTGGTGTTGGTTGCGGGGTCCATGTCGAATTATCGTACACTACAGGTACCATCCATTGTGCTATCCATCCTGTTTGGGCGAGAGGTTCATTCACAGTCATAATCTTCTCTGGGTTTCATGTCCCTCAACATTGGTTTTTGTGTTGCTTGGATCACAACCCGTTGTATATGGGCTTCCAGGCGATCCGATGTGCCCAAGTCCCGCGCGTACTTGGTATGTTGCTTAGTTACTATTACCTCCCACGTCACAACGTAGGGGGTTGCGCTGACTATCGTTTGCTGGTTGAATTGCCGCGCCTTCAGGTCCTCGATTAGAGTTTCGTACTTTCTTCCCTTGGATTTCGTCTCCACCAGGTTGCCTTGGTTTATTATTCCTATTTCCACGATGGTGATCATGTTCCTCCGTCGATCCGCCACTATTATGTCTGGGCGGTTGTACTCCTTGATCTTCTGAGTCTTGACCGTTTTGTCGTATGATGTACATCCACTTTGCGCTGCCATCCTACGTCTAAGTTCCCTCAATCGTTTCCTGGAAAATATGCGGATTGATGTGGCTCCCTACTTCTTTTCGAACGCTCTCTCCCTTAATAAATCACTCTTTAACTCACCTCTAACCTCTTCATTTTCCTCATCTCCATCTTAATAAACCTTTCCACGGCCCCAGCTTCCCGCACTGGCACTGTACATACATTAAGCTGCCACCATCATTGCACCTTGCACAATTATTTGTCGGTGGTATTTGGATGACTTTGGACGTGCCATGGCTGGGGTGTGCTATGTGGAATGGCTGTGGGTGACAGGATGTGATATATGGAACAGCTCCGACAAGACTCTCAACTACGTAAAAATTAAAGTAACATTGTCAATCTTATTCAGCCTCTAAGCCATAACAACCTTAAGTGAACCACCACGCAACACTTAACGCATCAATCTAGCAAAAGGGAAATATACATTAACAATAACAGTTAATGCGACATCTAAATGACATCTATTGCGATGCCATTCAACGTGTGCTACGTGAAGCTACATCAGGCCCTTGAACGGGAAGGCGGAGTATTCATCAGTGTCAATCTCCTCGTGAATCCTTCCACCGGCAAGATTCGTGGATGCGCCGGAGCTATTAGCCCAGTCAACAAACGTAGCACGCAGTCCGTAATACACCTTGCGGAATGGGCCAGGATACAAACGACAGACGGAAACCATGATCGCTACGATTAGGAGTATGGGGACCCCTATGTAGCACAGGCGAAGAAACGCATCTTGTGGACATAGTTTGCCGCAGTTGGTGCATTTGGAGGTGCATTTGCTACTGACGTAAAAATATTCAGTATTGTCACAGTTTTCTGGTTTGCATGTGCCAGCTTCTTTGGCGTGTCGGCAGTAATACTTGCCTGCATCATGTTCTTTGCCTCTACCGCCAAGAAGGCTTTTGCATTCTTCGGAGTGTTGTTCCTTGCCGTCACATTCCCCTTCTCCCGGGCATTTGGTACCAGGATTACACCAGCTACAGCAGCTACACATTGCTCCATTGCATCCACAGTTACAGAGGCCACATATACAATCGCCGTCTGTTGAATCTTTGCATTTTTCCTTGCAATCCTTGCATTTTTCGTTAGCCTCGTAGCACAGCTTCCCCTGCCTAAAAATGGGCTCACATCCACAGTCACAGAGGGTGCACTGGCACCTCTTACTCGTTGTGCATTTTATCCGGCACTGCGGGCAGCCGTGCTCACCGCACTTTAGGTCTCTAATTTCTCCGTCCAGACATCCACAGTGACAAATAGAACATTGACATGCGTCGTTTTCAGTGCACTTCTTTTTTTCGCAGCGTTGACATTTTTCGGGGCAGCAGGTTTCCCCTGCTGGTACATAGCTTGGTTTACTACAAACTCCACAGTCATTTTTCGCCTGTTTCTCCACCATCCTTTGCTCTGACGTCATTCACATACCCATCCACAGCGATAAAAGTCCTAGAGCAACCGCCAGATCACAGCCTCCAGCGTCCCGGTGATATGGCGATACGGCACCTTGACCGATGCCCCTAACATGTCGCCTGCCAGCTACGCATGCGAGCACTAACAACAATATCTATAAATGTATATAGCAAGTAGTTTAGCGTACCGCTTTCGCGGCCGCATCCGGAGTACCATGGTAGTAGCGTTGGCTGGGAGCTCGATCCACTGCGTCATCGGGTATAATACAAAAGCATGCGCATGTGGATGTTTTAGCTAGTGCCAGCCTTGTTCGTTGCTAATGCCTTCAAGTCCATAATTATGCAATCATCGATGCCCACAGTTTAGATGAAGTATTACTCTAACGTGAGTGCTGCGTCCGTGATTGTCGCGCATTGTACTCAATTCGCTGACATTTCCAATTACAGCTTCTTAACAGCTGTCCACTTGGTGTTGCAGCTTCAGCAATACTCTAACGGTTACACGTATCCCGACTCCATACGTAGAATGGAGGCTTCAGCCTTGACACCTCCCTGAGATGGGCATGTTGCTTACTCAAAGTGGCACGCATAAGTCCGATGCTGTGCTATTGCTGTATGTCCAGTGCAGATATCATTTTGTAGTTGCAACATAGCCATCACCCTAATACCTGTGTACTCCTCGGATCATTGCGCGGCACCGGCGTCCTAACCTGCGTCTCATCTAACGTCTTCGTCGCATCCACGGCCCTTTTGGTTGACTCGATTTTATCCTCTTCGGTGTGCATAGAGTCATAAATATATGTAGAAATATTGTTGGACTTATGTTTCAGCGTTTCCTGCATCTCTTGCATTTCCTCCTCAATACGCCTCTTCACCTCAATGCGCTGCCTAGTGAACATGCCCCTCAACGCTGCCACGCAACATTTCATGTCATCATCATTTACCGTTGCGTCGAACATGGTCAACAATCTTATTGATTGACACATTATAGACGATATCATATCTCCAACATTTTTTCCAATTCCACCCAATGTTTTTTCTGCCTTTACAGCCTCTTCAAGGCACTGCCCGCCACTCCCAATTTCCCACCTGATCTGTAATTGGCTCACATAACGCACTAACAGACATGTGACCATCAATCACACCTTTGAGATCATTCAAGGCCGTGGTAACATCTCCATCTTTCTTCTCCAGAGCCTGCAGCCAAGCTCTGACACCCTCACTGACATGGACGATCGGTCTTAATCCAGCCTTCAAACTACACGGTGACGCACGTGTTAATATCGTCTTTCGCTTGTTCTTTAACCTTACAGTCATAAGACCATATTCGACCATTAAATCCCCACTCCAGCGACAACTCATTTATATTGCCGGGTTGTTGATCATACCTATCACTCCCGTCTCCATTCCCATACCAATAACACTCTAGGCGCTCCAAATATTGTCTCCACAGTCTTCATACTCCGCTTTTTTGCCTATTTGACACCTTCACCACGCCCCCATCCAGCTCATCGGATGCATGTGTCGCCCCTTGCTGTGATTAGCACTGTGAAAAGCACATGGCAATTTTTGTAAAAATTATGCGCCTCTAGTAAACCTTCTTTTACAGTTTGAATGGCGAATTATGCGTCAAATAGGTGGCATTGTCAGCCTCGTTTGTGTCATCTAGATATGCTGCCGTAGGATTGGAGATGGACAAGGACAAAGGGAGTGAGCAGTGTGACCTAACATGTGGCCACGACGGCGCGACTCTATGTCAATTGCGCTATGAATACGTTACATAAGGATCGTATTGGTGGCGATTAGTGAGCTATTTGTGCAGTTACCTAGAGGTGCTAGGCAAGGCACGAGATGCAGTCACGACGAAAGACGTGACATGACATCACGGGGAATGTAAATGTAAATGTAAATGTAAATGTAAATGTAAATGTAAATGTAAATGTAAATGTAGCTGCAATAATTACTATCATGAGTGAAAGTCGTCGTCAAAGTAATCCACGTCCTTGTAGAGCGAGAGCATCCTGCGGCTGCCGGCGAGTAAAGCCTTGACGTCGATGAGGTGGGAGGCCCTGGTGGTGAGGAGGTGGGAGCGGACGTGCAACACGTCGATGCGGTAGAGGAGTATGACGAGGATGTAGAGCGTGGCGATGAGCCAAATTGCGACGAGGGTGTAGAGGAACGGTGTCCTAATTTCCCAGAGGAACTGATCGCAGTGGTGGAAGAGGTTGGTGAAGTGCCGGGAGTGGAGGACGTTGGTGAGGAGTTTGGAGAGTTGGGCGCAGGTGTTTGGCGAGTCCTCACGATTCAGCGCCGAGGGGTTTGGGAAGGTGAAGCCGTAATTGTACAACGTCGGTGAGACACCGCTGCACTGGACAACGGAGGTGCAGTGGCAACGCGGCGACTCGGTCATGTCATCACAGAGGCCATGCCGCCCTGGCACACAGGTGTCGCCGTGAAGGCACGTAAAGCATCCCCAGTCGTGGCAGGAGATACTGCAGAGGGCGCCGTGTAGACGCTCAAGGTGCTGCCACAGCTGCCATGGGAGGTATACGGCCCATGAGAGATAGAGGTCGGAGTGCCTGTGGGCGAGATGGTTGTAGGCGTCGTGGCAGAGCGATGAGAGGTATGCGGCGGAGTCCATATTCCTGCTCTTGCCTGTACAGAAGTTGTGGGTTGCGAGATGCTTGAGGTGGTGGTGCTGGCAGTCGGCGTGGTCGACGGAGCCGGCGCCGTAGGCGTGGGTGAGGGCGGCGACAAGGGCACCGGTCTTGTAGAGGCCGAGTGACAGGCTGTCGGTGGAGGCATCAAAGGCGTCAGCAAGCGTCTTGTGGCTAGACCTTCTGTCTGGGATGCGGGTGTTTATGCCCGCCGCGAGTGACAAGGCAAAGCCGAAGTGCTCCGGCAGTGAGCTCGGCGGCCTGGGTAGCAGTGTGAAGATGCACGTAACATGGTCGTTACACAGGAATTTGGTCAGCACTTTGCACAGCTGCTTGCCCGTCTTGGTGCTGCCCGAGAACCCCCGGAAGCCGAGCGGCGTGAGACAGGGCGTGCCATTAGGCCTACTGGGACAGGTGTTGCACTGAGGCTCGCAGCCGACGTTGCTGACCTGGTGAGGCAGGTGGCCGGGCAGGCAGTCGTTGAGGTACGACATCAGGGGCGATTTATCAGTGCACTCCGGGTGACGGTTAGGCATATTTTTGAGTGGACGATTGCACTGCCACGTATATGGTGTGACGTTCTTGCCGTACTTACACTGCGCCCAGCCGTGATGTCTGGCGCCGAGGCCGCACCGGGCTGAGAGGAACTTGAGGGGCGGGAAGAGTCTGCGCAGTATATCAAGCAGCAGGTGAAAGCACTCCTCGCCGTCGGTGGGATATTGTAGTTTGCATGAGTTGTTAGGGAAGTCTGCGGCGTAGACGGTGTGGGCATCGCCGGTGCCGAGTATGCAAACAAGGAGGTAGTATGATTGCGATGTCATGTGGTCGAGCAGAAACAACATGTTGCCGGCGCTGAAGGCTGTTGGAGCGGCTAGGGTGTACGGCTTCGTTTCGCCTGACTGCGCGTCTTCTGTCTCTACCGCGGCTCTAACGTGCCGCTTGAGCGCATCGTACGCCCGGCTGTGGCGGAGGCCTGAGAGCCACACGAGCATCTCGTACACGGAGCACGGTGGTTTGGGTGACTGCGGCACATTGAGATGGCAGCAAACATAATATTCATTGAGGTGTTGGATGAGGCAATTAATGATGTCGATGACATGAAAGTCCGAAGTCTTCCGCTTCGCATTCGAGGCACACTGCTGGAGGTGACGGTCTTCGTCTGCGCCGCTGACAGGCGCCTTGAGGAGCTGGGAAATATCTGTGCCCGCGCAGTCATTTCTGAGTTCGGCGGTCTGCGCGGCGTCATCATCGGCCACCCTGTAGCCGCAGTTGTGGAGGCAACTGCCGAGGGGATTGTCCTTTTGATCATGGGTCTGTAGAGTGATTCTGTGATTTCGCCAGTCACGTTCGCAGCTATCTACCAGGTGAGCTATAGCGTCATGGATAATCGTAATTATCGTGAGCAACACCTTGGCGCACTTCTTGCCGTAGGGCGTCAGGTGGCCTACATTTTCTACGGTGACGGCAATTGCGCCCAGAGTTTTGTTGGCTTCGGTAACAGCCTCACTTCTGACTAGGACACACTCAAACGTCTGACCGTCATAAACACTGATGTACACATTCCTCAGCTCGGCGGCAAAGGCGGTGAGCCCGTCTACTACGCCATCAATTACAGGTGAATTAGGCCTGGCGAAGCACTCAGGCCTGAGGCCGGCGAGTGCCTTAGTGAGGTCGTCAAGCAGTCCGGGGACCTCGTGGTCGTACCTTTGATGCTGAGTCAAGTGGCTGAGTAAGGCTGTAAGCGCTGCGTGAACGTCATTAAGTCTGTCAGCGTAGTGATCTGTTGCCTTGGGAAGCGACGGATTTTTCTTGGCATATTCCTCCTCGTGGACCCTCTTGATCTCTGCGGCTACGTACAACATTAGCCTCCCGAAGAAGACACCGAACATGTAAGATAGATCACGGACGCTGGTGGCGCTTTTTTCATCGGCAAGCAAATTTATGTTTTTACCGCCCTTCCCTTCAGCCTGACTCACGAAGCCCTTGAAGCCTATCTCCAAGTCACTCTCAATTGCACGCGGCAGCCCTGTGAGCTCGCCGGCCACTGTCTTGGCAAAGAACGTCAGAGCACTCTGCACATTGGAGACGTAATGTCTCCGGGCGTGTTGAGTCAGCTCGGCGGCCACAGCGTCCAGTTCCCTGCTCACGAACGCCGTAAGCTCCCTAATGGTCTCGTTCCGCAGTCTGTCTGCGTATTCATCAAATGCCGCCAGTGATTTTATGACGCTATGCAAGTCCCTTGTGCGCAACCTGTGAAGCTCATCGTGGATTTCCTGCAGGGCTGTTTCCTTAGGTTCCGTGGCGCCAAGCTTCTCGAAAAGTCTCTCACTCAGGAATTGTTGCAGTTTCCTCTGCACGGCCTCCGTGGTCTCTTTTACGTGGTAAGTGAGAATGCCAACATGATCCTCGATATTGTCGGAGACCTTTTGAAGCCCACTCGTTATGTGGTCAATGTTGATTGCGTCGGCGTAGTCTGAAATGCCCGTGAGCGCTGTGTCAATTTCGTCCTCGATTTTAGCGAGGCCACTGACATCTTTTGTGTCGCCTGTCCAGTTGTTTCCGCCCTTATTAAGGCCGTGATCTTTCAATTTCATCAGCTTTTCTGTGACGTCGCTTTTCAAAGCATTCCTCTGTTTTTGAAGTTCTCCTTTAATCGCTTCGTTGGTTTTACCGATTTCGTCAGGTTTCTGAGTAAACAGGCCCTTTTGCAGCCCACTAATCACACCATGAATTGCTTGAAGATTATTTTTATATATACCTGTACCCGTACCAAGATGCTTTGCTAACCTTTTCAACTGGTCAGTGATATCATCGTAAGCATCGTTATCATTCAACTTGAATCCGAGAACGCTGAGTACCCACCTAATTTTATTTAGCGCCGTCTCAATATAATCGCTTTGCTCTTTTAACGTTTTGTTTTGTCCACTAATCTCACTTTTAATATTCTCAAATCCCTTGGCTTTTTGACTATCATCCCACTTATCCTGTGTATTAAGCCCCTTGCTCTGCAGCGTCTCTAACCTGGTGGTAACTTGTTGCTCTAAATTCTGTTGGAGGCCTTGAAGTTCCTGGGTAATTTGTTGAACAGCGTCGTTAATGTTTGTTGGGTTTTGAGTAAAATCTTGTTTTTTAAGGTTGTCGATGTCACCATGAATTTTCATCAGGCCGTCCACTGGGTTACCACTTTTAGTTGCCTGCCATTTTCCCTTAGTGTTGAGACCCTCTTTTTGCAAATCGTTCAACGCGTTGACAACGGCAGTTTTATCATTTTGTCCATCTTTCTTCAACTGCTTCCTGAGCTCTTCAAGCTGCGCCTTAATTTGGGTGACGCCACCGCCGATGTCACTGGATTTTTGTTCATATGTGTCTGTTTTCAGAGTTTGAATTGCCTGCCTGATTGCGTCAAGGCCTTTGACTTTTTGGTCAGCTAATCCGTCTAATTTTGACTTAAGTTTATACTCATTTCCATTCCCAAGCATCCTCTCCAAATCCTCCAACCGCTGCGTGATGCCAAATTTATCTGTTGGTGGAGGCTGCAGCTTGCCCTTCGTATTATCAACGTGGTGGGCGATTTCTTTGAGTTCTTCTTCAACCGTAAAGAGATGCTTGGAGACTGCTTCGTTTGCTTTAGAGACGTCTTCGTTTTGAGGTCTTTCTTCATCTGTGAATGCACCCATGGACTTGAAAGCGTTCATCGCGCCGGGGATGTCTGTATGAAGCAAGTTGTGATATTTGTGATCACCGCTCGCGGTGTCTCCTTTCGCTGCATGGTATTTATCCATAATTTTTTCAAAGTCCGTGTTAACGTCCTTACTGATCTTCATCCCCTCTTTAACCTGCTTTTCAATGTCGTTAACTTTCTCCAAAATGGTATTGCCGTTGGAGGGGGCGGATGGCTGCCCGTCTTTTTTATTTGCCTCTTTTTCCGCCGCTCCCAGATTCTCGTGAAGTTCTTCAGTTGCCTTTTTGGCTTTGTCCAACAGATCTGCGATGCTTTTCTTTGTCCCATCGGCGTTGTTGCCCATACCTGTGCCCACGCCGAGCAGCACTGATTCAAGCTCGTTGCCAACTTGTCTCACTGTAGATGTCAGCGCGCACATTATTAATTCAGCGGCGGCTTTTTTGGCACAGTTTGGCTTGTTGCAATTATCGCACTCGCAGATGCAGTTTTTAATTTTAGCGACGAGTCCTCCCACGTTCAACGCCTTTTCCTTGACCTCAGAGACTATTTCATTTACCGGCTGCAAAAGTTTCTTATCAAGTCCGTTGGCAAACTCATTACAGGCTGTTTTGACGGCGGTGATATTTGTATGAATGCTCCCGCTGACTGTATTAACACCTTCGAACGCCTCTTTGGCTATACCAATAACATCTGTTTTAAGCTTCTCTTTCATGCCAATCGCGAAAGCCTCGATGTCCCCCTCCTTCTTGGTCCCATCATACACATCCTTCTTACCGAGTATCCTCCGCACCGTGCCATTGTACCTCAAAATTGTGGCTTCCAACCAGCCCTTCGCAATTTCTGCAAATCTATCTTCACTAAACGCCTGCGCATACTGTTGCACTCCCTGTGCGATTCCCAAAAGACCTGAGGGAACTGGATTTTGCCAACTACTCCTATCCGTTCCCTTAATCTGTTCCACACTCTTCTTAATATCCTTAAGCATCTCTCCAACATGCTCTTTCATCTTGCTCACAATACTATCTCTGATATTCCCCAAATCCGTTTTCATGCCCTCTTCAAGTTGGTCAATGGCGGCAGGCACTTGTCGTTTTAAATTATCCACTTTACTATACGCATCCTTGTAAGCAGTCAAAAGCGCCGTGGCCTTTTGCTGCAATGCGTCCGCTTCCTTATAAATATCGGAATGCTTTACATCATTCGACTTGTTAACAACTTTCTCCAAAATTTTTTCACACTTCACTTTTCCAGCGGCGACAATTTTGTCAGCCGCAGACTTCCAGTCACTTAAGGCCGTGACTTCAGCTTGGAGACCTTTATTTGCAGTGTCAATATCATTTTTAGCTTTGTCAATTACATCAATTCTTAGGCTTAACATCTCTCCTTTACCTGTATTCTCAACATCCAAAGCCTTATAAACCTTTTCCGCCTTGCTTACCGCATCTCCAATAACTTTTTCAGCCTCTCCCTTCCAGTCACTCAAATTGCCAAGATGGCTGCCAAGTTGTGTATTTGCGGCGACAATTCCTTTTTGTGCTTCAGTAATTTTATGAATATTTGTGCCAATATCATACCCTGAATCTTTAGTTGGAGTCAGCTTCTCCCTCACTGTCCTAGACTGTGAGATCACACCGCTAAGCAAAGCGTCTGCCGCACCTTTCCATGCTGCCAAATCTTTGTCAGCATTTTTCAATCCTTCATGAACTTTTACAATATTCTTATTTGCATACTCTATTCTTTTAATATTTTTCGTGAGCTCCGTTTCTTCCCTTTTACCATCCTTATACTCTTTCAAAAGGTTAGAAGCCTCATTTGCCTTGTCCTCGGCGGCCTTACGTGTTTTTTCTGCCGAGGTGATCCAATTTTCCAAGTTGGTAACTTGTTTTCCAAGACTCTCATTTGCTTCCGAAATCTTATTTTTAGCGGTGTCAATTTCACCAAGCTTCTTACCAATTTTATTTTTACCACTATCTCCATCTGTTTTAGCAGGATCTAATTCATCATGCACTTCATTGCCACTTTTTATAACATTTTCAAGCACTTTTTCCGCCGCTTGCTTCCATGTGTCCAGCTGCTTAACCTTCTCGTTTTTTGCCTTTTCAACTGTATTTTTAATTTGCTCTTTCTCATGCTTAATAAGCCTCTCAAGTTCCTCTTTCCACTTCACCACATCAGTTGCATCTTTATCAAATAGATACGTCATACCCGTAACGTTGTCAGTTGTTTCGTCAACTATTCTCTGGACGTCCCCATTCTTTACCTCTTCAATGAATTCTTTTGTAGCTTCAATCCACTTCCCCAATTTGTCAACATACTGCTCGAGACTGTCATTAATTTTCTGGAGCTTCTCCAAAATCTCACGCACCATCTTCTTCAACTTCTCTACGAGATCAGTAACTTGCACTTCGACCTCCTTAATTATTTTTCGCTTCGCCAGCTCGAGCTTCCTGATCATCTTCATGAACGCCAGGTAGTTGTCAAGCTCCTTGCGCGACAGCTTCTGGAGCCTCATTTTCTCACGCCTAACAGACTTACGGACGCGATGAACTCTCTCACGCAAACTACTATTAAGGTCATTGATGGCCTTTTTCATGACTCCGTCTCTACTATTTACATTCATGGCCACGTTGAACGCCTCGGCCTTTTGCAGGCACTGGGACACCAAGGCATCGGCGGAGACCACCCGAGGATCCTCATTTTGGAGGTCGCCGGTAACATTGCTAACCTGCAAATCATTAATACCATTACACAACTCACCACCTTCCTTAACATATGTAAGGAACACATCAATCGGCCTCTTGACTCTATCATTCGAAGCCTTAACCTTTCTGTTATAGTCTCCGAGGCCACTGGCCACCTTGGGGAGCACAGCAGAAAAGCCATGGTGCCCAGTCCACCTCGCTTTTTCAAGCTCACCAACTACATTACCTAATAGAGCTCTACCAACAACATACGGCTGATTGTCACGGATATCACTGAACACTCCATGCAAGAAGGACAAGACGGCATCGCACAGACGGGAGGCGTCGCCGTACACAATCCCGGAACCGTCGTAGGTTCCAGGGGACCGATAACCTAAAAATGTCTCAAGGGAGGAACAGAGATTATGTAGAATGTTTTGATTATTATTCTCAGGGTTTTTTGGAAGAGAGCTCCGAAACCCTTGAAGCTTGGAGATAACATCTCTGGCGGCCGGCTCATCTGATTCGGAGAGAGACGACAGAGATGTCTGAGCGTCCTGAGCGACATGGTCGAACAACTTACCGAGAGCGCTGGACAGCCTTGGGATCCCGCCACCGTGCTTCACCTGGATGAGCCAGTCGATCGCCTCTCGAAGGTTCTCGGGGCAATTCGTCAAAGCTTTCCGTCCCATGCCATCTAGCTTCAAACAGTGTCATCTCCAAGCAATGACGCACTAATCGGCTGCCACACAAGGCAACATGTCCGCACAGCTGAGTAAACTGAGTTTATAGGTCGCTAGGTGAAATTATGACTGAAGAAGATGCATCATAGAAATGAACAACACGTGCGTGCCACACACAAACTACATTTAAAACACGAAATTGATGAAAACATCCAACCTACCTTATGAGGTAGGACGGCAACGAGTTCACATCCCAATTCGTATGAAAGGTTGGAGCACAGTAGAAGAGTGACAATATTGATATAGATGTCTAGTGGAAAACCGGGTAAGTCTCCTGAACCCGCCCGGTGATGCTTCAGCCGTATCTCCTCAGCACCCTGTTACCGTCCCGGCAACCGCCATCCAGCCCATCGCCGGGGATACCACCGTCGCGCGACTTGCACCACAAACATAATACGCCAATAACAACCCACTTAGGCACTAGCGTGGACCCTCCGTGTATCAACCTTTAGCGCCATAGTTGCGCATTCTAATCCCCACCCAGCTTACCACGCCGCCTTAAAACATTCCCCAATTTGCCAAACCATTGATGCGCTACCATCTGCGTAGATCATCTACGGTTTGGCATAATCATGTTAGTGACAACTACGGTGTTGCCGTAAATGCACAGCTGCCATGCCACTCCGTACTCATCACGTCTGAGGGAGCCGTTGTCACGCCACTGCCTCATCTAGCCACCAAATGCACAATTTCCATGTCACTAACTGTCGTCATGGGTTGAGTCACTGTATCGCCTAGGGGCGGTGCCTGTTCGGCAAGATAGATGACTAATCGCTCACCTTAACAGCCCACACTAGCTTGGTATCATACAATTGACTCATTATTAAACTTCCATATAGCCAATTATACAACTACCATGTCTACTACATTAGGTACTGGATTGGTAATTATGTGGGCTACGTGAGCTAGGCAGTGGCGTCATCAAGGTGGTGAGTGGCATATAGATCACGGTGAGAAGTACCGTAGCTTGCTGAGCTTACCGACTCTTGCCGCTGCGAGGAGGGACTGTGCGGCGATCCTGTGGCTTGAAGGTGATTTTAAGTGGGAGCGGATGCGGAGGACGTCGAGGCGGACGACGAGGATGTGCAGTAGGTACAGCAAAGAGAGGGACCAGAGGGTGAGGAGGGTGTAAGAGAAATTCTGTCTTATCTCCCAAATGAATTTGTCTATGTCATGGATAAGTTGAACAAGTACGCAATTTTCACCAATTACGTATTTCAGAGCTTGGCAAAAATCTTTGCACGTTCTCTTGTGTTGCGGCGCATTTTTATCCTCACCGCTGAGTTTGTGTGGACTGCCAAATATGAAACCATATTTGTACAGCGTTGGATACATATCGGGGCATTGTACGATAGATTTGCAGCCTTCATTATGCTTGTCACCTGTAGATGCGATCTTTGACGTTCCAGTTGCATCAGCATATTTAACTTTGCAATCTGTAGCACAGCTTCTATCACAGCATCTGGTGCCCGGAGTCTCGCAAATTTTGCAGGACTCGTACAAATCGTAGAGTAACCCAAGGAATGCCTCGGTAATATATACTACCCATGAAAGATAGTTATCAGCGTGCTTTTCCGAAAAAACAGAGCGGATGTACAGTGTAATGGGATGCAAGTAACGGCCGCATGGTAGGCCGGATTTAAACTTAGGAACACAATCTGTAAGACTGAAGAGATCTCCTTTGTCATGGTGTTTATCGTTATGATCGTGCCTAGTGGATTGTTGGATGGACGCTACTTCCAGCGTTGTTTTCTCATCCCAGAAATTGGCTTTTTTGACAGCTGCAACGAAAGCATCTTTCCTGTGCTGCGCATTGTTATTCCAATTATGGAGTAACTGATAGTAGAACGCTAACATATCACCTAGCGTCTGCGGTGCTACGCGAAGCAGGCACCCGAGCATACTACACATTTTAGTGAGTGATTTGCCTGCACCACCGCAAAGGTTGTCAAGTTTTGCCCTGAGATGGTCGCCCGTTTTGGTATGCGAAGCGGCCACACATATATCGGTAAATCCCATGGGCGTGAGACATGGAACGCCTCTGTGGTTGCTTATGGTACAGGTTAATTTACAACCAGGTGTCTTAAAGTAATGAGGCAAAAAGCCTTTCAGCCCGTCCTCGAGGAACGATTGGAGTGGAGATTTCAAACCGCAGTTAGGGTGTTGCTTACATGTTTGGTCACCCAGTTGGTTTGCAATTAGTTTAGTGTTTTGGTTAGGGCTTAGGTTGCACTCTAGGTTGCCACATTGCTTATCATTACAGTCCCATGATGAACCGCCGACATACCTACCGTAGTGGCAGTCGGCCCACCCTCCTCTTCTACGGCTGTTGGAACACTGACTATGTAGGAAACGCAATTGATAAAACACTCTATGCAAGATGTCTACTAACATGTCGAAGCACGCATATGGGTTAGAGGGATAATTTAATTTGTCTATGTTTGTGCGGAAGTCACAGGCATAACGCCCTTCGGCGTGTCCATGCCCTTGGATGGCGACTAGTGTAAGTTGCGAGAGTAAACAAACCTGCTCGAGTGTTTTGCTCAACTGGGCAGAATTGAGAGGCGAATTAATTGTGTAGTGCCTTTTGTCTGGAACGGCTATATCTAACTGATTCGCTTCGCCGAACAGTCCATTAAACTGATCATCCAGTTTCTTAAGCATCGGATTAAAGTATAACCCGGAGAGCCATTGCATCATCTGGTAGATATTTGAAGGTGACTTTGGTGATGAATGATGCTCTAGTTGGCATGCTTCATAGAACTTTCGGAAAAATTCGCGAAGGAATTCAACCATGTCGTAGAGAGAGATTTCATTAGCATCTGGGTAGTTTTTCTGATCACTCTTGTTCTTGTCTTGTTTCCATGTTTTGAGGATTTCAATGCCGGAAGCACCGTCAATATTCTTATTAAGAAGATTCTCATTAATTTGCTTTCCCTTGAAATTTGCGTCATTGCTGCGCAACTCACCGTCTTGCTTTTCCTTTGACACACGGTAACCGCGGTTGCTGAACCATGGACCAAGTTTATTGCTTAAATTAATGTTCATCTCCCCCCATCCACCGGATGCCTTTCCACATTCATTTCTCAAATCAAACACATCTTTCCTCAGCCCCTCCATAATGGTTAGGCAGACCTTGGCGCAGTTGCGGCCCTCGGTGGAAAGGGCTTTATCGGTGGTTGGAGTGGCGCCGGGTTTCTGTTCAGTCAAGGGACCAAACGTCATCCCACTGTATTTATTCACGTACGCGTGTGAGAGTTGCTCGGTGAATTGCGTCATGCCGGCCTTGAGGGCGTCGAGTAGCAGCGGGTTGTGGAAGCCGTGGAAGTTGGGGGATGTTAAGTTGGTAACTGCGGCAGTTAGTGAAGTACGTAACTTGTCAGAATGGTGGTCAAAGGTGTAAATGCGTGTACCATTGCGGTCAGGCTTCACATTCTTGTCGCTAAGATACTTAAGGAGATCATCCATACTGAGTCTGACACTTCCCACCTTCTTAGATTCCTCGCTGGGCTGTGGTTCCTTGCCCGGTGCTTCGGCAGGCGTACGCACTTGCAATCTAATGTAATCGAGAAGAGGATCCAAGTACCATTTAAGCTGCCTTGACATCTCCGAGACGTTGGGATACCTTAGTGGATCGATGTATGTTGTAAGGTTACCGCTAACAAGACGCAGCAGGCCCTTGGTTCCGCTCGCCAAGTCGGTGCCGATGATTTTCTGGATTTCGGAGTTTTTCTCGGTGACCAATTTCTTCAGATCCTCCAGCTCCTTTTGCTTCGTCGTGGCGAATTTGTGGAGGGCGGTGGTTTTGAGGTTCCTGATCTTTTCGGTGACTTCCTTTTGGATTTTGTCGGTGATGTAGGAGATGCAGGCGTTTACTGTATTTGGAATGGTTTCGTTGTGGAATTTTTCGGCTGCGGTTTTTATTTGTAGCAGAGTTTCAGGTATGCCAGAATAATCGCCTGAAGTGCCAATGATTTTGGTTCTGATTTCTTCGTAGATTTCTCGAAGATGCATTTTAAGCTGGTACGATTTTTCGCGTTTGCCGTCATTAAGCATTGAATACAAATCGTCCAACAGTCTGAGCGCGCCCCTTTTATCTCCTGGATGGTCATTCTCTTTCTCACTATTCTCCAGCAACCCCTTCACTTCATCGCAAAGGATTTGCAGCTTGGAGTTAACTTTGTTGCACAATACTTCGAAGGTTTTGCTATCGAACGTATTTGGATTGTTACCATCTTTCTCGTTCACCACCTCTTCCAAATGGCCTTTTCCGTTCACAGTGGTCTCGATCTGCTTGATGGCCTTGGGGAGTTTGTTTTGTTCCGGACCGTCGTCATTAACATTCACTTTACCGGACAAAAGGGCTTCCAGTTTTCTTTCGTCTTGGTCGACGAAGGCTCTGTAACCTTGGAAGTTATCAGAACCAGTGGCAAGGGTGGTTATTGTTTTTGTAGTATCATCCTTCCCGATCTGCGTTGTCAGCTCCCCGCTCACATCATTGATTGCGGTGTCAACGGCTTGGGCGTAGCCGATGCCGTCATGAATGGGTAGGCCAAATTCATCCATCCCAAGCGCCGTATTTAGGTTAGTGGTCAGCTCATTGGCCAGACGAAGCGCAGTGTCTGCGTAGCCGAAATTTCCATCACTGAGAAGCTTTTGGATTTTTGCCGCAGCGCCCTGGGCACGGCCGACGAGTTGGTGAAGTATGCCTTCGACGGCGTTTTGAAGTTCGCCATCTTGATGGCTATGACTCTGCCCTGATTGAAATATAGATAAATCATCCTCAATCGACCTGGTTATTTCCTGAATTATATCAGACACCTTAATATCAGACTTCATGCCCTTCGTAAGCTTCTCGGCGAAAGAAGTAAGAAAACTTGCTATTTTTTTCAAATTCACTGTTACCTCGGTGTTTTCCGTGCTATCACCTTCATCTACCCTTCTAATAACGCCTTGAAGCTTCTTGTCAATAACACTTCTAATCTTTGTCTTAATGGTTTCTTTCAGATCATTTGCACTACTTTTCGTAAAATAATCAGACCCGTTATCCCTAACATACGTCGTGAGAGTCCCATCTACAGCTCCTGTAGGCTTCAATATTTCTTCTAACCATCCATTCAAAACACTGTTTTCGAACGTATTCTTGGCGAACTTCATTGCGTACATGTTAACACCGCTAACTATTCCCGCAAGACCAGTGCTTCCTGAGTCTCCTTTAATTGCCGCAACATTACCTTGAATATCTCCGATAACCTTTGCAATCTTCTTATCCCCCTCCGATACTACACCGCTCCGCTTTCCTTCCTTGACGGCCTTATAAAGCTCCCCAATCTTATCTCGAATACCCGTCACCTTATCCCCTACAGCTTTCTTCACCCTGTACAAATCCTCTTTAAGCTTCTCATCCATTTCTTTCACGGCTCCTAACGCCTGACTAACCAGCCTATTCACTTCCTCCTTAGCCTTAAATGCCTTCTCCCGAAGCTCATCAGCCTTCCGTTGCAAAGCTTCGGCCGCCTGCTCAACGGCTTTTCTTTCAGTTGCTGATGAACCATCTTTCTCCAATTTCCCCAGTATTGCATCACACTTTATTATAGCCTTACCGACTACTTCTTGTGCCTTCCCGATCCATTTCGCCAATGTCTCTTGGGCAGCTTCCAACTTCCTTTTCACGTGATCCATCGGTTTCTGAATTCGGGTTTCAAACTCATTTGTCAATCTCCTAACACACTCATCCCCTTGCTGCAAAGCTTCAGCGATAACCGCTCCTTGAATACTATTTATTCCACCACTTATACTGCTACAAGTAGCATGTAGATCATTCACGCCCAAAATAGCGTTAACGTAGAAAGCGCCAACAGCATTATGCATCAATTTCACGTGCGGATCTAAATTAGATCTAAGTTCGTTATCTACGTATTTAAGTGCCTTAACTGCCTCTTGAGATTTCTCGAGCGGACGTGAAAGAGATTTAATCCAATTATCCAACTTACCAGACGGCTTGGAGACATCATCATAATCTTCATTTCTCCATAATTCAATTTCACCTGAAACAGCATTAAGATCACTACTTAAGTTACCTAATTGTGAGGTAACATTTTGAGTCTTCCCCTTCACCTCCCCTTCATACCTCCCAAGCCACTCACTCACCTTGTCAACCCCATTGAACAAAGCACCAGATCCCTGACCTATGGAAGATTTAAGAGTCTGAAGAAGTTTATTTAATCTTTGATTCTCCGGATCAAAATAACCATCATACTTTGTCACAGCATCATCACTTTGAACACTCTCCAACACGCCCAACAAAAACGCCATCACCCCGTCGCAGAGCCTGTCGAGGTCCGAGTACACGATGCCCGTGCCCGAGTAGCCTTTGGAGTCGGAGTTGAAGCCTAGGAAGGTCTCAAGGCCGGAACAGAAATTGTTAAGAATATTTTCACAGTCTCCACTTTTATGAGTTTTCAGTGACTCAGCATATTGACAAAGCTGATTCAGTGTCTTGAGAGACTCCTTGGAGGCATTATGAGACTGAAGGGATTTGGAATCTTTCTCAGGGAAAGACTCTTTTTTCTGTTCATATTCTTTTTTAGAAGCTTCAAGTGGCTTAATTGTCTTTTCAATAGCCGAATGTTTTTCATGAATTTTCCCATTCACCGCATTTACATGAGTTTGAAACCCATCAAAAATTATTCTATGATCTTTATTTTCCTCAATTTGTTTAATTTCTTTCTCAAGTTCCGCACTAAGCTTTTTAAGTCCCTCACTGAACTTCTCAGGATACTTATCACAATCACACCCCTCCCCTCCGCAAGATTTATTTAAAAGCTTTTCAAGCTGATTTACGTTACTCTGCAAACCATTCAAAATAGCTTTCTGGATTTCTCCACTCCCGCCAATAAAACCCGAAAGCTGTCCAGCAAGCTGACCAAGAGAGATACGGCGGGCATCAATATCATCCAAGGCTTTTCCCCTGGCATCCTCAGTAAGGTAATGAACGTCATTGTAGTGATCATTATACTTGGATTGAGCCTTAGATATTTTATCTTCATTTCCAGATTCTTTCTCTTTTTCAATTGCCTCTTTAAGCGTATGACAATGTGAGTCAGATTCCCAAGATTTTCCAGAGCATTCAAGTTGCTCTTTCCTCTCTTTAAGACTACTAGTAGCATTTTCAATAGCCCCTTCAATCAACTTTTTCACAGCCTCAGCCAAATTGGTAAGACCTTTCTCACCATTCCCATGCCTAACCTGTATCAGCCAGTCGATGGACTCCCGGAGATTTTCCGGACAGTCCGTCAAAGCTTTCGGCGCCATCGTTCAGAAGCACGACATAACAGTGTTCGCAACCTCGAGTAACCAACCTAACAATTCGTGATTGCAGATCCCCGGCTCCGCTGCAAAATGCGATAAGCAGTGGACGATTGATATACACTTTTCGTAGCGCTCAGAACCACATTAGTTATACTTGTGATATATAATGGAACGATTAATAACTCATGGCACAAAGAACATCCACCTAGCTCACCGCTTCCCAACCTTCAATACCCAGACAACTCAAAATCCAAATCCACTGCCGGGGTGGCTTGAAACCTCCCAACCACATTCCAATGCTCAGCAACACAGAGAAACACCCAAATCCGCTGCAACCTACAGATCAATCTTCGCCTCAAACCCTCTCCCGCTCCTATGAAATTCCCGGTCCACCCCACTACCACCATAGACCGTTAATGTGTAAGAACATCTTCCTGAAATGCGCTTAGGAAGCATGGCAAAGAATCTTGTGAATAGAGGCATGCTGCAAACAACCAGCGTAAACGCAATGGAAATATTGTTCCCTCTGCGGTCTTCATGAGAAATGGAATATTCGATACCTTATGTAAGAGAACGCAACGTTTGTATGATGCCGAGGTGTCACCATGAGGAGCAGCAGGGACATACCGGGGTGAAAAGCAACTGTGTGATTGAAGATTATAAAGGGGTAAGTGGATTAAGATGGTAACGATGGATTGCCTAGGCCAACACGGAGAAGACCAAGGAACAGAAGTGACCAGGTATCATAGTAACGAATAGACAAGATAATAACATCACCATCGTGGAAATAGGAATCACCAACCAGGACAACCTAGTGGAGACGGAGATATTCAAGAAACGGAAGTACGAAGCTTTGATAGAGGACCTGAAGGCGCGGCAATTCAACCAGCACACAACGTTCAGGGCAATCCCCTACGTAATGACGTGGGAGGGGATAGTGACAAATAAACACACCAAGTACAGGCGGGACCTGGGCATATCGGATCGCTTAGAAGCCCATATACAACGGGTAGTGATCCAAGAAACACAAAAGCTAGTGTTGAGGGACATGAAACCCAGAGAAGATTATGACTCTGTGAATGACCCTCTCGCCCAGACAGGATGGATGCCACAATGGATGGTACCTGTAGTGCACGATAATTCGACATGGATCCCGCAACCGACACCAGCAGCCTAAGGCGCTTGCCTGGTAAACGCAAAAATTGGCCCAAGCCACGCATGGCCACACAGCACAGTGAACAATGCCAAAACAAAGCTAAGACAAGACGTCTGGCACCCAGCTACCCGGTGTAAGTAAGCTACGACATGAGCTTTTTTGTGATCCTGCATCTGTTGATACCACAAAGGGGCAATGATGGTTTTTAAGGGCACAGTTTAACGTCCGGAAAAGTACACATGTTACCGAAAAGACGGACATTGACCGCTACTCCGCATTCCCGTCTAAGGAGCTAGTGTAGCTTCACACAGCCCAATTAAATTATCGCAATCGCACAAACAATTTCATATCAATCTAGTAGACACGTTGCGTGCTTTCATTGTCACCATTTATTACCAAGCTTGGCATCCAGACCCTGCCTCGAAAAATCGAACGATTACAACAGTGATTCCGAGCTTACACCTCATACCCCGCTACTGCCTCCGACAGCGTCTGGTAGACCCATTAGTTGACCTAGACTTTGTGTAGCCATGTAACATCTAAATACAGTTTAGTGGCTTTGTACTACAACAGCGAACGATACGGCCTGTAAGTGGGCAGTGGCTACAGTATGACCAAATAGAAACAGATCGCACCAGGATTCGTCTCTCACTCTATGGCATAAGCAACGATTGCCTCTCAGTGAATTAAACCAATTTATGCCATTAACCAATTTCACTACACTGATTAAACCCATGTTACCCTCTACTCAACCTAACCCTACATCGCAATATACTCGGCAACTTACGGTTCACCGTTGACATTATATGTTCATAGCACACTTGCAATCTCCACTTACTCCATTAAACGTAAGTGCCTTTGGTTCAGCACAGAACTCTCCACTGATTCTCATTATGTTATGTTTCTGGTTGCAGATTCTGTGGTGAGTGCCTACGTATGGCTTGCGTCGATTTTCGGGGATAGAGGGCTTCATAAAGGAGAGAGTACAACACCACAATTATGACCTTACTAATCGGTAAAACATTGTTAATAGATCTTGTGATTGATCATAATGGTGTAGACTAAACCGCATAGAACCCTGTTTGCAGCGGCTTGTCAGCTTCACGAAACATCAGCCACAGCGTATTTTTTGTTAAAAGCGGTTAAGTTTCATCCATATGTCATCAATATTACCAACAGTAGTCATGTTGTGCAACTGGAATGATGCATATCACATGTGAATTTTCCGCCACGCTGCAGCAGAGCAGCAGCCTTCCACTGCGCGGAATATAAAATCCGGCGGCAAATTGGTACCACACATTCGCATCAACCGTTATCAACGCGTTGTGTATTACAATGGTGTCCTACAAAAATCGCTTTATGTCTGTAAACTCGTGGGTTCAGGTGTGCGTCCACTATTACACATCAGAAACCAGCACGCGAAGCTGCGGCGTCAACTGGATAAGTTGCATCGGCAAATTGCAAAGGACATAAAGCTTGTATGTGTGGCATATATGCCCGTTTACCCAATTGCAGCGTGTCAAGGTGGCCCGCAACGAGCTGGCACAATGCGACTACTCGCGTGTGCTCTCGAATGCCAAAAATGCCCTGGTGGTGGGCCTGCTGTAAACCATCTCTTATTTTCACAGACATATAGCACTGCGATCATCAGCGGGGCCACTCGAGGCACGGAATCCGTCTCTATCACAGGTAACTTTTACCGTCCTCTATGCACATTGTGTTAGACAAGTCACTGGCCAAGCAGAAGGCCTTCTGTTCCCAGAGCGAGAAAAAAACTCGTTCATCAACCTTCAAAAAGGAAGAATCTGAATTTAACAACTTTATCAACGGGTTAATCCGGCGAGTAGACAAGTGTGCTGAGGCACATCGGAAGGCCGATACACACGACGAGGACATTCTCGATGCTATCTGTGCTACAAAGTGAGGCTTCATGTTCAAATATACTAAGCGTTAATTTTACTGCACCTACAGCGCCAGTGAGCGTCACTTAATGCGCCGCGGTTACACGTTGCACGTCGGTAATGTTGGAAGGCAGCGCACCCGTCGTTGTGATTTAGAATATCTGCCAATTGCAAACCATACATTTTGTTAAACTTATCTTTTTCGAGGCACTTTAGGTCTGTCGTCAGCCTCGGTATCGCAGGACATTACCATGGGTGCCGCCTGAAAATTCTAATCGCATTTCTTACCTTATTTTGGGGCTTTGTTGGTGCAATCTCTATACGACAGCTGGTATTGGTGCTGTGCATAAGGCGTGTAGTTTTGGGGTGATTCCAGCCGCTTAAGTTGGCTGGGTTACATCGGCTCTGTGGGATTCCGTAGTATCCTCATCACCATGAAGAAGAAGGTGACGTCCGATATTCGGTCGCTCGTAGAGCACGCCGTAGAGACAGGCGAGCGCTGTCTGTTCGTCATTGTGGGCGACAAGGGCCGTTTGCAGGTGTCTAATCTGCATTACTTGCACCAGCGTGTTTCTGGCAATAAGGCCAGGGTGCTGTGGTGCTACAAGAAAAGCCTAGAGATGTCGTCGCACCATCGCAAGCGCCACAAGTTACAAAAGAAGCTTGCATACCGTGGATTGTACGATGAGGCTACTGAGGACCCGTACGAGCTGTTCCTCCGTACCACCGAAATTCGCTACTGCTACTATAAGGAGTCTCAGAAGGTTCTTGGTCAAACATTTGGCTTTCTCGTACTCCAGGTATGTGTAACGTCTTTTGTATAATCGTATTTTCCGTACTTTATGTAATGCTTCTGTGAATGGCCGTAAATACGCTAACATTTTTGTAGGACTTCGAGGCACTAACGCCAAACGTGCTATGCCGTACAGTTGAGACGGTACAGGGCGGAGGCGTAATAGTTCTGCTCCTACACACGATGTCATCTCTCAACCAGCTGTACGAGATTTCTATGGACATACACGCCAAACTCGTAAGCCACGGCCACAGCACGATTGAGCCAAGATTTGTGAAACGTTTTATTTATTCGTTGGCAAGTGCGCGCAACACAATCGTCGTTGACGACGAACTAAATGTGCTCCCGATAGCGAAGATGACGCTGTCCGATTTGACGAAGTCGCGGAGCGATAAAAAGCTGAGCAAACTGCAGCTCTCTCTGAGCTCAAGCGAAGAGGACGCCCTGGAGATGAAGATTTTGACAAAGATTTCTACACTGTGTATCAAGCATGGCCAGTTGAAGGCTCTGATAACGCTGTTCAATGCAGTTTCCAAGGGCGCCGAGATTCAGCAGCGCCTGAACATAACGACGATAATTAGCGCTCGTGGTAGGGGAAAGAGTGCGACTATCGGGTTATTTTTATCATCCGCATTGAATATGGGGTTCCGCAACATTCTGATCGTTGCGCCCGCCGTGGAGAATGTTCAGACACTATACAGCTTTTTGGAGAGCGGTTTGCAGCTGCTGGGCACACCCGACAACTCCAAGGTGGTCGTTTCGCGCAAAGATGGCTACGTGGAGTGCTTGACGCTCACCGTGAGGGGAAGCACATGCGTGAAGTTTGTTGAATCGAGCACTATCGACCCCAAAGTGGGTGCCAACAACTACCTGTTCGACATCTTGATCATTGAGGAGGCTGCGTCCATACCTCTGCCAATCGTCGAGTCTTTGTGCAAAAAGGGCATAGTTATAATTTCCTCCACAGTTGGAGGTTACGAGGGTACCGGCCGGTCCCTAAGCTTGAAGCTTATTGAGCGTTTCCGTAACACGATACCGGATGCGCTCACCGAGATCACGTTGAAGGAGCCCATCCGTTACAGCAAAAACGACTCCATTGAGAACTGGCTCAACGGAGTGCTGTGTCTGGGCACCCCTGTGGATGATCCGAAGGAACGCACGACGTTGCCGCCTCCAAGCAAGTGCCAACTTTACGTGGTAAATCGTGATGTGCTGTTTTCGTACCATTCCAAGGCTGAGTCCTTTTTGAACTCAATTACGGCTGTGTTGTCGTCATCGCATTACCGTAACTCCCCGGACGACCTGCTGTTGCTGAGCGATGCACCAGCTCACAAGCTGTTTGTGCTTATGGCCCCAGGTTTGGACTCCGAGAACCAGGATTCGGTATCAGCGCTGGAGAGTCGCGTTTTTTGCGTATTGCACGTGGCCATTGAAGGCAGAATAAGCAAGCTGGTTGCGAAGGAGGCTGTGGCGCAGGGCACCACTAAGAAGAGTGGCGACCTGATTCCGTGGACTCTGACCCAGAACTTCTGCAGCGAGGACTTTTGCCAGTTGCTGGGTGTTCGTATAGTGCGAATTGCTGTTCCTCAGGCACTTCAGAATATGGGATACGGATCGGAGTGCCTCTCTCAGTTCATAAACTGCGTCAATGGTGCAGTGAACCAGGTGCCCGCAAGTGACTCCCTGCTGGTGCCTGTGGATCCTGCCGCCGGCCTTGAGGATGGTGCGGAAAAGGTTGACTATGTTGGAACATGCTTCGGATTAAACTCTCAATTGCTCAAATACTGGATTAAACAGTCGTTCAAGCCAGTTTACTGTCGGCAGGTACCGAACGAGGCGACTGGCGAGTTCTCCATAATATTGCTGCGCGCAACCGACACTGCCACATCGGCACCCGACTCTGAGGACTCTCAGAAAGAGTGGTTGAGTGAATTCTGCTCCGATTTCTCAAGGCGCCTTCTCGGGCTATCTGGTTCGTGCTGGCGGTCGCTGCCCGCCACATTGGTGCTCATGCTGCTGACGGCTTCAAGCGAGCACATCAAGGCGCATGACGACAAAACTCTTCTCGAGGTGGTTAGTTGCATTATACATTATATAATTACGCACAGTTTACTTCTTTCGATTTGGGTCGGCTCGAGCGCTACTCTGCGCAACTCGCAGAGTTCACGTTGGTGACGGACCTGCTGCCCATAATGTGCCGCTTCGTGTTTGAGAAAAAGGTGGACATTTCGCTGTCCTACTTGCAGTGCGCAATACTGCTCGGTATCGGCTGTCAGGGCAAATCCCCGATGGCTCTATCGCAGGAGCTTAACATGCCGCTCAACCAGACGATGGCGCTACTTCATAAGAGCGTGAGCAAGTTCTCCAAGAAGCTGAGTCTGTTGGAGAAGGAACAGGTGGCTAATTCTCTTTGAGCATTCCCTTCTTTTTCGCGCTGCTTTGGTTGACGTAATCGAGCCACAGTATGGCGTCTGCCTCCCACTCCTTGAGGCGCGCTTCCAGTTTGTTGATTGTGCTTTGCTGCTGTTGTATCACGTCGTCCTTTCTCTTGACCAGCTTTTGTGTTTCAGAGTCCTTGCGGTATAAGGCACTCACAAGCGCCTCCAGCGTGTTCGTCCCCGATTGCCGCAGTACCCCGTCCTCCGCAGGCCGGTCAGTCGGGGTCAGCTTGAGTAGCGGCAGCTGCGATAAAAGCTGCGCCTGGTCCTGCAGCATTTGATTGTACCTGTCCTGGTGCCCCCTGACCACGACGTTGAGTTCCTGCTTTTCCGTCTCGAAGCCCTGTTCCAGCGCTTTCTTCTGCTTCTGCAGGCGCTGGTTTTCTGACTTCAGGTACTCGACTTGCTTGCGCAACGCTGTTATTTCGGCAGCCGACTCCTCCTTGGTAGCTTTAAGCTGCTCCACGAGCGAATCAAGCGTCTTCGCGTTGGGTTTCACCTCTCCCTTGATGACGTTCTCGAACTGTGTGAGGAAGTCGATCTGCTTCTGCATCGCCTGTATCTCAAGCTCGTGCTTGGACTCCGCCTTGAGGTAAATGTCGGCCATTTCCTCGAACAGCAGTGCCAAGTTGTTGTCAGGCCCGAATGCATCGCATATCACTGAATATATTGCGTCCATGATCTGCTCACAGTTCTGTCCGAAGTCCTTGACATCGAGTGCTTTTATCGCCTCCAGCGCAGCTGCATACGCGTTCGCCGCTTCTGCGTTACTCTCGGAGGCCTCCATCTGCGACATGAGCTGTCTGTTCTGTTCTCTGAGCTGCTCCACCTGTTGCTCCAGTGACTCGCGCTGCCTCCCCTCCGCTCCAAGTTTGAGGCTAAGCTGCTGCACATTTTCGATTAGGTCCTTTATGCTTGTGTGTTTGGTCTGCACACACTCGTCACTAAGGCCGTCGAGTGCTGGGACGGTTTCCGATTCTACGGTCGAGACCCTGTCTTGGTCCACCTCCCTGGCCGTGTACCGCTTGACCTGGACGCTATCGTCGAGGGCGTTCTTCGCCCACTCGACATCGTCAGGGCTTATAACGCCGAACAAGTACTCCTTGTTCCTGTTCTTGTCCTGAGGCGTGTGTTTTGCGCGATGTGTATGTCCTACCCTCGCGGCTGCCTTGCGCCTGGCGGCAACCACCTCGCTAAAGGCGCTGCACATTATGCACGGGTTACAGGGAGTCAGTATTCAAACATTGTTCATTACTACTAAATGTGTTACGCCGCCGAGTCGGTCGGCCTTACAATGGTGTCGGGCATGGCAGCAAAGTGAGAGGCGAGGTCGCGATCAACTTTTTCTGCCCAGACAGCCTCGATCACTTTGCGGTTGCCCTCAACCATAGGTATGTGTTCTTTGCCGTCGACGTTGAATGCTTTGCTGCGAATGAATGACTTAGGCGAGTGTGTGTCGTCATCCCGGTTGGTCGGCGTGTCCAACGCGTTGATGGACATTGGCGAGTTCGTGCCGCTTTCGGTTCCCAGTATAGAAGACCCATCTGTGTTGGATCGGCCCCTGAAATCGTGTTTGTCGGCGTCTCCGAGGTCCACCATGGTCGTTATTGTTTCGATGTTCTTCCTAGGGCACTGGGTGCGTACCACGAAATGCGCAGTGTCCAGGCGTATATCCGAGTAATCCCTAGGCGTTTTGAGTTCCCTGGGCAATTGGTCTCCGGCGAATCTGAAATCTGCGAACTCGGATTCGTATTCCACAAACTCCTTTTGCAGCAGTTTGCCGAGGTCGATGGGTCCGACTTTAACAACCCGGACGTGATCAAGAGTGATATGACCCGGTACAACCAGTTCCGCTTCTTCGTCCTGTTCTACCAAATCCATAAGACGATGAGCGTTAGTGATATCGCATTCTTGTAAGAAGATCCGCGGCCCGCTACCGAACGGGATACGCAGGATGTCCTCTGCATCGACGCTGATATTTCCAGTCAGGTCAAACATGGTGACTCCTGAGAAGGCTGACAATCCCGAAACTTCGGAGATGCGGTTGTTTGCCATCAGCAAGCATCCAACAGTTACCGATGTGTCAGGTTCTGCCAGTACGCAGGTGATCTCGTTAGCCTCCAGGTCTAGGAGGCTGTACTCTGCGCTCTTCACTACAGTTACAGGGTAATCCACTTCGTCAGCCGTTGCTAGAACGGTTGCTTCCCCTGCTTTCCTCGCGCACAAGGACGTGAACCGATTCTTCCTGAGTTTGACAGTGCGCAGGCTATTCATTTCCCACAGTGGCTTAAACGCGTCGATATTGTTGTTGCTCGCATCCAGCACCTGGAGATTTACGAATTGCTCCAGCCCTTCGAGTGAATTGAGTCCACACATCTGCACATGTAGTTCCCTGACATCGCTGAACGTGAGTCCAACTCCGTCCATGCTCTCGGAAATGGCCGCATCCCACAGGGAGTCCAGCGGTTGTCCACTGAGGTTCAGAATCATCTTCGTTCTATTGAAAACGCGACCGCTTCTATATAGATTTACGATATGGCGTTAGACGCTAAGGTATTGACCGATCCTCCGTCACAGTTACGCACTATGCGTGGATACACGCATATGCGCCCGTACCAAGCGCAAGAAACCAACCCCTTTTCTCCCGTATTGATCCGTACCAATTGTAACCGAGCGGCTGCCTTCGTTGAGCTTCAGTTGCGTGCGTGCACGCAAGTAACCCACTCGTTTGTTTAAAAACCGTTTCTCCACGGTTACTGCACAGAATTCAACACGTAAATCTATTAAAAATATTTAAAAATCTGGTATAACAGTAGATCGCTATAATATACAATGCAGTACACGGGGGTCCGTGCCCCCCGGATGCAACATCATATGCATAAAATGCGACTAACCGTGTTGCCAGAAGTTTTGTCCATGCAACTGAGGCGCACAGCAATATTCATAGATGCTTTCTAGGCATCTACAGTTGTAACGATGTGTGAGTATATGTGCTTATGCGTGATTCGTTACGATTTGCGTGCTGCGATTGCGGGCGTTCCTTCTACACATTTCTGCGTTATCGGTAGCAATTTGTACTGCATGCCCTATTTTCCACTGTGCACGGCGCGATTTATCGACGTTTAATGCTTGTGTGCGTGTTTAGACACGAGCATACCCCTTATCGTATGTGCAGTGCTTTGCGTTCCCGGATCTCGCACACATCATTATGCCAGCTGATAGCAGTCTGTATTGAATTGCGCTGTCGTCAAATTGCAGCGTATATGGCTTATAGAGCCCTTTATGATTCGCTTTGCACTGCTCGGTCTTTGCGACTCCTCGTATGGCGCGGAAGGGCTTTATATTAGAGGGTGCTCCGGCCTTCAACGATATATGGATACGTTGTAATTGGTATGCCATATGGCAGCGATGTGTATCGAAGCCATTTCAGCTTAAGGGCATACCCTGCCTGCTTCCGTAGACCTCCCAGGCTGCGCGTTTCCGTGTAGTACCGGCAGAGGCAAGCCGTGTAATTGACGTTGCACCACGCCACAACAATTAATACAAACATAAATTCTTACAAAATCTGAACTAAGTCAGTACTCCTCGAGGAGGTAGTCCCCACCCGGATTCCACGCCAGGGTTTACTGCCTATTATAAGTCGTCCTTCAAGATGGCAAGCGGGACGCAAACGTATAATTTTAAGGTGGGTGTAGCTTGTGTAAAGCGTTTTAATGACGGATTCAGGGTATCACCACGATCCCTACGGCCACGGCGCTGCTGGACACCGTGCTGTCGGAAACCCAGCGCCGCACGCCAACGGAGGTCCACAAGCAGTTCAAGATATCCCGTATTCGGAAGTTCTACATGCGCAAGGTGAAGTATGTGCAGCAGGCTTTCCGAGACCGGCTTCAACGCATCTTGAGCCAGTTGCCTCAGTTGGATGTAGGTGTTTTATGCTCTGATATTAACTTTACGTAGGACATCCACCCCTTTTACAGCGACCTATTCAATGTGCTGTATGACCGTGACCACTACAAGCTCGCATTGGGGCATTGCAATGCAGCTCGTCGTCACCTGGACAAAATCGCAAAAGAGCACGTAGGATTGATCAAGTATGCGATCTCCGCTTATCGCTGTAAGTCGCTCAAGGTCGCCGGCCTGGGTCGCATGGCCAAGGTCATCCGCAAGCTGGCTGGCAGTTTAAAGTATCTGGAGGATGTGAGGCAGCACATGTCCCGTCTGCCTTCGATCAACCCCTACACGAGGACCCTGTTGCTGACCGGTTACCCAAATGTGGGTAAATCCAGTTTCATGAACAAGGTCAGCAAGGCCAACGTGGACGTTCAGCCGTACAGCTTCACCACGAAGAGTCTGTACGTGGGCCACTTCGATCACGACTACCTGCGTTGGCAGGTGATCGATACACCCGGTCTGCTGGACCACCCCCTGGACGAGCGCAACACCATCGAGATGACAGCCATTACTGCACTCGCGCACATATACTGCGCAGTGTTGTTCTTCATTGATGTCAGCGAGTCCTGCGGTTACTCGATCGAGCAGCAGGTTGCGCTCTTCGAGTCAATCCGCCCGCTGTTCAAGGACAAGCCTACATTGGTGGTGCTGAATAAGATCGATTTGGGCCCATTTGACATGAATCGCATGGTTAGTTTGGATGGTTTACGCTGGGTAAAGGTGTCTGCCTTGACTGGCGAGAACGTGGACGACGCCAAGATTGCCGCTTGCCGGCTCTTGCTCGAGTCGCGTTTGGAGAAAAAGCTGAGCCAAGCGCCGCAGAGCGCGGTGCTTAAGTTGGCTTACGTGACCAACGTTACCCCTAACCCTTCTCGTCCCCCCGCTGAGCGTCCTGAACACGCTGGTTCCGGAGAGGTCGAAACCGAGAAGCAATTGGAGGCGATGGGCGGTGGTCCTGGTGTATACTCCATAGACCAACGCAAGAATCACATATTGGCTGACGACGATTGGAAATACGACGAGGTGCCCGAGATTTATCGCGGGCGCAACGTGGTCGACTACGCGTACCCCGGTAACGAGGAGACCTTGCGCCGCCTGGAGAAGGAAGAGGAGCTGCTGTTGCGCCAACTCGCGGATGACACCATCGATGACGAATGGGAGGACCTTGCCGAACGTGAGGCATCGTTGCACTCCCGCATTCGCCAGGTGAAGTTCGAGAGCTCGCTGAAGCGCAAGAAGGGCGGACCAGTGCTGAACGAGACCATAAAGGTCAAGAAGATGCGCAGCAAGGGCAAGGATCGCATCAAGTTGCACCAGCGTGCATCTCGTCTTGCGCCAATGCCCATCGACACAATTGAGGGCAAGCTCGAGGAGGCCAAGAGTCGCCAGAGGCAGGGCCAAGGTGAATCAGTGTCCTTCGCTCGCCCTAAGGCGCGTGTCAAGGTCCCCAAGGGCACATTCAGCGAACACGATCGCACGATAGCGGTGAAGCGTCCGAAGCACATGTTCACCGGCAAGCGCACGTTGGGTAAAACATCCCGCCGTTGACGCTTACCCACCAACTTTCGCTCTAATGCAGATTTGGCTCCTTTGGCCACGTATTTGTTTGATTTTTTTGTGTCTTCTTGGTATATTCTGATGAAAGAGCAATTTCGTAGTGCATGTTGCAACACGCTATCACGTAGCAACCTTTCGGCGCCTGCTGACAGCAGCATCATTTCAGCATACTGACATGCATGTTTGTAGTGCAGTTGCGGTGTTCTGGGTAACTGTCCATGGTGGACATCGTGAACATACTGCTATGCCATAGTGTGGCCACCACTGCCCGTAAATCTGAGATGAGGTGCCAATTCGCGTTCGTACCCAATAAAACGATCATCACGAACACGGGTACTCTATTCGCCCTACTAACGGAGTTATATGCTGACAAACCTACAGCAGCCGCCTTTTGACGGTAGCCTGGAGTCATGAAAATGCTGGAACATGCGCCTAGGCGACAACGGTAGCTAACACACGTAATCAGGTACCGCCTAGACAGTATGCATTGAAGATATGTTACGTCATGGCCATTCTATTCAATAGATAGTTGTTATTACTTAGTTAAGAACATTGTTCTTCATCTGCATTCTTTTCAGCGCAAATTACGCATCTAACCATACCTGTACCGGCACATTGTCGAACTACTCTCCCTTCCTAAGAAGTTTTGGCGCGCCTCCAACGATCTGGGCAATGTTTTATCGTGGAAGGACTAAAACCAACCGCACTCCCGATGGGCACACCAAAACCGAACTCCATGACGCATATTATTGTGATCGGGAGAATCAAAGCGCTCACAACGCCCAGAACGCAACAAATAAACCTCCCGGTGCATCCCATTTTGACGACTCTCAGTAATTTGTAGTATAAGCTATGCGTAGGTGAAATATGAATGACTAAGAAACACAAACCTGTTGACGAGTGGATCCGCGGTGTATTAACTGGTTATCCAGTTATTACTATGAAACTGATTAATAGATTTTTATGGCAAATCCAGTTTTTAAACTTGCGTTTTTGACATCGCTGTGGTTTGGCGAGTGTGAGTAGCGTGGCTGCTGTGACAGCAGGTGGTACTTTGGTCTCATGAAGGCAGAAAATTCCGTGCTGCGCCGGAACGGGCAACTCAGTTCCGCGGCATAATCGTTTATACGTACGCATATTTGGCACTCTTAGGCATCATTTGTGTATTAATTATAGCATAGAGACAGCTGGATGTCTATGACACGGGCATTAGTTCGTCTATCAACCTGATGCTCTTCGCCAGCGCTTCGTCGGCGCACGGTAGCAACATGATCACTTTTCTGAGTTCCTCAGGGTTTTTGATATGCGGTAGCTCTTTCTTGACAATCTGTAGTGCGTCGTGAGGTGCCATTGAGAGCGCCCGGATGAACTTGGACATTTCACCGTCGGCAGCATATATGCCATCTCTGGTCAATAGGCGTTGCCGGACGTTATCCAGTGCAGTTGCGCCAATTTCCTCGCCTACGATGATCCTCGCCTCGCGCAATTCTTCTGGCGTTAGGCTGAGAATGCGTATGGACAGGTTGACAATCCCCTGCAGTGTGTCAAAGTTTTCCTCCCCTCCTTCGAAGTGTAGTGCGAAGAAGTCCTCTATCGTGTACGTGAATATCCTTGTTTCTGCCTTTTCCTGCCCGAGGTTAATGCAATCGTTGATGATATTGATGAACCAGTGTATCCGTCTTGACCTCTCAAACGGTATGAACTTGTTGAAGTCCTGCCCCCGGAGTATGGTGACTAGCTTCTTCATTGCATCGAGGCCGCTCTCCGGATCATACCACTCACGTATACGGATGCCTACGTGTGTTTTGTAAATTTCTTCCACATCCTTTGGCCCCAGCTCGTACGCCTTGTGTAGGTGCTCAACTTCGTTAAGTGATTCTAGGCAGAGTTCCTCGTCGCTGAATTTCTGCAAGAAATGGTGATAGAACTTCCTGCCTAGTCGGTTGAGCACTTCCTTCCTCTGATCTTTGATGAGGCCATATATGGCGCACTGTTCGTTTAGTTTTTCCTGGTCCACAGTGCCGTATACGTCGACAAGCGATATAATGAAGGCTCCAATGATCTCTTCCATGATAGCATTGTTTTGAGCCCTAATTGTAAAACGCATCCTGCGTTTTCCATCTACCATGTACATTACCCCTAGCCTTTTAAATTCGTTGATTATGAATTCGCACATGTCTAGGAACTGCCGACCTGGTGTGCGTTTCATCATTAATTTATTCGCTTCCACTATCAGGTAGTCGTACTCGGTCTTGCGGAGTATCATGTTGAACGGGGTTTCCTGTATGAGGAGTTCCTTGGCGAGCGGCTTCAGCTCCTCCTCTACAGCCTTCGGCCAATCCTGCGGCGAACGCTTCATCACAGCTCCGCAATGCAGGTCCAGCGCATGCTGCGAACAATGAGAAATACACATCTAATCACTTACCGAGAAGCATTTTGTGTGTATTTCCTCGATCTTTTGCGGCGTGAGCTTGAAGAACGCTTGTATCTTTTTGATGTTCTCCAACTCCAGCTCGGACGGGACGTTCGACGAGTACAGATACGTTATCCTATTGTACACTGATGGGTCGAAAGGATTGAAATAGCGATCTTCTACATCGCCGATGTCATCCTCGATGTGTTCCACGTAAGCACCGGTACGCTTCAGCAGATCTTCTTCGTAGGCTATGGCGCAGACATTTTGGGCCATCTCTTCGTCGCAGTCCAATTCCTTGCACCAATCGACGTTTGACCCCAAGCTGCACGGACCATTAGATTTGGTAACGGAGTGGACCGCTTACCTGTCCTTCTGCCTCAGTCTCTGTCTGGCGTACAGCCGACGCCAGTGTACATCACTCTTCTCCACTAACCTGCACGCCATGTGATGGATGTGTATGAAACCTACTTTTCTAAAAACGGGAATATTGTCAGAACAGTCTTGACGTCTTCCTCCTTGACGGCCCTCTTTCGGTAGCAATACACGACCCAGCATGCGTAGGCCAATCTACTGTCTATTATAGGGCGTTGAAGGGCGTACGGGTCCTCGGGATACTTGAAATCAGGTTCATATTCCCATTGTTTGGGCCTCTCGCCGACGTGGAACTCGTTTGGTATGCATTCTAGCCTGGGGTCTAGTTCCCCCTTCTCAACCATCCTCGAGAGCTCCATCTGCAGCGGTATGGGAGTCAGGTTATCTTCGCCTGTGATCTTGAGAGGTTCCACGTTCTTCAAGTCTGCTTCCCAGTCTTCCACGAGCTGTTTCCACTCCGACTTTTTGGGCGGTGGGTCGAGCATCTCCCAGTCGGCGTTTTCAATTTTGGCCACCTTACCGGTACCTAGAATGCGGTACCTGTCGAGATTGGGATCAATGTACTGGAGGTTGTTCCTGAAAGCGCGCTCAAGCCGATACCACAGCTTGCAGTCAATGGTGTCCGCAGCCGCATTTACGACAGCGTTTCGGCCTCGTAACAGTACAGTCATGTATTTTTCGACGAGGTTCCAATTAAGTTTGTTTCTCGCATTGATCATTTCTTTTTTCGCCTCTGCAGCTGTCTTCTTGATTACCTCGCATATAGCATTGACGAAAACCAGGTCTCTGCACCTATAGCGCTGCATTATCTCCCTTATTTGGTCTGGGGTTACTGCTGTGAGGTCCCACGTCGCTAACTCATCTCTGAGGTTCTGGAACAAGGCCACACTGCAGGCGTCAAGCGCCACCTGCTCGGATATATTCGCAACCCTTGCCATTTCCAGCACTTCATCGTGGTTTAGTGCGTTGGCTTCGTGCAACTGCTGGGCAAGATAGAACATCGCGTCGTTTTTGATCTCCTCATTGTGCTTTTTCGCTATATGGAACCCTTGTATCATTTTCTCTAAGTTACCCGTCTTATTTCTGATTTCGGCAGCAATGAATTCCACACACTGCTGCTTGAGAAACTGGGTATATTTCGGCAGCAGCCATTCCTCCCTAACATGCAACGCAATGGAGAGCGCCTTCAGCATCTCCAACTTGTACCCTACCTTATGGGCCAAATCGGTTACCGCATCCCTGGCTTCCTGCAGCTCAATTTGCATCCTGATATGTTTCTCTTCATCCGATTCGCCGATGAATTCGTCGTGAGTATCCACGCCATATTCTCTCTGCAGCGTGATCCTCTTGAACTTGCCCCCAATTTGGTCGAGTTCCCTTGCAAACTTTTCCAGGTCGTCAAGCGTCGACGGCGCCATTGGCTGATCCTTGAGGTTGTCCCATGCATCATCTGACACATCCAACTCCTTGATGGCTCTCACGAATTCTTTGTACTTGTCTATCTCTTCGTCTGACTTCCGTTTGAAATTCTGGATGCTGCCGAACGCCTGCAGAACGAATGTTGTAAACAGCATGGCAGTACGCTCGAATTTCGCCACGTCGGGCATCGGTATACCCAATTCTTTGTACCCTTCTTCGTGCAGGTGCGTATAGTCGTCATCAGAAAACTCCGGATCGCCTGAAATCTCCCTGCCCAATACTTCGCCCCCATAAGCGTACGGCAGGTCACTGGATGCGGCGAGGTCGCATGCTGCAGAGTATACCACGCGATAGACGGATGCGCCACATATCGGCAAGCAAATTTCTGCCACCCGCCCTAACTGCTTCGCCAGGAGGTTCCACGTTTTTATCCCTTTCCCTTCTCTCGCCAACCGCATTGCCCTGCTGAATGCCGTCAGCGTGCAGTGTATGGTGAACTTTTCCAAGCCCCTGACCACATCGTCCTTCGGAATAAGCCCACTGTACGCTGCGCTGATGACTGATTGCGGGTTTTCGAATGCGTTGTCAACAAGGTTTTTGAGGGCTACGTTGAATAAATCTCCTTTTACTGTCATGTCCCTCGACAATCCAGCTAGCGCGGCGCCTGCCAGAGCGACAGAGCACACCTTAGGACCGACTATACCATGCACCATATTCTGCGCGCTGATACCACCCACCACTCCGGCAGCACCAAGAATTGCCTGTGACAACAACCCGCCAAAAGCTGCCCCGGCAGCACAGCTTATGGCCGGCACACCTATGAACCTGTAGTAGAAGTTTGGCGGGATAAGGTTCATTCCAGGCCCGTACTCCTCCCTCATGAGCTCTGGTAGTGAGTCTGCAGGCACAGCTTTGTCCTCCGGGTACCACGCGTTGTATATATCCAAGAATCCCTGATCATCAACTGGCCACTTGAGGTCCGGATACGTGTTTACGAAGTGTTTGTACGCCTCTCCCTGTGCCCTTTTGAGGTTCTCTGAGTCCATATACAAATCTTGGTCTGTGTGTTCGCGTTCGGGGTGGAGGTCGATAAACAGTATCGGCGGTTTGTATATGCGATGTACGATGGTTAATATCCTTCTGGCGTTTTCAGGGTTACGTTTCGCCAAATCCGCAACGTGGTCGTAATACGGCAGCCCCATGTACCCTCTTAGAGCGTTCTCGCTGAGTGGCGTGATTTCCATATTGGGGTCTTTGAGCTCTATGCCAAATGGCCACTTGCTCTTCACTTCCGTTTCCTTCTTCCCGCGGACATATTGTATCAATTTGCTCAGGCCAATTGCATCCACCAAAGTCTGCATGAACGACCTCGGCTTCTCTCTCATGTTAAACATTTCCCTGAGCATGGCGGATGCAAGTTCGTGCTTGATGGTTGGGGGCGGCTCTAATCCTAGCTTCTTGCAAACCTCTACGTCGTCATCGGTCGTCTCCTTTTCTTTTCGAATCTTATCTATAAGCTGCATCATGCAGTCCCTTGCGTTGGGCTTGCGACCCCAGTACCTGAGCATCACGTCACTGAGCGGGTGCGCTTCATCCTCGTCCTCATCGTCGGGGTACACTTCGTCAAGCATCTCCCTGAGTCGTTCGATTTCATCCGGCGGCAAATCTATCACCTGTGGTTTTTCGAGGAAAGGATTCTCAAATTTGTCCGCTGCTTGCAGACGGCTATTGCTACGTCCACTACAGACACTTGTAGTGTTGGCAGTGGAAGTGCGTTTTCGGGCCATTTTTTGATCCACTCGAGACGACATATTCATGTGACCCACAAATGTAGCCTCGTGATGGCTCCTTTGCATTTTGCGCCTACCGGCCGGCTGGGCACTGTACGATACCCCGGATCGGCCATCTCCGCATGCTACCTCACTGCAACGCCGCCTAAGTGCCCCTGATTTCTGACAGGAACCCGAGCTGTCACCTGTTGTGTTCACAAGGCAACCCAGGCTCCGTTGAAGTCGCGGTACAGCGTTGTTTGTTGAACTCAGAGAACCGTCGGTAACATGTCGATGCGTAACATGCGGCTTGTGGAGGGCTTGCGCCGGGAATAATGCCGCGATGCAGAGCGAGCATAGTATGGCACACACTGTAATGTGCCCAGTCATGCTCTCGGCTCATCCCGGGGCCGATAGAATTGTTGACCTATGGCATCGGCAGTAACTGCGACGACAAAACCTGCGATAGTACGATCATATTCCCGTGATTCTTTGAACACGGTGCGTCTCCTGAGCTATCCTGCCATGTATAGATGGTTAGATGGATAGATGAAAGCCCTTTGGGCGCTGCAGCACCTCCGTTCTGATGCAACATATATCGACGAGCAGCTACGTTTCGTGGATTCCCTCAGCCTTCTTGGTCAATATCCACTTCTTGCAATCTTTATATGATGGATTTGATGATTTACTCGCTATGGTGTTGTCGCGCTTAGCATAAAACGCCCGGCACAACGCTGCCTTCCACAGTGTCGCGTATTTGGAATCTTCGTCACACATTCGGCGCCGTGCGCGCTTCAGGTCTGTAGAATGCTTCCAGAACCAGTTTAATTAGTCTCACTATGTCAGCTGGTGCTTCTCAGGGTACGCTGGACGTTGACGACCGCATTGCTCAGACAGGGTGCGAAGCGCAGTACCGGCGCCTTGAGGACTGCCTGGACCGGCACGACAGGTATGCTTAGGTGGCGTATAGTACAGCACGTGTCAATATATAAGGATGTGTGTTGTTAAAAATTAGTAAATGTGTTCCATTTCGTCACGTTGGTGATTGCATCAGTTCGGCCTAACTGCGTGTTCTACTCAGACTCTGCTAATGTTTATTCTCCTTTCTCATGCGTGTCTCAGGGTGTGGAAGCAATGCCAGTCTGATCTCCACGAGTTTGGGCGTTGCATGAAATCAAACATCCCGGGCGCCGACGTTAAGCCGGGTCAGCCTCCAGTGTAATGTCTCTCAGTCACATTTCTCAACCTGTAACTCTCGCCATGCGTGCAGAACGGATGGCGCCAACACAGCAAAGCTACTTAGTTGCAGCTTCACTCCATCTTGACTATCATTAAGTAGTTGTCATCTAGCTCTGGTTGCTCCTTGAGTTGCTTCAGCGTGTCTTCGGAGGGCTGCTCGGCAAACTTCTTGTTCAGCGCAATGATTTCAAGCGTTGCCGGCGACATGAAGTCAAACATAGTCTTTGCGGATTCTACGCTCAATAGAAATTCGTCCTTTTGTACCTTGTTCTGCTTGGTGAAATCGATGAACGATAGGTCCTTGAGCTTTTCCATTTTGTTTTTCGCGAACGCCAGGAAGTAACGGCCGGTTTCTCCCGGCACGGGTTTCAGTACGTATCCGCTGTCCCCGAGGGCGGCGCCGGTAGAAGTAGCAAGGTCCCTACCACCGGTGGCCGCGCCGAGAGCCTGCCTAGAAACCACGGCCCTCACCGACTTCGCCCGGCCAACGAGCGGGGTTATTATCTTATCCATTGTACGAATTCGCAATATGAAAATAGTCTACATCTAATCGAAAGATTAATGTGGTTTGTGCTGCTTATACGGTGGCGGGTCCGATGTTCTTCTTGGCCGGGGGCTTAGTGCCGGAGCGGAAGCCGTTCTTGAACCTCCTCGGCATGGTCTTAAGGTAGCGGCACCTGCGAGTGAATGTGCATGGGTTTGATCGGGCTCGGCACATCGCGCCGTGCTGAGCTGAGACTCACCTGCCTGTGCCCGTGGTTCGCCTGCGGACGGCCTTGAACGACCAGTTGTAGCGCCTCGTTTTCTTGTCAGGGTAGCCTGAACGGGAATTAGTGTGTGTTTCGCGATGCATCGTCTGGTTATGGGCGAGTCCGCTAATCCCCGAACATCGTACCCCCTCGCCGTGGTTCCGCGGCGTTTCGGGCGGTACACCGGTTCCATCCTTTTATTACTTACCGCACGAGGCGCACTTCTTCTTCTGGTTGTGGAAGGCGCGATTGCCGCAGCGGCGGCACAGTATGTGGGTCTTGCCGTTGCGGAGACCGAACGACCCCGTACCCTTGCCACATTTACCCATTTTGCACCGCTAAGCGTTTATATAATGCTAAAATGGCGATTTTATAATTTGTTTTAAGCCGGAGTGGAGTTTCCGACGGTGGCGCGCAGTCCACCCCATGGCGAGTGTCGTTTCTACGGTCCGGCAGAATGGCTTGGCTTTGGGGTCAGTTAGACCAATTTATACCGGTGTGTTTTGTCTAAGCCTATTTACGTGCAATGGTGTCCCGTCTATTGCGAATAATTCCGCATCTTCTCGGCCGCAGTTAGCCTCGCTCCGACTACACCTATCGGCGGCGCCTCTACACAGACAGAGGGTGCCGTCTTTCGTATATTCAACTCGCAGATGGGCTACGATTAATGCTGAGGTTCATTCAGCGGCTACACTGAAATGGGAAGCGACACTATGAGCGAACTCTTGTCGGTCTTTTGCTTCTTGCCGCGTGACTTCAGGAGGCTTGCGGTGAAGCTGAGCAGGCTCAGAAGGTTGTGATTTTCTGTCGTGCAGTGTTGCACGAGTTGCTGGAGCTTGTCGATCCACTCAGGATTGAGCTTTTGTGCTTCCTGCATCTGGAACAGCTTGGCATCCAGCAGGATGTTCATGAATGCGATGATGCGCTTGTAGCAGTGGATTTGTTGGTCGCCGAACATGTCAATGTTGTCCAGCATGTAGAACAGCTTTTCTACGATTTCTGCGCATTTTTCTTCGGAGACCTGCTTTCTTATGGCCGCTATCATCTCGTTCTGGTCGCCCTTGGTGTGCTGTATGAGCACCTTCAGCAGTTCCGTGTCCTCGACGATAATCCTCACGGCCTCCTTTTCCTGTACGCATTGATATGTGCGCTATCTTCAACCTACGGGTATGTATATCGACTTTAGACACTCGATTGCGCACGACTCCAACTTGTTCCGCATGATGTGGTCGACGAGTTGGGTATTGATGGTGACCTTGCCGGTGCGTATGAGTTCCGATAGTTCCTCTGTGACGAAGTTAAAGCGTTTAGGTGACCGAATTGCGCATACATATTGCATAATATGCATCACCACGTGCATCAACATTCAAAACGGTAATAATGCCCATGCCACAACAATGTGGCAAGCAAGCTTGCTTATCATACTACAGTCGTGTAACTGCGACGCCTAGTCGTATGTAATTTACCAGTCATATCAATGTCACAGCACTCCAACAACAAACAGTGGAACAAAACAGCCACCCGGATGTTGGCGACGTAAGAACCACGGCAAGACGGTGGCTTACCTTCTGGCTTCTGCACCATCAATTTGTTGTCGAACAGTATGGACACTCTCGTCGATATGGGCGGTTTGAAATGGATCAGCATCAGGCCAGATTCGCCGGCCCGTAGGAGCACTGCCACACGCTTGCCAACTTCGTTGACCTGAGCATGCTTGCAGGTCGCGCAGTTAGACACCACCTACCGTCAGGATCTCTTTGCACTCCGCTTCCAGCGGTATTTTCTTTTCCACGCGGCTCGAATCCGTAATGCCGTGGTACACAATTCTCATGGAGTGGTCGGCAGCTTCAAACTCCATGACGCGTTCCTGCCCCAGGAGTCTCAGGGTGGTTGTGGACCCCGGTGCGATGTTGAGGTGCCTGACCAGCACCATGGCGCAATACAGCCGGTCGTATGTAAGCACGCTCCATTTTCCGTCGCAGCCAATCAGGAACAACTTGTTCGAGCCTATGGCACGCGTCATTTTGGCGCTTTTGGCCTGGCGAAAGAGGTCGTTCCTGAGGAGGGTCAGGCGTCCATTCCGTACCGCGACGAGTGCGATTTTGACGTCCGTGCCCTCGTTGACGTAAGCCAGACAGAAGACACCCGTGTCGACAAAGTCCGCGAAGATAACCTCGCAGTCACACTTGCCGGTGTAGGCCTCGAGTGAGAGCGTACGTTCGCCGATCTGCAGCTGTAGCATTTTGCGCGTACGGCATATGAGCACGTGCAGCAACTCGTCTTCTCCCATCATGTGGACGTGCAAAAGGCGTTTCGACATCTTCAGCTCCTTCACGGCCCCCGCCTTGTCAACCGTATAGAGCCTGTTCCTGGCAGCCAGGGCAAGTGCCTTGTCGTACGTGGATGCCATGCGGCATCTGTACTGGAAGTCGAATTTGCGGACGCATTTTAGCTGCTCCTACGGCCCATGAGGTTGTATGTGTGACCGGCTTACGTTATACGCGTGCTGGCACTTGTCGCTGGAGAAGAAGTAGGCGCCGCCGCTTCGTGCGATAAACTGCGCCCCTTCCGGCAGCGTGCACGACTTCAAATCGTACTCGAAGCCACCGTGCTGCGATTCTGGCGCCATGGTTGAGACTGGCACGGCTAGACGGAAGCGGTCGCGCACCCCCATGGAATCCCGGTGTCGCGCGTTGTACCGCTCTCCCACTCCCGACCTTTCACACGATGATCGTCCCGATTCGCTGCTTCACCTGCGGCAAGGTGATAGGGCACCTCTGGGAGCGGTGGCTGGATATGCTGAAGATGAACGTTAGCGAGGGGTAGGTGTAGGAAGGCTCTGTCTTGAAATTTCGCAGAGATGCCTTGGACCGCTTGGATTTGACGCGCTACTGCTGCCGCCGCATGATTCTCACGCACGTGGACCTCATTGAGAAGCTCCTGGTCTACAACAGTAGGTTCTTGTGTGTTGGCTTTGACGCCGTTCAGTCTACGACAAGCGCAACCAGGATAACTTCTAACTGACACTTTGTAATCGCATACTACATTTACATGTGTGTAGCGTGGCCGTCGCCCATACGGGATGCCCAGACAGCACCGTATGATGTCGTAGGCGCACGGTCCATGACCGCGGCCGCAGCTATGGCATCGCAGATATTAATCGCTTGAATATTATACACGTGTTTGCTAGGGGTCTCAGACCTCCCCGTAGTATGACTTGAAGTATTCGTCGTATTGGCGATTCAATGTGCTCACGACAGGGGTGGACTCCGAGGGCATGACGTTGACGTAGATCGGTGTGCTGTTTTTGGGTGTGATGGCGACCATCGCCTCTGCCGCGTTGGAAGCGTGGTGGAGCCTGACTTCCGGAAAGTCGTCCAGGTCCAAGTCCTTGATCAGGACGTCGACCTCGTTTTGGCCGTTGGTGAAAACGACGGCGTCCAGCTTGAGGCCTCCAGACAGCATCCACGGCACATAGTACGAGATGGTGTCGTTGTTCTCGGCGATTTCCACCAAGTCGTCCCTGGTTCCCTTGAAGCTGATGTTGATTTCGAGCGGCTTCTTCGGGACCTCGGTGACAGAGCGGGTCTCGAGGTTGGCGGTCAACAGCTTCGCCTTCCTGCCGGCTGAGCTGATGTCACCGAGATGGACCAATATTTCGGTAATTTTACCGTCCACCACCTCAGAGGTGGTGTTCAGAACCCTGCAGAGATTGGTACCGCCGTCCGGGATGAGGAGCCTTCCGTCGTACCTGACGTCTCCGATCCTGTAGTTGACGGCGAACTCGGGTCTGATACGGTAGTAACTGTTGTTGCCATCCTGGACCCTAACGACCTGTTCGGCAGCCTTCGCTTCGGGGGCCAAGTCGACCGCGACAGGCTTGCTTCTCATGCGCACGAAGGTGATCTCACCATCCGCCACCCTGCTGCGGAAGGCCTCCACGACGCTGTCGCCCTCCTCGGTGAACGACCTTACCACGATGTAGGACATGAAGTACTCTTCTGCGACGTAGACCTCCCTCATCTTGAAGTACCTGTTGTAGGGCACAAGGGTGGTGTCACCGAAGGTGACGGCACCCATGGTGATGTTGTAGAGGTCCTTGCACACGTAGAGCTTGACGAACCTACCGAGCCTGTCCTTGCAGAACACATCTGGCAACATGTTAGTAAACACGTCCATTATGCTGAGCGAACGCGGCTCCTTGTGCCTTTCGACGAACAGCATGGTTTCATCCCCGAGGAAACCCTGTTTGAGCACGTACTTGCTGTAGAACCTGACGCTTTCGTTCATCTGCTGGGTGACGAGCAGCTCGTTGAAGTCGTACAGGAACTCTGTCGAAAGCGCGTTGCTTTGGTTCGGCGCGACGATGTTGTTCTTGTACTTGATGGATCCTATCTTCATGTTCGGCAGGGCGGCCGTGACATGGAACTTGCCCTTCTCCAAACGCGTTACCCTGAAGTTGGGGTCGTTAGCGTTCAGTTGCGTGAGCTCGAATTGCACGGGCTTGGGCCTGTGGAGCCATACGCCATCCTTGTTGGTGACGTAGGTGACATTGGTGGGTTGGTCCTTGTTAGTTTGGGTCTCGACAGTGGTGTACTCGCCAATGACGGTGATCCTTCTTGAGAGTACGACATAGGGCACGTTGTCAGGGTCATCCAAAAAGCTCTTTCCAACGAGCGTCTTGTTCATGTAAGTGACAGCACCGATGGTGTACAGGAGGTTGTTAGGCGCAGGTATCGTGTACACCTTGCCGTTTCTGTCCGTAGTGACCTGGATGCGCTCATCTATGTTGGTGGCCGTCAGCTCCAAGTTGATGACCTCCGGCTTGTAAGGCGTGTAGTTACGCCCGTCCGGCGAGCGGTAGAGCTCGGCTTCGAAGAGCCCGTTCAGGAGCCTGGCGTACACGGTGAGGTAGTGGGTGCTCCCCACGACTTGCATTTTCATCTGCACACAACGGGCCTTGTTGCCCATGTAAATGACGCCCTTCTGGTCGAGAACGTCCACAACCCTGTAGTCGGGGTCACTACAACCGTCGAAGAAGATGCAGTTTTCGCCACAGGTCGACAGGATTTGGCAATACTCCGTCCTGTAGTCTTTAGACAGGTCGATGTACAAGGAATCGTTGTCCAGGGTGCGGTACATGCAGTCTTTCCAGGCGACGGGCAGGAAAGACGTCTTGAAGCTGTTTCCCACGTTCGGCGTGGTAAATACATTCCACTTGTTGTTGTTGAACTCCGCGTACCTGAAGAAGATCTCGTCATCATGCTCGAGCAGCACTTTGTCGCCGCATCTGATGGATCCCATGCGCCTTCCAGGTTTGGGCAGGAATCGAGCCATAGTGTTATCAGTGCGCAACGCTTCGTGCACGAACCCGTCGAAGTTCTTCGAGCATATGTCCAAATCATCAAATTCTTCCGCGTAATCCTCGTACGCGCCACTGGAGGTTTTTACAAGCCTCTGTCTGTTGGGAATACCGAGGAAGATGGTCTCAACTTCCACAACGTACACGAAACCGTCCTTTTCAATGAAGGGCTCCACGATATTCGGTCCATATTCCGATTCTAGTAAGCGGTGCACGGTAACCCTCCTGTTTGTGGCGCCCGCATCCGGAATTTTCGAGATCTCCACGCCGGCATTGTACACGGCGCCGATGCACTTGCCACTCTTGGTGGCGATTGTGAACCTGGATCCCGACTCATTTCTGATGTAGTCGCTGCTATCCGCGACAGAAATATCCACAGGAACGAACTCGGTGCACCTGTGAGCTACAGTTGGCGCTATAAACGCCACAAAAACCGAGATGACACCTAGCACATTCATCTTCGTCCACAGTACCTTTCAACACTCTGATTGCTTGCTCATGATGTCACGTTTTGCGTGTAAGGCGCGCTATCACCTTAGTCGCCTTCCGCGTCCGGATTCGCGCTCCCCGGCTGGCGCTCGCCGCGTGCTTGCCCGAATGCAGTGTGGTAGAGGTCGGAGTCCCTGAGTATCGTCCGCCAGACTTCGGTGGCGCGGCTGCAAGAATTGCACAGTATTATTGCGGGAATACCTGTCCGACTGTTGGATGTGCTGTAGGCATGTGAGGAGGTGGCTTCCCAGCAGGGCGTCAACGTCCACGCCCGCCATGTGCATACCCCAGGCCGCTCGAAACAAGGCTTCTCCCTGCAAACTCGTTTCAGTGTGTATCGGAGTGTACTGCCTACCGAGCAGTCCTGGCCCATACCGGCCTCTATGCGCCGGAACAAGGCAGCGTCGGTGTGTCCGTGTCGCGCGAAGGCGAGTGCCGCGGTACCGCGTCCTGCTCTACTTTGGAAAATTTCAGCCGTGTACGCACCTATGTCATCTAGCGTGTGTTCCGTGTCGCAGAATTTCGGCTGCATGTAGGCCGCGAGGTCCTTATCGGCAAGGCCAGCACGGCTGAGGTGCCACAGCGTCGCTACAACGTCTGCTGCTGCGGGAACGTTTCCAAAGCGCTTTTAGACACACCCACCTGACATTTGCCACAGGACGTTGGGTACGTGGTCGGCCATCGTGCGAAAGAGCTGTTGCTGGGTGTTATGTTTGAGCCGCCTGGATAGGATGTGCAGGGCGTCTACAAGTCCTTTCTTGTCAAGCTCCTGAGTTCTATGCCTGAGAATTGGAGCCGCAACGACGAATACGCCTGCGTCGATTGTATGGCAGTGAGCTTTTTCCTAACCTGTGTCCTTGTTGGCTTCGTGGAATGCCCGGAGCACATGCACGGTGTCTACTGCGCTCATAATCGGCATTGACGCCTTGAAGCGCTTGCTGAACACTGTCCAGAATGCTTTAGACTTGTGTTGGGTCTGGCTTTCCGTAGCGGGTCTTCTTTCTTCCCATTCGAGCAGTGGCACCATACTTGTGCTGGTGGCTCCTTCCAGCCTCAGCACCTCTTCGGCCGTCTTTCGGAGCGTTTTGGCGTCTGCCATACAAAGCACCTTTCCGAAGTCATGTTTGATGGGTTTGAGCCTGAACCTGATGTGCCGGGCAGGTCCGTCCTGAGTGACCACCGAAAGTTCCTTGCAGCTGGCATGGCCAGGGCCACGTAGAATCCCGGTCAGCCTGAACAGTGCCTGCTTGGTTTGCATTTTGCGATAAGACGTGCGTTAATCGGTGTGGGAAGCCGTGTGAAGCGTCATAAACCGGTTTGAGCTTGAATATCCTTATGCGACGATCAAGGCACCATTGCACCACGGCCTCACGTGGAAGCCTAATCAATGACGTCCCCCGGCAACAATCCGAATAAATGCCAACACAAATTTTTTTTCGCACTCCAGTAAGGTTGTATACAAAGCTGCGTCGTCTACCTTATCATATTGGGATAGAGCGCCAGAATTGCAGCCTTGCTCTCGAGATGACTGCGAATGGTACTCCTGGCGCAGCAATAGATTCGATAGGGTAGGCACCCAGTAGGCTAAAGTCGGTTCTGCACACACCTTGCAGTTCTTGTAGATCGTTTATTACCTCGCTAGGTAATCTAGCAGCGGATTTCCTCGTTGCTTGAGTGCAGTGAGGAACAGGCGGTGGACGTCCAGTCCGGCAGGCTGCCTGGACGCTAGAAAAAAGAGGTGCGGGCTTCTAGAGTCGTACAGACCGTATACGACTCTCCCAGCGCGCTCCAGTGGTAGCGAATCTGGATTCAGGGAATCTTGGTTAAAACCCCTCTTGGCCCTTTCTTGTCTAACTTCCACAGCTGCACAGCGTTATAACACTCCCATTGCGGCACATTGTGCAGCCTTCCTAGGTCAGCTACTGGTCTAGCTCAGTTACACCTACCTATGGTTCGCAGACGCCTAACATGTGGCGGAAACAGCTCCGGATTCCGCTCGGCCTGCAGCAACGCCTGGCTGAGTGAGCGAACTTCTTTTGCGACCGTCTCCAGAGCTCCGCCAACAGTCATATCAAATATGAACTGCGTTTTTGTTGTGCAATGAATGCGATGTGTGGACACGATCGACACTTGTCGCGTGTCTGTTGTTGATGTGCGGCTGAGCGTACGGTACATCGCCCCCGCATTCACATATTATCGCAATGGAATCTAGCGATCAAGGCGCGCTCATTGCTCAGGGAGCAGAGGCGGTTTGTTCTGACTTTTTTCGTTTTACCATGTGCAGCGTGTGACACGCATACTCTACCTGGGCCGCAACGCGGTGCTTAAAACTCGACTTTCAAAGCCGTACCGCCACCCTGAGCTGGACGAAGCTCTGAACGGCAAGCGAATCGTTGCGGAGTGTCGCGCTGTAGCCCGGCTGAGGCGCCACGGCATATACGTGCCGCTGGTATACCTGGTGGATGTGAAGAATCGTCAGATAGTGTACGAGTTCATAAGGGGTCAGACCGTGCTGGACGCGCTCAAGGAATCCCATCAGGACGTATGTGAAGACATATTGAAGCGGGTCGGCATCGCAGTTGCGAAAATGCACGACGTAAACATCGTGCACGGCGACCTGACGACGAGGAACATGCTTCGCACTGAGAGTGGCAAAATTTGTCTAATCGACTTCGGGCTCAGTTACGTGTCCACACTTGCAGAGGTGGGTGATAACTGGCTGTGAATCATGTAGATCAGGACAAGGGGGTTGACCTGTACGTGTTGGAGCGATGCTGCGACGCCAATGAGGTGAGTTCCATTACACTAGCAACCGCTAATATGTGACAGTTCGAGCTGTTCCTGAAAGCCTACAAGGCACAAAGCAGGTCCGCGGCAGCCACTATAGCCAAGCTGGCTGAGGTTCGCCTGCGCGGGCGTAAGCGAGACCAATCGGGGTGACATCTCGCACCCAACGTGGCAGTGCCAAGCTGCTGCGTATTAGCACTTGTAACCCTGTAAAGTAGTTCATTATGTTCTGTGTTGGGGCACAGCAGAATGGAAGCCCGCTCCGCTGATTGCGAATACCGATATGAACTACGCAACATTAAGGTTTGAGTTTGCGCTGCTGCAGTATTTTTGCGATATCGTCGGCCATTTCCTTCACATTGACGTTTTTGCCGTAGAACTCGAGGAATTCGCCGTTCTCGTCGAGCAGGTAGTGGATGATGGAGTGGTCGATCAAATAGTCCTGGTCGGTGGCGGTGATGCCCTGGTTGTAGTACACCCTGAACTTCTTTGCCACGTCTCGGATCAATTCCTGGTACATACGTCATTCCACAATATGTTGCAAGCTTACGTGTGTGCCTGTCAACGCGACCAGCCTCGGATGGTACTCCTTGGCGTACTCCGCCAGCTTCTCCACCGAGTCACGCTTTGGGTCCACTGCATTCGATGTGTTGGCGGCACGTTACCGCTTACCAGTGATGAACAACGGTTGCACAACGCTACCAAAACGTTTGTCTGCGGGCATTTAACGATATAATGTCTTTCATGACCAACCGAGAATTTCCATCACCTGGGTCTGTTTATGCATTTCGACCGGGCATATATCCGGGCAGTTGACGAAACCTGCATTACGTTAGTTAGGCTTTGTGGGTGTCATTGGCATGCGTTTTGGCAATGGTGTGGCTCTGCGCAGACACTTACCGAAGTATAAAAGTACCAATTTCCCTCGGAAGTCTGACAGGGAGCGCTGCTTCCCAGTCTGGTCGGTGAGCGTGAAAGGTCCGCCGAGCTGCGGCTTCCCGTAACGCTCTTCCTGGACAATGGCTGCACGGTTGATGTTGTTTGCTACGCTGCGCCGTACCTCTCTGCCGGGAACGCCTCGCGTCGAAGAGCGCGTAGACACCGACCGCAGCACAGCCGCAGACGACCACGCTACGGGCCACATTTTTGAAAACGCCCTATGTGTGTTCAGAAAAGCGCATCCACGCCTACCCTGTTCTGAGGTGTGCCTCGCAACGAGGAGAAGGCACGGCCGGCCGGCTTCACAACCGCCGCCAGCAGTTGCCTCTGCACATTCGCTAAATTCATTTGTACATGTTAGAGTAAATTAGTAAAATTACTGCGCGTCCTGGTCCACCGGCTGTTCCTCCGCGGGCTCGTTTTGTGAGGGTATCTGTTCCTCAGTCTTTTGGCTGGCGGCCGCCTCCTCCTCCTTGCGGCGCTCACTTTGCACGCGCATCCTGCGGCAGAATTCGTCAATGTCGGAGCTAATTTGCTTGAGCTCGGCGTGCAGCTGCTCCATGGTGAAGAGCGGCTCGGCGTGACGTGGCCTTGTCTTCTCCTCCTCCACCTGCTGCCTAATCTTGGCGTCAAAAGCCTGGATCTTCTGCGCAAACTCCAAGCGCTCTTGCTCGGGAGCTCCGTACCACATGGGTCCGTCCTCGCAGCACATGCTGTATTTGGATTGCAGACCCGAGAGGAAAACGTCCAACTCGTTCTCCTTCGCCTTCTGGATACCATAGAGGCGTTCAATTGGCGCCCAGTCGGACTGCATGCGTTTCAGGGAGTCCTGAAGCACCTCCAATGAAGCCTCGTAATTGTCATAGAGCCAGTTGCTCCACTTGTTCAGCTCCTCGTTGATGGTGCTCACGAACTCGGGCGCCACGTATTCGCGGTGTGAGCCCTGCATCTTTTCCTTGACACTGTATATGAGCGTTTCGAAGTCGTTGAGCGTGCGCAGACGTTGGTTTTCAATGGAATCTTGCGCCCGTGCCTCAGCTTCGGCTTGCGCGTACGCCTCGACGGTGAACGCGGACGTCCTGGGCATGTTCACGAACTCGTGTCCCTCGACCGCCGTGAAACCGAAAACACCATTCTCGTCGAATGCCGCAGATACAGTAGTTACACCCTGCTCTTCGGTGGGCTCTACCTGTTTCACAATTTGAATGGCTCCCAGGAAGTAGGCATCGGCGGGGTCTTTCGGGTCTCCCAGCGACGCTACAATAATGGTCGGCGCGGTGATTGCCAATTTAGCGGCGATTGGCGTAGACTTGGAGGTGTTTTCAGGTAGGATTTGGGCGGTTTCAGCAGTCGCTAGCTGGGTGATGTCGCCTCCCGGTATGCAGGCAAACGACAGCGGCCTTGTTATGCGCTCCACCACATGGTACTTCCTCACGCGGTAACTGATGCTCCTCATCGCGGCGTCAAGCACGCACCCGCGTGCGACGCACTCGTCGGAGTTGAGGGTGCGCGAGAGCTGTTTGCCGAAAATGTCGCTGATGGTCTTCTGCACGCACGGGATGCGTGTGACACCTCCGGCGATTTCGACGCACGAAATTTCCTCGACGGACTTCCCGCACAGGTTGATGCACTCCATGAGCATTTCCGTGATGTTTGGCAGGAACTCCTGCTTGCACATCTCCTCGAAGTCTTCACGCTTGATGTTGCCTTGCAGGTCGTTGTCCTCCATGAGGCACTCGGCCGAGTACCCACTCTCCGAATTCGCAGATAGTACACGCTTGGTTTTAACGGCGACAGCCTCGAGTTTCAGCCTTATTTTCCTGTTTTCGAGTGGGTTGCATCCGTATTTCTTCTCGAAACCATCCGCCATGTGCTTCATGAGCATGTAGTCGAGGTTGCGGCCACCCAGGTCCTGCCTGGAGACCTTGGACAGTATCTCGACGTGGTTCTGGTAGAAATCGCAGACAGCCGCGGACGCGTGGGAGTGACCAATCATTACAATGGCGACGGTGGTCGGCGTCTCGTCTGATAGCTGTTTGACCCTGTATACACCGTAGTCGAGGGCCATGGCGGTGCACTCGTCAAGAACGTTCAGGCACGACAGCCCCGCGGACATTGCGGCCACTTTCAACGCCTCCTTTTGCACTTCTGAATACCAGCCCGGGCAAGCGAGCACCACCTCCCTGCAGGGGCCCTTGGTGTAGTTGTCAGCCATCTCCGAGAGGAAGGATATGTAGCCTGCCAGCACCTTGGTCACCTCGAACGGCTCACTGGAAATAGCACAGTTGTATCCGGCGTACCCATTAGGGCAGATCGAGATGCCGTTAGGGCTGAAAAAGTCGTCCATGGGGCTCACCACCATCTCGTAGTCGCCGCCCTTGGTTTTGCCGAGGAGGCTCATCATGTTTCTGCACGAGTTGCGGCAGTTGGAGATCAATTGGGGAGTCGCCTGGTCGCCGAAAAGCCTCCTCTTCTGTGTGTAGCTCGCACATACTCTGCGCCATCATTAGTCATCGCACATGAAAAAGGCGCCATAAAGCTGGCAACACTGTCATGAAACACACAATTATGCAATGTAAAAACCAACAATAACCACCGCTGACATTAGCAGCGCCACCGGCAAAGCGATGCACACAGTATCAAGCGCCAGACCCGCATACACCTCAAATTGCAACCACAGATAGGACCGGTGCGTGTAACTTACGGCGTGTATCGCTGCGAAACCTCGTTAAGAACGATGTCTATAGCCCCTTTGGCGATTGTGGCGACCGTGGCGGATCCATCGCCGATGTCTATTCCAAGGACTGGCATTGTGTGTCGGTTTCGTATCACAGAGGCTTAGGCCCAGTATCTGCAGGGTGACGTGCGGGCGGCGGCGAGTGTAGGCTCTCGCAGCTATATTTCCGCTGTATAAGCAATCTGAGTACCACCAAATTTTTTGTCGAGGTCAAGGAGTAGACTGATGGCTAATGAGTTGGGACACACTCAGTATATCGCGAGGAGCAGTGGGGGTGGACAGATAACTATTTCGACATTCGAAGATAACTCGTTTCCGGCGTTCGATAAATGCTAGAAATGGCACTCCGAAATCATCTATGTAAATGCACCTGTTTTTAAGCATTCAACTCGGTGCCTCGCGCTATCCTTGCGCGAGCCATCTGAGCCGCAATTAACCACCAAATGATGGCGCTAAGCCTGGATTCTACGGCTCAGGTGACGACATGTACAATTATAATCGTGTATATGCGGTACGCGGCACATTTTGTTCCGGAATCCAGATATTTCCAGCACTACTTCCCTGAGTGCTTTGGTGAGATCCAATGAAATGCCCTGGGTAGCGTGCTGCACGCACGTAGCGTTTCATGTTGCAATGTATCGTAACGCGGGTGAGGCGTTGCTCGGTTCGCTGCAGCGATGCCCCGGGCGCAGTTCGGAGTGCGGGTATGATTCTATGGCTACACGTGCTGAATCAACATGCCGTAACTATCGTCGTTTTTATCACTTTTAGGGTGAAAATAATGTTTTGTGCGCGCTTCCAGGCAGTTTTATAGGCTGTGACGTACGCGTGGCGTCTGGTAGGGTGACGGCGACACACATGCTTCGCGTTTCGAGGATTCCTCGGTATTGTAGCACATTCCACTAGCAGTAAATTCGCTAAAGTCGCCACAAAGAATTATGTGGCTGATGTGTAGCCCGGTTCCGACTCTTAGTGCTATTTGTCCCCTCCCCCTTTGCCCCCCGATAGTGTGCTTATTTGTCACCTCACGGGTTATAGGGCCACCGCTGAGATTCCAGTCACTCACAAAAAAACTAACTGCGCGGTGACATCTTTATTGTGAACTTATTATTGTAGTTTATTATTCACGATGGCGACGGAGGGTCAAGAGACCTACGCGTTCAACGCCGACATTTCTCAGCTGTTGAGTAAGTGGCTCCACACGACCTAGCCAATGCGGCCGGTTGCCTCGCGGTACCTGTTTGTTCGGTGTCTAGTATACGTGCGAGAGCCGTACGCATATATTTTGCATTGGATTCCACGGCGTCGCCGCGTTTCTTGTGTGCGCGTCTGTTTGCAGCCAACATGCCCGCTCAGGTTTGATTATCAACGCCTTCTACAGCAACAAGGAGATCTTCCTTCGTGAACTCATCAGTAACGCCAGCGATGCCTTGGAGAAGATCCGCTATGAGGCCATTAAGGACCCGAAGCAGGTGGAAGACTTCCCCGAGTACCAGATCAGCCTGTCGGTCGACAAGGCCAACAAGACGTTGACCATTGAGGACACTGGTATCGGTATGACCAAGGCCGACCTAATCAACAACTTGGGTACCATCGCCAAGTCCGGTACCAAGGCCTTCATGGAGGCCATCCAGGCCGGTGCCGACATGTCTATGATCGGTCAGTTCGGTGTCGGTTTCTACTCTGCCTACCTGGTTGCCGACAAGGTCACTGTTGTGTCGAAGAACAACAACGACGACCAGTACATGTGGGAATCCAGCGCCAGCGGCCACTTCACCGTGACCAAGGACGAGTCCGGCGAGCAGCTGAAGCGTGGCACTCGCCTCATCCTTCACTTGAAGGATGACCAGGCTGAGTACCTCGAGGAGCGCCGCCTTAAGGACCTTGTGAAGAAGCACAGTGAATTCATCTCGTTCCCCATCCGCCTGTCTGTTGAGAAGACCACTGAGACCGAGGTCACTGACGACGAGGCCGAGCCCGCTGCCGACTCCGAAACCAAGGAGGAGGAGAAGATCAAGGATGTGACCGACGAAGCCGAGAAGGAAGGCGAGGAGGAAAAGGATGGCGAGGAGAAGGAGGGTGAAAAGAGCGCTGAAAAGAAGAAGCGCAAGGTCACCTCCGTCACCCGCGAGTGGGAGATGTTGAACAAGCAGAAGCCGATCTGGATGCGTCTGCCCACCGAGGTCACCCACGAGGAGTACGCCAGCTTCTACAAGAACCTGTGCAACGACTGGGAAGACCACTTGGCCGTGAAGCACTTCAGCGTTGAGGGTCAGCTTGAGTTCAAGGCCCTGCTGTTCATCCCAAAGCGCGCCCCCTTCGACATGTTCGAGAGCCGCAAGAAGAAGAACAACATCAAGTTGTACGTCCGCCGCGTGTTCATCATGGACGACTGCGAAGAATTGATCCCCGAATGGCTCGGTTTCATCAAGGGTGTCGTTGACTCTGAGGACCTTCCCCTTAACATCAGTCGTGAGATTCTCCAGCAGAACAAGATCCTTAAGGTCATTCGCAAGAACCTCGTTAAGAAGTGCCTCGAATTGTTCTCCGAGCTCACTGAGAAGAAGGAGGACTTCAAGAAGTTCTACGAGCAGTTCAGCAAGAACCTGAAGTTGGGTATCCACGAGGACAACGCTAACCGCACCAAGGTATGTTCAGCTGCAATAGGGCGTTGCATGAGTTAGTGTGATGCTTATTGCGTTGTTTGTGCAACGTGAATGTGACCGCTTTTTTGGTGGTGTTTCCGGTCGCGAAAAATCGCTTCCGGCGAATGCGCGTCGGAGGCCTTTTCCGGCTGGGATAGCAATACATCGTCCTTAAGGATGCCTCATCAGTGTCCGACTCAGCGGTGGTACATTTTCATCGTTACAATCTGCTTTCTGTGGTGTATTGGTGCCTGCGCTGGGTGAATTGCAGCTCAAATGCGTTGACATGTGTGAATGTCCTATTCCGCGATGCACACGATGATGTGGGCATATTTGGTGTTTGCGTTGCGTAACTGGAATATGTTCATTGTGATCTGTTTCTTCTTTGTTGGGCGTCATCTCATTGCAGATTGCCGAGCTTTTGCGCTACGAGACCAGCAAGAGCGGTGATGAGGCTATCAGCCTAAAGGAGTACGTCGACCGCATGAAGCCTGACCAGAAGTACATCTACTACATCACTGGTGAATCCAAGCAGAGCGTTGCCAACTCTCCCTTCCTTGAGGTTCTCCGCTCGAAGGGCATCGAGGTCATCTACATGACTGACCCCATTGACGAGTACGCCGTTCAACAGATCAAGGAATTCGAGGGCAAGAAACTTAAGTGCTGCACCAAGGAGAACCTCGAGTTGGAGGACACTGAGGAAGAGCGCAAGAGCTTCGAGACTCTCCAGAAGGAGATGGAGCCCCTTTGCCGTGTCATCAAGGAGATTCTTCACGACAAGGTCGAGAAGGTCATTTGCGGCAAGCGCTTCACTGAGAGCCCCTGCGCCCTGGTTACTAGCGAGTTCGGCTGGTCCGCTAACATGGAGCGCATCATGAAGGCCCAGGCCCTGCGTGACAACAACTTTGGGGTGAGTTATAGTTCGAATTTTGTCTGTGCGCTAAAATGATGATTCCTGTGCTATGCACCACTCCAACGGGTCCGCCCTGTGACGAAAGTGCACCATGTGTCTGATTTGCGCTGCATTACCCACTTTAACGTGTGCTCAGAGTTTCATGATCAGCAAGAAGACCATGGAGCTGAACCCCCACCACAGCATCATGAAGGAGTTGAAACAGCGCGCTGAGGCTGACAAGAGCGACAAGACTCTTAAGGACCTTGTATGGCTGCTCTACGACACTGCCATCTTGACCTCCGGTTTCAACTTGGACGACCCGACTCAGTTCGGTGGCCGCATATACCGCATGATTAAGTTGGGTCTGTCCTTGGACGACGACGCTGCGGTTGAGGACGTCGAAATTCCGTCCCTGGACGAGGTCGTAGTTGACCCTAAGATGGAGGAAGTGGACTGAGCGTTTTATCGTCCGCGCCAACGTTTGTCACCGCCTGGCAGCAATATGTCTCACTTTACTAATTTATTATCATTTCTACTCGCATTCCTTAGGTGTGTGTTTGGCAACTGTGCTTGCGTGCTCCCTGCTGTGTGGTGTCGCGTTGGTGGGCAGGGGTCGAGTCTGCCCCTCCCGTTCACTGTTTTTCCCTTTCGCATCCGCGTTTTAGTTCGTGTAGTACTATCATTTCGCAGCGATGGGAGGTGCTATATCAAGGTTATATAACCGGATTATGTCCAAGCAGGACGTTAGGATCCTGATGGTGGGTCTTGACGCGTCCGGCAAGACCACGATTTTGTACAAGCTGAAGCTCGGCGAGGTCGTGACCACGATTCCGACCATCGGTTTTAACGTCGAGACCGTGGAATACAAGAACATTTCGTTCACTGTGTGGGACGTCGGAGGGCAGGACAAGGTGTGTTTGGTCTCTAGTTTTCCCTTAGCGGTTGCGCCATGCGCCTGGTGTGTGCACGAATGCCATGCGAACTGCGATTTGTCTTTTCGGCTTCTCATTTGAGCTCAGATCCGCCCTCTGTGGAAGCACTACTACACAAACACCCAGGCTGTGATCTTCGTGGTCGACAGCAACGACCGTGCGCGCATTAAGGACGCACGCGAGGAATTGCACAAAATGATGAACGAGGATGAGCTGCGCGAGGCGTTCTTGTTGATCTACGCCAACAAGCAGGACCTGCCGAACGCCATCCCGGCGACGGAGCTGTCCAACGAGCTGGGCCTCAACCAGTTCGGTAACCGCACATGGTACGGAATTTTTTTTTTCTTATGTCTAACGCTTTGCAGGTACATCCAAGCCGCCTGCGCTACTCAGGGTACCGGCCTCTACGAGGGCATGGACTGGCTGACCAACGCGCTTAAGCACAAGTAGATCGTTTCAGCTTCCAACAAAGTGCTATGTTTTTGACTATAGTGATATGTGTGTTGCTATGTGATGAGATTTTCGCTCCGTGCAAGGGTGCGTTGTTGCCGTTGCGTCGTTTCGACGCCGCTGTGTATGCGTCGCGTCGCCACGGCCTGCCGGCTTCTGGCAGTCTGCATTATGTAGACAAAGTATTGGCCAGCTACGTGCCCTCCGAGGCCGAAGCGGCCTCCAAAGTAGTATCGTGGCGGTCTGAGACCTGGCCGACGCTGAGCCGATTGTTTGCTACTTCCATCGCAGGGTTGAGAAAAGCGTCACTTTTGAGTGAGCTTATGATCTCGGTAAAATGTTCGCTGGAGGCACTGGATGCGGCACTGATGCCCTTTCGTGGTGTCCCAGTGATATATTTACTGTTGTACCCCGACGTGCAGAAATTTGCCTCCACTTACATGCGTTTGTTGATGTCGCAATGCCGTAAGTTGGATTCACATGCGCACTTGACGGCTTTGGATGCCTCTCCACGGCTGATGTCTATTTTACAGGGGCATTCGCAGTCCATGATATCGATGAAGGGTGCCGCGTTACGGTTCATGGGTTCGCTCAAGGTAAACGTAGCAGCCAACCTGAAGCAGCCCCATCATCGTATCGTCAACACTTCATCCGTTTACTGGGGCGTGGTTCACCGTTCGGCGCGTCTGTCTGGTCTGCTGGTGTTTTCGGCCGGGTGTTGCCTGTGCGCTGTGAACCGCGTGCTGCTGCCGTTGTTGTTAGGCGAGTTGTTGCCCTCCTTGTCACGCAGCATCGGGTTGGGTAGTTTGGCCGGATTGTCGGATATGCTGTCGCTGCAGGTGGAGTAGGCGTCTAGCGGGATGGCGTGCCATGCGCGTCCCAGGCATGTTTCCGTTTAGGCGCCATGAAACCCAAATCGGTTGTAGGTGAGAAAAAAATGCAGTTGTGTCGGCGGTGCTGTCTTCGGGAGCATTCTAGCGTCGCATGCGCGATTGTGTTAGCTGTATGCAGGTGATGGCTATCACATTGAGTCATGTGCCACCTAGCTGGCTGTCTGCAGTTGGTGGGACGTCGGGCCGATCTTGGTTACCCGGCCTTGGTGTAACGTAATATCGAGAATGAACGCAATTGCGAGTGCCGAATATACTTAATGTGCTACGCATGGTCACATGTATCGCCAGAACGTCGTTTTGTGTTGTATTCGGGTGATGGGATCCTTGCGCTGCATACACGTCTAAGTGTGCCGTCAGGTCGAGTTCCGTCTTGGACGCCTCATGAAGGTTTGCTGTGCGTATAACGCATCACTTGATGTTTGATGTGGATAAACTTCAACTTTTGCGGAACATTAAAGTACAATTTCCAGAGCAGTTTGCAACTTGGTCACCATGGCGAACTCAACGCTGGTATCCCGCCTGGCATGGTTCGGCGTGATTGCACTGATACTCACGCTGGCGTGTGGCGCCACCGCGCAGGTTGGCGACAAACGCAGGCTTTCACATTTGGAGGATGATGTACAAATCTACATAAATGGCAGGGCGGCGATGTATGAAGGAATAGAAGGGCTCGTATCACCCATGAGTGACTTCACAGCTGTCCTGAGTTATCCATATCTGCTGCACAAAGTGGAGTTTTTGAACCGCGTACTTGATGACTACGAACGTCCACATCCCGTTAAGCCTTTCCTGATGAGGATTTTTGGCTATCTTCTGAATAAACTTGAGGAAGAAACAGGAGAGCCAACAGTGATATTCGAATCTGCTCACATGTGTCGAGATTATGTGAAGCTTCTTAGGGGTGTGCGTGACAGTTTCACACTACCGCCAAGACCGTTCAAATACCATACACCGGATTACTTTGACATCATAACGCAGTTTGACGACCCAAAAAAGGCGGTAGGGAAGCACACCATGGACGCTTTGATGATGATGTGCCAGCAGATTTATCTACAATGTTCTGATAGGCTGAAACGGCAAGCGACAGTGAGCAGAGCAGATGATCGCCGGAAAGGAGGTGCCGTCACCACTGCAGATAATACCCGAGACAGTGTTACCGCCAACAGCATCAAAGGGGCGGGTATTGCTGATGATAAAATGCCTGACGTCGAGGAAGCGTCCTCTTCAAGCTCGGCAGACGATGTCACCGCGCCACGGCATATTAAGGGGTCGTTGGGTGCGTGGGAGCCCGAGCCATCGGTATCGTCACAGGAGTCCGATAGGCCCAGTGAGGTTGCCGCCCCGTCCGACGACGACAAGCAGCTGCATCAGAATTTGAGTGCCAGCACGTCAAGCCTCGAACAGCAGGACGACGACACGCTGTCGTACCACCATGCTCAAGGTGAGGTAGGCGAGGAGAATGACGCGAACTGGGACGAATACTTCGACTCATTTTTGAAGCGGCTCAAGAAACCCCCGTTGGATAGCGAGGCGTCTGACGAACCCGCTAAACCACTGTCCAGGTGGAAACGATTCCTTAGGGCCCTGCGCAAACTCCGTTGCGTGTAATGGAGATCGGGCGGTAGACGGGGGTCTAGTGAACCACCCGCTTCCGTTAATGTAGGCAAACGAGTGCAAATGTTAATTATATACGACATCCCTGTTGTTTTTAGTGTAGGCAGTTTAACCTATGTTGAGTTGTTCGGTTTGGATGGGAATGCGTGGTCCGTGTTTCATGTGGCACAGTCTGCGATGTGGCTAAGTGCGGCTTGGGGCGATTTGCGTGTTTACCAGACAAGCGCCTCACGCTACTGGTGACGGTTGCAGGCTGCGTCGAGTTATCGTACACTACAGGTACCATCCATTGTGGCATCCATCCCGTCTGGGCGAGAGGGTCATTCACAGAGTCATAATCTTCTCTGGGTTTTATCTCTTTCGTCACATAGGAAACCATCCTGAATGCTGTCGGTTGATTGAATTGTCGCACCTTCGGGCCCTCGATTAGGTCTTCATGCCTCATGCTCTTCTTCCCCGTCTACACCAGGTCGTCTTTATTGGTAACCCTGATATTCACGATTGCGATGAGGTTCTTCTGCCTATTAGCAACGATGCTATCTAGTATATTATGCTCCTTGTTCTCCTCCGTCTTGACCTATACACTCCGTCGTTACCATCGTCATCCACATACCCCTTCATACTCTTCGCTCACACAGCTGCTTTCCATCCCGGTACGCCCTGCTGGTCCTCATGGTTACACCTCGGAGGCCTCCATATTGATGTCACTTTCTCATACATAAGGCATCGAATATTCCATCCTAATGAAGGCAGCAGAGGGAACAGTATTGTCGTTGCATTTAAGCTAGTTATTTACAACATGCCTCTATTCACAACATTCTTTGTCATACTTCCGAATCACATTTCAGGAATACGTTCTTGCACATCAAGGGCCTATGGTGGTAGTGGGGCAGACCTGGAATTGCAATGGAGCGGGAGAGGATTTGACGCGAACATTGATTTGCACGTAACATCGGACATGGTCGATTTCCAGTGCTGTTAAACATCTTAATGCAGTTTGGATGTCTAAAGTCACCTCCAAAGTGGACTATAATTCTGAGCTGTCTGGGCACTGGAGATTTGGAATCGGTGAGATTGGCGGATGCTAGTTTTTTTGTGAGTTATAAACACGACCTTCAACAGGTACAACTCTGGTCAATGTAGTTTGTAGCACTGAGAAAGGTGTAAACCAAGTGTCCACTGCTTATCGCATTTTCGCGGCGGAGTCGGGGATCTGCAACCTCGAATTGATAGGTGGGTTCATTGAGGTGGCTAATAAGGCACTGTCTTGCTTCTAAACGATGGCGCCAAAGCAGCTTACGGACTGTCCGGAAAATCTCCGGGAGTCCATCGACTGGTTGATCCAGGTTAGGCATGGGAATGGTGGTCAAGGTCTTAACAACTTGGCTGATGCTTTGAAAACGTTGATTACTGAGGCTATTAACAATGCTGCTACGAGCCTTATTGAAAGGAAAAGACAACTTGAGTGCCCTTCAAAATACTGGGAACGTGACTCCTATTGTAGCAAGAAGCAGTCTGACATTGACAAAGAGGAAGATAAATCTAAAAAGTCCAAAAAAAGAAAAGGATGATCACTACAACGAGGTTCATTACCTTACTGAGGATGCCAGACAAAGCGCCTTGGATGATATTGATGCCCGCCGCATCTCTCTTGGTCAGCTTGCTGGACAGCTTTCGGGTTTAATTGGTGGGAGTGAGGAAGTTAAAAAGGCTATTGTGAATGGTTTGCACAGTAATGTAACTCAGCTTGAAAAGCTTTTGAAAACATCTTGCGGAGGGGAGGGTGTTGTAACTATAATGATGTTAAAAATAACCTTAATGATGTCAATGAGAAGCTTAAAAATCACCTTAAAGAGGAACAAAACCTCTGAAAATCTTACTGTAATCCTTTCTAAGTGCAAGTTAAATGGTCTTGATGGTCCCTTAAAAGAGCTTAAAGATGCAATTACTGAGAAAATTGAGAAGCTTAATAAAGATATTGAGAGCCTTAAAAAAGCAGATAAAGATGCTAAACAACGCAATGAAACTCCTCAAAATGCCTCTGAAATTGTCAAGTTTAATAAGGATCTTCAGTCTCATAATGCTTCCAAGAGGTCTCTTGAGACACTGAAAGAGCTTTGTGGATATGCTGGGAAAATTCAAAAAAATCATGAAAATCCTAAAAAGCTTTTAGAGAGTCTTTGTACAGGCCTCGAAAAATTTCTCGGCTACCAGGATGGTAATTACACCGGAGAGGGAATTGTGTACTCGGACCTTGACAGGCTGTGTGACGGGGTGATGGCGTTCTTGCACGGGGTGCTGGAGAGTGTTAAAAACGACAGTAATGTAATGCATTATCATGATTTTAGTAGTTGCATTGAGACAGTTAAAAGCAATATGTATCAGCGTGGTAGGTTTAATGATGCGATTAAAGCTGTGGCAGTTGCGCTGCGGAAATGGGATGGAAATCTCAGTGCGAAAACAAAAACTGTTACAGACAATTTAGATGCGCTAAGCACGAATATAGGAACTAATATTGATAGTATTAGTCATGTTGATACATCTCCTGATACATTTGATGGATCTGTTAAGCAATGGGTTAAGACAGTGATGGGTTCCCTAGTGACTACGCTATTGCAGGCCGAAGGAAGTATAAGAGACCTTGATGAAATTATGCATAAGAAGCTTAAAAATGATTTTGATCATATAAAGCTGCAGGTGTTTAATCTGGAATCCGCTGTGTATCGCGAGCAAACGGAAATGCAGGCGTTGAGTAAGAATGTTAGATTGACCCATGACGATCTTCGAGAGATCTTGAAACTGAAGGTGAAGACAGAAATTGAAAAGCTGAGGGATCTGCTTGTTGCCAATATTGATAAGTTTAGAGAGCGACTTGAGGATATTAAAATTCAACTAGACGAACAAGTTGCTGCACTTGAGGATTGCATAGAAAAAATGACAAAAGTAATTGAGGATGCGCTATGGAAGACCGAAGAAGTTTTAAGACGTGTTCAGGATAATCATAAAACTAACATTGAAAAGAAAACGGAAATTACCAAGCAAGCTGAAGATTTAAAAAACAAAGCAGTTTCATTACGGACTGCAACAAATGAGGTTAAAAAGGCTGTTGAACAGCAGGTTACTCAGGCGCTTGAGAAGGTTCTAGTCTTGGACAGGGCGGTGAGGACCGGGTTGAAGGAAACTAAGGAGTGGATTGAAATTGCGGTGAAGAATTATGTTAAGACGCAGTTGCTGGGGGATATTAAAGGGAAGGTGGAGAAGATTACCGGTACTAGCGGTGATGGTCTTGAGGATATTGTTAGTGCACTGAAGGAGTGGGCCAGAGGGTTCGGTAAGGATGATAAGTTTGGGGAGAAGGTGCAGGATTGGATTGATGATATTTTGAAAGCGGAACCGGCTAGTGGGCGGCTTGGAAGTTACGTTAGCAGTAGGAGTGTTAAGTTTCGGCCACCGTATACATCAATTCAGAGTGGAGGCGACGATGGGTTGCATACAGCTATCAAGAAGGTAATGGTAGCAGAGATTTTAAAGCAAGTACCTGAGACATTCAAAATTATTAATGCAATTGATATGGATAAGGAGAACATGGAAGCAAATTTAATCAATGTGAAAGCCGTTTGCCTCCAATTCGCTAAAGAGCTTGGTGAGAAACTTAACAACGGTGGTCACCTTGACACCGTTGCTAGCACGATAGCCAATAAGGTTGAGGAGGAGTTGACGGGGGATAAAGCAGCTTACCCTAATCTAAATCGTGCTGTCCGCTCAATCCTCCACCAGCTGGTTGGTGCGGCAAGGAAAGCTGGTGCAGCAGTGGGTTCGTTCACCGGCGATGACGACGGATCCGGCAGCGACATCACCAGTGTGAATGCCGCGCTTACAGTAGCGCAGCTGCTTGAGAAAGATCTCAAACAGGCGACTGCCGATTCCGGCACGGGCGCCGTCGCACCCATTCATACCGACACCACCGGAGAGCATAAGTACAAATTCGACGCCAGGATCCTCGGCATACTGCAGGAGCAGATCGGGACGGATGCAACTGGTGGTGGTAGGAATGGTCAATTAGAAAAAGCTCATGAAACTCATTTCCTGTATTACGGTGGACTAATTAACCAGAAGAATCCGAAGCTTAAAATCCAAGACGCTGTGCTAACCGGCAATGCAGGCGACGACGAAGGCACTTTCCCCCAGGCGATCAAGCAAATTGAAACAACGGGTCTGTCACAACTTACGTCCGGCAATGGCATCGAAGCGATCCTGAACGAAAAAACAAGAACCTTCGAATCGCCTTTTCATAATATCCAAAAAGAGCTCACAGCGCTTACACAGTTTGTGACCAACGACGGAAAAACAGGCGTGAAGGATTTTCTAACTGAACTAAAGACGGAAAAGATTGCGAAGGAACTCCAAAAAATCCAGTCGGGCATCGACACCATTCTCCTCAAACAATTAACCCCTCTCATAAAGGGCATTCAGACTTTCACCGCTAAAACGCTTCCTTATGCTGCTCAGGCCACGACAAAGACAATAAACAACTTCGTCAATGATGAAGTAAAAAGGGCAACAGACGATATTAAAAAAGATGCTTTGACTAGATACAAAACCTCTAAGCAAGATGAATTAAGAGCTTTGAGAATTGAAGTTGAGAGCCTGGTGAAGCAGATTAAGAAGACTGTTGAATTCGACCTGGCGAACGGCCTAAAAGGTTTCCTTAGGACCATGAAGGATAATGTGAATGATCTAACGGATGATAGGAATTTGAAATCCATGTCTATCAGCACCAATCTTGTTGTAACAAGACTAAGTAACTATATACAGACGCAAATTAAAGATACTCCGCAACATGCTCAACTTGAAGATATCAAAAAAGCTTTTAATACACCATTTACACAGCTTTCGTATGCCGATTATCCTCACTTCAACCACAATTTTGTCATGCTAGGTGAAAAACTTGAACAAAAAACAAATGCCCTCTCCCCCTCCAACTTCCACGGCTTCCACAACCCGCTGCTCCTCGACGCCCTCAAGGCCGGCATGACGCAATTCACCGCGGAACTCTCCCACGCGTACGTGAATAAATACTCCGGGTGTAAGCCTGTAAAGAACTGGGACGATGTAAAATCCTCCGACAAGTTATCCACCGAGGGCCGGAACTGCGCCAAGGTCTGCCTGACTATACTGGAGAGGGTGTCTTATGATTTAGCTCAGTTGAGAAGTAGGTGTAAGGATGGTGCCAAGGAAAAATGGCACGAAAAGACAATATGTTTGATTGAAATGTCGAGCAAAAAGAATGTTGTGAATCCCCTTGGTGACTGGCTGAAGAAGCACGGCTTTACAGTGCCGAAGGATAAGGACGCCCAAAACGGTGAGTTGAACAAGGACAAGAAGGGTAACGAAATTTATGATCTACTTGTCAAAGATGATGAGAAACATGTCTACAAGAAGGATAACAGTAAGGAAGATGAAGGCCCAATAAGGGCACTCCGTCGCCACGTTGAGAGGTACTACAAGGTCTCTCACTACATCATCCCCCCGAAACCAAAGGCGCCGACTACTGTTAACCAGATGCTGCAATGGCTTACCGGTTTACAGTATAATCCAGTATATGCTCCACTTTGCAATTACTTCAAGCAATTGTTCCCCAAGCCCAAGGGATATGAGCGAGATTATAAGGAGATACCCAGCGACCAACTGAAACTAGAATATCATCAGTACGCGAGAATTACACATAAAGAGCTAACAGACACGCTTGAGACTCTATGTCGTCAGTCCGAGAAAATGCTAATTACCTTCCTAGGCCATGGCCATGCCGACGGCATCTACGCCGTTGAGTTCTCGAACAATTCACTAAATTTGTTGTATCCCGGTAGCCCTGCTACCTGCTTAGATATGCTTGTAGATGTGTTGAATAGAGTGTATTATCAACTTAACTTCATATACAAGATGTGTCATAACGGCCGTAGTAGGGGCGGTTGGGAGGAATGCCACTATGGCAGGTACATTGGTGGGTCACATTGGAACTGCAATGAGAAGCAGTGTCCCGACCAAGACTGTGACCAAACGTGTACCCAAAAGCACACCCCAAACTGTGACCAACGTGTAAGTTGTGGCCTCAAGTCGCCGTTACAGTCGTTCCTGGAAGACGGATTGCAGGGTTTCCTCCCGCACCAGTTAAAGAAGCCTAGTTGTAAGCTGGAATGCACTGTGCCCAATCACCAAGGCATTCCATGTCTCACCCCAATGGGCTTTGCTGATATTTCCCAAGTGGCGTCACATACGCAAACCGGCAAGCACCTTTTTGGCGCACTGTATTATTTTTGCGGCACCACGTATGCTCTCACTAAGCTGTGTAGTACGCTAAACTGTCTACTGCGAACGCCACCCAAATCATTAGGTGACATGTTAGCTTTCTACCATAAATTCCTCGAGAATTATTCGAGACAAAATCATAAGCAAATCGCATTTGACGAGGCAGCCCGAAAGGCCAACTTCGGGAATCCAGATACTAAATTGGACATTGTGTCTATACAAGGCAGCAAGTCGCACACTGCTAAACATTCCCAAGGTGACTTATTTGGTATAATTAGCTGCAACACTTCCGGGTCCTCCAAAAATCCAGTCGTCCCCTGTGGATCGTATATGCAGCCACTTACATTAGATGTAGTCTCCATGTTTTCCGAAACGCGCGCTGCCAACTATCTTTCGTGGATTGTATATATAACAGAGACATTCTGTGTTCTGCTCATGAAATTGCTTGATGAGTGCTGCAATAACTGCAACAAACCAGGCACCAAATGCCATGATAAAGCCTGTGCGGAGAAATGTGAAGTGAAATTGGCGTATGAAGCTGAACAATCGAAAAATGCTCCAACATCGCCCGCAGAACTTACAGGTAAAAGGCACAGTACAGACTGCCATTCCATTGTCAAATGTCAACTTACACATCCAACACTGTACAAATACGGTTTCACATTTGAAAGCCCATATGACCTCAGTGGTGAATATGGGCAACAAACGAGGCGCACATGTATAGATCTGTGCCATGCGCTAGAAAAATTAGTTGGTCAAAATTGCGTTCTTGTTGAGCTAATCCACAAAATTGATGACTTTGTCTGCACAATCAGACATCCCTTTATGTGTACTTTATTAGCCCTCTGGTCCCTCTCTTTCCTCTACCTGCTGCACATCGCCGTCGTCCGCCTCGACGTCCTGAGGATACGCTCCCACTTAAAATCACCTTCAAGCCACAGGATCGCCGCGCAGTCGCTCCTCGCCGTTGCAAGGGTTGGGAAAATTGCCAACGTCAAGTACTTCTCACCATAATCTTGCCTCCATTCACCATCTACAAGTCACCACCTAGCCCACCCAGCTCACCTAACTTGCAACTCAGTAGTCAATGTAGCAACCACATACATGACTCGCAAGCTAATACGTGATGTAGTTGATGCATCGAGGTGATTGTTGTTTGCGATGGCCAGCTGTGGGATACTTGTGAGAGGTGGCTGCATCATCGTATCCTGTCTGTGGCCTGTGCTGATTTCTGGTTGATCGCACACGTCTGCAGCTTAGTATTGCCGTTATGCACGGTATGAGCCATTCCACAGGATGTGTATGTTACGTTGGTGATTCCGTAAGTGGTTACAGGTGGTATCTGTGTGATGCGGGAACGTCTGACTTGACGGCCACGGGGCGGCATGCAGCAGCGGATTTTTTAAGGCGGCATTGTGACAATAACTAACATAGTAAACACGTGATGTGGCTCACTAAGGCAGTTGTTAGCGCGCCTTAGCCGTGACGTATGGTGACGTGGTTTAAGGTGGGTGTAGTTTATAGTGGGTGACCCTGATAGACGTTTTTCAGACATGACGAATTAAGAATATATTTTCTTCCCGTAATTCAAAGTGGATCCCGCTTGTGGTGCGGAGCGCGTGCGATGTGGTGTGAATGATACGGAGTCGAATGGAGGTTGCTTGAACCTTTAAGGAAGCCGTGGCGGCGAGATTGGGCCGCGTCGCAATTCGGGTTAAGGACTGTTGCCCTATCTTACATTCGTACTACACACAGTTATGCAGGCATCCTGCCGTTGTCTAACGTTTCAAGCCGGGTTGTCTCCAGGATTGCCGGATTCATGGGCTTGGAGGCTCCCTTCCTCCTCAGGCAGGTTAGATTTTTAATTTCCATTTTTAATATATTTTCGCATACTGAATTGGGCGTGTTTTTCCTGATGTTTCGCTTGTTTCGTGATTAGTTTCATCATGTTGCATATCTTTCAGACCGTGTTTCACCTCAGCCTCTTCACCTTGAGCACTTGTTGATTCGGAGATGTTGTCGTGCAAGCTCCGGCATGGTGCATTGTTTCTTGGAGATGACACTGTTTGAAGCTCGATGGCATGGCACCGAAAGCTTTGACGGACTGCCCCGAGAACCTTCGAGAGGCTATAGACTGGCTCATCCAGGTGAAGCACGGTGGAGGGATTCCGAGGCTGTCCGAGGCTCTGAGTAAGTTGTTTGACAATGTTGTCCAGGACGCTGAAAAGTCTTTGTCTTCTCTCCCCGAATCAGATGAGCCGTCCGCCAGAGATGTTGTCGGCAAAGTTAATGAGTTTCGGAGCTCTTTTCCGAAAGACTCTTCGAATACTAATGAAAACATTTTACATAATCTCTGTTCCTCCTTTGAGACATTTTTAGGCTATAAGCCTCCCGGAACCTACGATGGTTCCGGGATTGTGTACGGCTCCGCCTCCCGTTTGTGCGACGCCATATTGTCATTTTTGTATAGAGTATTCGGTGATGTCCGTGATATTCAGCCGTATGTTGTTGGTGGAGCCTTGTTGAGTGGCCTAGTTGGTGACCTTGAAAAAGCGAGGTGGACTGGGTACCATGGCTACAAGACTGTCGTCCCCAAGGTGGCCAGCGGCCTCCGGGACTATAATGCGGCTGTCAAGGCTTCGAACGAAAGAGTGAAGAAGCCGATTGATGAGATTATCGCATACGTCAAAAATGACGGTGGTGAGTTAACTCCTAAGATACGCGAGCTAAATGAAACTAGTCCTTCAGATCCCGACGTGGAGAAATCTAAGAAGCTGGTGGAAGAATGTGTTGGAAAAGGTAAGGACTTAGGGAAAGCCTTCACTTTGAAAACACATCCGTATTACATGAAAGGTGAGTTTGATGATTTGAATGTATCGTTGCGTGACAAAATTCATAATGCTCGTAACAATGTTGGACGTGAGACTGCGATGCTGAGCAGGTGGTGCAAGAAGCAGTATGAGAACTACAAGGCTATGATCAAATTGATCAAGCAGGCCTTCAGGAAGCTTAAAGATAACATCAATTCAAAGATTCGGAAGGAAGTTACGGACCTAGTTGACTCACTGAAGGGCTTGGTTAGGCATATCTTAGTTCAACTGGAAAATATCAGTAAGATACTAACCAGCTATGTCGTCGCGTTGGAAACGTGGATGAAAGAAACTGAAAAGTTTATCGATGATGTATTGCAGAAACAAGTCAACGAAATTGTAAAGGAACTTGACGAGGATGAACCAAGCAAAAATCCGAACCATAAGAAAGATCTTGACGAGGCGATTAAAAAGGTGGAGAGCAAGTTGGGAGAGAGCGTTGGGGATTTGCAAGCTTGGAAGCAGGTGGCGAACGAACTGCTCGACGATACGATTAAGAGTTCTAATGAAGTGCATACGAATTTGAATCATAGTGATCAAGATCCCCCTGGCGGTAAGTTGACAACGATTGGTGAGGGAGTTAAGAAAATTAAGGACGCTAGACAAAAGGTTTTGGATGTTGATAGTGAGCTTAAGAAGAGAGTTACGGAGTTGGGGGATTGGAACGCTGCGGCTAAAAAAGCGCTTGGCACAGCTGTTGACAAGGCACAGGACGTGCATGGGAGGTTGGATCATAAGAATGGTGGTGGACAGTTGAAGACACAAATTGAGAATATTGACTCAGCTAAGCAGGGACTTGACGAGGCCAATAGAACCCTTCTCCAACAACTCAACAGCCTGAACACTTGGATTGACACCGCGGAGAATATCCGTGCCAACGCCCAGCAAAAAGCACAGGAGGCCTATGACAGGCTGAAGGAATACCAAAAGGATGGTAAAACTAAGACCACGCTTGCTGCAAACATTAACCAAATTGTTGATGCTAATAGGAAAATTAGCGATGTTCATAGGAATCTGAATGGTGTTGAAACGAAATTGGCAAAGTGGAATACTCAGGCCAAGAGTGTGCTTGACGAAGCGGTAAAAAAGGCGCAGCAAGTTCATGATGCCTTGGATATAGATGTTAAAGGAAAGAGTATGCCGCTTGGTACAAACATTGATGGAATTAGTACAAATAATGCTGCAATTAAAGAGGCAAATGAGAAACTTGGCACTGAAGTTCAGCATTTAGGTAAGTGGAGGGATGCCGCCAAGGATGTTATTGGCAAGGCGGAGCGGAAGTGTGATGAGATTTTGGGGAAATCTGATATAAGCGACGGTAAGAATGTTGTAATTAAACAGCAAGCTGAATTGTTGCAAAATAAAGCCACGGAGCTTTTGAACGCTTACAAGGAGGCGTATACTCAAGTTACCGGTTTGACTAAGAAAGTTCAAGGAGCCGTTGAAGATTTGGAAGAGGGCATGAAAACGGATTTGGGGAATATCAGAGATAGTATTGTGAGCAAGATGAAAGAGCATGTTGGAGAGATGCTTAAGGATATTCAGAAGAGTGTGGAGAAGATTAAGGGGAAGGATGGGAGTGATTGGCAAAATACAGGTGCCTCAGGTCTTTTGGGAATCGTCAGTGCCGTGCATAATTATGCCACTGCATTTCGCCACGAAAATTTTGCGAATATTGCTAAGGGCTGGTTGGAAGCCACAATTTTGAGGTACAACGGCGTAGTACGGAGGATACTCGGTAAGAAGGAGGACTACGATGGAACCAAGAAGGAGACGGACATCGAGCAGTTCGCCATTGGAATGAAAGAGAAGCTTAATGCAGATGTTATTGGTATAGCTAAAGACGCTTTCCAAGGTGTCGATGTCGTCAGCGGGAGCATTCAAACAAATATCAACGCCGTTAAAACAGCCTGTGAGATATTTGCGCAGGGGCTGGATAAAGAACTGAAGAACCCGGGAAATAAAATAGTCTCTGAGGTCAAGGAAAAGGCGTTGACTAAGGGATCCCTCGTAGCCAATATTAAAAAATGCGTCTGCGAGTGCGATAATTGCAAAAAGCCAGACTGTGGCAAAAAAGCCGCCGCGGAATTGATAATGTGCGCGCTGTCCTCCACAGTGCGACAAGTTGGCAACGAACTTAATTCTGTATTTCTCGGCGAGGGCGCAAAAGTGAACGGCAACAGAAGTATCGCACAAGAATTGGACAAAGTGGTTGAGGACACTAAGACGCTTGACGGTGATCTAGAAAATGCAGTTAAAAAAGCAAAAGGCCAACACGGTGCCAATGGCAGCGGTCTTGCGCAGAAAGTTGAGCAGATTAAGGAGAAGGTGAGTGAGGAGATGAAGGCAGAAAACAATGGTGAAATAAAGGTTGCAAAAACTATGGAGGAATATGAAAAAAGGAAAACACAAGGACCAGCTGGTGACAAAGAAGGCCTGTACAAAAAGCTACTTGCAGACATCCCCCAGGCGATGAACGCTTTCAAGACAGAAGCAGGGCTAAAAAACCCAAGTGAAGTGGAGAATAAGAAAAAAGAGCTTGAAGGATTGGTCACCAAAATCGAAATAGGGCTCAAGGAAATCGCCGGACTGGTCGACAGCAGCAAGAAGACTCCGCCGAAAGGCGGTGACACAATGGATGGCATCAGGCAGCGGTTGAACGATTTGAGTGGGATGCTTAAGAATGGAAATTATGTTAATCTTAAAGGAAAAGGTTTAAGTGTGGAAAGTGTCAAAGGCCTTCAAGGAATCGAGAGTGTTATTAGCGGTCTGCAAACCAAAGAGTTCAGCAAAACCACTGACATAGAAGGAGCCGTCACAGAAATTAGGACGCAGCTTAAGAAACTTCAAAGTGAGTTGAAAAATGCAAATGGAAAAAAAGATCAAGACGTCATCGAAAGGCTAACATATATGAAGACCAGTGGGCTAGGTGACAGTGACACTGCAAAATGGACAGTTGAAAAAAATGAAGTTGATGGTCTCGGGAAAATCCAGAAGGACCTTCAAAAGCAGAATAAGGATTTGGGCGAACAAAACAAAGAAATCAAAAATGCAATCGATGAGATTAGGAGCGTGCTTGGCATTATTGGATTCAAGCTGGACCATCCGTCACATCATGACGACGTGATTGACCAGTTGGATAGCTTGGCTAAAATGATCGGTAAAAGTCAACATGATTATAGGGGCAATTTGGTGAACATTCAAAATGAATTTAATTGGTTGTACATCGGCCCGTTTACTCATAGACCCACTGAAATTAACTCCGCAAACACAGCAATTAAGGGTGAACTCACTGACCTTCGAGACGTGCTTCAAGGCCACAAGGACGACGATGTCATTTTGACATTGAAAGATTTGGAGGACACCGGACTGAGCGGAAAAGAGTGGAATAACAGTGAGAGTAAAAAAGGCCTTGGGGCAATAAAAGATGCGCTTGGCAGTCAACAAACTACGTTGACTGGGCAACCGAAAAACATAGAGACTGGCGTCCAAGAGATCACCGGGGAGCTTACAAGGCTTCAGAAGCAGTTGAACACTCAGGTCACCGAAAAGCTTACGCTATTAAAAAACTATGGCCTTGAAAAAGGCGGAAGCAACTGGACAATTGACAGTCAGCAGGCCAAAGGCCTCGCTAAAATCACCGGGGAGATTGACGAGATAAAAAGCACAGACGTAAAAGACGTCAAGCATCAACTCAGTATGCTCTGCAGCGCCATAAAGCACGGCGCGAGAGCGCTGAGAGACAACTTAAAGTACATGAAAAAGTGTCTCATCGGCGACGGGCTGAATAAAATCAAGGACCAAATTGACGGCCTCCGCTCCAGGCAGCTGGAGGCTGCGATCAGGGAGTGCAGGGCTTTCATCGACAGGGACGCCGACGTGTTCAAGGAAAGATGCATCGCCGATCTCAAGCAGTACGTCGAGCAGAAACTCAAGGCGTCGGAGGAAGAGCTGTTACAGGAGGCCCGCCGGCAGTACGTGTCCACCGTCAAGGAGATGCTGAAGAGCTTCGCTGCCAAGGTGGAGACGGAGCTGGAGGAGGTGCCTAAGGAAATCGATCAAGACTTGACGATAGGATTTAAAGGGTTTATGAAGACGCTGGAGGATGGGACAACTGATGATGTAAGCACCGGTAAAGGGGAAAACATCAATAAACTTGTAAACGTCAAGTATCCAAAAGATGTCTCAGCACTGTCGTCGGCTTTCATGAAATTCTTCGGGCCGCTGAAGGAGTATCTCAAGACAGAGATTCAGAGGGTGCACGATGAGGCGAACAAAAAGAAAAATCCTTCACTGCCCAAATCCCAAGAGCCCTACGCCCCGAAGCTCTACGAAGTCAACGCCGCACTTAATACGGTGCTAATCGAAATCCAGAACGTACAAGGCTACGATCACAGACTACACAAGCTGCTTGCCGCGCTGACCAATGCACTCGATGACCTCAAGCCGGAGAGCTTCGCCAGGCCCTCAAGTCCCCTACTGGACGGCCTGGTGGAGGGGCTCACAAAGTTCGCCGCCGAGTTCACATGTGCGTACGTCTCTGCCTACGCCGGGCAGACGTTCACCTCCGACTTGGTCGAAAATGAGACTGCCACCGAGACCGTAAGATCCCAAGGCACAAAGTCCGTCACCGTCACAAACGTCAGCAGCCTGACGCCATACGGCGCCATGTGCGCCAAGGTCTTTCTCACCCTGCTGCCCACACTGTGCGACGCCTTCACCAGGCTGGCGGAGCAGTGCGGCAAAGGCGGTGCTGCAGGCTGGAGGGATTTGCATATTAATTCAAGCAGTAAACTCGGCGCTTTCTTCAACCGCTGCGGCTACAAGGTCTCCACCTCCCACACTCAGCAGGACGGCGAGCTGCGCGACGAGTGCAACGGCCACGACGTGTTTGTCCTGGTCAGCCAGAACATTGAAGAGGCAGAAAACAACGCACACCTCAAAAAATGCCTGTCCCTCCAACATGACTGTAATCTCCTAGAGCTGCTCAAATGCCTCTGCACGCACCTCACTGAGTACTATAAGACGTGTCACCTCAAGGTGCATCCCTCACCCCGGCCGCCGTGCTCTGTGTACGAGATGCTCGTCTGGTGCTGCGGGCTTACGTATAATCCCGTGCATCTGACCGTCACCCATGATGCCCTGCCGTCGCTGTTCGAGGCGCCGGACGAGCAGGACTCTGCGGACTCCGACGTGGCTTTGATGAACCTCGGCAGCCTGGCGCTGGAGGCCCACCCGCAGAACGTAACACCAGCGTCCCTCACCGACGCCCTCACAGAGGTCTGCCACCAGTCGCACAACGTGCTCACCACCCTACTCGGCTACGGTTATGCCGGAGGCATCTACGCCGTAGACTTCAACACCAACCCGGGAGGCCTGCTGTATCCCTGTGACATGGACGCTTTGCTCTGCCTGTTCTACGACGTGATCAAACGCCTCCACCAACAGCTCTATTTCCTCTACCGCCGGTGCCTCTACAACACCCGGCACGGAGGATGGCTCGACTGCTGGTACGGCCGGGGCGTCGGAGGATCGTCGTGGAGGTGCAACACCATGCAGTGTGCCAACCAAATATGTGACCAACAGTGCAACCAAACACACAACCAAATATGTAACCAAAAGTGTGAGCAACACCCCAAGTGCGGCGTCAAGTCGCCGCTCCAGTCGTTCCTCGAGGACGGACTGCAAGGCTTCTTGCCGCATGACCTGTCGGCCAACGGCACCTGTGTCTCATGCCCCGCCTGTGACACTAAGTCACCCGGCCTCCCGTGCAAGACGCCGATGGGCCTCTCCAACATTACCAGGCTGGCCTCCCGTGCCTCCCCTGGTCGACGCATCATGGACGCTCTCGGCGCCCTCTGCGGCGGCGCTTCATCCCCCCTCACCAGGCTCTGCGGCTACCTGGAATGCCTCCTCACCCGCCCGCCACGGACGCCAGACGACCTGTTCGCCTTCTTCTTCAACCTCATAAATGACTGGACTCAGAACGTCGATCACCGTAAGGCGGCCTTCGAGGGCGCCGTCGGCGCTGCGTGCTTCTGGCAGCGGGGCGTGACACTGGACGTCAGTACAATCTTCGGCTCCAGTGAGCATGGCACACTGCCAGACATGCCTCACCTCATCGGAGATCTCATCTCACTCGTCAAGTGCAACGGCACTCCACACTCCGCTCCGTCACACCCCTGCGGCCCCTTCCTCAAGCCCCTCGGCCACGACGTACGCGCCACCTTCTCCAAGGAACACGCCCACCTCTACCTCTCGTGGGTGGTGTACCTGACCGAGACATTCTACGACCTGCTCTGTTCACTACTCCAAGAGTGCGAGCGCACCTGCGGCGACGCCACATCCACCTGCCACGCCAGGAGCTGTGCCAATGACTGCCCAGCCAAGCGACGGCCACTGGCCCCGAGCTCCAATCACACTCCCGACTGCCCCTCCATCACGGACTGCGACGCCACCACGTCCACACTCTTCCGGTACGGCTTCGCGCTCAGGGACGTCCACAGCCTCGCCGGCTCCACCAGCGGCCCACAGTCCAAGCGGACCTGCGAGGATCTCTGCATCGTCTTACGCACCGTCCTCAAGCAAATGAACCCTCTCCACAGGCTGGCGCACGACACCATCCCCGAGTACCTCTATCGCATCCGTGCCCCCTTCCTCTTCGCCATCATCGCACTCTGGCTCATCGCCACGCTCTACATCGCCCACTCACTCCTCTACCGCATGGACGTGCTGCGCCTCCGCTCACACCTCCTCACCACCAGGGCCTCCCACCTCATCGACGTCAAGGCGCTGCTCGCCGGAAGCCGCAAGATGCTCTCACTATACAGCGACGTCGACTACTTCGACGACCCAATGGGTCAACTCGATATCTCACATTAATTATCTCATTCACCTAACTTTTTTCGAAGCATGGCGCTGTGTTGCTTGTGTGAAGCAACCATGTACGTGGGGGCCACAGGTGATAATACGGCGTGCCGGCAAACTCGAAAAGCCGGCGTCGTTCCACGTGTTACTAGGCTACCTTCACCTAACTAAATAGCACAAAAACACATTGCGCAGGGTATTTAGCTATTGTCATAGTGGTCGATAGACGAAAGTCGGCGATTTCTTTTCACGGCAGCAGTGGACTGAAGCTGAGTGGTCATCCATTTCGACAGCCGCGGGGTACCACGATCGTTGAGATAGTGAATCATCAATTAAGTAGATGAATGACATGATGATGTTGAGGAAGATGGCTATACGACTTGTGAAGGAGGCCTCATGGTAGAGATTATGGGTGGTGCCGGGGTCCGTCCGACGTGATGACCATGGGAAGACGTAAAAGGTAATATGGTAATCGCAACCCGTGGTAACTTCTCGAAACCTGAAGTGCTGCCGCGCAAATACTTCAATTGAGGGACTCAGCATGTGTCGTTCGTGCCTGAAATTTGACCGCGATGATGACATGCGTTGTGGATACTTCATGCCACGTCAATGGTATGAACTTGGCTGCCATGGGGCAGATTGATCGCCATATCTTTATCATACGCCCAATTGGTGTATTCATAGCTTTATAGATATAAATCGAACGCGAATTTATTGGGTGTCAACAGCACTTGTACTGATTCGCCATTACGACGTAGCTGGCGTCGTACGCTGCTGATTATATACGTAGGCTGTTTGCAAAGCGGCCTGAAATTATGCGCAGGACCCACACCTTTACCAGTATCCTTATCTTACGCATCTTCACAAAATGGTGTACAATTCGTTGGAGGCCCCTCACAACCTCAAGGAGGGTGTTGACTGGTTGATGGCCCTGAAGGGAGATGATTCTGAAAAGAACTTGGCGGCTCTCGGTGCAGCCGTACACAAATTCCTCGCAGACAAGCCTGTTGGCAAGATGGAGGTGCCAGCTCTAGAGAGTGTAAAACTTATTACTAAGGAGTTCCTGGAGCAACCGGAGCTTAAGAACATGTGGCCCGCAAGCGAGCTGCTGGGAAGGTTTAATAAGCCTATGAACAAAAATTTCGTTGGGTCAGCAAAGTGCTTCTACAATGTCGACGAAAGCGATTACACGAACGTCGTAAAGGCCAGGCGTCTTACCTCTAAAACCATCGCAGAGAAATTAGGTAAAATTGTGGCTGGCTGAGAAGTTCTTTGAGAGTGTCAATAACCCTAAGCAGTATGACTCTGCTTACAGTTCGGAAGCGACGTGGGAAGCATCATGTTCGAAAAAGCCGGAAGCTTGCGCAGTGGTCCTCGTGGGGATTGCGCCTATGTTGTACGCGGGTCTACACGCTTTCCGGGCCTCTACGAAAGTTGCCATTCGAAACGGACCAACGTCTGATGCAGCGAAGGACTTGAAAGATGTATTGAAAGCAGTGGGTTACAAAGAGCCGGAATGCCGCGCTGGCATGAGTACATCAGGTGTCTCCTGGGCTTTGAGAGGTGTGAATAGAGAAATATTGAACATAACCTACGACCTCGCTGGATTCTGGGCTTTCTATTGAGAATTTCCGCAGAAGTCGAAAAGTGTTTCTACAAACGATTGCGCATCAAGTCCTCCAGTGAGTTCGCATCACACGAATATGCATGTGCACGAGGCATTTGTAATTTTAAAAAAGTGGTGTCATCCTTGTGGATGCGATCGCCATTCTCCACACTGATAGCATAAGGAAAGACCAATAATATTTCTAAACATCTCTTTAATGAAGTTCATGGCTTAGTTTGGCGGGTTGCTGTTTCAGCATTACACGGTTTAATGCCCGTGTACCCGCCAGACATTGCATGGAGATCCGCAGTTTACAAATATCGCTGTACACTAATATAGGTTTGCTCAGACGGATGATCGATGAGTGCCGCTTGGCGAGGTTCGGTGTAATACCGTTCCGGAAATACAGAGCGCAGGCTGAGTTCGAGGTGTCTCGGCACGTCTGGATTGTAAGACTTAGAAAACCTTCTATCCTACATAGGTCTTTGACGACACATGCTGCTATTCCTACCGGAGTGAGTAAACATGAAAGTATTCCGCATTTGTGCGGCTTTTGCAGTCGTAGCCCCTATCAATCCTTTACTTGATTTACCCAACGAAGCTGCTCTAGACGGCAGCCCCCGTGAACGAAGGTGTGTGACAACCTACTACGCTCGGCAACATAAATGTGCATATCCCGCGACCAACGGCATCAGCGTGAGGCGCTAGACTGGTACACACAAATTGGCCCTAAGCCATACGTAGCCACATAGCACGCTATACAATGCCAAAGCAAAGAATAAAGGTGCGATGGATTCGCAACGTAAGTGCCGGCAAGCGCCTAAAAATCCGAATAAAATTACGTTAAGACGTTGCCAGGTTTTAGGACATCGTGAAATTGTAATGTAGAGGCGTCTAATAAACGCACATAACCTACAGTTACGCTAAAACGAGGGTGAATCGCTCTTGTCTGGCCACCAACGGAAATACACATACCGGCGCCAAAGGTATAATGCCAGATACGGTCTTGCTTTAGCGCAATGTGTATATTGACTTATTTTCAGACGACAAAAATCGCACAGATAGCGCAAATTAAGCGTGAAATCGTTTGTCTGCGCCGCTCAACATCCGCGCTATGATGGCATCTCAATCTCAACAATAAAACGCAAGCAAATATAGTTTTTGCGGCACTCATCCGTTTATTTTATACTGATCCTGGTAAGATTCAGAGCAGAAGTTTCGATGTGTTCAACCGGACATTGGTGGCGGATGTACCACGTCGCATCCTACAGATACTCCACCACCGCCCAGTAAAATTCAGCAGTTAACGGAAGTAATACACATAAACCTTGTCGGTTCTTCTAAGAAATTCGTTCCCGAACGATTTACAATTTTTTACAATCTTCTCGGCCTTTCTATGTAATGTGCAAAATGATGTGTACGGTGTGTTGGTGTTAGCGCTGATGCCATGGATTCCGTACAACAGTTCATCTCTATTGTACCTTACAATGCACATTAGATCCATTTTCTGTTGGATTCCACGCAAAAAGGGTACAACCTGGAATTCCTACCAACGGAAGGTTTTGCCGATGTCACCTCGCACAGATACTTGTCATTAGCACTTTATAATTGCTAATAATTATACGGCAACAGCTGTAACAACTGCATTTAAACGCGGCATTAGACACGCCTGACTCATGAGCGCGAGCAGCAGGGATAATCAGTAGAGTGCGCAGCACTATAACCGATGTGCAGCCCGGGGTGGTATGACTACACGCGCCTGAAGGTTGAAACCGTTCCAAATAATCTTGAAAGGCATTATTTCTTCTCCGTTGTGTTATTAGCGACGCCGTTTATGCCACTCGTCAATTTCTGCTGAGACAAAGCGCTGCTGCAGCCACCCTCTGCGGAGAAAGGATGGATTGCTCATTTCTGTTCGGTTCCCAGAGTATCACTAGGCTCATATGCGCAGCTATAGCTTACATAGGCTTCAGCAGATTTGAAAAGGCCGAGTGTGTCGGGGTTAAGGACGCCCCGGCGTCAGAAATCCTCGTGTCACCGCAGAGCGTGCTGCCCATGAACTCGTTGGTGTCTAACATTGAAGTAACCAAGCAGAGAGCGCCAATCATTGAAGAATGTCGCATAGACGCTGATTTAGCGTTCAATCCTGCCACAGTTGGCGGTAAGGAGACCTTACAGCGCCTGCACGCCGATGAAATTGCGGCGATCCAGGCTCCCATGGATCAGGGGGTCGTCCGCGAGCTAAACGATCGCAATGCTCTCGACTTCATGCAGATGGTCTTGAACGAGCACTTGCCTAGGAAGGAGTTTTGGCTATGCTGGTTCCGCAGCCGTCTGCGTAGCATCACAGAGACATCGGAAACACCACCGACGCATACGGTAGTCCCGCCTGGCGACAAGTTTATTTCACCAACGGGACCTAGCACCGGGAAGAATATCCGCGGTGCACACGACAGCGACACACCAGATACAAGCACAGGAGTTTGTCAGGACGCCAAGGCAAGCAGTGTTGCGGAATCGTCCCTAGACGACATCTCCAGAGCCCGTAGAATCTGGCTGTTTGTTACGGGATTATATGCAACCGCTAAAACGATGGTGTTCCGTGATAGTAAGGCAACAGACATCCCTAGGCCGTCGCTACGAAGTCACCTCGCCACATTTGGAAGGGCTGTTGCCGGGAAAGTTGGCAGGGGTGTTGTTAGTACCGTGTCTACTGTGAGCACAGTGCTCGGCTTCAACGACACACCCTTCATAAACATGAAGCACACAATCATGCAATTGTTTTCCCCAGAATTGAAGGTGAAGGAGGAGCCGGAAGAGCCTACACATGCGGCCCTAGAGGAGGAATGCTTCCTGGAAAAGATGGCGCGACTCAACGCCTTCTACCACCATGATATCGCCAATAGACCTATATATGCGGATAGGTCGTCATTTTACGGCCCTCTGCCCAAGGCGTTGAACGTTACCGAAGCACAGGCGCCGTTCGAAACCGCGCGTTGCCGGAACGCCGCACATTATGTCGTCGTGTCTAGCGGGCATTATGCGACATTGTCGCTGTACACATTGTTTGCCGTGATGTTCCTCATATAGTTGACGGGTGTGTAAGGTCATGGACGTGGACGTCGCGGCCGAAGACGGCTACTTTCGCGCGCCGCCTATCGGCAGTGATGTAGACACGAGCGCGACGTTCAATCTCTCTACAGTGGTAGGTCAATTTGAAACATTTTAACGTTGCGCAGTATTTCCCGAAAGAAGGGGACCATGTATTGGGCGTTATTGTGTCTAAAAATCTGGACTTCTACACAGTACGTTGCCGTCCTTCAACAAGTCATGACACACAGCTCGACATTGGCGGCCTTTGCGAGGCAGTGCTTCCGGCTGTGGACGGTTTTCGTGGAGCGACTAAACGTAACAGGCCGAATCTCAATGAGGGCGACGTAGTTTTCTGCCAGGTGACGCGGGAGTATCCTGCCCGCGAGCTCCCTACGGAGGTCTCGTGTATAAACATCGGTGACATGAAACAATGGACAACGAAGGAAACATACTTCGGCCAGCTAGAGGACGGGTTCATGTTTGCGGTGCCTATCCCCTACAGCTACTGGTAAACGCATCTACTCCTTCGCGATCAACATTTTGTGCAGCCTCTCTGGAGATCGCTGTTACGTGCTTGAAAAATGCGCAGCACGTTTCAAATATGAGATAGCCATCGGTTTGAATGGCAGGTAGGTTAAAACGATATCGCTGTGACGCGTGGCAGGGTCTGGGTGAGAAGTACCAATGCTAGCGACACGCTGCAAATCGCCAGATACATTCGGATGTGCTTCGGGTTGACATTACCCCAAATGGAAGCGTTGTTTACATATCTAGACAATTCCCTGTAGTGGCGAAGCTCCTGGCTATATAACAAAATCTAGGAATGTTAGTGCAGCATGCATTACGCCGGGTTGGTTGGCATATTGTGTATACATGACCACTCCAATCATCGACGCTTCATCCGTTTACTGGAGCGCAGTTCACCGTTCCGCGCGTCGGTCGGGTCTGTTGGTGTTTTCGGCCGGGTGTTGTCTGTGCGCTGTGAACCGCGTGCTGTTGCCGATGTTGTTAGGCGAGTTGTTGCCCGCATTGTCACGCAGCATCGGGTTGGGGAGTCTGGCCGGATTGTCTGACATGTTGTCGCTGCAGGTGGAGTAAGTGTCTAGCGGGATGGTGTGCCGTGAGTGTCGCCGGCATGTTTCCGTTTAGGGGCCATGAAACCCAAATCGGTTGTAGGTGAGAAAAAAATGCAGTTGTGTCGGCGGTGCTGTCTTCGGGAGCATTCTAGCGTCGCATGCGCGATTGTGTTAGCTGTATGCAGGTGATGGCTATCACATTGAGTCATGTGCCACCTAGCTGGCTGTCTGCAGTTGGTGGGACGTCGGGCCGATCTTGGTTACCCGGCCTTGGTGTAACGTAATATCGAGAATGAACGCAATTGCGAGTGCCGAATATACTTAATGTGCTACGCATGGTCACATGTATCGCCAGAACGTCGTTTTGTGTTGTATTCGGGTGATGGGATCCTTGCGCTGCATACACGTCTAAGTGTGCCGTCAGGTCGAGTTCCGTCTTGGACGCCTCATGAAGGTTTGCTGTGCGTATAACGCATCACTTGATGTTTGATGTGGATAAACTTCAACTTTTGCGGAACATTAAAGTACAATTTCCAGAGCAGTTTGCAACTTGGTCACCATGGCGAACTCAACGCTGGTATCCCGCCTGGCATGGTTCGGCGTGATTGCACTGATACTCACGCTGGCGTGTGGCGCCACCGCGCAGGTTGGCGACAAACGCAGGCTTTCACATTTGGAGGATGATGTACAAATCTACATAAATGGCAGGGCGGCGATGTATGAAGGAATAGAAGGGCTCGTATCACCCATGAGTGACTTCACAGCTGTCCTGAGTTATCCATATCTGCTGCACAAAGTGGAGTTTTTGAACCGCGTACTTGATGACTACGAACGTCCACATCCCGTTAAGCCTTTCCTGATGAGGATTTTTGGCTATCTTCTGAATAAACTTGAGGAAGAAACAGGAGAGCCAACAGTGATATTCGAATCTGCTCACATGTGTCGAGATTATGTGAAGCTTCTTAGGGGTGTGCGTGACAGTTTCACACTACCGCCAAGACCGTTCAAATACCATACACCGGATTACTTTGACATCATAACGCAGTTTGACGACCCAAAAAAGGCGGTAGGGAAGCACACCATGGACGCTTTGATGATGATGTGCCAGCAGATTTATCTACAATGTTCTGATAGGCTGAAACGGCAAGCGACAGTGAGCAGAGCAGATGATCGCCGGAAAGGAGGTGCCGTCACCACTGCAGATAATACCCGAGACAGTGTTACCGCCAACAGCATCAAAGGGGCGGGTATTGCTGATGATAAAATGCCTGACGTCGAGGAAGCGTCCTCTTCAAGCTCGGCAGACGATGTCACCGCGCCACGGCATATTAAGGGGTCGTTGGGTGCGTGGGAGCCCGAGCCATCGGTATCGTCACAGGAGTCCGATAGGCCCAGTGAGGTTGCCGCCCCGTCCGACGACGACAAGCAGCTGCATCAGAATTTGAGTGCCAGCACGTCAAGCCTCGAACAGCAGGACGACGACACGCTGTCGTACCACCATGCTCAAGGTGAGGTAGGCGAGGAGAATGACGCGAACTGGGACGAATACTTCGACTCATTTTTGAAGCGGCTCAAGAAACCCCCGTTGGATAGCGAGGCGTCTGACGAACCCGCTAAACCACTGTCCAGGTGGAAACGATTCCTTAGGGCCCTGCGCAAACTCCGTTGCGTGTAATGGAGATCGGGCGGTAGACGGGGGTCTAGTGAACCACCCGCTTCCGTTAATGTAGGCAAACGAGTGCAAATGTTAATTATATACGACATCCCTGTTGTTTTTAGTGTAGGCAGTTTAACCTATGTTGAGTTGTTCGGTTTGGATGGGAATGCGTGGTCCGTGTTTCATGTGGCACAGTCTGCGATGTGGCTAAGTGCGGCTTGGGGCGATTTGCGTGTTTACCAGACAAGCGCCTCACGCTACTGGTGACGGTTGCAGGCTGCGTCGAGTTATCGTACACTACAGGTACCATCCATTGTGGCATCCATCCCGTCTGGGCGAGAGGGTCATTCACAGAGTCATAATCTTCTCTGGGTTTTATCTCTTTCGTCACATAGGAAACCATCCTGAATGCTGTCGGTTGATTGAATTGTCGCACCTTCGGGCCCTCGATTAGGTCTTCATGCCTCATGCTCTTCTTCCCCGTCTACACCAGGTCGTCTTTATTGGTAACCCTGATATTCACGATTGCGATGAGGTTCTTCTGCCTATTAGCAACGATGCTATCTAGTATATTATGCTCCTTGTTCTCCTCCGTCTTGACCTATACACTCCGTCGTTACCATCGTCATCCACATACCCCTTCATACTCTTCGCTCACACAGCTGCTTTCCATCCCGGTACGCCCTGCTGGTCCTCATGGTTACACCTCGGAGGCCTCCATATTGATGTCACTTTCTCATACATAAGGCATCGAATATTCCATCCTAATGAAGGCAGCAGAGGGAACAGTATTGTCGTTGCATTTAAGCTAGTTATTTACAACATGCCTCTATTCACAACATTCTTTGTCATACTTCCGAATCACATTTCAGGAATACGTTCTTGCACATCAAGGGCCTATGGTGGTAGTGGGGCAGACCTGGAATTGCAATGGAGCGGGAGAGGATTTGACGCGAACATTGATTTGCACGTAACATCGGACATGGTCGATTTCTAGTGCTGTTAAACATCTTAATGCAGTTTGGATGTCTAAAGTCACCTCCAAAGTGGACTATAATTCTGAGCTGTCTGGGCACTGGAGATTTGGAATCGGTGAGATTGGCGGATGCTAGTTTTTTTGTGAGTTATAAACACGACCTTCAACAGGTACAACTCTGGTCAATGTAGTTTGTAGCACTGAGAAAGGTGTAAACCAAGTGTCCACTGCTTATCGCATTTTCGCGGCGGAGTCGGGGATCTGCAACCTCGAATTGATAGGTGGGTTCATTGAGGTGGCTAATAAGGCACTGTCTTGCTTCTAAACGATGGCGCCAAAGCAGCTTACGGACTGTCCGGAAAATCTCCGGGAGTCCATCGACTGGTTGATCCAGGTTAGGCATGGGAATGGTGGTCAAGGTCTTAACAACTTGGCTGATGCTTTGAAAACGTTGATTACTGAGGCTATTAACAATGCTGCTACGAGCCTTATTGAAAGGAAAAGACAACTTGAGTGCCCTTCAAAATACTGGGAACGTGACTCCTATTGTAGCAAGAAGCAGTCTGACATTGACAAAGAGGAAGATAAATCTAAAAAGTCCAAACTTAAAAAAGAAAAGGATGATCACTACAACGAGGTTCATTACCTTACTGAGGATGCCAGACAAAGCGCCTTGGATGATATTGATGCCCGCCGCATCTCTCTTGGTCAGCTTGCTGGACAGCTTTCGGGTTTAATTGGTGGGAGTGAGGAAGTTAAAAAGGCTATTGTGAATGGTTTGCACAGTAATGTAACTCAGCTTGAAAAGCTTTTGAAAACATCTTGCGGAGGGGAGGGGTGTTGTAACTATAATGATGTTAAAAATAACCTTAATGATGTCAATGAGAAGCTTAAAAATCACCTTAAAGAGGAACAAAAAACCTCTGAAAATCTTACTGTAATCCTTTCTAAGTGCAAGTTAAATGGTCTTGATGGTCCCTTAAAAGAGCTTAAAGATGCAATTACTGAGAAAATTGAGAAGCTTAATAAAGATATTGAGAGCCTTAAAAAAGCAGATAAAGATGCTAAACAACGCAATGAAACTCCTCAAAATGCCTCTGAAATTGTCAAGTTTAATAAGGATCTTCAGTCTCATAATGCTTCCAAGAGGTCTCTTGAGACACTGAAAGAGCTTTGTGGATATGCTGGGAAAATTCAAAAAAATCATGAAAATCCTAAAAAGCTTTTAGAGAGTCTTTGTACAGGCCTCGAAAAATTTCTCGGCTACCAGGATGGTAATTACACCGGAGAGGGAATTGTGTACTCGGACCTTGACAGGCTGTGTGACGGGGTGATGGCGTTCTTGCACGGGGTGCTCAGTGGAGTGAAAGATGATAATGTTGTGCAGCATTATGACACTGATAATAACATTGGTGATGCGATTAACACTATTAAGGAAAAAATGCATAAAAGTAATGGATTGTCTGAGGCCATTCATGCTGTTACCGGGGCGCTGCGGGAGTGGGATGGTGAGGTTGGGAAGCGAACCGAGGAAGTGAAACAGAAATTTGATGTTATTAACATCAAACATCTTGAGGAAAATGCTCAGGGATTTAAAAATGCATTAGCCTTACTTAACGACATCAATCATAATAATTCTGATAATGTTGCAACCAGGTTGGGGAACTGTATCAATGAAGCGAAGAACCTTTCCGCATCATTCGATGCCGCGAAGAAGGCGTACTACAAGCTTGATCTCGGCCTTCGTAAGAAGCTTCAGGACTCTGTGCGTAGTGCCGAAGTGCAAGTTAAGGCCTTCGTCGCCGCTGCACAAAATGATGAATTGAGGGGGTTGTTGCAGTGCAGTGAAAATGAACTAAAGAAGTTGGAATTTGAAGTAAATCGCTATGCTGAGGGCTGTGTAAAACATATGCAGGGCAGAATACATTACGAATTTCAAGAACAAATTTACAAGCCAATAAAAAATGTCAATGAGGAATTAGAGAAGATATACAAGCATCTAAGCGCATGGATTGGGTCGTCCAAGGAAGTTGTAGACAAGGCTTCAGGTAAGTGTGATGATATACTTAAGAAGGTGGATAAAAATAAAAGTCCTGAGATTTTTAGGTCCGCCACAACTTTAAAAACTAAAGCGGAGGATCTCCGGCAGGCGGCGATTGCTGCCAGAGATGAAGTTGCCAAAAATGTGCTGGCAGCACAGGAACAATTAAGGCTTTTGGAAGATGCGGTGAAGTTTGACTTGAATAATGTGAAAGTGGCGCTTCAAATGGGAATTGGGGATTATATGAAGACGCAGTTGCTAGAGGATATTAAGACGAAGGTTGGTAAGATTACCGGTACGGGAGGTAAGAATGGTTTAACTGATATTGTGAAAAAAGTACAAAAGTACGCGGCGAAATTCGAAGAAGATGCACCGCATGGTTTTGAGACAATAGTTCAGGATTGGATTGATGAGATTTTAAATGAGGAGCCAGCTAGTGGGTGGATTAAGGCGTACGTTAGCAAGAATAAGAGCAGTTTGGACCCAAAATATACGAAGGACGATGACGATAATACAGACTTAAATGAAAAAATCGCAACTGTAATAAAGGGGGATCTTAGCAAAGAAATTACCAACGCCGTAAAATCATACAAATATGTCAACCTCGACGGCAGCATTAAACAATGTGTTACCGCTGTTCAGCTCGTCTGCAGGACATTTGCCAGTGCAATTGGAGAAAGGATTAAGACGGAAACCAAAATAAGGCCACTAGTCACCACGATAGTTGGAAATATTGAAAAATACCCGGATGGTATATTTGATATCACGGGTAAGCCTACTAATGATACAAATCTCACGTATGCCATCCGTTACGCCCTATACGAACTAGTCGGTGTGGCAAGAAAAGCCGGCTGGGATGTTGGGTCGTTCACTGGCGACAATGGATCCGAACTCGACATCGGCAAAGTAAATGACGCCCTTGGTGTCGCAACGACTCTTTCTGGCAATCTTACAACGGCGACCGACCGAGAAACTGCCGGCGCAGCCGATCCTGCCTATGATGTCAATAAGAGGATTGGAGATAAGATTAGTGAACAATTGCCGGGTGACAGTGCAAAAGAGATGGACCTTAAAAATTTTACATCCTCCTTCACCAGGGGCCTAGACGGGAGGGAAACCAAGAAAGAAGCCCTTCAGACAGCAATCGGTTATATCCAGAAGCACTTGGTTGATGTTGCTCTGAAATCCATCGGTGAGAATGCCGGTTCCGATAGAATAGATAACAATACCTTCACGGAACCCTTTAAAAAAATTGAACAAGAACTCACAGATCTTACGAATTTGGTCAATAGCATAGACTCAAGCATAACGTCGACAGAGAAAAAAGGCGTCAAAAGCCTTCTGAACGAATTGAAAGATATGCTCACACAGGACGATGCAAAAGGTCACTACAAACTGACACGTGGTCTCACCAAAATTAAGACAGACATCTTGGGGGTCCTGGGAACTTCAATAAACGATATAATTCCGAATAATAAGCATAACCTAAAAGTAATTCTTCGAGATGCCACCAAATTTTACACCACCGTTATCCAAGTGCAGGCAGATGCGGCCACAAAAAGTATCCAAAAATTCGTCGAAGCTGAGGTCAAAATTAGAACCGAAAACATTCAAAAGAAGGCTAAAGATGAATACATAGAGAAAATAGATCCAAAGTTCAGAGATATGAAATCCAGGGTATTTGCCCGTATTAATGACATTAAAGAGATTATTGATGAAGATTTAAAATCAGGCATTAAGGGCCTGATGAAAAAATTGCGAGGCAATTGGAATCTTCCTGCCGGTGAAAGGATTCCGGGTTTTCAAAATTCTGGTGATTTGCTTGCAGCACTCAACATTGATACAATTCTGAAACCGTCGGAAAAATTTACCACTCTGTCACAGATCTTTAAACACTACTTGGATCTAATTTTAGGCTACATTATTCAGGACGTCGAAAGACTATTCTCGACCATACCCCTTCGTTCCGACCAGCCTAGAACGCTGCATACCTATCGGTCTGAGGTAGAAAAAATTAAAAGCGAGGTGGGGTTTTTACTTGAACATCTCATAAATGACGCAAATAAAAAATACAATTTCGACCACACCTTCTGCGATTCACTTTATTCACTGAACGATGCAGTAAGTCGCCTGTCGCCTGCAAAATTCGGCGCAACATCCTGCGTCATCTTAGACGCGCTTAGGAGCGGCGTTGTTGGGTTAACCAAAGAATTAGATAAGGCGTATGTTAATAAATACTCTGAATCCAGTGGAATTACTTGGAAGGAGATTCGTGGTCTCGGGGAAAAAACGAAACTAACAGTTGACGGCCGCAACTGCGCCAAGGTCTGCCTGACCATACTGGAGGGGCTGAGAAAAGATCTGCTTGATTTGCCAAATGTATCTACTTCCAATAAAGACAGGCAAATTCATTTAGGCATGGTGGAAAAGCAGGTCACAAAACCAGCCAAATCAGCAGCGAAGGGAGACGCTGAGAAGATTAAGAATCCCCTCGGCGTTTGGTTGACCAACCGTGGTTACCGTGTAGCCAGCGAAGGAAACAATGAAGATGGGGAGCTGCGGAATGAAACAAAGTTCACGGGTGAGAAAATTAAGAAAGATTTGCTTGACCAAAAAATTAGGGGGGCTTCGAGCATCGACGTTCTAACGACGTGGAGGCCAAATAAAAAAGACAGCGGCTTTAATCTCTTCGACATTGCCGATTTCCTCCGCGAATATTTTCGAAAGTACTATGACGTATGCCAGCATATTCATATCGACAAGCCCACGTCACCTTCTAATATCTATCAAATGCTTTGCTGGCTGTCCGGCCTTCGGTTTAATCCGATGCTTAAGAAACTGGATGATCAGTTTAATGGACTGTTTAATAAGGAGAATAAGCAGTTACATATAGCCGTTCCAGATCCAAAGCACTACATGAGTGAATTAACTCTTAAACCTGGTACCTTATCCACCCAACTCGAGCAAGTTTGCTTACTCTCGCAACTTGTATTAGTCGCCATACAAGGACATGGTCACGCCGAAGGGCGTTACGCCTGTGACTTCCGCACAAACTTAGACAATTTGTTATATCCCTCTAGCCCTGGCGCGTGTTTCGACATGCTTTTAGATATATTGAGTAGGGTATTTCATCAGATGCGTTTCGTATATAGCCAGTGTAAAAACGGTCCCGGTAGTAGCGGTTGGGCTGATTGCTGGTACGGCCAGGGAGTAGGCGGGTCAGGTTGGAAGTGCAACGCCATCCAGTGTCCTGGCCAACAAGGTGACCAAAAGCATAACCAAAAGTGCGACCAAATGTGTACTCAAAAGTGTGGCCAAAATGTTATGTGCGGCATAAAGTCGCCGCTCCAGTCGTTCCTCGAGGACGGCCTGGTGGGCTTCCTGCCTCACCCACTTACCAATGTTGGCTGTGGAGTAAAGTGTTCCCTTGGCAATCATAGAGGCCAACCGTGCAAAACGCCTATGGGATTTACCGATATTAGCCACATGGCGTCGCATACGAAAACAGGTGATCACCTTATAAAAGCACTTAACGATATCTGTGGTGACGCAGGCAAACCGCTTAGTAAACTTTGCAGCTACTTCACATGCATATTACAGCAGACTCCACAGACATTGTGCAACATGTTTGCATTTTACCACCGATTCCTTAAGCACTGGGATGGCAACGGTAAATATTCGGTGTATGAGCGGACTGCATTTGATGAAGCCGTCCGAAATGCCAACTTCGGAATTGCCGAAACGAAACTGGACATTACATCCATTCAGAAATACAGTAATCATAATAGCAATGCGCATGACAAAGGTGATCTGTTCAGCCTTCTTATATGTGATAAAAATGAAAATCCAACTGCCCCCTGTGGTCCCTATTTGCAGTCCATCAACACTGACATTCGCGGCACATTCTCCAAGGAGCACGCCGACAAATATCTCTCGTGGACCGTGTATATAACAGAAACGTTTTACGATCTTCTTAAGAAAATGTATGATGACTGCTGTAGCAAGTGTAAAAAGCCTGGCAGCAGGTGCTACGAAAAGTGTTGTAGCGACAAGTGCCCGGTGAAAGTTGTTTATGACTCCATCGAGTCCAAAAGTGAAAACACCGCGTCCACTAAATTCACTAGTGAGAAACATGATACGTCTTGCCATTCCATTGTGAAATGCCCGAATATACATCCAACCATGTACAAATTCGGTTTTACCTTCTGGAGTGCAGATAAATTGAGCGGTAGTTACGGACCACAAACAAGACGTACATGCAAAGATTTCTGCAAAACATTAGAAAAGGTCGTAAAAGAAGGCAACGTTCTATATGACTTAGTTCATAAGCACATTCCACAATTCCTATTCGCTATCAGAGAAAAGTTCATATGGACATTCTTATCCCTCTGGTCCCTCTCTTTGCTCTACCTGCTGCACATCACCGTCGTCCGCCTCGACGTCCTGAGGATACGCTCCCACCTGCGCTCGCCCTCAAGCCACCGCATCGCCGCGCAGTCGCTCCTCGCCGTTGCAAGGGTTGGGAAAATTGCCAACGTCAAGTACTTCTCACCATAATCTTGCCTCCATTCACCATCTACAAGTCACCACCTAGCCCACCCAGCTCACCTAACTTGCAACTCAGTAGTCAATGTAGCAACCACATACATGACTCGCAAGCTAATACGTGATGTAGTTGATGCATCGAGGTGATTGTTGTTTGCGATGGCCAGCTGTGGGATACTTGTGAGAGGTGGCTGCATCATCGTATCCTGTCTGTGGCCTGTGCTGATTTCTGGTTGATCGCACACGTCTGCAGCTTAGTATTGCCGTTATGCACGGTATGAGCCATTCCACAGGATGTGTATGTTACGTTGGTGATTCCGTAAGTGGTTACAGGTGGTATCTGTGTGATGCGGGAACGTCTGACTTGACGGCCACGGGGCGGCATGGCAGCGGGATTTTTTAAGGCGGCATTGTGACAATAACTAACATAGTAAACACGTGATGTGGCTCACTAAGGCAGTTGTTAGCGCGCCTTAGCCGTGACGTATGGTGACGTGGTTTAAGGTGGGTGTAGTTTATAGTGGGTGACCCTGATAGACGTTTTTCAGACATGACGAATTAAGAATATATTTTCTTCCCGTAATTCAAAGTGGATCCCGCTTGTGGTGCGGAGCGCGTGCGATGTGGTGTGAATGATACGGAGTCGAATGGAGGTTGCTTGAACCTTTAAGGAAGCCGTGGCGGCGAGATTGGGCCGCGTCGCAATTCGGGTTAAGGACTGTTGCCCTATCTTACATTCGTACTACACACAGTTATGCAGGCATCCTGCCGTTGTCTAACGTTTCAAGCCGGGTTGTCTCCAGGATTGCCGGATTCATGGGCTTGGAGGCTCCCTTCCTCCTCAGGCAGGTTAGATTTTTAATGATTTCCATTTTTAATATATTTTCGCATACTGAATTGGGCGTGTTTTTCCTGATGTTTCGCTTGTATCGTGATTAGTTTCATCATGTTGCATATCTTTCAGACCGTGTTTCACCTCAGCCTCTTCACCTTGAGCACTTGTTGATTCGGAGATGTTGTCGTGCAAGCTCCGGCATGGTGCATTGTTTCTTGGAGATGACACTGTTTGAAGCTCGATGGCATGGCACCGAAAGCTTTGACGGACTGCCCCGAGAACCTTCGAGAGGCGATCGACTGGCTCATCCAGGTGAAGCACAGTGGAGGGATTCCGAGGCTGTCCGAGGCTCTGAGTAAGTTGTTTGACAATGTTGTCCAGGACGCTGAAAAGTCTTTGTCTTCTCTCCCCGAATCAGATGAGCCGTCCGCCAGAGATGTTGTCGGCAAAGTTAATGAGTTTCGGAGCTCTTTTCCGAAAGACTCTTCGAATACTAATGAAAACATTTTACATAATCTCTGTTCCTCCTTTGAGACATTTTTAGGCTATAAGCCTCCCGGAAACTACGATGGTTCCGGGATTGTGTACGGCTCCGCCTCCCGTTTGTGCGACGCCATATTGTCATTTTTGTATAGCGTGCTGAGTGATGTCCGTTATAATCAGCCGTATGTTGTTGGTAGAAATATACTGCATAATGTAGTTGAGAATAATCTGAAACCTAATTTACGTGCAGGACACGATGGGTTTTCAAAGATTGTTAGCCATGTTGCCGGCAGAGTTTCGGCGTACAATACCGCTGTGGCCAGCTACAATGATAGAGTGAGTCATCCGATTAAAACCCTGCAGGATGAGATTGATAAACGTAAAGCGGAGATTGACAACATTCCTGATGAGATTCCCGACGATCAGTTGAAAGATGAACAGAAAGTTGAAGAGAAGGTGAAGGAGACTAGCTTACTTGCCTCCAGGTATGTGAGTTACGGCACAAAATTTGAGAAAAACATTAGTACTCATGCAGACAAAATCAAAGATCTGAATCCCAAGTTGCGTGAGAGAATAAGAGTTGTACGTGAGTCGGTAAGCCATGAAACTCAGAGACTTCGGACGCTGACCCGGAGGGAGTATGAGAACTACAAGGCAATTATGAAATTGGTTAACAAGTTTAAACAGGCGAAAGAGAATATTATTAAGCAGATCAATTCACAAGTTACCGCGCTTGTTGATAAGTTGAAAAATGCAGTTAGGCATATGTTGGAATTGCTGAACGATATAAAGAGTAAGCTGAGGGGCTGTGTTGACAGGCTGGCCAAATGGATCAAGGACGTTAAAAGGTTCATTGACACAGTTGCGCAGACAAATGTGGACAAGATATTAAAGGAAGTTACTGACGGGCTTAATAGAAAAGATCTTGAAGAGGAGATTAGGGAACTTGGCACCAATCTGGAGAAAAAAGTTGAGGAGTTGAGCACCTGGAAAGATGCGGCGGAGCATGTTCTCCAATATGCGACCCAGAATTCTGACGCTGTCCGTACCGATTTGGATCCAATTAGTAAAAAGGCGGAGATTGGTAAAAACATTGGAAACGTTGCAGAAGCTAATAAAAAGATTATGATCGCAAATATAAATCTCAGCAACAGTGTTGTTCATTTGGAGCTGTGGAAGCATGCGGCGGACAAAGTGCTGAGTGATGTGATCAACAGTTCAAATGAAGCGAAAGATAAGTTGGCTCCTGATAAAAAGGATGGAGATAAAGAGAAATATAAAATTGGCCATAATATTAATGGAATTAGTGAAGCAAAAAAAGCACTTGACGAGGCTAAAGAAAGGCTTGGTGAACAAGTTGTCAAGTTGAATAAGTGGATTACCGAAGCAGAGGACACGCGTGGAAATGCTGAGAAAAGGGCAAGAGAGGCCTCTGACTTATTGAAGGAGTATAACAGTAGGCATAAGAACGGTGAATGGATAAAAACAACGCTTGGTAAAAATTTGGATGCAATTGAGAATGCTAAAGACAAAATTGGTGAAATTCATGATGAGCTGGGAAAGGTTGATAAAAGTTTGGAGACTTGGAAGCAGAAAGCGAAGGCCGCCGTTCAGGCGGCAAAGGAGAAGGCGGAAGATGTTTATAATAGGTTGAATGATAAAGATCATGAAAAGGAGATTAGTAAAGGAATTACAAAAATTAATAATGCTGGAAAAGCAGTTAAAGATGTTGATAAGGAGCTAAAAACCATTGACACCGATCTGACTGGTTGGAACGCTGCGGCAAGGAGTGTGCTTCAGACAGCGGTGCAGAAGGCTAAGGAAGTGCGTGAGGCTTTGGACCCCGAGAAAAAGAATCATAAAATAGGTCACAGTATTAAGGAAATTAATGACGCTAAAGGAGAGATTGACAGTGCAAATAAAACTCTTTCCACTGAAGTCTCCAACTTGTCCACCTGGAAGACAGAGGCTGATAAGGTTGTGAGCAATGCAAAACAGAAAGTCACGGAAATTGTTAATGTTCTTGATGGGAAAGATGATAAAAAAGAAAAGAAGGAGAATGTTGAAAAGGCCGCAGAAGCGTTGCAAAAGAAGGCGGAGAAACTTGTGCAGCAGTATAATGCTGCACAGTCAGCAGTTCAGAAGGCGGTTGATGAAGCCAAGCAGCAAGTTGCCGAGTTGGACAAAAAGCTTCAAGAGGATTTGAAGCAGTTGGAGCAGGGGATTAAGCAGAGTGTTACAAAGTATGTTAAGCAGTATGTTGGCAAAGTTAAGGGGGAAGTGAATAAGATTAAGGGGGCGCCGGGAAAGGATTGGCAAAATACAGATGGTGAAGGCCTGCTTGGGATTCAGTCCAAGGTGCAGAGTTATTTTAACGACTTCAGCGGGAGTGACGGGGGAAAGTTTGGAATAATAGCCGGCGGATGGATCGATGACATTCTGCAGCACAACGGTGTGGTCAAGAGGCTGCTTGGCTGGAAGAGTAAGACGGAAAATGAGCTTGAGCAGGACCTTACGAACAGTGGTCTCGGAGGCCTTATTAAGTCTCCGATTAATGACAAAATTGTGCAGGCAGCTGATGCAGCGTTCAGTGACGTTGATGGTAACGCCGGCATGAAAGAGAAAATTCAAAAGGTCAAAAATGTCTGCGAACTGTTTGCCCAGCATCTTGAGCAGAAGCTGAAAGAGGATTTTGAAAGTGGCGTCATTGCGTTGGCCTTGGAGGCTAAGAAGACGATGGTGAATGTTGAAGATCGCAACCAAAAAAGCAACTTAATAAGGATCTTAGCAGACGCAAAATGCACATCTTATTGCGGAAGCTGCACCAGCAAAAATCCAGATTACTGCATGAAATGCACAGACGCAAAATGCATCCTCACTCAAGCCATCGCCACCACGCTCCTCGTCGTGTCCTCGGTGGGCCGGCAGGTGGGCAAGGAGCTTAATTCAGTGTTCCTCAACATCGACGAGAAGAACGGCATCAGCCCCAGTGAAGGAAGCATCGCTTCCATCCTTGACAGAATGACGCCGGTTGTGAATGGGCTTGACGGTGATCTCCAGAAGGCGCTTAAAGATGAGACCGCTGCATCCACCGGCAATGAAATTAAGGTTGCCGACAGTGTTGAAAAAAGGGTTGACGAGAAGGTTGGTGAGATGTTTAAGAGAACGCAGGATGGTCGTACTTCACCTCCAAACAATTATGATCTTACCAAAGTCGCGGGTGGATATAGTAAGCATATGACAGGCACGGTGAGCAAAGAGTGGGATAAAATTAAAGTCGACGAACTTAATGCTGACGACACAGCTAAATACTCTGGCAAAAAAGGTGACGAAGCAGTCAAACAAGAAATCGAAGATCTCCACTCCGAGCATGGACAAAAATTCGGAGGCTTCGTAACAGCCGTCAGGGACCTCGTTAAAAAGGATAATCAAAAACCGGTGCAAGGAAAAAAAGAAGATGTTTATCACTACGTGGAGGATTTGGAGGAGATGATTAAGAACGGCAAAAATGGAGAGCAGTATACTCTTAAAACTCTGACAGGGAGTGAGAAAGTCCACCGCCTGGAGAAAATTTATGACGTTATTAAAGGTCTGCCAAGTACATTCACCGAGCACACTGGGAAAATTGGCGCAGCCAAGGACGAAATTGAAAAGCAACTCAAAAGCCTCCAAAAGGAGTTGCAAGATACTCAAGGCCCAAAGGACGGCGTCATTGACCAGTTGAAGGATCTGATGGACGTTGGACTTACTGAACAACAGTGGAATAAAAATGGGAACAAAAAAGGCCTTCAAAGCATCCAAAAAGCCCTTAACACTCAACAAACTCAGTTGGGACAACAGCCCACTGCAATCTCTGGTGGCGTCCAAGACATTACCGAGGAGCTTACAAGGATGAGAGGGGAGTTGAAGAATGGAGAAACTGAGCCGGCTAAAAAAGGCGTTATTGACAATTTGGATTTTATGATAAAGCATATTGGTGAAGATGACAAAAATGACAACGGCAGCCTGAATAAAATCCACAGTGACCTTAAGAAGCACAATGATGAATTGCCTAAGGAAACTGACAAAATCACCAAAGCCGTCAAAAGTATCAGGACGCAACTTGCGCTTGTCGGAATCCGGTTACATAATGTGGTCGTGGATGGTGACGTCGTGGACTACTTGAAGGATCTGCAAAGGCAAATCGGTAAAAGCGGAGTGAGGGCCAAAGAAAATCTCCATGGCATTAATGAGGAGATTAGAAGGCTGGAGAAAAATGAGTTCACTACGCATCCTCAAAACATCGAAAAAGCTGTGAAGGAAATTACCCAGGCGCTTTCACAACTCCAAGGTGACTTGGAGCGTGATGTCACCGGTAAGTTGACGACGTTGAAGGACAAGGGGCTTAAAAATGGCGGTGTAAACTGGGATGGTCAAAAAACAAATGTAAAGGGTTTCGAGACAATCAAGGATGCGATTGACACTCTTCAAAGAGATCATTTCAGCAAGCACAAGGATATCGCTCAAGGCATCAAGAACATCACCGCTGAGCTCCAAAAGCTTCAGAGCAAGTTGAATGACCATGTCACCCAAAAGTTACGAAATGTGCAACAAGTTGGTCTCAGCAATACTGAAAACTGGAATGGTAAAAATGGTCTCGACAAAATCAAGAATGATCTCCAAGCGCTGAAGGATGAGAGTGTTCGTGATCTCAACAGCAAACTGAATTACCTGTGCAACGCCGTTAAAGGTTACGGAAGAGATCTCCAAGCGCAACTGGAGATAATCAGCAACGATGAAATTAACATCAACTTGAAGAGCATCCATCGTGATCTCGACATGCTGCTCGTCGGCCCGGTTCATCAGGCAATAGACTACGCCACGAATCTCCTGGATGACGCCGACAGGTGGCGTGAGGAGACGATTAGAGATCTCACGGCGTACGTTGAAAAGGAATTAGATCCGTGCATCGACGAGCTCACAAGGCACGCGCGTGAGCATTATCTCTCCACCGTCAGGGAGGCGTTGCGGAGCTTCGTCGGCAGGGTGAGTGGACAGCTTGACAAGCTGCCGGAGGAGATAGAAACCGACAAGCACCTTGGCTTCAAGGGGCTGATGGAAAAATTCCATCGTTCCCTGAAGGATAACATAGTGTCTAAAAGAGATAGTAAGGATCTCCGTGATCTCTCCTCCGCCCTCCATGCCTTCTGGGAGCCGCTTAAACAGTATCTCATCGGCGAGATCAGGAGACACATCAGGGAGGAGAATGAGAAGAGAAATCCTCCGGGTCAGGACGAAGAGAAATATACGCGTGAGTTCTTTGGAACTCATATAGCACTGATCGAGTTGCTCGACTACGTCACTGGGTGCGGAGCCATCGACCAAAAATTCAGAGAACACTTAGAAACTTTCAATAATGCGTTGCACAGTCTCATGCCCACAATATTCGGCGACGACTCCACTCCCCTACTCCAGACCGTCAAGGAGGGACTCAGCGCCCTGGCCGATCGGCTGGGTGGCGCATACGTAAACAGCTATTCGGGCGCCACGCTCACTGATAGCCTGGTGGAGCCTGACAATGCTGGGCAAAACGCTGGGCACAGCGTCAAGTTGACGCCGTACGGCGCGAAGTGTGCCAAGGTGTTTCTCTCGTGCCTGCCCACACTCTTCCACAGGCTCTACTATCTCTTCTTCCAGGGAGGCATGCGGTGGAAGTCGCAGACCGTCCGGGGTGTCGGGGGCGGAAGTGAGCTGAGGGATTTCCTGTCGGCTGAGGGCTACGACATCGAGACTCTGCACACAACGCTGACGGCGCTGGGAGTCACGGGGAAATTATTTAACGGCTTCCACACGTACGGCGAATTTGACAGGGACCCGAATGACTTCAACTCCGTCGACGACTGCGCTGAACATTTCAGGCGCCAGGATGGTCCCCTGGTGAGACTCTACAATTACCTGCTCCATTACTATAGGACGTGTCAATTGGTCGTTCCGAAGTCACCTAGGTCGCCGTGCAACATCTACGAGATGCTCTGTTGGCTGACGGGCCTTAAGTACAACTGTGCCTATGATAAGCTCTGTAAATTCACCAAGCTGTGTTACGACGAGCAGACTGAAGATAGCCTATATCCCGCCACTTTCGCTGCCGACGCTTTGGTGGACGCCGTTGAGAGGCTCACCGCCGACTGTCCCAGCATACTAACCACGGTACTCGGATACGGCAACGCTATGACGACGTACGCCTGTGACTTTCATAACAACTCGCTGAAATTACATTACCCGCAGGACGGCGAGGAGTGTCTTCACTTGCTGCTTCATTGTCTACGTCTATTGCTCTCAGTGCTCAGATATCTGCTTTCTCAGTGCTCACTCCCCGCCCACCACGGCGGCTGGGCGGACTGTCAGTATGGTAAGGGCGTCCCACCATACACGTGGCAGTGCAATCCTCCACTCAGCGCTCTGCCTAACACTCACACAGAGTGCACCTATAAATCACCCCTGATGTCATATCTCAACGACTGCCTGCCCGGCCACCTACCTCATCAGGTCAGCAACGTCGGCTGTGAGCCTTTATGCAAAACTTGTCCTACCAGTGAGCCTGGTATGCCCTGTCTTACTCCCCTCGGCTTCCGGGGGTTCTCGGGCAGCACCAAGACGGGCAAACAGCTGTGCAGAGTGCTCACCAAATTGTTCAGCAACGTCCATCTCACATCGCTGCTCAGCATCGAACCCAGACCGCCGGCTACGCTGCCTGAGCACCTTGCCTTTGCCACGTCACTGGTTCGGGAGTGGCGTGATGGTTCACTAAACTCAGTCGGTAATCCATTTCAAGAGTGTTTTCGAACCTCTATTACATACGTCTCCATGAATCTATGTAAAAACACGGACGGCCTCACCTACGCCTTCCGCAGCGCTTACGGCAACAGCCTCGGCAAACATGCTCACACAAGCGGGGACCCGCAACCTGCCCAGCTGTCAAGCCTATCAGTGCCTACGCCATGTCCCGGCGACCGTGTCCACTGCGCCCCCTACCTTCAATCGCTGTGCCACGATGCGTACTATTACATGGCTCAGCACCACTCGGATCTCTACCTCTCCTGGGCTATATACCTCCCGTGGACATTTTATGAGTTATTGCTGTGCCTTCAACACGTCTTCCAAGAAATGTCCTGCCGCGACTGGGGGTGTGACACGTGCCTGCATCCTCGGACCTGTGACCGGGGCAGCCACGGCGTCCTTAACCCTGTGCCACCGCAGCACGGCTGCCGCTGTCCTTCCATCGTCCAGTGCACGGGCGTGATGCCGACGCTCTACCAATACGGCTTCACCTTCAGGGACGCACCTGCCTTGATATCGCAACATACAACATGCTTCACCTTCCGCACGCAGCTGAGTTATGTCATCAACTCTGAATATTTCAGAGAATTGTTCGACCAGTGTGACGACTTTTTGTGGAAGGTCAGAACGCCATTCTTCTACACCATCGTCGCACTCTGGCTTATCGCAACACTCTACATCGCCCATTCGTTGCTCTACCGCATGGACGTGTTGCGCATCCGCTCCCACCTCCTCACCACCAGGGCCTCCCACCTCATCGACGTCAAGGCCTTACTCACTAAAGGCCGGAGAATGCTCTCGCTATACCACGGCGTCGACTACTTCGACGACGACCTTGTTAGTCAACTTGGCGTCTCACAGTAAATGACATTCACGTTGTAATTTGTTATTTTTGATATTTTACGATGCAATGGCAATTAGCATTGATATTGAAACATGCGCACTACTGCTGTCCCGCAAGATCGTGAAAATATCATTGTACCCACGTAGCAACATTCACATGACCCACCTAACAGACAATGCATACTGACTTGTCAAGTTAGTATTGTGGCGGTTCCCATCATCATTCCATCTTGCAACTTCAGGATTCCGCAGATACAGTAGAAATACGTTCCCCAATATCCTCCCGACATCTCAAAGCCTTCACTCCAATAATATATCGTTGCCCCATTGTCTACATACCATTGTTTTCAGGTTACTACACTGATGTACCATTTCCAGCGCCTAACATACTATTCGCACACTGTCGCCGCCATCACTACAGTGTGTACGTAGCAACATAGCGCATTACGAACTCATATCTTATGGTAAACACATTGTAATTTGAAGTATATAGTTGGTATGTAGCATAATTGAGTGCTGTCTTAAGTTCATCAATTAGCGTCAACGTTTTGCGTAACTGATGCTTATGGTAGAATTGCCCATTACATGACCCTGTAATGCCTGCATGCAGTAACCGGCGTTGAATTCGTTGTCGAAATCGACAAAAGCCACCCGCCTGGCGGCAATGACCCTGGCCTCCATAAAGCCAAGTGAGCCGCCAAAAACGGCGTTGACTTCGGAAACACCAACGCCTTCCGGCAATCCCTCCACAAAGAGAGTGCGATTTGGCATTCCCTTGGGGCCCACGGCGGTTACCATGTGGGAAACTGGTTTGCCTAGAAGCTCTACACCAGCAGGCTGCGATCGTTTTAGGTCGTTCATCCTGGCCTGAGCAGAAAGAAGGGCTTGAATGAGCTTGGGGTCTCCTGGCTGCGTCATCCCCTCCAGAGTACCGGCCAAATAGTCACTCTGTAGCTTCTCGAATATCTTCCTTTGTTGTTCCTCGCGTTCCTTGATCGCCCTTGGTTTCTTGGGACCTGAAGGCCGGGGCTTGAAGGTACCATCTGCCTTGCTAATGATGTCACTTTTTTCCCTGGCAAAATTTATATGCATAGCGTGACCGTGAAACATGAAACCTTGCATGTCCTTCAACGCATTCTGCGCCGCTTCAACGGTCTCGAACACTATGAACGCCTGCCCCTTGCGCCAGAAGGACGTCAGTGCTACGACATCGAGGATATTCCCAAATCGAGCGAACACTTCACGGAGTTGAGTTCGCATAAGCTTTATCTTCACACGGTCGTTCAAATTCTTGATGTAGATGGTGTTGTTGGGAGGAATTGACGGGTCGGCATCCACACGTTGTATATAGCGCTGCGGAACGGGCCGCGATGCCGGCATTGGGCGTAACGGGGGAGGAATCATCATCTTCTCAAGCCAATTATAGCTCGCTTATGATGCTTTATGCGATCTGTCAAACAGGGTAGGCACATATGGATCGGATTGATAAGCACAACTCCGTGCAGCTCCGCAATGACGACACTTGCGCACTTAGCACGATCCTAATCGCATGAAACCACGACTCAATACACCTTAGGTGCAGTTCATAGGCGTAAGAAGGGTAGAAACCCGTGAATCCCGGTGCAGCTTCCTTCTTAGATACGTCGCTGAAATGTCTGCTGTGTAATGCGATGTATCTCTCCCTAGAAGGCTGTCTTGCTTGAATTCCTAACAAGCGTAATATAATTACTCAGCAATAATTACAATACCGCTTGAGAATTCAGTGGCTAAGACCGACGTGGCGAAAGACAACAATGTCGCGACCTTCCAATACAACGATCGCAAGTGGACTAGACAAATACGCCAGAGACCGTTTTGCCATAGCAACACGTCCGAATTATTTATATTATCACGGGAGGGACGCTGTGGCAAACTTTTGTCCGGCTTGGGGAACACTATATGTCTTCCGTTGCGCTGGTGAAAGCTAGAGTGCGATCGGAGGACACTGTACTTTAATGACACATCTGGTAGCACAACATATCCCCTTCTACGCCCATTGAAGACAGTTAAGATGGCACAGGGTGGGCAAGAGTCTGCCGGCAGGTTTGTTTTTCATGTCGTTTCCGTCACTCTCCGCAGGCGACCAAAGGAATCGCATCGCCCTAGGAACAACGCCAAGAACGATGCGACAGATAGCAGAAGGCGTCATCAGGCGTATGTTTAGTGTTGTGACTCTACACTGTTCTCAGGGCGCGGCACCGGCCCGCGGAACCAGAACAGACGACCGACGGCAATTACCGTGATCGAGCATTTGAACGCAGCCAGCTGAAAGACGACTACTACAAGAAGATCGTCGAGGAACATGCACTGTTGAAGGCACAGACCGAGGAGGAATCCCGGTACATGGTGAGTTCTTGCCTGCTGATATTCACGGCACGGCAGGGTGGCGATGAGGAGCACACGCACCTGGTGAAGGGTCTGGACTACGTGTTGCTGGAGAAGGTGCGCAAGAGTCTAGCGCCTAGGTACGTGGCGGTTATCAGTGAGACAAATAATTCAGGGTAGCCGCTGAACGAGCTGCAGAGGCTGCAGCCGCCGCGGCGGGGGAGGAAATCGGCCACAGCGACCTGGGCCGATACATATATCGCACTTTCATCTACCATACGCACATGCACCACCGCCAGTTCCACCAAAGGCTGTCCAAAACATACAGTTTGGTGTGCCAGGGCTACAAGTTCAAGAGGAAGGACGCCGACACGCAGACCTTTTACACGTTGGACCTGAGCATGGAGCCATCGGCTAACGACGTGCCTTCAACCGTGGTGGCAAAGGGGGATCCAGAAAAGGTACCAGCACGTGGCGAAATTCGGGGGTGCTTGCCTGCCGAAATCAAAAATGTACGTTCGACCCCGGTGGCCTAATGCTCGTGTAGGAGATAGCTGAGGCCTTGCAATGGCACCAAGAGAATCGCAAAAAACCCAAGGAAGAACGACTGCATGCTAGACCGTTAAAAGCTGCGAATGGAGGGTCTGGAGACGACTCTGATGATATCTTCGCCGATGCCGGGGAATACCGCAGCAACGAGTTGAACACCGACCAAGTCACCCGTCTTAAGTCTAACGAGAAATACTTCGACGAGGAATCAGGTCAGTACTAAGTTTTCAATGCGCTAATTCTGCCTGCAGAAGACGAAGCTGCCGATGACACGTACCAGGGCCCCTCTCGGCTACAAGTGCTGGGCCGTCGCAAACGCACCGCGGCGGTGGCGGACGGCTACGACGAATGCTACCCAAGCGCTGCTGACGTAGACAGCGATGACGAAACTGGAGGCAAGGGCAAGAAGTCTCGCGGCAACCGTGCTGAGTGGCGCAAGATCGAGAAAATAATTGCGGATAAGGCCGCCATACCCATGGAACAGCTGGAGAGGATATCGACAGCACAGAAGCAGAAGTGACGTGCCTACCACGCCGATGTATCTGGGAGAGTCAGAGCGTTAGCAGCAACAGGAAGGTTAAACCTCGTTAGCAACTTAACGCATAGCACTTGGAGATAGTATCGGCAGGGTACAGGCAAATCCGCAGTTTGATGTGTGACAGAGCCACCAGGCTACACAGTAATCCTATGCCATATGTAACCTTATGTTGCATTTGACCCGCAGCATGCACTTATGCCATCTCCCTAGAACGGGGCGGCCGAAGTGTGCCCCGCGCGGTGTGTCTAGGTGCTGCTAACGGCAGTCATCACGCCGGCGGCATCTCAGAGATATTGTAAGAACTACCATTTAACAATTAAAACGAGGTGTGTAATATTTTTGCCCCTAAATAACCGGGTGGAGAGGGCGCGCCGTCCGTACCTCGGGCCCTAAGCCACAGGCGCTGAGTGACAAAACCCGTTTCCGCCATGGAGCCGGAAGCGCTCAACAAGCTCATCCAGAAGGAGGGGACCGTCTACGATTCGGTGACTCCTGACTTCGCAGAATGGGTCGCCTCCGGCGCGCTGGACGAAGCGTCGTCCGAGGTGCTGCAGCGCTTCGAGGGCATGAACTCCGTCGAGCGCTGCGATTTCATACGGGACAATGAGCTCGTCTCCAGAGTGCTGCTCAACTCCACATATGCCACGGGCCCGGGTCTGCTGCGGTGCTACTCGCTGGAGAGACTCTGCGACGCCTGCAGGGTGGACGCCTCAACCTACGCGTTCCTGCTCAACACACTCAATGATCGCGATGTTTTCGAGATCTACTATGACATCGCTACCCACGACAGCGACAGGAAGATAATCGAGAAGACCATGTTCCTGCTCTCCGGGTTACTTGCGTGCGGGAAGGGCAGATTCACCCTCGACCAGGCGATCAGCCTTTTGCGGTCGATCCTTGCCAGCAACACCGACGCAGCGCCCAAACTCTACGCCATCGCAAACCTGATTGAGGAGGAGAGCTTCCGCGATTCCGTGTTCCAGGAGACTGCCCTGATCGAGCTGATCGGAAGATGCCTGAAGAGGGAAGCCGCGCCAAACGCGCAGTACAAGGCGGCCTACTGCCTCTGGCAGTTCTCTCGCAGCCCAAAGTACGTCGATGCCATGTACGATAAGGGTCTTGTGCATGCGCTGTGCGACCTCTTTTGCTCCACCAAGATCGAGAAGATCGTCCGCGTCTGCCTGCTGCTGCTGAAAAACCTCTTCAAAAACACACGATGCCTCGAGCTCATCATCGAGAAAAACGTCTCGCAGACTCTCACGCTGCTGGAGTACGACAAGTGGCGCGACGTCGAGCTCTACGACAACATCCAGCAGCTCCACGCGTCCCTCGAGAGCAAGACCACGAAGATCAGCAACTTCGAGAGGTACGTCCTGGAGGTCGACACCGGAGCGCTGAAGTGGTCCGTGCTGCACTCCGAGAAGTTCTGGGCCGTCCATTTCGACAAATTCGAGGACGACGAGTTCAGCGTCATCTCTAAGCTGGTCAAGCTGCTCTACGCCTCCGAGGACCCTACCACCATCGCTGTGGCGTGCTTTGATCTGGGAGAGTTCGCCCGGCTGTACCACAACGGCAAGACCATCTGCCAAAAGTTCCGCGTCAAGGACCGCGTCATGGAACTCATCGGGAGCCGCGACCGAGAGGTCGCGAGGGAGGCCATGCTCTGCGCTCAAAAGCTCATGGTGCAGAAATGGCAGCAGGTGTGGACCTCCTGAGCGTCTGGCTGGAGGTGAAATTATCGAGTCAGCGTAGAAAAGGCACAGGTGCCGAGACGCACTGCAATGGCAACTGTTGTGCCTTACGCCTAACTTTGGGCTTTGTCCGATATAATGACAGTGTACAACATGCATACATACATTAGTTATCTACAGACGTGACTCATGTCGGATTCGGCGCAGTTTACGCTGACGCCAACATTACCGCAGGAGACGTGCCACCGAATGGCCGGGCAGCTGCTAGAGTTCTGGAAGTGAGTCGTTTTGGCAATAACATTACTTGAAGCGGTTTGATCAAGGCTTAAGCACAGGCCTATTTTTGCGCGTGCGTGTCCTGCGGTGCAGGAACTGGTGGTTACGATAGAGCGCAAAGCGCAGGAACTCAACGGCCTGCGAGTAGGAGTTCTGAAAGCCCAACTCGCGAGTAGGGAACAGCCGGTACTTACGCACCCCTGCGTCCTTGTACGCTGCGACCCACGAACCGGACTTGGCGTCGAAGAAAACGCCGCGAACGCCACTTAGGTTGCTGTCTGGTTGCAGCTTATTTTCCAGGTTGATGATGTTGGAGCCAACGGGAGATGGCGAAGCGTCCTCACTAACGCCTGGTCGTGCTCGGTAACGCCGTAGATGTTCATCAGCCATCTGGCGTGCAAATGCGATGGCCCGGGAGCGTGCTATCTCGAACCTGGAGCCAGTCGCCCGGAACTGGCGGAACACCTGGACTCCCTGCTTGTAATAGACAACGAGGAATCGCCGCAACACGGGGTCAAAAATAACGTTGCCGCGCGAGTTCTGGACGAGGCGGATACGGGTCCTACGGGCGCGCTTAGGGTAGAAGAGCTCTAAGCGTCGGCCGACCGCACGCTGGATTCTGCGGGGCTCGCTCTTGCTCTTACGCCGTTTTAGCCCGCGCTGCCTACCTGCAAAATGTCTGATCTGGCCCACTGACCACGGAAGCGGCGCGCGCGGCGCCGCTCGGAGAGTCAAGGAGGGGATGCGATGTGTAAACGCCGCGCTGTGCCACTGCCGGCTCAGGAATTGCGATGTGTACAGCTGCACGTGGCCGGCACGCGGCAGCGGCCACACGTGTTTGAAGCAAAGTGGCACCAGCGCTCGCGGAAACATTAAATGTGTGCAGCGCCTTCAGGGGCCCGGCGGATGTCGGTTGGGCAGAGCTCCAATTGTGCTTGGCACTATTTCATCTACAGTCAGGTTAAGGCGCCGTGAAGCGATGAACGTGTTTAATCGCCTTCAGCTACAGACGATGATTCAATCGCCTCTATTGTCTCAGTTTTATTCTGCATGCCGAGCACAACCCACCCACACAACCATGTGCGCAACTGGTAGGGCACGTGACGTGTGCAAATTCTCATATGAGAGCCGTAATGACGTGTGGCGTGTCGTGAGCGGTGTAATGTGCCTGTGGGCGTGTTTATGAGATTTTTGTGTGTCGGGGGAGGCAGGATTGCGTGTACGGTTGCGTTGGTAGGCACCACTATCTGCCACCGCTACCGTAATCGCCTCACAAGTGCCCTAGTTATGGTGCTTTATGGTTGACCTCCACCGGTGCCAGTTTTATTTACGTGGTGCTTTTAGCTACAGATATTCAAGGGGACGACACCGCACCATTCTGTGTCTAATGATCACACACATCAAAGTTGAGGGGCCTGTGTTGTGTACCTGGTGACATTTCAGTTGCAATTAGTGTCACCTGGGGCTACCATTTCTGAGGTTACATTCCATTTTCATTTACTGAAGCCAAGTATATACGCCATGAAACTCTTCACCTGCGCCGCCCTCTTGGGGCTCTGCCGCCTGATTAGCGCGGCCGCCCAGGGTCCCACGATGTCACGCTACAACTTGACCGATATGAATGAGAACAATCAACGCGACGACCCAACGGAGAACTATATACCCATTGAAGACCGCGAAGATAATGCGAAGCCCAACACCGTAAAAGCAGAAGATGCAAGTTCCACAGTAACGACCGCTTCTAACGAATCCAACGCACAGAGTGGCAATGTAAGCGATTAATCCGTATTTGCGTGGCACATATTCTGCAGAACGTTAAAGGTGGAACTCAGCGGTTTACCCGCTACATCACCGGGAAGATCCACAGAACGACAAAAAGGACCACAACCCAAAATACCGGTCGTCATGTCACCCGCACCACCCACACGATTCACACCACCCATACTACCCATTCCGGAAAGCCTCCGTCTGTGAGAGTGGAGAGGCAACGGCGTTTCGGAGAATTGGCTGACGGGTGTGGGGAGTCGCAGGATTACAGTAGCTCGGACGACAGTGACCAGACGGATATGAGCAGCGTGAGCGGCTATGGCGGAAGTTGTCATCTCAGATGTGACTGCAACCATATGTGTGACGACTCTCTGGGAAGATGCCACCACCAAGACTCTTGTGAATCAAGCGACGCCATGGAGGATATAGAGCCGAGGGTAATTGCTGCCAAGCTTAAACTTCATTCTGGGGGTAACACAGGAAAGCTTGACGAATAATTTCTCACAGAAAGGCCGTTGACGAGCAAGTGTGGCACACTGTATGCTAACAAATTACCTTCCATCAAAGAGTGGTGTGACGGGGAAGCCCTCGAGTCGTACGACTCCGCACTGGATGGACGCTCCCAACTAACGAGCTCATTCGACGATTCACTGGAGAGAAGTCGTACAACTCTCAAATCCATTACAACCGCATACGGCGTAAAACGACGCATCGAAGAGGTTCTATGTAAGTGTTTGTGCCATGCAACTTCAGTTCGGTGAACCGACTGCATGAATCCGCCTTAACTGCCGAACTATATTACACTTGCAGCATTCCACCGGACACGATACATCTACGTATCTGAGCACAGGCCACTGTGGAAACAGGTGCTGCCGTTGGGGGCCTACAAAATAGGGGACGACGATACTGCCGCCGTAATGGAACGCTTGCAGCAGTGCTTCGAGTCGAAAACGCCGATTATATTGGACAATGCGCACCGCATTGCGTCCCTTGAGGCGCGGCTAAATAGGGTGTTTGGGTCTATAAGGGTCCGCCTGGAAATGGCCGGTGCCACATTTCCCTTGGAAAGTAGCTACAGCAGGATAAACCAAACCTTCAAGGCAACGCTCAGCAAAGCTACGAGGTACTTCAAAGGGTTGACGTCTATTACCAAGTATCTGATGGCTGAGTACAAAAAAACTACCCCAGCGATTTCAGCGGAGAGGCCGGCCATGGTCATGCCCATAAAAGTGAAGAGGGTGAACCAGGAAATTGACCGATGCGTTCATGACGACAGTTATGGCACTTTCACAAGCCTGCGCGCATGCTTAGACACTTGGGAACTGTATGTGATTGCGGACACTTTCGAAATCGAAGCGATGATCGACCACTTGTGGCTGAGCAGGTTCGACATGAAAAAGGACCACATCGAGGCAGTTGTGCACAAAGCGTTATCCAAGATAGAGAAGGTTCTGGAAGCGCCGCAGTGCCTTGATCGGCTCCAGCATTTCGAAGCTGAACGTGAGCTGATCAATGGACTCAAGCAAATTGGTGTTGCCTACGTGTGAACACAGATGCGCCAACCAAGGAGAATGATGCAACAGAAAGATATTTACAGAGCTTCCTCTACAAGCGAATGCGACCTAGGCTACTGCTCGTTCGACGATGGAAGGCTGCTCTTTCTGTGACTACACACTCACCCGTGCCGCTAGAAACTCAACATGATATAGCTGAGCATTAGCATCATTATAACTTTAATAATTAATAATAACGTGTAAATGAGTATGAATAAACGTTTTTCGGCACTCTGTGTGCTTACACTGACGCCGAGCTTAAGTAGTGTCTGGATGTCGCACGTCCGCGGCAGTACCCGCGGAACTGCCGCACTTCGCACATTTGTGGAAGACCGAGACTTAAGTCAAGGTCTAAATTATGTGTAACCTTTGAGCCTCCGAATGCCAGTGTTTTCTGCTATGATGGAGCGTTTGGCGCCTTAAGGCATAGGAGGTAGGCAGCCTTCTGCCGTCCTTCTAGCCGCCAGCGCTTGGCAATGGCATGAATCACGCATCAGCATGGATCCTCATCCTGTGGACGCTGGTTTTACAACGTTTGGCTCCTCAAGGCTTCTCGGATGCTGCTGTCATACGCCGGAGATGCGGTAAGCATATCTTGACTTACATTTCTGTAGCTAAGCGGCCATGGCGACGCTGTGTATCTATCATGTTCAATGTATACGCATATAATTTTATGTAAACATAAATACTGCGCATTTTACATTGCCTCCACTGCCATGTATACTCGGTTCTGTCTAATGCGACAATGATGCACTTAAAGTGTACTCACGGTTATCCAGGAACTCTGTTGAACTGGAGTGATGGAGCTCTTGCCTCACGGTTTTCGTCCACGAGTCGTGGAAGAAGCTCGTTCATCACCTCCCCGCGGCTGTCGTTGCAAGGGGCCCCTGCTAGGTCTCAACCTCTGCCTATGTCTAGGAGGGTAGTGTTCGGCTACAAGTATGACGCAGAGCGCGTAAAGCGCAAGGGAGAAGTGCGCAGCAAGGTTTACTTCGATATGTACAAGGATAAGCACCCGCTTTACGTCATCCACCGATTCATGCACGAAAACGACCCCGACAATCCGAACTTCAAGTACGACGTCGAACTCGCCACGAAGCCCCCATGCACGCGCAACATTTTCAAGCATTATAAGAAGGACAACAAGCTGCGGTTCTTCTGGTACGCCTCGGGAAAGAAGATGCCGAACGGCCCCAGCAGTCGCTACATTAACTACGCACGGTCGTATAACGAGTTCCGCTTCAGCAAGCTCACCAGCTATTACCACATCCTGCCCTATGTCCACGAGCACTATAAGGACGACCCGAGGTACATCTACTTCATGAACAGGTTCCTCTCCTTCCACGGACGCGTTGCAGAGGCCAAGCGCGATCTCGCCGCACAGGCAGAGAGGGAGGGGCTGGAGAAGCCGAACGAGTACCGCCGCACGATTTCGTGGAAAGAAATGAGGGTACAGCGCAAGCAGGAAGAGGCGGAGCTATACGAGAAATACGGTGTCAAGGATAACATTGTGGTAAATATGGGTGACGGGAAAAGCTTCGTCGTGAAGCCCGACGGATTCACGGTTCATGGCGAGTACTACTCACGCATCGACAAGGCGGAGAGAGACTCGCCATATGACATATATACGCCCTACTACCGCACGAAGCACTCCTCCAAGCGCCGCCGCTTCCGTGAACGAGGACGCCCGCTCGACCCTGCGGAACGTTGCAAGACACGGCGTGAGCGGCTGCTAAAACGCAAAGCAGAACGAGAGGCGCGCGATGGTCCAAATGCACATGCAAAGAAGTTCATGAAGCAGAAGAAATCGTTCAAGATACCACGTCCACCAGGGTGGTTACCCGAGGAGTGCGCCGATATGGCCGACATCTTAACACCGCCGACAGATGTTGGAGCGGAGGGCCAGTGAGCCGCTGGCGTATCAGTGGAGCGCGCAATATTGCAGCGTAACGCCCATAAAGACAACTGTTGCCCTGGTAGCATGACACTCCGGCATCAGTTGCATCCAAATATGCTAGACAATGCTATCGCCACACGACTGCCATTGAGCAGTAACTTTAAAAATTGTTGTAAAAAATATCGCACAGTATGTCTCATGGGTGGAACACCTGTTCCATCCAGTTCGACTTATCCTCTGGCTTCCCGTCGACTTCAACGAAACCATCATGCACGGGCTTGGCCGGTGCATTCGGCTTGGGTGCAGCGGGCGGCGCCACAGCCTTACCCGGTGCAGGGACGCTGACGGGCGCAGTATCCTTATCGTGTGTCACTGTCCTATTGAGGACAGTCACGTCATGCACGCCTCTCCCGGAATCAGGTTCGACGCCGGCGCTGGGCTGCTGCGTGTCATTGGCCTCAGGTGCCTTGTTCTCGCGAGATGGGAACAAGAAGTCCCGGTTCGGCCCGTTGGCCAGCAGCATCGCCGCCTCACGCAAAACCCGCCTAAAAAGGGTGAAACGTGTCTGTAGCAAAACCCACCTCTGGCGACCGTCCATCTGATCCGACATGATTTCAGCTGCAGTGTCCAAGCAACGCTGGTAGCGGATCATGCGCAGCACATCGTAGAGTACATTTCCGTCCTGAACACGAATTGGAAAACGGTAGCGAAACAATTCGTACCTGGCGTTGGCCTTTAACCTTGCGCAACATACGCAACAGCCACTTGTCGTGAACCAGTTCGACGTTTCCCATCGATGTCGCAGCCTTCTGGGTCACACGCTCAGCATCACGGAACCAGAATCCATACGCCTGCTGCAGCTGCATCAACAGCTCGAGTTGAGCCCCCTGCAGCGTCAGTGAGTGGCGCATCTCGTCATACTGCTGCCAGGGGATGGCAGCCACGTCCTCTACGATACCAGCGGGGCCAACCTCCTTTAGTTTCGGGTCGCGTGTCATCACCGAATAGAACTTGTTAAACGGCATGTAAGCGCCGCTCGCGCCCTCGATACGCAACGGAGCCTTACGCAGCGTGTACCCCAAGAAGTTCACAGGTGCATGACTGTGAGGGTACCGTTCGCCCTCTTTCAGGCGGATGTAGCACAGCTAAAACAGATGCTGATACGACAATGCTGCAAACAAACCTTTTGCTCGTTTACGTAGAGCGGGAACGCCCTTATGCGATTGCTCTTCTCCTCCGACGAGCTCTCACCACCCAGGTCTGCGAGGTGCAGCGACGGCACCCATTCGAAAGACACGCCGCCTAGCTTGTGGAAGCTCGCCATGGCTGGCACCAGCGACATCAGCTGGCCTGTGCGATATGAAATGACTTTGTCTAGGAACTCACCAGATGAATCGCCCACCCACAGGTTAAGTTGGTCGGAAATGCTTAGCCACGATACATGCCGATTAGGCGGCAACACGAGCACGTCGTCGTAAAGGTCCACCACGCGGTTCAAGGAATTTCGGGCAAGACCGCGTAGACCGTTCACCCACAACAGACGCGTGGAGTATACCGTGGACGATTTAGGGTTGCTGGAGCACTCCGAAATCACGGCCAACATGTTGCCTTTGGCAGCTAGGCCGACCGGTGCCCCCTTCAGGCGGTACACCCCCAACATGCTACCCGCAAAGGAGAAGATGTAGAGCACTCCGTCTCCCAGCACCGCCACAAATTCATCAGAAACAGCCACTGAGGCGATTCTTTCGTGCCTCAGGCGGCGCTGCCAGATTTCGTTGGTGCCCAGGTTGTAGACGGTCAACAGCCCTTGGGGGTCGTTTTCCAGAGCCAACTCGCTGCCGGTAACCAAGGCCCTACCGCAGAGCGCGGCAGTGTGACAGTTGTGACTGTCATGCTTCTGTACGTAACCGGCGTTAGGACCCGAGTAAAGATGGACGTGCAGAGTTGTCGAGTCTCCCGTACCTTGTTTGGTGATCTGCCCTCCATCGTCCCAATACATGAGCCTGTTCACAGATGCAGCATTCGCCATGCGCACACTCACCACTGCGAAGACTCATCATGTGGCGCTGGACATGAACCAGGTGTAAGATTGTACCTCGCCTCCGACCGCCTCTCAAGTTGCGCCACGCGCCGTTTGAGCCGCTCGATGTCCTCCATCAGCGCCATGCTCGATTCGTCATTAAGCATGTCAAATACGTCTGCGTTGCGGCGGCGGCGCTCCGATGGAGATGCTGGCACCTCTGGCTTTTCGGCATCGACGTCGACATGGTCCACGCCGTCAAAGAGGTCACCTTCATCCTCTGCAACGTCACCAGCGTCTTCGGCCATGTCATCCACCATCCGACGAAATCGCTTGTTTCCCTGGGCGCCAGCGCTTTTCGAAGATGAACTGGATTCGGCGGGGCGTTTTCCTCCTACTTCCTCCATGCGGTCATCGGCAGGGAGTGACAGACGAGTGACGGTCCACGGCTCTGCAAGATGGTAGCGCATCTTAAACGTAACATACTTTTGTCATAAACGTTGCCCAAGATTGCCAGGTTGACCTCCTTTTCTCCAAGGTCAGTAAGGGCACACAACCTGAACTCGCATCCTGGATAACAATGAAAACCACTGAGGGTGCCGTCTTACCGCTTCGCCGGTACAGAACAGATTGGGCATCAAAATCCCACACTGCGATGTTGTCTCTACTGGCGGTGAGCAGAGCCACTATCTCGCCAAGGGTGATGAATTGCAGGCAGGATATTGGCTCCGAATGCACCACGCCGTCGCCGAACTGGTAGATCTCCCAGCGCGGAGCGGCCGTGTAGCGGACAGCATTCGCACCCGCAAACGCCAACAACCGTTGCTGAGGATGGAAGCCCAGCGCCCATTCTCCCCAAGTGTCACTGCCAACATTCTCGAAGGTCTTCAACGTACTGTCCGTATCCAGACCTCTCAGCACCATGCGGTCTTTTGCGTACTGCGCAATCACGCCATGGGCTAAGCTGGCACGTAATCCGATAATACCGTCGCCGCTGCGCATAATGTCATCACAATGCGGAACACTTACCACTCTACGTGGCTCTGCTCCAGGGTGTCCCAGGCAAAACGTACGATGGTACCGCCCTCAAGCAGCGCGAAGCTGTGGAGCGCCGCTTTACCCTTTTTATCCGCCTCAACGTCGACTTGAACCTCCAGGTGAAGCACCTTAGCCTTGTTCTTGTCATTATGCGATACTATGTGGAAGTCTCCAGCGGCGTCCACTCCGGAAAGACAGATCGTGCCATTGGCGTATCCCAGCGCTACGACAAAGCGATACTTGCTGAGAGTGCTGGGCGCCGTGCACACATCCAAGGCAGTTATGTACGTGGTACTGATCTTCGGCTCCACTTGTGGACTGATACAAACTTTCCAGTCCTCAACGTCCACTCCAGCCTTCCCCTGCAGAGATTGCACCCAGCACACCTCCAGTCGCCTCGCAAAGGCCACACAGCTGAATGTGTAATGATGCGGGGTATATTCAAAGCGAAGGGAAGCGGCCACGTTCCCTCAGAACAGGGTCGACATCGCTACGGCCTTACCTGGCGTGAACCGCGAGCGGCGGAGCGCTTCCAGCCGCATCCACTGCCTGCGACATTTGTAGATGGAACTATAGTGCAGTTACAAGGAATAGCGATTGAGTGTGTTACGCGGCGCTGCCTGCCGTGGCGGGCCAAACAACGCCAAGTGCTAACGACGGCAACGTCAAGCGCAGCCGCATCCTACGAGCGGATGGCGCGTCTTAGACAAATTAGTAGTCGAATTCCACCGACTAGAGTGAGGCTTCTTTCTCCCGAAGCGCCGACTGGACAAAGGTCAATCACGGCAAGGGCAACAACAACATACCATGTACACCTTCTTCAGGTGTGCCACGTTACTGCGCACGGTAGATAGTGCATTCAACATGACAGTAAACGGGCTGTCCACTTTGCAGCGTAGACGGATCTCTAGCTTGTTCTCCAGGGGGTGAGGAACTCGGTATCCTACGAACGCAACACGTTCGTCCTTGCTCAACCGTCTGCAACGTCTTTAGTGCGTACATCAACAACCTACGATCTCATAAGCGTGCCGAACGTGTGATCCTCCAGGTAGACGATAAAGGTACCGCAGAGCGGAGATCTCGAATCAGTGATCCACTCGACCCTAAAATGAATGAAAACCCCGTGAACTGAAGAGCCACAATCTAGAAAGGATATTCATCACACAAAACAACGCAATAAGTAGCATCTATAGCCGCTAACACATCCACGGCTGGTACCAAAGAGACCCCTTAATGCAACCGTCTGATGTGCAACTCACTTCTTCACGCCCTGGCCCAACTCCATCATATCGGCCGTTTCCGGCCGATTTATAAGCGACGTCTGTCGCGACATCCTGGCAACGAGAGGAGCCGTAGACCGGCCGCAACCGAAGAACGAGTAATCTGTAAGAAGCCGTGCCCGCACTATACGACGAGTGGGCCGGCGCTAATGTGTGAAACTGCCGTTAAGCGGCGGTAAATGGGCTAATAACCATTCACCATAACTTTATATATTTACCCAGCGCGTGTTGCTGGAATATGTAACGGCGTCGCCGTGGAAGGCTGAGCCGGGAGTGTTGGAGGGCCGCGAGTCGCGGAGCGACACACTAACACACATCTATACACCCTGTGTTACGAAACAACCGAACGAGACGCGCTATTTTTGAATCGCGGGTGAGTGTGGAACGGCAGAGTTGAATAGGTCGGTGTTTTGTCCTTGTGATTGCTCCCGCACCATAGCGTGTGGAAGGAAGGAAGGAACCGGCAACTCTGGCATTACCAAGTATATATATTTTTAATATTACCGCAACACATTTGTACAAGTATTCCGTGTGTAATGCCATGCATTATGCAGTTCGGTTCGCCTCAAAGACGTACCAACTGCTGATTTTGAATACGAGAAGGGCGCCGTAAAGGGCGCTGCAGAGGCATTTCGCTCGTGTCATTTTTATGTGGCCTTGGGTGTAAAATCGCCGATTTAAAGGGGCCGAAGTTGTCGATCGCTGCGTCGCCGTGAACGGGACGGCGCGTACTGGAAGCACAAAGTATTGCTGATTGCCGAAGTACGGAATCTCGCGTTCCTGCCTTCGAGATTTGTATTAACATTTGAAAATTACGTCGCCGCTCGGACAAATTGCGGGGCAGAAGCCGTGCGTGTAGAGCGGAAGTATTTGAATGCAGTATTTATTTTTTCAAGTGGAAGGCAACCGTCAACGATAAACATATCGCCCGTCAAGGATCAAAGCCAGAGCCGTTAATGTGATCTGGGAGTGTGTTCGCAGCAGTGTGTAACGGTGGGTGTAGTGTTTTAGGGGAGTAACCTGTGACGTCTACACCTTCCACACCAAAGCACCGGAGACCTTGAGAAAACACCTCCTACGACAGGAATACGTTGATGCTGAAGCCGTCCGGATATTTTAAATGTAGTTTTACGTACACCGGCGCGGGATATTGCTGTTACGGTGGATGTGAATTGCTGAGCAGTGAATACAACAGCTCAGGTGAAGCAACTTTATGACTGCAATCGCCATCAACAGAAACGGATAGCGCTGGGTTGGTAAAACCAACGGCGCTTGACGACATTGTGTGATTCTTTTGTTTTACAGTTTTGGCCATGATACTAAACAGTTTGGTTGGTTCGGAGGTCAAGGCCATGGGCGTAAAGCCCAGTCGGCGCGACTATCTGCGGAGAATCCTCGCTTCTATGCGACTGGCAGGAGGGTTCGCCAAATTGAAGACTCCCGCTGGGAGATGCTGCAAGCTTGTGGACCCAACTGCGCCACAGGATGTGAAGCAGGATAAGAGCCACGCGTGCGACGGGGTATGCGAAGTCAAGCCTAGCGTGTCGCCGAAGAGCCCGATCTGGAACATAGACAGCCCTAGGGTGAGTCTCGCTGCAAAGCGCCAATTCACGTCCTTGCAGAAAAAGACACTCGTACTAGACCTGGACGAGACACTCGTGCACTCGTCTTTCGACGATAAGGGAGGACACGATGTAACCCTCTCGCTGCAAGGAGAGAGCAAGAACAGGCACGTGTATGTCAATTTGCGGCCGTTCGCTAGGGAGTTTGTCTCTGCCGTCACCCGCATGTTTGAGGTGGTCATATTCACCGCGGCCACACCCGACTACGCAAACCCGGTCATCGACCTCGTAGACTGTGAGAGGCGTATACGCGGGCGATTCTTCAGAGACTACTGCACGCACTGGAACGGGTGCTACATCAAGGATCTCGACATATTCGACCGCGACCTCAAGGACATCGTCATTATCGACAACACACCCGTGTCGTACTACCTGCAGCCGAACAACGCGATTCCGATATCGTCGTGGCACGACAACCGCAACGATCGCGAGCTCGTTCAGCTGCTCCCGTTTCTGCGGAAGCTGTCCACGGCGAGCGACGTTGTACCGCTGCTCAGCGAACGGTACCCGTCTAACGAGCTCAACTCCGACATTTCGCGGAGGCGCGCTCAGTACGACCACCTGTTTCCTATACAACACTACTAATCTTTTGTTACCATTTCGTTTCGTAGCCTGTGCGGCTGGCAACCCGCCCGCTCGATGCACGAGGGCGGTGACGCGCGCTGTCGCTGTCAGCCGACGGCCCCAATAGCAATAACATTCGCCGGACCGTCCCGTGCCAAATACCCACCAATTCGTCGCTCCCGTGTGCTGCAACGGGTCTGATATTCAAGACAAGAACTCAGAACCGTAGGAGTGCGTGTCATTCGGGCCTGCGCATCATGGACGAGGTGAGCTTTCTTCGCAACGCGCTACACGCTGCAGATCAAAGTGCCGAGGAGTTTCAAGCTGCTCGACGAGCTCGAGCGCGGCCAGAAGGGTTCGGTCAGCGAGTGGGTGTCTTTCGGGTTGGAACGGCCGGACGACATCACGCTGTCGAACTGGTCCTGTACCATTCTCGGCTATCCAGGCGTAAGTCCGCCGTGCAGGTCACCAAATCGTGCAGACCGTATTTGAGAACAGGATCTACTGTCTCGAAGTGTACTGCGGCGAGCAATACCCGGACGTGCCGCCGGTGGTCAAGTTCCTGACGCGCATCAACCTGCCGGGAGTTGACCAGTCTGGCAACGTATGTGTCTATTTGCGTGAGAGTAAACGCTGCTTCAGGTCATGGCAAGCCACTTCCCCGGTCTCAAGAACTGGAAGCGCACAAGCTCCATAGAGACCGTGCTAGTGGACATCCGGCGTCACATGGCCATGCCAGCCAACAGGCGCCTGCCGCAACCCGAGGAAGGTGATTGCTATTGAGCGTCTGTGCCATCGCAGCGGCCGTAGGCAATAGAAGCCACGCCGCGGACGTTGCCGTGTTCGCATCTGCCGCGCGACGTGCGCCCGGCCGTCATATTGCACCCACATAGTACCTGGTGTACCGTGTCATTTATAACAAACGTAAGGGTAGTAGTCCACTTAGATGTGTACGGTACTGTCGCTGTCTTCGCGACGCGGCCTGTTGTTCAGCAAGGTGTCTGCTGAGCTGCGACCATTGGTTCTTTTGCGGGTAGACGATGGCGACCAGTGATAACAACAAAATGGCTGAGGAGGCTAAGAAGCCACCTGAAGAGGATGAAGTCCTCAGCTGTTTCTTCTCCGAGATCGAGTCCATTGGTACGATGCACGATGCATTACGTCATTGCGAGCAGGCAAAGCAAAGAGCAATGCCGACATCATGACCTTCAACGCCAAGGAGCTCTGTCTGAGGCTTACATCGCAGACCTTCGCGAGCCCCTACCAGGTTCTGCAGCTCAAGCACAATGCCACTGAGGAGGAAATCAAAAAACGTTATCGCAAGGTAGGCACAGATGCGCACAGTGCACAAGCATTCAGATCTCCCTACTGATCCACCCGGACAAATTCAAGCACGAAAAGGCGCAAGAGGCGTTCAACGGTGAGGACCGAATCCATGTGACCGATAATGCGAACAGTGCTGCTCAACGCCTTCAACGAGATCCAAAACTCGGAATCCAAGGAAAAGTACAAACTAGTGTACGAGCAGGCCAGGAAGGTCGTCTATAAGCGTCACAAGGCGAATCCCAACGCCACGACGCTCGACCTTATCGCAGCCGGGGTGCTCGACAGCGACATACAGCAGATCGAGAACGAAATACAGCGGGAGTGCGACGAGATTCTGCGCAAACAGCAAGAGCGCCGCGAGTACGCAGAAAAATGCGTGCGAGCGAACATGGAGTACGAAAAACAGGTTGGTAGTAGCGTTCCCGTGCTCAACGTTCGCAGCTGGCCGCTGAGCAGGTCGAGCTCGAAAAGCAGCAGCTCAACCACCAGGTGGAATGGGACAAGACTAGAGATCTACGTGTTACCAGCTGGCGTAGCTTCCAGGTGCGTGCCTTTAACACTCAGCATAGCCAACATCGCCGCAGGGCAAAGTCACTACCAAGGACTTCAAGCTCCAGGCTTTCAGGACCGTTGAGCCCAAGCGTGAGCAGCGGCCTGACGTGGAGGGAACCAAACGAGGCACCATCGCCGAATCGCAAACAAATCGCAAGGAGAAACGCAAGAAAATTGTACATACAGACGAATACAAGGCAAGCTGGAGATGAGATTTGGGCCCAAATTCATACACTGTTTGTGACGAACGCTGAGCCCAGCTGCGCGTAAGCACGCGCGGCAACAGCGTCAGACGAGAAGTCGGAGCTGTGAAGGTTCAAGACCATGGTCTCCGCATCCAGCTGTTCTAGTGCCTTGGCGCACTGCAGGTAGAGCTGCCAGCATCGGTTGCGGAACCCCAACTTGCGGCTAGCGTCGTTAATGTTCACCGATTGGCTTGCCATTACCGCGGCATCGCACAGGTCTATGATTTCACGTGCTTCCTTTGCATAAGCGCTCGATGACGTATCGCGACGGTTACTCGTAAAATCGCTGAAGCTGGCTCCAGTGAGCTTTGCCTTCAACCCGGAAACAATGCGCTCCACCTGCCACAATGATAGCACCGCGGTCAGCACTGCGTAATTTCGCAAGCTCCGGTTGTTGGTGCGATACTGGCGAAGATAGCTGACGGGGTCGGGCATCCTTTTGTTCACAGCATTAAACACTGTGGAGACGAGGTCTCCCGACGCATTAAAGTCGTCGATGATCACGCGTGCGCCTGCGTCGAGCAGGCACATGACAAGCTCCATTAGATGCGCGTCGCTTTCCGTCAACTTGACTGCGGCCTTTACGCCCTGAAGCAATTGCGGCCTCGTAAGGTCAACGGAGACATTTTGTGCGGCCTCAATTTTTACCGTGTCGTCGACATGCTCCCACTCTATCAGGCGTATCAGCATGCTTGCCTTCGAGCTGTCCTTGATATGGGCGCTCCTGAGGCTATGCAGAATGCTTCGCTTCACTAGAGCGACAAACGGTGCAAGACATGCAGAATCTACGTGACGCGAAAACTCTATGGCCAAGCTATAACCGGATACGCTATGCGATTTTGCCGTGTTTGGAGTCACCTGTAACGCAACAAGCCGCAACAGTTTGTCATCTGATGACAGCAGTGCATCCACGATATCGTTACCTTGCGACTTTTGGATAATGGACGCTAACTCCGATACTGATTCACCAACTCTCTGCGCGAAAAACTTTCGGAACAGAGAGTTAAGCGCCGTCAGTTGGCGCCTGTCTATCATCCCCCTCACGTATTCACACTGCTGGCTCAAGCTCTCAAAGTCGTCTGACTTTGGCCTCAGAAAGCATATATCCTTCACGCTATCTAGGCCCTCGCAGCAAGCACTTATCTCCGAATCGTCGGCTTCTGGCTGTGCCGATTCCGAGGCAGAGGGCTTATTGCCAATTGTGGCACCCGGTTCCGAGCCGTCCACATCCATCACCCACGAGGGCTCGTCTGCACCGTTCGACATTATGCCTAATTCGGGCGAGGTGTCATCCTCGGAAGCGATTCCAACATTGACGAACCGGCACACTACCGGCATCATTGCCGGAGTGGACGCGCAGTCGTCCACCATCTCGCCAAAGACGGTTTCAGGGGGAGGGCATGCATCGGGCAATTCGCTGCGATGCACCAACAGTGATTCCAACAACCGATGCTGCCATACGTAGAGACCCATAACGGGGTGAGATTGTCTGCGATTAAACATCTCGTCGAACACTAGCGAAGAGAATTCGCCGTAGTCACCAAGAGCATTAGCAAATCCCGGTGTGCGCTGTACACGGGCGCATACTGTCGCGCCGAAGAACAGCATCTTAAATGCGTCGCTGCCATTCAAAGATTTAAGTGCATGACGCATTATGGTGCTCCACGTCTTAGTGGAGATCTCTTCTGGGTCCACCTCGCCAGGGCTCTCATCCTCTCCCGACTTAGCGAACTCCGCAAGGCGTTGGGTGGTCTGCACTTCAAGTTCCAGCAGCAAGATGAACAGTGACAAGCTCCTTGGGTTCGCGCGTAAGGCCATTTTCACCACGCTACGTGCGGCGATGCTGCCCTTTAGGGTCATCGTGTACTGCGTGGCCACCTTCCACAGCGGCTCGCACGTTGGATTCTTGGACAGAGCATCCATTATGGCGCGATTTAGAACATTAAAGGCTTTGATGCGATAACAGAACGCGCAGTACTCTCTCCACAGCTCGACTTCAGTTCCGAACCTTTTTAGACACCGGTTGAAGATTCGGTGGATGCGACGTCGCACCGTCACCTTAATAGGGACCTTGCCGTGCTCCGCGGGAACATTGTAACGCACGTCTGGCCTGTGAATATGGGTGAATATACTAGCGGGGAACAACTAACTTCTCTTGCTTTGACTTCGCCTGCCGCAGCCGTTGCTGGAGAAGGCGGTCGAGCTCCACTTCGTACCGGATATATTCGCGGAAGGAGTTTCGCGCATATACGGGATCGGTACTTATGACAGCGTACTCGTACTTCCTGCGGCGCTTTACTATGTCCTTTACCTCGGATTCTGTGAATAGCTGCAATTCCGAGAACTTGCGCAGCTCGGGGACCATGTCCTCGAGCTGGTGCTGCACCCGCGCCGCCATTTTGCGATATTTCAAATGCGATAGATGGAATTTGCCGTCCTGAGGCTACGGGGAGTCAGGACGGTTACGGCAATCCCCATCGCGTCAGCGGCACTATACTACGGCTTTACACATCTGAGAATTGACCATCAACAGTGCCGGAAATCGCCGTGGATTTAATATTAATCAGTGTCTCCAATGTTGTGACGCAGAAGGTTAAGATTTGTCGTTATTCGAGCAACATACGGCAATCAACATCCGTACCGTCACCTAAATGTGCGTACGCTGTGGATGTTGACGGCTTTTAATGGTCACAGCTGCAATTCGCAAGATTTTATTCGTCTCTGCGTGTCGATGCCTCCATTCAATGTTTTGGTCGATGTCTTATTGTAGTTAACTATAGGAGGGGGAAGCAGCGCAGTAGTAAAGTATCGAGCAACTTGCAGTTTCTGTGAGACATGCCACGCCATAGATACACGATGATGTCATGCGTATACAGCATGGATTATCGGTGGTTCACTTAATAGTATTCATACGGGGAGATACCAGCAACGCTTAGTATCCCTGGTCTCCGAACTGTAGCTACATTAGTTCTTGTCCATGACCACAGAAACAGTCGTTCATATATTCGGATAACAACTGATAAGCAACACTCAGCTAAAATGACTTCAGAGTCTGCCCCTGCGCTATTGTTCCGGCATGAAATCCGTTTCGGATCTACCACCTTACGTATTACCATCGAAGCAATTGAAGACCCGCCACAGCCTGTGACTGACGCTGATAGGGAGCAAGTTCCCGTATCCGATGACCAATTTACAACTGAATCAGAAGATGTTGAGAGTGGTCTCGGCGAAAAGGAAAATGTAGACGACTTAACCGAAGATGATAAAATTTCGGAACTGGTAGTTGAGGATTCAACATTGGGGGAACCACCATTTGATGCCGAAACAAAAGAAATTGAACACGAAGATACAGAGGTTGACACATCAGACTTGCCACCTACGCCAGACGTAGAACCAACAGACGATGACGCCGGTAAATTGGTTCCTCTAACAGATGACAAGACCGTGGCATCTGATGATAGCGATGAGACAGATTGGGGGATGACCACGGCAGAGTTGGGGGTAGCGCTGGAGACCGCTATACAGTCATACAATAACGAGGTCGGGCATGGCCCCCTAGTGATGAGGAACATTGGTGACGTGGACCCCACCTCAACTAACACTACCAATAGCAGCATAACGGAGATGCAAGAGGAGAATTACGGTAGGCAAAATACCCAAACTTCTCACGTGGTACAGATGAGGCGGATAAGATAAATCCACTGCTGGCAGAAAATGACGAAGACTTGGATTCAATTGTCGTCTCTGACACAATATCGGAAGTATCTGTGGAAGAATTTGTGCCAAGCGGAGACAATATCGATAAGCTGGATCCGGACGACCCGAAGACCATATTGACGTGGAACGTCTCGGGGTTGAGTGAAGTCGTGCACCGAAAGCAGGTGTGGACTCGTTTTGCAGATCTCGTAGAAGGGGTCAAACCCGTTAGTTGGTATATTGAATCTAGTCAGTCTTTCGCAGGATATAGTGGTACTGCAAAACGTGAAGCTCTGCGAGTCTCAAATGATCGGTAAGTCACACGGAACGGTTCACAATCCCAACCCAGGGTATTGCCCTAAAGTGGTGGAGAAAGGAGATGGGAGGGCAGCTAAGATCTCATATGATCAGCAATTCAAAGATGGGCAACTCATCGAGGAGCTCAAAAGGAACATCTTCAAGAGATACCACCTTGTCCACTCCCTCGCTAGCTGGAGGATAGGCGGCCAGCTAATCTTCATCAAAAAGCGCTTTACGGTTGGTTATATGGGCATTACTCTAATTTGCGCAGTACATCACGGCGAGATTCGGTCTCAATACGAAGGTGAACGCGAAGTACCACCATCCGGTAGGCCCACGCACTCCATACACCATGCAATGCGCCTTTAGGAGGGGAGGGCAATCATGCTGCAATTCAAAAGCTACAATCTGCTATGCGTGTTGGTTTGCTGTTTCTAATGCTTGACGGAAAACTTCAGAATGTCCCCAGTTAATGGATGGGACACAGCGAATTTAAAGCAGAAGAAGCAGTGGCACAGAGACCTGGCCCATTTGCTGTACCACCTGAAGGGTTAGTAGCCCTCATATAGTTTTAATTTACGCGTGCAGACACTAAAGCTGTTGTCTTATGTGGATATCTTAACTGGTACGTGGAACCGAAATCACGCCACATCTTCGACAGTGCCCCTGAGGACATCGACCTGTCGGACTCCGAAAAACTCAAAATGGAGAGCTCCCCCGTTTTGCACGACTCGGTATGCGCTATTAACGATTCGTGGGTCTAAATTGGCGCAGGGCAATACCGGTTTCCCAGGATGCAGACCGGCAGACCGCGAAGGCTTTAGGTGGATACTGCTGGCAGGGTGAGGATATGCGGTTTTACCGCTATACTGTTGCAGACGTCTCGTTGACAGCTTCCGGTTATTACACCCGTACCGAGGCAAGCACAAGAATCCTCAAAACAAAAAATACACATCATTGGGTTTGTTTCACGAGTTCGAACTAACAAATTGCAGTCTATCTCGGCGACAAAACACGATGCGCCGTCAGGACCAACCTGACAGTAGGTTCGCAGTTTACAGTTATAACGGTACTCAGCTGGTCGCAAACTACTTTATGAAGAACGTGAGCCAGTGCGAAATCATTGGCAACACCAACGATCTCGTGAGTGCACGAAATCCGTTAACAACACATGCATGTGCAGAGCCCGTCGGGGTGGCGCCACCTGCCTCAGCTGCTAGTCATGAGGAGTCCCAAAGGTGCAACGACGGCAGCTTGACTTTATTAATTGTAGAAATATTTAAAACGTGTTAGAACCGTCCCGGTCTCGCTCTACCCGTATACTTGGTGTCGGGCCTGGTTTCCAGACCCTAGACATTTTTGTAGATAACGGCAACAGTAACTCACCCTTCTGCGCTGCTGCTGTTTCTTGTTAATGATGCGCTGCCGTAAGCTCTCTTGCTTTTTCTGCCTTTTATTCCGCTTCGGCATTCCGCCGCTTGTCTTTACCGTCTCTTCTTCATCGGACTCCACCTCCATTAATGCTTGAGGCATCTTCTGCGGTATTCCAGTCATGCCTGCCCATATACATAGGTAATACCTGCACGTTGTTACTGATACTTATCGAGTGTCTGACATACTTCTTTGCCTTTGTGGACTCGGGGAAGTCGACAACGAGCCCGCCGCCGAAGTTGCAGCGCGTGGCCGCGGAGGTGATCATCTCAATTTGTTCCGCGTTCTCCGGGTAAAATTGAATGGCTGCACGGGCGCCATAGTTTAAGCTGCGATATAGCCACTTGAAGAATGTCAAGAGGCGTTTGTAGGGGTCGTGCGAACTTTTGTTGGCGACACAGAGCCACTGCAGGGCACTGATGCTGATCGCCCCGTCGAAGCTTTGGGGCTTGAAATTCATTGTTTCGCCGATGTCGCCCAGGATCATGTCTCCTTCTTTGTCGCATTCGTTCCGCACAGCCTCGTCTGCGCACTCTGTAAGGATGCAATTGGAAGCGTCGCCTACCGAGCATGAAGGCGCTGATGTCTACGCCTATCCAGAAATTGTTGTAGTCGTTGAGCACCGATCCGCTCAGACCGCTGCCGCATCCTATATCCAGTACGAGACAGCATTCATCCTGCGAAAGATACATCGTCTCTATCTCACGCCTACCTCTGGCAACAACAACATCTCGGTGGCCCTCCGGCTCATTTCAACCTGGATGTCCCGAATATGCGTATTAACTGTGTATCGGCGAGCTTCTTCGCTATTGTAATACTGTAAAGTAGTGTATATTCAGCCGTAGGTAACTCACAATCTCCGGCGGAGCCAAATGCTCCGGCCGAGTCGCCATTATGTCTACCGGCTGATAGCCAGCGTCGCCTGTTTCCCTTGCAAAATATTTATTAGCCGTATATTGTTTAGTATGGCTACTACATTCATAATTTTTGTTCTAGATGGATTACAGTTCTCAGTTGCGATATTTTAACTGCGTTCGGCGGTATGATGGGATCCACGCGCGACAGTTAGACCAACGCAGGATGAACGCATCATGGGTCACACATCGTGTACCTTGAAATGGCACAAGCACATTCACTCGTTATAATGCTTATATGTCCCTTGTTCTCCGTGTTTAACGGTTCCTCTGGGTGGTAAAAGTGGCCGTACGTATCGCTACCCCTATAACGTACACACTCCTAAAGCGTTCTGTATATTTAATATTTACACATCGAAGGAACATTGGCAAATTTGCCCAAATTGTAAAGCAAGATGGGCGATATCGTTCTGGAAACGTCAGTGGAACACGACGTTAACTCAAGAGAAGCAAATAGCGGAAAAAGGAGCAACAGCTGCATGCCACCGGCACATGGCCGTCCGCAGCAGCGCAGAAATTCGAAGAATGATTGGAATCCTCCTTTAGATACGAGCACATTGCCCGCCGCTGGCCTCTCCTCCAGTCGCTGCACTAGGGATTTCGCTGCGCGCTGTAACCTGCTGCTACACAGCGGGGTGAAACGCTCACCAGCTGCTTTTCAGAGTACTACCTATGAGCGGCCGCCGTCTCCGCAGAAATATCGAGGATGGAACCACAGGTATGGCGACACGGCCCCTTTGTCTGCATCGGCAGAGGAAGGGAGTACCAGCCCCAAGCAGTCTCTTCAAGGCAAGTTACGCCAGCAGTATGCTCGCTACAACCGTGTGTTCCGTGATCCTCCGTCAGAGGACCCTCCTGCATTGAAGCAGCGCGCTCCGATTTCCGAGCTGGAGGCGAACAGGCAGCGCATCATGCGCCACTGCTGCATCTTCAATGACACGCCGGATTCTAATAAACAGCAACTAGAACGTGATAGGGCCAAATCCCCGGCAGCAAGGCCTCCTGAGGACACTTCGCCAGATAGGTCTCCCGATGAGCAGGAACAAACCATTACGGATGAGAGTCCCAATTTCAGGGCGCCTTTGGTTATTGAGACGACCATCATCGGCGGCACACGAACTGTGATGCCACGCAATCCGGAATGGGAGGTAGTTGCCATGCGGATGTCCTGCATCGATCCGTCGATGTCGGAGCGTGACATCGAGACGCTGGCGCACAAAGCCGATATGCAGGTGGTATCTATTCACCTGGATCGCAACATAATATCGCACCTCTGTAACGGCACTGGGACCATCAAGTGCCGCCACACCGGTGGTGAGCAAGGCCTGATGTACTTTGGGCAACTGCTGGCGAAGCGGGGCATCCGCCTCTGTATAACGGATCTCATCTCCGGATCTACCACGAACCATGAAAGATCCTAGAACGATGTGGACGTCACTGTGCAATAGAGCGTTGGTTATATACGCCAGACTCAAGGCATGAGTCTTTTAGTAAACTGTCTACCCGTAATGCTTTAAGATTTATAATTTAAAACACCATTCTGTGCGCTTTTCCATGCACATTGGCCAACAATTCCACCACAACTATGACCACAATAATGATTAGATTGGGTTAGTGTTGTTTTGCGATGGTATGGTGTATTGCGGTTAAGCGGCGTTGAGTTTGCGCTGGCGCTTCAGAGACTGCTTGAGGACCTTTTTGCGCCTTGCCGTGATCATCTGGCCACCAGATACCACTCTGAGGAAGTTAGTGCCACGGACGCCGCGCTTTGCGTCCTTCATCTCAACGTCCTCCACGGGAGCGTCAGTGGTACGTTGGCTCGAGTGGCCGAGGCTGATGGACCGTAACTGAATGACGGTGTAAAACACTACACAAAATTTTACCTGCGATTTTACGCCGCTGCAGAGCTGCTTGAGGTGGTTGCGCTCCTGGCGTTTGCGCTCCTGGTCGACCATCTGCTTCTTGACGACATCGTGGCGCTTTTTTATAACCGTTCGGTTATTTTTCTTCGACATTGCGATGGTAAGTGTGTGCTAGCGTCACATTCTTAGGATTATACTGTGTATTGACGGCTAGAAGCTACAGTCTTGCGAGTGCTGTGCGGGCACTAGGGCACCTCCCCTATAGCAACCCTAGATTGCGACATGGCCTCCGCCACCGTGTCTACTGCTTCCGACCGCTTCGTTCGAAGTAAGGACTTATACGCAGCCGTGAAGTTCTCGAGGAGGCGACTTGTGGAGCCTACGAAGTCGATCCATTCCTTCCAGGCTCCGTAGTCACCAAACATATCGGGCTCGTTGAGATAGAGAAAATACTCATCAGACATGTCGGTGAAACCAACTGCGGTGGATTAGCCTTTATATACTATAACGTACGCTGTGTAAGTGCGTCCTTGAGTTCCTCGCCGTGCTTTATTTTGAAGCGGGTGTACTTCAGCAGGGCCACGGCCCCCGGGTGTCTAATTATATCCTCGTAAAGTTGTTCATTATTCACGCGGAGCAGACGCAGTTGGAGCTCGTCTGGGTGCTTGGCAATTTGCGAGATTAGGTTCGAGACGTTTCCCAGAACGAGCAGGAAATTGTCGGAGTCGTCCTTGTAGAGTTTGGCAAGTATATCTTCAAGTGACACGGCGGGGTCGTTTTTATACACCTGCTGCACACAGTAAAACGCGTTGGCCACTGCTGCATCTTGATTTGGGATGTCGCTTAGGTTGGCTTGGAGGAATCCGGGTTTGTTCTTGAGCTGCTCCTTGACCTGCTGTATGCGTTTGAGGTCCTCCTTGGTCTCCTCAAGGATGGAAATTTCTTCACCCTCGTCTTCATCCGCATCCTCGGTTGCCTTCAAAGCGTTTGATTAACTTGAGTTGTGCGTGTTCTTACCTGTTTTGACAAGAGCTCATTCACTCGCTCAACCTCTGCGAAACGGGGTGCCAACTGCTCCTCATCGATTTCGTAGACCTTGTCGTAGTGCCGCACTAGCGTCTCGATTATCAGGCGCGTCTTCGGGCCCCAAAAGACCTTCGTTGCATCGGTGCTACTGAGTTGTATCCTGTAACGCGCCACTGTTGAGAGCAGTTGCGTCAACAGCGCCTTGAACTGCACGTACTCGTCGTAAAGACCAAGCAGGCCATCGTCATCGCACGTGAGAAACTTCTCGACTTGCTGCTTCAGACCTGCGGTACATTACACGGTTTTAGAGCGTTCCACTAACGTTCAACCTGGTCCTGAGTCTCGGAGAGCTTGGTCATCGTCCTCTCATCTGGCTTCGTACTGGACCACCCTGTGTGACCTCTTCTTGTAGAGTATCCTGGAGCCGCAGTTACGGCACCTCACAGTTTGCGTCGGCTGAACCGCCAGATCGTTTCCGCACTCTGTATACAGATTAGTCCGGTAAAATCGCGTACACATCGACAGGATCACGAGGCAACGGCACGGCGAAGTCGCGCATTAGCACCAAAACGTACAAGAACGCCCAAATTCTGCCGTTATTAGGGTATCATTTAGTGGAATTAGATTCTTATGTAAATTTCGGAAGCCACGAAACGCATAAAACGGCAGCCCGGACGACATCCGCTCCGAAGGCGTCCCGCCCAGTTCGGCAGCTGGAGGCCCGAACAACGCCACGAACGGCCAATCAAAGATAATATTTACCCACATAATTGTACTTACCGGCGCAAATGTAGATAATGGGTTCGAGATGCTCCTGAGTTTCAATAGAATTTGAAGCCTCCATTTTATTTCGACTGAATGTCTAGAGTCGGCGGCAGCATCGCATCCGCACCGGAATCCACGGTAGTGAGAGATGACCGTTGCGTGGCTGCCATGTATGTGTCTAGTGCTATGCTTGACTTCTTTTGACGGTTCTTTGGCCTTCCGTGTCACGCATGGCTTCGCGGCCGCAAGGCGTCTGCCAGGTCGGCTTCGCAGCGATCACATCGACGAAATGATGTTCGAGTGCGCCATATACAACTCGAATCTGCGATTTCCTCGCAATGTGGACTCCGAACTGAACCCTCATGCGGCACGCGACAGTGCCACTCAGAGCCGATTGGAGTCGATGAGCCTCGAGCTGACAAAGCAACAGCTGGAGACTTTCAAGCGCCGCAAGGAACATATGCGCATCAGCCTACCGATCTCTGGTGAGGTGAGCCGGCCACGAGGCGGCCACCTGCAGAAGCTGTACTATATCCTGGAGGAGCACAACCGGGAACTGATGGAAAACGAGCTGTACCGCACCGGGCCTGAAGGCGGGGAGCAAAACACTATCGACATTGACAATTTGCGGAAGCTTGTGCTTCCCACCCAGATGTATCGCATTTTTGACTCTCCATCGGTGACTAAGCGCTACCGCCTCTTCCCGACCACTATAAAGTCGCACTCGCCGGTGGTACGTTGTTTGCTGGACGACACGGCCGAACACTTTACTGCAGATACCAGGCCAGTTGTCTACAATAACACTCCAGGAACCTCACAGGGAGCTGCTAGTGGAGCAGGTGCGCTCAAGTAACGTGTTTGGGATCCCGGTGGCCTTCCTGGAGCCATCAAAATTCGACAATGTCGACCCAGAGATCTCTCCACACGCATGCATGTGCGAGGTAGGCGAACCGGGATTATGTGAGATAGCTGTGTTTAGTTCGTGGACCTGACCGACTTCGATACCACCGGCAAGATAGTGGTGCGTGCCACGCAGCGGCTCTCGATCGTTGATATGCCGACGACCAAGGATCCCATTGTGCTGGTAAGAACGTCTATATGCGTTGTAAGGGAGGCTCAAACTCTCTGTAGGCGGATGTGTCGATCCTAGAAGACGAGCATGAGCGGTTGCGCAACCCAAACCTAACACACGGCAATGCACGCGCGGTGGAGAAGCTGTACGACAAGTGCAACGCACAGGAGGCTCAGCTATGGTAAGCCTAACCCGACGTAACCTCACGATGTGCAGCCAACTTGAGGGCCGAATGGGCGATGTAGAAATCGTCGAGTCGCGCGAGTTGTTCGCGGACAAGCTTGCTCGGATGATACGCGACGTGCCGTTAGATGGCGATCACGAGTACAGGATTCTTGAACTGACTGGGTTCGCCGCGCTAGAATTCCATGCAGATACCGAGACGCGAATGTGGGCCGCCAACACACGTGACACGGAAGAGCGCCTAGCGTGTGCAATCACCGTTCTGGAAGAGAAATCGGCCTATCTGAAGGGTCGAATCGCGGAAGTGAAAAGGAACGCTAATCCGCCGGTGGCGGTTAAGGTGGCAGAGGTAAACGTCTAGTGCCATACGCCTTGAGTGTGCCTTCAACAATCGCACCGCCTTCCGTTCGCGCGCACTTAACATAGGTATCAAAAGGTTAATCAGATAACTTAAACCATCGGTCTGTGTGTATGAGCTGAATGCATGAGTCGCGACGCAAGCGCGATGTCGTGTGGGTGATGGTGTAGTAGTCTGCAGGCGGTGTGTAGTACAGAAAATCCGCTTTTTCCTATTTATTTTATGCACGGGGATTTGATCTAAGGCTGAACTCTGCGACCGCAGCCTTGCGTCGTTTCGCTGGAATAGTTAGGGATTGTGGTAATCTCGGCAAGATGAAGCAAAAGAAATCTCCGATGGTCGATAGCGACTCCAAATCGGAAGATGAGTACGAGGTGGAGGATATTGTGGACTTTCGTATGTTCAAAAAGCAAGCAAAATACCTCGTCAAATGGAAGGGCTTCACGGACGCGGACAACACCTGGGAACCGGAGGTAGGCAACCCTTTTATCTACTGACACGGCGCAGGCCAACCTGAGCAATTTGCCTGCGTTCGAAGCGAAGATGAAGGCATTGAAAGCCGAGCGGTTGAATGCGCTGCAAAAGACACAGTACGTCGTTGTGTATAATGTGCGCTTGTCGCTGATTCCTGGCTGATCCACACCAATTTGGTTGCCTATATCCGTTTCATGTGTACATTTGGGTTATGTGTGTGACCAGTGAAGGTTTGGTCCCATATGTGCGGTCATCTAACTTCTGCTTATCTCCTCGTGACTTTACAGCGCCTTTAATCTGCTTGCAGACCAAGTTCCTCGAGCTCTTCGAGCCGCGTTGAGAAAAGCCAGAAAACACCACCCAGCTCCGCAGTCACTCAGCAAAGCCAACAGTGAGTTTGGGAATTATGTATGTCTGCATACTCGCCAGGCCGTACAAGAAGCAGAAGACAACAACAGAGCCTGTAGCAACCACTGGTCAATCGTCTGACAAGCTCGAAACGGTACCGGTTTCACGCGGTACCAAGTCGGTGAAGCCGGCTGGTGATCAGGCAGCAGTACCAACCGAGAAAACCGAGATGCCGGCTGAGGAGAAGCCTAAGGAACCGACGAAGACCATAGCACAGATTGCTGCCGAAGCCGAGGAAGCTGTTGAGGTAGAAGATTTGTTGGATTACAAGCCGCGTTTTAAGAAGGATTACTTCCTCGTTCGTTGGAAGGGTGACTGGGAGGACTCCTGGGAGCCACGTCACAACCTGCTGATTGTTGGCGACCTGATGAACAAGATGATCGACCTAAAGATGAGCTATTTGCGTATTTACGGCCCGAGCGACATGGAGGAGAAGGCGTTCGTGACTGTTCAGTCCATTCGCGTTTCGGGAACCGCGACGCTCTCTGCCGTTGTTGTGGAGATGACCAGGTACGTTGTTGCGCAGACATGCTCACGGTATGCAGGGACACCGAGAGCCGCACACTTCTGCCACTTCAGGAGGTGAGACGCAGGTGGCCACAGCAGCTGCTTGACTTCCTGCTATCCAGACTGCGGTTGCGCGCTTCTGGCGAACCTGTCGGCGACCGCAACAGCGGGAGCACACACCTGCTCACATAGAAATGATTGGTGGGCTTTTGTTATTCGTTTCGTAGCACATACTCACACTATTAAATATAAGTGCCATGAACCTTGCGTACTCCATCAGATCATTGGTCGTTGAGGTCTCCGGTCCGCGAAAGCACGAGCTGCGCGACTGCTTGGAGAAGGTCCGCCAGGGGGTGGCTTTGGCTGCGCAACAGGTACCTATGAACGTCTGTATGCTCATCGAAGTTAGGGAAAGAATATATCATCTGTGGAATTTGCTCATGTGCCTCGCAAACGTTGGCGAGTGACCTACCTCAAGTCCAGGTTCAAGCACCGGAAGGCCATTAGACACTATGTCTTTGAGCGGTATACGCACCGAGTAGCGTTCACCGCGCCATTTGATCTCGGACCAGCCCTCAATTGTGTGCTGAGCAGCTTGGTCGGCGGACTACGAGCGAGATGCTCCTTCGCTTGGCAATTTGGTTCCATCCCCAGTGTTGAGGCTTGTCGCCGTGAGGATGCTATAGTGCGTAGGCTAGAGGCACGTATCGCTGCGCAGGAACTGCTGTACCCTGAATAGAAGGATGACAGTGCCGTCGTGGGTTCGGGTCATGCGACTCCCGTTCCAGAAGCTGACGCCATCGCAGCGTGAGCTCTGCGTCCAGCTGGAACGAGTGAGAGTTGCGGTGGAATCTCGAGTTGAACCAGCTCCCGCCGTTCGAAGCTGGTTTTCGCGTTTCAAACCGGAGGCGCCGCAGCCTGCAGTGCGGGGAATGTACATATATGGCGGCGTCGGTCAGGGGAAGACGATGCTGATGGACGCCTTCTATGATCAAGTGTCGCTGCCCAAAATGCGTATGCATTTCCACGACTTTATGATCCGTGTGCAACGTGAAATGCATCTGCACAAGAGTGATACCGGGGGCACCGTTATGGGTACGGTTGCCCGGAATGTTCTGGGGGGTGTTCGCCTGTTGTGCATGGATGAGTTTTTCGTGAATCACATCTCCGACGCCATGGTGCTAAAGCCTCTTTTCGAAAACATTTTCCAAGTAAGTAGGTTCCGTATCGGTGGATTTTAATGGTTCTACTTGCGGGCGCTAATCTACATTTTTATTGATCACTTACATGCGCGTGCCCAACTTTGCTCTGTGAGGGTTTCCCCACAACCCTGCGTTGCCAAGTTATTTGTCATTACATTGTTTCATCGGAACAATATTGTGTCTATTCATGGATGTTTGATGATTGGCGTGTGAATCAATTGAGTCCATATGGGATGCGTTCCCTAGGAGATACAAATGGCTTGCAGATGGGCGTAGTTGTAATATGCACTTCAAACCGACCTCCTGAAGACCTTTACCAGGGAGGCCTAAATCGTGAACGCTTCCTCCCCTTCATCCCTCTGTTGAAGAGCTACTGTGACGTGTTCAACCTGCAGGCACACGACTTTCGACAAGAGCACAACTTCTCAGATTCGTCTGAACGTGTTCAACGGGTCTACTACTTTGATCCCAAAGACGACGGGAACGCGCTCACGAATGATTTCAGGGGGGGTGGCGAGGCGGCAAGCATTGTCGAAAATGAAGTGATGAAGGTCTCGGAACTGCGATCCATCACGGTGCCACTATCAAAGGGCGGAGAGGCATTTTTCCGCTTTTCCAATTTGTGCGGTTCCTCAACCACCGCTGCCAGCAACAATGATAAGGTGGAAGTGTCGTTGGGTACCGAAGGATTTATTGCACTGGCTGAACGTTTTCACACCATTTGGATATCGCAAGTGCCTCAGTTCGATGCTTCAAATCATATGGACGGGCGTCTGCGCAGTTTTATGTTGTTGATTGACGTTTTGTATGAGAGGAACACCAAGTTATTGATTGCCTCTAAGGTGCCACTACTGCAGTTGTTTGGAATGACAGGTATAGTGAAGGTCGCTGAGGATTTCCAAAACCGGCTGTACACGCGCTATGTGTCAGTTGACAAGCTTTGCAGTGAATTTCCAGCTAATCTATCAAAAGCAGAATTCATAAAACTTGGTGGTAGTTTAGGCTTGCCGAGTAGCCGTACGAATCTCTTCTTCAACGCGATCCTTGCCCCAGGCGAGGACTCGGTTTCGGCAAGGCGTGTATGGGACATTTGCGAGAATCATCGCCTCCTGTTACAGGGAAATCCGCCAGCTACTCCCCATTTGTATCGGTTTGATATAAGGGATGAGAGCGTGATGGAGAACGAGTTTGTTTGTTCACGAGCTCTAAGCAGACTCTTCCACATGTGTTCCGGCAACTACCTGCAGCAGCACCATAAGCGCTTCGGCGATCAGTGACAGCAGTTCTAATTATCTCACTTATATCATCATCAATATTGGTACCTATGTGTAGATTAATCATGTATTTTGTTGTATGTCAACGCCACCTGTGCCATTGTGAATTTTGAACTACCAAATGATTGGCGATCAGGATTGGTGTGCCGAGTGTAGTGAGTTGCATTGCAGATACTGTGGCGAGAAACCCATTGTTTTCGTTGGCATCAGCATGAAATCTTTCTTCGAGACATTACATGGAATGCGGTAGCACGCCAAACTACATCACTCGGAAGGTTCACACTTGGGTGAAATAGGTGAGGAGTTACGCCTAGGAATATGCCAGATTCCAATCTTTGCGCAACTTAATGGCACATCACATGCTATTTTAACACACGGCATTAGTTCACATTTGCAACAGCATATCGTATCAGATGTCATTGTGTGAATGCAATGATTACTTGACGTCGAAGCGTTCAACAGGTTCGTCGTCGAAGTAGTCGACGCCGTGGTACAGTGAGAGCATTCTCCGGCCTTTAGTGAGTAAGGCCTTGACGTCGATGAGGTGGGAGGCCCTGGTGTTGAGCAGGTGGGAGCGGATGCGCAGCACGTCCATGCGGTAGAGCATGACGATGAGGATGTAGAGCGCGGCGATGAGCCAGAGTGCAACGAGGCAGAAGAGGAAGGGCATCCTGATATTGTAGAGGAATGTGTCCATGGCGGTCATTAGGCCTGCGATAGGCTTGCCGTTGACCACCTGCTCCAGCTTGGCGATGACCTTGGAACACGTGAGTGAGGAATGCAGTGTCCCGTCTGGTGGCGTGAACCCGTGAGAGTAGAGGAGGGGCAGGACCTTGAGACACTGGTGTAGGGGCTTGGAGTCGTGACATTGAAGGTTGTCGAGATCACACCGCAGCCTGAGCAGTGAGTCCCACAGTCTGTCTGCGAGATGCACCACCCAGCTGAGGTAGTTGTGGGCGAAGCTCGGAGAGTACAGGGAGTAGGCCCGGTAGGTGATGGGCTTCATATGCTGTGGGCACTGTACATTGACGATGCCGCAGCCAATCAGCGTGGACAGGGTGTTGGGATGGTCCTTTATGTGGTCGTGGATGGAGTTGGGAGTGGCGGAGCCCCGTGCGCCCTTGATGACTCGGAGGTCGGCGGCCTCTAGACGGTCCCAGTCGGGGCAGTCGTCATGTCTATTGGAGAGGGCGGAGCCCAGCTTGGACAAGTCTGAATACACGTCATGAAGCTCATTCCCGAAATGGTGGAAGAAAGACACAAGCTCCCCTGTGGTGCGCGGCGTCCGCCTGGTGATACAGTTGAGGTAAGAGGTCAAGGTCATCAAAGGGTCTTCGCCGCCGCAGACGGGAGAGAGGATGGTGAAAATGTCCTTTCCTGTTTGCTGAGTTCTAGGCAAATCCTCCTTTGTGAATCCCATCTTGACACGGCTCTTGCGGCAAATGTTGCACGGGTCGAAGGGGTGAGTCTTGAAGGGGGACGCGTCAGTCAGGAAGGCTTGGAGGGGGGACTTGGGAGATGATACATCACGGCCATCCGGACAATCCTGCCAACCACCTCGCGTGGAGTTCCGAGAACACTGCGACTTCAGGAACTCCAACTGGTGGTGGCAGGCGTAGACGTAGTCCCGCAGCTGACAGAGGAGGGCACAGCAATCAGGCTCCTTAGATTGGTCGGATCCCTTAGGCTTTGCAGTTACAGACGACACTGCCAGTCTCCAATTAGGTGCAATGGTGGATAGCACGGAACTTGAAAACATGGAGACAAGTTTTAAGGTGTCATGTACCTGTGTGGTAGTGATGTTGTAATCGTTGGCTGGGAGTGTGAGGCTGGCAGAGTCATCATCGCCGCGCTTGAAAGCGTTGTTGATGCACTGTTCCAGAGTATCTTGATGCTTCTTGTGCTGCAGCCCGGCGATCCAAATAAGCATATCCCGGACGGTGTTTGGCGTCTCGGAAGGGAACAGCTCCGTCTCGGGGATATCGGCAAAGTTGTCAGTCGGTTGCTGATTTATCCAAGGAGCGACGCACATTTGAACGGCATCAGGACTGTGAATATATTTGGATGGGACGCTGTCCGGGAGTTTTGGCAAAGCCTCGATTGGCGGGAAGTTGAGAGCAATGGCGGTGGTGGATGGGCCGATGGGCTCAAGTGGCTCGGCGGTTGGAGGAGGTGGAGGGTCGTGATCAAAGTCCAAGTCGTCCACGTGGTCTTGGAGTATATGATTGGGGACGTAGACGTCTAAGTCTGGCTTGGAAGGTGGTTGCGGTTTTAGGTTGGTGGTGGACATGTATTTTGAGTTATTGTATACCTTGACTTTTGGTGCTATATCGAAGTCAACCTTGTATGAGGGTAACGGTGCGGGAGCGATAATTTCATTTGGCAGATACGCTGTCCTACGCGACTCCATTTTCGCAATCTGCTCAGGTGCATATGGCTTGTCAATTTCGAAATCAATGGTAGGCTGCGGCGGGGGGGCCACCGGCTCACCCTTGAGTGGAGAGGCTGACGGTAATGGTGGCAATTTGTGGTCGGACACAGTGCGTCCTTTGAGTTCTATCAGCGGCGGAGGCGGCGGAAGAGATTTCCTTGGCAAGTTCGGCGGCTTTATAGGGTACGCCAAAGGAATGTCATAGAAGTTTGCCTTGAGTGGAGCAGGTTGAGGGATCCTTTTAACGGCATCAAATAATTTGCGATCTTCCGCCTCTCTTTTCGCGGCTTCCATTAATTCCTGCTGAGACTGATTTAATTTGTCTGCGTCTTCGCTGCGTTTTTTATTAGTTTCATCCCTCAAGTGATTCATTATAGCGTTTTGTTCTTGTTCATCTAGAAGTTTTTTTTGCCATTCTTTTTCGTTATATTCGAAAAACGTGTCCTGCACGGCTTCACCGTCCGCGAAGATCACATCAGCATCCAGCGTAGATCCTTCAAGGCCCACAAGTGCATACGGATCCTGGTTTGCACTCTGAGAAGGGACAACAGCATTTTGATGCCTAATCGTATTTTTTGGATGATAATGCTGTAGGAATAGTTGTTCTCTGACCTCCAAATCTTTCCGATATTTACGTTCCGCGTCAGCTTCTTTCTTTTTCTGCGGGTCTTCTTCGTTTAATCTTTTACCTAACTCCGCTGCGACTTTCTTTCTCTCTTCATCTTGTTTATGAAAGACATCTCTTTTAGCTTCCAATATTTCCTCGTAATATTTCAATCGTTTTTCTTCTTCTGGAGACAATTGTTTCCCTCCACCTCCACCATCATGCTGATCACCATCTGACCCAGTGTTTGAACCTGAGACACTCGGAGTCTGAGTAAGAACATCTTGTGGAGATGAAGTAGTCCGTGTACCTGGAGTAACACTGTCTGTTGAAATTGGACCCGGGCCCCCTGGCTGAATAGGGATGGCAGGGTCTCCAGGAGCACTGGGGCCAGGGGGTTGTTGAGGATGAGGCTGGGGATTACTTTGAGATTGCAGGAGTTGGGGCTCAGTAGACACCGTATGCCCTGAAATACTGCTTCTCTGTGCGCCCTTGGCATGTACACCGCCTCGAGGCCCTTGGCCTTGTACTCTGCGTCTTGTAGCCCACCGTACCCCTCTGCTACCGTTGAACCCGCCTCTATAGTTATTCCCTCCCACTCCTCTAGCACCAGAACCATAATTCCCACTAGACAACCAACCTCCAACACTCCTTGTACCGGATTGCCTCACGGTCGAAGTCCTGGAAGGCTGGTGTGGTGGCGCGGGTCTGGCAGGCCTCGGGGGCCTGGGCGCCGGCCTTGGTCGTGGTTTTGGAGGAGCCGTATGATGGCACCGCTCATCATCCAAAAGCGTTTTCAACATGTCCAAACCATCACCATTTTTGCCCAGCATACCTATGACACTGGGCCAATGATCTGACAACTTCTTCCACGCGTCTCCCAGCGTTCCATATTGTCCTTTACCAAATATAAAACCGTAGGGGAATATGTTTTTGGTTGCAAATGGCTGAAGAGCAGTCAAATATAGAGTGTTGTCGACTGGGAAATTTGTATCTATTCGTTGTACATTCTTTTGAACTTCGTGCAAATTATTTCTAAACCATTTCGCTGTCTCCCCCGCAAATTTCTCAGTGTTAAGCTCGTAAACAGTCCGCGCCTGGCCGGTGTAGGAAAAGCCATCGATCTTGAACAACTTGCCAAGTTGGTCTTGAAGTTTGGAGCAATGGGCTACTAAATTAGGCCAATTAATACATTTGTCTTTTAACTCCCTTTCCAAAACTGCTTTCAACCTTTTACCCTGATCGTTCTTTGCCTCAGCATCCACAATCTGGCAAAACGTTCTCACCAATGCAAGAACGTTCGCAGTGTTAGAAATTTGGGTGCCGGATTTAGAAATGACTGTTGTAAAAAATACGTCCCGGAAATCGTTGTATTTATGATTATGTTTGTACAAAATCTTCTGTAGGTCATTTACCATGCTCTCACCGTACCAATAACCATAGAGAGGATCATAGTCATAACCATACGTCACCTCTTCTGGGCCGAATCCACCAGGTATGAGGTCACCGTATTTAACGCTCTGTCTCGCCCTGAGATAATTCTGCAGTCTCCCTCCCCACTCTCTATGCCACACATATCTCACCCAAGTAGTCTCCCACCCAGGGTTATCATCTCTCCACTTCCCTCCTCCCACTGCTTCGAACCATCTATCCACATTGTAGAGCAAAAAATACAAAGCGGCGAGGAACTTGGGAACGCACTCGAGGAGCGCATCGGTGACATCTTTTGCTTTTGGATTGACATAACTTCCCGCCGTTGGGATTTTGCATAATCTCGTATAGAACGTGGACACGTTCCAGAGGAATTCGGAGACAGCAGGTGGCAGTTGGCCCGTAAACGAAATATGATTATAAGATTCTCCATAACGCTTAACCAGTTCACTAATCACCTGGTTTTGCATACCACTGTGACCCTTTAACCACAGCAGGAACTGGAGACACTGCTTGAGATTGGTGAGAGGAATGCCAGCCACCATCTTGCTTACCAAGGCACTAAGCACAGAGACACTAATAAATGGGCACTAGGCTAGTCGTACAAGAATACATTTAAATGATGAAATGGGAGACACTAAAGCTATAGAACGCTAAGGTGACGCCGCCTATATAGACATAGTAGCCAAACCGCTGAGTGAACAGGCTACAAAGTGGGACGCTGCGTGACAACTAAGTGGGTCAATGTAGTACTACAAAGCAGGCCTGGGTTGCCTGGCTTAAAGCAATTAACATGTCCATCGTATAAACATCCCACTCACCTGAGGGGAAGGCGACGAGCCCAGGAATACGGGATGGCCGAAACCTGACTGGCATTATATTCCAGTTCACGGTAAGCATACAGCACACCCTATCGGGTTTCCGAGTGTCGGACAGGATGCCTCTTCTGAGCCCGCATTGTGACACCGCCAAGCCGTACCCCCTCAGAGTTCTGCGACATCCAGGCAGCCGCCACCCAACACACCACCAGGAACACTACATCGGCACAACTCGCATATCCATGTAGCCCCAGTATGACCACTCGAGGTTGCGAACAATGCCCCACACGTTGCTGAGCAACTTTTTTTTGGAGGTTCTGAATTTATGCATCAATTGACTCACAGTGTTACTGGTTTGCAACTTTACATCACTGCATAATATTGTCATGGCTACAGTCTAGCCTATCATACCATTGTTCACCTGATAGTAGCGTCGCACCATGATGTCCATGACACTTCCGATTTCAACTAACCGTATGACCCTCTCAATTGCAACAAAATTCCATGGAGTAGAATAATTTCTATGTCCTCAAGACGTTAAAATGGAACGATGCATTTTGGCACAATGCGTCACATTCCGCAGGTAATGACATTTCACTCCTCATTGAGCTGAGGGTTTTTGACCGTGGTTCACTCACTGCTGGCATTGAGCCCATGTCCCACATATTGACAAAGATTTCTGTTGCTTAACGTCCTACTGTGAGGCGATCTCTTCTTTGCGCTCATCCATCCTACCGTGCCGTGGGCTAATTAGATGGGTTAGGTGAGACCTTGTAAATCGCGCTTCGCAATTGCGAGCGTGACTCCCTATAATGTGATATAACATCTGATTTGCTGCGCCGTAACATATAATGGGAAAGTAAAGCAGCAGCTGTATGCATCGCCACCGGTGGGCCAACGTGGTCAGAGAACAGCATGGTAGTTGCTTATCAAGATTAGTGGAGTTAGTGAAGTCCACGACGTTTCACATACTACACCTTGTTACGTGTTAAGGCCGTTGCCGGTAATTTAACTGGTGAACGTCTAACACATCTTAATCATTCTGACAGTTTATGCTGTACAAAGGTGTGGTGAGACGTAATTGCACAGAACGCGATTAACAAGAGTCACAACATGGTACACTAGTTACAGACATACGCAATAGTACTTAAGAAAGGTGGCAACTTCTCAACCAAAATGATCACAGTTGAAATGGATCGATGCTGCAGTGGGAAGACACTGAATAACACAATGAGCTACGCAAATTAACATCCGCAATATACCGAAGAGTTATCACATCTCATATATTCATCATTTAGAGTAATAGTTCTCGATCTGGATGGTTGAGAGGACGACACCCTTTATGGTGACGCAACGACACTCCAAAGGCGGTGTCTGGCGCAGTGTCTCCCCAGGTCCTACAAGAGAACTATCGAACCTCAGAATTACGAAGTGGTTGGAATGCGAAGAAACCAGCGACATGCTAAGTTCACCTATGTTGATGACTAGGCCGTCTAGTAATACTTGGTTGAAGCAGTTGGGTGGGTCCAGGAGGTAAGGTGCCGGGCAGTAGAACGCCGCCTCCTTGGCAGCATTAAGGTCAATCTTGCAGCCGAACTGAGGTTGTTCGTTGGCATCGTAGAGTTGGGGAGTCTCAGGCTTGAATAGGTCAGTGGACTCGTATGTAACGCCGCAGCCTTGCATGTACGGATCCGTGGTTTTGACGGCAACTTCCACGACGTGCCCCGTGTATCGCGGCGAGGATCCTGTAGGAACAGCATCTAATAAGCAGATAAGTTTTAAGGTTCCGCCATCTCTGGTTAGGTGCATGAAAACCATCCGCCAACGACCAATCCGCCTATCCATCACGGATGACACCAAATACGTTTGGCAACAGATCGACCTGAACCCGCAACCAACACCAGAAGCGTGATGCGCTAGCTTGGTAAACGTAAAAACTGGCCCAAGTCACACGTAGCCACATAGCACACTAAACAAAGCAAAAACAAAGATAATGTCGACGGAGATGTGATTTTGCAGTGAGCCATTGGTTACTTAAGCAATAGAGGAACGTGCTCAACATTAATCGCTGAAACCAGATGCAGTAACACGACGGTTATATCAGCTAATACATTGACAAGCAGTGATACTGATTCATACGGGCTGCGTGAGCTACATGAGGCTAGGGCAGATCCTTGATATGTGAAGTAGAGACGCTACGACTCTTTACGGTAACATTCCTGATCCGAGACGCAAATTCACGGAGTTAGACAGCTCGTAAAGATGCGCACCCACAGTTACCAAGTAAAGCGCAACAAAAATGATGATAAGAAATAGGGATAAAAGGCCATAACAACAGTCGCATTTACATGTTAACCAATTTTTACAACCCAAACAACTGAGGTTACAGCACTGTCCTACATTTGGAGTACAAGCGCACTGATTACACATATTAGACATTGCCTCCTCCATCGCCCATTCAATGGATAGCCCTGCACAGCCTTGGGGCAACTTACGCAGACGGCTGTACCACTTGGGGGATGCGCTCCCTTAGTTACCGTAGTAGCGATGCATAACAATATACTTCTCTTGGTATTTGATATGTAACATCGTCCATAATCGAACGTGCTTCTGAGGGAGCTTTGTTGAGCCGTGAGATAGTGTGTAAGTATGTGTCCAGCACACACTCCACTGCACCGAACACATAAGCGCTATCAAACTCAGAATATACTTGACTTTGTTATCTTCATGACAAGCACTGCGAAGTGTAACTCGCACGGCTCGAACTCGGAATGTGCAGAGAGCGGTGCGAGACTTTTATCATAAAGCATGCGTAGATGAGATGACGAATAGAACAACTGTCTTACAGATTGCAAATATGAAACGTGAATTCGCAGCATCATTTTTCTGTCCTGCGATTGTCTGAGAGCCCAGTGTCTGACGCCGTTTTTAGAAGGCGTAACAAGATCACAAGTTCAGCGTTGACATTCGCAAGCCGTGGAGTGATTCTTCCTCCAACAGGTGCATCGTTACGATAATATACCTCATGCGCCAGCATTGAATTCGTTTATCGCAGCGTGTGACGTCTAATCAGGTCTTCCGGCGGTTTCTCACGTGGAGTATTCGGAGCCACGTCTTCCAGGTTGTCTACTACAAGCACCGGTATTGGAAAAGGTAATTGTAGCCGAATATTTTACAAATCATTGATCACGTTTAGAGGATATCCTTTCGAAAGTGTCTTCAAATCTGGCCTTCAAGGCCGCCATGAGAAACTTCCTTGATCGAGCTCATTGCTTGCCTCTGGGACAGCCATTCCGTGGACCTAACAACCTAAGACGATGCGCCATTGCGAAACGCTCGGGAGACAACTCTATCGCTTTCTTCAACCGCGTGTTCCGTCGTTTTCAAACTTGGTCTAGGCCTAGCCACACCGGTGGCAGAGCAAGCTCCGAAATTACGCCCGAGATTGCAGCATGAGCGCTTTCAAAGCATCCTCCTATTTAGGGGTTATTACTGCCAGGCGCTATGGTTTTTTGGGGGGGGTGAACTAATTCACACGTTGTTGAAATGAGCATCTGTGTGTGATATCCTATGTCGGGGGTGTGCTCAGTCGAGCTGATAAAAGCAATGACCCATTGAGCTCACATAATTCTTTATAGTGGTGGTATGAGATGAATAATTGCCTTAGATATAAGTAAGACGTAGAAATGTTACGTGAATTAATTCAGCGGCAGTGGAATTCGACGGCCATTATGCCACCCGCCGCCATCAACGGGATGGTGGAAGCCGTAGCAGCAACTTCGGCAAATAATCAATGTAACTGCAACATTAGTTTATTCCATATATATCGTGGTGATAAATGAAGCTTTAAGGTGAGGCATATTTCAATCGTTCTAGAAATACTTCTTGTAGGTGCAATGCACCGGGGAAATGAAGAATGTGGCAAAAGAACTAAACTAACGTTAGGTGGGGCATCAATTTAATCTTATGATTAAATATTGCAGATGTAGCAATGATGGGACCACAGGTTTTAATAAACTATGTAGATAAACCTCTACTGAATACCTTCAACTGATGTATGGTCAGGCTATGTCGAGGTGGTGGATCACCTCATAGGCGAGCGAAGGATGCTCCTGATTGAGTATGTGGCTTATAAATGAATGCTGCTGGGGAGTTCAGTAGTGATGGCCTAGTTAAGTGGCATTCGTGGTCACCATTGTGGTAGGCATCGAAGTCTTACCCCCGGTCTGGACCCCAGCGGCCACTTAGTGGGGTGCCCGCAAACTTAGGTACCCAAATATCTATCACCCCGAAATCATTGCATCGCGCTTGAGCAGTGGCGTTATGAGTGGAGCATATGCATTCTCGCATCGAATTCAAAAGTATGTAATTTGAGTCTAATTGTGTTGGCAAACTAGCGCATCAGGACATGTGTTAGAAGTGGATATTAACGGTGTATAAAAGGTGAAAGATTTTGAAGCGCAGTTACGATAGCGTACCCGGACGGTAGTATGGCAGTGTACTTCTATTTGGGGAGCAGTTTATGATATCAAGGCACGTTGGCAATTATTTTGCGAGATGGCTTCTCAAGGGGATAGGCGCACGATGAAAACGTCTACGGAAGCTCCGGCGGTGTGTGTTTATACGGCTGGGGACATCCGTAGTGAAGGAAAGACACCACAGGCGTCGCCAGATGAGATTAAGAAGAAGATCGAGGACTTGGAGCGGTTGATTACGTTTTGCAGATGGATTTACGCGTCTCTCTTTGCGTATTACATCATACTTGGCATATTCTTGTTCACGGATTTTAGTGCTCTACCAGGAATTTCGTCTTTCGGGAAAGGCGCAGGCGCTACTATCACCGATTATGTCATCGGTGGTGTCATCTTTAGCGTTATTGGTACTGTCGTCGAGTCAGTATTCGTTTTTATTGTTCGTTGGCGTGCTTAACAAGAGCATAATGAATGCAATGCGTAAACTGCGATAGCAGATGACAAATCAGACGCTCGCCACGCTCACTCTCCGTTGTCGCCTCAAGAGGCGAATGACTCCAAAAACGAATGACCTTCCCAAAGAGATTTAGTGCCGCGGGATCTTTAGATCGAAGTTGTAGCGTGGGCACTCCCTGTGTCACAGCCCGGGCGAAAGTGTTGCCGCTGGAACACATTAATGAAATGTATCTTAAAGCCTGTGTGCCCTCAACCCACGCTCCACGCTTCTTTCCAGTCACCACTCACGTAGGGCACCTAACTGGCAACTACAAAACAGTGACATAAACATGTTCGTTGCATAGTTCATTTGGGGGGCGATGTCGGTGATCACCCAAGCCTGTAGCCCGGGGGTGCCATGCTAGCTTAGGCAGTGGCGCATCCACCTGGCGCGTGGATGGGATCCTAGTGATTGTTTGGGCGCGCAGAATGTGTTAAGTGGCGCTTATACGGACAACATTCTATGATTCTGTGGCATCTTACTCCGGTACCGCGAACAACGCAGGCACTTGTAAACCCGCTAGCGGCGTGGCAGCCGGATGCGGTGGGAAGGTGGTGACCTGACCCGGCGGGATAATCTTCCATTTAAACTAAAATTAGTTTGTATTGGTATAAATAAATGTTGTATGGGAGTGCGGGCGATTGCAGTTCAGGAATCCCGATGTTAATGCCTCTGACAAAATTCAGGATCCCCTTAGGCTGTCTAATACGCAGTATAGAAGTTACACAGTTTGCAAAGAAGCATCTGGAAGTTAAAGGTGTAAAATAGATGCACCATCCAGCAAGTTAATCCCCAAAGCCTACGTGCCGTAGTGACACCCACACACAATAGCACCAACCACGGTAATGCGCTGGATTCCTCGTAGTCTGCCAATCACAGCTGGTAGCATAAGTGTTTTATGTGCCAGGTGAATCAATGTGTCGTCATGTGTAGTTTTTACGAGCCGAGAAGTGCTCGAAGCCAAGCTGCTGCAACCATGCAAAGCAGCAAACAATTATGCTAATAGAGGAAGATGGTAGAAAGAATGTCCGAATTCGTCACCGTATTATCGGTGTGTTGATAGCAAGCAGGCCCTGCAAGACGTCATGGGTGCTACAGCATACTACCGACGACACATCGTAGCATTTTAAACATCGACGCCCGCTCATAATTGCGCTAACACATATGGGCTTCGTATGTGACATTCCTGTCTGAAATGTACATAGACAATGACTCGCGTTCTGGTTACTGCATGTCACGTTACTTGTGTAGAGCTGGATGCTATAGGGCGCCTCGGTCGTCAACCATATCTTAACCGTTCGCCTATTTGCTGTATTTACAGAGATATATGTTGCAGTTAAGCGTGTAAGTGTTAATGACCAGCATAATTTGTGTTCCTCTTCTCCGAGATTAGGACAAAGCTGACGTTCACGCCTCTGATTGAATATTCGCCGTGTTTAAATTTGCTTGTGAATACACCAAAAATCCAGCAATTCGTGCTAATCACCTACATCACCGACCCATTACAAAATGGTGTACAGTTCGTTGGCTGAGGCTCCCCGCAACCTCAAGGAGGCTATTGACTGGTTGATGGCCGTTAAGGGAACGGATGCTGAAGTCAACTTGAAGGCTGTGGGTGCCGCAGTTTACAACTTCCTCGCAGACAAATCTTTTGGAAAGGTGGAGATACCAGATCTTGAGAAAGTTAGACTCATTTCTAAGAAGTTCATGGAGAAGCCAGATATCAAGGACCATTGGTTCGTACAGAAGCTGCTGGAGAAGTTAAATGAACCCACGCATAAAACACAAAAAACAGCCAATGCCCTGAGATGTATTTCAAAAACCATGCTAAAGAACTTAGCTAGAGGTGCATACGCCCTTGAGGCGTTTTTGAATGATATAAAACACCCTGACCTGTATATTTCAGCCTACAGTCCAGAAGCGACGTGGGGTAAATCATGTGCGAAGAACCCGGAAGATTGCATAGTGGTCTTCGTTGGTATGGTGCCTATGTTATGGTCGGGTATACATTATATGTTGTCAACGTGTAAGGACGCAAACATGAGACGGCCGCCGTCACTTGAGGATAAGCATATGCGAGAGGTGTTGAGAGCCGTGGGTTACAGTTACCCACAATGGCGCCCTGACATACGTGGTTCAGATTTTGTCAAGGCGTTGGGATGTGCGTCTAAAAACGTAAAGGTGGCACCCTACGGCCTTAGCGGATATTGGGTTTGATATTAAGCAGGGATCCCTTATGAAATGTACAACCAGCTCGACAAACAGATTCCGACTATGACTCTCCAGTGAGTCAGCATCACTGGAACATTCAAGAAATATTTCTAATTTATGACATATAGTGAACCCGGATTCAACGTGGGCAATCTTCATCCACAATACTGCTGCCGTCGAATGGGCGCAAACACAGCTATGAACTTTTATTTAATATAGTATCTTACGCAAATTTGGCGATTAATATCGTCCCAACGTAACACGCTTCAATGACCGTACAGCAGACAGACGTGTGAAGAACTGCAGTGTACTAATCGCGGTCTACAATCATAAAACTTGTAGAGAAATAAGCGTAGTTTGTAACATTAGCGATTTTCAGCGTCATAATCCTCACTAGAATGCTAAGCACCTGCTGAATGCAGGGAGTATTGATGCCTCTACCTAGTATCACTTGACAAAGCGTTCTTTGATCGTAGTCGCTCTTATGAATGCACATTTTATTACTTCGAGTAAAATACGCAAACATGAAAGTTAGCTGCATTTGTGTGGGATTTGCAGTTATAGGCCTTAAGAATAGTTTACTGGTTATGGCCATCATACCGGAGCCAGGCGGCAGTTAAAAGCGTAGACTGTATGACATCCAATACGCCCGACAATACTACAACGTGGAACCCACAGTACGAGTGTACAGGGTGGGGGGCTGAGGCATTTTTCAAAAGAAAAAGCGGCAACAGCCGGATGTAACCACCCACCATACTAGAAAAATACAACTAGAACCCCATTAAATATAACAATGGCGTATTATTTGATCTGTATTTATTCTGAAGTTCTAGTAATCAAGCAGCTCCAGAATGGCACGCTTTGAGTTATCACCCACAGTGCTGTAACAGAGCCGTTTGATGCGGCAGTACCCGCCGTGCCGCTCCTTGAATCTGATAGGCGCAAGCTTTAAGACGTTTTCAGTTAGTTCCCTGTCGTAAAGCCAACGGTTGATCAGAATTCGTGCGTATCGCTGATCGGGCTTCTTGGCGTACTTGATTATTCTCTCCACCTTGGGTTTAGTCTGCCTGGCCTTGTTGAGCGTTGTTATGATGCGCCCGTGACGAAGCACCTCTGTTGTCAGTGTCCGTAACAATGCCTTACGCGCAGAGTGCGTGCGTTTTAGTTTCTTGGACTCGCGTAGATTACCGTAGAGAACGAATCGTCGCGCAGCGTGAGTAGCGCACGGTGAGGCGATAAAACACTGTTCACGGATCGCATTGGCGATACCGAATAGTGCCAAGTAGCATAGAACAGTCGCTAGCCTCATCCACTTACATCGTGCGACGACCGGTGTCCGGATTGCCTTCGCGTACCAGCGGACTCGGTCGCAATAAGCATGCGATATCTGACAAATTTCGAACGAACCCACTACGCCACGCTCAATATACCCGTACAGCGATTATGGCACTTGGAAGTATTATCACAGAGTCGAAATATTTATGCGTGTCGGCCAATAGTCGTTAACCTTCGAACGCTCCTACGAATGTTAAACCATTAAGTACACTCGCAACGCATCACAGTGGTTTACTCTCGTGTGTACACACTTTACTTCAACCAGTAATGTTTTGCCTGTTGTCGCATTGATGGTATTCGGTGATTGTACTCACTCTGACTTTTCCCAAGTCGCAGTCATATTAGAAACCAGCGGCGCTTCAGACTTTTTTTTAGATATGACCTTGTGCATAAATCAATGCTGTGCTGTATATTTTCCATACGGCATGATACCGGCGACCGTCTAAGGTTTAGGAAGGTCGCGTTGCTCCCCAGTGTCACGTCACCAACGCAGCCTTCTGCACATTGCTTGGCCCAAACGGCGCTAATTGCTTACACATGAGATACTTCTATACCTAGAGCGCCGAAGGTGCAATGTCTGTGGCACCATGGTTGCCATAGTCAGCTATGGACGCAGTGGCTCTAGTACTGGTGGCACTGTGGTCGGTGTCCATTGCTCCGTGCAGAAGGCTGACATTTATTGGCAACAGGGCGCTCAGTACTTCATTTGAAACGCATAATGGTCTTGCGTGGAGGCGGGCGAGGCCTGTCCGAGCATCACGGTTGGATGCTGCGGACACTGAAACGTCATGCGATAACGACCCATCAAAGGATGTACCTGCTTTGGACGATTCCGAAGTCATTCCTGAACAACTCGGCTATCAATACACGGCAGAGGACATTCAGCGTGAGCGTGACGAGATTAGGGACTTCTACGAGATCAACACCTTTAGCATGAGTGAGTTGATTTTCCATCCGTGTGAAGCCTGAGCAGAAAGAGACAGACTTCCTCGCGCTCACCCGTTGTACAAGTTCCTAAGAGAAGAACGCAAAAAAGTGATCAAGCTCGAACGCATCCATAAGTGGAGGCAGGCTGAGGCACGACGTCAGGAGTGGAGGGACTTCTTCAACTCAGTCAAGGTAGGCAACCCAGTAAAGCACTCAACAGCGTCAGGACGGAACGTGTGAGAACATTTTTACAGAGGAGCAGCAGGATGTCTGGAAACGTTTAATGGACCGGACCATGGAGATCGCCGAGCCCTTGCTAGAGGAGGTTGAGGCAATCCTGTCGAACACAAAGCTCTCACTCGAGAAGCGCAACGAGTTGGCTGTGGAGGTGCGCCAACAGATTCAGGATGTACGGGAACAGGTGTTCAAGGAGTTTGAACCCGAAATGCTGGCATGCGGCGCGCTGCAGAAAGCACAGGAGTACTTCGCCAGCATCCCCACCTACGTCATGGACGTGTGTCAGCCTGACATAAATCACAACATATACATAAAGCCGGAAAACTGCACACTCCCTGCTGATGTGGTATGGTCAAACACGGTTCTGGGCAGTGGCCGAGAGCCTGGCGAGCCGTTTTGGAAGTTTCACCTGCTGCCGTCGTTAGGGCAGAAGAAAAAGAAGCGGCTGGGACGTGGCCACGGTAGCGGTCACGGAGGCAGCTCATCACGTGGGAACAAAGGGCAGAAGCACAGATCTGGGCGATACATAAACCCGGTATTCGAGGGGGGTCAGATGCCCCTCTACCGGAGGCTGCCAAAGTTCGTTGGCAGGCCCGTGGGCCCTGGCCATCGCCACAGCCGTAGGGAATACCAGCTGATCCCCATCCACCAGCTTAACGTTGCACGCGAGGGCATGGTGGTCGACTGGGCGACACTCGAGTGCCTTGGTGCACGGCTTGGTCGATACAAGCGTGGCCATCCGATAAAGGTAATCGGCGGTAAGAAGTACGCTGGTGTTGCGAAGCCGCTAACCGTTCGCAACCTGATAGTAAAGGCCCATGCGTTCACACGATCCGCGGCGCGTGAAATTATGGATCTAGGTGGCCGGTGCCTGTTACTGCGCCCCAAGACCTTGGATATTGTGGAGGAGGTGTATCACCCGGACGTTCCTCGCGCTCGCCGTTATATTTTCAGCGGCAAGATATCGCGTCGCGAGCGTCGCAGGCGCGAAATCAAGGCTCGTGTATGGGAGGATATGCAAAAATCAGGCTCAAGTGACGCTGCGACTGCTGAAACATCGGAAACGACGGACCAGCCACTGTTGACCAGTCCGGAAACTATCGCATCTTCGACCGCTGAAAACGGTGACACGCTAGCTGACAGCGGCACACCCACATCGACTGAATCAACGTCGTTGGTGCCGACGGTGGACACGTCGCCTAGTGGAGAGGCACATTCACCTCCAGGCGAATCGGAGCAACTACAACCGGAGCCTCCGGAAACCATCGCACTAGTGGATGACAAGCTTGGCGACGTAATAACTCTACAATCGGATACGGATGATTCCTTAACATTTAATAATACGCCCGTGCCCAACCCTGCTGAAGCCGAGGAAGATCCACAGGCTGCCACACCCACCGAAGATTCAACCACAGCGGATGAAGGGGGCGACCCGCCGCCCAAGCGTCGTCGTGGTCGAAAGCCGAAGTCACAATCGGCTAATAACCCCTAGGGGCGAACCTAGTGCGTTGTGCTTTTAATGTATGCGCCATGTTCTCATGTTATATAAGGTCACAAATGATTTGTCGGTATCGGTAAACCGAGGTTTAGCGCAGATGTATGTGTTACAAGTAATGGCTGTTACTGGCGTATCGATGTGTGATCGCAAAGTATTGATTTCATTTCACGAATCTGCGGCAGCTAAATGCCTTAAGGAGCCACTTCAGAGTATCAACGGACGCAATAAATATCGCTAATGGTTTGGTGTTAGGGCCAAAGGCGTAAGAAGCATAGTTCAGAATAATCAGTGTGCGAGAAAGGTCGCCTGGTACACATCCTGTTAAAAGTCTTTCCAACATTTCATATTGAATTTAACAGTCAAAACACCTCGACGGTTTTTAAAACTGGTCTTCCAGGCGCGCGTTTACCGCGATAGCCTAGGGCATTTGGCCCGCTTTTCTCGATCGTGCGTCGACTTGGCGCAACAAAGTATCGGCGTCTAATGGAAGCTTCCAATACCTATGTGATAGACGGAGTGGAGATAACTTCCAAGCCGCCGCGGGCCCGGCGGAAGGGCAACGTCCCCCGCGGACGCCATGACGAGGTGGAGGAGCCTCCGTCTCCACCGGAATCTTCTGAGGTTGACATAGCGTCTGAGGTACAGGAACTTGCATCCGAGTCGCACGAGTTCGGTTATCTTGACCACCCAGCTGATGTGATCATCACGGGATCCGGTAAACACTTTTGCCGTGCGTTGGAGTCTATCATTCTGGCGATGTTTGGCTACATTACGGACACTTCGTTGGTAGATGCGCGAAGCCGCCGCAGCATATCCGCAGCGGGCAAGTCGCTTAATCAGCTGCTATTCCACGTGTTGGTGGAATGTCTCTACATGCACAACGGTCACGGTTTCGTGGCCAGGTATGTGCGCGTTGAAGGCGAAGTCGACGTCCAGCGGCTGCTTCAAGGCGATGAACCCGCAGAAGTAACAGTTTCGCTGTACGGTGACATATACGATCGGGCATTGCACACATGCGGCACTGAAATCAAGGCCATCACGTATCATGGGCTAAAGACCCAGATAACAGTGGGCGACCAGGCAGTGACGCTAACCGACGACCCCGCTGAAGGCACATCTCCTGACGCCTTATCGCACTTCCTCCGCTGTATGGGCGTGGATTCGCTGAAGACAGCGGAGTTTAAGCTGTTCGCTCACGTCGATATCTGACGTTGCCTGTACCAGTTGCTAGAGAGCAGAAATCGCTCTCAGTCGCGTCAATTAATGTAACAACTGCTTATAACTCCATTGCGCACGTTATCTGCATTTTTAAATGTCTATACACTCCGACCAGAATGGCACGTGTGTAACTAGCGGAGCCTGTCTGGAGGGGTTGCGACGCTTATCACGGTCTGCCTTTACAAGTCCTCATACAACTGTATGCATCCACATACACCAGTATATTCACTCTATGGCTGCTGGCTAAATTTCCTTGAGCGTCTGCCATTTAACGGCAGCATCGAATAGTTTCACCCGGTAGCGCCGTCGAAATAAGGGCGTCTTCGACCGAAACGAGGCGAGCACTTGCGCATTCTGTTGCAAGAATATTTGCAAATGCGTCAAGTATAGTGCCATACGCCAATTGTCTATACAATTTCACTGGCGTCTATAGTGGAAGGTCAGCCGTGTGCGGTGCCTTCCGGCACAGGGCGAGCTAACTGCCCAGGAGCGTGGCAGCCGTGCAATGTTACTCGCGATAACTGTCCGTGTGACAGCACGGGGAATTATGAGCCTAGATTCGTCAGCGCTGTGATATGAAGCATGGCAGCGAGTCGAAGATAGGGGAGGAGCTCGACCGGTTCCTCTTGCCTACCGGGCCCTCCGCGAAGGTCACAGGGGCGATTCAGTCCTTCCACGATGGCCGAATCTCATGGAAGGAGTCCTGCGAGCAGCTGCGCACGGTGAAATCTTCCGGGGAGGATGGAGCTGGCAGCGGTAGGCGTATGTTCTGCGCGTTGACGCTGAAACATCATGCCTACCATGGTCTGCGCCGTTTGTGCGCGGCGGGCAAATTGCCGACCCGCGAGATGCGCGACAAGGCTCTGGATGACCTCGTCAGGCTGTGCTGCATCTACGAGAGTCACGACAAGCTAATTCTGCGACAGTTGTTATACGCCGTGTCTGGGCTGGCAATGACGTTTTTCGACATTAGTGCAAATGAGCGCGACTTCCTGTTAAATACGGCACTGCTGAAGCTTGAAGGGAGGCCTTTGATTCAGTTCGAGCTGTTGTCGGCGTTTGCGGAGGAGCTCTTCAACGAGACCATATGCGTGTCTTCGTTCACGCGTGCTGATGTCGTGCGCAGCAGCGTGATGATCGCACCCCGTATATTTGGGCGCCTGTTCGCTTTCATGGGGGATAAGGCAAACATGGAACATGTGCCGTCTTTGAGCGCCTTGGCGCATTGGCTGGGGTTGCACGTCCGTTTGGTGCGGACGTTCGGAGGGACCCACGAGTACGTGCCAAATGAGGCACACGGCGGGATACATACGTTAGACATGGATTCTATGGGCGCAAAGATACCCCGGGACGATGCGGTTTTGATTCGGAACGGCCTGAACGCATTCGGTGCTATGGGCGGCGTGTTCTCGCTTTTCGAGCGGTTGCGGCACTCCATCGTGGTGAAGAATGTGGAGTTGTCTGAATTCGCCTGCGAAGCGCTGATGCACTTCTATTCGTTGACCCAGTTCGACTTCATGAGCATTTTGACTGCCACAAGCCAGCGCTACAACGACGTGTCCTCCCACACCAGCCGGAGCTGGACGGCGAGCGCGAAGCCATCCATCACCCAGCTTCCGTGCATAGTGACCGACAGTTGTCACTGGGCAATGGACTTCGTCTCCCAGCTGCAAGAGATCCTGTGCCCCGTGATGTCGCAATGCCGGGATAATCCCTCCGATCCGAGGTTCCCAGTGGTGACGCAGATACTGCGTAACGTGATGGAGTTCCTGGTGGTGATCGCAGCTGAGCACATACCGTTCATTTTGATGTTCTCGGAGGGCGAAATGCACAAGGCATGCGCGGTATGCTTCTTCGTGAATGAGGCGGTGCGCTACCCGGACATACGCTGTCGCGAGCTGTGCCTTGACTTTTACGTCAGCATGATAGGCATCTTGTTCGCGACCAAAGACGCCATGGTGGAGCCGCACTTATCGACGTGCATACTGCGCATAGTGCAGGCGATGCGCCACAACTACACCGACTTCGTGCGCCAGCTGCTCAAGAGCGCCACCTTGGACCTCGACAAACACGATGAAGCGGCCTTCGATAACTACCGGCGCTTAGTCGCGGTGTTTATCGACGAGGCTATACACATCATCGGCGTGAACGTGCTGGTCATGGTCATCCAATGCAAAGTCAAAGCGCTAGAGGAGGGTTTCGATTGGGTCGAGGCTGAGATGTGCGCCTTTCTGATTCGAGCGGTGGCACATCGGCTGACTACGGGTTTGGCCGACGCCATTATCATGAAGTACCTGTCCATCGTCTGCGACCACAAGCGGTTCCGCGAGCTGTATGAGGAGAAAGGTGATGCGGTCGCCTCGTACGTGCACCGCAGCGTTGCGGATTGCATTATTCTGATGTCTGGGCTTATTGTGCAGGACGAGGAGCTGCTGAAGGCGGCACAGGAACTGTGTATAAGGCAATTCGGCAGCGGTAAGGGCACGTACCCGAACTTCAGCGCGCGTGCAATGCATGCGCTCGCATTGAGCGCCGACTACTCCACGTGCGACGTGTTTGATCTGATGCGCCACATATCGCAAAAAATCGCGCAGGCAGACTCTCCCCTCCCATCGCGACTTGAACTACTGGGAGGTATCGCAAATCTGTTATCAACCTTCAACGACAGTGCGAAGGTGCGCCTTCGTCGTGACTTCGTCGTCGCCATGTCGATGCGGCTCAACGGCCTCATCGACGCGGGGAGAACGGAAAACATGTCGGATGAGATTGCCCTATACATGTCTACTCTGTTCTTGGTGGACTTCAAGCCGTGGTTCACGACGGACGTGGGCGGCAACGTATCCAAAGAGTGCATGGAACTGATGCGCCGCAACCACGAGTCCACAACCCTGCGCCGCATCAAACGCATGAACACATTTTGGCCGCAGGTTGACCTATGTCTGGAGTCGCTGCGTGTGGATCAGCGCTACCCCTCGAACGACATTGAGAACGTAACCCGCCTGTTGATCTGGATTCTGAAGGAGGCCAACTTCGGTAGCCACACCCATCTGCTGGCTCTCAATGCAGCCTTCCATTCCGCGCGCCTCTGCAAGCACGAAAAGCTGTTGAACAAATGTATGGACACGACGGATAAGTACGTATCACGGATTTTGAGTGTGGTGCTGGGGAGCGATGACTTCGGCGACAGCAGTGCAGCCTCCGTATCGGATTTTGCGGCGTCGGAAAAAGACGCGGTGAGGAGGGAAGCTAATGTGGCTAACTCAGCCGTTCTTCAGCTGTTGAATCCAAACCCCGCCGACGCCAGAGGCGACCACGGCTACGCTCCATCTGGCGGTGGCGCACCATCGCACTCCTCACGCATCGACGAGTTCACACGCAATCAGCACAGGTATAGCTCGTATACGGATGGTTTCCGTAGTGCTGATCACAGACCTGAAGAACGGGATGTTAGAAACAGGTTTAACGGGTCATACGCAGAAGGATCGCATGCTACCGCTAATCATACAAATGGCAGTCGACACGCTGACCATCCAACGGGCACCGCATCAGAGAGCAGTGCAGGATCCAACTTTCGCCAATCCGCATCGGAGATTCTGCGTATTCACAACGCGGAAAGATTTCGCTCTGAGGGCGATCTCAACAGCCTGGATTTGTTCACCAACGCCGTTAGAGCAGGTGTGAATAATCACATGTCTGCTCTAAAGCTGCTGACTTGGCCTAAGTTTGGCCGGTATGTGGCGGTCGTGGCTTTGCTCCTGCCGACGGAGAACCCCGCCCTCAACAGATCAATTGTGGAGCTATTCGTGGCAGTGGTGCACTGGATTCGTCGCACCAGGGCGGAGCTGCCTGACAAGGAACGGCAGAAACGTAGGCTCATTCGCAACGCCGCAAGGGCGATACTCCTGGGCAAGCACTTCGCGCAGTGCAACATGACTATGGCCGACGTCGTCGCATCGTCCATTCTGCAGTCGTTGATGTCGCGTCCTTGCCAGGTGGAAGGCTGCATACCTCCCGCAACTCGCGTGATTCACACCCTCATCGGATCCAAGTCCTTCTACCCTATGGTAGCCGCCTCCGTCAAGAGTTGCATGAGAGTAGGTTTGCTAAGGCTTCCACGATACCACTGTGTCTAGGCATCGCATACTACCCGGCGTAGGCTGAGCAGCTGCCACATCACCATGTGGAGCACCCCGCGCGAGGTGCGTCACCTGCTGTGGATGATGTGTACCAACTTTCCCGTCGTATCAACCGTGGCCGAGGCCAAACCCCAGTAGATAAAAATGCCGAGAATTCGGACGCTGAATTCGCGCCCGCCGCCGGAGGGCTGGGATATGATCTCCGACACGCTGGATTCCCTGGAGGAGCGTATGAAAGCGGCCGAACGGGAAAGCGGTGACGGGAAGCGGCGTAGCGAAGTGCAGTGGCCCATATTCCGCATCCACCACCAGAGGTCTCGCTACATATACGATCTGTTTTACGTGCAGAAGGCCATCTCAAGTAAGTGGCGGCGGATGCACACGACCAGTGCTGCCAACCTTCGTGTTTTCTTTGCGTGCCAAATTGTCTAATTGTTTGAGTGCTAGTATTTTGTCTTGATGATTGTATTGTTGCGTGTTTATGGCGTCGGCACGCAGAACGTCGCTTTGTTAGCGGTCTAATGACGTTGCTCAACCTTTCTCAGGGGAACTATACGACTACTGTGTTCGTGAAGGTTATGCGGATGCGCATCTCATCGCAAAGTGGCGTAAGCCCGGCTACGAATACCTGTGCTGCCTTCGTTGCATCCAGACAGCAAATCAGAACTTTGGCACCAGCTGCATCTGCCGCGTTCCCAGCCGCGACCTAGAGCCGGGGAAGATCATCGAGTGCATCCCTTGCGGGTGCCGCGGTTGCGCCTCCTGCGATTTCAAGAACGAGTGAGCGTGGCCAGCGTCCCGGCCAACCGATCGCAGCGCCCGACCCTATGGCTTAGTGCTTAAGGACTGGGTTTATTAATGTAAGTAAAATTCCTCCATCGTTTTACCCCGTGCTGTTGTTGCTGCGAACAGTGCCGACATTGTTAAAATTAATGCCGAAGTTTTCGGTATCTTAAGTGCCCCCCAACGCTAGAAGAGTCGATTGATGTTTACGAGGTACCGCCGTTGCGATGCTCGGTACAGCTCCTGGATGGGCCCCTGGAACTCCGTGTGCTGCATGGACATCGTGGCCTCGCCGTACTGCGTGTTTCCTAACGGAGGCAGCTTGAGCACATTTGCATCTATGGTACCTATTTCCCTGCCCGGGGGCACAAGCTTGTGCACCTCCGCCATGTACGCAAGCTCGTCCTGTATTTTAGTGCATCCGCCGCGGTCCACAGTGTCGTAGTTTCGGCACACCGACGCAGCTTTGAAGCGAGATTTGGGTCCACCTCCCTGCGCCCGTCCCGTGCAGGTGTGGTACCAGACACGCTCGGGTGCCGCACTTGCGATAACGATTGCCAGCCCTCTCGCCTGCGAGCGCCCAACCCTGCCTACGCGGTGCAAGAACTGGAATTTACACTCCGATACGTTCAGCATGGCGCAGAAAGGCATGCCGGCGATGTCGACACCGCGGGCGGCAACGTCCGTGCATACGAGGAACCTGTATATGCCGTTCTTGAAATCCTCCAAGTTCCTCTTACGCCGGTACTGATCTAGTTTCCCGCCAAGCTGTGTTGCCGAGTAGCGGTTGACCAGCGTGTTGCTGCGCGTGCTGTTGAGGTGCGCCAGGTACGTGCAGAGGTTGTCACAGTCGAGGTTGGTGCGGCAGAAAATGAGACCGCTGGCGACGTTGAGCTTATCGAGCAGCGCCACGAGACACTTTGGTTTCAGTGTCTTTATACGGCGCGATGCACGGTCGAGGTGCTCGAGTCCGTCCAGAGGCGGCTCAGGGTACTGGCGCTCGAAGTCATACGTGCAATCTGGGTTCAGCTGCACCGCGCAAACATCCACCGTGTCAGCTATTTGCGGATGACCCTTGAGGTCAATCCACTGAGCTTCGCGGGTAAGCTGCTCCACGTTTTCTGTGACTACGGGACTGTGCAGCGTCGCGGAGAACAGCAGCACCTGCAGGCGGCCTTTATCTGCGCCCGATCCTCGGCTGCGCATACTGCGTACAATTTGCGACGTTGCCTTTGAGTCCTGATTTATGAGTTCGTCGGCTTCGTCCAGGACGAGGAACTGCACCGTATCGGTTGGGACCTTGCTGGCGCTCCTCAACGTGGTAACTACGATATGCGCCCCCGCGTTATCAGAGACTGTAATAACGGGCGCTGTGAGATATTTTGCGTACAACTTGAAGTTTTCCAACGTTTGTCTCGCTAGCTCTATCGTCGGTTCCACAACAAGGCAGAGGGCACGCTGGGCCCTGCGGCCATCGGAATCACTGGGGCCGGCGGAACCGGCCGAGCTCCCTGCTAACCCAACTGGAGTGTATCCTTCCTCGGGGAATGTCATTTTGTGCACATTTACAGTAAATATGCCCTTTTTCGCGCAAACTGATGGAAAGAACGGCTCGCCCGGGTTTCGTATTTTGTAAGCAACGCCCAGATGGCGCTGGTTGAGCTTAAAAGCCACCTCGCCTGACCGCATATCCAACAAACACTGTACTACATCACCACGTCCAAAAGGCGCGCCATAATCCTGGAACTTTCCGCCATTGCTCTTTTTCCCAGTAGACCCGAAACCGTACGAGTTTTTGTCGAGACCAATCGCGTACTGGCAGCTGCCCGTGGCCCATCCGAACCTGCAAAGCCCGTCTGATTCCACCCTGCACTCGAAGGAGTAGCGACCAGTGCCGCCTACAGGTTTACATATACGGGCTCCGTACCATTTGTCAGCACTAGTGGAAAACGTGTTGGTAGTAGCATCGAACTGCATTTCAGAATCACCATCTACGGTTAACAGGTTATCGTCAGCATCGGCCGATTCAGATTCGACGGCTTCCGTCGAACTCTGCTCAGCGCCAGCATTATCAACACCCTCTCGTTTTCGGCGGTTTCCCGAAGCACGCTCCCTCAGCGTCTCGTGGACAAGCTGCAGACACGGCAACGCAAAAGCTGCGGTCTTGCCGCTTCCTGTTTCCGCCGCTGCGCAAACATCGCGACCGCCTAGAATCGCGGGGATTGCCTCCGCCTGTATCGGCGTCGGCAGCACCCACCCTAGGTCAAGGCATGCTCGATTCAGGTCAGGATCGACTCCAAATTCGCTGAACGGCATCGTGCTCCGTTTACAAGCGAGGAGTGGTTCGGACTTCTCAGGTCATTTCTATGGTTACACACCTGATGTCGCCCGCTAGGGCTGACGACACCGTGGCAAAGAATGGCACAGTCACGAGCCATTTGGGCCCGTCCAGATTCTAGCGACAAAAAGTGTAACATTACGTAATTATTGTGTCGTGCACCGCGCAACCTTCGTCGCAGCTACGTGCGGGCTGCAGGTGTTCGCGTGCCGCGAAGTGCTGAGATGTTGGTCTCATCGAGCCGTTCAGGTCCACACATCCGACACATTACGCCGTTAGATTGCTTACAAAATTGAAATCTTGAGGTTACTGTGTGATCAGGGTCTCCCATCGCCCGGTTTTGGCGTCTTCGTCTGCGACGTTGTTTTCCTTGCCCCTACAGTAGGATCTAAATAGCTGCTGTTATTCTCCCCTATGGGTCTCCCTGACAGCGTTTTGGGTTCCGCGTAGCAGCGTCGCATCTGTCAGGTGTGTGAGCAGTGGAAGACACTTCTTTAATGTCCCGGACGTCTCTGCCTAGTAAGTCGCTCGGCTTAATACGACTGAAGAGTGTGTAAAGTGGAATCATCGTATGCCAACGACATCGTATCGGAGTAGAAGCTTCTGGAATATCGCTCGTTGTCGTCGTTGACCATCATATCGCTATTCGCCGGAGGCCCTGTGCAAAGCAAAACATACGAACTATTTTCTCTACGCTCTCGAATATGTCCGTGTCTGGGCAATCCGAGTCTACTCGCGACGTGCGAGCTATAGCTGTGGAGCAGTTTCACAAGACGAAGCTGTGTCCGCACATGAACAAGCGGGAGGGGTGCCTAAGAAGCATGCGCTCTCAATGCCCGTACGCTCACAGCGTCGACGAGCTGAAGGAGCCTCCAAACTTGATAAAGACCGCAATGTGCAAGCTTCACCTCAGGAGTATCTGTGATAAAACCAGCGAAGAGTGCCCCTATGCGCATTCCTACGATGAGCTGCGCCACACCGACGGCTTCTACAAGACGTTTATTTGCAAGTTCTGGGAAAAAGGATACTGCAAGGCGGGCTCGTTGTGCCGTTACGCGCACGGAGAGCATGAGCTGCGACGTGTTTCTGCAGACGTCGTCCACTTGCGGTCAAAAGACATTGATGCCATAGAGCGCACGGCATCCCAAGTTACGTCGGCAGAGGAGGACGTTATTGCGCATGTGGATACCACCGAGCGAAATAGCACGGCACCTACCAGCGAGTCTGCGTACAGTTTCAACCGCACCCTGCCATCACCGCTGTTCGTATATCCAGTGTACGGCGACGAAAATGCCTATTCCGCAACCCCGACCGCCAAAGAGGTTCAGCCGTGGGCTCCCAGCGCTGATCCGACCTACGCTAAGGAGCAAGATGAAGCTTACTACCTCATGCACTACTACCTGCAGAAGTACATTGAATGCAGCTCGAAGCAGCAATCATACCTGCACCAGCAGCGCTATCACCAGCAGAGCCACATGACAGAAAGCTTTCACAAAAGTTAAAATATATAACTATGATATTCATTCATTGGTAGTTTGGCAATTCCGCCATGGTGTTACTTGGTTGCGAGGACCACGATTGCTACGTGCAGCGCTATGAGGTACAGAAAGAACAATATGCGAATGCTCGGGCGCTCCAACGGCATGAAGAACGCATCCAAGAGTCCGCCCAGACCTCTACGCCGCATCGACGATGCATTTGATGAGAAACCCATGCGACGGCTGCTCATGTAATCTTCCAAGTCCAATTCGCCCTTGTGCCTTGGCTCTGGGGGGTGGCGTAAGGCCAACACTTCGCAGTTGAGGTTGTCAATGCGGGACGTCTTCTCCGCTACCAGAGCCTTTAGCGACGCCACTTCACTCACCAGGCCGGCGTTGCTCATTTTCATCATGCGATACTCCTCGTTCAGGCGCCGCACTTCGGACTCAGACGCCGCTGTGCTCTCGTTATCCGAGACATGGGTAGCAACTTCGCGGCGTTCACGTTTCATCACCTGCATTTGTTGCTTCATTTTCTGCATCTCAGCATCCTTTGATTTAAGCAGCGCTTCTTGCTCTTTGCAACGCTGCGAGGCCCGTTCGAGTTCGCCGGCCAGCTCTCTATAATTAGCCGCGGCAGTATCCGCCGACACGCTTGCCGTTGCGCTAATGCTTCGCTGTTTAAGTTGTTCCACCATGCTCACGTTTTCCTTCTGCAGCTGCTGGTACATCGCATAAATTTCGGTGGATTTCAGCTTGTGCGCCTGGCACTCGCTCTCCATGGACTGCAGCTGCCCCTTGAGGGTGGAGTTGTCGCCCTCCAATGCCTTCACGCGCTCCTCCAGAGCCTTATTGGATTCCAAAGACAACGCGGCTTCCTTCTGTTTTGCCTCCATATCACGTGTCAACGTGGCCGCCATCTCGCTCAGGTTACGCTTCTCGGTTTCCAACAGCTCCAAACGTTCGGCATCCAACTTCATTTTATCCACCTCACCTCCGAGGCGATCATTTTCAGCCTTCAAAGCCGCTACTTCGGAGGCGTATTTTTTCAGACGCTCTCCGCTCTCTTCCAACTGGTAGTAGCAGGTTTCTACCTGTTGGTTTGCCTGAACCAGCTGCTGCTCTAGCATGACGCAGTTACGCTCCTTTTCAGCTAACTTCTGCTCTAATAGCGCAACATCACGACTTCTTTCCGTCATCTGCTGTTCCATGTCTCGTAACGCTTCTGCTGTCACGCCATTTTCATTGGAGTTGGCATCGACCTTCATCTCCTCTACAAGTGATGTTTCTGGCTCCACGTCTGCAACATCCTGGTCATACGAGTCTTCTACTTCCATGTCCTCTACAGGCGCTGACAAATCTTCCATAATCACGGTAGGCGTATGGCGGACTGCATCACACTGGATGTCATCTGCCTCTTCGGAGGAGTCTACCATAACCACAGTCGGCGCATGGTGAGGCGCGTCAAATTGCGTGTCGTCAAGAGTTCCCGACACGTCTTCCATGATCACAGTAGGAGCATGAAGAATTGATGTAAACCGGACCTCTTCTACGGATTCCGAAGGATTTTCCATATCTACAGGTTCTTGCTCATCGGGCTCTTCCACCTCCATCTCGTGTACACGTGGTGATGATTGCGGTGATTCATCCACAATCGGTTGGTTATCTACGTCAACCTCACACAAATCTTCTTGTGATGGCTCCATATCAACACTTGGTGCCTGATTACCCGCTTCAAACACAATCTCATCTATGCGCTCGGACGATGGCATCGCTTCGTCCATGGTCTCTTGGCCATAAGACTCTTCGATCTCCATATCGTCTACGCGCTCTGACGGTTGGGGATCCTCATTCATTGAGTCCTGGTCATCTAAATCTTCGACTTCAACAACATGTGATACTTGGGAATCCTCATCCACGTCTTCAATTTCAGCAGCACGAGAAGATTCCACCGCATCATCCATGCCCTCTTCATCTTCAACCATATGCTCCGATTGTTCTAAATCATCCACACGGTCTTGCTCGTATGTCTCTTCAACCTCAGCAACACGTGCAGATTGAGGTTCATCAACAACATCTGGATCGTCCACAGCTTCATGTTCAGCCATACGCGACGATTGAGGCTCATCAACTGCTTGATCATACGGCTCCTCAACATCAGCAACAGGTTCTAATGTGGGTTGCATATCCACCGCTTCCTGACCATGGGCTTCTTCAATATCTTCGGCACTTGGTGCATGAGACTCATCAATCACAGCGTCTTGGCTGTCTACATCTTCAACTTCGGTGACGTGTGATGGTGATATCGATTCATCCACGTCCGGGTGGTCATTCGCCTCCTCAACTTCGACAGTGCGCGATGATTGCACTGGCTCATCCATGATCGATTGATCATCGAGCTCTTCAATTTCGGTAACAGATGGTTGCACCTCATCATCTACAGCCATTTCCTGTTCGGCGATGCGTGTAGATTCAGGTTCCTCATCTATGCCTTCATTATCTGCAATTTCGATTTCCGTAACACTCAATGACCGTACGGATTCACTAACGACTTCTTGGCCATATGATTCGTCGATTTCCATCTCATTTACGCTTTCGGGTGAGGGTTCCATATCCTCGACGTCGCGGTTGTCCATGTCAGCCTCACCGACTATTTCTGATGAAGGTTCCACCTCCATTGCCTCCTGATCATGTGACTCTTCAACATCTACATCCGCATCGTGTACAGGTTCGGATGCGTCCACACCGGGCATTACAGGTGGCTCTTCCCTTTCAGACACAACTGGTGAAGGTTCGTCGCCAGAGTCAGCTGACTGAGGCTGATCGTCACCAGCATTAGGTGCTTCAGCTGAAACATCCGATGCAGTCACCGCCGGCTCGCTTGTACGTTCAACCTCGCTCTCCTGCGAAGGTTCAGGCGACATTTCTGGCGTTGATGTGGACTGATGCTCGGACTCAGTTGAATGTGCAACGGCCTCCGGCATATCCAGGGTGCCGACTTCAGTCGCAGCCTCGGTTTCAACATCAGCTACCGGAGCTGCCATGTTGTCAATTTGATTTGAGCCTTCGGTATTGTGTTCGAAATCCTCCACCATTTTCGAACTGGGTTGACACTACCGAACCTCGTTGGTGGCGGAGGTATCTGCAATTGGCATTCACGTTGCATAAAACTATTGCAAACGGGCAACACGGCTTATATTTTATATGCCAATCACATGAACCGCAGACTCGAAGAAATGTGTAAACGAATGCACGCCCGAATAACCCCGGGGCAGGCCGCCTACACTGCGACGCAGCCCAGGGTGTGCAGGAAAGAACCCCCAAATACTGGACTACAGGCGTCACTAAATACTACCTAAAACTAGTTATAAAAATTGTTGCAGGCTATTAGAGTACTGCGAAGTTAGGAGCCCAGTGTGTACCAGTCGACCGGGCTCCGGTCCATATAGGCGGCCTAAAACTGGAAGTACTTGAGCATCTCTTCTGGATGCGGCATGTAGGTCAGGTTTCCCATGGCAACTGCCGACGGCTTGCCGGATTTCAGCATGCGGTCCACGCAGCTCTTGATGTCGCCAGCAGTCACGCTGTCGATGGCACGCTCCAGCTCGTCAACGGTCAGCACGCGGTCACACAGCAGCAGCTGTCGGGCGATATCCTCCATTTGGACAGCCTTGTGTTCGAGCGACATGTGCAGGTACGACTTCAGGGTGTTCTTGGCGCGTTCCAACTCCTTGGGTGTCACTGTGGCCATCGCCTTGAACTCCTTGGCCATCACCTCCAGCGCGTTGCGTGACGCATGGGGTGCGGCTACCATGTACAGTCCACAGATACCAGCATCACTGTAGACGGTCGAGAAGGCCATGCACGTTTCCACAAACTCGTTCTTGTTGAGCACGTTCAGGAACAGGCGGCTGTGCATGCCCTTGCCGGGGCCTCCAGTGGAGAAAGCGCCACCGCCTCCTAGCAGAGCTTGCAGCACCGTGAATACCACCAGCTCAGGCTTGTTCCAGCCCCCGGGGATTTCGAATCCAACCGCTAGGTGTAGCAGCGGCGTGTTATCCTCGTGGTAACGCACGCCGCCGGTGTACACCGGCTTCTCCACCTCCCGTTTCACGGGTTCGATAGCATTGTACTCGTTGTAGGCGCGCATCACCCACTTAGAAAGCTCAGTCATGTCGGTGTTAATCCCTACCACGACACAGTTGTCGGGCGAGAAGTGGCGCAACATGTAATTCCTCATGACCTCGGGCTTGTAGTTCGCCATGCTGGCCTCTGGGCAGTAGTTAGGCAAGCCGAGCGTGTTGTTATGCCAGGCGACAGAGTGCAATAACTCCGTAACGAGCATGTCGGGGGTCTCATGGATCTGCTTGCGCTTGTCGTCCAATCGACTTTTGTTTGCCTTCATCTCCCAGTGCAAGAAGCGTGGGAACAGGACGTTGCCTATCAACAGGTTCACCATGATCGGCACATCCTTGCGCAGGCATTCCCCGTGATAAGCGATGTGCTCGCGGAAAGCGTTGCAGCTCGCATTACCGCCGAGGGTCTCCACGGTCTTGATTGTGCGCAAGTGAGACAGGTGCGCCGTGGAGTGGAAAGCCATGTTCTCGATCATAGACGACACTCCGATTTCCTCGGGGTGCTCAAAGCGGGAGCCTGCGCCGACATACAATCCCACCAAAGAATCCATTCCACCCCTATCAACGGATGCAATTCTGAGGCCGTTGGGGAGCTTCGCTAATTTTACGGAGTCGTCAGCGGGGTCGAAACGTCCCTCGGATCCCTCGATGTAAATACGCTCGGTCAACGGCACCTTACGGTAGGGGTTGTCACCACCGTCTGAACGACCGACGTAGTAGAACTTGAAGTCGGGCACTTCCTCCATGATTTTCTCAACATCCTCTTCGACAAAGGGCACGTTGACGTAGGCCGGAGGCGCCTTCGTGAGGATGCGGCTGATTTCAGCAGCCCCGCTGGCAGCAGTGGTCTGCAGGAAAATAAGTTCATGCATTAATGCTTCACAGCTTCCATGCAACGTTGGGCTCACACGATGCTAATAGAGCAATACATCATAGCATGTAGCATATTTAAACTACACGGCATGGCCAAAAACATATGTAGAAAAGTCCCATCGTGATGTTGTTGGTGGCATCGAATAGCCAAGCATATGCGCTGCCGCATAACAGCCATCGGCGAAACCGATCACGTACGACGTCATGAAGCAACATACACACAGAGAACATCAGAAACTGGTTTCAATCACGATAGCTAGGCAAACAGCTACGCTTCATGATGGGTTAAGGCAACGGCAGTAAGGTATAGATAGAACACATTTTCGGACACCATAGAGCCATATAGACCACACAACGAACCACAAATGCTGCTATTTTGACACAAACACTAAGCATCACGTAACCGTAGCGGCACGCTCTCGATCAGCTTGCGGTCAAGGCGACGCTGCCGGAATCACCACCCAAATCGGATATGTACTCGAGAAGACAGACGTATAATAATCGATATTTGCACAGAAGTTTACGCACGGGCATGTACAGGACGCGGGAGCCGAAAAGCGACCGTCAAGTACGGCCGTAACGACGTGAGCGGCGGAACCTACCATAACCCTGCGGCCAAGCGGACGGCTTGCGCGGTGCAGCCGCAGCGAAGCTATGCGTGATAGCAACATGGTGTGTCCCTGCGAATGGAAGTGGCCCTGAGGCGGCGTGCCGACGGAAGGCGCAACACCACATGGACAGCACACCGTCAGCCACAGAAACTGACACATCACAAACATGGACTGATATGCAACAGCTACTTGCGGCGCTTCGCGCCGCTAAGCCCGCACATCTGCCGCGGCTCGGCCTTCGGCTGGTTAACGCTCTCGCCGGGCCGCGCCCACCTGCGCCGTTCTGGTAAGGTCAAAGATTGCCGATATATATATTAACGCAGGCTAGAGTATGTGCGCAGGTCACTAGAACCGCCAGTTTTCAGCGCGATGAGCCCTCATTCCAAGTGCCTTCTCACCTGTGTCGCCTGCAGGCTAGGCAAGGAAGCTGCCAGAGCTGCGCAAGCAGACAAGCTGGTCGAGCGGGTATTCAGGGATGTGACCAGCACCAAAGCGCTGCATCTGCTGAATTTGGAGCTCATAAATATGGTGTTGGTTGCGAGTTACACTCTCGGACTGCCGTTATCACAACAACAAATGCAGCGAATACTTGATCAAACAAGCCAGCTGGTGGAACGGGATGCCCATTTCAACGTCGAGTTGACGGTCAGCATACTACACTCACTGGGAGCAATAGCTCGTGTATATCCGCGCCAACGTGATCAGCTGGCGTCGTCACAAGTGGTTCAACGTGTTCTGTCTGGTTTCCGCGATTTTGAGCCGAGGCTCAACATGCGTGAACTGTCGCTGGTGCTATACGCCTTCGACAAACTTCGTGTCATTGACAAGGCTATTGCAGAAGTGTTGATAGCTCGGGTGGAGAAAGAGCGCTCCACATTGAGCGGGCAGACACAGGCCACTATTCTGTTTGCGTGCGCTGCGCACCCCGCCCTGCACCGGGTACTTGGAATACTGCGAGAGAACGTGGTTACCGGGGCACGAAGTTTCACGGGAAGAGAAGCGTGCAACGTGTATTGCGCGTATCTAAAGGCCGGTCTCTGGGACGACCAACTATCAGGACTGCTCGAATATTCCTTGCCAAAGATGAATGCGCAGGAGCTGTGTAATGTGGTAAACCTCATGATACAGAAGGAAGCACCCGTCAGAAAATCATTCACGTCGGCGTATGCGCGCCACTTAAACACCGCATTGGTGACAATGAGGCTGTCTCTACTTGACGCGTTGACCCTAACGCAGTCCATTGCGCATTGGGGTCTCGCCGATCGCATGAGGTCTCAAGTGCTGGACGATGCGATATCCAAAACGCTAGCAGCAGATAGGTCCGCTTACTCCGCTAAGCACGTCTATCTGTTGCACTACCTGGTAACGCTGGATTGTAGAGGCGCGGCACGGAGGGCGGTGGACTGCGCCGCACAGCGCTTTGATCCCAAAGCGCTCAGCAACAAAGAGATTGTGGTGCTCTACAATGCTTTGTGGCACTTTGGGTCCGGTTCTTCCTGCGTCGGTCTCGTAGAACTGGAACTGAAACGGCGGCTGGACCAACAGCAGACTTTCAGTGCAGTCGACTTGCAAACGTTGGCACACTGGGGGGACTCAGAAATATGCGGCATTATTGCGGATAAGTATTTAAGTGAGAATGAATGCTCGAATGAAGGTCACATAAAACTGCTGAACACTCTCCTGAGGAAGACGGATAGTGATTCGGCAAGAGCCTTGGCACGGCGGGCGGTTGAGGCGATGCTCAAACCTGGAGATGCGAATAGGGCCAATATAGCCGGAAATGCTGATACCAACATAGATGGAGATGCGGATTCAGTCGGGCGCATGACAAGTAACACACCCCCCAAAGGTGGATGCAACGTGGACATGCCCTTAACTGTGCGTCATCAAGCTGCAGCGTGTCAACTGTTGCCTCACCTCCAGGGAGAGCTGAATGTAGTTCCAATTTTCTGTGGTTTAGTTGAGCACTGGCTTCAGATCCGAGATGGTGGCGAGAAGATAGAAATGCGGTGGTTGATTGCATGCCTGTCGGTTGCTCGGAAGCTCAACGTGAGATCGGCGTCGGTAGCGTCACTTGCGAATGGCGTGGTCGAACATCTTGATGGTGGAATAGATCCACAAGATTTCTTGGATTATATCAATGCAGTATACCACCTCGATATTGTCGTGGACAATATAGGTGCGTTATTGGACGTCGCCGTTAAGGTCCTCGAGAAGCCGCAAGACGAAGGGGTCAAGGAGTCCATATTGTTTACTCTCAGTGCAATGCAATTTTCCGGCCATTTAACTACTAATAGTATTAGCGATAGTGTTATGTCGAGGTGTTTGGCTTTGAAAAAGCCCCCACGGTTGTGCCTGAAGACGCTCTACATGTGTCTGGTACATGAAGGATATCCTACGTCTCATATAATCGCCCAAGCCCCAACCTTCATTCGAAGTTTGCAACTACGAACCAACAATGTAGATTTTGACGGTAGAACACACGCCGAATCGCATATTGGATACACACCAGTGCACCACCGCCGCTCCACGCCCACTTGCAACGAAGACAACCGAAACGAGGTGCATTTTAGCGTTTATTCAACGTTGCAAAAGATATATGGCAACAAACCGGGTTTATTTCTACGAGCAGAGGCACCTGCGGCCTTTGACTACGTGGCAGACATTCTTTTGATCACGTCGTCACGGAGGTTTTGAAGGCGTCTCGGAGGTCTGAATACAGCCTGGCAAAGTAGATCGCACTGCATCCTGGAAACAGATGGCGCCAACTCATCATGTCAATTATAAGGGTTGTATATTTCATAAACTTTAATTGTGGTTTCACGGGACACTCTGACACCGGATCAGAAACATCGATTGAGCAGCACAAAAACATCACTGCGATTTATGCGTTACGATTGCGAATAAGCCGCGTATTCGCGTGAGAATCGTTTGCCGTACTCCAAACGCGCATCCGGTACCAACACGTGTACTCGTAACCACCGAAAGCAATCTAGCCGTCATTTAACACGAACATAAGGAATGCGCTGGTTCCAAACGCCACACGACACTAACTACGTCAATAAAGACATTTTAAAATAGCGATATAGTTACATGTTTTCGTATGCGTCGTCGTAAGCCTCGTCCCACGTCCACTTCAGCAGCGGCTGCTCGATGAACACGTGGTTCGGGCACGGACGGTCCACCACCTGGTGCAGGCTGAGCGCCATGTACGGCACGCATGTGCCATCCCTAAGGCGCGTGTGCATCCTGCTGAGCTGACTGTCCATAATTTGCAGGGTACGGCGAGCCAGGTCGTCGGTGTCTTTAAAGCGGAGTTCCTGCAAAAGCGTTAACGCAGCGATAAGAAAGGCAAAAGCGCTGTTAATGCCACACGTGAGTCCAGAAATCTATGTATATACGCGACACAGCCCACTAGAAATAATACAACATCTAATCACAAGCTTAAGTCTGGCAGCCTAAACACAGTTCCGCTGCAATACCAGAGACGGAATCATATAAGCACAAATCGCACGTCACTACAACTGCATTATGGAATAAGCAGGCGACACATTGATACCATATGGAGCCTTCACGACAAGCATAGCGGCAGCGCCAAACGCTTTGAGCGACACCGGAATTTGGTTGCAATGCATAGGGAGAATTAGACGAACATCATTCGGTCACTGAAGAACGCTACTTACACTTATCTTGCCGAGACAGAAGTTGGTCTCCTCAATCGCCCAGTTCGGGTCTTTCTTCTCCAGCTGGTCCGAGGTGACGTAGCGGCCGGCGTAAACCGTCCCAAAGCGCCGCGCCTGAAGCGCGAAGCGCTGTGGCACCCGACTGAGATAGGGTGTCAACATTTTATTACCATTACGTGTAATGGAAGTACGCTGGCACTGCGAACCATCACGCGTCGTGGGGAAGCACATCACCCAGGCAGTTCGAGATTCTGGTGTGTTGCACAGTTGCGATACCGAAGCCGAATTCTTTGCCATATTATACGTGAGTGCTTAGTGCCGTCTGATGTGTAGAAGCGGAATTCGGTAGCGTACATTACGCGGATATGGCACGGAGCCGACGAACGCAGATGGCCCATTTTTTCAAGCTATCAGCGATAGTGTGAGAATATTGGGACCACGTTTAACTGTGGAACGGCTCTAGTCAGATCAGTTCGGCGGGAACCAGTTGAACTGGGATGTGCGTTGGTATGTCGGATTGCGTTCAGCTGCTTGTGCTGAAACACGTGCCACAAGTGTTTCAAACCAGTACGATTCGTGCCATGTAATCTACATGTAGAGGAACTTCCCCTGGAGTCTTACTGCAGAACATCTCATTATGAGGAGCACCTAAAATCCATTAGCGGAATCCCGGGGCAAATAGCGGTTATATGACGCGCGATTATTGCATTATAAACCTAATCAGTGATGTAGTATGGTACACATTTCGGTATAGGCCGACATGTGTTTAATATGTTACCGCCGGGACGTGCAATGCGGCATGAATGCCACCACACTTTTGCTTTCCTTCGGCACATATATTGCATAAAAGTAGCTAAAATTTACATCTAGTGAGTTGCCATGTGAATTAGTCGCAAAAGTGGCGACACTGCGTATATTGTGGCGGAGCTCCCATCCGTAGCTCATGCCGCGAAACAACGGTGGCGCTCGGGATCTATGCCAGTTAAATCGCTGCTGTTGGCGAAACCAGCTGCGAAGCAGCGCTTGAGGTGTACAGGAAATTTTTTGTAAAAATAAGGTCAAAATCCCTGTTCCGAGATGGATTTCAACACATTCGGTGACGTAAAATCGCGTGCTTCTACCGATTTTGCTCACCCTCTAATAGATCTTAGCTTCGATTCGCCAAGGTTTGAGCCCCTAGTGGTCACGTCAGACTCGCTGGATGTGCGACCGAAGCCAGTGACGCGAAGCAGGTTTGCGCCCGCAGGAGACATTGGTGACGCTGCTGCATCTGCAAGTTACAATCGACATGATGACTATATCGACCGTGAGGCTTCCATGCGAGCCAGTACGCAAGCGCGGCCGTATGCAAGAGGCCCTGAAATTTATGACTGCCATACGGACTCCGACGGAAGCGTGGAGGAGCAAGTGATGAAGGAGCTCACCAGTGTCATAGGAAACAGTTACTACTCGTCGGTGCCATTTGCAAGTTCGGATACGAAGCCTTCGGACCCTTTTGTAACAAATTACGCGATGGTGAAAACCCCGAGTAAGGGTGTCGAGACTCCCTTCCAAAAGGCTGCCATTAGCAGTGGGACGCCGGCATTCTTCTCGGACGGCGAGCCTAACGGTGCTGCGATGAGGCAAGCACTGTTCCACCTAGAGAAGGCGGAGGGGAACCACAACATCCGGGATTCCGGCAAGCGCACGGAGGACCGTGCGCAGCAGCTGCGCTCGCCGATCGTCATGAAAACTCGCCGTGCGGAGGACAACACTCTCAGCAACGATCCCATTATATCCGGGCTATTTTCGCTGCGCAAGCCGCGCGATGCTGGCGCCGGGATCGTCTCCGGCCTAAAGAGCGTCACCAAGGGTGTCGCGCTCGGAGCCGCCAGCTTGGTTGTCTGCCCAGTAGTCGGTGGCCACCAGAACGGTTTCGGCGGGTTTGTTAAGGGGATTGGCGCCGGCATGCTGGGCGCGGTGACACTCCCGGTGACCGGTATCGGCATTGCCGGTTACCAGATCGGCAGGGGCATCTACAATACCCCCAACGCAATCTGCCAGCGCGTTAACGGGAAGAAATGGAACAAGCAGCACTGTGAGTGGAGGGAAAACTGGTACTCGCTCGAGGAGGAGGTGAAGGAGGTTATGAACGCCATTGAACGCCAACGTGAGGTGGTGCAGCAGCAGGCGGAGATGGATGTGACGCAACGCTACAACAACCGCAACGTCGTGGTTGTCGACACTGAATTCTACGATGTCCTCGGCGTTCCGCCCACAGCCACTCAGGCTGAGATCAAGAGGCAATACTACAAGTTGGCCAAGCAGATCCACCCCGACAAGGCGCGGAACCCGGAGGCCACAGAGAAGTTCATGAAGTTGGGTGAGGCGTACCAGGTGCTCGGCGACGAGCAACGTCGGCAGCTGTACGATAGTCACGGGAAGCAGGCGTGCAACGAAATGCCCATCCTCGACAGCTCGCTATTTTTCATGATGCTGTTCGGTTCGGAGGACTTCGAACCTTACGTGGGCAAGATGCGCATGGCCCTCTACATGGAGCTCGAGCTGGGCAACCGCGGCTGCACGCCCACAATCAAAGACTTCGAGGTGGCTCAGTGGGACCGCGAGGTCAGGCTGGCGCTCAACCTGCGCGACAACGTGCGCTCCTATGTCTGCGGCAACCTGGAGACGTGGTACGGGGAGGTCCTCGAGAAGGCGAGGAGCCTCTGCACCAACTCGTTCTCGGTGGAGCTCGTCGACACCATCGGTTGGACATACAACAACGTCGCTAACCGCTACATCGGCAAGTGGGACACCTTCATGGGCATCGGCGGCAAGGTAGCGAAGATGCAGGAGCAGTCGAAGGCGTTCGGTAAGAGTATCAAGGCGTTTACCTCCATGGTCAAGACTGCCGTGGCCGAGCGCAGCGCGAGCCGCAGTGCACGCACCGGGGAAACAGAGAACCTGCTCAACGAGGACCACATGAGGGAGGTCTGCGAGAACTCCCTGCCCACCATCATGGACGCCATGCTCAACATTTGCCTGATGGACGTGCAGTCCACAGTGAAGAAGGCGTGCAAGCGCATCCTGAGGGACATGGTGGTCGACAAACAGTGGCGCCGAAAACGCGCCGAGGGACTGGGTCTCATGGGTCGTGCGTTCATGCTTGCAGCTCGCGACGCCCGACAGCGGCTCGCCACAGAAAGGAAGCCGCTGAACATGTACGACATGTTCGCGCAGGCGGCGGAGAAAATGCAGCAAAAGAAGGAAAGAAGCCCTCATGCGGCGATGTACCGTACCGACGACGGCTTTTTTTAATAATCGTCGGGAACATTTGTCAGGAGCGGTTGCTGCCTGAAACCTTAAATTTATCAGCTTTTAAAAGTGCTCACAACAGCTCGCAACTAAATTTGTGCCTCCATTTTATACCACACAGCAGCATAGCGGGGGATGTCATGGGTTACCACCTTCAGCCTACGTCTACGAGCGGTCGTCTGTATCCCATCTGCGAGACACGCTGACCACAGGAGCATCCTCCGCGCCGATTGACAAAGGTATAACCTCAACACGGCGGCTCTGACGCTCCACCAACACGACCAGTTACCAAGCGCAACACGCAACAACACCATATGAACCAGCAATAAAGCCGAACCATAATTAGTCACAATGTTCTGTTTTCGCACCGACGAAGCTCAGTACTGCAGCAACATGAGGACGCAAAGAGTGTACACCCACCTTGTAGAAGCCAATGAGGTTGGCGCGCTCCCTGAAACACTGACGGCAGATGCTCAGGCCGTACTTGCGAATCAGGCCGTGACGGTTGAAGCAGACACGGCTGCACAAAATGAAGGGGGTCAATGGAAGGTCGCGCGGCCGTACGGGCCAAAATGGAGTGCAACGTACCACTGGTGACTGCCGGGACCGTAGTTCTTCGGGTGGGTGTTGAAAAGGTTAGTCATCTTGATACGATTCCCGCAAAAACGCGCGCACTAATAGTTCTTAGCAATTGGCAGTGGCTGCGTGCCCAGCTTTACCGGCAACGAGGGACCGGGAGCTCGCGCCCCATGGAAGGCCTTCGGCGGCGAGTTGGGTGGCAAGACACACGGTACACATCGGTTAGCAATGCGATTAATTTACAGTTAATGTGTGAGTTAGAGTTCATACGGCACTTCTTTTACGATATCGTTGAGTCTTTCGAACTGCAGCATTCAGATCGGGGAAACCGTATACCCACCTTCTCCGGAACGTTACTGGTGAAGTGGCCTGCACATCGTTCGTTTAAGCTACTGCTGGGCGTACCCTGAATGTTGCCGGGCGGGTTGAACTGGCAGACGAGCACTATTTGCCGACTGTCGCAGCACGCAACGCCACAGCCTACTTCCTACGGCAGAATGGCTTATTTAGGGGACTGTAAACTAACCTGCGATGATTTCCAGATGAGCTGCGTGAACGACAGCACGTTGGGGTTCCGGTTCATCGGGCCACCTGAAGCCGAGATGACACGAGCAGATACGCTACCCACCGTTCTCAAAGTCGTAATCGGTGTGCCCCTCGTACCAGAACTGCGCCGCTACCGCTTCGCTGAATCCATCCAGACCTGCAGAGAGGTAGTTGGTGCCCAGTTCACTGCGATAGTACAGCGGGAGGTTGCAGTTTTGTTGGCGGCTCAGCTGCACATCGTTTATAGCAACGGAAGCACACTAACCTCTGCAGCCAACTTTCCGGCCGAAAAGGCGAGCTTATCGCTCCTGAGCACGATTGCAAAGGCATAGCTAATCCAAAACGCACCATGTTAAAGGCGGAGATGAATGGAACTCCCGGTAGTCATTGAGGGCTGCCAGCATCCGTCCTTCCTGCAGCGGCGTTATGGAATGTCCTAGCGCTTCATTTACAATACACATCGCGACCATACATAGGCATAACTCGCTAGAAAGTACCGCGGGGAAGTTGAGAGTGACACAGAGTAAATGTTGTTGTCGCCGCAACCTTCCGCGGCACAAAGCTCAAGAAAGGTCTGACCTACCTCAAACCGGCAACGCGGTGCAGATGCGCGTGGCATCACATTGCCATTTTCATGCACGATAGGCAAACATGGCCGTAGAGGCAGCAGTGCCAACAGAATTCCGCACGCAGCGTACAGAGATACCGCCGCGATCATCCGTTACCGGATATATGAACGCAGATCAACCCGAACCGATCCAGCTGTTGTTATCAAAACAATGAGGGTGTATATGATGTAAAATATTGTGGAATTGGGATGCAGACGCCCGCTGCAGCCCTGGAAGGAGTCAGGGATTCCGTCTATACACACGCAGCGAATCCGGCGTTGGAGGCTATTAAACCCGGTGTAATCGAGAAAACGTGCTGTCTGCCTACAATTTGTGTTACATTCAACGTTAAATCATCAGGGTGTGCTGATGTTGTTCTCCGTCACGGATCCAGCGCCTAGACACGGTGTTACACATGTTGGAGCGACGGGCATGGCTTGGTGTTGCGACTCTCCGTTGCAGCACCAGATGATTGTTATGTGCGTGAGGGCTTGTATTATTCAAATGCTTAGCAATGCATCATCGGCGCAGCACGTAAATGCAAATATTTTAAAACCACATTTAAACTGAGTTAAACTTTAGATCGCAAACGGAAGACACGCCACTGGCGTTTCCGCATGCGTATCGCCAGGGTTTTATTCCTTGTCGGGCAGCATTGGTTCCTCAAGTGGGCTCTCAGGAGGCGTTGCCAGCAACTTCCGTCCCATCGCGTAGATACCCAACGAGGCCATTATGCCCACGAAGCAAACCACGTCGATTATCTCGAAAGCAGTGGCACTGTCGCCACTTATCGATTCCATTGAAAACGCAATGGAGCACAGCGGCAGCTTCAGCGTTCCCAAGAGGAACACCAGCGTCACGGTGGCGTTCATCATAATCACGATGTAGGCGACTCGTATGATTATGTTGCACAGCAGGTATATCATCAGCACTTTAAACGATCCCTCGCAGCTGTCACAGCTTATCTGATCAGCAGCTCCGCAATTGTCGACGATGGTGTTACTACCAAGGAACAGGCATGCCAATCCGCTGCGCAGGTCGTGAAACGAGCCGGCAAGTATTCCAAGGTCCATTCTGGTTCTACGCATGGCGAGCGTGAATGCGAATAATGGGAATCCTAAGATGAACTGCAGAGTAATGGAGCTGAATTGGTACTTCAACAGGTGAAATGACTCTGACAGGTATATCCCGCTGCGCAGCGCTGATGCGACGGAGTCCGGCAGGCAGGAGGCCATGTATATCAGGTTGGCCATGAGATTGTTCCCTCCGGCAGTCATAGGAACTGTCAGCTCCTTTATGACGACAAATAGCACAATCAAAAACGATCCGATATATTGGTACCAGTGGTATGCACGTCCCAGAAGCATCTTGCAAGTGATGATGGTCAGTGGAATGCTGATCTGAGAGAGCATAACTAGCACGATTCCACTGGTTTCCACACTTCCGATCGTAGACAACATCGTACCCACTATGTCGAACAGCGACATCGGGATAAGCTGGCGATAGTTGAAAGGATGGGCCATGTACGCCGGGGAGAGGTAGGAAAACGCCCAGTACAGCAACCCGAACAAGAACATGAAAAATAGAACCAGAACCTCCATTGTCACCATAGCGTAATTCCCCGTGTGGTCCATCAGCCTCTTGTAATGCACTGTGGTAAAAATATCCATCAACACGTAGACGAAGCATGCGATAAGGAGCTTGTGGCGCCCAAGAGCATCAAATACGGTCCTCATGCAGGTGCGAGGCGCGCTCGCAATCCGCATTTCAGGCGTACGGTCATCCGATGCCCCGTATAGGTCGTCAGCGAGAAAGGGGCCGCGGTAGTACTCATCGTACCAGGAGTCCGATGGGCGAGCCCCGCGGCCGTCATCCGCACTTGCACTGCGGTTGTTCATATTATGTATTCTAAGACGCGTATCCGCTCCGATGCCAGGGTAATCCTGAACAGAGAGGGCCGCAGATGGAAGGCCGGAGTGGCTGCAACAGGGACTACAACGCCCCGAAAGCACTTCTAGAAGACGATGTCGATATGGTAAAAGGCCTTCTAATGGAAGGTGAAAACCAAAATTGCTAAACTCCAGTCACGGAATACCGACAACCTTTGTTGTCAAAACGTACTGCTACTTCTCATGTGTGTAAGAGGCTAACGTAACGAGAGGCACGTGGCGTACTGATCTTCTTCTGTACCCATCGCTGCAAGCAAGAGACGCCAGCTTCCAACCGTCATACACAATAGTACACCCGCAAAACCGCAATAATAAAAGACAACATGGGCGTAGCCTTCCTCACAACGTCGGCCTCAGCGCACAGCGCCAGCGCGACGTGGTTGGGAGTACACGGAAATGGCGGCGCACCGTCACATGTGACAACAAACGGTAACGCTGTACACATAGGTACAAATGGCTAAGGAATTTTACGTAAAAAATGGTCTTAGAACCCCCATGAATGATGCAGCGTACACCGATTCCTCGGCTCCACAGACAAAGTGTGACTTATGCTGCAACTACACATTTGAAAAAGGAACTGAGAACAATTTGATACCAGCTTCACCGTAGGCAATTCCCTGTCCAAATAGCATGCTGCACTACCGTAATGTGTATATGCTACTGCGCGCTCGTGGCTCGCGCTGCACCCGTGTTCTACTCGCTGCTGAGATCCGTGGAACCTGGTAAGCTCGCGCGCCGACATTAACTGGTTAATGCACACCTACAAAATAGGCGCAATACAATAAAACGGTTAACAGCCGATGCATGAACACCTTATAACATCGGCTCTCCCGCGGAGCTGTGAAGAATAAAATAGTTTTGACAGTATCATCTGCCGTTATTCACGGCATACAGTAACATGCGACATCGTGAGCGCTGAGGCGGCTGGCGGTCATGTTCTTCATTGACCCGCAAACGGTCGGCTGTTGCGCCGTCGGCTGCTGCGGCATTGCCGCTGCCAGCTACGTGTCGAACAACCTCTCCAAAATACCGCATCCGTCGGAATGCGGTTGCATTGGCAGCCTATATCGCATCACTGGGATCCACGCCCATGACCCGTTCGACTTTATTTTGGAGATTCATGAAGCCGTCGGTGGCGTCGACTCAGGGAAATACTTCTTCGAAGTTGAAGCCGGCAGGACGAAGTACCGCACTCAGACTCTGCCTTCGAAAGACGGTCAGCTTCAAGTGCATGTAAGTTTTCATAATGGATCTTTAAATCTCTATCACCCCGTTATGCAACATACAAAAAATGGGGTTAAAGTGACATTTTTTTTAAAACGTGTTATGTCTAATGCATGGTCTACATGCGCTTGAACTAGTGACATTGCATGTTCGCGTCGTTGGCATGTGTATGGCAGTCATTGCGCGTCTTAGTGTCCGTCTAATCCATTTTTCAGGAGAAGCTAAAGGTACATGTGCGACAGTGTGACGATGCTATAGTTGTTAAACTCTACAGAAGCCACTTGTTGCGGTCGGATCAATGCGGTGAACTGAAGTTTTCGGTGGAACATGACCTTATGGCACCAAAGCCAGCCAAGAGGCGCTGGTTCACCATGGTCCACCAAAATCGCACAGCCACACGCGTTAAGGTAGGAATTGAGTACATATTGTGTACCAGCATATGCAGGTCTCCATATACTGCATGAGTGACGAGGTGGCATCAAGGGATTTGTCAGCTCTGACGTTGCAGGCAATTGTAGAGTCGCAACAAAATGGATCCAACCTAGGTAAGCGAGCGCGCATAATACCGTTGTCAATTTCATGCAGAAGAGGAGCTAATAGAGGAACTGGAGAAGATGGACGATTATGCGAAGCTCAGATTCTTTTCCAAGGTGTTATCAGGCCCGCTCAAGAAAATGAATACCTTCGGCCGAAAGTGGACCACGTTCTATTTCAAGCCGCTGGAAATATCGACTGGCAACTGGGAGTGGTGCGTTTGGAACTCCATCGACGACTACAATGTGAGTGGACAGTAACATCGGTGGTGGGGACCACAGCAATGATGCGGCATTATCCTGTGGATCGCAGGGCGAATTCACAAATTCCGGTTGGAAATAGCGCTTTTGAAACCTATGTTATTGGCCAAATGCAGCTAAATATGTACACCGCAGTTTGTAAATGCAGATCATGCAACGTCTCCCCCACCGGCATCAATTTATGCCCACCGTCATTTTTTTGCAGGCTGGATCAGAGGCCATCGAGTCGTACCCGTTTCTCTCAATGAGCCTCGTAGTGGCAGATCCTACGAACTCAGCTTGTTTCTACGTGAAGTACCACAAGGATGGAAACGACTTCGGAATCCTGCTAAAGCGGATAGACAGAAACAGGGACGTTTGGTCCGATTCACTCTACGAATTCATTGAGAAAACCCGTGAGGTGTACTTCAAAATACCGAATAAGCAACGGGTCAAGATATCGCACAAAAAAGTCAGGCGCTGTAAGGATCTTGAGATGATCTCCCAGCAGCCGGCCGACGACGAAAAGCGGAACGAGCTACAGGCCAAACTTGCGCAAAGTAAACGGCTCACAAGTCCTATGGAGCGGGGTGAAGCGGATGATGAAGCCAAATTGCAGGAAGCGATCGGAAGGATGGCGCAGAACATGTATGTCGAGGAATGCAGCACGGGAGACGCCTAGATCACGCCGTCGTCGTTTTCGCTGCATCCCGAGACGTAGTCGAGCTTCTGCCGTCGATTCGAGTATTAAATCATGCACATTTCGATTGCGAATCTGTGTCTCAGAGCATACCTTGGAGACACTAGAGATACGTGTCTACATGATCGCCGGAGACGGCCGCAAGCGCGACACATGACGACCCGCATAACATTTAGGACCGACACGCCCGATAGGAAGTGCCAGAAAAGCCACCTAACAGCCAGAGGTGCGCTTTCGTTGTCTTAGGCATGTAATCGGAGATTCCTGGTGGAATGACTCCGGCTGTCATGTCCAGCGCACACGTCTGAGCTCCATTTTGAAAGCAACCAAGCAAGTAGCGGCTCGCCGAAAAGGGAAAGGGTATAAGTGCCAATTGTTTGGCACATATCTAGGCGGTGTGCAATGATTACCCGTGGAGTGACTCCACGTCGTGCCTCCCCAGCACCTGCAACACTCGCATGCCTATCAGCAAAAAAACACCACACACTGTGTGTGTGTGACTTGTGTCACAAGCATCGAAGTCGCAACAGTCAAAAGGGAACGTGTGCTCCCCTGTACCATCCGCTGGTCGAACTGTCTAATCCAAAGGCCTCACACATGGGAAAGGTATCGCCTCGCCGACGTCGTAGGGCGTCAAACAAAGGCATTCCGAAAAATGCGGTAATAGTGCCAAATGTTCCGATGCAGGATTACTGTAGCCAAATACCAGGGGTATACTACCATTTCGGCAAGCTCGAGTGGCGCACGACCTGCAGGGATCCGTTCAATTGCTCGAAGCGCTCGCAGCGCACGTTTGGTGTACGGAAATACGGCTTCTACGAAGCAAAGATGATGGCAGAAGTCGCGGCATTCGAATGGGAAAAACACCGCAACTTTGTATTATACCTGCAAACTGCGTCGGCAGGAAACGCCGTACCGGGGCACGTGCACTCACCGCCGCCTGCCCCGCCGGGTAGTCCACAGTACTACCCCTACCTCCCGTATGAATGTTACACATACGTCCCAGCGGAGCTGGAGAGCCCGTTGACGCCGCATGCGTCAATGGAGTACTACAACAACGCCGCGAGTCAACTTAGCAACATCTGAATTTTTCGACGTCGTTTTTTGCATGCATGTAATGATGAAAATTGGCTGCAGCGGCATTTATGTCCTGCATTTGTAGTAACGGGCATGCCAAAAAAACGTGTCTAGTGGGGAGTGTCTCCACAACCACGCCTTTAAGTCAGGCCCTCGTCTCCCCCCATCCGCGTGTTGATGTCGTAAGCAACAACTCAACACCAGATGGTTAGTGCCAAACAGTGCGCTTCCAACATATGTATCACCAATATAAAGCACGGTGTGGCACATATTAATGGCCCTTAAGAGGCCTAGGTTTCTTGGCAATGGCATCAGTGTCATTAGGGCGCATGCACCGCATTAAAACGTTAAACCCCAATAATGCAAGCGATCCAAGCTTCAGCTGACTCGCTAATGTGCCTGCAAAATGGAATATACACAGGCAAAAGCAACTAGACAAAACCACATAAAAGTACATGCATGTAATACATTGCCGCAGCCTCCATCAGATTACTAAAGCGCGCATCACAAATGCACCTGGCTTGCGCATCCATCTTAATGGCAGATCGAAGGGGAGCCGACTCACGAGCCAGCGATTTTCGGTCGAAGCTGAAACACGATGTGCGGGCTCGTTTACTGCTGCACGCAGCTCGCGCGTGAAACGAAGATTCGGCCCACAGGATGCGCAAGAGCACTTTCGCCAATGCTTTGCTCCAGGCACTCAACAAAAATGGATCATCCCGTGGAAGGCTACGCGGCATACATCATCAACATACAACACCCCTAACTGAAGTAAACGTCGATATTGGCAGAACGTTGATGACATACGTTCAATCATGCCAACGACGTTAGAAACGTAACATCACCGTCATCACGGCAATTTCTTGCACTCCATACCCCAAGTAATGTAGATAACGTACCCTGGGGCGAGATGCAGCTCTTGCTTGGTTATAGTCTTGGTGACCCAACTCCAGCCGAAATCCTCACTCGACGACGGTAGAACACGTCAAACAGTTGACACGCATTTCGACGTTGAAACGCCACATCTCAACCAACTTCGGTGGTTCACTGTTATCAGAGACGACGGAAGAACACAGGACGGTGCCGTCAGAGTCTGCAGTCACAATTCGACCAGACAGTGACGTGATCGCCTTGATACGCTTACTGTGGACACCGCTAATGTCAGTGCCAGACTCCGCTCCAGGCGGATAGATAACCACGGCGCCAGAACGGCAACCCACTGCGATGGAATCACCTATCCACGACGCGCAGCAGTACTTGGTCTTGTCCGCCTTGTGTATCGACGGCTTAGCCCCCTCACTCAACGAGAGCTTTAACAATTGCGATTCAGAGAGGATAAAGTAGTCCTCACCATCGGGGTGCCACTGCACTCCGATCGCCGGCTCATTTAGGCGTGAGAAGAAGACGCAGAGGCAGGTGTTCAAGTCCCACAGCCGCAAGGTCGCATCCTCAGATACCGATAAAGCAAGCTCTCCGTTGGGGTGCACAGATATCGCTGTTACCGCACCCTTGTGCCCCTTGAGTTGCTTCTTAAGTTCGAGCTTGAGGACGTCGAAAAGCTGTAGTGAGCCGTGTTCGTCGCCTACCAGCAGCAGGCCGTTCGCTATGCTGCCCTTGGCACCCAACGCCGTAATACAGCCACCTGACAACAACAGGTCGCCATGCTTCTTGCGATGACGCAGGCCGTAGACCCTAAGGTTGACCGTTGATTACAGCATGCCACAAACTTACTGCACAGTTTCGTCCGATCCGCCGCAACACAGAAAGTCCGAACCCAAGGCTAAACAGCGAATGGACCCCTGAGAAAAGTGAAAATTCCGCATATATCCAAAAAACAGAGATAAATGGTGTCACATTAGCACGTACGTGAAACAATGAACACCACTAGTCTAACTAGCTGCATACGTTGCCTTGTACCAGGAATCTTAAGGGGATCACCGGCAACAAAACCATAATGCAGCGTTAAATAAGCCTCATTACAGCACCCATTACTCGCAAATATATGTTTTGAACGCACGAAAAGTGCGCACGCATGGTGAAATACGGGTTGAGATTATCATGTCACCAACTCCCATCACCCATGTTCGTAGCCAACTTGTGGAAATTAAAAACGGCACAAAATGGCTTAGATAACCCACAACGCAACTAAATAGCTAACGTTGTGGGTTATAGAGCTTTAAGGGAGTCACAAATTAACGTCACTGACCTGCGAGCAGATGAACCGGAAGGCGAACGACGGCTCGCTGGGAGCGGCAGAAGTTGTAGACGATGCCGACGAGTCACTGTCCTCATCTACATTCAGGCCCACCAGACCGCCCTCATAACCGCCAGCTATGAGTAACATAATGAATAAGTGCCTCGTTTGTATTGAGAATGGACTGAGTCGATAACAACAGGTTGCGCCCCCTCGAGGGGGCCGATCGTCAGACAAGAGGAAAAGACGTGATAAAACGCTACACACTGGACTATTGTGGCAACTCTGGTGGTGATTCTAGCCGTGGAATGTGCAGTTTACGCTAAAAGACAGCGAAAGACAGTAGCACGGTGCGCGCCCTCATGTACACATCTTTAACTGCACGCCCCTACCCCGCTCGAAACGCACAGTAAACTTGACAGATAATTACACTTTAACGATTAACAACTAGGTGCTGGATCTGGTAAGCATTTCGCACTGAATCATCTCTCCACGGCACGGATCACCTCCGTGCCGGTAAGCTAGACTTGATACCGGGGATCATAACCAGCGTGCTTCTGCCCACTCTAGACCGCAACGACCGGTCACGTTGGCATAACTGAGCCACGTGCTTGTCGCAAATTTTTGCAGCATATTTCGGTCGCAGAAACTCATGTCTGACTACCCGCGGGACGCATAGCATCCAAGATGTACAACCGCACGGAGCAGCTGAGGGATCTCGCGGAAGGTATCAAAAAGTCCAACGAGTATGAGAAGGACTGCATCATAGTAGTGCGAGATGGCGGATTCATCCCGCAGATGGCTGTAAGTGATTGCACCCGTAGACGCCACATCTTTCGCAGGACGGCGATAGCTCCGACGAAGAAGCGGATGGCGACGAGCTGTTCAAGCAGTACATGCACAAGGTGCAGGCTATGCGTACCCTGATAACGTCGATTGACGACGGCGCAAATGCCATCACCTCCCTCATAGAACTGAGCGCCTCCGCGGTCACCAACCACCAAAACGACGAGGTCAGCACCAAACTCGCCGATATCATCGCACGCACCAACGAGGTGTGCACCCAGTGTAAGAGCGCCGCGTCCGCTCTAGAGCAGGCGAAGAGCCAGGGGACGCCCACGGAGGCGCGGATGCGAGAGAATGCCTACAACGTCTGCATCAAGCACTTCCAAGCCGCAATCAAGCGCTACCAGGACTCCCAAATCACCTTCAAAAAGGCCATAAAGGATCGCACTGTGAGGCAGGTGCAGCTCATATACCCGGAGATGGACAGCAACGAGCTCGACCGCATGATGGCACCGGGCAAGGCCCACTCCATGCTCGAGCATGTTGCGCGGTCGTCGATTATCGGAACTGCCAGCCTGACGGAAGCTGTGCAGAGCATACAGTCCAAGTACAACGACGTTCTGGCGCTGGAAGACAGCGTCGAGGAGCTGCACCAGATGATGATCGAGCTCGCCGGTGTGGTCAGCTACCAGGGCGACCTCATCGACCAGGTGGAGTACAACACGATGAAGGCGGTGGAATACACCGAGAAGACGAACGTGGAGCTCGTCAAGGCGTTGCACCTCAAACGTCGGAGCAGCAGGCTCATCATGTTTATTACGCTCGGGGCTATCGCCGCGGGGCTGGCCATCGGACTGCCTATCATACTCAAGATCACCTGATGGCCGGGCTGACGGGTCCGCGCCGGCCACAAACGAGACCAAAATGTGTCCAACTGTGGTGTTTAATATTTTCCACCGCTGAACTGCTGCAAAATGCCGGTGTCTACAACGACTGCTGTTGTGTCTTTGTGTTGTTGCTGGAGGTGTGTATTGAAAAAATTATGAGGCAGCTATTGCCGAAAAACAGGCGCTCATAGCGCACATAATAGCTTTATCGCGACAGCAGTGGGAAGGTAACCTTTGCCGTCTGAAACGGGCTCGCGCCGACGGCGTGCGAGCAACTGGGGGTGTACATAGCCGACGCAGACACAGAAAGAAATGGCCGCCGAGAACCTCCTGATGCCCGAGTCCCTTCACAGGGCGCTCGAAGGCTCGCTCTCCCAGGACCAGGCGCTAAGGAAGGAGAGTGAAGACTACCTCTTCAAGGTGGGTGATAGATATAGCCGGCGCTAGGCCTCTGGCCGTCTACGTCTGATAATCTCTCAATGTGACAAAATGTGTGCTCATACTCTCGCAGATATCTACCGCCAAGGGGGCCATACCGCTGTTACTTTCGCTCATATCGGCGGATGCGGTAGAGGCGCCGGTAAGACTGGCCGGTGCCGTGAAACTCAAGAACCTAGTGCTCTCCTACTGGAGAGATGCGAACGCATTGTGCGATGAGGACCGCGCTGCGTTATGGAAGGGCATATACGATGCCATTCTGTCTGTCGGACGCGACAACGACTTGATCAGACGCCAGTGCTTCGAAGCGCTGCGCCACATCGTCTTCAGCGCCGAGCAGGCGGACGTCAGCTACATTGTGCAGCGGGTGAAAAATGACCTAGAGCAGCGCTCCAATGGCGACACCCTGCTGTGCGCCCTCAAGGCGTTGCGGAAGCTAATGTACCGCTACGAATACCACTCCCATTCGATGTTAAATGAGGTCAACGCCATGATTGACGGGTTTTTCGGGCACCTGCTCCAGGTGGCCCAAGACGCCTCCAACGCCGGGCTGGAATCCCCCGAAGCGGCGGAGTGCATTCACCAAGTGCTCAAGGTGTACTTCTCGTTGGCTTTGCTCACGTCGCCAACAACGAACCTTGTGAAGAGCACGCTGCAATCCTGGATGGCGCTCGTGCAGTTCGTCTTGGACAATCCTGTGCGATGGGATGCGGTGTTCAAGACCGGGGAACACGCCATGATGCCGTACGTGGAGCTGCCCGACGACGAGGAGTCGCGCCTCCACGAAATGCCACGTTTCAAGTGCCTTAAGTGGGCACTACAAATTCTCACCAAGTACATGTCGAGGCAAGCGCCTAAAAAGATTGATAAGGAACTGGGCAAGGAGCATTTTGTTCGCTACCTCAAGGACGGATACGCCGTCGCCTTTGCCAAGAAAATAATGGTCCTCCTGCAGGCGGAGTCCTCAGGAGGTGCCGTGTTCACCAACAGCCTGCATCACAGGATGTGGACATATCTCAAGTACACGTTGCCTTTGACCGACGTCTACAACGCGTCCCTACAGCCGTGTGCGGCGGTTATCGTGCAGATGCTATTCCAGACATTTGCTTGCAACACAAACGATGAGCAGCAGTATCTGGAGGATCCGGAATCTTACATTCAAAACAGCCCGGATGTCAGTTTCCAGCTGATGTCGCCACGAGGAACGGCCGCCGACTTCATCAAGGATGCCTGCAAGTTCCGCCGCGCTGAGTTCGCGCCGATTATTATATCAGCGGCGAGGGATGTGTTCCGCGACCGTGGGAATTCAGTACCGGAATTGTACGGAGTCATGTGCCTGGTCGGCCACTCCGCCGCAGGGGTATTGCAAAACAGCAAAAAGTCAAAAAAGAAGCAGGCTTCCACCGTGGCCGGAATACCGGAAGAGCAGCTGTTGGATGGAGAGGCTTTCATCACCACCTTCGTTGCCCCCTTACTCAGCTCTCCTGACAAGTGGCTTCGGATGCGTGCGGCCTGGCTATGCGGCCATGTGGTGAGGACCAACCAGACGTGGAGGGACTCGCAGACGCTCCTGAAATTGTACTCCAAGCTAGTAGAATTGCTGGGCGATCAGGAGGTCATAGTTTCCGTCATGGCGACTGGCGCCGTACTCGCCTTTTTCCACGCCTCCGACGAGACGCTGCAGAAGACCATAGTGGAATACCTACCACATCTGCTGCAGAACCTTTTCAAACTTATGGAGCGGGTCGAGTTGGAATCCGTTGTGTCCACGCTCGATGAAATCGTGGAAATGTACTCAGTGGCTGTGCTGCCGTTCGGGGCCCAGATCACCGAGAATGTCTGCAACGCACTCTGGAACAGCATTGGAAGCGAGGGAGCTGCAGACAAGCATGGCGAGGACACGGCCAACGATGAGCAGATTTTGGCCAGGTGGTCGATGGTACAAACCCTGACCTCCATCGTTAGACTTGCCTCCGAGGCCGACACAAAGGCGATGACGCCCAATGATTGCGACATGTTCGCCAAAATCGCACACAGGACAACCACGCTGTTGATATCCTTATACGAGCATCTGGACTTGGACAGTCTGATGGATTACATCGATGACCTCGCCATGCTGCTGAGCTATGTGGTGAAGATCACTCATAAGGTGGTGAGCTTCGTTGGGGAGGAGAAGGCGGCGGCCATGGGTGCGCGCTTCGCGGATATGTGGAAAATACTGGGGCTCTGCATGAAGGCCATAGGCGGATACCATGCAGCGGGTGCCGAAGAAGATGGCGAAATGTCTGCTGTTATGGTAGAAATCAGCGTTATCAGGGGCCCTGTGAGAAGCCTGCTCGCGTATGCGCCCAGCGGGTTCACCTTTGAATGCGCCATGCAGCTCTACACGCTTTGCCAAGGCGCCATCTCTGGGGATGACGGGCATCATGCTGAGCGCCTGTTGGCGGACGTCTTCGAAGTGTCGATCAACAACCGGGCCTGCGATGGCATCCTCGCGGTGGCCGCCAAAGAGCTGACGAAGAGCGTCGTGGACAACTATGACGCCATCATCAACAGCCCCCCCTACTTCCAAAGCAAAGTACGGTACGCAGCTGTGTTGCTCACTTACTCCTGTCGCGAAAACCCGCCGCTGAAAAGCCTGGATGACCCCGATACACTCATCCGTGTCATCATCCACGCGTCGCCGGGCTGCCCGTCTAAGTATATGCGCAAGCTCTTCATGGTCTGCCTCTCCTCCCTGAAGCAAGTCGGGGTGCATTACAGCAAAGGCGAAAGCATACAGGAAGCTATCAATGAGCTCTTACTTGATGCATCCGGTGCGACGAACGACGGCGGCATGGATTCGGAAGTCGACGATATGGACGACGAAGACGACTCCGACCTCTACTCGGACGAATCAGACGACGATGATTATGACTATGACTCAGATGACGAGGACTATGATGACAGTTACGATGACGAGGACTTCGAGGATGGCTGTTCGCCCCTGGACAGCTGCAGCATGGCGGATATGTGTACCAGGCTTACGGCTGGCAAACCTGCCCTCTAATCCGGTGCACACAAACCATTTGATATCGAATATCGTATCGAACATTCATTGTTTCGTAGTGTAGCACCTAAATTTCTCCCCATGCCAGAGAACTTGCGCTAAGGGAAAAGCCAGTCTGGTCGGTCTCTGTGACGGCCACGCATCACAGTCATGTCCGGGCTGCAGGGCTGCTGATATACTGTTTGTGGATGCCGTTATAGCCATAAATATACCAGAGTAAGACGCAGAAACCACGGACGTAAAGTGATCCATGTGGGGCTCGAACCCACGACATTTGGCTCATAAGACCAACGCTCTAACCACTGAGCTAATGGATCTTGCCAGAAACTATATATCATACGTTAAAATTCTACAATTGAGTGTTATGTGGTTACGATAAAACCAAGGGCGGCCAGCAGCAACGATATAAACGCATTCTAAATTAGAGCTGTTTTACGGTTCCTGAATTAAGGCACCCCTATGGTGTCGTAGGGCCTCAAGTTTTGCTCTGTAGATTGCGGAGGGTGTGTTTGCAGCGGTTTATTTGCTGCAGGAAGTAGTCCACGTACAGCTTCTGGCTCTGCTTGCTCTTGATGTAGAGAATGTTCTGGTCGATGTAAAGGTCGACGTCGCCTTCGTTTGCCCCCGGCATGGAGTCGCCGCCACCAGCGGCGTTCGCGAATTGCCGTGTCTGGTGCTTAACGCTTAGCACGCAGGAGCGGACCAACTCGGGGTCGTCCCCTATCTTCATCAGAGCGGCAAGCTTTTCGAGGCTGATGTTGTGGTACAGCTTGGCGAAGGAGTAGATCTCGTCGACGCGACGCTGATTGGAGATTTCCTTCAAGAACAGGTTCAGCTGCCTCATCACCGGCTCCATCAAAACGCCACCGGTGATGTCCGAGTCGTCGACGTTAGACGTGGTGTTGTCGCTAGAGGCGTCGATGAACTTGGGGCAGCACTTCAGGAACGCATCACGGTATGCCTCTTCGTTGTCGCTCTGGAGCCTGCGAGACATTATAATGAATAGGCTTCAGTGCTTACTGGTAGAATCGGTTTGCGTACTGCTCCTTAATGGTCTGGGTAAGCGTTTCATCGAGACGAATCTTGGTCGTGGTGTGGCACAGGACCAAAATGATGTACATCTTCTCAGTCAACTTGGACATGGCGCCCTGCTGGTAGCTCTGCGTCACCGCGTAGCTACGTTGCTTGGTAAGGAAAATTAAAACTTGCGATAATATCTTGATACAGTCGCTATACCGCCTGAGAAACAGTGATGGCACTCAGTGTAAAGACTGACCTTAGCATCATGTATGCGAAACCGAGGTGGTAGGACAATGACACGTAGTACGACGGAACCTTCCAGTACAGGAATTTGCTCGAATAGTCAATGGTCGACGCCATGCGCACGGAAGTGTAGTAGTCGCCGAGCAATACGTGCAGGCGCACCAGAGAAATTGAGGCGAAATAACCCAACTGGTATCCCAGACCAGCTGTCTCCAAGGCGTCCTGAAACGGAATATAAACATGGCCTTATATGATTCGAATATCACGTTTAAACCGTCTTACTTAGTGCGTTGCAGGCGTGAGCATTGCACTACCAACAACGCAGATAAGGCCACGGTCACAACCACACGTAGTCATTGTGAAACCACTCAAAAAGACAAGGGAAGCAGCAAACGAAACATGGAGAATCAGCCTACCGTTTGCGCATTATGAGTTGCGTTCTTGTAAGCGGGGTTGACGGCTAGCCTGTGGAGCATCTCCAACACAGTGGGCACCTGCCAAATCGCATTCACCTTCGCCTCGTCCTCGACATTGGCGTCTTCGGTGCGACTAAGGCGGCTGCGCCACCTGCAGCACTCCTGAAGCTGGTAGACGAACTCGTCGATGATGTCCCACGCCCAGGAAGCAGGAATCACCAAGCCGCCTAGGCTGTCAGATTCGTCTCCCTTCTCCAGTTCGTCGACAAAGTAGCCCAGCAGCTTGCAGTACTTCTCCCAGGAGTCCAGTCGATCTTCAAATGTCACGTCACCCAAATAGAAAACGTGGCGGTAGTAGATCTCGGAGTACAGAGCCATGATCAGGCTGTGCAGACGGCCGCTCTGGCTGTAGAAGCCAGCCACCTCTGAGATTGACGGCCATCGCGCGGTTTTGAAGTGGTTGTCCGTGATTATTACCAAATCCTGCTCATACAGGGCCTTTACCTCATCGGCGTTGCGATTGTAGAGCCCGTCGTACAAATTCAGGAGGAACTGGACCACCTCAGACTCGCGAGGAATCACTCCGCCCAGCCCGCGCTGCGGGCTTTCGCCGCCTTGAATTCTCCGTACGATCTCTCCGGAAGACATGGTCAGAAGATAATAAACCACAGTAGGCCGTCGGCGCTCTACACCTGGAATCCGTGGGGCCCTCTTGTGTTAACGACTCTATGCCTTTCCTACGCAGGTCTACTGCTTGTTTATGCTTTTAACAAATTTAGAATCGTGTGTAGCGCCGGCAGTTACTGCGGTGGACAACGCTTGGTGCTAGCATCGTTGCGAAGCGCCGGGGCAGACGCGCCAGCGTTGTGTAGAACGCCGTTTGCAATGTCATTGGTCATACGCATATACTTGTCCATTGAATATTATTCTGTGTGGTTTTCCATTGCCAACCACGCCTTGAAGATCCATAGCTACGAAAATGAAGGTCACACCGACACACATCTAGTGTGTGCCTAGCAGACGTTGGCAAAGCCATATTGTTTCCCATGCACTGATTACTCTAAAATGTTTATGGCGTGGTGAATGTTCTACATGTATAACTGTGAAACTTTTGGTGAGCTGAGACCCGTGGTCAAAGCGTAGCGATCATATACAACGCTACTGTGGCTTGAATGGCCCTAATGCCCATTGCCACGATTCCCGAAGACGCTGCAGTGTCCTTTGTGCCGCGCATTTTCTTGGCAATGTCTCCGTTGCCAGCGGCGTCGCCTTCAGTTGTAGGCGCATCCTCTGCTCCGCTACTTTTCTCGGCTGGCGACGTGGAGATCTCGTCAGCAACGCTCTCAGGTGACGACTCGCCGTCGACCATCACTTTAAGAACTTCCAAAAGATGGATTGTTGCCAATTCGTCACGTTCGGCAATGTCCAAAATTTCCATTGTCACGAGAGGCTCGAACCTCTCGAATTCTCTCTCTAGTTGCTGTTGCTCATCCATTAATTGTTTTACCTGAGGGGAGTTTGGGTCCGTCTTTTCCAGTGTATCAATGATCTCACCGTAACGTTTGTAAATAACGTATGCCATGTCAATCTTTGCAGACTGGCCAAACACAATGTCGCAGAGGGTGCCGGACGCCCCGGTACATTGCGGAACACCTGAAAGGGTTTTTTTAGGAACCATGATCGAATCGGCTTCATCCACTGTAAGGCCATGCATAACTTCATCGATGCTTTGGGCGTATTTGTGGAGTTTACTCAACTTGGGCAAAATGGAACGATCCCTGAGGTATGCCCTTATCCTTTCCATGCTTTCGTCAGCAGGTGGGGTACGTTCCTGTAAATCGCTGGTGTGCTCTTCAGTTGAGTCTTCTGGTTCCTCGTCGTCTATTTGCACATATTCACTGGCTTCCGCAGGTTGAGCTGTATTTTCATCACCATTAACTACGTCACCATCTATTTCTTCGGTTTCATGGGTGCCTTGATCGGGAGACTGAGGGGCCAATGGGTCTTGAAAAGGAGGTATTTCTTCTTGCTCCACGGGTTTGTTAGTTTCATGATGGGTTTCTACGACAGCCCGGTGTTCTTCAATGAAATCTGCTGCTCTGCTGATCCTAGCCTCGATATCTAGCAGACGGTGACTTGTAGCGCCGATCACCAGTGCTTGCTTTCCGTCGAACTGCTGCTCCAGAGCGCTTACAGCGGCACGAAGCTCAGCTGACATTTCCTGCGTTGCGCCACCATGATTGAATTCGTCCAACATCTCGCGGTATTTATCGAAGATGTTTCCTAACTCGGTGTATTCCTTGGCGTCACTGGTTAAGTCAATAAGGCCTTTCTCGATAAGTTCGCATGCTTCTTGCGCTGCAGTTTTAGTTTCCAGTGGAGCTTCGGATGCCCCTATCGCCGATGAAACGACCAACAGATCACTATGCATAGCGTCAAAGTCCTTAAAAAGGTTTGCGAGGCGCTTGATACGCCCATAGTGATATTCATCAATCGCGTAATAATGAAGCCCATTGGGTGGGATTACTTCAATATCCGAATCGTCACTTCCTTCGGGGACTACGACGGCAAAACCACCGAGGGTGATCATGTACAGGCACACAAGGGCTAAGACCCCTCGCCGCCCCCAATACTGAGCAGAAGCCATTATTAAGGACGATAAGCACAGAAGCGTAGCGGATATGAATTGTAGCTTATAAAGACGCCGGATGTTGACGGTGAGTCTTTTATATTCGGTGGGATTCGCAAGGCGTTGTCAAAGCTGGCTGTAATTTAAGACGCATCCGAAACACCGTTGCGCATAAATGAAATTAGGGTAATATAATAATTGTATTTTACGTTTACAACTTTGGAAGTTATGATACGGGTGGTGATGTGGTAGATTACTGACGTTGCCGCACAATTGTGAGCTGCAGCAAGAAAAGTCTTGCTGCTCCCCGCATCTCACCGCCATATAGGTACAAAAGATTCCACGCTGTCTCAGGACACCCTATAACCTGTGACGTGTAATGGAAGTGTCTCTAAACGTTGACAGTGAAGTGTTGCTTTAAAATTTTCTGAACTTATGTCGTTTTTACCCGACCACAGCGCCTAGTCCTGAGCTGCTCCTTATGGTTAGCACGGCCTATAACCGCTATATGCTAATAATCAACTATATTCCTTGCGTTTTTACACATTTGATACGCACTGATCGTTGTCAAATAGCTCTCAACAAGTCGTATTCTGGTGTTGGAGAGTGGCTACACTGCCAGCGGTGACGCCAATGTTGTGATTCGGCTGGTAAACGGGATGAAGCGCCAACGCATATCAGTAGTTGTATAACAACCAAGTGAGCACCTCGGGAGACGCGCAAAATATAAATTAGCGTAATTAGTGCTCTCTGAGCCGCTTTATAAGTATGACACGGATGATACTGGTATGTACACGCCCATTTTCTAAACACACGAGTATAATAAGCCACCAAATAACCTGTTTTATATTTTTTTGATTGAGATAAATAGAATGTTGCAACCAATGAACAGTTACATTGGCCTGACAATGGGCGTAGACTGTATGGTAACAGCGATGCCACATCATGACTCCGTATGGCAATTTATATGGCCTTCTATTACATTAATACCATAGGTTAAATGCAAGTGATGTGTAGAATCTGATGGCGCATCTAATGTCGAAGACACGGCCAGTGTGCAGGCCGTCCTTCTGCGCTTCACGGAGATTCCACGCCTTCACGGTTGTATGGATGCTCATATGGCTCTCCAGCCATGTGGCACAATGTCTTCACTCGCCTATGAGATCGGCGGTGGCGACGGTTACCGTTTTTGGAGGCAACCCTGTGTCGCGGAGCACGGCTGGATTCCAGGTGAGAGACCTTCCACACCTATGAACGTTCATGACGAGTAGAAATATGCAAAATCGCAACGTCAACTTACAAGCTTCCCGTACATGGCAACGGTGACTGTAAAGTCGTCCGATGATCTTCCTTCCACAGTTGAGGAAGATGCTGACTACGAGGTGGCAAAGAACCAGGTATGTCTATTGCTGCCAGTTACCGCTTTAGCCGTATCTGCAACATTGAATTAGTCTCTGTTGTGGCATGGTGGCGTTTTCTTGAGCATATTATAAACAATAATCTGCAGATTGTTACTGAAGTCAAGGAAGTCGAATCCTTATTCAAGGCCGTGTTGAGCCGGATATTCAGTCACCTGTACCATTACTTGAGACACAAGGCGATGCAGTCGTATCTGTCGTTTTATATAGTCAGCCCTCTGGGTTCGGGAATGGGAAATCTGCTTAACAGCAACCTTAATGACCAGTACATCACGAAGTAAGTTACGAGGTATCACCATTCTTACAGTTGCAGCAAATTGGGACTACCGGAAAATGCCACACCGGCCACCTTTAATATCGCACATGAACAGGTATGGATCCAATGTTCAAATTTCAGGGTTGTTAGGTGGAGGTGCCGTCGCATTTCTCGAAGGCTCGTAAGCAGTGCTGGTTAATACGGTCAACGAACCCCAAAGCGACCAAGGCATTTGTACTTCTACACGGGTGGTTCGGTAACATGCAGTCGTGCTTACATTTCGCCGATATACTCAACAAGGTAATGTTTTAGTCTGCTTTTAGCTGCTGCACGCTGTATTTTTCCGAATCATCTTTTCATAGATGGGTTCTCTAGATACCCACCACATACTGATATTGGATTTGCGCGATGATGCCGGCAAGTCCTTCGAGACAAACATTGGGTTGAAGGGAGTCGCGGACATATACGATGCTGCCACATACCTGAATCGAGAGTTGGGTGTGGATCATGTGAGCCTTTATGCGCAGTCTGTGAGCTGCATTAGCGCTCTGTTGTTCAACGATCTCATCACAAGAATCAAAAAACCTTTAGACAACAGTTCCAGTAAGGCAATATGCCCGCTATTCGATGGCATGGACACCGCCCTCCTCCGCAATTTGACGGTGGATACGATCATCATGGAATCCCCGGTGGCAAACATTCGCAATCACGTGGCTAATTCGACAACGGAATCGGTTAATTGGTTGATGGAACATGTTCTGTCCTTGGTCAACAAGTGAGTGAAATAACATATTGTTAATAAAATGCAGGGACGGATTCCACATTGATAACCTATCCCTCCAAACATTTTTAAGGGATCCAGAGACATGTTCCAAAACGTACATCATGCAGGGTTCGAATGACACTATTACAACCCCTGAGATGCTTCGGAGTGAGTTAACGAGGAACGATTTGCCATCCCGTGTAAACATGTTTTTGTTCCGGGACGGGGGCCACGCCAACTTATCGGCAACGAGCAAGCCGGACTACTACTACACCATAAAGCATGTGACGGTTGGCCGAAACGCATGGGAGTTCCTGACACGCAAGGGTACAAAGACACGTGTTTACAACCCCGATGACCTGGTTATGTGACACCTCCGGGGCAATAATTAACTGGGCATAGACGGGAACGTCATTTATTTGGTAATCGCAGACTAATCATCTCAAAATAAGTCATACAACACTTCGCAATACAATTGTATGCTGTTGCAAGCATCTTTGTTGCATGGGTTTAACGCCTGTGCGTAATAGCATGTTTCAATAGACAGCGCTCATCGAAACCAACGGTCGTATATATCGCCATAAATCGGATTCCTGACACACAGCATCCCGTCAGCAACGCAAAAGTGTTCGGATAACGGTGTCCACGGGCAATGTGTAAGGTGAGTCACCAACCTGGCGGGGCTCGTGGCATCTGACACCCTTGGCTGCCGGGCCACAGACCTCCGGCGAATTAAACACAGTATCCACGGAGCGACAGAGGGCAGATTCGCGTGGTCGATGTGTATGTGTGAGGGGAGTCGCCGTCACTCTCGCGTCGCCCTCCGAACGTGTCGCAGTGTCAACGGTACTTGATATTCCGGCGTGGATCGGGAATCGCGCAGATGTGGGTGTGTGTAGCGCCGTGGTTGTTATTGTGATGCCACTCTGAGTGTTCTTGCCCGCCCCTTTCGTCTCGCTTGCGCGCAGTGGATTTTGTTCGTCAGTGTTACAGGATGAGCGCGGTGGCCAGCTCGCTTTCGGTGAACCTGAGCCACGTTTTGCAGAAGAATGTGCATCTGCTCGACCTCCAGTACGACCACTACTGCAAGTACCTTGCAGCTGGGTGTCGATCGCAGAATGGCTCTGAGGTTGTGATTTTGGAGAAGGACGCGTCTGATGGCGATTCCGGCAGCTTCCACGTGGTAAGCAGCGTGAGCACTCGTTGCGACCCTGTGTTGTTGTGCTGGGCTCCCCCCCAATTCGGGAGGATTCTGGTCGTGGCGTTGAGCGACAACTCCATTTCGTACTACCAGCATGCGCCCTCGTCGGGCGTGTGGCAGCTGTCGTTGTACCACGAGAAGCGCGAGGTGCAGAAGTCGATAAGTTGTATGAGTGTCGGCGTCTCACCGAAGGGCGAGCTGCTATGCGCCGTCGGTTCTCCAAGCGGCAGCATCAGTGTGATATTTTGTGAGGGATCGTTCGAGTGCGTTGACTTTCCGGCTCACTGCGGCGGTGTGAGCAGCGTGTGCTTCGCCGGTAACGACAGTGTGTTGTCTAGTGGCGGTGATGGCCGCCCGTGTCTGCTTGCCAGCGGTGGCAGCGACGGTTGCGTGAAGGTTTGGCAGCTATTCGATCGCAAGTTCCAGCTGTTGAAGACTTTGTCTCTGGAGTGCGACTCTAAGAGCCTTACGCAGGTGAAGTGCCTGTGCTGGAACAAGAGCGGCGATCGCTTGGCGGTTGGTACGGGCGCCGAGCTTCTGTTGTTCGGCGGTGCTCCCGAGTGGTCGGAGAGCCAGCGCGTTGGCCTTCCTCGTGCGTCAGTGAAGGTCTCCGTGTCCTTCAGCAACGATCGCCTGGTGGTGTCGTGCGACAACGAGTGCTTCGTGTACCGCGCCGACGAGCGAGGCGCGTACGCGCTCTCCGGCCCGCTCGAAGCTTCCAACGAGTAACCCCGCCTGCTCCGACGGACACGCACAGCCTTCAATCGTAACAACGTAATTTTAGCCTAGTCAACGACACGGGGGTGGTGGACGCGCGCGATGTGCAGGCTGTTCTTGTCGTGCCGTGGTTGTCTACGTGCGGCTTAGTTCATGTTTTTGCAATGTCTTTCTTATATCTGAACTGTAACCATGACAAATTAAACGTCTAAACACGATGATTTCATATTGATAACTCGCGTAAAATATCAGCATATCTTACGGGTGCCCAGTAAGTCGGACCACGATGGACATCCGCCTAAGTCCTCCTCGGGAGGGCGTCCGAGGCGGACGTGAACAGTTTAAGTGGGACGAGGTGAAGAAGTACTTTACAAAGGAACGCGAACACTATTTGGGTACGTTTTGGTTATCTGCGTTGAGAGATTTGTCCCAGGTCATAGCGTTAAGATTGGTATGATCGAGCACAAGAACAAGTTCTACAAACATGACTGGTATATGAAGGATGAAGGATTGGGTGATACTTCAGATGCAGCTGAAGAAATGAAGTTAATAAAACTTTATGAAGATGAGTTGATGCAAGAAATGCTGTAAGTTTTGTTATGTGATCACTCAACGAGATTCAGCGGCGCGATACCAAAGCGCTTGATGCTGCTAAAAAGCAGGCCAACTGACGTTGCAACATTGCGAAAATTGCTGAATGTTGACCATGAGGCCAAACCTGTTACAGAGCATAGCAGTGCGGAAGTTCTTGACGCCAAAACGTCTGATGCACCACAGGCTTCAGCACACAAATCAAATCGCATTCATTCTAGTAGCGTGCCGCGGATAGGTCATCGGAGGTCACGTGATCGTAGCAGGCATCGCAACCGGTCCCGTGAGCGTCGTTCACGCAGAAGTCCGTATCGTTCGCCATCTAGGCATAGATCCCGTAGGAACGAGAGGATGTTGAGGCGAAGCCGGTCCAGATAGTTTACTATCGTATAATTATTGTTCAACTGGACGCTTGTTACGTAATTACGTGCGGCGATGGTTGATATGTGCACTTCTCTGGTGCTGCTACATTTACATTGGGTGTGACATGTTTACATGAACGCTACAAGACGTGAGACGGTGCTATGGAAGACAAGGCTGGCAATGGATTAGAACACATCGTTGCACGGTATCTTCAGGGTTGCGCTTTAGAAACATTAATAAAAGTGGGGGCCAGTGCACTAAGGTGGCATTTACTTTTATTAAAATTCCACGTGAAGTTACGAAATGTCCGTGGGAGGGAAGGCGGAGTAATTATCAATGTTCATGCATTCAGGAATTTCTTTACCAACAAGATCGTTCGTTGATACGCCGGATCGCCTTGGTGCTTTGGCCAATGCAGCACATCGTAAATATCACCTTACGGAATTGACCACGATACTTACTCCAGCAAAAGAAGATGACTAGTAGAAGTCCAGTGATGGGGTAACCATATCCCCTTATCCACTGCCGGAGGCGGCAGATTGGGCATGTTTTCGACCACTGGGAGTGCAATATAACACCACATTGAGGTGCACAGCAAGCATACGTTTCACAAGAACCATGACCTCACGACCCAGCCAATTAAGATGCCATCATGTTGGCGTCTTTTTTGAGCAAAAGTATCACGTGTAGTCAAAAGACAAACTACATTGAACAATTAAGTTAAGGAGTGCAATCCATTGGCGTTTATACCCCTTGCACTCAACAGGTGCTATGCACTGCGGCAACTTCAATGCTACACCAACGCTGCGGTGATCCTTCATCCAGCTGGGGTCTAAAGCAGTGTACACCGTGACTTATAAACTCCGACGTCCACACGTCTGTCGGTCATATGGACATTGAAGCTCGTGAGTTTGGAATCAAACTCCGTCACATTGCGGCAAGAACGTAATTAAAGAGACATCAATAATTGTGTTTTACCTCATTATATGGTATCGGTATTGTGGATTAAGAGTGTATACGTAAATATGGCAAAAACAACATTTAAAAAACTATATGTTCCGTGAGAACTCTTGTGCCAAGTCATTAGGGTGGCAACTCACAATCTGTTGTTTCGAGCTACTTTTAGAGTTCAGCAGTAATCTCTACTCAATAGAAAGCCCAAAATCCTGCGATTTCGTAGATTGTAGGCAGTATTATTTTATTCATATCGACCAACGCCCTGCGGACATTGAAACGATTCAGGCTATCGCGGCATTCCGGCTCCACGTAACCTAAGGCTTTCACTAATTTTCGTAAATCCGCATCGGCTGTAGTCGTCGATCCAAACATTACAGGATTGGTCGCATCCCACAATGACACTAGACCTGCGTACAACATTGGCGCAATCCCCACCAGAACCACTGCGCAAGCTTCCGGGTTCTCTGCGCAGGACGCCTCCCATGTCGCTTCCGAACTGTAAGCGGAATTATAGTGGTCAGGGTTTTTGATATTCTTCAAGAGCATCTCACAATTAGAAACAATAGCACCTACGTTCCTTGCGATGTCGTCAGGTTTGAAACCCCTGCTCTTTACGACGTTCTTATAATCGCTTCCGAAGTTACCCGATAGATGTTTTAGGGATCTAGAGTTTTTGTCCATAGGCCCATCGAATTTACCCAGCAGGTCTTTTACGTACGACTTGTCCTCAAGATCCTTCTGCTCCAGGAATTCTTTAGAAAGACGTTTGACTTTCTCGAGAGATGGCACAAGCAGCAAACCAACAGGCTTGTCCGCGAGAAAGTCGTAAACTGCGGCGCCCATAGCCGCCAGGTTCTTTCTACCATTAGTTCCTCTCAACGCCACCAACCAGTCAACACCCTCCTTGAAATTACGAGGAGCCTCGATCAACGAAGTGTATACCATTTTGTGCAGATTCGTTAAACTATTCAATTGCTATATGTTTAGCAAATCTTTGATTCATTTATATGCCGATTTACAAAAAGAACGCGTACGTAGTCGGCAGCGTTAATTCCAACTGTACCTTGATGATGGATCAGCAGTAGGGTATTGTCTTATAATACACACGCAACTTATCGACATATACAAGGTGACTATGAAACAATAATCCCAACTTTATGGGCGCAATGACAAGCAAGCTGCCGTACCACATCCAGATCTACACAGTTCACGTGACATGCAACACGCATGTCATTATCGTATGCAGATTCCAGACAATATTGCACATAGTGATATTGGGATGTTATCGTATTTGAAGCTGCGCATCAACGTTAGGAACGTTACGATGGATTGTTAGTAGTATCTTACAGTCCACGCTATCCGATCTTCATCACGTCGCACAATGTCCCAGTCGTCCAGAATCTCTCATAAACACGCTACCATAGATTTACTAGCCACCCACTAAAGCATTAACATTCCATACAATCGCCAAACATATATGTAACCACCTCACCCAGGATGGCGCTTGAGACGCTGACGTATATGGCAAAAATCAGTTTCCCTCTCCACCGTAGCCGTGGGGTGGCTCCGGTGGCTCGTTCAATAACCGCCATGAAGATAAACTAGTTGACACGTCAATGCGCAGTGTCAGCTATGCTGCCGTATTGGCGGGCTCGGTTACAGTTGTAGCTGCGCAAGTGCCATGAGTGGATGGGAGACCACGGCACTACATACACTACCCTAATACAAACAATTGCTAGTGTACCACCATCTATCACCATATAACAGTTAACTACGTGAATGCCACAATCACTGTTATACATCAACTTAGTCAACAGGTGCGTCGTCGAAGTAGTCGACGTCGCTGTATAGTGAGAGCATCCTCCGGCCTTTAGTGAGTAAGACCTTGACTTCGATGAGGTGGGACGCCTTGGTGCGCATTAAGTGAGATCGTATGCGCAAGACATCCAGGCGGTATAGCGTCGTGTGGGCGATGTAGAGCGTGGCGGTGAGCCAGAGTGTGACGATGGTGAAGAGAAATGGCATGCGGAGATGCCACAGGAGTTCGTCGATTTGGAGGAACAGTTGAGTGAAGTGGTCGGAGTGGAGTGTCTTGTTGAGTTGTGCGTTGAGGTCACTGCAGCACATCTTCTGGCTGCCGGCGACCAAGGCATGGGCGTTGCGACATGTGAATCCGTAGCGATATAGCGCCGGCAGGGATCCGCCACATTCGACGAGTGATCCACACTGGCAGGCGTCCTTGTTGCCGTGCTTGCCGGGAGGACACAGGCACGTGACGCAGCCGTGGGCCGTGCAGTCGACGTTGTTCAAGACTTCGAGTAGGGACTGCAGCAGATCCCATAACCGCCATGCCAGCCACACTATCCACGAGACATACAGCTGTGCGTGCTTCTGCGGGAAGGTGTGGTTGGCGTGCAGCGACAGCGGCTGGAGGAAGGGGGCGCATCCACTGGGTGGTTGACAAGGCGGCTCGGCGGAGAGACTGGAGAGGGCATCGTGCCCTGAGTTCTCATGCTCATGGCCGGCGAGTGCCTGGAGGGCGTCGGTGAGATCCGCATTTCGGTAACTGCCGTGGAGCTGTGTCCACAGAGGGAACAGCTTGTCGATAGCTTCGCCGTTCAGGTGCGTTAGGTAACTCTCATGGTGAGAGTAAGCCCGCCGAGATGATTCATGGTTCCACATTCTGAGCATTTGACTGAACAGCGCAAACACGTCGCCGAGTGACTGCGGTGCTGCGGGGCACAGCAAGGACAGTGTTCGGCAGAGTTGGAAGAGGCAGGCGTCGGCGTCACTGCAGAGACGGCCGAGTGACTTGGCAAGATCCTTGCCGGTGCGTTTCATGGAGGCAGCGAGTGCAAGGTCCCAGAAGCCGAGCGGGATGAGGCACTGTTGGCCCGGCAGGTTGGCAGGGCAGTTGGTGCATTCGATGACATTGTCAGCAGCGGTAAGCTTATGCGGCAGGAGGCTGGGGCAGCTGTCTGAGAGGAAGGACTGCAGCGGCGAGGTGGGCGGGCAGTTGTGACTTGCGTCGGTGGCCTGCATGCCGAGCGTGTTACACTGCCAGTGGGAGGACGGCACCTGCCGGCCGTAACGGCACTCTCGCCAGCCTTTGGTTTTGGCGGCGTCACGGCAGCACTGGGCGTAGAGGAAATAGAGCGCGGGGTACAGGCGGCATACTATCTGCCTCAGCATATCCAAGAGATCGGCGGGGTCGGCCGGGTAGTACAGCTGCGCGCGGTTGTTGGCGAAGTCGACGGAGTAGGGGTAGGCGGCCAAGTCGAAGCCGCGGCCGTGGCCCTGTATTGCGATTAGCAGCGAGTTGGCGTATGAACACGCTGATGCGATAGTGAACGGCAGGCCGTTGATGCACTGTGCCATGACTGCGTCGTCCCTGTTGGGGGCATCGTTATCGTCGCATTTGCGGTTGAGCAACGCTCTGCAGTGGTCAGTTAGTTTGTCTGCCACTAGAGTGTACTGCAGGCCGGTGAGCCACGACAGCATGTCCCTGACTGTGCAGGGGCATCTGGGCGATTCGTGTACCTTAAGGTGGCACACCTGGAGGTAGCGACATAACATATTATGAAAAAGTGCAACTAAGTCAACGACATTAATTCCAGTTTCTGACGGTTTGCCTTCGATCAGCATTTTGACGGCCACGTCGGCCACTGTTGATTTAAGCAATGCATGAATTTGCTCACCGATCATGTCGCCGTGATTTTGCAATTCGCCCTCCTGGAGTCCGTCGGTGGGTGACACCTTGAAGCCGCATTTGGTGAGGTAGTTGCCCAGGCCGTTGTCCCTGTCGTCGCTGGTGAGCTTGCTTATTTTGTTGCCTCGCCAGTTGCCGCCGCATTTGTCTGCCAGGTTGCTAAGCGCCTCGTGCGTCATCGGGATAAAGCTCAGCAACACCTTGGCGTACTTGTCAGCGTCCGCCTCCCGGTACTCTGCGCCCGAGTAAGTGGAGACGTAGGCATCGCCGAACTCTGCGGAGAAGTCACGGAGGCCACGGCCGACAGTGTCCAGCAGCGGAGTTGTGATCTTACCGAAGGCTTCGGGCTTCATTTCACCCAGCGTCTTGATCAGGTAGTTGAGCATTTCGGGTAGTCTGTGGTCGTAGCCATGTGCGTTCTGGATTTCTATGAGCACCGTATTAAGTGTGGCGTTGACTTCATAGAGCTTCTCGGCGTAGGGCTCCGCTGACGGCGGTAGTGACGGATGCTTCTTATTGCTTTCCTCATCGTGCACCCTTGTAATCTCATCCCTCAGGTAATCCTTCAGCGGCCCGAAGAATTTCATGAAGGCGGATGAAACTGCTGCCACGTCTTTTGGATCCCTTACATTCTTGAGCTTATTGATGTTCTCCCCTTTTGCGGTGCTTATATCATCAGTTGTTCCATCTTCCATCTGCCTCATCAAACCTTTAAAGCCTTTTTTCAGATCATCATCGACCTCCTTAGGCAACTCCTCCAGCTCCGTCTCCACCTTAGCGGCGAAGCTCTTCAGCATCTCCTTGACAGTGGATACGTACTGCCGGCGGGCCTCAGCGAGCAGTTTGTCTTCAGCCTTCTTGAGTTCCTGGTCGACGTATGCTTTCAGTTGCTCAATGGTTTCCCGGCATGTTTGTTCGGCGAAGCGTTCAAACTCCCTGGCGTCCCTGATGACGCCCGCCAACTGCTTGGTGCGCAGGCTCTCAATTTGGTCTTTTATATTTTTGAGTTGCTCGCCGATCAGATTTTCTTTCAGATGCTTCAAGAAGTCTTTCAGCTCCCTGCAGTCGCGCCTTATTGCCGCGCACAGGGCTCTTACGTTGGCACTTACATCTGCAACGTCCTTCGTTTTAATGGTCTTGATCTCTGTCGTGATTTTAGTGATGCCTGTGGATTTTTTATCGTCAGATGTCCATGCGTCATCACCATTTTCAAGGCCATGTTTTTGCAAGGCATCCAGCTTTTTAGTGGCGTCATCCAACTGCTGCTGAAGCCTTGTAAGCTCCTGGGTGATCTGGTCGGTGCCACCGCCGATTTTTTCAGGTTGCTTGGTCAACTCATTATGTTGACCATGAAGGGTATCTTGGATGTTTTCAAGGCCCTTTATACTTTGACCATTAAAGTTCTTCCAATTTGCATCTTTGCCAAGCCCCGTGGTCATCAAATCCTTCAGTGTTGTAATGACATCCTCACCGCCGTTGTCATCTTTCAACACACCTCGAAGCTTTACAAGTTCTTCTTTTATTGCTTCGTTGGCTCCATCGATGGCAATGGGTTTGTCCGTAAACTCAACGGATTGCAACTTTTTGACCTCATTTTTAATTTTCTGGAGATTTTCACCACCTCTGTAACCTCTACCAATTTGCTTCTGTAATTGTTCCAAGAAGTACAGTACGTCGTCATCGTGGAACGATTTATCCAGTCTGATTCCAAGATATTTGAGTTCTAACTGAATTTTTCTTATGGCTTTGGCGATTATGTCATTTTGACCATTTAGCTTCTCATTCTGCTCCTGAAGCTCCTTCGTAATGCTCCCGAGACCATCGAATTTATCGGCACTTTTGGTTTGCCAATTACTTTTCTCATTGCCAAGCCCTTTACTTAGCATCTCACTCAGCTCGTCAATTACGCCGTTGCCTGGCCCACTGCTTGGCTCCTTCTTCAACTGCTTCCTGATCTCTTCAAGCTGCGCCTTAATTTGGGTGACGGCTTCTCCGATTTCATTAGATTTTTGTTCATACTGCTGTGTTTTCAGATTTTGAATTGTTTCATGGATTTTCTCAAGGCCTTTGACAGTTTCGGGAATTATTCCCTTGCCTTTGAGTTGAATATCTTCCTTCTTGAGCATACTCCCCAAATTGTCCAACCGCTGCTTGACGCCGTCCTTTGTGTCACCGCCTGACGGCGGCTTCTTGCTGCTGTCAACCATACCGGCGATAGCTTGGAGTTCTTCGGTGATTTTGGTTACATGGGCTTCGACTTCTTGTCTTTCAGTGGGGACTTCACTTGGGTTGCTGAGTTTAGCGTGGTCCATGAAAGGATTCATGGTCTCTTTAACATCTTTGGTGATCAAATTGTGATAAAGATTTTTGCCCGCCCCCTTTCCATTTTTCTTCTGCTCATAAGTTGGCATCGTTGTTGCAACGTTTATATCACCATTCTCATTCTTCATTTCCTTTTTAACCACCGTCGCAATCTGCGTAACTTTCTCCAAAATTTCATTGCCTGGGTAAGAGACAGATGTGCCGGTAGGTTGGTTTCTAGTAGCGTCTTCCGCCACGCCGAGCTGATCGTGCAGCGTCTTGGTTGCTTGCACGGCTTTGTCCAGTTCGCTTGCGATGCATTTGCCGCTGTCCTTGTGAATCCTGTCGCCGTAGAGAAATACAGAATAAAGCTCGTTGCCGACCTGTCTCACTGTAGATGTCAGCGCGCACATTATCAATTCCGCGGCGGCTTTTTTGCCACATTCTTTTTTGTCGCATTGTCCGCAATCGCAGACGCAGTTTTTAATACCAGAGACGAGGGATCCCTTAGTCAGCGCGTCATTCTTAACATAGTCGACTGTTTTTCGTCCGGCAGTATAAAGCTCTTTATCCAGCGCCGTGGCAATTTCTTCGCAAAGCCTTTGGACAGCTTGAATACTTTCAGTAACGCCTCCGCTGACGACATCAACATTTTTGAACGCCTCTTTGGCTACACTATTAACATCATCGCTGAGTCTCGTTTTCATTCCAATGCCGAAAGCACCGATGTTACCCGTCATATCCTCATTTTCCTTCCAACCGAGTATCCTCCGCACGGTGCCGTTGTGTTTTAATACAGTGGCCTCCAACCAGCCCTTCGCAATTTCTGCAAAATTATTGTTGCGAAAAGCAGTGGCATAATTATGCACTCCAGTGACAATTCCCAAAAGACCACTTGGAGTTCCACCACTCCAATCACTCCCATCCTTCCCCTTAATCACCTGCACTTGCGTTTTAATTTCGCCAAGCATCCCCCCAACATGCGTCTTCATTTGTCTAACAATCCTATCTCTGATAGTCTGCAAATCCTCTTTCATGCCCTCTTCCAACTGTGAAATGGCTCCTTGAACTTTACCTACCAGACCATTAACTTCTCCATACGCCTTGCTGTAAGCGGTCAAAAGCTCCGTGGCTTTATTTTGCAACAATTCAGCTTGCTGTTTAATTATACCGTTTGTATGATAGTCAGTGTCATCCTTATCCACCCTCTTAAGTATCTCATCACACTTCTCGCTAGCCTTCTTGATCACCGCCTCGGCGGCGGTGTACCACTGCTGCAGACTGGAGAGATGATTTTTAAGTTGTGTATTTGCATTGCTAATAGCAGAGTTATTTGTGCTTATTAGATGAATCTGATGGCCAACGGGATTGTTTGCAGCGTCATCATTTTTAACAGGATCCAACTTGGTATACACTTCCTGCGCCTGCTTAATAGCCTCTCCAAGCACACTCCCAGCCTGAGTATGCCACTCGGTCAATTGGCTGTCAACATCACTCAGCTTACTATGAACTTCTTTAATTTCCTTATTAGCATTCTCAATGTTCCTAATATTTTCTGCAAGTTTCTCCTTATACTCTAATTTTTTATAAGCCTCCTCTGCTTTTATCTGGGCCTTGTCACGGATCTCTGCCGCGCTCTCAATCCACTTTTCTAACCTATTAACTTCGTTTTTAAGGCTCTCGTTTGCACTTTGAATTCCTTTGTTGGTTTCGGTAATTGCAATAATCTTCTTTCCAATAGGGTCCGATGATACAGGGTCCAACCTCCCATGCACTGTCTGAGCCTTACTAACCGCTGTGCCAAGGGCACTCTGTGCTGCATCTCTCCACTTATCTATATCGCCGTGAATACTTTGTAGCTCAGTATCAACTTGCCTAACTGCATCTCTAGCTTCATTAATTTTATTAACTCCTGTACCAATTGTTGTAAACTTGCCGTCATCTTGCATTTTATGATCCAAACTCCCACGCACGTTATTAGTATGCAAAATTGCACTGTCAAGCACTTTCTTCGCCGCGTTTTTCCATGTTCCCAAGTCAGCAACTTTCTGTTCCAATTCTCTTTCTACTTTCCGAATCGACTCGTCAAGGTTCTTCTTGTGTGGATATTTCTCAGTGTCGATATCATCAAATTCCTTTACAATCTCATCGGATTTCTCCAACACTTTGTCGATAAATTCCTGACTCTCCTTAATCCACGTTTCCAAGTCGGCGACATAGTCCTCCAGCAACGCATTAATTTTTTTGAGCTCCCTCAACATCGAACGGACGAGGTTTCTTAACTGCTGGACTAGGTAAATGACCTCTCTTTCGATATGTGAATGCACGCTCGCTCTGAGCTTCTGGAAGGCTTGCTTGATCAATTTGATCATAGCCTTGTAGTTTTCAAGTTGCTTCTTGGACCACTGCTTAAGCCTCAAATTTTCATGCCCAATGTTTTTACGCGCGTTATCAATTTTAATTCTCAAGCCATTATTTAGGTCATTAATGTTGTTTGGGGCTTTGCCCATTTTATTGCGAAACTGTTTCACATTCTCGTGACATTCCTCCACCAGCCTCTCGGCCTTCTTAACTTCTTCCTCAGTAACATCTCCAACCTGCAAATCATTAACACGTCTAAGCAACTCACCACCTTCCTTAACGTATTTCAGCAGCTCGTTAATCGGCGCCTTCACTCTGTCATTCGAGGCCTTGACAGCCTCGTTATAGTCCCCGAGGCCACTGGCCACCTTGGGGACGACAGTCTTGAAGCCTTGGTGCCCACTCCACCTGGCTTTTTCAAGGTCACCAACTAGGCCACCTAACAAAGCTCTACCAACCGCATACGGCTGATTATCACGCACATCACTTAACACTCTATACAAAAACGCCACGACGGCATCGCACAAACGGGAGGCGTCACCGTATACAATCCCGGAACCGTCGTAGGTTCCAGGAGACCGATAACCTAAAAAGCTCTCAACGGCGGAACAGAGATTATGTAAAATGTTTTCATTACTATTCTCAGGGTTTTTCGGAAGAGAGCTCCGAAACCCTTGAAGCTTGGTGATAACATCTCTGGCGGCCGGCTCATCTGATTCGGGGAGAGACGACGAAGACGTTTCAGCGCCCTGAACAACATTGTCGAACAACTTACCGAGAGCGTCAGACAGCCTTGGGATCCCGCCACCGTGCTTCACCTGTATGAGCCAGTCGATTGCCTCTCGAAGGTTCTCGGGGCAATCCGTCAAAGATTTCGGTGCCATGCCATCTAGATTCGAATAGTGGTACCGCCGATATATCACACATTAGGGCGACGCCTACAATACGTAACTGGCAAATCGCTAACTTCGCTATCTGAAAAATCCTTAAAGTAAAAAGCTAAGTGACAACACAATGCAGCAGTGTACCAATTAACAACACGCCCAAAACTCCCCGCAAAACTAATTTTAAAACACGAAATTGAATAAAACATCCCACCTACCTTAGGAGGAAGGATGGAGGTAAGCCCATCAACGCAGGGATACAGCTTACATTGATGCTCGAGCGAGGTACGAAGACGGTAAACTTCATAGATATATCTAGTGGGAGACTGGGCAACTCTCCTGACACCGCCTTGTGTTGCCTCAGCCGCCTCCCCTCAGCGCTCAGTGACCATCCAGGCTATCGCCATCCGACGCACCGCCAAGGATACTACATCCGCGCGCCTTGCACCACAGAGAAAACACGCTCTTGGTAACGTATCCTATCACAAATGTCTAGTCACCATATTTGATGAACTAGTATTGAAGTAGCCCAGTCACAACTCCGCCCATCTTAAGCTAAGTCACCCTAATTCCTGCCACCGTGCGTCACGGTGAAGGTGCTCTATCAACTGCCTAAGTGAGCTACATCACGGGATTACGATGTTTGTCAGTAGCACAATGCCGCCTATAAAGTCCCAGTAACTACGTCGTCCCCTGGTCATCATGTCATACAATGTCACAGCGTCACGCCTACGCCCATCTGCTAGCCACCGTCCGAATCAGCAACCCGCCATTTACGCACCCAACATATCACTCAACACCTAGTACGACAGTTTTCAACTGCCTGTATGGACCACCAACTCAGCATCACATTCCGCTATTATCCTGAGATTACGCAATGCCAATCACAAAAATTTGCAAGAACACTAACGTGATAGATCTACATTATCCGATAAATTGCTAGTTAGGTGGGCTAGGTGAGCTAGGCAGTGAGCGTCATGGTCACGGCTGCAGGTAGGCGAGCTTGCTGAGCCTGCCTACGCGCGCCGCTGCGAGTAGTGACTGGGCAGCAATGCGGTGCGATGCTGGCGATCTCAGGTGGGAGCGGATGCGGGGTACGTCGAGGCGGACGACGGCGATGTGCAGCAGGTAGAGCAAGGAGAGGGACCAGAGGGTGAGGAGGAGGTAGGAGAATTTCTCTCTTATGGCCCATATGTAATCGTCAATCTGTTGGAGAAGCCTAACAACGACGCATTTTTCGCCAATTACTCTTTTCAGTGCTTGGCAGAAATCTCCACATGTACGTCTCTTCCTGATGTCCTTCTCTTCACTCAGTCCGGATGGACTGCCAAAGGTGAAACCATGCTGATACAGCGTCGGATGCATATCCGGGCATTTAACAATGGTGTGGCAGCCTGAGGTATGCTTGTCGTTAGTTGATGGATTTTTAGCATTTCCATTCTGATCATTGTAATTCACTTTGCATTCCTTAGAACAGCTCTTGTCATGGCACTTGGTACCAGACGCACCGCACTTATTGCAACACTCGTCATACAATTTCTTAAGTAAATCATAGAACGTCTCAGTACTGTATACAACCCATGAGAGATATCGGCTGCCATTATATTTAGAATGTATGTCATAAATATCAAGAGTGAGTGGATGCAAGTAACGGCCGCATGGTAGACCGGATCCTGATTTAGGATTACAATCCGTAAGACTGAAAAAGTCTGCTAAGGTATGATTTGATTTTCCATGTTTCGCATGTACAGCGGGGTCGAACAAAATCGTCGGATTCAATTTAGAATACGTCTGACCGAAAATGGCTCTCTTAACAGCATTGTCAAATGCCTCCTTCTTGTGCTGCTTAATAGAATTGTCGTCCCATTTATGAAGCAACTGATAGTAGAATGCAAACATGTCACCAAGCGTCTGCGGTGCTACGCGAAGCAGGCATTTGAAATAAGAACACAACTTATTGAGGTTTGAACCTGAGCCGCAGAAATACGAAAGGGCGTCCTTGAGATGCGATGCTCTCTTAGTATGGGAAGCAACGGTACCTATATCGCTAAAGCCCATTGGCGTTTTACATGGAAGACCTCTGTGGTTAGACAGAGTACATTCCAGTTTGCAGCCTGGAGATTTAAACTGATGTGGCAGGAAACCCTGCAGTCCATCTTCTAAGAAAGACTGCAAAGGGGATTTTAGTCCGCACATAACACGTTGGTCACACTTTTGGTTACATGTTTGGTTATGCTTTTGGTTACTGTTTTGGGTAGCCGCTTGGTCACCTTGTTGGTTAGGGCATTGCCTATCATTGCACAGCCACGCTGATCCACCCACTCCCTGGCCGTACCAGCAGTCGGCCCAGCCGCCAAGAGTAGGTCCATTTTTACACTGAATGGATAGGAAATAAAGTTGTTCATATACCCTACACAATACGTCTGCAAGTATGTCAAGACATGAAGCTGGGCTACTAGGATATAACAAGTTATATGCATTTGTGCTAAAGTCACAGGCATATACACCGTCAGCGTGCCCGTGGCCTAGGAAGGTAATGAGAACAGTGCGTGAGTATAAACACACCTGGTCGAGTGAGAGTGACAAGTTACCATATGTGAGAGTTCCATCCGTTGGGTGTTTCCTTTCGTCTGGTACGGCAACAGGGAACTCTGCCGTGTCCAATTTATACTCTTCCTTTAGCCCATCAAGCATTTTTGTGAACTGGCCTTTAACACCGTCGTACATGTGATTGTACTTCAGTCCGGCAAGCCAGCACAACATGTTATATATGTTGGACGGTGATTTAGGTGAGGCAGGAATGTAGTAGTGACCGACGCGGTAACACCTTCGAGAAAAGTCACGAAGGAAGTCAACAAGGTTGAGGAGAGAGATGTCACCACCTTGTTTCTTCTCCGCTTTCCATTGTTTAAGTGATTCAACATTGTCGGCGTTTTCAATTTTCATCTCAAGTAACGTAGTCTTAATTTTACTTCCTTCCATCTCCTTCTTGTCCTGTAGCTCACCGGTCTGCTTGCCATTTTCGGAATTGACCGTGTAACCACGTTTATGGAAGAAGCTACCAAGTGATTTATTCTGATGCGTATTAATCTGCAAACTTCCATTCTTACATTCATTTTGCAAATCAAACAGATCTTTTCTCAGCCCCTCCAGTATGGTCAGGCAGACCTTGGCGCAGTTGCGGCCCTCGGTGGTTAACTTGTCGGAGGATGAATTGTCCTCCCAGTTTTCGACAGGTTCACCCCCATCATACCTACTAACATACGCCATCCCTAACTCGTCGGCGAATTTCGTCAGCCCTGCTCTGACTGCGTCGAGCAACTCTGGGTGCCGCGGGGTTGCGAATTGCTGGGGGGATAGAGAAGCGAGGGAGGAAATGAGATCATTACGTTTTTTCTTGAACTTATTATCGTAGATGTATTTTCTGGTGTTTTGGGTGGTACTAGTATTATTAAAGTAATCAAGTAAAGTGTTAAGTTGTTGTTGAATTTTGCCTACTTCCTTGGTATGGTCAGAAGTCTGCGGAGTTTGGGCCACAGTCGCAGCCTTCTTTTCATCTGGCGTCAAGTCCACTTGCGTAATAATATACGGCAATATTTGTAGTAAATAATCTTTGAATTTCTCTGATAGCTCCGAGCATTTCTGACGATGCTCGTCACCTTTCATGGGCGACTGATTGAGATCACGCTGCACAAATTTTACAAATGGGGTGAATTTGTCTTGAGAACTTGTAACACCGGGAACGTTTTCTCCGTTCATAAGCTTCATCATCCCCTTCATCCCGGTGTTTGAATCCGTTTCGATGATCCTTTTAATTGTCTCATTTTTCTTCTCCACCAGCTCCTTCAGCTTCTGGAGCGCGTGGGCCTTGGACTGGGCGAACTGGGAGAGGGCGGAGTTTTGGAGCGTTTTGATCTTCAAGTCGACTTGGTTTTTGAGTTCGGAGGTGATGGCGGAGATGCATTGTTTTACTTTCTCGTTTATTGAAGTATTGAACTTCTGAAAGGCTTCTATTATGGCTTCAAGGTTTGTTTTGTCTTCGCCCTCACCAGTACCATATATGATATTGTTGATCATATTCGATATTTTCTTTAGACTCATAGTACCGTTCCAATCCTCCACGTTGAAGACGCCCATGCTCTGCAACTCCGTCAATTTGTCAATGACGCCATCTGCACCGTTGAGTTCCTTTTTCAACACCGTTCTAATACTGTCAAGCACCGACGTAATTTTATGGATGCCACTGTCAATTGCGTTGGGTTGCCCGGATAAGGTAGATAGTTTCCCGTTAAGATCAGCATGGATTTTGGCGAGTCCATGTACAGAGCCTTTTAAATATGATTGAAGTTTATATTCTGCGTCACGCTTAATCATCTCTCGCAAATCTGCCAAGTAGTCCTTGACGCCATCTGGCTTTTGTTCGGGCTGCAACGGGTTTGTGACAAGTTCGGATAGGTCTTTGAGCTGGCTTGTAACATTTTTGAATTGTAAAGTGAAGGTTTGGTTGTCTATAATTGTCTGATTTTCGCTGTCCTGGATATTATTAAGCTTTTGAAGGCCTTCACCACCCTGTATGCTCCGCAAAGGCGCAGTGACCTTTTCTTTCCCCGTAGCGCTGTCATAATTCTGCGTTGAATCACCGGTATTTATTGTTACACTATGATCTTTACCGTGTGCTTCCTCAATTTTCGCGACAGCATCTCCTCCCATGGCGGCGAATGCAGAAGTACCAGTCAACTTTTTTTTACAAGCTTCTAGCACGTACAACACGGACTTAAGCGCCTCCACTTGCGTATTAATGACGTGGTCGTACTGATTCTTAAGCTCAGGCTGTAGCCCTTGATTGCCTACCTCTTGGAGCCACTTTTTAAAACTTTCACCTTTGAGATTAAGAAACGATGTGTTCGTGTATTTAACAGCTGCAGCCTTACCGAAATTCACCTCCTCCAACTCAGTAAAATACGCTTCTACAGTCACTTTAATTGCATCTCGAAGCGCTGCTAAATCTTTCTTAACTGCCGTTTTCACCTCTGTGTCAATCGCCCCTAAAGCCTCTCCGACCTTTGGGTGAATAAAATCATACGCCTGCTTCATTTGCTGATATAAGTGGAACGCATCATCTTGCAACTTTTTTGCGGCTTTACCAATATCCGTTTTAGGCTTAATGGGATCTTCTTCTCTAACTTTCCCCAGTATCTCACCACATTTCGATAACGCGGCACTAGCGGCTCCCTGGGCCTTCTGCTTCCACGCTTCCAGGTTATCGATTTGTTTCTTCAGCTCACTATTAACGTACTTGACCTTCACGTTAGCCTTCTCGATCTGCTCAATTCCTTGACCAATGTCTGTTCTCCTAGGGCCATCACGTGGTTTGTGATGGTCCAACTTATTATAAACTTCGTTCTTCACCCTTCCAATCTCTGTGCCAAGGTACTTCCCGGCATCTCGAATCCATTTTTCCAACTGCTGATGAACACATTCCAGCTTCTCTTTAACATTCTCGATCGGCTGTTGAATATTCTCATTAAACTCCTCCTGCAACTCATCAATGCACTTACTTTGCTCCTCTTCAGCAACCTTATTAACTTTTAATTTAAGATCTTGAATCTGCTCTTTCACATCCCTAGTAACCGCCAACAACCCATTGTGATCACAATCGGCAGACTCCACAAAATCTGTTACCGCCTGATGGATTACGCTTAGATGCTGATTTAATTGACTTTGGAGCTTGTGGTCCACGTAGAGGAGCTTTTTTAAAGACGCTTCACTCTTCTCTGGAAGCCTCTCGACATTGGAGATCCAAGTGAGCAACTCATTTTCCCCTTTGGTTGCAACTTCATCATACGATTTTTTTTTCATATTTTCAATTGTTTCAATAAGTTTAGGAATAAAGTTCGTCTCGAGCTCTCTTATATACTTAGTAACATGTATGTTAGACAACGTGACAGCTTCCAACCACTGACCAATCCCCTGCTTGACACGGTCAATCACAGTACGCAAACCTGTTTTGCCTTCATGACGATGAGTTTCTAGAGCCTTTACCGCAGCATCTAATGTGGTTTTATAAGGCGAAAGGTTATTATTTGTATGAACATCTTTAAGCACTCCACCCCAAAACGCCATCACCCCGTCGCAGAGCCTGTCAAGGTCCGAGTACACGATGCCAGTGCCGTCGTAGCCTTTGGAAGCAGGGTTGAAGCCGAGGAAGGTCTCGAGGCCTGTGCACAAATTTGTTAAAATGTTTTTACATTCTTCACCTTTTTTATTTTGAGCATTCTGATGAAATTTAATAAGCTTATCAAGATTTTCAAGCGAATCCAACGAAGCCTTATGAGACTTCAATTTAGCCTGCTCAGTTTCAAGAGGATTGGAAAGATGGGAGGGAATGGAGATATCTGCATCTTTAATATCATTATATCCCTGTGATTCAAGCTTCTTTTTTTCCGCCTTTTTATGATCCTCAATATCATTATTAATGCTCTTAATTTTCTCATTAAGGCTGTTAATCGCAGACTCAATTTTGTTTTTAGGCTCTTCTAATTGCTTTTGAAGCTGTGTAATTTGCCTTTCAAGAAGCTTATTTTGCTCGTCAAGTTTCTTTTTTTCTGCCTCAATTTGCCTCTCAATCTCAGGATCAATGACGGACGGCGTCCCTACGGACGCCTTACTTTTTCCAGCAATTTCATTTTTAAGGCTATCAAATTGTCTCTCAATTTTATCAATGTCATTAAATGTCTTTTGAAGTTTTTTAAGAGGTCCAACACTGAAACTCTTAATATCACAATTACACCCCTCACCTCCGCAAGACGTTTTTAAAAGCTTTTCAAGCTGATTTACATTACTGTGCAAACCCTTCAAAATTGCATTTTTAACTTCTCCACTTCCACCAATTAAACCCGAAAGCTGTCCAGCAAGCGTACCAAGAGAGATACGGCGGGCATCAATATCATCCAACGCTTCTTGTCTGGCATCATCAGTAAGATAATGAACGTCATTATAATGATTCTCTAAGTCGGATTTAAGCTTATCTAGATAAGAGTTTTCAGAGGATAAAAGGCCATTTTGAGATGCATCTTGGGATTGTTCAGCTTCCTTAATTTTAGCCTGCTTATCCTCAATTTCCTTCTGCTTGTCCTTACAATAGGAGTCAGGTTGCCAATATATTGGTGGGCATTCAAGTTCTTTTTTCCTATTTTCAAGACTAGTAGTAGCCTTCGTAATAGTCTCTGTAATCAACTTTTGCAAAGCCTCAGCCAAGCTCTTAAGACCATCACCATTGGGACCATTCCCATGCCTAACCTGGATCAACCAGTCGATGGACTCCCGGAGATTTTCCGGACAGTCAGTGAGTTTCTTTGGCGCCATCTTCAGAGGCGAGATATAGCCGTGTTCGCAACCTTAAGGGATTTGCCTGTATTTCGAGGTTGCCGATCGTCTACTCCGCTACAAAAATGCGATAAGCACTGATCAGCTTACATATACCTTTCGTAATCCCCTAACTACATTGAGAAGACTTGTGTCGGATTATGGAACGATTAATAACTCATGGTACATAGGACATCCGCCTCGCTCACCTAGTCCCAATCTGCAGCACCCAGACAACTCAGAAATCTAATCCGCTATGGAGGTGCCCCGAAACCTCCCAACTGCACTTCAATGTTCAACGACACAAAAACAGTCTAATCTTGTGCAAACTTGGAGTTAATGTTCGTCGCAAATCCTCTCACGCTCCTCAGCAATTCCACGTTACCCCATTACCACTCCATTGCATCCATATTATGAACCGCATCTTCCTGAAACGTGAATGGTAGCACTATTGTGCAATGGCGTGAAATACGGCATGCTATGGATGTGCAGTGAAAACGGTGATGGGAATATCGTTCCCTCTGCAGTCTCCACAAGTCATGGAATCATAGATGCGTGGAGTATGGGACTACAGCCTTACTTGGAGGATTCCAAGTGTGGCCATGAAGAACAGCGATGGGTTACCGAAATGAAAAGCAATTGTGAGACCGAAGAATGGTAAGAGGCAGATGGAAGATGTTGACAACTATGGACGGCTAACGGCAGGCTCTACTTGGAGAAGACGAATCATAGCACGGAGATTAACCGACTCTATATCGTAATAGCATGAGAGGAATAACGTGATCACCATCGTGGAGATCGGGATTACCAACCAGGACAACCTAGTGGAGACGGAGAGATTCAAGAAACGGAAGTACGAAGCTTTGATAGAGGACCTGAAGGCGCGGCAATTCAACCAGCACACAAAGTTCAGGGCAATCCTCTACGTTATGACGTGGGAGGGAATAGTGACAAAAGACCACACCAAGCACAGGCGGGACCTGGGCATATCGGATCGCCTAGAAGCCCATATACAACGGGTAGTGATCCAAGAAACACAAAAGCTAGTGTTGAGGGACATGAAACCCAGAGAAGACTATGACTCTGTGAGTGACCCTCTCGCCCAAACAGGATGGATGCCACAATGGATGGTACCTTTAGTGTACGATAATTCGACGTGGACCCCGCAACTGACACCAGCAGCCTAAGGCGCTTGCCTGGTAAACACAAAAATCGGCCCTAAGCCACATAGCGCACTAAATAAAGCAAAAGCAATAACATAAGACTATCGAATCACAGAACAAAATATAAAGGAAACACATAGTGTATATTACGTTTTAACAGTATGTAACATTATCTACAATTCTGAGCGTGCTTACGTCGGGTTTTTGTTGATGTCAACCCTAAGACACGCCTTTTGTATGCCTTGTATACTCGTCGACGCAACTCCATTTCATCGGGAATTTGGACGATCCAGTGCATAGGCTGTGTTAGTGGGTTTGGAACATACGACGGCAAATTCACAGCGGCAAAGTTTAGATGGCATGGAAATGCGTTCTTCACTCCCCGACCAGCGATTAACATACAGCTAGTCACATTCATATTGGTCCAATTCAAGCCGATAAGTCGCGTAGAAGCCGATATTTCGAAAAGCACTGGTATAACGTTGCTACGACGTTAATAGAAAGAATCGCTGCGATAATCCCAATGTACGGACTCGTCACCGTAGCGTATGTGATAGAGTCCTCGGATACAGTGTTCGGTAATGAAGCTGCAGCCACGGCCAACACAAGGCACGTATTGTTAATTGTCCCGTTGATCACGCGATATAATTCCTGCCGTGTATACGTCTTCGCAACCGTTTGATACGATCTAACGTATCTCGTTAAGGTCCAATCAATTGCGCCTTGTGCTATCACACGCGTGCTGAAGTATGCAGCGAATGGGTATACGATGTGGAGACTCCTGAATTTTTCGTTCCAGCCAAACCTATTCGACAAATACAGCGTTATAACTATCGCTGCGGATACGATGAGCTGTGTTAAGAAACAAGAAGTCCAGATTATTTTTGCCACAGTAAGATTCGGGTAACGCTTTATTTTCTTTGCGTCACCTGTTTCCTCTAATGCCCCTGCAGGTGTCTCATCCTCTCCCAAAATGTTCACAACAGCATCACCAGATGTGGTTTTAGCGACTGGATCGACCCGTCCAATGTTATCCACCAAAACAGTAGTTGCTGATTGCGCCGGGTTATCGATATCGTCAGCATCCCCTACGTCACTCTGTTCACCACATTCAGGCCCTTCTTCATTAACGCTACTGCTCGTTGCTAAATACACCTTTGTTCCAGTACGATGGTGATCTCCCCAGTTATATTCGGCGTCATAGGCTGCGTTGCTCGAAACGGATCGGATCACTGGCCCTTCGGCGTGCAAATCGTCTCCTGGAGTATCGAAGATTTCCGGAGACTGCTCACCTTCGCCTTCTAGCGCGACTTCCACTTCGCGGTTCACTTGCTCACTGCTTACCCATCTGTCTAGGTAGCACTTGGCCTGAATGTGAAGCTGCGCGAGGTCAGCCAGTTGGCGCGCTTTGTGGCGTTTCTCGAAAAGCAGTCCGGTGCTCACCAGTAATTCCGAATAGACCTCACGCTGACGTATGCCTGCATATCCCGTCAGCAATGTAAAAGTGGACGGTGAACGGTGTCCACGGGTAATGTGTAAGGTGAGTCACCAACCTGGCGGGGCTCGTGGCATCTGACACCCTTGGCTGCCGGGGCCGCAGACCTCCGGCGAATCAAACACAGTATCCACGGAGCGACAAAGGGCGGATTCGTGTGGTTGATGTGTATGTGTGAGGGGAGTCGCCGTCACTCTCGCGTCGCCCTCCGAACGTGTCGCAGTGTCAACGGTACTTGATATTCCGGCGTGATTCGGGAATCGCGCAGATGTGGATGTGTGTAGCGCCGTGGTTGTTATTGTGATGCCACTCTGAGTGTTCTTGCCCGCCCCTTTCGTCTCGCTTGCGCGCAGTGGATTTTGTTCGTCAGTGTTACAGGATGAGCGCGGTGGCCAGCTCGCTTTCGGTGAACCTGAGCCACGTTTTGCAGAAGAATGTGCATCTGCTCGACCTCCAGTACGACCACTACTGCAAGTACCTTGCAGCCGGCTGTCGATCGCAGAATGGCTCGGAGGTTGTGATTTTGGAGAAGGACGTGTCTGATGGCGATTCCGGCAGCTTCCGCGTGGTAAGCAGCGTGAGCACTCGTTGCGACCCTGTGTTGTTGTGCTGGGCTCCCCCCCAATTCGGGAGGATTCTGGTCGTGGCGTTGAGCGACAACTCCATTTCGTACTACCAGCATGCGCCCTCGTCGGGCGTGTGGCAGCTGTCGTTGTACCACGAGAAGCGCGAGGTGCAGAAGTCGATAAGTTGTATGAGTGTCGGCGTCTCACCGAAGGGCGAGCTGCTATGCGCCGTCGGTTCTCCAAGCGGCAGCATCAGTGTGATATTTTGTGAGGGATCGTTCGAGTGCGTTGACTTTCCGGCTCACTGCGGCGGTGTGAGCAGCGTGTGCTTCGCCGGTAACGACAGTGTGTTGTCTAGTGGCGGTGATGGCCGCCCGTGTCTGCTTGCCAGCGGTGGCAGCGACGGTTGCGTGAAGGTTTGGCAGCTATTCGATCGCAAGTTCCAGCTGTTGAAGACTTTGTCTCTGGAGTGCGACTCTAAGAGCCTTACTCAGGTGAAGTGCCTGTGCTGGAACAAGAGCGGCGACCGCTTGGCGGTTGGTACGGGCGCCGAGCTTCTGTTGTTCGGCGGTGCTCCCGAGTGGTCGGAGAGCCAGCGCGTTGGCCTTCCTCGTGCGTCAGTGAAGGTTTCCGCGTCCTTCAGCAACGATCGCCTGGTGGTGTCGTGCGACAACGAGTGCTTCGTGTACCGCGCCGACGAGCGAGGCGCGTACGCGCTCTCCGGCCCGCTCGAAGCTTCCAAGGAGTAACCACGCCTGCTCCGACGGACCCTCACAACCTTCAATCGTAACAACGTAATTTTAGCCTAGTCAGCGACAAGGGTGTTTTTGTTCCACGAATGTAATTCATATACTTCGGATGCGTCGGTGATGTCGGATGTGTACGCTCATAGTGCGGTGTGCATGACGTTTCTGACTATCCGTTTACATTAATTTGTCGTGTGGAATCTCCTAAAAGCATATTGTTGCGTTCTGTCGCTGTTTTAACAGTTATATCACGCGTTACTCGTTGCCTTAACCTTCTTTGGGTGCCGTATCGTTGATGACGCTGTTTCGAAGTACGGGAAACAACTGCAGCGATTTCGTGTAACAGAAGTATCACTGTATTATCGTTAAGTGGCAGCGTATTATCGCTGTTATCTTCGGCTATGGGTGAGTTGCGAGCTATGTTGACGCTATTCTGTGCCACGTGCTTCATCTCTCGCACGAGTTCATCTTTTCACAGTTTACACCCATTTCGGCCGCATAACAAAGCAGTGGTGCGGATCCACTCACCTTCGTATTGGCAGCCGCGGTCAGCCGCGACCGAACAAGGGCTTCAGTGTAAAACAGTTTGCTACCGTAGGATCGGCGCTCGAGTGTTGTAGGTAATTACAGTTCTGTTTATGCGCGGTGTTTACTCATGCGATTAGATGGTGGAAGTTCTTAAGACGCGGCACATTAGCGAGAATTTTGAATCTTCAATCGCCTTCAGCTGAGGCTTCGGATCCAGGTAGTTGCCAGTTCGTCTTGTTAATTCAGTTTATAGTGACGTCTACCCACATTCACAATGTGGAGAAGGGCCGTGCGAAGCTAAGCGATGATCAGTTGTCGGTGCTGAGTTCATATTTGGGAGTAAGTTTCCAGCCCCGTAAGGCACCTCGTTATCGGCGTATATAATCTAACCGAAAATGGCATCGAATGCCGGTAATATAAGGTCTACTAGCCTGATAGACTCCATCCTACGGAGAGGGAATTTGGGTACAAGTTCCCAAGCTGCGGATAATGATAGCGGCGATGGAGACGATTTACCCGAGAGGTACCGCAGATTGTTCGTATGCATTTCCTTGCTCTCCATTATGGGCGCGATAATGACTTTCAACGTGATGGTAAGTTACGATTCCATGAGTCGGAACGCAGCGGATGTTGACGAGGTAGAGATTTTGGACAATATAGGTATCTATGGCACCTACTACACCGGTGAATACGAAATTTGCGAGGCCGCGCGGAAGGTCAAAACAGCAGATGGGCACGTAGTGGAGCACCAAGAGGAGTGTCGTAAAGGCCTTATGCACGCTGCTGTGGTATTTCGAGGCATGGTTTTTGACTCCTTCACGAAGTTGTTTTTGTTGCTCTGCTTAGAGCTGCCCGAAGGCAGTCGTTTGAACCTTTTTAACTCCTCCCGATATGGTACAAATAGTTTCAAAAACGATCGTCGTGTGTACATGGGATTTTCGGGCTTGGAATCCACGGGAAGAATTGACTCCTTCTACATGTCGGGGTTGTCTGCCGTGATGGGCCCTTTTACGTCGAGAGCTCCTTTGAAAGAATACTGGCCCGCAGAAGCTTTAAAGCTGGACTATTGGAACGAGTATGCAGGGAAGGCTTCCGGTCCGGTATGCTCGTTCAACACATTTATTCGCCAGCCCATTCCACGCCTGAATCAGGTTTCTTTGCGCCGTTTGGATGAGATTTACGTTGTAGGCATCCGTCGCTTCCTGCTGAAGGACTTGGAGCACATGGCAAAATACGACAGTTCGACGTTCAACATTTTCAACGCGCTCTATGGTGATCCCACGCCACCCACCTCCAGCGTAGCCGAGGACGTGTCCGATTCGTCAACCACGCCGGTCTCCACGCACTCATCAGGGGACGCGAGTAAAGTCGAATCAGACCCTACGCTGTTTGACACCATAAACGGAACGTTGAGGAGTACTGATTGCGGTGTGACCATTAAGTTTACCGGAAAGGAACGCGACATGTCTTACATGGACACCATGGCGTACAATTTTTCGACGGGATTTATAATTAAAGTAGTGATCGAGACGTACATTCTGTTAAAGCAGGCGAAGAAGGTGGATGAGGGCGCCCAGGGACAGACGATGAGCATCATTGCCTTCACCATGTATTCGTACCAGGATTGGCTTGAGATTTTCATGCTGATATTCCACCGCGGCGTGTTTTGGAAAAATGTGACGAGTTTCTGTTTCATGTTTCTCATGAAGCTTTTTTTGGTGGGCGTCATAGACCACACCTTCCTGGTACTAATCTGGCGCGCCAACCATGCAGCGCAGATCCGTGAGGGCTGGGAGGCTACCCAGAAACGGTTCTCGCTGTTCTATCGCTACTATTTCAGCTTCCTCTTCCTGAAATGTTTCTTGTGGTACTTCTACTACGTGGAAAGCCCATGGATCTTCGTTGTGACATATTTGTGTTGGGTGCCTCAGATTCTTCTGGATGCGTGGCGCGGGCACTGCACTCCTTTCAGCTTCTTATCGATCGTCGTGCTCTCGATCTGCCGCATGTACATGCCCTATTACGTGTTCATGCTCAAGGAAAGCGCATTCACGTACGACGTGTTTGCGCTGGACTCCGGACGCACGAACCGCACGGTCGGGGCGTACATCATGCTCGTGACGTTCCTCCAGTTGATCCTCATGTCTCTCCAGCGTCTCAACGGTGCTAGGTGCTTCGCTTCTTGGTCGATTCTGCCGCAAATATACACGTACGTGCGGCCATGGTCGCAGTTGATGCAGGACGACCCTCAGGAGTGCGTGATTTGCATGTATAGCATCGTGCATTCTAAACGGTGAGTTATTGGTTAATTTTTGCTACATGGTGCGCAGAGATTGGAGCATCACGCCGTGCAACCACCTGTTCCACAGCCGCTGCCTGAAGGAGTGGGCTTCGATAAAGCTCGAGTGCCCAAACTGCAGGCAGCCACTTCCGCCTATAACGTAGTGGGCTGCAGCCCTGCCTTACCGGTTGGCCGCATCCACACAAACTACCAAGCGGTGTGCACTACCAGGGGTGACGAGATGGATCATTCGGCTCCGTTTCCAATGGATCGCGGTGTCGGCCTTCCGGGTGTGTACGCCCTGGAGGCAGGACTAAGACACACTGTTTCCGGCGAGACTTCGCCGCTAAACTTACATATACACATTTGTAAGACATTGATGTCAGTATAAAGTTGTTTACGATTTGGCTGCGACCACTATTTAGCCTGTTACCCGGTACTCGGTTATGTGGCTTCTGCCCGCCGTTGTAGGCCGGCTTTGTAGGTTCCGTGGCCGCTGAGCCGATCCGTCCACTTGCATATTAAACAATGTCAACAGATGATATAGAGAAGCTCGTCTTTGATCTGCAGGGCGCGTTTGCGGCGGCCTCCTCAGACGCCCGCGCCGTGGCTCCATGTGCCGCTATCTTGGACAATCTCAAGGGGCGCCTAACGCAGTACCAGCTCAGTGGCGCTAGCGGCAATGTGCGTTTCCTATCGCTGGCGCGCGAGGCGTACGAGATCGGCGCCCTGTTGTCGTTGCAGCTCGGCGACGTGGGCAGCTTCGACTGTTACTACTCCCTGCTTCACCCGTATTACTTCGACTACACTGAGGTGTGTGACTGTTGCGGATCAGTTTCACTTGTTCCTAGGTCGTCCAGCGTAGCCAGCGTACGGACGTGATTCTGGGCCTCCGTATGCTGCACCTGCTGACGGAGAATCGCATTGGTGACTTCTACATGCTGCTGGAGCTTCTGCCCGCCGACATTCGTGCCAGCCCGAACATCGAGTACGTAGTGGACCTGGAGCGCAGCATGATGGAGGGCAAGCTGACCCGGCTGATTGACGTAAGGCAAACGGCGCCCTCTCCGTACTACTGGTCATTGGCGGATAAGTTGGCCGACACCGCGCGCAGCAAGATAGCTGCAGCGATGGAGGTTGCATACCCAAGCTTGGGTCTGGCTGCTGCAGCTGAGATGCTGAAGCTGCGTGACGTTAGTGTAGGTTTTCAGGTTCATGGTGTAACCGTCCTCAGGAACTGGCGTCCTTCATAAACTACTACAATCAGTCTAGAATGGCAGCAGGTGGGTTTGGGAACAATCGGCGATTTAACATTTGCAGATTCACGCGCTGCGCAGTGGCGCATCGAGGGAGATCGCGTTCGCTTTATATTCGAGGCGCCTATGCGTGGCAGCGTGCCCTCTAAGGAGATGCTGGCCTACTCCCTGGGCTACATCGACGAGCTGGAGAAGATCGTGTGAGCGCACTGCCGACACATTTGTTGCGGGGCCGGCACTACGGGGTCCCCCGAATTGTACACACTCCCATCAGCCAGCGCATTATGCAGCCTGCTACTGTGAACTACCACTAGCTACTAATTTTTACTGCACGATGCCGAGTTTTTGTTTACAGCTGTCGGACATGAGCTCTAGCTCTCGCTTGGTGAAGTCAAGCAGGTTTTCCGGCACGTGAATTTCCGGACTGGGATTGTTCAGGATGTCGTCGAAAAACTCGTGGCCGAGCGCCTCTAGTGGCTTGATGCGCTCCTTGGGGTCGTAGCGCAGGAAAAGTGTGACAAACTCGATGGCTACGGCCGGTGTGTTCCTCGGGAATACCCTCGATAGATCTGCTGCCCGTATGTTCGGGAACGTAACATTTGTGTAATTGGGGTTCATCGCGTGCATCTGTTCGATGGTGGGCGTCCCCAGCACTTGGATTATCTTGACTAGCTGGTCGACCGAAGTGTCGCCAGCGAACATTGGCTTCCCCATAAGGAGCTCCCCTACGACGCATCCGATTGACCAAATGTCAATGGCGGTGGTGTACTCGTTAGCGCCCAGCATGAGCTCCGGTGCCCTGTAAAACCTGGAGCATATATAGGCCACGCTCCACTCCCCGGGCATTAGCTTCTTCGCGGATCCGAAATCGCAAAGTTTGAGAACGTTGGTCTGAAGGTCCACCAGGAGGTTGTGTGGCTTGAGGTCTCGGTGGCATACCCCCATGGAGTGCAGGTAGCCCAGCGCCCTGCACAACTGGAAGGCGTATATCTTGATGAGTTTGAGCGGCATTTGACTGTATTTTTTGAAGTACGAGCGCATGACCCTGTGCACGGTGCCGGGTACAAATTCCATGACAAGGTTGAGGTAGCGCTGTCTTTCCTGCTCCCTGACCGACTCCGTGTAGAAGTAGTCGAAGAGAAACACTATATTGGGGTGTGACAGTTCGAGCATGATGCCAAGTTCGCGGTTCTTGTAGCGCGGGTCCTGCGTCGCTATGTCAGCAAAAGACCTCGACCTACCTGCAGCACCTTCTTGATGGCCACTCGCTTCCCCGTTTCCTTCTGCACGGCCTCGTGTACCACGCCGAAGGACCCATTCCCAATCATTCGCTCGACCTGGTACTTATCCTCCGGGTTGACCTGTGGATCCGTGGCCCGTGCGGCTTGCAAGCTTTGGGTAGTCTCACGCCCGTCGGGGATGCCCTGATCTCGCTCCCCCTCCGGAGCCTGATTCCAATTTTGGGCAGTGTCATCTCTCATTTGTTGCGCTGGACGGGTGTATGGGACGCTTCGTGGCTGGCACACTTCGTTTTGCCGTTGCCTGTATAAGACTGCGCGGGCATCCGCCTCCCCCGACTCGCCGTGCTGCTCAGCGGCCGGCTGACGCATTTCGCCGGCGTTAGCAATTGGATCCTCACGAGCAGCCGACATCGCTTATACTAGGCCGGCGATTCCGTTGGATGTCGCGGCGTGCCGCGCTTGGACGAGGCGGCTTGCCGGGTGTCCGTGCCCCTGTCCGTGGAATCCTATATTTGTGGGCGCGCGGCGACAGCCTTCTAGTTCGTTTTTGCCCTTTGCGGTGATTCTCGACGGTTAGGCGGCTCGTCGCCACTAGTCCGTCTCGGCTGACGGTCTGCACATCGACACCGCAGCTGGCGAGCAAGACGTAGGTTTGCCGTGCTGCCCTTCGCGCAAGAATATTTGTGCGTTGGTGTATTGCGCGTTGTAGATTTGCTAGTGGCGCATTCGCGGCAGCTGGTGAGGCGTATGCACGTTAGTTTGTGGTGGCGCCAGCACGATCTGTGTCTGGGCTAGCCATACATCGTCAGTTTCCGTAACGGAATCCTACTACTTTATGCAACACACATCTTCCCATGCTCTGTGCAGCTGTGTAACGATTGGCTGGGAAACCTCAGACGGCGCGGCAATTGTTCAGCGACGTCGACGTAGCACTTTGGGCTCCACGTGGCGCCACCGCATTTGAGTACCCCTGAAGGGCATGTAGCAAATCGTTTTACGAGTTCGTTTGTGCCAGGGTTATTGCTGCCCGCCGACACACCTTGAGCTGCGTGGCTAATCGCTCAGCTGTCTTGAGCAGTTTGACTACTGTCCGTAGCGGACTCGACGCATATAATAGTTCATATTAGAGTGTGTACTCGTGCTTCAGAGTACCAACGATGCAATTTGGTCGCCCAGTTGTCACGTGGCCTGTGTTACGTCCGGTCGGCATCGTGGTCGGCTTCTCTGCGACCTTTCAGCCTATCTCATCAGGTTGGCCGGATAATAGTTCTATACGTATAGAAGTGCGCTATTACTGGCGGCTTCGATGTTGTTATCGCTCACATTTAGCCGCCACTGTACTCCGTGGCGCTGTTGGTCGGGCTTATTCCGCTTGTCTGGTACGCCTGAGGTCGCACCTTCCACTGCATAAACACAACTTTTAATACAGCATAATCGCAGCAGTGGTTTGAAGCAGAGAATTTGGGCCTATTCCTTGATAGTTATCTACGGCTTAGCGTCGTTGCACCGTCTTCTGGCGTGTTCCGGTTCTTATTATTCGGCGCGAGCTGCACCTAACTTCTGTTTCCCTCTCTCGTCACAATGGGTTACGACGGAGATTCCAACGAGCACTTCTGGTATCCGGAAGGTTAGTGCCTGCGTAATGTGTGTCACGATTCGCAGAGCTGCAGCACGGCCCCCCTGCCAAGCTTCTGCTGAAGGATGGAACCGAGTACTATGGCTACTCGTTCGGCTATGTGGACGAGTCGTACAACTACGGTGACGCGGGAAGCGTGGACGCGACGGGTGAAATTGTCTTCACTACCGCCATGGTCGGCTACGCTGAGGCGCTTACGGACCCGAGCTTCCTGGGCCAGATCCTGGTAACTACTTACCCTACAATGGGAAACACTGGAGTTGCCCCCTACGAGAAGGTTAGTCATTTTTGCGCTGTTTAATAAGCGTGCGTAGGACGAGTTCGGATTTTTGAAGTGGTTTGAAAGCTCGAAGATCCACGTACGTGGTTTCGTATGCTGCGACTACTCGCCACATGACTCACACTGGTTGTCGTGCAAATCATTTTCTAAGTGGTTGTGCGAGGAGCGTGTCCCTGCCATCGCGGGCATCGACACCCGTGCGCTTACGAAGCACCTGCGTACGTGCGGCTCCATGCTTGGTCGCATCATTATCGGCCATGCAGCAACCCTGCCAGCTGACTCCCGCCTGCTCTCAAACTCCGCCTTTTACGACACCAACAGCGTCAACCTCTTGGAGGAACTTCCGCTGTCGCCTCCGACGCTTTACACGATGCGTGAGGTTGATGGGCACAAGTACGTCTCAAAGTTCGAGTTCACCGAGGCTGAGTTGAAGGAAATGTTGATACGTGACCCGGGATCCTTCCACGTAGCGGATGCGATGTCTGCTTTCGCCCCGATGCTGAAGCACGATGGTTACCCGAAATACCCAGTTCAGCCGCACTGGCCCGCAGGTTCGTCCGGAGCATCCAGTTCCGGCGAACTCTCGAATTGCTTGGGTCTTAAGGATGTCACGCTTCTTGTGGTTGTAAACTGTGGAACGAAGAATAACATCATCCGCTTGATGTTGCGCATGTGCCCCACCCAGGTACGACTCCTGGTGGTTCCCTACAGCTTCGAGTTCGCGCGGATTCCCTACGATGGTCTGGTCATTTCAAACGGCCCCGGAGACCCCAAAGAGGCGCCTTCCACGATTGCGAACATCCGCATGGCCATGCAAAGGACGGCTCCGATGTTTGGTATTTGTCTGGGACACCAGCTCATGGCTATCGCTGCCGGCGCTAAGACCTACAAGATGACATACGGCCACCGCGGATTCAACCAGCCCTGCGTGGATTTGCGCACGTCCAGGTGCTACATGACTTCCCAGAATCACGGATTTGCGGTTGACGAGGATACTATTCCGCCAGACTGGTCTACGTTGTTTGTGAATGCGAACGACGGTTGCGTCGAAGGTCTGATCCACATGGTTAACCCGTGGTTCAGTACGCAGTTCCACCCCGAAGCTAGCGGTGGCCCCACCGACACGACATTCTTGATGTTGGACTTCATCCACACCCTGGGCAAGCACGGTAGCATCCCGCTTCACATCCGCGCCATCGCTCCCCACGTCCAGTGGAAGAGAATCTTGCTTTTGAGTAGTGGTGGTCTTTCCATTGGCCAGGCTGGAGAATTCGACTACAGCGGTAGTCAGGCTATAAAGGCGCTTAAGGAATCCGGAGCCGAGGTCATTTTGGTGAACCCGAATGTGGCTACCGTCCAGACCAGCCACGGTTTGGCCGACGTTATATACTTCCAACCCATTACCTTCGACTTCGTCTCAGAGATTATCGCCAAAGAGCGCCCTGATGGTATCATGTGCAGTTTCGGAGGCCAGACGGCGCTGAACTGCGGTATCGAGTTGTTCAAATCTGGTGTCCTTGCCAAGTACAACTGCGCAGTGCTGGGTACTCCCATCGAGACCATTATCAACACTGAGGATCGTGCCATTTTCAACGAAAAGATGGCCGAAATCGGCGAGCGTTGCGCTCCTTCCAAGGTTGGCACCAGCGCCGACTCCTGTGTAGCCGCTGCTGCAGAGCTGGGGTACCCCGTGTTGGTGCGCACCAACTACGCGTTGGGAGGATTCGGTTCGGGTTTCGCCAAGGATGAAGCAGAATTGCGCGACATATTGTCAAACATTTTCACCCCAGGCTCGTGCCGTAAAGGACACGAACCCGAGGGCACCTCGTCTAATAACGGCGCCGAGTCGGAAGATGCCGCCGTATGCGTTTACATCGACAAGGCCCTGCACGGTTGGAAAGAGATCGAGTTTGAGATCATCCGTGACAACAGCGACAACTGCATAACTCCGGCAAGCATGGAGAACTTTAACCCCCTCGGTATCCACACAGGCGACTCCATCGTGGTGGCTCCTGCGCAAACCCTGACCAACGTAGAGCTCTACAAGTACCGCGAGATCTCTTTCAGGATTGTTCGTCACCTTGGCATCATTGGTGAGTGCAACATCCAGATTGCCGTCAACCCGGAAACTGACGAGTACTTCATTGTTGAGCTGAACGCACGCCTCAGTCGCAGTTCCGCCCTTGCGTCCAAGGCTACCGGATACCCGTTGGCATACGTTGCTGCCCGCATAGCTCTGGGTTACGACTTGGTGCAGATGCGCAATGCTATCACCTTGGTCACCACAGCTTGCTTCGAGCCAAGTTTGGATTACGTGGTTGTTAAAATCCCCAAGTGGGATTTGCGTAAGTTCGAGTTTGCGGACAACCTGCTCGGCAGTGGTATGAAATCTGTTGGTGAGGTCATGTCTATCGGCCGCACTTTCGAAGAGGCCATGCAGAAGGCGTTGCGTATGTCCGGCGACGGCGTCACCGGTTTCAACAGCGGCGTCTTGTCCACAGCCGACCGTGATGCCATCGTAAACGGACTCGCGCATCCTACCCCCGACCACGTGGCTGCCATTGCCCGTGCTTTCGAGCTTGGGATGAGTGTGTCAGAAGTGCACAGTTTGACCAAAATCGATCCGTGGTTCCTCCACCGTTTGAATTACCTTCATGTGTTGACGTCGAATCTAGGCCGTTTCAGTCGCGTATCGGACCTTTCTCGCAACCACATGCGGTGCTACAAGGTGTACGGTTTCAGCGACAAGCAGATCGCCGAAGGTCTTGGCGACTCCTCAGCTACTGAGGACGAAGTGAGGGTTCACCGTAAGTCGCTCGGCGTCATTCCGATGACGAAGGTCATCGACACTATGGCTGCGGAGTACCCGGCGAAGACCAACTACTGCTACATGACCTACAACGGTATTGAAAACGACGTGTTGCCCTGCAGCCCCGCAGACATTGCTCGCAGCTCTGCTGAAGACACCGACTGCACCACCAAATCGAGCGGTCCGGCTATTGTAGTCCTTGGTTGCGGTCCTTACCGTATTGGTTCCAGTATCGAATTTGACTGGTCCGCGGTGAGTTGCGTGAAGGCGCTTAGAAGCCTGGGTTACCGTGCCGTGATAGTGAACTGCAACCCGGAGACTGTCTCCACTGACTACGACGTCAGTGACAGGCTGTACTTCGAGGAGCTCACTTGCGAGATTTTGGATGCGATTAACGACTTTGAAAGGCCTATGGGTGTCGTCATTTCTGTCGGAGGGCAGACCGCCAACAACATGGCCTGCAAGCTGCACAGCCTGGGACTATCCATTTTGGGTACCAGCGTGGAGTCCATCGACCGCTGTGAAAACCGCAACAAGTTTTCCAAGCTGTGTGATGTCCTCGGTATCGACCAGCCCTCTTGGGAGGAGTTCACCTCCTTCGAGGCGGCAGAGCAGTTCTGCACCAAGGTGTCATTCCCCGTCTTGGTTAGGCCCTCTTACGTGTTGTCCGGCGCTTCCATGCGCGTGGTCGTTTCCTTTGACGACTTGAAGAGCTTCCTGCAGACGTCGGCTGTGATTAACCGCGAGCACCCAGTGGTCATATCCAAGTTCATTGAGAACGCCAAGGAGGTGGAGGTTGACTGTGTGGCGTCGCAGGGTATCATCCTGAACTACGCCATCAGTGAGCACGTGGAGTACGCCGGTACGCACTCCGGTGACGCTACGCTGATTCTGCCGGCGCAAAACATTTTGGTCGGCACTCACCGTCGTGTGAAGAAGATAACCCAGAAGCTTTCGCGTTACTTGAACATCAGTGGTCCTTTCAACGTGCAATACCTATGTAAGAACAACCAGATCAAGATCATCGAGTGTAACTTGCGTGCATCCCGTACGCTTCCCTTCATTTCGAAGACTTTGAACATGAACTTCATCGACCAGGCTACCCGCGTCATGGTGGGCAGCCCCGCTCGGGTGCAAAACATCCAGTTGATGGACATCGACTACGTTGCCATCAAGATGCCGGTGTTCTCGTTCGACCGTCTGTACCCCTCAGACCCATTGGTTGGTGTGGATATGAAATCAACCGGCGAAGTCGTTGGATTCGGCGAGACCAAATACGAGGCGCTCATGAAGGCTATGATATCAAGTGGCATGCGCATCCCATCCCGATCGATTCTGGTATCCTTCGGTACTGAGGTCGACAAGTTTTTGATATCTCGTAAAGTGGAAACGTTGCTTGAGCTTGGCTTCGACGTGTACGCCACTGAGGGCACCTACAACTTCCTCACCCGCATGAACGAGGTTTCGACTTCTGAAGGTCCAATGTCCGGTCGTTTGGATGTGCGGTCGCTGCTGTCTTCCAACCTCGTTTTCTTCGAGGACACCATCACTGACGGATGGTCGGGCAACACCGAGAAACGCCCTCGTGGCAAGCTGTTGCCGGCGTACAAGCCCAGCGACGGTCGCGAGCCTAGTGCAGTGAGTCTGATGAAGAGTGGCGCAGTTGACATGTTTATCAACGCTGCCGGCCGTGTGAACCCCGAACGCGCTTCGGACGGTTACATCATGCGCCGCACTGCCGTCGACAACAAGGTCACCGTGATCACCAGCATCAAGCTGGCGCTTCTGGTGATTGACGCGCTGGTCATGCGCCACATCCGCACTTCAAAGGGCAAGGTCTTCTTCCACAACAAAAGCCACCAGGAATACGTGAACTAAGCGTATTACTGCCTCGATTCAACACACGGCTATTAAAAGGTTGTATGAGTTCAGGCTGCGTGAGTTTATCCGTGACTAGTTGCATGGCCCGCCAATACGATACGTTTTCTTCCGTTACATTCTGATCTCATCGCCGAATGTAACTATGTTGATTAAACTGCAGTTGACCCAAATGCAGAGGCGTGTATTAGTGGTGATTAATGCGAATGGTTTTTGTAGGATGTAGTATATGATTACAGCTTCCTTTGCGAAGCTGACTTTCTGCGTCGATCATGCAGACCTTTTATTTTTGATCCTTGCTATTTTCGATATGACATTTGCGCTAAAGGGCCCGTTACATAAGTCCGTTTATTGAGTTTTACGTGTCTGCCATTTCGTGTTTACAAAGTGCATTTTTGATTTTCGTATTTTGGGGCATATAAACGTCGCCCACAATCAACTTTAACTTACATTTAACTAATGATAAGATTTATGCAATATGCGTATACAACGTGCTTAGGAGCAACTCCTGGAGTTATTTTGGTGCTGTAAAGGTCGACACCAAACCCGTGTGCTTCGCAAAGGTCATTCAGGGACAGGCCATTCCTCCTCAAACAAAGTGCATACGTAGTGAAACGGCGCACTCTGTGGAATATAAAAGAGCTGTCAACTTCCTCATCAGTGATAGCGGTTGAGTGCAATAGAAGAAGGGCTACCTAGTTTTGGCGGTACATAATGACGCAGAGTCGTACTGTGCGCATTAATACACATCGCATCTCGCCTTAGCCGGGTCGCAACAGCTTGGATGCTGCTATTCAGGCCCAGGATCGCATGGTCTACACACTGTGTGTACTAGCCGTGTGAACTATTAACCTTGCAAGCGTTGCATTAAATCGCTTGCCTATTGATTTGTGACATTCATAGTGAATATATTAACGTTTTTCGGGGGGCACGCGGTTGTTGCTTTGCCAGATCGTCGTGCTATGCTGTCAGACGTGGTGTTGGTGCTTCGTCCACGCCATACATCACAGCTACCGCATCTGCTAGATTGTTTACTAATTCGCAAGGGTGTTTGTGTATAATTAAATGTGTCCTTGCCGTTACTTTGTCTAGTGTTTCGACGCGCTGTTCGTCGAATCGTATGTTTGTGACGAACCGCTCTGAGTGTGTCGAGCGGGTTCGTTGCATCTTTCCGCGAGCTGTGTATCTCTGTATGTGTTTTAATATGTTATGTAGCTATTGTTTTCTAAAGCAGTCCCAAGTAGTTGTAGTTTCGAGCGCCTGTCTACAAGTCCTCTGATGAACGTCAATACGCTTTATCCGGGCAATGTGGGCAGCCAACTGTCGTCCGAGGCCTTATGCAGAAGCCTAAAGAATGCGCTGGGTATCAATTCTCCCGGCGGTGGTGCCGCCGGCACTAGGGAGGATGCAGGCAGCCGTAACCTTCGGGAGCCGTGCCCAAATATTGTTCTCCCGAGGTCCCCTGCAGCAATGGCGACATTTCCAGTAGCAATGCCGCCTCATCCCCCTAATAAGGCCCGGGATCCAATGGCAGGTTACCCCTGCCCGTCATCGATTACGCCTCCGGTGCCCCGGTGCCCACCGCCGCAACCCTTGCCATCTGAGGGCCACACCAGCGTCACGGTGCCGTCGTCGACCGTGGATGTGGGTTTTGCGCCGTTGCCCGAGCGAGACCCATCGATATCGAAGCAGCGCGCCCTCATTTTGACCAAGAACAGCAACGTGGATGCTGACTTGCTAGATCAGGCACTATCAGACTGCTACGGCCGCTTCGTCGCCCTGCTCCCGGAGGAGGTGCTGCGCGACCATGTGCGGCTGTGCTTCTACCTGCGCGACGCTTACTGGTGGTACTGCGACAAGTGGGCCGTGCGCCACCCCAACAAGCTGTGCCCGCTGAAGTTCGGGGCGTTCCTGACTCTGGTTTGCGACGACTGCCCGCTGCTGCGCGCTTTTATAAGCGACGAGGAGGAGAAGGTATTGCTGGAAAACTGGTCTAAGTACAACCAGAAGATACCGCTGCGCGGTTGTATGGTGATGAACAAGACCTGTGACAAGGTGCTGATGGTGCAGAGCTACAACAGCAACAACTGGACCTTTCCGCGCGGCAAAACCGACGAGGAGGAAGCTGACAGTGCGTGCGCCGCCCGCGAGGTCCTGGAGGAGGTGGGCCTGGACGTGCGCGAGCTGATACATCCTGAGGTTTTTTTGGAGCACGTGAGCAACGGCCGCACGCTGAAGCTGTTTTTCGTCCCCGGCGTCGACGAAAACACCAAGCTCGGCTCAAATACGGAGTACGAAATCGGGGAGATAAAGTGGATACGGCTGTCGTCGCTGGTCGAGGCGCACAAGAGGCAAATGAAGCAGTTCCGTCTTTTCGACGTCGCCCAGTTCGTGAAGGGCCTCTGGGAATTCGTGCGCGACTTCCGCAGGGGGGATCTGCGCGAGCACTTCCCTGGCGCCTACGCAGCGTTCTGCCGTGTGAAGGAAAGCGCAGAGGAGCTGCCATTGCTAGACGGGTGCGGCCCCGGCGACCCGTTGCCGACGTCAAACGGTGGGCACAGGTCTCACCTTTCGAAGTTCCAGTTCAACGACCAGCAGAAGGCGGACCGGTGCTACGAAACTTTCGGCGAGACCAGCGGCTGGTCGGTCGACGAGATGTTCAGGGTGAACCAGGAGAAGTTCGGCGTGCAGTCGACCTACCGGCGCGCGTCTACAGCGGGCAAACTTCGCTCGCCTCCGCGCCGAAAGCTCATACCGTTCGACCCAAAATCATTTATGTCTTAAATATAGTCTTGCTTCTCACTGTAGCCCATAGCCTGTTGGTAGCGCGGTGGGGCCGTGTCGAGTCGTGCTGCGGCGTCACGCTTTCCGCCGCGCCGTTACATAATCAGCCAGCGTGCAATCGCCAAGCAATTTTACCATCGCTTTTTTTGGTTCCTATCGGTAAGTTGTCACCCAGGGCTTCCGCGTCGCCGTGGGCGGCGCCGCGTGTGGCGTCATGACTAATCACTTTTCAGGAGATGGCGACGGTAACAACCACGATTAAGACCGAGCTCTGCTCGTTCAGCGACTACAGGGTTTACCCCGGCCGCGGCCAGAAGTTCGTGGCTCGCGATGGGAAGGTGTACTTCTTCCTCACCTCCAAGGCTGCCTCCCTGCACAAGCAGCGTGTGAAGCCGGCCAAGGTTAAGTGGACTCCGGTGAGTTTTCCGATTTTGCGCACGTGTGTAATTCGCCGCAGAGCTGGAGGAAGGCCAACAAGAAGTTCCAGACGGTGGTGTCCCACCGCCGCCGCTCCAAGAAAGCCGCCAAGTACCAGAAGGCTTTCTTGGGCTTGAGTCTTGAGGAGCTCAAGGCCAAGCGTGCGACTGCCGCCAAGTCTGACTCTAAGCTGGTAAGTCCTGGTTTCACTTGAAGGCAGAGTGGTCTTTGGCGGTTTCCCCCGCCTCCGACCTAGTGCCCTTCGCACAACAACGCTCCGTGTCGTGTGTGGCCATGGTCACCGTGACTACGAGCAACATTTTGATCCGCTTACGCGAAATCCTGCGGTTGACGCAACTCACACGCTCGCAGAACCCCAAGCAGGCTATGCTCGCCGAGGCCAAGGAGAAGGCCAAGAAGCTCAAGGGCGCTGCTCCCAAGGCCGCTGGCGCTGTTCCCGCCAAGCAGGTCCCCATCCCCAAGAAGATCACCAAGACCGCCATGCGCAAGTAACTGCGATCGTAATGTCTTTTCGTGATTTCGATATTGCGTGGTGTGGCCCGCTGCGGGAGGATTGAGGTTCACTGTGCGCGCCGTACGTACCATGAGCATTCGTGTTTCGTGTCGCGCAAGTGATCCGCGCTCACCATATACCCGTAAAAGCGATTAGAATTTATACAGTTACAAAGTGGGCTAGAGATACAGTAGTGACGGTATGCTTGGCAATCGCGTTTGCGCAGCGTCACGTAATACCCTTGGTATTGACAAAATGCCCTTTCTGGCATTTTACGCACGTCCCACTCCTAGCGCCCTAGCGCTGCGGCGGTGGTCCGTGGCGAGGACATAAATCTGGTGCGGTATGCATATACCGAGCTCGTTTGCGATGTTGTGTTTTGCACGTTACTTCACCAGCGAAGGAGGGAAATCGGCGCGCCCGTCGGCACCGTAGCCCGCACCTACCTCCTGGTAATAGCCCGTGCGCTCGACGTGGTGCGACTCCCCAGCGACGGGGCTGCCCATCTCCGAGGACGTGTCGATTCCCGACTCCCTGGAAGACAGGCTTGGAACCATCATGTAGGCGGGATCATTGCGCCTATACATGTGTTGCAAGACGGTTTCGCGTGTGGATTGGAATTTGTAATCGTCCTCTGTCAACTGCAGTTTACTTGCGAAGTCGTTTGCCATGCCAGCCACGTGTTTCAAGTAGCTGCCGAACATCGACTCGCCATTGCTAGCGAGGTCGGTTACAACCTGGTAGAAGGGGCCGCCTCGCGCCTCTGGCGTCTTCGACACATCACCGTCGTCATACCTTCCGTTGGCAGTGTGTACGCTGAGCGTTGTTTATGCGGGGCACTGTGTGGTCCTACCTGGAGTCAGGCGCGGCCGCAGCAGCCATAGATTGCGATTGCTCGACCATCCGGCGCATATTCGCATTTTGCTGCCTGAGGTACTCGTTCGCACGCTCGAGCTTCCTTATCTCATTGTTGATACCTGAGCGCTATAAACGGCGACTGCGTTCAACCTACTCTCTACTTCGTCCTTCAACCTGTTGTGTTGCCGTATTAGCGCCTCGCGCTCAGATTCTACCGACATTGCGGCTGCTGGGCTTCAGCCCGTGCGTGTCTGTGAAGTTTAGCAAGTAGATTCCGCCACCCGCGACTGTTTCAACAGTCTCCTCCCTAGTGATAAAAGTTTATAGGTGTGTAAGCACTGATCTTCTAGACAGCGACCTACGTCGCCGAAGGTGTTGTGGCGTGCACATACCACTCCTGGATACGGCGGGCTCACTACACAGCCAGCGCCAAACGCCACACATTCAACAAGGAAGAAAGGTTAAGCCATGCCACAGCACGGAAATCCACCTTTCCCACGGAGAAATGTACGTCAACGAACGTTGTATATGAAAGATTATAGGTCATGACCAAATTCACATCGCGATTGCTACGGTCAAAGCTTCGTCGGCGAAATGACTTCAGTGTCCATACCCCGCTGAACCTTTTACAGACGCCGATTACTCAACCTTCTTGCGGAAGGAGCAGCCCTTGGTGAGTCTGCACTTGCCACCGGTGGGCTCAGACAGGACAACGTTGCAGCTGCGAATATCATGAGACTGATGCAAACAGTGTTATATAAAAAGCACCACCATCACATAACACAACTATAAAGATAAAACCATCTGCGCCGCGCACAGCGCCATTTCAGGGCCAGGGCGTCAAGATGCCAACCACACATCAACCTTGGATATAGCGATCAGTCCACAGCACGACCGCAAATACAATCCACATGTCGCGCTACACCATGAGATCGGCGCTCCGGCCACCCTCAATATAGGAGTCCGCCTGGTGTAGTAGTGGTTGTGCAGACTTGACAAGGGGATATATTGCTTACCTGCCGCAAATGACGGCGGTCTGGGCGTGGCTGAAGACGGTGGTGATAGTGAGACACCCGGGGCAGCGCACGTCCATGAAGAAAGAGTTGGGGTTCTGCACCAGCCTCTTAAGCTTGTGCTTCTTGGCCTCCTCCTTGGGGTCCACGTGAAGGCAGTCGAACTCCATTTTCTTGAGTCAGATGCCTCTTTTTATGTTCCAATCACTTAGACGACTGCGTATCATGTGCTTTGTCGTTGGAGCAGGTCGCTTACCCCGGTTACTTGAGGACTGTCTCAAGGCTCCCGGTGTTGTTCCTCAGTTTCTGTGCGTCCTGGCGATGAAAGAGCTATGCCACGAGCTCTATAATATGTGACTGAAAGTTCCGATAGCGCCACGATTGTGAATAGCCGCCGGGGCCGGAGGAGAGCGGCCTCGCCGCGATGGGGAGGCCGGCGCCCTGTAGCCCCATGAGTAAGATTCTAACACTGCGCCGACACACCGGTCGACATTTACACATTAGGATATTTAAATTGCGCTTTTATCCGTGTTCAACCGCTATCTTAGAATCACCTGCCCGCTCGCTGTACCTGTGTTTAGGTTCGCCTTCTGGCGTGCGAAGAATCCCCTCACGTCCACCTAGACCACATATATCCTATTAATTTTCGTTAACGTTCGGCTCGTGGTGTAGAGATATGCCAAAAGTCTCGGCCTACGTCGGATGTGTTAGAATTGTACCACTACGCGGCCAGAGGTTTGTGAGGCCGCTGCAACCACTTAGCTCAACATTATCACTCCAAAATAACTATAAAACAAAAAAATGACGCCACGATGACGTCGTGCTGCTCTGCCTCTTGACGAAGCTTTCTGTGTGTAGATTCGGATATCGTGCGTATTGCGCGGCGCGTTAGTCGCTGTTGCCCGGCGCCATAACTAGCTGATCATCGCGGAGGTCACGATGGTGTTGCTAACGGACTACAATTTGCTGATCGAGTCGATTTATTCCCACCGGTCGGAGTGCGTGCTGGCCCACCTCCAGAGCGGATGCTTCTTCGAGACCGACCTTCGTGGCCTCTTCCGCGGCGACGAGGTGGGCGTAGATCGCCGTATCAAGCGTCATTTATCTGCGCCCTGCATATTTCCGTCGGTTCAATCCGTGATTCCGGCCTACGCGCGTACCACCGCGCTGTCTGTCTGCCGGGATTCCTGCGGGGGGGTATACCATGACCTCGAGACAGGAAAATGCATCAGCCGCATATCGCGCTCGGTGTACTCGAACCGAGTGCCCACTGGAATCACGGATCTGGGTGGAACGTGCACGCATCTGGCATCCGCGTCGGACAGCAACAGTCCCCTGGTGTTCCTCTCAACCGCCCTGGGTGACATAAATGTGATTGATTTGCGCGTCGGCGTGAAAGGTGAATTCGGACACCCGGTGATGAGCCTGTGCCGCTGCCACTCCGGAGCGATTTCCTGCATGTACAACTTCCGCGGGTACAGCTTCAGTCTCGTCTCCGGAGGGTACGAAGATGGGAAACTCAACTTCTTCGACTTGCGATTTCCGTACGACCACGTCAAGAGCCCGTACGTGGAGCGCCCTATGCCGCTGCGGTCGTTCGAGATGCACCTGAGGAACCAGACGAAGTACGTCGACATGGACGAGACCGACCAGCAAATTCTGAAGCACATGAAGCTGGGGCGCCTGACCAGTATGGCGGTGAGTCACGACGAGCGGTTGATAGCACTCGCAAATGGGCAGTCGGAGGTTGTTATTTGCTCCGCCCACGAAGATGTGCGCGTACTGAAGATGGGTTTCCTGTCCTCCAAGGACGACTACGCGACCTCGGTCAAGTTCGGCCCGCGTGACATGGAGCTGTATTGCTCGACGTATGACCTGCTCGCCGGCATAGAGCGGTGCAAGCGTTATTTGCCAGGCGCTGCTGCCGTTGATTCGGATGTTCCGTATCCCTACCCATATAACTTTGTCATGTGGCCCATGCTGAACTTCATGAGCAACGATTGGGTGACATCGTCGGTGGAGCAGTTCGGGTACCGGGACGATTTCGAGCTTGTGGAAGACATGCATACCAGTGCACTGTTTGGAGCCTCTCCGGGCATGGTTCCCTCGAGGGGCGACGCCGACGCAATTGCGCAAGACACGGCTGAACCTAATACTGAGGATGCTGCCGAGGGGAAAATATCGCGCCGTTCCAGTATTCGTGAAGATTACTACACGGAGCTCGTGCCTGATGAGGATGATACGGCCGCAGACAATGGGTGCGGTTTCATATCGCCGATGGACCGCCTCAACGTGACCAGGGGGCGGGATGCCGAGACGAAGCACCGGTCATTCCGCAGCCACCGCCCGGGTGTCCTGCATCCACTCATATTCACTATATGTAACGACTACGCGGTGTCTGCAGGCGGCTGCGAGGCCGGCACTGCCACCGTCGACGTCTGGGACCCGCAAAGTCAACAGCTGATATGCTCGGCCAGCACTCCAGAGGTATGTATATGTCCTATATTTTGACCATTTGTTAGACGCGCAACATCCGATTTGAGCACATCTGCAGCGGAGACGACGGCGTCGTGCTTTTGAGTGGCACATTCGAGCGTTCCGTTGACAGGATCCCGTTGACGTCGGAGGATCACGGGCACATCAACAAGTGCGTATGTGTTATGAAGCCCATTTCCAGGGAGGCGCTGGCCGCCAGCAGTGTGTCAAACATTGTCAACTGCTCCGCGATCTAGAAGTCTCCGTCAGAGTCCGACTCGTCGTTCCAGCGCTTCCGTTGAATCTACATATTTCCTAGGTCGGCGTTCTGGATTTACCTTTATGTTGGAGATGTTCTTCGAGGCCCCCGCTCCCATAGCCTGCATGTTCAGCATATGTCTGTTGCTAGACTTGTTTCGTGAGATTTGTCATTGCACATTCGGTACTCATCGCATATATTTCATACAATAACACATCAGGATGTAATGTTGACCACTGCTAGTTTATATGATCATCGTATGCAGTAATGTGTCCTCGTTTGTTGCTAATATGCGCAACTACATTTTCCTCACGGCGTCTCGTTGCGTCAACTAACTTACCTCGATGAGGTGTTTCAGCTCGGGGTCGTCCATTTTGTTGTGTCTTCCGGCTCTAAACGCCGTCTGTAAACATGTTACAGATCCGTTACAGCGTTTTCACGCACCTGCATTAGGTAATTCTCGATTTGGGTCGCCTTCTCTGGCTTGACCATTGCGATGCGGTTTACTGCAAATGATGTGGCAAACGTGCAGAGACATACGTCGTTCCTGTGCTTCCACAGTAAGCAAGGTGCGCAGTGTCATGCGCCTGGCCTCCAAGATGCTCCTGTGCTGCTGTGATGAGTTTCTTCCTGTCACTCACTCGCGCTTGGCCTCCTCTTGCATCTGCTTCTGCGAAACATGAAACGACATCAACGTTGCCATACCTCCTGCTGGTTGTGAGGAATGGCTTGCGCGTTCTGCGCAGCCTGGTTAAAATCCAGCTTCTCCATGGCTGCTGACGTTTGTCTGTCTTGTTGGTGAGTGATGTGCAGGAGGTCGACAACCCCCGAGCTTCCAGCCGCACGGCAATTTCGTGACACTATTCAAAGTATATTTCGCATGTGTTGCTGAACTGCGCGTGGAAGATTGCACTAGAGCGTTCCACCGCCTCGAATGTCGTCGCTTTAGGTGCGCACATGTGTACTCGTATAGCGACGGAACGGCGTCGCAACCGCTCCGCGACTTTGGCGATAGTGTTGAATGGCATACTCTCAAACGTGCCGGGAGATAGCTGGAGCGTTAGCATGGCGAGCGCAAGATCGCGCTCGTCGATGGGATCTTCGTGAGCCAGTACGTCGGCCACCAGTCGGTGGAGTCGCACGCGGGAGCGTTTATCGGCAGCCTGAGCCGCCGCAACACATATATCCAATAGAATCCGCGATGGAGGAACGTGTCTGAGGAGGTTCCGCAGGCAGTTGTTGCTTACGTGCTCCGCAATGTCTCCCAGTGCCGTGTCTCGCATCCCGAAGAAGGCTGCGCAGCTGAGAACCTCCGCTGTTCCTGTTCGACACTAACGTTACTTGCACAATACACTTACCATATGCACTCCACGATTGCGGCTGTCTGCGATATAAGTAGAAGATTTTGTCGATCAGCTCCGGGTGGTATATTCCTGCTTGCATCAGGCATCTCAGCACCACCCGCAGTACCCTGGGTTCCGCTTTCGTCTCTTTCGGGGCATTGCGTGATTTACTGTCTGAATTCACAGCGTATGAAACATCCACTGCGCCTATACGACTGTTTATGCTGGACACCAGATTCTGCATTTGCTCAACCCGGCGGGCGTACGCCTCTTCGCCGAAGCTCCTCCATTGCATCGTCTGAACAATGGCATCAAACGTATCCGCAATACCCTCCAGATCAGCATCACTGTCTTTCGTGCGCATACGAGTGTCATCAATGACCCTGTCTACTGCTTCAGCTAGATCGCCATCAAGGGTTGCCCTGCCTCCATCATCCTTCGTTTCATCCTTGCTTTTTGCGCACAGCAGACTGCATTGCATGGCGAGCGCGTTGGCGAAGTTGGTAGCATCCTTGAAATCAACGGCGGCGCTCATCTCATCAAGGTAGTGCGATGATATCAGCTGGAGCGTCAGGGCGTCGAGCGCCTCCCCGCATGTAGAGAACGCCCTGATCGCCGAGGAGACGTTCCTGCATCTCGACGGACGAAGCAGAGCTTCCGTGTTGGTTTCCAGGTGCTGTTTGAGCTTACCAACCGGGATGTATATGCGTAGCCTGCTTGCAGCTGTGAGTGCCTGCCAGAGGTCGATGATGTTGAGATTATCAGCCTCGGTGACCTTCCTAACGAATAGATCCCTAGTCGCGCTTTCCAGGCATACACCTGCCTCAGACAGGTAGTATACGACGGTTATTATGGCGCTGGGCGTCCATTGTTCAGCGCTGGTGTGTGCGACCTTCTCCTGGATGAGCTCGGCGACGTCGCCGCCATAGTCGCGTGCTACAGGCTTATGTGTCGCATATTTGGTACTGTAGTTGCCTGAACCTGGAGTGTGTGCTGGCTGAGGCGGGTATTTGCGATCATTTAACGCCTTTGCAGCTACAAACTTGATTGTCTGCGGCAACACATTGTCGTCCAGTTCCAGCAACCGCCTCAACACACCCGAACCTTTCGCACGTCTAAGGTATGAAAATGGTACCATTAACTTATAACATTGTGTTGTGCGCTCATTTGAGAGCGGCCGCGACCTCACCGGCGTTGGTGACCGTGGCTCCGGTGGCGGGGTCGACGACCAGGAGGTGGCCATCATCGATGAGCTGCTGCAGGTCCATCTCGGCCAGTTTGTGCGCTGTCTTATCGTGCTTGGCGCCCTCCAGCTTCCTGATGGCGAGAGCGTCTTCCATGGCACGCTCTTCCACCCTGGCGATAGCACTCTCCCATTCCTCTTCCGGAAGCTCTTTGGCGACTGCTATTCTCTCGCGGAGTTGCTGCGCATAATCCTCGAATTCAGCCCTGAGCGGGTCGTCGCGGCGCATGCGGCGGAGGTAGGCCTCCAACACCGTCTCGTTCTTCAGCTTCAGCCAGTTAGGGCCCCTCTGCTGGATGAGTTCCACCTGGTTCTCCACACGGGTGGCGTACGATGGGTTGATGCGCATGCCCAGGATGCGGTAGTGCTCCATCATGTTATGGAAGCACTCCAAAGGCGAGGCCATCGGCGCATCCACGGCGGCGTTGGCTGGCAGCACGAACAACGCATTCACGTCGTCGCCGAGCGATAGCACCCGCGCTCCCCCGTTCTTGTCATGCCCGCATTTGGACAGGATGTACTGCAGCTGGAACTTCGACTGCACTGGCACCAGCGGGTCGCAAAGGAAGCTGAAGTTTCCCATAAGGTTGGCCAGCGTGTGCTCGGCGGCCTGCTTCTCCTGTGTGAGCATTGCCATGTAGGTCTCCTCGCCGGTGTGCTCCTCACCGGTGCCGAAGTCGTCGGGCTCGAACCTGGCCACGCGCTCCAGCTGGCGCTTCTCCCTGCGTCGTTGAGTGACGGCGAACTCTTTGAAGCGCTGGTCCTCCAAGTGCGTCAGCCACTGCCACGGCGGCAGGTCTGGGAAGTGCCTGAAATCGTCGCCAGTGCGCAGCAGGAAGTACGACATGTGCTCGAAGAACTGCTTGCGGTTGATGTCGTAGTACTCCCAGGCGGGGAGGTGGTGCATGTACTCGTACAGCATGGGCGTGTCAGTACGCTCGTTGAACTTGACCATTCTGGAGTTCCAGCTGGCCTTGTTGGCCTCGACCACGGCCGGCGCCTCTGGGTCGGGCGCGTCACCCGACTGCGAGTACATGCCGTGCTTCTCCACGAAGGCTTGCCAGTACTGGTCGCTCTCGAGCCACTGCGAAATTATGACGAACACGAAGCCAAACATGTACTTACCTCATTAGTGTCGACCTTCCACACGGGCGGGTTGTTCTGTGACAGCCACAACGCCTTGGAGCCATCGGCGACTATCTTGTTCACCGCCCGCGTCGCCTGCTTGCAGTTCTGACGTGCGGCCTCGTACAGCTCCCAGTTCGATTCGAGGTGTGTACTGTCTCCCTCCTCGGCAGCTGCCTTCTCGATCATAGCGATGTTGGCGTCGTAAGTTTGTTTCATGTGGCGGAGGATGTCCTTGTGCGCGATGAGACCCTCCCACCGGGCCCAGTCGACCACATCGGACTGCCGCTGCGCCGCTTCCACGGTGTTAGATACCGCCAGCTCGGCGTTCTTCAGGTCGGTCCAGCACGCCTCCTGCTTGGCGTCGCCGCCGGCCGCGAAGGCGCCGAGATTCAGCCAGGTCTGGGTGGAGGACCCTGAGCCCCCGGCGGATGAGCGCAAGGCTCGGCTCCTGGCAAGTAGAGCCCTAATAACGGCCATTTTGCGTTTATGGATACGACGAGGCTAATCCAGCGTCTGAGCGGTCACACGGCCCGAGTCTTCCCTGCCCATTTCCCCACGCGCGCCTCGGTACATGGACGGCGGCTCCAAAACATTGCCGTCGGTTGTCAAGTGGTTATTGTAGCGATCGTTAAAATGCCATCTGTGGCGCTTATGTCTTTGTTATGTGTAACTATAAAGGCGTTCACCCCGTCTGCCTAGACGGATTACTGCGTGCATCTGCCGGGGTGTGTATGACGAAAGACACCCGGTACTGGTAGACATTTCATAGTGCACACTCTGCTGCCTACGCTGCTAGTGAACAGGCCGTAGCGGCGTGCAACGTACGCTTCCTGGCAGCTTATAGTTTATGCTGAACTGGAATAGCGGCACCAAACTTAAGACACTGATATACGACTGTGTTCGACAAAAGCTATCGTGTAGACATTCAATACTAGATACAACAGCCGCGCTACGTAACGATTTGGTCAAATATCTGCCACATATCCAGCATGCAATGGTTTTGCTGATGGATTTATCTTTAGTTGCCCATTCAATATGTATAGGCGAGATATAGAATGGGAATCAACACTAGGCTGGCAATTGCAATAACTTTCCATGTCGGCACGGTGTACTGGCTGGAGCCGATATCTGCACTGTGTTATACACGGGGGAGTTGCACTCACCTGGCGATATCTCGAAGTCCTGTTGCAGCAGCAGCTGCTTGTCGCTGTCATCTTGCTTGTGGGCGGATGGCACCAGCCCCACGGCCATGGCATCGCGGTCGAAGATCGCCATGTAGCGATTAATGAAGCTGACGCCCATGACGAAAAGCGGTCCCTTCGGCTTCGGCACGTCCATTGCCATTATGCCCACCACACAGCGCATTGCTGCGTCTGGCGTTCCTTCAGCCTTGGTAGCTACGCGAGGTTTCTCTCCTGTTGTCGAACTACGACCTTTGACATCGTCTGCATTGCGGCCAGATTTCTCAGCGTCACCGCCTTCGGAATTCGCTGATGTCTCTCCAGCAGCACCGCCATCCACACCGTGATTCCCGTCGTCGTGTCGTTTATCATGGTCACTGACTGCCTCACCGGGCTGAGAGCTGCGGCTGCCGGTGGTAGTGGTAGTGGCGAGATGCATTCCGAAGTCGGCGTCATCCTCGTCCATGCGTACCAGGTAGTCGTCCGGAGACATGTCGAATTTAATGCGCCTCCCGAGCATGTCGACGAACACAAACGAGATGGTGGGCAGCGAGTTGGCATTGGAGCAGTCCCCGGAAAGCGACAGTTTCTGCAGCAGTGGCCCTACGACCTCGGAGGGGCCCGAAATGAGACTGCTCCCGGTGTCTATGGCCGCGTTGTATTTACGCTGCAGCTCCATTGGCTTGCCGTCGATCAGGATGGAGTCCATCTCGATCTCCCAGAAATCAGTGGAGACCACGGGGAACCACCATGGGCTGTGCCCCGGGAGCACGTACATTGGGTCGATGCTCCCGAACGACAGCGTGCCGGGTTGTGTGCGATCTTTGGTCATGTAGAATGCCATGATGTTGCGATTGAGCAGTTTCTGCACGCGGATGAGTTTTTAAAAGCGGATGCCGGTAACCCACCTGCTTGACGATGTTGTCCATCAAAGGCAGCGAATCAGTGTCGGCGCTGAATGCTGCGTCTGGGAAGCCCAGGCCAACAAGGCCGTCAAATGGCAGGTCACCAAAGGGGTGGTCACTCTCGTAGGTGGCCAGCCCCAGAGACTGATTCTTGACTTCCAGCGGGCCGATCCTGACGGTGTCAGATCCAAGTGCCAGGACTGCAAGGTAATCAGCTACGTCATGTGCTCACGTACCGCATTCTCCGGTGCCGTACTGTATGTACGCGTTGGAGGCAGCACTACCAGGTGCCGCTTCCTTGTACGTGCTCGACTGCGTGGAGTCGAATTGCCTGTGCCTGGCACATCCGTTGCTGTAGGCATTTTAGAAACAGCGCCATTTGCACGCCTTACCTCGAACACTGCTTTGAAGGAATCCAGAGTTGGCTAGAGCCAGTGTCGAATACCTGCATTCAGATAGGGCTGGATAACGGCGTCACTCACCACTACGAACTTGGAGGGCGGCGTGCCCACCTCGATCTCCCCGAAGTATTGGTTGTTCTCGAAGTTGAACAGAAACTGTCGAAGCATCTGCGCACCAGGGGCTCCTGCGTCTGTCGTGGGTTCGGCTGATGGGCTGGCAGTCTCCGCAGACTGCCAGGTGAATGATGAATCACGGGCTTTAACAATTCTATCTTTTCTCTCATGTCCTGATGACGCCTTGTTCGTACTCCGCGTGTTTTTGTCGGGGCCAGGTTCTCGTCTGTTCTTTGCGTTGTTAAGCTGCGTGAACCTGTGCAGCTTAATTGCATATTTGGGCTTCATAAAGAGTTGCGATGTTAGCATGCGCGGATACTGCGCCCTCAACGAACGCTGAAGAGCTTGCGCTGGCGTGTTCCATGTCGGCGTGGCCTTGTTGCAAGTCGCAGCGACATCCGCATCTGCGTATGCGTCGATGATGACATCTTGGCAGCCGTTGGCGCCGTGACACTGCTGCGACCTCGAAATTGCGGCAGATTGCAAGTTGTCCCCGAGTCCGTATACACATCGGACGTATGCTGCCGCAATGACGACGGCATACGCTGATGTGACCTTCATTTATGTTGCGATGTGTAAGCTGACAACAGCCTCGATTGAACAAAACTACTTTACAGAACTTCAACAGATCTCGTACACCATCATTCAACACCCTATTTAGTGCCGACAGCAGTGTCTACACAAGCGGAAGGAACGTTAAGACAGCGGCTCAGCCATGGGTGTGTGTAGACACGTGCCGGTAGAGCTCTCGTAACGTCTAGGATCGAAAGGATTACAGTTGGAGTTAATCCACAAGTTCATATGCGATAACACTGATTCTTAGGTCAATGTGTATACAAAACGGGGCAGTAAAGCACCACTACCACCCGTTACGGTACGGCAACAAAACGACATCGTGTGTAACACAAAAAGGTTCCACGACTATTCACGTTTGTCGTGACACGTTTTCCCTAAGTTGTTGTACATAGTACTCGTCCTGCATCATATAAGGCGATGAATTTTGCCGTTACCATTTCCAGAGGCGGATCACGGCCCAGCCGGCAGCGGCGTGGAGGACGACCACGCCGAACACACGCCACAGCCACCAGGCGCTGACGGTGTATGCGACAAGCACGTGCTCCGTGTAGTATGGATCCATTCCGTGGAGAGCCAGTCGAGTTACGTTTACTGTGACTTCCTGTATAGCCACCGCGGTACCCAGCATTATTCGTTGTCGTTGTTTAACTTCGACAATAGCGCCATTTGGATACTCCACTTGTGTTACCGTGGAACCTGTAATGTTCATTGAGTTGCGCACATTACGTTTAATTACCTGGTGGCAACGTGATAGTGTGCCTCGCCTTATGGATGTACATATAGTATATCGCCGGGTACAGCGGAACGCATACGACAAATTCCTTGCCTGTCAGATACTTCCAAATCCAATCAATGATTCGAATAGTGTTGTAGATAACAAATCTATCTATTCTCGTATATCCTAATTCCTTTCTTGATTTCAGTATGCATTTCGGCAGGCGGTACTGCACCGTGAACGATGTCTTCCATCCGCCCAGCAGCGGGTACCTCGGAAGCAGCTGCACATAGTTGAGCCGCTAGCCATATATCACCTACGTGTACGGATTTGTAGTTGTGTGACGCATTCTTGTCGATTAGGTACGCCCGTGCATTATTCCCTATGTCGTCGAAGTACCTGAGTTTGGAGGCCTGCTGCGGAAACAGCGCATCCATGTATGTCACAAAATTCCCGCCGCCACGGTGATTGTCCTCATTCCTATCGATTTCTCTCAATGTTTCCAGCGAAAAGTGGCCCTTCGAAAGGTGACAATGTTAGCAGGTGGCCCTACCTCTACCGGCGACGCATCGTTGTAAACTACGTAGTGCTCCGCAATCTGGATATGGCCACTGAAAGGGCACATAGGGACGCTGATTCGCTTGTGCAGTTCTGGGATATATTCCAGACTGTCGTTGCAGTCGATGGTAAGAACCATAGGCTCCCCGGACGATAACAGCTCCACCTTTTCGAACGGACCGCACAGGAAGATATTCTCAGCTATCTCGGTCAGAGTGGCGTAGACGTGTAACGACTCCACATCTATATTTAGTTCAGACATCACGATGAACCGCGTTTTCTGGGAGATGGAGTGATAGGCGCTTGGAAGGAGTGTGGTGATGCCGAAGGCAACCCGTTGCTGTTCACCTAACTTCAGGCGGGACTGCCAGGGACTATACGGCTTTCCCAGATAGTATTCTACCCTAACTTTTGTTGTGGCTTCGGGCTGTATCGTTTCCTCCAACTGCACTTGGTAAACTGCCGGGTAGCATGAATCCCTGCAGGTGGCATCGTCTTTGAATGACTGGTACTGATCGTCAGGGAGGACGTGAACGCAATCGTTCTTTACTCGCGCAATATCTCTGATTAGTTTGACCTGTAACGTTGATTTGGAATCGCCGTCGATGGCGGTGATACCGTTAGTCTGCATGGCCTCGTGGAATGGCAGGATGAACAAAAAATCGTTACACCCTTCCTGCCTAAGGCACTTCAGCACCATAAGGTGGCTGACGTGTACTGGCTGTGTAGGGAGTATAACATGGCGCGTTGCTGATAGGATCTGCCAGTTGCCCCTGGATCTCAGCAGCCTCTCCCCAAGACCGTCTGGTGTGTCTTCAATTCCCGGTGCTCCTGCTCGCAGGGCAACCTCCCTGAGCTCAGAGAGTCCATAGCAGGCACAGCTCAGGAAGTTAATAGATCGTTCAGTGTCAATATCGACTACGACGTCGTCATCCCAGAATGTGTACTCCTCAACGCCATCGTCAGCAACTGCAGCTCCAATGCTGATTATGGCAAGCACCCAAAACAACGCCAAACACAAAGTATATCCACCTAATCCTGGATTCCTGCCATACATCGTGGCTCTATTTGCCATGGAAGACCATAGTCGCGGGAGAATAACCGCAATACTCCGGTAAGGTCACGCCGCGCTCCCTCCCACGGCCTTCCACGCCGTCGTCACATACCGCGCAACACATTTCCAATTTACATGCTTGATACATCTACATGGTGCATATTGATGCTAATGATGTGTGGAAGGTTCCGTAATAGGCGCCCTTTTCTCATCTGTACCCTAACCTGAACACCACCACGAGATCCTTCGCAGGGCGATACTGCACTGTGCACCTCCACATAAGCTCACCTGGATTCCTTTATACTATTCTTGTCTATACATGTTGCTGCAGTCCATTAAATTCCATATTCTGCCCTGAGTTATAGCGTCATGTGTATCGGCAGATGTGTTTTTCGTTGTGGCGATTTGCTCTAATACTTGCTTTCTGCACGGTTGTTGAGGCCTTTAACTTGCATAAACCGTTACACGAGCCAAAGTCGATACGCATCGGTGGGAGCTGGCAATGGTCTGCCGGTAGGAGGGCAGCTCGCAATGACTGCATCAGTTCCGCTGCAAAAGACCTGAGCAAGTCAGCACTATGTGCAATCCAGCCATTTCACGCTGGATGTGTACCTCCGTCTGCGGGTACACCGCTGCCTGTCAAGGCTATTCTGCTCTGCGGCGGTGTCGGAGAACGCATGAAAAATTATCTGGATCGACTGCTTCAACCTTCTAACGCGGAAGCAAGCCTGCGCGCTGATTGCCCCCCTAGCAAGCAATTCGTCTTTCTGAATGGGGTGCCGGTGTTCATTTACTCGCTGTCGGAGCTACTGCATTCGCCTGTGATCAGTGAAGTGACTATCGCAACAAAGCCTGAGTGGAACCTAAAGGTCCTAGAGCTGGTAGACTCATATGCTGGGCCGTTGCTGGAAATAATTGAGACGAAAGCTGCGTCGTGCAAAAACCCGTCTGAGACAAATTCGGTACAGGATGGAGCTGTAAATTCGCCGACAGCGGAAACCAGTGATGTCTGTGAGGATTCTCCATGTGCATCACCGTCGCAACATGAGAAAGGATGCAGTATTTCCGACACATCTTGCAAAAGTGAGCCTGTTGGGGAGGATTCTCAATCGGCGCCGGAGTTGTCCAGGGTAAAGGCTTTGGAGATAGACGCTGCCCGCAGGTCGGAATATGAATCCCACCTCCGCAGATACCCCTACTTTGTTTATGATTTGTTGGCCCGCCGTTGCGTACTCAACAGCGATGCAAAGTGGTCGGATGTTCTGGAAAAGGCAATGCATGGGTCTGATGCCAAGCGCTACAAGTTGGTGTGTCTGTGCGTCAGCGGTGATAACCGGCCGTGGTCAGTTTACAATGCGTTGCGCCGCAAGAATGCGCTGGATGCGCGAATGCCAGGGTGCTGCAGAGCTGAGTACATAGCCCTGGTGCACGACTCTGTACGCCCGCTCTTGCGTCACGTTGACCTGGAGTCACTGGTGTCCACCGCCCGCCAGCTTGGCGCTGCAGTGCCCGCCGTGCCGGTGACTGATACCATCAAGGTAGCAGCTAACCATTCAGGCAGAACGGTAGTATCCAATACACCTGATAGGTCCACCCTTTTCGCAGTACAGACCCCTCAAGCCTTCCATTCATCTCTGTTGAAGAGGGCCTACGCTACAGTGCTGGGATCTGACGACGCGGAGCCTCCGCCGCACCTCACCGACGACGCTAGCTTCGTGGAACAACTGGAAGGAAAACGAGTGGCGTTAGTCCCCGGTCATCGAGTAAATGTGAAGCTCACGAACTGGGAGGACATCGGTGCATGCTCCAAATACCTGCGGGATACATACTTTCGGGAATAATTAAATGAGAGAAATATGTATGCTGTTAGGTAAAAGACCGCTTATTCTCTATGGGGTTACCGTCATGCCACAGCAGTGGTACTGCCGATGTCGTCTAGGAAGGTAGCGCGTTGCAGTGTGTCATCACGGATGCATCTGTGCGCAAGATTCCCTCGAAATAGAACCTAAAATCGCATTCCAAATGAATCTAGATCACAAACGAGTAGCATTTTGTGTCCGTGTGTGCATGAGCTGGGCTTCCCCTGTTTCTGATGAGGAATTAGGTCCATAAGCCTTCCGTTGGTGTGTGGAAGGCGACGCAGCTGTCGGGTAATCTAAATACCCAAATATGCCACGAAAGCGCGTCTACGTACACCAGTATCACGCCTATCGCGTGGAAGCTATTATGTGTGCCTTTTGCAGCACGTGTCGCCCAGAAGCATGAAGTGGCAGACGAAGCCCGGCGTGCGAGGCTCCGCACCTAGCATAACCGGCCGCCGACGCCGCGAGCTCACGGAAGAGCAGATTGCTGAGATTAAAGACGCGTTCACCATATTCGACACCAATGGCACGGGTAAGCGTGGCGCCGGGTCTCCTCGTAGTCACCCTGAGCAGGTCGCATAGAGGCACGCGAGCTTAAGATGGTGCTGAAGGCGCTCGGATTCGACCCTAGTACCGACGAAATGTACTCTATAATGAGCATGGTCGACAAGGACGGATTCGGCACTGTGACGTACGACGATTACTTCAAAATCGTGAAGACCAAGATAGTAGGTTAAAAGCTATATAAGCGGCGGCCATGGGATTACTAACACCTGCATGTTAGATGCTGCCGTGTGTTCTAATGCCGTCACGGTGGCTATTAACGCCGCAATACACGATGCACTGCCCGTTGTCTAATGACGCTGCAGCTGGATCGCGACCCTGCGGAAGAGATCGCAAAGGCGTTCAAGCTTTTCGCCGACGTCAACACGGGCACGATCAGTTTAAAGGTAAATTTCAGTGTTGATCAGTAACGTGTGTGTAGGATCTGCGTCGCGTCGCCGACGAGCTCGGCGAGGTGGTGTCGGACGAGGAACTAGCCGAGGTAAGCGGCCCTGCCAGTTGGCATTGCGCCTGCAATAAGTGGACATTATACTGGTTTTCTTGTGTGTTACTATGCATTGCGTATGCCTATGGGTGTGACACGCTAACACCGTTCAGATGATCAAAGAGGCGGATCGCGATAACGACGGTGTGGTCAGCGAAGCTGAATTCATGAAGATCATGCGGAAGTCAAACCTTTTTTAATTATAGTCTAGTCACTGTAACACACTGCCACACGGAACACCCTATCGCCACAGCGAAGGTTTGTCAGCCGCGTGCGCCACACAGCCATTCCTGTCTGCGCCTCGATGCGACGGTGACACCGCTGCTATGGGGATTACGGCTTTGCTATTTCTGGCAGTTGTGGCGCGGAGGCATAAGTTTCGAATCTGTGGTTGCACCTGCGAGTGATGCGCGATTCGGCCGCTGCGCTTGTTCTGAACGGTTGCAGGATCGCGCGGCTGTCGCATAGCGCTGCTGAAGTTTGCCGGAAAGATTCGGCGGATCACTGCCCTGCAGGCTGTTGGGGTCTGCAAAAGTGTGTGATGTGCAGCGTCCGGGCGGCGTGAATGACCGGGACGCGAATGGATCTCTCGAAGCTAGCTCAGCCTATCCTGGCGCAAGATGTGCCTCTCGACCTTTTTGAGGCCGACGGATTGGTTCAGTGGGCACGCCAATTGGACGCCGTGCCCCTGCCGCCACCGTCGGCCGTGCCTCTCGACGGCTCCGTCGGCGAGGTGCCTTCTAGCGAGGTCGAATACAGGAGGATGACTGAAGCTGCGCGTGTAGCGGTGTACCCGGATACTAGCGCTGTGGTTCCGAAAACGAAAGCACCGGTGAAGAGGGGGCCAGGGAGACCCCCCAAGCTCTCTTCTGCTCTTGCCCAGGCTGCGCGTGTGTCGCTCGCTGGCCGTGCTGAGAATGCCAGCACAAGCGCATCCCTTCTCGCGGGGTCAGGGCTGCTGGCGCCCATTCCTGACAAGCTGTATGATGAGGATATTCCGTCACCGCCTCTATCTTCTCGCACCAATTCCGTCGGGAGCCGCAGTGGCAAAGCTGAAGTCGCTGTTGAATCCGGATCCCAGCGCAGAGTGGAGGTACATCCTCCGCAACCACCCTCGCCGATAAAAACGCGAGGTTACACTCGAAACAACCGGCAATCCAAGCGCACGGAGACCAAAGCTTCTCGTTCCTCGCGCAGTGTTGCGAAGCTGCCGGCACCAGTTACGACTGTGGAGAACTGGGCTCAATGTGAAAAATGTAAAAAATGGCGAAGATTGCCGCCTTCTGTGGATACCGAAAAACTGCCCGAGTTTTGGGTATGCGCTTTAAACGTTTGGGATCCAGCTCACAGTTCGTGTTTTGTGCCCGAGGAGACCTTCCCTGATCTCAAGCACCAAGAGCCCGTCGCGGAGCCGCAGGCCCCCATTGTCACGGACGATGGGGTTACGCTGCCTATTAGGCCCGTTGAGCCTACTCCCACTGTCAAAGGATTCAATGATCGCCTGATGGATCATGAGGTGTTGGAGCTGCTGTTCGATGAGCAGAGCAACCACCCGTTGAACAAGCGGCTGACGATCCACTCATTGGACGCAAACAGTTTGTTGGCGACGGAGTTGCCACACAATGTGTTACTGGTTGACGAGCTGCCAACGGCCGTTGCGTTGAGCGTGGCCACTGACCAGACACGCCCGCCCAGTGAACTGCTCCATCCCCAGGAGGAGCTTGCGAAGGACGACAATGTTCCGCGCGATGACGGTTCGGTGTGTATAGGGTTGGCGGAGAAGACGGAGTGGCCCACACGGGACAACGAGGCTTCGACCATCGACACCGCAGGTGAGATCGACCCTGGTGCGGAGCCATCTCGGTCGCTCTTTGCTGCAATGTTCCCGAAGCTGGCTTTGCAGGTGCCCAAATTTGGCAAATTCCCGCCAATTAAGCGCGAGGACCTGATCAGATTCGAGAAGCAGCTCGAAGCTGACGAACATAGGCAGTCCAGTTCCAGATCATCTGGGCGTGCAGCGGCCAGTATCGTCAATGGTGATGTCAGAACAGCGGAAGTTAGCCGATCCGGCAGAAGATCGTTAAGTGTGATTAATGAAGCTATTAAACCGCCTGGAGCTATTTATGTCAATGGCAAGACGCCAGCTACGAAAGTGTCCGGTGCAACGGTATCAACTGGTAAGTCGCCGCGCACCGCAAATTCTGGAGCGAAGAGTACGAGCTCGGCTGCTTCCAAAGTCCCCAAAGCCGTTTCTGCCGAAATAGTAGGTGTCGACAACAAGGGAGCAGCCCTATCGTCGATGAGCCGCGAGGATTTCAGAGGTTTGCTATCTCTGTTTGCTTCCCGTAAGGACAAGCAACAGGACGGGGTTGAACACAAGCACTGCTTGCTGGAAGACAAATTGCGGGCAAGCACGCTACCTTTGGAATCGTTTTTGCAGCCGTTGTCGCTGCTCGCCATGCCAATCGTCTACTCAACACCCGAGTCCTCGGAGGACGACACAGAGCAGCGTAGCGGCCGATACAATGTCCGTTCCGCCGTGGAGCCGGAGTATGATGTGGCGACCGCGGCACCGCAGGAGCCCGCGCCTGTTGAAGTCAAACGCGAACCCAAGCGGCGCGTTGCAACACGCTCTGCACGCGTTGCCGAGCCGAATAACGACCAGCAGTTGCGCCAACTACGTGAAGAATATGCGCGTAGTAGCGCCGGGAAATCCTACCCGAGGAAGGTGGAACCGTCACCGCCCGAGCCCGAAGTGCCTGCCCCGGCCACCAAACGGGCTGTTAGGCGTTCAACAAGCCGCTATGCGAGAGAAGTACCGGCTCCCATCGTGGAGCTGCAGGAACCGGATCCTGTTATGGAGGAACTACCCCTAGGCCTCCAGGAGAGAATGTTGCTTATGGATTTGTCTATCCCTATCGAGCACACCGCACCTGTTGAACAGCGTGCAGCCTCCGGGAACACAAGCCACCACTCACTGTCGTCTTTCGGTGTGGATGCGTCTCGCACAATGGAACTGCTGACGCAGCCGATTGACTTTGAGTCCGATGTTTTCACGGCCCTCAGCCCCGTGTCTACAATGGGCGATTTCCCCGGACTTCAACCGCGGATGTGCACGCTCGACGCCCCCGTGCTGCCCGAGCTTAACCTCCAGCTTTTGTCTGAGCCTATTCCCGATTTCGACCCGGAGTCCGCCGAGATCAACGTCGATGTATACAAGAACCCTCGGCTGCTCACCGAGGTGTAGCGCAGCCTAGCGGTGTGTGCTTCCGGGTGCCGTTGTCTGGGAACCCCGGTTCTACTAATATCTTAATTGTAGCAAAATGCGTAGCTTTGGTGTGCTTTTAGCCGGCCTGGCGCTGGTGTGTGTCGCCAGCGGCTGCGAGGCATACTCGCTGCATAGCGAGAGCAGCTCCTTGATGGAACTGCCGTTCTTCAAAAAGAAATCCGCCGATAAGTCGGATGCTAAATCGAAGGACAAATCTGGCGGCAAAAAGAAGCGCGGCCTATGGACGAAGCTACGCGGCTCCGTCAAGAGGAAGCGAGAGGAAAAGCAGCCGGCGGAGGACAGCGACGACGAAAGCCCCGAAGAGTTCAAAAAGAAGCGCAAGGAAAGCTGGATAGAACGTAGAAAGCATAAGAGGCAGAAGCGCGACCACAAGAAGAGCAAAAAGCCCAAATCGCATAGCGACGACTCTCCCTCAGAAGATGACGAGCCGCATCATGAGCGCCATCACAAAGAGGTCACCGACGAGATCCACGAACACATCGAGGAGGACCAGAAAGAGCCTGATCGCGTGGTAGGAGAGGTAAAGGACGCCTTGCATACGATATCCTCCAACGTCAAGAAGAGTCTGATCAGCTCCATCGCCGACGACATCGATAACGCCTGGAAGAAGCTTCTCATGCGAGCCAAAAAGTGATCGCTCCCTATTTTATCGCGGTGTGTAGGAGAGTTCGCCGGCCGCGGCTGTGCCGCGCCATCTCCTGGCTCTGCCATTGCCCGAGGGCATCATTTGGGCTCGAAGGCCCAGAACTCAACCTATGTTGATTATATTAAGCACATTTTGTCGAATACATTTTTCTTTTGAGTGGTTTTGTTCGCTTTGGATGGGGTGAGGAATCCAGGCAGCCGCGACGCTGATTGGTACCTGCCTTCTCCGGCGGCGCTTGCCATGTACTTGTTGAGTAACCATATCGCATAATTCATTGTTCCTGGCCGTACTTGTCACGATGGACAGTCTGGCAGGCGCGATACCGCACCAGTCTCACAAGCGGAGCAACTCCCGGGTTAAGACGGAAAAGAAAAAGAAGAAGGACCTCGAGCGGAAGGGCATCAAGGGCAAGCAAGCGCGCCACAACCCGAAGGCGTTCAGTTTCAGTGGCGGTCGCCATGCCGTTCACCGACGAGTGCAGCACGCCAGCGAAGTCGAGGAGAGGCGGCTTCGACGTCCTCGCGTCTTCAAGGCAGCGGAGGTACCTCCGCCGTTTGTTGTGGTGGTGCAGGGACCTGCCGGAGTGGGCAAGACAACGCTGATTCAATCGCTAGTGAAGCATTACGCCAAGCGCAATGTCGCCGCCGTCAAGGGACCCATTACGCTTGTCTCGTCGAAGGAGCGCCGACTCACCCTGATCGAGTGCGGCAGCTCGATGGTTGACATGTTGGACTGCTGCAAGGTCGCGGATTTGGTCCTGCTGATGATCGACTGTTCCTTTGGGTAAGAACTTTGTTGCGCTAGTGTAACGTCGCCGCAGTTACGAGATGGAGACTCTGGAGTTCTTGAACATCATGCAAACCCACGGGTTCCCAAGAGTGGTGGCAGTAGTGACGCACATGGAGGGCTTTCCCGACAACAGCGTGCTGCGGAAGGTCAAGAAGCGGCTGAAGAACCGGTTCTGGGCAGAGATTTACGATGGCGCCAAGATGGTGTACCTCAACGGCCTCAAATACGGGAGGTACAAGAAAAACGAAATTGTCAACGTCGCCAGAGCTATCGCATCGCAAAAACCAACTACAATCTCGTGGCGACAGAGCCACTTCTACTGCGTTTGCCTGCGGCACGAGGTACTCGGGCCCACGTCGGGAAAAGATTCCGGGAAAGTACGGGATAATTCCGGCAAGGCCATCAACGGCAAAGGCGAGGAAGATGGTGATGAAGCTTCGGTGAGGGTGTCTTTTTACGGCTACGTGTACGGATCACGTATCGTGGGAAAGCAGGCTCTGCACATCCCCGGCGTCGGGGACTTCATACCGGAATCGGTGACCAACATGCAGGACCCCTGTCCTGTACAGACTGAGTAAGTGACGAATGTTTTATGCGTTCTCAATTTTTTACAGGGGGCGCACGTTGAAGGACAAAAACCGCAACATATATGCGCCTGAGTGTGACGTTGGCAATGTCATGCTGGACGATGACGCCATGTACATCCAACTAGCACGTGCCAAAGAGCATTTCACTGAAATTGCTGACGAGGGCCCCATCCAGTCGGAGGCTGTGAAAATGGTTCGAGAACTCCAAAAAAGCGAGGACGCCCTGAAGTCACAACTGCGATCGTATAAGTTCAAGCCCGTGGGTTCGGCAGACGCACGGACCGACAATGAGGAGGGTAGTGACAGTGAAGGCGATGATAGTGACGACGAAGACGAAGAGGGGGATTATGATGTGGAGGATGGATATAGTGATGACGAGAACGGTGACGCATCAGACGATGAAGATGAAAATGAAGACGAAGATGACGAGAATGATGAAAATGAAGATGACGATGAAAATGAAGATGAAAGCGAAGATGACGCTGATGATGTGGAAGGCAATATATCGCAGAAATTGAAGAACCGTACGAGGTCACGGAGGAACGATCACGAAGGAGCATCTGATGGCGATTCCAGTGATAGCGATGGTGTGGGATATAACGACCTTGATGGCGCTTTTAGTTCGAGCGAGGACGAAAGCGACGCTTCTGTGGAGACCGAAGAAGAGCGTGAAGCGCTAAGCAATCTGACGGACGAAATTGCGACAAAGGTATATGGTACTGAGGCAGTTACGCCGTATGACTTGGTGTTTACGGATTTTTCGAGGCTCGAAGACGATAAATTCGATATGGATTGGACTGAAGAGGCTATGGCCAACCTCAGGTCGGAGTGCTTCCAAAACTATACGGATGAGGCTGGTGTCGGTGCCGACGAGGCTGCAGAGGCGGGGGTTGCGGACAATGACCCTGAAAACGAAAAATTGGCACGTATAGAGGAGGCGGAGCAGAAGCGTTTGTACAACGAGGCTTTGGCGCTGTCATCGGTTGGCAATGTCGGGCAATTCGTTCGCATAACGGTGAATGGGTTACCTCATGACTTCCTGAAGCACCGCGACGCTAATCGTGGTCGGCCGATCATCATTGGTGGTTTGCAGATGGGTGAACAGTCATCTGGGTACATACAGGTGAAGTTGCGCAAGCATAGGTGGGCACCCCGGGTGCTGAAGACAAACGACCCGTTGCTGTTCTCTATCGGATGGCGTAGGTTCCAGTCGTTACCCGTCTACTGCATGGACGAGCGTAACAACACGCGCATAAAGATGCTCAAGTACACCCCGGAGCACATGCATTGTCTGGCTAACCTGTATGCCCCTCTGGCGCCGCCCAGCCTCGGAGTCGTCGCCATCAAGGACTGGTCCCGCGTGCCGCACTACCGCATATCGGCAACTGGCGTTGTGGTGGGCACCAACCAGGAGTTCAACATCAAGAAGAAGCTCAAGGTGCAGGGGTACCCCTACAAGATCATGAAGAACACTGCGTTCATAAAGGACATGTTCACGTCCGAGTTGGAGGTTATCAAGTGTCAGGGATCACGTATTGTGACCGCTTCTGGTATCCGTGGTGAGATCAAGAAGCCGGTGGGCAAGAACGGTTCGTTCCGTGCAACCTTCGAGGACAAGATTTTGATGTCTGACTTGGTGCTGCTCAAGGCCTTCGTGTCGGTGCGCACCAAGCGGTTCTTCAACCCGATGGTCGACTGGGAGGCGTTCCGCCGCGTGAGAACGATGGCCGAGCTGCGCACCGAAAGCGGCATCAATCCCGACTCGGTGTACGAGCCCAAGGCGCTTTTGCGCAGGCCAACACGCAGGTTCAATGCGATCAGGATCCCGAAGCCTATCCTGGAGAAGTTGCCATTCTCGTCTCGCCCAAAGGTATGTTCCAGCAGCAAGCGTAATCACTATCTGTCAGGTGTACGAGAGCGAGCCTTCAAAGGAGACCATGGGCCACTCAGAGTACGAGAGCGCAGTTGCGGCAGTGATGCAGCGCCTGATGACCATCCGGAAGAGCCGCCTCGAGAAGCGCAAGGCGGACCAGGAGAAGCACAAGGCAAAGCTGATGATCGAGGAGGAGAAGCGTGTGGAGGCCTCAAAGGAGAGGCTGAAGAACGTCAAGAAGCAGCGATACATGAAGCGCGGCATGGCCGAAGCTGCCAAGCGCGCGAAGATGTGTTTGGATTGATCTGGCAGGCTCTAACAACCAAGCTGTGTCGGTTCCTTTATAGCGTAAAAACGCTTAATTGACATTTTTTAGTGCATACGTTAATCACGTAATGTTACGATCCACACGCATGACATGCTGAATCAACTCAGCTAACATTGATCACGTTTTGTTTGCGATTGGGGCTTTATGGCCCACTGTTGGGTATCACATCGGTGCGACGCAGCTGGTGAAAGGTACTTCAGAGTACCTTGGTCCAGCCGTCTTCCAGTTCTTCGGTTTTGCGCTGCCTTGGCTTTGTGCCTGCCCCCTTGGCAGCTCCGGCATCTTGGCCGTCCTCATCGCCCTGGTCTTCACCCTCCATATCATCGTCTGAATCGCCGCTAGACGCCTCCACGACTTCATCCTTGACCTTGCAGTGTTCGGTGCTGCACTTGGTCAGCTTCTCGTTAAGCTCGACCGCGAAGGTTAAGTCGCCCGCACTGCACGTGTTGTGCAGCTGGACCAACAATCTTGCAATCTCGACCTAAGGATGATGGTGCAGTTGCACAACGCTTACGACGGTATGTTGCATCGAGTAGGATCACATTTGAACAAGTACATTCCACTGATACAACAAAAGCGACTGTAGATGTGCCACATCACACAGCAAATGCCACCTCTATCGAGAGGGATAGCACGGCATGTACAATGAGATGCAACACGGAAATGAGAAATCAGACAAGTTAAGGGATACACAAATACATTTGCTAAACGTTTTCACGCGACATGCGTGTACTGTATATTTGCATGGTTACACCGAGTTAATTGGGCTCAACAGATGTACGTCTAGCAGAACGAAGTACACAATATTACCACGTATCAGAATACACAACCAACAGCCAGGTTGCGGCAAATGATATCACAGTTGTTTGCATAGCGTGTCAAAGAGCGAACCCAGCATACGTAACGACATGTCATTCCAGTAAGGTGATCATGCACGGAGTACCTACCTCACTTTGGTCTTCTATATCAACGTTGAAAAGCGTCTGCATCTTGTCAAATAGCAGGTCCTCAACCTCATCGGTGTAGAGCTTCTTCTCTGCAAAAGTGTGTAGAGGGAGGCCGCTGCACTAACTTGAGAGGCAGAAGTCGATGAGCTGGGATATAAGCGCCTCCCTCTTCTGCTCTGACGAGTCTCCACCCCAACCATTTTCAACGGCAAGGTTTAGAGCCGTCCTGCGTGGAAATTACCGGAGGTGGCAATGGAATCATACCAGCAGTTCATCACCTTCCGACACACGGTGCGGAAGGCTTCCACGGCGTCGTTCATGTTTGAAATGCTTGCAGACGCTCAGGCAGCCAATCCAGATATACTGAAGACTGTTTACACCTTTACATGTTGGTTGTGCCGGTGTGTAGTGTGGAAGGCTGCTTATACCTATCTAGGGCGCCGCACGCCCAGCCCTGAAGCGAATGTAGCGCCTTCCTCTAACACATGAAGGACTCTTAATCGTTGTTGACATTAAATGAAGCGCATATAAGACGCATTAACAATACAGTTGGACTAAAAAAAGTTGGCCTGGTTGGTCCGGTCAATTTGTGCTAGACCTAGCTCGGCGCTTAATTAGACAGCTGGAACGTGGCTTTGGTGTAGTCTTCTAGCAGTATACCTACAAGAGGTGTGTATGGTCAGCGTTATCACCTACATATGATTATGAATATTAGCATCTGCGGGGCGAAGAAGTAGTTGGGATTGGCTATGTAGCGGCCCACCCACGTAATGTATGCCGTCACAGAGAAGCACATGGCCCCTATGGCAACCATCATCTGCGCACATTAGCGTCGTTATTGCGTTAACTGACCATCTTAGTGAACCCGAGCGTCTTGTCCATCATTGGGTAATGCAGAGCGCACAGGCAGACGATGAACCAGAGACCCAACAACGAGAGGTTCGGGTGCTGGATAATTGCGATAACGAATGTGGTGATCAGACATTCCATTGGCCGCTTGCGCAGCAAGACCAACAACGGGAAGGGGAGCACAAAGATCATCATCTGCGTGGAATTATTCAGTGTCTCGTTGCATGCTGGCAAGCAGCACTCACAGTTGTGAAGGTATTCAACCATGGAAACAAACAAACTGTGCCACATAGCTTACGTATAAGCATACACCTAGTGTATATAGCGATATCACATGGTGTCATGCATTTTGGCATGCACCACGAAGTAATAGTTACAGGATGCGGTGACGAGTTTACTGGGACGTAGAAGCTCACCTGTGATTTGAATATGTTCGTTGCCTCGAACGCAGCGGGCAGGACTCGATGAAGGTACCAGTACAGTGAATAGTCGATACCAGTTCCGCGGCCGGTGTACTCCAGCTCCAACGCACGTTTTATCTACCGTTAAATGGCGACGACAAATGCAAAAACAAACCACACTTTCCCCGAGTGCTGTGTAGTAAAGCACAACAATCGACAGCGTCAAGAATATGTGCGGGCAAATGAGCGAGAGCATCTGTTTCAGCTCTCTCCATGTGATGGACGGCCCGTTGCTCTGCTGCAGGCGACTATACACGGCAACCAATGCGATCGCCGGCAGCACCGCGTACATTTTGAACACGCCATTTATGAGGAAAGCGGAAGCTGCCAGTTGGTAGAGGATGTACGGCCCGAAACCACCGTACCGCTCTACACTTAGGTTGACAGCGGCAAAAATAACGAGAGAAACCCAAAAATAGCGCACGCTGTCGGCATTGCAGCCTTCATTGTACATTATCTGAAACATCTTGGAGCGGCTGTTGTGGTTACTTACCGAGAACGGGTTGAGCAGGTGCAAAGCCGCAATGAACAACGGCGATGATGCCTGAGCACACATGTGTGATTAATCGATCAAACAACGCACAAAATCATATCCTCGCACATGTGAGTTCTTGTCTAAGCCGGAGAACCTCAGAAGGCACGTCGTCTTGTACCATAACGCCGCTGAAGCGATGTCTACCAGAAGTATGAACACCTTGGTAACATCAATCGCCGACAGCTGCGGGACGGCCAGGGTCAGGAACCACGTGATACTGTATATGAAGTGCGATGTGTTCTCGAAAAACTTGAGGCGCGAAGCCGCGTCTAACGCGATATATTCCAGCACATCGCGGGATTCGCGCAATACGAAAAACGGAAGAGCGGGCGCCACTGCATACACAGCAGCCTGCGCTACAACTCGCACCAATACAATTATCAAAAAATCTAGCATTATGCGTATTTTACAGCTATAATGCTACTACGCCGATGTTATCGTCGGGCTACACATCCTCCGCCATGACGAGTTCCACCGAGATTCCGCGAGTTATACACTGCATATAGTGGAAGACGAAGTCGGCGATGATCAAAATCTGGATGCACTGGGTGAAAATCACCCAGTGTCCGACGTAGTGGGTGAGCAGGTGCCCACGTGCATTCAGCTCCCTGAAGGTCGAGAGCCAGAAGATGAACCCCAAAATCTTGGCAGATGACTGAGCAGCCGTGAAGTGTACAGTCGACTTCTTCGCGCGGTCAGACGCCCGGAACATGACCAACTGCGGCAGCACGCAGAAGGTCTCCACGTAGAGCGCGAAGGCCCAGCAGGTGTCTCCAAACCTGTTGCGGTTCAGGTTGGGGTGCATGAACACAGCCAACACAAAACTCGGCAGCATCACGTAGTACGACGGCATGGTGTCGATGTCCTTCTCGTACGTGTCATTGTACTTGTACAAGCACAGGTACACTATGTAGCCGGCGAAGCAGCATGCCACGAACTCCGAAAACTGGTAGAGGAAATCACCACTGGAATCCGACGGCAGATACCTGTAATGTAATTAATCTACATGCACCTCCAAAATGCTTGGGCGACAATAACACACCGTCAGCTTTAGTTATCAATGTAAACATCATGAGTGTACACACATGGGTTGCGACACAGATGTGAGACGGTCGTTGGTTAGTTTATGACACATCGAGGTGTAAGACCCAGCATGTCACTGAAAAGGCAATGCAAACACGGGCGGAAGTCCTAATTATCCGTAACTCACCCTTGGAAGGGGACGATCGAAAGCAGCCTCGAGCACAGCAGCACGAGGTAGCACTTGATGGTCTCCAGAGAAATGCCTTTGCACGACTTCGCCGAAGTGATGCAGTACGTCACCACGATGAAGCTGAGGCAGCTGATCATGGACGACAGCGTCAGCAAAAACGAGAAGTCGCCATCGGAGAAGAGCTTGTACAAAATAATGAGCGCCACGAAGAATCCACAGTAGATCCAATTCTCCCCCCTGTCGAGCCGCAGCAGTTGAGATATCTTGGCGCCAATGGCGGACGCAGTGGTCTGCTTTTTATACGCCATCGCTCCGTCACGGTGGAACAGCTACACTGCACAGTAGGCCCTTCAATTTAGTGACGGTATATCTAGATCACCGCAAATACGGTACCGTCAATAAGCCTATTTTACAAGTGGCGCGACACGGAGGTAACACCTGAAAACCCGCCTTCGCCGATCAACGCCCCGCGGCGGCCTGCGCACGTCGCGCGCCACAGATCTTCGACACCGCACTGCATTAGCTGTTGATGATGTACATGTTTATCGTCACTAGTGTCGTTGCGGGTGTAGACGCCGCTACGGCCGCTCTAGGCCAGGTATGAGGGTTACACATTTACGTGCGATGTGCCATCCTGCGCTGTGCGGTCCTTTGATGATCGCACATAACGTCACGCCGCGACCTACGTGATAAAAAGCCTCGTGAAGTCTTCTTGAGGTACCATGAGCCGGGTCTGCGGGCACTCAACCAGGTGGCCGTCGCCGCTGCGGCTTAGCGTGTTGAGCCCGTGCTCCGATATCACGCAGCCGCCAGGGCTGGTGAACGGCGGGTTGTCGTAGCCCATCAGATCCCCTGTTACAGGACACACCAATACCGAGTCCAGCTTGATTGTCGTCGGCACTTTGTCGACGTATTGCCGCCACTCCGGAAGGCATGCGGGACACGTAGCATTCCTGTGGTCTCCGCAGCTGGTGGACTTTATGGCGCAAAAACCTGTGTGCATCAGGTTCTCGAGCAGTGTCTGCCGCCCAAGACTGTACATTGCCACTATACAGCGGTAGAACTCGGCTGCTAGGGTGTCCCAACGGCTGGGACTCGTAAAATTCTTGTAGCGGTTGCAGATTGCACATGCGCTATTGACCGAGCCGTCACAATATATACAGGTCAACTGAGGCATTGTGTCGTCTGGCTCCGTCTCTGGGTCCTCTTTCGACTGCGTAGGGGTCGCCGAGACATTTTGTCCATGCATGTCCTGCGAAGTGTTCTCGTCGGTGGTACCCGCTGGTTCTGTACCCCCTGCTAACTCAGCACCAGGCTGTGATTCCACTGTCTCACTCTTGCCCTGTCTTCGCTTGTGCTTAACCTTCAGCAGCACTATGGCAGAAAACAGCTTTCTGGAGTCCTGGCATCTTTCAAGCATCGCGTTCCCAAAAGACTTGAGAAGCGACAAGGCACCAGTGATATCTCCGTCCTGTAGGCGCACAACCACCTGTTGCACTTTAACGTCATCCAGAAATGTGGAGTTTAATTTCACAAGGGCCTCACGATTCGATTCGGCCCATTCCAGTGCCCCTGAAAGCTGGTGGTTCAGAAGCTCGCAATATATACGATCTGCTGTGGCGTACAGTTCCGTGTCAACCAACTTGTTTAGCTGCTCCTGCGCCACATATGGCACTGCGGCACGGAGATAGCCCCTGCGTAGGAGGTATTCCGACACCACCCATGCAACACGTTTGCGATAATCGTCGAAGCAGAATTGACTGTCTACTTTCCCAATTCGCAACGAAGGTTCGTCATGGAATATATCGACGCGTGCGGACAACTGGGAGACCACTGCCTCAAGTGCTGAGTCAATTCTTCGCAGAGATGAGTCCAAATGTTGGAGTCTTTCGATTGCCCTTTGTAGCTTCTCAAGTGCCAGTTCCCGCGATTCCAAAAGCACGATTCTCTTCGACAGGTAGCCCGTTATAAGCAGCAGCTCCTTTTCCATGAGGTGCTCCAGCTCACGCATATGCGACAATCCGACCTCATAAGGAACCGCAATCAGCGGTCGATCTAGAGCTAATAGATGCAGTTGGTTGGTTAATTCCGTCTCGTTTTCCGCCGCGTCAGCCCCGTCTGTCGCATTGTTGGAGCTCTGCGACGACCGAGGTGTATACAGTGGTCGCCGCGGCCTCCTGATGGGTTCATCCCTGTCAGTTGCCGAGTTATCGGCGTCATTATCCTCTGTTGCTGCGTTCATTAAAATGGAAGTGACGAAGGCTTCTATATTGTTCGATTTAATCCCCATGAGGGGTGTGACGCGTAATCCAGCACCTCCGGAGCGGCCACAAAGTAATGCACATTTTATATGTTACTTCATATATGATTAATAAATCCAATTAAACTGTAAATAACACGTCTTAAGTCATTTGAAGTTCAGTATCACGTTCATGTGTGTGCTCTGGCGTAACGTCATGGATTCCGTCAACAACGATGTGCCATATTTTCTACAAGAAACGACCACAAATCGAGTACATTATATATGTCCCTTAAGCTCGAATCTGTGCAGGTAAATGAGGCAGATTGCACGATGTCTATGTTTGTATTAGTTGCGTTTGCTGAATATGTCGATTTGACAACATAAGACGCATATGGTTATCCTCATTAAAAGCGACGGCTATTTCATAACTTCGGCCGCAATACTTCGTCGCGTTTTGAGTTATTCGCTTCGAAAAATAGTTGTCTGATCTTCGTGCCGCTTCGATTTATTTGTGACAGTAAGGTAACTGATTGTTCGCCCAAATAGCAATTGCAATCGACATTTAGAGCCCCTGTAATCACCGTTACTTATTTATGTAGTCAACATAAATGAGAGGAAATTAGTGCATCTAACTACGGCAGGGCTACGTAGTGCTTCCGTCAATTTCTCATCTTACCAGGCTTTAACTGTGGTGTCGGGCATCTCTAGCGCCTATGATCCCTTTCCCTTGACTAATGATTTCTCAAATGTCCGTCTCTGCACGTGCGAATCACCTGTTCTTCTGTGGCAGTCGTTGATAGACGTCATTGCCTTCTCATAACAAGATTATAGGTTGTCTGGAGGATAACCTCCTCCATATGAGCCTATATCCAAAATACAGAACCCCCGGGTATGCCTATTGTGATATTTCGTTACAATAGCGTCCCAGGTGATCATACAGTGTCACCACGAATCTCGTGCTGATTGAACTGTGGCCCTTTGAGCTTCTTCGCCCTTACCGTACCTCGCCATTCTTCCTCTTGTATGTCTACGTATTCGCCAAGCTGTCATATTTGCTGATCCGAATATCCACGGTGGCGATAGTACACGTTACTATATGCGCCGAAAGTCTCCGCCCGATTGTGCCTATATGCATTTTAAGAGGAAGCTCATGCTCAGGTAAAGCGACGATGTCCAGATTATTTTATACCAGTTCACATTAATATTTACCTGCATTAATGAACCAGAGTCGTTTTCTAATATATCCACTTCATTTATGGATTGCCGTGGTTGGAGCTGTGAAAGAAAATTCTTTGACGAGCAGACAGCTGCCGCGATCCATGTGGAGCTATCGCTGTAAAATAAATTACCACAAGTCGCATTCATGTTTTTGCGTGTTTACGGTCTCATTTGATCCGTTTGATATGCCTACTTTTGTAAAAAGTGCACTATACTTAATCTCACTACCTGGTTAACGAGGTTAATTACAATGGGCAGCTCTCGAGCGACAAAAGCTATATTGGCACTTTGCGCACTGTGGATGCATTGCACTAGATTTGCAGACGCATTTCTTTGCGACCTCGGAGATCCATATGGGCTACGTGGGAACAATGCTCTCGTTAAGTGTCACCTAGACGTCGAAGTATTTGGCTCCGCAACTGCGATATGCCCTCGCCGAGTCAACGACACCGAGTATGTCTGGCATCCTCAACCAACGTCCGATGACTACTCTCATATCAACACGTACGTTAGTGAAAATGGCAAGCTTGCTTCTGCTGCGCTTTCGGATGTGATTCGCAGTGAGTCGGAGAATCCGTTTATCTGGTTCGAATCCAACCAACGAGAAACGGAATTGCATCTAGACTTATCAATCCACAAATTGTTTGCAATTACTGAACGCCAATTTTTATTCATATGCGGTCCACGAGATTTGGTTTTTAGTAATACGCTGCAACGTCACCTGGACCGCCTCAGTGTTTCTCAACCAGATACCCTGACTTGGAGTCCAGTCACTCCATTGACTCAGGAAATAGCGAAGATAGGGCATGGGTTGGGTATATTGTTCTTGCACAGAGGAGACACCCATCTACCTCTTCAAGGTTGTGGGAGTCGCCCGTCGCCACTGTTCGCCACGGACGAGGTGACTGTAGACCCTGTAACCGGAACACGTTCGTGCGTGGTGGATTCTATGTCAAGATTGCCCATCGGATTTGTTTGCGAAGGCACTATTGTGCCTGATGATTGCATGAGATCTCTCTTAGACAAAAATGGAGGCGTTGCTACTGCCCCTCGACCATACCCATATCGGGGGTTCGGTATCCATAGGCCTTGGGTGGTGGCACGATATTTTAATGAATTAGCATTACCGCCAATCAATGGCGAATGCAGATGCATAGACCCCCAAACAGGTCGCGTAAAGGCCAGAATAGAAATCCGTCCGAAAACCGAGTACGTCTGTGATGTTACTAACATGATCTTGCGCAACCATCTCCGTCAGATCCGTGGGCATTGGTGTTCGGTAGTACTCCATCCCGGCAGCACACTTACCATAAGGTTCCCCGCAGAGGATGTGGATACGGAGTCCTCCGATGAAGATGCCCAGCCTGGCATGCCCCCTCAAAAACGGCCTAAGTATTTATTCGAAACTGGATTCACACCGAAGGACTTGACGACAGTGCGACAGGTAGCATCGGTTTATGATGATATATATGATGAAGTCTTGTACCACGAAGCAATTGCTGGTGATGCGCTTGAATGGGATGCTTCCAAAATTTCCCGTGGGGAGGTAAAACTGACGTTCCATGAGAACAAACCTCTCACATCACTAGGAGGGCAAAACTCGTTCTCTTTCCACTGGGCACTGAAACCTATAAATAAGTATGTCTTTAAAAGCATATTTGCCACAGTGAACGTATCCTTTGCCTTTACGCATTATTACAAGCTGGTTGGTTGTGACAGCAGGACAGAGAGTGTATTTGACCCAGACATGAGCAGGACGTACTGTTCAGTCCAATCGATGGGAAATGATATTGGAGCAACATACGAGTGTCTCTACCATATAACGTGGGACGGTTGGCAGGCGGGTATTTACTGCAGACCAGACGAAGAGCTGCTGCCGGATAACTGTGAGTCCACAGGATACGATCTCTACTCAAACCGGATAGTCCCATCGCCTGCGTCTGTGCATAATGTGACGCCTCGGCCCATTGGAGGATTTCAGGTGTTCGACGTTGACTTAAACGATGATAGCCCTATCAGTTATGCTTGTATCTGTGTCGACGAAAGCGGATACGAAACTTCTAGGCTTGTTTTGGCGCACAACCATAACGAAGATCACACCTATCAAGTGCTCCGAGAAGAGAATACCCGCACATTACTCCCTTACTTACTGCTACCTTGGCGTGAGGCCGAGTCATTAGGTGAAGGCGTTGTGTCAACAAAATCGCTTATGATATACCATGTACCACAGAAGTCCATTGCTCTACAACTGGGCAAGACAATGCTCATGACTTGTGGGATTGGTTTCGTCGCGTCTTTGGAAGTAGGGGAATTACCAAATTATCGAGCAACTGTGGACAGGATATCTACAACTTGGCTGCCAGAGAACGTTGAAGAATTCTACTATACCGTCAAACATACTACACGTGGACCTGAACTCATTCGTAAGAAATACCAAGATTCCTTAACTACCACTCAGAGTGCGTTGGAAACCGTTTACCTACCATACTCGAAGAGTCTTGGATATTCAAAATTGACAATCAAAACACGCAGAAGCGGTATTTTGATTTCCAAAGATCCACTTCACCAGAAATACGTGCCAATGACGTTCGTCTGCGGCAAAACACCCGAACCAGCGGATTTATCCGTGGTCACTCGTAATGCATCGACTTCAGACACATCTGCGCAGCCCCTTCCTAGTGTCATGAGGTTGTCAATGGGATACACGTGGAACGTGGTCGAAGTTGCCGTCGAGACCACAGACCCCTATATGCAAGGATGCGGCGTTACCTACGCGTCCACTGAGTTGTTCAAGCCTGAAACGCCCAAACTCTACAAAGCCCACGGACAACTCAAGTTCGGTTGCAAGATCGATCTTCAAGCTGCCAAGGAAGCTGCGTTCTACTGCCCGGCGCCATACGTCCTGGACCCACCCAATTGCTTCAGCCAGGTCTACATGGACGGTGAAGGAAGGAACCTAAGCGACCTCAGCAAATCATTGGTATCCTCACATTCCAACCACTTCGTCATCCTGCAGTTCGACGATTCACTCGTAGGACCCGGGGAGACGTTGCGCCAGGCGCCTCCGTTGGAGTGCCGCTGCGTCACCGTAAAGGGTGTCTTTCTCTCCACCATCCAGATTGAGAACTACTACGCCAAGCGATGACTCACTCACATGTGGTAACTTGTCGTTTAACTGCGGAAACTAATTTGCATTCATTGTTTATGTTGCTGATAACATGTTGACTCGGGTATTTCAGTGACAGCACGGTTTGGGTTGTCTAAAGCTTATTGTGGGTGTCAACTCAATACCTTATTTTGTTGTCGTTGCGGCTGTGTATTACATATCCATGAAGGCAGACGTGTAACGATGGGGGTAAAATGTTATTAAGTCTCGCCGCATCTTTCTTGCGCATTTTGTAGAGTGGGAATAAGGAACATGTAGTAGGAGCACCTTCATTTATACTCATAAGTTATAGCCTTGGCAATGGCTTTAATACGCAATAATCGACAACATTTAGTACCTCTTGCCGTAATTAATTTCATCAAGTAACATTGTTAAGGCCATACTGTGTGAGGACAGGCGATGTCAGCCCACTGGTAAGAGCGAAAGCATACGTAGTTTTGTTTGATAGTTGTATCTTCACGGCGCACTACTTAAGAAGTTATGTAATGCCACAGTGGGTTGTACTGGAGATTTCCAAGTGCGGGTTTCGGGTTCTCGCCGGTCTAAAACATGCTGCTTACAGCGTGATGGGATGGGTGAAGGGAAAGGATACAATACCTCACATTAGGATGTGATACGTCATTCCAGCATTCGTAGTTACGTGTTAATAGCATGAATACACGGGAAATAAATTCTGCATGGGATCGTATCTAGGGATTTACAGACCTAGGTGGAATACTGACGCTGCAACTGTTTTTTGGGTGAATAGTACAATGCACAAACCAGATGGGATGCGAGTAACAATAATGACAGACGCCACTTTCAAACCTGTGCGGATCCAGTACAGGCGTAACGATGACAATCGATCTATCACATCAGTTAATGCGTAATTTTATAACCGGCCATACGTTCGCGCAGCGTTATGTGGAGTAGAGTTGGCAATGTATAGATGACCCCGCTGGGCGTTGTATCTCTGTGGTGCGAGGCGCGCAGCTGTGGTATCCCTGGCGGTGGGTTAGGTGGAAGCTCCAACGCTGCTACCCGAAAGCTGACGAGAAGTGGCGCAGCGGAGTCACAATGAGGGGTGAGGATAGGCATCCTGTATTCCACCCGGAAACCTAATGGGATATGCCGGGCACTTACTGTGTGGCATACCTACACGTCGGTTTGGGTCCGGGATTGCTGGATCCCTGAGCTTGTTGCCTTCCCCCCACCTTAGGTAGGTGGGACGGTTTTATGATTTTCGTGTCGCTTCACGTGTTTTAAGGGTGGAGCGGGCGTGTTGCATCTTACTACCATGACGCACTTTGTTGTCACTCAGTCTCAGCTTGTAGCCATTTCAGCTAGCGCGCTTGGCGGTTTGTCATGCTGTGTTGTAGGCGGCGGCACCTTATATACGCAATTATTCTAAGATGTTCCTGGTTCACAGCTTTGGGCGTTTTTTCATGCCGTGTTCAGGGCTGTTCCGGCAAATTGCGTCTGACAAGTCTTGATCGCTATCGCATTTAAAGTTCACGGCTTCAAACGAATTTCACACATTCACTCTTACTTGGCAACATATTGCATTATTGGGAGTGGACAGGATGGCGGATAAGCGCGCTTCTTTCAAAACTCTTAAGGAGTGTTTTCAGTTCCTGGAGTGGTTGAGTAAACATAGTACTATGCAAAGCCAGGTGGCCAAAGAACTGGCTGCGCTTCTTAAAAGCTTCTATCATAATGCTGATCAAAAACAAATCATACCAGCATTGTCCCGATTCCTTGGTCACGTTTCTACGTTTTATAAGAAATTATGTAAATCCGCGGGTGGCGTCTACCATGGTAGCAAAGGCCCTAAAGATTTAACCGAAGCGCTCCTCGACTGCATTCCTAAGTTCCTGACCGCGATGTACCATTTATGGTACAAGGTGGATAAATGGTTCGATGCAGTGGGAGGAGGGAAGTGGAAGTATAATATCCCCGGAGTGGATGGGTGGAGGTGGTGGGTGCTTAGCTACGGTGATTGGGGGGGTGGGCTGCAGAAATATCTCACATCGTCCGACTCCACGAAATACGGTGTGATGCCCGGCGGCTTCGATGTAAAAGATCTTAAAGAGGGATGGAACTACTCTTCTCACGAGGGTTATTACTATGCGGAATATATGGCAGAAGACATTAAAAAGATTTTGAGGAAATATCATGATATGCATAATTTCTTCCGTGACGTGTTCGTCACTTCCGTTATTGCCCCCACCGGCTTGGACCCGGTGAATACTGCGAACGCTGTTGGATTGGTGGGCGTGTTTTGCGAGATTGTGAATGCAGAAAGGGAGACAGTGAATGGAGGACAGTTAATACAAAAATTAAATGAAGACTTGAAAAAACAACCAGAATATAGAGGCAGACTCATAGATTGGGCTCAATTACGAGACCATTGTTCTAAGCTTAAAAAAACCCTAATAGATAATCTTTTCGCCCGCAAAGGTTTTAATCATACAGGTCGATCTCCGGAAATTAAGAACCTCAATCAGACGGAATTCGCAAAAAAGACGGCGCAGTGGTTCAGGAGTGATTTGTTGAAAGTGCGGCATAAATTGAGGCAAAGTAAGCGTCTAAACTACGCTTCCAGTGAGGTTCCGCTTAACTTTTTCGCCACCACATTTCTTTTTCCTCACGGATTCATATTTGGTAAAGGACGATATGGGACGCTGGGAGACGATCGTGATGCTTTGAAGAAGGACTGGCCTGATATCATTAGAGAACTTGAGAAAGACGGCACCGGCCTGAAAAGGCTAGTAAGAATTTTGAAAGGCGAGACGTCTCAAACGCAAGGCCCCGGAGGGTCTTCTGTCGCAGATGAAGATGAATCAGAAGACGACGATTCAGACAAGTCCAGTGTTGCGCCTTCTGGTCCAGGGTCTGAGCCAGCACCTATGCCTCCACCCGTGCCTTCTAGGCCTTCATCATCAGGCACGCCCGGTGCTGGCGGCCATGCAGGGCGTGGGCAGGGCCGTGGCCGGGGGTTTCGCGGGCGGCGGCGTGGTGGTAGAGGAAGAGGAGGTGGAGGGGGAAGATACACGATAGTGAGAGGTGTAAAAATGGTCCGTAAAGCTGGAAAGGGTCCGGGCCGTTCTTCCGAACCCCAGCCATCTCCTGGCTCAGGGTCGCCGGGGGATAGTCAGACTTCAGCTTCGCCAGGTGAGCCAGTGATTGATACTAAACAAAATACCGATAACCCTGATGACGAGGTAGATTTAGATTTGGAAGAGTTAGAGGAAGATGAAGAAACGCAAGAGTTTTATGGTCCAGAGCCCCTACCTCCCAAGGAAGTTGTGCCGGAAAAGAAAGTTCCGGTTGTGCCGCCTAAAAAGCCTGAGGTGCCGCCAGCAAAGGTTCTTGAAGTACCCAAGGAGGTGGTGCCCGAGAGGAAAGTTGCTGTTCCAAAAAAACCCGAGGTGCCGCCTGCCAAAACTGACAGCGCAAGGCCCGTTGCCACCAAAACTGAGGCCACTAAACCTGTGGCCACTAAAGTCGAAGCAACCAAAACTGAGGCTACAAAACCCGTGGTCCCTAAAAGTGAAGGAACTCCCAACCAAGGCAAGAAATCTGAGGGAGCGCAGAACCAGGGGAAGAAAGCTGAGGGATCGTCAAGTCAGAATAATGGTCAAAGTGAAGGAAGTCCTCCAACTCCAAAAGTTGTAAAGGCTGTTCACACTCAGTCTCCCGGTGCTCCAGGAGGTCAAGGACAGCCAGGACCTAAAAGTCCAGTATCCACGGTATCATCACCGCCTACAGTTCGAACAGTTCAGCAAACTGTTCAGTCTCAGCAGAATACTAATATAACTCCGCCAGTTCCTCCCCCTCCACCGGCTGCTCCCCCCAGTACTCCTGCAGCCCCTAGCTCCGCTGGTCAGCCAGGTGTCGGGGGTCAGGGTTCAGCGGGCGGTGATGCTCTAGGTTCACAGCCTACTCTCTCCCAAGGCAAGGGACCTGCTCAGCCTCCGAGTGCTTCAGGGTCAGACACTGGGCAAACTAGTGTCCAGGGGACCGAGAAAGTTGGTAGTGGAGGGGCCGAGCAAGACGCTACTCAACTAACAAGTCAACCCTCCGATCACAATGCAAGCAGCGGCGTTACTACATCGGCTGACCCAGTGTCTGGTGGAGGTGATCAAGATGACAAGAAGAAAAAACCGTGCGCCGATGGATATACAATCATGAGTCTTGGTATACCGAGCGGTAGATTCTGTGTCCTAACTGCAGACCTCAAAAGGCATGACGAAATTAATAAGAAGTGGTACGATAAGATGAAACATGCTCAAGAAGCTGCCGATGCACGCAAAAAGCAGGAGGAAGAAGAAAAGAAGCAGAAAGAAGCGGAAGAACGTCGGAGACAAGAGAAAGCAGAAGAACGCAAACGACAGAAATCATTTGAAGCCCAGCACCGGCTTATCTCGAATATCCCCTCCTCTTACCATCCATCGCATTTCCCAACTGATCCTAGAACCTCCGGCGCCGCTTCTCAACCAGGCGCCTCAGGTGTCGACTCACCGGACCATGATTCTGGCAAAAAGACCGGTGCGTCTCTAAACACTGCTCATGCTCCAGGTAAAGGTCTTCCAGGCCCGGACCCTTCGTCAACTAGCGTGCATTCTGCCAGTGGTGATCCGGGTGGTTCAGGCACAATCGGCGTGTCGCCTTCTGAGCCTCCAGATGCAGCACTTAGAAAAGATACCACAATTTCGCTTCAACCGAGCGCTGCCCTTGAACTCCGTGGAAATCGTCTTCATCAAGGGCCAACTCATCCATCTGCTGCTCCTCTATCCCCAGGCTTACCCGCCGCGCATGATGTCAAGGATCAGGTTTCACGAAGCGTTGATTCTTCTAATCAACTGAGTGATAGCTCTGCAGGTCGTGCGCAACATCCAGGTGTAGGTGTTACGAGTCCCGATTCTCGGTTATCTGATGACACTACTCACTATGCGGTTCTGAGCATGACTGAAAAGCTGCCGCCTTCCGAATCTGGTCCCAACACTGCTAAAGTCTCTCCGGGCGGCAAAGAGACCAACAGTGACAGCGCTATCACGACGCCCACTGACTCGGCTTCTGCTGAAGATGTAGGTGGGTCTACAGGTGGGGGTGGGACAAGCAGTGATGATAATTCGGAGAATGGGGACCATAAAGATGAAGCTCAACCAGGTGTTCAACGCTCGACGACCAATACAGGTGGGACCGACAATGCGTCATCCACTCCGCAGTTACCTGCTTCAGTTGATGATCTGAGTAGGGCCGGGCTGAAGAATTCTCTCGCCCATGACGTAAGACATCCTCCGATCATCCTTACCGCCTCAGGTCCCGACGCAAGCGTTAGTGCTAAGAGGCCTACTGCGAAAGACGCTCTGCCGGATGACAGCGTAGCTGATGGAGGGGAGGGGGCGACGGAAGGGGAGCCTGATAGTAATTCACAGGACAGTCATTCTACAGGTGAAAAGCGTGATTTCTCTTCAAACATTTTAAGATCCCCTGGGCTTGTGCTTTCACCTTCAGACCCTCTCTTAACTTTCGGCTCTGGCCGGCGACAAATTCCAGGTTCAACTTCACCTGGCAAGAGTGGCTCTGCTTCAAACCCTGGTGCCCCTCCCTCCGCTGAAGGTACTCAGGTTTCAACAATTCCGAAGCCAGACTCTCCATCATCTAGTGCCAGTGGCATCAGCAGAGGAAATGTAGATGGTGATAGTTTGCGTGAGCCTACAAGCCCGCATGGAAAAGATCCTGCCAAAGGAGCTGCTACACCCTCTGATACTGAGAATAAGGATTCCCATTCTCCAACTCGAAAAGACCATCATGGCCGAGTGACTTCTGGTGACACTATATGGGAACGTGGTCGACCATTAACTCATGGTAAAGCGACCGACCCTACGATGTGGCGTATTCTTAATATGGAACAAGATCGGGATCAAGCCGGTGGATCGGATGAGAAGGGGGTTAAAGATTCTCTACTGCCCATTCCGGCTGCTCCACCTCCTAATGTAGTCCGGCCATCTGATGTTGCTGCTAATGCTAGGAATTCTAATTCTCAAAATGTGAACGTTCGCGACCCTATGGAAGTGACCTCTCACCGACGCACGCATGGCCCTTTTTCCACAGCTCTTTCCCCCAGTTCTCTTAGACCCACTGGTCCCTCTGGTAAACCGAATAACCACAATTCCGATCAACAGGGTGGTGTCAAAAATGGACCACAAGCCGGTAGATCAATAAGTGTTGCACGTAGCCGGTCTACAAGTGTTGGAAGTCACAGCTCACACCCATCTGGTGATCATGGGATGGGGAACCGTACGTTACCTTCCACTACTAGACAAAGTACACGCGCCCAGCAGTTTGGTAGAATCGGTAGTCGGCCTGATGATTCTGTTCTCCAGTCTAGTGAGGAAGAGGACGAAGTCTCGCCGGGGCCTTCCCCTCCAAGATCTCTCTCCAGCCCTGCTGGAGGTTCCGTTCTTTCTGGCAAGACAGGTGCCCAAGGTCCGGATTCGCATGGAAGTGACTCTACAGGTTTACAGCCTATCAGTCCTCCTAAAGTTCTGCAAACTCACTCCTCGGATGATTCAAGCACAGGCCATCTGTCATCTGGCAGCAAAGGTCCCGTAAGTGGTGTGAAACCGGCGGCACACAGGCCTTCCAACACTGCTCATCAAATTGACCGAGACAACCATACCGGTCAAGGACTCGATAAATCGGTGTGGGATATATTGGCCCCTACCCATGATTACGATAAAGTCAGTGGAGGGGATGGGGAGGCAACGGGGGGGAAGGTTCCTGGTGTAATCTCTCACATACGTCAACAACAACCTCAAACTGCAGATCTTGTGAGCCAGGGTGTCAACGGAGACCAAGGTTCGAGTATGCTCCCCAGTCAACTACCACCAGGTTCCGGTGCTCTGCCAAGTGGCAAGGTTCGACGGCCAACACCTGTCAGCCCTTCAGACTCTACGCATCTTCCAATGTCAAGCGTTTTAGGTCCAGGCTCTGTAACATCTGTTGTCAATAAATCCGGTGGTGATCCAGGGCTGGTTGGCCACCCGGTTGCAGATCAAATGCATGAGCAGGGCCAATTTCGGATATTAAACAACAAGGGTGACGTGACGAAGCAATGGCAAAACGCGCGGAATAACATTAGTACCTTATCAACTGGAACATCTGCGGCTGGTGCCAGAGGCCTACCGCAATCCACGTTTCCCCAAGTCTTCGCATCTTATGGTATTCCAACAGGTTACCGTATCAAGCTGCAAAAGACTGGACTGAAACCACCAAAATATACAATGAAAGCCATGCCTTCTACACATATCCCGGACATTACAGCTGGACACATTCCGAATCCTAATCGAAATTCTCGCATGCCTCCACCTCCCATAGGCATTAGAGTTAGGGATTTAAATTCAAGGGATAGTATATTGGACTCTGATATTACTCGCCAACACCAATTTCCTGCAGTAGAAAACATGCCAGTTCCAATACCGGGTATTACTTACTCGCCTCCACCTCATCCTTCCATGGACCGTGGCGGAAATCTAAAGGATCCCACCACCTGGGGAAATTCTAGATATTACGAGTATATAATTGACGTAAATGAGGACATGTGCAATAATCCTTGGAATTACGTTGATGAATCTGATACCCTGTCTGCCCTGCCCCCGCCCCCAAACACCGACCATCTTCCCCCGCCCACCACTGTCCGGGGAATGTTGTACTGGCTGCTTGGCCTTGTCGAATTGGGGTATATTGTGAGAATTAAGGAGCATGTTAAGGTCATAGTGGAGGATATTAACAAGGATGCAAGTGGTTCCTCTCCGCCTTCATCTACCCTCGATCTAACTAGGGAAGCTCACACGCTGGACGCTTCCCATGTCTCCCAGGCCCTGATAGAGACGTGCCTATACGCGGCCAACGTCATCTACGAAATCAAACATTACAATGACTACAATGCTCTTACAAGTTTGAAGTTCGACTCACAATATAGTCAGCTTTATTATTCCTCCGACTCCGGTTGCCTGGTCTGCCAGCTGAAAGATTACGTCTACGCCTGCCACCACCAGTTGACTCTGTTGAAGTCGCAATGTTCTCGGAATGAATCCGAAGGTGGGTGGCAGGAATGTCAGTACGGCCACAAGGTCCACGATTCCCCTCTCCAGGACTTCCTGACTGACGCCCCCACCTCCAAGTTCGAGACTCACCCCTTCGACCCGTACAATCTGTGTCTCAAGAGCCATGTCAAGATGGGGTTCGGCGACAAGGAATTGCCTGAGAAATCACAACCGGGAAGTACCCTTTACGGTATCCTGTCTCCAATCTGCGGCGTCGAAGACCCCCTTCTGAAATTGTCCTCTTACCTCAACTGCATCACCAAGCGGACGCCGCGCACCACCGGGGAGCTTGTGTCTTTCTTCCACAATTTCGGGAATTCACTGCACGACAAATCTTCAAGGTGGTCTATGCTTGGTATTTCACTGGCCAAACAGCATGACAACTGCCCCGAGTGGGACCATCTTGCTGCCGCCAAACTCCAAGCCATCGAGGACGCCCGGGGTTCCGCCCCTTCCAGCTCCAACCACCAAGACCAAGATCATGCCAACACCCTGTCCGCACTAATTGGGTGCGGCATCGATAACTCCAAGTGCCCACGACTCATGAAACCTATCACCTACGGAGCCTATGCCCTCTACTCTCCGATCTTCGTCCACGACTACCTCGGCTGGACGGTCTACCTGGCAGACAGACTGTGGGAGTCATTGCTCAGGCTTCACTATGATCTCAAGATCCTTCAGTGCCACGACTCCAAGTCCAAGTCCCTCCACCAGTGTGAGAAGGCCCTGCTCCTCCTCTACTCTCACGGGTTCACGCCGCCAGACGGGACACTGCAGTCCTCACTCAACTGTTCTAAGATCATCGCCAAGCTGAAGGAATTGGTCGCCGGAAAGCCTATCGCAACGCTTATGACCTGCATGGACAATTTCCTGTACAAGATCAGGAAGCCCTTCCTCTACACTCTATTCACAGTGTGGTCAATCGCAATGCTTTTCTTCGCCCACACTATGCTCTACCGCCTGGATGTCCTGTACATCCGCTCCCACCTCCTCACCACCAGGGCCTCACACCTCATCGACGTCAAGGCGCTGCTCGCCGGAAGCCGCAGGATGCTCTCGCTCTACCGTGATATCGACTACTTCGACGACGATGCTGTTGCCCAACTTATCGTGTCACAGTAATGATCTCAGTCACGTGTTAGTTTTGTATATGTGGCGTTGCTTTACAGCTACGAATGAACGAGTTATGTGAGGTGGTGAATATAATACATTGGTGTTTCGTGAGATCGGCACACTTGCGCACCTACAACTGTAACCAGTAATCTAGCCCACCAATAAGACAACATAGGTGACAGCGCGCGTTGACGTGTCAACCAGTTGTTTGCCATCACAGTTGTCGAGCGAGCAATCGGTGTCACCCCACGGCTACGGTGGAGAGGGAAACTGATTTTTGCCATATACGTCAGCGTCTCAAGCGCCATCCTGGGTGAGGTGGTTAAATATATGTTTGGCGATTGTATAGAATGTTAATGCTTTAGTGAGTGGCTAGTAAATCTATGGTAGCGTGTTTATGAGAGATTCTGGACGACTGGGACATTGTGCGACGTGATGAAGATCGGATAGCGTGGACTGTAAGATACTAATAATAACCCATCGTAACGTTTCTAACGTTGATGTACAGCTTCAAATACGATAACACCCAAACTTCACTATGTGCAATATTGTCTGGAATCTACATACGATAATGACATGCGTGTTGCATGTCACGTGAACTGTGTAGATCTGGATGTGGTACGGCAGCTTGCTTGTAATTGCGCCGTTGAAGTTGGGATCATTGTTTCATAGAGACCTTGTATATATCGTTAGGTTGCATATGTATTATAAGACAATACCATACTGCTGATCCATCATCAAGGTACAGTCGGAATTAACGCTGCCGACTACGTACGCGTGCTTTTTGTAAACCGGCATATAAATGAATCAAAGATTTCCTAAACATATAGCAATTGAATAGTTTAACGAATCTGCACAAAATGGTGTACAAGTCATTGACCGGGGCTCCTCACAACCTCAAGGAGGGTATTGACTGGTTGATAGCGCTGAAGGGGAACTGATACTGAAGCGAACTTGGCTGCTATGGGCGAGGCACTTTACAAATTCCTCGCAGACAAGCCCGTTGGCAAGAAGGAGTTGCCGGCTCTGGAAAAGGTAAAGAGTATTTCTAAGGGGTTCCTGGAGCAACCGGCACTTAATTATATATGGCCCGCCAACGAGCTGTTGAGGAGATTCAATAAACCTCTGAGTAAGAAGCATCCTGGCTTTTTCCCTAGATTTTTTGGAGTTATATTCGAAAGCGACTATGAGAACGTCATTCAGACCAGAGGTGTGAAGCCGGAAACTATCGCAAAGAAATTAGGTAAAGTCGTGAATGGTTGTGAGCAGTTCCTGGAAAATGTCAAACTCCCTGACCAGTATATCTCTGCTTACAGTTCAGGGGCTACGTGGGATTCATCATGCGCGAAAGACCCGGAAGCTTGTGCGGTGATTTTTGTGGGGATTGCGCCAATGTTGTACGCAGGTCTACGTTCTTTAAAGAATTCCTGCATTGCTCAAGGCTATTGTCACCGGTCATCAGGACTGACGCCGATTAATTTGAGAGATGTGGTGAAAGCTGTAGGTTACAAAGACCCAGGGTGCCGTGCTAGCATGAGCGACTCAGAAATTCTCAAGGCGTTGAAGGGTATGAGTTATAAAATGTTTATCACGCTCTACGACCTCTCTGGATTCTGGGCTTTCTACGGATTGGAGAAGGCAGAATCTGTAGAAGCCGTAGAACCCGTGAAACCCATGACAACTGCAGGCGCTGTAGAAGCTCTCAAGTACCACACTAGCAAAAATGGATCCCATATTATAGCAGGGGATAACAGTGGCGTCGACATGGGTTTGTTACATGCCTGGAATGCCAAGAAATCGAACAAGCCTCCAAAAACTGGTAACGCCCTCAGATCGAACAACATGTATTATCCCTGGTTGCCAACAGTGTCGGATTTGGGCAATGTTATCCCAATTTAATGGGCAGTATCCTGTTTATTCGCCTGGCCAAAGGATATTGTTTAAACATGTTTATTAATTATATGTTGATATATATACATCTCCTTTGTATCCTTTGCCAATTGTTGTAAACATGCTAAGCGAGCTACATTGAAGCAACCTAGTGGATAACGTAGATGCCTTGACACGATAGTGTCGCAGTGGCCAGGATAAAGAAGTCAGTGCCGTGAGCCCATCATCTCAGCAGACAGTAAAAATGTGTGGATGGCCATCTGGGTGCGTGAGGGACGCCATCACCATCGTGGAAATACGAATAATCAATCAAGACAGCCTGGTAGAGATGGAGATCATCACGACGCTGTGAATGACCCTCTCGCCCAAACAGGATGGATGCCACAGTGGATGGTACCTGTAGTGTACGATAATTCGACATGGATCCCGCAACCGACACCAGCAGCCTAAGTCGCTTGCCTGGTAAACACGAAAATCGGCCCTAAGCCACGTAGCCACATAGCGCACTAAATAAAACCAAAACAGAGATAATCTTGGCACAAGGATGCTACATCCGTGTTGTAGTCAGAGAAATATATTAGTTAAACATTAGATTCGGCCATAGGAGACCGATTGTACTCACGGTAACGCGAAAAAGCGTTCCCCATTGCACCTATGGCCCCAAAAATAACGGGGAAATAGGTCGCAAAAATGGCAGATTGGTCCGTCTTCGTTACGTCCATTACGATGCCTGGAAGTAAATTACCGCCTATGTACCCGAAAATATGATACAGACACATGCATATGCTTGATGCCATGGGTCTCAGACGCTCTGAGATGGTGTTGATAGTGATCAGCGTTATAGGCGGGAGAATGCCACCGCCGAAGAATAAGATGACCCAGATGCAGCCAACCAGGTTGTAGAAGTTCTGCCACACCACCGCCGACGCTGCGCACGATAAAGCCACCGTCGTCCACGAGACTATGACGATGTCGACTATAAGCGGCTGTGTCGGGTACCGCGCGGTGATCGAATCGATGACCCACGAACCCGCAATGACGCCCATCACTGGCGCCGTCGTCGATGTAGCCACAAACAGAGTGTGGACGAGCGACTCCGGCACGTCGTACATCGATATTGCGATCTTGGTGGTCCAGTACTGGATGGCGGAGACGACGTAAAACAAAGCAGAGACGGTCATAGTGGAGAAGCAGAAGTATGGGTTCGACAATATTATCCGGCAACCCGACCACAATGTATATGACTCCTCATTTGGGGAATCATGTGGCGCCTCAGATATAATGGCTTCACTGGAATGGCGCCGATCAGGGTAGGTCGCATTGTTGGCTGTGCTTGGACGCTTCGAGACATCAGTGTTGATTCGACCGATACAGCTGTTCCTAGACGGCCACATGTGCATAGTTTCACCGGGCAGGAGGCTCGTTTGTCTGGTAACGGGCTCATAGGAGTGTACTCGGTCTAGTGCGGAAATGCCATCGTCAAAGCTCCTCATCGAGCTCAGACTCCGATCAACTTGGCTTTGGAAAGCAGCCATGTTCGACACGACTACCACGTTCACGTCATTAACTTGCTCATCCGGAGTCTCATCCGTTTCCTTCTTGGACATCCCTATCGATGGAAGGTTGATGTACCGGCGCGGAGTCCACATGAACAGGTAAACAAGAATCGCCAAAACTCCCATCTGCGATCCGATGCTTACTCGCCACCCATCGTCACCTATCCATTTGAATATGGCAGTGGAGGCGTAACCGACCATGAAACCTGCAACGATTGATCCCTGCAGTATAGCCATCCAAAGGTTCTTGCGGGCATCGGGTGCAAAGCATCCGACCCACACTGGCGCATAAATAACGAAAAAGGACTGTGTCGCGCCTACGAGAAATCGCGAAATGTAGAACATGACCTTGTTGTAGGCTAATGCGAAGACGAGAAGGGACAAAATGTTCAAGACAAGTCCTATCGCTATGATCGTTCTCGCCTTGAAAAACGTGAAAACTGTTCCAATAACCGGGCTCAACACGATCAGCCCTATAAACGGCAGTGCTCCCAAGAAACCAAGGTCCGTCCTAGAGAAGTTGTACGGGTCTTGGATCCACGGCACCATAACCGACATGGCGCCGAGATCGTAGTTCACAAAGCACTCTAGCAATGCCATTAGCGCGAAAATGTGGCACAGTTTACGATAAACCAGAGGCTCATCACTGGACCTCGTGGTATGCGGCTCATTGTCAGAGGTACTTGCCCCAAGCGACGGCATCTCGACTACTTCCGGGGACTTGGCTTCATCAGTATACGCACGGTGGGCCGACGGCCCAGAAGAATCTGTGTCCAACATCTCCCAATGCACACCTAGCACATGACTACGTTGAAAGCTAGTAGCTCGTGTAGAAAACGACCTAACGCGTGTATAATCAATGCCAGCTGCCGCGGAGTGGCGGCGCCTGTGCAGCCACGTCGCGCGTACAGGACCGTGGCCTCGCTTGCTCAGACACAAATGTTAACCCCCCTATCACTATTCTACAATTCGCAGTGACGTTAACTGCAAAATATTCCAAACTGAATTGCAATGGTGGATCTGTAGGGTGGCAAGTGCCTTGCAGTGGCGTACAGACGTTGCGACTGCCGCTCTCTAGTGATAACGAAAGTCTCAATATTGGCAGTACAACCAAATGTGCAACATTATTTATATGCTGTGACACGTTTTAACGCTCTTTCTGATCCGCATGTCTCGTAGGAGTCTGAGCACAGAGCTCGAAACGGTCATGAGTGTGCGACGGTGCAGCTATGGCGCTTATTTATTACCGCATGTCTATAATGTGTTGAATCGTTATGGTTCCTATGACTTTGTTTTCATCGCTATGAACGGGCGAGCTCAAACTTGCGATGATACACTTGTTTTGCAACAAGACGTGAATAATTACAATTCTATAACAGCATGTCAGCTTAGTAAAAATTGCTGTGCCACTAGGATCAGGATTCCAAAATAAGCTTGACGCGACATCACGCATGGCCTAGTCACACACCAAATACATCGTAATACCGCAATTATTACCGACGTCTCCGCTCGGCTACCGGCATGATGCAACCAGGAATCACATATCACAATGGCTCCCGCCAGTAGACACGTATGGTCGCGGAGGTGTGTGTAGCGCATGCTGCAGTGGCTATATTCTAATATACCACAAGCTGCGACGTCGGGTGCCAATCAGCGGCGGTTTACTACCTAAGACGGTTAAACGTATCTAGGCGTACTCATAAGCGACGCACTGTCCCGAAATGCGCGCGGCCACCGCGGTCACGAGTTGCCGCTAGGAGTACAACGTGCCGAAATTGCGCGTCGTGCCACACCATATGACAATACGGCTACTAAATAGCGTTCGCCTGCAATAATCCGCAAATCACAGAAGCGTTAAAGGTACACCTCATTGCGGCCATACACCAAACGCCGCGGCAACATGGGAGGCTCGCTATCGTGCCGCCGTCCTCTAAACGCAGCGTCTCAACCCTACCCTACGTTGCAGATACACGTCTTTGGGTTGGCAGGCGCTGGAAAGCATGCAATCGTGAGATTCCTTAAGTACGGCGTGCCTGTCTTGGATGCGAAGAGAGATGATGGTACGTTCGACGTCGTGTCTAACTATCTCCACTGTCTTGCTTATAAGGAGTTTTTGAAAAAAATGGCGCTTAAGTGTAACTGTGTGACCGTGAATTTGTCATTTTTTACATGTGCATCGAAAATTGGCGTGTCTCGTGCCGGCTGATCCACGGCGTTGCTACGGGAGACGTGAATTCTGCGCCTTCCGCTATTAGACACGCAATCTCACTATCATGCAGTCGAAGTAGACATGCAATGGATTACGCACCGCAAAGTCAGGATGCTACTGTGGGTATCGGAGCAAACTGCACAGAAGGAAATCGCCAATGCAACCGATGTCGCCAGAGCGCTCATATGCGTCGTCGACGGATCGGACCCAGAAAAGCTGACCGCTGCTCGCGACTATCTCTTCACACAGCTGCAAGAAACCACGGGCACGCCTAACTTGCTGATTCTGCTAAACAAGTGCGACAAGCACTCCTTCGTATTCCTGGAGGAGGCGCACGATGCATTGAACCTCGACCAGATCAGAGACCGCCATGTGTAAGTGCATGAATATGGATGAACACACTATTCAGGCGCATCTACGCGTGCTCAGCTGGCACCGGCGAGGGAATACGCGAGGCACTTGATTGGCTGTGCAGCAAGTTCTACCTCCAGAACGGGGTATACGTCAGCCGCAAAGGTGAGTCGAACACACGAGAATCACACATCTTTGCAGAAACCATGTAAGCATACAACCGCATCTGCGCCGTACGATGCTCCCGGGTATCGCACTCCAACGGCGCGACACACAAGGCGCCGCTCCCACACACTGTAACACGCGCGGGGAGAGCTGGAGCACATATGCCACGTTGCAGAAATAACAATGTGTAAAATACATGTAGTTAAACGCTGCATTCATAAGAAGGAGAGGTCATTGGCGGGGCACATTATCAGCTCTGGCTGAGTGCCGCAGCTGTGCCTTTCTTTGCCATCCTTCGTGTCCGTAAACGCGTTTACTACAATTAACGAATATGTGTGTCGGGTAAAATGCGCAGTGGTCGATAGCCAACCGCCTCAATGGCGTGGAAGGCTAACTATGCCGTGGATTCCGTGCGTTGTTGTCGCAAGGTAAAAATGTTGAGCGGTTATTAGCGGCAAAAATGCGCCAGATATGGCGCTTAAGAGGGCTCTGTGCCTTAACATTCGTGTTGCAGGCGCTTGCGTTGGCACAGCTGCATATAGTGGACGCTCTACATAACTCTCGGCTTGGAACTAACCTGAGACGCTGTTATTCCGCTCATGTGACATCTGTAGTTAAACATAGAGCGAATGGGAGCTATATGCAACAGCGTGTGTGCGGAGACAGTCCTGCGATGTCTAATGGTTTGGCACGGAGTGGAGCTGTACCGCAAAGCGTCACCTGCAACCCTGCGTTTGTACCAACGATTGGCATGGATGCAGACGGACTGTATGGAAGAAGACCGAAGGCAAATCGAATACAACGAAACAGATTGGCACCCTGGCATATGGCTGTGAGCAAGACACCGATTTCCAGCGATGATGAATTGCGAAGAGATAACAGTGGAAATGGTCTTTACGATCATAGTTCCGGTCGCGATAATGACTCTGGCGGCAGAGGTGCCATAGGTGACAACACGGAGAGCAGCATACATGGCAATATAAGCAGCAAGCGACGAATCGGTGAGCGGAGTGAATCGTTGAACGATGAAAACTTCATACCTCCCATAATCAAGTCCTGTGGAGGCAAGATGAAGACACCTCCAGCAGCTGATAGCAATTCAAAGAATTCAAAAACAGCTAAGGGCATTAGGCCTGCCAGTTCAGAGGGAAAGTCCATAACTCCTAAGAATGTCACTGGAATGCGATCTAGCGTGGCGCATGTTGATCGTGGACTGAATGACACAAGGGATCTCGTGGACGGTCAAAACGTCAACAACAGCGATGAAGAAGGTGACACTGCTGCGTACGTGCGGAAGGAGGGTACATCCATCAGCGAGGAAGTAGCAAAATACGAAGACCTCTACACGACCATGGAGTCATGGGGACAATCCACAAAAAAGGGCGACCGCGACATTTATAGATTCCTCAAAAGAAGGCTAAAGGACGTTCAGCAATCAGCTGAAGTTCAATACGCCGAGGACGGAGATGGAATGACTGTGGATGATTTTCTTGAAGCAATAGACGGGCTGGGATACGAGATTGAAGACCACCCTGATATCCCTTATAAATGGCACCGCTACCTGGAAATCATTAGATTGGGTTATGACGAGAAGATTAGGGCTGCAAGGCGCAGCAAAAAGCTGACTGCAACAGACGTAATCGATAAATGTCTAAGGCAACTAAAACGGGAAGAACCGGGCGGATACAGATACCCCATCGCGGGAACACCAGACGAAAATTACAGCGACCCGAACGTGTACAAGGCCTGGGGACGCACGGGACTTTATCACACCCAATATATGAAAAAGCCGGGCACCACGTCTGGTGAGGTAGAGACAAGGAACGATACTTTGGAAGAGCTCATTCTCTCGAACTCGCCACTGAAAGATATGGACGAAATAGAGAAACAACTTGAGGACCTCAGACACAAAAGGTTAGAGAAAGAGATTGGAGAGATCGAAAATGTGAAGGCGGAAACATCTATTGATTCATTGCCAGAAGTGGCTGGCAACATATCGACGACAGATTCTACAGCCACCGCCACAGAATCGAATGAATGTAGTACCATAGCATCAAAGGTTGATGCGGATGTGGAAATGAAGTCCGAAAGTGATATACGGCAAGAGAGCACTGCAGCGGCTGATGGGCATAGCATCGGAAGTGATGGTACACAAGCAATGCCAAGTATTACCGCCCCAACGTTCACCGCCACTGTTGATGGGGAATACAAATTAGTTGACGCCGAATTCCTAAAAAGTGAGAGGCAGAGGCAACTTGAATTACTTCTGTCATTAAACCCCTACAACCCATGGGACGAATACAGACGCATTACACGAGTTAAATCCGGACTGAAAATCAAAGACCCCATTCAAGTCAAGTATAAACTCAATACAGTAGAGCTAAAGGTTAAATTTGAATCTTCAGACAATTATGACGTTGACACGGGAGACAGCTCGGCTGACTCCGTGTTGAGCCGGGAATCGATGGGGGGTATGGCAGACAACATCCCCAGCATGGGAGATACCCTGCAAAGAGATTCCAGAGATGAAAAGATAGAGGATGTAGTGGCGGAGAGAAACCAATCACACAAAGGCCAAACAAATCACGTTCAACTCCCTCCGAACTTCTTGCAAGATTACTTGCACTATTTTCTCATGCTGCCTGAAGACCATCAGATGTTGCAAGAGTTCGAAAAGGCTGAATATCTGTACGACGTACTCAGATACTTCGACCCATTTGATAGAGAGGAGCCAAAGCCGGAGCCTGAGATACCTGACGCACATGATCGGTTGTTTAGCATCATATTTCCTGGGTGGGAAGGGTTCCCAAAGCCACCGCCAGACCCTGTGTACCCTATGACATTGACACCGGATAAAGCTCCTGAAACGTATAGAGTCAATGCAATAAATGCAATGGTCGCTCTTTTGAAAGCGCGGCAACTATCGCTAACGCCGACCGCAGATATGCTTCAGGAACAACGAGTTAGGGCAATCCTCACTTCAATAGAACGCTCACTAGAACTCGAGATTAAAAGGATAAAATTAGGATTAGTGGACATTGAAGTTCCAGGCATTGATGCGCAACTTTGCAAAGTGGATGATGCTTATTTGGCCACTCTATCTGCCACCCTAGCTTTCTGGAACATTCGTGATGGCATAGAAACTATTGTGGATGAGATTGTTGTGCTTACAACAGCAAACATGTCACAAATGCGCCCCAAGTACCTCATTGCAATCGCCGTGAACTTATCCAATCTGCATAAGTTGCCAAAATCCGTTTTCCTAAAGTTCGTTAAAGCGGTAACGCAACATGTGCAGCAGCAGATGGCAGCTGATCTGGTAAAATCCGCTGTTGATGTTGACCACATTAAGTGCATGGACTTCGATACGGCAGCTCAAATGCTGAACCTCTTGGCCAGATATCCAGGTGCACTTGGTCGTGATTTTATGGTTGCTTTCATGCAGCTGTACAGACGCGACATCATGCAACTCAAGGTACCAGAATATAACTGCAACAAGGATGTAATTTTAAACTCAGACGTGCATGAATCAGAGAGTGGTGCTGCTTCTGCGGAGGGATTTATAGCGCAAAATAATAAAGGCGAATCAGGTACACGGCCAGGATGCACAAAGTCAAGTGATTGTTCAAGCAACCCCAACAGACCATTCGACATCAATGTAACATCTAATAATAATAATAATGGCGTGGCTCTAGTGGTGGGACCTCAGTATTGGGAATACCTCCGACAGGCAACTGACGATGAGATGGCAACGGTACACCGTAAACAAGATGAGAGCGCACAACAATTGAAACGCGAACTAAACGTGCGTGGCATGAGAGGTCGATTTGTGCAACATGTCTGGTCTTTGATAAGCTGCCTAAGCTGGTGCGACCTAATTAAGGAATATAAAAATGTTGTAGATATGTTCAATATGACATCTCTCCTTCAGGATTTCGAGTTAAGCTCAGTGGGAGCGCTAGCAGTGTTACAAACATGCTCCCAGCAAACCGATAAAGAACGCACGCTTATTGCTAAAGCGTTATCCGCTCTCAGGGATGTACGATCTATGATAAGCGATGAGACGTGGTTAGAAGCCATGGAGATTTACAGCGACGCAACCAATACAGGGCGCGACGGAGCCGAACCAAGGATAAAGCCGGATCGCGCTTTCATCTCTGCCATGATGAACCGTTTTGTGGACCATCGGCAACCTAGCTGGAAGATACTGCGGAGAGCGGTGGACCTTCTGCACGGTTTCTCAAATGCCCTCTCAAAGAACCAGCGACAGGAACTGTTTCAGCAAATGTGCGAATCTGTCTGTGACTACGCACATCTACAGTTGCAGGCGCTCAACGCGGAGCGCTTGGACTATCCATTGAGGGAGATGGCACATGTTCTGCGGGTATCCGCCGCATGCGGTGTCCGCATAGACAAAGTAAGTTCACCTATACATAGGTTTAATGCGTCCTGCAGGTGTGGAAGATTTTCCTCGATCTTTTGAAGGTATTTAAACACACGCTATCTGTGGAGGTGGGTATAACAGTTTTGTTATTTTAAAGATTGCAGGATATTAAGGAGACGCTTCTGGCTCTTAAAGCGGCCAATTACACGTCTTTATCCGAAATGGGTGAACTGTTGATTCGTCGAATGTGCGATATTGTGGAGGTGATGCCGTACACGGCACCCGAAGACGTATGCGAGATCATGGAAATAGGTCTGTCAATTAAAATAAATCCAACAAAGCTGCTGCGATGGTTCCTGTACCTTTCATTCCACGAGGTTCCCGAACGTGACATGGACAGACTAGCGATGGACATGGTTGGAGAAAAACTGGACTACGAAGTGGACTTTCGTGGATGGAAGAGACCTGTGGGCCAAGGTACGCCAGGTGAAAGGCTGCGACTTTTCAACAACCTTTTTACACCATACAAGATGCATGGGTCGAAGGCATATTATCCCAGCGATGAACTGAAGTATGTCATGCAACAGAGCATCAGAGACCCACCGCCGTACTCTGCTGAAATTAAACCCAAACCAGGAATTAAGTTGCCACGCCAGCTCGGTGACAGAATCAAAGTCATCGTACAACAGATGATCTACTCGGGATATGAGTGTTCTCAAGCCGACGTCGAGCTGTTCAAGTTGGCAGGAGTGATGCCACAGAAGGCGGAAAATGGTCAAACGTCTGCAAACAGTTGCATAGATGTGATTGGGCTACAACACTATAAAGACAGTGACACCGATTATTAATTTTATCTGTACGCAATGATGAGACCGTTTGTGCAAAAGGTGCGCATGTATTCCCAGAAAACATATCCAACTCACTTGCACGGCAATGCATCCACCTAGTTGTATATATTGTTTCTATTTGCGTATTATGACATAAGTGTCTATAGGTGACTCAGCTTTTTCTGGGTTAAGAGTAAATGAGTGCATCAACAGTGCGTCAGATGTAAATGAAATTTTTGAACAAACTAATTGCGAGTGAGACATTGTTGAAGTGATCAGGGGGCCACTTTATGCTTGGTTTGAAATCACCGGAGTTATCACTCAATTTCCTGAGGACGCCTAACGGATTTAAAGGGACGTAATAGACTATAATTACAGCAACGCCTCTACTGAAATTATATGAAAGTGTTACTGTGATTAAAAAAATGCGTCCACTAGGTAGAGCTACATTATATCCTGGTACAGGAAGGCAGAATGGCGATCGATGTTCATGCATTCGGGAATTCCGTTACCAACAAGATCGTTCGTGGATGTGCCGGAACGCCTAGCTGCCATGACCAGTGCAACACGTATTGTAAATATCACCTTACGGAATTGATCACGATACTTAGGCCAGACAAAGAAGATGACAAATAGAATTCCAGCGATGGGGTAACCATATCCCCTTATCCACTGCCGGATGCGGTGGATTGGGCACGTTTTCTACCACTGGGATTGCAATGTAACACCGCATTGAGGTGCTCAACAAGCATACGTCTCACAGGAATCATAATCGCACGACCCAGCCAATGAAGATGCTGCTTTGACGTGTTTTTGAGCAAAAGTATCACGTGTAGTCAAAAGACCAACTACATTGAACGATTAAGTTAAGGGGTGCAATCCATTGGCGTTTATACCCCTTGCACTCAACAGGTGCTTCGCATGGCTGCAACTCCAATGCCACCATGCCACTCCAACGCGGCGTTGATCAATCATCCACCTGAGGCCCAAAGCATTGTACACCGTTGCTCATAAACTTCGGCTTCCACGCAATGTCTGTCGGGCACACGGAGATTAAAGCATGTGACTTGGAAAATAAGCAGCCAAATCGCGCCGTGAATGAGATTAAAAATACGGTGAGAAGTATGTTTGCTCTCATTCATGGCAGCAGTATTGTGGTTGAAGATTGTATATATTGAGTTGGATTTCACTACATATCGTAAGATAAAAATGTTTCGTGAGAGTTCGTATGATGCCAACTTGCTAGGGAACTAGAGTCATCTGTTGCTTCGAACAGTATTCTCAGCTCATCTCGAATCCCTACTCAATAGAAAGCCCAGAATCCACAGAGGTCGTAGATTGTGACCAAGTTTTGGAATTTTACGCCTTTCAACGCCTTAAGGATATATGAAGCGGTCATGCTAGCACGGCACCCTGGGTCTTTGTAACCCACAGCTTTCACCACATCTCTCAAACTAATCGGTGTCAGGCATATTGAATCGTGACAATAGCTTTGAGCATTGCTCGCTTCCCGCAAAGAACGTAGACCTGCGTACAACATTGGCGCAATCCCCACGAAAATCACCGCACAAGCCTCCGGGTCTTCCGCGCATGACGCATCCCACGTCGCTTCCGAACTGTAAGCAGACGCATACTGGTCAGGGATTTTGACGTTGTCCAAGAACTTTTCACAACCAGCCACAGCTTTACTTAATTTCTCTGCAATTGTTTTAGCGGTGAGCCCCCTGGTCTGAATGACGTTCTCATAGTCGCTTTCGAATATAACTCCAAAAAATCTAGGGAAAAAGCCAGGATGCTTCTTACTCAGAGGTTTATTGAATCTCCTCAACAGCTCGTTGGCGGGCCATATATAATTAAGTGCCGGTTGCTCCAGGAACCCCTTAGAAATACTCTTTACCTTTTCCAGAGCTGGCAACTCCTCCTTGCCAACGGGCTTGTCTGCGAGGAATTTGTAAAGTGCCTCGCCCATAGCAGCCAAGTTTTTGTCAGCATCCTTTCCCTTCAGGGCCATCAACCAGTCAACCCCCTCCTTGAGGTTGTGAGGAGCCTCGGTTAACGAATTGTACACCATTTTGCTGAGGTTGGTTATTAATCTTCAACTGATAAGCGTGTGGGTTTGGGGTCTATTTGCAGGGGCGGCGTCTTAATGGAGGACAAACAAAAGTGTTGTTGCCCTGTAATACATACGAGCCTAAGGAAAGCTACAAAGCAACGTACACACATCCAATAGGCAAACGACAAGGTTGCGACGCTGGCAGAACAGAGGGCCGCATCCAGATCTACACAGTTCACGTGACATGCAACACGCATGTCATTATCGTATGTAGATTCCAGACAATATTGCACATAGTGAAGTTTGGGTGTTATCGTATTTGAAGCTGCGCATCAACGTTAGAAACGTTACGATGGGTTTTTATTAGTATCTTACAGTCCAAGGTATCCGATCTTCATCACGTCGCACAATGTCCCAGTCACCCAGAATCTCTCATAAACACGCCTCCATAGATTTACTAGTCACCCATTAAAGCATTAACATTCCATACAATCGCCAAACATATATTTAACCACCTCACCCAAGATGGCGCTTGAGAAGCTGACGTATATGGCCAAAGTCAGCTTCCCTCTCCACCGTAGCCGTGGGGTGGCTCCGGTGGCTCGTTCAATAACCGCCATGAAGATAAACTAGTTGACACGTCAATGCGCAGTGTCAGCTATGTTGTCTTACTGGTGAACTAGGTTACTGGTTACAGTTGTAGGTGCGCAAGTGTGCCGATCTCACGAAACACCAATGCATTATATTCACCACCTCACATAACTTATTAATTCACTGCTCTACCACGCCCTATCACGTGGTATCTAACGACAAGTTGAATGCCACAATCACTGTTATACATCAACTTAGTCAACGAGTTCGTCGTCGAAGTAATCGACGTCGCGGTAGAGTGAGAGCATCTTCCTCCCGTGCATGAGGAGCGCTTTGACATCGATGAGGTGGGAAGCCCTGGTAGTGAGGAGATGCGAGCGGATGTACAGGACATCCAGGCGGTAGAGTAGGGAGTGAGCGACGTAGACCGTCGCGATAGACCACAGTGTGAGCAGGGTATAGAAGAAGGGCTCCCGGATGCCGTAAAGGAACTCGTCCATGCAGGTCATAAGCGTCGCGATAGGTTCTCCGGAGACCACTTCCCTCAGCTTGGTGATGACCTGTGTACACGTGAGTGGCGACTTCAATGTACCCTCCGGCGGCGTGAACCCGTGAGAGTAGAGGAGGGGCAGAGCATTGGCACACTGGTGGAGGGACTTGAGCTTGGAGTCGGGACATTGAAGGATCTTGAGATCATGGTGCAGCTTCGTCAGTGACTCCCACATTCTATCGGGCAGGTAGACCGTCCAGCCGAGGTAGTGGTGGGCGAAGCTGGAAGAGTACAGGGCGTAGGCCTGGTAGGTGATGGGCTTCATGAGTTGTGGGCAGTTGACATTATCGATGCCGCAGCCAAGCAGCGTGGACAGCGTCTTGGGATGGTCCTTGTCGTGGATGGAGTTGGGAGTGGCGGAGCCCTGGGCGTCCCTGATGGCATTGATGTCTGCGTCCTTGAGACAATCCCAGTCGGGGCAGTCGTCATGTCGAGTGGAGAGGGCGGAGCCCAGTGGAGACAACGCTGAAGGATGACTGTGCAGCTCATTCCCGAAATTGTGGAAAAACGAGACAAGCTCCCCGGTGGTGCGCGGCGTCCGCCTGGTGAGGCAGTTGAGGTAGGAGGACAATGTCAGCAGGGGATCCTCGCCGCCGCAGCTGGGAGAGAGGATGGTGGAAAGGGTATCACCTGTTTTGGGGTCATCAGGCAGATCCTCCCTCTTGAATCCCATGTTGACAGAGCTCTTGAGGCAGATGTCGCACGGGTCGAAGGGATGAGTGTCGAACCTGGAGTCATGGGCGTCGGTCAGGAAGGCTTGGAGGGGGGGACTTTTGGGGAGACACACCATGGCCATATTCATGATTATGCCAGCCACCTTTAGACTGCTCCCGAGAACACTGTGACTTTAGGAACGCCAGCTGGTGGTGGCAGGCGTAGACATAGTCCCGCAGATGGCAGAGTAGGGCGCAATAATCAGGGTCCTTAGGTTGTTCGGGATCCTTCGGTTTTAATGTTGCCGATAATGCGATGTTACCCTTCCAGGCAGGTTCTATGGCGGAGAGCACTGACGCTGCAAACACAGCGGCAAGTTGAATGGTGTGAAGGACATTATCGGCGGTGATACTAGAATCGTTGAGTGAGAGTCGAAAATCTGACGAGTCATGGATCCCGTCCTTGAAAGCATCATTAATGCACTTTTCCATAACATCAGAATGCTTTGGGTTCTGCAGTCCGACCAGCCAAATAAGCATATCCCTGATTGTACGCGGCGCCTCGTAGGGGAACAGCTCGGTGTCGGGGAATTCTTGCAGGTTGTCGTTATCTGTCTTAGTGATCCAGGGAGGAACGCACTTGTCCTCGAATTCGAGTGTGGTCAATTTTGGATAGAATGTTTCAGGAAACGGGGCGTGCGGGGGTATATTGGAATATGTATTGGACGGTGACACAATCCTCTTATGTCCAACCGCAGGCAGTGGCACCTCTTGAATGCTGTCAGTGTCGTCAATTATTTCCGGATTATAAGCCTTTTCTATATAGAATTCAATTTGGGTCGGATCCGACATTGAGGTCTGAGGTGGTATTTGATGCGACGTGTCGCTGCCTGAATTCATCGATGTGCCAGAAGAACTCAAATTGTTATCAACCGTCTGTCTATTTTGCAAATTAGGGTCACCGATTGTCGCCCCTGGACTCCCACTCCCTGCATCTCCACCGATCTTTTGACCGGGTGGCAGACCTGGGGATGCAAGAGGGTGGGTTCCTGGGATAGCCATGGAATTTTTAGCATGTGTCAGAGCAGGATCCGAAAGAGACGCCTGGTCATCCGGGCCCTTACCACCACCTGGAGGAGAGGCAGCAATTGACGAAGACTGTGGACCTGAAACACTTGAGGGCTGAGTAAGCACAGCGCCGTGAACAGCATCATGCTGTGGGCTCTGAAGTTTAACTGACGTTGGATCCGGATCCCCGCTTCCTGACTTACCAGGGGGGTCATGTGCGTCAAGGGAGCTGGAGGATGCGTGTTGATTCAGAGGCCCTGTAGAGCCTGTATCTCCTTTCAAGCTAGGATCCGGAGTCTGCATAGCTCCTTGATCCTGAACACCTTGGTCACCCTTGAGTCCATGCGGAGTGCTCTGCGGAGTTGAAGGGTCTGTAGCGGTGTTTGGGGGAGGGGCAGAAGGTAGGGGTGGAGGAACAGGCAGTGCCGGGCCTGACTGACCTGGAGATCCACTGTGCCGAGTTGCAACATGTTGTTGAGCTCTTGTAACTGCATCATCAGAATCACTGAGAAGATCTGGGCCGAGAGCTCGTGGAATGGCTGCCGGGCTATGACCGCCTGAATCACCCGTGTCACCCTGAGGATTTACCAGAGGAGGCGATTGGAGAGTAACGCTCAAACCACCCGGTGGACCAGGGATACCAGATGATGGAGGTTCTGGGTCTGAATGACCTGGAGTATGATGTTGCAGAGAAAGTTGAGGGGCTTTAGGTGATTGGCTAGAATGATTGTCTACCAGGGGATCGCCTTCTGTACCCCCTGCCGAGCCCCCACCCCCTCCACTGGCATCATCGCAACCTGTACCAGCACTACTTACAGCGGATGTTGTAGTCGCACCCGAAGTTAACTTCTGTTGCGAGCCTTGAGGATGCTGTTGAGCAGGGTTAGAAGAAGGCGTCTGGTTTTTCAGATCCTGAGCACCACCGGGTGGAGGGACAACAGGTGACAAAGAGTCTCGGGCTTGAACATTTGAAGTCTGAGTGTGCCTTGCACTTGAAGAGACAACCGGATGTATTCCCGAAGACGCCTTGCTGTCTGGACCAGGAACGGGGCCCACTTGCGTACCAACTTTCCCCGGGGCACCATCATGGTTTGAATTGGCCTCTGGCAAAGAAGACCCCGTGCGGCCTGAATCACCATCACCAGCAGCACCATGCGACAGAGAGTTTTGACGATGAATACTTTGAGCCTGGGGAAGATCAATGCGTGGAGAGGCAACAGATTTTGAGGAGGTGGAAACACTGTCCTTTGAATCCGCACCTAAACTCCCACCGGTGCTTGGCACCCCTATCGCTCCATTGGCTCCACCGCCACCTGGAGTAGAAGGCGGATCAGACCTAGTGACTGGGGTGGTGTCCTGATTGGGAGATTAGTCTTGACTACCCCGTCGGTTATCTCCAGAAGCGGCCGGCTGTCCACCCAGTTCCTGACCACCGGCGTCAGTGACACTAGATGACGAAGAGCTGGAGCTGGACGCGCTTGAGTGAGCAGGCGCAGGGGCTTGAGACGTAAGGCGTGCTGGAGTCGGAAGTTGTTCAGCCGGTGGACTAGGTGCTCTATGGGCACTGGGGGAAGCAGGTAGAGGATGTTGAGAATGAGGCCGAGAATCATTTTGCGATTGTAAGGGTTGAGGCTTAGTAGATCCCGTATGCCCTGGAACACTGCTTCTCTGTGCGCCCCTGGCTCCTGAAGCACCTCGAGGCCCTGAGTGGTGTCTTCCATTTCTTGTGGTCCCCCGTGCCTTTCCACTGTTTTGCCCCCCTCCTCTACTGTGAGCCCCCGATCCCCCTCTTCTATGGTTAGACCCTCCCCCTCCTGTATTTCCTCGTCTAGCACCAGAAACAGGACTCCCAACAGACGACCACCCTCCATAACTGCTTGGACCGTATGTCCTGCCAGGAGTCCCGGAAGGCCGGGGTGGTGGCGCAGGTCTGGCAGGCCTCGGAGGCCTGGGCGCAGGCGCCGGCCTAGGTCGGGGTTTTGGAGGGGGCGCTGGACATCCCTTACCATCCAGAATCTTCTTTAACTCGACTAGATTGCCACTGTCTCTCGTAAGATCATGTATTACATAATCCCAATCCGCTCTCACAAGCTCATAAGGAGCATTCGTCTTAAAATAGTCTTTTCCCCCGTAGAAAGTAAAACCGTAGGGGAAAAGATTTTTTGTGAAATGTGGACCGAGCTCGGCGTAATATGCCTGGAGCATGTCGTGATGTTTTGGAAGACTGGCGAGTTGCTTTGTATGGCCTTCATATTCACTTTCAAACTGCTGAATCTTCTCCAAATTCTTCCGCACCTCATCCAGATTCTCTCTCAACCAATCCGCGGTCTTTGCTGCAAACTTTTCCTTGTTAAGCTCTCCGTGTTTTCGTCCATAACCGGTAAAGGAAAAGGCTTTCTCATTGAAAATTTTGCCAAGTGAATCCTTCAGTCTAGCGCAATGATCTTTTAAAAGAGACCAATTTATTGAACAGCTTCCTTTTTCTTTAATTTCCTCTTCCAATACTTTTTTCAAATGTCCGCCATCAGGAGTTTGGTCCTCAGCCACAATATCGCAAAACTCGTTTACCAATGCAAGAGCGTTTGCCGTGTTCACACGCTCGGATCCGGCGGAGGATAACACCGAAGTGGCGAACACGTCACGGAAAAATTGGTCATCTAGTTTTCCGAAAATGCTTTTAAGATCAGTTACCATAGAATAACCACGGTTGTAACCGCTAGACCAACCATCTCTCACCTCATATCTATTGAAGCCGCCCGGTATGAGGCCACCGTAGCGATCGGCGTCGCGTTTCGGCGCTCTAAGGTAATCCTGCAGGTCACCACCCCAACCTTTCGTGCCCAACCAACTCCTATCCTCTTCCCACCCAGGGTAATTATCCTTCCACCCCCCGCCTCCAAGTGACTCGAACTTGTGAGACACGCAATACCAAAGATAGTAAATCGCGGCGAGGAACTTGGGGAGACACTCCAGGAGAGCGTAGACAATTTCTTCCGGTGTGGCACCCTTTTTGATTGAGGCGGCTGTTCCGAGTGCTTCTTGAGGAACGTGTTGAGATACCAATTTTTTATAAAAGGCGTCTACTTTGGAAAGGAAGTTTGTCAAATTGGATAGAATTTTGCCTTCCGTAAGTTCACTACCGTCGTAATAGTCTCTAAGAAGCTCATGAAGTGTCTTCGCCACATCTCCTTGCATATCCTTCCCCTTTGGATCAGTATACAGCCAATCAAAAAATACGAAACAGTCCCTGAGGGTTGTAAAAAAGAATCTATTTCCACTCTCCACCATCATTACAAGAAATAGAATGACAACACATTAATAGATATGCGCTTACACGTCACATAATGACAACATACCGAAGCTCTCAAGTCTGTGAAGCAGAAAATATCATAACGTGATTAAGGCTCTAATGGTCGCCACTTGAAAATACAGCATAGCCAAACCGCAAGGTGACTGAATCAAAAGGCTGAAAATGAAACATAATATTAGGACGAATCACCATGAATTCCAAAATCGCAGATACTCCTTTGCTCAACACGCCCTACAATACAGGTGCTGGGACACAAATCATATTAACACTTTACTCACCCGTGAACTAAGGAAGCATCCATGTCTAGGGACCCTTCAATCCTGGAGTCCTAGTGGCGTGAAAGTATGCATCACCGTACGATAGCGGAACACAGATAAGGATTCTGAGTGGAAGGCAGATGGCGTGTCTCGACCCTGCATCGTGATTCCGCCAAGCTGCTTCCCGTTAGCGTTCCATTATTTCCAGGCAAATGACATTACACCCACAGCCAGCGACACTACTGCCGCGCGCCCTGCACCCCAGAGGTAATACGTTCTTGACAACGTATCCAATCATTAGCGTCGCCTCACCACATTTGGTCAACTAATGTTAAAGTGGCACAGCCACAATTTCACCCATGTTATGTCACACCACCTTACCACTTGCCACAATGCGCTGATGTCTACTTCGCGGATCCATTGCGCTGGATTATTACCCTAGTGAATACTGCAATGTTGCCTATTACTTCCCAGTAATCACGCTCTCATATACTAAACACGTCGGCCAACGCCGGAGCATGACTCAACATCTCGGTTATGAGAACACTTACAGCCATCCACCCGAGCACTTGAATAGCGCACAGTTGCCAATCATTACGTTTGGCTTTGGCCATTCTGCCACTTACCGTGCTAGCGCCTCACGCTGTTGGTGTGGGCTCCGGGTTCCATGTCGAATTATCGTACACTACAGGTGGCATCCATCTTGTCTGAATGCGAGCGTCAGTCAATCTTATCTGGGTTACATGTCACCCGTTGCATACGGTATTGCCTCGCTCCTCGTGTTGGTTGAATTGTTACGCATTCGGGCCCTCTATTAGGTCTTCGTACTTCCGCTTCTTGTATATCTCCATATCCACCAGGTTGTTTCAGTTGCTAACCCAGTTCTTCATGATGATGTTATTCCTCCATTGATCATAGTCCATGGTCTCCGGTCGACTAGGCTCTTTGGCCTCCTCTGTCTTGACCTATACACTCCATGGTTACCATCGTCATCCACTTACCCCTTTACAATCTTCACCAAAACAATCGCCTTTCATCACAGTCAGTCCCTGCTGCTCCTCATGGTCACATCAGACATCCTCAATACAAACTTTACGTTCTGTTACATAAGGCATCGAATATTCTGTTTCTCATGGATGCCGCTGAGGGATTCATAATCTCATTGCCTTTTACGCTGGTTATCTATAACATGCCTTTATTCACCACATTCCTGCCACTCATCTCATTCATATTCCAGGAAGCCCCTCTTCCAAATATGGATGGAGTTGGATAGTAGTGGGGCGGGCCGGGAATTGCTGCGGAGCTGGAGAGGATTTTATGCGAACATTATTCAGCGGGTATCATCTAATTAGACTGCTACTCTGCGACTTTGAACATCTTAATGCAGTTAGGAGGTTTCATGTTGCTTTGGGAGTGGATTAGAATTTTGAGGCGTCCGGGTATTGAGGGTTGGTAAGCAGTGAGCTAGGTGGATGCGAATTTTGCCATAAGTTGCAAATAGATCCTTCATAACGGGGAACTCTGATCAATGTAGTTTGAGGACGACGCAAAGTGTATATAAGCCGTCCACTGCTTATTGCATTTTGTAGAGGAGTTGGGGATTCGCAGCCTCGAATTGCTTGTGGATTCCTTGAGGTGGTGAACAAGGTGACCTCTCACCTCTGCACAATGGCGCCGAAGAAGCTAACGGACTGCCCGGAAAACCTCCGGGAGTCCATCGACTGGCTGATACAGGTTAGGCATGGGAATGGTGAACATGGTCTTAAGAACTTGGCCGAAGCTTTGAAAAAGTTGATTGAGGAGGCTATCGAGAAAGCTGAAGAGAGTTTTGCAAAAAGGCGTAATGAGCTTTTGTGCCCTTTCCAACATAAGGGATATAAATCTTATTGTGAGTATGTCGATAAGACAATTGAGCAGTTGGAATCTGAAAAATCTAAAAACGCAAATAATGACACTGAACTTAATCGCCTTGTAAATAAGATTGCGCGTTTCCAAGGTAAAAGGGAATCTTGTCAAAATTCCCATAAAATTGATCCTAAACGCACTGCAGAGATTGAGAAGGAAATTAGTCAGGATTACGAGGTCGTTAAAAAGCTTCAAGGATTTTTGAAAGAACTTAATAAAGTTTCCACTTCGCCAGATAATAACATTCTAACTCAACTATGTTCCGGCCTCGAGACCTTCCTAGGTTTCGATTCAGAGACCAAAGGCTACGATGGCAAGGGCATCGTGTACTCGGACCTTGACAGGCTGTGCGACGGGGTGATGGCGTTCTTGCACGGGGTGTTTAATGATGTTCACGATAAACAGCCTTACAATGTTGGCAAAAATGATTTGAAACGTAATGTTGTTGATAAGCTTTATGATAAATTGTGTTCAGGTTATCAGGGTTTTCAAGGTGTCATTACTGAGGTGGCCGCTGGTGTCGAGAGGTATAATAGGGAAGTGGAGGGGAGTAACAAGAAAGTCAAGAGTAATGTACAAAGGTTGTTTGAGCAAGCTGGATATGAGTTGGAGAGAGGGCTTGAGGAAATTCCAGGCGAAGTAAAATTCGGTAAGTTTGATGATATCGGAACGCAGGTGAGTGACGCCGAAAAGCTAGCCGCCAAGTATGTTGGTTATGGTGGAGAGTTCGAGAGCTCTATGAGTTTGGTCCAAGATAAAATAAACGATCTGAACAGTGGTCTTCGCGTTGAAATTGCTCATGTGAGAAAGAACATCAAGCATGAGAGTAACAGGCTCAAGGGTCTGTCGGAGAAGGAGAAAAGGGATTTGGATTCTATGACGGGGAGAATCAGCCGTGAGCTGGGAGAGCTTAGGACCAACGTGAATAAGGATATTGAGACAAAAATACGTCTGCTTGTCAGCAGGTTGAGGGAGAAGATTCGCGCTATCAAAAAGGAGCTGGAGGGGATTAGTAGGAGTCTGCTTGCCTATGTTCAGGATTTGGAGCAGTGGATTCAGAAAGCGAATAAGAGTATGGACGAAGCGTTGGTGAAGGTTAATACAATATTAGGTAAGGTTGAGGAAAACTCTGTGTTCAGCAATGTTAGGGAGATTAATCAGGCGGCAGACGAATTGAAGCAGGATGTCAACAAGCTCTTCGAGGCAAAGGATGGTGCCTTGGAAAAAGTTAGAAATCAAGTTAAAGAGGCGTTGAAGGCTGTTGCGGCGTTAGACAGAGCGGTGAGGACGGTGTTGAAGGATACGAAGGATGGGATTGAGGGGGCTGTGAAGAAGTATGTTCGGGAGACGTTGAAGGAGAGAGATCAACTTGATAAGTTGGACGATAACGTGAAAGAAGGCTTGATGAACCTTAGGGACAAGACGGTTAAAGAGGCAATTTCGAGATTTGTGCAGAAGTTGAATGCTGCGGATTTCAAAGGTGCGGCAGAGGCAAACGGTGGTCGTGCTGTTAGTATCGCAAGCCTTGGAACTCTGCTTGGTACTGATTTGTATACGTGGCTCACAAATGCTAATGCGAGTGGCCTTGAAAGTGTCAAAAGCACAGGGGGTCATACATATGAACAAGCCCAGAAGAACGTTGTCATGAAAGCCGTATTGTATGGTCTAGAAAATCTCAAAAGCGCTAGGCATAAAACTGGTGGTACTGATAAATCACTCTTCACTGTCGTCGAAGACGACATCTTTAAAGAAGTAAAAAATGCGATCGGGCAGGAGAGAAGTAACATGGACCTTAGCAAGCTGATGACTGAATTTAACACCGCCGACAAGAAGGTGAAAGATCTTTTAGATGACGACAACGGTATCATCAAGAAGATTAAAGATATACTGGAGCAGGAGATCGGGAAGAATGATAGCGGTAGCGGAGGTCATGGTTCCATGGTAATAAAGGTTAAGAATACAACCTTCGGGCTTTACGACCGTTATGTCGACCAAGACCAAGAAAAATTACAAGCCCTCGATAAGGGCGAAGTGAATGTCGAAGAAGGCAGTGAAGACCAAAACAAACTCCCCAAGGCCATCAAGAAAATCCAGAGTGAGATGGACAGTGTGTTCGATCCATTCGGCACAGTGAATACTGATTCAGAAAATACACTACAGTCGCTCAAGCAGAAACTCAATACTTTGTGCGAAGACATTAAAAACGCCGCTGGAGAGCCCAATGGTCTGAAGAAAATTTTGGAGGACTTTAAAAATAATGATCTCAGTAACGCAGATCATCAACTCAGCGGGATTAAAAATAACCTTAGCGATCTGCGGAGCAATCTGGAGACTGGTCCCATCAATGCCATGGATCTATTGCTCAAAGACGCCGACGCAGCGGAAAAGGAGTACATCGAAGCACTGACACAAAAAGTAAAAAAGGAAGTTGAGGACGCAAAAAAGCAACTCACCACCCAGGCACGAAGCCTGTACATTTCTTCCGTAAAGCTCTTGCTCAACCAGTTTGCGGCGAAGGTCAAAAGCGACCTGGAACCTCTGCCAGAGAAAATAAAGAGCGATTCAACAATAGGTTGTAAGGGGTTTATGAAGACGCTAGAAGGCAAGCCGGATCGTCAGGCTGCCAGAGTTAGAGGCTTACAAAGGACCGCAGCTCCGCCAAGTAAACTTGAAGAATTTAGAGATGCTGTAATGGCAAAGGCTTCGACTGCGGAAAAGAAGAAAACAGCGTTCAAGACATTAGCAGACGGATTCAAAAAATGGTACACTCCAGTCCACAATTATATTGTCAACGAAACTAAAAGGGAACACAGAGAAAATATGAAGAACAAAAATCCTCCAGTGGATGTCAGCGACAACGATCCACATCCTCACGTTGATGACCTTACCAACGTTAAAAGCAAATTAGACGCTTTACTCATTCACCTTAATGATCTTGATAATTCCACCAGAAATTACATTTTTGACACCACCTTCCAGCAAAACCTCTCCTCCCTTGCTTCCACCCTCTCCTCTATCCGCCCCGCTTCGTACTCCACCGAAAGCAATCCCCTACTCGACGTTCTAAAAACAGGCCTGACAGGGATGCACGCTGAACTCCAAAAGGCGTACGTGTCGGTGTATGACGGTGAACCGTGGCATAATGAGCACTACAAAAAATACGCGAAAGTGTGTCTCACAAGTCTCCCTACGCTCCACTCCGCCTTGAAGGTTCTGAGGAAGTATTCCGGTGAAAGGTGTAAATTTAACAAAATCAACAAATCTACGGAATTGGGAATATTCTTCGAGAAACACGGCTATGAGGTCTCCGTAAAAGACGAACAAAACGGCGAGCTGCAGGACAAGTATGGTATGCAAGGAGAACATGTTCACAAATGCCTTGTCGGTTACGATGATTATCAACATGTTTACTACACCCGTGAAGATACCAAGCTTGCGCTTGAAATGCTCAACGAATACCTCATCGATTACTACAACATCTGCCATCTCAGGGATATCCCCAAGCCCAGAGTGCCGTATTCCGTGTACGAGATATTGGTATGGTGCGCAGGGTTGCCGTGCCATTCTGCCTATTTGCCCATGTTAGACGGGACTCTTACTGACCTGTTCGAGGACCCAGACAAGCAGGAGACGGAGACCGGCGAGGACTTTGGCATCACTGTGGAAAATATCACCGCCCAGTCCCTGCCAGCCTATCCTCAGCCTATTAAATATGATGATACGCGAAGATCGGTGATACATATCTGCTCAACATCATTTGACGTGCTGACTAGAATTGCGGGACACGGCGACGCCCATACCCTGTACGCAGTTGACTACTGCACTAATTCACTGAATCTGAAATACCCCGCCGATCCGGAGGAGTGTCTTCAGATGCTCCTGGATTTACTCCGTAAATTGTTCCCGGCGCTCAGATATCTGTACAGCCGGTGCATGGTCAAAACCAAGTACCACGGTTGGCGCCATTGTATGTATGGGAAGGATATCCCTACGGCAAACTGGCCGTGCAAAGAGCACCCAACCGACAAAGAAAATGGCAACTCAAATGACCAACCAAATTGCCAACCAACATCTCCACTTCAGTCATACCTGAACGACTCTCTTGTTGGCCATTTGCCGCATGATGTAACCTCTGTCGGTTGTGCGTCCAAATGTTCTACCTGTCCCAGTAGACCGAATGGAATGCCTTGCGTGATACCTCTCGGATTCAGAGGTTTCTCGGGTAGCGCTAAAATGGGCGAAGAGATATGTGACATCCTGGGTACATACTTCTCTAACATCTCCGTGTCATCGCTATTCGGCTTGATGCCCAGGCCGCCTTCCACGCTGTCAGAACATTTCAGCTTTGTCATGTCACTTACAACAGGTCTTAATGCCTCATCGCAAAAGCAGGCCGACGACGTTAAGTCGCTAGGTGACGCCTTCGCAACATTCACCAAAGAAACGTCCATTAATCTCTATGACAATCCAGCCGATTTGACTGGTGCAGTTCGTAAAGCATATGGCAGCAGGCAGCACCCTCAAAATAATGGCCATCCAGATCCCAAATGTGCTGACTTGTCAAGCTTAGCAATGAATGAAACATGCTTCGACCATAGTGCCTACTGCGCTCCCTACGTATCCGCCCTGTGCTCAGACTACTATAGTTACATGGCTAACAAACACTGTAGCATGTACCTTTCATGGGTCCTATATCTGCCCTGGAAACTGCAACAATATCTCAAGGACCTGTTGCAAGCATTCACAGACATACACTGTCCGGATTGGGGATGCGGCGGGTGTGCCAGCGGCGTCACCTGCAAAAAGGGAAAGCACGGGACATCAGTATCAGCGTGCAATTGCGCCTTCATTGTCAACTGCATAGGTGTCACTCCCACCTTGTATAGGTATGGGTTCTGTATTAATGACGCTAAAAAATTGAATTTGGTTAAAACTAGGAGAACGTGCTTCAGTTTCTACAAGCAGTTGAGTAGAGTCATAAAGTCAGAATATTTCAATAAGTTGTTCGAGAAGTGTGATGAATTTTTGTGGATCATCAGAGAACCATTCTCCTACCTCTTATTAGCCCTCTGGTCGCTGTCGCTCCTCTACCTGCTTCACGTCTCAGTCTTCCGCCTCGACGTCCTGAGGATACGCTCCCACCTGCGCTCGCCCTCGTCGCACCGCATAGCTGCACAGTCGCTCCTCGCCGCCGCACGCGTCGGCAAGCTCGGCAAAATATCGTATCTGCAGGCGTGATGATGATGCCTCTCACCACCTAGCCCACCTAACCACAACCCGAAAGATAATGCAGTCCTAATACAACGTATATAATCGCCTACTCACTGCCATCCACTCCCCGTCCCACACTCATTTCACCCTCCCACCGTCCCTCACTTCCTCCACAACGTCTCTCAGTCCATCCGTTTCCGCCTACCTTCCTACATTAAACCGTTTCTTAACATTGCTATGGACGCTTTTTGGTGGTCTTCCTTATTACAATTTTTTCTACACCTACCCTGATATCCCTAGATGTTTGCAACACCTACCCAAGCCAACGTTATTTATATCGATAACTAACGCGCCAATTAATGAGTATGTTAGATGTTATAACTCCGTGGTCAAGCAAACAAATTGTTTACACTTTTGATGTTTCTCCAATGTTGATTCGTATATTTCTGTGGTGACCTGCCCTTACGCCAGAAAATCTTTATTTCGATAACGCCACCCATCAGCTTGGTGTATTGCTACAACAGCCATGTATAACGTGTGTGAATAGCTATAAACCCCGTTAAACAGAGTGTTGTGAAATGCCGTCCCACCTTGTTATGGTGCAGTAATTGCCACCGGAGTGAAGAGGATGTGATTATGTTGGTTCTAACTCTTATACCACATTAAAACATTGGCAGTGCCCTTAACACGCAACAACGGATACCATCTGATACGAGTAGTTGACATTAGTAACGCGACTAATGTTGATATGCAACAATGGTCAATCGCTGATCATCATAGACAACATGTGGGAAGGCATGGAGCTATGACGACATTTTTTTAGTATACGTTCACAACGCAGTACATATGGGGCTATATAATGCTACAAAGAGTTATATTTGCCAACGCGAACTGCAATCTCTGAGATGTAAGTGGGCTCAGCCACATAGCCCACAGCATGATGGGATGGGCGACAAAAAGCAAGTGAATGCCTTATTATAGGATATTGAGAACCAAAAAGGTTGGTTACTATGTGGTAAATGGGCATGAAACTGCAAGTTAATCAACCACGTTCGGCGCCAACAGGATCAACACAAGCGTTCGTTTCTGCTTGTCTCGTTTGCGGTAAGCGGCCACTTCGTACAGTGTCATCATTTGTTCTGCAGTTCTGGTTATTACATTGGCACCCTAGACGAGCTTGTGTTACCCGTTCTTACGTTGTTTTTGTATACGATGGGTTATCTCAATCCTTTCTTATCCTCCATAAAGGCTTTTAGTGTCTCGTATTATCCAAACATCCTTCTATCCGTCTTCATAATCGCCTCATCCGTTTCTGGCAACCATTAACTACGATGTCTGGTGACGAGGCGCTTAATACTATGTAAGCCGCATGTCTTCTTTAAGAGGTCTCAGTTCTGAAATACTGGTGGGACGGCCCGATGTCGCTCTGCGCGCAGGGCGTCTTCTGTGGATGCCGGTGTCAATGTAACCGTCTCAGCTTCAATCTGTGACAATGGCATACGCGAGTTACCATCAACAAATCTCACCACTGATGCAACCTTGTATAATCGACATAGCATAACAAGGCAAGATCAGAAATATACAACGTGTATTCTAACTGGATACGAGTTCGTTTTTTAAAACTTAAAGATGAGTGCCACGCTGGCCATTTGACGCACTGCGTGATGATCGTCATGACTGATACTTTTACAAGCGCCATCAGCCAAACATATACAACGCAGCGTACTGAAACAGGGGCTGCTAAGATTAATCACGACCCCTATAGTGGCTGCGGCGAGTTGAGTGGCGACGGGATGAGTTGCTGCGTGAACTGTCACTCCTGCGGTACCTTCGACGTGAGGAGCGTTGCGGCCGTTCACGATAACTCTGGCTATAACGATGTCTGTAGCTGCCTTCTGAACTGTCATCAGGGATGTATCTCGATCCAAATCGATAACGTCCACTAGACCTGTGACCTGAAAAGCCGCGTGAAGTACTGCTTGATGTGCTACTGTAGCTGTGGTGACGGCGAGAGACAGGTCTATCTCGGCCTTGACTGCGATACGTATACCTGTCCCTACTCCTGTAGCGGCGAGAAGAAATGTCATTGCGGGACCGATAAGCTACGGAACCGCTCCGTGAACGAGGCTGCCTGGCTGTACTCCGATTGCGGTATTCTTGGCGATATGTATCGCGGGCGGGAACCCGTGGACGGCGGTAGCTGTCGCCGTAACGGTGCGGCTGTCTTTGTCTGGTTGCTTCAGATGGGCTTAAATTGCCCTTAGTTGTGCGAGTGAACGTGCCGTTTTCTTTGAAACGTTTCCAGAAGCCAGACACTGACTGGCAGAAATCCACGTGTATCCTGAGAATGCATGATACAACCAACAGCGTATAAATACACCTACCTCCTATCATCTATTAGCACATTTTGCATCTTGAAATATGCATCGTTGCACGCCTCTTCGCTCTCAAACTCCACGAAGGCATACTGCAGCGAGTCGCCGGTCTTGTAATCACGGATCACATCGCAGCTGCGCACAGGACCAAATCTGCGAACATATAGGGTCGGAATATGCGACTCTAACCGTGAGAATATCAACTTCAAGTCGTCTTGCTCAGTGACTTGGTTCAGCTTGCACACAAAGAGCACATTCTTCGGAGGCGCGACGTCGGCGTCGGGGATGTCGCCGAGGATCTCAAGTACAACAGCGCGAGACTTCGCCTCCCGAGCCTTAAGCTCGTCAAGGTCTAGGAACTCCTTGACGAGCAATTTGCGGTCATCGTCCGCGACCGGGTCGGCCATTGTAACTGATCAGGGTGAACGTCAGAAGGCCGCCGCGCGGCCTCACAGGACCGAAGATACTGCACCACTACGACAGACAAAATTAACCTACAAATACGGAACACATGAGTATCGAAGCGGTAGGTTCATCACGAAGAATTAGCGCCCCAAATGCCACTGTTTTGGGACTGTGATGTGTAGACACACGCTCACAAATACGCAGCGCAAAAGGTTACTGCTTGATCTGCGTAAGCTGCAACAAGAATTGCCAGATTTCGTTTGCGCCAGCCCGATTGAGGGGGACTTGTTCAACTGGCAGGCTGTGATCCTAGGACCGGTCGACACCGAGTGGGACGGAGGTAGGCAGTGTAGCGTGATACCTTATTAGAGTGCCACCGCAGGCATATTCACGCTCTCACTTAAGTTTCCGAGCGATTATCCGCACGCACCTCCAACTGTCAAGTTCACAACGCGAATTTTCCACCCGAACGTCTATCGGGACGGCAGCATCTGTCTGGACATCCTGGACAGGGAGTGGAGCCCGGTCTTCGACGTATGCGGAATACTCACTTCGATACAGTCGCTTCTCACCGACCCCAACAACAAAAGCCCGGCGAATAGGGAGGCGGCTATACTATACACCGAGCATCGCGCGGAGTACGTACGGAAGGTCAGGGAGTCAGTGCAGGAAAGCATAGAGGCAGCGCAATCCCAGCTAGACCACAATGAATAGGTTCAACGATATAATGCACGCTGCTGCGCGCAGCTTTGGTAACATAGAGCAGCTGCTGGAGGCATTTTTCGGTTTTCTTTGCACACAGACGGACTTCTATCACACCCAGCTGACGGAGCGTGAAATTACCAAGTTCAGCATTGACCACTCCGTGAACGAACGAGGATTTAGGAGGGATCACATGCGAAACCTACTTATACGGATATTTGAAAAAAATCTGGAATTGTACCGGCAAAGATACCAACCCTACCTGCTCGAGACCCCGGCGGAGCAGACACCGACGCAAAAACGAACATCGGTTCCCAGTACCGCTCCTAGCAATGAGCCATCAACGAAGGAGCATGAAAACCAGGCACAAGAGAGCAAGGAACAACTCCCGCCAACGGAAACCGCTGGTGGAAGCGTTGAGAAGCATGATGCCACCGGCTCCAGCACGGTCTCTGATGAATCACCCACAAACGTGGCCCAGGGTACGACCGTTGACGATTCAGGTGTGATAACTGACGTCACGGCTAAGCCCGATGCCCACAATGATGGCTTAGATCGTGGAGATGGAAATACCGTGACATGCAGTGCCTCCACGGAAGAAAATCAAACTGAGATGCAACCGCCTAACAAAGGCGACAGCGAGAAGAAGATAGATACGGCCACTGAATCGATATTCCCGCATGTAAGCGGGGTAGATCCATCGGCTCTGGAACGGCTGCGAACTAACTTCACACTGTCACCGTTCAATGGGGGCAAAACAAACATTTATTGCTGGAACCAGACGTTCACTGATGTCACCATCGAAGTTGTTACGGGCGACTATCTCACCGGCAAAGACGTTGATTTGAAGGTCACGCGCGACCACATCCAGCTCAAGCTCTGGGGCAAGCACATTTTTTCGGGGAAGCTGCCCCAACCTGTCAACGCCGCTGACTCGACTTGGAGCATCGAAGATAAGCGCATACTCATGATTTCATTGGATAAAATTGAGGAGCGTTGGTGGGACAGCCTCGTAGAGGGGCACCCAAAAACCGACGTCACCCAAATCGAGTCGGTGAAGCGGTTCGACGAGTTCAGCGCGCCCGCGCAAAATGAAATGGTGAAGATGATGAAGCAGCACCGTGAGCGGCAGTCGCAGGGCGGCCTGTGATCCTCCGCTCTGAAACAGTGATGGCAGCCATATGTGTTGGCCATCCAACTTTTAAACCCACCAGATCTACTAGCAACATTCTAACATAATACCGGACCAGCGATTCATAACCCTGGCATACTCACCAAAAGTGTTAATTACATAGCAACGCTTCAAACATAGACTACATAAACTGTAGCGCACATGACGCTTTTATGTAGCAAGCATTTCAGAATATTTAATTTGAAAACCGATGTTACCGATGAATCTTACAAGCCTACAAGAATGCTGCAGGCATGGAGCAGCTACAAAATCCGTTAGTTTTCACGGATTGCAATCGTTCCACTTAGGGCGTATTGCTACGACAGCTTCTTCCCCATCCAGGAATGTTCAAATTCCAGCAAGTCGCCGCAGCTTGTAGACAGGGTTCCGGAGGCTATAGTCTGATGTAGATGTGTTCTCCTCGGCTCCATCGATGTGGTCACGGGGCCTGCAGATGAAGTAGATGAACGTGCAGTAAATCAACACGTGTGCCCCGAAGATCACGAAGGTTGTTGCCAGATACCCGTCCATTCCACGCCACCGCCAGTACGAGGGACAAGCGGCCAGGATTCCTGTCGGAACCGACCACATCAGCATGGCGTTGTGAAACGCCGCAGTGCCGTTCAAACCAGAGGGCGCCGCCTTGTTTATCAGCACGTATGCGTCGACGCCGTAGTGCACAACATACGAAGCCAGCAGCGCAAATGCGATAATAAATGATTGCATCCTGCTCCGGATAACGTACTGCAGCAGCAGTGAACACGTGAAGTTCACAACAGCGCTGCCGTACCGACCGTTGAGCTCGAAAGGTGCCGGCCGTAACAAGTGCGATACACGGTCGTCCAAATCTGCTGCAAGCACGTAAAGGGCGCCCATCAACGGCGCGCCGTAGCGCACCAACACGAAAGCCAGCGCCGGGACCAGCAGTATCACGTTGACCATGTAGGTACTCAGGCTCTGCGTTATCGAAACCTCCTCACCAACGCTGAAAGTCGCCGTCCGCCTGTACAGCGCGAAGTCCTTGACCATGGACAGCACCTTGTAGTGCCCCCCATAGTTATTTAGGTGGGCGAGCAGCACGTTGAGCCCGATGTTAAGAAGCTGCGCGGCAGTGCTCATCCACATAGTGTAGTTCTCCGCGGATTGCACGCTTGCGAACCTTACCTTCTCAGTAGCTTTGTGGATGGAGGCGGCGACCAGTCCGTTACCCACTCCAGTAAACATGTACAACCATAAAGCCTCGCACAGATCGGTGGAACCCGCGTGAAGCTTATAAGCCGCATACGGCATGAAGAAAACCAACGTCCAGAACAGCTGCGTGACGCACACTGCAGCAGTCATCTCAACGGCGCGCCTAAGAAGGCCTTCACCCTTGAAGATGTTTGACCATTCAACATCCTCCGGCTCCAGATCACACAATCGCGCGTTGCAGATGCCGCTTCTGTTCAGCGATATCAACGCTTTCCGCATATCCAACCGGGTACGGAACACGGCATAGGCCGTACCGCTGGGCTCCAGCGATTCCAGGACACGCCTGTGCTCGAGTGCCATGTCGAGGTTGACGTAGACTCCGCTGCCCTCCTCATCGTCTTGCAGATTGATAAACTCCTGCAAGCCTTCAGACGCTTTATCGATGTCGTATGCCACGGTAACCGACTTCGGACGTACGCCGCAGGCATTCTCTACGAAGTCCTCCAGCGTGTGGACGGGCGGCACCCGCTCCAGGATCAGCGTGAAGCTCTGAACGCGGGGGTTGCGCTTGAAGTACTCCCTGATGAACTTGTGCTGCGACCATGCAAATGCGAGCGTAATTCCCATTACTGCGATATACAACACGTGCATAGCACGGGCATTGTCCTCAACGTACTGGGAGACGCTCCAGGTGATGGCGTCGTCGACGATCTTGAAGTTCAGCAGGTGCTCACGCCATCCAGGCGATCGTCGCATACCTAGCCATCCCAGCCAAGAAGAGTCAACACGCACAGCGTCCGGGCGGTCGAGAGAGAAGGGTTCGCCTAACGACCGGATCATGTCTGAGCACGGAATGTGGGCATGAGCCACGCTCAGCAAAAGCAAGACAAGTGTTGTACCCAGCACGAACGCCAAGAAACGGAAGTATAGCATAACTCCAATGCCTGCAATGTCCTCGTTCATCAGTCCCAGCAGGGAACCAATAATGCCTTTACCCAATTTCGAACTTCCGTGACCTCCCCGATGTGATCCCAACTCCTGGCGATAACGGTCCAGATTGGCGTGAAATTGGGACGGTCGCACTAGCAAACGGACGCACAGCACCGTTAAAGCGATCAGGATACCCGCTACCATGGCGTAGAAGGACCGAGACCATATCGAACTCTTCACCAGGTAGCAGCTGCGGCCCTCGTCAGCCATGCGATAGCCCGGGGCGCACTCCAGACACACATCTGGAAGCGGCACACCGGAAGTAGCCCGCGGATCCGCCACAGAAGTCCCGTCAGCAGCATTGTTCAGGCCAAAAATGGGCGCCGCCGACATGGGTTGCGAGTAGGCGCATGTCGCACATCCGTACACATCGCAGGGTAGACACACGCGGTTAACGGGGTCGGCATACGTCAGCCTAGGGTTGTACACACTGCAGCGCTCAGCGGCCGTGCAGACGCCGACGCCCTTCCACACCGCGCTCTGCGACCAGAACGGGCACTGGCTCGGGCAGGCAAAGGCGCTTGCGCCGAGCACCAAAGATACGTCACAGACAGTCATTTATAACTATAACTAAATATTAACGATGGTCGGGTAGATGTGTAGCGGTAGACACCACTACCGGCGAGGGCGCCGGCCGTACAGGCCGCCATAAATGGCAACACCAGTCGGTTGCGACGGTACAACATCGTAACGGCCATAATTGTTGCGCGTTTCGCGTGCGGGGTTGGGCCCAGACGATGGAAGCGCCAAACGCAGACTCGACATCTCGAAGCGGTCGGCTCCGCTGTTGGCACCTTTCGCGAAGGGGTTACCGCCAACTGGCCGGAGCGGGGGTGCCGCGTAGTCGTTCGGATGCGGGTTGTAGTCGTGGCTCGCCGTGTTGTAAGGCTTGCTCCTTGGAGGGTAGTTGCTCGCTGGTGTGCCGTAATCCATCGGCGGTTTGCGATCACCTTCACCGCCGTTGTACTCCGGCCGCGACATACGTTGCGATCTGTATTGCGCATCGTAAGGATCCTCATAGTACCCAGGTCGATTCATGGTTTCACGAGGCCTGGTGAAGTTCTCTTCGGCAGGGCGGACCATCCGGCCCATGTCACGGACGGTCGGCCTATTCGCCATAATTCCCATCATCCCTGGCATGTCGTCCGTCACAGGCAGCTCGTAACCATAAGGATCTACCTGTGGCCGCGACGAACGCATATCCGGCGCACGCACAGCGGGGTTGTGATGCCGAGACGATGCGTGCCGTATATCTTCGGCGCGTCGGGGCTCAGGAGGGCGGTCGTAGCTTTTCCGGCCTGGTAGCCGTGCAGGGCGGCTGTCAAAATCATCCCAACCGCTGGGAGCTCCAGCAAACAAATCCTCTTCTCCACGTCGCGCTACAGAAACGCCGCGAGGGGTTACGGAGCCGGACGAGACTGAGGCATGCCGGCCACGGTGAGAACGGTGCTTAGAGCGCGCTGGCGTTCGGTTGTACACGCTACCTTCAGTAGAAACGCTAGCCGACGAGTTCCATTGCTTCTTGTGGTGCGAATGTTTGGGACGCTCCACTGAAACGGAAGGCGACGCATTTCCGCGCCTTGGAGAAGGCGAACGCTTTCTTCGATGCGCACTGTGCTTTTTCTTCTCCGTCTTCACCTCAGTGCCAGTCTTATTGTTTGAACGTCGCGCATATGCGGCTTCCAGCCGTTCAACAACCGCTTTTGGCACGTGATCGTGGCCTACTTTAGACGCGTAAGGGCAGCGCCTAACGCAGCTGGCGCAGAGAAGCTCGTCGCGATCCGGATCGACATGAGTCGGTTTCTACGCATAATTGACACTAAAACGCACATTTACACCAACCCGAACAAGGCAGGTCGCACAGCGATTGCGCTTCAGCAGCTGGAACATACGCTCCAGAATCACAGCCTCCTCATACTCTCGACTAGACAAACCGAGTTCACGACGGCGCGGCCGAGACATTTTCACTAAATTTACACAAAATGGTGGAACTAACACCCGTAAAGTACATAGATCGTGATCAGACACAAATGGTCCGAGGCGCAGCCTTAAGACGAGTACACATGAGGCCGAACAGCACTGCGGAACACGGTAGCAGTACGCGCATTCGCACGAGCGGCGCGCCTACACAAAACGCATATTTCACAATGCAATACAAATACTAACTACGCTGACAAACCTTCTTGGACGGCTGCGAGCTTACACACCACAGTACATGCCTCTACCCCAAAGAGCTACCCACGGAGCGACTCATCGTACGGCGCAGAGAGAGCCGTTGCGACATCAGACTTTTTAGCGAGTCCGAAGGTGCAATTTCCGGCTCACTTTCGGAGTCGGAAGACAGGTCAAAAGCGGGATCCTCTGCAGGTTGGCCGCCAGTGACTGCGTGAAATGTATACACACTGATGTGAAAACCAACCTTCCATACGTAGGTCGCGCAGAATGGACTCTCGATGCTCGTCGGGCGCCGTTTCGTGCGGTTGGTCTTGCTCCGGCTCCTGTTCCTGGGAGATTATGGCCAGGGTGCGCGCCCGGTCGATCATCTTCTGGTAACGCTCTCCGTGCACCGCCTCAGTCACGCGCGTTGACGCTAACAACAATGAGGAGATGATAGTGTCGACTTACATAGGGTTCGCATGCGTTCGCGCTCAGCAGCCACTGCGCGGATGCAGTCACTGAGGCCACCGTCCACTTGCGTTGCACGCCGAACGGCGCATCGCACGTATGATTCGACCCTGGCAGGGGCTCCAGCCGAAGTATCTCGCGGGTGGAGCGACATTTCGGCAGTGCTCGTCACAAGAGAGCCCAGTTGCTCGTTGAGGAGGGCGCTGCTTGCAGTGTCTTGGCGGTCACGGCTGTCGCAGTCGCTTCCCGAACCTGGTCCATCCGGAGACCCGGAAGGCGTCGATCCCGATGTATACCCGCGACTCAATGCCTCGGTTTGCTGACTGAAGCGTACCTGAAGGTTTTCATGGCGCTCTGACTTCTCGTCTTCCATACACGACGGTAACGACCCCAAGGAGTCGGCGTTGCAGAGGGAATCAGTGCGCGAATCGACTCCAAACTGAATCGATGGCATCGAAGCGGGGTCGAGCGGCAACGAAGGCGCGCGGGGAACCGCTGTCTCGTCGCTGCTTTGTGCATTCCCAATGCATGTCGCCGCCGCCCTGTAGTCTTCTAGCGTAGATTCTACAAAGGTACATTGCTGCCGCATTACTGCATCGTGCAGACCAAGGGATGTTGCCGTGTCCTTGTCCAGTTTCCCCCATTCGGCACAGCCCGGCTGTAACACCCACCACTGCTGCTCGGTCACGTCGAAATAGTATTCTGGCTCAGACCTGTCCTCGCCATCCATCGCGCCCGGCAGACATATATTGCAAGACTTGTAACGCAAAGCAAAGAGCGAGGTAGCGGTCAAAAATGATCACCGACCGGGCGATAATGCCCAGCAGCCGTTTCGACCCTGCCGCCGCCAAGGCTGTCTGCTAGCCGCAGCGCTCGCTAGCAGGCGTCTGTATAAGTCTAATGGCTACACATCTGCAAAATAGCGCAGGCGGTAGCGTTGAATTGTTCTATAAGTGCCAGAAGCAGACGCGGCTTCCAGTTGCTAAGGGGTGCCATGAGTCGCTGAGGCGGATCGCGCGGAGCACCTGCGAAATGTGCTGTAATCGACGTGGTACATTGGGTTACAAGCTGCTTTGCATGGATGTGTAGGTGATGTATTAAGTTGACACCTTTGTGAAAGTCTAAAACGAGCTACACCCTCAAAGGCAGTGTGTACGAACTAAGCACGCTCTTATGTGAATCTTATGCAGCAGAATCCGCCGCATGGTTACACATCCATGATTCTATGCATCATTTCCTATTTTCACGCACTGGCGTCGTGTAATGTCACGCAATAGGCACAGTTTGCGTAATGCCGATTGGAATCCCTACACACCAGACGACTGGCGGTCGCCCACTACATTGCAGAGCCACAGGCACTTCCCAACTCTATGTTTGCCATCTCACATCGATTACGATGCAATGTATGAAACTTTGCAATGGAAGACGCAACACAGCGTCACAGGTGCGGCAACATGCATAGAACCATCACTCTAACATACACTATAATTGCGATCATTGAAGTGAGTCCAGAGCCTCTCTCTAACTCTACAAATGCTCCCTGAGCATGTGAATCTCAGCACTTAGCTTTAAAAACTCCAGGCGTTGTTGCCACATGCCAACGGGCAACGTTTCACCGCATGCCGTATGGAGGCGCCGGAGCCATCATGGGAGGGCCCATCGGCGGTACGAACGGTGGAGGGGGGTGGCCCATAGGCGCGGGCATGTGAGGCACAGGGGGAATCAAGCCAACAGGTGGCGGGACCTCAGGGGTGAAGCCCATCTGCGGGGGCCTGAGGGGGATTTCACCGCCTGCTGGGGGCATCATGGGAGCACCCATGTGACCTGGCATCGGCGCAGGGACAGGCACAGGTCCTGGGACTCCACCGGGTACCACGGGCGGAAAACCTGCGCCTTCAAATGCAACTCATGACATGGTGTAACGTACCGGTCGGAGGAGCAGCGGCGACGGTGTACGGAGGCGGCTGGAAGAAGTGTTCCCGAACAAGCTCTGATCAACATTAAAACATAGCATACATCCACTCACTCTGATAGTAGTCGACCTTCATGTTGATGTGCTTGCGACCCAATGAGTGCTGCCTGCGGCCAGCGGGAGAGCTGTGCGTCAGGTAGATGCCGCAGTACTCGCAGTAAAACTTCGGCATTGTGTATCGCTGTATGTGCAACTGCGTTGTAGAGATAAAAGTCCAACTATAGGGGTGCTGGCGCCCCGGAATCTAGAGGGACACAGCGCCGCGTAGACACGGTAATAGCTCCACTGCAGTCGGCAATGAGACCCCGCCGTGTATTATGCGGCCGCAATACAGCCAGCTAACTAGAATCCGCTGTAAAAACGCGGTATGACCGGCACGGAAGCCCCATGGTGAAATCCGTTACAGTGCTGCCGTACACCTCACAGAGCTACCCTGAGCACCGGTCTTCCAACACACATATAGAAGGGCACTTCGCAGCATCACCAGGATATATTAAAGTGCCTGTATCACGCCTTGCAGCGAGCAGGGCTACCATATCGCTACCCTACCGAGCGCGTCCACGATGATATCGGACACGCCAAAGAAGTCGACCTTCCTGGTCAGAATCAAGAGGAAGTTTGCCACCGCGAAGCGGGCGGTCGTAAGGTTAACGAAGAAGACGATTTCGTACATCGGCTGGGTGCTGTGGATAGCGGGAACGTCGGCGGTGACCCTCGTCGGCCCGGTGATGTTCCACTACGACAAGGAGTGCCAGCTTCTCGAGATGCAACACCAGATGCTGCAGGCGCAGCAAGCTGCAAATGCGCCCATGTTGAACTAACTGGCGGCAGCTACCAGCCGCGCTCTATCGGTGAACAGTAACGCGTTAATCAAATGCTCGGCGTGATACGCGCTACATACTTCACGTCTGCGTTGATGAGCACGCCATGCAAAAGTCGGCCAGATGTAGTAGTACTTGCATTAATGAGTGTACATAGCGATAAATTGTGTAAGCCGTATGGTGGCTTCCGTGCAAGGTTGCCTTCGAGTAAATGCGTGTAGGTGGCGAGCGGAAAGCACAGTTGATGGGTCGTCAGTTGTGATGTTGAACTGCATACGGGTGTCCATACCATACCGCATCTTCACTAACGACAGCGAGACGCTGTAACGAGCAGTAGGTAGATGCTGCTACCACTGCCCACACCGGTAACTCCGGTTCCAATTGTTGCATCTTCACCCACCGCCAATTGACGGCCCCTTTCGAAACGACACACAACTGTAGGTGCGATCTTTCCCGCGCTCACCGAATTTCGGCCTTGCCTCCAGCGCCCTCTATGAGCTTCACGGCCTCCTTGGCATCTTCCTCCTTGTTCACCACCTTCAGGGTGGTCGGCGCATTGTCGATGACGGCCTTCACCTCCGTCAGCGGTTGGTCAGGCAGCACCTTTCGCAGTATCCTGAACAGTGCCATGCGCACGCTCTGCTCCTCGGGGCGTTCCAGCAACACGACCTCGAATGACGTCTTCTTCGGCTTGTCTTCGTCGTCCTCCTCATCCTCGGGCGCTGTGGCCATCGCAGGTCCTCCTGCCACAGCAGGAGCCGCACTGACAGCCATGCTCGCCGATACGCCGAATGCCTCCTCGATCTTCTTCACCAGCTCCGATGTCTCGAGCAGGGTGAGGGTCTTGAGTTCATCCAGGATGTCGTCCACTTTGGAGGCACGCAGCTCGCCACCGCCGCGACCGCTAGGCCAGGGAGGCATCGGCTGATGCGGAGCACCGACGAATGTCCAGCGATGCAGCGAACGACGCCAACATTTGGGTTGGAGCGCTTGCAGTGGACACGCGGTACACAGCAACACACACGTCAGAGCGTAAAAAAGGTACGAAGGCATGCTCATGGGCTGTGCGTACCAGCGACGCCGTTGCTTGTAGCCGTTTTGCGATATGGGAGCCGAGGAATCCGCGTCGGATTGACTCGACGGCCCTGCACATTCCGCTCCGGGACCTTCCATGGGAAGCCTGGAGTAGCAAACGACGTGCCTATTTACGGACAAACATGCTAAAGCTATTAAACTGTATTTATATTTAGGAAGACAGCGTCAACGTGCAACATACACCCGCCGCCACACCACCCCGGTATCCAGACAGGATGACACACAGCTACGATTTACTGTACAACCCAACAGCACTCCCCTGCTCAACCAAGGCGCGAACACTGCTCGGCACTGTAGCGCTGGCGATAGCGGGGAGTCTGCACGAAACCATAAAAGCCGTATTGAAGGTGATGCGCGCTTCTGCAGGGACGTCCTGCTCATTCAGAGCTTGCTCCGCGTACTCCTTCTTCACATCGCTGCAGTCGACGCCGTAACGCCTGAGCACGCTCCAGATCCGAAAACTGTAAAGCGAGCCCAAATAGTGGCCCATCGAGGACGCCTTGCGCAAGATGTCGGCGAAGGCGTTACAAAATTGGTCGAACATCGGCCGAGGCACGCCAATGTATAGTTCTGAAACGCAATTAGGCGCCATAGTAATGTAATGCACGACTTACCGTGACGTAAGAAGAATTTGGGATGGGTGTCTATCTTAGACAACAGCAGCACCAAAAAGCCACGGTGCAGCTGAAGCAGCTGGTCCTTCACGGGGACGTGATCGAAGATGGCGTGGAAGGCGCAAAGTGCCTCCATAATAAGGGAGAGGTACAAATCGACTTCTTCCACCACGCAGATGCGCGGATTGCCGAGCAAGGCGTAGAGCTTCAGAAGCACTATCGCCTCCGTGTCCTTTCGGCCAAACTGCCCAGCGCGCACAAGCACACCAGCCAGACGCACACAGAGGATGAACAGAGCAAAACGCGAGTCGATATCGGCGCTCTCTCTGTGCGTGTTCAACAAGGTCGCCAGGTTGCGCAGCAGACCGCATAGCACACCTAATACGTGGGACACGACGCGTGAAGTTTCGTCCTTGCCATTGGGATCATGTTTGTCCAACGGCAATGACGAAACCAATTCCAGATACTGCACTAGCCCCGCGGAATGGGAGACTATTGGCGCGTCCAAACATTTGCAAACCGAGCCCTGGGTAGCAAAGTAGCAGTCAAACGACAGCTGGTTCGCAGCGACCGACGCACCTAGGCACTTTGACACGTACTGTCCCACCTGTTTCGTGAATGCACATGTGTAGGGCAAGAGCACGTGGCGCAAAATCCAATCGGTGAACACGCCAGTGCTGAGCAGCATGCCGAGACACCTAAAGGCGTTAATACGGCCATTGGACAGGGGATGCATCACACTCTTTAGACCTCTGGACGCATGGTCTTGATGCATGCATATCCCCAATAAAACGTCCAAAATATAGCGGCCGCCATCAATAACTGCATTATCTTCCGCACATAGCCTGACCCAGCACTTAAACATAAAATTCTGGATCACCACTCACCTCGCTAGTACACGGCAAAGGAAACGGCACAGCATGTATTCCTCAGGCCGGGAGCTGTTGCACCACTCGATGAAAGCGTCGACCAATCTGCATACAAATGAGGAGCGCAATGGGAGGTCAACAAACCCTCGATTTTCTGATACTTCGTAGCTCAAGATCTCCGTGATGAACCACCGACTCACAAAAGTGGATGATATGCTCAAATATTGGCTGCCAAAACGCCGGGTCTTGCTGGGGCCGTACGATACACACGTACAGCATGCGCTGGAGGCGTTGCGCAAAACCGCCCTCAACATTTCCACTCGAAACGCGTAGGCTTCTTTAGGCAAATCAAACCACTGGCGCATATCAGCCTGGTTGTGCGATATGGCGTTGAAGCAGCATATTTGGGCTGCAACGTTGCGGGAGTGGAGGCTGCTGCCCAGGTAGTAGAAGCAGGCGCGCAGCGCATTGAAGGACACCCTGCTCCCTAGGGAGCACAAAGTGGCCCAGAGCATGGATATGGCCTGCTTCACGAGTTCTCCAACCTCAGCATTGGGCGACCGCTGAGTGATGTACGCCACGGCGTCGCCGAGCTGAACGAGACACGTGTAATGCACGAACAGACGGGACAGGCAATCCAGCAACTCGACGTCGGCCTTTCGGGTGTAATTACCAGACAGCACATCAAAGAGGCTGTCTTGGTGACGTGCATAGTAGTCGAGCGATGCCAGGAATGCGAGCAACGTGCTCTTCAGTTCGCCCTCACTCAGCAGCGTGTTCAGGCTGCGGCCAAGTGGCCTGTAGGGTGAGCTTTCACCCGACGACGGAAGACGTGGTGAGCTGTTAATACTGCCAATACCAATGTGGATATTCCGGTCATCAGGCGTCAGAGTTGGTGAACCGGTGATTTTCGGAGTAGCCTGCTGCTGCAGCTTCAATACATGCGACAGCCGCGATTCGAAGTGGTACCACAAAGCAACGTTCACGAGTTCCACGCCCTGATAAAACATGCCCAGAAGCTGATGGCCAAACCCCAAGATCAAATCCAACGTGGTTCTAGAAGGGGAGCAGTCATCGGGCACCTTCATCAGGAACCCTTTAGTGGTGGCGATGACTAGGTCGGCAAGCGCCTCGCTCCTAGCGACGACCTTGCCGCACTCCACAAACGTGAATTGCAGCATGCTCAGCACGGGTGACACTACGTCCTCGTTCCAGCAGACACCAAGATGGTGGTCAGCCACCTTGTTCACCAACGGCTTGAGCAACGTCTCGTTGCACAAGAACTGCAAACGGAACATGTTATCGTCCGACGCATCGTCACCTGATAACGTCAAAAGGGGCTCGGTACGGCCTCTGCTCCGAGCGGAGGCACTGCCGGCGCTCTGATCCACCACCACCATGAGGAGAAACAGCGCAGACAAGCGCTGCAAGGCACCAAAGGTGAACGTCGCCAGGCTGCTTTCCAGCAAGTCGTCGCCATATTTGTCAAACGAATTGGCAATCACGGGTACCATAAGGTTCGCAAAAGTGCTCGCGCTCAGCAGCACGCTGTCCAAACCGCCGCCACCTGCTGCTACCAGCGTCCCCAGACCGGCCAACAGCCGATCGCGATTTATGCTGTTTCCGGACACCTGATCGTACAGCTCGTCCAGAACCAGATACAGAGACGGGTCCGGTAATGAAAGCCCACGGCCATGCGCGAGGCTGCCCTCGAACCGTTTGCTAGCGCTGACATGACCGAGGAACCCCTCTATAAGTATCATAGTACGTCGGAGCAGAGGGTATATCTCGAACAGGCGCAGCTCCTCCGGCGGTGTAACCTCCAGCAGCTTGATGCTCTCCACGAAGTCAGTGTCTAGCTGGCTCTTTACCCCTCCCTCACTGGACACGTCCACTCTAGACAGGTCGAAGAACCGGTACAGCTGGACCGTACGGTAGACCCGAGTGCCCCCGCAGAATGCGGCGTTGCAGTTCGACAGATCGGCATCGCGAACGAGCGGCGCGAAACGCGCACGGAGCGCGTCCAACAGCTCCTTGCGGAGAGCAGAGCTCATGCTGTTTCACGCATACACACCCAGCTCCAGATCCGCATCGCACGAACCGCTACACATCCGCGAGAATGCCGCTGCAAACAACGCACCAAGGCTGGAAACAGCCTCTGAGCGCGGCCTTGGGGCGGCGGGGACCGCGGTTACCGACAGCTAGCCACACGGCTGAAGGCAGCACGTTGTGAATGTCGTAAAAATATTAAGTGCAGCTAAATAGTTTGTGTGGTCATTAATGCTGTACAAAGTAATTAAATGGCCGTTTACACAGTAAGGAAGCCTATAATTCTTCGTTCGAGTCGTAACCCTTATCGGACTCATCGTCAGACCCGCGGTCGCTGTCGTATCCCTCAGCGATTTCCTCTTCGCGCTTCTCTAGATCGGCTTCTTCAGTCTCGATATCGTGTCCTGTGCCGTGGCTCTGTAGAATAATGCAACAGCCATGACCAACATGCGCACTCACCTTGCTGAGTGTCTTTTTCACGTGCTCCAGCTTAAGGAGGGTAGCAGTCTCCTTTTCTATAAGGTTGTCTACCTCATCCAGCTCTGTGAAAAGGTTATATTGACCATTGAATTGGTAACGAACCCTGGTTGACAGCCTTGTATGTGAGCATCTTCGAGTGGTCGGTGGCGACGTACATCGCGCTCTCCCTGAGGCTGTCGGAAAAGATGAAAGGCGCCTCACGCACAAACTTACGTCTTAAGCAAGGCGTTCCTCTTTTCGCGCAGGGTGTCTATGGTGCTCTTAGACTTCTTCAGAGCCGTCATGACCTCGTTCATCGAGGTGAGCTGCAGGGTTTGCAGTGACTAACACAGTTAAACGTACCTTAAATGGGTCGAATTCATCCTCGGGGAGGGAATGCGGCTTGCCCTCCAACCCGGTGTCCATCAAAAGTTTTTCGACCTCCTTGTCAGCCTTCGGCAGAGTTGCAGCGCTAATGGGCATGCACTTACCTCCATCTGTTCGTCGGGGAGCTCTACAGGGGGTGTTAGGTATATTACAGGCGCCTCCATGTCGTCCATAGTGGCGTCTGATCGGCGTTGTTAACATTTTCCGGCCAAATGCTTACTAGAATACATCATGTCGCCTTGGTCCCAGCCGCCGGGAGGAAACAGCCTGCAACGAATAGGGCAACGGAAATCTGGAAACTAACTGCATGTCTTCAGAGGGTATGTCGTCGTACGCTGAATGTCAGTTAATGATGTCCGCGAAAATAAATGCACAGCGTATACGCAGTGAAACGTACGCGAATCTTTCATCATAGCCAACTCCTCAGCGAGCTTGTCCAACATCTTCGCTTGGTCCTCAAGACTCATGTAGATCTCCTGGTCTTTGGCTTCAGCTTCACGAGCGCGCTCTGCGATAACATTAGGAAGCCGGTGGAGAAAAGTGCTGCTACAGACGCCACGCAGTGACATGGACAGCACACATAACGCGACAACCTACTCAGTTCGTCAGCACTCATGGCTTCGGGGTACTCCTCCAGACGGTGATCTCGGTCTTTCTCCTCGGAAGCGACATCGGACCCTAAGACCCAGGCAGGGACCAGAAAGAGGTACACACAAATCGCCAGACGCGTCATTGTTAAAGTAAATTGTAAATAATATAACGAATAACACCACCCGAGGTGTAGGAATACTCTTGAGGGGCGCTTAACCCGCTAACTAACGACATCCCAGGCGACGCGCCGCTAGGCACACTAGCACGAAACGTCCGTTCGTGCCCAGGAAGGCAGACCATTCAACGGACGAATCTATACTAATTGTGTGGCTCAATGCGATATTTCATCGTCAGAGCTACACAACGGCCTCCATGCATCATTAGACATGGGCTACGATGACCAGGAACGAAGCTAGATGAAAGGGAGGCTTGTCGCCACCCTGGCGGCTACAATTGGCTGCGGATGGCAAAATGGGACGGGGATAGGTCCGTCGTCTACTATATCGCAATGCTATGGCACAAATTTCAGTGAGCGCTCATGCAGACAGCAGTGCAGCGCTGCGTATTTGGCAGCGACGTCGAGGATTAAGGTCAGGAATCGCGCGTCGCCTCTAGGAGCTGGATGGGGAAGAACCGAACGCTATTGCTGGAATGAAGATGTGCAACATGTGGTCGTATCGGCGGCCGTACCACCAACTGTATCCGCAGACGACATCGACGTCACCATCCATAGCAACTCGCTGCACGCATCGAACAAGAAAGCGCCGATTCTACCCATAATAAGCGGTAATACGAAGGTTAGTTGCGTTGTCATGTTTAATATACTGTGGCTGTCGAGTTACTTGGGCACATAGATACGAACCCTGCATTATCACACGGCATGTATGCCGGTGGCCGACTGTATTGAAAGGCATGGTGTATAACCGGAACGGTTCAGTCTATATTTCATGTACATTACATGTGTGGAATTGTTTGCAATTATTGAGACTTTTAACTGCCTTCCATGCGTAATTACGAACACCCAAACCATGTATGCCGATTAACAAAGCACAGGGTAGCATCGATGTCGATGGAAGCTTCTGGACGCTCGAGGAAGAACGTGGGATTCTGGAACTGAAAATCACACTTAAAAAGGCAGAAAAACATGCTGGAGATTGGTTCGGTGTAATCAGAAATGAGCGGGTACAACAACAGGCGTATGAGCCAGTCGACCACCGTGATGCCGGCGTTACCAAGGCACAGAGTTTAGAACCCAAAGGCGTCTTCTGGCAGCGCACGTTCACAACAATCGACGCCCTTCAACTGGAAGATATGTTCGTAAGGTGGATGAGCCGTGAACAGTCGGAGACGACGGAGTTTGGCAAGCCCAAGCTGCCATTGAATGTCGCATACGTGCAAGAAAGCGGCGGTGGGAAGGTCGTGTACCAAACGGGTAACCTCGATCTGGACGAGTATCTGCAGGTTGTCATCGTACCGGTGATCACCGAGGAAAACAAACATGCCGGAGGTGGGGCGCAACTCACCTTCGTCAACAGTCCAACTACACGAATTATATCGGGGCAAATGGGAGTCGAACAGGCCGAGAGAACCATCACTGCGCTAAATACACTAATTCAAACTTTTGAAAGAGATGTGCACAAAATCGACGGCCTGATAAAAAATCGACAGCAACAGAGCGAGTCTTTCGACTACATGGGCAGCGCAGCTTACGTCCATACCGATAACCTGGAGAGTTACGCGAAGTATCACGAGGAATTGAGATCATTATCACCACAGAATGCAGCCAATTATGATCCAAAGCGCGTCTTTAAGGACGATGAGGCGGGGGTCACGATAGACTGGAACCCGACGGATGACCCGTCGCATGTCCCACATGAGGTAATTGCAGAAACACAAACCCTGCTATAAGACACCGCAGCAAAATGAAGAAAAGAAAAAGATACTCATCAACAAGCTAACTGAGGCCATCAAGCACACAAAAAGGCCGCAACCTCAGGAAACCGTCAAGCAGCTGGTAAACAATGTTCGACAGTCATTGGCGCTCAATGATGTGGAATACGAGCAACTAATGCAGTAGGTTGTCATATCGCAAAAACAGCTATAAAATACCACAGGAAGGCCGACGAACGCATAAACAGGGAAAACGCTTTGATCGCAGAGAAGCAAAAGATTTTCAGTCAGATGAAATCTGTTCCCTCGCTAAGCGAAGCACAGCCATCGATTGAGGAGATCGTTGCGGAAATGTCGCAGCCGAAAAGCAAGGACACGTTCGACATCGCCATGGCGCACCCGGAGAGGAGCATGCTGGCCAAAAAATACGCAACCCTCTCCAGCGTCCAAAAGGAACAGCTAAGGCGTCGCTGGAAAACAAACGTAGGTTCCACCCAAGCCGAGTGAATTCAATTACCAACAGGAGAAACGCCTTAAATTGCTCATCACCGAGCTCCTGCAGGCGCCCCCGGAAAAGTGCTCTACGTTATGCAACACTTACACGTAAGACATACATAAAGGCGTAATCAAAAAGATCAGGGATTTGTTAATTTCAGAAGATTACCCGACCCTCATGCGGAGTTATCTCTGTTTCAACGAAGTTAAGGAGAATCACGAGAAAGAGCGGCTGGCGTTCCTCAACGAGTTTGTCGTTAGCCTCTACAAGGACCAAAAGATATACCTCTTGCACGACGAGAAGATGCAGTTGCAAAAAATTAAGCAGATCATCGTCTGGGCGCGCAACAACTTCGAGAGTCTAAACGACCTTGTTATGAATAACAAGCAACAGTATGACACCAACTTCATGAGTTACCTCAACTTGGCCATCTCCAAGGAAGTTGAACGCATTAGGTATTTGCAACAGTATGGAGTGTCATATTGCGTAGGGAGGAACATGGGGATGAGTCTCTGGACAGCGGAGCCGCCAATCCTCAGGCGCAACCGTGGCTATGCGTGCTCACAATCATACAACGAGCAATCAATTCGATCGCCAAGGCCGACATGGCCGAAGATCTCAATTTCATCACTACTATTGTCTCGTTCGACGATCCAAAAGTGCGCAGCTACATGCTGGAGTTCATACTGGCCACCATGCCACGATCAGACTGGAAAGGCTTCAAGGACCTCATCATGTCAGCCAGCGAGTCGCTCATACGCAAGCCGGCAAACGAAAGGTACTTATATGCACGATGTTGTTGACAAATGTCGTAGGGACGACCTGGAGCACACGGAGCCGCACTTCGTGGAGGCGGTCATGCAACTGCGCGAAGAAGTGGAGAAGATGATACCGGACTGGATCATCGACGAATTGCTCTCTGAGGAAGATAGAAACTTCATGATACATAACAACGTTGGTAGAGTTTGCTTGCTGCATCACACACTCGTTCAGAGACAGAAGATTCCACTGTTACAACTGGATCTCGAACCCAAGCAACACGTGGAGGTCGCCACACAGCTGCCAGATGCCGGCAGAATGCCGACGGAAAAAACACCAGTGTTACCACTGAAACCGACCTAATACTAACATGTGGCGCATATGCGGTGCGCTCACGCAACCGTGCCACTATCGCAGCGTTTATCGCATACACCTCGGCCGGAGCACATCCAGCGCCAGGTGGACTACGCAATGCAGGAAATGCGGAGCCACTGTGGCGCCAAATAATACCGTATGCTTCTTTTGCCAAGTTAGATAAATCGATCGAATGCTAATGTGTATGCTAGACGTGCCAGTGGCCCGTGGAATCCAACGTTATCGCAAAGTTTAACCCCTTCGAAATCTTTCAGCTGTACGTTCGAACATACAGAGGCGCTAATTAGGAGCTCAGACCGCTGAAATATGGCATAGACAAGGCACAGCTCAATCAGCAATACAAGAGCTACCAGTTCACGTTGCATCCGGATAAGCACGCGTCCAAGGAGGACGAGGAAATAGACATCATAAATTCGAATTCAAGCATCGTTAACAGCCACTATCGGACGTTGCTAGACGACAAGCAGAGGGCGAAGATTCTATTCTGCATCAAATACGGCACAGAGGTACCGCGACCAAAACCCAAACTTTGACTGACCGTAGGAATTCGACAAAGGATTAGCAAGTGTCGAAACGTCACAACTAGAAGAAATCATGGAGGTGTGTGAGGAAATTACGATATTTCGTCATAGCGTACCAGATCCATGAAAAGGTAGAAGCGCTTCAGGATTCCTCCGACGCGAAAGTTGTACAACAAGAGTTCGAGCAGGTTATCGCATCCGCCGTGAAGGCGCTGGAGGAGGGGTTCGAAAGCGACGTGAGTTATTCGATTCAGTTGTGTACACATCTGCTCAGGACAAAAACGCCGCCATTGCACATTTCAAAACGCTGTCGTTTTACATGCAGCTCCTGGAGAAAGTGCAAAATATTGCCGGCAATAAGTAACGAAATCTGGAGCCGCTGAGATGTCACACACGGTGAGCTTCGCTCATCCGACGCGGCGCTAGGGCGTCTCAGCGCCAATGGGCCGCCAAAAGCCGTGACCGCTCAGACAGGCTCAGAAAATGACACTCTTAAACGTAGCATAATGTTTGATAGAATCGCTTCGCGATGCGTGACGGCGGCGGTCACGAGAACGCGCTCAGCCTTCCAGGGTAGAGAGGCACGCCGACTCTCGATCTCGCCCAGAGAACGGCCAAGCTGCGACGGCACTAGGCCACAACACATCGCAATCAGAGCGCCAACCGATGCGCGTTCGTATTCTACAGGCGAGGAACGAGGATACCTTGAGCCGAGGGTGCAGCAAGTGGGTACGCCGCTCAACACACTCGATTGCGGGACCTTGTTCATAGTCAAGGTCCCCGCCATCGGTAACGGGGTGGAACACGGGAAGATATACGAGTGGCACAAACGAACGGGCGACCAAGTGGAGCTTGGCGAGCTCATTTGCGTCATAGAGACCGACCAGGTAAGAGTAGACAGCATGACACAACATCGTTACGAAGGTATTCGTCAGGGTCCACTCACAGGTGGCTGGCGTGGTGGTAGAAACTGTGGGAAATGAGGGTAAGGGGTCGAAAAATGCATCACTATCCACTGCAGGTTGCAAGGTCAACGTCGGCGGTGACCTCATAATAATACGCCAGGACGACGAACCCGAGGAAGGCGACGAAGACGCAGAAGCAGAAGATGGGCAAGAGGAAGAGTAGGCTGTGCAAAAGTTTGCATTGCGCCGTATTGGCGGTAGAGAATCGCAATCGCAAATTGTCCAAAGTTCACGCTTCGAGCGCCGCACAACACGTTCGTCAAGTGAACCTCCACAATAGTTCGCTGTCCACAGAATGCGCCATGCAGCAAGAGTGGCGCTTTGTGCTGCCTCCAAATATGTATTTCCAGTGACAAAACACTCGCTAAATGTTAAATTAGATAGCTGTACATCGATGACTTAGGTAAATGCCACCGCAGAGGACTGGTGCAACCTGCAACGGAGGTTGTACCTGTGCTTATTATGGCGGTTACAGCGGGGTAGTGCGCTTCTTGTCTACATCAGAGACCTCAATTTCTGGCTCCAAAAAGTGCTCACGATCCTCGAAATACGCGAACTTCTCGCAACGACGCTCCGCCGCAGACAGCGCCACCACTTCACGACCGCAGTCCAGCATCAACCTTTCAAGCAGACGCGGCTCGGTTATGTCGATTCCGAATTTGTCACGCAACCTTTTGAACACCAGATCCGCGTCAAGGGATGACCAAACTCGGAAACCCTCGGGAAGTTGCTCCACGTCGAGACCCCTTTTAAAGCTTTCCTCACGTTCGCGCATCACGTTGCAAACCGCAATTTGGTCGTCGTAAAATGCGCGTATGGCGTCACTGGTCGGACCCACGTACACCTGATCATGCTATAACAAACGCAATGTATGGCACATACCTGTCCGCCCTTCCAGTAGAAGTGGAAGTCGCTAGTGTCGTCACGGGCAACCTCCTCGGGGGTTTTAGGCACCACCGTGAACTCGTCGAGCTTCATTGTGTCCCAGCCGAACAATTTACTCTCCTTAACGGCGAAGTATTCTCCTGCAATGTACATGATAAACAAGCGGAGTCAATTGCAAACCTGGAAGGCCCTCGCTGGTCCTCTCTACCCAGCAACGGTAGTTGCGCCAACATGCGTCGTTAGGCTTGTCGAACAACCCGAATAAAGATGCAGTCTCCACGTACGCCTCGTCATGCTTACGTTCCTCGGCGATGCGTGAAATGGATGGAATTGAATCCATATCCCAGTGCGACCCACCGCTCCAAATGGGGACCGCGCCTTTTCGCATGCGGTCGTTCTGCGACATAGGGACGGCATAGTCGTCGTCGAGACGGGTAAGGAGCTGAGGGCCGCCCATGGTTGGAGCGCGATATCGGAGGAAGATCTCGTGAACGTCGTTCTCTATCTCACGTGTCATCGGATAGTTCAGGGCTGCAATGGTTTCGTGCAGCTGACCAATGCTGCGTGGCGCTGCCAAGCTAGATCCGATCTGATTTGGTGTTAAATGTGATCGAGGTTAAACCTACGAATGGTCGGCTAAGAACCCAGGAGAGGCTAAGCTGGGCAAGGGTCATGCCGTGAGTCCTTGCAACCTTCAGGTACTCCGCAGTGGCATGCTGAGACCAAACGGTTCTATAGAACGCATGATACACACAAAAGTATTCAAAACAAACCTGTGGGTGTGGAAGGTGTCTGGAAAGAGGTTGCAGCGCGCATTTGCCGGGCCGTAGCTCAGGTGACCATAATCCTCTGGGATCTCAACTAATATTAAAATGAGCCATGATAAATCTACAGTAGAACCTACAATCACGAGGGTAGTCGTGTTTGTCCGCAAGTGTTGCATTCTCCTTCGTCTTGTCGGCGCCCATAGGGTTGTGTCTAATGAAAATAAGTGGTCGGTCACACCGGAAACGCACCGCTCTGGGTCTATGTACTTCCCAGTCAGAATGCCTCCTGCAAGTATACCGTAGGCTATGATTGGGCAGTTCAGATTTTCCTTTAATACTGCCTCCGACATGCCTGAATGCATTAACATCTCGCAACGTATCACCAACCACTGGACTCCAACTCGTTACGATGTAACAGGTTGTACATCTGCTGTGTACAGGCCACAGGGAACTGGCGGCCCGGCTTGTGCTTCATATGGGAGAGGCCCCAAACCGTCTCGTTCGACAGGCCGATGGAACGCACCTTCCCCTTGCTAATCAGTTTTTCGAAGATTTCGCATTGAGCGGAAAGGAGTTCGTCGGCATCGTACGCACATTCATCCGCATCCTCTGGGGCTGCGCCGCTGAACACGTCGCGTTCATTGGCCCAGCAGTAAGTATCCTCTCCAAGGTGAGCGTTCGGCACGTATCGGTAAGGGTGCACAAAGGACAAGATGTCCAAATAGTCTGTACCCAGACGATCCAGAAGCTTATCCACTGCCTTCTCTATCACCGATCTGTGTGCAAAATGAATAACAAGAGAAAGGTCTCTACTTACAGAGTGGGTGGTGACGATATGTCCCCACGAACCCAAGACAAGAAACGCCCTCGAGTGCGAAACTTCCCCAAGTTGCTAGACGATATTCGCCCAGATATAACAACATCTTCGCGTTTAACGCGACGCAGAAACTTGCGCATGCTGCGATGCTGGCCTTCGAGGTAACTACGAGGCTCATACGGATACGGGTCGTACTCGCAGGTGTCCTGAAGTTCATTTACGATTTCAACTATACAGCACTCACGTAAAAGTTTATGCCGTAAAGTTTGTGAGAAGTCTCTAGTAACTCAACGGCGTGGTCGTGGTCAATGAGTTCAGGGTTATCGTACATCGACGTGCCAATGCCTAACTCACTGACGACCAAGTCGCTCTCTCCCAGACGACGGAACTTTAGCCCTAGTTCCAACGTTAAATATGCAACAATATTTGTATTGACATACCCTCCACAAAATGCTTGGAATTCAGAACTTTTGCAGTAGGGAAATTATTCCGTGACACGAATTTGGCACGACGTTCAGCGGCTAGTGATGCTGCAACATCAGCAGGCAACGGGGATGCAGTGGTTGGGGATTCTGAAACGCTGGCAGCTGAAGACGCAGCATCTTCTCCTGATTCATCGGTACTGCCAGCTTGCGCTTTTTCGCCCTGCTCTCGACGCACTCGAACGGATACCTCGGTGGTAATCTCGTCCAATATGCCCTGATAGTGCTTCGTTCCCAGACCCTTCAACCGGTTCTCATTCTTCGTGACACTACCTGTTTTCTCAGGAGGCGGATCGGGTTCCCGAGCTTCGTATACTGGGTTGGAAAACAGGTTGTCGAAGAATTCGTCAACTTCCTCCTCAGTGGCTTCGCGTCCAGGGACCATCGGACCCCAGTGGCGGTGGTCAGGCCACCTTCTGCGCCGTTGCGCTCGTATTGGTCCTCCATATGAACGCTTGTGGCAAGAATCACGGCGAATGAAGCAGAGGCACAGGCCAACTTGGCACAGCACGGCAATAAGACACCAAAAAGTGCCTACATTGCACATTACGCAAATACTAACGCAACCACGGCCACATTATTGTTTGCTTAAGGAAAAGAAGAATATAAGGTCCCAGGAAGGCCGGATCACGCGGTGGAAGGTGGACACACCGGCAGATGTGTGGCGTTTCGGGATGACAAAAACAGACCAAACGGCTATATAAGTAGCCACAGACGATGAATTTCTCATATATAGCTGTGATAAATTGGGTTTAGAGGTGGAAGGTCCGCAACAGCCGCAAGTATGAGGGCTGCACGGCTGTTGTTCCGGGCTATGGGCACCGCGAGGGAAGCAACGACGAAACAACGACATGAAAAACTAGTCGCTGTGGAGACCGAAATATACTCGCCTTGTATCAATAACGGTAACGTTTCTCTTTAACAGTTAATCACAAAGTTGCTAAACAGATATATACTACCGTGGATTCCCTCTCCGAGAGCTGGTCAGCAAGTGTACCTTCACCGACGTAGCACACCTGCTCATCAAGGGTAACCTTCCACAGGAACAAGAAAGGGTGGCGTTCGACGCTGCGGTGAATGAGGGCATGAAAACCGTCACTCCACTGGTACATAAAGTACGGGAGCTTATGCCACAAAATGCGCATGTAGCGGTAGGAAGCAGTGCCATGGCCTAAACGTTGCATCAGAACATCTTGACGGCATCTTTGTCGTGTCTGGACGCTCTAGATGATCATGGAGATGCCTGTCCACATGAGAAAGTTGTTGGGGAATGTGTGGCCATACTGGCACGGGCGCATGACGCAGTAGCCATGGAGCTCCAGCCTGAAGATACTATATTGGACTTCCTAGCTCAGACCATTTGTTCAGTGCCAATTAATGAGCTAGACTCGGATACTAAAAGACTACTTAACATTATCGCAATCCTATACATGGAACACGGACTTACAAGTACGTTCACGTTGACAACAGTGACAGCTCACCTTTTATCTGCTAATATAAACGATAAAGTCTTATAAGTCTACATAGCGCATTACATGGGGAGCAAGGAGCTCATTTCCTCTCAGGTGCCTCTTATGCTGCCAGGATATGCATCTCGGAGGAGGGCAGCGTGTACTCGGCGCTTATAAATGCCATTGCAACCCATAAGAGCTGCACGCCGATGTTTGCGTGGCAGCACTTTGACGATCTATTCAATGCCTCTGATGCCGATAAAAGGAGCTTCATAAAAACATACAGCGAGGAACGGCGTTTGCCCAAACCCTTTAGGGACTTCGTTCATCCATGCAAAGATCCCAGAACGGATATTTTGATGGTGAGCAGTTTAGGCACTCTTTTGCAATTTTGCATCAGGACCACTGTGATGCTGCGATGCTAGAAGAGGTCATGGAAATCCAAAAGGGTTTTGACGGGCGCTGCCACCTCCGTTTCGATGTGTTCGTCTTCCACCTGCTCAGGAGGTGGGTGATTAAGGTGAACCACATTATAAACATTAGGTTGCACAAGAATCAAAATCAATCGACCATTAACGCAGTTAGAAGCATGCTAATGATGCCACGTATAGTAGGTAGGTCGACATAGTTCCACTGTCGTGACCATCTGACGCAGGGTGGCTGTCGCATATCGCTGAACAGCACAAGGTCAAACGCAGAATAGAACATATCGCAGCGTACGTGGGACCAGCTCCCAAACATATCACACGCAAAACAAACGCTTAACAATTCAAAACTTGTTGCTGCTCAAAAATCATCGCGCGGCAAATGGTGCATTGCTGTTGAGCACGCCGTTTATGTCAACAACCGTCCAATCCTTGGTTTCTATGTCATCATCGTCACGCGAGCGCATAGCGATTTCAGATTCGAAGGTCAACTTGTGAGTGGCAATCTTCTTATTGTCCTCCCACACCGTCGATCCACGTGAGTCAAGCAGACTCAAGGACTGGCGTACAGTCAACAATACCTCCATGCGAGCTAGAATGCCTTTCTCGAACGTCTTCATCACCAGCTCGCGATTTTGTTGCCTATTCATTGGCGTGTCTTCGTCTGGCGATCCCGAAGACAAACCCGACTTCTTCGGCAATTCCACCAAAATCTGATGCGCTAGCGCCTGCTTCATCAGATATGGCGACGAAATCTCGCTACCGCGCTTCCCTCCAATCGTCAGCCAGAAAACGTCGAGCTTGGTATCCTTCACCTCAGACACTTCAAAGTTAAGCTGCAAGAAACGAATGTGGCCAAGGTAATGCCAAACGTACCTTCAAACCCATGCGATCCAGGTAGCCTAGTCCCTGATTCAAAAAGTCAAACAATGACTTCTCGCAACATCCCTCTAAACCGGTGATGTCGCGATCTGTTATGGCTGATGCCAGAAACTTCATTGCGATTTCCGCACCGGGGCCCACTTTCTAAGGACAGCTGAATATAGGTGCATTCTTCACTCACCTCCCGGAGGTTGTCCATCTTTTTCGGAGAGAGAAACTTGGCTCCCATCATACCCACGCGGTTGTTAACTACACGCTGGAAAACAGTGGACGTCATGGTGCGCCCGAGACAGTTATTAAACGACGAAAACAGACGACATAGGTGAAATGCAGCCGAGGCGCTGCCGTCTGATTTGAATAGTTCAAATGCTCCGGATATAACCTCTGACGCATTTGGGTCACTCTGCATACCCAGTAGCTGCGAACTGAATTCCAACAACGTGCGCAAGTCTCGGAGGCGGAACGGGTATGCCCTTGAGCAATCAGCCTGTAACTGGTCTTTGAACTTCTGCAATGCGACAACAAATGACGAGTTTCGGTCGTTTATAGACGATACAAGACGTACAAACGTGTCGGAATCCAGTGGCTCGGAATGCTCCGTGGAAGGCTGCCCGGCGTCGACGCCGCCGTCGACTCCAGTGCCACATGGCGCTCCTCCTGACGTCGAATCGGACGATTCACCGCCATTTACATCACTAGAATAACTGCGATATTGGCAAGTTGCCAACCTCAGCGGCGACAGCCTCAATGGAGGTCCGCGAGTCGATGCACAGATGGAAGGCCGGCCGCTCCATGCTCCGAAATGAGAGAGCGCCAGTACAGATTGGTGCCGACACAATAAGCTACATACGCGTTTTGCGTTGTTCATCCCTAATGTCTAATGGTCAAAATGTGTATAGAGGGTTATCGTGTGTCGTCATGACGGGAGCTGTCGAGTCATATTAAAATGCTCCGCACATTCACGCAAAGAAGATGTGCAGCCTACGCTTACCCCGGCGCATCAAAAATGCGCTGGTTCTTTGTCAAGCCGTATGTGCGCTGGGAGCCGGACAAACTGCTGCACTACCCTGAGGTGTCGCACGTCGACGGCAAACGCATAGACTGGCTCTACACAGAACCGAAGAGCAGGTATTAACCACTTCTTATACACACATGTATGTCTCAGGTACGATGCGGTGGACATTTACGGCCCCAACACCATTGAGCTCCGCAACCTACCGATGGGCAGGACGCCTGAATACTTGCAGGAAAGACTTAGGCGATTCTTCTCAAAGTTCGGCACCATCACCTTCTGTAGATGCATGCCGCATGATCTAGATCCGTACCAGTGTAACGGCACAGGGTATGTCACCTTTCGGAGCAAGGAGGCCTCGGTCGCAGCCGCAAGTGCCAACCTGGTCTTTCCCTACGCGCTGCACAGCAAAATTATCGCAATAAGGCACCTAGACACGGACAAAACGAACGACCCGGACTATGTGCACAAACAGAGGCATTATATCAAACAAACTGTAGATATCGCAAGACAACTTTACAGCAAGCTCACAAGACAGGGACCGTGTACGCTGCGTGACGTATCCACAGGAATATACGAGCGCAACTTCTACTCCGGCAAGTGGCACAAAGCCGGGTTATCCGTGCTAATGCGCTTTGGTGCGTGGTCAGACTTCCTCAAGAGCAATGGGCTAAACGGAATGTTCGACGTCAGTGGTAGGTCTGCAGGCATAGCCATTACTCAAAAATATCAGATGGGAGAGTAACGCTTAGATTAAAATGCGATGGTACTGCTGAAAAAACGCTGCATATGCTATTCATTCAGCAGTCCCGGGCACTAGAGGATGAGTTAACAGTGCACTGGCGGGAGGGTCGAATGCCGCTGCCGCCCGAAGTACAGAGTGAAGTAGATGAGCTATACCACCTTAAACCCCTGCCAGTGCATCTTCAACTGCTTTCGAGGAGCCAGACCGTGTACCGGATTCATGACGAACGGCACATGTTCAAAATACAGCTCAAACAAAAGAGGAACGAAGCCCGACGGTTGGCTCGTGCTGCCAAAAAGCCTGTACATATTGAATCATAGAGCAAATCGAACACGCGATTTGAATGCCTCTTTTCAAAAGGTTTATTCATTGCTGTATGCGTGTGTTTTGCCGAACATAGATTTTCCTAACACCGAGGTCTACATGAAACATGAAATGGTTGCGATTAGATTCGCACCTGCAAAAACTAATAAACGGTAATATACGGAGCACGTATGTTCAATTCGTGTATCCGGTTAGCCAGTTTGACGTGTGGTTACGTGGTGTATCTTGCATATTTGTGCATTGAGGCTACCACATTGTCATGGGGGGGGGGGGTGACGTGACCAAAGCAACGCTTTGTAGACCAGTACCGCCATGAGAAGTGGGTGGTTTGAATGCTCGGAATGGCTGAGAGAATCTTAAAAGACATCTTACGGCATTTCTAGAGTCCGTGGTAGTAGCTTCTAAGGATGTTTGACACAACATTTCTTAAATGCATCAAACTATATTATCTGATAAGTTGCGGTTAGGTGGGCTAGGCGGTGAGCTAGGCGTGGCGGCGAGTTCACACGTGAAGGTATGCTTACGCCTGCAGATACGATATTTTGCTGAGTTTTCCAACACGTGCAGCGGCGAGTAGTGACTGGGCGGCGATCCGGTGCGACGAGGGCGAGCGCAGGTGGGAGCGGATGCGGAGGACGTCGAGGCGGACGACGGTGATGTGCAGCAGGTAGAGGAGCGAGAGCGACCAGAGGGCGAGCAGGGTGTAGAAGAATTTGAACCTTATGTCCCACAGGAATCCTGGAATATGCTTATGTACTAAGTCATATAGTACGCTACCATCCTTTACAACAAATCCCAGTGTCTTGCAAAAATCGTCACATGTACGCTTCGTGGCTCTATCTGTTTCACCGCTTAGTTTGTCTGGGCTCCCGAAGGTAAAACCAGCAGTGTATATGATCGAATGTGTGTTTTTGCAGTTGAGGATGGAATTGCATAATTTTGAGTGTTTAACTTGCCCGGATGCTGATGATGATTTGGCCTTTTCGCCATCCGTTGTTTGAGAGTCATAATATGATTTCACCTGACAGTGATTAGCGCATCTGGAACCATTACACTTAGGAGACGGCTTGTTGCACTTTTCACAGCAGTCGTCATACAATTTCTTAAGCAAATCATAGAACGTCTCAGTAATATATACAACCCACGACAGGTAATTACTAGCGTGCTCCTTAGAATATATCAACCTGATGTATTCGCTGATTGACTGCAAATACGATCCGCATGGTAGGCCGGAATTTGTCTTAGGGTCACATAATATAATGCTAAACAGGTCACCTTGGGAATGTTTAGCAGTGTGAGACTTGCTGCCTTGTATGGACACAACTTCCAACTTTGTTGCGTCATCCCCAAAGTTGGCGTCGCTCACGGCTTGATTGAACGCAACGCTCTTATGGTCTTTACTACCACCACTCCAGGTGGAAAGGTAACTATGGTAGAACGCTAGCATATCACCCAGGGTCTGCGGCGGTCGACGAAGGAGGCAATTGAGCTGACAACACAGTTTACGGAGGTATGAATCTGGACCGCAGAATTTGTAAAGAACCTTCCAGAGATGTTCACCTTTATTTGTTTGAGAGGCGGTAGCGCTAATGTCGGAGAAACCCATGGGAGTGAGACATGGAATGCCTCTGTGGTTGGCTAAAGTACATTCCAGTTTGCAACCTGGCGATTTGAATGAGTGTGGTAAGAACCCAGGGAGTCCGTCTTCAAGGAATGACTGGAGCGGTGACTTGAGGCCGCACTTAGCATTTTGGTTACAGTTTTGGTCGCACTTTTGCTTATGCTTTTGGTCTCCTGATTGGTTGGGGCATTGCATAGTGTTGCAATTCCAATCGGAGCCACCAACACCACGACCGTAGTAGCAGTCGGACCAGCCGCCACGACTAGTGCCATTCTGACACTGGCTAAACACGAAATGGAGTTGGTGATACACTCTAAATAATATGTCTACAAGCAAGTCAAAACAGACGGATGGGCTACTAGGATAGTCTAGTTTGTCTGCGTTTGTATAAAAGTCAACGGCGTATCTGCCATTTTCATGGCCGCGGCCGAGGATTGCGATCAATGTATTTTCAGAGTGCAGACAGACGTCCCGAAGTATGTCTTTGAGTTCCTTAGGCCTAATTGTTGTGGTGGCAACCAGGCTAAGTTGGCTTTCATCAATTTCGGAATATTTTTTATCTTCATGATGTTTAGGCTTTTCGAACAGTTCCTTGAAGTACTCACCAAGTTGATTATAAATCGGGTTAAAGTATAACCCGAGGAGCCATTGAAGCATATCTTTCACGCTGCTCGGCGCTCTGGGTTTTGGAGGAATTTCATAATGACACACACGATAATAGTCTCTAAGGGGGCCTACAAGTCGCCTGAGTGGGCCAGTATCGGTTTTACCGGTGTCCTTCCTGTAGACGTGTTTCCCGTCATCTTTGACAAGAAACTCACGAATATTTCCTCCTGTCTTCTTGCGGTCTAACTCCCCATTCTGCGTCTTGTCATCATCGGAGACTTTGAAGCCCCGTCCCTTAAACCAGCGACCAAGTCTATTCTCTCCCTTTAGATAAATCTGCAACGCTTCATGCGAATCATGTCCACTGAGTAAATCCCGTAAATCATAATTCACCGTCTCCAGTAAGGTCAAAAATATCTTCGCGCACTTTTCGCCTTCCGGAGTTATTTTATTACTCAAGTAGTTATACAATAATATTTCCTCACCCCCCTCATACCTATTCACGTACCCCCTCTCCAGCTGCTCGACGAAGCGCTCCAGGCTCTTAGGGAAAGCGTCGAGCACGGGATACGCGAGGTTGGCGAAGGCTGTGGAGTGGAGTGCTTGCACGGACGTCTTGAGTTTTTGGAGCATTCCGGGGACCTGGTGGGTGAAGTGTTTTTGCTCGGACAGGTGGGAGAGGAGGGCTTCGACCTTGGATTGTAGTTCCGAAACGTTCTTTGAATAATCTCCAATGACACTTGGTTGAGATGCAAAATTCTGTGGGGGATACTTGGTCAAGTAATCGAAAATTTGTGTCGAGTAATTTTTAAATTTGAGAGATATGTCTGCTACTTTGTCTCCGTGTTCTGTAGTCGAGCTTCCAGCAGTTGAGATTGAAGTTATATGTTTACCATCCTTGCCATACATCCATTTCATTAAACCTTTTATACCCGTTAATCTATCCCTCATGATGGCCCTTTTGACATTGTCGAACTCTTTGCTAACCAAGTCCTTCAAGCCTTCCAGCTGGCGACTCTTAGTTAAAGCAAACTTCTGGAAAGCTTCGTTTTTAATCTGCATTTTGGCGGCGGAGGATTGAGTCTTGTAATAATCGTCAAACCCTTGGATCGCGGCTAGGAATGTTTTTTCAAATGCGTTAAGTGCACCTCTAAGCTTATCAAGTAATGCAGTTAACTGTTCTTCAGCGCTCGTAACAATTGCAATCGTATCACCAATAGTTTTAACTAGTTTTTTAATTCTATCTTCGTAGACAGCTGCAAGTTTCTCTGCTTCCTCCTTAGCAGTATTAATGGCTTTTGGAAGATCCTCAAGTTTATCAATTGTGGACTTGACTTTCGCGAGGGCTTTATCGTACTTAGTCCTGGAGCCTTGGTTGTCAGTGGCGACCTTGGCATCCTCGTGCGTATAACCATTCATTTTCACAGGATAGAATTTCGCTGCACCGGATTCGTCCTCGTCGAAGCCGTCATTTTTTACCTTATTCTTAATCTTCAAAATAAAACCTCTAAGCGTACCGGGCACGTCACCATTTTTAGTCTCGCTATAATACTCTTTCATGATTGTGTTATCTCCGAATTCTATTTCACTTTTACGCTGTTTGATAACATTTTCCAGTTCTGCGTCGATGGCGGAGGACAGCGCATTGTGAAGTGTACTGAGTAGATCTGCGAAGTGGCCGGGATTTTTATCCGTGGATTTAGCCTGATCTAAGTGATAGAGCATATCTTGCAGCGGTTCGGCAAACTCCTTCTTGCTGCCAGGAATAGCTTTAAGCCACTCCCCTAACTCATTCAACCCAGCAGTAGACAGCTGATTGCCAAGTGATATAACTGCTAGAGCGTTGTTGTCGCTGTTATAACGCTTCGCATCTGCAGCGGCGTCCAAAATCTTACGTTGCACACTCTTACCAAACGACACTAACCTACTCTTAATCTTATTCCTAATATCTAGCAACCCTGTCTTAATATGCCCATCCAAAGCATCGAGACCATGATGTGTTTCATTCAAAGCTTCATTCACATCCTTTATGACATCCGCCTTGACCTTTAACAACCTTTTGGTGTACGCCGCTTCAATCTCCTCAACGGCATTGGTCACCGATTCTAATTCCTTTTCAAGTTGACATTTCTGATCATGTAGAGACGCGCCCTGGGCATTCGCCTTTAAAACGTCAGCCTTTTGCATAAGAGCATCAAATTTATCGGTGATGTGCGCTTTTCTATATGCTGTGAAATTGCCAATATACGCATCCGCAACCACCTTTGCCTCCATCAAAGTGCCCTTAGCTTTCTTTATGGATTGGAACAATTCACCCACACGCTCGTCCCTGATTGTCTTCTGGATTCCATCAATCCCTTCCTTGAACTGATACCTTAAACCACTTTGTTCATCTAGCCCACCTGCGACGACCTTATTCAAGCCGTTAAATTGATTCTCCACCTGCTCGAAAAGCTCAATAAGATTATGGAAGTCCCCAACATCATTCCGCATAAACGTTTCGACAGCATTGTGGACTAAATTCACGTGAGGTTCTAAATTAGTCTTAAGGTTATTGTCAATATGGCTGAGTGCGTCTAGAGAGTCTTGAGTTTTCGCCATTAACCGTGAAACAGATTGAACCCAATCATGCAACTCACCTGTATTTTCCGAGACATAAACTTCATCATAATTTTTCTTCCCCATATCTCGAATATCCTCTATTAATTTGGGGATATTATTAATTTTACTATCACTCAACAATTCGCCAATTGGGTTTTTAACGTTATCACTTTTTAATTTCACATCCCCCAACCAATCACCAATCCCCTGCTTGACACGGTCAATCACATCACGCAAACCTGTTTTGCCATCATTACGATGAGTTTCTAAAAGTGTTACAGTTTCATTTAATGCCTTTTTATAAGGCTCAAGATTCTTATTTGTATGAACTTCATTTAAAACACCATGAAGGAAAGACATCACCCCGTCGCAGAGCCTGTCAAGGTCGGAGTACACAATTCCCTCACCTGAGTAGCCTTTGGAAGCTGGGGAGAAACCGAGGAAGGTCTCGAGGCCGGAACATAATTGCGTTAAAATGTTATTGTCTGTCGATTTGGAAACTTTATTCAATTCTTCCAAAAATCCTTGAAGTTTGTTAACGACCTCGTAATCCTGACTAATTTCCTTCTCAATCTCTGCAGTACGCTTAGGATCAATTTTATGGGAACTTTTACAAGATTCCTTTTTACCCTGGAAACGTGCAATCTGATTTTCAAGGCGATTACGTTCAGTGTCATCTTTGGATTGTGATGATTTTTCAGATTCCAACTGCTCAATTGTCTTATCGACATACTCACAATAAGATTTATATCCCTTATGTTGGAAAGGACACTCTAGCTCATTACGCCTTTTTTCGAGACTCTCTTTAGCTCTCTCAATAGCCTGCTCGATCAACAGTTTCAAAGCTTTTGACAACTCCTCAAGACCACCATTCCCATGCCTAACCTGGATCAGCCAGTCGATGGACTCCCGGAGGTTTTCCGGGCAGTCCGTCAGCTTCTTAGGTTGGCGCACCATTTTAGTAACGCAAACTTACCGGACAATTGTAGACGCCTAAGTTACAACACCCACCTAGCAATTAGGGATTGCAGATCCCCGACTCCGCTGCAAAAATGCGGTGAGCACTGGACGCTTGGCGTATAACCTTATTTGTTTTCCAAACCACATTGATCAGATTCGTGCCTGATGGGGCAGCAACGTACAATTCATGGCAAAAAGTGCATCCGCCTCGCTCACCGCTTCCCAACCTCCAGTACCTAGACAGCTAAACTATCTGATTTACTTTGGAGGTGGCTTTAAACTTCCCAACTGCGCTACGATGTTCAAAGGTACAAAGAAACAGCACAACGTGCTGCAACCGTCGAAATAATGTTCGCATAAAATCATCTCCCTCTCTAATGAAATTCCAGGTATGCCCCACTACCACTACAGGCCATTAATATTGGGAAGAATCTCTTCATGGAACGTGATTATGAAGTGTAGCAAGGAATGTTGTGAATAGAGGCATGGTATAAATAACCAGAGGAAACTGCAACGAAAATGATGTTCCCGCAGCCGTTATGAGAAACGGAATACTCGATGCCGTATGTAAGAGAACGTAACGTTTGTATGGAGGACGCCGATGTGTAACCATGAGGAGCAGCAGTGATAGACAGAAATGAAAAGCAACTGTGTTAATGAAGATTAAAAAGGGGTAAGTGGATGAGGATGGTAACTATTAACTGTATACGCCAACACGGAGAAGACCAAGGAGCCTAGTAGACCGGAGACCAGACGGTGACTAACGGCGAAATAATAGAATCACCATCGTGTAAATAGGAGTATCCAACCAAGGTAATTAGGTGGAGACGGAGATATTCAAGAAGCGGAAGTACGAGAGTCTGTTGAATGATCCCGGAGGCATACCCTCCCAGCAATACGCATTGCTCAACGTTCTGACTTATGTGTTGAGGAACACGCAACCCAGAGAAAACTGACTGACCCTCGCGTCTATAAAGGATGGATACCACAATGGATGGTACCACATCGACGTAGAACCCGTAGACTACACCAACAGCGGGAGGCGCTAGCACGGTAAGTGGCAGAATGGCCCAAGCCAAACGTAATGATTGGCAACTATACGCTATTCAAGTGCTCGTGTGGGTGGCTGCAAGCGTTCTTATAGCCGAGATGTTGAGTTGTGCTCCGGCACTGGCTGACGTGTTGAGTGTAGGAGAGCGTGGTTACTGGGAAGTCATGGGTAACATTTTGGTGTTCACTAGGGTACTAATCCCGCACAGTGGATCCGCTAAGTAGACATTAGCAATTACATAACGTGGCGCATTGTGGCAAGTGGTAGGGTGGTGTGGCTTAAGTTTGGTGTAGCTCTGACTGGGCTACTTTAATACTAGTTCATCAAATGTGGTGAGGTGACGCTAATGATTGGATACGTTGTCAATAACGTATTACCTCTGGGGTGCAGGGCGCGCGGCAGTAGTGTCGCTGGCTGTGGGTGTAATGTCATTTGCCTGGAAATAATGGAACGCTAACGGGAAGCAGCTTGGCGGAATCACGATGCAGGGTATAGACACGCAATCTGCCTTCCACTCAGAATCCTTATCTGTGTTCCGCTATCGTACGGTGATGCATACTTTCACGCCACTAGGACTCCAGGATTGAAGGGTCCCTAGACATGGATGCTTCCTTAGTTCACGGGTGAGTAAAGTGTTAATATGATTTTTGTCCCAACACCTGTATTGCAAGGCGTGTTGAGCAAAGAAGTATATGTGCTTTCGGAATGTCTAGTGATTCGTCTTAATATTATGTTCTATTTTGTAGGCCTTTTATTCAGCCAGCCTGCGGTTTGGCTATGCTGTATTTTCAAGTGGCGGCCATTAGAGCCTTAATCACGTTAAGATATTTTCTGCTTCACAGATTTGAGAGCTTAGTTATGCTGTCATCATGTGACGTTTAAGCGCATATTTATTAATGTGTTGTCATTCTGTTACTTGTAATAATGGCGGAGGGTGGGAATAGATTCTATTTCACCAGTCTTAGGGACTGCTTCATATTTTTTGATTGGTTGAAGACTGAGAAAGAGGCAGAACTAAGCGGGGTGGTCAAAATTCTTCATGCCCGTATTAGTACGTATTATAAGGACATTGAACCAAAAGACATTGAATCCCACTTGACCAATTTCATCTCAAAAGTTGAAACCTTTTATAAAAAATTGATGTATCAACACGTTCCTCACGCTATACTTGTTGGCACAGCATCAATTAAAGGGGGCGCAACACTGGATGACACTGTAGATGCTCTATTTGAGTGTCTCCCCAAGTTTCTTGCCGCCATTTATTATTTATGGTACTACGTGTCTTATACGTTCGTAAAGTTAGGCGGTGGAGAGTGGAAAGAAAATAATCCTGGGTACGTTGTGCGTTGGTGGAAACATTTGGGTTATGATTATGGTGGTGGTCTTAACAAGTATCTCATATCGAACAAACATGATGACTACGGGGGTATAATTCCTGGAGGCTTCAGCTCCAGCGAAATAAGATATGGTTATGATTGGGGTGGTTACCGGTATGGTTATTCTATGGTAACTGATCTTAAAAACATTTTCGGAAAAATAGATGACCAATTTTTCCGTGACGTGTTCGCCACTTCGGTGTTGTCCGCCGCCGGATCCGAGCGTGTGAACACGGCAAACGCTCTTGCATTGGTAAACGTGTTTTGTGATATTGTGGCCGAGGTACAAACTCCTGATGGCGGAAATTTGAAAAAAGTATTGGAAGAGGAAATTAAAGAAAAAGGAAGCTGTTCAATAAATTGGCTCTTTTTAAAAGATCATTGCTCCAGACTGAAGGATTCACTTGGCAAAATTTTCAAGGAGAATAAATTTTCCTTCACTGGCTATGGACGGAAAAGTGAAGAGCTTAATAAGGAGAAATTTGCAAAGAAGGCGGCAAATTGGTTGCGAAGCAATTTGGAGAAAGTGCGGAAGAATTTGGAGAAGATTAAGCGTTTTGAAAGTGAATATGATTACCATGCACATGAATTCGCCAGGCTGAGCAAACATCACGACATGCTCAAGGAATATTATGCTGCGCTCGGCCCATATTTCACTAAAAATCTTTTCCCCTACGGTTTCACCTTTTATGGTGAGAAAGAATTTTCGAGGGCAAATGCTCCGTATGAGGACTTGAGAAAGGAGTGGGACAGTGTAATCTATGATCTTACGAGAGACAGTGGCAATCTAGTGGAGTTAAAGAAGATTCTGGATGGTGAGAAGTGTCCAGCGCCTCCAAAACCCCGACCTAGGCCGGCGCCTGCGCCAAGGCCCCCGAGGCCTGCCAGACCTGCGCCACCACCCCGGCCTTCCAGAACTACGGGTGGAAGGACAACCGGTCCAAGCAGGTATGGAGGGTGGTCGTATAGTGGTCGTCGGACTTCTGGTGTTAGAGGGGGAAGTGACAGAGGGACAGGACCTAAAAATAGGGGAGGGGGACCGGGGGCTCAGGGAAGTAGAGGACGAGGCGCAGGGTCTGGAGGTACTTCAGGTGCTAAGAGCGCACAGAGAGGCAGAAGTCCAGGGCATACGATGTCTACTCAGTCTCGACTTCTACAAACTCAAGATGATTCCCAATCTCATCGTCAACTACAACTTCCACCTGCTGCATCCATTGCTCCTAGAGACCCTAGTCCACCGGCTGAACAACTTCCGACTCCAGCACGCCTTACGTCTCAAGCCCCTGCGCGTGATCACTCAAGCGCGTCCAGCTCCAGCTCTTTGTCATCTAGTGTCAATGATGCCGGTGGTACGAGACTGGGTCCACAGGCGACCGCTTCTGGACATAGTCAAGAGAGTGGTAAAAACTTAGCTTCCAATCAAGACATCGGCCAAGTCTCCAGGTCTGATCCGCCTTCTACTCTAGGTGCTGGTGAACGTGTAGGAGCTGGTGGGTTGCCGAGCACTGGTAGGGGTTTATCTGCTGGTGCAACGGACAGTATTACCAGAACCGCTGAGCCTCTTGCCCCTCCAAGCACTGGCCTTTCTCAGGCTCAAAGTATTCAACGTCAAAACTCTTTGTCGCATGCTGCTGCTGGTGACGGTGGTCCAGGCCAAGATGGAGCCCCGGGGTCCATGGGCGCGCTAGCTCACCCAATTCCGGATTCAGACAGCATGGTTTCTTCGGTAATACAGCCTGTTGTATCTTCAAATGCTAGGCACGCTCAGACTTCAAGGGTTCAAACCCCAGATTCCCCGTCATCTCGTGGCCATCTTTCTGATGATGCTCAGGATCTGAAAGACCAGGCGCATTCTTCTAACCCTACTCAAAAAAATTCTAGTCAATCCTCAGACGTTCGAAGCACACTTCAGAGCTCACCAGGCCCCGATAGTCAGTCATCCGCTGTAAGTCGTGGCAATGATGCCAGTGAAGGGGGTGGAGTCTCGGCAGGGGGTACGGATGGCGATCCCCATGTCAACATTCATTCTGGTGAACCTCCTAACACCTCTCAACCTTCTGTGCAACCTCACACCCCAACTCATTTAGCCACAGATCCTCCATCATCTGATATCACTAGTTCACAGGGTGATATGGGCCTTACTGTTCAGTCGTCTTCTCAGGTAAATCCTCAGGGTGACACGGGGGATGCAAGCGGTCATAGCCCGGCATCCATTCCACGGCCTCCCGGCTTAGATCCGCTAGGGGAATCTCAGGATCTAGCTACAAGAGTTCAGCAGCTAACCCAAGTGCAAGGGAACGGACCTCTAAGTCAGCCAGGCCCGGCACTGCCTGTTCCTCCACCCCCACCTTCTGCTCCTAACCCAACCACCGCTGCAGACACTTCAACTCCGCAGAGCACTATACATGGACCAGTGGGTGCCCAAGGTGTTCACGGCCAGCAAGCTATGCAGACTCCCGGTCCTAATTCGATAGGCGACACAGACTCTACAGGGCATCTGAATCAACAGGTAGCTTCCAGTTCTACTGTAGCACATGGCGCCCATAGTAAGTCAAAAAATGGATCTCCGCACTTGACGTCTGGCACACCTACAATTTCACAGCCTGATGACATTCACGGCGCTGTGCTCACTCAGCCTTCAAGTGTTTCAGGTCCACAGTCTTCGTTAACTGCTGTCTCTCCTTCCGGTGTTGGTCAGGACCCGGATGACCAGGCGTCTCTTTTGGATCCTAATCTGCCACATGCTAAACTATCCAAGGCCATCCCAGGAACCCTACCCATTACCTCCCCAGGTCTGCTACCCGGTCAAGAGAGAGGTGGAGCTGCAGGGAGTGGGAGTCCAGGTGCAAGCATCGGTGGCCCTAGTCAGCAAAACGGACAGGCGACGGATAACAATTTAGGGTATTCTGGCACGTCTATGAATTCAGGCAGCGATTCGTCGCATCAAATACCACCTCAGAGGTCAATGTCGGAACCGACTCGAATTGAGCTTGAGATTGAGAAGCTTTACACTCCGGAGATAATTTACGGCGCTGACACGATTCAAGCGGAGCGACTACCTGCGACTAGATATAAGGGAATTGTGTCACCCTCCGATACCTATTCCAATATACCTCCGCACGCCCCGTTGCATGAAACATTTTCTCCAGAAAGTCTGGACTTCTCAACCGAAGACTTATGTCTTCCTCCCTGGATCGCCAAGACACATAACGACAATCTGCATGAATTCCCCCACACCGAGCTGTTCCCCTCCGAGGCACCTCGTACAGTCAGGGAGATGCTTGTTTGGATGGTCGGACTTCAGAACCCAAAGCATCATGTGGCCATGGAGAAGTGTATTAAAAAGGCATTCGGCAGCATGCCTGACGCTACACTCGGAGATCTTAAGCTCTCCATCAACGATGCTGAAATTACCCCTAAACAGGTACTTGATGTCTTAAAACTTACCGCCATGTTTGCAGCTTCAGTGCTATCCACCATTGAGCCTGCCTGGAAAGGTAACACCACGTTGTCCGCAACATTAAAACCCAAGGGATCTGACCAATCCAAGGACCCCGCCTGCCTCCTCTGCCAGCTGCGGGACTACGCCTACGCCTGCTACTACCAGTTGCAGTTCTTAAGGTCGCAATGTTCTCGCAATAAGTCACAAGGTGGTTGGCAGGATTGCCAATATGGAAATGGTGCCAATATTCCGTCCCCCCTCCAGGCCTTCCTGACTGACGCCTCTGCCTCCAAGTTCAAGACTTACCCCTTCGACCCGTGCAACATCTGCCGCAAGAGCCGCGTCAGCATGGGATTCAAGGTGGAGGATCTGCCTGTCACTCAGCAAACCGGCAATCATATTTCCACCATCCTCACTCCCACCTGCGGCGGCGAGGATCCCCTGCTGACATTGTCCTCCTACCTCAACTGCCTCACCAAGCGGACGCCGCGCACCACCGGGGAGCTTGTCTCCTTCTTCCACAATTTCGGGAATGAGATGCATTCATCATCTTCACAGTCGTCCAAGGTGGTACATCCTTAACCAATCAGCATGACGACTGCCCCGGCTGGGACCGTCTCAGAGACTCCGACCTTCACGCCATCAGGGAAGCCCGGGGCTCCGCCACCCTCAACTCCAACCACCACGACAAGGACCATCCCAGGACCCTGTCCACGCTGCTTGGTTGCGGCATCAATAATCTCAACTGCCCACAACTGATGATGCCCATCACCTACCGGGCCTACGCCCTGTACTCTTCCAGCTTCGTCCACACCTACCTCAGTTGGACGGTACACCTGGCAGACAGACTCTGGGACTCACTGCTCAAGCTGCAATATGATCTCGAGGACCTTCAATGCCACGACTCCAAAGCCAAGGCCCTCCACCGCTGTGACAATGCCATGCCACTCCTCTACTCTCACGGGTTCACGCCGCCGAACGGTGTATCGCAGCCTTCACTCACGTGTTCACAGCTCGTCGACAAGCTGGAGGAAGTGGTCTCCGGTGGGCCTATCGCAAAACTTATGACCTGCATGGACGATTTCCTCTACGGCATCCGTGCCCCCTTCCTCTACACCCTCGTCGCACTCTGGTCTGTCGCCGCCCTCTACATAGCCCACACGATGCTATACCGCCTGGATGTACTACACATCCGCTCCCACCTCCTCACCACCAAGGCGTCCCACCTCATCGATGTCAAGGCGCTCCTCACTCACGGGAGGAAGATGCTCTCACTATACAGCGACGTTGACTACTTCGACGACGATTTTGTTGAAATGTCACAGTAATAGTGTCATTCACGTTGTCATTTGTTATGTTGTGCTTTGCAGCACAGCAATGATTAGTTTTCAGGGCAGCGACTGCATGCCATCACTCCAATAATCTTGCACAGTTTCTCCTATTCCACATAGAGTTCCTTAGGCCACGTAGCTTTGCTTTGCATCGTTTAGTGTGCTATGTGGCTACGTGTAGTCTTGGCCCGATTTTCGTGTTTACCAGGCAAGCGCCTTACGCTGTTAGTGCATTCCACGGGTTCCGTGTCGTACTATTGGCAGACGTCATTGATGTCATCTACCTTGTCTGGGCGAGTGGCCCACTTACAGAGTCGTAATCCTCTCTGGGTTTCATGCCCCTCAACGCTGGCTTTTTTTCTTTCTTGGATCACTACCCGGTGTGTTTGTGCCTAAGTCTGGTGTAAAATGCCCCAATCCTTTTATGTATTTGCTATGCAACTTATTCATGAATAACTTATTTCCATGTGATGCAGCTGACAATGCCTCTACCTTAATGATTATGCCACGCCAGAACACTCACCACCAAAATACAATGCACATAATATGACTTTAACATACACCACGGGTCACATCTGTGGTGCAATACGCCATCGTAATCACGAATACAAAATTCACGCAACGGATCCATTGAAACATATTCTGATGATAGGTTGGGAATATATGCGCCCAACACAACAAATGAGACAGCGCTTGCTATTGTTCTTATTATCCCTAATGTGCTTTGCATCACATACAGTTCCGTGTGGGGGAAGAGATGTGCCATTTGGATGCAGCGCCCGTGTATGCACTGTCCGTTACATGGACGCCTAGGCGCAGCAACATACGATGGCCGAACCACAGAGGTCCGACGAACAGCATCATAACACATAAAAACGTGTACATAACCGTGATACTAATGCAATGAACAGTGTTGTGCAATCCGCCATATTCCGCATTACGGTGGGAACATAATGGGCGGCACCACGCTCAACAATGGAATATGCACCCAAACAATCTATACTCTGCGTGTTGCATAGGTAATTACCGACTGGAAGTTGAGAGGCGGTAGCCACCTACTTGTTCTTCAGCGCGGGCCTGGAATTGGGCTCCTCAGTCTCGCGCTCGCGGTCCTTGGTCAGCCGCTCGAAGCGCTCGATGTCCTCGTTCATCATCGTGTGCATCAACTGTGCAGTGTGCAGGAACGTCCAGTCGAAGATGAAGTCGTACTGGTATCCTTGACGGAAGAACAGGTCCTTCAGAATACGACGTAGGTAGGAGTAGTCCGGACGGTCCTCGAACCGCAAAGAGCGCGCGTAGTTTATAAACGTCACGAACTCGAACGGAAGCTGCTTGCACAGCAGATCAACGGGTATAGCTATCTTTTTCTCGCTGATCTTGTCGTACTTGTCCTTCTTGCTAGTAGCCTTCAGACCCTGCCACGGCAAGGAGCCTCGCATAAAGTACAGTAACACGTAACCCAGCGCCTCCATGTCGTCGCGACGGCTCTGCTCGATGCCGAGGTGCGTGTTTATGCTTGCATAACGCGCGGTACCGGTCAGGTTTTTACCCTCACGGTAACAAATGTGTTGCGCAGTCTTGGGGTCGCGGTATTTCTTCGCGAGCCCGAAGTCGATAATGTAAACGATAGAGATCTTCTTGCCGCGCCCTATCAGGAAGTTGTCGGGCTTTATGTCGCGGTGGATGAAGTTCTTCGAGTGACAATATTCGATGCGGTTCAGCATCTGGTCCGCAAGCATCAGGACCGTCTTCAGACTCAGCTTACGGTTGCATATGGTAAACAGGTCCTCCAGAGACGGTCCCAACAAATCCATAATCAAAATGTTGTACTCGCCCTCAATCCCGTACCAGTGGATTGTAGGAATGCCCACGCCGCCCGCCAGCAGCTTGTAGAGCTTGGACTCGTACAGCAGCTGCGGGTGGCGGCTTCGGTGGGACTCTAGCTTTATCGCCACATCCTCGCCGGTGGTAATGTGTGTCCCGATGAATATATCGCCGAAGGAACCGCTCCCAATCTTACGACCAAGCCGGTACTTCCCGCCCACGCGAATCTCCAACGACCTAGTGATCATTCTGGCCAGCGAGTGCCGCAGGAAACCGTCAAGCCATCAACACGCGTGGGACCTGACGCCAACTCCGATAATTGCCAGGCGCTGGGAGAAAACAAGTTGTCCACCGCGAACCGTCGTGCACGACAACAAGAACGCGCAAACTAACCGACGAATGGCTGTGCAAATCAGCACTAAACCATGGCCAGGCTGCACGCTGTCACCTCTCAATTAGGCCAACATTACTGCAGGTAATCCAGCCTACGATGCTCTACAATTACGTTGAATGTACTGACGACGGCGCCCAAGATGTGTTCACACAGCGTCCCCTATATGGCGATTTAGGCGACAGTTGCACATCCAATAGGGGCAAAAAAACTCTTTGCGAAACTCAACTCCTAAATATTAATCTACCGGGCGATGGAGCGGTCATAAACGCCGAAAACGTGACACACCGCTTGAATGCGCTGTCCCAGTGCGCTATTTGAAGCCTGCGCGCGAGACGCTCTTGCGATCACTACAGGCGCAACAGATGGGCTTGAATACTACGCGTAAAACGCGGCTGGAGCGCCAGACGAACCGCTAACTCGACGGTGTGCGCTGACCATGCAAACCTATGCAACGCATACTTTAAAGCTAACAAACGCGAAAAGGAGGAGCAATAGCAACTAGCTGAACGAGTTTTTATGGCCCGCAAACGGCAGTTATTTCGTATGAGTGACAATAGGTGCGCGGAAGGAAGCTACATCTCGCGCCGTGGAAGCTGATCCTCAGTATCAGCGGCAGATTCGGATACTACCGTTAAATTCGCGGTCCAACGGCCAGTATATGCTGCACATGCTCCCATTTAATGTCTCAGCTCGGCTGCTGGTGTCGATTCTTAGCGAGACACGAGTTAGGTGGTTGAGGGAGTGTGTCCACACCTTCCGGCCAACTATGGCTTTGCTTATCACATATTCGACGCCATAACCGCATTATGCACGTCCAAGGCCTCGTTTAACCGCGCGATGCCTGCCAAATAGCACACATGCGGCGTTGCGATTACACTTCGTAACGACCTCCGCCCACCTGCACGGTCTCCTTCTGCGCCGCCTGGCGACGGGACACCATCACCTTAACATCCTTGGACGAATCAGCCTTTATCTTGCGCCGACTCGCCAAGATCTCGTTGGCACGCGCCAGCTGCTCAGGGGTCACGGTGTAGGGGTCGTGGGGAAGTTGACGGGTGCGAGTCCGCGGCTGCAATTTGGCCGTTTCGCGCTCCGGCGACCACCCCTGCTTTAGTGCCGATTGTAGCTCCACGTGAATCAGCGGGCACTTGGTCACTGAGTCGATCATGTATGCGTACGTTCGCAGATGGTGGAAGCTGACCAGCCGGTCCTTCGGGTGGCGCTGCCGCGTGGCACCGGATGGCAAAGCGCTGTATAGATTAGCAATTTTGCCTTCCAGCATTTCCTGACGCTGTGCCGAGTCCAGGCTGCTGTCTGACAGAATCAGTGCGTCCACCTGACGGTGCTTCACAGGAGCTTCCACGGATTCGGCAGATTTCTCTGACAACTTATCGTCGTCATCCTGACCAGGGGCATCCTTTGGCTCACTGACTACGGGTGGAACATGCTCCCCGAAAAAAAAGTCCCCGCCACCCCAGTCGTGCCGAGGCACAGAAAACGGGTGGCCGAAGAGGCGACAGTAGTCGCGTGCGATCTCGCGCTCCACGTAATCCTCATAGAAGACTACCTGAGTGGTGTCATCCAATGATACAAGGCGTAACATACCTCTCCATCCTCCAAACGTTCGCGCAGGCTCTTGCGTGGCTTGGCGCATGCTTCCGGGCGTTTGACGGGTGTCAGCTCAATGTTTACCCGTCGGCGATGGGGTTCGCTGGTTTCTTTGGGAGCTGATTGCTCTTTTGGTGGATCACCTGACAAACAGTGTTTATGCTGTAGTCGTTGATACACCTACTCTTCTTTCTCTGGGACTCAGGCTCGTGATAAAGTGTGTACGCCTCGCTCTTATATTCGTGCGGGTAACGCGTATATAGGAACGGGGAGGGGATGTGCGTGTCGTTCAGTTTGTGGATGGTCTCCAGGAGGCACTGCGGACGCGGTGGATGCTCCCATGCCTCTGTGGCTGGGATCGTATCGCCCTTGTCCTCTTCCTCCTCCCACCAACGCACATCCTCTCCGTATAGATAGTATATGGGATCGTTCGGTGCCACCGAGGCGCTCTGGGCGTCCGTTCCTGACGATGCGCTGTCGCCTTGTTCTGATGTGACACCGTTGCTCGGCACGGGCGGAGAGCGCGCAACAGAGCTCATTGCGGCTTACAGAAGTCAAAAACTACATTAGAAAGAAAACAGTTAAATACTCGCGACGGCGAATGACCGTAGCACACTAGTGATGTGCACCCTGTAAATGTGTAGAGTCGCAATGGCCATTTAGCCAAAAGTAACCGGGGTGAAGGGGACAGACACTCGCAAACTTATTCAACAGGGCCATTAGTGATGGCCAGATTACACTGAACATAGTTAAACGCAGCACGAAGAACCAACCCGGCTTATCACGGACAGAGCATCATCCAAACCCACACGATGGGCCACGCTGACGCCTCCCTCGTTGCAAACCTCGTAAAAAACATCTCCTGGTCGTAAGAGTTCGGGGCTGTATAGACATAAGTATAAATCGTTGCGTGAAACGTACCGGAACGTAGTTAGAATGCACTGAGACCCCTCATGGCACTGGCGCTCCAACAAACGCGAAACGTTCACTCGATAACCTTCATCCAGTGCGGCGTCGATCTCGTCAAGGAGGTAAAAGGGGGCGGCTTGCAGGCGCTGGGCTGCGAGGATAAAGGCGAGCGAAACCAGGGTCTTCTGGCCACCGGAGAGCTGGTATAACTGCTGCAGAGCATCCGAACCGGCACTGAAGGACACCTTCAGGTCCAAGCCGGTGAATTTCTCCTCATCTGGAGACTCGACAAAGCACTCTGCGATCACTTGTATTAGCCACATTAACAGCAAACAAACATACCAGGCAGGCATACAGCAACATTGGCCAACGGCTCGCTGGAAGCGGGTTCTCGGCGGAGCAGAACCTGAACCTAGTGTCGACACCGACATTCCACATACCGCACGGATACGGCCTCCGGGGACGAGTTCCTCGAAAGTCTGTGACAGCTTGTCATTCAGCTGGCTAAGCATCTGGACGAGGTTACTGTCCTTCTGGCTCCTTAAAGCCTGACGGGAGATGTGCCGATAAAGCTGCTTCCACTTACCTTAATAGATTTTACAATTGCTGCATTTGAACGTGATATGCGCTCCTGACGCTGGCGCAACTCCTTGAATTCCGCTGCACGTCGTGTCACCATAACGATGGTGGAACCTACCACGCAGTGCGGCACTGTCCTGTGAGCAGCCACGAACTGACAGGTCGAACTTGGAGCACCGCTTGTTTATTTCGGCAAGCCGTGACATGAGGTCGTCCTTGTTGTCTACCTGGGTTTGCTTTGCCTCTTCCAGGACAGCTTGGTCTAGTCTTGACAGCTCATCCTCTGATTCTTTAATTGCGATTCTGAAAATATAATAACACAAAATTGACTCCAAATTACTTACTTGACACTTGACAGGGTTTGTGAAGTATCTCGGAGTTGAGAAGTTGCTTCAGCCAGGGCGGCTTTCTGGGAAGCAAGTTCCGTCTCCAGCTTGTGGAGGCGCGAACACAGCTCATCACGCTGGCGCTGAGACCTGTCGCGTTCCTCCGACGCCTTCAAAATTTCGGAGTTTATGGAGTCACGTGACTGGGTCAATGACGCAGATCGTTGCTCAAGGTCACGGAGATGTCCCGAGTAGTCCTCCAGTAACTGGAGGGTGGTGATCACACGCTTGGCCAGTGCATTGCGCTTATCCTGCAGAACTGAAACATTGTCACGCAACTCATGAGCGCGAGACTCCAGCGTGCATTTCTGCTTGCGCGAGGCATCTAGTTCTGATTCAAGATTGGACTGCCGTGACACAAGTTCGGCCAGAGCGGCAGGAGAAGGTGTTGCGGCGCGCTTGTAAACCTCGATCTGCTCATCCCAAGATTTGATCTGGTACATAAGACGCTCTTTTGGGTTGTCAGAAAGTTTATGACGAATGGAATCTTCGAGACTGAGATGCTATGTAACATGGGCCAAGGTACGACCCACCTAGTGAGGTGCTGCAACGACATTTGCAGCTGCCGCAGATTCTCCTGCAGAGCAGCACGCTCGGACTTAATGACGGTGCGTTGCTGGGTCAGCTTCGATTGCTCCTGCAAAACAGTCAGAAACACACAGAACCGCACTTACCTCGCCAAGGGCCGCCAGATCGCTCTGTAGACGGGCGATGCGCTCATCCTCTGCAGCCAAATCGGCGCCCGCTTGCTTCATAATGCCATATAGACGCAATATGGACTCCTTCATGTCCACATAACCTCCAGATACCGAACCGCGGTGGTAGAACACCTGGCCGTCTGGTGTAACGCAGTTAACACGGTTCCCCGTTATGCGGGATGCCACATCCGCGTTCTCAACCAAACAAAAGTCACCCAGCAACGAACGGATCAATGGTCGCAGATGTTCTTCGAATGTAACACAATCCATCAGCGGCATCGCCTCTGCTCGATCAACCGAGCTCGGCAGCAGCGTGTCGTTACCGCCGCTCGATTTCGGAAAAATGCCAAGTGCTACGATGCGGATGTTGCTGTAGCGGCTTTCGCTCTTCTCAATGTGGCGGATGAGCGATTTAGCGCATTGCATCGTCCGTACCACCACAGTAAACAGTTTAGGGCCGAGGGTCTGCTCCACAGCAAGTTTGAACGCATCAGACACGGTAACCAAATCTATGAGCACACCCACATAACTATTCCGATGGGACGCCGACTCATCGCTTTCTAACCACTCCTTCACCAAACCCAGAGTCGTCTTCTGTGACAAAGCAACCTTGCTAAAGTTCTTCTCGGCGTCACCGTACTGAACACGCAGATTCGACTGCTTCACCGTGCTTGCAGACAACTCGTTCTGCTTTATACGCTTGGTTTCCAGAGATGTCTCAAGAGACGCTGTGCACTCTTCCATGCGCGCTGCCTTCTCAGCGCAGCGATCCTTAAGCTTGGCAATCTCCGAGTGTAGAAGCTCCTGGTCATTCATGCAGCGCGTTAGGGAAGAGGAAAGAGTGACCTTTTGAGACTCGAATTCTTTTATGGACTCATGTGCCTCTGATTTCCGCTGTTCCAAACGCGCTATAAGCTCTTTCACCTTCTCGCCGGAAGAATGCTGGCGATGCATCACATCGCTCAGCTGTGTCTCAAGGTCCTGTATACGACGAGACGCCTTCACACAGTCATTCTCAACACCCCCCAGCTCGGCAACAGACGATTCCAAGGAGGTGTTCAGCGAGTCCAACTCCCGTTCAAGTTGACCCTTGGTGTGGGTAAGCAGGCCCAACTCCTTGCGAAGCTCAGCCGACTCGGCTTCCACATCTGCCAGGGAAGATTCCAGTGATGAAAGTTCTGTGGTAGCGGTTCCCGCGTCTTCCATGGATTCAATGATAGACAGTGCACCTCGAGATTCCCTGACATCCATCTCTAGCATGTCAACGCGCCCTTGTAATTCGTTTATTTTGCCAGACAATTCCGACTCCGTAGCTTCTTGAGTCGACGCATTCTGTCGTAATTGCGATAGTTTTAGTAGCACTAGGCATGCCTGGAGCACGCGACGCTCCGCATCGAGCTTAGACCACTCCTCGCTTGCGCCACGCTGAATGTCTAGGGTATCCAGCTTACGCTGTATTTGCGATAATTGCGCGTCAACAGAGCTGAAAGTGACATCGTAATCTTTGAGCAGTTTCATAGATTCCTCTATCTTGGAGTCGAACGATCGGTGGCCTATGACATCGCGGAACGCCGACAAACGTTCCTCTGCACTGAGGCTGCAAATCTTCCCAATCGCGCCCTGCTTCACGATGAAGTGTAGGTCATTCCGGTAAGATGCGCTTTGTTTGCTGAAGTGGATTAATTTCACACTCTCGATCATCTGTCGGTAGTCCTTCCGTGACATTTGGCGCCCGTTCACCAGGTAGAGATCCTTGGATCGAGAAAAAATACGTTTTAGACGCAGTTCATCCTTATTGTCGACTACTGATTGCAGATGTACATCACGGGATACGTCGAATACAACTTCAACATGCGCGGAAAACTCGTCGTCCTCCGATGACTCGGCACCGCGGTACAAGTAGCAGCTACGGTTGGCGTGCTCGAGAGTCTCGGCCAACGCAAAGCTCACGGCGAGCAACACATTACTCTTCCCGGAGCCATTCAGACCAACTGTGCGCGTGTCAACAATCAGTGGAGTAGGAACAAACCAATCACGTTGTAGCCGGGACAGAAGTGGAAGACGCACGGATCCCGGTAGGTCCGGAAGCCCCGGATTCCTACCTCCTTGATGTGCATCGATATGCTGAGAGAAGTATTAACCCTATGGGTGACAGGAAGACGTACCCGTTTCCGAAACACCCCGCATTCCAAAAATGTGTGGGCGTGGAATCACCGAGGAATCCCACTTACAGCTAGAGAAAAAAGAGCAACACATCAAATGTGCAACTAAGAATATCCATACACACTAACTAGCATTAACATAATTGTCTATGAGCGACTCTAGCTCGCGGGATAACACTGGACGCGACGGCCGCGCAGCTCCTGGCACTTGAGATTCCAGCGTTCGCGTCGGGTCGTGGGCCTTATACAACGATTCGCACTGATCCACCAGTGCCGTGAACTCGGGAGGCAAACTGCAATTCCCTGCGATTGCCCGCACGACTTGCCAAATTCGAGGTGGAATCGTGCGGTAGAGGCCATTCAACTCTAGCAGCAAACGCTTGAAAACCAGTAGAACTTCCTTATTACAACCTGTATAACACGATGAAATCGATACTTATGCTATGGACTTACCCAAACGATTGTACGCTAGGAGTAAATGGAAGTACATTTCGAACGATACCCGATTGAAGGGAGATAGCCCGAAACGGCGATCAGCGTTACCATCACCCGCCGTTGGGAGCTCCATGAAAGCACGGCCATGCTTTATAATTAGGTCGTTTGCGTCCCGTGAAGGGCATAGCTCGAAGAACCGGGCATACATTGCGGGCTCAGGTCTGCAGTTCCAACGCAGCATCACATCCATTAGGCGGTCGAGAGATCCCAAATCACGCCGCTCAACATCGCACTCAAATGCACATACAAATGCGTGGTAATGGATCCACTTTTGGAAGCGGATATCCGGAAAAACTGCCGATAACAAATGCACTGCCGCCGAACCGCTGATGCCGAAGGATAGAAGCTGTCGCATGATTGAGTACACTCCGCTGACGCCGATATCCCCCAACCGCACTCCAGATTTGACTAATTCGCGGATTGCAGAATTCAACGTTCTCCTATCGTCTCCTCTGGAAGTTGAACCCTTTAAAAATGTGTCGCTCAAAGGCCTGTGCACGAAACGTATCATGCGCTGAGGTTCAGAAGACGACGGAGAGGCATCTTCAAATCCACTTATGTAGCTCATAAAGTCGTCGACGGATAGAGTTGCATCTTCCTTCAAAGGTTTGAACATGCCCTTATTGGCAAAGGCCTGGTGATATCGGGTGAGCAAGGGTTCCAGGTAGCCGACATCTGCGTAAGGGGAGAGAATACGGCTCACATGGACAGACAAGGCGCTGTTTTCATCTGATTCTTCCGTTTTGTTGCTCGGAATCGCCACGTCAAGAGACAGGAAAATGTTGTTGAGCGCATGCTTCAGCATCAGGGTCCTGGCCCACAGCTCACCAGCCTGGTTTACATTAGACACATTCATCCCAGATATACCCTTTAAATCCGCATCTACCGTCTCAGACGATGGAGGTTCTAGCGTGTGCGAACTCTCAATCTGTGATGTCTTTGACACAACACAGCTTACAAGGTCGGAGAATCCGCGACCAGAGTGTACCGACCCGGATGAAGAATCTTCCGCAAGTTGTACGGTAAATCTGGTTGCACCAGAAGAATCCGCATGATCGTCCAAAACATCACCGCAAAACAGGTTGCTGAAATATACGGATGTGGCCATACGAAACTCCCTGGCATGGAGGCAAGCTTCCATAACGCCAGTGTGAAAACTGCCAACATCGGACCTCCGTAACTTGTTGTTGCGAAAACACTTAAAGTCCACAAACAAATCCTTTTTGGTTTGTTTATCTGACGAGGAAGGGGGTGGCAGGTTGCATGCCGTCTGGAAAGATGTGAATACTGGAACCTGAAAGAAAAATCGGGCACCATACAGACGGTAGATGTTAAAGAACAGCATAGGAAGGATCCAACCATTTATATAAGTCTGGTACGCTGAAATACTACACAAATGGAACATGTTAGCCCGGAGCAAAAACGGATGGTCAAGCAGACTCAAAAACATATCCAACATGCGTTCTTTCTCCCCCGCTCGATGCATGTGCGAAAATAGCGCCTGATAGGCTCTGCATAGTGCCACTGAGTCCGCATTGGGCCACTGGTCACGGTATCTGTAAGTGAATAGAACACAATCCCCTAAACTTACGCCTTTAGCAGCACACTACAACCAGAGGTCTCTAGGGCGGTGAACAGGTTGTTTACAGCGTTTTTAGTGTAATCTTTGTAACTCGAATTACTGCCGCAAATGATGGGAAATAATTTGGCCGCGTCCGACACTAAATGGCACTTGGTGACCTTAACAATACCGAGCTGACACGTATTAAAGCGGGGCTTCGCATCATACCTCTGTGGCACTTAAAAAGTAACGACGTTGTATTTCCGCTTTTAAAGCATCATTACCTTGTTGCCTATTTGTATTTTTTGATAAGTCTTCGGAATCACCCGACGATAAAGGTAAATTGCCTCGTGAGTTGTTGGAGAGATCCAGAGGGCCATCTCGGCATTTATCCTTCCTATTATCAGCGCAAAAGATCGACGATGGCAATATAGGAGTGCAATTCGCTGAACGTATCCCTCTATTGGTGCTATGGAAGAGGAATCCATGCGGGCAGTGTCTGTGGAGATGGAAGGTGCCTAAAAATTCTTTATGATTTCGCTCCTTGAGTCTCTTTGGACAACTACGTGTAGAATGGACAGACGCAGTAGCGATTAGGATTATGATGAATGCTAGACGTGGGATCTTGGCCCTGACGCTAAAGTGAAACGGTGCTGGAAAGGCAACGGCGTTCAACAGCGTAACGGGCATTCGACTACCTCAAACAAGCATAACGACTTTGCACGCCGATAAAAATACAAATTAAATTTGTTTGACCAAAATCAATACGCGATTTGGCGTGTTTTCTGCATTCAATATTACACACTCAAGAGAGCGGATATGAAAGACCTTCCGCTATATAACAAAAAGATAGAAAGTTACAACACATCTGAACGAATTTAAATAAAATGATGATTCACATCGTTGACTTTATTCGATGCTGTGTTGCACATATGAGGTATTAAGGTATTACTAACTGTGCGTCGCAGACATCTGATGACGGTTGGAGCACATAAGCGGACAATCACATAACTATTCTTATAAATAGTGATTGTTTGTGTTATCCATGCTATTGTGTATTGAAAGGTTATAGTTTATAGACTTTTATGGTCCATTATCGTCGGTGTACAGAAATGGATATTTCGGTATCTCCCATCATCTATTAAACTTGTATATCGTTTCTGAATATACACATCAAGTTATCAAATAAATGTGCATAAACGATGTTCATATGAGCGTGGAATAAATTCTCTTGTAGTCAACATCAATGCAATTATGTGATGCATCGTATTCGTTAACATTACGTAGTAGTAACATCTGAGAACGACCTTTTCAAAACCTTAAAAATAGTTAGTGTTCCGTGGTTCCACATACTGTGTAATACAAGCACTGCTATTGTGTGAGGAAGCCTGTAATTACGAAAATTTTGTGAGTTTGTACGACACCACGGTAATGGAGATGACTCACTTACACATCTAATCACAACTACAGCACACCCTATCACGTGGTATCAAGCGACAACGTGAATGCCACAATTACTGTTATACATCAACTTAGTCAACAGGTTCGTCGTCGAAGTAGTCAACGCCGTGGTGGAGTGAAAGCATCCTCCGGCCTTTAGTGAGTAAGGCCTTGGCATCGATGAGGTGGGACGCCTTGGTGCGCATTAAGTGAGATCGTATGCGCAAGACATCCAGACGGTAGAGCAGCGTGTGTATGAGGAGGAAGAATGCGATGGACCACAGTGCGACGAGGGTGAAGAGAAATGGCATGCGGATGTACCACAGGAGTTCGTCGATTTGGTGGAATAACTCCGTGAAGTGGTTGGAATGCAGTGTCTTGTTGAGTTGTCCGTTGATGTCACTGCAGCGCATCTTCTGGCTGCCGGCGACCAGGACGTGGGCGTTGCGGTATGTGAATCCGTAGCGGTAGAGCGTCGGCAGGGGTCCGCCGCATTCTACGATGGACGGGCAGTGACAGGCGTCCTCACCGCCGTGGTTGCCGGTGGGACAGAGGTACGTGGCGCAGCCGTGGGCCGTGCAGTCGATGTTGTCCAAGGCGTCTCTCAGTTGTTGCAGCAGCTGCCACAACTGCCATGCCAAGTGTACCACCCAGGTGAGGCAGAGCTGTGCGTGTTTCTGCGGGAAGGTGTGGTTGGCGTACAGCGACAGTGGCTGCAGGAAGGGGGCGCATCCACTGGTTGTTTGACAAGGCGGCTCGGCGGAGAGACTGGAGAGGGCATTGTGCCCTGAGTTGTTATGGTCATGGCCGGCGAGTGCCTTGAGGGCGTCGGTGAGGTTGCTATTCTGGTAACTGCCGTGGAGCTCAGTCCACAGCGGGAACAGCTTGTCAATGGCCTCGTCGTTCAGGTGCGATATGTATGACTCATGGTGAGAGTACGCCCGCCGGGACGATTCGTGGTCCCACGTTCTGAGCAGATGAGTGAACAACGCGAACACGTCGCCGAGTGACTGCGGTGCTGAGGGGCACAGCAAGGACAGCGTTCGGCAGAGTTGGAAGAGGCAGGCGTCGGCGTCACTGCAGAGACGGCCGAGTGACTTGGCAAGTTCCTTGCCGGTGCGTCTCATGGAGGCTGCCAGGCCAAGGTCACAGAAGCCTAGCGGGGTGAGGCACTGTTGGCCGGGTTGGTTGGAAGGGCAGTTGGCACATTCGATGGCATTGTCAACAACTGTGAGCCTATGCGGCAGGAGGTTGAGACAGCTGTCTGAGAGGAAGGACTGCAGCGGCGAGTTTGGCGGGCAGCTGTGACTTGCATCGGTGGCCTGCCTGTTTAAGCTGTTACACTGCCAGTGGGAGGACGGCACCTGCCGGCCGTAGTGGCACTCCCGCCAGCCCTTGGTTTCGGCGGTGGCACGGCAGCACTGGGCGTAGAGGAAATAGAGCACGGGGCACAGGCGGCATACTATCTCCCTCATCATGTCTAGTAGCTCGGCGGGGTCGGCCGGGTAGTGGAGCTTAGCGCGGTTGTTGGCGAGGTCGACGGAGTAGGGGTACGCTGCCAGGTCAAAGCCACGGCCGTGGCCCTGTATTGCGATAAGCAGCGAGTTGGCGTATGAACACGCTGATGCGATAGTGTACGGCAGACTATTAATGCACTGTGCCATGACCTCGTCGTCCCTGTTGATAATATCGCTATCGTCGCACTGCCGATTGAGCAACGCTCTGCAGTGGTCATTCAACTTGTATGCCACTAGAGTGTACTGCAGACCAGAGAGCCACGACAGCATGTCCCTTACCGTGCAGGGGTACCTGGGCGATGCGTGCACCTTAAGGTGGCACGCCTGGAGGTAGCGACACACCATGTTATGGAAAAGCGCAACTAAGTCAACGACATTAATGCCATTCTCTAGAGGCTCACCGTCGACCAGCATTTTGATGTTCACGTCTGGAATTGGTGATTTAAGCAACTCATACGCTGCGCCGCCCGAAAATTGATTCTGCAACTCCCCCTCCTGGAGTCCGTCGGTGGGAGACACCTTGTAGCCGCATTTGGTAAGGTAGTTGCCCAGGCCGTTGTCCCTGCCGTCGGGGGTGAGCGTGCATATTTTGTTGGTCTTCCAGTTGGTGCCGCATTTGGTTGCCAAGTTGGTCAGCGCGTCGTGCGTCATCGGAACCATGCTCAGCAACACCTTGGCGTACTTGTCGGCGTCCGCCTCCCGGCACTGCGCTCCCGAGTACGCGGAGATGTAGCAATTTGTGAACTCAGCGACAAAAGCGCGCAGCCCTTCACCGATGCCATCCAGCAGGGGGCTGTTCGGTTTAGTAAAGCCTTGTGGCCTGAGGGCATTCACAGCGTCGATGAGTTTGTCAAGTTTACCACGTATCTCACGGTCGTAGTGTTTTTGCCGAGTTAAGTGACTAAGCAAGTCATTTAGTGCTGTGTAAATTTCGGCGAGCTGATTGGTGTACAGCGTCTCAGGGCTCCTAGGAATGGGATTTCTTCGTGACATATTTTCGTGGTGCTCTCTCTTGATCTCAGCCTCGATGTACATACGCAACCTGCCGCAGAAGACGTTGAAGCGATACGACAAATCGCCTACGTTGGCGGCGTCCGTGAGCAAATTTATGTTTCCGTTGTTGTCACCAGCAATCTGCTTCACGAAGCCCTTGAAGCCTATCGCCAAGTCGTGATCGATTTCGTCGGGCAGTTTGACCAGCTCGCTGTTCACCTTCGAGGCGTACTGCTGCAGCATCTGCTTCACGCTTGACACGTAATTTGCGTTGGCCTGCGCGATCATGGCATCCTCGGCGATTTTTATCTGTTGGTGCAGATGCTCCCTGATTTTCTGCTTGGCCAGCCTGCCGGTTGCGTCTGCGTCCCGGAGGAATTGCTCGCAGGCCTCTATGGGCCCGCTCAGAAGATAGGCGCGCAGCCTCTTGAGCTCATTCTTAATTTCGTTCAGGCCGTGCTGCTCACCGCCGTTGATGACCACGTAGTCATGATCGATCAGAGCCTTCAGCCTCCCCAATGCTTCCTTGATGCTGATGCCCGGCATCTTAATCGCCTCGCACAGCTCGGTGAGTTTTGCGTTGACGACCGGCACCAAGGTGTGGACGCCGTCGATGGCTTTATAGATCGCTTGGAGGCCTTGGCTGTTATTATGTTTGGAAATTAAAGTTCTCAGGACCCTCAAGTGGTCTACGACGTCACCGTCAAGCATGACATTGTGCAACTTTATTCCGATTTTTGCGAGTTCCAATCTGATGTTTTCGACGGCCTTTTCAATAGCGTTGGGCTGTTTTCCCAACTCTTCATTGTGCTTTTCAATCCCCTCCTTGATTGTGTCGAATCCCTTTGCATTGTGGTTGCCATCCCAGTTTTCCGTATGATTAAGCCCATAGCTTTTCAATCTCTCCAGCTTGGCGGTGACTTTTTTGTCCAAATCACTCTGGAGGTTATTCAGTGACTGGGTAATAATGTGAACTGCGCCGCCAATTGTGCTTGGATTCTCAGTAAACTGATTTTTTTGAAGCTGTGCAATGTCCCCATGTATTTTACCGAGGCCATATATTCTGAGACGGTTTGGTGACCAAGCATTTTGCTTGAGACCAGTATACTGCAGATCATACAGCCTGTTGATAACATCATCTTTTACATTGTTGACTGGATTTTGCAATTTGTTCCTGAGTTCTCCGAGTTTCTGCGTAATATTGGGTAAAGCTTCTCCGATTTCTTTGGTTTTAATATCATACGTCCTTGTCTTCAGATCTTTAATCTTGTCTTCAATTGCTTGGAGGCCTTTGACATCTTTATTAATACCTACACCTAAAGAAGACATAATTTGATAAGCCCCTGCCTCCTTAAGCATATTCTCCAAATCATCCAACCGCTGCTTGATACCATCTTGGTCCGTGGGCTGGGGCAGCGTCTTAGGCTTTTCGCCCTTCTTACTATTAACAAACCACGCAATGGCTTGGAGTTCTTGTTCGATCGCTTGAAATTGCTGGGTAACTAGTTCCTTTTGTCGTTCGACTTTACTGGCGTCCGTGAGTTGAGCGTGAGTGTTGAAAGGCTGCATCGCCTGGGGGATATCTTTAAGCAACTTTTGATACTTGCCCTCGTCACCAATTGGTTCTTGATCTTTCTTCTTCTTATATTGCCCCATAGTGGTTTCAACAATTATACCCTTAGGACCATTATCTTTCATTTCGTTTTTAACCTGCTGCTCAATCTCCTTGACTTTCTGCAAAATGTTATTCTTCGGGTCGTTGGAGACGTCTGAACTTGTGGCTTGATGCGCCGCTTCGAGTTTCTTGTCCAGATCCCGGGTTGCTTGCACGGCTTTGTCCAGTTCCTTTGCGATGCTTGTACCGCTGTCCTTGCCCATCCTGTAGTCGGCAAGCAGAATAGAATTAATCTCCTCCCCAACCTGGTTGGCCGTGGCGCGGAGAGCGATGAGGGTGAATTCGGTGACGAGCTGGAGATTGTCGTTGGTGGTACGATAGTTAGTCTTGTTCACAATCTCCTGGGCAAGCGCCTTAATTCCTTTCTTAAATTTGTCATCCAGCTGCTTGACGAATTCATCGCAGCCTGACTTAACGGCTTCTATGGTTTTCGTGATCTTTTCTATGGTTTCGGCAGAATCCATCTGCGCTTTAACTAATTCACCGGCTTGCTGAATTTCATGGTTAAGCGTCTTCTTGGTCTGCTCCATAATTTTATCACGGAATGAGGCAATTGAAAAACCAAGCAACCTCACCTTCTCCGTAACGTACGTATTTATCCAGTTTTCAACTTCCTTCTTATTCGCACCATCCTTCCCCAATACCTTTTCCAACCATCCCTCTACAATTTTCTGAAAAGGCCACTCCCCGCTGAACCCGCCAGCATAGCTGTTCACCAATCCGGTGACAATCCCATCCAGGCCATTGGCACCTGTATTTTTGTCATCTTTCCCTGCCTCCCCTTTAATCCCCTGCACTTGCGTTCTGATTTCTCCAAGCATCAAACCAACATGGCTCTTCATACTGCTCACAATCCTCTGTTGCAAGTCAACCAAATCCGTTTTTATGCCCTCTTCCAAATGTGAAATGGCCTGTTCAACTTGATTTTTCAAACCGTCAACTTTGGGATACGCCTTCTCGTAAGCGGTTAAAAGGTCCGTGGCTTTTTTCTGCAGTGCGGCGGCTTGCTGTTTAATTACAGGGTCGCCATTCTTTATCTCAGTTTTTGTAAGTATCTCATCACATTTATTTTGCCCAGCTTGGACGATTTTCTCAGCCGCAGTCTTCCACTCATTCAGGTGGGAGACTTCAGTTTGAAGATCTTTATTCGCAGTGTCAATTGCCTTTTGAGCGGCGTCAATTGTACTAATATTTGTGCCAATAACATTTTTATCGGCAGGTCCATTCTTCTCAGGATTCAACTTCTCATACACCTCCGTCGCCTTCTGCACCGCCGCTCCAATCACTGTATAAGCCTCTCCCTTCCAGCTCTCCAGACTGCCAAGGTGGGCGGCAAGATTATCTTTAGCCTGATCAAGTTGCAATTTAGCGTTACGTATATTCTCAATATTTATGCCAATTTTATTGTTCTCTTCAGTCCCATCTTTTGTCCTAGTTGGACTCAACTTCCCACGCACTGTCCCCGTCGCTCCAATCACATTGCCAAGCAAACCGTCTGCCGCATTTTTCCACTGTTCCAGGTCACCAACATTTTTTGTAAGCTGACTATTAATTTTTCCAATCTGTTCTTTAGCGTCAAGAATGTTCTGAATATTTTCAGCAAGCTCTGTCTTGTTTTTTCTGTCTTTGTCCTTATAATAACTGAGAATGGAAAAGGCCTCTTTAGCTCTTTTCTCAGCCTTTCCGCGCGTTTCCTCGGCGTTATTAATCCAAGCCTGCAGATCCTTAATTTCCTTGTCAAGCCCCTGATCAATCTTATTTACGTTTTCCTCAATTTTCTTCCACCTCTCCGGCTTATCACCGCTTTCATTTACTGTGACTTCATTCAACATTTTTTTCACATTCCTCTCCGCGAATGCAATGAATTTCTTGGCCTCCGTGATCCAAGCCTCCAACTCGTCGACATATTTTCCCAGACTATCGTAAATCTTAATCAGCATGTCTCTAATTTTTTCGACCATAGCTTTTACCTTTGCAACGAGCGCATCAATTTGCTCACCGATCTTATTGCTCACATTGTTTTCGAGCTCCCTCAAAGCCTTTCTGATAATTTTTGTCATGGCCTCCAAGTTGTCTCTCTCCTTCCTCGTCAGGTTCTGAAGACGCTTCCTTTCTTGAGTCATATGTTTCTTAGCACTCATGACTTTATCACGCAACGTAGGATTTAGGTCTTTTATTGCGCTAGTTGTGCTGGCCACTTTGTTCATATCATTGTAGAATGCGTCAGCACGTTTTTGACATTCCTCCACCAGCCTCTCGGCCTTCTTAACCTCTTCCTCAGTAACACTCTCTACCTGCAAACCATTAACGCGTTTAAGCAACTCACCACCCTGTGCCACATATGCGATCATGTCATCAATCGGCCTCTTGACTCTGTCATTGGAAGCTTTGACAGCGTCGTTGTACGCCCCGAGGCCAGCAGCCACTTTGGGGATGACATGCTTGAAGCCATGGTGGCCACTCCACCTGGCCTTTTCGAGGTCACCAACTAAGCCACCTAACAAAACTCTACCAACAACGTACGGCTGATTATCACGGACGTCACTGAACACTCTATACAAAAACGCCACAATGGCGTCGCACAAACGGGAGGCGTCGCCGTACACAATCCCGGAACCGTCGTAGGTTCCAGGCGACCGATAACCTAAAAATGTCTCAAGGGCGGAACAGAGATTATGTAAAGTGTCTTGATTAGGATTCTCAGAGTTTTTCGTAACAGCGTTCTGAAACGTTTGAAGCTTGCCAATAACATCTCTGGCGGACGTGTGATGTGATTCGGGGAGAGACCACAGAGATTTCTGAGCGTCCTGAACAACATTGTCGAACAACTTACTCAGGGCGTAGGACAGCTTTGGAATCCCGTCACCCTGCTTCACATGGATGAGCCAGTCGATCGCCTCTCGTAGGTTCTCGGGGCAATCCGTCAAAGCTTTCGGAGCCATGCCACCGAGCCTCGAACAGTGGTACCGTCAAGCAAGCACGCACTAATCCGCCGCCACACAAGGCAACATCTCCACACTTGTGGTTGAGCAAACTGAAAATCACCGAGTGGAACTCTGAATAACAACAAAATAAACCATTGTACTAAGACAAAGTGCCCCCGCGGCACCCCGCAAAACAACATGAAAACTCGAGGACCGTTAAAATATTCACCTACCCGAGGAAGTAGGGCAACAATCCTAGGAATCCGGCGATCCAGGGTCCAAGCTGACGTGTAAAACTAGAGCAAGGTGGGAAGGCGGTAAACTTCATCGATATCTCGAGTGAAACACGGCTTGCTTATCCCTGTCCTGCATCACGGCCCCGACAAGCCGCCTCCCCTCAGCGCTCCGTGACCATCCAGTCCATCGTCACTTTCCCTTTACCTCGGATACCACAGCCGCGCGCCTTGCACCACAAAACATAAGACGCCAATAACAACCATGTAGGCACTATCGTAGACGCGTCATGTAGGATCAACTAGTATCAGTTACCCATCCCCAACTGCACTGACCTTATGTTACGTCACCCAAATACGTGCCCCCGTGCGCGACGGTGAAGGCGCGAGACAAATTCCCTAAACGAGCTACATCATGGAATTAAGACATTTGTTACTTCCACAAGGTTGCCATAAATACCCCGTTATCACGCCGTCCCGTGGACACCACATAAGTGTCCCAGCATCATGCCACTACCACCTCTAGCCAGCTACACAATCACAAACGTACCCTGAACAGTTACTATGGAATGACACGTACCATCTCGCATGTCACTGCGCAGCTATTAACATGTATGGCCACTCACTCAGCTTTAGAGTTCACTGACGCGATGAGATGTTGCCATTCACCTCATTCTCAACCTCCATTACAACAATTAAGCAAATACCATGTTTATTACATTATCTGCTAAGTTGCGGTTATGTAAGCTAGGTGGGCTGGGTGAGCTAGGCGGTGACAAGTCGGTGAGTGAGATTCAGATCACACGTGAAGGTATGATCACGGTGAGAAGTATCTCATCTTTCCAAGTGGGTTGACACGCGCCGCTGCGAGTAGCGACTGGGCGGTGATGCGGTGCGATGAGGGCGAGCGCAGGTGGGAGCGGATCCTCAGGATGTCGAGGCGGACGACTGAGACGTGCAGCAGGTAGAGCAAAGAGAGGGACCAGAGGGCGAGGAGTGTAATGGAGAATGGTTCTCGTATCTCCCAAATGAATTCGTCTATTTTGTGGAGAATTTGTACAAGCACGCAGTTTTCACCAATAACTTTCTCTAATGTTTTGCAGAAATCTCTACATGTGCGTCTTGTTTTTACGTCGCTTATTCCACTTAGTGCGGATGGACTGTTGAACATTAACCCATACTTATACAGCGTCGGATACATATCAGGGCATTTGACAATGGAATGACAGTAGATAGTGTGCTTGTCGCTTACAGATGGACTTTTTGGCTTTCCATCTTCGTCAGTATATCTCACTGCACAATTTTCTGCGCAGCTTTTATCGCAGCATCTGATGCCTGGCTTGTCGCACTTTTTGCAAGACTCATACAAATCGTAGAGCAACCCAAAGAACGTCTCAGTAATGTGTGTAACCCATGAAAGATAGTTATCAGCGCGCTTGGAGGAAAATGTCGTAAGGATATCCACATTGATAGACTGCATGAATGGTCCGCAGGGAAGCGCAGCATCCTTGCATTCAACAAGGCTGAATAGGTCACCAGTGAGATAGTTGGTGTTGTCCTTGGACGTGTGGCTGCTATGATTACCGCTGCCGAACATGGATGTTATTTCCAACATTGTTTCGTCATTCCAGAAATTGGCCTTTTTAACGGCATCATTGAATGCTGTTTTTCTGTGCTCTATACGGCCATTCCAGTTAGCGAGGAAATTATAGTAGAACCCGAACATATCACCCAGAGTTTGCGGTGCTCGGCGAAGAACACAGTTGAGCTGACTACATAGTTTATGAAGTTCAGAACCTAAACCGCAAAAACGATAAAGTGCGCCAAACAGTTGCCAACCTGTTTTCGTATGCGATGCGGCAACACCAATATCTGCAAAACCCATGGGAGTAAGACACGACTTACCGGTGTGATCACGCACTGTACAGGTTAACTTGCAACCAGGCGTGGAAAATTGGTGTGGCAAAAAGCCCGGGAGACCATCTTCCAAGAAAGACTGCAAAGGTGATTTTACACCGCAGTTTGCATGCTGACTACCCGTTTGGTCACACTTTTGGTTACATGGTTGGTTGCCTATTTGGTTGGGACATTGGTTACTGTTGCAGCTCCATGCTGACCCACCGATGCCGCGACCGTACCAGCAGTCGGCCCAGCCCCCGCTCTTAGGACCATTATGACACTGGCTACATAAGAAGCGCAATTGATAAAACACTCTATTCAATATATCTACTAGCATATCAAAGCAGGCACCTGGGCTATTAGGGTAGGAAAATTTATCTGGGTTCGTATTAAAATCGCAGGCGAACCGCCCGTCAGGATGGCCATGGCCGAGGATATTGATAAGCATTTTCTCAGAGTGGTAGCATACCTTGTCAAGCGTTTCTTTTATGTCTTTCCACGTGATTCTAGTGGTCGCGGAAAGTGTTAATTTTCTGGTGTCAATTTTGTCATATGGCTCATCTTTCTGGTCGTCCGGTTTATCAAACAGTTCCTTAGCGTGGTCGCAAACTTTACCAAACATCGGATTCCATTGAAGCCCGGTGAGCCATTGAAGCATGTGACAAATATTACTCGGTGATTTAGGTGAAGGGATATGTTCATGGTGGGTGAGTTTGTAGTATTCATGTAGATGCTTATGTATTTTTCTAAGTGGGCCTTCGTCTGTCGCCCTGTCGTCCACTCTGTAGACATGTTTTGTACTGGACTCGTTAACAAGTAGATCTCGAATTTTATCACCTTTGACATCCTTGTCCAGCTCCCCGTTTTGATTGTTCTCATCTTCTGGCACCCTAAAACCATGCTTTTCAAGATAGGTGCCGAGCTCGTTAACACTCTTCGTTTTTTTAATCGTATCCCAGTCGTACAGGCGAATATGGCTATTTTTCCAGTTACCGCCGCTTTTATTACACTCTACTCTCAACTTGCTTAAATCAAGAGACACCCTCTCCAGTATGGTCAGGCAGACCTTGGCGCAGTTGCGGCCCTCGGTGGAGAGGACTTGTTCGGTGGGTGGAGTGGCGCCGGGTTTCTGAGGTTCAAAAACATTATTAAGTATTCTACCACTGTATTTATTCACGTACGCGTGGGAGAGCTCAGTGGTGAATTTGATCATGCCGGCCTTGAGGGCGTCGAGGAGGATGCTGTCAGGTGCGTGGAATTTCTTAGGTGCGAAGTCATTAAGGGTGTTTTCTAGGGATGTGAGGTTATCAGTAAACTTGTGGTCGAAGTGATTGGTGCCATAAAGGTCAGTGAGCAAGTCTGTCAGGGCATCCCGTGAAGGTTTGAAGATGAAATGCAGAACCTTATAATCTTCTTGCATCTTAAGCTGTTGAATGAAGTAGCTAAAACAATTGTTAAGTTTTTCGGCGAGGTGGTGAAAGTCCTTTTCCTTTTTTTGTTTCCCAGAGGCTACTAGTTTTGGGACAAACACCTTCAGCGGATTAATGAATTTATTTTGTAATTTGGCTAAAAAACCTTTCAAACTGCTATTTACATTCATTTTAATAATTTCCTGGAGTTTCTCTTTTTGCTCTTCCACTATGGTTTGTAGCGCCTTTAAGTCCGCCTGCTTCTGCCTGGCGAACAGTTTTCGGGCTTGGGAAGTGAGTTCTTGGAACGTCCTCCTGACTCCATGAATGAGATTGTTTCTGAGAGATTCAACAGCTTTCTTGTTGTTATTATCAGCCTCAGACAACGCATGTTGGACGTCGTTAATGGCGTGACTTATTGTTTCATCAGCTTGGGAGACAGCTTCGGTAACATCAATTAGCATGTCTCTGATTTTATATTTCAATTTCTCCATGAGTACGTCGGTTTCGTTTCTCTTTTTAATAATCTCACCATCATTATTGCCATCGTTGTCCTTTGCTTTCTGAAGGTTATCAAGTTTATCAATAACTTCTGTCTGGATGTCTTTCAGCTTCTTTTGAATTGAGCCATCACGGTCCAGAGTTTTGCCTAGAAAAGTGCCAAGAGAGTCAATGTTTGACGTTACCTTCACCAGTGCGTCAGTAATGTGTTGTCCGTGGTCTCCTCTGCTCTCTTGAAATTCCTCTCCTATTTTCTCCACGCATTTTATAGCGTTATCAATTCTGTGTATTGTGGACTCTGCGGCAAATCGCTGGAGTTGCTCAGCCAACTTCTTAGCCGATAGAGCAACACAATTGAGAACATATGTTATGGCAGACTTGAGATGCTCATTGCTGGTCGTCTTCGGCGTCAACCCTACGGCCATCTCAATGGTCTCAACTGTCGATTCAACGTTTGGAACCATAAATTCTTTCTCGATATTTTGAGCGAATCGTCCAAATTTGTCAACGGAGTTTCCTACGGTTGCACTCTGAAGCTCGGCTGCTGAAGCAGCTTCTTGAATAACACCTTCGATATAACCTGGAAGCGCAGACTGAATGGCATCTTTCACACTCGTAAGTTTTTGTTCCTCTGGCAAAAGCGGATCCCGAAAATGACCTTTGTTGCCAACCTCCTTAACATACATCTGTAGCCAAAAGTCAATCATCCCGCTCATCGGTTTTTTATCCATAATCTCCGTGACCCACGTTTTTAAAACATTCTCGTTTAACTTCCCCTCGGAAAACCCCTTGGCAAAATTAACAACACCTTGTTTAATTGTACCAAGATGATTGGGTTTGCCATCACGTCCGGCCTCATCATAGAGCTCCCCAATAAACTTGATCATCTGCTTTTTAAGCAGGTCCCAATGGTGATATATGCTATTTCCCAAACTTTCTGTTCCAACACCATTTTGAATTGCCACAAAATGCTGCTTAGCGCTACCGACCAATTGCAACAGTTGCGCTTTTTTGGTGAACAATTTATCGTGAACTTCAATAACCTTATGTTTTATAGCATCAAACTTCCCAACGATTTCGCCTTTATACTCTCCGTCAACTTTGTCGACTAAATTCCTGGCTTCATCCAATGCGCTTTTGATGCCTCCAAAGTAAGATGTTTTACATTCAGTTAGTGCTCTGACACTTTTAAATATTCCCTGGACGCCGTCATACAGTTTTTCCCCTACCTTTAGGCATTGTTTCATAATTTCCTTCTCAACCTTTATCGCCTGCTTGACCAACTCCTTATCCACCTTATTTATACGTTCAGCCAATTCTTCATTTTCAGACGATTTCTGCAACACTTCCAATGCACTCTCTATTTTTCCTATCGGACTCTCTAACTTAATCTGAAGATTAGAGTCGACATCATTCAACGCACCTTTTGCGTTTCTCACATGTTGAGCATACGTCTCAACTTCCTTCCGCCACTGCTCATGTTGGTAGCCAATATTATGTTTCATAAGGTTATTATAATCATGCTTCTCAAACTCCTTATTAAAGTCATCAATGGCCTTAATAACCTGTTTATTGTAATCTTTTACTTCACCTTCATACCTCCCAAGCCAATCACCCACCGCAGTAACTTGCTTTCCAAATGCATCAGACCCCTCACCTATGGAAGATTTAAGAGTCTTAAGAAGTTGATCTAGTCTTTGATTCTCCGGAACAATATAACCATCATACTTTGTCACAGCATCATCCTCCTTAACACTCTCCAACACCCCGTGCAAGAACGCCATCACCCCATCACAGAGCCTGTCGAGGTCGGCGTACACGATGCCGGAGCCGTCGTAGCCTTTGGAATCAGAGTTGAAGCCTAGGAAGGTTTCTGCACCTTCAGTAAGCTTTTCTAAGATTTTTGTTGCAGGAATTTCATTTGCATCTTTAACCTCTTGTTTACCAATAAAAGCTTCAAGATCCTTTTGAAGAACCTTAAGCGTAGTCTGCCTGTCAGCAATATCCTTAAGTTGGGCATACCTAGCATCCTCAGTAAGATAATGGACATCATTATAATGTTTTTCTTTCTCAGATTTAAGCTTATTTAGATCATTTTCAAGTTTAACTAACTGAGATTCATTTTTAGATTTTCCGTTAGATTTTTCAGATTTTAATGATTCTTTAGCCTGGTCAATCTGAGCATCAAGAGACTGACAATGAGGATAACCAGAAGATTTAGAGCAAGAAAGTTGATCTTGCCTCTCATTAAGACTCTCCCTAGCATCCTTAATAGCCTCACCAATCAACTTTTGCAAAGCTTCAGCCAAGCTCTTAAGACCATGTTCACCATTCCCATGCTTAACCTGGATCAACCAGTCGATGGACTCCCGGAGGTTTTCCGGACAGTCCGTCAGCTTCTTAGGTTGGCGCACCATTTTAGCAACACCAACTTACGGGACAATTGTCGACGCCTAAGTTACAACACCCACCTAGCAATTCGAGGTTACATACCCCTGACCCCGCTGCTAAAATGCGATAGGCACTGGACGTTTGTCAGTTTTCCCGATGACACTAACTACATTAGGTAGACTTGTGCCTGATGATGGTTGTATTCACAATTTGTGCCAAAGTGATTATCCGCCTCGCCCACCTAATCCCAAACACCAGCATCCAGACAACCCAAAATCCTAATCCACTTCAGAGACGACTAGAAACTCCTAACTGCATCAAGATATTCAAAAGCACAAAGCAATCGCCGAACCCACTGCAACTGTTGAAATAATGTTCTCATCAAGTCCTTTCCCACTCTTATGAAATTTCAGTTACGCCCCACTACCACCCAGCTCCATCTATACTAGGAAGAAGGGCTTCCTGAAATGTGAATGAGATGAGTGACAGGAATCTTGTGAATAGAGGCATGTTATAGATAACCATCGTAAAAGGCGATGGAGAAATTGTTCCCTCTGCGGCACTCATGAGAAACGGAATATTCGATGCCTTATGTATGCGAAAGTGACATCAATATGGAGGACGCCGAGGTGTAACCATGAGGAGCAGCAGGGACGGACCGCGATGAAAAATGATTGTTTGAGTGAAGATTATAAAGCGGTAAGTGGATGACGATGATAACGATGGAGTGTAGAGGCCAAGATGGATGAGATCAAGGAACATATGCGAGCAGGTATCATAGTAACGAATCGACAAGATAATAACATCACCGTCGTGGAAACAGGAATATCCAATCAAAGCACCCTGGTGGAGATGGAGGCATACAAAAAAGGAGGCGAGAGGACCTGGTGAAGTAGCTTAGAGGAAAACGTTCAATCAGCACACAAGGAGCAAGGCAATGCCGTATGCAATGGGTGCCATGTAACCCAGAGAAGATTGACTGCCTCTCGCACCCAACGAGATGGATGACACCAGTACCGTTCGGCAACAGCACGTGATACCTGCAAACAACACCTATATTATGCAAGGCTTAGCACCTGCATACGGACTAAAAGTGTCCCATGGCACACGCAGCCACAAAGAGCACTAAACAAAGACAAGGGGAGCGAACATCGGGCCATGTCATACGTAGAAGCATACACTAAGTTGGCCGACACGAAATTTATCTAACTCATTTACTCGAACCACGTGTCTTATGAAAGAGGCCACTTTTGGCTATATCACGGGCTATGAAAAGCTTTAAAAATTACTTTACACGTGGTGGAACGGTTGATGTCGATATGCAAAGAACGCGGAGTGCATTGGCCACCACACAGGTTTTTGATATGCCTGAAGTGGTTGGTTTGTGAGTTTCAGCGATCGCAACCATCGCTCTCGATGCTCCGGTCCCATGAACTCCAGATCTATAACTCGTGCTCGTTCAACACAAAAATATGGTATTTCACGTTGCATCATTGCATCACTACCGCCGACTTTTATACGCAGGCGCCACCCCCAATGTAAGACTGTGGTGTCGATGTTTGTATGCTCCTTCTCGGCCCTCGATGGCTCAGAGTCCGTGGTACCGCAGCTGTACAGGTCGGCGTCTGTATCTGACATGTACTGTTGCTGATCCGCCTTACATTCGTCATCCAAGGAATTAACTGCGGCAACGTCTGCCATGTCAACCATGCCGACTGGTTGAAGAGCGGAGTCATCCCTGAACATGAGCAAGACATTTCCAAATATCGCCAATCGTTTGCGCAGTGTTCCTCCAATCCACACATAATTGTCTGGCCCTACACGTCCTTCCATCTCCCGGTGAATGTAATGCGATAGATCTATAGGTGGGTACCTTTTGCTGGTGACACCTCTTTGGTTCGACAGCATCGGGGCCCAAAAGTCATCTAAGCAATCCATGGGTTCATTTGGGTTAACAACATTCCCCATTTTGATTTTCTCTACCATCTCGAACAGCTTGTTGATGTGATAATTGTTGTTATGCACATCCGCCATGCCTAGATTTAGGCTACAGAAGCTGTCCCACAGGGCGAGAGCGTTAAAGACGGTCTGTTCTGCATCGAAGTTTCCACATGCCACTGCGTCTCCAAACCTTGCGATAATTCTAGCAAACAGTTCAACGCACAGAGCGTCACGAACGCGTTTGTTACACCCACTTACAACATTCCCAACGTCGCCGCCAGGTCCCACACGCAGTCTGTCCTCCGAATACAGCAATTCCCACCATAGCTTCTTTCCACTCCTCTTCTTCATATGTTGTAAGACCGGTTCAGCTATCCGATCTACAAATGCAATTACCTGTTTGTGGAATATGTTGTTGATGCGTTTAAGTGTACCAACGTAAACGAGTATCCCCTCACCCCAATCCAGCCGTTTTAGCGGTGGCTCATTTGGTGTGCTGTCCCCCTTTAACAAGAGTTCACCATGTCTTCGGAAGGCCCTAATGAGCCCGGGATCCGCACGAGGCCCAAGCAAATCAACCGCCCACGCTGTGTAGCCGAAGTCGGTCTCATGCAGCAGCTCCACCAATCCATTCAGCATTTCCAGATGTGCTGCTGCAGCCGTGATGTTCCTTGGAGCAGGCAACGCCTCGATTTGGCGAACGAAACACTCGAAGAGTACGGTGTTAGAAACTGCCACTATAGCAGCAACAAAGGCGTCAATCCAAGAGTTCTTTGACTCTCCGACAACCTTCTTGAACACGATGTAATCATCCAGCTGTTCACTCGGGTCCTCCATGCCGCCCATAAGTTGCTCCCACATATCTCCTGCTCCATGCCGCAAACCGAACACTCGCGATATGTCGCGGAAGATATGCGCATCCAGAGTGCCGTGCTGCCCTGAAACGGTGCTCACCCTGTTGAGTGCATCTCTGAGCTCATACAGCCTAGCTTCGCCAGTTGCCACTTTTGCTTTCCCATCGCAGAGAAATGGCAACTTGTTTTTGAGCCACTCTAAATCAGTCCGTATCCACCATGCGTCCTGGCAGGCGAACCGTATCAGCTGTTGCATTATCCATACGATTTCGTTTCGTAATCGCATGTGCCGCACACCGTTGCTGGCGAGTATATGCTCCATGTTGACGAAGAAGCAACGCAGCCTTATGCAGTCAAAGATATCGAACGTGCAAACTCGTTTTAGGACTCCGTAGTAGAGGTCAAGTACCTCGTCCATGTAGCACCTGCAAAATAGCTCGACATTGTGTGACGCGAATCGGCTGCTGTCCGGCAGCCGCTCCAGCAGCTCGGCACCAATAGGGACATTGCGGCCTTCTACTATGTCCAGCAGCGACTCCCTCGGCAACCTGCTAACGTTTTCCAGCGATGTGACGATTGGCCTTTCACCTTTCGGCCCATCATCGCTCGAGCGGTTGCCAACCTGTGTGCTTCCATCCTGGTCGAGGTATGCAGGGCATCGCTTCAGTAGCGCAGCTCCCCTCTTCAGATGGAGATGCAACACCCTTAAGAACGCCGGAGCGGGTACTTCAACTTGCGCGAATGTCTTCCGGAAATGTCGCAGACGCCGAGATCCAGTTTTGCCTTGGAAGCCCATGATGCCGGCACCCATCTGTAGGTGCCGGTGATGGGATCCCTGCGGTGTCTCCGCGGAGCTTCCGAGCGCAACGGCAAGGTCGCACAGCGACTCCTCCAGAAGGTCGAGGTCGCGTACGGCGCAGTCCAACGCCGCCGCCAACTCGGTAGGATCCATGGCGTCGGCGGCCGTCTCAACTGGCTAACAGTGCGGGTTGCGGCGCCAGCTTACACCGCAGCCGCGATGCGTAATTATTGCATTTTACGGTGGTATGAAATTAGTGTGCAGGATGCCACGGTCCTAACGACTGGGGTGACGCGCTCACGGCGGACTGGCGATGACCCGTCGGAAGTGGTAGGTGCCTCTGTCGTCCACAAAGGCAACAATATGTCGACACTCATCGCATCGCGCGACGTGACCGCCCTCCGACGGCGCTTTGTCGTCGGCGCGACGCTTGTTGCTGAGCGAGTCGTCTACGGCAACCTCGCTGACGGTGGAATCGCCATCCGCAGCGCCAGATTCCACAGACACATTTACCGCCTCACTGGATTCGAAGTTGCCAGAGGCGTTTCTGCAGGCATATGACACCGACAGCTGCCGCGGTCGCTTACATCCTACACTTGTAGCATATAGGGGTGAAACACCCAGGGCAGCAAAGCACGCCGTCAGAAGTACCCTCCTCGAGACCTGGGCTGCGAGTCAGCCAATTGTAGTCGAGGAGGTCACTCACCGAATGTGTCGCGCACGAACGCCTCGTCGGCGTCGTCCTGGTCGGAGGCGTAAAATTCCTCCCCGGCAGGTTCCTGCCGGCAGTCTGTGTCAGCGCGTGGCTCTGCGAGCGCGATGTGTAATTTGGTTGCGGGAGCGTACGGCGCGTCGTTGATGGGTGGCCGGAGCCGCTGAGGCCGGGTCACATACCTGGTCGTACTGTCTGTCCAATTTGATACTTGGCTCTAAAATAGCCAGTATCACGATTCATTGTGTAATCAGTTCCTCCCGTTTTTGGTTGAGGTGTAAGCGGCCCTCCGACCGCCGTGGGGGGACGCGTATTGTCGGTTCCCACAGAGTCTCCGCGGCCTTGCTCACTCAATTCTGCGCATCCAAATATCGGACTGCAATTTTGGTGGTTGTATAATCGCCAACTCAGCCTTTCCGGATCTGCAACATATCTGTCTGCCACCATGCCCTTCAAGCGCAGGAACGGAGGCCGCTCCAAGCACGCGCGCGGACGCGTACGTCCCATTCGCTGCAGCAACTGCGGCCGCTCGGTGCCGAAGGACAAGGCCATCAAGCGTTTCAACGTCCGTAACATCGTGGACGCCAGCTCTCAGCGTGACATCAAGGAGGCTTGCGCCTTCTCCAGTAAGTTTTCATATCCGCGCGTTTCTAACGTCGTAGTTTCGCTCGTTGGTGTTTCGTACTAGTGTGTTATGCCTTATATGGATTTAATTTATGCGAGTGATGTTTCTATGTCCGGCTAATGGCTTTGCAGCTTTCAACTTGCCCAAGTTGTACATCAAGCAGTGCTACTGCGTGTCATGTGCCATCCACTCCCGCGTGGTGCGCGTGAGGTCCGCCGAGGCTCGCAAGATCAGGACCTACGTCCAGCCCAGGAGCGCACACATCAGGATCAACATGCCCCAGACCAAGGACAACTGAGGTCACGGTACGCATAGTACCCTCGAGTTGCTATCGAAACAACCTGAGTCAATGTTGAAACTCCTAAGACGAATGCATCGTGGCGGATGGACGCCGTAATACATGCCGTATATCGGCTGTGTTGGCACAAAGTGCGACATCAAGGTAGTGGCGTGTGCTGTGCTAACGTACCGAAGTTTGTGCGGTGGCTGTCCTTTGGAACCATGCCTTCAGGGCATTTACGCTGTAGACACTCGGTCCTGAAGCGTAGTGTTACTTGCGGTATCTGTGACTCACCAGCATGCTGCCGAGGGGTCCGTATAGTAGTCCGGGTCGAGCAGGCTGCACAGCGGGTATCCTGCAGTGGGTTGTTTTGCATGGTAGTTTGAACGAACCGTGCGGAGCAGCCGGGGTGCTTATACACATGTACCGTTGCTTTCCGTTGCCACAGTCTGCGCTTGTTAAGCGGCTTGGTTGGATGGCTCACCGCTACGAATTGGACCGACGTCATCCACGCGCATCACTGCAGCATGGTTATGCAGTAGTGTTAGTCAAACCTACGTATAGTGCCGGGAATAGCCGCCCGCTGGTTGCATACCCCTTCACATGTCTGCGAATATGTGTTGACGCTCGTAATAGCAGCTTAAACGGTAACCGCGGCTACACATACCGCCAGACAGTGCTGTCCGATTCCCAGAGAACGAGGGCTCAGCTGCGAGCAGCGACGGAATTCGTCTTTTACATTATCCGCTAACGATGCATATATAACTAGGTGTAGTAGAAGCGACCACATCGCAGAATGACTGCGGCGTGAACGACACCGTCGCCCCTGGGCCTTCCACACATTGTGCTGCGGCTGTGCTGACGCGCACCGCTGTGTTGCAAATTTTCACGATTTTTCAATAAAATGAAGAAGAATGCGCCTTGGGTCGAGAAGTACCGTCCAGCTAAGCTGGCGGACGTTGTCTTCCAGACCCATGCCGTGGCGACTATGCAGCAGATTGTCGAGACCTTTAACGTGAGTTGATGCCGCACCGGTGGTTTCATATCGTCTCAGATGCCACATATGATCTTCCATGGGCCTCCTGGAACGGGGAAGACATCGGCTGCACTGGCCATGGCACGTCAGATCTACGGGTAAGCCAAACGACGAGTGCCGTTGACAACTACTCAGCGCCGAAGGAATGAAGGAGCGAGTTCTGGAGCTAAATGCGTCGGATGAGCGCGGTGCGTATACGACTGTTTTTTGTAGATAGGTGTGGCTCAGGCATCAACGTTGTCCGGGAGCGGATTAAGACATACACCCGCCTGAACATTTCACACAATCGCATTAACCAAGAGACGGGCAGGTAGGCCCATAAGGGACCGTATAGTGACGTTTTTACAGGGTGATGCCTAACTTCAAGATCATCATCTTGGATGAAGCTGACATGATCACCCCGGATGCGCAAGCTGCGCTGAGGCGTGTTATCGAGAACTTCTCAAACATATCGCGGTTCATACTGATATGCAACTACCTCCACAAGATCATTGGACCTATTTACAGCCGTTGCTCGGCTTTCCACTTCAAGCCCATCGTACAAGAGGCTCAAGTGGAGCGCCTCAGGTTCATCTGCCAATCTGAGCAGCTGGAGTGCGACGATGATGCGCTAGACTTCCTCACGCGCGTATCGCAGGGTGACATGCGTCGCAGTGTGACACTGCTTCAGGTATGATAAGTGCGTGATACGTTCGGTTTCATCGGCGTCCAGTCAACGGCAAGTCTCTACAGCAAGGTCACGGAGGACGCAGTTCGCAATGTATCCGGCTATCCGCCACGCCACATCGTAGAAGACATCTTTACGGCGTGTATGTCGCCAAACAACGAGGTTTGAGTGATGTACGCGTGGCTTACGGCGCACAGGTGGAGGCCATCTGCAAGCAGGTAGTACACGACGGCTGGGAAGTAGCAGCAATCTTCCAACAGGTACAACTATATTTTTGTTACGTATATTTTCGCCACAGCTTGCCGAATATGTTGTGAATTGCGAGACTCTGAGCGATGTCCAAAAGGCCATGATCACGATCGAGTTGTCGGGCAGAGATTTTGCGCTTCTGCAAGGTCGGTGTGTCTCACACTTTTTAACACACATACAGGCGGTCTACAATACTTTCAGCTAGCCTCCATCTGCTTCCATATCCGATCCGTCATTGCCAGCGGCGGTCAGCGCGCGTCCGCTTGACTCGTTACAACCATGTGCCATTATGACTAATGTTAACGCGAAGCTCTTGATAAATAGGTTCGACAGCGACCCTTCGGTCAAGGGTGAGCTTTTACGGCGGCCGCTTCCACATGTTTGCAGAGGTTGAGCTCGGTCACAAAGAGACCATCGCCGCTGTCAAGGAACGTCTGTTCTCCGAGGATATCAGCAACCGTAGGTCCAGCTTTGCGTTTTGCGTACAGTTGCAGATCATAAGATACGCATTATCCATGCCGGCCGCCCGCTCTGCGACAGCGCGGTGCTCAGCGGCCTGCGGGGTTACGAAGCCGGCGAGCCGCTGGTACTGACGGTGTTCGTCACCAAGCCGGACACCATCGAACCCGTGGCTGATTCAGGTGTGTTGGCTGCTGCCCATAACCCAAACAGTGTACAGCCCCGAGGCGCGACCTGTGGAAATGGAGCACGTCCGCATGGATTATGGTCGTGGCGACGCTATGGTGCTACAAATTTAAGCTTGCGGACTCATTTAGGAGGTTCCCAGTGTTTGTGCTCTATGTCGCAACATTCTTATGTTTGCACATGATTTTTACGCGCATTATCAGCGGGCGCCGAGCGAGCTCACCCTGACTCCCCGCCCTAGGCGAAGGCACGCAAAAATGCACCGAGCCGCGAACGATTGATTTCCTGGGCATACAGGCTCACCTGCGCAAGATATAGCGTTGTAAGATACACACATACCTCTTTGTTGACCTCGTCGATGAAGGCTTCACCCTCTTTGGCCATTGCGCCCACAGTGCCTGGGACGCTGGGGACATAATAACCAAACCTGAATAATTTGAAAGGAACCACATTGCGCGTACCTGTGGTTGAATGTGTCGAACAGCTTCTGAGCGCGCTGCAGCTGCTCCTCGGAGAGGCGCGTTAGGTCCATGCCGTTGCCGTCCTGGCACTGCTTGGCCAGGGCGCCGACCTCCGCAGCCTCGGCTTCTCCGATGCTGAATGCGTCCAAGAATTCCTTCTCGCGCGCTTCGAATGCGGCGGTGCAACGTTTAACAATTTCCGAAGGTTTGTCCTGGGAATAGAATGAACATTGCCAGAGCACAACATACGCTGCGGAAGGACGCCAGCCCGTCGTTGAAGAAGGTGGAAACAGGGTCGCGTTTTACGGTTTCACCTGCAACTTCTGCAATGGCGGCAGTGATTGCGGCGTCCTGAAGCTTGGAGTTATTAGTGAAAGTCTCGCGGAAAACTGCCATAAGCTCGTCGATCATGATCTTCTGTACCGAGCGGGCCATGGCGTTCTCCTGCAAGAGCATGCTCTGCAGCCGTTCATTCATGGAACGCGCCGACTCGCTCTTCATGTGTTGCAAGAGTGCGATTCTGTACTCCTTCATGCGGTTGGCAACCTCTTCCTTGAATTTGTCGACGTAGTCCGCGCACCTCGAGGTGTCCATGTATTCTGGTCGAGTGTTATCTATTAGGCTGGCAAAAACTAACTGGTCAATTGCTTGTAGATCGCTTCCTCACAGTAATCCTTTTCCTCTTTCGCCTTGTCTATGAGGGCGTTCTCTTCCTTCCAGGCCATTTCCTTCAAAGTTTTCCTGAAAGACATGAGGAGTGGCAGTTGAGCACCCACTGGAAGTATGCTGCCAGCATGTAGAAAACGGCTCCGAATGGCAGCGTCTTTGCGAAGAACCACGCATTTCCCAACACAGCGTTACTCAATCCGAACCAGCATCCCAGGAAAATGAGGCCATAGCTCGAGATCATGTTTTGTGGTTTCTTAAGTTTCAGCTCGATGAGTTCCTCAGGGTTGGCAGCCCTTTGCCTAATGCAGTAAGCGTAGCAATCTTCTTCCGTAAGGTCGAACGTCACCGCCAGCTCGGGGTAGTGGAAGCGGTAGTCATCGGGGAACCCCAACTTGATGGCATCGATCTCACCCTCCGAGTAACCATTGCGCCACATACAATCCAGAAGCTCAGCCTTCGTAACGTACACGTCCTTCTCCACAACAAGCCCGTTCTCGCACCTGCATAGCGACGTTGAGTTGCAAACATACAAATGATGGCATGCGCTAACAGCACCAAACAAAGCGAATAAGGAATACACATTCACAATCAGCACATGCATTTGACAGTAATCGGTGTACAACGATGTTTAAAGCGGTAATAATGTACAATACAGCAAATGACGTAGTCAATTAGAGAAGCCATATCACTGCTGAACAAGCCAACAACCATTAGATACCGACAACGAAACTATCCATATAATGCGATGGATGGCTATATATACACACAACAAGCAGTTTCTACCGAAACACCATTTGAGGAACACTTCAAATCCACGCAGATATCACACACCACGCATTGCATACGGACATGACTTACCGCTTCGCAAACTCAACGAACGCCTCTTTGCGGTTTTGAGCCTTCGTGAGCAGCTTTAGGAACTTCAGGAAGACGGGCAGCTCCTTGGAAAATGCGTAGAGGTCTTCCCGGGAGGGCTGGGCGAGGAAGATGTCGTCATAAGTGCTGTCTGCAGTCCACGGCTTTGTGATACGATACTTCGTGTACTGGTTGCGCACTGGCATCCAATCCCGGCCTAAATTTACATACGAGCGTATGGCGCCACTGTGGCGGCAGAGCGCGGAGGTAGCGGCGCCATTCGCGCCGATTCTCGCCGCCGACCCGGTGGTCGCGAGACCACCGAAGCTCCTTTCGCAGTGGGTTCTGGCGATTGAGGAGGCCCTCAATAGCCGCGACCTGCGTATGGCGCCTGTAACCTTCATCCGGACCAGAATAAGTGACCGATTACGCTCGCAGCTGCCGATGTGTAACCCGATGGGGGCGTGGCAAGGCCATCTACAGAGCCTCTGTGCCCACTACGCAGCGCCCAGTTGCAAAAATGTGGAAGAATCAACTGTACAAGACTATGTAACGGAGGATGGCTCCGTCTAATAGGCTATACTCGGTATGGTTGGGGGCGAATCTCGGTCGCTTCCTCCACGGTGTATCTGTGAGACGTTACACCCCTTTATCGCATGGAAGACATGAGTTTGCGGTCACATACAGGGATGTGTCGAACCATTTTTCGGTATTTTCAACAAGACGGCGCCTGAGTACGGCTTCGACGTCCGATGATGCAGCTCCGGCTGAGCTGCTGCATATGACAGACAGGTCATGCAGGGACCAGGCTGAACTGCTTCGACGCGTCAAGGCAGCGTTTGACTCACATACAGCCAGTATTGTCTGTTGGCTGAGGACTAACAAACAAAGTTACATGCGAGATGTCGATCCCTCCACCGTTGACCTACTTCGCAACGCCGAGAGGTTCGCTGCGTTGCATGGATTACTTTTGTGTGATGTATCGCCACAGGACCTGCAGGAGCACGTGCGCAGTGCGTCATGCCTCAGAGACCTGTTTTCACCCAAGTTCATCGAGGCGCAAAAGGCTGCCCTCTATCGGCACCAGCACCTCCCGCTTCTCAAGCATCCTCCCGTCGACCGCTTAGAGGAGCCCCAGGGGTATGCGCTAAGTGACACCAACAAACAATCTCTGGGCGCAAGTGATAAGGTGGAAAGTTCCGCGGAGAGTGATGACGCTCGGGCGGATTGCGTGGGCCCAAACTACGTGAACTACAAGCGGCAGGTTCTCATCGAACGCCAAAGTTTTGCTGAGGCTTTGGAAACGGCACGTGTGGAAGCGTCTAGCCTTATGGAGCTGGAAAAGCCGTCCCAACTGCCCGCTCTTAGCCAAACATGCGAGCAGTGGGTGCAGGATATAGCGGAGTTCATAAAGCTGGACAGGCTCAAGCTGACCGACTCGGTGTTGCCGTCGAACCTAGACGATCAAACGCTTGCCCGAGCTACGGTGAACATTGCTCTTCAGTTGATGTGCTTTCCTGCGTACGCGTATAACTCTAAAGGGCAGCGGGGTGGTCTGTTGCGTCGTCGGCCGCAGCAGACCGCTGGAAACCAGGTTCTTCTAGCCCATGCGGCAATTCGGCTGGGCGACGAAATAGGCCGTATGTACGCCCGAAAGCTTGCATCTAGTAAGCCAACGGAAGCGAATGCCAAACCGGAACCCAAGCTCGACGTACCTCGGAGTTCTGAAACGGCAGTTACCACCCATGCCAGCGCCTCCGACGTCGCTCCAGGAGGTCTAACCCGTGGTTTTGGTACTGTTTTTGACATTCCGAAGCTTGTAACTGCGGGTTTAAGCTCGCTTACGGCATCAGCATTTTCAGGTGCATCGAAGGCGCGTGTCATGTCCAACACTGCCACTGGTGTTATGGAGCCCACTCCTCAGCTGCATAGTGACGGTACCCTCACCGACGATCAGAAGCAGTGGAACAGCAAGCAGAGCGCCGCAGTCGGAGGTTACCTGTTGCACGCACTCGTACAATCATGTTATGTCCAGGTGGATTTGACCACTGCATTACGCCAGACGAACTCGTTCGCCGAACTTGATACGTCGATGTTGCTTCCGAACGTCCATAATTCCGAATCGGATCACACTACCATGGCTAAAAAGAAGCGTAAATGGCTGAACAAGGCGATCAGCCGCATTCGCCAGTCACGGTTCGACGCCGGCAAGGTGGAGATCGCCGCATTCGCCCACAAGGTCCACCGTCATGGCGTGAAAGTCTATGGAGTTTTGGAAATGCGGGAGTGTTGTATGATCCACTTGCGAGATGCTGTGGCTCGGGGTTTGGTGAATCTGAGCTGCCTGCCCATGGTCTGCGAGCCCAAGCCGTGGACGTCGGTGTCCTCTGGGGGTCTCGCGCTTCTAAAGCATTACTTCATCCGCACGCAAAGCAGGCCCACTTTCGACGTGAGAGTGTACGATCTTTCCAGGGTGCTAAATGTAGTAAGCAATTTTGGCCGCGTTCCGTGGAAGGTCAACGGGGATGTGTTCAAGGTGCTCCGGACCCTGTGGACGACGGACACGTTGCTGCCTGTGCGTTCATTTTTACCCGACAAGTCTCTCATTGAGAACGAATCGGAAACCGCTGTCAGCACCATGGAGCGCGCAAATGCGTTGTCAGAGTGCTCACTTTTCGAGAGAAGGCTGCGGGTGGCAGAAGACTTTCTCCTGGAGCCGCGTATATACTTCCCGCAGAACATCGACTTCAGGGGGCGGATGTACCCTCTATCGCCTCACCTCAACCACATGGCGGACGACGTGTGCCGTGCGTTGCTGAAGTTTGCCGAGAAGCGGCCTTTGGGGGAGCGTGGTTTCTACTGGCTGAAGGTCCACCTGAGCAACCTGTATGGTATGGACAAGATACCGTTCTCTGAGCGTGTGGAGTGGGTTGAACGCAACACCGCCGTCATCCAACAACTGGTGCGGGCTCCGTTTTCGGATGTCTCACAGTCCTTCTGGCAGCGCGCCGAGTGCCCATTCCAGTTCTACGCCACGGCTATCGACTACGTGGCCGCCCTGGGATCGGGTGACCCACACGGTCACATGAGCGACGTTCCCATTCACCAGGACGGCAGCTGCAACGGATTGCAGCACTACGCCGCGCTCGGCAGGGATTTGAACGGCGGAGCCGCCGTCAACCTCACCCCCAGTGATCGGCCGCAGGACGTGTACCATCAAGTGCTTCTGGAGGTTATCGCCAAGGTACGTGCGGACTACCCGTCCGCACCAGCTGGTCCAAACGATCCATTCAACTCTAAAGCGCGCATGGCAAGATTGTGTTTGGAGCACGGGATCTTACGTCGTAAGATTGTGAAGCAGACGGTCATGACCATCTGCTATGGAGTGACCCGAACGGGTGCCGTTGCGCAAATCGAGGCGCGATTGAAAGAGCTGACGACTCTGGAGTCCCTGGAGCCGCATACGGTGCACAATTTGGCCGCGTACATAGCGAGCAAGGTCTTGGGTTCTATAAACACAGTGTTTGCGGAGGCTATGGCTATCAAGAAGTGGTTGGACGACATTTCCGCGGCTCACAACAGGCTTAACGTTCCTGTAACGTGGATAAGTCCCATAGGGTTACCATGTGAGCAACCGTATTGCAAGGCTGTGACCAAGGTGGTGCGTACGCCAATTCAAGCCATCAACGTGTCGGAGCAGGCGCATAGCGTAGTTGACAAGCGCCGCCAGAAGTTGGCGTTCCCGCCCAATTTCGTCCACTCATTGGACGCATCGCACCTTATGTTAACGGCCGAATCGCTGCTCAAGAACGGGCTGAGCTTCGCGGCGGTGCACGACAGCTACTGGACCCACGCTTGCGACGTCGACGTGATGAACGTCGCCATCCGCGAGCAGTTCGTCAACATGTACCGCGAGCCCATCCTGGAGAACCTGTACCACAGCTGCATCAAGCGGCTGCGAGGGGAGGTAGTCATTCCGCCTCCGCCGAGGCGCGGTCAGCTGGACCTAGACATGGTGCGCCAATCTGCGTACTTCTTCCACTAGTCCCACATTCGGCAACAGTTATCGTAACGATGTCTATATATGTATTGTGCACCTCTTTTTCGCCGCGCTGTCTAGTGGTGGTGTCTAAGTGTGCTGTTGGTTCGTTCGTGGTATTGTTAGTGCTGCATTTTGCGAGACCATTTAACGTCTATGGCGCCTGCCGGCGCCATATAGGATCACCAATATTGACTGGCTACGTACAATCGTAGTCGCATGCAATTCTGCGGGTGGTTTGGGGAGCCACGCAGCTGGGGATGCACCGGTGAATCTGCCATGGTGCGCGACGATTTTCGGCACATCAGTCCGCATTTGTCAGTAAGGGAGTCATAAATATGTACGATGGCGCGAAACGTGCGTGGAATCTGTATAATATCACTATGGGCTCTTGTCTTCCACCTAGGTGCCGTTTCGGCCCTGGTGAAAACTCGGCCCGAGCAGCACCATGTGACCAGCGGCGCCGACCACTCCAGTGCCGCGATCCTCGTCGGTGATTCGGGAGGCCAGGAACACGATGGCTCCGCGGACCAAAGCGCAGAAAAGCCGAAAAGCTCCGGCAAGACGATGCTCAAGAACCACACCAAGATGCGAAACCACCTCGTGAGTGAGAACCTGACAGGCATGAAGGTGGTAAGCCACACCTGCTAATTCGCCACACGCTTTCAGATAGAAGGATTCTGCATCGACGGGATGCACTGCTGGCCGATTAAGGTGTTCGCCATCACCATGATGGTGGTTCACATAATATGCTGCTTTGCGGCGTTATACGTGTCTGCTAGCCTGTATTCCAGCGTAAGTAGGAGTGACTAGACACGGTTCCGCGGCTATACACGCGCTCACCTGTGTTCAGGGTTTGTACAGCAGCACCTTTTACAAGAACGGCGGTGCCGCTATGCTCGGCATGGCAGTGGTCGGTGCGTGCGTGGGCGTCGCGACGTCCCTATTCTTTGGCTTCTGTTCCATGAACACCATGGCGTTCGTAGGACCAATGATGTCCCTGTTCGTCGCTGCAGTGCTGATGGGAAAACGGTACGTTAAACGGTGTGAACCAAGATGGCCACGCAGCGGCGTCCTGCTCGGATCATTCGGAGGTCTCTGCGCAGGGCTACCAATAGGGAGCACCATGCAGAGCCATGAGGTCGGCTTGTCACGTAAGTGCGCTCTGCTTATGCAGTTCTCTGACGCCGTTACGCAGTCGGCGCCATCATCGGTCTGCTGATCGGCGGCATTGTGGGCTTATGCCCCTTCTTCCGCTCCCTAGACATGAACCAGCGCTACATAAACAAGGAGAACGAGTACGAGAGGTATGTTGCTGAGTCGGAATCGCCCACGCATGTGATCTTCAGTATGCCTGAACTTGGATCGTTCTCCAGCGATGGATACCACGGACATCATAGGATGATGCACATCCACGCCTCTGAATACAGGTAGTCAAATATGCACGCCTTAAGCATAGCCCTCTAACATTGTACAAAATAATCGTTGTGCGCGTGGCACGCCTGCACCTGTGTGGCCAAATGACCGTTGCGGCACGCGCCGAGCGTCGCTGTTGCTACACATCGATAGAATTGCGATGGACCTGTTAGACTTCATCGCATCGCGCGATGTGCTAAAGGGCGACAAGGCTGTGTCGGAGTCCGCTCAGGCCTCGCCTTACCGGGACTACGAAACACGTTGGAAGGAGCTCAAGCGCGTCATCCGCGCCGAGAACGCGAAAAAGAAGCCGTGCAGCGTCACGTTAAAACGTGCGACTGACGAGCTTCGGGATATCAGGCGCCATCTATTGCGTGAGGACGCCCGCCAAAGTGGCAGGCCGCAGCCGGTTTCGTGTCTGGGAAATACTGCACAGCGTATCAACCCCGCGGAATACACGGACTGGTCGGAAGCACCGCGAATCCGTCAGAGAAATCGCAACAGCCGCCGTTTCGTGTTCTACATGCCCGCAGGCAAGGAGATGGGCACCGACGTAACGATTGGCCGCGAACGCCTAGAGAAAATACAAGAAACCGTGAACAAGCGCTCATACGGGTATGTTTGCAGCACTTACTCTTGACAACATGCAGACCGCTTGAAAACGGCCCCAAGATGTCGATTGCCGGGATCCCGCAGCCCATGGACCGGATGAACCGCCGGAGGCGGTGATCGATGCATGTGTACCATAAATGAAGCAAGCACCCAAAGAACAAATACGTTGCAAAAAGCATGTACAAAAGTGAATATTACTGGTAGTGAAGGTATTTGTCGTGCTGTTCCTGCGTAATTTTGCCAGTCCACAGCAGCCTCTTGAGGTGCAGCCGGTACATCACGGACGGCCTGAAGGGCTCGCTCGTATACCTCGGGTGGTGCGCCGACAGTCCGATGAACAGCCCGAGGGCCAGTCCGAATGTCCCGTAAAGCCGCAGAAACCTAACGCGGTCCTTCGCAATAGGCAGCTTGAATAACCAGTGAGCCGGGACGACCATGGTGACGTGCTGCGACGATGTGAGTGGGAGTCGCGTCAGATTGAAATCTACTCCATTATCAAACCTCACGCGGCGGTGAAACAACGCCGATTGGAATCACAAACAATCATCACGTACGCGTAGCCACCGTCGAGCGGTGCCGCCACTCACCTCAGCGCCACCACGTCGCGGCCTTGGGTTGGTGGTATCTAAGAAAAAAGTGCCGTTTGTCTGTGGGTCAAACGTGTCTATGTCGCGCTATTTGTGTCAACACACTGCCGGGAGCGACTGACGCCCCCATGCGGTGCGATATTGAGACGCGTGACGAGCAACTAGGTGGAGCACAGCGCGTTTTTATAGCGTGCGGAATATATTTTAGGCAGTTAAGCTGTTGTTTGCATCGGGGGTGTCCTACGACATCAAGTCGGTCACCGTCGCGGGGGCCCACTAGTCTCACCACCGACACCTCCCGCTAAAACGCACCCGACGCGGCGCGAGCGTCAGCTGCGTATTGCGTTATTTATAATTTGCTATTTGGCGTCGCTTGTGTTGCCTAGCTTCTACCGGTGTTTGCCTTCGTCCAAATCCCGGAAGCACACCGATTATCTGCATGCCTGCGTTGGACAGCGTCTTAAGTTGAGGGAACTGTTGTCAGCTACCCGCTAGATCGCTAACGTGCGGCCGCCCATCGTCCGGTTCACGTAGATTGGTGCCGCAACATATCCGGATGCTTGTTATGCGCCGTAAGTGGCACAGGCGATCTGTAGTCATCTTGCGTTGAACACTTTGAGGAGGCTGGCGCGAACTCTGCGACCGGTGGGTGACACACAGTCTGATACCCAACTTCCCCGCTTGCAAGCAAACCTCAGCCTCGCTGGGGCTGTAATGCACTTGGTTTCCGCGTTGCGCGAAACTCTACGTATACGTTGCGTTTGACAAGGGAACAAGTTAACGAAAGCTCACGATGGACGCGCCGAATCCCAACTCTGCCTCTCTGCAGAAGATGTACCGAGGCGACAGCGCCACCCTAAGTCTTTCGTACGTTAAGGACAAGAGGTCAGTGGAGGGCCTTGCAGACTTCCTGCGCAGAGCAGATGTGCGGGTCGTTAACATTATCGATCCTGAGCACCCCACGATATTCGTGCGCATATTGGAGGAACTTGCGTTAGTCAGTAACGCGCTTCAGGTACTGCACATTGACCTCTGGTCGAACGGCGATCCGGAGCTGATTGGCCTCATTGGCCGCGCGCTGAAGGCGCACGGCGATACCCTACTCGAGGTGTCATTGAAGTGCCGCTTCGGCTCCAAGTTCCTGGCGCAGCTACTGCCGGCGATACCCACCTGCGTCGAGGTTTTGGACCTTTCGGAGAACATCTTATCTGACGGCGCCTTCCTGCCGCCGTTGGTGGATTTCGTGAAGTGCAGTGATATCCGCATACTAAAGCTCACCAACTGCTCCCTCCGCGGCCAGGCGCTCGACCAGCTGGTTGCGAGCATCACTTCCAACCTGTGCCCGATATCGCTGGGCGCTATAGAGGGCGTCGATCTGACGGCTTGTGAGGAAATCCCGAAGAATGTGCGGGCCGTGTTGCGCGACCCCCCGACCAAGACACGTAAGGACCACATGGGTTATTCCGATCTAGGCACGCAGCCGCAGCGAGACTCGAACGTTCAGTTCCTCGACTACATCAAGAGCACGCTTCTTATGAATCGCCTTGTTGGCTGCCGGGTGCGCGTGTGGTGGCCAGCCACCTCAGACGAAAAGCGCAGTGCCTTCTCCGGGCGTTTCTGGCCTGCGAAGGTGCTGCGGGTGAACCCCATAGACATGATATTTGTGGTGGAGTACGACAACCAGGAGGTGGACCGCGTGCCGTGCAGGCTTATCCAACCGGAGTCCGCATTTATTTATGGTGGTGGCCTGAATCAGAACTTCTTGCGGTCGATTTTTGGAGTCAATTACTTCGACCATCTCTCAAGGGAGCTGAATTTGAGACCCAGAGAAGTGCAGATCATCGGCGCCAACCCGTCTGCTGTGCAGAAGCCGGATTCCATATCATCGATGATACAGTCGGGAGTCGATCCCTTGACGTCTTTGTGTACCGACGTGGATAACCCTGTAAGCCTTAATCTCAGCGTGGGGCCCTGCGACACCCCGTATTATTCTGGACCCACGTCGTCGACAAGCTGGCCTCTGCAGATGGAGGGCGCGGTTAGTTCCACTGGAGACTCTGTCAGCAAGAACGGTAAGTTGTTTTCGATGCCATCGAAGGCCATGCTTTGCAGACGGTGGAGCACCCGCTCCGGTCTTGTCGGGCGACCAGATGTACCACACGCCCATCTCCACCCTGGGTCAGCAGGCAACCGAAAAACGAGCGCCCTTGGAGGACACTGATCACTACAGTATCCTCGCGCGCGTAACCAAGGCTATGAAGTCAGAGAGCCACAATACTCTGGATGCCGCGTTCAAAACACCCGAGCAGGGGAATGCCCCAAGCAATGTTGTAGCGGAGACTCCGGAAAAATCAGAGCGCAATGCGCCAGCGTCAACGCCCGTTGCCAGCACCGGCACCAAGACCCCAGCAGCGACCAAGAAGGTAACCCAGGGCGAGGCCGGTCTTCTGCCGAGCAAGGAGCACGACTTCATCCGCAAGATGCTTGACGAGCTGACTGAGGCCAATAACCGCCGTGGCACCGACGTCATCTTCCCGAGAGATTTAACCCACCTTGCTAACAACTCTGCCATCAACATTGAGACCATGGCGGGCCTCGACATCTCGCTGAGCGGTAACGTGCTGCAGCCCGGGGATGTTTGCGAGTTCAGGGACCCGCTGGATTCAGAAGGCACCGACCCTTCTGACTATATTGGTGTTGTAAAGGAGGTGAACGACAAGGAGCCAATGTACAAGGTTATTTGTATCTACCAGGACGACGAGGATGTTGTCGATCTCGACAGCAACGACGTGCGCCGCCCTTCGCTGATTCCGTGGCATTTGTGGGTTGCCCTTCTGATGAACGTGGAGCGCCACGGGCTGCTGTTCAAGAGTCTGAGCGACCACACTAATTTGCATTATGCGATGGCTGACTGCTTTTTCTGCCCCAAGAGGCTTGATCCTGACAAACCCTTCAAAGGCACCCCGCCCAACCCGCTCGAAATGCAACTCCAAAGCATGACTGAGTACGCGGCTGTGGTAAAAAGTTTCTCCAGTACGCACCCCAGGATAGAGAAGGAAAATCAAAGGCGCAATCGTGATCCCGACAGCGTCGAGGGGTTGCGCTACCAATTGCGGAAGAGTCAGCAGAAGATGGATACGCTGCTCGAGCTGTATGAAGCGGCGCGCCAGGAGTTGGAGCAGGAGCGCGAGGTGAACCTCGAATTGCAGGCAAAATTGAACTGTGTAGTTTGTTTTGAGAAGTAGGTTGCGCTAATCACACCCATGACGCTTTGCAGCCGGATCAACTGTCTTCTGAACCCTTGCGGCCACTTCAACTTCTGCAACGTGTAAGTTGACAACCGTTACTCCACAGCTTTTGCAGGTGTGCTGAGAGCTTTACTAGTTGCCCAATCTGTCGCCGCAAGATCTCCCGCCGTCAGGTGCTAAGCGTGGAGTAGTTGCGCCACTTCACAGTGCGATGGGTTCCTCTGTTACTGCGCGCTCTGTGATCTGAGGAAGGGGGACAGTGGCGGCAGGTTGCTCTGGTTGTACGGTTGGCTTCTCGACGGGCTCGGCTGCGATTTCTTCGAGCTGTTGTTCCATGGCGGCCTCTTTCATCTTTTCTTCCTGAATGAGCGCCTCCAGCTCGTCCTCGAACTGCGCCGTCGTCACGTACAAGGTCGCACAACTCACCTCCGTCGGAAGCGAAAGGCCCTGGGTCATTGCGTCGTGGATCTCCGCCTGAGCGTCCCGCTGTTCCTCCAACTGTTCCATCAGTTCGTCCACTTCCCTGGTGGCCATATGCTGCTGCAACTTTTTGTGCGCCGTCACTCCGGTGGAAAGAGCGCTTAGAGCGAGTTGCTGCATTTGTGCGCCCTCAAGCGTTATGTTCTGTGACTCCAGGGTCATTATGGAAGCGGATATCCGGGCCACCTCATCCTCATAGAGCTTCTTACGGCGCAGAGCACCCAAGGCGCCCTGCTTATCGTTGTTGGCGTGTTTACGCTTAGCTTCCTCCACGCATTCCTGTATAATACATGTTTCTGCAAAACACGTTTAATGTAACACTTGGAATTTAATTTAGATTGACGCACCAATTGCAATTCACGCGCTTGCCCGGTTAGCGGCACCCACCGGACACGGGGGCCGTTACAGGCTGCGATGCTAAGGGAACGAAACAACCGATTGATCATTGAGGCCTTTGGTTAACATTTGTAACGGTGCATTGCTACTGGAACAGCTGCAATACTGTTGCAGTTATGCGTTCCCGGGCAACAACCTTATCAACCAAAAGCCAACATCAATTGCCAGCGCATGTACCACGCTTATAACAATTCAATGCGCAACAGCACTTCGTATGAAAGCTTAGGTATTCACGAAGGACAAACCCCTTAACCACACGCAGTTCGGAATTATTCATCACAGCACATCAGCATTACGAACGGAAGGCTGGTCGCCCACAGGAATCAACGTCACCGTACCTTAATTCTCGCGTCTAACTGGCTCATACGAGTGTTCATGTCGCGTATGGCATCGTTGCCTAACTTCAGCGCCTGTTGAACGGCACTCTGCGCGCAGTGTGCTAGACGACATCCGTACAAACCTTGCTGTCGGCGGAAGGCGCGCCTATGGCGCCCTTTTTCGATCGGCGCAGCAGGCTGAAAACCATCGCGCCGTTATCGAATCAAATGTTATCAAAGGGACGAAATCACGTCGTTGCCTAGCAACACGCTACACATGTACTGGTATCGTGACGTCTCGCGCCGAAGCGCTGTTGCAGCACAACATTCAGCCAATGTAGGCGGCAATGAATAGCTACCAATTGACATTAGGCGGTTCGCAAAACAAAGACCTTTATGTTATATTCATTGTGGACAAACAGACGACCACGTCACGCTCTCATGTGCAACGCGCCGCGTCGGACGCTATCAGAAAAATGACTGCGAATAGCATTATTCATCGTGATGTGTATTGTGTGTGTGCCTTCTCCCCTTATGTAGAGCTGATTTATGACAACTAGTGCTAACGTACACGTGCTGCTGCAAAAAACAGATGTGTCGACACATGCGCCATGACATGTGCCAAACCGAATGGACGAGGTTCCAGTTTGATCACATATCATGCATTCATGTTCACACCCAATGCAGCCGTTGGCAGTAATCCGCTTTCCGATTGGTTTTAGGCAATATGCGCTAACGAGTGTAGAGCACCTCTATTCACGCAGCAAACGCCGCGGAGCATGCACACCTGGACTGCGCCGCGACCTTATTTAAAATATTGTTAGCTACCGGTCCTGCATCAGCCAGCACATCCTGCCACCTCTCCGCCGTCTGATGCGTTGGTGCATACGGTTTGTGGGGGCATAACACCGCGACGCGCCGGCTGTGCCGTTACGTACACTTCGTCTCCTACTGTTCCTCAGTGTACAACACATTTCTGATTTAGCCGGAAAAATATCGGCGCTCTAATCAGTATTTTGCAGTTCAACTATATTTGGATTGATGTTCCTCGAATTCGATACCGCGGGTATTAAGGACCCCTTCAAACAGAGCGCATCTGCGGAGAACGGAGGGAGCAATGCCGCCAGTAGGCTAGTGCACATTCGAAACCAGCAGAGAAACGGCCGCAAGAGTGTCACAACCGTTCAAGGTCTTGAAGAAACGCTGGACCTCAAGAAGATGGTCCGTGCCCTCAAAAAGGAGTTCAGTTGCAACGGGACGGTCATCTCACACGCCGAGTACGGTTCTATCATCCAACTTCAAGGCGACAAGCGTCACGACGTCGTACGATTCCTGGAACGCGAAAATCTCGTGTCGCCTGACCAAATCAGGATTCATGGAGTTTAATTAGGGGGCGTTCTAATTGTCCTATGCGGCTTGGTTGACACCCTACGATTTGAATGAGCATTTTATCACTTTTAATATGTGCGTATGCAACCTTTTTCAGACGTATTTCATGCTTTGGGGGAGTTGTGTTTTATTCCCTGCCATGCAGGCCGCTGTCGAGGCGGCGTTGCTTCGCTGTTCGTGAATTGTGTTGTTTTTGTTGTAGCTGGGTTCTCCGTGGTATGACGGAGGCGGTACATAGTTAATGGCGTCGAGCTGACGCTGATGTGCGACTTGTAGTCGGCAGGTCGACTGCGGGGCGCTGCGCGCTCTGGCGCATCGTGCTAGGGACTCGGTGCCACACATTACATTTCTATTAGCATGAGAAAATGATATAGTGATGCTTCTGTTGGCTTGGGCCTTAGTGGTCCTGATTAGCCGGCGCTGCGGCACCATTAGACAACTCCGGCCTACAGCCTTCTCCGTTCCGGATGTGGTCGTGGTCGGCGGAGGCCATGCCGGATGCGAGTCGGCGGCTGCAGCTGCGCGAGTAGGCGCGAAAACAATGCTAGTAACGCCACGTGTTGCGTCAATTGGTGAGTGCGTGGTCGTAGCGACGTTAATGCTGCACAGGCGAGATGTCGTGCAATCCGTCGATAGGTGGGATCGGTAAGGGCAACATCGTGTGCGAAATCGATGCCTTGGACGGTGTGATGGGTGTAGCTGCCGACGAAGGAGCGGTGATGTACCATCTGCTCAACTCCAGTCGGGGTCCGGCAGTAAGGGGCCCGCGTGCCCAGGAAGATAGGGACCATTATGCAGCTGCCGTGCGTGACATAATCGGGAAACAAGATAGTTTGCATGTAGAGGAGTCGATGGTCGAAGATGTACTGGTGGAGGATGGAGCAGTGCGCGGCGTGGTGTTTGCAGACGGTCGTACCGTTGAATGCAAGGCCGTGGTGATAACCACGGGCACCTTCCTTCGAGGCCGATGCCATCGTTCAAAGACGCAGTATGTGACATTTTAGGAGTGCGTTTATAGTTGTTTAGGGTACCAGGTGGACGGTTTGACCGTCTGAAAGGGGTGTTTGAAGCGCCGGCAGATGGACTCTGTGCAACCCTCACCAGGCTTGGCATATCTACCAACCGATTCAAAACAGGTATGTAAGTACGGTCTGATATTGATATTGCGCAGGCACACCGCCGAGAATCAAACGCAGTTCTATAAATTATGATGTGCTGGAGGTCCAAAATTCGGACCTTGACCCGACCCCGTTCTCATACCTCAACGCGGAGTCTGGGCCGCCGCTTCGGCACGGGGTGATACAGTGTTACAAAACGCGTACCAACGCAAATACGCATAGGTATGTGTTATACGTAGCCTTTTGGAATCGAATGCAGGATTGTAAAGGAGCATCTGTGTGTTCTCCCGGACTACGAGAGCGGGTTCGGCAAGGGACTAGGGCCCAGGTACTGCCCGTCGCTCCCAGCCAAAATAACGCGTTTCCCCAATGTAGCAGGACATGTCGTGTGGCTCGAACCTGAAGGAATGGACAGTGATCTTGTGTATCCCAATGGTGTGTCGGGAGCGTTTCCGCCAGACGTGCAGCTGGAGCTGCTTAGGACGATACCCGGTTTGGAGGAAGTGGAGATAGTAACCCCCGGTTATGACGTGGAATACGATTACATCGATGCACGGCTGCTGCATCATACGCTGCAGCTCAAGCAGATACGGGGGCTGTACTTCGCGGGCCAGATATGCGGTACAACCGGGTATGAGGAAGCGGCGGGACTAGGGTTGGTGGCTGGATGCAACGCAGCACTGTTTGCGCTTGCGTCCGGCCGTGAATTCGTTTTAGATCGCAGCGAAGGTTACATTGGGGTGCTGATAGATGACCTCGTGCGAAAAGGAACGAGTGAACCCTATCGCATGTTCACATCACGAGCGGAAGACCGCCTATTTCTCCGCATTGACAACGGAGACATCCGCATGCTGAAGAAGGGCCAGCAGTGCGGCCTCATACGCAATTCTGAACGCGTGGCTACCATACGCGAGAAGTACGTGAGAGCGCAGGCTGTAATCAATCGCCTAAGGTAAGCCTGTGCATCATCCATGACATAAGGTGTGCAGGAGTTTGTCGTTACCTTTGAACAAATGGGACGAAAACATGGACAGCACTGACACTAAGAACGGCTGGGAGATGCTGAAAGTGACTGGAGTTACATTGCCGTCAATTGAGGCACGAGTGAACGAACACTACCCTGACGGTCGTGTGACCAGCACGGACTTGCCTCCGATGTCGGAAGCGGAGCGTTCTGGCATTGAAGCCGCATTCGAGGGTCTGGAGGACGGTATATTGGCTCAAGCCGCTCGCCGATCGGTGGAGCCAACAACCAGTAACAAGTATCTGCAAAGCGTAGTTGAGGCGCAATGCAAGTACGCTCCGTTCGTCGACAGACAGGCTAAGCAAATGGAACGCACATTGAGAGGGAGATCAGTTCCGCTGCGTCCAGACATGGAGTACACGCGGTGAGTTCATTTTGACACTTTGTAACGCGGTACAGCGAGCGCTTCGCCTTCTTGTCTACGGAGGAGGTGGAGGTGCTCAGCCGCCACCGGCCGGCAACTATAGCGGAAGCCGCCAATTTACAGGGTGTGACGCCTGCTTCGCTAACCCTGCTTGCTGAACAAGTCATTAAAGGGCTCTGATGGCGGAATGTGTAAGGGGTGCAGGTGCCTCCGAGCGCCGATGATGGCATGTGTAAGGATGAAAAGCAGTCATAATGTCCGTACGCCGCGCGTAGCTTGGCATTAATTTGGCTTTTAATGTTTGGCTTCAGATGTGTCCGCACTGTGGCACCCTGTATAATAGTTAGCGCGGATTCCCTTCGGCCGTCGGCGCGGCCGAAATTCGGACCATCGTCCCTGAAATGCAGTTAATAAAGATCCCGGGCATAAATCTAGATGTGTTCTCCAAAGGTGTGAACAAACAAGGAGCGGCGGAAGGTCATGCTACCGAGGCTGACAATGGCGGCGACGGCGATAAGTCGCCGTCCCAGGCAGCTAATCCGCCAGCGGCGGACTCAACGGCTGCCTCAGGTGAGGGCATTCTGGGCAAGGAACTCCCTCCGGACGTCGACGAGGACTTGGCTGGACACGAGCTCCTCTGGTCTACACAATATACATATGAAGAGTTCATCGATTCGCTGTCGGTGGCCCACGAGGGCCGAGGAGAGACCGCGAGGGAGAAGAGGCACTGGTCGTATCCCCGTAGGTGGTTAGTAAAGCTGCACAACCTCAAGATTGTCAACTGCATTTCGGATTCGCTTACATGCTTCGCTGAGTTCGACTTTGGCGGGTCACGTTCAGAATGTCGAGTGCAAATGGGCAGCAGCGTCTGCATTCTGAATCGCGGGGAGACGAAGAACTACATCAGGACTACGGTTGTGAGGAATGTCACCAAAGATGTGCCACGGTCGTTCAACTGCGCGCATGAGTTCGAATACCGCGGCAGCTATTTGGACCTCGAGTATGAAAAGCTGAAGATCAAGCTTTGGCAGTATCGTACGACAAACTTGAATGGATTGGAGTCTATATATGAAGGTCAGCTGCTGCAGTTCGCCAAAGGTGATACGCATGTGGAGATCCCCATGTACAAGGGCCTCAATAAGCAACGCCGCCTGCGATGCCGCATCTCGTTCGACCTCTATTTCCAGGAACTCTACGACTTTGAGCTTTCTTTCCTCAGCTGGCGACTGGCGGATTGTCCGTCGTTCCTCGATCTGCTTTATAAAAGTAAGGAGGCTATAGAAAATGTGAAGGCAGCGTCGAGCGGCTCCGATGGCAAGAACAGGCAACGCGCCAGGAGAAGTTCGAACATCTCGTTTTCCATAGTCGACAAAATGATTTATTATTTCATGCGCAAAAGAATCGAACGCGATTACAAGAAGTCGGCCGATATTCGGAGGGAGGCCACTGGCAATATCCAAAGCGAAGATGCGCCTGTGGACGTGGGTCCCACGGACCCTTACACAACGCTGTTACGAAGCCAAAACGACATTGTATTCCACAACAATACAGTGCCTCAGATGAAAACACGTGAAACTTCCGTGAAGCTCAAAATACACATTAAGACCGACTCTGCATTCAGGCATGCCACGTCCCTGCAGCTGTCGTCTATCGTATCGAAGAACACCCGTGATGTATATTGGGAAAATATGGGAGAAATCATATTCAGGGGCACGTTGCTGGACCTGGAGCGTGCAGAGCTCGAAATAGACATTATCGACACAAACGCCCCGAAGGCCGTGAATAAGATTGGCCACGTGGTGTTGCCGTTGGCTGGCATCGTGGACTATCCTTACCTCCGGAGTAGGCTGTCTAAGCCTAAGTGGCTAACTTTGAAGGCAAGCATAGAGGGCTGGGGTGCTGTGTTGGAACGGATGAACTTCGGAACACTGAGTGGCAAAATAAAAATTCAGCACAAACCCCGATACCGCCAGCTTACGAACCCATCGGGCCTCACCCTATATAGCTATCCTATTATGCTTGTTGTGACGATTGGTGGCGTAGACCAGCTTATCCTGGAAGATGATAATGCGAACATCGACTCCTACGTCGAAGTCACGTATAACAAGTTGACGTACCGTACTTTTAGGTGCAAGAATAATCGCGCTCCGATATGGAACGAAGATATCCTTATCCCTTTCTTGAGCAACGATGACGAAAGGATCAACTGCTCCGTGATTTTGCAGAGCAGCCCGGTGCGGTTCACCATTTGGGGCTGCTCAAACCGCGATAACAAGGTATTATACCTGGGGGGCGCGGTGCTGTACCCGTACGAGATATTTTATACGGCCAAGGGGTCTTTGAAACAGCGTGTTAAGAAGACGTACGCCGAAAACGGGCAGTACGGCAACGTGTATGAGTCACGGGTGTTCGACACTCGCGTTTTCAACGGCCCCCTGAAACTGTCGTTCCTCAACAACGATGACCGTCAATCCAACCTCACGGTATCTGCGTGGTTATACCCAGACATGCCGGATGAGTCGATGCCGGAGCAGTTCGATATTAGACGGTTGCGTTCGGAGCAGATTGTGTTGCCGTCATATCAGATGACGACCGTTTACCCCCGTCTGCTTGAGTACTGGCAGAATGTTGTGGATCTAAAGTTCAAGCCGGTCTGTAAAACCATAGGCTCCATCAGTGTCGAGTGCGCTACCCAGACCCATCCCCGGGTGTACCTGCCGTGCATCATCACCCCAATGCACCCGCCCATGGGAATAGACACGCCAAATGCAGTGTTTCACATGATTCGGTGCCTGCCGTTTGTGAAAAGGACGTACGATATGAGGTTCACAGCCGACTTCTTGATGAAACTAAAGGGTGGAAATGCGTTCGACCACTGCGTGTTGCAGTGCAGCTATCTCCGAGGGTTGACCCCGCCTGTGGAGGCTTTTATATGCGTCGGCTTCACGCAAGATGGGCGCGCGCACTCTTGGGTGACTACGTTGCATCCAAATGTGAACCGGTCAGTGAAGATGTGGGAGAGTACCACTGGCGATATACACGTCCTGAAGAATAGGCTGGCATCCGAGGAGGATGAAAACGACTCCATAAGCGACAGACGCCTCCGCCTCAAGGTAACCAGTAAGTTTCCGTACAAAAAGCTGCTCTACATGTTTAACGAACGTAACATATGGTTGAATGTCCAGGGCTTCAGTGACCCGCAGCTGCTGTTATTCGACGTGGGCAACTTGGAGCAGTGGTATCCATTCGTGCCAAACAACCCCATCATTGAGCCCACTCACGTTCCGCAAATATCTTACGAGAGGTTGAACGAGTACGAGATACAGCGCGTTGCGCACGACCTTGAGCAAAACTTGGAGCGCCACCTCACCATCCACCGGTACGCGCAGAACCTGCAAACCAGGTGGAACAAGGACGAGGCTCTGCACAACTTCCTACTCACCGGGTTGAAATTGTTGCACCAGATCAACACCTGCCCCGACGTGGATACGCAGCTGGCCAAGTGTGAGCTGCACGAGTGGAAACTGCTGCTGAACAAAAACATACCGCAGAGCCACCAGGTGGTGGTGGTTCCACTTCACTTCAATGTAGTGGACGCTGACTTTATCGCAGAACATATCAAAACAAAGGTCCCTCTATTGGACTCCCGCGAAAGGTTCATCACCTTCGCGATGGCGAGCTGGGTGATCAGCATACCCGGCAACCTCTTCAGCGTGTACGTGATTCTCCTGGTGGCGCAAAAGATCCATGAGCGCGTGCGAATACGGTTGGTGATGGAGCAGGAGAGGCTGGCGCAGCGCAAGCGTAAGAAGAAGTCTGCATCGACGGTTGACGAGGATCCGAACGATATTATGAACCGTGAGGATAGCCTCAACGATAGTCTCAAGGCTGCCTTGGAATCCAATTTGGAGATGTCGGGAGAGTATGATGCACCGACAAAACAGTTCTCGTCGCTGATGGAGCAGATTGATCTCAATCTGGCCCATCAGGATGATCAATTGACAAAACTCTTCACTCGCTCGGTAACTAAGGCCATTGCATCAGGCACACAGCAGCCAGCAAAATCTATAACCAAGGAACAGTCAGCATCGCACGAAGAAAGCGTATCATCTGACGGCGTGAGCGACCTGATGAGTGATGCATCAAGCAGCCTGCACTCTTCCTCTTCATCAATTGCGATTGACTTCGCCAACCTCAGCTCATCACCACAGTTTTCATCAAGAAACGAATCGGTTGGTGGAGCATCCGAAGAGAAGCTCCGCACAAGTACGCATGACCTGCTCAGCAGCGCAAGCAGCATCAACGCGCTTGATTCAGGGGTCGATGACGACATCATGAAGGCCCCTAGCTACGTTTATAACAGGGGGTCATCCAGCAGTCAGTCTTCGGTGAACTTGCGCAAGGGCAGGAAGTCCGCATCGGGATCCTACAAGGATAGTGCAATTAATCCGAACCTTATCAGCAGTGAGTCCATCCTCGGGACGCAGTCGATCTCCTCCTTCAATTCCGGGCTCGACATTGGCAGCGGAACATTCGAGGAGTCTGATTCAGACGATCAAAGGGATTCGAAAGCGTTGTACTCTGATGAAGAACTCAGCGACAAGGACATGCCCCCAGGCGATGAACCTTTGGTCGATGACACTGCTGAACTCATCTCCCCGCACGTCAGCCCCATTGGGAGCGGCTCGTTGTCAAGCGGCAGCGATCCAATGTTTGGCGGAGTTGACAGAATCTACAGTGCGTTACAGTCTATGTCATCGTATGGCCAGAGTGCCACCGTGTCGATCAACGACGATGCTGCCAGCGAACCCATAAGGGTCTCATCCTCCGATGATCTAAATAGCGAAGCCCGTTCTGATGCGTCTAAGGATACCCACAAGGCTCTGTCATCTGATGGTTCGTACGTGACTGAGGAGCCACAGCGCCGTGGCTCTGCTAGACGATTTTTGGATTCGCTTAGGAAGATAAGCTCTAGGGTGATGTCGCGCAGCTCCGGTTATGGGAACTCATCGGAGAGTGGTGCGGATACCTTGCGCCGATCTACGGAGTCTGACACTTTGCTGGACGACGATGATGATGACTGGAGCGACAGTATCGTCAGCAGCTTTGAGGAGTCCGCTAGCGCTTCAAACGCAAACGGATCGCTCGTGAGCGATGTTACGTCTCAACTCGAGTCCGAGGTGTCGGCTCGTGTGCATGCAGTTGAGGATAGCCCAGTGAGCAGCGCCCTGGTGAGCCGCAGCAACACTACCACGGAGATGAGCATGTCGAGTTCTACGTTTTCGAACCTGGAAAGCAGTGCCAGCATACCCAGTTCCGACCATCAGAGTGCGAGATTGAACTCAACGTACGAAGACGAATCTGCAACGACGCAGCGATCAGTTCACGAGCAACCACAAGCCGCTGAAAGGGTTGTGTCGATACAGCCGGCTACGACGGATACTGTCAACGTCCCGCCGCGTATAGAACGGCGTGGGCGTTTGAAAACAGTCGGTATCATTCGGGAATCCATGGATGTGAGTGAAAGACCTAGGGAAAGCGCGCCCTCAGATGCGGGCTCAGCCAATAGAGAGAGCTCGCTCTCGTTCCAGGATTCGCAGGAGGACTCTTCTACCAGCTTCACTGACTTGGATGCATACAGCACAGTCAGCAGCGACGGATCTTCGTCCACCAACAAGGTGTCATTCGCGAAAACAGCGACCATGTACTCCGGAGACAGAGGCGTGACACAGGTACCGACGCTGCAATCGGACACACCCAGCCAACGTCTGGCGCGCTCGCTGTTCAATAAGTCCAAGGTGCGAACGAAGGAGTGGGAGACACCCCCTCAGCAAACCCATGCGGTGTGCGACTTCAAGTATGTGGACCTTTTCCGCGGATTCCTTTAGACTCACACACAATGTAATTTTAGAAGCACATAAATATGCATAAGAGCGAGGAAATTGTCCTGTATCAGGACGACAAGGCGATTGTTGTCTACGACGAGGGCGGTGGAATCAGAGCGCTTCCGCAGACGCCTAAAAGCGAACTTCCTCCCGCAGAGTTGGTACATTGATGCTGATCGATCTCAATTTGCCAGATTCGTCAATGTCTGCCCGTTGTGTGGAAGCGAGGTCGACGATTCGCAGTACACATACATCGCCCAGACCTACTTCTACTTTCTGCAGCGTAATTTCAAAAAGTGGTCGCAGAAGCGGGACTCGCAGCAAGACGGATACAGTGCTAGGCCATCGGGCTTTAACAGAGCAGTTTCTCTTAGGAAGACGCTGCCAGGTGCCGAAACTATCTTGCGGGGAGCCAGCAGTAATGATGGGAGACAACCGCAGCAGCCGCTGTCAACAGACGATTCCAATGATAGCAGCGACTTCTTCGGAGTCGCCGCTAATACTCCTGAGATCGACATTGACGTGCCTAAGCACATACCGCCAGAGCTGCTTGTCACTGGATACTACAACCGTTTTTTTGAGGAGCGGCGCAAGCTCGGGTCAGGGTCGTTCGGTCATGTGTACTGCTGTGTCCACATAATAGATGGCCTTCCTCTGGTGAGTGCATCGGCCCAACTTTAGGGTGGCAATGTGATGCAGGGCGAATACGCAGTTAAGAAGCTGCCTGTGGGCGACGATCGCGAGTGGCTCCGGAAAATGATTCGGGAGGTCAAGGTGCGTGAGAGGTTGCGGCACCGAAACATAGTCGACTACAATCATTCATGGCTGGAGATGCACAGGCTGAACGAGTTCTGTCCTTACGTGCCGTGGCTATTCGTGCTGATGGCCTACTGCAACGGTGGTGATCTCGAGAATTTCGTGAAGCGGTTCGGGAAGGAGCTTGATGACGAAGAAATATTCGTTTTGTTGCTTGACATCGTGAATGGTCTCTGCCATTTGCACAGGCACGGTATTATATACCGCGATCTGAAGCCTTCAAACGTGCTCCTGAACTACAGTCAAAAGGAGGGCGTGTCCGCGATGTTGTCTGACTTCGGCACATGTGAGGTACTCGCGGAGCTGGGTGACCGGAATGTGATGCGGCATGGATTCACTGGGACGGTGGAGTTCACTGCTCCTGAGCTCTTGGAAACGGACCAATTCGGTGAGTACAGTCTATGCTACGACACGAAGAGCGACATGTGGAGCCTGGGCATCATCCTGTACTACCTGTGCTACGGGACCCTGCCTTATTTCGACGAATCACCCCAAAGGTGCCGCGATAAGATACTGCAGCACGATTACCTTAAGCTGCCGAAAATGCCGCAGCGATGTCCGGAGCTGCAGATGCTGATAGTGGCGCTCACACAACGTGCCACTTTCAGCCGCCCTGATTGCGAGGCTATCCTCTGCGATAGTCGTGTACTCGACCTGATTCATGACGAAGAGTTCATGAATGCGGGAAAGGCCAAAATTGTGTCTAAAGTGACGCAATTGTGTCAGAATTCTGCCCCCACATGCCACCCAGCGGATGCGATCATCCGAGCCTAGACCAACATTACACTGACCTACGTCTTTAGGTCTACAGTAACTATAATGCAGTAGTTTCATGATCTGCACAATCTTCGAGCCGTATCGGTGCAGTTTTGTGTCCAATAGCATAACCAACATCTCAATAAGAGGCGCATAGACGGCTGTCTACGTGTCGTAGTGCGAATAAAACCGTATGCTATCTCATTAATCAACATAAGGATATGTTAACATTTTTAGATAATGCCTATAAAACTGTAATGTGCTACGTGAGTATAGGAACGCTGATAGGGCGAGTAGAGGCTGTGACAGGCTAGTAGAGCTAATGCTTGTAGGTGCTCGGACAACCGTGAAGAACAACTTGTGCCATATTGCCGGGATCCCAAAGTAGGAGGGACGCTATGGAGATGAAGGATGCGGCTACAATGACGACAGGTAATCACAGCAATATTGGAATTGTATGTAACCATGTTGTATGGAATAATAATTCAACTAATATGCAATGTTGGTTGAAGTAACGACGCAGTGTGTTAATGTTTGCCATTTGAGGAAATAGACGACGAGGCAAATGATGAGTGTAGCTGTGAGGGTAGTGAATACTGTATTGCCGACCGCCACAATGTGGTCCCTAAATACCGCTTGACTAGGCTGTACAATGGCCGTCACAACGACGTTCACTGCCTGGCAACGCACATGATAAGTGACGTATGAGACACTCACCCAGCACGGCAGTTGTGGGCTAGCAAGCAGTCATCGTCACGGTACGTTGATATTAGGCAACGGCGTGGACACGTTCACTAGTGGCGTGTAAAACAACGTGTTGAGCAACGAATATCCCAACGCGTCTAATACATTATGGGTTAGGTTTTAGGTTAGCCACTTGGTTAGTCAGTGAGTTAGGTGCTAGGCAAGGCACGAGGTACAGTCACCATGAAAGACATGACATGGAAACACAAAGAGAGGAATGTAAATGTGAATGTAGCTGCAATAATTACTGTCACGTGCCAAAGTCATCGTCGAAGTAATCGACGTCCTTGTAGAGTGAGAGCATCCTGCGGCTGCCGGCGAGCAGCGCCTTGACGTCGATGAGGTGGGAGGCCCTGGTGGTGAGGAGGTGCGAGCGGATGCGGACAGTACATTGGGTTGTGTCAATCCCCTTATATTAACTAATGCGCTGATACGATGTAACCCACGAACGGGTTCGCCGGATACCCGCCGATGCACGATTTTGAAACATTAAATTAGATGTTATTAGATTGGCGTTGTGCCCGTAATGTCTGAAAGGGTGCGATAAGTGCGATTATAAAATTGTTGAAAGTTATTATAGAATGCGATACAAATGCTCACTTGCGGACGAAAAAATCACGAACCTTGTGGAACGGCGGAATGCGTTTGAAGATCATGGCGCATACGACGATGAGGATTATCATGACGATGACGGAAGGGATGACGATACTGGCAAGCCGTGCACTTTCACTTTTACAACATTGTGGACTACACGCTGCCTTATTTTTACATACTTTCTTACATAGATTAGGGTCACATTTATCTCTGGTTCTGCTTAACTGCTTTGCCAGCATACATTGTGCGCAACTATCACTCTTATATCCTTCACAACAACAAGGGCAGCACTGACAATTCGATGTTTCACATGTCGCACTACACTTTGTACACGTAAGAGTCATCTTCCCCTACGTCACCTGTCATCAACTTGCATAGCCATAAATCACGTACCTTAACCTCGAACAGTAGAACCGCCAAGCCATCCCAGGAAAGGCCTAGACAACTTCCACACGACATTCATTCAACACATCGCCAGTAACACTACACAGACGGGTCTCTTACTACCTAAACCCCCATGATGACCACTCTAGGTTGCGAACCTTACCCCACACTTCGGTGGCCATACGAAGTAAAGGTTTTTGAATCTCTTCACTGGTTGAAGCACGGTGGTGGTGCTTTGCAACTTTACGTCTGTGAGTAATATTACCATGGCGACAGCCTCTCCTGTCACTCTTGTAATTCACCTCACGTCTTTGTAACATTGTGCTAGTCGATGAAAGACGGGCACTATGCAGGTAGCGACAACAATTAACCGCTCATCACACAATGATATGTATTTGCCAATTTTGCCACATCGTAATGAAGGTGCCAGATGATGGCTCATTACGGTAGAAATCCTCAGATACCACACACGTAATGACGTTGGCCTCATTATTGAGCTGTATACCGCCGAACGTGGTTCATTGACTTCCGGCACTGGTTCCATTTAGAGATTTTGATCACTTTCCAAACTATGAAGATACCATTGTAAAGCATTCCACCGCTTTCCCTTCACCCATCCCATCACGCCGTAAGCAGTATGGTTGAGCCCGGTGATAACCCGAAGCCCGCACTTGGAAACCTCCAGTACAACCCGCTGTAGCATCACATTACATGGTAGGCACTGTGGCGTGAAGATACAATTATCACACTAAACTACGTATGCTTTCGCTGTTACCGGTGGACTGACGTTGCCCGGCCCCACTGTATGGCCTTAACAATGTTAGTGGATTGAGTTAATTACGGTAAGAGGCACTAAATGTTGTCGGTTATTGCATCCTAAGGACGTTTACCGTCTTTTAACATGGAACATAAAATGCCAATGATCGTATTTCACCTTCCTCATCACTGCGGTGCCAAGGGCGAAATAAAGGCGTGGGCAGATGCGATTACATTTCACATCCTTTACTCAAGTTTAAGGCCATCCACACAAGTCATAAATCGCTAGCGTAATACTAGAACATGACGGTATGTTGTACCATCAAAATTAATATTTTATGGCTGAGTGTAGCCTGCCACAGAAATACCTAAATCAACATGGGACCACCATAAACAATTAAAGCAAACTAATTAGTACAATTCATCAACATATTATCGCCTCGCAGTTACTTATCACTTTGAGTAATAATTCTCAATCTGGATGGTAGACAGGACAGTTACAGTGCTCGGGAAGGTTAAGGGAGAGAGGTGGGGCAAAGAAAAAAACGGAGTTTAGGGAATAACCCAAAAATTAAAGGGGTAATGGTATAAACGTACACAGCGAGATTAGGGGCCTTTAAAAGTTTCAGTAGGAGGTAAAGGCCACTCTCGAGAGCACAGCCGACAGGGTAAGGGTGGAGGAAAGGGTGTATTGGTAACTACATTACGCGATGAGGTTTTTTAGGTGGCTGGGTGAGCTACGTTGTGAGTACCATCACGCCTGCAGGTACGTTAGCTTGCTGAGCGCTTTGACGCGTGCGGCGGCGAGTAGCGACTGGGCGGCGATCCTGTGGCTTGAAGGTGATTTTAGGTGGGAGCGGATGCGGAGGACGTCGAGGCGGACGACGGTGATGTGCAGCAGGTAGAGGAGCGACAGCGACCAGAGGGCTAATAGGAGGAAAGTGAGGAAGTTGAGAAATATTGAAAGATTATTGTAGGCACATTTTCAGGGCGATTTGGGGGAGTTTGGGAAATGGCGATTTTAGGTCAAGGAGGCAGTGAGGGAGGTGGGTGGACAAGGCGAGGGAGGTGAAGGGGCGAAAGAGGGCGATGAAGGGGGAAGATGGAATGAGTAGAGGCGATTTAAGGGGTGGAAGGAATTTTATGGAAGATGAGGATTTGGGTGAAGGACGCCGACGGAGGAGGTGATGGAGGGGGTGAAGGCAGGGAGCGAAGCGACCAGTGAAAGAGGGAGGTGAGTGGGTGGGTGAGTGAGTGAGTGGGTGAGTGGTTGAGTGAGTATGTGGTTGAGTGAGTGAGTTGGTGGGTGAGTGGTTGAGTGAGTGGTTGAGTGAGTGAGTTGGTGGGTGATACACAGATCACACGTGAAGGCACGATTATGGTGAGAAGTACTTGACGTTGTTGAGCGCCTTGACGCGTGCGGCGGCGAGCAGCGACTGCGCGGCGATGCGGTGGCTTGCGGGTGATCTCAGGTGCGAGCGTATCCTCAGGACGTCGAGGCGAACGACGGCGATGTGCAGCAGGTACAGGAGCGAGAGCGACCAGAGGGCGAGGAGGGTGTAGATGAAGGGGAGGCGGATCTTGAACAAGTATTCGGCTATGGTCTCATGGATTAATTTCGCAAGGAGGGATTTGCCGCCGCACACCTTTCTCAGTTGATCGATGAAATCTCCACATGACCGCTTCCACGGATTTCCGAATTTGCCGCCAATCTTAAGTGGGTTTCCAAATACGAATCCTTCAGCGTATAACGTCGGAAGTGTGTAAGGGCATTGAATTATGGACCGGCAAGATGACGAATGTGTCGATGATTTCACAATTTGGCAGTCATTTGCGCACCCTTCAATACGACACTTTGATTCATTCGTACCGCAATTTTCTTCAAATTTCGACAATAGCCTACAGAGGTAATCATAGAATGTCTCGGTCAGGTAGACAATCCATGAGAGGTATTTTTCAGCGTGTTCCTTAGAATATATGCAGCGCGTATTATAGCTAAGGGGGTGTATGTATGAACCGCAGGGAGAGACTGGGGATGATTTCTCATTGCAATTTATTATCGAAGAAATATCACCATGGGGATGGTTGTCAGCCTTATGCGTAGCGCTGTCGCATATGGATTCAGGGTTTAAAGTATTGTACTGGCGGCAGAAATAAGCGTTTTCAACAGCTTTTTGAAACGCCTCTTGCCTGTGCTCACCACTGTCTTCCCACCCGTTGAGAAGACTGTGATAGAACGCTAGCATTTCGTCGAGTGTTTGAGGCGGTCTCTGCAATAAGCATGTCAGATAACTGCATAGATTGGCAAGAGGCCTATCTGATTTACTACAAAATCTAGACAACACTTTCATTAGATGCTGGCCTCTCATTGTATGAGATGCCACTGTGGAAATGTCTCCGAAACCCATCGGCGTGAGACACGGCTTACCGAGGTGGTTGGAAAGGGGACAGGTCATTTTGCAATCGGCCATGTTGTATGGATGAGGAAGGAAACCCTGCAGTCCGTCCTCCAAGAAGGATTGGAGCGGTGATTTAAGGCCGCACTTGTAATGTTGGTCGGCCTTTTGGTCACAGTCTTGTTTGGGGCATTGTTTGTCATTGCACCGCCATGATGAACCACCGACGTGCTTACCATACCAGCAGTCCAGCCAACCACTACTGCTTTTACCGTTACAGCACTGATTGTACAGGAAGTAGAGTTGGCGATTCAGTCTCATACAAATTTCTATGAGCCAATCTAAACATTCACCTGCGTTGGTGGGATAGGAAAGATCGTCGGGGTTTGTGTTAAAGTCGCAAGAATATCGGCCGTTGGCATCCCCATAGCCCAGGATTGTGATTAATACCTTTTCCGCGTGGGAGCAGACTTTGTAGAGTTCAGCCGACAAATCATAAGGTTGGATATTTGAAGTGCCTTCTAACTTTAGTGCGTAATCGGGAATTGCGGAATAATCGGTATTTTCATACTGCTTTGGTTTACGGAATAATGTCTTAAAGTATTGCTCGACATTGCCAAGCACCGGATTGTGCCACAACCCGCACAGCCAATGGAGCATATCTCTAACTGTGGACGGATATTTAGTTGGGGAGATATATTGCAAGTGGCACGTTTTATAATAATCGTGAAGATGCTTGAGAAGTTTGTACACTGGGCTTTGGTCTCCGGACTTATCATCATCGGGATCTTGGTGGCTAAAGACTCTACCATGTCCTACAAGTAGCTGGAAAATATGACTACCCATCATCGTAGGTTTGTTGTGTAACTCTGCATTACTGGCATCAGGTAACGACGCAACACGGAAGCCGCAGCGCTTGAAGAAATGGCCAAGGGGGTTTGTATTCGTTTTTGTAGGCCCTGATGTACTGAATGATAACAGATTGTTTAAGTCAATTTTTTTCTTCTCACAATTGCCTCCAGTCTTGCAATCCTCACGTAACTGAGACAGTTCTTCATATAGGATGCTAATAATACTACAAAATACATTGGCGCATTTTATTGCGTTTTCGGTTAGTTCATCATCGTCCAATGCCAAAGCATCGGGAAGCTTGGTGTTTTTCCACTTTACGGTCTGCTCAGAGTACGCATTGACGTAAGCGTAATCAAGATGCTTGATGAAGCCGTCCACACCGTCTCTAATGAGGTCAAGCAATTTGTTATTGTTACCGTCGAATTTATCGGGGACTAAGCTACCGTGTGATTTTTTAAGTCCCGCTAGATGATCACTGGCTGTTTTATTAAAATGGGTTCGATCAGTAAGTAAAACGTTAATGTTGTTTTTAATCCCGTCGACAATCTTGGGATACGACTTTGAGGAGTCAGGAGGGGAAGACGTTGTCAACTGTGCAAACACATAATCTAAAAGTCCTTCAAAATACCCCCGAACTCCCCACGACAACTGTTCTAACTTGATGCTTTTAACATACTCTGGCGCTTCGGGAATATCTAAATTGCCATTCATACTATTCCTCAATTCCCCCAAGAAACCCTTCAAACCGTTCGCCCTATCCTCTCTAATAATTCTTTCAATCGCCGCCAACTGCTCCGCGACAATTTTCTCCAGCGTCGCCAGCTCGGCCTGCTTCTGCTTCGCGAAGAGGGCGTAGACTTGGGAAGTGAGTGTTTCGAAACTGGACTGCACTGCGGTGAGCAATTGGGATTTAAGTTGATTTACGGCTTGCCTCGATTTTTGTTCGGCGTCAACCAAGGTTCCTTCGATACTCAATATGGTCTGCTCCATGGCTGACTCAGCTGAATTTATGGCTTCATCTATTTTGTCGGTCATTCCTTGCAGTGTAGTAAACTGGTTTTTAATATCTTTCATAATTTCATCGGCTTCCAACTTACGCTGTTCAACGAATTCTGGAAGGCGCTCAACTTTCTCAACCGTTTGTTTGACACTGACGACTGCTTTGTTATACGCAGGCTTCGCAGCGTTGCCGGTAGTGGAAGTGCTTGGAGCAGAATTGTAACCCTCAAGAGTAGTGAGATCGATTGCCGTATGGTCTCCAGTACCCTTAAAACCGCTACCAAACTGCTCCTTAATCCTCGTTATCAAACCTCTGAGCGTACCTACCGCAAGCCCATCCTGTTTCATCGTCTCTTTATAATAATTTGCCATGAAATTTTTATCAAAGGTTATGAGATTTTTAGGATCTGTGATAACCCCTTTGAGAACACTGTCGATGGCTGAATACAGGGATCTGCGAAGTCCAGCGAGGAGATTGGCGTAGAGAGCGGATTCCGAAGGGTGTTGGCTCAGTTTGTTAATATATAGCAAAATACCTTCTATATTGCCTCCAAGGCCAAACGTACTGCCTTGTGCCTGGGTGAGTGCACTCGTGAATTGTGTAAATTGGTTGGCCGAGTTACCAGTTGTAAACTGAGTTATAAGTTGTTGTAGACCCTTACCGGCCTCGGTATCACCCTCAGCCTCCCCTGCAGCCGCCAATATTTGTTTTTCCACATCCTTACCAAACGCCTCCAACTGCCCCAAAATCTTACCCCTCAACCCCTCCAAATCAGTTCTTATATGGTCATCCAATTTGTCAAGACTATGATCACGATTCTTTACCAATGCATAATCCACTGCTTCTTCAACCGCCTTTTTAACCTTTACCAATTTTTCCTGATACAGTTTTTCCAACTCTAACACCGCCTTGTTAAGTTTCTCGACCTCTTCGAACAATTTAGATTCATATTTTACGTCTTTCTTCACTCTTGTAATCTCCTCCATATTTTGCTTTATACGATCAAATTCCTTAATAATATTTTCTTCGTATATTGCGTCAAAATCTGCGATGCAGTCCACAACCAACCCCTTCGCCGTCTGCACTACACCCCTCACCTTACCCATTTCGGCTTTTAACTTGTCATTTTTCAAACTGGTCAAGCCATTCTGAATTCTATCAAATTGGCCATTCAACCTACTTTCAAGTTCTTGGGCACCCTTGTTAACTAGGCCCTTTAGGAAATCATGCTGCTCACTCAGCGTTGTATCCACCCCTTTGGCTTGATTCTTAACCTCCCCCTTCTCTGTCACTTCTTGGAATGTGTTCGCCGCCTGAGAGACCGATAAAATGTTGCATTTTATGTTACCTTGTAAATCTTCATCCAAAATTCCAAAGGCCTTATCGGCCAATGTGGCATATAGAACGCATTGCCTTGCAATCTTAGAGAGATGAGTCAATTGACCTTCAAGGGGTTCTTTCTGCCTCTTTGGAATGTTCGAAATTTCCGCTTTAACAGACGCTTGAATCTGTGACAAATGATGTTTCAAGCTACTTATTCTTCCTTCCATCCCGCTCTCATACCTCTGCAGCCCACGCTGCACAATTCCAATGGCAGAGGCAAATCCCTTAACACCAGAGCCTTTACCTATTTTACCTTCTAAATCCTTTATAGTCTGCGTAATGTTAGGATAATAAAAGCTTAAAAGCGTTTGACTGCCTTTAAGACATTGGAGGAGAAACGCCACCACCCCGTCGGCCAGCCTGTCGAGGTCGGAGTACACGATGCCGGAGCCAGTGTAGCCTTTGGTTTTATCATCAAAACCCAGGAAGGTCTCGAGACCGGAGCAAATATTCGTCAAAATCGTATTGGGTTCATTATTAAATTTATCAAGACTATCACCAAGTTCCGCAAGGCTTTCCAACTTGGACTCCACGTCCTGCAGAGCTTCATTCGTGGTGGAGTCTTTATAATGATGGTGGGTGCAGGTATCATTATTATATTCAAGTGGCTTTAAAAGCGCTTTAAAATTAATTTCAGATACAATTGTTTCAAGTTTTTCGGAGTTCTTAAGTTTGTCTTGAAGCCTCTTCATTTCATCAAATTTAAGCTTATTCTTACTTTTACAACACGCGTAATATTTGGACGGATCAAGAAGCTTCGAAAGCTTATCAAGATAAATACTGAAAGAGTTTTTGATGGCCTCTTTAATAGCTTCAGAATTGCCAATAAATTGCGCAAGATGTCCACTAAGCTCAGCAAGCTTATGCTGACGCTCCTCAATTTCATCTAGGGATTTCTGTTTTGAAGGGTCAGATTGCACAAGCATTTTAAGTGTATCGTGCTCAGTTTTAATACTCTCGTTAGCATCCTTCACAGCCTCACCAATCAACTTTTTCAAAGCTTCAGCCAACATCCCAAGACCACTGCCATCACCACCATACCTCACCTGTATCAACCAGTCAATGGACTCCCGGAGATTTTCCGGGCAGTCCGTAAGTTTCTTCGGCGCCATCTTCAGAGGCGAGAGGCTACCGTATTTGTACCTCAATGAACCAACCTATCAATTCGAGGTTGCAGCTCCCAGACTCCGCTGCAAAATGCGATAAGCACTGGACGCTTGTCATACAACTTTCTCAGTGCCACGAACTACATTAATAACACTTGTGTCGGATGAGGGGTGTATTTATAATTTACTGCCAAACGAGCATCTGCCTTTCTCACCAATTCCCACCCCTCAATATCAAGACACCCCAAAATTCTACTCCACCTCGGCGGTCGCCTGAAATCTCCTAACTGCATTCCAGTGTTCAAAGACTCAAAGGAGCAGCCAAAAGCATTGTAACCTCCAAGTTGAGGTTCGCATCGAATCCTCTCCCGCTCCTACAAAATTCCGGGTTTGCCCCACTACCACTACAGGCCATTAAGATTAGGAAGAGCGTCTTCATGGAACATGACTATGAAGTACGACAAGGAATGTTGTGAATGGAGATATGTTATAACTAACCAGCGTAAATGCAATGGAAATATTGTTCCCCCTGCTGCCTTCATTAGGATGGAATATTCGATGCCTTATGTATGAGAACGTAAAGTTTGTATGGTTGATGCCGAGGTGTAACCATGAGTAGCAGCAGCGACGGACCGGGATTAAAGGCGACTGTGTGAATGAAGATTATAAAGGGATAAGTGGGTTACGATGATACCGATGGAGTGTATAGCTCAAGACGGAGGAGACCAAAGAGCCTAGTAGACAGGAGACCAGACGGTGACTAACGGCGAAATAATAAGATCACCATCATGGAAATAGGAGTATCCAACCAAGGCAATTAGGTGGAGACGGAGAGATACAAGATGAATGAATACGAGTACCTGGAGAAGTAGCTTAGAGTAAAACGTTCAACCAGCAGACGAGGAGCAAGACAATGCCGTATGCAATGGGTGATATGTAACCCAGAGAAGGCCGACTGACTCTCGCCCAAACAGGATGGATGCCACCAGTAATGTTCTGCAACAGGGCGACCTGTAACCCGTAGACTACACCAACAGCATGAGGCGCTAGCACGGTAAGTGGCAGAATGGCCCAAGCCAAACGTAATGATTGGCAACTATACGCTATTCAAGTGCTCGTGTGGGTGGCTGCAAGCGTTCTTATAGCCGAGATGTTGAGTTGTGCTCCGGCACTGGCTGACGTGTTGAGTATAGGAGAGCGTGGTTACTGGGAAGTCATGGGTAACATTTTGGTGTTCACTAGGATTAGAATTTTGCACAGTGGGTCCGCTAAGTAGACATCAGCGCATCAATAACGTGGTCCATGGTGGCAGGCATTAGGGTGACTTAGCCTAAGTTGAGTGAAGTTGTGGCTGGGCTACTTCAATACTAGTTCATCAAATATGGTGACTAGACGTTTGTGATAGGATACGTTGCCAAGAGCATCTTTTCTCTGGGGTGCAAGACGCGCGACGGTAGTATCTCTGGTAGTGGATAGGTGGCGATAGCCTGAATGGTCACGGAGCGATGAGAGGAGGCCGCTTGGCGGGGTCGTAATGTATGGTATAGACACACAAGCTGTCGTTCACCACTGAAAGTTATGGAGATGCCACGTATTATTGTGATGCATAATGTCACTTCAGTTGTGCTTCATACTTTCACGATTCGTGAACTTTGCAGCTTCCCTATTCCACAGGTGAGTGGAGTGTTAGTATGATTTTCGTCTCCCCACACATACATTGCAAGGCGTGTTGAGAAAAGGAGTGTCGCTGCCTGTTGTTTTACGACGAACACTGATGTATTTTAGTCTGACTATGCAGCTTGTAGTCTTTTCATTCAGCCACCTTGCGGTCTGGCTATTCTGTCCACCTGTGAGTAGGCTTGGTGAGTGGTCTGTGCAGAGCTCTCATAGTCTTTAGTGTTTTTCAGTCTACAGTCTTGAACGCTTTAGATGCTATTTGTTATTCGCAGTGTATTCACTGATTGGCCATATCACTGTGTTGCTTGCTTCCTTAGTAACGATGAAGCCTAATACGGATGGAATCAAGCTCACTAGCCTTAGGGACTGTTTCATGTTTTTATACTGGTTGCATAAGGGAGGAGGGAGGAATAAAATTGGAGAGGTGGCCCAAACTATGCATGACCGTATTGGAGATTATTGTAAGAGTCAGCAAGTGACGAAAGAGCAGATCGAATCTCATCTAGCCTCTTTTCTCGGTCATGTGAGTACATTCTATGAAGTTTTGGTACGTGATGGCTTTCCTCAAGAAGCACTTGCATCCGGAGCGTCAATGCCACCCAATCCCTCATTAAATGCCATATTCGTTGCGCTTCTAGAGTGTCTCCCGAAGTTCCTCGCAGCGATCTACTATCTTTGGTATTGCGTCGCGCATACATTCGAGTCACTTGGCGGAGGTGGGTGGAAGAATGATTGTCCCGGGTGGGAGAAGGATCGGTGGTACGGGTTGAGAAACAATTGGGGCGGTGACCTTCAAGCGTATCTCAGATCCAATGACACTAACGAGTACCTGGTCATACCTGGCAGCTTCAATAGAGATGAGGTGAGAGATGGTTGGTCATACAGTGGTTACTCCCGCGGTTACTCTATGGTAACTGACCTTAAAAAAATTTTCGAAAAAAAAGATGATATGGCGCAAAATGTTTTTCGCGATGTGTTCGCCACTTCGGTGCTAACTACCACATCCGGCACCCAAATTTCTAACACTGCAAATGCTCTTGCATTGGTGAACTTGTTTTGCGAGATTGTGGTTGAGGTGGATGAGAATGGAAATGGTGACGAGTTTAAAACGCATGTGCAATCAAAAAACGGATGCGTACATTGGGGCTTTTTAAAAGATCATTGCTCCTCACTGAAAACCCAATTTGGCAAGATTTTCAGTGACAAAGCCTTTTCCTTCACTGGCTATGGACGGAAAAGTGAAGGGCTTAATAAGGAGAAATTTGTGAAGAAGACGGCAGATTGGTTGCGAAGCAACTTGGATAAGGTGCGAGAGAATTTGGAGCATATTAAATCTTTTGAAAGTGAACATGATTACTATGCACATGAATTCAGCACATTTAGGAAACATCACACCATGCTCCAGGAATATTACGCCGCGCTCGGCCCATATTTCACTAAAAATCTTTTCCCCTACGGCTTCACATTTTATGGTGAGAAAGAATATTTAAGGGAAAATGCCCCGTATGAGCTTGTGAGAGCGGATTGGGATAGTGCAATCTATGAGCTTAAGAGAGACGGTAGCGGCTTGGCGGAGTTAAAAAGAATTCTCGATGGTAAGGGGTGCCATCCTCCGGCTCCCCCTCCAAAACCCCGACCTAGACCGGCGCCTGCGCCCAGGCCCCCGAGGCCTGCCAGACCTGTGCCACCACCCCGGCCTGCCAGAGCTTCGGGTGGAAGGACATCCGGCCCAAGCAGTTATGGAGGTTGGTCGTCTGTTGGGAGTCATGCTTCTGGTGTTAGAGGAGGAAGCGCAAGAGGGACGGGGACTAACCATAGAGGAGGGAGATCGGGGGCTCAGGGAGGTAGAGGACGGCCACCGGGGACTGCAAGCAACAGAGGACAAGAACCGGGGCCTCGAGGTATTTCAGGTGCTAAGGGCACACAGAGAGGCAGTAGTCCAGAGCCTACGGTGCTTATTCAGCCCCAAGCCTTACAAACTCAAGATGATTCCCAGCGTCATCTCAAACAACCTCTTCCTCCTGCCCCCAGTGCTCCTAGAGTCCCTAGTCCACCAGCTGAACCAGTTCCTACTCCAGCACGCCTTACGTCTCAAGCCCCTGCGCCTGCTCACTCAAGCGCGACCAGCTTCAGCTCTTCGTCATCTAGTGTCACTATTATCGGTGGTACGGGACGGGGTCCACAGGCGGCCGCTTCTGGAGATAGTCAACGGAGTAGTCAAGACTCAGCTCTCAATCATGACATCGGCCAAGTCTCCAGGTCTGATCCGTCTTCTGATTCAGGCGCTGGTGAACGTGCAGGACTGGGTGCGGTGCCAAGCACTGGTGGGGATTCAAAGGACACTGTTTCCACGACCTCAGAACCTGTTGCCGCTGTAAGCATTGATCTTCCTCAGGCGCAAAGTATTCAACGTCAACCCTCTTTGTCTCATGGTGCCGCTGGTGATGGTAGTGATCCAGGTAGTCCAGGGTCTTCGTTGTCACATGCTGGGTCAAGCCACGATGGAGCCCCGGGGACCGTTGGTACGCAAGTGGGTCCCGTTCCTGGTCCAGACGGCAAGGTGTCTTCGGGAATACGCCCCTCTGTCCCTTCAAATGATAGCCACACTCAGACTTCAAGTGTTCAAACCCCAGATTCCCTGTCATCTCCTGACCATCATGATACTGCTCAGGATCCGAAAGGCCAGACGCATTCTTCAACTCAACACATTTCTCACCAATCTTCAGACGTTGGAAGTACCCATCAAGGTGCCCCCGGCACCGATAGTCAGCTATCGGCAAATCGTGCAGGTCCAGGTGGCGATGATGCCATTGGAGAGGGTGGGGGTTCAGTAGGTGGTACGGATGGCGATTCTCAAGTTGACATTCATTCTGGTAAACCCTCTAATACCTCTCAACATTCTGTGCAACATCCCATCCCAACTCATTCACCCCCAGGTTCTCCATCATCTGATATCCCTGGTTCACCGGGCGATTTGGGCCTGACTCTCCAATCGCCTCCTCAACTAATTGCTCAGGGTGACACGGATGATTCAGGTCGCGATAGCCCGGCAGCCATTCCACAGGATCCTATCTCAGATCCTCCTGGCAATTCTCATGCTGCAGCTACAAGAGCTCAACAAATTGTTCCAATTCGGGATAATGGATCTCTAGGTCAGCCAGGACTGATAGCGTCTGTTCCTCCACCCCAACCTTCTGCTCCTCCCTCAATAACAGCTGCAGACCCTTCAAGTCCTCAGCACAGTCTACATGGACCCATGGGGGCCCAAGGTGTTCATGGTCAACAAGCTATGCAGACTCCGGATCCTAGTTTGATTGGCAACACGGACCATACAGGGCCTCTGAATCAACAGGTAACCTCCAGCCCTACTGTAGTACATGACGCCCATGGTAAGTCAACAAGCGGGTCTCCAGATTCAACGTTAGGTAAGCTTCAGACCCCACAACCTGATGACATTCACGGCGATGCGCTCACTCAGTCTTCAAGTGTTTCAGGTTCACGGCCTTCGTCAATTGCTGCATCTCCTCCAAGTGGTGGTCAGGGCCCGGATGACCAGGCGTCTCTTTTGGATCCTGCTCTGCCACATGCTAAACTATCCACGGCCATCCCAGGAGCCCTACCCATTACCTCCCCAGGTCTGCCACCCGGTCAAAAGATCGGCGGTGATGCAGGCAGTGGGATTCCAGGGACGACGATCGGTGGCCCTAGTCCGCAAAACGGACAGGCGACGGATAACAATTTAGGGTCTTCTGGCACGTCTATGAATTCAGGCAGCGTTGTGTCACATCAAGTACCACCTAAGACGCCAATGTCGGATCCGCCTCAAGTTGAGCTTGAAATTGAGAAGCTTTACACTCCGGAGATAATTTACGGCGCTGACAAGATTCAAGCGGAGCGACTGCCCGAGGTTGGATATAATAGAATTGTGTCACCGTCCGATACCTATTCTAATATCCTTCCGCACGCCCCGTTGCATGACAAATTCTATCCAGAAACTCTGAACTTCTCAACCGAAGACTTATGTCTTCCTCCCTGGATCGCCAAGACACAACGACAATCTGCATGAATTCCCCGACACCGAACTGTTCCCCTCCGAGCCGCCGCGTACAGTCAGGTGGATGCTTATTTGGCTGGCCGGACTTCAGAACCCGAAGCATCAAGACACTCTGACACAGTGTATTGAGAAAGCTTTCAAGGACGGAGATAGTGACCCATCAGATCTCACACTCCCATTCAACGGTGCTGAGATCCGCCCTGAAGATGTATTGAACATCTTAAAACTTACCGCCCTGTTTGCAGCTTCAGTGCTATCTACCATTGAGCCTGCCTGGAAAGGTAACATCACGTTATCTGCTACATTCAAAAGTAAGGACTCCGACCAAGCTCAGGACCCCGATTGCTGCGTCCTCCTCTGCCAGCTGCGAGACTACGTCTACGCCTGCTACCACCAGCTGACGTTCTTAAAGTCGCAGTGTTCTCGGGAGCAGTCTGAAGGTGGCTGGCATAATCATGAATATGGCCATGCTGTGTCTCCCCAAAAGTCCCCCCTCCAGGCCTTCCTGACCGACGCCTCCGCCTCCAAGTTCAAGACTCACCCCTTCGACCCGTGTGACATCTGCCGCAAGAGCCGTGCCAACATGGGATTCAGGGAGGAGGATCTGCCTACACCTCAGCAAACTGGCAACATACTCAACGACATCCTCACTCCCAGCTGCGGCGGCGAGGATCCCTTGCCGACGCTATGCTCTTACCTCAATTGCCTCACCAGGCGGACGCCACGCACCACCGGGGAGCTTGTCTCATTCTTCCACAATTTTGGGAATGAGCTTCATGATGTGTCCTCAAGTTTTTCCTCTCTGGGCTCCGCCCTCTCCAGTCAGCATGACGACTGCCCCGAGTGGGATCAACTTGCTGCCGACGACCTCCATGTCATCAAGGGCATCCGGGGCTCCGCCCCTCCCACCTCCAACCACGACCACGACAAGGACCATCCTAGGACACTGTCCAAGCTGCTTGGCTGTGGTATCGATAATGCCCAGTGCCCACAACATATGAAGCCCATCACCTACCGGGCCTACGCCCTGTACTCTTCCAGCTTCGCCCACCACTACCTCAGCTGGGTGGCCTACCTGCCAGACAGACTTTGGGACTCGCTTGATAGGCTGCAAGAGGATCTCGAGAACCTTCAATGTCACGACGATAAATCCCTCCACCGCTGTGACAAAGCCATGCCCCTCCTCTACCTACACGGGATCACGTCGCCGGACGGTGTATCCCAGCCTTCACTCACGTGTTCCTAGGTCATCGACAAGCTGGAGGAAGTGGTCTCCGGTGGACCTATCGCAAGCCTCATGACCGCCATGGACACATTCCTCTGGCACATCCGGGAACCTTTCATCTACACTCAGCTTACACTCTGGCTCACCGCCACGCTCCACATCTTCGGCGTACTCCTCTACCGCATGGACGTGTTGCGCTTCCGCTCGCACCTCCTCACCACCGCGGCCTCCCACCTCATCGACGTCAAGGCCTTACTCACTAAAGGCCGGAAAATGCTGTCACTCTACAAAGACGTCGACTACTTCGACGATGAGCCTATGGGTAATGGCCTCCAGTAATTATCGCATTCATCTGATCGTTTGTAAGTATATGATGGGTTGTAGTTGAGGCATGATATGTTGTGTTGGTGCAGCACGTCCAGTATTGTAGTGTCATACAAGCTCGCAATGTTTACACACTTCCAGGCGTAACCGCAATAATCTGACCCACCTAAGAGATAATGGAGCCTGACTTGTTAAATTAGTGTTCCGTTCGACTCCACCTTCATTACATTTCACTATTTAGGGATCCTGGCAATACCTCATAATATCTCCAAACCCTTCTCATCATCTCCAATTTCTCACTACAATAGTCTCATCAGCTTCGGATAGCGTTATTTTTGTTTTTTCATATTCTTTTTCAGTGTAGTAGAATAAACGTACACAAAGAATCATGCTATGCGTAAACACTTGCAACACATTTGGCAGGCATAAACAGTGCATATTACAAGCGTCTTATGTTCTTTCGACCCATCAAAAGAGCTCTAGCCAACATTTCGTAACGATAACTAATATGCCGTGTAATTTCCACCCGATCCACTCAACTAGTCAAGCTCTACATCATGATACTTTATTAGATGTCTATAAGACGACGCGCAAACAGGCGAACAGAATGTACCATGTATTTGAAAACATTAGACGACGAATATAGATTCATTTATAAGGTTTTTAGGCTTTTCACCTGATTCTAACTCGCAGACATTCCATCGGCCTAGGCGCATTTCCGTGCCGAGAGCCATATACATACGAAGTTCGCTGCCCACGCTGCAGAACCGTATATCGTTAACTGAACCTTCATAGCCGAAGCTACACTCGATTTCGAGCGCACAACTCGAGTGATCGTCGTTGAATGTGTATCGCACAAAGTGAAGCTTCCCAACGCTGGTGCCAACAACCAGGTGCGGGCCGATTACGCGTATGCAGTTCACCCACACATTCGGACCACCAAGCGAAATGGCACCAATATGCTTTTTCAGCTTGGTAGAGAACACCAACACATATTCGGAATCCAGTCCAACGGCAAATATGTATTGTGGGCGCTTGAGCATTACACAGCAGCATTCCACGTTTTGCGATAGGGTGGCAGGTACCTTGAATGCCAGGTGAGTACCGCTATTCAGCTGCGCAATATAAGAATGCGTAATTGGACGCGTAAACATGTATGTGGATGTTCATAAGGGGTCACTTTAACGATACACGATATATTACATACCCGCATGGGAGAACATAACCCACACATACGGGCATAGCTATGCAACGTCACAGTAACACCCAGCACTTCAAATAAGAAGCATTATCGAACTTCAAATTACATATAATGACTCAAATGCAAATCAATGCGAACAGAAGCAACTTACGTTCCACAGCCGAGCGGTGCGGTCGCTGCCAACCGTAAGGACCCGCTCGTAATAGTCTCCAAAATTGATAGACAGCTCATCAGGAGGCGGACCATTGGGTAGCGAGTCGCAGAAGTTCACGCCGGCGGTGTGGCCGATAAGCTCGTGGAGCGGAACCGACGTATGTCTGACGTCCCAGACCTTTGCCTTGCCGTCTAACGATGTGCTTGCCGCGACGTTAGGCGCCGAATCGAGCCACTTAACACAGCTCACTTGCGAGTTGTGAGCCAAAATGCGATCAGAAGCTCCGCTGCGAATGTCTATGAGCTGCACCTGCCCACAAGAAGTGCCGCAAAGCACGCGGTCTCCCGCTAGGTCGACGCTGAGCACATTTGTACGCACAGACTCCAACGGAGACACGTCGAATTTACCACTGTTGCGCAGACCTTCCGCCGAGCAGTCGTACAACAGCACGCAGGAATCCTTGCCGCCGCTGGCCAGACGACCACCGTCAAGGCCCAGCGATGTGACGCAGTTACGGTGCGAGCGCTTCTGTCTAGAAGATAGCAACTCCACCATAATAAATAAAAACTGCACAGTGAGTTAAATTTGGCTGTCGCGCGGTTCGGCGTGGGATTCCACCCGTCAGGGTGCAGCAAGTCGCGCACTTAGAATCGCAACCTAATGTGGAGGAATGAACCGGTGATCGCAGTGGGCGACAATGCCGTTCTGCTCCTCGACGCTAAAGGCCGAGTTGAGCGGGAGCTGTCAAAGGTAGGCGGCAAACGGGTTGACTTAGACACAACTGCAGGAGGGCTTACGGTGCACAACCAACGCCGTGGCGGCAGCGGCAAACCTAGTCTGCGTTGCTACCAGCGACAAAGCCAAAATCACTTTCATATCGGAATCGCAGAGCTACAAGGTCTCCGTTCCTGAGCTGGTATGGTTGATTCTATAATTGTTCACGACGGTCAGATCACGGCAGTTGCCTTCTCCAGGTGTGGAGAAGTACTCTATGCAGGGTCGAACACAGGCAGACTTTACGTCTGGCAGGTGAGTTCATGCTGTTTTTTACGGGATGTAGTCGCGCTCAGATTCGCACCGGCACGCTGGTGAAGAACAAGCAAATTTTCTTCAACGCGGTTACGGACGCCAAGGTTGACTTTTCGAACACGACCATCTTGCTGTCGGCACAAAACGGTGATCTTGCGCTAATCAGACTAGTAGAGTAAGTTATTTGCAATGGTTATCAAATGGCGCGAAAGGCTATTCCTCAAGGACGCCAATGGCACGCTGTACCTGGGGCACTCAACAGCCGTCACTGGGGTTGCCAACCTCATGCAAGGACCCTACAAGAACACTGTTTCTTTCATATCAGTATCGCGCGACAAGAATATAAGGTTCTGGCATCACACAAAACGCACCTCAACACAGTCGCACTTCCTGGAGCACACGCCCCTCGCCATCGTACCGAGCAGGACAGGAACCCGGATCTTCGTGCCTTGTGAGATGGGACATGTAGCCGTCGTATCTATCGCGAACTTCGAGGAGACCTTTGTGCTCTCAGGCCATGTGTAGGTGTTCCTTGCAACTAACCAAAACTAACACAGGGGCTCCGTCACCGGCTGCGTCGAAACACTCAACCTCATCACGTGCGCACTGGATGGCGTCAGGGTTTGGGACCTCGAAGATAGGCTCTGCATCAGCCACTACAGTGGTATAGGTGGGTATGAGCGGCGCCGCATTCACCCATGTTCAGGGCCCAGGATCAACAAGCTCCTGAGCGGCGTGAGGCTCGCCGAAAAGGCGCAGTTCGTACCGCTCAAAAACGTAGTTTCACAAGACTCGCTGGCCACTATAGCCATGAACTGAACGCAACGAGGTACCGGGTGCACCAAGCACCAAAATGGATCGGTTGTGGTCACGGGCATAACTGCAAACTATGCAACAAACATCGTGAGTCACCGCGGCCAGTGAAACAGCAAAAACAACACTTTAAACAAGCTATAGTTTTAGAGAATTAGATGGCTCGTTTTTACTCGGGTTTAGAGAGTGTCGGGCGAATCTTTTTGAGCACCAAGGCGGCGTCAGCGTTACCTGCCGCTAACCACTGGTGTGACATTACCCCTTCAATGGTCGGCCTCTCTGAAGGCTGAATGCGGAGCATGGACGACATGAGCTCCCTGGATGTCGTGCTGGTATGGCAGGGGAACGAGAGCGGTTTGTCCAGTATCTGCTTGACCGCCTCTCGGAGACCGACGTCCTCGTTGTGCCACGGCAGCTCCCCGAACAACATTGCATAGAGCAGTACGCCGAGTGACCATATATCCGCGCTCTTGCCGTTGTATCCAGTCACTCCGGCGCACCCTAGCACCTCCGGAGCCGCGTAACTCATGGTGCCCACCGTCTCCAGCAGGGCGCGGTTGTCGTTGATGCGCGTGGCGGCGCCGAAATCCCCTATCTTTACGATGTATGGCATCATTCCGTACTGAATTGCATGCGGCTCGTAAGCGTCCACCGCGTGGTTGCCCTTGCTAGAGATGGAGGCAACCCGTCCGAACGACCTGGGCACCATGCGCTTCAGAAAGATGTTCTCCGGCTTGATGTCGCGATGGCAGATGTTCGACGAATGCAAGTAGTGCACACCGGCCACCACCATGCGGAAAATTGCGCGCGCCATGGGCTCGGCCATCGGGGAGTACTCCTTTATGAGGCCTATCATGTCGCCGCCGTCGCAGTACTCCATCGCGATCACTATGGTGGACACCGTTTCCAAAAGCTCGAAAGTGCGCACGATGTTGGGGTGCCCCAGTGCAGTAACCAGGCTCATCTCATCCTTGAGCCGGCGGAAGAGCGCACGGTCGCAGTTGAACTGTGACTTGCTGATGACCTTCAACGCGTATGTACGGCGGTGAGACTTGTGGAAACCCACGTGGACCTTGCCCGACGAGCCCTCGTTAATGCGGTAGAAAAACACGAAGTTGCCAAGAGAGAGAAAGGGTATTTTATTGTACAGTGGCATCATGCGCGGGCGGCACTCGTTGCCGGAGAGCAGTTTTGTGAATACGTCCCAGTCTTCCAGGCTGCAATCGCGTTTGGATGAGGGGATCATGCCATAACTGGAGGCGCTGGTTGCGGCGTGGCTCAGTGCATCCACTCCGCGGGAACCGCGGACGGGGCTGTCACTGCGGCAGCCGTTCACAGCTGCCGATGACCGGGGATAGTCTGAGCTAGCCCCTGCATGATAGTCACGGCCTATATCGTCGTCTGAATTTGGCCCTTCGGCACAGGCAGCCGTCGATGGGGTGCCCGGCACGACGCGTTTGTGCGGGTTTACGTAGTGATTGAGCAGCTGCGAGACGAGATACACGTCCTTGAACAACACCTTCCCCTTCGCAACGCCCCGTTCGAGCAGCGCGTCAAACTCTCGGTCAACGCGAGTGCCACACGCCCTGGTGCCGGAAAACGCCTTCACGCAGCTGCCCATCAAAACGTCAGCCTTGAGGAGGAGTCGAAACACCTAATTGATATATTCGGAACAGGAAGATAACCACGCTACCTCCCAGAAGGCCAGAACGTCGACAAAGCTTTCGTAATCCGAGTCGCGTAACGTCGAGAGTGACGCACGGGTGGCGCTGCGGAGCTCCTCGCTCCACCCCTGCCGCCAGCCGGAGTCACCCATCACGCATCGCTATGCATTCTAATCTCGTCCAGATTGTTAAAATTGAGATGCTGTGGAAAAAGTGCCAGATGTAGGTCAAGGCGCACTCCACACGCCCGGCGGCGCAGTGACATGCGAGGCAACGCTCACAAAATCACCGCTCCGTGAACAAAAAAATGCGCATGCCTTGCACTCATCTACCTGAAAGCTTAATGCGCTAGAGACGCAGAAAAACTACTACCTTTGCGTCCGAGGGGTACATGGCGCCTCCGCAGACTCGACAGGCTGCGCCGCTGTGAACATTGGCAGATGCCAAACGTACCAGACACGCGATCGGGGAACGCGGGAACCAGCTTCTCCACTACATTACAAATGTTGTGCAGCGTGCTGCTGTGGGCGGACGTGATGGTCGAGATCAACTCGTTGACGCAGCCCAATATGCTGGACTGGGGGCTCCCGTGCCAGTAGAGATCCAAAGACGGCAGCAAAGGTAGACCGTTGAGTCGGTGGTACAACGCCACTTCCTTGCCAGAAAAGGCCTTCATCGGCCGAATAATTCGCCCGCATTCCGCCAAAGTGTGCTCGTCTACGAATGCACTCCGGTACGCCACGCGGTCGCCGGCACCCAAACACGTTAGCATCATCACACGCCGCGCAATAATCTCCTGGGTGTCACAGGCGCACACAAGCGCACCAGTGAGATCTCTGCGTTGGATATACGCGCGTAGGTTAAGTGTACTCAACAAGTCCAAAGAGTAGGCCAACTCGTCGCAAAGCAATCCGTCATGCATTCGCGACAGACTCTCCTTCAGCGAATCGCATCGACCGTCACACGAAGTATCTCCTTCGTGCAAATAATAACAAATCGGCAGATGGGAGAGCCTCACACCGCCTAACAAAACGCGCTCATTGGCGTTATCAATCTTTGGCAGCGGTTGGTATGCCTCGCTGGAGTTACCGACCACGTTGGCCACCGCCGTAACGTGCTTGAAGAACGCCTCCGAGCGTTCAGCGAAACTTCCGGTGGTCCCCACATGGTAGTCGAGCGACAGCACGCTCTCCACTGACAGGTCGTCCGATGCGAAGATACGCGACGCCACGTCACTGTCTTCAGGGACTTGCGATACCCGCAAATAGCGGCGCTTGTTGCGGTCCAGCAGCAGATGCAGCATCGACGTGGAGAACGCATCTCCTCCAATCAGCAGTATCATCGGTTGTGCCCTCTCCACCCGCTTAATGCAGCGGGTCCGCAGATTCGATGCGAAATTCCGGCGCAACACCTCGACGAAACAGTCCTTACAGGACGCCTTACGGGTTAGCAACGTTGCCTTACGAGTGTTACATCGGTAACACTGGGCGCCTATGGCAACTTCCCGAGTGGTAGCATCCTCGGCACGTACGCTGTCTGATTCCTCGGTACCATTGCCGCCGCCACTCTTGCACCCTCCCGAACAGGGGCCATCTCTCCCGTTCCCATGCATCGTATACCAAAGCGCGTGAAGCGTCCGGGTAGCCTAAAAACCTAAATTGCCGGACAAAAGCCGGCAGGAAGACACGTAACAGCACGCAAGCAAACTACAGCCACCGCAACAAGCATTGGCGCATCGTGGTCAAGATTATCATGTGTTGAAAATTTAGATATTATCAGAAAGCCGCTATCAGCGACCAAAATACGCCATAAATGTGTCGAGTGGATGGAATCTGCGAAAGACCAGCGGGTTTGGGGATGCACATCACTAATCCTGCCGTGGGTTTTTTACACACTTGTAAGACAAGTGGCACACATCACTGAAGCGTATGTTCTACAGGCCTAACGGTACTTACTTCCTCATCGCCGGCTTCCTCTGCCTCCTCCTGGAAGTCCTCGGAGTTGTACTCCTCCTCAGCGTCTTCTTCTTCCTCGTCTTCGGGCTCCTCCACTTCCTCTTCAGGTTCCTCAGCCTCGGAGTCCGTGGGTTCTTCCGTTATGGGCTTCCGGTTCTGCGCACAGCGACGAGTAGAACGCGGGCGTTTGGGCTCTAGGGTCTCGGCGAAGTCTGCCACACCGTGAAAATCACTAAAAATTTACACACCTCTGTCAGGGTCATTCTTGGACAAAGGATCTTCCTCATCGGAATCTGTAAACGTTAGTTAGGCAGTGGGATCGGAAACTAGACATCCAGGGTCACGACACCAACCTTCATCGCGAGCGCGCTTGCGCCTGTCATCCACCATCCTGATCAAGTTTTACTCTCACAGTAGACAGAGAACGTGAGTAGGCCGCAACACTGTAATGACTATGGGAAGTCAGAGCGGCCGCTCTTCACAGATGGGGTGGAAATTTATGGGTATCCGTTGGGCGAGAACAGGCGTCCTAGGAAACCAGAGCAAACAAAAACATGTTTCATTGCCTAAATGACGTACGATGACTCGTCTAGCCGGGTTTTTTGGCGACCCTGACGATAGAGGTGTCCCCAAATTGCGGCCCTCAAACTGCGCGTGTCAGACGCTACACTCGTTAAAGAGACCATATAAAATCATTAGTGTGCTGTCAGAGGCTGCTAAACCTCTTGCGGAGTGAGAGCATAGTTACCGGTGTCGCGACACACCTGTCCGGTCATGAGCCACAGCGGCATATTTTAGTGCTAGCGTTAGGGTTTACAACTCGAATTATTTAAACGTCACAACTTGTAATAAAACAACAGCATTTTATAGCGATTACAAGGCATTAATCCATAGTCGCCTATGCCGAGTGTCGTCCTCGCACATTAGGACGTCTTACCCTATTTTCGTCCTAAGCATATCCACGTAATAATTGCAAATATAAAATGACCTCCTGGGTGGACGGGATATGTCCATTCGACGCTGTGGCCCTTGGCCCTCTCCTCAACATCTCCCCACAGGTATTGCCAAGAATCGATTGCTGCCAACACTATCTACAACAGGCCTCCGGAGTCGGCGAATCATCGGTAACGCACCGCGTGTAACCGACTGTAATATCGTTAGGAGGATTAAAGCAAGAAGTCAAGGATGAGGTGGGTTACAACAGTCGCCTGATCACGCCGCGCAGTAAGCTCGCCGTCGACACCCTCAACGAGGCCATCGAGGCCATCCTCACTCAGTCGAAGGAAAAGAAGAGGAATTTTGTAGAAACTGTGGAGCTTCAGATCTGTAAGTTCTACCCATTTGCTTCATGGCGATGGTGATGCCCCTTCTACTCATGGTGTCACACCCGTGTCGGCGTCAATGGCCCAGGCTGCTTATAAAAAGCAGCCAATGATATATCCGTGATTCGGTAAACACGGGTGTGACGCGTAATTGAGCCGGAGTGTAGTTAGGGCGGCGCCTCCGTCGGAGGGTCTGGGTGGACCACAGCAGAATACTGCCCAGTCTGCGGCTCTCGTGTTCGTATAACGGAGTTGTGTGTGGGAGCTGGTGCCCTATTGAGTGTGTAATTTGGAGGCTGTTCGTCACCGCTACCGTTTGCTCTGTCCGGTGTTTTGCATGATACGTGGCAGTGCGACTGTAGTGTCAGGTGCCAATGTGTTTTTTGCTGTCTAATGTTGTTTCCCCGCTCATGACACGTGTAGCGCTCAAGGACTATGATACCCAGAGGGACAAGCGTTTCAGCGGTAGCGTAGTGCTGCAGAACGTTCCCCGTCAGCGCCTTCGCGTCTGCGTGTTCGGTGACCAGGTGCACTGTGACCAGGCCAAGAGCCTTGGAATCGATTACATCGACCTTGAGGGTCTCAAGAAGTTCAACAGGAACAAGACCCTCGTCAAGAAGTTGGCCAACAAGTACGGTGCCTTCCTCGCCTCGCAGGCGCTCCTGCCGCAGATTCCCAGGTTCCTCGGACCCGGACTCAACAAGGCGGGCAAGTTCCCCACCCAACTGACCCACAGCGACAACATGGAGGACAAGGTCAGGGAGATCAAGGCCAGTGTCAAGTTCCAGCTGAAGAAGGTGCTCTGCATGGGTGTCGCCGTTGGAAACGTCGAGATGTCCCACGAGCAGCTGAGGGCGAACATCGTTCTCGCCATCAACTACCTTGTCAGTCTGCTCAAGAAGAACTGGCACAACGTGCGTGGTCTCACCATCAAGAGCACCATGGGTAAGCCGCAGAAGATCTACGGCTGATACCGCAATCGAAACAGCTAGTCCTAATCTCGTGCATAAACAACATCACCGCTGTGTAAAGGTGCCGTTGCCACGCGCCGAGAGTGCGGGGCTCGAAGCATGCATAGATAAGCGCAAATAGAGCGTTCTTGGCGTTGACGAAATATCGTACCTGCCTGCAGCTTTAGCAATGGTCTGTATTAACCGCGTCTAACACCCCAGAAGAGCTGCTCGCGTCACGGCCCGTCCGGCATTCTTACCGTGTTTTTACACATAGGAATAACGTAAAATTACGCTCAATACGCGCTATACTCACGAATCACGCAAACTGCCGTCGACCTTCCGGCAAACACACACTCGGTCAGCGCGTAGCGCAACGCAACCACGCCAAGAATGGCGGCTGCCAACGCCGTTCTCGTGTTCGGTAGCATCAGGAAAGCGGGGGGGAACGATACGGTAAGAGAAGGCTGCGATATACCATGTTGAACTCAAAACATCCAGGGAGCCTTCAAGGTGTCCACCGAGCTGTTTGGATGGAAGAACAAGCGCACTGGCGAAGTCGTGCAGCACCGACAAAATGATGTGCAAAACATCACTCTCATCAACACTGGAGGAGGTATGTTTATATCCATTTGGCGTCACAGCATGGCGCTGTTTCCGATGGCAGCGTGATGAGCATTTGCCGTCAAGGAAGAAGCCACGAAAGCTGTTTCTCTGAACCCCTGTTGTCTTGCGTGTCATCCTTATTGTCGTGTCATCTGTGTATGCCTGAAGAATATGAAAGTTATTCGGAGCAATGGAAGTGTGATACCATGGACCCTTGTGGAGGAGTGGCCATGGAAAGTATAGGCATTATACCCGTTATACATGGGTAGCTTGTGATGGCTTCTAGTATGGAATGGTTTTGATACTGCATTTAGTGCCTTTGTTTGACCTTTTGTGCGTGGTACCGCTTTTATCGCCTCTGCGTAGATTCGCAACTAATTCCATGCAGGCATGTACCAGGTGCGCTTCGAGATGAACGCTGCCAAGGATAACGCCGTGCTGAGATTCTGCGGGTTCTCAGAAAAGGGTATTGCGGAACTGAAACAGCACCTCGATACCCACTTCAAGGTCCCGGTAAACATGGACGAAGTAGCGCACACTGGCTGGCACTGGGGGACGTACGAGTTTGACAACAATACGTTCAAGCTGAAAATCGACGAGAAAACTGCTATCGACATTGACGCCAAAAACGTCAGCCAAGTCACAGTACCTGCAAAGACGGACCTCGCTGTTGAACTTAAGACCGACAAGGCAATGGCCACGGGAGATGAGTTGGTGGAGATCAGGTTCTTCATGCCCAACAAGCCCGATACAGAGGACAACGAACTGCAGTTGGAGGACCTCAAGCAGGTACGGCTATATACTGTCTGTGGTTATACAACGACTGCGCAGACCTTCCTACTCAAGGCCGGTCTCGACGAACTCAAGACGGAAACTGTCGCGCTGCTCACGGATGTGCCGCTCATCGTCCCGAGAGGAAGGTTCGAAATCGAGTTTACCCGAAGGCACATCAAGTTGCACGGAAAGAGTTACGATTACAACATGTTCTTCACAAACATATCACGCATGTTCCTGGTTCCCAAACCAAACAGCCCTCACGTCAACTTCATTGTGGGTCTGCACCAGGCGATGCGCCACGGGCAGACCAGATACCCCTATGTTGTTATGCAATTTGACGCTGAGGAGGATATCGAGCTGGAAATCAACATGCCACAAGCTGACTTGCAAACCATGAAACTTGACAAACTGATGACCGGTAAGCACCCTATCTCTGATTCAACCATCATCGCTAATCAGGCAAAACGTTCAATGTGGTGACAAAACTATTTGGAACTCTGGTCAGCAAGCCCATCGTCGTGCCAGGAGAGTTCAAGTCGGAGAAGGGAGAATCTGTAGGTTCCTCAATGCGCGTCTCAAAATCTACGCAGGGATTCTCATGCACCTACAAGGCAACGAGCGGCCACCTGTTCCCGCTCAACAGATCGCTGCTGTTCATTGTTAAGCCAGTCATTTTTATCAGGTAACTGGAAATGTATTCCGCGTAATTACGGTGTAGATTCGACGACATTATCTCTGTGGAATTCAGCAGGACTGGAATGTCTACGCAAAACAGATTCTTCGCGTTCAGCATCGCTACCAAACTAGGACAGGAGTTTGAGTTCACGAACATCGATCGTGCTGAATTCGAGCCGCTTTCGAAGTACCTAGCGTCGAGGGACGTGAAAATCAAAAGGCTCGAGGAGGCGGAAAATACCGCCAACTACAGGGCAGCGCAGCTCGCCGCGGCAGAAGACGATGAGGACGACGAGGAAGACGAAGATTTCGAAGATGAGGAAGGTAAGAACGATACGTCTCGTAGGACGCAACGCCACGCAGAGTCAGATGAGGAAGGCTCCGACGAGGATGAGGACGAGGAAGAAGAGGAATAATCCTCCAGACAGACACACATTTAAAATTCCCAGTATAATATTTAAATATACACATTGTTGAAGTGTCGATGGCGGATGAAAGCAGCTCGGACGCGTCCGACACCAGCCACCATGCCGTCGAATGTAAATGGTACTTGCGAACGTCTATCTATACACATAGGAGCAGGTCAGCGGTACAAGCAGGATACGTAGAGGATGCGTACATCCGTTACTTCACCGAAGGCAAGAAGCATGGGCCGATCCACAACATGCGTACGTCGTCCGTTGGTATCGTCAACATTAAACAACAGTTCACTTCCTGCGCATCACCGCCATAAGAAGAGCTGTGACCACCTTCATCGAGCAGTTTCCGGAGGAAGACGTGCAGCTGGTTAACCTTGGCTGCGGTTTCGACACTCTGGCGTTCTGGGTGCTGCAGCAGTACCCGAACGCCACGTGCTTCGAAGCGGACAAACCGGAGCAGTTGCAGGCGAAGGCAACGATGATCAGGAACGCATCACCTGTGATGCAACTGTTGAAGGACTACGAGGATGACGGGGAAGAGTTTATAGTTGCCAAGAGATACAAAATGGTAGCTTAGAGCGGCGGCAGAACGAAAATGCGCAGGTGCCGGCGGATCTAAACAACATTGCAGAAATAGAGACGCTCGTGCCGAAATATGGCTTCTCCAGGGAGTATGTCGTAAATGGTGTCCCTTAAGCAGCTGCAGCCAACCCACCCTATTCCTCAGCGAGTTCTCCCTTGTTTACTTGGGTGTGGAAAACAGCAACGAGGTACGACAGTTCCTGCTATATCAATCATGCATCTTCAGATCATCAAGTTCGCTAATAAGCTATGCAATCGCCCGTCCTGCTTCGTGTATTGGGAGCCGGTGAGCAGTTTGACCTCGGTCGAAGTCATATAATCTCAGACAAGGATCGAAGACAAGTTCGGTCAACTCATGCTCGAACGGTACAGAGTGAGACGCCATCTTAGTTTTTTTTGCATCTTTGGCAGGAATTTGGAAGCGAGCTACATGGGTCGATTGCTTACCCGACCATAGAGAGCCAGATCAAAAGGTAAGTGCACAATCAACACAACAAAATATAAAATCCGAAAACCACCCATGTGACATTGTCTTGTGGTTGATGATGTCAAAAATACATTACATGCCTGATTACACGGAAACATTGATGCACAGGTACACCGAGCTCGGCTGGCAGAAGGTCGCGATCATGGACATGAATACCCTATACAACGCACTCATCACCGATGAGGAGAAGAAAAGGGTCAAGGTAGGTGTTAATATTGGCGTCACCGCATCGAGCGCTTTGCAGAAACTTGAGTGTCTGGACGAGGTCGAGGAGATAGTCATAGTATGCCAGCATTACGTCATAGGTATATGCGGCAACCAACCGGAGAAGCTATCGAAGCTGTTCGGTACATTCACCCAAACGGAGGCGAACAAAACGATTAGAACTTACACAACGGAGGAAGTACGAGAAATGATACGAAGTGGTACCCTTTCCGAAATGCAGCCGGCGCCATTGAACACAGGGTGGCTATCGTAGAAGACGACGCTGTCTCTATACGTAGCTCACCGTGGGAATAATGGTGGGACCGAGAGCATCGATGTTTATGCGTTAGCGCAAAGCATACCACTTTAAAATGAAGCGTCAAAGATACGCAAATATTGTAGTGCAACAGCATCCATAAATGTGAGATTGTAATGCATCATTTGATATATTCGAGTTACATGACTGCCATTATTCGCGTAGCCTCTGGGCGGTATTACGACTCCGGATTTATAATGTCCTTGAAGAGGGTACGGACGGATTCGCCCGGCTTCTGCTGCTTGGTCCACACGGACTCGCTCTTGCAGAATGAATCTAGGTGTATGATGCCGGCGAACTTCTTGTTTCTATTCATGATTTCCTTGCTATGCGGCGCAAGCTCCGTTAAAAGGGATCGCCTGAGCTGCAATGGTGACGCCTGGAAGAGGCTGGAAAGCACGAAAGCGCCGTTGGTATCCATGGCAAGGTCGAACAAGTGGGGCTTCAGGTACTTGAAAAGCCTCTTCACCTGCTTCTCAGTCAGCAAACCCTGACGGCGGTCTAGCATTAACTGGAGCACCCGTGAATAATGGCGATCCGTGGCGAAATCGACCAGGCGAGCATTCGATTTCAAGATACGGAGAAAGTGTTTGAAGTCGCTGAGTACGTTAACGATTAACTTACGCTCAAACTTGAGCATATGTAACAATATGGACGCCCCAGTGGCACGCAGGTGGATGCGAGTTTTCTCCGGCGGCTTGCAAGAGGTCAGCGCTAGCCACAGTTGACCCTTGCTTGCGTCCATATCCGATCCGTCGTCAGTTGGCGTTTCTTCCACGGATCGCTCATCCGCATTGTCAGGGGAATCGGGTGATGGAGCGCCGTCTGACCGCTGCCCCTCTTTCGCCCTGCTATTCTTATCTTTGGAGCCCTTCTTTTTCGAATCTTTGACCGTGTAGCTAGATATGTTCAACGTAGACATTAGCTTTTTCACAAACAGAGCTTGACCCGTTCCCAGAGTAACCGCAGCCTCACACAGCCGCCAGATCAGCGCCGCGGAGGGACTCAGGAGCAAGTTGCCAATGTCAGTCGTGTTCAACAATTCCTCCAGATGGCTTGTCTGAAAATAACGGTGGCCAATTATGGATTGGATGACGTAGTTGCCAAACTGGTTTTCCGATAGCTCCTGCGCCCTCGTGGCCACCATGGTCTTGAAAACGCGATTAAAGTCCTCATTGGAGCATATCTCAAGACACTCTTGAGCAGCGAAACTTAGAGTTTTCGACTCCGTGCAACGCAAAAAGCAGTGCTCCAGAACCTTGTTGCACAAGTGTGACACGTTGCTGCCAGGTCTCTTCTGGCACATCTTCAACACAAGGCAAACAGTGGAAGACGACTGGCTCGTCGAAAACGAACCGCCCAGATCCTTGCAGAATAGGTCTGCCCAACGCTCCAGTCGTGCGAAACGCCACTCGTCCAATTCATGCTGCAACGTTGTCAAATGGTCTCAATGAAAGGTACCTTGGCATGCAGCAACACTTCGATCTTTTCTGTGGGTTTTCCTGATATTGTTGTGAATCTAAATCGCATAAACACTCACTTTTTGCGCTCCGGAAGGGTTCTGCGTGCACAGCACATGCGATGGCCTTTATAAGGCTGCGCAACACATGCGAACCTGACTGGTGGTGCAGCATCCGGAAGAGGCAACGGTCCCTGGTTCGTGATAAGTTGGATACGGCAGACAACCTACTCTACAGTTGCCGCAAAATACTGAAGCGGTTCACTTAGATTGAGGCCCTGGTGCTCAAAAAGCGTGCCGCACTGGAGAGTGCTCTGCAGAACGTGCGAGCCAAACTGGTCCATGGAGAGAGTCTCGACATCTCCCTTCATCATCAGATGCGTGCATATGGACTGGCACAGTTGCCGCTTCTCATCGAGCTCGTTCTCTGGGTCTTCCATTAGGGAATGGGCCAGGAACGCAATGAGCTTCTCGACATATCTCGAAAGCGATTGATGAGTTGCCAACGTTGGAATCTGAACGAAATTGATCATTTGCAGAATCGGCGTAAACTCACATGTTCCTGTATCTGCGAAAAAGCGTTAGCTGCCAAGAGGTACTTTTCAGAAGCGGTGGATTCCTCCTGGACTTTGTCGATGCACTCACGCAAACTGCGCAGGTACTTCTCCACCTCTACAAAGCTCAACATTTTAAAGCGGAAAAGTGACACTGGCGAGAGGCGATTCTTGCCGTGCGAGCCCGCTAACTCGTCAAGCCACGTAGCGGGGTAGCCGCTACCAAGCTACCACCTTAAATGATTAACAAAGGAGATGTGCGCTCGCCAAACAATAGAAAACCATAATAGCAGCTTATTTAAATGTAGCCGTGGCGTGTCTATAGTCTCTGAAGTCGATCCAGGGCGACAAGGCGCGCTTCAAACGGGAGAACACAGTGAAGCGTGTGTTTGACCCAATCAGCGAGCTATAATGGACGTACTACGAATGTACCACCGTAAAGAACCCAAATGAAGCCGATGTGTCGCTTGCGGAGCTGCCATGCGTAGTCTTGCTCCACGGTATATGTGGAACAGCAGGGTGCTACTTCTACATTATCGAGAAACTCGCGGAAGCTGTGAGTTACTCCTACATTTAAATGTGCTATGTTGACCCCGATGTGTAGCCTTAGATTCAATATTTCCGAACTACATATCAACATTCAAGGTAGCAGATGTGTATGAACTACGAATTTTATCACGTCACGGATGCGATTTGGCACGTATTAATGGGTGTTTTTTGACTCATGCATACATGATAAACCACATTTCTACATGTATTGCAACAAATTATACCGTGAAATGCAAACATTTGACAACAGGGAGTAAGATGCATCTCCGCACAGTATCCGTAATACTATTCTTCGGACGAGTGGATTGCCGGGCTTCTACACTTTTTCGAATACCTCAAGCTGTCCAAACCCCTAGTATTTGCAAGCGATCTTGGAGGATACCTGCTGCAGCTTTTCGTCAAGAAATACCCGTAATGCATATGCTCCATGGCGCTATGCAATATTTATCGCAGGTAAGCGCCATCTCATGTTTTGTTGCACGTTCTGAGCAAACAGAGGCAGAGTGTGGCTTGGGACGGTTTTCGCGTTTACCGCTCGTGCGCCTCACGCTGTTGGTGTAGATTTCTCGTCACTCTCCTTGTTACCGAACTTCGTCGCTGTTATCCATGATGGCGTTCATCCTGTCTACGGACGAGGGTCATTCAAAAAGTCGTCATGGTCTCCGTCTCCATAAGGTTGTCTTGACTGGTTATTCCTGTTTCCACGATGGTGATGGTAATCCTCCGTTGGTCAGCCGGTATTGCCTGGTCGGTTTTATTCTTTGGTCCTCTGAGTTTCGACTGTTTTGTCGTACGGAATCCATTCATGTTTCCCATGAGCTTCGCTCTCGATCTTGTGGGCGTCAATCTTCTCCTTGGGTAGTCCTATTTGCCTCCCAATTACCAAGCGCACTCTTGGTTACGTCGTCGTACCTCCTCGTATATTCTATGCGTAGCATTTTCGGGCATCTTGTTGCTAAACTGGAATCCTGAAAATGACGTGCAACAGCTTTCTCAAACATCCTTCAAGCGTCAATAAGTTCGCACTACAACGTGTCAGCGTAACCTAGTACACGTAGCTTTCTATGACCATACCCCTACATTTGTGGACTCAGTAGGGGCTTCTCATGGGTACACACTGTACTGACACATACTCCTCAGTGACAAAACATGAATTAGGATGACACAGTTTAGTACTTATTTGGAGTTAGCTTACCATGCAAAAGGCGTCATGCTAATCGAAAACAATGCGTATTGGTGGAAAGCGCAAAGACATAAACATCTCACATATGCGGCAAAATCTATCTAATTAGAATCGGGTCCATTATTGTGCCACTCTACACTCCCGCCATATTTCGGCGTTGGGAGGTAACTACCATTTGATGACACGTGCGAGCCAGTACGATGACCTTTACGTGTATGAGTATGACACAAGCGCCAAAATATGGTTATTTTGGTGCATTGGAACCTTGCGTATATACATCCTCTTTTTAGTTTCACCCTACTCGTGAAAGATGCATAACAACAACCCGTTGACGGAATCGACGCCGTATGTTGAGTAAAAACTTCTGTACAAAATTAACGTTTGCGTTCAATACGCAACGATATCTTAGCATTTTCGTGTTCTCCCATCCAACCGCTTTAACATTCTATACCAGTATGAAAAACAGGATGATTATGCATCAAGAAACGGAAGGTTTACGAGAACGCTTTTTGCCAACCGTATATTTATGCACAATGGAGTTTAAGAAATCCAAGGGTTCTTCGAGTGCCTCGTAATATTCGAGGAAATCCCTACAGGTTCCTTCGGGGATAAAGTCTCTAACGTTATATCCCATGGATGCGAGCATCTTACCTACGGAACGCTGGCCAGTACCATTAAGCTTGCTGTCTAAATTGTGCCGTTTATTACACTCACTCTGAATCATATGGAGGTCATCGCATACAGGAATGAGGAAGGAGACGAAAATTTCTGCGCATTTCAACGGATTCTCGGCACAAGAATTCTCCCAAGTCACATCCCTGTCGTATGATTCAACATACGTTGAGTCCGTCGTGAGGTTGAGCAAAATCAACTGAATTCTCGTCGAAGCTTTCGCCAGGTGGCGGTATAACTCATTGACCTTTACCTCTTTTTCACTTGCATCCATTAAATGCAGTTTGATCAGAAGATTATCAATCCACGAAGTTGGTTTAGTGATCACATCACGACCAGATCGATGAGCCCCTTTGGTAATCGTTTTGTGTCCAGCAGCTATGTCCTGATAATTTGACGTTGCATCTTCCGAACGCACGTTGGTGGGCGCGCCTCCCTCCCTTATGTTTGTTAATTCTGGAAGGATTTGTGTACCATGCAATAGTACAATATACATAGTCTTTGCGAGCATGGGTATGGCGCTGCATCTCCTGACAGCCACCATCCAGTCAAGTGACTCCTTCAGGTTTGAAGGAGCTTCCAGAAGGCTGCAGTAAACAGCCATTTTTGGAACAAGGTGGGGAAACAAAACTTCGTTTAATGAAACATACCGAGTACTATAGCCTTCACATGCGTTTGCTTTATACAACAACTGACCCGAGAGGGTTAGAGATACAACAATTCACAGGATACAGTGCAGTAAAATACACAAAAATAGCAACATACAGCCGAAGGCCCTGATTTCTACCAATCAATAATATGAATATATAGGGCCACAAACACCTTTGCGATAAGCAAAAAGGTTTAATCGTTGGAGCAGAAGGATGGATGTCACTTAGACGGTGGGCTGTCTACACCCGTCCGCAACGGAGAAGAATATTCTAATCCCATATTATAGTGCATCTATTAAAAATTATTATAAACCCCCGATGTGCCGATCGGCGATGCAAAATTCGTAGCCCTGTCAGTCGTATCGTCGGAGAGATGCACGACACCATCGTTACACATATGATTTGGCATTGCATAAATGGCCTAATGCATAACCGTAATGGAAGTTTTCCTGCGTATATAAAATTTAATGCCAGTTCTAGCAGTTTGTCAGTGTATGACTGACGACAGCATATTAGACATATAGGAGGTCATTTAGACGAGCGCGTGACTATATACATGAGCCGTGTAATACAACACATATTTAGACGCTGCTTTCCGTGAGTATATAAAGTTAATTGCTAATGTTTCTGAAATACTTTTGACATATGGTCAGTACTGTGTGACGGAGTTACACCTTGTGCTCTCAATGGGTATGCCTACCCCGTTGTTACTACCCTGTTATCCCAGCTAGTATCGTTGTCTGTTTTGTTGAATACGCTATATGCGTATGACTGAAGTGGATTGTATATTTAAGTCTTTTACATCGCTGCCTACGTTACTGTGATGGCTGAGTTGATCATGGACGCGAATGCCATTATTTTTACTCCGAAAATCGGCTTCACCCGGAATGTACGCAGTGCCTCAACGAAGCAACCAATAGAATCTACTAAGTACTTTGGAGACAACGAGATTATGTACGCTCGCGAGATCAACAGCGGTGCTCATGGAAAGCACGGCTGTGTAGAGTATGCACAGGACGTCCAGACGATATAGCGTTGCGTGTGCTATGTAGAGTGTGGCGATAGACCACAATGTGAACAGAGTGTAGAGGAATGGTAGACGGATGCCGTAGAGGAATGTGTCCATGGCGGTCATAAGACTTGCGATAGGCTGACCGGCGACCACTTCCCTCAGATTGGCGACAACCTTGGAACATGTGAGTGACGACTGCGCTATACCCTCCGGTGGTGTGAACCCGTGAGAGTACAGGAGGGGCATGGCATGGGGACACTGGTGGATGGGCTTGACCTTGGAGTCGTGGCGGTGAAGGATCTTGAGATCATAGTGAAGCCTGAGCAATGACTCCCACAGTCTGTCTGCCAGGTACACCGTCCAGCTGAGGTAGTGGTGGACGAAGGTGGAAGAGTACAGGGCGTAGGCCCTATAGGTGATGGGCGTGAAATGCTGTGGGCAGTTGGCATTTGTGATGCCGCAACCCAGTAGTGTGGACAGGGTCTCGGCATGGTCTTGGTCGTGGTTGAAGGTGGGAGGGGCGGAGCCTCGGATGCGCTGGACGACTCGGAGGTCGGCGGCCTCTAGACGGTCCCACTTCGGGCAGTGGCCATGTGTCTTGGAGAGGGCGGAGCCCAGCTTGGACAACTCTGAAGATGGTAGGTGCAGCGTATTCCCGAAATTGTGGAAGAAGGATACAAGCTCCCCGGTGGTGCGCGGCGTCCGGCTGGTGAGGCATACAAGATACTTGCAGAGCTTCTCGAGTGGATCAGAATTTTGATAACACACCCCGGCCAGCACGTTGTAGATGTAGAAGCCATGCTTGGACTCATCACGAAAATGGTCCGGACGAAACCCCATCTTCACATGGCTCCGCCGGCATATATCGCCCCTCTGATACCAGTAGGTGGAGAGATCGGACTGGTCGGTGAGAAAGCCCTGCAGCGGGGAGGCGTCGCAATCGTGACCTTGAAGTTTCATAGGATCTACCGGATCTTTGCGGCACTTCCAAGCTCCGGAAATCTTTACATTTCTACCAAACAGACAGTCACGCCATCCGCCCTGGTCGGAGCCCCGCCGGCACAGGGTGCGCAAAAACGATAACTGATGGTATGAAGCGTAGACGTAGCTGCGCACCTGGCACAGCAGCCTGTAGGGGTCATCGGAGTAGTACATGAGAGGGATGTCGTAGCGTTGGTAGTGGAATTGCAATGGGTCCGGAGGCTTGGGCCCCTCCATGGCAGCGAGCACAGAGCTGGCGTGGCCACAGGCATCGAGCAGAGTGCTGATGACATCTTTGTCCAAGAAAGATTCGGGCGATGGAATGAGCTGAGAGTTGTCAAAGAAGCCCGCAATGTGTTGCGTCAATGCGTCGTAACCCGGCGCATACGTCAAATCACTGATCCAGCACAGCATGTCACGCACGGTTCGGGGCGGCAGGTAGGAGGCATCGGTGGGCGGGAGCTTTTCGGTGACTGATACGGGAGAATACAACGGGCATATAGGTTCATCAATCATAACACCCGGATGATCGTCGATGTCCACGGGGGTGAGTGGCGTGAGTTCTGTAGAGGGAAACAATGCATATTCCGGATACTCCTGTGTAACTGCTGAACCTTCAAGTTCCACATCTTGATATTCGGTTGCAGGCCATACAGGCTCAGGAAACGGTATAGGTTTTGTGATGAAAGGGTCCGGTGGATAATAATCAAATGTCACATCCACACCGTGTTTCGAAGTGTCGCTGTCGAACTGATCGGTTGAATCACGCCGTTCGGGTTTAATGATTTCTAATCTCACCCTAGGAAGAGAGTCCTTATTAATGCCCTCATCGACGATGCCAGGGTCATATAGTTCAGGTTCTGGTGGAATTGGTGGGTGTATAATATCTTCGGTTATATCCATCACTTGTTGACTATTGTCACTAAAACCCGTTGTATAAGGTTCTGGAACTTCAATATGCTCATCGACTTCATAATTAAAACTCTTCTGCTTCGCGTCCAAATCTGCAATGTCTTTCAATTGCGTTTGTTCTGCATTCAAGATGTCCGCATCTAATTTAAGATAGTCCTGTGTTTCCTTTATAATCTTATTCAAGATGGCGTCACGTTGCTCCTCTGCGTCGATTCTGTCATTCCATTCATCCTGTATTTCTTGAAGAGACTTGTCTTCGACGGCTTCACCGTCAATTTCAAACCGAGGCTGGTCCTCAATTACAAAGCTGCCCAAAGTGCTAGCATATGGATCCACGTGCCCCGGTATTGGGACATCTTTATAGGTAACATGCCTACTTTCCCGTGGTGGCTGAGGAGTCGGAAGCAGAGGACCAGGATTATGGCCAGTTGGTTGAGAAACTTTCACAGGTGGTTGGGGGTGAGGTTGAATTGGAGAGTGTTGGGATAGAGGCTTATTTGGTTGATTTGGTGCATCATTCCTCTTCAGAAAATCATTCCAGAGTTGCTCACTGGTGTAATTAAATTTGTAGTTGGGGGGAATAGGGTTATGATTTTGTGGATAACAGTATATTTTTCCATTCTCCTCCTCTGTTCTCAAACCATTTGGGCATGGTTTTTTACTGTTTGGAACAAGTGAATCCCTCCCACCCACACCTTTACCAGGCGCCGAGGCAGCTGGCAAAGTAGCGACGCCGCTTACATCTTGCCCAGTCCCCCGGCCACCAGTTGCATCAGAGCTTGAAGTGGAAACACCCGGAGTCTGAGCAAGCGCAGGCTCCTGAGAGACAGCAGGCTGTAAACCTGGAGTAACACCGCCATGTGAACCCGGATCGTGGCCCTTGGCACTTGGCTGACTAGGGGAGGCAGGCGGTCCAGCGGGAAGAGGGGGAGGAGGCGGCTGAGGGGGACGCTGTGGCAGAACTATATTAGTATTCGGCTGGGGTTGAACAGTTAATGAATCTGTTCGAACTGCAGGCTCAGAAGACCCCAACGTCACTGGACCTTTAGGCCCTGCCGGGCCTGCATCTCCTTGATCACCTGTAGGCCCTGGTTTCCCTGAAGCTCTATCATTACCGGAAGGCGGAGCTGGAGCAGGAGAATTTTCAATTGGTAAACCTGGAGGCTTTTCTTGACTTTGATCATTATTCTGATCTGAAGCCCCCTCCCCTTTCTTGCCTTGGTTCTGCGCTCCCTCAGATTTCTTCCCCTGGTTCTGTGCTCCCTCCGCTTTGGGATTTGCGGGAACCTTGGCAGGCGGGACCTCAGGCTTTTGGGGTGGAGTAACCGGAACTTTCTTTTCCGGCACCACTTCCTTGGGGGCTTCAGAGATCTTCTCAGGTTCTGGAGAAGGCTCCGGTGGACACACTTCACCATCCAAAATCTTTTTCAATTTCTCCAATCCTTCATGCTCTCTTGTAAGCTCATTAATTACATTAGCCCAATTCTCTTGCAAAACATTTTGCTGAGCCTTCTGTCTTTCGAAGTTATATTTGTCAAATGTGAAACCATATGGGAAGAGATTTTTGATGAAATAGTCTGCAGTAATTTTCATTGTAGTTTTATCTGTTTTAATCTTCTCCAAATTCTCCTTCACTTTGTCCAAATTGCTTCGCAACCACTGTGCCGTGTACTCTGCAAACTCTTCTTTCTTAAGGTCTTCCACCTTCCTACCGAAGCCAGTGAATGAAAAGCGGTGGTCGGTGAAAATTTTGCTAAATTCAGATTTAAGCTTCTCACAATGTGCTTTTAAATTATTCCAACAAATACATTTTCCTTCTAGTTTAATCTCCTCATCCAATTTACTTTTTATCTGTCCGCCGTCCTGTGATGTCTTGCCCTCCTCGACTATTGAGCAAAACGTTCTCACCAACGCCAGGGCGTTGGCTGTATTTGAGTCCTGGGTGCCGGATGTCGCAATGATCACGGAAGTGGAAAAAACATCGCGAAAATACTGGCCACGTTGTTTCTCACAAATCGTTGTAAGGGCAGTGGTCATATTCCTACCTTGGCGGTAATCACGTTTAACGTCGCCTTGTCTACTGAATCCTCCAGGTATAACACCATAATCTTTAGAACCTGATGAAGCAATGAGATATTTTTGCAGATGACTGGCCAGTAGTGTGCTTCCACCAACTTGATTATTCGCCCACCCCCCTCCACCCAGCGCACTGAACTTATCGTCCACATTGTACCTCAAAAAGTACATAACGGCTAAAAACTTGGGAATGCATTCTAGAAGGGCGTCGGTAACGTTTTGTGCATCTACAGTGCTATAGCTTCCGGGCGTTGGTTTGTAGCACAATTTATTATGAAACTTTGACACGCTGCTAAGGAAAGTGGAGAGTGCGGATTCAATTTGTGACGGATCAACATTGTTATACTTGCCTGTAAGATTCTTATGCAGTTCTCTTGCAACGCCGGCTTTCACGCCATTCTGCTTATTTTGATGCAACCACAGCAGGAACTGGAGACACTGCTTGAGAGTGTTGAGCGGAATACCGTGAGCCGTCATCTTACATACCAAAGCACTCAGCACAAAGACACTAATAAATGGGCACTAGGCTACTCGCACAAAAGTACAAGTGAAAGCGTTTAAATGGTTAAATAGGAGACACTAAAGCGATAACACCTCTGAGGTGACGTCACTGCTTCCAGGTCACCAAGACACTGCCAAGTCGCTTGCGATGATTGTAATTGCGATGTCAAGTTTATGCTTACATTTCCTGTTTCATAAGCTTCTGCGTATATTTCCTTAACCATGTTCAGGGCTATTGCGATATTGTCATCATCCTCACCGATCCACTTATGAAACTCCACAACGTAGTTGGCCGGCGTCTTACTAACTTGCTCAGGCTGAGCTAAGAGGTTTCCAACCAAGGCTTCAAATCGTCGAAGAACTAAACAAATTCCTTGCGAATTAGTGAGTTGATGTGGTCTCGGAGGTTGTTGAGAGCGTGCTTGATAATTTCAATGAAGGCGTCGCAGGTGAGGGATGGATGACGAACATCTGAGCGCATCTGGTAGAGTAGGAGGTAGGCAGTAGAGTACTCTTAGGCGGGCTAGATGGGCAAGGCTAAGCAGGCTGTTGTGAAAATGGACGGAGATCTCAGGAAGGATTTGAAGGATGTTAAAGATAAGATTAAAAATGGGTTAGATAATGTTATTGAGAAGTTGGGAGTGAAGGCTTTGGATACGAAAGTGAAGGGTGATTTGGGGACGTTGAAGGGGAAGATTAGTGATGTGACTAAAGATGTATATAGGGATACGGCTGATCAGGGCCTTCTGAGTGGGCAGTTGAAGGGTCTCCAGGCGGGGAAGACGGCGCTTGAATTGGTTACTAAGCCAATTGAGACGCAGACTGGAAAGCTTGAAGAAAACTTTAAGAATAATATCCAAGAGCCGCTTAACGATGCGGTCACTGCAGTTGACCAGGCGATTGTGGCGCTTGGCGATACATTTACGTTGCAAGATCCGGATAAAAAGAAATTGGAAAAGATTTTCGTGCATATTAAAGAAGAAGTTGGGAAGATTAAGGGGAATACAGGAAACGGAGAGTGGAATAATGCAGGCGGCTCAGGCCTGCAGGGAATTAAGTCCAAGGTGCAGAGTTATTTTAATGCGTTCAACGGGAGTGCCGAGGGAACATTTAACAAAAGAGTCCGAGGCTGGCTGGATGCGATTTGGGGGAAGAAGCCAGAACAGGAGCAGAATAGTAATCTTCAAGCGTGGCTTAAGGAATGGATTAGGGTGAAGGGTGTGGATTCGTTGAAGGTGCATTTGAAGGTTGCGGGTAACGAGCCAATTAATGAATTCCGTGATCAAATTGTCAACGCCATTACTTCCCATTTTCAAAACGCCGAAACAGAAACCGAAGGAAAGGTTAAAGCAGTAAAAAATGACAGCATTCAAAATAGCATCGCAGCCGTCAAAGCAGGGTGCGAGCATTTTGTCAGTAAGCTTGATGCGGAATTCAATATGCAGAAGATTGAAAAGCTTGCCGAGGAGATAGCCAAGGAGGTTGCGAGTGCGGTTGGAAGTAAACTACAAGGTGGTGTCAATATAGAGCAGAAAGACATTATACCACTGGTCGAATCTACCCTCATTGCGCTCCGCTCAACGGTCCACCAGGTGGCCGACGAACTGAATTCAGTGCTGCTCGCCGGCAGCACAGAAAACAGCATCGCTGGCATCTTGGACAAGATCACGCCGATTGCTGAGAAACTTGACCGTCAGTTTAACCAGGCGACCAGCAAATCCGTCCCTCCCGGCAAAGATGAAAGCCCCGCCCAAGCCGTGGAAAGTAGGTTTAAGGAAGCGAAGGATCAGGTTGAGGGTCGAGGAGGTGGAGAGAGCAGCCCGACGGTGGAGGTGAGTGGAGGAGGTGAGGGAGGAAGGGAGCGACAGCGACCAGTGAAAGAGGGAGGTGAGTGAGTGAGTTGACATTAGCGGTGAGTTAGGTGGTGAGTAGGTGAGTGAGATTACATCAGCGGTGAGCGCCGTGATAATGATGACGACAACCATCACGGTGAGAAGTACTTGACGTTGGCGAGTGCCTTGACGCGTGCGGCGGCGAGTAGCGACTGTGCGGCGACGCGGTGGCTTGAGGGTGATTTTAGGTGGGAACGAATCCTTAAAACGTCGAGGCGGACGACGGTGATGTGCAGCAGGTACAGGAGCGACAGCGACCAGAGGGCGAGGAGGGTCCATATGAAGGGCTTCCGGATGTCACGAAGGAAAATATCGATCGCGGTGAGAACCTCGTCCATTGTTTTGGACTTCAAAATCATCCCCAGGGCCATGCAGAAGTCTTTGCACGTTCGTTTTGTAGTTTTACCCGCAAGACTTACTACGTCCTCATGAACAAATCCATATTTGTATATTTTCGGAAGCAGATACTTGCATTTGACAATTGTGTCACACAATTGAGTGTGATTTGATTCTGGACTCATCGGAAATTTCGTTGCTCTACAGTTTATAACACATTTCGTAATGCGGCATTTAGAGTACTCAGTGCCACAAGTAATATGACACTCATTATATAATTGCTCAAGTAAATCGTAAAACGTTTTCGTAATATGTACAACCCAAGATAAATACCGATCGGCGTTCTCCTTGGAAAATATACAAGCGATGTCAAGGCAAAGTGGCGTTAGATACGGGCCGCAGGGATATGATGGCGTAGTTTTTGGATTACAATTCACAATAGAGTAGAGATCTCCATTTAGGTGTGCGCTATCCTTTCCAGAGCCGTGGCTGATGCTCTTGAACATGGAAGTAATATCTAACTGTGTAGTTGAATCTTCGAAATTTGCTTTCACGACGGCTCTGTTAAATGCTGTTTCCCTGTGTTCCTTACGTTTTCTATTATTGTCATCCCACCCGTTTAGTAATTGGTAGAAGAACCCGAACATCTCGTCGAGTGTTTTAGGTGCACTAGGGATAATACAATTAAACAGACCGCAGAGTCTACTTAGGGGAGACCATTCACCGCTACAAAAGTCAGATAGAGCTATGTAAATGTGCTTGCCCAGCTTTGTATGCGATGCCATGACACCTATTTCGGGTAAACCCATCGGGGTCCTGCATGGCATACCAGGCGATGCCTTATTACAGGTGGAACATGAAAGGCCAGGGCCTTTAACAGTCACATCATGTGGCAGGAAACCTCTCAGGCCGTCTTCCAGGAACGACTGAAGTGGCGACTTGAGGCCGCATTGAGGATGCGTTTTACATCCTTTGTTACTGTTGCACTCCGTGCATTTAAGATCATTGCACTGCCAATTGGAGCCAGCGACACCTTGACCGTAATGGCAATCACCCCAACCACTTAGGTTAGTATTGTGCAAGCACTGTTGGTATAGGAAGTAAAGCTGGAAATGCAGGCGTTTGAGGATAGCAACTAGCAAGCAAAGCAATGTTATCATGTCGGTGGGATAAGATAAATTCAAAGAATTGTTGGAAAAATCAGAAGCATACATGCCACCTGCGTGGCCGCTGCCCAGTATAGAGATAAGGACAGAATGAGAATGGTGGCAGACATCGAAGAGCGCACTTGTAAGGTCGCTGGCTTGGACTGAAAAGCCCACTACGCTTTTCAAACTGGTGGGCACAGCAACGCTCAATGTTTGGGAATCCTTATCAAACAATTCCTTGAAGTAATTACAAAGTGGCTCACGTACAGGATTACACCAAAGACCGTTAAGCCAGCATAGCATATGAAACACGGTGGTCGGAGGTTTTGCACCTTCGTCGTAGCGCAGGTGGGAGATAGCGTAGTAGGCGTTGAGATAATCTATAAGATTTTTGAGTATACTATGCTTTGTTGTAGGTTTTTCATTTTGATCATCGTCTTTAACGAGATTCGTATTGGTTATAAGCTCATAAATCTGATCACCCTTGAAATCCGGATTATTGCGCAACTCCCCATCATTTTTCAGATAAGCGGTTGGAACAATGAAACCGCACCTGTCGAAAAAATTTCCAAGCGGATTAAGATCAGAATCCGAATCGGAGTGATAGATTGTTTTCAACTTGCATCCATACTCACCTCCATCCTTACACCTTACCCTCAGCTCATTCATCTTTGTAAACAGGACAGCAATTAGAGTAAGGCACACCTTCGCGAATTTCTCAGAATTTGCAGATTTCCACTCTTGCAAGGAATAAGTCGACACGTATTCTCTCTTTAACTCCTCTATAAATTCCTCAAGTCCATGCTTCAACGGCAATAAAACCGCTTCAGGAGCGTCTTGGAATGTCTCTGTCTGAAGTTCATGAAGTACATTTTCGAAATCCAAGCGCTTCCTCTTAACTTCGTAGTCGAAATGCTGTGATGTCATAACTTGGTTGAGCAGAGATTCAAGGCACGTGGATATTTGATTGACATTTCCCTCATACTGCTGAATTTCATCTTGCATTGTGAGCGACGTCAGAAGGTTACTGAAGCCCATACATAAATGTTCCGCCGCGTGGCTCAGTTGCGATTTGTGTTTAGTAGAGAATGGCACGTAAGCATCTCCAATTGACGCAATATTCTTAACATAATCTAACAAAACATGTTGCATTCTACCCATCAACCCCTTGACACCGTTAGATAGATCCTTTTTACTGATCTCAGCAATCTCAGCATTTTTGTCCGTAACAAGTTTTTGCAACCTCTCCAGTCCAGCTTCTTTCGATATTGCAAAGTGTTTGAAGAATTCGTTTTTGATGGCTTTTTGGGCTTCGGCAGATTTTTGCATGTACTGGTTGTGTAATTCCTGGATGTACCACTTAGCCTTTCTGTGGACTTCATCAATTTCCTTGTCGATATTCGTAATCATATGAGACAGTCGCGTTCCAGCCGTGGTCACGAATTCGAGAGTTTCTCCAGCTTGCGTATTGAGCAGTTGGAATCTACTCCTAATCTCCTCGATGAATGTATCAACACTAGACTTCGCTTTTTGAACAGTATCCGGAATTTTCTCAAGCGTCAATATATTGGACAGGACTTTTGCAATGGACTGTTCGGCTGCTTCCTTTGTTTTATGGTAAGTGCCGAATTGTGTTCCTTCACCAAGTTTAAAGGATACGTCGATACCTGTGTCAAGCTTTATGAAATATTCTTGAAGGCGTCCTTTAATAGCGCTGATTTTTTTATCAAGGTTGCCTTCTTCAGCGTCGGGCTCGCTTGTCACCCACTTTTTATAATTTATCATCAGTTTCTTAACAGCATTTTCCTTTTTATCAGCCCCCTTGAAATCAGCTTCAACATGATCCTTAATGTCCTTGACAAGGGAGTCATAGAAGTTCTGTTGATCGGGTTTAAGAGCGTGAATGTTTTCACCAAGCTTCTCCAGGAAATCTTGTAGAGCGCTGTAATTGCCTCTGCCATTGTCCCTTAACTGGTTCAAAGAGTCTCTCAAGGTACTGTCTGCCTGCATAGACCAATTAATTAAAGCCTCCAACCTGGGAATGACACCATTCAGACCATCACCGAACTCGCTAATAAGGTGACTGGCATCTACAATACTTCCACCGCTTCTAATCTTACCCACAATCTTGTCAACTCCATGATTCTTCATCGTATCAATTACGTTTTTAATCTTAGAGTCAATCTGAGACTTCAACTCCCTCAAATCCGCCTGCACTTTTTGATCTAACTGGCGAAGCGCTGTGCCAACGTCTCTTACAGCCTGATGAATTGCGCCGCCAATTAGCTTTCCGGTACTATTAAGATCCGTGTCCAGACCTTGGATGTTTGTCAGAATTCCTTTGATCTGCGTATGAAGCTGGGAGCGCTCCGTATCTGTAACCAGCTTACCATTCTGCTTAAGCTCATCAAGCAACTTTTCAATGTTAGTGAACTGCTCAATAAATTGCTTTCTTCTGCGCTCATTAAACACCACCGCCGTGTACGCCCCCGCCACTTCCTTGGCATCCGTAAGTGTTCTATGCGCTTGCGCAATGCAGGACTCTAAAGCAGCTTTATATTTACCTGAAACATTATTCTTAAGCTTCGTAATATCATCATATATTTTCTTTTTTAACCCATATGTCTTGTTAGTTATGCGATCCTTATGATGTTCATCTAATCCTTTAAATTCCTTCTCCATATTCTCGCAAACCTCTCTAAGACCTTTTCTGTCCTTCTTGGCGCAAGTGATAAATGTGTTAACCTCCCGAACAATTAAGATTATGTGCGGATGCAATTCCTTTTGAATGTTTTCGTCAAGTTTCTTTAATCTGTCGGAGGATTCATATGACGATAACGACAGATTTTTGACGGATGTCAACCAACCATACAACTCAATGTCCCTAACGCTGTCATATTCTCTTTCCTTCAAACCTTCAATTGACGTTTTTAAGATGTCTAAATCAGTTTCTAAACGTTTTAACGGCCTTTGCACGTCTTTAATCCTCCCCTCCAGATCCCCCAACCACGCCGCAATCCTATCCTTGACTGGAGTTATCACAGCCTGCAAACCTGTTTTACCTTTATGACGATTACGTTCCAACTCATATACAGCAGCATCTAATTGAGTTTTATAAGGCAAAAGATTGTTATTTCCATGGACATCTTTAAGCACGGAATGCAAGAACGCCATCACCCCGTCGCACAGCCTGTCAAGGTCCGAGTACACGATGCCGGCGCCCGAGTAGCCTTTGGAAGATGCGTCGAAGCCTAGAAACTTTTCTAAACCTAGACAGAGGTTAGTTAATAACTCTTTAGAATTATTATTAAAGTTGTTAAGATTATCTTGATGTTTTTTAAGTTCCTCCAACCTGTCATTCACATCCTTCAAAGCTTTGTCCCTGACTTCCTTAGAAAGATTATGATCTCTGTTATAATGATCGTCTTTCTCTTTTTTTAACATATCTAATTCAAAGTTTTTAGAGGTCAAAGAGGTATTATTAGAGGTGTTTTGAGACTCATTTGAGGACTTTTTAAGTTCGGTAATTTCAGACTCAAAATCCGTAATAAGCTTCATCTTCTTAGTACAAAACTGGAAAGTTTCAGGGCACTCAAGTTGCTCTTTCCTCTTTTTAAGACTCTCATCAGCCTTAGAAATAGCCTCATCAATCAACTTTTCCAAGGCTTCAGCCAACTTTGGAATACCTTGACCATCACCACCGTATCTAACCTGTATCAGCCAGTCGATGGACTCCCGGAGATTTTCCGGGCAGTCCGTCAGCTTCTTCGGCGCCATCTTCAGAGACGAGATACCACCGTCTACATAAGTTCAAATAGCCCACCAGCAATGCGATGTTGCAAATCCCCGATTCAGCTGCAAAAATGCGATAAGCACTGGACGCTTGTCATACAACTTTCTCAGTGCCCCGAACTACATTGATCAGATTTGTGCCTGATGAGGCAGCAATTTACAATTCATGCCAAAACCAGCATCCGCCTCGCTCACCGCTTCCCAACCTCCAGTATCCAGACAGCTCACAAATCTAATCCACTCCCAAGGCAACATGAAACCTCCTAAGCGCATTAAGATGTTCAAAAGCACAAAGCAATCGTTGCCATTACTGCAACCGTCGAAATACTGTTCGCATAAGATCATCTCCCTCTCTAATGAAATTCCAGGTATGCCCCACTATCACTACAGGCCATTAATATTAGGAAGAGCGTCTTCATGGAACATGACTATGAAGTACGACAAGGAATGTTGTGAATAGAGGCATGGTATAAATATGAGTTGGAAATGCAATGGAAATGTGGTTCCCTCCGCAGCATCCATAAGTAACGGAATATTCGATACCTTATGTAACACAACGTAACGTTTGTATGTACGACGTCTGATGTTACTATGGAGAGCAGGGCAGATGGACGGAGTGTGAAAAGCAACTGTTTGAGTGAAGATTATAAAGGGGTAAGTGAATTACGATGGCAACCATGGAGCGTATAGGTCAAGACAGAGGAGGCCAAGGAGCCTAGTCGACCGTAGACCAGACTCTAATACGAGGAAGAGCGTAAACTTTATCCTGGAAATAGGAATGGCAACCAAGATAAGGTGGTGAAGATGGAGAAGTTCAAGATAAAGATATACGAAGCCCTAGTGAAAGACCTTAGCAGAATGTTCAACCAACACGAGGAGCAAGGCAATACCGTATGCAATGGGTAACATGCAACCCAGAGAATACTGACTGACTCACTCTCGCACCCAAACACGATGGATGCCACCAGTAACGTTTGGCAACAGATCGACGTGGAGTCCTTAGACTACACCAACAGCATGAGGCCCTAGCACGGTAAGTGGGAGAATGGCATTAGCCAAATGCAATGATTGGCAACTCTGCGCTATTCAAGTGCTCGTATGGGTGGCTGTAAGCGTTCTTATAGCCGAGATGTTGAGTTGTGCTCCGGCACTGGCTGACGTGTTGAGTATAGGAGAGCGTGGTTACTGGGAAGTCATGGGTAACATTTTGGTGTTCACTAGGATTAGAATTTTGCACAGTGGGTCCGCTAAGTAGACATCAGCGCATCAATAACGTGGTCCATGGTGGCAGGCATTAGGGTGGCTTAGCTTAGGATGGGTGGAGTTGTGACTGGGCTACTTTAATACTAGTTGACCAAATATGGTGAGTCGGCGTTGATGATCAAATGCGTCGTCAAGAACTTGTTTTCTCTGGGGTGCAAGACGCGCGACGGTAGTATCTCTGGTAATGGGAAGGCGGAGATGGCCTGGATGGTAACGGAGCGCTGAGGGGAGGCCGCTTGACGGGGTCGTGATGCAGGGTATAGACACACAAGCTGTCGTTCACCTGTAAAAGCTATGGACATGCCACCGTCTTATTGTGATGCATAATGTCACTTCAGTTGTGCTTCGGACTTTCACGAGCTGTGAACTTTGCAGCTTCCTTAGTCCACAGGTGAGTGGAGTGTTAGCATTATTTTTGTCCCAACACCTGTATTGCAAGCCGTGTTGAGCAAAGGAGTATCTGCGATTTCGGAATGTCTAGTGATTCGTCCTAATATTATGTTTCATTTTTAGCCTTTTTATTCAGTCACCTTGCAGTTGGGCCGCGCCACACTTTTAAGCGGCGACCATTAGAGCTTTAATCACGTTAAGATATTTTCTGCTTCAGAGACTTGAGAGCTTCGCTGTTGTCATCATGTGACGTTTAAGCGCATATTTATTAATGTGTTGTCATTCTGTCACTTGTAATAATGGCGGAGGGTGGGAATAGATTCTATTTCACCAGTCTTAGGGACTGCTTCATATTTTTTGATTGGTTGGAGACTGAGAAGAAGGATAAACTAAGCGAGGTGGCCAAAAAATTGCAAGAGCGTCTCAGAGGCTATTACAAGAATGTAGATCTTCAGATTGAATCTGCATTGTCAACTTTCCTCTCCAACGTATGCGGCTTTTATTACAAATTGGTAAAGCCAGGTGTTCCTGAAAACGTACTTGTTGGCACAGCATCAATAAAAAAGGACGCAACACTAGATGACACTGTAGATGCCCTATTCGGGTGTCTCCCCAAGTTCCTCTCTGCCTTATACTTTCTGCTCTACCAAGTGGACATAAGGTTCGGTGTACTGGGAGGAACGAAATGGAGAGATGATAACCCTGGGTATATAATGCGGTGGTCTTCGTGGCGTGATTATGGTGGCGAACTAAACAAGTATCTCTATGAGCAGTCTGGCTCTAAGTACGGTGGCGTGATACCAGGAGGGTTCCGTGTACATGAGGTGAGGTATGGTTATAATTGGGATGGCTACCGGTATGGTTATTCTATGGCAACGGACCTTAAAAACATTTTCGGAAAAGTAGATGACCAATTTTTCCGTGACGTGTTCGCCACTTCTGTTCTTGCTACCACTTCTGGCACCCAAATTTCTAACACTGCAAATGCTCTTGCATTGGTGAACTTGTTTTGCGAGATTGTGGTTGAGGCGGATGAGAATGGAAATGGTGACGAGTTTAAAACGCATGTACAATTAAAAAACGGATGCGTACATTGGGGCTTTTAAAAAGATCATTGCTCCTCACTGAAAACCCAATTTGGCAAGATTTTCAATGATAAAGCCTTTTCCTTCACCGGCTATGGGGGGAAGCGTCAATACTTTAAAGCAACGGAATTTGCGAAAAGGACAGCGCAATGGTTGAGAGAGAATTTGGATGAGGTGCGGCGGAATTTGGAGAAGATTAAACCTTTTGTAAGTGAGCATGATTACTATGCACATGAATTCGCCAGGCTCCATAAACATCACACCATGCTCCAGGAATATTACGCCGAGCTCGGTCCATATTTCACTAAAAATCTTTTCCCCTACGGTTTCACTTTCTACGGTGAGAAAGAATATTTAAGGGAAAATGCCCCGTATGAGGACTTGAGAAAGGAGTGGGATGGTGTGATCTATGAGCTTAGGAGAGAAACTGGCGGCTTGGCGGAGTTAAAACGAATTCTCGATGGTAAGGGGTGTCCAGCGCCCCCTCCAAAACCACGCCCCAGGCCGGCGCCTGCGCCCAGGCCTCCGAGGCCTGCCAGACCTGCGCCACCACCCCGGCCTTCCGGGACTCCTGGCAGGACATACGGTCCAAGAAATGTTGGAGGTTGGTCGTCTGTTGAGAGTCGGCCTTCTGGTGTTAGAGGAGGAAATACAGGAGGGGGAGGGTCTAACCATAGAGGAGGGGGATCGGGGGCTCAGGGAGGGAGAGGAGGCCCGGGGCCTCGAGATGCTGTAGGCGCTCCAGGTGCTAAGGGCACACAGGGGAGTAGACATCCAGGGCCTACGGTGCTAATTCAGCCCCGACTCCTACAAACTCAAGATGATTCCCAGCGTCCTCTTAAACAACACCCTCTACCTGCCGTCCCCAGTGCTCCTAGAGTCCCTGATCCACCGGCTGAACCAGTTCCGACTCCAGCACGCATTGTGTCCCCCGATCCTACGCATGCTCACTCAAGTGCTTCCAGCTCCAGCTCTTCGTCATCCAGTGCCTCTGCTCCCACCGGTGGTCAGGAACGGGGTCCACAGGCGGCTGCTTCTGGACATATTCAACAGAGTAGTCAAGACTCATCTCCCAATCAAGACTCCAATCCAGGCATACTCGGTCAGCATTCTGATTCAGGTGGCGGTGCAGGAGTGGGTGGGGTGCCAAGCACCGGTGGGAGTTTGGCTGCGGGTTCAAGGGGCACTGTTTCCACAGCTTCAGAACCTGTTGCCCCTCTAAGCGTTGATACTGCTCACGCTCAAAGCGCTCCAGGAGATCTACAGTCTGCTAGGCATAATAGCGATCCAGGCAGTCCAGGGCCTTCTTTGCCACAGGCTGGGTCAAGTCACGATGGACCACCGGGGAAAGTTGGTACGCAAGTTGGTCCCGTTCCGGATTCAGACGGCGAGGTGTCTCCGGGAATACATCCCTCTGTCTCTTCAAATGTAAGCGACACTCAGAATTCAAATGTTCAAAGCCCAGATTCCCTGTCATTCCGTGACCATGATACTGCTCAGGATCTGAAAGCTCAGGCGCATTCTTCTACTCAAGATATTTCTCACCAATCTTCAGACGTTCGAAGCACACATCAGAGCGTCGACAGTGCCGATCATCTGCCATCAGCTGTAAGTAGTGCTGGTACAGGTGGCGATGAAGCCAACGGAGTGGGTGGAGTCTCGGCAGGGGGTACGGATGGCGATTCCCTGGTAGACAATCATTCTGGTAAACCTCCAAGCACCTCTCAACTTTCTGTGCAACATCCCACCCCAAGTAATACAGCCCCAGGTTCTCCATCATGTGGTATCCCTGGTCCACCGGGTGATGTGGGCCTTGCCCTCCAATCGCCTCCTCTGGTAAATCCTCAGGGTGACACAGGCGGCCATAGCCTAGCAGCCATTCCACAGGCTCTCAGCTCAGATCCTCTCAGTGATTCTGATAATGCAGTTACAAGAGCTCAACAACATGTTGGAACTCAGGATAATGGATCTATAAGTCAGCCAGGACTTATAGCGTCTGCTCCTCCCTCAATAACAGCTGCAGACCCTTCAAGTTCTCAGAGCACTCCACATGGACCCGTGGGGCCCCAAGGTGTTCACGATCAAGGAGCTATGCAGCCTTCGGATCCTAGTTTGAAAGGCGATGCAGAATCTACAGGCCCTCTGAATCAACAGGTAACCTCCAGCCCTACTGTATCACATGACCCTGCTGGTATGTCAAGAAACGGGTCTCCGGATTTAACGTCAGGTAAGCCTACAATTTCACAGCATGATGCTGTTCACGGCGCCGCGCTCACTACTGCCCCAAGTGTCTCAGGTCCACAGCCTTCCTCAATTGCTGCCTCTCCTTCCGGTGTGGGTCCGGACCCGGATGACCACGCGTCTCTTTCGGATCCTGCTCTGCCACATGCTAAAAATTCCATGGCAATCCCAGGATCCCTACCCATGACCTCCCCAGTTCTGCAACCTGGTCAAGAGATCGATGGAGCTGCAGGGAGTGGGAGTCCAGGGGCGACAATCGGTGACCCTAATTTGCAGAATAGACAGACGACTGATAACAATTTAGGGTCTTCTGGCACATCGATGAATTCAGGCAGCGATGCGTCGCATAAAGTACCACCTCAGACGTCAATGCCGGATCCGGCTGAATTTCAGCTTCAAATTGAAAAACTCTACACTCCGGATATGATTTACGGCGCTGATAAGATTCATGGAGAGCCACTGCCCGCGGTTGCATTTAAGAGTATTGTGTCACCGTCCGATACCTATTCTAATATACCTTCGCACCCCCCGTTGCATGAAACATTTGATCCAGAAAGTCTGGACTTCTCAACCGAAGACTTATGCCTTCCTCCCTGGATTACCCAGATACCTAAAGACAGTTTCGCAGATGTCCCGGATACCGAGTTGTTCCCTTCGGAGGTGCCGTGCACTGTCAGGGATATGCTTATTTGGCTGGCCGGACTTCAGAACCCGAAGCATCAAGACACTCTGACACAGTGTATTGAGAAAGCTTTCAAGGACGGAGATAGTGACCCATCAGATCTCACACTCCCATTCAACGGTGCTGAGATCCGCCCTGAAGATGTATTGAACATCTTAAAACTTACCGCCCTGTTTGCAGCTTCAGTGCTATCTACCATTGAGCCTGCCTGGAAAGGTAACATCACGTTATCTGCTACATTCAAAAGTAAGGACTCCGACCAAGCTCAGGACCCCGATTGCTGCGTCCTCCTCTGCCAGCTGCGAGACTACGTCTACGCCTGCTACCACCAGCTGACGTTCTTAAAGTCGCAGTGTTCTCGGGAGCAGTCTGAAGGTGGCTGGCATAATCATGAATATGGCCATGCTGTGTCTCCCCAAAAGTCCCCCCTCCAGGCCTTCCTGACCGACGCCTCCGCCTCCAAGTTCAAGACTCACCCCTTCGACCCGTGTGACATCTGCCGCAAGAGCCGTGCCAACATGGGATTCAGGGAGGAGGATCTGCCTACACCTCAGCAAACTGGCAACATACTCAACGACATCCTCACTCCCAGCTGCGGCGGCGAGGATCCCTTGCCGACGCTATGCTCTTACCTCAATTGCCTCACCAGGCGGACGCCACGCACCACCGGGGAGCTTGTCTCATTCTTCCACAATTTTGGGAATGAGCTTCATGATGTGTCCTCAAGTTTTTCCTCTCTGGGCTCCGCCCTCTCCAGTCAGCATGACGACTGCCCCGAGTGGGATCAACTTGCTGCCGACGACCTCCATGTCATCAAGGGCATCCGGGGCTCCGCCCCTCCCACCTCCAACCACGACCACGACAAGGACCATCCCAAGACGCTGTCCACGCTGCTTGGCTGTGGCATCGATAACGTCAACTGCCCACAACTCATGAAGCCCATCACCTACCGGGCCTACGCCCTCTACGCGCCGATCTTCACCCACACCTACCTCAGCTGGACAGTGTACCTGCCCGACAGACTGTGGGAATCGCTGCTCAAGTTGCACTGTGATCTCGAGGAACTTCAATGCCACGACTCCAAGTCCAAGCCCCTCCACCAGTGTGACAAGGCACTGCCCCTCCTCTACTCTCACGGGCTCACGCCGCCGGACGGGGTAACGCAGCCGCCAGTCACGTGTTACGAGGTCATCGCCAAGCTGGAGGCAGTGGTCACCGGAAAGCCTATCGCAGACCTTATGATCTGCATGGACAATTTCCTCATCTGCATCCGTGCGCCCTTCCTGTTCACCATCGTCACACTCTGGCTCATCGCCACGCTCTACATCGTCCACTCGCTACTCTACCGCATGGACGTGCTGCGCCTCCGCTCGCACCTCCTCACCACCAGGGCCTCACACCTCATCGATGTCAAGGCTTTACTCGCCGGCAGCCGCAGGATGCTCTCACTGTACGACGTCGACTACTTCGACGATGACTTTCACTCGTGACAGTAATTATCGCATCAACATAATAATTTGTTGTCTTGTGATTGGTTATGGTATCGCAGTGATAAATTATGTTTGGGCGGCATCTCCAAACATTAACTCTAATAATCCTTCACAATCATTCTATAGTCGCATAATACCCAACGCATACGCAGTGGCGTCCATGCATATTCCCATGCTCCTACATTTCCTCATTTTTACCAAGCCGTTTTTCCTTGAATACGTTCAACATGTTCCTAACACATCTAAGACTTCCATTGCATTTTATGCGTATCACTCATATAAGTCCCACTACCCAGTATTGACAGTTCTTACAAGGACCATTGGTAATGTGGCAGCAGCGTATAAGCACTAGAAGCGACCGTTGCCGTACACAGCTAGCTACTGCACACAAGCCAATTAGAAAAGGTTAATTTTGTTACAGTGGTGGCAAAATCAAGATTGACAACGATACCTAGAGGTATAACGGTTTAGTGTAAGAAGGCGTATAACATTTCGGGAGTCTCGAAATGGCGAATCGTGAGACTTTTGGATGGACGTGACTACGTTCCATTTACGGCCATCGCATCTGGCTTAAGGATATTGATTACAGCGTTTTGACGCACTATGTTCAGAACATCTCCCGCATCGACTTTTTAATGCTTGTCCTTGGTTGCCAGATCATGCTTATACAGCGTGTAAATTTCCTGTATATGTGACATGATCTGATTGCAACTTGATACTCACCGCGTTGGTTTCAATTTTTTGCTTTACGAGGTGGAATTCTTGTTCTCGTATTTCAATGACCTTCATCTGCTTAACATACGGCACGAAACATTTATATATAGCTTCGATTTCCAGAGGCTTAAGCTCTGACAAATCCACTTGCTGTTGATTGACAATGAAGTTTGTGAGCTCCATAATTCTAGACAGCCTTGTAGCTGCAAAAGTGTTGGACAGTTTCGCAGCCTCCCGTTCTCGTTCCAGGAACTCTTGCTGCGCATTATATAGCCCAATCAAAACTATAATCGCACTTGATGCTTAAATGTTAGTCATAGCAGAGATAACATGCCTACCTTCGCCTGTTTTACGCGCTGCTCTGCGTCTATCAGCGCCACCTTGAGGTTGCGGTCTGCAGTTTCGCAGTACCGCAGAGCCTCAAGGACGACCTGCCGAGTCTTCTCTGGGAGGGTGTGACCGTTTTTATACATTTAACTGATGCGTGTTTTCCCCACACCGTGCAAGTGTGTAGTTGGCAGATTCCACGGGTATTGGAATATCATCTTATTGACTTCTCCCGATCACCAGTTATCAACACAATTATGTTATTTCCAGGTGGAATTCGCTTCCTCTGGGGGTGGTTAGGCGCCCTCGTTTTGGTGCTGGCTGTGCAAGCGCATAGGCTAACAGCCATCGGCAGCGGGCTGGCTGGTTCAGGTGCGCCACAAACAGGCTTTGTACCATCTCCATCGCATACATCAATTTCGTTTTCTACCAATGGAGCCCGTATGACATCTTCCATGGGCGCTAAGAGCACATCATCTACTGGCGAGGTTAGTTCAGTTACACTAACTTATCAAAATGCTTCTATTGGTGTTTTCATCGTAAACAAATTTCATGTGTTATTTCGTCGGAGCTCTACGTAATTAAACCCTTTCCCGTAGCTGTGGACGAAAATATGTGTGTGTGCCTTAGTACCGATGTTGGATATTGACACGTATATTTGTCTTCCATTAGATTCCACATATTTTCCGCTTATATAATTCGGAATATACCTATATGTGCATCGTTGATCGCTTATTCGTATGCACTTTCGTATTTATGGCTTGCTAGTTACTGCGATGCCTGCACATTTTCATGATCTGCGCTATTGACGTTGTGATAATCAATTCAAAGTTTCTATTATATGTAATGCCTCGTACCTTAGCTCGGTTTCAATAGTATTACGGGTCAGTGGCGCAATTAGGCGTCATCATATGATTGCCACAAAATAGGTGATGTACTCGTCGGCCTTCCGCTCGCAGTTGATCATATTTGATGTCTTATGACGAGTCTTTATATATACGCTATATGTGGTTCCGCATGGCATTGTCAGTCCAGTCCATTTTGTGGCATTGACATGCATTAGCCTAGTAGTAATGTTCGGCCCCTAATCTCCTGCAGACCATTACCAAGAAGCAATTGATTGCGGAAGTGGCTCAGACTGTTGAGATGACACAGAAGGACGTCGGTGCTGTGATTGACGAATTCGTAAAATTGATTGGTAAATACCTCGGCGAGAACAGAGAGATCTCGATTCCCAAGTTTGGCCTCTTCCACAACTCCCTCCGTGGACCGCGCACGATGAAGAACCTGCAGACAGGCGAAATGTACACTGCAAAGCCAGTATACGTACCGAACCTGAGGTTCTACGATACCGTCAAGGACGAAATTAACCAGGCGCTGAAACCCGAGTAATCGCGGTTGCCCTTCGCGAACGCCCTTTCGATTTCTGCAGATCAAATCGTCGGGCACTTAATTGTTGGTGCGACTAGGGTCTGTCTTTGCGCCTGTCCAGTATACAGGCGCTTGCGGCCTTCCCACACCAGCGAACATTGCGCATCGACTGCGTATTACGGCATATGGAGATAAATACCGGGTTGTAAACTTTAAAGACCCTGCAGTAACTATTGTCGCCTTACACCTAAAATATGTACCAATTAGTCAACCAGCGAAAACTTAAAGTAGCATAAATGGCGATCTGGTTAATCTTAAAAAAAAAGTTGCGATTGTTTTACTGGCGAAGCGGCCACACGGTACGTGTTTAATCAGGCTTCCAGGTTGATCCGGTTTCCGAACTTGGCATATAGCATCGCCTTGAGCTCTGCTGTCTTCGCAGTGTGCTCATAGACTTCCTTCTCCAGTTGCTTGATTTCGTCGGTTGCCTCCTTCTTTTGCGTCTCTAGGTGCTCATCCAGTTCGGCTTCTTCGAGTCTGAGGAAGCAGTCACCTGCGACGAACGTTACAATGGGATGAGCGATATGCAAGGTTTTCATGTGTGCTACACGGATGGAAACTGCCATGGGCGTTCACAGCATCAGACAAGACTGTACCGGGCAAATCACATTGTGACACAATGTTACGCATCATTACATGGCTATACCAACAGACGAGACGGTCAGCAAATCATACATCGGTGTATGCGCCTTTGGGTTATGAGGGGCTGCAACTCACCTATTTTGAGGTAAGAAGTATCCATGTTAATCATCAACTCTTCTTGAGCATCGTTGAGATTCTGCACCTGTTCTTTCAAAGCCTTCAGCCTCGTCTCGGCCTGGGTTTTTTTGTTGAAGACCGTGCTAAACTCGACGATCCTGTTCTGGTCATCCTCACTAATTTCGTAATCTACAGACGTAGCCATCCTGCACGAAAATCAGAACACATATTTCGTGTACAGCGACTATTATGCGCTGGAAATAATACGTGGAAGGCAGACGTATGCAGCCTGCCGATAACACCGTTGTCGATGTGTAGGCAAATCACGTTGCGACGCGCCAAGGATGCACACACATAAAGCCCGAAGTTGCTAGTATGCCTCGAAAACTCACCTTCAAGCGGTTGCAGTATTAATTAACGTGTTAGTATGTCCAATTTCGCAGCTATTTGAGCACGCTTCACCGGACGTCACTTTGCAGCGATGTTCGTGATTGATTCCTGGCCTTAAAGACCAACTGCGTGTAATAAAAAGCCTGTGTAAACGATTTTTTATACACAGTCCACTGTACGGTTGCAGAGAGCAACTGCCTTCTTCCGATGGGGACGACGCGTCGCACGGCGTTGTTCAGTTGGAAAGATGAGCACCTCCGCCCTCCGTCTCTACACGGTTTTTAGCACTGCGGTCTGCGCGGCGGGCATCGCACTGGCGTTCAACTATTTGAGCGGCCTGTACCACAGATCCCATGCCTTTGCACATGGTTCGGTGTCTCATGTGCAAACCTTCGAGCTGAAGACCATATCCAGCCAGGTTTGTGAATAGCTGCCGTAACTTTCACTTATGTCTAGTCGGACCGCGCCGCTCTAGAGCTTCACATGGAGTACGACCTCCGTGATGTGTTCGACTGGAGCACTAACGTCATTTTTTTGTACGTGACTGCCGAGTACGAGACACCGAAGCACCCACGAAACGAGCTTATCATCTATGACAAGGTGATAGAGGACCCGTCGGAGGCTTACGAGCCTGGCCGCAACATCGTCAGCAAGTACTACATGGTCGACTTCGGCCGATCGTTACGTAAGGCCCGCGTAACGCTGCGTTTATTCTACAGTGTTGTCCCGATAGGGGGGGTTATTTCATCGCATAAACTGGCGGAGTCGCGCTTCACAATGCCATCGGACTACGTATTGTAAAGCATCATCGGGTTTAGTTGAATGCCGCGCATCAGGTACTGCGTGCTTGCAGGGTCTCTCGCGGGTTAATACCGAGCGATATACCGTCTTATGTTTGCTGCGGCTGTGTATAGCTTGCAATAGGGGTGGCGCTACCCTCATTCGCGGCAGGTAGCCGCTTGCCAGGACGGAGGCAAACTAGCGCGCTAAGACTTCCAACTTTTTAAATTATACCGTTTTGTTCAAGTGGTTCACGACATGAAAAGCATGCATATACGTGGCATGGCAAGGGTTGTATCTAGATATACCCGTCAGAGCGGGATAGGAATCGCATTGCTGGAGTAGGGTGACTTCAGAGGTTGATCAACACTAACTTCTAATCACGCACCTTCCCTCCACTACGGCACAATATTTTCCAGCTAACGAACACATTTGCTAAAGCGATTAGAAATATATTAATAACGCGAGAGGTTGTATTTTTGCGATATTGTGACCCCCGCTATTTGGTACTGGGCAATGTAGACACCGCCAGATTTCGACATCAAAGCGATTTCTCGTGCATGTAGTAACCCATGTCCGGTGTGGCATCGTCCACCATGCCCGCCTCCGCCCTCGCTTCTGCGAGCGCTTCCTCATCTATTGGTGCAACGGCCATGGGTTCGCCGTCGTTGGCCTCGAAGGTGGGGAAAAGCTGGTCGAGGTCTGGTGCGGTATTGACGTTTATGTGCATTTAGAAAGCTTACCCGCTAGCTCCTTCATATCATTAACAACGTGAGATGCATCAATAGACTGCTTCTGCGACAGGTTAATTGTGAGAATGGCTGCCTCACATTGCGTTCGTCTTCGAGCTCCTTCGTCGTCTTCCCGTTGATGTAAATTTCCGGTCTGCCAACAGGGCTGTCGTGACTGAGCACGATGCATATCGTTTCGATCAAGATCCGCTTACATGAACAGGTTTATCCCGGCAGGTTTCTCCTTGTCTAACTCCTCAAGCCTGAGCTGTGTTAACAGTCTGGGCACCGTACTCACGTCTCTTCGCCAGGTATGAGTGGCAGAGTGGACTTTATGCCAGTTTCAGCGCACAACATGCTGGCTTCTATCGAGTTGATCCACTTGTTGCGTTCCAGGAGTCCGCTGTAAGGGTGTGCATGAGCTCATATTAGGAATCCTACCCCGCACATAACACGTTAGGGAGTGCATCTCGGCTTCTGATGGCGAAGCACTTCTCGCCGAGCGTCTCCAATGGTGATATGGCGTCATTGAGGTCGATGGTGCGATAGTTCACCTGCACATCGCATGTCGGTGTCTAGGTGGTCGAGCCTACGTTGCCCGTGTAGAGCTTCAAGGTGTTCTTCGAAAGATACGCCGCCGTAGTTATCACCGCCTCCTCATCTTCTCTGTCGAATTGGTAGTTCACCAGCCCCTTGAGTCCTGCAATGTGTGAACGACATCGCCGCGGTGTGTAGAGGTACCTTCTCCGCAGGGCGCGATCTTCGGAATGTGAGCCTTCTTGGGCTTATCTTTGTGCTTCGCCAGGCACAGGGGAGCCGCTAGCGCCAGCACCGCCAGGAGAGGCGCCATGATTCCATCTGTCGTTTGGTGTGTGGGTAGGCGATGCCGCGCGCCGAGAGGGCGGCAGCGCGACAGTTCCCTTTATCGCAGGCAAGATGCTGGGCTTAACCGCGTCCAACATGTCCCGTGAATTCTACCGGTTCACGAAGGCCTTGGGCGAGTCCAGGTCCAAGGAGGTGGGTGTCTTGTCAACCAGGCTGACCTGTGTTAGGAGGAGGAGCGCATCGTCCTTAGCGAGATCAGCGCGCTGAAGAGCCTCTTCCTTGCGAAGGACGTGGACCGGGTACGTGCGGCCGTTCGTGATCGAAAACATAATCGCCCAGGAGCGTATGAAGGAGTACCTGGTACGCGCCGTTTACGTGGAGATGCTGGGATTCGAGGCGCCTTTCGCCCACATCCACGCCATTAATATGGCCCAGGAGCGCAGTTTGGTGTGCAAGAAAGCGGGTAGGTCGCACATTTGCGCGCTTTACACATTTTACAGGATACTGGGCATGCCGACAGCTGCTCAAGCCGCACTCGGAGCTGATGCTGCTCCTCATCAACACCATACAGAAGGACCTGCAGAGCCCCAACTTCCCAGACATGGTATGCGCGCTGCAGTGCGTCTGCGACCTCGTCAACCGCGACATGATACCCACCATCCTCCCGTGCGTGTTGCGCTGCCTGGAGGTCGACAACGAGCACGTCCGGAAGCACGCCGTCATGGCCGTCCGCAGCTTCAACGAGTTCGACAGCGCTTGCGTGGAGGATTTTTGCGGGGTCATCGAACGCGGTATATGCGACCCGAGCCCCTCGGTGATGACCTGCACCCTGTCGCTGCTGCAGGATGCGATCGAGTCACGTCCTCGGGGGTATCGTCATCTGGTCCCGTCGCTGGTGTCGATCCTGAACCAGATAGTAGACAGGCGTCTCAGTAGCGCGTATGACTACCACCGGGTGCCGGCGCCGTGGACGCAGATCGCAATAGTCTCGATCTTCGGCCGGATGGGAAAGGGCGACCGGCGGCTGTCGAGCCAGATGTTCGAGTGCCTGCAGAACGTCGTGCAGCACGCAGAGATGCTGCCGCCGGCCGCTTCTGTGATAGCTAACGCTATCATTTACGAGTGCGTCAAGACGGTGTCGATGATCTCCCCGCGCGAGTCCCTGGCGACGATGTGCTCGATCTCCGTGTCGCGCATGCTCGGGTCGGAGAACAACAATCTGCGCTACGCCGGCATCTCGGGGCTGGGGATATTGGTGGGCGTGAACATGTCGTACGCGGCGGAGAACCAGCTGGTCGTGGTCTCGTGCCTCGAGGACCGCGACGAGACCATACGCCGCCGCACCCTCGACCTGCTCTACCGGATGACCAACTCGAAGAATGTCACCACGATTGTAGGATGCTTCCTCGGGCACCTGCGCACGAAGTGCGAGCGTTACTGGCGTTCCGAGCTGGTCAGCAAGATATCGCTGCTTTGCGAGAAGTTTGCGCCGAGTGCGGTGTGGTACATGGAGATGGTGCTGGACCTCATGATGATCTCCCCCGACCTCGTGAAGGACGAGTTGCTGTTCAGCACGGTTAATGTGCTGAAGGAAAACTCGGGCGATTTGGCTTTCCGTCGTGCTGTGCTGCGTCAGGTGGCGGACCTGGTTCGGCGAGTGGACGTGTTGCCCGAGATGGTGGTCAAGGTGGTGAGCTGGGTGTATGCCAATTGCACACTCTTCCCTGATGATTTTGGTGATGGTCAGGGTGAGGGTGATGGTGATGCTATAACGGATGTGTCGAATGATTGTGGAACAGGGGTGTCGAATGTGGCTGAAGATTCCGTCGCCGATGGAGCTGTAGATAACGATGTCTCTGATGTAACTGCAAATGACGACACAACAGAGAGCAACGAAATATCGCAGACAAAGGAGCCACAACAGCAATCGGATGATGCAACTGAAATGGCAGAGGCTAGTCAGGTGGACGTTAGTTCCAGTGGCACTGCTGAGGAGGTGACGGAGAATCCTGCCGACACTCCTGCAAATGTATCAGATGGGACGCTATCGACAGAGCCGTCGGGTGAACCTGAAGAGCAAGCGACAGTGGCAGGAAATGTTGATGATTATATCGACATTTTGCTACAGTTTGTACTGCGTTATCGTCAGAACAATTCTACAGTATGCTGGGTGCTGGGATGCATGCGCACCCTCATTATCGCAAATGATTACAAGGCCCCAGATGCAGTAACGTCAGTGCTGTCCCAACTGGAATGTTCGAATTGCACCGAGGTTACGCAGCGGTGCAAGGAGATTCGTAGCCTCTGTGCCTTACGCCCAAAGCTCAATTTGCGGCGAAATGATTACGACAGCAAGTTGACCTTCTTGGAGGGTTACGTACAGACCCGTCTTGTCGATGGCGCTCGGCCTTACTCCAAGCTGGTTGTAGAGGTGGCAAGCGAGACCGCCCCTGAACACCCGAGCCCAGTGCCGGAGTTGCGTTTCGAACCTTATGCTACGAAGCCGGCTCAAATGTCGGAGTACCGCGAGACCCTGACAACAGCGGATTTGGTGAACGAGGAGATCATTTGCTCCGACGTTCCCCGTAGTTGGGGTCCCTCCGGGTACGTGGACAAGAAAGCGTTGCAGGCAGATGACGATGGGGACACCAAAGGTGACGCACCGATTTCCTCTGACCCGTCAGGGGTTACGGGCGCGGCGTCAACGGACTCCGACCGAAGCCGCCCGGTTGTAGTCGAACCTTCTATTGACATGTCTATTCTGTCTCTCGGTGCTCGTGCACCAAAGCCTGCCGAGCCTAAGGGGTACGTGTGGAAGAAGCCTGAGCCGCGTCTCGTAAGTCGAGAGCAAATTCAGATGGCCCGTGCGCTGTTCCAGGGCCTCGACGGCTCTAACGAGGCTGATGACCCCAGCACGGCGCGGAATTAGGCATACATTAAACACATTTCTCAAAATGTAGAATGCATATTAAGTTTGAAAGTGGTTGGTTAATTGATTAGTGGTTATATGTTTGTAGTCCCACTACGTCGATGGTTGAGTGCGCTGGAAGCGTGGGCGGGTAATTGTGTTATTTATAAGCAAAGTGAGGACGACACGGGAATTATTACGACTATAAGCGGTTTTACGTGTAAATGGTGCCATTGGACTGATAAAACTGAGGTGAGGGCTCGTTGGGTGGATGACACAATGCTACTACCAGGTAGGTGGTGGGTAACGTGTAACGCAGTCACAGATACAGGATCATTCCGAGAATGACCTCATGTCGTTTTGATTATGGCTATTAAGGTGCACTACGCTGTGGTTTAATTTATAACTTTCAAAACGTTTTCCCATCTGAGTGTGGGGTGTGATCGCAGTCGATATATGATCCCGCTGGGAGTGGTATCTGTGTAGTGCGAAGCGCACGGTTGTAGTACCCCTGGTGGTGGGTTGCGTGGAAGTTGCCTGAGAGGCTTGGCGGTTCTACGGTTCGGGGGGCTCAAGGTACGTGGTTCATGGGTTTGCAGGTTAAGAGCAAGGGGGCGAGGGGAAGATGACGTTGAAGTGTGATTGTATCAATAGGGGCGGAGAGTGTAAGGGCGGCACTTGCAGGTGCTGTAACTGGTGTTGTCAGTGGTGTAAGAATAGCGGACAGTGCAGTGGATGCCAATATGCCAGAAAAGAGTCCGAGACACACGATCGTTATCTGTGTTCTAAATGCGTAGAAACAAATTTGTTCACATGTGATTGCACATGTTGTAGAAATAAATTCATATGCATTGTCATCGTTCCCATCACCGCAATCATCCTCCTCGTCGTAGGCGTTATGAGCTTCTTTCGCATCCGGCCGTTCCACAAAGTCCGCGATTGTTTCTTCCGCAAGTGAACGTTTTGCATCGCATTAAGTAATCACTTTCGGCATTTATTACAATCGCACTTATCGCACCCTTTCAGACATTACCAGCACGATGCCAACGTAATAGCATGTTATTTGAAGTTTTAAATAATGCATCGGCAGGTACCCTGCGAAGGCGTTAATGAATTACATCGTAGCAACGCATTAGTTAAAAGAGCAAGATTAACGCAGCTCAGTGTAGTTTCCACATCCGTTGTCACCTACTCACTACCACGGCGTCGATTACTTCGACGACGACTTTCACTCATGATTGTAATTATTGCAGTTACATTCAAATTGCTCATATTGTGTTTCCATGTCATGTCTCTCATCGTGACTGTACGCCGTGCCTTGCCTGGCGCCTAACCCATGATGCATTCGATGCCCCGCCTTACCCCTTGCTTGCCGCCTTGGTCATCCACCTCGGCAGCTGTCTGCTGTCATGCGAGGTGAGGCGGTGGAACATGGTGGACATGAGGTGGCAGTGATTGGCAATAATGTTAATCAAATAATCTCATACAATAACTTAATTAATATTGCAGTGGACCACCTTGTAACTGAAGTTCATAATTTAAGTAACTGGAACTCTGCCGCCAATGATGTTATTTTCAAGGCGGAGGGGAAGTGTGACAAAATTTTGGAGAAAGTTAAGACAGACAAGAGTGCTAAAGAAGCTGTGATTTTTACGCAAGCTGAAACATTAAAAGATAAGGCGGCGATACTTTTGAGTGCGGCGCAGAAGGCTAAGGAGCATGTTGAATCTGAGGTCACTAAGGCGTTGCAGGCTGTTGTGAAAATGGACGAAAGCCTTAAGAAGGATTTGAAGAGTGTAAAGACGCAGATTCAGAGTGGGATTGGAGATGTGATTCAGCAGTTGGAAGTTGAGAGACTGGATGAGAAAGTGAAGAGTGATTTGGGGATTTTGAGGGGGAAGATTGAGGGGCTTGCAAATAATATGGATGGACATAATGGTCTTGTAAGTGGTCAGTTGGAAGAGCTTAACAAGAAGAAGAGTGAGTTGGATCAGACTACTGGTCCGGATGGCACAATTCAGCAAGCTGAAAAAGAGCTTGACACTAAGTTTCAGAGTGCTATCCAAAAGCCGCTTAACGATAGAGTCGAAGCGGTTGACACGGCGATTGCGGAGCTTGGTAAGAAGTTTGAAATAAGTAACGCGGAGGATAAAAAGAAACTTGAGAAGATTTTCAATAAGATTAAAGAAAAGGTTGGGGAGATTAGGGGGAGTGAAGGGACAGAAAATGGTTGGCAACGTAGAGATGGTAAAGGCCTTGAAGGAATTCAGAGTGCGATACAACATTATTATGAAGCGTTCGTCGGTAATAAATTTGACGACATAGTGAATGGGTGGTTGCAGGGCATTTTGGGCAAGCAAAGACAGAGGGTTGTGGAGTGGTTTAACGAGTGGATTAAACAGCATGTCAATGATGGCCGGACGAGGATGGTGCTGGGCGATGATATCACATTTGACAAGATATTTCGTGACCAAATTATCGAGCATATTAAGAAACAGCTTCACGGCGAAGCAAAAGAAGCCGGTGAAAAAGTTACGCAAAACAAAAGCACAAGTAACAATGACTATATAACGAAGAATATTGAGGCTGTCAAGGAAGGTTGCGAGCATTTTGTCCAGGCGATTGATAAGAGGCTCGCGAAGGGACAACTTGCATCACTCTTTAAAGCCGTAAAGGGAGAGGTTGTCGACAAGCTTGCTACATTGAAACACGATAAAGATGAGCATTTGAATGAAGTCCTGAGGACAATCGTAATCGCACTCCGCTCCACGTCCAACCAGGTTGCGGAGGAGATTAAGTCAATCCTACTTGCCGACTACAGGATGGGCGGACAGGACAGCGGTAGACACATCGCAAGTGAACTGGATAAAGTAGTTGAGGAAACTAAGAAGCTTCACAAGGCGCTTGAAGGGGCGACTAGCCCTCCCGTCCCTCCCCCCGGAGGCAAAGATGAAAGCCCCGCCCAAGCCGTGGACAGTAAGTTGCAGGCGGTGAGGGAATTCGTGAGTGAAGAGAATCTTACCAACAATAAATTTAAGAGCGTCAAAAGTGAACTTGAGAATGTAGTAAGCGGCCTTCCCTCCGCCGTTGACACTTTCAACACTGCCGCCGAAGACCAGATCAGGAATGCGGCCAAGACGGCGATTAACAAGGCGGCTGGGCAGATTAGCGAGGATGGTCAAGCAATTGAGCTTGGCAAGAAAACTGAACTCATGGAAAAATTCGAGGAAGCCTTCACTCTTATCAAAAGTGGTCTACAAAGTAAACTTGATGCACAAGTTGATAAGCACATTGGGGAGGCTGTCATGGCGGTGGATAAGGGATGAATGGAGGGTGGTGGGAGGAGGCGATTTGGGTCAGGGCGGCTGTGATGCTAGGCAGGGAGCGGCGGCGACCAGTGAATGAGGGTGGAGGCGAGTGGTTGAGTGGGTGAGTAGTTGAGTGGGTGAGTGGGTGGGTGAGTGGGTGGGTGATTAGGTGAGTGGGTGGGTGAGTGGGTGGGTGGTTAGGTGAGTGGGTGGGTGGGTAGTGAGGGTGAGTGATGGTGAGGGTGGTTGAGTGAGTGAGTGGTTGAGTGGGTGGGTGAGTGGGTGGGTGGTTGAGTGGGTGAGTGGGTGGGTGGTTGAGTGGGTGAGTGGGTGGTTGAGTGAGTGAGTGATTAGGTGGGTGAGTGGTTGAGTGAGTGGTTGAGTGAGTGAGTTGGTGGGTGATACACAGATCACACGTGAAGGCACGATTATGGTGAGAAGTACTTGACGTTGGCGAGTGCCTTGACGCGTGCGGCGGCGAGGAGCGACTGCGCGGCGATGCGGTGGCTTGAGGGTGATCTCAGGTGGGAGCGTATGCGGAGGACGTCGAGGCGGACGACGGCGATGTGCAGCAGGTACAGGAGCGACAGCGACCAGAGGGTGAGGAGGGTGTAAGAGAAATTCTCTCTTATCTTCCAAATGAAATTGTCGATTTGCTTGATTAATTGAATTAGTGCAGATTCTTCTTCAAGAATTTTTTTCAATGCACTGCAGAAATCTTTGCACGTTCTTCTATTTGCTGTTGCATTTCCTGTGCCGCACAATCCCAATGGGTTCCCGAAACTGAAACCATATGTATATAGCGTAGGAAGTGTGTTATGGCATCTGACAATGGATGCACAATCATCATTGTGATTTTTGCCGTCAAGTGCCTTTGTGTCTGGCGTTGCTTCATCAGAGGTTTGAGCATCGTATGCCTTTTTCACTTGGCATTCCGTAACACATCTTGTGCCATGACATTTGGCTCCAGGAGACGTGCACGTACCACAGCACTGTTTATATAATCTGTCCAGCAAACTATACAAGGTCTCAGCCGAGTACAAAATCCACGACAGGCATTGTTTGTTGTGGTACGACGAGAATATGCTATATGTGCTGGATGATAGTGACTCCACATATACACCACATGTATCTACTGCGCTACCCTCACATTCGGATATGGTGAACAGATCACCTTTGGAATGGTTTGACTTGTTCCCCGATTGATGTACACGGGTGGTGAACAATATAGTCGGACACAACTCTAGATATTCCCGGCCGAAATATGCTTCCTTAATGGCATTCTTAAAGGCCACACTCTTATGTGTGATGGCCTCTTTATTCACTGGAGGGAGGCTGTTCCAATTTGCCAGGTAACCACGGAGGAAACTGAAAATATCATCAAGCGTCTGAGGCGCTCGGCGGAGTACGCAGTTCAGCATGTTACAGAGTTTACTGAGGGCAGAATACGGACCGCATAGATTGTAAAGTGCAGCTTCGAGATAGGCCCCTGTTTTCGTATGGGAAGCAAGGACACCTATATCGGCAAAACCCATAGGCGTCTTACAAGGAAGTCCCCTGTGATTGGACACAGTACACGTAAGTTTGCAGCCGGGACTGCTAAACGAATGAGGCAGAAAGCCCTGAAGGCCGTCCTCTAAGAAAGACTGCAGTGGCGATTTCATACCACAATCGGGATGCTGGTCACAGCGTTGGTCAGCGCTTTGGTCAGCACTTAGGTTAGTGTTTTGGTTCCCTTTGGTTAGGCTTTTGGGGACAGTCTAGGTCAGCACACTGTTCATTGTTGCACTGCCAACCTGAGCCAGCCACGTGCCTGCCGTATGAGCAGTCTTTCCACCCGCTGTGACTTTTGCCACCGAGGCACTGCCTACGTAGGAACCACAGTTGCTTATACAGTCTAAATAACACATCTACTAACATGTCAAAGCACGCACCACCGCTACCAGGATACAACAAATTACTTGAGTTAGTGAGGTGATCAGAGGCATACACACCGTCGGCGTGGCCGTGGCCGAGCACGGCGACTAATGTTTGTTCGGCGTAGTGGCAGACACTTTCAAGTGCTTTAGTTAATTGGTCAGAGTTTATAGGTGATTGAATCACGCGTTGCATATCGGATTGCACGGCGACTGGCAATTCAGCGTCTTCTAAGTTATGCTCTTTTTGTAGGCCCTTAAGCACATTGCCAAGCTGGTTCTTGACTTCACCATACATGTGGTTGTACTTAAGGCCGGCGGTCCATTGGAGCATGAGATAGATGTTACTCGGGGCTCTTGGTTTCTCAGGAATGAAATGGTGAGAGACACGGTAGTACGTGTCAAGCATAGGGTGAAGCAGTGAAAGAATGTGGAGGAGATTAATATTGTTGTTATTCATGCCTTTAATTCTAGGGGCGTTGGGGAGTGCCTTGTTAAGCAGTGTGCCGAAAATATAATCTCCACTGCACTTTGTTTCATTCCTCAACTCCCCGTTTGGCTTAACTGCATCAGCAGACACGTCGTAGCCGCGGTCCGTGAACCATTGACCGAGAGGATTTTACCATGCTTAGTAATTTTAAGATCATTCCACGGACCCTTCTTGGGATTTTTATCACAATGTTTTTTAAGGTGTGCAAGATGCTTCAGCCAACCAGGCAGACAGCTCATGAAAACCTTAGACAGCATCTTGCCGTACTCAGTCAATTTGCGTTTGTCGTCTGACGCAGTGGAAATCTCAGGATCAAGCAACGCACCGTCAAACTTCTGACAACAGTACGTGCTCACATATGCGTAGCCGAGTTGCTTGGCCAGGGCGCCGATTCCGTCCTTGAGCGCTTGCAGGATGAGACTGGAGGGGTCAGTGAATTTGGCGGGGGCGAATGTAGATAGTGCTGTGTTGAGGGATTTTAGGTGATCACTGAAATTGTGGTCGAAGTGTTTGGATGCATGAAGATCTTCAAGAAGTTTCAGCAGGGCGTTAGTTACACTCTCATATTTGGACACCCCAGGGAACATGGCGTCAGGCTGAATGACGCCTGGTGGAAAACCTTCGAACTCCTTTCTTTGTATTCCCAATTTTTCGAAAAACATCTCGAAGCCGACGCATACTTTTTCGGCAGCTTGGTTCAGCGGAGACTTCTCTGGTGTAAATTCCGTAGGTGTAATCGTTTTTATTTCCTGAAGTTTTTCAACCAGTTTCTCGTTGAATATTTTCATGAATCCTTTTAATCCCGTTTCGGTGTCTATATGAATTTTATTCAGAATTATCTCGTTTTGTTCTTCCACCAACTCCTTCAGCTGCTCGAGCGCGCGGGCCTTGGAGTGGGCGAACTGGGAGAGGGCTTGGCGTTTGATTGCGTTTTTGGCTTCGGAGGAACGTTGTTTGTAGGCGGCGTGGAAGGATTCAATTTCTTGGAGGAATGTTTCTTGGAATTTGGTGAGTGATTTGCTTAGGTCGTTTAGCAATACTGTTAATTGCTTATCGGCAACTTGCAGGGTTTTAATTACAGCATTAATATCCTGAACTATCTTTCTTCTGATAGTATCTAGAGCGACGACAATTTGGTTTTTTCGAAAATTAATTTTCCCCACGGACCCATCTTTTTTTATATTATTAAGCGCTTCAAGGTCTGTGGTGACTCCTTTGAGCATACTATGAATGGAGCCTTCATCGCCTACTGTTTTGCCAAATAAAACATCCAGCGCCTGAATTTTTGCTTTCACCTTTTCCAGAGCTGTGTCGATTTTTTTGCCAAAACCGTCGTTATATGCGTCCTTGCTTTCGTCAACTTTATTGCCAATTAATTCAACATTTGATATGGCCGCTGTCAAATTCGCAATCTGAGACGTTGCAGTGAATCGCTGCAGTTCGTTGGCGACCTGCTGAAATCTTCTTTCGAGCGGTTTGATAATGGCTTTGACTGCTTGTTTTATATTTTCATCTTTTGTGGGTAGTTTGGGATTGGTGCTTTTCAAATGATCCTCTATCGCCTTCGCAGCCACCCCAAGTGTATTTTCAACTTCAATGCCTTTAAATTGCATTCCTAACTCCTCGACAAATCTTTGGAACTGTTCACCAACGTTACCCACCTTTATGCCTTGCAGCGTTCGCTGTGCAACGCTTTGAATATCTGTAATAATGTGCAATGGAAATTTAGCCTTAATGGCTGCTTTCACTTCCGCAGTTTTCTCAGACGAGCGCCCAACTGCATCCTGAAACTTAGGACCGTTGTTTAAAACATACGCATAAATTTTACCGTGTACCACCCCTTCATCCACGATTTCCCCAATCCATTGCGTAAGAACAGTGACAAACGTTCCACTGGTAAACTCCAGCGCGTACGCTTTTATGCCGTTGTTGATCTGCGTCAGACCATTAGTGTATGGAACTCCATCACTTGTTCGCCCCTCTCCCTTAATCTTGTTAACAAGGTTCGTAATCTCAATCTTAAGCAGATCCCAACCGCCACATACAGTATCTGCCAACCCCCCGGCGTTATCCGCAACTTCTGTTTTATACGATAAACATGCTGTTGAGCCTGTCCAACAAGCGTATCAAGCTCTGTTTTTTTGGAAGTCAATGTGTTGTGAACGTTGTTAACGTCTTGCTTAATATTATTAAAAGCCTTTTCTATATTTGACTTCAGTTTACTGTTGAGGCCTTTAATCCCTTCCTCGTTTTCCAATGTCTCATTCATTTCTCGTAATGCCGTCTCAATTGAATGGAATAGGCTGCCTTTGCGTTCTTTCCCAATCTGTTGAAGGATGCTCTCAATTCCCTCTTTGAACTTATACCTTAAACCATTTTTATTACTCTCACTCAACCCATCCTCCACTTTTTTATCCAACTCCCCAAACTCCTCATCCACCTTCTTACATACCTTAACAAGCCCATCGTGATCCTGCTTAGTGGAGTCCTTAAAAGCCTTAACAGATTCAAATATTAAATCCACATGCGGTTTTAATTCTTTTTCAAGCATTTTATCAACGTTCATAAGTGCGTCAGTGGAGTGATGGACATCTAAGGAAAGCTGATTGACAGACCTAATAGAAGACTGCAAATTACTCTGTTCGGCGTCATATTCCTTATCAGTCTTTAGTGTCTCAAAGTATTTGAAAAAGGCATTTACATCGTCTTCCAGGTTTTTAATCGGCTTTTTCACCGCCTCACTCTTAGTATTCACATCCCCCAACCACTGCTCAATCCCCAACTTGACAGTGCCAATCACAGTATGCAAACCTGTTTTGCCTTCATGACGATGAGTTTCTAAAAGGCTTACAGCGTTTTCCAACGTCTCTTTATAAGGCGAAAGGTTATTATTTGTATGAACTTCATCTAAAACTCCATGAAGGAAAGACATCACCCCGTCGCAGAGCCTGTCAAGGTCGGAGTACACGATGCCCTCGCCCGTGTAGCCTTTGGAAGTTTCTTGGTAACCAAGAAACTTCTCCAAGCCAGAGCACAGGTTATTTAATAATGTTTCACAATTACTATTATTTTTATTAGTGCTAATTTCATCACGTTTCTTTCGAAGCTCCTCAAGCTTTTTATGCTGAGGACAGTCAGAAGAGGGATGAGGCTGCGGAGACTTTTCACAAGTATTATGCTGCTTTTCAAGCCTCTTAATTTCTTTATTAATTAGGTCTATAATGCTCTTTTCAGAGCCACTAAACTGTGTAAGCTTCACAATAACATCAATGCCATCATGCACTTCCCCCTCAAGGGAGGACATACGCTGCTCGTCCATGAAATGGGACTTAGTGCAGTCATCTTTGTTGGATTTACAGCGCTGTATTTCAGCTTCTAAAGAGGATATTAGAGATTTATTAGAGTCTATTTTAGCTTTTTGAAGTTCATCATTTTTTAACTTAATCTGCTCATCAAGGTGACTACAGTAGGACTGCGGATCATAAGGATTTGGAGAGCATTCAAGTTTTCTTTTCTTATGAGTAACGCTCTTTTCAGCATTTTCAATAGCCTCACCAATCAACTGTTTCAAAGCTTCAGCCAACTTCTCAAGACCACTGCCATCACCACCATTCTTAACCTGTATCAGCCAGTCGATGGACTCCCGGAGGTTTTCCGGACAGTCCGTCAGCTTCTTCGGCGCCATCTTCAGAGGCGAGAGGCATAACAGTGTTCACAACCTCAACAAACCCACCAGCAATTAGGGATTGCAGATCCCCGACTCCGCAGCAAAATGTGATAAGCACTGGACGGCCGACTAACAACCTTATTTATATCCCCAACTACATTGATCAAACTTGTGCCTTATTACGGTCTTATTTATGTTACATGCCAAAACTATCATCTACCTCGCTCACCTAATACCAAACTCCAGTACCCAGACAGCTCAAAATTTTAGCTCACTTCGGTGGTGGCCTGAAACCTCCTAACTGCATTAGGATGTTCAAAAGCACAAAGCAATCGCCGCAACCACTGCAACCGTCGAAATAATGTTCGCGTAAAATCCTCTGCCTCTCTAATGAAATTCCAGGTATACCCCACTGCCACTACAGGCCATTAATATTAGGAAGAGCGTCTTCATGGAACATGACTATGAAGTACGACAAGGAATGTTGTGAATAGAGGCATATTATAGATAACCAGCGTGAAATGCGATAAAAATGTTGTTACGTCTGCGTCCTTCATGGGAAACATAATATTCGATGCCTTATGTATGAGAACGTAACGTTTGTATGGAGGACGCCGAGGTCTAACCATGAGGAGCAACACGGACTAGACGGAACGGGATGAAAAGCAACTGTGTTAATGAAGATTAAAAAGGGGTAAGTGGATGACGATGGTACCTATGTAGTGTATAGGTCGACACGGAGGAGACCAAAGGGCGTCAGTCCGGAGAACGCAGACTGGCAAACGAAGGATTACCATCATCATCATGAAGAACTGACTTACCAACCAAGACAACATGGAGGAGACGGACACATAAAAGAAGCCTAAGTACAAAGACCTGAATGCGTAACAATTCAACCAACACGAGGAGCAGGGCAATACCGTATGCAATGGGTAACATGTAGCCCAGAGATGATCGACTGACCCTCGCATTCAGACAAGATGGTTGACACCAGAGACGTGGAACCCGGAGCCCACACCAACAGCGTGAGGCGCTAGCACGGTAGGTGGGAGAATGGCCTAAGCCAAACGTAGCCACGTCTATCGGGGTGGGCAAGTTTAAACGAAGAGACGGCATGGTGTGGAGTAATTGCTAGTCGTTAATGCAGCATATGCAGTGCCCAAGTGTCTCACACAATCGGGAAATTGAGCTACATGTCTCCATATCTCACCGGCTGGCTATAGACTGACATACAGCTAACTTTGATTGGCAGTTCTTAAGCTCAAATAAACTGCATTTACATTGAGAGGTCAGATGCTTACAGGGCACTATGTGGGCTGCATGATGCTATGACAGGTTTGTGGTGGTGACAGAAGAAGGTGAGATGGTAGGCTTTGAAGCACTTAAGCCGGCACGGATTTGCTCGAAGACTGTACCAACTCCATTGGTATTGGCTTTGTCGCGGATATAAAGAACCCAGACGACGGCGGTGACCAGGCAGACGATAACGGCGCCCAGAGGGTATTCCCAACCTATCGACATTTTCAACCCTGCAGCTATACTATCAAACAACCCTGCGTAGCGATAAGAAACGCACCCAGAAAGTAGAGACTATAATCAGGGTATGATCCGTTAATCCCTTTAGTAACTCGAGGTTATAAGCTGTTAATATCTCATACAGAAGCTATTGTTAATGTTACCACGGTTAATAAGCACCCACGTGTAAACCTCTTAACTCCGCCACTGCAGGATACCACGCATCTGCATGTGATACCGGGTATACACTCCAGCAATCTACATGCATAAATCATTTCTTTAGCAGCTAACCTAGTTTTATAGAGTCTCCGAATCATATTCTTTCAGACGGTATGCAAAAAGCTCGGAGGTCTAAAACCTCCGGATCTATGCATACTGTTCCGACTTGTCAGTGCCTCATCCAACACTGAATCACAACATTATTAAACCTCATTGTGCTATGCCCATTACTTTGGTGGAAAACCATTACTCTGCCGTATAATATGCCTCCATAGGTCTACTCCGCGTGCCGGCCCGTGCCAATCCGTCAAGCTGCATACATCTAAAAGTCAAGCTCAACCGTGGTACCCCGCCAGCATATTCACTTCCAACACCCACTAAGAGTCACATTATCTTCTTACGCAACATCGCAATGAGTCACCAATTTGCTTCGTAGGTGTTACTAGGCCATGTCAGCTTCCTCACCTCTATCTGGCCTGATATGCATCAGTTGATTGAGGCACACCTCATAGCAGTTAATATGTGGCTTTCCTCGAAACTTGTGATATGATGGGGTTCGGTATTGACATTCCACCTAATAGCATTTATTTTGTTACACTAACCTGATCTTGAGATTGGTAATTCCCACTCTCCGTACCGTTGCTGCATCACTCATCCAGATGGTAACCGTCGCGCTATTCATATGCACCTCACTTTAAAGCTCCATTGATCATGACAATACCGATTATGACCATGTTGATGTTGAATTACCTTAGTTGTCTGCCAAACTGCCGCGATGCTTAGCACAACATCGATGGTGGCTTCTGGCTGTCTACTCGACAAACTCTAGTGTCGTCGAGTTATTCGAAGATGTTGGAACAGTTGTTATGAAATCCACTGTAGTTACATTTGGCGTAATATGGCGCTACATCGGATGAAATCATAAATTCCATGCATTATTGTAACATGTATGTCCGAACCTCGGTGCTGTCTACCTATCAGCAATGCACAACGTAATGTGCAGCGTCAAGGAGTAGCAATAAATCCATGGAATAGCAGTAATAATAGTACAGCTAGACTGCGAATTGTAGATACGGCATGCTTGAGTTAACACGAATACAAACATGCTTAGGGTTAAAGTCGTGTTGTAAACTGCATTGATCATGGTAATGGCGGATTAAAATGTTAGATTAAGCGAATCGTATGATGGTTTAGATGTTTCGAAGCAGGGGCTCATGAAAACTTGGTAAAGGAATGGTAACAATGTTCCACCTGTCACCATCGCACCCCGCTTAAAGGGATTTACGACAGCGTTGTGTAGACCATTGATTAGAACGTGCTAGACCTCGACTAGTGCTTTCCAAGATCTTTGAACTCCATTGATCCCACATTCTGCGCTGTTTGCAACGTATGGAAGCAATTGGTGGTGCGGGGCAAAATAGCTCCACTGACAGAAACTGAGAAACAGCATTGTTACAGAAGCAGATGGTAACAATGTTGGACCATGCAGCTTTCGATGACACCGAATTAGTTATTTGACCAGGAAGCTTCGAAATTGCTTGTAAGCGAATGCTAGTGACCATTGCGATATTTAATCCCCGGCTGCGTTAATGAGCGTCAGAGCCCCCGGACGTGATAACGACCGCGCAGCCTGATTACTCCTTGAATTTATGATCTCATAATTACAACAGTAAACATGACAGCGCTATATGTTGCCTCAATTATGTTACACGTATAATTTTTACCGCGCGTCGAGAAAACAAAGCGGAAACGCGGAACAGTGGATGCTAAGGCTTGTATTGTAGGCATACGTGCATTGGCAGTGTATGTCATGAAATGAATTCCTGCTATTTGCTTCGCGTAGTGGAGTGTGTGTGGTGGATTTCCGTTTACCAACTGTATTATGCATCTTTAACACAGGCACACAGAGAGTATTTTTGGATTATGTTCAAGGTTAAATTGCAAATATCGACAGAAAACACATTAAAATCCGTATCTGATGAGGTATTTTAGGCGTTGCATACCTCAGCCGAGACCGCCTTCAGGGTGAGCTGCCCAAAGCTGTTAAGGCGTGTTTGTTAAGTGAGCCCTGGGGAAGATGGCCCCGGCTCCGGAACCGGCAGAGAAAAAGTGTAAATGTAAGGATGCAGAAAATGAAGGCAAAGGATGTGATGAGGAAAACCCTGATAACGAAAGGACTTCTGAGAACCAGGACGGATGTAGGTGCTGTGCGTGGTGTTGTGAGCAATGCCCATGTTGCGATTATTGTGGCAACCAGACCAATGTAAGGAGAGTGTGTGGGACATGTATGACGTATTGCTTTACCGGCATAGGCATAACCGTCGTGATCTTGGTCAACGTCATTTACTTCGTCGGCTGGAATCACATTCACATCTTCAAAACACTTCGTGCTAAAGGGATTCCAAAGCTATAGACCTATATGCCGCTACTAACTTAAATGGGCTTTATAATTCCGCTTAGCTTGCAGTTTTATAATGTAAGTGTGAGTGTGATTTATGTATTCCTTGCGCCGAACTCTGCAGCGTTTTAGGGATTTTCATAATTTTAATAACACTTTAGGTCTGCTACATACATCCAGGAGGAAACCGAAAATTTTGAAGCTTGGGATATTTGTCGTATTTACTGAGGATCTCTGCCACGCTTTGCCCCTCCACGGATCTCTAATCTTCGTCTATGTAACAATTTAATGGATAATGCAGTGTACTTTTTAAAAAGCAAAGGCTTATGTGAGCCAGGCGGATAGGGTATAACATGGACGTCGAGCCATACCCTATATACCTGACCCCATTTATCCACAAACGAACTCCAAACAAGCAAGATTCAGAGATTCAGCACCCAGATCTGCAGTGCTTGCCGCCTACGTGCAAGCGATCAAGATGCGAAATGTGCCTGACTGTAGATGTTTTGGCAACAAAAGCACTAGGCGATCTGACGGTTTGTATCCCGTGGTTAATATCGCCAGAGCGGGAAACGTGGACCTGTAATAAGCACGCAAAGCGGGTCATACCACGCTTAGCCATTTGTAACATACTGTCCAACTAGCAACACACGTAAAATATCGTATCATAATTCTACTGGTCACGCACTAGTTTACATAAGTGGTAATTTCAATGGAGCATTATAATCCCAGTATAGAGGGAGGTGAGCGTGGGTGGGTTCATCTTAGCCACCTAATACAAGACAAATCAGCAATTTAATAACCTATAGGCAACCCGCTATAGCACGTAACTTCGCCTGGCCTTTTACGCGACTACGTGCAAAAGCGTTGCAACGCTGACCTATCGTTTCTCCACTAGGCGCCAGCCGCTAAAACGTGCCACTGGGAAGCGTTATACTACCGATTTTATGGACCGATGGATGATACAATGCGCGTATAGTGGCATCTAACATGTCACACTAATGCTAAAAGTTGCGTGAGACACGTTTCAGGTGCAGGTGTGTATGCGACAGCAGCTTACAAAGCTCCGTGGTACCTTACCAAAAGTTTAATATAACGATTATAACCGCTTTAAACTCTAAATTTTGGCCAAATGCAAACCACAAGTGTGTTTTTCGATGTTCAGAGTATTCGCCCTTCCATTTTGGGTTCATGTGTACCTGTGTTGTGTCTTTGTCTGCAACGGGCTGACTCGGTTGCCGTCGGCCGCCACATTTTGCCTTCTGCGCCTCGAGTCACACTGTTTTCGAAGATGATGATAAATTCAAAATTGTGGGAGGAGGAACGCAAGTCTTCGCTGTTTAACCGCAGCGGCCTGCACTCTGCGGATGAGCTGCTGTCGCTGCGCCCGAAGGTCGAGGCGCTGCTCGGCGGCGGCGATTGCGCCGGCGGAGATGACATTTTGAGCTCTATTATGAATTATGTCTGCACGTTGATGAGCGCCTGTAATCTGTGGAGCTCCCCGCCCAGTTCCCCCGCGCTGCCGTGGCCGGCAGAACCCCGTTTCGAGGTGACTGAGGAAAACGAGAGGATATTCCGCCTGGATGCCGAGCGCACGTTCATTTCTGAGGAGCACCGCGAGGTTTTGTGCCGAAACTTGAAGCTGGTATTCACCCACGTCGGCGACTACCACCAGGGCGAGGGGTTCGTGATTGCCTTCTTGTCCCTCTTCTTGCCCGCCACCGACGTTGTTCGTGTGGTAGTACACCTCCATGAGAACCAGCTTCGTGGGTATTTTTCGTGCACTCCCGAGGCCTACGTGCGTGACTCCCGGGTGCTCATGAGGCTGCTGAAGGAGCGTAACGAGAAGCTTTACAATCATCTGGAGGGCCTCCTGGTGCCCGAGACCTTCTGCTCCAAGTGGTTCATCGGTATGAACGTGCATGTACTCCCGTTTGAGCACGTTGTGAAGTACATCGAGAACGTGCTTTCGAAGGGTGAGAGCTACGTGTTCAGCTTCGGGCTCGCTTTCCTGCTGTTCCATGCCGAGGCCATTTTAGGCTGCAACGACGTATCTAAGATACTGCAACTTCTCCGTCTCGATGATGCCATTCTGCCGCCTGAGGATGAGCGCGATGCGTTATACAGTGGCATAATGAAGCTGGCAGACGAAACTGCCGTAGACACCGAGCAGCTGTCGTCCCTTCGCGCTGAGGTGGAAAAGGAGCTGCAGGAGCAGAAGGAGGCCCGCGAACAGCGAATGAAGGAACTGGAGGGCACTGATGACGAGATTGTATTCTCCGACGAGGAGTGAGCACGTGCTGCTAACGTGTACTGTTATGACCATCGGCACTGCGGATCACACGCAGCGGGTGCAATGAAGTGACACCGTCCATGCAGTGGTCTTGTACACGTTAAGTTTTGCGCGGTTAAGTATTTCTATTGTTGTCAATACGCAACACAGAATATTGGTATCCTCATTCGAACGTTACCCCAAGCAACAATGTCAGCGGAGGTTATCCGTCCTGGAATAGATTCGCCCAATACGCTCAGCCGTCAGCATGGAAGCACTACCACACATCTCCAATTTGGCGTAAAAACTGTACGCACCTCCAACCGCCACACGACCCCGAAGGGTAGCAAGTCGCAATCACAGAAGGCGGCCGACGAGTCTGCCCTCTCAAGCAAAAATGCATTCCACATGTAACCGGTCACACCAGACACCGAACACTATGCTAGTGAATGAATTAAGCGGAGTTATTCCCTCTCTTCTACCCTGAGCCTGGCACCGGCGTTGGTGACCTTAACGCCGAGCTTCTTGGCGCGGTCGATGATGACCCTGCGCTTCTTAGCGGAGACGCTGTGTGCGATCTCGGCAATGTGCGTCTTGTTGTGCATCAACAGCACATCGACTTCCGCGGGGTTGTTGACCACAACTTTGTAGTAGCCGCTGGGAAGCATGTGGCGGGTCCTCTTGTCAGTGCCATATCCGATTTTAGGGGTAAGCACGGTACCCTTGAAACGACGTCTGACCCTGCAGTCAATACCCTTGGGCTTCCTCCAGCTCTCCTACAAAGCAATTAGTCACCGAGGTCAATGCAACTTGCGAACACGCATAGGGCGCCACGGCGGAAATGAGAACGTACTACTTCATGAAGTACCAAATCTGGATAGCACAGCCAATCCACAACGTAACAACGCAACGTTATGCATCTCACAACAGTCTAAAACACCTAAACGCAACGGGGTATCCCGGTTCAGCAATGTCACAGACCACAGCGGCACCCCTTACAACTGCCACCATAAGACCGACGGTTACGCAGCGATTACAAGGCTATATCTGCCAACCTGCCGTAAGCAGGTACATGTGAGCAGTAATATCCACCCAGCTTTGTGGGCGTGTGCCTCCCGCGAGGCCCACAATTCCCACTCGCCGCTGTTGTACGCTACTGCCCCGAGTTCCCCCGTGAGAACAGGCTCTCACGCCTGGCCGTTGACAATTTAACCGTACACCCACAAATATATAGATATGTTACACACAACACGCGCTTTCAAACGCAATTTACGGTCGTGGTCTCACCTTGACGCGCTTGAAGCGGTCCGACTGGAAGCGGCGGAACTTCTTGGTCCGCTTGTGAACCAATCCTCTGAACTTCCTGATTGCCATGGCTTCCAAAATATACGATATGAAGTTTCCGGAAACTAACAGTGGATTTCCACGCGCTTATTGGCCTCGGAGCACGTAATCCCCATATGCCTTCGGGTGTTCGGCCTAGGCCGCCAGCGGGCCATTACACCATTGAACGATAAAACTCGCCACAATTTAGATTGTAATGTGTATATTTGATTCTTAGTAAGAGTGGACCGTGAGCGACTAACTCGCTACCTGGACGCGATAGTCGCTGCTGGGTTGCGTTGCTATTGGCGACTTGCTATGCGTTTTTGGACCTCTAACTAATCACGCATCGCTGTTTCTGCCACGTACTAAACTGTACACGTGCGTGTTGTCTACCGATATGGGCAGGCAATGTGTTTTGTGCTCCGGCCACACAACAGTGCTAAGAACGGTCCTTAGACCCTTGTCACTGGTAAATAGGCCGCCCGAATAAGCTCAACGGATTGGAAATGAGCCCCTCTCACCAGTGTGGTTGAATTTGGAACGTGGCTTATTGGGCACCTGCCTTTACGGTGTGCTTTTCCGCGCAGCACTAAAATCGATTTTCCATAGGATATCCGCAGGTGGCCTCTTCGTTATACCGTGCGAACGAAGCCGGCGCATACACGTGTTATAACCATGTTTGTGTGGGTGCTATTGTTATTGGTATACCTTGTGATGTCTGGTTAAAAGTTTAGGGTGGCTCTATTGTTAAAGGGTTTATCACGCCGTAATAAGCACATTAGCTCCACTGATACGCAAAAATCATTTCAGCATAGTGCGGCGACACTTGTGTCTCTACGGGGAATCATAGATAATCGTTTAGAACAATATTGAGTGCCATGTCTCAGGCGTGTGCATTTTATGGTGTCAAAAATATTTTCCGTTGCCTAGGCAAACATAGGCCTTGTCAGCTGGGATAACGCGATCATCAGTAGTTCTCTCCATCCTCGTTGTACGTGGTGTCGAGGCCTACTTCCTCATAATCCTTCTCGAGCGCCGCGAGGTCCTCACGTGCCTCGCTGAATTCGCCCTCCTCCATACCTTCGCCCACGTACCAGTGCACGAAAGCACGCTTGGCGTACATGAGATCGAATTTGTGGTCCATGCGGCTGAAAACCTCGGCGATAGCAGTGGAGTTCGATATCATGCAGACGGCCCGCATGACCTTGGCGAGATCGCCGCCTGGTACCACCGTAGGCGGCTGGTAGTTGATTCCGACCTTGAAGCCGGTAGGGCACCAGTCAACAAACTGGATAGTTCTCTTCGTTTTGATAGCGGCAACAGCTGCATTGACATCCTTGGGCACAACGTCTCCTCTGTAGAGGATGCACGAAGCCATGTACTTGCCGTGGCGAGGGTCGCACTTGGCCATCATGTTCGCGGGCTCAAAGGCGGAGTTCGTGATTTCAGCCACAGAGAGCTGCTCGTGGTATGCCTTTTCGGCGCTGATTACGGGCGCGTATGACGAAAGCATGAAGTGGATCCTGGGGTACGGCACCAGGTTGGTCTGGAACTCGGTGACGTCGACGTTGAGCGCTCCGTCGAATCGCAGAGACGCCGTTAGCGATGAAATAACCTGCGCAATCAGCCTGTTGAGGTTGGTGTAGGTGGGTCTTCCGATATCTAGGTTCCTCTTGCAGATGTCGTAGATGGCCTCGTTGTCGAGCATGACGGCAACATCGGTGTGCTCAAGCAGGGAGTGCGTCGAGAGGACGGAGTTGTAGGGTTCCACAACAGCCGTGGATACACGTGGAGATGGCCAGCAGCAGAAGTTAAGCTTGCTCTTTTTACCGTAGTCGACCGAAAGCCGCTCCAGCATCAGGCACCCTAAACCGGATCCAGTGCCTCCTCCGACCGCGTTGAACATGAGGAACCCCTGAAGCCCCGTGCAGTTGTCCGCCAGTTTACGGATACGATCAAGGCATGAATCCACAATGTCCTTGCCGACGGTGTAGTGACCACGTGCGAAGTTGTTGGCTGCATCTTCCTTCCCGGTGATAAGTTGCTCAGGGTGGAATAGGTGACGGTAGGTTCCTGTACGCACCTCGTCAACCACTGTAGGTTCTAGATCTACAAACAGACACCTAGGCACGTGCTTGCCGGCTCCAGTTTCGCTGAAAAACGTGGAGAACGCGTCGTCACCCTGGATCTGTTTGTCCGCTGGCATGTGCCCATCAGGCTGGATCCCATGCTCCAGGCAGAAGAGTTCCCTGTGCAAAAATATAACATTTGATTATCAAATAACATTGACGTGTAATGGAGAGGTAACGCTGCCAGCGGTTCACAGCCAAGCAAATGTGTACACATTTTAGACAGCCATCCTCTTACACATCGCATTGGACGAGAGTTCGCCTCCCAGATTTACACACATACACATTGTGTAGATATTCAAAACGGTAGCCGTTCTGCGACGAGAGTCGCCTCCCAGCCATACAACGCAATTTGATGGTAACTCACCAGCAGGCATTGCCGACCTGAATTCCCGCCTGTCCAACATGAATGCTGATTACCTCTCTCATATTTGCTAATATTCGTGAAATTTGTTGCGGCGTTCAACAAGTGCCGTTCTGGAGGCTCTGCGGCTGTATCGCGCTGGTCGGGCGGCGGGTAGAACAGTGTTCCTTCGGTGACGCAAGGTATAGTTTAACTGGCGTGACGGCTTTTGCGAACTGTTTACAAGTGGTATGACGAATCGACGCATTATGGCTTCGGTGTGTGATGGGGACTAGGAAAAGCGCTTATTCATTCCTCGCTGGCTGCTGGAAGAGAAAAAGCGTACTCAGGAGTCTGACTAACAGCACGCAATCAGCATCAACCGCACGCTGCTGACCAAATGAACGGCAGTGTTGTAACAATGTGTCCAGTGTGTGCTTCTAGACACCCCTTTGTGATATCGTTTGTGGTTGCATCTTAGTGTGTGTCTGTTCGCTGTAACTGCTCTGCGTACCAAAGCAGTTGCGTTTGGCTTACATATTACTGAAATTAGGTCCTATGTGTGGTTATTTCAATCAGATTTCATGGGTTTGGCCTCTGAGCAGCGCCTGCCGTTACGCTGTGTCTACGCGTTATATGCGCTGTTCATCTACGTTGCAGTGTGCCAACAACAATTCCAACGTAGTCCTTGCATTCTGTTACGAATGCACATTTTACATGTTCATCATCCGGACAGTGAATAACGACGATTGCTCAACGTTGCAGCTGGTACAACAGTTACGTAGCAGGAACCTCGTACAGGTTTGTTGCCCACTCTTTGTGGCGCTATTTGCTCTAAAGGGCTTTATTGTTATAAACAAATCACAGAAATAAGGTATAACGTCAGTGTTACTAAATACACGTCGAATAACAACGGGGTAGTACTAGGTTGCCTCACTCAGCGCCATAGGGATTCGCAACAACATTCACAGCTTCTTTTTATCACAAAGCCACATGTTACAATAGAAAAGTGTATACAATACCCAATGAAACCACCCTCGTTGCAATAAAAATTGCAAAAATGGCGACAACGGCAGGATTCGAACCTACGCAGGCCGAGACCTAATGACTTAGCAGGCCATCCCCTTAACCACTCGGGCACGTTGCCTTGTACCGGTGGGTCAAACAAACGTTCAATATGTGCCTCATTGCAGCATCAGAGAAACGGGGACGCAACATAAGCAGCGCGGCGACACGAATACATTGTATGTCAGTCATCATTATACCGATTGTTTTACATGGGCAACTGCTTGGGTGCCTTGATGTGATGCTCGTTGTGCGTGAGTACGAAGTGGAGATTTTCTTGCTCCGGGCTGCTCCAGTAATTCGCCTGCAGAGTAACATTGACGCAAACGTGTTTGTCCACCCACCTTCATCAAGTACACGATGGGTAGCGCAGTGATGGCCACGCAGAACATGTTGGAGTAGTAGAACGTGGCTCGCTCCTGCTCGGCCATGTTCGCCTGCACACGACATTAACCTCCGACGCTAGCGGGTATCAACTTACCCTGCGCGACAGCCGGCTTGTGCTGAAGCGCGGCAGCGGGATGGATTTTTGCAGTGCTCTAGACAGCCTCATCCCGGTCGATCATCATAGTCGGTTCCAAGACGGCTGCTACGAAAGCCCGGGCTATTTATAATGTTCGTTAATATATAGATGTTCTATGTTCGTCTCTGCGCTAGAATTGGGTGCCCAATCCACTACTATGCGGCAGATGTGCAGAGCACGACGCCCATGAAATGATCACGTGGTAGAAGGTTCTCAAATGTTTCGTAAACATGGGTATGACATGGATGCAATATTCTATATGTAAATTGCTTTTAGTAGTGTATTCTGGCATATTACAGGCAGATTTGTTGAAATACGCGGAGGCCTCAGCACGTATGCCTCGAGCCCTTGTATACCCCGTTTAGATGCTTATTGGCTGCGCAGCATACATCTGCAAAATTATTAATAGTTGCAATAGTTTGACAACATTTGTTGAGCTTCCCGTAGAGTTCTTAACCTCCGGGCATTTCCCTATAAAGGTTCGGGTTGCCGTTGTCTGACTAGCACAAACGTCGATTCCCGATTTTTCACTGCAACATTTATTGTAGACATGTATAATTCGAATTTTACACCCAATCTTCTGCGGAATGTCACATATTCGACTTCCTTATGAAGCTGTTAGACCAGTTGCTCTTTAGTGCCGGCAGTCGTCTACCGTGACTATGTCTACATAATGCGTGCCATCCCGCAACTGTATGCCATGTGTTTTGTGGCGAATCCTCCAGGAGGTGGCTTTAACTACCACGGGAGGTCGACGTATGTCGAGCGTCACTTCGGATGTCGTCTTCTGTCCTCAAAATCTCAAAGAGCGACATCATCAGTAGGTGCTCAGCAAGACTCTAAACAGTACGGAGGAATGCTGGATGGACCTTACTACAACCAGGATTTTGAGGAGGCGGCGTTCTCTGCTGCCATTGACGATATGGCTGAAGAAGACGGGAGTGCCGATGAGATGGACGACATCGAGCGCCAGCTGCTAGAAGCGCGATGTGAGAACGAACTGTATAACAGGCTAAATCGCATGGTACGTCGCAGTGCCGAATTCGAGATGCCGAAGACTTATGTTGAGACCCAGGCGATGTATCCACCCGGCAGGCCGGATGATGAGGCTGCGAACAGGAAGCCTGATGAGATACGTCTTAAAGAATACCTTTCGAATCGTAACGCTACAGGTGCCGAAAATATACGCAGTAAAGATCAGTTGGATGCCGATACAACCATAGTAACTGCTGTGAGTGACTGTAACGAGCCTCTCGAGACCAGACTGGAGCAGCACAAGGGGCGCAAGCCTCAACTGACTGATGAGGAGATTGAGCGCACGAGGGCCGAAGTTCCCCCTCTAAAGTCACAGTTTGATGAATATGCGCCCATTAAATTGCCAGCGAATGCCAACACAACGTCAGAGCTCATAAGCGGTATAATCCAGATGCCAGACATTAAGGACAAGAAGTTCCTGCAGGAGTCTATCAAGATCAAAGACTATAGTGAGCCCTCCAGACCTCCGCTCGACGAGGACGAAGTGTGGCTACGGGGGATTAACGAGGAACGTGCCAAGCGCGGCGAGCCTGAGCTGCGGTGCGCCGAGGGTGAGAAGCTGAGCGATAACGCAGAGTTCATAAGGGAGAAACGAGCGTTGGAGTTGCGCGAGGTGCGTGACATTCGCAGGATAGCTCACGAGGCACGCGAGAACCGCGAAGCTCTGAAGCACACCTTCTATCGCAAACTACCGCGTAACAATATGGGGTTTGCGGAGCTGAAAGCCTCTGATATCGGACAGCTGAGCTTTCAGGAGGTCAAGGAAGAGCTACGTGCACGTGGATACCGCACCTCAGGAGGTGAGAAGATGGCTAGGCTACGACTTGAGCATGCGCTAACCGATTCCGGTGAATGGCGTTACCGGAACATAGTGACGCAGCCGCTCGATGAGACCAATGAAAACCTGCCTCAGACAGCCCGCGAACGCATTGCCGATCTAAAACAGAAGGTTAGTGTGGATGTATGAGCGTATATAAAATGACCGATGTCGTGTTATGATCGTGTGGCGGTTTAGTGTATACATGGTCATGCTTCTACTTTTATTACGACGCACAGTATTACTATAAGTGCTGTATTTGGTCAGTGTAGCTAAATGTAATACGTCCAACTATATTTGTACGACGTACGATGAATTGTGGGACTGCGCTGCATAGCAAGTTTCATATACACCCGCTTTTACATCAAGCATTTCAACGTCAAATGTGCCTAAATTGATACATAACAACACATATTGCACCTATGTATCTGTATATACAATTGAACATGCACAATTTCCATTCAGGTTAAATTCATCAATGAGTCCGGTTGGGGCGGCGACATGGTCACCACGATTTCCAGACTAAGGGCGAAGAATGACCTAATCAAATTCCACGATGATCCGGTTAGCTTATCCATGTGCGCATGTTTATAAACCATAATGCAGGTGGGTTACCTTGGTCTGGACATGTCCGACCCCTCGCAACAAATCTCCCCTGAGGAGGCTGAGGAGTTGCGTAACGCCCCAGTTGTGCACGATACTGCCTTCATTAAGGCAATGCAGGACCCCAGTGAGTGATAAGTGATGCTTTATTAAATATATTGCAGTAAACCGTTTACCCGATATCATACCGCGCACTTTTAACCTCCAACATGATGTGGAACGCCCGTATCCTCGTTACGCGGCTACCCACAAGGCGGAACTTGAGGATATGAAGCGGGAATATTTGTCATTTAAAGGCGGCATTCACGAGGAGACCCTTCCAGAGATATCGCAGCGTTTCGAGATAAGCCTCGATTTCCTTGGGGATGCGTGCTGTAGGCTTGGAGCCCAACCTCCGGTGGCGTTGGACATGCCACTTCGCGGCATAATCTCGTACAGCGCTATTTGGGACCTTGCAGAGTTCCTCAATATCGCGGACACATTGGAGGTTGAGGCGTTCTACAGCATCTTGAATATCAAGGAGGTAGCGGCTGAGCTTGGTAAAACTGTGAAGGAAGTGGAAGAGGCGTGTGAGAGTCTGAACATCAAGCTACCTTTCGGGGCAGAAACTAAGCTGAATCTTCACTGCCTATTAGTGGTGGAGAAGCTGCTGAAAACACCCGACTTAGACGTTGATTTACTCGCCCAGGATCCCTCCTACCGCAACCGCTTCAGAGACCCTTATGACAATAGGCCTTACTTCCCGAACTCGATGCGTGATGACATTCACCGCGAAGCCATTGAGAAGGGCGCCTTGTTCGAGCAACCGGAGTTTCATGGTGATGAAGTTAACTAATAGGCAACATGGAGTTGTCGCCTCTAGCATTTGCCCCACTTTGCCGCTTCCGTTGAGTCACGACGTCAACTCTAGGCCACTCCGCTAAGTTATTGTCAGCTAGACCAAAAATATAGCTATATATGCATAACGTCACAATATGGTTACCAGCATTCCTACAATTATACCCTTTTTCTATTCGGCTGATCTTTGGTAAGTGGCTATATAAGGCTTTATCAAATTTGGAGGACAGATAATACCATATTAACGTCACATAGCAGTTCAGATGGCATTATAGAGTGAACTGATTGATGCTAGGAGAAATTAGTATATTGAAAGATTGGATATGATAGGAGAATGTAGGAAATCGTTATACTTTATTTCGCGATTCCCTGTGTCACCATGAAATGATGATGGATACCACAACACTATCTAAACGTGTCAAACTACATTACGCGGTGTTCGTTAGTTGGCTGGGTGGGTGGGCTAGGCAGTGGCGTCATCACGGCGGTGATTAAAATCACGCCTGTAGGTACGATATTTTGCCGAGCTTTCCGACATGTGCGGTGGCGAGCAGCGACTGGGCGGCGATGCGGTGCGACGAGGGCGAGCGCAGGTGTGAGCGGATGCGCAGGACGTCGATGCGGACGACGGTGATGTGCAGCAGGTAGAGCAAAGAAAATGTCCAAAGCCCTACCAATGTCCAGATGAAGGGTGCGCGGATCTTGAACATGAAGTCTGGTATGGTTTTGTGAATCAACATCGAAAGTATTGATTTTTCGGAGCATACCTTATTGAGCTGTTGTATGAATTTTTTACACGTTCTTTTAGGTATATTGTGTTCACCAATCTTGCCTTCCAAATTGGTCCTATTTCCAAACGTGAAACCGTAGGCATATAGTGTCGGATGCGTATGAGGGCATTTTATGATGGAATCACATACACCATGCGCATTGTTTGTCTTCTCAAAGACGGAGTGTGCGAAGACACCGCAAGCACTTTTGGCACACCCGGTAACGCGGCATTTAGAACTTTTGACGCCGCAGTTACCACTGCACTTTCCGCATAACTGGCACAATAAATCATAAAAGAAATCAGTGAGGTAAACAACCCAGGACAGGTGTTTGGCGGCGTTCTTGGCAGCGAACGTAGTGTATATCGCAGTGCCTATAGAAGTCATGTATGTGCCACATTGGTTATTTGCTTCATAACATGACTCATCGGCGTTACATAGACCATAGAGGTCGCCATTAACATGGGTAGACTGCTTGCCTGATTTATGATTGGTGCTGCCGAACATAGGAGCAATCTCCAACTTGGTATGTGGAGTTTTGAAATTGGCCCCAGTGACGGCGTCTGTAAATGGTTCTTCCCTGTTCTTCCGACGTATCACATTCCTGCCATCCCACTCATTAAGGAATTGATAATAGAACGCGAACATATCGCCCAATGTTTTTGGCGCACTAGGGAGGAGAGCGTTCAGTTGACTGAGAAGCACAGTGAGGCACGATGTTGAATCACCACAAAATTTACCGAGCACATCCTTGATATGCTGACCGGTTTGCCTGTGAGACGCCGCTTCAGTAATATCCCAGAAACCCATTGGAGTTATACATGGCACATTAAAGTGCTGTTTTACTGAGCACTCAAGTTTGCCTTTCTCAGACTTGAGTTCATGGGGAAGGAAGCCTAGTAAGCCATCTTCCAGGAACGACTGAAGCGGTGACTTTATGCCGCAGTCAGTATGTTGGTCGTGTTTTTGGTTGCAGTCTTGCTTAGGACATTGGGTCTCATGGCAGTTCCACGCTGACCCGGCAATTCCCTTGCCGTACCAACAGTCCGACCAGCCACTCAGTTGTCTTTTGTAACAACATTGTTGATATAAGAAATAGAGCTGGTGGTAGAGTCGCTTCAGAATTTCTAACAACACACAGATCAAGGTATTCATATCAGTGGGATAATGCAGGTTCAGTGAATTGTTGGAGAAGTCGCAAGCATAAATCCCACCTGCGTGGCCATGACCGAGTATAGAGGTAAGGACGGAACGGGATCGTGAACAAGTCTTCTTAATGGCTGTTCGCACATTTTTGTACGTGATTTCATTTGGGTAGGCATCTAGGGATATAGATTCTGTGTCAATGAGTGTCACATCGAATTCGTCCTCAACCTCCGGCTTTTGCGCATCTGGACCACTAAACAGTTGAACGATACTGTCGCGTAATGATGTTTTATTCACGACATTATACGTGAGACCTGAGCACCATGCAAGCATTTCATATATACTGCACGGCGTTTTAACTTCAGAGCGGACTACTAAGTGACATACTTCGTTATATTGATTTAGGTGGTGGAAAAGTCTAGACAAAACACCTTTACCCTTTTCATAATAATTAACGTAGTCGTCGAACGATTCATAGCCTTTTGGCTCTTTAATAAATTCATCATAATTGTTGAACCCCCTGCTAAGACATATGGCAACGTCTCGACCGGTATTGTTTTTGGTAACGAGGTTCTCGACATCATATCCATGATTTTGCAAATACTTTTGCAATGCTTTCGTATTGCCTGCACTCTGCATTTTATATGTTTTCCATGCGTTACAACACTCATAGAACACGTAATGCAATCTATTGAAAAGCGTCGGAAGAGAGGTCAAAAATACCTTGGCACAATTTGCCGCTGACCTTTCATCTTTAGTCCAATCAATATCCTGCCTGTCATAGGCTGATATGTATGCCAGTCTAAGTTCACCGACAAGGTTAGAAAGGCCCGCGCCGAGAGCTTCTAGAAGTGGAGTGTTCGGCTCAGAAAACGACTCCGGCTTCAATCCTTCAATGGCATCAGCCAGCCCGTCAAGCAGACTGGGTACATGACTGTCGTACTTACCGGCGTTTATCTGGTGGAACAATTTGGCGAGTTCGTTATCTACACAGTCGACCGCATCAACGTAGTTATTTTCAGATTTCTGAAGGGAAGGATTCTTCCTTGAATGATTCTCCTTGTTGGTCCTCCCAATCTCTTCCTGGATATAGTTTTTCAATGGCTCGAAGAATGTACGGAAGGCTTCGGCTATGTCACAAATATTATTCTTACCTTTGGCATTTAGAAGTTTATCAATGTTATTAGGATTCAGTGTTCTTTTGTAATCGCCATAAAACTTCTCCATAAACCCTTTAAATCCAATGTGCCTGTCACCTTCAATCTGCTGTGGAAGTCCATCAAGCTCTTTGGTCACCCTGGAGGCAAACTGTTTGAGTAACAACTTAGTGGTGATAACGTGATGCTTCTTGGCTTGTGTAGTTAGTTTATCGGTTGCATTTCTGACTTGATGCTGAACCTGCTCCTTGAGTTTTTGGATGTATTCATTTTGTAATTGGTTAGATTCTGTTTGAATGAAATTTTCAGTTGCTCTGATGGGACCAGACTCCAGCTTGCTCTGCAATTCGCTAATTTTATTTCTAATCCCGCTGAGTTGATGATCTGCGTTACTGAGATCTTTATTTTTAAAATCCTCCAAAATTTTCTTCAGACCATTGGGATCTCCAGCGGCGTTTTTAATGTCTTCGCACAAAGTCTTGAGTTTTTGCTTAAGCAGCTGTAGTTTATACTCCGCATCAGTATTCACTGCGCCTAATGGATCTAATACACTGTCCATCTCACTCTGGATTTTCTTGATGGCCTTGGGAAGTTTGTTTTGCTCCGGATCACCTTCATTGACATCGACTTCACCCTTAGCAAGAGCTTGTAATTTTTCTTGGTCTTGGTCGACGAAGCCTCTGTAGCCTTGGAATTTATCATCGTCAGCGGCAAGGGTTGTGATTGTACTACTGTGATTATCCTCCCCGATCTGCGTCGTCAGCTCAGTGCTCACATCATCGATCGCGGTGTCGACTTTATCCGCGTAGTTGGTGCCGTTTGCAGCACTGCCTTCGCCAAGCGCCTTTTCAAGATTTGTGTTAAGCTCACCAGCCGCCGTCAAAGCGTTTTCCAAGTATTTGGCGATGTTATTGTTCGTTATAGGCTGTAGAGCTAAGGACTGCAGTTCCTTGGAAACCTGACTGCCTTTGGCTTGGAGTGCAACGAGGATATACTCGATTGCGGATGTAAGCTCAGTGTAATCAATTGGTTGAAGGTGGAGGGGGTTTATTACTTCCCCGTTGACTGCCGCGGCTATCTTACCAGCAAATGTATTAATTCCACTTCCACCCTGAATTTTTGTTTTCAGCTCATCTGCAAATGTTTGACAGACATCTTTGACAGCTTCAAAGTTCCTTTTTATACTTTCTGAGCCGTCGGTGTGCAATTTTTGGAACGATGCCGTAGCTTTCTGAATAATATTATTCGGGGCCATCTTCACTTTATTAATAATTTCCTCTCTGATTTTCTCATTAAGCCTTGTATTAGTTCCGGCACTGCCACCATTACGAAAATACGTCGTGAAATGCTCTTTGTGGCCTGAATTATATCCAAAAACTTTTCCCATCACCGTCTTATCCTCCCCCAAAATATTCCCAATCCACACTTTCAAAACCTTGCTCTCGAAACTCGTTGCTGTGAACTTTCCAATATACGTGTTCAATTTCGTCTTAATACCTCCAAGGCCTCCAGGTCCCACAATTGCACCAACAGTACCTTGAATTTCTCCTATAACCGCAGCAATTTTCTTATGTTCATCTTGTACGTCGTCCGTTGTACCATCCTTTACAACTCCATAAAGCGCCCCAATCTTCACGTTAATCTCCTCCACCTTTGTTTTTATCCCCTTCTTAACCTCATACAAATCCTCTTTAAGCTTCCCGTCCATTTCTTTTACCTGCATAAGCGTTGCGGCAACTTGGTTTCTAACCTTTTCCAAGGCACTGTCCTTCGCCTGGAAGAGCTTATCGATATGCTGCCTCAATTTATCCGCCGCCTGCTTAATATCCGTGACATTGCTGAACGCAGAGTTCTCATCAACCTTACCTGATATTGTATTAACCTTCAGCAATGCTTCTTCCATAGTCTTATTCCCTTTCTGAATCCACCTTTCCAAATCCTGAACACAGCCAAACAGACTCCCACTAATATCTTCCAGCTGCTTTTTTATAGCACGAACCCTCTCCCTCAACTTGCTGACAAGCAGAGGTATTTTTTCGTCAATCTCTTTATGTAAGTTAGTTCTAAGCTCTGATAGAGCACTCCCAATTTTTGCGGTCATCTCTCTCAGAACTTTACTTTGATCCTTCGACATCGCAGTGAGATGATCCGTTTCAATCTTAACCGAGTCACGCGCCTTATTCACTCTGTCACGCAGCGCAGAATTCAAGTCATTAATCGCGTTTTTAATATCCTTTGGATTGGTTCCAATGTCTAAGTCATTATTAAATTTGTTTGCGTTCCGAAGACACTCTTCCAAATTACTTTTAACCGAAGCCACGGCTTTGTCAGCTTCCGTGGGAAAACGTGGATCTAAATTGTCATTTATAAGACTCACCTTTCTTGTAAAGTAATCAACATTCTGTTCCAGAGCTGTTATTGTACTCTTAACTTTTCTATTGGAACGCTCTAAACTCTCATTATAATCCCGCACCTTATCGGCCACCTGGCCGATCACATCCCTGAAGCCTTGATGGCCACTGCATAATCTAGGCTGAATTTCATTATCGACAAAAGTTTTTAGCTCTTTTCTACCAATAGTGTAGGGCTGATTTGCACAGACATCCTTAAGCACGCCATGAAGGAAAGACATCACCCCGTCGCACAGCCTGTCGAGGTCGGAGTACACAATCCCTTTCCCGGTGTAATTACCATCTTTGAGGCCGAGAAATTTTTCGAGGCCTGTGCAAAGGCTTTCAAGTAAATCACGTGGATTATTCCCAGTAATAAATTCCTCTAGTTGCTCAACAACCTTTCTCTGACTCTCAATCTCCTTCAAAGCCTTGTCCCTAGTTGAAGGATCCATGTGATGATCCTTTTCACAGTTTTTTTTGTTGGCTTCGTATCGCTTAATTTGGGATTCTAAATCCTTTTTTTCCGCTACATTATTTTCATCAGATTTAAGTTCCTTTAATTCCTCCTTAGCCGTCGCAATCCTTTCATCGAGCCGTTTACAATACTGACGACCATAATAATCTGCAGCACAACCAATCTTACCTTGCTTTTCATCAAGACTCTCTCTAGCCTGTTTAACGGCATCACCAATCAACTTTTTCACAGCCTCAGCCAAAGGCCCAAGACCATCATTACCATTTCCATGCTTAACCTGTATCAACCAGTCGATGGACTCCCGGAGGTTTTCCGGACAGTCCGTCAGCTTCTTCGGCGCCATTGTTCAGAAGTAACATAACACGGTATCCTCAACGTGAATCAACCCACCTGCAATTTGAGGTTGCAGATCCCCGACTCCGCTGCAAAAATGCGATACGCACTGGACGCTTAGCATACACGTTCCGTAGTGCTATGAACTACATTCGTTAGACTTCTGTCAGGTGAGTGATGTGTGTATACTTCGTGCCAAATCGAACATCCACCTTGCTCACCGGTTCCCAACACGCAATATCCAGACAACCTAGATTTCTAATCCACCACGGAGTTATCTTGAGACCTCAAAACTGCATTACAATGCTCAGCAACACAGAGAAACACCCAAATCCGCTGCAACCTGCAAATCAATGTTCGCATCGAATCCTCTCCCGCTCCGATGAAATTCCAGACCCGCCCCACTACCACCCAACTCCATCTTTTTTTGGAAGAGGGACTTCCTGGAATATGAATGAGATGAATGACAGGAATCTTGTGAATAGAGGCATGTTATAAATAACCAGCGTAAAAGGCAATGGAAATATTGTTCCCCCTGCTGCCTTCATTAGGATGGAATATTCGATACCTTATGTATGAGAACGTAAAGTTCGTATGGATGATGCCGAGGTGTAACCATGAGGGACAGCAGTAGCAGGCCGGGATGAAAAGCGATTGTCAGACTGGAGAGCAGCAAGAGGTAAGTGGATTACGATGGTAGCGATGGAGTACATAGGTTAAGACGGAGGAGACCAAGGAGCCTAATAGACCGGAGACCAGACTCTGACCAACGGAATAATACTATCATCATCATGAAGAACTGGATCACCAACCAAGACAACCTGGTAGAAAAGGATGTATTCAATAAGCGTAAGTACGAAGACCCTATCGAGGGCCTGAAGCCGCGGCAATCCAACCAACAGACGAGGAGCAAGGCAATGCCGTATGCAATGGGTGCCATGTAACCCAGAGAAGACTGACTGACGCACCCAACCAATATGGATGCCACTAGTAATGTTCGGCAACAGATCGACGTGGAGCCCTTAGACTACACCAACAGCGTGAGGGGCTAGCACCGTAAGTGGCAGAATGGCCCAAGACAAACGTAATGATTGGCAACTCTGCGCTATTCAAGTGCTCGTATGGGTGGCTGCAAGCGTTCTCATAGCCGAGATGTTAAGTCATGCTCCTGCACTGGCTGACGTGTTGAGCATCGGAGAGCGTGGTTACTGGGAAGTCATGGGCAACATTGTGGTGTTCACTAGGATACTAATCCCGCGTAATGGATCCGTTAAATAGACATTAGCGCATTGTGGCAAGTGGTAAGGTGGTGTGACTTAACATGGGTGAAGTTGTGGCTGTGCCACTTTAACATTAGTTGACCAAATGTGGTGAGGCGACGCTAATGATTGGATACGTTGTCAAGAACGCATTACCTCTGGGGTGCAGGGCGCGCGGCAGTAGTGTCGCTGGCTGTGGGTGTAATGTCATTTGCCTGGAAATAATGGAACGCTAACGGGAAGCAGCTTGGCGGAATCACGATGCAGGGTCGAGACACACCATCTGCCTTCCACTCAGAATCCTCATCGGTGTTCCGCTATCGTACGGTGATGCATACTTTCACGCCACTAGGACTTCAGGATTGAAGGGTCCCTGGACATGGATGCTTCTTTAGTTCACGGGTGAGTAAAGTGTTAATATGATTTTTGTGTCCCGACACCTGTATTGCAGGGCGTGTTGAGCAAAGAAGTATATGTGATTTTGGAATGTCTAGTGATTCGTCTTAATATTATGTTTTATTTCGTACCACTTTCATTCAGCCACCTTGCGGTTTGGCTATTCTGTCCACCTGTGAATAGGCTTGGTGAGTGGTCTGTGCAGAGCTCTCATAGTCTTTAGTGTTTTTCAGTCTACAGTCTTGAACGCTTTAGATGCTATTTGTTATGCGCAGTGTAGTCACTGATTGGCCATATCACTGTGTTGCTTGCTTCCTTAGTAACGATGAAGATTAATACGGATGGAATCAAGCTCACTAGTCTTAGGGACTGTTTCATGTTTTTATACTGGTTGCATAAGGGAGGAGGGAGGAATAAACTTGGAGAGGTGGCCCAAACTATGCATGGCCGCATTGGAGATTATTGTAAGAGCCATCAAGTGACGAAAGAGCAGATCGAATCCCATCTAGCCTCCTTTCTTGGTCATGTGAGTAACTTCTACGAAATGTTGGTACGTGAGGACTTTCCTCGAGAAGCACTTGCATCCGGAGCCTCAATGCCGCCCAACCCTTCAGCGGATGACATAGTCAATGCACTTCTTGAGTGTCTCCCCAAATTCCTCGCCGCGATATACTATCTTTGGTATTGCGTGTCTCACACGTTCGAGTCACTTGGCGGAGGTGGGTGGAAGAATGATTGCCCTGGGTGGGAGAAGGATCGGTGGTACGGGTTGAGAAACAATTGGGGCGGTGACCTTCAAGCGTATCTCAGAGACATCGTCACTAACCAGTACAATGTAATACCGGGCGGCTTTAATACAAATGAGGTGAGAGATGGTTGGTCATACGGTGGTTACTCCCGCGGTTACTCTATGGTTACTCCCCTCAAAAAAATTTTCGAAAAAAAAAGATGATACAGCTAAAAACGTTTTTCGCGATGTGTTCGCCACTTCGGTGCTAACTACCACATCTGGCACCCAAATTTCTAACACTGCGAACGCTCTTGCATTGGTGAACTTGTTTTGCGAGATTGTGGTTGAGGCGGATAAAAACGTAAATCGCGAGAAGTTTAAAACCCATGTACAATCAGAAAACGGATGTATACATTGGGACTTTTTGAAAAATCATTGCTCCTCACTGATATCCCAACTTGGCAAGTTGTTCAATGAGAAAGCCTTTTCCTTCACCGGCTACGGGCGAAAACGCGAAGATCTTAACAAGGAAAAGTTTGCAGAAAAGACGGCAAATTGGTTGAGAGAGAATCTGGAGAAGGTGCGGGGGAATTTGGAGAAGATTCAGCAGTTTGAAAGTGAACATGATGGCCACGCAAATGAATTCGCCAGGCTTCCAAAACATCACACCATGCTCCAGGAATATTACGCCGCGCTCGGCCCATATTTCACTAAAAATCTTTTCCCCTACGGTTTCACTTTCTACGGTGAGAAAGAATATTTAAGGGAAAATGCCCCGTATGAGCTTTTGAGAGCGGAGTGAGATAGAATAATATTTGATCTTAAGAGAGACAACGGCAATCTAGTGGAGTTAAAGAAGATTCTGGATGGCAAGGGGTGTCCAGCTCCCCCTCCAAAGCCGCGCCCCAGGCCGGCGCCTGCGCCAAGGCCCCCAAACCCTGCACCCCAACCCGGGCGTGCCAGGACTCCTGGTAGAAGGACATCCGGTCCAAGCAGTTATGGAGGTTGGTCGTCAGTTGGGAGTCTTGTTTCTGGTGCTAGAAGAGGAAGTGATAGAGGGATACGGCCTAACCGCAGAGGAGCGGGATCGGGGGCTCCAAGTGATAGAGGACGAGGCCCAGGGGTTAAAGGTGCTGTAGGTGCTAAGAGCGCACAGAGAGGCAGACATCCAGGGCGTCCGATGTCTACTAAGCCCCAACACGCACAATCTCAAAATGATTCCCAGCGTCATTCCCAACAACATCCTCCACCTGCTGCCTCCAGTGCTCCTAGAGTCGCTGATCCACCGGCTGAACAACTTCCAACTTCAGACCGCCTCGTGTCTCAAGCCCCTGTACAGGCTCAGTCAAGTGCGTCCAGCTCCAGCTCTTCGTCATCTAGTGTCACTATTATCGGTGATCAGGATCTGGGTCCCCAGGCGGCCGCTTCTGGACATAGTCAAGGGAGTAGTCAAACATCCATGGGCAGCACGGTTACCCTTCCTCATGCATCGCCTCTCCTGGAACCTGGTAAACAGAGCGGTCCCTCCCAAGACAGTATGCAACCTGGGACTTCGGATCCTTTAAGTTCAGGTTCTACGTATTCTGGTGGCGTGGCGTCTACTCGTCATTCTCCACAAAGTACCCCAGTCTCCCAATATAATAAAGACGTCGGTATGGGGAGCATCAGCCAGCCATCCCATACCCTGCCTTCTGATTCAGGCGCTGGTGAACGTGTAGGACCGGGTGGGGCGCCGAGCACCGGTGGGAGTTTGACTGCGGCTGCAAAGGACACTGTTCCCACAGCTTCAGAACCTGTTGCCCCTCTAAGCGTTGATCCTCGTCAGACTCCAAGTATTCATCGTCAAAACTCTCTCTCGCATGGTGACGGTGATCCAGGCCGTGTAGGGTCTTCTTTGCCACAGGCTGGGTCAAGTCACGATGGACCACCGGTGGCCGTTGATACGCCAGTTGACCAGGCTCCGGGTCCAGACAGCATGGTTGCTTCGGGAATACATCCCTCGGTCTCTTCAAATGCTATGAACAGTCAGACTTCAAATGTTCAAAGCCCAGATTCCCTGTCATCTGTTGTCCCTCCTCCAGGTGGTGATCAAGGCCGAGATAGACAGACACTTTCTTCTAACCCTGCTCAACGTATTTCTCATCAACCCTCAGACGTTGGAAGTGCCCATCAAGGCACCTCCGTCGCCGATCATCTGCCATCTGCTGTAAGTAGTGCTGATTCAGGTGTAGGAGGAGGCGCTGGAGGGGGCGGGAGCTCGGCAGGTGGTACGGATGGCGATTCCCAGGTTGACGTTCACTCTCGCCAATCACCTAAAGCCTCACAACCTTCTGTGCAACATCATACTCCAAGCCATTCACCCCGAGATTCTGCATCTGATATCGCTGATTCACCGGGTGATAGGGGCCTTGCTCTCCAATCGCCTCCTCTGATAAATCCTCAGGGTGACACGGGGGATGCAAGCGGTCATAGCCCGGCATCCATTCCACGGCCTCCCGGCTTAGATCCGCTAGGGGAATCTCAGGATCTAGCTACAAGAGTTCAGCAGCTAACCCAAGTGCAAGGGAACGGACCTCTAAGTCAGCCAGGCCCGGCACTGCATGTTCCTCCACCCCCACCTTCCGCTCCTAACCCAATAACAGCTGCAGAGCCTTTGAGTTCTCAGCACAGTGTACATGGGCCCATGAAGTCTAAAGATTTGCAAGATCCACCAGTTATGCAGACTCCGGGTCCTAATTTGATGGGAGACACGGACCATACAGGGCCTCTGAATCAACATGTATCCTCCAGTTCTACTGTAGCACATGACCCCGCTGGTAAGTCAAGAAACGGGGATTTGGATCCAACGTCAGGTAAGCTTCAGAGCCCACAACCTGATGACATTCACGGCGCCGCGCTTACTCAGCCCTCAAGTGTTTCAGGTTCAAAGTCTTCGTTAACTGCTGTATCTCCTTCAGGTGGTGGTAAGGACCCGGATAACCAGGTGTCTCTTTTGGTTCCTGTTCTGCCACATGCTAAAACATCCAAAGTCATCCCAGCAACGCTACCCATTACCTCCCCAGGTCTGCCACCCGGTCAAAAGATCGGTGGAGATGCAGGGAGTGGGAGCCCAGGGGCGACAATCGGTGACCCTAATTTGCAAAATAGACAGACGGTTGATAACAATTTGAGTTCTTCTGGCACATCTATGAATTCAGGCAGCGATTCGTCGCATCAAATACCACCTCAGACGTCAATGCCGGATCCGCCTCGAATTGAGCTTGAGATTGAGAAATTCTACACTCCGGAGATGATTTACGGCGCTGACACGTTTCAAGGGGAACCACTGCCCGCGGCTGAACATAAGAGGATTGTATCACCGTCCGATACCTATTCTGATATACCTCCGCACGCCCCGTTTCCTGAAACATTCTATCCAAAAATTACCGGAGTCGTATTCGAGGACAAGTGTCTTCCTCCCTGGATCACGAATACACATAACGACAATCTGCAAGAATTCCCCGACACCGAGTTGTTCCCCTCCGAGGCGCCGCGCACAGTCAAGGAGATGCTTATTTGGCTGGTCGGACTTCAGAACCCGAAGCATCATGTGGCTATGGAGAAGTGTATTAAAACGGCATTCGGCAGCATGCCTGACGCTACACTCGGAGATCATAAGCTCTCCGTCAACGATGCTGAAATTACCCCTAAACAGGTACTTGACGCCTTAAAACTTACCGCCATGTTTGCAGCTTCAGTGCTATCCACCATTGAACCTGCCTGGAAAGGTAACACCACATTATCTGCAACATTAAAACTAAAGGGCTCCGACCAATCCAAGGACCCTGATTGCTGCACCCTCCTCTGCCGGCTGCGGGATTACGTCTACGCCTGCTGCCACCAGTTGGCGTTCCTAAAGTCGCAGTGTTCTCGGGAGCAGTCACATGGTGGTTGGCAGAATCATGAGTATGGCCATGGTGTGTCTCCCCAAAAGTCACCCCTTCAGGCCTTTCTGACCGACGCCCATGACTCCAAGTTCACGACATACCCCTTCGACCCGTGCAACGTCTGCCTCAAGAGCCGTGTCAGGATGGGATTCAGGGCAGATGATTTGCCTGACAAATTGGAAACTGGCAACGTCCTTCTCACTATCCTCTCTCCCAGCTGCGGCGGCGAGGATCCCCTGCTGACATTGTCCTCTTACCTCAGCTGCCTCACCAGGCGGACGCCGCGCACCACCGGGGAGCTTGTCTCTTTCTTCCACAATTTCGGGAATTCGCTTCATGATGCGGCTTCAATATTGTCCAAGCTGGGCTCCGCCCTCTCCACTCGACATGGCCACTACCCCGACTGGGACATCCTTGCTGCCGACGACCTGCAAGTCATCAAGTACGCACGGGACTCCGCCCCTCCCACCTCCAACCACGCCAAGGGCCATCCCAGGACCCTGTCAACACTGGTTGGCTGCGGCATCGATAATTCCAACTGCCCACAGCATATGACGCCCATCACCTACCGGGCCTACGCCCTGTACTCACCAAGCTTCGTCCACCACTACCTCAGCTGGACAGTCTACCTACCCGACAGACTGTGGGAGTCGCTGCAAAGAATGAGCGTAGATTTACAGGACCATGTTGGTATTAAATGCGCACCACTCTATGCTTGCCAAGCCGCTCTGCCCCTCCTCTACTCTCACGGGTTCACGCCGCCGGAGGTTGCATCGCGGGCGTCAGTGACGTGTTCCAAAGTGGTCGCCAAGCTGGAGGAAGTGGTCTCCGGACAGCCTATCGCAAGCCTCATGACCGCCATGGACGATTTCCTCTACGGCATACGGATGCCCTTCCTCTATACCCTGCTCACACTGTGGTCTATCGCAGCCCTCTACATAGCATACACGACGCTATACCGCCTGGACGTTATGCATATACGTTCTCACCTCTTGCGCTCCAAGGTCTCACACCTCATCGACGTCAAGGCTTTGCTCTCCACCGGCCGCAAGATGCTCTCACTCTACCGTGACGTCGACTACTTCGATGACGACCCTGTTGGCTAAGTTGATGTATAACGGCAATTGTGGTATTTGCGTAATAGCTTGCCACTGTGTGATATGTTGTGATGCAGTGGTGTTAAGTTGTGTTCGGGAGGCATCTGCAAGCCATGACTCTAATGATCACTCATAGCCTTTATTCTGACATGTCACGGTCAGCTTTTACCCAGTAGCGTCCATCCTTGCTTCCATGCTCCTACCGTTCCTCATTTTTACCAAGCCGTTTTTCCTGGAATACGTTCAACATGTTCCTAACACATCTAAGGCTTCCATTGCGTTTTACACTCATACCTCCTAAAACATTCCTCATTCCAGGTGTAAGCCGTTCATACAAGTATCATTGGGGATGTAGCAGCAAGGTATAAGCAGCCGTGGCCGTACACAGCTAGCTACTTAGCAGCAGACAATATGAAAAAGGTTAAGTTTGTTACAGTGGTGGCAAAATCAAGATTGGCAGTGATACCTAGCAATTTAACGGTTGAGTATAAGAGGGGGCATAACATTTCGGTAGTCTCGAAATGGCGAATCGTGAGACTTCCGTAAGAGCGTGGTGATAAGGCTACAATCACAGTAGCATCCTGCGTAAGGGGGTTGATTGCGGCGTTTTGATGTACTCTTCATAACATCTTGCAGGTGGAATAGTGAGACTTTGATAGTTTGTAGAATATGTCTCATTCCTCATTTGGAAAGTGGTCATCGTAGGAGACGGAAGCCATTGGATATTTTGGGAAAAATATTGCTCTTAAGGACACATTAAAAAATCAAATCGATGTCCTTCACACAATTAGATGGGCTTTACATATTGCATCGGATTCGTATGAAAGAAAACATTATTATTGTAAAATAAAGCTTCCCTATCCCGTGTAACCGCCGTCGTTTGGGGTGGCATTTCATTTTCAGGCCACGGGAGGAGCGTTAGACATGCTATCGCATCCTCATAGCACAGAATCTGTACATCCATAATTTATGCTCTCACAATTGTAGATTTCAATATAGCGATCCCGTTTGTGAAATCGATTATGCACATTCTAGTTTCTTATATCGCGGGACGCAAGGTGCAGCGAACAATGGAGGTACGGCCTTAGGGTATGAATAATACATTTAGTGAAATTAAATAGATTGTAGATTGACTGACCCTTGTGTATTGGGTGCCGTACATTCTGTGGCGGGTCCTTGCTTGCCCGCTGTATCACGCTTCTTCAACACGGGCAGATGGCAAGCATTTAGGATTCTGCAAAAAAAGTTGAGTTGCAGATAGATTAGTTCACACCTCTAGTGCGGCCACTAATCTATTACATCCGCAACCTCTACAACCATCTGGACACGTTATTCATTGCATTTTAGGCCGATTGTTAAGAGAAGTGTGAGGAAAGACGTCGACTTGTAATTGTGGAAATGGATGCACTAAAGGCAGTTGTAAGTGCTGTCCTTGGTGTTGTGAGGGATGTAAGTACGGTGACAATAAGTGCAACGCTAGCTGTAAAACAAATTACTTATGTGGTAAACACGTTGGCTATATTATTTTAACCGCGGTCATCTTCCTATTCCTCGGAATGCTCCTCTACCTCTTCTCCTGGTATCCTCTACCGGGCTTCAAGAAATTGCGTGCTTACTTTGCTGACGATACTCCACCGTCCACTTCTTACTCCAACCTTCAAAAGAAGGCCACAAAGTAGTCCATTAACTTCAATTAGCGCCCATATAGCCTGCAACATCGTATCTTAATGTTGTAGTGTTCATCTTAATCGCATACCTGGGTTCATCATAACTAACCATCAAGCTTTTCTGAGTAATATAGTGACCAATCCAAACGTCAATAACAACTACCAAATAACTTTTGAAATTGCCAAACAATATATTTACTCTCAACAGTGTATTACAACCATGCATGCACCAACAGTTTCGAGCTCACATACTCGCAACAATTGCATAACTGCAAATACACTATTTATAGGGGTTGTTATATTAAGCTTGGGCATCCAGCGCCTCCTCGTTGACAGCGAGTTTTTCGCCGACCGAGGGCTCCTCGCGCTTTCCGATACCGGAGACGATCATGTCGATACGGAGCAGCATACACGTGGCCTCTATGGCGCTCTTGAATACTTGAGCCTTAACTGCATAGGTGTCGAAGATCTGTTTTTTCATGGTGTCGCATATTTCACCGGTTTCGCCGTCCAATCCTGCATTCACATTACCAGCGGAATGGAGCGAGGTCAGTTCGGTGATCACACGCACTGGATTAGCGCCGCAATTCTGCGCCAAAGTCTTGGGAATGACCTCAAATGCCTTAGCGGCGGCACGGTAAGACCACCTCTTGAGCCCGGCCTTGCTGTCGAGTTTGGCGTTAAGGCGGCACGAAACCTCGATTTCCGTGGCTCCTCCTCCCGGAAGCAGCTTGCCTTCTAGCATGATATTGCGGCACACATTCATGGCATCTTGTAGGTTGCGCTCTATTTCATTGAGAACGTCCTTGGACGACCCCCTGAGGATAACAGAGCACGCCTTGGGGTCCTTGCATTTGACGAAGTACGAAAAGTACTCATCCCCAATTTTCCTGACCTCGAAAAGTCCACAGTCAGTACCAACATCGTTTGGCAACGCCTCTTCAGTCCGGTTTACTATAGTAGCTCCGGTGACGCGTGCCAACCTATTGGCGTCGGTTTTACGGATCCGCCTTATGCAGCTGATGCCAGCCTTGGACAAGAAGTGTTGCGCGAGGTCAGACACACCTTTCTCCGTGACCACCACGTTGCATCCTGTTTGTATAATGTTTTGGCACATGTTAAATATCTCGGTCTCCTCCTGCTCCAGCAGCTTGGCCCACCCCGCTTCGTCGGTGATGTCGACGATGGTTTGGGATTCACCCTTTTTGTACTCCAGAGTGCAGTCCAATATGAGTATGCGGGGATTCTCTATGCGCCGTGACATGCTCGGGTGTACAACATCCTTGTTGACCAGTATTCCATCAAGCACCACCGAATCCTCTGGCATGCCTCCGGGTATCTTCTCGACCTTGGCGTATCGCTTAATGTCGATCACGTTCCGTCCATTTGGGCGTGTCACCTTGACCCTGCGCACGGCATTGAGCGCTAGTGACGCGATGAGGTTGCCCCACTTGCTGGAGAACTTGGTTTCGAGACTGGACTGTATCACGCTCTTCACAGCCTCTTCGTCATCCAGATCTATCTGCGTCGAGATCTCATCCATCACCTCGAGCGCGTCCTCGAGCGCCTCCATGTATCCGTCAACGATTTTCGTGGGGTGGATGTCGCGCTTGAGGAGCGGCTCTGCGTTGGAGAGCATTTGTCCGCTGAGGATGACACAGCTGGTGGTGCCGTCGCCGACCTCCTCGTCCTGCGACCGGCTCAACTCGATAAGGCTCTTTGCTGCCGGATTTGAGACGTCAATCTGCGTAAACAGTGAGCCAATGTGGAAAATATAGGAATCATGCAAATTTTGGGCAGCTCATAACATCACGGCGAACAATTAAACCCAAACCACAAGACATATAGATACAAAATTTACAACCAATGGCCACAAGTGGTCTCAAATCCACTGCAAAGAAGTAGATTATGACCACAAGCAATCCTGTGATTGCAAAAAATGCTTCATCCCCGAATGCATAGCGTAGATAAGACATGTACAACCACTTTCTACCATTGCTAATGCAATGCCTCATTAAACACCCTATAAACGGAACATAAGTGAATGTAATGGCAATACAACGCAATGAAACAATCGTTATAAGCGCATACAACGACAACGACGCCGTACACTGGCATACTGTACACACCTAGACAAAATAGACTTGGCCCAAATTTACAGACACCAAACATGAGTCACTAGGGTACCATAGACACACAATCATCAAACAAAACCACCGAAGGCTGATAATACCAAAAATACACGGATAAAAACCGTAGAAGGCGGCGGTCACGCGACACACCAGCCAACGACAACCTCCGAGACCACGGCACGCGCCCTTACCTCGCGCAATATTGCGTTTCCGTCGTTGGTGATGACGATCCCGCCCATAGGATCGAGCATCATCTTGAGCATCGCGCGCGGTCCCAGCGTGGTTCGGATGACCTCGCTGAGAGCGCGAGACGCCTGGATGGTGGCGAGCTGCGCCTTGCGGTCGCTCTCCTTCTTGAGCGAAGGCTTGAAGACGAGTACTGTCTGCTGCGGCTTCATCTTTACTGTGTATCGAGCTCCGGCTGCTCGGGGCCGTCGACTTATGGGGACGTCTACACCGAGTACTCCGTGTCGCTGGGTGTAGCTGCTGCCCTTCCAGCGTGATCAATCTCGCAACCCCGCGAGACAATATCAGCAGGAGGTGACTGTGCGCGCTTTGTGTGATCGCTCACGCAACACACATCGTACTAGCGCAGCTAGCTACCGCGCCGCCGATAATGCGAGCTTGGCTGTGCCACTCGAAATGGTGACCACCTCGAGCTTCTTCCTCGGCATGAGCCGTAGCCGCAACAGCATAATAGAAGATTCCGGCGCTGATGACCTCGGAGGTTACGCGTTCTCGGGTGGCGACGCTGCTGACGTCGCGCCCGTCCGTGATAACACACGCAGTCAGGAATCGCCTTCCGCCAGCGGCTCGGCTGGTGATGCGGCCGCTAAGCAGGCGACTAAGAAGAAGAAAAAGCTGAAACGCCAGCGTTCCGACTTAGGTAGGTGGGCTTAACCGGTCTCTTGCATTGTCATATTTGCCTATGGCTTACTTTACAAGTGTCACCTGTCTATTGTTCCATATTTCAGTTGACATACATACCATTGCAGACTCGGATGAAGAATCTGCTGAGCAGAAAGCTGAGGCTGAGCAAGCAGCGGCGGCGGCCGCTGCTGCTGCCGAACGTGAAGCTAAGGAGGCACTTCGCAAGCGCAAGGCCATCAGAGAAACGCTAGAGACGCTCAACGCATTCCTGGACATAACTAAGGTGTGTTGTATTATGTGAAATGTGTTTCAATATTCGCAGAAAATGGTAGACACGGTCGTGGCTGGCATGAGCGGAGGGCAGCCGAAGATTGAGGAGCAGATACGTGCCGCTATTGCCCACGGCAGCTGTACATTTATCCGCAGCCACTCAGACCTCTCCAAGTTCTCAGTTGCGTCTAAGTTCAAGAATCTGAAGCTCTACCAGCAGTGTGGAGTGCACTGGCTGTCGCTGTTGCACTCAGTCGAGCACGCGAACGGCATTCTCGCCGACGAGATGGGGCTTGGAAAGACAGCCCAAACAAGTGTCTTTCTGAGCTATATCTACAGCATAGACACGAAGGAAGTTGTCAACGATTTCAACGCGCGCCTGAAGAAGGAGGGATACGGGAAAAAGCGCTCATGTCTCATCCTTGTCCCTTCTTCGGTCGTCGACAACTGGTGCAAGGAACTTCGGCGTTGGGCGCCCAACCTCAAAAACCACATCGTGAAGTACCACGGACCGCAATCAGCCCGCTTTAAAATCGCATGTGACGTCATCGACGACGTCAGTAAGGGGTCGTTTGTTATCCTGGTCTCTACCATGCCCACGGTCTCATCGAAGGAGGATGTCCGTCTGCTGCGAGGCATTCGGGAGTTCGAGTACATGATCGTGGACGAGGCACATGCTCTCAAAAACAGTGAAACAATCGCATATCGCAGGCTGAACAGCTCGTTTAACATCCGACATCGGCTGCTGCTAACTGGAACCCCTGTGCAGAACAGCCAGAGTGAGTTGGGCAACCTGCTGCAATTTGCAATGCCTGACATGTTCGACCAGTCGAAGATAAACGACGCCATAAACTACCTAATTAAGAATTACGACGATGCCGTCTCCGAGTTCCCTGCGCTGTCATCGCTCGTCGAGCCCGGGGAGATTGAGGCTTACAGGAAAACGCTACCTGCTCCACCATCGCCTAAGGCACCACCTAAACGTGGAAGAAGATCGAAGAAAGCCGCTGAGGCGGCGGAAGACGCCGCCCCAACCGAAGCGGATGCGAAGGAGGCTGTCGGCAGCGAGACGCCGCAGGAGAACCAGTCAGAGTCTAACCCTGTGGATGAGACTGCCGTAACTGAAGCTGCTACAGCAAATGATACCGATGGAGCGGCAAGTAATGGTGAATCGGTTAACCAGGTTGATGTGGATTCCGTCCATACACCCAGTTCCCCATGTCGGCCTACCGAAACATTGAAGGAAGAAACATTTAAATCCACGTCGTTCGGATCTCTGTTGGGTTCGGCACTTAGTAGTGACGCAAATGATGCGTTCAAAACTGCAGCTGTGTCAGATGTTCGGACCCCCACCGATGATACGGTGCCGTTGAGGATAGGCACCATGTCAGAGGAATCTGCGGGGAAAATCGCTACTGACGTAGACAAGATCAAACATGAGTCTACTGGCACGGAAAACCAAGTTACCTCACCTAAGACAGACGGCCAGCCCGAGTCACACACTAAAGCGTCGGGCAGTTCGCAGTTGCCGATGGCAAGTGGCATAAAGGCGGAGCAATCTCCGAATCTCGTTATTGGTCCTGTTCCTGAAGAATCTGCAGATTCCTTCGAAAAGTTCGACGGTTTGCCGTCGGATGGGGATTTCTTCGCGTCAGAAGGCAGGCCTGTCAGCATCGAGCCTTCCATCCGCGTGCTCCAAAGGCTCATCGCGCCCTTCATTTTAAGGCGCCGCAAGCGAACTGTGATGCACGAGCTGCCGGAGAAGAACACGTTCCTCATCCGTTGCAAGATGGTCGGTATACAACAGGACCTGTATTTGAAGGAGGTAGAGTCAAACATTGAGCAGCACCGAAATGCGCTGATTCAAAAGTACAAGGTACCCGAGAGCGAGCTGCGGAACATGTGCCATGGCCGCTCCAAGAACTACTCTATAGGTTCCAGGGACGACTTTTTGGTTAAATCGCTAATTTTCCGCATGCGTCGCATATGCAACCACCCGTTGCTGGTGCGCGGGGCGTACTACAAGGAAGAGTTGCTGCAAAAGCTGATCAAGTACTACGCCAGCAAGGTCGAGGGCTACAAGGAGAACAGTTTAGAGCGCGTTGACAAGGAACTGCGCAGTTGGAGCGACTTCGAGATGCACCGGTCCATGCAGACCCTTCTGTCGTTTGAGCCCCGTCTGGAACGCTACCTCATCCCCAAGGAAGCGTTCATGACCTCCGCCAAGATTATTGAGCTGTTCAAGATCATCGACAAGGTAGAGGCCGATAATCGCAAGGCGCTGGTGTTCTCCCAGTTCACGATGTACCTCGATGTGATTGAGGAGTGCTTGAGGCTCAATAAGCCGGAGGTGATGTACCTACGTCTAGACGGCGGCTGCAGCACAACATCGCGCACGGAAATGGTCGACGAATTCACCAACGACGAGAAAGTACGGCTGATGCTCGTGTCCACAAAGGCAGGAGGTACCGGCCTGAACCTGACGGTGGCCTCCACCGTCGTGTTGATGGACCAGGACTGGAACCCGCACAACGACACCCAGGCCGAGGATCGCTGCCACCGCATCGGTCAGACTCAGACCGTGGAGGTCTACAAGTTGATGTGCGAGGGGACCGTTGAGGAATATGTGATGGAGTGCTGCCAGCGGAAGCTGATGCTGGACGACGCCTTCAGTGGCAAGGCAGTTAGTGACGAGGGAGCCTAGACCTGCTAAAACCGCGTAGCAGGAGCATGCCAGACCCATCGCCTGAGCTCTGTGTCACATATCGGGACACTCCATATGAATCTTTGGTTGCATGAAATCAAGAATACATGCTACACATTAAGCATTGCGAATTATATAGGTACTGAGTGCAGTCGTATCCGTATTTGCGGATTGTTAGGGTTACACGCTGCACTGTCAACGTGATATCCGTTACGGGGGTACTATGGCAAGTAACGCCAACATGATCCTGCACGTGGCGTAAATCAGTATGTGGGCGATAGGGGCCGGTTAAACCCGCCGCGCCTGTTCATGTACTGCCGGTACTTCCTACTGGAGCGCCTGGCCACCCCTGAGACATCCGAGTCCAGGTGCTGCTTGTTCTTCGTCGTGGAAAACTCGCCGAAACCCATGGACCGCCTGAGCAGCTCGCCTTCGTCCATGGGTCCATGATCAGCGCTCGCTCTTTCCCCGTCGTATTCGGCGTCCTTCCTGCCAAAAGATACCCTAGAGCCGAAACTGCATGCACTATCGCGGCTCCTGCTGCGCCTGCGCTCGTCTCGGCGCCGACGATCGTCCCTTCCCGTTGAGCGGTCACGGCTGCTCCTCCACCGGCGGTCGTCTCTGTCTGCGTGGCGATCATCTACACGGTAGGAACGCGAATCCCTCCTACTTCCACGAGATTCGTCCCTCGCAACGGATAGACCGTAATCCCTGCTGCTCCGCCGTGGCGATAAGCGATCGTCTCTGTATGAGCTGCCTCTTACATGCCTTCCGTCACCTCTAGTCACACTTCGCCTGTCTTCTACACGGTATTCTCGCCGGAATTCACCATAGGGGCTCCTTCTGTCCCCTCGATATCCATACGCCCTACTGTCGCGATAATCACGTCTCTCATCATCGCGGTAGTCGCGGTAATCACTACGATACCGAAGGTCCGGAGAATCTCGACGGCGACTATATTCAAGGTCCCTGCGCCTGTAATCGTCAGATCTCCGTGAGTTGCTACGGCGGGGACTCGATTCGCGGTAGTGTCTGCGGCCGCCGCGATCTGAGGAATCACGCCGCGCGTAGCGCTGGCGGTCAGCGCTGCGACTCCTGTACCTTCTGGCTTCAGACATCAGGCGTTTGCAGACAACGTTTAAGAAGACTCTATATCCCTCTTATCACAGGCACAACAGCACCACTCGACTCCCCGCAGGCGCGGGCGGGGATGTGTAAAGAGTGTCACCGTCAGGCATTGCGCGTTTGAGACTGCCGCGCGCAAGAAATCCATGAAGCAGGCACCCTGCGCTGCTCGAGGAACTGCGCGCGCAGCACCGGGGCGAGATGAGTCAGGGGACTGGCTCCCGGTTGAGGGAGGCCCATGCACCGCCCAAATCCGAGCGCAGGACGGCAGCCGTGCTTCCGGCCTTCCCGCTGCCTGCACCTGAGCTATGCTTGCTTAACGCTCGGCCGCTGAGCTGTCTGTACAGCAGCCAGTATGAGCGTACTCAGCGCAAGCGCATCAAGCGAGCACTGAATCGCTCGGCCGTCAGCGCAGCCGAAAACGGCACAGACAACGAAGGTGGCAACGAGGACTGCTATTCTTACGGAGGCAAGGATGTGGATGGCGATGAGACGTTTCAGGAGGCCACGCCGTCGGAGATCCGCAAGGAGCTGCAGGTCTACGAGGCGCTGCTGGCGCACATCGGGGTTAGGATCGCCAGCAAGCGCAACGCTTTGGCGCTATTAGGTTACAATGTCTTGCATGGCAACAAGAGGGCTGCGTTTATGGAACGTGCTGCACATTATGGAGTACCCTTTTTACCCATGAATGCACTGGTTGACACGCTGCAGGCGCGTCACGCTCATGGCGGTGTCCCAGCCTTTCCCGATGATTCAGAGGATACCCATTTCGCTCCACCTACTGATATTGCTGAGGGTTTGGACGACATAGAAGCGCTTCGCGGTGAGGTGCAGGACATAGTGGAAGACGCCATTGGCAGGGTATTGCAGGAGGCTGGCAAGGACAACGCCGTAGGCTTCAGAGACCTCCAGCAGCTCCCGCTAATGACTAGCAACGCCTTTTCACTCTTCCGAGCATCTTCACTAGTGCTCCCTGATGATGTCTTGGAGGCAGATCTGTCGTTGCCCACGTTGTCGACCCCGGAGTGCGATGACGAGTCCGCTGGCAAGGCAAAGAAAAAGCCCAAGCTCAGTGAACCGTCGAAGCCAGTCGCATTCAAAAACAAACCAAGCGTTGTTGACAAGTCTCGTGCTTCGCCGATTCGGTCAGTAGGTAGAGGAATTCAAGAGGGTGAAACCTCAGCCGATGCAACGCCTACTAGAGTGGCCCGCTCCCGTGATCAAGCGGACAACAGAGGAAGCAATGATCGCCCCAGATTCTGTGTACCGAAAGGCAAGCTAAACAGTGCATCTAGACGCATATGTTCGTCTAGCGACGACGAGAGGATCGCCTCAGCGCATTATCGGAGTTGTGTTAGTAACGACGGCGATGACGACCAGGCGGATGATGAAGACGAGGATGACTCCGACTACCTTGATAGCGATGCGGAACGGGCAAATCATTCACACAGAGACCGCGGTCGTACTGAGAGGGGCGACGGGAAATCGAAGGAGAGGCGCAATGAAAAGCTGCCACCGGAATCGGAGCTGACCGTTGATCAGATGGTGGAGAATCTGATGAACGGCAAGTTGTGCAATGGCAAGGACCCCAAGAACCTCCGTGACCTGGTAATATCCATTCTGGTGGCGGGGCTCTACGAGTTTCTCCCGGTCGAGTTTTTCAACGAATTCCTGCAAGACCGGAGGCTGTTAGAGTCTTTCAGGCAGGTCAAGAAAAGAACTGATACCGGAAAATGAGCGCATCATCGACTTCATACTACTGATTGATAATATTAACGACCGATAAAGCGTCAGCTTAGTAATGCAGGGATCCACGTACGTCATGTCCGAGTCACCTTTCCACCTCCACTAGGCAACCAAGCTCTCAATACCTCCAATATAAAGTTAGACTGTCGCAGGAAGCATTAGGGCCGCCAAAGCAGCGGTCAACGCATGATTGTTTTTACCCCTGCTCGTCGCAGAGGGCACTGCCTACCACATCAATAGGCGCCGTGCAACATTAAGTTAACATTACACGACACTATAAATATATAACATCCTGATAAGTAAAACTAGCAAGTCAGCATGGATTTGTGTTGAAATGAGCACGCCACAAACTGCCGCTCGTGGGCAACCACAAAACAAATAGTTGGCAACATTATCACCGTTGTCGGTTTGTTGACGATAAGTGCGATCACGGCCTATCAACGGCCGAAGATGAAGTCATGGCTGACGTCGGAGGCGTGGTCCTCTACGGCGGAATCCACAATGTCGATGTCCTGCATGAGCTCGCGCAACACGTCCTCCGTGGAGTGCACGGCGACCGGCGAGAAGTCGAACTCGTTGCGCCATCTTCGCTGAGGAATTACGGGGCGCGTGTGGCCTGAATTCGGCGATGGAGTCGCCAAGGAAGAGCCGGGGGACGTCAGCGAACCATCTGCGCTGTCGGCGTACCGGTTGCGGTAGTCACACCCGCTGCTGCCATTGATTTTGTGGCGACGTATGTCAGCAGGGGTCGTCGAGACGGAATCCACGTACTCATCGGCTTTCGGGTGTAACGCCGATACCACTGCGCCGTGCCTACGCGGCGGACAGATTGAGAACACCTTCTCCTGTCTCGAATCCAGTGCCAGCGGCAGGTGACGTGCCGCTGCTATTTTGCGTAGCTCCCGCGGACTCAACTCTCCGAATGTCTCCAGTGAGTCTGTGCTGCTCGCCTCTGAACGATCATTGTAGGCCGTGCCCTCGCCATCGGTGCCCGCCGCTACGCCCAGCGGCTCGCTGCTCTCCCCATCTACGTGCTTTTCCTCCGCCTCATCCGTCCCTAAACTCGAGAGCGGCGCGTACGAAGAGTCAGTCGTCTCCTTCCGCGACCGGTCTGCGATTTGGGAACGCTGTAGAGATTGCCCCGACCCTTTGGGAATCTGGGTGAGGTTGAATGGCGTGTACAGTTCGTATTCGCGCGTTACCACAAACTCAGGGCGATCTTCTGTCTCGAACTCGTTGAATGAAACTACTTCCGATAGCTGGCTATCCGTTTCCGCATTCACGGCTTCCGCTTCCATATCACATCTCACGGAGTCCGTGATGATCAGGTGGTGCGACGCGCGGCGATTCAGTGCCTCAACGGGCAGGATGTTGTCTGATCCTATACTGATCGTGTGTAGGTGAAGAGGCGACGTCGTTATGTTAATCGAGTGTACTCCGTAGTGGTCTCCCTCTTCTTTGTCAGACGATCTGCCGGTAATCCCTTGCTCCACAGCGCGCTTATGCCCACTGTTGTAGAACTCGGTCAGCCTTTTAACGCTGCGCTCGCCGTGGTAACGTACCGGGACATATCGGCTGTCGCTCTTGACCACAAGCTCGCCTTTGTCGTTGATGTAGTACTCGCCCTCTAGTATTTCCTCCAGTGGTCTTCTACGCTCGAATTCCTCCGTGTCAATGTGGATTGGCGGATCTGACCGTATGCTTGGCACATTTACGCCGTTACTAGTCAACGCACTGTTAACGGCGCTGTCCAGCCAGTGCCACTTGCCGAGGGTGTCCACATGGCCCGCAGCACAAGCGCTTCTGATTTGCTCGGGCGGCAGGTCTATGAACCCGATGCTGCTCTTTGACGACCCGATGTCGATGAATTGCACCGATTCATGGACTTCAAATGCATCCATGAACTGTTCCGGTGACAAATCGGCATCCACTACGCCGGCTATGCAGGATTGGGGTGTTACAGCCTTGCTAATGTTGGCGCTCCGGGCATCCTGCTCTTCGGTTTCGAATTCCGGCCGAATTGGCGTGGCTTCACACATGTTGATTGTCACTAGTACGTCATCAGGAAGTTCGGCCTTTGCGCTTGGGCTGCAGCTCAACAGGTCGCCGCCGTCCGGTGGGACAGCATTGCGATGGCTACTGTCGAAGTTGAGCGGGTATATGTCGGTAGGGTCGAGCTTGTACTTGTCGTATGGCGGCCCATGCAATCTTTGCGGAGTCGTGTCAAGTGCACTCTCGGCGGTCTTCATGAGCTCGAGGCCGCGGAACACAGATGACAGCGCCGAGTCGATGGTGTTGAAGTTGAAATCGCCGCGGTTGGGGTCGCGGTACACTTTCGGACTCATCGGCATCACGGTCTCGAATAACGGGATGGACTCGGCGGGCTGTTCGAGCCACGAGCAACGTACCCTGTCGATGATTGTACGACGGCGGAGATAGAAGTCGTCGCCAACAGCAGTCGTGACGCAGCGGCGTTGGTACATCCTATCGCGCAACGACGATACCGCAGCCAGATCGGCGACGTTGCAGAGGCTCAAGTTAACCGGAATGGACATCGACCTGTGGCGGGACATCTCCTCTTCACGCGCCTCCTGGTAGCTGTCATGCAGAACGGGCACCACGTGTATGCCGAGATCGGCAGGAATGGATGTTGATATGAACTCCGGGCGGTTTCGTGCAGCCTTCTCAAGCTCCAGTCTCCGCTGGCGTTCCCTACGCGCTTCAAGGCGACGCTGGCGCTCGCGAGCAATGCGAAGATCCAGCTCAGCGGCCATGCGCTCCAGTTTCACGCGGGTGCGCAGCTGGATGTTGGAGTCGCGGTCAGTCGCGTAGAGGTACCCGATAGGCACGTAGCAGAAGTATGATTGCAGACTGAGCGCGTGAAGCGCACGGCGTTGCATGGCCAGGTATATGTCGTAGCAGGTCATGGTCGACCGGTCGTAGCCGAGCAGCGGCTGCTTCCCCATGGTGTTGACGGCAACCACTTTCCCCAGCTTGTCCAAAGAGTAGTTGTGGTAGCTATACACCAGCTCGCCACGGGTTCCCACGCAAGCCTTGCCCATGAACACGGTGCAATGCTCCAGTACCCCACGAAGCCGGGCGGAGTTTAGCAACAGCTGCACCAACTTGATGATCTGCAGGACCAAGATGATACCGCACATGGCCGACAACATATACGCCAAACTCCGGAAGATGGTCACGAAGTCACCAGCCAGCCCATGCTCGCTTTCCCACTTTTTGAATGACCCCTGAGCACTCAGCGATAGCACATGGTCATCGATTGCGCTCGCAATGCAAACGCAGAGTGCCGCACCGGTAAACATGACGCTGATGAGGCAACGCACTACGGGCATGCACGCCTCAAAAAAGCTCCGACTCGCTGGTTGGCGCGGTACACCGTCCAGCTGCGCATTGACATCAGCAGCATCTGCCCGCCGCGCTGCGGGGAACGGCAGCCTCGAGAAAAACACGAAGCACACCGTAACAAAAGCCGTGAAAGATATGCAGTACAGGCGGGCAACGGCGAAAATAGCACCCAATCCGGCCACCACCCCGGTCGCCAACGACTGGAACTCCAGTAGCGGCGGAATCCTGAACTGCAGGCAAGAATCGGCGAAACGCTCGAACATGCGCCCGACGGTGTAGCGTGCTAGCAGGATGACCGCGACCAGGTGCAGGAATGTAAACCCAAGTATGGTGATTATGCCTGCGTAGTTCAAGGTGTGCTCCGAATCCACGACGAGGCGCTCCACCATCAGAGCAGTGTATCCCAAGCAGGCGGTGATACAAAAGTGCAGCGTCAGCCTGTCCCTGTGCAACCGCAGCTGCAACAAATGGCACATTGCGAAGAAAGCGACGATCATCGCCGCCGGGGAATGTGATAACATGCCATACAAAGACGCCATCAACAAGGCGCCGCACAACAGCCCACCCATGTCCCACTGGGTGGCTCCTACCCTGTGAGGCTGCGCGATGGATTGCCAATCATCTTCTTTGCTCATCAGGAATCGGCGCCTGAATCCGACTTCCCAATGGCGCTCGACCTTCTCCAGGCTCAGCAGCTCATTCATCAGCTTCGAGCCATCTATGATCGGCCGAGGCCTCAGGACATCGCGCATCGATTTGCGCACACCCACTTGGTTCGGCGTCGACATTGCGATCAAGCGATTGACAATGCTCGAACAATTTAAAAGACGGACCTTCAATCGAGGTCTACAATTTCTGCATGCAAAGCCGTGGACAACTTTCTCAGTTTATCCCACGTTAAACTGCAGATAGAATGCACATAGACTTACAAATCCCAGTTAATTCCTACATGAACGATCCGTAACCTTGCAGCCAGTATATTCTGGATCGAATAGTGTCACTGCGTATGACCTCGACGCTGCCTACGTGTGGCCTCAACAACGCAGGGACTTGCTTATATTTGGCCTCTGAACTCACAGTCAGGAGAACAATACCTATGTACTGCCGTGTTAACCCACTACATTGTCCGACGCCAAAGTCAACGAGGTCATTACAACGTTGCAACCATCAATCCATCCACCATTCCAAATTACCCTCCTGTTTGAATAGGCCTGAGTATCAGGCGGCTTTGCCTTCTCAAATACGCCACTACTCACAACGAAAGTTATCTTTAACTATTATGCTCGTGGAAGCAAACAGAAGGCGAACGCTTGAACCTTGGAATTGACGTTTTAAAGCCTCATTCAGACAGCGTGTCTTATGAATTGCAGGCTGCAATTTTATGAAAGGGTCTTATAAAAACATGATGGTAGGCACACACAAAGTTTAGTCAAACAAATCGGCAACTACACACTAAATGCCCGCCTGTACGAAGAATGTCGAGACAGTCGCAGAGGACGGTTTACATGAAGGACACAGGCAGTAGCATCAGACGGCGAGTAACACACACCAACGATTAATACACAAGTCACGGTATCCTAGTATAATAAGAGAACTTGCCGAGTCACATAGTGGAAGATTAAAAGCAAACACTGGTACCGACCAAACTCAGTCCATGAACGTTGCGAAACACCGTACACACCAACGCGGGACAGACACAGACATAACACACATACCACAAAAACATTGACAAATTATAAAAACGTCGCAGTGGCCCGTAAGGAAAGAACATTATTATCACTCAAAAGTACAGGATGCCTGCGCACCTACAGATAGGCGCAAGACAAATTAAACTGAACAAAACAGTCACAAATCACATCACGATACGACATAGTTACACCATGATTTACACCTGCCGCGTTAACGTGACGAATGAAGATGAATTCACAGTCGCGTAAGACTCACCTAGTGTAACGCCTATTCTCCCGGCTCTCAAGGTGTACTCTCGAGACCGCATGACAATTCGGACTACTTTTAGCCTTCTACAAGTGGATTCAGTGTTGTCTGAACCCGATGTGCGCAGCGCATACACATACGTGAACGCATTGCGGGACCTGCGCGGGTGGGGGAGGGGTTTGGCCAACACAGTCAAAATACTTCGCACATACACAAAGACAAGGTATAACAGTGTGTGTACAAATATAAGGAAGCGGTTGAGAATAATTTGATGTGAATTATTTCCTATGTGACGTACATAGAGTCGGCGCAGCTTTAGAATGGCCATAAGTGTATTAATTCCCGTGGTTAGATGTGACACGGCAAACCTCAACACCTCATGATATAATGCCATAATATGCTGTCGTATCGCGTTTGTACACTAATTTAGGGTCGGTAGAGCGGTACACAGGTGGCTCCATCGGCCTTCCGTGGAGTCGGCATGTAAAGTAGACATACATCTCTGCGACACAGCAGACCAGTTACCTAGTCCAACTGTTATTACTTTTTGTTAATGACTATATGCCGGCCCATCCATGTTTGAATGGTGCGTCTGCCGATCATCAGGCGGATACCGACGACAGCGCGTGTTAGCGCGACTAGTCACTACATTACCTGCTGATGCAGGTATGTTCAGTGGAATCTACTCGGAATCGGGTTGAAGAACCTTAGGTGTGCGAGGTATGTGCTAGTAAGGCCGTGCCGCTGCCTACCATGATGGCTGAACTACAAGTGGATGCCGTCATCACCGGCACCGGGCTGACCGCAGCCGTTGTTGCCGCCTGCCTATCGCACCATGGCCACAAAGTCTTGATGGTAGACAGACACCCCGCCTATGGACAGGCGATGCGTACATCCAGCATCAAACACCTTTTGGAAATGCCTGAGTCGCGCTGTCTCAACCGTGGAGACCGTCTGCGAGAGCAATTCGAGGCTATGCGTATGAAGATTGCCGCGGATATGGCAGAGTCCCCCAGATCAGAGCATGGAGAAAGTCAGGAGAATGCGTCATCAGTTTCACATGACCAGCATCGCCAGACGGGTCAAAAAGGGTCGCAGGCGGATATGCGTACGTTACATGTTGAGCGACTACAGGAGACTCTAAACGCAATGTATGCCAACAAGGAATCATATCCGCGTGTGCTTTTCGAGTTGGCGCCCTTTGCACAGCAAGGGTTGATTGAGCTAGAGGCACTTGACCACCTCTACTCCGAAAGCAACAAGTATGCGCTGGACATGTGGCCGAAACTTATGTTTGCACGAAGCGCCATTGTAGATCTGCTGCTGAATTCGGGAGCGCACAATTACATCCATTTCACAGACACCAAAGGGCCCATGCTATACGGGTACGAACCGGCAGACGAGGGCAGCAGCATAACCCTTCACGAGATACCCAACAGCAGGAACGCCATATGCCGGTCACAGCTCCTTTCTCCGATGGAGAAACGCGTGCTGATGCAAATGCTCACAAACTTGGCTGCTGACCACTATCTTCCACAGTTCTCGTCAATGTCGCTGAAAGCAAGCGCTTCTAAGGACGAGACGAAGAGCACGCTCGACACACTCACGGTTGATCAGCCGGAACGCAACTGGTTGCAGTTCCTACGCGACCAGGGTTGCACGCAGAACATGATCGACATGTTCAGCCATGGAATCTGCCTCGGTGGAGAAGACGTATCCGCATGGACCAAGCAAGATGGTATACTACGGCTATTGAAGTACATACAGTCTATCGGCGTCTACGGACAATCGGAAGCGCCGTTTTTATACCCTATGTATGGTACGGGTGATGTCGTGCAGGCGTTCGCCAGAGTGGCCGCCGTACTGGGTGCAACCATCATGCTGGGCACGGGGGTCGCATCTCTCGAGGCGGACGAACACAACAAGCTCAGTTCCGTCACGCTGACTAACGGTTTCAAGGTGCGGACCAAGATGCTGTTGATTGATGACGAGGTGACGGCGGGAGACGCCGTCCACTTCGCCCTGACAACGCCCAGAGATTCTGCACGCTCCCCGAGGCAAACGAGGCGGCTACACGTGGTTACGCTTATACTGCAACAGCCACTGCTATCAGGCCTCAACATGGCCGTAGTGCTGCCCAAGCCAGTGGAGACAGACGGCAGCCCCCAGAGCCGGGAACCCATATACCTCATGCAGACTGGATTCGACGCGGACGCCGCGCCGGCAAACAAGTATATCATCTACCTCATGACGGTAGATGGCAATCCTCCCGCGGAGTTCAATTCTTTCGCCGAATGCGATCATCCGACCGTCCGTCGTTTGCTGCGCTGCTGCCGCGCCATGGCGTCACAGAGCGGCTTCGTGCTTGAGACGACGGCTCTGGCGGTGTACACATCGCACGAGTTGGCTAGCGACAACGCTGCTGCCAACTACAACATCGAGCTGCACCGCGGTTGGCTAGCGGAAGGATGCGTGACGGAGCGCCAAGCAGGCAACGGCATCATCGTGCTTCCCAAGCCCATGGGCACCCCTGCAGTGCCGTTGCTGGAGGAGGTACCAGCGGCTGTCAAAGTATGCGATGCCCTAATGGGCAACGATGAACGGCAATTGACGCCCTACGACGACGCCGGGGTTGTTGGATGCCTGGCAGTGAAGCGGCCGGAGGAACCCGAAGACACACATGTGGAATCTGCCGCGGAGAAGCTGCAGTCCATTATAGACAAATACGGGTAGCATCCGTCTGCCTCCTCTAGCGGCAAACAACGCCATCTCGTAACGATAGTATTGTGACGCGGCCGCGACAACTGCCGGTAATACGCCGTCTGTGTCGACGGCATGTTAGGGGGCACGGAGTCAGCCACTGGTTCTTCTATGCAGCCACAATAACAGCATATTATGGAAAACCCGAATCGTATAGCCATCAACTTTAAACGGTCGCGGCAGGGCTCCATCGAGTCGCCGGAACGCGCCGAGGAGGCTGCTCAGACGGACGACCCGAAGGATGAGGTACGTTATGCCGCCGCCTGCCTCTTTACGAGATATTCTTGTGCGTGTAACAATCGCGACCATGAGAGCAAGAGCGGTTGCGGAAGCATTTGCCATACCGGAGCTCATAACGCGCAGACAATCGAACGGACTCCCGAGGACAACTTCGAGACCTACGTCTATGAGTTCGAGCGCATGTTATCATGGGCGATCAGCAGCCTCAACCGCTCGCGGGATGAGCTGCTGGATGTGTGCTTCGCGGCGTACCTCGAGATATACGTGAAGCTCTTCCGCACGTCGGCGGAAAGAGGTAAGCTGGGTTGAGGCGAGAAACACGTAACCAGGTCGCAACTTCCTCAAGATGTTCGCGTTCGTGTTCGAGGCGAAGTTCGGCCACTTCATCGAGCAGCTGCTGGAATTCGTGTTCCCCGACCAGCTGGCCAGCTCGCCGCTGGTCCGGCAGCGCGTCTTCCTGGAGAAGAAGCACTACTTGATTCTCTCGAAAAGGGCCCGGAGAGTCATTATCGGCTGGTTGAACAACCATGAGGGGTCCCTCCTGGACGAGGTCATCAAGGAGAGCGTGGAGTTCCTCGACGGGGAGACGTTCAACCACAGCCAGGGTCACCTGTTCAGGAGGCACTTTATCGCAAAACACGGGATCGATCCCACCACGGCGCACAAGTTCAAGCGACCGTTCCACGGGCTGTACATCAGGGACCTCGACAACGAGTTCAGGTTGCACCAGTCCAAAAGCACAGAGCTGCTGGTCAAACCTGAGCTCCCGTATCTGCCGTTGGGGCTCCCCGGCGAGCTGCTCGCCGAGGAGGTGCAGTTGGAGTACGGCAGGAAGATTATGGACACCATCACTGGTGAGCGCGCCATCATGGAGGACCCCAATAAGCTGGTGCCGCTCCCCAAGCAGGGCACCGACTACCACCTGTCGCTGCGGGGACTCTTGCACTGCCAGAGGGAGTGCAGGGTGCCCGAAGGAAGGTCCATGCTGCTCAGCTACACGTTCCAGAACGTGCTCAGGAGCACCAGCTGCACCATTTCCTCTTTCGACGGCAGGTTCGCCGCACTGGGTCTGGATGACGGCGGGATACTGCTGTGGGACCTGGTTACTTCGGAGTGCTCTAATGCCGTAAAGGACGTGGCGCCAGTTTTGGGCGAGAGCATCGCCGCGCGTTGCGTTTCGAAGTGCGCCGGCAACAGCATTGTGGCCCGGATGATGCACAGCAAGAGCGCGCCCGCCGACGGCGCCCAGCAGAAGGATGGTGCCGGTTCCGGCGAGGGCATTTTGTACGGGCATGATGGTTCGGTGCAGAGCCTTAAGTTTGGCGAATCTGGCCAGGTGTTGCTTTCCGGCGGAGTGGATGGTGAGTTGCGACTGTGGGTCCTGGGCTCCAGATCTACTCGGTGCGTTTACCGCGGTGGGGATACCCCTGTCATGGAGATAGACTACGCTCCATACGGGTATTACTTCGCGTCGTGTGAGGCGGATGGTGCCGCCAGGCTGTGGGCCACCGACCGTAGCTTCCCGCTCCGGCTGCTGCGAACTGCACAGGCCGACTGCCTGGGTCTCAAATTCCACCCCAACTCGTCGGTGCTGGTCACGTCGTGCTCCGACGGCAACATCCGGTTCTGGGACCTGCGCTCGTCGGGATGCGAGATGGTCATGGAGGCCGCCCCCTCCGGGTTCACTTACAACCACGCCTACGGCAACACAATCGCATTCGCCAAAAACGGGCGTCTCTTCGCTTCCGCCAACGGCCCGCACGTATCGGTGTTCGACCTCTACCAGAAGAAACGGATGCAGCTGTTACTGGGACACAAAGATCCGGTCCTCTCCATGGACTTCAACCACGGCACCTCGGAGCTTGCCGTCTCGGACGGCAGCGTGATCTCGCTCTGGAATCTCAAGGGTAAGTCGCAATTTTGCACGCCTCATAGTGTGTCAGGAACGCGTGAATGGCCCACAGAGATTGTAGATACGGGTCGGCGGGACCCGTTCACAAAGAGCATGGAACGGTTATCTCAGTTCAACGACACCGGCGCCATCAGGCTCACCAGCGCGTTCCGGTCCACCGACTCGCAGATCAGGGAGCTCGCATACACGCCAGAAAACGTGCTGCTCACGCTCGGCATATCGTCATTGCGCGATGTCGACATGTGAAACATAGTAAAACACATCGCCTTAAACATGAACACACTACCACTAGAGCAAGGATCACATTAAAGAGACCGTTAGGTTGTTAGTGCCGCGACGCCGTCATGTCCCTTAGCGTCCTTTGCGGCGTTCTTCGGTTTGCTTGGCGGGCGCCACAATCTCGGGCTGTGCTGGGCACTCACCCCTGCACCCTATAAGGGTTACGACAGTGAGGGGTACAAAGCACCATGTAGTGTACGGCGCATATCACTAACACATAAAGCCCACAGCCGCACAATTAAACGTTATACAGTGCGGCAACGGTGAGACTTAAACAGACATACAGCGGCATCACATTAAAGAACGACATTTATATCAGGTATGCAACCCGTTTAATCACGAGTGAAACAGCTCACAAAATGTATGCGGGGTGAGTTGCCGGACCACTAAAGCCCGCATAAACCGAACCACACATTACAACCACGACACAAGACATTCATCTACCCGTATTTGGCAACAAAGCGCCCTAAAAGCTGCTAAACGCACCTGAAGCTGATGAGAAGCATGCAGACGCAGAAGAGCAGGGCGTGGGTGAGGTTGAAGTCGAAGTTGACCTGCACACTGTTAACGGAGACGGCGGAAAACGTACGCGGAACGGGAAAATGCGGTTCAAGAACCTCCTGATGTGCTCCTGACGCACATAGGCCGTGCGCTCCAGCATCCTCAGTGTCTCGCCGAACATCCAGAGGAAGAAGCAAGAGACCAAGAGCATGAAAATTGTCATACAGGCCGCTGCGAACATCTATTACCGAGCGACTGAACACCTACAGTCGAGGCAGCGCGTGAGGTCTACTCCAACGGAGTATGTCTTGCCGCGGTTGCTGCTGTTGTTGGCACCCATATTGTAAGGATATAGCGTTATTGTAGATCGAAAGTAGCGGGGTGTAAAATAAGAAGTGACAAAAGGAGTGTGCTTGAGGCAGCGACACACGAAGTCAGGCGTATTGCGGGATGTAAGGAAGAAAAATCGACATCACATCTGTGATATTTTCGTGGCGCTATGGTACACATCAAGTTGAAAGTTATGTATCTGCGTTTACAGCTGTGCCGAGCGGCGGATTAGTGACAACGGATCACTCCCTCTGCGTACACATTTTTACATAACCCTCTGGCGCTGCGGGTTATTGGCTACCTATTAGCCTTTTCGTAACTGGTATTGCGAGCAGTATGATACTATATGCAGGAGCGGCGTAGAAGAGCGATCCATATCGGCATTGGCTTTCGTAGTGTTGCCGTGTCTGCAGGCCACCCGTCACCTACTAAAGACACAATAACAGCTAGATTCAAACTGATACGCAGCGAGTACACCTTATAACTGATTTGCACTTCAGCCACTGGCCGAAGGCGCCAAGCCACCAGGAGTACACCCGGGACCAGCTGCCTCGGGCGACAACGGCGATCACGTTCGACCACACTTGTTTGTGGCGACACATTCAAAAAAGGTTTGCAATGCAGGCGGTACAAAAACTGTCGCGGCGTGGTTTCGTGGAGCCTGCCCCGTCGAGGGATCTGGCGCGCCTGCCGTCTAGGAGTTCCAACCACGCGGAGGAGCGCCATGACCATCTGGAGCTCATAGAGCTCACCAAGAAGCTACGCTACGCCCTGCGTAAGCGCAAAGGTACGTTGTCTGTGCAAACTCGTGTTCGGCGGAGTGGAAGGCAGCTGATGTCGGATTTCAAGGCCCACATTTCAGCGTGAGCTAGTATCCTACTTGTTGATGCGTTATACTGCCTGAAAGCGACATTGGGGTGCACCGAGTGTCGGTTACATGTTGTAAGGTGAAATATTAACGCCGTTAAAAGCGGGCCATACCGTTAGCGGTACGCGGCGGAAAATTCGCCGCGTACCTGTTGCATCTTACGCGTTGCATATATGGTTTGTGTTAATCTAATCTCATGTTATTGTAGATCTGGGAAAGGAGAAGTACCAAAGGTATTATACCAGGTGCAAAGAGGAAAGAGATATAGTCGAAAAGCAGACAGTACAGGCTCTCGATTCTGGAGAATCGGAACTGTTCGAAGAGCTTGCAACAGTGGTGCACGAGGCATCGGAAGCCATCGAAAACTTCGAGAGAGAGGCGCAAAAACAGGAGTCCTCGAGTAGGAGCGGTGGTGCCGAAAGCAGCCAAAAGGAGACATGGGCGGCCGACGCGTGGGCTGCGTTTCCCGACCAGGAAGACGGCGAGGTTGACAACCGACGTTACCATAATGGAAAAAAGGCTGTTGAACGTTCGAGTGCAGCTGCGAGCGCGGAGTGGCCCAGCAAACATCAATCCCACCCCGGCAAACCAGCATCGTCGATGATGGGCCTCACCAGTAACGCAAGTTTCTCGGGTTCTGTATCATCACGAGAGTCTAAAACCAGGCCAAGCAGAGCATCGGATCATGTGGCCAGCAGAAGAGGCAGTGACCACTGGAGTGAATCGAGACCAGTCCACAGGTCAACCAGAAAGGCGCATAACACTGCGGATGGATATGTGGAAGATGATTATGATGTGTACAACACTGAACCGAAGGGGTCTAAACATCGCGATTATATGAATGGAAAGGATAGGGATACATACGGTTCGGGGTTTAGCAAAGAAGGGTACGGTTCAGACGACCAGGGCGTATACGATGAGGAACACGCATCTGTACACTCTGACTACCGGAGGGTTGATCGGAAACACGCTAGGCGATCTAGGTACACGGACGAGGATCTGAATGACCAAGACGACATTTATGCACCGTCGCATCAACATGCCTCGGATGATGCTGATAGGGACTACACGCGCCCAGTATACAACAATCACCGCATTACTTCAGTTAGTGAGAATTTTGAGGACAGTTACAACACCACACACGAATCTCAACGTGATCCGGCGCCAAACCATCATGAGTCGCCCTACGCCACATACTGTGACCTTTTAGAAAGGTGCATCGCCATATCGGATGGATACGAGTTGTCCAGGCAATTGAAGCAGCTCAGCCTGGTAGATAAAATTGCGCTGTGTGAAAGTATACTGGAAGGTGGAGACAAGGAAAGTACTAAAGCCGACGTCCCACCTGCTCATAAAGTAAAAAGCATAAAACCCTTGCCCGAGGATTTAACGTCTGTAATCACACGAGCCGCAGAGGATGAACGTGATAGAGACCGAGAGGTACCTGAGCCTCTCTGGAGAGTGCAGGATGACGGAGGAATCTCAGCGTATCTCGGTAACTATATTGCGAAGGGAGGGCGCCTCTTCGAGGGAATTCACTTCATGGCGTACCTCAGCATGAGGCCAATCAGGGACTCGACGCGAGTGGAAGTGACAACTGAGGTGAGGCGTAAATTGATAAATATGGATATTTACATTGCGTTGCGTGGGCCGGGTATCGACACGGTGCGCATTATGTCTAGAACCGCAACGTCGCTCACGTTCATTTGTGAACCAGAGACTTGGACGCATACCTTACCGTCTCTCGCAGTCAGTATCGTAGAGTCGGATGGCACGAATAGGGAAGTGCTCGTCAAGCTGCCCATCGGACCGTTCAGCTTCTTCGAGCCTGCTGACATACCGCCGAAGAAAATCGAACGAATCATTGAGAACAAAGCAAAGGTCGGATTCTACACAATACACAAGGCATTTGCGTCGAACGCGAAGTTGCATATGCACGACCTGCTGACTGCCATGGAGAAGTACTTCGCCATCAGCAAGACCAACACCAGGCAGACACTGGCGGCAGTCGACCTCAATGGGCAGGTGCTGGTAGCTACGCTCCGCACTCGTAGCGACGCCATATTGCTGGACGTCTGGAGCCCGAACGTGAAGACGCTGGAGAGCGCCTGTACATACATCAAGGAAATCGCGGCGGCGCTGAGCGCAGACACGGATCCTAAGGCAGCACTACGGTCATTGCGTACAATGACCGTCTTCCCGCTGGAGTTCGAGCAGACTACTCGGAGTCACCCACCGAGTGCTCGATCGAAGCCGGCGGCCGTTAGCAGCGGTACTCGCATTGGTGGCGCCACAAGGCCGACCATCCCCGGGGCGTTCTCGGGTGGCGCCGCGCCAGCCTAACACATCTATGTAAAAACAGTGTACACAATAAATAAATGAAATGTGAGGCTGTCTGGCATGTAGTTACGCTAATAATCGCATTAAGGGCGCTATGCGCCCTTCTGGGCGTCAACGTTGCGGCCGCAACGTGTCTGACGCGAAGATGCCGGAGCACATCTATGCCCAGCAGGAGCATATATGCGCCTTGTTTCACGTTGCAGCCTCCTAAGATAGCGTATGGGCGTAGAAGGTCGACCTTCGAGGTGCGCGTAGAGGCAACGGATGAAAGCTCGAAAGCCGAGGATAATAAGAAGCCGCTACGTAGCCTGAAGCATGTCTACAACATTGATATAATGCCCCTGAAACAAACTAAGAAGAAGAGCAACGAAGCCAGGATAAAAACCGGGGGAGCCGATGAAAGTCAATCTGATGTGCCTCGTCTTCCAGCTGGAGAGTTCAGGTGAGTCTCTTCTGATCATTAATCATCTAATGCGCAATGCAGGCCGAAGCAGAGCCTCGGTCAGAACTTCATTAGCGACAAGAACATCATGAACCGGCTCTGCAGTGCGTTCGACAACGATGAGGGCGGGCATGCAGGTAGGTCGCCAACCTTCTACGCTAACGTGATGCAGACGGCCGCCAGGTGATAGAAGTCGGCGCGGGAATAGGGTCGCTGACACACATTCTCCACAAGAAGTACAAAAAGATGACAGCCATTGAAATCGATGCCAGGGCCATCAGCCAGCTCAGCCGGAACATACCTGACCTAGACGTTATACACGATGACGTGCTGCAGGTGGACTACGAGGCTATTAGCAAAGCCAAGGAGACCAAACTCTGGGTCATCGGAAACCTGCCCTTCTACATCACTAGTCAGATCCTCTTCTGCCTGGTCGACTACAAGAGGGTCATCGACACTGCCGTTGTCACGTCACAGTGGGAAGTGGCGCAGCGCATGGTCTCCAAACCGTGCGAGTTCGAATACTCGATTCTGAGCGTTGTACTGCAACTCTACTGCAAACCTAAAATCCTCTTCAGAATACCGAACCACGCATTCTACCCGGTGCCTAAGGTAGACTCGGGGGTGGTCCGGCTGGACTTCAAGGGCACCGCTAATCCGCCTTGCGCACCACTCGTGCTCAAACGCATACTCAGGGATGCGTTCAACCAGCGCCGCAAGATGCTGAAGACCAGCCTCAGGGAATTCCTCGATCAGCTGGAGATACCAAGGCTGCCTCCCGACCTAGAGGACATGCGACCGCAACAGATGGCTCCGCAGGGGTTCGTTGCCCTGGCCCGATGGGCGCAGCAGAAGGGTACATTTAAAGGAGATGGCGCCCGTTATGGGGTACATGACAATAAAAGGATGCGTTCACGACTGGGTCCGGCAGATCTGGACCCCAACCCGCCTCGGGTGTGGAGACAGGAACGCCACGGCGAATCATGATCAATTAATGCGCGTTCTACAATGCATCTGTCGTCCTCCTTTAGTCACCAAATGGTATACACAATACCAGCACAACAAACCCACCACCGGGACGAAGCCCGCACTGTAAATTAAGGACTTACAATAAAATTGTTAAAATTATGGTTACAGGTAATAATTTGAATAGCCACTACGGGCCGAGTGCTCTTTGACACCGCTAACAAATCGCTGAGGGAGCTCGTGTATAAGAGATTTGCTGGCAAACAGTAGAGAAAGCCGGTTGCCGAATGAAATATGGACTTCAATCTGCTAAGAGGAGCTCACATTGAGCCCTCCAAATAGGTCCGAAAATGCACGTAGATCGTGAAATTCTTGAGAACACGGACGGAGAAACACTTTGAAAAACGGGTGCGCAGATCCAGTGCTAATAATACGACTTTCAAAAACCTCCAAAAATGGAGCATTAAAAACTCTCAAATCCAGCATCGTTTTCGTTTGATAAATGAAAATTCGAGGTTGTTTCAGTGTATACCTCAATGGATATGTGTTTAAAATACGGTACGAAGCTGGTTCAGAACCTCCCATCGTGATTACCCTCAAAATATTTTCAAAATTGTTTAAAATCTTTCATAGCCGTCTTGCTTTAAAAATGCGACTGACAAATCGGGACACGAAATGGTCGTCAAGATCCAGTTTAAAAATTGATCCCGAAGCTTAATGCTAAGCATTGACGCGGAGGATTCCTCAGGGGATTCGCGTTTACAATAGGGGATGCTCTGATCCATTTCATGTGTGGGTTCAAAACATCCACCAGGAGATAAGTTGTAGACTGCCGATAAAATCAGTCTTGCGCTCACTACAATTGACGTAAGGAGGATTCTTTGAAATGTCTGCGTGTATTCCCGCCGCAGGGTTTGTGGCAGGCGTAGAATTAATCCTGACTTACTTATATATTTGAGAGAGAAGAAATAGAGAGCCCTTGCGCCATTTATATTGGGTCTGCACGTCCACCGCGGCTCCTTGATGAAGCTGAGGGTCGGGTGTTGGTGAAGACGTGCGGTAGATCAGTGTTCCCACGTGTTCTGCGAGCACCGATAAGAGTGGCGAATGGATGATAGTGGCAGATGGCTTCGAGCAAATAAGCGATCATTCGCATCCATTCCAGATCGATAATCTTCTAGTGCAGGGTAGAGGGCCAGAATGATGAAAAATGGGAGCCCTTGCTTGACCATAAATGAGTGGAGGTGGCCGATTGGTTTACAATCCCTTGTTACGAATTCTTCTCGGGGTGGAAATTATATCTTCGTGAGTAAAATGAGTGGAAAATGGAACAGTGTGTTGGATCGGAGGCGTGGAGTATGGTACAGGTCTCCTTATCAAAATCCAGATACCGATGCGACGTGTTCATGATACACCCAAGTAAAACTGCTCCTCGCTGGGAAAGTGCTTCTTCAGGATGCTCTTCTTGTTGTAGATGCTGGAGCCAGTGGTGTGTCGTAGCCAAATTTCGGAAGCCTCCAAGATGTTGTTGATGCTGCCAGCTTCCGCGAATTCGGAGTGGACGGTGGGTTCTTCACCTAGCAGCGTGCTGCCGACATTCCTGCTTGACTTCCATGCGTTAGGGTGTTTCTTCTCTTGGACTTTGGTTTCTTTGCGGCCGTTGACTTCTTGCTCCTTCACTTCATCGCGGTTGCGTTGCTTTGAGCCCTTGCGTGATTTTCCTGACGAAGACTGAGAGCGGCGCTGACCTTTGAAGCCTGACCTAATCAGTTGTTCCTGGCCATTTTTCAGTGCATTGTCCTGCGGCTGCATATCGAAAGCCATTTTCAGTGTGTCCTCGATCATACGCTCCGAAAGGGCGGTGCTGTTCGTGGATGCCAGGGACGGGAAATCGGTGTAGTTATTGAAATTCTGGTTCGCGCTTAACAGATTCTGGTAGTCCTCATAGAACGACCGGCGGAAAACATCCTCGAAGGTGGTGGAACGGTTTGCAAATTCTTTGGGGTCAGCTTCCCAAGAATTGGCCGCGCTCGATTTCTTGTCCCATATGCCGTTGATACCGCCATATATGGAGAAGATGTTGTTGTTCAGCGTGTTGTTTATATTGCTCGAGACAGCTTCCTGCAGTTCAGCCGTGTTGAACCTAACGTGCAGAGGAAGGTCGCGGTGGCCCGGCATGTGCGAACTCGGCAGCATAGTCTCGGCATTGATTTGTCCGAACCGCCCATTTCCCATGGCGTAGGTGTTGTGCACCTCGAGATCGAGTTGCAGCCTGTCGGCGCGGTCCATGTTGCGCGTGGTGAGACCGAACGTCATTGCCTTCATCGTAATCCAGCGGTGGAGATCGAGGAGATTGCCAGTCAAATGAAGGTGCGGTGAATACAAACCCGCAGGAACAATCAAAGTGCGGTGTACGTTATGCACACCAGAATGCGTAGTCACCAGCGGGGCTTGGAAGAAAATTTGCCCCTGCAACTTCGAAGATTCTTACACAGTGGCCACAATGGAATGAGCCCTGCATACAAACACCTTTCGTATTTTATATGCGGAAGGTCAAATAATGGAACACTTGAAACCTACCTGCGCATACAGATCACGAGAGGGTCGCCGATGTCTTTCCAAATCGGCGGTCAGCTAATGAAACGCCGTGAGAGTCACCTTGATAATGCAGAGAAAATGGAATCGCCGCTGAAATAGTATAATACTACATTAAAATATCAGTTAAACTGCGTTTAAAACAAATAATAGCCGCGTTGGTGGATGGCGGTTATGGAAGCATGCGGCTCACGACCCCTGAGCGAATGCAGCGGCACGTGCGCGTACCGGCTCCGCTATAAATCTTTTTGGTTCGTTTACGATGTAAGAGTGCCAGCACGCATCGGGAAATGCTATGTGTAGTGTTCGTTTGTGTCAGAGCCGCTCCAGGAAGCACGCGCGGGTGTAACGCGGCATGCGGCCGGAATATGATCGGCTCTGGCGATCCGCACATATACAGTCGTCCGGTACACCTTGCAGCAAAAATGAAAATATAACGCAACACACACTATCGGCGATGAAGGTGTGGGATAAAACGGCGTCTACAGCCACACTTGTGTGTGCCGACAGCCTCAGAGAAGCCTCTACACAACCGATGCATGGTATATTATCGTAGTTTAAAATTGAACGTTTCACCACATTCGTGCATTGGTAGGCAAAGTTTTGAAATATAGCGGGTAGACCGCAACGGAGCGCTGCCTTTTTTGCTGAGAGCGCGTGACTGACGCGTTCTCCACGCTCGCGACAGTGAGTGACATCGCGGACATCAGTGTCCCCCACGACCTCAATGCAGAGGTGGCGCTTCTTCTATATCCAAACTAAGTTGCAAGGGAGTGTGGTCCGAGTAAAGCGCCTAACAATCGCCGAAAGCAGAAGCGGTGTTGCCTTGATCCACGTGGAATCATGCCCATGAGCTGATATACCCATCACCTAATGTGGAATAAACATCAGCTAGGCTACACCCTTCGTCATCGTCGATCCCTTCCACCAGCCGCATCATGCAGCGGGTGTGCTCTAAAGGCTACATTTTGTTGCTTGGCCATTGGCTGCATCCACACGGACTATCACAACCATGTGCCATGGCCATCCAGCTGCCTCCAGATTGGTGGGACTCGGGCGCTGGAGGTGACAACGAGGTTCGATGTGCCCACCGCGGATGCGGTCCTTCCATTCATCACATCCCCTTTTCCGTGATAAATGTCTCCGGAATTTTGCCGCAACAACTGGCGTGCATTAGATACGCTCCAACTTGTCGCGAACAACCTTTTTGTTCTTCGTCTCCAGGAGGGTACGGAACATTCCCTTGTAGTCAAATGTGCAGTCGTGGAGGTTAGCTTGACGATGATGCGCGCAGAAGTAGTGCTCGCAGCGGCACTTGAAACCTAGCACGCCGACCAAACGGTCGCACTTGTGGCACCTATCGGGCACGACGGTCGCCTCAGAGACGACCGGAGTAGAATCCTCGGCGGATTTCGCGTCCACCGCACTAGGCAAAGTCTCAGTTGGGGTCTCGACTGCTGTGGAGGCGTTCATGAAGCTGATGTTCTTGTCAAAAAAGTCATCGGGAGTGCTTTGGGCTTTCGCTTGATCCTTGAAGCACTTCGAACATAAGTTGTCATTGGCCGCATTGCCGTAGAAACCGCAGTTGTTCTTGCACAAGATAGGCTCAGTCTGAGACGACGTTACAGGAGGTTCCATTATAAATGATTTTTCAGACCAACGCCACAAAAAAAAATACAACCGCGCTCATTTACCACTGAGAAGTAACCACTGCCCATTAGCAACGGATACACGACAATTCGCTTTCCAAACATTCGAAAAGTTTTCACCAATGAATAATTTTTCCATCAAGCAGGAAATTTTTGCCGATTTAATCACAGGTGACCATGAAGGCACTTGGGCATAAGCGATAGAAGGAACATCAGAAAGCAGCAAATATAAGCACTAAAGGGTTACACATACGGTAACAAGGGCACACATACATCAGTTACAACATCATTATACGCATTAAAGAGTGTCACTAAGGCCAGAAGGAACAAAATGAAACACTAGGTCATGCCGACGATCCACATGCGACTCCACCAAAATTGCCACGCAACTGTATTATCAACTACACAGTAGCGATTCTAGGGTTTATTGTCGCGAGGCCACCCGGCTCGAAGCCGAAAGTGACTTTTAGATCCGCGGCTATGGCCAACGGCAGCTGACGCTGCTACCACTCAACACACACATATCGAACACTAGCCGTTATAGAAGTGAATGCAATCGCTAACAAGCCTACGCATGAAACTTACGGCCTTTTCGTTGTGTTCCGAGTTCATCTTGACGACAAGCGTGTGAGAGAGACGATAGACGACGCACAAACTCTCCTCGACAAGCCAAACTATGACCGATGCAACCACCCTTAACCGCCGTTTATTTTTGCACAGACGTGCCACACCGGCGTAAAACTTTCCCCGTCCGCGAACTAGCGGATTGATCGCCCCGCGGTGACAAGATCACTAAGGAGTCAGCAAGTCTCTGTGGGTGCTGCAAACTCCCCAAAACAGCTCTAGGATGGCCCAGAAATAACGCCCCGAAAGAAATAAAAATATAACCGGATTTACCAACTGCCACCGATGTGGAGGACCGAGTAGCAGCACCAGTGTCGTCGCCTCATGCAACAGTGATGCATGAATAGACAGCGCTTGGTTGAAACTCACGCGTCTTTCGCTCCGATTTATTTACTTTATGGTCCCTGAATGCAGGTGTCCACCGCAGCTGCTGGCAGATGTGAGTTACAAACAACGCTGTTGTCCCTGCGCGGCAGTTGACCAGCAGTACGTAAAAAGCACGAACGAGATGCTATAAAGAAAACTAAGCGTCAAAATAGGGTTTGATGTGTAAAATGCGTAAATAGTAAACTGGATATGCCGTTGCCGCCGCAATGCGTATAAGGTGTACATGTTTCGGCCAGAAGGGCTGCGCAAATGCGCGGCGCCATGTACGTTCTGCACGCCTTGGCGGATCCATGTGGTTGCCTGCTAACTAGGCATGTAAATCCATGTGTTTAAGCGGAAGTTGCATTCTATCTTGTTGGCAACTGCTCTGATGTCACCGAGTAGGTGGCAACACGGTGTGTACGCTGCCTTCCTCTGTCTAGCGTTAGCCAATGTGTACGACACACTGGTACCACGCTGCACTCTCTAATTCAATTGCTACCGTCGATATATGCGGCAGGAATCGGAACAGGTGTGCAGCACCTGGCAGAGCTCCGACCTCCGTTCCGACCACACCCATAGAATCACCTGTCTCTCGAGATACCAAATCCCTAGATATATTCGGTGCTGATAGATCAACTCTCAGCAACCATCGATACCAGACTGCCGGCACCGCTAACGTCCATAGCTATGAAAACACGAAGCAAAACTATTTATTTGTGTTAGTATACGGCCCGCTGCATAAGTTACGTGCTGGGCCTCATGCAGCTTCGTATGCGAGAGGAGCTCACCTTGTGCACCTTCTTTCGCGTACAGTCCAACTCCGGGTGCAGAACGAAGCCGGAGGACAACAATGGCCACACCGACAGCCCTTTCGAGCGGCGTAGGTCGTTCACCTTCTCGGCCCCGGGAAGCGATTCTGGCGATATCACGAGCGCAAACGTCTCCTCCAGCACTGCTGCAGGGCCGTAAATGTCCATGAGCTCGAAAGTTGTAACCGAAGGGCGCAGTGCATCCGCGCCGTCCGCCGACTGAGATTGGTGCGGCGTGCCGTCGGCGTAATACTCACGATACGATAGCTCACCGCAATCCGGTAGCATCACAGGCGTAAATGGGTATGCGAAGAAGTCGCAATTGTGGTAGCTCATCACACGGCTGCCGTTGGCGAAATGGTCCAACAGGGGCGAAGAGACCATCCTTCGGGAACCGTACAGGTAGCGCAGCACGCGCATGTAACTCTCTACAGCTTCACGCCGCTTCTCCAGACTTTGGATCAGCGAAAAGTCTCGTTTCTTGCTGAGCAACGCATCAGATGCAGTTATGCCAATCTGCATTGAGCTCCGGCAACTCAAAAACGCCGATAGCAACAGATACTTGTGTCCGAAGTGCAGGCAGTCGAAGGTGCCGCAGCACATCACGTTGTCGAAGAACAGCACGTCACGAATCGCGTCCTCGTGGTTTGGGTCGTACGCTGCCAGGCAGTCCACCTCACTGATATTGCATAGTAGCTCGGGGTCGCCTGCATTGCGGCATGAAAACGTCCTCGCGTAATCGCGAGTAACTGCAGGCGAATGCGATCGGTGCACCGCTGGCGATGGAAGTGACGACGAGTGGTCCAGTGGATATTCGGAAACGCACTCCTCCCGATCGGCGGTCTCAAAGTGTACCGTAGATGTGCCAACTGAATCGGTGTCAGAGGTTGCCCGAGTTCCTCCACCTAAATCGTCGGAGTTGTAGCGATTAGATCTGCGATTTCGCACTTTTTTGTCCATAGAGGCTCCTGTACCCTCAGCGTCGACGCCCGGATGTAACTCGATCGATGCGACCCCCGCACTGGTGGATGCAGACGTAAGGGGGTGACCGTTTACGCCATTCCACGTAGAATCGTCGGGCGTGCTAAACTCATCCGAAGACCCCCTGCATGTACATGATGCCAACGGCTCCTGGGATGTGCCCTCGCAGTTCTCTGCTTGACTGTGCGCCAAAGCCTCACTGCCGGAGTCGGACGAACACGAACCAGACCGATACGCATATGCGCATGCTCCAACATTGGGGAATAGGGTTGATACCGACGAATCATGCGACATCTGGAGCATCGGTTCATCCAACTGCAAGCCGGGACGACACCCACTACAGCACTCGCATGACGGCAATTTGCGTGCACTAATATCTGAGACTGAGCAAGAACGAAGCTCCCTAAAAACATCCTCGAACAGATACTTCGTGCCCGATACGTGCAGAAATCTCGCACCGCTCGGGGACGAAGAGACCGAACACAACGGCGCATTCTCAATAAGCAACCGCCAGTCGTGCAGTGGCAAAACTGTCAAGTTGTGCGTGTTGGGGTTCAGCACGCCCACAGCGTCGTTAGAAGCGCCTGCTCCATTTTGCGCCTGCAGCATTGTTGCCTTACCAAACAGGTCACCTACCCCGTGACTGGAACACGTCTGAATCACGAGAGCGTATAGCGAGTGGATATAGTCCAGAACGAAGGTCGAGTGAAGGTGGCGCTCCTCCTCCAGATGCAAGAACACCGTGAGGTGACGAAACCCACTTGCGATAACACGACTAATCAAGCTCGCCACCTCCAGGACGCTCGCGCTAACCCGGCAAAAATGACACTCGTGGCACCTCCGCCGGGCGCTCCTGTCGTACTTTCGGAAACTTATACGCGACCCATAGCTGCAGCACAGTAGGCTGTGGACGTCGCGGAGCATCGACGTCAGATGCGGGTCGCGCAGTATTAGGAACATTGCGATGAGGAGGCCGCTCCACGCCCCTAAGCCGCGGAACTCCCACACATCGTCACATGTAGATGTCTTAAGACATTTACATCTTTAATTTGGCCCGAATTCCACCTCCCACTGCAGCAAACGTGCAGTCTTGGCAGGTTGCTGCGCGTGTCCGGGGTGGTGGCCAGACACGCGCTCCTCGGAAGGCGCGGCACATAACACGCCGATGCATCAAAAATGTGACGAAATCAGCGCAAACGCGCTAATGTGCGTGCTGCAAAAGTCGCACGGCGATTTGTACCGAACGCTGTTCGATCAGCACGCCCATCAGAAGCTGCTATTGCTCCCTGTGGCGCAGGCGCTCGTAAATGTCCATATATCTCGCAAGTTCATCGGTGAGTTGGACGGATTCCATGTTGCATAATGACTGCAGAGTGCCACATTCTGAGGGAGACTGAAGTTCCAGGCTACTTTTTGAACCTCGACGGCCAGGCCGTCGAAGTCAACGCAGCAAAGGTCACAACCAGCTTTGGGTTCAAGAACCACGTTGCCGCAAACATCGTCAGAGATGACAAGATACACGATTTGCAAAACGCAGTTAGAGTCTGCCTGATAGATGACTATATTCTGCACGCCGAGGATACCTGCAAAGACATGTTCGAGATAGATCTCAACGATGTCGAAGCTACAGTAACAAGGTGAGCTCACAGTGGCTATTAGTGACACTATATGTAGGTGGTGTGAGGATAGCATCGAGTTTCAGAAGGCACTGTACGGGGCGCTTGACAGGGTCAAGAACACCTTCGTCATGGTAAGCGCGCCGTGCCACTGGGAACACGCTCACTCGGTTGCAGGTACCGGGTTACGAAAACGAGCTGTGTAGCATGTTGTGTGCCCAGGTGGAAAACGCAGTGACCGCCTATATCGCAAACAAAAATGACGAGCTCAAGTGCTCCAAACACAACATGTGCGAACTCACCCTCAACTTCGCATTCGATTACCTCAATGAGCACATTATGGAGCACTTCAGGAGCACTTATAGCAAGCAAGAGGATATTTTACAGGTTTGTTTAGTTATAAACATGCAACATCGCAATCAGAATCGCATCATCAAACTTCGGAAGGAGATGAACCTCAATTCCACGCTTAACCTCCTGGACGGCAAAAGGCAGACCACCAACCACAACCTCAACCCCTCTTGCGAAGCTCTCAAAATGGTATGTTACGAATCACATTAGTGCACTTATCCTTTAACAGATGGCACAAACCAAGCTCCCGCAAGACAAGCTCAAGCACCTCGCCCGAGCCATACAGTTCAACAAACCGGAGTCCCGTGACGAAGCCGCGTCATTATTCATATTGACGCTAGTGGCTAGCGGGCTCACGGATGCTGTTGCCAATTACGCGCTGGTTGACATGTACGCCTCAGCAAAGTTCTGCAGGCACAAAGTGCCAACTCAACACCTAGACACATTTAGAGAAGGACTGCAGTTTCTGCTAGAACACGCCTAAAACATATACACACCTATGTATGTAAGCGCGAATTATTACCAAATGGGGCCGGTCAATGGCTATTCTGGTGGATGTCTGGAGTGTATGTGCAACACCGGATGGTGCCAGAGGTCGACTCGTCAGCAGCCCAACGCACGTTGTGCTATATGATACAAGAACATCATGCTTTTGTTGATTTCTACTCTTCATAGAAGGGGAGGGTCTCACGCTGACGGTTGGCGAGTATGAACGCTGCGACGCCGAGCCAGATAATAGCCAACGGGTAGTAAAGCACGGACAGCGAGGTCAGCACGCTGCAGTGAATACCGACCAGGAGGAAGAACAGTGCGCGGCCTAGAGATGACGACAAGAACTTGAAGTGCACGTCCAACAGATTGGCGTAAGGTGCAAGTGAGGAGTACTCGTCACCCTCGAAGACCATAACAGAAAAGCCGAAGACACTGCACATAATTTAGCCAGGAAGATAGCGAATTCGCATCCACAAAGTACAAAAATGCAATAAGCACAATTCCAAATAATCATTAAAGGAATTAAACCTAATTATCAGAAGCAACATGTGCATGCTAAAGACCGTGGAGACACACAGAAAACGTGAGCACATTAAAGCATAAAACTGCTCATGAACGCCAACATACTAGCCTATATGTGAGAGATCACTAACAATATGAAATAGCGCGGAAAAGCCCGTATTCCTTGCAGGCTACAAGGCATCGCCCAGACACCGTTCACGAATTACATCAGAACAGACGCACATAGCTGTCAATTGAGAGAAAAAGAAAGGCAAATAATCACGCGTAACTTACCCCTGAACAAGGTTCAGCAAGTACAATGAGGGCCGTCCAATCGAAAAGATGTTAATGGCGTTCAGCACGCTGACGACGCACATCGCGCAACCGCTAAGAAAGCAGAAGCTTCTCAGCATCTTACGGTCTGAAAGAAGATGAGGAAAGCTTCGGAAGAAACGCAAGGGCAAATTATTATCGCGCACATCGACACTTACCGGACTCGTCCGGAGCACGCTCATATTCCTCCATCATAGGAGATTGGCTCTCCATGGTCGGCAACTCGCTTAAATTCATCTCACAAAAAAGAATGTGCAAACGGATACCGAAAGGGTCGGCCACCGCGGCACGGTATAGGGTGCGCGGGGGAAGATGCCGGCTCAGCGAACAACCGCGGAAAATGTTAAAATACATAACTTTATGATACTATGTCACAAAATACATTGCGCTGCACGGGGCAATTAAGCAATCTGGGTGGCCAGCTCGTTGCAGGAAATATCGTCGCCGGAGTTGAAAAACATGTTCCTCACGGCTGCCAGCTCTTCCGCAGTCAGGGGCTCTCCGTAGTTGGCCATGATGTACTCGAAGTGCTCACGGTTAATGGTGTTCTTGTCCTGCGAACAGATTGTGTGACAATGAGCAGATCTCACCCGTGACAGCGACATAAGGACGTTTTCGAGGAAAGCGGCGTCCTCGTGATGGTTCATGCCCACAGCAAGCAGCTCCTTGATGTTGTCGAAGTTCAGTGAGTTTCCGTTGGTGGCGCTGTACTCCAGAAGCTCAGCCTGTGAGGGGCTGGCTCCCAGTTCGCGGACGAAGCTGGCGGCGGTGCCCAGGTCCATGACGCCGTTGGTCGCGGCTCCATTAAATTTGTCAGCCAATTCGTCCTTCGCAATCTAACACCGGATGAAGCCGGGGTAAATCGGATGGAGCACGAATCATGACGTATTAAACAAGTATATGCAATGAAGGCCGCCACGCCAAAGCTATTCAAAAGAACAAAACACAGCACCGCACGAAACAGATGCAACGTCTACGCAAATGGTCTGTTGGCTTCGCCAAAAAGGAAGCATCTTTTCCTAGCTAGTCGCGGCCAACTCCAAAAATGTGCAGCGGTCTACGAGTAGAAACATCCACAACGCAACTAATTCGGCGTGCGATTGGCCGGAGGCGTATCAATCTCCAACTCGTATATCGTAGATGCAGGTGGGCGTGGCAGGCAGGATATACACATACGACGCACGAAAGTATAGCAAAGTCTCACCACTTCCTCGATGACTTCGTCCACTTGCATAACGTCGGAATCGGCGGTAATGGAACGCAGCTCCGACAGCTTCTTCTGAAGGCGGGGCTGATACTGCACACCAGGCATCCACAGGTAGTAGTTCAACTCCGAATCCTCCGGGCTCAGCACCATCTCCGGCTGAGGGAGCTTCTCGTAGCAGCTCCCCAAACACTCCGTGACCATCATCCTGTAACGCAATATACACAACACACAGAACAAGCAAATCAATTGACGTGGCACGCAAAAACAAATATGACGACCGAAGAGTCCTAAAGCATGCGATGGACCGGAGACTCAAATTTTCACTGACTCAGAACCACGCACACACCCACCTGAATTACAAAATCGATGCGCTTGAGGTGTCCAAATATTTTCTACTCCAGTGCAACTGGCCGAGGATGCATTCAGAATGCCCTCAGCCAACTCATGTGCGGGTGTAGCTCAAGCCGCGCGAGGGCACCGATGTGGTACCCATAGCCAGAAGAAAACGCATCTCTATCGAGCGCAAGTAGAATTATATAATTGCTATGATTTGTACGCATTATAGAAGCTGCTGCACCCTTGCAATGTTTGACGATGTTCCAAAGCGAACAATGCAGCCGCGCTCATCCGTTACCAATTCCCGGCATACCGGTCGGCGTGGCGCCATCAGCCCACACATTAGGCTGAATCGGCTCATTGTATCACTTTCTAATGCATTCCGTACCTGGCGTGCTAATTCACGCTGCAGTCGACCGACTACTGCCGGTGTGATACAATGCGCCCATCCAGCCTCCTGAGGGGCGGCAAATTACGATTGTGAATGTATGTGTGCCTGGTAGATAGGCAGGAATGGCTACGCACATGATGGCGCGAAGCCAATCCTACGACGCTGCCGTTACCTCCAGGGGGGCACTAATTGGATTTCGATGCGTTTCTAGCGCGCTCGAACTCCCGCTGAAACAGGTTTTGCATGCTGGTGTTGCTCGTATCTCTTGAGTAGGCTTGGAATAGGTTGTGTAAGTAGTCAACCTCCCTTCCACTGGCCTTGTCGACGCTAGCCAGTCTGAAGTAGCCTTTGGGCCACGATGGGTTAAGCGCAATGCACTGCACAGTATTAGACGTGTAACATGCTAACATACCCGTTCTGCGTCCTTACGTGCCTGTTCCAGCTTGCCTAACATCAGATACGTATGGCTCCTGTTGGAGTGAAGCACAGATAACGGCTCACCGGCAGTATCAGCAACACCAGATAACAAAGCGATTGCCTTCGAATATGCAGCGCATGCGCTGGCATAATCCTTGTTGGCGACGAATGTGCGGCCTTCATCCTTCAAATTCGCCACCAAGCAGTCTAGCTCCTCCCGACTGCCACTGAAGTCCGGGGCACAACTATCAGGCTCAGGCTCCGATTCTTCTTGAGGTGCAACAGATGGCTCGGAGATGTTGACTGGTCCCTTGTCAACGGTGATGTCGGCTAATAAAGAGGCCACTGCGCTGTGGCCGTTCCACACAGCAAAGTGATAGGGGGTCTTGCCCTGCACCTTTATGTTGCAGTCGGCCTTAAGATCCAACAACTTCTTAACCATATATACCGAACCGAACTCGGCTGCGCAATGTAGCGGTGTCCATCCCTCCCGATCGCAGACAGAGACGGAAGCGCCGGCTGAAAGCAACATGTCGAACACACGTTCCTGGCCGCTGCTGCATGCGAAGGCCAGCGGAGGCGGGAAACGGCATTGACAACTACTTCCGCTACCTTCGGAGTTAGGTGCAGCGCCATCGGGATTAGCGCCTTGCGATAGAAGATAATTTATAATATCGACGTAGCCGCGGATGACGGCAACTGTCAACGGCGTCCCGTAGTCATCGGAGTAGACATCAACGTCAGCATGGTTCTCCACTAGCAAACGGCATATATCTAGGGCACCTAATTCGCACGCGACATGTAGGGGGCTTGCTCCGCTTTTGCTCACGCAGTTGGGGCCGCATTGGCCGAGCAGAAGCAACACGCAAGATAGGAAGTCTGAGTTATTCACACCAGAGCTTTCTCTACCAGTAGCCGCACGTATAGCATAAAATAGGGGGTTCTCGCCGTTTTCGTCTTCCACATGTGCCAAAGAGGGCAAAGCTGTCAATATGTACTGCAAAACGTCCAAATTGCCGCCAGCAGCCGCAATATGGGCCACGCCGTGCTTCTTCGTGTCCCGTAGTGATTCTAGCGCAGCAAGTTCCACGCAGTTAAAAGTACCGTCAGTATGTTCCGATACCTTATCCGATTGTTCATCAGGCTCATCACGACCGCCGATAGCCAGCATCTGTCTAACGGCAGTTTGGAGCTCGACGAGGGTGCCGCCGAAGCACGCGCTCAGGACCGCCTCTACGACCTTCTTAACATCGCTAAGGTCATCCATCTTGCGATATAGAAAAAGGAATAGATAAACAGCCGATTGCGTGCCTAAAAGGCAGTCACAGGTGTCACGGCAATACAGGGGGAGGACTTACACCCGCTCCACACATAACCTGGAATCTTCGGAAAAATGGAGCTGCCAATATCAAATGTGTAATGTTTTTGTTTTGCTTTTATTTGATCGTTATTAGTAGCCAAATGTTGTCGTTGATGTTCACCAAACGTGTGTAGAAGGCTACCATCAATTACACCCTGTGCAACTACAGTTGTTACTATATGGCATACCACTTCGGAAACACAGTCGATGCTGTCACAAAACCGACTTATTATCACTATCAGTCTAGGAACAGCTCGTCTTCCATGGCTGCCAGATCTCTACCAGCCAACTCATTCAACGGATTTATAGATGCATCCGTAGATCCCTATATCACACGTGACACGCTATGATGCGAGGTCACACTCACCTTCTCGAAGAATGCGTAGAGCCGGTCTCCAGTTGCTCGGCTTCGGCTAAAGCCCTCAAATGTACGCCAGACCTTTATAGCCAGCACCCTGCATTCAGTGTGAGAAGTAAAATGGGGCATTCACAACAAATAAGTCGCACGCAGACATCAATAGCGTACCTCGAATACAAGTAACAGAAATACGTGCCGCCGTAGGGAATCAGGTGGTCAAAATTGCTCAGGGCGGGCAGACCCAGCAGCCGTGAGACCTTACTAGATCCGAACTCCTCATCGAAGACGTCTACTGACTTGTACAGGTCATCTATGCCGGAGACGCTGAGTTCACTGTTCAACGTATAGAACTTAAGGTCGAGAAGTGCCAACAGCGTCATGCGACCGGTCTCTATAGCACTGTACTTGCGGAATGAAAGTTCTGCCTTCGCCGCTGACTCCGAATCAAGACCTTCAATCTTGCATATATCCCGTAACCCATCAATGAAGTATAACTCAAATAGATGCGATGAAAATTCCGCGAAGTCCACACCGCCCCTGTTGCCTGACAGGTGCTGCAGGTCGGTACGGCTGCACAGTGCATGTACGGTGTGGCCCAACTCGTGGAACAGAGTTTGTGCAGATTGCGCGTCGATGTATGTGCCATTAAGCGCGCTGGATATATCGGAGTATTGAGGATCGGCGGGGAAGCTGCAAACAACCGCTGTGGCAGGAAACTGACGAATCGACCCATCAGCGCATTCCGTAGTCACATATTGGTGGCCGTCAGTACTATTTAGGCCAGCGATCGCACTTGGAAGTGGACTTACACCATCTGTATCACCGTTCCGGTAGCCTAGCAGTTTGGAACACCTAACAGTGAACTGGGCGCAGACGTTGGCCTTCCCATCACGGGCGAATAGGTCCATGTAGAGATGTGCCACCTCCACCTGCTTCTCACCCACATCGTTATTCTTAGTAGCATTCTCCGCTCTTATATCCGTCGTTCTCTCTCCGTTGAACGATGTATCTGTGTTGGGACCGATAGATTTTACCAAGAGGTACTTGGCAACTAGCGGATGCCACAGCGGTTCCGAAGTGTCGCGCACCAATGAAATGCCGAAGAGATCATGGAGCAGTCGCTCGAAGTACGTGATCACGGAACTCACTCTCAACTGTATTCCAAGCTTGTCACGTTCTGCGCCAATGAGATAATCCAAGTCCCACGGTTGCAACGACGCATCTGCCGATGTTTGCGACCTCTTAAGATCCAAAAGCTCTTGCAGCTCCAAAGATAGCCTTTGCTTCAGTGACGATGCAGATTTGCGTAGGAATTTCTCCACAGACTCGGGCTCATTGAGGATGCATTCCCTGAAGCAGATGTCAGCACAAATAGCGGTCACGTGTGACCAAGATTATAACGTACCTCTGCGCGCAGTGAGCGAAGCTGGGGAAGCCTCGTATTTGCGATATCTTGCTACGAATTGCATGTAGACGTAGCAGTTTGCTCAACGTGCCGGGGTCGCTCTTTGTCTGGGCCTCCCAAATCATGCGACGCACTTGCTCCTCAGGTGAGTTGCTGCAACAGTAAAACAGCATATATGGTAACCAACCGAAGAATGTAAGAATATACTGCTGCATTTCTTGGGATTGCGCGGCCGTTTATAGACGGAATCGCTGCATGCTTTAAGGCGCTGCTGTCAGACAGATCGTAGGATAGTGTCGCCTCTGCACTCTGTAGATCTAAATACTCGGCCTGAGATTAAGGTGACTCATCGACTCAACTCAAATGATCGGTACCTTTTCAGAAGAACGAAGTCCCACCCCCTGGTTGCGCATCGACTCGATCATGTGACTGAACACTAGCATCTCTTCCTTGTTTATGTGGGCACCACATTTGGCGTAAGCATCCGTCATTATATCGTACATCTGAAACAAGATTATACAATGGTCTGACAGTAGTCACACATGCAGATTTGCGGCAGTGCGAGGCAGAATGTCAAACACGAATTTACTGAACAAGGCGGCCTGTTAAATATGCTGGCATAAAGATATACCTGGCGAAAACAAACTGCAAACAACTACATCACAACAAATGCGCATCTAAATGTAGACAAGTACCTTTTCGTCGATATTGACGCGGCTTATGAATGCCGAGACTTCCTCGACAGTCGCATTGGCAGCGGCACGCCACTCATCGTCAGGGTGGACGTGTCGCAACAGTTCACACGGATCCGCTACCAGACACAGCGTGTTGGATATGTGATCGATCGTGTATACCAAATCCCTGCCATCCACGTCACCACCCCGAGACCGATTGAGCACATCAGCAAAGATGTCAGATGAAGCGGCAACGGCTTCTTGACCTATGCGAACTAAATCAGATGGAGTCTTAGCTCCCAGGTATAATAGCGAACGCTCAACTTTGGGACATGTCACAAAGGTACGGTAATGATGCGATGAGGGGGGAGGTGACCTACATAAGCTGATGCATACTCCACCCTTACGTACGGCCGAAAAAATCGGCCGTAACGTGCTCAAAGAAACTACTGCTTTAGCATAACCCTTCGCGTAACTAATGGTAGCTGTTGTACGTCGTAGGAGCTGCATTGTTATCTATGGCATGGATTCTATAGCCAATCAAGCCGGGGCATCGCTAGGGGAATCCCACGCACACATTCCTTATAAATACAGACAAACCGGCATCAAATTACATTTTGTAGTTTCTAAACACCCATGTGTTGGGTTTTGGTGGAATAACAGGTTATGACGCGGTGGAGTGGAGGGGTGGAAAAGGAACGCCGCAACGCTGATCCCCTACGGGACGAAACAAATACAAATATTGCGCAAATCGCAACGTAGTCTATGGATGGGCATTTAAATGTAGGGAAGAGCGTCACTGCGCTTCTCGTTTTGGCAATTGTCGAGCAGTGTGTAGGAATCTCGGGATGCATACGACCACATCAGTCGGCCTTCCTAGTGAAGCAGCAGTTCCCTAGAGCCGAGCAATGCGGATTACAGTCGGCAAGGTGTTCTCGTATCGCAGATCGGGTCGGAAGCACGGATGTTGCCAACGACACTCCCTCAGACAAAAGTCTTATCGACCAGGTCAATTCGCCAGAAGACCTCAAAAAGGTACCTGCGGAGCACATTCCACAGCTGTGCAAGGAACTAAGGGAATGCTTCATCAGGAATGCCGAGCAAGTCGGTGGCCACTACTCCAGTTCCCTGGGGGTGGTCGAATTGACCGTGGCAGTCCACAGGGTATTCGACTCGCCAAAAGATCGCATCGTATGGGACATTGGTCATCAGGGGTATATACACAAGATGGTTACTGGTAGAAGGCATAGCATGCACACCATCAGGCAATCGGGAGGTATATCGGGGTTCCTGAGGAGGTACGAGAGCCCGCATGACCTCTTCGGGGCGGGGCACTCTTCAACATCCATTGGTGCCTTGCAAGGTATATACGAGGGAGATGTGATTACCGGGCAACATACAGATAGGTCATATGTCTGTATCATCGGTGACGGCAGTCTGACTGGAGGGATGGCAATGGAGGCGCTGAACTACTCCTGTGCCATCAGGTCGCCTCTCATCATCATATACAATGACAACGGTCAATCATCGCTTCCCACTGGCATGTCGGCAAAGAATGGGACTGATCCCATATTGCCGTACTTCATGATCGAAAATACGCGGAAAGCTCCCGTCAGTGACACAGAGGTCATTAAACAATTCGACGAGCTGAGCCTCGACGAGAGCGAAACACCTATGTTTTTGGACCCCGTAGATGGCCACAATGTCGAGCATCTCAGCAATGTTCTTTCCCATCTTAAGGGTCAGCTGAGTGCTCATAGCAACTGGAGTCTAAAACGACCCATCGTGTTGCATATAAAAACAGTTAAGGGGATGGGATCAGAAAAGGCGCTAAAGGCGCCGGATCGGATGCACGCAATAAAGGCAATGGCTAAACAAAACGCAAGCTCCGCTGTGTCAGCGCCATCAAAGACTTTCTCAGAAGTATTTGCCGATACCCTGATAGAGCTAGCAGACCGCGACGACTCTGTGGTGGCCATAACTGCTGCAATGCCTGGCGCGACCGGAGTGGGTAAACTGGGTATGAAACACCCAAACAGGACGTTTGACGTTGGCATTGCAGAACAACATGCAGTGACGTTTGCCGCAGGGATGGCGGTAAGCGGTGCAAAACCATTTTGTTGCCTGTATTCTACTTTCATGCAAAGGGCACTGGATCAGATAATACACGACGTCGCATTGCAAAATCTGCCAGTGAGGTTTGTCGTTGATAGAGCGGGATACGTGGGAGAGGACGGTGCGTCACACCACGGTAACTACGATGTCAACTACCTGCGCCTAATGCACAACATGCTTATTATGGCTCCAAGTAACGGTGTCGAATTAAAGATGATGGCAAATATAGCATACAACACCGGTGATCAGCCCTGTGCCATCAGGTACCCAAAGGCTGCAGTGGCATCGCAGGAGGAACTGGACAAATATTTCAAGTATACACCAGACGAAATCGCAAACCCAACGTCAATGGTGGAAGGAGAAAGGCTGTTTAAAGCGCGATGCGTGCGGTTAGGAAATATGGGCGTCGCTGTCCTGGCATTCGGGCCTATCGTTTTAGACGTCATGAAGGCCGTTGACAAAATCAAACTTGACGCCACGGTTGTTGATATGAGATTCCTAAATCCCATGGACACAACAACGATAGACGAAATCCTACAAACCCATCATACTGTGATTACGGCCGAAGACGGCGTCGCTGGAGGCTTCGGTTCGGCGGTACTGGAGTACCTTGCAACGAGGCCGGAGAGAGTGGATGTGAAATGCATCACCTACCCTAAACAACACGCTCACCATGGCAGTATAAACGACCAGAAACGTTTTGCTGAGATCGACGAGGACGGAATCGCGCGTCAAATAAGGGAGTTCATTTCGGCGTGACACACATAAGCGTACGAAAACAGAAAACACTAAAATGCTTACACATCTTATTCTGCGTGCTACACATATGTCGATAGTGAGCTAAAGACCTTTGAGGGCGAGAAAATGCCTACTGCCGTATCACTGTTGGTGGTCATTAGCTAATATACACAACAGGCATCCCACGGCGAAGCCTGGTGGAACAAAACTGCCAACTAAAACTACCGAAATATATTCACCCTGTATTAGGTCAATTATTTGTTAATGAGCAGAGGCAATCTATGAAGAGAGGAAGATCACTGAATCCTCTAGCGCTTGCGTATACCGACTGAAGAAGGCGCCATTGCGCATAAAATAAAAAAAATGTTAGGCTGTAGATAATGGAAACTGACTCTGGAGATGGTTACGTCAGTAGACACGAAAAGCGGGCTGCGTTCATGAACCTGTGTCGCTCGAATTGCACCGTCGTTATAGACTGCGAATTCGACTCCTATGAAAGCGAGAAAGAGGCAACGAGCCTTGCTAATCAATTGATGCAGAGCTATGCATTTAACCGGCGTGCTGATAAGCCTGTCAATCTGGTCATATGCGGGATACAAGAGGGAAGCTACCTAGCCGAAGCTTTCAAGAAGATATCGGGTACAGAAAACTGGATGTGTACCCTGGAGTATAAGAGCCTCGAAGAGATTTACGATCCGCAGAATGTTACCTATCTCTCAGCAGATGCTGAAGAAGTGCTAGATGACATATCGCAAGAAGGGATTTATGTTATTGGCGGCATAGTTGATCGCAACAGATTAAAAGGTATCGCCTTAAGCAGAGCTAGGTATATCGGAGCTACATGCAAACGATTACCCATCAAGGAACATGTACAACTCACGCAAAGTCACGTTCTTTCTATCACAGCATGTGTAAGTATCATCCTTAATTATACGGCGAACAAAAACTGGACTAAGGCTCTGGTTGAGTCGATCCCCAAAAGAAAATTCTAGCTTATAACAGTATTCCGGTAACAATTCTGTCAATAAATGGCTGTCGCCGCTTCATCGCATAGCAACTGCATCACATCATCAATTACGCTGGGTAGTTACAGCCGTCTAGTTAACAGTAGACAACCACGCATATCGAATCGATCACTACGTTGAATAACTGATTGTCGGCTTAAAATCTGCATGGGGTATGCTAACTGCGTGACATAATGTAACACGCGTTAGGAACGACGTATTATGTCACAGATACTATATTGTTTGCCATGTTATATGGATCGTATTCCGGTATTTGAGAGTTGTGTGTATGCTTCGATAACCAGAATAATGTTGAGGTGATCACCTGAAGCAATGCATTTGGACTTACTAGAAAGGGAACATCACAGGCAATAAAAATCTGCAAGGACACCGATTCCATCGCAATCACTCTGGAAATAGCGTTAGCACATCGTCATTAACTGCTCCGACCGCAGTGTTAAGCGGAGTCCGGATCACACTCTGAAACGTCTCTCCAAGCCCCTCCGTCAGCCTCTTAATTGATTGATCAGCGTTATGAGTAACTTTTTAAAGTTCTATTTTGGCGTCATTAAGTTGTGTCAACTGCCCTTTAACAAGACTGTTGCCAAGATTCGCAGTGACCTGTCCTTTAAGCTTCAAAATATTACTCTTCAATTCCTTCAAATAGCCTTTCACCAAACCTTCCAAACCCAAAAGATTCATGCTAGTAATCGCATCTGCAATATCCTTAGTTATTGATTCTTTAACATTCTTCAAATCCTTTTTGAGATTTGTATCGATTCTCACAACAGCATCTAGCGCCTTAGTGACCAAATTACCAACTTGCTTCTTAGCCTGCTCCGCCGCACCCAACTTTTTACCCTCATTTTGTAACTCTTTGGCTTTATTAAAAACTACGCCTTCAGGTTTCTTTTTATCAACCTTTCTAAGCGTCTAATCACACTTCCTGTTAGCTTCGGTGGCAACTTTATCCGCTCTGCAAATCCAACTCTTCAATGTCTCAACTTGCTGACGAATATGTTCATTTGCAACGCCAGTGCTATGTTTTCTCGTCCGTGGCGAGGATTTTAAAAGCATAAAGAGAATATGTGTTGGACGTTGACGAATGAATTTTGCGAGTGAAAATGTGAAGGCTGGTTGATGATTTATGGATTTTTAGCGTTGAGTGGCATTTTTCAAGTCAGCTGTGCAGCGTCATCAGTGCCATTTGTTGGATGAGACAACAGTTTCACAGGTGAGGTATAAATGGTAACTGAGATGGTGACAACTCTGACTTAACACGTGCATAAGACGCTACGAGTGCACAATAGTTGCATTATGAATTGCTGAGCTAATGGCTTAGGTGTCGGTGGATTGACAGGCATCTTGTCTTATGCGTTTGCATTAAACAGGTGAGGTGGGGTGTTGGCAGACGAGACCCGGAGGTAGATGACGGCTAAACCAGATTTTGAATTACGTAGCACGGAGTTTTACTAAACCGAGATCTAGGCACTGAACGATGTCAGTAGCTAGTGACCTGGCTACCGGATGGCTAAATGCACTAAATGAGGCTACGAGGCTCCACTCCAGCGCGGGATCGGAGATGCTGTGAGACTGTCGGATACCATTTTATACGGTGTTTCAAGAGTGCCAAGGTCGTAACATGGGGTGAAGACAGCGACGATCATAGCAATGATGGCTGCCTTAGGTGGGAGCTTATGTGGATATTACATCCATCTGTGCCAATCCCGTTCTTTTCACCAATGCGCTGCTGCGATGTAATTCATGAACGCGTTCACCAGGCACCTGCCGATGCAATCTTATGAAAAATTAAACAAAATATTATTACATCGGCGTCGTGCCCGTAATGTCTAAAACGGTGCGATAAGTGCGATTATATTAAATGCCGGGAGTAATTAAAGAATGCGATACTTAACGTTCACTTGCGGGCGAAACAATCGCGGACTTTGTGGAACGGTCGAATGCGTTTAATGATCATGACGCAGATGGCGATGAGGCTGATGAAGATTATTGAAGGTATGACGACGGCGGCAAGGGGTATGTCTTCACGTGGACAACACTCACATTGGCAAGGTTTTTTACATGAGATCTTACAGTTCTCAGGGTTACATTTTAAAGAACCCATGTAGCTACCGTATCTAGATGTACATGGGGGGCAACTGTCACCGTTGTCACCCTTACAGCCATCACAACACAAGAGACAGCATATACACGTAGTACTACCACATTGATTTTTTGTTTCACATTTACACTCACTCGCCAGCGCCATCTTAGCGCACCTCCCCTATCACCGACCTGCACAGGCATGAAAGACATACCTTAACATCGAACCGTAAAATCGCCATGCTGCCTCCGAAATGGCCCGGGCGAACGCCATCTAACTCAACGCCACGGATACCACAACCTACATGCAGCGCACCACATACTGCCTTCACTTCAAATTACTGGAGGGATATGTATTGTCTACTTGCCGCTATATTAGTGCGCTAATGAGTGCCTAGCTGAGCCGCGGCGCGTGTCTACTATATTAGTGATGTCCACAATGTCGCCCACGAATGCCACATAACTAAGCCGTCCATTAGCCATTACGTCGGAGAGTTCCAAAGACATGGATTTCCTAGCCACCCAACTAATAGCAGACATGTCAACCACCCATCCAACAGATTACTCACTGCCTCGTCTAGCACAGCAGTCGTCAGCTGCCTACCTCGACACCCAACCACCCAGCCTCATGATCCACCGACAGTAAGGGATGGCATAGGCACGTCCACGTATAACGCGCGAAGCAACGTACAAAACAACTAGCATCCCAACGCATCGACTAAATTATGGGTTACGTGTGAGATTTATCATTATGTTGGAAATAAGTTAGCCACTTTGTTAGGCAGTGAGTTATTCATTACGTCACGCTTGTTGTTAGGTAGTGATATGCATCAGGTTACGTGCTAGGTAAGGTGTTTGGTGAGACACAAGTTACACCTCACGATGAAACATGACAACACTTGTAATGTACATGTAACTACCATAATTACTATAAAGTGTCAAATAGCTAATCAAGATCGTCGTCGAAGTAGTCGACGTCCTTGTAGAGTGAGAGCATCCTGCGGCTGCCGGCGAGCAGCGCCTTGACGTCGATGAGGTGGGAGGCCCTGGTGGTGAGTAGGTGGGAGCGGATGAGGAGCACGTCCATGCGGTATAGTAGTGAGTGGGCGATGTAGAGTCTTGCGATGAGCCAGAGTGTGACGAGTGTGAAGAGGAAGGGGGCACGGATGCGGTAGAGGAAAAGGTCCATGGCGGTCACGAGGCCTGCGATAGGCTCTCCGGCGACCACTTCCTCCAGCTTGGTGATGAGCTCAGAACACGTGAGTGACGGCTGCGATTTAGCCTCCGGTGGCGTGAACCCGTGAGAGTAGAGAAGTGGCAGCGCCTTATCACACTGGTGTAGGGGCTTGAGCTTGGAGTCAGAGTCGTGACATTGAAGGTTCTCGAGATCATCTTGCAGCTTGAGAAGTGACTCCCACAGTCTGTCGGGTAAGTAAACTGTCCAGCTGAGGTAGTGGTGGACGAAGGTGGAAGAGTACAAGGAGTAGGCCCGGTGGGTGATGGGCGAGAGAAGTTGTGAGCACTTGGCATTATCGATGCCGCAGCCAAGCAGAGTGGACAGGGTCTTGGGATGGTCCTTGTCGTGGTTGGCGGTGGGAGGGGCGGAGCCCCGGAGGTCCTGTACGGCGTGGAGGTCGGCCTCCTTGAGACAGTCCCAGCCGGGGCAGTCGTCATGCTGACTGGAGAGGGCGGAGCCCAGAGAGGAAAAACTTGAGGACACATCATGAAGCTCATTCCCGAAATTGTGGAAGAAAGAGACAATCTCCCCGGTTGTACGAGGAGTCCGCCTGGTGAGGCAGTTGAGGTAAGAGGACAATGTCAGCTGGGGATCGTCACCGCCGCAGGATGGAGTTAGGATGGTGGAAATATGCTTGCCATCTTTGGAGTCCTTAGAAAAATCCTCCTTTGTGAATCCCATCTTGACACGGCTCTGGAGGCAGATGTTGCAGGGGTCGAAGGGATGCGTCTCGAACTTGGAGTCGGGGGCGTCAATCAGAAAGGCCTGGAGGGGGGAAGGCGTCTTGATGTCACGGCCGTACGGACAATCCTGCCAACCACCCTGCTGGCAGACTCGAGAACACTGTGACCTTAGGAACGCCAACTGGTGGCAGCAGGCGTAGACGTAGTCCCGCAGCTGGCAGAGAAGGGCGCAGCAATCAGGGTCCTGAGGTTTGCCGGAGTCCTTGCGTTTTAATGTTGCGGACAACGTGGTGTTACCTTTCCAGGCAGGCTCAATGGTGGATAGCACTGAGGCTGCGAACACGGCGGCAAGGTGGATGGTGTCGATGACATTATCGGCGGTGATGTGAGAACCGTTGACAGAGAGCTTAACCTCTCCGTGTATGACATCAGTCACGCCCCTGAAAACCTTCTCAATACACCGTTTCATAATGTCAAGATGTTTTGGGTTTCTAATCCCAACCAACCAACGAAGCATATCCCTGACAGTGCACGGCACCTCCGAAGGAAACAACTCGGTAACCGGGACATCTGCGAAGCTGTCTTTAGGCGTCTGAGTGATCCAGGAAGGAAGGCATAAGTCTTCCGTCAGGAACTCTAGATTTTCTGGATAGAATTTGTCACGCAACGGCGCTTGCGTAGGGATATTGGAATAGGTATCGTACGGTGACACAATCTTCTTATGTTCAGCCGCAGGCAGTGCTTCCCCTTGAATCTTATCAGCGCCGTAAATCATATCCGGAGTGTAAAGCTTATCAATCTCAAGTTGAAATTCAGCCGGATCCGGCATTGGCGTCTTAGGTGGTATTTCACGGGACGCATTGCTGCCTGAATTCATCGATGTGCCAGAAGACCCTAAATTGTTATCAGTCGTCTGTCTATTCTGCAAATTAGGGTCACCGATTGTCGCCCCTGGACTCCCACTCCCTGCAGCTCCACCGATCTCTTGACCGAGTGGCAGACCTGGGGAGGTCATGGGGTGGGTTCTTGGGATGCCCATGGATAGTTTAGCATGTGGCAGAGCAGGATCCGAAAGAGACGCGTGGTCATCCGCGTTCTGACCACCACCTGAAGGAGAGACAGCAATTGAGGAAGGCCGTGAGCCTGAAACACTTGAAGGCTGAGTGAGCACAGCGCCGTGAACAGCATCATGCTGTGAAATCGTAGGCGTACCAGACGTCAAATGCGGAGACCCGCTTGTTGACTTACCAGCAGGGTCATGTGATACAGTAGGACTGGAGGCTACCTGTTGATTCAGAGGCCCTGAAGAGTCTGCATCGCCTTTCAAACTAGGATCCAGAGTCTGCATAGCTCCTGGATCGTGCAAATCTTGAGACTTCATGAGTCCATGTGGAGTGCTCTGCGGAGTTGAAGGCTCTGCCGCTGTGGTTGGGGGAGGAGCAGAAGGTGGGGATGGAGGAACAGACGGTGTCGGACCTGGCTGACCTGGAGGTCCATTATCTCGAGTATCAACACGTTGTTGAGCTCTTGTAACTGCAGCATCAGAATCACCGGGAGAGTCGGGGACATCAGGCTGTGGAATGGCTGCCGGGCTATGGCCGCTTGCATCACCCGTCTGGCCCTGAGGATTCACCTGAGGAGGCGATTGGAGAGTAAGGCCCATATCACCCGGTGGACCAGTGATGTCAGATGATAGAGAACCTGGGGCTGAAAGAGTTGGGGCGTGAGGTTGCACAGAAAGTTGAGAGGTGTGAGAAGGTTTACCAGAATGAATGTCAACCTGGGAATCGCCATCTGTACCCCCTGCTGAACCCCCACCCCCTCCAGAGCCTCCTCCTACACCCGGGCCGGCACGACTTACAGCGGAGGTTGTAGTCGCACCCGAAGTTAACTTCTGTTGCGGGCCTTGAGGGTGCTTTTGAGTAGGGTTAGAAGAATGCGCCTGATCTTTCAGATTTTGAGCATCATCAGAAAGATGGTCACGGGATGACAGAGAATCTGGGCTTTGAACATTTGAATTCTGAGCCTGCCTTGCATTTGAAGATAGAGCGGGATGTATTACCGAAGCAACCATGCTGTCTGGATCCGGAACGGGACCAACCGGCGTACCGATGGACCCCGGGGCTCCATCGTGACTTGAATTAGCTTGTGGCGAAGAAGACCCCGTGCGGCCTGGATCACTCTTATGCCCAGCAGACTGAACATCTCTTGGAGAACTTTGAACCTGAGGGAGATCGATGCTTAGAGTGGCAACAGGTTTTGAGGCTGTAGAAACAGTGTCCTTTGAATGCCCACCGGTGCTCGGCGCCCCACCTTCTCCTGCACTGACACCTAAATCAGAATGCTGACCAGGTATGCCAGGATTGGAGTCTCGATTGAGAGCTAAGTTTTTACCACTCCGTTGGCTATGTCCAGAAGCAGCCGCCTGGGGACCCAGCCCCGTACCACCGACATCAGTGACACTAGATGACGAAGAGCTTGAGCTGGACACACTTGAATGATCATGCGTAGGAGCTGGGGAAACAAGGGGCTCTGAAGTCGGATGTATTTCAGCCGGTGGACTAGGGCCTCTGAGAGCACTGGGGGCAGCAGGTAGAGGATGTTGGGAATGAGGCTGGGGATTATTCTGATGTTGTAAAAGTCGAGGCTGAGTAGACATCGTACGCCCTGTACTTGTGCTCACCTGTGTGCCCCTGGCATTTGGACGACCTCGAGGCCCCGGGCCTCGTCCTCTATCACTTCGAGCCCCCGATCCCCCGCCTCTACTGTGAGGCCCCTTCCCTCTCTCACTTCCTCCTCTAGCACCAGAAGCCCGACTACCAACATACGACCAATCTCCAAGAAGCCTTGGACCGATTGTCCTTCCACCCGAAGCTCTGGAAGGCTGGGGTGGAGGTGCAGGTCTGGCAGGCCTCGGAGGCCTGGGCGCAGGCGCCGGCCTGGGGCGCGGCTTTGGAGGTGGACGCGGAGCTGTACACCCCTTACCATCCAGAATGCTTTTCAACTCTGCCAAGCCGCCACCTTCTCTCTTAAGCTCAAAGATTGCGCCATCCCACTCCTTTCTCAAGTCCTCATACGGGGCATTTTCCCTTAAATATTCTTTCTCACCGTAGAAAGTGAAACCGTAGGGGAAAAGATTTTTAGTGAAATGTGGGCCAAGCTCGGCGTAATATTCCTGGAGCATGTTGTGATGTTTTGGAAGACTGGCGAATTCATGTGCATGGTCATCATGTTCACTTTCAAACTGCTGAATCTTCTCCAGATTCCCCCGCACTTTATCCAAGTTGCTTCGCAACCAATCTGCTGTCCTTTTTGCAAACTTTTCCCTGTTAAGCTCTTCACGTTTCCGTGCGTAGCCGGTGAAGGAAAAGGCTTTATCATTGAACAACTTGCCAAGTTGGGATTTCAGTGTGGAGCAATGAGCTTTTAAAAAAATCCCAATGTATACATCCGTTTTTTGATTGTACATGGGTTTTAAACTTTTTACCATTTCCATTCTCATCCTCTTCAACCACAATCTCGCAAAACAGGTTCACCAATGCAAGAGCGTTTGCAGTATTAGAAATTTGGGTGCCAGAAGTGGTAGTTAGCACCGAAGTGGCGAACACATCGCGAAAAACATTTTGCGCCGTATCATCTTTTTTTTCGAAGATTTTTTTGAGGGGAGTCACCATAGAGTAACCACGGCTGTAACCACTGTATGACCAACCATCTCTCACCTCATCTTTATTGAAGCTGCTGGGTATGACCCGGTACTCGTTAGTGTCACTGGATCTGAGATATGCTTGAAGATCACCGCCCCAATTGTTTCTCAACCCGTACCACCGCCCCTTCTCCCAACCGGGACAGTCATCCTTCCACCCACCTCCGCCAAGTGACTCGAACGTGTGAGACACGCAATACCAAAGATAGTATATCGCTGCGAGGAACTTTGGGAGACACTCAAGAAGTGCAGTGAAAATGTCATCCGCTGAGGGGTTGGGCGGCATTGAGGCTCCGGATGCAAGTGCTTCTTGAGGAAAGTCTTCACGTACCAACATTTCGTAGAATGTACTCACATGACCCAGAAAGGAGGATAGGTGGGATTCGATCTGCTCTTTCGTCACTTGCTGACTCTTACAATAATCTCCAATACGGCCATGCATAGTTTGGGCCACCTCTCCAAGTTTATTCCTCCCTCCCCCCTTATGCAACCAGTATAAAAACATGAAACAGTCCCTAAGACTAGTGAGCTTGATTCCATCCGTATTAGGCTTCATCGTTACTAAGGAAGCAAGCAACACAGTGATATGGCCAATCAGTGACTACACTGCGCATCACAAAGAGCATCTAAAGCGTTCAAGACTGTAAACTGGGAACTAGTAAAGATATAAAAGCTCTGCACAGACCACGCACGAGGTCCACTCATAGGTAGACAGGATAGCCACGCCGCAAGGTGACTGAATGAAAATGTTACAATCTGCTTCATAAAACCAAAACACATCAGTGTTCATCGTAAAACAACAGACAGCGACACTCCGGTACCACCTTGCAATACAGGTGTCGGGACACAAATCATATTAACACTTTACTCACCCGTGAACTAAGGAAGCTGCAAAGTTCACGACTCTTGAAAGTCCGAAGCACAACTGAAATGACATTATGCATCACAATAAGACGGTGGCATTTCCATAGCTTATACTGGTGAACGACAGCTTGCCTGTCGCACCCCTGCATCACGACCCCGCCAAGCCGCCTCCCCTCAGCGCTCCGTGACCATACAGGACATCGCCACCTATCCACCGCCAAGGATACCACTGCCGCGCGCCTAGCACCCCAGAGAAAAGATGCTATCGACAACGTATCTTATCACTAACGTATAGTCACCATATTTGACAAACTAGTATTGAAGTAGCCCAGTCACAACTCCACCCACCTGTAGCCACGTTACTAGACCACTTGCCACCGTGCGCCACGTTATGTATGCGCTGATGTCTACTTAGCGGATCCATTGCGCGGGATTATTACCGTAGCAAATACCACAACGTTGCCCATGACTTCCCAGTACCCACGCTCTCCTATACTCAACACGTCAGCCAGTGCCGGAGCATGACTCAACACCTTGGCCATGAGAACGCTTACAACCACCCACCCAAGCACTTGAATAGTGTATAGTTGCCAATCATTAGGTTTGTTTTGGTCCATTCTCCCCGTTACCGTGCTAGCGCCTCCCGCTGTTGGTGTAGTCTAAGGGTTACAGGTCGATGTGGTGTCCTCCATTGCGGCATCCATCTCGTTGGGTGCGAGAGGCAGTCAGTCAGTGTTCTCTGGGTTAGATATTACCCATTGCATACGGCATTGCCTTGCTCCTCTTTTGCTGGTTGAACGTTTTACTCTAAGCTACTTCACCAGGTCATCGTATTCATTCATCTTGTATCTCTCCATCTCCACCAGATTGTTTTGGTTGGTAACCTAGTTCTTCATGATGATGGTATTCCTCCGTTGGTCAGAGTCCGTGGTCTCCGGTCGACTAGGCTCTTTGGCCTCCTCTGTCTTGACCTATACACTTCATGGTTGCCATCGTAATTCACTCACCCCTTTATAATCTTCATCAACACTGATACTTTTCATCCAGTCCCTGCTGTTCCTTATGGTTACACCTCGGCGGCCTCCATACAAACTTTACGTTTTGTTACATAAGGCATCGAATATTCCATCCTAATGAAGGCCGCAGAGGGGAAAAGATTTACATTGTTTTTTACGCTGACTATTTATAACATGCCTCTATTCACCACATTCCTGCCACTCATCTCATTCATATTCCAGGAAGCCCCTCTTCCAAATATGGATGGAGTTGGATAGTAGTGGGGCGGACCAGGAATTTCAGTGGAGCAGTAGAGGATTTGATGCGCACATTATTTTGCAGGTTGTAATAGATTTGGGCGACCCTTTGAGTCTTTGAACACTGGAATGCAGTTTTGAGATTTAAAACTGCCTCCGAAGTGAATTTAAAATCTGGGTTGTCTGGAAACTGGAGGTTTGGGAAGCGGTGAGCGTGGCAGATGCTAGTTTTTCCATGAATTAAAAATATAGCCATCAGGCACAACTCTGCTAAATGTAGTTGGGGCGCTAAGAAAAGTGTATACCAAGCGCCCAGTGCCTGTTGCATTTTTTTAGCGGACTCGGGGATCTGCGATCCCTAATTGGTGGTGGGTTTGTTGAGGTTGGGAGCACAGCGATCTTTTGCTTCTGAAGATGGCGCCTAAGAAGCTGACGGACTGTCCGGAAAATCTCCGGGAGTCCATCGACTGGTTGATCCAGGTTAGGCATGGGAATGGTGCTGGTGGTAAAGGCCTTGAGGACTTGGCCAAAGCTTTGAAAAAGTTTGTTGGTGATGCTATTAAAAATGCTACTAACAGTCTTGAAAAGAGGAAGGAGCAACTTGAATGTCCCCCAAAATATTGGAAACCTGACTCCCATTGTAAGAAGCTTGAGACTAAAATTGAAGAAGCTAAGAAAGATGCTGAATCTGCTGAAAATTCGGAAAAATCCAAAAAAGAATCCGAATTAGATAAGCTTAAAAAAGAAAAGGATGACCATTACAATGACGTTCATTACCTTACTGATGATGCCAGAGACAAAGCTTTGAAGGATATTCAGGATCGGCAGACTAAGCTTAGTGAGCTTAAAAAAGGTCTTGAAATATTTACTGAGAACAATGATGATTGTAAAAACCTTTTAACAAGGCTCACTGAAGGCTTAGAAAAGTTTTTAGGCTTCGACCCATCTTCCAAAGGCTACGATGGCTCCGGCATCGTGTACTCGGACCTCGACAGGCTGTGCGACGGGGTGATGGCGTTCTTGCACGGGGTTCTTAGCGGAGTGAAGGATGACGATGCTGTGAAGACTTATGATAAGAACGTTGCTGAGCCAAAATTAGATAGTGTTCTCAACTCTCTTGAAGTTTCCATAGGTAAGGGGTCTGGCGTATTTGGTTCGCAGGTTGGCAAGGTGAGTGAGTGGCTTGGGAAGTATGAGAGGGAGGTGAACAAGAAATGTGAAAACGTAACTAAGAATATTAATGACTTATTGATTGCAAATATTGATAACAAAATGGGTGAAATTAACAATGCCAAATCAGGTGGTTGCCAGGCCATTCACGAGGCTTTCAAGGCCTCTGTTACAGATATTGGTGAGAATATGTGGACTGTGAAAAATAACACAGAAGGATATAAAAGTCTTGACAGCGCATTAAAAAGCATGTTGGAGTGTCCGATGGGTAAAATAGAGAGTTCGATTGATGTTTTGAAAAAATCGGCGGGGAATGAATTTTTGGCTGCGCAGGCTAAGAAGGTGGATGATGCTTTGTTGGAGCAGGAAAGAGAGGTGATGAAAAAGATTGAGGATGAATCTAAAGTGTGTCAGCAAAAAATACATAAAGAGTTTGAGGCAATCAGAAATGGAATTAGGGGTATGAAGGAAGCGAGTAAAATGCATTTTGAACATATAGGTAACGCGCTTAGCGCTGCACAGAAGTTTTTGGAGACGGAATATGATAGCGAATATAAAGAGGGTATTCTGGATAAGTTTGAATATATACAACATAACGTCAACGCATCGTATAATAACTTGTGCAGGAATAAAGATGAACTTGAATCCTTGGTTCAAAAGGCGCAGGGACACTTTGCTGCGATCAAGGGGAAGGTTGGCGGTGCCGGACTACAAGATACTATATATGGCGGTTGGATGACGCTCAAGGCTCAGGTCGGGAAGCTGGCTAAAGATATCCATGATAAAAATGGAGCAGGGGATAACTATCTTGGTAGTATTATTACAAATATCGGTAAGTATGCCGATGAATTCAAGGTGGCAGAGGGACAGGATACAAAGACTCTTGGAAACATAGTGCAGGAGTGGGTGGAGGAGATTGCGAAGGTTGACCCAGTAAGGGGGGATATTAGTGAGTATGCCAAGGCTAACAGGGAGAATAGTTTGAGCCCCGAATATGCGAAGGAGGAACCGAATGACAGTGGAATATATCCACAACTTAACAAGATAGTTGCAACGAAAATTCAGGAAAAGCTTCTGACCGGTGTTATTGACAAAGCCGTTCAGGCGGCCGGTATCGTCACCACCAACGGCACCATTCAACAATACGTCAAAGCTGTTCAACTGGGTTGCAACAAATTTTCCGAGCTACTTGCAGATAGAATTAAAGGAGCCAAACTTGAGACGCTTACCTCTGCTATAGTCCAGGAGATTCACAAGAATGGGAATGGTGGCGTGCTTTCCAGTGATGCGTCTCTTGCTAACAATACAAATCTTACTCGTGCAGTACGATTTGTTCTAAATGAACTCGTCGGTGTGGCCAATGGTGCGACCACGGAACTGCAGCGATTCCTCCATAAGGTCGAACTCAGCACTAAATTGGACCACGCTATACGCAGTGCCACGCAAATCCACGAGCAGTTGGAAGGCCCAGGTGAGACTAACTACGGTCCGAACATCACTGCAGCACTGGGGGAAGTTACTCAGCAAATTACACACCTTCACAAATATTTAGAAGATAAAGATGGCAATGTGTCAATATTCAAGAAATTAACGACAATTCAGGAGAAAGTTATTGATAAACTCGAAAATCTTAGAAACGAAAAGGGCAGTAAAGGCGTCGATGGTGAAATAAACAAGAGAAGAGATGAGACTGCAAACCTCATGGAAGAGGTGAAAGGCAAGATGTCCTACAGAATTGATCTGATCAGGAATGAAACCAATGCCGCTGATAGAGGCTTCGGTATGTCCATTGATGCGCTTTTCAAAGTTGTGGATGACTCCAGAATTGATGCCCATAAATCCGTCGAATTTCTCAAAACCGCGCTTCTCCAAAAAGTCCAACAGGCCTTCCACCAGCTCACCACCGAAGTCAGAACACTCTTCTCCGCACAAAAGGTCTCGGACCTCAAAGCGCTGCAGGAAGTCGTTGGGGAGCAGAAAAAGGAGATGCAGAAAATAATGGATGAAGACAAAATCACGGGCGTAAAAGGGATGTTACATAAGCTGAAGGAGAATGAAACTACCTTGGGATCTCTTAAAACTCTTGTAGATCCCACGCGTAGAGATAATTTCACACGAATGGCCTCCGGTCTCAAGGAATTGCTGGACTCTCTTCTACAGTATATAGAGTCTCAAGCGAGGACTCTGACGGAGCGTAAGGGCACCGAAGAAAATCCGCAATCCAAAGCGGTGAACACAATTAAAGCCAAGGCAGGCGTGTTACTAAATTACCTAAAGTACGTTCCACCTAATGGTGGAAATAAGCTATATACATTTGATCATAATTCCGTTGAATTGCTAGAACAACTAAAGAAATCCGTTACCAACTTAACATCCCCCAACTTCCACGGCTTCCACAATCCCCTGCTCCTCGACGCCCTCAGGCGCGGCATGGACAAATTCGCCGAGCAACTCGGACACGCGTACGTGAATAAGTATAGCGGTCAAAAACGTGCGGATGACTGGGTGGAAACAAAACAAAGTGCTGATAAGAAAACCACTGAAACCCAGTTAACCCCTGAGGGCCGCAACTGTGCCAAGGTCTGCTTGACCATACTGGAGATATTGAATAGTGAGCTGAAAGGGTTGAGGAGGAGATGTAAGCATGCGACATATAATGGCCTACAAATTCATTTAGGGAACGGCCTAGGAAAAGCCTTCCAACCACTAGGCTACGATGTTGCCACTAGTCCAACCAGCCAGGACGGTGAGTTGAGGAATAATGCTGATCGTAAAGGCCAGTATATTTATGCGAATCTTCTCGTAAATGAGCATAATGCTAGCCAAGCCAGTAACAAATTTCAACTTGTCAGCGACAATGATGACAACAAGGATAACAAGGAAAAACATAGTGTCACTAGGAAGCTCCATACCCATCTTGGCACATATTACTATGTCTCTCACCACTATATTCCTCCGAAACCCAGAGCGCCAGGCAGCGTAAAAGAGATGCTCCAATGGCTCCTCGGGTTATACTTTAATCCGATGCGTGATCTACTTTACACTTACATGAAAGAATTGTTTGAGAAGCCTAAGGGACAGGAAGCAAAGCCGTATAAAGATATCTCCGACACAGATCTTATCCTAGATGCGACCACAAAAATTACACCTACGACATTAAAAGACACACTTCGCGACGTCTGTCTGTACTCTGAAGATGTGTTGGTAGCATTCCAGGGTCACGGCCACGAAGGTGGCATATATGCCTGCGACTTTTATACAAACACCAATAATCTGTTGTATCCAAATAGCCCCGATGCATGTTTAGATATGCTCGTAGACATATTATTTAGAGTCTTCCACCAGGTCCGTTTCGTATATAAGCAGTGTAACAACGGCCCTAAAAGCGGTGGTTGGGAAGACTGCCATTATGGTAGGCACGTCGGTGGGTCACACTGGCAGTGTAATGATAAGCAGTGTCCTAAGCAAGACTGCGAACAAAAGCACAACCAAATGGCTGACCAACATACGAACTGCGGAGTCAAATCACCGCTTCAGTCATTTTTGGAGGACGGCCTCCCCGGATTTCTGCCTCATACATTTAAGACACCTGGCTGCAAGTTGACGTGTTCACTTACGAAACACAGCGGTATTCCTTGCATAACTCCAATGGGTTTCGCAGATATTGGTGTTGCGGCGTCCCATACGAAGAACGGCAAGCATCTAAGGGTCGAACTCTACAAACTCTGTGGTGATGCAAGCAAACCACTCAGTAAGATGTGTAGTATGCTCAACTGTCTATTGCGCAGAACGCCTCAAACGCTTGGCGATATGTTCGGTTTCTACTATAATTTCATATATGAGTGGAACGATAATAAAGACAAGGAACGTAGTAGGCATAAGAAAACAGCGTTCGAAACAGCCGTACAAAATGCTAATTTCAAAGATTCCGGTACCACGCTGGAGATTACTTCCATGTTCAGCAGCAGTAGCCACAGCAACCATACATCTAATAACATTCCCAAGGGTGATCTGTTCAGTCTTGTACAATGTAACAAAGGCAAACACATTCCAGCCCTTCCGTGTGGTGCGTATATGCAGTCTAGTAACGTTGAAATTTTCGGCACATTTTCCGAAAAGCGCGCCGGTAATTACCTTTCATGGGTTACATACATTACCGAGTCGTTCTTATGGTTGCTGTATGATTTGTATGAGTCTTGCAAAAAGTGCGACAAGCCAGGCACCAGATGCTGTGATCGAAGTTGTGACGAGAAATGTAATGTAAAATACACTGATGCCAATGGGAACTCCGCCATTCCATCTACAGACGAACGCCACACTACAGACTGCTCATCCATTGTAATGTGCCCGACTATGCATCCAAACCTGTATAAATATGGCTTATCCTTTGCCAGCCCATATGATCTAAGTGGAGTCGCGGACATAAGAACGCGACGCACATGTAAAGATCTATGTAGAGCGTTGGAAAAAGTAACCGGTGAAAATTGCGTGCTTGTGCAAATTCTTAACAAAATTGACGATTTCCTGAAAGAGATCAGATGGCCCTTCATGTTATTATTGTTAACCCTCTGGTCGCTCTCGCTCCTGTACCTGCTGCACATCGCCGTCGTCCGCCTCGACGTCCTGAGGATTCGCTCCCACCTGAGATCACCCTCAAGCCACCGCATCGCCTCCCAGTCCCTCCTCGCCGCCGCACGCGTCAAGGCACTCGCCAACGTCAAGTACTTCTCACCATAATCGTGCCTTCACGTGTGATCTGTGTATCACTCACTCACCCACCTAATCACCCACTCACATACTCACCTAATCACTCACCCACCTAATCACCCACTCACATACTCACTTACCCACTCACCCACTCACCCACTCACATACTCACTCACCTAATCACCCACTCACCTAATCACTTACCCACTCACATACTCACCCACCTACTCACTCACCGCATAACATAACATATGAGTGAATAGCTACACAGATGTGTAACCTAGTAGCTAACCAAATGTATGACTACCATCCCCCTCGGTTGCTGTCGCTCCCGTGCCTGGCGTATACCTTCGTCTTCCGCATATCCGCCGCACTTATCAACACACTCGCCAAGCTGAGGTGCCTGCAGCCGTAATATGCCACCTCAACCTCACCTACCTAGCTCACCCAGCCACCTAACTTAAAACCTAGCAGATAACGTAGTAGACACGTTTACGTAGCTTGTACTTTCATTCACCATCATGTCTTGCTTCCGCTTCAGGTCTATGAAAAATTATCATCAGAATGTTCAACATCCTACCGTCTGTAACTCCGATTCGTATGATCTCTCATATCCGTATCGCATGTTGTATTCTCTAAAGACATATGAAGGTGTTAATTAAAAAGGTTTATGGAAAGCCAAATCATGTTGTCATGCGTGGAAAATGGAAGTTGGTTAACAGACGGTAAGGCACGAAGCTCGCCTGAATAAGAATGCGACGTGATATTCTTTGGAAACAAGTTCTTTCTGAACGCAGTATAACGGTACAACGTTTAGCTACATGATTTGACATTATACATTGTTGCTTTCACTATGCTTATCTTTGCTAGTGGTGAGAGGTTAACATAACCATCGCCTTCTGCGTCCTTTTTGTTACATTGGGTAAGGAGTTTGCAGTTATGAAGTTATACGGATGAATGTATGGTTCCTGTACTTCCTTGCCCGTTGTGTCGACTTTGAATAGTTGTGTTTGTAACCGTAGGTGCCATCCCACGTCTGCCAATTATTTACGGAAGCTCTGTAGATGTTCCGTATTATAGAACCATACACGATACCCTGTGTATGTATCATACAAGTGGTGCCATGTAGCTTTGTAGAAGTTTTCCGGTGCATACAGACGCCAAAGGCTGGTCATATGGCGTCGCCATGGTAGGTGTAGATCCACGCCAATAGAGAATTTGACAAACATGGTAATAAATGGATAATAGAAACCCGTAGATATCAGTGTATCGGATTGAGTGAGATTGGGCATTTATATTCTGGCTGAATACCGCCGTGAACACGGAATTATTGAGCACAGAGTTAAGAGAAAGCCTTATTACTCTTTTCTCATATTCTCAGGTGATAACTATATCGCCTGAGAATATGTAGATGATTCTATACATACAATGTGCCATGTCTAATAGCAATTGGAGCAGATTAGACCGATAGTCTAGCCACATGATGCCATGGTTAACTCTCTTTCAGCAGCCAATAAATGTTAACGTGACAACTATTATTGCACCATGTTCACGATCATACAGCTTTAAGTGACAACGCAAAACGCCAATAATACCGATCCTCTCGCGTAGTGTCCACATCGGATACTGGCCACCATACACATCAGCCATAAAACGGATCGGTAGTTTCGATATATTAGAAATATATTTTTCCGCTTTTCCAGAGACGAATGTTTGGGATATGATGCGCGCTCACCGGAATCCATCGCACTGCGGTCTCATAGGGCGATGAGGCACGCGAGGTTTATATCGTCGCCAACCCAGACCATTCCTCCTGTGAGTATGAAGCCACCTCTTTTTTAATATATTAATGATAAAAATTGGCAATTAAGCACCCCCATCTCTAGTAGTGGCTACTGAGAGTCGCAAGCAAGTGGCTGTTGTTTTTGATGCAGCTGCTGCGAACCTTCTAGGATTCTTGACTGTAAAGCGGCGTGAATTCATGGTTTCCACATAATTGCAGCATTTTTGTAACACCAATATGGTGTACAGCAGCCTGGTTACCGCCCCTTCCAACATGAAGGAGGCCATCGATTGGATGGCGGCCGTGAAGGCAAGTGGCGGTGCGCAGAGTTTGGCCGAAGCTGTTGCGGAGTTGTTTAAAGTTGGGTCAAAAGGTAAATACGATCTTGGAATCGTTGAGGAGGTTAGGCATCATGTTAAACTCTTCCTGCAGAAGCCCGGGTTGAAAGAACACGCTGCCTCGCGACAGATAATCAAGAAAATTATTGAAACATCCGTGAAATTCATACGTACGCCTCATGATGACAAGCGAAGTAGGGCGAGATTGAGATACAAAATGAGATTGGGCAAGAAGCCGCGTAAGAAAGGATCTAAGGCCGACGAGGAAGACGAAAAGAAATATGAAGTCGCTCCCGACAAGCCGCCAGTGTACGTGATCTCCAACAACTTGACTAGCGTTGAAATTAAGAAGGGCGTTCAAGATTCCGTGGAAAAGTTCGACACGCTTTTGAAAAAGATAAAAAAGGGGCAAAGCTATGTTTCGTCTTACGATACGTCAGCAGAGTGGGAAAAATGCTGCGCACCTGATCCCCTAATTTGTGCCCAGATTTTTGTTGGAATCGCGCCACTGCTGTACGCAACCAGTCGCGTGCTCCGGTACGTCACAACATTCACCGCGGGGGTATATAAGATAGCCGATGAGTCGAGGAAGCTGGGTCAGTTTTTTGGCCTCGTAGGTTACGATGTCGAAAACGACATTAACGCCAGGAAGACTGTAGATATTTTCAGGTTCAACGTAGACTTCATCACCGAGAATTTCGCCATGAGGTTGAATGAGTTGGCCGGATTTGTAAAGATATAGCGAATGTGCGTCTAAGTCAACTGGCACGCGTTCCAAGCCGTTTTTAGGATTATACAACAAGATTGTGTGTATTATGTGAATTGCGCTGTACAACGGTCTTGTAATAGCTGCTGTGGACAAGGTTAAGCATGTAAGCGGCGTGTTTGTAATTCGCTGGTGGCATGCCTTGCCATTCCGTTTCAAACATATGGTGGCACTAGTCGACCTCTTGCAAGGTTGTGTCTCTGATTTGTTTTAATTCGGAATAAATCGCGAAGCGGGGTTTTATCATTGCATTTGGATGATTTCAGACTTCGATTATGCTCGGCGGAACACGCTGCAACCTTTCGGTTTCATCGTGCAGCAGATTCAAACGGGTTGCAAGTTTATATTGGATTTGAATGGGAACATTAAGGTACAGTATGATTGGATAAATACTCGATACCGGTGCCGTGGCACCGATGAGATGATCGTGCGTTCGTGTATATTTTGACGTGGGTTGCTATGCCAATTAAGGAGTGTTATTGACGTTGATGTTTTACTTATTTTCAACTACGAAACATCAATGTAACATCATACGGTCGCGTCGTTGTTCATGCATGGCAACGGTGATGTTTTAGGTAGGCGAGTCGAAAGAGTCGTCACCTGTAGGCAATTGTGAGGCGTGCGAACGTGTCTCCTCCATCGGATACACTTCTGCTGTGCCTAAGTATCTGCGTGAGACTGTATTCTACTTCCAAGTTCTACAAAGGTGACGGTCAGGTGGCAGTACTGAAACGTCGAGGACTCTTCCATGGAAGTTGGGCAGTGGTAGTATTACAGTGACCAATACATTGCATTCAACAAGATCCAATGAACACGGAATGTAGTATTGCAAGCTCTTTGTCAATGCTTTCACATGGTATTTGGGTAAACTGCTGGCTAACACGTAGGTGGTCTAAAAATGGAAAACATTAACCGACTGCGTCGCATGATCTGATGCTGGATTTATGACCGCTATTAATAGCATTTGGAGCGTAAATTTATCCGTATAAAGCGACAACGGTTACACTAACCTATGCCGCCCAACTGTATGATTCATCATTAAGGCAGTGAATGATTCAATCGCACCCAAAAAATGGAGTCCGAGGATGTTGGAGTACACACGTATGACTTATACCGGCGTGAATAAATCTAGTCACGAGCGACAAAAATAAGGGTAAATCCGGCGGCTCAGTATCCCATCTCAAGCTCCTTTCGAAAGTCTACTCTACGGAGGGCAAAGTCCCCAACCACTAAAATAAGTGGTTCATAGACCACCACCCCTGTTTAAGGCAATGCAGTTATTGTCACTTGTATTATAAGAGGTGGCAACCTATGTTATAGAGTGCTGCATATTCTCCCAAAGGGGTAGCGTCATCGTGGAGTGAACTTGAAACAGTTATTCAACAAATGTAGTTTAAACCTAGCACTTCATGGTGGTTGCATGTGTGTTTATGGCATATACATCTTGTATTCTCAGAATCGTACGTCGTGTGCTTATGTTCTACATGTACTGTGGCGTGTTGTGTGTCTCTGCATACTCGTTTGAGCTCCGCAGGAGGGCGCATTTGATCCGACGTGGATGCTCCCCTAGCAGCAGGGGTTTCTGAAATGGCATTGTTCAGCATCTCCCAGTTATGTCAACACCAACTGGAGTGCCAGAGTTGCACTGTAACGTCTCCGCAGGAGTAGCTCCAGTGGCCGCGTCAGACATGACAATAACGTCGGCAGTGATGCGAAAGATTTCAACCTATGGGTCAGCAGAGTCGTCAAGATATACACTAGGTAATTATTTATATTACCTTGTAAACAGGGTTCGGACTGATTATGAAAAGATCCGGAAAATGTGTTGCGAACGCAATGTGTAACCCGTCACCCGCGATCTCTTTCATCGGCGCGCCGGGAAGACAATAGATACATCGATAACAAAATGACAAAATATGAATGCTACTTTGACAGTGCGCTGCACATCATTAAGGGTGCGGCCTGCATCGCCTTCTCCCTGCCAACCGGAAGGACGACCAAGTCGATCAGCAGGAAGGTAAGACGCCGTGTCTAGGTGCCGAAATACAAGGATTCCGGAAGATTATACATAGCGCTTTGTGTTTTGCAGGACTATGTTCATTGACCGTCACTCATTTTGCGCAGAGCACTACCGCAGGGGTCATGACGTTGTGTAGCGTCAAGAGCCAGCCAACGGATTCTCAATATACATTGTTCAACCAATTGATTGCACAAAAGGTAGGCTAACAGCAGGATTCTGTTTTCGACGCGTTCTTATTATTAGCATCTGCACTAATCCAAGTGTTATTTATATTAGAAGCAAACCACCATTACTAATGTGCTGCAGATCAGCGAGAATGGGAAATTCAGGGCCATGCTTATAGACCGTCCGGTGGCTGAAGCGGTATATGGCGACAGTATCTACGACGAGAGGCCAGTCCCGGCCAACGTGAACAAGTGAGTCGCATGCCGTAGTGTGACACGATTACTAGGTTGCGGCTCGTAGCTCTGGAGGAGTGGAACATCAACGCTAGCATGCGCGATGTCGTGAAAACTACGGGTCAAGTTGGCCAAATCGACATCAATAAGCTGACGTACAAGGGCGAGAGTCAGACACTGCTCATCAGCTTCGTTGTACAGCCGGGATCCGAAACGCCGGACATACTCACCGAGACCGAAATCATTACTTCCCCGGCAGAATGCCCTCCCAAGTCCATGGTATTACCACCTGGAGAAGTAGATACGACAAATGACACTTTCATCGAGTTATTCGGCCTGGAACGCAGCTCTAATGCTGCAAAGCCAGCAAACGAAATTGACTATGACAAACTCATTCGCGAATTCGGTTGCGAGAAAATTACCCAGCAGCAGCTAGATCGCATAGAGAAGCTAATAAAAAGACCAGCGCATCCGTATCTCAGGCGGGGACTGTTCTTTTCTCACCGCGGGCTTGACCACCTCCTCGATGCATACGAAAAGGGCATTCCGTTCTTCATATACACCGGCCGTGGTCCGTCGAGCGATACATTGCACTTGGGTCATCTTGTGCCGTTCTTGTTCACGCAGTGGCTGCAAGAGGTCTTCCAGGTGCCAGTGGTGATCATGCTCTCGGACGACGAAAAGTTCCTATTCAGGGAAGAGCTGGAGTACGATAAGGTCAGGGAAATGGCAAAGGAGAATGCACGTGACATCATCGCATGCGGATTCGACCCAAACCTCACGTTTATATACCGTAACACTGACTTCATCGGAGACCTCTACGGCATATCGCTTAAGATGCAGAAGAAAACCACGTTCAACCAAGTGAAAGGCATTTTCGGATTTGGCCTCTCGTCCAACATAGGAAGCATCGCATATCCGGCTATAGAAGGTGCAGCGGCGTTCTGCCAGGCCTACCCTAAGCTCTTTGGCCATCGCACCGACATGTTGTGTCTGGTGCCACAGGGAATCGACCAGGACCCCTTCTTCAGGATGACACGTGATTTAGCGCCTAGACTGGGATTCCTGAAACCCATATCTATCCATTCGAAGTTCATCCCTTCGCTTCTAGGAGTGAATTGCAAAATGAGCTCCAGCGTCGAGGGGTCAGCAATTTTTGTCACCGACAGCCCGGCGATAATCCGCGGCAAGATACACAAATACGCATTTAGCGGTAAGCTGCCGAGTACATCGTGCGCATCAGTTCTTAGGTGGCCGAGACACGGCTGAGGAGCATCGCAGGCTTGGCGCCAACCTTGATGTGGACGTGGCATATCATTACTTGAGATTCTTCCTCGATGACGACGAGGAGCTCAACGATATCGCCACTAAATACAAGGCAGGAGAGATAATGTCATCTGCAGTTAAGGACAAGCTTGTTGATATCGTCTGCAACATAGTGCACAACTACAGGGTGAGCTGCCGACACTACTGAGTGATGCTGTGCAGAGCCGACGGGAGCAAGTTACCGACGACGTATTAGAAATATTTATGGATCCACACCGTGAATGCTTCAAGAAGTTCAGGAAAACGTGAATATTTAGAAAAGAATTCCGAGTCACACGCACATTTTGGCATACCGCATAATAAGCTTAATGTTGATTCTGTGTTCGACGCCAATCATTATACAAACCATAAGAAATGTGATTTGTTGAGTCTCGCCTGCGGAGGTGATTCAGCGATAAACTGCGGTTGATATCGTCAACCTTTTGGCTTCAACATCTGGAGCGTTTTTCGGAAAATAACGCCGACAAACACCTCTCATGGGTAGCTTATTTTACTGAGACATTCTGCAATCTTCTTGATCAATTGTATAATGAATGTTGTCAAACATGCAATAACCCAGGCACCAGATGCTACGAGAAATGCTGTGCTGAGAAATGTCCAGTAAAGGCCGCCTACGTAGCTGAGGAACTGTCAAAGAAACTCTCGATCGCAAAACATACATCGGAATGCCACTCCATTGTGAAATGTCAAAAAACCCATCCGACTCGTTACAAATATGGATTCACATTCGAAAGCCCAAACAAACTCAGCGGAAATGATAGTATTGAGAAGCAACGTTCATGTATAGATTTCTGTGTCGCATTGCAGAACGTAATTGGTGAAGGTTGCATACTGATTGAACTGCGAAAACAGATTGATAAATATCTCTGGGATATAAGAGAAAGGCATTTCTACACTCTCCTCGCCCTCTGGTCGCTGTCGCTCCTCTACCTGCTGCACATCGCCGTCGTCCGCCTCGACGTCCTGAGGATACGCTCCCACCTAAAATCACCTTCAAGCCACCGCATCGCCGCACAGTCCCTACTCGCAGCGGCAAGGGTTGGAAGACTCAGCAAGATAACGTACCTCCAGCCGTGATTGTTCTCATTATCACGGCGCTCACCGCGCCTTCATGTCACTCAATAACACACCTAACTCATCGCCTAACAACTTACCACACAGCAACTCACCGCCTAAACAAATGTATAACCTAACACGTAACGTAATCTATGCGTCGAGGTGTTAGTTGATTAGGCTGTTCTTTCGTGCATTACTCGTGAGTTGTATACGTCATTCGACAGTGGCAGTGTCATGTGAAGCTGGGTAGTTGGCCATCCATACCGTCAGCTGCCTTCTGCTGTGCTAGGTGGGGTTGTTGGTGGTTAGTTAGGTGAGTGCTTGACATATTAGTCATCATCTGAGTTGCTAGACAGTGAACGTCGCCGGAACTCCCGACGTGATAGGCAGTGTACGACTAAGTTAGGTGGCATTTATGTAGAACATTGTGGCCACCTGTATGATGCTTAACACGCACCGTGGCTGAGATAGGCGCTCATTAGGGCAGCTGAAGTGTGCCAAGTATGCAATACGTCTTGCGCCGTAATTCGAGGTGATCAGCGTGCGTGGCGCGCTGCATGTGCGTCGTGGTGTCCCTGGCGCTTGGTCGTATAACGTTCATCGGAGACGGTTTGGCGAAGTTACTCTTCGGCGTTCAAGGTACGTGTTTCATCTCTGCGCAGGCTAATGATGAGTGAGATGCGGCAGAATGGGTGTGCTGAAGTGTTTGGATTGTGGTGATAAATGTAGAGAATTTAACTGTAGCTGCTGCCCCTGTTGTGAGAAATGTTCAACTTGCGTTAGATGTTCCATTGGTGGGAATGAACTCAGACAGATTTCTGATTGTAACACTGAGAACTGTAAGACCAAATGTAAAACTTCGTCCACGTGCAGTTGTACATGTTGTAAAAAGAACGGTATCTTTCCTGCCACCCGTGCCGCTGCTTCCGGCAGTGACGACAGTTCTACCACTGGTGTTGCCACTTCCGTCATCGTCATCATTGCCATCATCCTCACCGCCGTATGCGCCATGAGCGTCTTTCGCATTCGGCCATTCCACAAGGTCCGCGATTGTTTCACCCGCAAGTGAACGTTTTTATCGCATTCTTTAATTACTCCCGGCATTTAATATAATCGCACTTATCGCACCGTTTTAGACAGTAGTGGCACATTACAAACGCAATAACGTCCTAATGTGTCAAAATCGTGAACAGTCAGGTGCCTGGTGACACGTTCACGAATTACATCGTAGCAACACATCAGATGCGCGTTAGTTAGAAGAATAGGATTAGCACAGGTCGATGTAGTATCCGCTCGCACCTCCTCACCACCAGGGCCTCACACCTCATCGACGTCAAGGCGCTGCTCGCCGGAAGCCGCAGGATGCTCTCACTCTACAAGGACGTCGACTACTTCGACGACGACTTTCACTCATGACAGTAATTATCGTAGCTACATTTACGTTTACATTCATCTCTTTGTGTTGTCATCTCATGTCTCTCATCGTGACTGTGTCTCGTGCCTTGCATAGCACCTGACTCAGTGACTAACCTAACGTCTCACCTACCATCTAACCTATATTTTATTTGATGCCCTGAGTTGCCCTTTGCTTGCGACGTTGGTCATCCACCTCAGCAGCTGATTGCCGTCGTCCCAGGTCTGGCGGTGGATCATGATGGCATCAGGTGGCAGTGATTTGTGATCACATTGTTGCAATTAACACCGCAAATGACACTCTTCTTCATCATGTTACCAACTTGAACACTTGGATCACCGACGCCGAGAAAATCCGTGCTGCGGCTGAGCAAAAGGCCAAAGAAGCCTACGACAAGTTGAAGGTTAATGAGGCTTTGGACAAAAATGTTAAGTTAATTGTGGGGGCTAAAGACAAAATTAACGAAGTTCATGGGAATCTGGGAAAGGTTCATGGAACTTTGGGAGAGTGGAATAAGCAGGCCAGCACAGTGCTTGAAGAGGCGATTAGGCAGGCGGAGGATGTGTATTACAAGTTGGATGAGAAGAGTACAAAGGAGGTAATTGGTCTGAAACTTGGTGAAATTGAGACTGCTAAAGGAAAAATTGAGCAAGGGAATTCAGAACTTAAAAATGAAGTTGACAATTTAGGTCAGTGGAAGACTGCGGCCGGTGAAGTTATTGACAAGGCCAACGGGAAGTGTGAGGAGATACTTAAGAAAGTTGGAAAAGATAAACCTGAAGGTAAAATTTTCCTGCAAGCTGAAGAGTTGAAAAAGAAAGGTATTGAGCTTTTTACTGCAGCTCAGAGTGCTAAGAGCCTTGTTGAGCAGAAAGTCACTAAGGCGTTGGAGGCTGTTGTGGAAATGGATGCATCGCTTAAGAAGGATTTGAAGAGTGTGAAGGAGGAGATTAAGAGAGGGATTAAAGAGGTTATTACGGAGTTGGAAGTTGAGAAATTGGATGAGAAAGTGAGAGATGATTTGACAACGTTGAAGGAGAATATTGAAAAGCTCACCGAAGATGATAATGCTACTAAGAGTCTGGTAAATGGGCAGTTGGAGGTGCTGAAAAGAGAGAAGAGTACGTTGGATTTGACTACTAGCAAGGAACATGGTTCAATTCAGCGAGCGGTGAATGGCCTTGACAGTAATTTTGATAATCATATCCAAACTCCGCTTAGCCAGAAAGTCGGTGAAGTTGACAAGGCGATTGAGGGGCTTGGCGGGACGTTTGATGGGCTCAGCGGGGAAAATGCAAAAAAGTTGGAAAAGATTCTCGATCATATTAAAGGGGAAGTTGAAAAGATTAAGGGGCAGGCGGGAGAAAATAATTGGCATAACTCCGGTGGCTCCGGCCTCGAGGGGATTAAGAGCAAGGTGCAGGATTATTTCAATGCGTTCAGCGGGAGTGGGCAGTTTGACAAAATTGTGAATGGTTGGTTGCAAGGCATTTTGGGCAAGCAAGGACAGAGGGTTGTGGAGTGGTTTAAGGAGTGGACTGATGACCATGTCAATGATGTCCGGCCGACCGGAAAAAGGGTGCTGGGCAATGATATCACATTTGACAAAATCATCGACCATCTTAAGAAACAGCTTCACGGCGAAGCCAAAGCAGCCGGTGGAGTGGTTGAACAAGGCAAAAGCACCGATAACATCACTGCGAACATTGAGGCTGTGAAAAAAGGCTGCGAGAAATTTGTCGAGAGCATTGATGAGAAACTTAAGAAGCAGCAAATTAGTACACTTCTTCAAGCCGTGAAGAAAGAGGTTGTCGGCAAGATTGTTAAGTTGAAAAAAGGCAAAGATGAAGATATCGATGAAGTCCTGAAAACAATCCTTGTTGCCCTGCGCTCCACGTCCAATCAGGTATCCGAGGAGCTGAATTCTGTGTTTCTCAACATAACCGATGACGGAGATCCCAGCCCCGGAAGCATCGCATCCATCCTGGACACTATCACGCCGATTGCTACTGATCTCAATAATAAGCTTACCCAGGCGACTGAGAAGTCCGGGTCACCTCCCGTCTCCGGCCAACCAGAAAGCCCCGCCCAAGCCGTGGACAGTAAGTTGGGGGAAGTGAAGGAGCGAAAGAGGGCGATGAAGGAGGAAGATGGGTTGAGATAAGGCGATTTTAGGAGTGGAAGGAGAAAGGTGGAAAATAAGGATTTCGGGTGAAGGACGCCGACGGAGGTGAGTGAAGGGGTGATGAGGCAGGGAGCGAAGCGACCAGTGAAAGAGGGAGGTGAGTGAGATTACATTAGCGGTGAGTTAGGTGAGTGAGTGAGGCATACATTAGCGGTGAGTGAGGTGAGTAGGTGAGCGCCGTGGTAATAGTGATGATGACAACAATCACGGTGAGAAGTACTTGACGTTGGCGAGTGCCTTGGCGCGTGCGGCGGCGAGGAGCGACTGGGCGGCGATGCGGTGCGACGAGGGCGAGCGCAGGTGGGAGCGGATGCGGACACTACATTGAACAGTGTTCATTTTGTTCTTTAACTGATGCGCTGCTACGATCTAACCCGTGAACGCGTTCACGTGGTACGTGCCGATGCAAGATTTCGAAACATTATATAACACGTTATGATGGCATTGTGCCGATAATGTCTAAAACGGTGCGATTAGTGCGATTATGATCGACATCGGAAGTGACTAAAGAATGCGATACAAAACGTTTACTTGCGAACGAAACAATCGTGGACCCTGTGGAACGGACGAATGCGAAAGACGATCATAACGCATACGACTATGAGGATGGAAATGAAGATGATGGAAGCAGCTATATCGGTTGAAGAATTGCTACTGGTGGAAGGTGCGAAACTGCTTTCAAGCTGCCCACTCTCACAACATGGACATTCACAAGGATCTTGTCTGCTTTTACATGCTATCTCACAGTTCTCAGGTGTACATTTTAATAATTCTGTGCGGTAACCACCAAATCTAGATGAACATTGTGAGCAGCTTCCACCGCTACATTTCTCACAACACGAGAGACAGCATATACACGTACTATTACAATTAGAGCTTGTCTTACACTCACACCCTTGTGTCACCATCTTCCCCTAGCAGCTCTATCATCAACCTGCAGAGGCATGAAGCACCTACCTTTGGCTCTGAACCGCCAAGCCGTCCCGGATAAACGCCACGCAACCCACCTCCAGGGATACCACAATGTACATGCAGCGCGCCACGCACGCTGATCACCTCGAATTACGGCGCAAGACGTATTGCATACTTGGCACACTTCAGCTGCCCTAATGAGCGCCTATCTCAGCCACGGTGCGTGTTAAGCATCATACAGGTGGCCACAATGTTCTACATAAATGCCACCTAACTTAGTCGTACACTGCCTATCACGTCGGGAGTTCCGGCGACGTTCACTGTCTAGCAACTCAGATGATGACTAATATGTCAAGCACTCACCTAACTAACCACCAACAACCCCACCTAGCACAGCAATCATTAGCTGCAAACCATCCAGCTTCACATTACACTGAGCATTAGAGGACGGACACGTCCCACGCGTAATCAACGTACCAAACAGCGAGCATACCGACGCACCGAGTATATCATGGGTTAGGATTTGGGCCGTACACTCGATTAGGTAAGTTGCTGTGTGGTGAGTTAGTTGTGAGCGTGTTATTGATTGACCTGAAGGCGCGGCAATTCAACCAGCACACAACGTTCAGGGCAATCCCCTACGTTATGACGTGGGAGGGGATAGTGACAAATAAACACACCAAGTACAGGCGGGACCTGGGCATATCGGATCGCCTAGAAGCCCATATACAACGGGTAGTGATCCAAGAAACACAAAAGCTAGTGTTGAGGGACATGAAACCCAGAGAAGATTATGACTCTGTGAATGACCCTCTCGCCCAAACAGGATGGATGCCACAATGGATGGTACCTGTAGTGTACGACAATTCGACATGGATCCCGCAACCGACACCAGCAGCCTAAGGCGCTTGCCTGGTAAACACGAAAATCGGCCCTAAGCCACGTAGCCACATAGCGCACTAAATAAAACCAAAACAAAGATAAACACGGAAACACCCTGCCTACTTAAAATTTACATTATCAAAGAGTAGAGGTAATCGTATGGCGCAATAATATCAAACTTATTATGTGCCTACGTTGCATTTCATATGGCGGGATGCAGGAAGAATCTACATTAGCAAGTGCCAGGTAGCGGGATATGCACATATGAAACGCTTCCGCAATGGAAGGACGCTGTCGTGAAACAAACCACCACACTGTATCCGCACCGCAGTATGTGAGGTGATACTCTGAGCAACCTTGTTTCGTCTTTCAGGAGATAGTAATCGTGTTAAAATACGTGCGACTCAGCCCAGGGACCTAGTAGGCACGGGGTAACATACCCCTCTAAGAAAAGTGTTGCTGACTTATAAATATACACCAAGGCGTTTTGTTGTCGTGTAGATTTAATCATCGTTCTTATACACGTCTTGATTTAATATATGTCATTCTGTTTTTTGCGTTTTGGTGTTTTACCTCGCAAAATTTCACCGTTTTAACTTAATAGGTAACTGTACAAGGTGCGTTGTGAAGGATGCCTTCGATGTCATATACCGGAGTATAACGGCGCGGGTTCCCACCTTTCACATTGGCGGATGTATGCTTCATGTGTACAACAAAAAACAATCTAACAAGCGGCAAATTATTCAGTATTAATTGTATATAGAAATGACACATCATTAGACAGACAGTTTACCGTACATTTGTGCCCCTAAGTATGTTGTGTCTAAGGGCGCTCCTTTGTCGGCTCCGCTCTACGGTGTAGTTCACACACCGACACTAATTGTGCGGGAATCTTACACAGTACAGTCAGTAACCATGGAAACCGCGCCAAAGGGCCTGGTAGTATATCGCAAAAAAGAGTTGACCGATGACGGCTTTTACAGCGTCGCTCGCAAACCCTCAAAAAAGGAAGCCAAGGTCGAAGGTGCCAAACAAAAGGGAGCCGACAAAACCGACGTAGCCAAAGGTAGGAGTATTTTTTGCTAAATGTGTATTAGATTCCAGAGCGGAAGGCATGCGGTTGCGGCGGGAGCTGGCACAAGTGCTTCAGCAACTGTATGGGATGCGGACGCATCCTCTGCGTCAATGAAGGCGAAGGCCCATGTTTTCACTGCGGAACCCACGTATTCTCTGCATCTGAGCTCCACAAAGTCCCCAAGGAGCACGCTGAAGATCCTGAATTCCAGCAGGGTGAGCTCAGCAGTTCACTTAATCATCGTTTGCAGCTATGGAATTGCGCAAAAGGTTATTAGCTCTCGACTCTGATTACTCAAATGAAGCTCTGAAGGTACACGACTTGCACACCGACTGGTTCCGCGAAGCCAACAGCGTCTACAACGAGAACGCTGCATATGCATTGGAGCAGTATTACAAAGAGGAGGCCGCGAAACGCGAAGAAGCTGGTACGTAGTAGCTATTACACCTTGTATAACTAACTCTATGCAGAAATACGACGTTATGACCTCGACCTCGGTTCCGGCACAATCGCAAGTGCGGCACCTCGCAAGAAGTAAAGCGCCGCCCGCCGGTGATGAATGTCCAACATCGCAACACTATATATTATACTACACACCACAATGTGTACACGTTTTCTGTATACAACTATGTGTTGACCATTTTAGTGTGTCTAATCAGCCTTCTATCGCAAAACATGAAAAGACATTGGGAAAACAACATCACTTGGCAAAAGAAAAGGCACCGCTTTGCATATCACGTTATTTTATGCGCTATATGTCCAGGCAACAGTGCATCTGCATGAAACAAAGTTGGATCTCCACATCAATGTAGACGCGGAGGCGCCATTCTCATGTATAAATACACGCACAAACATTTGGAGAAACATTGCTATTATTTTAGATCGTGGTTGCAGTATATACCTGTTCCTACTGAAGGAAATAGTAACTCCTATCCACAGCTGGTGGTAGGCCATCTATGCGGCAACACGTGTTTACACATTCCGGTGGAAGGGCCCTTAGACATCCGCAACAATATTAACTAGGGGATATGGGTGATAATATACCGCAGATTCTCGAGAACGAGGGTGTAGTACGCACCGTTCTGTCGGAGAATCTGGGTTACCCGTGCGATCCATTTATTCCAAACTACGAACTTCTGGACGATGCAAGATGTTGGGAAGACATCGAACGCGAATTCCAGAAGGACACTTCTGCCAGTGACGAGCTATTCGAGATTCGGTCTGACCGCACAGGTGTGTCCATTAGTGATTCCGCATGACAGTTGCAGATCGCCAGCTTTCGTTCTACCTATCGCATCTCATAGCAAATGGCGAGCATAGTTCTCGAGGGGTATACCTAACATCTCTTGCTATAAAACACAACCCTGCAAACTACACCGCATGGGCATATCGCATGGACTGCGCTGAAAAGCTGCAGTTGTCTCTGACTGACGAAATGGGTATGTATTCAATCAGTAAACTTATACAACCCAGATTTCACAAGAAAGATTGCATACGAGTCGCCAAAATCGTACCAGGTATGTCTGATTACCACCGATGTATATACTGCAGGCTTGGCAATACCGGCGGCGCCTGTGCGAGATGCATGATGACCCGTATAACGAACCCGAGTATGTCAAACTGGAAATAGCCTCATGGCCGAAGAACCATTGTGCATGGTCTCACATGTAAATTGCGCTTAGTATAACATAACATATTCACAGGACATGGCTGATGACTCGTTTCGATATGAATCGGGATAGGCTACACAAGGAGCTCGAGTTCGTGGCATTCCTGTTGGACAGTGACGTCTACAACAATACCGCATGGGTTTACAAAGCCTTTTTACTTGAACACTATGGACATATGTTGGAGGATGCGATGCATCTACAAGGTTATGTATCTGACCTTCGGCGGATGCTGGCGTCGCCGTGGAACGAGAGTCTATCGCAGTATTTGGCGGCGGCATCATCAAAGATAGATGGCAAGCAGACGGGATGCTTGCGTCTGGATTCTTGTATTCAGGGCTGTAGGTCCACCTATTTGAATTATAAGCATTTTAGGCGTTGGCGGCCTTGCAACGTGCACCGTTGCGGCTATTGAAGCATGCACAGATATAACCCCGGCACTTCTTATACTGAAACGCGAGATATGTGGCGAAAAGGAGCATTCAACACACGTATGTTGGCATATGCTGACACCCATAATGACGTAGGCGGAGGAGATGCTGAGCCTGTGTGACCCACTTAGGACATGAGCAGCAGAATAACATGAAAGCGGTTCCAGTAACTATCACAATATTGTGACTGTGCGCCTTTGCAGCCATTTCTTGGATTGGTTCCGTGCGCACTAGAGGAACAATCACCGTGTGCGTTGGAAGTCGAACTGCGATGCATATGTTGATAATGTTCCTTTAACCCTGTGTATGTTGTCAAATGACAGACATGACACTTTGATTTATATTCAAGAGTTGCAAAATGTTCTAAACGTATTTCATTGTAGCGTTATTATTCGCATACACTCAAATATTATGGGCCTGTCCAAATTAAAAGCCGTGCAGATGTGGGTTGTGTTATGTCCAGAGAGCGTATAAGCATACTAGTTGGCTCAATGTATGTAGCCGAACTACAGGACGGTAATCGACAGCGAATGTCGTCAACAGGCAAGCGTGCAAGGTGCAAAAACGCGTATCATCTGGAGCCAAGTGCCCGAGATTACCACATCTGTGATATATGCAGTGCGTTATTCTGCTTTTCTTACAATCCACTCTGATAACGCTAATTCCAACGTGTCTAATGTTCGCGTTTCGTAACTAGAGGAAGTAAGTAAATTGATACTGCGGCGTAACTCAGGTAGTAGAGCTACATCTTACCCAATTATCGATTATTGAAGTGGTGGCTAGGATGCGCTAAGAATATGTTGTAGAAGTTTTATGCACGGTATTTGCAGAGTCCCGAAGCGGAATCATGGCATGGTGATGAATGAAAGTACAGCGGTACGTAAACGTGTCCAATACGTTATCTGCTAGGTTTTAAGTTAGGTGTGGCTGTGTGAGCTAGTTGGTGCTAAGATGGCGAGTTGCAGTATCACGCCTGCAGGTACGTTAGCTTGCTGGGTTTTCCAACGTGTGCGGCGATCCTGTGCGACGCCGGCAGCCTGAGGTGCGAGAGGATGTGGGTACTACTTTGAGCTGTCAATCCCGTCGTTTTAACTAATGCGCCAATACGATGTAACTGATGAACGAGTTCACCGGGCGCCCGAATCTCCAATATGATGAAACATTAAATAAAATATCGTTACGTTGGCATCGTGCCGTTACTGTCTATAACTGTGCGATAAGTGCGATTATGATCGACATCGGAAGTGACTAAAGAATGCGATAAATGACGTTCACTTGCGGACGAAACAATCTCGGACCTTGTGGAACGGCCGAATGCGTTTCATGATCATGATGCAGACGGCGATGAGGATGATTGCGATGAGTGGAATGATAACAATGCTTATACATTTAGTTCTACAACATGTACAGTCACAGTTCCACAACCCGTTTTCTTCACAATTCGAACAGTAAGAATGATCGTGCCTCCTCGAATCTTCGCATCCAGTGCAGTTAAAGCTGGGAACACATCCCTTACAACACCATGGACAACATCTACAAGGGCTTCCATTACACACTCCGCCCCTATTACGACAATAACACTGCAGCCCCATCTTCCCCCAGCACACTTATTAAGCTGGGCAATCATGAACCACGTACCTTGAGCTCCGAACAGTGAAACCGCCAAGCAGCCGCCACGCTACCACTGCCAAGGATACTACGATCGCGCGCTTAGCACCACGGAGATACAGCGCCCAGCGGGGTCACCTAGACTGCGTATATTACCCCACATTTAGTCGCCTAATGTCTTGGAGGTTTTCAAGTCCCGCATTAATGACTGCGGCTTTTATATCCATTGTAGATGGTGAAAGTCTCAAAATGCCACAGGACCCATTCCTGTTACCAACCTCCCACCTGGTATGATGACTGTGCCATCCACCGATGGGCAGCTGTTTTCAGTTGATCACCTAAGCATCTAAATTTCGATATCAATTTACTTCTGCGCGTCACGTTTCCCACCTAGTCGTGATGTTAGCATATAACAACGCAATCTGACGTTACGCCTCACACCACAACCCGATGAGGTTTTACTCATTATTGATCTGCGTGGTGCCTAACGTGATCTGTTCGCTTTTGGCATAAACCACACTTCCGATATCGTACTTTCTTCTAGGATATTTAACATCCCATTAAGAGCTATTCTATTCTTTCCCCTTGCCCATCCCATCAAGCTGTGGGCTATGTGTCTGAATCCGACGAGCACCAAAAAATGTCATTTGGGAATCTTCAATGAGATTCCCTACAGCCTTGCAATTAATATTATTATGTGATCTGTAATCGTATAAGGGATATATAAAGGCATATGTATATGCCCACCCACCAATTGGCTAACGTGGCCACAAGGTGTCGCCGAGGTCGATTACCAGCACTAGTGAAATATGTGAAGGTCACTGGTAGGCATCACGTAATATCCATTCTTGCGCGTTAAAGGCATTGCCAATGCTCTAACGTATGAGGATCAATGAAGGTGCTCCCATTACAACTTCCTCAATCCTACCCTACAGGAAGCGCAAGAAAGATGTGCCCAGTGTTAACTACATTTCACTGCCATCATTACACCTCTTACTTCATACATATGCAATACACAACCATAATTACAACAGAATAAGGTATCGAGTTGACACTCACAATATGCTTTCGACAACCCAACCCGTGCTATCACTGAAATACCCGAGTCAACAGGTTATCAGCAACATAAACAATGAAATACTTAAATTAGTTTCCGCAGTTAAACGACAAGTTACCACATGCGAGCTACTCAGTACTTTGAGTAGTAATTCTCGATCTGGATGGTGGAGAGAACGATGCCCTTGGCGGTGACGCAGCGGCACTCCAACGGAGGCGTCTGGCGCAGGGTCTCACCTAATACGACTCGGGAACGATCGAATCTCAGTATGACGAAATGGCTGGATCGCGACGCTACCAGCGACTTGCTTAGGTCGCTGGGTTTTCTTCCTCTACCTTTGTCGGGTATGCTGAGCAGTAGCGAATTGATCTCCTCGGCAGCCCGCCTGGCGTAGGCGGTGAGCGCCGCTAGTACGGCTTCGACAGTATGGATGAGATGCGTTCTGTCCGGGCGGGAGCCATAGTTGCTAACGTGACTATAAACCATTCCGACTAATCCAGTGACGAACTCATTTTTACCACCGTCTATAATTTTTCTATCAAGCACGTCGGCGTATTTCTCTATCAATCTCTTAAGAGACATCAAACCATCCGCAAGCTTGCCAGTGGTTGCGCCGGTAAAGGTGGAGTCTGTCTTAGCTTGATTGTAAACGCCGGCAACCTTAAGCTTTTCCTTAGTCTGTTCCCTAAATGCATCGTGTAATTTGGGGGTCTCCGCTACTAGTAATACGTTTCATCCAATAGCCCACCACGCCATTACACGTCAGAATCTTGTCAAGCCAACCATGAACCGTCCCGGTACCAGCCATTTCTTTCCTCATATTTTCCCCAACACCCGTGACGTACGCCTTAAACCTGGCGACGATTCCATCTATACCTTTTATTCTGCCTTTCTGACCATTCCCCTTAATTTCCCCAACCTTACTTTTAATATGCCCGAAAATCTTTTCAAAATTATTCAGATCGCCGCTTACACCAAACTTCTCGCCAAGCGTCCCAATCGCCTGGGTAACTTCTTTGAGTTTAGTGTCAAGCGACCCTTGGATCATAGTCTTAAACTTACCTTCAAGTCCCTTCGTCTGCTCCACGATTGAAGTGCCACCGTTATGAGTAATTTTATCCAGCATATCATATTGATCTTTAAGGTCCTTTAACTGCTTACCAACAATCCCAGTACCTTTGCCGTCCACATTACTACTCTCAACTTGCTCTCTAAGTTTCGTAATCTTATCCTTCAACAACTTCAAATCGCTCTTCACCAATGCATCCAACTTCAAAACATTCATATTCGTAAGAACACTACCAATCTCTGTCTTAATCTTTTTCTTCACTGTCCTTAAGTCCACCTTAAGATCTCTGTCCATTGCCACAACAACCGCTAACGCAACCTTGACATCCTGCTCAACAGCCTTACTAACCTAGTCCCCCTGAACGCAACCTACTACCTGACCTGGTGCAGTGGCTGCTTCAAAATGCTTGCTGTTTGTTACGTTGCATGGTTGGTTACTCGTGATACGTGTCTATGTTCTCCCATCTTGTCAGTGTTATGTGAAGCTGGTGGTTGGCCATCCACATCACAAGCGTACTAATGCCGTGATAGGTAAGACAGTTGGCCGTCTGTTACATGAGTGGTTGACATGCCAGTTATTGGTTGGGTGGCTAGGCAATGAATGTCGCCGGAAATCCTGACGTGATGGCCAGTGGACGGCCTGGATGAGTGACATTTATGGCCACATTGCTGGGATCACAAACATGGTAAATACGTACCGTAACTCAGCTAGACGCTCATTAGCGCGCCTATGCAGTGGCAAGTGTACAACAGGTATTCTGCCACTAAATTGAAGTGAAGAGCTTGTGTCGTGCCTGCATGTCCATTGTGGTATCCCTGGCGGTGGGTGGTATAACGCTCATCGGAGGGTTGGAGGATCTACGGTTCGAACGCAAGGTACGTCTTTCATAGCTACGCAGGTTAATGGCAGCGGAGATACGGGAAGATGTCGGAAGCGGGGTGTAATTGTGGTAAAAAGGGCGGAACGTGTAATGTACGTTGCACGTGCTGTCGCCATTGTTGCACATATTGTCAGGGCAATGAGTGCAGAGCGTGCGAAGATGCCAGAACAAGTGAAAGCAGACAGAGCGAAAAACCCAGTGATGTGTGTTGTGCGAATTGTGTATATAATGATCCCTGTGATTGTACATGTTGCACACGTAAACGTATATGTCTTCCCGTCGGCCTTACTGCTTCCATCATCTTCATTTCCATCCTCATAGTCGTATGCGTTATGATCATTAAACGCATTCGACCGTTGCACAGGGTCCGAGATTGTATCGTTCGGAAGTGAACGTTAAGTATCGCATTCTTTAATTACTCCCGGCATTTAATATAATCGCACTTATCGCACAGCCTTAGACATTTTCGGCGCGGCGCCATCATAACGTGTTATATAATGTTTCGAAATCTTGCATCGGCACGTACCACGTGAACGCGTTCACGGGTTAGATCGTAGCAGCGCATCAGTTGCGCATAGGTTAACATAACGGGATTGCGACTTCTCAATGTAGTATCCGCATCCGCTAGCACCTGATCTATGTCACACCATTGCTCACAAGAGGCTGAAAAATGCATTCCCTCTACTACGTCGAATACTTCGACGACCCTATGGGCCAACTTGGTGTCTCAGTAATTATTGCATTAGTGTGGTCATTTGTTACCATGTGATATGGCGTATGGTCATGCGATTAGCTGTGTAGGTGGATGATGTTCAGTACCGTGACTCCCCGCAGGTTCACCCAGCTGGAGCTCTTCTCCCCGTGAAGACACCATGATCAATCACAAGTATTCTAGCTGGATCACCTATCTTGAAACCTAGCAGACAGTGTAGTTTGTGTAATCGGTTTAAATGTATAGAGTCCAGCAGGTCATGATTGTATCGGTGTTCCGGAAATATGATACAACATGCTACTAGCGAATGCAAGCATCTATTACAATAATCTCTGAGTCTTGATCTGCCTGCATAGGGTTTTCGTAGTCATGGAATGTTCAATTTTAACCAGCCGACGTCCTCAGCTCCATAATACCGCCTACAACCGCAAGGTGAGAACCACCATGACCCTATCACAATGTGCAATATTGCTTTCATCATGGTCGTACCATTGAGATTTATACCATTGAGAGTATATTTCCAGACGTATATATTTCCAAATGTAATGTTTATTGTTACATGGCGCCATGTTCTATTATCAACGCATGCACTGAGAATCTCATGTATTTGGAATGGGTATAGACCTAAAGGCTACCACTACTTTTCCAGCTAACGGAAACCACGCAAAAAATGCAACCCAAGTATACGGGTAACCTTCAGCTAGAGAAGTTTATATTTGCTTTGGAGAAGTCCAGCTCGGGGTGAGCCTTTTTGAACCTCTCCAGAGCCTCGAACTGCGATGCCTGTGCACTCGTTGGCAGACCTGCGGCCTTTTGGCGCTGGTCAAACATCATCTTCTCCACGGTCTGCCGGGTCTCAGGGTCTAGGTCACCTAGCTTGGAATTCTCCGGCACGATTTTCTTCACATCAATCTCTGGGTGCCCTTTAATTACGCACGGCCACCATTGAATCTGGTTGAGCTTTTCCAGAGTTATTTGCAGGGTCTTCCCGTCGACCAACGTCCAGAAACAGTCGTCACTTCTAACAGTCTCATGCAAATCCCCACCGAACAGCACTGAGCCGTTCAGATGGGCGGTCATCCTATTCGGAGAAATATCGACCTTGATGTTGCGGCTCTTAGTGCCGGCAGGGACGGGTGCGGAGACTTCGACGCCCGCCAGTGTCTGAGTCCAGACATACCTGAGAATCGATTAACCCAGACAAATATGTGGAATGATACAAGTAGAATGCTAACATACCATTCGGTGGTTCCACCGTTGCCAGGTGGAGGAGAGTCGTCAGTCTCCCCCTCGGAGTGCTCTTCAACCTCCTCCGGGGGCTCCGCATTCCGGGAGATCTCTATAACAGAGTCGGGGTCGCCAGAGGTGACATCTATGACTGAATTATCCGCTTGCACTACGGGTTTGGCAGCTTCCTTTTGACGCTTCGACTCTGCTTCTCTGCGTTTGGCCTCTATTGCCGCTGCGCCAGCCTGGCGGCAACGTTGCGAAACCAGTTTCACGCAGTACTCTAAATGAAGATTGGGATCATCTCCGCCAGGTGGAGTGTAGAAGTCGGTGCGGCGTCCCAGGAAGGAGAAGAATGTGTCCAGCAGCCCGTCGATACCGGAGCACTTCTCCGTAAGCATCAACAGAACGTTGTCAGCCATTGCGTCGGAGCTCGCCATTGTTGTTCGGTGAATATGTTATTTAATTTAGTACAATGTGTACGAGTAGAAGGCCATGGAATCAAGCGAATCTGTGGTATATTGTGGCGTCAGGCATCTGGTGCTCCACAACATTAAGCTTAATATAACAAAAGACACCGGAGAATAACAAATATTGAAACTTCATGTTGCGATATAGATACCATTTGACCTCATGGCGCATATTGCGCGTGATTACATGAGCTTGTAGTAGCAATCGCCCAGCGCTGCCGAGTCGCGCAGTCGGAGCAGGATGTCGAGCCAACGGCTGTTAGAAGGGTTCTTGAGCAGTGAAACCGTACCATGTATGGTATCTGCGCCAATGTGTATGAATATCAATGACTACCTTACCAGTCAGTCTTACGGGGGAGTCGTTGTGATCCTGCATATAAGTGATAAACTGCCATGATGACCTACCACAAGATGCAGTAACACCTGTTTCCAATGCGTAGTTGTCTGGTCTGGTCGAGTGGACATAATAACAACCACACCGCCTTCCTCCTCAGAACCAGCGTAGTCCGGGGACACGCTATACGCCCTTGCCCTGTCGGCGCCGGGGAGGGACTCCCGATACGAATCCAGCCCGCCGAAAATCTTAGACTTGAGGTTTAGAACAGCAGGAATACCCTCATCAGCGGTATAATGAGGCTCAAAAATGCAGTCAAAGTAGAGGACTAGGGAGGAGCACGTTTTCCCCTCATGCACTTTCACCTGCGCACTGTCAATTAGCGATTGCATCGGCCCACCTCGAACTCGTGAGCAGTACAGAGTTCAGACGGCTTGACACGCTTTAGATCCATGATGCATATGCCACTTGCGTCGCTGACTATACAAGACGGGTCCGCTGCCTCCACAGCTGGCATCTTGAGCAGTTCCGCGGCCTCATAGCGCAAGCCGCTTAATACAAGGCCGTATTTGGGTTCGTCCCACTCCCGCATCTTTTCCTTCAGCTGGTCGTGCATATCAATGGCAAAAAACTGCATGTGTTGATTGAGTACTTCTGCTGACCCACCCCTAATTTGACCTTGCTAGGCGCCATAATGCCGTCCTCCTTAAGGTACTTGTCACGCGCAAACAAAACCGAAGGCAACATGTTCTCATAGAGCAACCCGTATCCCATCCACTCCGATATCAAAATGTCGCATTTGAACGGCTCGTGTGGCACGTTGGAGTTGGCGTCAAGTTTGAAGCACAGAGTCCCATCCACGAATGCCAGATCGGAGTCCTCAACCTTGCCATGCAAAAAGCGGACGTTGGCCAGGTTGTTCACACGTGCATGCTCCGTTGACATGTTAACGAGGTTCTCACAATTGTCGATCCCGACAACCTGCGATACGTTACATCTCAACAGACATCCGCACGTACCAGCTTGGCGCCATGCTTCGCGGCGAGGAGTGAGAGTATGCCTGAGCCGCAACCGACATCAAGCACCACTTTATCCTTGAATAGCGACTTGTTGAGCCGAATGAACGCCTCGTACGCCCCAGTGCGGACCTTGTCTTGCACCATCTCCCTGTGGATTCCTAGGCCCTTATAGCACTTGAAGTACTCCTCATCTGAAAGACGGTTACCGTTACAGCCAAATGATCTCACCTTCTGTAGAACGCTTTTTGATAGCTTGTTCGGTCTTAGTGACCTCCTGGCTGAGGTGCTTGGACAGCAGACCCTCATCGCCCTCTTCATCGCTGGATTCCATGAAGTCCCAGAGCAACTTCTCGTTGTCAAACGGTGGCCTGATGAACTCCTCCAGACGGTTCAGCACGATCGAAGGGTCGGACCGTATGCGCTGGTAGCACCCAAGCACGTCGGCCCCTTTAGCCTTCTCACGTTGCAGGTAGGTAACGAGAGCTACACGGTGGAGGGCACCCTTGCCCAGAATCCTGTGGTCGAAACCGAACTTTGTAGCCATGTGGCGGTACACCTGGGCGGCGAATGGCGAGGAGAAGTCGTCGAAAAGGCTCCGCGCAACGCCCTCGCCTTCCCAGGTCTCCTCGAGCTCAGAGCCGGAGGAGCAAGAGTCGCTAGAATCCATCGAGCTCATAGTGCTATATGTTTGGAATTAAAATTACAAATTTCTACGCGCATGGAAACGAGAGGAAGGCGCCAATTGTGGGACTGATGCAGCAATGGCGCCGGAGTAGACACGGCAGTGTCGATCTCGCAGAAGGTAGAAAAATGTTATATTGAGCCTTCCTCGTACTACTAAAAAATTTGTAGTTGATTGAGTGGTGCTACAACGGTTATCCTGTGTCTATTGGCGAAGCAGAGTGTGCCATCGCTAAAGGCTGATATAAAAAAACATGCTTTTAACACGGACATACAAATTTGCCTTAATAAAATCACGTTGCATAAAGACGCCTATATTGTTCACAGTTCTAGCCGTACGCGTACACATTTTAGGTCAACTAATCATATGTGCCAGTGCGTCGTTGTATTGGTAAACCACCGGATAGACAACAGTACAGGGTACACACTCGCGCTAGATATCATACAACAGAACCGGGTGACATATGGTTCAATTACGACGTGCGCGTACGCATGTGGGAGCAGACGACCACGCGTTGACGTCGGAGGATGGGGCCACATTAACGCCAAATTAAGATGTTATGAGCCGACACCCAAGCATAAAGCTGTGTGTCTCACCGTATTATCCAGATTCACCAGTGTGTGGAATCTGGGAAAGCGAAATTTAGCAGTACGACACACCGTCGTCAACTGCACATCTGACGCAACGCGTCTCGAGTCTAGAGACGAGATATATCTATATAAACAGAATTGGATCTAATGGGGAACCAGCCAAAACACATGTATTCATTGCCGGTCCCTGGGACCGAGGAGGAGAGTGGGTCGCCGCCCGTGTACGCTCATAATACGCAGGCTTCTCCGCAGTGTACAGGTGCCCGCTTAGCGTCGACAAAGTCCTCTCATACAAAGACTACTTTGACGGAAAGATCGCTACAGGGTAAGTATTGGTGTGTGCTTTGCCCTGTACGATATCGGCCGTTAACTAACATGCAGATGGGACATCTTCCAGCACGGTCTGAAACTAGACCCAGATGGACCATGCCTCGGCATAAGAGTCAGGAAGGAGGATGGCACGCTCGGAGAGTATGCTTTCAAATCCTACCGTGAGGTGGAAGCGCTGGTCCAGCGCTTTGGCAGTGGACTCAGCACCATTGCCGGAATAGAGAAGGTGCAGGTAAACGCGCCTGAACCGGTGGAAGCCATGATGATCGGCATTTATGCTCCAAACTGCGTTGAGTGGCTGATTTGCGAGCAGACGGCAAATGCTTTCGGGTACACCATCGTGCCCATTTACGATACCATTGGCGAGGAGTCGATCCTTCACATCCTGCAAAACTCGGACATCAACGTGGTCGTATGTGACTATGGGTGTGCGCAGAAGCTCATGAGGACGATGCCGAAGGCGCAGGCGCACACCATCAAGGCTGTTATTGTGATTGGTACGGAAACGGTGGCGCCGGAGGGCAACAATGTAGAAGTGCTTCTCTTCGACGAAGTTTTGGCAAAAGGTGATGCCAACCTGATCCCATTCAGCCCCGCGACACCCGAACAGGTGAACACCATCTCTTACACTTCCGGCACCTCGGGAATACCTAAGGGCGTCATCTTGACGCAGGGACAGATTGCATCGCTCATCACCGTGGTGAACCAAACGGTGAGCCTGACTGGCAAAGTATCGCCCGAGGCCGTCAAGTGCTACCTCAGCTATCTGCCCCTCGCCCACATGTATGAGCGGCTGTACATTAACTCGTGCCTCATCGTGGGAGGCAGGATTGGACTCTACAGCGGGGACGTGCGCAACATACTGGAGGACCTAGAGACGCTCAAACCCACAGTGTTTGTCAGCGTCCCGAGGCTGTATTTCAGGATACACGACAAGGTGTTTTCAAACGTCTCGAGAAAGCCCTGGATCATACAGGCCATCTTCAACATGGCGCTCAACGCCAAGCTGAGGAGGATACGCACCACAGGAAACTGCAAGCATGCATTATGGGACAGGGTTGTTTTCAAAAAGTTCCCGGCGCTGTTCGGCGGGAAGGTCGAGTGGATGATGACGGGGTCAGCGCCACTGTCCCCACTGACCTATGACAGGATGAGAGCGATCTTCGGCACAGAGCTGCTTTCCGGTTACGGCCTCACAGAAACCGCTGCTGGAGCCATCTTTAACATGGCTGGAGAGACGGACACCACACATGTCGGAGGAATCATCCCCTCTCTGGAGTTCAGGCTCAAGTCGCTACCAGACCTAGAATACTCAGTCAATGACCCCAACCCAAGAGGGGAGCTCATGTTGAGGGGCAGCCACGTGACATGCGGCTATTTCAGGAACCCTGAGGCCACTGCTGAGACCATCCAGGACGGGTGGCTGCTCACTGGTGACATTGCCGAGCTCCTGCCTAACGGCGCCATCAAAATCATCGACCGTAGGAAGCACATTTTCAAGCTGATGCAGGGCGAGTACATTATGCCTGAGAAATTGGAAGCCGTACTTATCGGCTGCCCTCTGCTCAGCCAGGCGTTCGTCACGGGAAAGTCAACCGAGGTAGGCCAAACCTTGTTCGTCTTTACATCATGTTAACAGGTTTACCCCGTAGCCATTGTCGTGCCAGACGAAGTAGAGGTGCAATTCTGGGCCAAGGATAACGGGCATTCCGAGTTATCGCTGCAGGAAATTTGCAAGCTGCCGGAGTTCAAGGAGGCCATCATGAAGGTAGGCATATAGCCACACCATACCCCTGGCATACTTTCTGCAGCAAATGAATAAAGCTTATGACGAGTCTGGTGTCAAGGGATTCGAGAGGTGCAAGCAGATTTATGTGGAGCCGGAGCCGTTCTCCATTGGCAACGACATGCTCACTACAACCAACAAGCTTCGCCGTCACAGCGCGAAAAAGAGATACAGTGACATCATAGACGAGCTGTGCGCCGCAGGAGTATAGCACAAACTGCATACACACAACATGCGGCTTGTCAACAAGATCTTCTAGTTTTGTGTCGCCCCCCCGTTGGGGCATATGATGTCGGGCGGTGTAATAATGGCGCCGTTTCCCCTAACGCCTTGACCTAATTTGTTGTCAATGCGAATGTAATACTGTTACGTGTTACATTGTGGTTTCATGGTGCGTAACTAATGCAAATTTACATGTGGTTTGTGGTATGCGAAATGGGCGCATGGGCATCCGCCACCAAGGGCGACAGCAGCAATGACCAGATGTAGACAGACTACAACAAACAGTTGCTGCACTCCATTTGGCCTAGTTTCAAAAGATGTGAGCTATTGATTGGGTAGCGTATGATCTCAAAGGGAATACCGTTGCTCGGAACAAAAACCTGAGCTCCACACGGTCACACTCGTATGCATTGATAGTCTATACAGAATCAGCAGACTTCAAAAAGAGTGCTAGTTATGTGTACAATCTGTAGAAGCCGGTATATAAACAGAATATTGAAAAAAAGGAAAGCCCCCTGAGGGACTCGAACCCCCGACCACCAGATTAAGAGTCTGGCGCTCTATCCGACTGAGCTAAGAGGGCGACGAGGAAGTTTCTCATCGCACTATCAGTACCGTATTAGGCGGTCTCCACCTCGTGAAAATTATGGTCTGCCAGGAACCATGTCTCTCACCTATCATCTCGTAGCAGCGACGAGACGTGGACTTTGACACCACGCGAGTATGCCCAATAATACCGTGACATATGCATAATATTGTGGCTTCAAAGTGGCTATTAGTGCGATGTGTAAACGATGAAACGTGCTGGTACCTCAGGCTCTGCCATCAACGTGATAATGACTCATGGTACCTGTCTAGTTACTTGTTGTACGACAATCAGATGCACATAAGTCGTTACTATAGTGCAAACTAGTCCATTGCACAGCAAAAGGACCTGAAATGGTCAAGGAGACAAAAATCTTCTGGAATCCATGGATATGAACACACTCTTGTCAAATAGCGTGGACATACCGCCGTTGTGTAACTAGATGTGTGTTTACTCTACATGCCCTACGTACTCGCCGCATCTGGGCCCAATCCTGTGGAGTCGTGCCCACATGAGCGCGCCAGGATAATTTTAGCTGGATTTACTACATATATGTGTTGGGTGTATTATAATATTTAATGTGTGATAGGAAAATTGTGTAGGCGAGGGCTACAAAATCCGCCTGAACATCGGAAGACAGAAGGCAACGGCCAATGGCTGTTCTTCTACGAAACATTCTACGTGTATAACACCCAAACCACTTGAAAACATCTATTTGTTTATATGTGCGGCACGAAAAGGGGCCGGGAAGCGCTATTTAACTGTTAAAGTACGTCGACGTCACCTCCACCTCGTGGTTCACAATTCACACTCATTGTGAACGGGAAACACATCACAACTGTTATCGGTCTCTAACGACAGGCTTACAGGTAATCTTCAACACATATTACGGGAAACTTCCGAGATGAGTCTGAAGGTACTGCTGTTCGCCGGCACCTTCGACCCGATCACGGCTGCGCATCTGCTGATGCTGCGCCAGGCGGCCGAAACCGAGTTCTTCGACAAAATATGGATCCTGCCCAGCGGCAAACGTACGGACAAAGTATTCACCGCCAGCGACGAAGTGCGATTCAGGCAGTGCGAAATCGCAGCCAAGCAGCTCGAGGGAATCCACTCAGACGTTGAAGTTTGCGACTACGAAATAAAAAAGGGAGAAAACATCGACAGCTACTTTACGATGCGGTACTTCCAGGAAACATACCCAGAATACGACTTCTACTTCTTTGTAGGGTCTGATCTGCTTCCGCAGATCGTGAAGTGGCCCTACGGTGACGAGCTTGTGAAGATCACCAAGTTCCTCATCGCCTACCGGGAGGGGTACCCAATTCTGAAGGAAGACCTCGATACTTTAAAACAGTACAAGCTGCTGTCCGATCTGCTGCAGCACAAGGGTCGGTCCATGGAAGCTTCCAGCACCTCGTCTACGCTTGTGCGCAGTCAGCTGGCCTCAAATGTGAAGTGCGACGAAGTCGGCACGTTGCATCCAGAAATTATGAACTACATTACGCAGAACGGATTTTATCGCCAGCGAACGTAGATGAGCAACGCCAGCAAATGCAAGCGAATGCCAGCAACGTTACAACATTAATTTTTGACATGTTTCTACCGCGTTTGTGTCTGCACATTCATTATATGGTTGATGCGTATAGACACTCACCTTTGCCTTCCACGCATCGTTGCACTGCCTCGATCACATCAGGTTTGCCCACGAACTCCGCGAGGTTTTCGACGCACCCACGCAGACACCAGTCCTTGTCCACCAAGAACACGTAGTGCCCGTTGCGCAGCAGTCCCAGCATGAGAGCGCAGTGGGCAGCTTTCAGTGCATCGTCACAACCCAAAGATGCCAAAAGTTGCTCGTAGTGCGTGGACTGCACTTTGAGGAAACGCTTCCGCTCCTTCTTCACATTGCATGCGATGTACATGGCGGCCTTCAGCGAACGTGAGGCTTCAATGCCCTTGAGGGCGTCCTTCTGCTTTATGGCGTCGAGATATGCGCTAAAATCGGCCTTCACCTCCTTGTCTTTTATCGACTCGACAACGGCAGCTCTATTACCAGCGTTTATCTCGCCGTTCTCTCCCGGGATTTCGATGAAGTTTTGAGTCGCGTATACCTGCAACAACAAGTGGCAGTCGACAGGAAGCAGCTCCTTAGCCAGCGTCTTCATGATGAGGTGAGCGCCATCGACGGTGCCGCCACCGAGCTTCTCCATCACCTTCAAGGTGCAATCGAATTTCAGGTGGTTGTCCTTCAATTTCTCCGTCGCAGCCTCCACGTCAAATCCGCTGTGACCATGAGTTGGCCGATCAACCACGCATACTTTGCGGATGAGGGCTACCATTGGCGTTTCTATGCGCTCATAGAGCTCGGACGACGCTATCGCCCAACACTCGGCGAACGTGGAGGTGGCATCGTCATCCATTAGGGCACTTGCCTCATCTCCCAGAGTCTCTACAGCGTTAGAAGCGGTATCCAAAAGCTTCTTGGCGCCCAAACGTTCCTTAAGAGCCTCAACTATGTGTTTCACGAGAGACTCCTCGAAGGCCAGGGAAACATAGAGGCCTGCTACCACGTATCCGTTTTTGCTAGCGCCCTTTATCTGTTCCAACAGTGCAGAGTAATCCGTCGCAGTTAATGATGCCGGTAGCATTATGCTGATGTCACGCCAACCGGCTGTTGCGATTGCCTCGTTTACGAGCACAGACACCGGCTCAAGGACGTTGCGATTGATCAGGACTGTATCCAGCAACAACGCATCTGGAAACATCTTGTATGGGTTGTCCTTGTTTGACTTCCCCGATCCTGAGATTTTGCTGCGCTCAATGTAGCCATTGGCGCTGTAGAATGCGGCCAGCAGCTCATGGCGGTGGTCGGCGTACACCTTTGGGGTGTAAACACCGCCTTTAAAAGCGCCGCTCACTTTCCCCTCGTTAACAAGACGCCCAACCACATCGTTGACGAGGTTTATGTCTATACGGGTGACTTTCGCCAGGTGCATCGTGGGAGTGGGCACCGTGGTGGCAGCCAACGCAGATAAGACACACCTCTCCTTGCATGCCTCATAACCTCTTGACTCCAGCAGCGTCCCATTCAATCTACCTTTGACCACTTTTGACTTCGTTATCAGCAGCTTCATCAAGTCGAAAGGTAGTCCGAATTCGCTTGCGAAGTCGCAAACGTTCAATACGCCACATTCTTGCAGGCGGCGGCTGGCAGTGTCCGTCAGCCAATCGGTATAACCGGTCGTGATCAACGTGTCTTGCAGGCGCATGTAACGGTCAGGGTGTTCCTTCAGCAACTTTTCAACCGTCCTGTCCACATAGTTCTGCTGTACCCCGACGACTGCGGCAAGTTCAGACACCGCAGCTCGACCTCCTCGGGATTCGATAGCGGCCACCAAATCCAGCTCCAGCTGCTGCAGCGTCAGCAGCTCCTCGCCATCAAGCGTAGGAATCAAGGTGATGTTGCGCTTCTGGCAGACCTTCAGCACGAGGTCGATGCACTGCGAGCTGCTCAGACGTGTCGCCGCAACCTTCGTCTGCGCGCGATCCAGACGGCTCCGCAGCTCAGCAATGGACGGCATGGCACTGGTAGCCTAATGAACGAAGAATAGCCGAATGTGTGTCGTGTCGCTGCAGATGTAGACAAGGATGGCCCAGCAACAGAAAATCAGACCACTAGAGAAGGAATCTTAAGCATATTTGCCGAGACATATATTAGAATATATCGATGGCCCGGCTAGACAGGCAAGGTGTTAATTACCAAGTGTATGCTCCGAGCCGCCAGCGGCTATAACGGCGGCACCTATAGCCCGTTGATTCCAGGCGATTAATGGACCCTAATGTCTAATTCACGTGTAGATAACGTACATTGTAGTTCCATTCCTGGGTTTAAGGGTGAATTTCTGGTTGAACGCAAATAGACAGCAGATGCGTCCTCTACCAGCCCAGGTACTTCATTATTGCATACCCTGCAAAGGAAAGCACCGCTGCAATAAACAGCTGCGCCTTCAGGGTTAACGGTGTTGCGTTCTTCTCCGCACTTGCCTTCTGCATGAATGTGCGGCTGCTGCGATTAAGACGGTTTGTCTTCCCGATTAATGAGTCCACGCTCGCCACCGACTTGGTCAGCTCTATGAGGGCTGTCTCGGCATCACGCTTCATCTCGACAACTTCACGCACAGCCTGGGCCAGCTTCCTGTCGACATGGCTCAAATGTTGACCAGAATTCAGTTGCTCGTCGTCCAGGTAGCGCTGGAAGTTGTTCTTGCGCCAGGTGGTCTCTATGGCAAGAAACTTCTGACGAGCCCTGTCTAGCTGCTCTAAGACATCATGCAGACCGGCAACAATGTGCTTCAACCTACCGGAAGTCTCGCGGTTAATCTCTTCCAAGCGATTAGTGAAGTCGTTTTGAGGCGACGTAAGCGTTGACCGCAGGTCGTGAAGCTCCTTCTGCAGTAATCCGCCCTCGTCTCCGACCGCCTGCGAATACTCCGATTCTGTGCGCACGTCGGCAACGGTCGGGCTCATGAACTCGTGCTCGTCTACCACGCGCCATTCGCCGTAGAAGGAAGGTGCGCCGGGACGCTGCGGCGGCAGCCTCGACATCGTACACACAAGGCACCGCGACGATGTCGCGCAGGCTAAGAATCAACCAACAAACATTAAACTCGCAGTGAAAAACATCAACGAATGTGAAAGAAGCGCCGCGCGGTGTGGAAGGCAACTATGTGAGGACCTCCACCACGCCGTTAGGGTGTGCGACCACTACCGCAGAAGCCATTCCGAGGAAGAGACCCGTGCATACGACGCCGTGTACCTGGGCAATATTTTAGGCTCATGGAAACAGCTGTAACCCACCGAACGCAGCTCTGCTTCCAGGTTGTCGAGGTCCGTCGCGGAGAACTCGATGTCCATTATGACATTCGAGTTGTCCGTCTCGTAGAGCGACCCATCCGCGTTACGCCGTTCACTCCAGGAACGGATGAGCGGTTCTAGGCGCTTTACTACGCGTTGCATGGTCGCGCTGTGCCCGAACTTAACGACCTCGACCGGTACCCGGAATGCCTCCAGAAGGTGGCCCAAGGCGCGTTTGCTCGCATCGACGACCTGATCACCGTTACATGTGCGCAAGTTTTCGTACTATTACAAGCTTCTCCGCCGCCAACTCGACCAGCTTCTCGCGGAACAGCGCGCCGCCACCGCCCTTGATCAAGTTGAAGTCGCTATCAAACGCGTCGGCACCGTCTATCGCCACGTCTATGTGTGTGTTAGCGTCTAATTCACGAGACGGGATGCCGACTTCGTGCATCTGCCGGGAGCTCATGAACGTATTGTGTACGGGGACCAACCAGATGTTGTGTAGTAACGCTGGTAGCTACGCCAACTACGTCCCGCAGCGTGCCCGCCGCTAGAAGCTTTGCCAAATGCCGCACAGCATAGCTAGCAGTACGACCTGTACCGAGGCCGACCACCATGCCGGAACGCACATAGCTGTCTACAGCCTGCTCGGCCTGAATGGACACAGTAACACACGCAGGAAATACACATACCGCACGACGCATACATTCCTGTTGATCCATCTCGGTTCGCGCTCGGAAAGAACGCCAAACCGAATCGTCTCCAGCGCGGACTGGTCAACGCACGCACCACTACACAAACACAACGGCGCAAACTGCGGGGATGTGTTAGGCGACAGATCACACACATTTGGCTGAAATGAAGCCACGAATATTTCCGTGAATTTCACTCATTCCTGAAGACGCGGAACCATGTGCATCGCAATAAGAGAACATGGAGAACCCGCAAAATACCGATCGGCACGAGCTCGAGCTTTTCGACCGCAGGCACAAGAAGCTAAGCGGCACATCGCTCGTACTCTGTGACCAGGATTACCGATTTGTGTACAAAATAATACCGGAGTACACAACCTCCGAGGCGACCTTCTACTGCCTAATCAACGGCTACCCGGCGCAGGATAATCCCGTACTTTACGAGTGTCTACATGGAGCGATTAAGCGCCCGGACAAACTCGCGCAGATGGGCGTGCTGCCCGCGTTTAAAGGAGTAGTGAAGGTTGTGGAGGAGGAACACGACACATCCGAAACTAAGGATGACGACGAACATTGCAGTCGTATGTGCACAACACGGCCGTACACATAGTTGCAGTTGTGAGATACTTCGAAGGTGAAGGCATCCTGGGGGTACCCAAAACAGTGTTCACGGCAATCAAGCTGGAGAACCTTTTGCACGGCTACGAAAGACCGGCCGTCATAGACATAAAACTTGGTATACACAACACACTAGACAACGGTAAGTGGCGTTTATTTCGCAACTATAAGCATTCAGAGCAATATGGAGGCCTAGATGCAGCGACTCGTGCTGCATGTGTAAAGCGCTGGCAGGACCTCAAAACGACACACAAGCTGGAGCACATGTGCACGAGCAGCACCAAACGGCTATACGTATGTAAAAACACAGCACAACTAAAAACCGTTCAGAACATCAGCGCCGAAGATCTGGGGATGGGACCGCCGTTTAGCGACATGGAACCGACCGAGCTTCACTCTCTGCTAAAATCCTGGCGCCAGAAAATTGTGGCGTCGCAGACTCCTGAAGTCGAGCTCGGTTTCAGAGTCTGCTCCATATACATCGCAAAAGACGTAGGGGAGCTTGTGATTTTCACTAAATGCTAACTCAGGATGGCGTACTGGAAGTCTCGGCTTCGCAGGCAAAATTGCTGAAACAAGAAGATACCGTCAACATACTACACACGTAAGTGCTTAGACATCACGTTTGCACTTTGAACAGGGCGCTAAGCTCCATACCGGAGGTGCGGCAGCGAATGGTTGATGCGCTGGTCGGCCTCCGCGATTGGGTGGCGATGCAGGACCTGCTGTCCTTCGCCGCCACTTCACTGCTGATAACGTACGACCAAAAAGAGCCCACACGATGTCGCGTGAAGTGGGTTGACTTCACCCATGTCGAGAGCATAAGGCACTCTCAGTTCTCTGTGGTAGGTTATCAGTCGCAACGCATCAGCCTGCGCAGCTTCCCGGACCGTCGAGCATGATAAAAGGCATCGACGGACTTATCGCCATTTGCAAGAGCATGGATGCAGGCAGCAAACATGCAAATGAAGCCGATACTAACATTAACTAATTTTATGAGTGCGGCCTAACACGACGCTGCCTCGCAGCCGTCGGGAAGAAGAACAGGGTCCCCGTCGCCGAAAGTGGCGGCGTACACACGCTTCTTGTAGCGGTAGCTGAGAAAAACTGTGAGCATAATACTCGCTAAAACTCACCACACGTAAAGCTTCGGCTCCACCTTCAGCAGGTTGGCGCAGGGGTCGGCGAAGCCGATCAGCTGCCCCTTGGTGTTGACCGAAAGTTGCAGACGCGAATCCGTGACTCGTGACATGAGCACGTTGGTAACATCCAGCAGGTAACGGTCAAACAGGCGTTGGAGGCGCATCTGGTCGTTCTGCTTGAGAATGGACGTCACAGTGACGCTGCCGAAAACGAAGCGTCTAGCGCTACCGATCGACGGGGTCCTCGGCACCACGGAGTCTGTGTTGTCGGAGATTCCGCCGAGGTTTTCGAACAGGTCCATAGTGACGAATTCCACCAGCGTGCGCAAAGCTTCAGGGTGGCCGTAGACGGCAAAGAGCACGCAGAGGCCGTCGGCTTCCAGCTCTCGCTGGTAGGCTGCCGCTGCTGCATTGAGCAGAGCTGCGCCTTCCTGGCGTGCGAGTTGCAGTTCGCGAACCACTATGGCCTCGAGCCCCTCTTCCGACCACTGCAAGGCGCGGCTCAACAGTGGACCCTGACGACTGTTGTCGCCCACGTACTTTTCGTGGTGACGATCGTCAACACCGGACAGGCCTAAATACGAGAAGGCGGGGAACCGCGCGTAGAAACTGCGCCGCAGGCTTGGCCCCTCGAAACCATACCCTATTTCCGGCTCTGCTGGCGATAACAGCTTCATCGCCATCTCTGCAGCTGCCGGCAGCAACATCAACACGCATGAGGCCGCCGTTCCCAAGAATATGCAGTAGTCCACGTTTCCGCTGTACAGCTCGATGGGCAAATCCACGCGCGTGTTGTTGAGGACTAGCTTGAATATGACAAACAGTGAACTCTGGGAGTAGCGCAGCCGGCACTCAAACTTCAACCTCGCAAGCAGCTCGGTCTCGAAGCGCTGCCTGATGTACCCTTCAACGAACAATCCTCCGAGCATGGAGAATCTGCACGTTGTGCCTATCACGGATCCGGAGCCCGACAGCGCCTTCAGACGCACCAGTGCCCCCAAATCGTCCTGAGATGCGGCTATCTGCAGGTTGGACTTTAGGTCTCCGGCAAAATTGCGATTGTAGCCGTACGTCATGGCGTAGTCCGGAAGGGCCGTGAGCTCAATTGCGTGATGGTCCGCCCAACCCTTGTGCACCACGCACCGCATGGCGGGGGTAAGGTGCCGGTCCACCGCGAAAATCGACGTGGCCCAAAAGCTCTCGGAAAACCTTTTCTTGATAGACATGGCGGTGGAACGGTAGCTCACGTAGTCGCCCCATTCGACGCTGACTGTGGATTCGACAGTGTCCGTCAATTCAGACGAAAGATGGACGCCGCCCCGGCACTTGCCGAAGGTGCCACGCCTTGCCGAGCTGTAATACGTGTATCCAGCTCTCGTGTGTCTGCTCAGTAGCACCTCCACGGAATTTGTGACTGCGGTTTCGCGGATCTGGAACATCCGCCGACGCATCACCGTTGCGATCTGGTCGTCGAAGAAGTTGGTCACGCCGGCAAACGTGAAGTGGCTAACCACCTGCACCGGAAAATCGCGGAACCTGTCCCAACGGCGCTTTTGAAGGAGCACGTGAATACGCCGCTCAATCTCGACCTCGTCAGCCGCACGGCGAAGCTCCCACGATTTCTGTAGAGTGGCCTCATCCTCAAGCGTTTCGGGAATTGTCCGCGATTCTACGCGCTCACTGTCGAGCTGTTTTTGAAGCAGCATCCTCAGGTTAACGCCCTCACTTCCGTACTTGTCTGCAAACGTGAGAACACTGCCTGATGAACGTACCGTAAACACGACGCCGAGCTGGGTCGGATAAAACCGAGTAGGCCAGCTGGATTTTGGTGAACGCGGAGTCCCGCTGCAACTCCTGGGGGATTTCATAAGACTCGGCTGTGCGGTCAGTCACGGAAAGGGGCTGCGATGGGTCAGACTCCGACATAAAATTCTTGTCGGGGTGCCATTGGCGGATGAGCCTATGGTAGCTTGCCTTGATATCCTCGACTGAGCTGTCACGAGGGACATTCAAGATGTCGTAGTAGTCGAAGTCACCTGCATCTGTGTCCATTTGTGCAGAATCCAGGCAACATGTGCCTGCAACTTCGCATAACAACACAACCAGGGTAAGAAACGGGCTCCGCCTTCTATACCCAGGAAGATCAACTAGACTAAGGCTGCCACGACTATCAGCCTTCTAGACGTCACTTGTTGGAGCGAGGATCGCCATATATCGTAAAACTTGGATTAGACCGTATATTGTGAGTCAATAGTGTCTGGCCACCTAAGCGGAATCGTGAAAGATTCAAACACTATCACGCTTCTTCACCAATTTACACACCCGTCAAATCCAAAGCACGAATTAAATCTGTGTCATAAACTGTGGACAAGGCACGTTGAAGTCTTTACGGTCACAGGAATTGTTGTTGATCGCGCGCCGCGAGCACCCTTAGACCTCTGGAAGCGCTTTCCGAGTGGCAAGGGATAATATCGCAATAAAGCGTCGTTATGTGACTGGCCCATATCGCCGTAATACGGAAGTTGAAGGATTGGCGCGCCGAATAACGGCATCGAAGCTGCCATGTAGTTCCGCAACTTTATGCTTAAGAAGACCAGGTTGACGCTAAAATGGACACCGAAGGCGAACCTCCCTCGGTGGATGCCACCGCTGACAGCACATTTAAGACCAAGAGAGACAACGTAATCATTTCACTCGCACAAGCTCATCGCTCGGCACGAAGCTCGAACGTGGTGTACCAGGAGCCGCTGGAAACGGATCGGGGGGAGTACTACGATGAATGGATGCAGAAGTGCGTCGCATGGGTCGCATACAACCATGGAATCAAGCGCCTGGACTGCTACTCGATAGAGTTCCTCGCGAACTTCGTTGCCAACGAGATACGGAGAATCGGACGTAAAGCAGCTATGCTCAGCCGCACCAGGGGATGCGATAGCAGCAACTTTCTCGACATAGTCACCGCCATCGAGTGCACGAACCCTTATCTGTACAACATGATCTTCAACGAGAAGGTTGTGTCTACCGCAAAGCAGCTGCCCAAACAGGTCGTGGCGCTCTCTCACAGCAACTTCATACAGCCGGCAGTACTCGCGCAGCCTAGCACGCTGTATTTCGAGTGCATGGTTAATGCATCAACGCACCTGTCCGAGGTCGCAACCCCGGGCGACTCCATGGAGGGGGGCCCTGCGGGTGATGAAATTGTTTACAACAGCCTCTCTAAACCAAATAACAGGTTGCTACCCATAAACAGGGACGATGCGGTCATGGATCTGGACTATTTCATAGCAAGCGCGACCCGAGATACGTACTCCCTTAAGTCGGACGAAGCATACCAAAAAATCGTGGCGTCACGTCCTCGCTTCGCGCACAAGCACTTCCCTCTGCTACCGGCGGCTTTCAAGCTCGACGATCCGGAGCCGAATTCATTGATGTATGCTGTAGAGTCCAATGAAAACCCAAATGAACGGTTGTTAAGGCGGAACGTGTTGCTCCAGATGGAGCTGCCACAGCTGCACAGAGTGCAAATTCAGCCAGCCTTGCAGGAGATGCGCGACGAAGCCGCGGCAGCAAAGAAGAAGGACGCAATGGCCAAGGCTGCTGCGAATGCATCATCTTTAGAACCGAGATCTACATGATGAGGCTGGGATGCCTTAGGAGTGGCAGTCAGTAGAGGCGACGTGCAATTCCCCCGATAGCCGGATCTATTGCCGTTGTAAGGGGGCGGACGACGACTGAAATGGCATTTACGGTTCAAGGATTACTGCATGGCGGCATCCGCCTGCCCCGTAATCCGCGCGCACTGAGACCAGCAGCATGGATGTGCCGCGTACAACGCCCGTGTAACGTGTGAAGGTGAACAACTGAGATATTACTGCTCTGTGTTAGAGGCGCTACTGAAGAGTACCCTGCGGCCTTAAACAGCGGCGGTAACGGGCGTAATGCCATCACTGGCTGAAGAGTAGCCTAGTGTAGGCGGGTTGAGAAAAGAGAACTCCGCATTGCCGAAGGTCTTAATGTACTGCAACGTGTTCCTCTCGTGTGTGTTCAACATCGGAGTGACTGCCGAGTCGCTAAACTCCTTGTCCTGCAGACGCATCTCCTCCCACTGTTCCTTGGAGGGGAACATGGCACCTGGGCTGAACAGGTAATTGGCGCTGTCTTTGGGGCTCCAGGGGTTAACAAACCGCATGAGCCGGTGCCTCATGAACAACATGTCGAAGAGGCTCCGCTTGCAACCTCGGTAAAACGGATTGAAGCCCATGTAGTTGCCCTTTATGCGATCATACGTGCTCTGACCTCTCGAAATTATGAGGACGTGGAAACAGCACAGGCCCAAAACAAGCCAAAGAACCAACGTGTTCCAGATGATCGACAGGAACGTACAAAGAGATGACGCAGGTTCCTTCTCGAAGGCCTCCCAGGGTTTCGGGAAAAAGCCAACAAAACGGTAAACAGACGATACAAGCATAGCCAAGTAGTACAGGCAGCAGGTCACGACGAAGCAGTAGAACCTCCTGTAGTTGTTGAAGCCGATGCAGTTGCCGACGTAGGGGCAGTGGTGGTCATACCGCAGCACGCACCCACCACAGCTCGAGCAGTGGACGGTCCTGGGAGGCCGATATATGTGGCAGGTCACGCAGTACTTTGTGCTAATGACCTGGCCGTTAATCTGGATCTCCAGGAACCGCTGGGGCGCCACCTGCCGGTATGCCCCAGTCAAGTGGTTATATGCCTGGGCGGGGAAATGCTTCTTCTTCAAAACGCCCGGGTTGCTCAGCGTCATAACAAAGAACTCCACAACCAGCAGGACATACAGAACCAAGTTAGTCGTCGGCGGGCCGTAACTCAAGCGCTCTACATGGTACTGCCACTGGAAAATGCAGAAAAAAATCACCGGCAGCGTGATTGCGGATAAGGTACCACATGATACCAATACCTTTGCCACACGCCGGGAGAGACTCAAGGACATCTTCCAGCCGCGGCAAATCCCAGTAGAGTGACACCTCCTGTCTTATCCGCACTCCCTTATGGATTGCTCCCCTCTTGGACTATAAAAGGCCGTAAGTTTCATCACCGCAGCGGTTTAGGCAACTGTACAGCCAGTGCTTTGGGCCGCGTGGCCTGCAGACGCCGATGTGTGATCCTCCAGCCGCCCTAGGGCCGGCAGCGCAGGATCTGTCTAAAACCACCGCCGCCAAACTCGTCGATGTGCACGAGATCTCGATCTCTAATGCCACAAATTCGAATGTGTATTATAATACACACTTAACTATCGTATATAGATAGTCGATGTTAATACAAACAATGTACTTTGCGATGCCACGCGCAGATGCGTAAGGCAGATCCCGGAACACACGTCAAACACCAAAACTAAAATTACATAACAAATTTAGTACAACTTTGTGCACAATAGGTTTCTGCCGGCGAAGGCCGGCTGGATGTGTGAGGGGCGCTTTTCGCCGGCACGAATTTTCCGCGCTGCCGTCATAAAACGGACAGGGTTTATGTCTACGGTAGAGATAGCGCGTATATGCGTTCTTTTGTCTCCATGTTCAATTGTAGAAGAGCTCGAGGCCCATGCCGTCCTTGATCTCGTAGTCCTCGAGGGTAATGTGATCCTTGTAGATGGTGTACCACTTCTGGATCCTAATCTTGTCGTAACGCGTACCTGAAATATCCGTGGCGATTGTATATGTACAACTAACCTGTTTGCGCAGCTACCAGCTTCTTAAGGTCCAAGATAGTGTCGTCGCTGTTGCACTTCACCCGAATCTTGCGACCAAGACGGTCGTTCAAAATCACCTCAATCATCTAAAGCGCAATATATAGCCATTTAGACAGTAGTTTAATGTCGAAAAAAACGACGCTTACCTGAGCCATCTTCGTCCATGGAGCAGAGGGGACGAGGGGCGCAGCGCAGACGTTTAATATCCTCACAAAACAGCAGCTAATTCTCAGATATGATCAATTTTATGTATTTCCACTAATTTAGAAGTAACTTCCACAGGGTTATACCCCCATTGGCAACCACGGTAGACAGCGTCGGGCCGACGTCCGAGTTTCCACCCGGTGCTGCGTACCAATGGATGCCATACTAGACGGTCTACTGGCGCCTCTGGACGTCAAGACATCTGCTATGATCGAAGGTAGGTAGTGGACTCAGATCGTCACACACCTCTCAGCGGAAAACAATGATCAAATAAGGTTCGAGGCAGAGCTAGAGTTCGTGCAATGCCTAGCGAATCCGCACTACCTGCACTTTCTGGCCAAGGGTGGGTACTTTGAGGACCAGAGATTCCGCGCTTATATCGTATACCTTCAGTATTTCAGGCGTCCTGAATACATCAAGTACATCAAGTTCCCGTACTGCATTCGCATACTCGAGCTTCTGCTTGAAGACTCGTTCGTGCGATCACTCTCCAATAAACAGGCTATAGAAGCCATAGAGCAGCAATTAGTGGCGCATTGGATATGCTTCAAGTATGACCGACACTGAACGCAGTTGTGACTCGCCCTGGCACTGCGTAGACAGGGTGCTGGCACATGCACTGTTGATCAGCAGCAGGTGATGGACAAGTAAAGAGGATATCTATTATCGCAATATTAGGTCCAAATTATCGCATGCTGAGTACACAAGGGGTATTATCATTACACGCTAGCTTGGGGTTCGACGGCAACCACACTACGTGGGTGGAATGCATTCCAGTTATTCAGTGAATATGCGTTGATGATGTCATCTACATAGATCCATAATCGCATAGTCATGTAGTTCTATCGAGACCGATAAAAGGATGACGACGTTAATGCTACGGGGCGTGGCGGCTGCCTGCCCCTACCGCTGGATGTTGTCATGTAGATGCATCCAGTCAGCAGCACAGCCGCAATTGTCGAGCAGCCGTATAGAAAGCGCCAGTAAAAATCGAACGGTTATGAGGCTTCAGGAAAACCTGGTTTGGCTAAAAGACGCGAGTAATGCCAAGAAAGGCATCATAACTGAGACGGACGTTTCACTTGCAAACAAGCTTGCGGCCCTGTCGAATCTCAAGCGGTGCCCGGAAAACGCATCGAGTGTGGAAATAGCGCAATACATGTTGCGTAACTTCAGCATACTGAAACAAATGTTGCCTCTCATGAGCCAATGCACGGCGGAGTTCAAACACACGTATGCCATGGGCAACGAATTCGTGCGGTACGTTGTTGCAATGACCGTGAAACATCAGCACCTGCTCACGAAGGAAATAATAACAGAGGCTCTCGATTTCCTCGTTGCCTTGGAATCATCTGATGTTCGTGATGTGCTCTTCACGCTTATAAATGCCTTGCATCAATTGCCTGATACGGAGACATTGTGCCTGCAACACTGCAACAACCTGCTGCTGCTTCTACAAAATACAGGAGGTCGTATTGACACCAAAGAAGTATACGATTTAGTAACCAGCGTGGTCTACAAGGTTATAATTGCAGGCATAGACATTGATGCCTTGGGTGCGGCGTTGTCGGTGTTGCATATAATGCGTCAACATCACCCTGAAGACAAGCAGCTGGACGAGCTTACCACGGTATACATTGGTGAGGTCAAGCACAATATGTACGCGCTGGAACCTGCTGCGCTGCTCAACGTGCTACAGTTCATGTACAGGTCGGCATACGTGGACGATGCCCTCTACACATCCTCTATGGAGGCGCTACTCTACAATATCGACCTGATGACGTTCGAAGAAAAAAGCACGCTCTTGTTGCTGTTGCCGTTTTTGAAACACATGTGCCTCCTCCTGACCCCAAACATCGCAACGAACGTATACAGCGAGGAATGCCAAATGCTCAACGCCGCCCTTAGAAAGGAATTCGAAAACAAAATCGAGTACATGCCATTCGAAGAAATGATCACATTCTGCCTGGCCATCTCGCTTATGTTCAAGCAGAGTGGGGTGGTTAGGAAACTGCTGTTGCGAAACATCCAAAGACCCATGGTGGAGGCTGTCGATGGGGAAACGTTCCTGAAACTGCTGGCATGCTGCAACACGCTGCACATCAACAGTTCATACGTAGATGTTTCGCGGTTACTTTCCAAGATGGCACGGGGCAAATTGGCCGGTGGCACGGGTCCAGAACTGCTACAAGCGTTCAAGAGCCTGGCGCAGATAGCAGCAAAGAGGCATAGGAAATATCTCATTCCACTTGTGCAGGACGCTCTGGAAAAGAACAAAACTGATGTGGCGGCTATAATTGATTGTTTACATCTGTACGCGACGCTCAACATGCAACGCATCAACGCCAATGTATTAGACTCTGGGTTTGCCCTCCTCTTTCCGCACATAAATCCGCAAAATCAGATCCCAACAAGTCAGATGCAATGCAGTAGTGTGGAAGGAGCCGCTGATAAAGTGTCAGGGGAAGGTTTGGCGCACGTTTCAACCGGGGGATGGGAAGGGGTTAGGGCCACGGGTGAGGCTGCAACCAGTGATGCGTCTACGGTCCCATTCGCAGTTTCCGCACCAATCGGTCATACAGACACTACGGATACGGATCATAAAATTGCAATCAAAAGGGAGACCGACGTACTATACATAGCCAAGTCAAACAGCGTGGCCAAAGACATCCCCCTCCGCGGCCTGATCAAACTTCTGGAGTGCCTAACAAAAGTTGAACTGGATATGTCCTATGTTCAGCCAATATCCAGTCTTCTACAGACTTCCATATTGCAAAAGGTGAAATATAGCAGCAATGTCAGCATGGTGGACCTCGCCGCAGTATTGAAGCAGTTGACGGAGTCGCGTATAGTATGCGCAGAGTTAGCAGATGCGATACTCGACCGTGTATACCACTGCCCTGATCAATTGGAGGACACGGACTCTGCCGCCACGATACTGCAGTTTATAGAATTCACGGGCCACGGGGGCTATGCAACAAAGCTGTCACAACCGCTGTTCGAGTTTTGCCTGAGGAAACCCACAGCGACCCTCATGGAAGTGCTAGAATACGAGAAATGCAAACGTCCCCAGTTCTACGCAGCTTATATGGAAATGATGCAGCCTGCATCTTACGACGTGCCAGACAGGCTAGGGAGCGTCGCTGAACACACCCCTATCATAGGTACTAACCTTGGGGCGCTGGCACGAGATTTGAGACTGCCGAGAGCAACTGGAGGGAAAAGTCACCAGGCGTTGAAGCAGTGGATTACTAAACACGACAGTGGATACGAATACGTTGAATTCCATGAAATTGATAACCTGGTTGTCGACTTCTACTACCCTGGCCTTCGTACGGCAGTGCAGGTGATAAAAAGACAGGACTGCTACGGTATGTTTACTATATAAACGGAACAGAATGTGCAGGTTGCCACCAAGGTGTGCATCTAAAGAGCAAAATGTGGCTTTTCTGTGAACTACTTCGAATGAAGGGGATACGCGTGATAGCGGTTCCGGAAACACGATTGAAGGCGGAAAACAAGATGGACTCTGCACACATACAAATAACACAACAGTAACATCTCAATATGGTTAAATTAATAAACTGTGCATGGCCAAAAGTGTATGTGTACACATCAATCACTACGGAGTGGAGGCCCTCGTTATAAGGCTGACACCGGCAGTTCAGCACCAGTTTGCTTTCTACCGCGCTATACCATATTAATGAATAGGATTCAATTATATGAGGTTAGTTGCAGATGCAGAATGGTCTTCCTTTGTTGATGTCTCGAGTCGCATATGTACACAACGGGGTTCTGGGATTCTAGAAGAACATCGGCGATCCGCGCGTAATACAATTGGCACGTTGCTTATGCGTCTATTTGGTGAACTCACACGGTCAACAAGATGGTGTTGAGGCTAGTTCGAGGCACCGGCGGGAGCAACGATCCCCGGTCCAGGAAATTGGCTGACGGAGACGGAACTCCACGTTTGACAGATTTCCAGCGCGAACTGCTTCTGGCAGAGAAACATGCTGAAAATCTGAGGAGGAAACAACGCAGGAACCTGCTCAAAGAAGAGCCTGGACCTACGGTCTCCATCGAGCCAAACGAGGAAGAAGACGGCCTAATCTACGAGGATCCACTCGACATGGCCAATGTAGATGATGGCATCGATTACAAAGCTACTAAAGGCGATGCAGCTGCATCAGATGACGTTGCTCTTTTTGACGATGAGGCGGAGCAACAGGCTTTGGCCCCAACGTCACTTGTCAACAAAGCACGGGTCTCCAAGACACGCGCACTTCATATTCTGGAGCACCCGCACTGCTCGAAGTATCTAGTGGGTAGCTTGATGAGGATATGGATTACGCCAGACGCCGCGCCAGATTCGGTCAGCTCACAATACCCACACCTCGTGAACACCCATGCCATATTCAAAGTGGAGCGCCTAGTAAGGACCGGCGAATATGCTGTCTATGGTGATAGTGTCGGAAACAGTTGTGATCACGAGATACGTGAATTCCTTGGTAAAACAACATACAGCATATTGGGCCGCCTCATGACGGATCGCCGATCCGAAACACTCAACAAAATTGGACTCAACGATGTCTGCAGTGCACCAATCTTAGAGGAAGAGATCAAGTTCGGAGGCGAATGGCTAATCAGAGACCTGAATCAGGCAGCTACTAATCTTAGAAATGTAAGCTTTCCACATTGAATATTCATCATGATGCAGTTCACGTTCACGGATGAGGATATACAGCTCATTCTAGAACGGAAATTGCTTAAGGAATCTGTAGAACAGACAGATTTTCAAGGTGGACGCAGCAGCTTGATAGCTGCGATACAGAGAACGTCCCACGAAATAGAGCTGCTCACCGAACTCGTCAAAAATGATACTTCCAAGATAGAACACCTCAGAGCATTAGAGGCTAGAAAAAACAAGATGGACGAACAGCTTCAAACCATGAAGGCACTTACACGTAATCCGCTATTCATCAAAACATGCCCGGTGCTGCGTGCTAATGCCGAGCCATTAGGACGCGGCGGAGCGGTGCGCAAGACGACGCAACCCACGCCGATGATTATGTGTACGTCCTAATCGGTGATAATTCAATTGTATGTAGTTAACAATATCGAGACGCAAGACATATTCCCCACTGAAATCCGTAAACGTGAAAGGAAGACGGTTGGCGAATTCAGCTACGAGGAACAAAAGGAGTTAGTGCTTGCCTACATCACGGTTAGTTAATCCGTAATTATGATCTGCATAGTGCTACAGAACGTGGACAAGTGCGATCCCGACACATGGCTTTCACCAAAAGACGATCTTGTCAATGGAGTGAACCGACGCAAGCCCAATCAGGCTGGTGTGATAAGCATGAAGGAATACTTCAGCATGGCGTGATTTGAAGTCCGATACCTTGTGTATTAACATACATCAAAACATCGCACCTATATATAAGCAATCATCTTAACTTGATGTATGATCCATTTAGTGATAAGCTTGTAGCTTATCAAAGCGTTGAGAATTGGCGAGGCCCACCGTCACGTTGAATCACTGGTCTGTGAGCTATTTGTTACATATGGAAACAGGGCACTGATGTTTTTGCACGATACTCGCAAAGACAAGTTCCATGCCTCGCGTCTGATCGTTTTTCTTTTCCAGAGCGATCGTCCGTACGCGAATTACTATAGATGCCTCACTTAAAAGTTTGATGTATGTCCCGATTATTAGTGGAAGATACATGTTTTGGCTTTGCTGCTGTTTGGGTGATCATGATGAAAAACATTTACCGATTTGTGAGGGTTATGTAACAGTGGTGGTGACTGATTATGTTTATGTGGGCTGGGTGAGCTAGGCGCCACATCATCATCACGGTGAGAAGTATGTTAGCTTGCTGAGTTTTCCAACACATGCGGCGGCGATCCTGCGCGGGTACGGGAGCCTGATGCCTGGCCGGCTGTGGACACTACATTGAGCTGTGTTAGTCCCGTTCTTTTAACTATTGAGCTGCCACGATCTAACTCATGAACGTGTCCACCGGTTACCCGCCGATGCGCAATTTTGAAATTTTAAATAAGGCGTTATTAAATTAACGTGCCATTAGTGCCTAACACGTTGGGATAAGTGCCATTATAACAAATGCCGGAAGTGATTGAAGGATGCGATACAAAACTTTCACTTGCGGACGAAACAATCGTGGACCCTGTGAAACGGCCGAATGCGAAAGATGCTCATCACGAATACGACGATGAGGAGGATTGCTATGACGACAGTGACGATGATGGTAGTGGAGGAATCGGCGGCGGAATCGTTGACACTGGTGTAAGCGGCGGTACTGGTGGTAGGGAACCTACGTCTACAACATGGACATTTACATGTGGAGCCCTTTATACATTTGGCCGTACAGTCTCTATTTGAACAATTATAACTCTCCGTTCCCCCTCATAGGTCCGCTACATATAACGCAGCTTCGATAATTACATCCTTCACAACAACAGGAACAGCACTTACATTGAAATGCTCTACATGTAGAAACACACTTACACCCACTACCCATTTTCCCGCAGCTCACTTGTCACCAACCTACAGGGGCATGAAACGAGTACGTTGACCTAGAAACGTAGAACCGCCGAGCCTTCTCCGGTAAGACACAGACAACCGCCACTCGTCCCACCGCCAGGGATACCACAATGTACATGCAGATCACCACGCACGCTGTTCACTTGGAATTACGGACACGATACGGATCGTGTACTTGCCATGTCTGAATCACTGTTGGCAGAGTTCCATAAGTGGAGCTTAGCGCAGCATAGAATGGACACCGTAGCAGCGCCTCTATGTGCCCCTCATGGCAGCTCTAATCAGTGCCTAGCTGAGTTAGGGTGCCTGCTGACTGTGTTACTGATCAACAGAATGTTGCGCATAACTGCCAGTTAACTAGGCTATCCACTGGTCATCACGTCGGAGACTTCTGGCGACGTTCATTGCCTAGCATCTCTCATGATAATTCACATGTCTAACACTTATCTAATGGATGACCGAGTGGCTCACATAGCACAGCAGTAGCCAGCTGTCTACGTTGGCGGCCAACCATCCGGCTTCACATTGCATTGACATGATGGGATGACGTAGACACTTTTCGATAGTGAGCTATGGCTCAGCATTTCTATAAATGGGCATCTCAATGCGTCGACTACATTAGGCATTAAGTTAGACATTTGGTTAGGCGGTGAGTTGCTGTGTGGTGAGTGAGTGTGTTGTGAGTGACACGGAGGCGCGGTGAGCGCCGTGATAGTGATGGTGATCACGCCTGTAGGTACGTTATCTTGCCGAGTGCCTTGACGCGTGCGGCGGCGAGGAGCGACTGTGCGGCGATCCTGTGGCTTGAAGGTGATTTTAAGTGGGAGCGAATCCTCAGTAAGTCGAGGCGGACGACGGTGATGTGCAGCAGGTACAGGAGCGACAGCGACCAGAGGGCTAACAATGTTATAGAGAAATTCTGTCTTATCTTCCAGATGAAGTCTTCGATTTCCTTGATTAGTTGAATGAGAACGGATTCTCCTGCGATAACTTTCTGGAGAGCTGTGCAGAAGTCCTTACAAGTGCGCCTCGTTTGTGGCCCATAACTACCACTTAAATCATTTGGGCTGCCGAACGTAAATCCGTATGCGTAGAGGGTCGGATGGGCATTACGGCATTTTACAATGGAGTAGCAGTCTGCAGTATGCTTGTCGTTAGTTGATGGATTCTTGGGATTACCGGAATCATCAGTGTATTTCACATTACAGTCCTTAGAACAGCATTTATCGTAGCATCTGCTGCTTGGTTTTTTGCAATTATTGCAACAATCGTCGTATAATTTTTTGAGTAAGTCATAGAACGTTTCTGTTATATAAACAATCCACGAAAGGTATCGACTGGCGTTGTGTTCCGAAAATATATCATGAATGCCCAGAGTGAGGGGCTGCAGGTATGCTCCGCAGGGGACCACTGGGCTTTTATTTTGATTGCATCTGAGAAGGCCTAACAAATCACCTTGTTCATGCGTTTTGCCGGAGTGTGCGCTGTATTGTTGTATGCAGGCAACATTCAAGGTTGTTTGAGGATCACCGAAATTCGCACCTCGGACAGATTCATCAAATGCTGTCTTCTTATACATGGCATCCTTACTACCCCAATGCTCAAGGAATCTATGATAAAAGGCAAACATGTCACCGAGAGTTTGCGGCGGCCGGCGTAGTAGACACTGCAAGTAACTACAGAGCTTATTAAGGTGAGATTTTTCATGGCCGCAGAAAACGAGAAGCGCGTCTTTGAGGTCTTTGCCTATTTTCGTATGCGAAGCAGTGACACCGATATCACCAAATCCCATTGGCGTCTTACACGGGATGCCTCTATGATTGGGCAGAGTACATTCCAGCTTACAGCCTGGCGCTTTGAATGAGTGAGGCAAAAAGCCTGGTAAGCCATCTTCCAGGAAAGATTGGAGCGGTGACTTGATTCCGCAGCCGTAATGTTGGTCTGGCTTTTGGCCGCATGTTTGGTTGTGCTTTTGATCACAGTCTTGGTTTGGACATTGGAACTTATTGCAGCTCCATGATGACCCGCCGATGTACCTGCCATAGTGACAATCGCGCCAACCGCTACTTAGGTAGTCATTGTGGCACTGTTTGTACACGAAGCACAACTGTTCATAGACTCTATTCAATATGTCTGACAGCATATCGAAACACGCAGCGGGGCTACCAGGGTACAATAAATTATCTGTGTTCACATAGAATTCACATGCGTATCGCCCTTCGGCATGGCCGCGGCCAAGGATGCCGATCAGAGCGTCTTCGGAGTACAGGCAGACATTTTTTAGTGAATTGATCAATTGTTTGGCGTCGAGACGTGATGTTATTACCTTTTTAATATCGTCTGGTACGATGATATCGAAGGCATCACTGTTCAACTTATACTCGTCTTTTAGCCCAGTAAACAATTGGCTAATGTGCCCCTCCAGTTTCTGATACATCGGATTAAAGTATAACCCGAGGAGCCATTGCAGCATCTGATAGATGCTACTCGGCGCCCTGGGTTTTGGAGGAATGTAGTGGTGAGAGACACGGTAATACGTGCCAAGATGGGTGTGCAGCTTCCTAATTGGGCTGCCTTCAAAATCATTGTTAGTATTAAATACGAAAACATTTTTGGTTATTATCCCGCCGCAAAGGAGACCGTGAATAAACTTGCCGTTGCACTTCGACTTGTTGAGCAAATGTCCCTCGTGGCCCTTAGTATCCTTGGAAACCTTGTAACCGCATTTCTCAAAAAAGGTGCCAAGGGGATTCTTGCCATGCGTATTGATTTGTTTATTATGCCACTCGCCTGTGGTGTTTGGATAACACCTTTTCCTTAACGTTTTCATGTTTCCATTCAGTGTCTCCAGTATGGTCAGGCAGACCTTGGCGCAGTTGCGGCCCTCAGTGGAAAGGACTTTATCCGCTGGTTTTTTGGTGGACTTTGTGTCATCTTCCACCCAGCTATCTGTAGGGATTTTCCCGCTGTAAGCGTTCACGTACGCGTGGGAGAGTTGCTGGGCGAAGTCTGACATGCCGCGCCTGAGGGCGTCGAGGAGGATGCTGCATGGCATTGCAAAGCGCCTTGGGACGAAGTCATGTAGCGCATAATTCAGCCTTTCTAGATGAGTGGTGAAGTGATTATCAAAGTGCCGACTCTTTTTAAGCATCTCAAGTAAGTTGCTCAAAGCATGTTGTGAAGGCTGCACTTTACCATAGTCGGATGCGAAATCCGTCTGGCGTTCCAAACTTCCGAAGAGGAATTTGAAAGCATTATTTATATTTTCTGTAGCATCTTCAAATTTGGATTTGGCAGCAAATTTATTTGTCTCAATTTTCTTCACATATTTCTCCTTCAGCTTATTTAACATGCCTTTAAGGCCCGTGACCTCGTCCATCTCGATTATTTTTTGCACTGCTAGCAGTTGGTCGTCGACGAGGGCACGGAACGCGGATATGTCGGCTATTTTATACCTGCAGAATAATATCCTAATTTCCTTGGTGATATCGTTGAAAGCATCAGTGATGGCTTCGTTGGATTTTTCACGGGCCTCGGATACTGCGTCATTGACGTCGTTAATAGCACTGTTAAGCATTGATTCAGATTGGCTAACGGCATGACGAATATGAAAAAGATTCTCGTCGAGCTTACTTTTTAACGTTAACATTTTCTCAAGCACTTCACCTTTCTTGATTTCGATGATGCCATTCTGCGTCTCATCTTTCTTTTTAATTTGTTCAAGCGCTTCAACGTCACTATTAAGGTCCTTTATATTCCTTTCAATTTCACCACTTTGGCTTTGTATCAGTTTCTCAAGCGTATCAATCGCCCCCTTCACGCCCTGCAATGACGTATCAATTCTACCGCCTAAAGATCCCGTAACCAAACCAGTATTAATTTCGGTGCTGATTGAACTGACACTTGCTATTGCTTTTGTTAACTTCTTAATTTGCGACTTAGTCCTGAAATTCTCAATTTCCTCTGCCGCTCCTTCCACCGCAGACTTTATGGCGCCTAGGGTGGCTTTAACGGCAGCTTGCAGATCAGATCTGAAGGTGTCATTTTGTTGCAACGAGAACTTAGGATCCCCTTTTAGTGCGATCTCAATATCTTCGACTATCTGAGTGTGCTTACCCGCTACATCCTTGGCGTAGCCTCTAAGATACTGTACGATTTCCGACAAATTTTCATCCACACCAGTCTTGATTCCAGGCTTTTTATCAACGGTGATTCCACCAAGAGCAATTTGGATCTTCTTCTGAACTATTGGAGCCAATTCTTGAAGTATGTCACCGTTTCCTTGATCCTGCAAACTACCCTGAAATAGAGTCCTCCCATGGTTGTTACTAACATACTTCTCAAATAACCCTTTCACCGCTTCCCCTCTCACAATGTTCTCCACCCAATTTGCCACGGTACTTTCAAAATCCTCACCATACCTTTTAGCATACTTGTGCACTTCTTCTACAATATCAGCAAGCGAATCCGGCTTCTTTTGACCTTTCTTGGTCACATCTCCAACAATAGTCTCAAGCTTAGAGCAGAGCTTCTTCCAATTATCCTCTATACTCAGATCTACGTTGCCTTGTCTTATAAAACCTGCTTTAACCCCAATTTTAATGATATCAAACTGTCTCTGCGCCTCCGTCACCAATGCCTTAAGCGCATTCTTATGCGCATTTAAAGTGTCACACGCGTTAGTAACTGCGAATTTGAACTCTTCAAATGTCCATGCAATCTGTTCTTTATAATCCCTATCAAAGTTATTGTCGATGAAAACACCAAAATCCTTCAACTTATCATTAATGTTCTCAAAGTGATATCTCTTCACCCCGTTTAAGTTGCTCATTTTCGCCGATACGTCCAAGAACTGCATATGCAATTTATGTAGAATGGTCTTCTTCTGCTCTTCCACAGCCTCATCCAATTTATTAGCCTGATCAGCCAACATCTTATTCTCCGAAGACGTTTTCAACATCATAATTCCCTGATCTATCTTTTCGACAGGCACAGTTAACTTAGATTTTAGGTCTTTATCAAGTGCCGCGAATCCATTTTCATTGCTCTTGAGCTCAGTTATACTTTCACCAAGCGCTGTAATGGCCTGGACATATGCCTTGTGGATTGCCCGCAGGCTTTTGTGCTGTGCTATGTTGATATCGGTCATTTTGTCTCCGATTTCCTTGTTTCGGAACTCGTCTAATTGTCTTGTAACTTCTTTGTTTTTCTCCTTAACCCCATCATCATACCTCCTAAGCCACTCAGCCACATTGCCAACCCGCGTACCAAATTCCCCAGACCCCCGACCTACGGAAGCTTTAAGAGAGCCTAGAACTCTACTTAGTTGATCGTTTACATGGATTTTTTTAATATGATTATCATAATTTACAACAACATCTTCACTTTTCACACTGTCCAACACCCCGTGCAAGAACGCCATCACCGCGTCACAGAGCCTGTCAAGGTCCGAGTACACGATTCCCTTGCCATCGTAGCCTTTGGAATCTGAATTGAAACCTAAAAACTTTTCTAAGCCATCAGTGAGATTTTCTAAAAGCTTTGCTGCAGGATTAATATTAGAATATTTTGAACCAACCAAGGCTTCAAGTTTACTTTGAAGATCTTTAAGCTCACTCTTTCGCTCCTCAATATCCCCCAAGGCTTTATTTCTGGCATCATCAGTAAGGTAATGAACTTCATTGTAGTGGTCATCTTTCTCTTTTTTAAGCTTATCTAAATTGGATTTCTTTTTGGATTTTTCAAATTCAGTTACAGAATTTCCAGCAATTTCATCTTCAAGCTTCTGAATGTCAACCTGCTGAGTCTGACAATAGGAGGACTCACGATCAGAATAGTATTTTTCGGGACATTCAAGTTGTTGTTTCCTCTGTTCAAGACTACTAGTAGCATCATCAATAGCCTCAGTGATAAACTTTTTCAAAGCTTCAGCCAATTTCTGTAGACCTTTCCTATCTCCACCATGCCTAACCTGTATCAGCCAGTCGATGGACTCCCGGAGGTTCTCCGGACAGTCCGTAAGCTTCTTAGGTTGACGTACCATCTTGAAAGCTAACTTACCGGACAATTGTCGACGCCTAATTTACAACACCACCTATCAATTCGAGGTTGCAGATCCCCGACTCCGCTGCAAAAATGCGGTGAGCACTGGACGCTTGGCGTATAACCTTATTTGTTTTCCAAACCACATTGATCAGATTTGTGCCTGATGGGGCAGCAACGTACAATTCATGGCAAAAAGTGCATCCGCCTCGCCTACCGATCCCCAGTAGCAGTGCCCAGACAACTCAGATCCTTAATCCGCTTAGGAGGTGGTCTTAAACCTCAAATTTGCACTCCAGTGTTCAAAGACACATAGTAACAGCCGCTACTTCTGTAACCTCCAAGTTAGTGTTTTCGACAAATCCTGTCTCTCTTACGAAATTCCTGGTCCGCCCCACTGCCACTACAGGGCATTAATATTGGGAAGAATCTCTTCATGGAACGTGATTATGAAGTGTAGCAAGGAATGTTGTGAATTAAAGCGTGATAGAAATTACCAGCGTTAAATGCGATAAAAGTATTGTTCCTCCTTCAACATTGACAAGAGATGGAATATTCGATGCCTTATGTAAGAGAAAGTTACATCAATATGGATGATGCCGATGTGTAACCATGAGGAGCAGCAGTAGCAGGCCGGTATGAAAAGCAACTGTGTAAGTGAAGATTGTGAAGGGGTAAGTGGATGACCATGGTAACGATGGAGTGTATAGGCCAAGACGGAGGAGACCAAAGAGCCTAGTAGACCGGAGACCACAGACTAACCAACAGAGGAATGCCACCATCATCATCACCATGAAGAACTGGATTACCAACCAAGACAACCTGGTAGAAAAGGATGTATTCAAGAAGCGTAAGTACGAAGACCCTATCGAGGACCCGAATGCGCAACAAATCAACCAACACGAGGAGCAAGGCAATGCCGTATGCAACGGGTGACATGTGATCCAGAAAAGACAAGCTGACCCTCGCATCCGACGAGATGGATGACACCAGTAACGTTTGGCAACAGATCGACGTGGAGCCCGTAGACTACACCAACAGCGTGAGGCGCTAGCACGGTAAGTGGGAGAATGGCCCAAGCCAAATATAATGATTGGCAACTCTACGCTATTCAGGTGCTCGGATGGGTGACTGTGAGCATTGTCATAGCCGATATGTTGAGTTATACTCCGGCATTGGCCGACGTGTTGAGTATAGGAGAGCGTAGTTACTGGGCACTCATGGGCAACATTTTGGTGTTCACTAGGGTAATAATCCCGCGCAATGGATCTAATAAGTAGATATTAGCGCATCAATAACGTGGTCCATGGTGGCAAGTGGTATAGTAACGTGGCTTAAGTTTAGTGTAGTTCTGACTGGGCTACTTCAATACTAGTTCATCAAATATGGTGAGTCGGCATTTATGATAGGATGCGTTGCCCAGAGCGTTTATTTTCTGGGGTGCAAAGCGCGCGGATCTAGTATTCTTGGCGTTGCGTCGGATGGCGATACCCTGGATGGTCACAGAGCGATGAGAGGAGACCCCTTGGCGGGGTCGTGATGCAGGGTATAGACACACAAGCTGCCGTTCACCAGTAAAAGCTATGGACATGCCACCGTCTTATTGTGATGCATAATGTCACTTCAGTTGTGCTTCGGACTTTCACGAGTCGTGAACTTTGCAGCTTCCTTAGTCCACAGGTGAGTGGAGTGTTGGTATGATTTTTGTCCCAACACCTGTATTGCAGGGCGTGTTGAGAAAAGAAGCATCTGCGATTTCGGAATGTCTAGTGATTCGTCCTAATATTATGTTTCATTTTCAGCCTTTTGATTCAGTCACCTTGCGGTTTGGCTATGCTGTATTTTCAAGTGGCGGTCATTAGAGCCTTAATCACGTTATGATATTTTCTGCTTCAGAGACTTGAGAGCTTCGCTGTTGTCATCATGTGACGCTTAAGCGCATATTTATTAATGTGTTGACATTCTGTTACTCGTAATGATGGTGGAGAGTGGAAATAGATTCTTTTTTACAACCCTCAGGGACTGTTTTGTATTCTTTGATTGGTTGAAGACTGAACCTGAGGGGAGGAAAACGCACGATGACGTGGCCAAGAAACTTCATGGGCTTCTTAAAGACTATTACGATGATAGTGAACTTACGGAAGGTAAAATTAAATCCAATTTGACCAACTTCCTTTCCAAAGTAGACACCTTTTATAAAAAATTGGTATCTCAACACGTTCCTCAAGAAGCACTCGGAACAGCCGCCTCAATTAAAAAGGGTGCCACACCGGAAGAATTTGTCGACGCTCTCCTGGAGTGTCTTCCCAAGTTCCTCGCAGCGATCTACTATCTTTGGTATTGCGTGTCTCACAAGTTCAAGTCACTTGGAGGCGGGGGGTGGGAGGGTAATTACCCTGGGTGGGAAGAGGATCGGAGTTGGTGGGGCACGAAAGGTTGGGGCGGTGACCTGCAGAAATATCTCAGAGCGCAAACAGGCGGTGAATACGGTGGCCTTATACCCGGTGGCTTCAATAGATATGAGGTGAGAGATGGATGGTCTTACAATGGTTACAGCCGTGGTTATTCTATGGTAACTGCCCTCAAAAACATCTTCGAAAAAAAAGATGATACGGCGCAAAATGTTTTTCGCGATGTGTTCGCCACTTCGGTGCTAACTACCGCATCTGGCACCCAAATTTCTAACACTGCAAATGCTCTTGCATTGGTGAACTTGTTTTGCGAGGTTGTGGTTGAGGCGGATGAGAATGGAAATGGTGACGAGTTTAAAACGCATGTACAATTAAAAAACGGTTGCGTACATTGGGGCTTTTTAAAAGATCATTGCTCCACACTGAAATCCCAATTTGGCAAGATTTTCAATGATAAAGCCTTTTCCTTCACCGGCTACGGACGGAAACGTGGAGAGCTTAACCAGGAAAAGTTTGCAAAGAAAACGGCAGATTGGTTGCGAAGCAATTTGGATGAGGTGCGGCGGAATTTGGAGAAGATTCAACGTTTCGAAAGCGAATATGATGACCATGCACATGAATTCACAACGTTCAGGAAACATCACACCATGCTCCAGGAATATTACGCCGCGCTCGGTCCATATTTCACAAAAAATCTTTTCCCCTACGGTTTCACTTTCTACGGGGAAAAAGAACACTTTAAGACAAATGCGCCTTTTGAGGATTTTAGAGAGGAGTGGGATGGTGTAATCTTTGAGCTTAGAAGAAAAAATGGCGGCTTGGCAGAGTTAAAAAGCATTCTGGATGGTAAGGGGTGCCATCCGCCGGCTCCGCCCCCAAAACCCCGACCTAGGCCGGCGCCTGCGCCAAGGCCCCCGAGGCCTGCCAGGCCTGCACCTCCACCCCGGCCTTCCGGGACTCCTGGCAGGACATACGGTCCAAGAAATGTCGGAGGTTGGTCGTCTGTTGAGAGTCGGGCTTCTGGTGCTAGAGGAGGGGGAGCGCATAACCGTAGAGGCGAAACACAAAACAGGGTAATGGGACCGGGGGCTCAGGGAGGTAGAGGACAAGGGCCAGAGCCTCGAGGTACTGTAGGCGCTAAGGGCACACAGAGAAGCAGTAGTCCAGGGCGTACGATGTCTACTCAGTCTCAACTCCTACATCGTCAATCTACTCCCCAGTCTCATCCTACACCTGCTTCCCCCAGTGTTCTCAGTGACCCTAGTTCACCGGCTGCAACACTTCCGACTCCAGCACGCCTTACGTCTCAAGCCCCTGCGCCTGCTCACTCAAGTGCGTCCAGCTCAAGCTCTTCGTCATCTAGTGTCATCGATACCGGTGGTACGGGGCTGGGTCCCCAGGCGGCCGCTTCTGGACATAGTCAAGGGAGTAGTCAAACATCCATGGGCAGCACGGTTACCCTTCCTCATGCATCGCCTGTCCTGGAACCTGGTAAACAGAGCGGTCCCTCCCAAGACAGTATGCAACCTGGGATTTCGGATCCTTTAAGTTCAGGTTCTACGCATTCTGGTGGCATGGCGCCTGCTCAGCATTCTCCACAAAGTACTCCAGTCTCCCAAGATAATACAGACGCCCGTATGGGGATCGTCGGCCAGCCATCCCATACCCTGCCTTCTATTCCAGGTGCTGGTGAGCGTGCAGGACTGGGTGGTGTGCCAAGCACCGGTGGGCATTCAGGGGACAGTATTACCACAGCCACCGAGCCTGTTGCCTCTCTAAGCGTCGATCTATCCCAGGTTCAAACTGCTCCAAGAGATGTTCAGTTTGCTGGGCATAATAGTGATCCAGGCAGTCCAGGGACTTCTTTGACACAGGCTGGGCCAAGTCACGGTGGAGCCCCGGGGCCCATCGGTACGCACGTTGCTCACGTTCCGGATTCAGACAGCAAGCTTTCTTCGAGAATACAACCCTCTGGCCCTTCAAATGTAAGCGACACTCAGAATTCAAGGGTTCAAACCGCAGACTCTTTGTCACCCCCTGACCATGATACTGCTCAGGATCCGAAAGGCCAGGCACATACCCCTACGCAACGAACTTCTCATCAATCTTCAGGCCTTAGAAGTGCCCATCAAGGCACCCCCGGCGCAGACATTCAGCCATCCGCTGCAAATCGTGCTGATCCAGGTGGAGGAGGAGGTGCTGGAGGGGGTGGGGGGTCGGCAGGTGGTACGGATGGCGATTCCCTGGTTGTCTCTCAACCTGGTCAAGCACCTAAAGCCTCTCAACATTCTGTTCAACTTCACACCCCAACTATTTCAGCCACAGACCCTCCATCATCTGGTATCCCTGGTCCACCGGGTGATGTGGGCCCTACTCTCCAATCGCCTCCTCAGGTAAATCCTCATGGCCACACGGGTGATTCAGGCGGTCATAGCCCAGCATCCATTCCACAGGCTCCCGGCCCAGATCCTCTCAGTGATTCCGATAATGCAGTTACAAGAGGTCAACAACATGTTGGAACTCAGGATAATGGATCTCCAGGTCAGCCAGGCCCTACGCCGTCTGTTCCTCCACCCCCACCTTCTGCCCCTCCCACAACCACAGCTGCAGACCCTTTGAGTTCTCAGAACAGTATACATGGACCCAAGGGGACCCCAGGTATTCATGGTCCACCGATTGTCGAGATTCAGGATCCTAGTTTGAAAGGAAACGCAGACTCTACGGAACCTCTAAATAAACACGCATCCTCTACCTCCGTTGATGTACATGACCCCCCTGGTAGGTCAGGAAGCGTGACTCCGGATACAATGTCAGGTATACTTCAGACTCCACAGCCTGATGACATTCACGGCGCTGTGCTCACTCAGCCCTCAAGTGTCTCAGGTTCACGGCCTTCCTCAATTGCTGCCTCTCCTGCCGGTGGTGGTCAGGGCCCGGATGACCAGGCGTCTCTTTCGGATCCTAATCTGCCACATGCTAAAAATTCCACGGGCAGCCCGGTAACCCTTCCCATTACCTCCCCAGTTATGCAACCTAGTCAAGGTGGCGGTGGAGATGCAGGGAGTGGGAGCCCAGGGGCGACAATCGGTGACCCTAATTCGCCAAGTAGACAGACGGCTGATAACAATTTAGGGTCTTCTGGCATATCTATGAATTCGGGCAGCGATGCGTCGCATCAAGTATTACCTCAGACCTCAATACCGGAGCCGCCCCAAATTGAGCTTGAGATTGATAAGCTTTACACTCCGGATATGATTTACGGCGCTGAAAAGATTCAAGGAGAACCACTTCCCGCGGTTGGATATAAGAGAATTGTGCCACCGTCCGATACCTATTCCAATGTACCTCCGCACGCCCCGTCTCATGCAAAATTCTATCCAAATTTTACCACTGTCGAATTCGAGGACAAGTGCGTTCCTCCCTGGATCACGAAGACAAATAACGACAACCTGCAAGAATACCCCGACACCGAGCTGTTCCCCTCCGAGCCGCCGCGTACAGTCAGGGAGATGCTTATTTGGCTGGTCGGACTGCAGAACCCGAAGCATCTTGACACTATGAAACGATGTATTGAGAAGGTTTTCAGGAGCGTGACCGATGTCATACACGGAGAGCTCAAGCTATCTGCCAACGATTTTCACATCACAGTTGACAACGTAGTTGACGTCTTAAGACTTACCTCCCTGTTTGCAGCTTCAGTGCTATCCACCATTGAACCTGCGTGGAAAGGTAACATCTCACTATCTGCTACATTCAAAAGTAAGGACTCCGACCAATCCAAGGACCCTGATTGCTGCACCCTCCTCTGCCGGCTGCGGGATTACGTCTACGCCTGCTGCCACCAGTTGGCGTTCCTAAAGTCGCAGTGTTCTCGGGAGCAGTCACATGGTGGTTGGCAGAATCATGAGTATGGCCATGGTGTGTCTCCCCAAAAGTCACCCCTTCAGGCCTTTCTGACCGACGCCCATGACTCCAAGTTCACGACATACCCCTTCGACCCGTGCAACGTCTGCCTCAAGAGCCGTGTCAGGATGGGATTCAGGGCAGATGATTTGCCTGACAAATTGGAAACTGGCAACGTCCTTCTCACTATCCTCTCTCCCACCTGCGGCGGCGACGATCCGTTGCTGACGGCTGTGCTCTTACCTCAACTGTCTCACCAGGCGGACGCCGCGCACCACCGGGGAGCTTGTCTCGTTCTTCCACAATTTCGGGAATGAGTTGCACAATGCACCTTCAGAGTTGTCCCCACTGGGCTCCGCCCTCTCAACTCCACATGGCCACTGCCCCGACTGGGACCGTCTTGGTGACGCCGACCTCCAAGCCGTCCAGGGTCTCCGTGGCTCTGACTCTCTCAACTCCATCCACCACGACAAGGACAAAGGTCATCCCAAGACCCTGTCCACGCTGCTTGGCTGCGGCATCGATAATGTCAACTGTCATCCACATATGACGCCCATCACCTACCGGGCCGACGCCCTGTACTCCCCGAGCTTCGCCCACGCCTACCTCAGCTGGACGGTCTACCTAGCAGACAGACTGTGGGAGTCACTGACCAAGCTGCACTATGATCTCGAGAACCTTCAATGTCACGACTCCAAGCTCAAGCCCCTACACCGCCGTGACAAGGCCCTGCTCCTCCTCTATTCTCACGGGTTCACGCCGCCCGAGGGTGTATCGCAGCCTTCACTCACGTGTTCCAAGGTAGTCGCCAAGCTGGAGGAAGTGGTCTCGGGTCAGCCTATCGCAACGCTTATGACATGCATGGATATATTTCTCTACAGAGTTCGGATGCCATTCCTCTACACTCTGTTCACAGTGTGGTCTATCGCAGCGGTCTTCCTCACCTACACGACGCTATATCGCATCGACTTCCTGCGCATACGCTCTCACTTCGTGCGCTCCAAGGCGTCACACCTCATCGACGTCAAGGCACTACTCACGCACGGGAGGAGAATGCTCTCACTCTACAGTGACGTCGACTATTTTGACGATGATATGGCGGAACGGCTTGACGGCTCACAGTAATTAGCGCATTCACGGAGTCGTTTGTTACAATGTTGATGTGGTGCACTGGTTATTAGTTCTTTTAGAGAAGTCGAGTAGTGTGGTGTCCATATACAATCCGACTACACATCCTTTGCACTAAAGAAGTTGCTAACATTCAGACATTCAGAGGTAACTCAGTCAACCTAACTGCAACCTAGAAGATTGAGTAGTTTGATATGTTAAGTAGCGTCGCGACACCGTTCATCATTTCTTGTTTCTATGTCCTTACTCCGGAAATACAGGACAAACGTCCCCTCCCCCCTAATTCTCTCAACAACTCCAAGGTTTCACTCTGCTAGCACCCCATAGCTTCATCTATTACAGAGTACTAATTTCATGAAATGATATGTCAACATAAAGCATCCACCTAATCACGAAGAGCAACTTGAGCTGCAGGCCGACGCACGCATCGGTGCAGCCATGCCAAATTAACGGGGAACAGACATGTACCTGGAAGACGACGTTATTTGTCCCATTTTCTCGCGACAATATGTCCCCATACGTTACAGCGGGAGCTAAATATTTGCCTTAGACTGAACTCTATGGAGAATTAAGTGCGCTACATAGTATACATAACATTAAAAAGGTTGTTACATCAGGCTGTATATGAAAAGTGGTGCGCATGTGAGGAACGATAAAACCCTGGAGCAGGTCACTGATGATATAAGGCTGCAAGGGAACCCATTTGTCGTATTTGACGCATTCTTAGGCACCAGAAACGCATTTGCAAGGGTCGCCAACAATGATGTAACACTACAATAGTGCACGTGCTTGTGATACGGGGCAAGCCCTCGAGTTGTGACGACAATCAGCGCATTGCAAAATAGAGTGCAGGACAGAAACTTGTTCCACTCGTCGGAACCTTCGGTGAGTGGCCCTTCCCGCCTTTTCCCAAAATAGTAACCCTCGTCACCGTCTGATCCTCTATTAACATAAGGTTGTACAGTTCGGCAAAGTAAAACACACTTATCGAATTTACTTGAATCACACGAGTTATATAATCAGAATGAAGCGCATTGCCGCCTACATTAGTATGCTGGTATAGTTAAATACAACGTTAACCGCCTCGCAGAGGCGATGTGCATCACCTAACAGTATCACAACATCATCAGACTCCGTATAACAGATTAAACCGTTCATTGCACTCGTTTAACACGAATGGACAACGTATATAAACATTAATGAGGCGTGTTAATGCAAAATGTCACTTGCGTACCTGCAGCGAAGAAATCATCAGCCGCGAAGAAGAGATACCAGACGTGGCTCCCAAATATAAACGCCCATGCGACATTTAGTATAGGTCTAAGCAGAAGAGGGCTGTAGGTTGCGAAGTTAATGTAATATGGTAGAATCAAACTGAGGAAGGCTGTTCAAGCGTGAGTGTTATTTGCATAGGTACTTACCCAGGAAGCCCGTGAAGTATTTGAAGCAGTTTAATAATGTGCTCGACATTTTCGTTCGCCATATGTCTACATAACTAAATACAGAGGATGACAAGGGCATGGAAGTCCGACCTTCCATGGGGACAGCGCGGATTCTATGGCTTCAAGTTGTTTCCATAGGTAGTGAATGTTAACAAAACGATCCAAACATATTTTAATAACGCAATGCATACAATTATCTTATGTGTGTCGTCGAAAATTACTCGTGTGTAGTACACCGTTACACAGGGGACGTGAATTGGCTACTATCTTTCCCGGCTTTAACAAACACTACCAACTCCGTACAGCATGGTGCTAAATAAATTGGCGCACTATTAACATGAGTTATAGCTATGTTTCGGTTGTTAATGACTACATCTTGATCATATCCTCGAATCTGTCTATTGTTTCCAGGTCCCACAGTACAAGCAGTTCCCCTCCGAAGCCCATGAGGTGTTTGTCATCTGGTGAACCCTCTACGCTAAACAAAGGGCCCTGATAGATTTTATGGCAAAGTTTTAAGAGGTGCACATACCGTGTTGAGGTTTTTGGAAGCCAATTTCGTGGGTTTCGTGTCTCCAAGTTTGTACACCTTTGCTTTGGAATCCAATCCACACGTTACCATTACATCTGCGCATCAGTAGGTTGAGCTGAGGCGCACTTACTGTCAACGAGCTGTACCGAACTGCAAGCCTTCTTGTGGGCCTTGATTTGCCAGAGCATTTTCTCGCTCCGGATGTCGTACTCTGCAACGCTCCCATCTTCCATTGAGATCTACATTGCACTATTTCTCATCTTGGCCTTGCCAACATACCACCACATTGTTTGCGCTTTTCCAGACGGCGGATTCCACATCAGAGTCCAGCTTGATGTGAATCTGACACATTTTTACGCTGGTATATAGCAACCATACCTTGCTTGTGCATTCCCGGATGTCGCACAGTGCAGCTGTTTTGTCGAATGATGCTGTTAACAGAAGGGATGGATCGAAGGGTGAGAATTGCACCACTTGGACCTGCACGGGTTATGCATGTTGGATCCACTGTGTCGCCTTACATTTGACGTGTGGTGATCAAACGAATGCAACACTTGTGCCTCGTTGAGATCCCAGACCTTGACTGTTTTGTCGGCTGATCCGCTGGCCATAAGTTGCCTGCACCGTATAGAGACCTTTGCAGCATTGCGTTAACTTACGAGACATGGGGCGAGTTAGATAGACACTGTACAGCGTCTTCGTGCGCTTGTTTTTGCGATTTCCCCTGGCCACCGAGGGTTATGACGGGGTCTAGTTTGTCGATTTGCCTCATATCCCATATGTCTATATGGGACTCGTAGGTGCCCGCTGCCACTAGAGGCGCATAATTGGGAAGATTAGGGACTATTTCCAGCACTAATGGGAAAGATGCGATCTGTTTGCAGAATGTGACGCCAAAAGGCGTAAACTTACCAGGATGGAGTGGCATGTCTCCAGCCCACAATATGCAGTGTTGTATATGAAGAAATCGATCGATGCGCAATCCTCGCCACTATTTCCGCAGACAATAACCCTGTCATCCCCATCCAGTTTACGTGACTGCAATAGAGTAACTAAAAACTGTAACTGATTCGTACCTCCACATCTTCCGCATCCTCGACGATAAGTTTCTCATCCTCATTAGACAGCGTGAAGAACTGTTCACCTGTTTACACAATATTAGGTTTCATGATGTATATAGGATTGCTACCTGGCACTTCGTCAGCATCATAGTTGTCGAGATCGAATTCGTCCGTGATTTCGTCCCTTTGGTCCTCCTCTTGGTCTACGTCTATTTCGCTGAACATCGTTAGCCTTTAATATGCATCACATCGGCAGTAATAAAGGTAAAATCAACGATAGACACGGCGAAAGGTACCATACCTGGCATCTTCTTCGGCGCGATGTATGTAGCTTTGGAAGAAGTCAGTATAAGTGTAGCTCTTCGGGAGCCATTTAAGGCAACTGATAACATTCATTGCGTGTAAAATTTTTTGGTGCCTGTGATAATGGAAGGACGGAGATAATATGTAATGTATGCTCGGTTTTCCAACAATGTATCTCGAGCTCGAAGTGCAGCTGCCTTCTACTCCAATTCGCCATCGAAATGAATTTTTATAAATTGAAGTGGTTAAATACCATATATCGCATAGAAAAACCTGTTGTCTAATGAGGGGAGTCTAAGATGAAGGCAAGCAAAAACAAGCGCATCAAGAGGACGCTTGATTTTTATCGGCAGCTCTACAACCTCACGGAGCCTTACCGCGTTCTAGGTCGGTGTGTATGAAACGTAGGTATATCATCACGCAGTGGATGGTTCATTTGCGTATGCCGCGCTGAAACACCGCATCCATGTCAAGGATAAAATAACAGAGCTTCTTGGTGGCACGACTCACACTTGTAAGTTGCCTTCCCGTCTGTTATCGCTATATTAGTGCGATTTGTGTTGAATTGTCATGTGTTGAGCACGATGTAGTCTTATGCGTTCAGTATATTACTGTCGTACATATAGCATGTCTGGTACGGTTATCTATTGTTACAAAATGCTAGCGAATGGCAGTTCTCTTCTGGTGTTAGGTGTTAAAGACGCATGGTGTTCAATCAGCTGATGCAATTTTTAAAGTGTTGTTCTCTTAATTTTCTTTTTGCATCTCGCCAGTTTGCGCACTTTTGCGTGGTGCCCTGCTCCCTGCGGAACTAACGCAGTAGCCTATGTGTTTCGTGCATTATGAAATGTAACGCGCAAAGGTTTCACATAAGTGTTACTTTCACGTATTCAAGGTGAATTCATGCCGCAGATGTTACCAACTGCATCCTGGATGAACTTCGTGACATGGGGGAGGAGATGTCCGGAGCTAGTTTGTCCTTGAAGCGGTATCAGAGGTATGTTTTGGGTAACAATACAGTGTAATATACGCAGGCTTAACTGCACGCATGGATCGAGTGACAAGGGTGCCAATTCGCGTCGTTGCATTACAAGTGCGGTGTCAGCCGGCAACTCACAGAAGTTGTTTGTGGCCACTCAGGACCAGACTTTGATCGGCTGGTTGCGCAAGTCTGGTGATGTGCCTATCGTGAAGCTCAACAACAATGTGATGTTTCTCGAGCACCCTGCGAAGAGCTCCAAAGAATACAAGGAATTCGTACGTATACATGTGGAAGCTGCGAACATGCTCACAGGTTGAAAAGGGTAAACTACTTCCCAAAGATTGGGAGAAGGCGTATTTGCCCGTGATGTCGGATACCAGTGCTGCACCTGTAAAGCGGAAAAAGGAAAAGACCAAAAACCCCAACCCGCTAAGCTGTTTGAAACCCAAACGAAAGGCGTCAAAAGATCAGCAAAAACCTACAACTACCATCGCAGATGCATCTACAGAGAAAGAGGTATGCCAGTTTCATTGTTGCGCTTTATTGAATGACAGGAACCTCGGAAACGAAAGCGCCGACGCAAGGCTAAGTCGAGTACTGAAACTTCGGAGTCTGGACCTTTACCACCTGACAGCTCTTAGAGGTGATCTGAAGGTCGCAACACTGGCAAATGATTGTTAGTTGTTAGCAAAGGACGCTGAACCTCACAGACGTGGCGTCTGCGGATTAGCCTATGCAATAAAACACTGCAACGAATGGCGCTTTTATAATAAATGAAGCATATTCATGTTTGCTTGTACTTTTTCTCGAAGTTGTTCATTAGGTGCGATATAACATTTGCCATGATGGGTTGGCCCCGCTTGGTCTTCTGGCCCAGCAGTCTGTGTCTGGCATACCTCTCCTGCTTCTTCTCCCTGATTTCTCGTTTCTTTTGCTTGATCTTTTCTATCCTCTCGTTGTGTTGCTGCTGCTTGATTTTGGCCTTTTCTTCCCTGAGTTTTAGGGCCTTGGCGTAAACACCAGTGAATTTACCCTTCTGCTTTTCGTTTGATTTGCCCCTAGCATTCGATGCTACATCAACCCCTTTGTCATTATTAATTGAGATCCTATCACTGGTTTTAGCCCCTTTTGCAGAGTTCGAACGAGAGTTGGTTTGTTCGGTACCGTTACGAGACGTTGCAGCGGTCGATTGCAGCTCATCATGATTTTCAAGTTCCCCAGTGCCAGAATCGCTGTCAGATTGCTCAGTTTCGTCGTCTGATTCGTGATTGTCCTCCGAAAATCGACCACCGCGACGCTCTGTCACCTCCGGAGTGCCGCTTGCATCATGAGATGCGGGAACTCTCCCAAGTCCTGCATCCTCTCCATCGTCGGACGGTTCCTCCCTCTTGCTGTCGTAGGCGATATTAGCGTTGCCTCTGGCCTGTGATCCGTTTACGTAGTAAACTGTTTCGATTTGGGGCTTGATTATTTTGACGTCGTGTTCTGCGATAGTTTGCACATTGGGCCGGCGGCCAGTATCACCTTTTTCTTGTGCATTTACGTTGTTGCTGCCGGTAGTCTCGTTTGTCGTGTCTCTCTCTTTCCGCTTTTGTAGCTCCTTTTTGTATACCTGGAGGCAGCGCTGGTCAGAGATATACTGCTTGTTCTTGCGCTTGATCGTTTTGTTTTTTATGTCTCCCTTCCAGTAAGCGCCGTATCCTTTGACTTTCGCCGTTTTCGCCATGGTGAAAAAATATGTGTAATTACAGCCTGGAGCAGCACGAGTCCTTGATGTCGTTGTTGTGTTGCTTGGGCGTTCCAGTCGCCATTTTCGCGACTCTTTGAAGGGATGGCAATAAATTTTGTTTTGTGTAATGCAAGTCTGGAGCTGTTCCGCGAACGGTCTTCCAAGCGTCGGTCGCTCCCTCAGTCGTTCACCCTGTTGAACGAAGAGGACCACTACCGGTGGGTGTCTAATCGTCTGATCTTGTCTATGATGTGCCGTAATACCCTACGTGATGCGCGCTTATGCATTTAGTTGCGTGGTATATTAGTGGATACGGTAGCGTTTGTTTTGCCTTGGAAGGATACACATTGTTTTGCGTAGTGGCGTAGCAGTGTTACAAGCCGTTTACATATATTTGCAGGGAAGTCGCCACTTCCAAACCTTCTGAACAGGACGCGGATCAAGGTTTGGAGGAAGATGATGCCACCTTGGATTCCGCTGCTCCCGCGGGGAAGTTCCGCCGCCGCAACTGGAAGGATGTGCGTCCTGACATTTTGCACTTTTGTCTACTCGCGCTTCATGATTCTATCTTGAACAAGGAAGGGCGCATGTGTATTTGGGTTCATACGCTGAACTCCCAAGTCTATCGCTTCTACCCGGAATTTCGCATTCCTCGTACCTTCAAGGTGTTCAACAAGGTTATGGCCAAGTACCTGCATACCAACGCGCGCTGCCTGAAGCCTGAAGGAGACGACTCAACTGTGCTGGTTGAGCGAATGGGCCAGCGTCTTGAGGATTTGGGTGAGGGGGGTGTGAAGGTTGCAGTCTCCAGTCGTGGGCGTTTGCAGTCTGCCGAGGATTTCTTCGCTGACACGGTGAAGGACGATCTTGGCAATTTATGGATCTATATATCCCTGAGCCATTACACGCCGCTGCAGGTCCCCAACGAATCTGGGATACTTTGCGTGGCTGACCTCCACAAAAAGTACCTGGACCGGGCAAATATAACCCCAGTTCAGCCAACCCATTCTCAGGATCTCGAAAATGAGCTGTTAGCTGAGGATGCAACGACAAGCAAGCCCGAACTAAGTTTCGATCACAACATATCCATCTCCACGAGCTACCCGACTGCCATGAGCACATGTTACAAGCTGGTGTGTGCTATTGAGCGTGCGTTGGACATGTAGCGCCTGTTACGGCGGCGATTGACTTCTCCCATGTAGGCACTGCGGTATCGCTCGTACTTATATGCAGCGCCATGGGAACCTTGGTTATTTCAATCTTTTACATACAGATGTCTGCGCATGTATCTGCTTTCGGTCGTAGGAACGGTACCATACGGTCATATATACGCGAACAAAGTTATTTGTGACGGTTATATTGCTATGGCATCGTCAGGACTTATGTCTACGGTAATGTGTTCAACCGGCTTGTCATCACGCTGAACACAATGGCACGGCAATTATATTCAGTGTCGTTGTCACACATTATGGCGACAACCGAAATTCAGTTTTAAATACACCGACAAATTTGAATTGAACGTGATGTCTAGTTGCAAAAAAGTGTGTTCGCCGCCTAACGGTGACGCTGCGTTCATACACAAAGCATTGATGTTGTCATCATCGTCACACCAGGTAGATTACAATGTAAAACATTAATTTACGCCACATTATGTGAATTGTCATGGAAAAGTGGTAGGATCTGATATTTCGGGTTTCCCCGCGGTACCGCCGTTGTTGACGTCGCCTTACACATCCGCTCATTGGATATTCCAACGGCGCGTGTTCGAAGGATGGATATCCGTTCCTTTTTTGGTGGCAAGAAGAAGGCCGTTTCCGCAGCTCCCGAGAAGCCGGAAACGCTTTCTCAGCTTTCTTTTACTGGCGAGCTGAAGACTACCATCCGCCGGTCTATAGACAATCCGGCTGTGTCCCACGGTGTTAAACACGGCGATTCGAACCCTGCAGCCGCAACTGCGAAACGCGAGGGTGATGAGGATGACGATTCCGCCGTAGCCGGCCGGCGTAAGCGTTTGAAGAGGTTGGTCGACTCAGACGACGAATCGGATGAGCCACGCGACCAGCCAGGCGCAGCTGCCGCTCAATCGCACACGGAAAGCGGTGTTACAGTGCGCAAATATCTGAAGGATGAGCAGGGACGCGCCGCATTTTCTGCGGCTGAGGGTAGACGCAAGACAAGCGATGTGCAGCTGGACATTGACTACTACACAACGAGTAGCAAAAAGTTGGTGAGCCTCTCAGAGAAGGTGACAAAGACACGGAGGCCAAGTGTAGATCTGGACAGCTATCTTTGTTCCGTTGGCATAGGTGATCCAGCGGGGAAAGCGTCGCCAGTCTCTATGTTCACTTCTCCGGTCAGGAGTGGACGAACAAAACAATCACCTAAGCCTGAAGTGGCCAAAGCTGTGGATGTTAAACCGGAAGTGACGACGAAATCGGCTCTTACTAAGCCTGAAGCTGGGCATGTGGAGCCTACACTGTCTTCGAGTTATGGTGCCTCCGACCTGTTTGGCGACAATGAAGTGTTTTCATCATCGTCCAATTCCTCTGCTGCAGCATCTCCTGTACGACGTGCAAAGAAGACTACTACTGTAGATGCTCCTGTTCCTGAGGGTGAGGTGGACGGTATGCGGTTCGTATTCACCGGGGTGTTGGAGGCCATTGATCGTGATGCGGTCCTGCAACTTGTGCGCAAGATCGGGGGGATTCCCGTCTCTGGTGTTAGCGGGAAAACGAACTATTTGGTGTGTGGTGAGAAGTTGGAGGATGGACGTCCTTATACAACAGGCACGAAATACAAGAAGGCCGTTGAACTCAACAAGCAACAGCGCGCCGACATACGCATTTTAAAAGAAGCTCAATTCTTGGAACTGATTGAATATGACAAAGTGAGCCACCGTGTCGCCGAATCAACCAAGTCGGAGGTCACCAAGGAGAAAACGCCCTCCGCTCCCCTCCCCAAAGAGGTGAACGCGACTGGGCATAAGCTTCCGTTTTGTGAGAAGTACCGCCCATCACGCCTTGGCGATTTGGTTGGTAACGAGAACAACATCCGCAAGGTAGTGGAGTGGTTACAGTCATGGTCGCCTGGTTCCGGCCCCGCATGCGCATTACTTTCGGGCCCACCCGGAGTTGGCAAGACTACCACCGCAAAACTGGTGGCTGCGGAATGCGGTTACGAATGCGTGGAGTTCAATGCGTCGGACCTGCGCAACAAATCGGCCGTTGAAAGGATATCGATGCTCGCTACCGGAGGCCAATCGTTTTCCTTTAAGGGTCAGTGCGAGATGAAGCGCACGCTCGTGCTGCTAGACGAGGTTGATGGTATGGGTGCTGGTGACCGTGGCGGTCTACAGGCAGTCGCAGCTCTGTTACCACGTTCGCTCTGTCCTATAATTTGCATTTGCAACGACCGCCACAATCAAAAAATGACCACTCTCGGTAACAAGAGTTTGGACGTTCGTTTTTCGTCTCCTACCCTCGCACAGTTCCGCAACCGTATGAAGCTCATTTGCGATGCGGAGGGCGTTTCCGTGCCGGCTGAAACGGTTGCTCAGCTATACGAGCAGGGCGGTGGCGACTTCCGCCACGCTTTGAATGCCATAGAGTTTAACACGGTGCATGAGGCCGGCGGGAGTCAGAGGTCGTTGAATGTGGGCGATGCCAAAGACATCGGCCATACTAAAAACTTGTTTGACGCTGCTGGACGCCTATTTACCGTGCGTGCCCCGGAATTAGAGACCAGGTTACGCGATATGGAGCAATACTTCTTCATTGACTACAACATGATGCCACTTATGGTGCAGGAGAACTACTTGAAATATCTTCCGCCTCACCGCGGCGCCCTTCCGAATCTACAAAAATTGTCGCGTACGTTTGTTGAAGCCGACATGGTGGAGGAGTTTTTGAAACGCGTAAGTTTACTATCCGTATGATATGACCGTGCGCAGCGACAGGCATTTACCCTTCTCCCCGACTTGGCAGCCTTGTCGAGCATTATACCAGCGATGACCATCGTGTCGTCTGGGGGCACATGCCGTGAGCGCCTGATGTTCCCGCAGTTTTTAGGTCGCTTCTCCACAACGTCGAAGAATCGGAATTTCTTGAGTGAGATCGGAAAGCATTTGGGTACGCGTTCTCTCGTGCGTTCTCACCCCCTTGTGACTGAGGGCTACCTTAACATAATGTACATAAGGGTAGGTTATCTGCATTTTTGTTTCGTAATCTCTATTCGCTAACGGGTTCCCTTGTCATCACGATTCATTGGTTACATGCAAGTTTCTTGCGGTATCCGCTCTGTGATTCATTTCGCGCATATTGTAACTCCGGCACGCCTATTGTGGAATACTCGTTACCCTGTGCTGTGTGCACCAGTTATCGAATTGTGCTGTCTATGTGTAGTATGGCTCCGCAATTTGTCACCATTCTTATGTTTAGCTCAATGTTTAAAATCACTAACGTCCCACAGATCATGAAGGAGCTCGCTGAAGGTGACATCGAGGCCACTGCCGCACTGATTGAGTCGTACGGTCTTAACCGCGACCTGGTGGTGGATGCGCTATGTTCCCTGCGGTTGAAGTCGCAGGAGAACCTCTACGACAAGGTTGAAACCCGTAAGAAAACGGCCTTGACCAAGCGCCTTAACGAGCAGAGCGTGCGGGTGGCACCTACAAAACGTAAGAAGGAGACAGTAGACCGCATTGTGGACGAGGAAGAGGCAGAGCCCCCCGTAGCATCGGATTCCGAATCTTCCTCAAGCGAGGGCGAACTTATCAAAAAGAACCAGAAGCCCGCTAAGAAGCGTGCCACTGCTAAAGCAGCTCCTCGTGGCAAGAAGTGAGATTGCGGTGCAGCGCCGCTGCTCAATCAAGTACAATGGCTGATGTGTGGAAGCTGCGCTGGGCCAACCACTTGGAAAACAGAAATCGTGGCAATTAAAGCGTGATACACACGGATTTACACGCACGCTGACTGCCCTGGGTGACTTAAAATCACACTTGAGGTGTGCAGGATGCCCATCTATCCCCTTTTACACCAACCATTTAAAGGGAGTTCATGTGACATTTTAATAGGATGTACACGTATTTTAAACATTTATTTAATAGCCACATCTCGTTGATCTATTCTTGGTGCGTTACTGGATCCCGGTGACGTATCCCGGGCCCGGGGTGTGTCGTATCTACCCCCATGGCGTGCGGTGTTACTAGTTATTAGTTCACGATGGCGGCCGTATCGCGCAAGATTGGTCTTAGGAACGAAAAGTTCGCCACGAAGGTGACATCTACCAGCAGCACCAAGACCTCGGCGCCGCGTCGTACCATAAGTTTCTACGTGCTCGCCTTCTTGCTCTTCGTACTGGTGTGCTCAGGTACGTCTGTCTTATGTGCGTTTCAATATCTTCTAGGTGTTTTCGAAATGATTACGCACATCCGCCGGGCAAAGATCATCCGCTCATGATGCTCCGGCGCATCCTACCGCCCTGCGGCTCGCTTCCCGCGCGCTGCAAATTTTCTTCTGAACGAGCCCGTATGTCCGAGCGTTTGTGGAACACACTTGTACCTGAGCGCAACTGGACTCCGTTAACGCCACAGTTCTGGGTATTGTTAGCTGCTACCGTTTCGTTGTACTGCTACAATCGTCGACGCTCCGAGGAAGGGGAAGATGTGCTAGCTGCGGAGAAGCGCAAGCACGCAGAGGCTGTGTCACGCATGGAATCGTCGTCTATGCGTTGACGACTGCTTTATGCTCTTTGTATTGTGAACTTTCATCGGCATCAATATTAGACATGTCCTTGCTTGAAGCAGCTACGTTTCCATTTATACAACGGCGGGTGCATCAACGATGTTGCATTGCGGTTGCATCAGAGATATGCGCGTGTCTGTGTTATGCGTAGGTCTCTTAGATGCGGATTGTGTCGTTGGCGTCTGCCCTGGCGCCACCATTATCCTGACGGTATGGTAGTAGCCTCACAAACATGATTGTGATGAATGTAATTCATTTTTATTATCACATATAACCTAAAAGTATCACCAGGTTCATTCGTTTTCTAGCCTGGTGGGAGTTGCCTCTGTATGAGACCAGCTGATGTCACACAGGATAACGCTTCGCCTCTGATTAGTAGCCATGCTTGTTGTGAAAATGCATCGTTATCTTTGACGTTATCGGTCACATAGATTTGATATATTGACTTCACATGTTTTGTGAAATTCCTATGCCATATGGAATTGGTAAAGGTACGAACGATTGTTGGAGAACCCTTCGTGATTGTAGATATACGAAACATTTTTGTAGGTTTACAACAGTGCCAGCGTAGAAGCATGAAACGATGGTGTACGACACTACAACACTAACCACGCATACCAAACTACATTTTCCTGCCGGTTTCAGTTAGGTGGACTGGGCGGGCTAGGCGGTGAGTTTACGATGTTGAGTGACATCATAACACATAAGGGCACGGTTATGGCTGCAGGCATGATATTTGGCTGAGTGTGCCGACGCGTGCGGCGGCGATCCTGCGCGGGTACGGGAGCCTGATGCCTGGCCGGCTGTGGACACTACATTGAGCCGTGTTCATTCTGTTCGTGTAACTAATGCCCCGCTAAGATGTAATCCATAACCTTGTTCGCCGGGCATTTGCCGACACAGGATTTTGAATCATTAAACAAGGCGTTAATAATCTGGCTTTATGCTGTTGCTGCCTAAACGGTGCCATAAGTGCGATTATGAAAATGCCGGAGGCTATTATAGAATGCGATAAGAAGTGTTCACTTGCGGGCGAACCAATCGCGGACCTTGTGGAACGGCCAAATGCGAAAGACGCTCATAACGCATACGACAGTGAGGATGATTGCGATGAAGATGACGATCATGGAAGTGGTGACACCGGTGGTGGAATTGTCACCAGCGGAAGCCATGGCAGCAGCGGCCGGGCGTCTAGTTTCAAGTGGACAACATTTACATACACAAGGGTCACGATTTTTACATGCCTTTAGACAGATCTCAACTGTACATTCATAACCTTTGTCGCGTCTGCTGCGGTATATGCTTGTCACATTACATGTAAGGCAGTTTGAACACTTTCCACAACACGGGGGACAGCACTTACAGTTATGGTATTCACATGTTTGCCCACATTCACAGAGTCCCATATTATCCTCTTTCCCCTATCATTAACCTGTATAGGCATTAAACACGTACCTTGAGTCCCGAACCGTAAAACCTCCAAGCCGTCTCCGGTGAGTGTTCTACGACCCGCCTCCATGGATACCACAATAGACATGCAGGCACGACAGACGCACTTCACTTCGAATCACTGGCAGAATATGTATCGTATACGTGCCCTTTATGACAGCACAAATGAGCGTCTAGCTGAGATACCGTGCGTGCCTAATAAATTAGTGACCGCCACAAAGTCGCCCATAAAGGCCACCTAACTATGCCGTAAACTGGTAATCACGTCGGAGACTTCTGGCGACATTCATTGCCTAGCAACTCACATGATAACTGACATGTCAACCACTCATGTAACAGCCACCCAACCGTCTTGCCTATCACGGCATTAGTCCGCTTGTGATGTGGATGGCCAATCGCCCGGCTTCACATAAAACTGACACTAAGCGTTGACCCAGACGTCTCGCTAGTGACCAAAGTAGCAGCGTACCAGAAAGCTAACATCTCAAGCCATCATGTAGATGACGTGTTTGGTTAGTTGCTTGGTCATGCATTTGGTTAGGCAATTATTTGTACATTATGGTACATGTTAGGTTAGACGGTGAGTTGCTGTGTGGTGAGTTAGTTGTGTTAGTGTGTTATTGAATGACCTCATGAAGGCACGACGATTCAACCAGCAAACGAGGATCAGGGCAATGCCGTATGCAATGGGTGACACGTAACCCAGAGAAGACTGACTGACCCTCGCACCCAACCACGATGGATAACACCAAGTACGTTTGGCAACAGATAGACGTGGAACCCGTAGGCCACACCAGTAGCGTGAGAAGGTAGCGGCGTGCAAGTGAAAATTGGCGCAAACTGAAGGCATCCACATAGCACACTAAACAAAGCCAAAGCAAATTAATTGGGCATGGTAACATGTGACCACACTAATGCGATAATTATGTTTTGAAGTCGAGTTGCTAAATGACTTCGTCGTCGAAGTAATCGACGCGATACAGTGAGGGCATTTTTTTGCTGAGACTTAGCAGCGCCTTGACATTGATGAGGTGCGAAGCCTTGGAGAGCATGATGTGAGATCGTATGCGCAGAACGTCCAGGCGGTAAAGCTGTGTGTGAGCGAAGCAGATTATCGCGACAAACCACAGCGTGAACACAAGGACGACGAAAGGCTTGCGTGCTCGGTAAAGAAAATCATCCGCACAAGTCAAAAGCTTGGCTACGGGCCCGCCTGAAACTACAGAGCTCAACTTGACGATGACATCCGAACAATTGGGTGGGGGCTTTGAATAATCATACGGTGGCGCAAAACCGTGTAAATAGAGGGTGGACATGGCATTGACACACGTATGGAGGGGCTTTATCCCGGAACATTTACTCTCCCTTAAATCCCTTCTCAGCCTTTTCAGTGAGTCATGGAGTCTGTCCGGTAGGTATATCATCCAGCTTAGATATGTGTCGACGAAGTTAGGGGAGTAGAGGGCGTAGGTCGCGTAGGTGATGGGCAATAAAAGTTGTGGACAGGGAATGGGATAAATATCACAGCCAATCAGTGTAGACAGGGTCTTATAATGGTCATGGCACTGGTTGTTAGGGTCGCAACCCCGGAGGCTTCGGACGGTTTCGAGATCGGCGTCCTCGAGATGAGCCCAGAAGAAATACTCGACGGGATGATCAAGTAGGGAGGCGCCAACGTCAGACAATATATCCGGGTCATATTCGTACAACACATTCCCGAAATGGTGGAAGAAGGAAACAATCTCCGCCGTGGTGCGAGGTGTTCGTCTAGTGAGGCAAACAAGGTACGTGGCCAACGTCAGCAAGGGGTCGTACGGGTCGCAGTTAGGAGAGAGGATACCTAAAAGAGTACTCCCAGTTTGCTGCTGTTTAGGCAAATCCACGTCACTGAATCCCATCCTGACACGGCTCTTGAGGCACGCGTTACATGGGTTGAAGAAATAAGTGTCGCAGGCGGAGTTCCAGTCGTCAGTAAGAAAGGCCTGAAGGATCGAGTTGGAAACGTTGACATAACTGCCATATTTAAAATCCTTCCAACCACCCTGAAAATCCTCTCTATAACATTGCAAACGCAGGAACGCCACTTGGTGGTGAGCAGCGTAAACATAATCCCGCACCTGGCAGAGTAGGTCGTCGGGGTCGGAGGAATAATGATACTTCTGATATTCTGAACTGAAGTCAAAGTCCTTGATAACATCCGAAATCTGTATGTGCTTAAGCCTACAGAGTACGCTGGCAGCGTAGTAGCACGCCTCCGTCATGGTTCGCGTGACAAGGGAAGCGGCCAACGGTGGATGTGACATGATGATGTCCAGGGTATAGGAAGGCTTGTATGGAAGGCCAGCGTCCTTATCAATATTTTCAAATATGTCTTCAACATGCCTATGAAGGATTCCAATATATTCCATTGCGACAAGGCCGACCAGCCAGTAGAGTATCCCGCGGACGGTGGTGGGTGATGGCAGATGGTCGGAGGGTGGTGGAGAAATTAATGACGTTGTGTAAGGTGAAGAATTGGGAACGTGCCACGGGTCACGGCAAATATCAATGTGCGGCATGACATTGAAACTATTGTTAGGAACATATTTCTCCTCAACGTCCTCATCGATGTTTTGGATTCCCTCCCCTGGGTAGTATAAGTGTGGTAACTCATTGGGAATCTCCTTGGTCGGAAGTTGAGGCTCGATCACAGCACTTTGAAGCGGTGCAGTATTTCGCAACACTTGTGTATCTTGTTTTCCTTCGGTAGATGGCTTTTGTATGTCCACATCTAAATTCGGCAAACGAGAAGGATACACGTCTTCATCTGCGAATTGAGACGAATCTGGAATGGATTCCGAGTCAGGCTGACCATTGAGTTGCGGCGCATGTGGCAAAAGCAAGCTTTTCTTCTGAGGTCTAGGCTGCTTCAACTGTCTACCTACCGCAATACCGGTCTTTGGCAACTCCGTTTTAGGTTGTATAAGGGCTTTCATTTTAAGTTCATTTAGTATTTTTTCATTCCAATTACGAAATTCTTGTTGCTGAAGCGTAATATGTTTCCTATTCCATTCATCACCTGGATCTTCTTGGTTCAATATATCAGGCCCTTCGTACCCAATTAGAGGAAAATCGTGTCGATAAGCGATGTGAAGTGGTATTCTGGCAGGGGGAGGGTGAATTTGATTGCCACGAACAGCGCCCCTATATGGATAAGACCGAAAACGGTAGGTATTGGGGTATTTAGATGGATAACCGAAACGCCCTGGATTGTTATAAACACTCGGTTTAAGATGTCCCCTTTTTTCTTCTTCGTTTTCATGTTGATGCCAAAGTGCCTCCGGAGTCTTCTGGCCACCATACAGGGTCCTAGCAAAAACCATACGGTTGTGATGGCACAATTTAGCGCCGCCAAAGTTCATCGCCGATTTTCCACCAAAACACTTTTCACTATGAGAATGGGTGGAAGACGCATCACCCATACCACCTATTCCTGCAAATGCACTGCTATTTGAAGCAGTCGAGGGGACATTGGGTGTCAAAGTAGTGAGTCCGGAGTCGGCGCCATGACCGGTGTTAGAGGCATGAATATTCTGTGGAGTCGAGATTGGAATTGATTGAGGGCTTTGGGTTTTTGGACTTTGGGAAGCATGTCCCGTATGATCGACAGATGGAACATGCGAGGTGGAAGAAGTCACTTCACCCTGGGTCGCATTCTTAGGCAAACCGTCACAATCGCCAGATCCACCGATGGAACCACGGACACTAAATGACTCACCTTCCGAACTTCGGACACTTGTAACTTGAGTTGGCAAAGGATCTGGAGGAGATTTGGGAATTTCGTGTGACAGATCATCCCTTGGCTTACCGACACCTACCGATGAATTCAAGCCCTGCTCTCCTGGCGCACCACCTGATCTAGACGCGTTAGGATCGCTAGAAGGAGGCCTAGCAGGAGGCATTGGCTGCCTTTGTTCTCTCTGTCCATCTGTTGGACTCGGATGCTTCAAATTATGCAGCGACGATGAACTATAAGATGACAGAGATGGGGGAAAAGGAGGCTGAGGTTGGACTGGGGGAGGTAGGGATTCAGGTACACTTCCCGGTGGGGGTTCAAGCACTGCGGGGCCTACAACTACTTTATCACCGGGCGACATACGTTCAACAGGGTTTTTACTGGGTGAACCTTGAGACCCTAGCTGCCCTCCTATAGCTTCGTCATCAGTTGAACCAATTGATGGAACAGCAGCACTCGTAGCGGCGCCCGAATTGGCTTCTGTAGCTGTTGTGGTGGCTTGGGTTGCTAATAGAGTAGGGGAAGGAGACGACTCTACATCCCTTCCCTGACCACTATCGGGATAAGAGGCACCGGATGACCCAGAGTCCGAACGCGAAACAGTTGGAGAAGGAGTTAGTGCAGTTTGTACAGGAAGACTAGGCTGTTGAGTAGGAATGTTGGTCGGTGGACCCTTACTCGAAACACTTGGCGCGCCAGCTAAACCCGGTACCCCACGAACACTAGGAGGTGAACCTGGAGGGGAAATCACTGACGGAACTTGAATACCATTTTGTTGATGCTGAGTATTATTCTGACCTTTTGGAACTTGAACCGGAGAAGGCGCCGGAACCACTGGAAGTTTATGCCCCAATGAACCTTTCTCTGGTAGAGGCCCGTGCGGACTTACCTCTCCTTTACCACCGGTAATCTTAGGGTCAGGAGAATCTTTGCCAACCTTACCTGGATGATGTTGTACACTTTGAGCATTATTATGATTTGGAGTTCCATCAGCTTTCTTGCTCCGATTTTGCGCTCCCTCAGATTTCTTTGGGGGCACAGGCTTTTTAGGAACTTCGGGAACCTTAGCCGGAGGCAACTGAGGTGTTTTAGGCTTTGCAGCCCTCGTTTTACTCTCCTTAGTCTCGCGACATAAAATTGTATGCTTTCCTTCTAAAATGTCCTTAAGCCGTTCCAATTCGTGACCCTTAGCATGAAACATAGAGATGACACTGTCCCAATGGGTTTCTAGCGTGCGTGCCCACTGGTTTGTTCCTCCATATTTGAAAATCAGGCCGTAGGGATACAATCTCGTTTTGGCAAATGAATGGATATCCGAATGGTCGATTCTCCCACTCATTTTCAGTAAATTGTTTTTAATATGTTGGTAATTTGCTCTAAACCACTTCGAAAATGCGTCAGCAAATTCCTTCTTCTTTGTAATGGTTGATACCTGTCCGATGAATCCAAATCCCCCATCGTTAAAAACATTGCTAAATGGAACCTGAGATCCGGCGAAATGTTTGCGCAAATCTCTCCAGCATACTTTACGAGGCTTAATGTCTTCATCCAAAGCCTTTTTTGGCTCACCACCGTTTTGTTGGTCCACCTCTTCAAGAACTATCTCCTGAAAAGCGCGCAACAGAAGCAAAGCGTTTCCAGTGTTGACATCTTGCCAAGGTCTATTCAGCGTAGTAACCAAGACGTTAGTAAAATGATTCAGAAGTCCTTGTGGCTCTTTGCCCTTAACTGGTTTACTCTTACCGTCACGAGTGATGGCTCCTTTTAAAGCCTCAACCAAATCGCTACCCTTCTGAACTTTTAACTCTTTGTCTTGGAATCCCCCGGGGACAATACCGTTGTAGCCACTGGCTGTCGAAGATGTGAGATATTTATGAAGATCGTTTGACTCATGAGGGCCAATATTGTAATTGGCCCACTGCCCACCACCAACGCTCTCGTAATTATCGGAAACGTTATACAACAGGAACGAAAGCGCAGCGTAAAGCTGGGGGACACATTTTAAAAGCGCGGAGAGAAGTGCGTGTCCACGGTAATGGTTATAGCCGTACAATTTGGTAATCTCATTAATTAATAATCTATTACGTAATTTCGTCATTTTGTCACGTAAATTGCTCAAAGAGATCATCATTATGTTTTGTATTCCTCTTCGCGGAGCGTTTAAATATTTTTCAAGATCATGAGCCAGAACACCAGTAACCTGACTCATCTTGCCGCGTCTACCTTGCAACCACTCCAGAAACTGGAGCATGTCGCTCAGTGTATTTAGCGGTGGTATGTCATGTGCCATCTTCACCGACGGACCACGCAACAAAATGAAACAAGCAATCACTAGGTCACATCATAATGCATTCGATGTATTGGCAGACAGAAACAAGTTGCCATAGCTCCCGGGTTTTTGTGTCTGCAGAACTGTTCCCAACTCACGAGTAGAATCATCTTCATAAATATACTACACATCGACATCCCCAATATTTTGACCGCCACCATCGTTCTCAAGCATTCGCGACGAGATGTCTCGTAGCATAAATACCAATAAACTAAACAACGGTCGCACTTAATACTCAATTGCAATAAAGTTGCTTAATGGCACCTTCCGATAAACTTCTTCCTGAACTTTATCGTTGTTAGACCTCATTCCGTTATACTTCTCGGTGATTCTGAATGCTGCAAAAGAAATCTTATGTGATAACCTGAGTCGTGTCTAGAGTGTGTACTCTCATGAATGCGTTGCTAAACATCCCACACATAGAGGTTTAACGTACAACAACGCTTCTCTATGTTGGAGTTGTGGCTACCATAAAATGCGTACCTCTAGCTTTGGTTGACAATTTATGCGTGGGTAAAATAACAACACCGCCGTGTCACTTCTACTGTGCCCGATGTGTAACTGAGTGATGCATTTTCTTAGCATGTGTAGTGTCATATGAAGGTCTATCTATGTAATAAATCATATAGTCTTCCGGCCTACTTTGTTACGTTCATTGTATGACGAGGTTCGAGAGTTCTACAATGTGCTTATGTGAAGTAACACATGCCATTACTATGTTTGCGGTAGCGAGTAGATAGCGATGTTTTATTGGGTTATAATTCAGCCTTGTTTTAATGCTTAAGTCAGTGTCTAATGCTGCTACCATAAGCCAGGAATAAAAAGTCCCACTGAACTTTAACCTCACAAGCAGTTGCGAAGCGTTTTTCAAAAAGAAGTACGTCGTTATCATTCTATAGCGCGTGCTTAAATATTACTCTGATTTATTTATTGTCACAAATTTGGCCATGTGCTTTCACGTGGTTGTTACCTAAATGATGTCGCCACGCATCACCAGCAGCCTCAATCCGCTATAATGTACACGAAAAAACGTGTGCTATGCCATTCAAGTATCGTTAAAAGCACTATAAAGGCATATGTTTTAAAAACACCGAAAGGGTGCAATTTTTGGCCTTCTAATATATGTACTCGATCAGATGTTCGGGGTGTAACGATTCTAAGAGGGATGTTTCACCGAAGTTGCAAAAGTATTGCAATATTTCATTGGTAGAGACACAGCCTTTCATATGCGTCATTGTTAACAGGGGTTTGACCAGTCAATATTAGCGCTGAATTAAGTCTTCCCCACAGCGGTGGAACCAGCAAAGGTTTAATTAGAGCTCACTGCAACGTATAACACTCACATTTCAAAATACGCCCCTCACCAAAGACACAATGTCTATAATATTAAGCGTTATGTAGTTATGGAACATGCGTTACATTGTTTAATTGCCAATACGTGAACTGGTGCGGCTGTAGCGGCGTGCTCAGTACATCTTGTGGTAAGCATTTACATTGCAATCATTTAATCTTTCAAAACGTGCGTATTGAAACAGTAGACCATGACAAGTACTTAGATATGTTATCTGAAACAACTCACCAACTGTCAAATTTGCCTTGATGCCCATGTAGCCACCCACCTGCTCCCATCGACCTGGTACTAAGCATGGTGGATGTTTTGGCAACAAATCAACGTAAGAATTGTTATCAGTTTGTAAAAACGCTGATGTAACGAGAAAATATGGCCCCAAGTGGGACGCATCCGAATAGTGCGATAATTTGTCTATCGGATGTGTGATGTAACAGGGAAGTGTACAGTGTGGCATGACACCACTATGAACGGTGGATGAGTAGCGCAATTTAAAGCTATGAAATGTTACATCGAACGCCACAATGATGGCACACCAGATTTCAAGCAACATTACTTATAAACTGCTATTTGATGCGTCTACATCAACTGGTGGATATCTGGTCAGGTCGAAGTGGTAAAGGTGATAGTCATTAACAAAATAGATGCGGCAAATTGATGCCTGATAGGAATACTGCACCTTCACAGATATTGCGACTTTTAGTAATATGTGCAAGTGTATGGACTGGTGAGGGGGAAGGTGACTGGCGTTTACATTTAGATGCATAAATCCGGACGGATTGGCGAATACCCACTATACATCGTGTAACGAGACATGTTAACGACATGGTGAAAACCAAAGGATTTTGTGGGAAATGTAAGCGACGAACAAGAATATTTGAGTTTCCCAATGGGGAACGTATGTTGAGTTGAGGAATTGGAACACCACGTCTCAAACGTGAAAATTTTGGGCATTTCCACGGCAAAAGCTTTGCTTCATTAGCCTGGATGTGGTATGCTGTGGGTGTTAGGTGAACGTGTGGGTAAGTTCCGTATATACCGCTATTCGCATGCAGTGATGCATCATTCGAGGACGGATGATGGGGTGGTCCATCTTCCTCGACTATACCAAGCATTGCCAACGCTATCTTTTTATGTTGGCATACATAGCTATAAAGTTCTAGTCGGTTAAAATAATTTAGGGTCCATTGCTCCACAACAATTGCCTTCAGGTACGTGGTCCATTGCAATGCAGGGATGATTATTAAATGACGGGAAGGTGGTGGTAACGACAGGATGTTCACGTACCAACTGTAGGAAATGTAGCAACCAAGATTGTAGGAGCTGCACAAATTAGAGTTGTGAATGCGAATGTTGTAAAGAGAAGCATAGGGTCTCACGAATAACCTGTGGCGTACCATTAGCCATCACAACTGTATTTATCTTTCTCAGCATGCTAATATGGGCCATGATTGGTGATAGGAAGTGGCCATTCGAAAAATTGCACGATCGCATTTGAAACCTCCCGTACATTCACGAGCCTTAAGTGCTCTATACGCCGAAAGATATGTATTAGTTCCCCATACTAAACTCTACTGATATCACGAACATTCTGTAATTTCAATTTTAGATCTTTCATGTTCTCATCCTTACAATTCGGCATTGAATATACGGTACAAAAATCTTGTCTACGTGCATCATACACAATTTTCCAAGCAGATAACCTCACATTGCATTACACAGTCTACACGTTATTGTAGCCATGTAACACTATCGTGTACGTATCACTGTATGCTATGACGACGAGCATACAGAAGTGCAATGGCCAACGAAATACAAGTCACCGGAGGCGCAGCACAAAATCGCATGACAATACACAAAATTCGCAACATACAAATATATATTGTCTATTATCATTATGCTAAGTCCGAATGGCCTCATTGTGCATGGTTTAATGAGTACCGATGACAAAAAGAGGTACTGATCCATGAGGTGAACAAACTCCTCCAACTTCAACTGAAAATAGACCTTATATACAACTCTGGAATATCATTAAATCGCCATCTCTGCAAAACTCATAGGTTCATATGGAAGCCCCGCTTCAATATCTCGATGAGCGCTGCGATAGGTGGTCATGAAGCGACTGGCGGCCCATAGCGGACATTACAAATGCGGCTGGCTAGCACTTGGTCGACTCCTCTCTCACCAGTTGCGAAGCAAAACTCTTGTATTGGTTGGAGTTGGGTGGAGGCTGTACTCTCCATCTATTGGCATGTATCAAAGGCGTACGCTGATTTCCAACATAACGTTATCTAGCGGATAACATATTCTACCGAGCTAGATACGTATACATTCCATGTACATGTCTTTGATATCTTGTTGACTGTGCATTGTTTTAAATATACCCTCGTCACTGTTTGGAAAATCAACCGCATTTGATGATGAGATAATGTGTAATGCCCTAGGTACTAATGAACATAGTATCTCTGAGCGGTGAAAATATGAGTGGTCTTAAATGGTCAAAACAGAATAAACCCTCACGTTTATTTAGGTAAAAGTATCGATACTTCCAACAATCATTTTGCTTGGGTCTGTGCTAAAGCTTGTCCCATACTTCCCTGATTACCTTTGTTCTTATCACCTTCATACGTGAAAAACATCGCAATATAGCAAAGAGCATTGAGCAACGTACCCGCCAAAATAATATACATCATTGATTTCCGCAGGGCTTCGGCATTTCTTTCTTTAACAGCTGCCTCCATGGTTTCAAAGGACTCCCTAGAGGGAACGTAACCAAACACCTTCTCGGTCAAATGGGCGGAAACTTGAAAAAGAATTATGCTACTTGATATGCCGGATATGGTCCGAATTATGGCAGATGCTGTCGCCTGATGCTTCTTTTCGATTGATTTCTTCAGCATGGCCCTATCTACACCACCAACTGTTACTAATGTTCCCCCAAGTGTTGCTAACTCTACATAATGATACCACTGCAGCTTACCACATGGCGCCTTCCCTAAGAAGAATAATAGACATACTATTAGGCGCACAACCATCACTGCAATTCCAGAGGCCAGTTCACCATACTTGTCAACATTTTCTGCAATTTTATCGATAATTGCTCCCCCGGCACCACTTCCCGCTGCGCCGCCAATCAATGTAATTGCAATTGCAACGCCTGCCATTGTGTCAGATACTCCCAGATATTGCAAGTATATGGTCATATAATTGAACGCACACATTGGAGCCTCTGCTATGAATATTGTAAATATTAATATCCACGTTGTTGAATCCATAAAAACTGATCTCGCTGCACCTGCTAGTAATGCATAAAAATTTGAATCCTGGGCAGCATTATTCTGTATACTACCATGTGCACCATTAGAAGAGCTGCATTTCTGACCATACATTCCAAATACAATCGCAATACCAAACAATATCCAGATGTACCCCAAAACCACATATGATGTACGCCACCCATAATACCCCAACAATATTTTACGTGCAATAAGCGTCGTTATGACTGCGCATAGTAATCGTCCGATGCAATTCAACGCTTGAAGAATTGTGAGTGGACCGCTAGACTTATCCGATCCATAAGAATCAGAAACAATCTTTTGTTGCACGGGGTAGACGCAAGCGAATCCAAAGCCGTGTAAGAAACGCAAGAACACAATCTGAGGAGACATAAACAGTTTAGAATTTGCAACTCACCGATCTATACTGCGACGCGGAGCTGAGCACAATCGAAGCCATGCCCATAACTAACAAACCGGCTCCAAGTACCAAGTTGGAGTTAAGCGTGTCTGCTAGCAAGCCCCAAATTAAGCAGCAACCCATGCGGGACATGGTAGACACGGTTGCCAACGTAGACAACTGAGACTGAGAGAAACCCAATGTCAACTCGAAAGCCCTCATACACATGGACAAGACCTGTTGATCGTAACCTTCGAAAAACGACACAAGGTTGTACAGAGCTTTTCCCAAAGTCTTATACTCAATTTTTGCAGTTGTAGATGCACCTGCGTCTGCGCTTGCAGAATCTAACGTGCCTTTTGTCATTTTACCTGTCAACTATAGTAGTAGTTTTCTCGCAATGGCTTTTTATTAAACTCTTATAGGTAGCTCACAACATACGCAACAGAGGAGTAAGATCAAAATTAGTTATCGTTTACCGTTCCGTCATGACATTCATTGCGATAATATCGCGTTGAATGAAGCTAGGCAAAATAGATCATATGTGCAGGATAATAAAGGCGCAGTATACGACGGGAGAGTCATCCACAGCTAGCTTCACCCCAGAATGATAGACTTACCCATTTACCGAAAAGTGACAACACAACATCACAAGGATCTTTCACCGTGAATCAGTAAAATGTGAGCCGCTATATTTAGAAATTCGACATTTTCATAACGTGTATAAGGTCCACTCGATTCAACGCTAACTGCCTTCGACGGTCTTCGCAATGTGTTTCAAATTGTGTGGTGTACTACGTTGCTGTCTATCGTGCTTACCAAATGTACGCGCCTTATGCTGCCGGTGTCGGTTGAGGAGTCCACACCGTGTTACCGAACGCTACAAATACCATCCACTGTGGCACCCATCCTGTCTTGGTGCGAGTGCCGTTGGCAAAGCTGTGATTGTCTCCGTCTCCACTAGGTTGTACTGGTTGGTGATTCCTATTTCCACGATGGTGATCATGTTCCTCCGTCGATCCGCCACGATTATGTCTGGGCGGTTGTACTCCTTGATCTTCTGAGTCTTGACCGTTTTGTCGTACGTGATCCATCCGTGTTTCCCATGCACTTCGCTCTCGATCTTGTGGGCATCCATCTTCTCCTTGGGTAGTCCTATTTGCCTCCCGAGTTCCGAGTGGATTATCCTTGCAACTGCCTCGTGCCTCCTCGTATATTCTATACGTGGCATTTTCGGGCATTTTGTTGCGAGATGATCCACATTCTTGCCGTTCTTGCACCTCAAACATTTATTCGTCGGTGACATCCATGTCAGGTTCCCGTCCTGCACTGCAGCGGCTTGCACTTCTTCTTAAGGGCTGAGGATTCCACTTCTGTAGACTATAGATAATCCCTCGATGTCCAGCAGGGGGTCGTCACGCTTGGCAAACAGAACCTTATGTGTTGATTATACCTCCATTCTGCCGTGTAACCATTTGTTTCGGACCCTCCTGAGGTCCTTCAGGGTATTTGTTCCGGGTTACTCAGTTCCTAACCACGGTTGATGGCCTCCCTATGGTTACCGAGGAATAGAGTTTCCCCACAAAGATTGATAGGGAAAGAACCTTACCACACGCATACAACCGCCTTGCATATTCGAACAGGCATAGGCCACTTAAAGGAATTTTTACACTGCAGCGATGGCATGGTAGCATGCCACCTAGCCACTTCGCCATAGGATATGTTACGCAGCAACATGAACGCACCAATTGTAGTTTAACTTATCAGCAACAATGATCCCAATGTATATGCCCGTATCACACTCACTATAGATATACGTACACACAAATAATGGGCAGATGCCAGCACAAGCGGAAGTAATGTTTAGTAAGTCATTGAACGGGAGTTGTCACAGGCCTACGACCTCTGCATATTCGGGCCCTTAGGCCTCATACCCACAGCGTTGGTGAACCTCCTGTTGTACTGCTGGCGCTTCTTCGCCCTGCCCGTTGGAGGCTTCTTCTTCTCCTGCTTGGCGACCTTGGGCGTGTGATTCCTGACTTTTCCAGCCCTTGCGAGGGACCCGTGGACCTTAACAGCTGATAGACATTATTTTATGTAATATAGTTGAAATCTTACCCATGTTGGTACGGGTGGATTAGTTCGACGGTGGTGACTGTTTCGCAGCAAGTCTTGGTTTTATGGGCGGTGCTATATAATTACCACAAACGCCTGCGGTTTTGCGTTTTTATTGAAAAGTTCTCGGGTTGTAGAGTGAGTTGCTAGCGGCGGTGTTAGCGATTCCTCGGTCCGTTGCGACGTGGGACCTGTCGGGCACTCGCGCCCGCTCCAGCTGCCGTAAGGCCGAGTGACTCCGGAGGTTAGCGGTTCGTTGTTTAGATGCACATTTTAGTTTTTTGTCATTTGTATAGTATTGTTTCCATCATTTTCGAAGTTTAGGCTCCGATAAGCCGGCGCGACACCTAACGGTATTGAGTGACATTTTTCCCATTTTGTTCATTCTGATTGGCGTTTCTCACTTCGTTTGTTCAAAGTAGTCAAATAAAAAATCTGTTACGTTACCGGAATAACCGTGTGTGTCTTTCAAGTGAATCGTAGTGCGCACTTTTGACCAGTTCAACTCGGTCAGTTTGCGTTATACACATCGGCACGTGACGACGCGTCCGCTCTGATTGTAAGACATGGTAACATATGTTGTGTAGTTTGTAATACGTATTTTGTCGACGTGCGCGAGCTCTGATTACTTTCTCCATTATTTCTCGTACTCGTCAACTTTATGCTGGATGGAAGGCTACCACATGAAGTCCTTATAACATCATTAGTCGAAGAGAAATGCGGCTAAACAACCATTAAAAGGGACAAAGGTGTTGTTGATAAGAGCAAAAATGCTCTCCCGCATCTTATCCGAGCTCTGATGTGACTGCAACCATGAATGACGTAAATCCGTATCATTTCGGCAGCCTTACGGCGCTGCTGCGGGAGAACTACGCTTCCATGCTGGATCGAGTTAAGGGTCTGAAGCTGTTGATTCTGGATGATGCGACTGCGGCGTCTATGTCACTGGTCCAAACCCACTCATATCTTTTGGAGGGTGGAGTTCTGCTGACTACCAACATCAGTGACGACAACCTATTCAATGACGATCCACAAAACCTCTCGAATTTACGCCACCTGAAGGCTGTATACATCATCCAGCCGTCCCACGCAAATGTAGCTCGCCTCTGCGACCAGTTGCGCAGTGGATACTTCAAGGAATACCATCTATACTTCACGAGTATGCCGTTGGAGGGCCAGCTCGAGATGCTCGCAAAGAACGACGTCTTGGAGCTCGTGTGCGGCGTTTACTCGTATCACACCGACCTTATGGCTGTGTGTCGTTATTGCTTTTTGCTTGATGCAGGTACAAGCGACCTGTACACGAGCATTCATAGCGGCGAAGCAGCTCGCGTATCGCAAGGATTGTTTAATGTCTTCCGCATAATAAAGCAGATTCCATCCATTCTACACGTATCAGGGAGCTCTGAAGCCCGTGAGCTGGGTTTAAAAGTGCAGTCGTTGTTGAACAACGACCTGTTGAACTCCGAGGCCATTTTGAAGACCTATTCTAAGTTCGGCACTGGAGAGAGCTACGGCTGCAGTCTGCTCATTTACGACCGGAAGTGCGACTGTGTAACGCCTCTGATGAACCAATGGAGCTACCAGGCTATGATTTATGAGCTGTTGCCGATGTCACGCAACAGCGTCCGAGTTGGCGAAGAAGACTTCATTCTGAACCCAGATTTCGACGATTTTTACGGTGCGAACATTTTCAAAGAATTCGCTGATGTTGAGGCTGCTTTGACTGAAATGATTCAGGACAACAAGAAGAGCTTTTCGGACGCCATGAACATTCTCCAGAACATTCCGCAGCAGACAAAGATCTGCAACGAGACCAAACGTCACGTAGCCATTTTGCACGAACTATCGCAACTGATACAGAGCAGAGATCTGCTCAATACGGGGTTGTTGGAGCAGGATATGGGCACTCACACTAGAAGCTCTACGGAGGCTTTCGACGCGGTGGTAGAGTGTCTGAACAACCCTAACCTCGAGCCCTTTGAGAAGCTACGTTTGGCGTTGCTGTTTTGCCTCGAGTACTGCCGACATGAGGACAAGGTGAACATGATAAAGGACAACTTGCGGATGAACGGGTTGGAATCGATGGTCGGCAAGGTGGACGCGCTGCTGCAGTACGCTGATGTCACCGACTCTGGGTCGGATTCATTCGCCATTTTTTCCAGAGCTAAGAGCACGCTAAACAAGTCGCTGTCTTCAGTTTCTTCAAGCCCTTATATGCGGTACTCTTCGCGGCTTGCGTACATTGTGCAGTCCCTGCTGAAGGGACGTCTGGACAACCGGCAGTTCATGCTTATTCCAAGTTCGTATGATTTGGATTTCAGCTACTCGGCCAAGCCACTATCGGTAGTGGTGTATGTTGTGGGCGGCGTGACTCTGGCCGAGTACCGCGACCTTCAGAATCTGAGCGCCGCGTCCAGGGTGCCCATCCTTTTGGGCGGGTCGTGCCTGCTAAACTCGCATAGCTTCACCAATAATTTTTAGCCATGCGTCGGCGTCTTCCACGCTTATTTTCCTTTCGTGGTTTCTCCTCGCAGCCGAAGGACCGGTGGCAGCTGACGGACGAGCACCGTCCAACTGTGTCTGCTCTCGACAAATACCGTCAGGCGCTCTCTGCCGACCGCCGCAAGGCTATACGCCGATCTGACTTTTTGAAGTTCACCGGCGGCCGTCAGCCCCTGATTTCATCGCATCTGAAAGCCAACCTTCTCGGTATGTGTCGTTGCGTGGTGTGTATATAAGCATTGTTACCATGGTCCAACCGCGTAAATTAGACTCTATTGCGCACTGTTTTACGTTCGTATGTAGCGCTGTGTGTCGGTTATGCCTATACGGGCTCCGTTATTGTATGGGTAGTTGCCTCCTACGCATATCTTACGACATTCAGCCTCTGGAATCTTCGTATGGTGTATCTTCGCTTGCTACATGACCTACCGCATTATGCGCCCTGAAGACTATGCGTGGGTAGATGCCGAACGACAGCGTATAGAAGCAGCGAAGGTGAAGATGCAGCGTATCATCGAGTTGGAGAAACGCGGCGAATCTGCTGGCACCTCACCTAATTAATCTCTGATTAAGGAGTGGGTGCTAGCTTTGCGGGGAACATTGATGCTGTACTTCACGCTATCGCAACACTTCAAATAGGACTTGATCACATGCGTGGCAGCCATGCCGTGAACCTGCGGCGCGTGCTCTCATTGCCGACGGCCAGGCGTGAGACCTTTTTGTTCGGCCGGTATCGTCCAGTTACTAGGTATGTTCACATACAAAACAGATAGAATAACCGCTACACAGAAAGGAAAGCCCGAGTGACCTGTCCATCAATGATGCATCGCCACCTAAAGGGCCACCTGCTAGACCCCGTGCTGCCCGGCCTGGCCTAGAAAAGTCGACAAGACGAGAGGACGTTAAAGGCCGTGCGACAACACAGAAATCGGTGGGAAATGACTTTTCAAACAACATACGTTGCGATGATCCACCCGCAAGGTATGGGGGATCAGCACCTACGGGTAGCCGGGGTGCATTTCTGCTCCAGTCTTCCCAAATCGCAGATGGCAAGGTATCACACAGTATCTCCGGCCGGATGAATGCGTCGCTTGATCGCAGTGATATCGCATCTTCGGCACTTCCCTTGATGGAAGGTGGGACGTCTCATTTATCGGTTGAGGAAGTTCTAGATCGGCAGATTCGGCAGAATGTGTTTAACCTACCTGTGCCGCGGCTGCGCGTCTGGCTGTACAACATGGACATAGGAACCATAGCACAAGTTGCACTGCGTAATCTGTTTTCGGTCACCCCTTCCGCCGACAAGGTACTGGTGGCTGAATCCGTGCTGGCGAACAGGGTCGGATCTGAGGACGGGGTTAGGTCTTGCAGGGACGCGTTCCTTCTGCTTAAATTACAGCGTGGTCTATTGTCGTTAGGCATAAGATCTGAGCTTAATTTGGAAGTGTACCGACCTTGCATCCAACTGTTGAACTTTAAGATCGGCAGTATGCACAGTGAGCACGTGGTGCAGTTATGTCAGACGCTTGCGTGGTTGTGGCATCGCATGTCTTTGGATGGCAAACTGGGAGTTATTAGGGACTGTCACGGTCTGAAGGAAACTGACGATCTATACGCCTCTCTTTACTCCCCACTAGTGACCTGTTTGGGGAGGGCCGCCTTGGATATCGGTCAAGATACCGTTACCCGGCTGCTGGATCTACTGGTTATGCTGCAACACCATCTGAGTAAGGGTATGTTTACACATTGTGATCAACTCATCCACTTGTAGAGAGCCTACTACGGCTACATGAGATTTCGTTCCTGAAGGTTATCGAGTTCTCAGGTGCTCTTAGCCTAGACGCCGCGATTAGTACGCGTAAGTTGTAACTTTCCACTCAAAGGTATGTATACAATCTGCAGTGCGTGCCTTGGAGCGCCTGGAGAGTAACTTGCCGAAGCCTTTCTACTTCATCTGTAAGGAAGTGTTGGTCAAATTCGGCAAATCTGTTCACTACAAGGACTTCCACCTGGTAGTTCGGTGCCTGTCACGGTGCAGCAGCGTGGACCCACAGAGCCTGAACCGTATTTTGTTGCTGTACAAATCGCTTGTGACAGATGCTGAGTCTTCCAAATACTATCCGTTGGAACGCTTCGTGGTGGCGGTTGTCTTGCGTGCTCTCGAAATAGAGCCCGCTACCAACCAGGCTAATTTGGAGCTTGGCGGAACGTACACTCCTACCTCAAGCAAGTCAACTACAGAGTTGACACCGTCATCTTCGTGTTATATCACGGTGCCAAAGGGGTACCACCGGAAGGTGCATTCGTTAAAAGACCTAGACCCGCTGATATCATGGGTCATAGTAAAACTGAAGAGTTCTGTAGACCCATCAGTGCCAGTGATGTGTGACTACAGCCACATAAAGCGTCATTACCGATTGCGCGGCAGCCTACAGTTGTCCCTCACAAATCTGCTGGGATCGGCTGCCGGCCCGAACAGCAGCGAATTGGCAACTTACTCGTAATTTTGTGCACACATGCAGCCAATCCAAAATTGGCAGGTTCATACTATTGCATACGCAGCAAGTCATCCTCCGCGTGTTGTTTTGCGTTGGCTTATTTAGATAATAACTTATACGATTAGGTGTTGCAGTATATAGAGTTCACATGCGTTAATCTAATCCCAGTGAATAAAATATGGGGTAAGACATTTCTCGCACCCGTTGAGTCTCAGATCTTGCGAACGTCAGCGGTGGCGACAAAGTTTTCTACCGTCTGCCTCAACTTGGCTTCGGTCTCTGGGGACAGTTGGCCTTCTGTCTCTATCGTCTTAAGGAGGTCTTGGTGCGAAGAGAGGAGGTGGTCGATGAACAGCGCTTCGAACTTGGAGATGTCCTTGGGGTCAATGGAGTCGAGGAGCCCCTTGACACCTCCGTAAATGACGCACACCTGGAGCGGGATCCTCATGGGGACGTACTGCGGCTGCTTGAGCAGCTCCGTGAGCAGGGTACCTCTGGTAAGCAACTTCTGCGTGGACGCGTCGAGGTCCGAACTGCAATACAATGACGTGGCAGAGCCGGTGGTACTTACCCGAACTGAGCGAAGGCAGCTACTTCCCTGAACTGGGCAAGATCGAGCTTCATGGTACCAGAGACCTGTTTCATAGCCTTAATCTGTGCCGCCGATCCGACACGAGAGACCGAAAGTCCCACGTTGATGGCAGGTCTGATACCCTTGTAGAACAGTTCGCTTTCGAGGAAGATCTGTCCATCAGTGATGGAGATGACGTTGGTGGGAATGTAAGCAGACACATCTCCGGCCTGCGTTTCGATAATGGGGAGGGCGGTAAGGCTTCCTCCTCCATTTTTGTCCGAGAGCTTGGCCGCCCTCTCAAGGAGACGGCTGTGCAGGTAGAAAATGTCACCCGGGTAGGCCTCTCTTCCGGGTGGCCTCCTAAGCAGCAAAGACATCTGCCTGTAGGCAGTGGCCTGCTTGGACAGATCATCGTAAATGATGACGGCGTGCCTGCCGGAGTTCCTGAACCACTCTCCCATGGCGCAACCTGCGAAGGGCGCCAGGAACTGGAGTGGCGCCGAGTCGGACGCAGTGGCTGCGACGATGGTAGTGTACTTGAGGGCGTCCTTGTCCTCCAGAGTCTTCATGATACGTGCCACAGTCGAACGCTTTTGCCCGATGGCTACGTATACACAGTAGACACGGTCCTTCTCATCCTTGGCGTCATTCAGCTGCTTCTGGTTGAGAATAGTGTCGACCGCAAGGGCCGTTTTACCGGTCTGCCTGTCGCCGATGATAAGCTCACGCTGGCCCCTTCCGATTGGCACCAGGGAGTCCACGCACTTGATACCCGTGGTCATGGGCTCGTGTACGCTACGCCTGTCGATGATACCTGGAGCCGGTACTTCGATTCTGTTCCTGAGTTTAGCCTCAATAGGTCCCTTTCCGTCGATAGGGTTGCCCAGGGCGTCGAGCACGCGGCCGAGCAGCTCGGGTCCCACCGGCACGTCGATAATACGGTTGGTGCGGCTAACGTTGTCACCCTCCAGGATAGACCTGTCGTCACCGAAAATGACGACACCAACGTTGTCGGATTCCAGGTTGAGCGCCATTCCCGAAACGCCGCTGGAGAACACAACGAGCTCTCCCATCTTGACGTCCTTGAGTCCGTAGACACGGGCAATACCATCACCGACAGTGATGACGTGACCCACGTCGACGACGTCCTTGTGCTTGTCCCATCCAGCGATTCTACTCTGCAGTATCTTGGACATTTCTGCCGGGGATATTTTGGCGGTTGAGAACGCGCGTGCGTTAGTCGCGTGCGGCAGCCGCCGGGCAACCGCCGCGGCCAGCGTCCTGATCAAGGGTCTTCCCAGTGGCTTCATGTTGCGCATGTTGGATTTCGGCGGCCTCGGGCGCCCGTGATGTTTGTGCAGTGCCCGTGGCCTGGGTACGCTGCGGCGACGCTTCCCCATACACCTCCGCGGTATACGCCTTAAGAGTTACGTGGCGCACAGTTAGTAGTATACCATTCTTTCATATTTCTGAGGCGTAGTTCTAAACAGTGTGTGCGCACATCCAGTGTGTCAGCGTATAAACGACTGCTCCAAGCTGTGTTGCAATGCGGTATAATTACGTTAATTAATGTGTTCGAATTCGGCGAAAATACCTGGACTTCAGTTGACTGTAGACTGGTTACACACTGTTCATATGAATTGTGCGTTAGTATTATGACGACCTCGTCTTGAACTCCCGGAGGTTGACCTTTTCCGATGTTTTACCCATTGAGGAAAGCGGTCGTCCTTGGACTGTCTAACATTGACCAGCGAGATATTAGGCCATACACAAGCGTATGAGCTATCTAGGTCTCCTTACTTGTTTGATACGTTTCCTATCAGCAACGTCCATACTGCAGCTCCGCGGAAGGTTGCGTATGTCAGCCCATACCTAGCGGAATCGCGACGGCGCTGCACACATCGATCAAATATGTGTTTTATAAACTAAATTTGACATAGCATTCGACTATTTAGTTCGTATTTCACGAATTATACGGCCGTTACTGCGCGGAATGTGTGACATCCCCGCCGCGCCTCTAGCGCCTTCGGTCGCATGAACACACGATTCAGCAAACATCAACATTTGTTTATTTGTGGCTGGAGCTGCCTGAGGCAGTCGTGCTATATCGAGCCATTTTTAGGCCGAACGGAATAATCGAACAGCACGTTGCCTTTCGCCCTGCCGTAAATGTTGACAACAGTGGTTGTGTGCCTGTAGACGTATGCTATGACATCCACAGACGTCTAAAAGGTTACACTGGCTCGATCTGAGCCCATATTGTGTGTATGTTTATTTTGAATACCTATCATAGCCGTTGTAAACTATTATACGTTATTTTGGTTACCCTTTTTATGTATTGTGTATGCGTTTTGGCATATATTAAGTGTAAGGTTGTAACTGCGATGTTCATTTAACTACTGTTTTTGTTGTACGCATTTTAAATTTCATTCTCGATAATCGTATGTACACCCTTGTCTAATCTGCCGAAGACTCGCTCCAGGATAAGTTTCGACTCTGCCATAGGTTTTTGTTTCAATCTATACAATCCCGAGTTCAAGACACCATCGCGAAGATATAATGGATGTCACATGCTTGGCCGGCGATTTCTAGGGCCTGGTGCCGTTGGCCAGCAGAGTTTTGGAGCATCACTTTTTGTTGTATGATGTGAAGATACAGGTAGACGGCTGCGAGAATGATGGCTCAAGAACGGCAACAACTGATCCCTTGGCGGACAGTATCGTACGTTCTGAGTTTGCTGATACTGGGCTTTCAGCAGGTGGGCCTGATGCACTACATGTACAAGAGTCAGTCGTGGGCCCTGTACTTGGCGGTATTCGACGTCATATGCGTATGCAACTGGATTTTCTACACGTCGCCGAAGATGGTCGGAATCAGGGGTGCAAACTGTTGGATCCTTTACAGCCGCGTGATGACCGTTAAAATCCTCGTGTTTTATTACATCGTGTTCCCTGAGTACATAGCGAAGGAGGGTTTGTTGTTTGGAGCTGCATGCGGCGCATCGACTGAAATTTTGCTATTGTTGCTGCTGACTCCGACCCTTTATGTGCTTACGTCTTTCCGGGCGGGGGTGCACCTGTACGGCGGTCTGAACTGCATCTCCTCTGAACGTCTCATGCACACCGACCTGATCATCCACGTCGCATTCGATTTGCTGGATGTGATAGACATGTGCCACGTCTACCTTACCATCCCCGTCGTGTTCTCGCACAGGAACTACATAATGGACGCCTTCTGCGGCGTGCTGATTGCAACGGGCATCTTCTTGCACTCGTACAGTTTCCCCAGGATGAGCGAGACGTCTAAGTCCAAGGGTGCCCTCGGCTTCAAAGGGGACTCTTTGCACAGCGCGAGTGATATTTATTACTGCCGCAAGTATGCGGCCATTGTGGGCATTTTCTTCGTGGACATTCCCTTCGCGATCTTCCGAGCGGTTTTGTGGCTACTGCTCGTGAAGCATACGATATTCGGCCCTTTTCTGCTGAAGAACATCTGTTTCATCATGATCCAGGCTGCGCGCATCCGCCACTGCTCGATTGGTATCCGCACTCTGGACTACTCGAAGGCGCTTAACGAAGCCAACGGTGGGTTCATCCGATATTTGCATCACTGAATGTATGCAGAGGATGACAAGCAGCCTACTCTGGTAACCGAAACTGCTGCGGATGATGATCGCCCATCTGTCCTGGGAGACTTCGCCGAGGTCCACGAAGGCAGCCGATCCGAACACAGGAAGTCGTTTGTGCGCTTCAATACGACACCTGAGCTTTTACAAGATAATGTTACTAACGACCAGCCCGCACCTAGGCGTAACACGAGCGTTACAACGACCGAGCATGGTGAGGAGGGATTCACGAGGATCACGATTCCCGAGGGATTCTCTGTAACAGTGGTGAACTTCAAGGCTCTGTTCCAGAAGATCGTGCTGGCAATAAGTGTGGGTAGCAAGTGTGAGATGGCACATCTGCTCGACTCTACTCTGCAGCTGTCACTGTGGCAGAACGCCATGATCGCGATTCCGCATATCGTGTTATGGGCTGTGGAGGTTACTATTGTGATCGCATTTTATAGGCTGGATTTGCAGCGCATGACCAAATACCTCGACTTATTCCATTTCCGTGGCCTGGTGAGCGTGTCGTTCGCCGAGCTTCCGCTCTGTCTGCAGGTTACTCCATGTCTCATCATTGCAGCCAGTCTGGTGAGCTTCATCTGTTGGATTATGATTGGCCCTCTCATCGGAGCTCTGTTTGTCGCTTTCCAGGTCTTTGTCTCCTTGATATCGTTTTCTTTTGTGCTTTTGTCGCTGTCCGAGTTCATCCCGGCGCTGCGCATCCTGTCGTTCATCTCGGAACATACCATGGGAACCCCCAGAGACTACCTCTTTTTCATGTTCGGGATGCGCCCATTTTTGAACCTGTTGAGCGGCTTGTATCCGTTCCTGTGTCTTACTCTGGGAAAGCACTACATCTTTTACATAAACCCTTCACTGGTGAGTACGGAAGGCGCCGACCTGCTAGGCGATTCTGTGAAGCTCATCAGCGGCACATTCGCTGTTAATAAGGAAGGTGAGTTTCGCGGGTTAATGGAAACTTAAATACCGTCAGGTTTGGTACAAGATGAGTCGTTCCCAATATCGCTGGCGTCTCTGCTCGTTTTGACGAATGCGGTGATCATGTGCGCACCTCCATCCGCGCACTCGCTGTTGATCGGCCCAAACCTCATTAAGGCCATCAGGTAGGTAAAAATAACTATCTTGTGTATGTGAATGGCAATTCGTGATAACTCGTGCTGTTGCTTACTTGACCGATGCATACACGTGTTTCACGTATGCTTTTCGTGCATGTCAAGGAGATGTGGATATGCGAGTGCAAATTTGTATTTCGTTAAATAGCAAAGATTCCCCACAATGAGGCTTCACACATTTGCGTGAAACAACCTATCCATATGTTGACTACGGATCATGCAAAAGCTTAAATAATTGAGCTGCATTGTTTCATGTAGTCGATGAGTGTACCGTTCATCAACCACTAATTAGTGCCTCCATTAGCAACTCTACGCAAAATCATATGCCGCTTTTCAGGCTGGATAGAGCTCTGGCGAACAGCCACAAGAACGCGTTCATGCGAACGTGCATGATTCGGCTCTACTGCATGTTGATGGTGGTGGGCAACAACGGCCGCGCGTATTCGTGCGCGATTGTGTTCTACATCGTGCACATGCTGATGATACCGCTTTATGCCCTGTTGTCTCGGGCGGTGCGGCGCGCCAACATCGAAGCTGTGCACAAGCAAGCCATTTGCGTGGACATCCTGAAGGAGACCCGAAGCCAGCGTACCAGGTACAACAAGCTGCTGACGTATGAGAAGGCGCATGTGAACACCGCTCCTTTGAGAGAGAACCACTGGATCTTCAAGAAATACCGACGCAACATGACATTTCTCTAATACCTCTTGTGTTTCGGCTGTTTGGATGTTCTGCTCTTGTCCATGAGCATGACTATCCACCCCTCCTCAGGGTTGGCTAGGAGCGACGGTTCCTCAGTCAATCGTGTGTTGACTTCCACAACATCGAAATGGCGTACTGCCTTGGGAAGCAACACGTCTTGAGGATCCGGAATGTGCAGAGTGCAGGCAATCCCCGACGCCACAACCTGTTTCCGGTTGCGTTTCTTGCTCCCCTTCGTATTACACAGGGCACTGGTCAGTTCCTCGCTGAACTCAACAGCCTTAACCGATTCTCCACGCTTTATCTGCTGGATTGCGGCATGTGTCTCGTGTAGTCCTACAAGGTGGATGCTGCGTTACACTCAGCGCTGACAGTTGCCTTTGACTCACCCGTTGGGTAGACAGTAGTAGTATACATCGCCCACTACAGTGCGTTGCGAGCTCTTGATGGGTATCTGCTAGCGGTCATCTTATGCACATCGGTAACGTACACAGTAGTCCAACGCTGGAATGTCTTGAATCCGCTTGACGCCGTTGAGCAGGTCAGACACATCCGCTTCCGGCAAGCCAGATAGTTTGGCAAAGCCAGCGACGGCCTGCTCCTCGGGGAGGAAGGCTGTGCTGCCCAGCGTTTTAGGCGCAGGAGCGCGCGCCGTAGGCGGACCAAAGGCAATGTGCGATATGTAGTATTTGTATGTATTACCGTATCTAACGGCTGCATATAAGGAATCCATTTTATTCGTTAGAGTCAAGCATAAAATCGTTGGCGATCTTCCCACCCGCGGAGGGTTGTTGGCGACTGGTGTCTAGGAAGACGTTGATCTTGGTTGCCTTGTTGCCCTTGAAGCTGAACTCGAATACATCTTCCGCCTCATCTCTTGCACGTTCGATGTTATCGCGCCTCCAAGGTTCGATGTCAGCGGACCCTAGCACCGTTGCAGGGTCCCCTGTTGAGGTGGTGATGTCTGCCAGGTCCATTTCTCCAGTGTAGTCGTCATCGTCGTAGCCATCAACCAGTCTACCCGACATGTTCATCATCTGCCGTTTCATGGGCTCGACCTCCTCTTCGTCGTCTTCCTCGAACCAACGATCCGGGTCAACTATCACGTGCCGCTTCTTGTGGGCCATCTCGCCGGACCTGGAGTAGCTGTACATCCTCTCGAGGTTGTTAAATACAAAATTTTCACAGCAATGGGAGTACGCCTGCTTGAGTTCCTCGAAAAGGGCGCTGCATAATGGGTCCTGGAATATCCATTCCACGAGCCCATCCAGGCCCCAGCTGTCTATGGTGCTGAGAATGCCGAGGCAAACGCTTTCTAGAATCGACCCCCCGTCCCTGCCGGCGCTGACTTTAGTCTTGAGAATCCACAAAACCGGCCTCAGAACGTCGTACTTTATGATATGCCGTTCTACGCTCATATCCTTCATCTTGATGCATACGTGGAGGAATTTCATGGCTCCTACCGCGACGAACTTGTCAAACGGCCGCAGCGAGCTCGCCATTACCCGAAGAGGCAACTTGTGGCTCTGAACTCGCAGCTTGAACCTGTGCCTGTGTTCGCGTGCGCAGAGCGAGAGGAGGTCCATTGCGTGCACTTTCGCCACGCGGATGGTGGGAGAGTCGGGTACGTTGTCTCCGAACACGCGTTCAATAAGCCTATCCAGCACCCCGTTGTCGTAAAACAGCGAGCACATCTCATCCTTTTCTGGCAGATCCATATTCTTCGGGTCCAGCAGTTTGAGGAATATGTCACGTGTCTGCCCCTGCACCCCCTCACTCGGGTTGGTGGCTATTACGTCACAGAGCGCGAATAGAAGCGCTGGCTCGTTCTTGGCCTCCGCATCGGCGAAAATTGCGGTCCTCACGATGGACGGGAACACCTCCAAACACAAGTTGAATATTTCCACCGCGAGTGAGACGGGGTCCATCAGTCCGTGTCGGCGAGTGCCGAGCAGGTCAGGTCTGTAATCATGCATCCGTGCAAGTGCTCCTTTTAGCTTTGCGTATTCGCGCTCCATGGCATTATTTTTTGGCAGTAGATGCTCCTCAAAGTCATGACACGCTGGAGCGGTACCATCCAGGTATCCAATAAGCTCGTTGAGAAGCTGGCTGTGCTTAACCAACAGCAGCAGCGATATGCGATCGGGTTGGTTGACCCCCTGCGAGCACCTGGCGGCTCCTAGGAGCTCACGCAAGAGCAACGCTGACATATACTTATGGGGGATCTGCTCCTTCAGCGACTCCACGAAGCCCCGCCCGTCACTGGACAGTATGTTGAGTATTTCGTTGGTATTGGAGAAGATAACGCCGGAGAGCCTCTGTATCGCGAATTCATCCAGTTGCCTGGGCAACACAACATCCTTGAGATAATCGATACGGTAGTTTGAGTGCACGAGCCTGTAAAATGCAGGGTTCGGCAGCATGATAACGTCGTGGTGTATCACGTGCTTTCGGAAAAACTTGACGTGCTCCAGGCTGAGATTTTGCGATAGGATCTCTGCGTCGTATTCGAACGCCTGCAGGAGATCGAAAAACATCTCGTCGCTCACTAAGATGTTCATGAGCTCCAGATTCCCGCACCAGTGGAGTATAATCCTTGACATGATCGTCGATATGGCGGACAGCGTGGATAGGTCTTCTATTTCTACGCAGTGGCGCATAACAGCGAATGTCTCGCCGAGCCACCGCTTGTCCAAAAGATCCATGTACACCATATCACACACCGAGTTCTGTGTGAGCATAGCGTCGAGCGTGGTCTCAAGTTTGCGCAGATCGCTGACGGTAGGCACGGGCAGTGCGCGATAAGCCGCATATTTGCGTGACTCTCTTGGCGAGCTCGAGTCGCCCTGTCCTGATCCGCTGCCGGGACCATCCCCGTCGCCATCGAGTTCTGTCTCCGAGCCGCTGCCTCCATCGCGGTCATTCGAGGACGGTAAGGATGGATCGTCGACTAGGCCACTGATATATGTCCTGCACCGTTTGCGTTCCCCAACATTGTAACTAACCAAAAGGCCCTGTGCCCAACTACGTTCTGAAAGGAGAGTGCCCTGTAGAGCCGGCCCTCCCCTCCTTCTTGCCATATGATGATTGATTCTGTCACGGGATGAGCGATGGGGGAGCAATGATACAAGAATCTCCACGTACAAGATTACATAACCACTTATCACGTTAGTATTAACGTACAAACTCATGTAGACATCATTTTGCGTGTATACACATCGAGATGTGCAGCTCGATTAGTGCAGCCGACACTCCCCGCATCTCGGGATTTAGATCCACGCTAATGAAACCACCAAAACACGGCTTTTCACTTATTATAGCGGCACGAGTCGGGAGTCACCGGTATTTCACCAAGCGGAGCACAAACAAGCGTCTCTATGCAGAGGCGCCGCTTACCATTCTGCGATGAGTAGTTCGTGTTGTACATGATGTTTGAGATGACAACAACGGTCATTCCCTCTTGCTCCAGCTCGATGACGATCTGCGGGCTGTTCTGTTCGATAGGCTCCTTGATATGGCAATATCCCGTGCCCTTGTCAATCCATGCATCCTGCATATCGATATTGGTGTCTCAAGGGGCACCCACGTTTGTGGAATAAATCTCGTACAGCTTCACGCGCCTGCACGACGCCGGGATGCCGTTGACCGGGTGTGCCTTCTGCAACCGAGGCTCGCTACGCAGCTCCACCTCGATGGCTTCCAGCTCATCCTGGCCCGGCTCCACTGCCATGGGTGCTACCTAGTGGTCATCGCAAAGAGAGTGGCAGTAATCCATATTATTTTATGACGGTTTAGAGTGATACGCGTGCCCGTTCCCCCAGTCACCCGCGCCAGAGCGCGAGCACGAGGGACACTCTGTTTTCAAGCTCCATCGGCCGAATTGGGGCAGTGTCCACCTCCTGCGGTGCTATGTAAATTTCGGTGGTCATCTGCACGGCGGCGTCCTTCGGGACGGCTGCGCTGTGACATCCTATGAAGGCGCGCTCTCCGGCGAACTCGATGAACGGCTCGTTGTTCGACGCGTTGGCAAACAGGAACACGTCGGGCACGGCGTCTTCCGCGAACTCTAGGCGCCTCAGCATACCGTGGTCCACGGCGTACTCCGAAGGTAGCGTCGCCGTGGGATAGCTTGGGAAGAAGGAGCGCTGCAGCAGTAGCTGTTCACATGCCCGGAACACCCTTTTCTCATCCGGAATACATACCATGTTGTTTGCTGCAGCATAGTTAGTGTCTTTTGCTTATTGCGGCTATGAAATCGACGTCACGCTTTGGAAGGTGTCATGTCATACACATGCAATAGTGATTCCGCTAGAGGGTATGTACCAGCATCACCATCGATCGTGATTTTCGAATGTACATGCATATCTCACTACAGACACGAACTGTTCAGATGCTGCACATGTCCTATACCACAAAATAAAAGCCACTACGTCTGCCATCCGGCACGTCACCACTGGTATGCAGTTGACTCACCGATGCCTGAGACTGGGTCACAGGAAGTGACTCCGAAAAGAATCCCATTGATTCTCACGAGGCCTGGGTTGGACAGAAAGATGACGTTATCTGGGTACTCCCCGCTGTGTAGCTCCGATCCCTGACAGTTGAGCGGTGGCTGTGGCAGCGGGTATCCCGACAAGACGTCGTAACAGTGTGGCACGATGACGAACTTCGTTTCCTCAAGCTGCGAAACATCTGCGAGCAGCGATATCTCATGGAAGAAGCGCTTGTATATAAACGCGATGTCCCCAATGCGGCTGAGCCCGTCACCGTCGACCTGAGTCGTAATTGCCGCTCTCTGGATGCAAAACATACCGCCACTTGCCGCACGCTGACGAATGGTCCCATGAAAAATACGACGTGCGGTCTGTCTCTTTTGATTTTGTTGAACACGTGATTGAAGCTGACGGGCTCCAGGGACTCGGTGAGCAGGCAGCCTCGTACCACCGATATGTGTATGTTTTGGTTCTTGAACTTCTGGTTGGCGTGATTGGTGGCCATGGGAATGTCTGCCGGTATGCCGCAATCTGTGAAGAATGAATTGCACAACTTAATCACTTACGCAGCTTGGAGGCAACGTATCTTACGCCGAACTTGTCTTCAAGGCACCTGCCTGTTACGGCAGCCATTTGCCCTGGAAACAGGCACACGTCGTCGAGTGTGTGTATATTGGTAATTTGCGCTTTGACGCCATAATCGAACACCGTGGTGCCCTGCACCGTAACGTTGAGTTCGTTGAGCGGTACGTCTCCCTCCGCACCGATCCTGCCGTACGCCGTCACGTCGTTATCGCTGAAGTTCTTCAGCGGCTTGAGATCGCATGCTATCCCCTTCGATTCGCAATACCCCTTGAAAAGGTTCGTGAACCTGGTGATTTTGCCGTTGATGCATGCGTCGACTGCAGCAGCGTCGGCGGTGGCGCACTTGTATTCGGGGATAACATCTTCCACGTCTATCGCAAACATGTTGGTCGATGGTAGCGGTTGTGCAAAGTATTAATAAAGCGCAAAATGCATGGAACTGATGAATTGTAGCGAATGTCACCATGACATTAAACCTGGCAGTAACAACCGTCCAACGCTTCAAACTATATAACCCACAACAACAATGAACAGATGGCATAGACATGGATCTCATCGTAGCTATAACTAACCAAAACTCATGTAGGCCTTGTTTGCGGTCTCCACTCCTCGCTGGAGTTCCACTTTCTCGGACTCCACCAAAGGCGCTCGCCGCAAGACAATTTCCTCGAGCGTTTTCTGCCGCATAGCGTCCTTGTTCTCCACCAGATCCAGCAGCCCCGCTGCCACCTGCGCTCTGCGGGCCCCGTCGACGCTACTCCCCCCTTGGGTGCGGAGCGACTCGAGCTGCTCCTTGAGCCAGCGGTTGACCTTCATCATCTCGCGGGAATTCCCACCGATAGACTCGAGCCTTGCGGCCAGATCGTCCAACAGCGGCCATTTTATGCTGGAATCCAGTGCTTCGAGCTGCTAGTTGTTATTTTCACCTACACACCTCCTACCAGGATGTCTGCGATGTTGTAGACCGAGACTTCCTCGGTCTGAAGGCCACCATCTACGTCCATCTTATGCACGCAGCTAAGTGTTATAAAGCGGTGACACTATGTGTGTTGGAAGGCGGTGATGCGACCCGTCGCGCATCAACCCTCACTGCTTTTTGGCGAAACGCGACAATGCCGCACCTCGCACAGATCCGCGCACACGGCGTTCTCCAGTGGAATCCTCGAAGGTCATGGCATCTATAATGTGCTGCTTCGCCTTCTCGCCTTCCACCTTCTGCTTGCGCAGGTTGCGCAGCCGATCCCTGGCCGCCTGTTGTCGTCGCTGGAAGGTGCGCTCGTACGCCGCAACCTGATAAGGGTGATAACTTGCACGTGTTCTACCTACCTTAGTCGCCGTTTTGGCCTTCATCGACCGCCTCTTCTTGCGCGTGTTCTTCAGGATCTCACCACCGCTGTCTACTTTTGCCGCAGGGGCTGGAGCACCGTCTTCCGTCTCCGCAGCAATATAATCACGGTTGTAAGCGCCAATCTCGACGTTCTTGGTAGTGATGGTGTCGTACGGGATCTTGTCTAGCATGCGCTGCACCTGTTTCTTCGAGCTCGACTCGTAGGGGTTCGGCGCGAAAGCGTCGAAGTTTGCGATTCCGGCGCCTGGTACGAGCAACGTGGATACGCCGGTGGTAGTGCCTACAGCACAGACATCTTCGAACGGCTGGAACTTGATATCCTTTGCCGATTCCGCAGGGAATTGGTGCTTGAGGTACAGGCTCGGTTCAGTCCCGCCGACACGCGAGAATGCGTCGCGGTAGTACTCGACTCTACCGCCTATCGCCATGGCCAGAATTCCCGTTTGGCTCACTGCCATTGCCTCCGGCGGCGTGCGGCCCGTGAACTGTCGGCTAACTGCCTTGCTGTAGTTGCGGAGGTCCCAGACGTTCCAGAATCCATCGAACCCCGACGTGGCCATGTAGTTGTTGTGTATAGCCATTGACACCACGGGGCCCTTGTGGGCTAGCATTTCAACTCCGGGCCTTCCCTCGTTGGGCGTCCATAGCGTGACCACACCTGACGTGTGTCCAAGGTGGATAACACCGTTGTCCTTGTTGTGCCGCATGACCTTGCACGGTCCCTTGCGAGTCTTATAGCGCGCGACTATCTCGCCGCTCGTGATGTCCTGCCAGCTCAGCTCTCCGAACTCCCCGATGGCAGCCATCAGCCAGAAGGGCGCCATGTACTCCAGCTGGTAGGTGAGCCCGAGGTCGCGTAGGCAGTACACTTCGACCCCGTTGTTGTCGTAGATATGCACGTACTTCTTCTGGGCGACGGCCAGAAGCTCATGGTTGTCGAGCACTTGGATGTCGCGTATCGTCTGCTTCACCGATATGTCGAAGCAGGGCTTCATGTCGATCGCGTCGAACAGCGCCAACTGCCCCTTTTCGCCTCCGAGGAGCATGTAGCGACCGTCCCTTGTGTAATCGCATCGGTAGGGGCCGTGTTGCAGCTGCAGCGAAAATGACTTCTTCCTGGTGCCGATATCAACTGCGTCCAGTATTTGGTCTTGCGATACGTTGTATGTCTTCTCATCTTCCCCGACTTGTAGGAAACCTGCCTGATTGGGCAGAAGCACGGAGGTGGCATCGGCTTCAGCTTTAGCAGTCTTATGCACCTTTTTGTACCGCTGCACGTTACGCTGTGCCTGCGCCTGCTTGAACTGCACAGCAATGACGGGCTACTTTATGTGCAGTAAACGCTACCTTCTCAGCCTTCCCGCCGAAGAATTTGGCGTGGAAGACCTTGGTATCCCGCACTTCAGCCGCCATCTCGCGTAGGTTGAAGTTGCCGGCGATAACGTTGCGATATGTTTAATGTTCTAACGGTCACACCTCCATTATAGTTCTGTAGTTGGGGTATAAATAATATATGAAAGCGCCGTTTATAGAATCTCGCGTTGAGGAGCGGCGTCGGCTGCCCCTGCTACGGAGCGGATGTAGTGCTCCATATTTCGTCATTACATGTAAAATCAGACAATGTGGGCCTCACTTTTGCAATATTTGCACGTGATGTGTCGAGTGTTAGCTGCTATTACGCAATAGCTTTGTCTTCTTGGTGCCGTCGTCGTACCAGCAGGGCCAGGACTGCCAACGGCAAAAGCAGGATTGCGTGTTGCAACTGTCTACGGCCATTTGTGACTGCTCTATACATCTAACTCTGTTCTCATATTACCTATTTCGGGTATTGCGGATAGACACTCATCGCAATGTCGACAGCCCATCGGCCAACGTGGCACGCGGCCATCGGCCGCAGTCCAGGAGGTAAGCAAGCGTTTGTGAACAACATACGCACGCAGCCAACTTCGGGACGTTTATGGTGTCAAGCCGCGATATGCCGTCGCATACCGAGCTGAAGCGCCGTGCCCCGGTCAACCCCGTTGGAGACATGGGAGAGGCAAAGGTGCAGAAGACCTCCGAGTACCAGCGCGTGCTGCGTGAGAAGTTGGAGAACTCCGAGAGCGCCCACCGGGCTAAGGGCGATCTTCAGGAGCGCCTCGGCGCCACTCGCAATTTCCTGTCACTTGAGGACACCGTGAAGCTGCTCAACCAGGACGTGAACGCGTTCCCGGAGGATTCTGATGACTGCTATGCAGGGGAAGACAGCCGTGGCGGCGAGTCGGACTCCGACGACGATGAGGCCATGTTGCTGCGAGAACTCGCGAAGATAAAGAGCGAGAGGGAGGAGGCACGCCAGCGCGAGTTGCAAGAGTCGCTGCAGTCGGCTGATGAGCGCGAGCGCATCCTCAGCCAGAACCCGCTGCTGGCGAAAACTGCCCCTGAGAGGCGTTGGGACGAGGATGTGGTATTCAAGAATCCAACCCGAGAGATCAAAGAGAAAAAGGAGTAAGTTACGCCTCTTTCGTTTCCACACGTATTGTGGTTGCTTGTTCAAATTACCACATGAACTGCCCACACCTTAGGTGCCTGTGTATTAGTACATTCGGCTGACTGCGCAACACGTTGACTACGGTTTCAGCCAGTTTCTACTTTTGGTGTCGATGTGCCGGTTTACGAAATTAGCTACTTCTGTATGGTGTTTTGTTGCCGTGGGGCATTTGTTACCACTTTAACGGTTCACAGGTTCGTAAACGACTTGGTGCGCAGCGAGTTCCACCGACGGTTCCTGCACAAGTACATCTCGTAATCACTTCTTGTTGGTCACGTTGAACTTGAAGAACATGATGTCACCGTCCTGGACCACGTAGTCCTTTCTGTGGACATTTTTCTAATGTATACGAAATTGCTCACCCTTTTTGGAGGTAACGGCCGTTTGCTTTCACCTCGTTTTCGCTACCTGCACAAGCGTGATCGTTTCGGCGCCGGCGACTCACCGAACTCGACGATGTCCTTGTAGTTGTACGTTTCCGCGCAGATGAACCCGCGCTCGAAGTCCGTGTGGATCACACCGGCGGCCTGTGGCGCCTTGGTGCCGTTGCGGATTGTCCAGCACCTGACCTCGTCCGGACCACAGGTGAAGTAGTGGATGAGGTTGAGGCACGAGTACCCACTGGCGATGATCTTGTCGATTTTGCTGGTCGCACCGTTTTTGTCCTTCAGGTACGCAGCGCGCGCCTCGTCGGTGTCGAATGCCTCTAGCGCCTGCTCGAACTGGGCGCTGTAGGGCACGATTGGGCCGGGGTTGTTTTCGGCAACCCATTTTGCGATTTTTGCCAGCCATTTATTCTTCTGCCTGACGAAGTCCTTCTCGCTCAGGTTAACGAGGTACACCACGGGCTTTGCCGTAAGGAAGTTGTACTCGTTGAGAAAGGGAACCTCGGACGCCTTCCAGTTGGCGTGGGAGATCCACTGGTTTTTCTCCAGCACCTCCTTAGCCTTCATCATGGTGTCGAGCTCCTCCTTCTTGGATTTCACCTTCATGTTGCGCTGGTAGACCTTGTCGATCTCAACCAGTGCCTTGGTGCATTTGTCCAAGTCCTTCAGAATCAGCTCCTGGTTGATGGTCTCCAGGTCGTTGATTGGGTTGACCTCGCCGTCGGTGTGGACGATTTCGTCATCCTCGAACCCCCTGACCTGCACACATATTATGTTCCCAATGCGAAACATGCGGAGAAAGCAGCTCATGTATCAACGTGTCACTCACCACGTGGTATATGCCGTCGACGGCGTCGATGTGGGACAGGAAGGCGTTTCCCAGTCCCTCTCCTTTGTGCGCTCCCCTAACGAGCCCGGCGATATCGAAGATCGAAAGGCACGCCGCGATCTCCTTCTTGGGTTCGAACACCTTGCACAGGTGTTTGAAGCGCTCGTCAGGCACTGCGAAAATATGAGCCATGAAGATGGGATGTCACCGATAGCAGCAGCACAGGCATAAATGCTTGAGGCAAACTCATCAGTAGGCACACATTGCGCCAATAGACGTATGTACACAATCCTCAATGTCGAACGTAATGCCGTGATCGTACAACTCACCATTTATAACAGCCTCGTGCGGATTGATGGTACAGAACGGGAAGTTCTCCGCCGGGACCATCTGCTTGGAAAGCAGGTTGAACGTGGTAGACTTCCCGACGTTCGGAAGTCCTACAAGTCCCATTTTGAGGTTGTTCTTGGGCCTGCGAGATATGACGACTCCGAGGTAGGACCGACCTTCCGAGCAAAACCCGGGGTTCGGGCTGCGCCGCCTTGTCCTTCGGTGCCATATTTATTAGATTCAGGTGTGATTCTGGTTGTTTAAAATCCTTGCGATGCGAACCTAGAACCAATGGCTACACACCATGCCGCGACTCAAACGCCCGCCGCAGCTGCGTGGTGGCCACCGAAGATCCAACCGTAACTGCAAAAGCAGTAAATATAACACGTGTTATATGTACTCAAATGGTGAGTTAAACAAGTTTATGTAAATCTGAAACATGTGTCGCAGATGACGTGATTAAGCGAGGTCAACGCCAGGGGCTGCAGGCCCCGGCGTTTCCGGAGGGAACCGCAAGCGAACCGGCGCCTTCTGTACATTAGAAAGTGGCTAGGATTGGATTCGGCTACAATACACCTCCCAAGTCGGACTACTGGATCGTCTCATACCGGACACAGCAAGCAAGATGGTTGCGACGGCTAACTAGGGAAATACGCGCCATACTCCGCATTCAAGAGCTGGGTTTGGCCTTACAATTACACTACAGAAGGCTAGGGGCAACATTTTCTCTGTGTCATACCGGGAAGCCCGCAGTCAGCCATGGAGTTGCAGGGGGCAACGGCGCGCATCAGCGCCGATCGCCGATCTGCGGCTACGCGCGCCTTGGCGGCTCCCCCGCTGCACCAATCGTGTCGTAGATTTATTGGTGCGTACTGAACGGCTTTGTACGCGGCAATTCCACAAATAACGCCTACTGCTCAGCGTGACTTGTGCGGCGTAATTGCGCACAATACCCTAACGCATCGCCCGGCCCTCGACGAACGAAAGGGAGCCCGGTGCTTACTCCCTTGATGCCTGGGCAAGCCTAATCGACCTATTTGAGGTCGTAAACATGCCCTGTTTTGTGGAATGTGCGTCTCAGGTGGTGCGCGTTCGCGCGAACTTGCGATTAACCACCTAGGACGCTTCGCGACGCGATAACTGCGCGTATGCTGGGTGTGCCGAAATGTCGGCCTCGCCCAGCACGTTACTGCTACCTGCCGAGTGTAGCAGCTTCGGCGACTCTACTTCGCTTCCAAGGTTCATCGTGGGTGAAGGTGGGCAGCAAAAATTTGTGACCTACAAGAGGCAAGACAACACGTCTAAGACGGCGGCTACCGATGATTCGAGCAGCTCAGCCACCGCTGCTCCCAGAACCCCCGTCAACACGTCTAAGACAGTGACGCCCACTGCATCGGCCCAACGGCGCACGGGGAAAGACGTTTCCAGCGGAACAAGAAAGAGGGCAAGACGTGGAAGGGCAACGGACAGCGCATCCCGTAGCCCCTACTCTGCCAATGGCCTTGTGTCGGACATCTCGTCGGTCAGCAGCCTGGGCTTAGATGTCGGTGGATCACGCGTGCCCTCCGGGGCCTCGAGCACCGCCTCCGCGAAAGAGGGGCCGGTATTACAACAAACAACCCTAGACCGCTTTATACAGCCGGTTCGTAGCAATGAAAAGGCTGCCGACCATCGCAAACATATTGTCATCGACACGACGCTGGTTGATGAGGCGTTGGACGCCGTGGATATCGCAAATGCCCACTCGGAGCTGCACGACATAGACTCACTTTCCCTGTCGCAGTCTCTGAGCTTAAGCACGATGGGCAGCGCGGACGAGGATGACGAACGCAAGCGTAAACGACGCAAATGTTCGCGCCTGCAGGAGACGATCATGCGCGTAATCGCCAAAACGAAAACCGACATAGAGCACCTTGAGGAAAAAATCTCTTCGCTCGAGGAGCAGTACTTCTACCAGCACAGTGAGACCACGGGGCTTGTAAAGGGTTGGGATAATGCCCTCCTCGGCGGCTTGTACTGTAACCCAAGCAGCAACAAGGCACGGAAGGGTACGCCCGCCAAGGCGAAGCAGCTGCTTGGGCACTCGTTGTCGCTCGTCAACGACCACATTTTTTCGCTCACGAGCTCTACGTGCGGCGTTTCTAAGACTTTAACACCTAAACCGGAGTAATGAACTGTGCGCGACTGTACATTTGACACACCTGGCGCGATGGCGGAGCAGCGACCGCCGCTCTACCTCCGCATCGCAAACCGCCTTCGCCAAGGTTGGACGTATAACGATTAGTGTAATTTTTGCAGCCCATGGAGACACGCCTATGTCCTACCTGGAGTTCCGGGAGGCCGACTGTACGCGTTCGCATAGCCTTGATCACGTCGCGCAGACAAACTCTCCAAGGAGCGCCACGAGGTTATCAAGATCATCGGAGCACGCATCCGAGACATGTGCAGGTGATTGCCGTGAAGGAAATTGCTTAATATCGCAGGGCTGAACTAGACGACTATGTCAATTGCTACGCCGAGAAGACATACGCCACGTTCAGTTGTCGCAAGGAAGCAAATCGAATGAAACGGTGCGTGCGGCACTATCAGGAGCTGCTGGTAGGTTGTGTTTAAGTGCTGGTGACTGCTTCTAGGCAACTCCAGAATCGCAACAACGAATAATGGAAGAACGGCTCCAAAGCGGAGAGAGCCTCATAGTGCCGTCGTTCCTCAAGTACCCAGAGCAACATCAACCGCCGTATCTACATCCGGAACACAAAGGATAACTAATCATCGCATTGTGGGAGGTGCATATGTCATGTTGTAGTAGAGTCATTTGGGTGGGTGCGTTACCCTAATGCATAAGATGCCGTCACGCCTTTGAATGGTTATTTGGGCTTGCGATACGGCTAGAAACTGTGTATGAATCGTAGCCTAAGTGTTATGACTTACATTACCATGGTTACACTACGTTCTTTGTCTCTGTCTGGTTGTTGTGCTATGTGGCTACGTGACTTAGGGCCGATTTTCGTGTTTACCAGGCAAGCGCCTTAGGCTGCTGGTGTCGGTTGCGGGACCCACGGCGCAGTGTTGCCGAACGTTACTGGTGTCATCCTTCCTGTTTGGGCGAGAGGGTCGTTGACGAAATCGTAGTTACCGATGGATATCATGCCCTCATCGCATAAAGCACCGCATTGGCCGACGCCTCCTTGTTGAACATTCTCATCCCAAGGTCCTTCAACAGGCCCTCCTGCTCACTCCTCTTGTATCTCTCCATCTCCACCTAATTGTCTTGGTTGGTAATCCGAATTTCCTCAATGTCGGTGATGTTCTTCTACCTATACGCAATGATGTCTCGTACATCATGCTCCTTGGCTTCTCCTTCTTGACTTTTTCCTATGCTATCGATAGTTACCATCGCAATCCACTTACCTCCTTATAATCTTCACTTACACATTTGCATTTCACACTCCGTCTATCTGCTCTGCTCTCCATAGTAATATCAGACATCCATACAAACTTTACGTTCTCATACATAAGGTATCGAATATTCCGTTTCTCATGAATGCCAGAGGGAACAATATTTCCATTGCCATTTACGCTGTTTATTTATAACATACCTCTATTCACAACATTCATTGCCATACTTCCGAATCGCATTTCAGGAAGATGTGCTTGCACATTAATGGCCTATGGTGGTAATGGGGCAAACCTAGAATTGCAATGGAGCAGGAAAGGATACGGTACGAACATTATTTCGCAACTCGCAGTTGATTAGGTTCCTCCGTTGTGGCGTAGGACATTGTAATGCGATTAGGAGTTTCTAGTCGTCTCTGAAGGGGATTTAAAATCTGGGTTGTCTGGATGCTGGTGTTTGGGATTAGGTAGGCGAGGCGGATGTTCGATTGGCCGTAAATTATTAATCGGCCCCTTATGCGGTATAAGCCTAACTAATGTAGTTCGTGGTACTACGAAAAGTTTTATGCCAGCCGTCCTGTGCTAATCGCATTTCTGCAGGACTAGGGCGTTTGCAGCCCCGGATTGCGGGTAGGTCTCCTGAGGTTGTACATACGGTCATCTTCACCCTTTAAACAATGGCTCCGCAATTCAAGAAGCTGACGGACTGTCCGGAAAACCTCCGGGAGTCCATCGACTGGTTGATCCAGGTTAAGCATGGGAATGGTGAACATGGTCTTAAGAGCTTGGCTGAAGCTTTGCAAAAGTTGATTGGTGAGGCTATTAAGGATGCTAGGGAGAGTCTTAATGAGAGGCAAGATAAACTTTCTTGCTCTAAATCTTCTGGTTATCCTCATTGTCAGTCTCTTGATGCTCAGATTGACCAGGCTAAAGAATCATTAAAATCTGAAAAATCTAACGGAAAATCTAAAAATGAATCTCAGTTAGTTAAACTTGAAAATGATCTCAATAAGCTTAAATCTGAGAAAGAAAAACATTATAATGATGTCCATTATCTTACTGAGGATGCTAGGGAGAAAGCTTTGAAGGATGTAACTGAGCGGCAGGCGTCTCTTAATACGCTTAAAGAAAGCCTTAACAAATTCACCGACAAAAATAGTTGTGAAACTCTTTTAACCAATCTCACTGAAGGTTTAGAAAAGTTTCTAGGTTTCAACTCTGATTCCAAAGGCTACGACGGCTCCGGCATCGTGTACGCCGACCTCGACAGGCTCTGTGATGGGGTGATGGCGTTCTTGCACGGGGTGTTGGAGAGTGTTAAGGAGGATGATGCTGTGACAAAGTATGATGGTTATATTGTTCCGGAGAATCAAAGACTAGATCAACTTCTTAAGACTCTTAAATCTTCCATAGGTCAGGGGTCTGATGCATTTGGAAAGCAAGTTACTGCGGTGGGTGATTGGCTTGGGAGTTATGAAAATAAATATTGGAGCATGACGTATAACGTCACAAACGAGTTGAATGAGGTTTCTAAAAACATTTACAGCGTTCACAAAAGTAATGTAGATCGCATAAAGGGCAACACCCTTGTGAAACAGTTGGAGGCATGGAACAGTACGATTGACAATATATCAAGTGAGATTGGTGATGCCGGAAAAAGCATTGCCAAATTAGACCCCGTGCTTAGAGATAAGTTGCGAAATGAGATTAAGCCAATAAACAAAGTTCTTGAGCACCTGAAAAAAGTCAGTGCCGATGTCATTTTTAGGGGGCAGGTACTCAAGGTGGATGAAACCCTGGTGAATCAAAAATCGATAATGCTGAATAAGATAAATGAAGACAGCGAACGTTTGCAGAAGAAATTGGATAAGGAGTTTACATGCATTGGAAAGAAACTTAATGAATTGAATCTTAACAAAGAAGATCAATTTGGGCGCATCAAAAGCGCAATTCGATTTATCAAAAATCATATGGAGGATTTCGAAGGTTCATATGAAAGCAAAATTACACAAAAGTTCTATGACATACAATTCGATGTTAGCGCAGTTTATGACGCCTTACAACACAAGAAAAACGGACTTGAATTACTTGTACAGCAGGCTGAGGGACATTTTAAGGAGATTAAAAATAAGGTTGGAAATGAAAGCGCACTGCCAGGATTTTTATATGGCGATTGGGAGTTGCTTAAGATTAAGATGCGGGGGCTTGTTGGAGACCTTAATGGTACGAGTGCTGGTGATTTATTAGCAGGCGGTGTTCTAAAAGTTGGTGTATTTGACAAAATTGAGGGAGGGATTAAGGAGTATGCCGCGAAGTTCAAAGAAGCGGGGAAGGATGACAATTCTGGTTTCAAAGGTGTATTAGTGGACTGGTTAACGCATATTCTAATGAGTAAGCCGGTAATGGAAAAGCTTGGGGAGTATGTTGCAAGCAAGAAAGATGCAAATGTGGAAGCTATTATAGAGGGTGGAGCGGGTAAACTTCCGGACGTTGCAAAACAAATAGTTGGTGCGCTTGATCCCGAGATCACTATAGCCGTTGGAAAGTTTCAATCAACGATACAATTATCCCAACCCGAAAGCACGGAGATCGAAAAGCATGTGGATGCTGTGCAGCAGGTTTGCGAGAAGTTCGCCGAGGAGATACAAAAAAAACTTGAGAGCCTGGTGAGTAAAATTTTCAGGGCTATTAAGGATGCTCCGCAGTGGAAAATTTCTCCTTCGTCTGGCAAAAAACAACTCGACCTCATGAGCGCCGTGCGCTTAGCCCTCCACCAGCTCATTGGTGCATCTAGACAAGCTGGTAATGAAGTTTTGTCATTCAGCGGTGAAGACGATGGAGACGGTCGCAATGGATACAAGCTTGGCGCCAAATTGAAGCAGACTAGAGCGAAGGTCGGAGAAATCAGCCAAGAGTTTAATGAGGCACAAGGGGTGCCTCTTTCCTCTGATGTTATTGGCCCTAAGATCACTGCAGCATTGGCTGAAGTGAAGAGCAAACTTACAAAGCTTTACAAATTCTTAGTTGACACAACCGGTGAGGAGTCAATCTTCAAGAAACTTAAAGATATTCAGGAAAAAACTATTGCGGACCTTGGAAAGATTAGCAAAGATAACGGTGGTACCATAGATACCAAGAGAAAAGAAGCAGAGAAGAAAATGGAGAGCCTTAAGGACGAACTCAATGGATGTATTGAAGACATCGAAAGGAACGTTGAAGCATCCGAAGAGGAACTGTCCAAAAATATAGAGGAACTGCAGACAACATTGCGTGCTTCGTATATGGCTGCCAGCGACGCCGTAGACAATCTCAAAACTACCCTCCGAGAAAGAACAGAGAGTGCCTTCTCGACAGTTACCACTGATATACAAGTATGCTTCGCAAGAGGCCACCAAGCAGATCTAGTGGCGCTTGGTGAATTGGTCATCGTTAAGCAGAAAACCATCGACGACATAATTCGCAAGGACAAAAGTCAAGGGGTGAAAGGCCTGTTAAAATGGATGTATAACAAGGAAGGAAAGGAACTTGAAGGTCTTAAAACTGATGTAAGTCAACCAACCAAATCGGAGGATCTGTCAAAAGCGTTCAGACAGCTTTCCTCCAAATTCAAACTCTACGTAGATGTAATTTTGCAGTATATCGAACATCAAGTGTCCTCTCCGGATAAGTCTTCGATGAAAGAAGGCGAAGCGTCAAAAGTCCACGACATGCATCTTAACCTATCACATTTGATAGAACATCTTATGCATAATTACAAGCCGCATCCACAAAATAATACCGGTAAACGAATTTATACATTTGATTATGACTTTATTATATTGCGTGAAAAACTTCAACAAAAAATTAACGCCCTCTCCCCCTCAACGTTCCACGGCTTCCACAACCCGCTGCTCCTCGACGCCCTCAGGTCCGGCATGGACAAATTCACCGCTGAACTCTCCCATGCGTACGTTAATAAATACTCCGGGTGTAATCCTGTTGTAGAATGGGAGGATTCAAAATCCTCCGACAAGTTAACCACCGAGGGCCGGAACTGCGCCAAGGTCTGCCTGACCATACTGGAAACATTGTTTTATGACTTTGAATCTTTAAGTAAATTGTTCCCCTCAAAAGGCGCCGATAACATTAATTCAGGTAATAACATTGGCAACTTTTTTTCTGACCGTGGCTACAAGGTGGCCACTAAGGCTGGCGTCCAAGACGGGGAGTTAGACAATTCTGCAAAGACTGGCGGAACGAAAATTAATGAGCTGCGTGATAGTGTGATAATCGACGCAAGCGGTAAAACAGTACTTGGTAAACAACGAACTGAAGGCCTTAAGCTCCACGGATTCATCAACGAAATATGCAGAGATCTTGTTTCGTACTACCGTGTCTGCCAGTACTATATTCCTTCGAAACCAAGGGCGCCCAGCACTGTCAACGAAATGCTTCACTGGCTTGCTGGGCTCTACTATACACCGATGTATGATAAATTAGGAACACGTTTGGCGGAGTTTTTCGAAAAATCAGAAGAAAACAACAAGACAGATAGAAAGCCCATAGAAGCCGCCGTGCCTGCAAGGAGAAGCGGTAGGATGCTTCGGGATCTTACCTTTAAAGAATTGTCAAACCTATTCAACAATATAACAATTCGCCCATATCACATATTAGTCGCCGTCCTCGGCAACGGTCACGCAGGTGGCCGATATGCCTGTGACTTCCTAACAAACCCAGATGATTTGTTTTATCCAAGTGATGCAGATCAATGTTTAGATATGCTCGTAGAAATATGTCTTAGACTGAATGAACAAATCGTTTTCGTATTTAAGCAGTGCCACAATGGCGCTGAGAGAGGTGGTTGGCGTGAATGCCGTTACGGTAGAGACGTCGGCGGCTCCAGTTGGCGGTGCAATACTATGCAATGTGCCAACCTAGATTGTAAGCTAAGTGGTAACCAAAGCGCTACCCAAAATGCCAACCAAACGTGTGACCAGCATCCTAAGTGTGGCTTCAAATCTCCGCTCCAATCCTTCCTTGAGGATGGGTTGCAAGGGTTCTTGCCGCACCAGTTTACCTCACCCGGTTGTAAGCTGGAATGTTCAGTTGCCAATCACAGAGGCATCCCGTGCAAGACCCCGATGGGATTTAAAGACATTAGTCAAACGGCTTCACGAACTGGCACTGGCCAATGTATTAAGGATGTGCTTGATCCGTTCTGTGGTACAAGAGAGTGCTCACTGAGCCTAATTTGTTCCTATTTCGTATACCTGTTGCGCCGACCACCTCAGACGCTGGGAGACATGTTTGCGTTCTACTACAATATCCTTGACCACTGGTGTGATGACCATTCTAAACAAAAAGAGCACAGGCGAAAGGCCTTCGATGATGCCGTTAAAAAAGCCAATTTCTGGAATGATGAAACAAAATTGGACATCACGAAAATCTTAGGTTCTAAAATGCATAGCTCGGACAACCACCCCAAAGGTGACATGTTCAGCCTTCTATCTTGTGATCCCAAGGATGCTCCGTCACTTCCATGCGGGCAATACTTACAATCAATGAGCGATGACACCCGGCTGTTGTATTCTAAATATTACGCTGATAACTATCTGTCATGGATTGTCTACATTACTGAGACGTTCTATGATTTGCTTAAGAAATTGTATATAGAGTGTTGCAGAAAGTGCAATACGCAGGGAACGAGATGTTATGATAAGACCTGCGTTGAGAGTTGTAACGTAAAAACCATTTACGAATCTAATGATAGCTCCAAGCAACTCACTGTTCAAAAGCACAGCGAAGACTGCATCTCTATTGTCCAATGCTCCGATATGCATCCAACACTCTACACATACGGCTTCACCTTCGGAAGCCCTTATAACATAAGTGGAGATAATGGTCTTGACAACAAACGCTCATGTCAAGATTTCTGCCAGGCATTGGAAAAAGTGTGTCACGGACGATCGGTGCTTGCCGACTTGGTCATTAACAAAATTCCAGCATTTTTATGGGAGATAAGATATAAATGCTTCTACACCCTCGTAGCCCTCTGGTCCCTCTCTTTGCTCTACCTGCTGCACATCGCCGTCGTCCGCCTCGACGTCCTCCGCATCCGCTCCCACCTGAGATCACCCTCAAGCCACAGGATCGCCGCCCAGTCACTACTCGCAGCGGTCCGTATTAACTCGCTTGGAAAGCTAAGATACTTCTCACCGTGATGTTACTCAACCTCACTTACCAACACCACCTAGCCCACGTAATTAGCAACATACTAGATAATGTGATGACCACGCTACTTTCTTAATCGATGTTATAGTTGTTGAACGTTGAGTAAATGACGTCATGTCATGTATGAGTGTATTGATTACTTGCGTGAGTGGTCATTCAAATAACCCATCAATGCCTGCTCCTAGCTGAGGCCGTAACTGAAACCTTAGGCAGATGGATATCGTATTGATGTTAATTTGGAATGTGGTAACCCTGTAGGAGGCTCTATTTTAGGTGATGGTACAGCATTTTACGACTTGATAGCCACCGGAGTACGCACTTGGGTGGCGTTCATGGGCACCACTGTCGTGACCAGTAACACGATGATGCCGCACTGTGGACCAGCTAGGCAGATGTTGCTGCATCAATCGTTTGCTGCTTGGAGGAAGGTGCTAAGGTGGAGTGGCAAGCTTGGTGGGGATTAGTCTGCGCAACTCTGGTGCTAATAGTTCATAAACGGAGCTTCAAAGTTAATGTTCACACGGGTCGTTCTGACGATGTTCTCTGTGGTGCAAAGCGCGCGGATGTAGTGTCAATGGCGGTGGGTTGGGTGGCCGTTGCCGAAGTGGTCATGGAGAGCTAGGGGGGGCGGCTGAGGCATCACAGGGCAGCGTCAGGAGACTTGCCCTGTCTTCCACTAGATATCTATATGAAGTTTACCGCCTTCGTACCGTAGTTCGGCATTCCACGCCAGCTGGGACCCTGCGTTGCTGGGCTTGTCACCATCCCCTCTCCTCAGGTAGGTAGGATGGTTTTATGATTGTTGTCTTTGTTATATAGTCCAGTTGTTGGACTGATTGTGCTTTGTTTTAGTGCAATGATCTGATTTGTTGACTCATAGTTTCACTTCGCAGCCTCTACACTCAGTTCGCTCGGCGGTATGGACATGCCGTGTAAGCTCCGGCTTAATGTGTGATTGCTTGGAAGTACCACACTTTGAAGCTAGATGGCATGGCATCGAAAGCTTTGACGGATTGCCCTGAGAACCTTCGAGAGGCAATCGACTGGCTCATCCAGGTAGATCACTGTGGCGGGATTCCAAGGCTCTCCGCCGCCCTTGGTAAGTTGTTTGACAATGTTGTTCAGGACGCTCAGAAATCTCTGTCGTCTCTCCCCGAATCACATCACACGTCCGCCGGAGATGTTATCTCCAGGCTTCAAACGTTTCAGGGCTCTGTTCAGAAAAACTCTGCGAATAATAATCAAAACATTTTACATAATCTCTGTTCCGCCTTTGAGAAATTTCTAGGCTACCAGCCTCCTGGAACCTACGACGGTTCCGGGATTGTGTATGGCTCCGCTTCCCGTCTGTGCGATGCCGTGTTGTCCTTCTTGCATAAAGTGATCAGTGATGTCTATGAAAATCAGCCGTACGTTGCTGGTAGAGGTTTGTTAGATAATGTAGTTAGTGACCTTGAAAAGGCCAGGTGGACTGGGCACCATGGCTTTAAGACTGTCGTCCCCGAAGTGGCCCGTGGCCTCGGGGAGTATAACAAAAATGTCAAGGCCTCGAACGACAAAGTCAAGAGGCCGATCAGTGACATGATTGATTATGTTAAAGACGAGGGTGGTGAGTTGCTTACTAAGATACGTAAGCTGAATGAAACTGATCCTTCAGACCCTGACGTTAAGGCAGCCGAGGAATTGGCGAAGGAGTGCGTTGGAAAGGGCAAGGACTTCGGTAAAGCCTTCACTTTGAAATCACATCCGTATTACATGAAAGGTGAGTTTGATGATTTGAATGCATCCTTGCGTGACAAAATTCATAATGCCCGTACCAACGTTGGCCGTGAGACTGCGATACTGAATAGGTGGTCCAGGAAGCAACTTGACAACTACAATACTATGGTTAAATTGATCAAACAGGCCTTCAGGAAGCTCAAATATAGTATCAACTCACGGATTCGGAAGGAAGTTACGGACCTAGTTGATTCACTGAAGGGCTTGGTTAGGAATATTTTAGCTAAGCTTGAAAATGTCAGTAAGACGCTCGCCAGCTATGTGGTGAAATTGGAAACGTGGATGGAGGAGAGTCAGGAATTCATTGACAAAGTGCTGGTGAAAGCCGATGAAATACTGGCAGAAATTAATGAGGATACAGAAAGCAAACTTCCAAACCATAAGAAACATCTTGACGAATCGATTAAAACAGTTGAGAGCATGTTGGAAAAGCGTGTTGGGGAATTGGAAATATGGAAGCTAGCGGCGGCGAAAGTGATTCAAGTAACGATTGCAAATGCTAAAACAGTTCATACGGCATTGAACCATGAAAAGCAAGGCGAACATGACGGGACAGTGATTGGTAAAGGAGTTAAGCAAGTTAATGACGCTAAGGATAGAGTTAGGGAAGTTGACGAGCTGTTGAAAACTGTTGGAAGCGATTTGACTAATTGGAAATCTGCGGCACACAGTGTCCTTGGCACAGCGGTTAGCAGGGCCGGAGAGGTGCATGGCAAGTTGGATCCTAAGCAGACAGATGATCAGCATAAAATTGGTAAGAACATTGAGAATATTAAGGCATCTAACGAAGCGATTATTAAAGCAAATTTACAACTTAAAAAACAAGTTGACACTCTGCATTCTTGGATTGACACCGCGGAGGGTATCCGCCAAAAGGCTGAGAAAAAGGCCAAGGAGGCCTATGAGAAGTTGGAAGTTAATAAGACTCTGGATCTGAATGTTAAGAAAATTATCGATGCTAAGAAAGAAATTGAGAAGGTTCATACTGAGCTAAATGGTGTTCACAGCGAATTAGGTAAGTGGAATAAGGAGGCCAGGACAGTGCTTACCGGGGCGATTGGGAAGGCGGAAGAGATTTATAACAAGTTGGAAGAAGGAAGTAAGGAAGTTGGTATGAAACTTGTTGAAATCACGCAAGCTAATGGAGAAATTGAGCGTGCAAATACAGATCTTCAAAACGAAGTTACGGCTTTAGATAACTGGAAGTCTGCCGCCAAGGAAGTGATTGGCAAGGCGGATAAGAAGTGTGATTTAATATTGAGGAAAGTTCAGAGTGACAACGTTGTTCAGCATACGGTTATTGGTGAGAATGCCAACAACTTAAAAGAAAAGGCTGAGAACCTTTTGACCGCTTACAGCCAGGCGCATCCCAAAGTTCAGCAATTGCTTACTGATCTTCCTAAAGCCATTATACAGTTGGAAGCTGGCATGAAAGAGGATTTGGTGAGTATCAGGAATAGTGTTGTGGGCAATATGAAGGCTCTTGTTGGTGGGATGCTTAGTGAAATTCAGACGCATGTGAAGCAGATTAAGGGGACGGCGGGGAAAGGTGACCAAAACACTGGTGGTAAAGGCCTTGAAGGGATTGTCACCGGGTTAATTAATAGCTATGCTAGTGGGTTTAGCGGGGAGTGGCCTTTTCAGAAAATTGTAGAGGGCTGGTTGGAGGATATTTTGGGGAAGGATAAGACCGGTAAGAGCCAGAAGGCTAGGAAAGTTGAGGCGTGGCTTAATCAGTACGTTACGGAGAAGGCGAGGTTGTTTGGTTTTTCAATTGTCTCATTTCGTGAGAGAATTGACGAACAGATTAAGGCGACGCTTAGAGAAAAAGAAATTAAGCCAGCTGGCGAAGCAGTCAAAACAGGTATGGAAGAAGCCAACAGGCACCAAAATGAAAAAATCACGAAAACCATTGAAGCCGTCAGGGAAGGCTGTGAGAAATTTGTGAAGGGACTCGATGAGATATATGGGAGTCCAGGAATTAAGGAGCTTGCGGAGCAGATTTTGCAGGGGACAATCTACGGTTCTACCACAAAGGAGAATCTGAAGCTAATCATCGAGCCCACCCTCATTGCGCTTCGCGCCACGGCGAATCAGGTTGGGGAGGAGATTAAGTCAATCTTACTCGCCGACTACAGGATGGGCGGTAATTCAAGCATCGCGAAGGAATTGGATAAAGCCGTTGAAGCAACCGGGATGCTGCACACTAAGCTTGGAAAGGCGCATGCCGCCACAAGTTCAGACGTCCCCAACGACAAGCAAAATACTATTTTGGAAAATGTTAAAGGGATTGAAAGACAAGTTAAGAAGGGAATGAAGGCTGAGAAGGGAATTGCCGAGGACTTTGAGAAGATCATGGAACAATATCAAGCAAAGAAAAAAGAGGAACCAGATGGGGAAAATGGTCTCTACAGAAAGCTGACTGACCAAGACATCCCCCAGGCGATGCATCCTTTTCAGCAGCATGCTGAACTCACCGGTGCTGACGTCTCCGGTAAAAAACAAGCAATCAACTCCGCCTTCGAAAAAATCACCCAAGAACTCCAAGAAATCGCCAAGTGTGTTGAGAATAAGTCGGCGAAAACCGGTAACTCAGATGAATATGGCATCAAGCAGCGCTTGAGTGATTTGGATACGATGCTTGAGGAGGAAGAGATTAATCTTAAAGGCAAAGTAGATGGAATTACTAAAGATACTGTCAACGGTCTCGACGCAATCAAAACGGCGATTGCAAAACTGCAAACAACGACGTTTAATACTAAACCCGCTGCGATTGGCCAAACCGTCCAGGAAATTAGGAAGGAGCTTCAACATCTTAGAGAGAAGTTGATGAAAGAGAAAGGTAAAGATGTTATTAGGAGTTTGGAGGATTTGAAAAGGAATGGTCTTGGAGCTCATTGGGCATTCGACGATGCAAGGTGGAATGGAACCGAAAGTCTAACAGCAATACAAAATCGAATCAAATATCAGAATAAGGAATTGGGAAAGCAACCTGCTATAATTGACGATGCTATCGATGCAATTAGATGGGAACTTAGAATTATTGGAATTAGGTTAAATGACGAATCGCACGATGACATCGTGGATGATTTAAAAAGGTTGGCAAGGAAGATTGGCCAAAATGCAGACAAGGATTCTGTCAATCTCTCGAAGATTTGTGAGGAAATTCAAAGACTGAAAGAAGATAAATTTACTTATCAACCTTTAGAAATCCGTGACGCCAACGAGGCCATTAAAAGGGAACTTCAAAGGCTTCGAGATGCGTTACAGGGTCAACCACACCAAAAGGATGGCGTCATATATGCTTTGAGAGATTTAATAACTGTCGGCCTAACTGAAAGTGACAAATGGCAAAATGGCAAAAAAGATGCCAAGGGCTTTGACTTTATTAATAGTGAACTTAAACGTCAACAAGGCATATTGACCAAACAGCCCGGCGCAATTGGCAATGGCGCTCAAGGTATTACCACGGAGCTTACAAGGCTTAGAAGCCAGTTAGTGGACCATGTCACCGATAAGTTGCAAAAGTTGAAAGATCATGGACTTTCTGATGGTAATGGAAAATGGACAGCTGAAGATAAAGAATCCAAAGGCCTCCCTCAAATCACGAAAGACATATACAGTATAAAAACAGAGAATGTTAGGGACGTCAAGGACTATGTAAGGGATTTGTGCGCAGCAATAAGGCGAGACTGCAGGGAGCTCAAAGAGTTCCTAAAATGGCTGAAAGAAACTCTCATCGGCGAACAACTTAGGAAAATAAAAGACCAAATTGACAGGCTGAGAACTGAGCAGTTGGGAGCTGTCATCAGGGAGTGCAAGGCCTTCATCGAGAGGGACGCCGACGTGTTCAAGAAAAGATGCATTGATGAGCTCACAAAGTACGTCGACCAGGAACTGGATGCCGAGGAAAACAAACTACTCGCCGAGGCGCGCCTGCAGTACGTGTCCACCGTTAAGGAAATGCTGAAGAGCTTCGCCGCCAAGGTGGAGACGGAGCTGGGGGAGTTACCCGGTGAGATCGACGGAGACCTGCGAATAGGATTTAAAGGTTTGATGAGTAGGCTGCAAGGAGAATTTAATGAAGCAGACAAAACTCTGGATGACGTGAACATCAATTTGCTCAAGGATCTCGCCGCCGCGCCAGCTGAGTCAGCCGAGGAGAAGATAATGCTTTTCCACAAACTGGCCACAGCCTTCAAAAAATTCTGGTCGCCACTCGCGGCATACATCAACAGGGAGATCGTTAGGGTGCACGAGGACAATAATGAGAAGAGAGATCCGGTCGCGAAAATTGTACATGATTATTCTGCCAAACTCTTAAAAGTTTATGACGCGTTCAACGAGTTGCTCCACCACCTTAAGGTAAATAATGCCTTCGACGATCGCGTCCCGGGGATGCTTGACAAACTTAAAGAAGCGTTCGCCGAACTGAGACCAGAAAACTTCCAGAAGCCGTCCACTCCAACAATCGACACCATTAGGGGAGGCCTGCAGGGCTTTGTCGCAGAGCTCGGCACAGCGTACGTCTCCGCATACTCCGGCACCGCGCTCGACTGGCGGAACGCCCACAACCCCGACATGCAGAGATGCGCCAAGGTCTTTCTCTCCTGCCTGCCGATTCTGAAGCGCGGCGTGGACGAACTCAACGACGGGCTGACAGGGAGGGAGCAAAATTGGTGGGACCACAAAATTCATATAGGCAATAAACTCGGAGATTTCTTTGCCAGCCGCGGATTCAAAGTGTCTGCCGCCGCCGGAACACAGCCCGCGGAACTGCAGAACTCCGACGACATGAAAGGCAAGAACGTCCATGGAATTCTCACTGAGATGGTTCAGGACGCTGACGGCGAACACCTCAAAAAATGCTCGGCAATTAAACAAACTGACCAGAATAATTACAATTTCCTCGACGTCCTTGAGTGCCTTTATACTCACCTATATGAATATTATGAGACGTGTCATCTCATAGTTCCACCGTCGCTTAGGACACCGTGCAATGTCTACGAGATGCTCTGTTGGCTGACAGGCCTCCCGCACAACTGTGTCTACGATAAGTTGCGCAAATGTATTAAATTGTGTTACGATGAGCAGACGAAAAATAGCCTATATCCCACCACCGTTGTTGCCGACGCTTTAGTGAACGCCGTTGACAGGCTCGCCGCAGACTCTCCCAGCGTCCTCACCAGGGTGCTCGGCTACGGCAACGCTATGACTACGTACGCCTGTGACTTCTATAGCAACTCATTGAAATTACATTACCCGCAGGACGGTGAGCATTGCCTGCACAGGCTGCTGCACTGCCTCCGAGCATTATTGCCATTGCTCAGATTTCTCTTCTCTCAGTGCTCACTGCCCCTTCACCACGGTGGCTGGGCGCAGTGTAGGTACGGCAAGGGTGTCACACCGTACACGTGGCAATGCAATTCTCCACTCAACAGTCTGCCTAGTCTTCACCCGGAGTGCTCCGATAAATCCCCATTGCAGTCTTACCTAAATGACTGCCTGCCCGGCCACCTTCCTCACCGGGTCGCCACAATAGGCTGTGAGCCCGTATGTAAAACGTGTCCCAGTGGACCAGATGGCACGCCCTGTCTCACGCCCCTCGGCTTCCGGGGTTTCTCTGGCAGCACCAATACGGGCGAACAGCTGTGCGAAGTGCTAACCAAATTGTTCGCCAACGAGCATCTCTCATCGCTGCTCAGCCTGCAACCCAGACCGCCGGCCACCTTGGATGAGCACTTTGCCTTCGCCTTGTCGCTCGTTGCTGACTGGCACGACGGCAAGATTGTGCCCAATAAAGGCCTCCAAAAGGCCCTCGAGGCATCCGCCGCAGACTTGTCACTTCGCCTGTGTAAGCAACCTCATCAGCTGACCGCAGCACTCACCGCCGCCTACGGCTCGGACTCCGCAAAACACGGCGGATGCAAGCACCCGCACCTCATGCATCTCGCAGCCTCCGACTTCTGCACAAGACACCAAGCTTCGCCCTTCCTCTCCACCCTCTGCCGTGGTATGTACGACAGCCTCGCCCACCGACACTCCGAACTCTACCTCTCCTGGGCCATCTACCTCCCGTGGAAACTATGGGATTATCTCGAGACTCTACGCAACGCTTTCCAAGCAATCTCCTGCCGCGTCTGGAGCTGCGATGGGTGCCTTCAAGAAGGCCCCTGTGACCAGGGCAGCCACGGCGTCCTTAACCCCAAGGCGCCAGGATCCGGATGCCAATGCCCCTCCATCGTCCAGTGCAAGGGAGTCCTACCTACACTCTACCAATACGGCTTCACTTTTGGAGATGCATCGGCTTTGATATCGCAAAACAAGAATTGTTTCAGCCTCCGCACGCAGATCTCTCAGCTCCTCCACTCCGATCATTTCAGAGATCTCTTCGACAAGTGTGACGAGTTCCTGTGGAGGATCCGGATGCCGTTCTTCTACACCCTCGTCGCACTCTGGTTTGTCGCATTCCTCCTCCTCGCCCACACGATGTTGTATCGCCTGGACGTTCTGCATATACGCTCTCATTTAATGCGCACCAAGGCATCCCACCTCATCGATGCCAAGGCTCTACTCACTCACGGAAGGAAGATGCTCTCACTATATAATGGCGTCGACTACTTCGACGACGAACCCATTAACTAAGTCTATGTATAACAGTAATTGTGGCATTCACGTTGGCATCTGTTACTATATGACGGGTTCTGACGCAGTAGTGATGTGATATGTTTGGGCAGCGTAGGTAGTGACGTGGTGTTACATATCCCTACAAAGTTTGTGTATTTTCAGGCTTACCCACACACATATAACAGCCGTTCTTGTAACCATATGACTACCAATGCACATGTTGTAGCGTCTATCATCATTTTATGTTTCTACTTCTGTACTCTGCAAGGCATCCACAATATCCAATCCTACACTCCAATAATCTTTCGTAGTCAAACTCAGGACACAGCGTATCTGTGGCCATGCCACATCTAAGGTCAGTGTGTTAGTGTCCTCCGAGAAAGAATATAAGCATTTCTGCACGTTGCCGCTTTTCTCGCAATTGGTGATGTGAAGCAGATCACCGCTAAGATTATATAGCCTATACAGTAGTCGGCTATGACCAGTTGCTTATGTTCCGTGGCCTTCATATATCGTGTTTTCGTGTTGACCTCGATGTGAATATCCACGGGACGACTCATATGTGGTCGATGATTCACCTGATCCCGAAGATAACGTTGTCAGATGTTACAAACTCGTAAACTCAACTAATGAAAGAGGCCAGTGCGTTAGTTTGCCTAACTGGCCGATTTCGGGCGCCAGCTTGGAAGTGGCGAATGTCCATGAGGTATACAGTAAAGACGTTAATTTCCACTTATTTCGTAGTGCCAATGTAATGAACTAGGTTTTTACTAACAATTTAATCTGCATTGTGCTTCAAATCGCCCAGAGGTGACGCTTTAGAACACAGTAAACACGTTCCCAGCGTCGTCAAACTCTGGTGTCATCGTGCACTCGTTGTCAAAGGTTCGTAGCATGACGTTGCCTGAATCAGGTACCGATGCTATGAACCTGGCAAACGTTGGTGGCGTGCGGAGGAAGTTGCAAACTTGTCGATGGCCCGCTTCCCAGTGCGAATCGGCACATGCAGCGCTGCAGTAACTTGGCACTCCGCACCGCGAGCAATAGCGGAATTCAGGTGTCTCACTGTCCACGTGCAGTTGTGGCATATCAAGGTGGAATACTCTGCTGCAGTCGGTGTTGAAACAAGGTAGTACGCGGGGGAAAACACGGGTGTCCGAGTAATCGAATCTGACATGTGCCTCTCCACGGTCACCAGCGTGTGGAGGCATAATAAGTTTTGCGATTCCTAGCGAACTTAGGTCGTACAGATCGCTAACACACTCGTTCACACGGCCTTCCACAGCGTTGGCTAGCGCCTGCAAAAGTGCCCTCAACATGTCCACAGCTATACGTGCAAAATGGTGATAGAATTCGTTCCTGTCGTCCAGGGTTTGCAGTAAATACCGCGACAGGTACCTCTCGCCGTCTGATTGCGCCTCTTTGGCGCACTGTATTAGTTTAGACAGGAAGTTCCCGTCCAACATGTCCAAGCAGTTGTCTTGGAAGCTCATCATTAGCATATCTGCAACAAAAGTTAGCACTCTACATAGCAATTTCGGCCCCAAACGCCACGTAAGCACCGCAAAAATTGGATCCCAGAGAGATTTGAGGCATGATCCGTACAGCCGTTTGAGCAGTGCAGGGGAGCGCGTGCCGTAGCATATGGTTGACGCTAGCTCTAGGAATGTTCCGAAAAGCTGTGCGCGCTCGGTACTTGGATGCTGTTTCAGACCTACACCTACGTCTAGCCACATGATTCTCCAGAAACGCGACGTGAGGAACCGGTAACAGACATTAGACAGGTTGACCGACTGCGGTTCCAGAAGGTACGGAAGAAGAATGCGCAGTGCATTCATGTTAAAACAAACCGCTGCTGCGTCGAACTTCGGGAAGTCGTTCATAAGTTCGCTGATGCGGTGCTCGAAATACTGGTATCCATGACAGCGTACGATCAGCCGGAGGGATCCTGGCACGCGGTTGCTTAGCAACCCGCTCAGAAGAATGAACGACACACGCGTTTTAAAATCCATGAGAGAATTATCGGCGTGAGTTACAGCATCAGATGATCGAGCGGATTCCACACAATTGCCATAACAAACGCGGTCTTCATCGAGCTCTAGCATGCGCTGTAATTCGTTCGAATCTTCGAATGGGAGATTTGAATTGAAGATGTTCTTCAGAACGAGCAGTCCAAATGTATGAGTCACGTTGGCCCAGAACTTGAAGTCGTGCTGTCTCTCCAAACACAGACCGGCCCAGTCAAACTTCGGCTTCAATCTCGAGTGGAAGAAAAGCTGCTTTAGTTCATCCAAGTCATCATTGGTGTCGTGAGATCGATCATAAGTAGTCGAACTATCAGAATCATCATGTGAAACAAGTTCTTCGTTCAGCGAACGAGAAGACAGGAATGCTCGGCGGAGAGCCACGTTATCCATTTTTGCGATATACCAGCTACTGTTAGAAGCAGCCAGATTTAAACACACCCAGCATGGGTAATTGCCATGTGATGGTCCACGTCGGCACGTGTCGTGACGCCTAGTACGAGCCCTATCATAGAGCAATGTTTACTGTCTTAACCCAGACAGCACCGTCGTCCAATATTCAGTGAAAGATTGCGATAACTGGGGCCTTCAATACTCTATATTCTCGATTTGTAACACTCTACTACATCATACACACCCGTAGATATGTGGCATATCCGATACAATACGTGTCTTCCGTGGAAAAACACACATTTAATTTCATCTGCCTGCGGCAAACTACGGTTACCGGGCAGAAGCCAGCCAGATACAGCTACACAACAACTATCTAACAATACTATGCGCTGCGAAACGGTGTAGTCAGCATTTCAATGATGATGTGTAAACTAGTAAACCATTGGTAATGGGTGATTCCACCCAACGGCATCGGCCACTTAGCATAAGAATACAAACTGCATTCCGAGGCACTTTGTATCCAAAATAACCTTAACGTAATTCTAAATTTTATGCGTTAGCGGTGGCATGAGGCAACCGCTATTGTAGCGCCTTTAACTGTCGATGTCTATGGTTGGTCGGTGAACGGACATTTCATCGCCATGGACGAGCGCCATAATGCCGCCTTTCGCGATGAATAGTCGACATGGCTAAGGGAGCGGTACATGTAGGTTTATTTGGACCTGTATTCGAGCCGTTTGCAGATCACAGGGTCAAACTTCGCCTGTCGGCGCCGGTTGCGCTGGGACATTCTCGACCGTATGCGGAAACTGGTCCAGAATGGGACGTGCGAACGGCCAAGGTGGCTGGAATGGGTACGTATAGTCGTGTTGCGTCGATGCTGATACCGACGTCTAGGTAGAACGAGCACCGCCGCTTGAGACAAGAAACATGCTCCATGGCGACAAGACCATCCGCAACCCATACCCCTCCCTGGTGGCCGACCTGCTGCGGAAGTACCCACACCTCCGATTCGAGCAGTGCTACCGACCCGACAACCAATGGCAAAAAGGTAGTGTACCATTTGGAATGCCTGGTTAATGTCGTCGCAGGCCTTGACAACTACGCCGTTGATCACCCGGTAACGCAGTTCGTCGCCAACCAGCTGGCGCTCATGAACCGTGGAATGTCCCGTCGCGAAGCGTTTTTGAAGGTAGGAATAAACACCCATAGGCGCACCAACCCGTGCAGACTGAGCAGATGTTCTACAAACGCCGCATGGAAACCGAGGGTCGGCTCAAGGTGGCGATGGCACTTGGCGTCGACGAAAACGCGGAACCACTTCACACCACGGGCTATGCATACTGGCATGTGAGTTCCGTTTATAGGTTATTGTGGCTGCATAGCCCGCAGAAAAAAATCGCACAAGATCGCGGAGTGTTCCTCACTCACGTCAGGGACGAATTGAGGTATCTTATGGCAGTCGTAGAATTCAAATGTTCACGCAGGCGCATGAAGAATGTAGCCATACAGCGGCAACAAAATAAAGAAAAAGACGCTGCACCCGCAGATGATAAGTCAGCGACCTCGAAGTAATGTAATCTGGGTCACTGAACAGTTCCCTGTTAAGCGGAGCCACTAGCCTTTAAACGCAATCGTATATACAGTTTGGCAGTGCACATACTAATTTTGTAACGTAGTGCACAAAGAATAGAATTGTCTAGGAATCACAGGTGGTACGCCTCAACACAGCAGGACTAGTACATAGCTAAGGGACTGAATCGATACAAATAGCCCTCGAATGACATAGATGCAGGTTATAACTATGTAATATATGCGTAAAATAACGTTTACGACGGTGGAAATGTAGCAGGGGCCGCGACGTTGCATTTCTAATAGACGAGGGCCTGTGGAACTTTCCTGGTGACTCCATTAAAGTATCTTCAAGAGTTGTGCCACCAAGCTTCCACAACGAATATACACCTTTATTCTGACACTTGTGAGAGCTGTAGACAGCCTTGTTGGCCTCAACATACTGACACCTGGGGCCGAGCCATCGCAGTAGAAGGCTGCGCGCTCATTTCTGAAAAGCACATAAACGCAAAATCCAGCGACACACAATGACTGATTTCAAGCAACTCGGCAACGAGGCTTTCAAGGCCGGGAAGTTTGACGAGGCCGTCAAACACTTCACCGAGGCCATCCGACTCAACCCATCCGATGGGATTCTTTACTCCAACCGATCCGGCGCTTATGCGTCGATGAACATGTACCAGGAGGCACTGGCAGATGCGCAGCAGTGCGTAACTCTCAAGCCGGATTGGCCTAAGGTAAGCTACAACATCGCTGGCAGTGTGTAACGTCGTGCAGGGCTACTCGCGCAAGGGGCTCGCGCTGTACAAGCTCGGCAAGATGGAAGAGGCCAAAAAGGCTTACCAGGATGGACTCAAGATCGACCCGAACAATGAGCCGCTGAAGGCGGGCCTTCGCGAGGTTGACGTGTCTTCCGACCCGCAGTTCATGTACCTCGCCGCCACCATCTCCCAGCTGGTGGCCACCAACCCCAAGTTGCAGGAGTACCAGAGGCAAGACCCTTCGTATACCATGTCGCTGTGCCGAGCTCTCAGCGACATGCAGAGCAACCCGCAAAACATCCAGCATCTACTTATGGACCCCAACCCTGCTCTGCGTGATGGTATCATGGCATACCTCGGCGTGGCGGCAGACCTTAGCCAGGCTACTGGGTTCAACGAACCGCAGCAGCCACCGAAGGCGGAACCCCCAAAAGAGACCAAGCCAGAGCCCAAGGAGGAGCCGCTGACTGAGAGCCAAAAGGTACGTCGGGGAGCCGTGTGACAGCACCCAGCAACGTAGGCTGACACGTTCTAACATCGTTACAGAAAGCACAAGAGTTTAAAGACGAGGGAAACAAGCTGTACAAACAGAAGAAATTCGTCGAGGCGCTAGAGTTTTACGACAAGGCAGTGGAACTCGACCCCAACAACCTTCTACTCGAAAACAACAAAGCGGCTGCATACCTAGAGATGGGAGACTACGAAAAATGCATCGCCACCTGCAAAGCCGCCATCGAGCGCAGATATGACGTCAAGGCCGACTTCCTGGTCATCTCCAAGATTTACAACAGGCTTGCCTCCTGCTACACCAAGATGGAGGACTACGACGCTGCTTTGGCCGCGTACCAGAAGTCGCTGCTCGAGGACAACAACAGGGTGACTCGTTGCGCAATGAAGGAGGTGGAGCGTCTCAAAGAAAAGAAGGAACGTGAGGCCTACATTGACCCCCAGAAGGCTGAGGAGCACAGGGAGAAGGGTAACGAATTCTTTAAGAAATTCCAGTTCCCCGAGGCCAAAAAGGAGTACGATGAGGCCATCAAACGCAACCCCAAGGATGCGAAACTGTACACCAACAGGGCAGCGGCTCTCACCAAGCTCACAGAGTACCCCAGCGCTCTGGCTGACTGCAACAAGGCTATCGAAATTGACCCAACCTTCGTCAAGGCGTGGGCCAGAAAAGGAAACCTGCACGTGCTCCTGAAGGAGTACAGCAAGGCCCTGGAGGCCTACGACAAGGGGCTTGCCGTCGACCCAAACAACCAGGACTGCATTAACGGCAAATACGACGTAGGTTTTTATGACTCCCCTGCTTAAACACTGAGCAGTGCATGGCAAAGATCCAGGCTATGTCGCAGTCGGGAACTGTCGACGAGGAGCAGTACAGGCAAGCCATGGCCGACCCTGAGGTCCAGCAGATTCTGGGAGACCCGCAGTTCCAGATCATTCTCAAGAAGCTTCAGGAAAACCCCGCATCGATGAACGAGTACCTCAGGGACCCCAAGGTCGCCAAGGGCATTCAGAAACTTATGGCTTGCGGTAAGTACTCAGCGCCGTTGCTGTCATTCTTCGGCAGGCATTCTCAGGACCGCGTAGACGTTCGAAATGTCTACGAATAGCAACTGGTCGAATCGGAACATCGTATGGGTGGGGTACCTGTCTGACAGGTCAGGGGGGAGGGTACAGCAACGAACAGAGCAGCGCGGCAGAGGCAGTGAGGATATGCTTATGCACTCTCCAAACGCAACGCCGCCCCGTGCAGACTTGTTCCACCATGAATAATTAGCTTATACAACATGGTCATTAAAGTGTATCGTGTATTACAAGTCGTTAGGTGTAGGGGTGGCTGGGTCACTGGTCTGTCTGGGACAGCCTCGTGGTGACGGCAAAAGGCGCGCACTCACGAAGATTCCACGTCGATTTATGCGTATAGCTGCCGAGTAAAATTGCTAAAAATGTGGTAGTTAATATGTGTATTTTATTTTGACACTTGGCGTCAGACCGCCGACGCACACCCTCGCCTAACTCCCACCGACATCGCCGCCAACACACAACGCGCCGGGGAAAACGTACGCAATATGGGGCCCTTCTTGATGTGTAGGCCGCTTATGGAAAAAAGTAGCGGGCAAGTTCACCGGTGGGGGGCCTGACGATGACGGACTGCGAGCAGCGCGGGCTGCGGTCTGCCGCGTAGCGGAAGCTGAAGCTTTTCTCTGCTCTGTTGCCAGCCTGAAGCGGTACGCCGCATTCAACGACCCGGAAGCCTCCCCTACGGGAGGCCACCAAGGCCGACTCCCGCCCGCGCCAGACAGCCCAGCGCTAGGACGCGCCAGCATGACAGCCCACTGGGTTCCAGCCAGCACCCCTCAGAAGAGTTACAGCAAAAGCCGGGTAAACCCCGTGTACCCATCTTTGGGTGGTGAGGGACTAAATGCCAATACGTCACATCAGCCCCATGGCCCGGTGGACATAAATGTGTCGTAAGGGAGGATAACACGTTTGCTCAAGGACTAATTACTGCAATCCAATCATTACACATCATTTCTACACTAACATATCTCTTGGCGGACAGCTATCTTATACGAATAAGGAGATGTGTGCAGGGATTCTATACACACTAATCACCCCGAACCGCCAAGCGGCGCCCTCACTGGCGTACATTGATGTAGCAATAGCGACACAAATATCGAATAAGGCGCATATTTGTTGTCAACATATCGAACGCAACGGCGTAAAGACGAGAACACGAGCTGTAAATTGGCGACGTCGTTGGGCTCGGCGATCGCCACCACGCCATTATCGAGGTTGAAAACTACACTCCTTCTCAATTCGGCAAAACCCAGATATAAAATGCTTCGTCAGCAGCGTAAACATACACCGTGATGAAATCACATTAACATTTTTTGCGATATATTACGAGAGAAGGTCCTTAACGCCCATGTATGCCAACCAGCAGGTCAGAACGGCTTGTTGGACACACTTTCCGGATCACAGTTCGCCTGATAGTTGTGGAACGACAAGTCCTCCTGGTTACGGCAGCGAACATACTGCTGCTCCTTACGCTGGTACTTCTCGAGGTCGAAACCGTTGCAAACACACGCCCAGGGGTAGTCGTCGTTGTCCGGGTACATGAAGTTGTAGTAGGCGCCGAGGTTGCCTCCTCCGAAGTTTATAGGATTTGTGCCGTTGTCCACGTCCGTGAACATCCTCTTGAAACCGTGAGCGATGGTACCAGCGCCGCTAATCGTCTGGCCCGCGATGTTCATCACTGCACATTTTAGTGACAATTAAAAGATTGATTATCCTACCTGTTCCAAGTGAATTTATGACGTTAGTGGCTCGGAAGGCTGCATTTCCAATGCCTCCTATAATGCTCTTGGCGCCCGTGGAAACTGTAAACGGCAGGAACGCCGCCAAGAATCCACAAAGCACAAAGAGAAGCGAAAATATTTTGAACCGCATTTTGAAGGTTGCCGATTTCATGTTACAGCCGTTTACCGGCAAATAAAACAACATCAAGGGTTGCACCCTCGAGCATCCATGGGAGCGACGTCAACGCAAGTTCGACAACGCGAACCATTGGCTGCATACGCGTTATAATCACACACATTAAGACTAACCGTAGTAGATCACTCAATATACTTGGCAACCTTTCCAAATTTTGGATAACTGCGTAATACGGGAATGGGAAGTTCGAGAGGAAGGTTTCCACAGTGAGTTTCCCGTCTGTAGAGAGTTATGGCAGCTTATCGGCGACTTACTGATCTCTCGAACCTGCTTCATCTGCATAATCGACCTCTGGTTTGACGTCACTGGGTCCAGTATCACCAGTAGCGGGACTACTTGGTTGCTGATGACTGCCTGGATCCACGGCCGCGCCTTCTCCTTGTTGAATTTCCCGTCGGAGATGATAACCAGAATCTTACGCCGCTCTTTCTGATGCTCCAAGTAACGCAATACGTACTTCATCAGCTCTGGCAGGCCTGTCTCATGTGAATGACGTGACTCCTCGTCAAAGGTCATCCCTGCGACCACGTTGCACGGGTCCTCGCTGCCGTTCATTTCTAGCAACAGCTCAGGCACGTCTCCCCCGAATTTGCAGACACTGAGCTCCCCGACCTCCAAAACAGACATCGCCTGAACTCTGTGAGACCGCACGCCAAAAGTGGAAATGCACCTTCGGGTTTACAATCACTTCCCAACGCATATGCACTGGCCTATCTAGTGCAACGCTTTGGCACACAGCAGATTGGTATCGGCACGCATAAATCGTGTATATATGCTTACCTGGTATATACAAGCGAACGATTTCAGTGCCAAGTTTCCAGCATTAGACACAGCCATGCTCCGACTGTTATCCATGGCTAGCACGACACGGTTATCGCGTTTGTTGGGTTTCGACCGCCGCAGCCATATCTTGTCACGTTGGTAGTTGGATGCGATAAATGCCATCAGCTTCTTGATGGATATCCGTTTCCCGGTCTTGTAGTCGCCCTGCAGGCTGGATTTCAGCGAGGGTTCAAGTATCATTCTGAACCAACATGGCACACGATAGATACAACAAACCTCATCTGCTCGCAAAGATTTGTCGAGATTGCGCTGGTTTCGTTGCGGTACTGATGCCACAAAGCATATGCTGCTGACCTATTGGCATCATTGCTGGATCGGGTCGCCTTCGAGGGGAGATCAGGCGGCGTCGCGGGTACGTCAAATGCAACTGATCCACTCATAACAGCTGAAACGTCGGGTCCCACATCACCAGCATCAACATCTGTGTGATTATCGACGCGCATGGCGTCATCATCCTTCGGTGCAGAGGAGCTAGGTTTTTTATCCGAAGACGAACTCTTGTCTGGTAACTCCTCGCAGACGTCCATAGCGCCAGATTCCTGTTTATCTTTATTCGCTAAAGACACGTCCATAATGTCGATGTTAGCAGCAGCTGATCCATCCATAGATGCCGAAATGCCCTCGATGTTACTTGAATCGTCAAGCTCGTTAAGCATTGACTCATTCTCACTCTTGTTCTTGCCGTCAGTCATAGATTCAACTATGTTTCTAGCCTTCACGTCTTCATTACCGCTCTGGCCGGATGGATTATCAAGTCGCTGGATTGTGTCCAGGAAGCTTAGCATGCTGCCGCTCTGCGTCCGAGCTGTTTCACCCCAGAAAGCACCGGAATGTGAATCTTCCTCATAGCTGTTACCTCCAGTTCCTTGATCGTCTTCGTTGCGGATTTGAGAGTCCGATTTTCCCTCGACACCATAAGGAGTCTCATCGTAGTCTCTTCGGCTGCGAGCTGCACAAAAGTTAGGGAAAGTTTTTGTTGGATATTATAAACAAGCAAAAAATCATGACGTGTGCAGATTTGTTATAACTGATACATGTTCACGTAAAGGAGTCAGTATGATTGGGAGCGGTAAGCACATGTGGCATTGCGCATATGCCTTCAAATAAGAAGCAAAGGCGAAGCACCGCACCATATAGGAACAGATACGCGATAATAAAGACCGCATCAATTCTCTAATGCGAATGCTATTATATACAAAGCGTGAAAAAATCGATGAATGACAAATGCACAAAAATGCAATGGCCAGCAAAGCCGCATGAAATACTTTGATGACAATGGTCCCCTCAGATATATTACCTTCTCGAGGACATGTGATTTCACTTATCAAAGGCCTCTTGATATCATCATAGGGGGGTGAATATACACCGAAACATACCTCGAGGCTCAGGGCCGTCCGGGGATACGGTGTCTTCTTCAATGGCTTCGCCTTCACCGGTATGATCATCCACAGACTCTTCCTGTTCTTGTGGCTCATCTCCCGTCGTATCTTCATCCATTTTGTCAACATCATTCCCTTCGTCACCATCGATCTCCAAATCGTTCTCTCCCAAATCTAGACCGGGGTCGGGACCGCTAGCATCCTCTCCATCTGCATCGCCTGCATCACTTAGGCCATCTACTGCTTCACCATCGCCATCGGCACCATCCTCATCGCCTTCAGCTTCCTCGGGGTTTCCATCTGCAGGATGCGATTGCCACTCCGGGATATCCTGCTGCTTGTCTACCTCGCTGGTGTAATTGTTATCACCCTCTGATGTCTCTGTTGGAGCCGCATCAGGATCATCTGCAGCGTCTTTTGTTTCTTTCGTTGATGCACCACCAATATCCAAAGACTCTCCATCATTATCGGGAGCTGGGTCGTCCTCCGCAAGATCGGAGTCCAACCGCTGCTTCTGCAGGTCTTCGAACTCATCGTTGTGTCCCACATTCTCATCCTCCTCAATATCACTGCCCTCCCTAGAGTTGTCCAGGTCAAGCACGTCACCTTCAAATTCCATATCGACGTCAACCGCTGGATTGTCGCGTTCGACATCACCGTGCTCTGGGGCAGCCTCGTTTTTGAAGTTGTCAAACATGCCCTCCTCTGGGTCCACCTCATCGGATACATTTTTTGCTCCAGTACCATCCTCGAGGCCGGTTCCCGCATTCCACTCCTCTCGAGATTCCTGCTTACCCTCCTCGGCGGGGGGCGTTACTCGACTAATGCAGTCGATCAGCTGCGCCATGTATAGGCATGCCAGCGGCAGGTTCGGGTCCTTGGCGCTGAACATAACCGACTCAGTGGCTGGTAACTGCGATATAGGTTTAGAGTTGGCCACAATGTGGCGGATGCGTGATCCATCCCTACGGAAGAAGGGCAGGGCCTGAGCCGGATAACCGGCACCCTGTTCCACGTCATCGCAGAATGCTTTGACAGCTTCTAACCATTTTCCGGATACAAACAGAGGGGATTTAATGTCCTTTGAACATTTGTATGCACACATCTCATCTGTCCCCTCAAGCCAGCACCGAAATTCTGACACCCGAGTCATAAGAGGTCCGGTGCTGGTGGCCATTGAAGCGGCACCGTCAGCAGGCGACTTATCATCACAAATGGAACCCGAAAGAAGATCATCATCATTCGCCTGTAATGCCGTGTCGTATATGTCGTCAACAGTAGACAATAGTTGATCGAAGCAAATACGATCCAGTTCATAAATCGTTGTATCACTTAGTACGGAACTTAGAGAGCTCGCCTTTGTACACCGCTCAAATTCCTCGACATCACGCTGCATATTGTTGTGCGCATTTCGCAGCATTGTAACCAGGTAGCCAAAGATGTTCGTATCAACGTTACGGCTGAAATGCTCAAACTTATCCTTGTCGGCGCGGAATGATTCGTGGAGGTCGAACATTATGTGCAATGAACGCATAATATATCCCCTGGCCTCTTCTGCCGCCGCACAACCATTGGATTTCATCGAGGCACCAAGATCAAGCCATCTGATCCAATCACCTACGTCGTGCCCAGAAGCGGCATTGTATCCCGTTTCGCTTAATAGTCGTCCAATTTCACCGGTAATACGTGTAATCTGTACCCTCGAAATCTCGTTTTTGTTCTTGCGCACGTATTCGATATTGCTACGTAGACTGTCCAGTAGTACGGGCTCGTCTGCATCGACCGTGTCTTCTGTTTCGTTGCTGCATTCGCCATTATCAGCAGCCTCTTTGGGCACATCCCCTAGTTGTTGATGGGCATCATCCTCTGCTTTGTCGATTACTTTATTGCACCACTGGTCGGGCGTTGGAGTGTATACCGAAGAGAATGGCTGCATGATCCCTTCCTGGAATCTCCTCATCACCGAGCTCATCTGTATCTTCTGCTTCTGCAATAATGCGCTGATAGATAGGTAGTCATTACCGGACCAGTTTATACGTCTGACCAATTCTCCGACCTCCCGACGCGTCTCTTTATTCAATGACGCAATATGAGAAGTAACTACCGGGAGCCACAACCTTAGGAACCATAATACGTTCTCTATAGCTGTGCGCATTACGGCCTCTGTTGGCAGGGTTGAGTCGCGGTATAGCTGCACCACTGCGTCCAACATGCCAAGAATAGGCTCAAAGTGTGCCACTGGCGCAGCCAGTACGAACTGCAGTATCTCCCCAACACACTTGGAAACACGTGTCGGCAGCGGAACATTCGAATCGTATACGTCACTGCACATCTCTGTGAAATACACGAGGTAGCTGTAAGCATCCTGGCGAACGGAGTTCACACGATCGTCTATAGCTGAGTACCACCCTTTGAGTTCACGATGTCGCATCTCCAGGATAAGGCTCCCCAGTTCAGACGCCAAGTCGTTTAGAGATATAGCACTGTGTGAAATAGAGTTCCATTTGTGCACGCGGGCGACCAAGTTCTCCAAAAGGGTAACGAGGAGTACCTGCGTCACCGTGGGTATTTTCATCTTGCTCATGGAGGTAAGCATCACGGAAATATCCAGCAGCTGCTGCTGACCACCGAACTGATCGAGTAATGATTTTACACGTTCTGACAGACGCTGAAGTATATCGCCAGTTTTGAGGCAGAATGGGATATCAACCGTATTATAAAATGATGCCGATCCCTCTACCTTGTCGCCCGAGTACCCAAAGTGCTCTTCAGACGCTTTCATCAATCGACGTGAGAGGAAAACGGACTCCTCTGAACCACACATATCCCTTGACTTAGTTCCACATGCCATTGCTAGACATAGGGATGCATTAATCTGCTGCGTTATCACACGCTGCGATGGAAGCGGTGTGGTAGGAGTTGCGATCTGGTCATTTTCGGGCTTCATGTCAGCATCAGCGGTTTCAACATTCGACTTTTCCGATTCCTCATCCTTCAAAGGTGCTAAGGCTTGCGATAAAAGTTTGCAGAGCACCGTGATGCGGCGGATGTCTCTGGTCTGCTCGGATTCTGCTACAGGCTCTTCCTCCTCCTGCTCCAACGATTCATACTCCTCTAGTGGCCCACAGTCACGAACTATTGCCCTTACAATTTCCTGCTGCGATGGGAATAGATCGTATACACCTTTGTCAGCGCGTTTCTGAGCCATCGCTATACAAGACTGCAAAAGCGACATGCGCATGGCCTGTCCTTCGGCACGTTCGGTCTTTAGGCGCGAAGATATACCCGATAGTAGCAACATTACGTACTTTAAGGGTTCCATAGACGGGGGCTTTAACATGTCGTTACGAACGCTTGAAACCATGCATTTGAGATAACAATACACGTCGTAGGCACCGCCAGCGTCATAGAAATGCGCTCCAAGCGACAGCAGATCTCCCTGATCAACACGCTTTAGCAGATTCAAGGGAAATTGAAGACACCTTTGAGACACACGTTGCAGTTGAAGTGACCTAGGAATGTTGCCTATAAATCTCGACGCATCTGATGCATTATCCGGAAGTCCAAAAGCCAAACAATCCAAACCAACTAACAGGGGGCGTATTATTTCGGGCAGAAGCACATACTGACGCAACAGGTATCTTTTAAAGTTTGACAGGCAGTGGCGGTCGCAGTGAACAGAATAATCCTCTCCCAATTTCAGATTCTCGTGGACGAATTTAACCAAGTCCCGTTGTAGGCGACGCATAAGCGCCACGATATCCGCCGAACCAAAGCTGTCATTAACATTTTCTGCAGAGGAATAATATCTTAATGAAAACCGTGGCCTATCACTCGAGTCATCCAACGCCTCCAACTGCTCCGTAAGGAACTGATACGAACTGTGAATCTCACCATCCGACAGAGTATCGCAGGTCACGAAGGTATCCAATCGACGCTTGAGTTTTAGCGAGAGGTCGTTACGGTATTCAATTTCAAGACCGCTACGAAGTTCGGCGATTACCATAGAGGTGTTGGGCATGGCGGCTAGGAGTAGCAATCCAGAGATACGCCACACGTCCTTGAGTAGTGACATTCGCTTATCTGCAGAAGCGTGTGTCAGGTCCGACAATAGATGGACGAGGTTGAGAGACAGGCGTCGAACCGTAAAGTCAGAGTTATATGCATCTGATGATGGATCGTGCTTCGAGGTATCATTGTCTGTTCCCCATGCGTGTTTGATTGCAGAGAACATATCTGGCTTCGGCGGTTCATCCTTCACTATGGAGGCGTACAGGGATTTTATGCACTCCTTGGTTACGATGTAGTCCATGTTGAGGGCCTTGCTAACGATGGGAGATACCAGGTATAAGGTCGCAAAAAGACCGCTCCACTGGGGCGCTGGCATGTGCTCGCTCAACATGCCACGCAACAACTCTATGCGACGGATGTTATCCCGTAGCGATGGCAAACCGTTTTCCTTAGAGATACCATCCCAAAACAACATGACACCAGAGACGGTGTCCAGGGATTCTACCTGTGGTGCCTCAACAGAAGTGTCCTTTTTGACGCCCAAATCGGTGCCGTTCACAAGATCGACCATGTATTGCACGGCATCCAGCTTCAAGTCGTCATCCGTTATGTTCTGCAGCGACCATGTTTCCAACATTACGTCATACACGCACGAATGTGGATCCGCGCCAGAGATTAACTGACGTATGGATACCAAAATTGCCGAGACAACGGCAATAGAACTACTGGGTAAATCGCTTTGCAGTTGTACATGGAGGTTCAAGAGGCCCAATGCGTAATCATGCGCTTTGTGAAGCATTTTAGTGTCCACTTCGCCTATCAAGAGCTGATGACAAAGCCAGCATCCCAAGAATCGTATGCGGTCAATTACAAACTTGCGCAGAGCGGCATTCGGCGATTCTACTTGGCGCATAATCAGCATCGGCTGTCTGTCATCTTCATCAGTAACTTCAACGTCAGATATTGAACCGCTAACGTAAGCGTCTACAAAATTCAACACGGATTTGGTGGTAATGTTGGCCTTTGCATCTATAACAATATTGCGCTGGCATGCTATCATATCCCCCATGCCGTATCGGTGCAACTCCAAAGCTAAGGCGATTTCGTCGTATATTTGACTGCCAATGAGCTCAGTAGAGTAATCCATGAAGTCGTGGTTTACAACCGCACCGCGAACATCATCCGGAGCAGTGCCACAGTTCACGTTCAGTTCTTTCATTTCCAACAATTCGTTGTACATTTTGCGCGTAAAGTAATCGATTGTTTCGGGGGCAGTTTTGCCCTCCCGAAGCAGCAGATAAAATAGGAACTGCATTTTAGACAATACAGGCAATACAGATTCGCCTTTCACTGACGTTTTGACCAGGTACTCCACAAGAGAGTTGGTGTAATTCGAAGTACCTAGCACGTCGAACATCCGCAACGAATCGAAGAGGAACATGTGCAGCAATGTTTGCAACTCGTATGTGTTGTCAGAAGATCGTAGCAAAATACTGAATATGGCATCGACATGATTTTTGCTCACAGTCAGCATTAACTTTTGCTCTACCATGGAATAGCGCTCGTTGTAAGTTGAGTTCGAACTTCTCAGAATAAACCAGAACACGCTATCGGCATCCGCATTTGCACTATCCAATCGTGCTACAGCACCATCACGTTTCACACGATCCTCAAATGTCGTGCATCTCTCCAGAAAATCAGTAACCAGGTTGAGACCGCTACACTGATCTGCGGTTTGACTTGCCGAACACCAATCAAGGCAACATTCCAAGACCCTCAGAGCGGTCGTCTGCAGTTCCAGAGAAAAGAAAGTCGGCGCTTCACATAAACTCTGGTCTAACGGTTGGTCAATCATGGCCCAGTGCTTCAAAAACAGCCAACTGGCGTGGCTGTATGCACCGGATGAATGTTGAGCCAGATAAGAACCCAAGACAGCGCTGCAGAACGATCTCACTACACAATCATGCCACGTGAAGTTCCTAAAACTTTTCAGCAGCCGAGCGCCGTCGATCAGTTCTGAACATTTGAAGCTGATGTCACGCATCACCTCATTAGTACCTTCTGCCATTGATGAATGCAGGGATGACACACGGTCCGATATCTGGTGGCACAGCTGTGCCATGAAAGGGCACTGTGGAACAGATTTCGGAAGTTGGTGCATGCAGCTGGGGTAGTTCATGTTGATCTCAAGGCAACGGTTCCTGAATGCCTTGGATATCTTACCAACCTGTACAGAGTCCGCTGTCATGAATATGCGGAAATTAGGGTGAGGTCGAATCACTCGGTTGCAGTCGCCGCTTTCATTTAAGGTTAACGTGCCACCAACTTCCAATAAAGAGTTCAACCGGTCTAGTATTGCGGGATTTGCGTTGTGGATGCGCGTCAAGAGCACCCAGTTGCCACGTTCAATAGACTCTACTAGGGGACTATCCACCCAGCGGAAAGTTACAGAAGAAACGTTGCCTTCCGTATTACCAACCTGCTCAAAACCGCCCAAAAGGTCGCTGATGTCGAAACACGGTAACATCGTTATCTCAGTCAATTGCTGTGCGCAACGCGATGCCACGCACTTTACAACACTCTGCTTGCCGCTCAAACTTGGCCCCAATAGGAGAACTGGGAAGTTTAGACTAGCTGCCATGCTGACCGTGTTGCAAACATCTTCTTGGCTCTGCATCCAAATGGGTTCGTAGCTGAACGAGCTTCGGCCAACTCCACCGTCTAGCCCAGATCTTTTATCTTCTGCATCCACGAATGATGTATCAACGTGCATTTCCGTTTCATTGGTCGTATTCTTCGCGTGGTACCGAACACATGGTTGCGTGACGTGAGGCAGCGCTTGACTTCCAGTCAAACCAATGAGTGATGAAATTGCGGCGGACATCTCTTTAGAATCCAAACGCGACATGAATGTAAATCTGAAAGCATCGTCGAAGGAGGATGACGGAACACCAGTTGCGACCGATTCGCAGAAGCGCATGCAGTCACGCAAATTCCATTCCACTCCTTTACCAAAGCTGTTTGTTCTTATCTCGAAGAGCACGTTGACCAGCCTTTCAATCATAGATGCAGGCAGTGTTGGGTAAAGGTGCTCCAGGACGGCGCAGCAGTCGCTCTCATCCAATGGTGGGAAGTATATCTTGGTGAAACGGTTTAGGAAGGACCTGGGCAAATGCTTGCGGCCTCCTCCATCGATTGCTGAATTCTGCGAGGCAAACAGGCGGAAGTTCTCGTGGCATTTCACGAAACGGTCCAGTTCTGGGATGAAGGTCTCACGACGGTGATCCAGCAGCGCATTCAGGCCCTCGAGTACCTGCTGACTTGCTAAGTTCAGCTCATCAAGGACTACCCAGTAACCGTTAATAGCCGCGTCAATAACTGGTCCGTTGTGCCAAACGAATTTCCAATTCCCGTCAACCGCTCTGGGGATGTCCGAACCGAAGAGGTCCATGATGTCCGTGTGTTCCGACAGATTCACACGCACCAACTTAGTGCCATGGAGAGATGCCAATGCACTGATGCTAGCGCTCTTTCCCACACCAGGCTGTCCCTCAAGCAGTATGGGCCGATTGAGTTTGAGGGCACGCAGAATTTTGCCGACCATGCACAAACTGCTCTTTGAGCCCAGAGTGAACGACGCGATGCTTGACAAGGGAGGCACTCCCAGGCGATCCAGTTCCTTGTGGACCCAATTATTGTCGTTAAAGCTCGAGATGACACTTTCCACATTCATGCCATCGAGGTAGCGCGATACGATATCTACGACGTCCCTTAGGGATACCCCAGAAGCACCGGGCACCACGTTGTCTAGGAACACAACATGGGCGCCTTGGAGAAAAGTTTCCAGAGAACATTCTTCGCCCATGAATTCAGCCCACTTTATCACGTCACGCAGGGTCAACTTTTGGTGCGGGCAACGCTCGTTGTAGAGGCGGATGACCGCGGCCATTGAGCCGGCGACCCAATCCGGTTTCATGCCGCCATAGTTATCCAGGACGCGACGAACTACATCGTAGTTCTCGAAATCTGGAGTTGGAATGTAAATGACAGTGAAACGGTTAAGCAACGCAGGACTCAATTCACGCTTCCCGTGGTCCCCGCTTGGGTTCATGGTCGCCAGGAACCTAAAGTCGTTATGCGCGCGCAGCACGCGCAAAGTTGATCCACCCGCTTCTGGGATTGTGAGCGTGCTGTCAGCTTCCAGTACCGAGTTCATTTTCTCCAATACTGCGTCGTCCGCCAGGGAAATCTCGTCCGCAAGGAACCACTGCCCTAGTTCCATGGAGCTAGTGAGGGGCCCATCCACCCACTCAAATAGTTGGTTTGAAAATGACCTCATCAACTGACTTATGATAACACGGATGTTATCAGGAGTAGACGATCTCATCTTCTGACGTTTTGCGTCCCTGTCAGTGTGATCCTCTGCTACCACATCCGCATTGCTCTTTAGCAGTGTGGATGCTCGGCCCAAAACTTCCACGAACTTAGCACGATCTACCTGTGATAATGGGGTAGTCATCACCTCGCGCAGGTATTCCAGATCGGAGGAGTGCATGTCGTCCTCGAAGTAATCAATCAGCATGCCCACGTGCGAATGGAACGATTTCAAACTTCGGATGGGACGGAAACTACCTATGAAATCGCTAGCTTCGGTGTTCTTGCTCAGGTTCAGTATGTTGAGACGGCGGTTGTAAACTTTGGCCAACAGCTGGCATATGGTGGTCTTGCCTATGCCAGTCTCACCGACCAAGAGCACGGGTTCACGGTGTTCCAGCGCACAAAGTAAAAGCGCCACTAGCCTGCTTGTTGTACCTTCGAACCACAAATAACGCTCACGAGCGCACAGGTCAGATGTGCTCAGACCGCTGGACTCTAGGAAACTTCGCAAGAACTTGTCGGTCTCGAAGTTGATAACCAGTTCCTTGGGCTTGGTTGGCTTTGACATCAGACAGCATCGCTCGAGTATACCTCTAACTGTTTCCTGATCCACTGGATTGCGAAGTTTCTCAGCAATCACGCACCAACCGTAGTACGCAAGGCCCTCGTCATCGGAACGCACGCGGTTGGCCCACTTAATAAGGTCACGCAGTGTTATCAGCACCGAGTGGCGCTCAAAAGCCATAGAGTTCATCGGGCAGGACTGCATTGTCTGGAAAGCAGAAACTATCTTCTCGGCGCGTGACAACGGGATTGCACAACGCTGGTGGAGCACTTCCTGCAGGTCGACCGTATCCAGACCTTCCATATACAGTTGTACGAACCGGTTGCAAAAGGCCTTTGAAAGCTGCTTGCGCCCACCATATATACTGTTAGCGGGGTTCTGGGTGGCGAATATCATGAACTCGGGATGTGACTTTATGGTTTCACCAGTCTCTGGGACATACACCTCACGGTTGTCGTCAAGGATGCGATTGAGGGCCTCGAGAATCTGGCTGGGCGCCAGGTTTAGTTCGTCCAAAATAACCCAATGCCCCTCCTTCATAGCCGTAATTATCGGGCCGTAGTTGAATTTCAGCTGGCATGACACCGAGTCAAAGACGAACTGGCCTAGGTACTCCGACAGATCAGTGTGCTCGTGGTTGTTGATGCGCACGCATCGGTGACCGGTAAGTGAGCAGAGATACTGTACCAATGATGTCTTACCAGCAGCTGTGGGACCCTCCAAGAGCACTGGTACTCTCAGGCCGCTCAATATGCGGCATAGACGTCGGAGGTTCTTGGATATATTCGGCGTCACAATGAATTGTTCCTGACGGTGAATTGGCTCTCCTCCCCGGCGAATCCAATACCCCTCAACGCGTACGTAATCCACGCTCTCCTCGAAAGATGTAGAGGTACGGGAAGGCACTGACGGTAACAGCGATTCCACCTTGGAAAAAGACGCTGATCCAAGGGAGGATGCGAAGCACGCCAATGAGCCCTCTACGAACGCCGCTCTGCCATCCTTGAGGGGGCGATGGCTCCGTTGCATCACGTGCTGCATGTAATGCAGGGTGCGCACCAGATTACGTAAGGTGAAGGTAGGTGTCTTGAAAGATCCATCCTCCAACTCACCGTTGCGACACAGCTCAACGACCTTCAGGTAAAAGTGGCATAACTCTGCACTGGGGACGCTGCGGTCGTCAGGATCCACATAAGAGCCAACTACGATGGACACGTCCTCGAGTGTATCGATCTCATCGACGAATATCTCTGTCATATGACCACGGAAGTTCGCGGGTAGTTCCTTCTTGCCACTGGTAAATGTCACAAAGTCGCCCTTGCGGATGGTCGGAGGGTTCATGCATGCGAACAGCCGGAAGTCCTCGTGGATGTCCACCACACGATTCTCACATTCGTAAAGCTCGAACCTCTTGCTCACGTTGGATAGCACGCCAACGAAACGCTGCAGTAGGTCAGACGGCGCCAGATTGACCTCGTCAAGCAGGATCCACCATCCCTCGCGCATGGCACGGACCAGCAGCCCCTCCTCGAACTTGAATTGCAACTGCGGTCCAGACGATTTCAACGCAGACGTGTACTTTTCGTATATCGCCATTACACCCGCAGGTAGCGATTCGATCGGTTGTTGTAGATGGCTCAGCTTAAAGCCATGCTTTACTGCAGCGGCTCCACCGCAACGCATGTTGCACTCAACGCGCAGGGTAGTAGCTTCATTTGCCAATTCGGTGGTTGCGGAACCCATCAAATTAGTCAACGTTGAAGAGAGCATTGAGAGTATCCTGGAGTACTGACCCTGCCTATATAGGTCGACCAGATGGTCCAGGTAGCACAACAGCGCGTCTTCCACCACGCACGAACGCAACATCACATTCAGAGCGCGAGAGAATATATTTGAGCAAATGTCGGCTATGTTGTCAGGGAAAAAACTTCCAAGTAGGTCATCAGCCTCCGATTGCTCACTGAACACGTATACCTTCAAAGTCTTCCCTGCCAGCTTGGCGAAGTGCTGTATTATGGCTGTCTTCCCCGTTCCGGTCTCTCCCACCAAGAGCACGGGCTCGTTGCAGAGATAGCATGCCATAAGCTGGTGTAGCACTTTCATGTGCACTCGTGTGTTTTCACCTGCTTTTATCTGGTTTAGAGGCAGCATCTCAAAACTCGCAGAAGGCAAAACTCCGAAGTGCTCGGCAATGTCACCCAACAGAGCGTTACGCTGCTCATCGCATGACATCGAAGCCAGGACCACGCAGTAGAATGCCTCCAATATCACGCCCTTTGTGGCACTGGAGAGGTACCCGTCGAAGCTCACGCCTGACGTGGCCAACCGATGGAGGATCTTGAACAGATCTGAAAAATTAAACCCTCGGTGTTTGCAAAGGCTTTCACGCAGCGAAAAGAAGGCAGATACCACGGCGCCACATATTGGAGTGACCTCAGACCATCGTCTACACGCTATCTCAACGCAATCGCTTTCTGAGAGTGGGGGCACATACGTTCTTGGCAGATGCTTCAGACTGCCTGTGAGACTCTGAATATTTCTGGCAGTAATGAAGACATGGAAGTTGCTCGAAGCCTCAACAACCTCGTTCAGCTCCGGGATGATCACCCGACCCAGTTGACAAACGCTGTATAGCAGGCAAGCAATACTCTCCGACAAATTCTCGTCGAATATTAGCCAACGGCCGAGGCGCATCGCCGTCGACAGGATGCCGTAGCTGAACTTGAATTCGCCAACTTTGTCGGTGCATACCCACTGGCCGATCAAGGCCTTCACATCGGTGCTTTCGTCAGTGTAAATGCGACTGATCGAGTCAGATTTGATGCCTATACGTCTCGCAAGCTCACGAATGTGGAATTCCTTGCAACAATCCCCCATAACAACGGAGCCTATATTCACGTCCACGTGGCAGAGCATGCTGGAGAGCACTTCCGAAGAGTAGTCTAGCTCTACAAAAGACTCGTTTGTTACAACCTCCTGCGACCTCAAATACGATACGCGTTTCCCGATCCGTATAAGGTTGGATTGTGCGTTATCAGCGAAATCTGAGCTGCTAACAGAGATGTGAAGTTCACAGAAATAACCGGGTTCGTTGGGATCATCAGAGGTTGGCGAGTCAAACCAGTGATACCGCTCGACATCAGCAGTCACTTTGCGATATAAAGTTGTGTCCCGGTGTGCAGATTCCCTCAGGATTGCGGACAAGGTGCGCAGCAACTGCAGCTTGTATTGCGATATTTCCTCCGAATCATCCTTTACACTATTCAACTCGAACTCTATCCTATCACTTGTATCTTCACGATTCAGGACATCATACAATGCACGGTTTGCGGCCCTGCGCAGCCGCGCGTCGCGTCGCAACCGCCACAGCAGCACCAACCTCTCCAATACATGATCTGCTGCTGCGGGCGGATCATGCACAAAGTCCACCAAGACGGACAACGCAAGATCAGGCGCCTCATTGGTTATATCCAAAGCCGTGAATGGGTTCACCAGGCATGACCATACCACGAATCGCAGCTTAAACCAACCGGTCGAAACATCCTTGTTCTCCGAACGCGTGATTGATAGTGCGCAGAGTCTAGATAAGCGCCGAAACCTTTTCTCACTGTAGAAGCTGCTGCCAAAAAGACGCAAAACGCTGTAAGGAATCTTTCCATCGTTAAATGGCGTCGTCGTAGGCGATGATTTGTCTAACGACACAGCCAGCAATTCGAAATTCGAAACCACTTCATTTATATCACTGTCTGCCTCTTCGCTAGCGGACGATGAGAGGCAGTTTGCGATGCGCGTGCAGTACGCGTTCAACACCCTGAGATCAGCCATAGCTGCTCAGGTGTATAGTGGACCGGCGCTGTCGCCAAAAGGGCAACCTAGAAATACCAGCCGGCAGACGTCATCGTGCGATACAGGCTTCAGAAGCCAGGAATTAAAAAGAATCTTCCCAAGCGTTTCAGAGGGGGTGTATTCTTACGACGCCGCACAATGTAGCCTTCTACCTGCGCGCACCTTACCTTGTCTAAACCGGACACATCGCCTAGTTCAGAGGTGCGATGCCGACTATATCGTAAATAGAGTAGATGTGTATCACTTTTACATCGAATAAGTCTCATTTTTGAAAGAACGCCAGCGTTCATGCCGCCGTTGACGCTACATCAACAGCTACATTACAGCGTCAAGTATACGCAAAATATACCCAGTAACCAACAATATAGTTCAGAAACGGTATAAAACTGCCGCTATGCAACAGTTTCAAGTTTCAGCGATCAGTGAGCACGGGCTTAGGAGAGGAACTTCTCAAGACCCTTAAGCCAGAAGATGTACTCACGCTGCTCCTTGTCGATGCTGCAAGAGTCGATGAAGTCGCAAAGCTCGCCATCGACGCCGAGGCTGCCGAGCCACTCATCCAAAGTAGCCTGCAGGCTGTCGTCGAGGTCCTCGAAGTCGGGACCGTTGTAGGTGGACACCTGGCACGTATTTAACGAGCTGACAAAACGACCTACTGAGTTCTTGGAAGCTTCGTCGCTGAAGAAACGCACGTTGCAGATCATGTACCTGAACTTGTCGTCGTTCTGCAGGGTGCTGCAGTAGAAGGTGATTCCCTGGCCGCCGGCCTTCTCGACAGTGACCGAGAAGTCGGTCATCTCAGCCTGGGTCTCGCCCTCACCCTCCGTTTCGAAAGGTGACACCAACTGGAAGTCAACAGTGACCTTCTTGCCTGAACACGTGTAAATCATGAGTCATACAAAAGCGACGATGCAGGTACCAATGAGCCAGAACGGCCTCGGACACTACAGCGCCGTGCGCATAGGAGCTATAACACAGAAAATGGCGCAACAATCACATTTCCCACATAATAGATGGTTAGAAACACTCATTGAGCGCCAATAGTAGGCAAATTACTGACACCAAAGACACACAACATACCGTCTACAGTCTTCTCCAGGGTCATGTTGACGTCGCCCTCCTTCTCGATAAATTTCCACTCTAAACATTTTCAGATCGCATGAGGCGCAAACGAACCATTCTTCTCCAGGAAGGTCTTGATGGTGGCAGGGGATTCGTAGTTCGAGTTTTCGTGTTGAATCTCGCCCTGGACGAGCTGGCGGAGCTTCTCAGACTCGGCGGAAAAGGCACGGGTGCCCTGGCGGAGAGCCGCAGCGCGGAATGAGGGCTCGAAGCGTCCGAATTGGCTTGCGCGAACACTCAGACAGCTGACGCTGCTGAAGCGGCGAAGGCCACGGAAAATAGCACCACGTACAGCCATGTTTAAATCGAAGCAGGACGTTAACCTATAAGATGCAAAACTACAGGAATAAGTGGAGGGATGAGCGTCCAGCCGAGGTTATTTTTCGGCGATAGGGAAATGGGGACCACACACCGGGAACAACGGTATCATTGATGTTGTTTAAGGAGCGGTGCTTAACCCAGAAAGCTCTCTAGTATTACGATGTGTACTAATTTGTGTATTGGTGATACCCAAAGAAATGTATAAGCGCAGCGAAGGCAGCCTGTCTAGACGCGGGTACTAAGAACACCTTAAAGGCTCGATAATAAGCAACTCGACCTTTTGTGACTATGTTTAGCAGAACATTGAGCAATCAACTGATTATTTCGTTGATGTTAAGACAAAGGTCCACCGGGTGTCTATAATCAGTACTGTCGACGGCAGGAGAGGTTTGCCGCGGGCAGAAATGACGTAAATGGCACCAAACAACATACAGAAATCTAAACAGAGGTTTAAACATTGCCTAAAGACAAATAAATTAGTGCACGGAGTGGGGTTCGAACCCACGCGGTCTCACGACCAGAGGATCTTAAGTCCCCCTCCTTAACCACTCGGACATCCGTGCCCGCCTGAAGGGTCAAATTTTAGCCTTATGCTCGAAAACAATGTGCTCATCGCGCACACGTGACCTCAATAATCTTCACCACGCGACAGCACCTCTTTACACGTCGGACGCAGCAGGATGGTGTGCTCCATCTGGGATGTGTAAGAGCCGCGAATGTCGGACAGAGGCGGGTACGGGTTCACGATTCCCTTGTCTACCAGGTGCCTCAGAGCCAGCAAATTCTTCCCTCCGGTGAGGTCGTCCAGCCAGCGGCGGCAGAATGCCAAAGTGCTGAAGTTCTGACAAGGATCAGATATTGGACACATAGTCAACAAACCGTGTTAATGCACTTCAGAACATCCCTAGCGCTCTTCAGCGTAAGCGGTACGAAACCAACTTCGAAGTCCTTCATGTAGTGCGAGCAGTCCATCGACTCCACCACTGTTCCCTTGCCAGTGGTGGCAAAAGTCTCGATAGCAAATAGGTCGCCCTCCTCCATGATGTCGGAGCAGCCGCTGTTGCGCACGATGGGCACGGCCTTACCCGCGTGGATGCGATACGAACCGATACTGTGGCCAGTAAGGTTGCGAATGGGTTTCACCGGGTAGGTGACACCCTGGATGGTGACCTCATGGCTCTCAATAGTCTCCTGAATTACCTCCCCGATCTCGCACAAACGAGCGTCTATGCCTGCGTGGCGAATACCGGTGTTGGTTGCCTCCTGAGTTGCCTTAATCAGCTCGTCATACTGCTCGTCGAAAGCGATGGTGAACGCGCAGTCAATGATGTGGCCATTCACGTGGGTGCCGAAGTCGAGCTTGCATATGTCGCCCTTGGTCAACACGGTGTTGTCGCCATAGTTGGGCGTGTAGTGGGCCGCACACGAATTCAGAGAGCAGCCAGTTGGGAACGCCCATCCGCATTTAAGGCCGTCGGCAGCGATAAGTTCTTTGGACTTTGTTTCAACAGCGTTCACAAGGTCTAGCATCTTAATCCCTAGATCGGCATTATATAACAGGAAAAAGTATACTAACCGGGGCGGACTACCGACTGGATATACCGTCGTACCTGACGGTGGACCTCGGCAGCGCGACGCAGGTCCTGGTAGGAATCCGCAGACACCTTCTCCAAATGGCGTTTCTCAGCGTCGTTGCTGCGCGCCGCGCCTGCACCAGTGTACTCCCATTCCTCTCCTAATACGCGTTAATATGCCAGATTAATTCACTAACCGACGGGGAATTGGCGACCCTTGAACTGCTCGTGAACGGGCTTGCTGGGCGGAATCGTCGTCGTCCACTTGTTAACACGGCGTAGCGGCTCTCCAGGCAAACAATCCACAAGAAGCGGATTTTTAGGTGCCACAGAGAGCGATTCAAGTTCCAAGAGGTCATCGAAGGAGTCGTTGCTGCTGGCTTTGGGCTGCTTCTTCTTGCGCCTCTCGTTTTTAGGCGCCGCCGGAGGCGCTTCCGCAGGTGTAATTAAGCATTCCATATTACTAAGGGCGTATTGTAAAGAAAAGAAATTACGTATGGTTCATATTAAGGTGTAACTACGGGTACTGCCGCGGCGCCGTACACATGGGGACAGTGGAGCTCTAAACACAAAAATTTAGACATATCGTATACAAAATGATGCCTTACGTAGCTAGGCTTAATAGCCTAAGGCTTGATTTTGCGCGATCATTCCTCCACGGAAGGCAGCGCGTTCCGCTGTGTCGCCAGGCACTGCAGTTACGGACAAATCACTCAACCAACGGAGCCTTCAGACACGTAAAGGAGGCTGAAAACTCCTTCAGAACAGATGCTTCAACCGTCCACGATTCAAATGGCATCAAAGGGTCTTCAGAGGCGCTCTTTTCGAGGGGAGGAGAAGCTACACCTGGGCACTCTGGCCACTACCCTGGCAATTGTTCAAGATGGTTCAGAATTGCAAGGCCAGGAAAGGAGAAACCTGTCGCATACTGGTTGTTAGGTTGGTGATGCGTCGACTTTCATCCAACATATACGCAGGTTCCGCTGGTATCACTGCAGGTGTGATGGCGATAGGTGCCTACGTGAGACTCAACGAGAGCGGACTCTCAATGCTGGACTGGAATTTACTGGGAAAACACCTGCCCAAAGATGAAGATGAGTGGGGTCGTGAATTCGAACGATACAAGGTGGTTCAAACCGTAACAACTTGCATGTCGCAACAGGCCACACCGGAATACAAGCAGGTGCACTACGATATCACCATCGAGGACTACAAGAACATATATCTCAACGAATGGGTTCACAGAATGCTGGGAAGGTTTGCTGGGATGTGTTTTGGTGGAGGTGCTCTGTTCCTGGCCATACGTGGTGCACTGGCGCCAGGGGGATACATGCTTGCAATAGGTAAGACACCACCACTTACGAAAACTTATCTCACAGGTGTATCGGGAATAGGCCTTTCACAGGCGTTTGTCGGGAAGTGGATGGTGGAAAGCGGATTTAAAGAACCGGAAACTGAAAATAAGACGCCCAGGTAACGTAAGAAGCATCGCCGATCACACGTGCGCAGGGTTTCGCCTTACAGGTTGGCCATACACTTCACCAACGCGCTTGCAATATACTCATTGTGCCTATGGAATGGTCTGAGAGTGCTGAAAAGTGGCAGCTTGCTGGCGGCCCCTGATACCGCTGCCTTAAGGAGGGTGCGCCGGATGGGGAGAGCCACACTGGTGTCACTATTTTTGACTATGCTCTACGGTTCAATTGTCGCGGGTAATGATGCAGGTTTGGCTTACAACACGTGGCCGAAAATGCTGGAGTCCTACATTCCCGATGACTATGCTCAGGTCGACTCTATCAAACACCTTTTCGAAAAAACAGGCGTCGTGCAGTTCAATCACAGATGCCTTGGATACGCCACCGCTATAATGTCAATGGCCACTTATATGGCCGCAAGAGCTCAGGGGGTTCCAATCGCAATCCGGAAACTAGCCATGGGGACCCTTCACGCCTCTCTACTTCAGGTTGTGCTGGGCATCATGACCGTCGTAAAACACGTACCGCTACACGGTGCAATGACACATCACGCAAACGCAATGGCGTTGTGGTCGGTACTGCTCATGATGCTTGCCAAATTAAGATAGACTGTTAGCATTACGATTGTCTGCCACGAGTTATATGGTGTGTTATGCGTGTTTTACGTGTGTTTGGCGCTTATGCCTCGCTTTTACTGGAGTTTTAGGCGTCTCACGGTATAGGTGTCTACTGCGTCTTCCACGCCGTTCCATTACCGAACGCTACTGGTACCATCCATTGTGGCATCCATCCTGTTTGGGTGCGAGGGTAGTTCAGAGAGTCATCTTCTCTGGGCTTTATGTCCCTCAACACTAGCTTGTGTGTTTCTTGGATCACTACCCGTTGTATATGAGCTTCTAAGCGATCCGATTTGCCCACGTTCCGCCTGTGTTTGATGTGTTCTATTGTCACTATTCCCTCCCACGTCATAACGTAGGGAATTGCCCTGATCCTCGTGTGTTGGTTGGATTGTAGCGCCTTCAGGTGCTCGGTTAGATCATCATACTTTCAGCTGTTATGTCTCTGTATCAAGGAATCTGTCTCCGTTAGCATCGCAATATAAATTATGGTGATGGTGTTCCTCCTTCGGTCCTCCAGGATGAAGTCTGTTGCGTACTGCTCAGTAGCATGCTGTGAGGTAACACCTCTTCAGGTATAGTGACGATGCGACACCATCAAGGGCATCGGTCTCCCAACTATACAGGTCGAGAACTAGTACTCTAAGTAATAAGTAGATCAGATGTGGTAACGTATCGGTGAATGGTAGGAATTAATATACTCATCTCATTGTTTGTGTTGATTTATCTCTTCTAGTGGCAGTATCGGTTTCGGTTACAACTTCGTAAATGCGATGGTAAAACTCAGCAGCTTGTCGTAGTCTTATCACCGCTGTTTATAAGTTGTGTGAATGGCAACAACACCATTTAATAGGTTGGAATATAATTAAATTTCACCACACCTTCCTTTAGCCTTTATCACTGCCTTAACGAGGAATATGTAGTTTCAGCACTCTCATTTATGATCATAACTTTGAACATTGGCAATGGCTTTAATACGCAACAATCGACAACATTTAGTACCTCTTGCCGTAGTTAACTAAATCAACAGATATTGTTAAGCAACTATCACGTCAGTGGTCAGCCACGGTAGACTGCCGGTGGAAGTGGATGCAGGAGTGGTTTCACGCGCTCATTTAATCTTCACAGCGCACTATGGCATATGTTTTTCAACGCTACAGTGATTCATATTAATTGTGAAGTGATGCCGTCGAGGCATCACCTTAGTCACCCACTTGGCTTACAACATGATGGAACGGATGCGAACCAACAAGCGAATGACTAATAGTAGGGCATTATACGTCAGGAAAGACATTGCTTTAGTGGAAATTGGGAAACTGCCGAAATTGGATGAACAAGGTCAGACAACCTGCAACGGAAGTCCCACCTCTGCACTGTTGGGATGTGATTGCTCGCATCAGATGAAGTGGTTCTGTGCTAACATAATGAATACATAGCAAATGGGTATCCTAAATGGGATCGTTCGTAGTGATTGAGAGAGCTAGGCAGTCTACTTAAGGTGGGGGTATGGCAGACGAGGCTGCTGCTATGGTAATATTATGCAGATATGTCGAGTTGCAAAAAACTAGCACCGTGTTTCAATCTGTTCAGAGATTCAGAACCTGCAACTCGTTCGGCCAGCAATGTGTGGGGTAAGGGTTCGCAATATAGAGATGACCAGCTGGTAGTGGTATCTCTGTGGTGCCAGTCGCATGACTGTCGTATGTATCGCGCTGCGCTGGATGGAGGTTGTCTGCGCCTCCCCCGTACGCTGAAGGGAAACGGCTTGGTGGTTTCGCTGTTATATGCTAGACGTGTGTTTCATCGCTGTGCAGCGTTGGTTAGTGGTGTTGAGGGTGGTCGGCGTTAAGGCACGTCTTTCATATCTGTGCGGTTTGATGAGAAGTGGGCGAGGGGAGGATGGCAAAAGTGAAGTGTGTGTGTAGGGAAAGCAGTCAATGTAATGATGGCCCGTGTATATGTTGTCCCAAGTGTTGCGAGAAGTGTCTGGAGGAGGGTGACGGTTGCCCCCCGTGTACATCTAAATACCGTGATGCACTCATGGGGATTCTTAATGGATGTAAACCTGAGAACTGTCAGAAAGTATGTAAAATAAAACCGTGTCAATGTGAGTGTTGTCCACGTGAAAGTACATCGCTTGCCACCAGTTTCGTCGCTTACACCAGTTATAGCAGTTCCACCACCAGTGACAACACCACCGGGGTGATCGCATCCGTCATCATCACAATCATCATAGTCATAATCGTATGCGTTATGAGCGTCTTTCGCATTCGGCCGTTCCACAAGGTTCGCGATTGTTTCGTCCGCAAGTGAACGTTTTTTATCGCATTCTTTAGCCACTTCCGGCATTTAATATAATCGCACTTATCGCACTGTTCTAGACATTGCCGGCACGATGCCAACGTAGTAACGTCTAACTTAATCTTTCTATGACAGGAGCACGGAGATGCGTCCATAGATTACATCGGGACGCAGACTATTATTTTTGGTTTTAGCTTTGTATAGTGTGCCATATGGGTATGTTAGGCATTTGTCGCTTTGAAAGCTTATCCAAGGTCTACGCATCGGACGTTGCTGGCGTTGATTGCGGGTTGTCTGGGAGCATGGCAGACCGCAGCATTGGGGGTCTTAACAAGAAGCATGTACGCCCGATAACATTGCAAGATCGTCTAACGACTACGGGTAGCTGCATCGACATGTGAGTGAAAGTGAGTCAAGCCCCGAGCAGCCTGACAACAGACTGCCCTCTTACTCTGCGCATACGTCGATATAGCAGGAAAATAACGAATCGGATCCGGGCGAACAGTTCACATAATTTCTGCAGCGTCTCAAGGAAGCGCCAGCAGACATTGAGGTGGTAAACGAAACCAGTTATTTTCAATCCAGATGGCAACGGTTCCTAAAGTGCCTATGTAGGCTCATCTGCATACCACCTGGGTCCAATACTTAATGAGCAGTGAGACAGTTGTCCCCGTCCTTGGTGAGAGTCTAAAAAGCATAAACACAGCACACGCATTGAATGTTGACGAAGAGTTATGCCAGTGAAATTATGGATGCTAATTGATGAGTTGGGGATTATTAACGTCGCGTGGTATATTAAAAGTCAGATGAGTGGCGTCGTCAATGTCCTTCGTGGGGTGTACGGTGTCACAGGTGAGTGGTGGGTGGCGAGCATCAGAGTGAGCAACGTGGCGTACTATGTCCATGTTACGGTATTAGTGAAAGTGAATTAGGACATGAATTTGTGACGTAAGAAGGTAGTTATTGGTTGGTTTTGAGACGTCTTGCCCCACATATTTTTTAGAAACCAGAGCACACAGTGGGATGTAAACGGATAAGACCCAGAGGGTGGCGAATGTAAAAGCTAAGTTTAAAATTAACTTATACGGCAATTCACTAAACAGAGACCTACCAATGAAATGGTGGACGACAGTTGGATGCCATTGCATCTCAAGTGGCTAGAGGATGTGTCCTATATAAGGTTATAAGAGTGTACTCGAGCGAAGGCTTCGAGGTGTTGGCAGAATGTTGGATATGATTTTACACGGTGTTTCAAGAGTGCCAAGGGCGTAACACAGTATGAAGACACCGGCAATTATGGCGATGAGGGCGAACGCAGGTGCTAGCGGATGCGGATACTACATTGAGAAGTCGCAATCCCGTTATGTTAACCTATGCGCAACTGGTGAGCTGCCACGATGTAATTCATGAACGCATTCAAGTGGCACCTGCCGATGCACTGTTTTAAACTTTAAATACGACGTTATTACATTGGCCTAGTGCCGGTAATGTCTAAAGCTTGCGATAAGTGCGATTATGAAAAATGCCGGAAGTGATTACTTAATGCGATACAAAACGTTCACTTCCGGACGAAACAATCCCGGATCTTGTGGAACGGACGAATGCGTTTCACGATCATGACGCATACGACGATGAGGGTGATGAAGACGAAAATGACGATGATTGGAGCGGCTATATCGGTGGTGGAACTGTCCTCACCGGTGGAAGCCAGGGTAATGGTGGCAGGGATGTTGGGTTTACCATTACAACATGTACATGAACAAGATGGTATACATACTTTTGGACAGTTCTTAGGGTCACACTCTACTGACTCTGCGCGCTCACCACCGTATCTATCTAAACATTTGGTGCAACCTTCGTCACCGATACATTTGTCACAACACAAGAGACAACATATACAAGTGCCACTATTACATTCACTGCTACTCCGACATATACACTGTCTCTCCAGCGTCATCTTCCCGAACCTCCCCTATCATCAACCTGCACAAGCATGACACACGTAGCCCAAGCCCAGGATCGCCAAGCCGCACCGGATTACTGCCACGCAACTCACCGCCGGGGATACCACATTGTACATGCAGCGCATCACACAAGATCTTCACTTCAAGTTACGTTCAGAATATCTCTTGAACGATTACCAGTATATTGGTGCGCCAATGAGTGTCCGGCGCAGCTACTGTGAGGGGTTACTGTGTTAGTGATCGCCACAATGTTCTACATAAATGCCACCTAACTTAGTCGTACACTGCCTATCACGTCGGGAGTTCCGGCGACGTTCATTGCCTAGCAACTCAGATGATAACTCACATGCCAACCATTTACCTAAAAGACAACCACGTAGCTCACCTAGCGCAGCAATCATTAGCTGCAAACCACGCATCTTCACATTACACTGAACATTAGAGGGCGAGCGCTTCCCACGTGTAATCAACATACCAAAAAGCGAGCACACTGACGCATCGACTAAATCATGGGTTAGGATTTGGGCCGTACACTCGATTAGGTGAGCGTGTTATTGAGTGACCTGAAGGCGCGACGGTTCAACAAGCAAACAAGGAGTAGGGTAATGCAGTATGCAAATAGGGACGTGACACCCATAGAAGACTGACTCTGTAAATGACCCTCGCCCCCAGACAGGATGGATGCCAGAATGCATGACCTATTGCGCCCGGTAATGGGACGGCGTGGAAGACGCAGTATACACCAATACCGTGCGACGCCTAGAACTCCAGCAAACTGGAGAAGTGGATCAAGCCACACGTAGCCACATAACACAGTGCACAACTGGGAAGACCATTTTAAGCGACTACGCAACACAGTTCTAAGTAGGATGAAGCATGAAACTATATTTACGAGAGTATGCTTAAAAGGTAGATCATAAAGCCGGCTTGAAGAATGTAGTAATAGAGACGGTGCCGCTGGCTACCGCTATCTTGCGCTGCTTTGGTTTCTTCCCTGATTTTATCACAGGTTTTGTAGACGTATTAGCACCCTCAACCGCTTGCTTGTCTGCCATGGACGCATTCGACGGTATTAGGCAGTTTCTGGCTTCGGCATTCAACATAGAGGAAATCACCGACCAAGCAAACGACCGCAATTTGCTATCTTGGAAAGTGATGTAATGCTTACGCACGTTATCACGGTTCGACGTCTCATTAGATTGGCAATAGGGCCCCATCATAATGTTTGAGTTGCGGGCCGCTTTCTCCAGACATTGCACCTTGTATTCCAGCATAGCCCGGAATTTAGACATATTGGGCTTGATGAGTGGATCTTTCGCTTCACTCGGGTTGGCAGTCTCGCATAGGTATCGTATGCGCTCCTGAATGTTATCTACATTGTTGTTCCACAGAGCAAAAGTGCCTGCCTCTAATGCGCCATGACCCTGGGATTCGTTGAGGCCTGATCGGTACAACTCGTATATGCGTTGTGGCATAGACATGAACTTATCTGGCTCCAAAAACACAATGGATGTGAAGATAAAAATGACGTCAAACTTGAACGTCGCCAGGAACGACTGGTTCAAAATCGTGTTGTTCACAAACAAGCTCACAGGGTGCACATTAGGCTGTATTCCACGAATCAAATATAGCTTCCCATCGAATATAGCGTATAAGGTACCATCCATAAGGTTAGTGGCGTTGGGGAGTTGTACGACTTCTACAGAATCGGCCTTGATGATGGAATCCACAAACATTAATCTTCGAGCATCTGCATTGGTATTTGGAGGCTTCTTCTTGAGCGCCTTGCCCATTGAAATGAAGCTTGATGAGCCCATAAACATTGTTGCGATAAAGCTGAACAGCGCCCGGAGGCTATCCCGCTAGATGCGGAAAGCAAAATGTGTTGAGGTGTTTCCGCTGATGACGCCTTTACCTACGTTACATTCTTCATTCACATATACAGGGTTATTAAATACAGTCAATGAATCACATGATCCGTAAACTGGGCTAGCATGGCATGGTGTCGTAATGTTACAGCGGCGCCAGCGCCGAAAATAGATTGGGCTGCTTAGCGTATAGAACCACACACCAGAATAAGCATTACACGTGTATTTCGGATTGCAAGTAACAAACAAATGTGGAAATCGTGTGGCGTAAAGTCAGAACTAATCACCGAATGAGGAAGGCATTGCCTCCATAGTGTGTACCATGTTATTACAGCCTACACATTTGCACTAAAAAGCGTCTTCATTGTAATAAAACATTTGCTGTATTGGTTTGTGGTTATAGTTGGGGGTATTTGGGCCTCATGCGACCAATCACGTGACCTATGCCTACGGATGATAAATTCGATTAGCGAAAGACAACACCTATCCAGTATAATGCGAGATGAACCCGTAAAGCACCCGTCATGAGTTATATATTCAATGTAGTTACATACTTTAATTCAAACGCGATGGGAAACTAGGACTTCAGCCGAAGCCATCGTACGAGATGTCGCACCTATCATACACATCGGCCCTAACCAACATAAATTGCCAACGTAACATTTCTCCCATGTTCATGAGTTATATTCCATTGTAGCGTAACGTTTGTGTGTGACTGTGTCGTCATTAAGGTATTGTATTTGACATGGTAGAGCCACGTTGACAATCGGTGGCAGGATGCAACCATCGGAAACATCGGTAGCGGAAATGCCAACGAATTATAGCAACATCAGTCTCTAATTTCGTCCGATTTAAGTGTGTTTTTCACAAAAAAGGACAATTGTGTCGCAGCGTTAGTCTGCTTACACTGGTGTGTACCTCCGCGAGCGTGCACATCCCCAGAGCTGTAAGATAGAAGTAGCTGAATATAAAAGGCACAAATTATGTGAAACACTGTCGATATTGAATTTCGAAGTTCCAACACGTAGGTACTATAAATCATATCCATCGTTATTTGCCTAAGCAACGCTAATAAGGCGTCCCTGTGTATTACCCGCAAAGGGGATATTACAAAGGGTAAAACGTATATTGAAGTACTCGCTGCATCTATTGAAGTTACTTTGAGACATAAAAATAGGGACAGCCGCTTTTCGGTGGTTTGAGGGAGTCATCTGGATAATTAAAACATCACCGGTGTGATTTCATTGGACAGCTATAGGCGGAAAACTACAAACCGTCGTACATTTTCCGCAGACAATATGGATCAACAGGAGTTCAGATCTGGGTCTAAGGACATTTGGGGGCTCAATGAAGGCAAACTGGATACGAGTTCACCAATGTACGAGAGCCACACTGGCTCAAGCTCCCCTATCTCCGGGAACACACAACATAACAGCATCATGCAGAAGTGGCGCGTTGACATTCAGGCTGCTATCGAGGCGAAAAAACAGAAGGAAGCCGAGGTGATGGAAGCAGCAACGAAAAAGGCACAACACGACTTGGAGGAATGGCGCAGATTGAGAAACGAGAAAATAAAATCTACAGCGCAAAATACCAATGAAACGAGTGAAGGTGACATATATAGGTCTGTAAATGGGCCATTCGACTGGAAGAAGGCGGCAGAAATACTGAATAAGGTCGGTTACACTGTCAACGATCAGAGCAGCGGTTCATCGCAAAAAATGGCTGATCTAATATTTTTGAAAGCCAAACAATGAGTGGTAAAAGTGGATACATGAGATGGTGAAATGGGTGCCTCAAACCGTATGTGATCAGTCCACACGTCTATCGTGTTGAGCTGCGAAACCATGCAAGTGGGGAAGGGTTCGAGTTGTATGTAGACATTGTGATTAGGCGTTTTGTCTGACATCTTAAAATTGGCTACACATGGCATGTGACACTGCTGCATTAACATTTATATTGTCACTGCAATGGGGCACTGAGACTGAAGGACTGTGTTGTTAAGAGTGGATTAGGAGGTGAAAGCTGGAGCCTCGTCAATCCCATAAATATGCAATTTTGTGAAGGCATTTGTCGGCAACCAGGCATAGCAAGAGACGATGACGACAAGGGCAGGGCCCCAATGTTCCAACTTCAACGCCACCGAAGCCGGATTCCACAACTAACCTTGCCAACGCAAGCACCAACTCACTGCAATCCTTGAAACCTCTTGTCCAACTGGCGTTATGCGACTCTCGCAGCCTTACATTTGTCATGCGATCCACTCCCGTAGCAGATGGTTCACTCACCACGCAACGTACACAACACTAATTAAGCAGTGTATAGCTGTAATATGTTATATTTTACATAGCATATTAGTTTATATCTCAACTGTGGTTCTCTCGTGACGCTGAGATTAGAAATGCTCGAGCTTGGTGGCTGTGGATCACCGCAGCATTCGGCCATTCCCTCGGACAAGTCGTCACCACTGCACTGTGATTCATCACATGGTGACAAATGACTGCAAAAATGCGATAGTTGCGTTTTGAAGTTGAAATTTTCGGTGGGGTCGTCTTCGAAGTAGTCGACTCCGTGGTACAGTGACAGCATCTTCCTCCCGTGAGTAAGGCCTTCACATCGATAAGGTGAGACGCCTCAGAACGCATAAAGTGAGAGAGGATGTTGATACTACATGGGGCAGTGTTGCTCGCGTTTTCTAACCAATCCGCTGTTACGATACAACTCATGAGCGCGTACACCGGGGACCTGTAGATGTACGATTTAGAAACCTTTAATTAGACGTTATTACGTTGGCATAGTGCCGGTATGTCTTGAACTCCGTGATCAGTGCGATTATAAAAATGCGATGTAAAGCGTTTACGTGCGGATTAAAAAATCACGGACCTTGTGGAACGGCCGAATGCGTTTCATGATCATGAAGCATATTACGGTGAGGATGATGACGACGGTAACACCAATGGCAATTTGTACACGTTTAAGTATGCAGTTTCCGCATAATTTGTTTTTACACTCCCCACCACATGTTTCGCAACTTGAACAGTTGTGACAACACCAAGGACAGCGTTTACAATCAACTTCTTCACAATACTCGTCTCTGCAACAGTCACATGATTGCAGCTCCCTCACCACAACAGCCATTATCCTGCATATTACTGAAATATGTACCTTAACCTCAAACAATGACACCGCCCCTAACCAACGAAACCTGCACAAGCATGACACACGTAGCCCAAGCCCCGGATCACCAAGCCGTACCGGATAACCGCAACGCAACCCACCACCGGGGATACCACAGTGCACATGCAGCGCATCACTCACGCCTTTCACTTCAGATTACAGACGGAATACCTATTGATTAATTGCCACGTTACTGGTGCCCTAACCACAGGATAGACGAATTACCGTGCGTGTCTACTGTATTAGTGATCGCCACCATGTTTTTCACAAATGCCACTCAACTAGGCCGTGCACTGGCGATCACGTCGGAGAGTCCCGGCGACTCTCATTGCTTAGCAGATCACATGATAACTGGCATGTCTAGCACTCACCTAACAAACGACCAAGTAACTCAGCTAGCACGGCAGCCGTTAGCTGTCTACGATGATGGCCAATCGCCCAGCTTCACATTAAACTGACAAGATGGGATGAGGGAGACATGTAACACGCGTGACCCACAACTCAACATTCTAGGCAACTAACATCTCAACGCATCAACTAGATTACATCTTAGGTTGGGTGCTAGGTCAGTTAATTGGATATGCGGTGAGTAGGTGAGAGAGATATTGAGTGACATGAAGGCGCGGCAATTCAACAGTAAACGAGGATCGGGGCAGTTCCCTACGTTATGACGTGGGAGGGAATAGTGACAAAAGAACACACCAAGTACAGGCGGGGCCTGGACATATCGGATCGTTTGGAAGCCCACATACAACGGGTTGTGATCCAAGAAACACAAAAATAGTGTTGAGGGACATGTAACTCAGAGAGGATTATGACTCTGTGACTGACCCTCGCGCCCAAACAGGATAGATGCCACTATGGATGGTAATTGTACGTTTTGTAATGGGGCGGCGTGGAATACGCAATTAATATCGTCAGTTTGAATGTCACGATCTATAAAGAGGTGCGAGAATCGGCACCGGACGTACGCAGCCACATTAGACACTATACAAAGCAAAAACAAAGATAAGGATGAATTGGCCTTATGCCTAATAATAACATTGCTGCGACCCCTGTGTTGCCGGAATGAAGACGACGTTATAAGGCTCTTTGCAGCTCTTATACCATACCAAGAAAATTGGCAATGCCCTTAACTCACAACAACGGGTAGTATTGCGTACCTCAGACTGTATTCTAGTTAATCCACTAATGTTGGTGATGGACTACCGTGGCAGTGCCTGGCCATAGTAGGAGACCGATGCGGACGGATAGAGGAATAATATCTTGTGTTCATTATATGTTCACAGATCACCACATCATATGGTTTACAGATCTACACTAAATTATAGTGGTAACTTCGAAGTGCGATTTTTGAGGCCTCACCTGTCTCAGCCACATAGCCCACAGCTTGGTGGGATGGATGAGCGAAAAGGAGAGGATGAGAGACATTAAGACGTTGATTATTAGGAAGGTGATTAAAATGTGGCAAATGCATGAATTACAGATCTAGGTGAACTATGTTCAAGGCGCCTAAGCTCTGTCATAAGTCCGACACCAGTAGGGTTGGAATGTGAGACCTTGCATTAGATTTAGTAGTGTCGTGTTGACTTTACGATTATATACAATGTATCTGCACAACAAAGTACATCTGAGAAGTAAAATTATCTTGCTAGTCAACTGAGGTGAGAAGTGATGTTGATGATATGATCAAATGCATCTAATTGATAGGACGTGAGTAACGCGTGACACAGTAACGGATATAGGAAAATTCATACCAGGCCCCAGCTTCGTATTGCAGATCCAAACAATATGAGTCAACTAATGACGATAATTGTAACCTCCAAAAGACTTGCTCAGCTGAATGTGATGTCTGTTTCGCAACCTATATGTCCCCGCTGGGCTTGGTATCCCTGTGGTGCGCTGCATGTACTTGTAGTATCCATGGAGGTATGTTGCGTGGTGTTCGCTTGAGCCTTTACAGAGCGCTCACCGGAGACAGCTTGTCGGCGTCACTGGTCAAGACTAAAACATATGTTTCATGCTTGCACAGGTTGGTGAAAGGTGCTCTTGAGGAGGATGTCGAAGTGTGAATGCGGTTCGACATGTGAATTCCGTAATTGTCAGTGCTGTCCCTGCTGCTGTGAAGGATACAAGACTAATTCTTGCGCACAATGTATGCTAGCAAAGCAGTATAACGGAATTCATGGGCAAAATTCCGATTGCGCGACTGAAAGCTGTGAGGAGAAATGCAAACAGCAGTCTACATGTGAATGTGACTGTTGTAAAAGCAAACGCCCACGCCCTGCCGCCAGTTTCGCCGCTTACACCAGTGACGGCAGTTCCACCACCGTCGCCGCTCCCGTCATCGTCATTATCGCAATCATCCTCATCGCCGTATGCGTTATGAGCTTCTTTCGTATTCGGCCGTTCCACAAGGTCCGCGATTGTTTCGTCCGCAAGTGAACGTTTTGTATCGCATTCTTTAGCCACTTACGGCATTTAATATAATCGCACTTATCGCACTGTTCTAGACAGACCGGCATGATGCCAATGTAATAACGTCTTATGTAATGTTTCAAAGTTGGGCATCAGCAGGTGGCCGATGAACGCGTTCAAGAGTTACATCGTAGCAGCGCATTAGTTAAAACAACGGGATTAACGCAGCTCGATGTAACATCCACATCGGCTCTCACCTAAAATCACTCTCAACCCACCCGATCGCCGCGTAGTCCCTACTGGCAGCGGCGCGCGCCGGCAACCTCAGCAATCTCACATACCTGCAACGCTGACACGCCACCTCAGCCACTCACATAGATCACCGCCTAGCAACACAACGCATAACCAAATGTATGACCCGGGGCATAACTTAACTATAATTTAGTCGATATGTCGGCATGTTTGCTCTTTTCGATGTTCCTTCGTGTTACTCGCGGCACATGTCTCCCTCATCCCATCTTGTCAGTTTAATGTGAAGCTGGGCGATTGGCCATCATCGTAGACAGCTAACGGCTGCCGTGCTAGCTGAGTTACTTGGTCGTTTGTTAGGTGAGTGCTAGACATGCCAGTTATCATGTGATCTGCTAAGCAATGAGAGTCGCCGGGACTCTCCGACGTAGTGGCCAATGGACGGCTTAGTTATGTGGCATTTGTGAAAAACATGGTGGCGATCACTAATACAGTAGACACGCACGGTAATTCGTCTATCCTGTGGTTAGGGCACCAGTAACGTGGCAATTAATCAATAGGTATTCCGTCTGTAATCTGAAGTGAAAGGCGTGAGTGATGCGCTGCATGTACATTGTGGTATCCGTGGAAGTAGTCGTGCAGGGGTTGTCTGAGACGTTTTGGTAGCTCTACTGTTCGGGGCTTAAAGTGCGTGATTCATCGTTTTGCAGGTTTATGACAGGGGAACTAGGGGAAGATGGTGCTGTCGCAATGCTCCTGCAGTGATGGTTGTAACGAAGGACAATGTCGGTGCTGTTGCTGGTGTTGTGATGGGTGTAAGGGCACAAAGTGCAAGGGATGCCAAGTGCGCAAAGACAATGGAAAATGCGATCATAAGGGTGTCAAAGATTGTAAATGGTACTGTACATGCCCATGTTGTATGGATGAAAAACGGCCCGGTACCATTGCCATCACCTCTATCTTCCTCATCCTCCTAGCATTACTTATCATCGGCCTCATCATCTATTTCTGCAATTGGCAACAAATGCCGAACATCGAAACACTGCGTAATTACTTCAATTAGGATCTCAGATCAATTGACGTTGAGTACTAATTTAGTAAATACTCCGCACAGCATGACCACGCAAAACCATAATATTGCTGTAATTACGTAGTGTAGATGTAGCAGCGTCCTTCATCACAGTGTCGTCTTTTCACCTCGGTATCCCTGAGATACTGCACTGGTTGTTCTCCGTAGTTGTCAGTGCACCTTCACAATCCATGACTCCAGTAACCTCACCTAACCTCAGTCAGTCCAGATAATGCTCTTGTGCACGTTCCACTTAAGATGCCAATATAATGCCATCTTTCAAAGAACGTTTCCTTCTCTTGTTACAACCCTTACCCATGCACTACTTACCTCAGTGTCCTTGTATCATATCAATGCATCACGCCGTCTTGTGTGCCCTCTCGGCAATTTTACTATGGCGTTCCACGTCGTTGCATATAACTGGAGTAATTTTCTCGTTTATTAACGGCTCACACCCGGTACCATGCCTTTGCATACAATAGTGGATCCGAGCGTTGCTTAGCATATGCAACCCTAGCATACCTACGTGATGCCGATGTAGCAGTGTCTTAATCTAATCTGTAAGACGGCATCATGCATTCTCCAATGTATCGACACATCACTATTAGAGGAACCTGTTAGATGACAGGATCGTATAACGTGTATACGATCCACTACACTGAAACTAGTGGAACCAAACCCAGCAGTAGGAGGGTTACAACATATGCCCCACGGCAAGTAGTTAAAAATGAATCATACTCTACATTATTACGCTGCATTCGTAAATTTACTACAGATCTATATGGGTAAAATTAAAACTACTTCTACTGTGTGCTACTAAATGTGCGTAAACAAGCATAACGATTCGACGACTCTGGCAATTTGCTGAAACGCCGCCGTCTACTTGACGTTTTATACACATGGTGACCATATGATGGCCTTGCCAGCTAATGATCCGCCGCCTCGTTTGAGTGTATCTGCTTCATCCTTCGATGTTATATTTAGAATACCCAAGGATGGCGGTTCCTGATGCCGTTTTCGCCGTATATGCCATCAGGGCGATAATCTTCCTTCAATTGCTGCCTTGTCCTCATCTTCTCCAGTGTGGCCTTCCTGCTGTAGAAGGATGCCCTGGTGTCCTTGTAGGCGCAAGGTGAACCCGCGATGTAGGGCTTTTCTATAGTGCGTTGTCGGTCGAAATCCACGCTTCCGCTGCAGTCGATGCTCAGATCATCCTCAAAGGTAGTGTCGCTGATTCGGCACCTAATGCCGCCGTGCTTCACGTCTCCTGAGCCAAGCACATTACTCATATTGCTAAGCTTCTTGATGACCAACTTATTTCCGTCCAAAGATTCATACCGGTAGGATCTGATAGATTCCTTCCTATCGATGTCAAATGAATCCAACTGCAATGCAACCTGCTGCTTCAACATACCGACTTCCTGCTTCAAAACTTGGTTCTCCATCATAAGTTCACATTGCTTCGCATGCAAAAGCCTCTTATCTTCATTGACCTTAATAACCTCATCCCTGATTTGCCTCTTTGCATCCATTTCCATCGCGGAGAGTTTCTCACGCTCCGAGGCTAGCGCGGTAATGAGTCTTCTGTTTTCTTCATGTAGCTGATCATGGCGACGCACATATTTGTTATATGCGCTTGTTTTAGTTTCCAATAATTTCGCTTGCTCGTCCTTCTCCGTTTTGAGTTTGCTGTAGGCTGCCTTCAACTTTTCGTAGTTTTTAATTTTTTGCTGCGTTAGGGAGTCCAGAGTTCTCGGCTTTCTAAGCTCCGACAGAATGTCCTTGTCTGTGGTGTCACTGGGCATTTGCAAGGCTTTTGCCATTAGTCTGAGTTGACAGCGTTTCCGCGCTAGCTCCGCCTTGGATTTGAGAACCGTGTTCATCAAACCAACCGCTGTCTCTTTATCTGATTCTATTTTCCGTTCAGCCAGACTTGACCTGATGGACGATCTTATCAGGTGTGAGGCATATTCGCCCCTCAGCTGATCATACTTGTGTGCCATCAAATTGAGCTTTGTGCTGAGCTCTTTTACTTGACCAGAGAGTCTGTTGCTCTTTAAATCATGTTCCCTCAGAAGACAGTCATGCTTGATCTTCTCTTTGAGATACCTGTCCACTGCTTCTGATTTGTCATGTCTCAACTTTTCCTTCATGGTTTCGCCATCTTGGATTTCCATCTCCAAAGCGCACTTTGTGGCTTCAAGGTTCTTAATAGTCTCCTTCTGTTCTAGCGATATCTTACGTTCGGCATATAGTTCCTCTTGCAGATTTCTGGCCTTTTCCGTGACTTCAGAGAGCTGCTTCCTGAAATCGTTCAGTGTCAATTCGGCCTTTGCCCGCTCATCGTTGAGACGCTCCACATCCAGTTTGAGCGTTTTAATTTCACCATCCTTTTCTTTCAGCACTGCTTTTGAAGCCTTCAGCTCGTATTCGGTGTCATTGAGATGGGACACATCAACCTCAAACCTTTTCAATGTGTCCTTCAGCTGTTCCTCGACAAATTTCGCATGTTTTAATTCACTACCAAGCTTCTTGTTTTCTCGTCGATATTTGTTGAGGTCGCTGGCCATGCTCTCTTTCTCCATTTTCAACTTGCCGATGAAATCTCGCATTACTGCCATCTGGCCTTCCTTTTCAACCTGGATTTGCTTGACTGCGTTTTCCATGCTGGTGACCTCTGATATGCGTGCCTTTAGGGAATCTAGTTCATCAGCCATTTTGTTTCTTTCCGCGGTCATGAGTTGAACCTGCTTCAACAGCCCTTGTTTCTCCTCCGTTACGGAATCAATCTCTTTGCTCAGCATTTGTATTTCCCTAGCAGATTCCAAACTTAGCCCGGCATCTGCCGAAGATCTTGCAGTATTTATTTCACTGATGACCCTTTCCCTATCCTTCAAAGCTTCCTGGAGTTTGGCCGTCTCAATTTCATGTTGGAGTCTGACCGTGTCTACTTGCCTCCTAAGGTCCAGCTCGAGCTCGTCGATCTGATTCTGTAGATTAGCAATCTCTTGCAAGCGGTTGGCATTTGTTTCATGCAATTCTTTATTTTCATTTTCAAGTTTTTTGACCTTTTCTTCGTCGGCACCAATGCTGACCTTTCTGCTGGCGGATCTTGGTATTTGTATAACACGTTCCGGCATTTTAACAACTTCATAATCATCAAAGTTCCACGTGTCGAAGAGCTGTAATGCCATATCAACGGCATTGGCAATGCCCGACGCGTTTGTTCTATCGGATGACGGCGGCCTGACGTCGTCAAAGTCGAAACCCTGATTTTCCAACCCTCCATTCACTTTAAGAGATACCTTCTCAATGGGTATCTCCTTTAGGTCATTATTTGACTCCGTTGGCAAATTTAGATTTTTGAGCTCAGCCTCATGGATATACTGATCTTGGGAGACCGACCTGAGACCCTCATCAGATTGGTGCAATAACTCTTCAAGCTGCTTCGAATCTACAGTGGCTTTCAAAACCGGGCTAGAAGCAACCAGAACGTTTTCGTTATATGGTGCTGACATCCATGGTGTCGGCGGGTTTATTAGACCACGCTTGCTGTAGAGGTCCACAACGGCCTTACCAACGCGCGCGCACGGTGTTGTACCTCTGGTCAGATTCCTAGGTGTTGACTTTCCCGATTTACCTATGATACCTGACACCCCTATATGTGCTGGCGTCTGTGCCACACTGGTTGCCCTGTTGCCAGGCAGTTCGTAAAAACTGATCGAAACGCGGTTCAAGAGCGCCCCTTTTCGCGCAACCGCCTGACTCACAACTTCCAATAGGTTAGTTTCAGGTGTAACACTGGTTAATCCCTGTGACACTGCCATTCGGATGGTGTACGATTCCTTGTCTGCATTGAGTGACGCACGTCCTTTTTCGTCACCGGTAAGATCCGTTCGGCTCACAACAACCTCCAAAGGCATGTGCACGCTTCCAAGAGCCTGCTCCAGTGCTTCCAAAACTCTTGTGTTCTGGAAAATGTCATACACTGTCTGCAATCTGTCTAATGATCTCGAGAGTGCCTGCTGCGCATGGACAGCCTGCTCCTGCATTTCAAAAAAGAATATGGAGAATATCTGTGTCGTGCATGTTATTTCATCAATGAAGAAATCGTCAAGCTCGAGAGTCCCCTGCTGCATTTCCACCAGGTCATTTTGGGGCTCGAAGGCAACGATGAATGGTGCCTGCTGATCCGCATCTGGGGGCCTGGTGGCGCCCTTCCAAACGGAGGGTCCATGGAGTATAACCCTGTAACGGTGATTATGATCCATCCTACCGTCTGCGTTGCGACTATCCATCATGCGATAGGCCAGCGATGGATTCGTCTAATATTACACAAGCAGCAGCGCTTTGGCATACGCCTGCACGTTAGCGATAAATATTTTTGTCTATTATCTCGCCGATGTCTGGCACATCCGTTCGAGTTGTTATGCTCTCTATTGCGTCAGCGGCAAGTACAGTTGACGCGGAGGCTCTAGGTGTGTGCACATATGTGCGACACTGTGTATCGCGGCAGCTATAATTCAGCGACAATAACGCACGAGAGAACATCCGTACCATATATTCTATCAATGTGTAACGCATATGTTGCAAATTTACGTCCCGCTGCTCCATTTTCTGTCACGGCGGCGTCGGATTCCTCGGCAGCCTATACTAGGTGCAGCAGCCGCTGCTCATGTTTACGGCTGTCTCATAAGACATAATTACTTATCAAGATTTACACAACAGCAATGTTACAGCTGCTGATGGTTACTGGCCGAAGTTTGCGCCAGCAACTGATTTCTCGTCAGTCACCGGGACACATGTCCAGTGATATTATTGAACGTTTACCAGATTTCCATCTATCTTCTTTATATATTAGATGTGTAGACATATAACTATTGGGTGGGTTACAGCCTTTATGGAGCGCCTGTCATCGTTGGGATAATCGACACGATTGCTACCTACTATACCACTTAAATCTTTTCTATCGCACATATTAAAGTAACAATGGCGCCTTCAAAGCGTAAGGGGAATGCCCGTTCTCGGAAGGCATCTCCTGCCGCCGCATCGACATCGTCGACAAGGTCCAGCTCGCGTTCGACGGTGAAGTCCGCTCCCACTGCCCAGAGCACGCCGGACTCACCTCCTCCCACACCAAGAGATGTGGAAGATGATGGGTACTTCGATTCGGATGAGGAAGAGGGTTCTTTGAATCGCATAGGTAGAGTCCCCCTCAGCTGGTACGACAACGAGGGTCACATCGGTAGGTAGAGTAATCCATTTACGGCTGAATATTTCACCAGGTTACACGGTAGAAGGTCAGAAGCTTGCTAAGGAGCTGGATTCTACAGAGATAGGGAAGCTACTATTTCAGTCGGACAACCCCGACGCCTGGCGTACGATTATTGACGTCCGCAATAACCGTACGGTGCGCCTCACCGACGAGGATCTGAAGGTACCAACGCGATATCATTCTGCACATGTCATTTCAGCTAATAAGCCGTATCCGGAAGGGTATGTACCCCAGGGATAACTACAACCAGGAGGACCTTTACATTGATTTCGGCAATGAAGATGCGTATGTTGCATTTTGCCTGAGAGCCTCATTTTCGGCAGCATACACCCCGTGTCTAATAAGCCTCCGAAGAAGGCCAACTTCATGCCCTCCAAATTTGAGGCCGCCAAGATCAGGAGGTAACGTGAACCTGTCAACCGCTTACATGTCTACAGACTGGTGAAGCTGATTAAGAGCGGCAAGTTGGTTGTCAAAACCGAGCCTGATGAGCCTCCGGAGGAGCCCATTGAGGATATTTGGTTGGACTGCATCTATCAGGTGGATCCGAAGACAGCGAGGCGTGGTCATCATCATGAAATCAGAGCACCCAAGGCGCCTCTCCCAACCCACAGTGAATCGTACAACCCACCTGAAGAGTACCTATTAGACGAGCAGGTGAGTTACAGTAGAGATGATATCTGTCATACACTTGCCAAACAGGAAACCAAAGAGTGGCTTGAGACGGAACCGGAGGATCGCAAAATGGATTATCTGCCTCAAAAATTCGACTGCTTGCGCAAGGTTGGATCCTACGAGAACCTCATTGTAGAGCGATACCGTCGCTGTATGCAACTGTACTTGTGTCCGAGGGCAGTTAAGCTGAAGATGAATGTTAACCCGGAGACCCTTTACCCCAAGCTGCCTGATATTGACACTTTGGGACCCTTCCCCACTACTATATCAGTCGAATTCCGCGTTTCTGACACGCGCAAAGTCTCCGTGGACTGCACGGGAAGATGGATCGCGCTTGCATCGGTGGACGCTATTCACATATGCAGCGTTCTGAATGGCCGAGTATTCGACCGTGTCGAGGGGTTAGAAAAGATTTACGACATCTGCTGGCACCCACGGTACCCAATCCTCATCGTGTCTCATGGCAGCACGATGTCTTTCATTGCGGTTGAGCTGCCGAATCTGAAGCCGATATCCGACGATCAGCCCAGCTCGCGCAAGAAGGCTACCGATGTGAGTGGCTAGGTGTCTCATGAGATTCATGCTTTTTGCAGACCGAAGATAAGAGCGCATATGAAAAGGCTCTGGAGATGATAGGCTTGACAAACGCATCGGCTGGCTGGAGATCCGTGCGTTTCGGCAAGAATGAAGCACTGTCAGTGGACCACGTCGACGAGCTCCACCGCGTATCGGTTCACCCGCAGGGTAACTACGTGGTCGGAGTCTCTCCTCATAGTCGCGAATCCGGCAACCAATGCGTGATCTATTGTCTCACCAAAAAGACGTTCATTCGGGTCGGCAACAAGATGAACAACAATGCAATTCGCTTGGCCATGTTCCACCCGTTGGAACCCAAACTAATCTTGGGTCTAAGGAAGGGCGTTCGTTTCTACAACCTGAAAATTAAGAACGAGAAGCTGGACAGCGAAGGCGAGAAACTCACTGGCGTGGACTTGCCGGTTTCGATGCACCTGAACAGAGGCGCACAGATTTTAGCAGTGGCAGACGAAAATGGTAGTGTGGTTCTGTTCGACTTGAACGTAGGCATGTACCCATACAAAAAGTTCCAGTAAGTGCGGTTCACTGTCGTGCGATATTCGTGCAGGTTCAAGGGAGAGCAGATTGTAAAGGTGGAATTCCACCCTTCCCTGCCGCTGCTGCTGGTGGCGTCATCTGCTGGGTGCGTTACATATGCATTTATATTTAATTATTGCTACAGAGTTGTTCATTTGATTCACGTCAGCGTGCCAGACGACCTTTCAAAGGACCCTGTGATTGTGCCGCTCAAGGACCTGAAGACATTCGCCATTGCTGATGCCAAGTGGCACATTAATGAACCGTGGATTTTCACATCGGGTTCACGTGAAGGCCTAATGTGGGTGTGATTCGCCGGATACGAGCGTCGTTTTGGAGAGAATTGGTAAGAACGATTTGGTCAACAGGTGCGTATGACCTTGTCTAGCCGAGTTTTATAATGGAACGCGTTGCATTAATGATTCAGTTCGCATTGCATATCCATTGACCGAAATATACGGTCGATAACTTTGTGGGGCATAGTGTTGCGGGTACAGGTAATTAGAGCCTCTGTCTCCTGTCGGCCTGTCAGGGTCACCCCTGTTTGCGGGCCGGCGTCCCGCCTGATGCGGGGTCTGAACATTTCAGCCACGATTCCTAAGGCACTAAGAATCAATTGTGAATCCCAGTTGGGTTCATATGTATATTGTGAGGATATTTACCGAGGGGCTCGGCGAATACCGTATCAGTACGCGGAGTATTAGACACATTTTGTGCGCATCATCATAGATCCGGTTTCGAGGCTTGACTCTGGGAAACAACCTAGATCACAATATAAATATGAATATCGGTCAAGATATGCTAGATGAATTCCTGAGGCCTTCTAACGATCAGCAGCTCACCTTGCGAGGCAACCTGGAGTCGGAATATTTCGCCTCGGTTGAAGATGCCATAAAGGCTTACAAGGCCCTCCAGGAAAAGTACCAGTCGCTAGTGCAGGAATTTTATCGCAAGGATGCAGAATATCGCGACTCAACCATGCAACTGCTGGCGCAGGCTGAGGCTCTGAGCCAGGAGAACCACCGCATAAGCACGGAAAACAAGTACGTTGTGTTACTACTCTATACACAGTTGTCAGGAACTTGCGGCAGCGAAATATGGAGTTCAGCATGCGTCTCCAAACAGTAGGTACAAAGCGGTTTCAAAATGGGCAATGCCTACCGGTTGGTTTGGCGAGATTTAGGTCCATACTCGGGTTGTAGAGTATAATGAGGCCCAAGTCTGCGTTTCTCTAGCAGAATAACCGCTGAATACGTGTTTCAACACCTGATGGTATCAGGCGAACAGCGCTTTAATAGACATTTGTAGTTAACCTTTCTACCAAACTAAATTTGGACTGCCCTGGAGTAGCGGTGACTTTAGCGCAGTAAATCAAGTATTTATGGTCCGAATTGAGAATGTTCATGGATTTAAATCTGTGGATTCTATTATATTTATACCTTAACGGCAAGTTTTAGGGCCACTCCTCCCCGTACACAGGGCGAAGGTACGGCAAAAATCTCGAATTCTGAGTCATTATCATCACACCAGTTATATACACACATCTGAGGCGTATAAACACGCATATGTCAGGTAATCGCCGTACAACGCCGTTCGGTGTGTAGTGCCCTGTCCTTCCATAGGTTCCTTTATATGCTTTGCGGTACGGAGTAGAATGGAGGCTACGGAAGTGCAGCGTGATCGAAAGATCCCTGTTACATTGGTAACAGGCTTCCTTGGCAGCGGTAAGGTGAGTTCCTACCCCTCTAATGTGACAATGTGTAGACCACCTTCATCCAGCGGCTGCTGAAAGAGCGCCATGGGATGCGCATCGCAGTGCTTCAGAACGAGTTTTCGCCTGAAATGGGCATAGAGAAGCCAGTATTGAGCGCTGGAGGCGCCTCCGTGTTCGAGCTACCCAACGGTTGTCTTTGTTGCAGCATGAAGGACGGCATCGTCGAAGCCGTGGAGTCCATTTTGCAGTATCGCAGCGACTTAGACTGGTTGGTCGTCGAAGCCGCCGGCAACGTTGATCCTTTGGAGCTGGCTTCAAACTTTTGGCTGGATCCCGAGAGCCCCCTACTGTTGGATGGCGTTCTATCGGTAACGTGCCCAGCAGTTATGCAGGCCGTGCTCAGTGGCGCGAATTCTGAAGCCAATTCGACAACAAACAATCGCAAAAACGAGGGAGACAATATTGGAGGCCCCAAGCTGCTTGAGGAGTGCACGGCACTTCCTAAAAGGGACGCCAACGGTGTCCGTGTCCCCACTCCGCCCTCGGGTGACCAGCGCTTCAAACTCTTGGGAAATGAGACTCTGGACGGCAAAAATATGCTGGAATTGATGCGCAAACAGCTCAGCGTCGCAGATGTGATCATTGTAAACAAGATTGACGAGTTGGAGCGTCATTCTGGTAATGGCGATCAGAGCGGTGCCGAAGCCTCGTCGGCCCAGATGGAAAATGACGGTCCCGGATCGAACACTCCGTTTTTCGCCGCTTTTAATTCCATGCTTCAGGAAATGAACCCGACAGCAAAAGTACTCCAAACTACCTTCTGTAACGTCGATTTCAAGTCTGTGATGAACCTGCAAATGTTCGCCGCCTCGCGCATAATGACCTTCCTCTCCGAAGGCCACCACGAGCATCATCATGACCACAAGCAGAACCATTCATCTCCTAACGTTTTTGTAAAAAGCCAAGGTGTATATTCATTGGACTATATCAACTCCTTCGTCTCACATTTACTATGGGAATCTGGCGCCACAGTGTACAGGTGGGTATCTCAAATAGCCGCCACATGAATTTTAATTAGGTGCAAAGGCATTTTCAAAGCTCGGAAGGATTGTGCAATGGTCACTGATGCGGATGGAGCTACGTCAGTCTTCCAATTGCAGGGTGTTGGCATGTTGTTTGAGATTAGCGAGACGGAGGTCGCGGAATTGGACGACAACCGGTTCTTGTTCATAGGTCCCCAACTCGATGTGGACGGCATAAGGAACTCACTCCATCTTCCCTCAGAGACACCTCCAGGAGAAGCCTGACAACCCATCCATGCGTCCAATGTGGCAGCGCCCGCGCGCAACGACTTGGCCGAAATTTAGGCATATCTTCACGCAGTTTCAGCATGGTTTCAACAATGTGATGTGAAGTATGACTCTAATGAAGTTAAGATGGCACTCACCCATCAACTGGCCACTACAATGTGTGAATGATGGAGGTTCATTTCACACCAGCCTCACTGACAAAATGTCATGAACGCTGTATTAGACAAACATTCGTTATGCTTTAACAACAATACGCTTCTAAGTTATGTTCGTGACGTGATGTTCACGAAACAACCATCTTCAAGCCGTAGTTAACGTTGCTCGGGCTCAAGGACTCCTTGGCATTGAAGCTCACGCCAAGAGCGCCTGCGACGGTGTTGTTGAACCTCTGGAAGACGGTGACGGCGAAGTTGCCGTCAGTGTCGCACTTGCCCTTGACGTAAGCAGGGTTGGGGTGGTTGGGCTCCGTGATGTGCCACAGTCCGGCGAACCTGAGCTTGGTGTTGGTGTCCTTGAAGCTGTGCTCAAGAGCCACGGAGAACGCATTTTGCGCAGATCCGTGAGCCTTTCCAGCGTACACGTTTCCGAGCAGTGATGTAAGACCGTAGCCCCTCGCTCCGAAAAGCCTGGCAGAGACAGCGTAGGTCTTGTCCTCGCGCTCCTTCTTGTAACCAAGTGCGGAAGTGTAATTGGATAAGAACGCGCAGTTCCTCCCGGTGATCTCGGTACCAACCAACAGTTGACCGGAGCACAAATTGAGTCTGGTTAAGGAAAAGGCAGAGTAATCGCGGGCGAACGGGTTCACCTTGACCTGGCATGAGTGTACCGGGAGCACATGGTCAGCGGCTAATTCGCCCGTGTAAATTCCCTTGGGCACGTCAGCCTCGCCCTTGGCGTGGAATGTCACCGGGGTGTACTTGGAGTGCTGCAGACACATGAGTTAAATTCGAAACATGGCTACAATGAAATTCCAGGATTGCCAATAGACCACAGCGATACACTTAGAGTTTTGCATACACATGTGACACACTGGCACCAACAAAGTTAAACAGCAGCGTTGCGCCATTGCAACACTGCCAGCACGGCAACGTACCGCTGCTGAGAGCTCCAGGTAGTGCTTGCCGTCCACTTGCACCTTCAATTCGACATTTGCAGGGCCGATGTTGCACTTGGCGAGCGTCGAACCGTGTATGCTGCTATCCTTGCTGAGCTTGATGTTATTGACGAAGCTGCTCCCTTTCTGTGCGTCAGACTGTTCGAGTTCCCAGGCGTTCTCGTGAGCGAAGTCCTTCTTGAAAAGGTCCACAGAGGAACCGCAAACAAGTTTTTCGAATTTCAGAGGTGCCATTTTGTCGATTAGTTAAAAGTGTGTGGATTGTGAAATGAGTCATTGCCCCGCAGCTGTGGTGCTGCGGTCGCTCCTGGACAGCAAAATGCCCAACGAATTACGAATAACACTATTCTAGGAATGGACGTATGGCTCGTAACTTTGGGTTTACGAAATGGTTCGCCGGTATACACCAGGGGTGTGTCGCCGCCGCTAAATAGGGGTCGCGATCGCCGAGAGGCGTTGCGGTATGGGCCACACAACCCAAGTCTATTGGTCATCTCGCGCGTATATTTTTGCGCGATGGACTATTGTGGATACGATGCAATCAGCCACAGAGGTCAGAAGACCGACGGCGACGCACACATTCCACGCCAAGATAGGCCACAACGAGCAAATCGACGGTATATTATATACACCGCATTGGAATCTTCAGTTTTATGTTGACGATCCGTTGTGTGCCACGGTGAGGGTGAATCACGGGGTACCTTACTTCGCCTAGTGTAGGCACGTAGCGACATCCCCTCGCCGTTGGCCCACCAAAAACGTAATGGCAAGCATTCGTACACCATATAAGCACATGACGATGGTCAAGGCCCATAGGAGATACGTAGCATAGGTTCCCTTGGCGGTAGTGGGACAGGGCCCACAATTCTCGTCTAAGCGTGCGTCGTGAAATAGATATTGACAATCTCTAGAGCACGAAATTGTATACTGTGATATGCCAGTTCGGCGTAAACTATAAGTTGCGGATGTCTCCAACTCCGGGGTGTTGCTTGGTCGCGCCTGCCAGTGGGGTCTGCGTTTAGGCGTGAGCACATTTCGTTAAACAAGGCACAGAGGTTATTCCCATACCGCACAAGACCACCTTTTATCGTAATATACAACCGGTACGTTTTTCGTTTCTTAGCGCCGCGCTATTTGCTCGTTGGGCGGCTCCATAGTCGCGCCCCTCGTGCTGCCAGCGTATTGCGCGTTCTCCGTTCGTCACATACTCACTTTTTGCGCAGGATCGTATCACAATGACGAAATCCAGAAAGTTGTGGAAGAGGCAGCCCTGCCGGTTGTACACCAGGGCCATCTTCATGGGCTACAAGAGGTGAGTCTACCTTCAGCTTGCCTTCCATTGTATTTCGGGTTGCGCCGTCAATCGTGTCCCCGTTTTATTCTACGTATTTTATGAACTTCTGTGTGTTTGAGGCTGTGCCTTTGGCTGTGGTAGGCCCCGGGTGTTTTGGTGTTCTTAAGCCTGGGTTGCCCCTGTGTCCTCACCCCGGTTGGTAGCCGTGCTGATCGGAGGATGCCACACCCTCGTGGTGTTTGTGAGAACTTGGACTAGCTTGTTTGTGCCGATTCCATGTGGCATACGCGTTCGGAACCTATTTGGTTATGCCGAATGGCCGTTTAATTGAGCTGCTTATGATGTTCTTACATTGGTGTTACTCGTTGTGGCTGACGCAGCTCATCATTGATGTTGGCCGTATTAGTTACAAGTATATGCGCTGTTATACTTGTTTGTTACGGTTGTATACTCTGTGCAGGTCCAGGGTCAACCAGGACCAGAAGTGCAGCTTGCTGAAGCTGGAGGGCGTCAAGACCCGTGCTGAGACTGCCTTTTACCTCGGCAAGAAGGTCGCCTACGTCTACAAGAGCAAGAACTTGAAGAACGGCACCAGGTTCAGGGTAAGCGTTAATCCTGCGCGTTTCAACTGTCACTTAGGCCATTTGGGGAAAGATCAGGCGTCCGCACGGCAACAGTGGCACCGTGAGGGCCTCGTTCAGGAAGAACCTGCCTCCCTGCGCCATGGGCAGCAAGGTCCGCGTCTTCCTCTACCCTTCTAACATCTAATGGACCTCTGTGGTTAACGTTGCTGACCTACATGCCGTCTATATTTTATAGTTGTTGGTATTGCCGCCCTAAATTGCGCATTGTGAATTACGGTGTTCGCCACCATCACATAAATATATTTCCGTGCTGTATCGACTAAAGAATAGGTGTAATCGCCCGACAGTATCAGCCACATTCGGTGTGTTGCCGTGCGTGCTGCTGTCGCGAAAGCCTCGCGGCACACACTTCGTGTGGCTAGTCGGGCTCCACGGCGAGGACAAATGCGCGCTTTGGTGGGTCGGCGTATCACTCCACAATCATTGGTTTGTGTAGAAGCCAACTGTATCATTTCGTCGCTTTGGAAAGAATCCAAGCTACGTTAGTGATTGTCTGGCTGCTGGGTCTGGCAGCCTCGGGAGCGCAGTTGCGGCATCATTGAAACAAATAGCAGCAATTGCCATCGTTCCTTATCGTTCTATAGGCTGGGGTCTGATACTGCGTGTTCTAAAGGCCTACTACTGCGTCGTGTCTGGACAAGGTTTCTTGGGTCGCTCACGGTCGTCTGATTTTTTTGGAGCCCAAACGTACATTAAAATTGTACTGCTCTAGGCGTTGTTTTATGGTTCGGGGCCGGCGGCGTCACTCCAGGTCTGAGTGTCGCCGTACAATTCGAGGGGCGTGTATCCTTCCTGTACACGGTTAGATCTACGTCTTTAAGGCTGCATGGATGATAGACAGAACAATTTGAGTCACAATTGGATAAAAATATCTGGTGTGTGAGGTCTGGCCGGTTGGAAAGCGCTCCTCTACGGCCGGTGCCGTTGTTGGTGTGTGTGAATGTACACCGCGTTGTCGTTGATTTCAGGAGAGCTTGCGCTTGTATCGGCCATTTTTGCATCGAAGACGGTCTAAAGGTGCTACCACATAGGTTTGGTTGATTTGTATGGGTGCTCTGTTTTCCGCCTCTCTGCCATACCCGCGTTCGGATTAGCGGTTGAACTGCTTCCGGGTATGGCGCGCCAGGTCTATCGCAATCGGGGTGAGGGCACCTATGGGTTGAGGCAGTACGAAACTGCCCCATTGTTGACCCAAAATGCGAGCGTTGACGTTCACGAGTTTAAGGAGGCGCGCCTCATGGACCTGCATGGCCGTATGCTGGAGGTCTACCAACGCGTGAACGACTGCTTCTCATCAGCCTTCGCCCTGAACCACTGCGAGTCGCTAACCTTCGATGTGGTGGAGTACAGGTCTCGCAGTTATTATCTCTTGTCGCATTTACCGTGTTTTGAGGAGATGCAGGGGATGAACCAGGTGGCAGGTCTGTGGAGTGACCTTTTCCAAACGGAGCTATCGATGTTATCCAACCCGCTGCTTCTCGACAAGAATATCGCAATCGCAAAACGGATGAAGCACCACTACTTGACCCGCGATCATCCGCCACCATCGGCATCGCAGCGCCTTCAGGCTTCGCCCGCCTTGACGGAGGTGCAGGCATCGGCACTGGACTACACGCCAGTAACCGATGATTCGTCCGTAGAACCTGCTGTGATGTCGGTGCTGAACAACCTGGTGACTTTCAACGAGCGGTTGAGCAAGGACTGCTCGGAGGACCGCACGTACTACGATAAGCTTCGTGAGGGACTAATCTTCATCAGGGAATCGGAGCTGTTGAGACGGTCGCCGATCGGCGCCCGTGACCGCGGCAAGGCGCTGCCGTTCCTCAAGCGGCTTTGCCAGTCGTTCGACACCGACAAGTGCACGCTAAACCTGTCGATGTTGTTCCTCGACTTCTACCTGGAGACGGTGGTAGCGCGTGAGGACTTTCATGACACAGAGGACGACAGCAGGGTGCTGCGAATTGCCGCAGCAGCCTACCTGCTGGCTTGCGCGCTGCGCGAACACTGGACGGACATTTCTAGCGACTCCTATCTGGAGCGAGCCTCCCAGATGGTGAATGGCGTCTTCACCCCGCAGGACATCATGGCGACGCAGTTGGATATTTTGCAGACCATGCCTCGCGGTTTCACGTCGATGTACACGACAATGGAATATGGCATTTTTTTCCTGGCTAACATCAAGGGGAACTACAAGCCGCCACGCACCCACACCAGCACACCCAGCAATCCGTCCAAAAGCTCCGGACAGTCTAACCCCACGATGCGACGTGGAAGCAGTAGCGAGGACACTTCTGCTTACATAAGAGACTACCGTCTGCGTCGTGCTCTGAACTCACCGAACGACTCCGACGCCACCATGCCGTCTGGGAGTTCCACGGAAAGCACCAACGGGTTTCCCAGGCCATCAACAAGCAGATTTGGGAGCTCATACGACACCAATCGCACAACTAACGCTCCATTTCGCCAACCTACGGATCGGCTGAGCACGCTGCCGGTCAACGAGACGGAGCCCAGTGCGTCCTCTGCGCCACAGGGCATGGCCAGATCTCTGGCCTTGCGCGACTACCTACTGCTGGAAATGGCATTCCGCTACATGGTCGAGAACGGCGGGTTCGCGTTCCTGTACCACTGCCTGATTAAGTGGGACGACATGTACATCGCGCGCAACTGGAACCTCTTCATTCCGCCAAGCCGCATGGCTGCGGTGCTGATTTTCCACTTTTTTGCCGAGTTTTGCGGGGTGGACTGGCAGAAGGACGTCGTGTGGTGCCGAAGGTTCTGCTTCCGCGTATTACGGATGCTGTACGACTGCGACGTGGCCCTATGGTACCAGATGTTCCAAGAGAGCATCCGCAAGTGGACGAACAGCGTCGCTCAGTCTTCCACACGCCTAGGCGAGATGGCCCTGCTGCTCGAGCTGTCAGGTCAAAAGTTCCGTGCTGCGGAGGCGACCCTGCATACTTTCTGGTCGAAGCTGCTGTTCGACTACACCGAGCGTGGCGGGGAACTGACCGACCTCGAACACGTATCGCTGAAGAGCGCGTTACCCGCCGTCTACCAGCTGATGACCCATAAATGAGACTAAGCGTCTAATTTTATACATAACTTCCGTCACAGGTGTTTCTATGTACGCATGTCACTCGCCATCGGGCGTTAAACATTAAAAGCGCAGTTTAATCCGACCTCTCGTCGTGCCTAGTGTGGGTGAGCTTCTCCAACTTCGCCACCAAGGCTGGCATGATCTCGTATCTGGAGGGGTCAACAAAGTCGCGCAGGCGGTCGGCGTGCGACATGCTCTTGCTGAGCTTCATGACACGGGTGCTAGAACCAGGGCGGACGCTACGAGCGGCATGGGCGTAGTGGATGAAAATCTTGGCGCCAGAAGGCGATAGGCCGAGGTCGACTGCGTTCTTCTGGAGGAGGCCTGAACACGCTATTGCCTTCAACACAACGACACCTACCTGAGAACTTGGGTGTGTTCATCCCCGTGATGTTGAAGCGCTCCTTCGAGAAACGCCTGTGCACAGCGTGGTGGAGGTGGGCATGGTTGTCCTTCACGATTTCCCAGACCAAGCAGTCAGGTGCTCGTCCTTCGGGATACTCCTCACGAGATGCCATGTTGACTACAAGTCCCCTTCCGGCAGCTTACGTTGGCTGGGATGCCGCTCGGCGACTATAATATACACTTTGGAGAAGCTGGAAGTTTGGGTGAGCTACACGTGGGCTTCGCCGTCGAACACGCAGAAGGGTGGGGCGCGCAACTGCTTCGGGACTCCCATGCCGCTAGCTGGCGTTTAGGCAATTGTAACTGCGCATCCAATCGATCTTGAAGGAAAGATGCTCATTTTACGACATATCCACGATTGCCGAGTGAGCTGCTGCTCCTACAATCGCACATAACGTTTTGGTGGATTCTATTCCTCTGCGGTTGACTTTACATGCCGTTTCAGCCTACACATGTCGGTCGCACTGTAGCAACCGCGCTTTCTAATGTGCAAAGTGCGCGGTGATGAATTAAGGTGTAACTAGATATCGACAAACACTCCGGATCCCTGTACGCATCGCCTTCTTGTATACCCTTATTATTCAGCAGGCCAACAGCTTTATTTCACGTCTCTTTAGCGCACATATGCGAGAGACACAATCACTAAGTGATATCCTAGAGTTATAGGCTGTAACTGTACCTGTAGAATCGTCGTTGCCGCTCGACGCGTCGTGGGACACCACACCTGCCGCTGCCGGGCTAGCGCCAGCGTTTATCCACTACACAACCCCGTTATTATTCACATCTATATACTTTTGGGATGAGTGGCGGCGGCAACTCACACGACGCCCCGATTTGCGGGATCCCTGGGCACGGCACGTTCAGACCGGACTCAGCCTGGCAACGTGCCCTCGCCCGGAACGCCGGCTTGTACCGCTACCCGCACACCGACAGCGACAAGAACATGACGGAAACCCAGTTCGAGAAGCTGGTGCGCGAGGATGACCCCAAGTCGGCCTGCACGCCGCTGCTGGTTCAGGAGTTCCGCTGTCTGAACCGCAACGATTTCGGCGCTGACGCGGGTCACGCGGCTACCAAGTGCGTGAAGTGGTACAACGAGTGGATGCAGTGCAAGTGGGACGAGGAAAAGATGCGGTTCGGCTACAGTTACCTGGAGGATCTGCCGGCGCGGAAGCACAAGGCCTACATTGCAGCCCCCAACTACCAGTATTCGTGATTGCGTATAACTGCTAATGGCGGCTGCAATTATCGCGCCATTGATGTGGAATCGCATGTCACAACGTGGTCAACAACAACAGATCTCCCATGACGGTATCGCCCTTCGTCCAAGGACGGTAGACATGTGCCCAGATTCAGCAGTCATCGAGAAAATTTCCACGATGGGGGTTCGCGCTGCTGATCTGCGATGTGTTAGACGTCACTGCATAAAAATGGCTAAGATACGGACTGCAATTTTTCTGATGCTCGTGTCGATGTTTTCGGCAGCTTCCGGCGTAGTGAAGCTACCGCTGAGGTTCGGGCTGCAAGAACTCGGCAAATTCAGGCCGCTGCGCGAAACGTTCATCCTGGTGGAGCACATGGTGGCCGAGTCAGGACGATTGAAATATAATAAGCGTTATTCGTCGCCCTTGCCATTTGCCAAAAGCAGCGCGAGCCCTGACGGCGAGAAGCACATCACTCCGTGTATGTCCCACTGTGTCACCGCTAATGATGCTTAGGTTGGGTGGTTGTTGGCGGGAAATGCGTCATTGGATCACCACGGCTAGACTCCGATGATTTCAGGATGACTGTACTGTCGGATATAGTGAAGCCGAGTGAAAACATGCCTTTCACCCTTTCCGACATCAAAACCACAAAATTTCCGTAGCCTTGCGTAAATCGGACAAAACATTCTGACACTGTAATTGTATCTTCGTCTAGCTGTTTTAAATCGGCGTATGCGCGATTATATGTGTCCAGTAATCAGGATAACGCTTCGACCTTCCGTATGTGTGGAAGGTCGGCATCCGCCAATTAACTCATATCTTCGCGTTACCCTTTATAATGTATAACAGTTAGCGATGGGAGGTTTCATATGGCGTTTGAATGTGTAAAGGGCGTTTTTCACCGCCAGATGATAGTGTCTACATGACTCGGCACACCTGAATACAGGATTCCGCACAGAATCATCGTGCTATGAGTATAGATACTGTAAATGTGTAGATTTATAACTCAATAATGTAACTTGGAGTGGGCTTTATACTCTGATAGGCTTCATCTCGGATCATTTCTCCGATGCGCGGAAGGTGACTGCGAGGATTCTTCCGGCAGAGGGACATTAGTGCGTCGCCGTAGGTCAACATCATGCAGCTGTAGCGGTGTGTATGTGAGTGCCCAGTCCATGGCACTTACGCCGGCGCTGTCGGCATTCTGCCGCCGTGCCTTCCGACGGTTTTCCACCGCCGCTGTCGGATGGGAGCAGTGCCAAACTGTTCCAGAGCTTCTATGCGCGGTGCAGCGGCATGGAGCACTTGACAAATCTGCCGTTGATTCCTTGGAGCATAAGGCTAAGCAACTGGTCTCCGGCAACCTGCGGGACGCCGCCATGTTGGCGCTGATGCTCCACAACCTCGGCGGGAACGCACAGCAGCTTTTAGCCGAGGTGCCTGCAACTCCGGACATTAACGACTTCGATCTGTTCTTCCGTGCGGCGGCAGAATGCGGCGGCACTACGCCGCCTTCAAACACCATCGATGTATTATCCGCTCCGGGGGCCTTGGACAAGCCACGCCAGGTCTACAACTATCTCTGCGGCGCCTGCCTGTTCAATTCGCGAGGTGCTGCAGTTGATCTTCAACTGCTATTGCAGCGCTTTGCAAGCATGGGATATGGCCATTTCAGCACCTTGCAATTGCTGCAGATGGCCGCGGGTCTCGCTGCACTAGACGCCGTCGAGCATGGGTCAGTGCTCGAAATGCTCTGCAAAGAAATCTCCACTCGCGGGTTTCAGGATCTTGATACTGCCGATATGATAGAGTCAATGGCGCAGCTGTCCAAACACCACCAGGATCTTGGCATGCTGGCAGCCTTTGAGAAGGCGCTGCTTCAGCACTGCACGGAGCATGCGCTGCCACCCGCGGAGCTCTGCTCGGCATTGTACACGATATCGCGATACCGCAGGTATGACCCGCTGCTGATGGATAGGCTTGCGGTCAACTTGAGGCGAGATGCTGGCAGCTACGACCTTGCACAGCTGTCCCGGGTGGTGTTGGCGCTGTCGCAGATAGGATATCACAATCGCTCTTTGATTATCCTAATTGGACGCATGGTGCTCACCCTTATAGACGCCGATTCCACAGTGGATGCTCAGCTGCTGACAAATCTGTACACTGGCTTTTCGCGCTTTCTGCAGCACGGGCGGTTATTCACCATCTTTTCGGAAATCCTTCGCAAGGAGGAAGTGCTGGCGGAACTGCAACCTTCAGATGCGGTTGCTGTAGTCCAGTCTTACGCACGGGTACACGTCGTCGATGAGCGGCTCTTCGCGCTGTTCGACACCAAGCTGTTCTCCCAACCGCTTAACACTACGCTCAGCTTCAAGCTGCTCGTCGCGCACGGGAAACTGCGCTATCGCAACCCCAGACTGCAGAACGCGCTAATAAACAACATCAACCTGCAGGAGCTGGACTCCACAATCCAACGCGAGGTAGGTGGCCACCGTATGCCAATTGCCGGCATCGACAAAGGTGTTGTCCCACGCAGTTCATTGATATAAACATTTCCGTCATGTATTACATGGAGTATTATATGTTGTTTTCAGCTCTAGCTAGACATTTAAAATGGTAGAACGTGTTCACGTGCTTATTATACATATTTCGGCTCACTTGTCGCAGAAGCTCAAGCTCGCCGCCGAAAGGTTGGGGCTCTTTTTCCCCGAGCTCACGGACATAGCGCAGGAAGACGAGCTGCCGCGCATCACTTGGCGCAGGCTTGACCCCGTGCGCCGTAGGGTGCCGCACGTGCGGCGCCGCAAGTGGACATGGTAATCACCATCCCGTCCAGCGGTAGTAGAAGCCGTACTTGTGCCGCCGGCTCCGATACTCTCGCTTGGTTCTGTAGTGCTTTGATTGGACTGAATCGGCGCGCGCTTACCTCCGGCGGTCAACTCTCATGGCGAGCTTCCTGGGCCTCAGGAAGAGCACGCTCAGCAGGTCCCGGATGGCAACCGCGCTTCCCGCCAGCGGCGTCCACGTAGCGATCATGGGCAACACACAATTAATGCTTGGTCAACTGTAGCGTCGCGATGGCACGGTGGTCGACTTCGCGCGAATCCGGGGCGCGAAGGTACCAGTGTGCCAGGAACTTGGATACGCGCCGCGACCGAATCCAAGCGAACACACGCAGTATTATCCCCCACACATTGAATGATGTAGATGAGTGGAAGGTCCAACAATAAACAGCTGCGGCGCAGTACAGCCCCAAGCGCCGCATCACTGGGGGTACCAACCAGACCAAGTAGGCCAACCCGTATATCGGGATAAACAGCAGCCCAATCGCCACCCACGTCATCATACACGACAAAGAATCCGTACAACTTAACGATGCCCTAAGCTTGTCCAAAGTCAGGACGATATAGCCAAATATAACCTGTCCGCGTTGCAACATCATCAAGCCAAACTTCACAAGCTCTTCGAGGTTGGTGTCACTGAGGTCATCAGCGAAGAGAGCCCACTGGTGTGCCCCAGGATACCGCTGGAGGCTCAGCTGTCGCGTGCCGAACGGCGTAATCAACCGAGAACTTGATTCCTCCATACCCCTCAAGTTCCAAATCGAGTGCAGCTTGGGGTGGTGTACAAGCGGCTGGCTGGCCGATTCCGTGTGAGTAGACGTAGATGTAAACGAAGGCGGGTTATGGAGCTCACGCACTCTCATGGACACACTTGTTGTCTCATCACCATGCGCTCCGCGCTGCTTCACGTCGTCGTATGCCAGATGGTATAGCGAGCTACTAGCCTTTCTATGCGCCCTTCCAGCATTTGTTTTGCTATCGGACGCACCTTTCGCCGCAAAAGTCCGGTCCCCCAAATCGTAGCGCATCGGTTTCAGGCACCGCCAATAGAAACACGAAATCACTCCAGTCATTAGGTACAGATCGACGACCGCCCTGGGTAACGGCGCGAAAACCATCAGATCAAACACTATAACCCAGAAGATAACAGCGTACCAGATGTGATTGTATGGCTCCATGGGTAAGAGAATATAGTCTATCCACCGCGGCTTCGTGTCGATGAAAAAGGCAAGGCGCTTGAAGATCAGGCTGAGATGGACCATCTCGAATTCTTGCGGCACGTGCCAATACATCCTAGGCGGCCGCAAACAGTTGCGCAAGGCCAATAACTGCGGTCGCCGCTTGAAATACAGACGGATTTTAACCCTGATATACCCAAGTGGTTGCGTCGGCGATTTCATGCCATAGCTGGTGTACCCCTCAATGGGCCGTACAAATTTGTTGTCTTCGAATTTGTGTTCGTTGAATGGCATCAGCTGCAGAGTCATCTCCGCATCAGCAAAGTAGCGGTACTCCTTCAGAACATCCTCGCTTACATTTGACCCGGAACCCTGCCGGTCCCACGACCGGCTTCCTACCTCACTGTACGCATACTCGGAGCTCGTTATAAGCCGTGTGGGAGCGGCGGATAAGGGCTGCGACTCCACGGTATCACCCGGGCCCCCGAAGCTATATACATCAGTGCGTAGCGCGTTTTCTGCCGGTTCCCAGCTGGAGTTCTCAAACTCCCGATTTAGTGTCATTGACATGGATGCATTCACCCCGCTTTGTTTGCTCCCTCGCAAAGCGGTAGGAACGGAAGCTCGGCGCTCGGGCGTGTAGTCCGTGGAGAGATCACGACGCACAATATCCCCCGCCTCAGTATAGCGACGGTCCAAATGTCCTGGTGATGCGTTGTAGCCGTTGCCCCAAGCTGCTGTATCGTACGCATGGGGTGACATCGCGCTGCGCCCGCTGGTGTATCCCGCGCCGTCAAAAGTGCTCGTATTGACGTAGCTTTCACCGATGCTGTAGGCTTTCAACCTGGCGGTGGGGTCACCTGCTGGTTCACGGATGATCGCAGCGTTCCCATCAGCATGTTCCCAGCTGTTTGCGTTGAACCCGTAGTTGTAACCACGCATCTCGGAGCTACCGCCCTCCTCGCTGCCACTCGTTTCCTCCAGCTCTGCATCGTAATACGTCGGCTGGTCGTCATGGAGCGTCTCAGTGCCGTACTGCCCGCTGTTCGATATCGAGCTTGCCGTGGACCACACGGGGTCACGCGGCGTTCCATCACCATGCGCTACCTGCTCGCGCAGCGATGCGTCAAAAGAGGCACCCCTCTCGCTGACCGGAGTGGATTCTGAGGAATGCTCGACCGCGGTAGACGTTGCAAACGACCCCCTCTGTCCCACCGCAGTGTACTCTTGGTCATGCACCAGACATGTGGTCCGACGCAGCTGTAACGAGTCCAGCAGCAGCGGCAGCGGTATCAACGCACGCCCGATGCGCTGTTTATATCTGGTTTTGCCGTATATCGATTCTATCCTCTGAGTCTCCGCGGTGTCTGTATCCACCGCCTTGCCGCGGGTGATGTGTCTACTCCTGGACGAGCGCGAACCAGAGGAACGTTTGGAGGAGGTCGAAGTGCCCGAGCCGTTGTACTTGGACTGCTGTTTGCTGAATTGGTTGAAGTCTATCTCAGCCTGTACAACGAGATTCAGATCAACCCAGAGGTCGTCTATATCCATCAGCACCTGGTGGTTCCAGCACACCCTGTTAACACGAGAGTCGGTCATCTCTGCCGACGGCGAACGTGCCACCCGGCCATTGCAACTCAGGGATACTCTATAGCGGCACATGTGCGTCGGTATCGAACCGAGTCCATCGAAGTGGATTTGGCCGCGCTGCTCCCTGGGCGCCCTGCCCGAATGGCTTGCAACAGGGGAGGTCGCATTTGCAGTCGACGGGGAATGGCATAGGAACGTCGAGTCAATCAGTCCCACGTGCGCCAGCGCAAGTCGTGGGCCAGGCTCCGCAGCGTCAAGTGAAGAGGTGATGTTCGCCTGTTTGATCGTGATATGCGAATTGACGCTTCGCGAGATCGCAGTGATGAGCGGAGTCTGCACAAGAGTCATTGACAGTAGGTATACGGGCTCTACCTACCTGTTTGAAGTCGGAAATGGTCTTGTCATTGCGCGACAGTACTATGTTGACGACAGAATCCACCGCTTTCTCCCCCAGCTCATTCACCTTTCCCCAAATCCATTGCTTCATCTCGCACACATATTCTGCCACACGCGCGAATTCCGCGAGTGGCTGCGAAAGTGGCGGATATAGAGTGCCGAGCCGCGTCGCCTCGCCGTGCAGTAGCGGGAGCAGGTGCGCGTCGTATGTGTGACGAGACGCGCCAGCGGTAAAGAGCGCGCGGCACGGCAGCTGCTGCCCGTGGATCAGAGCCGCCTATTGCGCTATTTTTGAGTCTATAAGTCGCATGTGTATAGCTATAGCCATGGGTGCCTCAGGTAGCGTCAGCCATCGAAAGATCTAATTTGCGTCGCAGCATCTAAGCATCTAGACAAATGCAAGAGCGATTTGACTAGAAACGTCGACCTGGCTTGCTGCCGAGGTAAGCTTCCGTAGCGGATTGCCGTTTCTCAACCTGCGCAGTCCAGCTGCTCCGGAAGCGTATGGAAAACGAACTGGCAACGACATACCAGGCAATCAACAGGTAACCGCATGCTCTTGCAATGGAAAATACGTGCCACAGCAACACCGAGGACGTGCAGATAAAGGGGGAGCAGAGCATCTACCAGGAATCCACCCTGCAGGCCATAGACCACCTCAGCAAGGACCTCAACCTGCTCAAAACACGCAAGGTAAGCTGAGGGGCGCCATCATGCGCGATGTTTAGTGCATGTACGCGGCGTCACACTGTCAAAATTTGTGTTAACGAGGCGCAGCACCTCCTTGGACCGGAAGTTGACGAACAGCTCAAGCCGTGTCTAGCGACAATAATACACTGCGCCGAACGGCTAGGTATTCCCGCACCCCTCAGACACAAACACGCGCCACAGATGTACCCGAGCTGCGCGTGATCGTGAAGATTTTGCGCCAGCTCTATGGGAAGGACTTCACTGCCGCCCCCGACGAAGTGGTAATTCCGTTCCCGAATCCGCACACATCATCACGCAGCTTCTACGAAAGCTAAGTCCGAGGCCTCCCACCGCGCAGGAGGTTCAGCAGCAGATAGAGAGGGTGACGCAGCTTGTGCGATCCAACACCAGGCCCAAAGCCGGTAAGTGTGTCGACGGAGCAGACAGTAGCGTTCAGCGCCAGCGAAGGGCTCACCGTCGACAGAAAAGGTACACATTTAGACGGCGAAACACATCGTGGCACAGCACACGGAGCTCGACGATCTCCTCGAAAGAATGAGGCGCCTGCGCTCCTAGGTGACGCTGCGCGTCCGCCGTGGGGACACACATCTACTTCAAACAATAGCTTCGCGAGATGACCATCGGCCGGCGCGAATACGGCGAGGCCGCAGCGGCCGGGCACACCGGCCTGACTGACGATGAGGTGTACGAGATGCAGGAGGCATTCAATCTCTTCGACACCGACGGCTCAGGTAGGATCTCGTCTATGGAGCTTCGGCTTGGTATTTGCCGTCGACATTTAGCGCGTAAATGCTGTATGTGTCTACATTTTCCATGCGGAAGATGAGAGGTTGGCGTACTGGCGACAACATCGCCCGCGCAATGACGCGGTTGCGCATATGCCATACCAACGCCTATAATGCGTGTCTACTCGTGCCTAGATTGTGTAAGATTGTGTGTATGTGGAATACAAGGTTACTGCTGCCCTGAATTTTCTTGTGGAACCTCGCATGGCAGCATTTGCAGTTGTAACCTAGTGACGGTGTTGGATGTCGTCCCTTTATGAACCTGCTTTATATGTTGTGAGTGATTTCCACGATGCGATTTTGGAACATGTATGTATATTAGATGTGAGGATAGTGCTTTTCTTGCAGTGATTTGTGTTGCGCAATTCCATGAACTACGGCAGTAATTTTGTTCAACGCTAATCGCCATGCAGGCACCATAGATCCAAGGGAGATCAAGTGCGCCATGCAGAGCCTCGGAATTGACAAAAAGAACCCTCTGGTGTACCAAATTGTCGCGGACCTGGAGAAGAGCGGATCCACGCAAGTCGATTTTAACGACTTCCTCGACTCCATCACCCTGAAGCTGGGCAACCGCGACAGCAAGGAGGGTATTCGACGTATATTCAACCTCTTCGACCAAGACAACACGGGGTCGATTTCCTTCAAGAACCTCAAAAAGGTCGCCAACGAGCTTGGCGAGTTCATATCGGACGAGGAACTGAGGGACATGATACACAGATCGGATTCCAACGGCGACGGCCTGCTGTCCTTCGAGGACTTTTACAGCGTCATGGCCAAGAGGCCTTTACCGTGACCATCAAACTTGATAGGGCTCAAAAGGGGCTATAATACTGTACTACATTACTGGTTCTGGGGTACTAGTGTTTACGGGATCCTCGGCCGGCTGAGACACTGCCGCTGCTGCTGCGGTGGTGGTGGTTGCGTCTCCCTTGGCCAATATGTCCTCATAACGTCTCTTTATCTCGGGGTGTGTCAGCTTATATCCGTCGAGTTGATTGCCTGCACGAATGTTGAGAACTCCAGGTGTAGCAACCTACCGAGGGTGATCCAGTTGTTACGCACGTTGTGGCTACGACCGAAAATCTCCAGCTTCAGTGCCCCGGGCACCATGCGCTCGATTATTCCGTATATTTCGTCGGGCTTTCGTGAAGTCTCGCGGACTTCCGATACTATCACGTCGCAGTCCAAATAGCGGTTTATCACGGGGTTGCCCTTCATCCCGATGAGGCAGTGCTCCTTGGAGTGGTTGATCCAGTGGCCCGTGCGGCCTGTGCGGATGATGCGCTGCAGCTGGTTCGTCTTCACCCACACTATCTCGTCCATCTGCCGGTAACCCCAAATCTCCATGCACTCGCGCCCAACCTCCAGCGTGCGGCCGGTGACCCAGAGGAACAACAGGCCCTCGTTCTGGATGTTCTGCACCTTCAGGTGGCGCATCTCGGAATCCTTCATCGTGCCGTACGGAAGGTCCATGTGGATGTCCCACGGCGGATCGGCCATAACCACCGACACATATGGGTTGAATATCGAAAAGTCCAGCTTCCTTACGTCGCAACATATCCACTGTCCTTGGGACACCTCGTCCACCGGGATGCGCGGCGGTATGTCGCTTTCCACCTGGTAGTGCACGAACCGGCACGTTTCAATGTGCCTGCACGTGTCCAGGTAAGAGCAGTCCCCCAGCTGCACCAATGTGTTTGGCAGGATGATGCGCTTGAAATGGATCTTGTTGCACATGAGCGCCATATAGTTTTGCATACGGCAGTCGGCCCGTGTGCCGTAAGCGCATATTTCGCGAAATCCACTCTGCTCCTTCAACTGGAAGTGGGAAATTCGCTTTAGCTCGCGAGCAGGGGTCTGATACAGCACATTGTACAGACCATCCAGGTCGTAAGGCAGGTCATCTGAACGTATAGACAAAGTAGTTCCCCTCCTAGAACCACGCATTCCATCCTTTCTACGCACATCACGACCCAGCCCTTTGCCGGATTCATCCCCAGCCCTATCACTATCACCACGATCCCTACCAGATGGCAATCCTTCTGCTTCCGTGTCTATTGAAGCCTGCCATGAAACGGATACGTTGTCATCGACATCAGCGTCATTTGCATTACCCGCTCCCTTCTTGGAGTCTCTTGTTATAGGATACACACGGCCCGTCAAGTTATTCAAATCATAGTCGTCTACAGTGATTGAGCAGGATGCGTGGCTGTCCTCTCTACCATGGTGGTGACTGCCCGTGGTAATAATGGACTCCGTGGCGAGGGCGTCGGCAAGGTCCAAAACCCGCTGCTTCTTGCGATTGCGCAGCAACATGCGCCTTAACATCTGCCCCTTCGCCTCTGTCACGCGCAAAACTCCATGTTTTAGGTCGAGCCTTACAAGCGGGTGGTGGAACTTGAACTCCCTGAATGATTGGTCGGATATTTCCGGTAGCCCGTCCAGGTAAACAGTTAACGGCGATTGCTCCTCACTAGCACTCGATTCAGCAGGTGATTCCTCTCCTTTTTCGGCGTTATCTTTGCCATCGGGCTCTACATTGTTCTCAATACTTTCTTCCCTGCCGACTTCCCGATTGCCATCCGGTTCTCCTTCAACATCAACTACATCGTTTGCCTCCTGCGATTCTGAAACACTGATGCTATCCACATGGGGGATAGCAGCATCCTCAGTGGCGCTTGCAGATTCCGTCCTGGAGCCATGGTCCTGCGACATGGGCGTTCCACCCTGGCTCTCCGCAGGAGCCTTGACGTCCGTAACATCTTCCTCAGTGACCATACCCAAGTACAGACACTTCAGGACGTTCGACAACACGCTGATGCTGCACACTGTGTTGAATCTGAGCCTGTGCGGGCCCTCAAAGTAATTGCTCATCCTTCGCCTGAGCTCGTACACATTCAGTGGCAGCTCATCGTGTTCCCAGAGCTTTAGTAGGTGTTTTCCAACCACGAACATCAGGTCCAGTGTAGAGAAAACATGGCTGTCTTCGCCTACTTCGAGGAATCGCTGCTCCTCTCTGGCCTTCCTCGAGCTGGTGCCCTTATCAGACGAGGGAATGATTCCGCGGCGGCCGATTCTCGCCTTCCAGTGCGAGCTGCGCTCTCGTGACAGATCACGCGTTCTGCGAGAATCTCGCTCTTTGCGGCGGCTGGATTTGCGGGTCGACGGAGATCCGCGGCGTCGCGAATCCGACCTCGACCGCGAGTCCCTGCGGCTCATGGCTGCTCTGGGTTACTCGCTGACAAACTATGTGTCGAATGGACGCACTCCTCTGGATTCGCAGCTTCGGAAGTAGAAGCTGCGGTGGGATGTGCAGTGCCCGTGTCTACCACGCGCCCAGAGGCCTTGTGGCCATGGGGAACGCAAAACAGCAACTTCAACAGCTATCATGCCAACGTGTGATGTGATTACAGATTAGAATACAGTAACAATGCCGTCTGGCTTTAAATTGGAGTCATTCGTCGTCGTCTTCCTCCTCTGTGTTCGCCCATTTCGCGAAGACGTTGTGCTTGTTGTTCGTGATGAAGCGGAAGTAGCACGCGTATAGCACGAATGCCAGGAAGATGTTGAACATCAGGTGGTTGGAAATGTCGACCCACAGCCGGCCTCCGACGCCTCCCCATTCCTCGTTGTCCATTAGCTTGACCCACTGGTTGATCTTCGGGTCGTACGATTGCTTCGGCACGCCGGCGAAAGACGTGCGCACCAGGCATATGTTCCAGCGCATCTGACGCGATAGGAGCATGAAGTTGGTCTTCGCTCTGAAAATCCCTCTGCGCACGCTCCAATAGATTGGGCTGCCTCCACGGGGAGGCTGAATCTCCTTCACGATATATGGCGCGTAGAGCTTTACATCTCCGCTTGCAGGTGTAGATAGGGGTCCAGCACTCGCAGAAACGTCGCTGGATGCCGCGCGGGAGCCGCAGGGCTGGCGGCACATGGGCACTTGCAGCCTGGCGCGGCCCAGGCCGGCCCGAAGCGCGGCAAAGCCGCCCAGCGACGCAGGCCTAAACATGGATAATGTGTATTTGTGTATGTTTGAAAATGGCGCGCTTTTTGCCTGACGGTCGCAGAGCCGGCCGCTGTACCGTAGCAGGCGTGGGCGCGAGCCATGAGCCCACATAGGGAGTCTCCGTCAAAGAGAAACCAGATCACTATTCATCATGGCAGCACACTTTAGAAGTTGTGGTGATCGTTGTAGTTTACACAGTGCATATGCTGTGTATCGTGGCAAATGTCACTGTTCTCACGAGTCATCCTCGTACTTCCACTGATTACATCATTGGCATTGCCGCAGACGACATACCACATACAGGGTGTTGATTACTCTCGTCTATTAGCACCTGCTGAGAACAGTTGCCACCGACACTAGCTTCCACGAAGGAAGACATCTGCCACAACGATAGCCATAAATTTGACGTCGAATCGTCAACAAGTACAACTGATACTACTCTTGTACACCGTTATTCACCGGCATATAGCGCATATGTTACACAAATGTCGAAACATTATACTACCGTTGTCTTAGTGGCGCATCGGAGGCGGCGCTGGCCGCATCATGGCGGCTTTTTCCTGGTTGTACAGCTCGCGATGGCGGTTGCGATTCCAGTACCCCACCTGCTTCCACCACCGGATCAGCGACGCGAGCGACTTCTCGTGGTGAGTCCAGAGCTTGAAGCTGCGGTGGTCCACATAGATGGAGTCCTGCAGGCTGCGCGGACCCTGGGTAAGTTCCATGCTCGGCGGTATCACCAGCAGCGTGAACCTCAGGGGGTTGTACCTGACCTGTGAGCCTCTGTGTTGCATTGGATAGGGAGGCAATATGGCCCAGGCGATCCCATCAGGGCGCATGGCGCTCTCCTGGATGAGGTCGCGCTCCGCCTTGGTGATATCGGTGGAGTGCTTGAACTTGGGATGCATATAGATTTCCTCCAAGTTGAGCTTCAAAGTCTCGCAAAACTGCGCGATGATCTGGTCGATGGACGTGTACGTCTGGTTCAGCAATATCAGCTCCTTACCCAGCTCTCCGGGCACCCTCTGGTTGCGTTCGTGGATCACGAAGGTCGCGCAGTTGAACGGCTCGGCGCAGGTCTTTATCACCAAGTTCAAGCGATCCCACTCACTCATAGGACAGATGCAGCACTCGCCGATGCCGATCTCAGGTTGCTTCAAGAAGGCGACGATCTTGTTCAGAGGCCACATGCGGTAACTGGGGTGACGAATCACACGGCGGTAGTGGATCTTGTGTTTCTCAGAATGCTCGTTCAGCATCGGCTTTTTGGAATAATTAACGTCAAAGTGGACCAGCGGAGACAGATGCTCGTCGCGGAGGTTCAGCCGGCGCTTCACTTCGTCGAAGAGGTCAAGCAGAAGGTACCGCCGCTGCTGGCCGGTCAGAGTCACCTCGACACGGTATGCGCATCGCCCATTTTCGAAGTTCGGCGTGTATTCCACGCTAGACACACGTGCGCTGATGCAAATGCCACGTAGCTGGATAGTGCGATTTTGTTCCTTAGATATGCGGTAGACGTCATCACGGAAGTTCCTGTAGTCCACCACGTGAGCCTTTAGCTCCAGCGGCAGCACGCAGGCGCGTATATTGCTTTCGTATACCTCCTCGAGGCGGCACATAACATGGGCGCCGCGGCGCAGAAGGAGTTGGTCTATCTGTAGCGCGAGGCAAAACTCTTCCTCGGCGCTCAATTCCTGCAAATCAGCACGGTAATCGTGGAAGGGAGACTGTAGCTCATGTTTCACAAAGAGTAAGTACGGCAACATGCGCGGCATGTTGCGCTTCTCCATCAGGAGGCTACTGTACGCCTCCAAGTCCAGATCGTCTAACTTTTGCGGGTTATTAAAAATTTCCTGAATGGCCTCTTCCCCTCCGAGGTCGTAGTCAAGCGAGTCTGTGCAGAGCTTCTCGGCCGTGTAATAACACTCAATGGGGTGTAAACGCGTGGTGTCCAAAATATCCATCGCCTCGTTGGAGCTAATCTTGATGAAGGAGGCGCAGTTGTAAAACACAAGCTCTCCCAAACCTCGAATAGACGCGTGACCCATGCGTAACTGACTACGAGTTCCAATCGCAGCGATCTTGAGCAAGCGCAACACGTCCATGGTTTTGCGCGGACCCAAACCAGCGACAAACTGCAGGGTCGACTCCAAGTGCTTGGAATTCTTCACACGGTTTATATCAACACCGAAATGGCAAACCATATGCACTAGCGTGCACTCCAGGTACTCCTGGAGCTTCTCCTGGCTGATGACGTGCTGGAACGGGTGGAGGTTCATCTTAAGAAGTAAGTTGGTGCTGTTCTGACTCCATAGGTTCAGCGTCTCAGCAACAGGGTCGATATACCAGCGTGCCATAGACAGGCACAAATCGTTCACGGTGGCCCTTGGCAGCATGCTGACACGCAAACGCGGCACCTCAACGTCAAGCTTCTTGATGGTCAGTGGGGCTTTCACGTTGGGGATCATGTACGTCTCCAATCGGTTGTGTAGCGTAACAGCGCCTGTATTAGACATCGCAATCAATACCACCGAAATGCGGAATGTTGCGACAAGATCGCACAGAACGTCTATATCCTCCATCACCTCCTTAAATAGGAGGTTGGTAGGGTTTGCATTACGCGGCAGTATCGGGTGAGCGATCAACCGGTCCAGCCTCTTGTAATCCTTCATGTCGCCAAACTCGTTCACTACAATTGCGTATACGCGCTGCGCTTCCGATTCCACTGCCAGCGCCAACACCGTCTCGTTAGGCGACGGGGTTACGTCCAGCTTGTACTGCAGCATGCGCTGGCAATGTAACAGGACAAATGACTGCGCATTGCGCCACAGCTCCTCACGTATTTCCATGCGGAATTTGGGAATCAACTCCACGTTGATCAGACGACTCAATATCTCCTTCTGGATATGGCGCCATATGCTGTAGGTGGGCACATTGGACGGGCAGTACGCCATCACCAGCTGGTCCAGCAGGTGGCGGCGCCACTGCTTATCACGTTCTTCAGCATCTTTCAAAAGCATCTCCTCCTTCTCTAAAATGGATTTCTGCTCGCCCATGCGGGTGCGGTAACTCTCGTTGACCAGCTGGTTGCCGCTGTACGTCACAACCTTGTAACGCTCGTACCACTCAGCGAAACGGTCGCTGAAACCGTCAGCCTTCCACGGGGGCACCTCTTGCGCACATATTGGGTGGATGGTGCAGTTGATTGTTCCTTCCTTCTCCAACTGCACGATCTGAAGGTACATCTCCGCCAACGCCGTGCCGCGGCGATGGGATTCCAGAATACGGTAACGTTCCTCACGTGTGGAAGAGGAAGTGGGGTACGAGTAGTGTACCTGCCGGTATGTTGTGAACTCGCGCAGCGGCATCCGATACAGCCGCCTCGCGGGCCACGATGAGTCTGCTACATCCACTTCCGCCTCGCCCTTGGTTGTGGTGGTGCATGTAATGCAGCAGTAATTGCGATAGTATTCGCGCAGCATGCGACGAATGGTGATGTCGTTGGCCAACATCTTCGTGTAGTAGCTCACCAGCGCCGTGTAGAGGCGCTTGCCTCCGCTGTAGGGAGGTTTACAATATTGGGCACACATGTCCTCAACCTGTTGCTCCTCGCTCCCCTCAATGATGGAGGGCGCATCGAGCATGCCCAAAGCTCCAAGCTCCTTCCACTGCGCCCGTACCTGCTCCATCTGTATCCGCAGCTCCGTGGAGCCCGGTATTAGCGATTTCTCGAGAACCGTGGCGAACTGCCGTGCGTCGGCGATATAACCGCGCCACAACTCGTGGAAGCCGCCCTTTTCAATCGTTTCTATCAGGTGCATGTCAACGCTGCGCTGCTTTGTGTGTGGGCGCTTTTTCGTCGCTTGCACCTCAAGCGATTTCATCGACGCAGCAATCTCAGTTATGCGATGCTCTGTAACGTCATCCTCCTCATCAAAGTCATCCTTGAGGTGGGCGTCGTCCATATCCAAAAGGTCATTTCCACGCGCTGGAGCGTGGTCAGACCGCTGGTTACCGTCGACATCCATGTCCGCATCATCATCCGACACCTCATCGGCGGACAAGTCCAGCGCCTCGCCATTGTTGGCGTTGTCGTCTGTGTCATCTTCATCGGTTTGGTTTGCTTCATCATCAACGGTGCCATTGTCACCGTCACCCTGCTTATCTACATTGTCACTAAGTTCCTGGTCCTCATCGTCACCACTGCCAAACTCTTCATTGATTTCGTCGAAAGGATCAGCATCTGATGGCGAGTCTGGGGCGATGATATTCGACTTCTTAGCTGGCACTATTCGAGGGCCGGCATCGCCATGGACGGCCTCCGCTGGGTCATCCATAAAGTCTATTGGCGACGACATGGCGGACATGGGCGAAATCGGCACCGAACTAGGCGACCTGAAATGCTGCGGATCTGTGGTAGTTTCAAGTTCGTGGCTACCAAAAGCGAAATCTCCAAAAACGTCATCCTCTTCTTCCGGGTCAGCTTCCATGATCCCATCCTCAAGGGGAACAGGTTCTTCTGCAGGCAGAGCAGGCTGCACCGTTTTTTCAGGAGGCGGGTTTTCAACGACAGGCTCTTCATATAACGCCTTGCGATGGTGATACCGTATGTGGCCGTTGACGTCTTGGAGGTCCTCCAGCGTGTTGAAGTTGAGGGCGTAATACAGGACGTCGTTTGGCAGTTCTTCGTATCCTATGCGGTCTATAGTATCCTTGATGCGTTCCGCCATGGTTTTCAGTTTAATCCACTCAGCGTCCAGGTGGTATAACCTCCATACGATGTCGTCCGTCAGCGGTGGACATATCAAGTGGCGTTTGTGGTGCAGAATAAAAGGCACCTCCCAACGGTCGTTCAGCAGCCACGTCAGAACCATCTCACATTTCTCACGAATATCCTCCTCAGGCGACATCTGAGGTGAAGGGAACGTGCCGCGGAACACCAGGTCGTACATTTTGCGCACGCGCTCTGCCGACAGATCGTCGGAGAACTCGCTCATCAGGCGGCGGGCAATCCACTGCGCCTCCTCCTTTATCTCCCGAGCTTCCGTGTGACGCGGACGGTTTTTGTATCGTATGTACAGGCGTTCCGGTTCGTCGTGCTCACGGATGACCTCATCCTGCTGAGTCATGTACTCCTTCGCCAACTCGTCCGGGTCAGCGAGGCTCTCCAACGTTATCTCCTGGGTTGAAGGCTCCACATCCTCTGCCTCGTAGTCGGACGCTGCTGTGTCTTCTCTGGGCTGCACTACGCGTTCATTCTTCAGAATCTGAACCACAAGATCAACGTCGCCGAAACACTCAGCGACGGTCGCCCAGATGTCTGACAGGTCCAAGTCGCCCTGGTCCAGGTCTTCATCTTCCAGCCAATTGTCGTACTCTTCCTGACGCTTGGAAACTGCCGAACCCTTCTTCAGACGGCGCAGTTGCTTATTACCGTCGTCGTCATCCTCCTCGAACTTGGCGCCAGTATTCTCAGCAATGAGCGCCAGGTCGTCGTCGTCCAACACATCCGGATCGTATTCCACGTCGGAAACGTCTGACTCCACAGAAACCTCGTCCTCGTCAACCTTGTCGACAATGAAACCCTTCATCTCGTCGGGGATCTCGGAGCCAAGCTCCGCCTCCTCCTCTTCGGAGTCTGATTCAGGATCCGATTCTGCGGCGGCCACCGCAGAGGCATCTTCGTCCGACTCCTCGGCCATGGTGTCGAGATATTTGGAACGAGCTAACTTAGAGTCCTCCGACTCGACGCGGGCCGCCTTGAAGGGGTTCCTCGATGGGACATTCACCGCGTCGGTTTGTTCCTCTTCCCATTCATCTTCAACAGAACTTACTCGCTTGCGCTTAAGTTCCGAGGCTGCCTCAGCAGCCTCCGGCGCGCCGGAGTCTGTCATACCGGCCCAAGGTACAGCACGCAACGCAACGAAGAAGCGCCGGCCCTGAAGGCTCACGCACGCGCTTTATACGTGACCTGGCCAGTAAGCCTTTTAAAAGTTGAAGTTGCGATTGGCCTTTCAATTGAAGCACACCCAAACTATACTCGGCGCCGCGACGTCGCCACAGACACCACAACTCGGCAACGGAGCTAAGCGTGGCGGCAATCAGTCGGATAAAGAAGGACACATTACACAAGTGAATTTTAGTTGCAAGTTTATAAATGACTTAAAACGGACAGTCTACTCCGCCTCAAGTTATGCGCTAATCCGCCGGCGAGGTAGGCATAAACTCCGGATGGTACGCACTAAAACACGTATCCAAGCACCAAAAGGTGCTGTTTAACGCGATTGGTTGCCATGTGTCACCTTGTGAGCGGAAAAAATGCCGCGATTGTCAATCACATAGCTTGAGTGTGTTCAGACACAGTTGCGATAGCACACTTATACATACTCCGGGGCCGATTCAGCGCTAAGAAGGTCACTCAGATGTCGGAGCCTCTTTGAAAACCCAGGATACCGTCACTTCTTTTCCCAAGAGCTGCTGGCCGTTCATCTCTGCTCAACATCAGACACGACACAAAGTAACTCACTTTCAACAGCCGTACGTGCATCATTTTCCTCCACAAACTCAAGCAAAGCGTATCCCTTGGCGTATCCGCTGCGGCGATCCATATTAAGGTGGACGCTCGTTATCTGTCCGAAACCCTCGAACGCGTCTAGGATATCTTCCTCCTGGGCCTCAGGGTGGACACCTGTGACCATCACTATCCAGCCACCGATAGCTGAGAGTTGTGACGCTCGTAGGAGCAGAAAAACCTACACTTAATGGGCTGCTCCTCAGACGACATCGTGGCACGGTAGAAGATCGATTCCAATAAAGGCTGAGAAGCACAGGAGCTGGAAAATCACCGTACTGTATCCGCTGGCATTATTTTGTGGCACTTAATTCCAGCTGCCGTATCGTATGAGTGCAATCTTCCCCCACGATGTGTCATGTACTCCGTAATAAGATTCCATAGTATATTGCCTCGGCGATAAGACATGGATATTTGTTATTTGTTGAGCATACCGTTTGCAGTGTCCACGTGCAATGTGCTTCTGTAAATCGTGCAATACTGCCGTAATTTCGCAAGTATAACTCGGTAGTCTTTATGTGCAGGTGCAAAGCTCGGGTCCACCGCTTTTTAAGATCACAGCCACTCTTGGATAACGATGCAGTGATACTGTTAATGTAAATTTACTGTGATTTGGCAGTGGAGGGGAGTTTAGACGTAGACGCATTGCTATGCCTCGCAGAGCACTCAACATTAGCCACGTACAATTGTAGTGATTACTCCTCTATGTGTCACTAACGCGGTTTGGTCACAGTAGTGATCAGGCGGAGTACGCCTATGTTCGATAATTCGTTAGAGTGCCCATGGAAAGCTACCCATACCACCGGCTATTACGGTTCTGTCATCCGCTTGTTTAGACCACTAAATACCATTCAACCCTATGCGCAGCGCATACGCCTAACACAAACGCCTATGAAATGGAAACCTATATTAAACTATTAAACCGATGTTGGGGATAATGTGGCATTGATGGCGGCAGTGCAAACGCAACACCGATGCGCCCGTAATAAAGCGCCGCGCTATTGTTGAGTTCCGCTCATACCGAACAATCAATGGAGATAATTCGTCACGAATCCCGTAAATGTAGACCCATGTTTGTCACTTTAGATGGCCCTTTAACAGCGCGGGTATCTCGGCACAAATGTGACCGTAGACAATCGTGGGCAGGTAGAGAACCGGCACCGTCTCCGGGGTCAGTGGCAGGTAGCCCGCCACCTTCAACGCCATCAGCCAGCGCTTGAAGTTGAACTCCTTCTTGAACACAATGGTGATGTTCTTGTTCGGGTCACTCTTGGTTACGAACTTGATGCACATGTTGGTGACCTCGGCGGTGTAGAGCTTGCGCTCCAGCACCAGTTGCGGGTCGGCTTCGAACTTGGTGCGATGAATTGCGATTAATCCTGGCTTCGATATCACGAAGTGATACCGAGTGACCTTGCCCTTCATCGGCTCCGTGACATAGCCGTTTTCACGTAGCGACAACTTCAGCGACTGATAGTCAGTGAGCATGGCCATGCCGAAGTCGAAACGCTCCTCCATCTTGGTGTTGCGGTTCACGTAGAGGCGCAAACGGCGCTCCTGATCGAATAGCTCAAGAGATGACTTGGACTTGTCGAATACCAGGAAGGGCGTTGTGATCGTAGGGTTGACGTACAGGCAAATGCGATTCGGCTCGACCTGGAAAGCGCGCCGCTCTGAGCGGATTTCGTCGTCGAAAATCTTGATCGGGAAGATATACTTTTTGAGCGCGTCACCTGTACGAGCTTTGGCAGAGCCCTTAATAAACCCGGCGAATCCCAATGCAAACTTCCAACGACGGAACTCGGCAGGACTTGTGCAGTCCAACGTCATCTTCAGGCTCTTGTCCTTCGCGTTCGTTATCTTAATCTCACGGCGTTCCTCGTTAATAGCAACTTCGGTGTCCTGGTTGTCAAAGGTCACTATGGGGGCATCCTGGGAGTCCTTAAACAACCGCAAGCAGCCCGCCGTCACAATGCAGACCTGCTGGTGCACCTCAGCCACGTTCGGTTGGTTGAATCCGTGGGACTCTAGTTCGCGGGTGAATTCGTTCAGTACCTCGTCGTTCGGGAAGCTCAAGACGTAGGTTTCCGAAGAACCTGACGACAGCGCTACCTCGCGTGTCTCCTCATTGACTCGGTAGAAGCCTTTGTCCTTTTCAAGCACGGTGTGCTCATCCTGTTGCGTGTACAGGTACAGCTTGCCTTCCACGAACTCGTAGACCTTCGGCGCCATGCTCTCGGTCATTGGAGCCGATGGCATTTCCACGGTGTCCCGCGAACGGATGACGAAGGAGGGCGCGTTTAGAGTAATGGGCTGCTCCACATGCGAGGATTTACGCGAAGTAATACCCGCAGGCGTGTCGACGACGTACTCGGAAGACTCCACGGGCTTCCGGTATTCGCCCTTGCGTAGAAGCGACAAGAGACGCCTCTCGTCATTCGCTGTGGCGCCCTTCACGAAGAGGATACGGCTTCCAATCGCCACGAACGCAAACACGTGGCTAGAATGGACGAAGTAGGAGGTTGTTTGCGTACCATTGGCGAGGGTCGCAATGGGAGGGTCCGCAGGTACGAAGTCGTCGCAGTCAATATGAGCAGGGTCACAGAGACGCACGAGGAAGACATCGTCGCAGGGGACGATGAACGGCGTCGCTGACATCTGCGGGCCTGTAACCACGAGCGAGTTCGAATTCTGGTCGATTGTCATCAGCCTCTCGGTGGGATCGGTGATCACGTACACCTCAGCCAGCGCCCTCCTAACATGCTCCATGCTCATCGGAGAGGGACCCTTGTATCCCGACTCTGCAACCATGACCACAGCGCTGTTCAGTGGCCAGCTGCAGTCTGTAGGGACCCAATTGAAGTCAACCTTGGAGAAAATAGAAAACTTCACATGCTCGTTGATGAAACCGGCGTACTGCAGCGCGTAGTACAACCGGTTGTATATATCCCTGCTATCCGCACGAATTATGTGCACGGACGAATCGTTGGTGTGGATGTAGAACTCGTTCGTCTCCGCCACCTTCTTCACTCCCATCACCATGCTCAACGGGATCCGCACAACCTCGGTCACTTGGTCCTCATCCTCCCGGCTGAAAATCAGAAGTGACTCTTCGACCTTAACGTGAAGTTGCCCATTTACGGAGTCGCAGCTGTAATACACCGGCATGGTGTAAAAACCTCCGTCACTAACGTTCTTCGACATGTTGCGATTGACCACATCCAGCAGCTTGTCGTACATCTCGCGGAACTCTGCCGATGCCTTCATGTTGTATGCCGCGTAAAACGATCGGTTGTTCAAGTCCTCGTCGACGCTGATCGGCGATGTGGCTGGTTTGGGTTGCGTGGACTGCTTGGCCAGCTGCACGAACACGGACCTGATCTGTAACATCTGTCGCTGTGCCGACACCAGGTAGTTGTTTGGCTTCGCCTCTTTTTGTAGCTTGTCAAGCTGGTGATGTAGGCGCTTTATGTCCATACTCTGCGATTCAGTGAGGCGTTTGTACGACTGTAGGTCGTTCTCGAGCTGCGCTATACATTTGGTGCTAGCCTTCAGTTTATCGTGCTGCGCGGCGCACGCCACAGTAGCGCCAGCAATCGCCGACGCGCCGGGCTTTGCGTTGATCTTCGCATCCAGAAGGTTAAGACCGCGAATTTCGCGGTTCAACCTGTCGATTTCCTTCGACAACATGCGGTTCTTCGCCTTAAGTTCGTTGTTGTCCAACGGGAGCTGGTGCATCTGCTCCTGCATACGGGCCAATTCGTCTTCTCGTTTTGCTAGGTCGTGAGTGAAAATGTTCACCTTTTTCTTCAGCTGCTCAGTCTCGCTCATGTCCATCTGGTACCGCTGTGACAGCACCTCGAACTCGGTGACCACCTTCTGCATCTCCTGGCGCAACGCCAAATTCTCGTCGATTTGCCGCTGAAGCTCATTCTTGTGCATGTTGTTCGTATGCGCTAGCGCCTGGTTGAACTTCTCCACCGCCGACTCCAGCGCACTTATACGTTCACGTTGGTACTCGATCACGGCCTCCGCATGCTTGAGCACGTTGGCGCCCTCACCGTTCTTCAGCAGCGCCGGGGATATATCCGAACGGTGGGACATGTTGGATGGAGCCGGCGATGCGGCACCCGATCCTTTACTATGCATCAACTGCTTTGCCAGGAACTCGACGCCTTCGCGGTTTCCTGACACCGCCGCTCCAGGGGATTCGGCAGAGATGTGCTTGCCATGTTCAGAGCCAGAACGTGCCAAGGGGTCTACTCCGATCATATCCCCTGGCATCGCAGCGGCAGGTGACGCGAGCAGAGTCTTCAGCTTCTGCATCTCGCTGATATGGTCACTGTCGGAAGAGACGCTGCGAGGCGGCGAAACGAGCTGGCAGCCGCGGCTCTCAATATCGGCGGCCATCATCAGATTGTCCACCGCGTCCCCGAAACCGTCGTTAACTCTGTGCGAACCCATTCTTCAGAATAAGCGGGCGGCACGTTCAAAACCGCCTACACATCTACATAGAACTGTCTACACATTCGCACATTTGTGGCTCATAAAGAGCCTAATCATACACACATCGCTACTTTATTTAATAAACTCTGAGAACTATATTACACATCCTATGATGGAGGCTCCTGATCGGTTGTTGGAACCGTAATGCTCATATAATGGAGGGTGTGGGAGGCGTATCCAATTAGCGGAGGCAAAAGACAACGTTTAAACCCGATCCAAAATGACAATGTTGGTTGTAACATAAATTTTAAACGCTTATGTACTGATATAAAGTGCTGTCAGCAAGAAAGGTATTAGACACGCGAGACTTGGAGAGCTCAGCCACGTGGAGCTGTTGATAAGGGTCGCCTAAGACCTCGCAGATCAATCTACGCTCACAAATATCGCAACGTACACAAGGCAACATGGTTCCGAGAACCGGGAAGCGTCAGGAATCGTTTGCAACAGCGGAATCCGATGTGAGCCGCGACGATGACGGCATTAAGGAGGAAGGCATGGATATCATATTCGAGATCTCCAAAATACTGAATACCGGATTGGATAGAGAAACAGTGTCTATTCTCGTCGGACTTTGCGAAAAGGGCGTGGATCCGACGGTGCTGGCGTACGTCGTCAAGCATCTCAAGGAAGCAAGAAAGGACTTCCTGTCGAGGGTGGTAGCACAAAAACCGTCCATTTAATGCAGCGGGAGGTGCTAGATTATCGCATGAAGTAGATATGGATAACGTACGAGACAGCCAATCTGATGCTGTCGTTTCTACGACATTGGCGTACACACCGACTTTTAATTCGATGTTCTTGGCAAATATAACCTAATGAGTGCATAAATGGTCATGATGTTGAAGGAATACGGCCTCCCGCCGATATTCACTGATGGTGTCTAAATTGTGGCTGCGACAGTAACTTCCACCGTCTATTACCTAATTACTCTCTTCAAACCATAAAACCTAAGTGTGTGTGGCATTGCGCGTTGATTCCCCCGTTACACACCGTTGTTAACGCGCGTGATGGCCGTCATAGTATATGTGCGGCTGCAAGACCGTAGTCACAGTCCATTAAAGGACTTTACAGCGTTGCCTAAAAGGGCAGCAAATCTAAAATAAAGGTTGAAATAGCCTTCTAAGTTCACCGCGGACCTCCAAGGTCACGACATACAGGAGCCGCATCGGCGGAAGAACGCCAATGGAAGGCGCGGACTATACGTCGCCAGAAAAACCAACTGGTACGAACAATCCTGACTTGGAGAGAATGTCAGTAGACAATTGTGTCGTGGATGCGTCTGTTTCGGAGAGCGATTCCGTGCTCTATCGCGGAGTAAATGAACACTCCTCAACCAAAGGCGCACACACTGAACGGGAAACCGGCACGATTACTTTCGTAGATATCTTTCGAGATGAGGTTAGCGTGGAAGGTCGTACCGTCCCAGGATCGCACACCGGGGGGACTCCCCTCGCCGACAATGTTGACCGAACCAGAGACGACATGATGGCAACTGGGCGGGAACCCAAAATACTCACCTTCTCTGACAGGGTGTTGTACGAAGCGAAGAAGTTGAGGGAACGAATGCAACGTACTCGCAGTGAGGATCCAGGGCATGTAACTGCCGGAAATAATGATTCCAACGCTTCAGCTACGACGCAGCCTGCTGGTGCCGCAGATGACTTCTCGCCATATACGACGTGGAGCAGCGCTGGTAATAGATTGCCATCTGGATATGAAGCTGGCAGTAACGATCGCTCACGGCTGAGGGCAGCGGATGCGTACTCCGAGCTCATCATGCGATCGAACGCCCGAGTTATGGAGTGGTTCAGGAACAGGTTCAACACTATTGATGCATCCTATTCTAAACGGGCGATGGCTTTGGGTGATCTGGAAAGATACGTAATACCAATTCGTCCAACACAAGAACCTATAGAAGCGATTAATCGGGCCGCGGAAGAACTAGAGCTTCTTAGGCAAGAAAACGAACGTCTCAAAGGCCTGGTGGAAAGCACGTCACAGCTGAAGCAGCGTCTAGAAGAAGCAAAAGCGAATGTGGAAGAGTTGGCAAATTCACTGGCCATCGAACGCAAGCACAACGAAGAAAACATAAAGGACAAAATGACGCTTCAGCAAAGAATCGCAAAATACTCGGAAGACCTCAAGAACAGTAGGGAGGAGCTAGACGTACTACGGGTCATGCACCAAAACGAACTAGAGGAATACGAGAAAAGAAAGGGGGAGATGCTCTCAAACATGGCACAGCTCCAAAAGGACATTACGCACATCAACGATAACCTGTTCTCGTGCTACAAGGTCATCGAGGCACAGAAAACGGAACACACCTTCCTCAAAAAAGAGAACGAGGAACTCAAAGAGGAATTGAAGAAGGTTAGAGGAGACCTCAGGAGGCTGTACGAAACCAACTCAAACCTCAAATCGCAAAACCTGTCGCTTATCGAAATAAACAACAGGATAAGAACCAAAACGCTTTTCAAGACAGACACAGCTGACACCTGCAGCACGCGAGGTTCGTGCAGCTCAAAGGCTTCTTGCGTGAGCAGGGACGAATTCGTCTTCTTCCACGTTTTCAACGACACGCCTTCGGCCGCGTCGGAATTTGCGAGTACCACGCGTAGCGGCAAGGACGTGAAACTAAACGACCACTGCGGAGAACATGACGTGAATGGGCCGATGAATGCAGAAACATTGGTATCTATGAGCTCCATGACCAAACGAGCAATCGCTGGGGATGATGGACCAAAGGCGCTGTGTGACGCCCACAAGAATATCTTCGAAACGGCGGCAGACCTTTCATACGGCGTCAGATCGAACCCACTCGAGGCAACCGTAACATCGAAGAACGGTGACGAACAAGGTAGCGAACCTACCGAAGATAATCGCAACTCTACCGTGTATGGTAAAATCACTCCTTCCACGAGGGACGACATGAGTGCCAGGAACACCTACATGGTAGACCACTCGACTATATACAGCGTAGACGGCTCCACTCCGAATTATGTGGACATGCCATCCGGCAGGGGCTTGACTACGGAAGACTTGAGCGAAGTGCCCAGCCCTTTCAAATCTAAGAACTGGCTTCTAGAAAAGGTCTCAAGGGTGTCTAACAGGGACTCACTCGAATTCCTACGGGAAAAAATCAGGCTAATAACAAGCCAGGGCTGCGCAAACTTCGGTGTTATAGAAGACCAAGGCAGTCAACCTGGTGGATGTCTCAATTAATCAAAAATGAGAGGCGTATTGCACACATGTAGCCTTTTGACATATACGTAAGATTTAATGTATGCTCACTGCGTCACGGCATTGGTCAGTACCTTACGCGGAGTAGACACGCACTGTTCGCGATGGCGTTATGTTTAATAAATCTATCAACCTAAGTATGAATAATATTACCCGCTTTTTGTTACGCCGGTATTGATGTTTTGCGTATATCACGGCGTCAAACGTAGCTTTGGAATGTGATGTTTGATGCGACGACGAATTATCTGACAGCACAATGCTGGTACATATTGAAGCACGGTACCAATGAATTCAAGAACCCAACACATACCGTAGTCAGCACGATGGCTACTTACTAGCCGATACACTGCAATACTAATGAGGGATATACCCCTCTTGCGCACTTTAACAGAGTTATAGCGCCAGTTGTATTGAAGTGGCGCGCTACAATAAAGCGTAACATATAGCTGCTAAACATTAAACTCCATTTGCTGGTTTCATGTAGTAACGGCTAGTATCGAAGTGACATCGCCTTTACAAATGTTGCTTTTTTCAGCGTAACGCAGTGTTGTGCGGAACTTGTGCCATGCGGTTTCGCTCCATGCAGTGACTGTTGACCACGTATTTGCATCCGGTATCAATAAATGAAGGGAATTATCGCTTTCTTCGACTTGTCATAATGGGGGAATTCCTTTATGTACCTTCCGTGTTTCTTCTTGGCCCAATTGCACAGAATGAGTGCAACAGCGAATGCGAAAAAGTACGCAGACACTGTGTTGGCATAGAGGGCCACAACTACCCATACAAGCAGTTCCCAGAAATAATTGGCGCAGCTGACGTACTGGAAGCCCCAGTTCTGCGGGATGCCCCTCACTTTGGTTGCTGAAACAAAGTTAAACGACGAAAATAAAACGCATCAATCGATGGAAGTCGCCATAACGATATTCCCCAGTAAAGAAACACGCGAAATGGGGGTTGACAAACCGCAATTAACGGTGTAAGCACGAATTCTCACCTTTGGGCCTCAAGTTGCGCAGTGTCAAGTGCGTCATGAAGGTCATGAACTGGAAAAAGAAGAACAGCAAGATCAGGAGCGTTTTTTCATGCTTAGAAAAAAATATGATTTCGGTGTATCTCGGGTGGAAGACGTAGTAGCCGATGCCAAAAGCGCACAAACCCCTGCAAATAAATAAGTACTGACGCAAAATAATCGACTGCCTACCAGTAGTGGAAGCAATTCGTGAAGAGGTTTATAATGGGCATAGTGGTCTTGGAAAACCGGTGCACGAAGATGGATTCGACTTCTCGCTTCAAAAAGTGGAACATTAACATGCAGTACGTCCAGAATTGCACATTGGTCTTGGGAGCGATATGTTGACTGTAGAATGCCCAGGGGAAGTGGTAAAGCATCGGTACTATTACCAACGGCCCAAAATACTCCAAGAAGAAAACCAATCTCCAGGAGATCTGCACACCTACAAACGATATTGGTGACATAAAGGGGGAAACGTTAACTGATTGGATTGTTCATTCAATCATGAACGATACGAATAGTATGTAGTGACCAATTACCACGCACACCTTGGGGGCATTCGTGAAAACAGTATAATACAAGACGCATTCTCCCTTCGTAACAAAGACAAATACGATATGGCGCAGGAAAACATATAACGTCCATTTATACGATCAGACGCATGTAGTATATCACACAGTCCTTCAAAAGATAACTAACTCACCTAAATCCTTGAAATATAGCGATGAGTCCTCCACTACGCCGCATTCCTTAAGTGTACCCTCATCCAGCCTCGGTCCATCGGCTGTATAATCATACACATTGCATTAAATAGGCTTAAGTGTGCCTATATATAACGACGTTGCGCGTATCTTACCTGAACCAAGGCTCCACCGCTGTCTTTGTGGATAGAAATGAACTGCGTAATATTAACTATTCGGATGAAACAACCCACATTTTTGGTAGAACAACTGTTTCAAATCCTTAACGGTCGCATCCTCGGGAACCGATATGCGCTCAATGAAGGCGCCGTTACACTGCTTCAGCAATATATTCATTTTATCAACAAATGGAGATGAGTTAGTGTATAAAACTATTAATTGAAATACACATTTCCGAGAAATTAATTATTGGCAAATTGTCTTAAGCATTTCAGTGTTATATGGCGCTGTACGCCGCCGAGGCAAACCGCCGATGCGAATCACAGCAGCACATCCATTATTTTCAGACAGCGCATATCGCAGCGTATACGTATTCAACAATTGTTTTCGATTGCTTGTTATGTGTAATTTAAATCCGGTTTGTTATCTCGTTACCTGAAACAACGCGTCATACACCCTCTGTTTCCCGAGGCTATCGTGTGTCTATATAGTGTTTTTAACATTTGTTTTGTCATTAGGATGTGTATAGTCATCTGAAACTGCTTGAGTTTCTATAACCTGTTGCTAAATTATATTGTGTCCTCCATTGCATTGCCGTCTGTTAAACATCGAGCCTTATATTCTTCAATGATTCAAACAATGCACGTACGTTCCGTGTAAGCGTATTCATCGCATACGACATTTGAACGTAATCATAATTACATTGTATGTCTACGTTGGTTAAAATCAGATGTAAACTATTTCTGCTTTGTTTGGGGCGAAACACGCCAGAGAAGCGCCGCTTAAGATTATGACACGGAGAAAACGCCTGAAGTAACCGAAACAAATACGCGTTGCTGTCTATGGAAATCAAATTGAGTTAATAACGAAATTAAATAGAAGTTCAGGCACGTGCTTGTCATTAGGTTACACTGCCAGAGCGGTGGATGGAATTCTTACCCACCAATTGGGCTATAACTACATTTCAAAAATTATGAATGATTCGTGAGAATTCTTGCTGCCGACTCACTGGGGATCCTGAGTCAGATTCTTTTTCTGTTTTGCCTTTTTGGCAACTTTTTTCGCTGCTTTTTTCGCAGCCTTTACAGCTTTTACGGTTTTTACAACGTTTACGGTTGCTTCAGCTTTTATGGGCTCCTCCACAGATTTTACGGGCTCCTCTACAGACTTTACACCTTCATCACCTTCAGATTTCTCAGCATCTACAGGCTGCTCCGCAGGCTCTCCAGCTTCCACAAGTTCTTCAGTTTCTACACCTTTCATACCTTCTACAGATTCTGCATTACCCGATCCAGAGACAGCCCAGAATTCAGCGACTTCTGTGAGCGTGTCCAATACATCAATACCCACACCGCTCAATGCATTGACGACGTCTGAACGGTCCATTTTAGCGCGGACTTCCGGCTTTACGTAACGTAAAGCGGCCAATAAATTGTTCAAGTTCTTTTTCGCCTTAGAAGGCACCAGCCTAAAGTCGTCAGCATCTGTCGCATCCCACAAAGACGTAAGCCCCGTGTATAACATTGGCGCAATCCCCACGAAGACTGCAGCGCAATCTTCCGGTTTTTTAGAACATGATTCAGCCCACGTTGCTTTCGAACTGTAAGCAGACATGTACTGACCAGGAACTTTTATATCACCCAAGAATTTCTCACAAGCATCCACAGATTGAGTTAATTTCTCTGCGATATTCTCAGCGGTGATACCCCACGCCTCTACTATTTTCTTAGTATCGCTATCCTCGAAAGTGTCAAGAGGTTTTGCTAAAATATAGGATTTTAGGTCCCTAGGCGTGTTGAATCTCGCCAACATCACCCTCACGGTCCTCCGGTCCTTAATCCCCTCTTGCTCCAAGAACTCTTTAGTAATAAGTTTAACCTTCTGGTAGGCTGGCAGTTGGTCAGAATCATCCGGATTGTCTGAGAGGAATTTGTAAACTGCGGCACCCAAAGCCGCCAAGTTGCTTTCGGCATCCGTTCCCTTCAGGGCGACCAGCCAGTCAATACCCTCCCTGAAATCGCGAGGAGCGTCAGTCAACGAATCATACACCATTTTGTAAAGATTTGTCGTGCTAAGCGATTACTATAAGGGTGTGGATTTTTGATCTTTTTACAAGCCGAAGCTTTAAACGGCTGTGCCTTGATGACAGATTAACAAAAGCGCTGCCCACACCTGATAACTACGCGTTTTGTTGAGATCTACAAAGGCGTGTGTATACCAATTAGGTATAAGTTGGAGGCGAGACGACGCCCCGGTCTCCCATGGCAGCCAGATCCATACTATTAATGTTGCATGCAGTATCCACCACGCATGTCCCCATTGCGCTATAACTTCAGACACGAACGATTCACACGGAGTCGTATGATGTAACTGTTTATACAGCGATACTTCAGAATTTGAGAAGTTACGATGGGTTGCGATTACCGTATTAACTTTTACGTCGTCTCATGGCCATCACGTGAGGCGGTCCGGGCATCACCCAGAATTTCTCCCGTGAGCCCTTCTTCACAAATCGTATAGCCATCTGCCTCAATATCAACATGCCATCTACACGCCTAATTAATATTTCACTGTCTTAATGATCATGGTGCTGCGGAGATGTCGAAATGGATGACCGCTCAGCTTCGGCCCACTGCTACCGCGGTGAGGCGTTGCCTGCTTTCGCATACCGGCCGCTGTTGCGGTGTCTAAATACTCTGAGCGATGTCATTAGGTGTCATTTGATTAGGCGGAGTTATGTGAGCTGCGCTCGTGATGGAGCCAGCTTTCCGAGCTCGGCGGCACGCCATTGTCACCTGTGACCCCCGCATACATAATTGCAGCACATTAGCAGCACGTTGGTATAGTTTGAAGAAGGTTACGTTAATGCGATCGTTACTGTGTGACATTAAGCTGTTCCGCCATATCAACGTCAAAGTAGTCGACGTCCTTGTAGAGCGAAAGCATCCTCCTGCTGGTGGAGAACAGCGCCTTGACGTCGATGAGGTGGGAGGCCTTAGAGCGCATGAAGTGAGAGAGGATGCGGATACTGCATTGAGCCGTGTTAATCCTGTTACTTTGACTGATACATACTGGATACACTGCTACGACCTAATCCATGAACGCGTTCACCGAGTACCTGCCTACGTACGATTTTGAAATATTAAATAAGACATTATCACTTTGGTTCGTGCCGGTCATGCCTAAAACGGTGCGATAAGTGCGATTATAAAAATTGCTGGGGTTTATTAAAAATGCGATACAAAGCGTTCACCTGCGGGCGAAACAATCGCGGACCTTGTGTAACGGCCGAATGCGTTTCACGATCATGACGCATACTGCGACGAGCATTATTGCTATCAAGATGGCGATGATGGGAGTCGCGACACTGGGGGTCGAATTATTGTCACTGGTGGAAGCAGCGAAACCGTTGGCACGGTGTCCACGTCTACGTTGACAACATGGGCATTCACAAAAAACTTTCTCTGGACAATTTGAACAGCAATACTGTTGGGGTCTACGGGGATTACTCCGAACATCTTCGCATCCGGTGCATGTTGTGCCTTGACACCATTGACAACACCCGGCACAACATCTACAAGTGCTGCCACTACACTTTCCACCCCTGTTACCACAATCACACTTCAATCTAGACATCTTCTGTCAGCTCCCTCCTCATTAACCAGCACTAGAATTAAACACGTATATGGAGCCCCGAACCGTGGAACCACCAAGCTGTGTCCAATCGGCGTTCCGAGAGCGTCCGGGCAATAATTACCCGGTGTACCGCCAGGGATACAACACCCGCGCGCCTCGCACTATATAGCTACCACGTGAAGCGAGCCATATACTGCGAAACCTACCCCACACTTAGATGCACAAATGTAGAATGTGGTAAACGTAATAACCGAGTGATACGATATATTAGCTATCGCCAATACCACAAAACGTCTTTATCATGACTTGATTATATCCGTGAATGCGTAACACTTTACTCATATACCTTGTAAGAGGATCGGATCATCAAACCAACGACAGCGAAATCCACTTCACCAGCAGAATCTGCTAACTATCACATAATCGTGTTTAGTCGCTATATTTTGCATCTATTCATAATGTAAATGCGGACCTACGCATTCTGAAGTTGCACCTCACATCCCAACCCCGATGAGGTCGGACCCCTCGCTGATCTGCGCGGTGCCCGACGTGATTTGTTCACTTTTGGCAGGACTCCACTTCCGACATCTTGCATTCTTTCATGATATTCAACATCCTACTTAACCAGCCTGTTGTTTTGTTCGCACCAATCCCATCAGGCTTCGGGCTATGTCGCTGGGTCCGGCGATGCTCCTAAAATGAACTTCGCTATTGACGACATGACTGAATCCAACACTACGGAACATGTGAAGTAACGCGGTCGGAACGGTTAACGGTGATGTGAAGCCATCCCCGTACGCCCCCCAACGGTGGGCTTAGGCAGCTACGCAGTGACACGGTAGATTTGCATATCAACATCAGTGGAGTAAGGGAAGTTTCCCACCAGATACTAGGGATCATCCATGATTAAATCTTAAAGGCATTACAGGACGCATAACTTCTGAGAGTAAATACAAAAGGCGGCATCACTCATGCCCCATTCCACTAGTACGAGGTAACCACCAAAAGTGTTCTGAGACGGAATTCCACGCCACACCTTCAATTTGGGTCATTGCTACCTACACAAGCTGTACACAACTATTATAGCACTGGACTAAGCTGCTGAGCTTTACCACCGCAATCACGACGTTGCAGCCGAAACACACGCTAACACGGATATGCCCAAATCAACATGGTAACATCAACAATGAAAGCAAATTAACATCTGCAATCTACCGATCAGCTAAGACATCTGATGTACTCAGTACTTCGAGTAATAGTTCTCAATCTGGATGGTGGAGAGAACGACCCCCTTGATGGTGACGCAGCGGCATTGCAATGGAGGTGTCTGGCGCAGCGTTTCTCCGACTCCGACGAGTGAACTGTCGAAGCTCAGGATTGCAAAGTGGTTAGATTGCGACACCACCAACGACATGCTTAGGTCACCTGTGTTCTTGACGGTACCTTCAACCGCGACCTGGCTGAAGCAGTTGGGTGGGTCCAGGACGTAAGGCGCTGGGCAGTAGAACGCCGCCTCTCTCGCAGCGTGAAGATCGATCTTGCAGCCAGACTGAGGCTTCCCATCACCGTCGTAGAGTTGAGGCGTTTCAGGCTTGAACAGCTCATCTGATTCGTCTGTGACGCCGCAACCCTGCATATACGGGTCCGTTGTCTCGACGTTTACTTGGACCATGTGCCACGTATACCGAGCAGATGACCCTGACCTTGCAGATGATTTACGCGTTACGATGGAGACATCCGTTTCCTTGGGAGCCTTACCGCAGACAAATGTCATTGGCACGTGTTGCTTGTGTACTGGATCTTTCGATATCAAAACGGCACCTCGGCGTGATTTAATAATCAGTGTTTTATATCCCACGGTGTGTACAACATCGTTGTAATCAACGTAAAAACCATCCGGAGTAGTTGCAATTGAGTCGTTGTGTGCCACACGAACCAGCTGCGTTCCCTCCGGTGTCTCTATGGCTGTATAATGGTCATATTCACGAGAATACGGTAACCATATCGCCTGTATCTCCGACGTATCTGCACCGTATAGCACGTCAGGTTGAATTGCACAACGCAGAACAAACTCCGAACCCACATGTAGTGTAATGGGCTCTTGGGGTACGTGGTGCATCTTATGAAATTGTGGTGATGCTGGTCCTCTGACAGATAATCCTAACTCACTCCAGGGCATCAACGTGTGTGGGAGTAACGTGTGAATGGCGTCTTCACGATTAATTCCGTACTTGTATTGCTTTTGATGGTCGTGCTCTAAAATGAGCCTAGACTTTTCGTAGCCACGTTGGTCGACACAGATGCAGGCGTAACTGACGGGGATATTTCGGAAGCCCACGTCAAACACCTGAAGTCCTGCGATGGAATATGGCATCTTCTTCTGAATGGATCCTGGGAATGGCGTTATTCCATTGGAATAGAGATCGTATCCTGCGTAGTCACAGTTGCCCGGTAGCAACTCCTCATCCAACCCGCAGTGGATACCAACCTGACTAGGATGCCCATTGTTCTGGTATAGGCATTCATAAATTTCCCCTATTCCATTTCCCTTAGATTTTGTTGTACAATACTCCTCGCTCATCTCTGGATCAAACAGACCATGTGGGTTTGTGTCGCACCCAACTATATCGTAATTATGAGTAAACGCGAAGGACACGTTGACGACGGAGCGTACCTTATCCGGAACATACTCATTTCCAGATTTCAAAGTATTCTCAAAAAAGAACGAGTTTAGTCCCTCTAGTAATGCAAGCGGTTTGTCCACGTGGTATATCAGCGTAACCTCTCCCTTGGAAATCTGGGAAGCATCCAATTCTAGGGCATCACCAACGAGAGCTTTGTGGTACGAGACTTCGTCGTAAATATAGACACCGTAAGGTGTGTTCAGTTGCCGTAGCTTATTCAAGTCCTTTGGCAAGAATTCACTTTCCAATGAATATTTACCCAGCCTTAACGAGTGTAAGCCAGATGAGGAATCCGCATCTTCATTCATATCGGTATCCTCGATTGGGAATTTTATGGTCAACGTAGTTCCTGGGTGGAGGACCACGGAACACCATGGTTCAACAATCTGATTCGCATGGTTGCAGCCGACCATGCTAGCAATGTCACAGACGTACTCGTTTTTCGAACGGATCTCTATCTTCGCCTTCACCTGACCTGTTTCGTGATCGATGCATCTGCATTCGCCACTGAATGGCGGTAAGGCTAAGTCATCGAAATACCGCACCAAAACCCAAGGCTTATGATTTTCAAATTTCCAAAAACGACGTGGTCGAGGAGCCTCCACAACTTCGCCATTTTTGCCCAAGAGGGACCTCATGCAATTTTCAGGTTCTACTTTACCTTCGCAAACAAATCCAATAGGTGATGTTGTCATAGGATCCACCACGCATGAACGAGTACCGGTCACGGGGTCCACTGTTACTTCATTATTCGCAGCAAACAGTGGTGAGGGACGGCTTCCGCAGCCTTGAAGAGGTTGGTGTACTATGCCTCTGTACACCATAAATACACCCAACCCTTTCTCTAAAGCGTCAACTTCCCGATTCAATGGTGTAGATGTGTTCCAAGGAAGTTTATGCGTCTGACCTAGGTCACCTAGGTGCTCAATGCGCCGCTGCAACTCACCAGTCAGAACCAAATCTCGCGGACCGCAGATGAATATCAGTCGGTTTTCAGTAATGGCGAACAATTCCTGTCTTGGTAAGTTGACGCGCAGAGTTGTTTGAGAGCGAGTGGGCTCTATCCAGAAGAGCTTATTCCCGGATTCGGAGCGCACTACATCCGAAAGAGCAACAGAACGAAGCTTGCCATCGCCATTAACGTACGTTTTAAGATCATCCTGCTCATCCGCACTCGGTTGAGGATGCCATACATATTCAACATCAGCGACTCGTTGTGGACATACTACAATTGTGGAGTCTATGTCTTCGATGCTCATGTGGCAGCTAGCCAGAGCATTCTTGCTGAGTAACCCATGCGGGTAGTCGAAATTACAACGAGATGCATGAATAAATGCAACAAACTGAAATCCTATTGCGCAGAATATCCACAGGGATTTCCTGATGCTAAATTTGGCCATTTTAATAAAAATTTCATCATACGATCCACGGAAACTATACTGAATAAAAATGGCCCTTAATCACCATAGATCATATGGTTATGTGAAAAAACAAAAATTTCATAGCTACTAATCATTTGTTATCAGGTAGGGCACCGAAGATCCCATCGCCCCATCTAGCTGTCGAGATACCGAGGAATTTTCGTCGATGTTTTTCAACGGAAGAGAGAAAAAATGTAGCCAACAAATATCACAACACACACCGAATTTCAATCGCGAAGCTGTGCTGTAAACACCGTAAGACAAAGAATTGAACTAACAGTACAGTTACTCTACCTGGAAACGACTTTACTCTTTAAGCCAGGGAGTGCAACTGACTGGATACATTGCCAGCGGACCTACGGAAGTACATGAGCACCATAGTTAAAACACAAAACAAACAACCAGCATAACCTGGTGGAGGCATGCAGGGGAAGGAAGCAGCGGAACCTGGTGAAAGCTCTCAAAGGAGATACCTATCAGTTAGCAAACAATTTTAAAGGTAGTAGTCGATATGATAAGTGTCATGGGCTCCAGAGATTATTATAATTCGGTACACTACCCCTATAGAATAAGGTTGAGTCGACCGTTCGGCGCAGGATGTTCTCGTCGTCCGAGGTATAGGTGATGTTTCGTGCGGCGCTCGTCCCTACATCGCACGGTGGAGAGCTTCCGGTAAGCCCCAATTCCAGTCCACTCTGTAGGTGGAGAACTACACAATAACAGAATGTCAACAGAAAAGGACAAGAACAATCGCGAATAGCCGACGTCGCAGCAATCATTAGCTACCCAAACATGGTGTAATTCGAAACAGCGAACCACAGAGAATGTGCTACCATAACTTGGAACTGGTCTCTACTCCATTTGACGCCTCAACGATCTGTATTTACCTACTATCCAACGCATGCAGTACTGGCCTTTAGCAACTACGAAGTAATTGGTCTAGCAAAAAGACGTAGTATATTTAAAAAATTAAACGGCAAGTCACTTCTTCTTTCCGTTTTCCGTGTTCTGCGCTTGAGCCCTGGCTTTCCTGGGCAAACCTGTCTTTCTCCTGATGCCGGAGTTTCTTAGGGATAGGATCAACTTGTCGGCGTCCACCTCGCCCATTTGTTCATCAGTCAGCGGCTTCTGATAACCAACGGCCGTGGTATCTATTTTACTGGGGTCCAGTGTGAGCGTGATCGTCAAAAAACAGACGGAGTGCCTCTGTTCCTTTCCGTCCTCACCAACAGTTGCCACCCTGAATTCAAATTTAATTCAAATATCAGAGTATGAGACGTCTGCATTCACAAAGTCACGGATAAACATTTGAATTAACATAATTGATTACACGAGAGCACAGGCTCTAATCGGCATCCAAAAGGAAGTATGGCATTCCGCGTTTGGCGTAATATAAGTCGGCCATACGGCCAGCCAGAGCGTCCCAGAATTTTCAGCTGTTAGTTACCAATTAATACAACGCATCCGACACAACGAATGCAACTATCACGCAAGCAAACTCACAGATTGTCCTGTGTGTCGAGCGTCGTGACCTGATGCATTCCCTTGTAGGCCCTCTTCAAAATTTCTGCAGTTTCCACCACATTGCTTATGGCTCTACCAGTGCCTCTAATATGAATAACAGGTTCTCCAGAGGCGATGAGTTTCTTCGCGTACGCGACGTAGCCCGAGACCAGTCCGATGCTGGCAACCCGGATTTCTCCGGGCGGCAATTGCTTGGTATCCGACTTCGTTACCGCTTCCACTTGCGCCATTTTTTGCCGTAAGGGGTGACGTAAAGTGACCTCAACGCCCAGCTGTGTATGGGGTATTAAAGAACAACATCCCAGTTTCCGTTACAGGTTCACGGCTCACCGGGCCTGCGCCTTCAAGTGTGTATACGCTCCACATAAATTCATATAATTCACTGGCACAGTCGGCCACGTTTACAGCCGCATCCCGGTATTCGCTCTGATAAGGGTCGCTCGTACCTCAGAGCTACACATCCGATATTATTATACTTCAATTTACAACAAGACAATTCCGTCTCGTTTTAGCACACAAGTTGCCTACGCAGGCACTTTGACGGCCTCTCTGGCCGGCTCGTGCACGTGTTTGATGGGCGATATCATGGGATTCATCTGCGCCATGTACATACAGATCCACCTGTAGCAAAATATTCACCTTACTTAGCACGATTTATGCATAATAAGCATGCTTCGTGAGACGAATCAGTTATGTGTGCCAACTTACAACAACCAGAGGCAAAATGTGCCAAGCGGCACCAACAGAAGGACGAGTCTGCGCGTAAATCCGAATATAGGCCGCGAAAACTTACACATAAAAGTCTTTACGTTCACTCTCCTTTACTTGGCGCCTGAATGCGACCTGGATGCCCACTGTCAACAATGCTCCTGCGAAGAGGTAGCAAAGCGACATAAGTCGAATGAACGCCCAGTTATCCATTTTGCGCGTCGCGCAATAAACAGGAATTAACCAGAGCCCTGCTAGCTCTGCATGGAGCTAGTACACTATTTTTGTCACTGCGGCCCGCACGGTTTCCGTATGCCACTACAATGACGCCGACCTAGATGCCGGGGGCCCAATTTACCCTATTTTGCGAGTCTATGATTTTACTGTGTTTTGCTACATGCTAGAGATGATGGTTACGTCATTTGACGGCGTACCTGACTCACCTACGGTGTATGAGACGTGCGCCTACACCCCTTTGTTGCTGTCTACCTACCGGCGGAGCCTTAATCGCGCCATACACGGCATATCGATGTTTTGATAAGATTGTAAAACGCTATGAGACACACTTTTGTCACCAAATGCCACTGTTGGTTTCCACAGGCCTGGTGTTCGTTACAGTCCTAGATCCATACCTCCGTCTACCGTATTAATGAACAATCAACAGGTATCGCGACCTCTAACACGAACTAGTACGGCGATTATCTACATTGAGTGCGAAAATATCAAGTGTTGGCGGTGCAATATGCAGAGCTCACTTGTTTGGCATGGTTACTGCCGCCAATTACACATGCCGGATGTACTTTTACGTAATCATCCAGCGTGAGACGATTGGGTCCACATTCCTAGCGCAGTCAGATATAATCTTCCAGCGATGCCTCATGGGTACCACCCAGTTCTTGCCTGGCGAACTATGCCGTCCAGTCGGTTTGAAGGTGAGTCGAGGAACATGTTCAACTCTGAGATGTGTATATCCAGCACCCGGTCTGTGATGTACTCCACATATGGCCTCCAGTTGGCGGTATCGTTCATGATCGTGTACTTGTCGGCAATGACAATGAGCCCCCTGCGAGCGCGGGTCAACATGACGTTCATCCTCCTGGGATCCCTGAGGAACCCAACATCCTTTTGCAGGTTAGACCTGACTGCTGAGAAAATTATGAGATCCTTTTCTTTGCCCTGGAAACCGTCCACGGAATCGATTTCGATTGCCTGTCCTTTTACCGCGTCTATTTGGTTTATTTTCCGTTTGAGCATCCACTTTTGCGCATCATATGCAGTGAGAATTCCGATCTGAAACGTTGTCGTGGCACGTGAATGCACCCTACCTGTGACTCCTTTACGTCTCTCGCCTCCATAATTGACTTGAGCACGATAGCAACTATATCGGCTTCCCTGCGGCTTTGTAAGAACCTATTTGTGCAAACCTACAGTGCGTTAGATTTGGACGTGCCGACGGTTGATTCAAACTGGCTGTTCGGACATCCTGCACTAGCGTCGATGAAAGCGATATTGTACCCTTTTGTTGGCCACTTGAACCCCTTCACTGGTGGTCTGCTGCTCTCGCTAACGGCATCTCTGACGGCTCCCCGGTAGAAATGCTTGTTGGGGAACTCGGAAATTGAAGGGTGCATACGTCTCTGCACGTCCAGCAGATGTACTGTCGCTACCCTTGCAGATACCAATCTCTCAAGGAGTGAGATGGAGAGCCCCTGGGCCGCGGCTTCCGGCGATATGATGGTGGGTCTCAGTTGCTTGTGGTCCCCAATAAGCACTAGTTGTTTGCAACCCTTCCCAATTGGAATGAGGTTGCTCGCTTCAATGGACTGGGCACACTCGTCTATAACAACATACGGGAACGCGTAATTGGATAAAATGTCGTTCCCGCTACCTACGCATGTGGCTATGATGACCTGATGCTGTTTGATAGCTTCGGTGATCATTACCATGCGCATGGAGTTGGCTTCCTTGTGGCACCCGGCTTCTCTCAACGATTTGTAGCGGTTATATTTGGCAAGCCTTTTGAGAGACTCCTCCTGCAACAGTGACTCAGACCCAAATCCGATCCTCAAAGCATTGATACCCCTGCTATTTAGCCCCTCTATGAGGTTATCTGCGGCGACATTTGAGTCCGCAACTGCCAAAATTTTTTCTTTCGTTTGCTGTCTCCAACAGTCAATGATTGCACATGCTACCTGCGTTTTGCCAGTGCCCGGTGGCCCCTGAATGAGAGTCACGGGGTTTGTTAGTGCACTTTTGCAGGCATCCGACTGGGCTGGCGTGAGAGGTATTGTGGTTGGCAACGCAGCATTGTTCAGCTCGTCCTCCATTACGGTGTCTTTGTCGCTCTCGATAAGTATGCGCTGCAGATCCTTGTTGTAGTGGTACCCCTGTGCAGTCGACTGCAGCAAAGTTACAATACATCTACTTCACCACTTACGTTAACCGGCAACATCTTGTGTGTTATTGACAACAGCGCCTGCATCATTCTCTTGTTGGTTGTGGTACTGTTGACGAGGAAAACTCCGAACCTATTGTGCTCATATATGGCATCAGTTGGATCCCATTTTAGTCGGTTCACGATTTTGCATGTCAACGTGGCCTCGTAGTTTTCGCTTTTATGCTTGGACACAATGCCGACCAATCCGTCACCCTGAGAAAGATATATAGGTTGTGTTACCGCATACCCATAGATACACTCCGTTGTATGGCACTAGTAGAACCATATCGTCCTCCCTTAAAGGCGATTTGCTGTATTCTGAGTTGATGGTTCCTTTAAGGAACATGAGCGGAAGCAATGACTTGGTGTTCTCACAAAGCAGGCTGACGACGTCTTTTCCACCTCTGCCCTGAATAGAGGCCAAGTTTGAACAGATTTCAGCGTTGAACTCCAGCGCAAGTAACCAGCTGCGGAACAAGTTAGATGGGGGAAATTTTCAAGGCTTAATATAGAGTTATTACTGACCCCGCGTACCTTTGCTTTTGGTAGTACCCTTGAGCCTTCTCCGAAATGAAATACCTCGAGTCAAGCGTTAAGTTTTTGATACCATGCAGAACTGCTCTACAAAATGTCTCATCAACGGCCATGCTAGCCAGCGATAGGAGCGTCTCCCAGATGTCGGTCGGTATTTCCGCATTTGCGGTGGAAATGCCCTCCAGAAGTGGCGTCACTAATTCGCGGTCGCCTCTCTGAGCTAGAGCATCAACCAATTGTGGAAGAAACAGTCTCCACACGCTGCAGTTGGTTTTTTGGACAAATTCCGACGCCGCTTGCACGGCTCTTGCGATATTCTGCGACTACGTGAAGGCGTTTCGTGAGGCACTAACTTTTGTTACACTGCTTCGTATAGACGAAGCGTGTGAACTTTCTTCACGTGTCACCGGGTCTATAACACCGATTTCTACGAGTATGGCCTTGCTTGCCGCAGCCTTGGCCAGGGCCTTGCTGGTACCTTGTTTTTCGACCGTCCTCTTCTCAACTTGCCCATTCGCGTCGACCCATTCCCATGTAAGCGTGCACAGGAACCCGCCTCGTGATTGGGTTACGACCTCGTGCTGCTTCACCTTCATTTTGTTAACCATGGAGTATCTTATGGTGTTCATCTGGCAGACGTCTGCCCTCGACACTTCATCGATGATAGGTTCTGGCTTAGAAGCCTTAGCAGAAGCTTTTGTGATAGTTGGAGCGGCGTCTACCTTGACTGGTTTCGCCACTTTCGCCTCTTGCTGCATTGGTGGCAACTTTTGCGTTTGACAATAGAGGTCCTGCGTGGCGTAAAGTTCTGCCAGCTTCAGGGAGTTGGAAACCCCCTTGCCATAGTAAGACTGGTCCCCTACCCTCCACCTAAGGGTGACAGTATGCCCGAGCGGTCCAAATTCCTTGGACACGGGTTCCTCTCGGGCGCCGATAGTGGTGCGGTGCCCAGCAACCATCCATTTCGTGATTTCTTCAATCTCTTCTAGTGTCGGTTTTTCCATATGCATCAGCATACATCTCGCTGCGTTTTTCTTTGCCGTTTTCTTGTTGGGAGCGGTGGCAGTTCCCGTGATTTTCTACTAGAGTTGGATTACGACGACTACATGCTTACCTCTCCACCGTTGACGGAAATATCGTATTTGCAGATGGCAGTTGTTTTGTCCATAAAAACGTCCATATTGGACTTGTAACGTGGGTTCTTGAGTTGCACATTGAGCGTCATGAGTACGTTTTCGTCGTTGTACATGAGTTTGTTGAACTCTGGTTTTTTACCGAATTCCGCTGCCATTTGCTCCAACTGATACAGACCAGTGCCGCCACTTAGTCCCATGTCTGCAGTAGCAGCCACGGTCGTCATTCGTTTCTTCTGCGATGGAAGGTCGGCGTTGTCTGAGAAAACGCTCTTCGCCTTGCCTGGGCGCGCCATGCTGCGAATTAGGGCCTTACTCTGAGTGACATAAGCATAAAGACATCGTGGAGGATGCCTGCACTGTATAAACCGCGATACAGCGATTATATGGCATCCTAACATTATATAGCAGAACCAGCGCGTCCCAGGGTTACCATGGCGCCACATACGTTGATCATACGATACAAATTCGTGGTTCAACGATTAATTTGAAAACTGCAAAATATAGAGTTCTCTATTGTGGGCGGTTATCCGTGCGATAACGGTCTTGAGTGGGCATCTCCCGCCGTACACGATTCTACACTTTTGCGCCGGATGTGTGAGCTATGATGCTTCCGGCGCTTGTAAACACATCTCTGCGCGTCGCCACGCGCGCAGTACCGCGCTTTGGGACCCGTGGCTTCAGCGGACGACGGGCCAGGCGCACAGTCAACACCCAGATGACTCCTCAACAGCAGCTCCTCTACCAGCAGAAACTAAAGGAGATGCAGCTGGCTCAGATGCAACCTCCTCGTAAGCAGGGCTTCTTGGACATCATAAAGGAAGGTGCGATGCACGGCATTGGCTGGGCTTTCGGACAGCGCCTGGTCGACTCCATCCTAGGCCCGCGAACAATGAACATCGGCGGCTTCAACAACACCGACAACAGCAACAGCGATGGCCATGTGGGCAGCGGTAACGAAGGAAACGCGCCGACCTCCGGATCGTCAGGTTTTATGAACGGTAGGTGCCGATTTTGTAACATTAAAATTTGCTGTCAGATTCCAACGATAACTCCCACTTCGATGAGGAAGGTGGAGACAATTCGGGTTGGAGTTGGGGCAACGACTGGTTCAACGATGATGATGAGTAAACTTGGGCACAAGCTTCCCCGTTCTAACGTTGTACATCAGCGATTCGCCGTGTAGCCGCGTCGCGTGGCAGCAAACCTTGTCGTGGTAATAATGTAGACAGACTATTCCTTTTTCTCTTTGCTTGGGGACAACCTGAAGCGTGTCACCAACTTCAAGGTCCTCAAGTTGGTTGAACGCCTCTGGCTCTACAATCGCATACAGCTGCTTGGCGGCGCTGTGCGCCTCCGCTACGACGAACGCATTCAGTGTCAGTAGAGCGGTTCTTTCCACGTACGATTTGGACTTCACCATGGCCGTGAATACGTCGTCGTCTGTCACTCGGATTATCATTTTACTCTTCCCAAGCACGCGGGAAATTGTCTCCTCTAGATGGCCCTTGAACACGGACGGTGTGAACTCCCCAAGGCGCACAGTGCCGCTATCCCTCCGGATGGCAAACTGTTTGCAGGGACCGGACAAAATGCTTGCCGTCATTTCGTTTAATCGCCTCTTCCACGAATTTTCGGAGTGCCCGTGTTTGGCGAGTAGGTGCGTCAGCAAGACATCGGCCCACCCACAATGCACTTTGGCCAGACTACGCGGGCTTTTCGGAGATACATGAATTAGTCGCTGCTTGGTGTGCGCTTGGGTTGCTTTTGAATCGAGCATTTCCTGAATCATCGAGATGCTAGTTGTAGTTTGGCATCCTCTCGTTTGCGCTATATGCATGTAGCTGAGGTCCAGAATGTTGCTGGCATAGACATTAAAATTATGCCGAAAGTAGCAAGTGAGATCCGGAGCATCGTTGTAGACAATTTTATTCACATTCGGGCCGAACAGCATCTTTAGAAAGAGGTTTGTCACATGACCAAATTGCAGCTTGTCGTTTCTCAAGTGCAATTTCCTCTTCACAAGATACAACCCTGATAATGTACCTATATACATGGAAACAAAAGGTGTACACTGCGCTACCTCGCCTATGCGCTCATTATGCAGGCGCCCACTGCACAACGTTGTGGGATCGTGTGATACTCTCACATCGTAAATGCATACACGGGGCCGGCGAGCACGTGTCGCCTCCTGTTGGACTATCCCCGGCCGTCCCAACTCCTCAGCAAATCCGACACTACGCCGCGACCTTTCAACATGATGGCGTTTGATATGGCCTAATGTTTCGGAGGGATGACGCGCAAATTGATTACGTCTACCACAACGGGAACCTACCAACGTCTTTGCCAACTGCAAAAGATGGATTGATTTAGTTATTCGGCAAGCGACTTTACCCATCTCAAGAGGTATATCTCGGTGTATGCATCACGTTACAGCTGGTGCCTTCTATATTCGAAAGCACCCTGAAACGATTATAATACGCTCATGCTAGGCTCCAATATCATAGACCCTCGTTTCATATTAATTGCATCAGAGTAATTCATTTTCAGCACGTCTGTTTTGGATTACGTGTCACGATTTTGCATTCGCTAATCTGCTGCGCAATAGCCGCTGCCCTGCCGCACTCCTGAACAGCCCTCAATATAACCAAGGATACAAACTGCAGAATACAGCAATTTGAAGCCACAATACGAATTATGTGGTGCTCAGTAACCTTTGTAGTGGCATCCAAACAATCTCATCCAGTTCGGCGCATTGCTATTGGAATGTGGTGTTGCCCGGTGGGAGGCATGTTTTCTGCTTTTCCCTACTTCCTCTTCTTATCCGCTTTTCCAAAGTCCTCAGATACATTTGTTTGATAGAACTCAGTTATGAGTTCTCCGTGGAGGTACCAGCAGAAGCACATGAGGCCCATCGAACATAGGCATACACAGAAGGTTGCGAATAGATAGCCCTTTCCCTGTTCACCATTGTACACCAACACTAGTGACTTACCTCTAGGAGTTTCAGAATCCCCATCTCCACTTCTAGAATCCAATGCTTTTCAGGTATTTCACAATAAGATTTTTATAGTTCCCTTGAATGATGAATGCATTTCGGGTATCGACGATGCGCCTGTTGCCTACCAGCTCTTGTATTTCTTGCTTCAATATTTGCCGGTTCCCTCGCACCTTCTGAACGTATGTATACGCTAGGTTGCCGTTATTTCGGTGTTTGACGAATACTGCTAGGTTCCCGGAGGCTGCAACATGTTTGCGTGTTGTTGTAGGAGGAGAATCTAACCTGTTCTGTTGATGTGGAACGGTATTGCGTTGAGTTTGGCCTCTACAGCGTCGGCTAATTCCCGTTGCAGCGACGCGAAATGCCTGAATCCTTTGCCGCTCAGCGACCTAAACATGCTCGTTTAAACGATGCTTTTGTGAACATGTGTCGGTTCTTCAGAGCTATTAATATGAGGGCATTCTATATGAAAATCGCAGGAAGGATGTGGCAAAATAATCCTCTGCTTTAATCTATGCCCCGGATATCTTACACATCGCTACAGTGCCGTTGTGCGGCCCGTTTCTGATTGTTAAATGACACAGGCCCGATTAAGCCCACATTCTAGCATTATACGTAGTCTAGAAAGAATTCCATGTCACACATTCGACCCGTTGATTCGAAATGTGGCGTAGGTGTCTGGAATCCTTGAGGCCACGGTTGAAAGCCCATTTCACCAACGAGAACCGCTCTAAGGTCGCTCTCCTTGGTGGATGCTGCACATGTGTGTACCTCAACGGCACTTGGTTGTATATGCGTAATCGATCAGGAGAATCCGCAGAATGCAACCGTTTGGATGGACCCATCCCCCAGGTGAAATACTGCGTATCCCCTTTAACAACATCGCAGCTGTTTATCAGCGACTTCATATCGCATTTTTCACCGTATCTGCTTCCCACATTCTCGAGGGGTGGTTGGATGTCTGAATTCGAGAAGATCGTCAACACCGATTCCTCTGAATTCCGCGAACGCCTCATGGCTTACTTGTGTACGATGCATCGCACTATCCCGCGATAATTTTGCAGGCATGAACAAGGTCCTGCGCAACGGCGTTTGCGTCCGAAGCCTTTTTTCTGGAACACAAAAATTCGACCTTGTTATGGGCGATATTTTGAATCCCAAGGACCTGCCCTCCAGTGCCAACAAAGCCGACGAGTCTGACAGGAAGGAACCGGAACTGCTGTTCAATGTCAAGATGAGCTGCCTGGAGCAATATTTGAGGGCTATCCCCAAGGAGGTGGGTTGTTTGAATCACTGCTGTCATGTTATTTAGGAGCGCAAAGTGGAATACGAGGACTTGGCGCATCTGATCAAGCTGCCGAAACTCTACCAGTCAGCAGGCGCTAACGAGAAGGTGTCCAGGGTATTGCGCCTATTTTTTGAGGTGAGTAAGGTTCCACTATGTTCGCATGCTCGACAGAACGAGGACAATTGCGTCATGGTGGCCAAGAAGGAATTCGAGGTGTTTGAATCATGCTCACTGATAAACAATAATGAGAACAAAATCAGCGACATGATACTAACGTATCTGTACTCGACTAAGTCAACTAGCTCATGGTTTTCGGCGGTAGGATGATGCGGTTATTTGTGCACATTATTCAGCTGCTGAGCGACACGCACCTTACGGCGGTTAACAATGCAGAGTCGATTGACATGATCAATAAAGCAGTTCGTGGCCAGGGTAAGACATTGACAGCGTCGTTCAATTTTCTGCAGAGATGACACTCTCCCCGCTGGCTGTCAGTAGGGTTAATTTCGATGGCCTGCTTCCGATTTTGTCTGCGGCTGAGATATCATATGGTTTCGCTTTTCTCCGAGCCATCTTCTCAGGCAAGGTTCCTGGAATGGACCGCGGTTCCAAGTTCCAAATGGTTGGTTGAACATTCCTACGCAAGGACGTAGCGCTTGTTATGATGTCCACCCCTGTATGCTTGTTAGACATTTCATATGCAATGGCCGTAAACTTGTCATCGATGCCGTTTAACCGTTCTGCTGGTTTTACCGCAGAATTATTTACCTATATCTGTTGAGACTTGCCTCTTATCCACATGGTGCCGTGTAAACATTCGTTTCTGTTGATAATATGTATCAGGCATTGATGGAAGGGTTCAAAAGCACGAGAGGAGTTTTAATATTCCACGCAATATTTTTGCTTCAAAGCAAGATAATAAACTCGGAGTATTATTTCAAGAATGAAGATAACATGGTATGTTTTGCTTTAAGTAATATAATACGGTGTAGATTCCTATGAGTTTAGCGATGTGCTCCAGCTCGTGGCTCGCCCTTAGCGTCCTGTCAATGACCCATCGGCATCTTTTGCTGCCGTTGTTGGTGCATAGATTCTTTAACTGAGCATTATGACGGCGGTAATTCGTTGATGCACAATAGGCCTTATCAGCGCTGTCAACTACTCATCAATATAGTTCAGTGTTGTAGCTAACTGCTGATGCGTTGTGTAGCACATGGCATACTGCCCGGCAGTAGGTAGGCTATGTTAAAAATTTGACGGCAAATGTATATATACTAGTGGAGAAACAAGTGACCAGTGCTGGAGCTCGACTTCACAGTGTTGTCCTAGTTCTCTGCCCGCCCGTATGCAATTAACAATGTGCACGTATAGCCGTTGTTTCACAGAATAGGCAACATGCGTATGGATTATGCAAACTAAGTTACACATGGAATAAGAACCATTTCACCACGGGTGATTAAAATTAACCAATTGTTGCGCCCCATGACGCATCAGTAGTCACGTGGACTATATGTGGAAGCATCTGTGTGTTTCTGACGATACATACGTGTCGTTTTGCATCGTTCTTCTTCCACAACACAGCAGGCAAAAGTCGTGTAGGGCCTTAATATTATTGAATAATGAGGCCGCGTACAAGACCTTGCCGGTGAGAGTGAGCGTAGATATCACATCTGCAGCCGTTCCTGGTACAGATGAATGATATCTTTGTTATGAAATATGGGCTTCCCGCCTAAGGCGGGTTTCCCCGCAGTTGGAGGTCCGTTGTACCCGAACACAGCGTACGAGACTTTGTGGAAGTATGGATACCTGTCTCGGTGATGTGCTTTGTCGTAGTCGATGATCCTATCTATTTGATCCTCGTCTGTCGGGAGCTTGATATCGAACTCGGATTCTTTTTCGACGTATTCCGTGTTTTTCTCAATTCTCTTGAAGTTGGGAACCAGTCTAGCCCACTCGGTAGACTGTGCCGGGCTCAATATAGCCAGCCTCCCGTCTCGCCCCAGTAGGGCCACTCTCATTGAGTGTGGAATCCAGATTAGGTCGTTAAAGCCAACGTGTTTCGAGCACCTTATGACAACCTTTAAAAACCTGCCTCTCGCGTCTGCTTCCATGCCAAATATTTTGAGCCCTGAACTCGAATTTGTGATGAAAAAGCAATCGCCTCTGCAGTACCCAAATGCGCCAACCTTGTACCGCACAGCGTTAACTGCCGTCTCATGGTGTCTGAAGATGGTTTTGAGATCTCTAATAGCACTACCCATGCTGGCAGTGATGGATAGAGTGTCGTTTATGACTACTGCGTCACCGAAGTTATACGTAACTTCCGGTAAGTTACAGTGCATAACCAAAGACGCATCCCCTCCAAGCACAGCGAAGGCTCCAAGGTTTCCTTCGCTGTATGCGATATTTTCAATAGCAATGGGAGATATTAGTTGTATTCTACAGATTAGTGTAGCGCTGGGATTGCCGCTAATAACCTGGAGCATCCGGCCCTCTGGCAAAAGTGCCCTGGTTTTATAATTAACGGTTATTTTGAAGATCCCAACGTATCCGAACTCGTGCGCCGCGATCATTAATAACACCCTGCCATAGTTTACGGTGACAAATCTGCCCTCTAACGCTGAACCAGTTTCTCCAAACGCTTCGTTCAGTAGCTGTTCGTCATCCATGGCGGGGTAATCGCTGGCCACCTTTCTGTTTACATGCGCATTGGTCATTGATACCGGTATGATGCTGAAAACCACTAACGATTCGCCTGGATCAGTATGCGGCACCGGAGCCTGGCTTTGTTCGAACTTCATCTCTGCTTCAACTTCCGGGTCGGCGAAGGGCGCCTCTTCGGCTGGATGTTGCGCGGGTGCAACTTGTTTCGCAATCACCTTACCCTTACCGAGCCCCGTTTCGTTGCCTCCGCTACTCTGCGTTTCTCCCACTGACACTTTGCTATCTAGTGTGCTATCTGGTTGGCCTACAGCGCTCCATCCCTGCGATACGTCAGCGAGATTTCTAATTCCTCTGCTCGGTGTTACCGGGGCCATGTCATCGTTCATTTCATTTTCCGAACTGTGCTCACCGGTATCGTCTGCGTCGTTCATATTTGTATCTGATTCGTTTTCATCATTGTACGTATCTCCGGATGAGGAACCTTCATCCATCACGTTTTCATCAGTCTGCGCCCGGTCATCACTGCTTCCAGCGCGCTCTTCGCCATTATAAAAGTTGCGGTCTGTATCGTCGGATATGTCCATATCATCATCATAATCATCCTCATCTACATCTTCATATTGATGTTTTTGATCGTCTGCATTTCCACGTATTTCTAACTCATCGATTTGAATATCCATATCACTGGAACCACTGTAGGTCACGGATATCTGGTTGTAAATGCTGGAGGGCCCGTTTTCAAATCTTTCCACATAGTTGCCATGCTCTGCTGTACCTTGTTGACTGTCGCGTCCATATTGCGGATCGAATCGATTCCGATGGACATTATTTGGGTTCCCTTGAACATAACGACCATCGGGATTGTTATCAAAAGCACCAGAATACTCCTTTTCTTCCCTATTTCCCAACAAATGCTTGTAATTCTCCGCATAGACAGCATCTGATTGTTCAGCAAAAAGGTCATCGGAATAACCATCTGTGGCGCTTTGGCGCGAGATGTTATCTCTGGTTAAGACGAGTGGCGGCGATCGGACAAACCTTTTTGCCCGTGTTATTTGCGTCATCTGTTTGATGTACAGCCCATTCTCTTCTTCTTCTTCTTCTTCCTCTTCTTCTTCCTCTTCCTCCTCTTCTTCCTCTTCTCCTTCACCTCCGCCTTCATCTCCGTCGTATTGATGCCTACGGCCCCCCTCCCCTTCTACACCTACATTCGCATACTTATCGTCATTTTCAGCACTATTTTCATAATTTCCGCCAGCTTCAGCACTATTCTTACCATCTTCCTCCCCTTCTTTAACCCCTTCCTCGCCTTCTTCCCCGTCTTCATTTTTAACACGGCCGTCTTCCTCGTCTTCATTTTCTTCACCTTCATATTTTCCTTCTTCTTCTCCTTTTCCTTCTCTATATTCTTCTCGTTTTATTTCTGGCTTGATTGGGATGGGTTCCAATAACGTTTGCGCATCATTGAGCTCAATGTTACTGAGCACGTTGACTGTTGCGCCGCAGTCGTGATACCACCATTTTTCATCTTCACAGAATACCAACCTATAGTAGTTGATCTCTGTTTTATTGTCGCTAATCATTAATTCGAGGCACGAGAGTTCCCGTTCCGGAAATTGGATTATTTTGACGGTGCGCCTCTCGAGGTTCATCGGGTAGAATGAAACTCTTGCATTTTCATCGAGTTCCCTTCGCAGTCCTGCGGTGATTACGCAGTTCATCTCCTCTTCCATGAGGTCGTAGATTGCGATGCTGTTTTTACCTAGCGCTATCAGGTATTCATCTTGCTCTCCGTAGAATGCCATGTGAAGGACTTCGCGAACATCTTGAATGGCGCCCTTCTTTTGTGGCGCAAATTCGTTTATCAGCGCACATTGCAGCTGATCGGGACACGCTCCTCCTTGCAGTTGTACGTTCAGATTGTGCAGATCCTTGTCGAATACCAACTTGGAGCTGGGTAACGCCGGCGCGTATGTCGGGAAGATAACGATTTCGTTCTTAATAGCAAGAGCTATCGTGTTCCCATCGTTGGATATTGCTACGCATGTGTGACCGGGGCTGCTGCGGTGCGTTATACGTATTGGGAGTTGCCTCGCCATTCTTAGCACCCTATTGTTATCACAGCATTCCTATCTTCCTTCTAGCATATAATACAGAACGAAACATATCTTCATAGTACAGCCTTAAATTAGAGGAGGTGGCCCGTATAATAGGGCGTTCAATGGACAAATTGCGATGTTCTTCTGACAGACCCTAATATATGGTGAGGCACCACCTCTTTGCGCAGACTTGGAAATGCTTGCTGAAACCTTTACGAACATACGTTTGTAACCGTTCTGTTTGCTGATTATAGGCAACTTCTGGCCCACTGTTGTTCACATATATCTATAATTACTGTGCCACGAAAGCAACAGGTCATAGGGTGTCCAATACCGGCGTCTACTTATCGTATTTACAAGATTCCACAAACAATCCCTTTTATTGGCGCATTCCACACACATGAAGTGTATTATAGATCTGTTGGTGCTGCTGGTGCCGTACGGATACTCGCCACACTTTACCTATTGGCGTCGCGTAGATAGTGGCATCCGGTGCATTCGTAGTTTGAGAGGTAGTTCATGTATGCGCATTTGTTGCACTTCCAGAACCTGTCTGGATGATTTTTAATTTCCTCTTTCCTGTACTGTCTTCTTTGCTGTCTGGATACCGGTTTGGCTTCTGTGGGCATATTAACATTTAGTATATCCGGTTGCATTCCGACGAATCCCGTTATATCGAGTCCGTAGGCCTTTGCGTAATTTAACTCTTTGAACTCGTTGTTCAAGATGGCAACATTTACATCGGTTCTGTCGCCGAGCGCTTTTTTCAGCATCGCAGTCGTGTCTGCGGCGTGTTGCGCCGGCCCCGGCCTCAGGGCAGCTTCCTGTGCCTCTGTGTTCTGCCGTTCTGCAATGGCGTTGTACACGTCTGTCTTAGCTGTTTTGTCTGAATTTTTTATTCGCCTTTCGCTTTCGTATCGCTCCCTCCTTGAGCTCCGGCTGCGGTGTCTTGAACGCTCCTTCCGCTCGGTGCTACGATACCGTTCTCTTCTTCTATTTATCGAACTTTCGTCCGACGAACTTCGGCTTTTTCTTCGTCTACTTACTCTGTCACTCGTGTATTTTTTAGAATTGTCCGGATCTCGGTGGTACTCGTTTCTATGTCTACGCGTTTCGTCGGATCGTCTATCGTCACGGGCATGCCGCGAATGCGACCAATCAACCGCCTTCTGGGCACTGTCCGTGTCTGACGACGGGCTGTACTTGGATGTGCGAGTTCTTCCTCCCCTATCCCGTGACCTTGACGAGCGGTCGTGTATGCCCCGATGCCGTCGCCTTCCCCTATCACTGTCGTACGATTCGCTTCTTCGACTTCGTCGTCTGGCACGCGAAGCGTCCTCGGACATCTTATGGCGCGAGCGCTACAGGTGTGTAATGGCCTCGTTACGTTGAAGCTTCGCGTAGGCCACCCATTGCCCTTCCTGCGCCGCGTCGCTTACGGCACGTCGCAACGCTGTTCCGGGCTGACGTGTAAATGTCAGATACCCAAGTAATGTGATTCGTTAACGGTGTCTATGTGTTTCGCTAAGTTTTGTTCGACTAGTGCCTTCAGCCACCACAGATTGGTTGCTCATACGGAATGCCGCTACCACACCGCCGTAGCGCCGTCAACAGAGCTTCCTTAATAGCGTATGCGCATTGATATACTCAGATAGCATAAGAATGCGCATAAATTACGGTGGAAGTGGCGCTAGTGTCGTTGACACTGAGCGTCTCCGATGGAACGTTGCACGCCATAGGGACCGCTTCTGGTAGCCTATCAGAAGTTATTGACGATCACAAATATACAGTCGAGTTCTGAAAATATAGACGTTGAATACAGATACATGATTCTCAGTGAATAACAGGCACGTAGTCGGGTTCCCCCTGCGTGGAATATTAGAGCCAGCGGTTGGTTACTCGCTAGCCGCTTTCCTTTCCCATGTAAAGTCTACAACATTCCAAGAAAATTTGGAGATAGTTGTTGGCGTCTTCCTCCCACAAAATTGCCCAATAGCGGTCAGTTTACGTACTCGGCGACGCCTCCACGCCTTCGCCATCCTTCCCAACATCTGAGCGGCGCGGCTGGCTGTTGGGAACTCGGAGCAAAAAATATGCACCATCGTTGTGGCTAATGTAATGCCGTAGGAGTGGAAGATTGCAGAATAATTTGCGCTGTTGCTTCACCTTCCACGCTGTGATTGTCGCTCAAGTTGAGATTATTTCCGGCAATTTGTGCTGCATTGTCGCATCACTGCACGCAGATCTATATGTTTGACCGGTAAGACGACGAGGATAACGAAGTCGTCCGGTTTTTACGACATTTTCATAGTAGCTGTTGTCTCAGTCATCTTGCGTTGTATTATGCTCCCCGTTCGCGATGGATTCTCTTACTCACGGCCATCACATGGCTTCTAAACGCGTACACAGCCATCCGGAGGAGGAAGATAATTATTCAGGAGCTGATTGCGGCGTTGATGGGCATATCACCTGCGGCGGTTCTAAGCGCCGTCAGGTAGAGGGCCAAATGTTAGCAGACTTGCATAAGGTTGAACCCGTCAGCGAGCCAACCGACATGGCGACGGGCTCTCCATCGAATTTGGTGTCGTGCAGCATAGGCGATATTCCTCAACTGCTGAGTCATAGGCGGTGCCGTTCCGGCGACACCCAACGCACCGTCAGCAGCAACCCCTGCAACGACCCCTTCGAGGAATACAGCCAGCTCGCTCGTTCAATATTCCGGCGCATCTACTACGACTTAAGCCGCGGCATCGAAGTCGGCGACAACGGCATCAGCTACTTGTTCAAGAGCTGCATCAACGACATCAGCACTTCAACGTATGGCATGTACGGTGAAATCAGGCCAGCATGCCTTGCGAAGGTTTGTGAAGAGATGGTGCGTTTCGGTATGGATGAGCGCAGTGTGGTGGTCGACCTGGGAAGCGGGCGAGGTGCCCCAAATTTTTTGTTTGCGCACCAGGTGCGCGTGTTTGCATCAATCGGAATTGAGTTGTGTCCCGTGAGCTACGGACTCTCAGTTCACAACCTGATGCACTACCTGAAGTTGGATGTCGCTAGCGGCATTAGAGAGCTCACTTCTTTCGGTGGTGTTAATGTCGGCGATGTCTTATCTCCGATCTCTGAAGTGTTAGCGAAGAAGCTGTCGAGTGTCGAGCCGGATGATACGATGCAGACCCCTCAGCGCAACCGCCTAACGAAAGATGACAACGATGACAGCGCCTCCAGTGGCGAACGCACTGCCTTGGGCGTGAATGACAGCGTGGTGACCAACTATGAGAGCAGTTCGACGTACGGTGACTCCACGTCGGCAACCCCAACCAAAGACACGGAAAGCTCCAATGACGACGAAGAAGCATTCTACCGCGCCATGCATCGCATGTCAGTCACGCCATCGAAGCTATCTGTCGCATTTTGTAATGAGGACATTTCTGCTTTCGACCATTTCGAGGGTGCGTCCCACCTATACTCGTTCGACATCGCCATGGAGAAGGCTCTCGTTAACAACATTGTGCGCCAGTTTTCCAACACTCGCAGCGCTTGGTTATTCGCATCGTTCAATGGCGACTTAATTGAGCGTTTCGAGCTGAAAGATTGCTTTTTGGCGAACCGGATTCCGTGCCAGATGTACAAGAGCGGCGAGCGCCGTTTCTGCTACATATATGTGAAGAACAACTGGGAACAGCTGAAGATGGAGCACGACGCTGCCATTAGTGAGATGTTCGGACTTCCACTTCCGACAAACGCCACACCACCTCAGCCCGAGGTTGCCACCACAGGTCGCAAGCTGCGGCCCAGGCGCTCGCGGACTCCTACACGCGGTGGTAATGCGGCGTCATCTGACTCGTCTGACACCCCTCTGAAGAGTGCCAAGTCCATGTTGGTGTCGCAGTTTGACGAGCCTGTGGGTTTGATCGAGGCCGTTAAATTGGCAAAAATGCCTCTGGAGGCTCAGCTCGGCTGGTATGCGAAAAAAATTGCGCGCCCCCAGGAAGTAGTGACCCGTTCAAAGGTCGTAAATAGTACTGAGAGGGTCCGCATGGGCCTAGCCTCCCAGCGCAGCAAGCTGCTGGAGATGATAGCAACCTCGACAGACCCGCGCAACACAGCAAAGTACGTGGGTATGCTGAAGCGCCACCTGCAGCAGAAGTACATGCCGACGCGCAGCTTTGCGCCGCCCTCGGCGTAGTATAACATCGCATAATGTGTTGTCTGTGTATACATTCAGCCGTAGTTGTCCCGTGCGTCTTTGCGTCACGGTACGTATTTCAACTTGTCCTGCTGCGGCTCGAACTTGAGGAAGTCCCGTTCCGTAAGCGAGTCCACGACCTTGTTGAAGTAGAACCGGTCGATGTTGGGGTGCTTGGATGCGCACACCTTGAAGACGTTCGAGGCCGAGTCCTCGAGGTTGATTTTTAGGTGGCGCACAATGGTGGCCTCCATGGCGGGGGTCATGTCCTCGATGGAATTGTGGGTGGATTCCGCCTGGTTGCCCTCGTCGAACATTTGGTCTTTGTGCTGGAGGTCCAAGACCTTTGCGGTGGGCACGAACGCCGGGTTGAGCCCGAAGCGGTCACCTTCCGTGCAGGTTGCGAAGGTGATCCCTGGAAGTTGGAAGACCACCAGTGGGTTAGACGAATTGTTGAGCACGGCTAGATGTTCGCGCATCATCTGCTCATTGTACTCCTGGCCTATAAGCTCTCGCAGCGCTGCCAGCGATACCACGTCCATTTGGTTGAGTGCTAGCAGACAGTATGCCTGCGGCGGATGAAAGTGTCATAATCTCAGTTTACCTGGTAGATGGAAAGCTTGAGGTCGTATTTTGCCTACACAACAGTGAGACAATGGATGTTTGACGGCGCCCTTACCCCATTAAACTCCATTTCCAGCGTAGCAGACCCGTATTCCGGGAGGTACTCGACGGTTCTGTTTTTGTACCGACCCGTGTAGAAGCTGGCGAATTCCTTGTGCAGCTGTTTCGCCACCTGCAGGCAGGGATCCATTTTAACATCGAGTGGCGCAGCCTGCGGCTGTGCGCCATCGATCTCGCAATCCAGGAACGCGTCGTCTGCCGGTTGCGTCTCCATGGGCGGGTTCCTTACGCAGGTGTCCTTGGACACTACGAGCGTTGAGAATGGGAAGGCGTTGCCAGTAAACGTCGCCAGCGCCTCTTTATTGGCAGTGCTAAATTCCGCGGCGATCTTGCATGAGCTGCTGTGGTCGTTGATGAGCGCGTCCAGCTTGGCGACGTATGCAGTGCCGCACTCCTCCTTGAGGTTTGCCACAACGGCTGCATGTACCTCGTTTATGTTGTGCTCGTACAGCAGCCTGCTTGTGAGCATGCCCCTGAAGTATACCTCGAAGTTAACTTTTTTCGTGAGGGCCCTGAAGATGTGCATGAAGAACTTGATGCCGCGTGGGTCCTCCATGAAAACACCTGCAGGGATGTCGTGCGGCGCACCGTCTGCGTATGAGGCCAAAGCTATCGTCACCGCCTCCATGACGTGTTCGTTTGCGTTGATGACTTTGTTCCACAGGGTTTGCTCCTTCGCCTTAAGGTCCACATTAGCCGGTAGGGTGCCCTTCACCGTATCATCGAAGCACGACTTGAAGTTATACAGGTCCATGATGAAAGTGTGGCAAATCTGTGGCGACTTGGCCAGAGACATTGTTTTCGAGGCCTCCAGCAGGCCTGTCGCTATATCCTCTCCGATGCTCTGCGACGCCTCGAAAATGGCGTCCTGCAGCATCGCCTTCCACTCCGTGTTTTCATATATCGAAAGTAGCACTGTCATCGACTGGACGTCCTTCTGCCTTATGATCTTCTTCAGCTCCTCCCGGTTCATTAGTGTTTGCGCGTTCAGGAACAGTATCTGTACCCGCACCACGTCTATGACATTCTGCACGCTCTTTTTGATGAGATATTTCTTGCAGCAGTCCTCCTACGGAGAGTCAGATGTCACAAATGTTGTCTCACCTCGTGTTGAATCATATCCTTGAAGACGTAGTAGGCCTGAGTGATCTGGTTTTGCGATAGCACCTCTGCCGCCCGCTGGTGGTAGTAGCTGCGCGTCTCTGCCAACAGCCTCTCTTCGAATTTGTCGTATATATGCACGAAGGTAAACATCTCTATGATGTTCCGGATTTGGCAAAATATGACTTCACTTCCCCTCCGGTAGTCCGCTATTCTGTCAAGCACTGCGATCATTAACCTGTCCTTCATTTTCTGCCTGGTCTCCAGGTAATTCTTGAAGTAGTTCATGGCGGCGGCCCTATGCTGGTTAGTTCAATGCTCGTGATACCTACCATATTGAGAAGCCACCACTGGTGGCAGGAGATTCCAGCTGCGAGCAGACCTGTATCAGTTCACTCAGCGCCCCCCTGAGATGGCACCAGCACATCTCCATGCGTTCGAACACCCTTTTGTTCCGGTAATCGTTATCTTCATTTTCGGGCGACCTGCTGTCTATCTCACGGTCTATATCAGCTAGCATCGATTCGATGGTTTCCTTGAGATGGGCATCCAATTGCGTGCTGAGCTCATGCGATCGCCTCCTCGACACCATTTCGCGTACGTACTCCATGATGAGGGTTTTGTTGTACACCAGCCCAGAGCTGCCAAGAAGGACAGCCTTGGTGAACCCCTTCAGCTGGTCCAGGTAGTGGCCCATGCAGCTGTCGCTGTCCGGAGGCACCTCTGAACAGTTTTAAAGCACCCAGTTGTATAATATGGGGGACCACCGCCATATAAGCTACCGCGTACTCACCTACGGGTACTCGGAAATCGACCTGGAGCCTTGGCTTCGCTCTCTTCAGCTCCATCTTCTTCGTGTATCCTCGCTCGAACGGAGATGGGTTTAACGTGTCCGCACTTCCTGGTTACTGCTGCTTTTACGCGTATGACGCCGTCATGGTTTTGCAGGATGACCTTTTAGACCCTTTCATAAGGCCGACATTCCGTTCAGGGCCGCTCTGACAGATGTGTCGGCGCAATTGTTATCGTCACTATTACAAGCAATGTGTTTTTGATAGTGTTCTATTATTTAACGTGTCTACTGCGTCTGGCGCAGCGTGAGGGTGTGGCGATGCAATTTTCCGTGGCAGCTTCCGAGTTCCCTCCTTCCAGCACTAGGAAGGCAGCAGAGCGGAAGAATCGGCTACACATCGCATGATTGCAGTGTCTACAAAATGTGCTGGCAGATTAGGATGTCGTACTACATCCAGAGGATGAGTTACGTTCTCACGTACCTAGGCTATGTGTAGAGCAGTGATTCGAGCTTTATCCGCCGTCAACCATAGACAAACACTAATGCTCACAACGTTAGGAATTATGTTTCTAGATGTATGCGTATAAATATAGTCGATAACAATGGCTGATGTGTCCCTCCGTCGTGCTAATTCTGTCGAGAGCACGCCAGACGGCAACCTTATAAGAGCGCGCCGCAACCAGCTGTAAACTGCTATGGATTTTACAAAACCCGTATCGCATACCTAACGGACCTTGCTGCTGTTTCAGGCGCCCTTTTTTGACGGGGACCTGCTTGCTACATTTGGTTTCGAAGGGTTTGCCAGCCAGACGCAACGATGGAGCAAGAACGTGGCAAGCGCGTACCCGAGGAGGTGCTGTTCAAGTGGGACAACGACCATGATTCTAAGCGGCGTCCGTTCGCGGAAGCCGAAGGCGCCGCTGCCTCTGCGACTGGATCGGGATCCAACCCTCTGACCTCGAGTGGCATCGGCGCGTTTCGCAACGTCCTTCCTTCCCGTGTCGTACCGTCTGCGCAGCCAGATGTGAACAATGTGCACCTGGAAGCGAAGCGGTTGCGGGAGACGGTCGCCAACGTTCAGCTTTCGCACAACCGGGACTGGCTCGCTGCGAACACGCGCGTCACTGCTCTTGGCAAACTGGATGTACTGGATAGGCTCTCGTGTATGCTGTTGAACCGCGATAGCGCTATGCGCTACGAGTCGCTGCGGTATATTCAGCGCGAGTGCACTTCCGAGTTCGAGTTCAACAAGAAATTGTGCGAATTTCGCCTGCGGCGCTTGAACAGCACGCTGGTGCCGGAGTACTGCATTCCGCCCGTGCATATTCGTAACACTACGCTGGTGTCTAAGATGAAAGGCAAATGTGGTTGCCCGCTGCAGGTCTACATTAACTGGGACATGCGTACCCCGACCCCTGTCGCCATGAAGGGTGCAGCAACTGGTGCCAATCGCGGAGTTCCGGGCATAGGTATCGGTGGAGTATCAGCCGTGCGGCCGTCTTTGAATTTTGGCAGCGACACGTTCCTCACTGCTCGCGAGGAGCCACTGGGCACGGGCCCGCAAAGCGGCTCAACCCATTTTAATCGCGTTATTAGTGGATTGCTCGGCGGATCGACGTATTATGATGCGAATTCGGATACTCGAGTTACAAGTGAAGGTCGGCCTCAGGGCGCCGTCCCGCCGGTTCCCGCGGCCTCCGAACAGCGCGCACCATCGTCAACCGACGCCACCGGTGGTTGGGCGCTCAACAGCAACGACTTCCGGCCGTCGTCTCAGGTTAGCGGGAATGTGGGTTCTATTGCAACCCCTACGGCGACATCTAATGACGGGCGGTTCACGCGTGAGCATTTGGAGGCGGTTTGTCCTATGCATGCTGCTTCTGCGCTGCCCGATTTGCTGTGCTCCAAAGGCGGTTCTATGAAGGTTATCCGAGAATTCGGGCTAGTGTACCGGTACGAGGTGTCATCTGCCAACTCCGGTGAAGTCCACATTCTGTCCATGCACAAGATGCTTGGCGACACCAAGGTGTTTAACTTCCGTCTGCCGTCTGCGCTGCAGACCATGAATGCGATATACCTGCGCGACTTTGAACTGGAGCGTTATCAGTCTGCTTTTAGTCCGGACGTGCGGGCACCAGACGAAGTCGACAAGTTGCGCACCTCGTACCTATCATCCGTGTACACCGGCCCCGCTCTGATGATCGCCACGTCGACCGAGTTCATTATCGCATTGGTCCACGAAACGCCCGGTTCAATGCGTCTTGGTGTATTGTTCCGCGAGCGCAACTGCGGCCACGTGATTAATGAGGTGTTCGGCCACCGCGGGTCCGGTAGGGTGTTCATGCTCGGCCCCAACAGCCTGCTGTACGAGTTCCAGTACCAGTTGGGCGCGATAGATGCCAGGGACACCTCCGTTTTTGGGAAGATGATGCCAATGATTGTCAAAGGCTGCAAGTTTGTCCTGACGGCCCTGACCAACGACCGTGTCTACAAGCTTCGCGGCACCGTCCCCGGCGGATACACCGTCGAGTTGGGTGCTGGTGTCAGCGACTCTCGCATAACCGACCCGGATAACTGGTGGGAGGGAAGTGGGAACTGTCTGACTGATTTAGGGAAGCCTTGCCCGATCAGCGGTACCGTTTACTGGCCGCCCTTGCAGTGGCGTGAGCTGCATCTCTCGCTGCAGGAATCCAGTTTTGCCGACGGTTTCGGCCGTGAAAATTGCACATGCGTCAGTCGAGGTTGCTGTGTGAAGCACGAGTGCCGTACGTGCGTGAAGCTGCTGAACCCGTGGGACAAATCTTACTTTGGAGTGTTTGCTTCCGGTGGTTCCATCCTCAGCCTGGACGAGGATAGGTGGTTGCTGTGTATGCTGCGGGATGACAGCGGCGACTTGAGTGTCTTCAAGATCCCGGATGAGTGCAATTTCGAACATTTCGTAAAAGGTGTGGTGGACTACGATCGGATGTTTCCCTACACGTTAACTTACTACAGTTTGCGCAACAGCGACCTGGTGAACCAGTTGATGCGCGCGGGTTACTTTCGCGTGGTTGGTAGCCCATCTGGCTATCGGTGTTGTGCGGTGTTACCGGTTCCTCTGGGTTTATGTGAGGGCGTCGACATCGTATTGGTCGACAACTACGGCAGCCGGATCTTCGTGGGTTTCATGACCGACCAAAATAAGAAGACCTCACTAGTTGTCAAGGGATTCAAGGCCGCGCAGATGTTGATCGAGCGTCGCTCGGTGATGAGTAGGCCGGTATCGTTCGGCTCTGGTTGGCAAACTCCCAGTCAGCCACAACCTGCAAACACGGCTGCAGTACAGGTTAAGCGCAGCTATTATTACGTGTCCGACCTGTTCGTCGTCTGCGAGTTCTACGTGAAGACTAACAATATGACACTTGCGAAGATAACACTGTTTGCCCCCGAGTCTGCGTCTCTGTGTCAGTCAAGCGGGCCTTCCCCGCAATCTGTGTCGGAGGAGTTGTGGTCTCACAACCAGCGGCAGTCTACGCCTCGTGGAGAATCAGATGCGCATAACTCTGCGGCGCCGCGTCTGCGCCCTATCGAGTGGTATGACGAATTCTGTATCCTGTTGTCGCCTGGTGAAACCGTCCTTGACGTGTTCTCACAGCGTCGTGACTCCGCCGATGGAAAGAACGGGTTCAGTTGGGAGTTGGCATTCGTCACGTCACAAAAGATATACACCCTCTACCGGTCGAGTTTGATGCGCCTCATCACCGCGCTGGTGGAGCACCCTGTGTCGACGCTTAGGTACCTCGACCCCCCGATGATGTCGCATGACCATCGGGCTGCCATCACATCGCAACGCTATAACAAGGCTGCAGAAACGCCCGATGGTGTGCATTTTGTGGACATTTTCGCCGACGGTCCTCAACGCGGTGACCTGTGTGGTGAGGACGCTACTAAGGAAGCGGTTGCTTACGGATTGTATTACTTGTCCTGGTTGTTCACCCCCGAAGAGGTATTCAGGACGTGCTGGGAGTTGTTATCGGAACGCAGCGAGCCCCTACTTGAATCGTTGTTGCTTGGCGCCAATGATGCGCAATGCCTATTATTGACGTCCATGGGCATTTCATCCCAGGCGTTCGGTTGGACGGCGCCGGGTGCATACGCCGTTGATGACGCCGGTAAGCCGACGACACCGGCGGTAAGCCCCTGGTGCAAGTTTGTCATATTCAGCGAGCCTAAGTTGCACCGCTTTAACCGGGTATGTACCGGCATGACATCGGTGGCTGTAGACGGTGTGCTCTCTTTGGTATGCGGGCTGCTGGAATCAGTGTGGCTGGAACGCACGTTTTCTTGTGTGCCTCTGCTGACATCCGACAGACGCTCCTCCAAAAACGATGGTTCTCTTCCTTTCACTCCGGAAGACCAGCTGACGCATCGTAACGAGTTTGTCGTGGGTTCGAGGTTTGAAAGCGACCTGATGCTGTGTCTGCGCCGTCCCTTGACGGAGGTTAAGGCCAGATTGGTACAGCTGCGCAAGTTGTATCTGCTGCTATGCAAGGTCGCCATGCAATACGAGTCGTTGCAGCCCGGCACCGTCGAGGCAGTGGCCAGCAGCGTGAGCCGCCTGTCGCTCAGCCTCCAGCGTGACATTTTCCCCGACGACTGCTCTGCCGAACAGTCTTATGGAAACGATACCTTCAAAAATCCCATGGCAAACGGCTTCGGCATGGACAATGTTGCTAAAACGAGCCCAAGATTCCCACACGTCGGCGCTGCTCCGGAGCTTACCAACGCCGGCAAAGCATCGCCGTTCGACGTCGCTACAATACTCCGCCGCTTGCGCCAGCGCCGCGATAATGACGTGAAGACTCTGCGGGAACTGGTGATGCTGCTCGAGATAACCCAGGAATACCTCGCATGTTGCGTGCTGCTGCACCGCAACTGCATATTGGGAGACGTTCAGCACGAGTTCGGTCGGATGTTCGCCGACGTCCGCCTCCTTCCATCTGAGGGCTATGGCCGTATGACCATCGGCGACTTTTCCTACAGCCCAGTGATGCAATCGCACGAGCCTACCGTCTACCCGTTCAGCGTGGAGCGCATTGCTTCCGCGGATCGTCCTCCGTACGCGTTTACGATGTCGAGGGAGTTCTTCTTCATTATGTCGCGATCCAACCTGCTCAACCTGTGGGTTATGACTTCATTTTACATCTGACATTTTTTCAGGTGTTCCAACCAGGAGTACTACCGTTCGTTCCGTGTGGCGGTGTGGCTCGCGGGCGGCGAGGTGTCTAACCTACAGGACTACTTCTACGGCCACCTGTTCAAGTGAGTTATTTACGCTGTTATAATGTCATGGTTTGTGTAGGTCCGACGAGCTGCGTTTGAAGCACTGGTCCAGCATGGTGAAGTCGCTCGAACGTCAGCTTGCAACGGCAGATAGCGACGCCTCGGTGGCTCAATATGCTCGTTTACTGATGCGGTACCTCTCGGAAAAGCAGACGGCGCAGTAATCGCGCGATATGCGTGGAACAACTTTCTAAAGCATTATATCGGGTACATGCCCCGCCCATTTGCAGCGGGTAGCCGTAATGAACGATTGCATTGTTCACATCCGTAACGCGCTAACTGTCACCAAAACACGGCCATACGTGACCTGTCGTTCACTACAATGTCTGTGTACACGTATACACCAGATGTAGGTTATACAAACATTAGCCCTCGACGGGTTGTCTGCGCGTTTTCAACTGCCCCCCGTCAGTGTCGGGAAGTTAAATGACATTGGCCGCGTCCTTCTCGGCAGCTCCTTGCGATAGCGATGCGTCATCGCGTTAGGCCGCGCACCGCGCCACACTACTTACGCTGGCGGGTGATGGTGCCGTAGGTCTTCTTGCCGAAGTTGAACGGGACGTACTTGTACTTGATCATGTTGCTCAGCTGCTCGCGCATGGTGGTGGCGAAGAGCACGATAAAGTAGAACACCAGCAACGGCCAGAACACGGGTATGTCGAGGAACTCGATCCTGGAGCATATCAGGGCGGCGTGCGTCGCTCTGGTTGCGGAGAGCCAGAAGGTGAACTCGTTCATCTGGCGCAAAAACGGCCTGAACTCGTAGATGTTGTCGTTGTTCTTCATCCGTTCAAGGGTGATGTTGGCGGTCTTGTTCTCGCTCGACGGCAGGATCGTGCCTCCATGCTCAGCTTCGTGCGCAGCGCAGAGATCGTCGAAATCCAGAGGTGTGATGAACCTGAGCAGCAGGTTGAGCAGGTATACAGCGTACATGTAGGCGACGACAAAGTGCATCCCGTACTCGAAGACATGGTGGCAGAAGATGAAGCCGATGAAAGAGAGGTAGAACCACCTGATGAACACACGGCTGGACAACCAGTCGAGGTACGTCTGGTAGAAGCGGATGAGGAAGACGAAGATACCGCCTTTGGAAGAGTCCCTGCCCATTTTGGCCACACGGTTCTTTCGTTACTCCAAGGGCCTGGGTGTGTTTGCTTATGTAGTGACCGTCCAGAGGGCGATTTGGAACGGTACCTTTTCGTAGTCTTATGTAGACTGCTTCCGAAAAAATGCCAGCAATTTCAGCTGTGTAATGTTATTACACTACCCGGCACTATGACTCGGTGACGTTGCGCACCCAAGACGCTTCGCGTTGTGTTATTCGGGGTCTCACACTCCAAGTTTCTCGTAACGTATAAGTGTGTTTATGTCTATAGATTTACGTCAATTGTTTTGTTAGCGCTTTGTTGCCGATTCCCCGGCGATACACATGGTATATCTGTCTTACCGTATTTCCGGCACAATGCATTGCCATTTTACTGACTTTTTGCGGGCTAAAATAAACGTACGCTAAGCATTCACCACATAAACCTTTGGTGTGCGCGTATATTATTATCGCCAGAGCACGACTCAGTAGTTTTACATGGTACCATATCCAAGGGCGTCAAATGTCTAACGGAGATGGCCAAACGTGTAGGAGTAATGCGACTCACGCGTAAAAGTAACACATATGATGCAAAACAGTGGAGTTGTACATAACCTTCACGTGATCTCGCAGCTTCGGTGGTTTACATGTCTGCGGTACTCCCGCCATATCAGCGGTGCACTGGACATCCACTCTGCATGTACTACATGTTTATGGTCGTTTAGATTATGTTCAGTATATAATACATATGTTACATCGCGTTTTGTGCGTCTAGGGTATTCGTACGCGCTACGCGCTGGCTGACCCCCTTTCGGCGCCTTGCATTTTAGCCGCCGAGAACACACACGTGTTTTGTCTGAGCAGCCAATGCAACAACAGAGACTCGCGGGGTGCGTATATGTCGCTTTGGTGAGCTTTGCTGCGATACGCAAAACACCAGTAGCCGCATATTTCTCTATGAAGCTTCCCCATACTTTAGTCGCCTGTACTGTACATCACTCTGACGGTGACAGGATGTGCTGAGAACCACAGCAAGCATCATTCAGGTTGTCGGTCTCATGTAGGTTCATCTGACCGCATCAGTGAACGTCGTGCGAGTCGAATACGAGAGGGCTGTAACCATAGCCTCTCAGTTTGCCGTAACCCTCGGCATTGCCACTTGCGTACGCATATTCTACAAGCGCCAATAGTGCCTTCCATACCTTCCAGCAACAATACAAGAGTACTTCCAGGAACAGTGTGAGACCCCTGAAAAATCTAGCCCTGAATCGACCCAACCATCCGTAGTAGTAGATGCTGAAGACAAGAGCAACGCAAAATCCCTTGGCAAGAATCAGTGGGACGAAGTACGTTAGCCATATGTGCCACATGATTACCAAAATGACGCCGCTAACCACCTTGTCTCCGGCTTCTGACTTTATAGCCTTCTCGAGGTTCTCGCTAGTCATGATCACCTGCATCGCCTCACTTGCCATTGATGTCACACTTCTAGTCGCGATTCTCGATACAGTGTTTTTGACTGCCGAAACAGTTCCGGAGACAAATGACGTAAAAGCGCCCCAAAGACCCGCCATCTCGTTTACGTTCTTAAAAAAGCTTCACCAGATTCACGTGTCTCCCACTACTTCTCAAGTGGAGAATTGCTGTTGTGATCCAACAAATGGACAGCAGCGCAGTTTTTGGAGAGCAGGCTTCTAGTCTTCCTCGAATATATCGCCCTCGGTTGTCACGTTGCGTATAATGGTAGAATTGAGGATGCGTCAACGTCGATATAGTCTGCCTCCTCCCATAACTCCACTGGAATAATGCGATAAAAAAGTCGCCAAAAGCACACCGGATGAGCTGGAGTTGAGTACCGCGTTATACCACGCAGCGGTCTCAGATTAGATGGACTTATCAAATAAAACTGTATATGGAACAAACGACATAGCAGGAAGTGGAATCTTAGCGCTTTAATCGGCCGATGTTGCTTTCAGCCGCCTCGGAAAGGATAAGCGCCTTCCTACCCATCCCGCCGCTTTGACGACGACTCCATCGCGTGAATATTTATATAATATCGTTTAACTCTTTGTAGAACCCATAGTAGCCTGCGACACGCGCCGCAGGCCTAAGAATGCGCAAGCTGATAGCGCCTGTGGGGACGCCGAAGCGATTTTACACATTTATAGCGGTTATAACAAGCTTAGGATGACTGTGTGTGACGAAATCTTATTATATCGTGCTTTGGATTATAGATGATTAGCTTCTACGGCAGTGTGCGTATTGGCAAGCGCGGCGTTGTCGATATCTTCGGTATGCGCTAAGTTGTAAAATTCAATCGTTGACCATTTAAACGTGAAACCTTCCATGGTTATTGGGATGTTTTGTGTACAATTACGTTGTTGTAAGAACAACTAACGCGAAATACCGCCCCCAAATTTACGCCGGAGACAACACACCTGCCTTGTCGGTATTGAGAAGGCATGTGTGTTTACCCGTAATCAAAGATAGCGGCGACTATACAGGAAGCAAATCTACCGCTATAAGCGCAAGATATTGATAACGCCATTAGCGCTCTATCAGTCCCAAGACAAACCTGCCTATGAGTCGCAGCCGATGACACTGGCCACGCCGCGCTGGCAGTTGGGTCCCGACTGCTCGACGTGACGCTGGTCGAGCAGCAGTGTGTCGGGTATGTATATCTCGTCGTCCTGAGTGTCACGGGCTATTGCCTTCTTTGCGATCTCGAGGAATGCAGTGGCAACATTGTGTGCCGTCTTTGCGCTGCGCGGGAATGCGTGTCGTGTTGCCATTAATTACCTGGTTTCGAAGTGCGGTATGTCGTTGTTAGCCTTGCACCAGTTAGTGGCCTTGTTGGCGCTGACCTTCCTGTTTGCAACGTCGTCCACCTTGTTGCCGATCAGTGCAAACGGGAAGGAGTCTGGGTCCTTGGGTTCCACCTGGATGAGGAACTCGGACTTCCAGCTTTCGATGGACTCAAATGTCTTCTGGTTGGTGGTGTCGTAGACCAACATGCAGCAGTCCGCGCCCCTGTAGAACGCTTTGCCGAGGCTTTGGAACCGCTCTTGTCCGGCGGTGTCCCATATCTGCATGGCATGAATTCCTTCGCGTGCAATCGCATTTTTCATCAATTGACAAGGATACACGTGAAATAACCATCTTTTAACGTCACAATTCAACGGGCAACGGATAGGTGACGTCATCCGGGATGACGGTTACACAACAAGGTCAACCGGTAGGAGGCCACCCAGCACACTCAATACAGCCAACGGCTACACACCGCTGCTGACCAAGGAAGGTGTTAGCCATAATACCGCATGACCCTTACAGCAGAACATTGTAGAGCTTTATGAACGGTCCACTACATCCATAGAGTCCCACGTCAGCCAATCAACATCACTAACAACATACCTGCAACGTCACCACCTTGTCGTCGACAGTCACCTCCTGCGTGGAGAAGTCGGCACCGACTGAGCGCTATGAACTGCCTTCAGTTGCCCTTACTTGTAGCCCTGTACTGGTTGGTGAAGCGCTTGTTGATGAACTGGTTCATCAAGGAGGTCTTGCCAACCCTGTGACGGTGTGTCGCCTCTGCGTGGTTCCGCCTACCCGCTGTCGCCCAGAATGATGATTTTCAAAATCGGCCTCTTCCTCGCCATTGTGTCGAAATCGAGAAATGCGCCTCTGACACCCCAGTGACACATCGGGAGGGCGGCTGCTGGCGCGCGACACACACCCGTTTATCCCACTTGGTGTTCGATATATTTGTACCATGCGATTATAGAATCGTGAGTCGGTCATTTTGGATCATATTGTTAAGTGTCTATTGTCATCTTCGGTCTTTATTGCCTTCCGTTGCCAGGTGGTTTTGACGATGTCATTTTGTTGCTGCCGAGAGTGATTCAAGTAGCGCTAAAACGTTGATCAACGCTAGGTAGACATGTAACAGTGTTGGAATGCATATATATGCTCTGGAATCACGGTTGAACACGTAATATTTCCTGATCTTTTTAGCTATTGCTGACTTAAGACAGCATTAGAAGCTTGTGGTAAAATAGAAAACTCCTACCATTGCTGACAATGACTTTTTATCATAATGGAGTTAGTGTATTTTTGTCATAATACGTGCATCGTGACATAGGAAGGCGCTCAAAACTCACTAGCAATGGTGACAGTTTGCACTATCCCACTATCAGGGCTTTATCGGTACCAATGAGCATAAAGGAAATAATATCGAAACCATTATACGATACTGTTTCAGTGAAGCACGTCGTCTGACAGATTGTGAAACCGTTTGCCAATGGTGCAAGGCCGTTGAGTCTGCCAATACTGCCTGTATGGCAATGGCGGTACGCCCAGCAAAATTGCGATGAAGCCGACGACTGTCGGTAGTAACCGTGATCACATAATCAAATGCGGTTGAAGGCTGTCTCGTAGCGCTCGAGAGCCTGCTCCACGGCTACCTGCAGCGGGTCCTCCCAGGATCCGCCGTTGGTGTAGGCGTTCAGGGTCAGCTTCATCTGCCTGAGCAGGATGACGATCTTCCTCAAATGGAACCACGCGTACTGGCCGAGACCGTTAGCATCGCGGGCCAATGAGAAGCGCCCGTGGCTCCAGTAGTCAATGACGTATGAGTTGTCAAGCGACATCGCAATCTGCTTGAGCACATTGAAGTGCGGGTCCAGCTGCACGACGTCGATCTCGAATGACTCGATGGTTGGCACCATATCCAGCGTAATCTCCGATGACGCTCGGGTGCCAAGCCACAGTTCGCGGGCGGTGTTGAAGTGGCCCTTGATACCGTTGATGGCAACGAACGGGGAGTAGAGGCTGCTGAACTGCATGCCACGCCTCTTCTCGGCAAACCAGCCGAGCTGGTCCTGTGCCTTGCAACGGAAGTCCACGTTGGACAACGGCAGCTTGGCTTCCATGGGTTTCAGGTACGCCTGATACTTCGATAAGACGCCTAGCACCTTAGTGTTGTACTCGTCGATCATTTCACGAAGTTTGCCATCAGTTGCCGGGAGCAACGGGAACGAGTCTGGATAAAGCAACTCCACTCCCACGCCTCCTTCACCTCTCCTCACATCGATGTTAGACACAAGTTTCGTGGAGTATCTGTCACCGCAACGCACCCTCTGCGGAAGCAGCCGTCTCAGCGTAATAGTAGTTCCGAGCTGTTTCCGTTTGTATGCAAATTTGGAGATGATATCCATGAGCTTGTCCGGCGAATCCGCTTCACCCGTACCAGCTAGTTCATGCAGTTTACCGATCTGCGCAAGATGCGCAATGAATAGGTTGGTCGGGTGGGCCTCCCTGGTGAGCAGCGCGAGCTCGCAACAGCCCCTGACAAGTCCGCTAGAATCTATGAAACCGAGCTTGAACAAAGTTTCCACGCATGAGCGGAAAATCAAAACCTCGTCATCACTGAAATCGGATTGTGGCTTAAGCGGGTGCATGAAAATCGATGCCAAACGCTTCACGACGGTACGCGGGTTCACAACTGCATCACGGCTCCTGGTTATAACCTCGAGCTTGCGAACGCGGGCGTCAGTGGTGGATATCTTGCCCTTGCTTTGCTGTTGCGGCGGCCTGGACTTGACGGATACCAGCAAGCTGTTGAAGGCAGATAGAGTTGCCAGTGACTCTGTAGGGCTGCACGAGGCATACCCACAGAGATTGGCAAGTTGCGCAGTCAGCAGCTGGCGTACCCGCTTCATTGGGATTCCCCAGAAAATGACATGTCCCGAAAGATCGAATCCACGACGACCACACCGACCACTCATTTGCTTGTACATGAGTGGGTTGAGCTCGTGGTTGTCACCCATGAAGACGACACTCTTACATGGGACGTTGATACCGAACGCCAGACTGCGTCCCGAAAGCAACACCCGCAGGAAACCCATCCTGAACAGCGTTTCCGTGAGCATCGTGAACTTGTGTGGCAGACCCTCGTGGTGGATACCGATACCACGACGCATGGCCTCGATGAAAATGTCCACATCCTTCCTGCCACTAATGGACGCAGCAGCAATCTTGATAAAATTCTCCACCTCCTCAGTATAGTTAACGTATATCTTGCGATTGTAATAATTGAACTCGGGGTCATAGTCTTCCGCGACATCCACTGGCTCCTTGGGCAGCTCAATGAACTCCTCGACCTTGCCGCCGATACCCTGCTCCTCCTTCTGTTCTCGGCTGGCACCACGCATTTTAGTTTCCGCTTCATACTGCCGCATCAGCATCTGGTAGTGGTCTATGCGACGCTTGTTTTCCGCGTTGGTCCACGCCCTAGCTTCGGGGGTACCGTAGTACTTCTCCCACTGCCTACGTTTGAGTAACTGGGTCACCGATATGAGCATGTGCTCCATATGGTTGCGGTCAAACGTGAATCCCAGACATGGCAACCTCTTGGTCTGTTCCAAAGTGTCGAGCAATGCCAGCGATTCCGCCGGATCCAAATAGTCACGTGACTCCGTGATGCTTGATGATATAGCCGCAGATCTTTTACTCCTTGGGGAGGACGCCGAGTTGACGTCACCGTTAGCATCTGACGAACCACCATTTACATTGTTCTTGATCTGTAGCGGTTTCAACGAAGGGTAGAGCTTGAATATTCCATCCGTGGTGTCGTCGGTGGCGGCTGTTACGTCGGCCGGAGACACCGATGTGTTCACCGACTTCAGGTTTTCCATGATGTTCCGGAAGTCGTCCTCGCCAATTACACCGTTTTGCACCTGTCTTGTGAATTCGGTAATATAGGTCTGTAGCCAGTATCGGTACTGCCTCTTTGTGATCATCGGTGTTCCACTAAAGTAGACTGATGGGTCCAGGTAGTCAAGGTCAGGGCATCTGTTTCCCATGACGGCATTGGTGCACCTGAGTAGTACCATCAAATCTTTGGGCATCAGGTAGAGATCCTTGGGGAACCCACTCGTTTTCACGTTGTCGTAGGACAGACAAGTGGCAGGGTTGAGCGGCACGAGATGCTTGTTTGAATAGAACTCCAATTTGAGATCGGAGAATCGCTCGTCAAAGTAAATGTAGTGCACCTTCGCCGATTTCGTGTTCATGCGAACTTTCTCCACCTTCGATAGCCACGAATGGAACTGCATGGGGTTGCCGACGGTGGCCGACAGCGCCAGGAACGGGGCCGCAGTGAGGTGTATGATCCTTTCGAGGAACGGCCCAATTTCTTCGTCGGAGACGCAGTGAATTTCGTCGAGAATGATGTATTCGATACGTTTGGCGTATCCGAGTTCACTGGTTCTCATAGAAATGAGCAGCTGCTCAAGAATGGCAGGCACCGTTACCAGAATCTGGGCACAATTCCACTTGGGATCGTGGAACTTCTCCAAGAAACTTGCGCTGAGGACTGCGGCACTTGAATGTGACGCGTAGTTCTTCGACGAGAACCTGGCTGTAATTTCGTACGTGACCTGTAGCGCCAGCGCAGTATTCGGTGACACGTAGATAACAATGCCCTCGTCATCCAGCCTCAGTCCTTGTTCCATGGCGTAGTAACAGATGTATGTTTTACCAGTGGAAGTGGGGGCCACAACCAACGCAGACTCTCTGGCATCAACGGCATCGAGAAGCAATTTCTGCCACGCATCAGGTTTGAACAACACCCTAGGGTCCTCCGTGGAGCCCAGGGTACGTTCCATGAGGTCGCCCATATATGCGATCTGGAATTCGAATTCCATGCCCTTTGGTATTGCGTAATCGAACTCTTCCTCACTTTCAACCTTGAACTTCTTGTTCTTTTTGTCATCATGGATCTTAAGCCACGCATTGAACAGATTGTTTGCGCTCACGGGCATGCCCAACTTCATGAGGAACCTCTGCAAAAGGGTGATTCCCGGTCCGTCAATTAGGGCCTTGTACTCCTTAAAGCAGTCGTGTATGAGCCTTAACGTGATGCAAACGGTGCGCCTCAGCGACGCCCTCGCACCCCTTCGGTTAAGCGCGCGCATACGGTAACCCTCGAAGGTTCTCAACAGCGTTTCGATCATCTTTAGCACAAACTGCAATTGTATTGCCTTCGTGTTGATGACGCTTTTCAGCCACTTAAAGTCCTCTGTGAGGTCCACAGCGCGATTCGGCCCTGCAGTGTGCTCGAGGATGTTCGTGTAAATCACATCGAAGTCGTGCTCAGGAGAAAACAGAGAAGCAAGTCTGCCAGAATATCTGTCGAGAGTCTTCAAATCCGCCTCCCGGCCTTTGCTTTCCTGTGCTGCCGTATGCTTCTGTTTCAACAATTCAGCTTTGGCCGACGTTTTCACCTTGACCGTCTTTTCTTTCTTGGCGTCCTTTGCATGCTTATCCTTCTTAGCGGGTTTAGCGCTTGCCCGTGCATCTACAGTTCCCTCATCTTTCGTTTGTTCGCTCTCCTCCAAGGCTTTTTGTTTCACATCTAACCACGGGTGGTCAAGTTTGGGCACTATCGGATGGTGCAGGTTGTTGGAGCCCATGTACCTCGATAGCAAATGCGAAAAGGCTGTCTGCCGCTGCATACTTCGCTGTTCCTGCCTTTGCGTACGTTTCGGCATATTAGCGTACTTGTCCGGTTTCTCGATTTTGAAAAAGTAATCTATGCACTCCAATTTTTCCGATACTAGCGCGGGATCCCTCCAGTTAGTGGCGGCAAACGTTGTCAGAGTGTGGGAGTTATCGCCATTGTAGAACTTGATCTTGTCCCGGAATGCATTCAAACCGAAGTACATGTTAACGAACTGGTTGTCGACGTTGAGAACGTCGGTCTCAACGTCCGCATCAGGGACGCTTGAGTCGGCCTCTACGCAGTCATAAATGCCGACATCGGCAAATGGAGCCAAGTCTATAGGGAACACTGTGTCATTAACATTTCCGGAAAAGTGCCCGTACATCTTGTCCATGCTCGCAGCGAGGTCCTTATCCAAAGTAATGAATGCGCCATCCACCTTGTTGCCATGGTCCTTAGCGTAAACAGCCATGCAGTGCAAAATGGAAGTGAACAGGTTGCCGTCGAACAGGTCCGCGGCATCCTTCTTCGAGTCAGCCATTTTGTCGAGATTCTTTGCGATTCCGTTGAACACGGGAACCGTAGTCGATGCCATAAGGTCCAGGGTTGCCGCAACGTAGGTGATAAAGAATTCCCAGTTTTCGGCGTCAATTCGGCGGGTACACCTGCTTTCTAGCGGCAGAATATCCAACAAGTAGTTATGCAGGAGAAGAACCTTGAATGTCAGCAAGCAGCTGTCAATGTATAGGGCAGCTTCCTCGTCCAAATCATCACCCGCCTCCTGCTTCATTGCCGTGAAGCTCTTCAGGTAGTTACATGCAACCAACTGCCGTATCCTCGGCTCCACTCCCAGGCCAGCAAGCTCTTCTATGAGTTCTGGCACATCTCCATCCTCTTCGTCCTGTGTGGCGCCATCTTGTACACTGCGATATGGGTATTCTGCGCGGAACCTCGCCTCCACCTCTTCTAAGAGAGTTGGTGGTGGCGTGCAACTGCTGGGGAACGAGGTGAACGCCTTGAAGTTGTGGGCAAAAGGTCCGATCTCGAACAAGTAAGCGACCGACACGTTAATAGACAGGCTGTGCATCACCAACGCGTGTGCTGCAAACGTGAACCTGTCGATGTACCGCTGCTGAACTTGGAACTCCTCGACGATCTCCCCGTTCTGCTCGTTAGGTTCCCCAGTGCTGGTGGTGTCAACCAGTTCATAAATTGTGCGATGCTTGTAAAGGAACGAAGACCCCTCCTCAACCAATATGCACGACGGGTCACAGTGGTTGACATGGTCGATCCATTCCTGATCGTACCAATCCCGGAATACGAAATGCGGGATGTTGTTGAGTTTAGCGTGCGTCAGCAGCACCTCTCGCAAAAGCAGGTAGCCGTCGAAAAACTGCGATTGCTCTTCCTCATCTTCGACGTCGCCGTCAGCTGCATGGCAGTACGTTGGGTCGAAGAGCTGTTTGAAGACGTCGAAGAAAACCAGCTCGAATGTCCCTCCACACCTCAAGATCTGGCTCAATATGCGTTCAACGCGGTATATCAGTTGGAGGGTCTGCGGTCCCTTAGCGAAGTCAAGGAGGACGTTCCCCTCCTTTTCAGCACTGCAAACGACATGCACAATCAGCGACTCGGCGTGGATGACGCAGCAACTCTCCTTGGCGCCCGAGCTTCCCAAAAGGTTGAGGAAGTCGGTGGGGCACATTGCGTGCCAAAGCCTGATTCTGTCCTTCAGCGGCACATCGGGGTCGCTCCTGAGGCTCTTGACGCATTCCATATTAAGAACACCAAGCGAGCCGTAATCCATGCCGCTGACGGGGTCCGTCCCCTGCGTGCGGTCAGCGTGTGAGAGGCTTCCCGGTACGCGTTCGTCCGTAGAAGCTGCGGCAGCCGGCGCCTTCTCGCGCATAACATCTCCGTCCGCAACATACTTAGCGGCGCCAGAGGTGGTTATAATGTCGTCGTCAAATCTATCCGCCATTTTGTTAATTTGTGCCGATAGAACATCCAGTGCGGTCAACGCTCGATGTGTCGTCTCCTCTTTGTTAATCTGCGCGCCACGTCACCGACTTGGCAGGGCTCGTGACAGCGGGTTGATCGTTGTTATATAACGATTATAGGCTCAAATATCGTGACCCGCTTCTACCCTAATTATCGCCCGCAAAGTGACACAACGCCGTCACCCTGGCACGGCTACGTCCAATGACCTTCCTCAGACACCGTAGGGGGTCGGACCCCATCATAGGAATCTACTGCTACAAAGCCCGCAAACACGTCTACACAGTTAATTTATAGCTGATTTATTGCTCATCCGAATCCACTCCTGCGGTGTCACGCGTATGTGTGCGCAGCGGGTGGTGTTAGAGAACGGCCTTCGTATGTGTACAATGTGTCCAGAGCGATATACTACTCGGGGCACCAATGCGGGATCAATTGTGCTCGAAAATCATTAATGCGTAGCTATAGAGTCATAAGTGAGTTGATGTTGCGCGGAATAACTCCAGTGAGCCGCATGTGTAGCCGGTACCCTGGCCATGCGGGCTACGTGTCTACTCCATGTTGAGAGGCTTATACCGTACACACCTTCGCTAATTATGACTACACATCGTAAAGATTGTGATTGATGAACGTCAATCATCAATGACATTGCTCAGTAATGCCGTTTACCTTTATCGGCCAGACCACTGCTGGCGGCGCCTACGCAATTCACTAACAGCTCAAACACTGTGAAACGCGATAGTGTACTTTGAATGCATTTTGAATGGGAATTTTCGGTGTGGCATGTAGCCTCGCACATCCCGTAGTGGTCGTCTGGGCGCCTTGCGTACTGACGGCATGGTGGCCCTTATGACTCCAGTACTTGTCTCCGTATTTTAAAATTAAGTCTGTTCATCATCACAATAATACAGCGGGCCGGCTTAGCACGGAACGCGTTGTTATATTAAGTCCAAAGGCAACGGAGGCCCTGCCGCGCGGCGCTGCTTGCTTCTGCGGGCCGGTATCCATGGGAATCCGGGCGCGCCTGGACTATTCACGGGCATTTGCAGCCGGGTGGAAGGCTACAGTGGGATAGAACTCTTTGTCTCAGACGGGTGAGCGACAATGTTCGAGGGGCTGGTGAAGAGGCTCCTGGACACATACCTCGCGCCGTATGTGGACGGGATCACGCAGAACCTACAACTAGCTGTGTGGTCGGGGAACATCGTGCTCGAGAACCTGACGCTCAAGACCGACATCACCGAGAAGCTCGCCCTGCCCTTCGATGTGCATTTCGGGAAGATCGGACGGCTGAGCCTTACCATACCATGGGCCAGCCTCGGAGCGACGCCCGTCAAGGTGCTCGTGGACTCCATCTACGTCTGCATCGGCGGAATCGATAGGAACAAGACGGACGAGGAGCTCCGCAACTACGTGCGACTGGCCAAGGAGAAACTTGTTGGCATGCTAGAGAATGAGTACAGCGCCTTTCTCAACAGTTTGAACCAGAGGGGCAATTCCACGTCTTCGTACCTCATTAGATTGTCGCAGAAAGTCCTCAACAACATACAGATAGACTTCACCAACATACACCTGCACTGCTCGGACACGCGGCATGCCTTCGGGTTCATCATCGACTCCATCTCGGTGCGGAAGTTCCGCAAAGAGGACGGTAAGGAAGTGCTCAAGGTAGATACCAGCGACACGGTAAAGGAGGAACGCGTGACGCACGTATGCTCCCTACTGGGTTTCTCTGTATACGAGCTACCACCTAACGCCTCTGACACGGACGAGGATGACACCAAAAAATCCAGTCATGGTAGGGCAGTGAATAGTGAAGGACGCACCGCTGAAGACGTGGAGAACGTTGCCGAAGGAAACGTAAAACGTGATTCTGATGCGCCCTCAGATGTTGATCCTTCAGGTGGCTCTGGCGACACTGCGTCGCCAGGCGTCAATAACGCAGAGCATCAGACAGATGATGCACATACCATCGAAAATGCAAGTAGAATGCAGCGAGCTGAAAGTATGCTCCAGAAATTCTCGTCGGGGATGCTGGATTGCAATTTCTTGTTGGACAAGCTTTCCTTCCGTCTGTTCCTGGCAATCAATGTGAAGAACAAGTCTATCTTCGCGTCACTGAGCGTCGGGGCGCAGGACTCTTCGGACGGCGCAGATTCGTCTGTACCTGACTCCCTACGCGTGGTACTGTCCGTGGAGAGCCTTCGGGCTTTTGTGGCCATGTGGAATGATTTCGTGAGCGAGCATGAGCGCAGTGAAAGGTTGCTGATGGAAAAGGCATACACTGTAGATCAGACGCCGGAGGGCATGAAGGGGATAACGCGTACAGAGTACATCACCTTGTACGCGAAAAAGATCAACGCACTTCACTCCGGCGGCGAACCACTCTCCGCCTTAGAGGAAGAGCGGTTGTCCATTCTTACCGACGTCTTGCCTGCAAGGCACCTAGCTCGTTGGCGTTTTGCATCTCATAAGCTGACGGCTGGGGCTGCTGCGACTGAGTCTGCTAACAAGGCTCCCGCAAAGGATTCTCGTGAACCAGAGCCGACTTCACCGAAGCCCGCAACTACCACATGGTTCGGGTGGCTCAGAGGCGTATCCTCATCGAGTAAAATGCAAAGCGTGTCCACACCTACTGTGGATGAAGTGAAGCCGCCTGATACAGTTGTCAAGGATGGTAAAGCTGCTGAACGAGAACCGCCGACTGATGCGGGAGGCAAGACTGATGTTCTGGCCGAAGATAACTCTGAAACCGCAAAAGGCGAACATCGAACTCCGCTTTCTAGTGATGCTGAAAGTATCCCGGTTTCGGCAAGGGATGCGGTGAACCCGGTAGACGGAATGGTATCGGATGCACCTTATGAACCCCCTGATGGTGTGCCGGTTTTCGTAGATTCCAGATCCTCCGAGTTACAGAGTAGTGCGATGTATCAGGATTCTGTGGGAGGCGCCACTATGAGTGACTCTAACCAGGTGGAGTATCTTCCAGGTGGGCTTGTGTTGACGGGTAAGGAGGTGGAGCAGCTCATGGACGCCATGGCCCTCGGTGAGATGTTCGAAGATTCAATGGCCACCAGCAACTACTACTTCGAGTGTGCGTTTCCGCACTTCGATTTCGTTGTTGATGTTGGCGGACTTACTGGCGCGCCGCAGGACTCGCTCTCAGTGTCCACAGGTAACCTACAGCTGCAGGTATACCTGAACGCTGCTGTTGACACAAGTGACCGTGATACTTACAACGCTTCTCTCTACGTGAATTTGGACTCGTTCGATGTGCGTTACAAGAATCGGGTAATCATGGCATTTATCAAGTCGGAGGATGCTTCCTCAACGGATGAGGAGGCGGACGTTGATGAAGCCCAGTATGAGCCGGCCCCGGTTGCGGACAGCTTCGCTATTGACTTGCGAGTGGTGCATAAAGTCACCAATCAGGGCAATCTTTTGACGGTGACTGGCGAATTGAAGCCCATGGAGACGCACCTCATCCCCGTGGTGATATCGGAGTTCATCGAGATGCTGGTCTATATCCAACCGAATGCCACACGACGCACGACCTACACCATACCGCCAAGTGTTGTTGATGCGTGCAAAACGCCACGCACGGTGCTGGACAACATCAGCATGGATTCATCCGTGGATGATGAGATGTGGGCTGCGGAGCGCAATGCGGCTCGCATGGCAGTCGACCACTTGCCTGCGCTGTTCGCCTTTGACATCAAGTTTGCGGCACCTATCCTGATGCTGTACAATGGTGAAGGCGACCGTATGAATTTGCGTTTCGGTACGCTCAATCTGAAGACCAACGGTCCGTGTCCATTGTCGAACATGTCAGGCACCATCGAGTTGAAGGAAACGCAAGTGAGCTGTTTACGCCGAACTGCCGGTCAGAACCAGTGGTACAATTTCCTGCGGCCGCTGCCGGTGAAGATACACTACGATTGCGACTTAATGGCCAGAAACCTCAACCTCGATGTCATCTTCGAGGAGCTCTTCATGCAGAGCACACCCATTGACACTGCAGTTCTTTCGTGCGTGCCAGCGGAGATAGTGGCGTGCTTAATGGGGGCAAGAGCGTCCTTACGTCGTAACCGCGAAGTGAAACCCACCGTTGAGGTGGAGCCGACGAAAAGAGCTCTCGATAAAATACCCTTCAACGTCAAGGCCATGATCATATTCCGGCACTCCGGTTTTGCCGTGTCAAATACGGATGGGTGCGATGTCTTCAGGTTGGAGGTGCACAATGTGTCACTGGAGTTGGAGCTGTCACGAAGCAGTTTCCGTGCTGTGCTGGGGCTGGAGCGGGTCATGGTGTCGAACCCTGCCATGGACATGCCTCTGTTCTTCACGCATCTCGACTCAGTGCCTGCCGGTCGTTCTGGTTGGTTTAACGACGATGAGGACAACGAGTTTGAGGATGCACTGGAAGAGACCGCGAAGTCGCTGCAAGTTGAAATAAGCAGCAACGAATCCTTCCAGTACCGCGTCAATGCCACCATAACCGAGATGGAAGGCAACTGGCAGCATTCCAGCGTTAAATTGATCATCGACACCATTGAAGACTACAAGCAGTTATACATGGCCAAGGTGCTTAACCCACACGACAAACCGCAAGATGGTGATTTGCCGAGTGAAGCTCCAGAACCGACCACAGCTGATGTGCATGGCTCTGCACCTAATACCCCCATCGCGAAGCCGCTATCGCCCGGAGGTGAACCTTTGCATATTCCGATCTTAGGTGAAGAAGTGTCACCAGCTCTATCAGACACGGATGCGATGTACAGATTTAATTCAGCGTTGATACGCGGCGAAACCGTGGCGTACCCCACTGATGGTTATGTATGGAGAGAGGTTGAGGATTGTAACATAGACTTGAAAGAACTTCCGACACTGTTGTCGGAGAAGGAACGACATGAACACAAGGCGTTGATCACGGTGTCCATAAAGGGTGCCGCTGTTGTATTTTGGAACACTGACAGTCAGGTCGAAGCTCGGTTGAGTGTAAGTGGTATCGGGTACAAGCTGTTGAAATATGGCAACGGTGAATCCATATCGAATTTGGAAATACGTACCGGGGAACTGACTTACGGTGGCCGATGCCTTTTGTCATACACTGACACTAAGACTCTGGAAGAAGGTTCAAATACCGATGACCCTCCCATTTCTGACAAACCCCTCATGACACTGCGTTGGAAAATGTATGATAGCGCTAAACTGGGAGTGCCTTATTCCATGTGTATGAGGGGAGCTCTGGAACGTATCGTGTTTGTCTATTTCCAGCAGGATATTGTGAGGCTTATGGACTACCTTGACGATGGTATTTTGAGTGTCTTCATCTCAAGGTCGTACCACAAGGTTGTACAGGTTGCGGCATCTACGCATATGTTCTATAGTTTCTCAGTGGCGTCGCCTTGCTTCTTAATTCCAGAGAACAAAGCGATACTGCCGACTCATGGCAAGGACACTGTGGCCCCCGGTTCCACGCTACCGAATAACATATCACGCGCCAATACCACACGCATATGCGTGCCAGTCGACACTGGCGATGAATTCTGTGGCCAAATGGCGAAACGATTGAGCGGTATTGTGGATACTTGGTACTTCGGATCCTACCTGCTGTTCGAGTTGGGGCACCTGTACTTTCGAAATGGGTACACTCAGCGCGAGGATATTTCTCGTAAGTCTACCATCTACCTCAAAATGTTGGGAACGCGGGCATCAATCATCGAGCAAACTGACGGTTCCGCTGATGTGATGGGGAAGATACTCCAGTCGACGGATCTTGCCGTCTGCTACATCGGTGGTGGCATGTTGGAACTAGGCATTGATTCTGACGCGTGGGTCCTTAAATTAACGCGGAAACAACTGTCGTTCATCATCGACGTCTTCAACGAGAATATATGCGGTTCATCTTACAAGACTAAAAGTCACGTGAATGTGTCCAGTTCTACAAAACCGCCATTCCGGTGTGGCATCCGTCTATCATTGAACCGCTTCGAATTTGATACGTTGTTTGCTCCGGAGAAGCCTCTAGCCAGCTTGAAATTTGATGGTATCACGGTATGTCTCAACTTCGGAGTGGATACTGCCCGCATGACGTCGTGTTACCAGTTCGGACTCTGCGGTAAGACACTGACGGTTGACGACGAGCGGCGTGATTCGGTGAACGTCCATCGCCGCTTGTTGCACTGTTTTGTGCATGACGGAGATGCGGCATCGTCAGACCTTGATGATGACGCACGTGCCATGGAACCAAGTGTGACTCGCCTTTTACATAATTGGCTGCGCCAGTACAAGAACAGCACGGGACATGACTTCTTCAGTAATGCGTCATCGGCAGATATTTATGGCATAAAGGTGGTTGTTGTGAACGAGAATAATCAGACCTGCGTGGATTGTATGGTGGCTAACGCTGACATCTCCTTGTTATGCATTCATGCCATGGACCTTCTGAGGTATTTCACCTTGTCGTACAGCAGCAGCTCGATGGCACTGTGCCCCAAACAATCGCATTCCACGCAAACTGTGTCTAACGCAAAGATCTACACCTTCATTTTCAAGGCCACTAATGGGAAGTTCATTGCCTTCACGAGGATGGATTCAACAAGCTATCCGCAGCTGGAACTCAGTACCGATTTCTTCCTGGAAATGACACTGCAAAACGGTTCATTTAACTTTTTGAAAGTTGATGTGCTGGGTTGCAAGTTGGAACGTGTCTACCCCGTCACTGCCAATCGGCAGGTTTTGTGTAGTTGCCTCGAGGTCTACGGAAGCGGACAGTACGTGAGTGAGCCGCAGGGCTACAAGATGTTCTTCAACTTCACGATTCCGCCGTCCAACCTCACGCTGTACACGAAGGATTTGAGTGTCATCTTGGCAGCTGTGGCTGCCGTCTTGACGGATGGGCCTTCAGCCGCACCGCCCAAGGATGAAAGTGATTCGAACGTAGACGGTGTCGGCACGCCGGGGCGGTTCATTTCGGTCAGTTTCAACGTCAAGGGGATCAAGATCACATTTTTCGACGATATGCGCAAGTGCCTGATACCCATGATGCGTCTGTCGGTGGCAAGTGAGAACATCGAGTACATGAGCCTTCCTATAGAAAAGCGGTACACGGTCGTGCGATGCTCAACCCGTCTGGAATACTTCAACGCCATCATTGGTGATTGGGAACCTTGCCTGGAGCGTTGTAACTGCAGTCTTGAATACACCAACAACATAGGAACTGATCGCAGGGGGCGCAGGCAAGGTAGAATTCTGCGGCCTGGCAGTGAGGATGAGTGGAAGGATTTCATTCCCAACAAGGTGCTGAAAGTATCCAGTGCCCACAACATCCTCATAAACATTACTCCAAGTCTCTGCCAGCTCTTGCTGTGGTTTATTCCTATGTTGACGAACAACATCCAGCGTGGTTTGGTGTATACGGATACGGTTGAGGAAGAGGCTGACCCGCAGGTGGAGAACAGTGCCTATCGGTATGTCAACTTAACGGGTCATGACTACTACGTGTTTGCTTTGCAAAGCACCGGCGATTCTACAGGTGGCATCAAGGGCCTCCGTGTTGTAGAAAAGTCGTGCGTTCCTCAAGAGTTGGATTCCGTAGTGAGCTTCGTGAGCACCGACAACAGTAGCAGCGCGTGCATCTACGTGCTCGCGTGCCCGCCCCCCGCTCAGGTCACTGCAATTTGTAATGAGCTGGGTATAGAAAACCGTGAGCCCATCATCCGTGACTTGATGGTGACGCGCAGCGCCGCTAAAACACGGGCAAATATGATCCATAGCAGATCATATTTGCCGTCAAGTTACGCGGTGCCCTTCGAAAATGGCACTGTAGCATCTATGGTGCCGTTGGCGCGTAACTGTTGCGTTTCTCTCAAAAGCCCTATCGAAGACCTTGCAGGTCTCTACAACAAAAACACGCTGATCTGCGAAGTCAAGAGCCCTCACCCATCGCACAAGCTGCTCATGTTCACCTCCACGGTGCGAGTATACAACAGGAGCGGCATGCCGTTGCTGTTGTGTTTCCTCGATCAAAAGATGAACGTTATGTCGGTGTCCAGCCTTAAAACGCGTGGCGCACCAATATCGATTCTTGACAAGGGTGGTCCTACCGGTGATGAGTTTGGAGAGACCACGACGGTTCATTTCCCCGAGTCTAACGTGAACTATTTGCGTTTACAACAGGAAGAGGTGGGGTACACGATGCTGCTTGAACACAACCATTTCGCTTCTGTGCCTGAGTGCGTTTTCCAAGGCCCCGCGCATGCTGTGATGAGCTTCTTGCCGGCACCACTGGCGATGAACCGTCCCTTCATGGAGGCATTTTTCGACCGTGCCAAACGTCAGGATGGGTCACGTGCTGAGGCGTGGATGAAACTATCCAACACTAGCGGATGGTCCAAGCTCATCGACAGTTCGCGCCACATGGGTACACGTGTCCGGCAGTGCTATTGTCCCGGGTTCACCAAGTCAAGCTTCCTGTACTACGTGGTCTCGGTGGTGAAACGTCGAAGTGCCTTCCCGGCCAATATCGAAATGCGTGATATTGTTATCTACCCCGCCTTGAGTGTAATGAACACGCTGCCAATGGAGATTGATGTCTGCTTGGGGGCAAATGACCGGGTTTCTGAGGACAGCACCTCTAGCTCGAAGAAGACAGGCAACTACATAGAGGAGTCCCTTACACTGTTGCGTGAGTCCATCACCCACATCTACTCACTGCCGCCGAACGAATCTTTGAGCTTCATGGCTAAGATATGCTACAGCGGATCAAATGTGTGGTCTGATCGTATTACCAAGATATACGGTACATCGGAAACGCACACGATGCTGAACCTTCCGATTAAGGGCATGGCACCTGTGGAAGTAGAGCTCATCCGCTACCCTGGCGGCCTGCCGGCTTCCTCTACATCTTTCCAGGGGCATCTGAGCTTGATTATCAACGCGCCCTGGTGGTTCATCGATCGCACTGGTCTGGGAATATCGTTCCAGAAGCGTCTCCCGCGTGCTGTTATGCGTGGGCTCTCCTTCTTGTCGTCGGAGAACCAGGACGACACGTTACACTTGTGCGTCAACAGAAAGGCGATAGACAAGGTGGAGAGCAACGTTAGAATGCCCGCGGTTGGCGGTTATTCGTATACCATCGTGGAGAGTGGCGGAAAGCGTCATTCTGTGTGTCTGGTGACGGAGAAAATAAGCATAAGTGGACTATCGAACCATGTGACATGCCGTATAACGTCAGCGATTCCAAGCTTCGTGTTCACCAACAACCTCAAAAGCTCCATCTCAATTCGCAAGGATTCGCGTGCCCCGCCTATGATCGTGGAGAGTGGCCAGAGTGTGGCTGTGCCGTGGGTGCTTTCAAAGACAGTGGCCGATCCCACGAGCGTTGTTTCCAATGTGGCGCCAATAGAGTTCAAAGTCAGCGAGGAAGCTCAGTGGAGTACCCCAATCATACCTTCTGAGAGCCACTCAGGTAAAACGTACATGTGCGTGAAGCAGGAAAAGAGCAACAAGCCGCTGGTGTTCTGCATTTCCGTTGTTCCAAAGGGTGGAACCAAGTACTGTTCTATCGCATACCCGGAGTGCAACAATGAAGGTTTCGTGCTCTGCAACCAGTGTCCTTACATAAAGGCGGCTATGGTGCGCACATTCCACCAGGGCGGCGATTCTGGAACGAAGGGCAATGGAGTATACTTCACGGCCAAATATGGGCAGACTGTACATTTCGGGTGGCAGCAGCCGTTCTTGAACAAGACGCGCTTGTGCCAGGTTATGCTCTGGTTGGACAAGAATACTGTCGCCCCAATTAAGCCTTTGGTGATTAACATTGGGTCGCCCGCCTTCCGCTACCGTCAGGTTGAGGTGACAACGCCAGAGTATGCCAGCAATCACGCGGTGCTCGTCTCCGCCGAGAACCGAGGTGACTACATCGCCATCGATATTAAGCCATCGGGACAGTACTTGGAAGTTACGCGGACGTTGAACAACCACCGCGCCGAACACTCAAGTTCAAGCAGTAACCAAACTGAATCCGGATCGTTGTCGCGGTCTCGAAATTCAGAGAACGGTGACAACACTCCCGACCACCGGCACACCGCAGATCCTCGTGGTCCTTTGGATTTGAACACCGAACTCCTGAAAAATTCAGAGAGTGTTCTGGAAAGCAACGACTCGGAATACGATGTTGTTGCGGACACACGCAGCCTGCAGATACAGGTGCAACTGTCCCAAATCGGGTTGAGTTTGGTATCGCATAACCTACATGAGGAGCTGTTCTTCCTAGAAATGTCAACAGTGTCATTCGTCTCTCTCTTCAATGGCGACCATCAGCGCCTGGAGCTGCGCATTAGTGACATACAGATCGACAACCAAGCCGAGGAAAAGCATGCGGATGAGGAGCAATGTTCCACTATTCTTGTTAATCGTCGCAAGACGTCCGGGCAAGAACATCAACGGCACTTTTTGCAGATTTACATAGATCGGCCTTTCGCAAGTTGTAAAGACTTGTGTCTAAAGAAGGTATTTATTGCTCTTGACGACCTCGAGGTGGACATTTCGGATGTTCTGCTTACCCGCGTCTACAACTTCTACAAGGAGTGCATGAAGTGTATGGGTAACTGGGGCCCTCAGGAAAAAATTGATCTGCGGACGATTGATTCGTGGGTGCAGAGGGAATCGCTGGAGAAGCTATCTTCATTGGAGAAAAACCCTGTGCCTCCCCGCACGTTGGTGTTGGACTTCCTGTTCATAGAACGTTTTAACCTTGTTCTATGGTGTAGCTTTGATCTGGAGAAGTTGCACATGCTCGGTGACCTTATGCGCGTGGGACTGCGGATTATATGTGTTTCGCGTCATTTCGAGCTCATGGGGGCGCCTCTGCAATTCCAGCAGGAGTACTTCTGTAACTCGCGTGGTTCTGTACGTTCGTTCTACGAAGAGATCAAAGACAAGTACGTCCATGCTGCTTTGAGCTGCATAGGGTCACTGCTAGGGTACAGTTCGCTGCTAAACATCCCCAAGATCCCCATAAATGTCGGTCGCAACACTCTCGAGTTCGCCGCGGAAGCTGTTGACAGCGTCAGCTCGGGCATCGGAAGCTTGCTCTCCAAGTTCACCTTCGACAACGAGTACATTAACAAGCGCCAGCGCGATCGTATGAACAAGCCGTCAGGCAACATGCGTGACAGTATCGTGTCGGCTGGCAAGAGCATCGGTGAAGGATTCATGTCACTGACTAACATCGTCACCAAGCCTATTGAGGGAGCCCAAAAGGGTGGCATGGGCGGATTCATCCGCGGCCTCGGCAAAGGCCTGGCTGGCTCCATAGTGAAGCCCATCGACAAAGTGGGACAGGCTGTGTCGCACGTGTCGCGAACGATCAAGGTCAACATGTCGCGCCAGTTGGATGGGCAGCGCTGGTCCGCGGAGCCATGCCGTTGGCCTCGCATGCTATGGGGAGAATACTCTCAGCTGAAGCCTTACAGTTTGAGCGACGCAGAGATAAAGCAGCAGCTTGGCCACAAGTTTTCAAAGCATATCGTCCACTGCGAGACCGTGTCGAAGCAGAGCCATCCCCCAAGCCACATTGCGCTCCTCTTCTATCCGTCGAAGGTTTATTATGTTGACCTGAAGCCGAAGCCAACCATATTGTGGAAGGTGTCGATCGCAGACATTCAGGAGTGCCGCGCATCTTGCTACGGCGTTATCATACGCGTCTCTGACACAACCCTTCAGGTGCCCTGCACCAACGCCGGGATCGTCTACTCGATCTTCGTCGCGCTGCAGAACGCAAAGCGCCAGTCGAAGTCATCGATTGTCATCGGACCTGAGCTGTTCGAGTCGTACAAGTGACGTGATAAGCGTCCATATTTCAAGGCGTATTTTGGTATCGCATGATTTGCCACCTTTAAGGTGGCTGTCCACAACCATGATCACAACGCCGCTTGATATGCCATTTTAGGCGTGCTTATGACTTTAGGCGGTCATCTCCGCCACCCTCAACAACGCCTTGGTGTTTGCCATGTACCGCAACACTTGGTACTTTTTTAAGCATGAAATTTAGATTTTGCATTTATTAGTATAACGATTGTAGACGTAGCACATTACGGAAGTAGCGTAGTTCCGTATTTGTTAATATATGTTTGCATAGGGTTCTGTATGCGCCATAATCTGGTCTGATGTGTATGCACGAATTCTGGGACCCTACCACTACCGATTTTTTAAGTGATAGTGTTACTGACGCTACCTGTTATATTGCACTATACTATTACATGTGGTTGCGACACTAACATATCTCCTAGGCAACTAAGAACTATTATTAGACAAAAACGCTGGCGGCCTGCAGCCGAACGGCGGCAATGTTGTCTAATTTTATGAGATTTAAAATGTTTCACATTACGGTGCAATCACATGATCGTTAGGGTCCATTCTATTCTAGACATTGCAAACGATTTGTCCTGCGGAGATGTGACTTAGTGCAAGTGCCGTTGTACCCACTTGCCGCAAAATCTGAGATTGAAGTCGAGCAATGAGAAGTTCAGTCGTTCCAAGTATCTGAGAAAGGTGAAGTGCGCATTACTTGTACATAAACATACATAGTTGCGCAAAATATATTCCTACGGAAAGCGGGATTGGTGAAGAAGTAAATGAAGGCTGCCAACGAGACAGTAGGTATGCTCCTAAAGGTCCACGAAGTCCGCGCCAGCTGCAATGTGTAAAAATCACGGTGTAAAACCCACTTCACGATGCTGTTCTGTTCCTTGCATCAGGCTTGTGACGACTTGGTACGTAGTCGCCACGTTTAAGGTCGCGAGCGCCAGAGCTATGACTGCGACGTCATTAAGGTACAAAAGATTACACACACCGCGGCTTCGCCGTTGCTTCTTGCGTTGTAGTTGCAGCGCTTCGCGTATCGCGTGCTCTAAGCGCTTCAAAGCTGAGACATTTATTGGCCTCCAATTATACCTACCCTTTAGCTGCCTAGTCGCGCTCACGTCGGGAGCGCGCTCCGCCATCACATCTTACGGGCTTCTTAAATTGAACGATAGGATCTAAATTCTGTTTTCCTCGGTTGCCGGCAGCGCCGTTGTCGTGTCCACACATCGTGGTGGAAGGTTACCTAGACGTCGTGCTTCCTCGACTACACATTCCCTCATTTTGGGTTAATCATCGATTAGAATTTTATTACACACCCAATGAAAGGTGAACGGCTGTTATTCAATGGTTAAGGTGACCATGAGACGTGTTCTCGTCTTGGCACATCTAGTAGGAACCTATATCGCAATCCATGGAGCAAGCGCTGCTTTACAACGCACAACGCTTTCAATGACGCCATACGTCGATCCACAAACTGATAACGACACGTCCACACGGTATGTTGTCTGCCACTTCTTCTCTAGCATGTCGCAGGGGAGGAGTGGTTATCATGGATACCGATAAAGGCGCATCGCGACTCCCATTCGTAGAGGTATACGGCGGGCGTGCCTTCCACTACAAAGATCCAAAAGGTACGCGCTGCTGCACTAATGCCATGACAACGCAGACTACCGACAGAACGACTTCATGCGGCGACAAGAATCGCTGCAGAGGGTATTAGATCACGTACCTGACGCGTACGAGACCATACGATACATTTGAACAGAGAAAACTGTTGGCTACTTGCTTAAACCAAATGGCAACATCTCTATATTAAGCGCATGGCGATGAGCCGCCGTTAAGATGTTTGTAATTGCCTTGCCCTTTATTCCCATTCTAATTAATGATGCGTTTCACGTTGTACAGTATCTTGACCGTGGATGCGTATGACGTCGGCGGCTTTATAAGATAATTAATGTCTCACGCCTCGCACTCTATTAGCATTGGTTCCCAACGTAATTGGTGTCATCTCTCATGGCGTGCATCTTATATAGTCACCAGGGTCATTTACGACCGTAATCTTTTCTGGGTTTCGTATCCCTTATCACACATGATACCACCTTGCAACTGATCTCTTATTTCAGCGCACTTCCTAGGAAGTCGCTCATCTTTATGGCAGAACCTACCAGCACATCAGGTGTTGACTATCGCATAGATGTGCCATTATAATCTCTAAGGATCATGTTCACAAGAAATTTGTGCCGATGATGTTCGTATGCGGTAAATTGCTCTAACCAGCGGATGTGTCCGTCGTCATTGATGGTGCATCAACTTCGGCAGCGTCTTCACCAACTAATCGTCAGACCATTGGATCCTCGGCGCAATACACGTGGAACGTCGTCGAAGTTGCCGTCGAGACCACTGACCCCTACATGCAAGGCTGCGGCGTCACATACGCGTAGGATGAGCTGTTCAAGCCTGATACGCCTCCACTCTACGACTCTGATGGAAAACAAAAGATAGGTTGCAAGATTGACCTTCAGACCGCACGCAAGGCTGCATTCCACTGCCCAGCACCGTACGTTCTGGACCCACCCAACTGCTTCAGCCAGGTCTACGTGGACGGCGTTGTCAGGAACATAAACAACCTCAGCCGGTCATTGGTATCGTCTCGGTCCAACCACTTCGTCATCCTGAACTTCGAACATTGGCGCGTAGGGCAAGGTGAGACGCTGCGCCGGGCGCCACCCTTGGAGTGTAGTTGTGTCACCGTCAAGGGGATCGTTCTCTCCACCATCCAGATCGAGAACTATTACGCCAAGTGGTAAATAACTGAGAGACGCTAATATGTTGATGAATTGTACTTATTAATTTGTTTTCATTGTTGATGTTGGTGCCTATGGTGGTTTGGGTATACCCGTGTTAGCGTGTTTCGGCTGCAACGTCATGATTGCGGTTGTCAACTCGGAAATTTATCCTGATGTCATTATAGCTGTGTAGATTGTGTGAATGGCTATATGCCCGTTTAATTGTACTGAATATAATTAAGTGTCACCGCACATTTGCCATGCCTTTCTCGTAGCCTGAACGGAGAATGTGTGAAATATGCGTTTTCATTAACGCTCATAAGTTAGAACATTGGTGATGGCCTTAACACGCAACAGTGGATATTACCTGTTACGTAGCGGTGAGCTACATTGACTTCACTAATGTTGATGAGCTGCTACCTTGTCGGTGTCGGGCAATGTTGAATGATCGATGGGGAGGCATACAGGGACGGCTTCATCTGCTCCGTATATGTTTACAGATCACATAATGAGATGATATGCAAGGCTGAAGTGATTCATACTGATACTTGCGAAGTGCGGGTTTTTAGGTGTCACCGGACTCAGCCAGATGGCTTACAGCTTGATAGGCTGGGTGAGGCAAAAGTAGGGCGTGATTCACAATGGGATGTTAAGTGTCCGGAGTACGTTGCATATATGGGAAATAGCACAAATGACGGATGCCAGCGAAACAGTCTCGACAACCCTCAGGTTAGTAATGAGTCCAATGTCATTGGGGATGAGATCTGAGGCATAATGTAAGAATGCGTCGTGCCTCGTGCCTCGTGAACGTCTCTAATACACGGGAAATGAGTCTCAAATATTGAATTGTATGTATCAATTAAGAGAAGTCGGCAGTCGACGAAGAAGGGATGTCATGCCTATCATGGCACCACGCTGCTACAAGGTGAGTGACAAGGGTATGGCAGCCGAGGCTGTCACCATGGTAACATTATGCAGATATGTATAGTTGCAAAGCACGAACACAGTTTATCAATTGACGGAGAGATTCAGATGCTGCACCTCGTGTGGCCGACAAAGTGTGGGGTAAGGTCCGCAATGTATAGACGCGATGGAACGATTATGTTGTAGGGGATTCGTGACTGGTATCTAACTAGAAGTGTGTTGAATGACTGCCGCCTGGTCGGTCGAAGAGCGCTCGTCGGGGTTGGTCTGACGGTTCCACGGTTCGGGGCTAAGGGCACCTATTTCATGTCTGTGCAGGTTACAGACATGTGATATAGGGGAAGATGTCGAAACAGTGTGATTGTGGTACAAGGGGCGGAAAGTGTAAGAGCGGTTATTTATGTTGTCCATGGTGTTGTAAGGGGTGTCAGGGTGAATTGTGCTCTGAATGCGAAGATTTCAGAAGCGATCCCGACCAGGCATCCCTATATTACTGCTGTCCAACATGTGATTATAATGGTTTGTGGAGTTGTAAATGTGATTGTTGTAGAACAAAATGTATAAGCATTGTCATCGTTCCCATCATCGCAATAATCCTCATCGCCGTATGCGTCATGAGCGTCTTTCGCGTTCGGCCCTTCCACAAGGTCCGCGATTGTTTCGCCCCCAACTGAAGGTTCTACATCGCATTCTTTAATCACTTCCGGTATTTATTATAATCGTATTCATCGCGCCGTTTCAGACGTTATCGCATGATGTCAATCTAATAACCTCATATTTAATGTTTCAAAATCGCAGGTCGGCAGGTGCCCGGTGAACGCGTGCGTGAATTATATCTTAGCAGCGCGCCAGGCGTGGCGAGAGATCACTTGCTGTTACATAGCGCTTGTTTGGGCGGATCTACGATGCCACCACGTGGTGAATTTAAGTGTTGGAAGTGCGTACCGGTTTCGATATACTATGTTACACTGCTGTCTGGGGTCCGTCTGCTGAGCAGCTGGTGTGGCTACATGTAGCCCACGAGAGATTCTTGCAGTCGGTAGAGGCGTATGCGATGGCGGCTGTAATCAATGTAAAATCATAAGGTGCGGTTGCTCATATTGCAGTAAAATTAAGTTGTGGATTTTTATTCCCCTAACCATCGTCACAGTGATCGTCTTTTCATGTTACTATTTCGGAATCATGGGTATTGCGCACAAACAGTTCTACAAATCGCTCCCCACATCTCTAAGGATCCCCTACAGTGGGCTCTCATAACGTCAATTATTCCACAAGGAACTCTTGTAGGCGTCAGACATCGCAGTCTATATGTAGTTCAATTCGTAAGAATTGCCACCTGTCGTTCCACATATTGTCATTCTCGGCGATATGTAAGCAGTAACAGTTAAATAAGCTTCCGACGATCGCAAGACAACAGGGCGCCACGTGCTGCTCTGACACAGCTAATAACTACTGCACTGCAAAGTGCCACAGAATAGCAAATTACACGTGAATGTGATCAGGATTGTGAGGCCTCAAGTTAGTCAAAAGGTTCATCGTCGAAGTAATCTACGTCGTGGTAGAGTGAGAGCATCTCCCTCCCGTGAGTGAGGAGCGCCTTGACATCGATTAGGTGTGAAGCCTTGGAGGTGAGTAGGTGCGATCGGATGCGCAGCACGTCGATACGGTAGAGCATCGTGTAGGCGAGGAAGACCGTTGCGATAGACCAGAGCGAGACGATGGTGTAAAGGAAGGGCTCCCGGATGTGCCAGAGGAGTTGGTCGATCTGGCGGAACAACTCCGTGAAGTGGTTGGAGTGGAGCACGTTCTGCAGCTGAGTGTGGAAGTGGCGGCAATATTTCCTGTTCGTCTGGTACAGGGTCCCGGCGTTGCCGAAGGTGAAGCCGTGGTGGAAGAGTGTGGGCATGACGCCGCCACAGCTGACCAGAGCCCCGCACTTGCAGTTGAATTCGACGCCGTGCTGGCCCGGGTTGCAGGGACATTCGACGCAGCCGGAGGCTCTGCAGTCGATGTTCTGGAATTGGTCCAATAGCTCCCGCAGCAGTCCCCAGAAGTGCCACGCCAGGTGTACGACCCATGAGAGGTAGAGGTGGGCGTGCCGCTCGGGGAAGGTGTGGCAGGCGTGGAAGGAGAGAGGTTGGAGGTAGGGAGCGCAGGTCAGTGAGTCGGAGCAGTGCGCTCTGACGGTGAGGCTCGACAGGTCCGAGTGGGTGTCCGTGTTGGTGTTCTTGTCGGTGTCGGCGTCCGCCTGGGCTGCAGTGGCGTGGTCGGCGGGGGAGTGGTACAATGCGGTCAGCGCGCTGGTCAATCGCACCGCCTGCGTTGTTGGGCAGAGGTTCATGGAGACGCTGGGAATGACGTTAGCGTTCAGGTTGGCAGTGAAGCCGGAGTTATCTACATACTTTCCGGACTGCCGGCACTGCGCCAAATTGCAGAAGAAGGCAAACATATCGCCGAGACTTTGAGGCGGGCAGGGATTAATCGACAGAAGGCACCGCAGCAGCGTGGGTAGGGGTGACTCGGCATTGCTGCACAAGGCGGTGAGCACGGCGAATATATCTCTGCCGACGCCAGTTCTAGAAGCCGCCCGTGGCAGGTCCCAGAAGCCCATGGGCGTGACGCACTGCTGGCCGGGGGATGCCGTAGGGCACGTCGAACATTCAGAGTCACAACCGACGGACGTCAGCTTATGTGGCAACAAGCAGACTAGTCCGTCCATTAGGTGCGCTTGCAGCGGTGATTTTGGTTGGCACACAGCTTTGTCGCTTGAGTGGTCACCACACTGCCAATTGGCGGCGGGGACATTTCTGCCGTACCGGCACTGTGACCAGCCGTGGCCCATGGACGCGTCGTATCGGCAACGGGCGCGCAAGAAGTTGAGTGCGCGCAAGGCACGTTTACACAGACGAGCCAGGATGTCCAGCAGCTCATCAACGTCTGAGGGGTAATGAAAGCCGCGTGAGTTGTCCCAGAAGTTGCAGGCATATTTGTAGTCGGCGTGGTCGAAGCCGCGTCCGTTACCGCAGACAGTGACGAGGAGGTCGTAGGCTAACACAGATGTGTCGACGAGACTGAAGTGCAGCCCCGTGGAGAGGATGGGACTGAGGACGGCATCGCCGCTGTTGTTCCTATCTCTGAGCAGGTTATGGCAATGCGCCTGCACGCCATTGTATACTGCGGTGTGCGGCAGCCCGGCGAGCCAAGCGAGGATGTCCCTGACGGTGCAGGGGTATCGTGGCTCAGGGGGAATGCGCAGGTGACAGACACGCAAGTAATATTTCAGCATGTCGTGGAATGCGTCCAGGGGCTCCAAAGCGTCATGGATGAGGCTGCAGATTTCAGCATCGTTGCAGGCATTCTCGTTCCGCAGCTCGGCGTGGATGACGCCTTCGGAAGCAACGACGAAGCCACAGCGCCCGAGGAATTGCCCCAGGGGATTGTACGCATTTATGTTGTGATGCGCCCACCCATCTGCGCAGCCCATTCTGAGCCTGTTTATGCCGCGGAAGATTATATCAGTGATTGTCAGGAGGATCATGGCGCACTTGGTGGCCTCGGGTGTGTGCGTCTTTTTCGCCGCGTGGAACAGCACGCAGTCGTCGAAGGCGCCGTCGTACGTCGATATGTACACGTGTCTTAGTTCTCCAACGAACGCACGCAATCCTTCCCCGATGCCATCAAGCAGGGGGCTGTTGGGCTTAGTAAAGCCTTGTGGCCTGAGGGCATTCACAGCGTCGGCAAGTTTGTCAAGTTTACCAAGCATCTCATGGTCGTAGCGTTTTTGCCGAGTTAAGTGGCCAAGTAGGTCATTAAGTGCTGTGTAAATTTCGTCGAGCTTATCGGTGTACAGCGTCTCAGGGCCCCTAGGAACGGGATTTCTTTGCGACATTTGTTCGAGGTGCTCTCTCTTGATCTCAGCCTCGAGGTACAGACGCAACCTGCCGCAGAAAACGTTGAAGCGATACGACAAATCACGGATGCTAGAGACGTCCGTGAGCAAATTTATGTTTCCGTTATTGTCACCGGCAATCTGCTTCATGAGCCCCTTGACACCTACCGCCAAGTCGTGATCGATTTCGGCGGGCAGTTTGCCCAGCTCGCTGTTCACCTTCGAGGCGTACTGCTGCAGCATCTGTTTCACGCTTGACACGTAATTTGAGTTGGCCTGCGCGATCATGGCATCCTCGGCTATGTTTATTTGCTCACGCAGATGCTCCCTGAGTCTCTGCTTGGTCAGCCTGCCGGCAGCGTCGGTGTCTCGTAGGAACTGCTCGCAGGCATCTATGGGCCCGCTCAACAGGTCGGCGCGCAGCCTCTTAATCTGATTCTTAATTTCGTTCAGGCCGTGCTGCTCACCGCCGCTGATGACAACGTAGTCATGATTGATCAGAGTGCTCAGCCTCTCCAACGCGTCTTCGACGCGCATTCCCGGCATCTTAACCGCCTCGCACAGCTCGGTGAGTTTTGCGTTGATAACCGGCACCAGGGTGTGAACGCCGTCTAGGGCTTTATGGATTGCTTGGAGGCCTTGTCTGTTGTCATGTTTGGAAATTAAAGTTCTCAGGGCCCTCAAGTGGTCCACAACGTCACCGTCAAGCGCGACATTGTGCAACTTGATTCCGATTTTTGCGAGCTCCACTCTGATGTTTTCGACGACGTTTTCAATGGCGTCGGGCTGTTTTCCCAATTCTTCATTCAGCTCTTTGATTGTCTCCTTGATTGTCTCGAAGCCCTTCACATTTTTATATTGACCGTCCCAGTTTTCCGTATGATTAAGTCCATTGCTTTTCAAGCTCTCCAGCTTGGCGGTGACATTTTTGTCCAAATCACTCTGGAGGTTATTCAGGGACTGGGTAATAATGAGAACTGCGCCGCCAATTAGTCTTGGATTCTGAGTAAACTGATTTTTTTGAAGCTGTGCAATGTCCGTATGTATTTTACCAAGGCCATCTACTCTGAGACCGTTTGGTGACCAAGAATTGTGTTCGAGACCAATATATTGGAAATCATACAGCCTGTATATGACATCATTTTTATCACTCTTCATCAACGTGTCTCTCAGCTTTCTAAGCTCATCCCTAATTGTTGGTAAAGCTTCTCCGATTTCCTTGGTCCTTTTGTCATACTCACTCTCTTTAAGCTGTTTAATTTTGTCTTCAATTGCTTTGAGGCCTTTGACAGTGTCCATGTTTAATCCCTTGCCTCTAAGTTGAACATCATCTTCCTTCCTAAGCATCTCACTCAAATCCCCCAACCGCTGTCTGATGCCATCTTGGTCTTGTGGTTGGTCCTTAAGCGACGGCGGCCACAGCTTCCCGTTATCGACAAACCAAGAGATGGCTTGGAGTTCTTGTTCGATTGCCTCGAAGGCGGATGTGAGCGCTTTTTTGGTTGGTTCGACACCATCGGTGCCGCCGGATTCGAGACCCTCTACTGACTTGAAAGCGTCCATCGCGTTGGGGATATCTTTGGTGGTAAGCTTTTTGTATAGGCCTTGTTGACCTGCTGGATTGTTTTTCTTTACTTCATACGCCGACATGATTGTTTTGAAGTTGTTTTCAACCTCTAATTTACCACCATTTCTTTGCATTCCTTTGTTTACTTCCTCCTCAATCCCGATAACCTTCTGCAGAATTTTATTGTCTGGGCCGGGAGGGACTGAGAGAGCGGTGGTGCCAAGCGCTGTCTTACTTGCATTATCAAGCTTAGTGTCCAGATTCCTGGTGTCTTGAACCACTTTGTCCAATTCCCTTGCGATGCATTTGCCGTTGTTTCCCATCCTGTACTCTCCGAGGAAGACTGAATGTAGTTCCTTGCCAACCTGACTAGCGGTAGCGGAGAGTCCAATTAGCGCGGCTTGAATGGCGGGCTGGATGGTGTTTTTTTCCTTGTGGCCACCGGTAACCCCGTTTGCAATCCCGTCGAAAATCTTGTTGGAAAACGTGCCAATTCCCTTATTAAGCTCCTCATCAAGGCCATTTACAAATAGCTCGCAGCCACTCTTGACGGATGTAATGATTTTTTGGATGTTGTCGTTATCCTTTTCAACCACTCCAGCGGCTTTTTTAATCGCGCCTTCAAACTTCGTCTCAATCTGTTCGATAATTTTTTTACTCCATGAAAACCCACGGTGATCACCATTCAGCAGCCTCACCGCTTCGCCCCCCCTCCCATTGTTATCATCAACGTACCTCTGAAGCCACTTCTTAGGCTCTTTCTTATTGTGATTCTCATTACTTCCCAAAATTCCCTCCGCCCATCCGCCTACTATATTTCTAAAGCTCCAGTTTGCAGCAAACGCCTTCGCGTACTGCTGCACTCCAGCAACTATCCCTTCCAGGCCTGCGCCACCTGTATTTTGGTCACCTTTCCCAGCCTCCCCCTTAATCTGTCCCACACTATCCCTAATACTACTAAGCATCCCCCCAACATGCTTTTTCATCTGGCTCACAATATCCTTTTGCAGCCTCTGCAAATCCACTTTCATGCCCTTTTCCAAATCTTCAACGGCGGCAGTAACTTTCTGTCCCAAATCGCTAACCGTGGTAAACGTCTGCTGGTAAGCAGACAAAAGGTCATTGGCTTTTTCTTTTAACTTCTGTGCTTGCTCTTTAATTTTTACTTCCGCTCCGCTATTCGAATCTTTATCAACCCTCCTTAGTATCTCCGTACACTTCGTTTCCGCCTTGGTAACAATCTCTGACGCCGCCTTGTGCCAATTCTGCAAAGCCGTGAGTTTAGTGGCGAGAGTGTTATTTGCATTTTGAATATCTTGTTTAGCATTATCAATATTCTGAATTTGCTGACCCAAATCGGTCTTACCACTACCAGGCTGCTTATCTTCTTGCAAAGCATCATGCACTGCCTGCGCCTTGCTGACCGCCTCTCCAATCACTGTATAAGCCTCTCCCTTCCAGCTGGCCAAACTCCCAAGATGTTGGGCAAGCGTATTTTTAGCATGGTCAAGCTTATCTTTTGCATCGATAATTGCACCGATTTTCTGACCAATTTCATGCCCTGAATTTTTCTCAGGATTCAACTTCTCTTTCACATTTTTAGAATTGGAAACCACACCTTGGAGCACTTTGTCTGCCGCATTTTGCCACTGTCCCAAATCGATGTCAGCATCTTGCAGCTTTTTATTAACTTCAGCAATTTTATTTCTAGCATGTTCAATTGCCTCCAGATTTTCAGCAAGCTCTGTCTTTTCACGGCTTTTATCATTCTTATAATAGCTGAGAATGTCAAAGGCCTCTCTAGCTCTTTTCTCAGCCTTTCCACGCGTTTCCTCCGCGCTATTAATCCATGTCTGCAACTTGGAATTTTCTTCACCAAGCTTCTTATTAATATCATTGGCAAGGTCGTCGATTTTCTTCCACTTCTCTGGCTTCTCACCGCTTTTCTTTACCGTTACTTCATCCAAAATGATCTTAACATTCCGCTCCGCGAATCCAATGAATTTCTTGGCCTCCGTGATCCAAGCCTCCAACTCGTCGACATATTTTCCCAACGCGAGATAGATGTCAACAAGCTTTGCTCTTATTTTCTCGACCATACCTTTTAACTTTTCAACGAGCGCATCAATTTGCTCACCGATCTTAATGCTCACATTGTTTTCGAGCTCCGTCAAAGCCTTTCTAATCATTTTCGTCATGGCCTCCAAGTTGTCTCTCTCCTTCCTCGTCAGGTTCTGAAGACGCTTCCTCTCTTGCGTCGTATGTTTCTTAGCACTCATAACTTTATCACGCAAAGTAGGGTTTAGGTCTTTTATTGCGCTAGTTGTGCTAGCCACTGTGTTCATATTATTGTAGAATCCGTCGGCACGTTTTTGACATTCCTCCACCAGCCCCGCAGCCTTCTTAACTTCTTTCTCAGTAACATTGTCAACCTGCAAAGCATGAATGCCTCTATACAACTCACCACCCGGATTCACATATTCCAGCAACTCATCAATCGGCCTCTTGACTCTGTCATTCGAGTCCTTAACCTTTCTGTTATAGTCCTCCAGGCCAGTGGCCACCTTGGGGACGACAGTGGAAAAGCCATGGTGCCCACTCCACCTGGCCTTTTCAAGGTCACTAACTAGGCCACCTAACAAAACTCTACCAACAACGTACGGCTGATTTTCATAGACATCACTGAATAGAGCATACAAGAAGGACATGACTGCATCGCACACACGGGAGGCGGAGCTATACACAATCCCAGAACCATCATAGGTTCCAGTAGGATGATAGCCTAGAAACTTCTCAACGGTGGAACAGAGATTATGTAAAGTGTTTTGATTAAGATTCTCAGAGTTTTTCGTAACAGCGTTCTGAAACGTTTGAAGCTTGTCAATGACATCTCTGGCGGACGGCTCATCTGATTCGGGTAGAGACGAGAGAGACTCTTCAGCGTCCTGGACAACATTGTCGAACAACTTACCGAGAGCGTCGGATAGCTTCTGGATCCCGTCACCGTGCTTCACCTGGATGAGCCAGTCGATTGCCTCTCGAAGGTTCTCGGGGCAATCCGTCAAAGCTTTCGAAGCCATGCCATCTAGCCTAGAACAGTGCCATCGCTACGCAACTGCGCACTAATCCGCCGCCACACAAGGCAACATGTCCACACGGCTGAATGAAATGAGTTTGTGTCGCTAGGCGAAATTATGAATGAAGGAAATACGTCGTCATATATATGAGCTACAAGCCCACGGATACCCGTGAAATACATGAAAATTTTGAAAAGTCAAACGAAGCATTCCACTCACCTGAGCAGGGGGGATGGCGGTAATCACAGGTATCCGGCGAACAAGGACCCATAATGGCGTGGAAAACTAGAGCAAGGTAGGCAGGCGGTAAAATTCATCGAGATATCGAGTGAAACACAGCTTGTGTGTCTATACCCTGCATCACGACCCCGCCAAGCGGCCTCCCCTCAGCGCTCCGTGACCATCCAGGCTTTCGCCATCCGACGCACCGCCAAGGATACTAGACCCGCGCGCCTTGCCCCCAGAAAAAACACGCTCTTGGAAACGTATCCTATCACTAACGTCTACTCACCAAATTTGACAAACTAGTATTAAAGTAGCCCAGTCAGAACTACACTAAACTTATGTTACACCACCCAAATACGTGCCCCCGTGCGCGACGGTGAAGGCGCAAGACAAATTCCCTAAACGAGCTTCATCATGGAATTAAGCCATTTTCCACTTCCACAAGGTTGCCATATATACCCCGTTATCATGCCGTCCCGTGGGCACCACGTCAGTGTCCCAGCATAATGCCACTACCACCTCTAACCACCTACACAATCACAAACGTAACCTGAACAGTTACTACGGAATGACGCGTACCACATCGCATGTCACTGCTCAGCTATCAACATGTATGGCCACTCACTCAGCTTTAGAGTTCACTGACGCGATGAGATGTTGCCATTCAGGTCATTCTCAACCTTCATTACACCAATTAAGCAACTACCATGTTTACTACATTATGCTTTAGTTGCTGTTATGTGGGCTGGGTGAGCTAGGTGAGTGAAGGCATCGCGCTGGGTGTACGTTAAGGTTGCAGGTATCTTAGCTTCCCAAGTGAGTTGATGCGCGCCGCTGCGAGCAGCGACTGGGCGGCGATGCGGTGCGATGCTGGTGAGCGCAGGTGGGAGCGGATGCGGAGTACGTCGAGGCGGACGACCGTGATGTGCAGCAGGTAGAGCAAAGAGAGGGACCAGAGGGCGAGGAGGGTGGACATGAAGGGGAGGCGGATTGTGAATAAGTATTCGGCTATGGTCTCATGGATTAATTTCGCAAGGAGTGATCTGTCGCCGCATACCTTTCTCAGTTGATCGATGAAATCTCCACATGACCGCTTCCATGGATTTCCGAATTTGCCGCCAATCCTAAGTGGGTTTCCAAATACGAATCCTTCAGCGTATAACGTCGGAAGTGTGTAAGGGCATTGAATTATTGACCGGCAAGATGACGAGTGCGTCGACGATTTCAACATTTGGCAGTCATTTGCGCACCCTTCAATACGGCACTTTGATTCATTCGTACCGCAATTTTCTTCACATTTCGACAATAGCCTACAAAGGTAATCATAGAATGTCTCGGTCAGGTAGACAATCCATGAGAGGTATTTTTCAGCGTGTTCCTTAGAATATATGCAGCGCGTATTATAGCTAAGGGGGTGTATGTATGAACCGCAGGGAGAGACTGGGGATGATTTCTCATTGCAATTTATTATCGAAGAAATATCGCCATGTGGATGGTTGTCAGCCTTATGCGTAGCGCTGTCGCATATGAATTTAGGGTTAAACTTATTGTACTGGCGGCAGAAATAAGCGTTTTCAACAGCTGCTTGAAAGGCCTCTTGCCTGTGTTCACCACTGCCTTCCCACCCGTTGAGAAGACTGTGATAGAACGCAAGCATTTCGTCGAGTGTTTGAGGCGGTCTCTGCAGTAAACATGTCAGATAACTGCATAGCTTGGCAAGAGGCCTATCCGATTTACTACAAAATCTAGACAACACTTTCATTAGATGCTGGCCTCTCATTGTATGAGATGCCACTGTGGAAATGTCTCCGAAACCCATCGGCGTGAGACACGGCTTACCGAAGTGGTTGGGAAGGGAACAAGTCATGTTGCAATCGGCCTTGTTGTATGTATGAGGAAGGAAGCCTTGCAGTCCATCCTCCAAGAAGGATTGAAGCGGTGATTTAAGGCCGCACTTGTAATGCTGGTCGGCCTTTTGGTCACAGTCTTGTTTGGGGCATTGTTTGTCATTGCACCGCCATGATGAACCACCGACGTGCTTACCATACCAGCAGTCCAGCCAACCACTACTGCTTTTACCGTTACAGCACTGATTGTACAGGAAGTAGAGTTGGCGATTCAGTCTCATACAAATTTCTATGAGCCAATCTAAGCATTCACCTGCGTTGGTGGGATAGGAAAGATCGTCGGGGTTTGTGTTAAAGTCGCAAGAATATCGGCCGTTGGCATCCCCATAGCCCAGGATTGTGATTAATACTTTTTCCGCGTGGGAACAGACTTTGTAGAGTTCAGTCGACAAATCATAAGGTTGGATATTTGAAGTGCCTTCTACCTTGAGTGCGTAATCGGGAATTGCGGAATAATCGGTATTTTCATACTGCTTTGGTTTACGGAATAATGTCTTAAAGTATTGCTCGACATTGCCAAGCACCGGATTGTGCCACAGCCCGCATAGCCAATGGAGCATATCCCTAACTGTGAAAGGATATTTAGTTGAGGAGATATATTGCAAGTGGCACGTTTTATAATAATCATGAAGATGCTTGAGAAGTTTGTACACCGGGCTTTGGTCCCCGGACTTATCATCATCGGGGTCTTGGCGGCTAAAGACTCTACCATGTCCTACAAGTAGCTGGAAAATATGACTACCCATCATCGTAGGTTTGTTGTTCAACTCTGCATTACTGGCATCAGGTAGCGACGCAACACGGAAACCGCAACGCTTGAGGAAATGGCCAAGGGGGTTTGTATCAGTTTTTGTGGGCCCTGATGTACTGAATGTCAACAAATTGTTTAAGTCAATTTTTTTCTTCTCACAATTCCCTCCGGTTTTGCAATCCTCACGTAACTGAGACAGTTCGTTATATAGGGTGCTAATTATACTACAAAATACATTGGAGCATTTTATTGCGTTTTCTGTTAGTTCATCATCGTCCAATGCCAAAGCATCGGGAAGCTTGGTGTTTTTCCACTTTACGGTCTGCTCAGAGTATGCATTGACGTAGGCGTACTGCAGCTGTTCGACCAAGGCCTTCATGCCATCCATGAGTAGATCAAAGAGCAAGGGATTCTTGCCATTTTCAAATCTCGATGGATTAAACGTGCTAAGTGATTTGTTAAGTGCATCTAAACTTTTAGAAAAGGTGTTGTCGAAATTATATTTTCTATTATTATCGTTGGGTTTCTTAAGGTAGTTGAGCAGTTCGTCGAATCTTTGACTAATGCCCTCTACGTCTCCCAAATGAGAGTCCGCGGGTTTATCTGGCGGAGACATTTGTTCAATAACATAATCTAGACATAACCCCAGTGCTTTCTGAGCTCCGGTCGCCATATTTTTGAAAGTGATATTTTTAATCAACTCTTCCGAGTTGGACGGAAGACTAAATTGGTCATCAATCCCTTCCTTCATCTTCCCCAAGAAACCCTTCACCCCTGTTTTTTTATCCTCCGCGATAACCCTCTGAATCTCCCTCAACTGCGCCGTGACGACGTTCTGCAGCTGCGCGAGCTCGGCCTGCTTCTGCTTCGCGAAGAGGGATTGGACTTGGTGGGTGAGGGTGGAGAAGGCTTCGCGAACGACATTAGTTAGTTGGTTATGCAGTTGGTTGATGGTGTGTCTGGATTTTTGTTCGGCGTCGTTATAGGCCATGCTAATATTGTTAATATCTTCTGTCAACTGATAGTCGGCACTCTCAACAACTTCCTCAACTTTGTCAATTCTTGTTTCAATGCCCTTGATTTCACCTTTCAATAACTCCATTCTCTTCTCTGCCGCCTTTCTAGCATCTTCAATAGCGCCAGGGAGGGATTCAAGATTATTGATGTTATTTACAACTTTTTGCAATGCCCGGTAGTAATTGGACTTGACGCCTTCATTGTCGTGTGATCTGACTTGCTTGTGCGTGTAACCATCCATCTCCACAGGTTTGAAGCCTGCTGTGACTCCATCGCCAGTGAAACCGTCTTTGGAAACGGGTACCTTAATCAGATTAATCAGGCCTCTAAGCCTAACGTGTTCTCCATGCTCTACCGTCTCCTTGTAATAGGCATTCATGAGAGTAGTTAAGTCTATTAGACTAATTTCATCTTTTATAACATCCTTAAGTTGATTTTCTAAGGCAGCCTTTATGTCTCCACCAAGTTGCTCGAATAAAACATCACCAGTTGGGGTGCCACTTTTATCATCTTTCACAAGATTAAGATCACTTAACACCGTTTGAATTTTTTTGGCAAGTCCAGAACTGCCTTGTCCCACCTCTCTAAATCTGGATTCTAGCTTATCCAACTGAGCACCTTGAAAACCTGTTGCCAAACCCATAACACCACTAGTAGGCGCATATATGTCACCAACCGCAGCTCTCTGCATACCCAATTCCACCGCAGTCCACACATGCTGAAGGAATCCTTGCAACTGTATCTTAATTTGCTCACGAACATGCTTCAACCCATTTTTAACTGCAGTATCCACAGTTTGAAGACGGCTCACAGCCTGGTTTACCGCCAAATCAACTTTCATTTTAACGTCTCTCAATTTTTTCTGGTATGCAATCTCAATCTCCTCAACGGCCTGCTTAACAGCATTAACTTCCTTTTCAAGTTGGCACTGCGTTCCTGGGTTTGGATCAACTTTCAGCGCCGCGGCACTTAGTTTCAAGCTTTCGAACTTTGCAATGATATAATCTCTATATTGATCGTTGAATTTTTTTGCATCTTTTGCAAGCAGCTCACTGACCAACATCTTTGCGTCTTTAATGCTTTCATTGACCGACGTGAATTGCTCATCTTTCTTTTGATACAAGCTTTCAAGTTTTTGTTTAATTCCATCAAACCCACTATTTAACGTCTTTTGTACATCTGTAATGCCTTGCTCTATCGCTGTGTCAATATTCTGTTTTTGGCTCTTCAACCCATCGTCCACCGCCTTGGCCGCCTTAATTACCTCAGGGTTGAACGCAATCTTCTTGAAAGTGTCCGCCGCATGCACACCCAATGAGACATGCTTATCTAACTTACCTGAAAGCGCGGGATCCAAAGCCTTCCTGGCCTCTTCGGCCAACGAAGCCTTCACCCAGTAGAGTCTTGATTTTTCTTGCACCTGTTGTAATTGCGCCTGCAAATTTTTATTATTCGTATTCTCTAAATACTCTCTTAAACTTGTGAAATTACTCTGTATGGTTGTCACATCCTCTACAACCTTCTTACTTTTACTCGTCATCCCACTTTCATACCCCTCCAGCCCCTGACGAACACTCTCAATGGCCTCGGCAAATCCCTTGACACCAGATCCCTTACCTGTTACAGCACTTAACTCACTAATGATACTGGGAATCTTAGGATTATAAAACGTTAACAAGCCTTCACTGCCTTTAAGGCAATGGAGGACAAACGCCATCACCGCGTCGCAGAGCCTGTCGAGGTCGGAGTACACGATGCCAGTGCCATTGTAGCCTTTGGTTTCTTGGGAGAACCCTAGGAAGATCTCGAGGCCGGAACAAAGATTCGTCAAAATCGTATTGGGTTCATTATTAAATTTATCAAGACTATCACCAAGTTTCGCAAGGCTTTCCAACTTAGACTCCACATCCTTCAGAGCTTCATTCGTGGTGGAGTCTTTATAATGGTGGTGAGTACAGGTATCATTATTATATTCAAGTGGCTTTAAAAGCGCTTTAAAATTAATTTCAGATACAATTGTTTCAAGTTTTTCGGAGTTCATAAGTTTGTCTTGAAGCCTCTTCAGTTCATCAAATTTAAGCTTATTCTTACTTTTACAACACGCGTAATATTTGGAAGGATCAAGAAGCTTCGAAAGCCTATCAAGATAAATGCTGAAAGAGTTTTTGATGGCCTCTTTAATAGCTTCAGAAGTGCCAATAAATTGCGCAAGTTGTCCACTAAGCTCAGCAAGCTTATGTTGACGCTCCTCAATCTCATCTAGGGCTTTTTGTTTTGAAGGGTCAGACTTAACAAGTCCTTTAAATTTATCGTGCTCAGTTTTAATACTCACATTAGCATTTTCAATAGCCCCTTCAATCAACTTTTTCAGAGCTTCAGCCAACTGATCAAGACCTCTGCCATCACCCCCGTGCCTTACCTGTATCAACCAGTCGATGGACTCCCGGAGGTTTTCCGGACAGTCCGTCAGCTTCTTCGGCGCCATCTTTCAGAAGCGAGAGACCGCCGTATACATAACTTCAAATACTCCACCTAGCAATTGGAGGTTGCAGCTCCCAGACTCCGCTGCAAAATGCGATTAGCACTGGACGCCTGTCAAACACTTTCCGTAGTGCCTCGAACTACATCAGTTAGACTTGTGCCAGATGAGGGACGTATGCCTTATTTATGCCAAAACTAGCATCCACCTCGCTCACCTATTACCAAACTCCAGCATCCAGACAACCCAGATTTTAAATCCACTTCAGAGACGACTAGAAACTCCTAACTGCATCAAGATGTTCAAAGGCACAGAGAAATCGCCGCAACCACTGCAACCGTCGAAATAATGTTCGCATAAAATCATCTCCCTCTATAGTGAAATTCCAGGTATGCCCCACTATCACTACAGGCCATTAATATTAGGAAGAGAGTCTTCATGGAACGTGATTATGAAGTGTAGCAAGGAATGTTGTGAATTAAAGCATGGTAGAAATAACCAGCGTAAAAGGCAATGAGATTATGAATCCCTCTGCTGCCTTCATTACGATGGAATATCCGATACCTTATGTAAGAGAACGCAACGTTTGTATGGAGGATGCCGAGGTGTAACCATGAGGAGCAGCAGGGACTGACTGAGATGACAAGTAATCGTAAGACTGGAGCGCAGTAAGAGGTAAGTGGATGACGATGGGAACGATGGAGTGTATAGGCCAAGATGGAGACCAATGAACCTAATAGACCGGACCACAGACGCTGACCAACGGAGGAATACCATCATCATCATGAAGAACTGACATACCAACCAAGACAATATGGAGGAGACGTAGACATAAAAGAAGCGTAAGTACAAAGACCTGAAGGAGCGACAATTCAACAGCAAACGAGGAACAAGGCAATACCGTATGCAATGGGTGACATGTAACCCAGAGAATGCTGACTGACCCTCGCACCCAAACAATATGGATTCCACCACTAATGTTCGGCAACACATCGACGTGGAACCCGTGGACTACACCAGCAGCGTGAGGCGCTAGCACGGTAGGTGGGAGAATGGCCCAAGCCAAACGTAATGATTGGCAAATCTACGCTATTCAAGTGCTCGTATGGGTGGCCGTAAGCGTTTTCATAGCCGAGATGTTGAGTGATGCTCCTGCACTGGCTGACGTGTTGAGTGTAGGAGAGCGTGGTTACTGGGAGCTCATGGGCAACGTTGTGGTGTTCACTAGGGTAATAATCCAGCGCAATAGGTCCTCTAAGTAGACATCAGCGCATCAATAACATGGCGCACGGGGGCACGTATTTGGGTGGTGTAGCCTAAGTTTAGTGTAGTTCTGACTGGGCTACTTTAATACTAGTTTGTCAAATTTGGTGACTAGACGATTGTGATAGGATACGTTGTCGATAGCATCTTTTCTCTGGGGTGCAAGACGCGCGACGGTAGTATCCTTGGCAGTGGATAGGTGGAGATAGCCTGGATGGTCACGGAGCGCTGAGGGGAGGCCGCTTGGCGGGGTCGTGATGCAGGGTATAGACACACAAGCTGTCGTTCACCAGTAAAAGTTATGGAAATACCACCATATTATTGTGATGCATAATGTCATTTCAGTTGTGCGTCGGAGTTCCACGAGTCGTGAACTTTGCAGATTCCTTAGTTCACGGGTGAGTAAAGTGTTAATATGATTTGTGTCCCGACACCTGTATTGCAAGGTGGTACCGGCGTGTCGCTGTCTGTTGTTTTACGATGAACACTGATGTGTTTTGGTTTTATGAAGCAGATTGTACCACTTTCATTCAGTCACCTTGCGGCTTGGCTATGCTGTCCACCTGTGAGTAGGCTTGGTGAATGGTCTGTGCAGAGCTCTCATAGTCTTTAGTGTTTTCAGTTTACAGCCTTGAATGCTTTAGATGCTATTTGTTATGCGCAGCGCAGTGACTGATTAGCTATATTACCGTGTTGCTTGCTTCCTTTGTAACGATGAAGGTCGCTACTGATGAAATCAAGCTCACTAGTCTTAGGGACTGTTTCATGTTTTTATACTGGTTGCATAAGGGGGGAGGGAGGAATAAACTTGGAGAGGTGGCCCAAACTATGCATGGCCGTATTGGAGATTATTGTCAGAGTCAGCAAGTGACGAAAGAGCAGATCGAATCCCATCTAGCCTCCTTTCTGGGTCATGTGAGTACATTCTATGAAGTTTTGGTACGTGATGGCTTTCCTCAAGAAGCACTTGCATCCGGAGCCTCAATGCCACCCAATCCCTCATTAAATGCCATATTCGACGCACTTCTTGAGTGTCTTCCCAAGTTCCTCGCCGCGATATACTATCTTTGGTATTGCGTGTCTCACACGTTCGAGTCACTTGGCGGAGGTGGGTGGAAGAATGACTGTCCCGGTTGGGAGAAGGATCGGTGGTACGGGTTTAGAAATAATTGGGGCGGTGACCTTCAAGCGTATCTCAGAGACATCGTCACTAAGAAGTACAATGTAATACCGGGCGGCTTCAATAGATATGAGGTGAGAGATGGTTGGTCATACAGTGGTTACTCCCACGGTTACTCTATGGTAACTCCCCTCAGAAAAATTTTCGAAAAAAAAGATGATACGGCGCAAAATGTTTTTCGCGACGTATTTGCCACTTCTGTTCTTGCTAGCACTTCCGGCACCCAAATTTCTAACACCGCAAACTCTCTTGCATTGGTGAACGTGTTTTGCGAGATTGTGGTTGAGGCGGATGAGAATGGAAATGGTGAAATCTTAAAAACACATGTACAATCAAAAAACGGATGCGTACATTGGGATTTTTTAAAAGCTCATTGCTCCACACTGAAATCCCAACTTGGCAAGATTTTCAATGATAAAGCCTTTTCCTTCACCGGCTACGGACGGAAACGTGAAGAGCTTAACAAGGAAAAGTTTGCAGAAAAGACGGCAGATTGGTTGCGAAGCAACTTGGATAAGGTCCGCGAGAATTTGGAGCATATTAAATCTTTTGAAAGTGAACATGATTACTATGCACGTGAATTCAGCACGTTTAGGAAACATCACAACATGCTCCAGGAATATTACGCCGCGCTCGGTCCATATTTCACTAAAAATCTTTTCCCCTACGGTTTCACTTTCTACGGGGGAAAAGAACACATTAAGACAAATGCGCCTTTTGAGGATTTTAGAGCGGATTGGGATAGTGTAATCTATGAGCTTAAGAGAGACGGTAGCGGCTTGGCGGAGTTAAAAAGAATTCTGGATGGCAAGGGGTGTCGAGCACCGCTTCCACCTCCAAAGCCGCGCCCCAGGCCGGCGCCTGCGCCCAGGCCCCCGAGGCCTGTACCCCAACCCGGGCGTGCCAGGACTCCTGGTAGGACATCCGGTCCAAGGCTTCTTGGAGATTGGTCGTCAAGTGAGAGCCAGGCTTCTGGTGCTAGAGGAGGAAATACAGGAGCGAGAGGGCCTAACAATAGAGGAGGGGGATCGGGGGCTCACAGTAGAAGAGGGGGGCAAAACAAAGGAAGTGGACCGGGGCCTCGAGGTGCTCCAGGTGCTAATGGCGCACGGGCAAGCAGAAGTCCAGGGTCTTCGGTGTCTATTAAGCCCCAACCCTTACAATCTCAAAATGATTCCCAGCCTCATCTTCAACTACAACCTCTACTTGCTGCCTCCAGTGCCCATAGAGACCCTAGTCCACCGGCTGCAACACTTCTGACTCCAGACCGCCTGGTGTCTCAGGCCTCTGTTCATGATCATTCAAGCGCGTCCAGCTCCAGCTCTTCGTCATCTAGTGTCACTGTTACCGGTGGTCAGGAACGGAGTCCACAGGCGGCCGCTTCTGGACATATTCAACAGAGTAGTCAAGACTCATCTCCCAATCAAGACTCCAATCCACACATACCCGGTCAGCATTCTGCTCCAGGTGGCGGTGGAGCCAATGGAGCGATAGGGGTGCCAAGCGCTGGTGGAAGTTTGGCTGTGGATTCAAGGGACACTGTTTCCAAAGTCGCTGAACCTGTTGTCCCTTTAAGCATTGATCTTCCTCAGGCTCAAAGTATTCAACGTCAAAACTCTTTGTCGCATGGTGCTGTTGGTGACGGTGATCCAGGCAGTCCAGGGCCTTCTTTGCCACAGGATAGGTCAAACCACGATGGAGCCCCGGAACCCATTGGTACGCCGGTTGGTACCGTTCCTGGTCCAGACAGCGTGGTTGCTTCGGGAATACATCCTGTCGTCTCTTCAAATGTAAGCGACACTCGGAATTCAAATGTTCAAACCGCAGACTCTTTGTCACCTCCTGACCATCATGATACTGCTCAGGATCTGAAAGCTCAGGCTCATTCTTCTCAAGATATTTCTCACCAATCTTCACACGTTCGAAGCACACTTCAGGGTTCACCAGGCCCCGATAGTCCGTCATCCGCTCCAAATCATGCCGGTCCGGGTGTAGGAGGAGGCGCTGGAGGGGGTGGGAGCTCGGCAGGTGGTACGGATGGCGATTCCCTGGTAGACAATCACTCTGGTATATCTTCTAAGGCCCCTCAACATTCTGTGCAACATCCCACCCCAAGTCTTACAACTGCAGGCCCTCCATCATCTGGTATCCTTGGTTCACCGGGTGATGTGGGCCTTACTGTCCAACTGCCTCCTCAACTAATTGCTCAGGACCACACGGGGGATGCAAGCGGTCATAGCCCAGCATCCATTCCACAGGCTCCCGGCCCAGATTCTCTCAGTGATTCTGATCATGCAGTTACAAGAGCTCAACAACTTGTTGGAACTCAGGATAATGGACCTCTAGGTCAGCTAGGCCCGGCACTGTCTGTTCCTCCATCCCCACCTTCTGCTCCTCCCCTAACCACAGCTGCAGACCTTTCAACTCCGCAGAACAGTCTACATGGACCCGTGGGGGCCCAAGGCGTTCATGGTCAACGAGCTATGCAGCCTGTGGATCCCATCTCGAAAGACGATATAGACTCTACGGAACCTCTAAATAAACAGGTTTCCTCCAGTCCTACTGTGTCACATGATCCCCCTGGTAAGTCAACAAGCGGGGCTCCGGCTTCAACGTCAGGTAAGGCTGCGATTTCACAGCCTGATGACATTCACGGCGCTGTGCTCACTCAGTCATCAAGTGTTTCTATTTCAGGATCCCCATCATCAGGTGACCTTCCTTCACCAAACATTGACGACCCATGCCACAGCCTCGAGATATACGTCCCCATGCGTATAGTTACTGAGCCCGTCTTCGATTATGACGTCGGTGAGGAACCACCTGTCGAGACCTCCATACTGCCCGACCGAGTAGGACCGTCTATACCTGCAGTCTCGTTTAACCTTCTACCTCCAGCTACCAAGAAGCCTCTACCTTCCAGAGAAGATCCAAAAATTACCGCAGCCGAATTCGAGGACAAGTGCGTTCCTACCTGGATCACTCAGACGCCTAAATACAGCTTCGCAGATGTCCCGGTTACCGAGTTGTTCCCCGCCGAGGCGCCGCGCACAGTCAGGGAGATGCTTCGTTGGTTGGTTGGAATTAGAAACCCAAAACATCTTGACATTATGAAACGATGTATTGAGAAGGTTTTCAGGAGCGTGACTGATGTCATACACGGAGAGGTTAAGCTCTCTGTCAACGGTTCTCACATCACAGTCGACAATGTAGTTGACGCCATAAAACTTGTCGCCATGTTTGCAGCTTCAGTGTTATCTACGATTGAACCTGCCTGGAAAGGTAACATCGCATTATCGGTAACATTAAAACGTACGGGCTCCGACCAATCTAAGGAGACTGATTGCTGCGCCCTCCTCTGCCAGCTGCGGGACTACGTCTACGCCTGCTGCCACCAGTTGGCGTTCCTCAAGTCGCAGTGTTATCGGAATAAATCTCAGGGAGGTTGGGAGGATTGTCATTATGGCCGTGATGTGAAGGTTAAGTCCCCCCTCCAGGACTTCCTGACTGACGCCTCGGACTCCAAGTTCGAGACGCATCCCTTCGACCCGTGCAACATCTGCCACAAGAGCTGTGTCAGGATGGGATTTACGGAGAAGGATTTGCCTGCAACTCACGAAACCGGCAAGCATATTTCCACCATCCTCACTCCGTCCTGCGGCGGCGAGGATCCCCTGCTGACATTGACCTCTTACCTCACCTGCCTCACCAGGCGGACGCCGCGCACCACCGGGGAGCTCGTCTCGTTCTTCCACAATTTCGGGAATTCGCTTCATGATGCGGCTTCAAGATTGTCTCGATTGGGCTCCGCCCTCTGCACTACTCATCGCCACTGCCCCGACTGGGACCGTCTTGAGGCCGAAGACCTCCTAGCCATTAAGGACGCCCGGGGCTCCGACCCTCTCAACTCCAACCACCGCAACAAGGACCATGCCGAGACACTGTCCACGCTGCTTGGCTGCGGCATCGATAATGTCAACTGCACACGAATTCTCTCTCCCATCACCTACCGGGCCTACGCCCTGTACTCTTCCACCTACGTCCACCACTACCTCAGCTGGGCGGTGTACCTAGCCGACAGACTGTGGGAGTCACTGGACAGACTGAGTAGAGACATGAAGGAGCACGCTAGTACCAAGGCCAAGCCTCTCCACCAGTGTGGCAAGGTCCTGCCCCTCCTCTACACTCACGGGTTCACGCCGCCGGAGGGTATGCCATCATCACAACTCACGTGTTCCGAGGTCATCGTCAAGCTGGAAGCAGTGTTGTCCGGTGGGCCTATCGCAAGCCTCATGACCGCCATGGACGCTTTCCTCTATACTATCCGTGCGCCCTTCCTCTACACTGTGTTCACGCTCTGGCTCATCGCCACGCTCTACATCCTCCACTCACTCCTCTACCGCATGGACGTCCTCCGCATCCGCTCACACCTCCTCACCACCAGGGCCTCCCACCTCATCGACGTCAAGGCCTTACTCGCCGGCAGCCGCAGGATGCTCTCACTCTACAAGGACGTCGACTACTTCGACGATGACTTTCACTCGTGACAGTAATTATCGTATCTACATTACGTTCACATTCCTCTCTCAGTGTTGCCATGTCATGTCACGTCTCTCATGGCGACTGTACCTCGTGCCTTGCCTGCCACCTAACTCGCCACCTAACCAAAAGGCTTACCTACAACCTAACCCATAATTTAGTCGATGCGTTGGGATGTTAGTTGCTTTGTACGTTGCTTCGCGCGTTATACGTGGACGTGCCTATGTCATCCCTTACTGTCGGTGGATTATGAGGCTGGGTGGTTGGGTGTCGAGGTAGGCAGCTGACGACTGCTGTGCTAGGTGAGTGGTTGATGTAAGCTGCCAGGCATTGAATGTCTCCTGGAGTTTCCGACGTGATGGACAGTGGATGGACTAATTAACTTGCATTTACGGCCAACGTTTTGGCAATGTCTAATATTGTAAACACGATACGCATTTGTGCTATGCACTTGGTAAAGCGCTCATAAAGTGACATGTGCACAGCACGTATTCCGCCCTTAATTAAGAGTGAACAACGTCCGTAGTGCGCTGCATGTACCTTGTGGTATCCCTGCCGATGGGTCGTGAAACGATAATCAGAGACGGATTGGTGGTTCTACTCTACGAGATTGGAGATACGTGTATCATGCCTGTGTAGGTTGAAGATAGGGGAGGATGTCTGGACTGAAGTGTAAATGTAAAACACAAGATCAATGTAATGGTGTAAGGTGTATATGCTGTATCGTGTGTTGTGAAAAGTGTAGCGGTGCCGATGACAGTGACGAAAGTTGCACCAAATGTTTATCTCAATACGGTGATAGGGGCATGGGTTCTATAGAATGTGTACCTGAGAACTGTCAAAAAGTATGTAAGCCATATTGTGATTGTGGTTATTGTTACAGCAATTCCACCACCGGTATAGCCGCTCCCATCATCGTCATAATCTTCATCATAGTCATAATCGTATGCGTTATGAGCTTCTTTCGCATTCGTCCGTTTCACAGGGTCCGCGATTGTTTCGTCCGCAAGTGAAAGTTTTGCATCGCATTCTGTAATCGCTTCTAGCATTTTTATAATCGCACTTATCGCACCGTTTTAGACATCAACGGCACAATGCTTATCTAATGTCTAATTTAATGTTTCATAATCGCTCATCAGCAGGTACCCGGTGGACACGTTCATTAATTACGTAGTAGCAGCGCATTAGTGAAAAGAACGGGATTGACACAGCTGGATGTAACATCCACATCGGCTCGCACCTAAGGCAGCCGTCATCGCTATAATCGTCGCTGTCGTCATCCTACGTTACGCTCTTGATACTTTTGAAACACCGTATAAAATGGTATCCGACGGTCTCACGGCATCTCCGATCCTGCGCTGGAGTGGACTCTCGTAGCCTCATATAGTCCACGTAGCCATCCGGTAGCCAGATCACTAGCTACTGACATCGTTCAATGCCTAGGTCTCGGTTTAGTAAAACTCCGTGCTACGTAATTAAAAATATGGTTTAGCCGTCATCTACCTCTGGGTCTCATCTGCCAACACCCCACCTCACCTGTTTAATGCAAACGCATAAGACAAAACACCTGTCAATCCACCGACACCTAACCGCTTAGCTCAGCAATTCATAACGCAACTATTGTGTACTCGTAGCGTCTCATGCACGTGTTAACTCAGAGTTGTCACTCTCCCAGTTACCATTTATACATCTCCTGTGAAACTGCTGTGTCATCCAACAAATGGCACTGATGACGCTGCCCAGCTGACTTGAAAAATTCCACGCGATGCTAATAATCCCTAAATCATCAACCAGCGTTCACATTTTCACTCGCAAAATTCATTCGTCAACGTCCAACACATAATCCCCTTATGCTTTTAAGATCCGCGCCACGGACGAGGACACACTGAAAGCGATTCCCCGGATCACGGAAAATTAACGCCCGAAGATTAGCAGGTGAAATATTTGACATAGTAAAAGAGATCTGCAGGAGAGTAGAGCTACTCGCAGCGTCAAAGCTGTAAGCAAAAATCCCATTGCTGGCCATAAACGAGTATGTTCTGGGTGTAATCAACTACTAAGTTGGGGTAGTCCCCATGGACATCACGCGCTTCGACAGGATAGACTTGATGGCGCGGGAATTCAACCAGAACAGAGAGATCAGGACAATCCCCTACGTTATGACGTGGGAGGGAATAGTGACGAAAGAACGCACCAAGCATAGGCGGAGCCTGGGCATATCGGATCGCTTAGAAGCCCATATACAACGGGTAGTGATCCAAGAAACACAAAAGCTAGTGTTGAGGGACATGAAACCCAGAGAAGATTATGACTCTGTGAATGACCCTCTCGCCCAAACAGGATGGATGCCACAATGGATGGTACCTGTAGTGTACGATAATTCGACATGGATCCCGCAACCGACACCAGCAGCCTAAGGAGCTATCCCGCTAAGCGTGAAAGCCGGCCAATGCCACACGTAACCACCCATAACTGACAAAACAATTTGGAATGAGCCTCACAATTCAACTTTGCAAGTTGCATGCTCTATTTAATATACAATGCAAAAGAATCTGTACATTATTAAATAATTGGCAGCGAATAGCGTCTCACGTATGACTAGTTTTAAGCCATTCGATGACATCTGTACTTTGGGGCAGACTTTCCAGCCAACTCCGGTCTCCAGTATTTATAACAGATGCCAGATTAGTATAGAACTCAGAGTAGATATCCTCGATCGACTTCAGCACAGCATCATTAACTCGTTCCACAGCTGCTTCCTGCGCAAAGTGTAGCTCTACTTTTGACGTAATGGCTTTGAATTTGTCCCTTGACGACTGAACAAATTCATCGGCCGCCGTACGCCATTTGGCGACGGTGTCATCGTCAATCTTCTCTGTATCATCTGGATCTTGGCTCTCAGTCTCCACTTCAGCTGAAGTTATTCGCCCCCCTTTCTCGGATTTTGATTCTAGTGACTCCTTAAGGGACGTAACAAGGTTGATGATGTTTTCTAACTCCATGCCAACGTAGCTGCTGACGTACGACTCAATATGCTTATTCAGTGGTGGCTCGAATTCGACGACGCTGTCCTTGAATTCCTGGAGTGGGTGCAGGAATGCCACGCAGTTTGCGATTACGAAAACATTCAGCTTGGTGGTGTTGCTGAGTTTCCGCCCTCTTAGCGTTAACGCCGACACCGTCACATGTATGAGGTGGTCCAGCGAATCGAATGCGATAGGGGCAATTCCCAGCTTATCCTGTGTTCCCTTGAGTCGCAGTGCCGCGTATACGAGGTTTGAAAGATTGATGGCGTGTGCCCCCGGCAGCCATGTGTCCAGGGTACTTGAAGATGCCTGCAGAGTGCATGACATGACATGCTTGGCCATGTTCTTGAGGTGGTGCATGGCTCGCGAGTAAAGGTCGTTCTGCAACTTGCCAAGCGTCTCATCCAGCAGCGTAACGCCACGATGTTGCATAACATGCCTGTTTGCTGCGAATAGGAGCGTGAGTGTGATGAGCATGACGGGATCGTATGACGACTTAATTAAAGTTTCCACACGGGCCCTAAGGTGTAGCATCGTTTCGTCGAATATATAGGTGAACATGTTAGTCACCCCCTGCTCAAAAAACTGGCTAATGAACACGTACTCACTGAAGGCTGTATCCACCAGCAGCTTTAGGAATGATTTAAAAATATCCTCGAACCCCAGGCTCTCCAGTTCCAAACCTGTAGGCACGATGGGGTCATCCTTGAAGTTGATCACCAGTTGATCTCTGTCATCCAACAGAAAATATCCCGCTGGAGTTTTTGTGGACCTTTTCATAAAAACTCCTATATCCTTGTAGCGATTTTTTCTCCGGCACCTCTCCAGCGCCGCATAATAGCTTGAGAAGAGGTGGCAGTATATCTTGCGAAGCGTTTTCGCGTACTGGCTTTTAATTTCATTCGCATAATTCGCATTAGTATCCCTGATATATGCAAATAGAGGCCTTAGTCGTAGGAAATTTGTGTTCTGTATCATTTGCAGATTCGCCTTTGGAGTTGCGAGTTTCGCGATTTCTAGCCTCAAGAAGTCGTATATGCGCCCTACTATAACCAGTTCCAGCTTCTTCATCTGTATTTTCGAAGGGTGCAGCGATGGGTACGGTGCTCCTTCATAAAGGGTCTTCATTTTGTGTACCTTCGCCTGGAATTGTTCCAGAAGTTTGACATACGGTTCCCCGATGGGTTCGTGGCATATTGCCCTGATCAACGACGGCGACACTGCGATATCGTCGAGGTACCCTTGCACAGCCTTTAGAAATGCCTGTCTGTTGTCGAGACAAGCCGACAGTGCCGATGATTCAGTGTGCAAATTTTTAATGTAGGTCGACGCGGCCTCCAGGCTCTTGTAATGTTTGGTGAGCGCCTCTTCTATGAGTTTGATGGTTGAATCGCAGTAGTTCATGTCCGTTGAGAACTCAGATATCTCTTCCTCGTGAGCGAGGAATGCCTCCGTCACTTCATCTTGCCATTGTTGGCGTGCTAAGTCCACCCGACTGATGATGGAATTAAGTTGAGTTATGACGCGAAACTCAACTTCGGACTCCTCCTCTGCTGCATATAAGTTAATTGAAGTGAGAAATCACCTACCTTCATTTTGTACATCAACTATTGCTGGCCCCGGCTGCGATGGTTCCTGTTCGTCGGCAGGTTCGAAATAGCGCTTAACAATTGCATTACGCCATGGCTCTAGATCTTCCAACGAGTGCGGCGCATCCACACCACCCAGCAACCATTTGAGGTCCTCTGCGAAGGCATCTGGAGCTATGTCTAGTAGCTGGGTATGGTGATGATCACGCATCCTTGCTTCCTGTTGCTGCTTCAACATCGTAGTAGAATCCTGCCGCGCACAAACTAGCGCCTGATGTATTAGAACGTTTTATTTCACATAGATACGACACCGTTAATGCCAAAGACCATGATTGGCAACTGCCTAAGCGAGAGCCGGAATGGTCCGTGATGCCGAGTCGGCACAGCAACGCGATGTGTAGGCCATGTGGCCATCAAATGCAACATTTATATGCCATATTATATATTCTTTGCATGGCATTCCAGTTTGCGGTTGCCCCTCGACTGTAGCGCTGAATGCGGCTGACTGTCTCAAAAGTTACACCTTCCTTTCGAAATACACATTTCACAGCAATTCCGCCTCAATTACATATTTATCGTGATATTTCATATTATACTCGGTTTAGACAGTTCCGACGGCTATATTCGACCACAGCTAACTCACTGTTGGCTACGACGCCTATATGATGTACACGATTAACACGGCAAAAACAGGCGGTTACGCTCCTATATGAAACGATTGGTACAACATTACATGTGAATAAGCGTCGTGTGTGCGCGGGTAAGCATCTTTTGTTCTCACATTCCTTCCTTTACCATTAGAGTTGATAATTTCTACAAATGTGCACACAATGCATCATTGTGGAATCAGTTCGAGCTCCGATTGACAAAGTACCTAAACGAATCAGGTACGCTGACGTCTATATCTACAACGGCGGCAGCTAGTTCGTTTACTAGCTTGGATTTGCATTCCCGTAGCGCCTCGTCATTTTCCTTGATCAGTTCATTGGCCTTGTTCTCCAGGTCATCGAGATGAGGGTCATCACTTGCAGCCTCCTGAATCACCGTTAGCAACATATCCTAGAGTTCTGGGTCAGTTGGCGGCGGACGTGAACACGGCCCCTAATGGGCTGCTCGTCGCCGGTGACGACAACATTGCGCGTACGAGACAGTGTAACACACATAATCACACCAGCAGACCTTATCTACAACGCTTACCTTCTGGTACTGTTCCAGCAGACGCTTCTCCTCAGTCTCACTGAACTGCTTGAGGTCGTTTTCTGCCGCAGACACGGCCTCATTGAGCAGCTTAACGCGGTCTACATGAAATATATTGTCACTAGATCGTACTCACTCTCCTTGGCGCGCTTTACGATGGCTTCAGCCTCTTCCTCGGCCTTGAGGAGTTGCTGGATCAGCGCGTTCGACCCCTTAGTGCTGCTCATTTTACAAGAGATTGTCCCTCGCACTACACAAGAGGTGCATACGTTCTGAAAGTATTTTTGCGCTGTAATCGGGTTGTAGTTGGTCGATGTGTGGAGCGTTGTCGACGTGAGTTATTCACGCCGTCCTACCGCCACCCTACGCCCGGCAGCGCGTCGTCGAACACGCAATTTGCAATTTTTTGCACCGCCGAACATTTAGGTTGTACACATAATGTCACATATCGCAGGTGTGGTAACTGCAGTTCAAACGAGCAGTTGCAGATACCTTGTCTAACGGCCGTTGCTCTTCCTGTTGCCGACGGTGATGGATGCGGTCGGCAGCCGCCACAACAGGAGTGGGAAATGGAGGCCGGAATCCGCAGCTTCACACTGCGCCAGGACCGTCGTTGATGTGTTCAACGGGGTGGAGCGCACGCATGCTGACTGCGTGGACAGCGATAACTTGATGCGGATGATGGGCAATGGTCGTTCATTAGCGTACTACACCGGCCTGAATGCTCCGCAGGATCTGATAGATCGAGTGTTCACACTGACTAGAAACAATATGTCGCGTCTCTACAACGAGGCCAACTTCCTCGGCGGATGGAGGGATCGCATGAAATACAGGGAGATTAGTGCTCCGAAAACCCACCTTCTTGTGCTGTCAGGTTTGCGTACCTCTCGCATGTGGCATGTGTTACAGATGAGGATGGAACTTTAATGGGTTTTATCAGCTATCGGTTCATGATGATCTCTGACTGCCAGCCTCCGACGGAGGTCTGTTACATCTACGAGCTCCAGGTCGACGTAAGTGGTTTTATCGCTGATGCATATCAGCGTTTTCGTAGGAATTGTTTAGATCACGTGGAGTGGGGACATTTCTGATCGGTGCTGCTATGGCTATCGCCCGCTGGGCGGGTGCCAAGAAGCTCATGTGCACGGTGTTGAAACTGAACACACGCGCATTATCCTTTTATCGGTCTAAGTGCGGCTTCGTGAACGACGAGAGCGACCCAGATTCATATGACTGCCGTTGTGGTCACGATCACTGTTACCACATCCTCAAGCTGGAGCTAGGCCGCCCTGAGGCCCCTTCCCAGGGCTCCAGCGCACCCGCAGGCGTCAGTCAGCAGAACAATTAGCGTCACATAACCGCCACGTCCAGCAGTAGCTTGAGCTATAAAATGCGCGCCTTAACACAGCAATTATAAAAAATCGCATCAGATTGCAACATGAACGAACCACACGGCCTGTGGCAGCGCCCCTTAAAGGCACATCACTGCCACAAACATTGCCTGCGTGTGTCGTTCTTGCTCACGCTACACGCGCAGTATACACCCAATCGCGCATTCACAGCAATCTCACGATAATTATCAAAACTGTTGGCTTAGATAATACCGATTTTGTTGGCCACGTCGAGCGCGTCCTGGTCAGGCGACAGCTTGACGTACGCCTTCTTGAGGCCATCGGGGCGGTTCAGAGTGTTGACTCTGACGCACTTAACGTCGTAGAGGTCCGACACGGCCTTGGTGATCTTCTTCTTGTTGGCGCGGGAGTCGACGATGAAGACGAGGGTGTTGATTTCCTCGACCATCTTCATCGACTTCTCGGTGGTCAATGGGTACTTGATAATCGAGTACTTGTCGAGCTTCTTCGAGAGCGCAGTGCGGTGGTGGCGCCTGTACTTGGGCGTTCTGGGCAGGGCGAGGGTGCGTCCCCTGAAGAAGTGGGTGTTGCGCCTGATCTTGTAGCCCTTCGCGGTGGTCGCCTTCTTGACGCTGTTGGCTGCGATCTTGGCCTTCTTGACCTTTTCGGCCTCGGTGCCCTTCTTGGCGACTGCACGGCAATGAATCCTGCTATGCTGGCGACATGGGCTGGGCCGTGGGCCGCACCAGCGCCATGGAGTTCAAACTAACCTTCAGGAAGTCCCATTTTATCTACGCTCGATTTATTCCAGCGATCTGCGTGAACGTTAGGGAACGGTATAGTTATGGCGGATGACGCAGCGTTGTCGCGTGCAGCGGGTCAAGGGGCGGTGAAGCCCAAGCCTCAAAAGCACAGCCTGGTAACTAACCTGAATTAGGCACTCAATGTTACCGTGAATATACGGTTAAATTACAGTGGAGGGAAGGTATGAGCCGTAGCCTCCGACCGTGCGGGTGTATGGTGGGGCTTGCCCTGGCGGCGGTAAGCCTGGGCAACGGGGTCTGTCGTACGTGCTGTATTCCCTTTAAAGTGTACCTCCAGCACTGTGGAGCTATAAGTCTGGTTCCGCTGTGGCAATTGGTAGAGACCTAGTGTTGAGCTTTGCTATGTCTTTTGTCGGTTTGCAATACCGGCCATCAGAAAATGTGCGCCGAATGATGTAGTGTCTGTTAAGTTTGACTTTCGATGCACATTCTAATGTGTGTCAGTGTATTGTTCAACGCCATGTGAAGGCGTTGCGATTTGACAAAGTGTGTTGCCTGGAGAAGTTGTGGCCGACGACGTGCCAGTTAGAATCGGTGTATGCTGTATCACCGCGATAGTCCTGTGCCGTAGTCTCGCTTATAACGATCCAAACCCATCATATACTTTTGATTAACCGTATGTGTGTGGAACACAGATTTTAAGGCCTTCCTCCCACACATACAAGGTTAGGCCGCCAAACGGACGTTGCTACAGAAGTTGAAAAAACGTCTGGTTCACCGATTAGGTCGACGTTAGAGTATATTTACCACTTGGAGTGATAATTTCTCACACAGTGGGCATGGGTATACTAAAATTTACATGTCTGCTGATTGGCAGTAGCGCAGCATTTGCGTCGATCCCGGCGGCTTCCTGACAGCCTCATCCGCTAGGGTCTAACCTTGACTCGGCAGAATATCTTCCGTGTATGTTAGCATGATATCCGGTACCTTAGCCTTCCCCGCCTTGGTGAGTACAATCTTCTGCCCTTTGACTGGGAGGATGTGCACCACAGAATCTGCGAGATCGTCCTCGGCATCAACATCGATGTCCATCTCCTCCGGTCTCGGGGACGCGCCGTTTGACGCGAATATACCGGATTTTACCTTGCTGTGCAGCCGTGGCGGTAGCGATAATAGGAAGTAGTTGTCGTTGCCCTCGATTTTCGTGGATTGCTGCAGCACTATGACCGAGACGAGGTCCCCAAAGCATTACCTGGCAGGAGTACATGCGTACGAATTTGAACAGCTCTTGTGAGCCCGGGATGTGTTTAACGTCCTGCTCCTCGTCGCCTGTGGTGCTCTTGTAGTACTCGTACAGGCGATGAGTGGCGCTGTCCTTTGCAACGTGCAAAATACCACCAACGGCCAGCTTTCCGGCACCCTCGGTGGCTGAAGCCGACGTGACTCCGTCCACGCCGACCTGCACGTAGCGGTTTTTCCACAGGCCGACGTTGGGCATGACCTTGTAGTGCTGCATGGTGGTGGCTGGCGTATGTTTTGGTGTCGTACCTTTGCGATTTTGGCCTTCGGGTTCGTCGGGTGCTTGAGGGCCGACACGGGAACGAATGTGTCGTTTATTTGTGAGATGTGGTGCTCAATGCGTTCCCCTATGCTCATGGAACTCCACTTCTCCCGCACAGCGTCCTCATGGTCATCCGGACCACTGTCGGGTTGCGTTGCCTGTATCCGTTCAACCGGTGCTCCTTTAGATTCCACCCCTTCGGCGGCGAACAAAACATGCCTGACATCATTGGGCATCGCGTCTCGCAATTTTTTAATCAGAGGATATAGCGTCTGCATTTCCGGGGTTTGCAACGACTCTGCTCGCAGTTGCGACAGTCGCTCCATCCCAGCAACGTTCAAGGTTTGCGCCAATGCCCCAAGCTCGTCTAGCAGCTCTTGATTTTCTATTGCGTAGTTGGAATAGGCGGCAGGCTCGAGCGATTCGCAGACAACTCCATTTTCGAAATCGTGGAAGGATGTGAATCCGGCGTACAGCTCCAGTGCCGACAGCTCGTATGCGATTGCATCTTCATTAAGATCGTACGTCAGCAGGTTGGCATCTACCGGTGGCTCCGGTATGCTGGTATCGAACTCCAGGGAACCGAGAAGCGGCGACTTCTTCTGCAGGTAGGCAGAGAGTGTGTCCACCGGCTCACTCTTGGTCCCTCCTTCCCCTCCCTCCTTTCGCTTCGACATCTCTATTTTGCTGGGAGGAATTTGTTCAGCCCTGAAAAATAGGGTGGTATCGGAAGACCGTATCAGGCCCCGCTTGTGTCAGCGTCGCCGTGTGCCCGAGGATGATGCTAATCGCCAAACAGGGCTCATTCGAGCAACAAAATGCGCAATATGACTAGAACTATTAGATAGTCCCAATTTGCTACGTATGTGTGCGGTAACGCGTGATATACACGATGTCTGTTCGCAGCGGTGGCCCTGCCGACCGCCTCGCTCAGTGCTCCTTAATGGCCTGCTCTGTGCTTTCTGCAAAACATTAGACACACTTTGGCTTGAACATTACCTGACTGTACTTCGTGTTGCGTAGATTCCGCGTTTGTAGCCTCCTTATCGTGGTCACTGCCTCCCGTGGCAGCTTCTTCTTTCTTGGTCTCCTTAGATTCTGCCTCTGACGGCTTTGCCTGATCTGAGGCTCCATTCATTGAGTTGACTTCTTTGAGTTCATTCTTCGCCACCTTGGCGAGGTAGGATCGCAGGTCCTCCGCCGTGATGGCTTTGTTCTTGAGCAACGATACGGACACGACGTTGTGCAAATTCTCCATGACGAGGGCCGAGGTGCTGTCTGGCTCGAGTTCATCAATGAAGTCCCGCAGGACCTCGAGCAGTACCTTGCAGTACTGCACCTTGTTCCCGCAGGTCTCTACGATGGTGTTCAGTATCCGCGCAGACATGCAGGGCATCCATCCTTCGTTCTGGTACTTCTTCATATCCACTGCGATACCACTCGTGTATGATTCCTTTGTGACGTTTTCGCCGTAATGGCTAGCCTCGTCGCTGAATTTGCGTTTCTGCGCTCTATTGAAAAACGCAACAGAAAAACCTACAGCGTCGTCTATGCATTGCGATAGTTCGTTGTTGCGCTGCGCCTCCTCGGCCGCCGCCTGCGAATATAAGTTTAGCGCAAAAATTCATCCTACATGGTGTTCGTGCTCGACGAATGCGAGCAGCGCTTCCGCCAGGGTTGCGCCCTTGTCCGGTGCGGCATCTGCGATGACTCGGTTGAGCTTCACTATGGTCGACCTGACTTTGAGGTTGAGCTCAACGTGCGACTTGATGAATGCACCGATTAACTTCTTCTCCGCTTCGTTAGCCTCGCTCTTCGACAGCCCGCAACCCCATGTTGACGGCTTCATGAGGTAGTCATCTGCCTTGAGGATATTGCGCTCCACGTCGCCGAAGACCATGTTGACCGCGTTACTGAATGTCTCCCATGACATCTCCCTATCCAACACACTGTGTATCCGTTTCAGATGCGTCTCCTTTTCCTCCAGCAATGAGGGTATGATGTGCCGCTGATGTATGCATCGCTCGATGAGTGCGCTGTGCAGCTCCGCATCGAGCATCACGAACGTCTGCAGGTCCGATTCGTTGTCGCGCTTGCCTACCATGACGTTACAGTTCTTCAGGAGCGTTTCGTAGTGTTGACCGCTGAATTCGGATTTCAGCTGCCCATCATCGCTTAGCATGTTAACGCATCGCTGTGCCGTGATGGTGATGTACGGCAGGTACAGCACGAAGTGGTTCTGCACCAGATGAATCCACCTATCGACGTATTTGAGCTTCGTGTCGATAGGAGCCGGGCTCTTGACGAGTCTGGACATGAGGTTGAAGGCGAGCTTGGAGACGATGAACGTCTCCAGGCACGTTAGCAGGATTGGCGACTTTCCGCCCTTTTGCGGCAATGCTGCAACTTATGATAACATTCTTGCGTAACCTACTCTTTGCGATGTTACCGACGGACAGCACCATGTTCCGCGGAATATGCTTATTTTCCGAATTGTCAGCCTCGCTCACGAAAATCATGTGGTGCTCCATGCCATCCTCTAGTCCCTCGGTCTTGGGCTCCACTAACTTCCACGGCTGCGACCGTGACGACAGGTAGTGCATGAGTATGTTGAACAGCGAGTAGAGGTCGGATTCCGTTTCGTCTACAACCGAGGACTCCAGCGGCCGGTGCTTTGTGAGGTAGTCGGCCTCAATCTCCGCCTTATGCAGGTTGTGCTCGTGCTCAGTCTCCTTCTCCTGCGGCGTCAACTCTGTGTCATCAGTCGACTGCTTGCCGAAGGAGACATAGTCGAAGTTGAGGGCGACGCCCTGTACGAACCCCTCATAAAGCGCCTCATCCAGCTCATCCACCTGCGGTAGATTTAGACCACACATAATGTTCTGGCGGTTTCATGCATACACATCGCAGTCGATACACCGTTCAAGTCGATTAAGAGTGTTCTAAAGTCACACATCTCGGTAGACATACCTCGCTGTCTTCTAGGTCGGAAGCGACGGCTTTGGCCAGCTCCGCCACGTCATCGTGGCATCTGACAACGAGCAGCGGCGCTGCCAGCAGCACAAGGAGATATGTCGCCGCTTTCATTACCGCTCCTATGTATGCGCTCTCATTTGTAGCAGGGGCTATCGCCCTTTAGACAGAGATGTGTGATCTCCGATTTCCCCCTTGTTCCCGCCGCGGCACAGCCAGCGGCTATTTCGTTTGTTAACTACGTGGTAACGGTTTTCTATCTTACAGCTGGGCAATGGCCGGGCTGTAGTTTCCGGACGAATGCACCCCTGTGCCAGCTAGCGCAACGAGCATAGAAGGCACACATTGTTTTCCTAATTGGACATACACAATATTTCTAACGCGTTTACTTTTAAGCTAACAGGTGCTGACGAGTCTAAGATAGAAATATCCTCTTTTCAGCTGTCCTCGAATTACGTCCAAGGGACGTGTAGCTAAAGTCATACACATCAAGGGTAATCTGGAAAATAGCTACACATAGCTTGCCATTTAGCATTATACACGTTAAATCCTCACAATACCACTGAGTTAGATAACGTTATAACCCTTGATCTATTAGTATGTGTAGCATCGGCTTAGTTTTGTTCTCGTGGAACTACTGACTGCGCATGAGTCACTCAGGATTAAGTGCAATGCGTAGATTACGATTCAAATGTGATCTGTGCCTTCTGCGAGTCCCCATACGTATAGGACCCCTTTGGCTCCACTGCGCCCATCGCGCGCATCAGTCTGTCCGATGTGCTGCGCACAGACTTGCTCATTTTTCAACGCAATTTTAATTTACATTTGTTAAAAATGTCTGGCAGGCCATTTTCCAGTCCCGCTGGCGCCAACGACTTCCTCAACTTTGAGGCTCCGTCGTACGGCCAATTCAGCGCGGATTCAAATGGCTCTGGCAAGATGTCAGGCACAGGTTTCGGCTCTTCGGCTGGCGTGAAGGGTGGTGGTAAGATGTGTTTGATCATTTGTTTAAATCGCGTGCAGATCAGTCCCCTTCAGGTGTGCCACCGTCAGACTCCGCTTCGAGCACTTTTGGCCGGCCAAAGGTGAGCTTGCCAGCATTCCTTTGTTGCAATTATTGTCAGGAGGACAACTATCTGCTCAAGGGCATCGAGTTCGTGAAGAGCAGTGCATCAAATATCCAGAAGGGTTTCGGCGATTCGACTAGAAGCAACAGCTTATTTGGTATGTGCGTTTATGTGCTATAGTAACTGTGATTAGGAGGCGACAGTGGGCTGCTTGGCACTGATACAGCCTCCACGGCGCGCTCGTCGCTCTCTGCGCTGATGAATGTTGGCCGTTCAGTTATCGGTTTGTCCGGCGGCAACGAGGAGCCTCAGACGTGGCTGAACTACACAAACTACAAGATATTCGTGCTTCTATTCATTACGAGTCTCCTGTTCTTCGCACTCTCCTTCATGACTCTCCCGTTCATCGTTTTCGCGCCACACAAGTTCGGACTTCTGTTCACGTGCGCCACCATCAGTTTCATGTCCTCCCTGGCGTTTTTGAAGGGAACGGGGGCTCTGATGGAGCATATGCTTAACTCTAAGCGTATCGTGTTTACGGGGGCATTGGGTACATCGTTGGTCGCTACTTTCGTCTTCACCACCATCTACCCGATCTACCTGCTGGCATTTATCAGCTCCCTGGTACAGACGCTGACACTGGCATCTGTCATTCTATCGTATATCCCAGGTTAGTGATACCACACACAATTCTCTGATGAATGTGCAGGTGGCGCCGGGGCCCTGAAGCTGATGTATTCATCAGTGTGGGAGTTTGTGAAAAGCAGGACGCGTGGAAGCGGATCTACAACTCTTCCGTTGTGAGATATACTAGGCAGAAGTTGGTGACAAATTTTCGGCGGCTAAACTGCGCTGACGATGTAGCAGCAAGCAGAAGCTAGCCGGTCGCTATTTCGCATAAAACGGCGATTAATTTATTTTGTAACCTATTTACCATTTAAAGTGCTATGCGACTAAAAATTTGCGCTGTATTCGGTGTTAATACTATCATCGCAATTTTCAGCACCACCGAGGAAAAGATCGCCTGAGATAATGCAACCCGCGGGAATTTTCTCGCGTATCTCGCCATATAAGGCTAGATAGGGGTATCTTCACTACACGTTTTTGTTGCCTATCGCTCCTCAATTTTTCATCTGGGCTGCGCAATATATTTTAAATATACCAAGTCTCAAGAAATCTACAATGGTGGACACGAATGTCAACCAAGCTAACCAGCGCCGCAGGAGGTGCTGGATTCTGGTGGGCGCTGGCATTGTCGGTCTAGCTGCTCTAATTCTCACAATCATTTTGGTTGCGGTCCTCTGCAGTAGCGAGGACCCTAAGGCCGAGCGATACAAGTTGACCACCTTCGACGCCATGGGAAACAAGAAGGTCATGGATATGACACCTGACCAATTTTTCGAAGCTATGAAAGCAAACACAGCCTTTATGCTTGGGGAAGGCCGCACGCAAAGCGAAGCTCTGTACAGCTGCATCCTCGACATGACAAAGGATCTGGACAAATGGAAAGTGGCCGCTGATGAGGCTGCAGCTACGGCAGAGGCTGAGAAAGCAGCCACGGATAGCACGACAGGCGCTGAAAAAACACCTAGTAAGACGGCAAAACTAACCGCTGGCGACGTCGCTGAACCGGTCAAAACCGTATTCACAGCAAAAGTTCCAGAGACGAAACCTGCAAAGGCACCCACTCCGGAACCTTCAACTACCCCTGAAGACACATCTGGCTTAAGGGGTACTGCCAGCGGGGTGCCGGTTAGTTTACCACCCCAGCGAGACATGCAAATTGCAGAGCGGTTAGAGGAGAAAGCTGATGAGACAGTACCCCCGGCCAAGACTGGTGTCGCCGGCTCCGTATGGAACTACATTTCTGCGGTGCCGAAAGCTATAGGCAACATGGTGCCACCGCAACTGTTTATAGACACCTACGAGGGCGACTTAGGCATAGATGACATTTCGTAAGACCCCTATAAGGAACTGCAACGACGAACACGGAGCTTCTGCCACCAGAAGAATCGCCCATAGAAACACACGACGTCCTTTGGGGTTCGTATCGTCAGGGGACCGAACGGTTCCACAACTTTTTGAAGCAGACGGTCAGCCCGTGGTAGCCTGAAACTTTTTTAACAATGATTTTCCCAGCGAACATTTTTTGCAATTAAATGCTTCATATTTAAAGCTGAAGTAGTGGCGCTCTTGCCTGCTTGGTTCAGACTGACGCAGTGCGCAAGACGTGGAGCTGGTTGCGGCTAGCTTCTGCGCCTGCCTCGGCATACCACTTGCCTAATGCACCTCAGTTAGAAAAGAGGTTGTAATTGCGAACTGTGGAATAATCCGGTTCTGCAAAATGGCTGGCTGGGTGTGCGATGTGTGCCTCGTGCCTAACGACGAGGATGTTGCAGCTTGCTGCTGCTGCACAACTCCTAGGCCGGCAGGCGCCCATCCTACGCCGTCTAAAGGTTGGTTACACTACACATAGTGCTCGTGTGTCTATTGTTTGTGGAATCCCGCGCCTGTGCCTCTATGACATCTGTTGGCTGTCTCAGCCGAGATCCAGCCTTAGCGTCTATTAGGGTTTTATGTTACGCAGTCGAATCTCAAGAGACGGTACCAGCTACCGAAAGCGTTGGCAATGCGCCTCCGGAGGTGAAGGATCATAACGAAGATGTGAAGCGCATTAGGCATTCGTTCACATCACCCGACCCGCCTCTCAGCTGTGTCATGGTCGTCGGGTCTTCTGAGGTGGACCAGTTGCCGCGGTCTATCTGCGATTCGCGTTTGGAGCCGGGGAGCAAAGACCCGGTGCCTATGTATGAGTGCTCGCTGCCAACGCCCGTGACGGACGGGTTGCGTGGTTCTCTGGTCGGTGTTTCCTGCGGCTCCCTTCACACGGCGATCTTGACTCGCACTGGCCACGTATACACTTTCGGTTGCAATGATCTCGGAGCACTGGGGAGATCAGAGCAGGATTCCGAGAAGGCGAAGTTGGCTGAGTGCGACCCTTGCATTGTGCGGCTGCGTAGTCCGGTGTCTCGTGTATCTTGCGGCGATAACCACACGTTATTTCTGACACAAGGCGGCGCTGTTTTCTTCACCGGCGCTTTCAGGGATACAACAGGAAACATTGGAATCGCAGATTTCGACGAGCTGGAACAACTTACCAATGCAACGCACTTCAAAACCCCAGTTGCCGTACCGTGCACCAGTCCGGGTGCGGGTATAATTAAGGACATTTGCTCGGGAGAGAACCACTGCTTGCTGCTTCCTACGGACGGTTCCGGTATTTACGTCTTTGGTAGCAACGAGTTTGGTCAGCTGATGTTGCCTTCGGAATACTCTGTAACGACGCCGACGGAAGAGGCGCCGGATTTGTCTAGTGAAGAAACGATGAAGCTCGCTTTGACTTGGCCGCAGTTCCTCAAGCTCGATGATTTGGGCTTGATGAAGCGTCACGAGGGTGGTGAGGCTAAACGTCGCAAGCACGGCGATGACTTCGTCAGGCGCATATTCGCAGGCTACTGCACCAGCTTCTTCGAAAGCGGGGTTAGTGGACGCATTTACGGCAGCGGGCGTAACGCCCAAGGCGAACTCGGGACTGGCGGCGATGAGCTTCAAGTTTCGCGTCCCACCGAGTTGCGCGGTCTGCGAGGGCTGCGCATTTCAAAAATTGTCGGCGGCCAGTTCTTCACTGTCGCCTTGACGGCCGGTGGCAACCTGTATAGTTGGGGCAATCGTTCATACACTGGCAACGGCGGCGATGACGACTACGCCACCCAACGCACCCCAGCCAAGATCACGTTCTTCAACGGCAATGTCGACGAAGTCTTTGTAGGCGCGGATACAACGTTCGCCATTAACACTCGTGGCCACCTATACTCATGGGGGTCTGGGCAGAACTATGTTTTGGGCAACGGGAAGGATTGCTCGTTCCAGAAGACCCCGGTTGTGGTGCAGAAGTCCCTGTTCCACGGCTACAGTGTAGTTGGAGGCATGGGGGGCTCTCAGCACACCGTATTTTTGTGTCATAGGAACAAGTGATTGTTGTTCGTGCTCCAAAGTTATGGGTGTTACTGTGTAATCTCAATTTTCTATGCAGTTATTATGTCTCTGGTGTATTGTGGGCAGCATCTTTTGGCGACTCCTGTATAGTCTTATAAATGTTTAATTAATCGCTCACCAAGCCTGTTGCGATGTAGGTCGAAAACGACTGCATTGTGTTTGAAGAAGGTGGCACCTAACACGTTGTCGGTTCCTGCCTCCATCCCTAAGCACCACCAATGGCCGCCGTGTTTTTGCCTGCATTCCGTTATGGTGGTTTCGGAGCGCCAAACGTACGTGGTCGTCCTGCGTATGAAGTAGGACTCGGGTTTCCACTTCAGTGTCTTGCCCCTAAATTTCATTAGCCACATACTGGGCACAATATAATAGGAATGTTTTGCTTCCAGCTACTCCCCATTGCGCGGAACACGCCTATGGAGAGACACCATGTTTGTGTCTATGCTCATCAGTGCATGTAACAACAGAGATGTAATTTGTTATATACATTCCATTGTTACTACTCTAACTGTATATTTTATACCATATTTGCGGCGTTATTATATAGATGTTAATTAGACTTAATAAAACATACCCTTCAATAATCAAATGGACGCTTGGCATGTGAGAAATATCCGAAAAGCACAGGTATCCATGCTTCTTCTGGATGACGCAGCGGCATTTGGGAGAAATTTTAGATTCTACATTACGTTGATTGTCTAGTAAATTGCCTTGGCGTTCACCAACGTCATAAACATTGCCTCCGTTATCTCCCAAATGCATATTGGTATCACCATCAGCAATTGCGGGTGTACGAATTGAGTCAGAATTGACGTTGTGATCTTGCGTATCTGTGGATTTTAAGCGCAACCGACGTTTGAGGAATCCACGAAGTATCCTACTTCGGATATGCAGGCGTCTTCTAGTTTGATTGTGGGCGACCTCTGCATTCCTATTCATCGAATTACACAGCGACTTGTAGTATTCATGTATTACACTGTATATTGGTTGTTCCAGGCTTGAGTTGGTAGAACCGGAATCTAATATGAACCTTTTGTTAGTAGGTCGTACTATATTTCCGCAGAACCTTACGGCATTAACCTCTATTGAATAACCACCATGACGCATCAGCGGCATCCACAGCAGCGATTTTTCTTTTACTTTATGAACATTTGTAAGATTACCATATTCATTGGCTGAAGCGTTTTCTTCCAACCTCCCGAATATCAACGAACCACCGTCTTCAGACAGGCACAGTTCGAACCGATGCCTTTCTTTTGCAAAATTCTGATGCAAAAAATCGTCCACAAAATTCGCATACCTCGAGTTTACGATTGCATTGTATTCCATTGTTTGCTGCGACTCGTCAGAATTCAACATAGTTGTCTCATTACTACCACCATCGTCATCAGTTGGAACCGTCACTGGCCCTAGTCCCAGCACTCCGTTGGCCCGCTGCTGATAAATGAGTTTCGTTTCCGATATTGTACATCCAAATTGAGGCACAATATATGTAGCATTCGGCTCAGCATCGGCTTTAAATGCCAAATAGTCAGTAGCATAGAAGCCCCTGATGGCGCTTTGCTCCTCGTACTCCTCGACGAAAACACATGCATCTTTGATGGCGCCCTGTTGACCCGCTGCGCCTCCTAAGGCGGCACAACTTGCTGAACTCCCGTTTATGTACGACATGGTTCGAGAGAGTGTTGTGTTGAATGGTTTCATACCGTGATGGCCGCAGTGACGGCATTCTGCAGACGCCAGGACAAGGTTAGAAGACCCTGTGTCCACCACAACCTCCTGGCTTTGTGGTGGCGTTCCCACTTCAACGATGGTGTAATAATAGGCCAGATCGTGAAGATTACCGTAAAGCATAACATGAATCGGTTTTGAAAGTTGACATTTCGTATCGACGTCATGCACCGCATGATTCAGTCGGTGATTTTCTATGCATTTTGCGAACGTTTCGTCACGATGGCACGTTGAACATACCGCAACAACCGGTTTCAGATGTATTGACTTCAGTAAACATAACACAACTGGTAGAATTGCCACCCTCAGGCATATTTTCTTTTGCGTGACAGCCATCACATGATCGATGCCCAGTGACATACCGTCGATCAATTACGCATTATTTCCTTCCTAAAGTGCACCAATAGCTATGTGTGCTGCTAGGTGACCGCCAAAATGACAAATCTACGGAGTAGAAGATTCCGAACATCGAGGAGTCGCAGATCATCTCAACAAAAGGACGTCGTCGTCTTATAACGAATACATTTCCATGCTGACTTGGCAATGCTGTATAATTGACGTATAGATATAGATAACGCTTGGCTGAGTTATGTTGTGGGCGTTAATGCATTGGAAGGCAAACTTTAATAGAGGCGAAGGTGTGTAAAACAATTTTAACATGAAAACGTTTGTCTACCCGGCTATAACTGTTCCAATTGGTGCAATGCACCTTTTGCAAATATTATATCTCGTTAATGGGCTGCAGGTATACGTATAATCTAGATGAGATGTGTGACTGTACCGGTCTAACACACGTTCATCTGTGAATCTATTCGTAGCTTGCGGTGGTTTTGAATTCTCGAAAAGTTATACGTGTAGTGTTGATTGTGTAAGAAGCATGTATTCGACCGATCGATCAGCTGTTGTTTCGAATTCGTTTCTTGATCAGCAGGTCGAGATACGGCTGCATGGCACGTTGTAGCCTTCTACGTTTAGAAACGGTGCAGGGTGGATTTAACGACTTTAATTTGAACACACTTTGTGTTATCATGCCTCTAACAATCGCAAGTTGACGTTATCGCTGCGACAATCGTAGCAGTTATTACGCTTATCAGATGACGGCACAACCGACCGTAAAATACGCAAGGACGTTTCTTCGTATACAATGTACGCCGTGTTCACATACTTCTACGATGTATTTATTCGTACATTCTTTGAGGCGTGTGTCTTTATTTTAGACTATAACGTTTGTATCCTAGAGCGTCACAGTTCGAGCGTCGTTGACAGATGGTAACGTAGTACTCAAATGTTTGCAATAAATGTTATGAACATCACAGCATATTTGTATGCAATAGATAGGTGTATGTCTTGGATTCGCAAAGTTGTGTATGAGTGCAGACGGCCCATGTGCCATGCGCGGTGTCCGCAGACCCCGTGTAAACAAACTTTCTTGCTACACAATTACACAGAAGTATGACAACAGATTGTACCATAAGATTAGATCATTTTTCACCTGCCGCGATTTAGTTTTCGCAGACACCGGGCCCTCCTAGGCGTCCTAGGTTCCCGGCGTACTGACCGCTGCCACTTAAGGCGGTACATACGCCAGATTCCTACGCCATGTATATTTGTCGGATTATTAGACACAACTGTGTATCTAGAAGGTCCACCGTGAGTCTGCGCTCGGCGTGATTATCGTGTTCGTCGCCGTGAACAAGGTGTGTGACCACTTTTCGGAAACTCGAAGCGCCGCATCCTCCCGATTCCGCAATGGCGGACATGTGGAGGGAACACCGCGTAGCGTGGCTACCTGGCGAACGAAGAGCTCTTTTTTCAAGTACGAAGAACCTTCAAAGCCACCCTTCGAAACAGCAGAACCTGCTGTACAAAATGGAGGGACGAGAAGACCGTCAACCTGGTTTATGGAGAAGAACAGCATTTGATGCGGCGAAGGCAGAGCCATCTAACCCGTTGCAGAATCCTCACCCTGCACGGACGCTCCCCCGTATGATAGAGAGGACCTACAAGCCGACACCTCGCAAGGCGGAGCCTGTGAGTTATGGGCCACCAAACCATGTTGCAACATCATCTCGCAACCCAAAATGGATTGCAGGGCACGCCGATCCAACTCCGAGCAATCCCAAAGTTGTGCCTGCAAGTTACGTCGAGCCCAAACCAACTAAATCGAATGCAGTTAATCCGAACGAAGTAAAATTTGTGCCTACTAGCCCGTTGGTACCTACTCGCCGATCAAAACCTGTAGTCAGCTACATAGAGGGCGGTTTGAATGGACACCACGCAAGTACAACTCCCAACAAGTCTGATTTTGTCGGTGTCCACAGAGACACCGAGGAATCACGGAAGGATGTTTTCCATGCAACTCGTATATTAGAACCAGATGCAGATGAAAAGGTTGCTGATGAAGCTACGGCTAGAGTCCCGACGGAACCGGCCGTTCAACAAGAGCACCAAGATGCAATGACTGCCACTATGGGTGATGAGCAGGATTTAACCCTGACTGTCCAGCTAGTGGATGATATAGAACCTCCAGGATTTTCAAAGGTGACAAATAAATGGCGGTCAATGACACGGGAGACAACTGCGGATGACGGTGGCCTGTCAGATCCGCTGGCTTCGATCAGGGATCTTGAGGTGCCCTTGCATGACACACTACACTATTCGGTTGACGAGAACATGGTAACTACAGCAAGGACCCCAATAAATCACATCGCAACCATGATGGGTAACCCTTTCGCAATTTTTCGGCTGAAGCATGCCCGTAGTACGGTAAGTGTCACTGATGAGGAGCTGGCTGGGTTGAAGGCCACTATGCTGGCGAAGCATCATTCACCGGATGAGCTGCTTACTTACTTCAAGGCCTCCATATCGGTGACGAACGTTGGCACGATGAATATCATACTGCAATTCTTGTGCGATGTGATTCGTTGCGACGTCTCTCAACGAGAGTTGTGCGTACGCATGATGGAGACCGCGTTGGTGTACCACCCAGACGAGTTGGTAAGGTGCTTCTCCTGCAACTACATTCCATTTTTATTCGACCCGGAACTTAACGACGACGTCGGAGGTAGCTTCATGAGGTTGCTTTTATCTTACAAGGCTACGTTCACCGCCTCCGGTATCTCTGATGATAACGTGCCCGTTTGCGTTGACAGGAGAGGGATGTTCTGTTACAACATCGACGAGTGTGAACCCATTGATCGCTACTATGTTGAGCATAGACATCGAAACGTTGACACATATGCTGAAGTGAGTGACGATGCGCGCGGTACCAACGCTTCTTCTGAAGGGCCGTCGGGGCTAAACTACATTGGTTGCGGTAAAATCGAATCAATGGCACTTCTTAAGATATGTGCCGATAGAGCAAATGTGCACTCTGTATTCGATATTCCGGCATCCAGGTTGCGAGATTGGCTCTGCACGATCTGGTTTGAGTTACCAGCAACAAGACCCTGCCTCCCGTTAATGCGGTTATGCATCCATTGGATAGATTCACGAGAAGAATCGGCATTCCTGAAAGATGCGGCGTATGCTCTTGTACAAAAGGAGCTGTCGTTGTTGGGTGAATTTGAGGGAGGAAGGCTTCTGATGCTGGAGTTGCTGTCGTTCATGGTTGAGCGCAACGGGGACGCTAGCGCCGAGCTGAGCAAGATAGTTGACATACTCGCAGAAGGTGAAGAGAATACTCTTTACGCTATCCTGGATTCCATCATATCCTATAACTTGCAGGAAAGCGATATGCTGGATCTGTGGTGCCTGCTGTGTATCCTGCCGTGGCCCGTGGCCTCGCCGACCAGCGCCATATGCCGCCTCTTGTCGAGCATCTTTTTGATATTCTACCAGATCGCATACGATGCTATTAAGTCAGGATCGGGACAAGAACGATTCTCGTCGTCTCCTATGGGCCTTTTGGAAAATGCGCTAAGGATATGCACGTGCCGGTGCTCCTCACCTGTGCTGGCCAAAGGCGCACTGCTGCAAACCATCCTGTTAGTTGAACTGTCACCATTACCAGCGCTGAAGATGAAGAATGCTCCTCTGATACTTTCCAGCTTGTCTCCGTTCTTGTGGAAGTGCTACTTCGTGTGGTCCAACTGCGGCCGTGACGTCGATCCAGATAACCTTACTGCGCTACGCCACCTGTACGATGCATTGCGAACATGCGTCTTTTGCGAGCCTCTATCAAGCGCGGATCGCAACATCACCGCCCGAACGCTGCCCATGTTCCCTCGTGTGCGCTTTACAACGGATGAGGGTGAGGCGGATGACATAAACATCAGCAACTTCATCGGCGCTACAACGCCGATAGTCAGGACGTTTAGCGCACCGGAGCCAGAAGTGGATGTGGATTATGTCTATGAGCCTCAGGAAGAATCTGTGGTGGACGAAGCGCCGAATGTGTTGTTCTTGGAGTCGCCAAGGGGAATTCGCAACCTCGGCAATACGTGCTACTACAATTCTCTCTTGCAAGCTCTGTTCCACACGCGAAGCTTCGTAAAGGGACTGTTTGATCTGCCATCCAGCAATCCAACTGTTGCCGTTTACCAGCGGATCTTCCGCAAATTGCTGAAGCGTGGCAAGAAGCCGTTCGACCCAACCCCCGGTTACAAGCTGCTGCCATCGGCATGGCGCCACGATGCCGAACAGCAAGATGTGACTGAAGTGCTCAGTCATCTGTTGGAATCTCTGGATGATAGCCTAAAGCTTTGGCGCCGCGTGTTTGCTGGTATGGTGGTGCGTCGCATCAAGTGCTTGCATTGCGGCAACATGAGCGACAACCGTGAGGTCGTAATGGACTTCACTTTTGCAGTGGATAAAATGCCCAGCGTTCAGGCAATGTTCGATGATTTTTGCAAGATCGAGAACTTGCGCGGCGGGAACCGTTACCTGTGCCCGCAGTGTAACGCCCACCGCCGTGCGGACATGTGGAATGTGATAGCCTCGCCGCCAGCGCACCTTATGGTGGTGCTAAGTCGACACATGTGGAGCCCAGTGATGCCGTCGGAAGGATCGTCAGGTGGCGCTAAGAAGATTTTGAAACACGTGCATGTCGACGAGCAACTACGCATATGTGAGTTCGACTACACGCTCTACGGGACGATTTTCCACTCCGGCACGAGCGCTTCGTCCGGCCACTACTACTTTGTAGGCCGCGACAGTGAGGCTCCCAGCAACTGGCACATCTGCGACGATTCGCAGGTCCGCCCAGCCACTGCTGCGACTGTGAACGAGATAAGCCAGGATCGTGGCAACTCCCACGTGCCTTATGTGGCCTTATATCGCTGCGCGCAAGCTCCGCTGACTGAACTATAGTGTGAATTAGTTTTTTCTTATACACGTAGCGGCGGTCTTCGCCATGCCTGCCTTGCCAGACCAGGCGGTTGACAGCAATATCCGCAATCGCATTCAGCTGACGTCAGCTGTTTACTATGTGCGGTGTTTTATTTTTAGTGCTGTCGATTCTCTTTGTGGAGTGTCTATCCGTCCATCGCCCAGGATTCGTGTTCAGGAAGGCAGGTAACCCCTTCGTCGTTCGAGACCGCCGTTTCGGTGGTTGCTGGAGCAACCACGCAGCCTTAAACCAGCAAAACACAAGCTTAGAATCTAATGTGTGCGAGGAATCCAGTAATCAGGCGAGCGATGAGCGTGCTGTAGCAGATAGGTCTAAGACCCTCTACCTGGTGAACCCTCGTGGCTTTTGCGAGGGCGTACGACGTGCCATCCGCACTGTAGAGGAAGCTGTGCGCATATTCGGCCCTCCAATCTACGTAAAGCATGAAATCGTGCACAACGAATTTGTCTGCAACCGTCTACGCGTAAGTTGCCTGCAGGCATCATTTCATGTCCGCGTAGGCCAAGGGTGTCATATTCGTCGAGGACCTCGAGACCGTTCCCGAGGGTAGCACCCTCATCTTCTCTGCTCACGGCGTGTCTCCTGCTGTGAAGGAACTTGCACGCAAGAGAAATTTCATCGAAATTGACGCCTCATGCCCACTGGTGAACAAGGTCCATGTTTACGTCAAGAAGAAAGCTGAGGAGGGTTACAAGATTGTGCTGATTGGCCACAAGAACCATGGTAAGTGTGCAATGGGCTCAATGAACGCTTGCAGTGGAGACCATTGGGACTGCGGGCGAGGCCCCCGGTGTCACGACGGTGGTTGAGTCCGTTCAGGACGTCGAAGAGCTAGAATATCCGGAAGGCACGCCTCTGTTCTACGCAACACAGACGACTTTGAGTCTGGATGATTGCAAGGTAATCAAGGATCGGCTGCTGGAGCGGTTCCCTTGGATTGAGACGATCCCCAGCGGCTCCATCTGCTACGCCACCACCAATCGCCAAACGGCGGTGCAGAAGGTCTGTGCTATTTGCGACCTTATGCTGGTCGTCGGTAGCACTCTGTCATCTAACGCAAAACGGTTGCTTGAGACCGCCACCGTGAGGAATATAAGAGGCTACCTGATACCCAACGCGGATGCAATTACCGAGGAAATGATCGGGAATGCAACCCGCGTGGCAGTCTCCGCATCCGCATCAACTCCGGAAGAGCTCACCAATGGCGTTGTGGAAAGGCTGGCTAATCCGCCATTCAACTTTTCGGTTGAATTTTTCGACGGGGGCGAAGAGCGCGTGCCGAAATGGCGACTACCGAGGTGAGCCTATTCGGATTTTAGCCATACAGATGCAGGAACCTGGAAACGTTCATAAAGGAGCATGACAGCAAAACACAGGCAACAGAGGAGCAATAATTTTTTTCATTGGAGCAATGCAGTGGCGGCGGCAGTGTCGCCGCATGATACCGGGAACACACCCAACGCAATCACCGTTAAACAAAAAAATGTGTGGTTTTTCAATGTTGTGTATTACCATATCTCAAACTAGTTTCATGGCGGCTTATTGTTGTACAAAGCCTCACAATGACCGATGCACTTAGTTCATAAGTTCATGCATGGTCTGCGATGATAGCGTGGTTTTGCCAGAAGGCGACCGACCTGAGGTAGGCGTCGTGGTCCAACGCAACACCGCTGCCACCTTCCGTGATCATGGTGTTGCGGAACATCGTAATGGGAATCATGGGTATCTCATGGTCCACGTCCTGAGGCTTGATCGAGATGACATAGTAGTCGAACTCGTAATCGCCCTCGTGGCCTTCCTGTCTGGCCTCATTCTCCTTGATTACTTGCTCTCGTGAGTAAAGGATAACATCGAGGTACTGCGCTTTTCCAATCTTGTCTGCTACGGCTGCTCTGGGGAACCAACGAGAAAGCACCGGCAATTCCTTCTCGGTCCGTGCGATATAACCCGACCTATCAACTTTTGACGCTTCCAACAATTCTAACGCACCTCAGCAAGTGTTCATTATCCACTGTAATAGGAAGAAACCCAGTAAGCGCATCTGTGAAGTTCCTTACAAACAGGTGTTTGCAAAAAGGGGCGTATCCGTCGGCAAGTTTAGCCATTCCGCTCTGGAAGATTGAACGCAGCTGCGTGATGAATAACGATTGCAACAATTACCTCACCTGCTGCAAAAAGTGTTCCTTGGAGCACGGTATGTGGTTCGTCTGCTGCTTGTCAAACTGCTTGTAGCAGTAGGCATCTGAGCTCGTCTGTATGTTCCCTAAAGATTAGCCTACCCATGCCAATGGTAAATGCGGGACCTTCTTCCGGCATATTTGAGGATACAAATTGAACAAAGGGAGTCTTTTGCAATAGTTGTGGCGCCGATCTCACGTTTATGAGCTGAGCATGAAGGAAGAGAGGGATGAGCGATGCGTGTCTGAGACCAGCCTTGATGTGCATTGATGACGGCACTATAGTCGCTAGAATCACATGGTATATGTGGTACGTTAGTTTATGTTGTGTGAAAATGCGCTAAGATGTGTCAAATAGCAGATATCACCCTGAAGAAGATAGCCGTGGACCATTGGGTGACACACACTGTATGTAATGATTCCACTCCAGACAGCCATATCTCGGTTTGAAATTGCTTTCCTATGATCATAACACCGAGGTGTAAAACTGAAGCCTCATAATACAGCGATGCAGGGTGTTTCTAAACACTTTTATCGCTTCCTACGCAGGCCGATCGTGCCGGCCTGGAGCCGAGGTTTATCGACTTCAGGCGCCCTGAGAGCATCCAGAGACGTTAACGCCGGCCTGAAACGTGTGTTAGGCCTGTCTGCAGCGGTAGCTGCCGGTGGTATCTCGTATTCGACGCTTCTCCGTGGTATGTTGTATAGGAAAACGGCTCAATGATTCCAGAGCACTCACAATGTTCGCAACTGGAGAAGACTCGTCTTGGTGCGATTTCTGACTTCAAGGAAGGCGAAATGCGCGAGGTGCCTGTCCACGGAGGTATGCGGCATTTTGCATTTGTTCACTTGTCCCAGGGCGTGACCTCGTACTCGTTACTAACATCAAAGGAAAATTCTACTGCACTGGTGCCAAGTGCCCGCATTTTGCCGCCTCATTCCTGGATGGTTAGTTGGTTTAGGATGAAGTTAACGGTTACAGGCGCGTGTACGGAGGATCACGTGATATGTCCGTGGCACAATGCTAAGTTCGACATCGCCACCGGTGAATGCGTCAATGGTGGGTTGGAATCTCAGTGTCTGTATCATTTATGAATTAGGACCCTGCTTCGATGGTATTCCTAGCTTCACGGTAGAGGTGGACGGTGACTCGCTTTACGCCTACTTGCCACCAACGCCCATCGCGGTACGTTTGATATATCAAATTTGTATGCGACCCAGGATTGCGTAGACAAACCACGCAAGTGTGAAGATGCCAAGGATAAAAGGGTGTTCGTGATCTGTGGAGGTGGTGCTGCGGCGCACGCCGCGGCGGAGACCCTGCGTCAGGAGGGTTTCGGAGGTCGCATCCTGATATACGGCGACGAGAAATACCTGCCTTACTACAGACCGCATCTCACAAAACGCGTTGAGTCAAAGAGTTACGACAAGGTGGCTTCTGAGCAGGCGCTGCGTCCTTTGGCGTGGTACCGAGCAAATCAGGTGGAGTATTACGGGGGCAAGCGTGTGACGAACGTGAACCACGAATCCAATACAATCACGCTGGACGACGGTTCAACGGTAAATTACGACAAGGTTTGTTACATATGCGCGTGAAATATATGTTTTAGGTACTGGTTGCGACAGGCTCGGTGGCTGCGAAGCTGCCCATGACCCGGGGCATGGCGCCACTGTCGAACCATTTCACGATAAGAACCGTGGATGACCTTCGGGAACTTGTTCCTCAAATTAAGAAGAACTCTAAGGTCGTAATCGTCGGTGCTAACTTCATAGGCTGTGAAATGGCTTCATCTCTGAAGAGCACGGGTGCCAATATCACCGTGATCACCGACATGGCTGTGCCGATGAGCAACATTATCGGTGAACGCGGCGGTTCGGCTATCATGAAGCTGATGCAGAACGACGGAGTGAACGTGCTTACTAGCCAGCAGGTGAAGAGTTACACGATAAAGGGTGGCCGTGTGACACAAGTGGTTACAGCGAATGCCACGTTGGATGCCGATGTGGTCATCGAGGGTGTCGGTGCGCGGGTAGAAATGGGACTTCTGAAGTGTGCCGAGGTCAACAGGGACGGCACTATTAACGTGGATAGTTCGATGAGATGCAAGGGATGCCCGGACAACGTATTTGCCGCTGGAGATATTGTCACATACCCATATCACGTCGACGGTAAATCGCGTTTTATCGAATAATTAACGATTCGCAGGCTCGCCAATTTCCGTAAAACACTGGAACGTTGCGCTGCAACACGGTCGTGTGGCGGCTAAGAACATGCTGGGAGGTGACGCCAAGATGAACATGGTTCCTTTCTTCTGGTCCAACTTCTTTCGCAAGGGGTTCAGGTTGGTCGCATGCCTTTTTCCGTAGCCATTCATTCAGATTCGCCGGAGTCGCTAACGGGGTGGAAGATATCGTATACGAGGGGGACCTGGAAAAATACAAGTTTGTTGCCTACTACATAAAGGCCTCAAAGGTACGTTCGAGTGGTCCCGCCATCAATGCTGCTCAGGTGGTAGCGATGTTGTCCATGGGTATGGACAATGTCGGCGCCAACATGGCTGAGGCACTGGATAAGGGATGCGCGCCTTCTTATGCAGCGCTGAAGCTCGGCGCGGCAAATGCAGAAACAATGCTGCAGTGCCTCCGTAAGCTAATGCAGTCATGACCGTATCGGCGGTTAGTCCGATGTAAAACACGGCTACATCTGGACAACGCACTTTAGTATGCACATTATGCCTAAACAACTCACATGTCCAAGTAATGGACTAGTATGGTATCGCGTCGTTTTCATGCATGAGGATTGTAGATTACGGTGTTATGCAACAGCTGTGTTCCTGCATTGTTGTTGGCGATTTATAGGGTGAATGGCATGCTAAATGTATGGGGTGTGTATGGTGTACCTTCAGCTCGCAAAGCTTGTACGGGGTTTGAGGTACGTTTTGCATGGTTAATTTAGATGTGAGGTGTCTAGAAAAATGAAGGTAAATTTAGCCGCTGTTCTTCGTGCCTTTGCCATTGTCGTACTTTCTATTGCCCTTCACGTCCAGGCTGAGGAACAGCCCGGGCAATTACGCAAAGGTCGTGACTCAAGTTGCAAATCCGGATCCAATGTGATACCAGGTGCTGACAGTGAAGTGGCTACGGGCCCGTCAACTGCCCCAGAGGAGACACAATCTAACGAGATGAGCACCGCATCTACCGATAACGTTAATAAACCCGATAAACCGATGCCGAAGTTTCCAGACGGATTCCTCGGAAAGTTTTTATACACATTCAGGAATGATAGGCTTATCAGACGCGTGTTCTCATCATATTTTAACCCTTCCCAATAATTTTTTGTAGTCACCGATTCCAGGGTGAGTGTAGCCATTGGACAATGTAATTCCGGCGTGGTAACTAATATATGCCATATTTTAAATATCATATATCACAAGAGCGATCTGTCGGGCGCGTTTGAATCCGTGACGTCAAATGTCAGAGTAGATTGGAGTCTTCGACCGCGTCCGCAGCTCTGCCCTGCCGTCATCTCTCGTCGCCACATCCAGTCCACATAGAAGGCCTCCACTTTTATTATGTTCAATGTTATTGTAGTAGCTTTGTCCAAGATTAAATACTTGCCGTCCTACAGATTGCCACTTTTTCAATCTGTAGTCATCCAGCTATATTCAGTGGTAGCGAGTTCAGTTTCGCGGGTTTGTATGACGCCAGTGATGTACATGATGCCGTAATACAAAGCATATTCTACGGGGTAACATAAAATTACAAAAATGCTATAATTACAAGACTTCACGTTAGCCCACAGCATCGTCGAAGTAGTCGACGTCGTGGTAGAGTGAGAGCATCTTCCGGCCTTTCGTGAGTAAGGCCTTGACATCGATTAGGTGTGAAGCCTTGGAGCGCACTAAGTGAGAACATATGCGCAGGAAGTCGATGCGGTATAGCGTCGTGTAGGTGAAGAAGACCGTTGCGATAGACCACAGTATGAGCAAGCTGTAGAGGAAGTGCCTCCGGACTCCGTAGAGGAAAGCGTCCATGGCGGTCATGAGGCTTGCGATAGGCCCACCGGACAACACTGCTTCCAGCTTGACGATGACCTCGGAACACGTGAGTTGTGATGATGGCATACCCTCCGGCGGCGTGAACCCGTGAGTGTAGAGGAGGGGCAGGACCTTGCCACACTGGTGGAGAGGCTTGGCCTTGGTACTAGCGTGCTCCTTCATGTCTCTACTCAGTCTGTCCAGTGACTCCCACAGTCTGTCGGCTAGGTACACCGCCCAGCTGAGGTAGTGGTGGACGTAGGTGGAAGAGTACAGGGCGTAGGCCCGGTAGGTGATGGGCTTCATATGCTGTGGGCAGTTCACATTATCGATGCCACAACCAAGCAGCGTGGACAGGGTCTTGGGATGGTCCTTGTGGTGGTTGGAGTTGGGAGGGGCGGAGCCTCGGATGTCCTTGACGGCTTGTAGGTCTTCGGCACCAAGGCGGTCCCACTCGGGGCAGCCGTAATGTGGACTGGAGAGGGCGGAGCCCAGTGGAGACAACTGTGAAGCCGCATCATGAAGCGAATTCCCGAAATTGTGGAAGAAGGAGACCAGCTCCCCGGTGGTGCGCGGCGTTCGCCTGGTGAGGCAGGTGAGGTAAGAGCATAGCGTCGGCAAGGGATCCTCACCTCCGCAGCTAGGAGAGAGGATTGTGAGAATGACGTTGCCAGTTTCGCGAGTTGCAGGCAAATCATCCTGCTTGAATCCCATGTTGACGCGGCTCTTGCGGCAGATGTTGCACGGGTCGAAGAGGTAAGTCTCGAAGGCGCAGTCCTGTTTGTCAGTCAAAAAGGCCTGGAGGGGGGAATCGTGGACCTTGTGGCTATATTGACAATCCTGCCAACCACCATGTGATTGATCCCGAGAACATTGCGACCTTAAAAACTGCAACTGGTAGTGGCAGGCATAGGCGTAGTCCCGCAGCTGGCAGAGGAGGGCGCAGCAATCAGGGTCCTTGGCTTGGTCAGAGACCTTAGGTTTTAATGTTGCGGACAACGTGGCGTTACCTTTCCAGGCAGGTTCTATAGTGGATAGCACTGAAGCTGCGAACATGGCGGCAAGTTTTAGGATGTGAAGCACCTGTTTGGCGGCGATGTGAGATCCGTTGACGGAGAGCTTAACCTCTCCGTGTATGACATCTGTCATGCTCCTGAAAACCTTCTCAATACATCGTTTCATAATGTCAATATGCTTTGGGTTCTGAAGTCCGACCACCCAAATAAGCATATCCCTGACAGTGCACGGCGCCTGGGAGGGGAACAACTCGGTGTCGGGGAAGTATTGCATGTTGTAGTTATGTGTATTGGCGATCCAGGGAGGAAGACATAAGTCTTCGGTTGAGAACTCAAGGCTTTCTGGAGAAAATGTTTCATGCAACGGGGGGTGCGAAGGTATATTAGAATAAGCATCGGACGGTGGCACAATCCTCTTATATCCAACCTCGGGCAGTCGCTCCGCTTGAATCTTGTCAGCGCCGTAAATTATCTCCGGAGTGTAAAGCTTCTCAATCTCAAGTTGAAATTCAGCCGGATCCGGTATTGACGTCTGAGGTGGCAGTTGATCCGACGTATCGCTGCCTGAATTCATAGATGCGCCAGAAGAACGAAAATTGTTATCGATCGTCTGCCCGTTTTGCGAATGAGGGTCACTGATGGTCGCCCCTGGACTCCCACTCCCTGCATCACCGCCCATCTTTTGACCAGGTTGCGGAACTGGGGAGGTAGCAGGTAGGGCTCCTGGGATGGCCATGGATAGTGTAGCATGTGGCAGATCAGGATCCGACAAAGACGCCTGGACATCCGGGTCCTTACCACCACCTGAAGGAGATACAGCAGTTAACGAAGGCCGTGAGCCTGACACACTTGAAGGCTGAGTGAGCATAGCGCCGTGAATGTCATCAGGCTGTGGAGTCTGAAGTATACCTGACATTGGATCCGGAGCCCCGCTTCCTGACTTACCAGGGTGGCCATGTGCTGTAGTAGGACTGGAGGATGTCGGTTGATTCAGAGGCCCTGCAGGGTCCCTGTCGCCAATCAAGCTAGGATCCGGAGTCTGCATAACTGGTGGATCTTGCAAATCTTGAGACTTCATGAGTCCATGTAGAGTGCTCGGCAACCCTCCAGGCTCTGCAGCTTTGGTTGTGGGAGGAGCAGAAGGTGGGGGTGGAGGCTGAGGAACAGGCAGCATCGTGCCTGGATGGCTTAGAGGTCCATTATCCCGAGTTGGAACAATTTGTTGAGCTCTTGTAACCGTATCATCAGAATCACCGGGAGGATCTGGGCCGAGAGGCTGTGGAATGGATGCTTGGACATTGTCGCTTGCATCGCCCGTGTGGCTTTGAGGATTTACCTGAGAAGACGACTGAACAGTAACGCTCAAACCACCCGGTGGACCAGGGATATCAGATGGAGGGTCTTGGTCTGAATGAGTTGGAGTGGGATGCTGCATAGAAGGTTGAGAGGCCTTAGAAGATTTACCAGAATGAACGTTGACATGTAAATCGCCTTCTGTACCCCCTGCCGCCACACCACCCCCTCCAATGGCATCATCGCCACCTGGACCGGCACGATTTGCGGCGGATAGCTGATTTTCGACGACGGAGGTGCCTTGATGGGCACTTCCAACGTCCGAGGATTGACGAGAAATATCTTGAGTAGAAGAATGCGTCTGGCCTTTCGGATCCTGAGCAGTATCATGATGGTCACGGGATGACAGGGGATCTGGGTTTTGAACATTTGAATTCTGAGCCTGCCTAGCATTTGAAGAGAGCCCGGGATGTATTGTCTGAGACGCCTTGCTGTCTGGATCCGGAATCAGGTCAACCGGCGTATCAACGGGTCCCGGGGCTCCATCATGACTTGACTTAACCTGTGGCAAAGAAGACCCTGGACTGCCTAGATCAGCTTCACCAGCGGCGCCATGCGACAGAGAGTTTTGACCTGGATCACTTGAAGTCTGAGGAAGATCAATGCTTAGAGATGCAACAGGCACAGCGGTTCTGGTAATACTGTCCGCTGAATGCCCACCAGTGCTTGGCACCCCACCTGCTCCTGAACCTTCACCAGCGCCTGGACTAGAAGGCAGGGTATGGGATGGCTGGCCGACGATCCCCATACCGACGTCTTTATTTTCCTGGGAGACTGGAATAAGTTTTGGAGAATGACGGGCAGATGCCACGCCACCAGAATGCGTAGAACCTGAACTTAAAGGATCCGAAGTCCCAGGTTGCATACTGCCTTGAGAGGGACCTCTCTGCTTATCAGGGTCAAGAACAGACGATGCATGAGGAAGGGTCAACGTGCTGCCCATGGATCTTTCAACACTTTGTTGACTATGTCCATAAGCAGCCGCCTGTGGGCCCAGTCCCGGACCACCGGTACCATTGACACTAGATGACGAAGAGCTGGAGCTGGACGCACTTGAGTGAGCAGGCGCAGGGGCTTGAGACGTAAGGCGTGCTGGAGTCGGAAGTTGTTTAGCCGGTGGATCAGGGACTCTAGGAGGACTGGGGGCAGGAGCTGGAGTTTGTTGTTGGGAATGACGCTGGGAATCATTTTGAGATTGTAAGGGTTGGGGGTTACTAGACATCGGACGCCCTGGAGCTCTTGTCTTCTGTGTGCTCTTAGCACCTGAAGTACCTCCAGGCCCTGCGCCTCGTCCTCTACTTCCCTGAGCCCCCGATCCCCCTCCTCTATGGTTAGTCCCCGTCCCTCTTGCGCCTCCTCCTCTAGCACCAGAATCATGAGTCCCAACAGACGACCAATCTCCGAGACTCCTTGGACCGGTTGTCCTTCCGGCATAAGCCCTGGAAGGCCGGGGTGGAGGTGCAGGTCTGGCAGGCCTTGGGGGCCTTGGCGCAGGCGCCGGCCTGGGGCGCGGCTTTGGAGGTGGACGCGGTGCTCGACACCCCTTGCCATCCATAATGCTTTTTAACTCTGCCAAGCCGCCATTTTTTCTTCTAAGCTCAAAGATTACACCATCCCACTCCGCTCTAAAATCCTCAAAAGGAGCATTTGTCTTAAAGTGTTCTTTTCCCCCGTAGAAAGTGAAACCGTAGGGGAAAAGATTTTTAGTGAAATATGGACCGAGCGCGGCGTAATATTCCTGGAGCATGGTGTGATGTTTCCTAAATGTGCTGAATTCATGTGCATAGTAATCATGTTCACTTTCAAAAGATTTAATATGCTCCAAATTCTTCCGCACCTTTTCCAAATTGCTTCTCAACCAATCTGCCGTCTTTTCTGCAAACTTTTCCTGGTTAAGCTCTCCACGTTTCCGTCCGTAGCCGGTGAAGGAAAAGGCTTTATCATTGAAAATCTTGCCAAGTTGGGATTTCAGTGTGGAGCAATGATGTTTCAAAAAGTCCCAATGTACGCATCCGTTTTTTAATTGTACATGCGTTTTAAACTCGTCACCATTTCCATTCTCATCCTCATCAACAACAATCTCGCAAAACAGGTTCACCAATGCAAGAGCGTTCGCAGTGTTAGAAATTTGGGTGCCAGAAGTGGTAGTTAGCACCGAAGTGGCGAATACGTCGCGAAAAAGGTTTTTCGCTGTGTCATCATTTTTTTCAAAAATAGTTTTAAGGTCAGTTACCATGGAATAACCGTGGGAGTAACCATTGTAAGACCAACCATCTCTCACCTCATATCTATTGAAGCCGCCCGGTATGAGGCCACCGTAGCGATCAGCGTCGCGTTTCTGCGCTCTAAGGTAATCCTGCAGGTCACCGCCCCAATTATACCTTAAACCCCACCATCGATCATTTTCCCACCCAGGGTAATTACCCTTCCACCCCCCGCCTCCAAGTGACTCGAACGTATAAGACACGCAATACCAAAGATAGTAGATCGCTGCGAGGAACTTGGGGAGACACTCCAAGAGAGCGTAGACAATTTCTTCCGGTGTGGCACCCTTTTTAATTGGGGCGGCTGTTCCGAGTGCTTCTTCAGGAACGTGTTGAGATACCATTTTTTTATAAAAGGTGTCTACTTTGGAGAGGAAGTTGGTCAAATTGGATTTAATTTTACCTTCCGTAAGTTCACTACCATCGTAATAGTCTCTAAGAAGCCCATAAAGTTTCTTGGCCACGTCCTCGTGCGTTTTCTTCCCCTCCGGTTCAGTGTACAACCAATCAAAAAATACGAAACAGTCCCTGAGGGTTGTAAAAAAGAATCTATTTCCACTCTCCACCATCATTACAAGAAACAGAATGACAACACATTAATAAATATGCGCTTAAACGTCACATGATGACAGCATAACTAAGCTCTCAAATCTGTGAAGCAGAAAATATCTTAACGTGATTAAAGCTCTGATGGTCACCACTTAAACATATAGCATAGCCAAACCGCCATGTGACTGAATGAAAGTGGTACAAGCTGCATAGTCAGACTAAAATACATCAGTGTTCATCGTAAAACAACAGGCAGCGACACTCCTGTGCCACCTTGCACTACAGGTGTTGGGACAAAAATGATGCCAACACTCCACTCACCTGTGGACTGAGGAAGCGTCCATCTCCAGCAATACTTCAATACAAGAGTCCTAATGGCGTGACATTATGCATCACAATAAGACGGTGGTATGTCCATAGCTCTTACTGGTGAACGACAGCTTGTGTGTCTATACCCTGCATCACGACCCCGCCAAGCGGCCTCCCCTCAGCGCTCCGTGACCATCCAGGCCATATCCGCCTTCCCATTACCAGAGATACTACCGTCGCGCGTCTTGCACCCCAGAGAAAAGATGCTATCGACAACGTATCCTATCACTAACGTCTACTCACCAAATTTGACAAACTAGTATTAAGATAACCCAGACACACCTTCACTCAACATAGGCCACATCACCCTAATACCTGCCACAATGCGCCACGTTATATATGCGCCAATGTCTACTTAGCGGATCCATTGCGCTGGATTATTACCCTAGTGAACACCACAATGTTGCCCATGACTTCCCAGTAACCACGTTCTCCTATACTCAACACATCAGCCAATGCTGGAGCATGACTCAACATCTCGGCCATGAGAACACTTACAGCCACCCACCCGAGCACTTGAATAGTGTATATTTGCCAATCATTACGTTTGGCTTGAGCCATGCTCCCATTTACCGTGCTAGCGCCTCCCGCTGTTGGTGTAGTCTGCGGGTTACAGGTCGATGTGGTGGCATCCATCCTGTTTAAGCGAGAGGGTCATTCACAGAGTAAATCATATCTGGGCTACATGTCACGCGTTACATACAGCATTGCCTTGATCCTTGTCTGTTGGTTGAACATTATGCTAAGGTCTTTCGCTAGGGCTTCGTATATCTTCATCTTGAACTTCTCCATCTCCAACAGCTCGTCTTGGTTAGTAACCCAGTTCTTCCTGATGATGATGATGGTATTTTTCCGTTGGTCAGAGTCTGGTGTCCGGTCGATTAGGCTCATAGCCCTGCTCCATCTTGACCTTATCCTACATGATCCATTATCACCGTCGTCATCCACTTACCCCTTACTATTCCACAGTCATAGAATCCCTTTTCATTTCTGTCTGTCACTGCTGCTCCCCATGGTCACATCAGACATCCTCCATACAAACGTTACGTTCCCTTACATAAGGCATTGAATATTCCGTTTCTCATGAAGGCCGCAGAGATATAAACATTTTCATTGCATTCAACGCTGGTAATTTCTACCATGCTTTAATTCACAATATTCCTTGCTACACTTCAGAATCACGTTCCATGAAGACGCTCTTCCTAATATTAATGGCCTGTAGTGGTAGTGGGGCATACCTGGAATCTCATTAGAGAGGGATATGATTTTATGCGAACATTATTTTGCAGGTTGCAGCTGCGTAGGATGTTTGTATGTGCCTTTGAGCATTGGAACGTAGTTGGGAGGCTTCAGACCGCCTCCAAAGTGTACTAGAATTCTGAGCTGTCTGGATGCCTTAGGTTGGGATTAGGTGGGTGAGTTGGATGCTTGTTTTGCAACAATTTATAGATTGCTCCCTCATTTGGCACAAGACTGACTAATGTAGTTGGAAACATAAATAAGGTCATTATATAGCCGCCCAGTGCTCATCGCATTTTTGCACCGAAGTCGAGTATCTGCAACCTCGAATTGATAGGTGGGTTCATTGAGGTGGCCAATAAGACACTGTCTTGCTTCTGAATATGGCGCCTAAGAAGCTGACAGACTGCCCGGAAAATCTCCGGGAGTCTATCGACTGGTTGATACAGGTAAGGTATGGAAATGGTAGTGGTGGTCAAGGCCTTGAGGAGTTGGCAAAAGCTTTGAAAAGGCTTATTGGTGAGGCTATTGAAAAGGCTGATGAGAGTCTTAAAAAGAGGCAAGAGCAACTTGAATGCCCTGAAAAATATTATGCTAATCCTGTACAGTCTTATTGTACTAAGAAGCAGTCTGACATTGACAATGAGACAGATGAATCTAAAAAGTCCATGCTTAAAAAAGAAAAGGATGACCATTATAAGGAAGTTCATTACCTTACTGAGGATGCCAGACAAGGAGCCTTGTCGGCTGTGACCGCCAACTCGGCGTCTCTTAGTGTTCTTCGAGAAAAGCTTGATACCTTCACAAATTCACTTACTAACAATCACGTTTTAACGCATCTTTGTTCCGGGCTTGAGACCTTTTTGGGTTACGAGTCTGGGAGTTACACCGGAGAAGGAATTGTGTACTCCGACCTTGACAGGCTGTGCGACGGGGTGATGTCTTTCCTTCATGGTGTTTTACATAGCATTCAGCCTAAATTAGGCTTACATAAAGAGTCTATAAAAGATGCAATTAATGCTCTTAACACCCATAAACACTCTGGTAAAGAAGGTTTTAATGCTGCGATTAGCGCAGTGGTCAAGGGGGTGAGGGAGTATAATAATAAGGTGAGGGAGTCGAACAAAAAGGTGAGTGGACAAATTCATAGTTTTCAGCGGAAGATGAAGGATCTCAATGAGCAAGTAAGTGGAATACTGCCAGAGAAAAAAGCTGAGGAAACGATTCCTCCAAAACCAGTGGAGCCGTATAGCTCCAAGGACGTTCGTCAGGGAGAAGAGAACATTAAGAAAAAATTAGAGGAGTGCAAAAATAATGCAAAAGAGTTTAGTGAAGCTCTAAATATCAAAATCAATAAGGCCAAAATAAAAGAGGCAATTGAAGACTTAAATCCCCAATTGCGTGACAGCGTGATGAACGCCGTGAAAGCTGTGCAGCATGAGAGTAAGCGGCTTAAAGAATTGTCTGAGAGGGAAGCAAAGGAGTTGAAGGAGACGGAAGAGAAAATTGGTGAAGTGATAAAGCAGCTTGAAAAGGATGTGAATTCGAAGATTGATGGAAAAGTGCGTGAACTTGTGGAGCATTTGAAGGGGAAGGTGAGTGAAATTTTGAAGGATTTGGAAAAGATAAGTAAAAATCTCGAGACGTATACTCTGGCTCTGCATAAGTGGATTGAGCAGGTGCACAACGTTATTACGGCAGCGGACGAAAAGGTAACCGAAATTGTTGAGAAGGATAATATTGGACGCGGAAATCAGGAGGTGATAAAAGAGATAGTTGCGAATCAGTTGATACAATGGAGGAATAAAATAGGCAATTACATATGTAACGTGAAAGATTACGCTGACGAGCTTAATGCGAAGGTGAAGGAGTTGGCAAAACAGTTTCCTAAAATTGTCGGCAGCGGCAGCGATGCGCCGACAAATATTGATGGGATTTTTGACAATATTAGGAATACGGTTGCGCAAATCAATGGGAAAAGTAAGAACCCACTTTATCTGGGTTTCGAGGGGATTAAAGAGGCTGTTAAGGAGTACGCTGAGGGGTTCACTCAGGGGAAGTTTGAGGATAAGGTTAAGGAGTGGATAAAGGAGATTTTGGAGAATAACGATCTGGTGAAGGGATGGATTCAAGGGTATGTTGAGAAAAGGAGTGGTATGTTTACGTCGCCATATGGTCAGGACGGCAGCTTACAAAATGAGAAAGCCCCCAAAGACATTGCGCAGCAGATTGTGACACAACTTCAAGATCAACTTAATGGAGTGCAGGAAAGGATTGGAAGTGTAGAGCGCGACTCCAGTCCCAATGAAAGAATGCAAGGGTACGTGAAAGCTGTTCAGGGCGTCTGCAATCATTTTGCCGACCAGCTTCATACGAAACTGTCGTCAACGGGTGTTGAAGAGTTCGTGAAAGGGATAGCCGGGCAGATTGATTCCGCCTTTGAGTTGCAGTCTTCCTTGGCATCAGGCACAAATCCAAAAGATTATCTCACATCTGCCGTGCGTTGTACCGTGGAGCAACTCGTAGCGTTGTCAAGACAGGTTGCCGCCGAACTTGAATCGTTCGCCGTCGAGCGCAGGCCGGTGGCATCCGATAATGGCATCGCAAGAAAAATAGAAGACGCTCATACAAAGGCTCAGAAACTTCACGATCAACTTCACACGGCGACTGGGCAGCCCAAATCCTCCAGCGGCAAAACAAACCACGCCGAAAAGCTCGACCAGGCGATTAACACCATCACCAAACAAGCATCTGAATTAGATGGCCGTGAAACGCTACAGAAGCTTACAGATTTTTCTACGGATATCACTGAGCACCTTAAGAAGCTGCTGAACGCGTTCGCTGATAAAGGTGCAGATGTGAGGGAACGGCTAGGCGATTTGGCAAAGAGGATTTCTAAGGACACGCCTAACATCGACGATACACTACGAAAAATCAAGGATGATCTCAGCCAGCTGCAGGCATCCCTGTTGACTGGCCCAATTAAAAAGGCTCGAGAGTTCCTCCAAAAAGACGCCGCGGACGCCGAAAAACACTTCACCAAGGAGCTCAAGAAGCAAGTCGACAAAAACATAGAGGATGCCGAAACTGATCTCATCGTCCACGCCCGCAAACAGTACGTCGACGCAATAAAAGACTTGTTAACGAAATTCGCCGAGAAAGTGACGAGCGAATTGGATCCTTTGCCAGCAGAAATAAAGTATGATTTGACAATAGGCCATAAGGGATTTATGAAGAAGATGTCAACGCATTACATCCCCAAGTTCTGGAATGCCGACGGGAATAAACCGAGAGAAACGACGCCCGCTGAGATGACTGCCACGTTCAATGCAGCGCTTAACTATTTCCTCCAAGAGCTCAAGGCACAGACAGATTTCAACTCACATTACTCACACATTTCGTCACCAGTAAAAGCAGTGACGAAGTTGTTTAACGACCTTTCGTACGCTAAGCACTTTGATCACACTTTTACTAAGAACCTTAGCGAACTTAATAGAAAACTAGGAAAGTGCACGCCAAAGCTGTTTGGCGATAAGTACAGTGTACTCCTCGACCCCTTCAAGGAGGGACTCAACGGCCTGGCCAAGGAGCTGGGCAACGCATATATTAGCACGTATGACGGTGTTACATTTTATCAATTACTAAGCGATAAGGTAGATGCACAGACACAAGCACCTGAAAAGGAATTAACCGACGAGGGAAGAAACTGCGCAAAAGTATGCCTCACCATTCTGTACACTTTTTACAACCAACTTTATTCCCTGTTCTATCACTGCTACGCCGACTGGTCAACGCAAACCATCCAAGGTGAAAAGCATGACGACGAGTTGAGAAAATTCCTCGAGCGTCAAGGCTACGATGTTGTACAACTGAATAAGGACAAGAGCGGTAGAGAGGTGGGAGCCTTTTTGACCACTGCATTCGCATCTCATAAGGAATTCGAAAAATCTCAACTCACCAAAAAAACACTAACTGCGTATTTAGATACATTTAGAGATCCCACCGGCCCCGTGTCCCAATTGTTCGATTATCTCAACACTTACTACAGCGTTTGCCATCTGCCAATTCCAGCCTCCAAGAAGCATCCGTCGTCGATCTACGATATGCTTACATGGCTCACTGGCCTCACTCATAATCCTGTACATCACGAATTAACACTCAACGGTTTCGCTGACCTTTTCGAGAAACCGAAGGACAAGGCCCCCGAAGCCCAGTCGGACGATCCCATTGTGCTAGACCAAGATGACGACGCCTTAGAGGCCTATCCAAAGAAGATCACAGCTACGGGACTTTCAGGTACGCTTGCCGAAGTATCTCATTATTCTTATGAGACTCTGGTTGCAATCCTCGGCAACGGCCACGCAGGTGGAATTTATGCTTGTGAGTTCAACATAAACCCACAAGGTTTCCTATACCCTTCCAACATGAACACATTGATCTGTACCTTGTATGATATCCTCCAACGTGTTTACGAACAGTGTTACTTCCTGTACCAAATGTGTACGCACGATACTACACTGAGTGGCTGGAAAGAGTGTTGGTACGGTCGGGGCGTCGGAGGATCGTCGTGGAAGTGCAACAACTTACAGTGTGCCAACCAAACAGCTGACCAACGCTGCGATCAACACCCTATCTGCGGTGTGAAATCTCCACTCCAGTCGTTCTTGGAAGATGGCTTGCAGGGCTTCTTGCCGCATACCGTGACTTCATCCAACGGCAAACTCAACTGCCCAGTCAAAGGCCATTTCAATCTGCCTTGCAAAACGCCGATGGGCTTTGCTGATATCACCAATGTAGCATCGCATCGACAAAAAGGTCATTATCTAAGAGACATTCTTCGTGATTTCTGTGGTAAATCATCTTCCCTCACTGCGCTACTCAGTCATCTGAGATGTGTCCTACCAAGCGCACCGAAAACGCTCGGTGACATGTTCGGGTTCTACTTTAGTCTGCTTGCTGACTGGGATGGCAAGGGTAGCAACCATGTGCAACGTAACAAACACAGGGAAGCAGCTTATAGAGATGCCGTCCAAAATGCAAACTTCAGAAATCCAGACACTGATCTGGAGTTGACTTCCATGTTCAGTAGCAGCTCCCACGGCTCCGGTAAAAATACGCCACACCACGATGGAGATCTATATTCTCTGGTGAATTGCACATATAAAAGAACTAACGATCCTGCTCACCCCTGCGGTTCATATATCAAACCACTATGTCGTGACATATGCGGTATGTTTGCCGAAAAGCATGCTGGTAAGCATCTGTCCACGGTTGTGTATCTCACAGAATCATTCTACGATTTGCTGAAGCAGTTGTATGAAACATGCAACAGCAAGTGCGGCAAGAAGGAAACAAAGTGCTATGTAAAGAGCTGTGCAAATGGCTGCGCAAAGAAGCAGTCAAATGGCAAACCAAACGGCATAATTCACGATGCTTCATGTAGTTCAATTGTTAGCTGCAAGACAATGCTTCCCACTTTATACAGCTATGGATTCGTCTTCGACGACACGGATGCTCTAAACGGAAATGGCAAGACAAGCACTAAAAGGACGTGCGCAGATCTATGCAGAACATTGGAGAGAATATGTCACGGCAAATCCGTGCTTGCAAATATAGTAATTAACAAAATTCCAGAATTCTTATTCAGAATTCGTGAACCTTTCATCTGGACCTTATTAGCCCTCTGGTCGCTGTCGCTCCTGTACCTGCTGCACATCGCCGTCGTCCGCCTCGACGTCCTCAGGATACGCTCCCACATAAAATCACCCGCAAGCCACCGCATCGCCGCCCAGTCCCTCCTCGCCGCCGCACGCGTCAAGGCTCTCGCCAACGTCAAGTACTTCTCACCATAATCGTGCCTTCACGTGTGATCTGTGTATCACTCACCCACTCACTCACTCACTCACTCACCCATTCACTCACATACTCACTCAACCACTCAACCACCCACCCACTCACTCACATACTCACTCACTCATCATCGATGCTCATCGCCAGGCTCGACCGCCCATCGCCACTCGGCCGCTCGCGCTCTGCTCCGCCTGGCCATCGGTATCGACCATCATCGTCATCGACCATCGACCGCCCATCGACCATCGACCATCGACCCGCCATCGACCGCCTGATCATCGACCATCGATACGCTCTTGCCGCTCATCGCCCGCCCGCCCGCGCTCATCGTCCGCTCATCGGTATCGACCGCCCGCTCGACCATCGACCATCGACCGCCCATCGACCGCCTGATCATCGACCATCGACCATCATCGCCCGCTCGACCGCTCATCATCGCCACCTGTCATTACATCGCCCGCCCGCCCATCGACCGCTTTTGACCATCGCCCATCGGCCATCGAGCCGCCGCTCGATCACTCGCGCATCGATAGCATCATCTCATTTAAGCTGGTTCGGCTACACCATGGCATTCGCCATCATCCGTCATCATCGGTCGGTCCTTCGCCCCAGATCATCGTTTTCCGCTTTCCATCACTTCTGGAGTCCTTGCATCACCCGTCTTACCTCCGTCGGTCATCTTTCGGCCCTTCCTCGCCCAGATCCTTGCCTCCATAAACATCTCGGCATCAGCCGACCTAAAGATCGCTCACAGGATTCCCCAGATCGGCCCTGAGTGTTGCTGATCTTTCGGCGTTTCTCGGCTGCTTCTCCTGCCTCTTATTGGCCCTCTGGTCGGCTGTCCTCACTCTGCCTTAACGCGCATCACGCAGATCGTCCGCCTCGGTCCTGGGGATGCGGCTCCCGCCTGGGATCGCCCGCCAGGCCGCCGGCGTCATGCCCGGTCCTCCTCGCTAGCCGCGCATGATCGGAACGGCATCAGGTGCTTCTCACCCGTGATCGTTGCATTCGCCCGCTCCGCCCCACGCTCCGCTAAGCGCTCGCGCCCATCGCGCCCGCCATCCTGCTCAGCATCTGACCGCGCTCGCCTGATCGCGCTCATCGGTAGCGCTCATCAGCGCCCATCGCTCCGACCATCGGCATCAGGCCATCGGCCGCCTTGCCCGCTCATCAATCGATCATAAATAATGCTTATCGCATCATCGCTTCGCCGTTCGGCTGGAAACTCATAGCATCGCCCTCCGTCGCATCATCGGGTCAGGCGTCATTCGCGGATCATCGTTTCCGCATATCATCGCGTAAGCGCATCGCCCGTCTTTTCATCATCGTCGGCCTCCATCGCATCGCCTGTCCGCGCATCCTCGCCATCGGCCCGTTACCAAAGATCGGGCTTTCCAGGGTTCACCCAGATCGCCGGAGTGTTATCAAAGATGATCATTCAACGTTTCTCTGGTTGCTGGCCATCTTGTTGGCTGTCGATGTCGCCTTACGCGTCGTAAGGTCAGGTCAGCCTCGTCCTGGGGATGCGGCTCCGCGGGATCGTCCATCAGGCCGCCGCGTCGATGGCGCAGGTCATCATCATGCCGCCGCGTCAGGGCGCTCATGGCGATCAGTGCTTCTCACCCATGACCGTTAGCGGCTATTGTTGGATCTGTTAATCATCACTCCGCACTCACCCTCGCTCCGCCCACCCACTCAGCCGTTCATCGCATCGGCCATCGGCCATCGGCCACTCCGCATGACCATCGCCCCGCTCTGCCTGCCACTCGATACATGCTCGCTCGCCTGCTCGACCGCTCTTACGTACTCGCATGCTCATCGACCGCCCGCTCATGCTCATGCTCCGCTGACCGCCGCCCGCTCCGCCGCTCATCGACCGCTCCTTGCCCGCTCATCATCTTCGCCGCCATCGTTAGCCGCCTGATCGCCCGCCCATCGCCATCGCGCCCATCGGTATCATCGCCATCATCATGCAAATCAATCGCCCATAAATCATCGATATCGGGCATCGCCCGCTCGCCCATCGACCGCCCCTGATCATCGCCCATCGGCCATCGATGCGTGCTCACATCGCCCGCTTGCTCATCATCGATCGCTCGCCAATCTCGCCCGCCCATCGACCATCGATGCACGCATTGCTCGCGTGCTCGCGCCCCATCGATCATCGACCGCCCGATATCGATGCGCCCATCATCATCGCTCATCGCGCCCATCGATGCGCTCATCGCATCGCTCGATCATCGCCCATCGCCCATCGATATCGCTGATAGCCGCTCATCGCCCATCGATAGCCATCGATGCCCCATCGACCGCCCATCGCGTTAATCATCGCCGCCCGCTCGGCCATCGACCGCTCTTGCTCGATCGCCCGCTCGTTTCGCCCGCCCGCACGCCATCGCTCGCGCCCGCTCATCGGCCCCCGCCCGCTCTGACCATCGCCGCACTCATCATTACGCTGGGTCAAACTGCGTCCTCCATCATCGCCCGCTCCGCTCCGCATCATCAGATCGGCTCGCCCCAAACCTCGTTTCCACTGTTCCTCCGCATCGAGTCGCGCATCGCCCGTCTTCCTCCTCGTCGCCCTCTTTAAACCTTCACGCTCCTCACCCATCCACTTTTATCCTCCACTTTATCTGCCTCAGATCTTCAATCGCCCTCTCAGTTCACCAGATCGCCCTGAAAATGTGCCATTTCATCCCCCTTTACTTCTTTTAACCCTCTCCTAATCCACCTTCAATCCAACCACAATGACCATTATAAGGAAGTTCATTACCTTACTGAGGATGCCAGACAAGGAGCCTTGTCGGCTGTGACCGCCAACTCGGCGTCTCTTAGTGTTCTTCGAGAAAAGCTTGATACCTTCACAAATTCACTTACTAACAATCACGTTTTAACGCATCTTTGTTCCGGGCTTGAGACCTTTTTGGGTTACGAGTCTGGGAGTTACACCGGAGAAGGAATTGTGTACTCCGACCTTGACAGGCTGTGCGACGGGGTGATGGCGTTTTTGCACGGGGTTCTCAAGGATGTCTGCACTAAACAGACTTACAATGTAGGCAGAGAGAACCTTAAAAGGCTTGTTGATGAGCAAATTAAGCCTAAATTGTGTCAAGGTCATGGAGGCTTCAGTGCTGCGATCGGCCAGGTGGCCAATGAGATTCGGAAGTACAACACTGTTTTAAAGAGTTCAAATGTTTCTCTTACTAGTATTATAAATAGACTAATAGAGCGGGTGGCAGCAGGGATTTCAGGCACGATTGAAAAGATTCCTAATGAAAATATTGAGCAGATGGCTGAGCGTACCCTGATAAAACAAGCGAAGGATATCGGGCTGCTTTCCGAGAAGTATGTTGAATATGGCAATAATTTTGAGAAAAGTATGGGACGTTTCTCCGGTAAAATTGATGATCTCAACAAAGATCTCCGAATTTATATCGGCCATGTGAGAAAGAACATCAAGTATGAAGTTAAGCGTGTTGAAACAATGTCAAATAAGGAAAAAGAGAATTACGTTGCGATGATGAAAATAGTTAAGAAACTTGGCGCTATCAAAGCAGACATAATTCATCAGATCACGGAAAAAGTTACCGCACTTTTCACCACTTTGAATGAAAAGGTTACGGTCATCCATAAATTGCTCGAAGAGGTTAGTGCTAAATTGAAAGCGTATATTGAAGAATTAGACAGATGGATTCAGAATGCAGCGCAGATCATAGATAATGCAGGGAGACAGATCAATATCGTATTGGGGGAGTTGAAGGTAGAAGATTCAGATAAGTATCCCTATAAAATTAGTCAGCTGGCTGAGCAGATTGGCAAAGACGCCACAGTGCTGCACGGGAATTTTGAAGCGGTGAAGAAGCAATTTGAGGAGGTGTTTAAAACCCTTAAGGGAGAAAAAGGAACGGGCGAACAAGGTGATGAAGGGGGTGTGATGGGAAAGTTGCTGGGGCTTGAGGAAAAGGTAACTGAGGATGTGCCGAATGGTTTTGATAAATTTAACACGGATGACGACGGTTGGGGTCTTAAAAGTAAGATTGAGTCGCTCACTACGCAAATTGGAGTGAACGTTGAGGAATGTGTTGAAAAGCTGAGCACGGCTCTAAAAGAGGCTGTGGCAGTGGCTACCGTTGATGATCCCGCTGATGGCAATTATCCCGGTCTCAAAGCACTGCAAAAGAATGCGTTGGGTGACATAAGGAAGGTGGGAGCGTGGCTTGGGAGTGCAGCTGGGGACGACGACCGCAATGGCCCTGGCGCAAAACTAGAAAGGGTATTGAATCATTTTCACGAGGCCAAAAAAGAATGGGAGAGTGTATCACCATCCAACATCACCATTCAAATTCTCAAAGGTATCAAAGAAGAGATCGGTAAAAAAGCCACGGAAGGCGACGATTTCAACAGCAGGCTCTTTGACCTCCTCCAGGGTGCAGCGTATCATGGTATCGGGAATATTTATGGGGAGATCACTAGCATCGTTGAGGAAAAACTTGAGCCCATTAAAAATGATCTTCAGGAGTTTGTTAAGCAGGCCCAAGATACACAAAATGCGATTGAAACTCAGGCTGGTAAAGTCAGCCACCACCTTAGTGAGCTATGCTTGGCTGTCAACAATCCTGGTGGGCACGTCAAGACGCATCTGGAAACTTTGAAAAATACGTATTTCAAGGATCTGACTGGAGGAATTGAGAGCGCCGGACAAAGCATCCGGAAAATTAAGCATCAGCTAAGTGAGCTGCTAGGAGGTGCTGTCAGTGATGCCCTCAAGGACGCCAAGAGCTTTATTGAGGAAGCTCCAAAAATGGGCCAACAAACTATCGACGACTTAAAGAGTCACATTGAACCACAACTAGAAGCAGCAACTAAACAACTCACCACAGACTCCCACAAACATTACTTCTCTATCATGAAGGACATCTTGACTAACTTTGCAGAAAAGGTGAATAGTGAATTACAACTGTTGCCAAAGCAAATTGAAGATGATTTGGCCGTCGGATTTAAGGGGTATGTGGACAAATTTGGCAAACAGTTTGTTAACAAGGTTAAGGAAATTAGCGGTATCACGGCGCACATCTCTAGCATCGACCCTGCGCAATACTCTCCGCTTAGCCAAACTGCCAAAATATTGTGCGACGCCTTTAGAGGGTTTTTTGACGACTTAGAAAAACAAACCGATTTCACGTCTGACTTCCATAAAGTTCAACCGATCAGGGAGTGTTTGGCCAAATTGCTTACCGCGCTTACAAAGTCTGAGCATTTCGATGCGAGATTCAGTAACAACCTAGATGAACTTGAAATGAACATCGCTGATTTCAAGCCTACGAAATTCGACGATGCCAAAAGTCCGTTGATTCTCGAGGCGCTGAGGAGGAGTTTCACCCCTATGGTGAGGGAGCTCAAGAAGGCGTACGTCAGTCATTACTCGGGGAGACAATGGTACGAGAAGGAACTGGGAGACTACGCGAAAATCTGCCTCACCATCACGCCAATATTACATAGCGCCTTAAAGGAGCTCAAAGAGAAACTTGAAAGCGACTGGAAAGGGTATAAAATATATAATCCAGATGTCTCTCACCGCAGCTTGCATAAGCTTTTCTTTAACGACCATGGTTACGATACTGGTGTCCCTGACGAAGCCTCCAACGGAGAGTTGAATCATAGGGCCGACTGTGCTCCTGGCCGTATTCTTAGTCATCTCACCGGGGGTACACATAAGCTGTTTGTCACTGGCCACTCAGATGCCGATAATGCCTCCACTCCAAGCAATGGCGATGATGGGATTACATTAGAGGGTGTGATCCCAAATATATACGACTGTCTTAAACTATACTTTAGCGTCTGCCATTTCACGTACATAGAGAAACCCACAACACCTTGCAACATCTACCAGATGCTGTTATGGCTGACCGGTCTGCAGTTCAATGGCGTCTACGAGAAGCTTCGTAATCACGTTCGAGACTTATTTCTGGTGGAGAATGAAGCACAGCCGCCTGAAAAAAATACTTAAGCGAATAGATGCCTATCCACACGAATTCACACACAATGACGCATGTGATGCAATTGAACACTTATCGGAACACGCGTACTTACTCCTAACTGGCATCCTTGGCACCGGATATGCAGAGTGCGGGTATGCCTCTGACTATTCTAACAACTCTCTGAAATTAAAATATCCCACCACCGGCGAAGATAGCCTACATACGTTACTAGACATTCTCAGCCGTTTATTCCCAGTGCTAAACTACTTGTATACACAGTGCACCATCCCCTCCAAGCACTGCGGGTGGCGTGAATGCAAGTACGGCAGGGGTGTGATGTCATCCAACTGGCCGTGCAAGGAGCATCCCACCGACGAGCCAAATTGCCATCCTACTTCACCTTTAATGTCATACCTAAATGACTGTCTTCCTGGCCACTTACCACATAGATTGGAATCAGTTGGATGCAAATCGGAATGTAAAACATGTCCTTCCAATACACGAGGAATGCCTTGCCTGACGCCGCTTGGCTTCAGGATGTTCTCTGGGTCCCATAAGATGGGCAAGGACATATGTAGGATACTCGGCAAATTCTTCTCTAACATCTATTTGTCAACCTTATTCACCCTTGTTCCCAGACCGCCGTCTACTTTGCCCGAACTCTTTGGGTTTGTTTTGTCACTTGCGACCGGTATTAATGCTACCATACCCATGAATGACAATAGCGTCACAACGTTTGGTAACGCCTTACACGCTTCCATTGATGGGCAGTCCATTCAGCTATATGACGATCCAACCGTTCTTACAGATGCCCTCACCGCCGCTTATGGCTCTCCCTCCGCCCCTCATTCCAGCTGCGATGACTCTCACCTTATGCATCTTATAAGCACAGCCACCTGCAAAGGGATGAGTGGTAAAATGGAATGCTCTCCGTATCTATCCACATTGTACGACGGTGCGTATCTATATCTCGCGGACAAGCATTCCAAGTTCTATTTGTCATGCGCCATCTATCTACCATGGCAGTTTTGGAACAGTCTCAACAATCTATGCGAGGCGTTCCGCAATATCTATTGCAAGGACTGGGGATGTAGTGGATGTGTGAGAGGCGACATATGCAAAAATGGATCGCATGGGTCGGCAAATGACGACACTAAGAAACCAAATTGCTCATGCCCTTCATTGGTGCAGTGCAGAGGGGTGTCACCCACGTTATATAAGTACGGTTTTAGGTTTGGCGCAGCATCTTTACTAAATAATGGAGCTTCGCCAAAAACGTGCTCTGATTTCTGCAATCAGCTAAAGCATGTACTTGATTCACGATATTTCAAGGACCTGTTCACAGAATGCGACAAATTCCTCTGGAACATCCGAACACCATTCTCCTACCTGTTACTCACCCTCTGGTCGCTGTCGCTCCTGTACCTGCTGCACATCACCGTCGTCCGCCTCGACGTCCTGAGGATACGCTCGCACCTGCGCTCGCCAGCATCGCACCGCATCGCCGCCCAGTCGCTTCTCGCCGCCGCACGCATCCACTCACTCGGCAACATCAAGTACCTCCAACCATGATTGTTGTCATCATCACGGCGGTCACCGCCTAGCTCACCTAGCCCACCTAACAGCAACCAGTAGATAACATAGTTTGACATGTTCGTTTACTCGTGGGAGTCACTGGCAGGGCTATCTGCTGGCAGTTGGCTGTGATGTCAACTGGATGGCCATGCAGGTTGGTGTCTGGGCGGTTCCATGCTAAATGGCTGCGTCATTTCCTGTAGACGTTGTATGGCACATTAGTGATTGTGTAGGTGGCTAGAGGTGGTAGTGGCATTATGCTGGGACACTGACGTGGTGCCCACGGGACGGCATGATAACGGGGTATTTATGGCAACCTTGTGGAAGTGACAAATGGCTTAATTCCATGATGAAGCTCGTTTAGGGAATTTGTCTTGCGCCTTCACCGTCGCGCACGGGGGCACGTATTTGGGTGGCGTAACTTAAGGTGAGTGGTTTTGGGGCTGGGTAACTCTGATGATACTTGATCCTATATGGCGCGTCTACGATAGTGCCTACGTGGTTGTTATTGGCGTCTTATGTTTTGTGGTGCAAGGCGCGCGGCAGTGGTATCCATGGTAATGGGAAGGTGGCGATGGCCTGGATGGTCACGGAGCGCTGAGGGGAGGCCGCTTGGCGGGGTCGTGATGCAGGGTATAGACACACAAGCTGCGTTTCACCCGAGATCTCGAAGAAGTTTACCGCCTTCCCACCTTGCTCTAGTTTTACACATCATTAGGAGTCCTTGCTTGCCGGATCCCTCTGATTGTCACCTTCCCTCCCTCCTCAGGTAGGTGGGATGGTTTTATGATTTTCGTGTTTTTAAATGTAGTTTGTGTGTGGCACGCACGTGTTGTTCATTACTATGACGATGCATTTTTGTCGCTCATAATTTCACCTGGCAGCCTATAGACTCATTTTACTCAGCCGTGTGGACATGTTGCCTTGTGTGGCGGCGGACTAGTGCTTCGTTGCTTAGCGATGACAGTGTTCTAGGCTCGATGGCATGGCGCCGAAAGCCTTAACGGATTGCCCCGAGAACCTTCGAGAGGCGATCGACTGGCTCATACAAGTGAAGCACGGTGGCGGGATCCAGACGCTGGCCGAGGCTCTCGGTAAGTTGTTTGACTATGTTGCTCAGGACGCTCAGAAATCTCTGTCGTCTCTCCCCGAATCAGATGGCCCGTCCGCCAGAGATGTTATTTCGGGACTTACAGCGTTTCGGAGTTCTTTTCAGAAAGACTCTGCGAATAATAATCAAAACATTTTGCATAATGTCTGTTCCTCCTTTGAGACATTTTTAGGCTATAAGCCTCCTGGAACCTACGACGGTTCCGGGATTGTGTATGGCTCCGCCTCCCGTCTGTGCGATGCAGTCGTGTCCTTCTTGCATAGAGTGATCAGTGATGTGCGTGACAATCAGCCGTATGTTGTTGGTAGAGTTTTGTTAGGTGGCCTAATTAGTGAGCTTGAAAAAGCCAGGTGGAGTGGGCACCATGGCTTCAAAGCTGTGCTCCCCAAAGTGGCCAGTGGCCTGGGGGAGTATAACAGAAAGGTTAAGGACTCGAATGATAGAGTCAAGAGGCCGATCAGTGAGTTGCTTGACCATGTGAATCCGGACGGTGAGTTGCTTAAACGCGTTAATGGTTTGCAGGTTGAGAGTGTTACTGAGGAAGAAGTTAAGAAGGCCGAGAGGCTGGTAGAGGAATGTCGAAAACGCGCTGACGCATTCTACAATGATATGAACAAAGTGGCCAGCACAACTAGCGCAATAAAAGACCTGAATCCTACGTTGCGTGATAGAGTTATGAGTGCTAAGAAACATATGGCGCAAGAAAGGAAGCGTCTTCGGAACCTGACGAGGAAGGAGAGAGACAACGTGGAGGCCATTACGAAAATTATTAGTAAGGCCTTGAGGGAGCTGGAAAACAGTGTGAGCAATAAGATCAGTGAGCAAATTGATGCGCTCGTTGAAAAGTTAAAAGGTATGGTCGAGAAAATCAGAGCAAAGCTTGTTGACATCTATCTCGAGTTGGGAAAATATGTCGACGAGCTGGAGGCTTGGATCACGGAGGCCAAGAAATTCATTGAATTTGCGGAGCAGAATGTAAAGAAAATCTTGGATGAAGTTACGGTAAAGGAAAGCGGTGCTAAGCCGGAGAGGTGGAAGAAAATTGAGGAAAACGTAAATAACATTAATAACGGACTTGACATGCAAATTAAAGCTTTGCAGGCTTGGATTAATAACGCCGAGGAAACGCGAGGAAAGGCTGAGAAAAGAGCTAAAGAGGCCTTTGACATTCTCAGTTATTATAAGGATTATAAAACTCGTGAAAAGACAGAGCTTGCCGAAAATATACAGAAAATTCTTGACGCTAAAGAACAAATTGTAAAAGTTCATGAGGGATTGAAAGATGCTGACAAAGATTTGGAAACGTGGAAAAATGCGGCAGGCGGTTTGCTTGGCAATGTGATTGGAGCGACTAAAGGAGTGAAAGATAAGTTGACTCCTGCTGAAAAAAATCCGGAGCATGAAATTGCTAAGAAATTCAATGAGATTACCAAAGCTAAAAATAATATTGAGAAGGCTAATAAAACGCTCTCCAACCATCTTGGGAGTTTGAAGGAGTGGAAGCAGGAGGTCAGCACAGTGCTTCAAGAGGCAATTAACAGGGCGACGGATGTTCATGATGCGTTGAGAGATACGGACATAACTAATCCGCTTGGCAAGGAAATTAATAATATCGAAGAACGTAATAAGGAAATTCAAGATGCAAATGACTTACTTGGAAAAGAAGTTCATAATTTAGGCAATTGGAAGTCTGCGGCCGGGAAAGTTATTGGCAAGGTCAACGAGAAGTGTGGCGCAATATTGGGGAAAGTTCATCATAACAGCGGTGTTTTGAAAACGGAGATTGGTGAAAATGCTAACAAGTTGAAAGAGAAAGCTGAGAACCTTTTGACCGCTTACCAGGCGGCACATCAAAATGTTTCACAGTTGGAACAGCAAGTTAAAGCAGCCGTTTCACAGTTGGAAGAGGGCATGAAAATGGATTTGGTGGACTTGCAACAGAGCATTGTCGGCGAAATGAAGGGGCATGTTGGTGAGATGATTAAGCAAATTCAGGGGCAGGTGACGAAGATTAAGGGGGAGGCGGGGACAGGGAATGGGACAGGTGGAAAAGGCCTAGAAGGAATTGCCAGCGGATTGGTTGGCAGCTATGCGAGTGGGTTCACAACGTTTGGAAGAATAGTGAATGGCTGGGCGGAAGGAATGTTGGGAAATAATGAGAAGGGTGATAAGGAAAAGAAAGTTAAGGAGTGGCTTCAGAAGTATGTCGACGAGAAGGGTGGGAGCGGGATTGACGTGGTGAGGCTGCTGAATGGTTCTATACGTCGGTTTTCATGGAGTCGCCAAATTATCAAGCAGATTAGGGAGCAGCTTCAGCATGAAATTGATAATGAAGCCCAGGGGCATGTTATTAGTGGGATGGAAAAAGCCAACGGCAAAGTTGAGGCAACGGTTCAAGCGGTGAAAAAAGCCTGTGAGACGTTTGTAAAAGGGATCGATCAGAAACTTAAAGATCCGGGATTTAAGCAGCTTGCCGAGAATATTTACCAGGGGATCCTCAGTGAGGGGGGATGGAAAAGTTACGGCAGCCACCTGGACAACAAGAAAGCCATAGAACCCGCCACTGAAGCCGCGCTCATTGGTCTCTCCGCTACCGCTAGTCAGGTGGCCGGGGAAATTCAGTCCATCCTACTCGACAAGAGGGTGGGAAATTATGACCCCGGCAACTCAAAAAGTATAGCGGAGGAATTGGATAGTGTGGTTGAGGAGACTAAGGCGCTGCACGGGAATCTCGGAGCAGCGCATCAACAAACCGTAGACGGAATCCCTCCCCTCCCTGTTGCTCAAGGCACCAATAATGATCTTGCCAAGCAAGTTGATAAAATTAAGGAGAAAGTGAATCAGCACATACCTGAGCAAGCCCAAATGGCTAATCAATTTAGCACCGTCATGCAGAAATACCATGAAGCGAAAGGTGAAACTGGGAGAGGTGGCCATAAATATCACGAATTGACTACCAAGCTTATCCCCGGCGCGATGCAGCCATTCAAGACAGAAGCTAAACTCACCGACCCTGGCCAAGTTGCTGGTCAAAAAGGAGAAGTTCAAGAATATTTCAACAAAATAATGCACGAACTCCAAGCCGTCGCGCACCTTGTCGATAAGGACAAGCAGGCGTGGCCGCCGGCGCTGAGTGACCAAGAGCCTTCGGACAAAGATGGCATCAGGCAGCGGTTGGAGAATCTGACGAAAATGCTTAAAAACGTTGATAAATATGATATAAAGTATATGTCCTTCATTGATGGATTAAATGTGATATCTGTAAAAGGCCTTGAGAAAATTAGGGAGGACATTGAAACTTTGCAACTCGTTGCGTTCACTAACCAACCAATTGAAATTCACACAGCCGTCCAAGAAATTAAGGATCAGCTCGAAAAGCTTCGAGACGATCTGAAAGCCACAAGTGGAAAGAAAGATGATGTCATCAACAGGCTGAATGATTTGAAAAACAATGGTCTTGGTGACCAGGCAAATTCTTGGAATGGCAGAAATGGCCTGATGAAAATACATGAGAACATTGAAACACTGCAACTCGTTGCGTTCACTAACGAGCCCATTGAAATCCAACATGCAGTCACCGCTATGACCCAGGAACTTCAAGAACTTCAGAAAGATTTGGACAACAATGTTACAAATAAATTGCAAACGTTGCAAAAGTTCGGCCTTGAAAATGGTGGATACGACTGGTATGGCAACCACAATGCAAAGGGATTCGAGACAATCAAGGAGGGGATTGAGAAGCACAACAAAACGTTGAAGACTCAAAACGATATAATCAATAGTTCCATGCAAGTGGTCAGGAGGCAACTTGCGCTGGTCGGAGTCAAACTGCAACACGCAGTCAGCGACGACGACGTGCTAGACCCCTTAAGGTTGTTGAGAAAGATGATCGGCAAGGATACTCCATTCGACGGAAACCTCCAAGCAATCCATAAAGCCCTTGACGGCGTCCACACCCTGGTGCCACGCGTCAACGCACAACTCACCGAGCTGTGCGAGGCGGTTAAGATTCCGGGACTCAGCGTCAAGGAAGCACTGGAGAGGCTGAGCACTCTGATCGAATATGACTACGTGGTCATCAACGGCGGTGAGCAGCACGGCCTGAACGAAACTAAGAATGAGCTCAAGAGGCTGCGCGCCTATCTACTGAGCGGGCCCATAGAGGCCTGCGAGCAGTTCCTCCGGGACGCCGACGCGGCCGGCAGGCTGGCCAAGCAGCGGATCAGGGGGCATCTGCACCAACAGATTCAACTCGCCGAGGATGCCATGATCGCACAGGCCAACGCAAATTACGTGTCAAGCGTGAAGCAGATGCTGCAACAGTACGCCTCCAAGGTGAACGGCGAGCTGGGCAAACTGCCCGCCGAAATCGACAGGGATCTGCAGATTGGCTTCAAGGGCTTCGTGAAGCAGATTCCCGGTGACAATAACGGCAACATAAATTTGCTCAGGGAGACCGCCAACCTCCGCGATTTGTCGTATCGCTTCAACGTCTTCTGCGGCCGGTTGCGTATGTACCTCGAGGCTGAGATCAAGAGAGAGCACCTCGAACAAATGTCGCAAAGAAATCCCGTTCCTCGGGGGCCCGAGACGCTGTACACCAATCAGCTCGCCGAAATTTACACAGCACTCAATGACCTACTTGGCCACTTAATTCGGCGCAAACGCTACGACCATGAGCTGCCTGGTAAACTTGACAAACTCACCGACGCTGTGAATGCCCTCAGGCCACAAGGCTTTACTAAGCCCAACAGCCCCCTGCTGGATGGCATCGGTGAAGGGCTGCGTGCGTTCGTTGGAGAACTAAGAAACGTGTACATATCGACGTACGACGGCGCCTTAGACGAGTGCGTGCTGTTCCACGCGGCGAAAAAGACGCACACCCCCGAGGCCGCCAAGTGCGCGATGATTCTTCTGACCATCACTGATATAATTTTTCGCGGCATAAACAGGCTCAGAATGGGCTGCGCAGATGGGTGGGTGCATCACAACATAAATGCGTACAATCCCCTAGGGCAATTCCTCGCGCGCTGTGGCTTCGTCGTTGCTTCCGATGGCCTCATCCACGCCGAGCTCCGGAACGAGAATGCCTGCAACGGTGCTGAAATCTGCGGCCTCATCCATGGCGCTTTGGAGCCCCTGGACGCACTCCACGACATGCTGAAATATTACTTGCGTGTCTGTCACCTGCACATCCCCCCTGAGCCACGATACCCCTGCACCGTCAGGGACGTCCTCGCTTGGCTCGCCGGGCTGCCGCACACCGCAGTATACAAGCGCGTGCCAGCGCATTGCCATAACCTGCTCAGAGATAGAAACAACAACAGCGATGACGTCCTTAATCACATCCTCTCCACGGGGCTGCACTTCAGTCTCGTCGACACAACTGTCTTGGCGTACGACCTCCTCGTCACCATCTGCGGTAACGGTCGCGGCTTCGACCACGCCGACTACAAATACGCCTGCAACTTCTGGGACAACTCACGCGGCTTTCATTACCCATCAGACGTTGCTGAGCTCCTGGACATCCTGGCAAGCCTATGTATACGTGTCTTGCGTGCACTCAACTTTTTGCGCGCCCGTTGCCGATACGATGCGTCCATGGGCCACGGCTGGTCAGAGTGCCGGTACGGCAGAAACGTCCCCGCCGCCAACTGGCAGTGCAACGACCACTCAAACATCGAATCAAATTGTCGACCAAACTGCCAACCAAAAACCCACCTACAGGCCCACCTAATGGACCAGTTACCCGGTTTGTTGCCACATAAGCTGACGTCTGTCGGCTGTGACTATGAATGTCCGACGTGCCCTACGGCATCCCCCGGCCAGCAGTGCGTCACCCCAATGGGCTTCTGGGACCTGCCACGTGCAGGATCTAGAACGGGCACCGGCAGAGATATATTCGCCGTGCTCACCGCCTTGTGCAGCAATGCCGAGTCACCGTTGCCCTCCCTGCTGCGGTGCCTTTCCTCAATTAACCCCTGTCCGCCTCAAAGTCTCGGTGACATGTTTGCCTTCTTCTGCAACTTGGCGCAGTGCCGGCAGTCCGGAAAGTATGTCGATAACTCCGGCTTCACTACCAACCTGAACGCTAACGTCATTCCCAGCGTCTCCCTGAACCTTTGCCCAAGAACGCAGGCGGTGCGATTGACCAGCGCGCTGACCGCATTGTACCACTCCCCCGCAGACCACGCCGCTGCAGCCCAGGCGGACGCCGACACCAACACGGACACCAACACGGATACCCACTCGGACCTGTCGAGCCTCACTGTCCGAGCGCAGTGCTCCGACTCACTCACCTGCGCCCCCTACCTCCAACCTCTCTCCTTCCACGCCTGCCACACCTTCCCCGAGCGGCACTCCCACCTCTACCTCTCATGGGTCGTACACCTGGCGTGGCACTTCTGGCAGTTGCTGCGGGAGCTACTGGACCAATTCCAGAACATCGACTGCAGAGCCTCCGGCTGCGCCGAATGTCCCTGCAACCCGGGCCAGCACGGCGTCGAATTCAACTGCAAGTGCGGGGCTCTGGTCAGCTGTGGCGGCGTCATGCCCACACTCTTCCACCACGGCTTCACCTTCGGCAACGCCAGGACCCTGTACCAGACGAGCAGGAAATATTGCCGCCACTTCCACACTCAGCTGCAGAACGTGCTCCACTCCAACCACTTCACGGAGTTGTTCCGCCAGATCGATGAGTTCCTCTACTGCATCCGTCTACCTTTCCTCTCCGCCATCGCCGCACTCTGGCTTATCGCAGCGCTCTACATCCTCATCGTACTACTCTACCGCATGGATGTGCTGCGCATCCGCTCGCACCTACTCACCTCCAAGGCTTCACACCTAATCGATGTCAAGGCGCTCCTCACTCACGGGAGGAAGATGCTCTCACTATACCACGACGTCGACTACTTCGACGACGAACCCTTTGACTAAGTTGAGGTCTCACAATGCTGATCGCCTTCACAGAGTAATTTGCTATTCTGTGTCACTTTGCAGTGCAGTAGTTATTTGTTGTGTCAGAGCAGCAGGTGGCGCATTGTGGTGTCTTGCCAGCGTCCTAAACTTATGTCACTGCTCATATATCGCTGATAATATGGTAATATGTGGAACTACAGGTGGCAATTCTTAAGAACTGAACTACATATAGACTGCGATTTCTGACGCCTACAAGAGTTCCTTGTGGAATAATTGACGTTATGAGAGCCCACTGTAGGGGATACTTGGAGATGTTGAAAGAAATTTGTAGAATTGTTTGTACGCAATGCCCATGATTCCGAAATAGTAACTTGAAAAGACGATCACTGTGACGATAGTTAGGGGAATAAAAATCCACAACTTAATTTTAATGCAATATGAACAACCACACTTTAAGATTTTACATTGATTACAGCCGTCATCGCATACGCCTCTACCTACTTCAAGAATCTCTCGTGGGCTACATGTAGCCACACCAGCTGCATCGCTAACGTGCTACCTTTTATAGGAACAAAGTCTACACCAGCTGCTCAGCACACGGACCCCAGACAGCAGTGTAACATAGTATATCAAACCCGGTACGCATCTCCAACACTTAAATTCACCACGTGGTGGCATCGTAGATCCGCCCAAACAAGTGTTAAGTAACATCAAGTGATATATCGTTCCGCCTAATGCGCTGCTACGATGTAATTCGCGAACGCGTTCACCGGGCGCCTGCCGATGCAATCTTATGAAACATTAAATAAAAAATTATCACATTGGCGTCGTGCTGTTAGTGTCTAGAACTGTGCGATGAATGCGATTTTTTGAATGCCGGACGTGACAAAAAATGCGATACAAAACGTTCAGATGCTGGTGAAACAATCACGGACCTTGTGGAACGGTCGAATGCGAAAGACGCTCATGACGCAGACGGCGACGAGGATGATTGCAATGATGGGAACGATGGCACAAGCGATGACATCGGTGGTGGAATCTTTGGCACTGGTGACGGAGAGTGTACTGGTGGATTCCATCACGCCGGATTCAGGGCGTTCACGTTTACTTTTACAACATGGACATTCACAAGCGTTCTTATTTTTACATTTGGTTTCACAGTTCTCATTATCACAATTATATTTGTCTATGCGATCTTGGTATGTCATAAAACATTTCAAGCAACTTCCACTCTTGTATCCTTCACAACACCAGGGGCAGCACTTGCAGGCAAATGATTCACATGGTTCACCACAATCACAATCCTGCGACATCTTCCTCTACCCCAGCTGTCACTAATCTGCACAAACATGAAGCACGTACCTTGAGTCCTGAACAGTAGAACCGCCAAGCCGCCTCCGATGAGCGCTCCGGAAAGGCCCAGGCAACCGCCACACGACGTACCGCCAGGGATACTACAGCCTCGCGCATAGCACCACAGAGATAAGAGGCCTAGCAGAGTCATCTATAGGCTGCGTACCTTGCCCCACGCTTCGCTGACCGAACGGGTTGCAAGTTCTGAATCTGTGTATTAATTGAAGCACGGCGTTAGTTTTCGCAACTATACAAGTGTGCATGTTACCATGGCAACAGCCTCGCCTCTCATACCCTTGTCACTCACCTTATAGCAGCGTGGTGCCATGATATCCATGACATCCCTCTATTCATTTGACCATCGAACTCTCTCAATCGACACATGATCACTTCTAGTACATTGATTACGTATGTTGTCGTGATGTTAACACAGAAGTGCTTAATGCGATGCCAAGTCGCGTATCCCAGGCCTTATGTCAGTGCACTCATTATTAACCTGAGGATCGTCGAGACAGTTTCGCTGGCATCCGTCATTTGTGCTATTTTCCATGTATGCAACGTCCTCCGGACACTTAACATCCCATTGTGAATAACTCCCTACTCTTGCCTCACCCAGCCTATCAAGCTGTAGGCCATCTGGCTGAGTACGGTGACACCTAAAAGCCATAACTTCGGTATTGCCGTTGTGGTTCAATGTAGCGTTGCAGATCATATGTTTTTGTGTAATGCGAATATACAATGGGCAAATGAAACCTCCAATGGTTCCATTCTCGCTGGTCGTCTTAGTACCGTAATGACAAGGTAGTTGGTAATCAATATTGGTAGACTAACTGAAGTCTACTGCTAGATTCCATATGTCGTATCTGGTTCGCTGTTACGTGTAAAAGGCGTTGTCAATCTTTTAACTTGGGAGCAAATATGCAGGCGGGCATATCACACCGCTCTTATCATGGCAGTGTAAAATGAGCAACGAAGGTTGGGTGAGACACAACTCCACATCACGATCCTAAGGGAGGTTATCACCATTGACACAACTTCTATACAGATATTGCAACACTGGGCTAAGTTGTTGAACTGACAATCACAACAAGGTATTTACAACCCAAATCCATGCTACCGCTGACATACCCAAATCAACATGGTAACATCAACAATGAAAGCAAATTAACTTCTGCAATCTACAGACTAGTTACCTATACAGCAAGCCACTGAATATAAGCGCCAGAAATAATAGAGTGAAGGTGGATAACCCACATCACCATCGTGGAAATAGGAATTACTAACCCAGACAACCCGGTGGAAGCGGAGAAATTCAAGAAACGGAAGTACGAAGATCTAATCGAGGACCTGAAGGCGCGACGATTCAACCAGCAAACTAGGATCAGGGCAATGCCGTATGCAATGGGTGACATATAACCCAGAGAAGATTGTGACTCTGTTGGTGACCCTGGCGCCCAAACAGGATTATATTAAGTACGCTATCTGAAAATAGGACATGTAACCCATAACAAAGACCGATTACATGCAAGGTGTAGGCACATTTGAAAATACTAGAAGCAACACTAAGTAAATGCGGCCAGTTATAACACAAGAATATCGACAGCACACCTCCCACGAAAATCCGCATGACCTACATGTATGTATAAACCCGCCATACGTGGTGTATATAATTACACTAGTGTTGGATGACGCCTCACTGCACCATCATTTGGTTAGAAAGAGAGTGTTGCACCTGCTCGGTGGCGGCCGCAATATCTACCTCTCCGTTCTCGTCCACCACGGCAGGACCATAGAAGGCCATAGCATTGCGCGACTTGTAGTACTCATTACGCAAAGCACTCTGCGTCAGCTTTACGTCGTAACGGTGGCACACCGGCTCGAACATGAATGCCCAGAATGCGCTGAGGCCCAGTGCCAAACCCAGCGAAACAGTGTACAAGCGCTCGACGATGGCGAACATGGCGGTGTTGATGAAGTTAAGGGCGAGAACCTCGCATATACCGGCCATTAAGAAAGCGGAACCGCACATCCAACCCCAGCTCTCGTTGGTACCCTCGGAGTGGTAGGTCTCCAAGAAGAAGCAGCCGCCGGCGTACAGGAGCAAGGCGAAAGCGTCACAGAGACGAGACGTGAAGAATATCAGCCAGTTGGAACCATCACCGATTTGCTCTTCCATCCACTGAGCTCCGAAATGGTATGTGGCGCCAAGGAAGGTGATCATGCTCAGGCACCAGGACACAGCGCCTGCAGAGAGTGAGAAAACGAATACGATTATACTACGAAACAAACAGACACAACTACTATGCATGTACGCAGATAGGACTCAAACAACTCCAAAGAAGCAGTACGTACATCCTGAAACTTACCGAAAGAGGTGGCCTGCAACATAAACTTTGTGCCGGCACGGTAACCCCTGCACTGCTTGATGGAGGAATCATCTTCGCTCATCTGGATAAACGACATGATAAGCAGAGTTCCAACAATGAAACCGCCGTGGCAAAGAAGCGTGAGGCTGAAGGGGGTCACGCCGAAGTTCTCCGGAAGGGCCCGGAAGAAGGTTAACATAGCCAAAGGGTCCTTGCCTCCATTGTAGATTCCGAGGGCAAATACTATGAATGCGAACAGCTGCAGCAAAAACCCGGCACGAAGGTTGTAATTCATGAGAAACTCCCATACGGGCTCGAACTGAGGACCACGGCTCTCCGGAGCCTCACCGGGGCGGACAACGTACGTGAAGTACATGGTTTCTACGATTGCGAGATACCGACACTGCCAAAATATATGAGCTGTTGATGGCAAGTGCAACGATAGACACAAGACATGACCAATTAGCTCCACACGTCGATGCAGAATAACACGTGCAGCAACAAAAGGCAAACTAACCAACAACCAAAGAAACAGGAATATATACCCGGAAATGATAATCGAACACCCTTTATAAGAGTTGAAATACCCCTTAATAGCAGTAAAAGGGGAACGAGAACGAACTCATTCAGAAGTATGCAGTGTGTACGAAAACAGTATGCACACAAAAACCGTGCACATTAAACTAGAATAATGCACATTATCCACATCTAGGTTTGTGCAACACATAAATGTGACGAATACCAAAAAAATGCCACTGCGGAATCGCTGGTACACCTACACATACAGACACCTACCTCGGTCAACTCGATGAACAAAATTCAAAACCCCGCAACTGTGACGGTATTATGTGTATTGCAGATTAGCAGTGCACTCTGGTTCGTATTGCCGGTGACGTGGAACGGTGATACGCGCGATGCGCCTGGGGCGAGGAACGGCGCTCCCTTGACGCACATCGGTGACCGAGGGTAAGTCGCTGTTCAAACGTGAAACAGACGGTGATAACCGAAGAGCGCCGTCTATAGGCGCGCGCTACAGGGGCGCGGACCCCGCACTCGGAGGCCGTGCCGGATCAAACTCGGATATTCGCGGATAATAGCGGAAGGAGTCCATGGCGGAGGTTCGAGTGGAGCTGCTCGACCTGCACTCCGAGCTTAAATGCAGTTTGTTCGGGATTGTGTGCTTGATAACGCTTATCGCATTCATCTACGTGCTGTGCCGACTGGCTGTATCACCAAGCAGGATGCCACGCAGCGAGCTCTGCGTCGTCCTACTGTCGTGCTTGCAGCTACTATTCGGTATCATTTTCTATTTTGGCGGTCAGCACCCGTTCCTGCATATCCTCAACAAGGCAATCAAGGTCGTACAAGCCGAAGTAATATCCTGGAGCTGCCTTAACATCATGCTTGCGAACAAACCGCGACGCAGGCGGATGGCAAAGGGGTTGATGAACTTCGTGACATGCTGCATCGCATTGTCACTGTTGTACAGCTATTTCAACGTCTACGACCACACCATATACCTCAACGCGAAAGTTGGCATTTTAATGTCGGCGCTCTGGTGCGCCATGTCGGTGGCAGTCATATACGTCGCCTGTAAAATACGGAGAAGCCTGGATGTGAGCAAGATACTCAAAATGGATGAGGAGGGGAGGGACGAAGGGCAGCCGCACAGCGGTGCGAACCTGCAGAATTTCCTCCGGGATGGCGGCGACCTCGTCGAGTCGTACAGCGACACCAGGTACCAGCACCTGCTGCTCCTTGTCGTCGTAGAGGCCATCACGGCAATGGTTGGTTCACACCGCCGCTTAGAGTTAACGCATGAACAGGGCACGCTGATATGGGATGTCGTTTTGTATTACTCCGTGAAGCAAAGCCTGAACGGAAAGGGATTTGAACTCGACATGCCCGTTCTCAAAGAGGTGCTATACATCGCCACGAACACAATAGTCATCCTCATACCGAATTGGACCGTGTTCTACGTTTTCTACTGGTAGGTCGTAGCGCCACCAAACTATAAATAAGCGCAGGGTGCAACGACAAAACTACAGCAACATCAGCTCCACATGGGATGTAAACCTGAACTCAATGAAGTAAGTAGACACGCCATCCCGTAAACGTCCCTTAGGTTCGAGGTCAAGGAACCACCTGAAACTGTGTAGCACCCAGCAGATCACCGTTTCACTTAATATAGTAATAATGCAGAATATGACCAAATTGAGTCCCACAACCGCGGTGTGTAACCGCATGACGCGCCCGCAAAGTGTCGGCGATGACCTTCTGCACGCCCCCACCGATGCGCGCCCGGGTGAACGACCTAAGCTCTGACATTCCACCTTCGGTACAATAGAATCTTTCAAATCCTAGTGCTTGGCGGGGCCAGCTGGCTGTAAGATAACGATTCACCGCAATGGAAACAGCTGAAGTTGCAGATGGCGGCAGACTGATTCCCGACAGGGATCGCCGAAGCCGCGAGCGTGGAGACAAGAGCCCTAGTCGCTACCACCGACGCGAACGCTCGATGTCACGTAGCCCGCGAAGGTACCAACGATCGCGAAGGCACTCTGATAGCTATAGCGGATCGCGCGGCTATCACGAACGATCGCACAGAAGGTACGGCGGCGTTGCACGATATATGATATAAACAATTGCAGGTACCATAGACACAGCCGTTCCATCAGCCGAGGTCGCGAAGTTTCCGGGAGGCGCTACAGCAGGTCCATCCGCAGAGAGCGTAGCCCATCACGACAGCGCAGCTATCGCGAGAGCGAGAAATGGAGCAGGGGGCGCGAGGAAAGGGGGCCTGTGGACCCGGAAGAGCGCGCCCGATTGGAGCACGAGCAGAGGCGACAACGTGAGATTGAAGAGGCCCAGCGCGAGGACCTTACCGTGCTTGTGATCAACCTACACCTCGGGGCAGATGAACGACAAATATACGAGGCATTCAGTGAACATGCAGGAAAAGTCCGAGATGTGCAATGCGTCCGCGACGCCAGGTCCGGAAGGTCGAAGGGAGTGGCGTACGTGGAGTTCTACACGCAGGAATCCGTCATCAAGGCTCTCGCGATGAACGGGTTTGAACTCAACGGTCAGCGCATCCGCGTCCAGTCATCTCAGGCTGAGAAGAATAGAGCGGCGAGGGCAGCGAAGCTTATACAGCAGCAGACGGTTGAGGTTGCCGACTCACCGTTCACTGTTCAAGTCACGGGACTTACAGGGTCCCTGTCTGCAATAACTGAAGTTGAGATTAAGCAGATGTTCTCGCCCTTCGGAACCATCATTCATGTGGAAATCATGCGTGATCCGCACTCCGGGCTGCCACTAGGTCACGCATTCCTCAAGTTCAAACGCGCCTCAGAGGCTAAGGAGGCGGTTTCCGCAATGAACGGCTTCGATATTGGAGGTCAGACAATCAAAGTGGCATATGCAACAGGCGCTAATGCAACGGGTAGACTGGCGTCACACGGCGAAGTGGACATCGAGCGGCTCGATGAAGACGGAGGTGGGCTCATTTCAGGTGCCAATAATAAAATCGCATTGATGCACAAGCTACAAAGGACCTCCTCTACGGATCCTGCCGGTGCAACGCAATCGGCACAATCGATGGTAGGCATACGTGCATAATTGTTGTTGTCGTTGATGGAACAGTTCTTTGAAACCCTACTGCCATTTGTGTTGCGCAAGGACCTGGTTTTCTACTTTGCGCAGTGCACTAAGATTATTACAACGTATATGACCGTGTAACATCTTTGGAGTGGATATGTTTTAACCATGTGTGTGCATTTCGTGCAATTCTTATTTTCATTAGAGACTTATTTCGATGCAGGCCAACACCGGCATATCGAGTGCGCCAACCTGTAACGTGATCCTGAACAACATGTTCAGCTCGTCAGACCCCACCGTATCGGAACCTAACTTCTTCAACGAAGTGGAGGAAGACGTGAACGATGAGTGTAACAAATACGGTAAGGTGGTCAAAGTGTACATCAACCGACAAGCCGTCGACGGAAAGGTCTGGGTCAAGTTCGGAAACATGTTGGATGCCACAGTGGCATATCGAAGCCTTAACGGGCGAGTATTCGCTGGCAACACGATAAAGGTCGAATATGTCACAGATGACCACTGGCAGAAGATGGTCAGGTAGACACACATCACTCTCCCGAACGGGAATAGCACACATGAAACTCCCACCTTTAATTAATGGAGTAAAATAAATGGAGCTCGTGCTTAATGTAGCCGAGAAGCCCTCGGTCGCCCGGAGTATCTCGGAGATACTCTCCCAGGGCCGGAAGCGAACGGTAAGCCGGATTCCAGGGATAGCACACACACATACGACCGCAGGAGTTCAGCAACGCTAAGACTAACCCGGTGTACTCGTTCGTATGTCCACTGGAGGGAAGACAATGCAAAATGTTCTTCACCTCCGTCCGAGGGTATGCGACCAGCCCAGCTTTGCGCTAACGTGTACAGGCACCTCATGGAGCTCGACTTCGACCCCAAATATCGCAACTGGAACCGGACACCGGTGCAAGAGTTATTCGAGGGTTAGAATAGCATGAGGAAATAATAGTTTTCTACAGCGCCCGTTCATTCCGCTGTATCCCCTAATTGCAAGGATATAGAGAAGAATCTCCTGCAGTACGCGAAACAGTGGGTCAAACTGACTAGAGTATAATCCACGATTCGCAGATGTGGGATGCTTGTCCTATGGCTCGACTGCGACAGAGAAGGAGAGGCAATCGCCTTCGAGGTTAGACAGACCGCGCATCCCCCGGGGGAAATTACATGCAGGTAATGACTGTCTGCCAAAGGGTAAACAAGAATATCGCCATACGAAGGGCGATATTCTCAGCCGTAACAAGTGAGTGCAACGTTTTGTTTTTCTGATGATCTTTTAGGGTCAGACATCGAGATTGCGTGTAGCCGGCTGCGGAACCCAAACTCCAACCTTGCACAGGTAAGCCGACCTTGCGTTTATAATGTGACGGCAACACTTAGGCGGTTGAAGCGAGGCAGGAAATCGACCTACGAATCGGTACGTCATAAGGTGGCATGCACGAGCAACGATGCACAGGATCATCTATGACGAGGTTCATGACAACCAAGTACAAAACCGGCATAAACACTGAGGCCAAAGTGCTCAGGTAAATTACCACTTGGACAATTATGAATGATCCTTAGCTACGGACCTTGCCAACTGCCTACACTTGGCTTCATCGTCGAGCGCTTTAGAAAAATAGAATCGTTCGTCGCTGAGGATTTCTGGTCCATGCAGGTCCATATTGAGCGGGGTGGCAAGTCACACACGTTTCTGTGGGACAGAGTGAGGCTTTTCGACAGACTGGCCGTGCTCACGCTGTACGAGGCGTGTTTGGAAAACCCCATGGCGAAAGTCACGCACGTTGGTTACCGACAGAAATACCGCAATAAAGCATAGGTGAACAATCGCACAACCAAACGGTACCCTCCGCTACCTCTAGACACGGTTGAAATGCACAAGGACGCTGCCCACTACCTGAAAATATCGTCACACGAGTTCGTGCACAGCAGTGGAAATCATGACCTTGCAGGAGCATGCACCTAGCGGAGTCGCTGTACAACAAGGGATACATAAGTTACCCCAGGACTGAGACGAACGTTTTCCCTTCCTCCATGAAGCTGATAGACCTCGTCCAGCTGTTTACAAACCACCCGCAGTTCGGCGATTATGCATCTAAACTGGTCAGAGGTAAGGATATGTGTTACCGTTAGTGGCACATCTACTTACAGGTGGCAATATAATGCCGAGGAAAGGCAAAAAGAACGACGAGGCCCACCCGCCCATCCACCCAGTAAAGCCCATGCGACGCGAAGAGGCGGAATCCCACCGCAGCTGGCAGCTGTATGAGTACATCACCAGGCGGTTCCTGGCGTGTTGCAGCCCTGCGGCAGTAGGTGACGAGTCTACAGTGTTCGTTGACGTCGCCGGGGAGGGGTTCCACTCCAAGGGTCTGGTGGTCAAAGAACGCAACTGGCTGGACATATACCCGTACAGCACATGGTACGTCAGTGATTACGTGGACTGATTATGTGCAGGAATGGCAAGACAATCCCTGCCATGGTACAGGGGGAGGTGATGATGCCGCAGAAGATTATGCTCACCGGAAGCCGAACCAAGCCTCCGGGGCTCCTCACCGAGACCAACCTCATCGACCTCATGAGTAAACACGGAATCGGCACAGACGCTACCATGCACGAGCACATTCAAAAGGTGCAAGACAGGCACTACGTGGTCAAGGAGCCGAACTTCACGCTCATACCAACAAACCTGGGAAAGGCGCTATACTGGGCCTTCAAGAGCTACAGGCACACGGAAATAGACCTGACGAAACCCAACCTGCGCGCGAATATGGAGAGCGACATGTGCCTAATCGCAGAAGGACAGAAGCAGAAGCGGGATGTCATAACACAATATGCGCAGCAAATGAAGCAAATCTTCCTACACATCAGGAACAACATCGACGGATTCGACACAGCCATGCAGAGGCTCGTGAATCTTGCGCCTGACGAGGCGCCAATGCCCAATATAAGGGCGTAATATCGCAAACCAGAGCACGGCCGCTTATCGCATTGACAACGAGAAGTAAGAATAATGTTTATATAGCCTTTTAATTCAACCAAATGGCCTCCAACTGATGTAATCTACCATTTGCCATCAGTTGGCACTGTTATAATAAGCAAAAATAATGCAGGTAGCTTATGGAAGGGTTAAGCTTGTATAGCAGATGCTGCATATTACCGTTCATTCCACTGAAAAGAACACATCATAGACTTCTACAGCCATTTCCACACAACGGTGCCTTACAGTTACTTATATTAACCTTTGTAGACAGCGGCTAACGCATACGATGTCAGGCCTTAGGAAGTCGGGAAGCGCGCCCTGGACACCCGATCGTACACATTGACGACATCGCAGGCAGCGGCGCGGCGGTATACAGAAATAGCTGACGGCAATATCTGCTTCCAGTATACGTACACACTGGTATGCGATTAGCCGATACAGCCAGAGGGGTTCGGCACTGTCAACCCGGCAAGACTGCGACGAAGACGCAACCCGTGGAATAGCACATCGTACCTCAACGATGCTGAAAAGAACAACAAAGGTGCTGCTGGCAGCCTTATCGTCGAACGGATATGCCGCCAGTACCGCATCGCAGCTCCTCTCGAAGGGGTCGTCACGCGATGTTGCGAAGCGCCACCTGGCGTCTGCAACACGAACCGGAAGCAGCTTGAGTTTGGCTGTAAATGGGCTCAGGGCACCACAATGGTCGTGCCAGCGCCGGCTAGGCACAGTGGCAACGCACGTGTTGACATCCCGTGAGCGTTGCAGCCTCGGCTCTCTGCAACACGGCGACCTGGCTGGACACACCTCAAACACCAGTGGAAGGCGTTACTTCGCCGTGGGCACCTTCGTCAGAAACAAGGAACACCTCAACATTGGTACCATCGGACATGTCGATCACGGTAAAACCACGCTCACGGCCGCCCTTACCAAGGTATGCGCCATGGATGGCCATGGAGAATACACCCCTTACGAAGCCATAGACCGCGCGCCAGAGGAGCGGAAGCGAGGAATCACCATTAACTCGACGCATGTAGAATACGAAACCCAAAACAGGCACTACGGGCACGTGGACTGCCCCGGCCACGCAGACTACGTGAAGAACATGATTTCGGGCGCAGCACAAATGGACGGCGCCATCCTGGTCGTCTCCTGCGTAGATGGGCCAATGCCCCAAACCAAAGAGCACGTGCTGCTCGCCAAACAGATCGGAGTGCCACGACTTGTTGTGTTCCTGAACAAGCTCGACATGCTGGAAGACGCGGAGCTCTTGGAGCTGGTCGAGCTGGAGATCAGGGAGCTCCTCAGTGAGTACGGATACGATGGAGACGCTACTCCGATCATCAAGGGAAGCGCAATGAAGGCGCTGAACAGCACCGCCGAGGCAGACGTCAAGCCCATACAGGAGCTCCTGCAGGCGTGCGACACCTACCTCCTGACCCCAGAGCGCAAGAGCGATCTGCCGTTGCTAGTCGCCGTGGACGACGTTCTGGCCATCCCCGGTAAGGGCACGGTCGTGACCGGCCGTGTGGAGCAGGGTAAGATCAGGTGTGGCGACGCCATCGAGGTTTGCGGAGGACCCAAGTCGGGCAAAAAGACCGTCTGCATGGGCCTCGAAATGTTCCGCAAGAGCCTCAGCGAAGGAATCGCAGGAGACCAAGTCGGCGTGCTGCTGAAGGGTGTGAAACGTGACGAGGTGGAGCGAGGGTTCGTGCTCATCCAGCCCGGCACGTACAAATGCCACAGTGAATTCGATGCCGACCTTTACGTGCTCACTACCGAAGAGGGTGGAAGGAAACACCCTTTCGTCTCCAACTACAGGCCGCAGGCGTTCATAAGGACAGGCGATATCTGCTGCTCCGTCCACCTGCTCGGTGACTTGGAGATGGCAGCGCCGGGCGACAACGTCAGGTGTAACATCAAGCTGCTGCATCCGATGCCTGTCCACGATGGGTTGAGATTCGCACTCAGAGAGGGCGGCAAAACCGTGGCATCGGGACTCATTACGAAGGTTTACTAACAGTAGCAAACTAATTTTTGTGAGTCACCCTAAGCGACCAGTGTGCGGCGGCCGTTGCGGGCTCGGGATGTGAGTCACAAAAAATTCACAATCCTTCATTACATCGCAATAAATATACAGTGTGCCTACATAGCACATATAGACATCGCCACAGCGTACAAAATGCCGGCGGGAACACAGGTGAGCCACTTATAACGGCATATATTGCGATAAACCATAAACGATCGTAACATCTAAATGGTAGCTGGCAACACTAACACTAATTTAGGGTGGCAAGAAAAAGCCGTTGAAGGCGCCTAAGAAGGTCGTCATTGCGACGGAGGAGGACCTCGAGTTCAAGAAAAAGCAAGCCGAGGAGAAGAAGTAGGTCATTCACGCCAAAACTCACATAACTGCCAGGCAACTCGAAGCTGCGCGCAAAGAGCTGCTACAGAAGACGGCGGCTAAGAAGAAGTGATCGTTCAAGGAGCGTCGACGAATCCGACAACCGTTTCGCCGAATACCGCCAAGCGATACGCGCATAACCAATATATCGGCTTAATATACCTAATCAACGTGTGTCCATATGCGACTTGAAAACGCCGCTGCATAACGGCGGTCTAACCGATCAAGGCGTCCGAAACAGTTAAACGTCAGTCGGTACACAGTGTTAGGCGTGATTCGCACTGCCATGTGCTCATTTATTGCGTTTTGATGCCTCAAAATCCCCGCTTATTGTAATGTGTAGCTAACCGTGAGGAAGGGCTGGGATACGGTACACCGGGCCAGCCGGGGTGGCCAGATGTTAGAAATACAATTATATAGGTTTATCTCAATAAGCGAATAGGCAATCAGTATTACACCTGATACACAGCGGTAACGGCGTCCGTAATTTTGTGCTACCGCTCAGAGGCCGCGCCGCCAGTGGGGACTCAGGGATGGGGTCACGCGGTCAACCGGATTCTATCAGCCCCGAGGGGACCTCAATCGTTACTATATATCGGGTAATTCGTTGCGGACGTACCTGAACTGGCTGCATCTGTCGAATAGGTGTCATCGGCTGCAGCGTTATTGGGTGAAAGGCAGCAGGTGAGCCACCACGGAACGCGGATTCACGTAGACGCAGATTTAGCGGTCAAAATGGCGGTCGGGAAGAACAAGAGAGTTAGCAAGGGAAAGAAGGGTGGAAAGAAGAAGGTCATTGACCCCTTCTTGAAGAAAGAGTGGTACACCCTCAAGGCCCCCGTCATGTTCCACGTCAGGAACTTCGGCCAGACGCTCGTCACCAAGACCCAGGGTACAAGTAAGTCGGGGGAATATTTATGCGTGTAATGGACGGTCTGTGTGCCCCTAGGTCGCCGGTACGTGGTTGTAATGTCGACCACACGGCACCGGCGTCCTTGGGACTCACTATCGGCAACCGTCGTAATATGATTAAACAACCGTTAACATGTTTACAGAGCTCGCCATCGATGGTTTGAAGGGCCGTATCTTCGATGTTTCGCTCGCCGACCTCAACGCTGATGAGGACCAGGCTTACCGCAAGATCAAGCTCTGCTGTGAGGATGTGCAGGGCAGGAACTGCCTCACCAACTTCCACGGCTCGAGCGTCACCCGCGACAAGCTTTGCTCGCTGATCAGGAAGAACTACTCCCTTATTGAGGCCTACACCGATGTCAAGACCACTGACGGCTACACCCTCAGGATGTTCTGCATCGGCTACACCAAGAGGCGCCCCGGCCAGCTGAAGAGCACCTGCTACATCAGGACGTCTAAGACCAGAGTCATCAGACGCAAGATGGTCCAGGTCATGCAGCGTGAGGCCTCCACTACCTCTTTGAGGGAGGTTGTGAAGAAGATCATCCCTGAGTCCATTGGCAAGGAAATCGAGAAGGCCTGCAAGGGAGTGTTCCCGTTGCAGAACGTCCTTATCAGGAAGATCAAGGTACTCAAGAAGCCCAAATTCGACCTCACCAAGCTCATGGAGGTACACACCGACATCTCGGAGGACACAGGCCACGGCATGAAGGTTGAGGAGTCGGAGGAGGCCGCGAACCTGCTTACCAAGGAGCTTAACGCCTCCGCAGCATAAGCTGGTGGCGGTAGGCCTCGATCGGCTGATGACGAACCGTCACCGCAGGGCGACGGCGCGTCACTGATGAATACCTTATAAAATCTCTATGAGGCATATGTCAATTAGTTCTTTCGAAGGTGTATATGGTGTGTGCTTTTCCACGAAGTGATCGGCCTGTGAGCGGCGAGGAATCTTAAGGTTGTCGCTAACACACCCAGACAGTCGTGTAAGGGTACCCATGGGGAGACCAGTTCCATATCAATGTGAACATCAAAATTATGATCGAAATATATGTGAGAATGACGAAACACAATGTGAAATGGAACGGAAACGTGTAGCCACGTTTCATCAGCGTTTTGCAACGCGACTTCGACGGACACATCGCGTGAGGCATAACCTCCCCGAAACTTCACCAAATGCTGACGGTGATACATCATGCGCGAACGGGATGGATATAGGGACCGCGGCGGTGCCAGAGGGAAGGCTGAGTCGTCTACCAGCCGCGGATTCCCGCCGCCGTCTGGGTCATTTGGACGCGCCAATGCCGGCAACCCGAAGCCTCTGTCGTTTCAGACACGCCAAGGCGGCTCTTCCTCAGCTGAGTCGTCCTCCAGACAGCCGTCAGCGAGCGTGTCTGCGACTGGTCCTGGGGGTAACAAGCACACAGCTGCGGCAGTGCATCCCATGTATGGAAAAGACTTAGCCATGGCCGTGCAAACGTCATCGGGGCGATCCCAGTCCCATCAAAAGACACCACCGTTCAAAGCGCCGCCGCGAACGCAGGAGTCGAAAAGGGCGTCGCCTTCATACCAACAGATGCCGCTGGAATACACAAACATGCGCTTGTTCAACGAAATGGTCAAAAACGGAGTGATACATCCGGTCATGATGGGGCAATTCATGCCCATGTTCTCATTGGGCGCAGCGCAACCGGCTCCAGAGGCGAATGTAGCACCTTCGAGCCGGAAGCGTACGACTTCACCCCCTTCGAAGCGTCCCGCTAAGGCGCATAAGCCGGAAGATACACACGTACAGAAAACGGCAACGTTGGAGTCTATGGTTGACGCAACCGCTGTGCGGGTACGAATGGATATTATTATACGGGCACTGTCTAAACTGCATGATGCAATAAGCAGAATAAAGATCACAATGCCCAGTATATTCAGAATCAGAAACAACTTCAGGTTGAGAGCAGCCGAGGAAGAGATGATTGGATCCGTTGAGGAGGTTTATCGATACCTGCTCATTACGCACCTCGCGAAGACACACAAGCTGCAGCCGCCGTACAACTTCCAGAAATCTGCGGAAAGCAAGCTGCAGGCCAAAGAGCCGCTGCTGAAATTCGTGGGTGCAAAGTCAAATCTTGCAGTAATCAATCTAGAGGAGCTCTGTAGTGTCATAAGCAACCAGCAGTTGCAGTACAACCCGACTTGGTCGGTGTTGAGGTGGGATGAGGGCGCAGAAGCCAAAAATGCAAACCCTGCAACCAGCAACAGGCCATACTACGTCAGGGCACTCCATACACGTGGCAAAGAGTTTATGGATGGCGGAAGATATGCCGTATTACTAAGGGCCATCAATGTGCATATGTTCGAGGAACACATAGACGTAGTCCACCTGCTTTGCAACATGGGCCCCACTGCAAGGGAGGCCATTCTGCGCGCAGTGGGATATTACGCGCTCAGCTGTGACGATGATGCCTTTCTCACGCTGGCGTCGATTATACCCACCATGGGATCGGAAGCTCAGATACAATTCTACAGACAAATCGCACAGTTGGTCGACCCGAGGACGTATCGAATGGCCACAATGTACGTGGAGCGTTACTTCGAACGTATATTACCCATGTGCCTGGCCATTTCTGACAAGCGGGCGTGGGCGCCGACCATCACGCTGCTCATGAAATCTGTGGACCCGTTGCGGCTCGGAGTCAAAAGCTCGAACACCGCCGTTACGCTGCTTAGGACATTGAAGAGCTGGTGCAATGTTTTTGCCAGATGCGAAGACACGTGCGTCCAGGTGTTCAATAAGTGCATCCAGTTGGTGCTGCAGGCGGGGGATGATTCGAGGATAGTCATCAGGGGAGCTGCGGCGGACCTTGCGGTACAGATCTGGCTGAATGCAAAGGGCAAGGCAGCTGTTCTCAAGCAAATAGGATACGACACAGTTAGGACACTCGGCTGCATTTCAGGAGTGCAGGCGATCAAATTCAATATATGGTCCGACCTGCTCACGTTGGAAACGTTCGAGGACCATACGAAGACTGTGCGAGTGCAACCCCTCGACCTCATACTCGCCAGGATGGACCAATATGACGTCGTGGCGCAATCGTTGTATCACGAAGAGGCTGCCTTCGTCATATCCATTCTCACAGCAGAACCAAGTGTCCTTAGCTATCTTATGAACTGGTACTTGCTGCGCTACTTCAAAATAACCAAGACAGTTTTTGCTCTGGAGAAAATCGCAAGCGTCATCAGGTTTGCGATCGTGGCGTACCCCAGGATAGCCAAACGCACATTGCAGCACACCAGCTACAACGTGGGCACGTTCTGCTGCTGGATGCTCAACATAGCCACCAACTGCAGCGTCGGAAGCGGGTGCCTGGAGTTGGCGAACATCAAGATGGCGCTGTTCGTGGACTGGCTGTTTTTCAACTACCAGTATAACGCAAGGATTATCAGACTTTGCTTCGGAGCCGAGGGGACTGCGCAGTGCGATCAGGTGCTGAACAATATGCCTTATTGCCGCAGGCTGTTTGTCAAAGAACTGTCGAAATGCGTCTTCATAACGCGGCGAACGGATAACTCCGATGAGGATGAGAATGTGGCTAAAGTCAACGTTCTGTTAGGAACTAACGAGGTGCTCACATTCACGTACAACACCGCCGTCGACATCTTCAGACGCCTCGTTGACTACCTCCTCAACGCCGTGCTGCACTACCACTCAGAGGTCGGGGTTGTGGCTGTCAACGCTATCTCGGCCATTTTCATGGTATCTGTGCTGGAAATACCGGGTACACAACATACGCTGGGAACACTGCTGCGGGCACTCAAGAACACCGTGCTGGGGAGGATGTGCTCGGTGGTAGATATCTCACTCGAGGCCCTTACGGTATACATCGCGCACGCTGGTGACAGCGACAAGACACACGCGTTGGAGCTCAAAGCCGCACTGCAGCCGCTGCACAACAATTATACCATGGTGGTGGGCATGGAGGAAAAACACAGAAGCGCGTGTTACGACGAGACGCTCAAGATGCTAATGCTGCAATGCTATGGAATGGTGCTGGAGTATTTCATCAACGTAGACGGCTTCAACGCCATCTACCATGGCAACCACCTTACGGTCGACACTCTACGAGCAAACCAAGAGCTCGAGCTGCTGGAGCAAACGCAATGTCCGAAGCTCTACACCAATATTACCATTACCAACACGGATACTGCGACAGACGGGAATGAAGCCGGTGCTGAGAGTGATAGCTCTGTGCGTGGCGATGCGGTAAGTGACATCAGCGATGGGGCGCTGAGTGATTCCATAAGCGATATAAGCAGCGACAACGACGGAACAGCAGTAAGCGACACAGCTGATACGTCTGGTGCCAATGATCAAGGTGACGGTGGCGTTCAAACTACACACCAGCCCGATGGCACAACGAAGAGTGAAGAGACAGCATTGGAACATGTGGAAAACTCACCGGATGTGTTAAGTATCTCCTCTACCGAACTTAGGGAATGGGTTCAGCTATTCGTGCACGGGTCGATGGACAATCCAGCCAAAGATTTCTCTGCAGACCCGCTTTACATGTATCTGAAGAGCAGTTTAGTTAACAATGGAGAGCCGGACTACTCAGTCATGCTTATCAAAGCACGCGATTCATCTTGCACTTTTCAATTCGTTGAACGTCATGGAGATACAACAGGCAACTCGAAGGATCACGCCGTGGCTAACGTGGTGGACGTTGTGGCCACTTATCTGCTTGAAACCGCCCTGCAGTGCCTCCTGGACGATGCCAGCTCGGGGGCAAGCTTTGACAGCATTCTGTTCAAAGAGTGGGTTGTCCATATATTTAACGCGTTCGTACGTCTATGCGTCGCCGTGTTCATGGCGGGGCACGTGTCCATTGTGTGGGAACTTTTGTACTATATCGCAGCGGTGTCTACAGCAACGCAAGTGACGGAAGAGGAAGTTGGGATCGATGAGGCTAAAGTTCAAAGTAAGGCAAGCAAAAGCCATCTGCCTACTCCAGCGCGCAGGAAAATTCTCATAGTGGCAACGTTGCTCTTCAACACGATCGATTCCGTCACACAGCTCAAAAGTATCACAAAGGACTCGGTTATGAAGCAGACATTGGAACATGTTATCAAAACGGTAGTAGGGCGCGAGGGCACTGATATGGCGACCGTTGTGCAAAATCTCATGCCCATTAGGTTCACGCTGGAGACTGTGTTCAAAAGCCGCTTTAACCATTTCGGAAAGCTGCCATCCATCATGGGTATGATACTCAGAGTCGCACCAGTAACCGCAATAGACGCCCTCATTGGTGCAAATTCGGCCAACATGTTCAATGTGTTCAAAGAGAGCCAGTTAAAGGGATCGGATGTGGGCACATACGTTAGAGCGCTGTTAGCGGCGGGACACCCAAGCCCGCTGCAACGACGGCACAGCTTCGTAGCCTGGCAAATGGTATGCCGGATGTATGAAATGGCATTTAGCACGAGTAAAATGCGGCAGACGCTCAAACAACAGCGGAACTTTCTCAAAGCCACTTCCAAGCAGTCCATGCCAAGGAACATGGGGAAATTGCCGTACATAACCGAGGCGGACGTTGGCGAAAAGAACGCCAACAAAGACGTTGTGCTGTGTTATCTGGGCGTCTCTGGAAATAAGAGAGTCAACTTCATCTCATTCCAAAGGGGATATACGTTTGCTAAGGATCTATTTGTGAACGAACGTGCCGAACTCATATCGCACGCCGTACGCGACGCGTTCAACAATGCTGATATCGCACTAATGGAGATCGCCGTCTTCTCGGCGTTCCCCATATTTGTACACTCCGTCCCCACGCAGGGCGTCATCCGGGACGTCACGCAAAGTCTAGCTGCCACCTGGCCCAAGAAACGCATCATCAAAAGCCCACAAATGCAGTTTATATGCGACATGCTGCTCGCGCTGATCACACACTGGTTGGCCAGATACCCGCATCTGCTCGCAGCGTTCGATCACAGCCTGCCAAATATCGGAGAAGCACTGGACCAGCTGGCCGTTAAGTATTCCACGGGCCGATCCATGCAGTTTACCTTCAACGGCACCACTCTTAAGGTGCAACTGGAGCACTTGCTCGCGCTCAAAAATTCCATTTAATAAACAGCGCTAGGTTATAGTCCGCAGCAGCCGCGATGGCAGACCGTCGGAGAAGACGAAACGTTGAAACTCTGATTCCAATCACACCCGAACCATTGCATTCATCTAGCGAATTAAGTGTGGTTACACGAGGCGCCCGGAGGCATCCCAACACCGGGTGGCAGACACTGGTCTGTTAAGCTATGAAACAATATTAAAACGGTTTGCCAACCGCATTAGCGGGGCACTCCAGAAAGTTAGCGGTCTCTTCCAGCCTCTTGACGGCGAATTTCAGCGTCTCAATCAACCGCTGGCGTTTAGAATGCTCGGAGCCGCGACGATCCCGCAGTGGCTCCAGTAGGTGCGACTTGTGGGACAGCGCTTTAGAAAGCTTGTACTTCTCCTGGCAGAGCTTCTTGCACAGAAACTCGGCGCCAAGCAGATCGTGAAACAGGCGCATGCGGGCCTCGCGCTGCTCCTTGATCCCGTTGAGAAACTCGGTGCGCCTACGCTCGAGAGCGGAACGAGCGACCTCGTTGCAACCCTTCACCTTGGCCAAGTCCTTGTCCAGTTTCGACTTGGTCACCTGGATGCTGGACAGCTCTCCACTCAGATAGTTCACTGTACCCTCTAAGCTACCCAGCAGCCGCTTCTGCGTGGCAAGCGCCTCCTCAAGCACGCTACTGTCCATCACCATAGATTTTCGAGCGCTCTGAAGGTCGGCGTTCGTGCGGTACAGGCTGTCCTCGTATTCGCTCACCTGGCGGTTTAGTTTCGCGATCTGGATGTTCGCGTCCGAATCGTACAACGCACTCATGCGCTCCTGCGCCTCGTTCAGATGCTGGAGCACTTCCGACTTCAGCCGTTGAGCCGTTTCGGCGTCAAGGAACCCGCTGGCAGCGTGCTCGGACAGGGCGGCGTCGAACGACTCCCGAAGCTTGGAACGTATCTCGTCGGAAGTAATCGAATCTATAACGTACATAATGTCGCTGTATATGCCCTTGTCTAACATTGAAGATAACTCAGTCAGCTTGGGGATACAAGCGCCGATCTCCTGCTTCTCATATTCAACTCGGGCCACTTCGCTCTGCAGCTCCAGAATGCTGTTGTTGGCGGCGCGAATCGATTCCGCCAACTGCTCGCTGCGGAGTGCGAGCCGGCCCTGGTTGGCCAGCCCGTCGCTGCGCAGTCGGGGAATATCGTCTATACGCGCCTGGGTGGAGCGCATCTGCCTCCTGCAGACGTCGACCTTCAACTGGGCACTGCGCAACATGCTATGGATACGAATAAACGTTGCATTCTTCTCTTCTATAGTAACCGCCAAGTCATGCTCTTCCTGCGTGCCCAACAAATACGCCTGATGCGCCTCCAAAAACTTCTCTTCCAGATCACTCAGGTCTCTAAGGGTGTCCAAACCTAGCTCATCCGTACGACGCTTAAGGCATGCCACCATAGAACGGTAGACGCCCAAACGGGAGGCGCAAGCCTGGTGGTAAAGTATGACGCGTTTCACAGTACGAAGCAACTGCTGCTGAACCGCGCTATATTGCACCACCTCGCTAGCATAGGAACAAAGTTCAAGAGCATCCACACTGCGGAAACTTTGGCTCCCCTCAAATGCAGGGCCACTGGCGCCCTCGAAATAGAAGTTGTTGAACAGATCAGACTGGTCGCTGCTGCGTGCATCGAAGCTCACAACTATGTCCGAGTTCTTGCTCTGCTCAACCACTCGCCGGCAGTGCCAGAGATTGCGAAGCAATTCCATACACTCGCCCGCTGTCTCATTGCCCGATGAATGAATGCCTTCGAATTCCGATATACTAGCTTCGAATGTTGACAACATTATGCGCAGAACTGATACACGCCGATTGAAGAACTCGTCATCGAGACGCAGGAGCACTCTGTCTTCCAGATTTATATGGTCCGCGCTATCCAGGGTCAGACGCACCAACCCGCCTGAGAAATTAACAACGTTGCGATAGTATGCCCGAGCTGACTGTGTATCAAAGTCAACGGCGAAGTAATCCCCATCCTCCTTAGGCACACAGCTGAACGGTAGGAGAAGCAGGCAAAAAGCCGTCGATTGGTAGAGCCTCGGAGAATAGTCAGTGTCATCAGAACCCATCGAGTTCGCCGCCTCATTGGCTGGGAGCTGTTCGATGATGCCGTACAGGGTATCCGAAACATCGGCGGCCAGAGCGCCGTACTTGAGCAAATACAGCGAGGCGAACTTCTCCCCAAACGTCATATCATTGTTCACTCTCAAATCGCCGCGGTAGTCAGGGTCATCTTCGCCAAATAGGGCGTGAGAGAGCCTGAAAACATTGTCGCCGTAGTCCGCATCCCACAGCTGGGAAGAGGATGCTGTCTGCTGCGAGGGCTCGAATCCTAATGTCAAATGCTGTAAAAGCACTGAGACCAGAAATAGGCGAGTGCCGTGACACATGGACAAGTCACCCAGCAAAGCGGCGAAGAGTTTAACGGAACGGTAAGAAAATATCTGTTGGCAGATGAAATCGTCCAGGCCACGCGAGCTGGGCAACAAGTTCAACACGTATACTGTTGCACGCGGCTTCTCGTCATCACGAAACCACCCGCCTGATATCAACGACACCAGCAACAAACCACACATGACCCTAAGCGTTGTTTCGGTAGAGCCGTAGAGCTTTTTCAGCAACAAGCCCAGGACATCACGATCCACAGAATGTTGCACCTGGTCATCGCACATGCCGATCCATAACAGCCAAAGGGCGATACAGCGTGTCACACCATAATCATTGCGATCAACCAAATCGATCAGCTTCTCGATCGAACTGTTGTCCAAAAATTTAAGCGCAGCTTCCGGCAGGAGATTAACAGCGTTTACCACAAAGTAAGAGGTAATATTCCACACGCAGTAGCTGGCGCCCGGTTCTGAAGCCAATAGTCGAATTCCAAGCGGGTTGCGGAAGCTATCTAGCGGCAAGCCGAGGTCAACCATCTTATTGCTAACCAGCAAACGCGAAACTGCCTTGGTCACGTGCGCAATAGTCTCTACCCTCAAAACGCTATAACGAAAGACATCTTCGCGTTGCAGCATCCAGAGGAATATACCACATACCTCACAGACGGCCTTCGCTTCGTTAAATGCTAGGCACTCGAGCAGGGAGGCTACTACCAACGGGTGGAAGAGCCGGTAGTCAGCCGGAAAGTCATCCATACACGCGTCATCATCAACTGCGGCTGAAAGGTGTTTGAAGGAAGTGTGTTTTGCTGATACTATCCGCTTGAGGAAATTGCGACGTTCAGTGGGGGACATCATTAGGTACCTGAACAGGAGACTCAGAGCAGTGAGCTTCTCCTCCTTAGTCCTAGCTGTCACCAGATTGAGATACAAAAGCGATTCGGTTTCGCAACCTAGATACATGTACAACAAGGACAGTTGCACATTACTAGGGTAACGCAGCTGCTGCGAAAAATAAATCTTCAGGCCCTGATACCTCTGCGACAAAAAGCGGGGGTCCATCTTGCCCCAAAACCGCTTCTCTGGGAGTGAAGCTGGCGGTGTATACCCAGCTCCACGCAACTTGCTGTCGTAATAACAAATGCTGGAATAACGGCGTGTCACCACTCGCTCGACCCCAAAGTCGTTAAAGTGTATCGAGTACAGAACGTAACTACCGAGGCATTGCGCATGCGTAAAGTAGTCGGTTATACGTAGGTCCATTTGCGATACAAGCCTCCGCTGAGTGGAGGGAGCGTCATCCACGTTCACGTCGTTAGACGCAAATGCTCCGAAGCAATGATCTCGATCAATTGTAACTTCCGGATCTACATGCACGAGCTCCTCGGCTGGAATAGCTGTATCTAGGCTGCGTTCAGTGTTCTGTTGTACATGGTTCCCATGATGAGAATCCAAGGAGCCTTTATTTGTATCCGTCACATTAGAAGCACTCATGTCGCCGTTAAAATAGCGAGGGCTGTATGGCCTTATGGTACATTCAGCTTTTCCTATGTTCAAATGCAAACTGTACATATCATCTGCAACCGAATCTAGTTGCAGGGATTCTTTTAGACGGTGCGGGAAAGAAATCGCATCACGTGTTTTATCGAAGGCTTGGGGGGAAGGACTTCGAATTCCTGTCGTTGAAGCGACAGTAGGAAACGAATCAGATTCACTATCCATTGTTACAAGTCCATCTTGGCCCGCTTGGGACAACTCAGCCGACGACATTTGAGCAACCGTGCTCACTGCCAAGAGTTCTCTAGTTTACATATAGCACATCCATAGACGCTCGTGGCTATTGAAAGGCGGCACACTATCATGCCTAACCTTCTGTCCGCTGCTGTTGATTGTGTTAACTTTCGACATATAACCGAGAGGCTTGAAATATGTCCATACGCTTCCGTGATAATCCTCGGAGACAAATGTCAAATTCTAAAATTTAAACTTTACACATCGCACAATACATATAACCTACGTTACCAATGAATAAAACAAAAAGACAAAAACAATGGAAAACGGCAAATGACGTTGCGACGCCGTCACCAAATAACAGAAACCGTTATACGCTTGTATATTTCGGCGACAGCCGTTATGCTGTTAATTTCGCCTTTACAGATAACTATGTGACTTATAAAGGGCTATATGTGTAAATATCGGAGGTGCCTATCAGAGGGATTCCACGTCAATTCTGCCACGTCGCAGTACTTTAAGCATATTAGACTGCTGAAACCGTGAATAACCTTTGTTTTTTATATATATGTAATATTATTAACGCTGGCGGCTCGCGCCGCTATTTGAGATGTCGCAAGGCGTGCCTTAAACTATAGAAGACACGTGATGAGGGATACACAGCTGACTACTTAGACGGCAATGTAACTGACCAACGGTACAACATTGTAACTTTAACATACACAGCGACCCACATATTGTAATTCAATAACTACTTGACGCCTACACCTCACACGGTGACGCCGCAAACGTAAAGCCCCAGTACCACGCCATAAATTTCTTAAAAAGGTGGTAAACATCCGCAAATATCCATTACGGTAGCTTTAGAGGAGATAGTGCCTCGTATGAGACCATAAAATCGGCATCCGTCGAGCAGTTGGAAATAAGTAGACAACATCAGCGGCTCCAAGGATACAGTCAAGATGGAAAAGATTCGAATCAACGCCTGCACAACTAACATATGCAAGTTCCGCGAACTATCTGCCATACTAGGAGACCAGTTCGAACTCGTACAGCACCCAATCGAACGTAAGAGCAACAGCCGTGAGGATTGCATGACCCACGCAGTGACGGAAACACAAGGAAAACCACGTGAAATAGTCGAACGGAAGGCAAAGGAGGCATACGCCATGTTAAAGGAACCGTTGTTCGTGGAAGACGTCTCTTTGTTCTTTAACGCATTCAACGGACTCCCAGGACCCTATGTGTAGGTTCAGCGCGAAACGAGCTCGACGTGTGCAGGAAGGACTTTTTGACATCGATGGGACCCCAAGGGATGTACCGAATGCTCGCAGATTTCGAAGTGAGACACAGCAGCACATCTGGCGCATAACTACTGCAGGACAAATCCGCCATCGCACTTTGCAGCATATGCTTCATAGACGGAAACACACTGGAAACATTTGAGGGAATGGCCGAGGTACGGTTACAAAGCATGCTTACAGCCGGCATACAATCATACAGGGTACGATCGTAGAACCGAGGGGCACCAGCAGATTCGGATGGTACGCTAAGAACACAAATAGCGCAGGCATTGGCATTTATGCCATCACTTGCTCATCAAATACTAATCGGTACGCAGGGACGGCATTTTCGAGCACAAACAAATGGGCAAGACGTACGCAGAGATGACAGCAGACGAGAAAAACAGCATCTCAAACCGGTCCAAGGCAGCCAACAAACTGAAGGTAAAACGCCATTAACACATTGCCACGTTTTACAGGAATTTCTAATTAAATACTACAAGAAGTAAAACAAACACTCTGGCGACGTGGAGGCGCAGCGGAAGGCCAGTGGCACGCTGTGTGGTCACTCACCCCTATACACAAGGTCAAGCGTACACGCGTAGCCGGTTAAATTATCGTGACACATCAATACGGTGGATAAACGGCAAAAATGGCACTCGTAGACATAGGTGGCAATGGCTGACAAGCTCTGTAAAACGGCAGCCGCGGCGGTTGTGGTAAGCATCGTAAAATGTATACACACCTGTGACTAGAATCGCGCTGTAAGGGAGCTGCCGTGGAGATCCAGGTTCGACATACTCAAGGAGCGCGTCAAACCGAGGTATATGGCCGAGTGCCTAGGCACGCCAAGGAGGGAGTACCAGGAAAACGTCGTTAACGGCATACGAATCGCACCTACATTCAATCCTTATGTCGAGTTGAACAAGGAAAAACGCTACAGGCTTGATAACTGGCCTTCCAGGTGAGTGCAAACACCCGCAATCCAGAGAATTGGCCCGCGTTGTAGACCATGTACGTATTACAATGCATCCACTGTACACAAAAAACGTTATTCACTGTTTTGCAGGAACTGGGATGATTGGAGCCCCCAATCATGCTACTTACGTGGTGGAAGGCGCCGGCATGCTGTGCCCAAGGCGTTCCTGCCAATAAAGGATGAGCTGGGAGAAGCACACCCGCCGAAAATATCCGCCAGATATCGAGCGGACATAGAAAAGCAGTACTACATGAATGGTAAGCTTTACTGGTGAAAGTATCACGGCGCGACAGGGCTGCCGTGGGTATGGAACACAGACTACTACCTCGGGAAGGTCCACTACCACGATAGGGACATACTGCACCCGAAAGTGTGGTATAGACATGCCTTCAAGAAGCAGCGCATGGAGATGGAACTCAAGAGACTCGACAAACACATGGAAGAGTACAGGGAACAAAACCGCCTGAAGAAGAGGCATGCCTACTTCGACAAAGCCATCGCAGCCATAGCCGGCGAGGAGCTGGCGTCCAAATACATCCGGCAGCGGAAGATAGCCAAAGTAGCTTAACACGAACACAGATTCCGCTGTCATAATATAATAAACACACGACTGGGGACACGTATACATACAACGGCCTTCTACACATTGGCGACTTGTCGGGGCCGAGTTGTTGGACCAACCGGCGCCGGGGAAAACATCGGCATCCTTCATACACAACTTGTGAAATATTACACGCGGCTGCTGCAAACGTTACTGAGGGCACGTTGCGCGCTCGCGTTAGGGGTACCAACTAGACGCTCTCAATAGAATCTCAGAGATGGGTCATGAGGAGCGGACTCCGCTGTATATTTCCGAATATAGTCCGTATACCGGCTGAATGTGCCGATAAGTCCATATTCAAAGCCAGCTTGCAGCAACCGACGGCCGACCTATTGAGGCAGGTTGCCGACTCGCAGATACACTACCTATCTCCCTTCGACTCTGCGGCAATACTCGACAGGATTGTGGAAAAGTCGGATCATAAAGGCATATCGGAGATACGAAGAAGTCCTTTCTACCGTCCGGTTGTTTCAAAAATCACTTCGAGCGTGCAGAGGTACCGGACGGAACTTCTATACTACTTCCTCGTCAAATTCTACAAGTTACACGACGTCAGCGCCATCAAGAGCATCACTCGCACATTTGTGGAGTCGCAGGCTGTGAAGACACAGAACGTGAACCAACTTGTCGAATTGCTCTACTACGCGGCACACCATATACCGAAGGAGCTGCAGTCGGCGCAAGTGGAGAAGGAAAGCAAGCAAGAAGCGGACGATCGATTGGAATCCTCTGAACCACACCTGTCTGTATTCTGTGAATCCATACAGCAACTGCAAAGAGAAATCATCCCGAAGGTGGCACAAGTCCATGATGGGACACTGATATACAAGCTTGTCACGACTATCACCAGGTTGCCGGAAACACAGCATACACGTACTTTGACAGGGGCATTGCTGGATAAGGGTGAGTGTATTGTCAGTATTTGTTGACATCGTTGCCCCAAAGCTGCAACAGTGGCAGAGCCTTAAGCAAAGCTTGATTGTGTTATATGGCGCTACATCTGTGCTCAGTGTAATGAATTGTGCGCCTGATTTATAACACAGTGACACCTGGTTTATAAAAGGGGTGCATGTTGGAACTGCCGGCGTGGAAACGTCCATCTGTGCCTTACTCAAACGTGTGCAGTAAAACTCCAAATTGAAAAAGGTACCTGGAATCATCAGCAACTAGTCAAGGTAGTGAAGTCTATACTGCAGCTATGGCCATTTGATCGTGATATTCTCCAGAAGGTCATACGCGCCCTGGAGATCAACGAGGACAATCTCAGTGCATCTGACATACGTACCACACTTCAATTGTTAGACGACATAGGTGCTCAGTAAGTCGTGAATAGTGACCTTATAAGGCGAACTCAGGTCTACGGACCTCTACCTCTCACTCCAAGACAAACTGAAGCTCACCAAACATCTGCAGGGTAGGGTCGATCTGGCACAATTTCAAAGGACGCAGCGAACCGTACAAAATGGAGCCGCCTAAGACGACAATAATACCGACCGAGATGGTCTTATCGCTCTCGAAAACGCATCCCCTCTTCCAAAACGACAAGGTTATTTTGAGCGAGGAGGCTGCCGCACTCATTGCCAGTACCGTCGAATTCAGACTCAAGGAAATCATACAGATGGCGCAGCGATTCATGAGCAAGAGTTGCAGATACATCAACAAACATCCGACGCTTATGCCGACCGATGTTAGGGATGCGCTCAGAACCCTTCGGATGGAAAACCTACACGGTTACACAAACTGCTACGACTATCGCTATGTCACATCTTCGAAGCTGTACAAGGGTAACAGGGTGGTAAAGCGGGAGTCAACGATGAAGAGTGCCGTGGATGAGCGATGCTGGGGAAGACAGAGGCTTAGCGAAATCATATCAACCGACATGCAAAAGGCCATACCGGCGCAGCCCGGCCTAACGGTACATTGGATGATTGTTAACGGCATTGTACCGGCCCTGGCGAACAACATGGCTCAATGCGTAACTAACGAGTTCAACCAGGAGGCCAGGCGGCAAATGTTGCAGCTGTCGCTTGACCATGTAAATTTTCTAGAGTCGACGGACGCAAGCAAACAGCTGGCTGATGTCGAAAAGCTGGCTTCCAAGATCAAAGTACCCACTCTCCGGTTGGCGTCTCGGGCCCGCGATACAGTTGATGTGGCAATTGTCGAGTCACTCCAACGACACCTTGGGAACTCCGTCGAAGGGTAAGTGAGGGTTTTTGACCGTGGTGAAAATGTGCGAGCGATTGGTGATGTTTACCTCTGTAAATTTGGTCAACTAATGTTGAACGTAGGACCGTCGACAGGAGCACAGATGACAAGGCAATAAAACTCCCCGTCATTACAATACCGAAGGTAGAGCACATCCTAACGAAGGAACAAAAGTTCTTCCTCAAGGAAATCAAAAGCATCGTCAAAAAGGCATCAAACACAATGGATCACCATATTCAACTCCAGTTACGCAAGGTCCTCTCTATACTGAGAAACTCCCCAGCACTAGATCACATCTTGCCAGATCTCGCCCTATTCTTCGTATCAGAACTGGAGCGAGATAACGAAAGTATAGAGGCGGTGCTGATGTTCGCCGAAGCAATCGCAGCAAACAGCAAGATACAGATACATTTTCACGTGCATCAGTTGGTCGTGCCGCTTCTTACTGTCCTTTTGAAACAGGACGAAGAGCGCGACCTACAAACAGTACATCGCAACCTGTGCGTCAGAAGACTGGCTGCAAAGGTAGTTTGCACGTGATATGACTGTCATCGCCGCGCAGGCTCTAGGCAATGTTTCCACCAACCTTAGGGACACCAAAACAGGTCTGGAGGGAATCGACAACTACCTCATGAACATATACAAGCGCGCCGTCCTCGACTCGAATTGCACGCTTCCCGTTCTTTACGGCGCTTTCTGCGGAATATCGCAACTGCCGCTCGCAGCCAAGCGAATTGTGTTCTTTCCCATAGTGCCCCTGATCATGCCGGTGCTTTACAAGAAACACCTCAGGGCGCACGACAAATACGCCAAGACGGGATCTAAAGTTGAAGAATTCGCCTTCATCACGTGCCAAGAGATCGTGCACCTCTCTATGATAATGCTCTACGAGGCCTGCTTCGAGGATATACTGGAGTGCATTCATGACACGGGGGTCTTCGCCGTATCGCACGAGGCGCAAATCATGATCCGGGACACGCTAAAGGGGTGCGCAGAAGACACCGTCAATCCCGAAATCTTCTTGCCTATATATTGCGCAATCCTCACCCGGTGCGCCGAGATACTCACCCCAAAGAGGGAAATAGATTCTGAGGAGGCGACTAATTCCAGGTTGCCTGAAATTGAGAACGCAGAATGGTACTACTCGATGTATCTGAAAGAAACGCATCCCGGGAGCCAAATTACACCAGTGCAACCAACAAGGCGAACGAGAAAAAAAACGCACAAAGCTGCAAAACAACCGCCACTGCCCTGGTACATAGCGCAACCAACACACTCGCTAACGCTTAGCATTTGAGTTGATTTGCAGTAATGTCATTACACCCCAGTTATTGTGAACACGGAAGATTCGTGGTGTGCATTGTGAAAGTGTAGGGACAATGCTTACATAACTCTCCACAGGACCCCAGACGAGCAATTTTGGGAGAAATGTTCGAGCATTGGATGGACAATAGTTGGTAAATTCGACTAACATTAATCTGTGCTAGCGCTTTGGAGCAATGTTATAACATGCGATAGGTCTCAGTCGCCGTCTGAGTCGTCAAACTGGACTGAATTCACGTGCGACGTAATCTCGCCTGTACAAACATGTTGACGATATTTAGTGCTATGTGTGATAAATAGATACATCCACCTACCTGAGCCTTTCCATGACGCCCGTTTTTTCTTCATCTTCTCGGTCCTAAAATTTTTCCCCTTCACCTGAACACAAATTAAGACATTGATTGACCGTTACACTACGTATTCCATAATGGATGACAATCATGTGTGTTGAAGTTCATGCGGACTGGGTTCCCAGCGGAAGGCTGCGCATCCGGCGAGCAATAATCGACGTGTACACGGCGCATTCGAATTTCGGATACGCCTTCCAACAATGTCAAACAAGTGCACAATTCATGACAAGCTTCGCAAAAAGATGCATATGTATTCATGCCACAGTTTGCGCAAAACCGGCAATACATACCTGGATGAGCTCCTGCGCCGCCTTAAGTGAGAAATCATCATTCTTCATCGTGTAAGAATTCTCCTTAAGCTCCTCTTTTTCGATGCGATTAAGCCACACTTCATCTTGGATGCGTTTAAACCGCCCTGCAACGATATTACTGAACTCAAAACAAGGCGTACCCTTGGGCATCTCAGCAACTACACTAGTACCCTGATTCTTCTCAGGCTGGGTGGGATTCTTCTCCGTTTTGGGTTGCACAAATACCAATTTCCCGGAAACAGGCTTTGCCACAGGTGTAGATGCGTCTGTGGATTCTACCTTTGGCGCCACCTCCGGCTTAGGCTGCACATCACCCTCCTTTACAATGAGGCCAGCCGCCAAAGCTTTAAAGTTGAATGCCCTCACCTCATGTGGCACATTCTCTGGGCGCAGCTGCAAGGCCATGAAACATCGAAGAAGGACGACAAAAGGGCAAAAACAACATCAAGACAGACACCCACCTTTTCGTCCCCAGCCTCTTTGCGCAGCCTTTTTAGAGTCTTAGAATAACCCAAGTCAGAAAGAATCTTGACAACTATCTGCAGTGTACTTTCCGACATTGTAGTTGGAGTTCTGTTCCCAAACGAGAGTGCCGGAAAGACGGCTAGTACTTGTCTAAAAAGCTAGCGTCAAAAAGCGCATGCTTCCGGGTAATTAGGCCTTTATATGTATTCCAATAATACACACCTATGACCTAAGACTGGTTAATGCGAGGCGGAGTGGAAGGAGAACTGAAGGCGCCTTAGCACATGGTATCGTATAGCCATATGTCGACGCGCAGCACTACACAGTTAACCGCACACTTGCTAGAATCAACTTCATAACAATGTAGATTAAGCTGTGGTCTACAAATGCAGGCTCCGACTAGTGGAGCGAGGCCGGATTCCCAGGAAATTCTGGAGAAAAGGATACAGCACCTCGCCGAGGCAGCGGTACAGCTCGCCACCACCCTTCCGTCTGTGTCTCACGCGTTGATGTAAGTCTATACACACATCGATAGTTTGGATCACAGCCAACAGCGTTGCGTGATTCCGTGTGCATTCACGAATCAAAGGTGACCTCGCTGACACTACGTCCGACTGATGCGCAATCACTCGGTGATAGCTTCCCTCTGAATCATAGAGAAAGTGGTTGACAGGGGAATGGCGGTGTCACTAAACGCAGGCTAAGGTGGTTCTTGGCGTATGATATCGCCTTGTACACCTGTGGTACAGTGACGGTTGCCTTCGTGCATGAGGGTCGGTGCGTTGTTGGCCTCTGAGCCGCATATTGTGATTACATGAGTTCCAGTTTGTGTGCTAACACTGTTGCAGGCGACAGGCACTTTGTCACCTTAAGGATGCCAACGGGTGTGAGTAGTCGAGAACATAAATGGCAAGGATGTGCAGCACTACCGGAAGACCAGCGGCGGTTCATATGTTTCAACTGCGGCGCAGTACGCTCATTCGGCGTAAATGTGAAAGTCAGGTGTGAAAGGGCGTCGAAACGGCAGCGTAAAAAGTGTAAGCCGAATTTTTGACGGATTACAGCGTCTTTAGGCCGAAAAGCCCATGCAAAGCAAAAAACGAAGGACAAGGGGCGTTTAATGCAACAGACGCATATAATCTCCCACAAAACTGTCATGGTAAGATAAATGAGACATGCACATCGCATCAACAGTCGTATGAGTGCAAGCTCTGCAACGCCAGGACTATATTCCCAGGCGCAGTGCGCACCATACCAATTAACAATAAAGCGTCGAACAAAACAAAATCAGAATCGTAGTGTGTGTAAAATTTTGAAAACAATGTCAGCTACTTGCGAACCACGGATGGAGAAGTGCTTCTTGAGCGGAGATGCGCTTCTTGGGACTAAGCGCTAGCATGCGCTCAAGGAGGTCCATGCAGCTGGCGTCCGCCTTGCCCTCGCACTCAGCGAGTGACGTGTTGGTCTTCAGTTTCGGCAACGCGGCGTTCATGAAGGGCAGGTTGGCAACATTTGGCCAGTCTGCCTCGTTGGGGGTGCCGAACCTCTTGAACATGGCTATAAGGAGGGCGAATTCCGTGCGCTCCTCGAAAATGGGCTTGCCCGTTATCAGCTCGAATATCACGCAGCCCAAGGACCACATGTCGACGGAGAAGGAGTAATGGAAGTCGCCAAGCAGCAACTCAGGTGGCCGGTAGCAAAGCGTCACCACCTCAGGGGACATGGGACTGTTCATCATCTTGGTGTCATCGCTGTAAAACAGCGGAAGGTCCACAGATTTGTGTGTTCGTGAAAGCCCAAAATCGGTTATCATCACTTTCTGGATCTTTGGTTTGCGGCCTGAATCACGAACGGTGGGCGAGCCACCAGATTCGGCCTGCGAGACGTGAAACGATCCTACGGATGAATTTGCTTGTCTGTCATACGTCGAGGCAGCCTGATCTCCTTTTAAATGGTCTGAAGATGTCTCAACGAGGATGTTTTCCGGCTTTATGTCCCGATGAATTATGCGCTTGGAGTGAATATGTGCGACGGCGTCGATAAGTTGTTTTGCGATACCCTTCACATCTTCAAGCGGCATGCCCTGCGGATAGTGCTTTTCCAAGAACTGCCGAAGGTTGCCGCCGGCGATGCGTGGGAAACTGAGGTACACGCGGCAGTCGCCGATGTACACTTTGTTGAGCTTTATCACATTCTCGTGGTTGAGGATCTTCAACGAGTGGATCTCGCGCATTATGGCAGGGGAAATGCCGCCCGTCTTGTGGAGTAACATCCGCTTGAAAGCTGACTCCTCGCCAGTAAACTCATTGCGCACGAAGTAAACCTTCCCGTAGGACCCCTCACCCAAAGTATCCACGTAACGCCAGCCGTGGACGTCAACAACTTCCTGGTCGTTGTTCATGTACACGATGACGTTTTGTTTATTCGGCCACTCAAAAGGCAGGAGGCGGCCTCCGCCGGGAGCGCAATCAGAGGACGATGTCGGCACCCTGCAAGTGCTCACCGTCTTCATGTGAGGATAGGACATGGAATTATCCATGAATCGGGCCGTTGCCGGGTGGCGGATGTGAGCGATTGACGGCATATTCATGCCCACCATACCAGACCTGGACATTGGCATCCGGGAACAAAGCCCGCCAACACCGCAAGAACATGTCACGGCGTCGGACGGCTGGGGACCCTCGCCACCCGCTTTTACAACACGTCTAAGAGCCTTGTCCGATATGTCTATTCTGCCGTTCGAGACCATACAAACGCGTTTGCCGTTCTGACCGTCCACGAAGATCGAGTTCAAGGGACGCTTAGACGGAACCTGGTGTTGCCGCAAAGCCACCGCGGCTCCAGAGTATACCGATACCATCTCCGGAGGGTAAATACACGACGTGGACTGGGCAGCATAGGGGATGTAATTGTACCCGGGCCGCGGAGGGAACCCATAGTAGCCACTAGCGCGCCACTCCACCGGGTAGCGGATTGGAGATCTCTCCTCGCCCGGCCAACGGCGACCCTCCATAGGCATATCGAGCATATTAGCAGGTTGAGTTGATATTTCAGCACACGTACGGCCGCAGCCCATCTTAGCGCAAGACGAAGTGACGCACGAGAATGGTTCTGCGCGATGCTAAGATGATTTTTCGCCACCTCGCGCCGGAAATTTTCCGCGCTAGTTCGTGCAACCTGCTCCTAGTATGCCATGCTTTCGAGGAAACGCCGAAGACAGTCGAAGAAGGTAGTCCTGGCGCAGAAGTTGCGAGATTCCATCAACGCGGCGCTGTGTAGAGCAGTCGGTGTATCTCGGCTCCAATCCCGTCGCACAGTCTCCCCGTGTATTTGTAATGTAAAAATTAATAGGCGTGGCAATGGAATCTATCCGTACGTGAGAGGCGCCAAAAAATTACGACGAACTGTGCGCGATCTCATGGAGGGTACAGCTCCGTACCCCGCCAGTCGCTTTCGAGCAGCACGTGTGGCAAAAGGGGGAAACGGATACTGCGACGATTTTATCGGCAAACTGGCTGCTCTGCTAACTTATCGCAAAGCCGCCAGAGGCAGTTGGATCCGCTGAGCGGCGTCCCACCTGGCGGCCCACTGGGCGATCCAACGCACGACGAATACGCTGCTCCAAAATATGAAACTGTCACCTCTAGGTGCTGGAAATTGCCAATTCGTCTACAGGATCTCCCAGGAGTCATGGAGATCTACAGACGACGATGCCGGTCGGTATTGTTTTCATACGTTGACGCGACGAGCCGCGTCGTACGATTTATATATCAACTATAGCAATACAGCGTGTGCACCGTATCTTATGCGTGGATTTGCTGTGGTTTGGGTAGCTTAATTATATTGTGAGAATTAGGCGAGAGTGGGTGAGGCCACGTGGCGTAGGTGACCTATAGGTCCACTCAATGCCTTTCCCTATGCCCTCGTATATCCGTAAACTCGCTATGATGTGTGCAAACGTAATATGAACCGCTTTTTGTGTCGGTTGAGCTTATTATGTTGCAGTCCCCTGGAACCACTGCAGTGTACTTAAGCTGCCACGCAAGGCAGACTCGGCCTTGCAAATACGGCGGATGCTGTATCATGATCAATTCTGCTTATTTATGCAGGAAGGGTGCGGCAATGTGGCCGAGTCATGCACGCCAAAGCGTGTTTGCTGTCTCATCGACCGAACGGTCGCCAAACGGCTGCGCGCTCATCTCTCACAGCTGCTGGACAGCAACAAGTGCTGCAGATGTGCCGAAAACAGGCGATGCGGTACTTCAGACGGTTTGAAGCATGCCCGGCACGTGTGTGCCAACAAGTGCCAAGTAAACGTCTTCAACGGCAATGTAGTCTATAAGAAACGCATATACCACATAAAGGAGCTCGCGCTCAAGACGTCAGTCGAAGTGGACCCAGCCTCCATACGAGTGCTGAATAGCAATGATGCCGTCTTCGACACAGGTAAATACGAAGTGGCCATCCTCGAGGAGGACCTGTTTTATCTGGATGTCTGCCTCTCCCTAGGCAGCACCCTGATACAGACGGCCATGAGTGGCTATAGCAATATATCAGTCGAAATGAAGCCAAAATGTGGGATGTTAAACTTCAACGGGATGCCCAGCCTGTTCCAATTATGCCAGCCGTACAAGGCTCGCATCAGGTACCAGAATATCGTGCCCACACAGACGACAGTGAAGAGTGGTCTGAAGTCAGGAAGGGATAGAAATAGGCCTGCGACTTCGATGTATTCGCCCATAAAGTTCTTCAGAATGAAGCTTGAGGATGTCACCAGGGAGCTGCAACTGTTGGCACTGGCGCCACAAAATAACATACGCGTCTTCGTCGACAGCGTCGAGGTCGATCCGGCAATTTTGTTGACGAACCGCCACGCGCTGGAAAGCGTTGCGCGATGTTTGGTGGAAAATAAACTAACGATGGCGAGAATACTCAAGCTGCAAGCGCTGGCATCAGGACAGCAGTTTGTGGCGAATGTCATATATTCCCTCAGAGACTTGGTGGCACGCCTGGGAGGAAACAAGAATGAGGTGAAGCGCAGATATGGGGACGGAATAAAAGCCAGCACTATCACAAATAATCTTATGCTCACGTCAAAGGAGCTCCTAGAAAGTATATTTTCCAACCACGACAGCGCCTACAAGATCCAGAAGATGTTTAACCTTATCGGACGCAAGCTTATATGCTCATTGTGCAACATGTTAAGGGTGTTGCTATTAAAATCGCACGCTGCAATCCACTCTTCACGTAGAAATCTCTCTGTTGACAGAGTGGGTGTGGCAAAATGCAGAATAGGCAACGTGTCCTACCCAACCGACGTTCACAAATTGAACCGATCTCTTGCGGTGCACTCGCAAGGCAAACTTTTCAAGCGACACAGTTGCAAGGACCAAGCAGTTCCTTTGGTGACCTTCAACGAGCTAGAATGCATGCTGCGAACCATTAATCGCTCAACAAATCCAGTAGCCACGTCAGGCTACATTCATATCGCAAACCATCGAAATCACAAGGTGCAGGGAACTGAAGAGTGCAGCCGCACCGTATCCAAACATAAAGGAGTTACTGGGGAGACCAAAGTAGACGCCCCATTGGCCAGGAAGTGCGCCATGCTGCTTGAAGCAGCCGAACGGTGGATTGAATTGTACCTCGGCGGTAGAACTTCAATGGACCTGTCAGTCGTACTCAATGTGTTGTTTCAGAGTAATGGGGGAACGGACGGAAAGGGACCAAATTTCTACAGGTTCTCCCTCATTGACCTGGACTTAAAACCCGCGCATCGCATTCCCCGTTGGAAGGAAGACATATGCTATTTAATTGGCATGTGATTGTGGGCTGCGTTACGCGCAGAGTCGCGTACGCCGCCGAAGGTTGCGCCTTCAGGCCGGCCATGTGACACGTATGTAAGAAAAATTACATCACTTTAAGCTAACGTGTTCGTCGTCTCGACGCTTTCCTGGCTTTTGCGGTACTCGTTGATGTGCCAATTGACTACCGTATCTGCCAGTTCCAGGGTCAGCTTCTTTGCCCCGGATCCGTAGACGGCGCTCTGCAGACTTATGCACATCTTGGAGAGCTGCCGGCCGGAAAAGCCCTCCGTCCGCTCAGCCACGCGCGCAAAGAACTCGTCGTTGATATTGGGGTCGATTTCGAACGTTTGGCCGCTGCTTTTCGGTGACAACACGTACGTATGCATGAACAGAGATATCATGCGCTTACGCTCATCCAAACCGGGCAGACCAAACTCGTACTGCTCGTCCATGCGATCCAGCACCGCTCTGTCCAACACCTGGCGCTCGTTGGTAGCGAGAATCAGGCAAAACTCCTTGCTCTCAGTGCCAGTGTGATATAGGAAGGAAGAGAGCGCATTCCTCATGTTCTCTGACATCCCGGTGGCGTAGGACCTCCCCTGGCGCAAAAACGCATCCGCCTCATCGATGAAGAGAACCAGACCCTTCTTGGTTTTCTTCGACCACTGGAACAACTTGTTTATTTCGCTCGCAGCCTCCTCCTGCAGGGGGCCCACGTCGCCGCCTGTCATGATGGCGAAGTCTAGACCACTATTTTTGGCCACCCTGAGACTTTTTTGGGTACAGCGATGACAAACTCACGTCTTTGCGAAAAGCGTCTTTCCTGTACCAGGGGGGCCGTAGAGTAGCAGGTTACGGAAAGGAGCGCCATTCTTTTTCGCACTCACGAGGGAGTTGGTGGTCCAGGTGAGGCGTTGATGCAGATTGTTGTCAAGAACAATGTTGTTTATGGCAGGAGGCTTCCGTGGGAACATCGAAGCGGTGAAGATGTTGCGCATACCGCCCATCAAAGTCCAGCGTGAGGTTTCTCGAACTAGAGGGGGCTTTCCCAAACGACGTTCCTGCAAGCACTTAGAGTTACTCATAAAGAAACTACCAATACGCGTCCAGCAAGGCGCGTTCCCGCTCTAGCGCCGTATATCCCCAATGCTAGAGCAGTCAGGGAAGTAACCTGCACACATATGCAATTGGCCCTAACAAGACGTTACCCCGGCCGTTAGTCGCTGCTTGTCGGCAAGAAGCGACGAAAATGCAGACCCCAGCGACGAGAACGTCACATTTAGCGATTCCAACTTGGTCTGGCGTTCCTCAACGGCTCGCTCCTTCATCATTTTGACGTGGATGTCGAAATTTTTGCGCTCCTGCTCGATGCGCACGCGACCCTCCTCTTGAACACGTGCTTTCATGTTCTCCCTCTCCAGAGCCTTCTCCTCACGGATCTGGGCCTTACGCATGTTCAATATCTCCATCTCCGTTTTCTTGCGCGCCTCCTCCTGACGTAAAAACTGCTGATGCTGCTGTTGCAGCCATTCCTCATTCTGCCGGCGCTGATCCTGCAACTTCTTCTGGTACGCTTCAGCCTCCAGCTTCGCCTTGTACTGGGCCGTTATACGGTCCTGCTCCTGTTGCTGTGCCATCAACTTGCGTTTCTCGTCGCCTTCAACACGTGCCCGCTGGGCGCCGAGCTCCGTCTGCCGAAGATGCATCTGCTGGATCTCCTTCTGAATCTCCTGCTGACGGGTCAGCTCCTGCAACTTGGTCAGCTCGAACGCTTTGTTGGCGTTTGGAGACGAATCCAACATCTTAAGCGCCTTAGCGCCGCGCTCGAGGGCCGTAGGATCGACTGCATTCGGTCACATTGAGCTAGCCACGAAAACCTACACTTTCCCGTGATGTTCTTGTCATCCTTAGGCAGCGGAGGAAGTGCGCTGGAAGGCACCTGAGGGGAACCGAAGCCGAACATCGTGAATACGACGGCGTAAACGGTAAACCTTCAGGGTGATGTCGCTTCCACGGTCCACTTCAGCAACTACGTTTGAACAAACCTAGTCAGAGATACGTACTACACCCCTTGTTAAAGCATAAGTTATTAGTTGCGATGTTTGGTGCTTCGCTTGCCTCCTGGTAACGATTTCAGCAAACGCGGTGTCTATTCGATGCCACGCTTCTGCTTCTCTACATTCCACCTGATACTACACAACTGTAATGTATGCGATAAAGACACCTCCAGAAGTTTTAAAATCAATGTACTGTGCGATTAATTTGTTGTTGGACACACCCTCCCTGGTGTTGACCGTGGCGAGGAGGGCCGGCACAACCAAAGGCCAAAAGTAGATAGAACCCTCAAAAAGCGCCTTCCGCCTCAAGTAGGCAATTGACAATTAAATTAGGCGCAGCTTGTTCATACCTTACGGTTTTCTTGTCACCGCTTTCCAACAATCGTCACTCGGAAACGCGACGAAGGGAGTGAAACCAGCCGCCTTCGCCCACAAGGGGCCGTCATCACAGCCTCAAAAGGCATTCTAATCGACAACAAGGACGAATAATGAGTGACGACGTGGTTTGGCAGCTTATAAAGGACGATTTCTGCGCCTACAGAAAATGGTAGGTGCAAACCAACCGCCATCACAGGCTCAATTGATGCAGCACGGACACGACAAGCTTCTGCACCAACGCTTACAATGTAACTGGCCTCTGCGATCGTGGTAGCTGCCCTCTTGCAAACAGCAACTATGCCACTGTTATCGAGGACCAAGGTAGGTCTGCTATGATTGGTGCTTGCCAAACGTTTTGGTACGAGGGCGTGCAATATTTTCAGCTAAAACAGTAGCGTAGTGCAAACTATATGTACACTGTTGCCCTTTTGGAGTTTTAAATGGTTTCTCAGGGTCGTTGTATCTGTGCATGAAGACTGCGGAACGCTGCCACACGCCTCGTGATCAATGGGAGCGGTTGAAGCTGTCCAAGAATCTCCAAGAATCTTTATCGCAGATTAACGAGGCAACAAAAGTTGGAATCGCAGCATACCTAACACAAAAGTGCCGGCTAAGGCTAAAACGCTGGAGGGAAGTTTTGCAGAGGATGCGCAGAGAGGCACTCTCGCAAAAGACGAAGGTGGCTCCAATCAAGAGGAAGACGGAGAGGCGCGAGGCTATTCGCGAGAGGAAGGCGGAAATCGCTGCTAGATTGGACAACGCAATAGAACAGGAGTTGCTTAACCGTCTTTCAAAGGTGGGCAATATTTTTATGTCGACCATTGGTGGCAGGGAACGTACGGTGAACTCTATCAGTTCGAGCAGGAAGTCGAGGCACAGAGTGAAAAGGACGCAGAGGTGCAAACTGTCGATGGCCGCCGCTCACGAGGTATGTTTCAGCCCGCAAACCAGTGTAAACTCTCTTGTCATTTGAGGGGGAGTTGGTGTCCATCAATTGACGCGAACGTGACCGCCGTGGATATGTGCTGAAATACCAGCGACCACGTATGACGATTCACGAGTGGACGATAGTGTAACGTGGGCGCATGGCATATGTTGTAGCATTATATGATACGCTATTAAAGCTCTGTTGTTAACTGCTGTGCAGCCAGGATGCATATGGAGATCGAGTACGATGAGGATTTCGCACGCGATGTGGCACAGTAGCTCGCCACAGATTGTCGGTCAACCGCTGGCGCCGCACGCGCCATTGACCATATCCATCATCTCCAGAAATGTGGACTCGAGAGTGACACGAGGATCGCTCATGCAGGCGAGAAGGGTTGATTTCTGCATTGATATCAATGGCAAAATGTAGATGCATTTACATAACGCCACAAAGTGTTTCACGTGTAAATGGGCACACTGCAACCGTAACGGCGCAAACGAAACAAAAGCCACATACGGCATCACAGCTCGAACAGAATCGCTTTCAAAGGGTAGTAGTCCCTTACATTATAGTCACCTCGCAATCTCATGGCCACGGCGCGACCGTGACGCGACATATTGCATGCTGTGGCAATAGAAGCGATGTCATCATTTGCAAACGGCACGCAATCGTGTAATTAGGCACATTTAGTCAGCACATATTCGAACATACCTGTGCGATGAGGTGGTGGAACTTCTCCCTATGTTTCAGAAGCTCTGCCCGACCAACTGCGTTCACCTCGTCCAGAAATTCCAACCAAAAGATCGTGGGGTCGCGATTGTATGCGGACGCGAGACTCGAGACGCTGTTTTTTATAAACATTATCGTACGCAGGGTTTTCTCCTGAAATGCTATGCAATGAACGATACGCCTAAGCGGCAGGCTATCACGCCTCGACGAAACTGTTTTCTTCTGCTGCAACGAAACCAGTGTGCAATATAGCGCAACAACGTCACCACGTGCCCTGTGAGCATACTCATGTATGGACTTTTTAGTCAGCCCCACGAAAAGGCCTGGACATAGTTTCTGAGACAGCGCCCTCTCGACCAACATGTCAACGTTCATCGGCGGGACACGAAAGTTGAATGAGAAACCCCGCAGCACTGGAGACACACGATTAATTTGGCTACTTAAGAAGAAAAATGGGCGCTCATTCTTTTGCATATGCTTCGCGATAACCAACTGCAGCTCTTCAGGTAAGGCATCAACATCCTCAACAACACAGCATTTGCTCTTCTTGTTCGACAAGATATCTATCACCTTCGCGGCAGTGGCTTCGTTGGTCCGGTACTCATACCGAATCTCACGGCCGCAGAGGTGCTGCAGGCAAGGATTTTGCCACAGCACAAAGGAACAGCGAGTGCGGAAGTGTTCCGGATACGCAAGCAGTTCACTCATGGGCTTCGAGAGTAGCTGCTTGATCACATAGTAACACGGAGTTAGCAGATTGGCGCGCCCGTACATAATAACGGAAGTGTTACAGAAGTGACTGCGTTCCGGCTTCTCTGCCGAGGCATTCGCGGCCGATGCACCGACGGAACCCGCTGACACACCACTATCGGAACAACTCGGTTCTCCCGTGTTGCTCAAATTGGCGCTTGAATCATTGCTCAAATCGTTCGTCGGTGACGACGCATCGGTTGCACAAGTTGTATCCAGATATCCGCCGGTATGTGGTTCTGCAACATGTTCGCCGCTTGCATTCGGAGTGGAATCTCCTGATGATGCACTTATAAGTGGTATATACGTATCAAATGGATCCATTCTGCGCTTTTTTATAACATACGGGTCCTCGTATGTTTCCTGGGTACCACCCGTAACAGAGGAATCCTGGCTCATGTCACCCTCAGTACCGAATCCTGAACATGACTCGGAGCCCGAAGTTGCGCTATTGAATCCATATTCACCCTTGACATTTGGCGACCCGACATTTGGTTCCACAGCCTTAGTCCCTGCGATAGCTGAATCGGCAACGTCAGCATCGGATTTATCCGAGCCTGTCAATGGATCCGATTCAGTGAACACCAATTCATCTCCCGTTATTATGCGATTACAAAATGCATCTGAACAGCTGTTTGATCGCGTAAATTATGGTCTCTGTAGTCCACTTTTATTCACAAGACGCAAATAAACAATGCTCACAAGCCCACACCCACGAAAGCGAAACGCACCTATATGCCCGCCTTCGCCACGCGGCAGATAGTACATGTAGTCCATAGTTCTCTTGAGGTAATCAACTCCATTTGGCGCCACTGGCTTTTGTTCCGGAGGTGCCGACTTCGCGCGCTTGAAGTAGTGAACGATCGTCTGGCGCCTCTGCAGGTACTTCTGAGTTTCGTGAGGCTTGAATATGGGCTCCACCCCGCATTTTCGATAGGATTCTTTATGCAGGGATGCTTTAAAAAATATAGACGCCGCCTTAGACCGGGGTCCGAAGGGCGTAGACTCAAAATACCAACCACTGCGCCTTAAACTCGCAATCAAAGATGGCAAAACGCCATTATAGTTCAAATCTAACACGCGCTCCTCGACGAGTGCGTCCAGAAAGGTCTCGAAAGAAACGCCGGGATCTTGAGTCTGGCTCATCGTCGCATGGACGTAACGGCAGACACATGCGGCCCACAACCGCCGGAAACCGTTAGAAGGAAATATATTTTACAGTCCTGTAAACATTTTTCACGAGATTCTCGTATGGTGGACACTCATTGGGGGCACTGTGGTGTATTTAGGAAGATTACCTACGCGTGAGGTGTGTACAGAGAACACAGCAATTGCTGCGCACATTCTACCGAAACACCGCAAGCATATTAGCAATTATGAGTTCAATTATGGTGGTCTATTGTCTTATCTGCTTCCTCCTCTGACAGGCACTTGGAACAGCGGCATATGAAACGGTAGTTCTGCGTCAAGTCAAAATTCCCCTTGTAAGGAACCCACGCTCCACAATTCGTTACGGCGCTCTAGTAATGGTAGGGATTCCTCGATATACGCGATCGTAGCCTGGTCTCCCGCCGAAACTGGCCGCAGTGGTCGAACCTGAGAACAATCTGCCCTGTATACTGGTCTCATGTCTAACCCTGGCCAAATTGTCGTACCCATACTCAAATTCGAGATTAGGGCAGCAGGAGTGGTTCAGCCTCGAAAGCGATTCATATATGCCTACACCTAACAGGTCAGGCAACTCGACGTCGCTGCAGCGTCAAACTGTGTTACACTTGCACGAACTCACCAATCCGACACCTCAAGGCAGGTGGAATCCAGGCCTAATAGTTCATTAAAAGGGTGCTAGATAAACATTACCATATAAAATGCGCTTTGCGGCGGCCAATTCCTACGCAACATAATCGAACCGATGTCGGACACACCTCGCCAATAGCGCACCTCACCGACTCATCCTGTAACAGCTCATGCAGTTGCTCGTTTAGCGGATTCACGATCTCTATTTCAACCGAAACCAGTGAAACCTTGCCCTGTAGTGAAGTTGAGGAGTAACAAAGCGGCAGACAAACCAGCATACGCAAGTAATAATCTAAGCTGCAAAAACGATCCGCATGGCGAGGGTCAAGGCGTCTTATCAGCTGCATATGTCGGTCGAGAGACTTAGACAACAGCTTGAATGCGTCCGAAGCTCTACGCTACTCAAAAATCACCAATCTACCTCTCACCTTGTTAACCTAGCAGATTCAGATTGAGCTTCGCTGTCGCTGCCGGGTGGCAACAGATGCCTACAGTCACATATAGTTTTAACTAAATGTTTCATGGAGTTTGTTACGGACAGGCTATACACAAGCAGGGCAAGCCCATAGCTGAGCTTACCCGTAAATAACGACCATGGGAAGAACACGGAGGCAAATAAATATAGCCAGTGCTCCAGTTTAAATCGTATTCACTGACCATGGCATCTCATAGTATCCGGATAAGTTGTCCATGAGTTGTGACAGATGGCTTCGATGGTATACGACTTGTGCAACGATAGTCGCATAAATTAATCCTGAGCATACAAAGAACAGAATAATTTGACATACCCACGAAATAAAAGTTTTCATTTGTCTTTATACAATATCTTGAAAAGATTTGGAGAACTAAGGATTGCCAAATACCTATGAAAAGCAGACCAATCTTCCCGTTCCTTCGTCGTCATTTTTTCGCATAATAGTGCATGTAGCGGACGGGATGCCTGAGTATGTCCGAAGCCTCAAGATACATTATTACCTCCATGCATCCGGGTGAGCAAAAAACGTTCGTACATTTGTGACAACTGATGAATTCGCCGCAATTCGGAGCCTATAATGGATAGTATCAACTGCAGCAAGATACTCACAGTTCCGTGCGAGGCAATCACTTCCACCGCGTGATTGCTCAGCTCTGTATGTCCCCTGTGGCATCATTTATACGAATAATTGCTCGCAATGTTACAATTTTAGGAGATGATTTAGGTTGTCAATCACGGATCCAACCGGTCGATAACAGTTTGTACAGGTGATGCATGTTTTCCTGATGTCTCGTTTGTAACTGGACAAAAAAGGTTACCTTGAAAACTCGTGAATATAGGAATACAGCGGTCTGTCGATGAGCAGGTCGTTGTCCGGTGTCAATGGCCGCGTAAAAACACAACCTTTACCCTCATCGCCACCTATATGCGTCGCAAAGAGGCAGTCTTTTAGAGTTGTGAAGTTATTTTGCGGTCCCATTTAATTAAACTCCTTCTTATCGTGTATTGATTGGACGCATGTCACATTGTTGTACGGCCGCTTGTGAACGATGTCCCTCAGGGCGATGCCTCACCATGCTCAGTAATCAACAACACGGTGCCTCGATAACTACAGAATGGGCCAGGACGTATAACATACGAACACGGGAATGCGTCAACCAGTAGTGAAAGTTATATTAGTCCATACTACGTTTGGAGCAACAATGTTTGTGCAAACTACTGTCGCTCTCATGTGATGGAAAGAACTGAACCTGACACGCAGATGCCAACCTCCACGGCTGAGCGGCCGTTGGCAACCTGGTACTAGAAGATTCTCGCAGGTGATTATTTTTAATAACAACGAACTCTATTTTTCGTTCGATAAAGCCGATGCCGGAGTAGTATTACGACACTATCTCACACGGTTGAGCACGCCTGTGCTTCCTGTAATGAAGGAAGACAAACAAAGTTTGCGGGTCAATTATATTTTTTATAAGTAAAATATGTAACACACTGTGTCATCAAAACTTCGCCTGCAACAGGGTGGTTACAACTATACTACCATTTCACGTCTACCGGCAGCGCCAATTCCCTGCGGCTTCGGATATAATACGGAGTGAGACGACGCTTATACGCACCACCAACGCCTCAGTCTGCCAGGCCATCACGTACGCCTAGCGGAATATGGATGCGGGGATCACGAGTCATCTGGTAACTCCTCCAGGGGACCGGCACACTACGGCCGCTCGCCACCAATCACCCGCTACCCGCACCAGGCATCAAATCATTACAGAACACAATAGTATTACTTGAATCGGACGAGTTAATGTGTGTTCAGAAGCCTTAGACTACCAGAGTCCCCGATGGACGCCGCGTCCCCACAGGTCGTTTGACGCGGTTGCTTCCCCGGGTAGCGGGCTGCGACGGCTGTTCGGCGGCTGCACAATTTATTTTTGTACCTTGCGGCATCGAGAGGCGTGCTTGTGTCGCAGATTCGAAGACGATATCGCGGCGACAGGAAGTACTAGTGCCGTAGTCTGTACTATCGTATAAAGGTCAAAATGGTGGGTGGCTATCACGTGTTGCGTGGGTCCTGTGCGCGGTTGTTTCCCGTGAGGGTCTGTGTCGTCGGCTGGCATTGTTGTATCCGAGGGTGTGGGTGGTTTCCAGCCGCCTGAGCTGCCGGGTATCCCAGTAACGGCGAGTGTATATTGAGTTTGTGTCGTGAACAGCACTGATTGTTTGTTCAGGGTCGCGTGCGTACGAAGACCGTGAAGCGCGCTGCGCGTCAGATCGTGGAGAAGTACTACGCGAAGCTTGGTCTGGACTTCCACTTCAACAAGAAGGTTGCGGAGGAGGTGGCGCAGATCCCGTCGAAGCGTATGCGCAACAAGGTTGCCGGTTTCATCACGCACCTGATGCGCCGCATCCAGAAGGGTCCCGTGCGCGGCATTTCGCTGAAGCTGCAGGAGGAGGAGCGCGAGCGCCGCATGGACTACGTGCCGGAGCACTCTGAGGTGGACGTGCCGCTGATCCAGATCGACCAGGACACGGCTGACATGCTCAACTTCCTCAAAATCAACATTCCGAACGTGAAGGTCATCACCGCGAATGTGCACGGCGAGGGTGCCCACCAGCGCTACTGAGCGGCGCTGCGCTGGCCACCGCCAACTAACAGCGACATAATCGGCATACCACAACTAGTTCGCATTGCGTGTTTATGTCCCGGTGGCCTCTCTACGTGACTTCCAACTGCGGACTATGTAGAGGGTGTTCACAGAGCTATATCAGTTTTATATGATTCGCTGACGAGTGCGCTGTTTTATCATGATTGTGGTGTAATTTGCGTGATCTGTTTGTATTATGTGTCCATGAGAGCTTCGCACAGCCCGTGGTGTCGTCTCCGTGTCAGATCGGGCACTTTATGGCGCCTGCAGTTGCGGTAATTGGCGGAATCATGCTGTACCCTTAGGTTCATGTATTTTATCACATAGGTCGACGCGTTGAACTTTTTTTCTCGATCGCTTTCCTTCTAGTATTTTTCACCAGGTCCTACTTCCGCCTCTTACACGTCGCCGTCCCAACCAAGCAGGCTGCTAGTTACACCGATATACACAACGGCTATATCACGTACCGATACATAGCTATAATTTACAGTTACTATAGTAGGTTTTACAACACCATAAAAAATTATACAAGCGATCGGATTGCAATTTCCCTGAGTCAATTTTTCCACGTGCAAATTTTCCGCATATACCTTTTACAATCTACAATCTCACATAAACAAATAGACACTCGGATGTTTCTGATATATTATAGATTATGTCATTAATCACCATAGCAATCGGTCAGGGGGGTCTGAGCCTGCATTCTGCATTTACGCAATATGCCGCAGATTATATTGCTGAATTGAGATATTGTCCCAGTGAAAAGGCGAGCATAGAGCATAAATCCAAAGAGGAGTTTGCATCGGCATTGGACATATCCTACTTCGGGGGAAAGGGTGAGAAGGAAGATGATACCCTCCTCCCTCGTAGCATTGTGGTGGCTACAGGGATTGATGTATCCGAGGCATTTTATAGGGTGCAGCTTGGTGAGAGCGCCAAACACAGTATGATTAACAGAAATGGCAATAGAGCCAAAAGAGGATTAAACTCTAATTCTAGGGGGTGGAAGTATGATGAGGACCATGTGCTACACCTGCCAGAAGCTTCACATGATCTGTGGTGCCGAGGATTCACTAACGCTACCATACATGAGGAAAGCATTCTAGAGGTCATACGTAAATGTATGGAGGAGACAGACGCTCCTGGTGGTTTCGTCTCCTTCGCCAGTTTGGGTGGGGGTTCAGGCTCAGGCATAGGTGCATACGTGGCCAGAATCCTTTCAGATCAATTTCCGAAGCTTATTCATCTGCCGGCTGCTATTGCGCCATTTACATATGGGGAATGTGGGATGCAATCTGTGAACACAACCATGGCGTTGTCATACTATCAGGACTTTTGGTAAGTGTCCTATGTTGTGTATCACGACATACATTCTACCGGTTTCATTGTTTTACAGCGATGGTGTCCTGTTGCTACAAAATGACATTCAAGCATCGTTGTGTGCAAAGGTATTCGGCGTTGGTAGCAATTCATTTGACTGCTTTAACATGTTAGCCGCTACAAATGTCTTTCACGGTCTGCGACCTCCATCCAGCACCTGTCCCATATCTGGGAGTGTTCGTTTCGGCAATTCCTTAAATTTCATAACGGACGGTCTTTGTAGTTGTCCATCTATGAAGCTACTCAACCTAGACCTACTGCCACTCGAGCGCTTAGATGGGGTCAAGAGAAACGCTGTTAGCATACACCAGATTGCCAGCCAACTGGCAGACAGGCTAAAGGCAGATCCAACCTTAGTTGACGGCTTAAATAATGAAAAGGTGTCTTTAATAGCAAAAGAGCCAACGTCTCAAGACCCTGTTAGTGGAACCAAACAAAGGGGTGCCCAGGGATTAAAAGAGCAAATCATTATAAAGGATTTTAGCAACTACGAGAAGACCGAAATTAGTCAGTCCGATACTAAGAATTCCTTCAAACATGTGAGACACATACCAGTCAAATCTCCGGACTGTGAACATATAAAAATAACTGAAAATGGAATTTCTCTTCTAAATGCCCCCAGTACCGACGCGAAACCCACAACCTCCAGCTCGTTTAAATTAATCAAGACAGTTGGAAAGAAGCGTGCCAACGTCACCAAATTCAATGTCGTAGCAGGTGTACAAGTGAATGTTGGTGGTAATGTTAACGAGAATGTGAATCTGGTGGACCTCTATCAAGATGTCTTGTTTTGGAAGCATTCGACGCGCCCATTGCAGGTATGTGAGTAGTGTCACTTATCTTCAATATGGAGCAGGTGTCCTATTGCCCGAGCGATGTTGGTTTGTTGGGGACTACCATGTCACAGATATCCAACAGCCAGGCGGTGGTGCCATTTCTGGATTTCACCATTACAACCGCCAAAATGTGCTATGCAACAAATGCATACATGCATAGATTTAATGAAGACGGAATTGCTATGGAGGAGCTGCAACACGGCATTATAAATGTGCAAGAGTTGATGGAATCCTACGGCGCAATGAGCAATATGCCCTAGGAGGAAGTACACGCATGGCATTGGTAACGTATTCTCGCCTATTATCAACACAGTGTAACGTGTCTACGTCTGTATGTGTTTTAAGAGTTGTGGAGCGAGCAACGAACATTGTTCGCTCTAATATATTCGCTCTGTTTTCATGGTTGGTAATATCCGGCTATGTAGCGTAGTATCCAGGGTTCATAATCGGAGGAGTTTGCAGCATTTACTTATAGATATAGAATGTCTGCAATCACGCTATATAGACTAGGTGGACTATGAGAGGTTACTGGAATGCAGGGTTGGATATGCTCTGAGCACGTTCAATATTTTGCATGTTTCCATAGCGCCATCATAGGAACATGAAATGGTGATGGGCTCCATTACATTGTGATTTAAAATGTGTTTGCGATATTGAAATTTTACGTGCGCTACGTGGAGCTACAACATGCCCTTGGAAGGGAAGGCGGAGTATTTCTCGATGTCCATCTCTTCTGTAATCCTTCCACCAACAGTATGCGTGCATACGTCGGCACGACCAGGCTACCTAGAAATTACGGCACGCGTCGTCATCGACACCCTACGGAATATGTCAGTAAACATAGCCCACAAAATGAAGATGCTTGGTAGAAGCACAACGATATTGTCACGATTTCCGTTCGTATCCACTGGTGGCTGTGCATTGGAGACATGGTTGACGCCGAGGATGCCATCCGACTCCGCCTTGCGGGGCATAATAGGCGATCCATAAGAGCTACATATGCACAATCGGCAAAAATAAAGGGTACCATACATTACCATGGTGGAGACGAACTTATGGGATGTATGTTCAGAAGAGCTACTACGATAAAAGATTATGTTGTTGAGTGATACTAGGTAAAAGGATCGAGACGCCTTGCACTCAGCAGAAGCCCGCATTCCCGTAACTGCCGTGCTACCGAGCTACGCCAATGCGGCATGAGTGTAATTAAACAGACGCTGGGAACCGTCTTTGGATTTTTTTTCCCATAGACAGTGCAGTGGATAGAGATTATGTACATCATAATGGCAATGACTACATTTCATAAATTATGAGTGATTCGTGAGAATTCTTGCTGCCGATTCACTGGGGATCCTGAGTCAGATTCTTTTTTTGTTTTGTCTTTTTGGCAACTTTTTTGCAGCCTTTACAGCTTTTGCGGCCGTTACAACGTTTACGGATTCTTCAGCTTTTATGGGCTCCTCCACAGATTTTACACCTTCATCGCCTTCAGATTTCTCAGCATCTAAGGTTTTCCGCAGACTCTCCAGCTTCCACATGTTCTTCAGCTTTTACAGATTCCACACCTACGGGTCCTTCATTACCCGATCCATAGATAGCCCAGAAGTCAGCGAATAGGTGGAGCGTGTCCAATACATCTATACCCACACCGCTCAACGCTTTGACGACGTCTGAACGACGCATTTTAGATCGGCATTCTGGCTTTGCGTAACGTAAAGCCTTCAACAAAGCTTCCAAGTCCTTCTGCGCCCTAGAAGGCAACCATTCAAAGGTGTCAGCATCGGTCGCTTCCCACAAAGACACTAGCCCTGTGTACAACATTGGTGCAATCCCCACGAAGACTGCAGCGCATTCTTCCGGCTTTTTAGAACATGATCCACTCCACGTCGCTTCTGAACTGTAGGCAGACTTATATTTGCCAGGTACCTGTATGTCTTTCAGGAACTTCTCACAAGCATTCACAGATTTAGTCAATCTCGCTGCGATGTTTTCAGCAGTGATACGCCATTCGTTTGCATACTCCCCATCAACGCGTCCGTCGAAGTCTCCAAAGAACGGTGCGATGCTATCGGGTTTTTCATCTCTAGGTGTATTGAATCTCGACAGCATCAGTTTTATGGGCCGCCTATTCTTAAGCCCCTCTTGTTCCAAGAACTCTTTAGTAATGAGTTCAACTTTCTTGTAAGCTGGCAACTGGTTAGAGTCATCCGGCTTCTCTGAGAGAAATCTGTAGGCTGCGGCACCCAAAGCCGCCAAGTTCTTCTCAGCATCAGTTCCCTTCAGGGCGACCAACCAGTCAATACCCTCCCTGAAATCGCGAGGAGCGTCAGTCAACGAATCATACACCATTTTGTAAAGATTTGTCGTGCTAAGCGATTGCTATAAGGGTGTGGATTTTTGATCTATTTACAAGCCTAAGCTTTAAACGGCTGTGCGCTAGTGGCAGATTAACGAAAGTGCTGCTCAGACCTGATAACTATGCGTTTTATTGAGATCTACGAAGCCGTGTGTATACGAAGTGGGAGGAGGCGCGAAGACGCCTGGGTCTTCCATGGCAGCCAGATCCATACTATTAATGTTGCATGCAGTATCCACCACGCATGTCATCATCGCCGTCAAATTCCAGACACGAGCGACACATACCAAGCCTGGCGATATAAGTATTCCTACCGCTACACTTCAGGATGTTAGATGTCACCATGGGCTGAGGTTACCGTATTACCTTTTACGTCGTCCCATGGTCCTCACGCCGTACAATGTCCCGGAATAATCCAGAATCTCTCCCGTGGGCCCCCCTTCGAAAATCGTATAGTCATCGATCTCAATATCAACATGCCATCTACGCGCCTAATTAATGTCACTGTCTTAATGATCATGGTACTCCGCAGCTGTCGAAATGGATGACCGCTCAGCTTCGGTCCACTGCTACCGCGGTGAGGCGTTGCCTGCTTTCGCATACCGGCCGCTGTTGCGGTGTCTAAATACTCTGAGCGATGTCATTAGGTGTCATTTGATTAGGCGGAGTTATGTGAGTTGCGCTCGTGATGGAGCCAGCTTTCCGAGCTCGGCGGCACGCCACATTGTCACCTGTGACCCCCGCGTACATAATTGCATCACATTAGCAGCACGTTGGTATGGTTCGAAGAAGGTTAAGTTAATGCGATCATTACTGCGACAGGCCAAGCCGTCCCATAGGTTCGTCGTCGAAATAGTCGACGTTGCGGTACAGTGAGAGCATCTTCCTCCCGTGAGTGAGGAGCGCCTTGACGTCGATGAGATGTGAGGCCCTGGTCGTGAGGAGGTGCGAGCGGATGCGCAATACGTCCAGGCGGTAGAGCATCGTGTGGGCGAGGAAGACCATTGCAACAGACAAGAGTGTAAGCTGAGTGTAGATGAAAGGCCCCCGGACTCTGTATAGGAATGCGTCCATGGCGGTCATGAGGTTTGCGATAGGCTCTCCGGCGACCACCTGCTCCAGCTTATCGATGACCTTCGAACACGTGAGTGAAGGCTGCGGACTCCCGTCTGGCGGCGTGAACCCGTGAGTGTAGAGGAGGGGCATAGCACCTTGACAAGCGTAGAGTGATGTGCACTTGGTATTATCATGCCCCCTTAAATCTACGCTCAGCTTTTCCAGTGACTCGTGTAGTCTGTCGGGTAGGTACACCGCCCAGCTAAGGTAGGTGTGGGCGAAGCTCGGGGAGTACAGGGCATAGGCCTGGTAGGTGATGGGAGAGAGAAGTCGTGTGCAGTTGGCGTTAGTGATGCCGCAGCCAAGCATTGTGGACAGGGTCTTGGGATGGTCCTTGTCGTGGTTGTGGTTGGAGTTGGAGTTGGGAGTGGCGGAGCCCCGGGCGTTCCTGATGACTCGGAGGTCGGCGTCACCAAGACAGTCCCAGTCGGGGCAGTGGCCATGTGGCTTGGAGAGGGCGGTGCCCAGCTTGGACAAGTCTGAAGACACATCATGAAGCTCATTCCCAAAATTGTGGAAGAAAGACACAAGCTCCCCGGTGGTGCGCGGCGTCCGCTGGGTGAGGCAGTTGAGGTAAGAGGCCAATGTCAGCAGGGGATCATTACCGACACAGGTGGGGGATAGGATGGTGTGGAGGTGTTTGCCAGTTTGTGGGTCATTCGGCAAATCCTCATTCCGGAATCCCATGGTGACACGGCTCTTGAGGCAGATGTTGCACGGGTCGAAGGGATGTGCATTGAACTTGGAGTGTGATGCGTCCGTCATAAAGGCCTGTAGGGGGGACGGCATCTTGGCATCACGGCCGTATTGACAATCGCGCCAACCGCCGTTTATTTTATTCCGAGAACATTGCGACTTCAGGAACGCCAACTGGTGGCAGCAGGCGTAGGCGTAGTCGCGCAGATGGCACATCAACACGGCGGGGTCGGAGGAGTAATAAAAGGCATAAGTCTCTTGCTTCTTGAAATAGGTCTTGAAGTCATCGGAGATGTCTTTGTACTTGAGCCTGTATAGAACGCTGGCTGCGTAGTGACAGGCCTCGGTCAGTTTGGCGGTGACATGGAAAGCAGTCAGCTGAGTGGGATCCCCAGTGACATCGAGGGCATCTGAGAGCTGTGAGACATCCTTGTTAAATTCCTCCAAAATGCCTTCGACATGCTCCTCGATGAACTGAATATACCCATACTGTGTCAAGCCGACCAGCCAGTGGAGCATCCCCCGGACGTCTGTCGGCCGGGGCAGGTGATCCGAGGCTGGGGGAGGGGAGGGTGTTGGAGGGGTGGTGACATCTGAGGAATCGGGGACGTACCAGGGGTTTTGGCATTGACCAGTCTCAGGATAGATATCAAAACCGTAGTTCTTGAAATTCCCCCAATTACTCGGATTATTGTAGTCTGCCGCGGCATCAGAGTTGGGGTATGGCGGTGGCAATGGCGGTGGCAATGCCGTAGGCAACCCGGGGTACGTATCATACGGTGAGGCCGGATCTATGAGATGGATAATAGGTGGTGGGTGTGTCCGGGTAATTTCAGACTTTAAAACATTATCCTGCGAATTGAAGTCCTTGACTTCGATGTCTATCGGATATGGGGGTAGTGGCGGCTCCAGATCAGCGGTAGGAATAGATGAACCATACTTTTTAAAATTGGGACCTGGAATGGTCCATCCACTGATCAGAGCTGGTGGTGAGGGTAGCTTCATGTCCTGAGGCATGGCAGCTCTGACGTCGCTTTTAGGGGGATTCTTCAGGTTGATGGTAGATGCGTTCAAAATGCCATCACTTGCCTGGTCACGTCTTATGGTGAGTGGTAATTTAGTTCGATTGGGGCCATCTGGCTCCGTTGGATTGTAGGTTGGGTGAAATGGTGGCAGGCGATGTCCCCGGCTCGGATCCGGTATAGGCTGGGACATGATATCCGGAATCGATTGTGAAGGCAGCGGTTTTATTGATGTTTTGAGTTGCTTTATAGGATATCCCATGGGCACGTCAATATTGCTGGATAGAGGTGGGAACGTGGATTCCCGAATTCCAGTGGAGCCAGACACTGCCTCTCCTTTGAGATCAACAGGCTGCATACCTGGATGTATAGGCGCGACTGTAGCCAGTGGGTTGCGTTTTGCAGTCCTCTCATTCATCTCAGCAATGACTCTATCAGCGTCGGGATACGTAGGCCTGCCGGGATGCTCGTTGAGATTTTTCGTTTCGATTTCCATTCCCTGCAATAATTTGCGTTTATATTCCTCCACTGCCTCTTGGTATTTACGTTCGGCCTCTTTCCTTCTCTGCTCTTCTGCTTTTTTCTGCTCCAACTCTAATTTGCCTTGTTGCACTATCTTTTGCATTCTGTGCGCAGCATCATCGTGTCCTTTTCTCAGTTGCCCCTCGTCTCGTCGTTTTTCCCATTCTGAGGTTGCATTTTTTTGTTGTTCGTCATTTGATTTGTCGACTTTTAGTTTAACCATTTTGTCCTCAGCTTCCCAGTTCCACTTTCTAACTTGCTGCTCGGCTTTAATTTTCCTTGAAATTTGCTCCTGTCGTTTTTTACCAGACGTATCCTCTATGACGGTCCCAGTGATATCGGAGGGCACAAAAGCCGTGTCAACGTCCCCGGCATCCCTCCCCTGTGGAACAAAGGGTGGACGCTGATTAAAACGTCGCGCATCGGCAGGCTGAAGGGAAGGTCCGGGAGCAGGAGGGTTGGGCTGAGTTGGAAGGGTGGGAGGAATTTGGGATTGGAGAGTTTTAGAAGATTGTGGTTTATATTCCGGAAATGTTTTCTTTTGAGATGCCCATATTTTTTCATCAGCGTCTGAGGTTTCAGTGAACCTGAACGGAATCTTTTGTCTGTTACGTTGTGGAGCACAGTAATCATCGGGGTTGTTCCACAGTGTACCCAATTTACTATCTTTACACTGTTTAACGCCTGGCGCTGCCGGATGCTGTGGAGACCTTCCTCCAGCTCCACTCCCACCTTTACCGGGCGCCAAAGCAACCGACGTAGTAACGCCGCTGCTTGGATTCTGATCGGAGGCTTGACTGGTTGGTTGACCAACACCTTGACTACCTCCTAGCCCACCACCTTTACCGGCCCCTCCACCAACATCTTGACCATTAGTTGGCCCAGCGTCTTTACCTGAAACACCCGGAGGTTGAGGATGCACGGTGACTGACGAGGTAACAGACACTTGACCTGGAGGATGACCGGACGTTGAACCCTGACCCGTGGCACCCGGCTTACCAGGGGGGGCAGGGCCTCCAGGAAGAGGGGGAGGAGGAGGAACTGGCGGGGCAGGTTGAACACTTTGCTTACCTGATGTATCGTGATCCTGAGAAGACACCGGATCCCCAGGACCAGGAGGCCCCGGCTGGCCTGCAGCGCCTTTAACATCGGGACTAGAAACTGCAACAGATGTGACTGGGGAACCTGGAACCGGAGATGATACCGTGGCCCCCGTACCAGGAGGCCCTGTCGTGCCTTGATCACCTTTAGGCACTGGTGAACTAGAATTTTTACCTGCTTGATCTTTCTGCCCGGTAGTCCCTTTTGAACCTGGAGCTCCTTGATCACCGGGAGGCGCAATTGGAGCTGGAACAGAGTCTGCAACTGGTGGAGCTGGAGGCTTGTTTTCACTTTGACCATTATTTTGATTTGCAGTTGGCTGAGGCATTGCGGCCACAGGTTTTGTGGCCTCCGTTTTAGTGGCAGTCGGCTTCGCCGCCTCGGCCTTGGTGACCACAGGTTTTGCAGCCTCTGTTTTAGTGACAACGGGCCTTGCGCTGTCAGTTTTAGTGGCAGGCGGGGGCGTAGGCGTTTTACATGATTTATTATAAGTTCCGTCCAAGATTTGTTTAAGCTTATCCAAATCGACGTCCATTTTCTTAAACCCTTCGATTACATCACGCCAATCCGTCATCAAATTCTTTACGTCCCTTTCCGGAATATTAAAACGCTTTTTTACATCTAATCTGAATCCGTATGGGAAGAAATTATCGGTAAAATATTTGCCAAGATTGTCCTTATTGGGCTTGTCGATGACACCGGATCTCGTATCAATTGGGTTCAATTTTCCCCGCACTGTGGTCAGATACATTCTAATCCAATTCGCCGTCCGCTTCGCCAACTCTTCTTTTTGCAGGTTTTTAAGTGCCGTAGACAGCCCGGTGAAGTCGAAGCGTTCGGGCTTGTTGAAGAGCGTCGTCAATTTATCTCTAAGCTGAGCGCAATGCGCTTTTAGGTCCTTCCAGCATATGGATTTCGGGGGATTGTACTTTTTAAGGTCTTCATCCAAAGCTGCTTTCAAACTTGTACCACCATCTTTCTCGTCCTCTTCTCTCACAATATCACAGAAAGTTCTCACCAACGAGAGAGAGCTCGCCGTGTTGGGAGTAGCGGTGCCACTACTTAAGGAGAAGACCGAACTGACAAACACGCTGCGGAAAAAATTGTAGTGCTCTTTGCTCAAAATTTTTTGTAGGTCGAAAACCATAGAATAACCCTGGTAGTAATCCCGCCATTGTGAGTAATATCTCACCTCACCATATGTGAACCCTCCGGGTATGATGCCACCGTACTTATCGCCTGATTCTGCTCTGAGATATTTCTGCAGGTCACCCCCCCACTCTTGTTGCCAAAAGTGTTTCACCCATTCTTTCTCATACCCTGGAAAATTCTTTTGCCACCCCCCGCCCCCAAGTTTATCATAACTAGGATCTACGCAGTACTCCAGAAAATATATGGCAGCAAGGAACTTGGGGATACATTCCAGGAGAGCGTTGGCTATGTCCTCTGCGCTTTTAGTGCCATAACTGCCAGGATCTGGATTGTAGCACAATCGCTCATAAAACGCTGACACGTGGCCAAGGAAATCGGACAACGCAAATTTAACCTTGTCTACTGTAAGAAATGAGGATTGAAAATAGGCTTTAATACGGCTTTCCAGATTCTGGGACACCTGGGTTTTCATACCTGTACCAGGACCGCTATGCAACCACTGCAGGAACTGGAGACAGTCCTTGAGAGTGTTGAGAGGAATGTTATGCTTCTCCATCTTGCTTACGAAAGCACGCAGCACAGACACTAATAAATAAGAACTAGGCTAGTCGTACAAAAGTACACGTGAAAGCGTTTTCATGAACTTCAAAAGAGGGGAGTGATAAAACCTCTAAGGTGACGCCGCTTACAATACAGCGTGGCCAAACCGCTAAGTGGACCGAGTGAATAGGCTACAAAGTGTAACACTGAGTGACAACTAAGGGCGGCATGGAACTAAAATACAGACCTCGGGATCTCAGGCTAAAATGCTCCATCGTTTCCCCGTAAACTACATTGAAAACACGTGAATCATAAAAATGTACGCTCACCTGAGGGGAATGCGGTGAGCCCGGGAACCCAACAAACCGGGTTCCCGAGTGGCGTGAAAGACTGGCGCACGGTGGGAAAGTGGCACGCCCCATGAGGGTTCTGGGTGCCAGCCAGGATGCCCATCCTGACTACGCATCGTGATGTGGCCAACCCTTCTGCTGTAGTTGTTCGGGTACCAACCAGGCATCCACCACCAAGGTCACTTCCAGGTATACGACAGCTGCGCGCTTAACACCACAGAGATGCCACTCCCAGCTGGCCATCTATATTGCAGACCTTACCCCATATTCAGCTGGTAATACGTCTGTCAGGTTGTAAAATTACGCATCAATGACGGCATATTTAGCATCGCTTCCCAGTGGTGAGAGCCTTAAAATGCTACTGGGCGCATTCCTGGTACTCACCTCCCACCTGGTAGTTGCATTGTGTCATCCATCCAACGGCACTTCCAACTTCAGTTGACTACCTAAACACCTCAATCACTACGAACAATCCCACATATGATACTCAATTTCTGCGTGCTTATGATGTTAACACGGAACCACGTAACCTGGCCACGCCCCACTTCCCAGCCTTGCTGAGGTCGAACTCCTCATTGAATTGCCTCGTGTATAAGCTTGTTCACCCACATCAGTAACTTACTTTATTTCTATAATTCTCATCTCCCTGCTGACACCCGAATCACAATATAAAGTACAACCGTGCTTTCCCTCACCCATCCCATCAGGCTGTGTGGTATGCGACTGAGTTCGGTGACACCTTGAAAATCGCACTTGATAACTGCCAAGATTATTAAAAATAGCCTTGTAAAGCAGCTTATCATTATGTGATCTGTAAAGATGTAGCAAGCATGTGAAAGCGTTACTCTGCGTTCCCACCGGTAATCGAACGTGGCCAAGCAGACGCTGGCACAGTAAGCAATCAGCGACATTAGGGGAGTTACTGCAGTCGGGTTTTAGGTTCCAAATATCACCAGTTGTTGTGTATTGAGTGCGTTGTCAATCTGATAACATGAGAATATTTCTGCGAAGGATCGTACCACACCTCCCCCATTGCGGTGGCGCAACGTGAACAACTAAGTGTGGTCACGAGTAATTCCATGAGAGTACTCATCGTGGTCAACACCTCTTATAGGTGATTCAAGTAGTTGTGACAACGCACAAACATGTTATTAAATTGACAACCGCAATCACAACGTCATAGCCGAAACACATGCTAACACGGGTAGACACAAATCACCATAGACGCCAACATCGATAACAATGAAAGTAAATTAGTTTCCGCACTGTACCGACGGGTTATTACATTTGCGTTACTCATTACTTTGAGTAGTAATTCTCGATCTGGATGGTTGAGAGAACAATACCCTTTGTGGTCACGCAGCGACACTCCAACGGAGGCGTTTGGCGCAGGGTCTCCCCAGGTCCTACAAGAGAACCATCAAAACTCAGAATTACGAAGTGGTTGGATCGCGACGCTACCAACGATTCGCTGATGTCACGAGTGTTCTTCACTATACCGCCGACGTAAACATGGTTGTGGCAATTGGGTGGGTCCAGGAGGTACGGTGCTGGGCAGTAGAACGCCGCCTCGCTCGCAACGTGAAGATCGATCTTGCAACCGAACTGCGGCTGCCCGTTAGCGTCGTAGAGTTGGGGCGTCTCCGGCTTGAACAACTCGTCCGATGCGTACGTAACGCCGCAGCCTTGCATATACGGGTCCGTCGTCTCGACTTTGACCTTAACGATATTCCAACTGTATCGTGACGATGATTCGGTAGTTCGGCGAATGGGCATGGTAGATGCGTTACCAGTGACAGTGGACAGCTCCGATGCCTCGGGCGTCTTACCGCAGACGTACCTAATGGGCACATATTTCTTGTGAAGCGGATCTTTAGATATAAGAATGGCGCCTCTATGCGATGTGATCGTCAATTCCTCATATTCTGGTAAGTCTCTGTCATTACGGTGAACGACTTCCAATCCCGCAGGCGTAGCAGCAATGGTATCTTTCCATGGCGTTCTAATAAGTTCACGCCCGTGTGATGTACGGGCAACAATGTAATGAAATTCATCAGGTTCCTTTGGCAGCCACGTGGTTTTCATTGCTCCATTATTACCAACATTTTGGAGCTCGGGACCAAGTTCACAGGTCATGGACAACCTTGCACCCACATCTAGTTTAACAGATTTTTTGTACGTATTCTTCAGTGTAATCAAATGCGTTGATGTGGGTCCTTCAAGCAATAGTACAACCTTGTGCCAAGTCAACGAGATGTAGGAAAGCAACGTGTTAGACGCCCCTTCACGGCGCACTTTGTAGATATAAGTTTCTGTATGGGTATGCCCTAGAATAAGCCTCGAAGTCTCGTAGCCACGGCTATCAACACAGATGCAGGCGTAACTGACAGGGATGTCGTGCCTAAAGTCAAAGTCAAACACCTGGAATCCTCTAATAGGGTAAGGCGTAACACTTCGTACAGACACAGGAAACGATATAGTGTGATTGGAGTATAGATCGTATACTGTAGACTTGCAGTTGCTCGGTAACAGCTCCTCATCGGACCTGCAATAAATACCGGCCTTCCAAGCGTCCCTCCAAAGATGCAATCTGCACTCGTAGGTATCCCCTACACCATTTCCCATCCGCTTAGTTGTGCAATAATTATTGCTCAAGTATTGATTAAATGCACGCCTTTTGCCCCTATCACAACCAACCTTCGTGTACTCATGGTTAAAGGCAAAGGACACGTTGATGGTGGCCCTTATCTTATCGGGAACGTTCTCGTTCCTAGATATCAGAGTCCAGTGATAAAAGAACGAGTTGGTTCCTTTACGTAACGCAAGCGGTTTGTCCAAATGGTACTTCAGTTTTATCTCCCCACGATACATTTGTGAAACATCCAACTCGAGAGCATCGCCAGCAATGGTTTTGTGGTACAATACTTCGTCGTAAAGATCAATGTCATGAATTGATTTCAGTTGCCTCAGCTTAGTCAAGTTCTTCGGTAGGAGTTCAGTTTCATATTCATAGATGGACAGCAGTTGCGAGAACGGGACGGTAGGAGAAACCCCGTCGGAAGACTGAGGATAAACATTCTGTATCGGCACTTTTATGGTCAATGTGCTGCCTGGATGAAGTACCACCGAACACCAAGGACCACGGATGGGGCGGACTTTGTTGCGGAATATCTTGCTAGTAATGTCACAGATGTACTCAGTTTTAGAGCGGATCTCAATCCTGGCCTTTACCTGACTTGTTTCGGGATCCACGCACCTGCATTCGCCATCTATGGGTGGCAATGCTAATTCATCAAAATATCGTATTACCACCCAAGGTAGATGGTTATCGAAATTCCGATAAGAATGCGGTTCGGGAGTTGCAACAACGCTGCCATTCTTATCCAGAACGAATCTCATACAATCTTCAGGTTCAATTCGTCCCTCACATAAGAATCCGATAGGTGATTTTGACATGGGATCAGCCGCACACGAACGCGTGCCAGTGTCTGGGTCGACAGTAACATCATCCGCTGCAAATAGTGGCGAGGGGCGGCTACCACAGCCTTGCAGCGGTAGATGCATATGCCCCCTGTACAAAAAAAGTATACCTATTCCTTTTCCTGTTTCTGATATTTCCTTCGTCAATGGCGTGGCTGGAGTCCAAGGAAACTTTTCCATGAAACGTGTGCTATTATTGATGCGGTCGACGTGATGTTGCAGTGTATCACTCAGAACCAATTTTTGCGGAACACAGAGGAAGATCAAACGGCGTTCGGTTATGACGAACGGTTCTTGAATTGGAAAATATAAATGCAATTCTGTTTGCGACTCTTTGGATTCCAACCGTACGATATTACCCGTGTATTCAGTTCTTATCACATCCGAAAAAGCAACGGAACGAAACGTACCTTCATCACTCACGTATGCGCTGAGATGGGCACTCTCATACGATGTTGGTTGAGGGTGTAAGACGTAATCGGTGTCGTTGATTCGGCGAGGGCAGATCAAAATTACGGACTCAAACTTGTCGATATCCATGTAACACCTGGCAACAGCATTGCTGATAAGTAATCCATGTGGATCTCCAAAATCACAAAACACTGCGCCAATAGGTCTCATCAAATAAAGGCTTATTGAGCAAAATACCAACGCATGTTTCGTCACCCGATATATACCCATTGTGATTAACGGCGTCGGCTACAATGGCTAACGAAGCCCCTAAATTCTTTACTGCCTTGCAAGGTCATGCAGTCCAAATAACAGATGTAATGGAACCGTATCACGCATTTATAAAAATTGATCGATGTCTGCTTGTCAATGGCACAATTTTTGCAAGGTTGACAGCAGCTGTCTGGATGCTCACCAAAGAATTTTCCTTCACCTTTCACACGGAAAGAATCAACAAATGTAACACACGGATGCTATGAGAGGCATCAATTTTTAATTTCGAGAAATGTTACGTCTGCATTGTTGTTAACATTCGATTCATGGAGGGATCATTGCACCAGCCTACCGGCCAAACATAATAATGGCGTACGAAGACAACAGCACCACCATAGCGGAGATCGGGATTGCCAACTAACATAACACTGTTGGAATAAGAGAATCACGACTGTAAAGGATCATGCTGGCCAGACCGGATGGACTGTATCATGGAGAACACCCGCAACATTCGGCAACAGAACGACCTGGAACCCATATCCTACACAATCAGCGTGAGTTTTTAGCCACGTCAACACGAAAGGCGGCTCACACCAGACGCATATACTTATATAGCAGCAGGCAAATAGGAACAGAGCCTAACGCTACGGATAATTATGACGCTTGATAGTTGATAAGTTTTTGTGTTACCATAATCGTTTATAACCGGTATGAGTGACAATAACCCCAACTAAGATGTTGAATTAGAATCACGTACCGCTACACGTCTGGTCCATCTTTCGTTTTGCCAGAATGAGGAAGGTGCCACATTGCCTTTTGAGTCTGTGCTCACACGTTTAGAGACCGGCAACGTTATTAATAAGCATTAACGTGCCCTAGGCGGTACGCCGTGTTGTAATTCACTGACTGCAGTAATGTTGGTGATCGACTATGCCGGCAGTGGTTGTCTGTTGACCCCACGTTAGGAGTGGAAGAAGGAGCGGCTTCATGTGCTCATAAAATCCTCACAGCGCACTACAACATATGCTTAGCAACGCTACACTGAGTCATGTTAATTGCGAGGTGCAGGTTTTCAGGTGTCACATGACTCAGCCAGATAACATACAGCTTGGTGGGACGGGCATGGTTAACTGCTCAATAGGCCCATAGTACGATGCTGATCGTTCGGGAACTATTAAGATGTAGTAAATGTATTAATGCAAGAACTGGGTAAACAACGTTCGGCAAAACCCTCAGCTCAAAGATGAGTGAGACCTCGCCAGGGGTGGGATATGAGGCGTAACGTCAGATTGCGTTGTCCTATTTTAACACAACGCCTATACGTCATATGTAACAGGTATAAGCTACTTCATTTGTGATTTTACCAAATGCTGTCATAACACTTATCTGATAAGTCGTCGGCTAGAGGACCCAAGGCGCCCATCGTTCCGTCCAGGGGCTTAAGATGGTCTCACTGATTGGACCTAACAGACAACTTATTGTACAATGTACTTTTATACGACTAGTTATTGTTGCAGTGGCCAAGCTGTAATAGTCAGCGGGGTCGTCCAATAGTAGCATAGTGCCGAGATCAAGGCAGTAGCGTGGGAGAGGCGTTGGGGCATCTGCGGGGCGAGTGAGGAACATCACAGTGGTTGAAATGTGGATGTATGCCTACGTGCGACATTCTGTGAATCTACAGTCTTTTCTAAGTGTACGCCGCACTTACTGGCATCTATTGTTAATACTGTGGGAAGCGTTGAAGTCGAAACCCCGGACTGTACCCCAGCAGCCACTTCGCGGGGCGCCCCGCAAACATGGTTACCCTTTTGTAACCCCGAAAGCCGTGCAATGCGCGTGATCAGTGGCAGCCTGAGGGGTGTATAGACATTTTGATCGGATGGAATGCAACATAGTGTAATTTGATTTACAATACGTTGGCACACTGGCATATCAACACGCGTGTTAGTAGTGGATATCAATGGTGTGTCAGCGCAGTTAGCTTTGGAAACACTCTTACAAAAGCACACCTGGACGGTAATCTGGGCGTGTATTTCAATTTAAAGAGGAGTTTATGGTCTCAAGGCACGTTGCTAATTATTTTGCGATATGGCTTCTTAAATGGATGAGCGTGAGACGGAGGTGCCTGCCGAAGATGAGGAAAGGGGTCTGTCAAAGTGTGTTTCTGTGGGTGGGGACAAGGATGGTGAAGATGACAGGAGAACGGACAAGCTAGAGCAGGTGAAGGAGTGGAAGAAGCGCTGGCGAAGGAACTGGCCAAAGGAGGCAGAGAAGTTGGTTGATCTGTTAGAAAAGTTTATGTCACTGAATGTATACTGGATGAGTCACTGGACTATCTCCGGTTACATAGGACCTCGCATTTTTATGTTAGACCTGAAATTGCACCGTCAGGCAACGATCGTGACGGCGCTAATGTTAATCCAGACGCTTAAGGTGGCACAGACCAATCGCAGAAGCGGCAGGAAGAGTTGAGGATGTAAACGAACGCTATACTGAAAGACTTAGTTGATCATTGCCAGTTATATGAGGCCTCGGATTTGAATCTTAGACCAGGAAATTCGACTTCAGGCAACGGTCGTAACGGAGTTACCGCTAGTAACAACTATGCAGTTCGTATCGTGAACCAAGTTGAGCGTGTCATGGATCGTGTGGACTGTATCCTCGAGCGTATGGGGGGGTGCGAATAATAACGGAGCGGCTACTGTAAGCGTTACAGTTACTGAAGGAGATACGGATGTGGAAGACGATATGGATAGTGAAGGATATAGCCATTCTATCGGTGTTTCCATCGGTAGTTCCAGCGGTGGTCTCATCGGCGTTATGATCTTCGGTATCATCGGTGGTATCATCTTTGGTCTCATCTGTGGTATCATCTTTGGTCTCATCTGTGGCTTCATTGGTGGTATCATCGGTAATCTCGTGTATGGTTTCCGGCATTTCACCTGTCGTATAGAGCCTATCGTCGATCGTACGGAGTGTATCCTGGATCGTATCGATGGTGTGGAGCGTGGGCATAGTAACGAAGCAGGCAGTAACGATTCAAACTGTAAAGGCGATAAGGATACTAGAGGCCATAGCGGTCGTACCGGTCTTATCCGTCGTATGGTTCGTATACGCTATCGTATTGAGTGTATCGCTGACCGTATCAGTATTATGGAGCGTAGGCATGCTGACGAAGGAGGCAGTAACGAGGTCGGCGGTCTCTTTGGTATAATCACTCGTATCATGGTTCGTATCAACTATGTTATCATCCGTAGGCGTAGTCGCGAAGGGGATAGTAAATGTGATCCTGATTGTAGAGGCGTCATGGATGGTCAAGGCGAAAGGGGTAATGAAGGTGAAGTGAATAGTGAAGGCGCCACGAATGGTGAACGGGATAACAATATTGGAGGAGCTACCGATAGTCAAGGCGGTACAGCAGGTAAAACGGATATCGGTCGTTTCATCAGTCGTATCGTCGATCGTGTGCGTCGTAAAGATAAGGGTAGTGAAGGCGGAAATGGTCATCAGGACGTTCGCCATGGTAAGGATCAGTTTGTGCCTCAAGTCGCATGACTACAGAGATGAATAACCGTTTGGAAGAGCTTTATTGCAGCGGGAATTGCTGCATCAATGAGGTAGCGTCCAGTCCTTCGCGCGCCGAAATCTGGCCGGAGCAATTGCCGTTGGACTACGTTCATGAATTCTATTTTAACATCTATTACGCTTCAACCATTCTCTACGATTCCTTCCAGGCACCACTCACGTAGCACACATAAATGGCAACTAGAAGGTAATATAATAGATGAGTTCACTGCAGGATTCATTTTGGGGCACAATGTGGGTCACCAAAGTCTATTTCTCGCTAAGGTACTGGTCCATCCGTTAGGTGAGTGTACAGAATGCGAGTGATTGTTTTGACGCCTAGAGCGTGTGAAGTGGGTGTCCATGGATGACATTCTACGATTCTGCGGTATCCTACTCCAGCGCCGTATCCCACGCAGACACTTGCTATACCACTAGTAGCGTGGCAGCCGGATGCGGTGGCACAAAGAAATGTTATACGGGAACGCGGGCAATTGCAGTTTAGGAATCCCGACGCTCACGCTAACATCCATAACTCAGGATTCCCTTAGGCTGTCTAACTTGCAGCCTAGAGCTGCATAGTTTGCAACGAAGCATCTGGAGGTTAAAGCTGTGCCATTCATGCACAATCTGGCAAAAGACCCAAAGGCCTACGTATCTATGCGACACATACACATAACATCGTATGCGCATCCAATCTAATCCCAAACACCGTAACGCGCTGGAGTCTTTGACAAGCGACGATGGCAGATAACACATGTATTATGCAAGGAAGGTGAATATATGTCGTGTTGTGCCGCAATCATGGGCCGAGTAGCGCTCGACACTAGAAGTTACTTCAATCACGTATATAAACAACACATTATGCCGATTGAGGCAGACAGTAGAAGAAATGTTCGACTTCTTCAGTGAGCGTTACCGATATTATCATGGGTGCGTCACCCCGGTTGGCGCAGGCCAACACACCATATGCATCCCATCATAATTTTCTACGTTCACGCGTCACCTAAATTGTATTAACTTATCTACGTTTCGTGTGTGCCATTCGTGTCTAAAATATACGAAGACAGTGACTCGCATTATACGTACTGCATGTAACGTTGCTTGTGTGGATCTGGCTAAGACACGGCAGCTTGGTTGTCACCGTGCCTCCAACACGCCTATTTGGTGCATACACGGGTTTGTGGGTTATACTTGGGCTCATATCCACTAGAAGGTCACAGTGCGGGTGTTCCGCTCATCCGCCATTAATACACGGCTATTTGCACACCAGCTTATAAATATAATAAAAATACCTACGTGTATACCGATCGCCGACTTCTACGAATCATTACACAATGGCATACTATTCTTTGACTGACGTCCCTTCCAACTTCAAGGAGGGTATTGACTGGTTGCTCGCCCTGAAGGGAGATGATCCTCACCACTACTTGCAGGCCATGGGTACCGCACTTCACGATCTCCTCTCACGCCATTATGTTGGCTTTACGCGGTTGCCAGCTCTCGAGAAAATTAAACTTATATCTCGGAAGTTCTTGGAGGAAGGTGGCCTCAAAGGGCAGCCATTCGTAAAAGAACTGCTGGAACGATACAAGGCACCCATGAGCAAAAACCCTGAACAGCTAGCTAAGGTCTTTAGCCGTGTCGACGAGAGCGATTACAAGAATGTCGTAAGGGCCAGGCGCGCCACTCCTAGAAGCATTGCAAAAAACATTGGTGAAGTCGTGGATGCTGCGGAGAAGTTCTTGGAGGGTATCAAGGAAACTGACAAGTACACTAATACATACGGTTCGGGAGCTACGTGGATTGGATCATGCGCGGATGACCCGGAAGCTTGTGCAGTGGTATTCGTGGGAATTGCGCCAATGCTTTACGCGGGCCTACGTTCTTTGCAGGAAGCCAGCCTAGATGCACAGAAAGAAGGACCACATTCTGACGCAGCGAATCGTTTGGGGAAGATGTTTAAAGCACTAGGTTACGAAGAGCGGGACTGCATCGATGGCCTGAAGGCTTCAGATATCCGCAAGGCCTTGGAAGGTGTGAACAAACAAATATTGGCAATAGTTTACAACATCGCTGGATTCTGGGCTTTCTACTGAATGGATGATGCGGACGACCTGTTAAAGCATCTACGCATATTTTTTCCGTCCGTCTAATCAGTGAGTTGACATCACGAATTCTCACGAGGCATTTCAAATTCATGAAATGTAGTGATAGCCATTTTATACATGCAATATTCCTTTACTATACTACTGTCACTGAATGAGAGCAAACACGGTTATGAACTTCTCTTTAATCTCGTTCATGACGCAATTTGGAAGCTGCTGTTCCAGCGTCGCACCTTTCAATGCCAGTATGCACGATGGACGTTTCGTGTTTAATTGCAGCCTATAAATCACGCTGTGTATTACTTTACGCCTTGTCAGTTGGATTGGTGATCATCCAGACAACGCATGCCCAGACAGCGCGTTAGACAACCATTTGCAGAACAGACGTCCAATAGGTGACGTAGTTTTGCGGCGACCTCTACTCATAAAGCTGCCATTATACCAACTGCTATTATTGTCTGAATGACGCTGATGCCCATTGTCACAAGCCCCGATGACTTGTTACCATCCTTCGTGTAGCGTACATTGCTGTAAGCGCTCACGCCATCAGGCGTGTTCCCTTCGGCCGTATCTACCGCTGTTCGCGTGGTAGTTTCCGAACGCTTTGTTGGGGGCAGCGTAAGTGCGCTGTCAGCACGTCTCTGTGACGTGAAACGGTTCAATATTTGCTCAATAGACTGCAGGGTGTGGAGCATTTTCGGGTTGTGCTGTTCAGCTGTCCTCGAAACGTCTCTACTCACGGGAGGCGCGTATTGTTCTAATTCCGACTCGAGGCTCTGTTGTCCTACTTTTCCTGATTGGGGCCACGGGAGATCTAGTTTGCCCATTACATCGGTGGTATCGTTGTAACTTTTGTAAACATCCCACGCATTTGTGACCTCTACCAAATCCCCACCGTACTTGTCGTACCAACGCCGGACAGCATCGGCTAGGGTTTTATTTGTAGAGGCACTGCTCCCCGCGTAAGATGAACGCTGGATATCCGTTGACAGGTCGCGCAGCATAATTGCCATATTTTCTGCCATCTCGTGGACTTCGTGCAACATGATCGATAAAAAGCGATAGTCTTTAACCCTTGACCTTTCTACAGTATCGTCGAGCAGCGTGCCATAATCTGGCGCGTCCATGTTTTCTGCAACCGCATTTACATCATACGCCTCGTATGTTTCTGCATTTCCACCGAGGTCTGCAGCTGACGCCTGACCAGAGGGCGTAGGCGGTAGTAGTTCCTGAAACCTGGGTTGATTTATGAACTCCTCCGCGTATGCAACCTCAAAATCATATTCCAAATCGCCGAACGCCGGAAGGCCACAGGATAGGCGCTCCTTACCCTTAAATTTGTCTTCCAGGTACGCCATAGTTTTATGCAGCTTCGCTGCCAGTTTAGGCGTCAGATACTTCTTTTGAAGGCCTCTAGCTACCACTCGATACAGATTGATCATTTGTCTGACTTCAGGGTACTGTCTGGTCTCCGTGCTTATACGTTGAACTTCACCCATTAATTTCAGACACTTCTTTTTGTCCGCTTCTTTTGTTTTCGCTGTGGCGTTTGATCGTGGAATCTCTAGGAATATCCGCGTCAGGTCATGATAAGCTTTCGTGGAGCGCAGATAGATATCTTCCGAACGTTCGAGTTTGCTATAACAAACCACACTGTTGGCGTAGAATGCAAGGCCCTTCGTCGGTCTCCCTCCACCACCCGAATTGGCGTGCGTAGTTCGATATCCCGTTACCATGGCATTAAACGTTATGTAGAGGCACAGCAGTAATGCGACTGGTCGCCATCCGTAATTGGTGATGGACGTCATTTTTGATGGCAACCGCAGCACCGTAGTATAGCATCGCAGCAAATGAGATGGTAGAGTTGAGTATCATGCTCTGTAGTGTGGACGCATCGAGTGTTATCTCCCTTAAGTACGATGAGGAGCGTCGAGCATCAAACTACTCTGCTGAGATGGAAGTAGGCGTGGGCATGATAATCCGTGACTAAGCATTATTGTCAATGATGAGAACATTTATGCTGCCGCAAGTGTACATTTGTCTGCGCCAAATGCTGCGTGTTGTTTGCAGTGCCTATTGGAATTATAGCACTTGCAATTGCGCTGCGGCTCAGTGGTGATATTCCCCGCCGCTCGACTTTTCCGTGCTGCTGCATGTAGACAGTCATTAATATGCGACGTATCCGTTACTCGGCGCCATGACGGGCTCTTCCTGTTGTCCGTGATGTTCCTGTTCTGCCACTGGTAGGCAATTGGCTAGCCAGGGCACGGGTGGAGATTTCTGTGTCCACAAGGGCAACACCGCCGCACGTTATAGGCTCAGACTGGGGAAAATAGGCGGTCTGGGTACTGCGCAGGGTAAATGTCCGCCTCAGGTCAGGCTCCTCGTGCCACCTTACGAGGCAGTGGTTGAACGGATTACAGCGTCCACATTTCCACGTTGCCATCATCGGCGTTCGTGTTTGATATGATGGTGATTGTTATATATTCAGTGTAATCCGATTGTCGGTTGGGTTGTGGTCGTTAGACTAGTGAGATGATCCGTAAGTGAGCTTGTTATGCCTGCTTAGCTCCAGTAATGTCGGGTGTGGTGTGCTTATGATCGACAGGTAGCGTAACGTGCCTAATGGGAAGTATGGGTTTCCTTCACGCTTTGACATTTCCACTAGCTGCAGTTGATGCAATAGCTTTATTATACCTATTACGGCACGTTTCTGGGAGGTTGGAGCAGTTGTGGCGCGTGACGCTGTAGCG